TCACGGGATTGCACGGCGAGATGAGTTAAGCCAGGGACAAAAATGTTCACCGTCCGGCATAACGTTGACATTAAAATATAACGGTGCCACTCACCTTGAACGTTACCGAAACGGCAGCGGACACCACCTCCCTCCCTCAATGACAGAGGGCCCACAGCTCGGTTCGCGCCAAACTCAGATCCAAATTTCCAGAAGGCCCAACGGAATCTCACGCGCGATGCGACTAAGCCCGTTCTGGCAGCCTGCCGCTCCGCTCACCACGCTGTCGGCGACCCGCAACTCCACAAGGTGCGCTGTTCCCGTCCATTGATGAAATGGCCTTGACGTCGATGACTCCTGACTCCCGAGTCCCGAGTCCTGGCAGTGGTTCGCATTGCACAAGTAGACAAAACCCAGCTTTGTGGGTAGTTAGTGCAAAGCGGGCGTTCCGAGGGTTTTCCTTCCCCTGTTGTGTTTGCAAAACTGGCCGGGAGGATTCCGATGGGTGAGTTTTGCGACGGCCCACGCTAGCGTATGGGCGGCCCGGTCACAGATGAACCGACATGGGTTGTGTTGGAAGGGGGGGCCGGCCGGTACCAAGAGCTGCAGGGTACTCCGTGCGGGAGCGGATCCCAAAGAACACTTCTGGAAGCCTAGTGTAGGAGCCTGCCCATTGTGATGGTTGTGTGTGGGAAGGAATTGATGAGATGCCAACAAGGGGGGACTCACCGACCGGTCGGACACATTCCCGGGCTGGAACACCTACCCACCTTTTCACCTCTCACCTTTTCGCCTCACTTTGCCCCAAGTCAGCCATGCGCGCCCTCGACGTTGCATCATCCTGGGACCGTTGACCATCGAACGGGCGCCGCGTGGAAACAAACTGGGACCGGGGAGCAATTCCGCCTTTGCAGCAAAACCCACATTTCTGCCGGCGTCGTGTTCCAGTTCGTCCCATCCATGCTTCGATAAATCATAACTGTGGTGTTATTTATTGGAAAAATTTTCGCTCTCTCTTCTGCCATGGGCCAGTTCTTCAATTTTTTTATATTTCTTCTTTGGGGCAGACAAACAACGACGACAGACGCCAGGGTCGAGCACCCGGCTTTGACGGATCGCGTTAGGTACCTAGGTAGGTAGCCTTGCCGTATGTAACATTTTCCTGTCATCCAAGCAAAAGCCGCGTGTTCTGGCACAGTTTCAGCAGCCGTTGGATGTTCCCGAGATCCGTAACCAGCTAGCCCAAAGGCCCGAATACTCGGGATTCTGGGGTCGGGTCGGCTGATGTGTTAGATACGATGCACGAGGCGTTGCCATGCCAAGGGCTATATCGCTGGTGCCGCTTCGTTTACCTGTCTAGTGAACAACAGCCTGATTGATAACGGGGGTTGGCGAAGTTGCTCTTTGCCTCATGCCGGCAGCCCATCTTATTGTTAACTACATGCTCTCGGTTGCGTTGCGGTTACCGGGTGAGAGCCATAAGCACGGCGACTTGTGTGGTACTTAGTTAGATGGGAAGGGGAAGGAAAAGGATAAAGACAAGAAAAAGAAAAAAATGATGAAAACAAAAGGCTCCAGTTCGACTTGTAACTTCCGTGTTCCGGCAGAATGATATGTACCCAGGCTGCCATCTCTTTCCCGTTGTCGGCAGCCCTTCTTTATCCGGCAAAGATGGTTCCTTTGGCTCGTGGGTCAAGCAAAGACTGAGTAACTAGGTACCTTGGTTAACGTTAACATATACATAATTTCTGAGACCATCAGTCCAGTGTTTGGTGGATCCTGACTTGGTTTAACTAAGATACGGAGGACCAACAGCAACAATTACCTGACCAACTACGTGACCAGGGCATCGGCCTTCATCTTTGGCAAGCAAGATGACAAAAGTTCTGCCAGCCACAAAGCTTTGTAGTGGTTCTTGTAATGAAACAAACAAGCTCGGGAGGCTGAAAGTTCCCCTCAATCATGGTTGTCGCTCGGATATCTGCCTGCCTCACAGTAAGTATCTGAGTAACGTGCTTGATCGAAATGTCCAAACTGAGCTCATCCGGTGAGCCGGCCGACTGGTTGACTAGTCTGGTATGCTGGAATTTCTTGGTTGAATACACTACATACGTCAATTGAAGGGTCGGGGTGAAGACCAGATAAGGCACTTTCTACCCACTCTACAGACTAGATCTAGTCTATCACTAGGAGTACAATACCAAATACTTGGAGCGTGAATTTTCATAACTCCGTTCTCAGGCCAGGAGGCTGTCAAGCACGGCTAATCGAATGTGCGGAATGAGAATTGTTCGTTGAAGAGTAGCCAATGGTTCTCATACGCGGCCTCAGATAGAGGAGAAATCCAAGGTAGGTTGTGGTTCAAACTCTTCCACAGCTACTATTCTTTTGAGAAAGACAAGCTCCTTGGAATGGTCATCTTGCTAGTATTGCCAGTGTATAGAATCGGCCATCCGGTGAACCTGGTAGCAGACGGCGAGTACCCTGTGTCTCCGTTTATGCAGCTCTTCAGGTCCAGTACCCGACTCTGATATATGTTGAACGGGACTACGAGTTCATAGACGCCGAGGTTCTGATCTGGATCAGGAACGCGGGGGATATTACCGGGTGTAACGGGTAGGTCTACTGCCCTCAGATATTCCTGACAGTAGTCGCGGACCAAATCATCCAGCTTGTGTATACCGACAGTGGAAGGACCTTGGGTCTTCTCCTGTGTGTCTGCTTAACTGTCAGCACCAGCATTTTGTAGACTTTAATCTACTCACAACCTGCAACCTGGCATGGCCCGTTAATAACATGCCTTTGCTCGGACTGAAGACGTCCCCGGGTTCGAGGAGCCCGAATGCCTTCTTGCTGTCTACAGTTTCTACACCCGATAGCTCTTTGGGTTCTTGAGACTGAGGGTGCGGAGGATGCATCTGATGATCTTTTCACCGACACTGAGCGAGACGTTGAGGAAACACGTTGAGGAAACGGATCATCCTATGCTTGCCCCTGAGGCTTTTGGCCGGATATCTTTCCGCTGCTGACAGACGCTCGTAATGGGGAGAAATCGTATGGGAATCTTGGGCCGGTATAGTATCCCTTCGCATGGCTCGCTCGAGCCGCGTTCAGAGGGGGCGAAAAAGGGAGGGAGAAGGGGATCCAGCCTTGTGCTTAGACGTCCAAAGCTACCCGAAGTAGAAATGTCCTCCTAACCAACAAGAAATCTTCCATCCACCTAGAAAGCAGCCTCGCTAGCACAAATCTCTAGCTGTGCCTTTGCCTAGCCGTGACAACGGCGTCCAAAGGGGTGACTCCTTGCTTAAGACTTAGGTAGCTTGATCATATAAGTCGCCGCTTTAACTACATCTTAAAAGACCCTAGCTTACCATCACGGCTCTAGGAATAATATTACCAACCCAGCGGAACCCGGGTATACTGTGCTGCTGGTGGTAGTCTTGAAGGTGTTCTCGTCTGCCCAGATCGAGATAGAATATTTATCCTGGTACGGCCCCGGAGAAATTACAGTTTCATAGCTCTCAAGTACGAGTCAATGTACGATCTTTAAACGGTTACGAGGATAAGGACAACATAAAAGTCTCACAGAGGCTCACTCACCCTGAGTATATACCATACTTCATCTGGTAGCTAGACAGACCGTCGCTTTAGCCTCTACCTAAGCCATACATATCATCATTTCACGACTGGTACCAGGCGTATCACTTTACCATCTATCTCGTCTAAAAACAATCAATGGCACTGATTCCGCAAAGGCAAGTAAAAAGAACAGCAGGAGAAAAGCAGCAAAAACACTGCGTCAGCCGCGAATCGAACGCGGGGCCCATCGATGGCAACGATGGATTTTACCACTAAACCACTGACGCTTATAATCAGGAGATGTTACCCGATTGAGGGTAGAGTGCCGACTCTTCCATTATAAAGTGACAGTAACAAGGGACTTGGGGACTTAACACATCATCTGTGCCTGGTTAAGTACTGCCATTATCTCCAGTGCCACTATCTTCTACACCAGCCTCGTTGAAACACAGACCACGTTGTACACCCGGTCTGAAGAAAGTCCACACTCCACAGCGAAAAAATATGACCAAGCATGGCCATCTTGGGCTGAGCAAAGAGGGATGGACACTGAGGCAGTCTGGGGAGTCTGGGGAGCAACCTAGTGGCTGAATGTCCGATGTCTTGTCTGCCACACACTCAACATAGCGACCGTCACTCACTCACTAGGAGGATCACCTAAGCCAAAGTGAGAACAGGGTCGCCTCGTAAGGCTATGCTATGCATACTCCAATTTTCTCACTTGTGCCCCAACCCAACTCTATAGATACCATACCTAGGCCTAGGCAAGCAGTCATCCACCATTGATCTATCTAATTGGCAAATGAGTATCGCATGGGTGTGGGTACGGGTATGGGCAATGGGACATGATGCCTTCACGCACTCAAGCCAGTGCACTCCCAGTGCAGAAACCCAACCCCCCTTCCACCTGCCCTTCCACTCCCCCCCTTCCCCCTAAGGGAGAGTAAGAGACACAAAACAGCCTTCAGTGCGGCCAAGTGCAATGTGCAGCACACACACACACTCTCTTTCCCTTCCTTCCCGGGATGCTGTGCCCAGACTAAGAGCCAGACCAAACCAAACCAAACCAAACCAGTGTGAAGAATCCTTTGTGCCAAGAACGCCTGGCTACCTTAGGTATGAGTGACTCCCAAACAAAGAGCCGGTGATGAAAACAAACAATGGGGGGGAGAAAAAAACAGGAATTACAAAGTCTCGAGATGGCGAAGAGAGGCTCCTATCCGTTGGCAGCCTCCGTTGGTGAGGTTTCCGGTTCTCTCCTCTTTTGCCGTGTTATGAAAGGAATATAATGTTATCATCGTCTCCCCTGCCATTTCTTCCCTTGTTCCTCCTTAGATTCTCTCTGATTCCAATGATGATGGACGGGAGAACACCGGTAAAGAGGAACGGACGGAGAAGATGGGCGTGGAAAGCCCAGTAAGGTAGTCAGTCTACCTGCCGGGCTAGCTCCTGTCCTTGGGAGTCGACGAGTCCAACTTGAGATAAGCGTCCTGGATGGCCTTGATCTCGATGGCGTCCAGCTCCAGCGCCGTCACCCAGTCCCTGAGCTGTATGTTCTTGCCCTTCTCTTTGTCCTCGCGCCACGTGCCGAGTCGCGGGTATCTGGGATCTCCCGTAAGCTGTGTCTTCTCGGGTACCCTTGCGCCGCCTCCGGCCGTAGCCGCGCCCGCGTCTCCCGTGTTTTGCCTGGGCGTGCTGGCGCCGCTGCCCGACTTCTGCATCCAAGAATACTCCTTCCTCTTCTTGCCGAATCCGCCCATGAGCGTGCTGAGCGTTTGATTCGTGCTGGCCGTGCTCGAAGCCTCGGCGAGTCTTGCCGCCGCGGCGCCCTTCTTCAATTCCTTCTTGGAGGGTGCTTTGGCGGCGCCGGCCTCGTTCTCTGGGGCTGCACCTGCGCCGGGCGTGCCAGGCGCCGCTGAGCCGGCACGGGATCCGTTGTGCGCTGGCTCGGGGTTGAGGCGTTTCTGCCGCTTCCGAAGCCTTGCTTCCTCGACGTCGCGATCGGCCTTGGCGCCGTCGCGCACAGCTTCCATGATGTTTCTCGAACCATGCTTGCCGCCCTTAGCGGTCGAGCCTTGTGTGAACGCATCAAAGGAGCCTAGAAACACCGTCATGTTAACAGGGACAGAGACAGAAGAGAACTGGTGATACCGTACGCTTGAGTGGGTTTGAGCCCGCAGCGCCCTCTGGGCCATCCGGGAGAGAATCCAGACCGGTCCGGAGAGGCACTGCGACGTCACCCCATTCTGCGGGTATCTCTCCATGCGACGTCGTCTGGCGAATGGTGGCGACGCCGTTGGCGTCCTCGATCAACTCTCTAAGTCGATGCTTGGTGGCGATAGACAGAAGCGCCAGCTGATCGACCAGATAGGCATCATGCGGTATGAATGAGCCTGTGGTTACCACCATGGCCCCGTCCGGTCCAAGCTTCGTGCCCACCGTGACCTTCGGAGGTGGGAATTCCTGGGGAGGTCTCAGCTTCCCGGCCGGGTTCGCGTTCTTCAGTTCAAGGTTCACGCCAAGTCCGTGCTCCTGTGCGATTTTCTCAACCCGGTGATGCAGGTTAGGAATTATCAGGAAAGGGTTAAGGATCTCGATGCTGCGTATGACAGCCAACCGCTGAGCGGATTCGTCCCAGACTCTCTGCGCCAGCTCGGCCTCGTAAGCCTCCTGGCTAGGAGCGACGATTGATTCGCCAGGCTGATTCGCAAACCCGGCACCATAAAAGGAACCCTTGCTTCCCGGGGCGTTCGCTGGTAGGCCGGTCCTTGCCTCTTGAGCGAAGGAGCCGCCGTACAACTCGGCCATATATTGTTCTTCCGCGCGGAGGTCAATCCCAGTGCCGGCGAGCGAGTCGGCCACGTCGTACTCGATCTCCTTTGCCGGAGGTTTTGACGGAGGGCCCATAGTGCCTGGCGTTGGGGGAGGCGGGGGGACAACCGGTCCAAACGTTGCTGCGGTGTACTGTTGCGAACCCTGAGCCGCCGGAGACGGCGGGTAGGACGGCCGTGTTTCCGGAAGGGAAAGAGTAGGCGTCGGCGCGGAAGATGGCACAGAGTTGCCGTTTGTGTGCGGCGGGGCATAGTGTTGTTGGTGTTGCTGCATTGCAGCAGGCGCAGCGAGGTTCTGGTATTGAGAAGGAGTAGGCGGGAGGGAAGCCGCCGGCATTTGGGGACTGGCCGCGTAGGGCGAAGCGGCGTAAGGTGACTGTGGATTTTGGGGCGGAGAGGCGGGAGAAGTGCGTGGTCGCTTATTCGGAGGCATCGCAGGCATCGCATATGCCTGTTGAGGGGTGCTGGCTGGCGAATGCTGAGGCGGCGAGTACGATGGCCGCTGGTGCATCTGGGCCATCTGCGGCATCTGTGGCATTTGCGGCATCTGGGAAATTTGCTGCATGTGAGGAGGTTGCGACATCTGCGGCGGCACCTGCGGCTGCGGTTGCGCCATGGTAGGTTGCGGCGCGGTTTGCTCTCGCGGCTCCGTTCTTGGGATGCGGGTGTCGGAAGGTGGAAGAAGCATAGCAGCGGGAAGAGCGTTGTTGCTTGGTGGGTTGCTCAGAATTTCGGCGGCGGGTTTTGTGGGAGACGAGAAAGGCCCAAGTCGGTAAATTCAGAGCGCAAAAGTGGAAGTCGGTTGTTTCCAGAGGCGCGTTGGCGAGCTCACTTGCAACCCGGGCAGGCGCACCTGCGTTCGCCGGCAAGACTGCGCTTTTCGGAGCCCATCCGACGTTTTCACTTTCTCGGAGTCGGCGCAAATCAAATCGATGGGCTTTTCGAAATCGCTGAGCGCTCGGTAGCTGCGGAATCGGCGGGTTCGATAGATGTGCGAGCGTAGGTGCCGCAGAAGCCAGGCCGGGCTTTTGCTGAGGTCGGGTTCAAAACTAGCGACAGTTGCCTCGCGGTGGAGTCTGTCGCGTTCAGATTGGTCACGTGTCAGGCCGGTTCGTCTGCTGTGGGTCTCGAACTTCTTGGCTCTGCGGCTCTCTGGCAGCTGCAAGGCCGGACTTGTGCTGAATCGGAAACGTTGTGTTGTGAAAGGAAAGAAGGTGTTGCGGTGGCCAACCTCCATTTTGACCGCGCATCCGCATCTCGATTTGCCGCCTTATCAGCTTGCTCCCGCTTCCTATTGTCCCTATTCAATATCGGCTCTGTGTAGGCGTGTCGCATAAGAAAACGGGTCCTGCATCGCCATTTGATTTGGGTCATCGGTTTGCCGAATGGCAATCTCGACACTCCAGACACATTGCTTGACGCTCTGCAGCCCAAGAATTGCATAGCCAGCAACAAGTCGCATGACAGAAGCAGGATCTCTTGATTGACGGGAAGCCAATATTTTACCTTAACTTCATCTTCACCTTTCGGACCCGCGTTGGACACGCGCAGATTAGACATTGAAAGTCCTGGCGTGCGTCACGACCAGCGTCGTGGTCACACACCATGGCTTCCAAGAGGAAGGCCTCTGCGATGGCATCGGCCGCGCCTGAAGAGCCAGTCGATCCGGCCGATGAATTGATGTTTCTCTGCCTGGGCGGCGGCAACGAAGTTGGCCGGTCTTGTCACATCATCCAATACAAGGGGAAGACCGTCATGGTGTGTTGCTCTCATTGCCAGAGTCTGAGTATGGACAGCTGTATCCGCTGACATGGATGCAACGCCCGCAGCTTGATGCCGGTCAGCACCCAGCATACGATGGGCTCGCAGCCCTCCCGTTCTTCGATGACTTTGATCTCAGCACTGTGGATGTGCTTCTCATCAGCCAGTAAGTCTTCTCCGAGTGACCTCCCGCGTTACAGCACACTAGTCTTGCGGCGTTTGGCTTGGGGCAACGTCCCGGGATCCCGGGATAGGGCCGGAATTGCGTAGAGTCGCCGTGGCACTCTGTTGTCACTGGATTGCAGGCTCATCAGTCTCCTGCCCGCTCCCGCATCATGTACCATCCACCACCATTCTGTGTGTACTCAAGAGATATCAAAATACAATATCTTCTCGCCCGTTGCCCAGAGCTGCTCCTCGCCTGCCCGCTTTGACTCTGCGCGCTGCATGCACCCCCTGTAAAGCTTGCCCGCGACCCTTAGTCGTTCTCGCCCCCCTCGCAGTGCAGTTCTGTGGCACCTCCTGACTGACTGCGGCAGTTTCCACATCGACCATGCGGCATCACTACCCTATGTCCTGGCCAAGACGAACTTTCGCGGCCGCGTCTTCATGACACATCCTACCAAAGCCATCTACAAATGGCTGATCCAGGACAGCGTGCGCGTCGGCAACACGTCATCCAATCCGACCACGCAGCTCGTCTACACGGAGCAGGACCATCTCAACACCTTCCCCATGATCGAGGCCATCGACTACCACACCACGCACACCATCTCCTCCATCCGCATCACCCCTTACCCGGCCGGCCATGTCCTCGGTGCCGCCATGTTCCTGATCGAAATCGCGGGCCTCAACATCCTCTTCACGGGCGACTACTCGCGGGAGCAGGACCGGCATCTGGTGTCTGCCGAAGTGCCGAAGGGGGTCCGGGTCGACGTGCTCATCACCGAGTCCACCTACGGCATTGCCTCGCATGTGCCGCGGGTCGAGAGGGAGCAGGCGCTGATGAAGTCGATCACGGGGATCCTCAACCGCGGCGGCCGGGTACTCATGCCCGTCTTCGCGCTGGGGCGCGCCCAGGAGCTGCTGCTCATCCTCGACGAGTACTGGGCCAAGCACAAGGAGTACCAGAAGTACCCCATCTACTACGCCAGCAACCTGGCCCGCAAGTGCATGCTGGTCTACCAGACCTACGTCGGCGCCATGAACGACAACATCAAGCGGCTCTTCCGGGAGCGCATGGCCGAGGCCGAGGCATCCGGGGACGCCGCCGGCAAGGGCGGGCCGTGGGATTTCAAGTTCATCCGCTCGCTCAAGAGCATCGACCGCTTTGAGGATGTCGGCGGCTGTGTGATGCTCGCCAGCCCCGGTATGCTGCAGAACGGCGTGAGCCGCGAGCTGCTCGAGCGGTGGGCGCCGAGCGAGAAGAACGGCGTCATCATTACCGGCTACAGTGTCGAGGGCACCATGGCCAAGCAGATCATGCAGGAGCCGGAGCAGATCCAGGCCGTCATGACCCGGAGCTCCGCCGGAGGGAGGCGGGCCCCTGGCGGCGATGCCGAGAAGGTCATGATCCCTCGCCGCTGTACCGTCCAGGAGTTCTCGTTTGCCGCCCACGTTGACGGCACCGAGAACAGGGAGTTCATCGAGGAGGTTGCCGCGCCGGTGGTGGTAAGTCCGTTCCTGGTCGTCTCAACTCACATTTCGGTCCCGGAGTGTGGAGCTAACAAAGCAATCCAGATCCTGGTGCACGGCGAGGTGCACAACATGATGCGCCTCAAGTCCAAGCTGCTGTCGCTGAACGCGAACAAGACCAACAAGGTCAAGGTCTACAGCCCCCGGAACTGCGAGGAGCTTCGCATCCCCTTCAAGACCGACAAGACAGCCAAGGTGGTCGGCAAGCTGGCCTCGATCCCGCACCCGATGAAAACGGCCCGGGAAGACAGCACGCAGGAGCCGCAGCTCATCACGGGCGTGCTGGTCCAGAACGACTTCAAGATGTCGCTGATGGCGCCCGAGGACCTGCGCGAATACGCCGGCCTCACCACGACCACCATCACCTGCAAGCAGCGCCTGCGGCTGAGTGCAGCGGGCATCGAACTCATCAAGTGGGGCCTCGAGGGCACCTTTGGCAGCATCGAGGTACTGCTCGAGGGCAAGCCGCGCCGCGGGATTGGCGCGAACGGCGAGAGCGGCGACGAGAAGAGCAACGGGAAGATGGAGGAGGACGTGGACGAGGAGTTCCCGATCGACGAGGTCGTCGCCGCCTACCTGGTCATGGGCTGCGTGACCGTCCGGTACCGCGCCAGTGGCGAGGTCGAGCTCGAGTGGGAGGGCAACATGCTTAACGACGGCATCGCTGACGCCGTCATGGCCGTGCTCCTGGGGATTGAAAGCAGTCCCGCGGCGGTGAAGCGTAAGCCTAGTTTACCTTACTTAACCTTTCCCATTTTTTTATTTTTCTTTTTAGTTTCTTATCCGAACTAACAAAAAAAAACCCGCCCTACAGGCTCCGGAAATAAACATTCCCATTCCCACTCCCACGCGGACTCCGACATGCTAACCCTCCCTCACCGCAATCTCCACGCCAACCTCACCCCGACCGACCGCCTCGAGCGCCTGATGCTGTTCCTGGAAGCCCAGTTCGGCGCCGACAATGTCTCGCCCATCGCCGAGCCCAAACTGCCCCCCCATCATCACACCCTTTCTTCACTTCCTCCTCCAAAACCCTCCCCGGCCCCCTCCCCGTCGCCCTCCTCCGAGAACGGGGGCGCGTCCATGGACGTGTCAGAGGATGATGAGCAAGCCAACAACCGCAAGGAGAAGGAGGAAGAAGGAGAAGAAGAAGAGGAGGAGGAGGAGGAGAGGAGGAGGAGGAGGTTGCTTATGATGAAGGAGCGCGAGCTGGCGCGGCTGCATAAGCAGGGCATTCCCGTGCCAGGGGTGCACATCAAGGTGGACAAGATGGAGGCGAACGTGTGGTTGGAAGGGCTGGAGGTCGAGTGCGGGAACAAGGTGTTTGCCGATCGGGTGAGGGCCGTGGTGGAACGGGCCGTGGAGGTTACGGCGCCGCTGTGGGGGTAAGACAAAACGCTTATTCCAACTTAGAAAAAGACGAGGAGTTTGTGTTGGGGATTGGGGGGCGGAGGAGGGTGCGATGAAGGGAAAGATGAAGATCGATACAGATGGTGAATTAGGGGGAGGGTGGATGTGACGAGCTTGTTAGAGAGGGTGGGAAGGGGGAAAGGAAGTACTAGTAGTTATGGGATAGCGTCCTGTTTTCTAGGTCATTTCGCTTTTCAATTTTTTTTTTTTTTTTTTTTTTTTTTTTGGAGATACGTCGTATTGTATCTCTATTTTCGTCTCGACTGGTAGTTCTATAAGATTGAGTGTATGCGCTGCTGAACACTTCCCTCACTGACGTCCTTCCACCTCGTCGCCGAGAATACCTGGTACCAGGTATGTTGATTTCCTTGTTATGCTAAACGATGAAAAGTCCTATGAACTCAAAAAAGGTATCTTTTCTATCTATCTCGTACCCCCATATGCAAAAGCTTAGTAGTAAGAGTGATTACGAGGGTTGAAGCAGGACAGACATATCCAAACAAATTTTCAGCATACAAGCCCATTTCTCCGGTAAAACCCACCAACACCCAGAGATAACACATCCGCTGCTAGCTCGCCCTGCAAACAAGGCTCAAGGCAGAAAGTAAATAGAGCGATGGGGTATATACCAACCGGCACCACATGAGAAACTGCTAAAATCATCCAAAAAAGAAAAAGTGCTCCCCCGGGGGAAGAAAAAGCCATCTACCCCCCTGCAGCCGTAAATCATCCAAGCCATCTCTAACCACCCGCTCCTCCCTCTTGCCCACCATCCACTTCCCTCCGTGGAGAGGTCACCTGGGGCTGAGCGTACCCCTTGCAGTAGAAGCGCGCGTGGCCTGGAGGGGACTGAGACCGCCCCTCCTCATCGAGCGTAGCTCGTCCTCCAGCTTGCGGCGTTTCGCTTGTTCCTCCTGCAGAAAAGAAAAGAAAAACGCAATCATTAGTATCGATCTCTCTTTCTCTCTCCCAGTTTCCAAGCCCGTCAGGACCACCAAGGAAAAAGAAAAGAGAAAACTCACCTTCAACTCCTCCTGGAACTTCCTCCGCTCCTCCTTCATCATGCCACGGAACTGCTCGCTCAACATACTCGCCCCCGCCCCGCCTCTCGTCCCCGCGGCAGCAGGCTTGAGTCGCTCCTTATCGAGCTCCTCCTGCGCTCGCGCCAGCCGGTCCCTCAAGCTACCCACCTCGGCCTCCAGGTCCGACTTGACGCCCACGACCTCGTCCAGCTTGCTCTCAATCTCCAGGCGGTCCCGTTCCGCGGCGATCGACTCACGCGTGATCTCCTCCAGGTCGCGCAGGGCATTCTCCAGCTCGGCGCGCAGCCGCACGATCTGCTGGTTGAGCTCCTCCGTGTTGCCGTTGTTGTTATTATTGCTGTTGTTAGCGGCAGCGGCGGCCTCGGCGGCGCGCTGCTTGCGCGAGCCGTACGCGCCGTCGAGCTCGGCCTTTGTGAAGGCCACCTCGGTCTTGAGCTCGATCACCATCGTGTTCATGCTCTCGAGCTCGGCGTCCTTGGACTGGAGCTCCTGCTGGAGCTTGCTGACCTCGGCCGAGGCGGTGTTGGCCGCCTCGGTGGCGGACGCGAGTTGGGACTGGAGGGTGGCGAGCTCGGCTTCGGCCGCTGTGCGGGCCGAGTTGGATTGCTGGAGCTGGGACTGCGTAGCCGAGGTGTTGGCCTCGGCGGTGGCGAGGCGGGACTCGGCCTCACGCACCTCGGACTCCAGCGCGGCGATGCGGGCGGTGCGCTCCTTGAGCTGGTCTTGGATCGCCTTGGTCGAGGAGGCCGAGGCGGCTTCGTTGGCGGCCGTGGTCTTCTGGAGGGTGTCCATGTCGGCGAGGACCCGTTGGAGCTGGGTTTGGGCTTCCTGAGCAGCGCGCTCTGCTTCGTCGAGGAGGTGGTGCGTCTGTTCGAGCTCGTCGGATTTGGCTTTGAGCTCGCGATCCTTCTCGGATTCGCTGCGGTTGTTGAGTTCGCGCTGCTGCTTGATTTGTCGCTGCAGGATGTATTTCTGCTCCCTCAGGCCGGTTGCCTGTGCGTATAGCCATTGAACCTTGGTCGAGAAGGCTTGCAGGGAGTACGGCTCATTGGTATCGCCCTCGAACTCGTTGCTGGACAGTTCGTCGTCGTCATCGCCGCCCTGACCCAGGGCGCGGTTCTGCCGTCGAGCGGCCCTTTGCTGCTCGATCTCGGCGTAGCCCGTCTGAATGATCTCCCACAAGCCCATGAGGACCGCGTCAACCTGTTCGATGTTCTGCTTCTTGGCAGAAGCAGACGATGACGCTTCGCGAGCCTTGCCAAGCTCCGATTCCAGGGCTCTGAGGGACTCCTCTAGGTACTCGAGCTGCTGATCTAGATCAGCTTCAGCCGGCGCCGGTAGGCTGGAACCTGTCTGTTGCAGCACGGCCTGCACTTGCCGGGTCAGAGCCTGGACGCGCGCGCTGGCTTGGTCGAGCGACGCTTCCACCTGGCTGAGAGAGGACGCCATTGCCGAGGCCTCAGCGGCGGCGTCTTCAGCGGCCCTGGATGCTTCAGCCGCATATAACTTCTGCTCTTCCAAGGCGGTGGCCAAGCCTCTCTCCAAGTACTCCAGCTGGCCTGGCAAGGTCTCGCCAGAGCCGGCCGCAACCCCAGGGCCTCCGTATGTCCCGTTCTTCGTTGGATGAAATCCCACAATAACATCCCGGAGCTTGCTGTTCAAGACCTCCAGCTTCGCCTCCGTATCCGAGATTGTGCGTAGCTGGCTTGTGATCTGCGCCCGGAGAGCCTCCGTTTCAGCGCTCATATGCTGCTCGATCGCCTTGAGCCGCGAGTCGGCATCCTTGAGTCGCGACGTCTCGTCCATCAGTTGTGACGTCTCGCTCCTGATGCGTGAGCTCTCCTCCAGGGCTTTCGCGTGCTCCTCCCTGAGCTCCTGCTCTCTCGACTGTAACCGGGATATCTCGTCTCTGGCACGTGCCTCGTCTTCCCTGAGCTTACTCTCCGATGCTGTTAGCCCCGCCAAGTCATTCTTCAACTGCTGCTCCGCCGTCTTGAGCTGCATGTTCTCCTCCATAATCCGCTCGTTCTCCTCCTTCACTTTCTCTAGCTCCTCGCGCAGGTCACGCAGCTGCGCATTCTGTTCGCGGATAGGCGACTTCAGAGGTATCTCGATGGTGTTTTTGCGCCGGCGTGCACCTGGGCCCTCCGGCTGGTCCAGCGGCAGGTACAAACTCCTGTCGTTGAAGTCAAGCTCGTCGCTGGGGATCTCCATGCTGTTGCGGGTGTTCGTGTAGGTGTAGAGGCTCTCGGGGCTGCTAGGGATGCCATTCATCATTGGCGTGACCGGCACCGGCCCGGATTTCTTGGAAGAGGCGCGGTGCGTCATCTGCAGAATGCCGGCTGTGTGTTGCAGTAGACGCCGCTGAGGCTCCATGAGGCGCTTCTCGAGGGAGAACAACTCCGCCGCCAGCTCCTCACAGCGACGCTCGCTGGCCTGCCTTTCCATCTCCGCCTCCTTGGCCGCCGAGTCGCTCATCCGATTGCTCAGCAAACTCCTCCTCTTGCCGTCCGCCTTGGAGGGCGAGTACAGCTTAGCCATTGAAATCGCGGCGTCACGGTACTTGGACTGTATCGCGAGGTTTGCTCGGGCCTGCTCGATGCGCATGGAAAGGGACTGGATCTGCTTCTTGAGGTCGTCCACCTCCTCTTGCGACAGAATCTCGAACGTCCTGCTGTCGGAAAGGGCGGTTTCGGTCAGGAGATGCACCTGAATGGGATCTTTTAGGTCGACGAGTGCGGAACTCTGTGGCCGGTTCTCATCGGACTGCGCATGGAAGCTGGTTAGACAAAAGACACTCCGAGGCACGCTTCAAGGGAGGGATCATACGGGAATGGACTGTGGCCTCTCCTTCGCGAAGCCGCTGAAAATGTCCTTTCTGTAGCCTTCTACCAACGCCTTTGCCGTCGGTGTTACGGCGGGCGGACCACCTGGAGGAAGCATCCTCCCCGGGGGAGTGAAGCCATTGAAACTCTGTCCGACCGCCCCTCCTGCCGAACCCCCTCTCCTCGTCGCGGCGCCGTTCATCGTGGGCGTTTGGAAAGCAAAAGCTCGGGACCAGGAATGCTGCTTCAGACAGACATCATTCAATTTCAAGGGGGACGAGTGCGATCCAATGAAGCTCTATATTCTGTTCTCTCGCGGGGGCGTTCTTCGAAGGACCTAGTTTGCTAAGTCATGCGTAATGATAGCGACGAATTGGCGTTTGACAGAGGTGAGAACGGGTGCTTCGGTGCCTGTGACTTGAATCGGGTGCATGAAGTGAGCAGAGCAGCGAATGAGTTGGAGCTAGGGGTTCCGGCGCGCTGCTTCAAAGAAAGATGTGAGGTTGCGCGGAAGTGGATCTCGGTCCCTTGAAGCCAGTCAAAACGGGATGTCTCCTCAGCTCTCAGGTTGCACGTGGAAATTACGCTGCAGGCCGCGGGCCGGTTCCGCTGCCGGATCGGTTGTAATTATTAGGTAGCGCAAACCGGAGATGGCGAGGGATGTTGGACACGGAGGTCCGGTTTATAAGTTTGCAACGAATTATGAATGCAGCAATAATGAGATAAGCAATGCCCTGCGTGTTGCGTACCTTCACGCTAATAACCGGCCGAAGCAAAATTACGGTACTGTTGGGAGGCGCTGTGGTCTGTGGATTGTCCGGGCTGAGCCGATCCCGAAGCCCTGGATTCCAGTCCGCCAACCTGTCCTCGTCACCATCCAATGTGTGTTTGCAGACCCGACGGACTGCGTCTCCTTGGCATGTGGGGGAGCCGTGCCACTGTGCCAGCCGTATTTTTAGGTTGTCCCGTCTGCCGTTGCCAGCGCATGATGCTGCCGTTACAATCCAGCCTCGGCGGAGGTCTATTCAACCCCCGGATCTGGCGTCAGAGAGTTATGCAAGCTGCATCCCATCCTCTTGTTTGTTTGCCCCGGCAGGGGCGCAGGCGGCTGGTGAGGTCACAGACCGGTGGCCATCCAGTCCAGGATCAAGCAAATCAAACTGACTTACACATGCATGCGCTTTTCAAGCAGCAGCACTCGGGCTGAAAGCTGGCCAGCAAGATTCACGAGCAGATGCAATTCCAGTGTGAATCTCCGGATACGGTATCCCAGTGATGTTTGATGCAGTCTCGCTTATATGTATGCACAACGGACAAGAATGGAACGTTTGATAGGTAGGAACCGCACAGAACCAACAAGCCCAGTAAGTCTGCGTCCTGGCTCTCAAAACGCCCCCCGTACCTCATCAAGAAGCTGCTGCCCCATGGTCCTGCGCCTGTTGCCTTCGCCTCCGGGCTGCTGCTGGGCCCCCGAAGCAGCGCCGGTAGAAGCGCCTTCGCTCTCGAGTCTCCTCCGCATCCCTTCGAACCGCTCACTGCTCTTCGGACTCCTCATTCCCACAAGCCACGCCGGCACGCGCCAGCGCGTAAGCGCTCCCGGGAGAAGTTCACTGCGCCACGCCTGCCCCACCATCCAGCCCACCGCTGCCCCAAGGACGGAGCCAGGCCACTGGAACAGTGCCAGTTGGAGTGCCATCAGGTACTTGGTCGACTTGTCCGAGAACGTCAGCCCGGAGTCGGCCGCGTTGTCGGTCGGGGCACCCGTGCTGAGCGCAACTTTGTACTTGTAAATGTGCGGGATCATGGCATGGTACTGTGCCAAGATGGCAAAGATAATAGGGGTAGGTCCGGCAGGCAAGAAGTCGAAGACACCCCAGCTTAAAGGCCGGAGAGTTGCCGTCAAAACAAGTGGCGGGATGATGGAAGTGAGAAGTCCCGAGACGAGGATGAACGACTTTTCTCTTGTCAGCAAATCTATTTTCCGAAGATAAAAGGGAAAAGAATGCCTAGGAGACACTTAGACGTACAGCGTATTTCCTCGAGCCCCATTGCTGCTCAACCACCCTCAGGTTATACAGGGTCATGGCGGCAAACAGCACCTCGGACGAGTTGGTGTAGCACAACTGCCAAATCAACACACGCCATGTTTGGCGGTACTGTAGGATGTGGGTGCCGATCGAGATGTAGAAGTAGTGCTTGATGTCGAAGAGGCTGGCCGCAATGGAAGACCCTACCAGGCCTAGCACTAGGGTGCGAGTCACAGGCGTGCTGGCAAACGACATTGCTGCGCGGCGTGCTCCTCAGAGTCGCTACCTCAACATTATCTGCATCTGTGGGCACCGGAATGACGTGAGAATGAATGAAAGAGAATGAATGACAAGGCCAACGACTTCTAGGTCGAACGTTGCCCGCTCTTTCTACCCCAGAGCCTTATCAAAGGACGGTACGCCGGCTGGCGATCTAGTGGAGGAATGGAATGGTAATAGTGAACAAAAATTGTGAACCCCTCTCTTGAAGATAGTACTCGTCCTCGTCAAGCTCGTTGACAATGGTGTTGCCCAGAACAACGGCAGCCCGCAGCCGAACATGCCACATGCGCCGTTCCTGAGCCAAGACCAGACCCACCAAAAATACCACGGAAATGACATCGGTCGATTCCACAATGCTGCGGTAGACCCACTCTTCTCGAGGCGCATGAAGCTTCCACGTTATCAGACGCGCAAGTTGCAGGTTTATTAGTTCACAAGCCACAATTTCTCCCTCTTAAAGTTGTCCGGAACTTAATGGCCCTTTTCGAGCCATACTCTAAGGTAGCGGCTTGACTGCGACGACTCGATGCTGTCGAGAATCATTTAATCCTTATTCCGGATAAGCACGTCGAGCGAAGGTTCGGCCATCATCCGAACAACACAATGTCCGATCTTTACCTCTCGCGCTTACGAAGCTGGCTTCTCAGCTCACCGCCTGCCGAATGGGCCCTCAATCGCCTAAGGTCGACGCTTATCGGGGCTCTCTCGCAGGGACCGATTCCAGGCCATGTAGCTTTCGAAATGGATGGCAACCGGCGGTACGCCCGCAGCCACAAGATTGAGACGATTGAGGGCCATCATTTGGGGTTCGAGGCCCTTGCCAGGGTGCGTACGCTGGTGCCGGTCTTTGGCGTATACACCGGACTGACAGATCGCGAAGGTGCTAGAGGTCTGCTACAAGTGCGGCGTCAAGGTCGTCACGGTCTACGCTTTCAGTCTCGAGAACTTTCACCGGCCCCAGTATGAGGTCGACGGGCTTATGCAGCTTGCCAAACTCAAACTCGAGCAGATCATCCAGCATGGAGAGCTGCTGGATCGATACGGTGCGAGTGTGAAGGTGTTAGGTCGTCTTGATCTCATTCCTCCAGATGTCCTCGAAGTTGTGGAACGAGCGGTTGCCACGACGCAGCACAATACAGAGTATGTGGCTAGGTTGTAGGTGGTGACATTTACCCATGCTAACACCCCCCTTCAGCTGCGTTCTCAACATTTGCTTCCCCTACACTTCGAGAGAAGAGATGACCACAGCCATCCGAACTACCGTGGAGGAGTACTCGACCACGCCACGGCCTCACAGCACTCCCTTTGCTCAGAACAGGATAACACAGAAAATCATGTCTAAGCAATCAGCAAAAGCCGACATGCTCGACTCGATCACCGAATCGCCGTCGCCTACTCCGTCGCCAACTCCGAGCCAGCCAGAGGATCAAGACGACGCCGTGTCCACCGCGACAACCCTCCATTCCGATTCAGCACCCGCTAAGAATGACGCTGCGGAGACGGTGGCCATTTACCCTAATGCGGAGACCATCACGTCCGAGACTATCGACAAGCACATGTACACGGCGGGCGCGCCACCCCTCGACATCTTTGTAAGAACGAGCGGCGTGGAGAGGTTGAGCGATTTCATGCTGTGGCAGTGCCACCAGGACACACATATCTTCTTCCTCAAATGTTTCTGGCCCGAGTTTGATCTCTGGCATTTCCTCCCGGTGCTGGTCGAATGGCAGTGGCGGCAAAAGCAAAAAGCGAGGGAGGAGAGGCCTCGCCGGCGGGTGAAGCAGTCGTAATGACGGGATTTTGCAGAAGCATTGGAGTAGTAGGGTGGCGGAAGGATAGACCGTTAGCTGTCAAACAAGGCGAGGCGTTGGGGCGCGAAAGAGAGCGGTATTCAATGTGATCCTTATACACTGGTTCTGTCTTGGATACTGCCTAGATTGTGTCCTGTTCGCAATCAACCTTTTCACTTTGTCGGGACTTCAGAAGTTCAGATGAGAGCTGCCGGGGCCATGCACCACGGGCAGGGGCATTTCAATGATTTCATGTGCTCTTACCTTATCTTATCTACTCTAACTGGCGGTGACGTATCAGAGCACTTCATTGGAGACACCCCACACCTTGCACAATCCGGGCCGGGCCCTGGTTGTTAGCGGGTGATGTTGAAGCGCGCCGAAAGCCGCTTCGAGGGTCGCCCATTTTCCTGCGCCCGAGCAAAATAGGTACCGTGTCGCAGCTCATGTCTTCCAGTCTGCAGGCTCATGTTTTTCGGATCGGACATGCTCTTACAACTGCGTTTGCCTTCAATAATCTGTGTCTTGGCTTTTATTGCAGCCCTTCGGCATTCGACGAGGAGTCGCGACAAGCTCAGAGGTAACTTTCCTCTGGCCCTTCTCTTTCCTCTCCACCCTCTCGCAACCGCCCTCCACATCATTTCCCGGCCCACGACTACTGTCCTCTTCCCCAGACACGTTCCCTCGACAGAGCCGGTACGATGAAGACGGCGAAGCCGCCTGCGCCTGAGGGCGCCACCGGTTCCAGTCGCAGAGCTCAGCCGGTGCGCCAGACGCGAGTCAACCCGCCGCGCACGTCGTCGCTGAATCGCCTGAACCCCTTGGCGAGCGCCCCCGCGCCAGAGCAACCCATCAGCATCCTACCCGGCGTTACGCACTTCGCAGATGCCATTACAGCACTCCCGAAAGAGCTTGTCCGGCACTTCACGCTTCTCAAAGAAGTCGACGCCAAGATTTTCGCACCCGAAGCCGCCCTCTTCGAACTCCTCAACGAAGTCCTCAACACCGCGGCCCCGGACCTCAACAGGCCACTCAATGATGCATCGAGCACCACTGCGTCGGTCTCTGCGGCCGCGAACGCTCAGAACAGCACCACCGGGGTCGCCAACCCGCCGGCTGCGCCCTCTGAGGGTTCTGTCAGCTCAGTGTTCCATCCCGCCAATATCCCTCGGCGTACCCTCTTCCGCGACACTGCACTGAAGATACAATCGATGCTTGTGTCCATGGAGGAGAAGAACCATCTCATTGCGACTGCCAATGACGCCCTACAGAAGCAGTTGTCGCGGATCGAGGACATTTGGCCCCACCTCGAAGGCGAATTCAGCGACGAGGCCAAATGGGGCAGCACCACACACTGGGCATACGTGGAAAATAGGCAAGCAAAGGCCAATGACAAGCAGGTAGAGCGCTCGCGTCGAGAAGGCGCGGCCAGTCTTTCTGCTGCTGCCCAGCAGCTGGCTGAAGAGGCGGCCGCCCGCAGTAATGACCGGAAGCAGGCCCTGGCAGCCAAGAAGAACTCGAAGAACCAAACGGCCGATACCGACGGCGACAAGGCGCAAGACTCGGGAAAGAGAACACAAGGAGGCAAGGCAAGGAAACCTCTCCCGGACTCGGGGCCAGTAGGCCTTGGCATCAATATTCCTACACCTTCGGCGAGTGCTCCGCCGAACAAGAGACGCAAAGTCGAGGCAACAAAGCCAAACGGAGGGACGCCTACAGAGCGGGCGATGAGCACGGTCTTTAACAACAATGCTTCGAAGGGAAAGACCACAAGTCCAAGGGAGACTCCAGCTCCCGAGAGCGGCAACAAGAAGCGCAAGGCGCTCCCTACGTCAAGCAATCAGGCAAAGCGGAGGCAAGTTACCGCCCTTCTCTTCAACTGGATTTCTGATCGCGCCGCTGACCAGATCTCACAGTAGGGCCAATGCAACGATGTCTCCGTCGCTCACGTCCTCTCCTGTCATCGGATCGCTCCCCGACCCTGTCATTAGAGCTGGCAGGGGCTCACCTGCCCCGTCAGCTGCTGGCCCCCGACCTGCTTCGTCTCGCGCTCGGCGGAACTCTACACAGTCAAGCGTCGAGAACACGCGACAGCGCCCGCCATCGACTATGACGAACAAGTCGAATGGCAACTCTCAAGAAATCCCTGACCCAGGCCAGCCGATTAACGGCGCAAGGGCTTACACCGACATGAAAGTTCAGAAGGAGGCGGCGGGTCTTTCTGTTCTGAGCAAGCCGCCTCCTTTAAGACCGGAGATTGAAAATCCTCCTCTGGCACTGGAGCCGGCACAGAATGGCAACAAAAAGGAGGTCGGCACAAAACCGACCGACGAGCGGGAGCAGCAGAGGAAGGATACGGCGCCGCTTATCATCCAGCCCATGTCAACTGCTATGGCAAGGACTAAGAGCGGCCGCGCAAGCAAGCCGTCTACTCCAGCCACGGCAACATTTGCCGAAGCGGCTTCCAGCACCACAGTGACAACATCTTCCCGGTCGAGGCCATCACGTAATAACACCACAGAAAGCAGCGGAAGTGGCGTCGCGAACACAGCAACGACCACTTCCATCACCGCCTCCATATCCTCCAGTACAACAACGGCGACGAGCTCTACCACAAAACGCAGCCACAAAAAAGGGGCCTCTATCTCGGCAACGGCCGTCGCACTATCCCAAGCAACGCAACCAGTCGCCACCGCGGCAGACAAGGACAAAGAAAAGGACAAGGCACCGGCGACTAGTAGTAGGAAGGAAAAGGCCAACAGTGGGGCCCGCGCCGATGATGAGGACGACGAGGAGCAAGACGGCGACGACGAGCCGGTTGCTGACGACGAGCTCTACTGCTTCTGCAACCAGGGCAGCTACGGGGAGATGGTGGCGTGCGATGGCGAGGGGTGTCCAAGGGAGTGGTTCCACTTGGAGTGTGTTGGGTTGAAGGTAGCGCCGAAGAGAGATGGTAAGTACTTGTTCTTTGTTTCTGCTTTCACATTTATTGCCTGCCTTTCCCCATGTGGGTGAGCCCGAATTGGAGAATGCTAACGCATGTTGACTCCCCAGCGAAATGGTACTGTGAGGACTGCAAGAAGAGGTTGAAGATCGCCGAGCGGAGATGAGCTAAGCTTCCTTCTGGCTGCTCTCTTTCTATTCTATCCCTCTTTTCCTACACCCGGAGTCGTCAGCTCTTCGTTCCCTGGTAGACGTGGCCCCTCACGGCGGCCGTCTATATACGCATATACCACCGCAAAAGTGGGCGGGATCCTCTAGTTGGTCCTCCCTACCCTCTCATTCAACCAAACAGAGTTTATTTTTATCGCAGCAAAAAGGGCATTGGGATTTGGCATTCCAACACCTGAGTTGCTCGGCTTTCTTTTGCTTCCCAAAGTAGGAAATCAGACGGCTTTGCGCTGAGATATAATGTGTTGCAACGCATGGATGGCAGGACACGCTGGCGGCTTTCAGTTGTGTAACAGCGAGAGATATTATGTCTCTGCAGTGTACAGTAGGATACAATGCATACTCGGGACACATCTTGTTTTTTTGCTTGGCTGTTCCGCGTTCCTTTACTTATAGTTTGCAGCTATCAAAGGATTGCCTGCATACCTTGCATGATCACAGCTGGGGGTTCCTGCAGTATCATCGCCCTGGGTTGATTCGAAAGTCACTGTTGTTGGTACTGTCGTACAATACGTAACGTTATTTGCTCGGTACCGTAGTTAGTGCGTCTTGCACAACATCGGGCAGCTGTTATTTTCCGGTGCGTCGACGCAGCGGAGACTGGACCGTCCCTTTCAACTCTTCTTCTCCCTCGACTTTACAGTTTGAAATGTCATCTCTATGGTACGGATGGAGTTCTCCCATATCCCATCCAGACCTCCTTTTCCTAGTTGGGGACGGCCACATCTTTTGATGCCGAGATATGATCAACATGAGGCGAAACTGTCTTTCCGCTTAGCTGGCATGCGGAGGACGGTCATGTGAGCTCTTTGACTACCACGTTGCAAGAGTGGTATCCACTACGTATAAGTGAATGTGTCTTTTGTCGAGTTCCATGGCGTGTCTGGCAATTTCACGGTCCGGGTCCGTTGGTGAGGGAGATTGAGGTCGGGCGGTACGTACATGTACTTCAAGCTGATCATTGCCACAAGGACATCAAACAAGGGAGCTTCGAGCTCTTCGAACCACGATCTGCAGTTCTCAAATGAACCCATGGGGTCGTCCGATCTGTCGGCCGAGCCCTTCGGAGTCTGGAATAAGGAGTCTGGGATCATCCCAGAGCGGGAGGGAGAACCGCCAAAAGAGGAGGGGACTCATCCAGGGGCAGGGTTGCAAACGCGGCGCGGCTGCAAGCGGCTCCCCCGGACTCTCCTAATCCTTGCTGCATTAGCACTAGGGCGCCAAGTGGAATCTCCCAGCTGATCTTGAGACCACGTGAACTTTGGATTTGTTGTCGTTGAGACGGCCATTCCAGCAGATGTCTTCGTTGGAGTCGGTTGGACCCATATCCATGGCCCGGCAGCATCATTTCTTTGATGGGCTCGGAAGCTTTAATAGGCGGCCAGAACTGAGGAGGCAGGCGCGAAACGGAGAGCTCATCCTCAGCGGCAACCTTTGAAGCGCAGGTGATGAGTTTTAGGCTTCGGGTTGACGGCCGAACGATTCTTACCACATTTACCACGGCGTATTGAACTTCATTTTCATTACGATCAGTGTCTCTCTCGTCGTGCTCGTGTCCAGAGGAGGCGACATCGAATGACCGTCTGGTCGAACGGGGCAGAAACGGTTGGCGGTTTGTTGATTAGGTAAGATAAATGTCTCTGAGCCAATGGGAGTTCAACTTCCAACAAACAACGTCACATCAGCCCAGCAGGCAAGATCAGGCGACGACAAAGCTTTGATGCATTGGATGACTTGATGGTTCATTGGGAGGATGTCAAAACCGCCGAGGAGCGTGCAGCTCATGGTGGCACAATGGTGCAAGCTGGTATCGGGAGGAAACTGAGGGAACTGAAGGAACTTTTGGTGTTAAATCCGTGTTCCAATGGAGTTCACTGGCATTCCCAGATGCAGCATGATGTTGTGCCAGTTATGTCATGGAAACTCAGATATTCAAACTTTTGCCAAGTGGCAAGGCCCTGCTTTTAAATCCGCTCGGTCGGGCCAGTCGCCGAGAGTTTGATACCGAATTCGTTAGGTCTTCGCCGCTTCGCGCCTTCCAGGTTCCATTGCTGCTTTGTTCCGCAATTCGGCCCCCGACCGCTTCGCTGGCAGACCGAGTTTGTAGCCAAGACACCGGCTGAGTCCAAGTGACAAAATCTGTGCTCAGTTCGGCCAGCGATTCCTTGTCGTTGAACTTGCAAAACACTGGGGTCTTTGTGAGCTTGATTTTCCTTCGGCCTGCATCGGCGCCCGCCTGGCATATTCACACATATTACTTCCCACACACCTTTCACTTGCGACATCTACTTCGTATATTGTCTTGCATCTGCCGTAGGCATTGTTTCTGTTGTGCGACAACACCATACGGATTCGATATCCTTTCTTCTCCGCGGGCCTCGAGTAACTCTCATCCGGCAACGTCGCAGACACCCATACGGCCAGGCTGGTGACATTTTTATCCCGTCTCATCCAGCAGAAGGGACGATTTACTTCCGCAGCCAACCACAACGCCGGGAATTCGACAGCAACACTACCCGCTCAACGATTCCACGGAGCTCGTTCAGCACTGGGAATTTGCACCAGCGACCAACCGCTAGCATACCTATCCGAGACACGATATTCACAATTTGCGGATTCCAGTCAAGAGGGTTTTGCACCTTCCCCGCACCACTGTGTCGCGAACCTTCTTGTTGTTACCTAACAAGCTGGTTCCTTGACTAATAGAAACGGGTCCGGCAGCCTTCCGCCGGCCTTCCACCACCCTGCGAGACCAGACCATAGTCTACTGAGCTCCGCATCGAATCACGGACCCCGACCCGTCCGGGTGCTGCCTCCTTCTCCAACCGGCCTGTCGCCATCTCAGTGCAGCATCGCGCACCTGACCGGCTGGCAATTTCCCCCCGGACCACGTACCGCCAAGCCCCTGTCGGCCTCCACCACCCCTGGCTCTTGCTCGTTCCATGGCGGTCTCCAAGCCAAGACCAACCGCAGACCGTCTGCAATCCCTTCGGTCCCCGGACTACAAAGCCATGGCGGCCGACGAACAAGCCCGGCCTCGCACCCCGGACCGGGCATCTCGCTCTTCCTTCTCATCCATCCGCGAAGACGAAGACACGCTTCCCCAGACCTTCTCCCGCTCCAAAGTCTCGTCCTACTTCAGCCTTGAGAGTGAAGACGCCATCGACGACTCATCGTCCAGACCGACCACCCCACGTACCCGCTCGGGCCGGGACATCAACATGATCCAGACCCAGTTTCAACCTCCTGTCACTCATCCCAACAGCAAGCTCCTCGGCTACTGGACCCCAGCAGACAGCTTCAAGGGCTGGAAGGGCATCCAGGTCAAGGGCAAGCTCGCCAGCAAAAGCTTTGGCGACCTTCAGGTCTTGCATCAGGTCTTCAGCGGCCCTCCGCCCAGGCCGGCCCAGCGTGGCCGGTGCAGACCCGGCGAGGCTCCGATCGAGAGGCTGCCGGCAGAGATCCTCAGTAAGTCTATCCTGCACCCGCCTCGTTTCTTGGCTGCTAATACCGGACGCAGGCTCCATCATCAGCCTCCTTGTTATTGATGTGCCCACCAATGGCCTCACGAGACGCAATGTGGACTTGATGTCGCTGCTGCGGACGTCGAGGACGCTGCACGTCGCGACCCTCAGTACCCTGTACAGCAAGATCACCATCCCCCACTCCCGGATCTTTCAGAAATTCCTGACCCACATCGCCGCGCACCCAAACCTGGGCACCATCGTGCGGCGACTCGATTTCTGCCACTTTAACCCATCGCAACTGTTCTCGACGGCCGCCGAGCGCTCGCAAGCACGTAACCTGACATCGGAGACGCTGCTCCAGTGCCTGGAGCTCACGCCGCACCTCCAAGAGTTCCTTGCCCAGGAGTATATTGACGATGATCTGGACGCGGGCGTCCTACAGAAGTTGTTCCTTGGGCTGCCCCAGCTCAAGGCGGTGGACTTTTGTGGTTGCACTTCGAACCGCTTCAAGGAGGCCCTCGTCGCGATCATCTCGCCCAACTGGCCGAAGGAGCTGTCGATCCGCCGTCTCTCGATGCACAAGTGTCTGACACTGCCGTCGTCGGTGTTCGAAGCCATCCTGCCACGGCTGACCCGACTCACCCATCTCGACGTCGCCGGCACGCGCATAACGGACGCGGCGCTGGCCTCGATTCCACGGACCGCCAGGCTCACCCACTTGAACCTCGCCAAGTGCACGCTACTCTCGTCCCGGGCCATCATCGACTTCCTGGCGAACCATCCGGCGGCCAAGGAGCTGCAGTTCCTGAGCCTGGCCACAGACGCCCGGAGCCACCAGGCCTTTGACGCCGAGAACATCACCGAGCTCCTCCCGATCCTGCCGAGGACCCTAAAGTCGCTCAGCATCAAGGGCGCCAAGATGGAGTCCTCGCACATCGACCTGCTGCGCCCGCTCACAAAGCACCTAGAGGAGCTCGCGCTCGGCCGGTCCCTGACGCTGCAGGATGTCAACCGGCTGTTCATTCCCGACGGCAGCGACGACGATGACAAGGCCGTAGCCATGCAGGTCGACTGGGTGCCGCACACGCTCCGGTACCTCGACCTGTCTGACTTCTGGGGCGCCGCCGAGCTCGACCTGGTATATCTCTTTAGCAGCGCCTGCGCGGTCCTGAAGCCCTACTCGGAGCCGCTCGAAGTGGTCGAGCTGGCCGAGGAGGCCTTTCGGCGGGTCGGAAAGTCGGCGACCACGCTGCAGCGCATAGGCTGGCGCCAGTCCGAGTGCGGCAACCGCGGCTGGCTCGTGCGCAATCCCACCGGCCCTAGGGCGGACGATGGGCGCCGCGGGTGGAAAATGGGCGCCGAGTCCTGGGGCATGCGGAAGATTCCCGTCGCGAAGGCCGAGGTGGGCGGCATGTATGGGTCGTTCATGTTCGGACGGAAGCTTTGATCATATATTTGGGTTCGTTGGTTGGTCATTGTTAGGGGTTTTCTCTATCATCTCTTCTCTTTCGATACCATTGCAAAGCGAAGCGGGTGGGAGTCGATTTCTGGCTGGGGGGGTTTGGAGCGGAGTTTCGAGCGGTCGTTTCCCTGCTTCTTTCGTCATTGTCTCTGGCATCATTTGCATTTGCACGGAGTTCTTTTTCCTGGGAGTTAGTTTGACAACCGGCATGGTCATGGACAAAAAACTTTGAAAAACAGCGGCGCATATGTTGGGCATGGCGAGCGAGAACAGGATAAAGCGGGCCTGATTTGAGAAAGGGGGCTTGAATTATTGTACTCTGGTTCAGGAAGGATATGCATGTCTTGTACATAGTATTGTCTCAGAAAGTAATAGCGGGCTTCGAGAATAGCTTGAGGAGATAGGTTGCTATACCCAGCGGTTGAATCAGCTCAACGATTCATACATATCACGGCAAAGGGTGTGGAGGGGAAGGGCAGCTTGAACTTTATATATCGCTCGTCCCAGACAAGGCCAGAGATAAGAGGTGAAGCTTTTAGCCATGCAGATTACGGAATCAGCCCAATCACGATCAACCCCCACGTGCGGTGCGGTGCAAGTGCCGGGTCGCCTGTGATGCTTCCTTGTGACTTGTGGCTGCTCTGGGGTCCCGATGCGGCATTAAACGTGGGATGGCGATCATGAGCAACTTACACAGTAGTTACATTTTTAGCTTCCTGAAGATTACCTCGGCTGACGATCTCATGCTCTTGTTCTGTCCTCACCGGCTTGATGTGAGAAGGAGACCCCAGTGGCCTTTTTGACCTCAGGTTGATAGTCTACTGCGAAAAAAAGAACTGATAAAGGTATGTCAGACATCAGTACGGGGTCATGGCGGTTGGGCGGACATCGACTCGGGACTCCAGACATTGACAGCGAAGAGGACGGCATTGGATGTTCCCGTACTAGTAGCCACCATTATGTGTCGTACCATGGACGGTCCTGCTGGGTGTCTACGGAATCTGCATACTGCGTGAAGCCACTTCTGGGGTGGTAATGAGTGGGTGCGGATTGTGCGTACAGGTAATGTTTAGAATAAGTCCTCGATGCACACGCCTCAGGCTTTCAAACTGCGCATATTGCCCAAAGCACTGCGTAATCCTCCGGATGAACTGGATGGCTGTTTCGACTCTGATAGCCGGCAGCTCTGGAACTCATCGGTTTCAATGCTTCACGTCATACGTACTCCAATATCTGTACTCAGTATCCATACTGTACATACATACATATATGGTACCGTGTGCCTTTGCACATATCGTTTTTGGCACTGTGCTACGATCCATTAACCAATCATTGCTTTCTAATAAGCGGGTCTTTAGCCTGCCGAAGCTCTGCCGACACGCGGCTGAGACAAGGCAAGGCAAGCTGTTGGTCTGACGTCCGATCCAACACTCCCTCCGAACCCGTCTCCCAAGACTAACATCATCAACTACCATCGCCGTGGCCATCGCAGTCTCCTCCCTGCGCAACCGTCGCGATGGCTCCCGCACGGAACACGCCGTTCCGCTCGGCGGACATGAGCATGGTTCAACTCTACATCTCGAATGAAATTGGCCGCGAAGTCGTCAACGCTCTAGGCGAACTTGGCCTTGTCCAGTTCCGCGATGTGCGCATCATCCTTCCTCTTTCTCTTAGATACTGACTGTTTGCTGACGTCGATGTAACCCTACAGCTCAATGGCGATTTGAGTGCCTTCCAGCGGGCCTTTACCCAGGATATCCGCCGCCTCGACAATGTCGAACGCCAGCTTCGTATGTCGCTGCACAGCAACCGCCACTCCGCCACTCGCTGACAGTATTACGCAGGTTATTTCCACGCCCAGATGGAGAAGGCCGGTATCCCTCTTCGCAAACTCGACCTGGATGTCGACACACTGGCCGCGCCGACGACCACCGAGATCGACGAGCTAGCCGAGCGCAGCCAGAGCCTAGAGCAGCGCATCTCCTCACTGAACGAGAGCTACGAAACGCTGAAGAAGCGCGAGGTGGAGCTGACGGAGTGGCGTTGGGTTCTTAGGGAGGCCGGGGGGTTCTTCGACCGCGCGCACGGCAACGTGGAGGAGATCCGGGCCTCAACCGACAACGACGATGCACCTCTGCTGCGTGACGTAGAACAGCACATCGCGGCGCCCGAGGTCGAGCGGTCCTTTTCCGGCATGAACATCGGCTTCATCGCCGGCGTCATTGCCCGGGACCGCGTCGCTGCCTTTGAGCGCATCCTGTGGCGGACCCTGCGTGGCAACCTCTACATGAATCAGGCCGAAATTCCCGAACCGCTGATCGACCCCGCCAACAACGAGCCTGTGCAGAAGAATGTCTTTGTTATCTTCGCCCACGGAAAGGAGATCTTGGCCAAGATCCGGAAGATCTCCGAGTCCATGGGCGCCGATGTGTACAACGTCGATGAGAACAGCGATCTGCGGAGGGACCAGGTGCACGAGGTGAACGCTCGACTCCACGACGTCCAGAGCGTGCTCCGCAACACCCAGCAGACGCTCGAAGTGGAACTCACCCAGATCTCGCGCTCTCTGTCGGCCTGGTTGGTCCTCGTCAGCAAGGAAAAGGCCGTGTACAACACACTGAACCTCTTCTCCTACGACCGCGCTCGCCGGACCCTCATTGCCGAGGGCTGGTGTCCTACGCACGACTTGCCACTCATCCGGTCGACCCTGCAGGACGTGACCAACCGAGCTGGCTTGTCGGTACCGTCCATCATCAACGAAATCCGAACCAACAAAAAGCCGCCGACATACCTCAAGACTAACAAGTTCACCGAGGCTTTCCAGACCATCGTCAATGCCTACGGCACCGCAACGTACCAGGAGGTCAACCCTGCCATCCCCGTCATCGTCACCTTCCCCTTTCTCTTCGCCGTCATGTTTGGCGATCTCGGCCATGCCCTGATCATGCTGTGTGCCGCGCTGGCCATGATTTACTGGGAGAAGCCGCTCAAGAAGGTTACCTTTGAGCTGTTTGCCATGGTCTACTACGGTCGGTACATCGCTCTAGTCATGGCAGTCTTCTCCGTCTACACCGGGCTCATCTACAACGACATCTTCTCCAAGTCCATGACGCTGTTCAAGAGCTCGTGGGAGTGGGACGTGCCGCCCGACTACCAAACCGGTCAGACGGTGACCGCGAGGATCCGGGACCCCAACTACCGGTACCCGTTCGGCCTGGACTGGAGGTGGCACGGCACCGAAAACGACCTCCTTTTCTCCAACAGCTACAAGATGAAGATGAGCATCATCCTCGGCTGGGCGCACATGACGTACTCGCTCTGCTTCTCGTACATTAACGCCCGCCACTTCAAGCGGCCCATCGACATCTGGGGCAACTTTGTCCCCGGCATGATCTTCTTCCAGTCCATCTTCGGCTATCTCGTCGTCTGCATCATCTACAAGTGGTCCGTCGACTGGTTCGGCACCGGCCGCCAGCCCCCTGGCCTGCTCAACATGCTCATTTACATGTTCCTCCAGCCGGGCTACATCGACATCCCGCTCTACCCGGGCCAGAAGTATGTCCAGGTGGGGCTGCTCCTGCTCGCGCTCGTTCAAGTGCCCATTCTCTTGTTCCTCAAGCCGTTCTATCTGCGCTGGGAGCACAACCGCGCCCGCGCTAAAGGCTATCGCGGGATCGGCGAGCGTTCGAGGGTCAGTGCGCTGGACGAGGACGATGATGATGCGAACGGAAATGCGAACGGGAGGCCGAGTGTCGACAGCGCCGGCGAGGGCGTCGCTATGATCGCGCATGATGCGGATGATGACGAGGCTGGTCACGGGCATGGGGAGGAGTTTGAGTTTGGCGAGGTCATGATCCATCAGGTTATCCACACCATTGGTACGTTTTCCCATACACACGCCCTCCTCCTTCTACCTTCAGAAAGTTTACTGACTCTTGATTTTCCTAGAATTCTGCCTCAACTGCGTTTCGCACACGGCCTCGTACCTCCGTCTCTGGGCCCTCTCGCTCGCCCACCAGCAGCTGTCGGCCGTGCTGTGGTCTATGACCATGGACATCGCGCTCAAGGGGACGGGGGTCGGCGGTGCCATTTTCCTGGTGGTCGTGTTCGCCGCCTTCTTCTGCCTCAGCTGCATCATCCTGATCATCATGGAGGGTGTGTCGGCCATGCTGCACTCGCTGCGTCTGGCCTGGGTCGAGTCCTTCTCCAAGTTTGCCGAGTTCGGCGGGTGGCCGTTCGCGCCCTTCTCGTTTAAGCAGCTACTAGAGGAGACGGATGAGTTGAAGGAGTTCCTAGGGTAACAGATTGTTTCTATAGGGTCCGAGTCGGGGTGTGTGCGATTTGTAGAAGTATAATAGTTGTTAGCATGCATTGCAATAGAGTAGCAATCTGTTTTCTCATACAGTGTACAGTGAGGTGATCTTGCCGATGCTTGGGGATGATGTTGTGTGATGGCCTGCCTCGTGCTGTGATCTTACAACTAAGCAGGCAGGGGATGTTATTGCGGTTTTTGTTTTCTTTGCGATTTCTTTCGTTTTCTATAGCGTCTGGTCTAGTCAGATGGTTGCCCCCTAGGCTAGACAGATCCTCAAATACCTTAGATATCTACTCACACCTGCAAATGGCTAGTTGCCGGCTTGCCTTGTTAGGCCATGTTCCAAGATAACCTTTCCTCTCAGTGATCCATGGTAAAGGGTATGAGCGAGTTCACGCAGCTGAGCACTGTGGCTGATGGATTCAAGCATGCGTGCCATATCTTAGCTCTGTATACACTATGTTAGGTAGATATATGAGGTATGCATCCTGCGCCGCTTAGACTTAGCACCCGGCATCTGAAGTCGGGTTTGCGACGTTACTACGGCCAAGCGACAACGTAGGTTGAGCATGATGTGGCACAGGAGAACAAGTTCCTATGTGACAAAACTTCCACCTCCATTCTCCGTGACGTGAGAAGTGCCAAGCGGAATCTTAATCTTGTGTAACCACCCCTTGGGTGCCTCTTGAGTCTTGACTACCATGTCTTGGACTGCATGACAGGCAGTTGAATAAGGGACGGACACATTTAACATACCAGTGTGGGGCGACGCTCGATGATGACAGCGAGTGACCGGTTATGAGCAATTTCTATGCGTATCTTGAGTGAGCAGCACATCCGCGGCACGTACAGTGCAGTCTTTATGTATTGTACATGAGCGTCTGCCGTCAAGATTGATACACACACCCCGTTACCTCACCACCGTATGTTGACCGCATGTCGTGTAACCCACCACTTCGGGTGAGATCGCAAGCTTACTAGAGTATGTAAGTGAGTCCTCTCAACCTTGTAGGCGAGGCTAACAACACGACTTTATTCGCATCCTCCCCACGGATGTCATCTATTTTGCGCCGTTGCTTATGCTGATTTCCTGTCCTTGCGCATCTCAGTCTGCAACCCGACACTGTAGCCTACGGCTCCTTTGGTGGCCGGTCCGTGAGAGAAACGGAACAGAGAACACACCACACCACACGGATGCATAAAGCCCACAAGGGCGGAAAATAGGTAAGTAGACGAGACCTCAAAATTCCGTGCAGATATTGGATGTTCTTCTGGAAGCATCAGATCCAGGCACCACCGAAAATAGCCCCCAGGGCATCAATCCCGTGCTACCAGAAAAGGAATCTTTGACATCAACCTTACCTGACCTAGGTAACTAACACCAGCGCCACACACCAACAGCACCTACTACCTTACTTACCTACCACGCCGCAGCCTCGTTTCACCATCACCGATTCCAAATGCAACCTGATCGAACCGGATTAACACCGGCTCGACAGGCAACCTGTTTCTGGGTACCTACGTGATATAGGCAAAGCTAAGACCGAAAGATCGCTGGATCTGCCTGCATGTACGAGGCTCGCCTCGTTTTTTATGCAACCCGACCCTCTCCTGAGGCACGGGCAGGCGAGAGAGAGGTAGCATCGTGGGAAAACGCTACCATCCATCATCGCCTTAAGCGGGAAAGCAAGGATGGCGGCTTTAGTTGCCTGCCTGCCGCTGAAACAGGCTACCCATTGCCAGGTGCTGCCACATGTACATGTAGGTAGTTCGGTGTTATGGGACCTAACTTGAAGTGGTTGTAGTCGCGATGTGATGAAGGTCCCATAGAGGCAAGCAAAAGACTGACACAGCAACGAGTTGATGTGGGCACTGATGAGCTTAGTCTAGCGGTATTATAAACCGCGTGGGTGGTATGTTTCCTGTTTCTCTCTAGTAAGGTATCACGCCCTGGTTCTGATAGCAGACTCAACCCAACTCAAGACTCAGAATCACAGCTAGCAAGAAAACAGTCTCTGAGACCAGAAGCCACCAGACCCAAACCCAATTGTCTAATCCGCGTTGCTTCTTTCCTTTCTGCCATATCCCTTTCTACCCCCGCCCTGACACGCTGCACAAGGGCAGCGCAGGGCAAACCAATCTCCCAAACTCAAACTCAAAACTCAAATAATCATTGTTGCCTCTCCGCCCAGTCTCTCCAGTGTAACTGCCTGCCCCCCAAAGCGAGAAGACAGTAAAAACGAAAAACGCCATGCAGTGTATGTATGTAGTGCTCGCAACTCAAATAAACTCCGTGTTCTATCTCTCGGTCCTCCCCGGCTGGCATAAAGATGGGAGAAAAAAGCAAGACAAAATGAATGAGCCATCGGGGATAAAAACGACCTCGAGAGAGAGAGATGCATATTAAACAGTCGTAGATGGGGTATGCTATGGGGTATTTCTGACGATAGACTGAATAAGAAGAGAGAGAGAGAGAGACAACTTCTAGAGTGGGACGACAGGTATGATGCAAGGTAGAGAGGAAGATGTGGACCCCCCTTGAGCAGCGTGGCAACCCCGATTTGCCCAGATGCGCAGAGGGTTGCTGATTAAAAGGGTAGTATTGCGGGAAGTTGCATGTCCGTGAGAGAAGTAGAGTTGGTAAACGAGGTCTGGAGCCGGCTTATAGAGCAGCGCTCTGAGCAGCGGCAGCAGCAACAGCAGCAGCAGCGTTAAGCTCGCTCTCAATGTCACCCTCGTAAGCCAGGGGCGCCCACACCCTCCAGTGCAGGATGCCGAGGTGCGCCAGCCGGGTGGCAATGTCGTCGACGCCGGCCTCCTCACGGGGATCGCGTGGCTGGTCGCCAAACAGGCCGATGACGCGGGCCCGGCTCTGATCGCGAGACCGGCCGTGCCCCAAGACCCGGGCCCCGCCAGTCGCGACCGAGAAGAGAGCGACGCCTGACAGGTTCTTGAACTCGCTCACCCTTCTCGCCAGCTCGGCGATCAGCCGCTGCTGGAAGTGGGACTCAACCTCGCGGAAGATACTCGAGTTCAAGTCGTCCAGGCACGCGGCGAGCTGGTTCTCGAATCCGGGAAGCGAGGTGGGCGCGTTGGCGTAGCGCAGGATCTGCAGGGCCACCGCGCCTGCGAGCTCCTTCCACCGCTCGGCTGGGCTGCTGGCCGGTGCCGCCGTGTGGAGAAGCGCGAGGAGCGAGTTGTAGAGCTCTGACGCCCTGGAACGCGAGTCTGCGGAATCGGGGGCGGGCTGTGCGAAGAAACCGCCCGACGTCCGCGGCGACGAGAAGTTCGAGCCGTGGTCGCTGAAGGCGAGGCTGGACGGACGTGACGCGCCCGCGGCCATGAAGTTGAAGGTGCCTGATAAACGATTGCCTGCGGCCTCTTCGCTGGCATACGACGGAACCTGGGCGCACATCTGGGTTACTCTGGATAGGCGCTCCAACTCTTCGTACCTCCGCATGCAGATCTCAAGGCAGATGCTGTCGTGCATATCCGACCGGAGCTTGAGGAGCCGGTCCTCGTCGAAGATGAAGGTGTGGGGTATGACTTTCAGGTCCGTGGAGGGGAGGACTAGCCTGGACAGCGCCTCGAAGAACACAGACATCTCGCCAAACGCATGTAGGTATGGCATGGGCGAGCCGGCGTACAACCGCTCCATCTCCGCCCGTGCTGTCTGATACCACATCCTGGACTGGCTGATGCTGAGCTTCCTCGACTCCATCTTCTTTATGAAAAAGCGCTGCTCGAAGGAGACCGTATCCTCGATGAGTACCGGACGCAGGCACCGGATCTGATGGTTCGCCACGTCAAGTTTCATCGCCTCCAGCACGCTGAGCAGGCTTCGCATCCCCTTGACGAGCTCCGCCATGTCGTTGTTGCGGTTCCCGTTGCTCAGCTCCTGGTACATCTCATCGACCCATTCGTCGCGCATCGGGGCGCAATGCAGCTTCAGCACACTCGACAACCACGACGCCAGCTTCTCGAGGTCGGCAACGCCGCGGTTAAACTGCTGCATCAGGAGCTCCACGTTCAATCCCTCGTTGAGAAGCTCTCGGTCCCGCTGCGGTACCAAGGTCTCGATGATCTCCCTGATCGCCCGGAGCAGCACCGGGAGACACCAATCACCATACCCGTATCTCGCGTGGAACGTCTCCCTGTCCATGACAAACAGCACCAGCTGCTCGAACAGCGTGTTCCAGAACTGGTTTGCCTTCTCCTGCTTTTTCCTCCCCTTGTCGCCATCGAGGTTCGGCCTGAAATGCAGCTCGGGATCGAAGTTGATATCGTGCCGCAGCTTGGGATTGTGCACTATTTTGTGTACATCAAGCTCGCTGAGCGTCGTCTTGGTCACTGGGGGTTCTAGCTGGGGGGATGTGTGGGTGTTGTCATTGTTCTGACCTGTCGGTGGTTGCGGTGACCTGTCCGATCCTTGTGTGCGTCCCGGAAGGTATTCGGTGTGTGGCCTTGAGTTAGAGGCTGTCGAGCAGCTGGATGGGTTCCTTGACAGTCCCTGTGGAGTCCCGACTACTTGCGTCCCCCTGTCCGAGCCACTTTGGCTAAGCTTCCGGGAGCCGCGGGGGAGATGTTGGAGAGGCGGTGAGAGGGTTACGGAATCCGATTCCGACGGCGGATTCCGCGTCTCCGGGGCGGGCTCGGTGGGTATCGGCTCCTCCCCGGAATCCTGTCTCCTGTGAGTCGACATATGGCTCTCGATTCCCCCACCAGCGCCTTGATCGCTCATCTTCGGGCAGCTGCTACCCGTCCACAGACTTGGCGGTGTGAGTGCTGATATCTAACGGCTGAAGTATGGTGGCAAGCCGAGATAGAAAGCAACAGTGGAATGGACAGAGCACCAATTAGTTCTGTCGCGTCTATATAGAGAAACGAGGCAGCTGGATATTCCAGGTCAGCGTCCGTGCGGCGAACTCGAGAGGCGGGAAGGCGACGGGAACGGTGCAGGGTGCAAACAAGCAGGTGGCAACACAATCATCTCGTGGCGAGGTCTCGTGAGAGCGGCACGCTGCATGAAGCAATGTAGCCGTGGCCGGCCTGAGGCAGGAAAGGAGAGGTTCTCGGGCAGCGGCGGAGGGGAACTTGTTGTGTACAGGTCCGTTGAAGCCCATGTACCGACTTACCTGCAGGGTTCCTGGCCTTCGATCCCAGGGTGTTATGTTGGAGTGCAGACGGGAAGCAAACACCACACAAGCGTCGAGGGCTGAGTGAGCGTCGGTGTCCTTGATATGGGTATGCTCGAAAGAGAGAGGGGTCTTATTAAGACTTGGTAACAAAGCACAGTAGGCGCATGCGAGGGCCCGAGTGCGTTGGGCGGTGAGCAGCAGTCGACGATGCACCCTTGGTTTTCAGTGAAGCCAACTGGCAACTGGGACCTGGTCCGGATGCGTAGGGTAGTCGGTGAGGCACGGGAGAAGCCAATGCCTGACGAGAAGGCACTGCGATGCGGGTGCGGATGTGGATGCGGAAATGGGAAAACAGCCGCAAATAGGAACCGGAGAATAACTAGAAAGACGGAAAGAGCAGGAGAGGAAACAAACGAATGTAAACTGCGAGGTGTGGCAAAGCTTGAATTATTATTTATTACATGCTAAAAGAGCGGACAGAGCGAGGCATGGGCATGGCAAAAGGGGGCGACCAGGATGAGAGAGGAAAGACAATGAGCGGAAGCAGCAAGGGGTCACTGGCGAGGTGGGCCTATCCTGGAACATTGGGTGTGGGTCATGGGTCCTCCACTGGCTTCCAAACAATGTGCGGCAACTCGCTGGGGGCTAACGTTAGCGGCAATTGGGCCACTCGGCGCTCCGTGCTTTTGTGAGATTCTTTTTGCGTTCTGTGCCAGCACGCTGCGCAGCAGGCAAAAGTCAGCGCGGAAATCAGAGCCTAGAAATCGTTAAGTCCACGCCACCACACCCGCCAGGTCCATCCCTCCAGAGCCAGGTACCCGTTGCCTGTTCAGGCGAACGATAACGCCGCCTCCCCCGGGTTCAAGGGCAGGAATTCTCCGTCCTACATAGGAGAGATGTCGCCCTTGCCTCGCACTCTAGGCTGCTAGGTTGTTCTGGGCACTGAAGGGCGGAATGTACACAGTTACTGTACAATCTTTTGTGCGGTACCGCTATGATCATGTTCCCTCAGTCCTCTTAAGATTGTGATACCACCGCCCAATGCCACCACGTCTGGCACCGCACCGCGAGTGCTTTCCACATGACGCACCCAGATGGCCTGATGGGGGCAACTAAGGTGAGAATCAGGGCTTACGTTAACGCTACCGAGGATAAGTGCGTCGCGAATGCAAGCCTCATAACTCGACGGTGCAAACGCAGGGGATCCATGAGAGAACGAGCGGCCCGGACCCTCTCACCGGCAACCCAGTTGGGCAATAAGGACCCGACACCTCAGCAATGCAAAGGTGAACAACACGTCGCTGGGCATCCATGAATAGATGCAACGGCGAACTGGCAATGGAAACAACGGAGCCGTTTTGGCTTCGCTGGGTGATGCGCTGTCAGGGCATGATTCATCGCTGCCTTGCCCATGCCTCCGAGGGTGGGCACGCCTAATGCATACCACAGTAGGGTTGCAAAAGCACTGCGGCGGCATCTCTGGGCAGCGTTTTGAAACGTTTCTTACACCGCAGCGCAATGCGGTGTTAGGTGCCTTCAGCGTTAGCTTTGAGGTGGTTGGACGGCGCATGCCACGCTTGGGCTGCTTCTCATGTCATCATCTTCCTCCGGCGCATTTTTGGAACGGAATCGATGTCGCCCTGGGGCACTGCTGCTGCTCGCCCTTGGGTTGGATCAGCTTCATAGGTCGCCGATCCGATCCTCTGCGACCTCGCTCTGCTCGATGGATTCTGGAGAAGCGCCCATCGCACGTAGCAGTGTGTATGTGGCAGGTATTGCGCACTCCCTTGCGATGTTTGATGCAATGTTCGCGGTTGATACAAGCAAAGGAGACCGCCGTGCTGTTGCTGCCAGTGCTCAGAGGACGGAGTCTGTGGCTCTAACATGGGGCGTGGGGCGGGAAGGTGAAGATCTCTCCTGATCTCTGCAGATGCGATCGACGATTTTTGAACGGTAACCGTCAAATCGTCCCAACCCTTGGCTTCCAGGTGTGGTTCTCTCGCGGCTCGTATCAATTTGCCGCCGACAGACCCGCGGAGAGGACTCTGGTGGAGTCTCGCCGCTTGGATATGCATCCTGAATGAAAGAGGTGCAGATAGCAAGAGGCTAACCATGCATGCCCTAATGAGCCAGTTCAGGTGACTCTTTGCAGCAGTCTCGAGACGATAGGCGGCAGCCGATTTCTGAAGAAAGCAACATCGCAATTAGCAAGCCGCCAGGGAATGGAACTAACGTTAACTGAGGGCAGTCAATGCGCCCCGGAATTCCCGTCACCGAGCACGGGTCAAGCGATCAGCTGTAGAGGTGCCTTCCAGATTGGGCCTTGGGAGGTACCAGCTGTCTGGATCATCCCACGCCAGCTCCAGCCACCTCAAGCCTCGCCCCACGTTCTCGGCGTTGAGCCAGAATAAGTTCGAATCCAGGGCTTGCTTGGTATATTTTGTGCTCTTGTCGCTCTCGCTGATCAGTAGGTGATCACTAACACGCCTAGGCATGGCTACTTCATCAGTCCACGACACTAGCACTAGTGCTGTCATGCGTTGAATGCTCGGCAAGATTACCTATAATATTAGACTGTATTGAGCAGCTCTCGCTCTCTGGTGGCGCTGTCCATCCTTCGCACCACTCCCTCAGCCGCAATGCTTCGAGTCCCCAAAGCAGAGAGAAATTTCCCGGATGAATTGGCCCAATCGCCACGCCCAACCAGAATACCAACTGCCTACACCAGAAGAAGCAGATGAGAGGACGGGAAAAGAGACTCTAGAATGGCGTTGTCTCTCTATCCAGCGGTACAAAAGCCGTTAGGCGGAACTTGCCCCGGTTCCAGACGGCTGGGTGGATCCACAATCCCAGCGGTGGCCATGTGGCGCGGACCCCACCCGGGTCGCGAGGTTGGCCACCACTTTGCAGAGCGAACTCCATCATTCCGGCCGGCAATCGGACACCTCCCGATCCTGCCGGTGTCAAGGGGCTGGGAGGAGACACGCGATACTTCACAGGCATCATCGTAGGAGGCAGAGGTGAACATCTTATTTTTCCTCCCAACTAACTATTGCAAGTAGTGACGGCTTCGGAGCTGGATGGTAACCTATGTGGACTTCAAGTTCATCTGAAGACGGTACATAACAGCCGGATACCCTGAAATTCCTGCCGAAACTTACCTACCCACCCATCCATGGTCCACCTAAGGTGTCAGGTATCCACACCTGCAGACTGCAGCCCCGAGACGAGATGAGAGCCTCTCCTTTCCTTCAATACCTGTCAGTCGAAAACACACCGTCTTTGACTCAACCCGACGTTGCAGCCCGGCATGCGAGATGAGAGTTGTGGTATTGGGCGGTAGTCTTCCACTTTATCACCCAACTGCTGTGGCCGCCAACGCATTCGCCGATATGCCGTTGCTACCAAGGGGTCTCTGGCAATAACTACCTAGTCCCTGGTTTTTGCGTGAGCCCAAAGCCATCCATTGCATAGGTATGCTTTGATGGCGCCACGCCTACTAGAGACTTCGGCGACAACGCCCCGTCTTGCGATGCGTTGTATAGGCTCTGGCTGCGCATGTATGTGCGGACAGCACACCTCGGAGCCCAAAGCGCACCGAAATCGAAGTATCGACGCCATCAGTTACTGTCTCGCACTCGGTGCCCACCGAGTCATCGTATTCTTTCTATCACCGGCCAACGACTACCACCGGTGCTGCACAAGGCCAGCTTTCCTCGGGCCGATAACGCATTTTGTCCAGATACTAGTACACGGTGTCGCGAAGACCTTGGGCCACAGCTTTAGAGACCCAAGCAGTTGCACGATAGAACGAGACGCGTGCCGCATCGATCGCACAGGCCGAGTGCGATGGCTCGACTGATATGTGCCCGGCTTCTGCGGCGCCTAATACTTTGTCCGTCTCATCCAGTGATCCCAGTCAGGATTCTTCCGGGCCGATGCCGTTGCCACAATCGTATGTACATCGTATCCCCACCGGATCTCGCCTTACGTGTTGCCGCCCAGCCGCCTCATTCGATCCAGCATCCTCAAACACCAAATTCCTCCAAAGCTCAGGGTGGAGCCTAGTGTAGCTGAAGTGAGTGAGGCGGCAGAGCTCCCTCACAGGCAGAAAGGCGCAGGGGTCAGATGAAACTCGCCCTGAACAACCGAACCCTTCGTACCTGATCCAAAATCACGTGATCCCTTGAGAATTTGGATGCGGCATTTCCTCGGCTCCCAAGCGGTCCTGCAGTGTCTGTTTCATGTGGATTGCCGTTTACGGTAACTACACAGGCCTCCCGTGCTGTATCCGTGCGCCTCTCAGCTATGTACATGTATTGCCACACGTGCCACAGCGCGGAAGTGCTGCAAGTCGCTTATCAATGCTTATTCCATCTGTTCGAGTTAGACAGGTCAATATGCATCAGTCTGAGGGAGCTTCGGGTCACGGCCGGGGTCTGCCGCTGCCCGTTCCTGGACACGAGCTGAGATTCAATTGAAAACAGGGCCAGCCAATGAGTGATATCAGGATGGATCGCCCATCCCGGCAGTCGAAGCAGAGTTGTGCGCCGGTACTACGAGATGAGGGTTTATATCTCAAAGCACATCGAGGGATGTATACGTACTCAACCGAGTCAAACACAATTCCGTATCTTGAAGTTTGACGACGTTCCAGTTGAGACAGTTGAAGGATGCAGATAGATATGCCCTTCACATCGTAGCGATCTTAATCCTAACCTTGTCACGCAGCTAGAGCGCAGGGCGAGGAACACCGCTTCCCCATCTCCGGAATAGGGATCGACAACCGGCCCAGCTGCTTGGGGAAGCAGCAAATTCTCGGCCTTTGCAACTTTGACATCTCGCCGAAATGCCTCCCCTGCGCGGCATAGTACAGCTGTATGCTACAGTGCAGATGTCTCAGGCAGGTTACCTATTCAGGCACGGCGCCTCGGTGTGATATCGCCTTCCATCGTGCTGCGGTGAGCCGTCTCCTTGCACATAATGAAGGCATCCAGTGCGCTTGTCCGCATCTGATGCCTTACTGTGAGAGCTTTACCACTCTATATCCGCAGAGAAATGGTGAGTGAGCATCTGATCCTGAACAAGACCGCTCTCCAAGGGGTCACCGGTTCCCCAGGCTATAATCACCATTCAGGAGGAGACACAACGGATCTCTCAAATATGCACCAAAGTACCCAGCAGGGGCCGCCCTACGGCGGCCATTGTCAAAAACAGGGAGACATGCAGCGGCACCTCCAGAGAACAAGGCAACCGAGAGAAGGGAGAGGGCATCCGCAGAGATTGAACCCTAACAACCTTAAAGCGGATCAGCGCATCTATTGAATGACGCAAGAGCTATGCCCCGTCTTCCTCATTACTGTGTTAGTCGCGGCTCGCGGCATCCTTCAACGGCGGTTCAACCCCTTTCCACAGCTTGACCTGAGCTGCGGTGTCTGCCCACCTGCCCACCTGCCCACCTGGTACATAGCTGCAATATGCCGACCCCCATGGCATGGGTCGCGGCCAAAGCTCTGAAGACTTCCCCGCAAACCCGATCCCGCAGTCTTGCTTTTCCAAGTGACCTTCAAAGTTTGTGTAACTCACCCGAAGGCAAACAACGCACAAACAAGCCTAAAGTGAACGTCCGACTTGAGGCGGAGCTGTGGAACCTGAAGTCGAAGGCGGAGGCTACTCTCGAGGACCGGTTTCGACCGCCCAACCCCCTTCCTTATCCCCTTGCTATGGCGGAGTGTAGGAGCAATTGGGACACGAGCCGCAGAGTGGTGGTAGGTCTTCTCGCTTGTCGTCGTGGGCAAACATACCCCAATGATTAGTTGTCATCGTTGATCGTAAAAAAGCCGCTTCATGACGCCCCAAGTCAACCCAACCCTTGAACGCCCCGGGAAAAGCAACCAAACTCCTCCAGTAGCAGCGCCGGTACCTTCCGAACGTCGGTCGTAGAAATATCCAAGGCAGTTACATCCCAAGGAATATCGAAATCTACCACCATTGTAAAGTCAGCACACGTACTGACCACCCCGTCCGCCAGCAAGGCTTCAGTGATCCTTACCGCCATGAACCCACAACACAGGCTCACGTAGGGACTGAGCCGCTCGCCTATCCGCGCGCACTTCCAAAAGATACCAATCACGCTTGTCGGCAGTTATCAGTATATAATCTCTCCTGCTGCAACTCCATCTGTCGGACTCACCCGGTCTTGTTGCGGTCGAGGATGGCGGGGAACAGCTGGTGCACGTAGGCGCAGGTGCTAGCGGCGACAGACATCGGTTAGCTTCCCTTGCTCCTGAACCAACGCAGTGTCTTGGTGTTGAACAATATGCGACGGGCGTTTGAAGAAATCAGAACTAGGTCATCTTCATGGGGAGCCGTACCAGATGAGGAGAACAATGACGAGCAGCAGACTCGAGAAGTTGAAGAGCGCTGTCTGGAATAGGGGAAGATCTCGAGTCAGTTTGGATGCGCGCCGCTTGTTGTTCTGCTTCAGGGGAGGCGCCAGAGCGTACCATCTTGATTACCTATTCCGTGTCCTTAATGAACAGGCGGTGAATTGGCCCTTCAAGGGGTGGTTGGCGCCGAGGATCACGATGTTGTCTTTCTGCGCAAAGAGCTGCTCCCGGGAAAGAACACCATTTCCTGCTTGCGACAGCGCAGCGGAGGTGCCAAGACAGATGCATGGAGCTGGGGGGCCGTCCAATAAGGTAGCTTGAGTGGGGTTGCTTGGCTTCGTCCAACCGTGTCAGTGGGGAGCTGTTCTTCAGCCTCCGCCCCGCGATCGCCTTACCGTGGCTCTTCCTGAGCAATTTAATGGACACAGATCCAAATGTATTACACCACCATACCACACATCACAACTAGATGGTAAACAATGTATCTATCTAAAAGCCAGTCAATCCTCTATCGGCTTCTATGTATTTGTTCAATCTAAAAGGGATCCTGTTAATCCAATGATTGATAGATTCCTGGTTGACTGCATCCCAGCCTTCCTGCGCGCGCTCCTTCACCGTATTATCGTCGAAACAGGGCACTCCCTTAGTATACTGCTTTGGTAACTGCCATGCCAACTCGATTGGTACGAAATCTGGGCTTAACAGGCAGTTGAAATAGCTTTGAAGCCTATGATCCTTCTTTTACTTGGTGACAATATTGTAACATTGTTACCTTTTCTACTATGCCCTGAATCGTTGTCTTGGGATCTGTCTCCATGAAATTGCTCAGGCGGAGCGTGGCTACGTCGTAGGGACATGCCCTCACCTAACCAGCATCCTCTGGCGTTTCCATCCTCACCTCATAATCCGATCTACTTCGTACAATCGTACTTACCCTAAGGTACGCTACCCGGATCACCAAGATGGCGTTCCTGCGCTTTTCAAAAGTCAAGAGGTCCATGAACCCATCTTGCATCACTTTACTCGCACTCATCAGGTGAGCTGAACAATTCTTCGCATAATTCCCGCTTCCAGGACGACCGCCCTATTAGGTAGTTATCAAATGATCATGAGGTAACGCATTTGAGTAGTATCTGATAAGCACCCACAACAACCGGCGACAGACTATCAGAGGAAGCGGAATTCTATACCTCTTAGTATACATCTGAGAACGACGGAAAAACCCGAATCACTAGCCGCTCTTGTATTAAACATCGCTATGTTTGCTTGGGTTGAGAAACGAGATATATATGCTCTCTCTAGAGATTCGTGAGCGTTCAGCTTAAAGTGGGTGGACTAGTAGCCGCAGCGGCCCCACAATGCTGCGGCCCCGCTTGACGTCATTGGAGAACTGAATTACTTGACACCACCGTTTCCCCATCCGTTCTTCTCTGTAGACAAGTTCCCTGCCTCACCGTGAAGAACGCCCGCCATGTCATTACAACGCGTTTCGTCCATCGAGACCTTCACCACCGTCTCTACGGTGCCTCGGTCAAGAAGGGCCTCAGATGCGGCGACTCGTGCTCGCAAACTGACGTTCAACCCTCTTCCGTCGTCATGGGATCCTCCAGCAGTCGTCCAGCCCCAGGCTCTTGGGGCATTCCATGTGCCTGGATGGAAGAGACTACGTAGGTCCATAAGCCGTCGATCGCACCCCGCAACACTCCAATGTTGACGCTCTGGAACAGTCCAAGTCGCAGCAGCGGTCGTCGTCTGCTTCTTCGCAGCCGGTATCGTCTTTGGGTATGCGGCACTTAAGCCCGTGTTGAAGTCAGAGGGAGCCTACAGGCATTTATGTTCCGTTTCGGACGAGTTATTTGACGATGAGGATATGTGTGTTGAGTTTCATCTCAACTTGATGTTCACTACGGCTGCCGTAGCTACCAATGTCGTCGCCCTGCCGGTTGGGACGATACTTGATCACTACGGGCCGCGGGTCTGCGGCCTGCTCGGCAGCTTCTTCCTCGCGGCGGGCGCGCTGTTGATGGCCTTCGAGGAGCGTTTGCCGTTCGACGGCTTGCTGTTCGGCTATCTCTTTCTGGCTCTGGGCGGTCCCTTCACTTACATCCCCTCCTTCCAGCTGTCCAATGCTTTCCCCCGCCACTCGGGCTCCATCCTCGCCCTTTTGACGGGTGCCTTCGATGCCTCGAGTGCTCTGTTCCTCATCTACCGCCTCATCTATCAAGCGACAGAAGGCGCGTTCGGTAGGCGGGACTTCTTCCTTGCTTACCTCGCTGTACCCGTCACTTTACTCCTGCTGCAGGTTACACTGATGCCAGCGCAGTCCTACAAGACGGTAGGCGAGCTGGTCGAGGAAATTGAGGCGCCTCTACACGTTGCCGCAGACGCTGGGCCGTACGATCAGGTCGACGAAGAGACGGCCCTGTTGCAGGAAGAGGAGCGGGAGCAGCGGGCCGAGGTGATAGAAAGTGTCCAGAGTATCCTCGGTGCCGCCAATGTCGACAAACAGACACGGCGCGAGGAGGACATCAACAAATCGTCGGGTGTGTGGGGCGTGATGCATCGCTACTCGGCTTGGGAACAAATCAAGTCCCCCTGGTTCATCCTCATCTGCTTATTCACAGGTAAGCCACCCCTCCCATCCCCGGATATCATATGAGATATCCAGCTGATTGTGAGGGCCGAAAGTTGTCCAAATGACCCGCATAAACTTCTTCGTTGCGACCATACGGCGCCAATACGAAAGCCTCTTCGCCTCGCATCGCGACGCCATTGCCCTCAACGACTTCTTCGACGTCGCACTGCCGGTAGGTGGCATACTCGCCATACCCTTCATAGGCACCATCCTCGACCACACCAGCACGCTCACGGTGCTGGTCATCTTGGTCAGCTGTTCCACGACGATCGGCGTGCTGGGCATCATCCCGCGCGCTATATGGGCCGGGTACGCCAACGTGATCCTGTTCGTGCTCTTTCGCCCGTTTTACTACACGGCCGTTTCGGACTACAGCGCGAAGGTGTTCGGGTTCAAGACGTTTGGGACCGTCTACGGCACGATTATCTGCCTGTCGGGAATACTAAACTTCTCACAGTCCGGGTTGGATTACTTGTTTGAGAAGACGTTTGAGGGAGATCCGATGCCGGTGAACCTGCTGTTGTTGGGGTTGGGACTGGGGATTGGCATTGTACTTGTTGCGTTCGTCAGGGTCAAAGCGAGGAGCATTAGAAGGAGCGTGCTTGAGCAGGAGGCGAGGGATGCTTTTGGGGAGGGGGCGGCACTAGCGAGGTAATCAGGGGGGCATGCGTGCGTTGAGGAGCGATGTTCGAATTGTTGGAGAGGGACAACCACGTCTACATATGATGAAGCGCTGGTTAAGCCAGCGCTAGCGGTCTTTTCGTCAATATACATCCACCTGACATCCAAAGAGTTGTTCCATTCTGGGGTGAGAAACCTTACTCGCTCGTCTAGCTCGTGACTCGTGAGGAGATTCCAACCTGGAAGTGAGCTCGGTGGAGTACCTAGGTGGGTCAAGTAGCTGCTTGAGTGGGGCAGCTTGGCTGTGGGTCGGTGGGGAGCTGATTCTTAGGCGGGCCGCAGCCGCCTTACCGTCCAGGTCAGCCTTCGATCCGAGGATCGTACCTGGTACATTAGCTTTCTCACTGTCTAAACTATCATCCTGCCGATTCATCTCAACCTAGGTACCCAGTTTCGCACCAAAGCATTGACAGAAGCATTTAACAGCACACCTGCTATCTTGGGTCATTCACAACCTCTCGTTGCCACGCTACTCGGCCTCCAGATAAAAACCACAACGCAAGCTTTTGACCAAACACTCTGTCGTCATAATCAGGATGGAGCCTCGAGCTCGCGCCGGCAAGAATGTCGGCAAGATGAACTTCGGCCACAACGAGCGTACGGGACCCTCATCTATCCTCCCCCTTGTCTGATCTTCCTTCCCACACAAACAGGCAGCTCACAATTTCATCAAACCCACAGTGGCCCAGCTCCTCTACGCACACGGCGACGTGCGCGCGCCGCTCAGCGAGACGGTGCGCGTGCTGGACGAGATCGTGACCGAGTTCATTCAGAATGTCAGCTTCGAGGCGATGCGGGTGGCCAATCACGCGGGCCGCCAGAAGGTCAAGTTCGAGGACTTTGAGTTCGCCATGCGGCGGAACCCGGTGTACATGGGCAAGATCCAGGAGACGTTCGAGAAGAAGAGGGAGATCGAGGCGGCCAGGAAGAACTTCAGCATCGAGGATCAGCTGATGAAGGATGCGGATAAGGAAGAGAAGGCGGCCGAGAAGGAGAGGGGGAAGGGGGCCGAGGGGAAGAGGGGGCGCAAGTCCGTGTCGTCGCAGATGCAGATCGGTGAGGATGATTTGGATGACGTGGATGATGATCTGGAGGAAGCTGGGGGTTCGAGTAGGAGGAAGTAAGGCGAGTTCGACTTCGCGGTTCTCTTTTTTTCTTTTTGGCTTAGGATTAGTATGCATAGGGACGGAGTTCGGGTCTGGGGCCTTGGGTCATTATGGACTGGGTACAGGACAGGAGTGGCGTTCCGGACGACGGGATGGGTCATAGAACCTGACCTGGCAAGAGTTGGCTTCCGTCAGAAACAAGACTGCAGGGCCAGTCGAGACCTGATTCTATATGAACATGAGTATCGACATGCTTGGTATCATACACGGCTGTCTTCTCTCGCGAAGCAGCGTACCCCGGTATCCCTACCGCAAAGATTCCATCCTCTCACACCCACTCCAGTTCTACTCCCTCTCATAAGCCACAACCTTCACTACACCGTCCTCCGCACACTGGGGTACCTCCCCTTGATCCAACTCCAACCCTTGAATAGCCTTCTTACTCCTCTCCCACGGAACAGCAAACAGTCCAGCATTGATCTTACACATCCTCACCTCCTTAATAACCCCCTCCCCTTTCCTCCGCTCTTCCTCCGCAACCAGCCTCATTAGATGCCTCATAGCCGGGCCCGTAGCCCTCAAAATCCTCTCCGGCGAATCCCTGGCCTTGCCATAGCGCCGACTGGTGAACAGACACCCGATGTAATGCTGCTGCTGCTGCGGCCTCTTCTTCCCTCCTCCCTCACCTTCTTTACCCCCTCCCCGTGGCTGCGGGGCGATAAGCAGCGCGGTACCCACCAGCTGGTCCGGCGTCGAGTGCGCACAGTGGGCGCGGTAGATCTTGAATGCCTCCGGGTACAGGTTGCGGAAGGCCAGGGCGATGCCGCCGCCCCAGGAGCCGACGCTGTTGCAGGCGTGGATGAGCAAGCTGTCGGATGGGGCCGCGAAGAGGTTGCCTGTGCGGTCGGTGATGCGAATTCTTGATGCAGATACTGCTGCTGCTGGTGAGGGCGGCTTTGGGGGGTGGTGGTGGTGGCGGTCGCCGTTGCTGGTGGTTGTGACGCTGGGGTCGGTGGCGGTTCTGTTTCGGATTCTTGCGGTTTGGCTTCCGCGTGGGTGATGATGATGTCTGTCTGCCGCCCTGGCTTTGTCACATCGACAGACGGATTTGATGACACAGTTGCTGGCTTCGGATCCGTGTCGTCGTCTCCGTCTCCTGTTCCCGCCGTGGCCGTGTTTGTTGACTTTTCTTGGTGCGCCTCTGTTTCGGTCCTCGGCTTCTTCGGCTGCCTCGTTGACGAGGTGAAGAAATCCAGCTTCATCTGCTTGAACTGACGCGGTCCATCAGACGCGCCGCCGTCAGTGCCCGCAGGATGTTTGCGAGACATGGTTGGCGGGATGAGAAAGCCAAGGAAGCCAGACAGTTAACGTTTCGTGTTGATCCCTCAGTTGTAAGGTTCTGGGCCGGAGAGACTGGTGAATTTGAATCGATGTCGATTTGTGGTGAGCTCACTGATGAGGACCTTCCGAGAATTGTTTAGTGTTTTTGTTTGGAAATGGTCAACTGATCAACAATGCATCGCGTCTAATTTATCCCTGATAAGTACATGTAAACTTGCCAAGCAATCGAAGTCTGACCAGTGACCACCACAAGATTTGCTCATTCTGATTAGTGTAACCTAGAAGTTGCCCCCTCTCCCACACTTCGCCTTTTCTTCCCAGACAGTCGTAGTATTCTCAGTGGCAAGTGCCGACAAAGGTGTTGTCAGCCGAACCTCACAGTATCCGCACGCCTGGTGATTATCTTCAGATGGTGACAAGCTAGGGTCTAGATCAGCTACGACCCTTATTATTAACAGGGCGTGCTTTTTCTCTGGCGGGAGCTGGATTTGACCCCTTCGGGATGCCCAGCAAGTTGTCAAGGCTATGAAAGATCCATTTCACTATGGTCGAGATTAGACAAAAGAAAATCAAAAATAAGGAGAAATGAGAAATAATAAAATGAGGGAAGAAGGAAAGAGTATGGAAAAGGCTAAGCACAGGATAGTAGCTGAAAACCCCTTATAGGAGGCATTGAAATCTATCCCAGGTTGTATCGAGGGGAACTAGATACCTTCGTTGGTATGCGATGTGTGGAAGAGTGAGCAAAAGTGAGAGGGGTTAACGTGATTGTGAGGGGTGGGCAGTTTACGGTACCAGCAGCCAACCTCACCAAAGAAAGAACCAAGCGGAGAATCATAAGAATCAAAAGGAAGAGGATGAAGAAGAAAGAATGAGGAATGAGATAAATAGCCACCATGATGTTCCATTTCGTCCATCTTGATCTTTTAGTATATGCGCCGCTTTTCCTTGCCAGAGGATGCCAATTCAACAGCAAGTGCCATGCAGAGAGAGCGTGACCTTCCATGCAGGTGCCATGGCTTGTCCGCCCCGCTTGAAGCGCCAGAGCCTGCGCGAGAGCTTGCGCGGAGCTGACAGCGCAGAGATGTGCTATTCTGGGGGAATAGCATGGACATACGCGGCTTCCCCAGTTCTGGGGAGTTCAATGGTTGGCGGGACTCGGGAGCCAGAGGCTTGATTGAAATAATTACTGTTCGCCTATCCTCAGCTCCGATTACTCGCCGACGACATGGTTACTTCACCTCACCACATTACAGGGTTTTGGACGGATCCTTCTTCTGGGACCGACTCCTTCCCTGACCGATAGCCTCTCGTCAACTCGTGTCTGCTGACAGTTTTCTATTAGGATGGTCAACAACACCTAGCTATGCTTCCGTCTTTGAACCCACGACAAACGCCTCGGAAGACGACGCGGTTGGGAGATGACAGTGACGATGCTCTCGATAGTATCCCCCTCGAGGAGCTGAGCAGCAACAAGCCTTCCTCGCCGTTCCTAAACCCACATGTTTCTCGGTCTCTGTCTGCAAGCCCATTCTCGGAGCATGGCCGACTCTCGCCGTGCCAAACGAGAGCTTTGTCGCCTGCTCCGTACACCCATCCTCTACAGACGCGGAGGGCGGCTATCGCACAATGCTTGCGACGGTTTTGGGCCGACAACCGAGCTGTGCTGCTGGTGGGCGTATCCCAGTTCTTCGGTGCTCTCATGAACCTGGCGGCGAAGCTGCTGGAAATGGAGAGCGGGATGCGTCCGATGCAGATCCTCTTTGCTCGCCAGAGTATGACTACTGCTCTCTCTTGCCTGTACATGTGGTGGAATATGATTCCCGACTTCCCACTCGGCCCGAGAGGTGTCAGGGGAGTGCTCCTTATCCGGGGCATCTCGGGCTTCGTACGTATCCATGACTACAATCTTCTGTTTATACCAACGACCATCACTAATGAACACTACCTATAGTTTGGTATCTACGGCATGTGGTTTTCAATGCGGTACTTACCCCTTGCCGAAGCCACCGTCATCACCTTCCTCGCCCCGATGCTCTCAGGCTACATGTGCGACCTCCTCCTTAAAGATCCCTTCACTCGCCGAGAACAACTGGCCTCCTTCATCGCCATTGCGGGTGTCGTTCTCATTGCCAGGCCAACCTCCCTGTTCGGCAGCGGGCACTCGGACGACGGAGGCGTACTCCCCGCGGACCAAACCAACTCAACAATCATCCCCGAAATCCCCACCGTTTTCGCCAGAGTAGCCGGCGCAGGTACTAATGAAACCGAACCGACGCCAGCCCAGCGCCTCCTCGCAATCATGGTCGCCCTAGTCGGCGTGCTGGGCGCCGCAGGCGCCTACACAGCCATCCGCTGCATCGGCAAGCGGGCGCACCCGCTCATCACAGTAACCTACTTCTCGGCGTGCAGCACGGTGGTGAGCACCGTCGCCCTCCTCGTCCTCCCCCACGTCGGCTGGCCAGATATGAACTTTGCCGGCCTGCTGCTCTCGTCGGCCTACGAGTGGTTCTTGCTGTTGTCGCTCGGCACGTGCGGGTTTGTCATGCAGTTCATCATGACGGCCGGGTTGGGCGGCTCCGACGGGCGGAACGCGAACCGCGCGACCGCCATGACTTACACGCATATGCTGTTTGCGGCTGCCTTCGATCGCTGGGTGTTTGACCACCGCATGGGTGTCGTTAGCGTCGTCGGCTGTGGGTTGATCGTCGGCAGTGCGTTGTGGGCTGCTCTGGGGAAGAAGACCCCCGCTGTGTCGCCTGGTGAGGGAGGGGGGGGGAGGGAGCGGAGCGGGGATGTGGAGAGGAATGCGGTGGGCGGAGGGGAGGAGGCCGTGCCTATGCTGGGCGATGGTGGTGTCGGGGACGAGGGGGAGGAAGAAGCAGAGGGCGAGCAGCGGCGTTCACCGAGAAACCATCCATAGAGATCATAAGTACCTCTATGTGGCTATACGTGCAGGGTTACATACCAGGCTATGGTGGTCTGCTCCGAGCGGCATCTGAAAAGGGAGGCTACTGGGTCGGCCTAAAACTTTAAGAGAGCATGCACAGCGTAACACGGTTATTGAATCAGGACAGTATCACGAAAGCTTCTTCCAAATTGTGAAATAGTCCTCGGAGCGATCGTTCCGTGGTGTTAATTGCCATAGACAACACGCGGAAGTATCCTAGGCCCGACCAAACTCTGTGAGCCTGCATCTTCTGCTGATGTCTATATCCCATCGTGTTCAAGTAAGGTATGAGAGCTGAACGTTAAGTGCTGAGCACCCGGGTGCTTCAGTACTCAACTCCCAGTCTCCCACGATTGTGAAGGTCGCCGATTTCAGACGTATACGGTATAACTAAATATAAACTCCTAGACTGGTACTGCACTAGTGTACTGTGTATATGGATATCATGTACTTGAAAAATACCGGTTGGTCAGCACCTACTCAATGCAATGTATCTCCTAATAAGACCACCTCAACCATGGCCACCTGAAATAGAAAAAGGTGTGTGGAAAACTCGTAGGACGTAATGAAGGTGGTGACTGCACTGACTGGTGGTCGCTTTGAATAAGTATGGATGAGTGCTTGGAAATAAGGAGTGAACTTGATGGTTCTAGGCAATATAGATTGTCCCAAGCCAGCAAGAGCCGACAACTTGATGCTCATCTAGGGGTTTAAAGTAGTTCTAATAAACACAATGATCCGTCTCATGTAGGTGATGTTATGAACGTGAGACTCATCAAAGTGTATGGAATCAGCTGTCGTGCGGGCCGTGCCGGGCCGTTCCCGGTGGCAGGCAAGCAGGTACCTTGGCTGCCTAGCCTAAACAGGAAAGTTGCCAAGATCTGGTCCAAAATCCATTGCGATGCTTCGCCAGAGCTCAAGAGTCGAGTTCCCTTCAACTCTATTGTAGCATCTCGTCAGCCTCGTTGTTTTTCGCGACGCCGAAAGACCTTCCCGCCGCCTTTGCACCATTCAGTTCGTGAAACCAGATCCGGCAGTGCACCAGCACACGATGGTCCAAATTAGCGAAGTGCGCGGCAACAGTCGCGACCACCGCACAGCGGCGCACACACATATCAAAGGCCTGGGCCTCAATACAAATGGCATCGCCGAGAAGCAAGCTGCTGGCTTTGTCGGCCAAGCCTCCGCGCGTGAGGTATGAGTATACAGATCAACCTTCATCCTATCTTGGACCTTGACCTGACGATTTTTCTCTACTGCAGGCCTGCGGCGTCGTCGTCGACCTCATCAAAGCACACAAGATGGCTGGCCGGGGGGTGCTGCTCGCAGGCGGTCCAGGCACAGGAAAGACAGCACTGGCACTTGCTATCAGCCAGGAGCTCGGCACCAAAATCCCCTTCTGCCCCATCACTGGCAGCGAAATCTACTCGACCGAAGTGAAGAAGACCGAGGTGCTCATGGAGAACTTCCGGCGCGCCATCGGGCTGAGGGTCCGCGAAACCAAGGACGTCTACGAGGGCGAGGTCACGGAGTTGACACCGGAGGAGGCGGAGAACCCACTCGGCGGCTATGGCAAGACCATCAGCACCCTGCTAATCGGGCTCAAGAGCGCCAGGGGACAGAAGAAGCTGCGGCTCGACCCAAGCATATACGAGGCGATACAGAAGGAGAGGGTCCAGGTGGGCGACGTCATCTACATCGAGACCAACACGGGCGCCTGCAAACGCGTCGGCCGGTCGGATGCCTACGCGACCGAGTTCGACCTCGAGGCCGAGGAGTATGTGCCGATTCCCAAGGGCGAGGTGCACAAGAAGAAGGAGATCGTCCAAGACGTGTCACTGCACGACCTGGATGTGGCAAACGCGCGTCCGCAGGGCGGCCAGGACATCATGTCGATGATGGGTCAGCTGATGAAGCCCAAGATGACCGAGATCACGGACAAGCTGCGGGCCGAGATCAACAAGGTGGTCAGCAAGTACATCAACCAGGGTGTCGCCGAGCTCGTGCCGGGTGTGCTCTTTATTGACGAGGTGTGTCTCACATCAGATGTGATGGGAGTGGGGCCGTATGTGGAAGCTGACTTATCTCTAGGCACACATGCTGGATGTCGAATGCTTCACGTACCTGAACAAGGCGCTGGAGTCGCCCATCTCGCCCATTGTGATCCTTGCTTCCAACAGGGGCATGGCCACCATCCGCGGTGCTGACGACCTCGTAGCCGCCCACGGCATCCCGCCAGATTTCTTAACCCGTCTTCTCATCATCCCAACCCACCCGTACGAGCCCGACGAGATCAAGCGGATTGTACGCATCCGCGCATCCACCGAGGGTGTCCAGATCACGGACCCTGCTATCGACAAGATTGCCGAGCACGGCGTGCGAATCAGCCTTCGCTACTGCCTTCAGCTGCTAACCCCTGCGAGGTACGTTCAGCCATGTCTCGGATGCCCGCTGTGTCTGTGGAGGATGGGATGTGGGGAGAGGAGGGATCAGTGCGCTGACCAAGTTGACAGCATCCTCGCGCGGGTCAATGGCCGCAGCCAGATCGACGTCCAGGATGTCGCAGAGTGCGAGGACCTCTTCCTGGACGCCCGGCGGAGCGCCGATGTCTTGGCTAGTGAAGCTGGCCGGGGCTTCATTGAGCCGAGACTTTGATTGGCGAGGTCTGCGATGTCGATGCTGGCGAAGTGAACATCCCCGAGTAGCCATTGGGCAAGTATCGGAGGCAGTAGGTATCGTGAGACTCACAAGCGTTCTTCAGCCAGTCGGCCAGTAGTAGGCCGTGGTGGAAGGAAGGGGCCTACATATCTCGCTGTACGTTGATTCCTAGGTGCACTGAAGTGATGCTACTGGAGGTTACTGGTAGCAGACCGAGGGGGAGGGGTGGCGTTGTGGCTCAAGGGGCAGTCACATCTCTGATTTCTAGGTTGTGCATGTATGACAGAAGAGGGCACGGGCAGGTTGGGAAAAGGTCGCGTTGCAGGTTGGAGTTGGCGCGGGATGTTCTTTTTTGTCTTGTTATGTCGTCAGCCTTTACTGCACGGGCTACTGCTGGCTGGCCGTTGGCTGCGCGGCTGCTGCTTCTTCCGCCCGTCAAAGACAACTTGGTATCCCATCACAACAACCACCAACACCCGACAATGACTTTTTGCCGCATCGTTCAAACCGCCGGTCCGGCCAGCCAGCAGGAGCACTGAAATGGAAATGAACAAGTAAGAGCGAGCAAATTGTGGGAGGGTGGACTAGGCCCGATTCGGCTGACATGGTCTTTGTTCAGTGCAGCGCATTCCAGAGGGCAGCATTCTGGGAAATTCCTTTGGCATTGTCCGCCATGGCTGAGGGGGAGGCTGGGTTTGAAGATTTTGGGGGAGATGTCCTCCCGCCGCTGCGCCGAACTGCGAACGGAAAAAATCACTGCAAACGCCCTGAAGACAAAGAACCATGGGCGATGGATGCACTCTCTCCACTGCTCTGCGGCGCATTCCCGAGACATCTGAAGGGAGCGAGCCTATCCACACTTTGAAGCCACGGGCAACTGGGGCCGGCCTGGTGCGTTGCCCGTTGTTCATCATAGCAACAGTGAGTGGGTTTTGCCAATGCGATAAGGCCATTCACCGTTGTTGGCCGGGATCATTGTCTGGCCGGTGAGTGTGTTAGTGGGAGGGATAGATCACAAAGGAGACAATCGAACCGACTTTCCAACTGTGATTTGTTATATTATTCATTCTGAATGGCAATTTGGGGACAGGCCCTTTTTTTTTTCTTTCCACCTCTCTAGCCTCTCTCCTTCATCCAAATCCACTTCTTTCCCTTTCTTCTCCCCGTCCGTGTAGAGAGACAGAGGGAGAGACACACAGGTCAAGTTCCCACCCATCTGGAACAGACCCTCCCGGTCACAGTTGTGTTTTGTGGTGGTTGTGGTGGTGGTGTTTCTGAATCTGGTCCTTCTCCTTTCTTTCCACTTCTCCTCCGTTTGTTCAACTCTTGCCTGTCGCTCGGTCCCAGGGGCCGGGGGCAAAAATGACAGAACTAGTAACCACGCCTTCCCAACCGAGGAATCACCATTCTGCGTTGACGGGGCCGCCCAACAGCTCTGCCATGGCGACTAAGAGAGAGACCGGAGGAGTAGAGCCGGCAGTTGCGAGACAGCACGAATCCGAGACCTCACCGACAGCCCCTTTATCTCTCTCTTCCGGCCCACGCCCGCCTATTCCTCCTCCTCCTCCTCCACCACCTTCACCCGGCTCCGGTTCTCGGGGATCTGCCCGGAGGACTACAACTAAGAAGCGTGCTGCTTCCATCGACACGGAGGAGGCTAACCGTTCCAAAATCGAGAGCCTGAGTCTCAGAACACCCACCACGGCGAGTCCGCGGCCAGCTATCGACGCCGGCCGTGACCTGATCTGCCTCTGCACCCCGGCACCTAAAGTTCCACGACCGCGAAACGGTATGTTGCCGCCTCCTCTTCTCTTCGTGCCCTGGCCTGGTAAAATGAGACGGCAGATTTGGCATCTCTTGTTGACTTGGCCATGTACTTGGCAAAGTCAAAATCTGTCTCTGTCCCTCTTTCTTTGTGTTGTGGACCCAGGCCAGCCATACAATACAATGGAGAGCCATCTCCATAGCCAGGACCACCCGCTGACAACAGACAATTTCATCCAGCCTTCATTCTTTACCGCCAGCACCATCAAGCTCAGGTGGTGCAGCAGAACCCGGGGCTCGCCAACCCGGAGATCTCCAAAATCATCGGCGAGCAGTGGCGCGACGAGCCCGAGGAGCGCAAGAACCAGTGGAAGCTGCTTGCCGAGGAGGAGAAGCAGCGCCACCAGCGACAGTACCCGGACTACCGGTACCAGCCACGCCGAGGGAACAAGCCGGGCAGCTCGCAGTCGGGCCGGCCTTCGGTGGCGCCGGGCGAAGATCCCCACCGTTGTCCCAAGTGCGGCGGGCGGTACATCGCCACGCCGAGAACCCCTTCCACGCCCTTCATGACGCCGACAGCCGCCAAGTCGGGGAGCTCCACCCCTTACGGTCCTCCGTCGGGGCTTCACCAGACGTCCGAGTCGAGATCCGCCATGAGCCGGAGCAGCCGCTCGCAGCACTGGGGACCCTCTCAACCCTCGGGCAGCGGCGGCCTGTACAACATCCACGAGGATTACGAGAGCACCGTCTCTCCCCACGAAGCCAAGCGTCGCCGGTACAACTCCGCAGGAGGTTACCAAAGCTACCACGCCCTGCCGTCACCTCCGCCCCCGTTCCCGCCGTCCAACCAGCACTCCACCGCCTCCTACTCCCACCCTCACCCTCACTCACGACAACAACTATCCCTGCGCAACCAATCCATGCCTCCGTCCGCTTACCCGCCTCCGCCATCCCTCCCGGGCCCATCCTCGATGCTCCAGCGCAGCAGTCCCGGCCCGAGCGCAGCAGGGCCCATGCCCCCTCCGCAGCGGCCCATGCACGCCGTGCCACCACAATTGCAGCCTCACTACCCGTCCGGCCCGCTTCCCTACCGAGGCGGTGCCGGAGGAGGAGGAGGACCGCCGTCATCAGACTTCGACGAATCCCTCCGCCTGCCCCCGCTGCAAACATCCCACCTGCCGACTTCCCCGGACAACGGCAGCGAGCCGAGCACAGGTGGTGGCGGCCAGCATGGAGGAGGAGCAGTAGGAGGTGGTGGAGGAGGAGGAGGAGGCGGGGCAACGGGGCTGGGAATCATCCATCCCACGCCGACTATCCCTTCATATTCTTCTTCTTCTTCTTCTTCTTATTCGTCGTTGGGATATGGTGGAGTGGTGACGAAGCGGGAGCGGGATGCTGTCGAGCGGGCACAGGCGCGGAGTGTCGAGGCCATGGTCATGAGTATCTCGTTCGTGAGTAAGTTGAGGGTGTTGGAGAGGATTAGCCCGCCCCTGGCTGCTCCTGACGCGACGGGGAGAGGGCCGGTCATTGCGGTGGAGGGCCCCGACGCGAGGTTGGTGAAGGCTGTCGCTCGGGTTGTGGAACGGGCGTTGAAGGCGGCGTCGGCGGCTGAGGATGGCGCGTGGTTGGTTCGGTGCTGGGAGGACGAGAGCGTTCGTAACGGTTGGAGGCAGCAGCAACAAGGGGAATTGGGATCGGGTGATGGTGGTTGTGGTGGGGAGGATGTGCACATGCCTGATGCTGTTGTTGCGGCTTCGCGGCATGGAAGTCAGGCCAGTATTGCTGCGAGCAGTGCCAGTGGCGTCAGCAGCAGCAGCAGCTGCTGCAGCGGCATCAATCCGTTCACGGCTTATCTTCGCACCATCACAGAGTGGCACGCCAAATCCGCTGAGATCGTCAAGTTCGTTACTGGCACCCCCATCACGACTTCGTCAACAGTCTCGACTACCCCCACGCAAAAACGCAGCATCACCACCGATGATGACAAGACTGAAAGGGAATCAACTGCGCTCCCAACAGACCCGACAACACAGCGTCACCCCCTGCCCAAACACCCCGTCCCTGCCAGCCCTCCGAGTGGCCAGAACCAGAAACCAAAGCCCAAGCTACCTATCGCCTTCCTCCCCTCGGGGTTCTCACTCACCTTATCCGACCGCTTCGCCTGCGCCGCTCCCATCTCAGACGCCTACGCTCCCGTCGACCACTGGCAGTGGATGGCGACGCTGTGGCGGGGGATTGTGGGGCCCGATCTAGTTGTGTATGTCTCGCCGCTGGCTCAGGCTCCGTATCAATCCAGTGTGGATGAGGTTTCTACTGGCGGCGGTGTTATGGCAGGAGGAGGAGGAGGAGGGGCAGTGGAGGTTAGGAGCGCTGGGTTGATTGTTGTGAAGGTCCCCGTTCCCGCACCTGTTTCTGTTTCTGTTGTTGGGCCCGGTTCGGCGCTTGATGAGAGCGGTGAGGTTGCGAGGAGCGAACGGGTCGCGGTCGTGGTGGACGAGAAGATGGAACGGCGGTTAGGGTTCGAGGTTGTCGAGTGGGTGCGGAGTGCTGGATGGGTGAACATCGTTAGAGGAATGGACGGGCAGACGGCGATGGAATATTAGATTTCAAGTTATTGTTGATGGCTGGTACCGTTGGCTCTCGGATTCAAGTTGTTTAGACGGAGATTGTGATGGTTCCTACTGTTGCTGCCTACGGGGAGCTTGGAAGAGCAAGACCATCTGCTCCTTCCCTCCCATTCTAATCGCACATATTGAGAGACCACATGTGCTTGGTACTCTGTAGTCTGTACCAGCATGGCGGCCTTTCCGTCTCGGGGACCCGAGTACGCTTGACATCACCACACTGGCACGGTCGCGGCAGGAGCTGGGCTGGGCTGGACATCTCGCGCAACAGAACATCTACGGATTCACTCACACCGGCAGCATGGACACAGAAGGACCGGAAGGACAGTTGTGGTCGTCACCTCTAGTTCTATCTACCTGTCTACCTATCTACCTACCTTGCCTTAATGCCTCGCGAGAGTGCTCATGCCATGCCACCTCTCCAAAGTAAGCAGGTGAGGGCATCACATGCGCAACCTGAGGACTCTAAGCTCACCCCCCCAGATGGCCTGAGGGGGTGGCCCTAGGGAGCCGGAGCAGAGCAGGGACGCTGGAGGGCTCCTTCTCTCAGTGAGCTTTGCTGAGCACGCAATTCACCAACTGGCAAGGCACGCCGTCCGATCCCTCCTGTCTCTTTGAATTGGGAAGGCACGTCGTTGGGTTCTTTCCTCCCAGTATTGCTGAATGCGTGCTTGCCAGTGCTGATCGTTTTGGAGCTTGGGCCACCTGGGGCAGCATTAAGAAGCCGCTCCCTCTCCCCTCAGTCCCTCCCAACTTCCTCCTTCTTCCAACAAACTTCAGACTCGATCGCACTTCACTTTGCAATTGAACCAGTTCAATCGCGCGCGCGCTCAATTTGGAGAATCAAAGCTATCAGCAACTGCAACATACTCAATTCTACTCAATCTACTCTTTCCAAAAATCAGCTCTCAGCTTAATCGGCTTCGCCTGCATTTTCGGAATGTCTTCGTCCAGCATCCCAGTCAATCTCAACGCCAACGGAAAGGCAGTCGCAGCCTAGAATGCTAAGATGTCTTCCATCGGTGATCTGGCCATTGGCCAGAAGATTCACATGAAGGACAATCGCACCGCCACCATCCGGTTCCTGGGTCAGACTTCCTTTGCGCCCGGAGACTGGGTTGGCATCGAGCTTGACGATGACTCCGGCAAGAATGACGGGAGCGTCCAAGGTACTCGCTACTTCGACTGTCAGATGGGTCGGGGCATGTTTGTCAGACCTTCGAACTTCCGCGTTGTCGACCAGCCCGCTGTGGACAACGCCGCGGCCCCCAAGCTCGATCGTCCTGGCGTCAGCGCGTTTAACAACAACGCGGTCTCACGCGTCACGGACGCGAACCTGGCGCGTCGCAAGAGCCTGAATGATCCGTCGCCCACCCCCGCACCGCGTCCGGCGCGCCCGCCGAGTGGTCTTCGAGTAAGTCGCACCAGCTCTGTTTGTTTACGGCCTTGGAAGCTGACATTGGTACCATCGCAGTCTCCTACCAGATCTCCCACGAAGCAACTGGGCAGCGCACCTTCCAGCTCGGTGCCGTCACGCACCACCACACCTTCGAATGCCAAACCTGCTGCCGGGGCTCGGCCCCGTCCTTCGGTCACGTCGGGCCGCGGGTCCATGGCTGCTCCGCCTGTCCCTGCAGCCAAACAAGCCCGCCAGGTATCTACCTCCGCCGCGCCCAAGACAGCTGGCGTTCCTACCCGCACTCTGAGCGGTCGGCTGCCGACAGCTGCAAAGCCGGCCGTATCTCGTCCGCCCACCACCAAACATGGATCTGCTGTCTCCCTCTCGGGCATTGCCGGCGCTCGTCCCAGCAACAAACGCGCCAGCGAAAGCTCCGTCTCCTCGCGCAAGAGCAGCGACTCCGACAAGGAGACCGTTGTGGTACCTACCATCACGACCAAATCCACGGTTGTGTCAGCGGCAGCAACACGGCCTGCGGCCAAACCCCCTGCCACCAACAAAGAGATCGAGGATCTCAAGGCCAAGCTCCGCGTCCTGGAGAAGAAGAGGATCGAGGACCGGGACAAACTGGCCACGCTCGACACCATTAAGGGCGAGCGCGATAAGTTCGAGAGAATCATCCAGACTCTCACAATCAAGTATCAGCCCCAACAGCATGAGCTTGCCGACCTAAAAAGGCAGCTCAAGGAGGCGGAGTCTCGCATCAGCGAGCTCGAAGAGAAGCAAGCGGAGCATGACACCGCTCTGGAGATGGCTACGCTCGACCGAGAGATAGCCGAGGAGATGGCTGAACGCCACAAGGCTGAGCTCGAAGAGCTCAAGCAAAAGAACGAGTCGCTGGAGCTTGATGTCGAGATCCTCCGCGAGGAGAAGGAAGAACTCTGCCAGGGCATGTCATCAGAGGATAGGGCCAAAGCTGGATGGCTGCACATGCAGAAGGACAACGAGCGCCTCCGTGGAGCGTTGATCAACCTCCGCGACATCTCGAAGGAACAGCAACGGGAGTTCAACGAGAAGATCAAGAGCATGGAGCAAGACATGCAGGAGCTGGAGACTCTCGCGGAGCAATTTGCCGCCTGTAAGGAGGACCTGGCTCAGAAAGAGACCGCGATCGAAGACCTCCGCGAACAGCTCAACAACGCTCTTGGCGCTGAAGAGATGATCGAAAACCTCACTGAACGGAACATGAACCTCTCTGAGGAGATCCAGGAGCTCAAGGCGGTGATTTCTGATCTCCAAGAGCTCAAGGAGATCAGTGATGAGCTCGAAATCAACCACATTCAGAACGCAAAGGAACTGCAGCAGGAGATCGATGCGAAAGATGCATTGATCTCGGAGAAGAACCGCCAGATCGCCCTGCAGAAGCAGGCCAAGGACGACATGGAGTACACTCTGTCGAGATTCCGAGAGCTGGTTACTAGCCTGCAGAGCGACTTAGCAGACATGCGCGCTTCGCATGCCGTGACGGAGAAGGAGTCAGAGCAGTTGAACGACCGCTCCCGCGCCATGCTGGATCTGAACCAGAAGCTGCAGATCTCGGCCGCCAAGGCCCAAGCAAAGACAATTGACCTCGAATTGCGCCATATGGAGGCGCAAGAGGCCGAGCAGCATCTCGAAATCGTCAAACTGTTCCTGCCCGAGAGCTACAAGGACGACAAGGACTCGGTTCTCGCGCTGCTCAGGTTCAAGCGCCTCGCGTTCAAAGCGAACCTCGTCAACGGCTTCATCAAGGAGCGCGTCAGTGGTCAGCCGCATCCTGGTCACGAGGACGACGTGTTCGAGGGTTGCGCTGCTCTCGACAAACTCAATTGGGTCTCTTTCATGTGCGACCGCTTTGTCAGCGCTATCAGCCACTGCTCGCTCGAGCAATTCGCCAAATACCAAGGTGCTTTGTACGAGCTTGAGCCAGCGGAGAGGGCGTTGAACGGCTGGATCGACGGCCTGCGGCGCGATGAACTCAAGGAGAAACAATGCTCCGTCGAGTTGCAGAGGACGATTGCCCTCATGACACACCTCGCCGAGGTGCACATCCCCACCGATCTACAGAGCTTCGCAGGCGACGTGCACATGCGAGCTCTTCTCATGCAGAACCATTTGGAATCCGCAGCCCTCGCATTCACAACCACGAAGGCCATGGTGCAGCGGGTTGTTCTGTCCAATGAGGAGGACGACGAATTCACCCAATACTTCTTGAGCATGACCGACGCTGTTGTCACCCAGACACGCAGCGCCAAGGTCATTGCCGGTAAGTGTGCTCGCGGCTTGGAGGATCTCAAAACGAGATCCCTGTCCCTCCTGCCCGAAACCCTCGAGGTTTTCGAGCAGTGTGAGGGTGCCACCGCTGAGCTCGCCGACATGGCTCGAAGAATTGGTTTGGAGCTCCATCAGTTCCTTCATGACGAGGGCAGAACCGAACCATACACATACGCCGAAGTGCAGTCCTGCATCCAGAATATGGTCACGACTGTCTTCAACTCCAGCGAGACCGATCTGTTCTCAACCTACCTCAGCAAACTGCGTGCCGCCACCTCGCAGATTTCTGATCTCGCCGCGCTCAGCACCGATTTGACCCAGACACAAGAGTTCGAATATGGTCCGGCGCCCTGGGTTCTGCGCAGCCAAGAGCTTAAGGAGCTCAAAAAGATTCCGATCGAGGTTGAGGCCGAAGCCCGCCGTCTTAAGGATGAGCTTGGTAGCGCGCGCCGCACAATTGCCATGCTCAAGGAAGACCTCAGCACAGCTGAAGTCAAAATTGAAACGCTTGAATTCCGCATGCGTGATGCCAAGGCCAAGGCCTCTCGCATCTCGGAGCTGGAAGCTCAAATCGACTCGGCCAAAGCAGACGCCGCCATCCTCTCAGACACCATTTCCAAGCAGGACCGCGAGCTCAAAGCGCTCGAGCTTGACCGCGACAAATGGAAGCAGGTCGCTAGCAGCAGCAGCAGCCGTGTGTCCGCTGGCACTAGTGCCGAAGAGGCAGGGTCTAAAGCAAACGAGGAACGCGCCGCCGCCAGAGCACGTGCCATGGATGGTCTTCAGTCTGCGTTCCAAGGTCTTCAAGCCGCTGTCCTATACCTGCGCGAGGATAACCGCCGCGCCAGGTTGATTGAGCAGCCGAGCTACGACTGGCTTGCCGAGCCCCTCGCTAAGAACGTCCCGCCGGCTGAGCAGCGCAAAGCGAAGGTTGGGTCGGAGAGCAGGGCCGTGCTTAGGGAGCTGGTCAACCTGTCGAGCAATGCTAGGGTCTACAACTTGGCGAGGTTACCGAGTGATAAGGCCGCATGGAAACCGGCCAAGCACTCTCCGCAGCATCATGCTGCAATCCAGTTAGAGGATTACGAATCCTGGAAGGTGGAGGAAAGGAGTGTGAGGAAGGAGAGGAAACCCGGGGCAGCCCGGCAAGTCCGGCTGCCCCGGATGAACGACCAAAAGGTTCATGATGGCGAGCACGGTGGCGAAGTCCACATTGTGCAGGAAGATGAATGAGGGGGTGGCATTGTCAAACACACATTCTTAGAGACAGGAAAGGGGCTTGAATAAGAGGCTTGAATAAATCAAGTACACGATCTTAAATAAAGTTGAAGAGTAAATTCCCTGGATCTGCAGTACCCGTGCTCAGCTCGTGACTTGCGTTTGTGTTGTTCACCTTTCTCTTCTTTTCTTATTGCCCATTTTCATGTTCTTTCGTGCCTTCCTCTTGTTCTCTCTTGTCCTTTCCTCTTGTCCTTTCCTCTGGGATCCTCTTCTCTCCTCTTCCTCCTCTTCTTCAGTCCACCTTGAGTACTACCTATTCAGAAAACCCCAAGGCTGCTCCTCCTCCCCTCAGCTTCCTAAGGGGGGTTGCCTGTTCATACTGTATTAAACAATCCGCCCCCAGCCCGCTCCAGAGGCCTCACCGACGACCACGTCGAGAATCATCCCTTTCGTCTGTGGAAGTACAACTTTTACGAACACCGATCTATCCTCCCTTGGATCTTATCGAGTATGTTCTCCCACCCTTGTCCCTCTCGCCTCCGCCACCGAGATTGACAAGTCTAAGATGACAAAGACCAGATGAAGCTTGGGCAGTCGAGCGTGGGCCGCCGGCAAAAAAAAAACCACCGCGAGACTATGCAACCATCCAGGCCGAGGGCTATAAGTCCTTCCGGTTGTTTCAAGACGCCGGCGGGCCGTTGAGTTACCTGTATTGTATTGTATATCTGTGTCAAGAGGCAAAGACTGAGGAGTGCGGTCCCCTTCGGACATGGTGTTTGGAGAAAGGTCCTAACATTGCTCGGACAGGAAGGGAGATAGTGGTAACACATCAAAAGGTGACGGGCATGTATCCGTATGGCGGGACGGATCTTTAAAGGGTGCATTGTGCGGTGCTTTGGAAAACATCATCTGTTGCGCGTTCATGGAAATCAGTTGACATTCCCCTCGATGATTTTCAGGGAACTGGTTCGGAAATGGCCCTTGGGCTTGTAATGTCGCATCGGAGGAGGAGTGGTTTCATGAGACTGGATGAGAGCATACCCAGAATAAATCCCGGAGCGGAAGGCAGCTGCTTTTTCAGGCAGAGGGTGAAGTGGTGAACGGGAGGTGCAGGTGCAGGATCGAAAAGAATGGGAGGCCTTTAGTGGTCAAGCGTTGTTTACGTGAGGAGCCTGAGAGTCTCGGGTTTGGATGTGGTTGGGACATGAGATGGGGAGTTCTAATGGGACTGAATGATGGCAAACAAGCATCACTATGTTGATGACAGACACGCAGCGAGGCAGCTGCCTTTGCTAGCAATTCAAGTCCCCGCCAGCATGACTGTCACTTGGTAGCCCGTGCTGTGACCCGCACACTCTCCACTGGGCAATTCACTACACTCGCGGTAACGAACCCTGCTTTACTTCCCCTTCCCCTTCTTCTCCTTCTTCCCCCCGCCTCCCCCAGCCCCTCCCGCCGCACCACTACCACCACCCGCTCCAGCAGCCGCCAGCAGACTCGCCATGTCCGGCATCCCTCCCGCCCCGCCGCCCGCCGCCTGCATCTCCTTCATCATGTCCTTCAGGAAATTCTCGCTCACCCCGCCGCCCGTCATGGCGGGGCTGTAGTACGGCAGCAGCTCGCCCATCTTCCACCCGCGCGGCACTGCCGGCCGCGGCCACGGCTTGCCCGGCTCCACCTGCGGCGGCGGCGGCGCCCCGCCCACCCGCATGCGCAGCGCGGGCGAGTCGTCTGTCGTCGGGTTGGCGCGGAGGTGCTTTGCGACGAGGACGTACAGGTGGTGTTTGTTTTTCACCAGTTGTGATCCCGACCCTGGTTGGTTGTCGCCGCGGAGGTTGACCTTGACGCGGCCCGGGTTGGCCCAGTCCTTGGGGTGCAGCTTGCCGGCCTCGAGCACGGTCTGCAGACGCAGCTGGGCACACGCTTGCACGATGTCGATGGCGAGCGGGTTGGCGACGGCGAGCGAGCGTGGCACGCGCCGGCCCTCGGCGCGCGTGCGTGTGGCGTCGAAGTAGACTGGGTAGAGGCACTGGTACGACTTGTAGGCTTTCTCGTCGGTGGTGGTGCGCATTTGGACCTGTGGGAGTCCTCCTTGGGCCACGGATGGTAATGGTCTGGAGAAAGACTGCGGTTGGGGTGGTTGTGATGGTGGCTTTTTGCTGTCGTGGACTCGCCGCATGATGTCCGATTCGACAAAGTCGTCGATGTCGCCCTCTGACGGGTCGGACATGTCGACGTCGCTGTCGGAGACCTCTTCTACCCGCGGGTGGGACATGTTTGCGGTGACGGCGGGTTTGTGGTTTGTTGTCGAGTAGTAGATGGTGGTGGGGGATGAACGTTAATGAACAGAGGTTCATAGTGGGGTCCCCTTGGCGATGATTAAGGTTAGATCTGTGCGTGGGGTTGGTGGGAAGTTCGTGGAAGTAGCAATTTGTAGGGTGGCTGTGGGATTGGGATTTATGCGCTTGGTGCTACACTTTATACATAGTAACTGCTCCCTCAATCAAACGAACCCTGGCAACGCCCCTGAGACCCCAAAACACCCAGGTGGACATGGTTGCAGATGACTTCATGTTTCTTCGTGCCACTTGCCATAGAAAGTTTACCATAGGCCTTACCATTTTGGCGAGCTCGAAATTATCGAGACTGCGCCACTACCTCACTTCAATGGATGCACCGTACCAACCTGGAAGGGATGTCCAATGGTTCAGCAGAGGGCCCGGGACCGCATGCCACCTCGGGAACATCTGACAGGTGCGCAGCCAGAAAACCGACGAATGGGATCATGACGTCGGGAGCTACAGCCACAACGATCAGAGCTCGGCCATAGCTCCCACTCCATCTCGTTCATGGAAAGAGCACCTTCGTCCTCTTTTCCCTGTTCCAGACATGCTTCTGACATTGCAGCTCGTCCTCCCATTGCTCTCTTCTCATCGCTTGTATTATCAATCGCTTACTCGCTCGACGTCTCATTGAGCAGCTGTTGATTGCCTCTTTTGCATATTCTTGACAACCAATCCCGACGAGGTCCGCTAGACATCCATCTCCATCAGATCGAGCTTCGCTTACTCTCGGGTTGAGGGTTCACAAGTGGCAGTAGACGAGGCAGCCGACTCCGGGCTGAGATAATTGTTCGAATTCAACCACTAGGGCCTTCAGCTTTACCAAACGTGTCACTGGTCTTCTTCAACCCAGCCTGATAGCAAGAGGGCCGACCTCCGAGACTAACGAAATAAATCCATTCAGCATTCCAGATACACGAATAGTCGAGATATTGGTTTTCTTAAGCACTGGCCTCCTTGCGCCATGGACGGCTTACAGAATGGCCAAGCCGTCTCTCCGACGGCGGGTATCCCTTTAAGTAGCCCCATGGCCGAGTTTGTCCGCCGATACCAGAGCCTTTCGGCGCACCGGGACTCACAGGAAGAGCTGATCAAGGTATGTGCCCCCAACAACCTGGACCAGGGTGACAGCCTCAATGCAAATACTTCATCCCACTTCTGACTCTTTGGCCGGCAGGATCTTATTCTCTACTCTGAGTCGGTAGAATCCAGCCTCCGTGCGGAGAATACCAACTTGATGAGCCGGCTTCGCGACGCAGAGCTTGACCTTGAAGATGCCACCAGGTCGAGAAGGGAGCTCCAGCAACAGATACAGCAGCTAGAAGCATATCACGAGGCTGCACTGCAAGACAGCTATTTGAAAGTATGTACTTTTACATACAACCCCACGGCACGGGGACGTACGCCCATTGCTCACTCCTCCGCAGAACAGTAACCCGTATGTTACTGTTTTAATTGACGGTGACTGCCTTCTGGTGAGATGTCCCGGCCTTCCCCTGACCCCCACCAATTCCGTGTAGCTCAGATGATGTCGCGGCTAGTTCAAAGAATCCCTGATCGGGCAGGGCATTGAAGGCGGCAAGAAGGCAGCGTACGCCCTGCGTGCCGCCATCCTCGAGCAGTGTGGCAGCCACGCCAGCAGCATCGAGATCATTGCTAAGGTTTACGCCAACCTCGCCGGTCTTTGTAGGGCCATGCGCCGCGACGGCTGTTCGAGCAACGAGAGCGACCTCAAGGATTTCTCGTTGGGATTTACCCAGGCCAAGGCTAGTTTTGACTTTGTCGACGTCGGCCATGGCAAAGAGCGGGCAGACAACAAGATAAGGGGTAGGAATATTGTTTTATCGCATTCTTAAGAGGGCTGGCTTGTTGAGGGCACGCGCTGATGAGAGCGCTTACCAGAAACAACGAAATGGCACCTCCGCAATAGCAACTGCAAACAGGTTATTCTCGGCATATCGCACGACGCCGGATACGCCCCTTTTCTGGACGAGCTGTTCCAGGACGCTTCACTCCGCGTACGGGTGACCGTTTTGGAAGGCTTCCCAACAGTTCGCGAGCTTGTAGCAACCGGGGTGAACATCTTGAATTTGAATGACCGGCTGTTCCGGTCCGAAAAGCTCGTGGATAAGGTTTCACTCGGGCCTACCCTAATACCTGCGCCCTCCGATGTAAGAGGTGTGGCCGCCAGCGTCACAAGCGCCAGTATCTTGACGCCCTCCACATCTATCGCCTCGACACCGGCTCAGGTTTCGGCCACAACATATGCCCGAGCTATTAAGAATGCCACTCCCCCGCCGCAGATCACGCTCCCGATGCAGCTCAAGCCAGCTACCGCCTCAGCTCGTCCTTCCCAACAACCACAGTCAAAGCCAGCAACATGGTAATTTTGCTTCCCGCTCACCCCAACGAAGACTCTTCCTCGTAAACCGCAAACTAAATGGACTGGCATGAAAATAGGAACCCAGGGCCCCGCGGACTGGACCCGCCGCTCCTGGTCTCGCAGACGGCGCTCGACACCATCAAGAAGCGGCGCGACAACCACAAGCTGTGCAACAACCACTACCTTCGCGGGCCATGCACCAAGGGCAGCGCTTGCATGTTCGAGCACGATTATAAGCCGACCAGGGATGAGCTGGTGGCCATTGCATTTTTGACGCGGCTGAACCCGTGCTCCAAGGGCCAGGAGTGTGATATTCCCGATTGTATCTATGGTCATCACGTACGTTCCTCTTTTCCTATTTCTTCTTCTCCTTTTCCCCTTATTTCCTTTCCCGCTGTTTCTTTTCTGGCAGCCTCTTGGTCAATGGAGTGCTTCTGGTTGTTGACATGCAAGGGACACGCACGAACCGAATCAGTGCCCTAGCGTTCGTGACGGAGCGTGTACGCACCCGTTTTGCAGATTTGCGAAGGAGGATCATCCGCCTGGGACGAAGCTTAGGGTGCACAGGTCTTAGGATGAGGTGTGTGTCACCTAGGTTGTCGAAGAAAGGCTGGCTGGTTGGTGTGTGTGTAGATGTGCGGGCTTAGCGTTGTGTGAAATAAATATAAGCGTTGGTTTATGCGGTGCGGAGGGTGAGCCCGTACAAGGTCGTATAGGGAGACGGCCTTCTTCAATTGCAACTAGCCGAATCGGGAGCGGTACGCACCGAACCATGTACCGTACCTAGATCATCCGATGCAGGTTTTTCACCCGGCCTAGCAATAAGTGCGGTTTTCCTGCTGACAAAGCATATGAGGGTCCGGCACGCCTGTTATGATGGGCATAGCGGTGTAGGAAAATAAAATATAATATAAGCGTTGATTACCTAGGTAGGTGCTGTATCTGCTATCTGGGTACCTAGGGAGTGGACATGTTGAGACGCTGCTGCTGCTGCTGATGATTATGATATGATGCCTACTATCAAATATCACGAGTGTTAGTACTAGCGAAAATGGACGGGGAAGTAACATTAAATTCTTTGAGTACGGTGCCGTATGACGTGGGTTGGTATCCTTTCCGCGTCCCTTCCTCAACGACAGAAGTTCTGTATTCGATGGCCATCATTACAGTATTGTTAGGACCACTCACGACTGATGGGAAGGATACTATTGTCCGTTCGTTTCCCAATTAAAGCGCCGCGGAGAAGGACAGCCGGTCGGTAGACTCAAGGTGTTCCGATCTCAGTGGTGGAATGGGATGGCAAGAGAATAAGGCGGTGCCGTGGTGTTGGACGAGACCTCCTCCTTTCACCTATCAAAGGAACGGAGCGTCAGTTAGCCGGGTTGCCTTGAAACGGTGAGAAGTCGGGTGAAGGCGGCCCAGATGCCGCTAGATAGCTCACCTTGAGGAAGCCCCTTCCTTCTGCTTGCGGACTGAGTTCAATTAAAAGCAGATATCCAGATAATCTTCCTACCTCGATGCAATCCGTGAAAAAAAGGGAGGCGAGTGGGAGTATGGTTTACGGGTTACCATAGGTACTTTTCTGGTACGCTCATTCAAAGCAGGAGGTATGCAGCTGGTAGCGTAGCCACATCATTGCATGGAGGAACGCCTTCCTCAGCCTGTCAGTCGAACTACATCGTGATGAATCAAACACTTGCATTGGGGCAATCTCTGGGGGCCGCATCCTGAGCTAACTGCAGGGTGTTAAGAGGTTGTAGCAGCAGTTAGCCTATTTTACGCAAGGTTGCAGACGTCAGGGCGATGTGCGTCTGCAGATTATTGTTGAAAGGGCACACATGCCCCTCGGGATGGATCCGGAGGTCGCCCGGGGTTGAGTCGGAGCCGGTCCGGCCCCACACGCCCCATCAACGGCCCTCTCATCATGGGTTGTCATTGGTTACCGCCGCTCTGGGAGTTTCCGAATTGGGAAGGAGACTGCTAAACCCGGCTCCCAGACTACCTACCTACCCAGCGTCAAAGAACATATAGCTATCAGAACATCGCGAATATTTCAGCAAGAAAGGACACATCCATCCCGCTCGCCGTAGGGTGCCTCGTCTGCCCACCAGGCCACTGCTGTCCCGCTCATGACCGCTGAGCCCCTACGCCTCTGGAGCCGCATTGATATAATCAACGAGTTCGTCATGGGATGGCCTCGCCAGCTTGCTCATCCTGGTCATCGACATAGCCCCCTGTTGGGCCTCTCCATGAGCCGGGAACTAAAACGCGAGGAGCGAGAGGACGGGCGCGCTTTGTTGCGCTGTGAGCGGAATGAAACCGGGGGTTCGCGGGATGTGGAGGTTGGGACGGAGAAAACGGCGTGTCAGACGACTAACGGAGCTTGAGACGATCCGTGATCCCCGTCACCAAGTGCCAGTGTGTTAGAATCGGGCAAGACGGAGTTTGGCCTTCAGCTGTAAAAGGTTTTCTCGTTATGCTTTTCAGAGGCAAGAACCATTCAAGGTTCCATTAGGAGAGGACGCATGTGGGCTATTATCGCCGGCTCCGGCGCTCAGGGGAGAGGCAAGTCCCGTAACCCTCGTCCTTCCATGTTGATATAGACCCATGGGCTGACTGGTTGGGTTGTCTAGGTTGAAGTAGTGTCTGGCCCTCTTGTGTTTCTCATCTACCGTAAGCAGCTTTGCAAATGTCCTCATGGGCTGAATTGCGCACGTCACCGTGAGATCTGAGGACCATAAACAGTCTATGGTAAGTGGTATGACCAAGAAAGAGAGCGAGCTGCTCCAGTTATGTGTCACAATGTTCGCTGGAAGGGAAGAAGATAAGATAGGGTATATAAGGCGGCTTGGTGGGCTCCCCTTCCAACACCCCCCGCAACCGCACACAGAACGTCACGTAACTCTTCGTGGCGTAGTGGTCGAGCTGTGAGAAATCGTCTAACATCCTCCGCGTGCGCAACCCTGCTGCGGAGATTGTGGGAACACATGTTCGATTCGCGGTTGCATCTCTTCCTTTTTTTTCCTTTTTTTTTTTTGCTTTTCCATAGTTTGCTTCTATATCAATTTAGGTCCCATACGAACTATACTTTCCCAGCTAGAGTCAGTCGCAATCGATAAACACACCTCTTTCATAAATGACATGCAACCCCGAGACCTCTAACGGAGAAGCTGCGCAGAGTTTCCAAGTGTGTCATTATCCATCAGCTTCTCCAAAGAAACAGCGGAAAGCCCTTCACTAACTTTCCCATCCCCGACGTGTTGAAGTTGCTTGACGGGCTCATGCCCGCTGCACAAGACATAGGCGGGCTGACGGGTCACCTGTCAGAGCTGGACTTGGAGCTGTCAGTGAACCTACTTTAGTCAAACGTAGCAGATTCAGCATTTCAGGACTGGACATTATCGCAAAACATCGGGTTAAGGTGAGCGGTGTTGCTGGTCGATCTGTCGCTAAACCAGCCCAAAGGCGTGTTATTCCAAGGGGCCTACCACGGCCCTTTCACGATCTTCTGCTGGTGACTCTTATCTAGATCCCGGTCTGGCTCATGGTTACCGGTTGGTATTTCTACAAACACTGGAGTAATCGACCAAGTGTACATAAGCATCACATCTGTGGTTATTGCACATGGCTTAGAGGCGCACTTCGCGCCGAGTATGGCCTGTCTTTGGATTCAGGGATAAGCTGACAGGGCATACCAGCGGGCGTCTTCGTCTCAGGTCGGTACTTATCACGGACCGTAACACCTCACAGTTCTGATCACCACATACTAGGTATTTACCCGTCCCAGGGAGCTGGGAGCCACATCCTCCACAGTTAATTGGGGACGTCGTCCCGACGGGAAGCCCGGGCTCAGGACTGGCCCGGAACTTCGTTTGAACCGGGAGCCGCCCACCGGTCGGCCTTACCAATTAGCATCACAGAGTTGGAACTCAGCCACCATGTCCCAAGAGGAAGGATTCTGGAAGACTTCGGAGTGGAGACATGATCTACATACAACCGCCCCAGCATGACATGCGTTGACTATTATGGAGTAACTTAATCCGTTAAGACGGCTGTTCCGGTTCCTAGTTAAGTATTGAGGTTGACATGCTTGGAACCTGTGTTGTGGCTCTGCCCCGTTGGATGTTATGTGCTTTCCACCGTTGCTTGCTGCCCGCGTGTTTTCACGCAGGGATACTCGGTCCAAGTTCTGTGGCGAAATCTATGAGAGAGAGAGAGGATGCGAATGTTGTCTACCAGAGGTAAGTCCTGTAATAAGATACTCTGTCATTGCCAGGTGATGGCAGTTAGCTACAACTTACGGCATAGCAATTCCCAAAGCAACTGCCAAGGAGCACAGCCTCGCATGGGTGCCAATGTGCATGGCAAGATGTTGAGATTGGAATGATGCCTTACTGCAACTGTACCGCTTAGGGCATCTTTGAGTGTGAGTCCGAATGACATGACATGACATGACATACTTTCACATAGGCCTTTTGCCACAATTATGCTGGCTGAGCAGTGGCTCTGCCCGGTTGGCATACAAGGCAGAACGGCGATGCACAATTGCGAACCGACAATCGTATCCGCCGTATTGCCGGGCATCCGATCCCGGGTGGGGCGAAACCGGTAACCTTCAGCTGCTGGTCCAATGAACGCTGTTGAACATGGCCACGCCTCCACTTACCGCCGTGGAGACTGCCAAGGCCCCGCCCCCGCAGTGGTGCCTGCAGGGAGCTTTGACCCTTGTCGCCGCGCTACAAGCTGTCGCACATGACACCCCATGCCACGATGGCACGCTGCATACAGCCGGCTCGAATGACGTTTCAAAACACTTAAAACCACCTCAGACGTCCCTCAGGCATACGTCTTTCGGTCTACTCATAACTTTCTCGCTGTCTTCTTGCGGAAATTGAAGACAGTGACACGCAATCAACATCCCCCAAGTCTCTATACCCTTGTTGTATCTTCGAAACATGGACGCTTCCGATCAGAGTTCGTCAAAGGGCAAGGCGGCCGATCTCATTGGCGCCGGCGGTTTCCGCCCGCAAGTGAACATGGAAGTCAGGCCACCGAAGCCCGAGGACCTCCAGAAGAGCTACGCCAGCGTTGTTGACGAGGTTCACAGTCCCGGCTGGTACGGAGGCATGAGTACGTCATCTTTGCTCGGTAGTCCCAGGATTGCTTGCCCGCTAATACACAACAGTCAATGTCCTCGGCGAAGTCATTGGATGCTTTGGCGCCATTCCGTTTTGCGTCTGCTTTCCGAATCCTTATAAGAAGGTCTCACAGGGAAATGTTGGCCTGGTCACGGTAAGCCCTGCCTCATCCCGGAGTGTCGTTATAGAATGGGTATGCTGACCGCCGGAACCTGAAAAGAAATTCGGCCGCTTCTACAAAGCAGTGTAAGTGATCCCCGATAGTTGATCTCCTGAGACAAGAGACTGAACGTTCTGTAGGGATCCTGGTCTCACCAAAATCAACCCCCTGTCAGAGTCCCTGATCCAGGTGGACGTCAAGATCCAGATCGTCGAGGTGCCCCAGCAGACCTGCATGACCAAGGACAACGTCTCGCTGCACCTCACCTCGGTCATCTACTACCACATCGTTGCCCCGCACAAGGCAGCCTTCGGCATCACCAACATCCGCCAGGCACTCATCGAGCGCACCCAGACCACCCTCCGCCACGTCATCGGTGCGCGCGTGCTGCAGGATGTGATTGAGCGCCGTGAGGAGATTGCGAAGGCCATCGGCGAGATCATCGAGGAGGTCGCGGCCGGCTGGGGAGTGCAGGTGGAGAGTATGCTGATGAAGGACATCATCTTCAGCCAGGAACTGCAGGAATCCCTCTCCATGGCCGCGCAGAGCAAGCGCATCGGAGAGAGCAAGATCATTGCCGCGAAGGCAGAGGTACGTTACATCCCGTCCCCCCCGCTCCGGATGCCATCCCCTCTTTCGCCAGTTTCCATCATGATGACTAACAGCCTTCCTCCCCACACAGGTCGAAGCCGCCAAGCTAATGCGCCAGGCGGCCGACATCTTGTCATCGGCGCCGGCCATGCAGATCCGCTATCTCGAGGCGATGCAGGCCATGGCCAAGAGCGCCAACAGCAAGGTCATCTTCCTGCCGGCCGCTAACCAGACCATGCCCGGCTCCGCGGCGTTCAATGCCGCCATGGCCGGCGAGCGCCACGGCAACCCGTTCGAGGAGGGCGGCAGCTCGGCCGGCAAGTCCAACGACCACGACTTTGGAACGCACGACACCGGCTTCCAGCAAGCTATGAACGCGCGCGTGATCGAGAATATTTGAGTATGTGATGATCCCCTCTCCTCTCAAGTGGGGGGCCGGTGGCACTCGATCTCTCGCGTCGCTGTACAGTCTCCGCGGATATGTTGAAATGTCGAGATTGATGGGATAATATTATGACCGTGGTCTCTTATCATTCTTTTTTTATGTCGAACAGTTTGTTCACTGTGTTGGAATTGTATTGTATGACCTGGAGTGGCAGTGGGAGTGGGGCCGGAATGATTCGCTCTGGCTTTCGATACCATAACGACTTGTTTCGACAGATTTTTCTACTCCTGTACATGTTATTGATGGAATGTTTGACGGGGGGGAAGGGATGGAATGAAACGGGGGATACCCAAATTAGCAGACTTTTGGAGCGGGACACGGAAAGGGGCATTGCTTAAGACCACCATCGTTTGTGTTTTGTCGTTGAGTAATGATACCTCCCCTTTGCTTCCTATACCAAAAGAGTTAGGTTAGATGACAGGCCTGTCTAGTACCGAACCTTCATTATTTGCGAGGGATCTGATTATTGTAAGAGGAAACCCGCCCCCCCCATGACCTGCATACAGCTCATTTTCTCGGCCGGCTTACCAAGCCCTTTCCCCCCGAAGGTCCACCTTTCCAGGACAGCAGGACCGAAAGATACCACGGTGCCGAAGTTGTCCAGGCCGGCATTCCTCGCAAGGAGGGTGCCAGCTGTGCCCCTACAGGTGACAATCCCATCTTGAGGGCGTAATGTCCTGAGGTATCTTGAGGCTCGAGGGCTAAAATGGACGGTAAGATGGGAGGAGCGAGATAAACACATTTTGGGCAGGTTCATGATCGGTCCAGATACATAGGACCGAACTACTTGTGGGTATCTACACTATAACCTCGTCTCACCCCGCCCCCTTTATTGTACTTTCCTTCCTTCCTCCCCTTCAATCATCAAACCCCTCAAACTCATCACCACCGCCCTTGCCCCCCCAGCAACAGCAGCAACCGCCTCCTCATTCCTCTTCCTCACCTGCCCAATCATCTCCTCCAGCTTCCGCTGCTCTTCCTTCTCCTTCTCCGTCATCTTCCCTAGCCGCTGCGCCTCCCTCTTCCTCCTCTTCTTCTCCCGCCGCGCAAGCTTGAGATCCTCAGCCTCGTGCTTCCCGCTCCACGCCTCATTCTTCTTCCTCTTCAACGACGGAGCGCCAGTACTACTATTCCCCGCCGCCCGCTCGGCATCCCGTTCCGCCTTCTCCTTCTTCCACCGCTCCAGCTCGGCCAGGCGCTTCTGTTCGCGGACCTTGTCCCGGAACGGGATACTCTCCGTGTCGATGCCCAGCCCCAGCGAGCGATCGAGCCCTTTCACCTCGGGCATCTTGGGCAGCTCGAGCAGGCCGTACCCTTTGGCCAGGTCGGCCCAGTCGAGGTCCGCCACCCGGAAGATGGAGCTCGCCTGGTGCTCGATGTAGCTGCGCGCCCAGCTGACGAAGGCGCGCTGCGCGAGCTGGAAGATCTCGCGGTCGGCCTGGGCCTGGGCGCGGATCTTGGACGCGGCAGACTCGGCGTCGGCGTCGGTCACCGAGATGGCCGGCTTTTCAAGGGGGGTGATGGGCGTCTGCCGCACTTCGAGGAGCTGCACGTAGCCTTCTTCCCGGCCCGGCTGGAGCATGACGACGGCTAGGCCGCGGCGGCCGGCGCGGCCGGCGCGCCCGCAGCGGTGGATGAAGACTTTGGTGTCGGTGGGCGGGTCGTGCTGGACGACGAGGTCCACCTGGGGGATGTCGAGGCCGCGGGCGGCGATGTCGGTCGTGAGGAGGACGGTGGGGGAGGTGGCGTTGACGAAGCGCTCGAAGTTCTTCTCGCGGACCTGCGGTTCGAGCTTGCCGTGGAGCGAGACGATGGAAAAGCCCGAGGGTAGTATCCCGTGCAGGACCCGGGCGAAGTACTTGACGGCGAAACAGGTGGAGAAGAAGACGATGGACCGGGACGGGCGTGGCTCGAGCTTTTCTAGCAGCTGGCACAGAGCGGGGATCTTCTGGCTTGCCGGCGTCACAATGTAAGACATCTGCAACGACATGGGCGTCTTCCTCTCCTGGATGACACCGCCGTCCTTTAAGCTCTTCACCCGCACCGTGATCTTGTGCGGGTATAGTAGGCCCACAGTAATCAACCTCTCTACCGCTTCGCTTAATGAGGCACTGAACAGCCCAGTACGTCGCTGTTTCGGGAGGTAGCCCAGTATCCGAGTAAGTTCCTGGGAAAAGCCAAGATCGAGAAGGCGGTCGGCCTCGTCCATAACCAGCACCTCAAACGAGGAAGAAGGCGCCTTGACATAGGGGCTCGACAACAGTTCTGCAAGGCGCCCGGGGGTGCCGATGAGCAGGTTCGGTGACAGCCGCAGGAATGTGCTCAGGTCTTCGGCGGCCTTGGTCGTCCCTCCAACCAGGAGCTGCGGGACAACCACCGGCTCAGCCGTCGCAGGCCGCTTCTCATCGCTTTTCGAGTATGGTAGGAGATCGGCGGACGGGGCATGGAACTTGATGAGGGATACGAGGACGTTGTAGATCTGCGACGCGAGTTCCCGGGTCGGAGAGATGATAATGCCCTGGACATGGTGTCGCTTTGCGGGCTCCTCACAGCGCAGGAGTTTCTGTTAAAATCTTGTCAGGAATGCAGCCTCGTACCCATTAGGAGAGCAAACGCGCACCTCGACCACGGGTATCAAGAACGCCAGGGTCTTCCCGCTGCCAGTGACGGCCTCCACCACGACGTCCTTGTTGCCGCGGAAGATGTCCAGACATGATTTCTGCACTGGTGTGGGCTGTTCAAAGCCCATCGAGGAGAGGTAGTCAAGGATCCATTGCGCAAGGCTCGGGGTAAGGGCGTCCCACGACCTGGGAGCCTTCCTGGCGCGGGGTTGTGTTGGCGCCATTGCGCGAGATGCTCGTCACTTTTTAATACGGGAGACCCTCTTACCAAAAACTCAGGTAGTAAAGGCGATGGGTGATCAAGCGATATCTTATCGATAACTTTATTTTGCGACTGCGGCTGATTGGTACAGTACATGCCAGACCCACGTGGTGAAGGTAGTACTGTACAGTAAGTACCTACTCGTACTGTACTGGAGAGCACTGTGTAAACACTCCATCAACCTAGGACGACCGCGATGAGAACCCTCAATGGATGGCGGAATTGTCAATGTGACCAAGCCAGGTAGTTGACCTCTTCATGTTCAAAATCCGGACGTGGTTTCATTAATCAGTGTCTAGCCTCCTCGGCCTTCTGGTGATTCCCGATTTTCAAACTCAATGGGAATCAACAGCCACCGTAGCCACGTCGGTATAGGCAACCTCGAAACGTCTTGGTTGTCTAATAAGACACAGAAGAGTCACGGGCTGAGCCAGTCTTGGGAGATTGTTTGGTGACTTCTGCGGACCGAAAAATGATGCATTCCTTTGTCACGCTCACGCAAAATGAACCGGGCGTGGAATCAGAGGGAAGATGTGCCAACCCGTCCCAGCAACCAACCTATGAGATATCTCGACCACCTTCTCCTGTACGACACGGGCAGTCTAGCGAAGCTTTTGATGGCTAGATACGCACGAGTGTTGGCATCACTCTTCTGGGCCTCTGGCCGCCATATGTGGCCTTAGGCCTACAACGAGCCTTCCATCGAGGCTCCGTCCCACGGCAGGACAAAGTGGTAACATGCACTGAACTCCGCGGACGGGCTTGCGAGCTATAAGTAAGGGTGGTAGACAGTCGCTCTTGTTCGCCCTCTATTGCCCTTGCCCCTGCCCTGCAGCAATAGGACCAGCGAGCGAGTACCTCTGGCATCCAGCATTACGAACCAAAGACCTCATCTACCAACATGCGCAATACTTCGAGATCAAGGTCAGCTTCAAAGACTGCGAAAGGGTTTCGAAACACGTCGTTACAAGACGCAAATATGAGAAGTGCGACAGAGCACTGAAGAGCTGCTTCATATGTGACAATGCTGCTCCCGCTCTAGGAGAGAATGGCAAAGGTCATGCAGATGGGCGCCTCCAAGCAGTCAGGAAAGTGTCCGAGGTGTCTCTCCTGAAAGGCTAGCTCTACAATCGCTGAGACCTGCGAGTCGCGGACCGCAATGGCGCAGGTCAAACTCGTGCTGGTAAGCGGAACGAGAGAAGAAGGCGGTCGCAAACAGCTATTGCGGCGTTGCAAGGATGAGGACGGCCGCTTTGACACTGGGTAAAGAAGACACAATGGAGTTTTTGCCTTTTTATTGTGCTATTTCACGTTGGACGCCGAAGCAGGCTGGGGCTAGGGAACATAGACCGTCTTAGGGCGCGGCAACAGTTACAATTTACAAATCCATCATACTAGGTACCCGCAACCAGCATTTCCTGATGAGGATTCCGAGTGGCCAAGTAAACAGTACTAGCAAACAGAGCACCACCGACTTGTGGATGATGATTACCACGTAACTACTACCAGTGTACATTTGCACGTGCCTTCTACTGATCGTCAACATTACAGCCAAACGCCCACGGCATGTGTCGAAGCAGCGAAGGCGACACTGGCCGCTTGGCTCTGCATCCTTGGGAGCTACCCACCTTGTCTAAGCCTCTAAGGTAGCTAGGAACTGCAAGTAGCTAGGGTAGTCACACCACTCATATATCAAGGGGGGCATACGGTAAGTATACCCCCAGAAACTAAGACGAAGCTTCAGCTAAGCCGTACCAACAAATAGGGGAGGCGAAAGGAAAGTCAAACTGACCAGCATGCGGTTTTTGACGATGGCAGAATCTGAGGACGACGGCAGTTGGTAGGAGTCTCATGGATAGAGTGTTGTCGACAATCAGTCCGTACTCAGTATGCGGTATGTGATTCACGACAGAAACGACAGCCCTACAAGATGTATATACCCCGCTTTATCGGACATATCCCGATGCGCCAAGTCTATGATCGACACGAAGGGTGCTGAAAGAGGCTTTCAGCTGGACAGCGATCACGGATATAACAGGACGCGACTTGTACCTAGGTAGTTGGACAATGCCGGATAGGCCACCACAAGTTGCGGTGCCGAAGCCAAAACAGGAAGGAGGTTTAAGTACCACCACTCCGTCCGGGACATCGGTTGAGCACGTCTCTCCTAGTGTTAAAAGTAAGGTGAAAAACCAAACCTGTATCTCCGAGGTAGAAACCCAAGCCGAGCCAACAGGGCAGAAGTTTGCCTAGCAGATAGACTGAGCAGTCTTCTTGTCGGTTGCCGTGCTTAACTAGGGTTAACCATCGATTTGTTCCAAGCTGAGAATACTCGTTATGGACTTCGTCGGAGGAGATCACCGACCTTCTAGTTTCCATTTGTCATATGAACTCCTATTCCGTCTCCGCGCGTTGTATGCACCAGAAGTGCACTCACCACTATGTTGTACGACTGTTAACCATGATTCTATAGGCCCATTTCTAAACGTAGATTCATACTCTTCATTTGAGGTTGTATCTGCCTGACAAGTCTTCTAGATGTTTTCCAACTGCTACACCGCTAGGTTGATTATTTTGTCACATTTTGTCTTCAACATCACATACCTAGGTACCTACGTTTTCAACTATCTCCTCGTCTATTACTCGAATATCCGGCGAACGTGGACATGGCAGTTGGCGAGTCCTGATTTATGGCCCCGCTCTCCCATTATCCTTCACGTCTCTACCGTAGCCTTCCACCTCTGTGCTAAGTCAGCAGTCGTTCGCTACTGCATATCCCTTGTCTCTGCATGTGCTTGTTTCACTGGGTGACGAGTCAAGACGCAACACGCCGGCCCCGTGATTCGTAGTGTCCGGGTATCTGAGAATTGGTTGGCACACCAGACACAGGGGAGGTCATTTCTTGAATCTAGAACCCTTGTGCTGCCTTCCCCGCCATTTCTCGTGTGTGAGGGTTTCTTGTTGCGGTCATGAATACCACGACAATATTGCTGATCTAGAGTAATCGGCTTGGTGTTTGCCCGAAAACCATCAAGAGAAAGTTGGCGTCTCAGTTGGGATAGGAAATCCAACGATGCCATTGGGCCCATCTCGAGTATTGTGCTACATTGCTGTCATGCGCTTACTACACTGATCGGCAAATAAGGCTAGCTGTAGGACAAGCCGCCTCCCTATATCGTTTGTGTTACCTTCCGCGTTCGAGCCGCTCTAGTTCCATCTTGTAGCTGTCATAGGGCATGTTGCGCATGTGAACCTACACGCTGCTCATGGGTCTCGCCGGCTTCGGCGAACGGCTCGAACTGCTGCATCATGACAAGACATGGTGGGAGGGCACCCGAGAGCGGTAGGCTTTGCGAGGAGGGACTATGTATATAAGGACGTCCACCTCGGGCCCTTTCAACCATCTAGATTCACTTCACATCCAGTCCTCCACTGAGCAACAACAGCTTGACTTTTGAACCTACCAAACCACTTTGCACCAAACCAAAGCCCAAACCCCATATCAACCATGAAGACCTTCGCCTCAATCCTGCTCGGTCTCGTCGCTGCCGTGTCAGCGGAAGACTATGTCTACTACACGGGCAACCGGTGCACCGGCGACGTGGTCGGGTCGGGCACTCTGGCCTGCGGGCCCAACCCGATGCCGCTCTCGCCTCTCATCCACGGCATCCGACTCAACTTTGCCAACGGACTTCGTACCCGCTTCCACGACAACCGGGACTGCTCCGGTGCGGCCTGGTTCACCGACGACGGAACCGGCGGCTGCGTCACCGACTCTGCCGCCAGAACCAACTGCATCTTTGTCCCGTGCTAGGTATTTAAATATAAGTTGGGCACTGCTACCTAGGTACTTTGGATGGTGCGTGCCTTTCTCTCGAGTCAAATCCGTTTTGGAAATGAATGAATGAACAATAGTGCTTACAAAAACCACTGTTTTACAGGCAAGTGACAGCAATCTGGCCGCCTACCCACACCGCTCTCGTACACAGGCCATGCTGGTAGTCTTTTCGATTCTTATGAGCTGGGAGAGATACCCGACTTTACTCCGTTGGGTGGATGTTTAGGGTTGAATCCCACGACGGGCATGATTTATGAAACATTAGTCGCTCGTTAATGACATTGATTTCATCGCGGACTGCATTGGTAATGATGTGTTACCCATGGTTCTTTGCCGTACCAAGAGGCCTTCATGATCCTCGTGGTCACAGGTCCTTTCCATCTCCCGCCCGTGGCCTCATATGAGAGCGCTATGAGGACAGCCGACACTAGACCTAGTAGATAGTGTTTGTACTTGTTTGCCGCCTGTCGTGGTATGCTCCGCGGATGCGTCGAATTCCACAGCATTGCTCCAAAACGCAGACGTTGAGTGTCCCTCCCTTTGAAGTGCTTCGTTACGCTCGTTTCTGTAGCCTGGATGCGCCCTAGATTCCGAATCGGGGCAAAACCCAGATTTCAATCTTATGTGTCAATCGTTCAATGCGAAATGTTAGTCTGCCTTCCTTGGCCAGCTGCTTCTCTGTGGGACACTGCACGTTAGGCTCGACTGATTGTAGTAGTATAGAGTCTATACACCATAAGCCAAGATACCTCGCTGACGATGTTTTCATCCCTTAACCAAGTCCCATTTGGCTCCTATAAGGTGAGACTCGCCTCAATAGACGAATGCGACCTAAGATAGGTACTGTAGTTAGTATAAAGCTTCAGCATGACAACAGGAGGTACTTTATGTGACAACATGTGGGTCTCTAAAGGCTCAACGCATCAACGGTCAGCCCAGGCGGCCCAGTACAGGGCTCTTGCTGGCGCGATTGCATACTGTCTCCTCGGCTTTGGAACCTGACTTGGAAACGCTTGCGGGAACTACTTTACATACGGCGATGGGTAGAGACCCGGTACCGGCAGTGCTGCCGAAGCGTTCCATTCTCCGCAGTTGCAGGGGGCTCCAGTTCCGGGGAAGAACCCTGCTTTCCTTGGAAAGCCGCGTGCCCGGCCCCGATCCCCCCTCCAGACCCCAGCACCTAGGTAGCATCTTAATCGGCTCCTTGACACGGCAAGTAAATTAAGTCAGGTACCTAGGATAAGCGTTTAACCCTCAGGAGGACAACATAAAGGCCGTCCAGGATCCAAGTCTTCCAAGATGGTCACCCGTGGAATTTGCCGTCCCTTCGCCCGTTTCGCAGCGCTCTCGTCGGCCACGGTGGTAACCGTCAGAAAACGTCGTCATCATGCGAAGCCCGGTGTTTGCAGCGTTGCTCACCTCGGTCGTGGCGGCAGGGCAATGTGAATGTAGCCGCAACAGCAACAGCAGCAGCAGCAGCTTCGAGCAGCAGTGCTCCAAGTTCGCGCAGAAGCTGGACATCGACAACGCCACTGTCTGGCTCGCCCAGCCGGTGGCCGCGGGCACCAACCTGACCTTCCCGGACGCGGACCCGTCATGTGGCCAGACCGCCCTGGCCGTGGGCGTCGACTTCTGCCGCATCACGCTGTATGTGGCCACGTCGGGCCGCTCGGGCATCAGCATGGAAGCCTGGCTGCCGCGCAACTGGACCGGCCGCTTCCTGAGCACGGGCAACGGCGGGCTCAACGGCTGCCTCAGCTACGACGACATGGCCTACGCGACCGAGCTCGGCTTCGCAACCGTCGGCGCCAACAACGGCCACAACGGCACGTCGGGCGAGCCCTTCCTCAACAACCCCGACGTGGTCGAGGACTTTGCCTGGCGGTCTGTCCACACCAACGTCGTGGTCGGAAAGCGCATCTCGGAAGCCTTCTACAACAGGAAGCACACCAAGTCGTACTACCTCGGCTGCTCGACCGGCGGCCGCCAGGGATTCAAGTCGGCCCAGTCCTTTCCAGAGGACTTTGACGGCATTGTGGCCGGCGCGCCCGCCGTCGATTTCAACAACCTGAATTCCTGGTCCGGCCACTTCTATCTCCTCACCGGCCCCGCCGGCTCCCCCACCTATCTGACGCCCGAGCAATGGTCCGCCGTGCACGACGACATCATGGCCCAATGCGACGGCCTCGACGGCTACGTCGACGGGATCATCGAGGAGCCACGACTCTGCCAGTACCGCCCGGAGTCGCTGATCTGCCCGCCCGGCACGCCAGCCAACAGCAGCAGCAGCACGTGCATCACCGGCGCACAGGCCGGCACCGTCCGCGCCGTGTTCTCGGACCTCCACGGCGCCAACGGCACGCTGGTCTACCCGCGCATGCAGCCCGGCTCGGAGCAGCTCGGCACGCCCTACCTCTACTACGGCGGCCGGCCCTTCCCCTACGCGGCCGACTGGTTCAGGTACGCGGTCTACAACGACCCGGCCTGGGACCCGGCCACGCTGGGGCCCGACGACTACGCGCGCGCCGACGCGCTCAACCCGTCCGACATCCGCACCTGGTCCGGCGACCTGGCCGCCTTCCGCGCCCGCGGCGCCAAGCTGCTGCACTACCACGGCCTGCAGGACCAGATCATCTCCAGCGCCAACTCGCCGCGCTACTACGACCACGTCGCCCGCACCATGGCCCAAGCCCACCTGTCCGGCGGCGGCGTCGCGGGGCTCGACGACTTCTACCGCTTCTTCCAGATCTCGGGCATGGGCCACTGCACGGGCGGGTCCGGCGCCACTTTCATCGGCCAGGCGCGCGGCTCGACCGCGAGCCTGGACCCGGAGCAGAACGTGCTCATGGCGGTGGTGAGGTGGGTCGAGCAGGGCACGGCGCCCGAGGGGATCCTGGGCACGGCGTTTATTAATGGCACCACCGAGGTTGCCTTTCGGAGGAGGCATTGTAAGTACCCGCTGAGGAATACCTATACGGGGCAGGGGGATCCGAGGGAGCCTGATAGCTGGAAGTGCGTTGTATGATTACCGTAGGTGGGCTCAGTGTGGCTACCTATTGAGGAGTGCTGATGTGGACGAGTCGGTACTAAGTAATTAGTTGGTTGGTTGGTTTCAACTTGCAATGTCTTTCATAGAACGTGACTTTTTTAGTATGCATCGTCAAATTTCAAGATCTCCCGGTCACCTTATGATACTGTCATAGTTTGGATCTGTGATAGTGTAGATCTGTATGTTTGGCATTGAAAGTACGAGACTCAGAAAGGCGTTGGAAAAACGAACGAGCTTCAGGGCCAGGCCTCAGCCTTCTCTCTATGCTAGTGGGTTGAGACTGGCTTTTCCTCTGCTGAACAGACATCGAGAGCGTTATGAGGACAGCGGACACTACACCTAGATAGAGCTCGTGAAATTCGTCTGTTCCGCCTCATTGTGCCATGGATTTAATCAGACATCCAGGCCCGAAGTATATGACCAAAGCCTATAGCCTCTCGGAGGGTGACAGTGACAGCACCTACGCCTTTACAAGCTGTTTCCATCGCCAGCGCCTCCGATTTGGTACGGTAGGTAAAGTATGGCTGAAAAGACAACATATTGGATCCTGGCTTTTCTAAGGATTCTTTTTGCTCGTCCTGTTACCATTTTCAAGTCAAAGCTCAACACGCGCTGAGTACTGGCTTGCAAAGAGTAAGACAAGACAGAGACTTTATCAGTTTATAATTGCCCGGAGAAAATCGGATCTACCAGAGTTGCTCCCAGATATAGAGCGAATACACAAACTAATCAATAAACAAACCTAGGACTCAAGGACGGATTGTTGATTCAACCACCTGACTTGTACAAGTACAAGACCTTACACTTGGACTTAGACTTGCTATGGCCGACGGGCGCGTGCCAGCTGCTGACAGCTGCTGTAGCTAAAAGCTGGTCTGTGCGTCAGAGAACAAGGTACTTCGTCCAGCCCGTAATAAGTTGATAGAGCACTCCACTGCACCATCAGGATCTAACGATGGCGGAGATGCGCATAGTGTAGGTCAATTGTCATCGCTTGTGCATTCTATGAATCAAACGTTGTGGAATCTTCATTCATCAAACAGTCGAAGTGACCAGGGTGGAAGTGGTTAGTTCAGGCTCACGTGGCAGTTCCAGGATTTGCGTCATCGTACCTTCGCAGACGTCAAAAGGGCTTTGATTTGGGGAGCTCAGCAATCGCCAGGCCGCGCTGGTCATTGCAAATCACTACCTCACATCATCCTGTTCTTATACTTACCCATCCGTAAAGACATTCAACGATTTTGGATCACTACAAGACGACTTTGAACTGCGTCGGGCTCCCTCAAGTCTTGTGTCACATGCAATCTTGGCACGGACTGTCGCATGAGCCGTGTTGTTGGTTGGCTTCCGCCGCAGCCGAAATTTCTTTGTACAGCCCATCCCACCACACGGCCCGGCCTATCCGCCCGCAACATACCCCAACCCGTCAGTTCATCTGCTCGAAACGGAGTCTGCCTCGGCGCAGGGACAGCTGTCGCCAGCATCATCCTCTCGGCAGGCTTCGACCCAGCCATGCGGTGGAGTACACACACTCCGCCGTATCTTCCTCATCACACTGGATTCTATCACCCAGAACACTTCGGCCTTTTGCCAACACCGACACTCCGAGTCTCGCGTAGTCACCAGCCCGCTGACCGGGGCGCGCGAGTCGAGACGAGATAAGCATAATAGCTCAGCGGCTCTCTGGCCACTACCTTCTTGCGACTTCCGGCGCATCCTCGCCGGCGTAATCCCGCTCCCCGCACTACCGCCATTCCCCTACAACATGTCGACCCGCACGAGACGGAACGTCCCGGCTACGCCGCGAGTTATCTCTCCGAGCCCGACGCCGTCAGAAAGAGACGGGAGCGCTCCTGAGTCCTCGTCATACTATGGCCCGACCACGCGATCAGCCGCGCGGAGGCGGCTAGCGGCTACCCCTCAGCCCGCGCCGGAAGAACTCGACGAGGAGGACAGCCCGGACCTCCGGAGGGCCAGAAGCCGCAGCCGCAGCCCGATTGACACACAAACCCTTCGCAAGCTCACAACAAAGAAGTCCACGAAGGGTGGCGCCAACGGTACCAAGATCGCGACAGCCGGGCCGACGACAAACGGACACATCCCCGAAGAAGCAAAGGCAGACGGCGCAGCAAACGGAAACGGTCACCTATCCCTGCCAACGCCCTCCTCCTCCTACTACTACTACGGATGGCCGAGCTGGCGCGACTTCAGCCGCAGCCCGAGCCCACTCGGCCTGATCCCGATCCACCGGCACTGGCGCACCTTTGTGCACAAGCACGAGGTGCCGCGCAAGGCGCTGCACGTCTCGATCGGCTTCTTCGTCGTGTGGCTCTACCTGTCCGGCACGCAGACCCGCGCCGTGTGCCCCTACCTGATGGGCGCGCTGGTGCCCATCGCGGCCGTCGACGTGCTGCGCCACCACTACGCGCCCTTCAACCGCCTCTACGTGCGCGTCCTGGGCGCGCTGATGCGCGAGTCCGAGTTCTCGGGCTACAACGGCGTCATCTTCTACCTGCTGGGCGCCTGGGCCGTGCTGTACCTCTTCCCCAAGGATGTCGGCGTCATGGGCACGCTGCTGCTCAGCTGGTGCGACACCGCCGCGAGCACGTTTGGCAGGCTGTACGGCCGGTACACGCCGCGCATTCGCCGGGGAAAGTCGCTGGCCGGGTCGCTCGCCGCGTTTGTTGTCGGCGTGGGCACGTCGATGTTCTTCTGGGGGTGGTTGGCGCCCACGAAGGGCCCGTTCCCGGGGGACGAGAACTTCATGTTCACTGGGGCGCTGAGCCTGCCTCGGGCCCTGGCTGATGCGGTCGGGCTGGAGCCGGCGAAGGCCGCGGTTTCGGGCGGGCTTGCGCTGGGCATCATGAGTGTCTGGTCCGGGTTGGTGGCTGCTGTCAGTGAGGCGGTGGATGTGTTTGGGTGGGATGACAACCTGACGATACCCGTTCTGAGCGGTCTGGGAATCTGGGGGTTCCTGAAGGTTTTTGGTTGAGGGGTGGGTGCAAAAAACGAGACGACGGAGACAAATATGGCCGATGACCGTGATACGTAATGACCGGCATGGGCTGGACGTGTATGTTTATCAGGTGCATGGGGTGGCGTTTTGGAAGGCAGGGAAGGGAAGTGGACGGAGGTCGGTTTTTGCGGTGCGGTCGGGTGTGGTACAATCTGGGCGGATCTTGAGGTCATATCAAATCTCACTGTCTCTCTCCTTTCACCTTGCCCGGACTCTGCTTACGCACCCTGAGAACCGAGAGCCATTCTCATTATTGCGTTACCCCGCGTCTCTTGAGAGACAGCATGCGGAGCTGTGGTTCTGCCGTCCCGGATCCCTCCTGTTTGGAAGGCATATATTACGGCCCCGAGAATGGGGAGCTTTGGTTTTATGGCGTCCAATAATGTCCTGGGCGTCCGTTGGCTCTGCAGCTGCCACGCAAGTACAGATGTCTTGCATATTCTACCCTCTGCGTCTGGACGCGGGGATCACCACACGGGAGCGGAAAGGGACCATTCGGCAGGGGGGACGAGACCGAAACGAAAAAGTTAGAGTGGGGCGGCCTCTTTCCACCGCCGCCGTCCTCGCGCTTTGCCGTCGCCGTGTTCCGAACCTCAGCATGCGGGAAGATTAAGACGTGCCTCTCTTTCAATTCCGATACGACAAATTCTTCGTCTTACAAGCAGTTCGCTCTCACCGCATGAAGCATGTCTGATTTGTGCAGACGAGCTTCCACTTGAGCACAGCAGTAGCCGCAGCATCTCATGAACCGCTGCCCTTTTTCGCACCAACGGGGAGACCTCACACAAAATGCCCGAAATGTCCGAAATCGCCCGCGTTTGGCATCCGGTGTCTCTCAAGTGTTTGAACGTATAGCTGCGCAAGGCAGAAAGATGTATCGCGACTCTCTACCTCACAACAATGCCAGGGGTATGTGAACTTCCCTTGTTCTGCCTTCCCCTTTTCTCCGCCCGGCCAAGAAGGCAACGTCGGCCACGCTGGAGGGTAGAGTGGGCACATCTGTACGTTCATGTACTGTACATAGGCTCTCCTCCCTCCACCTCTCAGAAGGCGCCGTCAAGACCCGGCTGTGGCGTCGCTGTCCTATAGCATCGTGCCTAGTCATCAATCGGCAGCGCAGGTTTGGTTTGACTGCATTTCCTAATTCCACGCCAGCCCTTTTATGTTACATTTCGCCGTTCCAACATATCGTCACTCTTACCCTGCTCTCTCCACTCCTTCTCGAAGCCGGCGGACCCTGCGATCAAGGAATGGGGAATGCACGGTGCTGCAACACCTCGCCGACGTGCAGGACACACCTCTGATGCGTTTTCTCATTGCTGGCCTCAGCCTGCATCTCGTCCGTCCCACCGTTCAACGGCCGTCGCTCTCCGTTTCGACGGACAAGGTGTTGATCCCATCTGACCTCCAACTGCTGCCTGCGGCTTCTCAGCCTGCTCTTTCTCTCTCTAGGACTCCCTTCCGCGAACCCCTCTGATGCAATGCTCACTGCGGCATGTTGGGTGCTTCCTTATTAGCGTGAGGATTTCCATAGCCGAGCCGGTCGTGTCAGCTATGCAGAGGATCTTTGGAAGGGCCAAGGTTAGTTCCCATCCTGGCGGGCCCGGGTTTTTGACTTTATCGACCAGTGGCCCAATTGGCAGCCGTCGTATGGCCCCAATGGATACCATGACGGGCGAACGAGGCACCAGTCTCCTTGACTCTGCATGGCCCGCAAGTCATGCCCCCTTTCCTGCCGCTGCCTGCTACACGGACGCCCTAGCCTGAGGCAGTCGGCTTGCTGGAGCCTCCCTTGGTGATGCCGGACGTGTGTAACTGTGGATGACGTTCGACAGACGGGCTTCTTCCGAACCTATCCTGTCTCGCCGAGATAGCCCCTGGCAGGCGGCGTGCATGGGCGGCTTTCTCGAAGCCCTGGCTGGGCCGGAGTGAGGGAAGAAATCCTGGGCCATCACCACGGCAAACATTGATCAGCCAGGCGGTGCATATCAAGCCGGGAACCCCAGGACCGCATACGGTCCGCAGTCAGCTTGTCTTAGACCTGCTGCAACCGTTTCGTGTGGACCTCAGGTTTCCATCTCCTGTCTCTTGACGTACATCATTTGACACTGCTACGCACAACCTAAGGACGACCTGCCTTACCTAGACCTTTTTCTGCTCTGCTCAGCGGTTGGCTGAGTTCAAGGAAGTATACTACCCGAGCCCTTCACGGTAGCATTCGTGGCTGGCTAGCGCTGCTTTTACATCTTGAGACCTGCAACCAATCTGGCAGGGCAGAACAGAAGGCAGTCTCAGACTCAAACGCACAGATCCTGGTCGTGGTTCGGTCGCAATACGTTCACCTAGAGAAATGCAGAGCAATTGCAAGTTCATGCCACATTAGGGAGGCACACGGCAGGGCTTATCAAGATGCACCCGTCCTCGATGCCTCCGGCCGTGGATAATACCCTCTGTGCCAAGCATTTGTTTGGCCGGCATGCCAGGTACTGTACTTGTATTGTACATACATACTGGTATAATATATACCTACAGTACGCATCCATCTCTGACCGATTTTGCCACTTCTTGCAGAGTGAGTACTCGAGGCTTTTAAATCCCCTTCCTGACCATCCGGAATTTCCCTTTTCGTCTCACTCAGAGCATCGCAAGTGCTGTGCCCTGCTTGTTATCCCGCTTGGAGCTCGGGAGGCGCACAGGCCACGCAGCCGTTTTGCCTCTTAACGTTAAATAGCCCCTCCAAAATCCAAATAGAAAAAAATAAGCCCAGCTGCGGGCGTTCTGTGGACAACACATAGCCCGACCTGATGCATCACTGCCTAACCCGACTTTTGATATCTGTTTGACCTCGTCATGAACCCCAACGGACCAACGAGGTGCCAATTTTGAGGGTCCAGATCTCACGCCGCTTTTTGCAGGTCTGATTAGCGTCATGGCACGTTTGCTCGTTCGTCCCCCCGTTCACTGGGGCCCCTGCGGGTGGTTGATCCAATTCATGTGGAGGTCTTTGTACTCCCATGCTACATGGCCCATTCGTCGTCTTCCGGCATCCGGCTCGGCCGCCATTCATACCATCCTGCCCGCCGTTATTCGCCGTTATTCACATTGAGTGCTATCGGCCAGTCTGCGGGCAGATGGCCCATGACCTCCGAATTTTCCAAGAAGCCGGACGGTCTATCCTTGACCTCCACCGCTGGTTCAGCCTGTCATGCTCTGTCCCCATCCCCCATTACGCCTTCTCGGCCTAGTCTTCGGCAAGAGATCACACACCCCTGCCCATGCCTCCGGCAGCTCTTCTGGCCGTCCATCCCTCGCTCGTCCGGCACCGCTACGTTCACCCCTCCGCCTGGATCCTCCCTCCCAGGCCTTGACCATTGAGCCTCCAGTTCACAGTCCCACCTAGTGCGCCCTTCGCCTCCTGTTGGACTTGTCCGTCCCTGGGTCCGGGGGCTAGAACTGAGGACCAGTTCGACTTGTCCTGGGCGCGGGCAGGATTCCATTCCGTTTCCCCCTTCATGGGCATGGCTCCACCAATACAAACGGGTGATAGTCGGTCCCGGCATATGCGCTCGTTTCATTCAGTTCTTTCTCTGAGCAATGGAAACTTGGCCTGAAGCCAATCCGGGACCGCCTCCTCGGCCAATTGCTCAGGGATCACCCCATTGACCCTGCCATCCCGTCTTCTGGTTGGCTTGTCCCCGCGGAGGGTGGACGGGTGAGAGGTGTGTCTCCATGAAGACCGGCCGTTCGCCGTTCGCCATCAACCCTCATCACATCCTACTCTTCCTAGCCTCAAGCGGGGTCAGCAAGGACCTCGACGAATAGAGTCACCGGCTCTTATCCTGCTCTGCCCGTGATGGCGGCGAGCCGTGGGTCAGGAAGGGCATCAGAAAAGTATAAAAAGGGTGGCTGTTGACGGGGTTGAGGCAGTTCTTCTTTCTCCTTTTCTCTTCTTCACTTTTCCCTGCTCCTCAACAGGTCCGCACTCTGAAGCACAAGGCACACTGCCCCCACAGGTCTTGGACATACCCCAGCTGCGTGGTCCCGAGTGACACCGTTCATCACTATCACAAACACATCATCACCAAAGCCCTTGGAGAGCCTCACACCGACCACAAGCGTCGTCACACCTCTTGAACCCCCCTTACTTCTTCTTTAGAGACCTTTACACCCTTACACACTTCACCATGTCTGCCTCCTACTCCACTCAGTACTATGCCGCTGGCGCGCTCCCCATCCCTCCTCCAAGCAAAGGCCAGCACCCAAACCCCAGCTATTACACCGGCGGCGACAGCACCTACTCGGTATCGCCGCCCGAGGATCTGGATACCTCTGTCAGCTCCGCGTCCGGCTATGGGAACAGCTACTCTGTGACCACCAGCTACGCCGGCAGCAGCCAGGGGGAGTACGAGAGCGCGGGCTCCGCGAGCGGCGTCGACCTCAACGAGTACATGCAGGAGCGGTTTGCGGCCACCTTTGACCCGATTGCCCTGGACAAGTGCACTGCCAAGCAGGCCCAGACGTAAGTTGCTTCCCCCCCTCCCCCCAGAGTTCAAGTTTGAGCACTGCAAGCGGCATCGCGCGTGTTTCTGTAATTGTTGCCCGCGAGCGCTGCTACAAACGGGCTGTTGAAAAAACTGGCTTGCTGACTCGCGAACTTTCGCACTGCCAGATCCGGACATCTGAACGCTAAGCACCGCGAGCTGCTCGAGCTGCAGGCAAAGGCGCAGGCGCGCCTGGCAAAGACCCGCGCGCGGTTTGCGCAGGGGCTCGAGGATGCGCGAGAGGTGCACGCCGACCTCGAGTGGACGCAGAAGAAAGTCTCGTAAGTCCGCAAAAAAATCCTAAATCCTGACCTGACGATGTGGGGGGGCGACTAGAGTTTAAAGCCGCTCGCGGATTCGCGCGAGTTGGTTTTGGAGGACTTAAAATCGCGAGCGGCGAGCCCCTTGTATTCGCAGAATCTCCAGGTCTCAAGGCTAACAGCACGGAAAAATGGCAGATCCCTGAAAGCGAGGGCTTCCAAAAAGCATTCCAAGGAATACGCCAAGGCACGGGCGCGATACCCGTCGCCTCCTCTGTACTAAACTAAATTTCTCCTGAGCCTCGATTTCGATTTCTCGCCCGGCGGCGTTCTGGGTGATTTTGGCGTTTTCCCGGATTCTTTTGTTCACAAAAAACACATCTCGCACCACCCGGTCACTCACATTTTCATCATTCTTTCTCTAATTGACAGGGGCAGCGCCAAAAATGATGGCACCTCCGGGAGGAGGAAAGCCTGAGGTGTGTGTAAGTCGGAGCCTCGCGAGGGAGGTGACGTTGGAGATCCCAGGGCAAATCCATAAAACGGGCGAGGCTGCAAAATCAGCCCCCCGCGCGCGCGCTATACAAACACACCCCCCCTCCCCCTTACCAGCCCGCTTTTTACGGCCGTTTCCGACTTCCATTATGGCGGGGGAGAAAACGTGGCAGGGGCCGTGTAGTGTGGCAGCGCGGTGCGATTCTGCAGCTTTTTTTCGGGGTCCTCCTCCGCCGTTTTGGAGGCAGATCTCACACGCCCCCTCCCTTTCCCATCAGCTCTTCCAGGGGGGGCAACCCGAGCGGCGCTTGTCTCGCGACGGGGCGACCCGCCCGCTCCCCGCCCTCCACCAACCCAACCCAACCCAACCCAACCCTGTCCTTGGCTTCAAGTTTCCTGCATCGCATGGGCGCGGCTGTTTCACGAAACTGTTATGGCTTTATGATTGGACGGACTGGCAGCGGGCTTTCTTATTTCTGGAAATACGGCTGGGCGGACGGACTGGGGGAAGGGAAAAAACAAGGATGGGGGCCACTGGGCAGCGTTTTCAAGGGAGGGGGGTGTGTGGATGGATGGATGGGGAAAAGTACCGGTACAGGGGCTCTCCCGTCAGCTTTCACGCCTGCGGCCCGCTTCGCTCGCGTGGGCATCCACCCGCTTCCGCTTACCAGACAACCCCCCCCCTTCCTTCCCCCCACCTTTACCCTCGCACTGCGGCGGGTCCTCCCTCGGCAGACCGGGAAGATCCCCTGACAACCTTGTAGGCTGCAGGTTGATGGCGCGGCCCAGGGCTAGCGCAGTCCCAGCGGGTTGGGACGAGATGGGGAGTGGGTGTGAGCTGGCTTGGCCGCCCTAGGTATCCGGGGCTGCTTTCGGCTCCGCTTGTCTGTGGCCCTTGCCTTGGGAGCAACAGGACCAAGACTTGGGAAGAACGACGGAGCGGCTAATAAGCAGGCGGGGCAGCGGGACCAGCCCACGTGAGACGAGAACACGGGGTAGAGGGGAGGGAACCTAAGTGGAGGGCTGACCTTTTCCTTTTTCGGACACCCCGGAGGGATGGGCTGGCTTGCTTTTACGAGAGGCTGGGAGCGTAAAACACGGCACGGGTGTGTGGGAATCTACTACTCTACAGGTACGGGGTCAGGTGGTGGAACACGTGCTCTTGGTGCTTCCAGGCGTCTTGTCTCTCTTGTTTGGCTTGTTCCTGTCCGTAGGGAGGTCGTAAAGCACACGGTAGAACTATGATCCTCTTCGTTCTTGCTGCCCAGTGCGAGCTGGTTCCCCGTGACTGGACCCGTCTCTCCTTGCTCTTGGCAGAGACACACAGTGTCTGTGATGTGGAAACTCGACCAACGAACGGGTCTCGCCCCGGCAGTGGGCACTGTGTCCTTCCCTCTACTCCAGCCGCACCGAGCGTAGAATTAGACCGCCTGGTGACGTGGTGCTGCCCAACCCGGCCCGGTCGGGGACCTGCCCTGCTGCCGTATGAAGTGCGTTTCACCCCTGACCGTGTCACGTGACGCACCTCTCAGTTCTCCCTTCCCCCTTTTCCCCATTACCCATTCCGAAGTAACATAGTTACCACCATACTGCTACCGATGACCTCAAAGATGAGGCGACCGCTCACTCAAGCAGCCGTGGCCGTGGAAGCAAGCACAGTACCCTCCCCTCCCGCTCCGGCACCAACCTCCTGACGCGCCGCCCCAACCCCAGCGGCATCGTTACTAGAAGCCCAGCGCGATGGCAACCACGTCCCCACGGGCTCTAGGCCCTTGAACTTCTCCATCCCTTCCCACGGGTTCTCATTGCTGCTGGGGTCGTAGTAGTCGATGTACCACTGCGGATTGGCTCCTCCTCCTCCTCCCCCTGCTCCTCCGTCTCTCACGCCGCCGCCTCGTCCACCACCTCTGCCACCGCGGGCGGAGGGCTGGAATGGGCCTGAAGTTGACGCCGATGCCGAGGCTGAGGTGGGCGTAGGGCCTCCTGCGTCCACTGCCCCCACTGCTGCAGCAGGGGTTCGGGTGGATGTGCCCTCGGCGGATGGCGACGGCGGCGCTCCCGGGTCGAGGTCCAGCTCGAAATCGTCGTCGTTCTTGTTGGCGTTGTCACCCTTGCCGGTTCCGTCGTCGGAGTCGGAATAGGTGATTTCGTCTGTGGTTGCTGGCTTTGTCCGTTTGCTGCTGGGCAGCTGTGCTTTGTGGTAGCCCGCCAGTGTGGAGGTCGATTCCGCTGTGGCCTCCATTGAGCGGGAGGCGTCGTCCGCGATGATGGCGCTGCCGGACTGGGGGTTGAAGCGTCGCTTTTTGGCGGGGCGTAAGTCGTTATCTTGGGCGCCAAAGCTCACGAAGCCTAGCGTTGCGGCCATGTCGGGATCTTGGACTACTTCGTAGTCGTTGTTACTGGCGCCGGTGTCATCGTAGAAATCCCCGTCCGAGAGGTTGACCTCATCTGGGTTTGGCTGGGACATGGTGTGAGGATGTGAGGTAAGCGGTTTACTCGTCATTTGGGCGGGTTAGCGCGCCGGAATGAGTGAATTAGAATGAGAAAGCGGAGGTGTATGCACTGAGGTTGATATATGCAGCTCCTGTGAATGAATGAATCAAGGGGAAGCTATGAGCCATTCAATTGTTGAAACGACACCCGTGGACCTTTGTTGAGATGTCCGTTTGCGGTTGTAACTAAAACTGAAAAAGGGCCCGGGCCGAGTACCTGCAATGGTTCCTTATGTAAGCCAATCAACCAAAGGTTTGTTGTGACCTCTCGATGAAGGGTTTATCTTCAAGCACTATGCGCGGCGAATATCATCAATGGAGTTCGAAGCTCCGTGATTCCGTACCTCGAACTTTTGTTAAATGATTGTTTTTGTCGTTCATCAGCCTTGTGGGGCTACTAAAGAGACAGTCTGGAGCCGCACTCCATCTGGTGAAGTCAGCGGCGGCCTGCACCGTGTAACGGCATCGTTGAGGATATACCGGTTAAGACAGGCTGAGACATATCTTTCCTCCAGGTATAGTACTCGCTAAAGGAGCAGCAAGTCTTCGAAACATTCAGTAGTACACGGTCTTCTCTAGGAGTGTGAAATCGAAGCCGGCACTTCCTGTCAATTGCATGGAGAGTTCTCTTGGCATTGTGTACATAAGGTAGGGACGGATCTCCATGGCTGCTCCACAAAGTGAACCTTGTCACTTCAAGTTACTACCCTGCAACCTCACAACATCCGGCGACAGTCACTGGCACCGAACCCTGTGATCTCAAGAGCCAGAACTCTCTCAAAGTTTGGCTCAAAACATCATCACACCCTCACCGCCTCAACTCCTGTCAAACCACTTTTGAAACAAAAGCCCTGGAACCTGAACGGAAGGAACCCCACTATCTCTCAGTCGCAGACTCACCATGGCGGCCCCTATCACCCTCCGTCTCCCCTCAAAATATCGTGACGCCTCCCAATCCTCTGAAGGCTCCCCCGCCCCTTCATTCACCCCGCCGACTCTAGGATTCCTCCACCGCACCTGGACAGTAACCCACTCGACCCTGCGCATGTGGCGCTCCGCCCGCAACGTGCGCATCACCTACGGCCCCTTACCGTCGTCCAAGTCCAGGGACCGGCTCTCCGACCTGGTCGAGTATGAGCCCCTCTCCGGGTCGTCGGGAGGGGTCAGGCGGGTCGCGGGCGTCGACACTGCCTCGTCGGCGGGCGACACGAGTGTTTGGGACTGGAGGGGCAGTGGGTGGCTCTTTTTCGTGGGCAGCCAGTGGGAGGTGCTCGGGTGGGGGGAGTGGGAGGTACCCGGTGCTAACGGGGAAGGGGAGGGGGAGAAGGAGAAGGAGAGGTGGGTTGTTACGTGGTTCGCGCCGACTCTTTTCACTGCGGAGGGGGTGGATGTGTATAGTGATCGGATGGGGGGCGGGAGTGAAGGGCTGGTTGAGGAGGTGATGGCCGAGTTGGGGCGGGTGACGGAGGGGAAGGGGAAATTGGGCGAGATGGTCAAGCGGGATATGAAGGCTGTGGCTGTACAATTGCCTTGGAAGGAAGTGTAGGTTAGGGTATCAAACCGCTGTCTGATATTGAGTTGTGGATACCTATTGTATGTTCGTTAAAGGTCCTAGCGATGGTCGCTCCCGTGTCCAGGTGTCTCTTTGCTATAGTCACGGTGGTGGTGATGGCGTCTCTCCTCGTCCCTATGGCGCCGTCTCTCATGACTGCCCTCTTCCCCTCGACCCCCTCGACCCCCTCGCTCCCTGCTTCGATGTCTGTGCCGTTCCTCGTGGTGCCTACGAGAAGGCTCGTGCCTATCTGGGTCACGGCCTCTATCCGGGCTAAACCTCCTACCACGATTGTGCCTCTCCCGCTCCTCGCTTCGATCTCTATGCCTTCCAGGATCTCGATCATGTCCCCGGTGGGAGTGCTCACGTCTTACTGAGCTGTCGGCCCTCTTATCCACACTGGATGGCCGTTCTCTCCTATTTTCGCCATCACCCTCCTTCCTCCTCTTCCTGTCCCTCCTCCTACATTCCCGCTTCTCCTCATCCTCGAGCATCTTCAATTCCCTCTCTCTCCTCTCCACTTCCTTCTTCCGCTCTTGCTCTAATTCCCTCACCTTCGCCGCGGCCTTCTTCATCATCGCGAGCGGGTCACCCGCATCCAGCCTCGCGGCCTCTCTGACTTTCCTCCCTGGGTCCTCCCTCGCCCATACATTCTTACTCGGCACCAGGGCACCGGAGGCTTCGCCATCGGCCGAGGCATACCACGGCCCGCCGTCCGTCAGCCCCTGCCCGTCTCGGCCAGCGGCGTTCACGAAGCGCATCTGGTACTGGTCCTTGAGCTCACGTTCTTTACGCGCGGCCTCCTTGGTGACTTCCTCGTTTTTCTCGCGCGATCGGCCGGTCTCGACTTCGGGAAAAAGGGAAATGTGCCCCTTGCTATCGACCAGCGATGCTGGGGCGGCAGCAGGGTGGGTGTTGGGAGCTAGCTCTAGCTCTCGCGCGGCGTGGTCGCCGGCTGCAGCGCGCTCTCGTGCGAGGCGCATCTCAAAGTCAGTGTCATCCTCACCATGGCGCTTGCGCTTGCGCCCGAAGCCCCGGCGGTCATTTGAGTCCCGGACTGGCGGGATGGCGGCTGCGTCAGGTTCTCCTTCTTCAAGTGGAGGCTGGACCTCGCCGCGCAGTATGGCTAGACGGCGCGCGGCGTCAAGTTCTTGCATGCGCTGCTCTTCCGCGGCCTCCCGAGCCGCTGCCTCGGCTTCATCGCGCCGCACCCGGGCGATGTTAGCGGGGTTGTAGACGTTCCATGACTTTTTGCCTAGGAGATGGCTACGGGGTGTTAGCAGAATTTCAGCATGATCGCAGAACAGGACATACAGAGGCATAATCGCGGTGCTCGGCAAAGGTCCGACTATCAGGTTGTGGACGAAGACTCGATCTTGAATTTAGGTACAGTCTTGATACACCTTGATGGCCAGCCCAGAACAGCTTCAGACGAATCCAAGAACCATAGTGGAGACAGCCAGCATCCCCATGGTGTGTCCTCGTACTGTAATTTACACTGTATCAGTGATGTGATGCCAAGAGCCACCTGGTCGCGGGGCTCAGCTGAAACGGCATCCTGTTCCAGCGGCAGCTGGCTGAGCTCTCCGGCAACAAAGCGCACATCACCAACGGACTTTCGCTTTCCATAGCCATAGTGACTTGTTGGCTCTGGGTTAGTCGTCTGCGTGCGGCCGTGCCACATTCATCCAGGACAAGGCACCGATAAAGATCAGCGAGTAGCCAGCCACAGGCCACGTTTCGGGAAACACTCGAGCCCGGACATCACTTCTGCCTGGACATTTACATCTTGCCAGCGTCCCGCACCCGGCACCCGGCACCCGGAATTTTGATCTCTACGACCCAACCCAATCCGATTCCAAAAGCAACTGTCCTTCTAAATACATCTCGTTCCTTTATCTTCTCGCGGGACCCTACCATGGATCTGCGCAACAACCTCTTTAGCAAGCCGGCCGCCCGTGGCGGAGCGCCCGGTTTACCTGGGCGCCAGGTTCAGCGGCCACCCGGTGGAGGCCCAGGGGGATACTCGCCCGCGCCCACTGGCTATGACGGATATGGCGGACGGTCCCCGGCCCCGGCCCCGGCCCCGGCAAGGCCACAGAACCCGCCTGGCGGTGGAGGTTACGCCGACGATGGTTACGGAAGGGGGAGCTACGGTGGTGCTGGTTACGGTGGCGGATATGCCGATGGGCCAGGGTCATATCAATCTCAGCCGAGAGGCCGACAGGTGCGGCTTCGGCTTGCAAAAGTTGAAGACAAGACGCTTCAAGCGCAGTACATCTTTGGGAATATGTGAGTGGACGACACAGACGGTCTAATTCCGAAGACTCCGTCGCTAACCGGAGCTCAGCTGCGCTGTGTCACCCAACGACTTCCCGCCGAACCGCGACGGCTCTGATCTGTACATCCGCTTGACGGGCAACCAGCTCAGGGGCGACTACGTCGTGACTGCACGCCCTACCCCCGGCTTCCCTGACAGCTGCATCAGCCTGTCCGATCCCCAGAGAACATGGGCCAGTATTGGCATGATGGACGAGGTCATTGGCGAGATCTACGATCCGTTCAGTCAAGGAAGTACGGTGTACATTGGCTCCATGGATGTCGAGGTCGGCTTTGCATCCGCGAAGAAATTGGTGGACGCCCCCTACGATCAGGATGAGCTCGCCAGTATGTTCACCAAGACCTTCCAGAACCAGATCTTTTCGCCCGGACAGAGGCTGCTGCTGGACGTGAAGAACGTGCCGTTGGCCATTATGGTCAAGACGATCACCTTGATCGATCTCACCATGCAGCAGAAACAGACCGCCGAGCTCCCTACACGCAGCGATCCAGGGGCGCGGGGTATCCTAACCAACCAGGCCAGCATAGGCTTCTACAAGGACGCAAAATCGCCCATCAAGCTCAAGGGCTCCAACAAGCGCCCGGCCGCCAACGCCATCATTAGTCCCGACTTCAAGTTCGAGGATATGGGCATCGGCGGGCTGGATACCGAGTTCTCTACCATCTTTCGCCGTGCCTTCGCTTCGCGAATCTTTCCGCCAGGGCTCATCGACAAGCTCGGCATCATGCACGTGAAGGGCATGCTGCTGTATGGACCGCCCGGGACAGGCAAAACGCTTATTGCGCGGCAGATTGGTAAGATGCTGAATGCCAGGGAGCCCAAGATCATCAACGGCCCTGAAGTCCTCAACAAATACGTCGGCCAGAGCGAAGAGAACATCCGGAAGCTCTTCGCGGACGCCGAGAAGGAGTACAAGGAGAAGGGTGACGAGTCGGGCCTGCACATCATCATCTTCGATGAGCTGGATGCTGTGTGTAAGCAAAGAGGCTCAGGTGCCGGGGGTGGCACAGGTGTAGGCGACAGCGTCGTCAACCAGCTTCTGTCCAAGCTGGACGGTGTCGATCAGCTCAACAATATCCTCCTTATCGGAATGACGAACCGCAAAGACATGATCGACGACGCTCTGCTGCGTCCCGGCCGTCTCGAAGTTCAGATTGAGATCTCACTGCCCGACGAGTTCGGCCGGTCGCAGATCCTCAAGATCCACACGGCCAAGATGAAGGAGAACGGCGTCATGGGCAGCGACGTCGACATCACCGAGCTGGCCGCTCTAACCAAGAACTTCTCTGGTGCCGAGCTGAGCGGTCTCGTCAAGTCGGCCACATCCTTCGCTTTTGCGCGGAATATCAAAGTCGGCACCATGGCCAGCGTCAGCGAGGATGTGGTCAACATGAAGGTCGTTCGGCAGGATTTCCTCCATGCGCTGAGCGAAGTCAAGCCCGCCTTTGGTGCTGATGACTCGGAGCTCGAGGATGCCATTCCGTACGGCGTCATCCACTTCTCACCGAGCATTTCGGCCATCCTCAACGATGGCATGCTGTATGTCGAGAACGTCCGGCAGCAGGAGCGGCTGCGGCACATGTCTGTGTTGCTGCATGGTCCGCCAGCAAGCGGCAAGACGGCGCTAGCTGCACACGTTGCCATGAAATCAGATTTCCCCTTCATCAAGATCATCACACCCGCATCCATGGTTGGCTTTAGGGATGAGGTGGCCAAGAAAGACCACTTACACAAGATCTTCACCGACGCCTACAAGTCCCCCCTGAGCTTGCTCATCATCGGTATGTTTCTGCTCAGCATCCCCTTCGTTCACACCCCTCTAACAAGCCCGCAGACAACATCGAACGCCTCATAGAATGGAACCCAGTCGGGCCCCGTCTCTCCAACAGCATCCTCCAAGCACTCGTCACCCTTCTCCAGACCCCTCCTCCAAAGGGCCACCGCCTCCTCATCCTGGCCACTACCTCCCAGCTACCGGTCATGGAGCAGCTCGACATCACGACCGCCTTTGACCGGCAGATCCGCGTCCCCGCGGTGCAGAACACGCGCGAGATGGAGGCCGTTTTGGCCGAGTCGGGCACGTTTGAGTCGCCCGCTGATGTCAACGAGGTGCTGAACCGCGTGAGGGAGTATACCAACTCGGAGCGGGTCGGCGTGGGCATCAAGACGATCCTCACGACGGCCGAGACGGCGCGGCTGAGTGCCCAGCCGGCGGAGTGGTTTGCTGAGCAGATTGCCGGGCAGATCAATCGGTATAACCCGTATGGTGAGGGGATGTCCATGGGGCAATAATGGCTGTATTTACGAAGTCAAGGTGTTGTGTTGGATGAAATCTAAAGTTGGGACGGACGGGAAATAGAGCTGGAATAATACATTGATGATGACGATGATGTTCTTTCATTCCACTATCTTCATCTGCCTTACCTAAGTCGCCGCTTTGCGAATAGAACTTGAGCAATGGAGAAGGAGCTGGTGGGCAAGGGCACCTCAGTCCCGCGCTCTCGTCCGAGCGGTTGGCCCGAAGTTTCTTCTCGCGTTAGGAAGGAGCGATCCTCGACCGCACTATATGTAGGAGTTCGACATCATCTCATATCGCCCACTGGGCAAGCAAGGGCCATTGCCCAGTAGGAAAGAGCCGGTTCAAGAAAGAACTGAGAGAAGGACCTGAAGGTCGCCAGTTCGACCCAAGAAGGGAACATGAAGAAAAGAGTGTGTCCCCTGACTCTGTACCTCCCTCCTACCTGTAGAAAGGGTAGGAGGGGAGGGAAAGAATGGTAAAACCGGACGCAGTTTTCGTAGCCCAGCTCGGGCGGGATGCCGAGTTGGGTGAGCTTTTTGATGTTTAATTCTACATTCTATTATGTAGTGTTGTGTTGTGCTCTTCCGCAAGATTCTACCTCGTACCTTTAGAACAAGGAGTTTAACTTTGCTCTTGCGATGACTTCTCCTCTCTATACTTGCTTAACCTTATTGACGAGATCTCCTTGAGAAGCTTGATTTGTATTTAATTTAACGACACCCTAACTAAGTAGTATTAAGAAAGCATTGCCAACTCGGCTATCTATGATGGCCACTTGCTTCCTTGTATGAATTGTACAAGTACAATACCGACACCGATCCTCTGAATCAGTGACCTGGAGCGGCCTGAAGGGACTTAGGCTTATAAGACGTCGGTCGTGTCTAGGCTCCAACCCCTTTACACTCGTGGAGGGCCATTATCATTATGTCCTCGACTGTAGGTGCTGTACTGTGAAGTTGGAATGGTTTCCTTGGGAGTCAACCTGGAAGGTCTTTCCGCCGACCAGAACCCCTACGAAATCCCCTGTCTGGTAACTAGATTGCGTCATGCAGTCGGTTCCTCGCAGCACACTGTAGTCTAGATATGCACAAGCTCCTGCATGCAGCTGGTTGTGTATTTCTCCTCGGGTCGTTTCCCCGCGTGGTGGTATTGATGGGCTCATTTGGGGTGTGTTCAAGCGGCAGTGGTGAGGGATTGGACAGAATTGGGGCGTGTGGTAGCACTCGAGTGGGAGCAGCCAGGGGTTGAAAGCATGATGCGACCCCCGATTCCTTCCGTGCAACAGGAAAAGAGGTGGTATTTCTGCACTTTTCACATCACGGCTTGTTGGGGAACAGCATTTGGATGGCTTGATGAGACTCTGCCAGAATGGTTGATGATAATAGTACCAGAGGATGGCTGAACAGGGCAGCTGCTTACTGTGTGAGGCCTGTTCTGATCTCATTTGAGGATATCACATGCCGGAAGCCTTGTGGTTTGAGTGATCGACCTCATCTGCTCCGCATCATGCCCTCGCCATGGCGAGAACAGGGTTAGCTTGACGACGATCAGGCACCGGCGGTTGTTCGCTTAACCGTTGGGCCTTGGTTCTGGCCGGGCATAACGGGAGGGTCTTTCGTCATTGCTCGACTTGAGCATAGCAAACATGTCTGATAGACATGGAAATACATCGAAACCGAGCAGTGTATTCCTGAAGGCTTTTTTGCGGTAGCTGCGGCAATGCTCGCATTATCAGCTCGCTCTTCCGTCTGTTGTGGAACGCAAATCTGGGCCAACGGAAGCAGTGCATGACGCAGGACTGGTTCATCCATCGCAAAATCTGTCGTCAGACATCATCATTCGACAGTTCTGCGGGCCCGAGACCATACTTGTAGTGTACACTCCGTACACCGTGGGGATTCCGGCGATCCCGGTCGGCGCCGGCGGGATGGGTGAGTGGCGTGGGGGTCCGGTCACAATGCTTCCTCCTCATGCGTCTGGGCATTAAATGACCATTTCTCCACACCGATCTTCCTCAAACGCTGGTCCCGGAAAGGCGCCACTGTCGTCCCGGTAAGCTGGAAGAGTGACTTTCCAACTCCTGGCCGACGAAGTCGACGGTGAACAGAGCCGCAGCAGAGTGCCATTGTGCCTTCTGTTTGCCAATCTGGTTCTGTCTCCATCGATAGAGGGGAAAAAGCAAAGAAAGAAGAAAGGAAAAAGAAAGATAGTGGCAGCAAACAAATTGAAGTTTGTCTGCATCGTGCACAGCTCATCTCCTCAACATGAAGGTTCCGTCACTTCAGCACGAACGAATCCGGCCGTCTGGGAAATGACGGAAAGCGCCAAGCGGGACCGGAAGCTGGCCCGCGTGGAAGCGAGTGCAGGGGAGCGAGGGGAGGTTGCAAGGAACGTGACCGTAAAGGTAACGGTGTAAGTTACACCATAATCATACATGCGGTACCGATATAAGCGGCGGCATGGAAACTGTTCATCTGGCAACCGTAGTGCAGACGTTACGTTCCGTCAAAGGGCGACTGATGTACCGAGTGAGGAAATTAGGCTTTTTTTGCGATGCAGAAAACTGTAGGATACGCCGAACCATACTCCGTACACTAGTGGACACCCTCTTGGCCCTGAACCACGACGCGCATCATGGACCCCATCGGGGACCCAGCACGCCCCGACGGCCGGGTGCGCTAAACTTGGTCGAACCACGTGCAGTGCTTTGTGCCAGGAGCGGATTCATCATGCGTCCAATCTTCTGCCGGTGCCAGCGCCCAGGCAGCACCGGGTCATTCCTTTTGTTCCTGTCGAATCCGACTCCGTCTTGCTGCCAGGGATCGCTCCCTTCCGCCTCGTCGAGGTCCAGCCGTCGTTAATCTACGGATAACTACATATACAGCGGGGTACGTAGTAGTACTACTAGTGTTTGCATGCTCACGCCGAGATCCGAGGAGGGGTAGAGGCTTAAATCGAGGCTGACTAGCAACGAATACTCACACGCTAGAGCAGCATCAAGTGCTCAGTCGAGACAACCTGGGTCCAAAGCACCGGCCTGGATCAGGCTTTTCGGTTGTGGACATCGTCCATAGCAGCCTAGTCTCCGAATGTTGAGTTTAGCACCCCGGCACTGGGGGAACTTTAAATCCGCCTACATTGACACGCCTGGAGTCATTGAATCGAATCTCGCACTCAGACTGGTTGAGAATAACCAAGGTAGATCCGTACACTAGGTATTCGTGGTAGTAGTGTATAGCATTGGTATGGTAATTACCGGCGTTGAGGAAACTCAACGAAAGTTCAGGGATCCTATACCAAAGCTGCCCCACCTGCCAGAGGCTTTATCGTCAGTGCAGATTTCATCACACGCTGATCTGTGGCCGGGGTAGCAACTCGGTTGTTCCTGCTTTCAAGGGTCAGGTCCTGTCCCCACTCGCCCATGAAATGGCTGGTCTCCCGTTCGGCCACTGCACTACCTACAGTAACCTCTCGGCTCGCAACAAATTGTCTTGATGAGAGCTCTGGATCGGTCGCACTCTGATTGACCAGTAGAATCACCGAAAAATACCACTTCTTGATCCTGTGTACAATCTGTGATCCGAGCCACTTTATGGCGTGTACCGGTATGTGGCCCCTTTTCTGCATTTGCTCCGCTGTTCCTCCTGGGGCCCCCTCCTTTGCTCTTCCGCAGAGTTTGGGTAAACAGATCGACTGGGTCTCTTTAACCACGAATGCTGCGCTCCCGCTCCCGCTTCACTTCAATTGCCACAAACCACACCATGGATTTCCTATGACGCATCACCCGTAATGCGACTCCCCGCGTGTTGACTCAATGCCTTATCTCTAGTCCTTTCCGCCGTCGGCAGCAGGAGCATCAGCACCAGACGCAGCTAGCTCCCTGCGATATAGCCCTGGTCGCGCGCAATGGACCGCAACTCGTCGCCGCCACGCGCAGCGATGGGATCGACAACATCGCTCATTCAGCAACCACTTCCACTGACCGCATCTCCTCCGCGTGTCACGGCATCGCGCTCGGAGCGGTTGCTGAGGGACGTGCGCATCTTGCGCCCACCACCCAAGCCACGGAAGGACCGCGATCGATCCAAGGCCGGACGCGCAGCGCCGGGTCTCGGGCTAGGAGCGGCGAAGCTCTGGGCGTCCAAGAATCCACAGCCGAAGCCGCTAGTACCTGTGACAGAACGCAAGTCACACGAGGAGACGCTCGCGGGGCGGAGGGCAAGGAAGGGCAGCAAGGATGAGGGGAAGTGGGATCTTACCCCAGACGGGGGCTCTGCGGGTCGGGAGGGCAGGCAGTTTGCTGTTGCCAACGTTGGGAACAATGGTCGCATATATCTGAGGTAGGCCAAACATGGGCTTCCAGCTATGCTTGATACTATTGAAGCGCGCCCTACGTCGCCCAACCATCTCTGACGAGTCGCAGGCCAACTGTCCGCCCCGCATATCAGCGCTACCCGCAGCCGCCCTTTGTGTTCCCAATGACGCCACCTAGCACTGCCGGACTGGAGGCTTTGACATCGGACGAACGCTTGGGTCAAGATGGGGCCGCGCGACTCCAGCTGCCACCTCGAGACTGGACGCCATCACACCCCCGATCTTCATCGCCCAGTCTTGGACGGGGGAATTCGAACGAGAAACAGATCAGGATACGTCAACGGCACCGTCGCGCCATGTCTGACTCGACAGTGCCCGATACTAGTATAGCCCGAGAGTCAGAACCAGGAGGATTCAAAGTCGTCATCACGAGACCAGGCGAGGAGGAACGCCCGAGGACCGTTGATAAAATGGACACGACCCCCCCGCCATTATTGGAAGTGGCCATTCCATCGTGGAGGATAGGCACTCCCAGATTCAGTGTTCGAGGGACCCCGTTCTTCCGGGGCTCGTCGTATGCCCCGACTGAGGAGATGCGCTCGAGCAGTGCTTCCTTTCTACGTCTCACTCCCTTAGAGGGTACGTCAAACAACTCTAGGAGGCAGAGCTTTTTCTTTCGCAGATCGGGGCTCCTATCCCCGTCGGCCAATTCCGATCGTCCCAGTCCTCAAACACCTCGCCTTCCGCCCCGGCTACGAGCAACATACATGTCCACCCACCTGGTCATCGAGCCTTCCATGTTCGATGGCTTGACGTTCAAGCCCGCGTGCGACGACCGGACAATTGTCCGATACTCCGCATCCGGATCTGTGATAGCAGCCACCCCGCCCCGCTTGGTCGCCGAGATCACATCTCCCAGCTTCCTCGACTACGAGTTGTTATCAGATTTCTTCTTGACCTACCGCTCTTTCCTCGAAGTCCAAGACCTCCTTCGTATGCTCTTTGCACGGTTGAAATGGGCGCTGAGGAGGGATGATGAGATCGGCCTAGTGGTGAGGGTCCGTACCTTTGTCGCGTTACGCCATTGGATCCTCAACTATTTCCTGGACGACTTCCTGGTCGACTACAACCTACGAGTCACGTTCTGCATGTTACTCAACGAGCTTGTCGAGGAACTGTCACAGGAACTGCAAACACGGAAATCGCCCCTCAAGATTCTTGGGGAACTCATGAAGTGTTGGCGAAGGGTGTGCGCGCAGTTCTGGGACGGGTCAATGTTCGATGCATCACTTGGGCCGGATGTTCCCATTACACCTGGGGGTATCGCAGGCCACCGCGATCCAAACTTGGACCCGACATATTGGCTCACCACTGACAGCACGCCGCCGCTGCTGGACGACCTGTTCGTGCCAGCCAGCTCTCCAGGGCGTGTCAGTTTCTATGCCTCAGTGGCGACTCCTGGGAATATCGACGCGATTGTGGCCGGCGACAGGCCGGCGACCCCCGAGAATACCGAGGATAACGCCGGGTTGGAGAGGAACGGCGCCATCTCGCCGACCAGTATCGCGACGGTGGACGCTGTATCTTGCTCGTTTCCTACCAAGAGTACACGACCCACACAATCCGGCCTCAAGTATCCAGCCGCGCATCCAGTCGATCTGAGATCTGTACCCAACACCGACTCGGTCGCCACCACTCCCCGCTCCGTCGTTGGCAAGCGTGTCCGTTCGCAGGGGGGCCACAAGCGGAACGGAAGCCTAAGTGATTCCCTGCGTGAGCATCCGACAACGACGGAGAGAGGGCTCGCCGATATCCTTTTGGCGCTGCCATATGCTGGAAGCCTGGTCCGCGGAAACCTGCTACCTCCATCTCAGGCACTCGCCGAAGTCCACCCACCGAGTAATAATGGGAGACAAACCACGCTCTTTCAGCCGGTGCCGCCCGAGCTGACGAAAGAGGCGACTGTAGCGTCTGCCATGTCCGGACAAGGCATGAAAAGGCTTCTAGGCAGCGTCCGGCGGGCTTTGAGCACTAGAGGACAAAGTGCACCACCCACGCAGGAGACATTCAACATGTGCCCAATCGGGCCCAAAGGCGCGACAACCAACAGGCTTCCCGGCACTGCGATAGTACCGCAGGCGCACGGCCGGCGGAACGGCGGTCGCCCTTCGGTTCGCATTGATTTGCTCGGGGCCGAGATTGCCGAGGATTTCAAGAAAGCTGTTCGAGAAGACTCGCAAGCTCGGAGTGAACAATCCGTACACTTTCCCGCCGCCGCAAACCCGCAGCCCTCCGAGGCGCCTACAGAACCTTCTCCGTTCGAATCCTCCAACGACTACGTGATAACCCGACCAACAAGTGATATGGGCATCACCGCCGGCAGCAAGTCCATCGTCATTGTCGATGACACCTCGCTGCCGGCGAACTACCCGATCATGACGGGTGCCTTGCCGGCGGTAAACCCATCAGTGGAGATGTTCGCCGAGGCTTATGTGCCAAACGGCGCAGATCCGACACCGCCTAACACGCCTCCTGGCCGCCCTACGGGGACGCCTCGGAGGTCCTCACACCTTCTGGGCCAGCATGTACTACGCCGTTCTCTATCCGCGGACCCGCTACCGCCGTTTATCCCGGATATGGCGACGCTAGGACCGAGCGGACGCCCGTCTCAGGACCAAGCCCACCCTTCGCTATCATTTCTAATTCAGGACGCACAACAACAAGCGCTCAGTGGTGTGAAAGGGCATGTAAGGCAGTCTTCGAATCACTCAGACGCCTCAAATCGCTCAGAACACCATACCGTCCACGCATCTTTCACCAGCGACACCTTCCAGCAGCCCACCGTTCGCAGTTTCGATGCTACAACAGTGTCTGGGCAGTCTATTGACGATTCCTCCGCGGTTCTTGTCCCACAACCTCTTCGAGTGCTCAGGAGAAGACCGGGCGGCGATCTTCGTGCTGTTGCTAACGTCGGCGAGCTAGATTCGACAGGCCTCAGAAGATCACGTTCAGACGCGTCGCTAACAACGTACTCGGAGTCCATACGCAGCTCACATTTCCGCGGCGCGGGTGCGGATTCTGGCGGCTATGTCAATGTCGTGGCGAGCGACTGCTCCCCCAGCCATGCTCATGCCGAAGCGTTCTCCCTCGGTGCTATTACGGAGCGGAACCCCCAGGCACATCTGTCTCTGTTCAGTACACACTCATCCAAGCCGATCATGCGACCCTCGTTCGAGCGCGAAGCTCAAAAGCTCGCTCAGATCCCGGACGACTTGGACGATGATGGAGGTGTCGAGGCCGCCCTGCTGAAGCTGGAGGGTAAATATCATAGGAAGATTGGCGCTAAACTATCGATGGATCTGCGGAACAGCCCTCCCCAGCTCGATGTCTCTTCTGAACCCGAACTGGAAGGAGTCGAGGACCACATCGCGACAAAGGAAGAGAAAAGGGAGCATCGCAATGTGGAGCTCGGCGATGAACCGTATCCGCCACCTTCGTCCTCCGCGCCATCGACCACCGCACCCTCGACGATCACTGCCAACGACGGCCTGCTGAACGTCATCGGCCCCGGTGAAAGACGCCACAATGGCGTGCAATCTTTCCTGTCCGATGATTCTAGGGCATCGTACTCGTCGATACCGTTGTTGGATCGCGGTCTGACAGATGACGGACGCAGCAGACGGACGGACACCCGGGAGTGGACAGATCGTTCCGTCCTACAGGGACCTGACGAAGATCCGGTAACACCAGACGACCGCAGCGTCCACGATTCGCAGCATCCGTCGTACGATTTTGTCGAGAAGACAAAGAGCATGGACGAGACCCGACCTGGCGATGCGGCACAGGCAGCCGAGCCGCTGCGGGACAGTTTGGAACAGTCGTTTCTAGACATTGAGAGCGACATAGAAAGCGACCTTTCCTCCGAGTTGTCTGCGGAAGAACTTATTCAGAACGCGGAAGAAATTGATCCTTCGAGTATTGGGATCGCCATATCTACGCTACCGGCACATCCTCTTGCCGAGAACCCGCCACCCTCCGCTAGTCCCCCATCCCCACCTATCACTCTCGTCCAGGCCCTCCAGATGTCGCCAGAGGCCGCCGACGTCCCAACGCTCCAGGACCACCAGCTCTGGGAGAAGCCGCTACCGCCCACGCCTGAGACCACGCCGACGACACCAGGGGCGCCTTTGGATCAGTATCCCCTTTCGTCGCCCTCGGACCCGACTGGTACGAAAGAGGCCTTGCGAAATGCGCCCAAGCCCGAGGTCTCGGACTCAATCTCGGAACGTTCCAAGGAGCCAAACGGCAACTACTCGGTCCACCTTCCCTTCATTCTCGCCTTCGACAGCGAAATCCTTGCGCAGCAGTTCACTCTCGTCGAAAAGGACGCGCTCAATGAGATCGACTGGAAAGAGCTGATCGACATGCGCTGGAAGAATGCCGAACAAAACGGCGTCAACATGCGCAGCTGGGTCTCCTTCCTGCGCGATACCAACGCACGCGGCGTCGAGGTGGTCATCGCCCGCTTCAATATCATGGTGAAATGGGCTATCTCAGAAGTCGTTCTCACCCAGAATATCGAAGAGCGCGCGCGGTGCATCATCAAGCTCATCCACGTTGCGGCCCACTGCCGTCGTTACCGGAACTTCGCGACCATGAGCCAGATCACCATTGCCCTGACCAGCAACGAAGTCAGTCGGCTCAGCAAGACTTGGCAAATGGTGCCTGCTAGCGATAAGCGTACGCTGAGCGAGCTGGAAGCCCTCATGTCGCCCACAAGGAACTTCTACAACCTGCGCGCCGAAATGGAGGGCGGAGGTGTCTCGGGGGCAGAGATGGGGTGTATTCCCTTCGTCGGGATCTACACCCATGATCTGCTATTCAATGCGAACAAGCCGAGCGAGATCGCGAGCTCGCCAACCACTGCGCCGCTGGTGAACTTTGAGAGGTGCAGGACGGCGGCCGGCGTGGTGAAGACGCTGATGAGGTTGTTGGAAGCCAGTACGCTGTACACCTTCCAACCGATCGAGGGGATAACGGAGCGGTGTCTGTGGATGGGCGCGTTGGAAGATGACGAGATCCGGCGGTTGAGTGACGGGTTGGAGTGAGAGCCGTTGAGCGAGCGAGTGACGACGACGTAATGACCCCCGAGAGGACGACTACCTACATGAATGAAACCCGAAACGTACGAGCGTATCGACATATATACCTTACATGCATGCGCCATCTCTTTCTGTACATGCACTTCCACCCAGTTCCGACCACCCAACACCACATCCCGGGAAAGGAACTCGGCCAGCATACGGCATCATTTATTGCATCGCATCGCATCATTAGACCGTCGACGCTCACGCTTTGTACGAGCATCATTGCAGATTTTGGAATCCGCTTGCAAGCGCATCCTCTCGTTTACCTACCGTACTGCGATCTATTTATTTACCTCGATACCCCTTACCGATACCTGCCACCTATTTCCTAATCTCTAAACTAAACTAAAAACCAACCTACCTGTGTCTGGCTCTATCTATTTCCTTTTCCGTCTCCGTATGATTTTTAGGTTGCTGGTGATATGGGATGGGAACAAGCCGCCCTATGCTATGAAAGGGCCCGGCGAGGCAAAGGCGAGGCGCAATAGGAGTTTTCCTTTCTTTCCAAGTTACTTTTTGATGTTTTATTTGTTGAAATGTGTGCGAATCAGGGAAAAAGATACCTTGGCCCTTTTCGCCCCCTTGCTATTTGTGGTTGGTGAGCGCTGGTCGATCAAGTGGGATTTTTAGCGGATATGGGAGGACATGTGTACGTTTTTTTTTTTTTTCTTTTTTGGGCTTGTTGTGCCTTTCTCGTGAGTTTTGGATATCTCTAGCACCGTGGGAAGTCAGCTATGGTTTGATTGGTGTTGTGTATTTGTTGTTATCTAGGTGGTGTGATACCAAGGAGAGAGAGCACCCGAAGGGGTAATATACGGTAGCAAGATGGGGTTGGGGGATTGGGGGGTTGATCTGATCTGGCCATGTAGGATATCTGAACTCAGATGTCCCGGCGAAGAGGGATGTTTAGGACAGAGAGTTCGACCTGACTTCCCTTCCATCGCAGATGAGGGTTTGGCTAGGTATTGTACCTGCCGTAGCTCGGTCTCACTGATTGGACTAGCGGATTGGCCAGCAATCGAAGATGTTAAAGTTCATGGCATGCGTTTTGTGATTCATTACTTACTACTAGTATCCATGGGTTACGCCCTAAAGCCTTGCTGGGCAGTTCATACGTAACCCGGGCTGGCGCAACGTTCCAGTGAGGAAAGGTCATATGTCGTTTACAGCAAGGGGGACGGAGTCCAAGGAATAGATCAAGCCCCGTATCTGCCTGAGTCTTTTGTCTACCTTACTTAGGCACTCAAGTACCCGTGATCCCAGTTAGGCGAAATCGACGTTGTCCATGTCACCCGCTCAGCGGCACCATCAAGGTGGATGGATCTAGGCCTTTGTATGTATGACAACTAGTACTCCGTTGTACTACCTCATACCATGGGAGCTGGGGATGGCCTAGCTAGGTCTTCTGCTTTTCAGGGTAACAAACTGTGAAGGCAACGGTCTCATCCCCTCGTCCTGGTGTCTGTAGAGTTGCCTCTATTAAGCTAACCAGACCATATCGTTGTCCCCTAACCTTGCCGTTATACGGACACTGTATCCCTCTTACATATCATTCGACTTCCGTGGGGAAAGTCTTATTGTCTGACACAGCAGCAAATGGTTTCTATAATCCCCGTTGAAAACCTCCTCGGGCGATGACTACCTTACTTGCCTTGGTCACCCCGGCCCATAGGAATGGAGACGTCGCCGGCTGGGACTCAAGAGGGACGAAATAGGAGACCAGATGCATATGAACCCGCGACCGAATGAACCGGGCCAGGGTACAGGAGGTGGCTGATATACAATGAGTGAAACCGCCGGCTAGGGATTGGGAAACAGTCAGATCGCCTATCACAGTAGACTTACTCTCACCCTTCCCCCTCCGCAGCGCCATGTATAGGATGGATTGCTGTGTTTGGTTCCAGTTTCCAGTCACTATTCCCATGAACCCTATCCTGCCACGATATCGGGAGTCATCCTCGATTCAACTTTGCACATCCGAGTCAACATACAGCGTTGAGGCGCAAGCACGTTGTGGTTCTGCACTGTAAGCCTAGACAATCGCGCACGGAGAGACAGCAATCAGGAGTCCAAGTTTCGTCCGTTCCCAGTTGCTAAGAGGATCTAGCCACTTTCCTCGTCAGTCGGAAACAGGGCAGAGCGAGCTTCCTCCAAGGCAAGGCGGGATAACGATTAAGTCCACCCCTCATGACCCCACAGGGCATTCCCCCTCTCCAGCGTGCCGGAGAGGATATCTTTCCCTCATTAGTGCGGTACATGTGTTACCTTCGCCGAGGGGATGCTACTGTGCAAGCGAGTATCCGAACCCAGACGAAAAAAGACATTGCGGGTGTTGTGGGAATGGGTCAGGGAGAATCAAGCCAGAAGAGACAGTGCCCCTTGTATCCGCGCCGTTACGCCCGACCCCGAAAAATCGCCTTTTTTATTTTAATGTGCCGTCTCTTGTCTACCAGCCGGACTCCTTGGGGGCATCAGCAGCCCACTCGGTGGTCGCAGCGGCGGCACCAGTCTCCCAGGTCACAGGCGCGGCCTCGCTCCACTCGGTAGCAGCGGCCGCCGGGAAGCCAGCGCCGGGAGCAGCCTCCCAGTCACCAGCGCCAGCCGTAGGGAAGCCGGACTCGATGGCGACAGGGCCCACTTCCTCGACGTCAGGAAGCTTCTCCTCCTCAACCTTGTCCTCGGCCTCAGCCTCAGGGTCGCGGTCTGTGCAAACTGTTAGCTTGACCTGTAATCCCAATAGTTTCACAGCACGCGAAGCATACAGAAGTAGAGATCGACCATCACGTCCCAAGGGGTCTCGCGGTTGTAGATGGTGCCACGGAGGCGGAGGACCTCACGGGCCAGCATCCACCAGACCAGGCCAATAGCATGGCGACCCTTGTTGTTGGTCGGGATGGCAACGTCGACGTATTCGGTGGGCGAGTCGGTGTCGCAGAGGGCGATGACCGGGATGTTGACGTACGAGGCCTCCTTGATGGCCTGGGCGTCGGTGCGTGGGTCGGTGACGACGATCAGACGGGGCTCCTTGAACGACCGGGTGATGTAGTTGGTGAAGGAACCGGGGGTGAAGCGGCCGGCAATGGCCTGGGCGCCGGTGTGGGCGGCGAACTTGAGGACGGCACGCTGACCGTAGGGACGGGCAGAGATAACACAGACATCGCTCGGGTTGTCGATGGCGGCGATGATCCGGGCCGCAAGGACGATCTTCTCCCTGTAGACATTCCGCCGTCAGCATTCTCCCTTCTCGCCATCCTTGACCGGGATTCTCCGCCCGAGACAGGACCGAGTCCACGCACCAGGTCTTGCCGATGTTGATGATGTTCACGCCGTCGGCACGAGTCTTCCAAAGGTAGGCTGCACGCAAGGGTTTGTCAGAGAGCTCTTCCGCTGGATCATCGGTCGGGGATATTTACGCTGCATGTGCACACCGAGGCTATTGAAAACTGTCAGTAATGCGCCCGAGTTGCATACACGGGTAATCTCTCGCGAGCAACGCACTTCTTAGAGCCGATGTGGCACTGAGCAGCGAGCAGCTGCTCAATGTCCTGGCTGGTGGCATTGAAGATGGAGGGGAGGTTAGCGGGCGCCATCTTGACTGTGCTTTCTCTCGCGGACGTGACGACGGGAGAAAGATGTCAAGGCTGAGGCGTTCGAGGGTGGGATATTTTTTCTGGCTATCGGCGCGAGCTGCAGGCGGAGCTCTGCGATTTTGGCGCACAAATTCAATTTTGTGGGGTGCCCCGCCAGGGTTGCGCTGCGTGCAATTGACGACACATATGAATCGGGCAAGGCGGGCCGGCACCAGCTGTTGGGCTGTTGAGCCGTGCTCTGCTTTTAGCCACAGCTTTGCCGACGGAGGAATCCACGAGCGATGATTCAAAGCTAATCTCAAATAGGCTTAGCGTATATGGCTCCAAAATCTGGGTCGCATGCCGCAGCGAGAAAGTTGCGAGCCGTGAGACGCGGACGCAAGGTGAACCGCTGAGGAGACGGTTGACCCAGACAAGATCCTCACGATGCCTCCTCGGATACCCGCCCCACAAGGGCTGCGAAGTCTTACGCGTGAGAATGCGAACCTAGCGCCCTCGGCATCGGAGAGGATTAGCTGACAGTTGCTCTGTAGTCTGCCTGCGCCCGGCGCCCGTTGCGGCTCCCAGTTTCACGCCGCTGGTGCAAGCGGCTAAACTTTCGACGAAGGAGAAGAAGCGGCTGATGAAGCAGGATCCGTACGGCTGGGCCCAGGCGCAGCAGCGCAAGAACGCAAACCTCAAGCGGCGAGAAGAGCTTGAGAAGGAGCGCAAGGCCGGCTGGGGCGACCCCGTACACGGCATCGTTACGCCCTTCGTCGAGTCCTTCGACACGGCCGGTCAGCAGCCCGTAGCCGGCGAGGGCAGCGCGTCCGACGAGCCTCACCCGTTACCAACCTCGCCGCACATCATCAACAACTTTCTTACCAAGGAAGAACTCGAGCAAGCGATTGAGCATGCGCGGCGGGTGACACAGCCGCTGGTGGGCGAGGAGAACACCACATCGGACCCGGAGCTGGAGACGCACGAGTTGAAGGAGCACGAGGAGAAGCACGCCAAGGCGTTGGTGGCGTTGCAGCGCATCACCGACCTCAAGAACGCCAGCGCCAAGGACCGGAAGCACGCCAACATCCGCCGCTGCATCGAGACGTTTGGGCGGCATGTCACGGACGAGAAGCTTGAGAATCCAGCACCGCCACCGGCGCGCGGGGTCGTACCGCAGCCGAGGCCGATCCGGGCCGGGCCGGACACGGGGAGCAGCGAGGTGCAGATTGCCATCCTGACGTCCAAGATTCGGGCGCTTGCGTTGGCGTTGGAGGGGCCTAAGGGACACCGGGATAAGAACAACAAGAGGAGTCTGCGGAGGTTGTGTCACAAGCGGCAGAAGCTGCTGAAATATCTGGAGAGGAAGGAGCGGGGAAGCGGGAGGTGGCAGCATCTGGTTGAGACGCTAGGCCTGACACCAGCTACGTACAAGGAGCAGATCTCACTGTGATAATCATGAGTTCATTTGGGAAGCAGAAAGCTTGTAAAACCAAGAAGATGTGTAACTTCTATGTATCATACCGACAGAATAGACACGAGCGAGCACAGATTCCCGCAGTCCTTCGCCATACGCCAAAACAAAAACACATGCTCAGAGTTCCCCGACAAATAAACACTTCAACACCATATACCAAGCACAGCTTCCATTAGAAGACACTGATGTAATTGCCGATGCGCTCCTTTTGGTTCTGCGCTATGCACTCGGCAATCCAGGTGATGTTGCGGATTTCCTAGAATCTGGTTAGTAGCGACCCCCGAGTATGCGAAAAGGGCCAAACTTACCTGCTCCCTCAATTTGACCCACGCATAGACGATGGCGTAGGTAAACTGCCGTGTAAAGGCGCCCTTGGCGATCTCCATCTCCTTCTGGTAGAACATGTCCTCCAGACTCCTGCCGTCCGACCCCGTGCCGCCGGCCATATTCCCGGGCCCGCCAGGACCGCCGCCCAGCCCCGCCGCGTCGAAGAAGGCCTTGTAGTCAGCCACCCCGTCCACAGCCAAACGCACGCCCTCAAAATCGTCCGCCCGGGACAGCATTAGCGTGCCCTCGGGATACAACCTCCCAAAGCTGGGGTACAGCTTCTTGCGGTCGGCCTTGGACAGCTCGGTGCCGAACGAGTTGAGCGTGATGTTGATGGCGCGCCGGTCGGCCTCGAACTCGAGCAGCTCCGACATGACCTCCGCGGTCGGGGTGCCGGCCATGTCCGGGTGGGAGTTGACAAAGTGGTAGAAGTCCTCGAGGTAGTTCTTGTAGAGCGTGTTGCGCACGATCTCGATGTTGAGCTCGTCCAGGTCCTGGTGGCTCAGGCTGCCCTTGAAGTATGGGGCGAGCGGCGTCTCGATCAGCACGCTGTTGTACAGCTCCTCGATGTTTGTCGCCACGCAGAGCACCGGCATCGTCTCGAACCAACCCAGCGGGTGGCACCGGTCCAGTAGCTCGCGCGTGTCGCGCTCGTGGAGCGTGCCGGTGATGAGCAGCGCCACGTTGTCGATCATGTAGCCGTATGTTACGTAGTCCATGAACTTGGCGAGCGAGCCCACGGCGTTCGCCCGTACGTAGCGGAACTCGGAGACGAGCTTGTCTGTTGCCTTGGCTGCGAGGCTGGATGTGGAGGGGTTGGGTGGGAGGGAAGCGAGAAAGTCGCCATAGGCTGGGCCTAATTGCAACTTGAGATCTGCAGGGAGGTTGTTAGGGTCACGTATATGGGGTATCTCGGATAGGGTTTCGGTACCATCGATGTTCTCGCATTGTGTCATGTTGGTGTAGTGGCCGCCAGTGAGCAGTCCGTTGCGATAGCCGCGGACGATGCCCTCGATGTAGCTGCACGCGGAGTAAAGCAATTGTTAGCGCATATCCTCGATCCTGTGACCAGAGAGAGAGAGCCACAACATACCCATTGTTCACATTAAATAGTAACCCCTCCATGCTGCGCTGCCTTGAATTGTGAAGCTCTGATGATCGCTTCTTCGGGCTGCCTGGTTGTTGGAAGCTCGAGATGCGGCTCAAAGCGGCGTTGGTTCCTGCGCTTGTTAGAGCCTTGGACCGTGCATGGTACGCAACCTTCAAATTGCCAAGACAGACACTGGGAAACGGTACGTACCGTTTGCCTGCCCAGACCGGCACGGAGCTAACTGAGCTCAGACCTTATGCCCCACCTACGCTTCAACTGGTGGTAAAAAAATTGTTCCTCGCTCTTGACTTTTTTCCTGCCCGCGAAACCGCCAGAAAGTGCAAGTACAGCCGCGATCGAGCCGCTTTCCCACGACAAACTGCAAGCGCGGCTGGGGCAACAAGACACAAAGTCGCCAAAATGGGTCTTTTTATCCTCACAGAGACCAGCGCCGGGTAAGTGCATCTTGATCAATGGCAGCAAGTGTGGCGGAACGCGTGTGCGCTGCCTCGTCGTTGCCTTGTACAGCTAGAAAGCCAACCGGCCGATCTAACTTGTATTCTTAGTTACGGTCTCTTTAAAGCCTCCGACAAGAAGCTACTCGACTCGGATAACCTCTCTGAACGGCTATCTACCGTCGACAAGATTGTAAAGGAGTAAGTGGATCCAGCTGCGAGCGGAAATGGTTGCGTCAATGTTCCTTTGCCAACGCCGTGCAGGGTCAAGTACAAGGAATTCGCCAAATTCGACAGTGCGGCGAGCGCACTTGAGGAGATTACCGGAGTCATTGAGGGCAAGGTCACGCCAAAACTGTCCAGCCTCCTCAATGAGTTCAAGGACGAGAAGAAGGTCACTTTGGCCGTGGCCGAGAGCAAGCTCGGAAGCTCCATCGTCAAGCTCCCGGGCCTCAACATCAAGCCTATCTCGGACTCAAAGACCACGGAGCTGTTCCGCGCCATTCGCCAGCACTTGCCCGACCTCATTCCCGGCATGCTTCCCGAGAACTTCCAGGAGATGTCTCTGGGCCTGTCGCACTCGCTCTCGCGGCATAAGCTGAAGTTCTCTCCGGATAAGGTTGACGTCATGATCGTGCACGCTGTCTCGCTTTTGGATGACCTCGACAAGGAGCTAAACATCTATGCGATGCGTGTGAAGGAGTGGTACGGGTGGCATTTCCCCGAGTTGGGCAAAATCCTTCCCGACAACCTGTCGTACGCTAGGGTCATTGTTACCCTGGGCATGCGTTCCAACGCGTCCAAGGCCGATCTGTCCGAAATTCTCCCTCACGAGATTGAGACAGCGGTCAAGGCGGCCGCCGACATTAGCATGGGCACCGAGATCACTGATGAGGATCTCGAGAACATCAAACTCCTTGCTGAGCAAGTCATCAGCTACTCAGAGTACCGGAGACAGCTTGCTGAGTACCTCGAAAACCGCATGAAAGCCATTTCGCCCAACATGACTGAGCTTGTTGGCGCCCTCGTTGGTGCTCGGCTCATCGCCCATGCCGGGTCTCTCATTAATCTCGCCAAGAACCCTGGTTCCACCATCCAGATTCTCGGTGCCGAGAAGGCTCTCTTCCGAGCGCTCAAGACAAAGCACGCGACTCCCAAGTACGGGTTGATCTACCATGCTTCACTAGTCGGTCAGGCTTCTGGTGCGAACAAGGGCAAGATGGCTCGTAAACTCGCTGCCAAGACGGCCCTTGGTGTCCGCACCGACGCTCTGGCTGAATTCGAAGACGACGCGGATGACGAGACGCGTGCCGCTCTAGGCATCCGGTCCAGAGCCAAGCTCGAGAACGACCTGCGGCTACTCGAGGGCAAGCCGCTCAACAAGGGCGTTTCCCTTGGGCCCAACGGCATCCCGCTTGGCGCGCCCAGCAAGTGGGACATCAAGGAGGCTCGCAAGTACAACATTGATGCTGACGGTCTCGCTACTACCGAGGCGCCGGCACCGAAGCAGCCTCTCATCGAGGAGGTTGATGAGGAGATGGTGGATGCCAATGGCGCGGAACCATCAGACGCAGAGATGGAGGACGCGACGAGCAAGAAGGACAAGAAAGACAAGAAGGATAAGAAGGAAAAGAAGGAGAAGTCCAAGAAGTCCAAGGAGACAAAGTCTGCTGCGCCGGTCAAGACTGAAATCACTGAGAAGGACTATGAGCGTCTAGCCAAGGCAGCTGGTATGTCGGTGTCTAAGTTTGCGAAGCGGTTCGCAAAGGGACAGATTAAGGTGAACGCCGATGGCACGGTGGAAGTTCTCGGCAAAAAGGACTCCAAAGCTCAGGAGGCCGAGGAGGAGGAAGTTGCTGAGACGCCTGTCAAGGCCAAGAGCTCGAAGCGCCAGCGCGACGAGGAGGACGGGGAGACACCGGCCAAGGAGGAGAAGCCGAAGAAGAAAAAGAAGAAGCACAGCAAGGAGTAGGCTATTTCCGCGTCTTCTGAGCTTCTCTTTTTCTTCGCTGCTTCTCTCCTGTATGATACACACCTTCTGGCGTACCGGCTGGTGGTTTTGGCGTTTGGTTGGGGCGAAAGAAAGAACGGCGTTGGGGGTGGGTTTTGTGTACTGTATATTCATACCGCGCTTGCAACTACACGGTGATGAAAAACGCAGGATTGGCTGGCTAGTTCCTCAGTGTCCTGCTTTCAAGCGGCACTTATTCTTGGTACATTGGAGGGTGAGCCTCTCACACGGAAATCAACGGGATTTTCCATGACGTTGCTGTGGCCTGATCGCTGTCAGTACATAGCATAGGTATTAGTACTTTTCGCGCATCATTCTCGTGGAAGGATGTTTGGTACTACTAGATACCTTCCATACTTTAGGTCCCTACTAGTAACGACAATCACCACTGCAATGAGCTACTGCAGTAGCAACGTCTTGACGTATGCTTGATATGGATCGGACAGGGACATGCTATAGGCGAATACCCGAATACGCGACTTGCGCCTTGGCGCTGTGATTTAACTTCTCGCGTCTTGTACTACCAGCGTTCTTTGTCCGAATCCCGTCCCCTCCACGCTGTTACCTTATCAACATGGGAAACATGATATGAATCCATAGCGACGGGTATCGCTGCAATAGCGCCCACGCCGTTACGCCCTGATGTATGCCCAAACGCCTTGGGGAAGAAGCGTGGCGTTCCTCCGCCACTTCGTACTCAAAGCCCTCTTCTTCCGCGGCGTCAAGTCCCTCCTGGCCCTTCTCCTATTGTTTACATTTGCCGGCTTCTTTTACCGCTACGGCATCTACGATGACTTTTACGTCTCCGCTCGGATCCTCGGCCATCGTGGCGATACCCTCAACCATGGCCATGGCGGCTGGTGGGCCGAGTTCTTCGCCCGCCTCGAAGAAACCCGCGTCACCGCACGGGCACTTCGGATGCGCGACCGAGGGCCCAGCATCAACTGGAAACCCGACATCGACGCTACGCGCCCCGACCTGATCCAACTGCGCGAAGATGACGAAGCCAAGTTCCGGCAGTCGCACGCGGCCTTCGTCGACCAGCTTGCTCTGTTCGCCAGTCACCTTCCCTACCACGCCAACACCACCGGCATCGTGACGACGGCCGGCGTGCCCAACTTCGGGCAGGTGGTCTCGCTGGTGTTGATGACGCGGCGGGCTGGCTCGCGCTTGCCCATACAGATCTTCCTCGATTCGTCCTCCCCCTGGGTCGATTGGGTTTGCTCCCACACCATGCCGCGCTTCAACGCCAAGTGCGTGTCGCTGGAGGATACGTGGGGCGGTATGAGCCGGCCGCTGCCAAGAAGGTTGGTGCGCTTCCAGTGGAAGATCGTCTCTATCATTGGCTCCACGTTTCAGAACGTGCTCTTCCTCGATGCCGACTGCCTGCCCGTCTTGAACCCGGACCCGATCTTCGACCGAGGCGCGGAACCGTTCACGTCGGCCGGGTTCATCAGTTGGCCCGACTTTTGGGTGACCAACACTTCGCCTCGCTTCTACGGGATTGCCGGCGATATCGAGGTTCCGCCAGTGACGCCGCGCACCAGCCCGGAGGCCGGCATGATGGTGTACGACAAGGTGCGCCATGCCGACACGCTCCTCCTTGCCGCCTACTACAACTACAACGGGCCCAAGCACTACTACCCGTTGTTCAGCCAGGCGGGCGCCGGCGAGGGTGATAGGGAGAGCTTTCTCCGGGCGGCGCAGGTGCTGCAAGCGCTGCGGGAAAAAGGGAGGTACAAACAGCCGACCGCGTGGATGAAGCCTGGCGTTGGCGTCAAGAAGGGGTACTACGACGTGAAGACCTTGCCCACGGTGCACGGGCGGTCGGCCAAAGGGAAATGGGATGGGATGTTCATGATGCAGAAGGATCCAATGGCGGACTACCGCGCTGTGATGTCTGTCATCGAGGAGGCCAAGAAGAAAAAAGAAGGGAGCGAAGCGAAATCCAGGCCGAGCGCCAACCCACCACCGCCGCCGCCACCTCCACGCTGGCGGAATGAGACGGTGGCCCCAGTCAAAGAGGAAAGTTTCCTCACCGACACAACCCCCCTGGACACCTTCGGCAACCTGACACTCGCACTAAAGGACCATGGCGACAGCCGGGTCATGTTCTTCCACCACAACGGCGTCGACCCGGACTTCACGCGCATCCTCGACAGGAAGTCGCGCATGGTCGAGACGGACGAGCAGGGCAGGTACGTGCGCCTCTGGGGCGACCCGGGGTGGATGGTCGACGGCTTCGGCCGCGACGTCGAGAAGCTGCTGTGGAAGGACTCGATGCAGGTCTACTGCCAGGAGGGGCTCGCGCGGTTTTGGCGGCTGCGCAAGGTGTGTGCTCGTATGCGCGAGATCTATAAACAAGTTTATGTATGAGGTAATGGAGATCTATGCGGTGCATTCTTTCACTTTGTGTGGACTTCTCGAGGATACCCAACATATCAACGAGGAGGCAAGGGAAGGAGTAAGGTAAGGCTGCGGAACAGGCAGTGAGTGGGAGATGGCAAGCCGCTGGCTGCATTCGCCGTTCGGGCACGTGTCGTTGTGTCTCCTGAACATTGCGACTAAACTGAAGCACCAATGCTGCATCATGGCTTGAGATCTGGAATGTACACTCTCTGATAATAGTCAGAGAGAATGAGATACCATGGTCTGGAGAAGGTAAGGTATGGAAGCGATGATCAATCAAATAGAAGAAGCATAAGATTTCGACCCTGCGTAGCTTACTTGTACATTTCCTCCTGGACCTGACAGTGACGACTCATAACCGTCAACACACATACGATCCGTACGTGTAGCAAGACACGACCACGGAGGATCATCTATGGACGGACGTATTGCATTTCACTAGAAAAGGGAGCTCCATTGTATATTCGAAGCTCACAATCTAACTTTGTGAATCTGGACCAGAGCACACGGATAGGCTCCTAACGCAGGTTACCAGTTCTTCAGGATTACCAGGTACGTATACAGGCACATCTATTGCTCACAGAAGCTTGCTCAGTGACTCTGTCGTGACAGTTGCTATCTTATCAGAGAAGTAGTCAAACGACCCCGAAAAAAGGCTAATGGAGACTGTACGAGATTACTGTGCAATAAAGCTTTTCCTCAAGCCATAGATGACGAATAGACCCATGCTTGACGATAACAGCAGCTGGTGGTGACGTTGACGAGAGCCTGTGTAAGGGAACTAGGGGCTCTAAAACGATAGAACGGTTTCACAGCGGTGAAGCCCCAGAAGGATGGTACCTTAGACTGGCTGATTGTTTTTCACTTGCTTTAGTAGCATGGCATCTTGAAGCGATTCACCCGGAGCTGGATTGCTATCAAGGAGTCGTCATGGTGAACTCAGAACCGCTGTGTGGCAGTACGTACTGACCTCTCACGCCTCTGAGTGACCCCTAACCCTGACGTCGAAAACATTCATCCGCCCCACTAACCTGAAATCTACACGATGGTCCATCACACCTGCTTCCAGGTACCTTACTTCCTCCCTGCCGATTCCACCCCACAACCCAAACATCATCAAACATGGCAGACTCTTCCAGGCGACGGTCGCGCTCACGATCGCGCTCACCCGCGCGCCGGCCCAAAGTCAGCAAAGGCTTCAAATGGAAGGACAAGCGCTCCACCGACGATGCAGACGACAGGGGCCCGCGCCGCGACTCGTACCGCGATCGGTCACCCAGGAGGGACGATCGCGGGTATGGAAGGGACAGAACTAGAGAAGGAGACAGATACCGTGACCGATCACCCAGGCGGGACCGAGAACGGGATGGAGACAGGTACAACAACAACAACACCACCAGGCACGGCGACAGATACAGAGACGGGGGCAGAGATCCACGAGACGCGAGAGACCGCGAGACTTCAACTAGACCACCACCAAAGAACGACAAGTCGTCCTCCTCTGACAACCCACCAAGACCCACCGCAGGAGCAGGAGGCGGAGCAGCAGCAGCAGCACAACCCAAACTCCGAAAACCCCAACAACAACAACAACAACGACAGCAAGGGGAGGAAATGATCATCGTGACGGTCAACGACCGGCTGGGCACCAAGGCCCAGATCCCCGCGTTCCCTAGCGACACGGTGGGACAGTTCAAGATCATGGTGGCGGCCAAGATCGGGCGGGAGCCGCACGAGATCCTGCTCAAGCGGCAAGGGGAGAGGCCGTTCAAGGACCACATCAGCCTGGGCGACTACGGGGTGTCGAATGGCGTGCAGCTGGACTTGGAGGTTGATACCGGTGATTGATTGATTGACGTGAGACGAAGAAGGGCCCTTAGTTTAAGTAAATAAGTAAGGGCTGGGGTTTCAGGCAGTGGTGGACGACGACGACGACGACGACGCGATAAGTGTGCGATGCGATGTGCGGGTGAGAGGTGGTGGTGGTGGGTTGGGGGTTTGTGTACTGTCGTCCTTGCTGCTGTGCTACAGCTAGTTGTCGTTGGAATGTCTGGGTACGCTATTTTTTTGGGGCAGTGAAGGGCTAGCGCGGAGCTGAGGAGGATTGCCCGAGTGCGATCGCGATGTGGGATGGCAGTGGTTGGGTCCATGGTGTGACCTGTTACTTCTGATGGCAGAGGAGTGTCTTATGGTATAGGGCAGAGACTTGCTGCTGATAGGAGCGTAGCACCACTCCTCGGGAAAGCAGCGCGCGCTCAGCAGAGACCGGGAGATACTGGAGTTTCAGGTCTCCTGGGTCATCAGTCTGAGCCAAGACTAGGATATATGCAAACTACTACTAGCAATACCCATCCCATCAAGTATCACCGCACCAACCCTCGCTATCCTCATTCGCCTCTTCAACCTCAACCCGTCTCCCCTGTATTGGCCGCCCCGTGGAGCCGCTCTCATTGCTGGCGGTCTCGGGGATCTTGACGAGCATATCCGGCCTCTCACCGTCACCGTCACCGTCTCCGCCTCCGCCACCGCGAACACTCTTGACCCCGCCAGCAGCGGTCGCGTACTCAACAGGAGGAGTCTGCTTCGTGTAGCTCGTCGGGCTCGGCCCCCTGTAGCTGGGCGGGTTCTGTCTCAGGGCCTGGCTGAGGGCAGATAGCGGGCTTCCTGCTATTGCTATGGGCCGGCTCTCCAGGGTTTCGTCATCGCTTGAATCGCCTGCTGTGTCTGGACGGATATTATTGTTGAGGGCATCGTGGAGCTGCTCATCTTCCCGTTTCGGATTCTGGTCGGGACGGCTGTTCGTATGTCTTCTGCCATGGGCCTGGCGTTTGCCCTGGACTATGTAGTGCTCTTTGAAGTCTGGAGGGCACAGTGTCAGTGGGGGAGTGGGACTGATACAATAGATCCAGGCCTGGGGAGAACCTACGGTCTATGCAAAGACGCTCGGCGAGGGCTTCCTGATGGCATTTGGGCTTGGCGCAGCCGTCTGGTTTATTGTGTTAGCAACGCTACGAGATTGGTGCCAAAGGGCCACGGGGGAGGGGATCCTACGGGAGCCGCAAAACAGAGCCAGCCTGTCGACATATTCGTGGCACTTTTGGCTGCGGCATGTGTCTAAACAACAGACTCCACGGTTAGGGGCCGTTGCTGGACAAACACCGGTGAGTAGTGAGGACGAATACTCACGCAAGGGGCAGTACTTCCCCGCGTGCTCGGTATTCGGAGCCCAGCGTCGGGGGTTCTGGCAGGCCGACTCGGCGCAGCAATCTGAGGCAGGTCAGGAGGAGAACAGCTGCGGAGCCTATAACGATTAGGCGTATCGGGGATTTTGAGAGACGTACGATCCTCGCAGAATGGTTTAGCAGCTGTCGGCTTATCGCAGGCTCGCTCCCGGCAAGTGTGGACGTCGCAGAACGGCGAGCCCTCTATTCTGATAGCAGTACATCGGCGGAAGGAGCAGGTAGAATCTGGAGCAAATTAGGCCTTCCAGACAGATAAAACCGGCGGACAACGTACGGTTGGTACAGTAGGCAAGATAGTCCTTGGCCTTGGCCGAGAAGTGTCTTGATTCGCCACAGCCGCTCATCTGGCACTTGATATCTGTTGACAAAGTCCGTCATACATCCTTGGACACGCTGGTTATCAGTCTGGTGGGCTTACGGATCGCGCAGTGTGGGAATTCGCCCTCCACGATGGTCCGACAGCCCCTAGTCTTGCATTGGTCTTGCATGCGCTGTTGTTAGCTGCCATCGTCCTCGGAAAATAGCTGAGCAACTTACGCTCCACACAGCAGTTCCGCTGATCCTGGCGCTGCCTTGCACAGCCTTCGGCCTGGCAGGCGTCTTCCTGTCGTCAGAAACATTCGAGTTGTCGTGGACTTGGATAATGGGCCATATATGCATACGAGCTTGACAGAAGGTGGTCCTCGATGACGCTCGGCTCGCGGGACATCGTGGAATGGTGCACTTGTCTGATAGACATCAGTTCCCGGATAGGCAATAGGCAAACGGAGACGTTGGAACGCACGATCGGAGCAGACTTCATAGCGAGCATATCGCGGGGCGGCATTGGATAAGGGGTCGAAGTTGGGAGCGAGGTACTGGGCGCGGGCTTGGTAACAGTTTGGGACGGGACATCGTGCATCTGCCACGATCCAGTGAGTTTGGAGCTGATCTAGAGACATCGAATAATGCGCTTACGGATGGCGCAGACTGTGTCGTGCGGCGGCTTCTTGTAGATGCATCGCTCGTCGCCGTAGAAGTGGATGCACGTGTCTGATGAGAGTCATGGAACGTGAGCCGAATTGGTAAGCATCAGGTACAATTCTAGAGGAGTATCCTACGTTGTTTGCAGTAAGGGGAGACCTGTAAGGGGCCGGTCGAGTGTCTATCATGGGGCGATAGAGGAGACCTCCCGCCACTGCCTCTCCTGTCGTCGAATGCCCCGTCGTGCGTCTTGAAGAGCACCTCGTTGGGGCATCCTTCACTCTGACATTTGATCCTTCGGTTCATCGTCATACGTCTTTGTTGAGTCGGTCACAATGCCAATACAGAACTTCGCCAACGATGGGGGATGGAACTGAGGGAAAGACCAGTCGACGGGAATACATCATGCCTGGGGCTGGTTGGGCGAGCTAGACGGCATATGTCACACTTATCAGTCACGATCCGCTAAGCAGGCTGAGCAGCATCACAGTAACCGGGCGATATGCAGTGCAGGCCAAGGTTCGGCGCACTTGCGCCACCACAAGGCGATCAGCCAACCCTGCATCTTGGGCAACAGGTCTCGCAGGAAAGTCGGGGTCGATGATTGGTGTCTTCAATGGAGCTCGTGGTCAAGTGGTGGCTGCAACCTGAGACATCTCTGCCGGGCACAAGCATCCTCCAACGCGGGGCACAAAAGCGACGGGGCCAATGCCAGTCCCGGTCCTCTCCGCTAATAACGACTGGTTTGGAAGGAGTGCAGGATGGCCGTTGCTCATCTAAGCACTGCAGTCTGACACTCTGTTTGAAGAGAAAGCAAAATAAGCTCCCCATACAGTGCCACATTCCGACGCATGGCGGCAGACACGTTTGGCTGCGGTATCAGCGAAACGTGGCTGCCAGAGAAACCCGGCAGTGTTGATAAGACGGGAACTTGAAGTTGCACAGTAGACAACGCTCGATGAACCAACATCAAGCATTTTAATGGGCCCTTCACGTGATTGCGCACCAGTCACGCGCTTCGGAAGGCACCATTGTTCCCGAAGCGCGCCCTTGGTCTGACAACCGCGTTGCCACTTTGTCCCTCATCTGCTTCGTCTTTTCGCTTTCTTGCTTCCAATAACCTATGACCTGTCCCATAACAGTCAAAAACCGCAAGGCATAGGACCGAATACGCTGGATTGTCTTTCCCGTACCACAAGCCGCAGAAAAGACGAGATTCCGCGACTCCCACAGTGGTCTCGAGCGCGTCGAGCGATTGACAAGTCAAAGAAGAAGACGGAAAAAAAAGCAGTCATGATCACGACGACGAAGACGACGACAACCATCTCCAGGACCGCGAAATCCGCAGACTCCTCCTCCGGCTCCTCTCCGTCCATGTCTCTAACCCTGACGAAACTTCCCCTTCCCCTCCCACCACCACTTCAGACCTCCCCGCGGGGCACCCCCTTCGAGCGCGCCGTGTGGTGCCTGACCTACCAGATCCCCGCCGGCTCCTTCAGCACCTACGCCCTGCTCGCCGCCCACCTCAGGTCCTCTCCGCGGGCAGTGGGCAATGCCCTGCGCCGGAACCCTTTTGCGCCCGAGATACCTTGGTACGTTTTTCTTTTTTTCTTTTCTCTCTTCTTTTTCCTTCTACTTTCTTTCTTTTTCTTTTCCCCCTCTCTCTCCTCCGTGAGACCCCTTCTATTTAAGGGAGGGAGGTAGTAAACCCCACCACCCAAAACTCAGCACCCAGCCACCCGCACACACACACAGAGAGACAGGGACATAGAGACAGTATGTGTGACATAGCGAAGGGGGCAAAGGGAGGAAAGAGAAGAAGAGAAATCAACAATAACCAAATAAACAACGAACCGACGTTCCCCTGACTAACATTTTCGGCCCCCCCCTCAACCTTTACCTAGCCATCGCGTCGTAGCAACAGGCGGCAGCCTGGGCGGATTCAAAGGCAAGATCGCCCGCCGCGACGGGGAGGGCATCACGCTGGTCGAGAAGCGCGCGCTGCTGCGCAAAGAAGGAGTCAAGTTCGATGCTGCGGGCGCCAAGGTCCTGGGCACTCCGTTCCGTGGCTTTCTCTAGGTATCTGTACTATTTAGTACAGTCCCAGTCAGGTATAGGTTGCGTTCGGTCTCACGGGTATTTGCCTTGTGTGTGTGGTGGAAGAAGCTCGGGAACGGGGAGGAGGGGGCGTTTGGTTACCAGTGCGTAACTGGTCAGAGGCTGGAGAGTCGGGCGGAGGGTTGGTGTCTGGCGTCGAATATGATCTTCCCATGTTCATAGGAAAATAGATTTTGACACCAGTCTTAATCAAGGCGCGACTTTGTTAGTTAACTGCACGAAGGATATATGGTATGGAATGCGGGTGGTTGGGTTGGCCTTGGATGCCGTGGGTTGACTCCGGAATCCAGCCTATTCATCGCACCATATGTAAGAAGAGCTTCATGTCCAGGGCGTGCCGCAATAATGTCCACACCTAGCCACAACATCGTCCATTGAGGTGGCCTACCCATCCATATGATACATCCATCCTATTGACCCGGTTGACCCGCGCACCAGACCTTCCTCGCAAAACCGTCCCTGCATCCCGAACGCCAGCAAAACCTGATCTCATTTCGTCTCTGTTAATTCCCAGTCATATGTCCCCTTTGCTCGATCCTCGGGACAGTTGCCCTCATGAAGGTCGCCCCATATTTACCCCCTAAATGTACATGCAGACAAGTTGTGCTTTTTTTAACCCCGTTCATGCAACGCCAGTGATGAGTGCAAATGACGACCCGCTGACAAACAGATGGGAGACAAGATCAAGCGAGAAATACCTTCCCTGTGCGCGCGCCCCCGAGAAGATGGGACGAAGGCAGATTACTGCTGCTGCTGCTGCGGCTCACCGCCACGACGCGGCCGCGTCGGGAAGCTGCCACGCTGGCCACCGCGGCCGCGACCGCGACCCTCGCCGCGGAACCCGCCGCGGCCGCGGTAACCGCCGCGACCACGCCAGCCATTCTCGCGGTTACCGCGGTTGCGGCCCTGCACAGACTGGAAGCCGTCGTCTGCAGGGGCAGCGGGGGCACCCGCCTCGGCCTCGGGATGGTCGTCCGCCCAGGACTGAGTGTTGGACGGGGCTGCCGGAGTTGCGGCAACGCCCGTCTCCGTTTCGCCAGGCTCGCGCGGGATCTTAACGTCCACCCATTCCTGCGACGAGGGCGCATCGTTGCCCGTATCCCACTGGCTCTCGCCCGCCGCGTTGGCAGCGCTGTCATCAACATCAGCGTTGCTCAGTCCAGCACTGCCGGAAGAAGGTTCCTGGGCATGACCATTGGTCAGGGCGGTGGCGGATCCCTCCTCAACCTCGGTCAGGCCGGCGTTAGCGACGGTCGGATCGGTCTGGGGCTCCTGCTTGGAGTCGACGATGCTGGACTCGGCCGGCTGCGAGGCTTCGGTCTGCGTGAACGGTGCAGCATGGGCGATGGCCAGCTGCTTGACCTGAGCGACTGAGAACGGTTAGTATTAGCTGAAGGAAGTAAAGTTGAACTGCACAACTTACAAGTCGTTTGCAGCGTCTCCCCGGTGGTGCTGCGCGTCGGTTCCTCCGCACCCTGCACGAGCTTGAACATGGCGGAAACGGCATTCTCGTCGCCGGTGTAGATGTGAAGGAGGACACCCTCGAGAGCCATGCTCTCGTCAGATGTGCTATCGACATCCTCTGCGCGGCGGGCCGCCGCGAGACGAAGGAATTGGGAGAGGATCAGGAGATTGTCGTGGAGGTTGGCTTTAGCATCCGCCTCAGCCTTCTCTGTGAGCTCAGCAACAAGATCCGCCTTCTCCTTCTCGAACTTGTCTGTCAGGGCCTTCTCCTGCTCTCCGAGACGAGCCTTGAATTCCTGGGCGACTTTCTTATGTTGAGCAAGCTGCTCTTCGAGGTGGAACAGCTGGGCTTCCAGCTGGGGCTTCTTCAGGTGGGCCGCCTTCTGGTCGGCATTGATGATCTTCAGTGACACCAACTCGTCGAGGGACTTGCCACCGTGCTCGGCGACGATGTGGTCGATCCTGGAGGCGTTGGTCTAAGTGATGATGTCAGTATCCATGGCATGGCCAACGGAAGTTTGAGTGCGCAAGCCACGGGACCACTTACAATCTTCTTAGTGACGTTGCGGATGCTCCTGCAGAAACGAGTCAGCAATGTGGACAAGCGCAATATGCTATGGCGCGCTCACTTCTGGAGGTCGCGAATGTAGGCGTTTTCGTTGTCGTCATGCGCGTCACTGGCAGCGACCGAGCCGGCATTCTCAGCGATGGAGGCAGCAGGTGCGGGCGACTCGATGCCAGCCTTCGCCTTCTTCTTCTTGGCCGACTTGGACTCGACCGGCGCCGGGGGGTTCTGAACATCTGAAGCTGCCATATCGATATTATGTAGATTGCTCAACGCAGGTAGGTATTGTTTACGGTCGAAACCAGGGAGCAAGCTTCGCGCTGGTCGGATTGTGACGAAGGTTTCCTCAACTGGGTCAGAGGAGGATGGAAGCTTGGGAGAAAGCTAACTCGGACGACGAAATCTAAGTGGCGGGGTTTGAGAAGGTTTTCGGTTGTTCGGTAGTGGACTCGTGGAGAGATGCGGATGTGTTGTTGGATAATAAGGATTCAACTGAGATCGGTCTGAAATTTTTCTGGTAGCTTAAGTTGTGTGCCTGATGGCGAGGCTTCCAACCTCAGCTCTGATTTCTTGCAGCTACCCCAACACGGACCACACTCCACCCCCGCCTTTAACGCTCAGGCAGAATGATACAGAAGCACCCCGAATATCGATATGAGCTCATAAACAGGTCACACTATGTGCATAGAGCTGAAGGTAGGTAGCACAGCGCTACGAGGTTCAAGCGTCAGCTTGGGAATCCGTATTAGGTACTTGGTTTCCTGCCCTTGATATCAGATTTCAAGGTCAACTACTTGACAGTCCGCATTTCGGCATCCCGGCGCCGACGCTCGGCCCCACACCGCAGCTTTACATCGGTGTCGCGTGCTCCGACTGGGCCCGCCCGCGGGTCGACATCCATGCCAAGTAACTAAGTAACCACAACCTCTAGCGCTCAACACCGCGAGCTCCATCAAGATCCAGCCCTGGCGCGGCTCCGATATGCTCCGTTTCGCTACGGTCAACGGAGCCAGCGGTCCCAGGCTTGGTCGTTCCGGTCGACTTTATGGCCGTCAACAATGTCTCATCCTCTAAACTTGGCGAGTGAGTCCTACGGCAAGAGGTTGTGTAAGCTACAACTCCTCGCAGCAAACATGCACCATCAGAGAGCAATGTTCTCTTACCGCTGTAACCTTCTTTACGCTCCTTGCCGTGATGCCTCGCTCACCCCCTTGCTTTGCCTCAATAGTAGCCTCTCTCATAAGGCTGTTAAACAAGGTCAGCGGACGAGATGGGCGCTCGAGTCGCAAGCTTCCTCACGTCTGCATAAAAAGCATATAATCCAAGAACATCTGGGCTGTTATCAGTACTGGTGAAGAAGCGCTTCAGCAGACACGCGGCTGTTTGGGGTAAATGGATGAACGTACCATGACATCAGCGTTCTTGCTCACGTTGCAATTCGAGTGAGCCTTAACGATCTTCTTGACCGTCGCGCGAGGGTACAACTTTTGGCCGGCCATTCTGATGAGTCGAGACAGGTAATGTGGAGGCGGACTGAGCAGCTCAACCGGTAGTCATGTCCGCCAGCATCGTGCTCGGGTCTTGTTTGGACTTGCAGGGGAGTTGCGAACGGTTTGTTGACTTCAAGAGACGCGGCCAATGAGAAAACTGAGGAAAACTGGATATAAGGATACTCTTAGCATGCTTATATCCGGTATTTCTCACTTTTCCCACTTAGCTTTGGGAGATAATCCTCACGGGGTATTATATGCTATAGACCTATGAGTTATACAACTGTGTTCAAAGTTGCATTAAGTTTGGGCCTAAGAGGAATTTACAATGATCTTTCAAAATCTGTTCATTTGTATGGGAAAATGGAGTGGCCCGGATTTATATAGGGGCCGGATCCCTGTTGACGACGTTACCTATTTGAACGACTCTACCTTAAAGCTACGCTGCGAATTTAATAGGCGTTCTAGTATAAGGATTAGAACGCCTATCGTAGCCAACGATATTCCGTATACCTTCGAGAAGTTTAACCTGCCAATCCAACAGACCTCTGCTTGACCTGTGCGCTGCACGTGATCTTCTTTTTCAACATCGTGTCGCATTCTCCAACCGAGACAGGTACCTTCATTCACGAGCCGAGGATCACCAAGCACCATCAAAGTCCCATCGCTGCGTCCCTCTCCCATACTCCATAATGACATCTGTCGACGGCAAACTTGAGGAGTCCATCTCCGATTTCTTCTCGAAGGCGGGAGCGTGCACGACGAGGAGTCAATGCGACGCATTTGCCAACGCCACTTTCGGTGGGCCGGTTAAACCTATTCCAGTCCAGGGCGTATATAGTTACACCGTGGCGGCAGCGAATGACACGGTCATCGTCCAATTCCGAGAACCGGACTCACCGCTGGATACACAAATGCTAGCGACAGTCCAAACCATTCATCCAGGCTTCGTGGCTGGCTGTAGCTACCGTGGGACGATTGGCTCATCACCGGCGCTGCTAATATACTCAATGGACATGCTCGCAGGAGACAGCTATTTCAACATCTCCTTCTCTATGCTGGGCGACGAACTGGATCACCAGCTGGCCACTGTGCACAGCCTGGCGAGGTTCGCGGATATTATGACTTCTTCTACACTTCAAACCCGCTAATAATACCAATAATCAAAACATATAGGTTCTTTGCGCAATCCTGGCTGAAGAGCAGCCGACCGGATCCGAATACTATTTCTACCTGCTTTGAATGCTGCTGCTCCAGCTTCAATGACCTGTGCAGCAACCTCCCCCCACGCTTCCAAAAAAAACTGTCAGCCAAGTTCAGGAAAACCTCCTAACTCTCTTCTTTGGGAGTATCCATTGGTCCTAACGCACGGCGACCTCAACGAGAGAAACATCCTCGCCGACCCCAGGACCGGCGAGATTACGGGAATCGTCGACTGGGCCGAGGCAAGCATCCAGCCGTTCGGCTTCGCTCTTTATGCGCTGGACAGCATCCTTGGCTACCTAACACCTAACGGATGGGTTTTTCATGGCACTGCTGAGTACCTACAGGATCAATTCTGGAGGGTTTTCTGCGAAATGGTCGGTGGGGTGTACCAATATAAGATGGAGTTAATTCGGCTTGCGAGACTAGCTGGATCGTTCCTCCGGTATGGCATCTCGTACAAGCCTGGACGCAAGGGAGTAGTAGGAGTTGGGGGTACGAATAATACCTCTATTAAAATACTCGACGGCCTCATTTTAGGTCTAAAGATCGCTCCCTAGGCGTTCACGGCTACGGCTCAGCTTCCCTGTCAACTAAAGCCGGCACTGATATACTACGGAGGAAGAATGGTACCATAGGGGAGGAAGGGCCGGCAGCACGTTCTTGGCAAGTGAACTAGGAGATGCATAATAATATCGAATCTGCGAGCATCGTATCGACAATGACAGACAGAATTCGGATTTGAGAGCTGTTTCCTATCCTAATTTCCTAAGTTAGGTACTCTTTTCGGCCATTGCCGCCCTGAAACCCTCCAAGGTCGAACGTTGGTCAGCCGTGCGCATGGGACGCCAGCCTTAGTTGACGATCTCCTCACGTTTCAGCACGTCGATGAGGTTCTTATCGTCAGTCAATTTGGAATCTTGGAAAATCTTATGGTTTCCGTTTTGCATAGGAGAGTGGACGTCGTTGCCTTTGAGTTCGCTGACGCCTGTCGTATCGGTGTCGGCGGACCACCCCGTGACCCGATAGACTAGACCTTGTCAATCTTTGTATCTTCAGCATCCAGCATGACGACCCCTTCGCGGCCGCTGCCAGAGAGGTCGAACTCCTGCATCATCTTGGCTCCGTGTCCAGCTAGGACCTGAAGGCCGAGGAGGTCCGTCAGACCGTGCTACGGTCGGTGTGAGCGTATATACTGGTTCACTATCGGCTTCCGTAAATGAGCTACCCTTGCATATGGCACACAACCCCAGCACGTGCCCAGCCCTGGAAACTTCCTGCCGCGGGAGGTTTCGAAGGGTTAGGGTTGACACCTTTGCCGACTAAGCTTTAGATCCCCGCCAAAGTTCGGCCAGTTGAGAGCTGTGGTTGCTCAAGCCCGTGATCGCACAACAACTAGAGGGTTAGGTATTGTTGGGCACAGTTTTCGATCAGAAAACGGCAAGATGATGAGCCGTCGAATGGTGCGCCCAATTTGTTTTGATCTTGACGCAGTCGAGAACCAGCTGACAGCTCCGTTTTGCAGTTGACGAAGGAGGAGGAGGATGCGATGGGCGACGAAATCGAGGTGCGCCGCGAGGACCAGGACAAGATCAACAAGTTCAGCCGTCTGCACCAACATGAGTTGACAATAGTCGAAGAACTGAAGGCCAAAAATGTGAGGGAGCCGCACGGATGACGCTGGGCGAGCTGGGTAGCTAATTCTGGAATGCAGAAAGAGAAGGAGGAGCTCGACGATATCACTACCGAGTTGGAATTGGCTGACGAGGAGGAAACCGTCCCGTGAGTGACACCGATAGGGAAGGATACATTGAGAAAACATGCTAAGCACCCCGCAGCTACAAAATCGGCGACGCTTTCTTCCATGTCTCCCTCGAGAAGGCGCAGGAGATGCTTGGCTCCTCTACGGCAAGGATAGAAGAAGAAATCGGGGCGCTTGAGGACAAGCTAGAGAGCATCCGCGAGGAGATGACGCAACTAAAGGTCGAGCTGTATGCCAGATTCGGGAAAACCATCAATCTCGAGACATGATGACATAAATGGACCGCCATGACGCATCCGATGAACAAGGTCGACATGTGAGAGGATGGTGGTGGTGTACGGAGTATAATGGCAAGGCTCCAGTCTTGCAGGTGGTTTGCGAACATTCGAGGAGGCACAGGGTTCACGTATTGAACAGTAACGAACCAAGTCCGTCTACGCCACCTTAATACCGCACCTTGCCGCTTCGGATTTACTACTATCGGGTGAGCGATTCGTCCGCCAACAATCACAACCTACTGCCTTCCATTGAGAGTCTACCGGACGAACCAGCATGGCCACCGAGACCAGACCAGCACCCGGAACAATGGTATGTTGCCGCAATGAGTACCTATTAGTAGTTGTATTGTAGCAGCATGCTCTGTTCCCACCGGCGTTCAGTTGTCGCAAATTCATGCGTCCGAGTCAAGAGTTGTTCGGCTTTCCGACCGGGGTCTTACAACTCACAACTTTTCCCACTTGCGGAGCAATGGATCAGCCTGCTTCAAACTACTAGTACACAAGTGTTTCGAGGAAGATGCCGGGCGGACGAGCAGATAGACGGAAGCTGAGTCCGGGACTGATGGAAGCTAACGATCCTGGTCTTGATACTCGGCAGGCGGTATCGGAAACAATGTTGTCCGATTGGATCAGATACGAATCTAGGTGCTGCGCCGAGTACTCCGTACACAAATTCGCTAATAACTCCGGTTATCGCTGTTGTCAGCGACCCCCATAACTATATCCAGAGCCAAACAAACCTGAGTAGCTATTTCCCGAGGGACGATGCCGATGACGTGAGAAAAATCTTCAAGCATCTGCTTTACCCCTCATCAGCTGATTTGATTTTGACAGAATCTGAGTCAGCAGTCCCTTTAATCAATCTCAAACATGCCCGGGCAATCGGTCAAGGCAGAGGTAGGGGAGGAAGAAACTTGAAGCGTTGCCACAGCAACGATGAAGGGTTAGGGTTCTAGCTTGTATAACGCGGGGCAAGTGAGCTGAGTCAGTGCCCCACGACATCTCTCGCACCGCGACGCCAATCCTTCGAGCCCGTGTCGCGTTCCACTTAAGCAAGCCTCAGCTTAGCCAAGAAATAATCATGGCTTCACACCAGCGGTCGGCCTCCGTGGCCGGCACAAGGGAGAAGACCTATTTTGAGCAGCAGAGGGAGGCGTTAATAGGGGAGATTGCCATGGTGAGAAGGCCTCGGCGAGGGATGTGTAAAAGACGAACCGACCAGTGCTAACGATCCGCAGAGCTTTGAGCATGTCCTGGCCAACATCAACAAGCTGAACCGGTCTCTTGAGGCGGTTATTGCTGTCCGTAGTTGCCCGTACAAATTCTCCCGTTCCATCTCATGAGCTGACAGAGACATAAGGTGGGCAATGAGTTCTCGTCGGTAGAGGCGTTGTGGTCACAGTTTGAGAATGTCATGGCCCAGGATCCCGAAGAGGGCAATACCAAGCAGGAGGAGCAGGGTGATGGGCATGACGAGGGTGATCAGACCAAGAACGAGGAAGACGAGAAGTCTTGAGCGGAAAAGGTTGGGAGAGGTAGGCGTTATTTGGGAAATGGTGGGTTCCGAGCGATCACGTCGTGATAGAAGAAGACATAGAACGGTTACGAAAATGATACCCAAAAACAAGGCAATCACATGTTCGGCTCGGAAGGCTGATTCACAAGTAACACACATGGTTTAATATCGTTTCAATTCAGATGCTTCCCTACCCCTAATCAATAGGCACGAACGATGGGAAACTCAGTGAGACCCTGCTGCGCAAGTCATAAACGGTCCCAAGGAACAATACCCGCATTGGTGTTGCAGAGCCCGAGACCTCGACAAGCCCATCCAAACTCTCCCCGCCTTCATCCAGGCGAACGTCCACTTCCCCCATGCCTCGCCCCCCGTCCTGTCTCATCCATCCATCCCTAGGGGGGTATCGCATCCCTTCTAAAACCCTATAGCAGTGTTCACGAAGAGAAGTTATACTCCAGTAATACATCAGTTTCCAGTTATCTCTTCCCCAACCCGTCAGCATCATCATCCATCCCTTCCCCAACCCACGCTCCATCATCCATCGTCCATCGTTCCGGTTCTCAGTCACAACAATAAGATAAAACAGTTAGAAGAGCGGAAATAAGAAAAAAAAGTGTCCCAGAAGTCAATCGCCCGCTTTGTATGCCTCGCCATTGCTATCGGTAAGGTCATGACAGAATGAAAAAGGAAAAGCGTGGACATGCAAGAAGAATAAGAAAAGAAAAAATGACAGCAGCGCATGTCGTGTCGGGCATCATCGCATGCAATGAGTAAAAGATCATGATCCACCCCCCAACTGCCTTGGTTTTGCTGTAGTAGTTGGGTGAGTTCTTCGCATCGCCAGGCCGACAAGGTTTAAAAACCTCGGTCCCTTCCCCCCCCTTTTTAGAGCACACCGCACTTTCTCTTCTTCTTCTTAACAATCGGAATGGGCACGCCGTCGCTCCCAAACGTTATCCCGCCTTGCAGGGCGTTGCCCACGCTCCCTCTCCTCCCGAGACTGCTGTTCCGGCCACCGTTGGCGGCCGCCTCGGCCTCGAGCGTCTTGCGGTCGTTAGCCACAACGGTGAGGATGGCGCGCTCGAACACCTCCTCGACGCCCTTCATCTCCTTGCTGCTGCACTCCATGTACTGCGCGCCCATCTTCTTGGCCACCGCCAGCCCTTGCTCGGTGGTTACTGGCGTGAGGCCCTGTGTCTTGAGCATGTCGATGCACGTCTTCTTGTAGCGCAGGTCGGATTTCAGCCCGACCAGGATTAGCGGGGTGTAGGGGCAGAAATGCAGCACTTCGGGGTACCACTGAAGACGAACAATTAATACCAGTCAAGGTCGACACGGGGCGATGGAGGGAAGGAAGACAAACCTTGTCCATAACATTCTCCAGCGAGTTCGGACAGTCGATGGCGAAGCACACAAAGATCAAGTCGGTTTCTGGGTAGGAGAGCGGACGTAGTCGGTCGTACTCCTCCTGCCCGGCCGTATCCCACAGCGCCAGCTCCACCGTCTTACCGGTGGGAGGGTGTATGGGATAGGTGATATAGTTTTCGAAGACGGTTGGGACGTATTTCTGGTGGAAAAGCGGTCAGGGTCTCGATTCCGATGCACAGGTTGGAATGAAAAAGTATACGTAGAGATACACTAGGGCACCCAAGCATAACTGAGCAGAAAACATCGACACTCACCTCTGGAAAGTATCCTTGACTGTAGCTGATAAGCAGGCACGTCTTCCCGCAGCCGCCGTCGCCAACTACGACAATCTTCTTGGAGTAGGCGGGGCCCTCTGTCATGGCCGTGGCCGAAGATTCCCTGCCACTCGAGTTGGTGCTCATCATTGTGCTGACTGTGCCGTCGCTTGACCTTGTGCCGCGCGTGTCTCGCCTCTGGGAGTCAGGCCGCCGCGAAGCATTGCTGTCATGCCGCTCGTGCATGTAGGTCGAGTTGCGATACTGGTATGACGCCATGGTGTGTAAAAAAAGGTCAGGTAGGCAATGATCGGATGTTTGTTTCGGAGGTGGAATTTGGATGATAAGCCACCGAGGTCGAGGCCGCCTGTTTTCTTTGTTGACTCAGTGAAAGGCACCCGCAATCGATGCAAAGCTGATCTCCCCGCCCCGCCAGGATGATGTGTCGAGTTAGTCTGCTCCCGAGTCAATTGACGTGCGTGATGCGAGGTGTGATGTAAGTTGTTGATCCGAGGTTCTCTGCAGTGCTGCGTTGTTCGAGGGAATCGTGTGGTGATGAGAAACCGACCAACTGCAACTTGCGGGAAGTAAACGGTCGGCTGGGCAACCGTTGCTCTGATCGCCTAATGCACAACCCCGGCGCTAAAAATGGCAGGGACCCACTGCAGTCCAGGGCAATCTGAATCAAGGCAGAACAGTTTCCAGCGCTGGATGAAGCGGGGTAGGTTTTCATCCCTTGCGCTTCTTCAAACTGATTCGCAATGTTGGGTTGTCAATAGTTCAGTTGTTGAGGTTACCGGATAACTTTTTAAAACCATTACTTTCTGTAGCCGTTCTCCTCTCTCGCCAATACACGAAGCGTTTACAAGCGCCAGCCCTACGTAGCCAGCCAAGTACCCGCGTACTGCCCCACCGTCACAGCCCCGCTGTGGATTTTCAGCTGCCTTGGTTCGCTATGGCTAGTGCGATTTTGGGCATCGCGCAAAGTTCTCACCTTCGCAAAGTGAAGTCCAAGTTTTCTTCCACCGTGTTTGTGGCGTGTTTGGAGTCCAAGACACTGGACCCAAGCTCCCACCAAAGATTCAGGATTCCTCTGGTTTTGTCTAAGATGACGAACACCTAGTTCGGGATTACACAATCTTTGTCCCAAAACAAGGTTTTACTCCCTCATCTACGGCCAGTTGCCGGCGTGTGCAAACTTTTCTCCCGGGTTGAAGATTCTTCACCCTAGGCACCTAGCCAAGGGACACAACCATGGCGGACAGCAAGTACATCACGCTCGTTTCGCGAGACGGCTTCGAGTTCGTCGTCCTGCGCGAAGCGGCCCTCGTCAGCCCGACCATCAAGGGCATGCTGCGGAGCCAGTTCATCGAGGCGCGGACGGGCCGGTGCTGCTTCCCTGAGATCGAGTAGGTCCCTCATCATCACCGCCACCACCATACTTTCATTCATCAGACTTCCGCTGCAAAATGATGATGATCCGAAAATATTCGCTGTGTTCTTTCTGACAGACCGCTCTCCTCCCGGCACGTTCACGACGGCCAAGGGGGGGCCAGAGACAAGGACTGCATGAGCGTCGTCTACACTTGATCTGACCGCACAGCTCCCCTTCCCCCGCCTTCCCTCTGCCACATGAGGACAGCCGAGAAACAAGATTGCTAACTTAGAATCGGATAGCGGTGTCATTCTTGAGAAGGTGGTAGACTATTTCCACTACTGGTACCGCAACCGGGACAAGGAGGAGGTGCCCGACATGGAGATCCCCGTCGAGCTGTGCCTGGAGCTGCTGATGGCGGCCAACTACTTGAATCTAGAACCCGCGACAGGCTTGAGAGACTGGACGTGAGCGATGTTTCCGAAGTGCATTTTCGACAAGGCATTTTACGAGGGCATCTGCCATGCTATTGCGACTATGGCGTCTGCTACGGTACGGTTAAAGGATCTGGGTATGGTATGGCGTTACAGGGAACGGTTTCGGTAATGGAACGCTTCCCGGCTTGAGGAAGTGTTGGAGCGGTCCGTGGTTGAACCGGAAGCTCCTCATATTCTGGCCTCAACGAGCAGGCAAATGTTTGAGCCTCCTCGTCCCTCTTGTTGTGCGCTGCCCGTGATTGATCTCTGCCTCCCATCTTAGCATATGCGTCTAGCTCTCGCTCCCCATGGGCACGACGTCTAAAATAGATGGAAGATGGACAATAGTCCTCCGCGATCTGCCTGGCTCATTGAACCCGTTGAGCTCTCGCTTTTATTCGAAAGGAGACATGTAGAAAAAAAAGGAAATAATAAGGTTGACACTTCACAATAACCGTACCAGATCAGACCAAATTATGACCTTACGCCTTAACCTCAACCTCGATCACATGAATAGTATTGAACGATCGATGAAAGCCCCCCCTACCACCTCCCTCCTCTGCCTCCTCTACCCCTTCCTCTCCCACCACCGCCACCGCCCCTTCCCGCTCGTCCTCCTCGGCCCCTACCACCACCCCTTCCACCTCCTCTCCATCCCCATCCCCCTCCGCGCTGCCCGCCCCAACCGCCACCGCCAAACTCAGCCGGCGCAGGGCCCATTTCCCGCCTCGCCTTCCTCTCCTCCTCGCTAGCATGCCAGTGGTTCTCCAGCCCCAACATCTCACAGAACACCGTCGTCTGGGGGTTCGTCCACTCCAGCGGCTGCTCGTCCACCCGTTCTGCATCCACGCCGGGCCTGTGGGGAGGGGCGGTCGGCTCAAAGCTCAGGGGTACGTCGAGGCTCACCGGCCCCTTGGCGACGACGTTCTCTTCGACCCAGCGCCGCTCGGCCTCGATCAGGGGCAGGTAGTGCGCTTCGCCCTGGTCGGGTTCGGTCTGTGCGGTGCGGTCGCCTATTTTGAGGAGTGGGTGGAAGACGCGCAGGATGGAGAGCCATTCCGGGTCGTACTGCAGACGGAGCGGGCGGGTGAGTTTTCCTCCTCCTCCTCCTTCTTCTTCTTCTGAGGAGGAGGAGGAGAAGGGGATCTCGAGGAGCTGGAGGAATTTACGGCCTGGGAGGCACTTGTCGAGCGCCAGGAAGCGGGTGGTCGTGTTGGTGATTCCTGGGGGGACAGGTTGGCCTGGGACGGGACGGGGGACATGTGGTTGTCGTACTTGGGCCGGTTTGGCGAAGGCGGCGGGGAGTTGGGCGCGCAGGTCCTCTGTTGTGGTGGCGGGATCTTCTTCAACAGCGGGGTTCACGGTTGGTTCGGCTGTGTCAGCTGCTGGAGCCTCACCCCCCGCGTTGTCTTCGTCGTCCTCCAGACCGAGGTCGATTTCCTCCGGGTTGGCGACTGGGACCGGCTCTGCAGCAGGCTCAGGGACCGGTTGCGAGGCTTCTGCGGCCTCTGCCCCTGAGGGCTCTGATGGCGCAAAGACTTTGATCGCCGCGAACTTGCAGTGCAGATGCGCCGAGAACCAGAACCGCGGCCGCAGCCTGTCGAGGACATACTCGGCGGCCGGATTCCCTAGTGTGCCGTCGCGGGACTCGCGCTCGAAGTCGGGCTTCTTCTTGAACAGGCTCCTCTGGTTCCCGTGTTTCTCGATGGCGCGCGGCCAGTCGTGGCTGATGCAGATGTCCACCTGGGTGCGCAGCTGCAGGAGCTTGCGCACGTCGATCTCGCGCACATGGTAGAAGCTCTTGACGTCGTCGGCGTTGAATGGCAGGCGCTCGTGATGCGGCTTCTTGTAGTCGAAGCCCTTCCAGATCCCGCTCATGCCGGCGATGCGCAGCGGGCCCAGGCGGAGCACATTGGCCGCGCCCATGTAGTAGATGTTGGGAGCAACCCAGCCACCGTAGTAGAGCTCCCAGAGGTGGGACGAGGCCTCGTGGTTACCGGCCACGAAGACGGTCAGATAGGGTGCCTTGCGGGCCCCGCTGTAATACTCGTGGAAGTCGCCGAGCTGTCGGTACTTCGGCGGCACCGACATGACGTTGAGGTCGGCGGCATTGCGGACGGCCTGGAAGTCGCCGCCGATAATGAGCAGGTCGACGCCATCCCATTGGCGTTCTTTGCATGACCTGTCGACGGCAGCATAGATGGCGTTGAGTGTGCCGTGTCCCTGGATATGGTCAGCAGCTGGTCAATGCAGGGGCCATCCTATTTATTTTGCTTACACAGCCTTCCACGGCGATACGAACACCGCTAACTTCGTGCGCACCGCTTGAAGCCATCCCGTTCGGTGAAGATTTTTGAGGACCTGTATTTTCTTTATGAGAAATATCCTCAGGTCATTTGGATGCCCTCAAGCGTCGAGCAATGACGGTGGAGACGAACGTACGTTGAGCCGCTTGTTGATGAATGAGGCAAGTGCGCCCCTTGGAGAGGCCGAAATTTTGTCGCTGCGATTGGAGCAGGGCAATGCAATTGACCTCGAGACCCCTTTGAGTGAGCCATTGCAATCGCCTTGAGCCTTCAAAGTTTGCGTCTCATCCTTTACCAGAGCTCGAGTACAATGGAGGGCCTCCACGTCTTCTCAAGTCGCCCAATCGCACCGTGTATGGCGTTCTGGATCCGGTTTGCTCTGTTCTCGCAGTCAATGCCTGATGCGCACAGCCAAGAGCCGCATACGAAAGGCCCTTTGCCGTTTGCGGCATCAGCAAGGAGTCACACCCTAAAATTTCCGCCTCAGCTGCGGTTCAATTCGGAGGCTTGCAAACATCTCAGGAATGTAGGGGATATAAAGACAAGCCAGGATAGACAGCCTGGAAGATGTCTTTGTTCTTGAGAACCCCAACTCGTCTTCTCGATCCGGCTGCTTGTGACAGAATCTCGCCAACCTCAGCTCAGCCCCCCTGCACTTGTCTCACTGAGTGACACTTGACTCGATCGAACGACATCAACTGCCAAGAAGAAGAGACTCCTAAAAATGTTCAAAAACTTCACCTTCAGATGGCTTCGCTGGCGCCGCCCAACCGCGCCCTTACCCACGCTGCCGGACGGGATCGAACGCCACTTCGTCGACACGCCCGGCGGCAAGATCGAGGTGCTGCGCGGGAACCCCCAGCGCTCATCAGCAACAGCAACAGCAACAACACAGCGGTCCAATGCTGCGCCCCTATTCTTTGTCCACGGAGGCATGGGCGGTGCCTGGGTATGGCTGGAGTACCTCGAGTACTTCGCTGCCCGCGGCATCCCCTGCTACGCCGTGTCGATGCGCGGCCACGGCGGGAGCTACTATCCGTCCTTCCTACGCATGGTGTATGCGACCACCAAGCACCACCTAGCGGATGATGTCCTTGCCGGCCTGCGCTGGGTGCAGGAGCGCGAGGGAGGGAAGGAGGTCGTCCTCGTTGGACACTCGAGCGGCGGCGGGCTGTCCCAGATGATCCTCTCGGAGCAGGAGGCGAAGGTGAAGGGACTGGCGCTTGTGGCCGCCGTGCCCGGGTTCGGGTCGTAAGTTTTACCTGCCCACCTTATTCATCCGAGGTGGAGGACGTGGTGTACATGAGTAGTACTGACGCACTGCTATAGGCAACGGGTATACGACAGCTGGTACGCTCTGGATCGCTGGTTCATCCCCAGGATGATCTTCCACCTCTGGCATCCGAACTCGCCGCTCTCCCACCCGGCCTTCACCAAGAGGGCCTTCTTCAACCCGGAGATGTCGGATGCCTACGTCGAGAAGTTCCAGGAGAGAGCCGCTCCGTATGAGAGCTTCATCTGGGCACTGGGCATGATGAAGCCATTTATCCACTACCAAAAAGTCGTCGGGCAGATCTCCAGCTGGGGCAGCAGCAGGCAGGGTATCCTAGTGCTAAGCGGCGAGGTCGACAAGATCATGAGGCTGCCCATCATGGAAGACCTCGCAGAGACGTACCGCAAGACGTACCGCGACATGGTCCAGCAAAAGAAGCTTGACGGCGAGGAAGATGGGGTCAAGTCCCTCCCTGGGGAAGGTGGGCTAGACGACAGCGGCCTGGGCGTGAGGTATTGCGTCGTTCCTCGAGCTGGGCACCACCTACAGAACGATATCACTTGGGAGCTCGGTGCCAAGAAGCTCCTAGACTTCTATGAGCAGTTGTGATGCTCCAAGAATTCCGAGTTGGACGCGGGCATGTCACGCCTAGCGTTGTATGAATCGAAACGAAACATCTCAACTTTTCTCGGGTTCTGGCGTTTGGATTGATATCAGGAGGTTTGGTTATTACCGCCAGTATTGGTTATGTTATGAATAGATACCTATCCACTGGTCAAAGAGCATTGTGGGGGACAGATCCGATGCCGACTCCGTCGTGTGATTCAAGCAAAGCCTGAGTCGAGTGTTGGAGACGGAAGAACGGCGGCATATGCATATGTTGCCGTCGTCGATCACAAGACAGCACCGTTGAGAGACTACGCAGCAACCCTCGCAGCCGAGTCCTTATCTGCGTTAACGTTTCCGCCAGCGCCTCGTAGGTTCACGCTCTCAGAGCCGCAGGTGTATGTCTTGGAAGGATACTCCGTGTTTAGAGCTCTAAGGGGAGAATGTGAGCTTCACACCAACAACGCCCACAAACCCTGGAAGAGACTAGCTACACCATGGCCTTCTCCTTAGCGTCTTCAGTCGTTTGAGGTACGCCTTAGCACCAACAAGGTAGGAAAACACCGTGTGAGCTGCATCTTGTCAGCAGAACCATTCTCTCTTGAAGCTCCATATTATCAGATCCCGTCAGAAATATCCCAACTCTTCAGTATGTGAGCTAGCTCTAAGCAATCTCACCGAGAATTCAGGGGCTGTGTTTTGTGAGAGTTAGTTCCCTAGATAGTTCGACATTCAGTAAGGTAACGCAGCGCGTAGCTCAGTAGTGGTCAGTTGCCCCTGCCGACCTAATACACATCATTGTCGTATAGCTCCTGTTTGTACATTAGGTGTAAGGCGATCCTTAATCACCTGTTCCGGTACTAAGCTGTAGAGACAGCACTTGTTGACAGTTCAGCTTGCTTACGAAGGCATAGCAAGTCTTTCGACTGAGTTGTAGTCGAGGCATTTATTTCCGCTTCAGACCAGGAAACTGGTGTAGTATCTCGAGAACTACAGCAATCAAAAGTACTCGATCGAAGATTCCAGATTTCCACCTTGGGACCGATGGCCTCGTTTAGGAGAGACAACATCACGTCACATCATATCACAATGACCCAACTCTGCCGCCCTCAGGACAACCATTTCCACACAAGTAACAACCATTACAGCACCGGATAGTGATAGCCCCGGCGGCAGAGAGAGCCACTTGAGACATGAAACACATCTCGACGGACAGAATTGCAGTGCAGCACTTCTGAGCTCAAACACTGGTATCGCTAGACTGCTAAAACAGAACCGCTTACCAAGATTATACCTTCTCAAGGACCTCTTTAGGTAGCCAGAGTCCAGACAGGTGCGGGGACAACCTAGGTAAGGCCCCCGGGGGAGGCATCGCCCATCTCGTTCCCGTCTGTGACTCCGGTCAAGACATCACACCGGCTCTGTCTTGGCGAGCTTCCAATTCGTCGCGGATACCCAACTGCTTCCAGAACACTACGCTATGCAGCTCGCCCAAGTCGGGCACACATCCCGTGTTTCGCTAACGCACTTCAGAGGTACGCTACTGTTCAACATCACACATGGCGCTGCATACGGAGTACATACCTACACAGTACCTAGTGTGGATGCACGAACGGCAGCTAAAGAAAAGGGCGCTGCAGCTATTGTCATTTTAGTTCTAGTCATTCACCAACAACACAACCCCTTCTCCTGAGGGAAAGTTTGAACTTTGAAACGTGTGTGTGTTCAGGGGCATCTCAGGCTGGTTCCCAAGCACGCACCTGCAGGAGAGCATCTGCATCTGCATATGCATCTCCATCTTGTCACAAGAGAAGTTGTCACTGGCAACTCTCTTTTTTTCACTTTCTTCCTCGCCCGCTTCCCGCTGCACGCCTCCATTTCCGGCTGCATGGCATACCTATGCAACTCCCGAATCGAGCACACTTCCCAAGTTAACAGGGTCTTATTATTTATCCTAAAATCACAACGGGTCCCACACACACAAACCAGAAAGGAACTGAAGAAATCGTAAGTTGCGCGAGACTCGAAATCTCATCTCTTCGGAGGCCTCGGTCCAAATCCTTTTTTTTTCCTCTTTCCAACACCGCCGGGGACGGCAGGGCCGAGTCGCCCGGCTCCTTCCCACCGAAGAATGAGATGCTTCGGACTCGGTGAAGTATTGTATCTCTCGCCCGAGTGTCTAGGTAGGCGTTCTTTGTCCGGGCCGCGTCCGCTTGTTGCTTACTTGTCTGCCACCGAGCAGGATTAAACTTCTTGACCAGCGTGTTCGTACTTGCAAAAAGTACCACGTAAGTATTCTTCAAGAGCAGGTCCCTTACGGCTCTGCGCGGTCAACACGCACAAGCTATCCCCGGTATTGTGTGTACTTGTACCTGAATGGGAAGGTCGTGCCCATCGCTTCTTAGTAGATGTAGGTACTGCGTGGTTTAGCCTTTAGGACCTGGTCGCTGTCATCCTGTTTCCGAGCTAATTAGCGCTACTAGTAGTTAGCGTCGTCTCGCTGCTTGTGTCTTATTCGGGTGTGGTTGTCCCGCTTATATGCTTCAGGCTTACGTTTGTAGTATGTACCCCCCTTGAACCCTTCCCTGGCAGTCAACTCTTTGACAGAGATCGGGCCTTATTAGGGGAGGTCCTGACAAGCGGACTCCCAGATAGGTAGATAGTCATGCTTGGCACCCTTTGACAGCGCCAAGGGACTACGCGATGCCGACAGTCCCATGGTTCTCGAACACCGCTGTCTCTTATTAACGATATATAGTTAGCTTGCTGGATAGTTGCCAGCTGAACGCTCCTGCAGCAGGTAGTAGTTCCTACAACCTAACACTACCCCCTGTTTGCCTGTTTGGATACCAGAACCGTAGCGAGCCACGTTGCCATCTCACAAGGCATGGACTGGATTAGGGATGCCCGGCTAGCTTGTGTCTCCCGGCAAGTTCGGAAGGCGAAGGCAGCAGCATCATAGGTAGTCCAGTGTGAAAGTGTTCATGTAATGGAGTATTGTCGCAGTCAGCGAGAGAAAAAGCGCCGAGCCATCTGACAGCTACACGTGGAAGACAACATCTCAGTAACTCAACCCCTCCAAAACCTCCGTGGGCTGCCGAGGAGGGTTCGGGCCGTGTAAAGAAAAAGAGCAACGAGCTGTTCACGAGGGACAAGCGCTTTGCCGATGTGCTGCTGCCGAAAGCGTGGGTTAGCAAGGGGCTTCTCTTCCGGCCACGTCTGTAGCATAGGTACATCCGCTAACCTCCCGTAAGACTAGATAGGAAATCCTGACTGATGAGAACCGTGTGTAACCCTCCCTTCCAAGCCGGCCGGACCTCCGCGGGCCGGGATTGGAGAGGGCGGGGAGCGGGAGCGGCGGGACCCCAGACTCCATTCATCAGTCCCTTCTTAACGAATCTCATGTGGTTACACTAAGGAGTGTTAGCGAGATGTGTCTGATTGCTGCTCTGAAGAAGAGTATCTCTGTTTGGCTTATGCAGCGCAAATGCTTTCTGGCCACTGTTCGTCATTCTCTTTGGCGGACAGAGTAGATTGAAGGGTATCTAACTTACTATCTGTACCAACGTTTTGTCTGTACCGTCTAAAGGACGTCAGGCAGTCCTTCCGAGAAAGAAGCTCATAGTACCAGATGCACTGCGCATCCATGGCTGTTTTCCACAGCCCCTCCACTGGCGCACGTCGAAGTCCGATGGTGCTGGAATCTCTAGAAGCCTGTGTTGACCGAGGCTAACAGAATAGCCCTTGTGAGCTGAATTCCGGGGGTGCTTGTCTTGACCCCAGTCATGACGGAAAGACCAAATACTAGTAGTACCTTGCATAGCCAAAAACTCCTCATCCTCGAGTGCCCACACAAGTACGACCAATATCCCTTATCGATCAGGATCTAGATCGCTGGATCAGGTCCCGGGCTGAAGGGGGAAAGCTGGTAGGAAGGCACAGTCCATCCTAACGGCCGGGACCGGAACCTCCTTGCCAGCCCCTGTCCCTATCCCGGACGCAGGACGAAGACCCGGATTGGACGAACCATTCAAGATACGTAGCCTGCAGAGTAGGAAGGGGAATAGTAGTCTGAAGCTTCGTCTGCGCATGCGACTTGGCTAGCGAGTGCGGCTCGTGGACTTTAACGTTGGCCCAACATCACCGGGGATGCGAAGGCCTGCAGAGGGTCGCCCCAGCTTGAGCAAGCCATTTCCTCCGGGCCACACAAGGGCTATCGGCGTCCTCCAGGAGTAAGTAGCAGCCTGTGAGGCTCTGTCTCTCGGTATAGCTAAGGCATCATGTAAGTTCATCGTTGCCGCAGAGCCTCAGGAGATCTTGGCTTACCTCGTATGCGCGAATACTCACGAAGAATGCCCTTCTAGAGAAACGCAGAGCTTCTCTACGGTCATGTCCTCGTCTCCGAGTCCGATGGGCACAACTGGCCATCGGAGCCCGACCAAGCTTTCCCCGGAACCGGTTGGCGCATCTGACTCTTTCCTGGACGGCCCGGCGCTTCAACACCCCTCATGCCATCCCTCGTTGTCTTCCATAAAGAGAACCACCGTCACTTAAGGGCGTGCCCCATCGTCCATCTATTGCCGCGTGGATGGATGCGTTTGAAGGGATGCCCGAATCTCCGTTGCCAGCTGCCAGTTGCTCAGCTGTCCGAACTCTACGCTTTCGTAGACTGGGAAAGCCTCCGATGGACCCGGATTGTCCTCTAACGGGTAAAGACCGGGGGCGTCAATATTCACCAGGGTACCTGCATCTCATTGCTCACCGCTCGATGCTGCGCCCGGCCAACAAAGCCTGTGTCACTCGCGGTCCATCAGGGCTATGGTCGTACTCTCCGGACATCGCGCGGCCAAATGTTGCTGCTCGAAGATGCCCTGAGATGGGGCCAGGGCAAAGTGCAGGTGTGTCGATATCCCTCTTGTCTATCGAGCAAGGGCATTGTCTCCTCACTAAGGTTCACAGCACACGCCACTCGGCGTCGGTGCTAGCCATAGCCCCCGGGATCCGGGCTGCTGAAAGCCGGAGAACAGAATCAGAAGAAAGAGACAGAAGCGGAATGGCCATCCGTGAGGACGCGACGGGCCGCTCTGGCAGCCACAATGTTTCACAGCCCGGGGTTCAGGAGAAACATTATCGACGAATACGCGGCAAAGGAAGCGTCGAGCATACGCCATCTAAGCGACGAACCCTCTCGGGCAGCTGCATTTCCAGCTCGATTCCCGAGCTTCCGAGTCTGCTTCGAGTATTGATCGGAAGTGCAACTAGCCGGTCTTGAGATGACTTCACCACGATATGATTCTTATCCTGGATGTGCAGAAACGCCTTGGGATTCAGCTGCCTGGTCCAAGATTAGGCCCATCTGAGCATCCCGTAGCGAGCAGCTGAGGAACCACCAGATTTTCCCCGGTGAGACACGCAAGTGAAGTAAGGTCGGGAGCCTTGCTTTCCTGAGAGGAGAGAGCAGTAGGTTGTAGGAGCTTGTTGTCTGTATTTGTCAGCTTGGTGTGTGATGGGAACGCGCAGTATTGGACCAAGTCACCAAAGAGATGTAGGTCTCTTGGGTAACGTGCTGCAACCCATAGTTTCTCTCCGCACATTGTCTAGTGAGACGTGACGCTATCCTTCGATGGGCTTGGTGTCTTTTGTGGGGGGAGGGGGGGGGGAGGGTTCCCTTTCAAGCCCCTCCGATTCACGCTACTGGAAGCGAGACTCGCTGAGCTGTTGAGATGGGAGGCCCACGCACACCGACGAGTTGCAGAGCGACGGGGTTAGTGTAACTCGGCTCTGTCTCCGTAATCGGCACCGATCTAGCTATAGTGTACATATGCATGCCACAAAGGTGCTTGTCTCTGGCCCCACTTACCCGGTGGGTTCGATCTGCGTTTGATTTCCGGGGAGAGGCCCCTTTTGATATTGGGGGCCAAAAGTCATCAGACACACAGTTGGGCATCGGCGAAATGCTGGACTGCCTTCAATGATAAACCGCAGTGCCATTGTGTAGAGCCGCCGCGTAGGCACTGTGCCTCCGATGGTCTCGAACTAAAATTTGCGCAGATAGATACCGGGCCGTGTCCTTCCCTGCGCTGTTCGGCAGCCGGCCAGGGTCATGCAGCCGGAGCAGTGGGCCATGGCAATGATGGGACCCTGCGGACGATCTATCTTAAGCTGGTGGCCGGGCAGATCCTTTACTCGGCGGCAGCAGCGAGCAGGCCAATTGCGGGACAGCTCTCAGCGGCCGTTGAGACCGACTCGATTCGACTCGCTTAAAGATCATTGGGGATGCGGATTTCCGAGGAGCTAACGAAGTAATCCCAAAAGAGGCAGTCGCTCCTTCTCAGAATGGAACTCCTCGGTAAACGATGCATGATGCGGATGACTGAGTGATCGGTGTTCCTGCATCTTGCGTCCTCTGTACCCGCTCTGCTTCCGAGTCTAAAGGGATAGGTAGTTTACTCATGTGACGTGTGTGAAACCGGACATCTGATATCTTGCAGGGCTGCGGCGATTCGGAAATTTTTGGTGGCAGACTGCAGTTGTCCCGCAAGTTGACACCGAACTGGGAAGATGTCTCAGAGATCGCCTCTGTGCCACCCGCGGAATGGTCCCGGAACCTGGCTCTAAGAGGACCTGTCTCATAGGATAGGGGTAGCCGGGCGGTGACCTGTATGTATAACCTGCAATCGTGAGCCTCTTCCATGTCGAGATTAGATTGTTTCGTAGACGGATCGGTGCGTTGATATTGGCCTCGTTCGATGCGGCCGCGATGCAACCACCGGGGTCGGACTCTTCCCTGCTCAGACACCGGACTACTTACCTACCTGTAGGTACCTACGGTAGGTAGATGTCTAGGAGAGTGAAGGGGTGGCATTGCGTAATAATGCTACCTTGTTTACTGACAAGCATCAAGCATCTTTCCACAACTGAGCAGGCAGATACTTTGCAGTTGATATTTCGTAGTCCGCGAAGTGATATGACTTTGCATTTGCAGCAAGCTAACCGGAAACATTGCCGAATTGGGGAAAACAAGCCGCAAATCGGACGCGGCAAGACCCGTAACCACAATTGCGGCTCAGGGACGCGAGAGCATGCTGCTTCTAGACCAACAGTGAGCCTCACTTTATACCTACCTGGCCAATTGCTAAGGTTCGATGTAGATCACACGGCCATGGTTCTCGACAGGTTTTCGCACGCTAAGTAAATGAGATGCAATCGGGAGGAGAATAAGGAGACAAGATAGCCAAAATGTGTACCAGCCAGCTTTCGGGGAAAGATCACAATCGTCGTGCATCTCCGTTGGACAGCCTGGATGGATGAAAGATGCATGCGCTGTATGGAATATATCTTGCCTTGAGCTTGATCTTTTCTAAAGGTGAATTTTTCTTATGCCGGTGATTCTGAAACACTACATTTCCACTCACAAGTGCAATTGCAATAGTGTAGGTATGGGTAATCAGGTGTGTAAAGCGTAAAGCGGGCCTTAGACTCTTATCGATAGCGGGGCCGCTTATGTAGCCTCGTAGCGTAGCTAGGGGGGTTGGTGGGGACAATGGGCTCATCGTCGATCTCTGGATCTGGTGCGGGGTCCAGTCTTTCACATCCTCAATGTCTAGAACATTGTCGCAATGAAGGTATGCCGATGAAGGTAACCGATTTCCCTCCATCTCCAGGCTGGAGACATTCGGCTGGCTGGTCCGAATTATACGGTAGTACTGCTACCATCCCAGAATTATTTCCTTTAATAATCCTTCGGTTATCTTTTCAAGCCTTCACACAGTAATTTATACACTGCAACTCGGACCGATAAGAGAGTGAAGACACACTGGAGGCGAGCGATACGCAATGTTAAAGATGTGGAAACTTACCAAGGCCCGGCGTTACTGTTTCGACCCCGTTTCAGGTCAAGCGATGTCGACCATCACTGTCTATTGGCTGGCGAGGTCTTTAGAAGTTGTCTAAATTTAACTCTTCTGTCCTGGCAACTGCAGCTAACGTATTGAATTATGCCTCTTGTTGGCCAGCCGATAAGTGCCAGGACAGTAGAGTTTGCTGATGTTGCATGCTAGTAGAACCCACCACGGATCTCCTTGTCCCGTCTTGGCTCCTTGTTGGCTGTGGCATGCCTCGATACCTATGTAATACATAGCCGATCGTGTCCGCAGGTGAGAAACGGTGTACGGAGTGCTGCGTACGAGCCGTGTTAGACGATTCACGGATTGTTAGAGTGTCATGGATGCCTCCTGTTCACGTTTAGTGGGGTGTCAGCTGTGCCGAGCTTGCAGATTCAAGGGTTCCAATGGCTACCTAATTAGGAAGACAAGTGTCTCGTTAGACACCTCTGGCACTGACATGTTGTGCGATTGTGGTGGCGCAACTCGCACCTCTTGCTCCTGCATGCCACCGACGACAGGAAGGGAAGTGTCTTGGCTTCGCTAGGACGGGACAGAAGGTTGATGACACCTTCGTTGTAGGCCGCGTCGGCCTTCTAACATCTGATACACTCGCGAAGATACTCCAGGTCTCCATTGGTCCCCACGGACTAGCCGGGTAAGTGGTTATCCCGCCCTGACAGTTGCATTCTGGTGCCCCTCATTACCGATTCCAACCCTACTGGTCCTGGGGCAGTGTATGTATGCTAGGCGATAGGGTGTCAGCGGTCGGTAGTTGAACCCTAGGTACCTACGCAAATAACTAGTACATAAACTCTGAGCGCTGATCAACAGGACGAAGTTACGGCATTTAAAAGACAAAGGCGCTAATAACCGAGCTGCCCTTCGAGGAAACGGATGGCCGACGAATCGGTTAAGCACGGAGTTGCCTTGCGGAGGCAAGTTTCATACCGCGCGCCCCACCTACCCCACCCCCGCGTTTGTTCGACTCTCAAGGGCAACCTGCGAATTGGAAGGCGGGATTCCATTGACGAATTCTTGATCTGGAACTCAGTTAACTACAAGTAAGGTTGCATCTACACCGTACTGTAAGCAACACAAGAAAGCTTTTATGTACTACAGTACCGAGATCGAGTTCTTGTCTCTGAAGCTTGAGTGGGCGGGGCATTCGGTACAGCCTATCAGCGTCGTCCGGCCATGAGCGCCCCCGAGGCGCGCGCACGGACCAGTTGGAGCTTTCTTGATCTTGAAGGCGGCGGTTTCCTCTTCCAACTTCTGGTTATGTAGTACCTCACCCATCTTGAGGATTTGTAGCGTACACGTCAATTCATGCAACTTCACCCAAGGCGGCGCTCTGTATAGGCGATGGAAATGGATGTTGTTCGAAGCTGCGTCGCGAAAGGCTTTTCACTCGCCCCTTTGCGCCCTCCCTCGTCGGCGACGTCCTACCTTGCCTTGATATGGCTGGCTAAATGGATCTCTACATACTTCACCTGCGGCACCGTTCATGGTCGGGATGCGCACTGGATGCGGAGAGATGATTCCATATCCGACATCAAGGCATGATGTGGTGAAGGATTTGCGCCCGTTCACGCTACCAGCCGCGTCTGCATGGGCTTCTCTTCACATGAGGCGCTCGCCAGGGAACAGCGGTATTTGGCTGCCGTGGGTCTGTTGCCGTTCGGCAAGCACCCCGCATTTTGTTCTGTTCCGGCACCCGCAACTACAACCTTCAACGGGAGGTCTCTACGAGGGTCGCAGACTGGAGCGGCTCGATTTGCGGGGTGCTGGCCATGGCAGTCGGTCAAGAGTCTCCTTACAACGGCCAAAACTTACCACTTCTGCCGTTTCTTCATCATGTGGCCTTCCAAAACCAGCCAATACTCGCACCGGCAAGCTCCGACGGCCGTTGAGGCCTTGACAGTTGAAGGACACGATGCCACGACGGCTTTGTTGCTGTTGTATCAGCGGCCGGCTGGTGAGGACGCTCCGGTCAAGCCAGACATATGCCCCGGGGCCGCTTTCATCCCGTTTCGGCTCGGCACTCGAGCCAACTCATCACAATCATCGACTAGACATATTGGCACGGCCCTTCGTCGTTTCTAAGATCAGGCCGGCAGCCAATCCGTTCCCGTGTCTGCCGGGTTGCCGCCGTCCTAGCACGGCTTCCGCGTATGTATGTACCCCAGACTTACCACACTCATTCCTCTCGTTCAGCCACCCGCCTTTCTCAATGGCGCCACTCTGACATTGGAGGAGCCGTTCGCCGCAGCGAACTGGTAACGCAACACACTTCAACCACACAAGCATGCGGCTTGTCGAATCGGTATCAAAAGAGGGGCGGACCAATTTTGCCAGAATTACCCATGGTGCTGCGGAGTCTCAGGGTCTAAGGTGAACATTTCCAGCAAAGACAGGAACAAAGGAGACTTGTTTAGTGCTTGTCCATTCGTTCGTGAGGTTATAGTGAAGCAGTGGATGGCTGCAGCGAGTCAGCCATCCGAGGACGCTCGATCCAGCGGGTCAATTGTCTGGTTCGAGATTTCCCGTTCCTAGAGCTCGAGTCTGGGGAATCCCTGCCGTATCCATCGAGAGCCGGTTTATCCTCGCATGGCACGGTTGGTCATAGTTTATGGCTGCAGTTGTCTCATCCCGGCCTTCGATAGGGGAACAGCCTGCTAACCAGGACTGATGTTGGAAACCTGTCTCGACGTCGCGAGATTCGCTGACACGGCCCACGTCCAAACTCAGCTTAAGAACGATGCTAATAATTTCGGAGAAATTACTACGATTACAGCACCCGATCCCTTCAAATCCACACTCGGTTACAGTCAATAAGGGCCCAAGGTCGTGTTGATGGTGGAGATGGCCGCGGCAAGCAGATCAAGCATGGCTCATGCAGCCCAATTGGACTACGAGGCTCATCAGCATGGGTTCATGGCCATTGGTAGTTGAGTCAGTCGTCACACCATCGTACGGAACCGCGCAGCGACAGACGACACCGCAGGTGCAGTTTTACCTTATCTGATCCGCACGTTAATAATGTAAGGTAGGTAACCGGTGAGATTTGTCTCGCCGCACTGCATGATATGGAACACTTGCAAGACAGGCCAGAGATCCTCTCCCGCCCGGTTGAGTATACCCTCTGCGATGAGTGAGCGGTGCTGGTATGGACGCACATTTTCCGTTCGGATCGAATAGCTGGCATAGGGAAGTAGGTAAAAGGACCAACCTGTGTCGGAAGGGGAAAGGTATCCCTGCTTTCCACGTAAGCGTCAGCCGAGCGCGTATATCTGCGGTTTCCCGCTCGTCGCGCTTTCATTTGCGAGATGTTTCTTGTCGCTTGCCGCGATTGTCGCTTGCCATTTCAGATTTGTGTGTTCTGCATCTCGGCCGCAGCTGGTCGGCCGGGCTTGACTACGGGGGTCTCTCCTAAAACAACATATTGCTTTGAAGAAAAAGTACTAGTAAGTCCTCGAGTTCATCATCCGGCTGGGACGAGCTGCCAATTGTCTTAGTAGGTAAAGTACTCTGTCATGACTTGGTTCCCGAGATGGCGGTGGCGTGTGGCACCAGGAGATCCAGAGTGTTGGGTTCTGGTAGTGCGAAGTGGCTTGTGTGGTCCGTTTCCATTGCTTGGGAGGTGAGGCCACGGTGACGCAAGGCTTTGATCAACGTATCTACCGTAGATTTCTTGATCTCCGAACCTGTTGTCATACAATGGAGCCGGAGCAGCGGAAGCATTCATGAGACATTGGATCCACGATATGAGACACGCAGCGGAGGCTGGCCGCAGCTGAGAGTTGCATCTCAATCTGGCGGCTCTCTTTCAGATTTCCGTTTTCTTTGCTGCTGCCGGTTCTCCGATTCTATCTCGTGCGGTTTGAGTACAGAAGCTAGGAAAGGGGGAGAAAACATACACTGTCCGCAGTATCCCTTGCGATAGGGTCCATTGATACCGCGGGGGCGAGGGTATCGCCTTGATGCAGGCGAAAATGGCGTTCACAGTCGTATCTCGCCGTTGCATCGTAGGGCACCTCTCGATCTCGTCCTGCGCGTGAAATTATTCCTTAGCGATCGCCCACTCGCGACGAGTAAAACCCACCGCATGCCGAAAAAGAAAGGGCAGGATATTGGGAGGTTGTCAGCACACCTAGGTTGGAAAAACTAGGTACCGTACTCAGTGTAACAACGTTTCCGGTCAAAATCTCATTGCCACAGGATTAGCCAGCTAATAGCGCAGGAGAGAGTGCCAGCCCTTTGAAGATATTCCCGTCCCTCTCTGGCCAGAAGCCTCACGCTAGGTCTCGCTTCCAGCTTATGCGGGGGAATCCTGGACCCTTACAGCCCGGGTCCGGAGCCAACTCCTGTACTGTGCAGATCTTACAAAACACGGACTACTGTACGGTGCTACTACCGCGCCTCGATGTGAGCCTGTCCCTTGCAGTCAGTGGGTCCTGAGCCTAGCCAGACAGGTGGGCAAGCCGGCAAGGGTCCCGTCTGGGGTGCTGGATGCAGTTGGCCGATTCGCCAATTGGGCAGCACCTGCAGCCCGCGGGGCATACACGAATAAGCCGCGTGTGTCACCTGTCTCGACTCTCCCGTCGCTGCTTTCCCACCTGCCCGCCTCTGCACTTCAGGTTACTTCTCACATACGAGGTATGTAACTACCCACCCGGTCAATTGACCGCTGGAAGGGACGGAAATCCCGTCACCTCCATTCTGGCCCTAAGGCTTCCTGTTTCTGTCCAACAGAGCAACCTAAGCCACGGTCACCAGCCGCCCCATCCCCTACCCAAGACTCATCCAGATCCATCATGTTTGAGATCATTGCCGGAGCGGGAGGGTTTCCGGATTCTGTCCGGTGCTGGTAGCTTCGTGCATCTGCAAAGAGATTGTTCTGGCACTCGGGATCAAAAAGTTGTGCCGCAATCAATCGAAGATGTTCGAGGGCAAGCCAGCCATCCTAACCTAACGCAAGTTTTCTTCGTTTTCGAAGCGAGCTGTCCGGTGTTCGAGATGGCCCGCCGGAGCCCTTCCGGATGTTAACGCTTGTTACAATACATACCTAGGTACAGATAGTTATGGACCAACCACAAGAAACTGTCTGCCTCTCCTGTTCCTCTTTCTGTTCATTCTGGTGTCAACCTTTGCCTCTTCGAGACAAAACTCGGGTAAATTCAAGACGGAAAAGATCCCGTCGAGGGGAGAGTGGCTGGAGGCTGGAGAAGACTGCGACCTGCATCCATTAGCCGGCCGGGGTGGGTGTTCACCAGCAACCCCTACCCTTGACTAGCTCGCCGCGCGCTCATCACCGGGCCAGGCCTCTTGTTTTAAGAACATGGTAGTGAGGGAGACGCTTTCCACACTTTATCCCATGTGGGCAGTTGTCCCCGGTTATCAAGCTAGCGCCCGTATACTCTAGCTGTAAACTACACCTCGTCGATGTTACGCTTATTGCCTTGCGGTTTCTTCTTGCGCCCTCGAAAAAGCGCGGTACGTATTGTGAGAGTGGCCCCTCCGTAGACACCCGACCCCTTTGGTATTGTACATGTACTTCATGCCCAGACGAACCTGCATATCGGATCGTGTAAGCGTGGGGCTCCCGCCCCAGCCGACTCCCGTGTCGTAGGTGCATCTGCGCAGGAGGAAGCTATTACCTATGTAGGGGCACGATCAAGCCTTTCCTTCTTGCTCGGGACTAATTCTTCCCTTGTTGCCATATTCAGTCTTGCGCGAGCTTGTTCGGGCGTGCAGCTCTTCGTGCAGCTTTTCCAGTCTGGACGGACCTCACCAGACCCATCCACACTCACAGGGAGGCAACTACAGATCGCCAGGGTCCCGCCGTTGAGCCTCCTCAAGCGACCCAGCATTCTGTACGCGGGCTATCAGCGATCTCACAGCACCAGCAGCACCAGCAGCACCGGCGGCCAGGAAGCTGGTGCTTGGGCGTCCAGACTACCTGCCAGCCATTCCGCGCGTACATATTCTGGTGCAACCTAGCCCAAGGGGAACGTCCATCCACGTTGCACTGCTGTGGCTCCGGAGCACATACCAGCTTGTAGCGACAGGAACTCGAACGCTCGTGCCGTTTGTTCTTAATCCACCATCTCCCTCCCGTGGTATCATCACCATCGCTCCTCTCCCCGCACCGGACAGCTAGCCGAGCGGAGGGCCGCGGATAGGACCCTTCTTCATATAGCTTCATCAGAGCCGCGGCGCGCTTGGGACTCCGGCGCACACGCATTTCGGCAGCCCGTCGTTTGGGACTTTCGGTGCATGGCGAACCTCACCTTTATCATATTCCACATCGTCCTCCGCCAGTGTACATAAGTCACCAATCCACGACCTACCTCCCTGCTGGATCCAGACCGGAGTCCCACAGTCGCTGGCCGGGCTCTTGCGGCTACCGAAGCAGAAATCGATAGCAAAAAATTAGCAGCACCAGAGGTCGGCCCGTGCCAAGGCATTCGATGACTGGCTCCTCTTAACGTCAGGACCTGGCCATCGACGTAGACGGACGCCTTCGGTTATCTTGCTCCACGCGTTGATGACAGCAGCCAGTGCGGGACTTCGATCGAATCCCACTGTGGTGGCGAACACGGGAAAGAGACGTATTCGCGGGGCATCTCGGGTTGGCACTAATTCGACCGGATCAGTGCCAGCTGAGCCTCAGGTAACGCCTAACAACGTCTCCCATCAGCCGATGACTCGCGTGAGGTACAAGTACAAGGCCAACAGAAGTCTGCACCGAACCCACCGCCAAGGACCGCAGGCCGAGAAACTTGAACTGCCTCGAAGACTGGCAAACTCAGAGGTGTGTGGCCAAACGTGCTGGGAGGCCCCGACCCAGCCTTGATCTTCTCTCCCTCCCCATATCAGGTCTCTCATCTCTCCGCGCATCCCTCATCTGAAACCTGACACGCGCGGGCGGAACGTTAATACTGAGAACCAAAGCGCGCTCGTGCCATCCTAGGGTGCCACAGAAGGTATGTACTGAGTACGTTAAGTCACGTACTGGGTGTCCAGCTCGTTGTGCCCATTCCCGTCGTCCCAACTCGGCCACCATTGGCCCTCCTGCTCCGTGGCAACTCAAGTTGGACATCGTGACGTCGACAATGACCTCGTCGATGTCATATGTCGGCTCTCTGTCGCTGAGTCATCGATGCCGGCTCTCTGCTTGCTGGATGGCCTTATTACGGCTGCTGCCCCCTTCGAGCTTCCTCTTCCCCGCCACTCTCGCTTCATCTTGGCAGCTTCGCTGGTCTACCCTCTTTTCGAACTTTTTGACGCTCGTTTACTTTCCTGACACCAAAGCAGAAATATAACCGACATCGAAACCATGGAGGCCATGAACACAGCTTTCCAGGAGAAGACCCCGCAGGACAAGAACCACCGGTGCAACTTCCGGCTCACGAACGGTCAGCTGTGTGAGAGTGTGCGTGCATCCTTGACGCCTTGACGCTTTGAAGCTTTTGCCTCCGTGCTCAAAGCGTCCGTGATGCTCGGACAGACCCTGATTGACTGATTGCCTTACAGGCCTTTGTGCGAGCGTCGGATCTCAAGCGCCATGTGAAGATCCACACGGGCGAGAAGGAGCACAAGTGCACATGGCTCGGGTGCACCAAGGAGTTCATACAAAAAAGTGCACTAACCGTGCACATGCGCATCCATACGGGCGAAAAGCCGCATAAATGCGACATATGCGAGAAACCTTTCGCAGATGTGCGTAACCCACTTGTAGTTGGGCTTTTTGTCGCCGACCTCTTATACTGACTTCAGTATAGTCGTCCAGCCGGGCGCGCCATCGAAAAATCCACATGAGACAGGGCCACGTACCTTGCACCGTCCCCGGCTGTGGCAAAAGGTAGGCGACCCCTTCTCTGCAAGGCTTTACCAGTGATGTGGCACTAACCATCATGGTGAACTGGCAGCTACGCAAGAAAAAGCAGCTGCGTCAAACACCGCAAGAGAGTCCACAACCTGGGCCCCGAGTCGCGTAACCAGCTGGCCGCAAGCACGCCAGAGATGAGCCACAGTACCGCGCCAACGCCCGAGCAGCCGGCACCGCTGACGCCGCTGTTTCAGCTGGCTCTGAATCCGTCGTACGACAACAGCGTCGTCATGCCGGCACCAGCGGGGCAGCAGTCGTATCCCAACGCACAGCCGGCACCAGCGTTCTCCGGCTTCTGCCACCAGGCGCCGCTCCCGCAGGGATACGGGATGCTCCCTTATCCCCTGATGCCGCCACCTGCCATCAACCATATGCCGCTGCTGCCGGACGCATATCAGTTGATCGCGCAGGTCTACGGCGCGCCAGTTAATGTGTGAATGAAGCCATTAAGCATGGCGACGTCCAGGTGCCGAGTTCGGGTACCTTATCGATGACTTGAGCCGGGCGGCCCTTGGGCGACCCTCTCTGCGCTGCTGACGGGTTTCGGAGATCTTTCGCTCCCTCCCGTCGCTCGCCTAACTTGCTGTTTCATGTATTGGATTCGATGCGAAGTACTCGCGTGTACTGTCGTTTGCGTGTTTTGTCGTTTGCGTGTTTTGTCGTTTGCGTGTTTTGTCGTTTGCGTGTTTTGTCGTTTGCGTGTTTTGTCGTTTGCGTGCTTCTTACCCTAAGCGGCCTGCACACCAGCGGGAACGGACTTGCTGGGCCCGTCCACGCCCTGGTCGTCATTCGGTTGATGATAACTCAGAGCATCACCGACTGATTCGACATGGTGGATGGGTGCCAGGGTTGGGTCTCCCACTGCTGGTTGTACCATGGCGCAGTTGGGATGTCTTAAATTGGGATGCGTCGAATTGGTGCTGGCTTTCAATGATGAGGCGGGACGGAAAACGGAGGCGGCCCTCTTGTTTCTCTTTTGTGCTTTCCTTCCCTTGGCTGGTGGCGTTTGGGCGTATGCAAGGTTTCGACGGTCGGGTCGGATCAGAGATATCCCCATGGTCGGTTTGGGTCTCTATGTATGATGGGATATTAACAACGGTGGAGATATCATGGGACGGACGAGGCAGAGAGGTGTTTGCTATACCCCGCGTTCTATACAGCGACGAAGGAAGGCAGGAAGGAACCAAAACGGGAGGAAGTGTCGGAGAGAATCTAAGAATGGATCAGACTGTGTTTGCACATGTACGTTGCCTTTTTATCTGTCTTTGATCAGTCTTTAAGAATGGATCAGACTATGTTTGCACATGTACGTTACCTTTTTATCTGTCTTTGATCAGTCTATGATAGGTATCACCTAACCTTATCGTGGTTGGATCTCTTGTGTGCGACGGTGAATACCTAGGCCGTTACTCTCAAGCCGTTCCTTGCCCTTGGTAATGTTGGACGGTTGAACAATCAGGTAATCCTGGTGGTAGCGAGGTCGAGGAATATCGTAGGTGTGACCGGTTTTCATGACTCGTGCTCGGTGTGCGGATTCGGATTCGACCGGAGTTTGTCGGCATGACGTCGTCCTTTTTAATGAACATTGTGTCCTCTCAACTGAACGCACCACCTTGCTGTTCGAGCGACTCTCGAAGGCTTTCTGGGCTCGAAGCGTATTTTCATGCTCCTCCTCGCCGCCCTCGCATTTGGGAATCCGCCTCGTGTGACACTTCCGAGTCGGTCGACCGTTGGGGCGAGGCCAGAATATGCATGCAATGGCGCCTGAGCCGATTCCATTGGCGGGGAGTGCTTTTCCTTGAGCAATAGAACGGGCGGTAAGGGCAAGCGATGATACCAGGCGGTGGACAGTGCCCTGGGGTGGACGAGGAAGAGAGACGGCAAAGATTGACCCCTTAGCGGACCAGACAATTCGAGTCCCATGCTGCTGTTGCCCAGAGGAGGCGCGGTCTGCTTATGATGTCCAAGAGTAGATCCTGAACCTGAGGCCGGCTCGTCGAGAACAGAGTGGAAGTGCCGAACGGCAGGAGCGGTGAGTACAGTAGGTGGAAGCAAGGAAATGGGAGGGAAACTGGAGGTCATCTTCATCTGAAATCTCTCACACGCACCTGCACAGAGCTCGAGCGGCAGCAACCATGTAGGTGTAGGGTTCGAGAGGAAGGCGCGTGGAAGGGAGTATCGTACACACCAACCCAATTTAGCCGTCAACGCTAAGAATAAGTGATTGCCAGCTTGATATGAATCAGCTCGTTCACGATGAAATGTCCGTCCGATGGTCGTGGGAAGGGACAAACACGGATGCCGATGTCAGCGGGGAAGAGACACCAAGCTCCAGAACCGCTATCTCCGTCCTACGATGCCAGATATAGGTAGATGTCCTCAGTAGATCTGCTTGCTTTCCAGCTGAGCCGTGCCGCATGTAGTATTGTCGACTTGGCCGCTTCGCTCGTAACCGGTATCCATGCCGTCTGGCTGCCTGGCAGACCTTCATCTGCAAGGCGGCTGTACGGCGGAGTTGGCACAAGGCCGGCCAATCGACGGGCATAACACGCGCAAACGGTAAAGCGTCAACCGTCGAGCTTTCCGGCTCAATGGCAATACAGATGCAGACGCTGATGCAACTGCAAGGTAGGTAAATCAGATGGTTCGCTTGGGCCCGGCGTCTGTTCCCGTCTTTCACGCCTTGAATTCCCTTCTGGAAGAATTCTGCCGCGCGGCTTCAATCTTGGGTAAAGCTGCAATGTGAGGCTGTAGCGCCGAGGTTCGGGTAATACCGCTGCAGGTTGCCGTCGTTCAGCTTCGCTACATAGCCGGTCCTCGGCGCAGGGAGGGAGTGATGAGACGGAGCCGAGGAGTTGAACTTGTGAAGAGACTGCGTACAAAGAAGGCTCGAGGGGTCACCTGCCTGCACGAAGTCTCGTTCAGTGCCAACTGACAGCTAGAGAAGGTCGTCTGCTCAAAGCACTGGCAGAGAGAGGCAGATGTGGAACAAGTTGAGCCGGGTGTGTAAGCTTCTTGAGGTCCCGTCACATTGCCGGCAATGTCCCCAACTCTCACAGCGAGGGTTTCTACATGCCCAATGCAGGATTATGGACGACGAAGGTGCCATTGTTAGCGTCGAACTGCCACCGTTGACGGTGCCTGTGATTGGGTGTGTGGTGCCGCCATGTCGGCGCCATGTCACAAAGCGCTCAGGTTGGTGATCTTAGAAAGCGGCAGCTAAGGTGGTGGGGCAGGTTGATTTCGTGCGTGATGCCCCGCTTGGCAGCGTTAGCTAAAGGACTAGGATGACCGCATCGACGCAAGCCTCGGTATTACGTAGCTACCTACCTATACTATACAATATACGTTTCCTCCTTAGGTAGAATGCCAGTTTCAGGCAACTGAACGGATCTGACGGAAATAGCCGTCCCGGCCCCGAGTGCTAAGTGCCGTGCCAAAATCACCGTTCCGGAGTGGGTCTCTTTTGATCACGGCTTGCCAAGCGTGCCAAGCGCGGTCTCGGCATCGGAGTCTCGCGATTCGCATTCGGCCAAACCAACAACAGCCAATCCAAGATAACTCGGACAAGCGCCGATATCGACTGTTCTGTACCAAAGCAGAAAGAAAACATGCGCCCCTCCTTCATCCTCTTTGCTGGGATAGCCGGGCACGCCCTTGCCCACGGGAACCATGGGAGCGGGTCGGAGAAGCCGATTGTGGACGGCAATGCCAGCTGGATGCAAAAACACATGGCCGGTATGCTTCAGCCTTGAACTGTGCTGCGCATTCCCCTCAACGCGCTGCTTGAGTATCACCACTGATCGCTGACGGCCAGCTCTCCAGAGGAGCACCATATGAGCGGCTTCGACGCAGCCTCATTCTTCGCGTTACACGACTTCGATGCCGACGGCAACTGGGAGGCGGAGGAGATTCTCCGGACGTACGGTCTGATGGACGAGTCGAACAAGCATGTCACAGAGGAACGGAAATCCGAAATTACGCAAGGCGTTTTGAGGCTGCTCGACCGCAACAACGATGGGCGCATCAGTCGTGACGAGTTTGTGCAGGCCATCGAGGCAGAGGGTAAGACCCTGCCGGACATGGGCACAGGGCCCGGGCATCACGGCGACGACGAATACGAGTATGAGATTCACCATTGGGAGAAGTGAGTTTCAGAACTTGCAACCGGTTGTGAATGTGGACTTGGGACTGATGAGCAAAGATACCACGATGAAAACACCAAACTCGAGGACCTTACGCACCCCGAAGACATTGAGCACTTCAAGAAGCACGAGCAAATGGAAGCCGAGCAAGAGCGGCTAGAGCAGCTCAACAAGCAGAGCATCATCGAGGCCAACATCCCGGCCAGGTTCCGGCGCGACTAGGGTTGAGGAGAGCGACAGAACCGAGATATATACACGAAACAGACGGCATACACCTAATGGTAATGACTCCGGCACGGGCCGCGACGACGCACACGAGTATCATTATTTTACACACTAGTCCTTTTTAATAAAGACGTCAAAGACGCAGTGCCATACCCCCGGCGCGTACGTCTTGACCAATTCGACATGTTCTACCTTGGCATCTCCTGCGCCGCCATCACCGCCCTCCCTCTTCCACCGATCAAACAGCGCCTGGATCTGCTCCCTCCTCCCCTCTATATCGCCCACCCCAACGTTCTCGTGCAGATGCAGCCACCCAGCACCGCAACCCCCTGTTTGCATGATCTCCCAGGCATCCCTCCACACGCCCTGGCTACTCGGCAAGAAGCCACAATTGACATGCACCACCTCCAGCCGCGCAGGTCCAACAATCCTCTCCCTCGCCTCCCGCACCCTCCCGGCCGCGTGCCGGTTATCTTCCAAGAACACCACAATCTGGCTCCCTCCCCCAAGCACCTCAGCCAGATCATCCACCTCACTTTCTCCTCCTCCTCCTCTTCCTCCTCCTCCTTCCCACTCAGTTCCAGACTGCGGCGGCGGCGGAGCAACGACTCGAACCGAGAACCCGTTCGCCTCGGCGCCCCGCCTCAGCCCCTCGACGCTCCACGGATTCAGCTCCCAGCACAGCACCCGCATCCCGAGCCGGGCGTACGAGAAGGCGAAGTAGCCTATCCCCGCGTAGAGGTCCACCGCCCATTTGCCGCGCAGTGCGTCTTTTTCGCCTCCTTTTCGCGCTCGCCGTGCAGCAGGGGAACTGCTGGACGAAGGCGAAGGAGAAGGAGGAGGAGGAGAAGGGGAGGAGGGGGAGTGTTGGTGGTGGTGGTGGAAGGACAAGAGACGGGCCTTCTCCTTGATGTTGCCCCGGCTGAACATGGTGTGCCGCGGTACCCAGGTCTGGACGATCCCGTTCTGGGTTGTGGATACCCAGAGAGCGGAGCGGAAGTCTTCTTGGGTTGGGCGGGAGGAGGAGGAGGAAGTGGTGGTGGTAGGAGGGTCGGGGCCGAAGGAGCCGTGGAGGGGTTGTAGCGCTGTCGGGGCGCGGAGGAGGTTTTCTGTATCTTGTTCTGTCCGTCGTTGTGCTGGCTCGCATGCTGACTGGGAGGGTGTGACGTTGTTGAGGTGCAAAGGGATGCCCTCGTTGATGGCCAGGTGGGTCAGCGCTGGTTTGGAGTTGCCGCGGGAAAGGTGCTGGAGGATGCCTATCCACAGGGCTTCCTTCTGGGATGGCGTCGCACATTCTAGGAGGGCCGGCCAGGGATGGGATGTGAAGCTACCGCTGGGGAGGAGAACCATGGGCTCATAGACGACCCAGCGCTTTGGCGCGCGCTCGACCAGGAACTTCTTGGCATCGGCGGGGTCGGTGTTGAGCTGGTTGGCAAGGGATTCCAAGAGCGGAAGTGGGAGGGTGTCTAGCCATGAGCTGATGGCCGCGTGGACTGGGTTCTGTTTCTTCTTTGGAGGCCGTGCCATGTTGGCTCTCGGCCGGAGTGAACTCAGTCCGCCGGAGTATCGCGGGCAACGGGAAAGGTGGGGCCGACTCCGATGGCCCCGCTAACCAATGCAGGACGGAGCACAGGAATGGGAGCCAGGGGAACCAGCCCTGGAGTCGTGACAGACAGACAGTTTAACTTCGAACTTGTAAGCACAAGGGTGGGCTGCACGAAGGATCCCATGTAATTCTTGAACAACTCAGCGACTGTGGTCTGCGCTCGCGGTCCTCCACAACCCCCTCTAACCCCACCACAAAAGCTTTCGGTCCCCGCACAACCAACCAAACCATTTCTTCATAAATGCCTCAAAGCTTTACGCATGACCATCAGAACACAAGCCCGATTAGCTCAGCTGGTTAGAGCGTCGTACTAATACCGGTTCTACCTGTATATGGTATGCGAAGGTCAACAGTTCAATCCTGTTATTGGGCAAAGCCGATGTCTTTTGGATGATATCTTTTGTGTCGGATTGCTGTTGGTGGCCTTGACCCCATTCTTTTTGCCGCCGGGGGAAGCTGGCGTTCGATGATCATTTCGAACATACTACTACCTCAGGACGGACTAAGGTCCAAGAGTCGGCAATACCGTCAGATCATAGGCATGAGTTGGTAGTAGCTAGGTTCGACGGATGCTCAGATTGCCGAGCCCGAAGACCGTATATCGATGCCCGGCGTCATCCAGGAGGTTGCTGAGACAGTCCAGTATGAGCATGTCCGGACCTCGGGAGTAGCGTAATAGTACAATCCCCATTCCCTTCCCCCCTTTACAGCCCCTTCCTCGCCTTCTCGCCCTTCAACCGCTCGACAACAAGATCGAACCTCTTAAACGCCATCCCGCCCTCAATAAAGACACTCCCCATCCAAAGCCACCACACCTTCCTCCCCCTCCTGACCCCAAACCTCCTCAGCCGGCTCCGCTCAAGCCACCACGTCTCCGCCACATGGATCGCCAGCACCGGCACGAAGATGGCCCTGACAAGCCACGTGAACCCGGCCGGCCCGTACGGAAACCGCACCACCTCCTCCACGATCCGCGACGCCGGCGTCCCGGGCGCGAAATAGCCGAGCTGCACGGCGATAAAGCAGGCGTAATAGAAGAGGACGGAGGAAAAGATGGTTATGTCGACGGGGATGCGAGGCGGCATGTACTCGTTCACCACCACCACCACCGCCTTCCTCCCACCATCACCACCACCACCACTCTTCGCCTCAGACCCGGGAGATTCAGGGTCCTGGATCCCCAGCGCCGCGCACGCAGCCCGCGTCATCTCCACCAGCCGCGGCCGGCGCTCGTCCCAGCTTGCCAGGGGCGGGTTGAAGGCGATGCAGTACTCAGTGGCGGCGTTGTTGAAGTGTGGGAGGGAGACGGTGAAGTGGGTGAGGGCGATGTCGACCATCAGGGGGTCCGAGTCCGAGTCTGGGGCGTCCTGCTCATCCTCCGCCGGCAGGGAAGGCGCAGGCGGGACGGAGCCGAAGTGCTGTAGGATGTGGCGCATGTTGCGCCGGTGGTCTTTGTTCATGTGCGCGATGGTGCGGGCCTTTTGGGCCGGGGGGATTTCTTCGTTACTGGGCATCTTGGGCGGGCCCCGTTTTGTTTTGTCTTGTTCTAGGGTATCAAAGTCCCTAGACGTGGATGAAAAATGAGCGAACAAAACCAGGCTCGTGGGGTTTCACAATTCGGAGTTCGGGACTGTAAGAGAGAGAATAAGTAGAGGTTATGCTTTGTAAGGAGGAAGGATGAGGTGAGGACGAGGTGGAAATTGACATGCCCTGTTTGCCAAGACGGCAGGGGAGCCGGGGGTCAGTGGGGCCTTGGCCGGAAAATCAGAGCCATGGCCCGGTCGAACTTCGGCAACGGCCCGCTCCGTTCATGCAGGGCGCACGAGGAAAGTCCATGTTCCAATGCTTAGGCGGAGCAAGCAAAGCAGCAGCCTGTGGACCATCGAGGTTTTTTTTGGTGGTTTGGACACTTCAAAGATGATAGCTGCCATGGGAACGAGGCAAGAGCACCCTCTGGCCAAACCAGCTCTTATTAACCAAACCTCGATGTCAGCCGGACCGAAGAGATAGACGGGAATAGAAACCAAAGAATGAGTGACTTATTAGTATTTCTTTCTTTGCTTCCTTTCTCTTCATCCTCTCCGCCTCCTCCGTCTTCATGTTCTTGTTCTCCATCCTCTTTCCAATTCTCACGTTCCATTCTTGTCTTTATCCCGATCTCTTTCTATTCGACTTGACCCGTGATTACTTAACCTGTCGGAGCAATTTGATACGAAGTAGGTTTAGGTAAGAGAGTTAACTATTCGGATTGCAAACAAGATCTGATCGAGCGAGGATGTTGGGTATAAAACTGTACAATGACGTTTTTTTCTCTCTCCCCCCTTGCATCTCCAAAATAACCCAGATAGTCTCTCATGCCCCCCCGCCAAACATCACGCCGACCGTGACACGCCAAGTGCCATAATACAACACCCTAATGGAGGCAGAGGCAGAGGGATCACGACATGATGGCGTCCCAGTCAAAGTTGCCAGTCCCCCAGAGCTCATTGAGGCTGAATCCCAGGGTCTCGAGGCTGAAATCCGGATGAAGAGGCAGCATCTGGCAAAGGAGAATTGAATTTCAGTGGTCAGAATAGAAAAGAGCCTTCAACGAGGGGGAAAAGCACCAACCTGTGGGATAGCAGACGGGTCCGCCGCGTTTGGCAGCCACCACGGCGTGCCGGGCACCTCGACCTGCTGCCCTGCTGCGCCACCCTGCTGGGAAGACGGCGGAGCGAACGGAGTGACTGACTAATACACACACACAGCCGAGGTCAGCATCGTACTATACAATGCAGTATCGCAGAAAAATACGGCAGTAAAATCAAGACGAACCTTGGACCTGACAAACACCTCCGACGGCACCGGTCCATACGGTGTAGAAGCCACTGCCGTCGTCGTCCTGCCCTGGTCTACCCCTCCCGCAGCACCAGAACCACCACAACACCCACCACCACCACCACCACCACCACCAGTAGCAGCAGACTGCTGACTCGACCCTGGCGGATCCTGCCCGGCCAACAGCTTGTAATGCAGTGTGACGAACCGCTCCGCACTCGCCGCCTTGGCGGCCTCGGGGGTCTTGGTGCCCAGGTGGGCCTCCAGCAGGCCAAAGGCGGCACACATGATGCTGTACCCCCAGGGCTCGTTGTTGCCGCAGCGCAGGATGCGGTCCTCCTTCATGGCGAGGCACTTCTCCAGCAGCTGCAGCGTGTGCTGGCTGTTGATCATGATCATGTTGGTGCTGCCGCGCGGCTGCAGCATAGTGACGCTCGTCAGGTTGATGGCGAGCGTCAGGCAGTCCTCGCGGAAGAAGTTGAGCGTGCGGATGCCCAGCTGCGCGAGCCGGTCGTTGAGCAGCACCATGTCGCGTGCCGCGTTGTAGTAGATGATCTCCGAGTACTGGTACTTGGAGTTGGCCTTGCGCAAGCGCAGGAAGGGCTGGTGCAGCGGGATGATGTACTGCCGCAGCTGGATGTGCAGGAGCGTGTAGGCGAGCAGCGGCTTCTTGAGGACCGTGCTCTGCGACGAGGAGGCGTCGCCTACGTCCCACGACGGGAGGGAGTCGATTTCCTGGTTGATCTCGTTGGTGTAGCGGATCACACGGTCGTAGTCGAGCTCGCCGGGCGGGCCCGTCAGCACGCGGCTGAGCTCGAGACGGAGCGGCAGGCTGTGGCGGCTGATGTGCTGGTAGGACGAGAAGGTGTACTCGGTCGGCGGCCGCGAAGGGGGAAGTTCCTTGGTGTCCTCGTCGAACTCGTCGTCGTCGATGTTGCGCGGCGGGTTGACATCGTAGTGCAACGAGCAGAGGATCGAGGGCAGGCCGTGGTCGAAGGAGGCCTGCAGGTCGTAGCTCTGGATGGTGGCCCATATCCGGCGGCGCATCTCCTGGATGAACGGCGAGATCTTGTCGCACATGTGGCTGGGCTCGCGGTGTAGGCCGACGCTGACGGCGTCCTGGGTCATGGCGCCCGCGTTCTTCCAGAAGCGCTTCTTCTTCACCGTGTTGACCCTCTTGGCCAGATAGACGAGGCAGGCGATCTGGTAGTGGATCAGCCGGCGGTGTTTCTGGCTCTGCCGCTCCTGCCACTGATCCACGGCCTCTACCCATTTGATGGCAGTGGCATGTGACGTGGACATCATCTTCTCGAACCTGCCCGGCCCGTGTGTCCCGAGGCAGCTGGAGATGGCCATAATGGCGAGGACGAGCGCGGTGAAGGCGGCATTGCGGGTTTCCCCCGGCAGCCAGAACTTCGCATAGTCTCTGCGGAAGCTGGGGATGTGGACGATGCGGTGGACCTGCTCGAACTGATCCAAGTAAATATTGACCAGGGTATCCGTTTCTTCCTGGGGAGGGAGGAGGGACTCGAGAGTGGGATCCGGCGCGCGGAACTTGCGCTCCCTCTCCTCGGCGCCCCGGAGGCGGTCCTTGGGTTTGTGGATGAACAGCGGCCGCAGCCACTCCTCGGAAGTCTCCTTCATGAAGGGGCACAGCCCGGTAAGCTCCTGAAAGGCCAGGAATGCGCTGTGCGGACCGAAGTAGCGCGTCTTGAACTCCTTGCCGCGGAAGAAGCGGAGCTCCTCCCTGTCGGCACACGTCTGCTGCGTCTGCAAGAACGGCGGCAGCACCACTTCGTGCTCGGCCTCGGCGTCGGCGTCCGACTTGGGATGGTCGGGAGGCGACCGGTCCTGGACTGTGCTGCCGTCGAGCGACGAGATCTGCTTGGTCAGGAGGCTCTTGAGCTGGGCGACTTCGAGCTCGAGGCGGCGGATGCGGTCGGCCTCGCGGCCATCCTTGCGGAAATAGGGCGATTCCCCGCCCGTGCTCGGCAGCGACAGGCGGGCATCGAGCCCGGCCAGGGCGGTTGGCGGCAGGCCGAGCTTGTTCGGCGGCGCCAAGCCGGGGCGCGTCTCGTACTCGCACCGCTCCGGCGTGCCGGACTGCAGACAGCGCGAGCACGGGAACTCGCGGTCGCACGACAGCTTGCGCCGGCGGCACTCGAGACACGACAGTCTCACGCGCTGGCGCTTGCGCGGCGGCGGGCGATCGTCCCGCTCCCCGCTGTCATGGCGCTCCTGACGCTCCTGGTGGTCCTGGTGCGACTCGGTGCCGGCGGGGCTTTCACTGCGCTCGCTCGGCTCCGACATTGTCTCACACCGGATCCGCGCTATCGGCGATTCGGCCCAGCCGTCGGACTGAGACAGACAACAACAAATGAAAACACGCGCACTGGTGTTATTAAGCCGGAACACAGCGGTGGCAAGGGGGCGCTGTCCTCGACAAGCCCGAGGTGAAAGCCGAGGTTTTATCAATCGATCTGATAAGTAACACCTCCATTACACTCCAACAGTCAAAAAACCGTCGGCTTCCCCAAATCACTTCTGCTGGATTTTGTACGAGGATGACAAATGATCAAAACGAACCCTGCCGATTCCGGACGACTTCTGAGGACGAGGGATTGACGTTGCTCTCACCTCTTGCCATTCCAGGGCCGCAGGATTTTCTTTGTCACAGCTTTGCCTCGGAGCTCCGAGCAAGCGCCGAGCGGTCCTGCCAGATAGAGACACAAGAGTAAGATGAATAAATAAATCCGAGCATCGCCGAGCAAGACCGTCACAATTGATCATGCACCATGCCAGCAGGTTTGCCAACGCATCATAGACACGGTTCGTTCGAGGAGGAGCCGGGACGAGATGTCGTGCGTGGTTGGAGGTTGGAAGAGACTTTGACGGCTGGCAGTGGTGCTGCTATCGCAAAGAACCCTAACCCTTACCCCTGCTTCCATGATGCCTCCGTCTGGCCAGAAAACGTTGTAAGGTAGCTACCGCCAAAGTTCAATAGGAACTCGAACAAATCCACTACCTCATTCATCTCATTCCACTCTTTCTTCCTCGTCATCCTCTTAGGTCACCCTGGGTTTTTTTCTTTTCTTTTTCTTTTTTCCCCAGGATACTCCTTCATCTTTCTTTTTTTCCTTCCATTTTGGTCCTGCTTGAATGACTCATTGCTTAAGCTGTCGGCTACCCGGCATAGTGTCCAGCTTTCTTGGGCCACGAGGACACGCATGTCTAAGACTCGTCGGAAACAAGATGAGGTTGGTCGGAGAGATCAGTGCAACAGCGAAGCATTATATGTCGCAAAGGCTCACATTATCTACTCTGAGTCCTCAAATAGAATGAAGGTCACTTTCATATCCATCCCATGGCTGCTTCGGGTTCTGGTCAGCATCTCGTTGCTCCTTCCAGGAATCCAAGCACACCTGAATTGCTTGGCAGGGCGCCTAACCATCCTCTTGGCATCACAAACTTGTTCTCTTGCACCCATCTCCCATCTTTGAAAAATGCGATGACAGGAGACCACCATGCAGCGCTTGATTGCATCCCTCCTCGGATGGGTCTGCTTGGGGGTCGTATCTGCGGCGGCCCTCATTCCAGGCAAGGCGTTTGAGCGGTTCATCACCATCTGGCTGGAGAACCAGGTTCGTCTCTCCGGATTGTCGCTTGCATGCCCGCGATGAGCCCCACAACTCTAAACTGACGACGCATCGCATCGCAGGACTACGCCAAAGTCGCTGCGGACCCCAGCATCGCCGACCTGAAGAGGCACGGCATTCTGCTGACTCGGTACTATGCCCACACCCATCCGAGCCAGCCAAACTACCTTGCTGCCGTGGGCGGGGACTACTTCGGTCTAAACCACGACGACTTCGTGCGCATCCCCGAGGGCGTCGCAACTGTGGCCGATTTGTTGGAGTTCAAAAACATATCATGGGCTGGATACTTTGAAAACCTGCCCGGTCCGGGCTACATGGGGAATTATAGTGACGGGCCAACCGGCAATGGCACGTGGGATTACGTCCGGAAACACAAGTAATAACAAACCAGCGCCACTCTAAAATCCATAGCAGGGACAGTCCCGCTGACCCGTTCTCTGATATAGCCCGTTTGTGTCGTATGACAGCATCACCGCAAATGGCGAGCGGCTTTTGAACCTGGGGTCCTTCGACGACTTCAGGCGGGCATTTGCGGCCAAGAAGGTGCCTCAGTTCGTCTTCATGTCGCCCAACATGATGAACGACGGTCACAACACGACCCTTGACTTTGCGACCAAATGGTCGCACAAGTTCCTCCAGCCGCTTCTGGATGGGAAGGCCTTCAATGAGCGGACGCTGATTGCATTGACGTACGATGAGTCGGAGACGTACAGCGAGCCGAACCACATCGTGACGCTGCTCCTGGGCAGCGCCATCCCGCGCTCCCTCAGGGGCACGCGGGACGACACCTTCTACACGCATTACAGCATCCTGTCGACCGTCGAGGCCAACTGGGGATTGCACAACCTGGGCAGGTACGATGTTGGGGCGAACGTCTTTCAGTTCGTGGCGGACCTGGCCGGCTACACGGAGAACAAGGACCCGGAAAATGCGCTAGCCGTGAACAATTCGGTTTCGTATCCCGGCATGCTGAACGACGACCCCTCGCGGAGGCTGCCGATCCCGGCGCCAAACATCCAGCTGATCGGTGCAGGCGGCCTTCCGGTTTTACCGTCAATCGAGGCGGCGTGGTCGGGGCCACGCAAGGTGCAAACACCATACGACGGCAGCGGCAGGGTGTGCGATGGGGACAGGAGCCCGCCCACTTACAACGCGCCCGCAGCGAATTCGCCGTAGATGGTGCTGTCTAGCTTACTCTAGTCTGGGCTCGAATATCATCACAGCAAGATGCCGCTCCATCCAACACGCCCCTGCTTGTTCGTGGGGCTGCACGTGTCCTCCCGTTTTAAGGCACATTGACCTCGCACTGTCTTCGTCGCCACTGTGAGGTTGTGATGACGATTCACTCAGCCGTTCTGGGCTGTCCTTGGATGTTAGGCTTACGGCGTCCAACTTCGCCTTGGCATGGTTGGGCCCATGACCCGTCTGTTCTCAAACCTGCAGCAAGGATGCCTGGGAAACTTGCGATTCCGCATGGGTTACGTCTGCCACTATCCTTCTGTATAAACACCCCTCGCCACTGTGCTTTGAGCGGGTCACCCCAACTGAGCGCGCTCTTGTGTATAAACTCACCATCCATCCCTCGAAGGGCCGCAGCTTCTCCCAGACGCCGTATTTGAGCCAACAGCTTTATTACTTGAGCTGATTAATATTTAATCAACTAATCTTTATTCCGGCACCGCACCTTCACCATGGGTCGTCTAGCCTCCAAGCTGGTTCGAGGGGCCTCCTTACCCGAGCTCATTGTCGCCAATCTCGCGTCGTTGCGCAGCTTTCTCCAGCGATCCGCTCGTCGTCCACCTTACCCAGAGGAGGAAGGTATCGAGCTCCCCGAGCTGTCCTCGACAGGGGTGGCTTTGCCTCACCCTGCCCCGGCGAAGTTGAGCATTCGGCGATTTCCCGTCGCCAACACCCCGTCGTCACGCCGCTTTCGCCGGCGACTCTCTCGTCATGCTCCTTCCGTGGAGGAGGAAGGTATCGAGCTGTCCGAGCTGTCCGAGCTGGCCTCGATAGGGGTGGCGCTGCCTCCCCGTCCCTCTCCCTCTTCCCCTCCAGATCCGGCGTGTGGCTTTCGGCCCTCGACCTCTACCTTCACCGGCCCCCCGAGAGTGCACAAGCCCCCCCCCGAGCCGCCCCCCGAGCCGTCCCCCGTGAATATCTTCGGGATATCCGACGACCCGGGCAACTGGGCCGACCTGGAGGTCGAGACCGAGGACGACCCCGAACCCCCCCGCTCGAAGATCGGAAATTTCCTCTCGGCCCTCGGCAACCGCCTGCGCAAACGCCCCGGGCACCCGCGCATTGCGCACCACCTTCGGAAGTTACAGGGGATTGCTACGACGTTATGGCATTTCTTACAGGCATGGGGGGCTTCAGACGTCACCCCTACCCGAACAACCACAAACTATTCAACTTCGATACTAAACCACTTCTGTGCCGTCTTTTTCACCCCCCGGACGCGAACCGGGAATACCGGGCCGAGCTGAGGCGTCGCCTCTACGACCAGATGGCCGACGCCCTCTGTTTGGAACTGTGTGGGATAGGGCCGTGGGCCCCGGTGTCGTGCGGGGACTTTTTCCAGTGGGTGGCCCCCCGCGGGCCACACGGCCGCCCCCTGGGCCGCTGGGCCCATGAGACCGCCTACCTCCCGCGCGGCTCGTGCGAGAGCGCGCTGCGCGGGGACGACCCGCTCGACACCGCCGCATTCCCGGACCAGACCGCGAGCCCCTTCTTCCCCGTATATGCCCGGCCCTTATCAAGCTCGCAGCCAGGTCCGGCATGCGGTGGAAGTATAAATGGAACTGCCGCCGGATCCGCTCTTCTGACTCCGTCGTGCCCCAGCGAGACGGCGACGATAAGGAGAACTGCTACCGGATCCGTTCTTCTGGCTCCGTCGCGTCCCGACGATACGTCGGCGAAAAGGAGAACTGCTGCGGGCCGGGACTTTGCCCGCAACCCTCCCGAGGCCCACGTGCCGCCTATCCACACATCAGTTGTGGGAAGGAAGCATCTTTCCGGAAAAGAAGGGACCCGGCATCAATGGTCACGACCTTTTCGGCACCCTGCATCATCCAAGGCATGGGTTCGAAGGAAGCGTCCTAGTCGGCGTTCGAGATCGAATCAGTTGCTTGTCGGCCTGCCCTCGGCTTTGCCATCGATTCCTGAGGAGGGCTTGGCTGATATGTTAATGCAGCAAATATACGATCTGCAAGACCAGATGTTGTCGGACACCAACAGTTAGACGTTACAATGGATTCAGAGAAACCTTGGTAGGCGGGTTGACTACACTGTTGGGCGACGGAATGGATGGTTCAGGATAGGGAGCAGTATCACGGGGCAATCACGGTTGAATATATGTAAGGTCGTACATAATGCGTCTGCTCATGGACCGGCTTGCGGTGGCTTCCATAGCGGTTGACACTCACAGGGGTGAACACAAACAAAAACCAACTAAAGAACTTGTGATACTAGTAGAGATCAGGGCACCTGATTCTTGGAGGAATTGGTTACTACTAAATGAATACCCGTGTTGTCAGCATGCTTTGGGGTCAATGTTAATTCGATATATGATTTCACACTGACAACACAGGCAGACTGCTTATTATGCCACCATGTCGTCATGGGATACCATGCATGCTAGCAACCCAGCGCTTACCCGATTGGCGCGAGTTTGCGTATACAGAAACAGGTTATTCAAACACTGCATATGTGCTGAAAACTTCAGTCGAAAAAAACCGAGAACGAAGCGAAGCGTACAGGCCACCCTTCGAGCTGCTATCTGTCTCTTGAGATATGCTGACCGTTGAAGCAACGGAGTCTAGCAGACGGAATCAAAATCCAATAGGTAGATGAATGGATGATTGGAATGGAAAGAAGCAGCAGCCTGATGAGTATCGTCCAGTTTCCTGAGGCCTGGGACTTGAGTTCAGCTGGCCTCGATCGTGACGCTTGATACTACAGTATACGACTTGGTTTGCCCAGGTGCATATGTATGGAGTCTGTATGTAGATCCAACCACTCGATATTTATCTCATCGGTCCATTCCATCATTCTCTTCGATCCTTACCTTATGTATTATCATGATGACATTCGGGGCAACGAGGCAAGCAGCTGAAGGCGTGTGGGGCGTCGGCTTCACAGGCGACTGCTGTTCATTTACCTTGCCGATGCCGCTCGGTCCGAAGTGGACATGGTACCAACACGTTCTGGAAATTCAGGTGCAAGATTTTACATATGTATGTAGATGGCACGCCACTCGGTATGATGAACTAGAGATTTGAGTTTTCCGGCGTGTACAAATACCTTGTTGACCGGGTAAGTTATTCGCCGCCAGAATCTTCAATTACCTCGGCCGTGGTGGCAAAACAAAGCAATACACTAGTTAGGGCTTGTATTTGCACGTTCTCGATGTTTTGCCGCCAGAAAATCACCTGATTGGGAACCCTCGTGGCATTCCAGGCCAGAGAGTCAATGGATCGTTTGTTGGCATGTGAAAACGCACCCCTGTCAAAGTTTTGAGGTTGCATCGAGGTGTGGGCCCAACGTAACGGAAAGGGTAACCGTGCTTCGGGTGGGGCTGCTCTGTTTCTGATGTCAACCGCAGCGGTTCCATAGGACATTCATTTCGAAGTCAAGACGTGATCTCATTGTAAAAAAAAGTGTCAGGGATAGTTCCTCGGGGCTTGCATGGCTGTCCGCGGTGCTTAATGCATAGGCCTGACTACGTTATCCACTATCTATCGTACGAGGAGAGGATATGAATACGTTATCGTGACGCGGCGGCTTGCATTTCCCCTCACTGTTGACATCGCAATCAGGGATGATGCAGTTATACGGATAGCACGCAGCTCTTTGACTCGAGAAAGGCGCAGAGCGAGGCTTCTTCTCCGAGCCGAGCTTCACCGAGGCTGGAGCGTCAGGCCTTTCTTCAGCTTCTGGCAGCCAAGCGCCTTTGTTGATTCCGGAAACGAACCAACTCCTAAGGGAGAGGCTTTGCGATGCCGAATCAGGCATATTCTGGCGGTAGTTACTTGGGTCTGACGCATTCGAAGACCGTTAGGGAGCTTGGGCCACTTCACATGCCAGCCAAGAGGGCAGGGCGTTATCAATGCATACGGGCTCTGGTGGTTCTGAGTGGTCGATGAAGCAATCCATTGCGCTTCAGCCCACTTCAACCACCCCACCGGCCATGCAGGACAGCTGCCGGCGATAAAGATCCAACTTGCGACAGCCCACCACGAGAGACCGAGCCGTCATGGCGGACATTGGTTGGCTGTCTGAGCACATGGAGATTCCCACTGTCGGAGTGGCGTAACCGTTCTGCTGCAGACATATTAAGGCATTCCAGACCCGTCCTTCCCACATTCTCCCGGTCTCCTCCCTTGATTGTCTCACGTTCCTTCCCAAAGCTTGTGGTCGCACATACCTCACGTACTGTTTGTTGGCTTATCACGGCACCCTGTTGGCTGACCTCAACCTATTCCAATCCCAACCATCACAAAAAGTGAGCCGAAACCTGCAGTTCTGTCCACTCGGGTACAGCGTCGTATCTCCCTCGTACATTGTTTCGCTTCTGTCTTAATCCACCGGAGTCCTGTTTCTCTCGTTACAGGACGGCAAAGTTCTAACGTGGCTCCAAAGATCAACGGCAATACCAAAACCATGTCCAGCGCAAAGACCACCTCTGTGCCAGACGGCGATGTACCGCAGCTGAACACCCTCCGCGTATGCTAACTCCTCTCTCTACATCGCATCTCGCCGTTCCCAGTACAGCGGGCTGACGCGTAACACACAGCACCTTCTCACATATCCCGCCGTTCAGGATAGCGTCAGGGTCTTCAAGTCGAACCCGCTTGGGAGGATGTCCATTCAGCTTAGCAACTCGGCGTACAACATGACGGCGCCCATGCTGTCGATGCTGAACAAGCCGTACGGGTATGTGGAGCCCTACGTGAAGCGGGTGGACGAGCTCGGCGACCAGACGCTGTCCAAGGTGGAGGAGAAGTTTCCGGTCGTCAAGAAGCCGTCGCCCGAGCTCCTAAACGAGGCCAAGCAGGTGGTCTACGGCCCAGTCAAGCACGTGACCGAGGTATACAACGGCAAGTACCAGCAGACCAGCGGCGGGTACGCCGTCGCCAGCGGCAAGGCGGCGGTCATGACAGCGGCCGTCATCACGGGCGAGGGCCTTGTCTACGCCGCGCGCAGCCTCCTCAAGTGGACCGAGTCCCTGCACCTCGGCGAAACCATCAAGGCCAAGGTCGACAACCTCGAGGCCGCCGTCGCCCGGCAAGAGCAGAACGCCGAGTCTCAGAACGGACGCCAGCCGAAGAGCGCGAGCTCTTGAGAAGGTGTGGTGTGGGCATAATCGGTGGCAGATCTAGTAGGCGTCAAACGTCAAACCCCCAAAAACTCTCAACTACAGCAAAGAGACAGCGGCTAGTCCTGTGGATGGTGAGAAAGTGCATATTGCCGGATCGGAATGGAGGGAGCTGGAGCTTTATCCTGGGATTTCGGATGTGCCTCGACGGCGAAAGGAGCCCCTCATTGGGCTTCGGAGCCACTCAGTGCAGGCTTCTCCTTGGTGAAGATTAATATCGTTCTAGTAGGATGGAAACTGTCTGATTAAGGCGCGGGTTGGTAAATATGGAATAGAGAGATAATTACTCTCATGACAAACCAACACAACCGACATGACTGGTGATGAGGTGATTGACGCGCTCTTATTTCCTTCCTCGAGTCCCCCTCTACTGTGTATGCTGATGACAGACACATGACGTAAGCAGCAAATGCAACTGGCGCTAGCCAATCCGGCAACAACCTCCCTTTTAGCCACCAAAACTGCTCCGGCGGTTTTCTTACCTTAGCCTTAGTCATTGAGGGGCAGCGATGAGAAACTTCATGAGATTTCCGTGGCCGTTATAAAAAGCTGAGCGGATGCTTTGTCGCTGTTTGGGAAACTGGTCTCACAGCCGGTGTTGTACATTAAAAACAGACTAAGACGTTAGTTCTCTATATAAGGCCTCATCATCTCGATTGACTCGATGAGGACCTTCTCTCCAGTCACCGTTGCAAGTATCTCCATCATCGTGGGAATCTGCTCCATCTTAGCTGTCCTCTTTAGCCAAGACATTCTCAGCTTCACGAACGCATCATCATCAGCCCTTCTTTCCCATATTTTCCCAGCAGACATTAAAACTTCCAGCAACAGCTCAGTCACAACTACAACCAATCCCAACAACATGTCCACCACCAGCACACGGCTCATCCCCCGCGCCATCCGCCAGACCTTCCTCGCCATCGAGCAATCCGAAGGCGCGGGCGCCACGGTGCGCCGGTCGATCGGCACGCCGCGGCTGCGCAACCTGTCGCCCTTCCTGATGCTCGACCACTTCTCGGTCTCGCCCGGCGCCGGCTTCCCGGACCACCCGCACCGCGGGCAGGAGACCATCACGTACCTGCTGAAGGGCGGCATCGAGCACGAGGACTTCGCGGGCCACCGCGGGCGGCTGGACCCGGGCGACTTGCAGTTCATGACCGCCGGCCGCGGCATCGTGCACGCCGAGATGCCCGCGCAGGACACCGACGTCAACGTCGGCCTGCAGCTGTGGGTCGACCTGCCGAAGCGGCTGAAGCAGTGCGAGCCGAGATATCGGGATCTCAAGGCCGACGAGGTGCCCCAGGTGGACGTGGACGACGGGAGGGTGAGGGTCAAGGTGATCAGCGGGCAGAGCCACGGCGTGGACTCGGTCAAGGACCTGGCGTACACGCCCGTCTGGCTGCTCGATGTCGAGGTGAAGCCCGGCGGCAAGATCGTGCAGCCGCTGCCGGAGGGGTGGACCGCGTTCGCGTACACCCTCGAGGGGGAGGTGCTGATCGGGGAGGAAGGCAGCCAGCGGACGGTCGGGGAGTTCCACAACGTCGTGTTCGAGTCCCAGGGTCAGGCCGTGTATGCGGCGGTGGACCCGGGCGCCGAGAAGAGCGCGCGGTTTGTGCTGGTCGCTGGAACGCCGCTCGACCAGAAGGTGGTGCAGTACGGCCCGTTTGTGCTGACCAGCCAGGAGGAGGTGTACCAGGCGTTTATGGACTACCAGACGCACTCGAACGGATTTGAGAGGGCCAACGGGTGGGAGAGCGAGATTGGGAAGAGCATGGTGCATTAGGCGAATATGGCTTGTAAAGGAAGGAAGGGGGCCGGGTAGACTGCTTGGTTGTGTGCTAGTGTTGGGGAGCAAGATACCTAGACTTCAAATGTGTATACTCTCACTTGTACGATCGAGTGACACCTAAGCGTGAAATAACAGGAAGAGAGGAGAGATGAATTAGTAGCTGATTGAAGCTCGTTCTATCTCTTAGGGTATAGGTCTAGCTGACAAACGATGTTAAGTATACGGTCTGTTCTGGCCAGGGGGTTTCTATATCGTATAATAGTTTGCGAATATACAAGCATGCCGAAGTGGGCTACATTCGGCCACCTCGAGCGGAAATTGCAGAAGTAGGCATCGTAGCTGTTGCATCCCAGCCAAGGGTATCAGATCCTACTCTCCCCCCTACTGCCCCCGCCCCCCCCCTTCCTTCTACTTCCTCCGCTTACCATCACGCCCATCACTCCGAATCATCCGATGACCCGTAGTCAACCAGGCCACCCTGCACTTTGACACCTTTGGTCGCACGGATCTCCCCCTCCTCGTTGCCTTCCCCAATCATAGCGCTGCTGTCCCTCTCACTCTCATCCCCACTCTTCCCATCAACATCCACCACTCCCACGCTAACCCTCCCGTCAGGCTCAGCCACGGCCTCATCCTCGTCGCTACAAACCTCGCCTTCCTCGAACTCATCATCAGGCTCCGGCTCCGGCTCCTCAACAACAGCTTCCCGCGCCTGCGGAGGGCGGCGCTGCTCAAACCTGACCCGCTTCCCTCCCCTTCCGTACCCATACCCATTGCCGTTCCAATTCCTGCTCCCTCCCTCATCAAAGGCTCTTTTCGTACCATTAACCCTGTTATCGCCCCGACCACCAGTAGTATACCCGCTCGCTCTCCCCTCCTCACCCACCTCCTTCACAGCCGCCGGCTCGCTCCTCCGCTCAGCCGGGTCGCCAACCACATAACCCTCCGGTATAGTACTACTACTACTACTACCACCGCAGCTAGGGGTGACCACCACGGTAGGGAACTCCAGGACTGTCCGTCCGGCAAGCGCGCTCGCCAGGGTCTCTGTCGCGGCCAGCGGGATGAGCGTCTTGGGCGTCGGCATCGGCCGCCCGACTTTCAGGAGGTAGAAGCGCCAAGACCGGCTGAGCTGCTCCTCGAACGTTGACGGGACGGAAGGGGAGGTGTTGCTGGTTTGGGACCAGGCTGATGTGAGCGGGTATTGGGACGGGTATGGCGCCGCGGGCCAGGTGCATGTTGTTGGGTCTTGGACTGTTGGTGGTGAGGCGGGTTTATTTTCGTTGCGCTTGTGGTGGTGGTGGTGGTGGTGGTGGTGGTGGTGGTGATGGTGGGTTTTGCGCTTCTTTCGCGGAGCTGAATCGTCCAATTCGTTGTTCTCGCTGCCCTCGGGGTCGTATTGTTGTTCGCGGGCCTGACGGTTGAGCTGGCCGCGGTGCCACTCGAGCGTTGTGGCGAGGGCGGTGTTGAGGGGCGTCCCTTCAAGACTTTTGTACAAGACGCGCAGAGGTTGCTGCTGTTGTTGGTCGGTTTGTAAACCCGGCAGGCCGAGCTGGGAAGCTCCGTAGACGAGCCATTCCACCTGCCAATTGATAGTCTCCGTGCGCCTGTTGAAAGCTGTCTTGTTTTCTCGCTGCCGTGCCATGCCCTTGGGCATCATGAGCGCCTCGATGTTCAAGTGCCGCAGCCGTCTGCGCACACGCTTCTCGAAGCCACCACCGTCAGCCAACGAGAAGCTTTTGTTGGGCCGGCCATGCTTGATATGATCCTGCGGTTGTACAGGGACATGGCGCAGCTCGTCGCCGTGCCAGACCTTTTCGTACAGCTTGTCCTCGTTGGGCGGTCGCAGGTCCTTCTCGCTCAGCAGTCGGCGCGCTTCAACGATGTCTTTCTCAGCCCGTTCACGTGCACGCTCGATAGAGGTGAGGAAGTTGAAGTCGTGGTCGATTCCGGCTTCGGTCTTCAGCTGGCTCAGAGGCATGAACGCTCGGGGATTGCGGACACCATCGCAATCGGCGCGCGCCTTGTGCTTTTGGATGCACGGCACAGAGCAAGTGCGCGCGCCGCATCGTGGACACTTGTACTTGGGGGGTTGCGCATGGCAGATGCTACAGAGAGTGCTGAGCACCGTCCCGGACATGGCGAGGGCGATCGCGGGTTCTCGAGTCTCGGGACCGAGGTCTGATTCCGCGAGTTGTGGTCTGAAAAGCGGTTCTCGAGGAGCAGATCACTTGATGGCCGATAAGCGTTATCGGAACTTTTTTGGCCACTTGCAGCCTTCTGCCGACTGCCTCCTTTCAGAATCCACGCCGCCTTCCACGGTGAACTTCAACCAGCCCACGCATGTGCCAACGAAACTGTCTCGAGATGCGACGGACAACAATTTCAGCAGCCCGGCGTTATCTAGCCGGATGACAACACCAGGAAAAAGATCGGATGAAAACGAACACTCCATGGTCAAAATCCCCCACGCTAAACTCATCTGCACTTGATGAGGACCTGACCTACGAATCTCGCGTAGATTAGGCTTAAAGTAAAAAGATGACCTCAGTCAGAGGAAGCTCAATTAGCCTGGCCGTGACTAGTGACTAGACGCACCTATTCTCAGGGTAATCTGGGGGTTAAGCATTCATTGCCTGTGGTTTATCCATTTGTTCGGGCAGTGGGATATTTCGATGCTATAATGATCGGTATATTCTCCCCTCGTACTCAACTAACTTGAACCCTGTCTCGCGCAATCTTATATCCGCAGAGCGCTTCGTCTGTGACGCCTTCGCTTTTGACCAACAGGAATCCCATGGAAGCCTACCCAGGAAGCACCGCAGGCCCCCATGCAATAAATTTGCCAACGTGAAAACGAACAGTGTTAGGGGCATGCTGTTGCCCAAAATGGTTTCTGGCCGGGCGCTTCTTCCGTCATGAAAGGGGTGGCGAAATATGTCTGAAGAAACGCCGCCGGTGCCGTTAGTCGATGTCACAGACGATGGTGCAAGCGGCTTTCTATTTCTTGAAGACGATGATAATACAAAGGGTGCTCACAGCCAGGAGAGTTGCTGGCAGAAAAGCCATGGTCAAGACCGCTGTCGCTGCGGCAGTGTAGAAGGTGCTTATGGGTTGGGCTTGGTCATTTCCAACTCGGCCATTCCAGGTTCCAAGCTGGAATTTATTTCAACCCCTCACCCTTATTTCAGCCTCTGCGCCTCCTCGTCCCAATACTGACCGGACAGATCTCCCGCTGGCCGAACCATGTTGCGTCCATCCAACTTTTCGTAAGTAAGGGAGTCGAGATCGACGTCGAAGAAAGTACGAACCTTTTACAACTCATCAGCTTCCAACTCTAAGAACCGTCTCTTGCCCGAGTGTGCCTCACCCACTTATTCATATCATTGAGACAAGAAGCGGGAGGAAAGGAATAAAATAAATAACAACACAGACGAGAAGAGCTGGGACAAAGACTACCTAACTAAGAGGACTTACACTGATACCATAAATGTGTTTCGGTGCGTGAACCTCGCGGAAGTCGATGCCGATGCTGGCGCCGCAGTGCTTGCAGAACATCTGATCCTTAGCCTTTGTGTTGAAGCGGTAGTTACTGCAGCGGGCGCGGCTGTCGTTGTGCCACGTAACAGCTGAGGCCTCGGGGTCTGGGAAATATAAATCACTGCTTTTAGTCTCTCCATCTCTCTCTCTCCCTCTCCCTCTCTCCCCCTCTCCCCCATCCCGGTCCTTTTCCAAGCCAACTGTGGGAGTGGAGTAGTTGAAGCAGCGACTCACAAACGAGAAGATAACCGAATCGTGTACACGCCGAGCAGTTGCAGTTCAGCACCTTGTACTGGGGCAGCGCGGGCGTCAACGTGACGCTGAATCTGATATAACCGCAATGGCAGCCCGCCTCGTACGTGCCGCTGCTCTTCTGCTCTTCCTCTTTCTGCTGCTTCGGAGGAGTGTCTACGGGCGTTTTCCCTTCCTCTTGAGACATGATAAAGCAGCAGGACGTGAGTCCAGAGGAATCACCTAACGGATTAAGCTCTGTTAAGGGGAGCCGGTTAGTGAAACATGATACGAAGTTAACGGTATCTGTAGAAGAACTTGGACTGGAGTTGATCAGTGGTACAATACCTTAGATGTGAGATGTGAGGATAGAACATGAATCCAAAGGCCCCGGAACGGTGATTGCCCCTACCTTATACCCGTTATTACTCCACTCCGCTTGGATGTTACCCCTCTTCAAGGTATGGAGACGGTAGCATGCGCCGCAAGTCTGCTTAAATAGCGCCCGACTCTCCAATCAACGCATGGCGTCATGGGATGTGAGAGCGAGATGGGAATCTTACTGACTGATGTAGTCATGGATTTAGGTCCTGCAGACACAGCTACAGTAGCACACCAAACCCTCACACCACGATACATACAACCCGGCACGAAGGCATAGAACATCGACCCCAATAAAAATCGGGCCAAAGCGTTATGAACAGGATAACTAAAATGATATCTGGAGGGACTACCTATGCTGAAGGCTAGGGGATAAGAATAATAGCCAGCCAGGCATATGTGAATCGAAGAGAGGACGAGAGGAAAATGAGAGGAAGTCGTCGTCGTGAATATCAACAAGCCCATGAGCTTTGAAGATAGAGAAAGCCAAAAGAAAAGGAAATAGGATCGCCCTCCTCGCATAAGTGGTATAAACAGACAGGGATATACAAATCCACATTGCACTACAAGATCAAGACAAACAGACAGACAGACGGGGCCTGAACTTCTCTTTCCTGGCTCCCACTGGCCTAACCCAAAGACCATTTTCTACCTTTTTCCTCCAGCGAGTCTGTAGATTAGCGCGAGCCCCCGAGGGCGCTGATTCTCGCGCCCGAGGGCCGGTGGATCAGACTCTCCGCGTGCTTACCCACGACGCCCGGTTCCTGCGGGGGCGCGGGGATGGGGTTTCCCTCGGACTCTCCCACGCGCTCGTCGCCGTCGAGGTCATCGACGTCCTCGTCGTCCTCCACGATCTTGGTGGGGATGTCATGTCCGGCGAGGTGACTCGCTCCGCCTCCGATGAGGTACTGCTGGGAGGTCCGCTCAGGGGTCGTGGCCGTGGTGCTCGCGAAAGACATGCTAGTGCTGCTGCGGTTGGGAATGAGATCCGGTGTGGGTGGGATGCTAGAGAGGCGCGCACTATTGGGTCTGAGGAGGGTGGAATCATCACCGACGTCGGACGTGGCCGCCGAGGCGGTTCCGTCGTCACTGGGGGCAGTTGAGAGAGAACTCCCTCTCCTGCTTTTTAAACTCTCCCGAGCCCTGGAGGCCGACGATTGCGGCCTCCCGAGCTCGGCATCTTGTGCGAGTTGCAGGCCTTCGACAGCGGCCTGGCACTGTTCCGCAATGTTGCGGATGATGTGGGCGATGGCATCCGTCTTGTCTTTGAGATGACGGTCGGCCACGTCGATGAACGTTTGGGTCGAGATGCGCCGGCTGGCGAGCGTGAGGTTCTTGATGAAGCGGGCGTCGTTCTCGTCCACACCTTCTTCTACGATACTGTGAGTGCCACCGTTCCAATCAGTGGTGGGCAAGGGCATCTTACGTTGAGCAGCAGCCGCAACAGCAGCAGCCTCGGCCTCTTCCTGGGCGGCAAAACCGGCCTCGATCTCTGCGGCAAGCTCTTCTGGGGACGTCAGCGTCTTGACGAGGTGCTCCATGTGGTGGTGCTGGCCAGAGATCAAGCTCCGGAGGTGCAGCACGACACGGCGGGCCTCATCTCGTTGCCTAACGATCGTCACGTTGGTGTGCTGGAGGGCGCTTAGTTCTTTCCTATTCCTCTTGCGCTCCCTCTCTAGCTCCTCGGCAATCTCCTGTTGAAGAACAAGAGCCTCAAGTGCATCGTCACGCTGCTTCTCAGTGCCAGCAAGACGGACCGAGAGTCTAGAGGCATCATCCTTCTGCTGGTCGATGAGGCCGGCCAGACGGCGGTTCTCACGCTTGTGGTTCTCGATCTTGACCTTAAGATCCTGCGTCTCCTTTGTGAGAGTGTCGGCGAACGCTTGGAATTTAAGGAACTGCATCCTTGTCAGCACATGCGCTACACTCCCGCCATGTTTCTAGAAAGCTCACCTGTTGCTTCCAGCTCTCCAATTCCTCGTTCAGGTAGTTGTTGCGCTTGGTAACCTTGTTGAGCTCCGTATCCAGGCGGCCCTTGAGATTGATGAAATCTTGCCACGCTTCCAGCGCATCTCTCGAGTACTGGTTCCGCTCACGCACGATCTCATTCAGATGCCTCATCGAAACCTTCGTCATCAGCGGCTTCTTAACGGATCCACCGAAGACGGCCTTCAGGCCCGTATTGCGACCCTGCGCATCGTCAGCATTTAACAGTCACTCCGCAGCTCCGCCACCGAGCTCGTGACTCACCATCTTCTCGCAGACATGGTCCATGACCGCCATCACCGCGTCTTGGTTCCACCACTCAGGATCCTGAATGGATTCTACTTCCCCACGCATAACAATGATTTGTCCAGCCGGAACTAGCTTTCCGCCGCCGTAGGCCGAACGCAGGTGCTGAGGAACGCCGGATGGTGTGACATCACCGTTGAGTGCCTGGGTGAGTCTCGTCACGAACTTATTGCGCTGGCCTGGGTTAAGAGCTGTCGGCGGGTTCGAGGTGAGAACGAAGTTGCGGTCCAGGTCAACAACCAAGGCGTCTTGAGGAGCGGTAAACAGGGACCGGCATTCGGCTGTGATACCCAGGATGTACGGACCAGGCTCCTCGACGAGATCCTTGGCGTGGCGGGCATGGACAATCGGTACATAAAGGCCGCTCCACTCGTAGACCCGAACACAGAAGCGGACCGTTTCAGCAGCCATGGTCAGCATGGCGGGGTAATGACTGACGAAGATGATGCGGCGTGTAGGAGAGATGGCTGCCTCAATCACACCAACAATGTTGGGGATCGAGAGGCAGCAGAAAAGCGGCCACATGGCGAAGTTCTGGAAACCGGTTGGCGAGGAAGGGAACTGATAGCAGAGCGCATAGTCCTTCATGTCAATGCGGACCAGATCATTCAGCCGAGGCGCGGGGAAGCTCAGGATTCGAGACACCTCCTCGGCGTGGAAGAGGTTAGTAGCCTTATTCCAGTGAATCCACATGCCGCGCAGGTAGTCCCCGAGCAGATTATAGAGCGGGTAGCGCGAAAGGAATGACAGGCAGTAGGGGATCCAGTACTGCTCCTCCGGGTTGTCGTAGAAGTCGGGCTCCGTCCGCTTCCTGAGCTCCCGGATGGTCTCGGCCCGCTTCTCATCAGCGCGCGACCAGACGCGCAGGCAGATACCGTAAAGAGTGTGAGACGAGTCCTGCTGGAGAACAAAGGCATGGTGGACGCAGTGTGGCTGGCTACGGCCAGTGCAGATCTCCACGTCATGAGGGAAGCACGCCTATGGTCAGTCAGCAAACGAGTTCGGGAAGGGGGAAGGGGTAGAGCCGGTTCCCGGCAGGCGCGCATCGAAGAACATACCCTCATAGCAGCATGTAACGCCCGGGCGATCTCGTTGTCCTGTTCCAACCTCGGACTGCTTCCCAGAATCTCGGGGAGCCAGAACTGGGGAACCGCACCCTTCATGTGCCCGATCTTTCCCTGAGCCGGCGCCGGGGCCTTGACCCATTGTGACGGCTCCCGGCCAACGCCGCAGACCATATAGGCATGAGTAAGCGTCTTGGGCGTCCTTTGCTGCGGCTTCATATTCAGCGTTGAAGGAATTGGCTGGGTGATGCGAGAGTGGAGGGACGAGGTCCGGCTCGGGATTATTAGGTTGGCGTCGGCCTGATCGCGGGTGACGGGACGGCCATCGCGGTCGCCAGTCCGCGGGCGTGTAAACGAAGAATGAGCATTGAGTGAGGGCGGCATTTTGGTGAGTCTGAGGCCGTCAGTCGGTCCCTATCGTTGCAGCTTGTTTGCGAATCAATCACCAACCCCGCTGGCGGCAGCCAGGTGTTTGGACTGCAATACCTAACTCTCTGACACCGGTTCAGCAAACTGTAGCCACAAGCCGGCGTGCCGCGATGCTGCCGGTTCGTCGCGGAAAACAGGCGCCTGGTGTGTCTCGTTGCAACCCGGCGTAAGAAGACGGAGGAGACGGCGCAATCTCACCGCGTCCTAAGACAGACAGGCACGGGGAAGACAGGCACGACAGACTCGCTGTTGATGCTCCCAGTCTTGGTGCTTCCCACGCTGCTCTGCTGGGTTGTCCCTGGAAAGGGAAAAGAGGGCGCGGAGATTGTTGGTGGGAGAGCTCACTAACGAAAGGCACGAAGAAAAGTTGAGGAGAGGCAAGGCCGGGGTGGGGAGAAGGGCCGAGCGCCTTTGCCCGGGCCACACACACGAGGCCAGGATGGGATGAGAAAAACGGAGCAAATGAGGGCAGTTGAGGTGCGCCGCGCTCAGCGAGACGGATTCGCCAATTCGTCGCAGCAGCAGGAGGGCCTGCAAAAGAAAGGCAGCCTGCAGGTTGCAAGGTCAGGGAAAGCAGCCAAGCAACTTTAGGAAATGGCGTCGGCGAATGCGGAATTGGGAAATGCAAGGTGGAGGGAGCTAACGGCGCACCCATGCAAGGGGAAAGGAGCAGCACTGCAGCAGAAGCAAGGGCAAGCTAACCAGGGTTCCGTGCGCCAAGATCATGGTTGGTTTCGGCACGTGGGTACTCGGTACTGTCGGCTTCGGATTCTGTTTCAAGATCGCCGCCCTTCCTGAGCGGCGGGAGCACTTGGAGCTGTGGAAATGCATGCAATCTCAATGCAAAATGCGCCAAGCTGGTTAGTACCTGGTACTTGGCCCTGCTCTCCTTACCGTTTGTTGACATTGCTTTCATTCGATAAACCTTCTCTTTTTCTGTGGATCCTGTGCCAGAAGCTTTCGTTTGTGCATGCAGGAAATCGGCTCTTTCACAGATCACGTCAATGCGTAGCCCTTGCTCCGAATGGCTGTCACTGTGCGCCTTCTCGAATGTTCAAGTTAAGGTATCGGGCTGGACAATAAGATGACAACAGCATCTGTCTTTTTCTGATGGCATTGTATGTAGCCTGGAATAACGAGGGTCGGCGGAGAAACCCTACTCGGAGAGGTCGGAGGCTGAAAAGGGGCTTCCGTGACCGCGACGGGCCACTTCTTGACTGCCCCTGCATAGCGCTCGCACATCACCTTGCTTCCTCAGTATACCTATTTCGCCTCTTGGGCCAGGTGACTGCGGTGAGCCAGTCTGACGGGTCAACGGAGGGCATCTTCAATCTTGCCTTGAGGGGTCCGAGAACAAGCTGCAGCTTTCCCTGCCGTTATTAGGAAGTTGATCAAACAAAACGGCGCACGGCATCACAAATCTATTTCGCACACAGCACGCGACGAGACGTCTCATCTGAGGAGGTTGGCGTCGGCCGCTATGCACCAAAATGGAAACTCGTGGAGATCGGCAAGCAATGGCGTGCCCGGACCCATTTGACGGCAGTCACTGACGACGGCGACGCAACGAGGTCGCTCCCACAGGCGGGCACTGAAATGATCAATCCAACAAGCATTTCCATCCAAGGTCTGCGGCCCTCTGAGGAAGAAAGTTCCAGCGAGAACGCACACCTTGGCATGGGCGAGGGTTCCACCCATGCAGGTGATGCCCCCACGGGCCACGACACTCTTGCGGACGGGCGCCCAGCCCGATTACTGCATCGGCTTCACAATATATCCGACAGCTTGCAGCAAAACAAACGCTGTGCCAACCTGTCATAGCAATTGAAGCTCAGACCTGCGCATAACAACGCGGTTCCTGAAACTGCATGCGAAGCGGGGTTGCGAGCTGGGATGTGTTGCTTGCTTTTTGCCTGCCAGGCCGCTATGACCGTGTTCGTTGATCTGGCTCCATCTCAGCTCCCGTCCCGCCTCGGTGGAGGGGGAAATCCAACTCCGCTGTGGGGTGCCGCGCAAAAAGCTTGGTGGTGGGGATCTGTTTGCCATGCAGTTCGCTTCAGCGTTGACTGCCATCGGCCTGCAACAAACGGAGCACAAACGAGACAGCATGTCTGACAGAGGAATATCTATAAGACGGCTGGCAGCAGATGAAGATTGATAAGATTTCTAAGTTCACCATGCCTGCAGCCGTCGCAAACATTGAGACGCAAGAAACACAGCGTCGAGCTTTTGACCATCACAGAGGATTCCCTGCGAGTTGCCGATATTGGCGCTCAGCATGCGTTGCCGATGGAACAACTTGCAAACCCAAAGGAGCAATGGCATTGGTGGCAGAGCCTCATCGCTGGTCGAGTCTGCGGCCACCCAACGCTGTGCGGCGTCGTATGCCTGGACACCGACGGCTCCTTAAAGCAGCGCTCCGATCGATCGATGGACGTTCTACGTCCTCAAGGTCGGATGTATAACCTATACACCAGATAATTCGACAGTAGACATATGAGCCCTAGCAGTAAGACTCACCGATAGGGATACGTTGGCTTTACAATCATCGTAGTCGAGGTTATCGCAAGAAGGGTTGACCAAAGAGGTGATCTACAAACTTAGTCCCGTCCCTTGGCTTGTCAGGTGCATCCCGTGATCGCCTAGTGCCAACAACAGACGGTATCAACTGCTGCTCGAGGACAAGGTCATTGTTATGGTGAGTCTATAAGGAGCGAGTAGTCGTGCAAGCATCGAGGAGAAAGCGGGTGTACATTACATTCTCCTGAGACCCTCTGTCGACATAGTTATTCTAAGTGCAACTGTATGCCGCACGAAAAGCCAACTGCAACAACTGCCAAAACCACGCCAGAAGTGAGGTAGTTCATAGTTGCCCCAATTTCAGACGGTTTTACACAGATCAGTGAGACATGTACTGACAGACCAGTCAACGACTGTGTCACGAGTTGTTGGTATAGTCATAGCATTGGAAATGGGCATCTGACTCAACCGTTATTACGAGTAAGCAGGAGTTCCCCATAACGATACAAGCTAGGCCCAATATCATGAGGTGACGCCCACCATCGGGGATGCTCTCAACACCAACCGCAGCGGCGAAGCAGCAGCACACACAAAACAGCATAAGCCCGATTAGGAGTTAACGGTATTTCATGGCCATCCCACGTCAATGACAGCCGGATAGGTTGAGCCGCATAATTGGCGACCAACTCAACCGAATCTCAGCTAGCTACTGAGGTAGGTATCTGTCTGCAGCCTTCCGTCCAGTGCCGTGACAGCACCAAGACAATGATATCTGTGATTCACTGACGGCATCGCGATGATGTGACCCCTTCACCAAGTGAAACCAGCCCAGTCCGCCTCCATCTCAGGCCATCTGCATTATGTGTGCCTGTGCGCCCCGGGTTCCCTTCCGCCACCGCCCTCATGTGAAAGACTGCGTAGAACCCAGATTCGCCAAATCGTCAGAAAGCCAGTTATGTTTACCCCGTTGTCCTGTCGTTCATCCCCAACTCCCGGCCCCAAAAAGAAATGATGCTAGGAGCCTGATGCCTGCCGCCACCGCCGCCGATAAAGAAAGCAACTCCAAATCCAGAGGAAATGACTAGTGATACAGAAGACTCCAAAGGCACGAGGCGGCTGAGGAGTATGTACCGAGAGATAGGTCGTTTACTGAGCAGCCTGCTGGGAGCCCTCGCGCGGGCGGTAACCGCCGCCGCCGCGACCGCCACGGTACCCGCGGCCCCGACCACCCCGACCACGGCCACGACCACGACCATAGCCGCGGTGGCCTCCATCAACGCTGCCTTGACCAAACGTCTCGATGTTCTTGCGCGTTTGCTCTTCGCGCCACTGGCGGCCACCAAGTTTCTCCGCCGGATTCTCTTTGTCCTTCGCTTCCCTCGAGATGTTGTCGAAGAACGACTTGTTTTTATTGTAGGCCGGTTCAACAGGGGCAGGCGCGTCCTCCGCAGCGTCCGATGTGACGACATTACCGACAGGCATCTCAGTGAGCGGCGAGCCCGCGATGGCCTCCTTGACCAAGTCTTGCTTGTTAAACTTCGCGTTCGCCGAAGCAAAGTCAAAGTCCGCGTCCGGAACGTCAACCTTCGCAGGACGAGGACCGCCACGACCACGACCACCCCTATCAGCCCTATCAGCCCTATCACCCCTGTTGCCGTGGCCTGTACGAGCGGCATTGACTCTCATTTCCTGCACCTTCTTGGCCAGGTTGTCCATGCCATTCGCTTGCGCCTGTTGCAAGGTAGCCGAAGTATCGAGCTTCGCCATAGCAACTGCCACGGCCTCCTTAGCAGCCTGTGTGGCACTTTTCAAAGCTGCTGCAGCCGCAGCACCACTGGGTTGCTCAGTAACTGACTTCTGGGCAGCCTGGGTCGCCTGAGCGGCTTTGGCAGTGAGTGCAGCGGGCAGAGGAACTGCCGGCAGGATCTGAGTGGGTCGGTTGCTCTTCGGTCCCGTGGGAATGGCCTTAGCTGGCTCGCCTGCCGCCGTTGCGGGAGACTGGTTAGCCAGAGACGCTGCGGTTGCCTTCACTTCCTCCACACTAGGTTTCGATTCCACCGGCGGCGTAGGCGCACCTGTAGCCACCTGTTGCTTGGGCGGCTGGCCTACGGCCCTCGGCTCAGAAGTGGGCCTGGCTTGCTGAGAAGGGGTCGCGGGTTTCCTGTCGGCAGCAGGCCCAATTGGAGCCGGCTTTTGCTGAGGCCCTTGTGTACCAGGCGTACGATTTGCAGTTTGTCGACCTTGTCCAGGAGCGCCGGGAGCGCCAGGGGCTCCGGGAGGAGCCCCAGGGCCAGGCTGGAACGGATAAGGATTCCACGGACCATGACCCATGGGTGGGAATTCTTGTCCCGGAGGAAACCACCCCGGAGGCGGATATGGCATGCCACCGAATGGCACAGGACCGGGGGCACCGCCACGGCCCCAGCCTCCCATGTGCGGTGGGAAATAGCCAAAGCCTGGCGCACCGGGTGGCGGACCCTGCTGATTCTGTAGACCTGGATGAGCCATAGGTCCCTGCGGTCCCTGGGGTCCTTGGGGTCCTTGGGGCCCAGGAGGAACCGGGGGCCCAGGAGCGGCATTCCTGGGCTGTGGGCGAGCCTTTGACGAGGTCAGTTAGCAATTTCTCCACCCAAAGGCTTCGAAAACTGTGTGGAGCATTGATTCGGCCATAAGATCAGAAGGAAGGCAACGGAAATCTCAACATTGTTTGTTTGCGCATTTCAGACATGCAAAGTTTTACATCCGAAAATAGTTCATCATGATAGGCCGAGCAGAACGACGATCGCGGGAAATGGACAGTACTTACACCAACAATAGCAGGATCGTTGGGCATAGCCGGCGGTTCGGGCTCCTTGACCGCCGCAGGTGCCTCTTCGATCCTCAAGTCCTTGACATCTGTGCCACGGAAAACGATGTACTCATAAAGCTGCTCGGACGGCGGGACAAATTCATCTGGGTCCGATTTCCGATCTTCGGTGCCGAACGACCTCACATTCTCGAGGGACACGGTCGAGTCATCCGAGTTGATGCTATGCAGGATGCCGACATAACTAGACAGAGCAATTGTCAGCTGAGTCTATCAAGAAGAATGCAATTCTCGCTTACCGAATGTCGCTCCGCGATATGAGAGATATTCTGGAACTGTAGCATGAAGAGCCAGTAAGTGAATCTGTCGGTTAACCAGAAGGAGCCATTGGGCGTCGAAACGAACCCGAGAAATTCGGACATTGTTGGGAAAGATGCGTGACGAAATGCAAAGTTGTGCGTCGACTGCGCTACGGTACGAAGAGTTGCGGGGTATCGAAACGAGAAGAATGAAAGAGAAGGGTGTTGGGAAGATGAACTGGAGGAAGGCGAGAAGGTTAAGAAGTGTTCTGGCCACGCGCGCCAGGCACCATCGTCCGAGGTTGTTTTTGTGTTGGCTCCGAGCCCTGAAGTTGGAAAGGGAAGCTCGAGAGGTGAAGGCGGCTCAACCTATGAAAACTCAGCAACCTCAGCCTCCCGATTTTGTATGGAGGCGCAAATTCGCGGGGTTGGCCAGTGCGCTTTTTTGTAGTACATGTACAAAATAACAGGCCAGGTGTCCAGCTTACTGGTTGCACTGCCACAGTGCAGCCACGGCCAGGGCATCTCATCATGGGGTCCCGTCACAAAAACATCTCGACTCCGTACTATTCGCGAGATTCATTGAGAATTCAACAGTTAACAGACAGAACTTATAATTCAACACAATTCTACCTTACATTTCCGATTCTACATTCTCTTTCTCAGTTTATATACTACATGAGTGGCCAAAGGCATGTTCACTCATTCGCAACCCGCCGCGCTGGTTGACCCCATACATGCCCCAAAGACCTCCTCGTGCCAAGCTTAACCTAATGCCCGGCATGTTCACCAACCCCGCTGATGGTTGGAAAGAAAAGGCTGCGTGCTCTGGTTGCTGTCCCTCGAATATTCAGAGTAGCCCGAGTAAGCGCTGCTCAAGCTGTTGTGACTCGGTCGGGTTTGGGCCTGGTGAGCCCAGGGGTTTTGCTGTTGTTGCATAACGTATTTTATAAGCGAGCTGCGCATACAAGCGAGCTGCGCACTGGTAAGAGTTCTGAAGACATTTAGTCGCAATACTAACAGCTAATTCCGGGCTTAATCCCGGTTGTTAGTGCCACCACTAAATGTCTGTGCAGCTCTTACCAGTGTGCAGCTCGCTTGTATGCGCAGCTCGCTTATAAAATACGTTATACGGTGATGGGTATTGCGGCGGGGGTTGGAACGAGGGGAACTGCACCATAAGTTTGGTCGGGGTCGGGCTGAGACTCTGCAGTTCGGTCGGAATTGCACTGATGCGGGTTCTGGAATGCTGATTATTGTGCTGGCCGCCGTACCATCTTCTCTCGTCTGGCTGCGGCAGTCGGTGAGTGCTCGTCCCTGTGTAGCCGGGTTTCCCGCATACTTCTCACCCCAGAACATGCACCCGGAGTCGGCCCACTCGTCCACCACATCGGCAATGGTTTGTATGTGTCCATACGAGGCAGGCAGGTATCCGCTTGGGCGCCAGACCGAGAGGAGCAGCCCGAAGATGGCGGCTGCCAGCGAGAAGCCAGCAAAGTAGAAGATCTGTGGCAGGTGCATGTTGACGCCGAGCTGGAACTGCAGATTGATGGCAAGACCAAACATCCAGTGGACGCCAGCTTTCAGGGCAAATAAGAACATCGTCCGCCAGGATGTGAAGGCAGCAAGGATTGAGTTGTAGTGACCGTTGGTCCCCCTTGGCCCAATCAGGGCGCGGTACACAGTCTCGTCTCGAGCCAAGTTGACAATCAGTTCAGCGCAGTGCAGCGAGAGCGTGACGATGGACTGAAAGGCCATGATAAGGAACACGGCGCCGACGGTTCCGGCCGCCCCATTCGAGGCACTCCAACCAACGTTGAGCACCGAGGTGCCATCCGTGCATTGGCGAGTCGCGCATTTGGAATCCGTGCTGCCAGTGAAGAAGGGGAGCAGCGACCACGATCGTCCAAACACGCCGTCCTTGGGACCCTTCAGAAGGTAGGCATAAACACCGCCTCCCCAGATACCGCTCAGTATCGGGAGGATCCATAGGAGGATCAGGATGCGTCTGACCCGCGAATGTGCCGTGATCATGGGTTTCTGCTTCGGCCTCGGCTTGTAGCACCTCGCGTCTTCCTTGGCCAGATGGACTCCCATCATGCACCGGCCGATGCGTGGCTCCACGCGGTATCCATCGTGCTCCTCAACGGTACATGCTCGGGCAACGTCGAGGGGGTTGGAGCTCCAGGTGGGAATGTTCGTCTTTGCTAGCGCCCAGTTCGTGATGATGGCTTGCAGCAAGAAGCCTCCGCCTAATGTGAAGAGCGCGGTAGCATTGATCTGCACGCCGTTGATGTCCGCGCTGTCATACTCTTTACTCAACAGTCTGGCCAGTTCAGGGTTCAGGCTCAGGAAGATAAGCGACGTCGACCCATATGAGAGGATAATGCCAACAAGGTAGACGGCATTGGGAATCACACCGTTCGGGCGGCTGTGTGTCGGCGCGGTGAGGAGACGCAAGTTCGAGTTGAAGTCAAGTTTCCCTTCTCGTTGTAAGGACCAGCGGAGAGAACAGGTGTGGACGTAGCCCATACTGTCGTTGAGCAGGGTGACTGGACAATCCGTAGTCATGGATGCTAGTCGTCAGGGCAGCAAGAAGGTGCTGTGAGGACATACCGAGAATATTCAAGCCCAGGGGAAGCACCTCCCGCCAATAGTGCGACATGATGATATGTGTGGCGTTGCCATCTCGAACCTCAACATAAACGCATATACCACCGGCCAGGAGCGCGCCAATTCCAATAATCCAGCTCAACACGAGTCCACATAAACACCAAGTTCTCGTCAAGACACTATCATCGTGTTTCTGGGCTGCCATAGCAGACGTGTAGCCCCATCTCTTGTCGGTTGGAAAGCATAAGGTAAGGTAGTTCAACCCAGATCCACTGGGGCACATGCCCAAAAGGAGAGGAGCGAACGGAGAGCCTCGCCATCATTTGAATGCGTCCGCTGCTGGGGAAACATGGGTCATTCAGCCTCACGAGACAGCTCGACGAGAATGGAAAGGCTAGGTAGCTGAAGAGCCTAACCGAACCACGACCCGATGCCGCATCAAACTAGTGTGCGCCATGCGGGAACCATGCGCAAGCCAGCCACATTGTTTGACATGTCCTGTGTCCAGGTGGTATTCTCTCATCTCCCGATAGATCGCTCATCCATCACTTGATAGACTGGGAGTCTGGGACTCGGTTCAAGAGAAGAACCAACGAAGAGCTCAAGCGAAAAAGCAGAAACATATCGGCCCGCACTGGCAGACCACGGCATCTCCTTAGTCGTTCGGCCAGGTTGTCTGGAATCCTTGACTGACCTGCAGTGTTGTCGAGAGACGAGGCCACGAGAGACTGGACTCCGGGAGTGAGCAGGAAGGCAGTCACTGCCAGGGTTGTTCAACCAGTAACAGCTGTGTAAAGTTTCAGTCTTTCGACACACTGTGTATAATATGCACACGCAGAACAACACGGGGTATATTCAGACATCAAACTTATAATGAAGCAATATAAGACTGTTAAAACTCACTATCTACCTTTACATATCTGTCAGTAGATGATGAATAGAAGGAGAGTAAGACTATTAAACATGGAAGGACAAAGCAGATCCAGAAAGCAGTCGTTGGTATGTACAAGATATGCAGTATCGTTAGTAATACGATAGAATCATACATACCATACGTATCTTACCACACACAGCTCGTCACTTACACAATTTTATACCCCCGTACATCAAGAAGTGGGGCGATGTGGCAATTGAGTGAAGGCATGGACAGCCTGATTCATGATTCATCCGTGAGAATCCGTGAGATCGTCTTTGACTGCCCATTTCATGCTCGATTCTTCATATGAAACCTGTATTGAAAAGGATTGCGTAACATTCCACTTAGACACATCACTGGATTTTACTTCCCAGGATAGGTATCCTCGACTACCCGACTGCCATTCCATAACCCCGCCACAACCAAATCCCAACGCACGTCATATCCGAGGACCGACATGGCTAGCAGACAACTACGCAAGCTTAGAAAGCAGCAGGAGCTGCTCAACCTCCAGAATGAAGGTGCAGGCGGGAGCGAGGAATCTGAAGACGAGCCCATTGTTACAAAGCCCCGCGGCAACCCGTTTTCTGGTTTTGCTGCTCTCGGCGATGAGGGCGATGGTGGGGATGACGATGATGAAGAGCAGCAAAGGAGTGAGGTAGAAGACGCTGCACCTCAGCAAGGAGCACAGGAACAGGCAGGCGAACAGGGAGATCCTGCTAAAAAGAGCAAGAAGAAGTCCAAGAAGAAAAAGAAGAAGGGCAAACAGCCGGCTGAAGCATCCACACCGGCTCGGAAGGAGGGCGATTCCGTCGATGAGATCGACCGGGTGCTTGAACAGCTCCGACTGGAAGCTCAAGGGTCGAACGACCCGAGCTCTGGCCCTGCTATGCAGCTGGGAGAAGACGAAACGGCCAACGCCCTCAATGCTCTCCTGAGCATCAATTTCCAGCATCTCAAGGCCATCAACGAGATGCGCAGGCTGTTTGGGAAGGCCATAGATGCGGCCGAAGGGGAGGAGCGCACAGAAGACCGCCGACGTCGGGCGTTGCCTGACAACATGGACCTCGAGACCTTCCTGAGCGCCCGGGCAGCGCATCCTGGCCAAGGACACCAGGCCAACAAGAGCTTATTTGACACTGTCCTGCGCGCAAACCCTTTCATTGACGGCAAGAAGACATGGCCGCGCGGCACAGCGCAAGGGCTCAAGATGATTCGTGTCAGTGACAGTGAGCCGGGACGGAGTGGAACGCGACGGGGCGAGGTCGAGTTCGCCTTCGCGCACGACGACCACTACGACAAACTAGAATGCAGCTTCATGTTGCAGGTCCAAGCATACGATCCCATGCGGCTTGTCCACTTTCTCTACCAGTACCCTTACCACGTCTCAACGCTTATTCAAGTGAGCAAGGTTGCGCGCCAGGACCAAAATTCTGCGCTCGCAGCCGATCTCATCGAGCGCGCCCTCTTCACCTTCGGACGAGTCAGCATTAGCGAATTCCGCAAGAAGCTGGAGAAGGGCTTGGTAAGGATGGACTTCCGAAGGCCCGAAAACCGCCAATTCTTCCTCGCCGGCTACAATTACATCCAGAGGTTGATACTGAAGGGCACTTACCGGACAGCACTGGAATGGGCCAAGCTCTTCCTGAGCCTCGACCAGGCCGACCCTTACGGTATGCGCAACTGGATTCATGTCCTCGCCATCCGGGCCCACGAGGCACAATGGTTCATAGACTTCTGCAACTTGGACTCCCACAAAGACTGGGACTCTGTCAACCTTTTCAGCACCTACGTCAAGCAAAGCCTTCCCCTCTCCTACCTCCAACTCAAGGACACAGAGAAGGCCAAATCCACGCTCATCCAGGGCATGGAAAGGCTGCCGTGGCTCTACTGCACCCTCTTCAGCGCCCTCAACCTCGACGCGCCCAAGTCCATCTGGGGCATCCAGCCCCGCGACGAAGACGAGCGCCTCCACACCGAGCTATACATCCACATGACCAAGGACCTCTGGAACACGCCGCAAACCATCTCTCTCCTCAAAGACGCCGCCACCTCCGCCACCAGAGTCGCCGACCCCGCCACGCTGCCGTCGGGCCCGCGCGTCGACCTCGCCACAGCGCGCTTCATCTACCTGGACAACACGCCGGCGCTCATGTCTCTGGTCCCGCGCGGGATGCTGCACGCGTCACCCAACTACGATTTCGACCCGCTGCCGCCGCCCAAGGAGCAGAACATCTTCTCGAGTGCGACACAGGAGATGCCGTGGAGGGAGGCGCCGCGACCCGCAGGCGCAGAGGCGGCGACGATCAGGAGAGCCAGGACCGAGGCGGAGCGTCAACAGGTGCTGGCCGAGGCCAGGGCGTTCGCTGATCAGTGGCTGAGGGAGCAGGGCGAGCCGGGCATTGATGAGCAGGTTGCTATGGAAGAGGCCTGGGAGGAGGGCGAGGAGGCTGCCCGTCGTGAGGCCTTGCCGAACATAGCACCGGGCGTGCTGAACTATTTGAGGTATATTCTTGGCCGGCCGGGGGAGGAGGACGCCGACGGTGTGGAGGAACCTACCGGCCCGTCTCAGGGTCAGGCGCGTGTTGCGATGCCTGGTGGCTGGGGAGAGGGAGATGGTTGGGAGGAGGATGAGGTCGATGATTACTGGGGCCAGGATGACTTCGAGGGGGTGGATGATTTTGAGGGGGGAGGAGGTGATGACGGTGAGGGCGATGAGCATCGTCCCGAGGCGCCCGGGAGGAGGTAGAGTGGAGCTTGACTGGGCAACGGAACTCTCTTTGAAGCAAGGTCTCTGGGATACGGATAAGGGAGAAAGCATGGGGATCACGGTTCCACTTAGACATGGTATCGTAGACCTTGACTCGTTTGTGAGCACGTGGGAATGCAATTCCCTGGCGCATCACCAGTCTTGGCAGGTGTTTAAGTTTCCCGAAGCGACGGGATGCCTAAGATACTTACAAGATAATAGTAGGTACCTGGTACGTATCTGAACTTGCCGTGCATCCGCCCCTCACCGGAATGTCTCTGTCCGCTGCGAGCAAGTTTGGAGACCCGAAACTTGGAGGTGTACGGAGTAACAGTGAGTCAGATGAGCACGTTTCATGTTCCGGTCGGCCACATTCACTGATCAGCTCCATATCTTGGCAGGTACCGAGAGATACGTTCCCACAGTTTTGTGCCACAGCGAAACAAGCGCAAAGATCGGAGTACGGATTACCGGTCTGCACGTTGGTAATCCCGTTGCTCAAAGCATGGTCCGACTCCCAATCGGCACGAGGCCGGGGCCCCTGATCTGTGCCATGTGGAAGGCTGCCAAGGGCCAAAGGTACCTAGGTACTCATCCCTACTGTGGCACGAGACTCGGGAGTAGCCTGAAGAAGAAATAAGGGACAGTAAGCGTCAGCAAATACATTATTAATGAATGTCCAGTTCTTTCCAAGGCGGAATATTTCAGGCGCTCAACGGCACAATCCACGCGGTTGCGTTGTAGGGACGGATGGCGCCATTGTCGCAATCTGGCAGCTTCCTTCAAGGACCCCTCCCCACCCGCTCCTGGATCGCGGGGCAGCTTCATCCTTAAAACGGAGACCACCCACCTACTTCCTGCACACTCTGGCACCTTGATAAACTCGTACTCTTACATATAAACCGTCTCACGGCTACCGTTCACGCCTACCCCAGAGATTCTTAACTCTAGAGCAGCAAAACCAACTTCCGCAGTTCCCGACAGACAGCTCTGCAGATTTCACCAACGTACACTTCTACCGTCCCCCTTCGACCCGACCGCAAACCAAACTACGTAGACACAATGGCCGACGCCGTCGCTGAGCACAAGTACCAATTCAACGTGAGCATGTCGTGCGGCGGCTGCTCGGGCGCAGTCGAGCGCGTGCTGAAGAAGCTGGAGGGTGAGCACATCTCTTCCTCCCCAACCCGCAACCCCCTCCCCCTTCACCCCCCTTATCCTACGCAGTACCTACCTCGCTAGGTAGGTATATTAGAAAATACAGTATCGAGTGACTGACAAGAGTGGAACACACACCCCAAAAATAGGCGTCAAGAGCTACAACGTCTCGCTCGAAACCCAGACGGCGACCGTCATCGCCGACGAGTCGCTGCCCTACGACAGGGTGCTGCGCACGATCGCCAAGACGGGCAAGAAGGTCAACAGCGGCGAGGCGGATGGCGTTGCGCAGTCTGTTGACGTGCCGGCTGAATGAAGAAAAATAGATGGATCATGTCATGCGCGCGCGGGGGCGGATGGTAGAGCCGGAGTCTCTACGCAAGGGGGGCGGTTGTTAAGGGGGGGTTTTTCTCTTTGGGATTGGGTTGAGTTTTTTGCCTACGGTAGCTAGCGCGGTGTTTCTCTCTCTCTCTTTTTTGCTTTTGCTTTTGCAGCCTAAGGTCCCGTCTAGAAAATCAAGGCATACACCATCTTGATCTGAAAGCTCTCTCTCTCTCACTTGGTGTCGACTGGCTGTGATGAGGGGCGTTAGGTTGAAGATCCTGAGACCAGCAGGAAAGACATCTGGATATAATATTCCCCTCGGGAGACAGTCCAGTACATACGACCATACCTGGTAGAAAGTACGGCATCCCGTCCGCTCTGCCCTCGTCAAGCTACCAAGGGCCGAATCAGTACTCAGGTCGGTGACGACTGGGGAATCCTCGGTGTTGTATGTTTTTGTTGAACTTTTGCTCCATTGCCGGTCTTGGCGGAGGTCCCCTGTCCGAGACAGCAAGTATGGGCGTCGAGCCAGACAACATGTAGATACCTGGACGCCGGGTTTGTGGCAGTGTGTGAGAGAGGCTTGTTCAGGTAGGGATTCTTTTTTTTTTTTTTTTTTTTTTTTGGCGCCCTAAGCTATGAGAGGTAAATACCCCCCTACCTCCCTCCCTCTTTACTTCAGATACCTCCTCAACCCCCTCAACCGCTCCTTGGCATCCTCGAGGACCTCATCGGGCTTACAGACCGCAAACCGCAGATAGTCCTCGGCAATATGGCAGTTCGCATCGGTGTAGAACTCGCTGGGCGGGATGGCCGCGACGCCCAACTCCTGGATCAGGAACCAGGCGAGCTTGAAGTCGCGCGGGCGCTCCGCCACGTGGGGCGGGAAGTGGTAGCCCTCCGGGATGGCGACCTTCGCCAGGTTCACCATCACAAAGTACCCGCCCTCGGGCTCCGAGTAGGGGATGCCCAGCTCGTCCCAGACGGCGTTGAAGAGGCTCATCTTGTGCTTCATGTCGGTGATGCACTGCGTCCAGAAGTTGTGGGAGTCGGCTTGCTCGAAGCCTGCGTCACAGTTAGATTTAGATTTGGGGGAAAGGAAAGAAGGAAAGACAGAAAGAAAGAAAGAAGGTTAAGGTGGGAAAGGGACGTACCGATTGCGCATGCTTCTTGCAGCGGCGAGACGGAGGAGTAGCAGATGCGGGTGTGGGCGGCCGAGACGTACTGGATCAGATGGGGAGGCCCCATTAACCAGCCTGTTGACCGACCGTTGGTCAACTTTACTATCACGGGCCGGGAATGGACAGAGTAAAGTTAGGGGGAAAACATACCGACCCGCCACCCCGTGGCGTAAAAGTTCTTGCCGGCCGAGCCCACTGTCAGAGTGATCTGCTCCACCTCCGGGGACAGCGTCGCGATGCGCGTGAAGGGCACGTAGTAGAGGCGGTCGTAGACCTCGTCGGAGAGGATGATGATCTTGTGCTTGAGGCAGAGGTCGGCGATCTTCTGGAGCTCGTCGCGGGAGTAGACCTTGCCGACGGGATTGTCTTTTCGCTCCGGTTAGTGTCAAGGGGACAGCAACTTAGTGACAAGACCAGGGGGAAGGGGGGAAGCATACGCGGCGTGTTGAGGACTAGCATCTTGGTTCGGGGGGTGATGGCCCGCTCGAGCTCGTCAAAGTCAATGGTCCATTCCCCCGCCGAAAGCGTCTTGACGGCGCCTTCTTTGGGCGGGTGCATGGGCACGTAGACGATCTTGCCGCCGGGCATCTCGATGTTGCTGATGTATCTGAGAGGAGTTAGTACTAGTAGCTAAGGTACCTTAGTTGCCGGGTGCAGAGGGTGTTCCTACTGGTCGAAAAAGGGTTCAAAGATAATGACCTCGTCCCCCGGCTCGATGAAGGCCATGAAGGCGCTCAGCATGCCTTGATACCAGTCAGCAACAGGCGCAGCGCCCGGCCAAAGTCGGGATGGTGCAAACCCTCGTTCGCCCCCGTGGTGATGGTGATCTCGGTCTCCGGGTCCAGTTTCCGTCCCCAATGCGGTGCATAGGCCTCGGAGATGGCCTTCTTCAGCCTTGGACGCCCCTTGGTGGGAGAGTACTGGTTGCACTCGACCCGGTTGAGCGCGTCCTTGGCGGCATTCAGGATGAATTCCGGCGGGTTGTAGCCGAAGAAGCCCTGGCCCATGTTGATGATGGGCTGCTTGGGCGAGGCAGCTGCGGCCTCGTTGATGATGGTCCTGGGGTGCGCGTTAGTGGGGGGGCTGGAAGGACAATATCTAGAAAAATGAAAGCAAGAAAGACGGAATGAAAGCTCACCAGACATCCTGCCGTCGCCCGGACACCCGGGCAGCGGGCTTCAGCTTCTCACTCATGGCGGGTCGGGATTGGTGTAGTCGTCTCAATGGGAACTTAAGCGCAGTAGTCAAGGGCCGCCGGAGGAGAGGCGCGAGTGCCGGGAATGACGAGTTCATGAGATTGTCGCTCGAGAGTGATTTTGTCAAAACCGAGAGCCAATCACCACTCTACATACTGGACACAGTCATATCGCGCTATTCAGATGCGGATCCCTCCTCGGGCTTCGCTTTGCAGCGGCCACTACCGGGTGTCACCGTCCGAATACCTACCAGGCAATCCGTACACAATCAGCGCCTTTCCGTCCTCGGCACGCGACTTGTCCCGGTACCTTGAGGATTGATGTGCGATGGCGCAATCCGGCCGGCGGGGGACCGGAGGGGTCCGTGCTTGGCACAGGGCAGGGGTTGCGCTTATATGCATCAATCCGAGTCCTGCTGCGATAGTTAGATATCAAGCGACTACATGCGGTTGATGTCGTCGCTCCTAGGGACTCTTAGAAGCGGTTTTCGGTTTCAGAATGGGATGTAGCTGGAGTCATAGGAGGGAAGGCATGTTATGCGCATGTTGGAAAGTCTGCAGCAGATTTGCCGACGGTTGAATGGACGCCAACCGTTCAACGCCGGCTCGACTCCTGACGGATGCATTGTTTTGATTCGAATCAAGGTGTATGTTCTACTTATTTGGTCTGATTAATTGTATCTGGTAGAGTCCCGTCAAGGCTACGACTCTACTGTGCTTGGAGCTCACCTTGCTATCGTCTATCAGAGCCCCTTCTTACACTTCACAAGGGCCACAACTGATCCAAGTTGACTGCCATTAGATTGAAATTAATGAAGTCTCTTTGACCATTGTTCACCTTGTTGCTGGCGGGTAAATAGACACGATTAACTGTCAAATTCTCCCAGTTCTCATATCGTTACAGTTATGTAGCCACTACTGTTCAGCGCACACATATATGGTTGATTCGTCCCACAGATGTTTGATTCTTCGGGTGAACTGCACAACTATGGCCTTCATTTGCCATGAATATCTCAACAAACTCTTATTCCAGATCCACCAGGCATTCTCTGCAAAGAGCTTCTTGAGCATCTCACCACTCTTATTGGCTTGTGCAAGCATGTAAACAAGGCGATAAGGGGCTGCCCTATCTGCCCCTGAACCAACCAAAACACCGCCTGTGACTATTCACAAAGCTAGAAGGCACTGCAAAATCCGAGCAAACACGCTTGGGCCATTGTAAGTGTAGTCCTTCCATCGCGTAGCACGCGCGTCAAGAGACGCGACTAATCTTCCATCCCAACCGTGACGCGACCGACTTTCTCCTGCCTTCCATTTGTGCCAGACCCATTGTGCTCTTTTTTCTCCTCCTCATCTCTCCGCCGACAATAACATCACCACCAAGTTTTCTCGCCTCGCTCAAGCTTTTTTATTTCTTTTTTTAAAAGAAAAATAAACCAAGACGACACCAGCCGGCTCCCCCCCTCCCCCTCCCCCCTCCGCAAGACGACGATGTCTGGCCGCCCCAGGCCTCCCATCCCGCTGCAGATGGCGGGCGGCCGCCCGCAGCCGGGCCATCTCCGCCGCCGCCACCACACGCGCCGTCCGCTGGCCGCCTCGCCGCCTTCCGCCTCGCCCGCCCTCGGCGCCGGTGCCGCGGGGGGCGCCGTTTTCGAATTTACCTTCGAGAGCGGCGTCACCCGCGGCACCATCGCCCCTCCCGGCTCCCCGGCCGGCTCTGTCCGCGCCGGGGTGGACAACCACCACCACCGGGAGGCGGAGGAGGAGGCATCTGATGCTGTCCCTGACCCGCCCCGCGCCCTTCCCGTTCCCCCTCCCGGTCGCCGGCCCCCGGCCCTGGGGCCACGTGCGGGTGGCCTTTATGGCCAGGCGTACGTGGTTGGGGCGGGGCGGCTGCACTACGAAGCCGTAAGTTCTACCCATTATTCTAGGGCTTTTTTTTCTTGGACCCTGTATGTTGCCCGGATGTGCACCGGTTGAGGCCACTTGGTTGCCATCACTCCTTGCAGCAGCAGCCCTGAGAGACTGCAGCGGCAGCTCGATGAGAAAAAACATCACGGCCGTAGCAGAAGGCCTTTGAAGCGCAGCTAGGTAGCTGCATGTCCTGCCGTTTCGTGCGCCTTGTCACTAGGGTGGGCCCTTTTATGTGCCCCAGAGCGCCCTCAAGGATCCAGACACATCGTTGTCCTTTGGTTGTGTGGTTGGCAATGGAAAATCCAGCCAAAGCGGCGCTACGCTCGGAAGCGTGTGTCCTTTGGAGCTGCTTGTGCGTACACACGATGCAGAGTGCGCGCTGGACCACTTCATTTCGTCCGATCCTCTGAGGTCGGACTTGCTTGTCGCCATACTCCGTGGCGGGGACAGGGGACATGAACATCGAATGCCATGACGGTCACAGTCCCCCCCTCCGCGGTACTACTGTTGTTGGAGGACTGTTCCCTGCGTTTCGGGCTGTGGAGCATGCGGATTTTTCAAGTGTATTTGGGGTGTTGAAATCTGCCTTGGGCTGCTTGGAAGGGGCATAGTATCTGTTGGCCAGATGGTGTCATGACGTTGCACGGGGGGACCATCTGAGCGCTGTTGCCACCAATACCTGTCATACTCAGACTGCCTTCAAGTGGAGTGGAGAGGCGCCGTGTGTGTTGCGCCTCCCGGGACTTGCTTCCTAACATGGACTTCTTGAAAGCGGGAGAAGAGCGAGGCACAAAGAGAGGTTACGAAGCTAATAACTGTGTCTGCTAGACCTCCCGCATGGACGACTGGATCGGCCGGTTGCAGGTGCTGTCGCTCGAGCGGCAGCAAGAGGAGGAAGAGGAAGAGCAGCAGCAGCAGGAAGTGGTTGGGGGCTCGGCTGTGGCTGCCGCTGTTATCAGCCCCGCGAGTGAGAACGCTGCCAGAAATGGCAGCAGCGAGAATGCCCGGGCCGGCGACAAGAGAAGTTCAGTAAGCTCACACCCTCTGTTATTCCTTTCCATTCATCCCTTATGTCAAAACATGTCAAAACACCGCTGCTTTGAATCCCCTGGCTATGGCTTGCCCTCCGGCCTCACCATCTCACCCTCTCACCGCTATTTGCGATTTTGGAGCAGCTCAACCAGCTAACCAACCCTGCCTCTTCCTCTAGCCGTCCGATGGCCACAACAACGCGGTTGCCGACACTGACCAGCCCGCGCCCAAGCGTAGCCGCGTGGGCAGCATATTCAGAAGGAACAGGGCCAAGGCCACGACCGCCTCGTCCCCGGTTGCCGCAACCGGCAACATGTCCGCCCCGCCCGGCGGTCCGAGTGCCATCTCCCGCGTCTTCTTCCGCGCGGGCTCGGCCGTTGCAGCCACTATCGCCTCCGGCACCGGTGCGTCTGCTGTCCCGCGCACCATCAAGGTGTGCCTGGTTGGAGATGTTGGCGCGGGCAAGACTGCTTTTTTCAAGTGAGTGATTGTGACTGGACCACACGGAACATGAAATTATGAATGTGGCGCTAACGAGTGACTCTTTTGGCCAGCCGTCTTGTCGGCAACCCTTTCACTCCGGTATGTTTGCTTTCACTTAATCTCCTGGTTCCGACATCAGACCAAAACTAACACCCTCATAGACCTCCCCCTCCCTGGCTCCGGACTTCAAGACCTTCACCGTTCACACCGAGGACGACACCCTAGTGCACGTCGAGCTCTGGGATTTCCCGGGAATCGTGGCTGGCGAGCCCCGGGGTCCTCTCCTCTCCACCTTTTTCCATGCGGCAATTATTTGTTTCAGCCTGGAAGATAAGGGGAACCTTGCCGCCCTCTCCCAGGTCTGGAAGCCCAAGCTCGACGGGTCGCTGCATGACGGCGCTCTTTTCGTGCTCGGTCTCAAGCGCGACTTACGCCCGTCCTTCCCGACCCTCGACCTCCCCTTTCTGCCCGCGAAAGAGCCAGTGAGTCAGGCACTCGCCGTGGAGTCCGCCCGGGCGATCCACGCCAACGGCTACGGCGAATGCTCCGCCATGGCCGACGACAACGTCCAGGAGGCTTTCAACGGCATGATCAACGAGGTGATCAACGGTCTCACCGCACACGAGAGGGATATGAGCAGGAGCCGAAGGCGTGGACGCGCAAGGGCGGCGTTTGAGCGCTGTCTTGCCAACTGCGCGCTGAGTCGGTTCGTGCGGGGAGAGCGGAACTGAATACTACGGTACCAGTGCCGCCCGGCTATGTCACGCAGCCTTTGAGAAAAGAAACAGACTAGGGCGCCTAACTTATCACCATCCTTCATCCCGGGGTGATCAAAGACCGGGGAATATCACGATTCAAGACCAACCGTCGCGGAAAAAAAAGGCTGAAAATATCAACTGTGCTCACCCTCTAAGGGATCGCGGCGTTCTACGAGATTATGATCCTCCATTTAAGAGGCTGAGATTGCAAAGCTGAAGAAGGCTATACCTTACCGCCGACTTTCTCAAGATTCAAAGGGTCAAGAATGACGACGAGATAAACTACAAACCCGCCCCCCCCCATCCCCCCAGTCTTCGACTCTCGATATGCTAGTTTCTCGAATTTCCCATCTCCTTTAGGTCCACTGGTTCTTCCTGCATGCGACAACTTCGGCAAGCTATCTCCTCGCACGACATCAATCACGAAGTGAATGTCACAGATTGAGGGCGTCACGTACCGAATCCCCCGGGCTTTCTCTCACACGTGGCAAAAAGATCACAACGTTCAGCCATAAGATCTCAATCATTCATGAGGACGATGCTTAACCTTCAGGAAGTCGCGATGTCATGAGCTTATAAGAACTGCTCATCCAGCAAGGAGGATTGGGGGTAACCACAACAGTAACCTGCCATGTCGGATTTCTCGCAAATTCCTTTTCATTTTGCAAAGCACTGCGCCCCTCTATCCCGCGGCGCAGAGATAATGATTGCAGTCTGATTTCAATCTCAGGCCACCTCGCTCTACCGGTCCCCTCTCCTCCTTGGACAAGAGTAGATGCATTCACACTGGTTTCACTGATATTGGACGATGGGAGAGTACCAGGTATGCATGGAAGGGCATTCAATGATACCCCGGGGGTCGCATTGCATTGTCATGGAGGCGTTGGGACTTTTGCTTGCTTCAGGACTCGTGTGAGGTGTTATTAGGTCCAAGGGTTTCATCATGCAAGGAAGGCTCTCGTGCACATTTCGTTTGCTTCTAGTTAATGATGTTTTTACGGAATTGAGAATTGTCCTTGATTGCTGGACGTCACCAGTGGCCAGATTCCGTTAAGGAGCCTACGTGATCGACGGTGGAAGGACGTCCTGGTGTCTAGTACTCTAGACTCTATCTAAACCTTCCTTTGCTAAGCATATAGCGAAACCGCAGAAGACATCCAAGTCTACGTGATGGTCAGGGCCGAGGTATTTAGAGACTGATGACGAGCCAAGATACCTTACATACCATACCTTACCTTCGATGTCTGCAACTCGGGATCTATACGGGCAACTACCACAGTAGTCTTTACGTATCCCTTCAAGCCCATTTCCCCAAGAAACTCATCAACGCCATCCCCGCCACGAGGCCAAATCCAGCCAGCCAGGTCACAACCGCGCCCGCCTCGACGAGCTCGCCATCATACATCCAGTCGCGCGCCCACATTTCCACTGTGTTAAAAGAGTAAGTAGGTACTCACGGTCAGTCCCCATATCTCGTAGGGAAAATTCACACAAAGGTGTGGTTGGTGACAAAAACAAAAATGTAAAATGACATCACCTATTCCCACCCAGACGAGGATGCCGGCGGACAGCGCATCCAACGTGCCCAGCGCGATCAGCGTCGACGGGTCATTCCTGTTGAACCGGTGCAGCACGCCGATGCCGATGGCCATGCCGACAGGCGTGACCAGCGCGAAGGCCAGCGCCATCATCATCTTGCCGCCGGTTGACAGCGACTTGCCCGCATATTCAAGTGGGAGTGGCAGTCTCGTCATTCTCCGTAACACGCGCTGTCGTCGTCGTCGGTTCGTCTGTTGCTTTCAGAATACTGAATCTTCCCGAACTGTCACTGTTGATGTTGATTTCGGATGACGGAGTGAGATGATGATGATGCCCGTGGCGCGGCATCGCTCGACCGATGGAGGCAATTCGGCTCCCCAGGGCGATGCCTTCGAACATCTGGTAGAAAATGATCACGATGGAGAGCGTGATGAAGAACGAGTCCCCCGCCACTACCAGGGCGAGGCCAATCACTGCAAATCCTTTTGTGTGAGTTCACTTCGCAGGGGCCGGAAAGCAGAGAGTACTTACGCAGGGAGTGGAAGATGATGCCTGCCTCGAGCACCATGACGGTCACGAAATCGCCGTTGTAGCTCGCGCCGGGCCCCCATGTGGTCGCTGCCATCTTCGACAGGCGATGGCTTACGTAGTCGACGGCGAAGGAGAGGAAGATGCCGGCCATCACAATCGCTGCCGTGATGCCCTCGTACTCGAGTGAGAGGCATTCGTTCGTGAACATGAGGTATGAGTGCGTGAACAACTAGTTGGCGGGTGAGGGTTTATTAGCACTCGGAAACAGGGGCCAACATTGGATATCATGTTGTCAGATTGACGGGAGACGACACTAACATGCACAAACGCGGTGGATATGATTACGCCGGTACCAAACTGCTTCAGGGCGACGAAGATGATGCCGAAACGGGCCGGCAGTAAGGGATCCAGAACAATGGGGATGACGACACCTGTTATCGACCTGTAAGTCTCATCTGCTGAAGCTGCTGTGCTGGGTTTTTTGACGCACTTACCGACGAAGCTCGTAACCAATATGGCAAATAGTAGGCCAATTCTCACGGGGATATTGTAGTCTCGGTCCGTGCGAGAACACGAGCGCTTGGATTCATGTGAGTCGGATCCGCCTCCAACGCAGTGTCTGTAGCAGGATTAGGTTATTAATGTTCGGGTTCGCATAGCTGCACATATGCCGGGCTATATCGTTAACGACTTACTCGACACCAGCATGGAAGTGGCAATGACGTTCATCGGGCTTGTCCTCCGTAGTCGGGGCGGGCGTGGCTGAGCCCTCTGTCCCGTCGACAAGAACTTCGACATCTTCCCCGTCTGGGCCAATGCAGTATCTTTTAAACAAATAATACCGTCAGCTCCTGTCCTTTTGCTATTTCAATCGCTTAACAGGACAAGAACCAACATATGTGTCCGCGCCGTGGTGATGACAGCCCGTGTAATCTGGAGCCGGGCTTGATGTGCCGGTCACGACGACTTGATACTCCGCCGTGCCAGCCACGCAGTACCCGGACGACGGACGCGGCCAGCTCCACGCTGAAGAGAACCCTTTTAACGTTCCGAGCTGGGGAACACCCACACCGAGGAACCATGCATGTGGCATTCCGAGACCGCGGTAAAACTTGGGTCCGCCGCGGCTGTGACCGGTACCTTCGTCGGGCTCGCCTGACGCACGACCTGGTACTGGGACCTGTGGACGCCAAAGGCCGACACCGAGAGCATCATGGAGAGGCAGAAGACTGCCGGGCAGAGGTAGTTGCGTCTGCTGAAGAGCCCCATGGCGGTGGACAGTTCGGATGGTGAAATTTAACAAATTGGTGGACAAGCCGCTGGCTGATTACCTAGACGGATGGTTTTCGAAGGGGACGGCCAGGAATATCAAAACCAACCATATATTCTTTTCCTTCCCGGATTGTCTTAATTTTAAAGGATCATCTGCCAGCAATTCTAAACCTACGAGTCTACGACCATCAAGGTTTTCCATCAAGGTTCAAAGGCAGGTCCCTCCATTGCTGTACACGGTGTAGGGAGAGCCGAAAAGGTTCACCTATCCTGGCCCACGCAACGTTTTGGGGCGAGCATTTTCTATGTAGGTATGTACGAGGTATGATTTGGGTGGGGTGTACGCTGCGCCAGCTCTGAGTCGCTGGAGGCAATTGAAAGTTCCCCAAAACCAAAGACTCAAGGTAGGGAGGTAAGGTAAGGTACCTTAAGGTAGGAGGTGATTTGTCGAAGAAACATCAAAGCTTGACCGAGCTCGATGCCTTCCATTTACATTGCCAAAAGAAAATGCCGTCTGTTGGTTGGCCATGGCCATCAAGGTACTGGGAGCCTCCCTGCACTACTAGTAGGTAAGGTACTACCTTCCTCCTTTGAGGGAGCATTGTCTCGGCGCTGCGAAAGGCCAAGCACTTGTGCCGCAAAATAAGCACTCGGGAGTCCGAGATCACACCTCGTAACAAAGTGCAGTGCTATTTGACAATAACCGCCCCTGCTCAGAGTTAGCCCAAGGTAATAACTCGAAGTACCTAAGGTATGTACGCAAGGTATGTACCTCCATTATCTTACCTTTTCCCGTGAGCTACAGTCTTGGTGAAGAACATACTTTGGGTAAGTACTCATGAATCATGATACATCAGTCAGGAACAACAGCATTTTATTCTTGATTTTTTCCACCATCGGGGGCATCATGCATGCACGTGAGCAGCCATGGGAGAGCGGCAGAAAGTAAGAGGGTGAGACACCGTGTCAAATAACGGTTCCTGTTGCAAAGACATTCCTAGAGTCCGAGACACTGTCACCGCGTTGCCTGGGGGGACGCATTCATTCACAGAAAGTGTCTGTCTCTCAGTCCGGTGAAGGCAAAAAGACTCATGTTTGATTTATGTGCCAAACGAGAGGGGCCAGTGGAAAGCAGACGTGTTACAAAAAAAGAGTGTGCCATGAAATCCTGTCTTCCAGCGGCATTCCCTTCGTTGTTTCTGTTCTTCCCATTCTTCACAACAGCAGCAGTCCCAACCAAGCCCTTGAGAGTATTCCTGACCCCCCCTCGGGGCAGTGAGAATTCCTCCGAGTACTGGCAGCCTATTAGCTTCTTAGTCAGTCACAGAATCAACCCCCTCAGTACCTTCCCAGACAAAAGAGAGGAAAAAAACGTACTCTAGGGAATATTCCTTTAGCGAGAAGCGTCATCGCAGTGCCACTTGGTGGTTCCGTCGGGGCACTTCCCACCGTGGGAGTGGCAGACGTTGTTGTTGGGGCGGACGGTGCCGCAGCAGAACTCGCAGGCGCCCACGGGGGCGCCGCAGTTGGACGGCGGCACGCAGACTCGGGTGATGAGGTATTCGCCTTCCTTGACCAGGTTGGAGGTCATGGGGCTGGCCAGGGCGTGGAGGGCGAACGGCAGGGCGATGAGGAACTTGAGGGAGACCATGTTGGGCGGTCGGGTGTTTGTGTGTGTTGCGCGATTTGGAAAAGATAGGTAGGTGGAAGATGTTCGAGAGAGAGGATCTGGCAGATCTCTGTCTGTGTGGCTTTGGTTGCAAACTGAGGTAGGTGGTTTGTTTACAGAGGAGATGGGTTGATGCCGTTTGGGATTTTCTCGAGGCTTTATACTTCTTGCTTCCAGCGGCTTATTACCATGACATTCATGATGACACTCACTCATTACCAAACGAATATCTGCAGTAGCAGTTTCCTTCGTGACCACCGATCTGAGGTGGTGGTGAACTGCATGTGAGGTCTGCTCCTTCCGCAACCTAGAACGAGCCATTAAGGTTCGGACGGTCGACGATGAGAACTGAGTGGTTAGGCAGACGTCCATGATTCCCATCACAGTGCCATCGCGTAGAGCTGAAGACGCCCTTTCCCACGCGCCAAGACGGCGAGTTAGACGGTTTTTGAAGACATCTGTGAGCCCACCATCTCACATGCATTTTGGCAACGGGTCTCGATCCCGTGATACCTGCCACAAAACTTGGAAGGCCGGAGTAGCACCACCCTCAGCAGACGTGCTGACCGAGTACCAGGAACTATCCACAAGCTCGCATCTACAATGGCCTTCTGTAAGTCGTGCCAATCAGCATCGGAGCCAAGGCATGCAGTGGCAGCCCGAATCGTTAGTACGGGCCGTAGAGGTTCTCAGGCACAAGGACCGGAAACGCAGAGCTACCAAAAGGACAGAGCTCACCGTCATGTGTGAATCATGATTGGCTCCGAGACAGCGAGGAAGCTGAAGGAACGATGGTACGAGGGCTGGAGGCGACCGGAACAGGAAGGCGGGAGAGCAGACTCGGCCATCAAGGTGCACCGTTACAGTGAATACAGTCAACAAACAGCTTGGCCACGCCGATCAATAAGAGGTCGGCCGCATGTGAGAGAAAATCATACATGTGCGACTCGCCGAGCTTATTAGCAGTGCAGCTGGATCTCATCAACCTTCTCCAAGCACACGAACAGTTGACAAGACCAGCCCCAGACTCCAAGCTGCAGGGAGGGACACTAGCCTACCTAACAATAAGCCAAGATGCGTGCCACGTTGCTCACGGGGAGCGCAGGCTTGCTGTTCAAGCTCGCCGCGGCCCAATGCAAGACTGTCACCACGACGCAGGTGGGCATCGCCACGACGGTGTCGGACCTGTCCGCCTTCCAGAGCTCCATGGACGCCAAGTACTCCAAAACGGGCGGCGACATCACCAACACCGTCTTCATCCACACGTCGGTCTACACCTACCCGGGAGGCAGCTTCACGGGCTACGGCATCTACGAGTCCGACGCCCTGGCATCCGAGGGCTTCAACTTTGTGACCCAGACCGTCACGGAAACGTCGTGCGAGCCCACCGAGCCGCCCGAGACCGACGAGCCGTCCGAGACGCTGCCGCCCTCGCCGACGGGGTCCATCTGCAGCCCGCACGGAGATCACTGTAAGTGGAAAGAGAAATTTCCCATTTCATCCAACCCACCCCACAGACCTCCATTAGAGTCTAGGCTAAATAACCTGGTTTCTCCGCCGCAAAAGGGCATTGCCACCCCTCGCCCACCGGCACCGGCACCACCGCTGCTGAAACCTCCTCCTCCTCCTCATCCGACCCGGATGACGACGACGACGACGAACCCCCGGCCTCCACCGCGACCTGCACGCCGCACCACGATCACTGGCACTGCCCGCCCGGCGTGCCGTCCCCAACCTACGCGCCCTCGGCCGCGCCGTCTCCTTCGACCCTGACGCGGGCACCGGCCACCACCACCGCGGCAACAAACGGGTCCTCGTCGCCATCATCCACGTCGGGTGGTGATGCCCCGGCGGACTCGGCTGTGTCGACGGCTGGCGCCGCGAGCAAGCCCCACGCCCAGTCTGTTGCGCTGTCGGTGGTCCTCGGTTTGGGGATTTTCGTCTATGGTTTGCTGTGAAAAGAACTTTTTGTCTTGAGTTTCATGTCTGAGTGGGAGGATGAGTTTTGAGATCGAGAGATGCTGTATCTATTTGAAAGCTTTTTGACTGTGGAGGACTCCTGCCGGTGGCTTTTGGGGGAATTAATGTCATTTAAAAAAGAACTGCTGTTGAGGCTCACGGGGATGTACAGTACCCGGACATGGGCGCATACCTTAATTAGGTGCCTACAGTTGCTTGCTGGAGATGTACTTGTACAGAAGCACCAAGATGTATTGTACTGTTCTCGGCTCTCCGAAGCACAGCAATGAAAGCTCCATCTCTTGCTGCATAGGACCATTGTGGATCGTCATCGACGACAACCTCCGTTATGGCAAGGTGCGCAGTGTGTTGTAGCCCTCCAGGTTTGTTATATTGACTAATCATTCTTATCATCCGCAACGCATCATCTGCAACGCAAGAGGAGTAAGATTGAGGCGCCGCGAGTTGTATGGATTGCTCTCCTGAGCTAGACTTGGCCTCTTTCTGCTTCCTATTGAAAAAGGGAGGCCCAATCTTAGGCACACTTAGAAGTTAGGCGGCTACGATGGTCCACTGCTAGTAGGAATGGTCTTTTGAGTTGGCAGCCACCTGTGTTTGTGATTAGCCCCCAGTCCTCCAGCGGACAAGCTGGCAGGTACTACTAGGTTTACGCAACCGCTGGTAGGACCCGAGAGTTGGATAATGGGCTCATAGTGAGCCGGGACTTTCAGTTCGCAGTCATGACGGGCCTAGATCTACTAGGGTATCTTGGACCTCTTCCAGCCTTTCAAATTTCTAGCTGTCTTATTTCTCCGATACAAATTGAATTGATTGATGCCCGCTCCAAAAAGCGAATAACAATGTTGATAGGTCATATATCAGTAGTAGAAGACTTTGGAAAGTTTGGGGTGTATGACGAATCTCTACCTTTGTGAATGGTTCATGGCCTCATATGGTAACTCACCACTAAATACCTTAGCCACGGACTCGTTCTGCCTTAAATGCATACCTAACTGAACTCGCGTTTGTTTGGCCTCTTGCGTATCTCAACCTGGTGTCCAATGCCCTGATCTGGCGTCCTCTTTCATCTCGGAATATCTCGCAGATTCATTGGGACCTGCCTATTCCACTACTACCCCGTATATTGCATCAACGGAAGAATGACGTTCGTGCTGAACCTCGAAAGATGCATGCCAAGACCGCTAAGCACTGACAGTCTGACACAAGCGGGAAAAGAATTGGAGAAGCTCCACGTCAGGGTCTTGGCGCAACTCCCATCTGATCTGTCGTCGATCATGCAACCTAGTGTATGTAAACTCCCGGCTATCATCCTAACTTCCGGTTGAGCTGCTCTTGGTCGGTGAGCTCATCTGAGTCGCAAACCAACCCTCCTCTGAGCCGGACCCGTGGTATAGGGCAATACAGTCTTGCAAATGTGCGCATTTTGCTGCCATAGCTGACCCCTACTGGCCATAAATCAGGCGGTGTGTTTTCAGAGATACTCGCCGTCATGAGCAGCTCTCGTAGGAACAATGGCGGTAGTGGCAGCGGCAGCGGCAGCGGCAGCGGGAACTCCTCGTCCGCTTCCTCTCCGACCAGGCCTCCGCGAGAAAGGCATCATCTCATACCGCGGAGCCCATCTGCGCTGCTCTTCCCGCCCGCGCCGCCTCCGCTCCATATCACCATCCGCTTCAGCACCGCGCTCCCCGACGTAGAACTCGATATCCCCTCGCCACAGCAGACCACCGTCGTTGCGCTCAAACACCTCATACGCGGCCGCCTGGCAGCCGACGCCGGATCTCAAGCGGATAGCGATGAGCCCTCCACACAGCCCACTCCCGCAGCGCAGGCCTCGCGCGCCCGCCTGCGCTTCATCCACAACGGCCGCATCCTCCCGGACGCCTCGGCCCTCAGCGCAGTCCTTAAAGCGCCCCCACCCCCGCCGCTTTCCCACCAACACAACGACCCGAAGGGCAAATCACCCGCCGGCGTGCGCCCTCGCCAGCAACAGCGCGTCTTCATAAACTGCAGCATAGGCGACGAGCTCTCCACCACCGACCTCGAAGCCGAAGCCACCGCAGCCTCCGCTCCTCCTCCTCTAACGACCTTAACCCCCACCTCCCCGTTACCCTCCCCTTCCCCATCGCGCTCCCCTGGCCCCCGTCCTCCTCATCCTCTAATAACCACCAACCTCCCACCCCCAGAAACCAACACCACCACCACCAACAACAACAACAATGACGACGACGCCCTGGCCCAGGGAGGAGGAGCAGCAGCAGCCCAGACGGAAAGGCAACCGCTAGGCTTCGACCGACTCCAGCAAGCCGGCCTGACAGCGGCCGAGATCTCGACGCTGCGCTCCCACTTCCGTGCCATCCACACGGCCCGCTTCACGCCCGACACCATGCCCAGCCCGGACACGCTGCGCGCTATGGAGGACGCCTGGCTCGACAACAGCGGCCAGTCGTCGCATGTGCCTCTTACTACTACTATTCCTACTACTGCACATGGCTACAACAACGCGAGCACCGGCGATGTCGATGTCGTCGTCGGGGACGGTGATCAGGGCGGCGGCGGCGGGGAGGGGGCGATGGACGACGCGTTCGGGCTGAGTGCCGTCGCGGGCCCGTTGATCCAGGGGATGCTGATCGGGTTTGTGTTCCCCCTCGGGGTGATTGGGTGGTTGGGCAAGGAAGACGGCGTGTGGTCGCGGAGGATGCAGGTGTTTGTGGTGTTCGGGGTGTTGTTGAGCGTTTCGGTCGGGTTGGTTAGGGGGTTGACCGGGGAAGGGTGAAATTTACCTTGGGTCGATCTTTAAGAAAGGGGCTAAAAAAGGAAGGGGTTTAGTGTAAACAGAGGATGTTGGATGGTCGACGGGATTATGATCGGGGGAGTTTTGCGAGCGAAGAGGAGGTCAACCCTGGATGCTGGGCAATCCTCCCCTTTGTGTACGAGGAGAGACGGAAAGAGGCATTGGGAAGTTGTTAGACAGGTGTACGGCGTTTGTGTTATGCAGATACCCCAGACCGCAAGAGAACTAATACTGTAATGCGAAGAAGTCGTCAGAGATGGGCGATGGCGCCCGGCTAGGCGGGTGGCCGTGTTTTGCCGAGGTCCGTTACGGGATTGGACTCCAGGTAAGGAATTCATCAAGGAAGACCTTGAAAAGAGGGCCTTCCCCGGGTTCCTTAGCTTGGTGTTCAACCCCAACGTCCGTCCACGGATATCTGACGCCGTACAGCTAGACTACAACTACGGCCTGATCTCTATCTATGCGTACGTGAAACGAATTACCTAGTATAGTCATGGTATTCTTTTCCCAACCACCCAAAAAAACGCCAGACGGTAAAAGCACCATGCAATGCAACCCAACACAACAAACGACCCATACAAGCAGTTCGTTCCCCTCGCCCTGTCTCAGATCAGAGATATAGACTGTTGAACGAGACAATGTCGCGGCGGATCTTGGCCAGGCTCAGCTCGAACTTGTCCTTGAGCTCCTCGCTGCCCATGACCTTGGCCGCCTCGGCCATCTGCCGGAGCAGCTCTTCCAGCCGGCGGAACAAACGGATCAGCGAGCCCTCGTATGCGTTGGTCATTTTACTTTTGGCGCAAATGTTAGCGAGCTAATCCAAAATAGACAGACAGACAGACAGGCAAGAAAGAAAGCTTACCAAATCTCGGCAAACGGCCGCCCGTTCGCCCACTGCAGCACCGTCTCCATCAGCTGCCACTTCAGGCTCTGCACGTACTCGTCCTCATTGACCTCGAGCTTGCTCTCGGCGCTGACCTTGGCGATGATGCGCGCCTGCGCCTGGATCTCGCGGAACGGCTTGGCGAGCTCCTCCTTGAGCGCCTGCGTCTCGACCTTCTCGTCGAAGATGAAGACGCTGAGCACCGACGCGCACAGCTCGGGCGTCAGCTCGTTGAAGAAGCGGTTGAAGAGCAGCTCGGCCAGCAGCAGCTCGTGGCCCTCGGTCGACGAGATCTCGCACGCCACGCGCGCCTTCATCTGCACCACCTCGGCCTCGTTGATGAAGCCCAACCGGCGGAGGACGCGCTTGCGCGACTTGAGCTCGTCTAGTTGCGCGATGCTGTGCGCCTTCATGATGGCCCGCTTCTTCTCCTTGATCTTGTCCTTGAGCGCGAGCTTGGCCTCGTACTTCTGCCACAGCTCCTCGAGGAGCGGCGAGTGGTGCAGCGGGCTGGCGAGGAGGCGCGATTCGAGCACCTCGATCTTGCGGAGCAGCTTCTTGAACGAGTCGTCCGTGATGCCCATGTTTTCGAGCGGGTCGACCAACGGGAAGCCATCGGGGAACCGCCGCTTGGCTTCCTCAAGCATTTTGCCGAATCTGTCCCGCAGTTCCTGCTTGGTGAGATCCTTCTTCTTGGGCGCCTTGAGCCTGATCTGGCCGAGCGCCTTCATGCAGGACAGAAGGCACGGTACAACCTCCCACCTCCCCGGATCGCCGGGCTTCGCCGGCAGGATGCCTTCGGGCACTGCAAGGTCTCCCTTAGCCTCCGAGTTCACTTCTGGGCTGTTTGAGGAGATTTTGAGCAGGACGTCGATGAAGTAGGATTCTTGCGCCGGGTAATCGGCCTTCCCGTTCTTAGGGGGCTTGCGCTCGACAAATTCAACGACGACACCCCAGCCGTAGTCAGTCCCGTTCGGCGTTGCAATCTGCACAACACGACCTGGAGTCATGAAATTGATGCAGTAAGTTGGGTGCTGCATGACGGTAATCATATCCTTCTGGTAGCCGTCGAGTTGCTGGCGAATGCTGTGATAATCTTTGACGGTGCTCTCGTCGGGGATGATCATGTTGTCGCGCTCCTGCTGCAGGCTCGCCAGTTCCCGCTCGAGCTGCGGCACGCTGGCAGCGTTCTGGAATTGGAAGAAGCAGCGCTCGAGCATGAATTCGGGCGAGATCGCCTCAATGCGGAGGAGGTTTAGAATCATATTGTAGCCGAGATGGAAGGCGGAATTCAGCCGGTCTTGGTGCCCGACGACGACGGCCCTCGCAACATCGGGTTCAAGGGTCTCGTCGACCATCATGATCACGATACCGCGATCATCGAGACCACGACGGCCGGCTCTCCCTGCCATCTGGATGTACTCGGACGAGGTTAGCGGCCGTCGTTGCACGCCGTCCCACTTTGTCACCTTGGTGAAGACAACTGTCCTTGCAGGCATGTTGAGACCGATGGAGAAAGTCTCGGTCGCAAACAGAACCTTGATCAAGCCTTCTTGGAACAGAATCTCGATCGTCTCTTTTAGGATCGGCAGCAGTCCTGAATGATGGACACCGATGCCCTTCCGCAGCAGGGGCAGAATGTTTGAGATCTGGGGGAGGCCCTTATCTTCCTCAGACAGCTGATTCAGCGCGTTTTCGAACACCTTGTTGACCATCTCCTCCTCGTCTGGTGCATTGAACTTCATTTGCGAGGTCTGTAGAGCCAGCTGCTCGCACTCGCGCTTGCTGAAATTAAAGACAATCACAGGTTGGAAATTTCGCTTGATAATCATCCTGATGACCTTGGCGATGTCGGACTTTTCGTTTGTCGCCTCGCCTCCCTTGTCGGTCTTCTTGTTCTTCCCCCTGCCCTTCTGCTTCGTGCTCCAGTCGGCAGGGTCAGCCCCCTTCTTGCTTTCGATGGCAGTCATGGCCTCGTTGAAGTTGTGCTCCTTGAAATTGCCTTTCTCATCCACGATCAGGTAGATGCCACTTCCACCGGCCGGGAAGAAGTAGTTTTGCAGCGGAGTTGGCCGGAAATCGGTGTAGACGACATGGCAGGCCTGGCGGTGGATCTTGGCGATCCATTCGGCGAACTGGAAGGCATTGGGGATAGTGGCCGAGAGAAAGACATATCGGACCTTGTCCGGAAGCAGGATAATGGTTTCCTCCCAGACGACACCTCTCGTCTTGTCTCGCATATAGTGGATCTCGTCGAAGATGACCCAAGCAACCTCGCGCATAATCTCGGAGCCACGGTACAGCATGGATCGCAGAATCTCGGTTGTCATGACCAAGCAGCTTGCCGTAGGGTTGATGGTGACATCGCCGGTCATCAAGCCGACGTCGCCAAAGATCTCACCAAAATCGCGGTACTTCTGGTTGCTGAGGGCCTTTATCGGACTCGTGTAAATGACTCTTTGGTTCCGTTTTAGACACTGAGCAATCGCATACTCGGCAACGACTGTCTTGCCGGCGCTGGTGTGTGCCGAGACGAGCACACTCTCCTCGCGCTCAATTGAGGCAACAGACAGGGCTTGGAATGGGTCGAGCCTGAAGGGATATGTCCTCGCAGGTTCTGCAGGTGGTTTGTGTTCTGAAAGAGGGATGTATTCATAGTCGAGGTCTGGTGGCAACGCGACTTGATGTTGGATATTGTGCGACAGGACGAGCGAACCTTCGCCTGTCGAAGGAGCGAAGCCCTGTGCAGCAGTTACTTCTCGGGACTCGGCGGTCTCGAATGTGTCGGTGATGATGGTTTCGGCCTCCTCTTCCACCTTCCGCCTTTTGCTGTCGCTTTGCGCTTGGGCATCGGATTCGCCGTTTGCATGGTCGTCCGGAGCAGTCATCTCTTCATCTTTGATTGTAGCTTGTTGGCCATTGTCGGGGCCGTCGGCCATTTGCACGTTTTCATCGGCCTTGCGCTTCGGAGCGCGGGGCTGCTCCTCAAAGACGGCGAAGAGGTCATCCATCTTGCAAGGTACCAGCTCTCATGCACTGTGGTTTATTACAAGGGAGATTTGGCTGTCGCCGGGCGACGGATGTGGTGCGAGAAGGACGCTCTTGCCAATCCTGGATACGGCGCGGGCTCGATGCTGCTTGATAAAAAAAGTCGTCGCCCTGCAGTGATCCGGATCCCCACATTCTGCCAGCCACCCCCAAAGTTCCGCAGGGCGGTGAAAAGAGCGGAATCAGTGCATCCATATACAACCCTTACCCTACATTACCGCGTCACACTGGCAGTGGGTACCGGCCGGAGTGACCGGACCCTGCCGAGGCAGTCGCTCCGCGGCCGCTGTGGACCCACATCAACAAGTAAATATTGAGGAATCGGTGATCGAATTCTTGTTGTTGAACATGCTTCTTGCCGCTCCAACATCAAGCAATAAATCCAACTTCCACTCCAATTAGGTCCAACTAGCATCCTTTTGCCATTGCGTCCGACAACCACAATTCGGCACGATGGCGGAGCATAGGAACAAACTCAAGATCACCAACAAAAAGTCCAGCGAGCCTCTCAAGGGGCTCGTGGAGCTGATTGACCTGCCCCGCGACGCCACTGTCGAGGATGCGAAGCGGATGATTGCCCGCCAGTCGGGTATTAGCGACTACAACCGCATTGGCTTGTACGACCCGATCTACAGGCAAACGATTAAGGACCGCAAGGCTATCGTTTGGGACCATCCGGACGTTGCCCAGGCCCGTGAGCTGGTCGTCAAAGACCTGGGTACGGTATCCGCCGGTGTCTGTTCCAGGCCTGACCGCTTTGCTAACTTCGAGAAGGCCCCCAGGTTGCATGGCGCACCGTATATATCATCGAGTACCTCGGGCCAATTATCTTCCACGCCCTCATCCCCCTCGCTCGGCCATACATCTACCGGTTCCCGCCGTTCTTGTATAGGAACGAGAGCGAGACGCCCATGACGCAGGTGCAATGGCTGCTATTCGCCCTGTTCCACCTCCATTTCCTGAAGCGCGAGTTCGAGACCGTCTTCATGCACAAGTTCTCGGCCAACACGATGCCCGCTCGCAACATTGTCCGCAACTCGGCCTTCTACTGGCTCATCGCGGGAGTGCTCTGTGCTCTCGAGATCTACGCCCCCGGCAGCATGTCCACGCGCAATGAGCTCGGCCTGCTCGACTACCTGGGCATGGCGATCTTTGTGGTTGGCGAGACGTGCAACCTGATTGTCCACAAGCACCTGGCCAGTCTTAGGAAGCCCGGCGGCACCGAGAAGGGCATCCCGAACTGCATCGGCAGCAACCTCGTCACAAGCCCCAACTACATGTTCGAGGTGATTGCCTGGGTGGGCGTCATCCTGATCAGCCGCAGCTGGGCGGTCGTGTTGTTCATTTGCACCGGCATGATTTACATGCGCAGCTGGTCCCGCGGTAAGGAGAAGGCCCTGCGCAAGGAGTTTGGCGACAGGTACAAGAAGAAGCGGTACACCATGCTGCCGGGGCTGATCTAGTCGGCATGTATGGTTGAGCCACTGAGACTGTTCAGGTGTAAGCTGTGCGATGAAAAACTGTGATGTTAGGGGCACGCCACTAGCGTTCTGCCATGATGGGTATGGGCTATAGATTTAGACATTGCTCCTTGCATTATCCAAGAAGGCGGTGAAGGATGGGGATTGGGTGGACGAGTAGAGAGGCGCACTTGGAACACAAGGGAAAGCGTGGGTCGTGAGTATAACCCAGGGCAGCTCACGTCTCGCTTGAACTCCTGTGATAGTTTCGATCTTCGAATTGTTATTAATTATCTAGGCTCTCCTGATTAGTGTGACATCCTGTCTACTTCACGCTCATCGACTTGTGTCATATCTCTAATATAATATCGCCACCTCCTGATGCGCCGTTGCATGTCTCCCGGTGATGCATTTCCCCGAACGAATACCCAACTCAAAGAAGTGACAACACGCCTAGCCATCCAATGCCTGAAATGCCCGTCGCGAGGTACGTTGTCCATATGCCATGCTCGTTGTTGTACCATGACCAAATAACTCCACACGCAGACGCCTGTGCAACTCAGAAACCCGGTAAAAGATATCAGCCATTCTCACCCCTTAGAGCCGTGGAGGATGCTCTCCCCTTCCGGAACTGCTACTCCGTCGACTGGCAGCCTGGTAACGAACGCCGGTTCCAGAAGATAACGCCCCTGTGGTACTCGTGTCATCAGTGTGGGATATCCCAGCGGTAGGTGGCCCCGCCGTCGTCGACCCGGTCCTCTGCTGCACGTGGGTCTGCCGCTGCATGTTCATCAGCCAAGTAGTGTGCATGTTGAGGACGCCCACTTTGCTGCCGAGCTCAGCAAACTGTTCGTTGAAGCGAGCCGTCGTCCGCAACAGGCCCAACGACTGGTGGGCGTCCATCTCCATCATTTGCTTTCGGAGATCTTCAAGATGACCTTCTATGCGCTCGAATTGCGCCAGCATGTAGTCTTCTGGAGAAGGGGCTTCCGGGGAGGCCCGGGCTCCGTTATCGACTGGGAAATCTGGTAATAGAGACGTCTCGTCGTTTCGGGTGGGGATTGAGCGGCTGGCAGTTTCAGTGTTCCCAGGGTTGAGCGGTGTTTCGTTCATCGGCGCTGGTTCGTTCCCCTGTTCATGCCTCTCACGCCGCTCACGAGGCCGGCGTTTCCTCCTGCTGGCTGCCTCTACTCTGGCAAGGCGGGCGGCAAGATCATTGATCATCTGGCGATCTTCAGCCTCCCGTCGGGCCCGCTGGTCCCGCAGGTCCTTCAATTCATTGATAAACTCATACGCGCACCCACGTTCGTGCTCTCGAACGTCTCGGCGCTTGCCCTTCACCTGGCACCTAGCCCGATGCCACTTAGCCGCATGCCACTTGCATCGTGCGATCCCCTCAGGGCAGTCCTGTGCCAGATGTTTCCCCAGGCGATGACGTACTACTGTTTCTCCGCACTCGTCACACGACACTATGGCGCCCTTGCAGCTGTCGGTGTAATGATCGTCGCAATCCGCAGATGTGACGGCCTCTCCGCAGTACTGGCAGGGAAACTCTTTGTGTAGGCAACCATTCTCAGATTTCGCGTCTCGTCGGGCAACGTACTTCGTGCAGTCCGGTATGGGGCAGCGGACCGGAGTATATTCGCAGCGGCGCTCATAGTGTCCCCGCAGATGCTCGCGATTGCATTCGTAGTCGCAACGCCTGTTTGGACATTTAACCTTGAGCCGATCAAGCTGCTCCTTGACGATCAATGGTGATCGGCAGTAGTCCCGTGTCTTGTTGATCGGCTGACGGTCAAGCGGGCAGACCGACCGCGCCTCAAGCGCCTGGTTGATGCATCCGACGCAGAATGTATGGCCGCAGGGCATCATTACTGGCGAGTGGAAGGGCGTGCGGCAGATCGGGCAGAGCAGTGTCTCATCAACAGGCCCGACGTACTCGATGCTTAAATAATCCAGCTCCAGAATCTCAGGTTCGGGGAGCGGCGTGTTACCGGCCCCGCCGCCCGTAAGTAGTGCTGTTGGCTGAGAGGCAGCAGGAGATGCCGGTGGCGATGCCGGCGCCGTAACCACTCCTTCGGGGGTATTAGGAGGAGGCATCTCGGAAATGCGCGTCGGAGAATGATGAGATAAGTCTGTTAAGTGATGGGTTGAGAGTGAGAACCGTTGAGCGAGCGAACGATGGAGAGAAAAGAAGGAAGAGAATACGGTGCGAGAGACCTCTTGCTTTTATGTAGTCTGAGCGCCTGGTTGATCTAGCAACGTACCCCATCCGTGGATGCTTGGAAGGCCGACGCGTTGCAGTTCGTGGTGTTTGAGTTCAGACGATATTTACCTACCTATCATCTACGTACACAATTACGAATGATGGTGCCCCGCTGGTCGCTGCGAGCATCATCGATCCCGCAACTGCCCGCATCAGACGGCCCCACTTGAGCTGCGGCCCCACCAGGAGTCGTGGAGGTCACGATACTGTCTTAACAAACAGACGCAGAGTATGAGTAGTGAACTTTACCTAGTGAGAGTACTAGACTGGTTCATTACCTCAAATTCTTGTCTTGCCGCATTTATTGTCATTCATTACTATTTTGAATCCTGGTTACGCTACTATCAGCCCTTGAAACTGAATGAGGAAGTCGAGTAATTTAGGTTGTTAAGCGATCATCACTTGCACTATTGGAACCTACGGAGACGGTAGCTTACCTTACCACAGTAGTGTAGATACTGTCGGCTGTCGGAGTATTCAGGAAGTCAGCTCCTGAAATCCGTTTATCATAAAGCTACACTGCTATAGACAAATAACGTTACTGCACATGCCTACCTCGTACATTGTCATCTTTGGTTAATCACTACCTTACTCTCCTGACCTTGGAAGGGGCCATCGCAATGATACCGTGCGGCGGAAGCCGTTCACCACACCTCTATGAGTGCATTAGACACGGCCCAAATACCAAGTCTGGGCAACAAGAATGCCACCCTAGCCAAGGAGGAAGACATCGTCCAGAAGCTACGTAGAGTGTGGCGTAATATATTTGAACGACATTGAGCCCGTCATAGCTCCTTTTGTACTGTCTACACAGAGACAACCTGCTCCTTAGTTTTGTGGGTTATGTAGAGTCGCGTACAGATCATGCACCTCCGTAAGGAAATACCTAAGGTATCTTTTAACTATCAAGGTGTCTCATTCTCAATGCCGAGGTCCCCCTCGGAACTTAGAAATTCCTCGGGCACGATCTGCTGTATATCGTGCTTGGTCTCGTGAATTGCATGTACCCTATGCATCATGAAGGGTACATTTCCAATGAGCTCACCTCTGAGCATCTTGGTCGCGACTGTCTACCACAGCACACGCCGCACGGTAGCTTCAGTTGAGACATGACTTCACTTAAGACGCGCCAAGAACACCCAAGAGGTGCACGACCATGGTCATCGTAGTGCCACCTTCTGCGGCTGAAGGCCAACCTAGTGTAGGTGTCTTGCTGCTGTGGCAAGTCTGCACTGACAACTGCCAAGCCCATTCGATCTGGAAGTTTGCCTCATGAAGTGGTACTGTGGCAGTTGGTAAGACTAAGGAGAAGGCTGGTATTGTGCATACTGTGTATCGTCCGAAGCTTCCATGGTTGCTTGGTCATAGCACCAACCCAGCGGAGGTAGGATTTGTGGCTGGAAGCTCCGCGGGGAACCAATCTCCCAAGGGACGGTTGGTGATCAGCTGCTGTGAAACAGACGCCTTGTCGATTCGTCAGGCACGAAGGTAGCAGTGGGATCGTATTTCTGTCTCAACCCGCTTTGTGTCTCGACACCTGCCGAGCCAGGCTGAAATACGACAGTCGCATTATTAGCGCAATGCTTGTGCGAGAAGGGAATATCTAAGCCAAGAGTGGAATGATTGTTGGAGGCTCATATATAGGGGATTGACGAGACTCGGTAGTAACTTACACAGGCAAGGTACGGTACGTGTATAGTAGGTAGGTAAGGTACTCCCGCTGTCTTAAGATATCATTGCTGTTATACGATACGTAGGTAGTATGCTGGGTACGGTATGTATTGTATACTTATATATGTGTATTGTACAATATCTACTTAGCTAAGCTACTCAATGCGTGTGCAAGACACCCGCTACTGATTTCCTAAGTTCATATGTTTCCGTGAACTGTAAGCTGAATGCAATATCCCCAGTAGCGTTCAGAAAACCGTCACATGAAAAGGAAGGAAGCGGGAAGAATGGCTGGCAGGAATTGATGGGGGATGGCATTACGGAATACCAAGCCTCAAGCAGGCAATCACAGCGATTCCTGCCCAGCTGACTTCGCAGCTTCCCAAGCCAACCCAATATGGAAAGAACTCGCATGATGACGGTCTGATCTCTGCACGCTAGGAATAGAGCATTTTAGCGAGTAACGGAGCCACGAGAAGGGAAAGGCATGCCTTGAGGCTTTCCCAACGTTGATTCGCTAGTAAATTGCTGGCTTGATGGGCGGGAACACGAAGCTGAGATCGTAGCTCTTGAAAGTCGATAACATGGGACACAACGATTGGAAAACTGGGAATTTTAAAACCGTCAGCCGTGTGACGAACCATCACCATGGCGCCCGCCGAGCCTGGGCGTTCTCGGCCTTTTCAAAAATTTGCCCCTCGGTTGATGGAACCCGCCCCCCGCTCGGCAACCGCCAAGGTGGGCCGGTCGTCCGGACCCGCTGTGCAAGTTGCGCCCTAGTCATCGGGTCCCGCAGTGGGCGCGCAAGGTCGGCCTGAAGGTGGAGAGGCAGTGTTTCTTTAACTCGAGCGAAGCGGACTGCTTTCTGCTTGCTCGCCTGCCCAAGACCGCCCACGTAATGCGGTCAATTGCACGCAACGATGCTCTGTCCACGGCCACAATAGAAAGTACAAACGACGCGACCGTCACCGTGGCAACCCGAGCCGATCGCAGCCGCGCACAACCGCCCACCAAGTGTCGCAGAACAACCGAGACAGCGAGGGCAGCTGGGAAGGGAGCAGAAGCATAGCAGCAGCGTTAGGTAGAACGGCGGCAGCGGCAGCACAACCGACAGAGCAGCAGGTGCTGCGTCGGAAGGGCCCTCGAATCGCTTCCAAGCCCTGCGAGGACCCGTCGGCCCTGCTCAAATGAGCTGCGAACTCGACGTCCGTTGCGTAACCACAAGACCCAATGGGAGCCGCATCCAATAGACAATGACGGCAACCGAAGCCATGGAGAGGACGAGCGGGAACGAGGGCAGTGCCTCCAAGTCCGAGGGAGAGGCCAAGGCCCAGGATCGGCGTGCACCAGCCGCAGATGATGCCCAGAGGACCCCCAAGAAGCGGCGCAAGGTGAATCATGGTGAGAGCTGGCCTTCGCGCTGTTTGTCCCCACGATGGTGCCCGTAATAAACTAACATCGATTGCTTGTACCCCGCAGCCTGTCTCTACTGCCGTCGATCTGTAAGTCAATCGTCCCAATGCGCCGGGCATACCACGCAACCCCCTGTCCGCAAGTCGGCCTTCTGCTTCACGATTCTCAGTGGCGCTGCTGGGGGCTGTCGCCGCGAAGGGTGTCCTGCTGCGGCGCACAGACGTTCGCCTGGCCGGATACGGCAACAGCCTGCGCACAATCCTCTGGTCGTTCTAGTGGCTAACCATGTCCTGCTAAACCTAGCACATGACCTGCGATCTTGTACGTGCTCTTCCCTTTCCTTCCATGCCTCGACCTATTGGTCCGGCAACGGGCAGATGTTGACCCGAGGCCATGTCGTGGACAGGCGAGGCCGTGTACGAGATGCATCAAACGCAACATTGGCCATTTGTGTCATGACGAACCTCGTGACCACGAGTCGAGGAAGTCCAAGAGCGGCCTGTCCACAGTCCACGAGACTGAATCCCAGCCGGACACGGGACACAGCAGCGTCAACCAGAATGCCGGCTCCATGAGGCCGCCCTCCTTCGACTCGGCCATGAGTAGCGGACCGGGGCAGGCGGCGAAGGCCGCGTTCGACGCCGCGGCGCTAGCAAGCCGAAGTGCCAATCCCCTCCAGCTCGTGCAACCCACACCAGTGTCCGGCATAGCGGCCAGTACCCTGGGCAGCGCAATGAGCCAGTGTAGGTGACTTCAATTTCCATGAAACACCGTATTATGCCTGAGACACGACAGGAGCTGAAGCTACCTTCCGCAGTTGCCGGTTTGTCCGATGCCTGGCTGGCGTCCCAGAATCATTATCACGACATGCATAACTTCCACAGCACCTTCGGGATCGCGCCCGAGGTCTCAAATGAGTTCAGCCTCTTGAACGACTTTTTACAGACAAGCCTGCTCGATGACGGCGCTCTCCTGGTCGAAGACCCGAACCAGGCTGACTCCGCCTCCCTGTTTCCCAGCAGCAGCGCCATGCTCCCACCAAGTGCCGTCCCGGGAACCTCGATGCCCGCGCCAAATGCCGAGCAGGGCAAAACCATCTCGCGGCCCACAAGTGCGCTGCCCACGGACAAGACGCGCGCATACTACCTCCAGGCGGCAGACCCCTCCGGAAACGCCACGCCAGAGGAGCGCATGCGCCAGGTGCTGCAGGCCAAGTACGAAGCGGGGCTGCTGAAGCCGTTCAACTACATCAAGGGGTACACTCGTCTGCAGAACTACCTCGACACCCACGTCGCCGCGTCGTCGAAGCAGAAGATCCTCAGGCAACTGGACCGCTTCCGACCGAAGTTCCGCGAGAAGATGAAGGACCTGACCGACATGGATCTCGTGTTGGTCGAGATGTGGTTTGAGAGGACGCTGATGGACCTCGACCGCGTCTTTGCCAGTATGGCCGTCCCCGCCTGTTGCTGGAGGCGCACAGGAGAGATTTTTCGGGGAAACAAAGAGATGGCCGAGCTCATCAAGGTGCCGGTCGAGGATTTGCGGGGCGTGAGTACAGAGCCGTTGCTGGGGTCCCCGTGTAGCTCGACTGACATATTTGGCAGGGTAAAATTGCCCTGCACCAGATACTCACAGAGGAGTCGAACGTGCGGTACTGGGAAGAGTTCGGAACCATCGCCTTCGATCCGGCGCACGACACTCTGCTCACGGCCTGCTCGCTCAAGAGCCCCATTGATGGGGTAGATCACCGCGTCAACTGCTGTTTCTCATTCCGAGTCCGCAAGGATGAGCACAAGATGTATGCTTTCCTGGCTCGCCCGACTTAGCAAACCCTTCCGCTGACCGTCGCAGTCCGAGCCTGATCATTGGCAATTTCCTTCCCCACGACCCGGAACCCGAGCAATAACGGAGCCGGTCGTGGACATCCACCAACACCAAACAACTACCGTTGTTGCCAAAGCTCCAACTATCACTACATGCCAGTTAACCCCGACCATGCTTCTAAGTTTTTGTCCTGCGTCAAAGAGCAACGAAGGTTGGTGTACTGGTTCCGGTTCCGTGACGAACCAATATGGATGGATACATTTGGATAGCTTGACCGTTGTAGTTGAGATTACTAGGCCTCGTATATGTGATACCCACGAGATGGGACGCCGTTACATTTATCGTTCATAGAGGACGGGACGTTCACATCCTGAGGCACTGCCATAAGGCGGATGGATGGTGGTCGATCGCACCTTCCTTAGATAGATTGAAGGAGCCCAGGCAGAAATCAACCAACCCAGCGGAACGCTCCGCGCTTCTTCTCAACTTGACGGAATCCCTTGATCCTCTGCGACTTGTTTTGTCTCACGTCCCATGACATCTAAACTTTCAAGTGAAAGACATCCATCCAGCGAAACCCCCTCTCTTCTAAGACCGCCCACTTCCCTTCGCCATGCCACTCGTACGGACACCAAAACCAGCGTCCCACTCATCGGGTAAATCGGCGAAACACATAGAAGCAGCCGTCGGTATGTCTATCCATCTCCTCCCCCCTTACCCCTTTTTCCACAGTCTATCTCTAGTACCCCCGTCCCCCTTTTCCAGTTAGAACCCCCACACCGCCGCAACATACATACATATCCAGGCATGCCGGTACCCTCCCTTCCGTTTTGGTTCTGCCACAAGCGAAAACTCACTGGCTAACCTATATGTGATTGGCTTGGGTATAGAATTCGCAACTCACCTTAAGAAACTCCTTTCCGCCCCGGACCCCTCCGACACCCCGCTCGCCGACCAGCTCGTGGCCGACGTCGCCAAGCACGTCGAGCGCCTGCACGTGTGCCAGCAGACCTACGTGCCCGGACTGAGCGGGGATCCGGAGATCGATGAGCTGGCGACGGGGTTGTGGAACGTTTGTACGCGGCTGGGGAGGCTGAATCGGGAGAAGGAATGTTGTAAGGTTGGTGGTGAACGTCAAGTGGATGGTGGTGCTGGGAGGGAGAGACACGGGGAAGGAGATGGGAAGGGGCGAAGTAAGCTTGGGTTATTGGGGCGGCTATACCTTTACGGGAGGGTCCTTGCCTTCCGTCTGTTGGGAGTGGCTAGGCCGAAGGAGAATGGACGGGTTGGGGTTGTGGTGAGGCTGATGAGGTTGGCTCTGAAGGTGGTTAGGGATTGCATTGGTGAGTTGGTTTGGTTGTCATTTCTGTGAGGGTTGTGATACTTGGCTGACACAAGCAGATTCCGGGGAGGTGAAGTTCGCTGGGCAGGTGATGCAGATGGCAGCTGATTATAAGGGGTGGCTGCAAGATATGATGGAATCTTTGCCGGAGGACGAAGTCAGAGAGTGTCGATGCATGGAGGTGGAATATTTCATCATGCGGACGGCGTTGGTATGTATTTTCTTGACAGAGAAATGCGCTACGGCACTGACAGAGACAGTCCTGGGTTGAAGACAGACTCGACGTCGCGGAACACATGTACACCAAGACTGAGTGTCTCCAAGAACTTCTTACCCCCGAATATGCCGAGCGACTCGCCGACGTTCTGTACGAGATTGGCAAGTCTCTGTCTGCTCGGAGCGACTTCGCAATAGCGGTCAAGTGGTTGGAGCGGGCGAACACAATCATCAACGCCCAAGAGCTGGAACGGCTATCACGAGAAGGCCTTGAGCTGCGGCTGGCAACCTTGCAGGCCATAGTTACCGCCCTTCTAGGCACGGGCACTCCGGAGGGACTCGAGAAGGCCAAACACTACGTCGAGTTCATCGAGGCGGAAGCAGGCAACAAGTTTGTCGTCTCGTTGCTCAAGCTCGAACTACTTCAGAAAACACCTGCCGAGGTCTTCGATAGCGAAGCATATGCTGACGTCTTACGGCATATCATACGGAACTTTTCCTTCTCCGAGTCCGGGTTCAAAGTGATCATGCACCACATTCGGAAGCTTCACGACAAGAGCCCTGGGGCCGGATGCGCTGTACTGGACGACTTCATAATGGCGCTCAATTGTGCACAGAAGAGCGGGTGGATGGAAAAGGCCGTGGTGACGCGCATGTGGATGATCACCAACCAGCGGGATACAGTCGAGACTATCAATGCCGCGAGGAATGTACTTGGATATCTTACTGGTCCATTGAGCGCGGAGGCGGCCGTCGCAGCGCAGGCGGTATGTTACCTCGTCGGTCTAGGTACTGGCTACGTACTAATGAGCGCGGCAGCTGCTCTGGAAGAAGCTGGAGTCGAACTATAATCAGGGGCAGTATGATCTGGCTGAAAGCTGGTGCCAGCTTTCCTTGAACAGCGTTTTCCGGAGTTGCGGCCCTGGCAACATGTCCAAATTAGAAAGGTAGACCTACGCTTTAATCCCGACTCGAGAGAATGCTGACAACGGGAAGGAAGTTACTTCTATGTGCTCTTGCAAGGAACAGCTTGGATTTAGCGGCATCCATCGTCCACAAGATGTCGCCACAGAGCCGGAAGGAACCCATGACGGCGTACCTAGCATTCAAGGTCGCCGTCCGCATTGAGGATCGTGCTCTAGCTGCGGAATGTCTCGAGAACGTGGCCCAGGCACCAGACCACGTCGACTACCTCGGCGCTTGCATCGCAGAGTCACAGAAGGCCGGCGACATTCTGTGTGCCATCAACGCTTTGAGAAAGCTCCATGAGAAATACGAGTACAAGGAACCAAATCCAATACATCTGCCTGCTCTGTTTCGGTGCACCATCCGCTTGTTAAATTTGCTGGCTGAGAGGCCTGGAGTTGACACGGACATGATCGTGAATGGCCTCTGTGAGGAGTTTGATGCTGGTGAGCACTTTTCTCTGAGACTTTACGGGATAGCATACTGACCACAGCAGTCGTGCTTGCTCTCGAGCGGCAGAAGGAAGACAGTATACCAGGGCGCAAACTATTCACAATTGAGGAACTCGAGTGGTTTAGTAGAAATGCCTACAACCTAGCCTTAAAGAATACGGCGTTCTGGGAGCTCCGTTGTGTCGTACAGATGCTAACGGCATGCGTCAACATCATCAACCATTTCCCGTCCGATATAGGAGACAAGGTTGAGTTATCCCTCAAGTCTCTCTTCTCTCATTTTGTCATTTCGTCGGCACTAGTCGCCCTGGCAAGGACGCAAGACAGTGTCGACCAGCAACGGCAGGATTACACTAAGATGCGGAAACACATCATGGCCTTTGACAGCGAGCTCCCCGAGCACCTGCCCCAGTTGGACGAGCAGTCAAAGGACGACATGCTCCGGAAGCACGCCACGTTGCTTGCGTTCGACTTTGAAGCCGCCGTTGCGCTAAAACAATGGGAAGACCTGGGCGGCATCGTGCACAGGGCGGTACCATGCAAGAACATCACGGCGTTCCAGGCTATGGCAGACAGCCTGCTGCGAGCTAAGGCTCCGGGACAAGGTATGATTACTGGTATCTCAATATCCTCCATTTCCTGACCCAGAGGCTAACGATGTTCAAAAGTGTTGTACTCTACCATGCGCAAGATTGTCAACGAAATTTGGGTGCTCGAGAGCTTCGACGCGGTCAAGCTGGCCAAGTACACGCGCTGCCTGTTCCATGCGACATTGCCGCTGGATGATGGGCTGGCGATGAAGCTGCTGGATGAGGCGTGCAGTAAGGCAAGGGAGTTGCGAGAGGTACGTTGTCCTTGCACCCATCCATGACCTACCTTCGACATTTTTTCCTCTGAAAAAGCTAGAAAGGGAAAGGTTTCTGACACTGACAGCAGAGTGAAGCCACATGGCCGGAAGAGGAGCTGGAATGGATGGCTACCACGGCATTTAACCACGCCATCGACTGCTACAGTGCTCATGAGGCTGAGCGGGCCAAGGAGTGGGCGACCAAGGCGATCAACTTGGCACATTATTGCAACGATGGGAGGCTGGAAGAGATCTTGCAAAGCAGATATCTGCGGTTGAGCTTCGATGGGGGATCAGGTTAAATAGCTTCTGTGGTACCTATTAGTAGTCAGTGAGAGCTGCCGCGTCTGATCTGAGCTGGTTGGCAACAGTCCTCAAGACGACTTAGCAGAACAGAGATTCAGGGGAACTACTTCGGAGGTATCAAGTCACACCGGCTAGGTACCTAGGTAGCATTGATCCATGTATATAGGTTGGCAAAGGCAGCCAGCTCAAACCATGCCATATCGGGTGTGCTATTGCCTCGTGTCAGACTCGGAATCTGGCATACACAGTAAGGTTACCTTACCCAACCTGAACTGTGACAACTCAATCCAAAACCCCAAGTTCCCCACCACTTAAATAGCTATGAAAAAGCTCTTCTCCCCTTCCTTCGGCCTGACCCTAGCCCTCTCCATAATGGGATCAACACACGCCAGCCTGATCCTCTCGGGCGTAGCCGGGCTCTCCAGCCTCAGAAGCCCATCGGCGGGGTCATCCACGCCCCGCGTCGCCTCGACCCCATACTCCTTCCTCGCGGCCTTCAGCGCATCCCTGATAGCAAAGAACACAGCGCTGCCCATGAAGAGCGGCGGCTCCCCGACCCCCCTGCTGCGCTGGATTGTCCTCAGGTCCTGCCACTCCACGCCCTTGAGCAGACTCACGTTCCACACCTGCGGGATGTCCCTGAACCCGGGGATCTTGTAGGTGCCCGGCCCGCGGGTGAACAGAGTGCCCCGCTGCGGACCGTTGCGTAGCCAGAGGGACTCTTCCATGGTGAACAGCCCCATGCCCTGGACGAAGGCGCCCTGGATCTGGCCGTAGTCGATCGCCGGGTTGATGGACTGGCCCACGTCCATCTTGATATCTGCCCGTAGGCAGGTCCAGGATCCCGTGAGAGTGTCGAGTTCCACTTCCGCGGCGGTGACGCCCTGCGTGAAGTAGAAGAACATCTTGCCCTTGTTCTCGCCCCACGTGTAACCGATCTCGGGGGTCTTGTAGAACCCCTGGGCGGAGAGGTTGACACGGTCGAAGTAGGCTGCGTGCGCCAGTTCGCGCATGGTGGCGGAGGGGCCTAGTTTCTCGCGGTAGGGCTGCAAGCGGGCATTGAGCTGCGCGCAGGCGTTGTAGATGGCGTAGCCGTTCAGGTCGGACGAGGCCGAGGCGGCGGTGGCCGAGGCGTTGGCGACCGTGTTGGTGGCCGTCTCCGAGATGTACACGTCCTCCATGGGCACGCCCAGGGCCTGCGCCGCGATCATGGTCATCTTGGTGTGCAGCCCCTGCCCCATCTCGGTGCCGCCGTGCGCGACCAGCACGGAGCCGTCGTGGTAGATGTGCACGAGGGCGCCGGCCTGGTTGAACCACAGCGCCGTGAACGAGATGCCGAACTTTGTTGGGATGAGCGCGAGCCCGCGCTTGCGCCACTTGTGGGACGCGTTGAACTGCGTGATGGCTTCCCGGCGCGCAGCGTAGTCGGCCTCCTCCTGCACCTGTCGGTACATTAGCGGCACGTGCCAGTCGGTCAGCGGCTGGTTGAAGTGGGTGAGGTCGTTGGGCTGGTACATGTTGATCTCGCGCAGCTGCTCGACCGGTATGCCCAGGCGGTCGGCCACCTCGGACATGTACGACTCGGCGATGAACATGCCCTGCGGCCCGCCGAAGCCGCGGAAGGCCGTGTTGGACATGGTGTTAGTCCTGCAGATGCGCCCGCGCACGTGGATGTTGGGGATCCGGTAGCAGCCGTCCGAGTGGGTCATGGAGCGCTCGCATACGGCCGCGCTGAGGTCCCAGCTCCAGCCGGCGTTGTTGAAGATGTCGAGGTCGAGCGCCTGGATCTTGCCGTCCTTGTTGACGCCCACCTTCCATCGCCCCAGAAAGGGGTGCCGCTGGCCGGACGTGACCATGTCCTCCTCACGCGTAAGCATGCAGCGGACAGGCCGGCGCGTCTTCTTCGCTGCCAGCGCGAGGATGGTGCTGAGCGGAACGGACCGGCTCTCCTTGCCCCCAAAGCCTCCACCCATGCGCTTCACTTTGACGACGATCTTGTTAGACTGGACCTCGCAGACTTGCGCGGCATATGCTTGACTTCAAAGACAGTGTCAGTCAGTGCATCGTTCGTTCTACACCATCTTGAGAGAGAAGGACAACATACGCTTCGTTTGGATTCTGTGTACTCGACCAGATCTCCATCTCTCCGTCTTCCGGCTTGGGAATCACGACGGCGGCGTTCGTCTCCAGGTAGAAATGCTCCTGGCCGCCCATCCTCGTCGTCCCCGTGAACACATAATCGCACTGCTTGAAGGCTTCTTCGGGATCACCCTTCTTGATCTCCCTGAAGAAGTTGAAGAAGCTCTCCTTCTCAATGGCCTCTTCAATCGTGAAAATGGCTGGTAGCTCTTCATACTCAATCTTCACCGCCCGGGCCCCCTCAGCAGCACGCGCCGCCGATGTGGCCAGGATCAGGCCGATGGGCTGCCCGGCGGTGTGCACCTCGTCCTCGGCAAAGAAGGTCTCCTCAAAATGCGGCGCGCCCCAGCGGTTGGCCCGCGGACTGGGCATGTGGCTCCTGTCGATGTAGTCCACCACGCCGGGAATCTCGAGCGCCGGCGTGTGGTCGACCGATTTGAGCTTGGCGTGCGCCTTCGTCGACAGCACGAGGCAGCCGTACAGCTCATTCTTCAACGGCGGCATGTCGTCGGTATACTGCGCCTCGCCCGTCACTTGCTTCAGCGCGGCCACGTGCGGGTTGGACTTCCCGACCGTCTCCTGCATGTATGCTGCCGCCGCCTCCCTGTCCTCGTTGCCCGTGGAAAGCTCCCTCTCCAGTTCCGAGGCAGCCTCCTTATCGGCGTTTGCGCCCACTGTCAACATAACTTCGTGGTAGAAGCGGTAGAAGAAGCCCAGGGCCAGTGACTTTCGGTAGGAGGCCATGCCGCCGGGCACACTGAACTGCAGGTCGAAATCACGACCAAGCGCGTTCATGACCCCTTCGAGCGTCTCGAGCTCCGCGAATTTGCTCCCGACGAGGTACGCATTCGCCTGCTTCGCCGCCACGGTCATGGGTGCCATGCCGCCGTAGACGAGATTAGCCGTCTCGACAACTCCGTCATCGCTGAGCCGCAGTTTCAGGGCGGCCGTTACGATGGCGATATCATCATCCTTGCGCTTCGCCTGCTTGTAGGCGCGGAAGAACTCGTTCTTTTCCTGGGTAAGGGGAATGCGGATGGAAGCGAGCACCGCTTTGTCTGGTAGCGCTGTCCGACGATAACCCATGAAGAACTCCGCCATAGGAATCTCGATGTCCTTGCCTACCGTCTTCGCAACCAAGACGGCGTCTGCGGCCATGAAGACAGGATTCAGATCCGATATGGGAGAGGCCGTGACCAGATTCCCAGCTGGGGTGCCGACGTTGCGGATCTGCCTCCCGGCGAAGTATTTGAGCTGCTTGTGTATGGCACTGAAGACCTGGCCCCTGGCTTCTCCGTACTCCGCCAGGGCCTCCTGGCAGACGGTCTCAAGGTCGGTCAGGGTGATGTTACCCCCGATCTCGACATGGTCCTCGTTTAGGGAGTACTGCCTCAGCTCCGCGATATCGCCCACGTACACCGACACGGGGTACTGCAGCGCCTTGAACTTGATCTCGATCTGCGTCTCGGTGCTGCCGCCGATGATCTTGGCCTCGGGATACGCGCTCTTGATCTCGAGCAGCTGGTCCAGCGTCACGGGGCGGAACCACTTCTTGCGCTTGTTGCCAAACGCCAGCGGCCGGAACTCGTGCTTCGTCAGCGCCGGCGGGAAGATGAGTTCCGTGTCCGGGTTGTATTCGATGAATCCCGGCGGCGTGAACCTCTTGATCGGCTGGTCTACCTTCCCATCCTTCATACAACACCCCCCATCACCATTGCCGTTCTCCATGCAACACCCGCTGCCCCCATTCGCCCTCGCATTTCCGCACCCATTACTAGCCCCGACACCATTCGTATCCCTCCTGACGCTAAACGTCTGCGCGGCATCCAGAATCGGCCTGTACCCCGTACAGCGACACAGGTTCCCGTCAAAGGCCTCCTCGACATCGTGCTCGGTCGGCGCGGAGTTGTTGCGCAGCAGCGCGTATAGGCTCATGACGATCCCGGGGGTGCAGAAGCCGCACTGCGAGCCGTTGCCCTTGGCGACGCGCTCCTGCGCCGGATGCGGCCGCTGCACGTTGCCGATGCCCTCGACGGTAATGACGTGCTTGCCGTCGACGGACGCGAGCGGCGCGAGGCAGGCGTTGACGCTCGCGTGGTAGATGTGTTTTGTCGTCGGGTTGTATTGGGATATCACGACCGTGCAGGCGCCGCAGCCGCCTTCGCCGCAGCCGCTGGACGTGACGGACGGTTGGTCAGCTTCATGCGGTGATGGTCACGTACGTAGGTAGGTGGAGGGATATACATACAGCTTGGTGCCTGTTAATCCGATGCCCCGGAGGTATTCTAGCAAGGTCACCTCGGGATCAATCTCGTCCAGCACAATGCGGGTGCCGTTGAGGTAGAAGCGGAGGGTGTCGTCGAAGTCGGTGGTCAGCGTCCCCGCCGGCACCTTTGGCCGCTGGGGGAGAACAGCAGAAGGAGTCATCGCGAAGAATTAACCAAGGTCCGATGCTGGCTTCAGGGAGTCAACCTGGAGGTTGACGGAGGAGTAATCGCTGGGACCGGTCGCGTCGGTCTTGAAGTAGCATTCCAGAGGGGGTAACTGACACTACTAAGAGCACTTGGGCAGTAACGCTGCAGGATCAATATCAGAGACACCCCGTCCGGCGAGGTGAGATAGATGCGAGAATGTCTCTCGAGTCTGTTGGGTGGCGAACCGGAAGCTGAGGATACCACCTTATAGCAATGGATTTATCTTTTACTAATACCTAAGCTTCCCGCTGCGGAGTGCGCCATGGCACCCAAACCTTGAACTCCGCACGTCCCTCTACTTGTCGAGCAGATAAGTCTCAATAGCTGGTGTATTACTGGCCATGGCGAATGAGGTTGCCAGTGTTCTGCTCCAACTTGCTCTTGCTCTTGGTTGACCGCGGGGGAGCTTATCTGGGAGGTGGGGTAGTCGCTAACTATCGGCCCCACCTCACAGCGCCCTAGCCCGTCGGCAGCCGCCGTTGGGGAGGGACTCGGAGGGGGCCGGAGCCTCCACACCCTAACCCTATGTGGGCAGCGTACGCCGTACGGAGTGAAGCATGGACGTTCTGAAACTCCGACACTCCACGAATATCTCCGTTTGAAAGTTGAAACTCTGTCGGTGAGAGAGGCTTCACACGAGCCTCTAGAAAGAGGCTAGGAGCAGGTAGGCTATGTCGCTTCGGATCTTGCAGCTCTGCCCACGCAGTTCGAGTTGTGGCAGCTCCGGAGATTGAGATGGCTGGTAGAGACCGGCGTGCTGTTGTCTCCCGTGAGTCCCGTCGTCGAGCAACTAGTGCGGTGAAGCCAGGCATGTCTGCACGGAACATGTTTAACCATCCCACTGTAATTCCCGGCCCACGTTCTGAATACAGCTGATAAAATAACCATCAAAAACTGCGGGATCTGAACCTACAATATCCACTCAAAACAGGGAACGAACAGTCCGCTGGCGTCTGCGGCATCTAGTCCATCACCAGCATACTATTATCACCGGCTCGTAGCAGGCCAGCAGGTCCCATGACACCTCCGAAAGCGTTGGGCGGCAAACCACCGCGTAAACGTCCGCCGGAGGAAGTCGTCGTCGACCAGGCACCCAGCCACGATGGAGCCCCCTGCTTCACGGCCTACACCAGGAGCGCCGAGAGGCATCGCCCGCCCTTATTCGCCCTCCGCATCTACGACATCATGCTCTACGACACCATGCCCGCGGCGGGCGACACGGAGCGCATCCGCCAGCTTGCCCTCCAGCTGCACACGGGCACCGAGTTCGAGCGGTGCGACGCCACGGCCGCGCCGGACCTCATGCGCGACCGCGTCCAGGTGGTGGGCCTGCCCATGGCGGCCGACGTGCCCGACGGGCGGCGCGTGGAGTGCTGCCAGGCGCACCACATGGCGGAGGTGGCGGCGCGCATCGCGACGCGCCGCCGAGATTATTACCTGCCCGCCACGTTCCACACGGACGGTTGGTGGCGCGCCCTGGTCGTCATCGACCGCCTCGAGGAGGGCTGGGAGGGCGTGGTGCTCAACCGGCCTCGCCCGGAGCGCGGCTTCAACTGGGGACGGGGGAAAGTTCCGGAGTCGAAGAGGACCGACCCTTACGGTGGGTTCCTGTACGCGCGCTGGGAGGTGACTGAGGTTGCGCGGCCCTACTGGGAGGAGGCGGAAGCCCCCCTGCCGGAGGTAGACGTCACGCCGTATCCCGTCCATTGGCTGGCCCATTGCCTTGCGGGCATGAGAGAGCACATGAGCACGTTCCGGGATTTTATTCACATGGGCGGGCTGGAGGAGGAGCTACAGGCCGGGGTTCCGATATCCATCAAATGGGCAAGCCTGCCGGGCTAAAATAAAGTGCTTATGCGAGAAGTCTACTGAGGCAGTATGGAGAGCACAGGACTTCTCTGGCAGAGGAAAGATCGAGATTGGGTAGGACAGGACCTTCTATGGAAGAATTAATGAGAGACGGTTCGAAGCCTGTCCCAGCCAGCAGGGCAAACTGTTAAATGCTCTCGATGGACGTCAGGCTTAGTTAAAGAACGCTACACCGGGCCGAACACACATACTGCCTAGCGTTCAAAGGAAGGGAGCAGAGTCGTTATATTCCCGCGATGCCGGTGGTCTACACATCATTATCCCCTCGAGGTTTCGCCGAAGGCCCAACCCCGAGGTCCAACTCCACTCTACACCGGTACCCGGAGCCGGTTGTGGAGCGCTCGGAGTTGCCAAGGCCGGAGGAAACAAAAGACCATCAACCAACCCTTGAGCGATAGTGCGGGGAGCAAAGGGCGTGTGAAGGCCCTTCGAGGCATTTACAGTTCCCAGGTTACCCTCCTGCACGTGTAGTACTGTAGGCCCCCCATACTGCGCAATATGGAGGTTGGGACCAGGAGAAAGCGGGACAGTGGCAAGTGTGCCTCGGCCTCGGCACTTCGGCGGACCCCCGCATCTGGGGTAGGAGTGGGGAAAGAACGGCATACAGGGGTCACGGTACGGATTACTTATAGCACATCCATGCGGCGACGACAATGGGCTGTCTCCGTATTTAAAGGACAGCCGTTCCCTTGATAATCCATCTACCTATGGCATGATCAATTCCCATAGGTCTATCGTCCTAGTAAGCGGTTTCTGTAAATTAAATTTCACATAGCAATTCCTGCACCACCGTCCACCGCCACCATGGCCCCCAAGCCGAAACAGCCGTGCTACGTGCTCGGCGTGGGCCTGACCAAGTTCATCAAGCCGCGCGGCAAGGTCGACTACACGGAGCTGGGCTACGAGGCGGGCATCAAGGCGCTGCTGGACGCGCAGATCACGTACGACGACGTCGAGCAGGGGATCGCGTGCTACTGCTACGGCGACTCGACCTGCGGCCAGCGCGTCTTCTACCAGTTCGGCATGACGGGGATCCCCATCTACAACGTCAACAACAACTGCTCGACGGGCTCGACGGGGCTGGCCATGGCGCGCAACACGATCGCCTCCGGCGGCGCCGACTGCGTCCTGGTAGTCGGCTTCGAGAAGATGATGCCGGGCAGCCTGCAGTCCTTCTTCAACGACCGCGAGAACCCGATCGGCACCACGTACGCCATGATGGCGACGACGAGGGGCATCACCAAGGCGCCCGGCGCGGCCCAGATCTTCGGCAACGCCGGCCGCGAGTACATGGAGAAGTACGGCGCCACGGCCGAAGACTTCGCCGAAATCGCGCGCATCAACCACGCGCACAGCGTCAACAACCCTTACTCGCAGTTCCAGGACGTCTACACGCTCGAGCAGATCCTCTCGTCGCCCACGATCCACTCGCCCCTGACCAAGCTGCAGTGCTGCCCGACCTCGGACGGCGGCGCCGCCGCAGTGCTCGTCTCGCAGGCCTTCCTCGACGCCCGCCCGCACCTGAAGGACCAGGCGGTGCTCATCGCGGGCCAGTGCCTGGCCACGGACGGGCCATCCCTCTTCTCGCAGAGCGCGATCGACCTGGTCGGGCGCGAAATGACCCAGCGCGCCGCGGCGGCCGCCATGGCCGAGGCCGGGGTCACGCCGCGCGACTTCGCCGTGTGCGAGCTGCACGACTGCTTCAGCGCCAACGAGATGGTGCTCCTCGACGCGCTGGGCCTGGCCGAGCCGGGGAAGGCGCACGAGCTGGTGCGGGCCGGCGGGATCACGTACGGGGAAAAGGGTGAAGGCGTGGTGGTGGTCAATCCCAGCGGCGGGCTCATCTCCAAGGGCCACCCGCTCGGCGCAACGGGGATCGCGCAGTGCGCCGAGCTAGTGTGGCATCTGCGCGGATGGGCCAACAACAGGGCCGTTCCGCGCACCCGGTGGGCGCTGCAGCATAACCTGGGCTTGGGGGGCGCGGCGGTGGTGACGGTCTACTGCCGGGCGGATGGGCAGGAGGCGCAGGTGGTTGCGTCGGAGGACGTTGGGAGGGCGAATAAGCTGGGCTATAACCCGGCCGTGGAGGCGCGCAGCTTCACCGAGGAGCAGGCGAGAAGGGTCCGGAGTAAGGATAAGACGCATGACTGGGCCATGACGGCTACGCTGCCTATGTTGAAGGCTGCGCAGGCCAAGGTGTAGCTGGGAAGGGGGGGTTGTGTTCATCATGTTGTCAATATGTACATGATATGAGTAATGACTACCAGGCAGCTACCAGGTAGGTAGGTAGGTTAAATTGAGTTCCATGCTGATTGCAGCGTTGCGGCTTGTTTCTTGCTAGAAATGGCCCGGCCAAGTCATGACCAGGACGCTCATTCTCGGAGTTGTCGAAAATTTCTGTTCTCGGTATCCCTTGAGATCGACGAGTGTGAGTCTATCTAGAGCATATGTTCGGCCCATGGCTGACTTAAACAACACAACTAGAATAAGTAGACAATATTAGGTTGTTTATGATAAGTGCGAGCGGTTTCGCGAAGATTTACCATCTCGGCAACCACACCAAAAGTCAAGGGGTCCGTGTGGTGTTTGAGATTGTTCCCTGAAGCTTCGATTCGGCTGATCACGCGCCTCCAAACAAGCCACGGATTATGCGTTGCAGGATGGCGCTGAATGCATCGCTCGCACCTTCCGCTCTTCAGTCAGCCACCATCCAATGTGCGTTCACTGCTAACCCGTGTCCAATCTCAGTTCCCGCACACCAACAAGTGGTCTGACCTCCTGGATTATGCTTCCTGCTGTACTAAACTTGTAAGCTCTGGCGATCAGCCGACAGCACAACGTTTCACGGCTGGACTGTCTCCAATAAGGTAAGACGGCATTTCAACCAACGGCACTTGTTTCCCTGCCGTCTACACTAGCCCGCGCATGGATGAATCCCAATTGACACGGAGACCCGGCTCTTGTGCGTGTCTCGACGGTCTAATCGCTATCGTTGCCTTATTCTTTCCATCAGCCTATTCCTCCGACCCGTTCAAGCCTGTCTTCGAGGACTGGTCATGGGAAGGCCATGAGAGAAGCTCCGTTTCCGATCGGCGTCACGTTCTCGACGAAGCAAGGGAGTCAGGGAGTCCCCTTGTCATGCTGTCCTTCCTCAACCTTCACGCAGTGTTCGAGCAACAACCTCGAGGATGAGCATTGCGCAGGGAAGTAGGGTAGACGGCGTTTGAGATGTCCCCATAGATGAGAAGTTCCAACCCCACGCGGTCTCGTCTTGCCGTGTCCTCTGCCAGGTTTGAAGTTCGATTTTCCGAGCCCCATACGGCCCTGGCTCTAGGAGAAGCTCTCGGTCGTTTCCGTTCTCTCTCTGGCGAGTCATATTGACTGCCCCCAAAAACAACCTTAGCCGCGACTCTCCCGTCCCTCCCGTCTCCAGCTAGTAGCCCTGTTCCATTGTGCCAGCTAGCCAGCCTTTAAGATCGCGGGCAGTCTCTCCCCTTTGCGTTTAGTTTCTTCATCGTTTCTCCTCTTCTCATCAACCCCGGTATGATACTATGATGAGGCAATGACACTTACACACGTTGATACCCCCAAGTTCTACCCATCCACCCCATCATGGCAGACCCCACAGCCAACCTCTCCCGAGGGCCGATCCTTCTTTCCCTTTCTCTGGCCACTGCAAGTTTTGTTTTCGCCACCACCTTCGTCCGCTTCTGCACCCGCAAGGGAATCCACGGCGGGTACGGAGCCGACGACTACACGAGCGGGGCGGCCAGTGTGAGTCTGAGTTGAATCAAACGGAAACTGGGAATCTAGGTGTGGTAATCATTAACTCTGTGCCAGGTGATAGCACTAATAGGGACCGTCTTCGGCATCCTGGAGAGCACAGCCTCGGATCCGGCGCGCGCCCTGCAGTTCAACGTGCTCGGGCAGCCGTGGTACCTCGTCAGCGTCACCCTCAGCAAGATCTCGATATGCCTTTTCTTCATGGACCTCTTGAGGAGGGCGCGGCAGTGGAGGATATTGCTCGCCGCGCTTGTTGTGGTAATGGCCATCACCAACCTGGCTTTTGCCTTGGCTGGGTATCTGCAATGCCGGCCGTTGGAGAAGATGTGGGATCCGGATGTCCCGGGCGACTGCCTCTCGGGGCCGGGTACACAGATGAGTCTTGGCTACGCTCAGGGGGGTGGGCTAGTTCTCTCTGGAATATTCATGTGCCGGTCGCTGACAGATACAGCATTCTCCGTCTTCTCATGGGTCTTCTCTGCCCTCTTCCCGCTGCTGATACTGCGCGACATCTCGCGTGACGGCGAGCCACGATGGCCGTTCTATGTCACATCCGTCCTGAGCTTGGTGTAAGTATTTTCTTTTCCTTCCGTCCTGCTTTCTCACTGTTTTCTGGCCCTCGTTGAATTTCTCTCTCCCGACCACTAATCATCCCATCCAGCTGCGGGATCTTCGTCATAGTCCGAACCGCACAGATCTCCCAAACAGCGGGCGTGACGACCTACACCCTCCACTTCTTCTACGCCTCGCTCATGGCCAAGTGGGTCTCACACCCTTTTATTTCCTTACTACCAACACCCTAACTCACTCTATTTAACCACCCATCAGCCTAGAACAAAACCTCTCTCTAACCGCCTCCAATCTCCTCACCCTCGGGCCCCTCTTCTTCTCCCCCACTCGTCCCTCCTTTACCACGGCAGCCACCACAACCGCCGGCAGAAGAAGTAGAAGTACTTCAACGACAACGACGACATCGTCCACCGACCGCAAGGCCAACGGCAACAAAAGCGGGCGTGATCCCTACCGCTCCTCCTCCTCCTCCTCCTTCTTCTCCTCCTCCGTTGCAGGCACAACAAGCCGCTCAGCATCCCGGTCTGGGCGCAGCGGAAAGTCCACGTCCACGTCTACCAACCGCACCGCTACCACTACCACTACTACTACGGCATCATCATCCCCGCTCAGTCGCACGGACAGCAAGCGGAGTACTATTGTGCGGCCTGGCACTGGCAGTTCCCGTTCCCGGGACGACGACCGCCACCCGGACCGCGACTCTAGTGTTGTGGCCGTGGAGCAGAGAGCGCGGAAGGATGATTTAGCACTGGGGTTTGATGATGACGAGCGCGGGAGGAGGGGAAGAGGAAGACGAAAGAGACAGCGTCCGGATATGGACGGACCGCCGGGGGTGGAGGGTGAGAGACATCTCGGGTATGTGACGCACAAGAATAGGGGCATGGATGATGAGAAGGAGGAGAAGGAAAGGGGGGAAGGGTATGGATATGGTAACGACCACGACGAAGACAGAGGACGGGGCGCTGATATGGACCTGGAAGCCTGGTGGCCACGCGGAGGGATCATCAAGACGGTCGAGGTCGAGGTCTTCGAGGAGCTGAATGAGGAGTATATTGCTGCAGTCGCCGCTGCTGCTGCTGGTGATAAAACCGGGGTTAGCACTGGGAGCAACAGCAGCAGCAGCAGCATTATGGCCATGGCAGCAGGAGCGGGGAGGGGCGGTGTATTGGTGCCGCCCGCAGCGGTTGTTGTTGTTGCAAGACAACCAAACCCAAAGCCAATTCTAATCCCAAGGAGGGCGGTCGGAAGGGATGATTCCTATGCTACGGAGAGAGAGAGTGGCGCGAGTGGTGTTGAGCAGGACTGGGAGGCTTTGTTAAGAGCTGGGCCTCCGAGGTGATCTCTTGCCTGTTTTCTTTCATCTTTTGTTCATTCGTTTTCCTTTACTTCCTGTCTTTCTATCCTAGTGCTTAGTAAGTGTTTTCTTCTGAGCTTGTTGGACCTCGGAGTGGAATGGGACCAGGTAGGTGTTTTCCCAGAACCAAGACTGGTCCCTTATCTTTTGGTATTCGTCATGTCAGGCGATGGCGTTCGGAGGGGGTTATAAAAAGATCCCCGAACACTGGATTATGGAATGATGGCATGGAGATAGAAAAGGGGAGGTGTTTGCTGTCGTTAGCTGGAGGAGGCTTCTCCTACGGAATATTATAGACGATACCCGTGTATGATCAGATATTTTTGATCTTCTCATTTTCCCCCTTAGCTGCAGCTCTTACTGTAGCTTTCGACTCAAGGGCTGGAAGAAGGGATCCCATCAAACCTATGCCCATCCGTTGAGTGTTGAAGAAATCTGCTTGGTGCTCCAATGTAGACACAGGAATAACGGTATCATCTGAGTTGTCATCTCGACCAAGCTCTCTTGGAGCAGCTTTTTAATTCCTAAGTCAGCCGCAACGCAGGTTGTACAACCTACTTAGAATACATACATTCAGTATGCGAGGTACATCCTTACAGTATTATACAGACGCCCCCAACCCGCAAACCCTCATGATGCTTGCATTTTATCCATCCATCATCTCTTTTTATATAACCTGATATAATTTTACCGTACCCAGCCTCTAGCCCGTGCTTACCGCCCCCGCGATTTATTAACCAGCCCATTCAGGAAATCAATCATGAACTGCTCATCGGCGTGACTCAAGCTCCAGCGGGCCTTGAGCGCGTCGTAGACATGCAGCGTACGCTCCTTGCTGGAACAGCGCGCAAACGCCCGCAGCGCCCACACGGCCAACCACGTCTTGACCTCGAGCCCGGCCGCGCCCGAGTCGAGGGCGTCGAGCAGCGCGTTCCATATCCCGTGCAGCCGCTGCTCGCTCCAGGCGGAGCGCGGGTACCCGCCGTGCAGGGCGAAGCCCTTGAACAGCGCCAGGAAGATGGCGTGGTGCAGCGGGATCTTGAAGAACTTCATCTCATCGATGTAGGCCGCCGTCTTGGCCAGGTCGCCGCGCTTCACGCCGTAGTGGTTGACCAGGATGCGGTAGGTCTGCAGGTCCGGCGCGAGCGGGGCCATCCGCTGCAGCGAAGGCCGCGAGGGAGGGTGGCGCCGGCCGATCTTGGCGAACATCAGGAGTGCCTGTGTGATGACGCGGTCGGAGGGCGCGGTGCGGACGGGGATGTCGCCGCCGTCAGGGGTCTTCCCGTCCGCGTCCGCGGCCCCGTCGCCGAGGCTCGCGGCTTTCATGCGCTCGTAGAGCCGCTCGGCGGGGGCCTCCTCGCCCGACCGCAACAGGCCCGCGATCATGGCGTTGAGCACCACCGTGTCGATCATCTCGCCCGCGTTGACCATCTCTTTGTACGCGGCGCGCATGCCGCTCGTCTCGTGCTTGAGGCCGAAGAAGTGGATCAGGCTGGTGTAGTGGTAGCGGTTGTACTGGTGCCCACGCCCCTCCATCTCCCGGTAGATCATCTCGGCCAGCGCGAAGTTACCGGCCTTGCAGGCGACGTCGAAGAGGATGTTGAAGGTCACGTTGGTCGCCTTGACGCCGGCATCCAGCTCCATCTCGCGCCACAGCTTCAGGGCCGCCTCGATTTCCGTCTCTGTCACGGTACCTACATATTTGGTGGCAAAGGAAATGGCGCAATTCCACTCCGCAGTGGTTAGGGTGATTCCGGTGTTCTTGACATCAGCGATGACGGCAAAATACCGCAGCATCGACGTGAAGTCGCGCTCGTCAGGCTGGCCGAGGGCCCGCAGCAGCTGGTGACGGAACCGAGCGTGGATGTAGAGCATGCGCGGCTCGGGAAGGCGCTGGTAAAGCTCGAAGATGTGGTCGAGGTCGACCTTTTGAGGCGTCCTGAGGCGGGTAAGTACGGCGAATCGGAGCTCCCAGAGGGTTTTCTGCTCCTCTTCGCCGGCGTGGATCACCTGCTCGAGGTTTGGGTATGCAAAGTCCTCGGCAGTGCGGGCAAAGGTGAACCTTTGGGCGTAAGGTTGGGCATATCCCCGCAGGTAGGGGTCGCGGAGATACTCGAGGTATTCATCAACCGGGCCAATTTGCTCGCCATCGTAGTCGTCGATAAGGTCGAGGAGCTCCTTCTTGGTGTAGTTGCGTAGCGGTTTCGGCCTGCGGGACGGCGACTGCGAGCGCGAATGCCTCGAAGCGTCATCGTCATGAATCTCTGGGTCAAAGTCTGGTTCCGCCGCCGTGGCCGTGTGGCTCACGCGGGTGCCGGATATGGAGGGTCCGGGAGAGCTGCCAAAGCCGGTGCTCGATGTGCGGAGGGCCGGGATGGATAGCGGGCGGGGCTGGGGAATTGGGGAGCTGAGGCCAGAATTCCCCGTGCTGATGCTGCGTCGAGGCGTGCAACTGCCGTCAGGGCTCTGCGCGGGCTCCAGTCCGGGCCTAGAGACGGAAACCGCAAGTGTGTTGGCGGCGGCGAACCGGTTCGACGACAGCGACGGGCGGTGCAAAGAGAGGATCGCGCCGCATATCGACCCGTCAAATCGGCTGGTGGCTCTCATGAGCTGTCGTCCAACATGGTGGCCCGTGGTCTAGCCCAGCCTCTCGCCCCGGGTATCGCAGTCGGCGTGGTGCAGTCAGGGGGCTGAGGGACGGCGATGTGTGTTGAGCTTCGGGCCCGGCTTTTGATACAACTGCGGCGAGAAAAAGTCGAGACGACGGGAGCTTATCGAATGCCATGGGGCGCCGAGCATCCGCATCGACAGGGATCATTTTGCATGGGGCTTAAGTGGGGCTGAATGGCCGCTTTGGTGAGGGACAAAATTCCGCCGGGGCCGACTCCGCGGCTTGGGTCCCGCGCTCGCGGACGTTAACGTTAGAAAGGCCCCACTGAAATTTACAAGTAGAAGAAGCCGCAAAGTTCCACACCCGACGTGCGCTTCGAGTCCGACAACCTCGAGCAGAAAACGGCCTGGTATCTTCAGGGCAGTAGAAGTGCCGTATGAGCGTGGTCCAGACCAATGGTCCGATCCTAGACGATCCTGCGATGCTCGATTGACTTGACTGTGGAGCCTCCGGACCTGTAATTCTCACCAAATCCCCCCCACCCTTCGAGCGAGCACCTCCGCAGCTTTGTAGACCGAACATCGTCGAGATAAGAAGAAAGAAATTCCACCATGGCCCGCGGCCGCCAATTCCTCGCGGCGCGCGTCTACGACCGAGCCGAAGCGTACCTCTCCTCCACCATCATCAAGGGCGACACGTCCAACCGCGCGCCGGCGTGGCTCAAAGCCGTGGTCCACATCCCGCCGGCCGAGGTGCTCACGCGGCCGTACCCGATCCAGCACACGCCGCCGCGCGACCGCGCGCTGAAGCCCGGGCGGCAGCCGCGCAACCTGTTCCGGCCCACCAAGATCGTGCACCCGGAGGACCAGCTGCGGCAGGAGTTCTACCGCGACCACCCGTGGGAGCTGGCGCGGCCGAAGCTGGTGCTCGAGCTGGACGGGCAGGATGCGCGGTACAGGGACTGGAGCAAGGGCCTGCGGCAGCCAGGGATGGCGCTCAGCGGTGAGAGGTACGTCGTTTTTGCTCTCTTTTCACTCTCCGTCCCATTTTTTCCAGGTAGGAAAGAAAAAGCATAGTTATGCTGACGAACCACACCCCGTGCCACAGCGTCGTCCAGCGGCAGCTCTGGCTGATGGAGGCCAGGGACATGCCGAAGCAGCAGGCGTACGACGTGGCGCGCAAGGAGTTCTACAAGCTGCGGCAGCAGGAGGAGATCGAGCGCAGGATAGCGGTCGAGGAGGCGCGCCACTACGGCGCCTACTTTGGAAAGAACAACCTGCAGGTCGGCATGGAGCTCGAGGACCAGGTCTACGAGCACTGGAAGAAGTGGGCCACCGACCAGATCGCCAAGCTCGAGGCCGAGCGGAGCGCCGCGTACGTCAACGTCGTGGACGTGGAGGAGGATCCGAAGGACGATTTGGATGAGGCTGAGGCTTTGTGAGGGTGACTTATTTTGGTGGCAGCCGCTTGAGCTGGGACAGAACCTGTGCCCGCTCGTGTATACCTGTATAAAATTTTGTCAATGTTGAAAGTCAGTGTGTACGTCTCCACGGTTGGGAACATGAGATATCAGGGCGAATTTCTGCATTTAGACGCAGGCCCCTCGCTAAACGCCAGACGCATAGCTCATACCGTCCGACTCGCGGTGCGGGGTCAAGATCAGACCAATGTACTAAAGGGTGCTTGCTGCCCCTTTGGGATTCAAATCCATTCGAAATCAACGCAGAGGGGGCGCCGCGGCGCCTGAGAAGCCTCAACCATTCCCCTAAAGCTTGGACCTGACGACCACAGGCCCCTGATAAGGGGGCTCATCATCCGGTCCAAAGTCAACGTCCGATCCCGGCTCGCTTTCCGGCCGCCCGACGTCGCCCGAGACCGAGACCTCTTCCTCCGACTGACCGACTTCAGCCTCCGCCTCCGCTTCTGCGGCACCATCCTCCGGCTCCTAACCGGAACCCCTCAGCGCCGGGGCCGGCAGGTACACGGCGCCGTCGAGCCGCTGGGCCAGCTCCTCGTGCTGCACGCAGAACATGTTGGCAATGTTGGTCCGCCAGAAGAGGCGGCCCGTCAGGCTGAGCGTGCGGCTGCGGGCCCACGATTCGACGTACACCATCTTAAGGCGGTTGTCCGGGACGAGGTACAACATCTTGAGCAGGTGCGCGACGGCGCACACGACAAACCCCGTCGCGGGGCCGTTGGTGACGATCACGTGCGGGTACTTGAACTGCGTGCTGTGGCGGGCGCGCGGGCGCATCTCGGGCTCGCGCGTCAGCGCGTTGATGCAGTAGACGGCCGTCAGGCCGCAGGTGAGGGGCGCCGTCCAGAAGGGCTGGTGCACGCGGCGAGCGCGCGGGACCTGGAACGTGTCGAGCGTGCCCCGCGTGTTGTCGCCGGCGCACGCGTTGTGGATCTGCGCCTCGAGCCTGGCGACGCGGCTGAGCGAATCCTGGTCGCCGATGGTCACCAGATAGCGCCGGTGCTGGTTGGCTTGCGGTCGGAACTTCTGCTTGATGATGTCGAGCATCTCGGTCGTGTGGCCGCCGGAGCCGAGCACGTAGAAGAAGTAGACGGCGGGGAGGCGGCTGGTATCGGGCACCGAGGTGTTGCCGTCGTCGCTGATCCAGCGACGTCCCCTCTGCGGAGGATACGGCTCGCGCGTGATGGAGACATGGCGCCACTGAGGGTGGTGGTCAGTTCTGCGAGAGATGATAGAGGTTGGACCTTGATGGACTTACGATGAGGAAGCCGACGAAGACGCAGACAGCGGCGGTGATCTGGGACCAGGAGAAGCAGAAGAAGGCGATGACCGAGCTGATCAAGACGCAGATGAAACCAAGGGCAAAGAGAACAGCAAAGTCGTCCCTACCGAGGTCGTGCCGTGCCTCATACCTTAAGTACTCCTGTACATCGGCGAGCCGCTCCATGTCTGCGTTTGAAACGGGTATTCGAGATGATTCTTCGGTTTGAGGCGTGGTGACCCCTTGATGCCCGGCTGTCCTGGTCTTGTCGTCGGGTGTTTGGGTGAGAATTTGCGGCAGACCATCTGCTTGGCCATTCTCTTCTCTTTGATGCGGGTCCATCGCATCGCTCCGTGCGCTCCTGTGCGAGCCCATTCTGTTCAGGTGTATGATGTCGCCGACTAAGCGGCGGCGATGTCAACCGCAGCCAGGCGGCCGGCAGTGAGAGGGGGTCACGACCAAGCCGCAGCACGTGTCTGGTCAACGTCGACCTTGACGCTCCGGAATGACGGGTCCTAGGAGCAAGTGTTTCTTCAGGGGTAAGACACCACCTTAGGAAGAGTGCCAGTGATTGTCTCTGGTTTCCTGCGTAAGCACCCTGTGCGCCAGAGGCACATATATAATAGCCGCGAATGAAGGTCCAGAAAGGGAGGTTGAAGGGGTGTCCAGAACCCGAGTAGATCGGGACTTAAGGGAGTTGGACCACGTCCTGATGTATGTGAGTGACTCGAGGCTGTTCGCTGCGTAGCTGGTGTGAACTGTGAAGCTCAAGGGGCAGTCCGACAATGATAGACAGCTCGCAACCCACAGTTGTTAACAGGGCCGAGGTGTTATTAGTTGCAATGAGAGCTCGGCTTAGGACCATGACATGTCAACTTAAAGCTCTAGTATACCTAGTCCAGAACTTAAAAGTTAGAACATACGAGAGACTTGTGGTAAAGTACCCGGGTCTAACCACCAAACAAGGAAGGATCAGGAAGGTATACTCCTGGAGCGTGCGTCTATATATCTTGAAGTTGAACTGGAGCGAGTTATACTCGAAGGTCACGGACCGTTCAAAGACACTTCTGTGAAACAGGACCAATTGCTTCAACGTCAAATGACACGTTTGGGTAATGGTACGGTGCTCAAAGAACTCGTGGACTGATCTTGGGTGAACGCTGAGAGGTTTGCTGGCGGCCACCTTTGTCTTATTACACCACGCTTGCCGGTATCGTATTACCGTTCAGCGATACCAGTAATTGAAACATGCCTTGAGGTGCTTTCGGTCTCAATCGACAGGGCTGTCGCACACCTGAAAGGGCGGCTCAAAACTGCCACAAGTTGGATCCCATCCGATTGGCGCGCCGCCCCACCCCTAACCTGCAGTGGTGCAATGGTGACCGATCGTGAACGGGCTGGAAATCACGACCGCCCGGCAGAACCTGGAAACTCCATGCCTGTGATCTGTCAAGCACAACACGCCAACAACTCGCATCTAGCCGCCGGCTTCAAATACCTCCTTTGCTTGTCCCATTGTGCAGTCGCTGTGCCATGCTTGTCCCCTTGGCTGCACAAACAAGATGCCGCGACTCCGGCGCAATCGCTATCTGACGTGTTTCTACTGCGGGCGCAGGACGTCAACACCATACGATGGCAGGATACGACGCTTCGATTGTCCCACTTGCGATGCGACGAACTATCTCGACGAAGTACATGGCCCCTGCTAGCCTCATTTTTGCATGTGGGAACCGTCCCTAAGCACTCGACTGACAATGAACAGAACGGCGACATTGCAGACCCGCCGGTTGCAACCGACAAGGAGGCCACCCCGCGACAATACGCCGTTCCCCGGCCTGTATCCCCTCCCTTGAGCCCGTCCCGCGACCCCATCTTCTGCGCCACCTGCCTCAAGAACCAGCATCTGCTGAGCGCATCCCTCGCGCAATACCTGCCTGACCCGGACGACCCCGAGTACGCCGAGCGCGAGAGGAACTTCTACCGCTTCCGGCGAAACCAAGAGAACCTCTATCCACAGATATGCGACAAGTGCGAGCCGAAGGTGCGCGAGCGCCTCGAGCAAGCCGTCTACACGGCCAAGACGGACCTCTTGCGGCGCATGCTTGATCGGAGCGCAAGCGCGAGGAAGACCCTCAAGACGCAGGGCTGGCTGGAGCTGTTCCAGGCGGCGGGCAAGTGGCTGTGGATCGCCGGGTTTGTGTTGCAGTTGGCGTGGCACGCTGTCGTAGTACATATGCTTGTGTCGGAGTACTTTCTGTGGGCTGGGCTGGATGAGAGTTTGTTTACTTTCAGGCTGCTGAGGATATGCGGGCCGTTTGTGGCCCGGCTCCCGTCCGCAGAGCGGCTGCTCGGATGGAGTACTCTAGCCAGCATTCTCGGGCTGTGGTGGAATCCGCGCTTCGCCCAGGTGTTTAGGGGCTTCACCAGACACATCAGCGGAGTCACAAAATGGTACTTCTTCCAGGCCGTGGCCCTCGTTATCCGCATATGCCTGCCAAAGGTGGACTTGACGACTCCGGGCCCGCGGCTGCATCATCTGAAGATTGCCGGCCACGCCTTTGCTGCGGCCTTCTCTCTAATCGTAGGTCATGCTCTCACCTCACACATGCGAACGATATGAAGTGAGGCGCTGACCTCCATAGATATTCAACCTCGCGGCCCGCTCAATCAAAATCGACACTGCTCCCTTATTTGGTTCTAAACCCATCCAACTCCGCGAACCATCAGAACCCTCCATCTCTTCCTCCTCCTCCTCCCGCCCCGACGACACAAAGGTCATGGCCGAACTTCTCGACGAGATCATCCGCTCTCCAACCTCGTCCACCCCACCCAGCCCCGTCGACCTCTCTCCATCCATCCCACGGCGCTCCAACCACCCTCCCATGGGGCACGCCCACACGCAAGCCGCGCAAACAATCTCCAGCTCCCTCCAACACCTCAACTCTCTCAGCTTCGCTGACCACCCTGCCTCCTCGAGGCACTCATCGTCATACTACGCCTCGGAAGAAATGGACTGGTCCCCCACCCCAGCCTCCTCCTCCGCATCCTCCTCCTCCTCCTACTTCACATCCGACTTCAAGTCCCCCTACCGCGCCTTCAACACGCAGGGCCAGCGCCAATCCCAGCCCTTCGGCTCCGCCCCGACCGAGCCGCGCGAGAAGCCCTTCTGGTACCGCGTCCCGCCCGCGCCCACCACCCCGGCCCAGCGCGTCTTCAACCCGCCGAATCAGCCGCGGTTGCGGCCGAGCCCTGTCGATCAGCGGCAGCGGCAGCAGCAGCAGCAGGTGCGCTTTCGCGGGGACGGGACGACACTGGCGCGGGACGGTGGTGGCACTACTACTAATAAGGCGGTTGGGATGATGGGATTGGGGACCGGGGGAGCGACGAGCGCGGAGAAGAAGCAACCGGTCGCATTTGCGGAGCCGAGTTTCTTTGCCGATGTCGTGGTTGGTGGGGAGCGTGCGAAGAGCGATCCGCGTAACGAGTTGTCTAGTATGTTTGGGAAGGGGTTTAAGCTGGAGGAGGGGAGGTCTAAAGAGGGGGGTGGGTGGCTGAAGAGGTTTGTTGGTGGTCGGGAATAGGGCCGAGGGATGGATAAACGGCATGATAAGGAGGGAGGCTGGGTTTTCTTCTGGCATAATAGTACCAGCGTTGGTTGGATGCTTTTGTTCTCTTTGGGTCATGGGTATGGTTTGCTGGTTTACTGGTTGGTTGGTTAGGGGATACCTATCTATCTCTTACGCGAGGGCCGGTCGGTGTACTTGGACACTATTATTACACTGCATTGCATGGATTACTTGGACATGGGCATAAGTTCGGGGACCTTGGGAACTGTCATCTTTAACCTGGAACACCATTACAATACCTCCTCCCAAGTTCAGAATAACCGCCGTAACCATATCCCCTATTAGCGGCGAGACACCCGCTTCTCACTAACCAACGTTCCTCATCTTAACTCATCCCACCACTTCTCGCAGCCACACCCCCTGCAACCTGTAACATACCCGACATCAATCTTTTCAATCCAGTGCATCGCATTCCCTTTCGAGGACACCACCCCGGCCCGCCCTAAGGCAGGATAGGCCGATCCCGAGCCAACCCAAAAGACGTCCACCCCAAGCCCCTCGAACCCTTCCAAAACCCTCCTCCTTCTCTCCGCCAGGCCCCTCACAACATCGAAGTCATCCAACGTCGGAAACGGTCTTGCCACCCCTCTCACCCCGTCCCCCGTTCCACCGCGCTCCAGCACCCCGGCCAGCCGCGCCACCAGCGCCTCGTTGAGATAGGCGACCGTCTCGTCGAAGGAGAGCACCTCCGAGATGGGCAGCAGGTGACAGGCCAGGAATTTCTGGTGGTGGTGCGGGCGAAGCGTGTAGGATCTCGCTGCGGCGCAGCGGGGGCATGGTTTCCTGTTGTTGTTGTAGCTGTTGCTATTATTGTTATTGTTGCCGAGGTTGGTAGTAGTGGTGGTGGGTGGCGGAAGAAGAGGAGAAGGGGAGGCTGCGGTCTGTGGAGGAGGAGGAGGGTTGGCACTAGTAAATTTCGGAGCGCCTCCTCCTCCTCCGGGCGGGTGGCAGACGAGGCAGTGGGAGCGGAAGTTGGTGATGATTTTTTGGCGGAGGGGGTTAGTGCTGATGTGGTCTAGTCTGTTTTCTGGTATGGTCTTGGTGGGACTGGGCTTTGGCGTTGGGCCCGGGCCGGAGCCGACTTGAGGCGAGTTGGGCTCGGGGTGGGGCGCGGATGATCTTCGGTTTTAACAGAAGCCGGGCTCGGAGCCGGGGCGGAAGGGCGCAGGGGTAGTTTCTGCGGTGTTTGAGGTGGGGGCTTTGCGGATCGAGGTTGGGCTTTCCGTGGCTGATCTTTGCGCCTCCGAGGGGCAGGCTGTTCGTACACAGACGGTTCGATCAAGGTCGCTTCACTGCCGCCGCCTGCATCGGAGGGAATCTCATGTAGCCAGGATGAGATGACCCTGGTGTTGGCGCCGTTTTGTGTGTTGAAGTTTCGTGCCATGACTCAAAGATGCCAGATGCTTTTCGAGACGAGAACGAGTCTAAAATCAATGCTGAAGTGGCTTGCAAGCCCCTTTCGAAGCGATTTCCATTCCCTTAGGGAGAAATCTGAACATCCTGTCAAAGAACGGTGGCAGGCCCGAGTGGTTGTGCTTCAAATGTTTTCAAACTCGATGATGTGGCTTTGAGTGTTGTGCTGATTTCCTAATCAGGCAGTTGCCCGGGTGAAGAGACAGACCACCAATAGGGGTCCGGACGCTTCCAGCCGCCGTTACACACTGCCACTGCCGGCAACCGGACCATGATACCATCATCATCATCATCATCGCTCGTGGATAGTACATCATACTTTACTTCACCTTGCTCATTATCGTCTCAGGCCCCCGGACTACGTCCATCTGGGCAGCCCTCGCCTTGACAGCATTCAACATGCTCCGCTCGAAGTCGTCTCTAGACCTCAGCACCGCCTCAACCCAGCTAATCTGCAGATCCCAGTACGCCGACTTGAAGGCCCCAAACGTGTCCGGTATCGCCTCTTTCTCCACCGACAGCAACTGCAGGAACGGCTCGGTCACACGCCACGTCTCCTTGATGGAGTTGCCCACGGCGGGGTTCAGCGTGTTGAAAAAGTCAAACGCCGTCTTGAGGTCGTCGAAGATCTTGTCCTGGAACTGGTCCGACCGGCGGAACTTGGCGCCCTTGTTGCGCACCGACGACAGATACCGGATCAGCAGCTCGTCGGCAAAGATCTCGATGAAGATGTCGACCAGCGAGTGGTGCAGCACCTGCCGGTAGTCGCCGACGTACTCCTCGAACGTGGCGATCATGCGTGCCATGTGCGTCGTCGTGTACCACCGCGGCGTGAAGAAGTCCGGCATGACGGACTTGAAGTCGACGGCGAACACGAGCTGCGCGAACTTGGTCATGCACCAAGTGCTGAGGTCGAGGTAGCCGTCGCGCAGCATCGCCACTTCGGCCTCGGCGCGGTCCATGTACGCCGGCGTGACCATCGTGCTGACCACCTTCTTGAAGTCGGTCAGGTATGCGACCCGGCCCTCGTCCTCGTTGTCGTCGATGCATGCGATCTGGTCATTGGCTGTCGCCACGAGCCAGTCCTGTAGCGGCTGGAACCCCTCGAGGTCAGCCACCTTGTCTGTCTCGTAGCGCGACGCTTCCTCTTCGAGCATCTTCTGCCACGACTGTTGTCGTTGTCTGAGCCGCTGGAACATGGCATCCACCACGCCTTCGGCCACGTCGGCCCGCTTCGAATTGGCAGCTGCCTCGAGCTGCCCGCGCAGCATGCGCCAGAGGTCGACCAGGTTTCTGTTCCGGAAGTAGCCGTACTCATCCTGGTCGAGGTTGCCCCCTTCGACGTTGCGGTCGGCAAAGTCCTTCTTCTCCGTTTCCCAGATGCGCCCGATCCACTCGTCCAGGTATTTGATGATGAGCGCGCGGAAATCTCGCACAAGCTCCGCCTCGCGATTGTCGATGACGTGCGGTGTCAGCTCCTCCTGCTTGAATCCGAGCTTGGTCATCTTGCGGTAGTACTTCTCGGGCCAGCCGACGATTTCCAGCGTATGTGCGGACGAGGTCTGGGGATCGTTGATGATGCCTATGAGGAAGTCGTGCATCATCCCGTGGTAGATGTTTGTCCACGTCCTGAAAATCTTCCATTTCTTGGGCATCAGGGGCACCATGCCTAGTCTGACCGTGTTGAGGTCGTTGAAATACCATCGCAGGCTCTTCTCCAGCTCCCCTGGGTCCTCCATAAACTTCTCCTTGCTCTCCTCAAACTGCCCCTCGCCGATCTTCCTGATGTACTCAAGGAACCTGTCCTTGTACCCTCGCACTGTCTTGGCCCCGTCGGTAATGCTTTGGAACCGCGTGGCCATCTCCTTGTGGTCCTTCAGCGCCTCCTGCAGCGCGAGCACCCTCTGGTCGCTCTTCTCCTCCGCCTCTATTATCAGTGCAAAGCGCACCACCAGACTCGTATTGTCTGCCACCACGAGGTTGATCAGGCTCCTGGCAATCAGGCCGATGTGCTCGTCGAACCACTCGATGGCCTGGTCGAGACGCTCAAAATAATCCTCCAACGTCGACTGCAAGCTCGGGTCGTCGCCCCTTTGGATCTGCTCCATCGCATCATCCCGGATGTTGCGCAGCTGCGTGAGCTCGTAGTGCACGGCGAGCAGGTTCGGCATGTTTTCGGCGTCCTCGTCGTCCTGGCGCAGCATCTCCTGGATGCCGTTGAGGCGCTCGTTGAAGGTCTCGAGGTTGCGGCGCATCGCCTCGACGGCGCCAAAGTTGCGGTGGGCCTGCGACACGAGGTTGATGGTCGCGAAGTCGGTGATCATGTTCTGCGACTCGGAGCATATCTTGTCGATTTTCATCATCTCCTCCTTGATTTGCTGCACCGTCTTCTGGCCGTCGGCCAAGCCATTCATGCCGGCCTGCGTGGTCTCGAGCTGCTCGCGCAGGCCGCCGCGCAGCTGCGAGTCCACGGCCGCCTTCTTGCGCGCGAACTCGGCCTTGAGCGCCGCGATCTTGTCGAGGTCGTCAGGGTGCCGAAGCAGCTCCGACAGCTTGACCGGCGGCACGTCCATTGTTTGGGTGTCTGCGTAGTCCGATGTCAAACCATCGCGTGCTATGTTGTGGTGCGGTCCTCCGTTGGAAGATACCGTGGTGTTTATTTAGCAGGCTCGAGTTTCGGTCGCTGCAGGTCGGCGCAGCGAAGCGACACACATTCCCTTGATTGATCACGGACAAGCAGCATCCACAGATATGGTCCGTGCGCTAGCTATCCCTCAAGCAAAGCCAGCTCAAAAGGCAACCAAAACAGAGTACGGAGGAAAGTTCAGAACAAATAGAGAAGAAGTAATGTGAAGAAGGAAGAAGAAGGTCGAGATAGTTTGAGTCAGGCAAGATATTCTCCCGCAGCTGCCATCACTGACACTTTTGCTTAGTGGTCAATATACCGAGCTACAGTAGCTGCGGTGACGCCCGCTGTGTCATTGCCGGATTGTATCAAAAGCTAGATCCAACGAGACAATAGCTGCCACCTCTATGCGCCGGATATCTCCAGAAACCAGCCAGAAGGATGCACAGGGAGTGGGGATGGCGAATGCACAGGACAGGACAGCTTGCTTCTGCCTGCAATTGTGCTGCAACTGATGTCTCACTCAGTTTCGGGAAGACCCTCCCCCAACAACGGGTGAGAAGCTAGGCGAACCGTCATGGGTGAACGGTTAAGGGACCTCGTATCTCTCGGAAGGAAGTCCTAAGGAGCTTCCGCAGCCATCATTGTTCCCAGCCGACTGGCCAGCACCTATTCGTCCGTACCGCTCTGGCCGCCTCCACTTGGCGCCGTGCACACAGGACCGGACACGAGACATGTTGTAACCGACCCAAGGAAACAGTTCGTCTTGATGTCTACCTCTCTATCGGCCCCATGTCATGTGCAGATGTACACAGCGCTTTCCCTTTGCAGCGCCTGTCCAAATAGCCCCAGTCGCTCTTCACGGCGCCAAAGCCGCGAAGAATCTCTCCCACAACCTCCCCGATAACCCGCAAAGGCAGCCACCAGCTTATGCCTTCGCAGGGTGGTGCATCTGCCAGTCTATGTTTCATTCCGTCAGCAAAACGTCCTGCAATTCCAACCACTGTTTGCCGCCGACCCCGTTCTACTCCTCCCCAACCCGTTGGTACCAAAATAGGAGCAAAGCGGAAGCCATATAAGCAAGCAAAAGCAAGGGCAGAGCAGGGCAGACGTACAGGCAATGCCGAACGGCAGCCCGAACCCGGTGACGCAGAAGGTCCAGTAGCCGATGGTGAACCCGGGGCCCCTCTTGCGCGGGTTGAAGGGCAGGTTGGACAGCGGGCCCTCTGGGTAGTGGTACGGCGAGGAGAGCTGGGCGCGCGTGGCGTGGAAGCCGCGGCGGGCGGTCGCGGCGGCGAGCTGGTTGCCGGTGCGGAGGGTCGCGCGGGCGAGCATCTAATTTGCAACGCAGGAATTGGGTTAGTCAGAATGAGTTGTCCGATTGCGCAATTGCGATGGGCGTAAAGAGCATGGGCGAGAGGAGGTCTGGAGGGCTACCTTGAATGAGTGGGGAGTCTCTGTGTTGCTGTCGCGGAGCAATGAGGTGGTGATGTAGTGAGGTGAATTCGAGCTTGCTTCCGGATTGTGACGCCAGCGATTCGGATTGGCGGGAGCTCGGCTGAGGGTGGTGTGACTTTTTGTGAGGTGCGCGGAACTGGCCTGCCGGAGTCGCAAATCGTGGGTTAGGGTTTAGTGTGAGAGCGGCTAGTTGAAGCGAAATCGTCGACAGCAAGTATGAGTTCTGACACAGCAACTTTAGCGTGTGAAAGGATCGAACCGGAGTATAATCTTGAGCTTATCCTAGATTTTGAGCCGATATGTATGTGGTACTGAAAACGCTCGCGTACGCTGCCGAGCTGGCACTATCCTGTATTGTACAACATCAAACTCACCCCTCTGGTGTCCATATCTTCACCACTGACTTATATCTCAATGCAAGCTGCGAGACGGAACCCGGGGCATAAGAAGGCACATAGATATTACACAAAATCTGTTCGATTATTCTAAGGTTCTGGTATCACATTCCCCAAGTCTACCTCATCGTCACCAGCTCCTCGGCGCTCGTCGGGTGGATGGCCACACAGTTGTCAAAATCGGCCTTCGTGGCGCCCATCTTGACGGCAACGCCAAAGCCCTGTAGCATCTCGCCGCTGCCCAGACCCATGATGTGCAGGCCCACCACCTTCTCCTCCGGACCGGCGCAGATCAGCTTGTAGCTGGTAGGGCCCTTCTGCTCAGGGTCCATCATGGCGTAGTACATGGCAGTGAAATTCGTCTTGTAGATCTTCAGGTTCTCGCGCCCATACTTCTCGACCGCTTGTGGCTCCGTCAAGCCAACCGAGCCTACCTCGGGGTGTGCAAACACGACCGACGGGATGAAGTTGTAGTCGAGCTTTGCCGTCCTGAACTGCTCCGGCCCGTACAACCGCGCGGCCAGCTTCCGGCCCGCGGCAATCGCCACCGGCGTGAGCTCAACCTGCCCGGTCACGTCGCCCAGAGCGTAGATGTTGTCGACGCTCGTGTTTTGGTAGTCATCCACCACGACATAGCCCTTCTCGTTGAGCTTGACGCCAGCGTCTTCCAACCCGATACCCTTCGTCGCAGGGGTCCGGCCGATCGCCCAGATGAGGTGGTTCACATCCGAAACGACGCCCTCACTGTCGCCCTCCTTGTAGTGGATCGAGAGATTGCCTGTCTTCTCGTCCTTCTCCACCTTCTGCACCGCGCTCCGCTTGTGCAGCTTGACGCCCAGCCTCTCGTACTCCTTCGTCACGCCCTCCTGGATCATCGGGTCAAACGCGCGCAGGAAGGTGTCATGCCGGATAAACAGATGCGTCTCGACGCCAAGCGCGTTGAACATGCCCGCAAATTCAACAGCGATGTAGCCGGCGCCAACAAGCGCCACCTTCTTTGGTAGCTTGTCGATGTCGAAGAAGCCGTCGCTGTTTGTGCCGAGCTCAGACCCTGGAATTTGTGGTGGAATAGTCGGGTTGCCACCAACAGCGAGCAGTATTCTCTTGGCGTTGACCACCGTCTTAGTGCCGTCGTCGAGCGTCACCTCGACCTGGTTACGAGACAACAGCTTCGCCCAGCCATGCACGTACTCGACCTTGTCGTTGGCGAGATTGCGCTCGTAGATGCCGTTGAGCCGCAGGATGTAGGCGTCTCGCTTTTTCTTGAAGCTAGTCCAGTCGAACGGGGCTGTCTCTTGGACGCTGAAGCCGTATGACTTGGCTTCGTGGATCGTCTCGGCGATCAAGGCGGCGTTGAAGGTGACCTTCTTTGGAACACAGCTATTGGAAGCAGGATGCTGTCAGCATGTTGAAGCGCAGCGTTTGCATTGGGTCCCGTAAACACTCACCCGACGTTAACACATGTCCCTCCCAGCCGCTTGCCCTCAATGACCATCGCCCTGGCCCCGTACCTGGAGCTGGCCGCGCGGGCGGCGCCGAGTCCTCCGCTGCCGCCTCCTATCACGAGGAAATCCGTCTCCTTCGAAATCGGCGCCATGGTGAGTGATGTGTGGGAAAAGTGGCGGGAGATGTTGCTGATGCGGCCTGCGGCAGGTCTAGACGAGAGCAGGGAGCGTCTAGCTAGTACAGAAAGTGGTTGCATGGAAATAGGTATCGTCTTGTTGACGAACGGAGAAGGAGCCGCGGGGTTGGAGGGGTTATTATACAGATACGGACAGGGTGACAAATCCGATGGCGCGCAGAAACCTCGGCCTTGCGATTGCACAATGCGCGATGCTGACTCGGAGCCCAATGTATGCAGCAATTACTAGTAGTATTCTAGCTCCGACTCCAACACTTGATGAATCAGCAACGAGTTGATTAGAAAATTGACTGGTCTCGTAAGCTGTCCGGTTCGAAACCCCAGGTCGCCGACGACGGACTTTGAGATCTGATCTGAGAATCCGGTCCCACTTCTGCGGGACAACGCCGGACAGAAGTACACCTTCCGATGTCAACCGGAATCTCAAGAGATGAAAAGACAGTCATTTAGCGGCTGGTTCTTCCTTCCTTCTTTTCTCCCTATTTTCTTTCCATTCTCGCGTTTTTCTTATGGTAAGCCTGACTGTATTTGCGTGACCCGTCGGCTCAAGTGCCGGGGTGAGGGCCTCTGTGTACGGAATATTTTGTGAGGAGGCACCGAGTGTCCGCATGGGCTTTGACATTTCGCCGGACTCACTCAGTTGTTCACATTTGGCTCCATGGAGGTGTGAGTTGGAGACATGACTCCTTGACCTTAACTGTGGTGGCATAGTGACTGGAAGGATTACTATATCAGACAACTGGATCTGCGCATCCTGTAATACTACCTGGTAGGTAACTTAGTCGCTGGTATTGAAGTCTTATTCTTCACGACCTTCCTGGCCCTGCTCCTTTCGTCATCTCCCCTCGCCATTGCCCACTACATCCACTCACAACCAACTCACGTACATCACCTCCTCATATCTCTACCACAAGACAATGCCACCATGACCAACGTACCCCTCCTCAAACACTCCGCGGCCTCACTGCAAGCCCTCTGTGCGTCCTGCGGCCTCAAGAAATCCGGCACCAAAGCCGCGCTGGTCCTACGCCTCTCCCTCGCGGCCAAACACTTCCAGCCATTGCCCCCAAATACCCGCGTGCTCAGCATCGACCTCGGCCTCAAGAACTTCGCCTTCAGCCTCCTCAGCCCGGCACCAGCATCAACACCAGCACCAGCACCAGCACCACCCCGAGCCCCAACCCCATCCTCACCCCTCCTGAACATCTCCCCAGTGCACCTGCACGCCTGGCACCGCCTGGACCTGACCCTTCCGCCCTCAAGCACGCCCGATGAACAAGGAGGAGAAGCCGCCGAGAAGGACAACGAAAAAGAAGAAGAAGGAGGAGGAGATGGCTTCTCCCCGGCCACGCTCTCCGCCGTGACTGTCGACCTGGTCAAGTCGCACCTCCTCCCGCTGCAGCCGACCCACGTGCTCATCGAGCGGCAGCGCTTCCGCACGGGCGGCGCCGCGGCCATCTTTGAGTGGACGCTGCGGGTGAACACGCTCGAGGCGATGCTGCATGCCGTCTTTGCCGCGCTGCGAGGGGCGGCCCCGGCCGGGGATGGGTTGCCGAATGGGATGCCGTTGGTGGTGGATTCGGTGCTGCCCAGACGGGTGGCCGGGTTTTTGTTCCCTGATGGACTGCTGCCGGTGCCGGTGCCGGAGCCGGAGGTGGCCGGTGTCGGTTCGCTGACAGGAGCAGGTGAGGGGAAGCGAAAGGGGAAAGGGAAGGGGAGGGGGGGTAATGGGGCGTATCAGCTGCTGAAGAAGGGCAAGGTCGATGTGCTGGGGGCGGGGTTGAAGGAGGGCCAGTTGGTTGTGCCCCAGACGGAACAGGCGAGGGAGATGGTGGGGTTGTTCCTGGAGGGGTTGGCGGCAAGGGGGCAGAGGAAGCGTGGGAGGAAGTCGAAGGAGGAGAAGGACGCGGTGGATGAGATCCTTACCAAGATGGATGACTTGTCAGATGCTGTGCTGCAGGGTGCGGTTTGGCTCCAGTGGCAGAGGAACTTGGAGAGGCTGGTGAAGGAGCGGCCGGAACTGCTTGAAACGACCGAGATGTAAGAGTTTGGGTAGGGTACAGTACAGGGGGCCAGTGATCCGAAAGATAGATAGTGAATCGGAGATGGTGCTGCATATCCAAGAAAGAAGTGCATTTTGCCCGTAATTTTCATACCAACTGGGTATCATATCTAAGTGTCACGTCGCCGTCTCTAGAGCTAATCGCTGTAATAATAGTCATCATACATGCCCTCTTCCCTCTGCGTGCTCACCCACTCTTCACTCGCCAACCCCCTCTTCATCCTCCTTTTTAGCCCCGGAGCGTCCTTGTGCCAATCACAAGCATAGTCACACTCAGGCACCCGCTCCTCGCCAAAATACTTGCAAATCGCGGCGTGCCGGCAGGTGTTCGTGTCCTCGCAGTACTCGACCAGCCGGTTCAGACTCTGCATCCTCGCCTGCTTATTCCCATCCACACTCCCGTCCCTGGCCGCCTGCCCGTCCCTCATCACCATGTTGCACACGCGGTCCCTGTCCTCGCGAGCATAGTACAAGAAGCAATAACTCGCGTTCCCGTCGCGCCCCGCTCTGCCAGCCTCTTGATAGTATCCCTCAAAACTCTTCGGCAGCCGCCAGTGTACGACAAAGCGCACGTTCTCCTTGTCGATGCCCATGCCGAAGGCCGTGGTGGCCACGATGATGTCGTAGCCGGGCTCGTTGGCAATCCACCGCGCCAGCGTCTCCTCCTTGACTTCCTTGGGCAGCTTGGCGTGGAACGGTCGGGCGCCGATCTCGTCGTGGCGGAGCGCGGCGGCCAGCGACTCGCACTCGTCGCGGGAGATGGTGTAGATGATTCCCGGCACGTTCTCGACGCGCTCGCCGGCCGCTTCCAGCTCCGGTCTGCGGTCGGGCGCCGCACGCCGCGCGTACACGCCCTTCAGCCAGGTGACGAAGTCGTCGTAGCGGTCGTTGGCCTCGTCGCTGGTGAAGCGGACCTCGAGGTGCAGATTCGGCCGGTGCGCGGTCATGGTGAAGTTCCGCAGCCTATCGGGCGTCCTGTCGAGCCCAAGCGTGGACAGGATGTCCCGACGGACCTGGTCGTTGGCTGTGGCCGTCAGACACATGATCGGCACGTCCGGGAAGGTGTCGCGGAACCATGACAGGCGCTTGAAGTCCCTGCGGAAGTCGTGGCCCCATTCTGAGATGCAGTGGGCTTCGTCTACGGCGATTCGGGCGAGCTCCTTTTGCTCGTGGACCAGCTTGAGACGGTCGCGGAAGCGGTCGAAGGAGCAGAGCTCGGGGGTCACATAGAGGAGGCGCGTGTGCGGGTGACCCGTGGCCAGGTCTTGGTAGATATAGTCTCGCTCCGCTAAAGGGGTGTTACTGTTGAGCGTGCGCGCGTCTACGTTGGCTGCACGCAGTGCTTCGACTTGATTGATCTGCGCGCCTGGTTAGGTACTATACGGAGATTGCTTACGGCAGTCGGAGATAGACTTGCCATGAGACTCAGCAACGGAGAGATGACAATCGTAACTGAGCGTGCATTAGCTACCCACTCATCGCTCCCTAAATTGAAAAAAATGTTGCAGAACATACTCCCCCGGTCTATCACAGCAGGCAGTTGGAAGCACAGGCTCTTGCCAAACGACGTTGCTGCCTGGACGAAGACATCTTTGCCTTCGAGTGCGGCAAGAATGATTTCACGCTGATACGGCCTTACCATGTTAGCACGCGGACTCCAGCAGTACGTTGAGGGGTTCTAGATACCTGAATGTCTCCTTGTTGAACTGCCGTCGGAGAGTAAAGTCAATGTCGTGGAACGAGTCGCTCCTGGCGAGAGGCATTTTGGCCCCTTCTGCTTTCCCCAAAAGGAGTATAAATGCTTCATATTAATCTCCTTTCCAAAGTCCCCGATGCATTTGTGGGCTGGGACTGATGACTTGTAGGTAGCAGGCCAGGAGCGATGTTGGGTCTCATCCGATGGTCAGCATGAGGACTTGATTTGGTTGTTCGGCTTTGCAAAAGCCGGGTGGAGAGGTGAAGTGAAGTCGAGATCCAAGATGCCTTAACAGAACTGTCTCGATTTTAGTTGAACTTCTACTTTGACCCAGCACAAACTTCGACGAAGTGCCATCAAAAGAGTTATTACTAGTAGTACGACATCGAGTTGCAGGACGCTTGTTGGGTGAACTTGAAGGCTGAAGACAGGGTTAGGGTTGAGGAAGAAGCCCATCTGAGGTGATGGGGATATCCGGCTTGAAGCTGTGAATGAAGCTGGACAGCCTCAAGAACCCATGTTCCTACCCATGCCAAGAGCTGTTCCCTTTAAGATTGTGGGTTCAGACTCGTCAGCTACGATTTTCCGGATTTGAGGGTTGGCCGGGAGTGCAGGAGAGCATTCAGGCACGAGTACCCGTACTTACTACTCCGTATGATCCGATTTAGCATCTTCAATTACACCAAACCATCGTTCGGTGCAGTGTTACGCGAGTAAGCACTGCGCCTCGGATAAACTTGCCAAATATTGGCTTACGTCTACCACGAACAGAAGGACAAGGCAGATCAACAAGATCAGATCTGGAGAGATAGGGGAGGTAAGCACCCAATTGATGTGTGTAACTCGAGATGCTTTTCCACGCCCAGCCAGCTCCTCCGTGTGTGTTTCGTTTCAACTAGACGCCTGGGCTCTTGGTGGTTATCCGCGCTCAGTCGCGACTACGCGAGCAGCCAATTACTGAGATCTTGGCTACGAAAGGGCGTTGAATGGTGCACCGGCTGCCGCGACGGTGACGTTGGAAGTCTGCTTGTCCCTTGCAGTTTTGCCGCAGGTCTTCGCTAGGTGCACGCCCCTCCTTGTCCTTAAACAGCGGGGTCCCATTGGTCTGGCCCATGCACCGCCAGCAGCCCACTACACCCCTTGTCTATTTGCGACATGCACCCCGACTGTGTGCCTACGCTAACCCCTATGTTGGGCGTTTTGCTACCCGACATGGGCCCGAGACTGGAAACTCAGCAGTTCAGACAGAGCAAGGCAGTTTTTTGTTACGAGAATTCGCTACTTGCACCGTTCCTTCGCCTCAACGACAACGCCGCGTCCGAACTTCAGCGAGAACGTGCCGCTTGCTGTGCCCGTAGCGGTTTAGCAGACAGTTCACCGCCTAGGTCGCTTCCTGGCCCCCCCTGTCCGACCATAAGGAGGCTGGTCTCGCCATGAATCCATCCGACCGGCTGCCACCACTCTGTCCAACGGCTTAAATCTGTCGTCCAACTGCCGGTCTCACGAGGTATCGAAAGGTACTACCGGACTAAAACTTCGAACGGGCGCCCTTCTCTGGCGGCATTGCTGTTGGCCTCGAGATCGAGAGATCGAACGGGTATCGACCAAAGGCAGACCGGCTCGATGGACTTCCTGGTCGACTTTCCCCGGGGGCTGCCCGATAATCCGGCGCAGGCCCGTAGGGCAATTGCAGCTGCCGCGCTCGCAAACCCGACGCCTCCGCCTCCGGTCCCGAGCCTTCGAGATGTTCCGTCGACGTCGAATCTTTCGGCGGGCCAACCCATCTCGCCCAACCAGGTGCTTGCGCTGGCAAGAGAAGCGATGCGGACTGCTCACGAGAACGAGGCCAAGGCAGCCGAGGCCAGCGGGGTCAGCAATACGCTTAAGCCGGGCCTGACCATAGACCTGAGCAGGAAGAAAATCCAGACACTGCCCGAGGAGATCGTGGACATAATCAAAGACGAATTGGAGCGGTAGGGTTCCCTCCTTACCCTGCTTTCTACAGCCCTGGCTTTTCTAATGCGCCGCAACAGTCTTGCGCTGTCGCACAACTACCTGCAGACCCTCCCGGCCAGGTTCTCCGAATGCACCTCCCTGCGGTATCTCAATGTCAGGCAGAACAGGATAAAGGAGTTTCCTCTAGCGGTGAGCATGGATTCTTCTGTGGGGTTCTCAGCCCCAACGTTCAGGTGCTGACAAGCCGCTTCCAGCTCTGTGACCTCAAGTCACTCGAGATCCTTGATTTGGGGCGAAACATGCTTCAAGTCCTGCCACCAGAGATAGTAAAGCTATCATCTCTCAAGGTGTTCTCAATCCCGAAGAACAAGATCACCCACCTGCCGCTTTGCTTGGCCGACATGCCGTCCCTATCCGTCGTGAAGTTGGAGGGCAACCCGCTGAAGTTTCCACCGCCTGAGATACTACGAGTGCAAGGGAACGGCGGGCAGAATGACGGGACTGGGAAGGAGAGCGAGCTATCAGAGGTTGCTGCCACGGCGCTTCTCAAGAAGTTCCTGAAGCAAGAGGCCAGCGGTCAGGCGGATTCACCTGGCGACGGGGCGTCTGAAGGCACAGAAACGCCGCGACCAACGATCAAGCGGGTCTTTAGTGGACGGTTCCCAATCAAAGTCAATGGCAACGAAGTGCCTGACCTCAGATCGCCAGCTGCTCCTCGCCCGCCACCGATCCCGAATCGGTCGCACTACCGCGGACTCTCACAACAAAACGCAGCGCAGCGCAGGCCAGGGGTCATGCCTCTGATCATCGGAAACCCAAATGAAAGGGTGCGTAGCAACTCCGAAACCATTTTCCAGACCTCGAGCCGGGAGCGATCCGAAAGCCGGTCTCGGCGCATGGCCACGATTGTGTCCAAGAGGTCAGAGCTCAGTACGCTAGAAGAAGACGTGAACAACCGCTTCAGTCATTATCGGGGCCTCAGTCATGGCTCCGCAATGCAGGGCAACGGTGCGGCTACGCAGACGAAAAGCCCTAGCAATGGGAGCCCGGCCGAGCCGGCATTGCAGCGCCCTGTCTACATCCGTAGGCTATCGGTCCTGCCCGAGAGACGGCGCGAGTCTAAGGTCTTCGACCCTGTGCTTGAAGCTGCCAAGGGTGTTCTCTATTCCATCTTCCAGATCCATCCTATGATTCAGACGCTGGTCGGCTTGACCAACGACGGCACGTCGCGGCGGTCGAACCTCGAGTTTGTGGTGCACAACACAAATGCCCATGTTGAGCAGCTGGAACTGGAAATACAGAAACATGAACAGGCGGCCGAAGACGGATACGGTCAGAAAGAGAACGAAAACGTACAACGGGCCTGCCTCACACTTATCCATGCCTACCAGCATGTGTGTTCGCTCGTGATGAGCAACGTGGACCTGTTTCTGGACAACGGCGACCCGCGATACATCCGAACGTTGTTGACGCAGCTCTATAATAGCGTTATGGAACTGCGTGTAACTTGCTCCCAGATAGCACCGGACGGTAATTCGCGGCCCGCCGCTACCCTTGCTCGACCTGATCTTGGGGAGACTATTAAGCCTCATTCGCGTGAGAATTCGACCACGCCAACGATCGACCGAGTGCTTGCGAACGGCAGGCCGCGGAACGGCATGTTCGTATACAACCCCAGCAATCTTCGGGTTGCCACAGATGTCTCGATGCCCTATTTCAACGGCTTTAGCCGGTCAGCGATTGCGGGGGCCGCTACGCCCAGGTCCGGAGAATCCTTCGCGTCGACGAGCACCACGGGCACCCGCAACCTATCGGCCGACTTCACCGAGGAGGATCGCATCTTCGAGAGGATATTCCTCTCGCTGCAGAAGACCACAGAGCTAGTGATGCGTGTCTTGCCGACGATGAGGGGCCAGTTCGTATCTGCGATGCGGGCAGCGGCGGCACAGCGCTCCCCTGATCACCAAGTCCACTGTTGGAAGACGCTAATTGCTAAGTGCACTACGTCGATCCAGCAAACAGACATGCTCAAGGGTAAACTCTCAACGATCAAGCTAAAGGAGCCGGGTATCCGCACGCAACCATCCTTCTGGCGCCTCTGCAACAGCTTCGTCGACTCGTGGTACGTCCTGATCAAGAGGATCATGCACCTGCAGAACGACATACAACTGCCCATAGATACCAAGTCTCGCCTACGCCCCATCCAACGCAGCATGAAAGAAACATGTGACCTCATGATGTCGTCTCCATGGTCCTACTTCCTCCGCCACCCGGGCGCGGAACCCATCGCCTCGCCCTACAGCAGCACACAATCTAGCACGCCGGTACCCCTTCCCATGACACCGCAGAGCGCGGCCTTGGGTCCTGCGGTGCAGGCCACCGTACCGTCTACACCGCAGAGCGCCTCGTTCTCGTCGGCGTTCTCGGGTGTATTTGAGCGCGACCGCTCGGACACGATGCTTTCTATGGGTGGCGGCGGCGGCGGCGGCGGCGGCGGGTACGGGAACGGCATGTCGCGCAGCGGAACTATGAATTCCAGCTCAACGGCGAGCCTGACCGCGTCCAGTCTCAACTCGATGAGCAGTGTCGGGTCGTCCCATGAGGTAGTTACCCCATCGTCGGCACTGAGTCCGGGCGGCGGGCCGTTTGGGCAGTTGCCCTTTCGGTTAGGGGATCGCGGCGGAGGCAATATGAAAGTGGGCGGATTCTAGGGGGGTGATATGAGGGCAGTGGGGTTGATATATGGGGGAGATCTACCGGCCTTGTGATTCACGGTTGAATTTAGACGACCGGATTCTTGGAACATTGTATCCTGTTTCGAAGCAAGTCTGGCGTCTGGTGGTCCTGCGATGGGAACGGGGAGAGACAGGGTTTGGCATGGTGGCGCAGGAAAGACAACGGTCCTGGTTGCATAATGGATATCCGTAGTGTTTTGTCAATTGGGCGCATTGGAAGGAGAGGGGGGTTTTGGATGGGCACGCATATGTGTCACCCTGAGCGGGTTGATGAGGGCGTGGTGAATGGATAGACAGGGTAATCAAACAATGAAGCTTCCCAAAGTGAGTTTTACCTGTATGACAATATGGACTTCCTGGTGGTGAGTTCAATCATCTTGCCGCAACAGCTTGTGTACCCAACTCATATGGCCCCCTCGGGTGTACGTGGGCCGGTCACATGGGGTTGGATGAACAGCTGCAGATCTTCGGAGCACACAACTGCCCCGCATCACGACACATTTCACGACATCCCTCATCGCATGCTGCGAAACACTAACAGCTAAGAGCTCGCTCAAGCAAACGGATCGCTTGGCTCAAGTGGATAAGCGTCTTTGCGGGCCGTCAATTGAGGGTCCAGTTATTTTTCAGACTTATTCCGTTGTGTACCCAAGTTCAAGGTAGAGGTTATCAAGATGCCTTCTTCAGCAGCGGCTCCTATCTCCTTGACAACAGCGTCCATCACACCGGCGCAACCGTCCGCCGCCTCCGTCAGCAGCGTGACTGCCACAGCATTCTCGCCGTCTACAGACAAGGGCAATAATACTCGCAGCGCCTATAGGCGTGCAAGCATCTTCTCCTCCCTCCTCTCCAGGTCAACCACCAGGCCCACGCCCAAGCCTTCCAGTCCGCCATCTGTCGCCTCCTCCTCTGTCTCGGTCTCAGTATCCACCACCTCCCGTCCCCATCCTCCCAGCACAAGCATCACCTCAACTACAACAAGAACAACAACAGCAACAACCCTTCTCCCCACCACACCCTCCTCCTCGTCCATCCCACCATCCACCACGATCGCTTCTTCCTCCTCCCCACTCCCACCCCGCCAACCTATCTTAAGATCCGAACCTCCATCAGGATCAGGTCCTATTTTAGGATCGGGGTCTCCTCTATCTCTATCAGGACGTACATCAGGCCCAGACCCAGTGTCCGGATCGGGACCCCTCTCAGGACCGTCGGGCCAGCGGGAGATCGAGCAGGCCCGGTCGGCGGTGATCGCGTCGATCGGCAACCTGTTCGACCGGGAGCTGACGTCGCGGGCGCGGCTGCTGCACGCCAACAACGCGGCCATCGAGAAGCAGGAGCGAGACGTGGCACGCGCGACCGAGGCGCTGCGCAAGGAAAACGACAAGCTCGGCAAGCTGGCCGAAACGCACGCCGGGAAGGTCAAGGAGATTGGCAATGTGCAGAACTGGGCCGAGATGCTGGAGCGCGAGTTCTTGATCCTCGAGGAGACGCTGAGGTTGGTGAATGGCGGGGGTTCTGGAGGGGGGGAGGAGGGCAGTGGGAGTGAATGGAGTGGGAGTGAGGATTATGAGGGGAGGAAGAGGATGGCGAGGGTATATCAGGGGGGAGTTCAAGTCAAAGGAGGGATGGAGAGGGAGATGTGGCGATGAGTGATGCCGGTGGGCCTGAGACGGTGCCGTTGCCCGGGTCGCCGCCGGTTTAGAGATGTGGATGTGAATTGCTTGGGACTGGGGCTAGAGAGTTGTGAGGCAAAGAGTTGGATATGGATCGGCGCTTACGACGATATGATCGGATGACTTGACGAAACAGATGACTTAACGAAAGCAAGCTTATTATTTGATCAAGTTATAACTGTGTCAGCGGCCCAAAGTAGCGCTCCCGAACTCTCCTTCCAACCCAAATGCTCTCCCCAAACGCAACACTGTTATACACCTTGGGCGGGTTGTAGCTGAGCTTCCAGCGTGGACCGATAGTAGTACTATTATTCACCATATCTCGACCTCTACTACAACGCCGAGCATAGAACGTAGCTGCTTGAGCTCGTTGGGGGGCCGGGGGTTCACCGTCGATAGGTTGATCAAGCGCCAATAGGTATCCGCCTAGTTCCAAATCTAGATAATGAATTAGAGTAAACTAGTGAGGTGATTGTTTAAATGATACTAGTATATCTATATTTAGTGAGGTAGAGTTGTCACTGCCTACACCTGTTGTGAGTGCAACACCCGTCGTTAACATCGATCTTGATAAAAGTGCTCGAGAAGTGGTACTGTTACTCCTAGCGATAAGACTTGGAACCAGATTAGTAATACGTCATTTTCGATCCCCAGCCCGCACGCTGAGCCGCTGCACTGACACGACTGTGACTGTGAGCAGGCACTGGTAGGTTACAGCAAGATTCCAACCGACTTAGCTTGGGGCGTTGTAACTTTTACCCCGCCGTAATACAACCCCGACCGGGTTCTTAAGGTTTGGAAGCTTCGGGCAACATTCTGACCCCCCCCCCCCCCCCGGTCTCAGCCTTATCGGTCCCGGCGATTTCCTTCAACTTCCCTTACCAACTTCCCCTGTCGTCCTCGACACGCTAATTCCCGAACATCAACGTCGACGATCAACAAGATGGATCCGAACGAACAGCCACCGCCGCCGTCGACGCCCGATGCGCCGGACCAAGAAACGATGGAGCAGATCCGCCGGAGACGGCTGGCCAAGCTCGGCGGACCCCCGGCGTCAGCCGCAACAGGAACGGCGGGGTCGCCCAGCACTGAGACACCGTCCGGCTCGGGCGCCGCCTCGTCAATACCCGCTCAAGAGAAGGCCGCGATAAACGAGTCCGAGAAGCCCGTGCCGTCAGAGATCCGCCCAAAAATCAACATCACTCCCGCCGCCTCCGCCGCCCCACAGACTGCCGGCAGTGCGGGCAGCAGCAGACCAGGTAGTAACATCGAGAAGGAGCCTGGAGCGAAAAGACGAGCATCAGATGTTGACGGGCCCTCAGCGACGCCGCCGGCCCGGAAGCACACCCCGGTCGCTCAGGAGACGATCGAGGACTACGGCGACCGGGTACTGTCGTCCATCTTCCGCGTCACCCTCGACCCGAGCCGCGCGACGGACAGCCACGGACATAAACTCACCTTCTTACCGAACTTGAGCCAGGAGCTGGCGGACGAGGGCGCGCCGCTCAAGCTGTCGGCCGGCCGCGTGGAGGAAGCGATCATGGAGGCGGCGACGGCGTGGCCTGCCGACCGGCCGCTGTTGGATTACCTGCTGCCCTGCTGGAAGCGGGTGACTAGGACGCTTAAGGTGCTGCGTGCTCCCGCCCCGGAGAAGGAGGCGTTGCTGAAGGAGGCGCGGCGGTTGTGCTTCAGCAACTGCATCTTTGCGCTGACGGTGCCCGAGCTGTTCAGGTGAGGCTGGCTGATTTCTGACGAGACTTGCGTCCCTGGCGCTGACTATCTATGTGCCACTTCAAGTCGCGAGGCGAACCCACAGCACGATTCATTGGTGCCGTATCTGTTGCACGAGGTCGAGAGTGAAAATGGCCTGTGCATGGACTTCTTTGCGGAGGCTGTGGCTCGCCTGGATGAGGACGAGACTATTGCCCCGCTGTTCACCAAGGCTATGGCGGACATCAGTAGCAAACTCGCTACCATGTCCATGAACGATGATTATAAGCCTTGCGTCAACGTGAGTGGGCAGGATGGACTGGATGGCCTTCTCTCCGTCGCTGATCTTTTGTTAGGCACTCTTAACATACTCGAGATTCCCGCCTCTGCTCAATGCCTTGACACAGCATCCGTGCTTCCAAATGGCGCAGTCAGCACCCGGGATCGAGAAGAACACCATCCTCGGACCTTTCTTCAGGATATCCCCTCTCCAGCCAGAGGTGACCGCAGTGTATTTTCCAGGGCCGAGGACGATGGACAAAGGGCGCATCAAGACATCGCAGGATGCTCTCCAGATGTCCCTCGGGGCGCACCAGTCCGATCTTAGGACGATCGTCAACGCCTTCATCCGCGCAAGTCCCGAGGCCCGAAACAAGGTGCTGGACTGGTTCGCCTACATCATGAACGTCAACCACAAGCGGCGCGCCATGCAGGTCGACCACCGGGAGGTCTCGTCGGACGGCTTCATGATGAACGTGACTGTCATCCTAGACTGTCTATGCGAGCCCTTCATGGACAGCACCTTCTCGAAAGTGGGCCGCATCGATGTCAACTACTTTAGGAGAAATCCGAGGATTGACATCAAGGACGAGACGAAGCTGAACGCGGACCAGGCGCAGTCGGATTCCTTCTACGCGAACAAGGTAGATGGGGAGTCGAATTTCATCACGGAGGTCTTTTTCTTGACGCTCGCCGCGCACCACTACGGCAGCGAGGCGGCAAACGCCAAGATGAAGACTCTCGACAGAGAGATCAAGTATTACGAGAAGAGCATCGCCATGATGGAGGCAGAGCGCCACAAGCTTGCCAGTCGGCCCGAGCAGCTTGTGGTACTAGAAGCAGCTCTCAAGCGCCACACGAATGTCCTGGAACGGGCCGTCGCCTTGAGGCTTTCCATCGAGGGAGTCCTGCTCGAGCAGAAGATGCAGACCCGATCGCTGCAGTTTATGCGGTATGTGACGGTCTGGCTGCTAAGAGTAGCCAGCCAGACAGAGTACACTCCGGACAAGCCGCTGCGGCTTCCGCTGCCGGCAGACCAGCCCGACGCGTTCAAGTGCCTGCCGGAGTATGCCCTGCAGGATATAGTGGACAACTTCAAGTTCGTCTTCCGCCATCTTCCGCAGATCATTCTCACGGCGGCCGGCGACGAGATGATTGCACTCTGCATCACCTTCCTGGAGTCGTCGGAATATGTCAAGAACCCCTATCTGAAGTCGTCGCTCGTCACGCTGCTCTTCCAAGGGACGTGGCCCACATATCACCTTAAGAAGGGCGTATTGGGCGATCTCATGACTAACACCAAGTTCGCCAACGACTACCTCCTGCATGCGGTCATGAAGTTTTACATTGAGTGCGAGTCGACGGGCGCCCACACGCAGTTCTACGACAAGTTCAACATACGGTACGAGATCTTCCAGGTAATTAAGTGTGTCTGGCCCAATGACTTGTACCGGCAGCAGCTGGTTCAGTCGAGCAGGTGAGTTGGGTTATCCGACGCAGCTGGGAAGTTGCTGTTTCCAGCTGACACCAAATGCAGATCGAACCGGGCATTCTTCGTCCGCTTCGTCAACCTGCTGATGAACGACGCTACCTACGTGTTGGACGAAGGCTTGAGCAAGTTTCCCAAGATCCACGACTTGCAGATGAAGTTGAGGGACCCAAACATGTCCCAACAGGACCGCGAGAAGACCGAGGAGGAGCTGCGCACTGCAGAGGGCCAAGCACAGTCCTACATGCAACTGGCCAACGAAACAGTCAGCATGATGAAGCTCTTCACCACGACGCTCGGCGAGGCCTTCACCATGCCCGAGATCGTCCAGCGGCTGGCCGGTATGCTCGACTACAACCTCGACATCCTGACGGGGCCCAAGTCCAAGATGCTGAAGGTCGAAAACCCGGAGAAGTACTTCTTCAACCCAAAAACGCTCCTCCCGGAGCTGGTCGACATCTACATCAACCTGGGCTCCTCCCAGGCCTTTGTCGAGGCTGTGGCCGCCGACGGCCGGTCCTACAAGCCGTCCACCATGTCGGCGACCGCCCACATCCTCCGCAGCAAGCACCTCAAGGACGAGCAGGACATCCAGGCGTGGGAGGTGCTGGCGGCCCAGTTCGCGAGCGCAAAGGAGGCGCTAGACCGCTACGAGCTGGAGTACGACGACGTGCCCCCGGAGTTCGAGGATCCCATCATGGGCATCCTCATGAACGAGCCCGTGATCCTGCCGTCGAAGCATGTCGTCGATCGGTCGACGATCGTGCAGCACTTGCTGAGCGACCCCAAGGACCCGTATACCAGGCAGCCGATGACGGTGGATGATGTCGTGCCCGATGTGGAGCTCAAGGAGAGGATTGAGGCGTGGAAGGCGGAGAAGAGGGCGAAAGCCAGGGCTGCGGATGCCGAGGCTATGGATACAACTGAGTAAAGTAGGGTAACGGTTTGTGCACGGGTTATTTGTACCTAGGGTAGGGTTGGGGTGTGTGTGTGTGCCTGGGTAGGAGGTGGGTTGATGGTACTCGGATTCCGGCTTTGGCATCATCATGATGGGATAGAGAACTTCTTTTGCTTCGGGGTTGGGGTGTTAAGATGGGAAAGGGGAGGCTGGATTTTTGTAGTGTAGTATTGCTTTTTATCATTGATCCGAGAGACATCGAATCTGTGACGCCACGATCAGTTAACGTATTCAACATGGAGGCCAGTGCCCGCCAGGATACTTTAAAAAAATGGGTCGGGTGTGCTGCGCGTTTAATGTTTCCAATATCAAATTTGGTTGTGGACGTCGTCCTTCCATGGCAGGGTACCTCCCTAGGCTTGTCCGTTCCAGACTCTCTCCTGAAGAGTAGAGTGTTCAGGGAATCGGGTTCCTTCATTACTTCGGGGCCTGGTTACAGTACCCAGCCGTACCGAGTTCTTTCTTCCGCCTTACTTATTACGCAAGGACTTCGGGGGGAGGCTTACTGAGTGATCTGTGGTTCCCGTCAGGTTGCAGTGCCGACTCGGACTATCCTGTTATTCCACTGGCAAACATGTTTACCGCTGACGTCACCCGTTTCGCTCTCGACAGACTGTCATAACCAGACATGGTGCAAGTACGTCGTGTAATACATTATAAGCAACACACGAAATCTGCGGCTCGGCTGGCGGTGCCGGAGATAATCAGGGGTTTAATAAACTTTTACAGTTTACAGCGCACATACGGCAAGCACGAGTCCGCTCATCGGAGTTACTAAACCCGAACACTCGCCGCCAGCGTGTAAGGTAGCTCTCTGAAGTTCAACCCCCACTCACTAGGTACCGAAGAGGGGCTGCTAAGCGGGGTTGACAATGTCGTATGCCCATGGAATGATGGAAGGTATATATGAGGTTCGTTCTGCATTGGAACAGGTTGCTGCCGCTCGGGACTCTGCGCTGTATACCTAAGGTATTCTGTGCCTCGACATCCAATCTCTTCCTGACGGGATAGTACAGCAAAGCAACAACGATGACCAAGGTTCTTTTGACAGGTGAGCGCTTGTAGTGACTTACCCACTCTTGGGGACGGACGGGGAAATAACTGATACATGAGTACCGTAGGTGGCTCCGGCTTCATTGCCGGTAAGTTCCAAAACAACACTCGGAATCCCTCGCCGGAGGGAGGGAAGTGGATTTGGCTGACATGTGCACAGCCCACGTCCTTGACCAGCTCCTCGCCAAAGGCCACAGCGTCGTGACGACCGTCCGCAGCGAGGAAAAGGCCGCCAAGATCCGCGAAGCCTACCCGTCGCAAGCCGCCTCGGGCGATCTCGCCGTCGCCATCGTCCCCGACATCGCCCAGCCCGACGCCTTTGACGAGGTGGTCAAGACTCCCGGGCTCGAAGTCGTCCTGCACACGGCATCCCCCTTCCATTTCAAGTGGAGTGCGTTTTCCCCCACCCCATTTCCCCCTTTTCCCCCTTCCCCCCCTTTTCTCTCAAATAAGATGTAACTAACCCCTCCCCTCTCCTTCGCCCATAAAAACAGCGGACGCCAAAAAGGAACTGATCGACCCGGCCGTGATCGGCACGACCTCCATCCTGCGCGCCATCGCGCGGTCGGCGCCGACCGTGCGCCGCGTCGTGGTGACCTCGTCCTTCGCGGCCATCCTGGACGAGGCGCACATCGCGGACGGCAGCCACACCTTCTCGGAAGCCTCGTGGAACCCGGTCACGCTGGCTGACATCCACCGCTCGCCCGCCACGGCGTACCGCGCGAGCAAGACGCTGGCCGAGAGGGCCGCGTGGGAGTTTGTGCGCGACCCCGCGAGTGGCGCCAAGTTCGATCTGGTCACGGTCAACCCGCCCATGGTTTTCGGTCCCGTCCTGCAGCACAACGTGGGGAGCTTGGATGCGGTCAACACGAGTAATGAGCGGGTGGTGGATCTTCTGCGGGGGAAGTGGAAGGAGGAGGTGCCGAGCACGGGGGCGGCGGTGATCTGGATCGACGTGCGCGACGTTGCGGCGGCGCATGTCAAGGCCGGCTTGGAGGCGCCCGAGGCCGGCGGGAAGAGGCTGTTCACCACGGCCGGGCTGTTCAGTAACGCGGAGCTGGCGCAGATTGTGAGGAGGCGTTTCCCCGAGTATGCGGACCGGCTGCCGACGGAGCAGACGAAAGGCGGGGAGCTGCCGGCCGAAGGGGAGCGGTACAAGTTTGACAACTCGGCGACGACGCGGTTGCTGGGGATCGAGTGGACTCCGTTTGAGAAGTGTGTCGTAGACACGGTGGAGAGTTTGAAGAAGCTCGGTGCGTGAGGTTGTCGGTTTGGTTGGGTGATAGATAGTGGTAGACATGTTTTCTGACCACAACGCTCCCCCGAGTCATCTCCCCTGCCGGGTCTACCGCGCCTCTAGCTCCTTGATCCGCTTCAAGGCCCCCTCCTTCCACTCGGCATACGCCTTCCTCTTCCGCTCGCTCAGGTAATCATACCTCTCCTGAAACATGGTATCCGGCCGGCTAATCTGCACCGCCGCTATCCTCTCCTCCTCTTCCACGTCCGCATCCGCATCCTCCTCCGCTCTAGCCCTCTCCCTCTCCACCAAATCCCCAACCCCCTTCACCCACTCCATGTCAAACCACCCGTGCCGATTCCCCGTCAGCACCGCCTCATCCAACTCCTTCCCCGTAACCTTCCCCCACCCCTCCCACGCTTCCTCCTTCTCATCATCGTCATCCCTATTCCGAGGAATCTCGACTTGACCCCTCGCCACCCCAAGACAGGAAGCGACTTCATTCCGGAACTTGACATACCGCGCCCGATCCACCTTCTCTCCTGCCACCGGCCAGGTCACGCCCCGCCAGACGTAGACGTATAGCCCGCCCACCACGGCCGCTAAGTTGTCCCGCACCCAGGCGTCGGCGGTGAGTTTGCCGCGCGGCGTGATGATGGATTCCAGACCGGTCGCGACCACGGGGCCGATGTGGGCTGGGCCGAGGCGGGTAAGGAGGAGGCGCAGGGTTGGGCGGATCCAGCGCGGGAGGTTGACTGAGTCGTTGATACTGCTGTTGTTGTTTTTTGATCCGGTGCGCTTTTTGGAAGGGGTGTCCGGTACAGATGTTGTTGTTGTTGCTGCTGCTGCTGTGGAGTTGTTACGGAACTGGGAGAGGGATTTATCCTTGCTGGGTGTCTGTCTTAACTTGTTGGCCAGGGGGAGGTGCCCAGGATGTGCTGCTGCTCGCGCAGCTTGGAGCCGGGGGTTCGTGTGCGTCCGCTGCCCCCCAGACCCAGAGCGCCGCCCGGTGTGCTGCGGCTTGGAGTGGAAGAGGGAGCGGGCAGGATCTTGTCCAGGTGGTTGTACAGCCGCTTGTAGATGCGCGGGGGGATTGGCGGCCGCGGGGCGATGGGTGGGAGGTTGAGCGTGGTCTTGAGCCTGTCGCATGCCAGGTGTGCGCACGCGTATGGTCGGGCGATTTCCTCCTCTGCCTTGAGGATGCTCGCGCGATGGCGGGATTGCGCGAGCAGGGAGCTGGCCAGGTCCGCGAGAGGCGGCGGCAGCTCGGAGTTATGAGTGGGCAGCAGCGACAAGAGCGCCTGCTCAATTGAGCGGTTCATGATGAGTTAACAACTGAAGCCTGTATTTTGAGGGGAGATGAAAATCGTCTAAAACCGTCAGGCTTGCTGTGACATGCAAACTTGTAGCACATATGCGTGGCTTCTCGGTATCTCTGGTTCCTTATAAAACCGTTGTCAAATCTCACTGGCACGAAAGTCTAAGGCATGAATACTCGCGACGCGACTGCCCACCTGGGCAGGCGACGCAGCAATTTAACGCCACATCACGTGAGATATCGGGGCGAAACCGGGGAGGTCGCTTCGCCAAGCCTGACACCTGCCCGCCAATGCCTGGTCGTCCCAACATTTCGGTGGCCCTTGCATCACCTCTTCGCTCTGCATCTGCATCCCGCATCTGACACTTCGGGGGCAGACAGCCGCGCAACATCATGGCTTTCCACGCAAGTGGGTTGCCGGTGAGTCAATTTTGTAAAGCAAAGGTTCTCTTCGCCTAAAGCTGACAGCCCCTCTCCAGAGTATCGCGGCCGCGACGTCCGATTTGTGGCCGTCGCTCGCGAACACCCTCGCAATCCCCTGGAGAAGCTCAACCTACGGCGGTGCAACCTCAAGAACCCGACCAAACTATACCCCGGCGGGCAAGTCGCCGGTGGCGACAGCGAATCAACATGTCAAGGACGGTATCTCTACCCAAGCGCCGAGGAATGCGGCGACCCAGACGAAAACCGAGCTGCCCGAATTCCTCCGGGATGCGATGGTCTCGTCACCCTTCCTCGACCGCCGCCTCGCAAATGCATCGCCCGTCAACATCTTCTCCGAAGTATTGAACAGCTCAAGGACCTCTATCAACATGGCGAATCCGCTCATGCGCCGCTCCTACGCGGCTCTGATGGCCCGCCCGTTGACTACGCTCCCCGGCTTCCGGTCGATGAGCACCTACCAGCCGAGCCGCATGCAGCAGTTCACCTGGATCGATAGTCAGCCCTTCTCTCGGAACATTCAGACTCGGCGCTTTGGCACCGGTGGCGTCCCCCGCGACCTCCTCGCTAACCGCGAGGCTGCTGCCAACCGGAACCCCAACAGCGCCACCGCCCAAAACTCGTTCTATCAGCTGCTCTTGAAGGCGAACATGCCTGCAATTGTTGTTGAGCGCTACCAGTCTGGTACTTCATATCTTGTCAACCCGGATTCTCTACCCACAATGTGCTAACGTGTGTGCTAGGCCGGTTTGCAACCAACGAGGCTACGGACGAGGCTTACCAAAAGGCGCTCTCGATGATCAACGGTAGTACGACTGTGAACTCTCTCGGCGATTCGACTGCCAATGCTTCTGGGCTTACCCCCACCGGACTGCAGATGGTCGGTCAGGCGGTTGCGGCCCATCGCACCGGCGGCAACATGGCATTCTCGACAGGCAACGGCGCTAAGAACGGACCTCTGCACGTCATCGTCGACGAGACGTTTGGTTCGTCTGCTCTTCGCTGGATCCGGTTTCTCCTTTGGTTCGGTCTCTGCGCTTACCTCAGCTTGGTTATCGTCACCATGGTCGTGGAGGGCATGACGACGTTCAAGCGACCAGGCAGCAAGGTTGACGGCATCGAGGCGAAAGCGGAGAACCAGAAAGCCCGCTTTGCTGACGTGCACGGCTGCGACGAAGCTAAGGAAGAACTCCAGGAGCTGGTCGACTTTCTGCGGAATCCTGATAAGTTCAGCAACCTCGGCGGCAAGCTTCCCAAGGGTGTCCTGCTGGTTGGTCCCCCGGGCACTGGCAAGACCCTACTGGCTCGGGCGGTCGCCGGCGAGGCTGGCGTGCCGTTCTTCTTCATGTCCGGTAGCGAGTTCGACGAGATCTACGTCGGTGTCGGTGCTAAGCGCGTTCGCGAGCTCTTCAATGCGGCTAAATCGAAGTCTCCTTCCATTGTCTTCATCGATGAACTGGACGCTATTGGTGGCCGACGCAACTCGCGCGATGCCACCTACGTCCGGCAGACACTGAATCAATTACTTACCGAGATGGACGGCTTCGCCCAGAACAGCGGAGTCATCATTCTGGCCGCCACCAACTTCCCCGAGTCACTCGATAAAGCGCTTACCCGGCCTGGCCGCTTTGATCGCCACGTCGTCGTCTCCCTCCCCGACGTCCGTGGCCGGATCGCCATCCTGCGCCACCACGCAAAGAAGATCAAGATGGGTCCCGACGTCAACCTTGAAGCTATTGCTGCCCGCACCTCGGGCTTGTCTGGTGCCGAGCTCGAGAACATTGTCAACCAGGCGGCTATCCGTGCTAGCAAGGCCAAGGCCAACTCCGTTCTGCAGACGCATTTCGAGTGGGCCAAGGACAAGGTGATCATGGGTGCCGAGAAGAGGAGCATGGTCATCACGCCCAAGGAGAAGGAGATGACGGCGTACCACGAGGCCGGCCACGCCCTGGTTGCCTACTACTCCAAGCCCAACGCGTTCGAGCTCTACAAGGTCACTATCCTCCCGCGCGGCCAAAGCCTTGGCCACACGGCCTTCCTTCCCGAGATGGACAAGTACTCATATACCGTCCGCGACTACTTGAGTATCATTGACCGCGCCATGGGTGGCAAGGTTGCCGAGGAGATTGTCTACGGCAATGAGTATGTGACTAGTGGCGTCCATTCGGTGCGTAATTCTCTCTAAATCTTCAATTTTATTCTCATCTTTCAAACGCTAACCGACGTTCAGGATCTGGACTCGGCCACCCGGACGGCCTGGCAGATGGTGGGCCAGCTCGGCATGTCTGAGCGTCTTGGCCCTGTCGAGTACCTTCGCGCGTACGATCGGCTGAGCTCCGAGACGCGCGCAATGGTCGAGGCCGAAGTGAAGAGGTTGCTGGACGAGTCTTATGCGCGTGCTCGCGCTCTACTGGTTTCCAAGAGGAAGGAGCTCGATCTCCTTGCCAAGGCCCTTGTAGAGTACGAGACGCTTGACCGTGCCGAGGTCGAGAAGGTCATCCGCGGTGAGAAGCTAGAGGGCCGCATCTCCATTCCGCCTGGGCCGATGGCAGTGCCCAAGCCTACAGAGCCTATTGAGCCTGGCTTGATCCCGCCGCTGCCTGGTGCGCCTGGTGACGGTGCGGGACCGGGAAGTCCGCCGCCGCCGGCGCCCCCACCCCCGGCACCCACGAGGCAAATATCGGGGCCGGATATTAGCCAGGAGTAGGGGGAGTCGGTCGCTTTACGATCACGAGCTGGGGGTATTGCACCTGGTGGATGCGGATGAATGGGGTTCTTTGGGTTGGAATGGCGTGGCAGAATGGTTCCCCATAGTGGGCTCGAAGCGTCTGCTGCCGAGAATGAGACGATAGGGAACGGACGGAATGGCATAGGAGGCGTTTGTGTTTCTCATCACTCGAGGGGTCTCTCTACCTCCATGGCGATGTGTATATTTTCTTTGTGTGTTTACAAGGCGTCATAGCAGTATGTGCATCCCTACCAGCCTGTTCGGAGCCTGAAAAGCATTGATGGACGAAGCCTGCCTGGACTGCACCAGGACTGGCTGCAGGTACATGTACCATTAAGTTCTACCACTCCCAGCGAAGCATAGAGCATGCTCAACGTCAGAGCAACCCAGAGAGGAATCAGTGTCGTGAAAAAGTAACATCACAAGCCTACCCACTAACTCATCCTCATACCAGCTCCGTCGACCAAACCATACTATCATACCACACGTTCCCCTACCAGATCCCCGGAATCACAGCCCACCGCCCCTTCACCTTCTCCTCGCCGAACCTGTCGACATACCACTTCTTCCCCTTGACGGCCCTCGGCAGCATGGCCGCGACCTCATTCAACACGAAACTCCGCGCCGGCACACACCCCCACCCGGCCGCCATCCAGAAGCCGAACCACTCGACCCACTCGACAAAGTAATGCGGGTACAGCATCACCTTGAACAAACCCGCCTGGGGGATCTCGTAGTGCTTCTCCACCTTCCCGTTCCTATTCCTTCGCTGCGCCCGCCGCCGGATCTCGCGCAGCTCGTCGTCGTGGTAGTAATTCGCCGCCAGGCCGACGTAGAACAGCGCGATCCCCACCGCGAACTGCATCGTCCCGCCGCCGGACTGCGAGGCCCAGTCGGCCTGTGTGGCCGGGCCGTACCCGCCCAGCCACGACCCGATGGCCAGGCCGTTGATTACCTGGAACGAGACGCCCGACAGGAAGATGATCAGGTGCAGCGGCGACATGGACGGCTGCAGGAAGGGGAACAGGATGGCGCGGTACGTGTAGTGCAGCACGAAGAGCCCCGCGAGCACCTTGTTCTGCCAGGGGAGGCCGTCGGTTGCTAGGAGGTGGTGCGGCAGGGTTTGGGAGGGGAGGGTGCGCAGGGTGTATAGGAGGGTGAGGAAGCCCGGGCATTCCATCGCTAGCCACCCCACTCGGCCGGGCAGGTTGAGGCGGGACGTGACGGAGGTTTTGCCCATCCCGTACCAGGGGATTAGCCATTGGAGAGAGGCGGCCTGCGGGAGGTTTAGTTGGGTTCCATGGGAATGGCAGAGAGTGGGGGGAAGACGGGTTTCGCGTACTACGGGGAACCATTTCCAGAGGGAGATGATCAGGTCGTAGTTGGCCCGGCTCGGCGGGAGCCAGTTGTTGATGAGGCCTACTGTTGAGGTGGCCATGCTTGTCTTTCTAGTTCGCTGTTTTCTGAACGTCCAAAAGTCTGACTGCACCTAATTGATCACAATTGAGCTATGGGTGAGTCCGACGTGGCCCGCTGATGAGTTTTCCCAGATCCGAAGTTGTTTACACCGCGGGAGGACCAATTCACACTGTTTTCGTCGCTCGCGTTGTATGTGGGCAATTGGAAAGAGTAAAAACAACAAAGCAGCTCCGGATGATGAGAGGGAGGACAGGATTGCCGAGACTCCCGTCAACTTATTAACCGCCGTGTCCCCCTCTGTACCACCGTTACAATGTCCAATGTTTGTCCATGCACGTCCTTGAGGCGGTTCGAGCCAAGCAACCTGGCATGATGTCAGGGGTAGTGGCTATGCCCCACTTTTACAATCGTGATGGCATTATGTACTGTGACTATTGCATTGTAAGTATCAGATCACATGCACATAGTACCTAGTATATAACACGCTATAGTCTATACTAAGATTACGATTCGATTGTGGTAGGTAATGTCTTACCTTACTCGTCTGAGGAACCTTTAGACAGTAGTGCGTTTATACGATACTGTGTACATGGTGAATATAATAGCGGGAGGAAATCGTCGTTCTGGCCGCTAGAGGAGCGAAGGCAGAGGTGGAATTACGAGCGTTACAATACAGTTCAATGTATTCCGTAATCCGTACAGTACCCAGGTGTGTACCTCCATTCGAAACAAGCTCCGTCTACTGTGTATAGAGTACCGCGAGAGTTCGCAAAGCAGCGTGGACCTTCATTTCCAGAACTGATGCTGAGAGTGAGGTATCCCAGGGACGATTCAACGGTGAAACCCTCAGCAACAAATGGAGAGACACTGGGCTGAAAACAGACTTCCCTTTTCAGCGTCGACGAAGTTTCTCTCCTTGAACCAAGCCCCTTGACACTCAAAAGCCCAACCAACCGACCAGCTATTGCTTCATAGGTACCTTAGTCATCCCATTGAACACCACCCCCAACGATAACCTGTTCGACACCACGTCCCTCACACTACGCCAGCCAGCCCAAGCAACCCATCTACCAGCCCATAGAGTAAGTAACTTCCCGCCAATCCACCGGTCAAAAAGAAAGGAAAGAAAAAAAAGGAACCGAACTCCCTCACACCGTCTGCCGTTGCTACTGCCCAAATCCCATTGACACATACACCATAAACCCATCATCATATCATACCATACCATGTCATCCCTAACATACATAGCTTACTCCATAAAGTGACTCAACTCTCACATAACAACACATTCTCTATCCCTCCCACCATTACCATTTCCATTTCCATTCCCAACGCCAGACCCAACAGGCGGCGGCACCCCTCTCCTAAACGGACCGAACCCCGGGGGCGGACTCATCATTCCGTGCCCCATCCCGTTCCCACCCTGCTGCGGCCTGCCACCCCTCCCCAACTGCTGCGGCACTGCCGAACTCGAGGCTGAAGAAGAAGCACCAGCAGTACCAGTCGCCGGACTACTGGTAGGATGGCTCGGGTGCCCTGCAGGCGGGACATACGGCAGCTGTTTGGCAGCCTGTTCGTAGCTCGGCGGCGCGTCATCGTCATCCAGCCTGTTCGCGTTCGTGCCGGTGGTGGGAGGGGGTAGAAGCGAACGCACAGTTTGCGTCGTCGGCCGGCTGGGACGGCTGGCGTTGGCGCCCGACGCCGAGTGCGTGGAGACCGATGTGACTGCAGACGCCGAGGCGGGCCGCGGGTGTGTGCGGTTGATGGATGGCTGGATCGGGGTGGTGCGTCGGCCGCTGGAGCCTGTGGTGGTGGTCGCGGTGGAGGCGAGGGAGGCGGAGCTGTACGAGGCGCCGCGGTTGCGCTGCTGGTTGGCCGGGAGGGCGCCCGTGCTTGCCGGCGCGGTGGTGGTTGCTCTGCCGTTGCCGGCGCCGGCGCCGGAGCGCGCCTGTTGCTCGATGTACTGCTCTGAGAGCAAGCTCTCGCGGCGGCGGCGCTCTTGCTCGGCGTGGGCGCGCGCGTCCTCTTCCTCTTGCAGCTGCAGCGCTAGGGCAAGATCGCGGTCTTCCTGCTCGTGTTGCGGAGACCGCGGGGGTTCCGGGGAGCCGTTTTGCTGTGTCGACTGGCTACGGCCCCGGCGGCCCTGCACGGTGGTCCATCCGTCGTTGCCCCCCTGGTCGCCCGCGGGAGGACCCGGCTGGTCGTGGGTGACGCCGCCGACGAGGCGGAAGTCGCCCGAGAAGAACTCGGCGCTCTCGCCGTTGACGTCGACGAGAGACTCCCACACGACCTCGGCGTGGCCAGCATATCCGGCGTCGGTGACGAGAGTGAGCAGCTCCAGCGTCTGCGGGTGTCGATACAGCGTTGAGAAGTGGTCATTGCGGAAGAGGATAGCCACAGAACCAGGCTTCATCGCCTTTTTGATAACATCCAGGCCAAACCTAGTAAGCTGCGTAGCGGATATGCTCAAAAACGACTTGATGGTCAAGATGTCTTGATAGATCTGCTGCTCTTCTGGAGTGAGCCCCTCGTGATGGTTGCACAGCTTCTCTTCGAGCTCTTCTTCCCTGAATAGCAGGTTCTGCGCATCTTCATACGACGCTGCCTGCCGTGCAAATGCCTCGTATACAGCATCATCCTTGGAGGGCAGCCAGCCGTGGATGAGCGGTACTGAAAAGGTCGAGTAGAGGGCCATCTCCTTCGTGTGCTCAAACGTCCCCGGGATCATGTCGGTGCGTTCCGTTGGGTGGAGGTGGGTGAGCGATGTGCGCTTGAAAGCCGTGACGACCTCCGGTGCGGGAATGAAGCGTGGGTTGACGTTCATGCCGGTATGTAGGCCCTTGAGAAAGGAATACAATTCCGTCACGTCCGGCAGAGGCACGTCTGGTTGCGTCCTCCGTTCCGACATCAGCTCGTCAAAGACGGCATCCAGAAGAAGGCCCAAGCTGACCTGCTCACGGGACCTTAGCGCCTCAACAAGCGCTGTGTTTGCCTGGTCTGGTGTTGTGAGCGTCAGGGCATTGACCAGGGCGACGAGCGGACATGGCCCGTTTGCATTCTGGACGAGGATAGGCGATACCCTGGGATTTTTGGAAGCTGAGCCATCGTGCCATGTGATGTTTTTGATTTGATACGTCTCAGAGTCGTCCACCGGTCGGGGAGGTAATAATGGGGGTGGTGCTGGCGCCTCGCCCGATGTCCGGGGAGGCAGAGTTGGTGGTTCCTGGGCCGTCGGCTGCGCCGCGGCGGTCGTTTTCCTCGCATTCTCCTCTTTGTCCCTGAAGTTCTCCCAGCTACTTTGCCTAGAAGGAGGTCCAAGCCGGGTATCAGCGTCAACTAGATTCCAGTCCTCCGCCCCAGCGGCCCCCTTGCTTGGTACTGGTGGTGGCTGCGCGAGGCCCTTCCCTTTGTCGACGGTTCGGAGGTCATCCCACGCATGCGCATCACCGAGCATTTCCTCATCGCCGGTGCTAATGAGTTGCCCTGGAGCATTGGCCGGTTTTCTGGGTTCCTCTTCCCAACCAGCCGATCCCTCCTCTGAAGGCAAAGACAAGAGAGCTGGCGACGTAGACCTCGGCCCAGGCGTTGGCTGGCGCGACGGCTTTGCCGATGCCCACACATTATCGCCCACGGAATCTTGCTCCGGTAACTTCGGAACTGGGGGCATGCTCGCTTTGTTTTCGTCCACCGCTGGTTGCCAGGGGTTGGCGCCCGTCTCGTTGATACTGAGCTGCTGGAAGTCCGCGGTGGGAAGTGATGGAAGGGAGGGAACGGGTGGGACATCGGTTGTCGTCTGCTTGTCGACCCCCGACTGGCCGCGCAGGGACATCTTCCTCTTGAACGGGTTGGTCTCGGGTTTGGGCACTCCGTGGCCTGGCCGAAGAGCTGCCGGTATTGGAACAGATCCTTGGTCTGCCCCAGTGTTTTGACTGGCGGTGTCTGCCGCCTGCTTTCCATGGCTGGTGCCGGGCCTGAGTACGTCGGGCACAGCGCCCAGATCTTCTGGCTTGGCCAGCGCGGGGACGCCTTCAGCCCATACATTCCCGTCTTCCTTAAAGTCGGCAAGATTGGCGGCGCCGCCGGGTCTCAGGGAGTTTGGTACCTCTGCTTGTGCGTCACCACCTGATGTACTGTGTTGGCCGTGCTGGTGTTGAGCGACGTCCCCCCATATTGCCTCCTCTTCCGTGTTACTGCCCGACCATGTATCTCGCACGTGCTGGGGCACAGCCGAGTCGAGGTCGGCATGCTCAGGGAGAGGTTTTCGAATGACCATTATGTCGATGTGCAAATGACGTTGTATATCCGTTCGCCAAAGGTTCGTGGCAGAGCAAAGGGATCAGGCCAGAGGCTGGGTTTGGAGGCAGCCAGCCGATCGGGGAGCACGGGTGTCGCACTTGGTCCACAGCAAAACGAAAATCAGACTCGATCCTATTCCGTAGCAATCGCAGATAAAGCGAACAAGGCTCAACGGAAATGGTAATGGTTACTGTTGCGTTTGAGACCAAGTCGCAGAACGGACTCGCATTATCTGGTAACAATAGGCTCTAGGTCGCTGGCACGGTTCGGATGCGATTTGCAGTGAGGAAGTGATGCCGTGGGGTTGCGGATGGGAGTGTACTTCAGTTTTCAAGATCTGGAGTGTATGAAGTAATTCAAGAGTTCAAACTTGAGAAGCCTGTGTGTCCGTTACGTTTTCTGGAAACAGTTCGAGAAAATGAAGTGGTTTAACACACGACCTCAGGGACCTGCAGTTACTACTAGTAGTAAAGAGGACATCCCGCGCATATCCGTCATAGCTTATAGTTAAGGTCCGCTAACTCACGACGGCGGGGAGTCCCTGGGCGGTCGGTGGCATGTGGGGTAGATCCAGCTCCGACCAATCCAATGAACCGGAGGGACCGGCCGCTTGCCAGGCTGTCGTCATCCCTCCCGCTAACCAGGCTTCATCAGCCAAGTACGGGAGCTGCGTGTCCGGACGTTCTGGTCACCGAGCCATTGGATTGCGTGTCGCTGAATCAGGGCCGCCCTTAAGCGGCCAAATTCAGCTACCGCCTCATAGATATCCTAATTTCGAGTTCCCCGTGATTGACGTTACATTAGTTGCTCATGTATGGGGATGAGTTGATGTATCATGGCATCCCGCATGTGACTAGAGACAAGACATGAATAACGCCCATTGCGTCCGCCATAAGCAGCTTTCCGGACACACTGCGCCTCGTATGCAAATGCCCTCCAACGCCGTCCTGGTCTAGTATAGCAAGACCGCCCAAGAGTCACCACCAACATAAACGATCTAGATGGGGCACACAGCATGTCCCCTCAAGGGCGTCCTAAAATATTACTTCTATCTCTGCTTCCCCACTATAACCGCATGGAATTCAGCCTTTGGCACGCGGGCATCGGGTACGCGTTCGCCACCTCCATCTTCTCCGGGTCCGGGTAGAACCAGCCCTGGGCCGCGTTTTGAAGCTGCTGCTTATGCGCCATCTCACTCTCGCACTTGATGCGGAGCTGCTGCACCAGCACCACCTCGGCCTTCTTGTCGAGCGAGTACAGCTTGGACGGACTGTACGACTGGACATCGGCCGGATTAAGGTAATATCTCACGTTGAGGTTGGGCATCGTGCGCTCCATCGTGTACAGTGGCGGGTGGGGTTCGTCGAAGACCATGCTGGGCGTTGACGGGGTCGACGAGGTCATGCCTGAGAATATGGACGAGAGGATGGGCCAGACAACGAGCAGCAGAATGGGTAACAAGCCGATGATGGTGCTCCACATGCTCGCCGGCTCTTCCTGCCCGGGGTTCCGGGGTCGGGCTCGTGGCCTAGCCCCCCCGAATTGATGTACTCTGATACCGGGTCCGCCAAAGTTGAAGACGAACTGCGGCCCGCCATCGAAGCCTGAGGATCGATGTCAGTTTTGCGGCAAAGGAATTAGGAACTCGGATCACAGCGGATCACCCACCTGCAAACGGCCCACCAAACCCACCTCCAAGACCGCCGCCGCCAAAGAACCTCGCAAACATCTCCTCGGGACTGATCTCCTCCTCCCACATGCCACCACCACCACCGCCCGCTCTCCGCCCCGCAAACCCAGCAAACGGATTCTGCGCCTGCGCCTGCGCCTGGGCACTCGCGAATCTGCTATCGGGGTCTGTGCCGAAGCGGTCATACTTGTCGCGCTTCTCCTTGTCGCCCAGCACGCTGAAGGCGCGCGCCACCATCTTGAAGGCCTCGTCGGCGTGCTCGTGGCCGTTCTTGTCCGGGTGCGTCAGCAGCGAGAGCTTGCGGTACGCCTTCTTCACCTCGGCGTCGGTGCATGTCCGTTGCAGCTCGAGAATCTCGTAGAAGGCGGTCGGCTGGCACCGCCGGATGCGCAGCACCGCCGCCTTCTGCTCGGCCGTGTACTTGCGCTCCTGGTTGCCCTGGTTGTGCTCGCGCCGGCTGCGCGCCGAGCCGTCGTTCTGTGAAGTCGCGGCCCCCGAGGCCGAGGCGTCGGCGGGCATGCTGCCCTGTGTACAGCGTGCTATGGGGTCGTCGATGGCGCTTGCTCGCTGGGTTGGATGTTCGGGAGCGGTAGCGAGAGATCTTTTGCGCCGATTGCTCGAGCGGCGATTGAAACGAAACTGCGCGGGCCACCAGGCGTTGAAAGTCGGAGTGATTAAAGAGGTTGGGCCTCAGTTAGTGAGAACACCGTTGGCGACAAAATACAGATATTGTCGTCAACTGCTGACGGGAATTTGGCGATGCCGTTCTTCCACGTCGAAGGATGTCTGGACACTTTCCAGAAAGACAGCTGACAGACGGGCACAGTGTCTGTGCGCTCTTGGCATTCATCAGGGCCCACCAGGAAATGGTGGGACATGAGCAGGGATGGCCTGCTTATCGTTTCCGATAGCCAGCGACGTGTAAGTGGCAGGTTCACGACATCTCTTGATCCTCTTCCCTCATCTTACAGAGGTCCAAACCTGTCCCAGCAAGGACAATTGGAGTAGCATGAGCCCACAAGCCGAGAAGAGTGTGTTAGCTCTCACCCTGAATAACAGAACTGTTTGCTTGAAGAAACCAAGCCCCGATCCTCGCTCAAACTGGCGATCCAGGTTCTCTCGGACCTGCAGCTCGAGGCCCCCAAAGCATACGATGTGTTCGAGATTGAGCCCATATGCTGTAACTACCTTAACTCTGCTCGGCGATATAGGCAACATTGCGGCACAGGAACATGACCGTCTTAGCTTTCTGACACGGCATGGAAAGCTGTCAGTAGAACCCTCAGGCGAATTTAAAAAAGAAGACTTGGAAGACACAGTGCCACTGCCCCCCAACAGCAACATGCGTAAGCATACGACAGCTTGTACCAACATCTACACCTCATAAGTGGCATAGTGCTCCACGCTTTCAGGTGGCAGCGGAAATGCTGTCCAGAGCTCGTTAGACCCTCACGATGACTTTCACGGTGGATCACTGCCCCCAACCACCATACTCCAGATGAGCTTGACGAGCTTCAGCCGCAGCCTATCGCAGACCTAGCGACGAATCGAACAGGGATTGTTCAACTCTTCGCTCTCGACGTGGACGGACACGGAAAACCAATACGGCAGGCAGAAGAAGCAGGGACAAAGGTGGGAAGGAGGGGGGCGACCACCTAATGATTTGGTTGAAAGGAAGTTCAAAATTCGGGACTGAAGCATGCTCCTTGACGCCTAGCAAAGGAAATGGATGGTATCAGAAAGTGTTTTTTAGGACCCGCGATTGATTCCACGTGGGGCCAACGACGTCCATGCTCTGGGCCCTAATAAGCAAGTTCGCCACAGGCATGTTCAAGCAACTTCCCAGGTGACATGGCCTAGCGGTTACGGGGGCTCGGTGCCGACCACCGGCCGGGGTGAACTTGGTGACCGAGAGGTCATCAGTTCGAACCGGACCTGGTACCGGATTCTTTCCCGCAATGGCCAGTACGGCTGGGATTAAAGTAGCCGAGCAACCTGCCCTCCACGGAGGGCGGCCAAGTCGGTTACCTCTCCTTTTTCTTTTTCTTTTCCTCCACTCGGTCAATTTCGTTGAAAGTTTTTGGAGTTTACGTGTCTCGATGTTTGCTTTCCTTCTTCTAGGTGATCAAATCCACGCATTTCTCAATTTCTCAGCCCAGTCACTGACTGCTTGTACGCATGGCGAAGAGCTGAGGCAGAAACAGCGAATTACCACGCAGAATCCTTGTTATCCTCCAGTTCATTTCAACAAGGCCAGCCAGCCGACCTCTGCTTCGCGGGTTCCATTACCGGTTTCCCCCTTAAAAGCAAATAACTCCAAGTTATCCCAACGCAACGCCTCATTTACTACCTCCCCAAAGCCCAAGCACAGCAATTCTCAACCCTAATTAAACCAGCCCAGTTTCAGATCCTCCCAGCAATGGTATCATTCCCTCCCCTCGTGCTAGACATCCTCGAAACAGCAGACACCATGGTGCCCCCCGTCGCCGTCCGGTCGCTGCTGCTCTCGCTCGTCCTAGGACTCACCAGATCCAGGTCATCGTCAGCCATATTAGTACTAATAGTCCCTCCTCCTCTTCCTCCTCCTCTTCCTCCTCCTCTTCCTCCTCCTCTTCCTCCTCCTCTTCCTCCTCCTCCTCCTCCTCCATGCCCATTCCGAGCCAAACTTCTCTTCGTAACACCAGAATGACCAGCTTGTTTGCCATAGCAAACACCAGCGCCGCCGCTCCAGCTTCCCCAGCTCCCCCTCGGATCCGGATCCGGGTCCGGCTCTAGGAACCGCTTCAGGGACGACTCCTGAGTCGGATGAGTACTAGATCCGTGCGGATGGTGCGGCCCTGACAGCGTACGGTGGTGGTGATGGTCTCGATAAAAAGGAGTGGTAGTAGTTGTGGTAGGACCACCACCATCACCACTCCCAGAGAAAGACCCAGAACCAAATCCAGATCCAAAACCAGAACCAGAACCGAGCCCAGAACCCCTCGCAATCCCCACCCCACCACCGACTCCAAACCTGTTAACACCCTTCCCCGAGCCTCCTCGCCGGGGCGGAGGCGGCGGAGGAGGAGGAGGACGGGGAGGGAGGGCCTTGGTCGGGGGCGGACTCACCGGCGGCAACGGCGGCGGTGGCGGTGGGGACGTTCCGATCTTCCCTCCTCCTCCTCCCCAACCCTTTCCCGCTCCGCCTGGAATTGGAGACGGGGCGGGGGTGAGCAGGTCCGGGATCTCCAGCATGCTTTCGTGCGGTCTGGGTGGGCGGGCAGGGGAGGAGGGATGATGGTAATGATGATGATACTCTGAGTGGTCTTGGTGTGTGTGGGGGTGGTGGTGGGGGTGGTGGTATGGAGGTGGGGGCGGTGGGGACTGGAAGAACTGTTTGGATTGCTGATGAGAGGGGGGGAGGAGGGAGGGCGAGACCCGCGATGGCGGAGGCGGAGGCGGAGGAGGAGGAGGAGGAGGAGGAGGAGGAGGAGGAGGAGGAGGAGGAGGAGGGGTGGTATATGCGCTACTTCCACTTCCACTCCCACCACCACTGGGGCTGATATTGCCATTCTGCGGCACAGAAGAAGAAGCATGCAGGGGAACGCCAATGGGGATCTCGTGGCGGAGCGAGGAATGAGCCGTGGACGTGCCCGTGTAGCAGCTGCTCGCGCTGGCGCTGGCTCGGCTATGGTTATGACGCTCGGCCGGCCAGGAGCCTGGGACGGGAATCGGCAGGGAGAGGGTTGAGTCGGCCCCCGTGAGCGAGGAGAGCGAGAGTGCAGGTGGGAAGCCGGCTGTGGTAGTGGTGGTCGTGGCCTGTGTGCGGGAGTTTGCTGTTGTTGTTGTGACTCTTGTGAGTGCGACGGTGCGCTCGGGCCGCGGCACGAGTTTGGTCGTGGTTGAGGAGCAGATCGGGGAGGCGGGGAAGACGGCGCTGCCTTTGTTGCTGTTGCTGCTGCCTCCGCCGCCCGGTTGCGGGCCGTGGGCGGGCGTGAGTGGCGTCAGCGGCGGGGAAGGCGAGCGGCTGCCGTGTCGGAGGATGGACGGGAGCAGGAACTTGCGGTCGCGGAGGCGGAGGGGCGGCGTGAGCACTGTGCGAGTGCCGACCGCGGACTGGGCCGGGGAGATTAAGGGGGTAGGGGATCCGGCCGGCGGGATACCGTGACCTGGCGCCCGTCGTGAGCGCAGAGCCCGGTCGAAGGAGGCCTTGCGTCGCTTCCGCCGTCGGAGCCACACCAGGGCGAAGGTCACCAGCAGCATCAGCGCGAGAGCGGAGCAGATTGCAACCGCTGCCTTCCCTTGGTCGGTCAGGTCGCTCCCGGATGTTGTTGACGTGGTTCCGGCCGCGGCGGTTGACGATGATTGCTCGGTAGCAGCAGCGGGCGCCGAGCTAGCCACTGACGCAACTACAGCGGGCGTGGGGGCTACCTGTGTCCTTGCCGCACTCGGGACGGCCGAGTCGGCAGGTATGGGCTGCTGTGTAGCATCCGGCAGCGGCGCCTTGGTAGCCCCGGGCAATCCCATCGCTGTGAACGAACAGCCGTCCGATGTATCGGCTTCCGTGCTGCATTTGAAACCCGGCGGGCGAGGGCCCGGGTCGAGCACCGAGTAGAACCCAATACTAAGGAGAACAAACGGTCAGCGCAAGACGGCCCTTTCCAAGAGGAGGCGGAACCGCTCACTTCTGGCAGGTGTTGATGATGAGGTCGACGTTGGCTAGTACAAAATACCATCCTTAGCCCGAGAAAACAGGAGCCACCAAAACCTCCGCTAGTAATACTCACGGTCTTGCCCGAGCCCGCCCGTCTGGCTGATCGCCACGCCGCAGAAGGTCTCGTCGCACCAGTAGAGGGACCAGAAATCGCGGACCGGCACGGTGTCGTTGAGGATACGGCAGCCATCAACCCAGCCCGAGCTCTCCCCCCAGCCCTTCAACACGCTCCGCATGACGTGCTCCTTGCAGTTGCGTAGACATTCGCTGGAATCCTCCTGCCATCTCCCCCGCTTGATCTCGGCTGTGTCGAGGTAGCACTCGCACGTCGTCGCCGTGGCCCTTCTTGTCCGTTTCATAGTACCAGAGAGACGGGGTTGCCGGTTTCTGGAGCTGTGTTTCCTGAGGTAAAGGGACAAGGGACGAGGGAAGCGGCAGTGGCAGCCACTACTGACATAGCACTACTAGTATCTGCAATTCCAGGTGGAAGCAGGAGCCAGCTAAGAGCATGTCGATGTCGCGCAGGAAAACGGGGGAGGGCAGTTGGCCCGTCGACGGGGGGAAGCAAACGGACACAAGGAGAGCAAACACAGATTCGACAACCCTTCCAAGGACGAGACCAAGAAGGTTTCGTTTCCGGTTGGTGTCGGGTATCTGAGTCAGACCAGAACAAGACTCGTCATCAGAATCCGAAGATGACAGGTCCTATCCGCCCAGACAAAAAAACGTAGGTAATCCGAGTCCAGGAATCAGAACGGTGCAACGCATATGCGTGGGAGGCGGCCCATGCTAGGGAGAGGGGAGCTATATAGGCCCCCCCCCCCCCCCCGGCCGGGACATTACGCAACACAACTTCCTCGAGTGAGTAAAGTAAGGTAATTGCTCTCCCGTCCCGGCAATAGCGCGGTGTACGGTGTACCAGCCTCTCGTCCAGCCAGGAAAGGCGAACGGCGTTACCTAACCTGTGCTGTACTTGTGTGTGTCCGGCAACCCAGGCGCTGAGCAACTAAGGTACGGCACAGAGACCACACACACACACGCACATCACACAACATGGCCGAGAGAGGGGGGCAGCACGAAAGAGAGAGCTGGTAGCTGTCTTCGAAACCCAAGTCCTGCTGCAGTACACAGGGAACTGCCCTGGCCTAACGTAGCGCACGAAGACCTGTGTACAGTGAGACGGACGCACCACCGAAGGACAACAGGAATGAGATGATAGTATGGTCCCTCCACGCTCGCTCCCCTCACACAGAACTCCCCCTGGCTCCCTCCCCCTGGGCAGAAAGGGTTGCGCATTGTGGAGGGAGGGGGGGGGAATGGGCAGACAGGCAGGCAGAATACGCACGTTACACGTTTCTTTCCTGCTGCACCTCTCCGTCCTGTCCCCTTCAACAGGTCAAGGGTCTCAAACGAGAGAGAAAAGTATCGTACCAGGAAAATGATGAATCTTCGTTGCAAGTAGTACAATGGGGGACAAGGCCACCGCGGACAGGAGGAACAAGACCAGCAGGAAGCGAATCAGCGGGGGAACGGCCATTGTCAAAGTTGGAAGGACAAGACCGTACCCCCAAGCTATAAGCTGCACCCCGCCGTTTCTCTCGTGCGGCCGGAGGGAGTATCATCAGTACGGGAGAGGTCGCCGAGGGGACGAGATGAGAGAATCCGCGTGTCCCATTCTCACCCCAAGTAGGTAACGCCACCCCCACACTGGCAGAACGGCCATAGCATGTGTGGGCGCCAGACTTGCTGAAGGGCGAAGGTGCAGCAGCGGGTAGAGGGACCCGATTGATCCATCACTCTGTGTTGTGACGTGACTGCCGATCCGATCACAGAAAATCTGGAAAGTGGGAACGGCTCCTTGGGTGTCGGGCACGGCCCGGGAACAATACGAGCCGGTACCCGTCATGCTGTGTTGAGTTTCCCGGTCTCTTGATGGAGCTTAGGATTCCGATGCGAGATCTGGTGTTCTGCTGCTTGGAAAAAGACGAAAACGGATATGTCAGAGAAGGGCGATCTCGGGAGGTGAGAAATACTAGTCATCTCTCACCTTACCAGCATTGGCTGTGAATGATGCCATTTCTGCCAATCACTTTTTGGACCACGGCACTGCTCATGATATGTACCTATGCACAAACAGAAACGGAGGCTGTAAATGACGGCCACCAGACTCCGGGCTGTGTGTCTCACTAGGTGGCTCCGGAAAATCAAAGCTTGTGCGTTTGGTCTGCATGTCCACCGCAACCAATGGCTGTGATGATTACCCGAGGACATCAGGTGAAGTTCTTCAGTTTGAGAGAACACAAGTGATACCTCAATCCACCGAGATAAGGGGGGATCAAACAGTTCGTATGGCCATTGGTTAATTTTGTTCCATCTCTTGAAGGTTCGGTAGGTACCTTACTAAGGTAACTTCATCTCTGAAGTGACCCGCCTGTTTCGAGTTCTTGCAGTGTTTGCTCCTCTTGCATCGCATTTCCCGTTTGTTGGCAGCACAGCGGAACAGCACGAAGCGCCTTGTCGGCGTCGCCGAAGAAAACTCCTGCTTGATTTTTGTACAACTACATTGCATCGCATGGCATAGCATCTGGTCTCGAGCCCGCCTACCTGTACGTTTTGAGATGGTTAATAGCACAACTAGTCTGATGATTCCAGTTTACATGCTTGTTAGTCTCCGCATGATGTGAATGCTTCGCGTCTCGTGGATTGCGGCAGGCAGACCCCCCTGCTCGTCAGTGTCGGTGGCTGAGAATTGAGCCCTTCTCGAAGCTCAGTTGCCGGCCTGGCACAGGCGTGTCTCAACGGCTCGGTACAGCGCTCCATGCTTCTATCCGTTTGTGGCGTAAGGCCGAGTACGAAGACACGAAGAGTTTGTGGCTGACAAGGGGAGACGCAAACAATAAAATCTTCTGACCTGCGAGGCGATGATGGCGGACCTCCGTGACTCCGCCGGCGTTTACCTTGGGACCTTGACTCGAACGATTCGGCATTGGTCCACTCGACTACCCGACTCATCCGTTTATCAGCGGGGCCTGAGCAATATGTACGACATGAACAGCACTACCTACTGTGAAAATAAGTATTAATAGCAGCACCTTTGGCATTTCGTGTCGGAATCAATCATACCGAACGCCGCTTTCAATCAGCCTTAAGGGGCAGTTAGTAGCCACTGGGAGTCCGCGTGCATGGCGGGAAGAAGTTCCCGATCAATCACGCATGCATCCACGAGTCAACTCGCGGTAACTTGAGGCTGTCGAGCTGAGGATCATCGGTGTGACGAGCCCGGTGTTCTGCTCATGAGTCGAAATCGGACGGGTTTGTTGTCGATGACTTCTTCAGGTTGCGTATCAGACACACTCGGCACCGAAGTCTTCCATCGGGTGTGATAGAGCGCCTCTGGTCAAGGAAGCAGAAACGCGGAGAATGGCACGAACAAGAAGTTGGTGTTAGCACGAAGAACGCGAGGACTGATGCTGCTTCAAGTTAGGTTTTAGCCAGCTGTTAAGGACCGGAAACTGTTTCAAGGGTGTCTAGATGTCTGGTCCACTGAAAAAATCGCCGTCACTATTAGACAAGTTCGATCATTGGCATTGCTGGCTGACCGGGCTGGTGCGTCTATGGAGAGCAAGGCAGGCACGATCCGTTACACGGGCACGCCACTGCAGTGCTTCCGCCTTGGGATGAAGGTCGTTGGGTACCTATGTTCAATCCACTTCCAACTTACGGCGTCCATCTTTGGAGGGGCTATGTTTTATCCTCAGTTTATGCTGTTGCTTTAGCCAGTCATTCGAATCGTCCATATACAATTGAGTACGCGGTGCCTTCTAGCCTTGTCCCAAAAACACCCTAATACACCGTTGACCTTCCGCTACTAAAGATACCTCGAAGTCCGCCACGAAAAGGCCTCGGCGCCCGTCATCCTCCTCTCGATCCCCTTGATCGCTCTATCCATCAGACTCCTCGCCTCGCCCTGCTGACCACCCAGACCATATGAACCGAGCAGCCCCTCCGCCATACTCAAGAACTCCACCTCCCAGGCCCTCACAAGCCCAAGACACAGCTGCCGCGCCGCGTGGACCGACAGGTTCGCCTCCTTGGCCAGGACCGCCACGCCGTTGACCAGCACTGCACCGTCCTCCAGCGCCTGAGCCGCCTTCCACTCCCTCTCAAACGAGAACACGTCGTTCAGAATGCTGACGTGGTAATTCGCAACCCTGTCGAGCGGGCGCAGCATCGCCCGCTCGGCGGCGCCCCCCAGCGCCGCGTCCAGGTCGGGCTCGGTCCAGTACAGCAGCTCGGCGCAGATGGGCATGCCGACGTCGGTCTCGCGGAAGGCGAGGTAGTCGCCCAGCGCGGCCGACGCGGCGCCCGTGCCGCGCGAAGCCTCGCAGTGGCACGCCAGCATGGCCATGTAGGCCTCCAGCACCCGGCGGGACGACGAGTCTCGCGGCGTGGGCACGGCTAGGATGCGTGCGAAGAGGGAGGCGTGCATTCGGTCGATTGTTGTTGTTAGTGTTAAGGGGGAGATTGAGTTTGAGAGCGGGGACGGTGGTGATGAGGAGGAGGAGGAGGAGAGGAGCGACTGCAGGCGTGAGACCACGAGCGAGTTCTCGGCTAGTGGGTGGTGGTCGAACCAATCTGGAGGAAGTCAATAACGAGCCGCTGGCTTTCGGGATGGGGAACATGACAAACCATCCATCAGGAACCCCAGGAGAAGAAGTTCGGTGGCAAGCTTGACCCGGTTGGTTTCGCCGGTTGGGAACATGAACAGGACGACCTCGCTCAGCTTCCAGCTGATGAAGCCTTGCTTATGCTTTTCTGATGGCCACTCCCACGTGTCGACGAGGTAGGTGACAACCTCGCGGTCAATTTCCTCGGCATTGGGATGAATCGTGGCTTGGGAGAGAACGGTCGGCGGCACAATGTCCTTCAGGGGGTGGGCAGATTCGGCATGCAGAGTGGTGGAGGGCATCTTGGGACCTTAGGCTGTGAAGTTGTTCGTCTGGGACCTACAAGTGTGCTACTGGGAAGTACCTAGTCGAAGACCTGGCGGATTGCAAGAAATTGTAGTGCTGTCTTCTCATGTGAATCACACCCCCATCCGCCGTGGTCAACGGGAGTTATTATACTCTCAGAATGTTCGCCCCAAGTCCGAAATGCCCTTCGAAGCGCTGGACATATTCCATCTTGGGCAGAAAGTGCTCCGTCTCCGAGTTCGATGGGATCTCGGTATCTGTTCCACAACATCGAAACCTACCTGGTACCTATACAATGAACGGGCAACCGGAACCCCCGCAGAACACCACCCCGAAGTGCTCCCTATCTAACTCGCAAAAATGGAAAGAGAAGGTTACTTTGCAGGCACTGCCATCCAATAATACCTGTAACCTTATGCTCATGCAACATGCTTGCTGCAGTGGTTATTTGTCGACGACTATCAGCTAAGATAGGTTTCAGGCTTTTTCAGCTACGACTCGGCCGTACCGAGTTCCCGACTCGGAGGTGTGCGGCAGGCGAAACCAGCTGAACCGGCGAGGCTTGTCCGCTGTGCAAAGCACATTCAATGAGGCAGTGCCGTCCGATTCGTCCGCAACTGGCCGCTCACGACAGCTGAGTTGTTCCGCTCTACCGCTGCTCAGGTCAGTTTGCGATAACTCGGTGGTCCGGGCATCACCGACGTTCTCACATGAGGCACCTCCACTGTGTAACCACATTTCTGAGGGCGCTACTTCCATTATACCAATTCACACTTGTTTCCATCCTTTAACTATGGTACTTGGCTCTATACTAGTAGTGCAGGATCAAGTATTGGAGAACAAGTTTGTCCTTCAATTTTATACACTGCGCTCAGTGTACTCAAGTGCTCAACATGTCGGCCAGCACACCGAGACATTCCCTGCAGCTTGACACCACATCCAATTCCAATCAATTCCAATTCCATTCATGCTCTCTCCGCATGCTTTGCTACGGAATATTGCAGCCCAGAAGGATGTGCATTTAAAGTTAGGTACCATCAGGGATAGTCGGAGGGGCTACTCCCTAGTACCAAGTTCTAACGTAGTCCAAGATATATACAGTACCAGCCTCCAGGTACTAGTATCCGACAAGATCTCGTATATCCACTGAACAAGCACCGCTGACTCATACGTAAAGCCGCAAGCCCGACGGAGTACGGACCCTACCAAGACGCTACGCTGTATTCCAACGGGCGCTCATTCGCGTGCTTGGAATCGACTGCTAAGGAGGAAGAGAGAGACAAGAGAGTCTGCCCTATCCGAGATTGCAGAAGCTTCGTCAGCGGCTGCGAGATTGGAAACAGTCTAGAAGCGCCTGTACCCCTGAATCCTAACAAAGGCGGTGAGGTGTGAGGCCCCGAATCCGCTAAGAGAATCCGGCCGAGGCGCCCCAACCCGGTCGGGCCGGGACCTCGGCCCACTAAGGCCCCCCGCCTTCCAGGCCGGCTTGGCACGATGTAACCTGGGGTTGATGCTACGAAGGAGCGAGTCACGGGGAGCGCTTATCCTGCGCCTCTCAAGTCTCGTTTAGCTCTCAATGTAAGACTGAACTGCTGTTTTACATTCTCAGAGGAAGAGCGGTTTCATCAAACACATGAGGCGAAGTGAGTGAGCACCATGTCCGACTCAGCGCAGCGCCGTGTTCAAGCGATCGGCGATCAGCTTGCCGGCGAGACCAGTATTCCACCCATCTTCAAGGTCGCCCCGAGCGGCCCGCGAGTTGCCGGCAAAGTGGTCATTATCACCGGTAATTCTTCATCAATATATATGGTCTACAGGGCCTTCACTCACAAATCTTCATCAAGGCACGAACTCCATCCTCGGCATCGGCCGCGCCTCGGCGCATCAGTTCGCAGAACACGGCGCCAAGGCCGTGTACATCTGCGACTACGATGACACCAACCTCGAGGCGCACAAGCGCGAGATCAACGCCCTGTTTCCCCAGGTAGACGTCCACACGCGGCAGTTTGATGCGGCCGACGAGAAGGCCGTGAAGGAAGTCATCGACGACGCGATGAAGCGATATGGCCGCCTCGACGTCTTCTTCGCCAACGCCGGCACAATCGGCCCACACGCCTTGTTTACGGAGATTGACGCCGACGACTTCATGGAGACCATGCGGGTGAACTCACTTGGGTACGTAGACTCTGTCTCTTCCCCCTTTAAGATGCTCACACACCTGGTCACCGCTGACAAAACTCCAGGGTTTTTCTCGCCGCCAAGCACGCCGCCCCAGCAATGCAAGTCACCTCGGCCACCAAACCCACCCCCTCAGGGAGCATCATCGCAACGGCGTCGGTGGCCGGCCTGCGCTCCAACGCGGGGAGCACGCCCTACTCGGCGTCCAAGGCGGCCGTGGTCTCGATGGCGCAGACGGTGGCCTTCCAGCTGGCGGGGACGGGGGTGCGAATCAACGCGCTGTGCCCGGGCCTGATCGAGACGGGCATGACGGCGCCCGTCTTCGAGATGGCGCGGGCCCGCGGTACTCAGGGCCGCATCGGCCAGCTCAACCCGCTCAAGCGGGCGGGCCACGCCGACGAGATCGCGCGCGTCGCGCTGTTCCTCGGCAGCGACGAGAGCAGCTATGTCAACGGGCAGGCCTGGGCGGTGGATGGTGGGCTGAGCGCGGGCCATCCGTACGTGCCGGGGCGGTTGGGTTGATCCGGTGGCTTTTTGGACTCTTGGGGGCGTGTCTTGACTCATTGAGTGCTTGAGGCTTGCTCATGAAGACGCTGTTCGCATCATAATAGATATTTAAGGACACATTTTAGGCTGCGTGCAGTCTGGTAGTCATGGACTGTAATTCGCAATCTCTCTTCATCTCCCTAAAAGTAAAAGCAATTCTGAGGCCAGCAACGGTCAGGTCCGTGGCCAAGGGGGTCACTAGTCGGTTTTCTTGGCTGGCTGCCATTGGCGGTGTGAACCCGACAGGCATCTATACGAAGCGGTAAACATCGACATTCTCAAAAGGGGAAGTGAGAGTCAAGTCAGATGACAAGCAGATGAGGCGAGCAAAGCACAAAAATGTGTCTCAGACGTCCGGCAGCCACTTGTGTGGGTGCTGAGCGGGTTGCATTTGTTCCAGGTTTGGTGCACGGAGGCGTTGCGCCAAGGCTGCTTCCGCAGAACTCTGGCAATTCTGTTAAGGAAGGACTCATAGCGAGCTAGTGGCTGTTTGCTAAAAGGAGGTAATTAATGACAATGAGAAGACACTGATGTATGTGTTTTCAATTCCTATTTTTCATCTTGGCAGCTTCACCGTCTTGTCTCGTTATTCTGGTTGAATCACCTAACTGAAGTCTCTGGTAAGGAGTCAGAATTTGAAGCACAATGCACCCAGTACCAGCTACAGGTCGTTCGCTACCAAAAGGAGCGGACGCCTCAAATTGTCGGCAGGCGCGGGATGTATCCACACCATTGCGGGGCCGTGTCTGGGGTGCATGTTGAGTGCCCAGCGCAGCGGTTCATTACCTAAAGTTTCGATCTGCCTCAATGCCTTGCAATTGCAGTGTACGGATATGTATGAGACATTCGGACTTTTGGGAAGCTCGCTGAAGTTTCAGCACAAGACTTCGTCTTTTAGATGAGTGAGAGACGCATACCGGTGCATAGGTCTTCAGGTATATACAGAGGTATGTTCCCGCCAGCCGACCAATACAATGCGGTTGCGCGTTGAATGGATGACGTCGAGTCCCGATGAACACGTTCCACCGGTCGATTGGGGAACCTTGCACTTGCGCACCGGAGACACTCACGACATTTGTGTCTTATACGGCGGATTGCTAACCGCGCTGTCAATGCTTGATATTCAGGCCCAGTCTTTTGTACTGTATTATCCTCGATCAACGTGTGAGCGAGCCTCCGATCTTGGATCACCGAGAATGAACAACCCACGCCTACAATTAGTAACAGCCAAGAAATGCAATATTCGAAAACATATATCATTATCATTAGACTGAACCACCTTACGCCATGAAAGGTACATAAAACGCTAAAGTTGAGCACTTTGTGCACCATTCACTCTGTCAGTGTCTGTGTATGTAAGGTAAGCCGGAATTACCGTACTACCACATCCGGGTTTAATGCGAGTGATCCTGATCGCTCATGGCCGCTCAACATAGGTACTGTGGCAACAAATAAACGATCGTCCATTACCTCCCACTGCTTCCTTGTGGTTTACCCTGCCGGAAGCTCAGTGCACAGACCCTCAGAAACCCCCACACTCGCATTCAGCAACCCTGCAAGGCCACCCGCATGCACCTGCCAACAAAACGCAAAGCAGGTGCTTCCTCACACGACCTTCATAACCAAAACTTCCCACCAACTCAAGTTCTTCACTCTGTTTACGCGAACACAGATCAGATCCATCCACATTCTGCATCACCAAGACACCCCTCTCTCTCTCATACGACGTGCTACGCGCTGTCCCTTTCTCAATCTTTACTGATTCAACTTCCCAAAATGTTTACGTCGATATAGCCGAGTGCGCCGCCAAGAGGTCCGTCAGGGCTCTGAACAGGCTCGACATTCCGCTTCGCCTTTCGCTCGAGCCATCCTCTTTGCAAAGCCCAGTCTTGCGCCCCATTCTTGGTCTCGGAATTCGCCTTCGCTTGGTGTGCACCGTCCAATCCGGCCCTGCCCGATAGCTCACCCCACCACGCCGCCTTCGAGCAATCCCACCGCGCGTTTCCTGACCCAAACGCCGCCGGCCGCAGGATCCGGTCTCCTTCGCCCCACGACTGCGACACTTCGTGGTGTCAGTCAAACAATCCCGAGCAGACTGACATGGCTTCGGTCCAGAAGGCAGTGGTGTCGAAGCGAAGCAGCAGGCTGTACGTCGAAGACGGCATGGACAAAGGAACAGAAGAATACCAACCCAAACGGAATGGCGGATGCGAAGAGACCGAGGTCGAAGGGTGGGACAAACAAAGCTCATCCTCCACGACGACAAGGCATGCCAGCCAATCGAGCCTTGAGTCGTCGCCGATTGTCCAGCCCACAAGTGGAATACAAGTGGTAGACAATCTGGTATTAGGCGGCTTAGGACGACGCAGAAGCGATTCCGAACTCCGAGAGGCATTCCACCCACCGCTCGCGAACCAGCATCCCGCCTTTTCGGCGTACGAGCTGGAGCAGAGCCTCCCGGCCGAAGGCCGACCGCGCAACTTTGGTGTTGTGGTGCCGGGTGTCTATCGGAGCAGCTTTCCGCAGTCGGAGGACTATGCATTTCTCGAGGGCTTGAAGCTCAAGACCATTGTGTAAGTGTACCGGCATTCTGTGCTCTGGAAGTCCGGACCTACTGACCCTCTTCCTAGCACATTGGTACGGAAGGACTTCCCTGAGGGATACGATGCCTTTCTTCAGAAGAACGGTATCAGGCACTGCGTGTTCGACATGCAGGGTACGAAGAAGCAAGATATTCCGCTCCAGACCATGAAGTCCATTCTTCGTCTGGTCCTCGACCGGCGCAATCACCCTCTCCTTGTGCACTGCAACCACGGCAAGGTATGTTCCTTGTCCTCGCCAGGTCCTGAATGCGGATGCTGATCTCAAGCAGCACCGGACTGGCTGTGTCATCGGTATCGTGCGCAAACTGTCAGGCTGGGATGTCAATTCCATCGTCAGCGAGTACAAGACGTACGCCAATCCGAAGGCGCGCGACTGTGATATTAAGTATATCACGGGCTTTGAGCTGGCCAACATCTCGAACCTGTTTCGAGAAGCTAGTTGGCCCTTTCGTACCGCCGGCTTCCTGCGCGCAAGCCTCTTCGCCCTTATCATGGTCGTCGTCTGGCTCACCTCGAGCACCAGGATTACCAAGGCTAGGACTGGACCGGCGTCGGAGCGCCACTTGCTAGGTGAATCGCTGCCCATTGGGCTGTGAATCTCGACACACTCCCGGCACCCGGCATTCACCGCACCTATTTGCCTATACGGCTTCATTCGGATACCGCTACGTCATCCCTTCCACTGGAAAGAACAACCGCGGTCCCCTGTATCATATCAATTCCATCAGCTCTTCAGTTATTGGGGACGAAGTTCAGGGACCAACCACACCAATCTTTACCAGACCGGTGCGCCCCGCCGCGTCCCCCGCCTTCAGGAACCGGGATGTGAAAGAACGAAGATTAGGAAAGGGCCCATGATCTCCGCCGAGGACGACGCTGGGTGCCTCAGGTCTTGCAAGAAGGGAAAGATGCACTGCTTGTGCGAGAAAGCAGTCGGGTTGGCTATCTGAGCGTTTTCGTTTCCGGCGCAGCATACACATTGCATGAGATTGGGACACATAGAAGACGGTGGGATAGGTTGGAGACTATCAAGTGCTGAGCTGTCTCCATGGCGTTCGAGTGGTTGGCTTTATTTATTTTCTCTCTTTCTGTATGCTACTCTGTCTTGATTGCGGGTTCTTATTGTTGTATTTTGCCTCTTGTATATGTATTGGATCTGTTGTACTGTCCTCGAGGCGCAGGGTTGTCCAGATGGCTTTTCCTCTTCGTCTTCAGGGGCCTGAATGCCCAGGTTCTTTTAAGAGGTGAATGCACGTACAGCATATTAATAGAACAAGAGACAAACATGCTGTCTCCATCCGCACGATCCGGTTACCTTCACCAGCCTGCGCATAATTCTCTCGCTGCTCACTCTTCCGAATGCACCGCATAACACGCCAGCAAACACCCACTCAGCCAAACCGCCCTCAACTCCATGCTTTTCTGGCTCATACCCTCCTCACACATTCCTCATACCTCCCGAGCCCCTTCATGGCTAATCTCTATAGACACCCCACCGGTTCGCCGCCTTCCGCTCCTCCTCCTCCCGCTTGCGGTCCCCGGTTGCGTACGTGTACAGACCCGCAACGGAGTTCGCGGCACCCAGCCCCATGGCCGAAGCGCGGACTGCCCCGCGCACGGAGAAGCGGCTGCGCAGCGAGGCCGGGCGCCGCCGCGCGGCCAGCAGCGCGTACACGCCGCTCCAGGCCGCCGTCATGCCCGCCCCGTCGATCTTGAACCCGGCCAGCGTCAGGTAGCTGCTGAAGATCAGGAGCGGGGTGAAGAGCATGGGCAACGGCTGGAAGGGGCGGGCGTGCAGCGCGATGATCAGGGAGGTTAGTGTCATGGGGGGGATTGCGGAGGCTATGGGCAATTTTTCCATTTTGTTAATTGTTTAGTCGCTGAATTCGGTCTAGAGGAGAGAGAGGTAAAGCAAAAAAACATGTTGTTGGGTGTGGTGGTGTTTTGAGACTTTGGAGATGCTCGGTGACAAGAAGCCCAACGGGGGCAATGAAGTGGTGTTTTGAACTTACTTCCCCATGCTGTGAGCTTGGATCTGAGCCCTTCGGGCGGCTGTAAGTCGTCTACGGGAGCCATATTGGCCGGATTGTGGGTTGCTTGAGCTGGGTAATAATAATAAGGCCCCCAGAAAGAAGTTGGCTGTTTTTCAGCTCCTAATTCGCTCAGTTTGGCATCTCATCGCAGCTCTGTTGCGACGACGAGCGGTTCTGCAGTGCAGCTTTCTGAGACAAAGTGACGTTGTGAAGGTGCCGCTTATCGCACCACCTTATCGAGATGACTAAGCACAACACCATTTCCTATTCGATCATACCAACAGCAAGTCCTTTTGGCACTTGCATTTGCATGTGGCAATCACGTGGCAATGTACGGATTACCTACAGCATACACATGCAAGTGTTAGACTGGCCCTTATAACTGAACCCGTAGAATCGAAATTTCTAGTCTATAATCTCCCCGTTGATTTGGATGAATTCTCTAACGACTCAAAGCTCGGATTCTTCAATATATCTTGGTATTGCTTGGCAGATTTTCAGTCGAAGACTCTACACAGCAATCAAACAATAGAGTCATCTAAAGCCCTACGCGTATTGCCCGCATCGGCAATCGGACTAGATATTCCGACTCTACGGATTTGGGTTCATCCAGATGAATACTTTCACTGCTACGTGCGCAGGGCTGGTACCGGCTGGGATACAAGTTACAACATGACTCGGTGCTATTCGGTCACTGTAGTGAGCAGCCTCGGTGATCTTTTCAAACTCTGTCGTGGACATGGTGGCAAGGGATATATCAAGGCATTCGAGACGCATCTCGGATTCGGGCAATAGAGGGTTACTACGTACAAGGGGACGGGTTTGGACCGTTGTGAGACAGGTTAGTTCTACGCTACTGAACTGATGAACTTATGGCGATGGTGATTCATCATTCGGCCCAGTACGAGAGCAACCGCTGATTCACATAAACTGGTTTTTGCGGTTGCCCGACCGCACAGTGGCAAGTGCCGTGACGCTACTATCTACTGGATGATGACTGATGACGCTAACATTTGCTGGATGATGGCGGAACAACTCTAATAAGTCTGAAGTCGTCGGTAAGCTGGCAGCTGGGGCAGACCGACTACTTGACTAGGTGGTGCTCGGGGTGGTACATTCGACACGTTGAGGGTTTTATATAGTACTAGGTATCAAGGTAGTAGCTAAAGTACGCTTTTAACACAGGCGTCACAGGTTACATGAGTCCCCGTCAAGAGGGTCTTGCGCACTGAGTACTGCCTAAGCTACCTACGTACATCACATGCTCTATCTTGACGTCAGCTACAGATGGTGCAGGATCCTAGCGCAAAGTATACGCGTAATGGGGGCGAGCTGCAGTGGCAAATCCATGGCGAACGGGCGCTGATTGACCTTGCGCCAGTGAGTCGTGACCTAATCACTCTAGAGGTTAGACCGTCTGATCTCACGAACTAGTGCAGCCGCACCCGGCGGCAGCCTTAAATACCGAGGGCCTCCTTCGGCTTAGCACTCACCGACGAACCTTTTTCTTCCTCTCTTTCAGTTCCGCTCACCTGTCACTTTCCTGACCGACACTGTGAGAAGGAGCTACCCCCCGACCAGCCATTTCTGCTCGTCAATTTCCGCACCCCTTGCCAACATGTCGTCGCCCTCGTCGTCCTCGCAAGTCGGATTCCCTCGCTTCCTCGACCTGCCCGCCGAGCTCCGCTTCCAGATCTGGGAGGCCGCCTTCGCCGCGCCAGCAGTCCTGGCCGCCGTCCACGTGGGCGGGCCCACAGCCGCAGACGCCGACGCCGTGGACGACATCGACGCGGAAGCCCCCGCGTACGCCATGAGCTTCGTCGGCCCGGCGCCGTACCTCGTGGGCCTGGCCTGCCGCGAGGCCATGGCGCTGCTGCGGCGGCCCAACCGCTCGGGCGTCCAGCAGATCTTCGGCCCCGCCGGTGTTGTGATGGGCACCAGCAGCCCGTGGTCCAGGCGCCCGCACTGGGTCAACCTGGACACCACCGTCGTCCATCTGCGGACCAGTGCGGATGCGTCGGAGGTGCTGGGGGGCTTCGACGCCGATGTCTTGCCCAGATTCCGGCACGTCGCATGGATCTGGCAAGACTCGGACCCCCCCTACGGTGGCGGCTTGACCCGGCTCGTCAAGCTCTGCCGGTTCCTGGCCCTCGTCTGCTCAACCCTGGAGACCATCACCATCCAGTGGGACTGGGACGCCGACGAGCCGTGTCCCTTGACCCGGGAGGTGGCCGCCTTCTGCGCCGCCATCCCCGCGTGCAGGGAGTGTCCGTGCAACGGATGCGGGCTCGCGGAGGAGATGCCCCTTTTCCGGCAGCGGTTGTTGGAGCATTTCACCAACACGCCGCCGCCCCGGCTCCATCTCCTGCCCCCGGGTTTCTACCATCCGCTGCCGTAGCTTACAGCAGCAGCAGCCCCCCGGGGCCCCCTCCCAGGCTCATTCCGTGCCGGAGTGGACGCGTCGTGCGAGGAGGATGGGGTACCGAGTACCGACGAGGACGAAAGACGCGAGCGTTGAGGGCGAGAGTGTGTTCGCAGGGTTGCGGGACTGCTCAGCCAACCAGAGCAGTCTGCACGGGAAAAGGGGCAACCACCGATGCAGCCACTTCCGCTCCGTGGAGCGTTGAGTTCGAGACGTTTTGGACGAGCGATAGATTTTTGCGAGTGTCTTTTTGGAAAAGCACGTAGGATGTCAAGGGATTTTCTTTTATCTTTCTGACTTTATCTTTTTTCTTGGGCTAATGGGAGTTGGGACGGATATGCTGCATGGTCTAAGGTGTATTTATGATTTTCTCTTAGCATAATGAGTTCTATCAATTCGCTCTTTCAATTCAAACTTGAAGGCAGCCAAACCCGAGCTGCACTTCAACAGCCTTTTTTTTTTTTAAAAAAAAAAGTCCTGGCTAATGATCAGCATAGCGTCCTTGAGGGATGGTACCTATAACTATGCATGCTCCAATAAAGTAACACCACGGAATCTCGAAGCCACAACTTACAAGATAGTAACGGTATCCACTTCGACAAGTATATTACCGAGCAGTGGAGAGTACACGGGGTAGCCGGCAGCTTGGCTTCCAGATCTTGTCATTAGTGCAGGCCACTTTCTAGTGTACCTGGTATTCGTCTTATCCTCCAGCAGCGGCAATATCCGACCGGATGCAGACACAGCAGCCAACGTTCGGGGTAAAGAATGCCGAGTATCTCTAGTATTGTCGTATTGTAATCAAGATCGACATATCGACATGCGGGGGGAAACATGGAGAGAGTCGGGGCGTGTGGGGGGAAAGGCCGCTGGCGAATGCAACGACGGTTGAAGTCTCTGCAGTGGCATTCCGCGAATCAAATACATCTCGGGGTAACTTCCCCCGTAAATTTTCACTGCAAAGGAGAATGGTTAGTAGGGCTGCTTGGTAAGGTACTCAGTACTGGCGTCATCGCCCCCATGATATTTGCATTGGACTCTTATTATCATTAGCGATAAGCAGGGGAACTAGAATCTGGGCCGAGATTTGCTGGATCGGCTCGATCGTCGGCATCGGACAACAAAGTGACAACTTGTACAATACATATTCCCGGGAACGGACTACGAACGAGCCTGCAGTACTTAACCGGCTCATACCCGGACGCTCTGCAGCATGGCACAGCCCAGAGAGGTCAGCGGAATAGCCGCTGCAGCAGTGATTCTGCACCACGTCCGTCGAGATGGCGTCCTTGGCCGCCTGCCTTGCTGGCGTTTTAGGTCTTCTCGGCCAGACGGTCACTGCCGTCCACATCTCCAACTCTAGCTCGTCGTCCGCCACAGTCCACTGGCTGGGATCCAAGCCCGAGGTGAACCTGGGCGCTACTTTCGGCCTGCCATGGCCGCGTGGCAAATACTTCCCCGAGCAGACCACATTCTCGGCCTCGGACTCGGACGGCCAGAGTCTTGATCTCCAGTCCTGGGCCACGGGTTACTGGCCGGACGGTTCCTTCAAATGGACGGGCCATGCCATCCCGGCATCAGACACGGTGCCGGACACTTACACGGTCAAGGCAACTTCGGGGTCATCGGCATCCTCCTCGTCGTCGCATCCGCGCAAGTCAACTCCCGGGATCACCGTGAGCGAGACACCGCAGCAGATCAAGGTCGACACGGGAAAGATCGCAGTCTCGTTCCCCAAATCGGGCGACGTGGTCATTGCCGCCATCGAGACGGCGGCGGGCAAGACGGTCGGCAAGAACGGACGGCTAGTCCTGCAGTCGCAGGACGCCGTCTACGACACGCCCGACGCGCGCGGCAAGACGCCGATCAACTACTTCCACTTCCAGAGCCGCGTCAGCAACGTCACCGTCAGCGACCCGACCTCGGTGCGCGCCCTCGTCACCGTCCGGGGCACGCACTCCCCCCTGGACGGCTCCTCGCACGCCGCCTGGCTTCCGTTTGTCCTGCGGTTCTACCTGTACGCCAACTCCCACGCCATCCGGCTCGTGCACAGCATCGTGTTCGACGGGAACGCCACAAGCAACTTCGTGAGCGGCCTCGGCGTGCGTCTCGACGTGCCGCTGCAGGGCGAAGCGCAGTACAACCGCCACGTGCGGCTCGCCGGCGTGGATGGGGGCCTGCTCAGCGAAGCCGTGCAGGGTATCACGGGCTTGCGGCGCGACCCGGGGCAGGCGGTGCGCACGGCGCAGGTCGAGGGCCGGGAGCTGCCGGACATCTCGACGTGGGACGCGCGCGTGTCGTCCCGGCTGCGCTGGATCCCGACATGGGCCGATTATAGCCTGAGCCAGCTCTCGCCCGACGGCTTCACCCTCCGCAAGCGGACCAAGACCGGCCAGTCGTGGCTCACCATCCCGGGGGGCACGCGCGCCGACGGGCTGGCCTACCTCGGCGGCGCCACCGTCGGCGGCGTGGCGGTCGGGCTGCGGGATTTCTGGAAGCGCTATCCCACGGGTATTGACATTGCCAACGCCTCCTCGGACGACACCGGGACCATCACCCTCTGGCTGTACAGCCCCCAGGCGCCGCCGCTGGATCTCCGCCCCTACCACGACGGCCTGGGCGAGGACACCTACGCGGAGCAGCTCGACGCGCTGGACATCACGTACGAGGACTACGAGCCGGGGTTCGACACGCCCTACGGCATCGCCCGCACGAGCGAGATTTCCTTCTTCGCCTTCGACAGCACCCCGTCACGGGAAACCCTCTCCTCGCTGGCGGGTGGCTATCTCCACAACCCGCCCGTCCTGGTCGCTTCCCCGGGGTATATCCGATCCTCTGCCGCGCTGGGCACATACTGGGACCTCCCCCTCTCTTCTTCCAATAGCAACACCACCACCACCGGGCGTGCCCACACAAAAATCGAAGCCCACCTCTCCCTCCTCGCAACCTTCTACCAAACCCAAACCGCCCAGCGGCGCTGGTACGGCTTCCTCGACTACGGCGACATCATGCACACGTACGACGCCGACCGCCACACCTGGCGGTACGACGTGGGCGGCTACGCATGGGACAACTCGGAGCTCTCGCCGGACCTGTTCTTCTGGCTGTACTTCCTCCGCACAGGGCGGGAAGATATCTACCGCTTCGCCGAGGCCCTAACGCGGCACACCGCCGAGGTGGACGTCTATCATCTAGGGAAGTGGAAGGGGCTGGGCACGCGCCATGGCGTGCAGCACTGGAGCGACTCGGCGAAGCAGGCGCGCATTTCGCAGCCGCAGTACCGGAAGTATTTTTACTATTTGAGTGGTGGGGATGAGAGGGTTGGGGAGTTGCTCGAGGAGGCGTTGGATACGGATGTGACGTATGGCGTGCTGGATCCGAATCGCAAGGTCAGGACCGACGGGTGGACGCCCGCTCCGGGTAGGGCGGTGGCGATTGGGTTGGGCACGGACTGGAGTGCCCTGGCGGCCGGGTGGTTGATGGATTGGGAGCGGAGGGGGGAGAGGTGGAGGGGGTCGAGGACCAAGTTGGTGAAGACCATGGCCGGGATTGCGAGGTTGAAAAATGGGTTTGTCACGGGTAGCGGGCTGTATAACCTGTCGGACTGGACGCTGGGGCCTCCGCCGGCCGACCCAGGCAACGAGGGCACCGTGGTGGCCGTGTCGCACTTGTCGGCGGTGTTTGGCCTGGTCGAGGTCGTGGCCGAGCTGATCGACTGGTTTGGCGACTCGGAGGAGGAGGAGTTGCCCGCGGGTTTTAAAGACGCGTGGCTGGAGTACTGCTACTACTTCAACGCCGGCAAGGCCGAACAGAAGGCGCGGTACGGGGTGGATTTTGGGAATCTGAATCTGTACCAGGGCCATTCGCGCCTCACGGCCTATGTGGCTAGGGAAAGGGGGGATGATGAGGCGCTCCGGCAACGCGCCTGGAAGGAGTTTTATACCACGGATGGCCTGAAGGAGAGCGCGCCGTGGAATGTCACGACGATCGATGGGAAGGGCCAGACGGTGCTGGGCGAGGGGGGCGTCGAGGAGGCCAGCTGGTTTGCCACGAATGACGTTGCGCAGTATGGCCTGGCGGCGATTGAGAACCTCGCGCTTGTTGGGGGGGCTTTGGCAGGTTATACGGGGTGATTGGAGGAATGGCCCATTGCCTATCAAGCCAGAACACCGCTCCCGTCATAGACTCATAGTAGGGGAACGAGATGGGTTGAGTAGATGAGGGGATCAAGATGTACGATCGTATGGTAATGCACTGAGCTTGTTCAACAACCATTCCGACCATTTATCCCGGTCTGAATCCCGTCACCTCCTCAGCAGAGTCAGCACATTGCTCAAAATCGCTCAGAGTCGGCCCGGGGCTCGAGAAACATCCAATAAGTGTAAAAGGCGTCTGTCTCGTGATGGAATTGAAATTCATTGTCGCCGATATGGTGAACCCAGCACTCGACGACGTTGAGGAGCTCCATCAATTGAAATGATTATGCCAGCCACACTTGGGGAAGGAGCGTAGACTCTCTCACTTTGCTATCACCACCACATTATCGTTTTGATTTGTCTCTACTTATATCCCAAACTCATTCATTAATCCCCTCTCCAAAAAGCTAGTCGACTAGATTCTGGCCCGGGTAACTTTTGGTGGGTACGCAGGACCAGACTGTAGTCGGTTACGAAAAACCCAGAGGTTTTTGCTACCTCTGTGTGGCTCGACCGCGCAGGTTTTCAGTGATCAGGCGGAACGCACAGAGCGAGCAGGACAGGTGCCTTGGCCCTCCTCCTAATACCGCTCGACCACGAAGGAAACTCCAGGTGAGGGCCGTTGATGATCTGGCACGCGGACCTTCTATATATACCGTGGCCTTATCAGTGACCGACTCGACCGATACTCGGACCCTCTGGCTCCAAATCATCCATCTAGCCCCGTCTTAGTACCTAACATCCAATAGCAATTACTATGGAGATGATTTGGCAGTTTTGCCTTTCTCTACCTCTGATCTTCTACGTTTGATCTCTTTTCCGTCTTATCCCAACGAGCCACAATTTTTCTCTCGGCCTGATTTTACTACTCTCACATATGCTTCCACGTCACTTCAAACGGGTCTCCGATCTTGGCGAAATATCAGTATACAAGTCCACGATCCGGGTTATGCCCTGCTTCGAACTCCAAGTCAAGAGGAGAAAGGTGTTAGGGACAAGGAGTTTACCCTTAGCGAACAGTTGTAGAAGAAGATTGAACTCATCCCCTTCACATTAGCAGGAACTACTAGTAGTTACCGGCACTAGTAAACGCCGGGGTCAGACACACGGATAGGAAAGTTCCCATAACCTTGTTTCCGCATGAGGAAAATACATGTAGCTGTATCCACACTTGTGCCCAAACCTCCGTATTAGCCTTGCTCTTCCGTAGGATCGGCCACGCTCGGAGCGTGGGCCAATAGCTGCAGCAGACCAGCTTGGGCTGTCTTGGACGCCAGCTTTCTGTACCCGGAATCTGCCTTGCATGGAACGTCCAGCAAGCAGGCAAGTCGTGTCGTGCAAAAAGGGCGGGGCGGTGCGGTCAGGTGGCGCAGACCGTGGTACCGGTATACATCCTCTTTCCCAATTGGGAAAGTCAACAACAGCTTACGACAACCTTTCTCTCACAACTTCGGAAATGATTCCCTATGATAGCGGATGAGATCGCCGGATACAATGCCTTACCCAGGCGAATCGTCAAGAGAGCCATTGAATCCAAGGCACGCCGCACGCCAGCACCGCTTTCACGCCACCCGACCACATGGATGATGGATCATGGACGTGCATCCCTCCCACACCCGCGAGTCGGGACACCGAGATATCCGGAATCGAGGCTTGAAGAATACTATAAAAGAATGCCATACGCGACGCAGGTCCAGCTGGATGAACTATGAAGGCCCCCATCCACTCGCCTACAAACTACACCCACACCTTCTCCCGACTCTCGACCCCCCAGAAAAGATGGCTCCTCTCATCCTGGCGCTGGTGCAAGCGTTCTTGCTCACTTCTGCTGCTGCTCATCAACCGAAGATTCCGCGACCGGACAGCAGGCATCATTCCCGAGGCCAATCGAGCATCGCGTGGCACGCATGTGACATCCAGGGGGCAACTGTGCCGGTCGATTGTGGCAGCTTGAGCGTGCCCCTGGACTACACCAACGCAGCGTCAAACACGGCCATCGATCTCGAGCTCGCTAGGATCCCGGCTGCCAATACGCCGTCGAAAGGCAGCATTCTGTTCAACTTTGGGGGTCCCGGTGATCCGGGAATCGACAGCTTGGTCGCTTTGGGTGATGTGCTGCGGGTGTAAGACTTCCGCTTATCCTTTTCGTACCTGCTCTCCTCAGAGATAAACGTTAGGGGTGTAGGGTGGTGCTGACGTTGGGAATAACTACCCACCTACCTTAGCTTGACGGGTGGCGACCATGATCTCGTGGTGTTTGTGCCGAGGTGGGTGGCCGGGTCATTACACATTTCATTCGTAATTTAGTAAGGCTAATCAAATACGCAGGGGGACCGACAACAACACCCTGCCCTTTTCGTGCTACAACAACGCAGCCGAGCGAACCATGGCCCAACTAGCCTTGGCCGCGGGGAATTCCTCCGACGTCGCTGCCGGAAGGAACTGGGGCAATGCACAGATCCTGGCCGAGAGCTGCTATGCCGCCCGGAACGAGACCGGCGCACTCGTCGGCACCTCCTTCGTCGCCAGGGACATGATGCGCATCGTGGACGCGCTCGGTGAAGACGGACTGCTTCGGTACTGGGGTAAGAGTGATCCCAGAGTCTGGCCAAGGGGCTCAACCTGACATGAGTTTGCCTCATTTTGTATGCAGGCCTCTCGTACGGGACGCTGCTCGGAGCAACCGCCGCTGCCATGTTCCCCGACAGAATGGACAAGGTGATCCTGGACGGCGTGGTCAATCCCCACGAGTACTACCATAACAGGTACGCAATGTGATACACCTCTTGCTATCCCAACCTCCATGTTGGGGGCTATGACAACTGATACCCGCCCACAGGGAAGTCGAGATGTTCACCGACACCGACGCGGTCTTCGCCGGCTTCTGCGCCGGCTGCGTCGCCGACCCGGCCCGCTGCCCGCTCGGCCGCAACCACAGCGCCGCCTCCCTCGAAGCGGCCGTCCTGTCCTTCATGTACGACCTCAAGTACAACCCCATCGTCGTCCACGTCCCGGGGGGCCCGGGGGAACTCGGGGGAGGCTACTACCTGCTCGAGTACACGCTGATCCGCCAACTGACTCTCAACATGCTGTACGCGCCCGCCCTCTGGCCGGCCTTCGCAACCTTCCTCGACGGCCTCCTCTCCCGCAACATGGACCCCGTCGTGGCGTACCTCACCAACCTCCTCGCCCAACCTTCCCCGATAGCGGCCGAAGCACTCCCGGGGATCAAGTGCGGCGACGTGCTAACACGGACCTCCTCCTCCTCCTCCGGGCTCGAGGGCATCCTCCCCGTGGTAGAGGGCCGGCACCGGGCCAGCAAGGTCGCCGGCGACGCGGCCGACCACCTGCCCATGTGGTGCGCGCAGTGGCGGATCGATGCCAAGGAGCGCTACCGGGGAGACTTTCGTGTGAAGACGAGGAAGCCCGTGCTGGTGATTGGGAACACGTATGATCCTGTCACGCCGCTTGTCGCCGCGAGGAATGTCAGTGCTACGCTGGAGGGGAGCGTGCTCCTGCAGCATGATGGTTACGGGGTATGCCTTTTTTTCTCTTTCTCTTTACCTTTTCTCTTTGTCTTTGGCGGGTTTGTTGATGTGTGATGTGTGGTGTGTGACGTGTGAATGGCTGACAAGAAACTCACTCCCTACATAGCACTCCTCTCTCGCCCAAGCCTCGCTGTGCACCGCCCTGGCGACCCGGGCGTACTTTGTGAACGGCACGTTGCCCGAGCCTGGAACGATTTGTGACGTGCATGTCCCCCTGTTTGCGGGGACGAGCGGATTTGATGAGATACTGGAGTATTTCGAGGGCGGTGGTAACGTGACTGCTAAGAGGAACAGCATGGAGAAGACTGCGTTGGCCAAGCGCGTGTTCGCACCGAAGCCGCCGAAGCCATTCTTGCTGACCATCTAACTCAGATCACTGGTTGGAGGTTTGTCAACCCAGTCCCGGACTCCTGGGTGATGGGATGGATTTTCAGCGAACAAGGGGAGGGGCGTACCGTTATCGAGATTGTTGGATTAAAATTGCTTTCTACCATGTACACTGGTTACTCAATAGTCTATATCCGAGGTAGCCTTAGAGGATCCTCCAGGTTGAACGTTCTATTGAATCCGGTAATCCTCTAGAGGACGCAGAGTTCCCAGTTTCCAGACCAGGGTTAGCGGTTGCTGATCGTGATCGAATGTTTACCTCCTTAGTACGCCCATGGCAGCGTCGTCTCAAAGTGACCCGAGATGTTATCTTGTCTCTGCTGGCACGTGATCCAAGCTCAAACCTCTTAAAATCCGTGATAGAGAGGATGCAAAGCTCGGTGCAACAGCCGAAGCCTAGCATCGAGTTGATGCAACCTTTGGAAGCAATCGAAGCTTCCACTCTTCCAACGGCCTGGAACAGTGTGGGACGCATGCGGAGCAGCGGGGAATGTTGGTCATCAGACTTGGCGGAGATTGACCAATGAGCGACCTGCCACATCTGCCATCTGCCGTCGCTGCGGCCCAATGACGGCTTGGGCGAGGGGCCAAGCTCCAGACATCATCGACGGTGCATGAACTGTGATCCTGGATCATCTTGCATGACACGCCAGTGCAGCAGCGGACTCAGCCTGGACCGCCGATGACGACAGCGACCGCCGGCCGTTTATAACCTAGAAAAGTGCAACACGCCGTTTCCGTCCGAATATTCGATACAACCGGGTTGAAAGCGCAACGTCCCTCGGAATGAGCGGTGGAATGACTCGGTGATAAGACACGCAATGCGCATGCGGCATCACCCTGCTGCCGCCGCCGCTGTCACAATTTGTGATACAATCTAGGAGGATGCGACATTCTGACCCGGCAACATGGAGGTGACGGCCGCTTCATTATCGGCTCCGCTTGAGCGCTCCATCTCGCAGCAATCTGGCACCTCAATCAGGAGCCACCGATCCGGCGCTCGCACCCGCAAGAAGCTCACATCACAGCCCTCAAGCTCTGCCTCTTCCATCGCGCCCTCCGACAAGTCGCTGACCTCGTTCCCATCTTTCTCCCCAGACTCGCCCCGTCAAGAGAGATCCTCCTTTTTCTTCTTCCGCGGCGATGACGATTCAACCACGGCGACCTCTTCCCGCAAAACATCTGGACAGAGCTTCGCCAACTCGGAGCAGGGCGAGAGGCAAGAACAGGCACAAGGACAGGAGCGCCCACAACCATCAGCGATCGTCGACCACCTTACCACGTCCTCACCGACCGAAGCCGCTCGTAGCGCTCTGTTTGAGGATGCGCCGCTGGCTTCGCACAAGATCCCCGGCGCGCTGCACCATGCAGACGATGAACACATCGAGCGCTTGATCGCTCGCCACGGTGCTGTCAATCTCGTGAGACAAATTGCCGAAGATTTGGCAGTACGAGATGCCCAGATCGCAAAGCTGCGCCGTCGGGCCGAGGAGCGCGAGCGCGCCCTGCGCAAGATTGTCCTGGAATGCGGTCTCTCCAGCCTAGATCTGGAGACGCGCCTGCGGGCCATCGAACGGGAAGCACGGCCCAACGGAACGCCGAGCCGCATCTCGGGAGAGGGTATCTCGGATCTCATGACGGATGCCATGGCCGAGGATGTGAGACCCTACGCAAGCAACGCCCTAGACGACGCAACTCTTCGCGCAAGCTCGGTGCCGCTGCCTGCCCCTTCAGACGCCGAGGCCGAGACTGCAAGAGGCAGCACGCGAGGCTGGAAGGAGTACTTATGGGGGAGCGGCACTGCGAAGAAGTCCAGCCGGGCTAGCAGCACAACGAGAGAGGCCGATAAGCAACAGCCGACTGTGGTGAAAGCCACGCCAGTAGAGCGCCGGCCGGCGCTGCAGGACGACCTCTTCGACCCGCCGGAGGATAATCCCGTGCGAAGCTCTAGCAGAGCTTCTAGTGTCAGCTCTGCGCATAATGCAAGGAAACCGTCTTTGGCAAGCATGGCCCTGCGGCTCGTTGCAGGAGGGGCGTCGATAGGACGAGATGGCGAGATCCGCGGACGCGCCAACAGCGGCTCGCAACGCGGGGGTTCAGTGAGGACGCCGTCAAGCTCGAGCTTGAACGCGAGCGGGTCCGCCCGTGCTGTCTCAGCCCAAGGAGGCCCGAAAGCGTTGATGTCAATGCGTCGGCCCACTGGTTCTCTCCGACCGATAGATGTACCTCTGCGGACCCAACCCCAGGAGCGCTGGGACGCGATGGTTTCTACGCCTGGCGGGCCTCTCATCGCCCAGCACCAGAGCTATGGCCCCGTGGAGATGGACGCCATTCTTCCGCCGGAAGATCAGCCGCCGACCCTAACACATATCTACAACAACTATCCGGGCGCCGATTATCTAACTGACCGCTTCGGCTTCATCTATGATCAGCGTAGGAAGAAGCGCCAACGGGAAGCCGCCCAGATGGCCCGCCACGCCAAGAAGGGCAGCCGCACTGAGATGATATCCAACGGTCGGAACGGCATTTCCCCGCCGCTGCTGGAGGACAGCGCGAGTGGCAAAATGAGTGTTGGGAGCGACGGCAGACCCGGCACGCCAGGCTCATCTGAAGAGCTCCGCGAGGACGCCAAACCCAAAAGGTGGCAGGACTACCTGAAGATCGCGACCTTCCCTACGGAGCTGCTCTCGCACACCCCTTCGATCAGCGCCCAGGGCTTTGTGGTGCTAGAAGCGGCCGAAACACCGAAGTCGCCGAGCTGCTCGCCGAGTATCATGTCGGAAGATCGCGGCTTCTTGCCGTCCGCCACGACTACCGCCGCCATAACGCCAAGTGACACCGAGACCCTTCCCCCTTCCGAGAGCGAGCAGCCTTCTGCAACCCTCGCGAAGGAGGATGCCGAGCCGGTGAAGCTACTGCTTGAGAACCTCAACCAACTGCATGATACTCTCCAGCGGGAAAAGACGGTGCGGTGGAACGACTTCCTCAGAAAGGTTAGAGCAGAGCGGAAACGAGATGGGGAGGCTGCAGCAGCAGCCGCCGCCGCAGCAGCCGAGGCAAGATTTCAACGAGCCACTGCCGTTATGCCCGAAGCTCGACTCGGCGATGGCGAACTCATTGGTGTCGCCAGTCTCGGCATCCAAGGCAAAGTCGGCCGCGCGAAAGCCAACGAGTTCAGGTCGCTCGTCCTCGGTGGGATCCCGGTTGCCTACCGCTCCAAGATCTGGTCCGAGTGCTGCGGCGCCAAAGCGCTCCGCATCCCAGGCTACTATGTCACCCTCGTCAACCGCTCCGAAGACCAAGACGACCCGCAAGTGGTCTCGCAGATCAAGGCCGACATCACCCGCACCCTCACGGACAACATCTTCTTCCGCAAAGGCCCCGGCGTTGAGAAGCTCCACGAGGTCCTCCTCGCCTACTCCCGCCGCAACCCGGACGTTGGCTACTGCCAGGGCATGAATCTGGTGGTAGCCAACCTGCTGCTCATCACGCCCTCGGCCGAGGACGCCTTCTGGATCCTCGTCTCCGTGGTCGAGAACATCCTGCCGCCCAACTACTTCGACCACTCCCTGCTGGCCTCGCGCGCCGACCAGGTCGTCCTGCGGCAATACGTCGCCGAGGTGCTGCCCAAACTATCCGCCCACTTCGATGCCCTCTCCATCGACCTCGAGACCATGACCTTCCAATGGTTCCTCTCCCTCTTCACGGATTGCCTTTCGGCCGAGGCGCTCTTCCGCGTCTGGGACGTCGTGCTCTGTTCGCCGCACGACGGCGGCGCGTTTCTGTTCCAAGTCGCCCTCGCCCTGCTCAAGCTCAACGAGAACTTGCTCCTCGCCTGCGACAGCCCCGCCGAGGTCTACACCTACATCAACCACCAGATGACCAACCACGCCATTAGCATCGACGGGCTCGTGCAGGCGAGTGAGGCGCTGCGGCGGCTCGTCCGTCGCGAGGACATTGAGGTCCGCCGGCGCAAGGCGATCGAGGGCGAGAGGGAGCTGGTTAAGGCTAGGGAGCAGCAGCGGCTGTCAAGTGAGCGGTCTGTGATGAAGAACAACAACAAGCCGGCTGCTGTCGTCGCTGTCGGTGCGCCGGCCCCGGCTGTGGTCAGTCCTGAGATCGCGACTGGAGCTCCGAGCAGGAGTGTTAGTCGTGCGCCGAGCTTTGTTAGCGGCGGAGAGCGGGCGCCGGAGGATGACGGTGAAGGTGGGGAATCAGCTGCGTCGGGGTCCGTTATTGGCGACGAGGAGGGCGGCGGAGCCTAAGGATATCACGGAGGAGATACTGAATCCGGTCAAGCAAAGCTGATGAGTTGCGTGCGAGCTTCACCGGGTGGCATGGCGTTTCAGAGATGGAGATGGATCCGTCGACAGACACTGCACCGCCCCTCTCTTTGATCTATATGCAGTTATCCGGAGCATTCGGATGGTTTGCCTGTTAGTTTTGTGCTTTTATCCATTCTAGCGCACTGCATTTGGGGAGTCTTGGTGTTTTTTTTTCCCTCACTTCCTCCCATCAGGACAGGGTCATACCCCTTCTTCACTAGATTGTTCGTCATAACTCTCAACTTCTAGATTACAATACCCGGGCCTGTGGACGGGGAGGAGGGGAGTGCGTTAAAGGAGAGCCGGGTGAAAAGGTCAAGCAGGTAGACATCACAGCAGTACTGGGTATTAGAACACCCGTTCGTTATATTCCTTCCTGCGTGCGATTCGGTGCACCATGGCCAGTGAGCGTGGAGTTCAACTCCAAGCCATCTAATAACTAAGTGTGAAGTCGATAACTCGATAACTTCACCCCCTCTAATAGGCCTATACTATAAAACACGGTTGTGACTTGGCGGATGAGAGGGACAATTACCTACCCCGAAGTAAACTTTCGATGGGCTCAGCGGAAAATGGCTGTTCCCTGCTTGAAGGTTACCTTACCTTAGGCTGAGGACCTTAGTTTGGTTAGAGTCTTCGATTCCCGGTCCACGCGGTATGAATGTAAATCAAAGCTATGCACAATCGAGCAGCAACAACAGCCAGGGGTAGACGATCACCTAGGAGCATATGACGGAACAAATGCATTGAAGTAGACGATCAGAGAGATCATAGCCTACTCCATTGTATGCACAGGAGAAACGCCACAGTGGTAAGGAGTGGAGCGAAGCTTGCCCGTCTTCTCCTCTGTGTTGTCCTCCGTCCAACTATCCGCCTTCAACCTTCACCTTCCTCCAACATCAAATTCCCCTCCCACCAACCCCTCAGCCGCTCCACCTCCGCGCGACACCAAGCCAGGCTCTCCGGCCGCTGAATCCACCAGCTGGTCCCGTTCCTCGGCCTATCACTGACGTACTTCCTCAGCGAACCGCCGTCGAACAAGTGGTTCTTGACTCCCAACAGCAGCAGCACGCGGCCGACCTCGGGGGCGAAGTCCTCCGGGTCGAGGAAGACGGAGAGGTGGACCCGCTTCGCGGTGCTCATGTCGGCCAGCCGCGCCGTGCGCTGCCTGAAGGACGGCGCGATGTGGGCGGGCTCGACGCCGCCGAGCGACGTGACCACGGCCAGGACATTGACCATCCAGTTTTGGCGGTAGGGCAAGTGCGGGATCGAGGCGAGCGGGGTGAGTCGGAGCGGCTGGAGCGGGTTGATGGGCATCCAAGGCGGAGGGCGCGGATTGTTGTTGTTTGAGGTTGTCGAGTGGTTTAGCGCCTGGTTTTGCTTTCGGTTTTGGTTGATGATGGCTGCTTCGAGCTCTTGCCTGGGATCGGGTTCAGAGGCGAGAGCGGGAGCGAGAGCGGGAGCGGGAGCGGGAGAGGAGATGGCGATGCGGCGCTGCGCGACTTTGGCTGCTGCGACAACGAGGCTTTCGAAGGCGGAATCAGAATCGGAGTCGGAGTCGATGATGCCGTCTGGTTCACCCGGAACTGGCGTTTCTGAGGGCCGAGTCTTGGAAGCTTCATCTTCCACCGCCGCCGAAGTTTCAGCTGCCATAAGTTGCTGTATAATATCATCGTCCACTCCATCCTCTTCGCCGCTGCCATCTTCACGCTCCCCGTTGCCATCCGCCGGTTCCGCATCCACGAGACTACTTTCCTCGCCCTTCTCGGGAACCTCAGGTCCCTCCTTCGCTTGGGATTCCCCTGCCCTCCCTAGTTCCGCTTTCGCCTCCCTCTCCCTTTTCAATATCCCAACATACTCCTCATTCCACCCAACGGTAACCAAGTCCTCCACCACAAGATACACCACCCTCCGCATTCTCCGCCGCTGTTCCCCCTCTTCCTTCCTCATCCTCTCCCGCTCCCTCTCCCTCTCCAGAACTGCCGGATCCCCAACCCCATCATCAACCAACCCCCCGCGCTCCTTCCCTTCCCCTTCCCTTTCCCCTTCCCCTTTCACTCCCTCCTCCTCCACAAAAAGATCATCAAACCAGGCAAGCCGGAATTTATCCACCCTCACATAACATCCCTCCCACACACTGCCTCGATCAACGAGGCAGTGCATCTCAGGCTTCACAAAAGCCTGGATGCACAGCTCCCCGTCGCCCAGCAGCAAGCGCACGGCACGTCTGCGGTGGTGACTACTACTATGACGACGACGCGGACGACCATCGTCGGCTGAGCTTGAGCCTGGTGGTGGTGGTATGGGGATCTGTCGCTCGATGGATTCGACGAGGAACACCGACCCCGGCATGCAGCACTTTGTGCGCAGGATGTCGGCTATGAGCGGTTGCGGGTTTAGGAGTAGGGGTTGGGCTGGGTCCAGGGGGATTATGGGGTTGTTCTTATTCTTGGTATTTAAGGCAGTTGAAGAGGAGGAAGGTGGGTGAGGTACGGGGTTGGGCATTGTGGCGGGGTTGGTAGTAAGGTAATGAGCGTGTGAGAATGCATGGTTTCTGTGTATGGAACTGGAGAGAAACGAAAGAGGCAGGGGAATTATTATCGTTGTTTGGTGGTTAGTGCCATGCCATTTCGCTGCTCTGGGTGACACCTGCAGTTGACCTGAACAGGTTGATGAGTGTGGTTCCAACTTCCAAGCAGGCTCTGGCAGGGGACCGCGTTTTAACGCAACTATTAGGAAGCGTCTGGTTAAGGAGAAGTTGAGAGTCCTAGACCCTAACCCAGACAACCAAAGCAGTTCAAGACATCTACAGCGGGAGCAACCACATCTGTAAAGCTATTCGCATCGGATGGATTGCTGGCTGTCGTGTCTCTAAGAATGACCCTCTTTCAATCTGCAAGATTAGGTTGAACCGGGCCAGAACGAGATCACAGGAAATGAACAAAGGAGGTCCTGCACCCGAAAGCCTCTGCGAACACTTTAACACCACCGAGTCATTCTGCAACACATCATAAATGGTATTCCGCCAGGTATCGAAACTAGTAGCTAGCTCTCTAATTAAGCATCGAGGGCCGGGGTAATTAGGTAAAAGAAAAGGGAGCAGCAAAGGTGCGAAGGAGCTTCGGATACTAAAAGAAAATAGTAGTGAAAGAATTCCGGACCACGGGGAATACGGCTTCGCCAACAAGACGTAAACACCATAGGCCAAAGCGGGTATTGACCTGTTAAACCGCATCGAATTGCGCCGCGCTATTTCCTCCCCGCAAACTCTGTCTCCGGCGCCGTCGCCTATTGCTGCAAGAGCTTTTGGCACTTCTTTTCGCCGGGATATCAAGAGGTCTTCGCAGTCATTAACACACACGAACACATTCCGCTGTGTCTCTCGGCAATGGCATTCCGGGATTTAGTACTCCTAGTAGCCGTTCATGGTCATCCGTTGCGAGCTGCGGCTCATCTCGCGATCCGCTGCCGGGCTGATCGGTCTGCTGCCGTGGCCCTGGGCGCTGCTCTCCTTGAGGGCCAGGAGCTGCTTGGCGCGGAACGTCTCATAGTGGATCTGAGATGTCGTCTCGATAAGGTCTTGGAGGTGTGTGCGGAGGAGGAAGTTCCGGAGGTAGACGAATTCGCAGTGGTTCTCGTCTTCCACGTTGATCACGCCCCACCGGTTCTGACGACCGCGAACCTGCTTGCCGTTGACAATGATGGACTTCTCGGAACCGACAACCGCGAAGGGAATCAAGCTCTGTCCTCGGGGTTAGAAACTCTCTGCACGTGATTCTCCGCAGACACGGAAGGCCTACCTTGATCTGTTGGTTGACTGCGCGCTCCTCATCGTCAAACTCGTCGTTGTCGTACGGGTACATTCTCAGGTTGTGGAAAGCAAACTCCTCCTTGATGCGCTCCTTGAACGCCATCCGCTCCTCAAGAGTGAGCGAGTCGGCCTTGGCGATAACGGGGACGACATTGACAACGTCCGACAGCTTCTTAAGCACGACAATATCGATTGGCTTGAGCGAGTGGCCCGAGGGTTGGATGAAAAACAGGCAGCAATGGATTCGCGTGTCCTGGATGTACCGCTCACGCTGAGCAGTAAGCTCCTTCCGGAGGTAGGCCGAGTGCTGGTCCTTGATGTACTTGACGATGGGGTCCCAGCACCGGTCGTTGTTGATCAGATCGCCGTAGCCGGGGGTGTCGACGATGTTCAGCCTCAGGCGGACGCCGTTCTCCTCGATGATGTGCGACACGGACTGGATCTCGGTGGTCGAGCGGATGACCTCGTCGGGGTTGAGCCTGCCCTTAGAATCGATCAGGTGCGAGGCAAAGATGGTGTTGATCAGTGTCGACTTGCCCAGACCCGTCTGGCCTGCAACACGAGACACGTCAATCCCAGCTCGTGTGATAGAGAGTGGAGAATACAAGCTGAACTAAAGGGGGAAACTGACCAACGCAGATGACGTTGAACTGGAAGCCACGCTTGAGCAGCTTGCGCTCGATCTGGGATGTGATGCTGTCGAAACCGACATGGCTTTGGGGATAGATGGTCGCAGCGGGCATCGACGCCATTTTTTCTGTGGTTGGGGAGACGGCGTCTCAAATCCAAAAAGTAAATACAGTAATGATCGAGAGTCACGCGCCGTGTGTGTGATCGCGCAAGTCGGTAGGTGGAAGTCGAGGACGACAGAGTCCGCTGGCGACGAATTGAGACCGAGTGGATGCGCTCGAGTGTGGTGTTGGAGGAGGATTCCTTTCGCGGGCTTCCGAGTCCTGACAGATCCTCGTAAAGCAATAATTTCCATCAAGGGGTCGCTGAGCTGGCTGGGAAAGGGGTAGGGAAGCTGTTGGCTCTTGATTGGCTTGTGGGACCCGCCCCAGGCACGAGCCAAATTGGGTTAAGGCATGCAGCGAGCTCAGGTGGGCCGTGCCAGCCCTGTCTCCAGTCTTCAGGGATGGAACATTCCGTTGCTGACATTTTTTCTGGGGACCTGCAACCGACGGCGCGATCACTCAGATTCACCACAGGCCCCGGCGAAACGACAATAGGAGGGCATGCCGTAGTTGCATTTATCCAACAAGAGCAGCGGATAACTAGGGGACACGACTGAGGGCCGAGCGCATCCCGGACCAAGTCTACGACAGAAAAGGGATCCTCGACGGACTTCGCGAGAATCAAAGATGGCGGTAGCAGCGCCGGTGATGAGGATGGCATCCTCCAGCGCCTTCCTCCCAAGAAGCCTACCCACGACTCTGTTCTCGACATCGAGGATACAGATATATGTCCAACAGTTCTCGCTACCCCTGTTCCCGTCTCTCGCCCTCGCCGTTCCTGTCGGCTTCCAGCTCGGCCTGCCGTCATTACCATCAATTCTCGAAGGGATATGGGAGTCGATCCTCAAGGCGGTACCCAAGAAGAAGACCTCACATATGAAGAAGAGACATAGGCAGATGGCGGGGAAGGCGTTGAAAGACGTGACATCGTTGTGCAAATGCCCTGCGTGCGGAGAGATCAAGAGGATGCACTTTCTATGCCCGCACTGCGCATCAAGTGAGAATAGCCGTGCCCTGGACGATGATGTCCAAGCTGACAGGGATTACAGGACTGAGGGAGTTCATGAACAAGGAGGCTCGGGCAAAGAATGCTTGAAGCGTTGTGCTCACGTCGCTACGTTGCGGGTTCATTTCATTGGTAGAAGGGCACGCCCCAAGGGCCGATATATATGGCACCCCCTCAGCTCGAAACTGGGAGTGGGCTATTCACAGGACCTGATGTATATATACTGTAACATTAACAGCGCCAATGCCAATGTTGCTGTAAGGTGTTGTTGGCTCCCGCCCTGGAATGAGTAAGCAGCTAGTTTAAGCAAAAGGAAGCGGCTTGGAAAGCATTGAAATGACGCCCGGTTATGTACGGACAGATAATTCGTATTTGAAATTCAGATTGGAATCACTCACTTCGCACTTCCGGCCAGGGTCTAAAGCAGATCGCGGGTTCTAAGATCATGTTCGATAAGGAGCTGCAATCAGCTTGAACCCCACCATTTCTCCTGCAGCTGCAACTTGACCCAGTTCCTCACCACTTCTCAACAAACCACTTCCAGATCCAAAGCGATCCATAGAAGCAGCAATGGTAAGATGAACTCCCAATCGGCCTAAAGACATTATTGCTGACATGTTCGCAGTCAAAACAATACCTCACCGCCCACACAGTGGACGAAGGCAAGCTCCACTACCCCGCCATATCCTAGGTCCTGCTAACACCCGAGGACGAACGCCAGCCCATCCCGCTGAGATCTTCTCCCTCGCGCCCACGCCGACCTCACTCCTGTCGGCAAGCGGCTCCTCAGCCCTCCACGTCCACAGCACGACCGACCCGTCCTTCCCCCTCCAACAAACGATTCCAAACGCGCATAAACTCGGATGCCACCACGTCTGCACGGCGCGCGGGGGATTGGGCAACGTCGCCGCGAGTGTCGGCTTTGGCGGCGAGATCAAAGTCTGGCGCCTGGGGCCATCATCATCAGAAGGCGAAAAGCGAAACGAGTGGCAGCTCGAGTGGGAACTGCCGCCGTCCAAGACCAACGGCGGCGATGTCTGGGCCGTGGCGCTGAGCGCCGACGAGGAGTACCTCGCGTGCACGACCAGCGACGGGAGGATTCACGTGTGGGAGATCGGGACGCGGGAGAAGATCCAGACATACGAGACCGGCGCCAGGGGAGGGGGCAGTTTCGCGATGGCGGTGGATCTGAGTCGCGACGGCAGGCTGACGGCCAGTGGGCACGAGAGCGGCGCCGTGTACGTGTTCAATAACGATGCGGGGAGGATGGTTTATTCGCTTTCCGGTGAGTCACGTCGGGCCTGTAAGGGGAGAGCTGAACTGACACGCGGTGGTAGGCCTGGCGAAACCTGTGAGGGCTGTTGCGTTTTCCCCTGGGGGCAAGCGTCTTGCTGCTGCGGGCAACGCCGGCATCATTGCGCTTTATGACATGGAGCATGGCGAGCACGTTGGCAACCTCACGACGCCCAGCGGCCGGCCCGCGTGGATTACCTCGCTGGACTGGAACGACACGGGCGAGTACCTTCTCAGCGGGTCGCTCGATGGCAAGGTCAAGGTCTGGGATGTGGCACGCGGAGCCTGCGTGGCGACACACAGCGAAACGGAATCAGCTTTGTGGAGTGTCAGGTGGCTTCCCAAGACGGAGCGGGCCCTGGGGCCGGGCATGGGCAAGAGCGAGATGTTTTGCGCCGCGGGTGCGAGCCGCAGTCTCTCGTTCTACCGGGAAGCGACTGGGTCATGAGCGTGATGCTTCGGGATCGGTTGCTTCGGCATGGGCAAGCTGAGAGGAATGTTGGCATGTCATTTGCCCAACTGCTTGGTGGGTGGGATAGAGAAAATGCATGGACACGGCGCTCGGCCAGAGGAGTTGCTCGATTCTGTTAATGGCAGCCATAGCTGACTGACCTACGAGATTTCGGTCCCTCTGACTCCAGGAACTCAGTTACGGGCTCCGCGGCTCAAGCTCTTGCTGTGCTAGACATCCTTCCATAGACCAAGTTCTGTAAAGGGCTTGTCGGGTTGACAGTGCACTGGCATAATTCTGCTCACCACAGGGAACGTTCCCTCAGAATGGCAATTGAGCCAGCTAATGAGCTTCCATACATTTTCCCCTCCTGCTTGCTCATTTGCCAGTCCGAGGGCGACTCCTTTGGGTTGCGACAAGTCCAATAAGCATATCTTGTTATTGATGGTATTCAGGGACTCCCTCCAAGAACAGCTGCTTTGCTCGCTCATACTCTGATTGAGCGGTTTATCAGGAGACGATGAGGGCTGCGGCCTCCTGGTACGGTGGCGAAGGTGGTACCCGATGATGCGTTCACTTGATTTTGGTCACGTGGGTTGGCGCACCTGTCGTGACACCTCGGTTGCCCCGCCAGCACTTTCAAAGAGACCGTGCCAAGGGTCCAAGCTGCAATCGCTACAATCGTGTCGTCATTTTCTCCTGCATCAACTTCCGACCGATATATTGCAACTCCATCCAGGCGGTTCGCTCACTTCCCACTTCCCTTATTCCGACCACCTCACCGGACTATTAGTAGTCCAGTTTCTCGATCTAATCATTTTCAAAAGACCACCCGTTGACGTCATCTCCAAAATGCCGATCGCCAGCAAGGCTATCCGACCGTCGGCCGCCAAAGGCAAAGGGTCCAAAGGCAAACAACAGAAACTCAGTTTCAAACACAAGGTCTCCAAGGCCATTAATACGGGGAAGGGGAGCTACAAGTCTCCACCTCGCACTCGGGAATATCTCCCGAAACCCTCCCCCGAGCCCGAGAACAAGAAGCTCGAGGAGGAGGAGGCTTCTCCGGCCACCGACAATGAGAAGGACCACGGTCTTGCTCAGCCTGAAGTACAAGCACAGCCCAAAGTCGAAACCAAATCTGAGGCTGAACTCCGAGCTAGTGAGATCACTGATAGAGAAATCCAGCGGTACTGGGACCGCATTGAAGCAAGCCGTAATGCGAGGGCTGTGCATAAGAAGCACACGGAGGGCTTGGCGACTGGGGAGAAGGTTCTCAGGTACTTTGATGTCAGTTCACAGTATGGGGTACGTATCCGCTTTGCATTTTCGGTAACTGCCTGTTCTGGAAGGGCCACCGTTAACTCGTCGTGTGCTGCAGCCGTGCATCGGAATCTCGCGGATCAAGCGGTGGGAGCGGGCGCAGCGATTAGGGCTGAACCCGCCTCTCGAGGCCCTTGCGGTGCTGCTGAAGGAGGAGGCGAAGGGAAATGAGGGGATTGAGAAGGCACATATGGATGTGCTGTTAAACTCAACTGCTGTGGGCTCAGTTGGGGTCTGAGCTGTTGCGGTGCGACCATTGGCCGCGTTTCCCTTCGGATCATATGGAGTACGTGGTTTGTACGGTGATGATGGCTTGAGGGCTGGCGTTCCGGTGTTGAGGAAGGAAAGGGATCTCTTTGGGGAAGGACATTTCTTTGAGGAAGGGGAAGGAAGAAGATTCTTTTAAAGGAAGAGGATGTGTTTAGTTAACTGGGTTCTACCTCGAGCTTTTTCTTTCCCCTATGGACTTGCTAGCTCTCCTGTGCTCTGCAGCGGTTGGGCTCTGCTCGCTCAGTACCAGATGCTTCTTGTTCGATGGTGCGGGACCGTCTCCTGCCCTGCAGCTTCCATCTCCTTTATGGTGTCGTACAAGAAGAAATCGATGAGCACAGCGTTGATGTGAGACTCCGGGTGCTCTTTGATAATCTCCCTCCGTATCAGCTCTACGCACCAGATGGTACATGCTGCAAATGCTGTCAGACTGCCGAATGGTTCCGTAATAGACACAATATGCTTACCCCTCAGCTGCACCTCCCAGCTCCCGCCTGACGGTATTTCCTTCTTCTCCTGGATTGCCGAGTTGAGTGGCGGGCAGTAGGTGAGACACCCCATGCTGTTCAAGATCTGGGGCACGCGGTAGTCCGCAAACATGGTGATCTTGTCGATATCCCAAAACTCTCCGTATCCCTCACCCTCAAAGCAGGCCCACAAATCAGCAACCAATATCTGTGCTCGTTTGAGAATACGGATAGGCTTGCGCCGTCCGTCAAAGGCATGCTCATCTCGGAAGCAGTCGAAGTCCCGCGCCATCAGGTTGACCAGACGGGCGGCCGATCCGTTGGCGGCGTCAATCAGGTTTACAGGATGGCATTGGTATCTCTGGATGGAGCCCGTGTCAGATCCCGGCTCGCGACTACACTGGGCTCAAAGAACCCATTGGAGCCCGACGGTTGGAAACATACTTCGTACAGCACCTTGCCGGCCTCACGCAGACAGGCTAACCTCTCCGGCAGCAACGGTATCTCCTCGTCTGTACAAGACCTGAAGACCCGCTTTAGGATGTCCAAAGTGAACTCCTCTTCATCTTGCCAGAAGTGGGAGTCCGTGATGGGGATTCCTTATGACAGTCGTATCAATATCTAAGCTCCATGAGGAACAAATACGTTTCATAGCATAGGCCGGTAGCGACGAAAACGCCGTTAGACACCTGCGTACGGGAACCCGCCTACCTTCTTCCAACGCCCGCTGCAATGCGGCAACCAGGCTCCAGTACCCGGTCCACCGTTTGCCGCGGTACTCAATCGCAAACCGCTCAGCCTCAGGCCTCTCGGACCAGAAGGAGAAGTTGAGCAGGTCCATGGTGAAGATGAAGGCGATGGTGGCCCTGTCCCCTTCCGCGCCATCGTGCGCCGCCTTGGGGTGCAGCTCATGGTCGGACCAGGTCGCCGGCGAGTACTGCTTTCGCTGCATCCGCGAATAGATTACCGCGGCCGCGTTCTTGCATGAGCGCATGTCGATCGCAACGTCGATGGCGTTGTTGTAGACATACTCCGCCCCCTCTAGAACCCCTGTTTCGGGCTCTTCACTGATGGTGAGTTTCCCTTGCAGGTGCTGCCGGAGGAGTGCAAGCAGTTCCGGGTCGGCTTCGTCGTCCGACATTTTGGGGTGGAACGGAGAGGGCTGTGAAGATCGAGGACGGAAGCAGAGTCCAGGCTGTGTCTTAAGCTGTTAGCTAGGTTTGTGGATGAAAGATGTCGTAATACGCCAAACAGAAGTGGGTTTTGATACGGCTCGGAAACAGAGCTTCAGATTTCAAGCTCACCTAACCCTTACCAGGCTCACCAGGTAAGTGTGATTTGGCCACGGGATCGAAGAAAAATTAACCCACCTTACATGGCCGTTTCAGTACAATAGATACAATGCGAAGGGTAAGGTAGTCTTATGGGATACTGTCAGTAATACGACTGTTGGTACTGTAATCCGTGAATGTACTATCTTGGAAGCTCTCTGTCTGTCCGGGTATATCAATTAGGATTAGGTTCGATTCCTAACGGCCTGTTTGGTGTATCTCTGGAAGTGGAGTGCTCATCATCATAACGTCAGCGATTGGATACTTTTTCGGCAACGTCACGTACTGTACAGATCTACGGTACGTGTACCGTTGGTTGCAGGCGCTTGGGCCACTTTCAATTCAATTCCGGCGCGTTGGCGCCTGCGCGTGTCGACCCACTCGCAACGCCGATCAATGTTCCTGAGGCGGTTCCAGATTCTGGTCGCAACCGGGTTTGGAAAACGGAATCCACGCCATGACAAGGCTGCGAGTCCAGCTGTTCCTCTTTCTCATGACGACATTATCGCGAACGACCATATAGCTTTCTGCCCGTTTCCTCGCTAACCTGGCGTTCTCTTCGCTCTGAATCGCTACACCATTGCATCATGGATCCAACAAATGGAGCCGACAGCTCGGTGCTCTCTGTGCCAATGGCGCCGGTTGCGCCACCGGCAAGCCTTTCTTTGACTCGTGATAGCTTCAACGCGCAGTCGCTAGGCCGCAGTTTAAATGCGCATGTCAAGCAGGTGGGTAGCCGAAAGTCAACTGCTCCCTTGTACTCACACTCAACCCCATGTTCGGTGCTCCTGCAAAGACTTCCAGGGAAAACACTCATCCAAACTCTACTCTTCTCCACGCTAAGCTCAACTCGCGCTTGGGGATTGTTAAACGTTTCCTTTACCATATTCGTCTGAACTAACCATGTCCTCTGACACGGAGCTCGATTGTCCATCGCCGCTAACCGAGACCGAACAGTCGCGCGTGCTAATGGTCGGCGCCGGAGGAATTGGCTGCGAATTGCTCAAAAACCTGGTGCTTACCGGCTTCGGAGAGGTTCACGTTGTCGACCTCGATACGATCGACCTGAGCAATCTCAACCGGCAGTTCCTATTCCGGCAAGAACACATCAAGAAGTCTAAGGCATTGGTGCGAACCTCCCTCAGTGCCTTAGATCGTGGTTGCCGGACTAATAGCCTTAATTTGTCCAGGTCGCAAAAGGGGTCGCCGAGAAGTTCAACCCGGTTGTCAAGATTGTCGCCCACCATGCCAACATTAAGGACCCAGAGTTTAGCATCGAATGGTTTAGTGGGTTCAACCTAGTTTTCAATGCGTTGGATAACCTGGAGGCAAGGCGGCATGTCAACAGGATGTGCCTAGCTGCAGACGTACCGTTGATCGAGAGCGGGACCACGGGCTTCAACGGGCAGGTCCAGGTCATCAAGAAGGGTGTGACGGCGTGCTACGATTGCACGCCGAAGGAGACGCCCAAGACGTTTCCCGTTTGCACAATCCGCAGCACCCCGAGCCAGCCAATTCACTGCATTGTATGGGGCAAGAGCTATCTGCTCAACGAGATATTCGGCACGAGCGAGGAGGAATCAGCCTTCGACCATTCCTCAGACGCCGACAATGCGAAGGAGATCGAGGAGCTGAAGAGGGAATCCGAGGCGCTAAGAAAGATCCGCGAATCCGTCGGCAGCCCAGAGTTCCATCAGATGCTCTTCGACAAAGTCTTCAACACAGACATTGTCCGATTGCGCTCTATGGAGGACATGTGGAAGAACAGGAAGCCCCCAGAGGCCCTCGACTACAAGACCCTTTTAGCGCAGGCTTCGAAAGCGATGGCAGCCAAGGATGCTGTGCTGAAGGATGACCAGAAGGTTTGGTCATTAGAAGAGAACCTGGTTGTCTTCAAGGATAGCTTGGACCGGCTGAGCAAGCGCGTCCTCGACATGAAGAAGGCGGGGTCGGAAAATACGATCATCACGTTCGACAAGGACGACGCCGACACCTTGGACTTCGTTGCTGCAAGCGCAAACATCAGGTCAACGCTTTTTGGCATTGACCGAAAGTCCAAGTTTGACATCAAACAGATGGCGGGCAATATCATCCCCGCCATCGCGACGACCAATGCCATCGTGGCCGGTCTCTGTGTTCTCGAGGCCTTCAAGGTGCTCAAGGGGAAGTACGACAAGGCGAAGGAGGTGTTCCTGACGCCTTTCGCACCTGCCAGGCTCCTAGCCTCAGACAGGTCAAGAGAGCCAAACCCTGACTGCCCGGTTTGCGGTGTCTTCCAGACGCGGGCCTACGTCGACTTATCGAGGGCGACGCTAAACGATCTCGTGGAGGACTTTTTGAAGCTTCAATTGGGATACGGCGAGAAGGAGATCTCCGTCAGCAATGAGGTCGGGATTCTGTACGACCCTGACGAAACTGACAACCTCGGGAAGAAGCTGAGCGAGCTTGGTAAGCATGCATTCCAGTATGCAAACGAATAGAGTATCTCACAGTACTGTACAGGTATCAAGCCGGATTCCTTCTTGACGGTCACGGACGAGGATGACGAGAATCCCTATGTCAATGTGGTGGTCGCCATCCAAGAAGCGTATGCCCCCGCGGCCCCAAAAGTGCTTCACACTGCTGACAGTTCTCTAGCAAGGAACCCCTGGAGGAGAAGCCAATCAAAAGCGTTGTCTCGGGAGAGGTGAAGATTCCGACCAAACCGAAGAAGACGCCGGTGCCCGAGATCAACGGTCAGAATGGACATGTGATGGAGAACGGCAGCAGGCAGCAGAGCATAGTAGTACCCGAGATTACGCCAGCTAAACGCCCACACCCGGATGAGGCCGAGGATACAGGGGCGATCAAGAAAGCGAGGACTGCTGCAGGGCCGACCGCAGGCCAAGATGATGACGAGATTGTCGTCGTTGACGATAGCACAGGGGGTGCCATCGTGATTGACGATGATTGAAAGCTCCCATGGGAGATACCAGGAGCAGCGAAAGGCAACCGGCGCATGATGGTATCTCAGACGGCGCTCAGCCCGCCATCGATATGGAGGATGCAGTTGTTTGCATACTCGTTTTTGGCGAGGAAGGCGGCGGCATCAGCGACCTCGTCTACATGACCAAAGCGTCGGAGGGGTATCTTTCCGGTCAATTCGTCTTTCTTCGCGAGATCTTGCGCCACCATGTCAGTGTATGTAGAATTAGGCCTGAGCAGTGTACGAATCTCCAAGCACGATATGTGTGGTGGAATACTAGGGGATTGACAGGCATCGTATCACGGAAGAGGTGACTCACCCTGGGTCATGTCACTGTTGATGTAGCCTGGTACGATGGCGTTGACGCGGACCCCGTAGCTGCCATATTCCTGGGACAAAGCAGTAGTCAAGCCTGGTGCATGTAGATGTAAGTTAAATGGATGCCAACACCAACGCACACGGGACAGGTAATGCACACCTAGTTGACCAGCCTTGGTGGCGGCATACACCGCTGTCCCGATAGAACCACGCATGGCTAGCAGGCTCGAGAGGTTGATGATACATCCGCCCTGTCGCTGGGAGATCATCTGCTTGCCGACGATCTTGCATCCCAGGATGGTGCCGCGCAGGTTGGCATCGAGCAGCTGCTCGACCTGGTCCTCGCTCGTTCGGACGAGCAGGGACTGCTGTGCTATACCGGCGCAGTTAACTAGGATATCGATTCGCTGTGCCCCCCAATATCAGCCACATACGTGAGTAAGTGTACTCTTACTCCATGCTGAGCAAGCGGGGAGAGGGAGGGACAGACCGGATGGTCTTTTACAAGGCGCTTCCACCCTTCCTCTCCCTGGATATTGAGAGGGAATATGCTGTGAGTCTGGGCCGTTTCAGGTTCTTCGGACCCCTCTAGTGGCGGTACCGCCTTGCGTATCTCATTGTGCGCGGTCTCGAGCTTAGACAGAGTTCGGGCGGCCAACACAACGCTGGCGCCTTCTCGGGCGAACCGTTGCGCTATGGCAAAGCCGATCCCGCGCGAGCCTCCGGTGATAACGGCTTTTTTGCCTACTAGGGAAAGCGGACTCATTATTGTGGGGATCCCGCAGACACGGTAAGTTATGGTTCACTTGTGTTGAGACGATGTGTGAGCTACCTTGTGCCTATGGATATCACATGCACTTTGATGCTGCAAAAACGGCTAGCTAGGTTTGTATTGTATGTACGGATACATTATTACATTCAACGTCAGGGGCAGGACAAGGATGTGCGTCTGTGTTTTGGAGAGACGAATCAGATTTTGGTGGTCCGTTGACAGTGGAAATCCCGCTGCAGGCGTTGCTGGCCTCGGTCCAAGGCGCCGAAGCCAAGAACGGCCACCCAATGGTGCCCGGCATTGGATTCGTGGACAGTTTCACAGGTTGGAGAATTTGATGAAACTTCGCAACCTCAAGCACCCATGACCAGACATCCAGACATTCTCCCTCATCGCTCGATTCCCAGCGTCGCAGTTCCACGCCAATGTCTCACGGCCGGGGCTGCCAAAGCACCAGATCGCATCGCTGCTCGCTTGCTTGTTCCTGCTGCTTGCTCCGCGGTCGAACCGGCGGGCAGCGCCTCGGCAAGACAACGTTCCCATGAATCCACCGAACCACGGTACCGGCACCGGCGTAGGGCAGTGCGGTACAACACTCTCGACGCCCGCTATCGACGAACCGAAGACACACAATGGCGTTGTTGACGCCGGATTGAGAAGCATACACCATTGTACGTGCTTAACCGCGCCGACTGCATGAGGAGAGCTCCGTCTATCCCCTAGTCCCTCCCTCGTCTTATCGCGCCCGCATTGTGCCGCAACGCAGCAACTCTAGCCTGGAAGCACACCTAGCGCTCTCGGACATGCTGTTCGGAAGGCAGGATCACTGACGCCTGCTTCCCAGACAAGCGAGCGCTTCCAAAATGGCGGTACGACCTGCGACAGAAACTGCTCCCGATCGTGCGATGGGAGACGCCGTATCTCGCCGCGATCCAGAGCTCGATGCGCACCCCAGCCCTTGACAGCTACTTCGCCATCACGGCCAATCTCGGCACCCATACATTCTTCATGGTCTTCCTGCCTATTCTGTTCTGGTGTGGCTTCCGGGAGTTTGGCAAGGGGTAGGGCGGCCGAGAGCAGCAGCAGGCAGGATGAACCACCGCTGACAACGGGACCGACAGACTCGTCCACATCCTCGCCTCGGGCGTCTTCTTCACGGGCTTCATCAAAGACATGTGTTCCCTCCCGCGCCCGCTGTCTCCGCCCCTACAGCGCATCACCATGTCCGGCTCAGCCGCGCTCGAGTACGGCTTCCCGTCCACCCACTCCGCCAACGCCGTCTCCGTCGCCGTCTACGGCATGCTCATGCTCCGCCGGGACACAAACACCCTCTCTCCCACCACGACGCTCGCTCTGGAGGGTCTTGCCTACTTCTACGCCCTCTCCATCGTGTTCGGCCGTCTGTACTGCGGCATGCACGGCTTCGTCGACGTCATCATCGGCTCGCTCACGGGCGCCGCCATCTCTCTGGTCGAGTTCTACTACGCCCCGGGGGTCGAGGCCTGGCTGTACTCCAGTAGCTACCTCGCCCCTCTGGCCATCGCCCTGCTCATCATCGTGCTCGTCCGCGTCCACCCGGAACCAGCCGATGACTGCCCCTGCTTCGACGACAGCGTCGCCTTCGCGGGCGTCATGATCGGGGTCGAGGGCGGCACCTGGCGCTTCGCGCGCTTCTCGCGGTTCGCGCACATCTACAACGGGCCCGACGCGTCCTTCGACCTGTCGGCATTGGGCTGGCCGCGCGTCATCGCGCGGCTGGTCTTCGGCGTCGCCGTGGTCTTTGCCTGGCGCGAGGTCATGAAACCTACCTTGTTGCGCTTCCTGCCGCACCTGTACCGCGTCATCGAGACGCACGGCCTGTCGCTGCCGCGCCGCTTCTTCGTGCCCGCGTCCGAGTACAAGGACGTGCCCCTGCACGTGCGCGACGACAATGTCCTGCCCAACGTGAGCGACCTGCCGAAACTGGTCCGCAGCATCAGGGGTCCTGGGCGGGGTCGGTCCGTCAGCATCGGCCCGCAGAGCGCGGCGGATGCGTACGAGACGCTGGCGTACCGCGAGCGCAGGAGGAGGGAGAGCTTGGGAAGCGACGCTGGCGGTGGCGGTGGCGGAGTGCGGGGGAAGAGGAGTTTGAGTAGGTTGCGCGAGAAGGTCGAGGCTACTGCCAAGGACGGAGAGTGTTCGCAGGTCTCAGGAGTCCAGAGTGGGGGCCGGTTGGCGGAGTATGAGAAGATGATGGGGGCGGGGACGGTAGCTGCTGGTCCGACGCTTGAGGTCCAGGACGCGAATTGTGGTGTCGCGGGACGAGCAGGGATGTATCTGGGAGAGGACGATGAATTGGATGATGAGGAGGTCTTTTCGAACTTGGTTAAGCCGCGAGTGAGGTACGATGTTGAGGTGGTGACCAAGTTGGTGGTTTATACCGGTGAGTTCCCGTACAACTATCATGAAAGCGATCCGGTTTCGGCGATGAACCTCCAGCTAACATTTTCGCACAGGCATTGCGTGGTTGGCGGTAGATGGTATTCTTGTCGCCTTTGAGGCCATTGGCTTAGGAGCAGGTCATCTCAGCACGCGATGACATAGGATGGTCTCCCGACATCGCTGTACTCTAGGCAGATACCTGTGTTCGCTTCTTGTCGCTTGGAGTTGGGCTAGCTCCTTGCTATGTTGGTAATGAATAATGGCCTGGTTTGGTAAATGGATGCCGCACACACTACCACCGTGATGTGATGTGTTGCGTCGGGTACCAAGTGAAGGCAGTAGGTACCTAGGTACCTAGGTAAACGTGGTGATCAGCAGCTAAGACGCCCTCATCGACCAGATGACCAATCTGTGTATCACCATCCACAATGTCGGCTGCCCGCCCCTAGATCGGCGGAGCAACCGTCGAACCCCACGCACGCTCGGCACGGCACCTGTACCCCGGGCTGCCGGGGGTACTCGGTGCGCGTTGTTTGGCTCTTTGGATCTTATCTGATCCGCCTCAACCCGATTTGCTCTCGCCATCAGTGGTTATTGCACGTTGCAGAGGTCCGACTCCCGGGACCGCTGCCATTACACTAAGATTTCCATTGTTACAGCATGTGATGGTGTATGTTTTATGGCAGCCGCCCTCTCAGTGCTGTCGTCACTCCTTCAGTATAGGCTGGGAGTGCTTCTCTCTAGATGTTGCTAGTAACGCACGACCGGCACTCTTGCAGTCACACAATCAGTAGACTCGGAGCGTGGCTGCAAGGTCCCTTCAACCAGTCCACGTCTTCCTCTCAATAAAGGGAGCAACATCAAGGAGTCAGAGACAACTCCTCCGTAATGTGATGATTCTCAACGTTCCAGCCGTTGCCCTCACTAAACTAATTCATGTACAATACTACCACATCAGAAAGCCAAGTCTACGCGCTTCCCTCAGAATAATGAAATGATGCCCGTAATAACAGATCGGTAGCGATCAATGATGGTGACGCTGCTCAAAAACCTAAGCAAGTACTTCCTCGTCATTTATTAGCGGGCCTCTTGCCCAATCAAGCCCCAGGGATAACGATGGTCTTGCTTGACGTGGTCCGTGCATCGCTGCATTAGCGTCTTCTGCTGCTTTGACGCAAGTGGCAAGGCCATTCCCTTCGATATGAATCTCCGATTTCGTCTATCCCGCGTCACACAGCCTGCGACTGCCATGTGAAGTGCATCCACCTTGCAAGAAAGGCCAGGCATATCCCGTCTCTTATAACTTCTTACATCGTTGGTGGCTGTCCTCTGCTTGCCTCTTTGAAACCGCCTGCCAGTTGCTACAGGCGTGAGTACCTACCACCTAGGCGATTTACACACAACCCTGCTCAAACTGCAGCCACCGAAACCCGCAAGCTCCAGCACTTTTCCCGTTTTGCTCTCGCCTGCATTTTGTGCAGTGCCAGGGAGCCGATCAGCCCAGATTCCCTTCCACATCGTCCCATTGGCAAGCCCCAGCCCCCGCCTGCAGTCCGACGACGAAACCTCCAGATCATCGAATCCGAGTGCCGTACCTGCCGCTCTCCGACGCGGCAGCTGTTAGCGCTAGGCGCATCTCCTCTGTCGATCGGTGATACGACACCTCGACCCTTGGATTTTTTCCTTGTCGGTTTTCGACTGCCGTCATTCATCGCAAAAAAGAATTGCGACGCATGTAGCGCCCGACACAAGCCATGTCCATCGAAGCGATTGGCGCCCCGGCGCCCGTGGCTATGGATGTTGACATGTCGTCCCCCGACGGCCTCAAGCCCATCGGCCTGCATTCGCCCCCCGACAGTAATAACGCCATCGGTGTTGACGGCAGCGACTCGGAGCTTAGTGACCTTGATGATGAGATCGCCGGCAAGCTCGATGTCAGTCTGGGAATTGAACCCCAGGTCGAAGCTCAAGTTGAGCTCGAACCTGAACCGCAGCCTCCGGTCGAGGACATTGGCGAGATCCTGCCGGATCACTGGTCGGGCAATGTGCCGGTGTTTAAGCCGACCATGAAGCAATTCGAGGATTTCATCCGCTTCGTACGTCAATACTCGCTTTAAGGCACTTTCAACCTTTACCTCTCCACTAACAGCTACTATTTCAGATGGAGTCAGTCAACGACTACGGCATGAAGTCTGGCATCATCAAGATTATTCCCCCGCAGGAGTGGAAAGAGTCGCTGGGGCCATTGGACGACAGGATAAAGCACATCCGAGTTCGCGAGCCGATCAAGCAGGAGATCATGGGGACAAATGGAACCTACCGTCAAGTCAACGTTCTCCACCAGCGCACGTACAACCTTCCGCAATGGAGACAGCTATGTGATCAGAGCGAACACCAGCCTCCCGCGAGGCGAGGCGAGCGTCGTGCGAACGCGGACAAAAAGCCACCTACCAGGTCCCGCGCGCCCGCACATCAGAACACTCGGCCTGCTCCATCCGCCCCTTCGACTAGGAAGCGCCGAGGCGGAAGAGTGACCCGGCGATCGGCTAGGGCTGCAAAGGAGGAGACTGAAGAACCTGAGGACCGCCCGATGACGCCGGTATCGCCTGTTCCTGAAAAGGAGGAAATCGTGGACTCGGTGGAAAACGACCCCGGCGTCAAGGCGGAGGAGTGCGAAGACGAAGATGATGCCCCAGTTGTCCGGCGAATGGGATTCGCTAGACAATCCAAACCAAAGACTCAGTCCACCTCGGCTCGTCGGAAAAACATTCGCCGGGAAGGCTCAGCCGTGATAGATGAAGCAGCTTTCAAGGATTGGGATTATCGGATGGATATCTCGGAATTCACGCCGGAACGCTGCGAAGAGCTGGAGAAGATCTACTGGAAGACGCTCACCTATGCACCGCCGTTGTATGGTGCGGACCTCCCGGGCACCTTGTTCGACGAAGACACCAAGCTCTGGAATCTGAACAAGCTACCGAATCTTCTCGACGTTATTGGCACCAAAGTACCTGGCGTCAATACCGCATACCTCTACCTCGGCATGTGGAAGGCAACATTCGCCTGGCACTTGGAGGACGTCGATCTCTACAGCATCAACTATCTCCACTTTGGGGCGCCAAAACAATGGTACAGCATCTCCCAAGCCGACGCCCGTCGGTTCGAGAATGCCATGAAGAACATCTGGCCGCAGGAAGCAAAAGCCTGCGATCAGTTTCTCAGGCACAAGTCTTTCCTCATCTCCCCGTCGCACCTCAAACAACACTATAATATCACGGTCAACAAAGTGGTCTCATATCCCGGCGAGTTTGTTGTCACCTACCCGTACGGCTACCACTCCGGATACAACCTGGGTTACAACTGCGCCGAGGCAGTCAACTTCGCGCTCGACAGTTGGCTGCCAATGGGCAAGATCGCCAAGAAGTGCCAATGCGCGCAGGCCCAAGACAGCGTTTGGGTTGATGTTTACGACATTGAACGTAAACTCCGCGGTGAGGAGACAGAGTACGAAGAGACGGAAGACGAGGACGAAGAGGATGAGGAAGATGAAGAAGAGGAAACCGGTCTTCCCAGTCCACCTTCGAGCCATACCGTCAGAGTCAAGGCTCCCGGCCGGAAACGCAAGCGGGCGGCGAACGAGAAGGAGCCAAAGGCCAGGAGGAGGAAAGTTCGCCTACGCCTCAAGTCACATATCGAGCCTCCATGCTGTCTCTGCCCGAACGACATTCCAGGGGTCGAGATCATGTCCACCGACGACGGCCGCAAGGCCCATCGCATGTGTGCTCTCTACCTTCCGGAAACGTATATCGAAACGGTGGACGGCACGGAGATTATTGCAAACGTGGGAGGCATCGACAAGGCCCGTCTGGAACTTAAGTGCCTGTACTGCCGTTCCAAGAAGGGCGCATGCTTCCAGTGCTCCCAGAAGAAGTGTCCCAGAGCATACCACGCCACCTGTGCGGCGGCTGCGGGCGTCTTCGTGGAGGAAGGGGAAGTCCCGGTATTTGGAGAGGATGGGACCGAATACAAAGAACAGGCCTTCGAGTTCAGTTGCCGGTTCCATCGCACCAAGAGGGATAGGAAGGCGGAGGGAGATGTGCTGGAGAATAATCACCAGGTCCGCGAGGCCGCGAAGGCTCTCAGGAAGAACGATATCTGCCAGCTGCAATACTATCGTGGGGACATATTCGCTGGCGTGGTGGTTGAGAACCGCATTGATGAGGAGACGTTTCTTCTCGACATCATCCCGAACGGGTATGGATACCGAGACGGCTTCTATGAACGTGGACTAACAATCCGCAGTGATCGGCTTGAGGTCGAGTGGAAGTGGCTGCTTCTGCCGGATCCTTCGGACTTCCGACTCCCGAAGGCATCGCCAAACGCCGTCCCGATGCCGACATGTAGGAAAGCACAGAAGGAGATCAACGCGAAGCGCGCTGTGGACGAAGCTCCTAGGAAGGACGACGAGTTTGCTCCCGGCTATGTCTGGGCCGAGTTCCATACAGCTGATGCTGTCAAGAACCGGGAGCAGGCTAAGGTCGACTTATCCAAGGAAAACCAGGTCTGGCATTATCTTGGGAAGACGTCGACCGAAGCCAAGGCTCAGTACACCGGGGAACCGTCAAGGCCGTGGCACGACCCCAAGGCCAACTTCCTTGACACCATACCAAAGCCGGTGGCTGCGCCGCGAATGCAGCCTGCCCCTCGGGCGAGGCCATCTATGTCCGCACAGTATCCAGCGTATCAGGCCGTCTCTGGGTTGCTGCCAGGGACCACGTCGGCCAAACAGGAGAAGCCATACATCTACAAGCCGAGAAAGCCAGTTACTCCAGGTCCCAGCCCGCATACTGCATTGTTGACATCACACATGTTCGCACTCAACACACCTTCACCGTCGGCGGGCTTTCAGCAGCTCCGGCCACAACAACAGGCATTCCAGCCCGCCTTCCATCTTATGTCTTCTCAACAACCCCACCAATACGTGCAGCAACCGCAACCGCAACCGCAACCGCAACCGCAACCGCAACCGCAACCGCAACCGCAACTGCAGCAGGCACTACCTTCCGTTCAGCAGCAGCAGCAGTCACCTGGCTTGCACACCCAGAATAAGAGTCCATCAACGCTGTATTCATCAAACCGTTTCGCGCCCGTCGGAGGTAGTAATGGATTCCCGAAGCTTCCTGGCTTGACCTGGCCCCCTGCTCACATGAAATCAGGGCAATATGTTCAGCCTCAGTCAAGAGCCTGGTCTTCATCGACGGGCGCGCCTCCTTCCATGCTACATTCCGCGCCGATGACCTCGTCAGCTTTGAGATCCCCAAATGTTGGCGACCGGGAGGCTGGAGTAGCAGGAGCGCAGCCACAAAACAGTGCATGTCAGAAATACAGCTTCTTCCAGGTCCATCACAACAGGTACGCTACTTTAAGCGGTCCTAGGTATCATGACTTACAGCTAACACTGCTTCAGAGACTCGTCCGGATACCGGACCCCGTATGGACAATGGGGCGGCTTCACCAACGGATATGAAGGCAACCTCCGAGAGTTTTTGATCAAGGCGCAAAAGGCTCTCTCGGGAGGCTCCGGCAAGACTCAGATCAAACAGGTTCCTCCCTCACTATTGAAGCCTCTGCAGCCACGGCTCAGTGCTTCACCGCGACCGAACACCCCGTCTTATCCCCATCACGCCGCTCCGTACGCCCAAATATTGCCTCGGCCGTCATCCAACGCTCCCCAAACCCCATCACCACGCGTCGCAATGGCAAGCCCTAGCCCGCATCAGCCGCAAACGTATCAGAACCAGGGATACCCAGTGCCGATGGTTCCTGGCGGTGAGTCCTATGAGGTCAGGCAGCCCGAATCGGGACAGCTGCACCCAGCTAGTATTCGGCCGCACTACGGGGCAGCGCAGACGCAACTCCCAACCCAGGCCAATCATCAAGTCCGGACACCGGCCACACAGCCGCCAGGTTCGGCTACGCAACCGTTACAGGCTTCGGTACAAGCGAAACCAGCGCTTGCGAAGCAAAGCCACAGCCCGATCCCGTTACCGCCGTATGTGAAGCCGATACCGACCTCGTCCCAAAGCGCGGCCAGACCCTCTCCGCTGGGCGATCGCACAGAGAATGCCGCCTGGCACATCACGCCTCAGGCAGCCTCTGCATCTAACCCGGGCCTGACTCCGCCGCAAGCGAATGGCAAGCCAACAGAGGCTCACATGGGTCCGTCACCGAACGGGCACTGGACACCGCCGAGTGCCAATGAGCCTGGCTCGACAGCAGCAGCGCCTTGGGCACCTCCAGCACCCGGGTCGACGCCGGGTCCGACTGCCCAGTCATCGCTGGACTTCCAATCGTGGGCACAACCCGCCCAGGCACAGCCGCTCCAGGGGAGCCCAGCGATACCGCCGACCGGGGACGCCCAGGATAACAATATTTACGTGGAGAGGGTGATGATGAATCTTCGCAGGGCAAGCATGCAGTTTGGGGGCTTCGGGCCGGATCAGGGATGAGACATGAAGCACAATGGACTACTCACTCACGTTCGTACAACGAACATGCAATTCTTAGACTCTTCTGGCTTGGGAAGGGAGGCGGTGTTCTTTTGGCGGGGACAATATATCCTTTTCATCTCGGTATGCTTCCGTTTTTGCGAAGGGGGGAAAGAGCGGCGTTTAAGACAGGTGCTTTTGGTGTTTAACTGTCAAGGCATCATGCCGCGATATGTGTATCAACATGGTATTTTCAGAATCGCATGTGTGACTTCCGTCGATATGTAGTTCTGTATGTCTCGTTACCTTTTTGTGTATTTGTTCGAATTTGTCTGCATATAGGAGGAATCAAGCTCCACCCATGTTCCTGGGAGCCATGAACCATCAGCATGTCTCGAGCATGTGTTTGGCGTGCACAAGATCATCTGAAGATGGAGGGCGGGGACCGGCGGCAGGTGGCTTTGAGCTTCGGGTCCGGAGCTGTGACGTCAGCGCCGACCACACCTGCTTGGACTTGGTTTCAGCACCCGTCCGCCTGGACGTTCATTCCTGTTTTCTGCCCTGGTATAAAGCTGATATGTAGAGCACATTGTCGTCATTTGGTCTGTCCTTCATTAGATCGTTATTGCCTTTATATCACCGTCGTATCCAATTTTGCCTCATCAAGCGCGCGACTGCTTGCTGCTGCTGCCTTGCCAAGTCGATACCAACTGTTAGCGATTTCGCTGTCTACACACGCCAAGACACTATCACTTACTCTCACTCTTCTCATTCCCTCCAACATCACAACAAGAACAACAAGAACAGATAGAGGGGGAAAAAAAGGAACAAAATGCCCACCGTCCTCGGCATGACAAACGACAAGTCCAAGAACGGACCGCACATCTCCTCCTCCACCACGATGGGCTCCAACAAGCGGCTCGACACCATCTCCAAGCGCAACCACGCGTCGGCCCGCGAGATGGAGACGCTGCTCTGGCGCGCCCTCTGCGACGACCCGGACTCGCTGCGCGAGTACCTCGCCCACGACTGCATCATGATCGCGCCCGTGCTGTTCCCCAACGGCCGGGACTCGTCCGCCCTGAGCAAGGACACGCACCCCAGCGTCGTCGACGTGCTGCAGGCCGCCAGCAAGAGCGGCAAGTTCACGGGTTTTCGCTTCCACGGTGACCCCTTAGTGGTGGAGGTCGGCCTGATGGCGGTCGCGCTCGTGTACAAGGTCAGCTTGTTCCGCCAGAGCAGGAAGGGCGGCGCGCGCGAGATCGTGGCTAGTGCCAGTTCCACCTGGAGGCAGACCGCTGGCGCCGACTGGTTGCTGGTTGCGTTCCATGTGCAGTATGCTGATGAGGAGGATGACGACGAGGAGGAGGAGTGATGGGTGAGGAAGGGATCCGGGGGTTGAGGGGTGGTATTAAGTTGCTTTATCCGGTATGGATAGAGGAAGTATAGGTGTGTGTGCGTGTGTGTGTGTGTGTACTTGAGCGGGTGGATGATTCCTGGAGTACCTTGGTTTTGGGCCCGGGTCTTGTTCCAACAGGTACTGCGCCGGTCCACGGTTTGAAAGGAGTTTCTTTCGGGAGTACAGGTCGTGATGGTTATCGTTTCTCCTTATTGTTCTATGGATATTAATCAGCAGGCGGTCCGTTATAATTGACTTTTGTCACCAGTGTAGCAGTTGATGTGTTATTTTCTGTAACAGGGGGGTGGCCGGCAGGGTGGGACTGTTGCTTCGGAATTCCTCGTCTCGAGACAGAGAGAGTTCAATCTAGCAGAGCGGCACCGAGAGGGTTGCCGACATATACGAGGACCAGCCGTCCGTGTAGGATGCCTTGCGTTGCAACGCTGTGGCCATCAGAGATCCGTAAGCTTCTTGTAGGTCATGCTTTCCTACACGCACCCTCCACCTCAACCGATCGCTTCCCTTCACGTTCAACATTCAAAACTTAATCAACTTTTATCGCGCTCCGAATACTACCCGAGCCCTTCCGAATGATAGGATTTTGGCCATGACTGATATTGCCCCTTCAAACGCAGGTCCTACGTATGGAGCAACAACTGGACAACGATATATAGCCTTTCCAGGGGCCATGGAGTTGTAGTTTGAGTAGTATGAGCGGTCTCTAGGGCGAGTCGAGAGGTCGGCAACCCCGTGATCCGTACGCGAGTACTTTGACCTTGGCCCAGAAGAGGGCTCTCGTGGCGTTATCTCCCTGGCTCACCTTGACTGCTGAACGATTCGTAAATTTCTGAGCCTGATGATTGAAGTTTTGGACGCGCAGACGCCTTTGAATCTGAAAGCTGCTCCTAAGGACATTGGTACCTCTCGTCTCAGATTTGTGGCCTAGAACATATAATATTTAGTCTTGGAGATCCCTGGTGGACGCGCTTGACTACCCTGGCGCCTCCTCTATACTTCGGTTCTCGGCCTGGAGTCTCGCTTTTGAGACACGACTCCTACCCGTGGTTGGGGTTCTATCCTTCGCCACCGATCTGTGTTCTTCGCTGAAATGTCCAAGATCCTAACACCTTGTGTCCCACAAAAGCCTTTCAAAGTCCCTGCCGTTATCGTGGGTGTCTCTGGGGAGGAAATGGTCAATGGTGTTAACACTTTCAATCTCCAACTCCCAAGATTACTCATCAACGGCTAGTGCCATACTCCTTCGACAATCGAGGGGAAACCTCCCTGACACCGATTTGGTGGCAACCAACCGACCGTTTATCCTACGACCCAGACATATCAACGGATTGTCTCTTGAAAGTGGTAGAAACACGCTTTGGTAGTGTTTGATCCAGCAACGCCGGCTAGAGTCTTGTACCAAACTCGACGCCGAACCTTTGCCAGACAACCGAAGACTTTATGGACAGTGTGGGCGTTGAGGTGTGAGGTAGAAGACGGAGCAATGTTGTGATCGTTGTGAGCACCGCATTTCCATGTTTGGAAAACGCTCAAGCCAGCCGTTCTTCCCACCTCCGCAAGAATGAGTTGTCGAGCTCGTTGCTCCCCACCAACCTTCACAGATCACCGCAGATAGGCTAGTAGAGCTAGCACCATACATACACACCTGCCAAATCCAATAAGGCTGATGTGATCCATGCACGCAAGCGGACCTGCCCGTTCGGTAGCCTCGGCACCTTATCTTTGCTTGCACGGGAACCAAGCTAAAGTGCGAGTGCGACTGTGCGGTTCGGACTTCCCGTCACGTTACCCCCCTTCCTTGAGATAAATGGGAATCCCTCCCGCCTGCCCACCACAAGCTGTTAGCAGGCAAATGGGAATTATCTCAGCAGGCTGGCTGTGCTGAAACTCTGCAGCAAAGAAAGGGTTACACAGACTGCGACCGTTACGCGCGTCAACTCCCAATGCGACACGGATCGCCGATCTAGCTCCCAAAGAGCAGTGGTTGGGGGTCAGTTTTGTCCCATCCTCATGGTTGGTGAATATGCAGCAGGGCTAGCTGTGATGGACGGCCCTGCCGGCGATTGACGGATCGCTTTGGCCCAGGTTACGAATCTACGATCGCTCTGTCCCCGCAAGATCTGTGCCACAGCGCGCGAGGCCAAGGCAAACATGAACTGACGCGCGGTGCGATGTGCACTATGTATCGGGTAGCTCCTGTTTGAATCAATTTGAATTTCTTGACCGAGAAACACTGGCGGGATATCGAACGGCCGTATGACCCCTGAAGATGAAACGATCCTTCTCTTGTGCCCGTTGTGTTTTGTGGCCGGGGCTTATTCCGTTGTCGTAAGTCGTATTTTTACGCCGGGTGGCTTTCCGCGGGCGAGCGGTAGGTCCCCAAGTTGCACCCGGTGACCGGGGCCAATGCTGCAAGACCAGGGGCTATCCGTGGATGAAGAACCTTGGGACCGAGGCTTCCCCTCAACATCTGTTCGGGTCATTCATTTCGATTTTGCTTGGGCTTCACTGCGTCTTCGCTTGTGGCTTCCGTTCTTGCCACTCCCGTGCCCCTAGTGACGGCAGTGGCTCGATCTTCGTTCCCATAGGTACCAGTGTTCCCCCCGAATATCTTCCGCCAGCAGCGGCTAGGCCCCTCACACCTACGAAAGTCCCAGTGCTAGCGTACCTAGATGCTACGGTGATCGTGGCGGGCCCTTGCCTGTTTGGAGAAGGATCTCGTGCGCCGGATTATGGACAGCGTTCAGTCAGGGCACTTAGTACCTAGTACCGGTAGCACATGCCAGGTAGGTATCGACGGGAAGATGCTGCGTTGATCGTGCCGCCGTTAATCATGGTGTGACGGAATCGGTAAGCTGCGGCAGCGGAATTTGAGGAAAGGTCGGTTCACACATGTCTCTCGAAGTCTAGAGCGTCCCGAGGAATAGGCTAGACAGGTTCGGGTGGGCTGAAAACGGGGATCGGTGAACATGGCAGAGGTCAATCAATGTTTCATCTACCACAGTGCCTGCACGTGTTAGGCAAGGATGATGCGATGTCCTCGAGTTTGTCGTGTGTCCATCAACCAGATCTGCTGATGTCGACGATGGGGCGGAAAGACGCGTGCGGCTGAGCACTGCTCGCCTCGATTTACGTATTGACCTTACCTGTCTAGGTCGACTTAGCTCGCGCGGTACGCTAGTAGGATTGGAGCGCGGTATCAACTGATGAATCGCATCAACCTCGGCGACGATGAACCCGTGGCATGTGCACAAAATTGAAGATGCTCGCAAAATGCCGCGCTTTTAGACGATTCCACGGGCTGACAACGACAGCGTACCTAGGTAATTACAGCAGCTTCCCCGAATGCTAGTGTAATAAAATATTGGTCCGCGCATGATGCATCAGTTGTGCTGGTTGTTATGGAAGGCGAGATTCTGGGCCACTTTCCTCACGTGTTCCCCGCAACTTTGTTGCCACTCTCCACATCCGGGGCACTTTGGGGACCGGGCTTTCCCCCGCAAAATGAACTGTTGATCTTACGTAAACCAATGCGGAGAGAACTCGCAACGCCGCAGTTGCCAGATACGCACATGAAATGACTCCATTCGCAAGCTCTTTGTCTACCGAGGTCCCTAGGAAACTTGAAGTTTGTATCTTACGTTCGTCAGTCGATATCAGCTCCCTACCGTTCAATCGATGAACGATATCTCTGTAATAAAGTGCGCGGGATGTCTTAATTCGCCTATCTGAGCCCTCCTTCGCTTGGCAACGTCGTCCTTATCATGACTCCACTGGCGCGCGACGGTCTGGCCGAGCCCGGACCAGCCGACAGGGGGCGTAGCCAAGCTTTTCTAGGTTAGGAAGCTGGCAAGAAAGTCCAAGCAACGCCAAGATGAATCAGGCTTGGCTTCGGTCCATTTTCTCCACGCTTGATGCAGACTGCGCTAGCCACACCGGGATGCCGCCGACTTGGCCGGAGCCGTTGCTCTAACTCGCGGGCTGGCTTTTGATGTGTCAAGAAGTCAAGATTGCCCGGTTTACAACAGGTCTCAGTCAACAAGCGCCGGTTTGGGGAACACATTGGAGCTTGACGATTGTTTGCGCTCCCGGGGACGGTAGCTCTGGCAACAGTACACAGCGGGTGGTCTTGTGGCTCTGCTGGCGTCGCGTCGCACGACGTCATCGGAAACCTACGTTTGTTACGCCAGTGGCTTATTTACTGGTCATCTATACATCCGTACACGGGACCTAGCCTTCCGGAGGCCTCGCTGGGGATTTTGAATAATGGATAGAGAGAGGCGAGATACTGTTCGTGCTGCGCTGTCTGCTGAGATCCTATCACGGCGGGGTCCCTGCCTTGGGAGGATTCTCTACCCCAGAATCCGGCCAGCCAATTCCACTCCATTGCATGTCCTGCGCAAGGGTGGTTATCTATGGAGCCGTCTTGGCGCTTTTCCCGTCAGTCTGCCTGTGACGGGCAGCCTGTCAGCTTGCGCCTGGTGAAAGTGAAATCCGTGACCAAAGGATTCAACCACCAGGCGTCCGTTGCCATTGGCCGTCTGCTCCGGAGCCTTCCCAAGTTGAGCCACCGAGACGGACCCTGCGATAACGGCGATCTTCCCTGTTTCGAAGGAGAGGTGTGCGTTCAGCTTAACGTTCTTTGGGATGGCCCGACGTACGAATCACGGTGGCCGCCGGAGCCCCCCCCCCTCAGATGTCGATTGCAACCACTCGCGTCATTGGCGTCCTTGGCTGTAAAAGTCCGCCACCTAGGACACAAACAATACGTGTTGCGCCTTGGGCGCGTCTGCCTTGGCCCTTCGGGCTATTGACTTGGGCCTGCCCTGAGCTGCCTTTTTCAACTCGAAGACCGACTCCAATCTGCGTGTGGCAAACCAGTTCCCCTCCTGACATTAGTGCACTTGCTAGCGCATCAATTCCTTCGGTGCAGCTTCTAGCCCTTTTCTGTGCGTCCGACTGGAGTGACAGGGTTCCGCTTTCCCTCCTCAGCTCATTTTACCGTCTTATCCACCAAGATACCGTACCGTCCCAGGGGAGGGGCTACACAGTGCAGGCCTTACACAGTAGGGTAGCAGACAAGAGCCGCAACGTTGTGTTGCTCGGGCCGCAACCATTTGAACCTCCGGACTGCTATTAAAATCCCCTTCCTTCCCACCTCCTCTCCCCTCCCACTCTCTCCTCTCTTCGTGTCACCCGTTCCGCCGTCATCCCCAACCCGGTTGTACACGCAAGTTCCACCATGTCATTGGAAGAGAAAGGCGCCGCTGGCGCCTCGACGCCCGAGAAGGATGCGTCGCCAGCATACAACTTCGACGAGGGCGCCTCCGTCCGCACACGCGACCAGGAGGACTTTCTCACGCGCAATGGCTTGAACCTCCGTTCCTTCCAAAAGAGGGATATGGGCTCGGGCGTGGTCGACTCGCTCGACCGCAGCCTAAAGACGCGCCACATGCACATGATCTCGATTGGAGGCTCAATCGGCGCCGGTTTCTTCGTCAGTTCCGGCAAGGCGCTCAACACGGGCGGCCCGGCCTCCATGCTGATTGATTTCCTCATTGTCGGCGTCATGATGTTCAACACGGTTTACGCTCTGGGTGAACTTGCCGTCATGTACCCCGTCTCTGGTGGTTTCTACACATACTCGACCCGCTTCATCGACCCGTCCTGGGGCTTCGCCATGGGCTGGAACTACGTCATGCAATGGGCCGCCGTCTTACCCCTGGAACTCACGGTCTGCTCCTTCACGATAGGATACTGGAACCCTGATATCAACGTTGGTAAGTAGCATTTCTTTGGGAACGAAAAAGGGAGATCGAACTTTTCGGTTCAATTGCTGACCTTGGCTTTAGCTGTCTGGATCACGGTCTTCTTCGTCCTCATCATCATAGTTAACGTTTTCGGAGCTCTCGGTTACGCCGAGGAGGAGTTCTGGTCGTCAGTTCTCAAGCTGGGAGCGATCGTTGTCTTCATGATCCTTGCCCTCGTCCTGGTCTGCGGCGGCGGTCCCAAAGATGGTCGCTACGGCGAGTACTGGGGTGCCCGCCTCTGGTACGAGCCAGGTGCCTTTGCCAACGGCTTCCGTGGCTTCTGCAGCGTCTTCGTCACGGCTGCCTTCTCCTTCTCCGGCACGGAGCTTGTCGGTCTGGCCGCCGCTGAGGCTCGCAATCCGGCCAAGTCGCTGCCTGGTGCCATCAAGCAGGTCTTCTGGCGGATCACTCTGTTCTACGTCCTCGGGCTGTTCTTCGTCGGTCTGCTCATCGCCTGGAACGACGACAACTTGCTGGGGGCCAACCCCTATGTGAACGTTAACGCCTCGCCGTTCGTTCTGGTGGGCAAGTATGCCAATCTGAAAGGCTACGACTCCTTCATGAACGTGATCATCCTGGTCTCGGTCCTGTCCATTGGCGTCTCTGCGGTTTATGGCGGCTCACGCACCCTCACGGCCCTCGCGCAGCAGGGCTACGCGCCCAAGATCTTTAGCTACATTGACCGCTCCGGCCGCCCTCTGATCTCGGTCATCTTCCTTTGCGCGTTCGGCCCGCTGGCATACGTCAGCCTTGCTGCCGAAGGCCCCACCGTCTTCGACTGGCTTCTTGCCCTGTCCGGTCTGGCCGCGCTCTTCACCTGGGGCTCGATCTGCCTGGCGCACATTCGCTTCCGCAAGGCATGGCTCCGCCAGGGCCACACCCTGGACGAGATTCCCTTCAAGGCCGTCGGTGGCGTGTACGGCTCCTACCTAGGTCTTTTCCTCAACGTCCTCGTTCTTATCGCTCAGGTACGGCAAACGCCCCCTCTTTCCCCCATCCGCCGTCCTTCTCTTACTGACCTGGTTCTAGCTCTACGTTGCCATCTGCCCCGTCGGGGGCGGCTTCAACGATGCCGAGGGCTTCTTCAAGTCGTACCTCGCCATGCCTGTCGTCATTGTCTTCTGGATTGGCGGCTTCTTGTGGAAGCGCACCGGCTGGCTCCGCACGGACCAGATCGACGTCGACACGGGCCTTCGCGAGCATGACTGGGATGCCATCAACGCGTACCGCGCCGAGTTGGCGGCGATGCCGGCGCTCAAGAGGATTTTCCACACGCTGTTTGTTTAGGGTTATGAGAGGAGATGAGATGCTGCTGAAAGCAAGCATCCATGGAATCTTTTGTCATGGGTCAAAAACGTTTTCAAGTTAGGGGGCTATGTCATGTTAGCAGTTGATGAAATGATACCACGCTACGAATAGATAGCAAGCATTGTGCGGCGTCTGCGCTGTTCAACCGTCGAGTTGCTGTTGCCGACTACCAGTTACTTGCATTGTATTGTACCAATGGGTTGCTGTTGATGTTGTGATATGGGGAGTGTGCCAGGTATCATCAGCCACCACACTACCTGACCGTTTCTTACAAGTATACCTTTACCCTTGCGCTGGCTATGGAGGGCGTTAGTGTTCGTCACTCATTCGTGTCGGTCATCGAAAATTGATGTTGTTACAGGGAACGGAGCCCCGGGTGTTCAATCCTAACCACCAACAGCTTCTGCATCAAGAGGTATGTTACATTACAATACATCCATGCAAGCACAGCGCTAAACCAGCTCCACCAACCTCAAATCGTCAGGCCGCCATCACCGTCAGTCAAAAGACCTGCGCGAAGCCCGCGCGCCTGAACTTCTGCCAGCGTACTCGTCGTCTCCGATGGCTGCTCCGGGCGAAGAAGGATGGCCCCAGTACTCCATGACTAGCTCGCGCTGCTCTACCCCTGGTTCTCCCGGGGGGGTAGCAAGCGTGGCGTCCTCCGTTCTTGGACACATGTATTGAGCACAAATATTCACTCCCGGCCGGGATGATTACAGCGATATCGAAAGGCAAATCACACTTGTACGTCAAACAAAACCCTATGCGGAACTTGGTAACGTTTTGTTAAAGAGTTGTGTGTGTATTTTGTTGAGACTACGGGTGTCCGCCGTGCCTCAGGGGGGGTCAAGCAGGTAGTAGTGGTAGTGCTGGGAACCTGCCAGTACATACCTACATACAACCCATTGTGAAGCTCCCCCCCGTCATCAGTGCCCATTCGTTCCGTTTGCGCCGTTCGCTTCGTTCGTCCCAGCCGCCGAGATGGTCGTGTCGCCCGATCCCTCATCACTGGCACCCTGCTCCTCTCCATACCCCGCCGGCAGCCAGTTGTAGTTCACACGACCGCCATTTGTCACGGGCTGTTGGACCATGCACCTCCGAAGACAGAACTCGTGGCTGCAGCTGGCGCAGTTCTTGGTGCTCTCATTGTTATGGTAACACCCGCAGCAGATCCATCTTTCGGTGAGGTCGTAGTTCCTCTGGCAATCCATCCGCGACAGGAGGCAGAGGAAATCCGGGTCCTGGACTGTGTCTCCGTCGACCGGTTCGTCGGGAGTGCCCACCGTGTTCTCGCAGCCGTTGGGGTACCGCCCGGCGTCCACCAGGCTGGCCGGGCAGCGTGAGAGGTAGGTCTCGCGGTACTGGTGCCCGCAGAGGGAGGATACGTCGGCTTGCCAGCGACGAATTGTTTTCTTTCCCAGTCCAGAAAGCAGAAGGATGGCCTTCTTGATAGTCGGAGTATTAGGTTTCGGAGTCTCGGATTAAGAGGGTAAGAGCCTGAGTGGTTGGTAAACTTCGAGTGGGATGCTGTGAGTGAAGGAGAGAGGCAGAAGAGCAGGCTACTTATAGACCGTATATATAGACTGGTAGGCATTAAGCGAGCGTTTGCTCGCCTGGTTGATGAGGGCGGTCATAGGCCGTAGGGCTCTTTGTTTCCCAGTACCATGGGGGAGTTGTCATCGGTAACCTGATACGCACTTGACCGGCATCACGCCCCGTGCTGTCAATGCTGTCATGGTTATGCCTTTCTTATCCAGTTGGATCTGGCCCGCCTAGGGGGACGGGGGAGCCGATACAATAAGGGGCCTGTTTGAATCCGGGATCCGGAGGCTCCTTTTCTCTTTCCATCTCACTTGTGCTGGCTCTCCATTTCCTTTGAAGAGGATCGCCGTGTGACCCATCGACTGTGGTATGGCAGAATCGATCAACGAGCGCCTGGAAGGTTGGCACTCGATCGGTTTTGGCGATTTTCGCGAGTAGTATTACTGAATCCCGAGGACATCCTTCTTTACGGGTTCATTGCTACTAGTAGGTAGTACTGGTAGTTACTGATCTTCTTCGGGTTTGCCTGGGCACATCTATTCAGTACTAGTACCGGTATCGGTAAATTGGTGTTCAGACCGCGTCCGTCCCGCTCGAGTCATAGTTAACCGGCGTTCGTCATCTGCACCTCTGCGCATTCCTTGTTGCATGGAAGGTGTAATGCATACATACCCGGGGGACTTACAAAAGAGTTTTCGCTGGCGGGCTCTAACAAAAAAAAAATGAGAGCAGGGCGTTCCGGACTGTAGGAAAGGTCTCGCCGGACAAAAAACGATTCCTAGGTGTGAGCAACCTATCATCCCGCAAATCCAGGACTTTTTGGTCTGCATCTTCAGAGTCGGTCCGTTTGCTTCGGGGCAAATGATATTTCAATTCTGGCCTACGTACTACTCCTCATAGTAATTGCCCGAGTATAGTATGAGCCAGCAAGAACTAGACCCCCAGTCTTTCGCCGATTTATGATTATATCTACGACAGTGGACGCCGACTACGGCCCGCTCGGGTTTCATCCAATGCAATGAGTTGTGCTCGGGCCTCCGGAGCCGCACGCGAACTCGAGCCGGGCGGAGGCCGGGAAACGGCTCGCCGTCCCTGAGTGGCGGGAGGAGGCGGAGACCTAGCCCGACCGTCACGGCTATCACGACGCGGCGCCGGACGTTCGGGGAGGTCATACCGGACTATCCCGGCTACCGGTCGGGACGGTGGCGGCGAGGCGGCGTGAGTGGGAGTGGGCGCGGGCCGGGTTATCGTTCGGGATCCTGACGGTGAGTCCCGACTGGTGGCGTCGGGAATTGAGGGGCCTTGCGGTCTCGTTCGCGCCGGCAGGTTGACATTCGGGTACACGGCTCCCAAGCGCAACTTCATTTCGTGTACATTGGTCTCCAGCTCGCTGGGCTGGTAGCCGCCCGCGTACCTGGCTACGCACCACCTGAGCCAGTTGATGAAACTAGTGCTGCTGCATGTCTTGGGGAGTTGGCCCATGCAATAGCTCAGCTCCGCGATCAGCTCCTGAGCGGTCGGGTGGTCTCGGCGGTCCGAAGCCTTGGCGTAGGGGTAGCTCAGCCCGCTGACGTGCAACGTGACGGCGAACAGTACGCGGTAGATGACGGTCGTGGCCGAGGCAGAGCCAGCCTGCCGACGGAGCTCGACGGTCCCTAACCTATCGGTGGGATGGAAACTGGTCGAGACGTACCTGGTACAATCGCTCGTGCCCACAGGCCCGCCCCTCATGCGGTTAAGAAACCTTTCTGTTCCGTCCATGGCAGCGTTCTCGAGCTCATCAAAGACCACTTTCCAGCCATAGTTCGCGACGTTGGCGTACTCGAGGCCTGCGTAGACCTTATGGTTCGGCCGTGCCCATACGCTTTTGCGGCGCTTGGGCTCGATAAGCTCGCAGAGCGCCTCTTCCCATAAGTAGGCCCCTTTTGCCTTGTCCACGAGGTCGGAGAGTCTATACTTGGTCTTTTTATCGGGTCCTGGGGACACATGTACGTGGGTAGAGCAGCATTCGTGCGTCCAGAATTCGAACTCCTTGCCGACGGCTTTGAAGACGCTCTCTATCTCCGTTCGCCAGGGCCTGCTGGTCGACATAGCCGGCGAGACGATCTCGATTCCCCCTGTAATCATCGTCACCTGTTAGCGTACCCGCAGAGAGGAGGAATTGCTAGAACACATACACCATTTCCACCGGCTCTCCGCGTCCTTGATCTCGAATTCCCTCAGACTGGCATCGGGCTTGCACGCCCAACCATTGTTTTTACCGAGGACTTCCTTGATGAGATGCTCAACGGCCAGGCCAACACATAACCGCTGCTTAGCTTTCTGCTCAGCTATCTCTCGTGACCCGTTGTCGGCAGCATTGGACAGTGTAAAGTTCCACTGTTGGTAATATGCAGGCAAATTTTGATAAGCGCGTCCGTTATATCGGTCATGGTGTATGTCTTTGAGCCTCTGCTCGAGGCCATCGCGGAGTTTGACGAATATCTCGATCTCAACACCAAAGTACGGCCTGTACGCCGGTCCAGCCGACGGGGCCGCTCTCGCTGAGCGACTGGATGCCATGGTAGCTAGCAACGACTGCTGCGAAAAAAGGAGTGCGTGGAATGGAAGAGGCGGCTGCCAAAGAGCGCGGACGTAAGGAGTGCAGTTCCAATCAGTGAAGTGTAAGCACTGTGGCTTAAGAAGTGAGACTGTGAGAGTAAGTAGTGCAAATTAAGGAGCGTGGATTAAGGAGTGTGGAAGCCAAGGCGCTGCCCGAGCTCGTTTGAAGGGGTTGCTGGTGGTGTTGAGACAGAGATCAAGCCGTGGATTGAAGATCGAAGAGGACCACTATATACGATGCGATTACTCTACCTTCATAAGATACCGCAGCTATGCTCGGACCCCGACAACCGTCCGCACCGTCGATCAGCTCAGATTGGTATGAACAACGGGCCACTGCCATCTTGCCCGGGAGCCCGAGACCTTGGGAGCACCTGGCCCGTCGCATGCAAGTTCCTGTTACCGTTTTACGCAGCGTTGCGACCGCAACTGGAAGCTAGGTCCGCGGTCCTGAGCCCGACCACAGGACCGGGGCGGGATCGCATACGGGGCAGATCACCTTAGCGGCTCTACTTCTAGGCCGGCCCTTCATCGAGACTTTCCCTCCTCGGAACCTGATGTTCAGCCCGTGGGGGTGTTGGTTGGGCAGGACTACCTGCCCGGTGGGCCTCCTGCTCGGCCGACGCAGCTCAGGGTAGCCCCCGGCTACTGCTTTTCCACATGAATGTGTCATGATGTGCGTTGTGTCGTCCATGGCCTGATACCGTTGCTATCGCTCGCCCGGAATGGATCGACACCTGGTCCAGTTCCCTACCTACATAGGATATCACCATTCTCCGGTCCCGTGCAGACAGATAGGCATAAAACACCCTAAGTGCCATTCAGGCTTATGGTCAGGTGTATTACTAAGTGGACTCTTGCGATCTGCCCCAGCTGAGTCCAACAGAATTTCAGAAAGATAGTCTAAGTCGCGGTGCAGGCCCGCTGACAGACTATAGTAGCGTCTTTGTGGGCAGCGATTTAACTGTTACCCGCACCGAAGTACGTGAGAGGTAGACGGCGATGTAAATCCCGAGTATTCGAGTCAGCGAAGTATATGCAAAGAAAGGTGCGAGCAAGTGGCCCGGTTGGGGTCAACGTTATATCGATGGGGCCATAGGGTGGATGTCACCGTGGATCAGGTGTAATAAACCTTTAGGTAGTCGCAGATCTCAGTCCCATGGTTCAAAAACATAGAAAAAGTAATGGGCTAATGTTCCTGTGTCAATGGGGCCCGAAATGCCGACGGCAGGAATTGGCGGCCATTTCACGCCGCATCACGCAACGCAATGGCGGCGAAACAGGTCATCTCATGTTTCATCCTCTCAAGAGGCTTTGACGCGCCCCAACCAAGAGCGCCGGACCCGCGCCGCTAGGCAACAGAAACAAATGTATGAATCTATGCTCTATAAGAGAACTGGTAACTTAAGCGATCCGCACAAAGTCCAAAACGACAGCATCAAGTCCGCACCTCCCATCGTCTGTCATCATTGACATTTGGTTTTTCGAGTCCTTGACTCCTTCTTTCCGCCAGGCCCAGAACAAGCAGCCCCAACCTCAAAAAAGCAGCATCATGTCTAGCCAAGGTGCAGGAAGCACAGGAAGTGCGAGAAGTGCAGCTCGCCCAGCAAAGGGCAAGGCGGCGGCGGCGACGTCGACGTCCGGCCCGACCTCGGCCCAGCACGATGACATGAAGGACCCGGAATACGAAGAAGCCCAATCAAAGAAGGAGTTTTACTGGCAGGAGCACTGGCAGAAGTCGCTGCCCAACGCCGAGAAGGAGCCGTCGGTTGTGCTGGTCTTCAACAAGTCGCCTGATGCCATCGCAACGGACATCAAGAAGATGGCGGGCCCGAACACAAAGATCACCACCGTCGACCGCATCCTGGGAATCTACGACGATATCGAGGAGGGGAAGAGCCTGGGCACTGTCCAGGCGGGCCTTGTACCTATCGGGCTGTACGGAAGTATCAGCGACAAATATGAGGTTGAGACCATCACCGTCAAGTTCGGCAACCAGAAGCGCATGGCCTATATTCCAGTGAAGGCCCGCAAAGCAGTGAAGCAGCAGGGTTTCGATTGAAGACGGCAAGGGTAGGGGGAATAATGTACCGATCTTTCCGATGAAATGGACCCTTTTCTCACTCAACTGTTCTGTTCTGTCCCCGCAATTCATAGTGGCCTCATCCTGGCAGTTCACATTGGCTGAACTATATACCGATTCCTTAACCATGTGCGTCTAGAGAAGTGGGATACACTACCTAGCTACCTTATGGGCTGATGCAAAAGGCGGTACGCGGCTACCGGCCCGTGCATAGCAGCTGTAAGATGTTAACTAAGCCCTGGCATCTCTCGCTGGATCCCATTAAGTGCCAACAACCGGGACCAGATCTCTGTTGTTCCCAGTTCATGGATAGAGTTCCTTACACTTCGCTCGAAATCTTCTCAAGCAGACAATGACAGACCATATGCAGCTGTCCATGAGCTAGGACTCGGACATCACCCTGTGTAGGACTGCCGTAGCGACGACACGCCTCGCAAGGGTGAAGGGTCCTCTGGCTCCCTTCCACCGCGAGTGCGTTGGCACGGCCACGCAGCGGGCGGTGCGGACAGGACCTTCGGGCACGAGGTTGATCTCGCTAGATTGCGTTTACGTTTTGGAATGCTGGATACCCAATAGCAAGGGCAAAAATACTCGAAGTCCTCGGAGAGTCGGGTGGTTGTTATGTAAGTGGGCTCCGCAGTCCTACCTTGACGGCTCCCTTGGCCACCACTTGGCGGTTGTTTTTTTGTTAACATATTCTTAGATTCGGATTGGACAACGCAGTCACTTGAACGTCCACTATTAGTCCCGGCAGCGGCAGCAGCTGTGGTTCGCAAGAATGACGCCCTTGACCTATTTGTTTGCGGGGAGGACGGGAAGGTATATGCAGCTTACTGGCACGAACGTTCAAAGATTGCCAAGCTGGCAATCCTTGCGAGGCAAATTCCCCCCGGGCCCCGGTGGCAGTTGTGACTCGCAAGAACGACCATCTCGACCTATTTGTATGCGGTAAAGATGGGAAGGTATTCACAATAGACTGGCACGAACGTTCTTTTTGTACAACCTGGATAACTATCATTTAGAGCTTACTTATAGTTAGTCCTTGATTCGTAATGATATCTGTAAACTCCCGGCAAAAAATGTCACTTGATTGCCTTCGGGCGCAGGCAGAGCAAGCCTAAGTGGGCCTAGCGTTCAGGCTGACCGGACGCCGCCAAAACATCATCGAGATCGGACCGATAGTGCAGGCGGACGCCCTCACGCTTCTAGAGAAAAAGCTAGGATCGCCCTCAGGCAGAGATATGGCGCTCGATCTAGTGCAGGCGCTCGATCTTATACAGGCACTCCACCTCGTTCCGCTGGCCATCAGCCAGGCTGCCGCGTATATATAGGCGAGGGCGCCGCGGAGCTCGGCTGAGAAGTACTGTACCTGGCCGAGTTCGGGAGAGTGAGCGCAAAAGGAGCAGGCTTTTAGAGCACGATGCTAGGGACCTACGGCGGGATGGAAGCGTATCGAACGCGATTCTCACGATATGGCAGATATCCTTTGACCATATCCGGTCCAAGCGACCTTTGGCGGCGGATCTCTTGTCACTTATGAGCTTTTTCGACCGACAGGATATCCCTGGGTGAGTTCTGAACCCTTCTAGGACCGCCAAGGACGCAAAACAAGCGAAAGGCACAAACGAGGCAGGAGACCGGGATTCCGATGATGACAACAGTGCCACAGAAAACGAAGAGATGACGGCGCATTCGAAGACGATGTGGCGATGCTGACGGATTACTGTCTCATCGTCGCGGACGAGGCACAGGACGAGTTTGAGATGCACGGGCTCGTGCAACTGTCGATGAGGACGTCGCTAGAGGCTTCTAAGCAGTGTCGTTTCGTGTAAGCCGCCGCCAACTGGTACCGCCCATTCCTCCCAGTCCATGAACTATAGCGGTCCGCCAGCCACCGCCGGCTTCGTCGAACACCTTGCGAATTGCGGCAAGTTCTTCCTCCCTTGCTACGAAATAGTAGACATCGCTGACTTCGAACAAGCTGAAGTGGATTGCAAATGCCGAGCCGGAACTGCCGAAACGCAAGAGATCGGGCGAATTCGTTAATCATAATAGTCTGCTCTAGAATGCTGTCGGTTTTAGGGTCGCCTACCCTTCCCCACCCTCTTCTCCGCCTCCAGCACCACTGAATCTCCACAGGCGCAACGCACTCCATAATCTGGAGGTGTTCAATATAATATTGTACCTGACGTCTTCTCCTGACCTGTATCTGACCATGTTGGTATGCCGCGTGTATGAAAGTCGATTCGGTGTTCGCCTAGCCCAGCACCATGGCGGACGCGCGGGGTACTACCCTGCTTTTCGTTAGCTGCTACTTATCTAGCAAGGCAAATGCAACGTACAGTACCATGATAGAGCGGCCAAAGGCCGTCGGAGTCTCGTTCTCGTCAAACGCAAACTTCGTCACGAAATCGCCGCTGATCGGCCCATACTGCCCAGCTGCTGCTGAAGCCACTCCGAGTCCCATTCGAGGTGCCTCAGAATCCGGTCATCCGCAGCCATGAACAGGGAGGCAACATTCATCAGCAGCCTCCCAAGCTACGCCGATTGCCAGCAGGCAGATATAGCTCCTACATCAGACTTCCACTTCCTACACAAGTTGAATATGAGCGTCGGCGCATCGTCGTAGAGGTATTGGCAGCTGACTCGGGAGCTGTCATGGGTACTGGCGTCGTAAACCCTAGCAGAGGATGCAGGCGTAAGGGATGTCGTGCGGGGGGAAATCGCAGGGCCAGTGGACACCGCTGCTTGCGGTCCAGGTTCTGTCACGGTGGCCGTTGAGGCAATGGACGGTGATGAGACTACGAGAGGGAAGCAGTGAGCTGAGGACTCGCTAAACACGAGGTACCAATGCACGAGGTGGTCGACACGCTAGGCTTTCCGAGAGGGCAGGGCAGAGGCGGCGACCTACTCGACTTTATAGCAGCGCTGCCCTCCGCCACGGTCTCCAAGCCCTGGGGACAGAGGGTTGGAGACCGCGACAGGCGCAGCGGAGGTTGTCCAGATTTGCAGCGCGGATGCTTCGGGAGGTGCGTCGGACTATGGAGATGGGCGAGGTCCTGTCGACGATAATCGGCAGTGCGCCTAATGGAGCAGTCGCGACCGCGTGACGACCGCGCCGGGAACATCGGTGCGGCGTCAACTGCGAAATATTACGACGGTCAACGCGGAACAGTGTTTTGACTGATGGCCAAGATTACGGATGCCGGTGGTGCCGTTCGACTTTGAGAGACACTTCTCATCACACGTCATAGAGGTCACTGGAGCAATGCTTCCAGCAAGCGGCTGTTCGCTACTCAGATCGTACCACGGCAAGCCTCGCCATGTGTCTGCAAGCTCTGCATTTCAATGAAATCGTACATTTCCAAGCAAGCAGCTGGCATGTCGCCATCCACCACAGAACTTCCTCACGCTGACCTTTGCCATACTTCAAAGTTGGCGCCGCCGCCACGTCCTCGTCGCAGTTTCTTGCTTCTGCGTGCCTTCGTAAGCAAAAGCCAGCCAGTGCCTCACGGTACATCCAACCATGGGACAGGGACGGGGCAAGTGCCAAGAATCCCAAAACAATGCGCCCTCAGGCAATAAACGAAGGAGTGAAAAGCAGAAGCCGATTTCGCTAGTTAGTATCCGGGAGGGGGGACTGTATTCGCGCAGGCGAATCCCCGGTGGGCAATTCCACCGGGGGGCGGATAGAAACCCTGTATTGATGGGGCCGCGACGAGTGCGGAGGCCTATATTAAACACCCGTCAGACCCTAGTTGTTAGCTGCCAGCACCAATCTCGGGAAACTCACGGCGTAGTAGCACCAAGGAGCTTAGGCTCACCGCCCGTCGCAACCTCATATCCGGGCAGCGTCGTTTGCCAGGGTCTACCCGGAGTAGTACTACCTGGTGCCATAGCAAACCCAAGGGGAGACGCCTATACCGCGCAGGACTGTGCCGATTTGCGGTAGGCTTTCTCAAAGCGGTGCCTCCGGTTGTAGAGGTAGATCAGGCCGGCTCCCGCGATAAGCACAGCGCCTGCGCCGATGGCGATGCCCGCAATCGCGCGGGGCCTAAGACCGCCTGAGGAGCCTCCTCCCCCACCTCCTCCCGAGTTCGAATCTGAGTAGGATGGGCCTGAGCCGGGTGCCGGTCTCGGGACGGGGGTTTCTGAGGGGAAGGGGTCGCCTGGCACAAGCTGGTAGGTAGCGTTTCCGGCGAATGCCAACTGTGTATAAAGGGTCTGCGTTGTGTTGAGATTAATGACGCCTATTATACGGTAGTCGACGCAGGAGCCGGATGCTATATAGTAGAAGAAGATAGGTTCTATATTATTAACTCTGACTTGGTAGTTCGGTAGCTATAGGATCGTTAACTCTCTAGCGTGACCTGTTAGGGATGTTGAGAGGTCCTTATGTTGTTGGAAACCACCTGCGGCTTGAAAATGCCGGTGTAAAAGCCCGCTTTATTGATATTGGCGTACTTGTATGGGATATACGGCCATCTAAATTCGGCGTGGGCAACTCGATGGCCATTAGGGTAGAAGTTGAATTTTTGGTATTGGAAGTATAGACAGTGTAAGTCGAGTCCGGCTGAATAGAACGGGGACTAGGAAGGGTAATCCAGGACTTATTAATTATGTTGCCGACATTAGCCTCGGCTTCGTATAGAGTAAAGATGTGCCTGGTCTACTGTAAATTAGCATATATTATAGACTAGGCCTTTATATCTCGCTTACTGCCCTAACCGCTACGGTAACTATTACTGGGCCGGACGAGCTAGAGGTCGTCGATAAGTTTAGCAGCCGCGAACATTTCGCGGCGGGAAAAGTCAGAGCAGCGGATATAGCAGGCACTCGTAGGGCGAACATAGTTGCAGCGTTACTCAGTAGTATAGTACTTGGATGGTGTACCCGGCAGGATCAAGAATAGCGTATAGTAGGAAAATAATAATGGCGTGCGTTTGCCTTCCAACACCTACTAGGAGAGCTGTATAAGGCGAGTGGGGAAGAGCATCTATAGGCAATACCAGCCCGTTCGATATCGAGCCTTAAGTAGGTCATAACGTCAACGTGACGAGAATAGAAAACCTAAGTATCTTATCAAATAACTATGTTTCGGACTAGAAGACCTAGACTTAGTATCCTATCGGCAGCAGGCGGGTCAAGCTAAATACCATACTTATGCTAATAGAGAGACCGTGTCACGAGGGCCGTCGTTCAAGGCCAGGGTCAAGCCTCTGGTGGTAAACTGACTGCATTGCAAGAATATTGAACTTGCAGGAGGAAAGAAATCCTCGAGACTGCAAGGTAGGCTTTAAATACAGGATGCGAGTAGAGAAGGCCATCGCCATCTCGGGGTGAGATGAGCTCCTCTTTCTTGATGGTTGCCTCCGTCGTCTTGTCATTGGCAACTGCGGTCTCATCCATGGCGACGTCTCCATCGCCGTCAACCTTGGCCTTGAGAGCCGCCGCGGGGAAGCAGGTTGTGAGGCTGTGACTGTTCTCATCGGCAGGAGCTCCCGAACCATATTATTCGGTGTCGGTAGACATGAGGTCCAGGTAACCCAAGCCAGCTACCCGCGAAGATGGCATCATCCTCACTGTATTATCTGCTCAAGAGTCAAGACCTTCTATAAGGCGCACGTCATCTTCCCATCCGGCGGGCTCGTCCCCGTACCAAACGACGCCAGCCCGCGACGTCCAACACACCGGTGCGACTGTCCCGGCATAACGCGGGATCGCTTTCTCGTCAACTCGATCCGTGTTCTCGTCCAGCTTCATGCGTGCAACCCCGTGGCGAGGTCGACGCCGCCCATATCTTCGTCCTCGTTATCCGAGCCCTTAACCCCAGTGGCGGCAAACGGCCACGATCCTGAGACGTCGAAACACCGAAATTGATGCCCAACATCCCACCTGTCGCTACATATTCGCGCGACATATTCGCGCGTGAGGTCAATTCGACCATTACAGGCCAGCCACCAGGACGTCGTGGCTTGCCATCTTTAACCACCTATTCGGCTAAAAGGTGTTGGCATCCACGCTAGGATTCCCGTTTATCACTTATGGTAAGCGTCTCTCGGCGGCTGCCACATATACCCTTACCTTTCCCGCCAAGCCTCAGGACCAGCCCCCAGCTGCGACCCGCGTCGCTTCTTAAAGACAGACTCGTCCTCACGGAGTGACCCTGTCAATCCTAGGGGTTTATGTGGAAGAGAAAGAGCTTGGTGAATCATTGGAAAAGGACGGAGGAAGGGTACCTTAGTTGGCCATGTCACCCCAAGGTTGAAATTACTAGCACTCCAATTTGCACCTTCCTTCAAAGTCGAAGCTTCTATGAACGCTATTTACTTCGTCAACTACGGAAACCATGTGCAAGTGGATGGTCGTTCTACATCCCATCTGCTGGAACAAAGCCATTTACTTGCCTTAATCACTTAATATGGGCAGGGTCCCAACACGACTCGCAACCTTTGGCAGGTCCAGGACGGGTTCAACATAAAAACTCCTGTTTTTTGCGTGTCTGGCCTGAATCATGAAGCGTATAATCGCTGGCCTCTCGAAGGGGGCAAACCCAAGTAGCGCAGGACCATAAACAAAAGAAGTGCTGGTGTACCGGGTGTCCTATGCCGTGCGATCTGTCCAAGGTAGGCTCATACTATTTCGATGGAACTCACGGAAGAAATACAGAATAAGATCGATGGTTGACTTTTCGGCCTATCTTCTAAGTTATGAGCCCAAGCAACATCAATAGGTCGCATACCATGTTTCACTACTCTACATACAGTGCTACAATCCACAACAGAATTGGGGTATCAAGCTCTAGGAGTTCCACATGGCCAGCGATATGGGCTGGAGATGCAACTCCTTGGATATCCTATCAAGAACGAGAGATTTCTATATATTTGTGGAAACGACATGTCCACCAGATACCATCTCATTTCGTTTCGGCCCCGACGTCCTTCTTCCAGAGGGACGCACGCTTGTTATGTTAAATCTGAACTGGACGGATACATTCATAAGTTATCACTGAGAAAACAATGAATGCCTAACTAAGAGGTGTTGTGGGGTTATTCCCCAGCGAGTGCACTTAGCTCAATGAGCGAATGCAGCACATCAAGGGAACAGAACTCAGCGAGTGGGCATAGCTCGACGGGTCGGTCAGCACCTGCCCAGACATCGACCAAGACGCATTGGTTACAACCCCTGAAGCGCCTTGGCTTACGGAGGAAGAACCGCTTGGTAGAGGAGGATATCGAGGGAGATGTGGGTGAGTTATGCTCGCCCAATACCCCGTTGCCCTGGCTGATGTCCTCGTTCTCTCGTTCCGCTCGGCGGAAGGTAAGCTGTCTGACAGGCTTCAAAGCTGCGTACCAGAGGATGAACCACTTGGACGGCATGATATCGGCCCAAGTCCGTTGCCGCTCGACTTTCGATGATGCTACTGGCACTAAAGAGCTGTTTGGGAGATCTGTCATTAGTGACACCTCAAATACTTTAGCGAACGAGAGAAGGGGGGTGTAAGCTAAATTAGGAATCGCCGCAAAGGGGGCACTTACACCGTCTCTAAGCTTCTCCACCCTCTCCAGATACCCTTGAAACCGCGAGTCTAAATGTTCCAACTCCACAATCTGGGATTCGATCTTGGGTAGTATATGGTCATCAATCGAGTCCGTGGGTGGCCAACCCAACTTGCCAACCCTCCTAACAATAGGCTTCCCCTCAAAGTCTGCCCATTTACGAGTCTTTGCCCTTTCCCACTGTTCCTTCTCGCAAGCGCGAACAATATCCTCCCACGCAATCCACCAATATCTCCACTAAACAATGGCATCCCGAATGTATCCTCGAAATGCACTCAGCATGTTGATGGCCCAAAAGTACCGCCGTGACCGAGAGAATGTGTTGTCATCGAAAAGCAGACGGTCGCAGTTGTCGGGGTTAAGCAGTGTATCCTCGTCGTCCACAAGCATCTCGGAAAGGGATTTTTCGATCTTCTGCCAGGATGTGACTGCATCGTACAAAGCGTCGTTGACTGAGAGCAGGACGGTCATAAAGGGGTGACGGCCAGGGCGCTCGGTTCTGGTGGTGTAAAGCGAGGACAAAATAAGAATGGTCCAGTAGCCACACGAGCGGATGTCCGGCACCAAATTCAACCGCCAGACATCTACAGAATCAGGGGAAATTGCAAGGGTGAAGGACGCCTGCTCCACAACCTGGTTGGTTCGGTAGAGAGTCCCGGATTTCCAGACTGAATGATCCTTCTCCTTTGTTTCTATGATTCGGTACCACGCGACGTGAAACGGCTCCCAACTCTTGAGGTAGGGATTAATCAAATCCTGCCGGGGACTGCATAGGATGTGTAACGGAATGTCCTATCCACGACGTGGCAAATAGCGGAGTCTAGGTATGGACGAAAGAGCAGCTCCCAAGTGGCCGCAAGCTCCTCTGAGACTCCGTGGGCTCTGTTGCGCATCACCGCCTATGAAGGAAGATTGGGCGAGTCCTTGGAGACGGATGATCCGATGCCACTCCCTGGAGCCAGAATCACCTATCGACAAGCATGATGCGCCGTCTCGACCAACATTGTAGAGACCGGGACGAACGTTCAAGTAGGATTCCTCGGCCTCTAGCGCATATCGGGCCAGAAAGCCGTTGCAGTCACAGCCCGTCGGCTCGTATGCCCCCAAATTCGTGTATTCTGCCGAAGTCATGAGATCATCGACGTCCGTGACAATGAAAGAACCGCCAACCTGGCGCAAGGCACCAAGTAGCCTGTCCACCTTGCTCAAATATTCGGTCAGCGTTCCGTCTTCGCAAGCTTGTCGCAGTCGATTGCTTTCAAACGCCAATGGAAGTCTTCCATCAGGAGGCACTGAATAAAGCGTTACCAGCGTTGAGTCAAGCTGGTTCTTCATATGTCCAAGACTGGCGCGGGAGATGCGTTCGATAGGCCTTGGCGATGCTCGAGCATAGGGTATGAAGGTTGGTCCATCTTCGTTACCTTCGGAGCGAGCCCACCCTTCGTACACCACTGGAGTTGCACGGATGGTGTCAACAAAGTGATACCACTTTCCGTCCTCCCTTTGAATCAATTCCCACTCTGGAACATAACCTGGCCGACCACGGCCCGAATAATCCCCCCGTCGGGGGTCGGGTCGCGGGCGCCAGTACTTCCAATTAGGCGTAGCGCTCCATGTCTTGAACGGAGCGATTCCGGCGCATCTAAAGGGGCCGACATCTGCGTATTCATAGAACTGTTGACGTCCCTGATCGGTTTCGCGATTAGAGTCGATCGACGGTGTCCGGCCGCTCCGATCCTGGTCCTCCCCGTTACCTGTAGCGTCCTGGTCCTGGTTTACACCAGCGTCACTCGACCGATCGCCTCGATCCTGGTGTCCACTCTCCTCGACATCCTGAATCGGACCAGCGTCGTTATCATTGGCTCCTCCTTCTGCTTCGCCCTCTTCTGCTTGCGACCCAAACAGGGAAATGATAGTTTGCAAATGTCGATTCTGCGTCTCCAAGGCAGCGACCAAGTCTTTCAGTGCCTCCTTGAGTTGTCCTTGCTGGAGTTCCGCCATGTCGAGTCGAGTATCCCGGGTTGGATGTATTGACGGAGTTTGACGCTGCATTCGGCCGCAACTTGAGGCTGAAGCGCCGAAGCGCTCAGGGGGATTCCACCGTCGCCACACACACAGGCGATTGCGTGGCACGATGGCTGGACTGTGCCTCATTTGTACTGCCATAGTTAGGTTGCAGTCAAAACCCGCAATTACCCGTACCGTTCCGACTGTGGTTCCGACCAGGTGAAGGCTGCGGCTGTGCCTGAACTACTTCATATCGTCAATGACCCGCTGCGTGGTGCGCACTGAACCACTCGTAATCAATGATACTTGAGTGCAGCGGGCCGGCGTGCTCATTTTCTCGACTCGCCAAATCTGTCTTGTCTTTGGAGTACTGGACCAAATCACTGCGTGGCGTAGCCTGAAAGTCCTGCTCTCGAGTCAAAACGCCTTGCCGGAACCAGGGTCATTGTCCAGCATGTTCGGCAGCGTATTGCTAATGTGCTCGTCCAGCAGTGCATCGTACGTCGATTCTCCGCCCGGAAGGTGATGGATAAGCCGCCGGAGACAGCGTATATTTTCTAACGCGGACGCGCCGCCGCTATCCTTAACAGTTAGCACGCGAGACAGAACATCTGCCATGGCGCACGCGACGTCAAAGATCTTCTCGTTGATGCCGACACCGTGGACACGCATGCTCTCCAGAGACATTGTCCGCAAGACACCGACCAACTCGTCACCCACCTCCACGGGATAGTGGAATGCGAGGTGGCACGGCACTCCGGGCTCCTCGACAAGCAGTCCCAAACGCAGCCTGAGCTGCCAGAGAATGACCAGTAACCAGAGCTGAGTGACCCTGAGGTTAGCTAGCTGTGTTTCGCAGAGTACCTTGGTCTGCTGTGGCTCGAGGGCGTTTCGAATGGAAGCCTGGATGCCGTCCAGCAACGGAATGAGGAGGGCCGACGATGCCAACGCTGGTGTGCTCTCCTGGTTCAGCAACGCAAAGAAGGTCGTGTCTAGGGGGTAGAAGAGAGCTACCAAACACCGCAGCCCCGATAAACTCAAGTCGTCCGCGGATGTAGCGGTATCGCTATCACCCAGATCGGGCCGTTGTGACGGGGTGACTTGCAATGTGAGTGGCCGCCTGTATCGGATCCCGTGGGCACGCTCTGATATCAAGATGACCCAGAACAGTCTGTCGGCCAGTCTACGCCGTAGAACGTCCCGCTCATCGACGCGTAGCACCATCCAAAGAGTGGCAGCCTCTCGAAGGAAGCAAAAGGCCTGACTGTGGTGGAAGAGCGATGCGTGTCCGGCATAGAGAAAGAATGTTGCAAGGGCTCGTTCCAAGCATGGGTTGAAGCGCAATGAGAGACGGTTGCGGGCCGCCATGGCCTTCTCGAACAGGATCCTGCCGAAATCGGCGTTGGTATTGAGGATGCCGTCAGCCTCGAACAGGCGCGCGGCTGGTGCTTCGACTTGGATGAGGACCACGGCACAGAGAGCCGTCAGCAGGCATTGCGCTTCGTCGCACCGGGGCGACTCTATCGACTCTGCCTCCTCAACCAACATGTCGACATACTCGTTGCTCAGAATAGGGATCGTCGGATATAGCCTTGCGAAAAAGGCCCGGGTGCAGTGAATGACGACAGAGTTTGGAGGCAAACATCGCGGCTGCTCTACGTCTAGGCGCCCAACAAGGGGATTGGTGGCGTAGAGGGTTTCTGGAGAGAGACTTGCCGGTAGCTGCGGGTAGGACAACCAGGCTCTTCCGTCAAGGGGTTGCTGCGCCCGTTCTTCGCCTCTTTTCCGCCCAGTGCTGCTACACTGGTCCTCTAAGCCGACCCTGACGCATCGCTGGCATGGCCTGGTCTCGCTGCAGCCCTTTTGCAATCTCCTGCATCGGTGGCAGGCCTTGGATACTTGTACTCTTTTCCGCCTCCCGGCGCAATCGGGACCCGGCTTGGTCATGCCACTCATGCTTGGGGATGTCTTGGTTGAGTGAAATAGGGAAGTCAAGCAGGACAAGACGTCCAATTTCCAAACGGTACCCACCCCGCATTTTGCCTAGCCATTTCAGGCTAGGCAGATCTGCAGCAGCGCCGTGTACCCCAGATTGTCCGTGAGGGGGATATCGATGGCAGTCATCTTGATAGTCTCATCTTGATGGTCTCGAAAGTTATTATATCGACAGCATCATAATCGATGATACGATTCCAGCTGTGCGACTCAAGAAATGCCCGCCTGCGAGAAATAGCCCAGCCCACCGCAGTGGGTGGCACCTGCCACTAATTATAAGCCCGGTACCAACAGTTAAGCACACCGGAAATCTGTTCATCTTACGTTCCCAAAGCTAAGGCAATACTCTATCTCTATGAGAAGTTCACATACACCCTGCCCTCCCAAGCCCTCAACACAGTATCCCTTGGAGTTTGCCCTTCTCTGAGAGTGCTGACAAGCAGCTTCCCCTTGGCCGCCTTGCATCCCAGCGCGCTGCTGATGTCGGGGCATTCCTGCTCACGACTAGTGAAATTCAACACCACCACTGCCTTCCTGATGACCACATCCGAAGACCCGGGATCAACCGGGATCTCGCTCTCCTTAACATACACAAACAGCGAATCATCCTCCGGATCGAGCAGCCTGAATGCTCCGTGGATGAAGAGATCTCTGTACTGCTTACGGAGCGCCAAGACCTTCCGATAGAAGCCTAGCACCGAGTCCGCATCGTCAAGCTGTCGAGCGGCATTGAGCTCGCCATATGCGTCGTGCACCCTCATCCACGGCGTAGCACTCTCCCCGTTGGTAAATCCCGCGTTACGCGAGTCGTCCCACTGGAACGGCAGCCTGGCATGATCGCGAGCCAATATCCTCAGGCCATGCATCGTCGCCTTGACCCGCTCCGCATCGCCCGACGCCACGGCCTCGTTATAGAACCCCAGGCTCTCCACGTCCTTGTACTCGTCGATGCCCCAGGACGCGGGCATATTCCGCATGCCAATCTCTTGGCCCTGGTACAGGAACAGGGTGCCCGTTAGCGTGGCCTGCCATAGCGCGATGGTCTTGGCGCTGGCCTCCCACAGTTCCGGCGTGGAGTCATCCCCAAAACGCGATACCGCCCGGCCGTTGTCGTGGTTCTCGCAGAACACCGTGTGCCACCCGTCGGTGCCCTCGATAAAGGTCTGCCAGGTAGCGACGTGTCGCTTGAGCTCGCGCAGCGCAAAGGGGCGGTACAAGTACTTCCCGTGGAAGAGATCGCCGGTGCCGAGCCGGATCATGCTGAACTCGAACACCATGTCCAGCTCGCGCGCCGTGGCCGACACGTAGGGCAGCACCTGGCTGGGCAGGGGCGTGTTGGAGAGCTCGCCGACCGACACGGCGTTATTGTACCGGCTCAGCACTTGCGTCTGCATCTCGTGCAGGAACTCGTGGATGCGCGGCCCGTTGCACCACATCTCGGGCGCCGGCTGGTGCGGCGCCCCGGGGATGGTGACGGGGGCATCTGGGAAGTCAGTGCGTTTCGAGTACTTGTTGACCGTGTCGATGCGGAAGCCGTCGACGCCCCTGTCCAGCCAGAAGCGCATCGCCGTGTCGTAGATGGCCTCGCGGCAGGCCGGGTTCTCCCAGTTTAGGTCGGGTTGGAATGGGCCGTACAGGTTGAGATAATACTCCTGTGTCATTTCATCCCAGGTCCAGGTTGAGCCAGCAAAATAGCCGCGCCAGTTTGTCGGCGGGATGCGGTTCCCCTCGTTGTCGTACCGCGGCGGCTTCCAGATGTACCAGTCGCGCTTGGGGTTGGTCTTGGAGGAGCGGGATTCCTGGAACCAGGGGTGCTGGTCCGACGTGTGGTTGACGACCAGATCCAGGATCAGCTTCATGCCGCGGAGGTGGCATGCCTCGATCAGGCGGTCGACGTCGTCGAGCGTGCCATACCGCGAGTACACGGCCTGGTAGTCCGAAATGTCGTAGCCCATGTCCTGCTGCGGGCTCTCAAACATCGGGGAGAGCCAGACCACGTCGACGCCGAGGTGGTGGAGGTAATCGATCTTGGAGATGAGGCCCGGAATGTCGCCCCAGCCGTCGCCATTGGAGTCCTTGAAGCTGGCCGGGTAGACCTGGTAGAAGACGGCGTCCTTCCACCATGGTGTTTTCCCGACCCAGCCGTTTGGATGGTGATGCCAGTTGGAGCCCATGGTCGATTGACCTCGATATCCGCAGGTCGGGTGGGAGGCCAGGGAAGGATTTATAAAGGTATTTATTGTATACTAATGCGCAGAAAAGGGCGACGCTTGTTTTCGCGCATCAGCTCGTGACCACCGCGGTGTATGTATAAACTGTACTGTACCGGACCCTGGCTCAGCCCGGCATGTGCAATCACCAACGGGCCGGCGGTCAAAACTCCGACAACCTGGTTCTGCCATCTTTGAGTTGCGGCAGGGTCAGGGGGATCGGAGCTGCATCGCCAAACCTGATATGGGTATGTAGATAGTCTCTTGGCAGTTGCTGAACTCGAGCAAATCTGAACTCTGACAGCCAAAGCAGTTCATCGATCGCCACTTCTCAGGTGGAAGCCCCGCCTACGGAGTTCAAAACCTCAAGACGAGAAGAAAACTAGCGAGACCTGAAAACAAGAGGTCAAGTTAGCCTTTCTTAAAAGCGGGGTCCATCCCAGGGTGTCGGACGCATGGGCGGAGTTAGCGCTCGCTAATTGGCTAAAGAGATCCGGGGTACTGTTGCATAACCAACCACTCGCGCTTGGCCCACCACAACCTCCACGAGGAATGGCCGAGGACGAGAGGATCTTTCCCGGAACCACATACTCGGATGCGGGGAAGAGGAAACTGCTTGGATTTTGTTACCTTCGTCAGCGGTAAGGTTGTTCAGGTTTCTCAATCGAACCACTACCTAGGAGCAAGCCAATCAAAAATTCAATCAATCGCGCTAGAAGCTAACCCCTGACTCGCCATAGTCTTGGGCCAATTTTCCCCGGGTCAGCTACGAGTTCACGGCCTACACCATAAGTACCTCAAAGACACGCGGACGCAATCTACAGCGATAAATAGCCCGGCCATGTCTGCCACACCGACCTCTCGACCTCCACAGTAACCGATCCCCTTTTCCTTCTTAACTTTATACTCGGATTCTCCGCCGCCACCATGGCCGCCGACACAGTAACACCGCCTCGAGCACCTCCCATTCCGTCCCAAGACCAGGAAAAAGCCGAGGTAAACATGCCCAGCATGCCACTAGACGGCCATGTTGTCGTCGACGCAAAGCACGCCACGGATAAGGAGCACGACATGTCCCTCCTCACAGCCCTCAAGTTGTACCCCAACGCGATCGGCTGGTCAGTCCTCGTCTCAGCCACCATTATCATGGAGGGCTACGATCTGGCACTGCTGGGCAACCTATACGCCTCGCCGGCCTTCAACCGCAAGTTTGGCGCGTACGACGAGGCGGCCAAGAAGTACGTCGTCTCGGCCGCGTGGCAGTCGGGCCTCTCGAACGGGGCGCGGGCGGGCGAGATCCTCGGCCTGATCGTCGCCGGCTGGTTCTCGGATCGCTATGGATACAAGCAAACGACCCTCTGGTCGCTGATCATGCTGACCTGCTTTGTGTTCGTGCTGTTCTTTGCACCGAACGTGCAGGTGTTGGTTGTTGGCGAGGTGCTATGCGGTGAGTTCCTTTTCTACTCCCTGATGCTTGTCTAGCATACTGTAACGGGCCGATATTAACTGATAGTCCCAGGTATGCCATGGGGCGCCTTCCAGAGTGTCACGGCGGCGTATGCGTCCGAGGTCGCGCCGCTCGTGCTCAGGCCGTACCTCACGACCTTCATCAACATGTGCTGGGTGATTGGGCAGTTCTTCGCCGTCGCGGTCAACAAGGGCTCGGTGAGCAGGACCGACGACTACTCCTACAAGATCCCATTCGCCGTCCAGTGGGTGTGGCCGGTGCTCATACTTCCACCCCTCCTGTTTGCCCCTGAGTCAGTTGCCTCCTTACCTACCCTGTGCTCTTCGAATACGAAATCTAATAATATTGCTGCAGATCTCCCTGGTGGTATGTGAGACATGGTAGAAGGGACGAAGCCAGGAAGTCTCTCCTGCGCCTGACCTCACGGAACCAGCCGGGCTTTGATGTCTCGGAGACGATTGCTATGATGGAACACACCAATGAGCTGGAGAAGAATATGAAGGAAGGGGTTCGCTTCCGAGACTGCTTCAGCGGCGTCGATCTCCGCCGTACCGAGACCGTCGTCGGGATCTGGCTCGTCCAAACGCTAGGAGGCCAGAATTTGATGGGCTACTTCGCCTACTTCCTGTGAGTCAAGCCCCCCAATTTAGGTCATGGCTCACATGTGTATCCCTCATTGCTTACTCCTGATGATAGCACGCAAGCCGGCATGGACCCGAGCAATTCCTTCACCCTCTCCCTGTGCCAGTACGCCCTCGGCCTGATCGGCACCGCCGGCTCGTGGTTCCTCATGGCCCGCGTCGGGCGAAGGACGATCCACTTCGGCGGGCTCTGCGCACAGCTCACGCTGCTCCTCATCGTGGGCTGCCTCTCGTTCGGGCAGACCAAGGCGTCGGTGTGGGCCATCGGCGCGATGCTGATCGTCTTTACGTTCGTGTACGACTTCACCGTCGGGCCCGTGACGTACTCGCTCGTGTCGGAGCTCTCGTCTACGCGGCTGAAAGCCAAAACCATCGTGCTGGCGAGGGCCGCATACAACGCGAGCAACATCTTTGTCAACGTCATGACCAACTACCAGCTCAGCTCGACGGCGTGGAACTGGGGCGCCCGCACGGCCTTCTTCTGGGCGGGCAGCTGCCTGCTTTCGGCCGTGTGGGTGTACTTCAGGCTGCCGGAGCCCAGGGGCAGGACGTATGCCGAGCTGGATCTGCTGTTTGAGAAGGGCGTGCCGGCGAGGAAGTTCGCGAGCGCCAAGATCGATCCGTTCGCGCAGGCTGCGAGCGGCGGGAAGAGGCTGTCCGTGGAGGAGATAGAGCATGTAGAGAAGGAGATAGAGCATGTAGAGAAGGAGCGTTGATTGGGAGCCCCTCAGATGTCGACGTAGAAGTTAGAATCAAGTATACGCTGTTTACGCACCACTTAGCCCATTATCATTAGCATCTACCTAGCTAAGAGTGCTCCTTCCAGAATATTTCTATCTAACTGAAGGCCGATTCCCAGAGCTCGCTCTATGACATGTATACTCATGTTCCATGTGCACGCGGAAATTGTATGGGAATGTGCTGAGGTACTCTTGTATCTCACTGATGACTATGGGCCATCTGGCCTCCTTATTAGATTCGTAATTAACCGTGATGAAAACCGTGAGGAGATTGTTGAAGTAATGCCTAGAGAGTCTGTAGGTGTGGAGGGCGAGCTCGGTGATTTTGTTTGCAGTTGCCTAGTGCGCCTGCAAAATCTCGTATACCTTGCCTTCGATACACTCCCAGTCTGCTCTGAGCGATGGGGTTCAGTCCGGAACGTCTGTATATGTCATCTGTAAAGCTCTACGGCAACTAGGTATTTGTCAGTCGAGGCAGAGGCTTTCCCTCCATAGCCCGTTATAGACACCCTCGCACTGCTTCCCTTCGATCGCGTCAGCACACGTGTCCGTGGTGACCGTGGCAGCTTGTATGGGCCCACACTCTAGGCACATAAACCTGATCTAGAAAGGTCTCCGTGTACACTCTCCAAGAGTGTACTGCCCACGCTCTAGGCATTTGAATTTGACAATAGAAATGTTGCACATCTTGTAAGAGTTGGCTTGAGCGTAGTGGAACTCACTCTCTCTCTGTGTGTGTGTGGGATGTGAAACTTAGAGCGCCTACCCATTATAATGAGTTCGGGGCCATAGTGGGTTCGCTAGATCTTCGCATGGGGTGTGACCCCGTGGCGACGATCTGCCGCGAAGCATTTCGACATCTGCGCGCCCCACCGCCACAGGTCGTCGCCGCCAAGAGCACCCCTCGGCGCTCGCCGCTGCCGCCCTCAAGGCCGCCCCTGCCCCTCCTATCCACCCGCCTACGTCTCCCTCGTCGCTACCCCCCGCCACGGGACCGACCCCCTTGCTGCCCCATGCCGGTCCTGACTCCTGGCAGGCCACTATCATGAATAACACACAGCAGCTTGAGCGTAAAAGCACCCTTGGGACACTTGGTGTGCGTCTACCAAAAGGAGACTTTGCGTCGAAACCATTATTCTGCATCTGTGAGCATGGACGTGCAGTCTGGTCCGATCAACCTAAAGGGGTGATGGTGTGGTGGAGGCGATCCTGGCTGATGGATGTCATTGGCTCATTCAGCACTTACACCGTAAATAGGTCACGTGTCGAGTCACGTAGGTGTGGCAGCCCTGCGCACTTGAGTGGCTTTCAACGCTCTATCGTGAAAATGCTGACGTTAGCAGGTGCAGGATAGCGGAGCACAGTAGTGGCGTGGTGTGGCGTGGGCACCGCGCAGTGGCAAAGAGATCAGTTGGTGTCGGGTGGTTAATGGCAAGCGCGCTGTGTTGCACGGGATCCGTTACGCGTTGCGTACGGTACCTTATTAGTTGTTTGTTGACATGAATAACGCGTCTCTAACCAGACGACACACCCCAGGCCGTGATTCGCACGTCTATCCTTATCTACCTAGGTAATAAAAGGAACCAATGCCCACCTCCCACTTTCTAGACTTTCTACGTTATACATCGCACACACACAGAGTTTGGCTACGCTCAAGCCAAATTTTATTCTATAAGATGTGCAACGTGTCCATTGTCAATTTCAAATGCCCCGAGTGCGGACAGATGCACTCTTGGAGGGTGTTCACGGAGACCTGCTGGGACTCCAGCAATGGCAAGGACTGTGAAGGCATAGTCCGAGGGCTGTGGAGGGAAACCCTGTGTCTTGATTGTCAGGAGAGGTTGTGGAGGGAGCACTTGGACCGTTATGGAATGGGAATGTGACTACCCGGCGCAGGTACTACTACCTACCTTACCTACTCGTACCTAGGCAGCCGTAGCTCACCTTGAAATTGCAGAGGTAGGTTGATTACAAGAGTTCATTCTCAGAGCCCCGGCCCGGCCGGCCGATGCTTGAGAAATGCATTTGAACCCCAATGTGTGTTGCGGCTCAACCGAGGGACGGGGAAGGCGAACCGTCTCCCGAAGCAATACATTGTTTCGAACGGCTACAGAAAGCCCAAAGCCAACCTAAACCAACAATAAGGTAGATCAAGGTATTAATAGAGGCGTCGCAATCCGTGGTCAGCTGTCAGCACCTGCAGGCTGCATCCGACCTTCATTCCACACTTCCAACCTCAGTCATCGCTTGATCGCTTTCGGCACATTTTGTCCTGCCCGCTTCTGCTATTGCAACGCATATCGACGTCGAACAACCCGCCAGCGCGTAAAACCTAAACAAGAAGGACGATGCCAGAAGGGCCTGTAACCACCATTCTGCGCGGCTTCAAAGTGCCCGTAGCCGTCCTCGACCGCTTCCTCCAGGCAAACGGCATTGACGAAACATGCGGCTGGCCACCGCGTTACAACACGCTCGATGAACCGTCCAAGTTGCTGCGAACGAAACTGGGCGACTCCAAAACGCGCCTGTTCATACCGCACCGGCTGGGACACCGATTGTCCGCCTTCGCATACGTTGCCTACGGCTCAATCTTTGTGTTTGCGCAACGGAAGATCCTCCCCGAGGAGCTGCCCCCAAGCCCCCCGCCAGGCTTCGCCAAGTTGTGCAACGAGATTATAGGCTACGCCAATGAACAGGAGCGAGAGCAGCCCCGATTGAAGCCTGACGACTTGACTGCCATGTACGTCATCAATACCGATGACCAGTCGTACTGGTTTCAAGAGCCATATGTTCGCAAGGCAAGTCTCCATTGATCCCGCCCCGAGTGCACTCCTGCTACATCCATACTAATTTTGGCAAACCATTGCTGCGCTGCATTGTAGTCTGATGTGCGTTGCGACGGCTGCAATACGACTTTTATGACTTGGGTCGAGAAAGTGAATCACCGGAGGGATGTTCATAGGTCCAAGGAATCACCAATCGATCTGCCGAACGACCTCTAAACTCGGGGGGTTTGATTTTTATAGGAGTGTATCTTGACGCCGGACTTGACCTTGCTGGAATCTATGTTGTATATCGTAAGTATCAGATGTCCAATTAGCTATCCGTGCTCTACCAGATCCCCCTCATGACGCACTCCCCACGGCACTGGCCGCAAGTTGTCTGAGAAGAAATCAAGAGTAGCACAAGAAAGGAACGTCAAGAGAGGAAGCGGCTCAGCTGATCTAGCAACCGGGACTCAGGAGGTGGAAAGGAAGGCCAAGAAGTGCTTGAATATTGTGGAGAGGTACAGGTTGGTTACAGGAGTTCGTTCTCGGAGCCCCGGGGCAATGCCTGCAGTGAGAAATGCATTGGAACCCCAATGTGTGTTGCACCGTCCAGCCTCAATAGAGGGACGAGGGAAGGCGAACTCTCTCCCGAAGGAATAGGTCAATGTTTCGAACGGCTATAGAAAGTCCAAACGCAACCTAAAAACCAACAATAGATTATGCATTCCACACCCTAACCAAAGAATACCCTATTAGCCATACATCTATCCTGATAAAGAGCGAAATGCCTTATTGGCAGGCTTTCCCCGCTGCTTCCTCCATTACATGAAACCCCCATAATAAGGCCGCTTCACCCACCAACTACTAGTACTCACAACAAAACCAATCGAGAACATCATCGCACTCGCAGGACGCCAGGCCCACTCCCTTGAGAAACAACTCCACCCCCTCCCCCAGCAAATCTTACGCCCGCTTCACGAGGAACGGCAGCCGGACTCTATCACTGCAACACCATCCACCGTTGTGAGAAAAGCAAACCCCTCCTGCGTCAGAGCAACACACACCATTGTTATCAGAGAAGCAGCACCCAGCATTGTCGCTGAAACAGATTCCGCCATTACGAGAGAAACAGCACCCCTTCGTGTTGGAACAGAACCACCCGCGCGTATCGGAACAAAAGCAGGCGCCCGCATCGCGACAGCAGATCCCGCGTCCCTCTGGACTTGGACCTAGCGTGGCTTCGAGAGTCATGGGGCTTAGCGGACGGTAGCCTGCCGGACGTTCCCAGGGCCGTTCACGATAATGGTTCTCTAGCCATTGCTGTCGCTCTTGTACTTCTCGCTCCCTTGAACTCGGCGACATGGCTTGAAATTCGCTGGGACTTAGCGGAGAGTAAATTAGGGGACGGGACCAGACGGGTTGGTCGCGATAATAGTTGTCTATCCATTGCTGTCGCTGTTCTAGATTTTGCAGCCGCTGTTGTCGCTGTTCTTACGTTTTTGCAGCCGCTGTTCACGTTAATGTCGCCGTTGTTCCCGCCGTTCTTGTCGCCGTTGTCGCCACTGTTGCCATGGTGGCCATTAAATTTCTCCCCGCTGGTGTCGCGGCTGTTCCCGTTGCTGGAGAAATGGTGCTGTTTCCGAGACCGCCTCTTGACCGGAGACTGCCTCCTCAGAGGAAGGTGCGGAGGACGGGCTGGGCTGGGCTTCATCCGTGCTGGAGGCGGCGGGTGTAGGTTGTCCTTCGGAAGTGGCAGCTTCGTAGGAAGGGGGCTGCTGGTCAGGGGCTGTCAGATTTGTGTCGAAGGTAGGAGCCGCGGATGATGACGAGACGGTTCGATTCGTTTTGGAAGCCATGTTGCGCTGCGCTGCGGGATCCGACGTGATTAATGTGGCCGTTGTCTACAAAATGCACCTATGTAATTAGTGCCGGAGAATCAGGGTGTGAAATTGTCATGCAATTGATGGTGCTGGATAGGTAGTAAGGTACCTTGCTGGTATGAAGTATTAGACCTGTCGGGAACGTCTGTCAAAAGTGACCCTGAATTTCGGAAGTGTAAGGCTCGGGTGAAAAGGGAGGGAGGGAGGGAGGGAGGGAGAGAGGGAGTGAGCCGGAGGGAGGGCATCTAGGTAAACTTGTGGGGTCTGGACTCTAGAAGACGTTTGCGAGGCAGGTATGACACGGCCACCTACCTCTCGGGTGCAGGGAAGGGCTTGACAAACAACACAGTGTGTGTGGTAAGTTTGTCACGCCTGCAACAGACTGAAGATTGCAGCTCAGTCTCCGTTCCGCCAAAACGGGCTCCTTCAGAATTATAATAACGACTTGAATCATTTCAAAATAGGCACTAGGAAGAAAGAGCGCGAGGATCTCTCCTTTACACCTTCCCTACCGGGTACCTATAGGTAACCCGAATCGGTTCTGCTCGCTAAGCTCTACTCGCACGGGACTTACTGTTGCTTCCAGGTTGCCTATTCACGGCACAATTAAAAGTGGATGAGACACTCCAGTGGCATTAAAATGGAAATTGCTAACCGAAGACCTGGTAGGCAGAATGTCCTGTATAGACGGCCGGAACTGTAGAATTAGATATACGGGAAGTACTCCCGCATGTTAACATTGCCCTTATTTCACAATCAGCCAGCTCAGCTCCCTGATTGTGGTACGCCAGTGAGGCGAGGTAGTCGCCCGGTCAACATGCTTGCGTGTAAAACAGTTCTGGCTGAATAACAACGCACAACGAATGGGAAGGGCTGTGGTTCCGATCGTCCCGAGTTCATCTTCATCGCCCGGGCTGGAATCTGGTTTTTAAACCCAACATGGCCGCAACCCGCTCCAGTCCTGAGGTACAACTACTAGTAATAAACCACCCACACCCATCATGTCACAATCACGCGCTGATACACTTCGAGCGCATCTCGGTTCTGCCAATGCCATTCCCCGCCCCATTCTCACATCGCTGAACGGCAACAACTCATGGCTCATATCATTTCCGGGCCCGGCGTCCAAGCGCGCCCGCCCCGGCAGCAAGCTCTTTTCCCACATCGTGTCCGACCCCTGGTTGTCCGGACATGCAGAACTCATTACCTCCTGGATGATGACAATCAGGACCGAGGAGGCAGCCATTGGCTCGTGTCACACGGCAAAACGACATCGTTGCCTGCAAACTCCTAGGGGTACCCTATATATCCGTGCAACAGCTCGGGCGCCGCTGTCGAAGGGGTCATTTAAAAAATCGAAAACGCGGCCGCCTTAGCAAACCGCACTGCCTCCTCTCGCCAACACACAGCGGCCACCACCGAACAGCCACCGCTCCTCGACGCAATCTTCCTCAACTTCCACCACGGAATCCCCGTCTTCGCCACGCCCGAAGCCGCCGCCATTGTCCAGCGCTGGGGTTACTTCTCCCACGTCACGGAAACACTCGACCTCGACCCGGCCGCGCCGGCCAACACCTGGCCGTCTCTCCACCCGGGCGGCGGCCTGCCCCACAGGCTGAACGTGTTCCGCCTGCAGGGCCACCACGAGCTCAACTTCGCCACGGCCATCGTCTACTCTTCGTCTCCTCCTGAGGAGGGGAAGATGAAGAAGCACGAGGCGCTATTGTGTTCACCGCACGGGATCAAGACGGACCAGGCGGCTCTGACAACCTTCCTAGAGAACCTAGACGAGCCCGAGTCAAACGACAGCAACGAAGAGACGAGCCGCATCAGTGTGCTGGTTATCCTACACGCACTCAAGGACAACTTTTCCTTCGGCATGCGCTTCATGCTGGGCGTGGCCGGCGGGCTGGCGCTGGAGCGGCTCGCGCGGCCCCGCTACTGGGTTAAGTCGCACGAGGCCCCGCTGGCCTACACGCGGATCGTGCCGTTCTTGGCGCGGGTGAACGATGTGCCGCGGACGCTGCAGTCTGGCCTAGATGGGGAGAAGGTCAACGGTGGTGGTGGTGGTGGTGGTGGTGAGATTGAAGATCGGGAGGGTAGGAAGGTGGTCGATGTGCCGAACGGGGCTTGTTTTGTTTTGGGGTTAAGTTATGGCGGTCTGTAGGGCGGTGGATTTCTAGGAAGGAAGTAACAGCGTAAATAGGGATGAATTTGGGGATATATGCCAATTTCTGAGTGTGGACTCATTGATGTCATTCATGGCTGTGCAGTGTGCTACACACTGGCACTCACAGTTTCAAGACAGCGTTTCTTCCGGCGGTTGACCGGCAGTGTCTGATTCCTCATTCCTGACGCGCGTCTGTGATAGTTCCGGAGTTCTGACGGAATTGGAGTGAGTGGGATCTGCGGCCGTCAGATTTTGACCAGCCGGCTACATGGTAAACCCTCCAGTTACATGCGGATTTTGAATGGAATGCCACGGTCTTCCAGAAGGTACAGTACCCACAGAGGTTCAGCACTGTTTGCGCACGAACCAGCTAGTGTACACAGTACATATCACCGGGAGATTGCACTTTGATTGGTTAGTTAATGAGCAGCCCCACAGTAGCAACTAGAATGCCTCGGAATATGTCATCCTTGTAATCCGTACTGGTAGTAGCTTCCAGAACCGTGGAGTGACGACAGGTTGGTCGATGACAGGAGACCGACTGCTCTTTATTATTATTAAACTCAGCAAGATGCCTACTGGTCTCGGTTTCCTGTTCACTTTCCTCACAAACAACATCTCAATTGATCGACACCTACACTTCTGGCCAAAGCTGCAAGTGCAGGATCACTTTGCAGCTTGCATCGGTTCGCCGGCCTAATCAGCAACTCTTACTAAAGACAACATTCCTCCCGCATAAGGCCAGTCCACGCAAGGTGCTGCTGAGCTCGGTTCTCCCCGACACACACACCGATCACAATGGCCGACCAAGGACGTCATGAAGACATGTATTGCCACGCCTGCCATCACCAATGGCGAAGGCAAGGCAACGGCATGGAATGCCCGGCTTGTGGCTGCATGTCAACGGAAATAGTACGTTTAGACGACTCTAGATGACCCCAACGCAGCAACTAAAAATTGCCTTGCAGATTGACTCTCAACATGACCCACGAAACTTCCACAACCGGCAACGGACTGCCGTAAATTCCGACCCTCTCCCTGCACCGCACATCTCAGACACATCCTCGACTTCCACTGTTTCCAGTCCGCCTTCTCAGCCCGGCCTCGAAGGAGCGAATTCAAGTAGCACCGCACAGCACACGAGTGGTAGCACGCCACAGCCTGCCGCCACAAGGATCCAGATCTCACCGGTTACCTTCGTATCGTTCAGCGTCCCGCTATCTTCTATGCCGCAGGGGTCTCAGGTGCCGCCGCCGACACATCCTGAGGTGTTTGACACGCAAATCTTCCCCTTCGTCATTACCTTTTCTCGGCCGCCAACAACGAACACAAGCTCAACAAACCCGACGACTCATGACCAAAATAACGAGCAGACAAATAACCAGCACAGCGAGACCCAGCAGAGTGATGCTCAGGCGCAACAACCTTTGCAACCCGGCATAGATGCCTGGTTCCAACACGTCCCATCCTTGTTCTTCAGACTCATGTCAACCGGGCATCTCTTCAACCCGGCCAACGCCATCTTCGGCGACGCGGTCTACTCACAGGAGGCGCTCGACCGCATCATCTCACAGCTGCGCGAGCAGGAGGCTGCGGGCGGGGCTCCGCCGGCATCGCAGGCCGCCATCGACCGGCTGCAGACGAAGGAGCTAGACGACAAGATGCTTGGCGTCTGCTCCAAGTGCGTCATCTGCGTAGACGACCTGCTGAAGGGCGAGAAGGCGGCCGTGTTACCCTGCGACCATTTCTTCCACGGCGAGTGTGTGACGCCGTGGCTGAAACAGCACAACACCTGCCCTGTGTGCAGGAGGTCCATCGAGGTGGAGAGGGATGAGGGGAAGAACGTTAAGACTGCTGGTATGAGCCCTTCCGCGCCTCAGTCGGAGGCGAGGAACGGTGCTTCGGATGCGATGAACTGCTCATGAGAGAGCAGGTTGGGAAACGAGGGTTTTGATTTGCATTTTCGGGCGATGGACATGATACCTATTTGATTCATTCTGGTTCCAGGAGTCGAAGGCGGCTTCAACATCCACATCCGACTCTTGTCCTTGAAGGAAATGAGCAGTCACGGCAGGATGGAGGGCGTAAATGGCTGGCATGGGGATCTTTTAATTCGGGATACGGCATGAGGGCGGCGGTTTGATTTAAGTTTGGGCGTTGAGCATGATCATAGTGGGCATTTTCACAGGATGAGCTGGCCGGAAGGGCCCCGGACTTTGACGAGTTTGAGTCGTCTATGTGCGGAGCGTGGTGTGCCCTCGACGGCCGAACCATGGCAGTTCATTGTCTACGGCGCAGCATGATCGATCGAGACATAATAGGAATAGAGCAATGACTAAAGTACAGGACTAGGATTCACTCACTACCAGGTAGTTAGGGGTAATAGACCTAGGCAGTACCTATGCATATTATGTTAAGTGGAGTGAAGCTTGTACGTCTATATACTATACCGAAGAGATACAAGCACAGTCTGAAATGTGGACAGTTTACTTCAGTTTGGTGAAGTTTGCCTTCATCACAATGAATGTTATGGATGAGGGTACGGTGACCGTCTCGGAGAACTTAGAAAATGAAGCAACTCAACCTCGCCAAGAGTGTAGGAGTGGGATCGTGTGGATCATGCCCAGGCCCCGAGGTGGTCTTGGGGGGTCATTGTCCTGCAATTGACGTCATATCATTCCAGATATCGAACCGAACGCCATAGTAGCCTAGCGAGTAGAAGAGGTCTGTACATTACATCGCACACCTACTCAAGGTACAGCATTCAAAGACCACCTCCGAAGGCTCCATCGATATAACAGTGTCGGTTTACATATACCAAGATATTTCATCTGACCTCCACGAGTCAGACAATGAGTCCACCAGCAGCACGTACACTAATCTCGGAACATCCAGACAAAGTCAGATTACTCGTTTTAGAGACTGACGAAACTCAGTATGTCAAATTGGCGCTGTTTATGCCCCAATCTGGCTGTCTCGGGAGTCATTGTGCTTCTGAGACAGGGCTGTTTACTCCCGAATTGCCCCTGTGACATGTCGATCAGCAGCCAAGAAAGGGCTGACATTATTGGACACTGCAGTCCAGAGACGCAGAAAGAAACTGGCTCTTTTGGCGATGTCCTCGGCCAGCTACTGAAAAAGGCTGGGGACCAGCACGAACCGACTTTGGGCATCGAGACGGTGATGCAGTACGTCGTCGAGTCCGAAGGGGGTATGACTCCAACACTGGAGGAGATTGGCGAAGATATACACGCTATACTTATCACTGGCAGTACCTGGGATGCCCATGGTGATGATGCCTGGATACATAAGTTAATGAGTCTCATCAAAGGTAAAAGAGATGAAACGTCTGATCCTCCACTCCTCTTGACTGCCTAAACTCTAAGTTACCTTTACTGATAAAACAAACCCCCCACCCGCCTTCTCACAGACGTCTGGACGAAGCGGCCTGACATTCGCCTCGCCGGTATCTGCTTCGGGCACCAGCTGATCTGCCGCGTGCTCGGCTCCACCGTCCGACCGGCGCCCAGCGGCGAATGGGAGCTCGGCCACACGCCCGTGTCCCTCACCGACCTCGGCCGCAGGCTCTTCAACCTCCCCAATACTGCAGAGAAGGCCATAATCCATGTCCACCAGATGCATGTCGACCACGTCGTGGACCCACCGTCGCCCGAGAAGGAGAAGACGGATCTGTTGCCGGAGGGAACCAAGGTCCACGTCTGGGGCACGTCGGATCACACCGGCGTGCAGGGCGTGTACATCCACAAGCGGCTCTTCACGACGCAGGGGCATATGGAGTTTGATGAGAAGCTGGTCAAGCGGCAGCTGGAGATGCGGGTCGAGAGCGGCAGCGTCAGTAAGGAGGATGCCGATGAGGCCGCCGAGCGGGCCGATTGGGAGCATGATGGTTTGGTCGTTGCGAAGGCGGTGTTGAGGTTTTTCCATGGTGATGATGATATCTACGAGTAGACTAGTGGTTACATTGGGAACTGGGTTGTTACTTGTTAGTAGGGCCCCTACAAGGGCAGGTGATTGGACGGAGAGAAGGGCTATTGTGGACTTGACAACGCCGGAAGAAAGGGGAGCGGTCAGAATCACTCAGAAATAGAGCGCCGCGAGAGTTTGGTATGTTGGTAAGCATTGAGCAAAACAATGAAGAAAAGAAGTGTATCTGGAGTCCTGGACGACGGGAAATTCATGCAATGGAGGAATAGCTGATAGTTTTGTGCCTTGTAAAGACCCAATCTACATGTCTGCTTCATACGTATTGTATTGTACTGACGTTCACATAGTGAATGGCGTACGGTAAGTTACCCGATGCCTCGTGGTATTATGGTGTACGAAACTTGGTGCCAGGTACCTTAGGTAATTTTCGCACACGACTACTGTACTAGTATTTTAAGGTACCTAGGTACCTAGGTAAGGTAGGTAACTGGATTATACGTGTCAATGGACTTCACGATCGATCCCATGACGGCAGCAGAAGACGTGATGGGAAGGGAGTGTGATCCCCTACCCGCGCCATGAACAATCCCTTCCCCCGGCGCAATCATCAATAGCTGCTCCCGCACCCGTCTAGCAGGCAGCAACCCGCGTGTGGGAATGGGAGCGGTAGGGCTGGGATGGACTGATCAGAGGACGGTACTGAATACATGCAGATATTGTGCCGTCATGCGTCGGGCTTCTGGCTGTTGTTCGCTAATGTGTAAACAAGGAGTATGGTGATGATGACATATGCGTTTAGTACTGCAGAGAAATCGTTGCCATGAGTTCAAGATGGGATATTACCGAGAAGTTGGATTTGCGTGGTTGTTGTCACACCATCTGATCATTCTGATGTTGGGCATTGCTTGCATGATTCAGATGATTCCGATCTAGGTAACACAGCATGAGCCCAGTTCCGTTCCGAGACCCAGAATGTTGGTGAGGCCTCCATAAGGTATGTGAGGCTTTCAACAGGAACTCTCAAGACCAATCGTTCAGTCACCTTGCATTCTACTCGCTCGGCCGAGTTGGATGACCTCCGGCTGAACTCAAGACTTCACGCTCTGTGCAGCATATATCCCTCCTCCTTCCTTCAGCACAACTAACCTCGATAGTACCCAACCCAGCCTCAACTTACAGCTACAAGTACTGGACATAAATCCCGCCAGCCTACCTAATACGCAAGGATAAGGCACCTTACCTAGGTAGGTAAGTAGTACCAAAATAAAGCCCAGCCCAGCCCGATTCTATCCCTACTCACACGTTGGTCCTCAGGCCTCCCGTGATGGCAACGTCCAAACAGCGTATACCCACGTACCACGTGGTGCCCCATTTCAACTTCGCCGCAGAGGGCGGTGCTCTGCAGCTCGGAGGCGTGTACAAGGACCTTATGGAGCTGGCGCCGCTGAATCGGAAGCCAGAGCACCGCGTGCTCGTGCCGGTCGAGGACCTGTACCGCCAACCATGCAGGAGGGGTTCACCGCGACGCGCGCGAGGTTGGCGACAGGCGATCTCGGCATGTGGGCCAAGTGGCTGGGCGTGGGCGGCCCCTCAGCAAGTTCATGCTCGCAACAATTTCCCTGGTCCCTTTAAGTGGCCTCTGCCCGACTTGGTTGAGGATTTGCCCGGTGAGCCTGGCAATGCCGATAAACTTCCCAACCCTGACCCGCCTCTCGCTGTCATACGCGGCGAGGGTATCACCCCCGTCATCTACGATGGCTTGGAAGCACCACAGCATAGTGGCAGCCATCGGCGGGAAAATGACGCCAACCCTCTTGTCCTCGCCAAATCCATTCTCAGCGAGCCACGCCGCGGTCCACCACGGGCGATGCTGGAAACTCGCAATTTCCAGCTGCTTGGCAAGACCCTGCTTCCCCTTGACCCGCTCGCGTGTTCCGGGCAAGTTATTACTAGTACTAGTAGTAGTAGTAATGTCATACAGCGGGCCGACAATTCGATGATACGCACGCCTCGCCGGCCCCATCTCCGCCTCCCTCCTCAACCTATCGGCGGCAATTACCTCATCATTGGGCGGGATGCCGTGGGCGAGAAGGACGAGCGGGGTCGGCCTGATCCACTCCCTGTCGGACAGAAACGCCGGGACGGCGTCGTAGGTCTCGAACGCGGGCACAACGCTGACACATTCCCAGTCGATGACGGCCGTGAGCGTGAAGGTGTCCCGGTCGACGAGGAGGTTGTGCGCGGAGAGGCTGTAGAGGCGGTTGAACGTTCCTTTTGCGACGTACCTGACTTCGGCGTTGGCGAACTCCGGGAAGAGGGGGGCCACAAGCCGGCGGACGATGGTAATCCAGTCGTCATGGTTACTGTGGTCGTCTGGCCAGTACCGCTCAAGGTACCCTTCGTCTGCGTTGCTCCGCCAGTACCGGTGCAGGTCACGCGCAGGGGACTTGGATGGCTGCTGGGTGCTTGATACGCGAATCGGAAAGTTGATGTCGGTACCTTTGTATTGCGAGCCCATTATCGCAGATAGGGACTGTCTGCCAGGATCGCAGAGATGGGGAACGAGCAACCACGACAACGGTCCAGCGCCCTTAACAGAATTCTCAAGCGTCCTGTTTTATCAAAACCATGAAGCGATTACTTGGGTGAGGTTCAGTGCGCTTCCAAGAGATATCAGCGGCCGGGCTGCTCCATGGATTGTGCAAGCGAACGGCAATTTACACCCAGAATCCATCCATATTTGTGCCACAGCAACCGTCCGGAACCACGGGGCTGAGTTGTCTAGTACATCATCTCCGTCCCAAGGTTGTGAACCACAAAGGGGGCAAGCAAGAAAGCCTTCCATTTCTAGTCGGTTAGAACGGGACGACCGTCCGAAGTGCTTGCAGAGCTCACCTGCTCCGCCGTGCGGTTGCAGTACCGGGTTCCTGGAACAAGCATGACTTTCAGGCTCCTTTTGAGAGGCTAGCTGTTGCACATACTTTCTTTGTTTGTGTGCACAGTCATGTTGATCACGAAGTCAATGCTGACTTGGCTCTGCTTGGTTAGATGTACCGGAATCTTTATGCCTCATGGTGGCCACGGTACTACTCGACGGATAATGGAAACTCGGATTTGAGTCAGGCAATCTGCTCACAATACAAAGAGTTCTCCAATTACCACATGAATGTCTTCATCAGAGAACTCATCTTGCAGGACTTGTACCTTGACAAGGTGTACCGGTATTCGATGTCCGGGCACAAGGGGCAACGGTTCAACCCTAACCCGTTTCGGTTACGTCAGCTCCGGCGTTCCGGTCACCCATTGCCCCCCTTTTCGCCTAGCACTTCGTGTGTGTGCCTTCAATTTTGAACTTCGCGGGAGGTATGTTTGGCAATATTCGCTTTCCGTTTAAGACCGGAACTTAGCACAAAGCAGTCAAATCGATACCCGAACCTGCCTCGTATTCCACCACAAGGTCGCTCTATTTCTGTGAGCGACCTGATTTGATTGTCTGGTGCTCATTTCATCTCCAGGAACCGGCACTCGGGGCAGGTATGAAGAGCAGAGAGTGTCTGATTAGGTAAGTATATCGGAAGTATCTTAGTGTGTCCTTATATCTAACATTTGTCTATACTCTATACCCCCCCCCAAGCGCAAACTCCTTCATATACACGCCTCTTAAATCACATATCCAGCACATACATGGATGCCCAACTGTGTCTCATGATACCTTAAACTCTGCCAAAGAGGCCCTTCGGTGTCGTGGCCTTCGTGGCAATTGCCAGGGCGCCGCCGAAGAGACAGACAACACCACTGAAAAGCGTCGCCTCAAGAAACCCGCCGTATGTTTTCAACATGACGCCATCCACAGGCGGCCCGACCAAGGAGGCGGAAGCGGCCAGCGCCATGCCCATGCCTATGTATGTTCCTAGGTTGCGGGGCTCATCGGTGCAGATCGAAAGCGCCGATGACACCCCGGAGATGATGGTGCCCGACGCAAAGCCGAACGCGATCGAGTACACGACCAGCCCCGCCGTGCTCGTGGCGGTGGTGAGGCACATCACGATCACGCCCGTGAAGATACCTCCGATGCCAAACACATTCAGCTTCCCGAACCGGTCGGCCAAAATGCCCGGGATGATCCGCCCGAAGGTCGACGCCGCGTTGACGATGGCCAGAAGATACGACGCGAACGTGGGCTCGATGCCGCGGGTCACCGCATACGTCGGGATGAAAAAGAGCGGCGTGAACATGCCGATGAAGCAGCAGAAGGCCGACGCAATGACCAACATGAACCTGACATCCTTGAACGCAGCCGCGATGAAGAAGTTTGTCTTCCTCGGCGGCAGCCTCGGCGCCACGGTGAAGGCACTGAACGTCAGAAGCGGCACGACAACGAACGCCATGACCCTCACGCTCCACCCAAACCCGAGCGTCGAGCCATTGAACATCTTGGACAGCGCGATCGGGAAGATGACGCCGCCGATCGACGACCCGGAGGCCACAATGCCTAGCGCGGCCGCCCTCTTCTTATCGAAGTACTGCGCGACGGCCGCAAAGGCCGGGACCTGCACCAGGCTCATGGCAAACCCGGCCAGCACGCCCTGCGCGAGCATGAACTGCCAGTACTCCTTGCAGATGCTGGTCATCATGAGCGCGAAGACGTAGAGCACGGCGCCGGGGCGCAGCACCCACACGCCGTAGCGGTCGAAGAGCGGCCCCGCCAGCGCGCCGCCCGCGAACTGGATGAAGGACGTCAGGGACCCGATCCACGCGATGTTGTCCGGCGGCTCGTCCGCCAGCTGGTGCGACAGGTAGTACTCCTGGAACACGCCGAACGAGTTCATGAAGCCGAGGCAGCTGAAGAAGATGCAGCCCGCTCCCGCGACGACGAGCCACGCGCGGGCGCCGCCGTCCGGGGCCGGGGAGAAGGCCGGGTTCGCGTCGGGAGGGTTCGGAGGGAGGGCCGACTCGGTGTCTGTTGTTGTGTCGACGTTTTCGTGTTTCTCGTCTTGGACTGCTAGAGCTGGGGAGCTTTGGGGTTGTGCGTCGAGCGTAGCCATGGCGGTTAATTGGGCGGCAACTGGTGCCGATATCTGGTTGGAGTAGGGTAAGGACGGTGATGGTGAGCAGGTGAGGGTAGGGTGGCCGAAAAAGACGACGGAGTAAAGATGGACAAGGGGTTGAATTCTATGAGCTAGGGTTATTGGCAGCTCGAATTCCGCTGTCTCTGCAACTTTCTTCTGGAACGTCGATGAGGCCCGCTGAGATACATCAAACAAGACAGCCAAGTCAGGGAAGGGTCTGAGAGTCTAAGAATCAATATATATACCTAGGTATGTACATGTTACACCCGGTCTTCCGCAAAGCACAGCTTCGGCTCCGAGGTCGCACAATCGGACCATCCGCGGCTGAAAACACCTACGCAACCCACACGTCCCGCGGCGACTCCTGGAGTGGTCGGAGTTAACAACACCCGATACACTGGAATCGGCATTTTCGACCAATTATGTTACAAGATCTCGACTTTCCGGGAAACTGGTGGTGCCTGAATCCTTCGGCTCCACAAATTGCCGACTCTTCTCATTCATTCAAACCACGACGCCACCCCTTCCAACATCTCCGAACCGATCTTTCTGAAGTTCCACACGACTCAGCATCAGGCATCTTATCTGATCTGATAAACCATTTCTCTGGGCAATGGAGCTGCAACCACAACGACGGCGGAGAAGACCAGCAGTGTAGGCCATTCGGTGCACTAGCCTCGCTTGGCGGTGCAACCATTCCCCCGACCACCACCGACGAGCAGCTAGCTGACTAACCTGCAATAGCTCCTGCACCCTTTGTCGAAGACGCAAGATCAAATGCAACAGAGGAACACCGTGCAGTAATTGCATGAGATCCAAAAATGCCACGTGCACTTACAGGGACGCGCCGCCTCCTGCGTCTAAGACAGGGCAGCAGGGAACCTTTGTCGAGCCACGCGAGACGCCGCTGATCGGATCCGAGACAACCTCCCCCTTAACTCCGAGCACTCTCAGTACCGCGGCTCCCACTAGCACCACGGTCGACACTTCAAGTAATGCTGTTGTCGACACTAACTGGCCGCCCCTCGGCAATGCCACGGCCAACAACAGCCAGACAGCACCGGAGGAGTCAACATGTCCAGCAGCCGACACTCCGTACTCGACCTTTACCAAAAGCTCGCGGGTCGAGACACGGTATATGCATGTCTCCGGGGACTTCTATTTCCACTCCGAGCATCGCCTGGCTGGCCAGCCCCAAGCCGTCAAGAGGAGTGTCACACACAAGACGCGCCTGTTTGGGCCGAGTCACTGGGCCAATACCGCAGTAATGGTCTGTCCCCAAGCTTCAACGTGGCCTTTGTCTCCCTAATCAACTAATGCGCGATCTAGCTTTATGACATGTTCCACGTCCTCGAACAAAACTTACGAAATGAGAGATCCAACATCTTCGTCTACGAAAAACGATGCAAGGCCCTGGCTAGGACCATCAAAGCTCGCCGTTCCCCGGCTTGGCCCTGCCCACCCTCCCCTGAGTTGCCGGCCCGGGCCATGTGCGACGCTCTCATCGACTGCTATCTCCGCACAAGCGAAGCCGTGATGCGCGTGCTGCATGTGCCCAGCTTCAGACGCGACTACGAAGCACTTTGGGACCCAAGCAGCAACCCCGATCCAGCGTTCCGCGTCCAGCTCAAGCTAGTTCTAGCCCTTGGTGCGGTAGCCTATGACTCCATCTTCTCACTACGCCCCTTCGCCATACGATGGACATACGAGGCTCAAACCTGGATTTCAGCCCCAGAGTTCAAGCACCAGCTGGTCCTCCCCTCGCTGCAGACCGGCATACTGCTCCACATGGCGCGTGAGACAGTAGGTGTTGGCGAGGACATGGTCTGGGCCGGCGTCGGCACTACGTTTCGCATGGCAATGTACATGGGCCTGCACCGGGATCCGTCAGGTCTGGGGCCCAGGAGGAAGGTCCCACTCATAGCTGAGATGCGTCGGCGATTGTGGAATACCATCCTCGAGTTAGCGCTACAGTCAAGCCTTAGCTCGGGCGGACCGCCGCTATTCAATCTAGACGACTTCGACACGGAGCCGCCGGGAAACTTTGACGACGAGCAGCTAAGCCGCGAATCGCTGGAGCCTCCGGTCCCCAAACCGCAAGCCGAGTTCACTCAGACGACCATCGCTATCGCGCTCCGCAAGCTGCTGCCACAACGACTAGCCATTGTCAAGTACCTCAACGATCTTTCTTCCCGTGCGAGCTACACGGAGACCCTGAGACTCGATGCCGAACTCCGCGAAGCGTACAAGAGTCTCACCCGAAGCCTGCAGGCAATGAAAGCGCCCTCAGGCGGTCCTTCCGACGTTGCGCTCCGCCTCCTTGAGCTCCTCCTCCGCCGCTACCTCCTCTGCCTCCACCTCCCTTTCTTCGGCCCTTCCTTCCGAGATTCCGAATTCGCCTTCTCCCGCCGCGTGGTCGTCGACACCGCCCTCCGCCTATGGCGCGCCGCCTTCCTCATGCCTCTCTCTCTGTCCGCCGACTCGGCCGATCTGGATGACCCCGTCGCCCGGATTGCAACCTCCGGGTCGGGTCTGTTCGGCACCGTGGCGATCCAGGGATTCGTAGCCGTCGCCGTCGAGCTGAAGACGCTCATCCGCGAGGAGGAGAGCCTGGTCCTTCTCGGTCCCGGGGAGGTGCGGCCGGACCTGCTGCTTGCGCTGCAGGACTTCAAGGCCTGGTCGTGGAAGGCCATGGAGGCGGGCGAGACGAATAGCAAGGGCTACCTGGTGTCCTGTATGGTCTTCGCGCAGGTGGAAGCCGTGCGGAAGGGGTTGGACGAGACGCAGACTGCCGCGTACGTGGAGAAGGCGGCCGAGGAGGCTGAGAAGAGGAGTATGCGGTTGCTGGAGGAGGCCGAAGCGAGGACCAGGCCCATTCAGGAAAACGAGGCAGTGAGTGTTGGCGGTGGGACGGGGAGCAGCATGTTGGATACGCCGCCGGAAACGTGGGGCGCCGAGGAGTGGGATATGGATTATATGGTAAGTGATGCTGCGTGGACTTTTCCGGTTGGGGAAAGGCGCTGACTCGGTCTAGGTGTCGGACTTCCTGGTTGATCCGACCGGCACGGAGAACATGAGCTGGGTCTTTCAGTCCGCGTTTGGGTGATTCTCTTCTGAGATTGGTCTTTACACACTTCTGTACTAGTTGGCCCGGTCTCTTGGGGAAATGGCTGTCGTCACCCCTCCGCTCAAAACCTATTTGGATTGAGATGACCTTTTGGGACAATGATGCTGCGTTCTATAAGGTTATGCTACGTGATTCCGCCACATTCCTGAACGGGGATCAAAGTTATTCTCGAGGAATACGAGCCTACCGTTGAGGGTGTTATTCAGAGCTGGGCGGAGAGGATGGTGTAGTGCGTTGTCTGTCAGCTCCGTCTCCGTGGTTCAAAAGATGGAAAGTATGAGCAAAAGCTTCGAAATCCATATTCTTGCCTCTTCAATCCCAAAAGCCCCAGTTCCAACGCCTAGTTTGACCACATGACTTCCCCGGTGCTCACATTAACCCAACAAAGTAATCCCAATACTGACACAATGAACCCACTTGCCATCCCCGCGTCTCCCTGCTCAAGCCCTCGACATCGAGAATCCACGGTAGATATTTGGTCTCCCAGCTCCCAAGGCCGCCATGCCGGGAACACTCCAACCTTGCTTTGCACAGCTCCCAGTACGCCGGATACCACCCGGCCTGCTCCCACCCGATGATGGAAACCAAGCGCGGGCTCTGACCGGCCGAGACAATGATATTCCGCGGATGAAGGGCTCCATGCGTGAATAGAACGGGAACATCGTCCGGGAAGAGATGATGAGGGGTATACCGAATCTGACCGGACCCCCCAGCACCGCCATACTTGTCCTGCGAAATGCTGACCGCCATGGTGACAAAATAGTCGTGGAAGGCGGCCACCGTAGGGAACGGACCGGGCGGCGGTGCGCCCGCCGCCGTGCAGCGCTGGAAGATTAGATCCCCCAGCGGTCCGTTATCAACGCTCCCTAGAACGCAAGATGCATATCAGTATCCCCCTTGCGTCTCACCCAAGCAACTCCGAAGCGTTATATAAGGTAGGTAAGGTACTCACCAACAAACCCAACACCACCCAACCTCAACCTCCTCCACTCACTCACCACCCCTCTCAGCTGCGCACACACTTGCCCCCTTTCCATCTCACCCATCCCCTCCCACCGGTCCGCCAACACATCCCCCTCCGGCATGGCCATGTACACAAACCCATCCCCACTCCCCGCATCGCGCCGCCACCCGAACACCTCTGGCACCACAACCGCCGCCTCAGATCCCGTGACGACGGATCGGACGAGCATCATCGCCTTTCCCTCACTGCTCGCCGCTTGGCTTCCATTGCCATTCCAATTCCAATTCCCATTGCTGCTACTACTACTATTCCCGTTCCGTCCTACCCGGTGATAGTGATACTTGACCATCAACCGGACAGGGAACTCGGGAAAGGGAACCAGCACCTCCTCCTTTCCCTTCTCCTCCTCTTTCCTCCCCCCCTCCTCCTGCTGCTGCTGCTGCTGGGCATGCGACCCTCCATGATACGTACTGAGCAGTGGTCCCAAGTGGGCTGCAGCAGCCCGCTCCCGGACCTGGACGGGAGAGGGTAGGTCGGGCTGCTGCTGCTGCCAGTACGGGGCGGGCAGGCCGTGGGGGGCGCGGCGGTGGTGACGGGAGAAGAAGGACGAGTGTGCGAACACCACGTTGTCGCCTGATGGGAAGAGCGGGGTGACTTGGATTACTTCTTCGGGTCCGGTAACGGTTTGGGCAGGAACCGTTGGGAATGATGATGATGACGGCGGGTCAGTTGTTGTTTCCCTCGTGGTTAGGGTGAGGTTGGCGAGGGAGTAGTAGAGGGCGTGGAATGGGTCGTTTGTTGGGTTATTGTTGCGCTGGTCGGATTCATGATGAGATGGAGGTAAAGGGGGAGGGATGTATGGCGTGGCGAGCATCTTCAAAGTTGAAACTTAGGTTGTTGGTTTGGGGCTTCGGATTGAATTGACGGGATGCAAGAATATTCGATTAGTTGTCTCCTAGATCTCTCAATGTCGTCGATTTAAAATACCAGTGGGAAGATAAGAGAAGCCCAGCCCATTGATGATGTCCCGACTCCCGAGTGCCAAGTGTGATTGCATGTTGGGCAGTTGCCTTCGCCACCCGACGCTATCCTGGACGAATGCTGCCCAACCACTCACTGCCAAACCCCCCGAACCTGGAGTGCGTCATTGCTGAAACTCCCAGGAATTTACTATTACCACATTTCACGGAGAGTCCATTCGTAATAAGACGAATTGGACATGCAAAAGTGTTCAGATCACACTGCCGCCTGGACAGTACACGGTTGAGCGAAGTCGAGACCTGCAATGGAACCCTATAAAAAGAAAGGTGGCTCGTTCTTATAAGAACCATCGATGGGCGAATGGTCTAGTGGTATGATTTCTGTTTTGCAATGCTTCATTGGCACCTGCGAATACAGACGGTCCCGGGTTCAAACCCCGGTTCGTCCATTATCAATTGTTTGTCATTTTTCTTTTTTTTTTTGTTCTGGAAGATGAAACCACTGATTCTAATAAGTCGACTGGATCAGTCAGATTGGGTCTGACGAGCGCTCCTGTTGGGAACTTGGGATAATGAGGCTGATGGAGTGCAACGCCGGTTTCAGTCAGCTCCTACCTTAGCCATTGAGAAATCGATAGAATGTACGGAAGTAACGGAACCCCTAGTGAGTTCTCGAGCCTCGCATGCTTCTCTGCTGTAAGCTCGAAAGAACTCTTAGGAGTGTGCTCCGTGAATAGCGATTTGAGAGTGTATTAATGACAAAAGTCTGATACGATTCCTCATAACCCATCGTGAGCCCCTGCCCAAATACATCATATACCTCCCAAGTACCTCCATATCAGCTACGATCGCAGTATTGAGGTTGACCCTGGTCTCAAAGTCTAATTAACACTAACGAACAAACTAGGGGAAGATTGTACGAGTATCGCCAGTATGCGTGGGAAGCTCCGCATACCTGTGCAGCGCAATCCGCCTTGCCATTGTGTTGGGGGACATCTCGACCGCTTCCGGGAGGTTGTTCACCTTTGACCGGGGCTGGGCCGTCAGCGTCTGGAGGTTGCTATCCTCAACCGCGTGGTAGATGGCTTGGAGGGTCGCGTCAACTTCGCCACATTGAGCTCGCTTCCTAATACCCCTTGACTCGACGACTAGCATCCTCTCCATAACGAAGTCCAGGAGATCTTGAACTGGCTTCGGGCATTTTGGGTGAGCGTGCAGGTTGTTGTGAACGAACTGACAGGTTAGAAAACTGTCCGTCTCAAAGGTTCCTCGAGGTACACACATACATCATGGACTTCGCATTTTACCCGGACATATACGGTTCCGAGTGATGTTTGCTCGTGTCTGATGATCTCAAAGAAATCATCGACCAGCCAGCCGGCGTAGAGAGGGTTCGTCGTCTTGCGGCAAGTGACGAATTCGCTGACCAAGTCCCAGCCGCCAAGGTACCAGGCAACGAATTCCAGCAAGACACACCCGAGCGACCAGATGTCAAAGGATCTGGATACGGTGCGTTTCTCCATGTCGCACTCTGGCGGTCGATAAGTTATTGTTGTTATGATATCCTTAGATGAGAAACATGTCTTGGTGGTCTCGCTGTGGAAGCGAGAGAGGCCAAAGTCAGTGAGGACCAGCCTACCCAGGTCTTGGGAGTTCTGATGGTCGCGGAATAGGAGGATGTTTTCCGGCTTGATGTCTCCGTGCCGGCCATAGATCTTGTTGTTGCGTGGCGAAGCATCGGCCTCTTCATCCGTCGCGGTTTCGGTGCTTGTGTAGCGATGGATTCTGTTCAGGCCGCTGGCTATTCCCACACACTGACCCAGCATCCATACGAGGTTGGGCTTGTGCAAGGGGTCTCCGAGCGAGCTTCTCTTCCAAAGAGACTTAAGGTCGCAATCTGCCCAGGGCAGGATGACACAGTAAGTGTCACCTTGCCGGTAAGCCGCCTGAAGTGATATCAGGTGTGGGTGGACGTCACCAGAGAATCGCTATTCAATAATATCAGTCAAGTCTTCCCCGGTCGGGATGTCTCGGGAGGAATTCGGGAGTAGTAAAAGGCCTGGATCAGGAGCACAAGTAATTCCAGAGACAAACAGACTGGGGTAGTATACACAGTAGAAACATCACGAATTTGACTTACCATGAGGATCTCAATCTCGCGCTCAAAGCTTTCCGACAGGTCCGTTCCGGAGGTTGGCGTGGCCTTAGGCTTGAACTCTTTGACGGCAAAGAAACCATTGCCCCCGTCAAAGTTATGATGGCCTGAATAGATCTTGACCTTGGATATGGAGCCATAGCCTCCCTCGCGCACAGAAACTTCTTTGCTGGTCCACGGGAGGATGTCCCTTTCGGAGAGCTGGTAGAACCAAGCGCGTCGACGGTTGCCTTTGGCCAGGAAGGGTGCAAGCATACTCCACTGCTTCTCGCCGAAATCCCTGTGGGCCGTGGTATCCCAGTGGCGTAGGCAAGGGAGGTCAGTCCCGACGTCGCTTTCGTGGCGCATCCTCACGTTGCCTTGGACTGTAACCTTTTCGAGAGGGAGCTTTGCGTCATGGATCCGCACGTCGACAAACAAGACAATGTCGTAGCCCCGGCGGAAGAGAAGCAAGATGGCAAAGGTTCTCTTGTAGCTGACATGGGTGCCGTCGGGGAGTGTGTCTCGGCAGACGCGCAAGGCATACTCGTCGATTTCGTCGTTCGTCAGAGTCTTGTTTGCTTCCTCAAGCAACACTCTTCCTTGTTTGATGACCTCGGGCGACTTCTTCCGCAGTGATGAGGGCCTCAACCTCAGCCCGGGGGTAAAAGATGGCGCGGGTGGATGGATCCCACTCGATTTGGAGTTTGTTCAGACGGTCCACGAGAGGCTCCCAGGACCTGTTGGCTAGGATGGCCGAATGCCCGTTGACTGGCTGGGGAGACTCGAGCGGGTGTTCAGTACGGTAGAGCGACTCGCCTCTGTCGAAGATGGCCAGGCTGGTGATACGCGATGTTTCACCGCCGGCGGGACAGTGGACGAAGAGGATGTCGACGGTCCGACGGGTTTCGGACTTGGAAGGCTTCGCGCTCACAACCTGGAAGATGTGTAACCCGGGCTCAGCCCATACCAGTAAGGTACCTTAGTTGCTGATTACGAATACAGTACCTATCTCCCTTATCAACAAAGCCTGAGTTCATAAGCCCACATAATTACCGTTCAGCGAGCAGCCGTACCGAGATGACAATGTTGTTTTGTGAACGCGAACCACATTGCATCAGCTTGTATGTGTTCCGGCCTTGTCCCTCTGTATTACCTAAACATTCCGATGTTGTCTGACAATATACCGAGACATTGCAATGCCGAATGCAGGGGCATGCAATGCCCGAGTGGGACGATAGTTTCCTGCTGTTGTGAAACCAATAAGTGAGGAGCCCAGACTTCTCGAGAATCTCGTTTCTATGACCCAGCCGCCAGGAAGACGCGACAACATGTTAAGGGCACATACTGTAGTTATAGACTTCCAGCAGATCGACCAAAGAGGGACTTAGTACAGATGGCCAGCATAAAATTACTAAATTACTGAGAATGCCCTAGGTACTTGGTATGTCCATGTGTGTTTTATGTCTGTGTGAACGAGTGGCGCTGGGGTTAATGCCCCAGCGCCGAGGAAACAAAAGCTAACGTTAGAGGAAAGCAAATAGAACCCCGCCCAAATTATCTCCCTTGAAAGCCTGTATCGCCAAACAAGTTGTTCTTCACCTAGTGTGCCTGTTCCGGTCCTAACCTCCACACCATAGGGGGCGGCTTTATCATTGTTGTTGTCTGGTGGCGTGCCACCCCCCCCCCCCCCCCCCCCCCAACTTTCCGCCTTTTGTCGTCCGAGGTACCTAGGTTCTGTGCCGCAGTCTCCGCTTAGAGAACCTTGACGCAGTTGAGAGCGCTGATGTCGATGAGGCCGCTCTGTGCATTGCAAACTGAGATTAGCATCCTGTTTCATTTCCTCACTGACACTCTTTTCGACTCCCTTGTTCCCCTGAAAGGCAGCAAGCACCTCCCACCCAGCCGATGGACTGACTGCTGTGTCCCCCGCTTTTCCAGTGAGAGTGTCAAAGTGCACAGCACAGCTTACCTGGTCAGCCTCGGTCTCGCAGCAGTAGGACGAGCCCTCGCAGTTCTTGCCCAGGAGGGTGACGACGCAGCCGAGAGCGCTGTTGCAGCAGACGTTGGAGATCGCGCTGTTGCAGTTTCCGCCGTCGGTGCGTGCGCCGACGTTGGCTGCGGGGAGAGCGGCCGCGGTCATAGCAACAACCAAGAGGGAGACGATGCTGGTGAACTGCATCTTTGCGGTTGTAGCAAGGTTATGCTTTTGAGAAAACAAAAAGGCTTAAAATGTGTTTGGGACTTTGAGGGTGGTGGGTTGAGATGCTGAGGACTGCTGACTGCTGAGTTGGATGTGATGTCGAGGGGCGGTAGGAGAGGAAGATGGCAGCTTATATAGTTATTTGTCCGTCTTGTAATCCGGCAGTCGTATGAAATTTGGCTCATTCTCGTAATGTCCATCCCCAGTCCATCCTGCCATTGCTTGGGCCTCCGCAGATCTTGACCGCCCCTGAGTGGTATTGCTGATAGATCTTTCCTTCTTCGTCGAAATGGGCAGTGTGTTGTGAAACAGGTCGGTGTACGCTCAGACATACCGCGTCCGAGGCTCTTCCGACTACAGGATCGTATGAAGCCACCCTGGGTCGGCCAGGCACCTCCGTGAATTAGCTGAGGATATCTTTGCATTTCTGTCTTTCTTTCCGGGCCTTTAGAGAGCCGAAGGTGGGAAGGACGCCGAGTACCCGATGTAGAAACCCGTGGGCACGAGCCGTGACGACGATTATTGTCGACCTTGAAAACCCAACGATACCTAGCTACTGTTTCGAAATCAATGGTACGTAGGATGTGCTTGGACGGCGGGACCTCGCAGGTGGCAGGAAAACGGCGCTGCCATATCCCGATCGACCAACCATGCCTGCAGCCTCAGCTCAAGGACTGTCCGTCAAATCTCCCGTTGCAGCGGTCAGTTCACTTCAATTTCCATGAGGGACTCTACCTGGCTGCTGGGTTTCGGCCGGCTTGGTATTACAACATCCTTACTCTCCAGCAGGGCTTGTTATCTTAGGAGCACGAGAACTCCGGAGTCTTTCCGCGCCAGAGGAATAAGCTTTGGAAAAGAAACCCGAGTCTTGCCACTCGGAGAACTGGCTCAAGCAATCGCTTCACGCGTTAATTATTAGGGCTTCGAGTCGCCGAAGCCATGATCAGCAAGATTCAAAACTCAATCTCAACACGGTCGAGGTCTGTTACACATTTGCAACACTCGGACCACGAATGTTGTCACTCTTCATTTCTTTGACTCAGCTCAGATCGCTGGTTGTCTCGGACTCTACCTCTAAACCACGGGCGAATTGGGTCCCGGTGCCACGGTGGCGGCGCCGATTTACTTGTTCCGCTTGCGTAACTCGGGACATGGGGCCGATCTCACAAAGGAACCTGCACTGAAGAATCAGCGTCAGTCAACAAACCAATCTCGTCCATATTCGGGACGCTAAGATGTCGGGGTCGAACAAAGGGACTCGAGCTTTGAACCTCACGATACTTGCTAACAGCGGCCAGCTGTAATTCTGTAGAGCATCGTCTTACTCTTGCCGGATAAAGCCACAGCCCGATGCGCTGCCAGCAGCCGATTCACCAACTCATCACCATACCCGCTTTAAGAAACTAAAGATCTAAAAGCCCCAGGATTGACTAAACCACCTTGAGCCCGTCGTGGCACCGAATACGTACGAGGTCTGAGCGATAGAGCGGCACCTCCCGCCGTGGCGTCCGCCCCCCGACGAGAAGCCAAGACTCGATTCCGAGATCTGCGGCATCGGCCAGATGGAGACGATCTGAGCCACTCCGCATCCTTGTTTCGACGGCAGACGGGGGTAACTACGGATACTAGCTAACTTTACGAAGAACAGACTCGACTCACTCGCGGCTTGGAGTCACTGGATGTGCCAGGATGCCTTTCAGTTTTAGACTTTAGTGGGCGGGCAGCAATCGACCAATTCATGCTGTCAATGAAGCACACTGCATTGATGCACACTGCACGCAGCGTTTTCGGCGCGCTCTTGGAGCGCAATGCCATTCTCGTCGGCGGCAACGCAGTGCGTTTCATTAGATGCAAGCAAACAAAGCACATAGGGAAACAATTAAAGTGTTCCCCTATGGGCGGAAACCACCAAGTCCTCTTGGCATTGCATTTGACGGGCACAGGTAGTAAGAACAGCAAAGGCCGGGCAGCCAAACAGATATGGTAAAGCGTATCAAACTGGCCAAAACAGCGTTTTCTGGGCTTTTTGGGCCATTTTACATAGTTCCATAGATTCGGGGACCTCGAATTACCCTATTCCAAGTGCCTGTAGTCACATGTGGGTATATGATAGCCATGAGTGGAGTGCCTTAACAGCATGTTCCAACCCCTCTGAACTAACAAAGGTTCTATAGTGTAGCGGTTATCACTCCGGATTCTGATTCAATCAGAGCATTCCGGCAACCCCGGTTCGAGTCCGGGTAGGACCTTCCTTTTGTGATTTATCTCCCAGATTTTTGCCTCCGTCGCAAGTTTTCTGAATGTCTGCTTTGAGTTCTCGGCCGCCACCTCGGGCGAGATCTGTGCCAGCCAGGGAAAACGACCTACAGCGCCTGCATGCTGATGAAAAAGCGAGGCAGGCACGGCAGATTGCCGATGCGCCCGTGCGCCGGCTCCAAGCGGCCGCTCCCTTCTCCCGGCTCCGAAGCCCGAGTGGGGCGCCGACTTGCAAATTTGCAAGCGTGCACAGACCACCTGCTCTGCCTATTTATTCAGCTTCTGCCCCCAACCTTTTGGGGTTTCCTTTTCTTCTTTTTTTCTTCATGTCGACAATACTTCAGAGAATCATTTCTATAGTAGTTGTCCTCTTTTGTGTTCCCTAAAGGAGCCACAGATCCCACCCGGGTTGATGAACGAGATCCTCGGTACCCTACAGTGAGGTCCTCTTTTTTTACTCTCGCTCTGCCTGCAAAGGTGGCGGTCGCTGGCCTTGTGCCTGGCGGCTGTATAGAGAGTGGCGATGATCTGTACCCCGGCTTTTTCCTGAGGTCTTGCCTTCGGGCGCTCGGGCGGGGTGGGTATCGATGGAAGTCTGACCGGCCAAATCCTTCTTTTTTTCATTGCAGTCTCGGGCTTGCTCGGGACGTGAGGAAGAAAGGAGCTGTATGTCAAGATAAAACGCAATCTCAAATGTTGGCAGCACTCTGGAACCCGTCTTGTATGATTCCGAAGTTGACCGGAGGTCGGTAACTGCTCCGTGCTGCGGTTGATGAATGCGCATGCGAAAGTGAGCCGAAAGCACAAAGCCGGCGACCTAAACGACAATTCATCGATCCCGCCCACCAGACTAGGCCTGCTCGACGGAAATGGAAGCGCAGAAGATCCCCGATGATGTCCTGCGCGCCGTCTACGCGTCAGACCAGGCGATGTACCCCGTGTCACTTTCCTACACGCGGCTAAGGGCATGGGTCGACACATGTCCGGACCTGTCCATTTGCTTCTTCTGGGAGAATGAAAGCCGGGCTGCGGCTGCCGTGGGCGTCGTGATCGTGCTCCCTCTCCGGCGACCGCATTGGGAGGATCTGTTGGCGGGACATCTGAGGGAGATGGACATTGATCCCAGGCAGATGTTCCCTGCTCTCCCTGCTTCCGACGAAAGCCGCGTTGGAGAGGAGGAGGAAGTAGGACAGGCGGAGGAGGTTGGCTTGCATGTTTACCACATTGAGCGGTTCGATTCGGGTGTCACGGGCGTTGAGAAGGAGGGACGGAAGAGGGGGAGGCGCTTTGCTGAGCTTGCGCTGGAAGAAATTGAGAGACGGATGCGGCTTTTGTCGGGGTGGAGGGTTGTTGGTATGTCAGGTACGTGTAGCTTCTGTCGATCAGTTTGCCACGAATGAGGGTAACCGGTAACAAGAGTTCGTGATGGAAATGCTGACTGCAGGCAGCGCTTACGGCTACGCCGGCAGGGAAGAGGACGTTTGAAAGACTGGGCTTTACGCCTACCGGCTATCGAGAGTTGTTCGTGGTACACCGAGCGGCAGAAGCGCGTTCAACAACGGGCGATGTACCGCAGGTGGAGATTATCTGTCTCTATCCCGGTGATGACGCTGAGCCTGCGCAGGCTGCCGGCGGCCGCGTCATCTCTTCCGTGTCTGAGATGGTGGTCAGGTTCTCCAAATAGTTGCGGACATCCGCGACGTGGATGCAGCCTCGCCGGGTTGATAACAAGAACTCATCATTGATTGCACTCGAGTCTCCTGCCATGCAAAATCAGTACCACCTTGCTGCTGTCAGGGTCCGGGCGGAAGTTGAACAGACAAGAATAATCCTCAACTTCGCACTTGCCCCCCCTTTCCCTTCCCACATCACACACCTCCCCGCACTCTCTCTGTGTATTCCAACTGAAAAGTTCAAAACCAAAACCTCCACCCCTCCATCTCATCCCTTCCCGTGGGCAACCCTTTCCCCTTCTCCTTTTCCTTTCTTCCTTCCCCCTCCCCCTCCCCCACCGCCTTCCTCTTACCAAAGTTGCCATCCCCACCCCCATCTCCTTCCGCATCGCCATCCCCGGTACCACCAAACTGAACGCGGCCCACCGAAGGCCCCAACCGGCGGCCCAGAGCAACAACCAACAGCGTAACCATCCTCTCGCCGAACCCGCTCGCCGCGCCGGCCGGACACTTGTGCTTGCCGACCGAGAAGGGGATGTAGGCCTCGCGCTGGGCGGGCGTGAGCTTGTCGTCGTCGAAGCGCGAAGGGCGGAAGAGATGCGCCGCGTCGTCGTCGCTGTCGTTGTTGTGGTCGTTGCCCCAGATTCCAGGGTGGCGGTGTAGCGCCGAGATATCGGCTGCGAGCGGCGGCCGATGGTTGTTGAACCTAGGGAGAAGACGGGGGAGAAGGGACCGAGGAGCTAATAAAGCGGGGGAGCGGTAGAGGTGTTTGTTGGAAGGGTAGAGGCGTAGTCCTTCCTTGGCTAGCTTCAAAGCTTCCTTCTCACGGGTCCGGTCGCCGCCGCCGCCCAGACAGGAGGGCACCGCGGCCGTGCGCTGCTCCGCGTCCTGGCGCGCGCCGGGCTGGTGGTGGTAGGCCGTCGCGAAGGTCAGCAGCACCACCCGCCAGAGGGTCTCGTACTGCGGCATCAGCAGACTGAGCACCTCGGTCGCGGTCGGGTGCTCGGGAGGAGGGTGGAAGGGGGGCGGGGAAGGGGACGTGAGGTGCAGCGAGTCGATGGTGGCGTTGAGCAAGCCCGAGCGGAGAACGACGTCCGGGGCGCATTTGCTCCGCAGCCACTGCGTGTTGATCTCCTCGGTGATGGTGACGAGGGCGTCGCGCGGGATGGTGGCCGGGTCGATGCCGAAGTTGTCGAAGAGCACGACGGCCAGGACCATGCACCGTACAGATTCGGCGAGACGCAGGCTGCGCTGTCCATTCTTGTCTGCGGATGCTGTTGTTGCTGTTCGCAGCTCAGCTTGGAGGAACCTTTCGGCCACGCCGTACAGCGTTTCCCAGTTCCGGCTCTTGTTGTTCACCAGACGAGTTGCTGTCGTGAGGAAGGCCTTGTGTTCGTGGAGCGATTCGGTGGTGAGCGAGTTGGTGATGCCAAACGCGGCCCTGAGCCGGCGGTTCTCCCTGGCGCGCAGGCGCAGCCGTTGTTGGGGAGTTGTCTCACCCGCGTAGCCGAAGCTCGCGATGTTGCGCTGCTCTTTGGTCCACTGCTCAACTCCAACTCGTTGTTGCCGCCGGGCCGGGGTCAGGAGTCTTAAGAGACGGAATCGTTGGATCCGCAGGATGGCGACAACCCAGAAGATGACCGCCAACAGAACGGTAATGTAAAGCATGGTGGTCAACAGGGGCTAAATGATGAGGATCACTCGAGCTGACTGGTGGTCTTTCCAACGTAAATGGCGTTGACCGGTTTCGAGGAGAGAGAAGAAGCCATCGAGACCGTCTCCGCAACAGCACCCATCATCGACTTTATACCTTTCCTTGGGACACCTGTGCGCAGCCTTTCCTTCGAGAGACTTGAGATATCGATGAGTCAAACCCTCGACCGACCACGTGAGCGAGCTATCGAAGCTCGTCCTCCCAGGGCCACGACTTCCGTTTGTTTGAGGAGGCTCACAGAAGTCACAGCACACCTTGCAGCCTGCAATTGGCTGATACTTTGGGGGGGCATACTGATCATCTCTGGGGTCTACCGTTTGCCTCCTTCTGCGCTGCAGCTGTATGACTCCGGCCTTGTGTATGCCTCATCTGTTTGTCGACGAGCCCAGAGCCTCGTCGACCCGATGCGTATCTCCAGGCTCCCCAGATGCGTCAAACTGAGTTGGTCCTGTGTAACCGGTCAAGACCACGGATTTCATTGGCGCAGCAATCCGGCTGTGGTCCGGGACAATGCAGTATCTCCGAACAGGTAAGTATCATGGAGCTTCATGTCTTCCAGGTTGTCTGAAGTCGCGAGCAGTTCAGGCAGAAGAAAGGGGGGTGCCAAATCAAACACTCGTTCAGCGATATGCGAATGCGGGCAGTCGTGACTCACTATGGCCATTGGCCCGCGAGGAGACCACGTATCGAGGAGGGATGGCTGCGACGGGACGGGACGCACCGAGGCCTACAGCAAGGGTTTTGTGTTGTGCTGTAACTGTATCAAGCTCATCACGGCCCGTTTGATCTGGGCTGCAACCTACCCTGCCGCACCTCCATCCTCTCGTGCGCCCAATCAAATCCGAAGCAACGGCTCGTTGGATGGGGTAACACTGCCAACATACGGTGGCAACTGGCAAGGCATATACCGGCGGCATTCCTGATTCATCGTCAAAGTTCAGGTCACTGCGTTCCCGTCTTCAAGTCTATGATCCTGCCACCACAATCCTCACCCAAACCGACTTGCACACATTCAGCTCAATCCATCCGCCCTTAGCGGTGCCAACAACAACAAACTCGACAGGCGCCTAGAAGAAGTTCCTCCGACCGAACCTACAACCCACAATGACCCCTGCTATGACCTTTCCCAAGAGCTCTGTAAAGTGAAGGCTGTAAGAGGGGGCTTTTTGGCGCAGTAATCCGGGGAACAGGTGGGCATAGTGGATGGGGATCGAGAGTGGTTCTGTGTGTAGGGTTGACTGGCTACCACTAGCAGTACCTAACTAAGTCCACGGAATATCCAAATAATAATATATTGCCAGTGCGGCACCGCCAGCAAGGAAGACCCGTAGCGGTCAGAATCACCACTTGAGACTGCGCAATGTATCGAGTTACCTATGAGCTTTCGAGGTTATATAATATCTAAGAACCATCCATCCAGTTCCGACTTTCCGACTTTGCGCACCCGATGTGACAAAAGAAAGCGAAGGTCGATGCTGCGCAGCCATGAAATGGGGGCATTGATTGGCCCTCGAGATAGAGAGTTCGAACTTCAAAGAAGGCACCGCCCTCAGCCATCGAAACAATCCAGCCCTTTATTTCCGCTCTCGACACATAGTAGTTATGGTTGAACCGACGTGTCTAGTACCATTATTTCTTACTCCCTCGACTGAGACTCCCTTCGTGCGTTGAGCCTAATCCTCGAAACTCGCGCAGCTGTCTTCTCGTCTTGTCTCCCCCCTGTCAATGCAACCATCGCCATTATAGCCGAGTAGTGAAAGACGTCCTGACTAGGTTACGTACGGTCACTACGACCGACAGCCATGGATCCATGAGGGGGTATCTGGCATCGGAGTCAGCCAGCTACAGTTAACAGAGGCGAGGCTTTACAGCCAGTCACCACATGTTGTACACGTTAAGATAGGTAGGTAGGGAAGGTAAAAGGTATTGAACTGAGGTCGAGATCCATAAGTGACAAGCCGCCCACCATGTCCACTCGCACGGTGTCCCAGAATCTGCAAGTTCAGTTTCCACCAGTCTGTCACATCACGAGCCGAACGGTGTAGGTTGGTCTTTCCACCAATGCCAAAGCAATCTGTTACCTCCTTCCAAAATAATCATTACTGGTGGGCAGTGAGTAGCCTGTAGGTGACAACTTCAAGCCGAGGATGACCACTGCCAATGGTTTGTGATGAACAAAGTATGAATTGCGAGCCAGAAGCGTGGGCTTCCAGTTAGGTCGTCGGAATTCACTTCCTGCGGGGAAAAGGGGCTAAATGTCTTCTCTCGCGCTTCCCATTGAACACCTCGGAACTGCGCTCAAACCTTCTGACTGAAACGCTTGTTATCTCTTTTTTCATTTCTCACCTTAATATGCAGCTCCCTTCCTCAACACAAACACGGACATTGTTCATCTGCCCGGTAACTCGCAACATGCCGTCGAAATATACTTTCCCGCGCCGGACCAGAACAGCGGCCGCAGACTTAGGGACCAAGACTCCACAGACTCGCTCCTCGGAGAGAACACAGTCATGGAGAATGGTGGATGGCAACCGACATTGCGCCAGTCTCTTCTATTTATCACAGCACTTACGGTCTACTCTCTCGTGGTTTATTCTAGATTCACAGCAAGCTGTGGCTTACACGGAAATGATGTGTGACGCGCGGTGTGCAGATAACAATGTCGCTTGTTGTTGTGACACTACCGGCTAGATGCAGAAACCGTAGCATGTCCATGATGTATCCAAGCTGATTGGGGTTTGAGTTAGAAAGGGTCAAACAAAATTAGGTAGTTAAAGGTATGTTTACCCTCTAGCAATCACCAGCGATCTCTCTATCTTCCAGGTAGGTATCCTTAGCTGACGCGATTATATCAAAACCGTCTACTTCTACCCCGTCCACTTGGCTTATATACATGCAAATCAACTTAAATGGCAGTGGGCAGTCGAATATTGCTTCCTAACCCCTAACGCTACCCGCACCACTCTACGGGCACAGATACACGTCATGAACACGGATAGGAGCTACCGTTTTGCTAGGTACCCTACCTTTGTTCTGAAACACACACGCAGTCCGCAGGTCATTCCCAAACTACCTTACCTAATACCCCCAGGAGGAGATGATGTATAGACAGTGGCATATCACCTGCGTAAGTACTTGCTGTACCCTCTAATCGAGCCCTTCAACTTAGTTGAGCGGAGTGGCGAGGGAGAAGGACGCTGGCACGGCAGATGGCCCGAGCACGGGCTGATTGCAGTCCCAGGACTCCCCGGGAGAGACACATGACCTCACCACTAACCATACTCATGGTGCGCCAGGACGGCATATACATCCCAGGACCGAACAGTCGTGACGTTCAGAAAACCGCCACGAATCCCAGGATGACGAACACACTCGTTGCTCAGATGGAGCATCCGGTTTATCTTTGCTGAACTTCAAGTCTGTTCAAGGCGCCATCCGAATTCTGGCGTCTAAATCTGTCGTCATCCCATCTTTGGCGAGCGCTCCGACCCTTTGGTTGACATCGGCGCCTCTGTTCATATCATTCGTTGACGTTGAGCTTTGCGGAACACGATACCGAACAGCAGGGGCATCTGCTGCTCCCAGCATGGGAGGGTATAAGAAGCTGGCCGCCCTCCGAATTTCTCCTGCTCTTTGCTTCTTCCTTACCATCACGGCTTTCCGGATCGATATCGTAGTCGAGTCGACTCATAGTGACCGATACTTTACGATATTCGAGGTAGAGAGGCTGGAGACAGTCTGTATATATCGACCGCTTCGCCGTCTCTCGTCATCCTTTTCCCTTTTTCTCAGCACGGCCAGTTACTTAAGAGAAAACAGATTCTTAAGAAACAACAATTTTCACAACATGGTCAAAGTGTAAGGACTCCAATCTCGCTCTCCTCATGGTATTGATCCAAAAATAATTAACTACCACCGTCATGGACGACAGGAGGGTCTCCACGCCGTCGGCACCCTGTCGCAACCTCACCGCAGGCCACGAGGCCGCCCAACCTTCCTCGCCCTCCGCCTCCGCCTCGCAGCGGGGGTTTCCCACGCCCGGCAGCATCGCGGAAGGGAAAGACCACCAGGCCGAGGAGGCGACCTTTACCGTAACCTCTCCCAGGCCGATCTCCATTTTTTGCATCTTCTATTGTGGGATCCCAACATGACGATTTTACTAACACAGACACAGAATGGCGCGCCGGTCAACACCAGCCTCCTCCTCCTCCTCCTCCTCCGGAACCTCCGCGGCGCCGTCATCGACGTGGACCTGCCGTCGGACCTCTCGGCCGCCTCCCGCATCTTCACGTGCCGCGCTGGCGGCGGCGACGGCCGGCACTTCATCGTGTCCGCCGAGTGCGTCCGGGAGGAGCATCCCGGATTTACGCTCGTCCTCGACCGGGTGCTGAGCGAGGCCGGAGTGGCGCACGTCTACGCGGCCATCCCGTTCTGCTGCTGGCCGGAGCAGGTCAAGCTGGGCTACCCGACGTATACGGACCACCCCGACACTGCTTGCCGCGCGGTCGAGAGGATGCTGCGGAGGTCCCGGGGGCTGGTGCGGTTTTTTTTTTTTTTTTTGGGGGGGGGGGGGGGGGGGGGGGGGGCGTGCCGGGCACATGCTCAGGGGCACGCGCGTCACGGTCGAGACACGCTTTGCAAACGAGTCCCACGCGAGACGGGCCGTTGCGGGGCTCGACAACAAGGACTTGCCGACGACGGAGGACCTCAAGATGACGGCACAGCTCGTCACGTCGGCCGCGTTCGAAATCGAGGAGGACCGGGTGGTAGCCAACAACAACAACAACACCCTGCAGCGGTACCTCGACAGACAGGCAAAGGTCTGGGAGGCGGAGCTCGTCGCGGTGCTCTCGCGTAGGCAGGACGGATATATCTTGCTGGAGCTGCAAGGGCCCGACGGCCAGGCGGTGGCCCGGGCTAAGGCGGCGCTCGAGCGGATCCTGGAAGGCGAGCTGCTGAGCCTGCGGGAGGACGCCGCGACCACCTCCCTCGCCAACAGCCGGCAGACCGTCACCACGCCCGTCCCTGGGCCTGTTGTTGCCGCCGACACAGCAGAGTCGGACAGCAGCGACTGCCCGGTCTGCTTGACCCCGGCCGAGGGCGCAATCCACACGTCGTGCGGCCATGTGTATTGCGCGACCTGCTTCGTCGCGGTGTGCAGCCCTGCGGCCCTCTCCCCCTCGGCCTCCGCGATCACCTGCATCGGCAACGGGGCCACGTGCGGCGTCGCCTTCCCGCTCGCCGAGCTGCAATCCCTCCTCCCGCCCGCCACGGTCGAAGGCATCCTGGCCGCCTTCGCGACGGGGCACGCCTGCTACAACCACCTGGTCGGCTGGTGGAGGGAGTTCCCGGGGCTGTGTTGTGTTGGGTGGCTGGGTGGGGTGTCAGGGTGACTTTGGATCATGGTGCATATCGAAAGGAAGGGAATAGACAATGACATGTTTAGATAGTTGTATCTTCAAATACCATCGAAGCCCTACTCTCACAATACCTCCATCGAAGATTGCCGCGTCCATCGTCGAGCTTGTGACCTAGTGTGAATGGTATTCCCATTTAGCCGTATCCAGCTGGCTGGCTCTGGTCTCCAACTACTGTTCCCAAAGCTATCTCAGGTATTTACTGCGGAGTCTGGAACTGGTGGATGATGGTAGCAAGAATGTTGGAGAGATGCTTGCTCGTCCCAAGCGCAGAATGCACACAACCCTGCTGCCTCTTTGCAGTCCGAGACGAAAGCGGTCCGGTTGTTGAAAATCGGCGATTCGCATACCATAGGCCCTCCTAGACAAGGGCGTTGGTCATGACATGTAGAAGTACTAGTACTAGTAGTTCACCTCATGAATCATTGAAGGTGAAGCTGTACCCAATTCTGCCGGGAACTGACTGAGGAAGGGACCGAAAGCCCAGAGTTCCTATAACTGTTGCAGAGTAAGGGATAGCACACATTCTTGAAAGAGCATTGATTAACTATGAAGCTTCGATCATCAGCGAGCATTCATCCTAGGCGTCCGCCTAGTTCCATTTGGGAGTCTGGGACTTTGGGTTTGTCTTTCTCCTGGAGCAGATAAAAGAAAACTTAGGACAGAGAGGGGAAGAACTTCATGATTCTTCGTGCGTAGTAGAACGAGAACTTACTTCACTCTATAGCCTTTTGAGACATGTTTGAACCCTTCTCGTCCACACGTTATCACAGGCTAAAGCTAAAGCCCTAGAGGCTAGCGCATGCTGCAGCGCACGCATATCAGGCAATCAAGCATCAAGGTGCGACCGATCGCATGATTCGCATCAGACATGGTGGTGCGCACCGGCTGAATTCTGCGATAGAGCAGAGTTCTGCTTCTCAACTTCAGCTTCCCGACTTCAGCTAACGTGAGGCTGAGTGCAACAGTTGTCGTCGTTGCTGGGGCGTCGCTAGGGTGACCTCCCTAAACCCCCTGTCACGTTTAATTAAACTTCAAACCATCCCTACTCCCGTCTGCGTTCCCCGGAATCTAGTTAACACACCATCTTCACACGGCAATTGTTGATTAGTTTTTCTTCATCATTCCAACTCTTCATCCCTCACTTGCCGCATAACCATTTAAATAATTTCCTTAATAAATCAAGGAAAATGGAGATGTGCAACCGTAAGCGATGCCGTGACGACTTCGGGGACGCGACGACGCACATCGCGAAAAAAACGCGGCTTTCCGACGCGCTGTCCGCATACTACGCGCCGCCGACACGCGATAGTCTCTCACCATCCTGCTCCGCATCGACGTCGACATTCAACGATATCAGCGCACTTTCCACGCCTTCCGCCACGACGGAGCTGGATTGCATGGATTTGGACATGGACCCGTTCGATGCGGTGGCGGTGGCGGTGGCGGCGAGGAGGACGGAAGTAGGAGGGATACACCGCTGCGAAGCTCCGACAAATACAATCCCGCAGCCCCAACAAACACAAAGCAGTGGTGGTGGTGGTGGTGGCACGATTATCTCGGCTCTGAACCAGGCGCGCCGCAGCGAAGAGTGGGAGCAAGAGCTCAGGCAGAGGTACCCTTGGTTGTTTGGGATTGGATCCCGTCAAGTCAGTTTTGCTCCTTTTCTTCGAAAATGATACTGGAATTCCTAGGTAATGCGATGCTGACCCTCTAGCTAGTAACACTGGCAGCTGGTTCGCGGTTCGGTCAGGCGGGGTTTGAAATACACACACTTGGGTGAGCAGAAGGGCCATAATAATAATGCCCTTTGTATCAATGTTAATGTCAATCGTGTATCACTAGCAGCACTCATTCTTCACAAAAAGGCAACGCCTGCAGAACAGTCGGGCTAAAAATTGATAAAGATATCAAATGCCGCTGTGCTTTGATGCTGATACTAGATAATAGATACTAAAAATATCGAGAACGATGCAGGTTGTCATCACGCGCACACACACACTCCCCTCGGAAGCACCACCATGATCTTGAAAAAGACCTGCCCCCGCGGCTTCCCTCTCTCCAACCCAGTTAGTTCACGCCGACCAAAACAAAAAGATTTAAGCCGAGTAGGTGCTGTAGGTGCACTGGACGGCGTCGGACTTGGTGACGGTGCGGGCCGAGAAGCCGAGGCAGCCCTCGATGCCGGCGGGCTTGTCGGCGCCCGATGCCCAGATGTAGTAGGCGTTGTCGGTGCCCGGGCAGGCCTTGAGCGGGGTGCCGTCGAAGGTGAGGTTGTCGTTCTCGTCGACCGACCATCCGCTGAGCTCACCGTTCCTCGGCGGGCGCGAGACGTCCTTGTTGAAGTAGCCAAGCACGCCCTGGCCTGTTTTTTTTTTGGTTTGTTAGACTAGTTGGCTTTCTGATATGATAGTTACACAGCTGAAGAAAGACGGGTTTAGTTTACGTACCCATGCCGGAGCGGTCGACGTAGATCTGCTGCACCTGGTCGCTGCCGTACAGGTAGAGCTCGCCGTCCTTGAGGGTGAAGGTGGCCGCCGTGGGCTTCTGCCCGTCGGTGCACTGAGCGTCGTTCTTGCTGTCGGGGAAGTTGAAGCCGAGCTTGCCCTGCGAGGCGCCGGCCATGGCAAAGTGGATGGGGGAGGCCGAGCGGAGGGCCATGATGCCGAACTTGCGCTCAGAGCTGTCGGTGGGCGCAGCCGAAGCCGCGGCGGCGAAGAGGGAGAGGACGACGGCGTTGAGCTGCATGTTTGCTGTGTGGGTTTGTTGTTGGCTAGTGTAGCGCTGGTTGAGAATGCGAGAGTTGAGAGGTTGAGTGAGACTGAGGCGATGGAGTGATTGTTGCAGTGGAAGTCGATCTGATTGTGTTGATGGCTCAGATGGATGTTGGGCCAGTTCTAGTCCGGCCTCTTTATACCGTCCATCCCCCTTCTCTCAACCATCGTCATGCCGCAAGGCGGCAAGACATGTGCCAAACCCGGTAGTATCCAGGCTGGCGGTGAAGCAGATACGAGAGCAGCTGTGATGTAGGGTAAACATGGAAATCGCATTGACAATTGACATTGTTGAAGGTCGAGCCCCACCGTAAACTCTTGGCTTACCTACCGCTTTCTGTTCCAATTCGTCTCCTATTCGTGGAAGTGGCGTCGTCCTCGCAGATCAGTCCAGGACTTGGCCTCGTATTTAGCCTTCATGTCTCTACACACTAACGTAGTGTAGACTCACACAGTACCACGGTCTACCGTGGCTGAGCGGACGCGGTGAGTACAGTACGGATGTACACGCAGTACATACAATGCTCCCGGCACCTAACCCACTCGTATTCGCCCTCCCCACCCGCCTGCTCGACACGCCTCGCCTATGTAAACCACCTAGTGTATGTATGAGCCGCTCAGATATGCCGCAGGATGATGCCGCATGATCCGAGCGGCAAGATCCGCTCCGACGTCCAGTTTCTTTGCCGTACCGAGGCCGCCTGCGGGGCCGCTCGCCGGCCTCACCGTGCCCACAGTTATGAAACTCGGCATGCATGCTCGGTTACCTCCGCGGAAGCATGCATTGATTATGCAACCAGCGTGCAAAGACCGGCCCCGCTAGACTTCTATCGACTTCTCGGGACAACCACGAAGCCTTGCCTTTGGGTGCCCCACGATCTTGCAATCCACCGAATTGCCCTGCCCCTTAACTGTCTTTCCGGGAGCGTCCCCAATCAAACCCAATCAAGCCCAACTTCGGGCACCGGGTTGGGCTGATTGCCAAAAAAAAAAAAAAAAAAAAAAAAAAAAAAAAAAAAAAAAAAAAAAAAAAAGGCTCAGGTTAAGTCGAACATTAATATGTAGTTGGGGCTGGCAGTGGCACGTGCTGGACTCCAGCTTTGGCACCTAGACAGTAGGCAACTTAGTCTTGAGTGCTTCTAGCTTGCCATGGCTGCCAACCTTGGCCACCGAATCTGTTGGTCGTCCAGGTGCCGGGTTGATGAGTTTAGGTTGTGGTTGCGGAAGTCGAACTGCTGGGTCCGCTGCTCTCCTGGCGTGGAGCTCTGCGGAATCGTCCACGCCCCCGTACGGGAGGCGGGCAAGTCGACGCAGAATCTCCGAATGCGACAGCCAAGGTCGACGGCCACCGGCTTGTTTGTCAGTCGGCATCCTCGAGGGGCGGGAATACGGTGGATACTTTAACAAGCGCCAGCTGTAAAACCGAATAGCAGGCCCAAGGCAAAATGCCGTGGCGCCGATGGCCATTGCAAACGACACTGCAACTGCCGCGCCAGTCGACAGAGGAAACCGCATCGCCACAACCGACAGGCCGGCCAGGACAGCGGCGTCGACCACAAAGACAGCCAGGGCAGGAAGGCGCGATAAAGTGACCAACGGGCCAGCTGGATTTCTGAATTTCATCTTGCGGAGAAACATCAACGTGAAGATGGGCGGGGGAACGAGCCATCTGAGGATGAAGTCGGTGATATTCCGCCAGGCGTTGCTAATCTCGGCGAAGTACAGCACGAAATATGTGATAGCGGTCGTGCCGATAGACACGCCGACCCAGAGTCGCCAGGTGAAATGTTCTTGGAACTCCTATGATCATTCGGTTAGCAAGCACATTCGTGTGTCCGCTTGTGCGGCTGATGAGCGTTTAGGATATGCGGGAGTGTCTAGGTGGCATAGGGTGACGAGGGGCGCCAAGGGTTGAAAGTGTAAACGTCCCTCCACAGGAAAAGCAAAACTTACCACAACATTTGTCCCGAAGACGGTGGCTACGAAGCTCAGAGGGATGAAAAAGAAGGCCAAATTTGTCAGCTTTGAGACCTCCTTAGCCTGGGCGATAGCTCGCTGGCTCTCCATGATGCTAAGTGTCGACATTAGAGCCTGGAATACCGTCTCAACCCTAGCCCGTGTCGCCTCCACGTCTTTGCTCAGTCGCCTGAGATTGCTGAGGGTTCTCAGATCCATTTCCGATGCTTGTTGGCCATGGAAGCCCCTGGCATGTTGCTTATCGTATCCTAAGCTGTGCTCGAATACCTCCAGCAGAGTAGATGCGGAAGTGCGGAAGTAGACCAAGGAATTCCGCCAGTGCCCCAGGTACTTTCGCCAAGTTGATACAACTGATGCCGGAAGATCGTCCATGTAGAGCGAGAGCTCGATGTAGTCTAGTCCTCTGCTGACTTGAAACATGACGCCGAACATGTCATCAAGTATTAGACTCGTGATGCATTGGATCACTGCGGTTGACGTGTTCTGCCTCGAGAAATAGCCGCGTCTGGACTCGATCATGTCGCATATCCGTTCAAGGTTAGCTTGCTCCTCCAAGAAACAAAACTGGCTGCTCGGAGGTAGTTCAACAACCTCGAGACTCGAAACGGAGACTGGAGATTCGTAGTTGAATCTCTTAATCGTATACTGACGCCTAGGATCAACAAGCACGCAGCCGTGCACGGACCGTCCCGAGTTGTCTCTGGTGTGTGAATAGAAGGAGGCAGCCGTCATCGCGTAGTGGAGGATCCTGCTGCCGGTGACGGCAGGAAGTAATGGATAATATGGCCGACGAGGGAGTCCTTTCGGCCATCTCTCGTAGCCCGTCCAAATCAGGTTGTGATCTAGATCAGTGCTCAGAGACTCGGTGCCTTCATACCGGAGTCTCTGTTCGATCTCCCAGTACTTCAAGTCCTGTTGGACCGGAACGGGCCAATACATGAAGAAGGCCTCGTTCACGAAGCAGCTACCGGACACGTCACGTCCCAGGTGTGCGTCGAACACCTGTTTGGGCACCTCTAACCCGGAGCGGCTCAGCTGTGTCCTCACCAGTTCGTCCAATTCGTCTGTGATTTCCAACAGATATATCACGTCGTCCACGTTCGTGTCAGGAAGGACTTCGTCTGTGCCCAACGCTCTGATATCGACCACGTCCTGTATCTCGAGTTTGACGACTTCTCCATCCCGTCTGGAGATCTCGAGGCGTTTGCAACGAAGGTTCCTTGTCGCTGCGTCCGGCCTCGGTGGCACGGCTCCCGGGCGCGCAGCACATCCCGAGTCTTCGGCATTTTCTGCAGGCCGTTGAGGGCTCCTAGCGAACGTTACCCTGCGCCTGGAAGGTCTGGCATTAGGCTCAATTGTTGACGTTGACATCTCGGATGGCACCCGGCCAGGTGAAGATGCCGTGGTATGCAGATGTGATGAACACAATGTAATGCGTGCTGGGGTAATTTAACGAACGATATACCAGGCAATGCCGGGAAACGGCTATGTGAGAGGTGAACTAGAAATGGACGGTATGAACACAGGCCGCTAACTGTCTTGGACTCTTGGTGTCTAGCAAGTAATACGGGCGATAGCAACCAATGAACAAGTCAACGACTGCCTACAGTATGATGAAGGAGAACCTGAAAGAGCTGAAGCCTCGCGCTACGCAGTAAGTAGGTGGCTGTGCCAGACCCCCTCGGTTATGCATGATGAGGCGGGTAACGCGGGTTAAGATTGGATGAAGGCGGATGCAGGTTTTGATCAGGAAAGTGATATCTGATTTGTTCACCGCGGAAATGAGGTAGTATTGAGGGCTGATTCAGTTTTCAAGTTCCTGGCAAAATAGCCAGGCAGCCAGGCATTCTCTCAGATGCGTCTTACATTGATTCCCCTGGCAGACCCGTCACCGCTCCCGCTCTTGCCAGATCGCTCTTGCCTTGTCACGAAGTGATCGCGTTGGCTAATAGGCGTCACTCTCGGCGTTACTGCTGTTGCAGGCAATACGATTAGGGCTACCATGAGGATCGATCACATCGTCCAGGGTCGCCGATTTAATGATCATGTCCTTAACAGCCTTCCCATGGAGGCCGACCAGTCGGATATAGTAGGCCGCAAGGCCGGAAACATGGGGGCACGCTCTATTTGTAAATTGTGAGAACTCAAGAATCCACGTTTGAAAGTTGAAGGGAACGTACATATGATTCGTGCCGCTGATGGTTTTAGTTGCATCATCGCTTCTAATCCAGGCGTTAGTCCCGTCGACTCCAGGAGCGAAGACATCAACACCTGATGCCCAGTTGGAGGACTTACTCTCAAATCACCGAAGCCTAGCGCACCTACAGTGATTGCGCTCGGAGTTGAGGCCAGGGAGGAGCCCGGCACGTCTTTGTTCTTGTTACCCTCGACAGTCATACCGCCTCCAGCATCTGCAGTTTCCCCTACCGTCCAGGACACCTTGCCCATCGCTGAACTTGCTCGGATAACTATCCCACGTGTCATTGATGGCCTGCTCCATTCACAAGCGCCATGTCAAATCGATGCATGGCGGATAACACAATACGTAAGGCCCGACGCTTGGATCCGTGTCAGCAGCGGTGATTTGAACGTATAACGTGTCTTATAAGCGAGCGGGACATATAAGCGAGCGGGACACTCTCCACCACTCTACAACAACCATCCTCAATTGCAATACAATAAGACCATTAACCAACTACAATTACATCAGAAACAGCTGAATCAGACCCTTCTACAACCTCCTGGCACGTACGGGCATTATGGCCAGGCTTGCCGCACACACCACAGCACCGAACCTTCGTACGAGCCCCCCCTGCACCACCACTATCCGGCTCCTTTTCTTGCGCCATCTCCCCAACCACGGCCTTCTGGTCCAGTAGATCCTTTGCATCTTGTACCGCAAGCGATCCCCCAAGCTGCACGCGTGTTCTTTTGGCTCTCCGGCGCTTGCTGAGTGCCTCGTTGGCCTTGCGGAGCGAAGAGACCTCGGCGCGAAGAAGAGCCATCTGGTGCATCACAGCCATTGTACCCTTGGCCAACTGGTCCACAGCAGCCAACATCGAGGTTGGGGAGCTATTTTGATGGTTGGCAATACGAGTCTTGATGAGTGTAGACTGCGCATTGGCTTCCCGGGAGTTGTGTGGTGTCTGGAAGACCCAAGACTGTGCAGTGCTAGGCCGTGAGGTTGGGGGTGTTGGTGTACGAAGCTTGATATCCAGCTTAGAAAGTACCCTCTCTGGATCGTACGGCACAAGGCCAGCACCTGTAAAGCCACCCTGTATATTCTTCTCCGTTATAGAGGCGAAGAAGGCCTCGCGGAAGGCATAGAGGAACTCGAGCTTGCTTATGTGGTTGATATGCATGCGTATCAAGTCCTCGACCTGGCGACCGTACGCCTGCTTCAGCGGCCCAAAGCAGCCAATATCGAGTGGCTGGAGGAGGTGGGAGGAATGCGGAGGCATACAGAGTGTGATAATGTGATGCTCCTGGCAGTAGAGCTCGAATTCGGTCGAGTGGTGGCTCTCGTGGCCGTCGATGATCAATAACCGATATTTGCCCTTTGTATGGGGTGCTGTATGGAAGTCAAAGTGCTTGATCCAATCGAGGCCTACGGCATTGGTGGTCCAGCCGTTCTCGGTGGTCGCGATACGCCAGTCGGCCGGGAGGTTGCACTCTTGATACCAGTTGGCAAGGTGGTATTGCGCGGCCAAGATGATGAAGGGTGGGATAGCCCAGCCGAGGGCATTGACTCCCTGGATTACCGTAGCCCACTCGCGGTTACCAGGCTGGGTCAGCTTTGCCTTGCTACGGCCATCAGAGGTCGTAACTACCATGCCTGGGAAGATGATACCTATCATGAACCCAGTCTCGTCGAAGTTGTAGATATCGTCAACCACAATGCCGTACTTGGCCTTGACATTCTATACGAGCGCGAACCACTCGCCAATAACCTCTGGATCCTTGCACTTGGCCCTCTGGTAGTCGTATCGACGTGACCAACGCGTATGGAGAGCGGGCTGGCGTTTAACGAAATTATAAGCCCAGAGCTTGCCGACAGGGGGCGCGTCGCGTACGCGTAGCAGTTGGTTGGCCATATCTTCCACACCACGTAGCCTTGGTGGAAAAGCTCGCTCAGATAGCTCAGTTATATACTGGACTATAGTCTTCTCTTCTAGATCGGTAAGCTTCCGTGAGTTGGCTGGAAGATCGCGTCGTATAGGCCGGCCGGTACGTCGGTAGCCGAGGGTTGAAACTGGCACGTTATAGAGCTTGGCCGCGGCTCGGAGGCTTAGTTTCGTATCATTTTCAAGAGCTTTGAGGGCTAAGGTTACCCTAGCTTCCTTTGAAGCGGAAGACATCTTTAGTTGTAGGAAAAACGCGTTGTTGGAGGTGGAAGAAGGACGCGTCGTGCCAAGAACTTAGTGTCCCGCTCGCTTATATGTCCCGCTCGCTTATAAGATACGTTACACTTCAGCTTGCAACCGACATGACAAGTACTAGCTTGAGTACTAGGAGCGTAATGAAGTATATTAAATTTAATGAGGCACAGAAGATTTTATGGCCAAGTCGTTGTCATGGCCGTGGCTTCTTTCCGATCCCAGAATCCAACACCAGCCGAGGCTGGCCGCGGCCAGAGTCACCGCGAGACTACAAACAATATGACCACAAGTAAGGGTGCTAGAAGGGTAAATGTACATCAACCGTGGGTGCACAGGGTGCAGAAAGCCGCTGGGGATCAAGAGTCTGACAGGGCTTGCGGTATCTGCCAGAGTGGGGAGACCGTGGCGCCTCCTGCCGCGGAAGTCGTTCATTATTGCAGTTGAGCCGCAAGTTGAGCGGCTACGTAGCTTTGGGCCGGTTAGCAAGGTCAGGTGCTGTGCCAGGGACCTTTAGTACTCACTCTGAGTCGTAATGTGACTCTGCCAGAGAGTCGGGCTGGCTCGGAACTTCAGCCAACTCGGGTCTGCTGGCGTCGGTGTTGGGTTGTGAATGAGCAGATGGGACATAGCTGTAGCTTCCTTGGGCAGAAGGCACCCCGGCGGGACTGCCATGGGTGTCGCCGTCGTTGGGAGGCGGACCGACTCCATCGGCTGGCGGCGGTGGAAGCTGTTCCTTTGCCTTGCGTTTCCGGTTCGGCTTGGGCCCCGTGTACAGCGAGCAGCTGGAAGTGTTATCAAACCACTTACAGTTCGAGCAGCTGTTGTGGTAGCTCCCCGGCAATACTCGGCAGGTGACGAAGGGGCCCAGAGCATGCTTGGCCCGCTTCTCGTTGCACTGGACGCACGATACGGGAGCATCCTGCCCACGCGAGTGGATCAGTAGCCCGTTCACGTAGCTCGGCCGCTGCGAAGCGATGTGCTTGGACGTTATCCAGCCTTGCACGAAGTAAATGATCTCGCGGCTGGGAAGGCGGAAGATGGCCCGCTGGGTTTCGTGGACGAGCGACTGTTCCGTTAGGGCGGCGCGGATGCAGATGGACACGACGGGGACGGCCCGCTCTCCCTTGGCCGCGTTCCAAGCCTGCACCAAAGGGTTTCCCTCATAATCTGCCTCGCGCACCGTCGCGTTTGGACGTCCTGGGGGCCGACCACGGCGTTTCTTGGGGAACTCCGCTGGCAGAGGCGATGTTGTGGAAGCGCCCGGATCCGATTGCTGACCATCTTGCGACAGAAGCGTTTCTACTAGCAGCGCGGGACGCTGTCTCTCGGTTGACTCTTGTGGGGACTGTTCCTGCAGGCTTTGGTCGCTCTGCTGTTCAGTTTCCTGGTCATTGTGTTGCGCGTATGATGCTTCCTCTGGCAAATGCCCACCAGATTCATGCACGGCGTTGTTGGCGGCAGGCGTTTCCGTCATGGGCGTGTCGCCTGCTTCGTCTCCCGTGTCTGGCATGTGGATTTATCTTGCAAACAGCCCTGATTGGCGATGCAGAGCTAATGGACCGTCGGCTACAAGAAAGCTGTGATGAAGATAGTGGTTTGGGCGCTTATTTTGTAGTCGCGATGTCAAGTCGAGGTTGGTTGGAGGATGCAGAAATTGTGGATCATGCACGTGTTGCTGTGGCCGGAAACCACCAAGTCCTCTTGGCATTGCATTTGACGGCACAAGTAAGAACAACAAAGGCCGGGCAGATATGGTAAAACGTATCAAACTGGCCAAAACAGTGTTTTCTGGGCTTTTTGGGCCATTTTACATAGTTCCATAGATCCGGGGACCTCGAATTACCCTATTCCAAGTGCCCGTAGTCACATGCGCGTACGTGATAGCCCTGTCCGCTATGGTAGGTCAACCGGGTTCGCAATCCGGTATGTCGACTGGCTTCCTAGTGCCGTAGGTTGATGATATTTGCGATATGGTATGTCGGTGGCAATTGCAATATAGTATGTTAACCAAGCTAGCAGTGCTATGCGAACAGAACTAACATCTTATATTATAAGCCTACCGTAGATAGTTAATACTAGTAGTAACTATCCTTCATTGCAAATGCCATTGATATACCGTATCGCGAATGCCGTCGACGTACCCGATCGCGAATGCGATCAATCTACATCACTACAAACCTAGTCAATATACCCGATCGCGAATGCCGTCGACCTACGGCACTAGGAAGCCAGTCGACATACCGGATTGCGAACCCGGTTGACCTACCATAGCGGACAGGGCTATCACGTACGCGCATGTGACTACGGGCACTTGGAATAGGGTAATTCGAGGTCCCCGGATCTATGGAACTATGTAAAATGGCCCAAAAAGCCCAGAAAACACTGTTTTGGCCAGTTTGATACGTTTTACCATATCTGCCCGGCCTTTGTTGTTCTTACTTGTGCCGTCAAATGCAATGCCAAGAGGACTTGGTGGTTTCCGGCCACAGCGCAGCGCAGGTATTGTACTTATACAATACAGTACAACCTCACAGTACTCCGTATATCCGTATTGCATTGTGCAAGCGCTTACTTGAAGACTAGGGTCTGCCCCGAAATCTGAACCTCGACATCAAAACCGCCGTTTTCTCTACGGGAAACGTTTATAGATGAGCTCAAGCTTTTAGTTAATGTGAGATTCTCCATACTCATGCGCTGGGTTAGTTTTTCTTCGCAGTTTAGGAGTGTTGTTGCGGTCCGTGACTACTGGTAACAATTAGTCAGGGGTTTACACCAACTGGCGCCACGCCGCCAACCCTCCAGCGCCGACGTAATGCGACGGCCAATGCGGCATTAGCCGATAACTTGGAACGGCAGCCTGCGCCGTGCCAACCGAAACAGCAACATTGCGCACTTGTTTGAACCGTCGATTGCGCCGAATTCAGTCCTTCGCTGAGCGAGATACATTTTTACGTCCAGCGCATGTTGCCGACTGCCATTCACTCGCTCCACTATGTCGAATCCCAATGCGCTGCTCCTCCTTGCCGACCACATTAAGCTGTCACTCCTCGAGCAGCAGCGTGCCAAGACGCTGAACCTGCGGCGCGACTCACAAGATGGACACATCTCTCGCTCCCTGGACCAGTTCCGGGAAGGGCTAGAAACCCTCGAGAAAGAGCATCAACGACTACAAGACGGAGGCGATGATTCGTGCGTCCCCCCTTACTCTCTAACAATCCGGCCTTGTCCTTGCTGACACAGCGCAGCAAAGCCTCCACGCTAGCTGACACCATCGCCTTGCTGCGCAAGCAGTATTCCGACCTCTCGTCGCAATTCCAGGGCAACTCGTCCACCGCGACCGCCTCAACCCTCACCCATCCCAACGACCCCTCCCTCGCAGCCGAGTTCGCCCACGCTCAATCCTCCTCCTCCTCCCACCCCCAAACCCAACCATCACAATCACCGCCACCCTCCACGCCGATCGCCCCTCAAACACACACTCAGAAAAAAGCAGTCCGCTTCTCCTCCCCAACCACAGACCTCGAATCCCAAACCCAACAAACAACCACCACCCCCCGCTCCCACCTCTTCCAGGGCGGACGATACCGCGACGACCCCGTCCCTGGAGAAGACGACGACACGGCGGGGTACCGCGACGCCATCGAGGCCTCGGCGCTGAGCAACACGCAGATCCACGCGTACCACCAGCAGATCCTGGAGGAGCAGGACGCGCAGCTCGACGCGCTGGGCGCCTCGATCGCGCGGCAGCGCGAGCTCTCGCTGCAGATCGGCGACGAGCTGGACGAGCAGGTGCTGATGCTGGACGAGAGCGAGCGGGCGGCGGACCGGCAGGCCAACGCGCTCAGCCGGGCGCGGCGGCAGGTGGGGCGGATTGCGCGCGGGGCGGCGCGGAGCGGCGAGGGGAGGCAGATGGGCGCCATCATCGTCTTGATTATCGTGCTGGTGCTGCTTATTGTTATCTTGAAGTAGCCCAGGCTCGGACAACATCAGGGTTGTCGCGGTTCATTTTTCCTTTTAGAGCGATGTACTGGAAGGTTTGGGGAATGGGGGACGATTCAGGGTTGGGTTAGTTCTCCCGGCACGGTTGAGCTGCGATACAATGATCGTGGAAGAGGCAAGTGTCTCTTTTCCCAGTCTGGGCTCGCTACCTGATGAGTCTTGCAAAGCCGCCGTGTCATTTCGGGAGTTGCGGCTAGGTTGGAACTTATGCACGGCGTCTTGGCGTTCCGGTAGAGAGCTAGCTGGCGGCTTCTTTTGGGGTTTATGATTTCTCCCCTGATAAAGACCCACCTTTCTCAACGGATGTCCGTGTCCAAGCTTATTGACTTACCTGTCGCGCTCAAGGAACAACACCAAGACAGAGTCATCACCGGTCCTCTCCACTCTGATGGAGCCCGCATCGGACCCTCAACCATCACCAATCCACAAGCCCGATTAGCTCAGCTGGTTAGAGCGTCGTACTAATACCGGTTCCACCCGTATATGGTATGCGAAGGTCAACAGTTCAATCCTGTTATTGGGCATTCGCCTTTCCTTTTGCGCATATTTCCTTTTGCTTACTGCGGTCCGTTTCTTTTGTGCCCCTTATTCTTTTGTCCTTGGTACGAAATGAGTGAACCGAGTCCTGGGATAGCCTTGGGAAGCTCATCATCGCCAACAGCTGGGTTGCTACATCGAGGACAATATTGAATGGCACCAACCGTCAGCATCAGCAATAGGTCAAGGAGCCGGCGTTACAAGATACGGTTAAATTGATGTTGCTCATCAAGTCTGCATTCTGTTCCCGTCGAGTGGCCATCCTCACGTAGCAGCTCCTCCTCAGCTCTGGTCAAGCAACGCTTTGCAGCACGGCATGCTCTCCTCTGGTGCGTCCAGGATCAACGTGATCTCCAAACCACCCCTGGGCCTGTGTGACCCCGACAGAGAAGCGTTCCTGAATCCGGCACCTATGGTCTTCCTTCCGGGTATTCCCTCTTCGCAAAACCACACCTTTCATCCCGATTAAAACGCCCGCAACCCTACATTCAGCGAATTACCATCTCATCCTTGTTAATATCCTCCAGAAACTCGAGGATGGCACTGCCCCCGAGCACGCCGACCCCAACAGGCGTTGCCTTCTTGTCTGCCGCCCATACTTCATGAAACTTGACGCTCCTGTCGCTTGACGCAACCATAATGCATCCTTCGACAGGTGTGCGGCTGCTACCCCGCGCCTTCTTGTCCCTTCTTCTACTATTCGACCTTTCCGTGGCCGGGCCGCTAGGGGATACGCAAGGGTACGGGATCGCATAGAGCGCCCGATGCTCGCCGTTCCAAGGTACGGCGGCAATCTGGCGGCAGTCCGGCCAGGAGAAGACAGCAATGCGGATCGGGTGCTCTGGCTGGGCGAAGCCGAAGGTGGCGGCAATCTCGTGGCGGGTCGTCGACCAGATTAGGCTGGTCACTTGGGCTGAAACCGAGATGGATGCCAGCGCGGCACCAGACCCGGTGTGCCAGAAATGGATGCACATATCGTTGGAACCCCCTCCAGTCGCCACCAGGCTAGTTTGCCAGGGGCAAAATGCAATGGCCTTGACCGCGGCTCCATGCACCCACCGGTGCTTCTCGTCGCCAGTCCTAAGCTCTTTGGCCCCGCCAAGTTCAGTGACCTGGATCTCGGTTTGGGCGTCTGATATCCCGCTGGCTGTACGCACATACTCCGCAGAAGACGACTCGGCCTGGTGTTCCTCTTCCTCACCGTGGCCGTTGGCTGGCTTTCCAACGACATTGGCAGTCTCGAATAAGCAGCACAGGTTGTCGTTTGCCCCTGTGCTAAACATTTCTCCGTGGGCCGACCAAGCCAGCCCGCAGATCTGCTGGGAATGAATGGAGATATGGACCAGCATCGTCATTTCCCCTTTCCAGTTGTTGCGCTCCACCTCCCACCTCTCGGGCCACTCGACGGAATAGTAGTAAACATGGCCAGCTTCACTTCCGACGAGAAGATCTTCCGTCTTGACGGGAACCCCAGGATTGAATGGGTTCAGAGACGGCCGGATTGTGCAAACTGGCTTCCAGCTTAGACAGGAAACGGGGGACGGACAATCCTTCTCAAACCGTGGCGTGGGACAGCCAAGTGGCCGATCTGGGTCATCGTATAATGACATCAAACAGAGGGTCTTCTCTGTGCTGGTCGATCGCCCGAAAGCGAGGATTGCTTTGCACCCCTCAGGCGATGAGAACGACAAGCTAGTTAGATAGCAGTTGGCATCAGTCCCAGCATTGAGGAGCTGCACGCCCCGTGTCTCAGACCAGCCGTAAAGCAAACAGCCCAGGCCAACAGCCAACGTCTGTGCGGTAGGGCAATATGCTAGGTTCGAACAATAGAAATCATCCCGCAGATTAGGGGCATCGAGAACCCTAACAATCGTCAGCTATCCGCGACACTATCAATCACAGGCACGGAATCGCTCACTTGAATGGAGCTACGGGCAATGCTCGGTTTCCCAGGGGCCTCTGAGCCTTCGGGATGGGGCCTTCGTTAACCCATTGCGAGCCGTCCCATTGAGTCAGGACGCGGCCTAATTTGTTGGAACTGGTGCCGTCATGGCTCACCGTTAAGCCGACATCGAGCACGCGCTGCGCTCGATCTAATCCGAGTGCGGCAGCGAGCCGAGCCCGATACTTCTCCAGCTGCTCATCGTTTTTCGGTTTCACCGTTGGAAATGTGGCGCGGAAAAGCCGAGCGTTAGTCCCACTCCTGACTAACTCGCCTCGGCCGTTGTTAACGGCAATTCCTCCAAGTCCCGGGCTCAACGCCATGTTGTCGTTGACTTGTGTCTCATTGCCTTCCACATTATTCTGATCCAGTGGGCTAAGGACAGTGCCCACTACTGGGCAGTTAGCAAGCACTAATTTAGCTCGAACCCCAACATTGAGAGACTGACCTCTGTTCCGGCTTGCTGCGATCTCAGCGCGGGATAGTGAGCGGAATTCGGGGGCAAGGGGGGTTAGAATCCTCCGGCGGTAGACAAATGCGTCTTCGGTTGCTCCGCTGTGTCGGAGAATCTTCTCTGCAGCGGTCAACTGTTGCGGTGACTTGCTTGTCCTGAACCTTTCGGAGGACGCTGTCCCTTGAGGTCTCGCAGGGATGAAGCGGTCTAGATGACGCAGCGAGGTGCTGCTAGAAGCCCGTTGTCCAAGTTTAGCCGTCGAAGGAGGGTATGCCGGAAAGATTAGACGGCACCGGTTTGGCAGAGTGAACAATTTTGTCTCCTGATCCTCCCGTACCTCTCTTGCTGTTGCAGAGGCTGCTGAGCTGGCTACTTTACCGCTGAATGTCTGCTCGTCATCACTGTCGATGAAAGGATCGTCCGAGTCAGACTGGTCGCCGTCAATATCGGTCCAGTGGTCTATCAATCGTCCCTGATGCTCTTTGCCAGATTTCCTTGGTGTGGACGGCGTCGTAGCAGCAGAGCCATAACCAGAGTCCGTTGGGCTGACAGGGCTAGGCGTAGAGCGAAGTTCATGGCTCCCATGACTGGGTCGTCGACGGAAGTCGTCAGATGGCGGCATGATTTCTTCGGATCAGGCTGCGGGCCCTGCTGCTGTTTCTCGGAACACAACACTAAGCACCGCCCCAACCACGGGCGAGGTTCCGGGCCACTGCGTGAATTGGAAACGGAAGCAAGCAAACGCAAGGGGACAAAAGAATGGCAGCCCCAGATTGCAATCTTCTTGGTCACAGGTAGACGATCATGGGAGCCTTGTGGTCCAACAAGCACGCCGAGTGAGTACAACAATGCTCAAAGAGGTCAGCGTACGGCGGCTGCAACCTTGTCCGACTGTCCAAGGCGGATCACTTGGTCACCGAGAACGATATTGCGATGGGCGTATCAATAATATTATGTAAGTTGCATAGGGGAGCTTGGTTGTAACAGGTTATGTCACAATGGGACTGTAACTGAGACAAGTGTCGGGTACTCCAAAGATTCACGGAAGGAGGAGTGGCCTGTGACTGATGATGGTTTGGTTCAACCAGAGCAAGTTCGACCTCAGGGGGATCACTGTGGCAACCGAGACGCCTGACCCAATCGGACACAAGTCACCGGGCAGGACCTCGATTCGCGACTCGAACCACGATCCCCTGATTCTGGAAGGAACGAACGTGGTTGTGGAGAGTTTTTGAAGCCCGGAGCACAGAGGAAGGCACGGACGTGTTAGAGACGTCAACAAGTTCCGGAATCGGTCTCGAGTCCTCAAGTCCGTTATTGAACTAGTGGGTCCAAGGTTCTTATCGATAGTAGTTAGCGTTACTTACTCTATCAAGCGACAACCCTGCGGTTGCAGACAACCCGGTGGTCCCGGTCCGAGACCATCGAATAATCAGTCCATCCTCGACTTCAAGTAGCGACGAAAAAGACACTCGAAGCTTCAAGCCTAGGGCGGCGCAAGCCGACTCGAACACTCCGCTTGAGGGCAATAATGGCCGACGTAAGGATATCTAGCCCCGCACCACGCCTGCGCAGCCACTGGCCGGAAAGTTGACTGATAGCAAGGCCGCGACTAGCAAGGCGGGTCGCAACACGGCATAGCCCGGACATCGCGCGTGCGCACAGAGGACCAGAAGAAGCGCGACCTCGAGCGCATCCAGAAATACCGCGAGCTCGAGGACCAAGTCCGGTCGTACGTCTCTCGGGGCGACTACTCCGCCTCCGTCTTCCAGCTCACGTCCAAGCTCCTGCGCCTCAACCCGGAATATTACACAATATGGAACGTCCGCAGGCGCTGCCTAATCTCTGGCTTATTCTCCAGACCATCGGCTGGGTCATCATGCTCGACGGCGTGCTCGAATACTTCTCCTACCGCCACTACAACACCATCTTCCACCAGCTCCTCGTCCTCGTCTTCGGCCGCGACCCCGCGCGGCCCCGCCTCCCAGACAGCTGGGAGGAGTGGTACAACAGCTGAGGCAAGCAGCAGCGGGCCGGAAGCGTCGGAAGCCAGGGGGGACAGCAACTGCGATGCTGCTGCCGCCGCCGCCGCCGCCGCGGAACAGCAGGACCTCTCAACGATCAAGACCGAGCTCAGCTTCACGATCCCGCTCCTCCTGGAGAGCCCCAAATGCTACTGGATATGGAGCTACCGCCTCTGGATCCTGCAGCAAGCCATCCAGCGCCTCCGCAGCCGCGTATCGCGCCAGATATGGGAGGAGGAGCTGGGGCTGGCGTCCAAGATGCTGGGCAAGGACCGGCGCAATTTCCACGCCTGGGGCTATCGCCGGCACGTCGTCGCCCAGCTGGAGAGCGCGACCCTGCAGGGCGGCAGCATGGTCGAGGCCGAGTTCGCATACACCGAGCGGATGATCCACACGGACCTGTCCAACTTCTCGGCGTGGCACAGCCGGAGCAAGCTGATCCCGCGGCTGCTGGAGGAGAGGGGTGCCGACGACGCGGCGAGGAGGGCATTCCTAGAGGAGGGTATGTTTCCGTTTCCTCTCTGGTCCATCCGCCAAATTGCAGCATGCACCCGCCTACATTACCTCTCCTAACATAGCCCACCATATGTGGTGTACCGAAGACAACGGAGCTAACGGTGCCACGCAGAGCTAAGCAAGATCCGCGAAGCCCTCAATGTCGGGCCTGAGGACCAGTCGCTGTGGTACTACCACCAGTTCTTGGTCCTCAACCTGGTCTACCCGGACAAACACCCCGTCATGACACGAGGGCTCACGACACAGGACCGCATCGCCTACTTGACGCGCGAGATTGATGAGATCAAGGATCTGCTGGAGGACTACACCGACGTGCAGCTGATTTACGAGGGACTGTTTGAGTACACACTCTACCTTTGCCAGCTCGAGGGGAGACAGGCCGATGCCGGCGAGCGAGCAGACCTAGTAGCGTGGCTAGGAAAGCTCAAGCGGTTAGATCCGATGCGAAAGGGAAGATGGGCTGACGTTGAAACGGAGTTGGGGCTGAAGGAGGGAAGGGATGCAGAATAACGGTCTGAAAGGCGTGTATCCAGGCTCATTAGCGTGTAATTCTTCGTCTCGAGGCTCGCCAATCGCTATACCCCCACCGCCTAGGCCTTGTAGTGGTGCCTTTCCTTCGCCCCAGCTTTAACCACCAATACAACCACCTCACCCGTCCTCTCAACCCCCGCCGTTCAATGATCCGCCCGCCGAGCCTGCTCAACCGCAACAGCTCGTCATCCACCTTCCGGTACCGCACTTCCCAGCGCAACCAATCCTCCACTCCCGGCAGGGCAACGCCCAGCGTAGGCAAGGCCAGCAGCTGCAGCTTCTCCTCTTCCTTCAGCTGCCTTTCCCACTCCAGCCGGCCCGCAAAGAGACTGTTCAACCCGCCCGTTCTGATCTGAGCAACGACCTTCGGTTCGTCCAGGTGTTCCTCACCGTGAGATTCCGCGCCACCATCGCCGGTAGCAGCAGCAGACTGAGGCTGTGTGCACTGCAGGTCCTTCGGCCACCAGCTGCCGCCAGCGAGGAGGTCGCTCATGTCGACGGTGGCGTAAATCGCTGGGAGGGTGAATCGGGTCTTGCCCGGCGCATATCGCCGGAGCATTGAAGCGAGCCCCTTCCTGGCGTGGTCGTCGGCGAGGCCCTCCCTGAACGGTTTGTGGTGCTCCGGTTCGAAAGGAGCAACAACGACTTTGCAGGGCAGGCGGTGCAGGATGCGGATCCAGTAGCGGCCGTCGAAGAGCTCAGGCTCGGCCCAGCCCAGTGTCTTCCACGCGCTGGGATGCTTGCCGAGACGTTTCGCAAACGGGAGTTCCCGGAAGGTGATTGAGGGCCGCGGGACGTTCGAGGCGTGCGGTGCTCTTGTCAGCAGCCAGCGGAGGGGGTAGTCGTCCGCGGCCAGGGGAATGAAGTGCACGCCACAGATGACATAGGGTTTGGGTTCCGGTGGGGTTGCGTCTTCTTCTGCCAAGGACGGGAAGAACATGGAGACCAGGTGGCTCAGTTGGGCAACTTGGCTCAGCTCCCGTTCCGGCGTCACCATGGAGAGCAGCTTGCGGATCAGGAGCGCGGCGATGTGGCGGTAATGCTCGGCGCGCCTCCGCCGCGCGGTCGGAGAAGCTGAGGACCTCCTGGGCACAGACGGAAAAGAAAGCTTGGGAAGAGTCAGCACCACGGTGCCGGCATTGGCCCAAAACTCGTGGATCGCGGTGCGGCTAAGGAGCCTCCCCGCCTCGGCTTCGGCCGAAGCCACCCTTGCTCGGCACCGCTCTGCGAGTTGAAGAATGGCGGGCTTCTGCAGAGCGACAGGCAGCTTGTGGTTCTTGTGCATGTATCGGACAGCGTTCCTCATAGTCAACGTCTGGTCGGCGTTGGTGTGGTCCTCAAACCAGGGAATGCCGTTCTCAAGGCACGTTGCGATCAACCTCTCCTTGCTGAAACGGAGCAGCGGGCGGTACACCATGACGCCGCCATCCTCAAACTCCAGCGGCATCACAGCAGGGGCACGCTTGCTTCCTTTTGCGATACCGTCATAATCGTCGGCGTATGCGGCGACAGCGTCGATCTTCAGGCCTTCTTCAACCTCCTTGGCGAGAACAGCAGGGTCTATCTCATGCCTGAGGCCCCTCCTCAACTCCCTCCTCTGGCGCTCATTCGGCGTCAGGTTCCAGAAGGGATTGTCGCGCCGCTGGTCGTCGATGAATCCGCTCTGGTACACGCCGTGCAAGTCGTAGCACTCCGGGATATCAGTTGCGGGACGCATCCCCTGCAAGCCGCGGTGCCCGTGGCCCGAGAGCAGCCTCATCATGACAGTCTCATACTGGTCGTCCTCATGGTGTGCGGTAAAGAGAGAGGCCACACGCCAAGCCTTGCAGAATGTGCCGAGACGGCGGTAGCGGAGGTAGCGAGCCACCGTCTCAACATTGGGCAGGTCATTTGGGTTAGCATCTCCGGCGTTTACGTCACCCCAGCGGATCTTCAGCGTCTTCGGCCTCAGGCCAAGCTGTCTGAGGACTTTGGCGACACTCTCCGCCTCGTCGGCGCTGCCCTCGCGCAAGCCGTGGTCGATGATGAGGCCGAAGGCATTGCTGACAGGATGGTCCGCAACCTTGAACCAGTGATCTGTCTGTTTGATGGTGGTGCAGAGGTAGGCGAGGGCCATAGAGTCTACTCCGCCACTCACCGCCAGGGCTTTTGTATTTTGCGCGTTAACCACCATCGTCGTCAACCTTGCACCATGTGCGTAAAAAGGGGGGGGGACCCACCGATTGGTCGATGAGTGCGTCCACGCGCCAGAGGGAAGCGTGGGGCACATGTGGCCTGCAGAGCCTCGAGGAACTCATGGGGGGTGATGGCCCGCGCACTGCGGTGCAGGACCGGCGGTATTGTGCTCATTCCATCACAGAGTCAGGTCTCTGGGACTGAAGACTGACACCTCGATTCAGTTGAAAGTGTGGGAAGTATTGAAGTGTTTCCTTCCTCAATTGGATGCATGCATGAAGCGAAGTGGTCCAAGCTCCTACGGTAGGTTGTAGCTTAGACCCTGGCCCATGACCTCACAAGGCCGTTTGCCTGTCGGTACCGGAGACAAAATCTCGGGCAAAACACCAACATTGGACTCATCGACTCATCGTGGCTGCTGTCCGGACCCACGATGAACACCACGACCCAATGATCGCATCCGCCAGCACGGCCGAACAGAACCTTCCCATCCCATCCCATCCTTCATCAACTAGGCCTAGTTTAGCACCATCCCCTCCGACGAAACCCATTTAGCGTATTGTGCATCACCAACCCCCGAGCTGCGCGAACCTGTTGGCTATACGCCACCACTCCCGACTCCAAAGCATCCTAATTTAAAAAACAAAAATCAAGACCACCATGTCAACAACCCCCCCAAAACCATCCACCTCCCCACCCCCGCCACCGTTCCAAACCGCCCTCCTAGCCGGCGCCTTGGCAGGTACAACAGTCGACCTCTCGCTTTTCCCGCTCGACACGCTCAAGACCCGCCTACAATCCTCAGCCGGCTTCTTCGCGTCGGGCGGCTTCCGGGGCATCTACCGCGGGGTCGGATCCGCCGTGGTCGGGTCGGCCCCGGGCGCGGCCTTCTTCTTCTGCACGTACGAAGCAAGCAAATCCTTTTTTCTCTCTACCTTCTCCTCCTCCTCGTCCTCCTCCTCCGTCGTCATCAATAGTCATGCGGGACCGGTGGAGCACATGCTCGCCGCGTCCGCGGGGGAGATCGCGGCGTGCGCGGTGCGGGTGCCGACCGAGGTGGTCAAGCAGCGGGCGCAGGCGGGCCAGCACGGGGGCAGCTCGGCGTCGGCGCTGCGGCACATCCTGGGCCTGCGGCGCAGTGCGGGGCTCGTCGGGATGTGGCGGGAGCTGTACCGCGGGTGGGGGGTCACCGTCATGCGGGAGGTGCCCTTCACGATCCTGCAGTTCCCGCTGTGGGAGGCGCTCAAGGCGTGGGGGCGCGAGAGGAAGGTCCGGACGGGGAGGGGCCTGTTTGGCGATGTGAGCAGCGCGCGTGCTGCGACGGCAACGAACGAAGCGGGCGGCCGGGAGGTGGGCGGCGAGGTCAGCGCGGCCGAGTCGGCGCTATACGGGAGCATAGCGGGCGGGGTGGCGGCGGGTGTGACCACGCCGTTGGATGTGCTCAAGACGCGGATCATGCTGAGCACGCGCCGCGAGAGCATGGTGGAAATCGTGAGGACGATCCTGAAGGAGAATGGTATCAGGCCGTTCTTCGCCGGCATCGGGCCGCGCGTGATGTGGATCAGTGCCGGCGGCGCCATCTTCCTGGGGAGTTACCAGTGGGCGGTGAATTCCCTGGAGAAAAGGGGGCCAGTATCATGACGAGAGACGGTCTCGTAATAGGGATGATCCGACCAGCAAGCAGTGCTGGGAAGAGACGGACGCCCCCAGCCAGGAGCCACCACGGCAGATCCTCGCGGCTCCCTTCGAGGGGTATCTTCCGAACGCTACCCATGTAAAAACTACGGATGTAATGTACATTATGTTGGGCTAACGGATATACCCTATAGACTTGGGCATACAGAACCTAATCATAGAACGGGCTTGGCTTCCATGGGCAGCGCTGAGCGACTCATCAAGGCAGACACTATGCTCCCTGAGCAGCGGTTTCAGGCGCACCCTGTTCCTCTTCCTCCACCGGAGCGGGCATGGGGATCTCCTTCCTGCCGTTGGCCTTGTAGTGGAGGATGATGTCGTTACCGCCCCTCCAGACATGGGTCCGCAGAGTGGCCAGCGTCATCTTGATGGGCAACAACTAGACGACGAACCATCAGTTCCAAGCCGAGCCAAACAACACCTTCTGATGCGCGGTAAAAAGTAAAACTCACCTGATCGTTGCAGTACAACTCCAAATACTCCTCCGGCTTCAGCGCATTTGGATCCGGCTCCTGGCCCTCGGGAACCGGGTCAATCCGCTCGGCCACATAAGCCAGGATCTTCTTGACGCGCAGCATGCGATTAGCATTCAGCCGGTTGTTGCCGTCAGCCGCCACGATGGCCGGCAGCGTGTCCCTCCACGGGTACAGCATGAACGAGATCTTGACGGGGTCCTTGGGCGGCAGCGCGTTGAGCAGCAGCACCTCGCCCAGCCACTGCGGCGCCCGCTCCTCGATGGCGTCGGCGTCGGCGCCGACAGATGCCACCGTGCCGCGGTAGATCTCGGCCGAACCGCCCGTGGTCTCCTCCTGGATGATGACCTTTGTGCCGGCAGGCAGTTTCAGCACGGGCGTGTCGTTGGCCAAGCTCGGCGTGAGCTTGGTCTCGACCAGCTGGTCCGGGCTCTCGGTTGCCTGCTTCTCGTATTCGTTTCGGATCTTCTGAATCACGCCGAGAAAGCTGTCGTCGAACTCCTTTTCGTGGTTGGACGACGACTCCGACTCCTCTGCCCTCTCGTCCAAGACCGCCGGTTTCTCAGCCGTCACCGTGGACAAGGACCGTCCCAGTTTCTTAGTGCCGAAGGACATGCCCATGCGGAACTTCTTGCCAAATGTCGTGGGCGACTTTGCGTTGTCTTTGTCCTTATCCTTATCCTTATCCTTATCCTTGGCATCCTTGGCATCCTTGTCCTTTTCCTTGCCGTTGTCGCCGGGCGTCTTGGGCGCCTTGTCTTCCGATGGAGGTGCCTCCGTCGCAGGTGTCTGGGCTGGTTTGGCACTCTGCGCTCCCTCGGGGCTCTGAATCGCATCCGAGAAGTAATCTTCTCTGTCCTGTGATGGCCGGCTGGCGTGGGATAACCTGCCGTCAAGCGGGGTAAAGTTGCTTGCGAATCCCTCAGGCACCGGTGGCACGGGCGAGCCGGGAGTGGCTATCCCTATCGCCAATCCCGGAGTCATGGGCGGGTATGGTCCGCTCGGCCGAGGGGTTGCCGACGACAAGTCTGCTGAGCCAAAGCTCGGTCGGGAAGGTATGGATATTGACAGTGGCGGCGCGGTCCTTCCAGCCGCCTTTCTGTTGGCCGCGCCTTCGTTGAGCTTTTGCCTGAATGTCTCGTCACGCCGTATCTCCTCGTCGATGAGATTGGAAAATAGGTATCGAAGCACCCACTTTCCGAGGTTGACTGTGAGTGGTCAGCAATTTCATAGCTCAATGATGGATGCAAAAGACAACATACTTCTCTGATCTTCCCTAAATTCCACAGGCTCATCTAAAGCTAACTCATCGGCGTACATTTCGGCGTCAAAGCAGTTGTAGGGTTCCAGCACCACCGTCAGGTTCCCGGAGCTGATGTCGATCGAACACCAAGGAGCGACAGCCTCCCGCGTGTTGACCTCTGGCTCCACGTCCTCGAGGTGCCGTTTTCCGAAGCTCTTGACGGGACGGCACTGGAGAGTGGCAGTTAGCACAAGGGAGGACTGGAAGCAGGGACATTGAGTGTCAGATATGTCGCACCTGAATCAGATCCCACAGCAAGACATCGCCGGCGGTATCCAGCGTCAAGACCCGTCGCCTATCGTTCAGCAGCCTGTGTTTGACGAGGCCAAACTGTCCCTCAATGGTCTCCTCCGGCAGATGGTGGATCGGCTCGACGAGACTAGCCACAGGCTCAGTGAGAAAATCTGATCCTTTCCGCACCAGGCCCGGGAACGGTTCGTCAGCATCTCGGCCGATGACCAGTGGGAAGGATGCTGTATTAGAGATCCGAAGAATAGACTTCGCAGGGATTGCGGCCTTGACCGGTTCCCCTGTCGTAGGTGGAGAGGGGATGGACGGTGCCACGCTCTCCCTGCTTCGCACCGTCACCATCGACGCTCGGTGTTGTTTGTACGCGTCAGGGAGCTGAAGGTTCTCGCTTGTATCCACATCCTTCCAGCGATTAATAGACGCCCGGGCCGTTGCCGTCCATATGCTGTCTTCAAAGGCCACAATCTTGCTCACGCCATCGTTCTCCTTCGCAATGGCTAAAGACAGACCCCTGTCCATATCGCCCATGCACCCGCGCACATCGGTCTTGACCACCAGTCCAGAGCGATCGCTGCTGTAGAAGATGTTCAGGCCCGGATCATCCGAGAACAAGGCCCATACGCTGTGGTCGTGCATGGTAAGCGTGTGCATGCAGCGGCCCGCCGCCACGCTCCACACCTTGACGGTCTGGTCCGCGCTCGCCGACAGGACCATGTCCCCGGACGCACTGATCAGGATGGCGCGGACCATGTCGGTGTGGCCTACGAACTTGGTGATGCGCTTGCCGGATCTCGGATCCCACAACCGGACAATGCTCTCGGGCCCGCCGTTGGCCAGGATGTCGTGGGTGGCACCGAGCGCGTAGACGCTTCCCTTCTGCGGCACCTCCTCGCCCTGGACATCGATCTCAAGCGTCTTGCCGGCGCCTGACAGATCCCACAGGTACAGCTTGCGGTCCAGTCCTCCTGAAGCCACCCAGTTGGTGGACTGACTTGGTGTTGCGATACACTTCACGTAGTCGGCATGCTGACCGATGGTAGCGGGCTCCTCCGCATCACTGGCCAGGGGGCGCCAGACCTTGACGAGCAGATCAGAAGAGGCCGACACCAGGGCGGTGTGCTGCTTCGCGAGGGTAATATCATTGACCCAGTGGGTGTGTGCCTGAGTTTGCGCACGAAACCGGGTGATTGCCTTTGGTTTACTGCCATTGGGTTGGGCCGATGTGTCAACCACGGCGGACTGACGACCACTGTTCACACTGCGGTTCAGATCCCAAGCACAGATCACGCCATCTCGTCCGCCAGAATAACTGTGAGGAGACAGTCAGCAACAAGCCCCGGAGCAAGACAGGTTCTCGGGGTGGTAGATGGATCCCTAATTAGGTTGATCTCACAGGATAGCATTGTCGCGATCGACAGCCAAGCCATTGACACCAAGGCGATGGCCACCAGGCGAAGAATTGGGAAGCTCAAGGACTGAAAAGCAGCAAACAGGTCAATGCAAGGTGTCTTCATGCACGGATATCCAATAAATACGATGCTGTGTGATGGACGTGGCTACAGTCCGGATCGCGGGGCCAGTCCCATGCCGATGTCATGTTTCATGGGCACCACGCGGCCTGTGCGGGGGTGGTCCTACACAACCGTCTGGAAGAGATGGGGGGCAGGGACAGCTGGGGAAACGAAAAGGACGAACCATAGCTTATCCTCTGGCGAGCTTTCTTCGCCATGTTATGAACGGGACCAGAGTTGATACCATGCAAAGGCAGTCTCGAGCAAAGAGGCGTCTAGACAGCCGCTTCTGAGGTCGGTGTCCGTGGGCTGCCGAGAGGTCCGGACCTGTGGGGCGGCCCGGTCCGAAGCTGAACAAGATTCCAGTTCTAACCCTGTCGCAAGGCGCACGATGAGAGCATTGCACAAAGAAGGTAAGACCGCGCAATTGGAATAAAGATGCATGTATTGGTTGAATTGAACCTAGAAAATGGGCAGCTGTTATCGCGCGCGTCCCAAGACGTGCCATAGAGCGGGAGGACCCTTGTTAGTCTTGGCATGCATGGATGGAAGAAGCGGGGAAGCGGGCATAGTGGCGGGGCACTTATCCACTGCACCTAGTTTGCCAGTCATTTTTGCCCACGCATCCAATTGTCTACGGATACCAGCATTTACAGCACTTCCAGGCCATATAGACGACGACCGCATTGTTCCCGAACACTACCCAAGCACTATAGGTGCCCGCGTCGCAGCCAATAATTGTTCCAAGTACTCAGCCGGCGCCCGGGACACGAACACGCCTATCGATATGCCGCAACGTGTCTTAGTAGGAAGGAATTGACCTATATCCGTAACAGCTGGATAATAACGACAGAGTACCCAATACGCAAAGGGCAACCTGACAGGGCACAGGGCATGGCACAGGGCAGGGCGGTTAGATAAGCCACATGTACGGAATGGACAGAACGGACAGACGGCTAGTTTTACTGCATTTTGCGCGCAATTGGTGCATATGCATGTATATACCTCCGTAATATGGTGTAAATTGAAGTGTCCGAATGGCAATACGGAGTAGAATGTATGGCAATTGACTGTCATGTCGAGATACGATGCGCGGGTGCGATGCGCGGAGTTTTGGGCGGCGCTAGTCCAGATGCGGTTAGCTACAGTCATTTGGGCCCAACACAGTCCGAAAAGCCCACCTCTTACAAAAAGGCCGAATAAAGTACAGCAGCCTAGAGTTTGGATCACATCATAGGTAGTTTTCAAGAGCAGAAGTTGCTTCTCTTCCTGGGATGAACAAGGGTCTGCAGTTGAGCTTTGAAAACTTGCGATGCAGATTGCGAGCGAGCTGCAATTGCCCATTACAAAAGTACCGCCCATTCAGTGAAACCCATCGCTGAGGTGGTGGCAGCCACGGCTCGGTATTGGCCTCTATGACGTTTGACAAGGGCAGGAATTCTACGCGATGCATCTCAGCTGGCGGTCATCGCTGTTCTCGTCGGCCCGGACAATGTGCTCGCACCGACGCCGGTCCCTTGCAAGTTTGCCGGTGCCCGTCTTCGTGTGTTTATTACGTGTCATACATATGCATGTTTACTGTTCAGCCGCGTCCACCTGCTGGGCGATCGCGTGTGAGCTTGTCATTGCCATCGCCGTGTTCCGACATGTTAGCGGTGACGGTTGGAAAGAGAAGAGAGAATAGATAGTTGAATTTGTGGGCTGTGGTGCACTGACAGAAGCATTGGTCACTAGAGCAATCACCTAGCACTTCAGGCCACCTCATCTTCATTAGGTAGAGCTCGAGCAGCAAGGCCAGACAAGGCATCAATCAATCATGGTGATTCATATTTTATGATTTTCCCTCGTGTGCTGTATGGGCCATTGAGCTGCGAACCGCAGTCACTGCAGCTGTGCAGCGTCCATTGTTCATGGCATGAAATGACCACTCCATGACGCCAGATTCTGATTCCGGAATGGGTATCTACGCAATGTCTTACAGCAGGGCTCGAACTGATGTTGTCTCCGCAGGCCTTTGGATACAGGGACAACCTTCAATTATCTAAGGTAGGTTATCAACAAACAATAAACTCAAACACACCAATCTTGCCGTGCACCTCCGCCGGCGCATGGTTCGTGCGCCGCGGGAGGTCACCTTATTTTGGCCAAGGCCACCAGCCAGCCAGGGGCTTGTCATCGTAGATGCAGTTGTAGTTGAAGTCTGGAAATTGGCGGTGATGGCTGTAGCAATCCTGTCCTCTCGTGTTCCAGGCGTAGGCACTGAGCACGTTTTCGGGTGACAGGTTCTCCACGCGGAATTTCGAGAGAAGCTCGACCGAGGTGGCAACGACTTCGAGACTGGCAGCCCACCGGGGAGTCTCGTCCGGGCTGCAGGTCTTGTCGACGAGGATCAATTTGCGCGCATGATGGTACCCTTTGGCGGTCCACTCCGGCTCGATCGAGCTCGACATGTAGCCTCTCTCGGGCACAACATTGTCGGCGGAGCAGAAGAAACCCTCTCTCATCAACCGCGGCAGATCCTCGCATTTGGCGTTAAGTGTGGCCACCCACGGCATGATACTAGAATTAAACGTGGTAGCGTCATCTGGGATGCTGGGGTTGGTGACCATCCTAAGCCACAAAGTGGCCCATCCCTGGGTGGTTGTTGGCATCTTCAATTCTTGCGCTGAAGAATGACCACTTTGCTTGGCGTCGCCTGTGGCTTCTCTAATGGGCGATGTGGCTGTGGTTGAGGAAGCCACGGCGCTCTCGTAGGTGGGTGGAAGGTGCGGCAGTTGCATGATTCTTGCTGAGCACGTTTCTGTCGGTCGGGAATATTGGAGGAAGGAGGGAGGAGGGAGGACGGGAGGGAAGAGTCGGGAGGTGCCGGCTTTTATGCCAGTGCGATGCATACAATCAGCAGCAGCATGGCGTCATGCTCGCCACAAGCAGAGAGGCAGAGCCCACTTATGCTGCTCGTCTAAAATGGAAGATCAAAGGCACACTCTCCAGTAATTATAAACATGGTAAACGGTGGCTGAATTCTCGACCTCAACTACCCGGGTATCTTAATCTGGACTGCCCGCAGGCGATATTCTGAAGCAAAAGTCATGCAATGTCACAAGCAAAACAGGACCATGGATATGTACCATATCCAACATTCCATGCTGCATCGTGCCTCCCTCACCTGAGATGGGAGGTCCTATGTCGTACTTACCTGGCTTGTCGGATCCACATGCTGGACGCTGGTTGCTTCCGCTTTTCCAACCTGGCGACTTCCGTCCTGGAAGAAGCTTGGGCGCGGCTCATTCTGCGTTCTTGCCATTTGGCGAGGACGGACAAGCTGTAGAAGTAAGTAGAGAGGCTGGAGACAGTCTGTATATATTGACCGCTTCGCCGTCTCTCTTCATCCTTTTCCCTTTTTCTCGGCACGGTCAGTTGCTTAAGAAAACGCACATTCTTAAGAAAAGAAAAATTAACATCGTCAAGTTTTAATCATTTTACAACATGGTTAAACTGTAAGGACTCCAACCTCGCTCTCCTCATGGTATTGAGCTCACGCTGACATTGGACGACCGGAACAGTATCTTTTTGGACCTGGCGCCCGGTCTCCTCTCCCAATCGGGTTTCCGCACGGAGCCCACCCGGCCGGCTCCATCCCCGCCGACCGGCCGCGACCCCACACCCGGCGTCGCCGGCGCCCGACCCTCCCCCACCCCCGCCACCATAGATGTACGCTATCCACATCCCCTCACTCCGCTTGTGAAGCTAACGTTCGATTTCCCTGACCAGCTTGAGGCCGGTGCAGCGGCACGGTCTCAGCCCGGGGGTTGGAGGAGGGTAGGGTGTCGGTGCCGTCGGGAGGGGCGGGCCGGTGGGACTTGGCGGAGATCCGGGGGGGCTCTGTGTGGCATCTCGATTGGGAGGGGGACTGGACGTCAAGGCTTTTGGCGTTTTGGGTAGTGACATTGTTAGCGGTTGTAGTGTTAGTTTATATTCTTAAAACAATGTAGCGAACATTCTTTTCTTTTCCATCGGTCCAGTCCTCTCTGGTGTTTTTGTATCCGCAAGTTCCTCTCCCGTGATGTTAATGTTGGTCAAGCAGAACTTGTGTCAAGTTGTTGTCTTTCACCTTATCTGTATTGTACCACAACAGATCTTCCTTGTCTATCTCGACAGCCCCATGGCATTCACACTCACGACTCACTCGGTCCGTATTGGCATTTGTGACGTTTCCCAAGGGCGTCACCACCCTTGTCGGCCGGGATCTGGCGGTCGTACCCTTCATGCCCTACGAAGTAAAGAGGTCCACAAACTCCAGCCAGGGTGCCACATGGCTTCGGGTTTTCACACTGCCGACAGAGCGCAAGAAATGCCAAGGTGCCAGCATCAGTATCAGCTAGTGCAAGATTTCGAGGTTTCAGGCACCTTACACTTACACGTGTAAACTCACACATCATCGCAGAATATCGAACGATGAAAAATATCACCTCCAGATCGACACCAGACCGATGCCTTCCGGCCACCGTTGCCGGCGCTATTTGTAGTTGTTATAGAGGCGGCCGTAAATCGGGAACGTAAATGCGGTCGTCTCGGCCGGCAAAACATCGGGCGAGCGAGAAGTCGCCTTGCTAAGTTAGCAATAGCAGTCGTGCTAATAGCCGGTAGTTTGCTCCTCCTAAAATGATGTCTCTCTATGCGTATATGGTAATGATCTCGATAATTCATTGCAAATTATCAAGGCCGTTAATAGCGGCAGCCGAGACGTTAATCTTTCCAGCGAGAGAATTTTCATCGCATTTACATCCTAGGAGCGGTAAAATGGTAAGATGCCTGCCTGGGCCGTGATCTCCCTAATAAATGTTTGGATTACATACAGATCCTGCTCTCATCTCCCACAGTTATTCGCAACACAGACTGTATTCTCATGGATGTACTTGATCTGACCACGCTCGACCCTGATCAGATTGTTGGTTTGCGTGCCCGGTTCCCGCGGGATTGACGCGTCGAGGAAGGGGAAATTGTGGAAGATGTCGACCGCGCCGAGCTCCTCGTCGATGGTGTACCGCCGGTTCGTGACGTTGAAGGGCGGCGGGAAGTTCAGCTTGCAGTTGCCACCCCCGATATACGCGCCGCCCTCGAGCCGGGCGCAGTCCTTGGTGAAGGGCGGGTTGACGGTCGCGTCGCCCCACGCGTCGATGTAGGCGTCGCCGGCCGCCTTGATGACGGCGCGCGAGTCCCGCTGTGGCTCGGGGATGGGATCCCAGTTCTCCCGCTTGTTGTAGCTGAGGGAGCTCGTGGCGTTGAACAGCCAGTCGCCCGTGTCACAGACGACCGACTCGATCCTGTCGATCTTGTCGTCGGCGTTGAAGGCGAGCCGCGTCCCGATGACGTACGGGTGAGCCGTGGTGGCCACGATTTCGGTGTACGACGCACACTCGGTCGTGTCGTAGAGACTGCGGTTGAAGTCGATCTTGATGCCCAGCGACAGCACGCCCTTGGAGATGTCGATGGCCTCATCGTTCTCCTGGTACGTGACATTGCCCTCTGCCAGGCCCGAGATGCCCGCTGGCCCTTTCCCGGCACTCAGCGCTGCGAGGTAGCTCGCCGTGGCGTCTTGGAGGGAGGCGCGGGTGCATGCCGCAGAAGCATGCGAGGCAAGTAGGAGTAAAAGCAACATGGCGTCGTGGGTGGAATGACAGCAATCCCAGAAGAGCCCGATACTGCAAACACCCCTTCCTTCCATTTGGTCTTTATATCAAGTGCATCTTGGCCGGGGGGAAGAGGGGGGTCAAAATACCGTTCGCGGGTTTGTATAGTCCATTCTCCCGGCGTATAACCTGCTGTAGTAGCACCCGGGAGTTGTGTGATGCCCTCCCCAACATGCGGAAACTTTAGCCGTCATCCTTTTCAGAGGACATGTAGACAGGCTGCACCGGTAACATTCTGCTCCACGAATCAAAACAAGCTGATATGCAAAAGAAATGAAGATCGAAGCCTCAAGCATGGTAGCCAATGGACTTCACTGATCCTAGGATACCACCGGATACCCTTAGCCAGTATCTGAGCCAGACATGGTCTGATTGGGATGAACGGTAGACGATCTCTTGCAGAAATCTAGGTAGCCCGGCTCATTTGGACGATCCGGGCGGTAGAGAGCGGGCAGCATCTGCGGCCGCGCTTCGGCGCCGTCGGCGTGGCCTGGCCCGGCTGTAGTAAGGTAAATTAATATTTCGAAGTAGTTAGCCACCAGGTACTTATACTCTCGTCTTTATTATTACTTTTTTTTTTGGGAAGGGGGGGGAACCTTACCCGCTCTGGTCGTCACCACCTCGGCCTCGTACGGTCTCATCATCGGATGGTACCCGAAGTGGCTGGTGCTGCTGCTGCTGGTGGGGGCGGTGGCGGTGGCGGTGGCGGACGGCCGGGGGCGCGAGCCCACGGGCGTGCCGGAGTATCCGGCGTGGTGGACGGCGGCCGGATCCCGCGACGCGGCTGCAAGCCAGAAATTCGATGTGTCCCGAGCTAGTAGTGAAAGTAGGGCTAGTCATCGGATAGAAGCTGCTGGGACGCGTTTTTAGAAGGGACGCGTATCCAGATAGACGCGGTTATCTTTCCTTAACGCGCTGTGTTCAGACGAAAGGCGAGGTGCCTGGATAGCAGATCATGGACTCAGATATGGCCCTCCCCTGGGTGGAAGCCTCAGCTCTTCTATGGTATACTAGTAGGCTAAGCTAGTTACGGCCCTTCCTATTCATTCACACCCTGTCACGACGCTGTCCAGGAACTGCTATCTATCTGGACCCATCAATCTTTGTATAAGGTATGTGTTCCCCCCTTCAAGGGCTCACAGGGTCAGACCCAGTCACGAAGGAGTGTGCCTCCTGTAACGGCCTGCTCCTGCTGTAGGTATTCGGCCACGCTGGTGATTACGTATAAGTCACTATCTCTATCTATCTCCAGAAGTTGCGTAACTCTGTAAACGCGCGTGTAAGTCACGTTGAGGGTAGGTCCCGTGCCCTAGTGCGGCACACATTTCGCTGAACAGCTTATTAACAGGTCGTGGCAAATCTCCAACATCATAGCTCGCTGAAGTTCAAGCCAGGCCCATGCTGGGGGAGTTGCACTCCGTGATTAAGCAGCGCACACAATGCCAGGCGGATCACGCAGAAGGTTTCTTGACCACCCTTCCCATGCCATGGGCAAAAGGTTAAAGGGCCCTGCATACACCATATCACCCCGACAGTTCAAGCGATAAGGGGTCAATCAGACAGAACTAATCTAAAGGGAAAAGACCAAAAGGAGAAAAGTAATGAAAAGACGAAATACAAAACAACGAGGAGGAAGAACAGGAAGAGGAAAATGAAGAGGAGGAGGACGAAGATGAAGAGGAGGAGGACGAAGATGAAGAGGAAGACGAAAAGAAAAGAAAGAAATGCGATGGGAGATGTCCTTTACTTACAGGTACAGACGTTGGCATGCGAGCTTTTTCCAAGCAGAGCGTGTGCCACCGACCTCCCCCGCAGCAAAATACAACAGAGGACTTGGTACCGAGCTTTTCCAACTGGCGCAGGAAACCTGGTAGGTTTAGATTGACGACATTCAGTATTGAGGAAGAACAGGCAAAGGCGGTACGTGAACCCAGCACCCTGCTGCCGTCCATGTGTCTGTCACGTCATCGTTAATGCCTCTCTACCTTTCATATCCTGAAGCATCTTGGTAATGTCACTTTCAGACAAATTGTTTCTGTATCAGTCCTATTGTAAACTGTGGAGGCTACCTTAGCTTAAACCATGATCTCCCCCGAGAAGGTTTTAGCAACGCACCGTGGAGGCTGGCTGTATAGGTAGGTAAGGACACAAAATTGAGTAACAAAGCCAAACGAACCGAAGAAATTAACAAACCATGAAACCAGATGCCTTGACCGACTTTAATCATAGAATATCCCCCATCACACACAGAAATGCCCATATCTTCACCCATAACGCAAGTATGTCCTTGCCATCAGGATCCAGGTTCCCTCCCTACTACTTCGCCGACCTATACCCCCTATCCCCCGCACCCCAGACATCATTTCTTCCCAACAAAGACATCCACCCCGCCACTGGTACTCTTCCCCGTCATCATCCCGCCCTTGCCCTTCTCCCCTTTCCTAGCCAACATATTCTTGTTCACCCCCGGCCAATCACTGCCGGCCTTGATCAGCTTCACGCCATCGCCGGCCACCTGCAAGAACCCCGTGAGCGACGACAGGCTGATATCCCCCTCCCAGCTCTCCGGATACCGCAGCTTGATATTTGCCGAGGTGGTGCTGTGCGTGCTGTACAGACACCGCAGCTTCCCCCCCTCACTCCCATACACGGAGGGAGAAGAAGAAGAAGAAGAAGAAGAAGAAGAAGAAGAAGAAGAAGAAGAAGAGCTTAGCACGACATACCCCGGCGTCGCCCTCCCACCCTTCTCCTTCTTATCCCCTATCTCCTTGACCGGCTCATCAGGGGCAGGGGCAGGGGCGGAGGTATCAACCCAGAGCGGATCCAAGACCCTCACATCCGTCGCCCCGCTCGTGCTGTACGTCCTCAGCTCGACATCCCCTTGCTTTCCTGTCTGCCCCGCCAGCGACGAGTTTAGGACAGGAAGCAGATCCAGGCTGACGGTCCCCGACGTCGACTTGAAGCTGGCCCACGAGCTGAAGGCCACGGCGCCCGTGATATCGCCGCTCGTGGTCTGCACGTCGACACGGTAGTCGCGCGGAGGGAGGACGGACTCGGCTTTGTGCTGCGCTAGGTCCCGGTCTGGCAGAGACGGGAAGGCTTGGCTCATGCGCAAGGAGTGTTCGGCGGCGAGGATTGGCTCACGGAACTCGGCGTCGCCGGAGAGGGATTTGACATAGAGGGCTGCCGGTGCAGGGGCGTTGGCGTCGGCCTCCTTGGGCTCGATGCCGACTCTGATGTCGCCTGAGACGGATTGTAGGCTGAGCTCGTCATATAGCGGCCAGGAGCCCTTGATTGGGGACGACGTGGTCTTGACCGCGATGCTGCGCGAGTGGAAGAGGAAGGATTCGGGCGCCCCGGAGTCGATAAGCTTGTCGTCTCGGTTGCTAGTGCCCGTGGAGGCTGCAACGACTGAGCCAACAATGCTGTCAAGCTTGGCATAGTCGCTAACGGACAGCGCCAGGTTGTCAAGAAGCTTGATGTCAAGGTGCACAGCATCGACGGTGAGTCTCTCGAGCTCACTGTTCTCGGGAACCCAGACGGTGACCTTAACATTCACGCACGCCCTTGGTTTATCTGGGCTCCACTCGACTCGGTGCGGCACTGTGATCTTCAGCTTCCCGCCAGCCTCTCCATCCCACCTGATTGGGACTTGGAGACGCTCGTCAGTGACGGTAACCTCTACAGTCACTGCAGTGTCAGGTGCCCCAGGCCCAGCCCTGCGCAAGATGACGGCTCCTTGGGTGTGGACTTCGCCCCAACCGCGGCGGCCGTCGTCCTCGGTGGTCTTTTCCACCAAGACAAGCTCCCTGTCGGAGCCAAATGAGAAGTCGTAACCCTGGATGTGGCGGTGAATCTGAGTGTCTTTGCAGAAAGACACAGCATCCCAGCTGAAACCACCGTCGACCTCGGGGTAGCTCGTGTTCGGCTCTCCAGGCCGGGTCTGAGGCTTGTCAACGGGAGGGTCATGAGGACCAGTCTATAATACTACTGTCAGTGACGGGTGGGAGAGCCGGGCTCATCAGCTCATCAGCGCAGAAGTGCATCGTGAGATAGAACATGTTCGAGACATGCACCCATATGCGTGACACAGTGCTTAACAATCAGAAGATGGAACAATAAGAGACCCGTAGTAACTCACCCGTCCCTTTGTGCCAGTGAAGATGCTACTCAGAAAGCCAGATGTAACCAGGAGAAGGAGCAGGACGATCAACGCTGTCTTGCAGCATCCCCAGTTGGCATGCTGCCGCATTCTCCTGGCATGGGCTCTCCATGTTCCTGACGTGTCGTCACGCCCCTCAGGGTAGTGGTCCCGCATACTTTCGGGCTGGTGGGCCAAGAGGCCTTGAGTCTCTTCCGGTCGACCCATGTTGATAGCGATGGCGTCCGTGTCCTGTGAGAATGTCCTGTAATTCCTCGAGGGGACAAGGCCAGAAGCGTTGGAGGGAGAGGTCGGGGACGGAGTATAAGCAGGGGGCGCCTCCCTCGGCAAGAACGGGAAGTGTTCGCCATCGTACGCGGACGTACGCGTCGAATAGACTGTGGGGGAACTTGACGTTGCAGCTGTCGGACTGTGAGTGGATGACGACGAGCTGTAGTACGTGGCCCCTACGGACTGCAAGCTAGAGGCGATGCTTCGGGCCGCAGGGGCCATGCCGTAAGCGGATGAGGATCTATTCTGGGATGCTGCCGTCCCACGAGACGGAGAAGCTGGTGTGTTTCCGCCATCTGAGCTTGCGCGGCCCTCTGCATTGCGAAGTCTCTCTTGTTCAGCCTCTCTCGCCTTGCTTTCGGCCGTGCTCCGTTGCAGGGACGGATCCTCGACCAAAACGTTGGGCACATAGGGGACATTGGATGACGTTGGCACCGCGGTCCCGGACGGAGTATCGGTCGCCGCGCCAAAGTAGCCGTCAGTAGGCGAGAGAGCATGTGGCTCCCCGTCGTCGACAGCGTCAACCGAGCCTATTGCTTCGTGTGCGTCCATATGCGTAGGCACATAGCTGTCGCGGGCGTCCAGCCGCGAGGCCCGGGAAGCTACACCTGATCCATCGTTCCCATCTTGGGCTGGAGAGTCACCAATCTGCTCGATATCCGACTCATCGTCCACCATTGAGTAAAGGTTGTCTGAGTAAGGCATGGCTACTGACCAAGGCTCCGTGGACGAGACGCTATTCGGGGAGCCAAGCAGCGATGAAACAGTGCACAGAGCTTCTTTAGACGTCTCACTTCAGACAGCACCTGGTGAAGCCAATTGAACAAAAATAATAAAGAACCCCCCACAGTCAACGTTCATGAAGTGCGAAATTCGAGACACCGCAGCGGCCTGGAACCAATTGGTTCGGGAAACCGAGAGGAAGTGAAGAGTGTTCCGCAGTCCTGGGATCGATACTGACCTCCGGAACACACAGAACACTCGAGGACAGATTGGACTCACCACGCTCGGTTCCGTTGAGGTGAGGGGGATGCACGCCGTAACCATGGCCTCGTCAGCATGCTGCTGATACGACAATGCCCGGGGCATTCAGCAGGGGAGCCAAAAATCCTGTAAAGAGCTTGCACAAAGTCCTCACACCAAAAGCTGGCCTAGCTATCACGCTGTTGCCGAATTAGGAAGCTGCGAATGCAGCCCATGGGACGATAGGGCAGGCAGATGCGGGGATTCACTCGGATGACGCAGCATACCAAGTTGGCGCCTCACCTCCAGTAGTTCACTGCAGCTGCTGTATGACCCCCGGTTCTTGGGACACCTCATCCATCACCCTTCCAGCTTATGTATTTGGCATTTTGGTTAAGTGGGACGCGGTTATGGATGGGAGGAGTGCGAGGGCTGACGAGGCAGGTTACGGATAAGTGATTTGATCACCGGCGCCGTGGGAAACCTCTAAGTCTCCATCTCCGACTAGTCACCGAGGTAGTATGTCCTCGTCGTCATCTCAGCTATCACCTCCTTGGAATTACCGAGTGCATCCAAGGCTCTGTGCCTGCAGGCTCCCGTTGGCCCTCTAACTGGTATCTTCGGTAGCCGCCAAACCAAACGCCGCGGCCATGGTGGCCTTCAAAAGATGCAAAATTTGCAATGGGCCAAGCGCTTCCCAATCACCCTGACGCCAACGTAGATGCTAAAGCTTCGCCTCTGTCCTCCACAGCCCATCACCGGTACTGCACGACGTCCTACGCGGGCAGGGCGGCGAAGCGGCACGGCCTTCCATACCCAACTCCTTTCTTTTGTGCGGAACCATGTCACCCTCAATTCAGCCCCAGAAGACGCTTCATGTTCTCATAGCACACCCAAGTGATGCTCAGGGCCGGCGCCACCTTGAGCAGGTTGGGCGTCAGGCCCTTGTAGAGACCGCGCACGCCCTCGTTGCGGATCGTCTTGGTTGCCACATCGGCTATGCCCGTGTATGTAGGCGGGTGCATGGCAGTGCCCTGAGTCTGCAGCCGCGTACGGAGGACATTAAGCGGATAAACGATGGTAGCGCCCAGCGCTCCCGAGCTCGCGCCTAAAACTGCCGTGGCAACATTGCCGAGATGCGCATCATCTTCGTGAATGCCGTAGTATTTCGCCATCGCACGAATGTACGACTTCTTGAGAAGCTCAAAGGTACCAATGTCGATGGCGCTGTAGGGAAACATGCCGATAAGTCCGAGTCCAAGGCCGCGGTACGCTGCGCGGAGACCACCATCTGCCCACATCTTCTTGGCCGTACGGAAGAGCAGAACATTGCCCTGAGGCCCGCCCTGAACGGTTTCACATTGCAGTCGGAATTTGAGGGTGTCGATGGGGTACACGCAGAACTGCGCAGTCATGCCGCCGACGCCACCGGCGACGAACTTCGAGACGGTGCTGATCTGTGTAGGATCATTGTGACCCTCATATGCTGCGAGAAACCGCTTTGAGGCTTCGTAGGAGCCAAACTAGTTCACTGTCAGCACCTCCTTGCTGGTTTGGAATCCCAATCAGGTGCCCATTACCCGAATAGCAGACTCCGGCATAATTTTGACAACATTGAGGCCGTTTCCTAAAAGGCCATCAGCGCCCGTTCAATCGTGAACACAGATTCACGGTATGGAATTACCTGCGAAGAAAGTGCGCAGCCCACCGGCCTTCCACAGGGTCAGAATACCCTCAATGATGGGCCCGCCCACATGCCGCAGCGAGGCAACAGGGCGGCCGTCTTTCGCAGCGGCAATAGCCGCATTCACAGTTCTGGTCTTCGTGCTAACGAGAAGGTAGACTTTCAAACGATCCAGTGGCGCGGTAGCAGTTCGCGACACAGCCCCCGAAACGGCACCGGCAAGAAAATATCCTGGTTCAGGGAGCAGATCTGTCAGTCTGATGGCTGCGCTCGCCTCGTCCTCCTCGATAACATCAGAAAATTCTTGAGCGTCAGACTGCTGCGCGCCCTCGTATTGCAGAATAGGTCGCTTGACTGCTGCGTGGGGGAGGACTTGCGAGGGGCCGGTGACAACGGGCCCGTAGCGGACGGCTGCAGCAGAAGCGGCCATGTCGGCGGGCAGTTCCGGTTTCTGGTCGTTGCCGAAGAGGGATTGAGGCGATCCAGAGGTCGTCAGGCGGGTTGCGTCCGGGGAGCGCCGCCGAGAGTAGATCATGTCCGGGTTCGCGATTTTGAGAAGCGAACCAAAAAGAGCTTGAAGAAGGAAGCCGGCCGTACCTAGACCCTCTAGTGTCTCATCACTGACCAGCGAATCGCCCTCCGAGCTGACCGTGACAATAGAGGAATAGAACGAGAGCGCAGCCTCCAAGGGAGACCCGTTGTGGTTGGTGGGCATAAACAATAGGAAATCCCTTATTAATGCGAGTTAGCACCCAATTCGGAGAGGCTCCATGCTCACAAGAGGAACCAAGCAACTCAGAAGCACCCTTCCGTTTCCAACCGTCGACTCCGAGTCCAGATGAACTTTCATCGACATACATCACATGCAAAAGCATGAAGACAGGACTCACGAAGCGGGACTCCTTGAATAAACAACTAAAAAACACAACAGGGAGAATCCACCTTGGGGTGGGTCTCGAGACAGCGGCGCAAGGTAGCGAAGAAAGCAGGAAAAAAGAGGAAAGGGGCTAAACACACAGAGCAGGCAAGACTTACCGCCACTCTTCAAAGGTGATGAAGCCGTCATTGTTCATGTCGATCTCGTCAAAAAAGCCCGACAGCCGTCTCATCGGAACCGATAGTCCAGCGCGCTCGAAGGCAGCGTGAAGCTCCTGCTTGTTCAGCCGGCCGTCCTTGTCGCGGTCGATGGACCGGAACAGCAGGAGCAGCTGCCTCTCGGCGGCCTCGACGAAGACGCGGAATTCTAGAGGCATGTTGTCTCAGCTCTTGCGCCCGGCTCCTCTCCGTGCTCTGACCCCCCGCCGCCATCAACGCACCTTCATACTGAATCTTGCCGTCGCCGCTCGTGTCGACCATGCTAATAATGCCCTTGAGCATCTGATCGGCGTTCTTCAAAGCTGTGGCCGGACGCATAAGCAAGATATCCACGGCCCCTCAGGGGCGGAGAGCTCACGGTGGTCGATCCGCTTCAAACCCTTCTGCAACCCCTTGAAGTCGAGCTCCCCGTGTCCAGCAGGGTCGAGCTTCCTCCAGAGCTCCTCGACGCGCTTGTCGCGCTGGTTCTGCGGCTCCTCCATCTCCACCTCTAGCTCTGAGACGACATCAGAGATCTTCATTCCCGCACTCGGCCATTGATGGATCCCTCGTCACCGGAAGAGACGGCGCCGGTACCCGCGGCATGCAAATTCCGTGGGCTCGGCGTGGGGCGTCGGAGTCGGCGTCGGCGCGGAACGAGATGCGCACCCGAAAACAGCGCGCTTGTTATGACGTATGAGGGAAATACCGGATGATGCCCGGTTCAGGATGCGAGGCTCGAGAAAACAACCTGTCCAATCGAGGTTCCGGACACAACATCCCCGACCAGAAGAGAATTGGTTTGCAGTGTCCCGCTGTTGCTATCGCATAGCTTTGGTGGAAAGCGAGAGAAGTAGTACCTTGGAGGATGGTGACCAATTGCGCGGGACCACGGGCGATCACTGCTTGGATGCTTTGCAGCTTGCTGGGCTGCTACCGAAATTCATTGAATGGGATGTTGGGTTCCGCGCGGCAGGCAGAAAAAGGAGCGGAGCAAGCCTCAAGGCCGTGGTCCCGGTTACTATCTTTCAAGTAACAATACGTCTCATAGATACTAGTACTCGCCGGGCCTGGTGCTATTTCGTGTATCGTCTCTAGCTGAACTATGTAAGTGAAACCCAATGTTCTAACATGAAGCGATAAGTCGTATTTTAGAGACACCTCTCTGTGATACTCTTCAAGCTGCACACGACAGTCTCGAGAACTTGTGGTGCATCGTTGCACTAGGCAATACTCCGCAACTACCTGGTCGGTACGGTAAGTTACGGTTGAGCCCGTTTCACGCACTGACAGTGCCAGAGGCAGCTCCACAAAACAGATCGGAAACAATCGCCCTCCCATTCCACAACCCCTGGCCCCTGAAACCTCAGCTGCGATAAGATAACGCCTTCAGCATCCCGAACCAACCGCTCCTGAGAACATCGAGGCATCGAGAACGGGCCCGTAAGGGGCGGTGACTGCCCAAATGGCAGCCAACTACTGGGAATCGACACAGCGGAAGCACTGGCAGTTCACCAAGGACGAGCTCGCGGCCATCCGGCAGCGCCTCGACGATGAAGACCCGGCCGTGGTCCAGATGTTCCCCTTGCCGCAGCTTCGTCATCTGAACATCTACTTCAACCAGCGTATGCACCTTTTTTTTGGTGAATAAACCACCGTTGTTACAGCCCAAGCTGACATCTTCTGCCTCTCAGAAATCAACCGCCTCGGCAAGCGTCTCGGCGTGCGCCAACAAGCCATGGCCACGGCCCAGGTCTACATCAAGCGCTTCTACACGCGTGTCCCGATCCGGCAGACGAACCCGTACCTGGTCATCACGACGGCGCTGTACCTGGCCTGCAAGATGGAGGAGTGCCCGCAGCACATCCGGCTGCTCTCGCAGGAGGCGCGCTCGCTGTGGCCGTCCGATATGCACGGGCTGGACGCGCCCCGCGTCGGCGAGTGCGAGTTCAGCCTCATCTCCGAGATGCAGTCGCAGCTGATCGTGCACCAGCCCTACCGCACGCTGCTGGCCGTGCAGGACCAGTTCGCGCTCACCCACGACGAGATGTCGCTCGCCTGGACCGTCATCAACGACCACTACATGACCGACCTGCCGCTACTGCATCCGCCGCACGTCGTGGCGCTCACGGCCGTCTTGTTGGCGCTCGTGCTGAGGCCGAGCAGTAGTGGAGCGGGCGCTGCCGGCGGCGGCGGGAGTGCCGCGGCGGCGGCGGCGGCGGCGAACGCGGCTGGAGGGGTCGCCATGGCGGCTACTGCGTTGGCGCAAGCCCAGGCCAGAGCGGCGGCTATGGCGGGCGGCACGCCGGGTTTCGCTTCACAGGGATCTCAGTCGCAGCAGATGGTTTACTCGCAGGGGGCCTCGCAGGGAGAGGGCCAGGCGGCGGAGCCGAAGAAAGCGACGGACCCTCGGTTGGCCAAAGTGCAGCGCTTTGCCGCGTGGCTGGCAGAGAGCAACATCGACATCGAGGCCATGGTCGACTGCACCCAGGAGCTGATCTCATTTTATGAATGTCACGAGCAGTACAACGACAAGCACACGCGGGAACAGATCAGCCGGTTCATCAAGGCACGGAGTCTGGACAAATGAGAATCCCCAGCGGTTGAGAGATTACTTCTTCCCACGCCCTCGGTTCCCAGCAAGAACGGTTCATCTTCTCATCATCTCAGCGCAACCCCAACAGACGACGAGGGAGTCGCGAAGGAAATACGGGTCTCCCGCCAGCCGGGATATCCGCGGTGGCATCCAACAAAACCGAGAGGTCCCAGTCGGATCAAGATCCGTCAAGCAGCGGGCCGAACCATCATACTCACCGAGTTCTCCCCTCAGGGGCCGCGATTCACGCAGCATGGGCTCCCCCCAGAGTTTCGCTCGCATCTGGCCGACATTGTTCGGGCTGTGAAAGGCAAAGCCAGAACCGCGATTCGAGGGTGACCATCGAGGGGTGCTGCAATCATGCTCAGTATGGCTGTTTGAGGAGAGGTGCCCTCGTCTTCTCCTCTGTCGTCTCCCAACGTCAACTTCCAAGACTTCCGCTCCAGTTCCGAAGCGCCTGCAAACCAGCCAGGCCGGGATGCCTCGATTCCAAGGAAAGTGTGTTCACAAGAAGCGCGAAAGATTGAAGGGGAGTTGGTGTTCTTATAGCAAGTGAGGCTGCTCGGGAATGATGCTGGTCTTTAAGTCCAGGGGGCGAGCGACAGAGCGGAGTCGAGACAGGAGCATCCTTGCGCTAGCTCGCGCGAGGTGATACAAGAACCTTGGATAAGTCAGTCCCGAGCTCTGCTATATTGATCTATGGCGACGGGGCTTCAGTTCCCTGTGTCTTCCTTCTGGCAGCTCAATGCACATCGAGCTACAACCTATCGTTGAGTCGCCACATGTATCGAGGTGACTGGTTACACACATCCTCGATGCCAAGGGCTGGTCAGCGAGCTTTGTAGAAACAGAAACATGCTGTTACTCTATGTCTACCCTATCGCTGTGAAGTACTAGGCTATTCTTATCGCTGGTCAGTATGGCGTTTCGAAATACCGCCCATCGCTATCACTAAACATCTTCTCCAAACCACCATCAGACAGCACCAACAGCCGCGTAACAGGCTCTCACCACGTGCCCTGGTCCTGTTCGGGCCAGTCCTGTACCGTCCAATCCGCTTCGACCTCCTCCTTCTTTTCCTCCTCACCCTCTTGCTTCCCCTTGCTTGAACCCTTCTTCTTCCTGTTCTTATCCTTCTTCTTGCTCTGCTCTCCTGGAGCTGAAGGCGTCTCCGAGCCCGAGCTGCTCGGCGTGTTTTGCGCATACGCGCTCTCCGACTCTGCCGTCTTCTTCTCCTCATTCTTGCTGTCGCCCTTGTCCGGTTCAGACTCCGAGGAAGACTGCCCGCCGCTAGGCTCATCGCCACTTGCTGGAGTATCGTGCGGACTCGCATCACTCGAGCTGCCCTGTCCTGAGGGAGAAGCGGGCCGGCCCTTGGAACCTTGAACGGGACAATCAGGCTTCACGGGTTGGCGTAAGCTCCGCGTGGGATGTTTCTCCATTCCTCTGCGCGCCACTTGTGCCCAAGACAGCACGGGTTTCGGAATCGGGGCGTTTATTGGAGTTTTCTTCTCAATGGGATGCTCAACTTTGCGAACCGGGGCGCCCGTTGGAGCCTCCTTGTCGATGTCAAGCCCGACGGCCCAGGCGTCGGAGTCGGGGGGTTCGCTCACGGGAGGGCTATCGCCGGCCCAGCTGAGTTCATTCGATCCAGGGCTGCTGCTCTTTGGGGAGGTGTCGATCTTGGGAGAATCGGCAGCTTCGCTCTCGAAGGGGCTATCGTCGGCCCAACTGAATTTGTTGGGTTCAGTGCTGCTGCTGCCCGTGGAAAAGGTGCTGCCCTGTTTGTCTGACTCGCTCGCATGATGATCTATGACACTGGCGTCGGAAGCATTGCCGGTGCCGTTGTCGTCGGAAGAGGACCCGTTGTCCTCCGTGTCCCGCTCTCCCGGCTGGTCATCTTCGCCGCTGGCTTCGGGCGTAACCCAGATTCCGGGGCTGGTGCCACCGGAGATGTTGCTCCCCCTGTCTGACTCTGGCTCTCCCACTTGCTGATCTCCGGCGTGAGCTTCATGGGAATTGCCACCATCGGAGCCGTTGCCCCCCCGGTCCGGCTCCGGCATCCTGTGATCCCCCGCCCGCATTTGAGGGCCGTTTCCGGAAGGCGGCTCCGTTAACGGGAGCCACTGTGGTACAGCATGCTGAGGCTGACGCGGGAGCTGTGGATGATGTTTGGCAAGCTTAGCACGCTCCTGCATCATCTTCTTCCGAAGCAAGGCCGCGACAGACTCTGTGACTTCGACGTCCGCAGTCTCTGCCGTGCCGGAATTGAGCATCTCATCAATCTTTTTCTGTTCCTGGTCCAGGCGCTTTTCGAGCGTAAGCAAACGGTGCTGAATATGTTTGCGCTCTTCATCGTGTCCACGATCGACCTCTGAGTCTCTTTTCCATGAGGATGAGCTGGCTCCAGGTCCACTTGAGGTTCCGGTTGGGAATCTATCTTCGAAGTCATCGACTGTCAAGGGTGGCGGTAGTAGATCCAGCAGAATATCGAACGCCGACGGCAGTACAGGGAACGGCTCGGCGTACGGTGACGCGGTGAGGGGCAAGGGTGACATGGTCCCAGCCGGCATCTCCATGGGTGCTGGGCTGCCGTGTTCTGTCTGGGTAATAGTGGACCATGAATCGGACATGGCACTGGCCGGGCGGCTTGGTGGCAGCTCGCTTGGTGACAGCGGCGGTCCTGCTGGGGCAGACGTCGACAATCCGGCTGACACGCCTGAAATGGGGGTGCCGTAGTTGACCCGCTCTGGGACGACCGTTTGGATCCGGATGGGTGATGAACGGGAGGTGTCGTCGGGTTGGCCGTTGGTGTCTCTCTGGACTGGCATGTTGGCGGCCTGGATAATCTAACAGGAGCACGGTGTGCGTGAGGTTGTTGGGAGGTGTAACGATGTTCAGGATTCTGCTCTGACTGAGCACGAGAGGATGGATGGTAGGAGAGCAAAGAAAAAAAGCGGCAGAAGACTGGACAAGAGTGGAATGAGGCCCGGATGGGGCCTTCAAATTCCAAAGATGTGGTTTCCTCAGGCTACGCATGGCGCAACACTGCGAATTAAAGGAAGGAGGTACAGACACCAGGGAGAAGGAGCAAGACAGCGGAGGGCGTCCGCAACCTGAGCTTCTTTCCCTTAGCTCGATCCATTCTCACGGACAAGCGCAACAGTAGCAAGGCACCTCAACTGATTATCGTGTCGTTGATTCTGGGCAAGTGCGAATGAATGCAAGACCGATGCAGTACCAGAATTTAGAAAGCTCATGATTCATTGCGGCAAGACCGGAGATTGCTGCGTACCTGAACCCAGGCTGGTCAGGCACCTTCTTAAGTAGGAAAGAACGTGTTTTTGGTTGCTATTGCCATCTAGCGAGCAGAAATCCGGATGAGGTGGTTCCTCAACGAACCGATGAACGCCTTTGCGCCAACGCAATGCAAGCACGATCCTAAAAGCAGAACCCGAACCCGAACCAGAATCAGAACCACCCATCCCTTCAGCAGACCATGCAACCACAAAAGCCCATTATCCCAGCGACCTAGTATTACCTGCAAATTGAGCGAAGGAGATTTATCGTTCTCTCTTGTCGACCAGACGTCCATCTTGCTCGGGATGGTGGCTGCGCGCTCACAGCTCGGTGAGGTCCTCATCCGGCTCATACTTGACGAAGGGAACCTTCTCGTGGAAGTCGGCACGGGGGCGGATGTTCATGCGCGGCGCGTTGTCGCCCATGACCCAGTTCCACTCGGCGAGCATCTGGATCATGGCGAAGCCGATCGCGGCATCCTTGCTGAGCACCTCAACCCAGTCCCCGGGCAGCGGCGAGTTGCGCCGGGACTTGCTGAAAAGAAAAAATAGCAGATGAGCGGTCAGAAGGCGGCGCATGGGAGCACCGGGCTCGGTGTTGTCAAAGATGTACTTGACATCGTAGAAGGCGGGCGCCTTGTGATCGTCGGACGACGTGCCGAAGTAGGTGTAGAGGCAGTCCACCACCGCATTGCGGATGCCAGTAATGCCAAACTTGAATCCCATGACATAGACGCCGAGACTAGAGAAGGCGATTATCAGTATCATATTATCAACAGCTCGAAAGATGATACAGAAGGGACAAGCCACATACTAGTCTCGGACGGTTCGCTCCACGCCATCCGGCTGCGGGAACCGGTATCCCCGCGGTCCCCCGGAGAGCGTGAATGCTGTACCATATAGCCAGCCGACGAAGAGGGTAAAAATTTTCGGCTCCTCATCGGGGAGCCTCATCTCGTCTCGGCCCTGGCTGAACCAATTTTTGAAAGTTTCCGACTCCCTAGTGAGCAGCGCAACATGGACGGTGAAGCGCTTGTCTTGGGCCCCGACGAGAATGGTGACGACGGGGTCGTTCAGCCAGCTTGGTCCGGCGCCGGCAGGTTAGCATTCGCCTACTCCTGGCTCCAAGAAATGCATCAAGGGAGTGTTCGCGACTTACGCATTTTGCTCAATAGCACCATGGCTGCCTGAGGAGCCTGTCGGCCAAGGCAATTGCGTATTCTGGGTACGGTCGGACATCTTGAGCATCACGGCGAGAAGCAGTTAGTGGGAAAGCCGGAAACTTAAATTCGCGGGGCAGAAATGGAAAGATATTGGTCACTGACGATATTTGTTGCTGATTACTGCCAACGTGAAGGGCGAATTATTCGAGCGATGAGGATAAAGATGCAGAAGCCCGAGCAGCATGTCACGCAGGCGTGCGAGGTGTGGGTGAAGGATGGAAAAAAGGAAACGCAGGAGGGGTGAATATGAATTTTGAAGCCGTCCAGGAAATTGGGAGTAGAAGGCAGTCAAGGAAATAAACAATGGGAGTGTGTGCAGATGAATAGAAAGGTCTAGGCCAGAAAATGCAATAAAGGTGCCCGCTCATCAAGAGATCGGACGAGTGATAACTGTTTGCTCCATCTTACAGGCATCGGAGATGTGAAGGCAGGGTTGGAGCAAGGGGAAAGCCAGATGGTCGTCAGAGGTCCTGACTGACAAACACTTCATCTCTCCCACACCAAGACACCACCCAGCAGAGGCCAGGAGTTAGGCGTTGTTGAACTCATGGGCTCATCTGCAACAAGCCTGATTCCAAGTAAATTTAACCATCCGCAGGCATGATTCAACACCCCGAAACATGGCCCGCCAGCTCGATATAGAAGCGCCCGAGCAGCGAGCCCGAGAGTCACACGGTCTTCCTGACCCCTAATGATGGTGTACAACGACTCGAACGCAATCAAACGTGCAAGAAACCCAAAAACACGAGAGAAGCAGCATTATAAACGTGAATCATCCCAATCCAAAAGGGGACTTCATACGTATGCATATAAGCACGCTCGAGAACGGCCAACGCCGTTTGTTGACACCCCTGAGTTGCGCCAAGACTTTCGCCATCGCCGCGGCGACAGGCGCCCTTGGGATCTGCTCAAGACGACCATGTGACAAACACAAATACCAGAGCCATATCCGTACTGGTCTAAGAAGTGCCACATACAGCATGGCCATCATACAGAAAATCACATTCAAGAGTGAGTCAGGGAAAAGGCTATCCAAACAAATGGGACTACACCTACGGATACACCCTAGTTAAAATCGTCGTCGTTGCCCTAGGCATCATGTTCTCGAGCTTCTCACAGCAGGTGCCGGGCCAGTGCTCCCATCTCCACTGCCTCCTTGGCTGGGAGCCTACCCGTTACGAGTTGGTGCTCAATCATAGGCCCGGGAAACGCTTGAGATCAAGAATTTCGTCTCCCTCTCCCTAGACACAGTAAGGTACCTACTCAATGCATGGGGCGGCACGTGGGATGTTTACCGAGTTCAGGGGAACTTAGGAATGGAACAGGACATACCAGACAAGCAGAAACACTAAGTACAATACCTAGATAATATCTGCCATCTGCCAGTAGGTCCTGGGTTGTGACCTGTACTGAGGACTTGGACGTATGGGGGGCCGTTATCAAGAGAGCCCCATCAACACATGACACACAACGCATGGGGGATCAGAGCGTGAGACGGACACGTCACCATGTTTCAATTCCCATAATAACCGCTTGCTCGCTTGCTTAATGCTTCACATCCTGGCATATTGGAACGCCTCGCCGCCCGCCAAAGTCCAGACCGGGGAAAGCAGCAAAGCCGGATAGTCAAGAGAGCCAGAACCTATTGCACACCACACTTATCCCACAAGCAACACCAAGACCGTGCAGCAGACAGACAAGTCGATGGAACACCTGCCACCTGGCCAAAATCAACACCGACCGCCTGACAAATTCAACACCGACGCACCCAGCTCCCGAGTTCCCGAATGCTTTGCCAGCCAATCCCACCAGCCCCAAGATGCGGTGACGCGTAACACAAGCAAGCTAATGCAAACGTTCTCCTTCCGCCATAACCGTACCCGAGATGCAGGCCTTGAAAGTTCAGACAAGTAGAGATGTAAAGAGGATATAAGGCGGGAAGCAAGCCGTAGCTGCCCACCGTCAAACCCATGATACAGTGAAACGCAAATTGGGAAAATGGAAACAGAACGCAAAATATCAACCAACTCCTCAGCCCGCCCTCCTTGAACCGTTCCAGAAATGCCAGCTCACCAGATTCTCCAACAAAAACCCGCACAATGTCTTTGACAACCCGCGCCGCACCGACGTACTTAATCATGAAGTCCCAACGGTTAAGATGCGTATCTCCTCGCTTCGCCTTAGCCTAGCGACGCTGTCTCCTCCGTCAACGATTTCCTTTCGCGTCCCAGTACGCCAGAAAGTCGAGAAACACCAAAGGTCGCCAAGAAAAAAAACCACCCCGCCCATCTCGAATCGTTCTATAAGCCGGTATCTTTTCTGATGTTCATAGGACCCGTGAGCCATTATCTTTGCCGTATTGGTAGAAAGTCGCCGCTTCTGTGATGGAGAAAACAAGCACCCAAAACACCATATGTATGGTATCGAGAAAAATCAAACCCGAAGAAACTCCGTCGTGGCATTGATGCAAAAGCTGGTTTGATGATGCAAAACCGCCGTGGAAACGCCCAGGTCGCAAAAAGAGGAAAAGCAGCCTCCGTCTTTCAAGGCCCGAAACACCGTATCCGAACAGGGCTTTTTTTGGTAGTGGGGATCGATCGGTAGGGATGAACAACGCAGGAGGTATCGATTAATCTTCCATCGCGCCAAGCAGGGGCGAGCGGTGGTCCCGCCGCTGCCGGAGAGGCACGTGACGAAGATTACGCAATTCGTGAGACGTCCGCCGAAAATGTCCGAGGCTCGTCGCTTAGAAGCGAAGGTTTCTTTGGCGTGCGACTGCAGCTGAAGGATGTCGTATGTCATGGACTGACTGGAGGCATATGTCGAACAGGAGATTCTCATACACGTGAGTACCAATTCGGGAGGTCAGTGTAAGTCGAGGACCCATAGTCTGCAAAGGAAAGCTGATCGTCGCCGCGGTCGGATAATGCGTTCTGTTCCCGCCGATATTCGTAATGTGTCGGAAAGTACGAAGAGTAGGTCTCGAAGCCTTTGTGGTCTGCCGGAGTGAGCGAGGAGCAATCGCTGCCTGCGACGTATGTAGAAGTCGGTGCCCGCCAAGATGAACCGTTGCGATGAGCGAATGTGCAGAGCAGGTTTGCCATCAGCATGATGCAAACGTGACGACGGCTTCGGGTTAGTTAGGTCTCGTCTGGGTGTCACAGAAGCGAGACGCCAACTACCTTACCAACGTCGGCCGACGGGTTGCGGCTGCATCCTGGCGGGCGACACCGAAGGGGACGGGCTCGACAGGGAAACGCCGGTGGCAGGGTTGATGATTGGGATGGCGTTGCGGGCGCGCGTGGCAGAGGGCTGGTGGATCTTTAAGGGCGACTGATGACTTTGGTACACCGGGGGGATGAACGACGGAGATGACGAGTTGAACGAGAAGGTTGGCGCAACCTGGGTGGGTTGCTGGGTCGGGGATCCTCGCGGCGAGTTGCTTGCCAACGAGGACCGTTCCGAGGAAGAGCTGTGTATCGACACAAGCTTTGGCCACAGTGTCAGTCCCGAAGCCAGCCAAAGACTGCCGGACTGCGTCAGCGGTGGGGACTCACATCGCTCTCAGTCAAGAGCCCCGGGCAGAACTCGATGTCGTCTTCCAAGTCGAATGACCGCACAGCTTCGAATCTCATTCGAAACGTCCAGAGGTTTGTCGACTCGGTAAGCTCCTTCATACTTCTCGCACCACGAAATTGCTTCTGCGGATTTTGCGACACAGACAACCTCGGCGCTCGGCGATTTCGACCGCCGTGGTGGCTGTGCGAGACAGCCGCTGCCGTCGCCGGTGTTGGGTGCTGTTGGTGAGCGCTGAAGTGGTAGTATGCAGACATTATAGGCCGTAAGGGGTCAACGAGGCGATGCAACCGGCAGTCCAATAATTCGAATAGCAGACAAGATCGTCTAAAAACAGATGAACATAGACCGGACTGTTGTGGCAATGGAGCAATGTGGTAGTGAGTCAAGCCGAATTCAGCACGCTGTGTCGTTGGGAGGGAAAGTCGAAGGTAGGGATCCTGAGATTCGTCAAGCTATTGTTGTTCTTGCTTGCGCCTTTGAAAGGGGGGTGTGGTTGGGGAAGCGGTTGTTGTGATAGGATTCGGTGGGACGTGGGATGGGCAGGTGGAAGGTAAAGTAAAGAAGAGGCAAAGGCAAGAAGAAACAAGTCGGCGGGGGGCGAAAGGTTGGACAAGAACCAGTCTAACGACATGGGTGGGGTCACACTGAGGTCCGTGCTAATGCACAAGAGTGGCAGGACCCTCACCTGCGCATGCACTGACCACTCTCCTCCCGAGCTGGGTGGCGAGACCGCATCTACGAGTGGGGCCACAACGTTGGCGATTGGTTGAAGCTATACGCTAGAGCTAAACCGGCGTAGCTTTGCTGGAGCTGCTGTCGTGTAATTTTGGCCGCATTCAACAACAATTCAGTGCCGAAAACGGCCTGGACTCGCCGACTCGTGGCTCCTGGGCCTGTCTCCTTCTGATTGGAGCCGGAGGTAAATGTTTTGAGGCGCTGCTTCTGCGAAGCCTGACAGTCGTCCTCGTCGCTCCACCCAACCTACTCCTGTCCACAACTGCGATCCGACGTGGTCTGGCACAAACCTGCTGCACCTGCTTGGTCATCTGGGCCGGCTTCAACGAAACAGCACCGACCTGTTTATAGAAGAAAGGGTGCTCTCTTTGCTTGCTACTTTTTAGTCCCAAGTGTCAGGTCCTCAATCGCTGGGTTCTTTGTTTACTAGGTAGTATGTCTCAGGGGCTCGGTCAGGGCTCCGGCCCTTACCTACTACCTGCAGAACTGCGCTACTATACTACAGAGACGCTGTCACGAAACCGGATTTGTGGCTTTCGAATGTCCATGGTCTCTGGTGCGCGGTAAAACTGCAGTCAGGCGCCGTGGAACGCTGGAGCTACTGTGTAGGCGCTACGACCGATTGGTTCAGACTGTCCGTGGTTCCTGTGGAGCGCTGCACATACGTACACTACTGCGGTCGCACCTCGAGATGATCATCATGGAATGCCCATCAGAGACCTACTTGTCTAGCCTTGTGGCGCGGGCTCCGGTCGGGACGCTTTGAGTGGTCGCCGCTGGATGGTAAAACATCACCGACCTCTCGAGACCTCCGGGCAGACCACCTCCGGCTACCGTACGGGCGCGTGGTAAGGAATGTGAGGTACGGCGCCGATCGTTCCTGGCCGCGGTGTTCCGTAGGTACTGACGACGAGGTGAGATGCGCTTGCTCCTGTATGAGATTGTAAAGTGCTTGCATACAAAGATAGAGCCATTTGCACATCATGTATCGTCTGGCAAAGGAGAGCCCACAGCGGAACCATGGTATCGTCATCGAGGGACGCCTGCAGCAAGATACTACAGTAGGTGCTAATAACCAAGGTACCAAGCTACATGTAGGTATCATTCCCCACGGTTCCCACCTGGGGCAAAAGTACAGTTACCATGGTATGTAATGTACATACGAAGGTATGGTGTTTTGAATGAAGCTAAAGGCCCCTGAATGGCCAGCCCGCAGCTAACTCTACGTGCATGAGGTGCGTCTAAACGTCCGCTGGTATGTAGATTACTATCAATATGATGCCTGGCTGATAGGCGCCGTTCGCTTGTTCCACCAGGCGCCTTTTGCGCTGACAGGCGATGCAGGATGAAAGTGGTCCAACGCGGGGCGCTTCCAGGTTGAGATGTCCCAAGATCGGACTACCTTGGTCACGATGGGTCTGTCATGAACGAGGAGAACAGTAGATCCGCGTTGCAACAATATATACCTACTAAAAGTCCAACTTACCGCCCCGTCGCCAGGAACTTGTACAGTTCTATGTAAGAGTAGCGCACGATTCAAGTGGTGGGCTTGTACCTGAAAAGCCGGCAAACCCGGACACACTTTCCGAGACAGTATGTACCGAATGTGTGGTATGGAGTTGAAGGTAGCAAAGGAAGTCGTCTTCGGTTTAACAAACGGCTCTCTCGGTACGGTGTGGCTGAATTCACCACTGGTTCGCGGCCTTACAGTGACATTCACATATACACGAAGTACTGAGACTTCTCTACTCAAGACATTTCTCATGAGGATCGAGCTTCCTTGACCTGCTCTCGTGCATTTGTGGGTGTTCGTTAACGTCGGGTACGCATAGGTACTTGTACCCTAATGGCCATGCCGGTGTGCCTGAAGCGGGGCAGCAACTCGAGCTTATTATTTCAGGTACCTGGTAGTTTGTCAATGGGATTGGCAGAGTGAAGATGATCTTGGAATGCGAGGTTGTTATGGACATGACCACACTCCCACCTGCACGGAATGTCGTAATACTGTAGGTAAAATGGAGGGGTTCTGTTTGTAGGTAGGTAGGTATCCGTATGTATAAGGGGATGAAACTCAAACTTGGACGCAGTCTCCGTACAGTTAAGTGTTTCGACAGGAGGGGTGCCCAGCCACTTTGCTCGAAGCCAAGACCGAATGTGTGGGACTGCCGCTAGTAAAGCAACTGAACCTGAATGCAGCAACTCGACGAACCGAGAAGACGATGCTTCCCACCTTTGTTGCCCAATGTCTCATTCGCCGGGTTGTTTTTGCAGAAGTTATCGACCTGCGTGCAATCCATCGGCTCGCCAATGACTGTCTTAAATAGCAGGGCGGCGCTCCTTGGGGTTCCGAAGCCATTGAGGATGGAAGCTTGGAGAGCTACAGCCTATGGTACTTTAGTGTGTCAACCTAGGTTCCATTCCTGCGTGTGCTGACAACATGATACCGCCTACGGAGTACCAGGTTGCCATGAGGGCCTTACGATAGTACTGTTAATACGGCACATTGTATGAACGGCCATGCTGGCCGAGCCATCAGCCAATACCTGACCAAGTTAGGGTGTATGGCGTACAGTACACACACCGCTCTTTGCAAGCATATTGTGCAGCACATTCACATTGTCGTAGGCACTGGTCAGGCTGCCGCTGTCACGGGCGGGCTGCGGGGAAATCTGGTGGTGTGTTCGAACGCCACTTCGATGCGTGAACTTGCCTCGAGCTTGCTTCTTCCCCAGACCATGCCCAAGCTCCCCAGCTCCGCATTGACGCATCCACTACGATAACTAGCGCGGCACAGCCGCGAGGCACGGGCAAGGAGGGCTCTCGAGGGGCTCAATGGATGGTTCGCATGTAGCTGCAGTGACCATCTGCGCTCTCCAGCAAGGCGAAACCGCCCGCTGGGATTTTCAGGTTGCGGGGACTCAAGGCGGGCCGGGAAATCCCTCGGCCTCGGTTCGCCATGGCAGTTGGGAGAAATCGGCCTTTGCTCGCTACAGGGCACGGAGATACCGATAGGTTCTTGTACATTGTACTGGGCGCTAAACTTGAAATATCAGGTTCCTCTCTTTCCGGCGTTCCGTACACTAGCGATGACTGCGAATGCCGAGTGGCTCCGAGTGGCGTCGGCTGCCTTTGGTCGAGCCGGAAGGACGGGCTAACCGATGGTGCCGGTTTCTTAACCTTTCAAAGGGAGAGTAAAAAATATATCCATGCCAGAGAACCCCCTTACCTTACACTATCGAGGTCGTAGTTAGTGTAGACTCAATGATCTGGACATCTTTTCAACTTTTGGCAGTTACACAGCAAAGGCTTCCCCGAGCTCCCGTCCCACTCTTAGGCCCTTAGCTTCACCAAAGCCCTCGGTATCACCTGACTCATATCATTCATTGTACCTGATCTCGTGCTCGAACCGAGACCTCCTGCACCACCGCTGGATCACGAGACAGCTGGACCCTGTTCGGGGCCTACGATCCAACTTGACGGAAACCGGACGGGCGGGCCGTCGAGCTTGCGTCCCCCGGTCGGCCGAGCGACCCATTGAGCCGGCCCGGCCTCACCGGACCGCCCTCAACCCGCTCTGGTTTGTCCAACCTGGTTGACAGTGGTTCCGAGTTTAGAATAAACTCCCGTCTCACTACAGCTAGCTTAACGACCGCTCAAGAACTAGGCCACCAGGGGATTGTCTGCATTGTTCTTTGCGAGCAATCTCCAATATAATCTCGACTTCGCCTGAAGTCATGCGAGACAAGCTAATGCCCGATGAGTATCACATACTGCGGCATTCGCCAGTACATGCCTCCTGCGCTAGATCGATCGCATTGGAAACATAGTAGAGGCACCAAGATCATGAAGCTACAACTCAGAAGGAGCAGCCCATTCATAGTTGAAATACCTTTGCAAGCTTATGTACTAAAATGTTGTTGTTGAGTCCATGCATTACAACAATCTCGTCCTCCCTGTATGGTGACTAAGGTACTTAGGTGGAAGATGTGCTTTGAAGGGAGGTATGGTGCTATAGTGTACGTTGATCGTAGAGCACCGAGCTGTGAAGGACAGAAGACCAATTGGGTGGCCTCACGATTCACATGCCACAGCAACATTGAATAGGAACAAAGCTAGATGCTAGTAGCCGAAGTGCAACCGTTCCTGTCACCCGGACCGCGGAACAGACAATGACAAGTTGACAACAGTAGTTGTACTCCGTATGTAAGGTACAATAGCTCAATGACGCACCCCTCTAGGGGGTGCAATAATTCGGAGACATGCCAAAATTCGGAGACATGTAGGGACTAAACGCATCGATGTTGGACGTATTCGCTGCAAAATTTGGTGTGGTTTTGTCTCTGCATGTCTCCGAATTTTTGGCATGTCTCCGAATTATTGCACCCTCTTTAGAGGGGCCATCGGTGCAACAACGCTCGGACCCCCAAGTAATGCGCGCTGCGAATCGGCAAAAAATCGCCTAGCCGTAACGACCACCTGCTGGGCCTACTTCGTACAGGATACAGTCGCATCGAAATTTCGGGAGCCAGTCTCTTGAGCTTTTGACGCAACTTCCCAGCCGACCCCACGGTCAATTGCGCTTGCCCTTCCCTTCTACCTCCTCCTCCGTCTTTAGCGAGCTCGGGTTCTGCCTGGTTCCCCTTTGCATTCCATCCGAACAACGTTAGCCGATACCGGATACTCGACAAGATGGGAATCATCGAGGATGAGGTCAAGCGCCTCCAGGGCGTCATCAACAGACTGGAGAACCGGGTGCAAGCCCTAGAAGAGAGGCAGTTTGGTGGAGGCCAGAAGAAGACGGCAGAGGAGGTCCGCATGATCCTCATCGGCCCTCCCGGCGCTGGTATGTGAAGCTGTCCGGCTGCTTCAGAGGGAACGAGAAACGCCGCAAACACGTAAACGGTGCGCTCACACGACGCAGGAAAGGGGACGCAAGCACCTAAGATCAAGGAGAAGTTCCGCTGCTGTCATCTGGTAAGCCAATTGGCTCGAAATGCGGTCCCGGAACTGCCGTGTGATCGCTAACCATCGCCCCTTTGCGACCATCAGGCAACGGGTGACATGCTGCGATCCCAGGTCGCCAAGAAGACCACCCTCGGCCGAGAAGCCAAGAAGATCATGGATGCGGGCGGTTTGGTCAGTGATGACATCGTCATTGGCATGATCAAGGAGGAGCTGGACAACAACAAGGAGTGCCAGGGCGGGTATGGCTTCTTCCCAGGCTCCGCGGGCAAAAAGGGATCCAGTTATCCAGGCTGACATTTCTCTATCATAGTTTCATCCTCGACGGCTTCCCGCGTACCGTCCCCCAAGCCGAGGGCTTGGACAAGATGCTGCGGGATCGCAACCAGGCCCTGCAGCACGCCGTCGAGCTGAAGATCGACGACGAGCTGCTGGTTTCGCGCATCACGGGTCGTCTGATCCACCCCGCCAGCGGACGTAGCTATCACACCACCTTCAACCCGCCCAAGAAGGCCATGACGGACGATATCACGGGCGAGCCGCTGATCCAGCGCAGCGACGACAACGCCGAGGCCCTCAAGAAGCGCCTGGTGACCTACCACAAGCAGACCGGCCCCGTGGTTGACTACTACAAGAAGACGGGTATCTGGAAGGCTGTTGACGCTGCCCAGGAGCCCAACCAGGTCTGGAAACAACTGTTAGCCATCTTCGACGGCGACAAGGCCAAGGCCGGCAAGGCTGGCAGCGGCATCCTCAGCAAGCTCGCGCCCAGCTCGTAGATCGGCGGCGTGGGTCCGGACGGGGTCGGGAATGGGAACGGAGTTGGTATGGGAAAGAAGGGCAAGTATCCGAAGCTTGATGAGCTCGACTTGCTGCTGTAGTTCAGCCGCGGTTAGTGGGGGATGGTAGGTGTTCTTCCGGAGGTTTTGTTCGTCCCTGATATGGGGACCTTGGGAAGAGGGAATCAGCTCCGGTTACCCAATACTTCTATCCTGTCGCCCAACGCTTTATGATCAAGAAACTTCTTAGGGGTTGGTCCAAAGGAGTCATGGAAAACGGCGTATACCCAGCGCGGGTGTCGGGCAAGGTTCTCCGGAGCGGCTGGAGAGCTCCATGATTAGAGCACTGTACTTAACCACATTGTAGAAAAGCTTTATGCCTTACGCTGCTGCATACACACAGTTTGTGAAATGCTTAGGTACAGGACCTAGGTAAGTAATCCCGAAACCTTAAGCTGACGGGTCCAAGCTCTGCCAAGGGGCGGGGAACCGCCATGTCGCGATCTGAAGGAAGCTATTCTGGAGACAACCCGCCTTCGCCGTCTTACTGCTGTCCATCTCTCACTACTCCTGACAGGTATTTAGACGCACTAGCTTGAATACCTACCTTACCCATCGTATTGACAACTCCCGGTCCATCGTACGACTCAATTGATAGCAGTATCTGAACTCAGGAGGTATGCAAAGGATTCTCCACTAGTCCACTCCCTGCCAGACTCGAATCCCCAAGGCGGGCAAGTGGTATGCTCATGGATCAAATAAAGCAGAGGCAACCAAAACCCCCCCACCTAATAAATATTCAACCCTCCGCTACCTATGCTTGAGGAAAAGGGTATTCCAAATGCATGCCCTGCCTGGCGAACTAAACCAAGGGACATAACCTATAAGTACCTAGTAGATCTAAGCTACCACAAAGGTATAACGCCCACCGGAGTGAAGAAACGGATCAACGGCATGCCATGACAACACAAAATGTGTCCATACCCACGCTATGCAGAACAGCCCACCGGCCCAGCCCTCCGTTTGATGAAGGACGGTGGTCTCTCCCTCCAAGAGAAAGAAATATACAAGAAGATGGGAAATCGGGCAGGCAATGCTACTATCTCAGGCAGTCGATAGCCCTGGGGAGCTACTACCTCCTTGGTGTAGCTAGCATAGACGATATTATTAGCCAAGAACCGGCGTAAAGACCACCCAAGAGCCAGGGAGAACTCACCATTCACCATTTGTCGCTGCTTGTTCAGCCAGCTCCGGGGCGCGTCATGCCTCCTCTGCAGCACGACATGGTTGCTTTGCAGACGACTAGTGAGGTCGTACCACGCGGTTGTGATCATGGCGTTTTCGCGCTGCAGGTTCCGGATCATCTGCTCATTGGCGGTCTGGGATGAGGGTGGGTCAGTCAAACGCCAGATTGAAACTTCGGGGGGGTTTGTAGAAAGTCGGGGGATAAACACGAACCTTCTGAGCCGCGTATGCACCGCCACTCTCAGCGACTTTGAGCCGTCGTTGTAGGTCATACTTCTCTTGTTCCGACTTCTCCAGTTGCTAGAAGAGAAGAGAGTTAGAAGAAAATCCGCGCATAAGAGATAGATGTGTGCAGCATCGCCAGAACAAGGGCCACATGAATGCGAATAGATCTCCGCCCCGTGGTCATTGCTCTGCTCACCTCGATCTTCTGCCGTAGCGCGGCCTTGAGCTTCTCCATCTTCTCAGCATCCTCCTTCTTGCTCTTGGGCTGCTGCGCTTCTTCAGGCTGCTGCTGTCCTGCCGACGCCAACGCATCATCCAGCTTCCGCTGCACCTTGTCTTTCGACAACAGCGTGCCCATGAGCTGCTCCTTCGTCTCGTCGAGCTCAAACGCCTTCTGGGTGAGCTGTTTGCGCGTCGCCTCGAGCTCTGTTCGCAGCGAGTCGGAAATGAGCTCGTCTGACGACTTGAGCGCTGCGAGAGCGGCGCTCTCTTCGTGCCCGACCGCATCGACTAGAAGAATGCTCATGTTAACAAATTCCCCCTGAATACATATTCGATCTGTGCGGTTTGGAACCTACGCTCTGCCTTGAGGCGCAGCAGCTCGCGCTCCCGATCCGCCGATTCGCGCTCGAGCTCCTGTGTGCGCTTGCGAAGTCTTTCGAGGTCCTTAGCTGTATCGAGCAGTTCGCGGCGCATGTTAATGAATGCGGCGTCCCTGAAGCAACCGGAAGTTAGCACGCGAAGATTGATCAAGACGGAGGCGGTCTCGACCGCGGAGGAAGCGGACTAACCCTTCACCGGTGGCGTTGTTGACCAGAGCGTTGATCTGCTCCTGTACCACAGCGTGCTTCTCCATCGCCTCTATGCACTTGAGCCGGTTGTGTTCCACCCTCTGGCTGGCGCTCTCGAGCTCGCTGCGAAGCCGCTCGTTTTCCGACGCCACCGCCATGTTGTTACGAAGGAGGTTATTCTCGGCTTTGAGCCGCTGGACTTCCAGGCGTAGGGCAACAGTTGCCGGGTCCGCCGTGGTCTCGAGCTCCTGTTCGAGGCTGAACTTGGTAGTGCTGGCGCCTGGGCTGTCGGATCCTGGCTGAGGGATATCGCCCAGCTGAAGCTGCTCTTGGAGCTCCCTGATGGTGCTCTCGTCGAGCTGGCGCTTCGATTCGAGATACTCGATCCTCCTCTTGAGTTCCTCATTGGCGTCTTGCAGGACATTCTTGGACTGCAGCGTGTAGATGATCTCCTGCTCGTTGGTCGACAGGACCTTGACCTTTTCCTCGATCTCCTTCTGGAGCTTCCTATTTTGCGCCTTCACCTCGTCAAAATTCTTCAGTTCCTGCTCGAGCTGAAGAATTTGTTCGTCCAAGGCCCGGTTTCGTTGCTGGATAATGGTCAAATCTTGGGCCTTCTTCTTGTAATTCTCCAGCCCCTTGATCAGCTGCTGCTGCTGTTTCGTCTCGTGCTCAAGAACCGTGACCTTGTCCTCGAGGTCTTTTACCCGCTCAGCCTTTGTACGCAACGTCTCGTTCTCCTTTTCGAGTCTCGTTGCGCGCATGCTTTCCTTCTCAACCAGGTCTTCCAAGCGGTCAATCTCGGCCATCTTCTCGCGGATCTCGTTCCGCAGGTCCCGAATGGCGGTTGTCACATCAGAACCCCGGGCACGCTTCAGCGTCGTGAGCTCATCCTGGGCGAGCCTCAGGTCGTGCAGCATGGCCTCCCGCGTGTCGAGAAGCTTGTCCAGGCGAGACTGCAGATCTGCATTCTGCTTCTTGAGAACCTCGACCTTGCCCTTCATCTGTTCGAGCTCTTCGGCCATCAACTCCGGATCTCTGACAGCGTGAATGTCGACATCCACGTCAACCTTGTCCCCTGCCCATGGCTCCTCCGCCGCCTTCCGCTCCTTGTCCATCTTCAATTGGGCCTTCTGGTTGAGGATTTTTGCAATTTCGCTCTGGGCTGACTGGTCGAGCTCCATGACCTTGGGGACGTACGTCTTGGTGAGGGAGCCCATGCAAGCGGCGGCCACGAAGGCCGTGAGGAACTCGCATAGCGCATTGTCGGTTGGGTTCTCGGCAATGGCACGGAATTCGGAGGGTGATGGCGCCAGGAGCGGGTTATCGGTACGGAGAAATCCGGCCAGGCCCCGGTAGACTGTCTCAAGGTTTTGCCGGTTGTCGTGGTCGGAGGCGGGGTTCAGAATGAGCGCCGAGGAGTGGAATTCGGGTGCCAGCATCTGCTCGAGGATCTGGCCGAGAATGATGCCGTCTCGGAGGTCCTGCAGCGTCTCGGCCTTGCGCCGGGTCTCGAACGAGTTGACCCATCTCAAGAGGGCCACCTGGGTAAGGGGGCCGTACTGAATCATGGCAGGAAGGGTGTTCCGGTTCTCACAAGACTGGATGGGCTCATAAATTCGGTGTCGGTTGTAGAGATAGAGATCAGTCCCGTCGCCGTGGGGTTCCAACAGATACTGTGTATGTGCCTAGGTCCAGCTCTCGCGCGCCAGTTCACAGACGCGCAGCCGGAGATTCCAATCCAGGGGTTGAATTGGATCGTTCACGCACTGATGTTGAAGCGAGAAAGAGAGGTTTATTGATATCTTCCCAGGTACATTGCTGTAGAGGTCATTGGCGAGTGACAGATCCGTTATGACTTATGAGACACCTTGCATCTGTCAGGGCTCCCGTGTTTCATCATTGTGCTGGTCGCATTTGTCGCCGAGAAGGCATTGTTCAGGGTTGCTGCTCGCTTGGGCGCGGTCCCTGCAGTGGAGCTTCGGCGCGTTGCGGCTGTCCCCATTCGATGTGGAGCACAGGGGCAGTCCCGGCCCCTGTTGGCAGCAAGACACCGCCATTCCATCATGCATGATTCGAAGAGTCGCTTCCATTGTTCTGGGACCCGACTTTTGCTGGCACTTTTGCGACTCTATAGCTCCGGCCTTCTCACCGCACAACATTACCCACGTCTGCTGCATCAAGATATTCAATGCCAAGGAGGACAGCAGTGCCGGATCTGCTCAGGGAGTCCGCACTCGTGGACACTCGCACGGTCAAGCGATTTGTTTCATAACCCCTCCAGGGTGACATCCCCAGCGGGAGCCCCGCCGAGTGAGCCATGACCATTGCACTTCCTGCCCCTGAGATGAGACTCGAGAAGGATGAGGACGGTATGGACACTCTGTACGGAGTACTCTGTACAGCATATAGAATGTGCTGTGATCGCTGCAGCCATGTCAACACAGCGTGCCGTGGGTGTCTTGAGCGAAACCTGCTCATCGGTCTTCGTCTAGCACCCCCGACGGTCTACTCGTTGAATGGATTCAAGACCTTCGCTATTTCGGTTAGTCATGCTTTCCCCATGGCACATTCGCGAAAGTATCAAGCGGTTTGCATTGCGAAGATGATGAATAGTATCGAAAACCTTGAACCGGACTGAATCCAACAAAACCAGTCGGGTGCTACCTGCGATACTTACGTACTCTATGAAACCGCTTGCAGGATATCCTTCCAAAACGCCAAGCCAACCCCAGAATGTCCCAAGCACGCCAGCAAAAGCATCTTCCCCGAACAACCCGTCGCTAGAAAGGTGGCTCATGGCTCGTGATCGCGCAATTCCTTCCTCAGCCGTCTTCCCCAAATCGGTCCCTTCAAAGGGCATGCACCTCTTCGTCCTCCTCGACAAGCACCTGGTATTCCTGACCCCACGCCGACACCGTATCAATGACTTTCTCGCCGACCTTAGCGGCGAAGCCCCTGTTCTTGTCAGCACGCGGTGCCGCCAATCCCGGAACCGCCAGGCCCAGGCTGAAGCTGTTGCCGGGCACCTACTTGATGAGGGTATATTCGTGTGTGATCACTCCGCCGGCATCGACAACTGCCTTCTTTGCCTGGTTCACGACCGAGTCGGGAGTCTCGGGTGGGTAGGTGATGAGGACCGACTTATGGACGTCGACAGCAGTGACCCCAGAGAGGAGCGCCAGGGCGGCGATAAAGAAGGAGTACAGTCTCATGGTTGCGACTTCGAGTGGAATCGTCTGCTGCTCTTAGTTTCGGCTTTGTAACTTAGTGAGAGACCGTGTGAACGTCTAAGATTGGTCTCCGAGTTGAAGTCGAAGAGGTGGCGCTGCGTTCGATGGGGGTTGGTGCTGCGTTGCCTGGGAGAGGATGGTTCCAGAATCTGGGTGTATAAAGGGAGAGCAGTCGGTCCCGTTTGCGAAGTGGCCTGCCGATCTGCCGGCGGGCAGCGAAGTGCCGTAACAGGCAGCTGCTAACGGCCATGCATCGCTTATGTAACCTGCTGCTTCAAGCGGGCAGGCTCGGAAGGCCAAAGCTTCCAGAGGTAATCCGTCCGAGCTGTTTGTTGGCCCAAGCGCCTTCCAGCTTTGTATTGAGCGGACCCGAGCTGCTAGTGTAGCAACAACAGAAGCACGAACTAACCTTATTGGGTACTTACCTTTTAATCTGGGCGAGGCAGCGAACAGTGACGACGGCGGACTGCTAACTGAAGCGACACAGCTCGCCGCACGCTTCCCCTAACCGACAAACTTCACCCCGTGAACAACGATCCATACCGACATCCGCCTTCACATTTCCGCAGTCGGTTCTCGTCATGCCAGCCACAACCGCAGAGACGCTGTCCTTGGTGACGCGCAACGTCTCAGTTGCCCCACTGGTCCTCCTCTCGGTCGTCGACCACTACAACCGCACAGAAGCCTACAAGAGCAAAACGAAGCGGGTTGTGGGCGTACTATTAGGGCAGAACGATGGCAAGAACGTCCGCGTCTCGAACAGCTTCGCAGGTGAGCAGGAAGCCTTCCGCCTTGTGTTCTGCGATCGCCTGCTGACACGAATGCACAGTTCCGTTTGAGGAGGATGACAAGGATCCATCGGTGTGGTTCCTGGACCACAACTACGTTGAATCGATGAACGACATGTTCAAGAAGGTCAATGCGCGCGAGAAGTTAATAGGCTGGTACCACTCGGGCCCCAAGCTGCGGGCATCGGACCTCGAGATCAACGAGCTCTTCAAGCGCTACACGCCCAACCCCTTGCTGGTTATCATTGACGTGCAACCGAAGGAGGCGGGTGTTCCGACGGATGCGTACTTCGCTGTGGAGGAGATTAAGGACGTGCGTCTCGCCCGCTGACCGGCCCTGCGCCGCGCGATCTTGCTGACTGGTCCTGCACAGGATGGAACCACCACATCAAAGACCTTCGTCCACACACCGTCGACCATCGAGGCCGAGGAAGCCGAAGAGATTGGCGTCGAGCATCTTTTGCGCGACATCCGCGATGTAGCGGTCGGCACTCTGTCTACTCGCGTCACCAATCAACTCCAATCCTTGCAAGGCCTCCATCTCCGCCTGCGAGACATCGCAGCATACCTGCAGAAGGTCCTTGAAGGGCAACTCCCGGTCAACCATGCCATCCTCGGCAATCTCCAAGATGTATTCAATCTGCTACCGAACCTCTCGACGCCCAAGTCCGGCGCTGGCGCGAATGGTGCCAAGGCCGACACCGAGCTCAACTACGCAATGAGTGTCAAGACCAACGATCAGCTCATGGCCATCTACCTCAGCAGTCTCATCCGTGCGATCACCGCTTTCCACGATCTGATTGAGAACAAAATTCAGAACCGGCAACAACAGGAAGAAAAGGAGGCGGCGAAGAAGGAGGGTGAGAATGGGGTCAAGGAGGGCGAGAAGAAGGAAGGCAGCCCGGCGGTCAACGGTGATACCAAAGAAAGTGCCGGGGAGAAGGAAAAGGAAGGGCCCAAGGAGAAGAAGAAATAGGCTAGAGGCGGTTGACACCCGAGGGCATGGAAAATGGCTGTATGCAGTTTTCGCAGGTTGCTCGAGACAATCTCCGGGCGTGTTATACAACGGCATCCATTGTTCGGGATGACTGCACTGGGGTAGGATAAAGGATGGCGGTGTCTTCCCCCGTGGCATTCGTCGAGGGTCTTCCTGCCCGTCATCCTCACCTTTCTAGCAAGTACACTCGTAATACCGATTGACGTTGCGGAACTACCGCCTACACATCCGCAACAATGCCTGCTATCTCCTCTCTTCCAGCCCTGCATTCAACCACATAGCCCCCCAACACAGCACTCCACCTCTCAGCCAGCACGCACGCCAGCAGGTGCTTACAGACGGGGATCCCCTCGCCAGCCACCAACCCGTCGAGACTCGTCCCACCAAACGACCACTCCGGCTCGATCTCCCTCTCCACCCCCGTCTCCCGAAGCTCTGCCCCAAGCTCTAACGATTCCACCTCCCAGCTTGACCTTACCGCTTCCCCCTGGACCGTAGCGAACGCGAACGCAGCACAAGTGCAGTGCCATGCTTCCAACCGCACAACATACCCCTTCTTCCCTGCAATCGCCGTGCCCGCCCCGCCATCACTGTCTGCCCTCCTCCTTCCTCGTCTCCTTCCACGCATGCTGGATTGCGTCGCCGCCGCCGCTGCTGAGGCAGAACCGACGAAATAAAATGCGTTCCCTGCTCCCCGCGAGGACACCGCTTCAAAAGGAGGGACATGCGCCGAAGCGGATGACGAGGACGCGTCGTGGCCCTCCGCTTCCCCTTCCCCTTCCTCCACCCTTACCCCGGCTCCAACTCCGGCTCCGGAATTCTTAGGGCGTCCTCGCTTCACGGCTGCATCTCCGTCGGCGGGGTCCCTATGCTCGGGAATCACTCGACTCACGAATCCGCGCTCAAGTAGATCCAGAGCGGGCAGAACCATCCCCGGAAAGAGCACGTGCAGGGTGGTGATGAGATGTCTGTGGGAAGGGGGCACGCGACGGAGCGGGTTGCTGTTGTAGTGTTCGGACTGTATGAGTCTGTGGCTGGCTTTGCCATGGCTGTCGGAGTCGGGTACGTCCAGGAGGGGGATGTTGGAGATGGAGGTGATCAGGGAGGTTAGCAGGGCGCGGGATGTGGGGAGAGGCGGACTGGTTGGGTGACTGTGTGTTGTTTGCATTGTTGACGAGGGAGAGCTTCGGTTATTTATAATAGGATTGTCATGCGGTTTTCTGGCGTGCAAGTCGGATTGGCTGTGAGTTCGTTGTCTGGGCGGTGTTTGCGAGGCAGAGATGGAGCATCATTGAGGTACTTGGGTAGTACTACTAGTAATAGTTGAATTGTCACGGTTTATCCTGAGGCATCGAACTAGGACAACAACGCAATCAAAGGGGCAAGATTTTCAGCTGTTGAACATATAGATTGACATGATCGCTCATGGCCCACGTACATACAAGTCTAACTCGCAAGCACACTAGGTAGATCGTAGACGTCCGTCAAGCGCGACTATACCCACTCCTTGGGATTCTTCAGCACCTCAACCAACCGCGCTTCTCTGCTCTTCGGCTCCGGCTCATACATGTACTTCCAGCTCGCCGTCAGCGGCATGCTCATGAGAATACTTTCTACCCTGGCCCCAGGCGTGTTCAACCCGAATGCCGTTCCCCGATCGTGCACCAGGTTGAACTCCACGTACTTGCCCCTGCGGATCTGCTGCCACTCCTTCTCCTTCTCCGTGAATGGCATGTCCTTGCGCCTGTTCACGATGGGGACGTAGGTCGGCACAAACGACTTGAGCGCGTCCTGGATGAAGGCGAAGAGGTTCTCTTTGTCCGCCACCGACTCGTCTTGGTCGTCGAAGAAGATGCCGCCAATGCCGCGGCACTCGCCGCGATGCTTATTGTAGAAATACTCGTCGCACCACTTCTTGAACCTCGGGTAGTAGTCCTTGTTGTGCTTGTCGCATGCCTCCTTGATCGACTTGTGGAATTCTATCGCGTCCTCGTCGAAGAGATAGCATGGAGTCAGGTCGCAGCCGCCGCCGAACCACCAAGCACCGGGCGACCCGTCTGGGTTCGCGGTCTCGAAATATCTGTAGTTCAGGTGCACCGTTGGCGCCATTGGGTTGTGCGGATGCACGATCAAGCTGAGCCCTGCCGCGAAGAACTCAAGGCTGTCTGGGATGTTCTTCTCGTCGGCGATGTTTTTGTGGTTTGCGCGCATCTTCAGAATGGCCGCCTTCGGCAGGGTGCCGTAGACAACGCTGACGCCGACACCCGCCTTCTCGAATACCTTGCCCTCTTGCAGCACGCAGGTGATGCCGCCGCCGCCCTCCTTGCGCTGCCATTCGTCTACCCGGAACTTCGTGCCGTCCACTTCCTCCAGCGCGCGCACAATGGCCTTTTGCTGCTCCTTGACGAATTTCTCCATGCGCAGACGCATCGGCGAGAGCTCCGACACGCCCTGATCGGCCTTGAGTTGCTGGTCACGCTCCGCGAGCGAATCCATGTTGAGGGGTTCATCGATGGCCTGCGCTCAGCGACCTGTCAGCGAGGCACAATCCTAGTTGGCGAGCACGGCGGAGAGCATACCATCTTATACGTCAGGGGCACAGTAACCAGGAGACCAAAGGCAGCCCAGCCCAAGTATCTCCTCCGAGGTGCGAATGTTTGACCAGAGGTTGCAGGACCTGGGAGGCTTGACAACGCCCTCCGAGAGCTCGAGCGGGAAGCGAGGGACAGCGAGACGCTCAATTGACTGCGTGGCGTGCACGGCGCGAGGAAACGAAGGGCCGGCCTCCGAGAAGCCATCGCGACGGCCTTTATGTACCGACACTCTGGTGGCGGGCGGGTTACCAAACTGACGGTACCTCGGAGCATCAGGCGATTCTAGGCGCAGACATAAGGCCACTTTGCGGATAAGCAACCCACGGACCGGAATGCACCGCCGAGATCCACGCCTACGCGTCTAGAAGATCCGCTCGTTGCGCTGCCTGTCTTGCTCGGCTGATCTGGCTGTCAAAATCGGATGTTCGCGAAATCCAGCGCTTCGGGACTGGAATGGTTAACGGGAACCGGGGACTCGCCGGCGCCAAGTGGAATCCGGTCCGATCGGGCCAGGGCACGAACCAGCTACGTGCCGGTCTTGCGACATCCGCGCACAGCGGAGGTTGGGAGCCGCCGCAACCTGGAAGCGGGCATGGCGGGTCATCCGGCGATAACTCCATCTACAGCTGCAGGTACACCACACGCAATCGGATCAAGTCGTTCTACTTAGGAAACAGGGAGCTGTTTTGTACTCTGTGGAACACACAGCGACACATCCGTCCTACATAGGTGCGGTAATACGGTATGTAAATGACGTGTGTGGGGACCATGTGACTCCGGCTGCCAAGAGGATCGATAACATAGCATGGCATTCATGAATCATCAGCTGCTGTGTATTACTAGTAGTAGTTATACTGAATGCATAAGGTAGTTATGTCACTGGTAGCCCGTCGTTGATGTCAACCCTAGTGGACTGGATTCATCAAAGCTGGGAGATGGGTCATACCGGTGCTGTACCAGCTGTTCAACAAGCATCATGAGCATAAGCACCTGGCATGCGCATGCGCACTGTGCACACCGATTCACCAAGCATGGGCATCACGCTAAGCCAAAAGCGGATAATGCACGCCCCTCCCCATTTAGTCATCGGTCAGCCCCGCCTCCGCCAACAGCGTCAGTGCAACCTAACCCCCAGCGTTTATCAAGGCTACAGGCAGACGCAAGCTTGCCCGACATCAACCTTCTCCCTTTCAACAAACTCCATCGCTTTTCATCTCAGGTACACAACCTCCCTCGACCCGGGCCGCTACCGCTTGACCGCGCGGCCATTTGCGCTCTAGAACAACGTTGCTGACGTTTCATCTGCTTGTGTCCAGGCATACGCTGAGAGGTAACATCTATCTTCGCACCATCTTTTAGACATCGCGAGGTGCCGCCCACCAAAATGCGCAGCAAGTTCAAGGACGAACACCCGTTCGAGAAGCGCAAGGCAGAGGCCGAACGCATCCGACAGAAGTACTCTGATCGCATTCCCGTAAGTCATCCGTCCGCAGGCGGTGAAGCAGCTCCCGGATTCCGCTTGATGAGCCCCCGCGGAGCCCGCTTGCTTCCCTACCCGTCGCACAACACCACAACCCCCGGTATATCACTAACACGCCCTCCTCTCTAGGTCATATGCGAAAAGGTCGAGAAGAGCGACATCGCCACGATCGACAAGAAGAAGTACTTGGTACCAGCAGACCTCACGGTCGGGCAGTTCGTCTACGTCATCCGGAAACGGATCAAGCTCTCTCCGGAGAAGGCCATTTTCATCTTCGTTGATGAGGTCCTGCCTCCAACTGCAGCACTCATGAGCAGCATCTATGAAGAGCACAAGGACGAGGACGGGTGAGTCCGCCGGAATCCACCGGTCACGCGGCTCGCAGCCTGCAGTGTGACACTAACCTTAACCCTTGCGCACAGGTTCCTCTACATCACGTACTCAGGCGAGAACACATTCGGCAACTTCGAGACCGCCTAGATGGCCAACCCCGGCGCTTCGGGGCGTGGGCGTCGCCTGGAGACGGAACTTGTTTTGCCATGGACGACGGAATCCTGAAACTCCTGACTACTTTCTTGGAGACGATCGTCGTCCTGCCTTTCCTAGTTGCGATACTGGCGTTCTCGGTTATTGGTAGGGTTCTGCTTCACAAGGGTTGCTCACCACTGGGAAGAGGTTGGACTGAATATGTATCATGGTTTGAGTTTCTTTAGCTTTTCCGGTAGTGGCTTCTGGCTTTGAGGGAGGAGATAAGCTACGGGGAAACGGGGAGGCATCTGCGACTGGACTATGGGTGACCGGTCTTCCCGCCGCACGTTACTCACCTAAGTTCCTTGCAACTTCAGCAGTCACCAAGGCAGGGCAGAGAAGGATCATTCCGGGACCGGCTTGCTAGATCATCAACTTTCCCTGAGAGTATTCTTTTCAGTGCCGACACTGGGTAATAATCTACTATCGTTTTCTTTGATGCCTAGATCCCATGAATCTGCTATCGCCGGCTAGATACCTAACCACAAGCGATCTTGACTTCTTGAGTGCCACCATCCCCACACGCCCGGCTTGGCTGCCTTGTCCGGGTCGGGGGTGGACCTAATCCCGGACTTGGCGCTGCTCCACGGAAAGGGACCAACCGAGCGAGAGAAGCTGCTCTTGTTATCGTTGGTAGAGCAACGGAGCAATGTCTCCGGGCATCCCGGATTCAATCAGGGCTTTGTTTGGTGTAGACATTGTTTGGTCGTCCACAGTTATCAGCATCATCATCATCTTCAACATCGTGGCAACTGCACGTACCGAAGGTTCAAGATGACTGAAGTCCGGGGATGGCTGTCTTAGACAGCTTACATCGCCAACGCTCGTAGAGGCGTCCACCCAGTCAACAAAAGCCTCGTCAGGAGAATCATTACCTATGATTCCTCCACTCGGACGCTCAGTGCCCTGGTCGAGTCAGTCGATGCTGTTAGACATCTTCTTCTTGAGAGTCACCATGTCAAGCACAACAGCAAGGCGACTCCTGACAGATAACAATTGACGCTTTGCTTAAAACTCGATGCTTATAACGCTGTAGACTGATAATAAATAAGACCAACTGCCTAACGTGCTATGATGGAATGAGGTAAGGTAAAACCAAACTAGAAGACATGACCAAAACATGACACCATATAATTTTACACAAGCGCAGCGCCACATAGCAAACTACCGTCTGCTTCCTTTTCTTCCTTCTCCTAAACAGAGATGCAGAAACAACAGGTCATGATTATAGGCCGCTAGCGTCCCCTTGCCCCTACCACCTTCGCCCGTTTCTTTTCACACTTCTCGCTTCGCAACCAGTGCTTTGTGGCAGTCGTTACCACAAGCCCGTACTGTCCACCGCATCATCATTAAGTCATTGTCCAACCCGCACAGGGATACCTTAAGCCGTTGTCTTCCCGCCTCGCTCGCCCAACGACCAACTTCCACCGAGACTGCCCATTTAAGGCAAAGGCTGGACCACGTTGCTCTCCAACCTCGGCCCCTTGTGGACGGCTTCTCATTGAAGGAATGGCAGCGGCCCATCTGCTCTTGATGACGAGGCAGCCGAGTAGGAGAGAAGCCGATCAGATCAACCCTCGGTCGGGGCAACGGCAAAGGGGTTTGCTGTTTGCCTGACAAAAGCTACGCCACCGCGCAGAATCACACTGACGACGGCGACTGGAAGAACGACCGGGTTGGGCCACATAGAAAATATGAGTCCCAATTCCTCCTGCCACTGCCAACACGCGTGCGTACGACATGCGTGACAGTCAGTATGTGCGAGTGATATGGGGACAATGACGGGGTATATGCAGGGTCCAATTCCAGAAAATATGCTTCGCCGGTCTCCAGAAACAGAACCAGAAAACAGTATAAACAACACGACAGCCGAGTCACAGATGCAGGCGAGAAAATAAGAAACAAGCTGGTTTTATCCTTTACCCCCCGAAACACGTTTGACTCCAGGGACGTCTCCAACCAGAAACCACATTAGAATCCCGAAAAATCCCTACGCCAAGACATAACGGTAAAGACGCGGAACTCCCCCGACGCCCAACGGGTGGAAGAAGTTGTATATGGAAGAGGCGGGATGCGAGCGCGTCGGGATCTCCTTGGAATCTCCCAAGCGTTCGAGTGCAGCGCCACGAGGAAACACAGCGCAGGATCCTGCAGGAGAGACCTTGGAGAAACAGAAACTCTTTATCAGAGAGATTATCAGAGGGCTTACGACGGTCTGATAGTGGTGGCCAAAAATGGGGATCGGTGAAGTGGCGCAACAACCTTTTTGAGACTCAACAGCCCCATATCGCTTGCCAGCACTGTTTGGCGTACCATGACCCAACGGTCACCTGCGTCACAATATGCCAGACAAGGATAGCGCGGAATGCCGGGGCTTCCGGAAAAGGGGCCCCTTAGCGCACGAGAAAGACTCACACATCTGGGAGGTCTCTATACCCCCGGATTGTTCCCAGTCTTGTGCCGCTTCTGCATTCGAGGGGTCGGGGGCTGCTTCCCCTTGATTTGCACTCCGTTTAACTGTGGAGTACCCATGGCCGCCGGTGTTGGGGCTGACGTGGGCGCCTCGTCCTCGTTCTTAACGGTCGATGGCCTCCTCCGCTTGTTGCTGTTTTGGGCGGGCGAAGTATTAGCGCTCGGCCCGCTCGAGCTCCCTTGCTGGCTAGGCTGGAGCTGCATCGTCGGCGCAGCCATCTGTCCTGGAATCGGACTACCGGTGATATGGGGAGAACCCGGAAGCATGGAATTGGCCATGGCAGGGCTGGCACCCATCTGGAACTGGCCAAATCCGGGCGTCCTGGGCCCGCCCTGGGCCATCTGCTGGCCGTTCATGCCTTGAGGTGCAGACGCATTGATCTGGGCATTGATCTGGCTGACATACTGATCCAGGGCAGCATAAGGAGCCAGTCCAGGGTGGGCGTGGTAGTATCCAAAGAGTGGGCCCATTTGGTTCATAATCTCGACCATCTGTTAACGGGTCAGTCACATATGGAAAGGCCAGGAGTGAAGCGGGTGAGGGTACCTCGAGAAATTGATAGACAGCCTCCGTGATTCCCATGCCGCTCTTGACAACAGAGTGCGGGAGGTCAAGATCCGGAGGAGCACGAGCAGGTACCTTTGCTGGTTTAGGCTTCCCCTTCTTGGTGAGTTCCGGGGACTGCTTTGGGTCTTGCTGGTTGAGACTTCGCCACTCCTTAACCCAGTTGTGCGCCGGCCGGGCGGCCTGAATTACTACTCGCCTGGAAATGTATTCCTCGTGCGCCGTAGTTTGAAATTCGAAGAGATCAAACCTTGACTCACTGTCAAACTGGACACGGAGGATGCCCTGAGCTACAAGCTGTTTCACTGCGTCAATACCTTATTCGAAACCAGGGCGGGAGAAGTAAAGCTCACATGCGAATTGTCCTCGAACCAGTAGACGAGGCTTGCCTTCTGGTTCTCAATCAGGTGGCAGTCGTTTGGCAGCGGTCGCTCTGCTGTCCCCTTATCCAAAACCAACTGCATGTGCTTCACGCCGCTTTCAAAATGGGTGTGGAAGTATCGGGCGAGTGCGGGATATGCAATTTCATACTGCTTCTCCTGGCCTTGATCTTCGCCATCCCGGACGAGGATTGTATGGCGAAAGATGCCCTTTTGTGAGAAGAAGTGTTGGACAAACTTGTTCCAGTAGTCCAAATCATCTCTGCCCTTCGATCCCTACAGTGAGGCTGAGTGAGCTCGAGATCAATGCCCGCCGGGCTGGGGAGGGCTGACTTACTGGAAACCCGCTCAGCTGCTCGCAGAACTGCAGCATTTTGAGCTGATGCATGCCGCCCTTCAACGCCATCTGATCACGCCTTTGTTGCATCAGGCTCGCTAGGTTTGCGGCGTGCTGTTGTTGCGCTTGCTGTTGCGCTTGCTGCTGTTGGGCCTGCTGTTGCTGGGCCTGCTGGACCTGCGCAATCATCTGGGCCTGTTGCTGTGCTTGTGTGACTTGCGGCGTCTGGGGCGGCGCCTGGGGCTGTTGCTGTGGGTTGGGTTGTGGCGTATGACCCTGGGTAGCGCCTGGAGTCGGCGCTGATCCGTTGGCTCCGGGGCCACCTTGTCCGGGTGGCGGAGGCTGTTGTTGCTGCTGACCAGGCGGTGGTTGAGGGACTTGTTGCGCTTGCTGTGACTGCCCTGGCCCTTGCTGCTGGGCTTGAGCTGCTTGCGCTGCCTGGTGTTGGGCCTGCGCCTGCGCCTGCGCTTGCATGCGAGCTTCCGCTTGCGCTTGCTGGGCCTGCTGAGCCTGGAGCGCGGCCAGTTGGGCTTGTTGCATCTGGTTCAGGTGCTGGGGGTTCATCGGGTGTTGGTTCGGATTACCCCCTTGTTGGTTCATCTGCATTTGCTGCTGTTGTAGTGCCAGCTGGTGGGCCATCATATTCGGCTGCGGATACGGGTCAGCGCAACGTTCAGGAAGCCAAGTTGAGGGTATCGAGCCGGTTGAGGTTCTCTTACATTCATAGGCTGGCCCTGTTGTTGTTGAGCCAATTGGGCTTGTTGAAGGTGCATCGGGGAAGCTACTGGCATCCTTCTAAGTGCTGCCATCTGAGCAGCTTGGGCCGGGTTCATTTGTCCAAGCGGGATACCCATGCCCGCCGTGTTCATGGCCCCAAAGGCCCCGTGGGTCATCAGCGCTTGTCTCGCATGCTGCTGTTGTTGAAGCATTTGCAGCCGATGTTGCTGCATCTGTTGCTGCAATGCCGGGTTGTTTGCGGCATCTAGAAAAGAAGTCAGCACGCCATACAAGGGATCTGCGCAGCAATTGGGACCGCGGTACATACACATTTGGTTTAATTGCGGATGATGAAACATCTGGGCCTGCGCCGGACTCAGATGTTGCATCGCATGGGCGTTCGGGTTTCCCGCCCCGGGCGGCATGCCTCCCATGAGGGCGGCAGCATTGATCTGAGGGCCTGGACCCGACACTCCCATGTGCCCCACGAGCTGGTGAGGGATGCCACCCGGTGCTGCGCCGGGCTGACTCGGGTTATGGCCCATAGCCGGAGCCATAGGATGGCCCGGCGGAGCACCTGGGTGCTGCTGCATCGCACCGGGATGCGGCGAAAAGCCTGGTGGCATGCTCGCCATCATCTCCAAAACTGCCGACTATCCACAGAGTGGATACCGACCCGAAGTCCTCCAAGTTATCGCATGCGAAGCTGACCCGGGGGTCGAAGGCGTTGAGAAGATGGGACGCTCGTGCGGTGTCCGAAGTGTATGCGCAAGCGTTACGCGGCCGGCGGGAGTGTATTGCCGCCACAGGCGGAGTCGAGAAAGCGATCGCGATAGCGTGGATTGTCGGATGTGTGTCCCAGTCGCGATGGTGCTTGGATGGCCCGGTCGCGGGTGGCGTGACGGGTGCAAATGGAAGTTCCGGACTCCAGCGGCCGAGGAGCAATACGCGACGTAATTGCGCTGCCGTGCAGCTTATGGTTGAGTTGAGCGAACGTTGGGGTGAGGCCGTTTGTTGCGGCAACGACGTGTCGCGGTGCGAAGTGCGGTCGTCTGTGGAGTTTGGGGACGGGGGGTTGGTTGTAGGGGATTGGCAAGATGATTAGTTAAGGTGGGAACGCGGAACCCAAGGAGTCCCGGGTGGTTGCCCGATTGAAATCTTCCCGAGGGGTCAAATGGGAAAGCCTTTCTGTGGCAGTTGTGGCACAGTCCTCTCTTCAAGCCGGTTGATTCAGGTAGTCTGCAAATCTGGAGCAACCGGGGCTTTATCTGAATCAGCAGTGATCTTACAGTACACCTGCTTTTGGTAGCATTACCGTGCAGCAAAATAGTGATCTCAGGCGGCGCAAAAGCAGATACGTCAGCCAAGTCTACTATACACCAAGTTTGTTGAAAGTGATATCGAATCAGCCCACCGCACGTGTTGTAAGCAGAAGCCTACTTTCCTCATACCGTGTAGATGTAAACAGAATGGAATGCTCGAATTTGGCTCCGGAAATATATTCATGCGCAGTCAAAACTTTTGATTGGCTCCGAGTTGAGGTGCCCACGTGATGTGGTAATCAGAAGCTAGCGTGCGTGCCCCACAGGCAGCTGATTAGAGCGGAAACTCACGTGAGCTGCATGTGCAGAAAAGCTGCCAAATTTTCTTATCGTTATCTCGTGACGAAGGTATTTTAGAACTCCTGCAGACTTCAGAACCCCAATCCTCCTCTTCCTTTCCTCACTCGAAACATCTTCGACCCAGATTTGCTTGCCCGCCTAGGACACCGCGCTATGTCCATCCATCAGTCTAATCGTCAATGGCGATGCTTTGGTGCTGCGCCTATTTTTTACTGCCTGACTAGTGAGTGAGCGAGTCAGGGCTGATTGGTTTGTGGAAGGCATCCTCAGCACCTGTGGGAGCTTGAGCTGCTGCAACGACACACATTCTGCAAGGCAAAGGTAAGCTTTCCCTTCTCTGTTCTTCCGTTTTCTGCATATATGACGCTCCCCCGCCGTTGAATGATGACAACATTCGAAATGTCTTCTTTTCCCACCTGAATCGACCATGAACGAAAGTCAGTCTGTCTCGGGCTTCTCTCCTACGGGAGCGGGCCTGTTACTTGCCAGTATATTTGTCTGACAACCGCGGAACATCATTTTCGATGTTTGGGTCGGTGGAGCTCACGACTGCTTTGTCTCCATCTCCACCTTTTCTGTTGGTTTTTCTCCAAGCCCAGTCACTGACCCGGCAACAGTAGACACTTCGAGAGCAGCTCCCACGAAGACAATATATCTTGGCCCTTTCTCTCGCGACAGCCTCCTGGGTTCCTCAACTCTTACACATACTGATTCAACAGTGAACGACATTCGCAACAAACAGCAAGGTCAGTCTACGCAGCTTTCTTCTACCTCCCTCTCGACTCTGCATGATGAAAATTTTCCCTACATTCGCAGTTTCCACTTGAGTCCCACCAGAGCCTTTCTCGGGACAGATGAGGGGCAATTCTTCCTTGGATGTCTGATCGCAAAGTCAATCACTTGTTCACTTGAGTGCTGAGTGCAAGAAACCAGGCGCTAACATGCTGGCTTAGGTAACCGGTCTTATCAGCTCCCACATTGCTTTTGCGTAGCCTTGTTCCAAGTTCCATAGGATAACATAAGTACCATGATAATAATACATGGCGTTGTTGAACACCCATCTGCCGTACCATTGACAGCCTCTGGCCCGTTCATGCGTTTGCTGTGTTGTGGGCGTGCCTCTTGTCGTAACCTTTTACAAATCCCACCATCTGTTCCCAAGACATGGCCGGTTCATCGTGTCGCTCCAGCTCTACCCCCAAAGTGAGCTCTCAATCCGGACGGAATTCGTAGTAGGATTCGGCGCATGCGCCTCCCATAAATTAAAGTTACACAATACGTAGCAAAGGAAGGTACAGTCAGAGTCGAGTGTCCTATATAAGGAGGTACGTGTAGATTTTCTACATGCAGGTAAGGTACCTGACCTACCTTACCTTTAATGGCTTTGGACCCTTACATAAGCACAAGACCACCGTCAGACCCCTGCGACCACTTCAGGACGTCTTGACATTCCATAACCACGTACCTGAGAGATATCTGTAGCCTTTCCTTACCCCCAGCCCAAGTCTCCTTGCCTACCCTTTGATCGCCTACCTGACCCCTACTCCAGACCTCAAGTCCGCAAACGCCTGTGTGTGGTATGTAAGGTACCGTAGTTGCCTAATCCGACATTTCCAAAGCCTCGTCTGCCCCGCTGAAGTATGAACCCGCAACACCTTCTTCTCATACCGTCCAGTCCAGAGCCCCATCAGCCTATAGCCACACGCGTACGCACTACCCAGCACTTGTAGACAATCCTAAACCAACCGTAGATTGCTGTTGCTGTGGCGGCGCACCGATCCCGGTTCCAGTCCCAGTCACCCCTCCGCGCTTCACCCGGCCCCCAACCATGCCCCTTCTATTCCGACCCGTCCGGCCCCGCCCCAGCCAGTTGAGCTTGAGCAGCTTATTCAGCTCCTCTACCTTCTTGTTGCCATCCTCTTCATCCCGGCCCCCCGCGGTAAGCGCCACCCCCACCGATGCCAGCACACTCATGCACTGGAGCATGCGACCGACCATTTCAGTGACCTGCTTCGAGTCCTCGACGTTCTGATCGCGGAGGCTGCCGCCGTCGCCGCCGTAATTCATGGTAGTGTTGCTAGTTGGGGCGGCGCCGCCGAGAGCGTGTAAGCTGCTCGGAGTAAAGGGCCGCATCGGGTGTGCGGCGCTGTCACTGCCGAAACTGACGTTGCTGATGGCGCGGCTGCGGTTGCCGCTTCCTGAGCTGTCCCCGAGCAGGGTGCTTCCGGTGCTGTTGTAGCTCGCCACGGACGGGTCGACGGAGGCGGCGGTGCCTGGCCGGTAGCCGAGCGCACTGGGGAGGCTTGTGGAAGCGTGGAAGTCGGAAGGGGAGGCAGACAGTTGTTGGTTGAGGCTCTGGGCCTGGTTGTGGTAGCCTGGCGATGGGATGGGGAGCGGCGGGGAGGCGAGGGCCATGGACGCGAGAGACTGCGGCAGAAACTCGAGGGAGAGGCGAGAGAACATCCCTTTGAGCAGGTCGTAGCGGGGGAGGATGACAATGTCACGAAAAGCGAGGAGCACGAACCGGCGTACCTCGAGCACTGACGAGGCTGGAGATACGCTGACGCTTTGGCTGCGGCCCGCTTTCTGAGTAGCGGAGGAATCGGCTTTGGCGGCAGCTGACGGGGCAACTGATGGGGTAGACGAAGGAATGCCGCCCCAGAAATCGCGTGCTTGCTCGGGCGACATCAGGGGCCCGTGACCCGAGAACTCCTGGTCTAGCGGCAGGAACACGGCCTGCATGTATGGTAGGATGCCCGTGAAGGTGAAAATCCATAGCTCGACTAGCGAAGGGATCAATCTGTCCTCCGGAGTCTTGCGCAGGGTGTGGTCAAGGCTGGAGAAACCGGTAGTCAATAGCTCCCTCAGGTCATCCACGATGATGTTTGGACTGCGGCGAGCCATGCAATACTGGATGTGCATCGTGACCACGCGGTTCAGGTCCTCGACGGGAAGCCTGAGATCTTCGGCCTCGAATACGACAAGTAGCTTGGCCTTCAGGAATGGCCATGCATCATCATGTGTCATGTTGTTCAAGCCATATTTGTGGCTGTCGAACGGCTCGTTGAGGTAAAGCGTGGAAGCGGCCGTGGCGGAACCCGAAGGAGCGGTGCTCGCACCAGGCCACTCACTCCCGATGGCCGAACTCGAGGCGTCATCAAGCGACTTCTCCTCTTTCCTCTTCTCCCGGAATACCCGCCCGCCATGACGCAGATCCAAGGCTGACTTGAAGCTGGTGCTGTGCGTGCCGGGACTCTGCGGCACGTTGAAGCTATACAAACTGCTGGGTGCACTGGGATCCGTCGGCCTGGAGTTGCTCATCGCAGACGAGAGGGGCAGGTGGTAGTCATCCTTAAGCTTCTGCTTCTGGCGTGACAAGAAGTGGTGTTTCTTCTCCTTCTCTTTGCTTTCCTTCTCGGGCTGTAGGTCCGTCGGTCGAATTGTTGCAGCGGAAGTGTTGGGCAGACTGTAAAACGACTGAGACATCGAGTCGAGACTGGTTGTGCTGAAGTTGGCCCGTTGTAGGTTGGCAAACGGGTTCGAGACCTTTCCAGGACTGGGCAACGGTTTGTCCTTCGTGTCGCTTTTACCACCGATCTTCACTTGGCGAGCGAAGAGCTTCACCTTTGACTTTTCCTGCTTCAGCGGCTTCTCGGAGGCTGGGGGTGGAGGCGGGGGCATTGACTGCGCGGGCAATGCGGGAGACGTCTGACCCGACCGCGGAAAGACCATATTGGCGGCGGCCGTCGCTGCAAGAGTGTGGTTGCCAGGAAGCCCATTGTGATACGTCTGCGCCCCAAGCGCACTATCTCGGGGAACGCTCGCTTCGGTAAGGCTCAACATCGGGGGGTTCATCGGCCCACTTCCACGTCTAGTTGTCTGCCCTTGCTCATCTTGCCCGTGAGGCGGCACCGTTTGCGATCGATGCCGAGCTTGCTGTTGCTGTGCTTGTTGCGCCTGTTGCTGCTGGTTCTGATGCTGCATCACCGCCGCCTGTGCAGCGATCTGGCTCGCGGACATCTCTCTGTGCGGTGCCGGAGTGGCCCTCGGGGAGGGCTGCGTCAGGCCGACTTGGGACAGGTTTGAGGTGCCTGTCGACGGCAGGGTAGGTTCGAACAGGCCCGCGTTTTGCGAGTGCTTGCGGTTATGGGTGAACCGTCCCCCGAAGGTTGGCGTGACGGGGGACGAGGTAGCCGGCGGGAGCGTCAGCGGGGACGGCGCGTTGCGCGGAAGACCGTCGCTGGGCGAATGTGCGCCAGCGACGGACCGGGCGGGGGTAACAACGGTGGACAGCGTGGGTCGCGAGAAGTTCTGAAGGCTGGTCGTGCTGTTGTTATTTCCCGACATAAAGCTGGAGTAGATGGGCGTTGGGGATGGCGCCTGTCCCTGTTGGCCGCGTGTCTTCACAACATTCAATGGCGCTGGCTCGTCGCTCGACAACGAATCCTGCCGGCTCGGTCTCGATCTTGAAAGGTCGGTCGCGCTTGCTGAATTGGCAGCTGACAGGGGCGAGAAGCTCCCTGGTGCCCTCGGCGTGGGTCTTGCTGGCTGCATGGGTAAGGATTTCGCTGGAACGGTGAAGCGATCTGTTACATCTTGGCGGGATGGTCCCTGGGCCGTATGCGATATACTAGACCTACTCAGCCGATCATGCTGCGGACGGGTAACTATTCAGGGATAGAAAGTGAAAGCGATCAAGGTTGGGTAAACGTCCCGAGCACTTGGGAGGTTCTAAGGCGTTAGCAAACCGGGCACTCGGCGCTACCCAAGGTAACGAACCCTGCTGCATGCAGTGAGTGGGATGCAGTGACGAAGCCAAGGACGCAAAGAGGGGCAGACATCTGAATGACTAGAAGCCCCGCAGTCCACCCCAAATTCTCCGCGGGGCACTTCGCGACACTCCTACCACCATACACCACACAGGATCTGTACCAGCCCTTTACATCAAAGCTACAGTCGATTTCCTCCACTCTCCCGCGCCGCGTCATAAATCTAAAGATCGGAACGGTAGTGTACATACTATACAAGACCTACCTAGACAACTCGTCCACCGCCTAACAACACCACATCCACCCTCTGAGCTTGACCCCAGCATGACTTCCTCACAGTCACAACCGACGCTGTCGGCTAACTACACGTCCACTGGGAATGCCTCATTCACCATACACCATCCCCTGACGGCCCCGCCAAGTAGCACAACTGTCGAAAACAAAATCGCATCCCTTGCCGAGCTCCGACGGTCCATAATCGTTCTGCAAAACCAGATCAACCAGGAGTTGACGGCCCGGATGGAGGAAGACCAGGCGCGAAATTCGAGCGCCACAAAGGCCAACGGGGTCAAGAAGATTATCGATGACGAGAAGGAAGAGGAGAACTACGGGGAGGAAGTGCAGGACGAAGAACAGCAATAAGCATCGGAGCGGTAATGCTGTTGTCTCGGTGTAGACAAGCTTGCCATGATCGAAGTCGAGCCCTCAGGTTAACTGGACCGGAGAAGGCGCTCGCAATACAGACTAGCCGATCAAGATATGACACGATATCAGAAGCGCCATACCTACGCCCAACCTGTCGGTCCTAACTTCCATACCCAGCATTAATCCCCCTGGTCACCCGCCTACCCTCCCCCACGAACCAGCTGAAAGCCCCGCCGACCCTGATCTCATGCTCGCAGTCCTGCTATCTCCAGGCGACAACGATCTCAACCCGGCACCCATCCCAGTACCAGCAGCCGACCTGCCCAAGCACCCATAATGGACCACCGCATTATCCGGCAGCACGGCGACAACACTACCGCCGATCCGCTTGTGGCACACACCGCATACCTCCTCCTCACCAATCAGCACCCGTCTATTCCTCCCTCCTTGTCCGCCGGGAATTCCGTCTCCTAGGTAGAGCAGCGACTGGCTGGTGAAGAGCGCCGTCTTCCTCAGGCCCGCTAGCACGCGGGTCTCGTTCACCGCGCTATTGGCGCTGCGCATGCGGCCGCGGAAGTAGGACTCAAGCTGAGCCACGGGGAGGGTGTCTGGGACGAGAGAGAGGGTTGAGGCCGCAGGGAGGCGGGAGCCGTGTTTCGAGAGAAGGTCGAGGGCTGGCTCGAGCTCGGGGGAGTATTCTGGCGGCGGGGTCAGGTAGAGGGAGAGCAGCGTGTGGTAGATGGACGGCTTTTCGGTGCTAGTTGGTTGGGCTTCGTCTTTTGTGGTAGAAGGGGCAATGCCATCGGTTGTGTGACACTGGGCGTCTTGGGTCTTGTGGATACGATTGCAGTAACTATGGGGGAAAGTCAGAGGAGTCTAAAAGGGCAGAGAGAGGTAGAAAAGGGGCGTTGATTGGGAACATACTCTTCGGCCTTGGCGTAGTCTTTCATGTTGAAGACATAAATCATCAGTGCCTGTCTGTGCTGGCCCATGTTGCTGAGCACAACGGCCTGTGCTTCGTAGAAGCGCGGGTCTGGCAGGGTTGTCAGTCTGAATCCAAGCACAGCAAAACCAGGCGGTAAACTCACCATTCCTTGGGATCAGGCCGCGCGCCTTGCCGAGGCTGTACTGCTTGCTTTCCCTCAAGAAGCGCACCAGTCGCTCCATGAGAGCATCCCATTCGTCTCCATTTTCTTTCCCCATCAGCTGCCTGATAAACAACTCAACCAGTCGGTTGTGAAAGTCGGGCGTCATGTCATTCAGCTCGTTGATGATGTGCTCCAGGTACCGAATCTCGAGTCCAATGTCAATCCCATCAAGGAAGGCGATGACCTCGTCCCTCGGCAGCGTCTCTGCATTTTCCGAGTCCGCAAGGAACACCTCCATCCCAAGCTCGGGATCCTTCCTTAGCGTCCACTCTGAGAACTCGAGGATAACGTCAATCATGTCGGGTGGCAAGCCCTGCAGATACATGACCGTCCTCTGCGGGCCGTGCAAGGTCGGCGCCGCCTCGTCGGGTTCATCCGGCGAGCCGAATTTGCGCAGCAGGCTGAGCGCCTCGCGATGGAGCTTCTTGCCGTAAAAGAAGTCGACCAGCTCGTTGAAGCGGTTTTGCTCGACGAGCCGCTCGTTGACCACGTCAGGGTCGCAGAAGTTGGGAATGCGAAACAGCGAGCTTGCTAGTGTTGGACGTGAGTACATGAAGGCGCGGAATAGGGTGGTGTCGACGAGCTTGAACGTGTTCTGCAGCTCCCTTTCGAGCTGCTCGTCGCTTTCGTCCGGGGAGGACAGCATCAAGCTCTTGAACGCATCTTCAGCCGAGCCGCTGTGCGATTTGCGCGGCTTCAGCTTGCCCGTCGCTGGGTCGATGACTCGCTGGAGTCGTGCTCTGGCGCCGGCAAGGTAGCTGTTCAGTTCCAGAACGGAGGCCATTAGGTCCTTTTCCCGTTGACTTTGTTCGTCCTGGGCTTTTGCCTTGATGCTTGCTGCCTCGTCGTCAGAACCCCTCTTGGACGAGGCGATCGAGGATGTTTCGGGGTTATGTTTCCGGTTGCCACCCATGAGATACTTGGCGAACCCCCCGGCCTTGATAGGCGAGGAAACATCGACGACGTCTTGCTTTGCCTCCTGCTCCCCGTTCGCCTTCCCGTCGAAGCTCTCCTGCTCCGATTCATCTTGCCTTTCGTCCTCGACCGCTGACAGATCGCCGGCGATGATTTTGGGAAAGAGCCGCAGCACCCTTTCCGGCGGGGCGTTGACTTCGTCCTCATTGAACAGGTCCATTGATTCGCGGTACTTCTTTTGGCGAAATAGGACCTCCGCCTTTTGCATCTTGATCTCACGCAATGTTTCTGTTTTGTTCTTGAGCAAAGCATCTTCGAGCATACCCAAGACACTGATTGCTTCATCGAGCCTACCACTACCGACCAGCTCATCGACCTGAGAGTCATAGTTCGTGGCGTCCATCTTCCACACCACCCTTTCGCTTACGACATGGAAGCCCTTCCCGGCGTGTGCGAGACTGCCGGTGGGAGGCGGGACATGCAGCGAGGAGGCCCCAGGAAGGCTAATAGTCTGTAACAGGCTGAGGGTGTCGGGGTTTCGGACTTCTAGACTCCCCTTTGCTGGAGACTGCAGCGCTAGTATGTATGGGTAGCTGTACCCAATCTCCTCGGGCGCTGCCTGCCAGGGAATCTGACGTTTCTCAGTAGCCTTTCCCTGGTCATTGATGAACAAGGAGTTGGTATCTTTGGCGAGCAGCAGCTCACCATCAGCAAGCTTTGCTGCAAGCGGCTTCGGCATGTAGCTGCCCAGACCCATGTATCCCATCCCGGCAGCGCTGACGGCTCCAAAGCGCCCTTGTCCACCTGCCACACCACCGATGGCGCCGGGCCAGACAATATCCTCGGTATTTCCGGTCTCGATATCAACCATGACATAGCCGCTGTTGATGCCACAAACAACCCTTGTTGCATTGGCCCAGGTAATGGACCGGATCGACTCGGCAAGAACAATCTCGGTGACATCCGGTGACAGTTCACTCTCGTGCCACGACCAGAGAAGGAGGCGGCGCTTGACGGACACAGCTAGCCTGGAGATAATCTCGGGAATGCCCGTGGCCGGGTCCTTGACAATGTTGCTGGTCACGGCGAAAGTGGAGGCATTCTTGGTGCGGGCAATAGGTGCTTCGATGGGCTCGAAGGTTTGGAGGTCGTGCAGAGACACGGCATAGTTCGAGAGGGACACGAGGATGTTGGCCTCTTTAATTCTGGCGAGCCGCTCGATAGCACGTGTCGAGAATTTCTCTACCTCGCGGAGGAGGTCTGTTGGCTTGCCTGCCTGTGAGTTTGGCGCTTTCTGTCCATTCTGGGAGGCTGGAGGCGCAGAGGTTGCATCCTCGGTATCAGGCGGAACGGAGGAGATGCCGTTGTCGGCTGTCGCGTCGGGCCCAGCAGGAGGGTCGTTGACTCGGTAGATGCGCAGGGAGCCAGTGTTGAGGCCGACGAGAACACGATCACCTGAGCGCCGTAGTCAGCCAAGCTTCATCTGATCGCGGCACGCAGAACAAGTATACCATAGGCGAGGATAGACTCGATCTTGGACTTGTCCCGTTGCTTGAGCTCGATGATGGGTCGAGCTGTGAATGCGGAGAGCATGGCGGTCGCCAGCTCGTCGGGTTTCGTGCGCTCAGCGCGGTTGTTGGTACATCAGATATGGCTGTGAACCGTGAACGTGCAAGTTCGGCGAGAGAGAAATGCACGGTCTCAGTATGTTGGACGTATTAGTAGCTTGGAGGTGGTTATTCAGGGTCGGCAGCTTGCCTCCTTGGCGCATCGGGGGATGACGGCATTGGCGTCCCCGTGCAAGGCAGCTGGCTGGTTCGGGTTAGGGTATGTGGCTGCTCCGCAGAGTTCAACTGCGAATCCGAAGCGGTTGGAGTCTTCAACGGCTGAACGAAATCCGCGGTGTTTACATGGTCTTCATTGCAATGTGGTGACTATACTACACAGACACTGTCCGCATCGAGTCCAACGGCGAGGTGCAGAAAAACGCCAACGGTGCATCGACTCCCATTTCAAGACAGACTGATAGTAACAGCCGCGGCCGTCAAGGTTCTCCAACTTGCCTACCTAATCGGTAATCGGGACACCAACACCTATCGCCCTGAATTCTGTTACATCGGAACTCATTCCGCTATACAATGCAAGCTCGCCATCTCAGTACAGTGTTTAAGGCTTAAGGAGTCTTTTGAGCTCAACTCTCTTCGTCACAACCTCACGCAAGTCCAAGGTCACACGACGACATCAGAAGCATCAATACTGTTTGTACTACGTTGTATCCGTAGCAGGTAGCGTGATACGTTAAGGCTTTCTTACACGTCCGGTACGTAAGGCGGCAATCTAACTTGGAGTGTACCTTGGGATGACAGAGTGAATACGGAGATATCGCAATGTGTTGCTTCCTGGAAATAGTTCTCTAAACTACCTGCCGACAGTAACAAGCACAAGCTGTGATGAACCGGCTCCGAGACTGGCAGCTGACAACATCTACCATAGTACTAATAACACGTGTGTAGCATCATTTCAAGCATCAGTTACCTGGAAGGTAGCTTGAGGGTAGTTACGCCCGTACGAAGACCCTTGGTATTCGTAGTCCGTACCGCAATACCGGTAACTCGCCGGCCTCAAGTTGTGGAACACACGTGTGCTTAGATCCTCTCCGATTGGGCAGAAACCCACAAGACCCCACTCCACTACAGGCTTCCAGGCTTCGGTGATCAGCCGTGCCAAGCCGTAGGAGGCTAGGAGCCGAACAGTGCAGATATGGACCCACCTATTGCCTTGTCTGCGTTGGTCGTCAGCGCCGCCAGTTGAGATCAGTTGAACGCCATCGATGTGCGTGTGATTTGATCCAATCCGTCAACCACGGCCCTGGAGGCAAGACATTGAAAATACCACCACCGGCCGCATCCCAGGAGCCCTCCTCTAGCCGAACGACAGGTCTTCGAGCGCAACGACAACCCACATCGCACCCACAGACACGCTCAGGCTTTCTCGACAGGGGAGGGAGCACGCAGTGTGCGACGTTCGACAGCCCTCCCGAGCAAATTGAGCTTACAGAATACCCGGCCGCCAACCGAAAGTACCACGGCGCCATACGGGAGCGTCAACTCAAGTACGACACCAAGCGGGCCGAGAAGCGTAAGTGGCTTGAGGAGCAAGACGAAATGAAGTTCTCCCATAGCATCCAGTTCAACGCCGTTCCGGACTGGAGCAACCACTACATTGCGTATAGCAACCTCAAGAAGCTGTAAGCGTGACTGACCTTGTCCAACTCGCCGGCCGTTGCACTGACGTACACTACTAGCATATATCAGCTCGAGAAGGCCATCCACCTACCGGCGGGCGACGCCGAGTCCCGACCGCTGATCCAGAACGATGACCCGGAAGCCATCTTCGGCCGCGCTCTCGATGTCGAACTGGAGAAGATAACGTCCTTCTACGGCCTCAAAGAACAGGAGCTGTTCGACGAGGTCGCATTACTTCTCAAAGACATCGATGAGTTCGAGGAAGGGCCTGGCGCAGCCGAGGGAGCTCGACCGTCCAGCGAGAGGCAACGCTCGGAGCGGCCCCAGAGCCAAAGCGCACGCAGTCAGCACTCGACCGAGGACGCAATGGACGAGGATAGCGATGACGAAGGGGACGACGAAGAGACTGGCCTCACCTCCAGGAGGCGGAGGGGCAGCGTTGGGAAGCGGAGGTCGCTGGGAGACTCGATGATGGCCTCGACAAACATGACAGCTTCCACGCGATCACTGCGGCGGTATAGTATGAACTACGATGACTATGCCGAGCAAGCCGCGCTGTTCTCGTCGGGCATCATGCTGAAAAAGCGGATGATCAATCTCTACGTTCAGCTGTGCGAGCTCAAGTCGTACATCCAGCTCAACCATACCGGCTTCCGCAAGGTCCTCAAGAAGTTTGACAAGATCATCGATCGCCGGCTCCGGCCGAGGTACATGAGCACCTTCGTTGACACTGCTCATCCGTTCCGCCCTGATACCGCCAAGGGGCTGGAGGAGCGAATATCTCTCATTGTCGATGCATACACCTCTATCGTGACCAAGGGCGACGGCGACGCAGCACTTCGGGATCTGAGATCGCACTTAAGGGAGCACGTCGTCTGGGAGCGGAACACAGTCTGGAGAGAATTGATCGGTCTGGAGCGGCGAGCCGAGGCTGCTAGGTTAGGACCCGCGCTTCTTGGGCGAGACACCGACCCCAAAACGACGCGGCTTCAGGGTGACGAGGAGATAGTGCTGCCGACCAAAGTTGTATCCACACCTCTAGGCCGCGTTGTCTGCCCGACCTGGCTGTTCACGACAACGACGCTCAATCTCGTCATCATCGTCTCTCTCTTTTTCGCGCTCCTCTTCGTTCCAATCATGGAGAAGCCCGAACAGCAGAACTGCCTGGCGATGCTGGTGCTCGTCAGTCTGCTCTGGGCCACCGAGGCGTTGCCTCTATTTGTGACCTCGCTCATCATCCCCTTTCTATGCGTCGTCTTGCAGGTGTTCCGCGACAAAGACAAGCCGCATGCGAGGCTGGGCTCGAAAGAAGCTACCGCCGTCGTCTTTTCCGCCATGTGGACACCGGTCATCATGCTTCTCCTTGGCGGCTTCACCCTGGCAGCAGCCCTCTCCAAGTGCAACATCGACAAGCGCATCGCTACCTTCGTCCTCAGCAAAGCCGGCACGCGCCCCAAAACCGTCCTCATCGCCAACATGGCCGTCGCCGCGGTAGCCAGCATGCTGATCAGCAACGTGGCCGCGCCCGTCCTCTGCTTCGGCATCATCGAACCCATGCTCCGCAATCTCCCGGCCGGCTCGGATATGTCCAAGGCCGTCATCATCGGCATCGCCCTCGCCTCCAACATCGGTGGCATGCTCTCGCCCATTGCGTCCCCGCAGAATGTCGTCGCCATTGGCATCATGCAGCCCGAGCCCACCTGGGGCCAGTGGTTCTTCATCGTCATCCCCGTCGGCGTTATCTCCATCTTGCTGATCTGGGTCCTCTTGCTCGTGTCGTTCAAGCCTGGCAAGGGCACCACCATCGTCCCTGTCCGCCCCGTCCGCGACCCCTTCACGGGGATTCAGTGGTTCGTCTCAGCCGTGACCATCGCCATCATCGGACTGTGGTGTGCCTCGCACAGCCTAGAAGGCGTCTTCGGCGACATGGGCGTCATCGCCATCATTCCCATCGTATTGTTCTTCGGCGTCGGAATCCTCACCAAGGAAGACTTCAACAACTTTCCCTGGACCATCATCATGCTGGCCGCAGGTGGTCTCTCCTTAGGCAAGGCGGTCAACTCCTCCGGCCTGCTACACACCGTTACCAAGATCATAACGGAGCGTGTCCAAGAGTACAGCCTATATGGCATCCTGGTCGTGTTCTCGAGCTTGATCCTCGTCATCGCCACCTTCATCAGCCACACCGTCGCCGCCCTGATTATCCTGCCGCTGGTATACGACGTCGGAAAGGGTCTGGAGCAGCCTCATCCTAACCTGTTGGTCATGGCGGGCGTGCTGATGTGCAGCGCCGCCATGGCCCTCCCCACGAGCGGGTTTCCTAACATGAGTAAGTCCATTCCCTCCTTCTTTTCGTGTCAGGGACAGTGGCTAATCCGGGGTTGTTCCGTTTTATTTAGCTGCCATCATGAAGGAGGACCCGGCCGGCCAGCGGTACTTGCAGGTCAAGCACTTCATCAAAGTCGGCGTGCCCAGCAGTTTACTTACCCTTGTGGTGGTGGTTACTGTGGGGTATGCTGCCATGAGGGTAACTGGTATGTAATCACATGTGCAATAGATAAGAGGCCACAAACAAGGAAGCCAGTGGATTTTCCTGTGTGTGATCTCGGAGATGAGCCGGCGGTACCACTAGATTATGGAGTGTAATGCAGCGTTCTCTAATCATTTGGAAAGACGTGCACGGATGGATAGATACCTAAGTCATAGTTTCCGGATACGTCCAGCTCCAATGTGACAGCCGCTGGCGGCCAGAGTGCCCATCAATATTGGGTTGCTGGTACCAGGGGTATGACCGAAACCGCCTGAGTACACTCCCGTTTTGGGGTTACAGAGAATACGGTGCAGAGCGATTTGAAACGACAACAAGAGGGGAGCACAGAGTCCGAGTAATTCTATTTAATTCACTATCATCGTCAGCTTGGCCATTTGCTCCAGGCGAGGCTGATCATTACCATCCTGTTGATGCCTCCAACCCAGCACCATATAAACTCATAGCAAATGACCGGGGTATCAAACCAGTACGGCACGTCTCATTACCAGTCGTATTGACGGCCGAGCGGGAGTCCAGCAAAACATATGCGTAAAGTACTAGTAGTATGTTTAGTGGGAACAGGCGTGCGGACGACGCAGCACGCCACAGTGCAGACCCGCCGAGACATCAGCTAGCCGCGGTGCCTTCCTTGGTAGTCGGACTTGTAGGACTCAGCGGCATACCCGCACCGTTCGCCTCCCCGTTCCCGTTGCTGCCATGAGCTCCATGCCCATGCTGACCCAGGGAAAGAACCCGGTGCAAGCTCCTTCTGAATAGGGTCTTGCCTGGAGAGCCGGCACTTTCGGACGAGTGAGACTGAGAACGGTCCAGGCCATTCTCTTTGCCTTCTTTATCTTTATCCTTTACCTCCTGCGTCGTCACCGCCGACCTGCTAGTTCCGTTGAAGAAGCCAACCAAACTTAGCCTCCTCGACCCTGATCCGTTCCCCGCGGCCGATGCTGACGCACTCGCAGCAGCATTCTTGCTGCGCTGCTGCTGCGCCTTACGCTGCCGCATGGTGATTGCCGCTGTCTGGGAGGAAGCCGGGGCCGGGTAGCTCGACTTCGGCGGCCATTCGCCGTCTCGTTTCCAGCCCACGACGCAGGCTCGTAGCATATCGGAGAGATTGACCGGGCAAGAAGGCTGCATGCTTTGGACCACGACCTTGTCGTAGAGCGATCCGTACATCGAAGGCTGTATCGAGGCACGCATTGGGTTTTGCGGTGGCAGGAGTGGGGGAGGAATCGGAATGACGGTCTCGACGGGATAGGGGATGGATGGGGTCTGGTTGTGGGAGGCCGTTTTCTGCACGTATGTTGCGCTCTTTCCTGAATCCGACTCTGAGGCAGTTGTAGTCGATGTGCGGGTTGCTGTGGGCTGAAGAGGAGATGTAGGACTCGGCGGGGAGCTGGAAATGACTGTGGACTCTGTCCGGGAATGGCGCCAGAAGAAGCGGCGAGCGGAGGTGGGAGATACTGCGTTTGGCGGTTTCGGCTTCACTCGTACAATCCTTGCACCTGTCCAGGCGTTGCGACGTGCTTCAAAGCATGCCAGCCCCGGGTTCCATTTCGCCTCCTCGCGAACCGCCTTCCGCCGCTGAGCTCGTTTGGACTCAATGGAGTCGCGCACAGCCGCACCAACGGCTTCTGGGCTGTCGAAACGGAAGGGAGAGGTAGGCACATGAAAATCGTCATTGTCGGAGAGGTCTGAAGTCCACTCTGCGCGAGGCCGGAAGCGCTCAGGGTCTTCCGAGATGGTGCTGTATGTCGACTCTGCATCCGAATCTGAATCGGCCTCTTCCCCGGCATCCCTGAGGGGATCTCCATCTGCTGTTTCTGGGACTGGCGTCAAATTGGTGACATCCCCCTCCGTCACTGGGGGAACCACTCCATCCTGTGCAGCAATCGTAGGCTCTGCAGTGGCAGCCGCTGCAGCTACCACAGGCGGCCACGTAAACTCCCAATCATTGCGGATCTTCTCAGCGAGGTGCCTCTTCACGGCCTCCTTCTGCTTGGCCTTGTCTCTGCTGACAAGATCTGGATCGATGTCGGGCGGCGGCGGGACACCGTGAGGCAGAGAACTCCGGAGTTTGTTGAAAGTCGACCGGGGCGACTTATATAGGTCGGTGAAAATCATAGTTCCTGGTGTTTGAGCGGCGGGTGATTTGTGATCGCCACCGGTGCTCTCGCGCGACGGCCCTAGCGAGCCTGCCCTTATAGGGGCTGGCGATACAGGGTTTTGGCGATTGGGTGGGTGCGGGGTGACTAGCCTTGATGGTGGTATGATGCCCTTGCCAAGCAGGCCGAGCTTGCCTAGACCTGGGCAAGGGTGACAGATGTTAGCGATCTGCAGATTGACTGCAGCCTCATATGGCTGTGCTAAACTCGTCTAGTTGGAGTTGACGAAGAATTCCTTGTTCGTTATGGAACGAGAGCAATTCTTCCCAGGACAACAAAACATAAAAGATGGGAATCGTGAGAGGCGGGGGAGCTCCCGCCAAGAAATATCGATTCAGGTATAGACAATAGTCTTAGCTAGGTGGAGGAAGGAAAGGACAAGCGACAACTTGAAGTGACATACCAGAGGTTGTGGCGCACGGCACATGCTCACCGGCTTCATCTAAGCACAGCGCAGCAGGACCTGGGCTCCAGGTCGAGGGGCATGACTCGTGCCCTTGCCTTCCAGGGATCAGCGCTTTGTTGGACAGCTCGGGCGCTTCTGATGGGAGCACTAGCATGTCTTGGTCCCGTCGCATCCTGTTCTCGCTCGCTGCCCTCCCTCTTCAGCTCGATCCAAGGTCTGCTGCTTCCGGATTGGTCTGTCGAGTCTGGCCCCCGGGGGCTGCACGCCTGGTTCGACCTACAAGTGGTGGGATGGCGGTTCACCGCTTTCCACCTCCCGTTCCGCTTCCGGTTGTGCTTCGTGCACACTCCTGCCCAGGTGATTCCGGCTTGATCCGACAATATACTGTGACACACTGGCAGACTGGAAGTCAGGAGAGACAAACTCTGCCGCCTCGAACTGCTTGATATTGAAAGCGAAAAATACGACATGGTATGAGTGGGGATGCGGAGCTCCAACGCTGCTGGCTGCGGGGACCGGCAGCGTCCGCTCTCGACGATCGTGTGACCAGGGATCGGAACTCCAAGCATGTCTCTAGACTGGACACCTGCATCCAATCCCCATGTTTACTTACGCGCTCACAAGTAAGCTGTTGCTCAGAATATCGCTCAATCAATTCGTAGCTGGAAACCTCCGAGTCCCCTACTCATCGCAAGCCTTACGTCCGTATGGAAGACGATCAGATGCAACTTGTCCACAGTGCAACTTTGAGCCAGGTTGTTAAAACAGCGGTCCCCTGTGTGAACAGTTTGCCCAGTCCCCGCTTCCCCAAGTGATGGACAGCGGTGAGCGGGGAAACGGAGCGTCCCATGGCGGAACAGCTTACCATCGCCCACTCCGACAGGCGCCGCGGAGACGAGATGCAGCATGTGCTTGATTGAATAGTGTAGCGTACCACAGCAGTTCGTTCAAGTACGCATTGCCCATCCTCACGCCGGAACCATCTGCTTGATCACCTCATGACAGCCCCTCTTCAGCTGCAGTAGCGTTTCTGTGTGGGAAGTCGGCCTGCACCCGCTTTAAGCAACCCAGCCAGTGGGCCCTGGCAAGCAGCTCAAGAAGCCCACAACTCACGAAGAGCAAACCATGGATTGTAGTTCTGCATGAGCCCCTTTTCCTCACAAATGATGCGAAGCTCCGTAGGACTGCAGCGTGGCTATCGGTGGCGACCACACAGCAGCCTCCGCACCCCAGTGTCCACACCGCCCGACGTCTGCAATCCCAAGGGGCGATTTACCTGCTCGCCGGGAAGCTTCTCGTGCTCAACAGCACCCCTTTGACCCGCCTGATATTCTCCTTCGCCCTCTTAATTTCATCGTCCGGCTCGTTCTTACCGGACGGCCCGTACAGCGAGAACCCGCCCACAAAATCGGTTGCTGCCGCTGCACTACTCAGCTTGTCGAGGTCCTGCTTGAGTATATCTAGAACCGTCTGCACGTCGCCGAGGGACTCTGTGTGGTCAATAAGTCCTTCGTTGAGCGATCTCAGAGAGGTTATGAGAGAGCTAAGGCGGCGGTTGTGAATGGTTGTGGCGCTCTCCTTGTGGGGTTGGGATGGCTCGGGGGAGGGGGAGGTCGGAAGGGAAGTCTGCACGCCTATATCGCGGTGAAAGAGCTCGGTCGGGTCGTCGTAGCTGCTCGTTGCATCGTCATCTTGGGCGGAACTTGGCTTGGGTTTCGGGGCTGGGATCTCGGAGACGATGCTTTCTAGTTTCGAGACCAGCTTTGCAAGGTCTTGATTGGCGGTGTCGTGGAAAGAAATCCGCGCTTCCGTAAGCGTGTTGACCATGGGCTCGACCACATACTTGCTTGCGCCGTATACAAGCGCTGATAGGCCGCCGAAAGCGTAGAGGGTATTGAGGAAGCCATTGACAGTTACGAGGGGTGGTGGCCGTGCAGGCTTCGTGAGAAACTCTGGATAGGTGACAATAGGTGGCCGGTCTTCCTTCTTCGAGAGAGGAGTTTCTATCTTTTGTTCTTCAATTTGACTCTGATAATGGTGTCAGTCCATATATCTGGTGCGTCCGAGTAATCAGTGCCTAGGGGTGCAACATACTGATGCTTGTGACTCTGGCCGCGCATCTTGAGAGATCTCCTTTAGTAGCTCCTCAATATCGGCGTCGGAAAGGCCCTTGCTCTTGAGAAACTCGGCTTTGCGTTCTGGCGTCGTGTTCTGTACTTGGTCATCTTGCAGGAATTTCCTGGCTTGCTTAAGTGTCTCTTCGTGTGACGTGCATTGTTCGGCGCTCAGCTCTGCGCTTGGTGAGGTTGAGGGCGCGTCCGGGGACTGTGATTTGGTTTCGTTCTTCAGGCCACCCATTTTGAGAATCTGGAGGTCTAGTCAGAACAGCAATTGGATCGTATCAAGCGAACGTTGGTTGTATGCAGCAAGGCTGGGTGTTGTTGGACCGGAGAAGCGCGACGTGATTGTCATTCGGAACTTGTGACCGGGATGCCTGCCTTTTGCCGAGGCTCGCCAGCCTGCAGCTCTGCCAAGGGCCGGGGCCGTGGTGTTTCCATATATCTGGTCCGTGCACGCTACTAGTAAGTGGAGACCAGTCGACAGAACGGCGGGCCGCCAGTGTGTGGCCTGTCACGACTGTGGACTGATGAGAGGCAAAACAGCCTTCTTGGATGTGCCAAGATCTTGTATTCCGTAGTGGTTGTCAGTTCACGATCCACACATCTCCAAAGTTATAGATGAGAGTTGATCATATTTTAGTCCATCGTCGGATCGATTGATACTTGCTACAACACGGAGATACAGCCATTCGCAAGCGCAGATCCACGTTGCGTTGACCGTCTTGGACGTAGGATCGGAGACAGGCCGCGTTCTCAGAGCATAGCGTACGTACAAGACGAAATCTTCAAACCCATATGGGTTTAGGATGCTAATATGACATCAACACTCTGCAGAGCAGCCATCTGAACCAACCTGTCGATTAGACCGCCAAACGGAGGCAAGGCGCCGAATGCAAGATACCTGAGTTAGCCTGCGACGCGAGCTGTGCGACCCGAGTGCTGCAGTGCTGCTTGGCCGCCCAGCCACAGCCGAATCTTATCAACCACAATGTGAGTAGCTCATGCATGGTGATTCCTAATTCCCTAATACACTGTTTCGAATGCTGGAGGCACCGGGGCTGCGCGGCTGTGGTTTGATTCTGCTATTGTAAGTTGTGAGTTGTGGTTGGGACCTCCATCCACGGTGTTGATGCGAGATGGGATAAATACCTTTGGCGAACTACCCGGTAGGAACGCGACCCTGTTGCTGTAAGGCACAGATGTTGATTGGCAGCTCCATCCATCGGGCCACGCCTTGATCACTTGTGAAACCTGCCAACTACTGCCGTGTTGTCGCGACTCGAGTTGAGCTCCAACAACACGCCGCACGATAAAAAGACCGGAACCGGTCCTGCGGTTCAACGCCAACGAGGTCGCGTCATTTCTCGGGCTGCAAAGCCGTATGACCCGGGCAGCGAATGGCAGACTGCAGTTCCGTGGGCTTGTGGGCTTGATCCCCTGCGGCTTCTCCATTGGCACGGAAGCCTTTGATTGACGCCTTCTCGGCCACGGCAACCTTATTCCAACGACATGCCGGGTGCCCCGAAACATCACTGAGCAAGAACCCCCACACCCTTTGTGGCCTAGAAGGGCAAACGCACACACAACGCCATCTCGTTTGCGGCGCACCTCCCACTTCTGCCGCCCCGGGCAACCAACCACAATCTACTACCGCCACCGCCGCCTGTCGTCCTCATCAACATCATTCACACACATCTCACTTCATCGCACATACCGTCTCTCATCAGGCTAGCAGCCAGCAGCCCCCTTGACACATCAGACACATCATCATCATGTCTTCCCGGCCGCGCCGCTCGGCCGCCCAGCGCGCCACCATGGCAATCACTGACATGGCCGATAGAGACCGAGACACTAGCGAGCAGCGCACCATGTCGTCACGCCCCAGCGGACGCCGTTCGGGTAACGGCATCGCCTCGGTGTCGAGGGGCCTGCCCTCCTCATCGCCCGCAAGCAGCGCCGGCGACGGCGACCGGCATATTCATCTTACCGTCAAGCTTCCGTCGAGCAAGCTGCGCCAGGCTACCAGCAACGGCAACGACAACGGCAGGACCAAGCGCAAGTCTCCGAGTAGCTTGGCTGAGGCAGGTAAAAGCAGAGGTAGCAGTGGCCCTGTTAGCAAGCGGAGCAGGGTCGGTAAGAAGAGCTACGTGATCGAGAGCAGTGAAGACGAGGAAGAGGACGAGGAGAACGAAGAGGAGGAGGAGGAAGACGAGGAAGAGGATGACCAGGAGGAAGAGGAGGCAGAGGTAGAAAAGGACGAGATTGAGGTTGGCACTCGAGCGGGTTTTGCCAAGGTCGACGAGCAGGACGGAGATGAAGAGGAGGAGGAGGATGACAATGAAGACCAGGAGATGGAGGACCTCGGTGACGAGGATGCCGAGGGCGATGATGACGACGATGATGACGACGATGATATGGACGTTGATGCGGAAGGCGAAGACGATGAGGATGCCGATGGGGATGTCGACATGGACGTCACTCCTGTTCCGCAGCCCCCCATCATCAAGGTGACCAAACCTCCCAAAAGCACATCCGCTCCTAGCGGCAAAGGGAAGGGCTCACCCGCGAAGCCGAGCGGGAAGGGCACGGCTGTAGCGAAGGGCGTAGCAAGGGCCGGAGATGATGAGGACGACGAGGAACTGAGCGAGCTCGAGAGCGAGCCAGAAGATGTGACCGTCGAGGTCGCCAGTGGCAATCAGGACGCTGAGGGCGAAGACGACGAGGACGTCGATGCCGAAGGCGAAGAGGAAATCGAAGTTGCCGATGAGGATGCGGAAGGCGAAGAGGACGACGAACTATTGAGCGATGAGGAGAATATCAGCCGTCCCGACACGCCGGATCTGTCAAAACTAACAGCCCGGCAACGGGCGAAGCTCGGAGACGTTTCGCACGAGTACATGAAGCTGTCGGATGGTAAGCTTGACACTTGACACAATCTTCCCCCTCTTCGAACTTCATATGCTCGTTTCGAAACTCTAGCAGCAGGACGTACTTCTAACGCCGGAACAGAGGTCCAGGCTAAGAAACACTTCACTGCGGAGGAACTCTCCATGCGGCGCGCCGAAATGGCCCGGCGCAGACGCAACCTCAGCGAGAAGCGGAACGAGGAGGTCAAGATGGAAACGATCAACAAGCTTCTCAAGAAGCAAGCGCCCAAGACGACCCGCAAGAACGCCGCGCTCCTGGCCGCCGGCGACGAGACGCCCGACACGGAGGCCCAGCGCCCGGATCCCATGATCATTCGGTGGTTGAACAACAAAGACGGCAGCCGTGTAGCCGTGCCGGATGAGTTGCTTAGCGGGCCCGCTGGGCGGGTGTTTACGGGTGGGACTCGGGGAAAGGGAAGGGGGCTCGCGCCGGGAAAGATGGTTGAGGAGGTTTCATAGGCTTTTCTGTCTTCCGGGAAGTTCGACATGTATTAGGGTGGTAGACTGTGTGCTTTTCTTTTGAGAGTTGGCGGGTCAGGATTCGCGGAGGACCGTGCTAGTAAAGTTATATGCATAGCTAATGGACTCCCTTGGGTGAACAAGAGGTAGCTCCATCCAACCTTTGGTTGCGAGGGCATGATACACTTCTTGCCTAGCAACTGGGCGGCGGTCACAGGTTAAGTACTAGTAGGTATAACACAGCTTCAGGACCAAAGCCAGTTATGACAAGGAGTAGGCACATATTTGAAAAACGGACCACAGGTTTAGATCGGCAGACCGGTACGCCGGATACACATACGATATCAAGTCTACTTAGGTGTGCCCCAGATTATAGCCCATTCCTCAACTTCTGGAGCTGGCTGATCAGGCCATAGGCACCGTAGCTTCTAGTTTCGGCCTGCCCGGCGTCTGCGTCGGCAGCAGCCTTCCCCGCTGCGCCCGCTTCCAGTTGCGGTGGTCTGGAAGTATTATCGCGTCGATTATTACTCGACTGCTCCACCTCCCGCAGAAGCTCCCTGTGCCGGTCCTCCACCGTCCTAGCCAAGCTCTCGATGAACTTGGTGCGGCCCTTTTCCTCGGCGGTGCCCTTCCATACCGTCGCGAGCTCCTTCAGCTCTTCGATGCGACGGGCAGCGTCCTCAATGCCCTTGATGGGGTCCGAAGGGTGGTTGAGTAGCCGGGATATTTCGTCCCGGAGCGCCTGGAGAACCTGCTGCCCTTTCTCCTCGGTGCTGTGGTTCTCGCCGCCGGCGTCGGGGGCCGAGACGGACAAGAAGGAGGAGCTCACGGAGACTTCGGAGGGTGGGAATACGAATTCCATGGCCTCGCCGAATGTCTTGATTACCGAGTCGAGCCGGGAGCGCACTAGTGTCAGAGTGCGCAGCTGTGCGATGGAAGCGGGTTCGTCTGGTGAGGGTGCCTGGGCTGCGGCGGACGTAGCGGTCGTGGCTTCATTGGGAGTGCTCGCACCGGCCGTGGTCGCTGCGGCCGGCGGCGCGAGAATCGACATGCGCCGTTGGTGTGATGACGAGCTGCCATGGCTGTCGGCTGCTGCCTTTGGCTCGGCGAGGTTGTCCCGGATGCCGCCTGGCACAAACTTCGCAATGTCGTCCTCCAGCCGCTCCGTCAGGGTCTCTGCCAGTCCCAGAGTCTCGCCCCGCAACAGTTCCACCTCGTAGGCTAGGCGACCGCCGCTCCTCAGGATGTCGTTTGTGAGCTCCGTCAAGGTGTTGGTGAGTCTGGTTGTATGAGCGCTGAGCTGTGAGAGCACGGACTGCGCCTGGATGGAGAGCTCTGCGAGCGGCACCGCGCCCGGTTGAGTTGCACCCTGGCTGCCTGGAACTCTGGATGACGTTTGTAAGGGTGGTAGGGCGGCGTTGAGGTAGGCAGCAGGGTCAAATGCTGGGCCCAGGAAGTGCTGGAGAAAGGGGTCGGCCACATGCGGAGACTGCGGTTGGACGACCCGTCTTGACTGCTGTCTGGCTTGTATGGCAATGTTTTTGGTCCCTGATGCGGCGCTGCTCTGGCGCCGACGTGAGGCCTTTGAGTCCCAGGCCATCGTCTCGCACAAGATCCAACGGCACAACTGCTCTAGCAACTTGATCCTTTCGTAACCGCTTTCAATCCGAGTTATAATCGGACTGCCTGCCAAAATACCGCCCAAAGAAGCGGTTGCTTGTTTTTGCTGTTGGGGTTCTCACTGGGCAAAGGTTATTCAACGATCATTGCAGGAGAAAGGTACTGTACCGAGGCAACATTACGGATTACGGATACCTTAGGTAGTATGCACCTCTAACCTTAGCTGATTGTTATCGCCGTGTGAGATGCCTGACGGCTGACGTTACCAATGAACGGGAGGTTTCTCCAGAGTCCTACGTCAAGCGGTGCCAGGTGTTAGCAGCTGACTTGCTTCGACTTAGGGTTACACCACTATTTCATGCCTTTCAGCAAGGAACTCCACCTATCAATGAACGACATGCAACTCTTATGCTTGTGATGAACGAGGTGTCTACGATGCCTTGCTGATGTCCTCTGGGTAAAAGAGTCGTTTGTCGGTGATTCCGGCATGTTGGTGAGTTCCTACCGGCCCTCACGGTGCACCATCCTTAGCGTGGCTCACACGGTATATACAGTATACTTCGGTACTAGCACTATCTCACAGTACCTTCCATCGTCCTTGTTTTGGCATGGGGTAACCGCCTGGCCGTGAGCTCAAGCGGGGCTTGAGCATGAGATACTCTCAATGTGCGTCATCTATTCAATAGATGACAGAAACACCCCGTCAATGTGCCCTTCGGGCAGTTTGGACTGGTCTTGCATGTCCCAGGTGGCGCTGGGGTGGCCTTTCGAAATGTCCCTGTTCACAGCACAACCCCGCCGTTGCTGCCTGTCAAGTGTCAACCAGCACGCCCACGTACAGTACCTACCTTACCTATATACATACCGTAGGTACGCCCTGGAGGTACCCTACTTTACCTACCTACGCGGACAACCTCAGCCCTGTTTGCGAGAGCCAGGACATCTTTCTTAATACCTCCCGTCCCCAGAAAACCTCTTTGCTGCAGTCATCCACCCTAATACCTAAATCACGGCCGCATGCAAGGGTCCCGTGATTCTCCTATCCCCGTCTATTGTCAGCCTCGAAGTCAATAGAAAGACACGACTGGCTGCCGTGTTGCACTCATTCAAGTCTTAGTTCTGAATGTGAGGAGAGTCATTGGGCGTTTCGACTGGCATCCAGTAAGGTAGAGGACGCTGAGTTGGGAGCCTTGGTTGTGGCCTATTCACACAGGACTGACCGATTTCCCGGAACACCTCACAACCGACCTTCGACCTGTTAAGAACCAGCCCCGCCACACACAAGGCTGGCAGCGCACAAATCACCCCAACAGAAATACCCACCATTACATTTCCTCTTTCTACCCAGTGGCTATCGCTCCGGTATGCCCACTTGCCGCAGCGATGAGCCTGAAGAAATTCAAATCAGATGTCTCGACGGCCGCTCAGAAGGCGGCCAAGGGCGGCTTCGCTGGCGTCATATTCGTGGGGCACGGCGAGTCTGATGGCGAGGTCGTGATCAAATACCGCGACGAGGCACTACCACGAGACGTACGGATTCAGGCGCTGGCCCAGTACGTCAGCGAGTATCCCGACGGAAACGTGTTCATGCTGTGGACCGACGAGCCTGACCCTCCGCAGCCCATTGTGGCCGCCATCGAAGTGGCTCAAGATTATCTGCTGGGCATGTCTGTCTGCGAGATGGTGTCCGAAGTGGCCACACGTGTCGAGAAGGAAATTGCTCGTACCACCAAGGGAGGAAATAGTGAGAGTCAGACCAGCGACATTGAGCTCGATGACATAAACGTCGACGGCAACAACGAGGACGATGACGATGCAAGCGACTACGACGCCGCATATGATGAAGACTTCTCCTCCGACGGAGAAGAGTTCGGATTGCCATCATTGGCTGGTAGGCGGCACTCTCGTCAGGACTTGGAGTCCACAGAGAGCCGGAAACCCCTGCTTCGGCGCATCAGGCGAGACCTCCGACGGGTGGAGCAGGCCGGATTCAAAGTTGGCTTTGTCGATGAGTTTGGCAAGACTTCCACCACAGGAATCCTCTCTATCTCCATCCGTGTCGATAAACTAGCCTTGTCCAACGAGGCCATGGAGGCCTGGAACCTGAAGCCCGCCGAGTATGTCGTCCTCCTTCTCCGGTTCGAGAGGCCGTACACCCCTTTGGAGCGCATCCTGCAGCACCCCGCCTCACATACGAAGGTGGATCTCCGCATCGGGAGGTGTGATACCTATAAACCTTCGCTCAGCCAAGCGTTGGTCGCGTTCTCAGAGTCCAACTCTGCTCTCGGAACTGCAAGCTCGAGTTTGGCAGCCCAGGGCTCGGAGCATGGCAGTGGAAGCTTCGAGAAACTGTTCATATCCAACTCCCTAGATCAATTCCTGTGCGAGAGCTTCGTGTCTCTGCTGAAGCTCCGCGAAACCTATGGGATCAACTGGGAACAGGCCAACGAGTTTCTGCTGTCCAGGATTGGCCTCGTCGCCGAAGATGAGAGGCCGACTGAGCCTACGGATCTTGGGAACAGCTCTCCGGACCCGGATGCGTCACCGGAGCCGCACCCTGTTCCGAAACAAGACCACTTACTCGAAAAGGAGTCCGCAAGCGAGCGCAGCTTCCCGCTCATCGCCATGCAGTTCGCCATGCACTACTTTGTCAAATGTACGAAGTACTGCCTGCGCTGCCATCGGCGGCTTGAGAATGGCTTCGAGGCTCTACGCCCGTACGTCTGTTCTGACCCGCTCTGCCTGTTCCAATACATGGCCATGGGGTTTGGCCCGTCCATCGAGCACGAGATTCTCTCCGAGCCCTATGTTGTCGACCTTCTTGTCAGCTTCTGCTACGCCGCGATTCAACCCTGCGGTTCCATCTACCCTGGGGGTTCCAGCAGTGTGCTCCCCATCCGTACCCTTCCGGTCGGGTTGCGTCTTCGGGTCCCAAATCTGGCTAGCGAAGTATCCGATTTCTTGAAGGCAAAAGTGAGCGCGGATGGCACTCAGCTTGTGTTCGAGGCAGAAGGGGCGAAAATCTTCGGCGAGCGTGTGGCACCGATGAAATGGCTGGCATTCCGGAGACCCGGACAGACCTTGACTCAGCACGCCCGTATCCATGAAGTGAACAGCGCCGCAAAGACGGTTCACATCGAAGTGATGGGCCAGTCCGCTGCCGCTTGGGGCAAAAAGGTCAATGATCCAATTTATCCAATGTCTAGCGCGGTGCATTCCCCAACTCCAGGCTCTGTTGGGTCGGACGTTGGCATCGTCGAGGTATTTCTCTACGATACTGATTTCGACTCCCTGGATAACAGCAGCAAGGCCGTCGCCATGCGCCACGCCCTGGATACGCTTCCGCGTATAACTGAGATCCAAGAGTGGCTGATCAGCCATCCGCATAGCAGCTTCCGCTCCATGGATCGCATCTCCCCGGCGGCCGCTTCGCTCCTGCAGTGGATTATCTCCTCGAACCGGTCTTGTATTTTTCAAGTCGATCGGCCGCAGGATCCTTCCCGGAAAGGCAATGAAAACTTGGGAGCCGTGGGAGGCAGTAAGAACCGAGAGCACGAGCGAATATTGGGTATGGACGGGTGGGTACAGTTCCGCTTTGCTCAAGGCTCGCCCGACAAGGAACTGCGATTCAGCCGGGCGCTCCAAGAAGTGGCTGCGAGGAAAGGTCTCCGGGCCCATCCCACCATTTTTGCCTGGCACGGAAGCAGTCTGTCCAACTGGCATAGCATCGTGAGGACTGGCTTGGACTTCAAGGACATCAGGTGCGGCCGCGCCTATGGACACGGGGTCTATTTTAGCCGGCATGCCACCACGAGCATGGGCTATTCGGCTGCGGGAGCACATTCCTGGCCAGGTTCAGCCCTCAGGATCACTAGCTGCCTTAGTCTGAACGAAATCATCAACGCGCCAGACGAGTTTGTCAGTCGCGACCCGCATTATGTGGTTCCGCAACTGGACTGGCACCAATGCCGCTATCTGTTCGTCCAGACAGCCCCCGCAGGGGTCCAATCTGGCGGCTGGTGGCGCAAGGTCACAAATCACCAGACCGATGCAGCAGAGCAGCAAGCGAGTGACCCGAAATTCCACCAGCAAGCACCCGGAAGCGAGGTCTATGGGCAGTCGGGAAAGATACTGCAGATTCCCCTGTCCGCCATCCCGCTCCGCACTGTTGGCTCACCAGCTGCGGCGTCTCCGTCAAGCCCCTCTAAGCGAGCCGTTGAGCGCTTGGAAGATGGTGCCGATGAGCATACCGAAGAAGTCGGCATCCTGTTCACGGATACAGACGACGAATCTGACGCCGCCCAGGGCCCGCCGAGGAAGAAATCCGCGTCGTGTGCCCCTAGCATAGACACGACGTCGACTGGGCGTCTTGAGATCGCCGGCGACGGTCCACCCACACCTTGCAGCACCAGCCGCTCCCTGACTGACTTCGAACCTGGTTCGCTCGACCTCTCCACCCTCCCTCAACTAGCTCCCCCGTCCTTTGCTACCTACGCCGCCACCAAGGCCCTCAGCTCCGAGCTCAAGCGCCTTCAGGCCGTCCAGGCCAACACCCCACTCCACGAGCTCGGCTGGTACATGGACTTTGACGAAGTGACCAACCTCTTCCAGTGGATCGTCCAGCTACATACCTTCGACGAGTCCCTCCCGCTCGCCAAAGACATGAAGAGCGCTGGATTCACCTCCATCGTGCTCGAGCTGCGCTTCGGGGCGGACTTCCCATTCAGCCCGCCCTTCGTACGCGTTGTGCGCCCGCGCTTCCTGCCCTTCGGGGCCGGCGGAGGCGGCCACGTCACGGCGGGCGGCGCCATGTGCATGGAACTGCTGACCAGCAGCGGGTGGAGCCCCGCCAGTAGCATGGAGAGCGTCTTGCTGCAGGTGCGCATGGCGCTCTGCAATCTGGAACCGCAGCCTGCGCGGCTAGACCCGGCGGTCCGGTTGGGAAAGAAAGTTGGTGATTATGCTGTTGGCGAGGCTATTGATGCGTACATCAGAGCAGCGAACATGCATGGTTGGGAGGTGCCCAAGGATTTGCGTGTCACGGCGCTTGGCGTCTGAGGTTGCGGCGTCCTTGGGAACGGTTACGGGGAACGGTTACGGGGAACGGTTACGGAGAATGGTTACGGGGAAGTCTCTTCATGTAAGCTTTCTACCAGCGGATAGCAGTACGGAGCATTCTCGGAGATGCTCCCTTTGGGTTCACGACTCCGTGTCCCATGAATACAAACTTGCCTCGAGCTTGCTGTTACCATTAAATGATTAAAGTACCATCGATCTCCGGTGAAAGTAAACAAACAATGATGTAGCCATACTTCAGTTTCTGCAGCCAACGTGAGGTGGCTCATCTACTTTGGCTCCCCGGTCCTCCTTTTCCCCTAGGTAAACTACCGGCGCTGGCCTTTTGGCAGCTTATCTATGGGGTACAGGCCCCGTCCGCACAGAGACCTCTTTGTAAAGGCAACTCGACACTGTAAAACCCACTTCCAGAATCATAAAGCGCACTGTCGATCGCAGGCGGGACTGGGGAGAGATTGTAGATTCCGGCCGCTCTCACGAGTCACAGTCTCACTTATCGAAAAGCTACCAACCCGAGGAGAATTTCCGATGTCGGTTGTTTTACCCAAGGGGAGCCAGTATGTTAGGATAGGAACCCCCTGAGGGCACTTAAATCGTATGTACAGTACTGTACAACACAACTGAAAAGGGACCGGATCACACGCACGACATCCGTCTCTCTAGGCCAAAATGGAACACAAAGTATAGGGAGGGAATAGGAGAGGAAAAAAGAAAACAAAGCCAACATACAACACCGAGGATTCCCCAGTCGTCACCGACCTGAGTACTGGTTCGGCCCTTGGTAGCTTAACTAAGGGAGAGCGGACGGGATCCCGTGTTTTCTACCAGGTATGGTCGTATGTGACAGGAGCTGGGCGAAAGGACATTGATATTGGGCGTCGTACGGAGTTGTGTGTAGATCTACAAGGCGACGCCCAGACGGGTAGGTTACACAAACTACAATGCAGGCAGCCTCGCCCCACATCAGCCTCGTGCCAATCCGCAGCCGCGTCCCTCAGTTCCCAAAATTTCCGAGCACCCGACCTCTAGCTCACGCTGTCAACTAACAAAGCTTCTAAGACAGCTTAGCACCGTTCCGTCCCCTGCGATCACGGTAACCACGAAACAATCCAGCAGTCAAAAGGCTGAAACCCAGGAACTCCGCTGAGAAGTCGTAGAAAGGGAGCAAAAAAGAACAGAGAAGAGCGGGCAGAATGGCATCAAGCCAGCACGTCCTGCTCTCCCCTGCCGAGCTAGCCTACCTGCATGCCTCGCTCTCGCTGACCCCGCCGATCCGACCCGATGGCCGCACACCAACCCAATTCCGCCCGCTCGCCGCTGAGACAGGCATCCTGCCAGGCACCAATGGCAGCGCAAGAATATGTTTTGCAGACGGCACCGAGGCCATTGTCGGCGTGAAGGCCGAAGTGGAGCGGACGGCGCAACGGGCGGGGGAGGAAACCACCTTCACAGAGGGAAACTTTGGCGGGGATGAAGATGAGGATGTTGAGGACGGGGAAGCAAAAGAGGGGGTAGACAAGAGGAGGGGCGACTCCTCGTGGGTGGAGATGACAGTTGAGATTCCGGGTTTGAGGGACGACGATTCCGGGACGGCATTTCTGGCGGCCATGTTGAGCGAGGCGCTACTGGCGGATGGCGAGTTCGTCAAGAGGTTGTGGATCAACAGGCGTTTCCATTGGAAGCTTTATCTCGACGTATGCCAGTTCCACACCCGACCATCTGCGCACTGACTGACTCTTCCGACCAGATAATTCTCATCTCACCACCGCTCTCATACCCGCTCCCTCTGCTTTCGCTCACGACCCACCTCGCCCTCCTGTCCACCCGCCTGCCGCGCCTCAAATCCGAGGGCGACGAGGACCCCTTCTTCGATGATGACTGGGCCGCGGCGCCCTACCTCTTCCCGCGCTCCGTCACGGCCAGCGCCCAATCTACCGCCGAAGACCCCACAGCGAGCCGACCACCAATAACCCTCCTCGTCATGGCGGTGGGCAACAACATCATCTTCGACCCCTCCAAGGAAGAGCTCGCCGTCGCCGACGTTGCTCTGGCCGTGTCTGTCACAGGTACAACACCTCATGCTGAGGATACGGTGCAAGCAGAAGGGAAGGTCGGGAGGAACCTGAGACTGTTGTCCATCAGGACGATTGACCCGCCCTCGAGGTTGACACCGCCTGGCGTCGCGAACGCTGCGAACGCGGCTTACGGCACGGCGAATGGGGCCGCAACACAGCAGAAAATGCTCGAGGCGAGGACGGCTGAGACAGAGGTTGTCGAAGGGGTCTGGAAGGCGCCCAGGGGCGGCGCCAAGAGGATGGTACTTGGGGCGCTGGTGCAGAAGGTGCTGGAGAGGGGAGGAGTGGTAGATGAGGTGTTGGATGCATTGGAGGGGGTAGATTTGGGGTAGGGAGTTAAGCGGCCTGGGAAAAAAAAAGAAGCAAGGCTGCCATGATCCGTTTTGCCCTTTTTACCCATCCAAACCATATGTCCCGGCCATGTAGTATACAGGGACTGTCCATCCCATGGATGTATACAACGCCGGAGTAATCAAAAGATACCCAGCCACTTCTGCTTTGCCTCCTTCACTACCGCTTGCCGTTCCTCCTCCGTGAGCCTCCTCACTTCAGGCGCGCTCTTTTGTGTCTCAACCGCAGCAGCAGCCAGCCCGCTCTCCTCCAGTTGCTGTTCCCCTCCTACCTGCTGTGGCGCGCCCTCCCCAGCCTGACCTCGCTCCGCAGCCATCTCCTCATCCGTCTTGATCCTCGCCATGGGCTGGTTGAACAGCCCCATCTCGTCCGGCAAGCCGTGCGCCTTGCGGTACGCCGCCCGCTTGGCTACGTCCTCGACGTTGCGCTTGCGCTTCTCGTTGATTTTTGCCGTCTTGTGCGCCTCGTGCAGCCGCAGCACCTCGATCAGTATCCGCACCGAGCTGATCGGGTGGTAGAGGTAGTCGGACGCCGGGGGCAGCATGTCGGCGAAGGGCGAGGTGTGCTTGAAGTTCATGGCGAAGGTGAAGATGGCCAGGCCGGACAGCGTGCCCACGGTGATGAAGACGTGGATCCACCGGTTGTGAATGAACCAGTATGCGCGGGTGTTTGGTGGCGGCGGCAACCCCGGATATTCGCGCTGCGCTTGGGCGGCGGCTTCTTCGAAGCTGAGGTCGCCCCCGTAGTGCCGCGGCGGGGTCTTCTTGGGTAGGCGGGAGCCATGGGAGGGGGGGTTGAAGCGTTCGGGTTTGGCCAGTACTCGTGGGCCAGAAGGGTTACTTGGTGTGCTACTGCTGCTGCTGCTGCTGCTGCTGCTGCTGCTGGCTAGCCGAAGGAAGAGCCGGCGGGAGGCAGATGCGGAGCCGGAGAAAGAGGGGCCCGCCCGGCGCCAGAGCAGGCCGGATTGCGGGAGGAGGAACCGGGGGATGGAGGTTGTTGTGGATGCCATGGCTGTCCTTAAGGATCCGGTACGGCTCGGATCAAGAAATAGCCTTTTGACTGATTGCAAACAATGCAATGCCTTCGACGGCCGGCGGGTGACCTCCAGACACTGGGCAGGCAAGGCAAGCTTCGCTATTCCCCGGAGCAGCGGACGTCGTTGGTGCGGCTCAATTGGCGATCGTGAGCGGGCCGCAAAAACCGCATGTGTCGCTTTTCTTTGGGACTAGCGGCTCCTCGTTTCCGGGCCACTTCTTCGCATCCCCGGACCAAGAAAGTGCCGGTCAATCCCGAAATCGCCCGTTGCAAACTTGCGACTGACTAACCTCATGAATGTGATTGGTGGGATGAACAAAAGAGTGGATACATACTCGAGCTCACAGTGGTTCGCCCCGATGATGCGTGCTGGGCCAGGGTCATGGATGGCCTGAAAACCTGCAAAAAAATTCCGGCACGGCCCCGGCGCGGCGCGGCAGCCAACTACATATCACTCCGTCCGGTTTTTCTCTCTCTGCTCACTTTTGCCTCCTTTGCAACCAGATCCTTCTCCAAGCAACATACGCTACTCTTCGGCAGCGCTTCCTTTCCATACACACTATTCCTAATACCCAACCGTCAAAATGGGCTTCTCTGCTGGTACGTGTCTAGCAATTCTTCATATTATCGGTTTCCCGGCCTTTGCCAGTGCACCCATTATTACAAGCCTCCCCCAAGCCATTGGCACTCTGTACGTGGCAAGGTGGCTCTGAGAGCGCCCTGCAACGCCGAGACTGGCCCAGTGTCACGAGAAACATGTGGTTTCCTCCGCTGTCGCCATCGAACGCCGTCTTGCGCGGGCTACGACCCATTGCGTCATTTTGCTCAACTCAAACAAGACGCCAAGATCTTGCGCGAGATATAACGGCCGACGTGTTGCACCGCGGGAGCGTGGCCGTCTCGGAAGACTACCAGGAACACGTACCGACGACCGTTGACAGAGACAACTGGCTAACATGATGGTCCCGCAGGTGACTCCAAGAAGGGTGCGAACCTCTTCAAGACGCGGTGCGCGCAGTGCCACACTCTCGAGGCGGGCGGTGGCAACAAGATCGGCCCTGCGCTGCACGGCCTTTTTGGCCGCAAGACTGGCTCCGTCGACGGCTACGCCTACACCGACGCCAACAAGCAGAAGGGCATCACATGGGACGAGAACACTCTGGTATGTTTTCCGCATTCAAAGTGGACAAGGAAAAAGGTTAAGTTGGCCGGCATTTCTAACGCTCGTATAGTTCGAGTACCTTGAGAACCCCAAGAAGTACATCCCCGGCACCAAGATGGCTTTCGGTGGTCTGAAGAAGGAGAAGGAGAGGAACGACCTGATCACGTATGCATCCTTCCCCCCCACCCAACACCTCTTGACGGATTATGTAGATGGACTAATCACCCGTTCAATAGCTACCTCAAGGAGGCTACGGCATAGATTTCGGAGTAGAACCCGGGTCCGGGCGTCGTTGTACTAATACCAACTGTTTCCCGCCACCAACACGGTTGCGGCTCGGTTTCGAAGGCGTTGTCCGTTTTTTGCTACATATTTTTGCATTAGACGGGGCGGCACATGTAAAGCACATTATCTGTACCATAGAGGGGCGGCTACTAGACTTGTGCTTTTGGTGACTTGATTGAAATGACTCTCTGCTCTTGCTAATGATGGCATCTGTGTTTCAAAACGTCTGTGCTCCAATGCGGCTCTGAGTTGTCTCGGATCGGGTGGTGATCGGCAGGCACTCAATGCAATGATTGCATTGCCGAGATGCCGAACGCCGAGTGTTTGGTTACGCAGTGGTGGCTGCCAGGACCTTGTGCGATGCAGGAAGAACACCGTACAGATTTAGGGCATTCATCAGCGGCCATATTGCGGTGGTAAGTATACGAGACATGGTCATTGTCTATCCGCCCGAAACGTTGAATTGATCAGATTTATACATGTACGTAAGTACTAGGTAGTTGACGTTAGAACTCCCGACTCCCCATTCTCTATTCCGTTGCCAGATGTCCCCGGCGGGTCAAATGGTTCCTACCCATCCAGCGCGTACTTCTCGGCATCCTTGACGCTCGGCTTCACCTCGTTCAGCGCCTTCTCCCAGTCGTCCATGGTAATCACCGGGTCCGACGCCACCGAATCCCTCTCCTCTCCCCGCGCCGCCATCGCATAGGCCCTCTCCAGGCACGCCTGAGCAGCCGCCTGCATCAGATTACCCAGGTCGGCGCCCGAGAAGCCCGTGCAGCGCAGATCGAGCGCCACTTTCTCCAGGTCGGCCTCCCGCGTGCCCGCCGCTGCCGCTGCCGCTGCCGCTATGCCGCCCGCAACATCCGGCATATCCACGTCCGCATCCGGTGCGGCGGCCTCCCTCCGTGCCTTGGCGACCGTGTTGCGGTACAGCGTCTTAAGGATCGCGACGCGGTCGTGGGCCGAGGGCAGCCCCACGTAGATGCTGGTGCCCAGGCGGCCCGGGCGGCGGATGGCCTCGTCGATGATGTCGGGCCGGTTGGTGGCGCCGATGACGTAGATTCCCGAGCGGTCGCCGACGCCGTCGAGCTCGGTGAGCAGGGTGTTGACGACGCGGGCGGACGCGTCCGACAGCGAGTCGTCGCGCTTGGGCACGAGCGCGTCCATCTCGTCGAAGAAGAGGATACAGGGCGCCGACGACTTGGCACGGCCGAAGAGCTGGCGCACCGCGCGCTCCGACTCGCCGACGTACTTGTTCAGCAGCTCGGGCCCCTTGATGGAGATGAAGTTGGCTTTGGACTCGTTGGCCACGGCTTTGGCCACGAGCGTCTTGCCGCACCCCGGCGGGCCCCAGAGGAGGATGCCGGCCGCGGGCTTGATGCCCACGCGAGCAAAGAGCTCGGGGTTTTTGATGGGCCCTATGATGGACATCTCGAGCTTCTTGCGGACGTCCTCGAGGGCGCCGACGTTGGCCCAGGTGGTGTCGGGGATGGTGCTGAAGCCTTCACGTTTGGACGCGGGCTGTACCCGCGCGACGGCTGTCTTGAATTGGGCCATGGTGATGCGGCTGTCGCCCCACGAGATATGGTTGTGGTCCTCCAGGAGTAGCCAGTCGCGCTGCTCTTCCTCGACGTCGTCGGGGACTCGTTCGGAATGCAAAGTCCGCGCTTGGTCCAGGAGCTGGCTTAGATTCCCCTGGAAGCTCTCAGACACTGCTGCCTTGACCACGTATTGTAGATCGCTGCCGACATAGCCCGGTGTCATCTTCGCCAACTGCTTGAAGTCGACGTCGTCGGCGAGGCTCAGGTCGCGAGACAGCGACCGGAGGATCTGCTCGCGCGCCCGCTCGCTCGGCATGCCCATGTCGATCTCGGTGCTGAACCGGCGACGGATGGCAGAATCCAGGAAGTCCGGCCGGTTCGTAGCAGCCAGTACCACCACATTCTTGCCTAGGGGCGTGTTCTGCTTGATCCGATCCATCCCGTTCATGATCTCGGCCACGATACGGCCCTCCATGCCTTTGTTGGCACTTTCCCGCTTGCCGGCAATGGCATCAATCTCATCGAAGAAGACCAGACAGGGGGCGAGCCGAATGGCCTCGTCGAACACGTCGCGGATGTTCTTCTCCGACTCGCCGGAAGTGCCGCCCACCACGGACGGGGCAGAAACGGGTATGAAGGCGACGCCGATGCTCCCCGCGACAGCATGTGCAAGGGTAGTTTTGCCGCAGCCCGAGGGGCCGTGGAGCAAGACGCCGTTGTCGTATCGGTAGCCCATCTTCTCGCAAGCCTCGCCGCCGCGTAGCGGGAACCAGACCTCCTTCAACAGCATCTTCAGCGTGGGCCCGATGCCGGCAATATCCCGGATGGAGATCTTGGTGGGGGGGCTCCGGTCGACCTCCTTGGGGGTTCCCTTTCTCTTCTTCGGCCTTGGTTCCCCATTCGCCTGTCTGTCAGGGGCAAACGCAGACGAGGCAGCGGGGACGGCGCCGCTGGGCGTCTCCATGCTGGTTGCAACCCCCGCGATGTCTGGCGTTGCTACAGGCGTTGCAGCAGAGTTTGTGCCGCTGCCCCCCTTTTCGTTGCCCGCGAAGCCCCAAGACTTGGCGATCTGCCTGTTGAGCAGATTGGCGTCGCGCTCCGCCTTTGCCGCCTTTGCCCTCTCGAGTTCCTGTGCCTCGAGTAGATCGTCCGAGTCCTCTTCCTCGTCAACCTTGGACTGCTGCTTCCGCACCGCAAGCACCCGCTCGATCGAGTCCTCCAGCGACCGCTTTTTCTGCCGTGCTAAGCTCGAGTTCGAGCGCTTGATGCTATCGTAGACCGATCCCACTGTGAGGCGATGTTTGCGTCCACCCTCCTCCTCCTGCTCCTCGAGTTTAAGAACGATCTGGTAGACGTCCCGATCTATCCCTAATCTTAAGTTGGTGGAGGACCGACGCGACATGCTGTCTTGGAAGCCAAGGAGGGTATCAAATAAATGATAAGGGAACCAAAAAGAGTTAAGTAACGAGATTACAACATGTGATTTGAGACAGGCTTCGTTGAGACAACTTTATCACATGAAAGCTGCCCAAGATGGGAATTTGCAGTTACGTACTCCATGTGTGATGAGAGTGCAAGCTGACGGATCCATAAGAGAGAAAAAACGGAAACTGTGCAAAGGGTACCGCAGCCGTACTGTGCGGCGCTTGTGCTGAGAGGCCTGTCTCACAAGTTCCCGACAGGATGCTGTATCAGCGTGTCTGAAAGGGAAAATCTGAGTAGCGACATTTGATTGAAGTTCGAAAGCTCCTTGTTATTCGTGCTCCCGATTCAAGACTGCTAATCAAGTCATCTCTGTGTTGAAATGAGTATCGGCGTATCGTGCAGCTGACCGGATTCATACTGTCTCACCACCAATTCACTGCGTAATATTACATTTCAAGGTTCGGTAATTTCGAATTGTGCTTCCGAGGTTTGGTCACGAAGACTAGGGTTAGGGGTACTACTATGTATGACTCGGAGATCAGAATCGAACGGTGTCCGTATTTTCCCTTCCTTTTCCACAAGATGGGAGACATGACAACCTGCCAGGTGTGCAATATCCCTCTACAAAAGGCCCGCTAGAAAGTCATATGCAAAGGCTGCACCATTGAAGTACATATTTGGCCATTTTGGGCAACATCACCCCCTCATCAACCCCTCATCATTAACAACCGCCCGTGATTTAAGCGGTCCGTCAGCCCCGGGTCCGGAGAGCCATCCCATCTCACCGGAACGCGCAATATCTTAGTCCCTATATGAAATTCTTGTGTTTCCTGTCGACCTCCGCCCTGTATTGGTGGTGGTACTGACCCGATGGATATGCTCAGTGACACCGTCCGAGCTGTCGGCGCCTCTCCGTCTCCGGTGATCCCTCCCCAAGACACACTCAACGCTTCGACCCCGAATGAAGACGCTGGGTCCGGCTTGCCTTCCGGGAGCGATGTTGCGTTATGTGAAAGCTGCATGCAGTTGATGACGTACGATGAGCTCTCGAAAATCCAGTCAGGGAGTGACTTTCGGCATGGCAACATCCAAAATATGCGTGACAATACTTCGAGCAGTCACCCTTGCCCGCTCTGTCTGTTGATCAGAGGATCCTTAGAAGGCATGGACGATGGTTTCTACGAAGATCTGGAGGGATCCGCGATAGTCAGGCTCTCAAAGTACTGGGGGATTGAGGATGTTCCCGAAGGGGGTCATACTATTAAGAGGCTCCAGTGCACAGCCAGTGCCCCAGGCGTGGGCGCGATGGGGAGCTGCCTCTGTTTGATTGCAAATGAAGGTATATTGTATTACAGGTGCTCCTGAATGGGAAGCTTACCCATATGGAATATGCGCAGGCGACCCGGCAACGTCGATTGCTGGTCTTCGACCCGTCCTGACCGATCTCACGAGCGAGCACGTCTATTCTCTGGCGAAGTCATGGCTCGGCGAGTGCGAAGAAACACATGCCGAGTGCAAGGATCGAGCCGACCCGCCGATGCCGACACGCATTATCAACGTGGAACCCGGTGAACCTGGCACGGCGGCCCGACTTATTATGCCCGCGGTTGGCCAACGGTCCAAGTATCTCTGCCTCAGCTACTGCTGGGGTGGCGCACAGAGAGTCACGGCTACCCGCGCATCTCTGGAGCGGCTCCAGGACAGCATCCCCGTAGACCAGATCGGCTTGACGATCAGGGACGCCATAGAAACCACTCGGCGTCTCGGGTTTCGATATTTGTTGGTGGACGCGCTCTGCACTGTACAAGACAGCGAAGAGGACAAGCAGGCCGAGATCCACAAGATGGCATCGATATACAGCAACGCGACGGCGACCATCTTCGCAGCGACTGCAGCTAGCTCGAACGACGGATTCCTTCGGCGTAACCGGGATTCCGTCCTCCGGGACGGTGGTCTCGACGTCGGCGTGCCCTTCCCCAATGGTGTCGCCGGCAACATTCGGGTCGTACCGCAGCAGAGGCTCAACCCGGTGCACCCGCTTGATTCGAGGGCATGAGCCTGCCAAGAATACCTGCTCCCGCGCCGCAAACTGATCTTTGCGCAGTTCGAGCTTCTAGTTGAGTGCCGCAAGCATTCCAAGCGGTCGCTGCGGGGCAGTATGCTGGAATATCCGTATTACCGGTCTAGGAATGATACCTTGTTGGCGCTTCGACGTGAGAAGACGATGGCGGATGGCTGGAGGGACGTGCTGGCAGATTACACCTGCCGGCTCCTAACCGACCCTGAGGATCGGCTACATGCCTTCCAGGGAGTAGTGGACCATATCCAGTCGCTCCACGGACGGACTGTCCGCTTCGGCATCCCGACGTGGTGGCCAGAAAGCCTGGCTTGGAGTGCGCGACCTCCAAGCCAAGTACGAAGCAGAAGGGCCCCGACCTGGTCGTGGGCAAGTCTTGACGGAGGCATTGAGGGGTGCGTACTCTGGCTTGACCTTAAGCCCGCCGTTAGTCCTGTTCTAGGCGGTGACCCTTGGAGGCTTACTCTGAGCGGGAAGATCATCTGTGGAGGGGATTGGGCTTTTGAACGCCGTGCAACAGCTTCGGGTGACAGCAGGAGCGTGATGCCCGATCTCGAGTCCGGATTGCCGGCGCGGGAGGACTGCTTCTACCTGCGCCTACTGCTCCCTGGTCATGAAGATTCTGACGAGGTGGTTCTGATATTGGAGAGTGCGGGCTCTGACACCTATCGCAGGGTTGGCATTTATTTCGGTCGCGTGTTCCGTGATCACTGGGAGATGCAGGACACACGATTAGTCACATCGATATAAACCACATTGTCTCACAAGGGCTTCTGTGTGTGTACGGAGTGACGGGGGTACAATACATCAGAGAAACCAACCCGCCCCTACAACTGCAAGCACCTTGGGCAACCGTCATTACCCTCTCAACCTGCACAACCGCCCATATATGGGTACAAGTTCTTCAGCATCTCCGCCGCCGTCGCCCTCTCCCCGGGATCGGCCACGGCCATCTCGCTGAGCGACGTGATTCTCCCGTCCAATTCGACCGCCTGCGCGAAATCGGCCACCGTCTGCCGCTTCCCGCGCCCCCTCTGGCGGAACCAGTCCGCCTTCAGCGTCCACAAGACGGTCGCATACAGCGCCCACACGTCCGACTTGTGCGACTGCATGTGCCGGCGCGGCCGCTCGAGCAGCTCCGGCGCCATGAAGAGTTCGCTGCCGCGGATGGCGTCAATGTTGGCCGCGAGGTCGCAGAGGCCGAAGTCGCCGAGGCGGAAATGATAGAGCGAGCGTGCTACCGGGTGCGGCGCCGGTCGTCCCAGCAGAAGGCCCGGCGACGACGTGTAGAGGATGTTCTCTGGCTTGACGTCGCGGTGGACATAGCCCAGCGAGGCGAGGTGCTCCAGTGCCTGGAGCATCTGGTGCAGGACCGTGTCGGCGACGGCCCCGGACTCCAAGTACGGCGGCTGGGGCCATTGCATGAGTGACGCGAGGCTGCCCTCCATGAGCTCCATGAAGATCTCGACCCGCGGTGTGCCCCAGCCGTGGGAGTAGAAGCAGCGGATGATGTGTGCCTGCGCGAGGGAGGGAGGAAATAAACAAAGGTGGTTAGTTACTAGTAGTTGTTTTAAGAGACGGGCAGGGTACTAAGCGGGTGGTTTTACATGGTGGAGGGCTGGTAGGATGATCGCCTCCCCCTTGAAAGCCGAAGTCAGACGCCGCTCCCATGTGTCGTCAGATTCGTCCTTCTGGGCCATGATCTTGACGGCCAACAGCTGATGTCTGTAGTTGTCGAGCACCTTGTACACGGTCCCATATCCGCCACGGCCGAGTTCGCTGAGGAGTTGATATCGCATCTTCGTGAAACGGGGAGAGTGACTGTGATTTAGACACACAGACTGCTCTGCTATGGCGTATTTCTCTCAAGATTACCTATGCAACGCTCTCCGTATCTGGACGACACAGCAAGCCAAACCACCGAGAGGACATTCATCACTTTAAAATAGCCGTCAACATCACCCCCATCGCCCTTTACAGGCCCAGGCGGAGAAGCGTCCTGTATCGTCCCGGCCCTACGGTCTTTCAGGCACAGCCATCCATGATCCATCTCGACGCCAGTTGACCATACTCTGTCATAGGGGGAAGCCACATCCTCGAACTCGGACCACAGCGCGGCCTGCGACAAAGCCCGCCTCGATGTGACACATCATCTCTCCTCCACCTTTCTGCCCCATTGTATGTTTGTTTCCAACCGCTTCTCTTAACCGCATATTGTCTCAGCCTCAACCCCTCATTGTATCGCTTCCGGAACGTTGTTCTACCAATCCCGGCCCAATAGGAACACCACCGCTTCGAGACACAGGCAGCGCATTGTGACAACGTCCTTTGTTTTTCATTGTCGACGAGGGTAGATACCATTAGGAGGAAATGCCCGTTCCTCACAAGGCGAGTCTTGATCAATTATTTCATGTATGCTGGCTGTCCCAGTCTAAGCGGTAGCGGAGCCTGCCCCATGTGTTAATGAGAGTAATAAGGGTGTTGATACACGCCCTCGCGCTTTGTTGAGACGGGTAAGTCCGGGAATATCAATCGCTGCCTTCGGGCAATGAGGGAATCCAATCGGCCATTCTACTTTACTAACTTGCACGCCAGATCATAGAATCAGATTACGCGTTGAGGTGTATGCATGATACCATCGTTTGATGGTGCGAGTCTGTGAGATCGCCCTGGATATCAAAACGAGTCACCAATCATGTGAGCAACAGAGATGAAGATGATGAGAGAACTGGCGATCTTGCACTGCTGCAGTCGTATCTAGGAGACGAGCCCGACGGATTCAACAACTCAAAAGCCGAATTAAGAGGAAGTTTGTGGTCTAGCAAAATGCGCGCTCCAGCTGCTACGAAACAGGTATTTTTAAATAGCTTCTGGATTAAGGTATACTGCTGGACATTCAAAGTCAACAGAAATAGGTTATAGGACGAGCATCGCAGGCTGTAGTCAAAAGATCCTCCCCATTATTAGCCAAATGGTAAACAGATCTTTCTCTGGAAACAAGAACTCTCTATGGATCTTCCCACTACTGTCTAGACAGTAATTGGACGATTTCCCGAAAAGAAACTAGGCGTATCAGCTATACCCCTCATGGTGGCGCTGCTTCGGCGCTTGGCTGGGCGGCGGTGCCTGCGCTGCGGTCAGTCGGCTCAGATCCATCTTCCCCGAACGGCGCTCAAGAAGACTCCAAGAACCAAGAGTCCAATATGCCAGCCCAAGACGACTTGTCGCAGCGGAAGTGGTGGCTGAAGGATCCGGCGGTGTTGGACGAGTCGGACAAGTCCTTCCTCTGCGAGACATGCAGACACATCAACTTCCGCTTCATGCTCTTTGAAAAGCCCATGCTCGATGTACGCGGAGACTACGAGATACCGCTGGGGTCTTACTCGGACGTCTTGGAACGGCAATCCTGCGCCTTCTGTCGACTGGTCAAGGCCGCCCTGGACAGTTCGCGGAATTCTGAAGACGAAGCCGTGCCCACGGAACACGAGGGGAAGCCGGTCATGCTCTCGATGGACGGGACCCCCCTGGGCACGACACTTAATGCGTCGCATCCTCGCCTGCTGTCCGTGTTTCTCACGCCGGATCCTCAGCGCAAGAAGGGCACGCCAGCGACGAAGTCAGGGCCGACTCGACAGATCCAGCTTCTCTACCAGGAAGGGGAAGGGGGGGAAGCTTCGGCCCGCGGCTCGGCGCGCGGCCGGCCGGTCGACCACGAGCAGCTGGATTATCTCCTGGCCATGTACTGGGTCCGGTCCTGCCGGTTGGGCTGGGGCGTTCACAAGAAAGAGGCTGATTCCGACGAACTCGAGTCGCGGCGGAAGCTGCCTCCCAATTTCCGGCTCATCGATGCCCAGGGCATGCGCATCGTCGAGGCTGATCCTTCCATGCAATATGTCACCCTGAGCTATGTCTGGCCCAAGGCTCCACAACTGAAGCTCGAGATGGGAAACAGAGACGATCTCATGGGCCCGGGTAGGCCCTTGGCCAAGCCGCAGTTCAGAGACAGAATTCCACAGACAATCCGGGATGCCATGGAGATCTGTCGCCGCATCAACGACCGCTATTTGTGGGTCGATGCTCTCTGCATCATCCAGGACGACGACCGTATCGACGGGGACAAGTCGGCCCAGATCCGGGCCATGGACATCATCTACGGCGCATCAGTCCTCACGATTGCCGCGACGTGTGGGAATGGGGCCGAGGCCAGTTTGCCGGGTGTCAGTGCCGGTCCGCGGAAGCTTATCCAGAGAATGGAGATCGTCCAGGGCCTCCGTTTGGCCAACCGCCCCTGGGACTTCGACAAGTCTGTCTCGGAATCCAAATGGAACACCAGAGCTTGGACATTCCAGGAACGGGTGCTATCCAAGAGGACGCTCTTCATTACGCCTCAGATGATGTTTTTCCGGTGCGACCATAGCCCCTCGCTGGCGCAAGAGGATCTGAACGTGGAGCCCGAGGTTCGCAGACGGGTCACTTGGCCTATGGACGACACGGGAGAGGACCGGATCCCGATCCATGGGAGCATCAACACCGAAACCTACCGAAGAACCGTGGAGAACTTCACCTCGCGCGACATCACCAAGAAGTGCGACATCCTCAACGCCTTCAGGGGCATCGAGGCCAGGATGGAGCCCATTTTCCGAAGCGGCTTTCTCTACGGACTGCCTCAGTCCGAGCTCGATTATGGCTTGATGTGGGAGCCTGTCGGGGAGATCAAGCGCCGCGTCTGTCGGGACGTAGATTGCAAGAACCTCGGTTGTCCCAGCCCCAACAGCCTCGATCCCATATTCCCTAGCTGGTCCTGGGCGGGCTGGGAGGGCGCTGTGACCTATCCTCTCCGGGACCGACTGTCTCGTGTGCGCTGGGTCGAATCGCGTCCTGGAGTTGCTGGACAAGCATCGACAGAGCAGACGTTCACCAGCGCCGAGTACCGGGGTCCGAGCCCCCAGGATGGAAATGGAGGTACAAGTACAAGTACAACGGAATCGGAGTGGTGGGAGGAATGGCAGCAGGACAAGACGAAAAGGGGGATCCGCTTCTTCCACCACCCTTCCGATCCCGACGCCTGGTTCCTCAATCCCACTGCGCCTGGGCCACGCCGGGGTCCGAATTGCGACCCAGACACCCCCCAGCACCTGTGGCTGGAAGCTCAGACCCTCCAGGTCAACATGTCCAGGGACTGGAACCCGCAGAGCACAGCAGTGTTGCATGCAGGAACGCGGGAAGACACGATGCCTCCCGTTTGGCAACTCAGCCTCCAGAATGATGACCGGAAACTCATGGGCTATTTCCGCGTGCCCACACATCTGGCAAACGAGCTGAGCCACGAGAAGAAGTACTCGGCTGTGCGCATCGCCAGGGTGCGAGCACACTATCTCACGCCGCAACAGATCCGGGAACGGAAAAAGGACGGGAAGGAAGATCCGCGTCCGTTGCCTGCTGAGCCTGCAGCATCCACCACCACCGACCATGGATTCGAGAGGGACTCGGATGAGGACGACGACGTGTTGACGGAGGCAGCGTCATACCCGGACGAGGTGAGCACAGAAGACGCAGCGCACCCCTTGCCGTTTGACCGCCAGCGGTACGACGCCTATAAGCCGTTCTGCATGTATGAATTCCTGTTTGTTGAACGCGTCGGCAACGTTGCCTTCCGCCTCGGGACGGGCATGATGCATGTCGATGCCTGGGCGCAGGAGAAGCTCGAGACAGAGATCCTCACCCTGGCCTGAAAGGGTTTGCTTGTTGTTCCTGCTTGTTCACATTGGATCACCAAGGTGTCAATAAACCGGCGAGAGGCACGGGGATATTTCCGGTACAATACAATACGGCAACCCCGCCGATCGTTAGGGCAGGAGCAATGTATTTCCTGAGAACCGAATGTCTCCCCTTTGTCAAATCCCGTAGTAGATATGTATGCCACTGCACACGAAAGCGATACAGCCCGCTCCGCTTTGCTGGATCCGAGTGATCGTCCCGCCCGCCAGTTCGGGAAAGTCAGAAACAGAAACGCCAACTGCCCTTTACAGAAGATGACCGACGCGGCAACAGCAGACAATGAAAACCATCAGGCAGGGAAGAAGAAAAGAAATACGCCATTGAGCACTAGGATGTAAATAAGGTGCCTTCCAGGTTGCCTCAGCCGCGAACCAATGCAACCAATGAACAAACAATCCGATTGTATGCGCCACAGCCCAACCCCTCCCGTTCCATTTCCACGCGGACCACACCGCGCAATGTCTTTTGTACAGTTTCGCCCCGAAAACCAGACCCTAATCCGACACATGTACTTAAGAAAAAAAAGGGAGAAATAAACAATACAGTAATCTGCACGAGGATGACCAGCGAGAAGAATGTCAAGCCAGACCGAGGAGGGTGAGGACCAGAAATCAGTGTAATTCAACCATCCCAAGCCTTGATGCGCTTCTTCAGGAACTCGAACGACGAGAAGAAGACGGCATTGACCGCGCAGGACCGCGCCATAGACACGCCCAGGCCGCGGTACATGTTGCGCTGGAAGAACTGGATCTTGACGGGCTCGACCTTCTCGCCTTTCGAGTACATGAGCGAGTTGCGCTGGTAGATCGATTTGGCTGAGTCGACCGGGTCTGCGTGTCGGGAGGCATTAGTTGGTATGTGTCGTCAGAATACAAGTACAACGTGATGGGCGTCTTACAAATCAGGGCCCACGACACGATGCCGCACAGCCCGCCTGCTACCAGGACGGCAAGCGGATTGGAATGGGTGCCGTCACCGCCGAAGGTCGTCAAAAGCTGCTTGCTGCTTTCGTAGGTCATGAAATAGGTTGCCGTCCCGAGGGTGTCACGCACTACGGGGAGGGCGAGTTAGTTACGTAATCGTGTTGACACGGCTGGGAAAAAAGGGGAGTGGGAAAACATACTGAAATGGAACCTGAAACCCGTATACAGTCCGCCAAATCCCCTATGCTTGATAATGTTGGCTAGGGTCTTCAGGGTTCCCTTGTTCTGGTAACTCGCGGCAATCGCATAGCTTTCTGGCTTCGGACACTTTGACTTGTCCGCCATCAGAACAGACACTTGAGCGCTGAGCTTGGTCAACTCGAAGGGGCCTGATGGCGACCGATATCAGCATCCGGAACAACCGTATCGCTGGCTCCTGCACCCACTCGATGCCAGCCATGCCATCCCACGGCGAACTTACAGGCTATGACTGTTATACAAGACCCCGCCGTCGCCCCGGCGGCTCCAAACGTAGCGACAGACCAGAGATTGGGATACGTCCCTCCTTGGCAGACGTGGGCCATGACGTCGTACCCAAAGTTGCGCTTAACCCAGTCGCAGTAGACGTATTTGCAGCGCTGATAGATCGAGAAAGACGTAGTCCGCACGAGAGTAATACTCGCCATGGGCGCAGTGACTCCTGCATACTACTGTTAATCACCATGCCCTAGTGCTTCGACGACCGATGCCATCTCGGATCTCTGACTGCGGTCCTACCTCGAAAGAAACCCCTCAAGTGCTCGGTGTGATATGTGTGTCTCACACAGTCCATGAACCCGGCATACCGGTAGGTCTGCATTCTGGTCTTGACACTGTCGAGCGGGAAGGTCGTGAAGCTCGACAGCACGCTCGATGCCGAGGCGGCCACCTCAACACGGTAGCGCTTGACCAGACGCTGGTAGTCTGGGACGGCTTTGTTTGCGCTCGTGCTGGCTGTTGCTTTGGCACCAGTGGCCGGATCGCGATCCAGCGCTTCGGCTGCCGCTGCCGCCGCCGACACGGCAAGGCGTGGGTCTGGACAGATATCATCTCCCTCGTTGTTGTTGTTGTTGTCGGCACTCGAGTTCGTCTTGGTGCTGCCGCGCTCGCTCACGCTGGTGCGCGGCTGTTGGCATTGTCCTCGCCGCTGCTGGCCGTCGTTTTGCTGAGAAGACTCGGAGCTCGAAGAAGAGCCAGACATGATCGGAAACGCGGGGTGGCTTGCATGGGTCGGATCATCTTGCAGTAGCTGGGCGCGGTGATCGTGTTCGTGTTTGAGGGCGGCGGGCCTGAGCTCAGCAGGCATAATAGCTCCCTCCTCCTTCTCTCTGTCTTGCTAGTTTGTCTCGCACTTTCCGTTTTTCTGCCTTTGCTTTCGCGTATCGCGGGTCGCGGCAGGGCACCTCTCACGGAGCAGCCGTCAGCTAGCAGACGGTGGCCTCGGCGGCAACCGAGACCAAGGTCCTCAGCGGAGCGGTCGCGAAAGGGCCTTTGCCAGCGGGTGAGGGTCCATAAGAACCCCCGCCGTCCTGGTCGGGAGGGCTTTCCTTTCCGTCTCTCGCGCACTCGGACGTCGTATGCAAGGTCGCCGTGTTCCGCAAAATGAAAATTACGGGAGTCGGGTTGCTGAAAGGTTCAAATGCTCGAGGTGAGGGGCGGAGGCCAGGCGTCGATATAGATACCCTGGTGAGTCGCCGCTTGGCCTTCAATTGGCTGATCGACAACGCAGACGGCTCGTCGAATCTGTTGTGCAACGGGATTCACAATTGGGGAAAATGGTGACGGTGTGGTCGGCGTTGCTCGACGATGCGGGGTTTGCAGCACAAAGAAGGGAAGCTCTGCTCCCCTTGTTGGTCGCTGGTTGGCTTGATCGTCCAGCTCAGCTCAGAAACACGGTCCACTACACTATCCCAGACGCTTTACTCAACGCTCGGCCGACCTCGGCAGCAGCATCAGGCTTCCACCCTTCGGCGTCAGCCGACCAAAATTGGGCACTTGGTAGCAGGATGTTGTCTTTTAGGCGGCCAGCAACTGTGGTTAGAACATCACGGCACACTTTGCCGGGGCCGTGCAGGTGCAGAGTTTGAGCCCGCACGGTCTCGGTTGACGATGGCTTCATGCCGGTCTAGAGTGGACCGGGGGGATAGGTATTGGTAACGTCATTGCTGCAGCGCCGCTTTTCCCGATTGAGGTGCAACCTCCTGCGACCTGCACAGACCACGGCTAGTGTCTGGGACTCTACGGAGTATTGGACCTTAGTAGTAGTAACTCACTACCGCGTATACTGTGGTACTACCGGTAGGTATGAGTTTCAGATTGGCGAGGTTTGCTCGAGGCGTGGCCAGATATTCTACTACTAGTACTATCCACTTCGCCATCATCTTCTCGTCCGAAGTGCCTTCCAACAAAGTGCCCAACGCCAGCAGGGCTCGACGCATTCCTCTCCCCTCTCAAGGGACAACAGCTTGCAGTTGACAAGCCAAGCCCCACTCCACCGGCACAGTGCCGCACATGCGTCGATCCGATGCAACGGATCGGACAACGGCAGCCTTGGATTGGTTTGCCGTTTCATTGGCCTTGCAAGTTGCAACTCTCCCATGCCGAAGAGGACCCTGAGATCCTGTCTGAACGCGAGAATCATCGCCCATCTAGTGGTGAGATCTCCCACTGCAACAGCTCGCTCCCAACCGACATCAGCTGCAGCGACGAAAAGGACCCGACCTGCTAAAGCTTGTTTGAGACACCCGAGGGCTTCCGTTTCTAGTGGCGCACCGTGGCATCATCTTACCACCGGATCCTTCAGGGTCCTGATCACCTCGTCGAAGGAAGCTGTCATCCAGCAGCTGACTGATTTGGATGAGGGCCATGAGGGTCATTTCCATTGCGACCACCTCGACAGGGAGGTGTTCAGCGCAAACACAACCCCATTGTGTCATTAAGCATAGCAATCGTGCGCTCATAATGCTCATACTCCGTCCCGCTGATGACATCGGGATCCCTTTTCCCCAGGCCGGGTAGTTAGCAGCTGCCAAACACAACCCGTCACTTCGTTTCTCCATGGGAGAAAACAGAGCGAAAAAAAAAGGGCAATAAGAAAGAAACCCACTTCGCTTTCCCCTTCGCCCGCTGCTGCTCCTGCTCCTGCTCCTTCTTGAGCCTCATCTTCCACGGCGTCCTCCGCGCCTCGCGCATCCTGTCCCAGTGGACACGGCACAGATTCTTGAGGATCTTGTGCTCGAGCCCCCGCTGTTGCGCGGCCGCGTTAAGGAACCAGACCGTTCTCCTGACCCGCTCGGCGTCCAACACGCCCTTTGGGTCGCGGAACCCTTCGCGCAGCCGCTCGGTGAGCGTCGATCGGGATGGTTGTGAGAATTGCACGGCACGCAGGCCGGCGCGGAGGAGGCGGCGGTAGGCGTGGATGAGTTCGAGGTTGGGTGACATTATGATAGCAGTGAGTTCAGGTTGGGGTTGTGTCGTGAGATTTCTTAGAACGTGAAAGTTGAACTAGAATGAGATTGGAAGCCTAGCTGCACGGACCATCTGGCTATGACTTACACATTTACACGTATTAGACCGCCCTTGGTACGGATAGTAGCACTCGAAAATGGAACTTCGTCCTGCGGATACTGTAGTTCCGATAATGATATTGAATCAGAATATCTAATATGCCATAACAATGGGATACAATCCTCCTTGGCCCCATGTATCTATGTCAAACCTACGAGCTGACATACCCCACGTTGAACAGGCCGGCTGTGCACCAGTGATGCATCTCTATATGCCTAGGTAATCAACCCTGATCACCCACGTAGATCCAGAACGTTACACAAAACACACCAATATCAAAGAAGCCTGCCACCCGGGGCGAGGCCACACGCATCCCCCGCCATCTATATGCACCAAGATGTATCACCGAAGTCCACAGTTCCCCAACACGAGCATCCAGGTCCAGCGCCTACCTTTAGATGGCCTCAACCATCTATATGAGTCAATCAATCTTCGCGCTGCTCAACCGGCGCATACTGCCCAACCCTACTTGACCCACCAGCACGGCCACGGCCCATAAGCCTCGAGAAAAAGCCACCAACCCCACCGTCGGCCTGCGCGCCAGGGCTCTTATTAGCTTCGCGCGGCTTGCGGTCAGCTTCGACATCATCCGGCGGGTTGATGTTAAGACCGGGAATGGCCGCGTTCGCCGCTCTCATTGGAGAACGGTTCCTGATATTGAGCGGCGGTATAGGCGACGCCGGGCGTAGCAGCGCATCCGACTCGGCATGCACGGTTGGAGTGGCCGCGGACGGGGTGCCCAGAGCCCGCGTAGAGTCGCCAAAGAGGGCGTCCATGTCCTCGAGACGGACGCCGCGTGTCTCGGGATATAAGAAGTATACTTGAACAAGCGGGTTAGTCCCAACGTTTAGGGGAGGGTTCAGGGGATGGAGGTGGAATACGTACCAACAACGAAACTGACAGCGCAGAAGAATGCATGCAAAAGATACAGTCGCCAGGCAATCCACTCCTGAAGGATGGGCGTCATCTCGCCAACCAGCCAGTTGAACGCCCAGTTGGTGGCCGTCGACAGACTGGCACCCTTGGACCGAATCTTGAGCGGGAGGATTTCCGGAGGATAGAGCCATGGGACCGGACCCCACGAATACCCGAACGCGGCGTTGTAGATCATGACGAGAATGACGACCAACTTCGGCGTAGACGGGATGTTGAGGTACAAAACATATGAAATCAGCGAAAGCGAAGTCACCATGGCTATGGCTCCCGACAGCAGAATCGGCCGACGTCCCCATCGGTCTATGACGTACCACGGCGGGATGGTCGACAAGACATATGTGATACCATTGATCCCCGCCATCAGCACTGCGTCGTGACCCACCCAGCCGGCTTTCTCGAAAACGTAAGGGGCGTAGTACGAAATGACATTGATGCCGTTGAGCTGAGCCAACGCCTGCGCCGACATGGCAATGAAGACCCGCCGGCCATAACGCTTGAACATCTCGCTGTAGGTGCGCTCACCTTCTTGCCGGTGCAAGAGGACGTTCATCTTGATCTCACGGAACTCATCCCGGGCACGCGGATTGTGGATGTCACCGCCGCCGTAGAGGTTGGCAATGACCACAATGCCCTCTTCGTCATGGTCGTTGTCAAGTAGCCATCTTCCAGGTTGGTTAGCACACGGGCAGATTCTGAAGCAGTGGGTTGCGTACCTGGGCGATTCCACGATTATCAAACTTCCAAGGCCAAGTAGTGCGCCCATGATGCACTGCATCAACAATGGCAGGCGCCAGGACAAGTTGCCCTTAATAAAGCCACAGAAGTAGTCCACCCAAACAGAGGTCGCATACCCAATAATGTTCCCCGTGAACTCGATGCAGGCGAGCTGTCCCCGGTTATGGGGCGGGGATATTTCGGATTGGTAGACGGGAACGATGGTTGAGAGCATCCCAACACCCAGACCAGCCAGGACTCTGCCCGTCATCATCATGGCCATGTCCTTTGCAAAAGTTTGCAGAGCACCGCCAACGACGAAGACGCAGGATCCGTAGAAGATCGTCCTCCTCCGACCAATGATATCTCCAATCCTGCCGACCATGAGAGAAGAAATGAAAGCGCCAACCTCGAGAATGGCGACCATGGTCGCAATCTGCACAGGTGACGGGTGGTGGAAATACTCTCTAAAATAATCACCGCTGCGGAAATAAGGTTAGCCCCAACGATGACCGAGGGAAGGAAAATCCGGGACGTAGACCTACATAAGAATACCCGACATAACACCCTGGTCATATCCGAACAGGAAGACGCCTAAAGACACAAAGATAGAAGTGAAGTACCTATTGGCGAAGCGTTAGCACGCAGACACGGCCTGAAAACACCATGTTTCCCGGGTCAAACCAACAGTAATGGCTTGCCCGTCAGGCCATGGATGGAACTCGAACCGCCCGTCATGATGGCGGCTAGCAGGCGTTCCGCCCTAGACGGCTTCTGAGGGTCGACGCTAGGGATATGGATGGCTTCTTTATCAACGAGACCTCCGTGTCGAGAGGTGGACCTGCTGCTCGCCGAGGACAGCGGCTCTCGGTACCTGACTCGCTTTTGGTGACGGTGATGTTTCGGGTGGCGCTTGAATACGCCGGCTAATGTGTCGTCGTCGTCGAGGGTCCCGTTTGCCTTTACCTGCTCGCGCAACGGATCTTCCTCGCCGAGCTGCTCGGCAATGTCGCCCGTGTCAGCCCAGGAAGATTCGTCGGAACCGTCGTCTTCAGAGTCGGAGTAACCGGATTCATCCACCGGGTGTCGATGCCGGTGCGACGGAAGCAGCGAAGAGTGTTGCTCTTGACTCTGCCGAGGACGCCGCTCGTTGTGCACGCTGAGTGTTCGGAGTGGGATGTTGGAGGGAAGACGGGTCGGATTCGGGTGCGGAATCTTGGGCGAGATGGGGCTGTTTGGCAGCAGCCCTCGTCCGCGGAGAGTGCAGATGCACGATGGTCTCTGTTGCGGGGAGTTGCGGGGAGCGTCCTTGAAGGTTGACGGGCTCCGCAGATGGGGGACTCATCGGTCAGCTGTGCAAAGACTGCTGCGCGGTGTATCGGGTCTCCGGGCCTCGGGGTCACTGGCGGTGGTGCAAGAAGAATGGTCAAAGTTGGCAGTTCGACGTGTGAGGACCGCGCCGTGTGCAATAGCAGGCGGCACCCCCCTGGTCGCCAAGCCGCTAACCCGCCATCAAGGGGTCTTCACGGTCCACTTCCAACCCGCGGGACTTCACGTTGCCCTCCACGGGTCGCCAAGTAATCCTGTCATGTGCATATCACCGCAAATCACTGCCAGAACTCGGCTTCACGGCACAAAAAAGCGCGAAAAGGGCCTTTCAATTACCCACAAAATGCAGTTCTGCTTTCCCCCTTTTCCAAGGCTTCTGGGACGTTCACGGGACGTTCATTGCATCACGGGACACAAGCGACAGATCGATTCAAGAATTGGCAGGACGCTCCACCTGTGAAACAAACTCTTTGGAGGCGCGGCTGGCAAGGATCGACGAAACTCCTCTCAAAGGACCACAATTGCAGACCGGCGGCTACGATCAAGCCTACATAGGCTAATCAAGCCAGCCGCCCTGAAGTAACAGACTCGGAGCAGATACGCGAGATCTGGGCCGGAGGAGTCCCCATTTCTTTTTCGAGTTGGTTAACCGTAGTATGACCGCTTCTGGCCTCGCACAGTTCCGGACTGTCCATCACATCCCGACCCAGAGGTTGACCGGGCCCAGGTCATCTGTGCCATCATCAAGTTCTCACTGCTGGATCCAACACCCATTGGCATGGCCCTACATACCTACATAGGGTAGGTAAGGCAGCCGTGTCAGCCTCAGCCCGATGCGTCGCTTCTTGTGGCAACTTCAGTGTTTGCCCACCGTAGGACAGACAGACCAGGGAACATAAGGCAATCCGCCGGAAGCGAAACAGTTCATAACGACAGCCGGCGTGACAGTTCCCGGCTGTGTCTCGCCGGGTTTGCCGTAGCAACTGATTTTGACTAGGTATAAGGAAACTCAAAGCCTGCTTACGAAGTTGTCCACATGTCGATGCAAACCAACGGAACTGCGCTCTGCTAAGTTACCCGACATCTGTTCACCCCCAGCGATGCCGGGAACATACGTTGGGAAGGCGGCACGGGGAATAGTGGCAGTTGCGGGGCGCTTGCACAGAACTGAAGATAGAGCCTTGAAGAGTTGAATGTACTTACTTACGACAAGACACTGCCAACATGCTTTGAACTACCTGATAAACACTTGAAACGCTGCTCGGCTATTCGGGAAGGCATCGGCCTCCCAAGTATACGCCAGCAGTCTGTATCTGCTGCTGAGTATCATCTCCTAGAAGGTTCTGCAGAGACCGAGGAAGATCACTGCAGATACCGAGGTAGGACACGAGCTCCTTCTAAAATCGTGTCCCCGGAGTGACCAAGTCCCTAAGTGAAGTAATTAACTTCAACCCGCCATGCAAGGGTTGACCTCGCCTAGGACTGCCGTTGGCATAATCAAACTTCGCTATGGTGACAACAATGACCAATCCCGCCTTACGAAGGAGACAATGTCTTGGTCACGTATGGTTGAATTCTACAAGAACCCTCATATGGATGTCTCTTTCAAGTTTCAAGCCCTGTCGCTCAAGCTCGATACAAGTGCTCAGAACCACTCGGTAATCCCCTATCACGCTATGTCGGGCGTAATGGTTTACGCTCTCTTAGAGACGCGCCCCCCGGACAGATAAGGCTGCCTGGACAAGAGGGTACACTACACGGAGTCATAGACGACTATATATGTACCAAGGATCTGAGTACGTCCTTCGCCGAGCGGGAGGAACAGAGCCGAAGTGGGAACAGTCTAAGGTAACAGGTAAGGTCGTTTCAAGCTTCTTGGACATTTATCAAGGCGAGCGGACTACAGGGGGCAGTGAGAGCGGGAAATAATTTTGGTTTGTAGTACGTCATCTCAACTTTCAAAATCCCTTTCCCGGCCCTGAATCATAATACCAAGCTAGAGGGATCAAGCTTCGATCTGACATGACGATATAATGCCGACTAGCGAGCGAAAAGAACAGTAATAGATGTCTCTCTGCAGATCTAGTGCAACCTACGACCTGATTGATGAGCGATGCCGAGATGTAGTGTTGGTTGAGTTGTCGAATCACCGTCTAATTATTAGCTATGGTAGGTACCTACCAACGCCATGCATGTCAACTTACAGCTTCATCAGCTCACATACTGTATGATAGATCCAGGTTACGCAAAGGCGATCTGGCAAAACTCGGAGGCCATCTGGGGAATAGACGGCGCTGGCAACTAGCTTGAGAATGCACCAAGAATGGCAAAGTGCTTGGGGTTATATCCAATTTTCCCTTCAGAACATCCAGTGGCCAAGACTTGCGTGATTCAGCTTCCGTAATTCAAGTCGAGCAAATAACAAGATGAGCAGTACGTTTGTCTTGATTACAACGCTTGCGGCAAAACCTGACGCAGCAGACTATCTAGATAAAGGAGTCTTGGGGTCTGGTTCCTGGCCTACTATGCCTATAATCCTGTCAACGTCTGGAGATATCACGACTTGACTTTCCCCCGCTTTGCAATCTGGGACTATGTTGTATCAGTAGATGAATTGTCGCATTGACAGAACCTTACCAAGCGATACTACCTTGACCTTGCCATTCTCCCCAGAGTCAGCACTGTAGTGTTTGGCAGCACTAGAAGCAACGATTCCTGTGCTGGCTTATCCAACTTGATTCGCAACGAGTTGCTAACTGACTACAAGACACGCTGCCAACTAGTCAGAGAAAGAGAATCGACGGCGCGGTATGTGCGTAATTTCCGGACACGGCGCCAGCCTCAGTCCTTAAATACCTCGTAGACTATAAGCTCAGCATTCCCATACTATTAGCCTCCCCGGAACTTTCAAATCAACCTAGAGGTAAGGTTGCCAAGAGGAATGAGAGGGATGAGCGGTGAAGTCAACACTGCACTGCCCTGGCCGGTATGATCACATGGCCAGATAGAGCTGATAGAACACCCATTGAATCCTGCCTGCCGTGAAGTAAGAGTCCCTGGGCTTTTTGTACCGCGCCACCACGTTAGCCGTTAGAAAGATGTCTTTCACAACTGGTTGAATTTCCCTTTCCTCCTTCTCTTGTTTTCCACCCTGCCTGTACCTGAATTGTAGGCTGTCTTGTCTGTTTGTACCCTATTTGGAGTGGTCGCTCTGTTCAAGTAACCCCGTGATATGTCTCATAAAGTGACGTCACATCTCCGGCGGAACGAAGTGCGCCAATGCTCTGAGACGTCTCAAGAACATTCGCACAACCGAACTATCTATTATCAAAATTGTTCTTTGATCTCTCTCATGAGTCGTTGAGCTCACCGCAACCCATAAACCTGGGCTCATAGTTCCACAGTGAGTAACCTAACTCAATGGTTCCCACAGGTACTTTCAGGAGTTCTCCTGGCCAATCAACTCGCCTTTCTCCTTTCTTGATGACGGCTAGAGGAGAGTTCGGGCGTAAATAAGAGCATCAAGCCTGCTTGAAAGTGCGACTTTCACTAGGATAACGAGAATGTAAGCAGCCTACAGACTCAGTACAGACTGTAAACTCGTAACAATGGTATTGCACGGCCAACAATGAAGAGTCTGAATCTCGCATACTGCAGTCCCCGCATACTGTTGTTGGGCCTTTTGTTGGTGAAACACCCCTACAATGAATAAAGGATGCTGATGTGGGGAAATCTGACCGTTTGGGGGCCGGACGGAATACGGAGGAGAGATCTGCGCACCCGGTATCCGTATTTCAGGGCGTTCTCGTTCATCCTTTCACGGCCTGACGCGGCAAGACACAACGCTGAGCTGCTGAGCTACGCCATCCCGACCTGGCATGGCCAACAAGGCGGAACGCCGCATACTATTGTCTATATATATCAACTCCCTTCTGCCGGAACCCTTACAGTACTTTTGCCATCATTCCTGTAGTCAGCATCAGTGCTGTAGAGATTATCATTTTGAATGAATGTCCTCGGTCCAGGTAAAAGAAACGTTCCATGTTACGGTTCCAACCGAGTCGATTCAAAGCTGGTTGGTTTGAGTCTCACTGTCATTTCGCGAAGAGGCTGGCTTGGGCCATGGACCGAGAAAAGTGACCCTGCCTCAAACCAATTGAAATCTCGCGATCGGAGTGTGGGCCATTCCCCAGTGCCACAAAAACGGGGCGAGCCACCTGCGTTCCTGCCGCAAAGTGGGTGGTGGGCTGAGAAAAGTGCCAGTTGCCCAAGCCTGCGACGGGGCATTGACGTTGACTTTATATTGCGGAGCCCGACCAAAACCCCAGTTCGGGTCCTAACAACCTCCGTCTTCTCGATTCCTACCGTCCTACGGAAATCATCCCGCAACAGCGCGGCCTCCCGCACGAACAGAACACGAGACTAATCCCTCAATCACGCCCGACGAAGCTGCGGTGGCCCCCCTCGCATGGCCAAGTCCGTTGAGAGGTGTATGCGATAGAAAGAGACGGAATCCGTATTCCCGAGCGACGCAGGCAGCTGAATCCATTGCCGCCAGGTGTGTTGGGCTTAGCTCGAAAACCTCCACCGCCAACTTCCTCAACGTTACCCGGCGAACATTGTGCATAACAACAACAACGGATGGTCACTCAGAATTGTGACGGACGGTAAACGACGGGACTGGCAGAGCTCGAGACGTTACAAAAGCACAGGGCAGCATTAGAGCCGCCGCCGCCGAAGCACAACCATCCGCCGGTCGCATCTCGGTCGCGTCGCTCGAACAGACCGCCTACCGCGGCTCCGCTCCACATTACACAATGGGTTCAACAAAGTTTGGCAACTTTGATGTGAGCGACACAGTCCGCAATGCGGAGGGTTCTCACTGGCTGAGCGCCATTAACTAATCGATTGCGCCGCGCAGGAGTTCTGTCGCGACACAACACTCCCTGTCTGCAACGTCAGTCTCTGTTGAACAAAAACTACTCATCCCATCTCCACCAGCGTTACTGACGGAACTCTGCAGCTCCTCTCACCCACTGATAACCAGGCGGGACCATGGCAGGGCTGCGAGCTGAGGGGCATCCCTTTGTCCGATAACCGGCATCTGGGCAACCTGGGTCCGTTATGCTCCTTTACGACCGCCTTATCCCATGCTTGATCAGCTAACACGCCCTAGGGTCCATACTGCTTTGCGGCATTGCGATAGCTACAACCGTTTTGCTGTTGCTTCGCTCCGAGAGGAAACGGGCTGCTGTTGGTCGACGGTCAGTGTGCCTTCACTCTGCGATGTATGTCTGGGAGCTAACGGTCCTCATAGGGAAATGCAAGCATTCCTACTTGGGTACCTACTAATTTCAATATGCGAAATTTTCTCGGTGGGAGAATTTCCGTTGAACTCAAAAGCGCGGCTGGTAAGTAAAGCCAGTTCGAGGGAAACTTGAAGCCGTGTTCGAGCTGACCCTGGCGCCTCACAGGCATTCAGTGCTGTCCACATTGGCGCTATTGCAGCTACCACGTGGATGCTATTCCTCAATGGCATTGTCGGCTACCAATTGATGGACGACGGCACGCCCCTTTCTATCGGCTTGGTTCTCGGCTCGGCACTGATTTTCCTCATCGGTGTCGGCTACATCGCCCTCGATACCGGATTCTCCTTTACCGGCTACTGGAACTCGAGCTATGATACGCCCAACAGGAATATTGCGCTCTACGTCCTCTACCTGCTCCTGCCGCTCTTGTGGATCGTGCTCTACTTCGTCTTGGAGACGGTCCTTGTCCTGAGGGTACTCGGCGAGATCAGGCCGATGCTCTTCCTGTGTTCGGCGGCGGTTGCTTTCGCCGCGGGACAGGTCTTCGACTTTGTCGTCAGCCCGTACATTTGCAACGGTACCTCCGGAGCGATCGACGGGGCTCTCTTTGAGACCTTGTTTACCCTCGTGTCCGTCGTTCTCGTCTGGCTTTTCTGGTCCAGCATCACGGAGGACGACTGGCCGATGGACCCGGGCAACCCCTATCCCTAAACACGATCGAGATACCCACGTCTTTGACGTACAAGCCGGGCGGCGAGGAGTATTGGAGTTCTGTGACGGGATGTTTCATGACGCTCTTTTTTGTGATACCTTTTTCTTCTGCTTGGTGGCGGATCTTAACTTTTGCTTGGCGGAATGTCGTCGTCCAACGCCAAACGAATACGAAACAAAGCAACAAAACACACGGACATATACAACAAAAAGCTGAAACCCGGGGTTTCGAAACCCGAGGGATAATACGAGTACATGGTGCGGGCGGGCACGGGTTGGGTTGCAGGCCGACGAGTCGGCCGTTGTGTCCAACGGAGCTCGAACCGCAAGCTTAGTTGAAAAGCGGCAGATTTCCGGTTAGCTTCAGCATTGAAGAGCGATAAACGGGGACGACTTAATGACCGGGCAGGCCATTGTGGGGAGGGATACGATTGCTGCGTTGGATGTTCTCTACGACTCTGTGTATTGGGCTGTACCGAGATGTATCATGGGGCTAGAATATGTTTGGCGTCTGTATACCCGAGAGTTGATGCCACAGTTTAATGAGGAATAGGATAGTTAGTCGCGGACTTACTGATTATAATGCATGTCCGCCAACGCTACGTTTGATACGGATGGGACGTGATAGAGTGGAATGAGACCCGTGAGGTTCCTCTGACAACGGCTGCTTCCCGAATTGGCAAGGAGCCTTACAATATGAGAATGGCGAAGCGCAATTTCTGGCCGCCAGTTGTTCCGGAGCCTTAGCAAACCTCGCAGGCTGAATTTTGGGCTATGGATGCGTTTATTTCATAAGTGCATATGCTGCTTTCAGCGTCGTGGACATGTTCGACTCTCATTGACCACCTTTGGCCACTGATCAAGTTGAAGAGGAAAACAAAGGAAAAGCCGTCTAGTTCCCAGATCATGCAAAAGTCTCACGTCATCCAACGCCCTGAACCCGTTCGAACTCATTATTCCCGAGCTTTGATCCAAGCGGAGCTAAGTAAGGAAAACAATGATAATGATACCGCCTGGCAAATCAGAAGACCCTAGGGGAAACAGAGCACACAAGATTCCTTCCTCCAGTTAGCTCCCAATCATATCGCCAGCCATTTCCTCGAACCGTATTTCCCATAGCATAGTAAACGTCTTTTTGTAAATCTTCCATTCAGCCCTTCACCTGCTCTGAATGCCCAACTTCCTCAAGTGCACCCTCGGAAGCACCCCGACGACAATCAAACCCTCGGCAAGCAGCACCGCCCACAGCCTAATCCGCAGCACTGCCTTGCTGTAATCCGTCTCCACCGCGGCCGCCACCGTGGCAAGCAGCAGCACCAGCGCAGAATAGCCCACCCAGCGGTGGTACTTCCACATGCTCTTGGCGCGCTCCTCGCCGCCCCAGACGCGAGGCACGGCCCAGATGGTGAAGCCGAACAGGTACTGGAGCACGAGGAGAGCGAAGGTACTCACGCCGAGGTAGGCGTGCGGGGAGTGGAAGTGCGGCATGTGGTTGGCGTGCTTGTTGACCTCAATGATGGTCGTGCCGGCAACGAAGAGGGCGAAGGAGAGGATATGAAGGATGAAGTGGTAGCGCTGTCCGAGGGATTTGGTGCGCGGGGTGTTGGTTGGTTGGAGGACGAGAATGGCTTGGAGGCCAGTGAACACCCCGAGCGTCTGGAGCAAGGGGTGAGGGGAGACTAAGGGGAGCTTCGGGTGGGTGAAGACCGATGACCAGGTCACTGCGAGGAGGAGAACGCCGCCTAGTTGGGAGATCCAGGCCGTTCCTGCAGAGGACGGCGGTAAGTAAGAAGGACGGGAGGAATTGGGACGCTTTGGGTTGTGGGCTCACCAAGAAAGATGTTCTTGATCATGGGCGCATCGGGCCTTTGTGTCGCATCGCCTGGCCTTCCGAGGAGAGGCTCGCTCTCGGCTGGGGCGGGAGCGTCGCCCTGTGCGGGATGTGTTGGTTCTGTCGAAGCCATCTTGGTCGTGGGCTGTGGAAAACCTGAAGTCAAAATTGTCCGAGGATCAAGTAAAGCTTCCCAGCGCTTTTAAGCGCGAGAATCTAAGTGAAGAAGCCTGGACGTCGTAACTCGTCGTCCGATGGGAGTTGCGGGGAACGAGGAGCAGGGAAGCTCCGGGCGTTAAAAGGGGCTCGATCCGTGTCACACAACCAGCTGCTCGGTCAGCTGCATGAGGAACGAGGCTATTGGCCTCTGACTGTTTCAAGACGCAGCTCTATACCGGAGTGGTCATTGTCGTGAAGCTTTACGGCTGAACCGAGTCAACCAAAATCGAAGGATGGCGTACCCCAGGCCGGCGATGACGGCACCGAGCTGGTGTTCAATCTGCCAATGAGATCGATCCGATTTTAAAGCTCCGATTTGGCGGGGCTGCCTGTTCTCCATGCACGGGGACCCAGTTGTTGCCCCGCTTCCGCAGACGAGCACATGCCCAAGATGGAAACTTGCAAGCCGGGTGGAAACTGCTCCCCTTTACCGTTATCACAGTTGTCCGAAGGGTCGAGATGGGTCCATCAAGTTTTCTCCGCTTTGGACCGGTGTCGGAGCCGGCCGAACGGCCACGGGACTCGTTGAGCAGCGGCTGGATGGTGGAACATTCCACTACTGGAAGACGCCAGCGTCGAAGCCAGATAAGATAATCTCCATTGCCCTGCCTCTATTGTGTTCGTGTTGCGTATGACTCCTGTCTGCGAGCTTACTCCTTTCACCTGAGCAACGATCATATTCCAACACTGGCAATTGCGGGGAGTTCCAGTCCAGTCACTATGGAAGACATCGAGTACAAGCTCGAGGCCGTCAAGGCCACGCGAGTCCCCGCGGAAGATATTGACAAGACCTTCCGCTCCAGCTGTATTGGTTAGTATACGCTCAGTCCCGGACGGGATGCCCCTGATCTGACTAGACCGTGTAGACCTCGTGTCTGCTGCCCTCGGCGGCAAGGTCCTGGGTTTCTCAGATCAGTGGTTCGCCGAAGCTTCGAACCTCATCAACCCGGCTGCCCCTATCCGCCAGCCGGGCAAAATGGTCTACACTGGCGCCTGGTACGATGGGTGGGAGACCAGGAGGCACAATGCGGAGCCATTTGACTGGGTTGTGATCCGGCTGGGTGTCGCCTCGGGCACAGTTGAAGGCGTCGAGGTGGACACCGCATTCTTCTCGGGAAACCACGCGCCGGCCATTTCGGTCGAAGGGTGCTTCAGCCAGAAGGATGATGAGGTTCTGTCCTGGGGTGGGACCCGCGGCGGCTGGGAAACTATCCTCGGTATACAGGAGTGCGGCCCAAGTCAGAGATTCGGCTGGAAGCTTGACAGTCCGACGACGAAGCAATACACCCATGTTCGGCTGAACATGTATCCCGACGGTGGTATCGCCAGGTTCCGGCTGTTTGGACATGCCGTACCCGTCTTTCCGGAAGACAAGGAGGCCATTTTTGATCTTGCGGCTGCGCAGAACGGTGGCGTTGTAGTGTCATGCAGCGACCAACATTTCGGGACCAAGGACAACCTGGTCCTCCCCGGCCGCGGCAAGGATATGGGGGATGGGTGGGAGACTGCCCGGTCCAGAAGCAAAGGTCATTTCGATTGGGCCATTATCAGGCTAGGAGCCCCCGGATACATTCAGAGTTTCATCGTCGACACGGCACATTTTCGAGGCAACTATCCACAGCAGGTAAAGCTGGAGGCCATCGAGTGGAAGGGTGAATCAGAACCGCCAGCGGATGCCGAGGGGTGGGTGAATATGGCCGAACCGATCAAGTGCGGCCCCGACCAGGAGCATCCGGTTGAGAGCTTGGTGAAGAGTAGCCCGTTTACTCACGCGAAGCTCATCATGGTCCCGGACGGAGGCGTGAAGAGACTGCGTGTCTTTGCGAAGCGGGCGGTCTGACGTCGCAGAATGTTGGATGGCTACCGATACTTGGAAGGAGCTAGAGAATACTAGTAGTGTCACAAGGAGCACACAAGTTTAGGAAAAGTAGAAAAGCACCCTTATTATTCGAGGACACGCCGAACCTGGAGGGCCACTGTGCGCTCCTTAAAGCGAAGTCTAATCTCCTAGACGATATGCTTTTTCCCTGGAGTGTCCGAAGGAAATGCCTTAGTTGTTTAATGTGATAATGTAATAATCGAAGCCTTTCCTGTAATCTCTAAAATGTTCTCCTCGACGGAAGACGGGACTCGAGTGGCAGCGACCTACAAGGCTAGAAGGCGTCATCTCCGGCGGCTCGTGGGCCCAGTCGCAGGCCTTCTCGATTAACAATGTGGCCGCACGGACCCTCGAGTGTGGGGTGGCCGCCTTTAGCGATGCTCCTTCAGGCGCGCCAAATATCGCCTTGGAGGGGACACAACTGGACAACGTCACAACCTTATCTTACTTTTGTTCCCGCGCCCCGTGAGCTGTCTACGAATCAGCCGCTACGCCGACACCGGATTTTCGAGTTCGAGTACGTCCCAATGTGCGCCAGCCACCGTTTCCCAACGTATCCGCCCATGAGCCCATAAATCGCCGTTGCACGCCGCACAGCGTCACCCTGAGCCATGGACCTAGGGGATTTAGGGGATTCGGATGGCGGCTTCGATGCCGGCGTGGGAGGGCTGCCGCCAAAGAACAGGGTCCTGCCTGACGATCTCCCACGGTCTCTCGACGACAGGCGGCACGTCCCGACCGAGTTGGTGCCTGAAACGGAGATGTATGATGGATGGCAGGGTTGGTGCCCCTTGTCCTGTCCTCCTCGTCGTGTCTTGCCACACGACCCGCGATGGCTTGCGCTAAGGCTTGGCCACTTCAGGACAATCCCAGTTCTTGACATCGCCCATAGTTGCGAAACCCCTGTCCTTCAGTGACTTGACGCTCGAGGACAATTATGGCGAAGATCTGACGAAAGGCGGGCCAGACAGCGAGACCCGCCTGATGGAGATGCTCGCCGCCCAGGCTGCCCATGCGGCAAGCGCCGCCTTCGACGACGAAGATGCTATCGCAACCGATGAGCAGAGATCAGAGGACGAGAAGCGAGATATCCTGCAAAAGACATTCATCATGGCTGCGAGCAATGGTAACGTCGAGTCGGTCAACAAAATCCTGAACGGCAAGGCGAGACAGTATGTCGATATCAATGCGCCGGACGACGAGGGCACGCCCGCCCTGATATATGCAAGCTGCTTTGTGAGTCTTATGCTCGCGGGGCGCCCGGTCCTCCGCTAATACCGACCGCAGGGCCACGAGTCGGTTGTGCAAGCCCTCATTGATGCCGGGGCAGACGTCAACAAGCAGGACCGAAACCAGTGGAGCGCGCTGATGTGGGCCATGACAAACCGACACAAGGGCATTGCAAAAGTGCTCTTGAATAACGGTGCTTCGACAGAAGCGAAGACGTCGACGGGGCGGACAGCGTTCGACTTTGTCGGGCCCGACAGCGACATGTCACTTTACCTTAGCGGATATGGGATTGGGACCGCCGGAGCAGCCGACGACTTCTACAACCCGGGGTTCAGTCAGGATAGGTTCGAAGAGGAGCTGGCCGAGAACGAGATGCGACGGCGTATGATGATGGAGAGTGCCCGTGACCTGGAAGTCGATCTCGGGAATGTGGGCATGGATGATCAGCCCGAGGTTCGTGCCCTTGCGCCGCCTTATCTCGTATCTGTGATGCACCGTAGCTGACTCTCAGTCAGTCACTGGAGGACCTTGAGGAGGAGCAACAGGAGTTTGACTGGTCGAGATGTCTGCATGACCAAATGTTCGTCTTCCAAGAGAACGAGCTGGAGCGCATCCTCGATATCGTCATCACCAACATGACCCCTCAGCGGTCACCGTCTCAGAAACCAGTGCCAGCAAACATGATCTTCCTGGGCGCGAGATACGCGCACTATCATTCGAGTCAGGAGCTGCTCGCAAAGCTGCTCGTCACCGCCATGGACAAGATCAACTCCGTGGTAGAGAAACACCAATGGGATATGACCATCCTGGCGTTCTGGATGTCAAACGCGACGCTACTACTACACTACCTGAAGAAGGATGCTGGCCTTGTCGAGGCCACAACCGAGTTTCAGGCGCAGCTCGCCGAGCTGATCAACGAAATCTTCATCCTTATAGTCAGAGATGCCGAGAGGCGCCTCGACAAAGTCCTGGACGTGGCCATGCTGGATCATGAAACAATACCGGGATTCGAGGACATCACATTCCAGAACGAATGGAAGATCTTCAAGCGGAAAAAGGAGGTCAAGGAGGAACCTCTAGAGAAGCGGTTACGGCCGCCGTCTCCGAAGCAGAGAGCGAAGCCCTCGCCGCGCAACGTCACATCACTACTCTCGTCAACGCTTTTCGTCCTAGACCTCTATGACGTTCATTCCGTCATCACTGCTCAAATCATATCACAATTGATATACTGGCTCGGCGCGGAGCTCTTCAACCGCATCATGTCCAACCGAAAGTACCTAGCACGCACCAAAGCCATGCAGATCCGCATGAATATCTCCACATTAGAAGACTGGGCGCGCCAGAACAACCGCCAACCCGAACATTACGAGAAGGGCGAGATGAAATCGAGCGGGGAGACGACCGTCGAAGCCGCCAGGCGCCACCTAGCACCCGTCATCCAGCTGCTTCAATGGCTACAGTGCTTCTCCTCTCTCGGCGCCGACGATCTCGAAGCCCTCGTCGGTACTCTGCAGCAGCTCAGAGCCCTCAGCCCACAACAACTCATCCACGCGGCAACGCACTACCGACCCGAAGTAGGCGAGAAGGGTCTCCCAAAGAGTGCGATGAAGTACCTCGTCGCGATCCAGAAGGAAGCCACTCTGCGGCGGGAAAGGAACCGCGCCGCGGCGGCAGCAGCAGCCGCTTCCTCCTCTCCGCCCGCTACCCCGGGCCGATCGATCAAGTCGAACGGTCACGGTCAATCCACACCCGGAACGCCCAAACCCGAATCTCCGTCAGCAGAGGACGACGCAGACGAAGCACCCGCGAACCTGCTTTTCGACCCGGCGCTGATGCTGCCGTTCACCCTGCCGAGCGTCACGGACATGTTGGTGAGTTACGGGGCCGGGTTTGGAGGAGTGAATCGGGAGCGGGAGAGGAAGTACATTCCGACTATCCCGGCTGAGTTTTTAGAGAAGGTCGAGGCGGGTATGGGGGGCTCCGGAGGCAAGAAGACGTCGTTGTATGAGGGGAGGGATTGGGAGAACGAGGAAGTGTAGCAAACGATTCAACTCCTCGTCGGTCGGGGCGAGAAGGGGCATGGCAAGTCGCATACCTCAACGCAGTCGTCTGGAGTGGTTTCGCTTTCTGACTCTGGGAGCGGAGATTCCGCACACCGCCGGGAGGGGCCGGCGGATAATTGAACGCGCTAACGGACGCACGACATGCAGATAAACGTCTGGTTGGAAAGAATGAGCGAGGGAGGTATAAACGGGGCGGGAGGTATCATTGCTACGACAATATCAGCGCGCATCAACTATAATCAGGATAGATCAAAACATTGCTTCGCCCTCGGTCTCGAAGTTTCTAATGTTTCGATCCCGTGTCATGTCGTGTCATCAAGGACTTTGCCAGCTGAATCGAGGCTCTTTCACGTGTAGCCATCATTCGGAATGGCGGTGGCCACGTGTTTGTTTTCAACGAGGAGATACAGTGAGTGACCTTTACATGATTGTCTCTGGTCTGATAGCGAAACCAATTTCTTATTTCCGACCAGCCAAGATGTGTGCTTCCAGACCCGTCCGTGGAATCAGAGCAAGCCTTGATGGGTTCGGACTGGCCCTCCTTATTTTGTGGACTCATGCAAGCTGCACGGCAACGCGAAGCGTGTGTATCCACGTATCTATGGACACGGCTTCTTGAGGGATTTTCTCCCCTTCCCGTTCGTCTGGTACGGGAACACCGGTGAAATGTCTGGTGCCAGATGGCTGACACGGACAGGCGGAGGACAGATTGTGAGATTGCGAAAGTGCAAATCTCCGGCCCCGTCTATATGTAAGGCACGGGCGTCCGATAGGTGTGTTGTTGAGCATCTGCATCGTGGCGTCTAAGGTTGGTCACCTCAAGCTGCGTGATGTCGTTGGCGTCGTCAGACATGCAGACTTGCCATGACTTGCACCTGGTTATCGTGGGGTTGACTGCGTCCGTTGACACCCAATGCTGCTGTTGGTAAACTGCGATGTTCCAAGCTCTCTGCAAGCACTCAACGTGGTTCCTGTGGGGCTCAAGTGCGATTTGCTTCTTACTCTTCTCCAGGATTGACGATGAGAGCCGGACAGGAAAGACGACGGCTTTATTCTGGTTCTTATGTGGCCGCTTCACTCATCCTGCCTCAATCATGACGTTTCCGTGACCCATGACGCCGAAATCGTTTTAGACACGCAGAGGATCAGTTCAGTCCGACAAGCCCGATATGGGAGCACGGAGGAAAAAGCATCAGGCCTTCCCGCCAATTGAATATTCCTGCCCAGTCATTCCTCCCAATTCCGTGTCTCGAAAAGGGCGGAGAAGAAGGACGGATGAGTTGGCTAAATTGCCGCCACGTCAAGACGCCCAATCAGTGGTCGACTACTCGTCGAATCGGACCCTGGATTTCCGTTGGCGAAGGTCATGCGCAGAACGTGACTCGTTGGTTGACTCGTCTTTTGTCTCGTCAACTGTCTGTCATCGCGACCTTATTCGGTCTTTGCGGGGCGGATTGCGCTGGTGGGTTGGCGACTGGAAGATGAGAGAGATGTAGTAATCTATGAACCCAAGTTCAGAGTGAGTGATGGACGACCCCCGAGGGCGCGCCGGCCCGTTGGAAAAGCAAAATGGGGTCATCGTGTGTGTGGGTCAGAGTCCAGAACTTCCACAGATGTTCTCGTCTCTTGATGGTCCATCCACGCTTTTATGCGGTCTCAATGACAGGGAACCGTACGTCGAGGATATCATGCTCTGGAGCGAGAATCAAGAAGAAACGGAATTAGAATATTCATAGATTATGATAGTATTGTTGTATCCGAAAGTCGGATGTTGGACCGCTTCTCCAAAGGTATCTGGAGCCGAAGATGGTCTGTGTAAGTGTTAGCGAAGAAAGCATACGGGTGTACTGGAATGGGCAACAAGTCCCTACCCAATACCTTTAGCCATCAATGAACGCCTAATACTTTGCATGGAGGAGAGAGGAGGTAAGGTAGTATATACCATGAGCATTTGTACATCTCTGAGTCATTGATAAAGCTAACAAAGCTCTGCATAAAAGATGCGAGAGACTAGTCCGTAACATGACCACATATCCCGCTCAAAGTGACGAGAGCCCACTCAGGACCACCAAGAAGTGCAGCAGACGGCGTTTTGGGCAGGTGGCTGGCTCTGGCTGGCTGGCCGTGGAAACATGCACTGAGCTCCCCGCACCATGAACGTTGGGGGTGGCGGGGTGGGAGGAGTTCAGAAAACAAAGTTTAGAGTTACTTCTAGTACTAGACCGGGGTAGCAGGAAGCCACGTCCACATAGGTGATACTATTGGGCTCCCACGATACCGGGCAAACCCAGGCCCAATTGCCCCGGCATGGTAAAAGAGAAGTGGCCAAGATGGTGGGTATGAGGGAATAACAAGAAGTCCCTTTCTCTCTCTATTTCTGGTTCAAATAGAACTCATGTGCCCTTCAGAAACAGTTTTGTGCTGAACCCCTCTTTGCTTGACATGAGTTCTCGGCCCCTCTCATCAGTGAAACAAGTTGTGCCCCTCCTCCAAGCTGGGAAGGACTGAACTTGGGAGAGCTGTGCATAACCGGGACACTGCAGTACGAGACAACACTTGTTTGAGCGTTTGGCCTAGACTACTTTCTCGATTAGTGTACCGGTACTTGGTTACGTCCTTGGATCGTTAAAAGAGGCCTCTCTACCAATGCTTCAAGTTCTCTCTGATCTTTGTCGTCATCCATACCCACCAAGAACACGAGGTTTCCAATCTACGTATTGCAAGGGAGATCCGAAGAGCTGAGCGAACCAGCAATCACGGCATTTCGGGAAAGAGCTGAACCTCAGCTCTCACAACGATGGTGCCTCAGAAATTTGCCAGTGTGCGCCACAAGGCGAAGCCAGCAGCAGCACGTCTAACTCCTTTCCGAGACGACACCGGCCTGGTTGCACTACGGTACGAACAGACCAAACAGGCAGAGCCGCCCATTCCCTTGCCTCCGCCGCGAAACCCGCGCCGCCTCAACCGCCCCCCATCGACATTCACAACTTCAACTGCTCCGACTTCTCCGACTTCTCCCATCATCGTCGCCCCTCCACAAGTGCCTCCGCCCCAGGAAGAGCACCCCCTTTTCCGGGCCCAGAGGCAACCACGGCGGTCGCACACCGAGGAATGGAAGAGAGACTCGGGGGCCCCGACATCGTCATCGGTCACGCTTCGGGAAGAAGGCGGTGCGGACTCAGTGTATCAAAAGCTTTTAATAAGCGACATTGACGACACGCAACCAGTGTATCCCAGTGACGAGCAGATCCCCAAGCCGGCCCCGTCAAGCAACGATCGCGTCGCACCGCCCCCGCTAACGGTTTCAATCCCGCCTCGCACCAGAAGCCCGGAAACCACGGTCGACTCACCAACACCGTCGGAGGCCCAGTCGCCCACACGCCATTTTTCGCTCGTTAGGAAACTCAGCAAGACTTTCGGCATGGCGCCTGAGGGATCGAAACGGTTGCGGAAAAAGATGTTTGATTCCGACAGGGCTGCATCCCACGGCGAGACGGCGCCCGTGCGGGGCTCGGCCAAGCCGCCAAAATCGCCTAAATCGCCGAAATCTCCCCAATCTGAACCCCCCAAGGGCCCCCTGCTGCCGCCAGGGCCCGGTCGCTTTAGCGCGGACAGGGAGCAGGACCTCGAACGCCCCTTATTAACATTAACATTATCCTCTGCCACAGCAACCGACAACTCCTTTGCGCCGATCACCACCCCGATCCCCAGTGACAGTCTATGGGACGACTTGGGCACTGTCTCGTTCTCCAACAGGGGGAGCATCATGGTCGGCAGCAAGAGCAACCCCTTTAAGTCGCTGATGATGTCTGCCCCCGAAGCGAAAGCGAACGCATCGTTATTCCGCGAAGAGCAGCAGCGCACGAGCGCATCCGCATCCCAACCCCAGCCTCGGCCAACCGCGACGGGGCCAGGCACTGGCAATGGCGACGAAAGGGTCGCGACGACAGAGCAACCCCAGGCGGCGATCCAAGCGGACCCGCCGCCGCCAGTCCCCAGCATTCGCGTCTCGTCGATGGATGTAGAGAGGGAATCACAAAAGGTGAGATCGCTCTATGAATCCGGCGACGACCTGAATTGGGAAGATGGGGGGCGCGTCTCGTTCGCCGAACGCCTAGAGCCCACAGCGGAGGTCCCATCGGAAGAGGAAGAGAACGTCGTGTACGGTTTTCCTTGAGCTCTCCGGCTTGCATTTGTGTCCTTGCTAATGCTGACACGACCGCTTGTGACACGTCTAGACCGTCTCGTCCCTCCGATGCTCCTTCAGCTTCGGCAGGTCCGGCACAAAGCGACCCGCCCAATCCTACGCGCACTACAATTTCACCGCGTTCGGCCAATTCCTTGTCTCCGCTACGAGATAGCCAGGCTAGGAGGGAGTACGAGCGCGCCGGAGGCATCGAGGATTGGCAAGATCTCGACGGCGTCGAGATCGACCGTTATGGCTTCATCAGCCCCAAGCGGCCCGTGTCCCGCGCGGAGACGGCCCATGCAAAGCCATCGCCTTTCTCGTCTAGGAGGAGAAATGTCTTGACGAAGCGCCCTTCCACCTCCTACTCAGTATCACTACCAGGACCAGGCGGTCTCATCCGCCCGCCAAGCCGCAAGGTCTCGGCACGGTCACTTAACACGTACACATCCGAGCTATCGACTACCTCGCGACAGTCCACACGGTCCTCTATCCGCTCCGCCACAAACCGCCTGACGCACAGCCGCGACCGCAGATGGATGGACGAGGCTGGTGAGATGCTTTCCTTACAAGCAGGTCTGACCGGCATCACAGACGATGAGAAGATGGGCAAAATTCTCGAGGCCCAGAAGCGCAAGGAGGCAGAACGATCCGAGAAGTGGAGGAAGATGGCTACTGCCGTCAAGATCGGCAAGGATGGCCAAACCCAAAACCAACGCCCGGTGCACCAAGCCCAAGGCCAAGGAATGGACTACGAGTTCGACACCAAAAATTCCAAACTCATCGAGCGTACCTGGAAGGGAATTCCCGACTGCTGGCGCTCGGCAGCGTGGTACTCCTTCCTGGCGACGAGCGCCAAAGCGTGGGAGAACGCCGAAACCGAGGACTACCTCATCGCCGAGTTCAAACGCCTCCAAGGTGTCTCATCTCCGGACGACGTTCAGATCGACCTAGACGTGCCGCGGACCGTGAACGGGCACATCATGTTCCGCAGGCGCTATCGCGGCGGGCAGCGCCTGCTTTTTCGGGTCCTGCACGCCATATCGCTGTACTTCCCCGAGACGGGCTACGTGCAGGGCATGGCGTCGCCGGCGGCCACGCTGCTGTGCTATTTTGACGAGGAGAGGACGTTTGTGATGCTGGTGAGGCTATGGAGATATCGGGGCTTGGAGAGGTTGTACAAGCCTGGCTTTGCCGGGCTGATGGCTGCGCTGGAGGACTTCGAGAAGAGGTGGTTGGCGGGGGCCGGGAAGGATGTCGCTGCCAAGCTTGTAAGTATCCGCCTCTCTCCCGCCGCCGATCCAGTCCTAGTCTTGGGCTGTGGAAACTGATATTGCGCGCCAGAACGAACTGTCCATCGACGCGACGGCCTACGGAACCCGCTGGTACCTCACCCTCTTCAACCTCTCCATCCCCTTCCCCGCCCAGCTGCGCGTGTGGGACGTCTTCATGCTCCTGGGCGACTGTCCCCCGGAGAATGACGACAACAGCAACAACAACAACAACAACAACCAACCAGATGGCATCTTGCCACCATCACCGCGACCGAAAGGCCTCGATATCCTTCACGCCACCAGCGCCGCGTTGATCCATGCGCTGCGAGACGTGCTGCTTGACTCTGACTTCGAGAACGCCATGAAGGCTCTGACGGCGTGGATCCCGGTCAAGGACGAGGATTTGCTGATGAAAGTTGCGCATGCCGAGTGGAGACGGCATCAGGGAAGAGCGAAGCTGTGGGATAGGGAGAGCAAGGACAGAGAGAAGGATAATAAGGGCAAAGGGAAATCCGGGAAGGAGAAGGAAAAGGAAAAGGAAAAGGACAAAAGAGAAGGGAGGGATAAGGAAAAGGGGAAGGAAAAGGCGAGGGCGTAAGGGAGGGTCATATTCAGGGAACGGGTGGTGGCTCGGCTTTTGAGTTGACCTGGCGCAGGGACGTGGGTCGTTCCGACCGGCGACATTCGTTTTACATCCTTTTTCTTTGTCACTCCGTCCTGACTGACATTTCGGCCTTTGCTGGGGAGGCCTATGGTTTGGTTGTTTTTCCTGGCAGAAGTTTGATACCCCCTTATACCCGTTTCTTTCAGGTACTAGTAGTACTGAGAGTACTAATTAGTCGAAATGCCAGTAGTCGCGTGGGTTAGGCGAGATAGCTTGGTTTAGTAATTACCCTCACTTTAGTTCCTTTGCCATGGAGGTGCGTAGTTATTTCGAAAATACCTAATGTACTTGATTACGACGAAGGTAACGTAAAGGCTGGTGTCCTAACAGCATGGCATATGGCATGCAGTGCTGTAAATGACGGGAACCATCGTGCTACATGTGTAATGTACTAGGTGTCACCGAGGGTAATAACGAGTTGTCTTAAACAAACCACCACAACCCTTGAGATCGTGTCTCTGTTTATTTGTTGCCTCCTCTTCAGATGACTCGGGCGTACACACTTGACTCGGAACTTACTGCTTAGGACAGAGGCGACAAGGGGAACAAACCAGTGGAGCATGTACCACGAGCAGCTTGTCACGAGCTGCTCGGGATGGTAAGAGTCTCACCGAGCTCGTTGTTTTCTTTTTTTTTTTTTTTTTTCTTTTTTTTTTTTTTCCTCAGGGAGTTATCATCCAAGGTTGTCTTTACGTCATCCCCTTCAACTTCCCGTGCTTCACCCATAAAGCGAGCGCTTTACTATGCTGATGACCAATACGGCACTCGTACAATACGTGACCTTCCGTTGCACTGCCAACATATCGAGTCGTGTGGTTAGTGCAGCCACAACTTTATAAGGTAAGTACGGAGAAGGCAAATATTACTTGGGTTACCTGGGTAGGTACCTTAGTTTCCAGGTAAGCACCATACTTAAGTGATAGCACTAGCACTGCATCAGATACTAGTACATACATGACTTCTGCTATGATACCCGGTATGAAATTGCTTTGCCGTACGTACCACGAGCCCTTTGCGAGAGTAATAAGCAAGGAGAGTCCTCTGTTAACTTAGGTAGGTTCTTGACCTGGCCTATGGTTCAGTGGCATCCCAGCAGCGCCGTCTTAGTTGCGGAGGCATATCGTGGCCGGTAGTTACGTCTACAGCAAGGATATCGCCGTGGGTTGAGGGCGCGCTCTTTAGCCTGGCCTCGGGATGTCGTGTGAACCCTAGTACCTCACAGCTACCCGCTATATGGACGTACTTCGACTTAATAAGATGATGAACTCTAGCATTGACAGACAGAATACTACGACTTCACCAGCGGCCTACCGTCGTATTCGCGAGGCCAAGGTATGGGAGGTGGTACCAAATTGAGTCCGTGGACCACCAAAAGGAGAGGGTAGCATGCAAGTGTTCCCATCTCATCAAGTGTGAGGTGCGGCGCAGTCCCTGAGTGTGAGCGATTGGCTCGCTCCCCCGACGAGCTTCCTGCCGTTCGAAAAAGCTGGGAGAGAACCGGGCAGAGAAGGGTCTTGGGCTGCAGGTAGCATGGGGCAAGACTACCTTTCCTAACGGCGTCAGGATGTACGAAGATGCCGCAGGCAAGAGGCACAGCTTGTTTCTTCCACTTACTAAGCGTGTGCAACTCTGCCCTTTTCCGAACCGTGACACTCCTACACGAATGCGTCGAGTTGAGGCGGGATTCGTGAGAAGAGCACATATCCCGAGCGCGACGCGGAGCGGGAATTCGGATCATATCATCCCCTAATAAGTCACGCAGGCCCGCCACCGGCCGGTTATAGCGTCCGTTGGTTGAGCAGTCTGCACAGGAATGGCACGGATAGTATCAGATCCGATGAGGAGCGTAGCACAGACCATGAAAACAGACCGCGGCAAGGGATAAGGGGGTGAAGGAACAACGGGAAGGGGTCAAAAATAGCCGCGACGGTCGTGCTCAAGCCGCTACCCGACCTACATATCTCTGACGAGGAGAGCGCGGGACCCGCGCCTGTACTTGTGCATCTCCATTCAGCCGCCGACCTGCCCGTCAGATTGGCTGGCAAGAGACGGTAGCGGCCCGCTTGTGGGTGAGCTCGATAGCTCTGGCTGAACAGAGGGGATATGTTTTCGCTGCAGGCGACTTGGCCTGTTCGATACGAGCAGAGAGTTGGAAGAAGGATGAGGGATACCTAGTGCGTGAAAGGCAGGAACGTGAATGTCGAGAAGGAAGACATTGTTGTGCCACGCAGCTCGTCCCTGTTATGGTCCCGTAATGAGCGGCTGGGTGCCTTAGCCAGTGTCGAGATGCCGTGCGGCTGCGCGTCATCCATCCCACCACTTCGCTTGCCGCCGAAGAAGGCTAGAAGAAGCAGCACACGTGGAGATCTTCTAGAACGGCAAGAGCGCCAGTCTAGCCGCTGGAAACCTGTACCACCATAAACTAGGCCCTCAACTAGGAAGACGGCAATCTTGGACCATTCCGCGCGAATGCATCCCGCCACAGGAGCTCACCTGATTACCTGACCCTACACGTTAGAGGTTGACCAGGGCCGCTGTCTGCGAGATCACAGGCCTTTCGGTTCCACGCCAGATGCCCCGAACGGGAGCCTGCATGACCGAGGTATGAAGCCCGCCGTGTTCCAGAAACACCGCTGATCTGATGGATCTCACTGCAGTGAGACATCTCGTCCCGGTGGCAAAGCTCAGTCACCTGCGGGCGTTCCACCAATATATGCTGCTGAATAACAGAACGGCCCGAGATCTCCGCTTCCCTGTGCCCTGCCGGGACAGACCCAGATCCCAAGCGGGCAACCGATGGCGCCATAACTCGGAACCGAGGAATTAACCACTCAACCGAGACGCTGCGTCTTACTCAAGGAGACCAGTTCGGTCGGAACTTTTCACACGTGTCTCTAGGGCAGCTGAAAGCCAGCGGGACGGGCATCTGAAGAGAATGGCGCGCCTGTCGTCAATCGCCGGACGAATCCGTCCCCGCTCCCGGCACGGTACCTGGCCAGAGGTGGGTTGGGACAGCAAGGCGGAGTCACTGGTCGACGGAGGAAAGGGCCCAGTTGCCGCGCCGTATAGCGAAAGGATCACGGCCCTTCTCGGCTGTCTGCCGGAAAGCGATGCTGGACCATGGTCCTAATAAAAAGAGAATCAACGTGGTCTGTTGATTCCACGGACCCTCGTTCGGTGCAACCCAGATCTGGTCCACCTTTTGTCCGCCTCGTGTCTCCCCGTGAGGCGCTGATAGCCTGGACTCCCATGCGATCTTGGAATATCCCAGATGCGTGGGTGAGGTAACACATCGACGGCAGATGATGGGCCAAAGATCCCATGCTTCGCTGATGACTGAATTCAATCCAGATGCGGCCTCGTATTTCCGGATCAATCCTAGCTGATATTGTGATGAAAAGCCGTGAGTTGGCTACACGCATTCTGTTGCTGCGTCTGTAAGTTGGATGAAAACGGTGAAAATCCTCAGAGCTGCCCCTGCACTTAGAGCGTAGCATTGGCAGGTTTTGCCCCGGCCGGCAGGAGATGGCTGGCTTGACCTTTTCAGCGTCGTATCCCGTCCTTCAGGTAAATGCCGCCTCGTCTGCTCCCTAGGTTTCAATGGAGCCGACGGGATCTTGGACCGGTAAGGTCTCATCAGAGAGTATGGTGCCCCTGAACATCATCAGATTACGCTCGTCGTCGTCCTTGATGTGCAGCGGGTTGCCGACTGCGGCTTCTCATCTTGTGAGGACTTTGAAACCCGACATCCATTGGGTTTACTTGTGACAGAAAGCCCCGTTACTTGGAACATGTACTCGGCAAGATGTGAGTGTGAGTGAAGCCCGGCAACTGCTGGACATATGCCTGGGACAGACAGTGCGAGGGCCGCGTTAAGCTGGTGTATCACTGTACATACCTATCTAGGGCGTGTAGGTAGTTAGGTACTAGTAGTAGTCCCAAACATGAGCCGGGTCTGTGGTATGTTTGCATCCGCTGGGCGGGGGAATCGTAGAGTGCAGAAATAGCAACTTCCTCGGAAACGGTGTTCCCCGTGTCTCTAGCCAGCAGCGGCGTCGAGAGTATGGAGCCGGTATGCAGGTGCCATGGAGGCACGGGGGTTGGCCAGGTTGTCGCCAAAAGTGTCACCCCCCTTATCTTGGGCGCTTGTCCGCGCAAGAAAGGAGATTCTTCAAGTACACTAGGGCGGCCTTTTCGCGGACGGACACCCGACGTCTGAGGAGATGCAAGCGCAGGGGAGCGGAGGGTTTGTGTCAGATGCAACATTCTGTCTGTCAATCAGTCCAGTGACGGGAAAAGGGGATGCTGCTTTGGTGGGGAAGGAGACGAAAAAAGTGCCTGGGCGGTCAAGAAATCACGGGCGCACCCCACCCAGCCCTGGATTCGATGGCGCCAAACCGTTCTGGGTGCTACCCCAGCTTGTGCCACAAGCTTGGTGCGGGTCTAGGGCCAGGGGTCTATTTGCGCAGCCCTATTGAGTAACGTCACCTGGGCATATGGGTTGAAGTACATGTATGGCAGATATGTAGTTCCCTGCCTGGTATAGTTTAGTAGCCATAGTGGGAGGAACTCTAGTAACTATGACATTGGTATTGAAGGCCCATTGTTCCATCTTCCGCTCCCCAATTGGCAATTGGCGGCTGGGTTGAAAGCGGCTCCCCTGCAACGTGATCGCAGCGAATGAGAAATTGTCCGATGTCCATTTTGAGAAGTGGGGTTGGTCGATGGCTGCTTTGGGATTGCGCGTCCCCGCTTCGGCCCTCAAGTGTCCGGCGTCGAAGCGGTGCTTTTCTTCCATGTTTGCCCCTGTTGCATTTTTCGATAGGTATTACGGGGAGAATCCCGAGACAAACCGTTGCATCTGCGCATGGAGACCAGCGATTAACAAGCGCCGTCGATGCCCTCGCTTGACCCAACCCTGCCGTGTTTTACTTTTACTCTGCGAGCAGGGACCGGACTGACCGGAGTGAGCCCCGAAATGTCCTTCAATTGCCGATTTTGGAAACGGACAGATCTGGCCGGAACGCCGCGGCAGCTGACAACGATGACAAAGCGCTTGTCATCGCTCGACCCGTTGTGGGGACAGTAAACAAGTGAGAGGGGGGAAGGCATGTTTTAGAAAGAGGGGCCCATTTCTAGGCATGTCGTTCGATTCAGCTGATGGCCATGTGATGATGATGAGGACAAGACCACTTGCGAAAACAACATATGGCTAAAGTGATGATTCGAATTGCAGGAGTGTTGTGGAGATGAATTCTAACACTGATCTTGCGTTTACACTAAGCCCATTTAGATGTTCCGACTCGGGAGTGCTCTGTGTAGTGTAAGTTCGTATGTACTGTATTATACAAAGTTGTCAGTATCATACGTACGTACCTGTACTGTGTACTAAAGCTGGGCTTTCCTCTGTTCTGCGTGGCAGTGAAGGGAGTGTAATACGGTATCTTATCTGGTATGATAAGGTAAGTGAGATGGATGAAGAACGTATCGATAATCACCCATCTACATATCTCAACAGCAACACTACGAGAGGAAATGGTTACACACTGGATGAAAGCGTGCCTTGAAAGTTGAAGTTGTCAGATGTATTGTGTATGTGTGGTATGACCCATTCCAGACATTCCAGCTTCCGGAGATCTTTGTCCATGTTGGTGTTTATCATAAGATGCCGTCTCAACCTGGAAACTTTGTCTTTACCAGCTGGCCAGTCCTGGTGGTTCGGGAAGCCGAACCTCAGTCGAACCAAACTGACTGTGACTGACACTCTTTTGTTCCAGACCCACCTATGTTCGTGACTGAGAAATCTCGCGCGACAGCCTGTTTGTGATTCACTAAGCCAGCATACAGCAACAGAAAAAGCAACAACTGCCCCAAAAATACATTGTTTTGGAATGGCGTACACTTGGTATGTAATTTCAAGGTTCTTTTTCCCCATACATATTTGCCCCCGCCTTTCTTCCGGATGCAATGTTGTTCGTCTGCGAGCTTCCGTTTTGATCTTCCTGCCCAGTGACCCTGTCGGAAATATTGAAGGGGATGTACCTAGCGTAAAGTATTGTACACGGTACTGTAACGTAAAAGAAAAGTAAGTACGAACAATGAACCCGCTGTTTTAATACAATTTGCAAAACAAGCATCCAGATGGATGAGAAGAAGAGAAGGCAACAAGTGCCCCAACTAGAAAAAGAAGATAAAAGGGCGCAGAGAGTTTTCCCCTCGGGACGTATTGCGGCGAATGCTAGCGTAGATGGATACCTACGTAGTGAAGCTGCATCGGGAAATCGCCCCTGGGACCGTGTGTTTGTGTGCTGTGCTGGACTCGGAATCCAAGCTACACTAGCCCACGGTGCCAGCAGTTCTTGCGCGGTGTGGTTCTGAATGCTCCTCCCCCTGGCCGGCTGCATCGAATAGGGAACGAGTCCGCATTGTCGGAAACATGGCACTGCTCCCTTTCCAGAAATGCCACCCCTGACACCCGAACTCTCAGACCCTTGCCTTCCATGCCACTTCGGCAACGGTGCTAAGTCCCGCTCGTTGAAATTGCCGTAAAGGGAAACGCTGGAAAGCGAACCCAAGCGGCGGCAACTGGGGGGTTTTCTTGGCGGTTTTTGGGACCAGGTTGCGGCGCCAGGTTGAGGAGGCTGAAACATTGCTGAAATTAAGGTTCATTGGGGCTTCGTTATCTCGCGCTCGGCTGGCTGATGTTCGCTCGACCCCCCCTCTCGTCCTCGGACGCTCGTGGTGAGTCCCGTCGCCCGTTTTCGCCAACGTACTGCTGCTGCTGTTGGGTCCGTGGTTCCGGCTGCTGCTGTGGCCCGGCTGCAAAGTGCGCCGCCGTAGCCCGCGGGGACGAGGGTGGTGCGTCTGACAAGAGCGACGAAACCGAGTGCGCCCCGGTCCTCGGCGCCGAGGGAGCTGGTGCACGCGGCGGCACAAATGGTGGGACCTGTGGCTGATGCTGCTGAGTCGAGGAGGATACCGGCTCGCCGCCGCCGCCCTCCCGTGCAGCGCTTGCCCCTGACGTGTGCATCGGCGACAGCTCCCTCCCTGGTCCCACGCTCTCCCCACGTCCCCGGCTGCCGCCGGCTCCCCGGTACGATCCCAGGTCACTGGACTGCCGTGAATGTCCTCCTCCTCCTCCTCCTCCTCCTCCTCCTCTCCTGCGCCCGGGTGGCGGGTTTGACAAGCCGGAACTGTGGGCGAAAGGCGGCGAGCGGAGCCGTTGCGCTCCCGCCGGCGGCGGCGCTGGCTGCTGGGGTCCTGGTGCCTTCCGTTTCCGTGGCGATTCTCCTAGTGCGTGAAAAACGAGCCAGTTAGCTCCCTCCCCTGCGCCAGTGCATCACGAGCGCAACTTGATTCTCTTGGACGAACCTGAGGGCGTGGCGGGCTGGTCAGTGCCGCCCCGTCCTCCTGCCTGCGTAGTTGGAGGTTGCCAATGGTGGAAATAGATGGACGGTGAGGCTTGCGGCTCCTGATGCTGCTGCTGCTGCTGCGATTGGGCCAGTGCCGGCTGGTGGGTGATGCCGGGACCGCCGCCCGGCCCGCCGGGAAGATTGGTGGTGTTCAGGTTGGGCAGCGTTGATCCGCCCGCGACAAGCGATCGTCCTGCCATCGCCCCCGGCATGCTTTGTCCTCTCGGCCTCGTCGGGGACCCGGGGTAGCCCGACATATATGCGCTTGGCGGCCCCTGTGCTGACCCTGGTGTCGATGGAACGCCGCCGGAAACGGGGTATCGCCCATATACCACTTGACTCTGCGAGTCTCGCCTCTGGTGCTCCGAGGGGACAGCACCCGGTAGCATCAGCGCGGGCGGCGGTTGTTGTTGTGGGGATTGCGACAGCATGAACTGCTGTGCCCACTCCAGAGCCGCCGGCGAGAGCGCTCCTCCACCCATGCCTGCAAAGACCACCGGCACCAGCGGTGGCGGTATCCCTCCCTGCAGAGAGGTCCTCAAGATCTCGTGCTCCATCCTCCGCTGTTCAAGCCGGTAGCTCTCCTGCCGCGTCTTCTCCTCTTCCTGGCGTCTCTTGTCTTCCTCTGCCTTGGCCACGAGCCAAGCTCTCATCGATTCCTCGTGCCATGGCGGGGCCGGCGGGAGTTGGCCCGCGCTGTGACTCTGCGAGGGAGGAGGTGGTGGCGGAACGGCCTGGCCTGCTGACAGACTGGGAGGGACTGCCTGCGAAGGTCCGGACCCTTGGGGCGGAGGAACTGGAGGCAGGGCCGCCGGCGGAGGCAATGCACGGTGAGGCGCCGACATGGGCTGATCGGACGGACTGCTGCTGCCTCCGGGAGCGCTAAGCGGCGGCCTCTGCCCCAGATCCAGATATATCGAGGGCGGCGAAGGGCGGGATGTGCTCGGTGGCGTGGGCAAGTCATGAAGGGGCCTATAGCCGTACTGCACTGCCTTGTTGACGGTAAGCATTCTCGAACATGGGAAGAGAATGGGCCACAAAGCAGAAGCATAAGAATGGGGGGGGGGGAAGCAAGGGACAGCGGATGGGAACTGCACGAGGGGGGCGGGAGCTTAAGAGGGTGGGGGAATGTTGAACGAGGAGCATATTAGGGAAGCTTAGAAGCTAGTAAGGGAAATAGATCAACTGAGGTGGAAATAACCTTTGAATGGACAGGCTGGAAGTGGCGGCCAGCCCAGTGATGGTAGCAACGGTGGTAATGGGTAGGTAGGCGGGGCGTGTGGTGATGAAACGTCGAAGTGCTATGACAGAGCCCACCCTGATTTGGCCATTGGCGTCGAATAGAAAATATAAGTACTTGCTAATACGGTAGGAAAAAAGGGCGCGGGGGCGGCTTGTGGGTGAGCGAAAAGCTAAGCTGCTAGGAGAAGCAGCTAGTATGTATGTATGTACTTGTGCAGTACCTACACTACACTACGCTCAGGCGGCAGAGGCGAGGGTGACCCTGGCTCCGTGCTTCTCTCCCCGGTCTCCAGGATCTCGCTCTCCCCGCCTGCTCGTGCGGCATTGGAAACCGCCAGATGGTCGACGTTTCCCCCAGGTACAGATACTGTGTACGATGTGGAAGAGTCAGGGACTGCGCTTAGAGCAAGGGTGACACGAGGAAGGGCAAGGAATTGTAAACCGGCCAAGTCTGATACTTTACCGTTGATTAGGCAAGCAGACCAGCGGAAACAATGTGGAGTAGAAGGCGTCGGGAGGTACCCTGAGCTATTTCATTTGGAAGCAGCGCGTATCAGAACAGATTAACGCAAGGGTCCGAGTCCATATGTAGGAGATCGAGATAGGCAAGCCGGGAGTAAACAGACCACTGCGGCGCTCAAGACCAGTCGGACGGCACAACGGCGGGACGGAGGCCTGCACGGGTGAGCGCTAACCAGCAAGACATCGAGATGCATAATCCCGGCGGTTTCTGCCAGATAATACCAGGAATCCGGGAGCGAAGCCACTACCAGGACGAATGCGGTCTTTGTATTGTATAGTACATACTGTGATGTAGCCCCCTCCCAGAGGAACGTGCTTGGCTTGCCGATGCAATGCCTGCGTGCTTTGCCCACACAACCGGAATCCCAGGAATGACAGGGCTAGCTGGCCTGCTGGCGCTTTGCTCAGATGGAGGGGTGCGGAAAGTGGGTTGAACCAGCTGTTTTTAGCACCATGTTCCGGGCCTGGTTAGCCCTCTTTGGCCTTGTTCAAGGGGGTGGCTCCAGGGCTTGAGCATGGGACCCGAAGGATGGGGTGCTTGGAGCGATGCAGGGAAACCCGCACCAGACTTGATGATGACGAAGAGAGCGAGCGGATGGGCGAATCAGATTACCCCTACGGAGGGGTGAGAATAACGATCCCAGGTTGAGCGGGTCGCTGTCGCTGTCACTGTCACTGTTAAGACTGTCGAGGAGGGCAAGCTGATACACCTCCGTCACTCACCATGTGCGTAGATGATTCTTAGGCCGTGACAGCAAGGACAACGGATAAGCTGGTCAGCCAAGAGCGAAAGCAAGCGGCATCTTCGACGCTTCCACGTTGGTTAGAAAGGCGCAACCGTTTGGGCTCAGGTGCAGGCTGCGCGTGAGCTAACCGCGCATTGTCTGCGGCAGCTTTACATAGTGTAACCCCACATCGAACGAAAGGATGGCTAATGAGAGCAACCCGTTCGAACTAGGGTTCTCTCGAGTCTACTATGTAGAGCAACGGTTGCATATGGTACGGTGGTGTGCTGTGGTCTGTACTGTGCAAGTATGTACATACAACGGCGCCCGTGTGGCACCGAAGAGTTCCTAGGTAGGTACATACAAGTACATACTATGCTGATCAGAATCGAGGCCAAAGCCGGTGTAACACCAAGGGTTATGCAGAACCCCATGCTTTCGAGCTTGGGAGCTTGTGTGTTAACTGGGTTCCAGCACTTACCGAGTACTGTTCTTGGAACTACTACTGTAAGTAAGCTAGGCTTGACGTTCTGTTCTGTCCTCAGACCGAGTTTGGGGAGGGCGCCGTTCCGCTTGCGCAGACATTACTAAGGAATCAAGAATAGAACGCTTTGACGGCAAGAGCTATGTAGTATGTTCTCGGCGAGGCGGTTGGAAATGGCTACTATATGGGGATAGTCGTGTCAATGGTCGTGATGGGAGCAAGCCACACGGGGGCAGGGCGTGGAAGCGGTTGATCTCGCGCTTCGAGCCGCATGCCCAATATGCTCATGCGTTAACCGTACACGTCGGCGAACACTCCGGGCGAGTGAACAACATCCGCTGGAATCGTGATACTGCGGCGGTGTAGTGTATGTGTGCCATTGGCCGGTTTGGATGACTAGGAATAGATGGTCATATCAAGCTCCATGAAGAGGAGCGCAACCAAGGTGCCAGACCAAGCGGGCAGTCAGAAGCCGGAGACCGCCGAGATAAACTGACGTCCAAACGGGCAGCCGTGCACTTACCAGCCTTAGGTTTCTTCCTTCCCTACATCTTCGATACTGAGGCTTGAAGTTCCGGCCAGGGCAACTTGACAGACGGCGCAAGTTCTGGGGCTACCGTTCTTGCGTACCGAGAATCATCGTAGCGGCCAGCCAGGCAACAAAGGCGCGACGTCGGTTTGGGATTACTAGCTGGGCAGTCTGTGCATGGCTGGAGGCGCCGGCACTTGGCTATAATACAGCAACTTAAGATGGTGAAAAGTCCGGGACGGAACTGAAGGTCGGGCACGGTGAACCAGAATTCGAATTCTGTGGACGGGACAGAAAACGCCGCCCGAGTTTATTTCAGGTAAGGAAGGTATGACCGTGCGCGGTGGTAAGATGGGGTGCGGAGGTATCCGTGGGGGATTGGCCAATCACAGAAAGGACTCCAGTGGCTGGACCCGCTCATGGTCGAGTGACCCGAGCGCTGAGACCGAACACAACATGCTTCAACAGTCGCCTCAGATCTGTTACTCGTGAGAATAACCCCCGAGCGGCGGTGGCCGTTCGCAAACGGGGCACGAGATGGTTCGCAATTGTTTGATGATGTTGCAATCGGGCTTCCGAACCTAACTCGACGTTCGCAAGAGTGATATAGTTGCCAAGCAGCTGTGACGGTTAGATGTATCCCTCTAACTAACCCGTTGCGGTCGAGACAACCCGTGACTCCGAAGAGCTCAACGTAGGAGGTTGCCCTAACGGAGAGGAACGCTCTTTCAGACGCCGAGCTTTTCTTCCCTTGCAGCATCTGCCCGATGGTGATCGGAGAATTCCTTGACCTTCCAAGGTCCCAGTTCTGTCCCCCATTTCCATACCCAATGTTGCTCAGTTCCTTCTCGCCTAGCTGCCGCGGTGTCACCAGTACACACAATCTGCGATGAACCTTAGTTCGCTTACTCTGGTATGTAGACTACCAAATACCTACTAACTTAGCTCCGCAAACCAAACACCCATACTTCTCGGCTGATGTAGCGCATCGCCGCCGGTGGTCTTCTTCTTACGGAGACCCAAAGCCTCTCGGTTGCAGGGACGAAACGAGATCTACGTGGCACGTCAGCTATGTGATGGGATTTTATGATCTTCTTCGCGCAGTAGTGTTTCTTGGGTAGTGCTGAGCGCTAACTGGTGGTTTCAGGTTTGCTGAGAGAAAAGTCCTTCCGAGGCATGCTTGCGGCACACGACGGACCCGAGGCCCTGCAAACCTCAGCTGCAGGCCTGCAGCTTAAGCAGCGCTATCGACACTGCTGCAGCTTAGCGGATGGCCACCTTATTCACAAGCCGTTGAAACTGCCCGTTCGTTTCGTTCTGACAAACTCCCCGCGCGTGGCAGCTCGCTACCCGGAATATGGATCGAGGATGTCAGCGGTTCGAGAGCGTGATTGATGAGCGTCGGCGGGTTTCATCTAGCTCCTCTCCACGGAGTCTACATGCACGCCGGCGCATACTGAAGCATAGGGGGTGACGCCATTTCTCACGTCTGCCTATTGCGCCGAGGGCAAGTGCATCACCATGACTACAGTCCAGTCAGTGATGGCGACCTTGAGCCACTTCGAGCAGCGCCGACCGCTATGGGCTTGGAACACTGAGCTGTCCCGGACGAATGACACTCCATGTCCTCATTTGAACGAGAAGGCATCTGTGTCAAGGGCAGCGTGTTTCGAAGGATACTTGTCAACAGCGAGTGTTTCGGAAGATCACGAAACAATCCTAATTACCTGATTCCATGAGAGAGAAGAGCGAGAAACATGGAGCATCCCAGACTCTCCTGTCTCGGGCATCATCTTAGCCATCATTGTCACACCTCGCCCGATAAATCGAGACCAATGACCGTGACCGCTCCTCTACATCGAGTCAACAAAAGTCACACATGGTGATCTGTCGTCCAGCGATTCCTACCATTGACGTGCCGTTGGGGCGGTATTTGCCGCTCACTATTCAGTCAACTTATTATGGTATGTACTTACAGTGACCGGTTTCAGTTATGTACGTGCATGGCTCTTCCGCGATGGTACGCTCAAGCTGTCGGCCTGCGAAACTTTATCCTGCGATATCATCCTTGCGGGCTGTGCAAGCATCTTGCCATACAGGAGTTCGCTGCCCCCGTCCTGCCGGTCCCGTACGCCTAATGCACGAGTTTCGACAGAGGCTGCTCGAATAGACCAAATGGTTCATCCAAGCATTGAGTTTGCGGAAACGTTCTTTGCACATGTGGCAGCCAAGCAGCGTCGCTTACACTAGACCTGGGTTTCTTGCGGAAAACGACAATCTGAAACGAGACTGCTTCTCTGCTCAGTAATTTCTGCGATCCGACAAGAATGAAGCTTGGCCGAGCCGAGGTCACACACATTAATAAGGCTGCGCATGAGCTCTTATCGGCCCCGGGCTTGGCGATATGGGAGCGGAAGTTCACCAAAGGGACAGAGTCCCGTACGGGCCGACTACACTCGAGCTTGCTTCCGCTGTCCCATATCCTCCGCACCGGGATATGGGCTCCGGACCCGAGCGGATACGCGTTTATGAATGTCGCAGGGAGCGGGTAAATACGCGCTTTTCCCCGCGTGTATAGCTCTTTATCCTGATGATGCTGGCCCTTGTCAAGCGACACCCTGGAGTCTGTGTTATGACGAAGCTGCGGGCAACATGATGCAGAACGGCGTTCTGGACGCGCCATGGTACGACGGGCCTCCGTCATGGCTCTCTCTACAGGGGGTGCCGAACACTTTGTTTATCTCCTGCAAGCCCTTCTCACGCGCCCATAAGACTCGCCATCCTGTTTCCACGCTCGTTTTCGTTTCTATTGGACCAAGTCGTTCCCGATGCTGACGCGTTCAAGAGTGTCCGGAATGTCTCCCTGGGCGCCAGAAGAGGGGAGAAGGACTTGATGGGGAAGATTGCGAACCCCGTGTTGGACAGGCGGCACCTTGAACCGGAAGAGGCACCCGAGAAGCGGTCGGTGAGGCTCACGGAAGGGAGAGCGACACTACAGCACGCAACGGCCCAGGTCGGTGCCACGCACAGAATTGCGCGCCTGCACCTCCAGCGCGGTCCAGGCAGCTTTGGCCTGCGCCTGGCGAAGCAGTGGCCGTCCGCGGGAGCCGGCATCGCAATACGGGAGAGAGCCATCAGTTTCCCGCTGAGCTCGGCAATGACAATTGGCCCCGGAAGTCTGCACCTCGCCAGCACCCTGCCGCATCTGCCGGGCTTCGAGAATGATCAAGAAGAGGGAAACCACAGGCTCACCGGACTTCCGTCGCGCCACACAAAAAGCGAGGGATTGGCTTTTTCCATGCTAAAATCTCGAAATGGCGAGCGTCACTGGCTGGATCCAGAGGCCGAGAACTGCAAGTGCCGTTCGGGAAGACGCGCCAAGTGGTCCGTCCTTTCTGGCTATCGCGGCAAACCCATCGATATCGTCAGCCTTTTGTGGTTTGCTTCTCTCCCCCCCCCCCCCCCCCCCCCCCCCCAATAAGGGGATGCGGCAGGGGGGATGCAAAAGAGCCGGTTTTGAAACCCGTGATGATCAGGCTGGTATCTGGACAGCAATCTGCCCTACCCTTTGCTATGGTGGTGTGGTACTTTTAAATCAAAGTCAGATTTGGTGATACCCTTCTGGCCCTTGTTTACAGTCAGGTGGCGTTTTCTGGTGCTCGCAGGAGGTAGGGGGTTTCGTCAAAGAACTGAATGCGACGTCAGGATGCAGGATTGAGCCAGAAGCTCACGACACACCCCTCCTTCCCCATGAAGTCGCCAAATATCCCGATTTCCAGGTTACACACGGTGCATCACCTGGTCAGCAGCGCCCCCAAGCCTCTCAGGGGGCCACACAGCAGGCATTTGTTCCCCCGGCCGATACCGCAGATCTGGGAAGTCTGGAACCGATTTTGATGGCCAGTCAGTCACCTGAGCCAAGCCGAGGCCGAAGCAAGCAAGTGAACAGCCGCCCAGAAGCAAGCCGCATGCCAAGACAACGACGTTCGTCCAAGGCTGAGGTGACGACGAACGTTGGCGCCCTGAATTTGCGGCTGCCGGCCGGCCGGCCGATATGCCACAGTATGCGGGGCATTGTTCTCAGTTGTCCTGGAAGTCTCGTACGCATGCTGCAGCGGCGGTACGCTCGCTCTGTCTGAGACCTACCGGATGGGAGCAATACGGCGTGCTGCAGCAACCATGCAAAGGCAGGCGCCGACAGCAGGGGGCGCCCGAATATCCGTGGCCGGTGCCGGTGTATTCTCAGCATGTGTCTCCCATCCCAGGTTCGTATACGGCCCTGCTTACGCGATATCCCGCTCCTTCGGGATGGCACAGGCCGGGAACGCCACTTCTTGGCGGGCGACTTTTTGTTGTTCGCCGCGTTGCGCGTGGCTGGGGCGATGCCCGTCACTCCCGAGACATTCGGGGCAAGCAATGGGCGAAAGTTTGCTACGTACTAGTTATATATGTTGCACAGAACCCAGACGGCATATTCCGATCGGGATACAGACTTCCGACTGCTGCTCCAGACCGCCGATTTGTTGCGTGGTAGCGGAGCCAAGACATTGAGCAGGGTGTGCAACTTCTCTCTCTCTTTACCTCTGCTGACCTACCGGCACGGGCTGGCAGAGACCGGATCATGGACAGAGACTCGAGCGGTGCTGGTGGTAACCCGTGGGTGTCTGACCGACCCGGTCGTAGAAGAGATCGGGGGTTCGCTGTCCCGCTCTCCGAGACTGTTCCAGCGTTCTAGCTACACGAGGAAGTGGCATACTAGTACTTATTACTTTCGTAGTAGATCTGGCATGGGAACATTGGCCTTGACCACAGATAGTGAAATGGTCAGAGGGGCATGGCATTGCAAGTCTCCAGCATACGACCTGGCCCTCTCCCCCTCTTCTATATTCATGTTCATTCATTCCGATCCCTCTCGGTACACTCAGTGGCTACCAGTAGCTAGTCTCAGGATGTCTCGCCGGAAGAATGCCGCATCCCTTATAATGAATGACACCGAGAAAGGGTGTGTAATGCCGCAGACAGGATACTACTGTAGCTGCATGAACATGGACATTTTTTTTTGGCGGGACAGCTATTAAGACGCAGGCGGGCAACTGTCTCATCTGATCTGCTTACCGGCGCCTCATTCCCAAGCGAGACGTTGCGGATGAAACAGAGCTGCTAAGTAAGGTACCTACGTACCTCATCATGACTTACTAGACTAGTAATCCAGATGCTTGATGCGGTCCAAGTAGTCTCTCGCCTCCGGAGAATTTCACCGATTGGCACTTGTCCAACACAGAACAGGCGGCACTCCATCCTAGCTCGGAGACTACATCTCTCACATCATCATCATCAGTGCTCACTGAGACTCGTGTTCGGCATCGGTAACTGGTATACTATACTACCATATCCATTGGAATGTGTGTGTGTGTGTACGAAGCCAGCAGGTCATCCACCTAGATCCCCAGACCCTATATACAAACCCACCACGGGACGCAATGCTCCGTTCTGCTCCTCCATCGACGTTCAACGCAAAAAGCTACCAGCTTTCTCAGCGCCAGCTCTCGTACTGTTTCGTCTCGCTGGCCCTTCCAGGTTGTCCCAAGTTTCGAATCAGTAGTTTCCTCATCCCCTCTATCCCATGCTGGCAATGCAGGACAAAAGAAGGGAAAAAAAAAAAAAAAAAAAGAAAAGAAAGAAAAAAAGAGAAAGAAAGAAAAAAAAGTAGAAGGAAAAAAATTGGAAGAAAGCGAGGAGCAAGCCCTAGCACCGTGGTGACCGCGCATCTGTAGTACCATGACATGACCGTCATAACAATTCGTGACCAAGGACAAAGGGAACCGTCCGAGAAACCATGAACCAAGACCAGCCCCACAATCAGGTTTCTTCCATTCTCTTGTTTCGTTTGTTTTCTTTTTCCACAGGTCCGTCCCAGTTCCCAAGTCCAGAGTTCACGTTTGATGTCCATGTCCCATGTCCATGCGTGATTATCCGAGCCGCGACCCACGATGAAAGAAGCAAAAGGACCCGGAAAAGAAAAAGGAAAGGGGGTATAACCCAAGGAGAAGAAAGGAATAACACGCCCATGCATAGAAAGGTATCTACACTTGAACAGATGAGGCGGGACATGGGTAGAAAGTGAAGAAGAAGAAAAAAAGACCGAGTAAAGGGAGGAAAAATCCAAAGGGAGGTCATTGCCGTTCCCCTGCTGTTCAAATGCCCATATGCTCATCCACCGTTGGTATCCACCAAGCTATCCCTGCCCGAGGGATATGATACACACATCTTGGACCCTGACGCGCTGGCAATTGTTTACCCCTGCCATAACGAAGACAGCACAGCGGGCTTATGCTCGTTGATGCTGACGCCTACACCGAGTTGTGAGCGTCGTTTTGCGCTGCATCTTGCGACTTCTCCTGGCCCTGCATCTGCTCCCCGCGATGGCCGTGCCCGTTGGCGATAGGCTGTTGTTGGAGCACCCCGTTAGTCGCAGCAGCAGCTGGCACGGGACTCCCACCGTGCAACAGGTAGACATCCAATTTCTTCTTGAGCACGTCCGACCGGACGGGTTTCGCCAGGTAGTCGTCCATGCCGGCGGCAAGGCACTTCTCCCTGTCGCCCTGTATCGCCGATGCGGTCATGGCGATGACCAAGATCTTCCTGACCGACTCGAGCTCGTCGTTGCGCAGCAGCTTGGTCGCCTCGTACCCGTCGAGCACCGGCATCTGCACGTCCATGAGGATGATGTGATACGGCCTGCCCTGCCTCGCCTTCTCGCGCAGGCCTTCGATGGCCTTGAGCCCGTTGTCGTAGGTATCCACGTTGGGGTAGCCTAAGCGCTGCAGGTACTGCAGGGCGATGCGGGCGTTGATGACGTTGTCTTCGGCGATGCAAATGCGGATCTGGTCTTTGGGGATGCGGGAGAGGTCGACTGCCGGCGAGGGCGGAGTGCCCGGCACGGCACCACCGAGAGTGGCCGATCTCCTAGCAGGGTACGCCTTGGCGGGCTCGGGAAGCGCGCCGCCCCGGACGAGCTGCTCGTCGCCGGCGGTTACTTCGGGTCTCGCCTTGTCGAAGGTGACCGTGAACCAGGCCGTGGTGCCGACATGCTCCTGGCTTTCCAGGTGGATCTTGCCCTTCATCATCGTCTCGATCAGGGACTTGCAGATGCTCAGGCCCAGGCCGCTGCCGCCGTACTTCCGCGCCGTGCTGGGGTCCGCCTGGCTGAACGGCTGGAAGAGATTCTCGAGCTGCTGCGGCGAGATGCCGATGCCCGTGTCCTTGACCCAGAACGTCAGCGTCGCATTGTCTTCGGTCTCGGAGTCGACGCGGGCGCCGATGGTGATGGACCCGTCCTCTGTGAACTTGAGGCTGTTCCCGATCAGATTGCCGAGGACCTGGTGCAGGCGGATGGGATCCCCGTAGATGAGCATGGGAGGCAGGTCGATGTTCTGGATGATCTTGACGTTCTTCCTGGACGTTTTCTCCTTGTTGCTGTACGAAACCGCCCGGACGACCTCGCGCACCATCTCCTCGGGGTTGAAGGCAATGATGTAGAGCTTCATCTTGTCCGCCTCCATCCGGGAGAAGTCCAGGATGTCGTTGATGACCGTCAAGAGCAAGTCCGCCGAGACGCGGATGGAGTCGGCCATCTCCAGCTGCTCCTTGTTGAGGTTGCTGTCCCGGAGAAGCTCCGAGTTGCCGATCACGCCGTTCAGGGGCGTGCGCAGCTCGTGCGAGACGTTGGCGAGGAAGATGGACTTGGCCTTCGTCGCTTCCTCGGCAAGCTTGACGTTGCGGATGGCCTCGGCCTCGGCCGCCTTGGCCTTCTTCTCGGCCTCGACCGCCTTCGCCAGGGCGCGTTTCTGCATCTCGACCATGGAGATGTTCTCGGCCGAGACCTTTTCGACGGCCTTCATGGCGAGCGCATTGGAGTAGCTGATGCCGATCTGGTTGACGAGAAGCTGCAGGACGCTGACATTGCGGTCCGTGAACGAGCCGGGCGCGCCTTCGAGGTACAGCACGCCCAGCAGCGGCTTCGGCCCGTGGCAGATGGGCATGGCAATGACGGCCTTGCTGCCGGCGTTCTTGCGCAGCCACTGGTCGCCCACGTTGCCGAACCGCTCGTCGCTGACGAGGTCCTGGAGGAAGACGACCTCGCGGAAGCGGGTGCAGTAGAGCACGACGTTTTCCGCCACCAGATCGGTCACGCTGAGCGGCACGCCCGGAATGTGCGCCTGTGCGCCCTTCTCCGGATCCCCGCTCGCCGCGACGCACCAGTCGGAGCTGCCCTCGTCCTGCACGACGATGGCGGCAAGCGTCGCGGACCCCGTGCACGTCTGGAGGATCACGTCGCACATTGTCTTCAGAAGCTCGTCCACCCGCAGCACCGAGGAGATGACCTGGGACGACACCAGGATTGCGTGCAAGTCGATCATATCGAGCGCGGGCAACCCGGCCCCGGCCTCGGGCTGCGTCGAGCCTCGCCAGGCGGTCATGCGCTCGCCCTTGAGGGTGGCCATGGCCGCCTGCACGGCTTGCTGCGAGTCCTCGCCCCCCTCGCTCTCGCCGACGGGTCGGTACTGAACGGACGTTGCATCGCCAGAGAAGTCCGTCTGCACCCCTTGGTCGACGATGCGGGGATTCCGCATAATCCGCTGCATCAGAATGCTGTGGTCGGTCTCGATGCGGTCGGCAACACCCGTGGCGCCAAATTGGCGATAGAGTGCGACTGCATCGCGGAGTGCCGCGCGAGCCGACCGTCTCGCGGCGTTGCGGATGAAGATGTTAGCCATCAGGTAGTTCCCCAGCGCCTCCTCAAAGGTGAAGCTGTGCTCCGAGGCGTGGTCCAGTGCCTCCTCGTACAGCCGGATGGCCGTGCCGTGGTTGCCGAGCATTTCCGAGACGGAAGCATCGAGCAGCTTCGTCCATGCCAGGTAGTTGACATTGTCCACTGTCTGCCAATCCTTGATCTTGGTGTTGAGCTCCTCGATCTCGCGGACCGTCCCGTCGACAAGACTCCTGAGCGCTTCCTCCCCTGGCGACCGGAAGTCCTGTTGCTGCCGCATGACGGAGCCGGCCAGGGCCAAGCCGTAGAAGAGCATCGCCAACCTTGTATTGCGAGCCGACCACAGGAGATGTCCGCGTTCCTGACACGCCTTGCCAATCTCGATAGCGCGCTCATAGTGTCCGTAGAGGAACAGGGGAACGATTTCCATCGTCTCGTAGAGCAGCAACGAGCGACCGCCGTTGTTGGTGTGTGCCGTGAGCCAGTTCTTGTACGTGACGGCGTCATGGTGCTCGTCGCTCATGACCTCGAGCGGGTTCGCGGCCCGCGTCTTGCCCTGCAGAGCGCGGCAGACCTGCCGGACGGCGATGAGTATCGTGCCGCCTCGCGTGTCGAGGTGCCAGTTGGGGATCTCTTCGCAGCCATACTGGCAGAAGCCCTCCAGATCGGCGCAGTTCTCGCTCGCAAAGAACTTCAACTGCGCCGTTAGGCCGAAGCAGAGAATCGTCGATATCCTGTCTACCGTGGCCGCGGCGTAGTCGACCATCCCCTCGTACTGGCTGACAGACAGGCAAATCGGGTCCCGTATGTGGCCGACAAAGTTGGCATACGTGATGTATCCCCGCGACATGGAGAACGGGTCGCGGAACTTCTCGAGAAGCTCGAGGGACATGCACGACAAGTCGACTGCGAGCCTGGCGTCGTTGAAGCGGGATAGCGCAATGATGGACATGTACAGGAAGGCCAATCCCGATTGAGGATACGGGCCTCGGCTGAAGTGCGTCTCCATCATCAGCAGCGACAGCTGGTAGAACATGATGCAATCGCTCCACCACCCAGCGCTCGCCGTCTCGGCCATCACCGCGCCGACAGACGCCAGCAACGCGTCCCGCGAGCACGGCGGGCTTAATACATGGTCGCGATGCGTCGTCCGGATCTTCTTGCACAGCGACTCAAACCGTTCATCGCACTTCTCCATCGTAGGGCACTCGTCCAGTTCGATGCCGAGAGCCCGGAGGCACAGCTTCAGCGCGCCCAGGGCCTGCTCCGAGTCGCCGTCCTGCGCGAATATCCGAGACTGGAGCACCCACGCGGGCGCCTTGTCGAGTGCATTTCTGGCGTGGTCGAAGATCGTTTGGAGCAGTACGTTGGCGGCGCTCTGGTGGCCCATGAACAAGTAGCACTCGGCTGCTTGCAGGTACAGTTGGAGCGTCTCGTCGTACGACACGTCCTCGGCGTTCTCATCCCACGGGTTCGGCTGCAGCAGGGCCACGGCGTTGCTGTAGTACTTGGCCGCGGTGGGGCGTGCACCGCTTTCCGTGGCCTCGTGAGCGCGCTCAAAGAGCAGCTTGCGGAAGGGCCGCCGATGCGGAACCCGCTTCTTGATGATGTCGACGGACTCGCAGACGTGCGAAGCGGCCGTATCCCGGAAGGAGGCATCGTGCGAGTAGTGCTCGAGGAGGACTTGCGCGATGACAAAGTGCATCATCCGGGCGTTGCACTCCTTGAGCGCCGCGGCTGCTTGGATATAGCGGTCATGAGCGAAGCGGAAGTGGTCGTCTCGGTCGCACGGGATGATGATGAATGCCTGGATGGCAGCCTCGAGCCCGGCGACAACATCCTGCTGCGAGGATGCAGTCGCCACCGCCTCCTCCGGGTTCCCTGAACCGTCGTCGGCGTGCTCCTGCCCGTCCATCAACTTACAGATCAGATCGAAGGAAAAGGTCTGCCCCAGCAGGGCGGCCCAGGCCAGAATCGACCTGGAGGCTGCCGGCAGCTCACTCAAGCGGCGGGTGATGAAGGCCGTGTCAAGGACGTCGTAATCCTCCTCTCCCCGGAACTGATCAAACAGCTTGTCGAGATCGTACGTCCAGTGGCCGGCGATGTAGTCGTACCAGATGCACTTCTTCCGGTGCCCTGCGCTAAGCATTTCGCGCATGTAGAACGGATTTCCTGCCGTCTTGGACTGGATCACCAAGGCCAGCGGGAGGACGCGTTCCTTGGGCAACGAGAGCGTCGTGGAGACATAGTGGACGATGTCCTCTTCACTTAGGGGCGCCAGCGTGATTTTGGTAGTGGTTGGCACGCTGTGACGGGGGGACGAGTCTTCGGACTTCGGCGGGCTCAATAGCTTCTGCACTGTCTCAGCCGCCATCTCCTCCGGACGGTACGTGATGATGAGCAGCAGCTTGAGCCGGGCGCTGATCATCTGGGCGAGGAGCTCCAGCGACTCGTCATCGGCATAATGCAGATCGTCCAGGCAGAAGCAGATGAACTTCTGCTGAGTGAACATCCTCAGCACGTCGATGAACGTGTTCATCAGCCTGTTGGTCTTCGTGGCGGCGCCAGCGCGGAGGAAGTCTCGGGAGCTCTGCACGGACGAGCCTGACGACGCTCGTAGGGCAGAAGGCGTGGCGAACTCGGGAGAGGAGCCCCGTCTCTTCAGGCTCGGCTTAGCGGCCTGGGAGTTGGACGAGGCCCGTGCAACCGTGGGCTCGGTAGGCTGGAGCAGGAACTCGGGGAGGCCAAGCACCTTGTGCAACATGGGCCAGACCGGCCGGACGTATTGCTTCAGGGCCTGGTGGAAGGGCGTCTCCGTGTTCCTGTCACCCTGCACCTGGCGGAAGAGAGAGGACAACAGCTTGAGAAGCGGCCCGAACGGCGTCCGTCTGGCCCGGTCAAACTTGGCGGTTGCACAGTAGCCTCTCCGGCGCGCATCCGGGAGGACGGACTGTACAAGACAGCTCTTGCCGAGTCCACCGGCGCCTTCGATCAAGACGATCTCGCAGTGGCCCTGTCTCCTGAACTTGGCCGAGCCGAGCTGTCGCGAGAGGCTCCCGGATGAAGAATCCGTGCCAACGGTGGCCCCATGTCGCGAAGGCTCCGAACTTTGGCCGTCGACGGCATAGCTCCCTTCGAGAAGTACGTTCTTGTCCCATGCACGGGGAGGCCGGAGAGCGGCCGAGGCCGAGCCGCCTGACGAGGCGGTCGAGACAGAAGCCGGTGCTGAGCCGGCTCCCGGACGGGACTGGATCGTTGTTTGTGCGGGTGTGTCATGTTGGCGGGCCCCCCTTCCGGCAGAGCTTCCGCAATCGCTGGACGCGTCGCCTCCAGTCTCGTGGACTTCAGGGCTGCCCAGGCTGGACCCCTCAGACGCATTGTAGGAGCTCCCGTGCTGGGTCACACAATGGCTCTTGACGGCCTTTTCGATGATTTTTACCAGCTGAGCTTGCTCACGCTCCCGGCCTATCATGGCTGTCGGCAACCGAAAGGAAGACGAAACATCTCTGGTAGCTATTGGCCAGTCTCGTAGGGCGGCGGAATTGCCGTCGCCAAGCATCTTCTGCACCGAAACCAGGTCGTAGCGGAGACCACCAGCCGAGTAGTATCTTTCAGACACATTCTTTGCTGTGCATTTCTGGATGATCCGCCCGATGACGTCGGGAACGTCCATACGGATTGCCGTGACGTTGGGTATCCTCCGGCCCAGCACAGCCTGGACGATGTCCAGCGGCGTCTCTCCCTGGAAGACAGGCTGCTGGGTCAGGAGGGTCCAGAACAAAACACCGAGCGAGTAGATATCGGTGCGGTTGTCTGGCTCAGCGGGCATGCGCCCCGTCTGCTCCGGACTGATGTACTGCAACTTGTGCTTAGCACCCAGTGCCTTTGACAGGGCCGACCACCCGGTGCTCGTCAGGCCGTGTTCGAAGGATCTCAGCCCGGCGCCGAACGACACCAGCTTGACCTGGTTGGTCTCGATGTTGTAGTGGAAGGCGTCGCCCCGGATTTCGCCGTGGACCATGCCGTGCCCATGGTGGACCATCTCCAGGCACTGTGCTGCACCAATGGCGAAGTCCAAGAAACTCTGCAGGCTGATCGGCGCCTCGAGCGGAGGCGGCTCCTTCCGGCGGGCTTCCCATCGGTCGTTCCGCTTCTTGGCATAGTAGAATGCAGGCCCAAAGTCCAACACCTTGGACAGATGATTCGGACCGACATCCTCATAGATGGCGACGATGATGGGTCCCCGGTCGCCGGGTTGCGGCGGCAGGCGCATGATGTCTAGCGGTTTGACGATCCGGTCTCCCTTTGGGTCGACGCTCGCGACCAGGCTCTTGGAGATGTGGAACGCCCTCTCCTCGCGGAGGACGTGGTACGACACCCTGGCGACCACGCGCTGCTCGACGACTGGCGAATCTGTACCCGTGCTGGAGGACGTCGGCGGGACCGAGGCGACCGAGTGGTCCGTGACGGATTCGCTGTCCGAGGAGACATGCGAGCGGGGATCTGCGGAAGACGCTCGGCTGGAGGTGGACGGGCCGGGCTGGGAAGCAGCGGGGGGGCTCGCCACGTGGTGGGGTGTCGGGCCAGCGATGGCATTTGCGCTGGGGGCCGGGGTCGAGTAGGGTGAGACGAACCTCGTCCCGAAGACGTGCCAGTTGTCGTATGTCGAGTGGAACGGGGCGCGCGACTCGTCCCAGGTGTATCCGGCTAGGTGATGCAGGCGTTCGATGAGGCGGGCCGCGGACTCGAGCAACCGGTCGTCGAGCGGCCGGGCGGCGGAGTCCATCGTCGCGAGGGACGCGGGATACCTGAGGGATCCGGGAGGAAGCTCAAGTATCGAAGGATGACCACGCAGATGTCGAGGCTGGATCTGTCATGATCTACTACTGGCGGTAAATGTGACCATTGCCCACGCGCCTTGCGAGGGTAAAACGGGGTTTCGGCAAGCGGGGCCCTTTGCCGGTGACAGCAACAAAAGAGCGGGTCCCCTGGGCCGGCTCTGTAAGGAAAGTTATAAAACGGTGAAGGCCTCGCGGATTCCGTATTCGTGGATGGCCGGCTTGCCTGCAAGGAGCGCTTGACGTCGGATCGCAGTGCTTTTGCTGCGCGTTGATTGAGTGCGGCTAGTTGCGATCGGTTGGTTGGGTGGTGGTGTGTCTCGTGGATTGCACCAGGGTACCTGCGTCTATGGCGGCGTGAGGGCGGGTGGCCGACTGGCCTGTCTCTAGAGTGTCGGGTAGCCGGTTAACTCGACGGAAGTGTCCAAATCGCCGTCCGCACTGGGCACTATCACAGGGTGGACGGATGCGGCTTCGTGGCGACAGGTGAGTTGAAGGTTGAGGGCGAGTTGAAGTGAAGGAACTTCCCGCAATGGGCAATGGTGAGCAAGGGTAAGGTGTCTACGAGCGGCCGCAGCACCTGGCGGCAATCGATGACAGCAGCGAACTTGGAAGCGCAAGCTGTGGCACGCGCAGCAGAAGGGCAGGGCAGCGCGGGGTGGGTCCAGGTCGACGGGAGTCCTGATGCGGATTCGTCCAAAGTCCGGACAGTCTCCCCCGGACTCGGTTGCTCTGCTCAAGGGGCAGAACTGGGTATGGAAGACTGGAGGTAGAACTAGAAGAAATAACGGCAAACGTCAGGTACGAGATAGTCTATTGAAGCGTGTCATGCCATGCCCGTCAACAGATTCTGCATGGAATAACTATTGACTTCGCTACCGGTGGGGACCTGTGCAAGAAAGCCCTCAGCCTTGGCGGCCGGTGTGGCGGATGGTTCGTGCACCGCGGAAGGCAATTTGGCGATCATCTTGAAGTGGATTCCGCTTCCTCTTCCAAGTTTCCCATTCTTCCCACAACGACCCCGCTGCAGGCTGGGGCATTTCAGGTTGCTTTGCTACAGCCATCCATTGTCCCCCGTTCAATAACTACACAGCCCTACTTCGTACTCCTATACTAATATCGATGGCTGCTTCGCTGGTTTATTTACAACAGCATGATTTTTTCAAGTGCAGTGAGACGGCAGTGCACAATAGTTACACAGTGGGCGGTAGAGGCAACGCCATTGACGTCACCTTACTGACACGCCAGCAGCGGCCAATTTCCTTGCAAAAGGTCCTGTCTTATCCTAAGTCGGCATTACCCTTCAAAATGTCTTGTATTATGTTCTATTACCGACATCAGCATCTATGGCGAATCGCTGGCACAAGATCCTTCTAAGATGCCTCTGCAAGGCCAGCCTGATCATTCGAGTGCTCCAGCGAAATAGCTGACGAAGGCAGTCCGATAAACCGTCTGAGACGTCCCGGAGCTCTTGTCTTTTTGCATCTTTTAAATGGGTGCTAAGAGATAGGTGGGGAGCAAGAATAGTGATAAGCGCGGTGGGTTCCCGCTTGCTATGCGCGCAAAATCGTGGGAATGGGACGTCCCATCTTTTGGGCTCCCAGATGCAAGAAGGCATCGGAGGATTACAGTAGTAGTTAGGTTGGGCGACGAATCCCCCGTCAACTTAAGCCTTCGGCGCGGGCCGGGTGGGGATGCCGTTGCCAGAAGAAGTTCCGGCATTGTAGAAACTCTGGGCCAGCCGACGCTCGGTGTTCTGGCGCGTGTTGACAAAGTCGGGGTAGTTGAGCGTCAGCTCGACGGCCCCATTGACAATGTTGTCGACCGCCTCGACACCAAGCATGAACGAGTGGTCCTGGTTGCCGACCTCGTACCTCCAGCTGCCGAAGCGGCCACGGGACCAGATGTCCATGTCTTGAAGCTTGGGAAGGAGCTCCTTGAGGACGCCCTCTCTCTCGAGCGACGGCGTGGGGTAGCCGTGGTCGAACTTGCGGTGGTAGGTCGAGACGATTTCGTCCTCTGGCTTGATCATATCGGTGTTGATAAGCCCCTGGATGCATTCCTTGAGCAGGTTCGCCTCGTCAACCGGCTTCATGCTCGACTGCGAGACCTCGAGCATGATCGACCAGTAAGGGCCCTCTTTAGCTTCACTGCTCTTGGCTTTGCTACCGTCCGCATGGTACAGAGTAGGCAGCTTGACGTCAGCCTGCGGTTGGTTGTACGGCGAGTAGTTGGAGAAGATGGTGGCGCGATAGAAGGGGCAATTGTCCTCGGGGAAGTAAAGCTGGCGGGGGTGTTAGCATGCATGCATCGCAACGGATCTTTGTGCGTCCTTACCCAGCACTTGTCTCCGATGCGCTCGGGCCGAGCACCACGGATACCGACACCAATTACGTGAGTCGACGAGTAGTAGAGGCCCTTGGACAGCTTGACCAACTCCTGGTTGCCCATCTTCTCGACAAGGTGGTCCACAGCCATCGTGTTGATAAGCTTGCCGTAGCCGATGGTGGTACCATCTTTCAGCGTGACAATCTTCTTCTCGGCGTCGACCTTGGTGACCTCGCCCTTCTTGCCGTACCGTTTCTTCTCCTCCGGAAGAGTGTTCGACACAGCGATCCAGATACCGCCAGTTCCATCCCTCGCAGGGAATCGGAAGGTGGCGTTAGGGCCCCAGTTGCCAGCCACCTTGTTGAGGATGACATTCCTGGTAACCGCCTTGACATCAGGGGCCGCAACACGCTCGCCGAGCCATTGGCATTGCATCTATTGTTGCCGTGAGCGTGTGAATATCAATAGACTCGGATCCCATATCCGTACCTTCGTAGTCGGCACTGCCCACACCTTGTAGTTGTACGGGCGCATGAAGATATCGGCCACACCTTGGCCGCATGTCCGCAAGATCCACTCATCGAAGTTCTGAGGCTTGGTCGTCGCGACACGGGCAGCCATGGCAGCGTCAATGAGCCCGTCGATACACTTCACCTGGTCCTCCTTCGGAAGCATCGAGATGTTGTTCTGGAATGGGTAAGGAACCCACAAGCCCTTGTACCGGACATACGAGATGCGCTGGTGGTTGTACCAGTCGTCCTCCTTGGGCAGCGCCTCGTCGAGGCAGTCATCGAAGTACTTGTAGTGAGAGAAGATGACATGGCCGCCGACATCGTAGAGCTGCGGCCACAAATGTTAGTTATGAACCTGGCCAGGCCTTTGGCAGGAACTCACGAAGCCCTCAGGAGTGACATCGGTAGAAGCAAGCCCACCAGCCTTCTCATTGGCATCCAAGATCAGCCAGGAAGGCCCGTTCTGGCACCGAAAAAGTCAGCGAAAATGTCGTGAGCAACACAGACAGAGGGCGGTGAGCTCACGATATGGTTGAGCCGCTTGGCCGCACCCAGGCCAGTCGGGCCGGCGCCGATGACGAGGATGTCAACATTGCTTCAAGAAGTAGGTTAGTAAACCCGAATTCGAGCTTCATCGACGCGCCATGATTGCTGCGGGAGCCTACATATCCGCCATTGTGAGCGAGCGAAGGTCTGGCGCACTGCGGGGTACTTTGGCAGAACTGGAAGTCGCGGTCAAGGGACAGCGACTGTTTTGCTGTTTGCGGGGATGCGGGACCCGACCAAACGAGGGACAACGTGTGCAGAGAACGTTGTGAGCGGGAAGGGCAGATTGAAGGCACGCGCAAACAGACGTGTTTCTTCTGGTGGTTATTAATGAGGGTGCGGGCACACTTCCGAGATAATTGTTGGACCCTGGTGTTGATTTTGGGCACCGTTGCTGGGTACCTGGCCAGACCGCTTATCAGACCCCAGGGGGAAAAGGGGGGTTTGATGAGGGGCTAAAATTATTTCCAATGGATCTCAGAATTTGGTTGGTGTGGTGGGGCAAGAAATTGGGACGAATGCAGATATTCAACACCCCTGCTCATCTCTGCATCCTTCATTCTGCGATGTCATCCCAAGTTCCATGCGGGATTGGACTGCCTCACCTCGCTCGCCGCACGGAATACATCCGTTTGTTTGTGTGCATGCAATGTGTGTGTGCCAGACACTACACTTGTACCAGGTTTACTGGAGTATAGGTAGCCCAACTCCAAACAATGGTCTACCTTATTCCATATTCCAGTCTGATAGCGTTTGCAGGACGAAAGCCGACAGCCTATCCAGTACCGTTGGAGAAACCACAACAGTATAAACTGAGAGGAGTCGAACCATGTGCATACAGAAGTGGGTAACGTATAACTACCTTACGGTTAGGCAAGAACCCTCATAGACGTCAGTGGCGACAGGAACCCGATAGTAGAGGCGAGAAAGGCTCTTGGGGGAGCAAGCTTCTGTTACCTACTGTGTATAGTGTAGGACTACTGATTGTAGGTGCGCCCGCCGGAGACTGCAAGCGCAGGGAAGTGTCACACTGACCCCCGTTTCGGGTTGGCACCAGCCGAGCATCGCAACCCCACATTGCTTGACTGCGCTTGTTTCAACGCCACGATCGCCATGGCGGCACACCGAGTCTTCGACGATCTCGACGCGTAGCCGCCAGTTGGATCGAGCGATCAGCGTCGAGACTAGAAGCACATGCCGCAGATAAAAGGAGGCTTGCTGGAGAGGAAGCGGGTCATCTGAAACAGCCACCAACAGCAAGAGTTGTTGGTCTGGCAAACAGAGAGCAAAGGTGACGTACTCGCCCGCTCGCCATGTGCTGCGTGACACCAACCGGTCCGGGTGAGTTCCACAACGTCGACAGGTACCGGGCCGCAACATACGGGGGTTACGTAGGGTTCGCGTGTATGTACCGTATGTATGTATTGTACCTAGTACAGGGCAAAACCTCAAGCCAGTGTGAAGAGAGGTTGAGGTCCAATACCCAGAGGTAAGACGGGATTTCCAGCAAAATGCGGACGGGCTTGGATGTATTACTGTGAGTTACTGTATGTGCCCATGCTATGTGCATGCTTCCGGTTTTGCTTCAGCGAGGCCGGCGTGGTACGGTCTACAACATAAACGCGGTACAATACACACGAGTGTGTAAAGCACCCAAAACGCGCTCGGCGTGGCCTGGAGGTGATGATGATTATGGGCGCCAGGATCTGTCGATCATTCCCTACCTATACCTACCTTACCTTGCCTATCAAGCTCGAGAATCGTCAGGAAACCATGATACTGTAGTGTGAAGGATCTTATGCTACGCAGTGGCGGCCTTTAGAGTTGAGTTTAGGGTTAGGGTTAATATTGAGTTTTACACAGCATAAGGTAGCTACCTCAGACAGTCTGGGATATTGTGGCAGGCTGGATTCCAATCTATACGTACACACTACATCAGGACCACGCCCGTCTTCTTCTCAACTGAAACATTCAGCTTCGATACCAACAGTATAGGTATGGGCGATCACCGTGTGCTCCCGCCACCCCGTCGTTGACGGGGTACCGCGCGACGTGTGTAACACCGACAACCGGAGCACAACCACAAACAGACGGTAACTATCCGTACAACATCAGCTTTCGTCGAGTTTGAGTCAAACACCCACGAGCGAGCTGGACGCGTGAACGTGCGGACGAGCGAAGTTTAGGTGGATGGGTTTCAACATCGCGAACTGAGTGTACATACCCGCCTTTATATCACCTACTAAGTCTCTTCCGTAGAGTACCTCAAGAGTACCTACCTTACCTATTGCCTACTACATACCGTACATTACCGTGATTAATCATTAAGCCAAGCAATGTTGTTCCACATCCCCACAGTTCAGCATGTGGTTAACGAACGGTTGCTGATTTGACGCATCAAATCACGGCAGCGGCACTTTCTGTAAGCGTAATTTAACCACAAACTTGTTTTGCGCGAGATCCAGCGGAGAACTGCCCGTGGCTCCCATGTCTTCTCGGCATCTTCATCAGCACCAATGGAACCGTTCGCTGATCTCTCGACATACGACGCAGTATTGTCTGTCCGTGTGTACGTATATGCACACTGAACTCGTACCTTACCTAAGGTAGGTTACCATGAAGCTATGCCAGGGTAACGTATTTTGATATCGCGGAAAGGTTCAACCTCGACCGCCTCTACAAAGTACTTACTAATATCCCGCTCGTTATAGATTCCACGTATATGTTAAATAGGTATCACTCTGCCGGTGGTTACCAAGAGTAGGATGTTGGCCCATACACTGCCCGTTTGGGTCAAGTGTCCAATTCTAGCGCAAGATGACGGCTTCCATTGCTGTGTATTCCCGGCATTACATAAGTTACTTCTCCGTACATATCAGCCCTGGCCCCTGGTGAGACATGCCAATGTGTAGCGCGCCGTTTTTGACGAACGTTTTGACGACTACCGGTAACCATGGCTCTTCCGACCCCTTCGCCACTGTTTGATTCCTCAGTCTCCAGAGGCCGGAGGTTTCCATCCATATGGGGAAGTGGTTGGCAGCTGGCGTTTCTCCCTGCAGCTGTTAATCTTTGATCTTGACCGTATCCAGTACCAATCTCCCAGGTAACGATCTGATTGGTGCGCTGGGGCCAGCACGCAACCCTTCACGGGGATCCTTGCTGCGCATTGAGCACCCCTGAGAAAAGTCAAGTCCAGCCCGGCTCGACCATCCGGAAACTACTTGACAGCGGACCCCAATTAATTACAGAACAAGCCCGCCCACGCTTCCAACCACCTCTCTCCATCACCGTCGCCGATTTTTCTCGACAGCCGGTCGGTCCCAGCTGGCTTGACCATCCACTCGTTATTCTTTTCTCACGTCCGAGGTCGCTGCGTGCCAACACTTCCCGCGCGGCTTATCTTTAGATCTGCTTCGTGCGCTCTTCGTTTCGAGGTCGCTGCCGGCTTCAGCAAACACCATCGGATTCATAAGACTTGACGTCCGGTCCCGAATCCCGGTTAAACACCAGCAAAATGGGAGTTGAGGAAAAGTCTCGCGCATCGGGCGACCAGCCCCGCGACCAGAACGGTCCCGTCCTTCCGACAGTAAACCCGGAGGCCGAGAAGTCGCAGCCTCCTAAGCCGTCACTACATCCCGCTTTTTACGTGAGGTGAGCAGAGCAGCTCTCGGCGGCGGGGACTTTTGGCGGTATATCGAGCAGACGGTTAACAATCCCGCTTCAGTGTTTGGATCGCCTTGAGCTCCTCGGTCATCCTCTTCAACAAATGGATCCTTTCCACACTCAACTTCAGTAAGAATACCTGAAAAGTCCGCGGATTGGGTAGGCCGAAAGAAGAGATGTTGAGACATGACAGGCTACCCGGTGCTCTTGACCACCTATCATTTGACCTTTGCGACCATCATGACCCAACTCCTCGCACGATACACAACTCTGCTGGATGGCCGGAAGACGGTGAAGATGACGGGCCGCGTCTACCTCCGTGCTATCGTTCCGATTGGCTTCTTCTTTAGCTTGAGCTTGATCTGCGGCAACCTGACTTACCTCTACCTGAGTGTGGCCTTCATTCAGATGCTCAAGGTTGGTTCTTCTGGTCAAACATGAATGGTTTCAAGCAGTATGCTGATTTTGCCACACAGGCCACAACTCCTGTTGCTGTCCTCATCTCCAGCTGGGCCCTCGGTGTCTCCCAGCCGAATCTCAAGGTCTTCCTCAATGTGTCGGCCATTGTTATTGGTGTCATTATTGCCTCATTTGGAGAGATCAAATTCGTCTGGATCGGTTTCATCTACCAGATTGCCGGCATCATTTTTGAGGCCCTCCGCCTGACCATGGTCCAACGGCTCCTGAGCTCTGCTGAGTTCAAGATGGATCCCCTGGTCTCGCTGTACTACTTTGCGCCTGTGTGTGCCGCCATGAACTTCGTCATCGCACTTCTCTGGGAGGTCCCCAAGGTCAGCATGGCCGAGATCTACGACGTGGGCTTGTTCACCTTTTTCCTGAACGGCCTGTGTGCGTTCCTCCTGAATGTGTCCGTCGTGTTTTTGGTGAGTGTCTCGCCCGTGACTTGGTCTAATTCAAGAACATCCCACTAATCATTCGACGTACAGATCGGCAAGACATCCTCTCTCGTCCTAACCCTCTGCGGTGTCCTTAAGGACGTCCTGCTCGTCGTTGCCTCGATGATCATCTGGGGTACGCAGGTGACGGCGCTTCAGTTCTTCGGCTACAGCATCGCTCTCGGCGGCATGATCTACTACAAGCTCGGCTACGACGCCATCAAGGGTTATGCGGGCGAGGCTAGCCGGCAGTGGGCCGACTTCGGCAACCGTCGCCCTATCCTCCGCCGCCTGGCAGTGATTCTTCTTGCTCTTATGACTGTTTTCGTCCTCCTTGGTGGGCTTGCTCCCGCGGACATCGACGCGACTCAGTACCTCAACGAGGCCAAAGAGAAGATCGGCATTACCAAGCTTTGAGAGAAGGTATCGAAGAACGACAGCGCGTGGGTGGGGAATCCATTAGGCATATTTTTTTAATTCCCCGTTCCACCATACGACGATTTAATGCGAGTCCAAACACTTGGAGCAAGGGGTGTGCTTTCTCTAGGAACGTGCTGGACGGGTGATCTCCCAGCCATTGGGGCGGGAAAGGAGTGGATGACACTGGCAGCTTTGAACTGACGACACGACATGGCAGGGGACGGATTTTTGGCGGGTACATAATTGCACTTATCTTCTACCACCTTTTGTCCGGTTTCTTATGGTTTTTGCTTCACCATTCCCCTTTAGTTCTGCGATTGTAAGGCTAGCGGTAGGAAGGGCTGTTCACCCTCTATAGACAGGCGGAACGGAGCGAGGATGGTGGTAGGTGGCGTCACGAACACGGGTCTGCAACAAGCACGGCATTGTCAATTCATGGGGACGCTATTTCAACAGGAGGGTTTGTTGTTGGCGAGGCTGGGGGAAAAATAGATTTGTAGATACAGTCTGCTCTTGTTGTCCGGATTGTGACGGGACGATCGTTTGCCGAATAGTCACACCAGTAACCACCAAAAACTGAAAAGGGAGGGAAGGCCGGCTGTACTCCGTACTTGGTTTTAATGTTACATCCGCCAACAGCTGGAGGACAAGCTCAGATTGCCCGACCAGTATGACACCTCGTATTGCTGAGCGTATGGCAACAGGCAAGCATATACCCGGCTATCTGCTGCTGCGACATCTCACGAACGAGGAAATTGGTCAAGGCACATTGCCAAGCACTCCGTTGGTTGTCCTACTACTTTGGTGGATATCATTAGGCCAGGACATCATCAGTCACCCAGGGTCCTTCTAGTCCCGCAAGATCCGTCCTTCCCGCGCCTTGCTCAAAATCCGGCTTTCCATGGCGCTGCATCGGTCGCATGAATCTGACGGAGAACGACATAAAACGCCAAACGGCGGCGTCGTCAAGACACCATAAAATTCAGCCAGTGAGCCTCAGATTTTTATTCCGTGATGAGTGCTGTATACAGCCCGATAAAAAACCGTTCGCCCCGCCCAGCCAATTGAGGAAAACCGATCAAAACCCTGTGTCACCGTCAGTACTCCTGGTATGCCGGTCGCGACGGAGGTCGAGAACGTACGCAGAGGGGTGAAAAACCACCGGTTCTTGCCGCTTGTGTAGCGCTCCTCGAGCACCTTCTTGACAGTCTTCTTGGCCTCCTCGCGCTGGCTGACTTCCTTGAAGGTGTCGGAGCTGAGGGCGGACTTGAGGCCCTCGAGTTCGAGGGTGTAGCGGGTGGGCATCAGGTGGTTGTAGTTGATGACCTTGATGAAAGGCTTGACCTTTGAACGCTTCTCCTGCCTCGCCTTGGACATGCGACGCGTGATCTTGCTCGGGTACCGCTCGATGCCCGCTACCAGGGCGTGGCCGTAGGGGTGTGTCTTGCTGCCGTTGTCGACGGGCTGGATGATGACAACCTGCAGAGTCCGAGTCAGTATCTCCTGGCCTCCTGTTCCTTCGCGAATGCTTGTCCGTGCGCTCCCCCCGCCCTTCTCCTCGTCCATTACCCCGTATCATCTTTCATATCCCATCCTTTGCCCAGCCACCGTTGCCCAAACGTATCCAGGTTCCAACAAGTACTCGACGTTGGCGGCAGGGAGAGAAGTAGAGATTTATGGCGATTTGCGTACCTTCTTGCCGGCGTAGCGACCCCGGGTAACGAGGCAGACCCTCGACGTCTTAAGGAACTTCATTCTGTCGGTTCTGTTTGCGAATACAATGTTAGTACAACGATGCAATAAACTCGCAAGCAAAGCTCCCGAGTAAATGGGAGACTGATACAGCCCGTAACTCACCTGTTGTTTCCTCGGGTCTGTCCTGAAGTCGACTACAGGCGAAGAGTGAGGTCTGCCGTTTCTTGGTCGTTCCCGAAATAATTTCCAGTTTGTGGGCTGCCAAAATTCGCGTGGGCAAACCACTCACATTGGTCAAATCAGATGACTAAGACGCGTGCTTGATCCGTGCACCATTACGACGTGCACGGGCCAGGTACTAGTATTGGGTTAAGCATTGGCTGTGGGTTCTCCATCAACCGAGGACAACCTCAGGCGCTCTCATCCTGCTGAACTGGTCTCGCTGTCTTGTGACTTTTGGAACGAATTTCATCTTTGAGAAGTTGCCCTCTCCTCTTACGAGTGCAATATTATTCCATGACAATGGCGGCTCCTGTCTACATCATCTCCCGTGTTGCTGATCCGATCTTTGCTGTGTTCATCGGCGTCTCGGCAGCGGCACTGAGGATCAACCGTGAAGAGAAGGAGAAGGGCAGGACAACTCAGGAGACACTTGAGGCGGCGTGTCGGTAGGCTTCCCGTGCCGTACTCACAATCGCCAGACACCTTTGCTCACACTACTTGGCACAGTCGCCTTAGATTCTTAAAGAGCTCATAGGATATCAATGTGTTCCGTCATTTACTCGGAACATTGCAATACCCTCAAATAACAGACCTGAACGCCTTCATCCCTTAGCCCAAGCAGCAAATCACTTTTCTCGGCCCTCTTTCCGTCTTAAACGCCCATCATGATGCCAAACCCGGCCCGTACTCCTTCTTCATCGCCTCCCTAACCATCTGCCCGCAGAGCTTCGCCGTCGGGTTCGTGCTCACTGCCAGGGCCTTGGCAATCTCGTTCCCGTATCTTCCTCCCATGGCAAAATCCCGGGACGCCTGCTCCTCGAAGTCGAGCTTGGACCAGCTCGCTTCGGGCCTCTCAACGTCTATGGAGACCGCTTTAGAGCCCAGCAGCTTGGAGGTCATGAGGTAGATGGCGGCCCGCTGGGTATGGGCATTGGATAAGGTCCTGGCGACCTGCGGCGACAGTCTGGAATACGCCACTTTGGGGGCGAGAAGCGAGATGGCGTGGTCGAGGTCGCTCAACACGGTCTTCGCGGCGCCTAACCGCTCGAAATCGTCGAACTGTTGGAGCAGTGCTTGTGGATTCCTTGGCGCATCGGGGATGAGCAATGCGTCGCCGTATAAGCGTCGCAAGGCCTGTGCCCTGTTGTTACGGGCACTAGCGTACTGAGGATGGTTTTGGATAAGTTGCCCGAGCCTCGAGACGCATTTGCGGTACTCCTCAGCAATGTCGACGTCTGTTGTTCCGTCCGATTGCTGCTTGACCTGCTGGGCCTCGAGCAGCTGGATGGACAAGATGATATCACGTTCTTGTTGGGAAACGTTCTGGTATTCCTGAGGGTTCGAAATGTGCGGATCCTTAGGAAGACTGGGGTCGACTTGGACCAAGAGTGACGGGTCGGACTCTGGGTCCTTGATTTTCTCGAGGACATGGAGGTCGCGCCGGCTCAGGTTGAAGTCGACGTAGGCCATGGTGTCGCGGTGTGGACTTCCGTATGGGTTGCTCTGCGGCGCTCCTCTTGGGGTCCGTCAAGCCAGTCTGACAGCGACAGTCGGGCTTGGGCGTGTAAATGAAAGCGGAATTCAACTTGGGGAAGCAAGTTGGGAGAATGGTTTGCGATCTATGTGTCTGTTGTGGAATGGTGGCGGTGGTCTACAGCATCGACGAAACCTGGAGCGAATTGGTACGGTAGCAACCAATGCACAGCTACCTCAACCAGCCTTTTCCACATTCACAGTGGAAACGCCAGCACGGCAACCGTCACTCCTGCGTTATTAGTAACCGGGAATCCAGCGGTCTCGTGCTTCATCTCTATGCACCCTGTAAGCACGGGAACCACAGGAATCATGGCTGCATCGCCGTTGCTGACCGTCGCCCCTCGGCCGGGGCTCTCGGCAAGCGGCGGCATTGTGCGGCTTTGGCGGCTGATCCACGCCGCCCGGTGCCAATTCCGCTGCCCCACCGGGCAACCAACGGCAACACATCAGCACAGCTCCAACTCGGCTCCGTTCATTGTTCGGGCTACGGAAGGGTCCGTTCGTCTGAGCGAAGCAACGCCCAATTGCAGACGCCGATGTCTCAATGGGACAGGCCACTCAGAGGCTGGCAATAGGGATGCCGTAAGTTCCGAAGAGGTTGCTCTCGTGGCTAGGATCGCATCGGAAGCGGCGCCTTGTTGCCATGTGTGCATGCATTGGATGCCTTGCCCGCCGGGAGTCGACGAACTCGAAGATCGGTCTCGGTATTGCAAATGTGTGACGTGCGCGGGTGTCCTGGACTTGCCCCCCGCCATCCCATGTGAGCTTGGGGCAAGCAGAGGAATTGTTAACCCGAGTTGTTTCTGCTTCATCCATGCTCTTATAACTCTTTCGATCCCCCTTCCCTCCTCAAGTGAGCCCCCGAGACCAACAATCATCGTGCAACTCAATCATACTCACGGTCCCCCGGCTTGACAAGACCACATACCTTACTTTACCCATATATATTACTACCTTTATTCTCCATACGCATCTCACTTGTGTCAGCCCACCCATCGATAAACCGGCCCTGTGAGCATGTCACCGTCGGCCATCTCGGACAACTACACTTCCTCCGGTGCGCCGGACTACGCGGTCCAGAGCCCCTCTTCCGACTTCAGCGGGTATGACCACGTTACGTGGTGGGTGGGAAACGCTAAGCAGGCCGCTGGCTTCTACACCACCTTTTTCGGATTCAAGACCATCGCGTACCGCGGCCTCGAGACCGGCAGCCGGTACTTTGCCTCGTACGTGGTCGCTAACAACGACGTCCGCTTCGTGTTCACGTCGCCGATTCGCTCGGCCAGGTATCTGCCCGAGGATGAACCCATCTCAGCAGAGGACAAGCACCTGCTGCAGCAGATGCACGAGCACCTGGAGAGGCACGGCGACGCTGTCAAGGATGTGGCCTTCGAGGTAGACAATGTCGACGGCGTGTACGAAAAGGCCGTGGCCGCGGGCGCCGAGGCCATCCAGCCGCCCATGACCATGGGCGCCATGGGTAACAACAAGGAGCAGGGCCACGTGCGCACGGCCGTGATCCGCACGTACGGCGACACCACCCACACCCTCATCTCGCGCCACAACTTCCGGGGCGCCTTCCTGCCGGGCTTCCGCGCCGTGAGCTCGACGTCGGCCACCGTCGCGCTGCCCGACGTGCCGCTGGCGCGCATCGACCACTGCGTCGGCAACCAGGACTGGAACCAGATGGTGTCGGCCTGCGCCTTTTACGAGCAGTGCCTCTCGTTCCATCGCTTCTGGTCGGTCGACGACAGCCAGATCTGCACCGAGTTCTCGGCGCTGAGCAGCATTGTCATGGCGAGCCCCAACAACCTCGTCAAGATGCCCATCAACGAGCCGGCGCCGGGGAAGAAGAAGTCCCAGATCGAGGAGTACGTGCTGTTCAACTCGGGCCCCGGCGTGCAGCACATCGCGCTGCTCACGCCCGACATCATCACGACGGTCGCCGCGCTGCGGGCGCGGGGCGTGCAGTTCATCGACGTGCCCAAGACGTACTACGACACGATGCGGATGCGGCTCAAGACGGAGAAGCGGAACTGGGAGCTGAAGGAGGACCTGGATGTCGTGGAGCGGCTGAACATCCTCATCGACTACGACGAGCGGGGGTATCTGCTGCAGCTGTTCACCAAACCGCTGATGGATCGGCCGACGGTGTTCATTGAGATCATCCAGCGGAACGAGTTTGACGGCTTCGGTGCCGGCAACTTCAAGAGCTTGTTCGAGGCCATTGAGCGAGAACAGGCGGAGCGCGGGAACCTGTAACTAATACTATTTTTTGTACTCAAGGTAGTTTTGCTTTTTCAGCCCTGGGAAAACTATACCGTTACATGGACGTTACTCATACCCAGCATCTCTTGTCCCATGAGCGGCTGCCCACCCCGGCATATGCGAGAAATGATGCCAGAAAATCAAACCCATAACTACATGATATGCCCCGCCAACGCCGTCCGCAACCTGTTGAGTCGCTTATCCATCCGATGCACCAGATGTTTCAAATATAGTCTAGCCAAGTCACGCAACCCCGATAGTTAACTGATTGGAGTAGGCCCCGGCGAGGTTAATCTATAACCATAGCCTCACTGGCCCCATTATCCTTGTCCATTACCGCCTCACCGTTGTTGCCTTGCGCGTCACCGCCCGTCATGCCGCGGATGTCGCTTTGACACCCCGGGCAGTTGTGGATCTCCTCGTGTGCGAACACATCGCACTCGATGCAGAAGTGGTGGCCACACACCTGGCACGCATAGCGCCCGCTCTCGCTTACCCCGGCCGTCTTCGCCTCGCGCACCACCGCCGGCGGCGCAACGCCCACGCTTTTCCTGCTCTCCCCTTTCCTGGGGCTAGGGCCATCTTCCTCCCCCGACCCTGGTGGTGCCGCTGTCTCCTTGCTGCTGCCGTGCTGCCCTCCCTTCGCTGCCGGAACCGGCGGGAACGGCGTCAGGCACGAATAACACGCTACGGACTTGGTCGCCTCGGACCATGGGACTTCAACCCACCCCTTGAGCGGAAACAGGTGGTGATAGGACCGCGCCAGGTGTGTGCTCAAGACTAGCGTCAGGCCGCAGATGGGGCACTCGGCCGGCAAGCGGCACACTTTGGCCTCGCACCGCGTGCAAGCGTAGCCTTCGCGGGTGGGGCGATGATGGCATGCGCAGAAGCTGATGTGGTCTTTGGATGCGAGCGTGCGCGAGGGGAAGCCCATCATGAGCAGCGCAGCCTGATTGTCCGGTTGGCTGGGGGAAGAGTGGGTGGCGGGGGGCGTGGTGGCGGCCAGGAAGAGCTCGCGGAAGTGTTGCTCGTGGAGGGCCACCGAGTATGCGGAGGGGTCGCCGCCGTTGGTGCGGCTGCAGAGCTCGGCACAGATGGCGACCTGAGCTGCGAGGCCCACTATCGAGACGCGGATACGGTCGTTCAGCAGGTTCGATATGGTATCTTGGATGTCTCCCGGGTCGCTGGACAGGAGGGCCCCGTAGATAATGAGGACTTCACGCGTGCCGTGAGATGGGGTGTGGCTAGTAGTTGTTAGTGAGCGTGCATGTGTGCTCCGAGACGGCCGGATGGGGATACGCACAATAAGGAGCCACGACACATCTCCAGGGCATTCTGAAGACTCGGGTTGCCTTGTGGTTCCTGCTGTTCTGCCCATGCCCTCAACTTCTCGATGTGCGCAGCCGGATTGCCGCCCATGTCGCTGATCCGGACGGCGATGCCGTCGCGCATGCCGACAATGCCCATCTGGCTGATCGGGTTCTGCTCGAAAAACTCGCGCACAAACCCAACGGCGTAGTTGAGCGTCAGGAGGTAGCGGTTCGGTAGGAGGTCCTTCTCCGCCATGGCGAAGCTCATGTCGAGGACTAGCATCAGGTGCCTGATAATACCACGTTGCAATGGTGTCGTGTCGCGCATAAGCCGCCTGCGCTTCTCCGCTTCGAGGAGTGCCTCAATCGTGATGCTGCCATCCTCCGTCTCGACCACATTCTCCCAGGATCTCTTGATGTCTTCCCACGCGGCCTTGGAGCGGCCACCGCCCTTGGCTTTCCTGCCATCGCTACTCTTCCCGCTGGCACGAGCGCCCTTGGACCGTGTACCGTAGGAGCTGCCGTCTGCGCCAGACGCCACACGCTGATCGTTGAGATCATCCTCCGACAGGCCGTCGACATACTCGCCATCCGAGTCGGCCATTGGGATTGGGAAGAATGCGTGTGGGTTCGATCCGTCGGATGCTAAAATTCGGGCTGCGTGGATCTAAGATGCATTAGATTTCTCATGTTGCTGGGTAAACGCGTGCAGACGACGATGCTCGGCTGCGACGGACTGCTTAGAATATTTTGGAGTCTTGAAAAGCTGTCGCAAGGCAGGCTGCAAGATCTCTAACTTAGAGAACGGATTAAGCTCAACGGAGCCGCAGCCTCGCAGATGTGTGGGTCTACTAGGCAAGGCTAAACAAATGAAAATGGTGGATTGTTACAGCTCAGCCGGAGGCTCTACATACTGTAATAAGCAACGAACTTGTACAGATTACTGAGTACTACACTGGACTACCTAACTGGATCTGCTGCTCTGGTCGGCTAGGTAGGTATTATACTTGTACATATAGTTTATGATACAAACACGGACGCTCGGATGGGTTGGCTCTTATAGGAGCTTGTCCTGTCAAAGGCACGGCACTTAACTTATGCAACCATGACATTGGGTGCACATATGTAGGCTGGAAATAAGCTGAAAAGGCTCAACGGGCCTCGATGCTACTATCAACCGTACGTATCGACGAGGTACATGCGGACCTGCCTAGGGTACGGTGAACGTATCTACACCTCCTCCAGCATATTACACGTTAGCGTGGTACTTGCCCCACCCGACTAACCAGAGCTGGCAAACCCCCTGCAGGAGTCAAGAGAGAGTCAAGATACCACCATACACATACAATTTTCTACTGAATCCAGAGTACCTAGTACATAATTCTCCCTCCTTCATTTGCAATGACCTGTCTGAGCCGTCGGGGCATTGAGTGAGCTAGTTGCCGTAAGAATTCTATGGGCACTGTATCCCAAGCCTCCTGAATAGCCCGGCGAAGCGAAGCCCGGGTTAACCGCTGAATATCATAGTTTTCCTCGATCCAATTCTTCATCCAGAACCATACATTTTCTATAGGGCTAAGGTCTGGGCTCCGTGCCGGCCATACAATGTAGTCAATCCCAAGTGCCGTCAGTAATGCCTTGGTTACGCGAGCTGCGTGGGGTGCTGCGTTATCCTGTTGGAACCACATGTCTTCAAACTCTATATAAAATGTATGGACCAAAGGGGTGATGAACCGTTGATACTTCTCTGCAGTGATACCACCGTACTCCTTCTCCCAGAAGAAGCTAGGTCCTTTGCGACAGCCGGCGAATGAGCCCCAAAACATCCACCCGTGTGGCTTAGTTCGTATGAGTGCCCAGGTCTCTGGATCTTCCGTGTCGTGAATTGTGATCCATTGCTTCCACATTGGATTGTTGGTCGCCCATGTTTCATCGGAGAAGAGGACATTCTCCCAGTCTTCTGGGTACGGGCGTAATGAAAGCTGTTCGTATGCGAAGGCGAGGCGATCGGCTTTGTTTTTATCGGTAAGCTGAATGCGACGGGGTCGAATCGTCCGTTTGTATCCAAGGGCTTCGAGTGCCGTTGAGATAGCTCGCTCTCCGAAGAGCTCGAAACCTGGAATATAGTACCGCAAATCAGCCCAAGGAAGCTTGCGGTTCAGCGGATCGGACCGTAGGAACTCGATCAGTTCGTTCTTTTGCGGGGACTTGACGACAGGCCGGGGCCCAACCCTTCCTTTTTTCCTTGGGGTCAAAGGACCCTGCAGGGCAAGCTGCACTTGCCGTTGTGTTGTGCCCGTAGCCTTCGCAATAGTGGAATAGTCCCAGCCGGCATGCTTGTGTAAGGTTCGAATTTCAATCTATTAGAGAGAGAGAGAGTTAGTAAGATAGGTAGGTGGGTAGGTAATCTAGTAGGCAAGGTGCCTACCTTCTTATCACGTGATAGGTCCTGGGACCTAGTGGCCTGTTGGAACCAGTGTTTTGTACGGTTGTTGGCCTTATTTGCATGTAGTCGGTAAAAACGCTCTGCGCAGGGCGACTTGTGTAGGTCTTGGTTGTGGTTGATAATAGTGTCGATGTCCATGGTGTTCCTGATGCGCATGTAAGTCGAAGATTATGGATTTTTAGTGGGTCGGCTGAACGGATTTTGAAGGAGGTCACTTTTCTATGGAAAGTACTAGAAAAGTGACTTGTATGCTGATTTTGACGTAACTGTATGCTGAAAATGGGATAGTGGGTGGGGCAAGTACCACGCTAACGTGTAATATGCTGGAGGAGGTGTATGACGCCACGTGGGATCCAACGATCCGTAGTGCCACTTTTGCAGGGTCCCGTCCCTCCGTGCCCGATCTTTTGAAGGTGATCATTCTGTTCCAGATCGGGAATCCATCTTAATGTTACCTGGCAGGTGGACGGAAGTATTGGTGAACTCATCAATGGATTCAATAGCCCGTCCTCCGTCCTCGAGATTGCTGCTCAATGCGTCTGTACATTCCTGCTTTGGGTTCCTTGGCATTTCAGTTGTCTCACGGTGTTCTCGAGGAAAAATGGAACCTTGGTCAAGAGAGGTTAGGGTTAGGGCTGACAGGAACCGACTACATTGTCCCTTGTCCGCCAAAACTAGAATGTTGAACTGTTTGGTATTGTGAGTGTACTCATCGGTTTGATGGAGAATTCAGAGATGCATCAATAGGTACTTATTTCCCCTGCTGCAAGTTCGCGTTCGGTTTGCAGGCTCTGAGGCGGTGCGGAATTCCATGTACAGTGCCGATAACCGTGCAACTTCCCGGCTACTTGGCCCCAGCAAACTGCAGCGGAGCCAAGCAAACCGGCGGCCCCTTGCAGGTCCTATTGGCCGCCAGCCGCCGCTCATCGGTTATGCAAAGCCTTATGTGACGTCACTCCCTGGGTGATCGACAGGCTTCAATTAGTCTTCAGCTGACCTGCCCAGTTTGGTTTACACGTTGCATTGTCTTTCGAGACTCGAGCCACTGCTTCCCTCTTGTAAGGCTCAGCTGTGACCTTGAAGGTTGCCCTGCCGTATGAAGCAAATGCACAGTACTGAGCATCTTCCAAGACCGCCAGAAATTTTCTCTTACACTCTCAGCATATGGAGAGCTGCACCGAGAGCATAGGAAAGATCCGTGCAGCTAGGGTCCTGGGTCCGGCTCTGAGCTGCCGACAGCCGATATTCTCCCTTGTACAAGTACACTATGTATGTACATGTAGTGTATGTGTACGAGTTAGGCGATACGTTGTGCCACCACCTGGTGCTGGAACTGGGGAACCGGTTTTAGGCTTCTCAGAGGTTCCATGCCACGCCGCAGGACACGACACCCAACATGTGCAGGGTTGGCAGGCCGCAGGCGACACCGCTGAACCGTACTGTATCATCAGGGCATCCCAGACGAACTGGCGAGTTGCGCAGGCTTCCTCACGATATCACCCTACCCGATGAATCTGCGACTCAATCATAGTAGCGAAACACTGTGTTGTATTGCACGCTGCCCAGACATTATTGGTGCCCGGGTACTCGCCAGACCAGGGGATTGTTCCGAGACTCTGGAAAGTCTCACATCGGCATGACGACAACGTTAGCAAACGCAGGAACGCAAGATCGCACGCCCTGAAATAGTAACTTCATGATGCCCGGTGAGCGAGGCTTGGGAACAGCGCCGGCTTTGCCAGCGACAGACCGAAGAGGAAGAACGAGGCTTCTGCAGGGGCGGAGTAGAGTAGAGGCTGTATGTATGTGTATTTACAATACATACCTTACGGATGGAAGCAGGGAAATTTGGAATTGCCGGTTGTGCTCCGTACAGTGCAGGTACGGGATTCTCACCAATTCCCATGGTCAGCGTTGGCTGCACTTCCTACACAGTGTATTCCTCAACCGCCGTTCCTTCACAGTGTCGGGAGAGTCCGAACCCCTTGGCGCGGCCTCCACTCGGCGAAACTTCTGCAAACTTACCATAGTACACTCACTACCTGACTACTAGTGGATGGGTTGGTATGATCCTTCACGATACCCAAGTTGCAGCTGATGAAAAAGGTGAAAAGTGGTGTGTTGCTGCCGTCGCAATGAGCTTCACTTACACTAGGTGCCCTGTCAGCCTGTGTAGACGATGAGATCCTTTTTTGTGTCTGTGCACATCTCACGCACTTCCTCTGGCGGTCGCATAACGTCATAGGTACCCCTTATAGACCCTGGGTGCGTTGCAACTCCCCATCGAGCCTAGTGTATGTAGTGTACTAGTGTCCCGAGTTGAACTCGCCCTGGTCGCCCTGTCTGTCTTCCCCCCGGCTGCGCACCGCACGCACAAACTACAGTACTTCGTACCTACACAGTAATCCACATCTGCGGCGCCCCAAACACATCAGCGCAACACGGATGCCTCACATCCCTACCTACCTGGAGCTTACCTACCTTACTACGTAACTACTATCGGCCTGTTTCTTCCGCATACCTTTCCCTTGCAGTTGGCACAACCACATACTGTACGGCTGAGAGACGAGTCGCTCGAATTCATTCCACCGACTCAGGCCTGGTAGCGATACCCTCTCTTTTTTTTTTCCCGCAGAGACAAACAGGCCCTCTTTGCACCTGGTTTTCTGTCCAGAGCCTATACCCAGCCGTTTGTGTTGGATGTGTCTCCGGTCCCTGGCTCGAGCCTTTGTGGCTGACTTCCATCGACGTCACTGGGAAAACCATCCTCAATGAGGAATGCGGGCGCGAGGTCGCGAATCACCAATAGTCGACGGCATAATTGAAGGCCCGATCAGAGCAAAAGGGACAGGACAGACCGAATCCGCGGCGATTGAAGCGCGCTGTGCGCATCCGCATCCGAATAGGCCCGCTTCCGATGATGCTGTGCCGGCGTCCCGACCATCACTGGAGACTGCAACAACACCAATGACGGGTGGCCTCGAAGGTAGGGGCGAAGGGCCACAGCCGTCCCACGTCTCTAGCGCAGGCGCCCAGTCATCCGGCAAGAAGTCGATTTCGTTCAAGGACGACGCCGAGCCAGAGACTATTCCGGAGCCCACCCCGCCGGCCGAGACAGCAGCAGAGCCACAGCAGAATCAGGGCCGCGAAACTGCGCAGAGAGAAGTAGGCTCCAACCCGCCGGCAAGCAAGAATGACGAGGCCAATCCTGGAATGCCCGTGGCGACGGAGCCCAGGGATCCGCAGCGTCAGCTGAACGAGTACCGGGAGAATCTGGCGCGCGAGATGGAACGGCGAGAGCCGCTGCCAAGAGGGCACCCCCCCGCGCCAGTCCCGGCGCGGGTCTCTCCCATTCAGGAGGAAACTTCGCCGTCTCAATCGGACCCAGCGACGACCTCGACCGGGTCCGGCAAGACCCTCCGCGGATCTGCTACGCCTACGCCTGCCCCGGTAGCTGCGACGCCAGCGTATCCGTTTCCCCGCATGGCCTCCTCCGGCTTTCTGCCCTCCGCCGTGCACCTTCCCTTCACCACGCTCTCCCCCACTGTTCCGCCCGATCGAATTCGACCCGCAGCCGATGCTCCTAGGGGCCAAGACACGCTCGTGTCCCCGTCGAACCCGTCGACGCCCGCTTCTAACATGACCTTTCTGCCTCCCGGGGCCTCGCGGGCTGAGCCGGACCCGCCCGACTTTCCCAGCCCGAACCTGTATGAGCTGGTGCTGATGCTCTCGGCCGAACCGGGGCTGGATGCGTGGTGGCACACGGTGGTGCAGATCATGGCGGACGTGTACAAGGCCGAAAGGGTGACTCTTGCCGTCCCTGCCGACCCGACCGACATCGAGAACGTGCCGTGGGGGCAGAAGGCCACGTTCAATGCGCACCGCGAGGACGAGCTGAGTCTCGGGTATCTGGCGAGGAGCTCCAGTCTCGTCCCCAGCAGCAAGGACGCCACTCCCAACACCTTCCCCCACGCCACGGAGTCGCCGGGGACGCAGGAACCCATACGCCCGAAACTGCTGGGCAGGCATTCCTTCACATCATACGAACTAAATCGGCGGGCGGCCGCATCACGCGAGCAGACCCAGCAAGGTCTATACCGTCCTCAGCTTCCGTCGAGGAGCAAATCCCACCATCCGGGCACAGCCTCGGACCGCGAGGAGGACGACAGCAACCTCACCAGTCTCAACCAAGAGGCACTTGAGCAGCACGACGCGCTGGAGGAACAGCAGCAGGAGATCCCCAGCTGGGAGGCACCGTTCAATGCCCCGAGGGAAGGGCATGGGAAGGTGCTGAATGTGTTGCAGGCCCTCGACTACGAAGCAGACCCGTTGATTGACCACAACGGCATCCTGCGCATTCTGGAGCGCGGTCGCGTCGTTGCCCTTACGAGGACTTACCCCTACCTCAGCCAGGAACAGGCCAAGGGACGGCCCTCGGACGTTCGCACGACAGCCGGATCCAAGTCGCCCGAACAGCCCCGAGGGAAGGCCAGGAAGCCACGGTCCGACTCGCTGTCCAAGTTTTCTTCGCTCCTCGGCAGTGTGGCTTTTTCGCCGGTTCCCGCCCGGACCGCCAGACCGCAGCCGCTCGAGAAGAAGGCGTCCATGGCGTCTCGGTTCGAGGATGAGGCGCCAAAGGCCCCCAGTCCGCGCTACGAAGAATACGAGCAAGCGCCACCGTCTCCGTGGTCGCAATCGCCGGCGCCCTCGCCGGCCGTGAGAACCGACACGGCCGAGAACCCCTTCTTCACAGACGCCATGGTCGACGAGGAGTCGTTCAACCCGTCGTCTGCACCCGCTGACTATTCCGCCATCCTCCCACCAGAGGCCATCGGTGTCGACAACTCGTGGACTGTGCTGCACATTCCGCTGACCCACGTGCTGCTATCGAAGCCCAATTCGTCTTCCTTTAAGCTCGATCCGTCGCTCATGGCACAGAAGATCTCTGCGCGGAAGAACGGAGACCAGCCGGCTGCCACGCATACTTCGCCCGAGCGGCCCGTGAAGGAGAAACACGCACCGATCGCCATTCTCTCGATCCTGAGCCCCATCATCCCGTATCCGTCCAATCTGCGGCACTCTCTGGAGCACCTCAGTCCACACCTCGCCACCAGCTTTTCTCTCTGCCGCCACTACACCAACCTGGAGACCGAGCTGAACGGATTGCAGAAGCGCAGACCACACACGGCCGGCTTCGGTGCTCTTGGGCCTGATGGGCGGCCGCTGGCCGACCCAGCCGCGCTGGCCTCTTTGGCGTATCTGCCCACGGGGAACGCCGCGTCGCGGGACTCGATCGCGGGCAGCATGACCAGCCCGTCCGAGTATTCCGGCCCTTCTCGCAGCGCTGCCGGCTCACCCGGCGGAACCCCGGGTCGGGAATTCTCGTCGGTCGGGCTCAGCCTGGACAACAAGTGGGGGCCTGCCGCAAGCCCGGCTCCGGTCAACATGGACAGCTACTTCGGCTCCACGCCCAAGAGTCCGGCGACCGCGCAGTCGGCGAGAAGGAACTCGCGAGACTTCTCGGCTGTCACCGAAAAGCGATCGTCCTCGCTTCGGCCGGGGAGCAGCAGCAAGGCGCCGCTGCACGAGTCGGGCTCGCGCAGCCCCGGCGTGGCCGAGTCCCGAAGGAGCACCGAGTCGATCCGTCAGGATTCGGAGGACGCCGTGCCCCCTAGTGCTCAGCACAGAGCATCCGCGGCAAGGGAGGCAAGGGAGAAAAGAGATCAGGTGTCGGGCGAAAAGGGCAGCGGTGCAGCGGCCCAGACCGAGGGACAGAAGAAGCCGGCCAGCATCACGGGCTCGGCGCCCCACCGCCATACCCAGCTGCACTCATACGGAGCCGACTTCGCTTCGACCTTCCAGTCGCTCCCGGGTGGTTCGACGATTAGCAGAGGGCCGCAGCAGCCAACTGCGCCGTCTCGAACCGGGTCGATGGTGCAGACCGATATGACGCCTCCGTCTGACAGGCTGAAAGGACTCATTCTGGACTCGTTGCCCGCCCATGTCTTCGTGGCGCTTCCGCAGACGGGCGAAATAGTGTGGGTCAACAGCCGTTTCCTCACCTATCGCGGGCAGACCTCGGGAGACCTGGCAGCGGATCCCTGGGGCAGCATACACCCCGACGACCGAGAGGAATACCTCCGCGCCTGGAGCCAGTGTGTCCGGACCGGCGAGCAGTTCTCGAGGACGGTGCGGATCCGGCGGTTCGACGGCGCCTACCGATGGTTCTACGCGCGGGCTGTGGCATCCAAGGACAAGAGGGGCGTCATCTTGCAGTTTCTGGGATCGTACATGGATATCCACGACCAACACATCGCCGAGCTCCGAGCCGCGCGGCAGGAGGAGATCGAGGCGTCCGAGGCCAAGCACCGCCTGCTTGCCAATCTCATTCCGCAGATCATCTTCACCGCCACCGAGGATGAAGGGATCACGTTCGCAAACGAGCAGTGGCTGTCCTACACGGGCCAGAACTTCGACGGCGTCCTGGGGCTCGGGTTCATGGATTATGTCCACCCAGACGACCTGGCGAAATGCCGGATCCCTCCGGGGGGTGAATCGAACCCGGCTCCCAAGGGGGATCCGAGGAGCGGCCACGGCCGCTCGTTCTCGGCTGACTATAATACGCCTCCTCCTCGCGCCGGCAATAGGTTGAGTGTTGGTGGTGATGCCGGCGGCCGAGGTCCTGGCCACGGGCTATCGCGGAATGATAGCTCTGCCAGCAGCGGCAGCGGCAGCGGTAGCCACGACGGCTCCACGTACGAGCTTCCAACTGCGAATCTCACAGAGCTCGCGCGCAAGGGGGTGATCAAGGTGTCCCGAGACAGCAGCGGCCGGCTTTCCTACACGACCGAGATCCGGCTGCGGTCCAAGAGCGGCGAATACCGCTGGCACCTCATCCGCTGCGTCGAGATCGACAATGTCGATTTCGGCAACGGCGCCAGTTCGTATTTCGGGTCGGCCACAGACATCAACGACCTGAAGCTGCTCGAGACCAAGCTGAAGGAGGCGATGGACTCCAAGGGCCGCTTCCTCAGCAACATGTCGCACGAGATTCGGACGCCGCTCATCGGCATCTCGGGCATGGTCAGCTTCCTGCAGGACACGACGCTGAACGAGGAGCAGCGCGACTACACGAACACGATCCAGACGAGCGCCAACAGCCTGCTCATGATCATCAACGACATCCTGGATCTCTCCAAGGTGGATGCGGGCATGATGAAGCTGAGCTACGAGTGGTTCCATACACGTTCCCTGATCGAGGACGTCAACGAGCTCGTGTCGACCATGGCCATTGCCAAGCGGCTCGAGCTCAACTACGTGGTGGAGGAAGACGTGCCCTCGTGGGTCAAGGGAGACAGGGTGCGCATCCGCCAGGTGCTGCTGAACGTGATTGGGAACGCCATCAAGTTCACGAGCCAGGGCGAGGTGTTCAGCCGATGCAAGGTCGTCAAGCCGGAGGGGGCGGTGCAGCTGCGGCCCGACGAGATCATGCTCGAGTTCTCCATCATCGACACGGGCCGCGGCTTCACCAAGGAGGAGGCCGAGCTGATCTTCAAGCCCTTCAGCCAGATCGATGGCAGCAGCACCCGGCAGCATGGCGGAAGCGGCCTGGGCCTGGTCATCTCACGGCAGCTGGTCGAGCTGCACGGAGGGAAGATGGAGGGCACTGCGGTGCCGGGCAAGGGATCCACCTTCACCTTCAGTGCGAGGTTCGGCCTTCCGACCGAGGACGACCACCCCGACGAGCTATCGCCGGTTGCTCAGCCGACACCAAGCCTGATGCAGAGCACGCCTCTTGCTGGTGCGCAGTCGCCGTCGGAGAGCCCGCACCATCCGGACGCCGTGGACAAGGCGACGCCCGACTCGGAGCAACGTCTCACTTCTCCCGCGACGCTCTCGAGCGGCAGCTCGGAACTGTCGGCGGCTTCCAGCCGCACGCGCATCACCGGCCGCTCGTCCGTGTCGTCTGTGAATGCCGGCCTCGTCCGCTTTAGCCAGGCGGCCCGGGCCAGCGGACAGGACCTCTCCCAGATGAAGCTGGAGATGCCCGGAAGCACGCCGCCGATGAACGAGAGCCACTACCAGCAACGATCGCCCGACGCCAAGGCGATCCCGCCGCCGCCCATGTACTCGATCCTGATCATCTGCCCGCAGCTGCACAGCAGGGAAGCGACCACCAAGCACATCACCATGACGCTGCCCAAGGACATCCCCCACCAGATCACCGCCGTCGCCTCGGTCGAGGAGGCGCAGCCGTACATCACGGGTGAAGACTCGGTCCGCTTCACGCACATCGTCGTCAACCTCCCCACGCCCGAGGAAATCATCGCGCTCACGGACAAGCTCATGGGCGCCGAGTCGCGGAGCAACCTCGGCGTAACCAGCGTGCTGATCCTGTCGGACTCGGTCCAGCGCCAGGCCGTCTCCAAGCTCGTCGCCGGCACCAAGTACGAGGACATCCTCTCCGAGGGCAAGGTCACGTACATCTACAAGCCCGTCAAGCCGTCCCGCTTCGCCGTCATCTTCGACCCAGCCAAGGAGCGCGACCCGAGCATCGACCACAACCGCTCGACGGCACAGCGCCTAGTCGAGGACCAGCGGCAGAGCTACGTCGATATGGAGCGCCGCATGGGCGGCAAGGGCTACAAGGTGCTGCTGGTCGAGGACAACCCGGTCAACCAGAAGGTGCTGCAGAAGTACCTGAAGCGGGTCGGCGTGACCGTGGAGCTGGCCGCCGACGGCGTCGAGTGCACCGAGATGGTGTTTGAGAAGGGGTGGGGGTATTATTCGTTGATTCTGGTTCGTGTTTTTTTTTTCTTTCTTTTTTCTTCTTCTTTTTTCCCGCCCTTTCTCTTTCTTTTATATTTGTTGTTACTGACATGACACCAAATCCGAACAACAGTGCGACCTCCACATGCCGCGCAAGGATGGCTACCAGGCCTGCCGCGAGGTCCGCGCCTGGGAGGCTGAGGGCGGGTTCGGCTCCATGCCCATTATCGCGCTCTCGGCTAACGTCATGTCGGACGTGCAGGAGAAGTGCAAGGATGCCGGATTCAACGACTATGTCACCAAGCCGGTCGACTTTATAGACCTGAGCAGAGCCCTGTCCAAGTTCTTTTGAGCTGTTGCCCTTTCCGCTTCCGCTTCACCGGAGATATATAGGGGTGCAATTAGACAGCGGCTGGGCTTTTACGATGTGATTCCAATCTGGTTAGGACCTGGCAAGCGGAAGGGGGGACCGCCAACGAAAGTGTAGTTGGAGATGGATGGCGGAACGGGGGCGGTTACACACTTGCCCTCGGACTTATTTAATGAGATACATAAATGCTCTCCCCCCGTCTGCCTGTTTTTTGGGGGGGCACGTAAACAGGGAGTGGATGGATGGGAGGGGAAACGGACTGGCCTAGTGCTGAGCTTCTTCTCGTCTCGAGGCTTATTATTAGGCACTGGCAGTTGGTTGTTGGGGCACATCGTTGGCGGGCGAAGCTGGTTTCTCTTTTGGGGCCTTCCCTTCGCATTTTGGAGGGCGTATGTTTCTTCTTTTTTTTCTTTTTTATCTTTTTTTTTTTCGTTTTCCTTGCCTGTAGAACTATTATTACCTACCTTGCCTTTTGCGGCTTTACAGGTTCTACTTTTGGGAAGGGGGGAAAGCAATGTAAAGCAAAGCAAGGAAGGGGGCCAAAGCATGGTGTTGGGAAACGGATCAGAAGTTATTGATATACCATTTTTTACCAATGCCAGTGTTGCTATTACTTCTTGAGGGGTTTTGTTTTTTTTTTTTTTTGGGGGGGGTTGGGGGGGGGGGGTAGGGAGACTGGCTGGCTGGCTGGCTGGACCGGGGCGAAGGGAACTAAACTTTGGAAAACATAGAGAGTCCAATGGAAACGGGATTGAATAACGCCGCGGAGGGGAAGGAGGGCGAACCTTGTTGGATGGCAGAGGTCAACGCTTGTCGAACATGTTTCATCCAGCTTTTTCAGGAATATATGGCGCTTCCTGATCATGATCATTGGGATACAAAAGAGTTGGTTTAGAGGCCGAGAGAAGTTAGAGAAGTCGGGGAGATCATGACGTGGTTGTGAACCCAGCCCCAATAGGAGGGGGTTTCACAGCTCTGCAGGTAACATTAGCTCAGGGGCGCATGACGGGGACAGCTTGATGTTGATAGATCATTCTAACCATTCATTACCCTCATCAACACCTCCCTTTTCATTTCCCACGTTAGGTACCAAGGTGTACCTTACCATGCCCTTTCGCGTATGTACTAATACTTATTTGGTACCTAAGCCCTCCACCAAGCCGCCACGCCCAACACAAACACACACACCAGCACATCCCGCCTCACCGTCCCCAGCACCTCGCCGTATCGCATCGCCGTCTCGACCTTACTTCTCACACCCCGCGGCAGAAACCCCGCCAGCATGCCGAGCATCCCGTTGTTGGACTCGAGCCGGCTCCGTCCGCGATCCATAAAGTACCGGCTCGTGAGCAGCAGCGCCTCGGCGGTGGCGAATGCCCAGAAGAAGTTCTTGGTCATGGTCCCGTCGAGACCATACTGCAGGTGGTGTAGTAGGTGTTCCCGCTCTTCCGCGGACCCGGCTGCAGCAGCCGCCGCGCGGTCGCGGCCCAGCTTGGTGCCTGTGAACGGCGTGTAGAGGGCGATGTAGAGGCCCAGCGCGAGGGCGATGAGCGTGTGGAGGAGGCGGTAGAGGGATGCAGAGCGGGACGGGAGTGTGGGGTTCGCTTGTTGGGCTTGTTGGGGTTGGCTTCCCAGCTGGGAAGGCGGGAAACCGGCGAAGGGGTTGTTGGAGCTGTTGTTACCGCCGCCTAGCATCTGCATCATCATCCGCATCATGGGGTCGTCCTCCATGCCTCCCATGCCTGGCATTGGCATGGCTGGTGTTCCTGCTCCCGTTCCTGGAGGGGTGGGCTGGTCGAGGCCGAGCATTATTTGGCGGAGCTGGGACTCAGACATGCTCGGGGGCGTGGTGCCGTTGGAAGGGGGCACTCGGGCGGTGGTTCGCGGCTGGTAGAAGTGCTGCGAGATGTCGACCTCCTCCGGGTCGGCATGCGGCACCTGGGCCGCCAAGGGCGTGACGCTCGCTGGCGCGCTCGATGCCGTCGTCGAAGGTGCGGGCGCACGGGTAGCTGCCGGCGCCGGATCTGTGAAAAGGCAGTTAACTACAGGCCGTCGGTGGACTGCTTGGCGGAAACCACAAAGCTCACCCCGCTGAACACCGCCTCCCAGACCGGTGATCGTCTTCAATCTCGACTCGGCCCCGGCCTTGATCTTGGCCTCACGGCGCGCCTTGCGCAGCCGAATCTGTTCTTCGGCGCGCGCAGCAGCAGCAGCTTCCTCCTCTGGGGTCATTTTGCTCTTCCTTCTCAATGTAACTGATTAATCTTGTTCGACGTCCAAGGTCTTTTATAGGAGAATGGGGACCTAGTTCGGCGCAACAGTGAGTGTAGGCGCGGAAGAATTGCTGACGTTGGGTTTGCTGCAGGTGTGATGTGGTCGCATCCAACATCCTTATCTTATCGGAGCTGTATGTAGCTACCCCCTGTCTACCCCTTGTATGAGCGGCAGGAGGCGCTCACATGCAATTGAACAACACATGATAAGGATCAGGCTTACATCTGGGCAGTGTCTCCGGTAGAGGAACATTTTCTTCCAGCTGTCTACCTTACCATGACTTACCAAAGGACATTAGCGTTAACACCAAGCCACAACATCTTCACCCAAATCCCAACACAGTCGGAACCAATCCAAGTCGGCCTGAGTGCATTTTCTCTTCGCATGCCTACAGTCTAGGTAGTCTTAGCTAACATAAAGCATATACCATCTCCCAGCTTTCACTCTCCTACACAACCTCAAGCGCCCCTTCAAGGCGTAGCCTTACTCATACTGATCAGCCTCTTCAAGCCGGTCTGTATTGTCACGTTAGCCACAGTCGACATTGATCAATAGATGTAGCAAAACTCACCATCCACTGTCCGCACTCCTCCGTTTTGTGCGTGAAGATCTCCATCTGGATCCTCGACGCAACGTCATAGTTCCTGCCGGCAATCGCCTCGGCAATATTGTTCAGTTGCTCGATCGTGTCGGGCTTCACTAGGTCCCCATTGTTGAGGTGATCAAACAGCAAGCCCAGCCGCTTTTGCGTGTCCTTGACTTGCGGCGCAAACGTCGCCGGCGCCTTGGACGCTACCCGCTGCATGTCCTGGCTCAAGACCTCCACCATCCGTTTTGCGTTAGCCGGAATGTGCGACCGGTCGCCGGGGGGATGTCTCTGCGCTTGCGGGGCCGATGCGGCAGCCTTCGGCGGTGGCGGCGTCTGCGCCGGCGGTGCTCTGGCGGCCGGCGGGGGCCCTCCAGCAGCCGGAGGAGGCGCTGATGTCGGCGGCGGGCCTACGGGGGGGCGGAAGGCCTGTGGCGGGGGAGCTGCATACTGTTGAGGAGGTGGAGCCATAGGCTGAGCGGCCGGCGGGGGAGCATATGGGTTCGCCGGCGGCAGCGCCAATGGGGTAGACGTGGGCCCTGGACCATAGGGTTGGCCAGATGGCGCTGGCGCGTACCTATTCGACGGCGGCGCGGCCGCAGGAGGAGGGTTGTATGGAGAGGCGGTCCGCGGGGCGGGTGGGGGTACCATCGGCGACGGTAACCCGGTTGCCGGCGGGGGCGGGGGCGCATAAGGGTTGGTCGAAGCGTTCGATGTTACCGAGGCTGACCGCACGGGCTGCTGCCCAGCCGGCGGAGGCCCGACAGGCGGCGACGTTACGTTTCGAGGAGGCGCTGACCCTTTAGGGGGAGGTGGGGGTGGAGTGGGCACGCTCCGCTGATACGGTCCTACGGGTGGAGGACTTTGCAATCCTGCTTGGCCTGGGAACGGAGATGTCATGGCTGCGACGCTCGGTGTCGTCCTGCGCACGGGAGGTTTGGTCACCATGGGCACATCGTTCCAGTTGCCAGCTTCCTTGTTGATCTTAGGCGGGGGCCCAGTGCTTCTCGGCGGTGGAGGGACCTGTGTTCCTGGTTGCCCAAATGTGGGCTGGTGTGCTCCATAGCCTCCGGCTGCCGGAGGCGAAGGTGCATATCCCGCGGCGGGCGCGTACGCAGAGGCTCCGGAGGGCGCGTATGGGTTTGTCGAGGGCGGCGCGTAGCGATTCGCTGCTGGAGCAGGAGCTTGGGCCTGGACAGGCGGCGCATATGGGTTCAAGGGGCTGGGCCCGACCGGAGGGATCGTCGCCGGCTGCTGATAACCCATTGGGGCAGCAGCACGGGAAGGCGTGCGGGACACTGGAGCGGCCTTCTGGGTAGCGAGTCTGACGCGGTTCCTGGCCACTTCAGCAGCGGGAAAGCTGTTGGGGAGCAGGTCAAGATATCTCTGCGCGACAGCCAGGTGGCCCTGCGCGGCAACGATATCCGCGTACTCGGTGTACTTGTCGTACAGAGACACAAGCTTCCAGCCCTCAGCGAGGTCTTTCTCGGTGTCTGTAAACTTCGCGACATGACGGAAAACCGTGACTTTCTCAATGAAGTGCTGCAGCGATCGGGCATGGATCGAGAAGCCGGAGTCGTTGCTGGCTTCGTTGAGACCTGCCTGTTCCGCTTCTTGGAGCTCGGCAATCCAGATGTCCACCACCTTCTCGAGCTTCGAGCCGACAAGATAGCAGAAGGAAGCGTCTCTCCTCGAGCCTGATTCGTAGATGCGGTCGCCAAGAGCTTCGCAGAGATCGGGGAACTCGGAAGGCTCAGCGAAGGTGCAGAGCGTGACCATTGTCTCCTTCCAATTGCCGAGGTCCGCATTATACACAACATCCCAGAGGTTCTTGCCGATGATGGAGTTGACGAGGCGCAGGTAGCTCGGCCTGCCCTTCTTCTGCGCGAGATATGCCGTCTGCACCTTCTCGACGAGATCCTTCCCACCGCAGTTCGCAAGGATAAATGCGTCGGCGATCCTATCCTCCTTCATGCAGATGTCGACTGCCTTTTCGAAATTGCCCATAATGATGGCCTTAGTGATACCGTCCTCAGCCGCGTTGCCCTCGCCCAACAATTGGAAAGGGTCATCTGTTTTGGCTCCCTTAGCCGGGGCGAGATCAGACAAGAAGTCGTCGCCTTCGTCGACGTCGCCCCACATGCTCGTCACACGCTTGTGCTTCTTCTTGGCTGCGTCGACGCTATTGGCTTGTGGCGGCGCAAGTAGTCCAGCCTCGTTTGATTCCTCCCTTGGCTCCTCCTTGGATTCCTCCTTTGCAGACTCACCCGCCTCCTCCGTGGCACTGCCCTCATCCTTGCCGAATCCGAGGTATTCGAGTATCTTGGTGCGTCCATCTGACTCACTGAGAGTCTTCAAGACCTGCCAATCAGCCTTCTCCTCATCGGTCTTTGCCTCGGCCACATGAGAGTCGCAAATGCCGGCGATATCTCCGTTCTTGAAAGCCTCCTCAAACTTCTCGGTGGCGGACCCAATATCTGAATCGACGGAGAAACCGGATATTTGGATCTTGGAGGATCTGGGCTGGCCGGCTGCAGTGTCGCTCTTCCTGAAGATGACAAGCTTACCGCCGTAGCCAAAGGAGACACCGACTGGCCGCTCGAGCCACACGGGCGCTCTGGTAAGAGAGAATGATGCTCCTTGTAGCTGGGTTGGGGCCTTGGAGAAGAAGTCATCGTCATCCATGCTGGTCTGTGCCGCGGGCACGGCAGAAGGGTTTGTGTTCTGCAAGGTCTGAATAGTGATCTTCCCATCAAACGAGGCAGTGGCCATGAGGTTCGGGTTGCCGGGGTTGAAGCGCGTCAGGAACGTCCAGTTGGTGGCCTCGGGGAACTCTCCATATCGCTCCCCAGTCTGCGGGTTCCATACCAACGTTCTGTTGTCCTTGCCGCAGGAGATCAGAAGGCCAGGATCCTGCTGGCACCACGACAGTGACAGAATGCCCTGATCGTGGCCTTGGAGGGTCCTCTCGGGTGCCTGGGAGTTCCTCAGGTTCCATAAGAGGATGACCGGCGTGTTGTCATCTGACGTAGCAGTCAGGAGGTTTGTGGAGTTGTTCGGGTCCCAAGCAATGGCGCTGACGGGCTTCCGGTTGTTGTTGAGCGTCAACGAAGCCTTCTTAGTCTTCAGATCCCACACCGTAACAAAACCGCCGGCACTGCCTGTTGCCAAGATGTTCGAAACCTTGCGATTCCAAGCTACGCAGTCGATATCGTGGGCTGCGGCCGTGCCGAGCCGGAAGGCGGTCGAGGTATCGTTGATGTCCCAAATGAATAGCTCGCCTTTGGCGCCGGCCGTAGCGAGGACCTGCGGCCTCAACGGATTGAACTGCAGCGCCTTGATCGGGCCAGTGTGCTTAGTATCGCGCGACATGAGAGCCTCTTCGCCAGCGAGAAGCTTCGCGGCATCCCACAGCTGTAGCGAACCATCCTCCATTGCGCCGGCAACGACGCCTCGCGGATGCTCGTCACTTGCAGCCCCCCATGCTATGTCGTAGAATCTGGCACCGTGTCAGCGTTGAGACCACGGCCGCCCATGCGATGCGCATACCTGGACTCGGTACTGATGCTGGCGATCGGTTGCAGCTCGAGCCCCTGGTCGACAGCGTCGAGATTCAGATCCCATAGCTCCAACTTGGTCTCGTCCGAGAAGTCGGCATCGACTGCACCTGACCTGGTGCCGGTAACCAGGAACGGGCTTGTGCCGGGCGACCAAGCAAAGGCCGCGGTCCGCGGGATCTCTCTCAGCCGGACCATGGCGGCGAGAGTGTTGTGGATTGACTCGGGGCGGGGACGACGGCGGTGTCGTGGGGTACTTTGTTTGAGAAACCTCACTGGAGAAAAGCAATTGAGATGTATTAAACGCGAATGGTCAAGGTTAAGCACCGCAAGCTCAACAGAGAAAGAAAGCTAGAGCCGTGGAGGCCCAGGGTTGATGGTGGAATTCCTCAGCGGATGGATAGTTGTTCAGGTTGCAGTCGGTGCGCCTCTTGCCAGATTGCCTCGACTCCTGAGATGCGTCTGGCAGGGGGGTGCCCCCGGAATTTTGGCACCCAGTCTCCAGTGAAAGCAGACCAACCCTAACCCCCGGTTAGCAGTCTATTCATCTGTATTCGTAAGTAATGATACTAGTACTTGAGCCCTTGACACCAATTTTGACTTCTAGAAGTGCAAGTTAAGTCACTAGGGAAGAGACGAAATTAAAGGGAAATCAATCACCCATAAAGTCTTAGTCTTAAACGCTTGGCCAGGGTACACCGCATTTGCCTGCGATTACCTCCTTTCTACAGAGTCGGCAGGTAAGGTGGGAGTGGGGTGGGAGCTACTCCTACCATTACGTTCTATTTACAAACCACATGATACCCATCTTCAACAACAGCGCCTCTTATATTCGGACAGTCGCGGCCACCATTTCTCACTCCTTGGTGGGACGGCTGTTGCATGGGCGCTTACCCTAAAGAGAACCAGTATATAACCCAGCCGAGGAGCCCCAACCCTGACCTTACAATCAGCTAAATTCTCACTCACCATCAACCTCGGCCCTCCTCCCATCTACCCAGGACCAAGCAAGCTCAGCCCCTCGAACTGAAAAATGACAGACGCCACCCGCTGGAAAGCCACAGTCTACGTCGGAGGCCTAGCCCCGCAAGTGACCGTCACAACGCTGCAAGAAGCCTTCCTGCCCTTCGGCGACATCGCCGATGTGTCGCTCCCCAAAAATGAGAACCCCAACTCAACTGAACCGCACCGAGGGTTCGCGTACGTCGAGTTTGAGGACGCCGAGGACGCGAAGGAGGCCATCGACAACATGGACCAGGCCGAGCTGTTTGGGCGAGTGATCAAGGTGTCGGCGGCCAAGGCGCCGAAGAGTGCCGGGGTGCAGTTAGGCGGGAAGACTGCTGTCTGGGAGCAGGTAGGCTACTTTTACTCATCCTTGTTTTCTAGCGCATGCTTATATGACGCACCGGTGATACTGACATTGGTGGCTGGGTCATAGGAGGGTTGGCTTGCTGAGCATGCTGTTAGTGAGGAGGACAGGTTGGCAACAGATCAGGCTCAGAACGCACGGCCAGAAGATCCGATGCAGGGTCTCGAGGGGCTGGATGTTCTTGGGCCAAAACAGGAGTGAAGGAGGATTTGAACTCGGTCTATTCGAGGAGCTAGATGCTGCCGTAGGAGACCGAAGCCGAGCTGGAAGCCTGAGCAAGGGATTTGACGACGTGATACCAAGGGAATTGCATAGCCCCGGCGTTGGGACAGATTCTGGGAAAGGGTTGGGTAATCAAGAAATGCATGTTTGTGTTCACACGCCTGGACAAGTATTGACACATTCCGATGAGGACCACACCCTTGCTTCCGTCCGAGCGGTTCGATCTGCCCCTCAATATACAAGGTTCCTGGCCAACCGACGTTTTAAGATTCCCCTTATCGCCCATTCTAATACACGTTTCTGCTTGCTCAGTGATGCTCCTCATCGCCATGGGCAGCGTGGGCAGCATGGGCATCCGCCGCGCGGTTTTGTCTCTTGAGGCGGATGTTCTTATCGACCATCAGATGACGAGTGCTTGAGTAGATCGCAGCGCTGACAGCAAAAGCGACGACCACGCCTATGCTTCCTATAAGTATGATGGAGAACTGCCGGAGAGAGCGTATTGTGACGGCTCACCGAGGGGAATCAGCTCGGGCGGGATTTGCCTGAGGCGTCTCAAGCGCTGGGAGATGGTGTGCCCTATCGACCGACCGTGTCCCTGTCAGCCTTCAAATCCAAATCCGAACCAGAACGCGGTTAACGTCTTCAATGCTTTCGTCGGAGTTCATCCAGTGGCCCCACGTACCAGCCTGCTCCTCCTTCTATAACACGGCAGGTCAGCTCTGACGCAATCTAACAAACTGGCGCAAACAGCTCTCCCTTACCGGCACTGGCCGCATCATGCGAGCCGTGGGACGGAACATTCGCAGAGACCGCGTGGCGTACATGTTGTGCGAATTGAGCGGAGAGGTTCCTCTGAGAGGCAAGGTTGTGGTGGTTGCGCAGCAGCCCGTTCCGGGGTATTTCTGAAGAGCTTCGGGAAGTTGAGGTCACGATTTGGCGAGACAGGGCAGCACTGTGGCTCAGAGCAAGCTCGGCAGGATTTGGCCAGTGAGATCAGCCCACCAGCCAAGGTTCTGCCCGCAAAACAGTGCTGCCTTCAAGCCGCAGCCAATCAAGTGGCCCACCCCGTCTTTGCGCATCACAGGTCGGACGCCCAAACCCGAACCCGTTCCACCTACGTATGGTAGCTTTGACCTCACCACTCCTTCCGCAGCTCCCCTTCCGCTGCCGTCAGGGAATCAATTCACCCATTGAAGCTGCACGCCAGCGTCGTTCGTCCCGTGAGATTCCAATTATTTTGCCCACCATGTCTGACTCCGACGACGAGCGCGTCACCAAGCCCTTCAAGTTCGTCACAGGTACGATCCTAAGCTGCGCCCGCAAATCCCTCGGCAGAGAAAAAAAACATGGCCTGATCTGTCCCGTGGGAACCCGTCACTAACACTTTCGGCAGCTGGTATGCCAACCCGCTTCCTTATTGCAAACGTTCCATCATAGAATCGAATTGGCCGCTTGGAGGTCCAAATCAGGAAGAGAGAGAGAGAGAGGCGGGGGAGACGGGGGTTCGGGAAGAAGTGACGCGGGAGGGATGGGAAACAGCGGCGGAGTCGACGAGTGCACACGATCTGACGACTCAATCTCTACAACTCTAGGTGTCGACGCCCGCTTCCCGAACGTCAACCAAACCAAGCACTGCTGGCAGAACTACGTCGACTATCACAAGTGCATTCTCGCCAAGGGCGAAGACTTTGCGCCGTGCCGCCAGGTTAGCCAGCCCATTCCAGCTGTGTCGTGTGAGAGAGACATGCTGTGGGAATGCTGGATGCTAAATATCGGGGTCCTTACAGTTCTGGCTCGCCTATCGGTCCCTGTGCCCCAGCGGATGGTATGAGCGGTGGGATGCGCAGAGAGGTACGGAGAAATGCTCTTCCGCCTGCATGAGGATAAGATCCTACTGACACGCCTACAGAGGCTGGCAACTTCCCTGTCCGCCTGGACCAGTAAGGGGATGATGTGATGAGACGGAATGTTGGCGGGGACTGCACCAAGCCTGGCTCTTGTTACACTTAACTCACGGCAGTAGGGGAAATGTGCATAGAATTGGGGCGCTCGTTCTTGTACGCTTCATGCAGTGACAGGTAAGGCCGCAAACGGACGAATTGTTGCAGTTGGGATTACGCATGTGGAAGTTGACTGGTATCATCATTTTATGTCAATTTGTATCAGGACCCTTGAACGCCGCACCCACGCTGTACAGTACCAGAAACGCCCATCACCACCAACCAAAGGTCTGCCCGAAAATCATGCAATGAGCCGGACTATTCGCTGCGGTGTTATGCCGCGGTACCTTCACCCTCACTCTCCTCGTCATCCGAGCTCATAAAGTCATCCTCCTCATCAAAACCAAAGAACTTGCGCGCCCCCCCAGTCCCATTACCACTCCCGTTTACTGTCAGCTTCCCCTTCCCTTCCCCCTTGGGTTCCGGCTCCGGCTCCGAAGGCGGAGTAGTCTCCTTTGACCCACCGCTTGCCTCCCCTACATCATCCTCCATCTCCTCGTCTGCCTCATCAGCAGCCGAGCTGCTACTACCCCCGGCCTCATCACTACCCCCAGCCAACCCAACCAGATTATCCCTGTACCCACCTCTCTTAATAGCTTCCAAGACTGCCTCCCGCGTCCTCTCGCCTGTCTCTTCTTTATCCTCCACCCATTTCCCATCCAAACCCACCCTTTTACTGCCGTACTTGATCTCTTCCTGCCGCCGCTCCGTCATTTCCACAATCTGCTGCCACCGCTGCTTCCTCCTCTCCTTCTCCTTCTTCTCCATCTCGGGCTTGATGGCCAGGTACTCGGCCAGCGCCTTGGCCTCGTTGACTGTGCGCAGGCGGCGCCCGTCCAGGTTACGGGACGACCCGTTCTCGTCGGCTGCGTTGGCGCCCTTTTTGCGTTTGGACATGCGGCCGCCCGCGGCGCGCAGTTGCGAGCCGAAACCGCCCTTCCCGCCTGGAAGCGGGGCGGAGAGTCGCAGTGTGAGAAAATCATTTTGGAGACGGGCGAATCCATCATCAACCGAGGAGGCGGTGGTGGTTGGAAGAAAGTCGGAGATCGTGCGAGCCGAGTCGAGTGGGACAGGCCGGTTGGAAAGAGTTGATAGCAGGAGACGGGTGGCGTGAGAGGTGCATGGTTTTGGGAGACGGCTGTCAAGTTCGTCCACGAGGGCAGATATGGGCGTCGTTGGCGGCAGAGCGAGGGATAGCGTCGGCGGAAGGCCCGTGCCGCCGAAGCTTGTGATGAGAACGTTGATTTTGCTGGCAACCATTTTGTTATGTAGGTCCGTATCAACAGGCCAGGTGCTGTCGTGGTCCTTCCCGCGCGTGGCGGGAGCCGCAATGGCGATTCGAGCTGCACTTGTTTGAAGAGTATTGCGAGGTGTCGAGACGAGACAGGAAATTGGTGTCGAACGCGTAGGAGCGCAACGTAAGGCAGCGGAGTCAGCAAGGGGCTGTGTCGAAATGTCACGCTACCGTTTTCGATGATGGTCAGCGAAAGTTGGGACAGACGTGAAGGTTCACGGCCGCTTGGCCCATGCGTTGAAGAAATGGGGAGCCACCAGCCACAGTGGGGCCTCTTCAGCCGCGCCTAGACCCAAACTTATCCTGCCAATGGATTGTGGCGCTGCGCCCCGCTAATCTCGAGCCCTACTACCAGATTGGAATTTCTGGCGCGGGAGCCCACAAATCACCGCGGTCTTGAATTTTGAAGAGCTCGTCTCCCGAACGCCGACACACCTCGCAGACCAAGATCACTAACTGTGTCGACACCGGTCCAGCCGACAAGATGCTTATTCCTAAGGCTGATCGCAAGGCGATCCATGAGGTATGCTGATTCTGTGTGTACCGCTTTCAGAGGAGCATAGACAACGCATTTCCTGGAGAATCTCGACATCAGCGAACAGCAAGGGAACCTGGAGCTAACATTTGTGGCAGTACCTCTTCCGTGAGGGCGTCATGGTCGCTGCGAAGAAGTAGGTTCACCGAATTTCGTCACGAACACCCCCGACTTTCTCCCCGAGCAGAGTTGTTTGGATTTCAGCCCACGATACGCGCATTTCCATATTTCACCGATCCGAACACTCGTCCACGATCAAACCTGCGGATGCTAATTCACAGTCCCACAGCTATGAGTCGACGCACGAGACCGGCATCCGCAACCTCTACGTCATCAAGGCGTGCCAGTCCCTGACCTCGCGCGGCTATGTCAAGACCCAGTTCTCGTGGCAATACTATTACTACACCCTGACCCCCGAGGGTCTCGACTACCTCCGGGAGTGGCTGCACCTCCCCGCCGAGATCGTCCCGGCTACCCATATCAAGCAGCAGCGGTCTCATGCCCCGCCTCGTGGCATGCTTGGCGGCGAGGAGCGTGGCGAGCGGAGGTTTGGCGGCCGTGGCCGTGGCGACCGGGGCGACCGGGAGGGCGGCTACAGGCGCCGGGATGCTGGTGAGGGCAAGGAGGGCGGTGCGCCGAGCGACTTTGCTCCTCAGTTGTAAGTCTCTGCGAGGGGACCTAGGTGTTTTGGAGCGCGGGTGGTTTTGCTAACAGCGGTATCCCAACAGCCGTGGTGGTTTCGGTCGTGGCCGTGGCGGCCGTGGTGATGCCCCTCCCTCGTGAAGCGGAAGGCGGATAATCTCTCTATCTCTTGGGTTGCCAGCAACGGCATAACGGCATGGCACGACATGTACTCTACGTATCAGAGTAAAAGGGTCGACCGGCAACGCACCCACTCGCCTGGACCGTGAGTGGTTTGCGTGTGGAGTTGGTGGTTAGAGATCATTCGGAAAACTTCTGCATTCAGGGTCATCATTTGCGGTCAAATGCGATTTTTGCTCTCACTCGGTTGCTCGTGGTACCACGGCGCGATGGGCCCGTCGCGGGATTGATGAGGTTACGAACAATGTGAGACGGGAGTCTTGTATCGCTCGGCTCAACGCACTCGGGCCGTGATGTAGGAAGTGCGAACCAAATGCTCATTTAGTCAACTCCCTCGCCTCCAAGATCAAGATAATCAGCCCTATGGGGCTTGGGCCATTTGACACGTCATTACAAGGCACAGCTGTCTTAATGGGGAAGCTCAAACCCCGGCGGGATGCGATATCAACTTCATCAGGGCACGGCAACGACAACGGCGCAGATACAGCTTTGAGCCCAAACAGAGAATGGCCCACAACACACGCTCCATCCTCTGTGTAGCGGTGTTCTGTTCAGTGACCTGGCATCTGTCTAAGGGGACGTTCTTCCCACTAGTGTGCTCAATCCATATACATGAGAAGCTCCCAGCCTGTCCCATGTATTCCACATATCGCTACAGCATACAGCTGGTTACTTAACTGCCGTCTGGTTGCTTGATAGCGTCACGGCTCTCTGCATCCCCTGACAGCGAGACACCGATCTAGTATCTAGTAAACCCTCTAAACGGTATGTACGTACAATCAGCCCCAATATTTCGAAATACCTACCTAGTCAAGGCACCTCTATCTCAGCTGCGGGACGACGACGTTCTCAACAAGGTGAAGGCATGCGGCGTGTGCGGGATGAGTACGTACGTTGGGCTGCCGCTGAGCGAGGCACGTTAAGTTTATGAGAGACAACTCTTAACTGACTTATTTAACCTGATGTATGTATGTACCGACACTTCGTGAGACGCCCAACCATTTCGGGAATGCAGCAAGTGAGTGATATGAATCAAACAGTATATCCACTAGGGGTGAGGTAGGCTCATCAAAAAATTTCATACTTTATCCAGGGCCATGAGGCCGTCGACGCCGTGGCCGCAGCTGTCCTAAAAGGGAAGGGGTTCAGCGCGGGTGACGGGCATGATTGTCAACTTCCGATTCTGAAGCAGTAAGACACTGAAACTAGCGTGAAAGATCGACTATCCCAGGCTTACACAAGATCAAGACCGAGGGCATCATCGGCAAGACCTTCAAGCTGGAGCGGCATGGCGAAGAGCGCGAGAGCATTAGGACAAGACGGCCGTCAAGAGAGCGATTGTCTTCAATGACCGACGGCATCTCGAGTCAAATCCTGTTCCAGTGGGTCAGTTTCTGTTCGTCACTACTGTATAGACGAGAGTTAAACGGTTGGGGGTCTCAAGATAGCGAGTGAGAGAATAGGCTCACCAGCGGTGTATTTCCCATTCTAGGTTCTGCTGCACATCATGATGGACGTCATTAAGCAGTCCGGGAAGGGCCTAGGTATGTATAAGGTAGGATTTATTTCAATTCAAGTGCAATACCCAAAAGCTAGTGCCCTAATTCTCCGCGCCTGTCTATATATAGCTGTGTAAATGCGATCGACCACAACCGACGACAAACATGCCTTGCTTTCCAGAAATTACCTTGTATGTACATGACAGCCACCAAGGCACGTGTGGATGGATGCCGTATATGTGATAGGGAGGTCATCATGCCAAAGATACACCTTAGGTACCCAAGTACGCTGAGAGTAATTTCAAGGTTGTAACCCATAGGCCGAAACGGAGGGGGTTTGCTTGCCATGGCCACCTGCTCATTTTTCGATCCAAGAAATGAAGAAGAAAACGAACCAGGTCACAATGACGCCCGATACATGCTCTGAGGAACTGACGTGATATGACACCAATGTATGCCAACCGAATATCTTGACAGGAACTGTCCCGGATAGAGAAGTGACTTTTTGGGCGGCCAGCCAACCGTAACGATCGTGATTAGAAGACGAGGGATGACGTGATGGCCATTTTAGTCACGCATGCCCCATTGCGGCTTGAGTGTCTTGGACATCGCCGCTTGCGTGAAAACCTGGTCACCGGGCAGACGGCTGACACGCCCAGCACCACTGCGGATGGCGTTGGCATGTGCCGCCGATAGGCCGCTACGGTTGCTCCGAATCGAGCCTGTCTCACTGCGGGAGTCAGAGTCGACGAATTTCCGGGGCGGGGCGAAATCGAGGGCTGTAAAGGTGCCAGATTTGCGGAGGAGATGACTGTACGGAGGTGTTAGCAAGGTTCTCGGTCTCTGATCGCGGGCTGAGGCATCAACTTACGGGCTGGGGAGCGCTGGAAGTTCCTCGAAGGCGTTCACCAAGGGCGAATGCGCAGCAACGGGCATCTTGTAAGGACGGCGTTCTCCCGCAGGACTCTGAGAACGGCCGCGGGCGCGCTCCGCGAAGGTTTCAGGCGGCGCAAAATCTAGCGCGTTCAGAATGGCGAAACTGTCATCCTTGAGCTTGGAGGGAGTGGGCAGCGTTGTGAGGTCCGCAGGAGGAGGGATTGGTTTCTTGGGACCGCCCATACGGCTGCCGGCACGGCTACCAGACATTGCGGAACCCGCACGAGGACGACCATAGGGACCCGATGCTGAGGATCCAGGACGCGAATGAGGGCCTAGCTGATTGGAAACAGATGAACCCGGTCGCGGGGGACCGCGAATGTTAGGGGGGCCCCGCATGCCCGTTTGAGATCCATGGAATACGCGGGGCGGACCTCTTGGGCCTGGGAATCTCTGGCCTGACGGTGGCGGCGTCATAGCCCGGCGAGATACGGGCTGGGCATAAGGCATGACAAACGAGTTGGTGGCAGGATCGAAATACGGAGTATCCAAAGCAAAGTTCGCATCGTAGTCCTCATAGTAGCTTGTGTTGCTCTGGTGATGCTGATGATGGGACTGTTGATGTTGCTGTTGCTGCTGTGGCATCGGCGGCATCGGCGGAACAGGAGGCCGATCTTCCGGCTTCGAGTCTTCGAAGTACTCCTTGTAGAAGGATCGAATGCGGTTGGCCCTGTACTCCGGGTCCTCTGAGTCCATGATCTCATCCGGCGGCAGCGGGCGGAAGCCGACCGAAAGCCGACGGTTGTCCTGTTGTGGAACGCCCAAGCCGCTCCGGCGGGCTGCATTCTGCTGCTCAAACAACTGAGAGGTCCTCTGCATGTTCCGGCCTCTGGGCTCGTCAACGCCGAGCTGTCCCTTGTTGTTCGGAGGCGAGGGGGACCGACGGCGCTCGTCGGGAAGTTCCGGCATCTCGACATAATCATAGTCATAGTAATGAACGGGCTCCTCAATGATAGGGGCAGTCGAAGACGCAGGCTGGTTCTTGAATGGTCCCGGGCTCGTAGCTCGACTGTTGGCGGACGAAGTAGAAGTTCGTACCGATGCTCGCGCGGGCTCGGCTTGCGTGGACAGACCAAGGCCTACGGAACTCGGTTCGGTGGGGGTCTCCAGTTCTTGGGCCTCGGGCTTTTCGAACGGGTTGCCAACATTTCCATATTCGACCGCAACACCGGAATCGGCGGGACTCGCTTGCGAAGGCGAGGGCGTTGACTTCGCGACCGTCTTCTGGGCGACGGCCGGTGGCTCCTGAATTGCCACACCGATGGCATCCTCATGCGATGGCTGAGAAGTCGAAACTGCAGTCCCGATGGGCGACAGAGGTCCTTTCAAAGCCGGGCTCGCAGGCATACCAGCGTCCTCTAGCTGCGGCTGCTCAGGTCTCATGTGAGTAGGCTCAGGCGGCACAAGCGGCGACTTCGGACCGGAATTTTGACGTGATGGAGTACCATGCGGGCCAGGGGACCGCAGAGGCGGTGGGACATCCGCACGGCTGTTTGACCTGGTGAAGACGGAGGCGGCATCGTTTCCTCTTGGTAACGACCGGACTGACCCAGTATCACTGGCGGCGTACTGCATGACTGGTCGGTAGGGGTCTTCGGATTGCTTAAGCGTTTTCGCCAGGGAATTCAGGGATTCGCGAGAATTGTGGGCTTCCGGAGGCAAAAGGTACGGGCTCGTCAAATTCATGTCCATCGACATCTGTTGCCGAGCGTATCGCGAGCTCCCATCCTTCTCCCGGCTGATTAGACTCTTGCGTGATTCCTTGGCAGCACCGCCCTGTTCTAGACCGAAATCCAGCGACTTGTGGGGGTCATTCAGGTCTTCCATCCGCTGTTTCTTGACGTTTCTTCGGTGGAGCCAGAGCAGAATACCGACCGCGACGACAATCGGGACGCTGTGGACCATGTGAGCTCTTCTGACCACTTACTAACGGCACAGCCAGATGGACTACTTACCACACTCCAAGAACAATGGGTAGGGTCATTGAGTTTCCTACGGGCTTCTCGCATAACTGCGGATCAGTGCACGCGGTGGTCTTCTCAGCTCGTGCAGCTAAGACGCGAGAGGGCACCTTGAATCCCAGCGTCGATGTTGTCGTGCTCCTTTTGGCGCGCATCCCGACGGGCGGGACCCTAGGCCCCATGGCGTAGGTCGCCCCAACAAGACCATCCTCCATCATTGATACCCTTATTCCTCCACAGCGCGTGTCCTTTCTTCGACAGCAGCCTGAAGGGCGACAGCGGGAGGCGGGAAAGCTGCGGTGGCAGTGTTCGAAGGAACCGTAAGAAATGTCAACTCAAGGGTGCGCAAGAGGAAGCTGTCATAACAGTCGTGGCCACAGGAGATGGCGCGTATGAAGATCCTGATTCTAAAGACCAACGGGCGAAAGCAGTGCTGGAAACGAGTGCGGCGTCCAAGAACCGGTGGACTGGTCAAGCCCCCTAAGAACAGCCTAATGGATCAATCGAGCTTGGAAATCACGCAACGCGTTGTCGTGGACTTTGAGATCCGACCACCACCCAATGCTAATAATGAACGTCGTGACGAGTGCTGTCGTCGTCAAAGGAGTGGACGCCTGCTGGCAGGCAAGACGGGCGGTTGAAGGAGTGAGTGTATCACACGTCTAGAGACGATGTGAAGTTGGAAGCCGTCTAGCCTCGAGGAGTCGCGCAATTGGTGATCCGGGGGCTGCAAAAGAGCGGAAGAGGGAAAAGAACGTGGTGGTGATTAGAGATTAGCATTTACGGAGAATGGGCGGGAGCAAGGAGAGAACTTCCGCCGGCTAGCCCAGACCTTGAAGCAAGCAACCCCCTAGCATCTTCCGTTGCTACCAAATCTCCGCTGGAGGGAGAAGGGATTGCCAGGCACCGGGGCCAGGGGAGGCTCTGCTTCCACCGCTTCCGCTGTCGCGCTCATGTTGACTTCTTGGCCCGGCGGTGGACGAATAGAAATTGCTAATTTCGTTGCAATCAAAAGGGGTAGCGGCGCGACCCCGTCGAGTGGATCCCCGCAATGATCTGGCCCCTGCCGAAGCGCCTGTCATCCAATCATGGCGAGGCGGTCCAGTTTTTCTTGCATGCGGGCTTGCACCGTTGCAGCGGCTGATCCACTCATTGACCGCAAGCCCTGCAGGAACGGTCAGGGTCAGATGCAGGAACGGACCACAAGTCCAGATTGACGCTAATTTCGCCTGCTGGAGAAACTTCAGGTGCATGACACTTCACCTTCAGGTACCGGGGCTTACAAAATCAGGGGGAAGAGTACTTTGCCGAGATGAACCAGGTCTCACTGATCCCAGGGGCAAATCGTCGCAAATCATGACGGTTTGAGCGGGAGTGGCCGACAGGCCATCGAGTGAAAAGGCTCGAAATGTTCATCCAATGCCCTCAGAGGCTTGTTTCCTGTCGTCTGAACGTTTGAAACAGCAATATTGAAAGCGGTCTGGCTGGTTCGAACCGAAACAGAACAAAAATCGTGCGCAAGACACAACCTAACTTGCTTCCTTCGGTAGAAACATCTCGCACAGAATAGATCAGTTTGTCGGCCGGCTATAGTACTTATAGGCAGAGCTTCGTTTTCAGGCGGCAAGCAGCCCAAGCCAGAAGTGGAATGCCTTCCTACACTATAACGTTCGACGAAGAATTCTCCGTGTTGCGGATAACTGCAGCAGTTGTGCTACGTTGCTTCGTGGCTGATCAAGCAGCCCAAGCATCTGGATTTGCGGAACTTTTTGTCTCAGCTCTCAGGCCGGTTGATGACTTTGCACCGCGCACCTCGGCCGGCGCTTCGGCCAAAGTTCCGGTGACGGACGCTGTAACCAAAATGGCTGCCTCGGAAGGTCTTCACGCCCCAGCTTGTTTTGCAGCACGTAGGTCTTCTCAGGGACAGGCTCAGTGCCTCAGATAGCCCTCACCGAGTCACCAGCCCGCGCCCTGGAAATACTGGGATCCGCCCGAGGTTTCACCACCCTGCCTGAGTCGATACACTAGTCCCTTTCCACCATCAACCGGCCTTGTAGAAGTCTGAAGCGTATTCTAGTAACCTAGTTTGCAGATGTCAGCATACGGTGACCGTTCCTCCTCGGAAAGTTCTGAAAGGGAATGCAATGCTGTCTTTGGGCACCGTCATTCTCACGAAGGAACCGCAAGGGGGGAAGCAAACACGCTGTGTTCAAGTACATACCAGTCCTTGTTAATCCGCGTGATGTCACGTATGAATGTCTTGTTTCCCGTCTCCATCACCTCGTGGAAGATGACCCAATCCGCCTTGCGATTGAACATGATGGAGCTCGGATGGGCGTGGAGCACCGTTGTCCCCGACACGTTCCGATATGTCCCGTCAGGCTGCATTCTCGCGGCATGAGCGAAGTACCCTGCTGTCAGACATCGTTGGATCTGCTCCGCCTTCCTCGCTGTCGAGGTTGAATGGGCCGCGAGGGATTCGTCGACGTGGAGACCAAACCTTTCAAGGTACCGCTTCAATTGGGCCCTGATGCTGACAGCACGCGTCATTGTCTTAAAGTTGAGCAGATTTTCGTGACAGAACCGGGACTCTTTGCGGCCCTTGGTCACGAATGTTTGGTAGACATTGAGCAGCGTCAGATGATCCCCTTCTTCGGCGGCGAATTTCCTCTTCGCGCTCTCTGTCTTCTTCTTCTCCCCTTCATGCTGGATCCAGATATTCCCACCGACGCTGGTCATAGCCGCAATTGTGAGGATCTCGCTCAGGCAGCCAAAGGACAGTGCCGAGAGGAGAGTCTTGGCCATCATGGGTTCTACTGCAAGTTCTGCCATTCTGAGACCCAGCGGCTTCGTCAACTTGGCGTAGTCGTCCAGGGCTCCCAGGGAGTAGAGCAGCTCCAGCGCCCTAGTCATCAGCTCTGCTGGGGGCGGCGTGAGGAAGTCAAACTTTAGGACATTGTCGATGCCCAAGGCCTTGAGTTGAAGGATAAAAGGTGCCAGATTTGACCGCTGGATTTCGGGAACATTAGAGTCGGGCAGGGATTGGTAGGCCTCCTCCGTGTAAAGCCTGAAGCACTTGCCGGGCCTTGTCCGGCCTGCGCGCCCTGCACGTTGTGCCGCGGACGCTTTGGAGATTGGTGTCGCTGTTAGGCTCTCGATCCCCGTCTTTGGGTTGTACGCCCGTAGTTTGACAAACCCAGAGTCCACAACATAGACGATGCCGTCTATGGTTACCGACGCTTCGGAGATGTTGGTGGAAAATACGACTTTCCTGTAGTTCTCGGGCGCTTCCTCGAAAACATACATTTGCTGGTCGGCAGGGAGGCCGGCATATAGAGGGAGGGGAAGAATGGAGTCGGACCCTGGCGGAAGTTGAGCCTGGCGTTCTGAAACAGCTTGGACCGCTTGTTCGATCTCTTCTCTTCCGGTCAAGAAGACCAAGACATCGCCCTTGGGCTCATCAGTGTGAATATCGAAGATTGTCGAGATAGCCTTCTCGAGATAGTCTTCTGTCGGTATCTCCAGGTAAAGGATATCTATCGGATGGGTCCTGCCCTCGAGGCTAATGATAGTGGCGATATCCTCATCCTGCTTGCTTTCCAGAGCAGTCTCTTCCTTGGGCTGTGAGAAAAAGTCGCGGAAGTCCTCGGCCTGGAGCGTTGCGCTACTGATGATGATTCTGAGATCTGGTCTCTTCCTCCTAATCTTCTTCAATAGTCCAAGCAGAATGTCGGAGCTTATAGACCTCTCGTGCGCCTCGTCGACCATGATCACGGAGTAACGAGAAAGCAGTGGGTCCACGAGAGCCTCCCGTATGAGAAGTCCGTCTGTGAGGAATTTGATGCGGGTGCTTTCAGAGGTAACATCTTCGAAGCGGATTGAATAGCCGACCTCCTTGCCAACCTCGCAGCCAAACTCTTCGGCTACCCTGATAGCTACCGTTGTGGCAGCAACGCGGCGAGGCTGATGACAGAACGAATGATGTTAGCCCTCTCCCATCCGAACACTAAATTAGGTGCCGTACGAGCACGCACCTGGGTGACAGCGATAACCTTGCCATCAGCACACCAGCCAGCACGCTCAAGAAACTGGGGGATTTGCGTACTCTTGCCAGACCCTGTTTGGCCCACAACAATGGTGACAGGATAAGTCTCAACGAGATACAACAAAGATTCACGGTGTTTGGCTATGGGTAACAAGGCAGCTGGTTTATGAAGCGCGGGGATGAAAGCCGCTCCAAGGTCGAAGTCTGCCATTGTCATCCAGTGAGCAGTGTCCAGTCCAAGTCCAAGCGGGTTGAGAACTTGAGAGAGCTATAGCCTATAAGCTGCTTTGCAAAAAGTAACTGTGGCCGTAGGACTGGCGGCCTGAGTTACGCCAATAAATCACAGCTTGAACGGCAACCTTCAGGAGGAAACCGAACGCAGGCTTATAACTTGGCCAAACCCGACTCGGCGCTACCATTGGCACTATTTGGCAGGCAATGCAGTTTGTCGTCTGACTCTGGGCAAGTTGTGAGCTGGAAAAGTGACTTCGACCTTGGGTGTCCGACAGCCGCAACCAGCTGGCAACCTCATGGGAGGCCCCACTTGTTGCATGCATGCAAGATCGAATGAAGGCATGAGCGCCTGATGACTCTCACTTTCCTCAACTGGTCCTGGACTCAAGAAGACAGGCGGGAATTGGGTAAGATTCCAGCTGACGGCGCGCATTTCAGGCTGCGCAGTGCACAACCACAGCTGAGCTGAGTGCAACCTACTTCTTCTTGAAGTTCACGATCAGAGAACACCCTACTTCACTCCCACAGCGCGATTCGGGGCTTGCCGCCTGCCTGCGCGTCCACAACAGCGGGAAACTGGGTGCAGCGTTGGGTTTGACCTGACCTTTCCCTATCAGCAGGAGGACCGACTACCTAGCGTTTCTTTTTTCTTTTTCCTACGGATTTGATCTCGTTGACTCTTTCCTATTACTGCGCCAATTTTCGTTGTTTCACGGCTTGATACCATCTGGAGCATCGGCTTTGATTGCTGTTCAGACGTCAAGCATCGTCGGGTCTGCAGTGGTTTGGTATCGCCGTAGTGCCCAGAACCATAGCTACCCCGGTGTCTGACTCCGATGCTGATGGATTGGGCCTTCTCGCGTGTATATCCCGCCATGACCGACTGATGACTGCTATCCAGGATGGGAAGAGACAGGAGAACTGCGCCTGGGGTGGGCGCCGGCGACCATGCCAAGGAACGGCACAAGAGAGACCGTCGGGGCAACCTGATAGATTGGTCGGCGCCCCTACCCCCAGGCTTAGTTGCGCGGCCCGAGAAGCCGAAGATCAGTTCCAAGCATAAGTCATGGTTTGAATTCATTGAGAACAAGGACAAGAAGAAGAAACTCGAGTTCGAGGTAACAGGATTTGCGCCAGTTCACAGACCACCCTCGGCGACCCAAGCACTGACTTCAAGCAGTTCACCGAGAAACGAGAGCCGCCGCCGGGCTTTGAGTTTGTTCCCATTGGGAACCCAGCTCTGACAACGGCATGCAAGGAGCTCTCGAGAGAGCAGGGCGCTATGATATTCATTGTCACGGTTTGTGAACACTGCTTGTTGTCGGTGTGGACGCCTTTGACCCTGACACTCCTTGCCAGGCATCATCCCAGGGAGTTTCCAAGAGACTCAGCCTCCATCTCAACCGGGTCGGTCATCATATTCGGCAGACCATCGTGGAGCAAGCACGCGCGTCCCTTGGGGATAGTCAGCTAGGCGCTACGGGCACGGCACCTGGCGAGCCTGAGCCAATTCCGGAGAAGCAAGAGGATATCAACAGACAGGCTGACGCAGCTATAAGGGATTTGTTTCCTCGCATACCAAACACTGATCGTCAAGCGATCATTGAGCATGCTTTCAACAAGGTAGGTAAAATGCCCCGCTCAATCCCGCAGACTGGCCGATTCGGGGAATCCGAAGAACACAATCTCACCCTGAGACTACAGTCGAGGCTTCAACACGGCAAGGGAGACCCGCCTGTAGGGCTTGCTCCTGATGTCACCCTTTCGCGCCGTGTACAGTTGGCTGTGCTTGCCCATATCCGGCACAACCATACCAGATATGACCAGCTGCTTAGGGAAACATCCTATGTCAATGCGAGGAAAGCTGTTGAGTCCCTCTGTCTCGATATCCTGGTCAAGTGGCGAGGGGACGAGGAGACGGGGCGCGACCAGCTTGATGAGATCCTCTGCGAAGTGGTTGTCATTTCGGACTCTGAGAGTGACGAGTCTGACAACGAAGAGGAAGATGGCGCATCCACAACCTCCTCAGCGGACGAGAGCTCAGTAGATGGCGAGGAGCAAGAACATGCCTTGCCAAGCAGAACAACGGTGCCTTCCGTTAACGTATTCCCCAACCCCTCGACTACTAACGGCTCCCGTGCTGAAGGGTTTCCACGAGCGGGCCATGTGCCACAGAAGGTCGCCAAGCCCTCCCGCAAAGACCGGAGAGCAGCAAAGTGGGCGCAACGGGGATTCCACCGTTATCAGGCCGCTCGCGATCAGGCCTGGCATCAAGCTGTGGAGCGTCAGCGGCTGAAGGATCACGCGTCAACTCAATCAACTGGCGTCGTAGCCGTGGAGAAGTCCCCGACTCATAGGCCACAGCCATGGCGGGTTGGCGAGCCTGCCCTCCCTGACCGGGGGATAGCGTCCGCCCGCAGCCCGGTCGAGTCGTCTCACAATGGACAACAGGTTCACAGTGCTTCCTACCGTTCTGAAGACGCGAATTCCAGGCTGCAGCGCTTCGCCTATCGGCCTACCTACCCCCAACCGCAGGAGGGGCCCGCTCAACAGGACGTACCGGACAGTCGGCTCAGGCCTATAGTTGGGTCACGGACTTTGCGGTATGGAACCCCAGAGACCGAACTGGTAAGCTATCATGGCCAGGATTTCAAGGATTATCCTGTCCCTTCAATCGAGCCTACTTCTCCGCAGTCGTCTAATGTTCGGCCACCGTTATCCTTCCCCTATCGGCACCGCGAGACTGGGCGCCCCATTGGTCTCGAGAATCCGGTACGGGTAGTGAGCCAGCACCATGGCCCTGCAGGGCCACAAAGCACGGCGGCCTGGGCGCCTCGTCCAGCCTACGCCGATAGCGGGTTTATCAGGCTTCCTCCTCGTTTTGAGGCAAACCAGCCGTCTATCGTACCTGACCAGCACCTGGAACCTTTTATTGTGCTAAACTCGCAGTCCGTCAGTACAGCTCGGGGTACTGCTGCCACAGCTACTTCCGGTGGGTTAGGTGTACAGCCTCCGTCGTTACGGGGGGGTGACGCAGCACCCCGTGGTGAGCCGGCCATTGGGTGGGCGACCCGGCCAATCTGGATCGGACACGACGGGGTTATTCTTAGGTCGGAAGAATCCCGCCCGATAGTCATCCCCGATTACCCCTCGCCGCCTCGACAAGCGCGGACACGTCCTGTCTATGTGTCATCGGAGCACCCGCGCGCCTCTCCGACGGGTTGGACCAGAGATGCCCGGCACCCAGATCCCTCTTGGGCGGATGAGCGCGACAGGCGACATGCCGATTCGAGGAATGGCCGACAGGTGGAAACCCTGCAGGACGACGTTGGCGAGTTTGTGCGAGTCAAGAATAAGTTTCCGAGGCAGCACGAGCCGCGCCCAATTGCTGCGGACGATGGGAGATACGATTTGCAGACCGTTGCGTCACAACAAGGCTTGATGTCACAGCAAGTGGCTGACGGTCTTGCACGATACGACCTTCAAAGTTTCCCCGCACGGGGCCAGCCGGTTGAACGGGTCGTGGCAAGGATTGAACAAGCTGTATTTCCACACGACAATGCGCCTGTCTATGGACGACAACCGGAGGGGTACCTGCGACAGGAACGGATGGATGATGATCAGGGCCGACGCCCAGGGTATGTAGCTTAGCCTTGCTAATGACATGGGCTTCTGCTTACCATATGCACAGCCTCGAGCCTCGTACCTATCCGACTCCTGGGCCTTACTACAGAGGGGACGGCATCGTGTACCGGCCTCTTTCAGCCGCTATACCGCAGAATGGGCTTCCATACGAGTCACACACTAGTCGGCCTGCCCCCGGAAGGGACGACGTGATCGTGATTGACTGAGTAACCAGGCTGCGTTCTTACCGATGGGTCTAGCTCAGGCGTTAGCATTGATCCTATACTTTCTGTTGGACATTTCGTGTATATCTTCATTGTACAAAACCCGAGACTCATCTAATGTACCCGGCCGACGGCGAAGCGTTCGGGATGGGAAGGTGCGATGACTTGGCGCGTGGTTTGGCATACGGCATCGCTGCATTGCTGCATTCCAACAGGGAGCTCGGAGTGGGCGCGGGGTTGCTTCAACATTCGTTGGCATTAGCACGGCGTTATCGGGCATCGTTGAGGCAAGATCTATTGCTCATTGATAGAATTGCTGGGCGCCATTGCTGTGCCGCTTATAGATGTAATCTATAGCCTCTGTTTAGCGCGCCGTTGTCTGAGTGGGATCGATTACATCTACTGGCTGCCGAACACAGCAACTTTGGACTTGTTCTCGTTCCCGTCGCTGAGCAACACAGGTGGTGTAAATTCACAGAGAAAACCGAAGCGCCACCCATGCATACCAGTCATTAGCCCTCAGACTCCTCCCCTTCTATGAAGCCAACATAGCCTTCCGCGCCGGTTGTGCCCCTTGTTCCGCCAATTCAGGTCGAGCCTCATCCCTGGCCTTTTGTGCCGGGAGCTGGGTATCAGGAACATTGGGCAACTGTATCCTCTGTCCACTCTCCCTCCTCGTAACTTCAGCCTCGAGCGCAGCTAGCTCGTCTTCGACTTCCTCCTCATCCTGGTTAGACATACTCCCGGCGAGGATCTCCCCAATCTCCTGTTTGAGTCGTCCGGTCAGCAGTCACGAGAGCGGTACCGGCCTTATGAAACAGGGGAGTAGACGAACCCTCTGGTAAGCAATCGCCTCAGCAGTTTCCCCCATCAGCTTCTCGACGTTCTCGATCCCGCCCATCTCGCGCTGGATCTCCTTGAGCACCTTGGTGCCCTGCTGCAGGCCGAAGAGCACGTCCTTCTGGATCAGCGCGAACTCGACCGACGACGTCAGCTTCTCCAGCTGCTCCAGCTGCGCGTCCGTCTTGGCGAGCAGCGACTCCTGGTACTTCTTGCGGCGGAGCGCCAGCAGCGCGCGCGGCTTGTCGCCCTTGGCGAGCATCTGCCGCGCGATGGCGGTTTCCTTGTCCGTGAGGTGCGTTATGCGCCGCTGGTACTGGTGCAGCTTGTCGCGCTGGGTTTTGAGGTCGAGGATCGCTCTGTTGGTGCAGGATATAAGTGAGCGTCGAGTCTTGCGGGGCGGGGGGTGGCTTGAGGAAGGGGAAGGGTTGCGGACTGATCCTGTGCCGTTATACGGCTCGAGCTAGTGCCCATTCTGACATTGGGAGTGTGCTATCACCGCCTGGTGGTGCCGCTGGGCTGTAATTACTGATGCTAGGGGTTGGTGGATGTCGAGGGCCGGATCTCAGCCCTCTTGGCAAGAGCAGGATTACAAGAGACGTTGGGACGTGAGACGTCACAGACAGCTATGATTGCAGGGTGTGTTATTCTACAAGATATTCCGTCTCTGACTCGATGGCATTGCATGTCACTGGGAGGGCAACTGCCCATCGCGCTCTCACGACAGGTTTAGCCTGCATGATCTTCCACTTAGATACCAGGTGCCAGTGAGCACAAGGAATACCTAGACACGCAAAGCTTCCAGTGTAAATGTTATTCAGCCTTCTGCGTTCGTGAAGGAGGTACGGTATGTACACAGTACCTATTTTCAGGGGCTGCTGCCTTATCGATAATCGTCACCCATTGTGGCTTAAGGCGGGCGCGTGAGAGGGGGCTACGTAATTTGGCTGGCACATGCGACCGCATCCAGGAGACGTCTCGCATATCAGTCAACCCAGCCGGTCCTCATTACTTCAATAGCTCTTGAACTCACGTTGAAAGAAGCATTCAATCTCCTGCGCCATCTTTCTTCATACAATCGCCGTTTCACCGATATTTGGCTGAAAGGATCAACATGTCTACCGAGGCGGTAAGCATAGCGCAGAGCCCCTATCCACCTCCCCGGCACGGGTCCCTGATCTGCGCAACGTCTTGACTAACATGTCTGGATATCTAGACCGGGGTCCCTCCAGCGCCTGAATCTCCTACTACCGTAAGACCTCTCGAGATGGACGACGACGACGTGCAAGAGGGCGTGACGCTGGGTCCCGACGATGCTGCGGCCGCCAAACCCAACCCCTCAAGTCCGAACACGGCCAGTGCGCCTGTAGCCGCGTCCGGCGATGCTCCTCCGCCCAAGCCGCCCCGGCCGCTGACCGAGGCGCAAAAGAACCAGCAGATGCTCAAGGAGGCCTTCCCGTCTATCGATGATGCCGTCATCAGGGCCGTACTCACCGCCAGCGGTGGGCGCATCGAGGCCGCCTTCAATGCGCTTCTGGAGATGACAGACCCCGAAGCCGCCGAACGCGATCGACCGCCCCCGCCGCCCCCGAGACCCGTGGCTGACCCGGCAGGACCGACTTCCACCGATCTATCACAACTTGAGGCCGACGAGAGGTATGCTCGTCAACTGGCAGAACAGTACGAAAATGTCGGCGCGTACGAGGCTAGAACCGCCAATCGGGCCCACCGAGGCGGTGGTCCACCCCGTGGTCGGCAGCAGACAGGTATACGAGGCCACGACGACGAGTACGATCGCGAGCATAGCTTCCTTGACGACGATCTGCCCGTCATTAAGGAGAGCCTAAAGAAGGGATTTATTGAGACGCAGACAAAGGTCAACACGTGGTTCACGAATCTGAAGAAGAAGCTTGACGAGACGTTTGACGAGGAGGATGAGCACCGGGCCCAGGGGAGCAGCTCGTTCATGGGCAGACCGACCCGGGATCCGACTCGGAGGAGCGCGGACTACGAGCGCTACGATGCGGATCCTGAGCTTCTCAGTGATGACTTCGCGGGGATGAAGTTTCACAGCGACGGAAGTAAGTTTACCACCCGCTACTGATACAGCGCAATGCCTTAGTCTAACAAATCCTCCCACTAGCCCCCGTCCAGAACCAGCGCAGTAACCCGAACCTCTTCAAGCCGCCGCCGCCATCTAAGTCGCCCAAGCCGAGCGACGGCAGGAAAGTTGTCTCCTTCCGCGACACAGTCGAGGATATCGACGCGTACAGTGCCTCGCCCAAAATCCCACCCAAGGACGCCAGCGCCGCCGCGGGACCTGGCAGCAGTGCGGCGAAGGCGAGCAAGTGGCAACCGCTGTCGGCCGTCGAGCCCAGCCCGATCGCCGAGAATGACCCCTTCAGTCTCGGGGATAGCGATGACGAGCACGAAGTCAAGAACAAGACGTCTGGGAGCAGGGAGATCAAGATGGAGGATACCGAACGGCTGAGGCAGGCTACGGCGGATGCGATGGCGGAAAGCTTGGTGGAGGATGAAGGCAAAAGTAAGGAAACGAGTGGTGGTGCAGGCACTGGTGCCAAATAGGGGAATAGAGCACGTGCTCGTGGTTGATGCGTCGTATGTTTCGGGCAATTTAGCGTCACGGTGTGCGGTTGTGTTACAGCAGGCGGAACATCTCCAGTATGTAATAACTCAATCGTATGTCCAGCATCGGTGGCTGGTTTATTGGAGACCGCGGTCATCAAAGTACTGGTGTTCCCATTTGTAAGGAGGTTCAAGATGGTCCGTCGACATGTCCGTCGAGCTCCGTGCCTTTTCACATGTAGCCAGGGCCACAGCACGTGGTGCAAAGTGAGATCTCTCGAATAGTACGCTACTAGGTTTGAGCTGTCCTCGGGTTAACTCGGATTGAGGACGCACGAGTACTAGTATGCAACATAGGATTATAGCTGTTGATGTTTGTAAGCCCGACTTGACCCGGAAGTCTGGTTCTGGACGGTAGGTGCATTACATTCGGATGTACCTACTGTGTCCGGATGTATAGTCTGTAGACTCCAGGTCTGAAGTGCACCACCAGTTCGAGTTCAGTCCCTGATGTTTGCCCTGCAATGCAGGATGTGGTTGTATGGGATGCGGATAAATGGTGATCTTATACTCCCTCCCACTGGCCAAAAAGAGCCGTACACCAAAGCATCGAACCTCGCTGTTAACTGACTCGTCTTCAACTTCAGAAGCTTAATCTTCTTGATGAGCATCCCCAACCTCCTTTTCAATAATTCGTACTTGCTTTCTCTTTTCCTCTCTTCTCTTTATCTTCTATGCTTACTGCTTTACTTGCTTTCCTTTTTCTTCTTTTTCTTTTTTGAATTACTAATCTTATGCTAGGCTTGTTGGTTCAACTATGAGGTAGAGGAGTTTACTGTACGGCTCTTTTTTTTCTGCGTCCGGGTGACCCCCACCTTAGCCTTTGGACGAGGTTGACTGCCCCTCACCTCGCTTGCCCCCTCTCTCATCCGCCCGCTGGCTGCATCGAGCAATGCCCCGCAAATTGGAGCAAGTGTCTGCCTTCTGATCCGTCACCACATCGAATCACTGGGAGCACATGGCTCGATCTTGGCTCCCGATTGGCTATTTTGGGACTTCAAGTATCGTAGCATTGGGGAGATGGCCCGGATGTGCTGCATACCTAGCGTAGCAGCGGCTGTTCCCAGGAGAGCGGATCTTGCACAAGGTCAATTGGGTGAGGCTTTGTGTCACCGGGCTCACGAGACAACCGTTCTCATGGGAAAACTCAGTTGGGTATTCCGGCGACACGGCCACTGCAGTAATTTACGGGCCTTTCTGTACTTCTACGTTACAGAGTCTTTCTGGAGCCACGACTCGTGGGGGGTAGGTACCTCCCTAAGGTTGTACGTGGGGAGCCCCGTGAATGAGTGCCAACCGAGCTGTTTTCGTCTCCATGGGCTCATTGGGCTCATTTGGCCTTCAAGCCTTGGAAGAATTGGTGACCTTCGTCTGTTTGCTCTCGTTCAACTGCCAGCTTTTCCTTCCTCTTCCTTCTAACCTTCTAGTGCTTAGGTCAGAGCCCAGATTGTGCTCGCGTAGAAGCTCATACCGGCATTACCCACACTGCCGGAGGCTTGGCGCCCCGACTTGACGCTTCACCATTACCGGTCGAGTCCCGGCGTAACGGGCAGCCAGTCATTCAAGACTTCCGCACTCATCACCACCATCTCAATAGTATTTGACGTTACTTGACTTGGCATCCAGAACAGGGGACCAGCCTGAACATTACTATATTTCCCGGAAACGCATCAGAGACACCTAGCACTTGAGCCACCGTCCGCTTCCTCACTTTTGAGGTTCCCCTTCCTCCTGCTCACTCATACACTCTACATCCCACCGCAGAACCCCCCGGCCGCAACCCACTCAAAGGCCAGACCTCGCCGGCCGCTTTTACGAGTGTCATTCCAGGTCTACCGGTTCATTTAGTTTTCGACAGAAAGGCGGAGCCGCCACCTTCGGATTTTACGACCCTTGCCGACTGTACTAGGTGTGGCTCGATCACCCTTATACACCGGGCTTGGTACATCTCACTGCACACGGCCATTGGTTGACTTCTTCTTCCATCCTCTCTCACCAATCACCCGTTCCCAATCGAGGTGCATGTGGCCATTGCTGTTGCGTTCGTGACTTTATTTGGTCGAAGCCTCAAAAGGCTCTCAGCCCTTTCAACAATGTGAGCCTCAGTATCCGTATCGAAAATACGTCCCTGCTAACTCTCAACCAAGGAAGTTCGGCAAGCACATTCAAAAGCGCCAACTCGAAGTGCCCGAGTATGCTGCCAGCTTCGTCAATTACAAGGCGCTCAAAAAGGTGCGCCACCGCCCCCGATAACCTCGGTTCATGCCTGGCGTCGGTCTGCCCTAGGGCTGATTGGAAGACCAAGCAGGATACGAGCCACGCCAGTCGTCTGAACAACACTGACACTGCTTCGCGCACAGCTGATCAAGAAGCTCTCGGCAACCCCTGTGCTCGCTACACAAAATGATGCGGCACAACGCGGCGGTGCAGGGCCTCTCGACTCGCAGGCCGCTCTTCAGGCGAACAAGGCGACCTTCTTCTTCCAGTTGGTAAGGGTTGCGGTTTGGGATTATTTATGTGGAATACTAAACCACAAGTAGGAAAGAGAGCTTGAGAAGGTCAATGCATTCTATCTCCAAAAAGAGGCCGAGGTACGCATATTGGCGGCATGTCTGAGCCCTTCCCTCTCGGCTAGGACACTGACCCCGCGACAGCTCAAAGTCCGTCTCAAGACCCTCCTCGACAAGAAGAAGGTTCTGCAGTCCCGTCATGGCATCTCCAGGCGGTCTGCCAAATTCACCACCCTCCAAGAGGGCTTCCAGCAGTTTGCCAATGACTTGAACAAGCTGCAGCAGTTTGTCGAGATCAACGGCACAGCCTTCTCCAAGATCCTCAAGAAGTGGGACAAGACGTCAAAATCTAAGACCAAGGAGCTGTATCTCTCCCGCGCGGTCGAGGTGCAACCCTTCTTCAACGCGACCGTCATCAGCGAGCTGTCGGACCAGGCGACTACAAGTCTGCAGGAGCTCGGTGCTTGGGCCGACGGTGATAATGTCACCTTCGATGCCCGTCCAGAACACGTCGTCAGTAGCCAGCATCTGCCGGGCACCGACGAAGGGGATGCCGACACCCTACTTCTCGATATGGTCCTCTCCGGAAATCTCGACGGGCTCAGGGATTTGGTGGGACGTACGAGGGCTGCGGTGGAACCGGAAAACGCCGTTGTCAACTCGCTCTTGATGGAGCGTTTCACCAGGACTTTCCTGGGCGCAATCAGCGGAGGGCCCGCCGAGGCGCTACAGGTCCTGCTGGAGACGGGTTTGGTGGATGTTCAGTCTGAAGACGACATCAACGAACGGAACTGTCTGCATCAGGCGGCCATTTACGGGAACTCGTTTGTGCTCGAGTATGGGCTGTCAAAGGGGGTTGCTGTCGATAGGACGGACGTGTACGGGCGAATCCCCCTGCACTATGCGAGCATGCATGGCCGGCTGGACATGATCGATACATTATTATCAGGTATGGATTCTGCAGCTCTTTCGTAGAGAGCGGATAGCTGACGCGCATCCCACACTCGACAGTCGCACCCCAGACCATCAACCTCATCGACCATGACAACTACACCCCCCTAATCCACTGCATTGTTCACAAGCACCTCGACTGCGTGCGCAGGCTGCTAGAACGGTCTGCCCGCCTCGATCCTGTGTCCGACACCGACCACGTGCCGCTCAACCTTGCTTGCGAGCACGGGTCCCTGGCTATTGCGGAACTGCTCCTGCAGCATGGTGCCAAGATCCTGCCCGACGCCGAAGGGCTCTACCCGCAACACCTGGTGGCCAGGTCGGGCCAGACGCCAGAGTTGCTTCTCTTGCTCAAGAACTATGGAGCGGATCTGGACCAAATAGACAAGCTCTACGGGTGGACGCCACTTGTTCATGCGGCGAGCGAAGGGAATGTCCCGTGTCTCCAGGCTCTACTTGACGTTGGCGCAGACCCCAGCATCCTGGACGAGAAAGAGCTTCCAGCCATGTACTACGCAGCTTGGGAGGGCCATCTGGAGTGCATGAAGCTGCTCACCCCGTCTAACCTGAGCAAGAAACCCGGTGCGCTGGAGGCGCAGATAGCCGGGGCGCTAGGGCCCATGGCGAGTAGTAGCGCCCCTATGCCCATGTCGATAGACACAGACGCGATCCCGGTGCTCGAGCTCCCCCCGCCCATCATCCCGCTTCGGCGCTACGGCCATAACTTCCTCGATACGAAGACGGTTGTGCAGATCAGTTTCGGAGGCAGCGGGGAGGCGCCGCTTATATTCTTCCACGACAGCAAGTATCCTGCCGCGCGACTCACCATCTCGTCCAAGGTCTCAGACGTCATCCCTAAGAACATCATGCTTCCCTTCCACGAGGATACGCGGCTCGTCTCGTTCCAGGTCGACAGTTTCGATTGCTTCACTCTTGACTTTGATGTCTTCCCGGCCTATGGCGCGAAGGTGATCGCCAAGACCGTGGCGCTGCCCAACACCTTCCGCGCGCTGCTTAATAGCAACACCGGCGACTGTTGTTTGCCACTGTTCGATCCGCGGTTGCGCGCCATTGGGCAGCTCACCTTCCACGCGCAGGTCATCAAGCCATTCCAGGGTAAGCCGCTGGAGATCACCGACTTCGAGACGTACTGGAAGGCGACAAGCCAGGTGGATGCCGCCACCATGACACCGGCTATGAGCAGCAGCACTTTTGTTACCGGCTCCAGCTTATCGGGCGACTTCGTCCGCATCTACGTCCAGCACACGGGCGACGGCGTTCCAGTGCTCTGGCCGCAGTGGACCGTCAGCTGCGGTGGCATCGACTTGCCCGTATCACGCTTGACTCTAGCCCAATTCCGCACCGCCACCGGCAACGGACCCCCTTCTCCCCTTCCCGTCCATGACATCGCGGAGGTCCACCGCATTCTCGCCACATCAGGCAGCACCACCCTACACGACGCCCTCTCCCTCCTCCCGAGGGGCATGCACGTAAACATCCAGGTGCTCTACCCGACAGCTGAGGAGCGGGAGCGGCTAGCCCTGAAGGAGCTCGGTCTGAGCGCCGGTCTTAATACTTACGTCGACGCCATCCTCACCGTCGTATTCGACCATGCCCGCGCCCAGCGGGCCCAGGGCCAGGGACCGGAGGCGGTCCGGTCGGTCGTGTTCAGCTCATACAACGAGAGCGTGTGCACGGCGCTGAACTGGAAGCAACCCAACTTCCCGGTATTCTTGTGCAACGACCTAGGCAGGCAACCATCACAGGAAGGACAGGACTGTGGGGTTGGTGGTGCACAGCACCCGGCAAGCTCGATCAAGGATGCGGTTAGGACGGCGCAGAGCAATAATTTCATGGGGTTGATATGCTGTGAGCGGTTGCTAGTAAGTTACTATGGCTATCTCTTAACGGAGGTTTGTGAAGCGGCGCTAATCGATGACATTAGGACATGGTGCCCGCGCTGGTGGATGCCATCAAATCACACGGTTTGGCGCTCGTCGTCGACAAGTCCGGAGCGGGCCCGAAGGCACCCGAACCCAGCAACTCGTTGGCGGATCCCTTCCCGCGCCTGCCGAAGGGGGTGGATGGTGTTCTCAAGGGAAATGGTGTGCTACGTTTCAACGAGTCGATAGATGTGTAAAGGGTCGGTCTGGAATTATATGTGGGATTACGTTGTCGGTCTTGCCTTTGAACAAAGAGGATGCATCGCAAAAGGAGGTAGTCTGCGGATAACGGAAGCAGAGAAGGACAGCAATAGCAATGCTGCTACATAGAACACCAGCCCAGGAGGTGATATATCTCAGTGTACTGTAATGCTTAGTGTATTATCCCTCACCCATGCCTTCCCGAACCAAACTAACGCCGTGCGATGGGTATTTACCTTATACCGCTTCATATAGCCAAACACGAAGGAACGTGCCTGCCCTATGCACCTTTATACCCATACTTCAACTTGCCCAATTCCCTTTCCGGATCCACCTCGGCCATCATTACCTTCGCCCCGACAACAACAGCGTACACCACCCCGGGCAGAGCGCCAAGCAACAACGGGCTGACACCAGCGTTGGCCGCTTCTCCTCCGAGTCTCACCCGCTCCAACAACCCCGTCAGCAGAACCAGCGCCGCCAACCCCACGTTCAGCCAGGGGAGATGCTGTTGTAGTGGTGTTCTGCTGCCCTCTCCGGGGAGAGGCCCAGTCAAGAGACCATCCCGTCTCCTAGGCCTGCTATTCCATCGCAACAAGTCATAGTGGCCCACCGTCCGTGCTCCTGCTCCTAGTCCGGCCCCCGCTGTCCGCCGCCTCTCCCTGCTATCATTCGATGATAATGATAATAACCCCTTCTCCTTCTTCTTCTTCTTGTCCGCGAGACTGCTGGTGTGGCGGTCGAGCCGTGGGAAACCGGTCTCGCAGACCTCGAAGGTGTACAGCATCCACCCCGTCGCGCACAGGGAGGACAGGCCCAGGAGGGAAAGCAATCGGGACGGACCGGCCGAGTGGGAGAGGAAGAGGCCGAGTAGGAAGGGGATGGTGGACAGGGCGGGGAGGGCCGAGAGGAGGCGGTGGAAGGTTCTGTTCCGGGTTTCGTTTTGGGTGGTCAAGGTTTGGATTAGCGTTTCTTGTTCTGTTTTTTTTTTTTGCTCCCAGGCCTTTTTGTCAGTATATGTTGGATGGTTGAAGGGGGTTAGAAGGAAGTAGGGGGGAAGAAATACCGGAAACCGGAAACGTACCTTGCTCGTCGAGGACTTCGGGGCCAGAGGATGCGGAGCCAGCGTCGTCGTCGGAGGGGTAATGAAATGTCCGCCGAAGGCGCGCTGTGGCTGTTGGTTTGGCCATGGCGCTTCGATGCCGGGGAAGCAGCGGGCCGGGGTGTACAATATCTAAGATGCGTGTGTAAATAAATCCAAAGTAGGGCAGCGAGGTTGTCGGGGAGTCGCAGCTACGGCTGAAGCACGATGACGTTGAGTGGCAGGCGTGCGCACGGCTGACATGGGTGCTCGGCAGCCAGTACCGGTAAACTACTGCGTAATTATCCATGTAGTCGTTACGGTAACACTGAATGGCCGCATAAGCAGTCAGACTGAGACGTTGAGCGAGAATATGGTGTTAAATAATAATCTACCAGGCTATAATGCAAGGACAAGCAGAGCGCCACTGGTGCTTCAGGCTATATCTCGTGGTATGGTCTGTTTGGTGTAAAAGGATATATCTGTGCACAAGGAGCTCGGTCTGTAATTTGAGCAGTACTAGTGCTCAGCCCTCATCGAGCTCCCATGCTGGACATATCAGAGAGAAGCAGAGATAACGATCCACAACCCATCCTGCCAAAGCCGGCGTCTACTTCAATGGCCAAGCAGGAACGTCAACCACCTCAATCCTCTGCGTATTCCTCCTTCTCACTCTGAGCACCTCCAGCGCAACCAACACCAACAGCACAAACCCGAGGACGAACAGCGGAATAATATTCCACCGCCAAGCCCTCATGATTGTCAGATTGCCGGATATGATCCTCCGGTTATTGTCGCTCACCAATGGCAATTCCAAGACAGCAGCATACCAGTTCTCGGGCGTCCATCGGTGGTCTGGATACTTGACGGGCGCCGGGTTCGTCTCGGCCACCGCCAGGTCGATGGACTGGCCGCCTGTCTTGGACGTCTCGACGAACGTGTAGATGAGAGCCACCAGCGTCAGGAGGAAGCTGAAGAAAACAATCAGCGCCCAGAGGTAGAAGACTGGGGAGGAGCTATCGCGCTTTGCGTCGTTTATGTATCAGCACCCAGGCTATGAAAGCAATAAATAGGACGGTTTGCCCGCCGCTCACCTTCTTCCGAGACCGCTTCTCCAACCACAAAGCAATCATACCGCCAAATGCCACCAGAACAAGGGCTGTCCCTCCGGCGGCATTGGTAGTATGGCCCTGGTTAGTAACTAGGTTTGCTGGCTCTCCAGCGAGCAGGAAGTATGACCCAGTCGGATTCGCGACAGGGCAAGGGCCACGGCCGTAGTGATGTAGGAACGCAACCATGGACGAGACCAGGCCAAGGGAGACGGCGGCGTCCACCGCCAACAGAAACGTGGTGAGCCCGATAGGGAGTAGGAGAGAGCGTGAGAGGGCCATATCAGTGTGTACGGTGGTACGGATGGTGGACTTCTCGGTTTCCTACTCGGGAGGCCAGGTTAAGTATATCGTCCCCGGGTCAAACAAAGGGGCAGAAGTGATGGGGCAGGGGGCGGTGAAAGATGTCTACCGTTTTTGCGGCATTGAACTAGAGGGCACGGAAGAGAATAGGAGAGCACATAGTAGAACAAAGAGAACCGGACAAGATGTACGACGCAGCCTCGCAGCGTAGACTAGAGTGCGGCTCAAGGAACCGAGTCGTCGCACTCGGAGCTGAGTTAGATGCGCCCCAGCGTTGATGCATTGGGGGACGCCATGTCAATGATCGTCGAATAAGGCTCCAAATATCGAGATAGCCTCGATGACGATGTCTGGTGATCGTGGAGGGTCCAGTAACGAATTAGGGGGAGGGCATCGCCCACTGTCCAGCCTCCGGAATCGAATTCCTCAAACGTTTCAATACTTAACCATGGATCAGTCATCTTGGACGCCTCAAGAGTAGTCTTGGCAGATATTGGCCAAGATTGCGAGTCAAAGCAAGCTGGCGGCAGGGCGCGATATGTGCTTGCTGGTGTTACCCGAAGAACAAAGGCTGAAGGCACAGGGATGGATGATTGTGGAGTGGGAGAGTGGAAAGGCGGATCGTGTCGGGGTTGTATGTATCCACAGCCTTGCCAAGAGACTCAGCTGCCAGATAACTCCTGATACTTGCATAACGTTATCGCTATCAGCCCAAGCTTCCACAAGCAACGGAAAGTGGGCTGAAGATCAGTTCAGGACGAGACAACCACACCACCACTCAAGCATGCTGTCGAGGTTAGCGCCGCAAAGGGCGGGAGCCCAAGCAGCAGCCCTGCTGCGGCGGAGGATAGTACCAGCAGCAGTTAGTGCAGCCGAAGCACCGGTGACCCGGCAGCTCGTCCGGCAACAACGGCGCACCTTCGTCTCGGCGCCCAAGAAAGGCGACGGCCCACTGCTAGAGCGGCGACCAGACCGCGAACTCCCAGGTGCGCCCTCCATTTTGTGAAACCTCTTGCTCTAGACAAAAGTCACTGACCTCAGGGGGTATCTCCCATCCCCCGCTAGACCTCGACAAAATCACCTTCCGCTGGTCCCGCACGCTCCCGCTCTTCGCGGCCGTCATCGCCGTCGCCTCGCTCGCCATCTTCAACTACCAGAAGCTCTCGAGCCCCGTGGTCGGGGCCACGCTGTACGCGCTGCGCACGTCGGACAAGGCCCGCGCGCACCTGGGCGACGAGATCTACTTCGCCCAGCAGATCCCCTGGATCTCGGGCGAGATGAACCAGCTGCACGGCCGCATCAACATCAGCTTCCGCGTCAAGGGCACGCGCGCCGGCGGCGTCATGCGCTTTGCAAGCTACCGGCCGACACCGAGGGGCCTGTTCGAGACGACCGAGTGGAGTCTGGAGACGGATGATGGGACCGTGATTGATTTGCTTGAGGATGGGGATCCATTCAAGGGCATTGTCGCGGAGATTGAGGACGATGAGGAGGAGATCGTGCAGGGGGCGGCAGCGACGAGGGGGTTCAGGCAGCAGATGAAGAAGTAGGTGCTGTAATGTGCGCTGTTTTCCCGAGGTTGGATGGATGGGCCGGATGATGAAAAGTAAAGCGGTGCGGGGGTCCAGATCAGCCCGGGACTCCTATCCGTTAGGTACTGTACATTTACTGTATGTTGTATGATACAAGCCATGACCCAAAATAGAACGCCCACGCAACGACTTTGTAATCAGAACTGGGCCGGCGCATGCTCTGTGGCCTCATTCATCGCATCGGCCGCAATGATTTGCTCAATAGCATCCATCTCATCTTCGGAGCCCGGCTTCATGCCCCCGACCATGAGCTCCTCTATCCTCTTCTCCCGTCTCGCCTGCTTCAGCTCCAAATGCCGCTCCCGCGCCGCCTGCAGATGCGCCTCGGCCTCCGGGAACCGCTCCTCCAGCAACTTCTTCGTCTTCTCGATGAAATCGTCGCTCGGCGGCGGCTTCTTGCACGCATCCTGGATCTTGACCACCGCCCCCTTCGGCCCCGCCACGCACCCCTTCACCACCACGATTCCCAGCTCATTATCCACCATCAGCACCGGCAAGTTCTGAATCGTCACCCGCTGGTTGCCCATTCGACCAGGCATCTTCTTCCCGGGCAGCACTCTCGACCCACTGCCCTGCGAGGGGCCCGCCGACCCAATCGTGCGGTGGTTCAACGAATTACCGTGACTCGCCTCCTGGCCCGAGAAGCCGTGCCTCTTCATACCGCCGGCAAACCCCATTCCCCTCGAGTTGCTCCGCACATCGACTCGCTGGCCGACATGGAACCAGTCGGGCATGAGCTGCACACCCACCGGCAGCAGCCCGCGCTCGTCGCGTACGCGGAACTCGGCCAGCACCTCCTTGGGCGCGATGCCCTTGGCCTCGAAGTACCCCAGCAGAGGCGCCGTCACGTTGCCCGGGTTGCGCTCGCCCATGCCGACCTGCACGGCCCAGTAGCCGTGCTTGTGCTTGGTCTTGTTCAGCACCGTCTGCACCCGGTCCAGCTGCAGCACCGTGCAGGGGATGCGCGCGCCCGTGCGGCCCATGAAGACGGTCATGCCCTTCTTGACCGCCAGCACGCCCGCGCGGACGGGCGTCGTGCGTTCTTTCCGCTTCAGCGCCGCGGCCGGGCCCGTTGTCGGCGTGGGGAGCCCCGAGGTCACCTGGTTGAAGCGGTGCGGCTTGGCGCCGCGGGTCGGCAGCGTCGACCAGCCTGACTTGACGGTGCGGGATTGCGTGTAGGGGAGGAGGGAGGCGTTCGTTGTGGTGGATGGTAAGGCGGCGCGCGGGAGGGTATGCGTTGTCGGGCTGGTGGAGGATGGCCGGAGCAGCTGCCGCCAGCAGCGGGCCGGCAGCCGGGGCGCCATTGATGGACTGACTTTGTGTGATTCGGAGGTGTGGCTGTTCTCTGCTCAATCGACCTTACAAACCGGAGGAAGGATCGACTTTCACGACATTGGTTGGTTGTGGCGGCTGTGGTGGTCGAGGGGAGACAGCCTCGACGACGGCGAGGTCGCGCTTCAGAAACTTGTGGTTGGCCGGCACGCGGCAGAAATTTGAGAACTCCAGTTGATAAAAACGGGGCTTGGCGGGGAGGTTGACAGGTATAACCCTAACCCTACCATGGTGCTGGTGCACCCCTCCTCATTATGAGAGCTGCCTGAGACGCTCAGCACACACTTGCGCGTGTTCAAACCATCTTCTCTGTCTCTCATACAAAATGGTGTACTATTTCACGTCTAACGTCGTCGACCCACCGGCGTACATCTACGTGGGCAAGGACAAGTTTGAGAGTGAGTGATAGCATGCAACCCCTCCCACACAGACTCCGTACCTTCTTTTGGCGGAGCAACGACCCTGACACACGCATGTGTATTTATTTTATACAGATGAGGACCTCATCAAGTTTGGGTGGGAAGAGGATGTGTGGTAAGTGCTGCTAGTTCCTTCCTTAACCAGGTCCAAATGCTCATTTTCTTGATAGGGTATGGGATGCCTCCTGAAGAGTGCCCCTTGGCTTAGCAAAGCTCGCTCACACAACGGCAGTTCCACGCCGATAAGCTGTCCAGCGCCCACATCTACCTGCGGTTGCGCGAGGGCGAGACCTGGGACAACATACCGGAGGAGCTGTTGACCGATCTGGCACAGCTGACCAAGGCCAACTCGATCGAGGGTAGCCGATGACAAGTCCGAACATGAGACAGTCGTCGCTGTGGGCTAATGAAGACCAGGCAACAAGAAGGATAACGTCACCATCATCTACACGCCGTGGTCCAACCTTAAGAAAGATGGCAGCATGGCGGTGGGCCAAGTGAGCTTCAAAGACCACAAGAAGGTCAGTAGTAACCTGAGGCATAATCGCACCATAGCCCATCACATTGATAACACCTCCCAGGTCAAGAAGATACTTGTTCCTCAGCGAGAAAACCCCATCGTCAACCGGCTCAACAAGACCAAGATCGAGAAGTACCCAGACCTGAAGCAGGAGAAGGACGATCACTTGCGGGAGCTGCGTAAGAGGGATCAGGCCGCCCTGCAAGCGAGGGTATGTCTTCTTCCCCTTTTCCACTCCTGAATGCGGACAGCACGGGCTGACAGATCGTGTCCCGCAGAAAAAGGAGGAAGCCCGCATCGCCAAGGAGCGGCAGGAGAAGAAGTGGCAAAAGGAACATGCCTACGACGACCTCTTCTCCGAGGAGAACATGGCAACAACCAGCAACCAGAACCGGCCTGAAGACTGGGAAGATGATTTCATGTAGTCATGTAGTCATTAGCGCTCGTGCTCTTGGGGAAAGAACCAGGCCCAAGTCGGATCAAGCGGTCACCGGAACACCACCTCACCTTTCTTCAGCCGTGTTTTGCATCTCAGTGACCCGGTCCACGCCCTCCGATCCCGCTCCCCATCTGGTTCACACTGGTCCCCTTGATCTTGTGATCGCCCGGGTTGGCCGCGGCCTCGTAGATGATGTTTGCTGGAGCCCGCCCGAGCGCCATCCACTCGCCCTTGAACCCGATGTAGGAGATGCGCGTGACGTCCTCCTCGCCGTCGCCAAAGTTGTCCGGGAAGAAGAGCGTCAGCCGGCGGACTGCGTTGAACCGTGCCCGGCGCTGCTCCGGGGTGAATCCGCCCGGCCCATCGTCAGCTGATCAGATGTACCCTAGTATATCGTAGTATGAATGGAAGGAAGGATGGTAACAAACCACTGGCAACTCCTGCACCTCCGCCGTGCGGCTCAACTCGAACGTCTGTGTGCCGTCTGTCTCCTCCGCCACGCCGAAGTCGACGTCGTCACGGTTGATAATGACCTTGAGCGTCTTGGGTGCCGAATCCGAGTCCGACGTGCGCAGGAGAATCGAGTGCAGCTTCACCTGGCCCGTGAATCTAGGTCGGTAGCAAAACACGAGTATCATTAGCCCCAGGCTCACTTTCCATAGAACTCATCATAACTCCAGTTTCCGGAGCGGGTAGCATCCATCCCCTTATCGTTAAAAGAATACCCCCAGACGATGTGAAATCCCCACCCTCCCTGGACATTGCTGGCATGCATGCATGACCCAAAACGACAACAACAGTTACCTACAGCAGCAGAAAGGGATAAAAGTGCGGAGTAAGTGAGAGGAAAAAACCTACGGAATATTAATGAGAAGTTGCTCGTCAACATCACTCTGCACCTCGGGCTCCGGTTGCAGCCGCTCGACCCAGGTCTTCTTGACCACCGCCTTGCCGGACCCGTACACGGCCTCGTTCAGCGTTGTGACTTCATCGAGGTTGATGTGTTGGTACAGCGAGAACTGCAGCGCGGGCGTGATGTCGTCTGAGTGGTCGTGCTCGTCTCCGCCTCCGTGGGAGTGGGAATGTTCGTCGTGGCAGTGGTGAGACATTTTCGGTTCTTTTTTTGGCTTCTTTGAAAACTTTCTCCGATTCTCGTCTATGGTGGTATTTGTCCTGGTAGAAGAGAGTCAGAATTGATCGGATATCTTCATTGGGGTAGTAGTTTTGGAATGGTTCTCGAGATTCCACGCTGCCACTTTGAGAAGTTGCAGTTTCGCTGCCGCCTAACAATTTGAGGGGCAAGCCGCAAAATACCTAGGAGCAACTTCAAACACCTGGTATAGGTCCGCACCCCAATCTCGTGCTGGCAGGCCGCATATTGAGCTTGTAGCAGTCTAGGACAAGAATAGATTATAGGAGGCAGATAATAACTAGCACTACCTACCCACTTCCGTGGAAAAGAGTTCCAACGGAGTATCTGAACACCATACACAGTAGGTATCTTGAAACAGTGCATCCCAACGCAAATCGACTGACCTCCCTTTACACTACCTAAACCCACTCAGCCGCAATTCACTCTTCCGCTTCACCTTCTTCAACGGACTCTGGCTCCTCTTGAATGGAGAGAACGACGGCCGCCTTCCAAACGGCCCCGGCAGTGCCTGCGACATAGGCTGCGACGGCGTGCCCTGAGACTGCTGCTGCTGAGAAGAGCCAGCCAGGCTCATCCCAGAATCTCTCCGGTACTCCCGCCGCAACGGTGATCCCTGGCGAACCCTCGGCGTCCCAAATCCCATCACGTGCTGTTGCGACGAAAAGTTCCACGGCGGTCCCTGCTGGTGCTGCTGGCTCTGGTTGCTTCCCGTTGGAAGGATCGTTGGCAGTGGCTGCGTCGACGGACCCCCCAAAGACTGGGACGACTGATCCATCAACAGGGAATCCTCGCCGAATATCCTTTGCGACAACCGCTCGGCCTTCCTTCGCCGTGCTTCTATTTTCCGCCGTCGCCTGTTGATCGCGTCCTCGGCTTCGAGGTCCTCGCCGGGCTTCCACGTGATGTCATCGGGGTCGGCGCCCAGGTCCCAACGGGAGAGGGCCAGGGCGGGCTCGCCGTGAATGGTTGGGGACGTCTTGAGGTTAGCGTACTTGCGCAGCCGGAGAACGACCGCATCCCCCTTTTCCTCCTCCGGTTCTTCTTCCGTCAACTTCCCCTTTCCTTTGCTAGAACTTGGTAGCGACGGCTGGGATGACGTAAGAGTCGGTGAACTAGGGAATGGCAGTGAGCTTGAAAGCTGGCTTTCTGCAGCCGTCCAAGACTTGGGCACGGCAGAGACGCCGATGCTACTGAGGAACATCTCGGCCGCCATGTGCTGCAGCACCTCTTCGCGCCTCTGGCGGACGGCCACTTGTTTGGTTGGCCCCGGCTCGGAAAATAGCTCTCTGAGGCGCTCGACAAGGTCGTCAGGGCCGAAATCTATCAGCGGCCGACGCGCTTCAGGCACGAACAGCCATTCGTCGGCATGTCTGTGCAGGGCTTCCTGCCGGGCATCCCATTCTCGCGAGAGCCGCAAAAGGTCGACCCCCGGCTGATGGGGCGTTGCCAACTCCAACCTGAATAACGGTTAGCCACTTAGACCTGAATCATGCGAGAAATTGCACGTACAATGAATGCCTCGGCATGTACTCGTCTTGCTCCCCCCTCTCCATTGCCTGTTCAATGAAGGTGAAATCAATGTCAGCCATCGGAGATATCCGCCCGTCCTGATCTCCCAGTGGCTGCCCCGTTGCGCCAGACAAGCGCTGCGCAACGAGGTCAAAGTCGATACGCCGCTGGATCCCTCCGCTAATACTCTGCAGAGCTAGCGAATTGTGCGCTTCTCTCCCAAAGACCACTCGTTCATCGAACTCATCAGGCACGGTGAACGCGTCGGTTAGACGCTGTAGTAATTTAAGCCGCCGGCTACCGTCCTCCCCAAGAGTCTCCACAACATCAGGAGGCCGGATCGAGACACTGGGATTATCGGACCAGGCACACAGGACACTGTGGACTGCCAGGTCCTGTCCGAGCGTCAGTAACTGAAAGAATCTCAGCTGTGCTGATCTCATTGCTCGGCCCGCTGCCGAGGTTGGCTCACCGCCCGTTAGGCGGCTGGCCGGGAGGATGCTCAGGCCGACAAAATTGGAAGGGCTCTTGAGCGAAATGGTATCGCGGTGGTATCGGACCGGCGTGCCTGGTCCCGGGTCGATGAACCAGAACACAGTCATCTCGGTCTCACGGGCGGACCAGACACAGACGAAGCACGCCATGAGATCGTTGATGTACGCTCCAGGCGACACATCCAGCCGGATGGTTGGGTCGTTTGCATCTTTCTGGTGCGGATACGAGCCGAGGATATCGAGGGAGAGCGACTTGCTTTCGCGCTCCTTGCTCTTGCTCTTGCTCTGGTTCTTGCTCTTGCTCTTGCTTTTGCTCTCCTTCGCAATGACCCACAGCAGGTTAGTACTAGTAAGGACGAATGCCTGGGCAGGATTCAGTCGAGAAGGCGCTACGCCCAAGATGCGCTCGGTGTCATTGGCAAGCACCAGGTGCGTCAGGGAGTGCACCTGTTGGGCTGCAACATCAAACAAGTGCAGGTTCTTGGAATTGCACAATAGTAGCGATCCTCGCGGGTGACTTGCTTCGAGCTCGGCGGATCTGTGGGAACGTTTTGACGTTTTCGACTTCTCACCTAAGAATAGCCACAGTACCTTGTGCGGCTGCAGCTCCGCCGTAGAGCGAGAAGGCAGCTCCGGAATGCATCCCGACAAAATGCTTCCGAACATCTTCATGACCGGCGCCAGCTTTTTCGGTCGTGTTTTTAAACGGCCTGAAACTTCCCACAAACTCCAATGGCCGGCCTGGTCAATGATGGCTAGTTGAGGCCTGTCAGCATCGAGAGGTCGGATGAAACAAATATCAGTTTGCAAGCTTCCGCCGGTACGTTCGGAGGGTATGGTGAAGAGAGGGTTGGCAAAGATCTGGCTGACGGCAGCCCGGCCGGAATGCCGGGACAAAGCGCCGCCGGCAGAGATGGGCATCATCCGCAGCTCAGGCTCGTAAATGGTAGTTGAAACGCCGTTCTGAACGAGGAGCCATCGCAGATTGTCGTCTCTTCTGGAATCAACAGCGAACCTGATTAACGAAATGGGAACCCCGTCCTGGCACCACTCCCCCGCGAGTTGAGAATCCAGACCATGCAGACGAACCCTGATGTCCGCGTCGGTCCAGGTCCCTTCCTCCCGGGCAAGGCTTATCAACCGCAGAATATTGCCCGAGACGCCCGAAGCCACGGCCAAGACGGGATGACCCTTGCCGGACTCGCTCTTTCTCAGGTCGGCCATTTGCCCGACGGAGAACAGCGCTGCCGTCGCTGATGATGCATGTTGGCTCCTAGCCTGGGACGCGGCGATTTCATCCAGAACTAGAGACTCGATATCCGCGTCATTTATGGAAGCCTCTGGGAGAAACTCCGATAGCCAGTTCTTTTGATATCTCACCACCTGGGACGGCCGCGGATCACTAGGCTGGGGAGCGGTAGTCTTGGTGGCCGCACACCACTGCGTAAAGGGTGTAATTTGTTGAAAGCCAGGCGCTTGGGCCGTCAGTATTGGAGCGTAGTGTCAGAACCGACATGGTAGAGCCTATCACTCACTCTCATCCTTCGCCCGGTTCCTTCGCATCTGCCCGATGCCTTCGTTCCCTTGCGCTGGTGTATACGTTAAGCGTCCAAGGAAGCCATCCGTCGGCACCCGGTGAGCCTTGGCTCTGCCGGTCGCTTGGACACCATCCTCCGCGTTGTCATCCATTGGGACCTACTAACAGAGGAATCCAAAATGGCGATGATTTCGGTATCATTCTCTCGTTTCTTGGAGGAACGATAACAGCTTTTGGCTGTTCTCAAGCGAAGTCGAAGTTGCGATCGATTTCGGATTGTTGCCACAAGGCGTGGATTGGAAACATTGAGCTCTGGAATAGATGGATCTTTTTGCCCCAGGAATTAGAGTTTAGGTAATATTGCTTTCCTAGCTGCTTCAAGAGATGAGGAAGCCTCGAGAGTCCATAAGGTGTATGAGAGGCTCACAGGTGCCTTGATTAATGCAAACGGCGGCTCTCCTTTAGTGAACTTTTTAGTGGGTCTCACAAAGAGATGACGAATGAGTGTTGCATATGTGGGCCATGCAGGCCCGGTCTTGGCGGAAATGCCCCGGAAACCCGCGAAGATGGCAACAGGGTAAACATCCACAGAGAGATCAATCCATCCGGAATCCATATACGGAAGTACAACTTTGCACATCGCCATCTTGGATAATCACCCCAACACCTCCGTCAGATCAGTGCTCAGAACGCACTAGAAAACTAGAAAACTACTTGACACGGCACATCAAAGCACCATGGCATCAGCATTCGAGCCCTCGTTGTCAACCAGCCGACCACCGATTGGGGGTCCGTCGCTCGCGGACACCCTTCCCAACATCAACTTCGGCTTCGACGAATTGCGCGACCGCATGGCTAAGTTCACGGCCAGGTTTGATGCATTCATCGAGCAAGGGAGGAAGCGCGTACTGGAGGAAAGGAACCAGTTTCACATGAACGTGGCCGAATTGCAGGGTACGAAAATGGACTTGCCCTTGTGCTGTACCGCGCTCTCCATTCCGAGATTTCTAACTGCGACCCCCGAATAGAGGACCAGCGCATGAAGAAGAAGGACATCGAGATCCTCCAGCTGAAAACCAACACCTACCAGCAGACCATCGCCAAAGAAGCGGCCGAGACACGAGAGATGCAAAGCGCCATCGCCCAGCTCACATCCCAGCGCGACCGGCAAGCCGCGGCACGGGACGCGCTCAAGGAGCAGATCGCTGCCACGCAGAAGGACATCGACGCGAGGCTAGCCGCGCAGCGGGCGCACCAGGCACAGCTCGAGGCGCAGGCGCGCTTCAATGTCCCAGAGCTAGATTTCTGGGTGACGAACCTGTGCATGCGCATCGAGGGCGCCGGGGTGGAGGACCGGCTCAAGTTTGTGTACACGCATGTGGATGAGAAGAACTGGGAAAGAGAAGCCTGGTTCGAGCTCTGCACGGGGAGTAGGGACTACAATGTGCGGCATTGCAGGCCCAAGCTGGAGAGGGAGAAGGTTGAGAAAGTGTTGGAGCGGGTCAATGAGACGAGGGAGTTAGTGACGCTGTTGAAGGGGATGAGGGAGTTATTTGTCGAGGCTATGCGGTCGTGACGGGCAGGCCACGAAGGTCTTTTGTGTAATGTGATGATGATGCCATGATGTGATGAGGATTCGCTTTGGACCTGGCAAAGGCGGCAGCATATCGGCTTCTTGGGAAATCGGTACTACTAGTATATATGGATGCGATTGAATTGATACCCAACGATTCAATGTTCTGGAGATAAAACGCCCAGTGCTCCTACGTTCACTGTGTCTCTACATCTGCCTGTCCGTTCTGGCTACTCTACCTATGTTCATTGCTCACATGGTCACGCGTTGAAGCCCCGCCGATTAAACTGTTCGACGCGCATCGCGGGGTCGTTTTCAACCGTGCACCTCTGTCGCGCACAAACAGGCATCTATCCGCCCAAGATGCCGCCCAACGAGCGTGCTGAGAAGCAAGCCGCTGCGCAGCAGGCAGTGGACATTCTGCATGAAATCGCTACTATTCTGGTCAGCCTGAACCACTCCGGGTCCACTACTACCCGAGAGCCGCGTATAAATCGACAACAACTGACCGCCTGACAACACATAACAGAACTGCCACCTCGACCGGCGCACTCTGTCAATCTGCATTTCAATGATTGAGAACGGGGTGAATCCTGAGGCTCTAGCAGTATGTTTTTTCATCACCACCACCACCGACATGGACGTCCACTAACACCTCCTAGAACGTCATCAAAGAGCTGCGCAAGCATGGCCAGGAAGCGCAGCTCGAGGCTGCGGCGGGGGCCTCATCGGCGCGACGGAGATGAAGTCCAAGCCCCGCAGCATCCTCTTCCCTCACCCTTGCGCCCGTAAGGGGTAGTCGTCGACAGGAAGAAAGGGCATAGCACACATCTTCATCAACAACGGTATGAAGGAGAGGAAGGGACTAAGCCAGAGGTCCAATCGATTGCGTATCTCGATACCAGCCACTCTCAACGGACTGTTGAGCGGCACTGCGAGTTTCATACACAGAGCCAGGCTGGGGTACGGGGTGCTGTTCGGTAATGGCACCTCATCGGCCTTCGAAGATACGGCAGCTTTGATCTTAGTTGAAGGTCCGGGACCTATCCGGGACGGACTAGGCTAGGTAACCTACCTACATGACATACCAAGCCGAAATGGGGATGATTACCGGTTTTCTACACACCATACTAGGTACTCTTAGGGTACATTACCGTCATAACCCATGATGCAATGCGCTATGTATAACCCAGAACTGTCGAATGCCGCCCAAAAACACGCCAGCGCAAACCCATCTATGCCATCCCATGCCAGACAGAGCCGACTCCTGTTTCGCCCAAACTCCCAGCCAAACCAAACCCCATATTGCCTTTCCAGTCACTAGTGAACCCATATGCGGTGAGAAATTCAGCTTCCACCCCATCTCTAACTCCCTGGGCTCTCGAGGTCAGGCAGTAAGTGTGGTTCGCGATCCCTCCGTGTACAAAACCAAGCTGACGAAGTGATACCTCACAGACCCTATCTGTGCCCAAGAAGCAGGATATCCTCCTCCTCCTCCTCCTCCTCCTCTTCCTCATCGTCATCCTCGTCTCCATCTTCCCTCTCGTCTTCCGATTCGTCTTCCTCATCCTCTTCATCGTCATCATCAAAGCCCACCGCGCTTTCAGCCGATGTGAGACCTGTCATGCGGTCAAAATCCCGGTCCCAGGCGCCAAACAGATCCAGCATGTGATCCTCTCCGTTGTCTTCATCACCATCCTCCTCCTCTTCATGCTCAGAGTGTCGCACGTCGGGGCGGCGAGTGACGGCGAGAGCGGGGACATGCAGATGCGAGGAGGTTGCAGTAGAAGGAGCGGACGACGGTGCTGACGGGCCAGCCAGTTGCGGGTCTGACAACGCAGTGCGGTAGAGCAATCTAAATAAATACACGGGCGAGTAGGATAATGGGGAGGAGGACAGCAGGGCAAAGCTTCGCTCCGGCTCGCCGTCCCGGTCTCGCTCGCGTTGCTGCCGCTCCTGTACCTGCAGTTGCTCGGAGAGGAAGGCTGGGTCCAGTGCTACCGGCTGCTGTTGGGTTAGTTGAGGCTGCAATGTTTGCTGCTGCTGCTGCTGCTGCTGCTGCTGCTGCTGCTGCTGCTGCTGCTGTTGTTGTTGTTGTTGTTGTTGTTGTTGTTGTTGTTGTTGTTGTTGTTGTTGTTGTTGTTGTTGTTGTGGTGGTGGTGGTGGTGGTGGTGATAGATGTTGCTGTTGCTCGCTATCGCCGCTAGGCATATTCAACAGCTGCACCTGGGTCGTATTGTAAGACCTGCAAACCGCACATTTCAGCCCTAGCCAGTGATACGCGGTTTGGGTCTTGGCGGAGCAGTCATTGCACGAGATCACGGCGCGGGCGTCGGCATACTCGGGCGGCATGGGCTGGTTGAGGATGGCGATGTCGAAATTGCGGAACTGATACTCCATGTTGATGCAGGACTTGTTGCAGAGTGGGCACTTGTACGACGTCTTCATGTGCTCTTCGAAGCAGAGCCGATGGATGCTGTGGCCACACTGCATCACGATGACGGACTTGGGCGAATTGAACATGTACTCGTTGCAGATCGGGCAGTCGCAGTCGGTGGAGCGTTCGATGCACTTGTGCTTGTCCAAGCTGGAAATGGAGATGCAAGCCATGCATTTCTAGGGACCATCAGCGAAACATTTTCAGAGGTAGAAGGGATTCCCATGTGCTCACCTTGCAATGGAAGAAGTCCTTGCCAAGCCCCTGGCCAACCCTACACAGTCCGCAGTCGGGGCAGTGATAGATGGGCTTGTTCGGATCATCGTTCCAGAGCTTGCAAATGCCGCAGTAGTAGTAGGCGGCCGATTGCCCGCACTTTATGCATGTGTCCGACGCCCTTTGCGCACAACCGCACAGCATGCACAACATGTGCTTGGTCCGTTGGCGCGGGAGGACGTGGTCCTCGACGGCATCGTGGCAAAGCCGGCACGTGTACCACCGCTCGCAGGAGGCGCACTGCAGCTTGACATTGCGGCGGTAGTGCTCGCACCCGAGGTGCCTCTCCCCGTCTTCCTCCGCCTCTTGCTCCTCTAAATGATACCATTGCCTTTCGTCAGCCGGCGGCCTGTTGGGCGCATAAGTCGGGGTGAGGTCCTCCTCAGTGAGCGGCAGCTTGAGCGGCCCCCATCCGTCGCCGAGCGGGTTCCATTTTATGAAGGCCTGCAACGGTCCAATATGCTCCACCGACTCCGGCGGGTCAAGTGTACTGGAGCTTGCTGGGGATACTGGTCTTAACGAAGCGTGGGCAGACCTGGAAGACAGCTGTGCTCTCGTGTACTTCTCCGTCAACAATCGGTGCAGCATTTGTGCCTTTGTGTTCTCCGGGGCATCCATCAGCCGGATGGCCTGTATCCTCCGCCGGAGATCCCCCATCCCGTCATCCTCGGGTAGCGGACTCGCTCTCGTCGCCTCTAGCACCGGCCAACTCATCCCAGCGGTTGCGTCTGTCGCGGCGTTGGCGGGTGGTGTGTTTGATGATTGCTGACTGGGTTCTGAACTAACGGTTGATCTGGGTCTGGCCACGCTATGGTCGTCGAGGGTGATCCGGGAGCTGCCCGCGTTTGGCGACGGGAAAGCGCCTTCGACTAGGATTTCTTGGGCGGGCGTCGTTACAGGCGTCACAGCGCTGCTTGGGGATTCCGGAAATGTCTCCCATGTCGGCCGCCTCGCATGCTCCTCCTGCTCCATGATTGCGCTTCCATTGGCACCGGCGCCCCCAATCGACCACGTCCTCAGTCTCCGGGCCTGCAATGTGGGGCCGTCGTTCGCGGGGCCGTCATTGTTGGCGAAACCAGAAGAGAAACGACGGGCTTGTCGAAGTACTGGAGTAATTATGAAGTCCGATACTAACTGTGCCATCGCAGAGCATTGGGTAGTTTGGCGATGGGCTCTAGGAGTTGTTGTCGGCGTGTGGCGGAATAGTCATTGAGAGATGTGAGAAGTGAGCAGACACTCGGGAGATCTCTCAGCCCAGCCTGCAGCATGTGCTTCCTCAGCGGGCGGGTCTTGACAAACAGGCGGCACGGGCATTGGACGCCTGTCAGAGCGTGCAGGGTCCGGGATGCCCGGAAACAGCAGTTTTGCCCCACTGGGTAACTATCGCCCCACCATTTCTCAGTTTAGCTATGATGAGGTAAGGGGTTTTGATAGGTAGCTCGTTATGTTAACCAGCTGAGCCACCAACTGGCAACAACTCAACCTCAACAACTCCAAAAACCGACGGGAACTGTTGAACTTGCCTGACTCAGCGTCTAACCGCGTATCCTATCAAATTAAGCGAAAGCAAAGCCACCTTAAACTTTGCTAGCGGATCTAGGCGCATTATGATATTGTGTGAATGCCTAAGGTAGCCAGCACAACCTAGCACATAGGCAGGCCACAAGCACTAGCTCTCATCGATTGTTCCAAAAGGTCAACTGGTAGAAGTCAGGTAAGGTCTGCTTGAATGTAGCCATTCCTTGTGTCAAAGTGCTGTGGCTCCGGAGAAGAGGCATATAGGAAAGCAGGAGGGCGAGGATTCAAATTCTGAGGATTCAAATTCTGATTACCTAAGTAGGTACCTATTCAAGAGCTGAGGGTCAGACGACAGACTTGATCGAGTCTTATCCTCAGGTTTTTGAGTACCCTCAACTGAGAGTCCTACATCAATGTCTGTGTAGCCCAAGCCCCTAACTCATAACCGGGGGATTCCAGCGCTTGCCTTCTTACCTACTACTTGTTAGTGGTGAGCATGCTCCGTCATTAGCTTTGAGAGAGAGCAGTCTCTGGACTTGAAAGAACAAGAAGGAACTTGTCAAGTGACCTACTCAAGTCAACTGAACGAAAGCTCCAATCCACGTACCTAAGTGTATAATCATCTCAAACTAGGTGCTAAGTCCCAATAACGGTCAGCTAACTCCAGTCGTCACCGAGTAGCCACTTACTTCCCGGCTCTGTTCTCACCGACAGTCTCGGGTGACTCGATGCGAAACTGAGCCTTGACGCCCAAGTGATCGGTAACCCATGGTCTCTCGAGGTCTGTCCCCTCCAACAGCTGCTGGGCCGCGCCCTCATCCTCAACCTGTACGCCCATCCCGAACCTCTCAAACCCTACCAGCTCAACCCGCCCGCAGAACATAATCTTGTCCATCCGACTCAGTCCAAACCGCTGCCGCTGGCTCCGGCCAGCCATCTGACCCCAGGTCATGCCCTCCTCGGCGTCCTCGACACCGCCACTCTCAAGATACGCATCATTGAGATTATTCCCAACATGCAGCGTTCTGTCGAAATCCTCGATGGCGTTGAAATCGCCGCCGATGATGCCCGCATACACGCCATCCTCGTGCAAGTACTTAGCCGCTGTAGCCAGCTGCGATGGCCGTAGCGGCGGATCCCTCTTGAGGGACTCCAGGTGCGAGGTAGCCACGCGCAGCGTCTGGCCCTGGGGCAGGGCGATGTCGACGCAGAGTGCGTCGCGCTGCATCCCCGTCCGCTCGTAGTGCACGCGGAAGACGGATTTGATGGGCAGGCTGCGGTGTACCAGCATTGTCGTGCCTGGTGTGGTATAAGATGCATGCCTGTAAATATCGTACGTTGATCGCGTGATTCCAAGTTAGCAAAACGTACCATAAGCTGGTGATGCCCAGTGGACGGTGGAGGCGTCGGTGATGTTGTAGTCTTGCCGGACCCAGTCCGCCTGCTTGATCAGTGTCAGATCACCTTCGGTCATCTCGTTCAACATGATGACGCTAGGGTCGGCCTGTCTGCTGACAAGCGAACGGAGATGCTTGAGGGCTGAAGCCATCCGTGCCTCGTCTTCGGGACGCATGAAGTCGATGTTCCAAGACAAGACTGAGAATCGAAAAGATCTTGGGGTTTCGGAGCCTGGAGGGACCGTTGAACCCTGCACCTCGACCGGTGCCACAGATCATCCTTAAGAATGAAGTATTCCTGGTGCGTCGGCTCCCCACGCTTTAGGTTGCGAGCGGAGAGGTTGGAGAACATGGTGATGATTTGTGGCTTTGGCTTCACGGTTCTCCGGCGAGTTATACGTTTGAAAAGCTTGAGCATTACGAACGCCCAATTGGCTCCAAGGGCTCGAAGATGAATCAACGGATGATAGTAGCGTATCTTCCGCGAAGGTCTTGGATGCTGCGTCAAGTAAAAGTGGCTAGGGAAAGCACTAGGGTATTAAGCTTGGAAACGTGAAGGTGGTCAGCCGGCGACGTTGCTGACATGTTCAATCAAGACGTCAGAGAACACGGAAGGGTTAGGGTTCTCAGGAGGTCTGAACTACCTACAACTACTAGTATCTGACGAGAGATTTAGGGTCAGGCCTAGAGCAGGGCAATGGGTCATCTTAGAGTGAGATGGGACTAGTAGAGTATCAACTGAATTGCAAACTTCAAGTTGCCAGTGTTAGTGTATACCACCCTACCCAACTTGTGCTTCTCTGGCCATATATCTGAATTATTGTTGATAGATATCACGACTCTTCACATTCAATGACCTACGTGGCGTGGACTCTAAGCATATTTTAGCAGGGCATAGTCACATGGGTGTTTTAGAGACGGCTTTTCTTCAATCTCCAAAGTGTTCCTCCATAACATACCGCCTCGACAACCCTGGCTAACTCATCAACACCCGCCCGATTGTGCTAGCACTCAAAGTTGATTCGTCCACGGCAGCCTGCTTCCTATTGCACACCTCCAGCGCAACGCCAATGACGTGACTACTGGGACGGCTTCATTGCAAGCCGGCCGCGAACTGCGGCTTAAATCTACGGGGTAGAGACTACGGTTGCGGCTAAGAAAACTGTGGGTGAGGGGACTGATACTGGCGGAACAGAACGAGAAGTGACGGGAACGTGTTAAGTCTACTTCAATTGATTAGGATACTAGGCGAGCTATGAAAGATGGGGATAAGGATGTAGCGTCCGATGTTATTCATCCTTCAAATGCATTGAGATTCAAAGAGTGGATGCTGATTATGGAATGCGGAGACTAACATCAATATCGATTTGAGTTGATGGAGAAGATGAAGAGAAAATGCGTTTCAAACTCTAGCATCTTTACGTGCATGGTTGAGCAGTAGCGTAACGACCTTCTACCTTTATTATCTATACATATAGAGCCTGCACAGCGCTTATCACTCACCCCCAGCATAAGACACCATGTTGGGATTCCGGCATGGGGTTCTGTAGCCAGCTACCTCCCCTATTATCGTAGACCTGGAGTGAAGACTCAACCCTTAGAGAGAGTGAGTTCGGTGAGCCTTTCGATCTGAGTATGCCAATTGCTTAATATGAGAGTGTCATGTGGGTAGGCATTCAAGAGGCAAGGCCACAGGTCCAAACGATAGTACGCCTACTCCCATATAGTCATCTGAAACCATCACTCGTAGTCATGGATATCCAGAACATCACAGCATGGTCCGACCCCGCCGCACCCAGCATCTGGTCACTCCCACGACTACCTACAAGGTGTCTTCCGTTTATGTCCATCCCGGACCTATGCAGACGCCGCCTTAGCCACTCACTTTCTGTATTAATTAAGGTGACGAATGTTGAAAACTATATTCACCCTCCGAGCGTACCCAAACCGAGAGAAGCGAGGAATTGGAGGAATAATGCGACGCTGACTGTCGCAGTGCCACTGATCCGTAGGTCGGCTGCTGTTGATAGAATTCTACCAAGACGCAGCTTCGACCAACCTCAGCCAGCCACGCCATAGCACTAGCAGTAGCTCGAAACTTCTTCCATTCCGACAGCTCAGCAGCAGAGAAGGCCCCCCACCACTCAATGCTACGAAGACGATTGGCAGCCAATGGACGAACCGGACGCCCTCCCCCAGGGAACTGACTGTACCTACTGGATTGGAACGCCCCGTCAAGTTCTGATGAATGACTGACTGGAGTAGCAACGGGGCTTGTCTATCGGTTCCAAACCGCAGAGATGCTACCTGCAGATGCATTCATCCACCCCTTTGTGCCTTAAGAGGCAAACCCGAATGGAGTGAGAGGCTGCAGCTGGGCCGCGGCAACGAAGCATTGCAGAGAGCAACGTGGGAGGCAGGCAATCGGCTTCGCTTGCTACTAGTGGAGAGTGACCGACCGAGGACAGACATGACTTGTCCATAGATCGCAGATCTGCTAGACCTACAACCCAGTGATAATCACCTTGCCACCTTTCCCTTTGCTAACGCTAACTGACCTGCTTGCTTTGATTTGACTAACGACGGGGGGAGACGTGGCACGCTTCGAGATGGGCGCGGGCGGAGGAGAGCATGGAGGGCAACCGGGAGAGGCCCAGGGAGGGGAGCTGCCGTGACTGATATTCTTGTGACATCAACTGCTTTCACTGCGGACTCGTCCGCCTGATGGGCGAAGACTATCCTCACCCATCGCCCTGCCCCGCGAAGGAGCTGCCGCGCGTCCCTCAAGCCGGGAAGGCATAGATCCATGATCTACAGCGGAGCTCCGAAGGCTGTTGCCGTTGCTGTTCCTATTGCAGCCCGACCCATCTCAGAATCTTGCCTTTTGCCCGTCTATCCCTCCTGGGCTTCCACGACTGGAGTGCCTAACGCCACATGTTAGCTACTGCATCCAGATCCGCTTACCCTTCCTCAGCCACGAAGACACATGGACCCCCCCGAGGTGAAATAGCAATACGTCCAGTCCACCCTCATCATCATGATGAGTTGAGCCACGAAGAAACGATGTTTCACTCCCCCCCCCCCCCCCCCCCCTAGGGACTCCAATCACATCGGCATCCACCGTTGTGAAGTCAACATCACACAAATAACGCGCCGAAGACAACCTCGATCCCTGTTACAACCAGTCGGAAACCACCGGCATCCTCTTAGGCATTGAGTTCGATATTGATGTCGCACACGGCACATCCACCCGTGTCCGAGACAGTTGTGTTCCACATTCCACAGTACTTGTGGCAGTTGGGTCATTGTCTGTGCCGTGAAACTCGGGCGGGGCGTTGTTCCAGGCCCTCGAATTGCTCGCCATCCCTAGTGTACGGTGTCATCCCGTCGTCGTACAAGACAACGGTTGGCAACGGCAAAGGCTGAGTGTGGAGCAGCGAGAGCCAGTAAATGAGATTAAGGGTTTCGGCATTCCTGCTCGCCTTACCAGGCTGTCCCTGAACCTAAATAGTAGCCTAATGCTCCGTAATCGTGTGAACTATCCAGAAGAGAGCTCATTCCGCTGACCCGAAGGGCGGTGCTGACATCGAGTGTACAATCTATCTATTAATGCGCGCGGTCGATAATGGGAAACGTTAAGGTCCACTCAGTTTGGTGATGATAGGATGTGGGATGTTTTGGACGCAAGGGACGCCAACCGCAATAAAGCCATTGTTTCATCTGAGTCGCTGACAACGACAAGAATCGAACGGATTCTGAATCCTGCAGACTTGCTGCCTCCTTCAATCCCGATTCGACCCTACTGTGGTTTTGGTTGGCAATGCCAAACTGCACCATGCCAGCTTCTGATGCGGGACTGTCCATTTTTGGCTTTGGGCACACATCTGTCTTGTACAAGCTTGACTCACACAATCACCGTTCATTGGTAGGTTGACATCGGGCTGGACGGAGGGGACACCGGGTTGGGTGAGACGGGGTCCCCACTTGTGCCAGCCCGGCCCGGAACCGGAAGCGGATTCGATAAAGTGGGGGGAGCTTCCGGGTCCCACGCGCGGACTTCCCCTGCTCGCGCGTGACCGGTCGGCCGATACGGATGAACCAGATGGGCAAGTCCATAGGTACCTATCAGAAGGGAGCCCACTTCTGCCCGATCACCCAGGGCCGTACGGAGTACAAGACTTGGGCTTCGGCTGAAGTACCTGACCCGTGCCTACCCAATGCCTGCAGCTTTCCACACGGGTTCACCGGTTCGGCAGTTTGTCCCATGTCAGAGCCGGTTCGTGGAACGGGCGGAACGGCTGCCCAGAAGCAAAAGCAAAACGACTGAGACGGTGGTTGCCAGCCACACGCCCCCGAAAAGGCGGAAAAACTGGTCGGCCAAGGCGACCCGCCCGGATCCGCCGACCAACAAGGTGCGGCCCCGCCCATCAGGAACCGCCCGTGGAGTTCTTCGGGCTTCTCTGCAGCGAGCCTAGTGCAGTGTATCGCACCGCGTGGCCACGAGACGACCTCAATAATCTGAGCGGAAGCCGAAGGCCGCTTGAGCAGTTGACACGTCGGCCGGCATGGGTGCCAGGTACAATACTCCCGTGGTTCTGCCTGGTTAATGAGGTGCCATTCGTCAGGGAAGGGTGTGAAGCCCAGGAAGACGCAGCAAACATGAGCTTTTTCGGGACGCTTGGAGACCACGAAAGCTCGCCCTGACAAATGGAGCTTCCGTTTCAAGAAGGGTCGCATTTTTGGTTCCAGAATGTGCAAGCGGCGAGGCCGACGGATCTATGACCCATGTCGACCAGAGAAGCGGAAAACGACATGGGGCGTGCACGGCACAGCGATGGGCATCGGCATGAAGATGAAGCCATGAAGATGACTGCCCATCTTAGCAGCCCCACCTAAGCTCCGATGGTGAGGGCGGCACTGGAAAGCTCAGGCTGACAACACGCGGAAAAAAAAATCATCTTTCTCTTCACCTGTCTACACTAGTCAATTGTATCATATTGCGATCAATGCTGGTTTTTCAAAGAACACCCAGTCAACAAGGCTTCGCAGATTGTGGAAGATGCTGGAACTTGCCCGATCCAACAAGATTTATTTCAGCTACACCGTCTTTCTTCACATTTCTGTTAGCCAATGATAGTGGAGCATCAGTGGGCCGCCGCTGGGCTGAATCTGATCTGATGTTCGAGATCATGCAAACCCTAATAAACAACACGGGACGGGAAGGACCCTCTTCAGCGTCTTGAGCCAATCAATGGGCCGAATCCATTTACCGGTCTCTATGCAATTGACCAACAGTGATCTGAAACGCCCCACTGAATCTGGGCTTGAGGGCTGCTTGGTTGTATATTTCAGCAATCTTGCACAGCGAAGGGAGTCGTTGTATCATCATCAGGGCCAGCAACACACAGCCTTGAGAACCAATATAGACGGCACTCTGTCGAGTACGGTTTTCCAATGCCTGAAAAGACTCAATATTGCGTTATGCCCTAAGAACCAGTTTTGGCCGGCTGGCGGTTGTGACGGTGAGCTCCGCTGCGCCGAATTGCTAACCGTCAGTGTGAATGATGCCACGAGTGGAACTTCCCCCGGCACAGGTCCCCACCGCGGGATCGAACCTTGCGAGACCGCCGGAAGCAGCCGGCGACAAAAAGGGGAATCAGGGGACGAGGTGCAGCTTGAGCTTTGGAAGCTCTGACTCGATCATGATTAGTTGTGAGTGCTTTGCATTGTTATTACACTAGGGTTCGTGTCTAGAATATCGCATTATCAGATACAAGGAAGTGCGGAATACTAGCTAGTAGTGTAGTTGGACACATTTTGATTGACGATCTCGGCCGGTTCAGGGATTCTTTGTTCGCGCTTCAGTTTCATCCATCTCTCCCAAGAAAGAGCTAAGACATTGAGACGGCACAAGACCCGCTAAATTGTATTATTAGCTTCGATCGTACAGTTGGTGGCTTGAGCTTGAAGTTTTGTTAGGATGACCGATCTCGGAACAGATTGATTGCTCTGGTATGGAAGCCACAACATCACGTGGATCTTGTGATGATTAACGAGTAACATGGAGAGCTGACAAGACAGAAAGATCCTGCTGGCGGATATGTATGCCCTCACCCTTGCGTTCCAAAACTTGTAGTCCTAAATCGGGAGTGATGGTCAAGTCCTTTCATAATCGCCAGCTAATAGAGAACCGACGTGGGCATCTAACTACTAGTACACATTTTCTCGAGTTGGGATTTAGTGAGTAATATTTTGGACAGATACCCGACATCCTAGATCATCCCGCCCTGCCAGAGTGGTTCAGTGAGATGTTGATACAAAGATCTCTCACGCAATATGCGAGAAATCAGTCATCTGCATCAGCGGGAGAGCAGCTGCCTCACCGAAGTGGGCCTGAACCTTAATACATAGTACTACCGTACCTAGGTGAGGAGGGTAAGGTACTCAGTACTACCTTAATTGACGGTACCGGTGAGATAAGGTAGAGCTTCAAGCTTCAAGCTTCAAGGGCGATATCGGAAGAGAACCTTGAAGGTAGTGTGAGTCAGAGGACAGGAGATAGGAACAGAGAGCAAACATTGAAGACAACAACAAAGAAAGTTTCAGAGCCACTGAAGGGCTGACCCCGACCAAACTTCCTATTGATTCCAGTTGCCAATGAGTTGTGCCGTGTTGATACGAGTAGCTTACCTGCCATGGCTTTGTTTTTGAAGGCAGCTAAACAAAACATACCTTTTTATTAACCGGCTGCGTGAATCGTCCCTGATCGGAGTCAGTGCCAACTGTACAATACCGCAGTACGTACTGTAGTAACTGCCTACGGCGGTACTGTAAGGCGGTAAGAATCTGCATGTGCGGCTCCCCGGCTCCGGTGCCGGTCGCCCCGGTGGAGCCCGACAAGGGATGGGACTGCACGGGGCGGGAAACATGCAGGAATCCTGAGCTTAACCACACCGCACACTTGCATTTTTACCTACAGCCGTGTAAGAAACTTGCATATGATGGAACATGACAAAGCGGGTTGGCGGCGCTGTAAGGCACAACAGAGGCTGACGAGAGGCAACCAGCGGGACAGCCAAATTCGCCTGATCGCTCCTAATGTGCTGTGAATTTGCCTCTCATGCCCATTGTTAGATTGCTCTACTGTATGTAACTTGGAGCTTCTCTCCGCGCCACTCGGTTGGGCATGACTTAGTTCACGATCTTTCGCCCAGTATGATGTATGAATGGGCCGAGAATGACATGGGAGGTGATTAGACCTCTCCATGTCATAAGTGGATAAAAAAGTTTCCTTTGCCCTCGGCGCTGGCCGGACAAGTCCTCTCCGGGCCAGCTGGGTCCGGACTCTGATCCGCGAGTCATGTTCACGATGGCGAACAAAGAAAAAGCAAATGCAAAGAGTGGCTTCGGCTTTCGCCCCCATACCATTCCCTCTCTGCCTCCATAGGTGTATCTCCTCGGCAAGCGGTATGAGAAGTTCGAGAAGGGTCCAGACTACAATCCCCAACATGGTACGTATGTAAGTGGCAGAGAGCATAGGCTTGTGTAGGTCCTGGACTTCCGATACACAGTTGTTGTCCGGCAATCAAAACTTCCCCAGACTTTGGGGCTCTCCTCCCCGGGCCGTTGAGCTAAGCCCAGGCTGCATGCAGGGGGCCGGAAAGCAAAAGAAGCAAAGTCAAAGCGGAAGGCCGTGGGGAGACAAAGCCGATCATCGTCGGTGTTCCCTCCTGCGGTAGGTGCTCTTACTCTGGCGGTAAAGTCTCCAGACTGTCGGGTTTGACGACTTCAGGCCCGTTTCGACCCATTGGGGAAATGTCGGTATTGAGCCTCTGGTGCTGGGATCTGTATCCGCTCTCGAACTCTCTCGTCACAAAGCCTAGTCCCATGACTTGCTGTTTCTGGCCCAGGCGTCGAGGCAGCATTGCACATGATACTAAGTGTGAACGAGTCAGAGAAAGGCTCGAGAGGAAAAGTTCTACCACAGCAGGTGCACAGTTCCGGTTGCCACGGGACCTGTAGCGCATTCCAGGTTGGGTAGTGCGTTGTGGACCGACTCAAACTCGACTCTGATATGGCGCCAGAAAACGCAATCTGCTCGTCAGTTCCAGTAGCAGTAGAGGTGTAACGCGGCGTACACAGTACGGCGCAGCTCTGGTCCCTGAGCGGACCTCGACAACAAACCTCGAACCATAAGGGTTTCCACTGGCTTCGTATGCAGAACTTTCCACTACGCCGTGCGGCGTCTGACTCACCAAAAAGCGAGATTACCATGTAGACTCGTAGAGTAGGAAATGGAAGCTGATCGAGCGTTGAGGATGAGGACAGGTGGAGAGATCAACAACTGGGCAAGCCGTGACCTAAGTTAGGCTCCGTGATGACGGTTTGGCACGAACCAGTCAAGCAATTTTGCCCAAGCATTACACGTGTAGGTTATTGCAGCGATTGCAGCTGTACACAGTAGTACCGGTAGTGTATGGTGTCGACAAGGCGGCCCAATCAAGGAGATGCGGAACTTGGACTGCATCTCCGCACAGCACAATGGCTGAACGACATGTGGACACAAAGCTCTTGCTCACTGGTGACTTGTCCAAGTGGAGCCTTGAAAAGCCCGAGACGCGCGGTGGAGAACAGTTAACTAAATGGAAACATGGCACGATATCGATGGCAATGCTGCGGTTGGTGGATTGGAAACGCTTCAATTGATGACGGGATTGATGCCAATCTCTGTCGAGTTGGTATTATGCGCAGGGAGAACCGGAGCAGTAGCCAGGCAGGACGACCGCTTTGCCGAAAATTCCCGCTCCCAGTGCAAACACCTCATCATACAGAAAAATTCCATCGTAATGTGAATCATCCATCGAGTCCCAATCCAGCAAGTGCCTAATAAGCACCCACAGCCAATTGATGCTGTGTTCAACGCCAACCCAGTAGTCCTTAGCCGCAAACCAGGTCCAACAATCTGAGCCTTGCCTAACACCGAGTATCCCAGGCCTCCCACCCAGAACCGTCCATATGCTAAGTACTTGGTGCCCAGAGGAAAGCATAACAAAACCCGCCCAAAGTTGTATCGCTAATACACGAGATCGCTCCCATTGAGTTGAATTGGTGAACCCGGTCCAAATACGCCTTGTCCCAAACATGTGTGAAAAAAAGACAAAACCAACCCTTTGTGAACCCGAGCTTTTTTTTATGATGCTGTGCTCCGATGCATGCAAGTTCTTTTTGTTACAACAAAACCCGTAACCCAGAGACAAACGAGATATGGAAGGCTGAGTCGTGTGGGGTTTTCTTTATGGCGTGGATGGATCGATTGAGTTGGGGTGTAGTTGCTGACGACACCTAACTGTCGACGAAGCTGAGAGGAGGATGTAGAGATCGAGACCGTCGGTGGTAGGTCTAGTATGATCGTCTACGTTGGAGGCGGACGGATTCGAACGAGCGGGCATACGCGCGAAGCTCCCTCGCCGCCTTTTCGGACAGCTGTGCCGCGTCGAGAGGTGCAGCGGAGGAAGTGCTCCTCATCGAGCAGAGGCTAGTGTGTGATGCCGACGGCGAGAGGCCGTGGCCTCTGGTCGAGTCCCTTCGAGGGCTACTTGACAGAGCGTTGCTGCTGAACTCGTATGCCGGCGACAGGTAGAACCTCCTGTTGCTCGTTGCGCTGGACGGCCTCGGCAGGGTCCAGTCAAGCGGAGGGCTGCTTAATGCCGGAGAGCTCGCGGCGGAGCTAGGTGTTGAAGGTGATGTCTTCTCATAATCGGCCAGTCGGCAGGATTCGGAGCAGTAGGTGGCACCGTCGGTCTGCTTGTCGCAGCCGAGGCAGAACTGATGTGTCCAGTCGAGAGACATGGTGGAGGATTAGACGTGGAGTCTGGTTGGAACAGGACGAGGCCGTCTAAGGGAGTGCAAGAGACGAGTTATCGGCTGCGTTGAGTGAAGCGAGCTGGATGGAGAGACCCGGCGGTGTCTGTACGGTTGAATCTTGGTGCTGTCCTAGAGAGAGAGTCCGAAGCTATGGACTGCTTCCAGAGGAACTGCGGTGACTATAAGAAGACGGAGGCTTGTTGACTCATAGCAATGGATGCCAGTCCGAGAGGCAGCGAAGTGTGGAGACAAGAAGGAGAGTGCGAGGGTGATTAACGACGAAGCTATCCTTGTGCCAAAGTGGGAAGGGAAGTTGAGGAGAGCTCGGGCAGCCGGGGTTAAGTATCCTGGCACTGCCTGCCCTGGCTGTTGCGGGTGTGTGAGAAGAAGGAGTGAAGCAGAGACCCATGATCCCCAAGGACCCACGGAGACGCAAGATTTGAGTGCCCATCGAGGTACGTGGCGCGAGGGGTCCGAGAAGTACCTTGACGGCGCGGGCTGCTGAGTGAGATACGAAGGGAGGCTGTACGGAGTACTTCCTCACCCTCGACCAGCGACTAGCGCAAAAGGGTGTGGTGGGGCGGCCCCGCAAGAAGAGGCAGACGCTGGCAATTTGCGCTAGGCCCCTTCCGCTATAGCCCACTTGCAGGGGCTGTCCTTGTTGGTGTGCAAGAAAATTCTTTTCTTGCCAGGCGTGAGCACAACATGGTCTTGTCGTGGCACCACCCTGGTCACTTGGGGAAAAATGAGTGGAGTCTTGTGTGAGCCCATCTTGGCAGTGCCTTGGACCAGACAGCAATAACGGACTCCGTGAAGGGGCGTGCTTTCAGTTGCTGGCCACTGTTCGCTGCCACGCTGCTGCGTTCACAATTGGCGTTCGCCTGTGGACATTCACAAAGCACTAGACGTAACTTCATTGCCAGTAAGATCAAGAGGGTTTTCGGTGAGGTTTGCTAGTTCATCGTTGCTGAGGTGCCCGGACTCTGTTCTCCTGATCTTTCTTGTCTGTTCTGGTTCGATCTCCATGAAAATTTGAAAATGGACCAAGAGATCAAGAACAGCCCAGGGCGGGCCGGCCATCGCCTGAGGTGCTACCTCCATGCGCCACTTAGTATAGTTATTGTACGTCCTTGGGGTGCAGGTATTGTGCCAGTGGTCTGAGGTTGACCAAGCACGGCGATCAGGCGTTTTCACTTCAATAGATCTACGGAACACATTCCTCGCCTTCACAGCACTCTTCTTCGTCCTGCAAAACCATCCAATGATGGCATTTCTCGGCCGATGACTCGACCCTAAAACCCAGCTGCATGCCGAACCAGAAGCGGCGGTGGCTGTCTTTTGGAGTGCGGATGCCAGGCATGTCATTGTGGTGCAACATTAACAGAGGCTGTCGTCATGCTACCGGTAGCAGCAGCCGCCAGCGTCGTCAACTCATCCACGATCCGGACATCGCCTCCTCTCTGTTGCATTCCATTCGGCAACCGGGTGTTTGGGGATAAACAGAAAACAGCCAATACCCGCGTGGGGGTCTTGCCGCTCGTTCAACCCTCTCAGTTCGCATTGCAGCGCAACATTATGTCGGCTTGCAAGGCACACATACACTATCTATTGTCTGGTTTTGGGGGACAACCTTTCTAGTGCGACCACAACGACGACGACGCTGTTATCGGGCGAGTGGGGGGAACGGCGACGGCGAACTGTTGAAGCTACATGCTGCAGTGTGACCTTGCTGCTGTCGCTCTCCCAAAGCTGTGCCTCAGTCAATCCAACTTTCTGCAGGGCCTGGCGTAGTGTAGACGGGAGACCGGTGATGGACCTCTTCATTGGTTGCCCTTCCATTGCCTCTGGACTGGTTCATCCGTGGCAACCTCGACCGCTGGGACGAACGTTCTATAGGCGTGCAGTTCTTATGCAGGCGGGCGCGCCAGCCCCCTCTCCTGCAGCAGCCCGTCGATTCTCACAGTGCCAATCAGCGGCAGTGGAAGCACTGCAGAAGAGCAACATGGAATGCTATTTGGATGCTGTTGAAGTTCTGAATGGTGAGTCTGGTGCCATTGTCCAATAACACAGCAGGTCTCGCTGCAAGTCCGGAATACCCTTTTCGAGTGTTCAGCAAGGTAACTTGCTCAACCACTTTACAGGTAACGGTGCTCGTAGCTCCCAAGATGTTCCCTCCATTCGTGCCCGGCTCATTGAAACAAAGACGTATTCGACTTGGCATCCGGCGCGAATTTCGTCGATCTGCTTCAGGCAGACAGAAGCATAACGGAACTGCTTATCAGAGTGGAACATGGGGATCTTGCGCTTTCAGCCCGAGATTCCCTTGATACCTGCTGTCCCATCGGATGTAGGGGAGCTGGGCGAGCTAACCGACTTCGGATTTACTTGCAGCACCCGGCCCTCTACGGCGCTCCACTGCGTCCACGCCAGCAAATCATTGCTGCAATCCGTTTCGTCAATTGGCACGTTGGGTGCAAAGAGGCAACCGGTTTCACGAATATGATGAACCGTCTGTCGTGTAGCAGAGCTCAGCCAGGAAAGCCGAGCATCAACTTTGGTGTTTCGAGGTGGCGGTTGTCTTTGTTGCGCAACGGCTGCAATGGATGTCGTAGACATCCAACGCAGAGTCCCTCCCCCATTACGGAGAGTATCTCAGTTCGTGTCATTCAATACTATGTTCTTAACCCGGATTCGGCACTTTGTCCCTGATATCTGTATGATGGGGTTCGAGTACGACCTCAACCGACCGACCCCTCGTCCCTCGACTGTACGGTTGTGTGGAATTCATTTGTACGGTCTTTAGTGGCACGATCAGCGGTCCATTAAATACATGAACCATCGAACAGTCGAAGAAACAGCGGCAGCTCCCGGGCCCCGTGCGGATAGATGAGCAGAGGAATCATGCCAGAATCAAATTGGGCAATCCACTTTGCATGCGACTTGAACATTATCGTCCTGTTGCAGCAGTTGTGGGACGTTCGGAGAATGCAGAGGAGAGGGGTTCCACCCCCCGGCGGTAAGTTTGGCGATTCGCCGACTCCGGTGTCCCATGTCCTTGTTCTCCGGTCGGTCCGTCGCGATATTTGTGGGGGATGCTGTCCCCCGGATCGGCCGCACTGCCGAGAGCTGTCGGCATCCGCTCACATTCGAAGAATGGCAATTTGGGTCTATCTCACAGATTCTCTTCATTGTGTAAGTAGATGGGATGCGATAACCGACACCGCCAGGATTGCAGGCTGATGACCCAAATTTAGGTACTGTTGCGTGTTGGCGGCGTGCCTAGATGTCATCCAACAGTTCTACGCATCGTCAGCGAAGACTAATATGAACACCAGGCTGCAGGCTGCATTGGAATGCTGCCGATCTCCAGGGCTTTTGGAGGTAAGGTAGATAGATGATAGATACGGTGCAAAATCGAGACGAGATGACTCCTCGAGGCTGTCACGGTGAATCAACTCGGCGTCGTTAGTCAGCCGTCCCACAGCAAAGTTCCTGACCGTTTACAAATTCGATGGCAGACGAACAGGGCGAACGCCTGAGACAGAAAATGTCAACATCCATGTCTGTCTTCAGATGAGACAATCTGCTCGTCGGCGGTCTCTCTTCCCGCCCGGGGGACAATCTTGGATATTACACAGCATGACAGACAAGCGGCAAGCAAGTATCCCAGCTGCCCAGGTTCACCTGCCCAGCGTTAGGATATCGTCATATCGCCACGCAGGCTGGACGTGGTGTGTCGATCGCATTTCAAAATGGATTTGCTTAGGTGCTTATTAGCAATGCCGCTAGCATCACGCTACATTTCGAGATCAAGCCATGGGACTCGAAAAAACAGCAACAACGAAACCACCGCCATGGAACACGGGACAGGACAGTCGATCTGTATCTCGAAGGATTTCTCCTAGGGCTACACGTGGCCTATAGGATTCGGTTCATGATAGTGCTGGTGGTTTTTGAAAAAATCTGATGGGGTGTGAGTCGATTCACCCAAGAAGCTTCGGTGTATAGCCAATCATTGGACAAAGCCAATGCACCTGGGGAGGAATTTCCGTAGTGCTGATGTCGACGTCACATTTCAGCCCTCCGGTGAAGCCGGGCAAGAGGGCTACCGATCTACGCTAAAACTTTGCTGACAGTGACTCAGCCCAGCAATCGGAATCAGCCTCAAGCCTTTCCTACTTGGGCACTGCTATCGATTTCGTTTTGCGTCTCGGTCGATGAGCCACATCCCTATTCAAAATCTGCTCGGTTATCTCTTGAGGTCCAGGCATCGGAGCAAAACGATCTGCTGAGGTTCGCCGCCTGCCTACAGCAAGATAGCTAGGGGGAAAATGAGGCTGTCCATTGGCCGCCGGGAGGCTCGTCCTAATCTTGTCAAAGTTCCTGTATGAAGTGGGCGTCGCAACCTAAGGTGGAAGCTGAAAAAAGGTGCGTCTGATGAGTTCAGCCAGCATGGCTCCCGGTGCCTTTCCTATCAGGGCGGAGAGCATCGTCAGATTCGCTCCGATCACGGCTCGACTAAGGATCGAAATTTTCCTTCGATGACGGTCAGTCTGACTGCTCGGTTCATGTTGATGGTCTGCGCACTATCTCGGCCAACCGCCGCCTAGCAGGCTCAGTTTCCCAGACCTGAAATTTTGTCAAGACATGTAGGACCCGCACACATGTGCTCGGCTGAATGAGACAGCGGCAGAGACAGCGTCAACGTACAATACATGAGTTGCACGCGGGCCAGGCCAGGCCTGGTCGAGCCTGGCCCGCCGTCTGCAACCTCATTGAAACGGCCTTGGCCGATCTTGACCTTCACGAGCAGACGCCCGTTTCCATTCTCATCGGACACAAACGAATCGATATCTGATAAGGCACGATGGGATCGTACAGACACTTAGATCGCCACTTGCCGCGAGGTCACTGAGGTGAAAACTACCTGTTGGTCCGGCAATCAGGGCAGTGGGTGCCATAGCCCCGGCGCTTCAAATGACTTTTGTCGATGCTGTCGGTTGCAAAACAGTTTTGATGAGTTGGTGTCTTCTTTTGCTTGCCAGTGCTTCAAAGGCACCGTTGCATCCATCTTGCATTCGTGAACTCGGGATCAAGCGCTCTGACGGATCTGGTTGGTTCAAGCAGAAGATGCCCAAGCCCGGCGAGCGTTCATTGGCCAGACGCCAAGCGGCAGAGCCCGACGTTAACAGGCACGCGCTAGCGCCCATGCCTTTCCCTGCAGAAGCAATCATGGATGGCGACAAGGACCGCAGGGCCAGCACGGTTTGACTTTCGTCGTGGCAGTGACCCTGGCCCAGCACATCGAAGCGAAATGTGTGAAAATAAAACGAAAAGGCCACCGTTGTATGTACCCTTGTGGCAGGGCGTCATGCTCCTGGTTTGCCAGCGTTGGTTAGTGCTGAGCTGAGCTCAAGCTCTGTGCCAGTACGTCAAGGTAGGAGATCCTGGGTACTACATCTGAGGTCACTTAGTACATTCCGATACTCTCGGGAGCTCGGATTTGACCGGCAACAAGGCGCTGAGCATAAAGAAGCACCTTCAGACTGTGACGAGGCTTTAACTGTCATGTCAATAGGCAACAGGGGCGACAACGAGAGCCGAAGCCCCTGCTCTTGCTTTTCCTTGCTTCTTCGATGCCAAGTTCGACGATGCCGATCGCCCCTTGTCCTCCGCAATTTGTGTGGAGTTGCATCCCCTTTCTTTTGTTGCTCGCTGTGGAGTCCACTAAGAAGAAAAGGGCTAGCTCGCCAAGTGCCTGCAGGGCCTCGTGGACTCTGCTCCGCATTTTTCGACATGCAGGCTCAACAGGAAAGGGAATGGTGTGTTTTTCGAGCTTCCAGGCACAGGGCTTTCCAACCGAAAAGTTGACTGAAAAGTGCGCGAGAAGAACGAGGAGAGACGGGACGCAATGACTGAAAGGCTATGGTAGGCAAGTGCAGTTACGAGACAGAGAGCAGGTAATGCTAGCAGTCCGTTTTCGCAATGTCGCGGTCGCTGGGTGAGAAGCCGGGCTCGGGATGCTGTGAAGCCAAGATGCGTCCGTGTTTTCCAGGTTGTTTGATTGACTCCATGCCACTTTTTGGGAATATGTCGCAACAGAATGCATCCAGTACTAATGAAAGTGGTCATCTAAATAGAAGGCTTCCCTGACCAGAATCCCCGGTTTTTATCAAGGTTTCTGCAGGACCCTTCACAACAACGTGAAAGCATCAAGCATTGGATGAGTCGAACCATGCCAGACGCGGGGTAACGTCCGCACCATCGGCACTCATCTGCCTGTTTCTGAGAACCTCCAAAGACAAATGGCATCTCTGACACTTTTCGGTTTCGGGGATGGAGTTGATGGGGTAACAAAGAGTTCCCCTCCCTAACAAATTCCGAGAAACTTGAAAGATCTGAGATAACTACTACCTTACCAAAGCAATCCCGCCATGTCCCTGTCAAGTTGTGCTATCTGCAAATTGTGAGACCACAAAGACCATTTTCGACACCCAAGCTGCTTCGGATTGTTAATAGGGGATATGTACTAGCTCGACTAGGCACGAGGGGAATTCTCGTATACGCCTTCGCTTCTATTACCATGGCTTGTTCTGAGGGACGATTTTCCAGCCGGATACCTAGACAGCTCTCGCTTGCTGTCTCGTCTTATCCAGATCACACCTCAGCTACTAAATCCTCTGCTGCGGCTGTACGCAGGCGTCAGTACTCCGTACGATGCACAGCACCCACTACTCTCTGAGCCGGGAAGACCAGAATCTGGCCCTAACGAGTGACAACCCAATCATGACAGGTTGAAAGAATTGCTGGGGTCTCATCCAGCGTTCTTGGATGCGAGGAACAAACGCTCTTATCGCCCACGATGCAACCCCGCGCCCAAGCGTCAAGTTATCGACTGTCGAATGCTGTTAAAACGGCAAGAGATGTCCCGAGTCTCCCACATGACACAGGCATTGTGGCACCATGCCCTCACTAGTGCTATTCGTCTCCAGATCATGCACGTCTCTCTCAAGGAAGAGTTGACGCTAGCCAGTTACCTAGCATGCCTAGCTCCCTTTGACAGAAGGCACGCAAGCGCCCATTCCGAGGCAGCGGACCCAGACAACGACCGGGATCTCTGCAGCCATGAGACAACTACCTGATGGTGAGATGAGTGGCCCTCAAGGAGAAGAACAGTCTGCGATGAACGAGGCAAGTGTCTTCTCTGGCTCGTAAGCGCGGGCCCTTCAGTCGCAACCACTAGAAATGTCCCCATCTTTAGGTATTGCAGCTCTTATTCTTATAGATGGATGAGCCAGTGGCTACCCACCCGTCAACATCACTGAGGAAATGCAGCGGGCAGCCGTCGGCAGCTAATGCAGCGAATGCTCATGGCTGCCAGAAACATCCCGTCCTTCGCGCTGCGTCTAACCGCTTCCATGCTGCCGCCCACACTCTGTTCCGCCTGCTTCTTCGCTCGACAAGTTGGCGGAGACACCCGCATGTGGAAGCGGGTGCCGTGTGGGTGGGAGACGGAGCACGAAGGCATCATGTGGTGGTGTCTGAATGGCACACAACCAACACTGCCGGCTTCCTCGTTCTGGCAGCCAACTTTCAGCCTCGGCCGCCGGGGCGGATTGCCCAAACAGGGCTCCAGTACGACGCAGTAGCGTCATGCACCAGCTGGTCTGCTGCTGGCTGGCTGAAACAGATGGCTCATGACGGGCAGTTCTTGGTGAGGTGCATCCACAGCTGCCTTCAGATCAACACTCTCTGGAGAGACTCTCCTGGCACCTTCGCAGCTGATCATCGGCAATCAGAAGGGATACTCCCAGACGAGACACATTCATACACACACACACACACACACACACACACACACACACACACACACACACACACGCACACACACACGCAAGGTTCCTTTCCTGTTGCCGCATGACCAACCATCTTCACCACCTTACGTCCTGCTCCCCCCTTTACTTGACAGCGATATACCGAGTGATAGACATACCAGTTCTTTACGTACGAAGCCCTTACACAGTACTAATGGGTGCATATCATCCGCCACAAGGGGCCACCCACACGGCCACACCATATACACACACACACCCGACCCTCCCACATACCACTTCCTCACACCCTCCATTCCTTCTGCTACTTTCTCTGGCTGGTCGCAGAGGCCTCGCAGCAGCCACCCCAGGCTAAGCTTTGGCGCTCCGCCAGCGGCCGCCTGTATCTTCCATTCGGCAGCAGTCTTCTTGGCGCCTTAGTAGTAGTCGTCTTTCTTGCCATCGTCAGCGACCTCGTTCTGTTCGGCAGGTTTCAAGGAGGCGAGATCCCGGGACTTCCTCGACGTCGAGGACGCCGTCAGCGGGCCGTCGAAGTGCGTCTCGGGGTCCATGTTTCCAGGGGGTCCGCGCCCCAGCAACCAAAGCTATTTAGCTCTCGTTAGTCTTGTGTTTTAGTAGGGTATGCCTTCTGTCATCCCTTCCCCCTCCGGGTAGGCCGCGCCCAAGTCAATCAAGGTGGGCTCGCCGCTAGGGTTGACCATGATGTTGCCGGGATGGATGTCGTTGTGGACAAGCCCGACGACGTTCCGGAGGTGGTCCACAGCCGAGGTCAGGGCGGCCAGGAAAGGGTCCTTATCGACCATCCTTCCGGCTTGGAGGCTGTCCCAGAGTTTGTCGCCGGGCACGCGGTAGCCGTGGTAGCGGACCAGGCTGTGGGATGCGGCGGATGGCGATGGTGAACTCAGACATTGCTGCTGGTGTGGTAATCCAATCCTGCCGTTTGTTCTTCCTCCCGCCTGTGTGACGGCACTTGTAGGACTCAAATATGGCGTTGGTATAAACAGCCGGCGTCGAGGTATATAAATCATACTGTCGTACGCGCCTTTCCATATAGAAGCTAGAACCCCAGCCGGCCCAGACATACAAAGGCTCTGATATCCTCACCTGCGCCCTGTAGGGAACGGCTTTCTCGAGCGTTATCCCCCGACTCTCCCAACAACATCATGACCCAGAAAAGCGCTGGCTCCTTCACCCCCGGTCTGGTTGTCCACTGCCCGGATCGGCCGGCTGACCAGCGGGATATGTACCGTAAAAAAGTGTAACGTCAAACCCGGGTACCCGCCGGATCGTGCGTATGATTCTCTGCGGCGGGCCGCATCTTGTGCGTTGCGAGTTGCGAGTAGGGGACACGGGGCTAAAGGGGCATCTTGGTGGAACAGAACACATGCGGTCAACCGCGCATTTGGTTCGTTCCTGTTATGTATTGTAGAGAGAGTGGTTTCGCTTGTTGGCGGAATACGACAGGCCTAACTCTTGGTCCTCCGGCTTGGTCAGATTGCGCATGGCGGAAGCTGAGGTACTGTTAAGTGCTGCTCTCACGGCTACACTTGGTTGCCCTTTCGTGAGGTATACACAGACGCCGACTCCGAGACGGATGAAGGAGTCGGTCTGGGAGCATGGAAGGTGACAGATTCCAGATATTCCACGGATGTTGTTTGAGTGAGATAGCGGCCTCTATGTGGACGACAGATTCCCAATCGACAAACTTCCGTTACGGACTCCCTCTCCAGGCATAAGAAGCTAATCAAAACAAGACAATTTGGGGTATGGTATATCCTCCTCCTCGTCATCCGAATCCCTGTTGGGAAGATGAAGCGATTCGCCGCATGTTGCAAAATTGGATGATGCTCAGCCGGCGGCCTTCCATCAAGCCCAGCAGTGCGCACCACCTTCCTTTTTCCTTTCTCTTTACCGCTTCCATAATGCAGAAAAGCAAAAAGCTTCCATAGATCGCCCGGCCTGCTTCATTCAACTCCGAGACCGAGAAAGACAGAAAAACAAGGCACCATGCATAATCACTCATACCTCATGACACATTCGCAGGCCAACCACACACGAAAAGGCCGCCTTAGTAAACGCTTCCCTGAATACTCCGATCCTCCGCCTCAGCAGCGCGCAACTCGTCGTCCACCACCTCCTCTTCCCTCGTCAGCTCCGACCCGCTCTCCTCGCCCAGCTCGCGCTCGTCCGCATCCGCATCCGCATCCGCATCCGGCTCGTGCTCGCCGTCGGCCTCGTGCTCCCCGTCACTGCTGTGGTGGTCGCCCAGCCGATTGGCTCGGGTGCCACGGCCCATGCGGGACTGCTCGCGCTGCTCGCGATGGCGGTGCGGGAGCATCTGGTGATGATGGTGCAGCAGCCGGTGTGGAGGCTGCTTCGTGGTACTCAATTTCTCATTTGCGCCGGCACCCCCGCTTTCGCTGGCGGTGGTCGAGGAGGGTGTGACCGGCGCATCGGCGCCCTGGCGACGGTGGCTGTTGTCTTCGGAGGAGGAGACATGGTCGTGGTCGTGGTCGTCGTCGCTCGCCGCGCTGTTGTGCCCGCTGTAGCTGCCGCCGAAGTCACGGCCGACGTGCAGCTGCGCCGGTCCGAGCGGGCGCGGCGGCAGATTGGGGCTCTTGATGCGTGAGCGGAGGCGGTCGTCCACTGAGATGAAGGAGGGCGTGCCATCTGGGCTGGACACCACTTCATCGCGAGCCTTGGTCACGTCGATTTGCGGGCCTTTTATTAGGGTGAGCTCGGGGGAGGCGTCGGTCCCGTCGCTTGTCTGGGACTGGAACCGTCTGGCCGCCGGTCTCCGGCTGACCAGGGTCTGGCTGTTGCCTGTGCCGTTGAAAGACGGGTTGGTGATGCCGTGGGTTGCTCCAGCAGCGACCCCGCTACTCCCGTTGGCCACGGCAGTGATATTGCTGCCGCCTGAAGCGCTGCAGCTCCCGCTCCCGGTCTCGCTCTCAGCCAGGCCGACGGCGTGGTTAGAGATGATGTTGTCGCTCTTGACCAGGTCAGCCAGCGTCTGGCGGATCTTGAAGCTCTTGTCGTGGTTGCAGCCGTTGGGACAGCCTCCCCAACGACGTCGAACCTCGACCGTACTGGCACGCGTGAGCGTAGAGACGTCCTTACTGTTTCCGTTCTCCTTCCCATCCTCGCCGTTCTCCGTGGCTAGCTGCTGTGCTCGCTCCCGCTTGAGCTCCGACCATGTCCGCAGCTTGTTCTCGAGTATGTACTTGCCGTTCTCGTCGTTACGACGCATGATGAGGAACTCGCAGTGGTTTACATTGCGCAGGTCTTCGAAGTATTCAACGCTGAAATGGTACCACTTCATGAGGAACACACGGGACATAAGGCCGTGCGTGACTGAGACGGTATAAGTTAGTGCGCCCTATTTTTCATCCACTCTCTTTTCCAGAACAGGTACGGAGTAGAATACGTACCCAGCACGCAGACACTCGCGAAGTCGTCCTCCCCAAACTGCCGCCACAGACTCTCGTTAAACCCGCTGATCCGGTCATACGCATCGGCAGCGCTCTCGCCATTAGGGATGCGGTAGAAGAAGTGACCGTAGTCGGCGCGCTCCTGCCACATACGCTCCATCTCGGCACTGCATGGTTGAAAATTCCCAAAATCCTGTTCGCGAAGCCGCGGCTCCTCGTATACCTTGATCTTGTCGCGCTTGAATGGGCTGGGCTCAGGCTCGTCGCTCGTCAGCGTGGTAAGAATACCCTCGGTCGTCTCGCGCGTGCGGCGGTACGGACTGGTGAAGAATTGCAGTGTGTCGTCGGCGCGCAGCATCGCCCGCAGCCGCCGGCCCGCCTCGTATGCCTGCTGCCATCCTTTCGGAGTCAACTTGACACGGTGGTCGGGGATCGTCTGGTGGATGTCCCGGTTTTCTGGTAAAAGCAAGGCAATAGCTTCGTTAGCTAAAGCTTCACCGTAGCTCAGCTGCCGCTCTAAGACATCTGACGTACTGTTACCCTCTGACTGGGCGTGCCGGACCAGGATAATAAGCCTTGGCCTTCCCATGGCGAATCACCGCGGTCGTCAAATAAGAAGTTCGAAACCTGCTTTGGGGGATGTGAATCTCGTAGTCGTATGGTGTTGGTAAAGAGTGATCAACACGGGACGCGGTCCCTCGAGTTTCAAGCAAACAGCCGATAGCGGGGCAGGAGGCACAGTCTCAGACACCTCACAGAGCAAGCAAATGAGCTTGTTAGATTGAAGGGCAAAAGGCAATTAAGTTACAGAGGGGAAAGCGCCAGATATATGAAGCCAGCTCGTCTTGTAACAGCCATCGACTTGATCCAGCTCCCCGGGTCAATTGGCCTGTCCCTGCAATTCCATATCACCAATAACTCCGCTGTGAGGCTGAGACAAAAGTTGGGCATTCAAAGTACATACCAGACCCACCCACAGGCCGGGCTGAGCTCCCAGCGCCCAATGGCAACACTGGAAATCCGCAGCTTGATGCTTGTGTTCGTGAGCGTTAGTGTAGGACAGGGGAACCTGGCGATTGCCTGGATGTTGTTCTGGGCAAGCGATGGGATGATCTCTCAGATGAATTGCATTTCAGTGGGCGTTTTTGGTGCCATTCTGGTGCCACCCCGCCAGTGCTTGCCTGGCCTTCGCAGGGACCCCGGTCGGGTGCCTGTTGGCCGCCGAATCAAATGGCTTCCCGAGTCCCAACGGCACTGGCTGGGCTCCCAAGGTGCTCAGAGACAAGCGCCCTGATTTCGGATTGGCGGCGGTTGAATGGGCCTCAACCGCCGCTGGCGGCTAGAACCGCCGGATCCTGTTGCGCCTCAGTTTGTGTGAGCTTGCGGTTCACAGAAGGTCGAGCTCGTGCTCGATCTTGCTTAACGCAACTTTGCAGAGTCCCACTGAGTTGGCCTGTGACCATCTTTTCAAAAACGAAGCCGTACACCAAATCTGGTTTAAGCGATAACATGGAAGTCAAGCAAAGTCCTATCAAAGCGAAAAGAAAGGGAAAAAGAGAAGAATAAAAGAGAATGAGCTAAGAAGAAGAAAAACAGGAAAGAGAGAAAGAAAGAAAAGAAGATAAGATTCATAAGAACCTGGAAGCTCGTTGCGGTTATCCCAGGCTCCCAGCGCCTCAGGTACGTCTTGGTTGCTCCTTCATCAAGCCACACCAATGGCTGAGGATCTCGGCCCCACTTGCCGAAGCGACATGTCGCTCAGCTCGGTACTACTACTGTTCAACAACGCCAACCTTCGCATCGCGATTTCGAACCTCTCTGCCAAACAGCCATCAACCACGCTCACAACCCAACCTTCTACCTAATCCGATCAACAACAGTAGCACAAAAAATGGCTTCCGAAACAACAAAAATAGACCCGGTAACAACCCGCCCGGTCAAAAAGACGCGCCGCGCCCTCTCCCCAACCTCAGCGCAAGCCTCGCAGCTCCAATCCCTGTTTGCGCACCCGGAGCAAGAGATCCGCCTTCCACCACCGCCAGGCTCCACCACGGGACGCAAGCCGATCCCGCCGCCGCCCGAGATCGTGACCAACGTACAGGGCTCCAGCGCGGGCGCCGGGTCGGGCGAGTTCCACGTGTACAAGGCGGCGCGACGGCGCGAGTACGAGCGGCTGCGGCAGATGGACGAGGAGGTGGCGCGGGAGCGGGAAAGGGAAGAGTTTGAGCGGCGGAAGCGGGAGCGGGAGCGGGAGGACGAGGAGAAAACCCGTAAGAACCGGGAGAGGAGGGAGAAGAAGAAGAAGAGGGCGAAGGACGCGAAGGGGAAGGCTGTTAAGGAGGGGGATAAGAAGGGTGCAGGTGCGGACGGGTGTGGTAGTGGGAGTGGGGAGCATGGAAAGCAAGAGAGACGCAACGAAGGGGGGAAGCTGGATGCGAAGGGTGCAGAGAAAGTGGAGGACGGAAAAGAGGAGGGTCAGGGCGAGGGTCAGCCATGGCAAGAGACGAGTACCCTTGTGCGTGCGGTACAGGATGCAGCCGTTGCTGCAGCAGAAGGGGTGGGTTTGCTTATTCATGATGATGATTGATGGGATAGGACGCAATCCATGGCAGGGCAAGTCAATCACACGGGAAGGCAGCGAAGAGGAAGAGCGCAGCTCGTGCCGGCCGGGTGGCGGTCTTTTTGTCTGCCACGGTAAGGCCCTGCCATTATTTAGTCTAACGGGGTCATTCCCCATGGCTAGCACCGGTCACCTCAAGTACCGTTATACTACGCCAGTCGGCCTTACGGCGGTTTACTCATCCATCCCTCCAGCACCGGTGCCAACACCCGGTTGCGCCTTTCTGGCGCTGCAGATGTCATCTACCCTCAACAAGAGGCAGGCGGCCTGTCAAAAGCATCAGCATCATATCAGAGCATCACATCTCGGTTATATCAAAGATTGACCCACCTCAATAGCCGTCTTCATGCTCTGCACCTTGATCGCCTCGGGTTCCCACACCCCGTACTCCTTCATGTCCACCAGCGCACCGGTATCACCGTTCACACCCCATGAGCTCTTGCCCTCGGCGTGCTTCGCCCGGAGATCCGTCAGCACCCGGACGGGGCTCTTGCCCGCGTTCTGGATCAGCGTCCTCGGGATGACCTCGAGCGCCTCGGCGACCGCCTTGTACGGCCACTGCTGCACGCCTTCGATGCTCTTGGCCATCTGCGACAGCCGCACCGACACGGCCATTTCGGTGGCGCCGCCGCCGGGGGACAAGCGGGGGTGGAACATGACGTTGCGCGCGACCCCCATGGCGTCCTGCAGGTTGCGCTCGATCTCGTTCAGCACGTCCTTGGACGGGCCGCGGAGCAGTATCGTGCACGCCTTGGGCGACTTGCACTTTGTGAGGAAGGTGAAGTACTCGTCGCCAATCTTCTCGATCTCGAACAGCCCGCACTGCGTGCCCACGTCCGATTCTTGCAGGTCCTCTACCCTATTGACAATGGTGGCGCCCGTGGCCCGGGCTATCCGGTTGTTGTCCGTCTTGCGCACGCGCCGGAGTGCTGTCACGTTGGCCTTCATTAGGTAGTGTTGCGCGAGGTCTAGGAGCTAGTGTCAGTGTAGGTCTGAAACGCCACGGACTAGCTAGGGGGGACAAAGCTACCTGAGACACCCTTTTCTGTGATAACCAAATCTGGGTTGACCGAAAGGATGTGCTCGCACATCGCCTTCACCTGCTCCTCCTCGATCTGAAGAATGCGGTTCCAGTCCTCCTCTTTGGTGATCTCGATATTCGTTTGCGATTCGCCCTTCTTGTATTCGAGCGGGCAGTCGAGCAACACAATGCGCGGGTTCTCGATCCGGCGGCGCATCTTGGGGTGGGTGATGTCCTTGTTAAGCATGACACCGTCCAGCACCCGGCTGTCCTCGATCTCGCCGCCCGGCACCTTTTCGACTCGCGCGTACCGTTTGATGTCGACCTCGCGCTTGCCGTTACCCACTTCCCAGGTCACGGTGCGCACCGCGTTGAGGGCCAAGCTGCACATGAGCTCCGACCACCGCGAGACGAACTTTGTGCCAATCGAGGACGAGATGAGCTGGTACATGGCCTTGTCATCGTTGACGTCAATAGGGAGGGAGATGTCGTCAATGATCTGGAGTGCGTCCTTGAGCGCCCGCTTGAATGCCGAGATGATGACCACCGGATGGATATTGCGCTCCAGCTGGGGAAGCGCCTGCGCCAGGATCTCGCCGGCTATCGCGCGTTCCGTCAGCAAACAGCAGAACCGCCGGTCCCTTCCCTCGTAGCCACTCACCCAGAATAATAACAGTCGTGGTTCCATCGCCCACCTCCTCGTCCTGCGTCCGGCTCAGCTCGATCATGCTCTTGGCTGCGGGGTGTGACACCTCGATCTCGCGGAGGATGGCGTGGCCGTCGTTGGTGAGCACGATACCGCCCATAGGGTCGAGTAGCATCTTGAGCATGGCCTTGGGGCCGAGGCATGACCGGATAATGTCTGCGACACTGTGGTTATGGTGTGAATTATCAGCCGCGGGGCCCAAACGGCGTATCGACAAGAGGCGGGGAAACGAGCGTACGTTTTGGCGGCGGCGATGTTAGACAGCTGGGCTTTCCGCCCAGTCTGCCTCTCACCGCTCTGGGTGTCTGCAAAAGAGCTGGTGTCAGCAAGCGACATTCGAGTAACAAACGAGCGGGGAAGTAGTATAGATTCGACGCACTCATCACCAAGACAGGGGCCTGCATTGTGCCTGTCGTTGGGTCTTGCTTTTTCCAGAAGTAGCGTTGTATCTTCGCTGGGGATGATGTCCGGCCAAGCTTTGAGGTAAAAGCTGCGGTATCGAGGGTCGGAAGGGCTAGAAATCTACGGCCTAGGTTGCGTGGGTGCTGTCTAAGGTCGTCGGCCAGGCAGCTCAGGGCGCAAGGTGGGATGCCCCGAAAAGTTCAGAATCGGACCCACCGTAGCTTTCCCGCCGGGTCCCGCTGATGTGGGGTTGCCGGATCAACACCGCTTCCGCAATCACCTAGGGGACTTCCGTTCCTACCTAATAACCCAGCTTCTGTTGATGTTGCAATTCCCCTGGGCGCAGAGGCCGTCCGGTTTTGATTTACCTAATACAATGAGGTAGGTAAGGATGACTGACATTTCAACTTTGTTTTGGCGTTGCGATTTCACAGGTTGTTGGAGATAGTTATAGGTAGGCTGAGTGGATGACACATGTCGAACAGGCCCCCAGGAGCGGTCCAGTCTAGGCTCAGCCGAAGATCTACCAAAATACACAACATCATGAATAAAATCTGAGCTCAAGTCTTGAACCCTAGCGTCTCATTCAAAATCTGGTTTTTATACACAGTCATAAGTTCTTCGCCAAATCACTGCCCACGTGCCCTTTTCGGTGGCATACCCCTCTACAGCTCACATCAAAGCTGACGCTGCCGAGATCGACTTTTCGAAGCCCAGACTCAACCAAACAGCATCCTCCCCGCGCCAGCAAGCCCCTAAATTGTACTCAAAAGGTAAAGGTTGGGCCCACTGGCGCTATACTGAACTCCCGTATGTGCAGCAAACAGAGATATACAACGAATATCAAAACCGGAAGGCGGAGAAAAGGTTGCGCGTTGGCGAGTCGCAGGTTCAGTGAACCAGAAGATTAGGTCTTACTAAAGGTTGCTGCATGGCCTCTTTGAACGCCGGTAAGAATGAAAAAGAAAATGAATGAACGGCTCTTTTTCTGAACGGGAGCCCTTATATGTGGACAGAAAGCGTCGCGCCTGATCGAAATGGCACCCTCTGCGAAAGCGTATTGGTGGGTGCCTGACCTGAGATGACTGCTGCGACGCGGGATATCAGAAATTCTGCGAAATGCCAGCAGTCTGTTGTGGATAATGCGCCGGGTTTTCGATGCGTGTGTTCCTCCTGGCTGTCACGTCCCGGATAACTGGTGAGGCGCTCGGCCCGGGGTGGGGTGGATATCCATTGTCCGTATATGGATTTCCGCCGCCGTATTGGTCATAGTACTGATCGCCGCCTCCGTAGGCAACACCGATGGGAGGGTCACCAGAACCATCCGATCGCCCAGCAGCGCTATATGACGACGAGGCGTTTGAGGGGCCGCGACGCACGTCAGCGCGGTTGTTGGCGGCCGACGGACCCATCGCCCCCAAAATCTCGCCCTCGGGCGAAGGGGGCACATCGCCCATCAGCGGCTCCCCAGACCGTGTGTCTGCAGTAGCTCGCGTGGGCGAAGTCGCGTCCGAGTAAGCACCGGCACCGCCCGACATAGTCGTCGATGCCTTTCTTCCCGTGGAGCCAACAATGGGCGTAGAGCCCCAGCCTCTGTAACCGGACGAGCCGTCCTCCCTCATTTCATAGGCTGTTCCGGCAACTGCTGGTATCGTGGGGTCGGCATTCGGGTTGTAACCATAGTCCTCCACTTCCTTCCGTCTCTGCTCCTCAGCATCCTTCCGCTGCTTCCTCTTGCGCCAAAAGAAAATGCCAGCCAGAAGGAGGAGAGCGACCGCTGCAATGGGGACCACAACCGCGACAGCAATTTTCCCTCCGTTGCTTAGCCCTCCTCCGTCTGAGCCATCACTGGGACTGATGGCAGAGCCCGAAGTTGACGTCGATGTTGCCGATGACGAAGTGATGCTGCCCGTACCCCCCGGGTGGGTGCTTGTCTCGGTAATGATTATGAAGGTGGTGGATGGTGGCGTTGATGTCACATCATCCGGCGGTAAGCTGCTGACTGATGATTCTCCTTGCGAACTACTAGGTGGAGGGGTAGTTGACGATGGTGGTGGAGCTACTGGTGGGGGTGATGAGCTACTCGTTGACGTCGTGGGCGGTGCTGGCGGCGGGGCCGTCGATGACGACGAGCTTGTCGTCGACGTAGTAGAGGGTGGAGGTGCAGGGGGCGTTGACGACGGGCTCGAGGATGTGACCTCGGTAGTAGTAGTCTGGGGGGGTGAAGGGGCAGCAGTCGTCGACGTGTCTGCCGCGCCGTCTATTGAGCTTGTGTTGTTGGACATGGTGAAGGTCTGGCGCTTCAGGCGCGGAAAGTCCCTGTATGGATCTGCCATGTCAGTCTCGACGTGCGCAGAACGGAACGGCATGACGACGCAGGTTTAACTGAATGGGTTGCAATGCGTCGTGAAAGTAACCAAAGCGTATGAGGGAACAAGACCCAACGCATCTCCGCACCAGCCTCCAATCGTAGATCAACCCCCCTCGAATAGGAAAAAGGGGTGGAGTTGTGACATGCTTCAGACAGAGACAGAGATCAGCCGTGTCAGCCACGAACCTTCAGATTCAAACGAGAGTATGCGGCCGCGCGAGAGCCGACAGCACGTCTCAAGGGACGTGTCGGGTTTGGATATGGTCCAGAAAGGGGGTGTCCAAGATGCAGAATCGCGAGACGAAATAGAATTAATTGGCTGCGCGCGCAACAGTTCGACCGACTGGCTCACTTGGCGTCTGGCATGCGGCCTCTGGCGTCGCGCGAATGACAGGCAGTCGTACTAGATGCCGGAAGTGAAAAACAAAACACGTTGCAATGGAAACAAGAGAAGCGCTAGCAGAGATCAGTCGAGACACGACATATTCGTCAATGTTGTCTGTCTCGTGCAATGCCTGCGGCCGCTGGAGAAGAAAGATGCTGCGGAGCGAAAGAGTGATGGAAAGGCCGCGCGGACGAGCGAGTGCAGTGAAATTGGAGGAAATTGAGCGCTGGGCTTGTTGCTTTCTCATTCCTCGGGTTCGGTCGATGGTAAGCGAGGCGGGGGTCTCGGCGTGCAGGGGATCGTGGGCTGTGCCGGGGTCGAACGCCAGATTCGGCGAAGCAGTGCGCGGACCTGCGGCGATGGCCACACTGCAATTGTCAGACGACGCGCTGGGTACCTACTAATCTGCGGGCGTGCACGGGGATCCAATTCGGTCATGTTCATTCGGCTGTCGCCCAGCCTACACTAGAGGAGACATCGTCTAGGTTGGAAATACATCGCGGTTCAGACGACGTCGACGCCGATTAGCCAGAGTTCTGTTCCTGACCCGAGCAATTTGGGCTGTTGTGGGGCTGCAGGAAGCCTTCGCCTGAGTTTCCAGGTTTGGATGTCCGGCATGACCCTGCAGCTTCAAGGCCTCTTACTAACGTTGACGGCAATCTGTCATACCTACATATACATCAACCGCCTGCCCCGTCTCACCCAGTGGGGGATGAGGCTTCAAATCCAAGGCCGGCTGTTGGCAGTTTGCATGACTCAAGATGCTTCGTACCTGCCTTTACGCTTGGATCTATAGCCGCTACCAGTATGGATAGAGCTGCATGCACTCCGAGAACTTTACAAAAGTGGGAACAGGCAGAGCTTCGCAGTACAATATCCCTCCATGATCAGGTGAACGGTGCAATGATGTTGAGTAACGTAGCATAGCTTACCCTACATTTACGTACAGTCAAAAAAGGTAAGCAATTACAGCGTCATACAAATCGTGCTATGTTCATACAGCAAGCTGCTCATACTCTAACACGCTTTCTTGCACCGAGTCGGAGACGTGACATCCGACTTCAGTGATTCGCGGGGCAACAACAAGAATAGGGCTCTTTGGACAGTGCAACCAAAACGTCGGAGACCTCTTCATCATAATCACTCCACCCGTCCCTCTTTTGGTTTCCACTCTTCAGACAAACCTCCAGATCTCGTGTTTGACAAGGGAGATCTGCGCAGTGGAGGCGTGCACAACGTGACCACAGCTTGCACTGGCTGTGCCCGCTCCTCGCTGCAAGCAAGCAGATGCTGCAGCGCAAAACCAATCGACCGACCTTTGTCCAGCAAGTCAATCTAGTGGCTTGTTAATAAACGGGCGGCCTGCAGCCACTAAAGTAAGCTTAACGTTGCCTCACATCGGATGTTAGTAGGTGGGTGAAGGTTGGACAAAGAAGCTGGGTTGGTTGTAAAAATAGACTTTGGCGTACTCCGTAACTGGACGAAAACTGAGCGATGAAATCTTAACAGCCAGCTACGGCTGATCCGCACCCACCAGTATGGTGAAGTAACGAAACGAGCTCCAACTTAAACCAGTCATCATCTCCATAGTATCATGAAGTTGCTTGGCCTAGCAGTGTGACAGCGAGGCGACAGCTGAACAGCCGTTATCCAAGCAGCAGTTGATAAGGTTGCTGCACAACCGTATCAGCGCAATGCTTTGTTTTGCCGTTCTCAGAAGCCACATCCAACTACGCTACTTTCAAGGGACTCAACATAGTACATACATAATCCCGCAATGTATCGGGGACCCCGTCCAGAACGACGAAGCTCAGCCGGTAGACAAGACAGTTTGACCTGGTCCATGAAGGACGACTGGTAGGCATAGGAAGATGTGCATTTCCCTGACCGCCGACGCGTCCTCACCATATATACTACTACTAGTAGCTCCCCACACATTCCAATGCCTCTCACAATATGACAGACAAGCTACACTAGTACAGTCTCGGTAGTCTTACTTTAGTCCAAACCCCTCACTCTCCCTGACCGCCCTCCAGAGCACCTCCTCAAACCTCTCCCTCCCACTACATCTCCACAGACCGAGCGAGTTGAAGCACGTTCGCGCCGTCGGGAACCGCCCACAGTCCTCTCCTAGACAACTGACTCTGATCCCCAGTGACGCGGCGCCCATCGCCGGAATGCGATCGCTCCCCGTGATGAAGGCGAGCAGCCTCCTCTGGTCGGCGGGCTGTGCTGCCTCAAACGTCTCCCAGAACCACTTGACGGTCGGCTCGTCCTCAGCCGGGTTTGGCGCGCCCCAGTTGTCGTACTGCGCGACCGCTTTGAGCGAGGCGACGTCCAGCGGCTGGTCGGACCCGGCGCCGCGCACCAGGAGCTCGATCTCTTCCGGCCGGAAGAGGGAGAGCGCGTTGCTGTTGCACACGGTGAAGAAACCGCGTTTGAACGGCTCGAACTGGCGCGTGACAGCCGTGTCGAGGAGGTAGCGCACGTATGAGTCGACGAATTCCTTCCGGTTGGCGTTGGTGACGGCTCGGCGCTCGCCGTTGGGGCAGAGAGGGACCTTCTCGATGACGCCATAGCGCTCTGTGTCGATTACGAAGTCGAGCGCGAAGGTTGACTCGACGTCGCCTTCGAACTCGAGCAGTTGGCGGAGGCCGTGTGCCAGGTGGGGACGATACTCAGCGAGGTCGTCGAGAGTGTAAATCATAGACTGGCGAGGCTGGGAGGTTGGGATGGAAGTGGGAGGAGCAGCCAGAAGCAACTTGCGAAAGGCAAAGGGCGGGAGCGCGACATCGAGAATTGTGGAGTTGTAGATGGCGAGGCCGAGCACGACGCCGACAAGGAAGAACTGCTCGGAGGGTTCGAGGGAGTTGGGGTTGAAGTAGCAGTACTGGGACTCGTCGTCGTAGAGAAACATGCCTTATGGCAGTCAGTTACCGGGCCTGAAGGACGTCTTGGAAGAAGCATACCGTGATCTGGGTTGAACAGTTCCCTGACAAGCAGCAAAAACCACTCCTTGCGCAGCCCCCCCGCATCGATTCCCTCTTCGCCCTTGAAGACGATCTTGAGCCCTTTTTTTATTTCCTCCCCTCCGCCCCCAATTACCTCGCTGACGGCCTTCAAGCTATCATCAACGAGACAATCGCGGCGGATATTCAAAACCAAAAACTTCTGCACCATCCTGTTGGTCAAGATGCTGTCAAAGAAGGCATCCCGGGCCTTATCCTCCATTTGTCTCCTCGCCTCATGTTCCAGAATGCGGATCTTGGCTCCGATGCTCAAGAGGAACGGATACTGGCAGAAAGACAGCCTGTCTTGCTTCTGCTCCCATGCCTCAAAGTCCGCCACGAGGTCCGAATCGTCAAGCAGCGTCATGTAGAAGTCGCTCGTGGCAAGGACCTGGCCCGGTGCGCGGACGAGCTGTCGCTGCCTGTTGCTAAGGCTGTTCGCACAACGGTCGCCGAGACCGTGGCGAGCATGGCTCATGTTGTTCGCTGTGAACAAAAACCCGAGCACCCGGGCAGCAGCCCTGATTTGCCAATCCTCCCGGTAGACTATCTTCTTCTTCTCTTCCTTCTTCGTCTTGCCGGACCGCGTTGTGTGCCCCAACGCCGCGTGGAGTGATGCAGAGGACTGGCCCGCCCCCATCCTAGGTATCAGGCCGCCTGTGAGGTAGTCAATCTGCGCCTCTATCTTCTTCTCATTCTGTCGGATCAGGCGGTAGGCGAGAAACCCCGAAAACAAGTCCTTCGTCTGCACAAACAGGGATTCGGGGAACCTAGCATACCACCCGGCAAGATAGTTATGGCACTCGACTGGCGCGTTCGACATTAGTCCCGCGATACGTTTGATGATCACAGAATGCCGTCCTGACGTAGGGCCTGAACCACGGGGAGACAGACCGCTGGGCGTTGATAGAGCGCTCTTTGGGTGAGGGTACTCGCCAGCGTACGGCTGGTATGGCGCGTGTAAAAGAGGGTTTGCTGCAATGATGAGCAGGAACCGGAGTTCCTGGGGTTCGGTGATTCGTCGCCCGGGACGTTTCAGAATGCTCTCGCATGCCTTTAATAGTGCCCCGTGGACGTGTTCCTGTCCGATCAGGATTTGCGATTCAATCTCCTGCATCGCAGCAGGAGATACGGCAAGGGCCGGTTCATCGGCCACTAAACTCCGATAAACATGCAACCAAGGTCGCCCTGCCTCGATAACGGTGGTGTACCAGTCCTCTAGTTCGGCCCAGTCGATGTGCGGGCTCCTCGGACTGACGATCGACTGGCCGTGCTGACTCCTGTTAGAAGTCGTTCTACCAGGCAATACATCCTCCTGGCCCGTCCACCAGGTGCCGTTCTCCGCAAAATCGCCCAGCAAGAGAAGCTTGGGGTCCAATTCGGGAAGGGGATAGCTGTTGCTTTGTGGCTCCCTCCGAGGGTGGGCATGTGCCGAAGGACGGCGCGGTCTGTCGTCCGCTCCGTGCCTGGCATGAGGGTGGTTCCGAGGAGTTAGGAATGAGGAATTTATACGGTGGAAAGAAGCGAAACATGCGTCCACATAATCTTCCAGCGGCTTGAATGTTTTCGTCGCCTCCACCTCCGAGCTCGGAAGCTGCTGGTTCGTCCGAATGCCCAGTCCGTGTGGGTGAGCCTCAGCTGGCCCGGGAAGCCGTTCTGTGGATGAACCGAAATAGGTTCCCGTGGTGGTGCTGCCCGCCCAACTGGGCGCTCGCGGTCGGTGGTAACTCGTAACCCAATGCCCGCCAGGGGGCTGCCGGGGCTCGGAAGTGGGCGTGATCCTGGGTCGCAGTGCCAGAGGGTCCAGAGTGTTCGAGGTCGGCTGAGTTGGACTCCAAGGTAAGCCACTCGAGGGATGAGGAGGGCTTGGACCGGAGCGGTCCTCGGCGTTGACGACCAAAGGCTCTGTGGCATGCCTTCCCAAGGTGGAGGTCAGGAATGCACGCAGGCATTGCTCGATTAAAGACTTGGTATGGTCGAGCGAGATAGGCTGCTCTGCAGCTCTGGTCAGCCATGATGTATAGGCGTCCACGTCCTATGTATGGAGGGCATGCATACCGTGGGAACACGACTGCGCATCGGCCGCCAGCAGCTCTTCTGAAGCGTCCTTCCGCCGGGAAGCAGCCCGGTCGCGTGGCTGCAAGTCGTTTATCGTCACGCAGATTGCGCACTTGAATACATGCAGCTCCTTGGGCCAGCGCACCAGCGATCCGCACGTCATGCAGCGTCCCGTGTTCCAGTCCCGGCTCCCAACCGAGGAACCAGACCGATGATGCCCGCGCATTGGCGGCGCTTTCCCCGGCTTGCTGGGGCCTTCATCGCCGGAAGTAGTCTCGGAGTCGCCGGCGCCGCTCACGGGGCCCGACTTTTTCTTTCTGAGCGAGAAGAGTGACGGAAAAGGATGGCTCATGGAGCGCCGGTGGGGTGGCCGCGAGGGTTTACTGTGGCCCCGGGGGTGGAGACCTTCGTCGGACGAACTGGACTCGACCTGAATCTGATGGGTCTGCATGTTGTCCCAAGCATCGAGTTCAGACACTCGAGACACACTTCTATATCGCCCGGTGCTCGGCCCGGTAGGTACATGCCGCGGGTCCAAGTGTTGATTCTGCGACGAAGCGGCTTCTGCTAGACGCGGACGGGCCCCGCTCTCGGGCCACGGAGCCATGGCGAGTTTTCCCAGCTGATTATTTCGGTTTGAGGAAGCAGCGCCCTCATCTGCGGTCCCAAGCCGTGCTCGTTCCTTCCTGAAGGGGATGCGATGCGCCAGGCTTCCGAGCGGTCACGGGTCTGAACCCCAGAGGTTGGCCCAAGCTCGAAAGGCGGGATGGAATCCCAGTTAGCTACGTAGCAGCCAGCCTGTGCCTCAGGTGGCACAGAGTTCAACAAGCAGTCTTCCAGACCGTGCGCTTGACTGTCCGGTGTTGATGGAATCTTGAATGTATGCTCGGATCAAGTTCCGAACCACAGCACAAGCTCGGCAGCACGGTTAGGCCCCAATGCTGTACTGAGCCTCATCTGCGACGTTGAAGGCTACGCAAGCCAACCAAAAGGCACCGGAAGCGAAGTCCGCCATCCGGCTCAGCCAGGTAGACAGACGTTCACGTCCGGGCTTCAGTGACCACGTCCCGTCAGCCGTCGGGCGTGGATAACGTTGGATGGGCTGAGGTGAAGTGGCTGCAGGATGGAAGTCGTGGCGGGATTGGGGTTATCAGCACTAGTGTAGTACTGTGTGTGGTAATGGATGTTGTCCAGTCATGAGACTGCGGCGAAACCAGCGCCGAAACAGTGGGAGAAGACAAAAGCCTGAATGGAACAGTCACTTTACACTCTTCACAGTGTCTGGCCATGTATTGTGTGTGTAGTGACAGAACGCTCAACATGGCACCACGAAGCAGCCAGCGCCGAGAATACGAGGTTTTGCTTCAGTGACAGCGCCCTCGACAATGCAGCGGGCCGAGTAAGCGAGCATTCAGACCCTTGCCCACAAGGTACGGTACAGTACTACAGTTGTGTATTTCCATACATGTATACACGGCACTGTATTGTAAAATACATGTAAACTAGTACCGTTGTATGTAAATCAACGGTTTATAGTGTATTGTACACCAATTACACAAGACTGCATCATTGAGCGCACTACTCGTACACTCCGTCTGACTATGTCCGGCTCAGTTTGACTTTCAAGTTGGTGTCGAGAATGAAGGGCATGTTCGAACACAAGACTTCTGATGGAGACTCTTGAGAGCGCTTTGTAGAGGGTCAGATCTCAATCAGAGTTCAATCTCCAAACCCCCTGAACCTCAATCCACGGACCGCAAATGCTTGACAACATCTGTTGCTCCACTAGCATCGCCGTCATCCCTAGGAGTAACAGCAAAGTAGGAGTTGCTTCCTCGCATACAGAGAATCTGACCCTTTTTCTATTGGTATCACTACATTGGTGCACAGAAAATATACACCGAAAGGAAAAAAGAGAGGAAAGGAAAAAGCACACTGTTCCGCTCAACGAATCCTGGCTTCGGAACCTTGCCGTGCTCCTTTTCTACGAGCCGAGCCGAGAAAGAGAAGCCGAAACGGTAACGGAGCGGGATACGGCTCCAGTCACAGTCACAGCCCGTAGAATTCCCAACCATCACCAACGCCGGCACCCGTCTCTGCCGCCCGTAGCACCTCATGCGAGGGCGCAAACTCAGTCCTAAGCTCCTCCCGGAGTCACAACTCATCGTTCTCCTCCAGCTCCGATGGCTTGAGCAGACCGCCGACCTTGGAGCGGCGCTCGAGTTCGGCCGCGCGCGTCTCGCGCTCCTGCTGCTCCTTCTCCACCTGATAGAGCTCTGCGTTGTCACCCGCAAACTCACGCAGGGAAATCAGGAAGTCGCGCAGTGCTAGGCGGAACTTGTCATACTGGGTGTTGAGTGTGAACAGGCCCTCGACGAATGCGGTGATTTGGACCCTGTAACGTCCGAGTTAGTTGAGCTTGTTTCCCCCGCCTTGCGGAGCGAAGAGCATCGGATTAGGCTTACGGTGTAAGGTTGGTAAAAGCATTCTGCAGCAGGGTGCTAACAAAATTGCCCAAGAACTCGCGGTTGCTGGTGCCAGGCTGCGCCTGGTCAGGCTGGTAGATCGGTCTCTGGATCTTTGGCTGCGTGCCGTCGGCCGGGTGGACGAAGTAGAACAGCTTCATGAGCAGCATGGACTGCGTCTTGAAGCCGGCCTTGTGGTCCTGATCCGTCAAAACAAAAAAGACATCCTGCAGGATTGTGATGAAGAACTGGTTGAAGAAGGCGTTGGAGGTTTGCACGTCCGTCTTTTCCGCGATGTTGTTGATGAGTTCCAGGCACATGTTCAGGCCAGCGGTTTCGACATCACGGTTGTCGTGCTTGCTAGCCCACAAGCAAGAATCGATCACGAACTTGAATTGCCGGTTGTCGAGTTTCAAGAGGGCTGCAGAAAGTTGGTTAGTACGGTCCGCACCAGCAACGGATAACGCGGGAAAACAAACCGGGGAAGCAGTGAAGGTTGATGGCCCGGAGGAGGTTGAAGAACTCCACGCGGTGTTCCGGAAACTCGGAGAAATCCTTGTTGATCATGTCCAGAGTGCACTCGAAGACATTCTCCATGATCACGGGTACTTGATCCTCCATAAGAACCTGATTGCACAGATTAGTCTGACGCAATTCCTCTGGGGTATTCACCTCACACCAAACATACCGATAGCTTGGTGATCATGGCGGTCATGGCTTTCAGCACCTCGGCATCACGGGCACCGGGAACATTGCGATTGTAGTCAACCAGCACCGAGTCGAGAAGCTGAGGTACCATCTGGGTCCTGACGGCCTGCAGATCTTCCGCCTTATCGACAAAGGTCTCGACGAGCTTTAGGATTTCCTTCTTGATGGTCCGGAGACCGCGAACCTTGGGCATCTTGGTCGCGACTTCACCCTCACGGGCGACAGCCTCTGAGATAAGCTGGCTCGTGGCGGCATACATCTGGAGCATGTCATTGTACAGCCGGCCGATCTGAGGGAAGAAGTAGGGCCCGATGGACGAGCAAGCCGACACGTTGGTCTTCATAATGTTTCCAATGATCTTGATCGTATCGGCGTCCTGGAGAATAGCAGGGTTCATGGTCGCCTGCTTGATGATCTCATCCCAGGCCGCGTTGGGAATGGCCATCAACTCGGCCAGCAGCCGCTCTTGCTGGTTCCTGTTCCCTTGCGCAGCGACCATGTAGCCGCAGGCCTCGTAGAATGTGTGAACCTGCTGGGGAGTCAAGTCGCAAGTGATCTTACCCAGATTGCGAATAATCTCCTCAATAAACGGCTCATTCTCGCTAGGCTGGAGAGCTACGAAGTGTCGTCTGCACTGCTTGGCGATCTTGATAAAGGTATCGCAAGCCATGTCCTGGACGCCTAGTGTGGGTTAGCTAAACACACGAGTGCCTCCGGAACTAAGGGCCCGACTTGCCTTCGTGGGACTCGTGCATGAATTCGAATAGCTTGTTGACGACGGTCTTGAGGAACTTCCAATGCGCCTTGAGGAAACGTGGGTATTGCCCCACAATGTACATGATATTACTGGCAACGACGGCCTTGTTGTCCTTTCCACGCTTCATCTCCGTGAGTCCCAGGAGGTCCTTAATTACTGTCACGAGGAACCGCTTCTCTGTCTCTTCGTTCATGGCCAGGGAAATCGAGCCGATGGCCCAGCAGAGCACGTTGCAGTTGTGCCACGACCATTCGGAACCGTCTACTTGGCGTGCGAGCTTCTCAGTCATGATTTGCTCGGTATCGACAACATCCAGATGGGTGAGGTAGACCAGGCATTCACGGATCGTCTTGTACAGCTGAACCGTGTCGGTCTCCTTGACGAACTCGCGGACGATCTCGCCCTCGTCATTCTCCACAATCAAGACTTCTTCCGGCCGCACCATCTTCTCGATCATCACAACTCGCAGGTTTGACAGGACCTCGTTGTATTTGTGTTTGCGGAGCGGGTAGTTGGTGAGCAGGGCCGGGTTCGGTGCTCCTCCCCCACCCATCATGCCTAGAGACATGGACCCCATGTCGGAGATCGGCAGCGACTGCATCTCTTCATAAAGCTCCTGGACGAGCTTCAGCCAGTAATCCAGGCAGATCTTGAAGATCTCGCGGTCGTCGATCTGGGAAATTCGGATAAGGTAGAAGTGGCCGTGGGTGAGGAAATCTCGGTTCGGAAGGTTCTCGATCAGCTACGCAACGGAGTCAGCAGTGCTTGCAAGCAATGGCAAGGGGACGGAAAGACTTGCCGGCAGGTGCATGCTGTAGAAGTTGCATAAGAAAAGCGCCAGATTCTGGATAAATTCCTGATCGCGGGAGTTGCTTTGCGGATACGTCGTCTTGAGGTCCATGTCTAGGGGGATGATGTTGGAGATGGATGCCAAGACCTCAGTGAACATCTTGACCAGCTGCTCGTCGTATGTATTGAGTTGACCCGGTCCTCCTGTCTGCAGACCGCCGATTTCTGTGAGGCATTGCAAGGTGAGATTCCGGAACTCTGGTACCTCGAGGAACCGTGTCCGAAGCGTCTCGATCAAGGGTGTCTCGAATATATAGCCCAGGGGAATCCAGTTGCAGAAACGCAGTAACGTCCCCAGCGTGGCCTTAATAAGGCTCGGCTGGGTCGCACTGTTGAGAATCTCCTGGCAAAGCTGGAAGATCTGGGAGAACTCGGCGCACATAGTCGTCTTCAGGTTGCGGGTCTTTGTTGATGTCATCTGCTCGGCGGAGTAGTCGAAGACCTCTTCCGATAGAAGCCGCAGGATGATCATGTTGTTTTCGCACACGGATAAGCTCGAGTGGCAGGCAGAGATGATCTCGTTGATGAACGTAGGCCAGTTGTGAGGCCATTCCTGCTTCAGAACCGAGACCAGTACGAGGTTCAGCTTGTTGAGAAGGGTGCGGTGAGTCCTCAAGGCCTCCTCAGAACTGGAGCATTGCAGGATATACTGCACGACGAAGTTGCGAATTCCTAGTATTTGTCAGCCAACGCCCGTCGTCGAACCCCCTGAGGAAAGCAGCTTGCCTTGACACTGCTCCCGCGGCAGGACTTTCCACCTCGTCATGATCACGTTGTCGAGTACCTGCAAGCCCAGAACTAGCGTTTGTGAGCCAAAGAACCGCCCAGCCCGGATCCGGTGGGGACAAACATTTTGTTTGCTCGTACGACGCCTGCGAGAGGATCTCATCGACCATTATCCAGGCATCGGGGTCCTCCTTGAACTACACGATCGGGTTAGCGAGGCGCGGGGCAGCGCGGCTGGGCGGCGATCGAAGAACATGCCTGATTCAGAGCAGCTTGGGCAGCTTTTTGCTGTGTGGTGGAGGTCGGTCGTCAGCATCATGAATTCGCACAGCGGAGTTGTCCCAGTCGGCATTTACCTGCTCGCCGCGGCCTTCGTAGAAGGCCCGGACGGTTGCGTCCAGCTCTTGGATGGAAGGGGGCATCGTCGCACGCCTTGTTGCGTTGTCGTTGGATAGCCAGGGGAATAAGTGCGAAGTGGTGCGCAAGAAGAGAGTTGTCGTCGCTGGGAGAAGCAGAACACACGACCCGGTGGCTCCTACTGCGCGGTGTTGGAAAGTGTAAAACAAGGTGCAGATTTGAGAAAGCGGTCAAGGTTCTGTAAGGAAGGTTCGGAACCTAAGTGGAATGACGGAAGCATGGAAAAGAGATTGAGAATCGGGTTGAAAGCTCCAAAGACCGAACCCCACCAGCCTCTCGATAATGAATTGCTGCGACCCCGCCTTCAGCCTTTCGCAGCCGTTGCGCTGGCGCGCGTAGACAGCTCCAGCACAGCTCCACGGGCGCCGGTAGCAGAACTGCGCATGCAATCTACGAAATGGAGCCAATCGCCGCAATATACTAGGTATGTAAGCAAATAAGGTCTGCAGCGCCTAGTACCTGGGATTCATCTTCCGCAGAGTTGTGTTGTATCTTGTTCGTCTTGACGGCTCATCGTTCCCCTCTATTGACTGCCCCAGCTCATGCATGGTCCTGCGCCGATGATCTGGTGGGTGTCTGCTCCTCCTACCTTACCTATTGCTTCCTCCATGCCTATGACCCGCAAGTTGCCAGGCGGGGAATACCTACCTAGACCCGTATACTTAGGCTTTGCTACTAGGAGCCTGGAGGCCGAGAGAGTGCCGTGTGCGCAATCCAGTGTCAAATACTTGTACAACAAATTTGCGTTCATCTTCAGTTCAGGGGCGTTGGCATGAGCAACAATGGAGGTCTGGCTGCCCCTTGAAATATAACATTACCAGCATTATTGAATAACTACGACTCCTTGGCGCAATTGGTAGCGCGTTCGACTCCAGATCGAAAGGTTATCCGTTCAAGTCGGGTAGGGGTCAGTGTCAACAAACTTCTTTTGTTCTTCACACTGTTGTTCATTTTTTGATTTACTCCAAAACTGGTAGTTGTCTCTTCAGCCCGGGTTAGGCCTTACTACCAATCCCTGTTATGGTTTCCGCTTTTTACTTGGCTTATTCCCTCCCTCCTTATTTAAAAGATGTTAAAGATAGTCTGTACAAGACTGGCGACCTTCTGCTTGTGTTTTCTTAAGGGAATACTCCTTGATATTTCACCTACTGTCTTCTTCACTCATTTTCTTGCCTGCTTCGCGATCTTTATCACCTCTTATCCTTCTCCTTTTACTCTTTCTATTCCAAGCCCTCCTTATCTCTACTGATCCCCTGTTCGTTCTACCCTCCCTCTTTTACTGGGTGCATCCTCACTCTCAGTGCGAGCAGGCCAATAATAAACTTCCAGACTTTGTACATCCAATACTCTCAAAGCCATGTATGTGTCTATTAACCGCGGCTGGGAGTCTCTCCCTCTTTTTCGATATCCTCACAAGTAGGTCCATTGGCGTTTCGCTACGACACAGTCTAAGGCTTCTTATAGCCGCACTCAGCCAATCCCTCTTCCAACGCCTTGATAGCATGGTCGATATCGGTTCGCTTAGGATCGAGCTACGGTGACGTCAGCACTCGGGACATTGCCACTTTAGACACCAGAGAGTACTCACCACGCTGACGCCCATATGTCCAAACCGGATGTACTTGGTGACAATCTCCTTGTGAATCCCACCCGCAAACACGACGCCCTTCTTGGCGAGGATGGGCAAGAGGTCGGCACCCTTAACGCCTCCAGGGAGGTAGATGGCCGTCATACCGTGAGCCTGCTCGTCGGGGTTTGCGGCGACCTGCTTCAGGCCAAGGTCGGCAATCGCCTTCTTTACCTTGTCGGACGCTGCCTTGTGGCCGGCGAACCTCTCCGACAGTGGCTTGGCCAGAATCTGGCTCAGTGAGGTGTGTAGAGCGTGGACGAGCTGCGGGGAAGGAGTTGCGAAGTATGAGGGCTTCTTGGCCTCGTAATTTTGCATGACTGCCTCCTTGTCAGTGCTATATCCACCAAATGCTTCGTGGACACTCACTTGGTGTCCAGTTCTTCATGGATGCAAAATACGCCGTCGGGGGTGTCTTGCGGTTCTGGAGGGCTTGCATTGCCCGACCGCTGAACATGGAAATGGACAGACCGGCAGGACAGCCGATGGCCTTTTGACTGGCGGTGACAACACCATCAAGGCCCCAAGCATCAAAGTCGATCTCCTCACACGCTACGCTGCACACACCGTCGACGATGATGAGTGTGTCTGGCGAGACCCTGTGGACGAGGGCGGAGAGGTCCTTTAGCTCGCTCAAGACTCCGGTAGAGGTGTCGACATGCGTGACGGTAATGGCCTTGTACTTCTTCTCCGACAATGCCTTCTCAACCTCGGGAAGCTGCGGCTTGGTGCCCACCGGCGCCTTGAGCTCCGTCACGTTGGCACCGTACACCCGCAAGCAGTCGGCGAAGCCGTCGCTGAAGTAACCGGTCCCCAGCACGAGGACATCCTCGCCGGGCTCGATCAGGTTGGCAGCCACGAGATCCCAGCCGAGCGTGCCCGAGCCGGAAAGGACGAACGGTTGCGCGGAAGGATCGGAGGTCTGGAAGAGTTTGCGCAGCATCGACAGAGTCTCGCCAAAAGTTGCAACAAAGCCGGCACCGACATGGCTCTCGCTGTTTTTTCGTTGTCAGCCCTCGACCTTTGCGTAGAAGCTTGTCAGTGTACTAAGCAAGGCCCGCCAAGAAAGCTCACCTGTAGTGACTCATGGACTGCAACACGGCATCGTCGAACTCAATGGGCCCGGGGATCAGGAGCGTAGGGTGCGCGGGTTGGGACGACATTTTGGATGAGGTAGAGAGGCTGCGCGATGGTGTTTTTGGCAATAGGGAGGTGTCAATGGTGTCCGGATGACGCTCGACGGTGAATGGAGTGTTGATCGGATACACAGGGGCGAGATGTCTGCTGATGAGTGATAGCCGGGCGGGGTGGTTCTCCGGCTGGTTTTGGCGGGGCATCGAGGCCGGTAGTAGTCGTCTGAACCCCGAGCGCGGAGTACAAGCCAGCTTCAATGCCTCGGATAGGACCATGGAACTGCAGCGGGCTCCGCAATCTGCACTTTACCTGGTAACTGCTCCTTTTGCAAGCGTCACTGAATCGCTCCTATGGGCAGTTTTGCACACAGTTGCTTCAATTACCATTCAGCGAAGCGAACTAACTGAGACGCCGAAACCCGAGGAGACTGTCCGGGAAACAAGAGGGCAACAAGATCGGAACATCCCCGGCCATTTTATAGTACGCGGCGGGCAGCGGAGTCAAGAGTGAAAAGTAAGGTTCCCGAATGGGTTCTAGTTTCGATGTTCCATTGGCTACCAGACTCCCGTCAGCAGGGGCCGGGATGATTCAGCCGCAGTTCTAGCTAGGTAGACAATCAAGGCGGCACTGTGAATTCTGCCATTACTGATTGCCTGATATTCTGCGATTTCCAGGCTTGCAGCAATGCTCTCCATGTCAGGGGGTCGGGAGAGACCGGCGGCAGCCGTTCGCCGTGACCGGACCCTGCCAAGAGCGGGGTGTGGGGGACAGTGCCCCGCAGTAGGCCCGGCGAACTCGCGGGGAGTAAGAACGTTGTGACACGGGGCTTACATCCTAGATCCCGCGCAGAGTAGGTACATACGGTGATGCCCTGCATGGAAGACAACTCAACCGATCACTGCCGTAGCGGTTATTCCGATTGACTATATGACAGTAAAACAAGTTTTGGAACACGATCATGTGAACCCATCATCAGAGTATCCATGAACGGTATAAAACACGAGCCCGACGTAAGCCCGAAGCCAGAGGAGCCATTGCACTACTACAATTACACGGACTTATAAGAGGGGCAGACGGAAGTGTGAAGTTTGGTAGTTTCAGGTATGTCTTCAAACTCGGGTCCTCAAAGAAACCGCGCTGCTATGGGATGGGTACTGTCTGTCAGTGAGTCATGTGACAAGCTATGTCAGCCATAGAGACAACTTGAAACCTGCAGAGACAACCCTAACCCTGATTAACTGAATGTAAATTCCCATCTGGGCAAGGAGCTCGTAATCGCCAAGAGCTCGCAGCTCTACCGTCATCATCGCATCTCCAGCTCCAATACCTCTAACACGCGACAGTCGAAACCGACACAGAACCTGCTGCAAAGTGGATACAATAACAGCCAGTGCCTTCTTCTCTCTAGTTCAATTCATTACGCGCTTCCCAGAATCGCTTGCCGAACTAGCCGCTTCATTGGCCAGGCCCACGCTTTGTCCTACCGAGTCACTCGCAAGAGGATAGAGCTATCCGTCGCAATGGCCTTTCTAATCCTAGTAATTGGCGACCTACACATACCTGACCGGGCGCTCGACATCCCTCCAAAGGTACGGGCCAATTGCCGGTTCTAAGACCCTACCACAGGCCCTCCTCCCAGCTAACCAACCCTCTCTCCCGCGTCTGGACCAACAGTTCAAGAAGCTCCTCTCCCCAGGCAAAATTGCGCAGACGCTCTGCTTGGGCAATCTGACCGACCGCGCGACCTACGACTACCTGCGCAGCATATCCCCGGATCTCAAGATGGTCAAGGGGCGAATGGACGTGGAGGCGACGTCCCTGCCGCTCAGCCAGGTGGTGACGCACGGGGCAGTGCGCATTGGCTTTCTAGAGGGCTTCACGCTGGTTAGCGACGAGCCTGACGTGCTGCTGGCCGAGGCCAACCGGCTGGACGTGGACGTGCTGTGCTGGAGCGGCGGGACGCACCGTTTCGAGTGTTTCGAGTACATGGACAAGTTCTTTGTGAATCCCGGGAGTGCCACGGGCGCCTTCACGACGGACTGGGCTGCTGAAGGGGAGGAAGGGGAGGTGGTGCCAAGTTTCTGTCTGATGGATGTGAGTTTTCTGAATAGTGGAAGGGGAGGGGAGGTGCTCTGTGGATTGAACTACTTGCTAACGCATTGATGGAATAGGTACAAGGGATTTCCCTGACGCTCTATGTCTATCAGTTGAGGAAAGGCGAGAACGGGGCGGAGAATGTGGCGGTTGAGAAGGTCACGTACACCAAGCCGGTCGAGCCGACAGGGGCATCATGAAGGCGATGGTGATGGTGATTGCGGCAGTGATGTGGTGATCAAGAACCTAGTGGCCCAAGAACTGTCTAATGCTGCTCGGGAGGCAAGGGACCCGGCTTGATGAGGAGGCAGCGATGATGGATCATCAAGGGCACCAGGACTTCCTTTCGATAAGGCGTCGCAGGCGAAAGAAGGGTAGGGGATGTTGCCCGGGCCGCAGAATGGCGTCTGCGGGCAGACATAGTTCAGGGTGGTAATTCGGCATTGGCAGCGAAAGACCTGCTCCCTTGTGGGACGAAGGACGGGTGGTTGGCTGTAGTTTCAGACCTAGGCTCCGACACTGCGAGAGAACATGCAGGCCTGAAGAGGCAGGTAAGCATGGCTTCCGTTAGGGTAATAAAGGCCTATTTGCTCTGGACAGTTGACGAGGTCATTCCTTGTATCATTAGGTTCTCTGTGGCTTCCACATAAGCCGGGGCGCACTTTGCATTCACACTTTGACATGAAAGAAAATACTCAATGTAGATTAACAAGTGGCATCGTATCGCCCAGTGTTTGGGATCAGAGAACCTAGAGAAAGTGGTAGTGGCCACACTACCTAGGCTCCTGTCGTCGCTGTACAGTAACCCCTAGAACTTTTCCTTCCGGCCTAGGCCAAAGCAAGACAACCTGAAGCCAAACACCACTTCCAGTTAGTTGTTTGCGCCCTACATAGCACTCCGTTCCCATTCCAAGCAAATTGGCATCCATCCAAACAAAAACGCCGTGTGCTGTGCAAGTGCGAATGTGTAGAGTTCCATCATCATTGTCGAAAGAGAGCAGAAAAAAAAAAGATCATAGCATCATGCTCCTGCGCCGCGAAATCCTGTCCCTTGTCGCTTCTGCTTCCGTTTCCTGGGAACCGGTGCTAGAACCGCTGGTGTTCGCAACCTCCTCAACGGCGTCCTCTAGGCTGTCCATCATTGAGCTTTTCTTCGGTGCTAGCATTGATACCCTTTTCCTTGCGTGCGAAGACCGAGACTTCGGAGCCGTTCGCGCGAGTTTCGCCTCCTCTTCCTCCCCATCTAGCAGCTCACGCAGGGCGGCCGCTGCAGCCATCGAGGATTTCCTTGTCGTTCTAGATCTGGAGCTGCTATGCGGTGCCACCGGTTTGGCGGCTTCGTTGTTAGTCTCTGGCGTTTCTTTGGTCGTCGAGGCTGGGGAGGATGCTGCAAAGTCGTAGATGTCGACTTCCGGCTCTGCAGAGACAGTCTGCACTTGATTGCCATTATCAACGATCGCATCCGTGTCAGAAAGAGTGGTGATACCCTTCTGTTTCCCGCTGCCACTCTGCGCGGTTGTTTGGGATTGTGCCATGATAGTGGGACTCGGCAATGTGCTTATGCCCTCTGGCCTCTCTCCGACAGCACTAGACTCTCGAATGTTGCCACCCGCACCTGACGGCCGTTTCCGCCTCTCCGTAACCACCGTACTGGGAAGGGTCTCCGGGAAGACGTCCTTTTGCGCCAACGGACTCAAAAGGGAATGTTGTTGAGCTTTGGGGATTGGGCCGCCAGCGGAGAAGCTCTTGTTGCTGCTGCTGGTGGAGCTCTTTGACTGTGATTGAACTTTGCTGGATGAGGTTGGGGCTGAGTGGTTATCATCCGACTTGGGGTTGACTATCGCCCGGTGAACAAACTTGCCCTCCCCAGTGACGGCATCGAATAGCTCCTTGGTCGGCCGCCGCATCTTGTCCCGGAGGTTTGGCTCGGCGTAGCTTATCGCCGGTCTCGCGCGACGGCTAGGGCGTGACGTCTCACCGTTAGAGGATATGTCGGCTGGTGGAGGAGTATCATGCGGCATCTCCTTCCGTGACGCACGTTCCGGGGTAGAGGGGGAACTGGGCATCCCTGACGGCAGAGCAGTCACGGACTCGAGCATAACCGCAACAGTTGCTGGGGGTTCGGGTTCAGGTGCCGGTGCGAAGACCTCCATCTTCGGTAGTGATTTCTGCGCGCTGACCCGGCCCTTCGTGGAATGCTCTGTACCTTGCGCTTGTTCTTTCGCCTCTTTCAGCGGCACTGCTGTCGTCTGTTTCCGTGGGGATGACATGTCCTCGTTAGTGCTCTTCGCAGCAAGCGGCGCCCTTCCGCTTCCTCTCTCTCGCCTATTACTAGGCAACTCCTTGATACTCCTCCTCGGGCCACCACGAGCAGTGAACGGCTTCTCGGTGACCATGGCATTCTCCTTGCCAGGTTGTACTACGGCAGTGTGAATAGCCCCGTTCTCGTCGCCGTACTTCCTCTTCGAGCCCGCCCTTATTGGTTGCGTTGGAGGTTCTAGGACTGGCAGCCTTGGAGATAATAGTGTTTTGCTCGGCGTGGACTCCTTGACAACTGTCTCCTCCGATACCTTCATTGGTTCTGGACTCTGGGACACTTTCCTGTCGTAGTCCAGCTTCGGAGGCGACAAAATCGTTGGGCTGCGCTTCGGGCTTTCAGGAATGACCGTCGCTGCGGGTGAATCATCTCTGACTGCGTCTTCGTCGATGTAGCGTGAGACAGGTGGCGGTCCCAGATCGGGCGAGTCGCTGGTGTCGGCAGCGGCAGCGCACAGGGCCATAATCTCCTCGCTGCTGCATAGAGGTCAGCATATGCTTCCAATACCAACTTAGCAATCGCCTACTTCATCGTGGCTCGTGGGTACGTTTTGTTTTCGTATATCGGAGGCAGCCTGCCCTCCTGCTCTGCCAACGCTTCTGCATCCGCCGCTGTGACCCCCCGCTTCCTTTGCGGAGGACCTTTAGCCATGCTCTGCCGTGACTTTGCCATTATCCACTCTCCCGAGGCGCGTCTCTTTGTCGGCGGCTCCACGCCCAAGCTCCCGAGCAATGCCGCGAACTCGGAGAGCTGTTCCTCCAGCTTCGCCTTAACCTCCAGGGCATGATCTGCTATCCTTCGTGCGCTGTTATCTTCGATCTGCTTCTCCAATCGGAGTATTTGCCCGCGAAGGTCGAGGTTCTCAGACAACAAGCGGGCGCAATCGTTCTCGAGGCGTCGGATCTTTTGCGACTGGTCTGAATTGATCCTGGCAATATCTCGGTTCTGGCGGAGAAACTTCCTACGCACTGCGGAGGGTGTCAGCAGAAGGAGCTGGCCGGCGTTGGAGCGGTGTGTGACGTACGTATCTCGAGATTGGTCTCGGTCGGTGCAGGATGTTCGTTGAGTCTGGCCATGGCTCATGATCGCGGGCGAATGATTCCGTTGAAACTGATGGGCATCGAATTGTCCTCTGCAGAATGAGGCGCAGCAAGTGTAGCCTTCTTCACCTTTGTCGCGGCGAGGGTGGAGCGATTGACGTGCCTCTCGATCCCAAACGAGGTTGGGAATCACAAAAGAATAAGCCGGGGTTTGGTTGGATGTTTTCTTTGCAATGTTTACTTTACTTCCTGATTCGGCCTAGCGCCTTGGCCCCAGCTTGTTCACGCTGTAAGCCTCCAATGAGTCCAATGCGGCTCCGAACTTCCTAGCCTCCAACTATCGAAGCTGTTTGCCCCACTACCTTACATACAGACCTTCCGAGTTGCGGGCCAGTTAAGAAAGAATACGTACCTAAAGTATCATGACATTCTGAACTGGTTTGACATTGGCCAACAACTTCGATCCAAGATGTCTGGATTTCCGTCGAGGCCTCTCCCATCGCACATGCGACAGCCGTCGCTCTCCGGCAGTGGCCAGTCTCCAGCTTTGGTGGCACGGGTGAATGAGAAGAAAGCCGAGCTGGAAAATCTCAAGGAGCTCCGTGATCTCAGCACTGCAGTTGCTACGCAGATGGAAGCACTTGAGCAGAAGCTTGCTACTCTTTCTGATGGGACTGAAGGTTCGTGGGTTTGCCGCTTCTGCTGCCGTGCCGCCGACTGACAGCTCTACTAGCCATTGCCTTGGTGTTGAGCAACTGGCATAATGTGCTCAGGGCGATCAACATGGCATCGGGTACGCCTTCCACTGGTCCTTGCAGTTCTTTGAGTGTTTTTATCCTCAGTCGACTAAAGTGGAAGCAGCGAAACTCCCGAAGCCCAGCACAGGAACCGAGGATGGGGAGAAGGTGCCTCTTCCCCAGACACTCGTGCGGATCCCAACAGAACATGCGCCTGCACTTCAAGCACACACCGACGCAGCTGCCGAGGACGAGTCCGGGTGATGCGCATGAGGCAGCAAACCCCGAAAATTGTCAATAGAGGTTTCACCATTAAGTGTCTCATACCACCCTATACGGCAGATTGGTTTCTGCCTCTTCATTGAAGGCAACTTTCATGTCTGGGTGCTCATTGCGGAAGGCCTGAATGCATCCCATTGGCCGGGCAAGCTGCAACTGCCCCCTTGAGGCGGGGTAGCGCACCACAAAAGGTCGCGTCGCGTTCCTTACTCAGCAGCTTCGTCACTCCAACATTCCATGGTTCCTGACTTTCGGCAAGAGGCATCTAAACAAGCGCGCCGCAGAGCCAGAGCACTTGCCCTTGTTGTTGTTGTTGCAACATCCACCATTCTGGAGGGGCGAAGGGAACTTGGAACCTGACGGAAGCCGAGCTGGAACTTGCAGAAGGTGGGACAGAGATGCAGAGGGCAACGGAAGGCGCATGGGAGCCAGCGTGCGAACGCCGTTGGCAACAGGAAAGTAAACAATGCAACGCTCTAATTAAATCCCACAATCTGCCGTCTCGGTGCCAGCCTTGACTGCTTTCTACCCATATCTGCTTCACCACCGCATTCAATTGCTAACGAGCATCATTGATCGTCATAACGGAGTACTCCTGCTTTTTTCCCTTCCGTCTCTTTGATCAGATCTCCCCAGATCGCATCGGCTGAGGATCAAACACCCCTCATTCCAGTTGTCAGCCAATCGCGTTGTTGTTGTCGCGAAATTGCATTGGAGCATCCCAGTCTCCCACGTTCCTGGGCACTCGAACCTCGAGACCCCCTTGGTCTGGCTTGGCTTATTTCGGGGATTTATTAAGAAGGGATGGCGACCACTGCACAAGCCCGACCGTGCGTCGAGCTCACCATCCACGACGATCACTGCGATGTCCTTGGCCCTCTTCCACTCAGCAACATCCAAAACAGAAGGTCCAGTACCGTCGACTCCTTGACTCGTCAATTCGGCATATTTCAGATTCACAGCAAAGATAAGGAGAACGGTGTTGCCCGAGCCCCAGTGACATCGCTTGGCACCAAAGACGCGGCCTGTGACGGCTCCCATAGACTTTCTGTTGCGAGCACGAGCACCGCCTCGCCGGATTCAGAAGGTAAGCTACTCTGCCAAGGACAACACCATGTATGCACTATACAGTGAGCGCTAACACTGCCTTATAGTAGTGTTCGAGCACAACAACCCCCTCGCTGTAGCCAGCCGGGACCTTCCGAGCACAGAGGAGCAACTGTCAAAGCACCAAGAAGGTCAGTTTGAGTGGTTGCTTTCGATTCCGGTAAAGACGTCCGCCATAGGCTGCAGGGCGCGCGGCGACTCTCACGGCGACGCGGAACAGCGCCCCGGTGAAAAGACGCTGTACTTCGGGTGTAACCTTGTCCACCGCAGATCGGCATCGGGGGGCTCGTTCAAGGAGAACGGCAAGTCAACTGATGTGTATACATTATTAGCCACTCGGATTGGAAGCAAGGAGAGAGCCGCAACGGATATGACGGCCGAAGTTGAGCAGGTGGAAAGCGCGGCCGCAGAGACGGTTGCAGCTGAGCACTCAGAGGTGAGACTGGATGTCCCCAGAGATGGCACTGCTGGCAGTTCCGGTGGCGAGCCTTCCAAGCCAGTGTCTCGTATTGAGGACTCTGTCGAGGCCCTCGATAAGCTTGAGGAAGAGATAGAAGCGCTTACCGAGGTGGCCCAACTTGAGCGGATGCTTTCTCCCGACAGCGCCAACCCTGTCAAACAAACTGCTACGGGCGCGAAGCCGACACCTATGAAGCGAGCAACATCGGTCAAAGCAGGTGCAAGCTCGGGCAGGGGCAAGACAGTGGAGCGCAGCTCCTCGGTGCTCAAGGCGACGTCCACGCCGTCAGCGAATGGAGGTGAGAAGAGTGCTGCCGGAAGTTCTACTGCACGGAAAGTCCCCAGACCGGCAAGCCTTCTCCCGCCGAAGCCGCCGGCTAAGTCTAGCAAGCCCCCCACTGTGCCAACCTTCGAGCTGCCTGGCGAGGCTGTGGCTCGTCGCTTGAAGGAGCAGCGCGAACAACGCCGGTCCCAGCCGATCTCACCGGAGCAAGCTGCAGCCCTGGCGGCTGCCTACTCACCGTCCAAGCCGCACGTCAAGTCGAGCAAACCACCCACACGGCCGACATTTGAACTGCCCGGCGATGCTATCTCCCGGAAGAAGCGCGAGGAGCACGAGGCGAAGCTGCGTGCGCAAGAGGAAGAGGAGCGCAAGCGGCGCCAGTTCAAGGCGAGGCCCATCCGCGCCAGCCTCGCGCCATCCTCGGTCCCGCGCGAGACGCTGGCCAGCCAATTGCGACAGAAGCAGCGGCGGACCGAGGCTTCGAGCGACTCGAACTCGACCACCATCACCCCTGCCACCAAGAAGCGACAGTCCGTGGCCGGGCCCGCCACCACCACAGCAACAACCACAACCCTCCCTATCCGCGGCCGCGGCCTTGCCACCGACCATGATCACCCTGCCGGGCAACACGGCCTCTCCAGCCGCGCGACCTCCACGTCGACGGGTAGCATCCATCGCAGCGGCAGCACGGCAAGCGGCCGGAGCGGCCAAAGCAAGCGGAGCACGGTCAGCGCCGAGGAAGCGGCGCAGCAGAAGCAGCGGGGCAAGGAGGTGTTTGCGCGCGACAACTCGTATACCGCTGAGCGTGAGCGAGAGCGCCGCGAGAGGGAGAAGGCCGCCAAACTGGCGCGGCAGCAGGCAGCGGAGCGGTCTAGGATGCTGAGTCGCGAGTGGGCCGAGAAGCAGCAGTTGAAGAAGCAGAGGGAGCGGGAGAGGATCAAGGGCCAGACCGCTACCGTGGCTTGAGGCTTTGGGGTTGGTTGTTGTGGGGATGTGGGGAGGTGAGGTGTGGCTTCCGAACGGTGTTGGCGTCAAGTGTGTTAAGAGGACCGGGGGTTGCATTGCGTCTGCGTTTGGGGAGTTGTGTAGGCTTATATCCTTGTGCTGCGTTGGTTTTTCGTGGTTGTTTCTGTTTGCTATTCAAGTTCTGATATTTGGAGGTGAGGTGTCTGGTAACCCGTCGGGAGCGCACAAGGCGGCGGTGGCTGTCTTCGTGGACGCCTGGTAAGGTTCTAGTAGGGTCCAACTTATTCTTGTCTGCCTTAGCTTGCCGCTTTAGCATCGACACATCTTTATTCTCTTTAGATAGCTTCTTTGGTACGCCAGGTCTGGGAACCGTAAAATTGAAATACGCAGGTCTTAAGCTGTCCGTCTAGGTATCTGAAGGTGCAAATGATTCTGTCACTACGACTCGCATCCTACCTCCCTAGCTTGCCTTACTTTGAATTTCTACTCCGAGTAATCTACGTCTAAAATCAGACCACCTCAATGTAGAACATGAAAAGCACGCTTCAATTGACAAATTACTATCACCAATGGAGCACTTTCGCTCGCTCAGTCAACTCAAGTTGTCAGATCGTTGCCAGCAGTGGGCGGATAGGGGTCAAGCGGCGCTTAGTAACCTAGCGCTGCCAAGCTAACGCACGTGCGACATTGTCAAGTGCCATGAACTCCACAGGCAAGACCTGGGAACTCTTCCACCGAACCATTCGTTGCCGGTTTGACACGAACCACACTTGCTTGCCCCTAATATATGCTGTGCCTCCCGCTTTCACCCGCTCTTTTCCACGAAGCTTTCCGATTGTATTCCCTTCGACGTGTCGGATACCGTTAGCCAGTCACTGGGCTTTCCGACGCCGATTGCAACATTGCACTGTCGAATATGGCGAGAGACGGCAGATTATAGCCGAGCAAGCAAGCAATCCGGGCGCGCTAAGCTCTCCCCGCATCCGCAGTGGGGGCGCTGCCCTGAAAGGTCAGCGACGCGAGAGATCTGGCTCCTGGCTGCTAGCAGCTCCTGGAGGGGAGACAAACGGGGCACGCCGCACTGGTCGCTTCCGAACCCCATGCAACCTCCACCCACCCGATGAACTGCGTGCCCCAGTTAAAGCGCCGGGCGCGCCGCCGGGTGCTTGCTTCGCCGTGGCTGACCGCATTCGCTGTCCTGCTCATTTTGTGGTGCTATCTCTACGGCTTCGCGTTCCGGTCTTCGTCTGACCGGCACGGGCTCCCTGCTCTAGTGCTGCCCGGCAAAGACGGGAAATCGGTGCTGGACCTTGACTACGCTGCGCCGGCGAGGACGACGATCGCCACATCGACAACGACAACCATGACCGCAACAGAGAGGCCCCGCCCTACGGCGACCGAGCCGGCCGTCAAGCTGCGCCAGGGCACCTACATCGGCACGACACTCCCCTCATCGCCTCGCTTCCCCAGGGCGGTCGATGCGTTCCGCGGCGTACCCTATGCCCAGGACACGGGCGGCCAGAACCGCTTCCGCCCGCCGCAGCCGCTGCCAGAGTCCACCGAGACCTTCGACGCCGTGGCTTGGGGCCAAATATGCCCCACCGATGGTGTGGTACTGCGCAACATGAGCGAAAACTGCTTGAATGCGAACATCTACCGGCCGGCCGGGCTTGTCGACGAGGACGGGTACGAGAAGACGGAGGATGAGGAGGGCGTGAGGCACCGGCCACGGCTGCCCGTCGTGGTGTACGTCCACGGCGGCGGGTTCAACACCGGCCACGGGACCGAGCGCAACATGGCTAGTTTCCTGGCCTGGTCCGAGGCACCCATGGTGACTGTTAACTTCAATTACCGGGTCGGCGCGCTAGGCTTTCTTCCCTCCGACGTGACCGCCCGAGAGGGACTGTTGAACCTAGGGTTGCGGGACCAGCAGATGCTGCTGGACTGGGTGCGCGACAACATCGAGGCGTTTGGCGGCGATCCGGACAACGTGAGCATCATGGGTCTCAGCGCAGGCGCGCACTCGATCGGCCACCACATTATGCACTACTCGCGTTCCTCCAAGCCGGCCCCCTTCGTCCGGGCCATCCTCGAATCCGGCGCCACCACCGCCCGCGCCGTCTTCTACCCGACCCACTCGCGCCACCTCATCCAGTTTCGGGAGTTCCTCATCGCTGCTGGTGCTGGAGGCGTTCCGGAATCGGACATCTTCCCTTTCCTCCGCACACTCCCGCTCGAAAGCATTGTCCGCGCATCCAAAGTCGTCTGGGACAAGTATGTCGACAACGTGACTTGGCCGTTCCAGCCGGTCATCGATGGGCCGAATCCGCTCGCCAACTCCAGCCTTCTCAACAGCACTACGCTCCCGCCTCTCATACCGGACCTGCCGATAAGTTCGTGGCGTGCAGGCAACCACCTCCGCATACCCATCATCACCGGATTCAACACCAACGAGGGCACATGCTTCATCCCGCACAAAGCCAAAACGGCCGCCGAGTTCCGCTCCTTCTTCCAAGGTCTCATCCCCTCGCTGACCGAGGCCGACCTCGACAAGCTGGAGGCCCTCTACCCGGACCCGGTGAAGCACCGGACCAGCCCCTACAAGAAGGTACCACGAGGGATGGGCAAGCAGTGGGCGCGCCTGGACGCCGCCTACGCCCACTACGCCTACATCTGCCCCGTGATCCAGACCGCGCACTACATGTCGCAGGCGGGCGTGGGGAACGTTTATCTGTACCGGTACGCCGCAACCGCGCTGCACGGCACGGCCAACCACGCCGACGAAACGCCGGTCGTGGTGCACGACATGGAAGAGCTGGACGGGAAGAAGGGCCTGCAGGACGTGTCGGCCGAGATGCACGGCGCCTTCGCGCGCTTTGTCACCACCCCGGTCCTCAACCACAACCCGAACCCCAACCAGACGCCTGACGGGCAGCAGAGGGGCGTGCAGTGGCCTGCGTTTGTGTCACCCTTTGCCTCCACTGAGTATGACGAGGAAAGCCCGGGCAGGATCATGGTGTTTGGCGAGGGGAATGATGAGAGGGGCGGTGGGTGGCAGAAGGGTGTCCCCGCCAAGGTGGAGGAGATGAACGATCTGTTGAAAGAGGCGTGTCGATTTTGGTGGGAGAGGATTCCTTTGAGCCAGGGGACGGGCAAGAGGGACGCCGAGCAGGCCCAGGCCCAGGCTGCGGCGCGACTATAGATTTTGCCTGGTTTTGGTTTTGGTTTTGGCATCCTGTTGTTGGTTTAACGGAAAGATGTGGGTAATTATGTACGTGTAAAATATGGGATGTGGTTCTACCATCCCTGGCGTTGGGAATGCTTTCTTGGAGATGCCTCTTCTGGATCGGCTGGTTTCGGATCCGAGGTAGAATATTAGTCGATTTGAATAATGGGTCGACACCTTCTCCAACCTTCGCTTCTCGTCTGGCCATAAAGCTAGAACCAACTAAGAGAAGTTTAATAATGGCGGACTCTAGCACCTTTTCCCGTTCATTGACTTGCTTCCGATCACATACCGACCAAAGCTCCGTAAACGCCCAAGATCAAGCCAATCAAACTGGGCAACGGTGCCCCTGGCCCTCGACTGCCTCTACGAGCTCAGCAACGCCAGCAGAGACTCTTCCCGAGTATATAGTGGTACATGCAATCGTCTAGCGTCCCACCCGAACCCAACAGCATAACCAGCCATCTTATGGCAAAGTGCACCTCTTTATCCCTAGCCATGCAGCAAGTCTCATGGTATCGAACAGGATAATACTGATACAACAACGACAACGACAACAACAACAATAGAAGAAGTTAACATTACGTATGGTGGCAGCTCATCATCAAACCGTGTCCGCGAAAACGGTTCCCAGCGCGGACCCCACCACCCCTCTGACCCGCCGCCTATTCTCCAGGGCGCAGGTGAACACGACCGCGGTACTCGCCGCGAACGCAAGCGTCTCGCGCCACTGCTTGTCCAGCGCATAGCGGCGCGGCAAGAGGGTCGCCAGCGCGCGGGGGGCCACAAACAGTGCCATGTCCTTCCGCCGGCCGCGCGCCTCGAGCAGGATGCTCCACCCACACAGCAGGCAGCCCGCCGCGACGCAGTACCCGCCGTCGATGTGCTGGCGGCGCGCGACGTCGTCCTTCCCTCGCAGGAGGCGGGGGCCAAGCCGGGTGCGCGCGAGGCACACGCCGTAGTAGAAGAGGGTGATGAAGGTGGCCAGGAAAGCCGAGGATCGGGCGGCGGAAAGGGGTGCGCGTCGCAGGGAGCGAACGGACCGGCTGCGGACGGTCAGGAAGAGGAAGATGGGCAGATAGCGCGCGAAGGCCCAGCGGAAGGAGCGCAGGAAGCGCACGACCGCGTGGTACTCGCACGACGCGCCGCTGCCCATGTGCACCATCTCGCAGGGGAAGGGGATCGAGCGCGCCGGGTCGCCCCACTCGGCTGGCCAGCCATATTCGGTGCACATGGAGGTGAGCAAGGGGGCTTGGCCGGTGTCGCGGCCGTAGAGGAGTGTTCCTTCGCGGCAGCGCTGGAGCGCTTCGATGAGCCGGGTGTCGACGGCCGCGGCTGAGCTGATCCACTTGTAGTAAGAGCGCGGAAGACGTGAGGGCTGGTAGAACCAGGTCCACATGATGAGGCCGCTGGAGAGGGCGAAGATGGCGGGGTCGGTGAGACGCCCGATGGCGGTTTCGACGGGCGTCCATTTGCCGGCGGCCTGCCGGCGTAGTCTATGACGATGCCATAGCTCGCCGACGACGACATCCAGGGCGCTCGTAACGGCAAGGAGCGTCAGGTCAAGTGTGCGGCCGGCATAATGGACCGTCTTGGGACCCGTCCCCGGTATGGCATTGGACCTGGATCCGGATCCGGAGCCGGACTCGGCAATGGTGTCGGTGAAAGCCGGGGACCGCTTGGACTGGCACAGCCGTAAGCTCAGCCAGGCCGCAACGAAGGCGGCAAACCACCTCGAGACTCTAGATAGGCACCTATCAGCATCGCGAGATGGGCGAGGGGGTTCGGAAACCCAAGGACTCACCTCCGCCGGGCAACCGCGGAGAGATCGTTGGTCAACAGGTCTAGCAAGGCTCTGAGTGGCCGCTGAGAAATAAAATAAAGTTGGCACAAGTCAGTGTCGCGCAACTTGCAATAACCCTATCGGGGTATGACAGGAGGAAGAGGGGTCAGGTTCACCTCGATAAACGTGGTGCCCCCGACGACGGCGGCACAAAAGATGGGGAAGCCCTGCCAATCAAGCCCACCCCAGAGGATACGCTGCAGTGCTGTCACAAATGACGATTCCAGCTTGTCTCTGCGTCGTCGGCGAGCGTGTTGGGTCAGCAGAGCCACCAGTCTCGGTCCCACGGCGGTTGCTAATCCTAGGAGGTAGGCACGCGCCACCGGGCGGAGCACGGGGGGTATGCTGCTGTCCCATTTCCTTCGGGTCGATGACAAGGTGGATGGTGAGTTCGCCATGACACGGTGTGTGAGTATTTCCTGGTCCTGGGAAGTGCCGAGCTCGAGATATAACACTGGACTTCCGGCTGTCCTGGATTCCCGAGCTTCTCAACTGAAACAGTGCTCCACTGCAGGGTGTATCCGGTCTGTCTCCAGGATGTGGCAGAAATTAGACATTAAGAGGCGCGAAACTGGTGATGGAGCTGCTATTTCATCAAGGGCTCCAGCTTTGCGCTGGTGGACGGATCGCCGGCAAGCCTCGGGATACGTAGGCAGGCAATTGGTTCTAGATTCGCAGCGAAGACCGAGCACGCGGATCCATGCCAACCGCCAGAGCACCCCCAATGCAGCCGATAGCGATTTCAACCCTTGCTGTGTAGTTCACTATACACAATTCTGCTACAGGTAGAAAGCCAACTTCAGTTGGGATACTCTGGATGAAGCTTCGATGTTGTGGGTTTGGATTGATGGCAGCTGAAAGATGGTGTGGCTCGGGAACTTCCAGGTTGATCCGCTGCGACGTCAGTTGGCGTGTCACCCCCGTCCCCACAGATCTCCCCTGCAGTGAGTGATTTCGGGCATGTGACTGCTTTTGGCAGAGCAGGACGAGTGCCCGAAAAACCAAGCTCTCCGAGTACTGTGTCCTTCTGGTGTACTGGGTTCAAATCACGAGCTCGATTTTGACAGTGTCAGCTTCGGCAGACTTAGTTACACTCCGCCAAAAGGCAGGTTGGAGAGGAACTTTAAGCTCCAGACTGTTAGCAATCGCCCAAACTGCCTGTGATGGGAATTTGACCCCTGTCGTCAGGTCCATTGTGCGGGGCTCTGCCGTTTGCATGTGATTCCGGTGTTTCTTCAACACCGTCATGCATGCTTCCGAATCATTTTAGCATACATACATACCTTACCTAAACTTCTACTGAAAACAGCATCTATATGTAGATAATGTCATCTTCTCCCAGCTCACTAGAACTGAACGAGACAAATAATGGCAGCTAGTATCTATCGAGGGTGCGAGCCATTTGCGGCCGTATCGACAAAGACGAAAGCGCATTAGTACTTCCCATCTGCACCTTATTATAAACCCCGCCTCCAGCCCAGATACTCGAGGAACTGAACCAAATACCTTACAATGAATAAATGACGCAGCGATTCCCTGTGCTGCACCTGACTGGGCCAGAGGAAGAGCATCCGTCTCGAGACTACATTAGACAAGTTTTCTCTGCATCTTTCCGAGCATAATATGACCCCTGTTCATTGGGCCCATTCCATTTTCAAGGCACAGGGAAGTTCCTTCCCCGCACAACGCCAGCTGGTCGCAAGGGACTCCGTGAAACATCTCTTCAGCGCGAAAACAGAGGTCCCATTTTTGCGTGTGCCCCTACGACTCCCCCTGCCTGCATCATCGGAAAGGCTCAACACACCACAAGTCAGATCAAATACCTAACTTACCCTATGCATTGCTGGGCGTCGCCCTAACTGGCACACGACCTCCGTACGGAGCACTTCCACTATTGCTTCCACTGGCTAAAGTTAAATCGGCGCCACTGTAGATCGAGCATCCTTTCGAAACGGACAACCACTGGCTGCCCGTGGTCCGACTCCCTTCTGACACATCCCAAGAGATTGGCTCCTACCTACCAATTGCTCGCACAAAGCTCCCCTCACTCCCCTGCCGCGGGCCAGAATGGTCTGTGAAGGCCGCCGGCGATGGACCCTATACAGCCAGAAACGTTGCCTTTCGGATGTTAGTCTTGAGTATCCCGTCTCGCGACTGCTAGGAACCAGTCCCGCTGACTGACTACCCCCAGTTGGCGTAAGCCATTCTCCGCTCCTCGATTTCGATGTTCCGCCGCTGGCGGGTACCGACGAGCTTCTCGATAACGACGAAAGACAGTATTTAGACAGTTTCTTCCAGTGCGTCAATAGGAATGGTTATTCGGACCCTTGGCTTGGGGAGGGACTGGGCGGTATCTTCACGAGCGAGTGGCGCCTGCCCCCAGAAATCATCGGTCATAATGTGTCATATGGAACTGTGAACCAAACATTGGTCGAGGCCGTCGTGCCGGATCCGACCGGGGAGACAATCCCGCATGCGCTGTCCGCTAGGCTGTCACAACCACATACGATGACGTCTGCTCCAAGTCTTCGCTATCTCCAGAAGCCTCCGCGCGAGTCTGCCAGTTCAAGTACACCGGCCGATGTCCTAGCCGCCGCGACCGTCCTCTCCCGCACCAGCGCCCCCAACTTCGGCATGTCATTCAGCACGTCACAAGAAACTTCGGCACCAACTTCTCTGCCTTTGCTTTCATCCCAAAACTTACCAGTCGAGCCATCCGCGAGAAATCCCCACCAGTTCTCGCCCAGCCAACATCGCGTGGGACGCCAGAACGGCACGGTGTTCAGCGCGCTCGGGCACGGCGACACGTATGTGCACCGGCCGCGCCGCCCGGTTGAGGAGGTGCGATTCGGATCAGACCCGAACTTCAGCCACCACAACTTCGTGCCCGCGTCGGAGAGGGAGACCACCGAAGCGATGATGGCAGAGCAACTCGCAACACTTGGATGTCTCAAACGGAACATCAGTGCAGCGCCAACTCGAGCTCCTAGCCCTACTTCGTGGTCACCCACATCCCCGAACGCGGCAATACACTCAACCAGACAATCTAACACAATGGGCCAGAACCCTACGATTCCAAAGGGTTCAGGCAACAGTGAACTAACCCATTCTCGGAAGCGGATGAAATACAGCAGATCCGGGAAAGCGAGTATGGATCAGAACATGCAGCAGACATTCTCAGCACCCGTTTTGGCCGAGACACCGACGATAATAAAGAAAGAGGTAACAACGTCTGGGCCACGGAGGAAGAAACCACCCATTCCGATAACCCCCGAGGCCGAGGCAGTATCAGCCGGAAGCACCAAAAAGCGACGCAAATCAGGGGTGGCCGCCGGGGGGAGTAGCAATCCAAACAACGGCGCCGCAAACAGCAGCAGCAGGTCATCCATGGGCAAGGGACCCCGTGAAAATCTGACGGAGGAGCAAAAGCGTGAGAACCACATCAAGAGCGAGCAGAAGCGGCGCAACATCATCAAATCGGGCTACGAGAACCTCGAGCGCATAGTGCCGGATATCAAAGGCAACGGATACAGCAGAGCCGTTACGCTGAAAAAGACGGCTGACTGGTTGCTGGAACTCGAAGCAGGGAATAAGAGGCTCGAGGAGTTGCTGCTGAAGCTGGAGCGGGGTCGTGCTGGGACATAGAGGGAACACAGCACAACAGCAGAGCGGGTCACAGCCAGGAGAGATTAGAATCGGACGTGTTTCGCACAATCAACGAAACCGCAAGAAACGGGGCAAGAGGCGCTGTCTGGTATTCTCAGAGACGTCAACGGGTTCCTCGCAGGAGCGGAAGCACATGCCATAAAACTTGAGGGCATAAAGCCAGTTGGGGTGGCCGACGGGTTAAGGGAGGCGACTAATTACTGTTGAGTTGGGTGTCGGAGTCTCAGCCAGGAGGAGTGCGATGCCGTATATGTCTTTCCTGCGTGGCGTTGGGTTGGCTGGCGACATTTGACAGTATCCTTTACTCATACCAGGATCACGCAGCGATGAAGCAGCAGCGTAGACATGATGATGCTATATCCTAGATCTGTAGTTGATTATCCTTAAACAAATACCATTATGTATATTGATTACTCAATTCAGGTAGGTAGATAGGTATACCTGTCCCCCGAACCGTCTTCACAGCGCAAAGGCTGGATGTAAAACAAACCTTAGGCTACATACTGCGCCCAGCTAGGAATGGAGACAACGCTACCCACCGCGCAAGAGTCGCCACACGAGAACCAAAGGCCAACCGACTACATACTTTCCAGTATCATCATGCTTTGTTATATGCTATCATCCCAGAAGAGTCCAATTATTAGGGACCCTCCATACTATGATACCGTTGGTGAGCCAACAAGGCAAACCTCGGAATAAGCCGATCACACAGCTGACATCTATCCAGGTCGTCATCTTGCGTATCATCGGGTTCCCATCCAGGCTCCGAACCATCTCCGTCATCCTGATCCTCATCCTCATCCTCATCCTCATCACCGTCGCTCCGGTGGGCCTCCTCCTGCTCCGCCGCGCCAGAGCTTACCATTTCCTCATCCTCCACCCTCCCCTCACCACTAGCACGCTGTTCATCATTTACTTCCCCTTCTCCATCATCGTCGTAGACTGTGAACTCCCTCAGCTGCTCCCCATAGCGCCTAAACATCTCCCCGATGTCCCTCCTCCCGCCCACCACGGCCCCTTCTCCGCCGGACATGTTGGTCACGCAGACGTTGAGCAGTCCGATGTTCCACCCACCATCATGGCCTCCCTGCTGAGGATGCAGCTTGTAGAAGAGCGGCAAGAGCGTGTCGTTCACCAGGCGCTCGGCGATCTCTTCTCTGCTGCTGCAGCTGGTAGTACTACTGAACACGAAAGATGGCAAAGCACAGCTGCGGGAGCTGCGGGCCCAGTTGTAGGGCTTATCATCGGAGGGGCGAGTGTAGGGACGCGTGGTGAGGCGGATTGTTCTGGGTTGGGCCAGCCATCTCCTTTTCCCCCCTTCGACGGTGCTGTCGACGTCCTCGACAAGGTCGATCTGCATGCGCCGGAGGAGCGAGGTTGTTATGGCGAGCAGCTCGCGGCGGATATCGGAAGGGTCGTTAAGGCCTTTGAAGGTGTCTTCGATGCTGATCTGGGTGGGCACGTCGCGGCCTGCTTTGACTTCGGTGTCGTCCACGCCGTAGAGGAGTAGCCATACTCTGTTGCCGAGCCCTTTTTCCGAGCCGGGACCGGAAAAGAGCCGCTCGAGGACCGGGGGCGAGATGCCAGGGTGGGTACGAACTTGGCCTACCGTGGTCGAACATTCCATAGAGTGGATGTCCAGCTCGGGTTCCTTGCCGAGGACGAAGCCTTCCAGCACCCGAGTGATCTTGCCGCCTATCCCGGGAACTTTCCGGAGCTTGTGCTCGTCCATGAAGGATAAGACATCTTCCGGCTTGAGGCCAAGGAGGGTTGTTTGGTTCCGCGGCTTATTCTTGCCGCCAACCAACTTGGCCAGTAGCTTGCTAGTCGATATGCCGCAGGCGGTGGTGTAACCCTCGTCCTCGATCTTCAGTCGCAGATACCTCGCGAGGTGAGAGGCGAGCAGAAGCCGCGTACGCGGCGCACTCTCATCGGTTGGACCGCCATCATTTCCATGGATGCATCCGGCAAAGGACGTCGCGTCGAATTCGAAGCCAACCTCCGGGTCCGAGCGGGAGAGACAAAAATAGGAGTGTTGCAGGGCGTTCCGATTTAGCAGCTCCACATTATAAGATATGAGATCGGTGACGTCCAGAAATATCTCATCCAGACCCAACCGTTCCACTTTGCCATTCCATGAGTAAGACCGGAGCAGGTTATAAAGCCGCTTGGACACGTCCCGGAAAGGCGACAGGTCCTCGCCATCGGCAAGCACGAGGTCCGGGCAGATCCGCTTTGCCTCGGCAATGGGCATCAATTTCTTAACCCCATGCCGGCGGGCCACGTAGTTGCAGGTGGCGAGAATGCCCTTCTGCTTGATGCCCAGGGGCACCGTCCTCAGCGACGGCTGCTGGTTCTCGACGCACTGCTGCGCGCGTAAGCATCGGCGCCACAGCGATCAACAGAGCGGTGGAGCTGCGTGCCTGTGCATAGAAACAGTCGAGGTCCTAGACAGAACGGAGCGCAACGCGTCAGACGGAATGTCCCAGGTCGAGTTCAATTGTCTACGTGAGATGAGACAAGGGAAACCTGGGGGGAGGAGGCTGTACAAAATGGAGAATGACGCGGTCGTCTCTGCGGCGTGGCGTCTTCTTACTCAAAGCAGCTGGAAGATCCATCGCTGCGGCTCCAGGCGGTGTGCGGAGGAGGCATGTCATCCAAGCAGCACCGGCCCAATTTTCTGTGGTTATTGACTTGGTGTTTCCGGATTGTTGAGATGTCCTCCATGTTGCTCCCTCACCAAGCACCCAAGGTTCTGGGTCGCGACTATTGAAATGGGGCCCCTCTGGAACGCTATTTTTAGGCTCAGATAAGTGGGGACTTGTTCGTGCACGACTGGGTCCGAGGTGGAAATGCAGTCTGAAGTCTTAGCATGTGGGTCCACAGACTTCAACTTTAACGGGTTCTTCTCCCGGATCCATCGACTCGACAATACGGATTACAATGTCTGCGCAGAACCATTGATTGATCTCGTCGCCACTGTCAGTTATCACCGGCCTCAGATCACTAGCTGTGTACCCAGCAATTTCAGTGACTCGATGTCGTCAGAAGGGCTGGGCCCCAACACTACGTACCCGGTTCCGCAGATCTTGTCGGTCTGGACCTATTCTCGTCGCGACCAGGGCTCAAGTAAATACAGTACACTTTCTCTTTCTACCTACCACGTGCCTACCCAACCTCCGGTGGGCCAAAAACACCTCCGGGGTGTATACCGGCAGAGAGACGGGTGGATCTGTCACTGTTTTCCTGCTCTCGAGGAGCCATGGGTGCTGGGTGCGGGACATAGTTCACGTTTTTTTCTAGTTGAGCGGACCTGCTTACTCTGCATCGACCCATTTGCCGCTCACCGCCTGCTGCAAGGCTCCCCCCATATATGGAGTTCAGGTGGACGGGGCGGTCCGGCGGCAAGGTTGGCCTCAAGCGGGAGACCCAGCCCTGAATTACGATTCGGGGTGGCTGTGGCAGCATATCTTCAGATGATCTTGGCTTACATAGTGTAGGGTGGCTCAGGGTGGCTCGTGTCACTCGACAACAAGACGGAAAAAAGTTGCACTCTCGTGATCGAAGAGCAGATCCTTCTGGAATGCCACTGGAATCCTTCAGTTGGTCATATGCAGCATGCCCAGTCGGTTATCGCTCGCAAAGGCTAGCCTCAAACTGTGGAAGACACCAACAGCGAGGAAAATGGACCGCGTCTGTTGGCTTGGGCAATGGATCGAAGTCAAGCTAGTCAATTGCCAAATGGGGATTTCTAAATTCGCCTTGGCGGAAATAGACGCGTTGTGACTTCGCCTGCAGGTGGATCCAGGACAGCTCCAATCAAGATGATTGGACGAGGGGGCGCTTGTGCCTGCAAGCTGCAGGAAATGTGAAGACCACTAACAAAGACCGCTTCCTTCAACCAACAACCAACCACACACGTCCGCGAGGTCGTTGTGCATGGCAAATGTTGAGGGCCTCCGCGTTCACACCCACCCTTGCTCGGAGAGTGAGGGGTTGCTGCGATGGTGTGTCCGACTAATAGCACAGTCTTGTTGACTTGAGCAGCAGCTCAGGCTCGCAGCTATGGGTATTCCCACTGTGTAACTACTGCGTGTGCCAGGGCTTTGCAGACACCAGTGACCCATGCATTCGTCCGAACCAGCCTGGCGCTTCTGCTCTCCTCCGGTTGCTCGTCCCATGCTCGGCTAGCCGCCAGGGGGGGCACAGTGAGTGGTGACTCGGCAACACTGAACCAAACTCTGCCGAATACACATATAGCCGCCCTCCCCTTGCGGTTCCGCCCTCCTGGCGCCCGTGATCCGATCACAATTTTGTCTGTTGGAACCAACCGAGAGGTCGCCCGCGCATCTACCTTCTTTCCTAGCTGGCTTAGGGAATCAGGTGGTCTGCCTATATTTAATTAGCCCTCCTAATTCACGGCCTTCTCCGGTTCGGTCCCACTCTTTTCGCCATGTCGAGCACGTCGCCATCGGATCCGCCCAAGAGACCGAGGCTGTCTCTGCAGATCAAGGCTGCCGCTAATTGCTCGACTGGTCGGACCTCGAGATGTATTGCTGCCGCGGTCGACGTCAAGTCGCCCACGGCCTTCAATACCCTATCAAATGTGTACGCCACTGCTGTCGACAGGTCAACGCCGGTGCAGGAGAATCCGCCAACGGCAATCCTGGGGAGGAGGCCGATGCTGCGTCTGCAGACACAGGGTGTGACGGGGAAGGACCGTAACACGCCCACGCCGTATCGCGGACCTTACCTCGACACACCCATCACGGCTCAGCCCATGTCCCCGGCAGTCGCGCAGCAGATCTGCTTCCCCAGCGCAGCTATGACTGCGACACCGCCCCTGTCGGCCCAACCGCCAGACCAGACCGGGACCCAGGTCTTTACCTTCGATGGCGCAACGCCGGCGACCGCCGTCTCGGAAGCTCCACGGGCGCCAGCTCCGGCAGCGCAGCACCCCAAGAGGCGGACAAGCATGCCCACGGGGACAACCAAACTGCCCTACACCCACCCACGCAGCCTGCGCAGCATTCTCCGCAACTCGCCCCTTCCGCCGCTCAGCACAAGATCCCCCGAGTCGCCGAGGCGCCAGTCTCTCCGGCTGCAAGAGAAGGCAGCGCGGCGGGTGGCCTACAACAGCCCGCTGACGCAAGAGATCACGACCAGCAAGTACACCAAGTCGCACATCGACCTCCTTGCCGAGGACGCCACGCCCATCTCACCCTCCACCTCATCCTCCGACGATGGGGATAGCAGCCTTGACCTGGCCATGGCCGACGCGGCTAGCGACAACACGCGCGATGGTGGGCAGACTCCCGGACCGTTCGAGGAGATGCGGCGGCGCATGGCCAACATGCAAGCGTCCACCCCCATGGCGCTGTCGCCGACGGGCGGGGGGATCCGAAAGCGGGGCGGCAAGCGACGTGAGAAGAAGCGCCGCTGGGTGTGGACAATCGGCCAGGATGAGGAAGGCGAGGAGAGCGAGAGCGCTGCTACTAGGACTTCTGGGGCGGCCGAGCCCGTGAAAACGGAGCCCTCCATGTCGGTGCCTGTACTCGCCGTCCCCGCACCAAGACCGAGGACGAGGAATCAACAGGCGCAGGCGCAACTGGCAAAAGCCGTTGCGGAGGCAACACAGGCACAACAAAAGGTGCCGCTCCTCGCGGTGCCTGTGCCTCCTGGTGCCCGTGCCGCAACAGCTGCTGCCCCTGCCCCTGCCCCTGCCCCTGTGGTTCGAGCACCAGCAGCTGTTGCACCACAACCTCAAGAACAATCTCAACCCCGATCACAGCCCTTGCTCCAGCCGCAGAGAACCCGCGAACTCACCCCAATCCCATCCTCCTTGATACCCACCCGACATTCCACCCCGGACTCCTCCTCCTGCAGCAGCAGCAGCGTACGACGCCTCACACCAGAACCCATGCATCATCTAGGCGGCGCAGCCCTGGTCGACGAACCGCCAACGCCGAGCGTGGAATCCACGACCAGCGCCTCGGCCAGCAGCCTGCACAGCCGGGACTCCGTCTTCGACAACGACAACAGAACGGCTGGGGCGGACGTGGAGATGTCGGACGCGAGCAGCTTTGCGTCGGAGGAGGACGAATCCGAGGGTGGTGGTGTGTACGGGAAACGCGAGTATGCTATAGGCTATCTCCCTTATTCCTCGTTTGCCGGAAACGGGGATGGCGATGACGTCGAGATGGACGAGGGTACGCCTACCATGACGGCGCGGCCGGTGTCGGATATGCGGGCTGGTGGGCGAGGATGGGTGCCCTGGCGGGATATGTAAGGCGAGGACGTTGTCTCTTGATTGACCTGTCTTGGTCCGGCGGTCTACATTTGCTATAGTTAAGTTCCATGGAGTTGTTGGTTCTTGTATGGATTATACTACCTATGTAGCGGGGCGTCGGGGCAGCGAAGCATGGCATTTGATACCTGGGCCGGGTCGGGGTTATCGGATGGAATGTGTATATGTTTTATGAGATCCGACGGTTTATGATGGATTATCAAAAATAAGATGGTGAAAATGCAATGAAATAAAGTAACTAAAGATGTAGTTTTATGTTCAACTTGGTCTGTTCTTTTAGATTAAAAGTCGATACGATTCGGGCTTCGAGTTCGAGTTACTGGTGCCTAGAAAGCGATGTGGGATTTGTGGTTAGGGTTATGTATGGTATTTTTGCGTGTAAATGTTCTCCGTCTACTTAAAAGAGTCTAGAACTGGTCGCTATGAAAAAACCGCACCCTTTGAGCAACGACGAAGGGCTACGAGCTGAGTCGCTTTTCCAGGGAGGGCGACAATGCGAATCCGGACTTGGTAGCTTACTTTTTTTGTTATGGTCGAATTGCTAACTTAGCAGTTATAGAGTCACTAGGGAACCGTTTCTAACTATTAGGTAGTTTTTCAAGCATTGGAAGCTACCTTATACAATGAATGGTATTAGCTGTTAAGGCCAACTATCTATAAAAGGGCGAGAACATTTAGTTAGAAAACTCCTCCTTATCCATTTATAAGATCTGGAAGAAGTTCGTATATATACAAGTAGGAGATAAAGAGCAATTTAGAGGCCGACGGTCTAGATTGGTACTAGCAACTAAGGGAGACTAGGACAACTGAATTGATAAACCTTCCAATAACGTATATTATCAGTGGGTCACTCGCTGATATGGGTCACTCGCTGATAATATACGTTAATGGGTTAATGTCGACGAATAGTAGCTCCCCGACAAACGTCTGAAATACTACCTCAACGGCGACCGAATTATAGGAGGAAAAAGTACCTAACTTTCTTTCTTTTTCGTGTGGGGGATAACAGTGATCAGGCACTTGTGAGATGCAGATTGCAAGCGGCTTAAAGGGGAAGCCAGGAAGTTATCAAGTTGAAAGGCGCTGAAGATAGTCAGCCTGAATCCTTAAATGGTTAGGATGGAGGTTGTTCATGCATTCAATGGCGTAGTCGTGCAGCGCCAGAGATTTCGCTTTGTATACCTGGTAGGCAGTGGCAGTGATAAACTTCCGAGACCAGCTTATAGCTCATAGTTGGGTACCTACCTCTCTATCTACCTACCTACCTACTACAACTACCTACTTAGCACCTAGGGCTACCCTAAGCAGGAAATAATGAGCGTATAATCCCCCCGAGACCTGCTCAATGTCCTAGAGGCAATACTATGAAATCCAGCCCCATGTGATGCAACTAGAACCGGGGAATACATTCTTCTTCTATGTTTTCTGTCAAACCTGACCGGGGGTACGTCCAGCGAGTTCCGACCTGCGGGTGGACTTCCTAGCATGCACATACACACATACATATATACACACACGACTCCACGTCCTACCTGCGCCTCTCGCCGCCGACCCGGACGGTTCTAAGACTCCCATGAGTCCTATCATTTCTGCTGTGACGAGCGGCCACTTCCTGGCCAGCCGGGGCGGCCTGCGAACCCGAACCCGTGCGGGGTGGCTTCTTGTCCGTGCCAGGAGTCCTTGGTCCCGGTGGCAGTTGACGAGACGCTGCCCGGGGGCTTGACTTTCATAATATCCCTACCGCCAATGCCGGGCCCCGCGGTGCCCTGGGGCTGGGCGTGGTAGCCGTAGGCGCGAACGGCATAGTCCCTTGGCTGTTGGACGGGGGCACCGGCACCCTTGTGACCCTTGTCCTTGAGGGACAGTCTCCCAAGCGAGTCGCTCAGGGAGGAGGCGGGATTGGTGTTGGGAGGGCGGGCATTGCGACTCCCGGGGGGGTCGGCCTTGGTGCTTGGCTTGCTACTGCTAGTACGGTTGAGAGGAACGGGAGTTTTCCCACGCTTGGCCGCATTATAAGCGACACCCTTTCGGGTATAGGCCAGGCCCAAGCCGGCCACAGCGTCCGATGTAAAGGGGTTGGACCCGTAGCTCGTGGGCTGAACGGGGCCACTAGCATAGCCCGGGTGGTAACCGGAGCCGCCGCCTCCTCCTCCGTAGTATCCGGGTGGCAGTGGCGGCAACTGAGGCTCGGGCGTAGGCTCCTTAGCGGGAATATTACCGAAGCGCCAGTAGATGTTCATTTTGTCCAGAACCTCTTGGCAAGAAGGCCGCTTCTTGTTATAAAGGTCTGTTTCGCGAGGTCCGCACGGCCATACCTGGCCCTCTGCTATGACGGCCCAGTACTCGGTAGGACGACTATGCTTGTCGAGTCTTTCAGTCTTGAAGCCCTTGACGTTGTAGACGAGCATGCTCATGTCCTGGATCTCCTAATTCGCTATGTAGGTGTCCCGGTACGTCAACCATATATCGATAGCCGAGTCTTCGGCGTAGATTGCCATAGGACCTTCGATTGTCCTGAGTGTATCCTGCCCCTTTCCCTTTTTGTCGCGGACCACTATATCGTACTGGGAGGCCAACTTCCAGTCACGGTGCCGTGCTCCTTTATATGGGTATACACGCTAGTGCCATCCTATGGATGGCCCCGGGGAATGGTGGAGATGAAGACCACGCTCTTGTCGCCAGACCAAGCGGTCCAGTCCTTATTGGGCTCGCGATATACAACTACCAGGGCGGCGGCCAGGCAGGTGCCGTTCTGGGTTCGGCCAACTTCGCCTGGAAGTGCCGATATGTAAAAGGTAGTAATCCCTTGCATAGGAGAGTGCATGCTCCCAGCCCACCCGCGCTTCGATCTAGCCCCATTTTCTCCAAGTAGTAAAGCTGCCGGAACCTTTCACGTCAACGTCCGACCAGCTGACGAACTCAGGTGGGGATAAGCTTATTTCGGCGTCGTAGGGAACCGACATCGCAACGACTCGGACAGGCAACGTAAGTTGCTAATTCGATGTCAAGAACGCAAGGTTGATAATATTGATCAGAACAAGACTGCTCGTCCAGGGAGTGTTGTGGGGTGTGTGTATGTATGTGTGTGTGTATATGGGTGGGTGGGTAAAGCAACGTGTACCAGGCCTCGACTAGCGAGGGCGTCAGAGAGCAAGGAGAGAAGAAGGAATGCAATGCGTTTGTTTATGGGTATTGATAGTATTAGCATGAGAGATGTCTTCACCATCAGAGGTGAGCAATTGCTCCGACTTTATACGGGCTATGGGCTACGGGCTACGCACCAACCATAACGGTTTGCTTGAGAATTTGAGATGCCACGATTCTCACGCCCGCGGCCCGCTGGTCCTCCGGTCGTTTGCCATCCATTCGACGGTCGTAGGCATGATCAAAGACCAGGGCCTATAGGCTATTTCAGAGAGAACTCGAGAGCCGAGACAACGGTCACCAGCCCACCGTTTAGGGAGTCGGGAGTCAGGACTTAGAGATAGCACGGGCGGTTACACGGTACCGGAACGGGCCGTCTCCGCTACTTCTCCTGCATAGTGTGTACTTGCCTTATTACCTAGGAACATTGGTAGGGAGGCAGTACTAGTTAGTAGAGTAGGTACCAATAGAGGACCAGCCTGCTAGGTACCTAACCTGAAGCTGCAGTAAGAGACATAAGGACCAAGGTACCTAGGTAGGTACTTAGCCAAGGCCGCTCCGCCTACCGGGCACGCCGCGCTCGACCGTCTCTCGTCTCCGTCTCATGCCTCAACCGATCCCTATCCTGGGGCTGCCACTCTCGGGTTGTCCTCATCTTCCATACCACCGTATAGCCCGGATCAGGTGGCATCCTGGGACTGTTGGCATGTCTTGCACGGGCTGTGTGTGGGCCCTAAACTTCTGGCCTGGCACTGGCTGATTGGCCTACGCGGTCTGCACGGTCTGTACCTGCTTTGACGCAGCGGTATAGATGGTTGAAAGACCAAAAATAAAAAATCACCACCTCTCCTGCTTGTAAGTTGTCCCCCAAAAAAGAAACAAACCAAGACCGGCTGCACCGCCAACAACAACAACTACTACCAACAACTAGCCTACCAACAACTGCTACCGCAACAACTGCTACTACCAATAATGTCGCTCGACGGCGAGGTCGAGGAGCAGCTGTCCCGGCCCCCAAGTCTTACTCTTGTGCGCCTCCCCGCCCACATCCGCCATCGCATATACCTCCACACGGGCGTGGCGCGGTTTGACGGGCATGCATGCATCTATTACTTGGACGGCCGCAAGGAATCGCGCAAGGTGAAGTCGGATTTCGACCCGCCGCCGACGCGCAACTTCGCCGGCTTATTGCTATCCTGCCGCACTCTGTACACCGAAGTCGCCGCCCTACTGTATTCGGCCAACCGATTCGTCATCTTCTACTCGCACCACGGCTCCCTCAAGCCTCTCCGGGCCCTATCGCCAACCACTCTCGCCTCCTTGACCAGTCTGAAGGTCGTTCTCAACGAGTCCTCCTGCCACCAGCCCACCGACTCGTATAACCACCCCCCCAGTTGCTGCGGTTATCTCCATCCCAGGCGCAAAAGCAAATGGGCCGATGCCTCCTATTGCGCCAGCAAGTACCACCATACCGTGCATCGCCGTCCTTTGCTCGACCTGGCTATGGACCTGGACGGGCTGGACTTGGCATCGGCCAAGCGAGCAACTCAACCGATGTTAAGCGAGTGGTGCGAGACCGCAACCTATCTTTCGTCTCATGTTAGCGTCGGGCGCCTGGAGCTCTCGCTGGTTTGCGACATCGATCCCGACCATCAACATTCACTCGACGTAGGTCGGCTTGCTGTCGCCCCTATCGCTGTCTTCCCACGCCTCAAAAATTGCCATATACGACTTGGCAAAAAATGGAACCGTCCACTCCAGCGGCTCGCCGAAGAAGCCGTTCTCCAAGCCTGCCGTGCCTCCCCAAGGCCTGCTGGAACGGTATCGCCGGCCCTGACATCCCTTCCGCCCGAGTTACGTCTCCGTATCCTCGAGTATACCGACTTGATCACCCCCTGGAAAGAAGTCACATTAAGCAGACAGCACCGGGGCTACCAGATATGCCTTCCGCCTTGCACCAACAGCGAAGGCGGGTGCCCGCCTGATATCCACCATGGCTGCCGGCGAATCCATTGCAATGCTTACGTCGATATGCCCGGCGTATCTGAGCGGCCCCCAGGCTGTTTCTGCCGCCGCCGACATAGCGCCTTTACCTCCACCTGCCACTGCTGGGCGCCCCCGACCAACTTGTTTCTCGTCTGCCGCGCCCTGTGCCGGGACGCCCAGTTTGTCTTCTTTTCCGGGAACCGTTTTATCATCTACGACTTCCACGCCCTGATGCCCTGGGATCTACCCGCCGATCAGCGATATGAAGAAGCACCGGACTCGGCCGGCACCACCGCCACCACGCCGTCTTACCCGTACGAGCGTCTCCTTGCTTCCGAGTTCCTCAGAGACATCATCCCAGTCCGCTGCCTCGCCGACCTCCGCTTTCTGGAGTTGGTGTTTCCCCCTTACGTGCCCCGCGGCTGGCCCAATGGCAAACCTGCCGCGATACGGGATTGGCGTGATACGGTCGACTGGATTCGGGACAAAATCAAGGCACCGGCGCTTACCTTTCGTCTCGTCATGGTCGACTTCCATAGTGATGATATACCCAATCGCCGCCAGAATTTGACAAAGGACCAGGGACACCAGATAATCAAGGGCTACTCGTCTATTCTTTTGTTCTTGAGACCCCTGGCAAGGGACGGCGGTCTGGCGGGCTTGTCCATACAGCCCGCATACCCCTGGCGATGGAACCCGGGCGCAATCCTAAATAGTATACCACGACATCATGACTGGGTGGACGAAGCGGAGCAAGAGATAAAGGAGAATGCCGAGAAGTTTGTATTCGGGCGCAAGGATGCACCCAACAGAGCGGAGCCGAGAAAGAGCACTTGGCAACGCTGGTATGACGTGGAGTACACTTGCAGCTATATACACGGGCTGGATCCGCTGCTTGATGACAGCCTGTAATCAAGGGCTTTCACACTCGTGTCTCGCAGTCTAGGTAGTTACTTGGCAAAAGGCTGGATCCGTTGATCAAGTCCAAGGTGCTAACATTCTGCCTTGTCTGCGCCGACCGCTGGGGGACGGAATACGGATCCTGGGCGCCATCAATGCATCTCCATCGCAACTGCGCACGAGGCGTTGCGAGAAGTCCCGGACGATTCGACGGGTGTGAACCGAAGTGAAATGGGCGACGCGGCGACGCCTTCCGGCTCCCGTCGCCGGCGCGCCGTTTGTAAGCTAAGGTAGGTACTAGCGTTTCGGAGGCGGCGACCGGTCCGGGAACACGAACGGGATCGCGTCCGGCAAGCGGTCGGGTGTGCGTTCAAAAGCTTGGAAGTTAATAAGTGGGGGGGGGGGGGGGGGGGGGTACGAGCGGCCAGTCACGGGAGTTCGCGTCGTCTCTAATAACGCGTCCAATTTCGCTGCACTCTTATCCCTGACGTCTGCTGGATGGCATCTCCGTGACAGAACAGAGAGCAGCGAGCAATGTATGGAGTTGGCCTGGTTCCAGATTCCGGATTCCAGGATCACGGCAACCGACCTGAAACAATCCACGATCTATTAGGATTGGTCTCGAATTGTCTCGGATTTCCGTCAGACATGGAAGGTTCCCCGGCGTCCCCGTTGGACTATCTCCCGGTCGATATCCAGCAGCAACTGCTGCGTCAGTTCTTATTGGACTGGCCTGCAGCAATCAGTTCGCGGGACTGGTCTCGAATCTTCTCTGATTCTGCTCGAAACAAGCGGCGTTCTCCGTTAGAGAACCTCCCAGCCGAGATCCGGCGGGAAGTGCTGTTATTGTTGGACTTTCGGGAGCTGCTCGCCCTCGTCAATGCGTCTCCCGTGTTCCACGAACAGTATCTGGCAGACCACAAGTCTGTTATGTGCAGCTGGCTGCAGAGAGCCCTTGGGGACGCCGCGATTGAGGCGCGTGCTGTGCATCAGGCCGGTATAGTCGGTAGTCTAGATCCTGACTCGCCCGAGTGGCCAGATGTACTACGGCGTTTCCTCGACACATATCGGGCTCGGTCTTCCCGCGTTCAGTCGGACCGCGTGATCCCCTTCGCGGCATTGCCTAAACACGAAGTCAAGTACTTGATCTTCTTCCACCTGAACGTCATCCTACCCTTATCTCGAAGATTCACGAGCTGGGCTTCGATGAATCTGGCCAAGATGGCCAAAACCGAATACTACGCACCACTGCTCAGCAGGGCCGAAGAGACACGAGTTGTACGCGCCCTTTACCGGTTCCAGCTATGTTGCTGCCTCTTTGGCCGGGCCACGTGCGGGGATGACGAGGGATCAGATTGGGGCAACAGAGTACCTCTGTCTATGACAGGGTTTTTCGATACCATGGAGCCCTGGGAGATCGAGGAAGTGGCGTGCATCTGCGACTGGATCATGGAGGAATACGAGTATGTGTTTCGTGCCATTCAGTGGGATGTGCACCCGGACAATCCCCGGTTCAAGGACCAAGGAGGAACTAATACGTCCGACGGGTCCTTCGACTTGGAGAATGAAGGTAGGTCATCCTCGAAAAGTCCCCTACTGAAAAGGGACCGAAGCAAGAGATTACAAGCAACGGGAATGACTGACTGCGTTCTTCAGAGCACCGGAGCGATCTTCTAGTGGGTACTCTGGCTTGTGGCCTAGAGCCATTGGAAAAAGTCCTGTTCCGGACCCAAACCCACGACGATCTTGTTGCGACGATGCAAACCTACGTGGGCGACAACGGGTCTTTTGATCCAGTATGTTGTTGGTGGAAAGAACCCCAGCAGGCCAAGCGAGAGGCTGAGATCTCTTCGGGACAGAGGCTGCAGCAACGGCCGCGGGACCATAGTCCAGTGCAATGGAGCGACGATGTCGTCAAGGTCGAGAGTGGCTCACCGAATTTTGCCTGGACGTTCCTATGGAACAACACATATAGCAACCTGTACGGAGAATTCATCCCGAACAACCTCACTCACTGGGGATATGTCATGTGGGACTTCAGTAGGCTTGTGAGAATGGGCGCCATGTCAGTGTTGGACCGCAAGTGGCTGGAGCTACACAGAGGGGGGGACCCAAGAGGGCACCCAGGGGTTCCGCCGCTATAAGCAGGGAGTTTGGAAGAGGTGGTTAGTTCGTAAAGTTTGAAGGTCTGTTGAGACTGAGAACAGTTGGTGTAACATTTGGGTGTTTTGACAATTGTGCACTTGTTCGGCATGATGGCTGGGCTGATCAGTCCACTGCGTTGGGAGATTCATGGACTCCCGCCTACCTACCCTCGAGCTACCTTACCGCAGTAACGGGCTACGGTTGCAGCGGCGTATGCGGCGCTCAGATCTGACGTAAAAGTTCCCCCTTTACCGGACGGCAAGGCACTTCTATACTGATGGAAAGAACAGGTGTGTGTGATGGAAGAATGTCTATATTGACAGGAGGGTGACGTTCGTACTGACACAAGTGCACTGACGGAGGAAATGCTGCACTGATGGGATAGGTACTGTCTGTACCGACGGAGAAGTAGTGTATACTGCTGTATGCACGTCCTAACCACAGAGAAAAGTTTGTACAGACGGAGACGTTTCTGCCATGACTCTTGAGATACCACGGTACTCTAGATAAACACAGTACCTGCCGTACCAACTCTTCTCTCGGAGTGATCCAAACTGGCCTAGTATATAAGATAGTGTGCTGGCTCGGACTACCGGCGGTATCCCCCTTATAAGGCAACGTATTTGATGATAAGCAACCCGTGATGGTTTCCGATTTCTCAATACACGCTGTAAGCCAGGTAATTCAGCGATTCCACTGTGTTTTGTCACCTTCTGTACAATACTATAGCGTACATGTAATGTACATATACAAAATGGCTACCGGATACAACTAGTGCCGCAGGCCACAAGCGAACGGCTAACGACGTCATTCTCGACCCACGTCCCGTTGAACGAGACCAAAGTGGAGACCCGCTCTCGATTTAAACTTCAGCTATTACATCATCCACTTTCGCATCGCCAACGCCGACGGGAAAGCGGCAACTGCAGAGTCAGACCAAGCCGGACATGGCTCCTTTCAGCCCATTGAATCCTTACCCATGGCTTGGTGTCAGCTCCGTTTGTGCGGATCTCGGAAAAAGAAGAAACTAGCACCGTTATTAGTCTGTAAGCTACGTAGGACAAGACAAGCATTACCTGCGATGCCCAAGCTGTGCTGTGCTACAGGTTGTAGCAGGCTGAGAACTATGGGTATGATGACATGGCCCGCCTGGCTTGCAGAGGGTTTCCGGTTTCACCTGCCCATATCAGTGCCCAGTTATTGTGACCTTGTCGACCTCTCCATCACTGATGCAACCTACACAGTAGGTAGGGTAGCCAGGAGACTATTGCTGCACACCATCCATCCTACGCTATCTCTCTCTGTCTTTCGTTTATACAGCTCGAGAACCCACCGTGACCATGAACACAGACGAGAAAGTCTACCCTTCCGGGCAGCACTACTCGGGGACTAACCGGATCCCCAACATCAAGCAGTTCGTTGAGGGTCTGGACCGCGACAAGAAGGACCGCGACGCCAAGATTGACGCCGAGCTCAAGTCGCATACCCAGCAGCATGGCCAGGTTCAGGACCAGAAGCCGGCCGACGGCGACCACCACCACCGCCAGCTGCAGCAGCAACAACATCAACAGCAGCAGGAGCAGGAGCAAGAGCCGGGGCAGCAGCAACAGGAGAAAAAGGGAGGAAAGAACCGGCGCACCGTGTGGGACCCCGTCACGAAAAAGGAAGTCGAAATCGAGGATATCGACACCCACCACATGAAGGCGTCGGAGGACCCGATGGTAAAGCCTATGAACCTCCCTCCTCTCCCCTTTTAAGTCCTCTAAAGATGTACGCAGCCGCTGACATCCTTCGGCGACAGTTAACCATCCCCAATGCAAACCTGGGCAAAGAAACCACCAAACAGACCAAAGCCTCGCAGTCGGGCGAGGAGTATCGCGTCGCACAGGATGTGACGGCGCCTCCGGACCCCAAGGCCGAGGGCGCGACGTCAGACGTGCCGATCCACGGCGAGAAGACCAACGTCCTCTTCCACCCGACGCCGAGCGTCAGCTACGAGCCCATGTTCGCGTCCATCGAGGCGCGGGCCAACATGCTCTGCGGCGGCGTGTTCCTGGCCGTGGTGCTGGTCGGCAAGGCGCTGGGGGGTGGCAGTCTGTGGGCGCTGGTCCCGCTCGCGGCGGCCGTGTCGTCAGGCGTGTTCCTGTGGGCGAAGGAGCTGGTCCGCCAGGGGCGGGCGACGGAGTGGAGCGCGGAGCAGAAGCGGGGCAAGACGGCCGTGGTGAACTTGATTCCGGAGTCGGTCGAGTGGCTGAACGCGCTGGTGGGGCTGGTCTGGGGCCTGATCAATCCGGACATGTTCGCCGCCGTGGCCGACACGCTCGAGGATGTCATGCAGGCGAGCTTGCCCGGCGTGATCGAGCACGTGAAGGTCAACGACATCAACCAGGGGAGCAATCCGCTGCGGATTCTGAGCTTGAGGGCGCTGCCGGACGCGCACGTGCAGGACCTGAAGGAGGAGATCCACCGACGGGACATGAAGGTGAAGGATCCGCAGGAGCTGGCGGCCGAGGAGGAAGGGGGCGACTTCTACAACCTCGAGGCGACCGTCGCGTACCATTCGCTGCCCTCGTCGGGGGACGTGTCGTCCAAGGCGAAGAACATGGGCATGCAGCTGATCTTCTATCTCGGCGTCAAGGGCTTCTTCGGCATCCCGTTTCCGATCTGGGTCGAGCTGAACCGGCTCGTGGCGACGGTGAGACTGCGGGTCGCCCTGGCGCCGAACCCGCCCTTCGTCAAGACGCTCAGCTTCACGCTGATGGGCCTGCCCAAGGTCGAGGCCGGCTGCGTCCCGCTCGTCGAGAAGGGCGCCAACGTGCTGAACCTGCCACTCATTTCCAACTTTGTCAACTGGGCCATCGCCGCGGCGGCCAACATGTACGTGGCGCCCAAGTCCATGACGCTCGACGTCGGCAAGATGCTGCAGGGCGACGACATCAAGAAGGACACGAACGCGCTGGGCGTGCTGTTCATCCGCATCCACAAGGCCACGGGGCTCAGCAAGCAGGACAGCCGCGGCAGCGAGGGCGGCGGGTCGGACCCGTACATCTGCGTGTCCTTCTCCAAGTTCGGCAAGCCCATGTACTGCACGCGCGTCATCCAGGACGACCTCAACCCGGTCTTCGAGGAGAGCTGCGCGCTGGCCGTGACGCCCGAGGTGCTCAAGGCCGACGAGCAGCTGTCGCTCGAGCTCTGGGACAGCGACCGGTCGTCGGCCGACGACGTGGTGGGCAAGGTCGAGCTGAGCATCCAGAAGCTGATCCAGCACCCGGGGAAGATGTTCCCGCAGGTGTCGCAGCTCCGGGGCGTCAAGGCCGAGAGCTCCATGCCGGGCCAGCTGCACTGGGAGGTCGGCTTCTTCGGCAAGACGCAGTTCCGGCGCGCCCTGCTCACCGACGGCCGCGACCCCAGCCTGCCGCCCGAGCTGCGCGACAAGAAGGAGCTGCAGGACGATAAGGGCAGCCTCGAGACGAGCGAGGAGAACGCCGTGGTGCGCACGCCGCCCGACCCGCTCTGGCCGAGCGGCATCCTCAGCGTGGTCGTGCACCAGATCGTCAACCTCGAGTTCGAGAACGTCAAGGGCTCGCGCGGCGGCAGGCGCACGGGCATCCGGGAGTACGAGCCCGCGCGCCCGGAGGCCGGCGAGAACAAGGAGGAGCAGGGCAAGAAGCTGCCGAGCGCGTACTGCACCATCCTGGTCAACGACGAGCTCGTGTACAAGACGCGCACCAAGGTGGTCTCGTCGCGCCCCATCTTCGAGGCCGGCACCGAGCGCTTCGTGCGCGACTGGCGCTCGTGCATCGTCACCGTGACCGTCCGCGACTCGCGCAACAGGCAGCACGACCCCATCATCGGCGTCGTCCCGCTCCGCCTGTCGGACGTGCTGCAGACCAGCAGCCAGGTCACGCGCTGGTACCCGCTGGACGGCGGCATCGGCTTCGGGCGCGTCCGCATCAGTCTGCTCTTCCGCTCGGTCGAGCTGCGCCTGCCGCCCACCCAGCTCGGCTTCGGCGAGATCGGCACCTTCGAGTTCACCTCAGACAGCATCAGCACGTCGGGCTACTGCCCGAGCGAGCACACCAAGATCCGTCTCCGAACAGGCGGCAGTTCCGCCTCGGTCTCGGGCAGAGTGTGCCGCAGGGCCGACGACGACGGCAACGGCCTGACCTGGGACATCAGCGGCTCGCCGGAGAGCCACCCCAAGTCGCGCCGCATCCGCCTGCCGGTGCGGTACCGCTACCGCTCGCCCGTCTTCTTCGAGTTCCACCCGACCGGCAAGCGCCGCAAGACCGACATCTTCGCCTCCATCTGGCTGCAGGACGTGCCCGACGCCGAGGAGAAGGACTTCGACCTGCCCATCTGGCGCTGCAACAACGGCATGCGCCTCTCGCAGAACTACATCACGCAGGACAACGTGCACTCGGTGCCGGACCTGCAGATCGAGGAGGTCGGACGGCTGCGCTTCCGCGGCCGGTTCAAGCCCGGCACGGACCGGGACCACCTCCGGTTCGTGAGCGACGACAACTCGCGCGAGACCATCGAGACGTGGGAGGCCTGCTTCTCGGAGGGCGTCCGTGCCGAGCACGTCCACCCAGAGGTGCCGCCCGTCGTGCAGCAGCTGCATGAGGAGAGCCTGACGCACGGGAGGGATGTGTTGGCCATGGCGCCCGAGGAAGATAAGAAGAAGTGGCTGTCCAGGGATGGCGCCGAGTGGAGCGGTGCGTTCGGGGAGGATCCGGCTGCGCTGTTAAAGAAGGAGGAGAATGGGCAGCGGCGGGGTTTCGACGTCGACGGGGTCAATGGACCGGGGGAGGAGGAGAGCAGCGATGATCATGACGATGATGATGATGATGACGACTACGATGACAACAACGAAGAGGTTGACCTGGGCGTCAACGACGCTACTTATGATAAGGGAAAGCAGCGACAGAGGACGGAGCAGGACAGTGATGATCGGGGCGGCGAAGGGAACTATACCTGGAAACAGGACCGGGACCGGGGCAACCACGGCGGGCGCGAGTCAGTGGACAGCGAAGGCACCCGCGCGACTAGCAAGTCGAGCAGCAGCAAGAACCCCATCAAGATATACAAGGACTACCGCAGCCGGAGCCGGGACTTGCACCGGAAGCAGCGGGGTTTGATGCAGTGGTAGGCTCTTAGGCTCTTATTCTGTCGTTACTCGACTGGAATCAACTGGATGCTGACTGCAAGCAGGAGACCCATGCGGAATGTCCAGTTTGCTAAGGACGAGGCCGTCTTTGCTGCGAGGAGGGTCATGAAGATGGGCAGTCTCAATGGCCGGAAGCCGGACGTTGAGACCGAGGTTTGAGGTGAAGAGCGATCTCAGGGTGTACGACTAATGTCGGGGATAACATTTCCCATGTCTTGCGTTCTGCTATGGTCGGGAAAGGAGGTCGATGGCACAAAGAAACAAATGTGCGAGTAATGCGAGACTGGTTGGATGATACCTAATAATCATATTTTTCTGTTAGGCAAGGGCAGGATCGTACAGGTAGTTGTTGCGCTCGACGAGTTCAATGTCAAAGGCGGGTTCAATGTTGAAGTTGAAAAAGGAGATAAATGCCAAGCCTCACAGGCAGTGCAACCATAGCCCACTTCAGCCCTAACCCTGCGTTCCTAACAAACTTGAATTCATGTTTGAACCCGACGTCATAGACCACTTCTTCTATCACGAGCACCTCGTGGGTTCATGAGCCTCGCCCCGAGACATGCCACTCTTGATACTAAACAGAAAGTTCATCTGAATTGCATTCTTTGAACCTCGGTAACCATCTTCACAAAGTCTTCACTGCTTGCCACTGGCACAGCCCTGTCTACATTCGACGAGCTCTCCGGTTGGACCTTCTCGAAACACCTGGCGAAAGATCAACACTCAACCCACCGACCAACCGAGCAACCTTTATAACCGGCAACCACACCCTTGTGGTTTTACCTACCAGACCTCAGAACGCTCGCAAATATGCCTTATCTATCTCCCTACTCTCCACGGAAACGGCGTTCCGCCCGCCTCGTGGCAGTCTGGATGCTCACCTTCGTCTTCATCGTCTGGATGACCTGGTACATCTCGACCCGGCACCGGGAGAAAGCGAAGCCGATCGTCGACGAATTCCTCCGGCCGGTGAAAGTGCCGGGCGAGGGCGGGGAAGCGGGAGCGGGAGCGGAGGGTGTTGGTCACTGATGAGTTGGGGGCAGTGAAGCCTTCCCATCTTGGGTTTGGGTGCGGTTATGGAATTGAGATGTTGGGCGAATCTTGCCTTGCAATGTGGGACGGTATCATATCCTTGCTGTCTGAGGTCTAGAGTACTAGCTGATCTATATTGCGTAGGCGTTGGAAGTAGGCTTGCGCTACGGACTGCGGGAGGTTATGTCCTAGAACAATGCCAGGAGCCACCAGTTACAGATAATCAAACCGGGAAGGAGGATAATAGGCGCATCTGCCATAGGCATACCCGAACTGGTCTGGACGGCATCCCAACGGCCCGGAAGAACCAGCCAGTCAACTGGGTGGGTTGATAGCTTCAAGGGCGCACTGGTTCAACATTTCAACCCATGGCAATGGCGGAAGGACAAACAGTCCCGGCTGGGCCGCATCACATAAATCACACACACATCAGCACAATGCATTTCGACATCCTGACTCAGCCAGGACATCTCCCTCTACGCCTTACCTTTGACGGGACAACAACTAAGCTCAACAACCGTGTCAGTACAGACTCAAACTCATATATTCAACGAAAGAGAGGGTTGATGCACCTTTGTATCCCCTGATTACCAACCCTATACGCCAGTCCCACACAGTCATCTCCTCCCCACCTCCCACCTAAGCCAACCGTACACCCGCCTTCCTCTCCTTCTTGGTCTGATGCGACGTAGCCGAGCTCATACCCACATTCTGGCTGGCGTCCAGCATGCTCTGCGCCATGCGCCTCTTCTCCTCCGCCAACTTCTTGAGCTTCTTGTCCGTCTTGCCCTTGCCGCTGCCCTTGCCATGGAACTGATGCGACAGCTCCTTGAAGGCTTCCTTGGCGTCCAGCGAGCGCCCGTTGTCGTCCACATACTTGAGCTCCACGCTGGGGCGGTATCCTTCCCGGAACAGTGCATCGATGACCCGCGACTGGTGCTGGTCGCGCAGCGTGTTCTGCTGGCGCTGCCACTCCTCGCGCTCGCGCACCGACATGCGCTCCAACCGGCCCGAGGCGCGGTCCCGCTCGCGCTGGGCCTTCGTCTCCTGGTCGAAGAGGTCCATCCGGCGGCGGAGCTCGTTGAGGAAGCGCTGGCGCTGGCGGAACTGCTCGTTGAGCTCGGCGCCTTTGCCTTCTTCGATCAGGTGGCGGTCGCGAAGCAAGGCCAGTGTTGCGCCGAGGCCTTGGTCGACTGTCTTTTCTTCCTCGACACCGATCGGGGGCAACTCGGCGAGGGGCGAGGTGTCGCGGGAGCCGACAGGGTGGCGGTCGGCATCGTGCATCTCTTCGTCTTCGGAGGACTCGTCGTGCATGGTTGTGACTGGCGCTTCCGCAGACTTTGATCTGCGCGGTTTACGCTCTTCTTCGGCTTCTGCGCGTAACCCATCGACGAATCTACTGATTTCGTCCATGACGATGCCCGATTCTTCCTGCGGCTGCCCATCTGCTTGGGCGGATTCTTCCCGTAGCTGTCTTGCGATATCCTCCGGCCGCATCTTCTTCCGCTTCTTCAGCGCCTCTCTCCTTTGAAGAGCTAGGGACGACTGGAGGTCGTCATCATCGACGAAGGTGTCGTCGACTACTTTCCTCTTTTTCGTAAAGGCGGCAGCACCGGAATCAACTTCCATTTCTTGGGGAGGCCCACCGTCGCCAGTGTCTCCCGGAAAGAGAATATCGTCGTCATCGGCCCGACGTTGCCTTGTCGACTTGGACTTCTTCTTGGGCTTCTTGACCTTGACCTCTGACGGGTCGAGATAGTCGGAAGTCGGCGCAGGCGCGTCTTCTGTTCTGCCGGTTAGCTCAAATCCGGAAGTGCCAATGCGTGCTTCGCAGGGTTGCTCACCGAGAATATCGATGTCCACCGCCTGGCGTTTCCTCTTCTGGACCGGCGCCTCAAGGATATCGCCCAGCTCCGCCGCAGTCGCAGCCGAATCTAATGTGAACGCCTTCTTCTTCTTCCCGTAGATCTCTTCGTCGTATTTTGATAATAGGCCAATTTCCCCCGTCTCATCCACGTCGTTCGGGTCGTAAACGGGCCTCTTCTTTTTCAGTTCGAGTTTCTCCTGTAGCTTCTCCTGTTCGCGCAGCGCCAGATTCTCGAGCTCGTCACCCTCATCCTCGTTTTCCAACACGCCAGTGTCCTTGAGCGTAAGGATCTGATCCTCGCCCCCGAGGAAGCTGGCCATGTCATGCGCGACCTTGACGCCGGCCAGGTCAGCAGCCGTGTGCTCGGCAGCCTTGGCAGCTTCGGCGGCAGCTTTCTCCTCCTCCGCCTTGCGGGCAGCCTCAAGTTTCTTCTGCCGCTTCTTCTGATTCTTCAGCCATGACTTGACGTCGAGGTCGTCGTCGTCGTCGGCCAACCCCTTTCCCTCGACAACAGCCGATCGCTGCGCAAGCTCGCGGGCTTTCTTGATCGCAGCCGCCTTCTCTTCGCGTCGCTTCTTGGCGTCTTCCGCTTCTTGTATTTTCCTGAAATTCTCATAGGCGGCGGCTTCGCGGGTTTCCAGGGTGCTGACAGGCTGACCATCGTCACCGACCTCCGGTTCTGGCGTCGTCTCGTCGGGAGGTGGCGCTGCTCCAGGGACTGGCAAAGGCTTCATGCCATTTGCCACCCGGACCTTGTTGATCTCCTCAATCGCTGCAGCGTCCATTTTGATGTTGAGTGCTGGCCGATGTCGAATTGGGGACTGAAACGACCTTTACTGTGTATTGATGTTGAGCGCAAGGCGGGTTGCGGCGAATCCAAGACATGCAGGAAATGAGGCTGGCAGATGCGCAAGTCAGCGCGACCGGGTACGGCCCGCAGTGGCTGAGTGGCAGCTGAGCGATAAGATAAGCTAAAAACGCAAGGCCGACTTTGGCCCCACTTCCCAAAAAATTCCGCAGCTATTTAGTGAACGCGAGTTTGGAAAGCTTCCTCTTTCTCTTCTCTTTTCTCTCTTCAAGGACCTGTGCCCAGCGATCCTCTGCCACCTCGGTGGTCAGGGTCGATTGCTGCGGCAGTTCGGTGAACCAAGGAGCCATCAACCTCTCATGATGTCAATTTCCACCCGACAGGTCCAAGATCGACCGAACTCCGGGGAGCCACGTTCGCTGTAAAAGGCTTGAGCGTGGTCAACCGGATGATTTAGGAGATGCCATATTCCAAGCCGTTCGCCGAGACCGTTGGTTAATGGGGCTGGGGGAAACCATGGCTATGCTACATTTCTGCAATTCCTCGCGTAGGAGCTGTCTGGGCGACCCGTATGTGTCGTCCATGCCCATACTCGCTCATTGATCGTCACGTTCCAGGTTGTCGAGCTTGGGCACCTCATTCTCTTAGTGGGCGGACCGACTATTCCGAGGATTGCCTGTTTTCCCTTGGGCGCGAAGCTGGACAAGAGAATAGGACCGATGACGGTCTGATGCCATGCGCGTCGTGGCCCGTGGTGATGCAGTAAGGTGGGAGTCGGTGGATGTGTCGGTGCTTCTCGGCGGAACCAGGCCTCGATCTCGTCATGGCAGAGCGTGTTGCGTTCTCCAAGAGGTCTTAGTCTCGAGACCATGGCGTGCTATGCACTCCGCAAGCAGTACATGGCTGAACACCTGCATACGTACTGTACTAATAATGGCATTGACGTCGTCGTCCTGAGCCTCGGCGCGAGCTACCATTTTGGTTGCAGCTGCCGTATGGGGCCCCGCTTGACAGTTTGGTCCGCTGGGTGCCGAGGCGGGGCCGGCAGTCGTCTCCAGGTCCTTAGGTGACCAACAACGGCCCGATTTCTTGATGCGATCGGGCATGGGAGCCGCGCTCGGCGTTGACTGCATGGTTCGAACTCCGAAGGAAGGATGTACTGAGTATACCTCGGCTAGATTAGATGGAAGCGAATGGCTGCATTCATGTGCTGTTTGAAGACATGTGTGCACCCGACCTTGCAACTTACAAGCAAAGCAGCTGTCACGCCGTGGCTTTTAAAACATGCTGGTAACGACCGGCGACTTCCGTCTCCACCTAACCTTCAACCTGCACAGTCGACCCAAACCGTAGCGTACAGTTGCATCCGCCATCTTCGTCCGCATTTCTTCAGAGTATATCCGTAATTCCTCTCTTCTGTGAGTCCGTACCTGAGCAAGGGTGTCGGAGTTCGAACCATTGCCATGTCCGCCTTGCTTGTCTGGCCTCCATGTCCGATTGGTTCCTCGCAGTTGTCCGGAGAGCGCCGTGACACGCTCCCTTGGGCTCATCCCGTCCCCCACACTGCAGGTCGATCGGTCAGTCTGGGGTACACGTGTAACAGTGCTTGTGACACCACACCGCTGCACCCCATACCTACTTACCTACACTATGTATCCCAGGCCGACGGCAGCACGTCGGTGTTTCTCAATTCCTCGCTTCCAAGGTTCGCGTCCCGGTTCTTAGCAGGGCCGATCGAGCGCCCTCTTTCCCGGGCCAATCTCTCACACGCAGCCAAGTATAGCCATCTCGACGTTGCACTGGGGCAACGCGCGACGGCGTGAGACTCATTTGTTGAAGAAACACCGAACGCTAATAAGCGAGTTGTACGACACTGCACTTGGATCTCGGTCCTAGCCCCGCATCCCACGGCATCCGTTCCCGACACAGCGCGACTTTTAGACTGAACCGCAGTCCGGCTCTTGCCGAGCCCAATGCGGAAGGAGGGTGGACATCACGGGCAGGACGCTGTTGTTGTGTTGGTACTGAGGCGGGTATAAGAAAGGGGTGATCTCCAAGCTCCATGATGGACGTGGCACTGCACGCTCAGGATTACCTGGCATCGTTCAACGCATCCGGCCTCATCCTGCCCGCCATGCACGCCCTCTCGTCGCTGTTCGTCCTGGGCACTTGCGCCGTCCAGGCTGCCCTGGGCCTGCCCGACGCCGCTCTCCGCGCAAAGCGGGAGGGCGCCATCCTCAAGCGGTCCGTCGACTCGTTCGTCCAGACCGAGACGCCGATCGCTTGGAGCAAGCTGCTCTGCAACATTGGCTCCAACGGCTGTGCTGCTTCCGGGGCTGCGGCCGGCGTGGTCGTCGCAAGCCCTTCCAAGTCCGAGCCCGACTGTAAGTGCTTCTCTTTCCCGTAAGGGTTAAGTGGTGGCTCGAGAACCCTTTGCATGGCGTACTGATGGGGGTCGCACAGACTGGTACACGTGGACGAGAGATTCGGCCCTGGTGCTGACGGGCATCGCGGATGCCTTTGCCCAGAACTACTCGGCCTCCCTGCAGAGCACCATCCAGAACTACATTGCCGCCCAGGCCAAGGTCCAGGGCGTGTCGAACCCCTCGGGCAGCCTCTCGGACGGTGCTGGTCTCGGCGAGCCCAAGTTCATGGTCGACCTCAGCCAGTTCACCGGTGCTTGGGGCCGGCCGCAGAGAGACGGCCCGCCTCTCCGCGCCATCGCCCTCACGCGGTATGCCAGGTGGCTGATCAACAACGGGTACACGGCCACGGCCGCGGATGTCGTGTGGCCGGTCATCAAGAACGACCTTGCCTACGCCGCTCAGTACTGGTACAATACGCCCTAATCTTGTGTCTTGTCTTCGGAGTGCTAACTCTCCCCTAGGAACCAGACCGGCTTTGATCTCTGGGAGGAGGTTCCTGGCAGCTCGTTCTTCACCATTGCCAGCACTCACCGGGGTCAGTGCCGCTCGCTGCATGTGCTCGAGTGATCGCAAACTGACAGGGAACAGCTCTGGTCGAGGGCGCCTACCTTGCTGCCCAGCTGAACACCACATGCAACGCTTGCATTACCGTGGCCCCGCAGGTCCTGTGCTTCCAGCAGACCTTCTGGTCGGCATCTGGCAGCTACGTCGTTTCCAACAGTAAGCTTATCCTCTCCGTGGTTGGATAGCGGCGCAGCCCTTAACTAACAGCGAGCTGCAGTCAACACGGGCACCTCCCGGTCGGGCAAGGATCTCAACTCGGTCCTGACCTCCATTCACACCTTCGACCCGGCCGTCGGCTGCGATGCCGTCACCTTCCAGCCCTGCAGCGACAGGGCGCTGGCTAACCACAAGGCGTACGTCGACTCGTTCCGCTCCGTCTACGCCATCAACTCGGGCATTGCCCAGGGCAAGGCCGTTGCCGTGGGCCGATACTCGGAGGATGTCTACTACAACGGCAACCCGTGGTACATCGGCAACTTCGCAGCGGCCGAGCAGCTCTACGACGCCATCTACGTCTGGAAGCAAGCGGGCTCCATCACCGTGACCCAGCTGTCTCTGCCCTTCTTCAAGGACCTGATCCCCTCCATCGCCGCAGGCACGTACGCCAAGGGCTCGTCCACCTACCAGTCCATCCTCGACGCCGTCTCCGCCTACGCCGACGACTTCATCAACGTGGCCGCCAAGTACACGCCCGCAGACGGCTCGCTCGCCGAGCAGTTCGACCGCAACACGGGTAAGCCCATCTCCGCCGCCGACCTGACCTGGTCCTACTCGGCCTTCCTCTCGGCCGCCGAGCGCCGCGCCGGTATCGTGCCTGCGGGCTGGAGCGCCGAGAACGGCAAGACGCTCCCCAGCTCCTGCTCGCCCCTCGCCGTTAGGGGCACCTACGCCGCCGCCACCAAGACGTCCTTCCCGGCCAACCAGACGCCCAACCCGTCGGCCGCCCCGGCCCCTTCCCCGTTCCCGACGAACTGTGCCGACGCCAGCGAGGTGTATGTCACCTTCAACGAGCGCGTGGCCACTCAGTGGGGGGAGAGCATCAAGGTGGTGGGTAGCGTGGCCGAGCTGGGCAGCTGGAACGTGGCGGACGCCCCGGCGCTGTCGGCGAGCGGCTACACGAGCGAGAATCCCATATGGAGCGCCACGGTGCCGCTGCCGGCCGGGCAAGCGGTGCAGTACAAGTATGTCAAGGTCGGGTCCGACGGGAAGGTGACCTGGGAGTCGGATCCGAACCGCAGCTTGACGGTCCAGAGTGCCGCCGGTCAGTGTGCGGCTAGCCTGACGGTGAATGATAGTTGGCGGTAAGGGGGGATGCGAGGATTGGATGGTCGGGCCTATGATAGATTTATGACGGATCAGATCAGGATTTATGGCTGGAGAGATGAGTGGTTAGAATGGAATGATAACATGGAGATGGATATGTGCATCGAAAGGCCGACATACTAAGAACGCTTGAGTGTACTTTTCATCGTTCACCTTCCGCGTTTCACACTGGCTTGAGAAACTTCAAAGGTCAGCATAGCAGGGCTAGCCCCTAACATCATGCCGCCCTCCGCCCAAACTTCATACCGAGTCGTCTCACTTCGCATCTCCGTCACCTCGGGCCCCATCCACCCCTTTCTCCCCACCCAAACAAATCCTCTCCAACTCGTCCATAACAACCTGCACAGCCCACTCCAGCATCTCCCCAAACTCAGCATCCTCCTTCCCTTGATTCGCAGCCATTGCCCGAATCCCCTCGCGCCTCAAAACACCCTCATCCAACCTGCCGCCCTCCACGACCCCCTCGACAAACATCCAGCGATGCGCCGCCGCATAGTTGGGCCACACAATCTTCTCCACGTAGCCCGGAGGGTCCTTCCAGAATCCTTCCAGCGTGACATAGCCGTCGCGCGCCTCGCGCCGCTGCAGCGCCTTTTGTTTGCTCACCTGTAGGAAGAGCTTGATGTCCAGCAGCGAGGTCACGCGGCAGAGGGGTTGCGGCTGCGGGGAGAAGAGGAGGAAGCCGTCTAGGATGCACAGGCGCGTATTTTTCTTGTTCCTGTTCTTCTTCTTCTTCTTCTCTTCTTCGTTGTCGTCCTGGTTTTGAGGGGTGGGTTGTGAATCATTCTCGTTGCTTTCACCTGCTGATGATCGTGGTGGTGGAGGGGGAGAGGAGAAGATGAGAGAGCCCGGTTGGCCTGGGGCAAGCCAGGCGCGGACTTTGGCGGTGCAGTGTGCCAGCCGGGAGGGGCTTATTGGGCTCGGGCCGACGGAATTCTGGTCTTCCTTGGAGATGAGGGAGGCCTGTATTCGTCGGGCGGGCATTGTTGTGGTGAGCGAACTTCTTGACGATGATGATTTTCCCGAGGAGGGCAATGAGGTAAAGGAGGAGGAGGAGGATGCGAGGGGAGTTCGTGGTGAGGATGGTGGTGGTGGTAGGGGGAGAGGAGAGGAGGTGCAGCCGTGGCCACTGCGATGGGAGAGGCGCGATGTGGACGAGCAGGGGTTGGTGTCGGAGGATGGGGTAGTAGTGGTGTTGGGCACGATGCTACTGACTGGTGATGAGCCCGTCTCGCGGATGTGGGTGAGGGCGGCTTCAAGGTCCGGGATGGAGATCGCTTCCGGGCAGTCCCAGTCGAGGAGGCCATCCTTAATCGGAAGTCTTCGGGGCTATGTGAGCCGACAGCAGCCGGGAACGAATAGCGAGGGCGAGCGCGAGCTTACTCCGACTCTGGCTTATAGAAGTCATCTTCATGGAGAATGAAGGTCTCGGGGAAGATGTCGCGGAGCAGTCGTGCGAGAGTCGTCTTGCCGCTCGACGAACAGCCGCTGATGCCGATTAGAATCGTGCGTGGCTGCTCCATTTCGAGCCTTAAGACTTTTCAGGTCAGTTAGGCAATGGTCTACAGTCAAATGCCAGAACAGGGACTTACGGTAGTGTCATGAGCCTATCATCGGAACCGTGAGCCGCAAGTGAGTGAGTGAGACAGTGAGTGAGATTGAGAACCGAGTGGGGTGATGAGCCCCGTCGGCCGATGGTCGTACTTTACACAGTGTGTGCTTCCAGGTGAAGTGACAAGCACTACGGAGTACAGCAACGTCTCGATGCCAGACAGTTATCGGGATTTCATCTCGGTAGACAGGAGACCTACAGACGAGGAGATTCAAAAAGAGTTCTTGACCTGAGCAAATTGTACCTGAAGTGAGCGAATATCTGCAGGACTTTGAAGTGTGCAAGGCACTTCGTACAGTGTGGGTGACATCCATCTACCGGATCCCCTGACCGTATACAGATGCCGCCCTCTATCGGGATATGGCAAAGAAAGATGAGGTTCTGTATCCTATACGTCGCGTCGTGTTAGATTCTATGAATGAATATGGGAATGGACGACCAACTAATAAGAAGCTGTTGATGTATTGTACACCGGTTGAATAGGATGCGGAGGACCTCCAATCGCTCGGCCGGTATGTGGACCGTGCGCTTGACGCTCCCTAGCAGTGCCTAGTAGGTGAGCGAGGTCAAGTCACGGCACACAGATTTCCAGAGCACTACTAGTATCAAGCTTTACTATTACCCACCCTGACTGAAGCCATCGCCAGCTACACGCCCATCAATATACGCAGGGACTTGGTGCTGCGTTCTCTGCTGTGCTCGTAACCCCCCTTAGACTACAACGCCATACCGGATTACTATGCGGCCCGTCCACGACATCCTGTTCGGACGAAACTTGCCCTAGGACCCTTGAAACAATTTCAGGTGCTTCGAAGCGCAAATGGTCGCCTTGTGACCTGGAGAGACTCGGCCAGAAATGCGGATTAGGATTGCTCCTTCTGTAAGTGCTGAGTGTTTCTCACTGCACCGGCCGTTGCTGACAGCAGTGGCTAGGGCATCCGTATAGGGTTAAACACCGTAAATTTACCAACACGTCATCGTTATCTTATCAGGGTCGCGGCAGGTTTAGAAATCCACGATCCTGGGTTACATCAACGCCGATTCCACGATATCACACCTTCATACAGCTCTACACGCTTTCCCACACCAACCGTCGCCTCTCCTGCCACTTTAACTCCGGCCGCAATGTCAGAAATGACTTCGGCGGTGGTCATAACCACCAGCATCGTCGCGCTCCTCTCGGGCTTCGGGCTCGGCGTATACTCAACCCGCGGCTGGCTCATATCCCCCGATCTGAGGGCCGAGCGCGAAGCCAGTTTCAAAGACCCAGTCGAGAGCGAAGAGTCGGACGTCGACGAGGAAGACACCGTACTGGACCACGCACCCAACTGGGCCAACGGCGAGGAGGCCGACCGCCGCCAAGGGCTGCGCGCATCAGCCCAATCACAATCGCAGCCACTGTCACAATCACAATCGGGGAGGCAGTCCCTCAACATCAACCCAAACGAGGAGTGCAAGCTTGTATTAGTAGTCAGGTCTGACTTGGGCATGACCAAGGGTTAGTCCTTTCTCTCCACCCGCCTTCCGCACTCCAGACCTGGACCTAACCCTGTCTTTTGTTGCAAAAGGCAAAATCGCCGCGCAATGCTCGCACGCCACGCTGGCATGCTACAAGACACTCCTCCGCGCCGCGCAACGGGACCCGCAGTGCGCCGAGGCCAAGATCCTGCGGCAGTGGGAGCGCATGGGGCAGGCCAAGATCGCCGTGCAGGTGAAGAGCGAGGACGAGCTGCTCGAGCTGATGGGTAAAGCACGGAGCCTGGGCGTGACGGCCGAGGTGATTGCCGACGCGGGGAGGACACAGATCGCCTCGGGCAGCCGGACGGTGCTGGGCGTTGGGCCAGCGCCCAAGAGCATGGTTGATATGGTCACGGGCCATTTGAAGCTCTTGTGAATGGGCAAGGTTGAATGGGGTAATATAAAAGGGGCTTAATCAAAAGGGCAATTAAGAGTTGTTAGTGTTTAGTAAAGCGGGCGGGAATCTCCACGGAGCGGCTCAATGTTGGTAGATACCTTACTTAGACCGGGTCTGTCTTCAGGCCAAGGCACATATGGCGAGACGGCGACCAGGCTTCTGACGGGCGCAGGTGTCTCGATTGATACCATGGATATCACATAGCCCGACGCCTTGATCGTGTGCAAAGTTTTGGGCAGCAGCTTGCTGGGCCATATACCACAGCACACCGCATGCCCAATGCATTATTGGGGTATCATTCTCTTCTAATCCTTCCTGGCAAACCTCGCCAGGGCCGGCCCCAGCTCGGCCTGTCGCTCCTTGTGTTTCTCGTCCTTCTTCTCTTGCATCTCCTTGTACATCTCCTCCGCCTTGAGCCTCTTCTCGTCGATGATATTCTTCTTCCGCTGCTTCCGCAGGTACTTCTTGAGCGCGGTGTTCTTCCCCCTGGCCCGGTTCCTGATCTCCTGCGCAATGTCCACCGCTGGCGCGTCTAGGTCCCTGTCGGCCTGCCGTTGCTTCTCGGACCGCAGGTCGAGGTTGCCGATGAAGTTGGGGTCTAGCGCGATCATCTCGGGCTGCAGCTTGTTCAGCAGGCCCTTGATCTCGCCCTCTTGCCGCTGCTTCTTGGTCTCGAACGGGTTCACCTCGAGCGCGTCGAAGTTGGCCTCGCCCGCGCCCGGAATCACGATGGACGAGAAGCCCTGGTTGTGCCCGATGCCTAGCACGTCTTCGAACGGACACCACCGGACACGCTCAATTGATTGTCCTTCGCCTCCCCAGGCCATGTAGGGGCTTTGAACTTTCTCCTGGACTGGCTTCTCTTTTGAGAAGAGACCCTTCCAAATGGTCGTCTTTGTCCCCCAGCCAACGGCCGTCAGCCCCGTATCCGATATAGCCACGGATGACGCTGGTGACCTGGTGAAGTAGCTGGAGACTGCCTCCTTGAAATTGCGAATGTCCCAGATGGCCATCCGGTTGTCCTGCCCTGCCGACACCATGTACCGCCCCTCCCGGTCGACTGCGAGCGACCGTACAGGGCCTCTGTGAGCAAGTAGTTTGACTAAAGGCTCTGTCGAGTTTGGTGACCATAGCGTGACGGTGCCGTTTTGTTGGCCGACGTGCAGGATGGCGTTGTGTGGGTTCTGCGCGAGGGAGACAGGGGTTCCGAGCTTCGTGGGGATCTCGGCGACGATCTGACCAGTCGACGTGTCCTGGTATTTTAACTGGCCGCTGATACTCTGCAAGAAACGTCAGTCTCGACCACCTTGCCAGCCGTTTCCTTGGGCACTCACCAATGTCGCCAGGAGGAAGTGGTAGGGGAGAAACTCCATGTGCGAGACCTCGACGTGTTTCTTAAGGCAGTGGAGCTCAACGCCATTGGCGTCGTATATGTAGACGTACTTCTTCTGCGCCACCGCAAAGAACTGGTTGTTGTGGAGGAAGCGAGCATCCCGGACCGTCTCACCCAGCTGCAGTTCGCAGCCGAGTTTGCCCTCCCGCCAATCCATAGTCGCGACATGGCCTTTCCTCCCCGCCAGGATCAGATCCCGCCCGTTTCTGCTGTACTCGCAGACATAAGGCCCCAGAGCATCGAGCTTTAGCTCGAATTTCTTCTGTGCGACCTCGAGGCCGACCTCCTTCTGTATTTCGTCCTGGCGAACTCTGTATGTCCGCTCGAGCTCGGTTTCCGGTTCCAAGAAGCCGGATGTGTTTTCGAGCAAAATCTCGGCCTCTTTCGCCTTCAGAGCAGCCGTCTTGTACTTGTTCTCGAGGTTAATGAGATTGCGCCGTAACTTCTTGTCCTTGACGCTCTTGACATCGATGCGGCGCCCGCGTCCGTAGGCTTTTTGCGCTTGCTTGTGGCGGCGGATTCGGTCCAGCTCGGCTCTGGATCGAAACTCGGTTCTGGCATTGTTGATGGCTAGCGGCCCATTGGGCTGCTCGGCCATGGTCAGGGGCGCATCCACGGTGTCTGTTGTGTCCATGTTGTTGACCGCCGACCAAGTGCACGATTGGAGATTCAGAATCAGAACAGGCACAGCATCGCCTCAGATCTCGAGCCCTTGCATCTGACATTTTCAAGACGGACCCACTAAAAAGTCCATACATAGGATGATGATTGGTCGCACCGGGCTTGATAAGATATGGCACACAACGCAAAAATGGGATAAGATGCCCCGCCATCACCACCCCTCGGTACCTGAACTGTACAGAGGTGATCATTCTGACCCTGGGGGTGCGCGAGTGTGTACCTTCCCGTGCAGGTGCTTGTTTCCTGTCGACCAAAGTGGCGTCCCTTCCTTTTCGATTCAAAGCCGGCGGCGACGGAAAGATGCCGGGCGCAGTGGGCGGGGTTCACTCCCACAGGCCGACGACTAAGACGTCGCACAAGCCGTTCAAGTCCCGGACGGCAACCAAGGGCCAACTGCGCGACGCCGCAAAAGGTATGACTCTCGCCGGATTTCCACCAAACCGGATCCAGGGCCTTTCTCGTCTGAAAGAAGGTTAGCTGACCTTCTTGGCTCAGGCAGGATCGCCGGTGAAAAGGGACTGCGCAAGACGCCACACCAGCAGGTCATGTCGAAGCTCGACCGACGAAACCAGGCCCGGCAGCGGCAGTTGGAGAAGGCCCGCGAACACCAAAAGGAGACCTCTCTCTTCACCGGTAAAGATGGGGCTCCGCGCAACGTCGCCGTTATTCCGCTCTGCGGAGACTGCGACGCCGCCGCCGCCATCCAAAGCCTGAATGGGAGCGTCGACATCGAGACTGAGGTGCACGATGGGTGCTTCCGGGTACCGGTGGACAGGTTCAAGCAGAAGCTGCAGTATATCCCCCTGAAGAGGGATCTCACTGCGTGCCTGGATGCTTCCCGGGTCGCCGACTTTGTCGTGCTCATCCTCTCGGCCCAGGTCGAGGTCGACCCCTTGGGCGAGCTGATCCTGCGGAGCGTCGAGAGCCAGGGCATGTCGACTCTGTTCACTGTTGTCCAGGGACTCAACAGGATCGAGCCGGCCAAGCAGAGACTCTCGGTCGTCTCCTCCCTCAAATCGTACATTTCCCACTTCCATCCGGAGCAGGAGAGGATCTACAACCTCGATAGCCGGCAAGAATGCACAAACTTGATGCGTTCATTATGCAGCACCACACCAAAGGGCATCAGGTGGAGAGATGAGCGGAGTTGGATGCTGGTCGAGGACATCGAGTGGGCGACATCGGCAACGGGGCCCACCGTGCTCACCGGTGTGGTCCGGGGCAAGGGCCTGAAGGCTGATCGGTTAGTGCAAGTGGGCGATTGGGGCACCTTTCAGATCGAGAAGATTACTTCAGCGCCGCTTGTGACGCGGAAGAAAAGAAAGGGAGAGGATGCCATGAACATGGATGATGATGCCGCCACCGAGGAGACGCTTGAGCTACCCACCGAGGACCAGGATGGTCTCGATGACCTCGCACCGGAGGAGGCGCCAATGGAGGGTGATGATGATGAGGAAATGGACGCCGCGACGACTGCAACCACCTCCAAGAAGGGAGTTCTTTTGGACGACCACCACTATTTCTCGGACGACGACCACGTGCAGGAGCTGCATATGCCGAAAAAAGTTCCCAAAGGCACATCGAAGTATCAGTCCGCCTGGTTCTTGGACGACGACAATGCATCCGATTCGGGCTCTGACTTGGAGGATTACGAGATGCAAGACGCTGAGGGCGCCGAAGAGGAAGCGAGGCCGGAAGATGGAATGGAGGGTCTTGCTGGTGATTCCATGACAGAGGCTGGCCCATCAGAATACCCTCAGTCAGTAGCTTTCAAGGAGCCCGACGAGGATGAGGACGCAAGAGGGTTGGAAGCCTACCGCAAGAGCAAGCGGACGGAAGCTGAGGACGACCTGGAGTTCCCTGATGAGATAGAGCTTCATCCCAACGTACTCGCACGGGAACGGCTGGCTAAGTACCGTGGACTCAAAAGCTTGCGGACAAGCCCTTGGTTGGAGGACGAGGACCGGGCGTTTGAGCCCGACGATTGGCAGCGGTTGCTCCGGGTTTCCGACTACCAGGCATCCCGGGTCAGAGTGGCTCGCGAGGCCCTAGTTGGCGGTGTGGCCCCTGGGACTCGCGTCCACGTTTACCTCAAAGGAGTGCCGGTGGCGATCCAGAAGTCCTACGACCCGACACGTCCTGTTACCCTCTTCTCGCTATTAAGGCACGAGCACAAGCGGACTGCTGTCAACATACTGATCAATCTCGGCTCCGACTACCCAACCTCAATCAAGGCGAAGGAGGAGCTAATTGTGCAGTACGGCCCTCGGAGGTTCGTTATCAACCCTCTATTCTCCCAGGGCGGAAGCACACCCAACGACGTCCACAAGTACTGCCGGTACGTGCACCCTGGCCAGTCTGCCGTGGCGACCTTCATGGGTCCCGTTACATGGGGCTCGGTTCCGACTCTCTTTTTCAAGCGGACCGCTCCGGGTACTGAAGCGGAAGCCGGAATGGAAGACAGCGAAGGGCCCAGTCTGCCCCTCACGCTCGTTGCCACAGGGACCACGCTGCCGCCCTCGACGTCGCGTGTTATTGCCAAGCGGGCCATCCTCACCGGCCACCCATACCACATCCACAAGAAGATCGTGACCATCCGCTACATGTTCTTTAACCGGGAGGATGTCGAGTGGTTCAAGGCGTTGCCTCTGTGGACCAAGAGAGGGCGCAGCGGATATATCAAGGAGCCTCTCGGCACACATGGTTATTTCAAAGCGACTTTTGATGGGCGGATCAATCCGCAGGACTCTATCGGTGTCAGTCTGTATAAGCGAGTGTGGCCGCGCATTGCCAGGCCACTGGACGGTTTGTTGCTCGATCCGTCGCTTGTACAAGATGGACAGGCGGACGCGATGGATGCAGATGTTGAGTGATGGAACTGGTTACTTATAGACTTACCCAGCAGGGCTTGGCGCAGCGGTTTACGACAGTGTTCTGGAATAATGAGGTTATGATCAGCACGTACCGAGTTTACCTCTGCAGGCCCGGGCATCTCCAGTTTCAAGTGATGGCTGCATCTCTCGTTTCTATGACGAGCATTCAGTTATCCAAGCCTTCCACCATCTCTTCCTTCTCCCCCTTCAAGCGTCTTCCCCCAACTCCTCCAATCCGGCTGTCGGCCTCGGCCCTCCTACCGCCTTCCTCGCCTCCTCCGCTCCGCTTGCCCGCCACGCACTCAGAATCAGATTCACAATGTGGTCCACCGCAACGCCCTTTTTGACCTGCGCGAACACAGTCGGCCCGCCCTCGCGCATCTTGCGTGCGTCCCGCTCCATGACGCCCAGATCGGCGCCCACCGCCTCGGCCAGATCGGTCTTGTTCACGACCAACAGATCGCTCTGCGTGATGCCCGGCCCGCCCTTGCGCGGCACCTTGTCCCCGCCGGAGACGTCGATTACGTAGATGATGTAGTCGGCCAGCTCGCGGGAGTAGTTGGCAGCCAGGTTGTCGCCGCCGGACTCGATCAGGAGGATGTCGGTGTCGAACTGCCGGTGCAGGTCCTCCAGCGCGGCCAGGTTGGCCGAGATGTCCTCGCGCACGGCCGCGTGCGGGCAGCCGCCCGTCTCGATGGCGCGGATGCGCGAGGCCGGCAGCGCGCGGTGTGCCGTCAGGAACTCGGCGTCTTCCCGCGTGAAGATGTCGTTGGTTACCGCGGCGACCGAGTAGGATTTGCGTAGCGCCCGCGAGAGGGCGAGCATCAGGGCTGTTTTGCCTGATCCGACTGGCCTGTGTTGAAGGTATCAAGATTGTTAGTAATCTGAGGGGTGAAATTGGAGAATACCTTAATAATAAGGGAGGTGATGGAAGGGGATATCGCCGATGTGCGCACGTGCCCCTAGTCTTCCAGGTTGTATGTACACATGTAAGGAGGGTGGGCGGGGGGTCAGGTAAAGAAGAGGGAAGGACCAACGGGGCGAGCAACCTACCCACCAATGCCGACGGTGAAGGCCCGGTCGTTCCAGTTGCGGCCTTCTGTCAGGGGCATCTCCCGGCCGACGTAACTTCCGGGCCCGTCGAGAATCTCATGGCTGTGGCCGTGTTCGGCGGCGTTGAAGGTGTCGTGGGAGTGCGCATGGGAGTGCGAGTGCACTCCGTCGTGTGAGTGGGTTACGCCGGACATTGTGTGACGTCCGATACTTTGGGAGCTTTGAATATTAGCTCAGTTGCCAATGGTTCAAACAGCAAAGATTTGTTGTGCTCTAGATGTTGAGCAAAAGTAAAGGACCTTGAAGCTTCAACTTTCGAGTGGGCTTATCGCGAAGCTGTTCCCTCCTGATAATACCCATTATGAGGGGCATCGCTTTCGGACTGAGGGGCAGACTCGGCGTGGGGGTCAATTGAAGGACCCTAACCCTGTACATTGCTTCCTTTTCAGAACAACTCACACCCTGCGACTGCCCTTGGCGTCGCGTTTCCCGTTTCACATCAACAACGGAAGAGGCAATCAAGAGGACGGACCTCATGTCGTTGATCCGGAAGGATCCAACGCACTCATCCCTTCCCAGCTCTTTTCAGGGCCCGTTCCGACTTGGCAAGCCATCCGCAGGCGTAGCACGCATGTCAGCTGCTGTCCTCACCGCTGACTGGACCGCAAGGACCTTACAGAAACATGCGCATACCTGCTCCACAAACGCAACCCAGCCCGATTATTCGCCGCATAATGGCCTCGTTTCCTTCCCATCTCGTCGACGTCTGAGCCGCGTAACTGTGGTCGTGCCCTCTACGTGATTTGTCATCGGGACTTGGAAACAAACCAAGTCATCCTGCTGGAGGCTTCTGCAACCACCGTATGACTGGGCTCCCGTCTGCGCCCAGAATGCACAAGTTTTGCCCTCGGTTACGCTTTCTGCGGGAAGCGGCGGCACGAGGGGACGTTTCGTTCCGAGGGACCCCGGAGGTTATAGAACTTTTGGATGGCGGGAAGACCGATGTGTTTCGGTGACTGATGTTTGTGTTAATGCGTTGGCGAGGAAAGTAGAAATAGGGTTGCCCAACCCGCCGTTGATCAGTTCTCGGGATGTGTTCTAGCCACCCTCATCCTCCCCTTCTTCACTCCCGCAGACTTGCTTCACAACGCACCTAGAGTATTCTCACTCGGAAAGTCCTGAGATCTCGCATTACCAGTCGGCATGATGCTGCTCCCTGTTGCCAGTTCCGTCCTCCTCGTCCTGTCCTTCATCAACCCCGTGGCAGCAGAAACAATGCATTGTGCCAGGGGCGCCTCCAACAGCTGCGGTATGTCCCCTTCATACAGAATCCCCTCACAGACCACTCGCTGATACACACTCCGACCACCTAGACAATACGAATACCACCAGCTCCTCGCCAGTCCGCTACGGCTTCCTCCTCCCGCGGGCCTTCTCCGTCCTGGACGTCTTTGGCCCCCTGGAGATCCTGCAGGGGCTCTCACGCCAGACACACCTGGAACTCGCCCTGTTGAGCCGCACCCTGGATCCGGCGACGACAGAGCCGGTCAGCCCCGCCATGAACAGGTTCAACTCGTCCTTCTTTCCCACGGTCATGCCGACTCATACCTACGCCGACAACCCGCCGCTTGACGTGCTGGTGATCCCCGGCGGGGCGGCCGCGCGGAATCCCGACCTGGGCCCGGAGATCGAGTACATCCAGAAGGTCTTCCCGCGGCTGCAGTACCTCATCACCATCTGCACCGGCGCGGGGATCGCGGCACAGGCCGGCGTGCTGGACGGGCACCGCGCGACGACGAACAAGGCCGCGTGGAAGACCATCACGGCTATGGGGCCCAACGTCAAGTGGTGAGTTTCGTTTACGCGGAATACCTCTTCCCATTCGAGTCGCTGACGGGGAAATATCAGGGTCTCGCCCGCCCGCTGGGTCGAAGACGGCAGAGTCTGGACCTCGTCTGGGGTATGTCATTATCGCCCCGTTCATACTTGGCCAGATTCAGATTCTTCCCACGACACCATTCCCCCCACCCCCCCTTGTCCTGTAGTACAGGTACTAACTCAAAGCCAAAACCCCCTCTGAATAGGTGACCGCCGGCATGGACCTCGCCTTCGAGTTCATCAGGCAAAAGTACGACAACGGCACCGCCATCGCCGAGTTCGTCGCCGGCGGCATCGAGCATGTGATGATCACCGACTGGCGTGATGACGAGGGCTTCGGCGCCAAGTTCAACGTCACACCGCAGAATTAGTAGCCAAGCTTTCCCCTGCGCCGCCGTGGGCATCGAGATAGCCAGCTCGTGACGATATCTCGTTTGGCATTTTCCAACCATCTTCAGCCATGAGCTAGGAAATTGGGATAAGCCGGTTCCATTGGCAATTTGTGCGAGACTCTAGCCTTCTTTATACCAGAATTATAATTACAAAGGACAGCGTCTAATCAACCTCATATACGACTCGCTTGCAAGTCTAACAAGATGCTGTTCCACGGGCCAGCAATGTGCGGTCAACCCGTTTGTCGACTGACATAACGAGACTATAGAAATGCAACGGGCGAGTTTTAGTAGTAATACCCAGAAGTCGACCGAAAAGAGAGAAAGCGTAGAAAAAGAACAGCTTAATGCAATATCCCCCCTCCTTATTCGATCCTGGCGGTTCCCTGAAATGTCTCACGACTGAAACCACGACTCAAGCCCCGTTCAAGACTAGCCCTCACACCATGCAAAGACACCCTGCCCAACATTCCATCAAGGTAGTCCTATGTCTCCTTCTCATACTTTTCGGAACATCACGCAACCTCGTCCGCGTCGCTGGCAGGTCCACCTGCCATACTTCGGCGACTGCTGCGGCCGCAGGATCTTCTCAGCCCTGAGCTCCGCCCTTGGGGTCGCTTCCCCCTCTCCCGGGTTCCCGGAGCCTGGTCGCTAACCAGACCCGCTCGGCTCCCTCCTCTGACTCTGGCTCCCACTCCCACTCCCACCAGGAGCCCTATGACCGCCATGCTCACCATGATGATGAGCCTGATGATGACGATGCCTCTCCTCACTGGCACTGGACCCACCACCATCGCCAATCTTTAGGGCGGTAAACACGTTCTCCCACGTGTCCACATTGATATGGTTATACCCCCTCCCCTCGGCCCGCTGCTCCTTGTACCAGTCCATGGTCGGCACGTACCGATACGTCATGTGCGTGGGCGGCAGCAGGGCCGGGTCGGCGCGAGCCCGCGCGAGACGGGCTTTCTCGTACAGCCTGTTCACACACCTAGATCGATATGATATTCCTGCGGCGGTGCTGGTGCGGTTGGCTTTGTTGCCGGGCGGCGGGTGGAAGATGACGCGAGTGTCCTCGTCTTCTGGCTCTTCGGATACCGAAGACGGGGTGGGTGGTCTGGCGGCCGGGCTGGAGTCGTCGAGGTCCATGGGGACATGCCCAGTGTCATCCTGGTCGACAAAGAGGGTCGAGCCAGCGTCACTTACGGCGGCTGGGGAGCGGCTGATCTGGTTGGTGAATGAGGCAGATGAGCCGAGTGTGACCTTTCGGTATCCCTTAGACTCCATGACGTGTTCCGGTGCGGGGAGAAAATCTTTAATTTCACTCAGCATCTTCCGGAGGAACAACAGCGTCACGTCAATTGGGTGCTGAGAGTTGCAGTCTGCCGGCCAGTCCCACCCGCCTAACCAGACCTGGTCGAGCCAGGTCCCCTCATTCTTGATGGCCGTTCCTTCGCGGACGTGCTGGATCACCTGGCGCTGCATGAAAATGAGGTCCTTCTCCGCCAGTGCCCGCTTCCCTGGGTACCTTGTTCTCACCGCCGGGTCCCAGATGATGACTTCACACCGGGTAAAGGGCCTCCTATGAGGGTTGGCTGGCCGATACACCGCAATCCACGGGTGCCTCTCGGGCTGCTTCTTTGCGGGGGGTTATCCGGATCCCACTCCTCTGCGATGGTATAAAAGAAGCCAACATAGGTATTGTATCCCCGGGGAGGTCCCATCGGGCCGGATCCGAAGGGAGGTTTGATGGGCATGGACTCTTTGGTGCCGAAGGGAAAGGTGAATCTAAACCAGTCCAGGATTCTGGTCCAACGTTTTGCATTGATATCCCCGAAGTGGTCTGCCATCGTCAAGTCAAGCCAAGAGACCGCAAACCTGTACAGCATCCACTGGTTCCTGAAGCCATCCAAGCGACAAAGGTCGTCGAGATATGCGGTGAAGGCCGGGGGGATTTCTTTTGGAATCAGATTGCTCCGGAAAGCCCAAGGACCTTGAATGAACCCTATCTGCTTTTCTTCATTCTCGACACTCTGCAGGCTCGCTTCGGTTTCCGCTTCGAACTGGTCGCCCACTTCGTGAAGGACCTCCAAGACTGCGTCGGGGACGTTCAGCGTGACTTTGGTATACTTTGGTATGCGAACCCGCCGCTCGCCTCTTCTGGATCCGTACAGCTTGATGCCTTGGTTCGACCCAATGACGTGGAACTTGCGAAACTGGTCAGCGTGCAAGGTGGTCCACCAACCAAACCAATTGACTAGACTCTGCTCATCATTCGGGTCGATCGATGAGTCCGCGTAGATGAGCGAACTGCTGTCCTCGTCATGTGCGTACACACCGGCCTTTGCTATCCGGGAGGTGTGCATATCGTCAGCCAGCTCAGCTACTGCGTACCGACAATTGCAGTCCTCCACACTCAGAGCGCTGATATTTGCCTGGATCTCGGGCTGGACGTCGCCCGGATGACTCCACAACTCTTGCCGGGCCTGGTCTCTCTCATCCGCCAATTCCTGCAGGTACTCGTGAATATTGTGTGCGGTAACGAGGCGGAAGTGAAAGTTCCCGGACCATTTCGACATGAACCAGTTGAAGAACTCGAGACTCCGTCGGGGTTCAGACACTAGAAAGCTAGGAGTGAGGAAGATGGCTGTTCGGTACGGAAAGAGTCGAGTGAGGCGCATTTCCCCGGGCGGCTCAGGATATTCGGGAACTGATATCGATGGATAAAGGGGGACTCCATGAACAGGCTCCGAAATACACCAGTATTCGTCGTTTCTGCCGATGAGGTACCGTGAAAGGCGCGGTATTCGGCGCAGGCTCCATGCTAGCATCTCGTGTATGATAACCACTCCTGGAATAGACGCGACCTGGGCTCGGAACGCTTCCCACCCCCCAGGCTGATGGCTTGTAAAGATCTGGCATCCCGGGTTACTAGCACGGAGCCAGTGGTAGAGCGCCTGCAGTATCGCCAATCTCGAGGTTGGTATCGCTAGGAAAAAATTGTGTACTGGAAGAGGTTTCGGTCTTGCAGGGAGGAGTTTGGTGTAATCGAAATCAAACAGCCGCTTCATCACCTCCCCCCTTTCGGATGCGCCATGTTCATTGTCGGTCTTCGGTTCCGAGTCTTTAAGTGCTCGTTCAGATCCAGACAGGAGAGTTGGGGGAGCCAAGTAGACTCGATAATCGTGCGGTGAAGCGAAAATGAAGAATGCGAGGGGTGCCTCCTGTTCTTGGAACGACGGAATAGATTGAATTGAGTTCCACTCTTCGCACTTTGTTGGGTACACCAGGACGTTGTACGATGCTTGGCCATTGTAGAGTGCTAGCAAGCTGGCTGTCAAGTACTCCGCAATTCGTTCTATGGCCGGTTTGTCTCTTTGGGATTCTATGATTCCAGTAGCCAGGGGCTCTTGGATGAGCGCGTTGGCTTGAGCATCGAGGGCCTTTGCGAAGCACGTATGCCGGAATTCCACCGTCGCTGTGGTGAGAAATTCCGTAAGCCATGAATGCTGACCCGATGACTCTCGAGGAAGTCCTTTGAAAGTCACATCAACGGAGGAGTGGCCGAGTATCAACGTTTTGTCGGAGCTCTGGTTACCGCTGATAGGAAGCTTCCAGCGGGTCTGGTCGGAGCCAGGTAGTGTTTCTGCAGGCGGGGATTGAAGTGTCTGGGGGGCTTCAACGTCCACGATGGAACTGTCAACATCCATATGCTTCGGTTCTTGAACAAGAGGAGGGTGCGCCTCGTCATCCGCCACGCTGAACCGGACTGACTTCCGCTTCTTCTGGGGGGGTGCTGTGTCGGGGCTTGCAGAGGCCGGTCCGGGCCGGAGGATGGTGGGCGGTTGCGCGGGCTCAATGGGCGTGCGAGTGACGTCTTGCGGCGTCAGTTGTGTGGGACTTTGGAGGGAACTTCCTGAGCTTCGCCTGCCGGCATTCGGACCCTTAGTTATCTCGAATAACTGCATCTTTGAAATATCAGGGGCCATGTCTTCTGTGTTCCGACTCCCCACCTCCACCAGCCTGCGATAGCGAAATCTGTCGAAGAGCTTTGGGCCCTTGGTGGGATCAGACGCTACATCCTTGAGCTTTGGCCGCACTTTAGGCTTTTTGCCGCTGGTGAAGATATTCCCGGCTGGAGGTTTTGTGCTTCTTTTCGCAGTGAGAGTCTTCCGGGCGGTAGGAGGTAACTGCTCTGAAGACGGAGCTGTGGTTAAAATCGGGGCTGGAAATCTTGTCTTTGATTTCGGCACGGCGCTCTTCTGAGTGTCGCTAGGTCTTCTAGCTGTGCCCTGGTAGCCGATAGTGTGCTGGTGCTCTATCTGCTTCCTCTTGGGGGAGGAGGTTTCAATTGTCGCTGTTTCCTGGCCCCCAGTGTCTGTTGGCCGGTTGGTTTCGCTCCCGGCCAATGCCGTGCCCGATTCAGACGAGGCTCTGGAATTCGACCTTGGGACCCCTATGAAAATCCGCTGTTGGTTACAAGGCTCTGACCGCTGTGCACGTGCACGCTCTGACTCGGAAACCTCGACAACATTTTCCTCAACGGCTTCATCGCTGCTTGAATCGTCATCAGGGAAGGGAGGCGTCAACGGCAAACCCAGCCTTTTTCGCTTGATATTCCGGCGACGATGACGATTTGCCTTTTCCTGGGCCGCTTTCTTCTGTGCGTCGTAGAACTTCTGAAGATTAAAGGGCTCAAGTTCACCGGTTGCATGCTTGGCTTTCTCCTCTTCCCATATTGCTTTGAGGTCGTCGCCGAGATTCGACTCGGGTTCCCACGTGCTCTCATGGAGCTGAAAGCCTGCCCACTCTACGAGATAGTACGTCGTGCCGTCCTGTATTTTTTGCTCAGCGAGGATATTCTCCACTTCGAACTCCTGGTCGGGATCGTGTCCTGCCACGGTAGACGTCAAAGATATGTTGTCGTCGTCCCCGTCTCCATCTGGAGATACTACCTCGGACGACCCCCTAGGGTTGCCCTTGAACATGACGGTCTCTCCGTCTTTGGAAATTGGTAATAGTTAGGTGAATACCAAAACACCGAAGCGCTTCCAGACGGCGGTACTAGCTTAGATCGACGTCGAACGGAGGTTCGGCTAGCTGCAACCTAGCGAATAACCAACAGTTCTCTCTTTATTTGTAGCCTGGTACGCCTTGTTTGATTATTTCTCGACCCTGCCACACCTATTAGTCCCATAACCCGGGATACCTCATTGAGAACCGCACGACATGTGTAAGCAGTCCAGGTCAGAGTCGGAGTATTATAGAGGCCCCCAAGCGAGGGGTGAATACTCAAGTGAGGATGTTGGCTTGGTTGCTCCAAAATGCGTCACTCTCGCGACTTCGCCTTGATGCCCGATTGGTTTCGACCGACTGTGGGCCTTCGAGGACCAATGGCTCAACTGCGGAAAGGCTGGCCGATTCATGCACTGGATGACATACATATAACGAATGGCACAACTTACATCGGGTAGTGTGAGCTTTACAGCAAGTGAGTAACGCATTGAGTGGTGCATTGGTCGTCTCCGCAATTCGCGGAGAGGTTGTGGTTTGAAATTGAAAAAGCAACCTTGAGCCTGGAAGGAGACACAAGTGTAACCGAACTTGAGAAAGTTGGCCAATCAGGGAAGCACACCCCCTGGTTGCACCTTCCACCCCCACCACCCGACGCTCAGAGTGAAAGGGTCAAAAGTTCGGAAATCCATTGTTTGTTGGGTCGTGATGGAGATACCTCCGTACCTAAGGTAGTGACCCATCGAAGAACTCCCGTAACCTGGGCTGGAGTTGAGTCCCACGGTCTACCGCGGGTGCCTATCTGTGTCCACGGCAAGTATAGCTAAACGTGACCCTTTTCTGAAAGCATACCTACCTTACCTAGGTACGTATTGTACGCTGGGTAACAGTGCAGGACATATTTTTTGCGTGTATATTACAGTAGCACGTGAGAGGTAAGGCCTAAGCTGTGGTATAACTACCTAGTCGCTTCCGACCTGCTTGAACGACTGAAGCCGATGCCACTTGACGATAAGTACTAGACAGTGATGAATGATAAAAGCAGGCTTACCTCAAGCGTTTTCCTTGACATTGTAGACTTGTGACTAGAATGCCACGGCGCTCATCCATTTTTGCGCTTCATTTGATTCGGGCTTCTCGATCGAGTCGATTCCGCTCGAGTCACGGTTCAAATCCGGGACGTCAGATCCTGACACTGCCACCCGGCCGTCAGCACCAACGACGGCCCACCTGCATGCCGCACCGACCCATCCCTCCTGACTCTCCTGGACATCAACACCCTGCACAAAGCACCAGCACATCAACATTTCGCGGCACTCACCGAACTGATTTCGCGCATAATTCTTCACCGCAACCATGGCCAACGACGAATACGATGTGAGACCCTCTCTGTGCTTGCTTGGCCCATGTGTTTCTGTCCACGGAATCACGCTAACCGGAGACCGTTGAGCTAGTTCCTATTCAAAGGTGCCTAGCAGACCGATTATGATGCGCCGTCTCCCTTCCGTCGCGCAAGCACTCCACTGACTCTCTGGCGTTCTCTCTCTAGTGGTCTTGATAGGAGACTCAGGTGTCGGAAAGTCGAACCTCCTCAGCCGATTCACTCGCAATGAGTTCAACCTAGATTCCAAATCGACCATCGGCGTCGAGTTCGCGACGAGGTCAATCCAGATCGACAATAAGACGATCAAAGCTCAGATTTGGGACACCGCGGGCCAGGAACGGTATCGCGCCATTACCTCTGCCTACTATCGCGGCGCTGTCGGCGCGCTGCTCGTCTACGACATCAGCAAGAGCCTCTCATTTGAGAACGTGACCCGGTGGCTGAAGGAATTGCGGGACCATGCGGATAGCAACATCGTCATTATGCTCGTGGGTAACAAGACCGATCAGCGGCACCTGAGAGCCGTGCCGACAGAGGACGGCAAGAACTTCGCGAGTATGTGTGCTCCAACATTGGGGATGGCGCCGGTGTGGCGACATAGCTGACGAGTACTAGGCGAGAACGGGCTTTCATTCATCGAGACATCCGCGCTCGAGGCTACCAACGTCGACCTTGCCTTCCAGAACATCCTGACCTGTATGACCCCGCTCGAACTATGCTCTACCCCTCCGTTCGGCATTTGAAAGCTGACCCTCGCCACGCAGCCATCTACCAAATCGTGTCGAGCAAGAGCCTGGCTGAGGAAGGAGCAGACGTCGGCAAGAAGTTCGATCCAAGGGAAGGGAACAACATCACGCTCAGTCAGGAAGGCGGCAAGGAGGAAGCCAAGGGCTGCTGTTGATTACTGGTTCTGGCATGATTGCTCATGTCGTCACTTATGTCTGATACGAACTGGGGAAATTCTTACGGCACGGGGGGACACGGATCTGCTAAACCTTGGGATGTTGGCGGGTGAATTCTTTGAGAGGTTTATTCTATTTTTGTTCTTTATTTCTGCTTTGCCTATGTCGGCTGTGGGAATGCCGCTATGGTTCTCTCGATGCACGGTTTCCGAGGCAGTTAGTTGAATGGACCCATTGGTGATACCTCCTTCTGACTCCGAAGGGTCACCTGGCTCCTGGCGGCCCGAGTCTCACAGCTGACAAGAAACATGACTGAAACTTATAAGCATATTGAGGCCTGACCGTGGCCGCACAGAACTCGACATCGTTTGGCTGGACCCAACCCTCCACTGCAGGCCAGATCAACCTTTTTTTTGCCCAGGCTGAGCCTCCGTTCCATAGATTCCGCCAGGGGTGAGGCCAGAAGTGGGGCAGAATACCACTAATTGATAAGGTAGGCTTATCAGTGAGTGGGGCGGGTGTGAACAGTGAACTTTTTTCTAGGATTTGGAATTGCTGCATCCTGACGGGTCCGAGTCTTCGTAGAAGGACCCGCCAACAAGATCACTCGCTCATCACGTTCTACAACCACAGAGACAAAATGGCGGCGGTTTACAAATCCTTATCGAAGTCAAGTGCCTCCAAAGCCGATAGAGACACAGAAGCCAGCAAGGGTGGGATGGAGAGGAAAAACAAACAGAGGGTGCTCATTCTCTCGTCAAGAGGCGTCACCTACAGGTACGAATTGGACCGATTGCATAGAGTTGAGTTCCCCTTTGGCTGACTGTGATGCATAGGCACCGGCATCTTCTCAATGACTTAGCGGCGATGCTCCCGCACGGGCGGAAAGACGTGAAGTTTGATTCAAAGTCCAAGCTGTACCAGCTCAATGAGCTGGCCGAACTCTACAACTGCAACAATGTGCTATTCTTCGAGGCGAGGAAAGGCAAGGACTTGTATATGTGGTTCAGCAAGGTGCCCAACGGCCCTACGGTTAAGTTCCACGCCCAGAATTGTGAGTCGGACCATTCCGAAACGGAGCCATGGATGAGTCGCGAAGCTAACAACCTCTAAAAGTACACACAATGGAGGAACTCCATTTCACTGGTAATTGCCTGAAAGGCTCGCGGCCTATCCTTTCCTTCGACGGTGCCTTCGAGACTGAACCCCACCTTCGCGTCATAAAGGAGATCTTCCTCCACGTCTTTGGCGTACCTCAAGGAGCGCGGAAATCCAAGCCCTTTATTGATCACGTCATGGGCTTCAGCGTAGCAGACGGCAAGATTTGGGTTCGGAACTACGAGATCCGGGAGGTCGAGAAGGTCAAGGGCAATGACGACAAGGACAACGCCGAGGATGGCGAGAAGAGCAAGGGGCGCAAGAGCAAGGGCGGTGACAAGGACACAGACATCAGCCTAGTCGAGATAGGGCCGCGGTTCGTGCTTACGCCGATTGTGATTCAGGAGGGCGCATTTGGGGGCCCTATCATCTACGAGAACAAGCGCTTCATTTCGCCGAACCAGATCCGGGCTGAACTGCGGAGAGCGAAGGCGGGAAGGCATGTTGCGCGCATGGAGCAACAGCGGGATAAGCTGGCAAGGAGGAGAGACCTTGGGCTAGAGGATGGCGAGAAGAAGGATGGCACTGGATTAGATACCCGGGAGCTGTTTGCTTAGATGTGGGAATCCGGATTGGTATGGCGTTCTCTGGTACTGTACGCGGGCGACAGCATGGGCTGCGATTGGGATGCCTGATAGACCAATGAATGGATTGCATTGCGGATTCCTTATTAACAGCCCACGAATGTTTCCCACCACACTGTTGAATTTAGCATATTTCCAGCCATCTGGAGTCGGAGTGCACACGGAGTAGTATACGCATTCAGTAAGGCAGGTATGTTTACGTACAGTATCCAGTACGTACGATATGGACGTATTGGAATGTATGTATGTAATGTACATTACCAACTAGCCTTACAGGGCTGGCTCAAGATTCCGTTGACCAGCCTGGCATCTCCGAGTGGCGTCAACAAGAGAAGCACCACACCATCATCTTTTCGCCTTCCTCTTCCGTCATCACCGCCAATCACCTATCATCCTCATGACTGTCGCTGACAGCAGGCTGCCAACACGTCATAACTACATAAGGTAGCGTATGCGGTAAACAGATCAATGATAGCTGGATCCAACGCTGGCATTTCTTCTGATAGCCCAAGCCCGGCGTCGACACGCAGTAGGGCTCCGGGTCAGCCGTAAGCTAGGCAGCTGCATCTTTACTTTGACTATTGCTGCCTGACTTATGGTTCTCATTGCTTCCCTTTGCTTGAGGAGGGGAGCGAAGCGTCGTAAGACGCGCGGCCAAAATGACAGCTTATGGTGTTAGTAATGACGCATATCCGGTGCGTCTGTGGGCTCTTTAGATGCCCCAGGACCAAGGTATGCGTCCGTGGGCTCCTTCGATGCTCCAGGTAGGTATATATACAGCGGCTGATCTGGTCTAGACAACCTGGACAACTTCATCTTAAAACAACACACAGCCTGTGACTTCGACATGTGTTCCGTCAGCGCCATCCAGAACGAAACTGCTGGTCAGCACCCGGCCACCTCGGCTCTCCAGCTTATTGACCTGCTAGTCGAGATAGTGGTTGAAATTCTCTCTAACCTCGACTTCGAAACCTCTGCAACGATGCTGTCAGTGAATTCGCAGCTCAAGAGCATCATCGTGTCCCCACTGGCGCACGATCCTCCCTGTCATTGCCGAACGGCAGCTTTCTCCTGCAGACGTGCCTTCGGGATGCGATCCTGCCTAGCACACTCAGGCTCCATGAATCCTCGACGCTGTCGAGTATGGCTAACTCCGCCGTACTCGTAATGTCGTCATCCACCGGGCTACACCTCGTCCTGAACTTCTGCCGCGCTATTAAGCGTTTCGAGTAGAGTTTCCGAGGTTCCAGTTCTGCCTAGTTGATTCAAGTCGCAGCAGGATCCTTCATTCACACGAACTCTATAGGTTGCGGTCGGCGTTGTACGTCTGGTGGAGGTATGCGAGCGCTTTCCACAATCTTAGGCCCTGCCCTCGGGGGCTCACTCGGCGACACCCAAGAGGCGCGCAGGGTATTCCTACGCCAGTACTCTTCTAAACAGCTGTACGAGCTCGACGAGCTTTTCACGGCTGTTCGCTACTCGTTTGGATTCTCATTGTGTCCGGCCTTCAACGAGATGAGGGCAGTCGTGATCAGTGCCGTTTCTTCCCTGCTCCGTAACTAACACTCCGCAGGGCCCATCGCTTACTAGGGAGGAAGTTCGTCTGGGATGGAGGTCACTGAGAATTTTACAATCCTCTCAACGGTGATGAAGCTTCGGCCAGATGTCATCCTCCGCCTGATTGTATATCGTCACCGTGCAGTTTGAGACAGCAGCATTCATGGTATGTAGTTCCACTGTCGGCATCTCTTTAGCCAGCAGCGGTCGCTGACGCGGTTTCCTAGGATTGAAGAAAGCAAGGAGACGTTAAGCGAAAGTATCGCAGTGGTAATAGCAGCGCGTCATCCACTTGATGGAAGCCCGCGTTGCCTTTTTCCTTTCGATATGTCCATGGTGGCATTCTTGGCCTCGAGACTGATGAGGATGAGGCGTGCCAGACCAACGACACCAAGGATGCTGGACCAGGCACGCCTGCCAACTGGATGTGGCGGCTCGAGGTGAGCTTCTTGATGGGGCCTGGTAAGCTGCTTCCGACCGGTTCATTTTTCGAGAGTGTAGATGCTTGATTGAGGAATGGAGCTGGATGTGAGGGAGCTGCAGTCAGGTAACCCATCTTCCGGGAATTCTAATTCAGATCTGGCAGCACAGATGATCCTGAGAACTTATGTGTCTGAGTACGATCTGGGGTAGTTGGTCAAGTTGACAAGGATCGAGCAGTCGGCTCTTGACGCTGAGTTGAGGTCATATCGTGCCCCTGGCTGTTGTAAGCTGGGACGCGGGGATTTGGGAAGGGCACAAGTCTAGTTGCACCCCCGGGCTAAATTCCACCAGATTAAAGATAATTCAACAAAAGATTAAAGGTGCCGAAAGCAATTCCATGATTTGTTTTACCCGAGATAATACGTGCATCGAGTGCCAGAATCCAGTAAGACTAAAGTCGCAGGTCAAAGGTTAGTTGGACTAGGTATTTTGTAGCAGGGGTGGCCCCGTTGCCCTGCCCATCTCTCGTCGCCCAGCCACTCACCTACTCCTTCTCACTGGACAACACTGACAACTAAAAGCCCAAAGACGAAAGCAGTTCAAGAACCGATTGCTTGACCAGCACACCACCTCGTGCGCGACCATTGACCCCAGCTTAACTCTGCTATACGGTATGTTGTTTATGTGCTAGAGATCTATGAGCTGTTGTATGCGATGCACCCACAATGGCGGCATTTTGCATGAGCACCCAGGGTCTACCGGCCCTCATCTGAACCGTTTTGTTTCCCGCCATATCGGCAGGACGACCCCTTTACAACATGAGCCATGACCGAAGGACCACTGCATTTTTATATACCTATTCTTCTCCAGTCCTACTCATGGCTTTCCCTTGTAGCATTTTCTAATCATCCGCAACAGACATTCGCCGCTGCGGTCTTCGCCCTCACCTGAGCGATCCTGACTCTGAGATAACTTTGGCTGCGTTGGAAGCGGGCGATTCTTTGAGATCTGAGCGGAGAAAGGTCTAGAAGTCCCGGGCTCTCTTAGCCGTGCAATACAGGGCCTGTTTCGTAAGTGCTCTGTGTTTCTCGATTGGTCTCCGTTTAGAGTTTCAGTCTCCTCCCTTCAGTTCGGTCGCTATCTGTATGGCTACAACATCCGCACTGTAGCGCGGTCTTTCTAAGTCCCAGTTTCCAGGGTGGACATCTCACTGACCGTGGTGAAGGCTTAGACCAACGCGACCTGGAGGCTGACGCGTTCCCGCGGCCAGTCAGCCCAGGATGGAGGAGAGCGATAATGATATCGTCATGGATGGTGAGGACCGACGCATGGCTGATGGCTCTTCTGGCGCCAACGGGTTTCTAGATCCGACAACTGGAGAAAGCTCGCTAGAGACCACGAACGGTCACAGCGCAGATGGCACGGCACAAGATGAAGACCGTGAATCCGATCCGACTGCCTACCCTGAGCATCTACGCCGGCGCGGCCTGCTCCCGACGGGTTGCTGTTATGATGATCGCATGAAACTACATGCCAATGCGGACTTTGGTCCCAGCCCCCATCATCCCGAGGACCCATCTCGTATCGAATATATAATGAAGACTTTTAAGAAAGCTGGACTAGTGTTCACCGGTTCCGATGCGGAACTCATCCGCATCATACAGACAGAGCCGAACAAATACATGTGGCGCATCCCGGCCAGGGAAGCGACGAAAGAAGAAATCTGCACCGTTCACCATCCGAGCCACTACTTGTGGGTTGAGCAGCTGTCCCGCATGTCAACACACGAGCTCCGCCAGCTTTCCAAGGAAAAGGACCAAGGAAGGGACTCCTTGTATGTCGGCAGCATGACATACGAGGCCTCGCTGATCTCGGCCGGCGGCGCCATTGAGACATGCAAGAGCGTGGTTGCCGGGACCGTCAAAAACGCTTTTGCTGTCATCCGACCGCCGGGACACCACGCCGAGTTCGACTGCGCCATGGGGTTCTGTCTGTTCAACAACGTGCCCATCGCGGCCAAGATCTGCCAGGCTGATTACCCGGATCTATGCCGCAAAATCCTTATCCTGGACTGGGACGTCCATCACGGCAACGGCATCCAGAACCTGTTTTATGACGATCCTAACATCCTTTATATCTCGCTCCACGTATACCAGAACGGCATGTTCTACCCCGGCCAGCCAGACAACCCGATGACCCCCGACGGCGGCCTCGAGCACTGTGGTGCCGGGCCGGGCCTGGGCAAAAACGTTAATATCGGCTGGCATGAGCAAGGCATGGGTGATGGCGAGTACATGGCGGCCTTCCAGAAGATCGTCATGCCCATCGCTCACGAGTTCAACCCCGACCTGGTCATCATTTCAGCCGGCTTCGACGCAGCGGCCGGAGACGAGCTCGGGGCCTGCTTCGTCTCGCCCGCCTGCTATGCGCACATGACGCACATGCTGATGTCGCTTGCCGGCGGCAAGGTGGCCGTGTGTTTGGAAGGCGGATACGATCTCGAAGCCATCTCGAAGTCGGCGCTGGCCGTAGCGCAGACTCTCATGGGCGAGCCTCCCCCGAAGATGGAGATCCCCAAGATCTGCCGGGAAGCGGCCAAGGTGCTGGCCAAGGTGCAGGCATACCAGGCGCCGTACTGGGAGTGCATGCGGCCCGGTGTTGTGGATGTCCAGGACCTGCAGGCACAGGAGTCGTACCGTCTGCACGATGTGGTTCGGACGGCGCAGCGGCAGGTTTTATCGCAGAAGCACGGAATGCTGCCGCTGTATATCCAGCGAGACGTGCTCTTCAAGTCATTTGAGAACCAGGTGCTGGTCACGAGGAACCTATACGCGGCGCGAAAAATCCTCGTTGTCATTCATGACCCGTAAGTAGCAGCAGCAGATCCTGGCTGGGGGCTCATTTTTGGCTGCTATGGTTGTTCTAGCTAACGCCTTGATCAAGACCGGAGCTGCATGGCCAGCCGGATCCATTGGACAACTCTTTGGAGGCGCATAATGCGTGGATCGTAAGCGGCCCGCTGTTCCTCACTGTTCGGTGGCAATGACTGATTCGCGGGTAGACGGACGGCGTCACTCGGTACATCGACTGGGCCGTCAGCAACGGTTTTGGGGTTATGGACGTCAATGTGCCCCGTTATATCACGCACCCAGAGGTATAGCCATTTGCAATGTTGTGGGGAAGAGATTACTGACAAGCAGCAGGACACGGAACCGTACATCCCAAAAGCGGATGAGCGCACCCTCCAGGCACAGATCCAGGAGCTGATGTGCTACATCTGGGACAACTACCTTCAATTGTACGATAACGTGGAAGACATCTTCCTCATGGGCGTCGGAAACGCCTACCTCGGCGTCAAGATGCTGCTCATTAGCAGATGTAAAGTTCCCGCTCTCTCTCTCCTTACGGCCCTGTCCAACACAGCCCACTGACGTCACTTCTTCCTCTAATGTTATAGTAGACGTCAAGTCGCGCGTCTCGGGCGTTGTCAACTTTGTCAATGGCAGCCTGCGTCCAGTCAAGTCGGACGCCGACCAGGACCTCTCGTCGTGGTACAAGGAGAACTCGCAGGTATACGTGGCCAATGACCACGCTTGCTGGGCCGACCCGGACCTCACGCGGAAGGTGATGAAGCGCCGGTTCGGAAATGTCATTCGCAGTCACGCTAGCGGGCTCACGCCAATGATGGCGGAGCACTTCACTGACGTGCGTCACTTCATTACGGAGCGGGTTGGGGAGCGCGAGGGTGACGCGGCGGGAGATACCACGGAGGACGAGAACCGAGCGGATTAGAGCCTGGTCGCATCATCCGAGGGTGCTGTTCCCTGCCTCAAGGGGGGCTTGGGTGCCGAAGTATGTGCAATACATCCCTACCAAGCAAGCGAGGCAAACGCTAGCGGGCAACTAAGGGAGGAATTGCTTGGAGTTGGCTGCCATAATAGGGACATTGATCTTGTATTTTTCTTGTGATGTGCGGGAGGGCACATCTATGGCTGGGGCCAGAGGTCAAGTTACTTAGCAGATTAAGTCTTTGTTAATACCGGTATGCTTCCCTTCCGGTCATACTTGGTGAAGGCCCGGGGCTGTGCGAGTGCATTGTCGGACGTTAGTTTAACCTCAAGCTTGGCCGGGCCCACGTGATGACCCATCTCGGCTAACAAGGATGGATGCTCTTGGCGGTACCTAGCCCGCAACGGTACGGAAGCCCGAATTCGCCGAAGGCGCAACCCGAAACCACACCACACCTCCCTGGCACGTGCCTGGCTCTCTCAACAGACTATGAAACAGCACTATAGCCAACCCCGCTACGTAGCTGCAGTGAAAACACGATACGCCCAGCGACTCAATTTGCAAGACGGATAACGAGCTTTTAAGGAGATTTAGCCATACTAGTACTGGACCTTTACTGTTTGTACTTGTATAGCCAAGCTGAGTGTAGGAGCTTCTGTGATAGCTTCCATGGTTTAGTCGTTAGGTAGTTCAATCGTTTTGCCATTTTCCCGGATGCCGGGGCGGTAGAGGTATTGATCTGGGTAAATTGTGGGCTGGGTTGGGGGGTTTGGGTTTCACGTAAATCCAGGCTTCCGTAGACCGACGGCATGGCACATTGGCAGTGGATCTGATCCCCAAATAATTCTTCTGGAGATCTTATCTCGCTCGACGCCTAAAGCTCCTGCTGTGGGAATATCGCACCAACGCCACGACATCTGGGAGCAATGGATCGAAGTCGAAGGTCAGTGCACCGCTCTCTGTTTACCTTAAGTGAGGTTGTCTGCGTGTATTGTTGTCGAGATGTGGATCCCCCCGTGACGAAGTGACGAAGACTGGTGCTGCGCTACTTGGGCGACGGCGTGCGAATTTGGTACGAAGCGCTGCCGAAAAGGACATTGGGATGCCGTCGCGAGCACTGCATCAAACTGCGCGTGACGATGCGTGCGTGACTATGTGCTCTGAACAGCTGGTTGGAGCTGGGAGTTCATAAACACTTGACCAGACCGCTCACCATACCCGGTCTTCCTCTTCTCCAACCGACTGCTTTCATCCTCGCGATTGTTGCCGACCATAACCGAGAACTCAACAATGCCTCCCTAATTCGACTTTGTTATCCCAACCCCACTTGAGCACCCTCGCGGCAGTCACCACCGTCGCTGCTTTTACGACCCTCGCCGCTTTCCGACCCTCTCCGCTCTCACCACCCTCGCGGCCTCGATCTTCCCCCTTGCTGGCCGCGACCGACATCATGGCCTCCCAGGGACCTCACCCGCAAGACTGCCTGCCGGCACCCGCCAAGGCATCCGGTGCCATGACCTCGCCAGTGGGATGGAACTCTCCGTTTGAGCTCCCGCTCCCCGACGACCCGCAGTACGGACTCGAGGCTTGGGTCGCGCGGAAAAAAGAGATGGCTTGCGACGGTAAGCCCGATAACGGACCGCCGCCTACTTGGCAGCAATGTGCCCAGCAGCATCTCTGGATGTGGCAAGCGAAAGTTGAGCATGGGTTGTTGGACTATCCGAGCGATGAGTCCGGATTGATCCCGGAGGCACAAACCAGCCTCATTGGCCGCTGGGCGGAAGTTCTACGCGGCCTTAAGCGGGCGCATAACGAGTGGAAAAAGCGATGGTTTCAGGCGTACGGTTACTGGGCCCTTCGACTTTGCACAAAGTCGCAACTCGCCGCCTTGTTGGGCGTGCCAATCAATCGGCTTCCCCGTCACCCCAACTTCGGTTCCATGGTAGCTGCGACTCTTCACATCCCTCTCACCAAAATTAGCGAGTACAGGGCACGGGACTACGACAAACAGCGCTGGCGATGGATTAACAGGTGGGAAATCTTCAAAAACCGCAGGCACCCACACAAGCAACAATGGAGACGCCAGGACAAAATGAGACCTCTTGAACGTCCGCAATATCTCAGGGAACGCCAGTTGCTTCGCCACGAGGAGCAACACCTGAGAAATCCGGAAGGGGAGTATTTGGACCTTGAGGTTGTGAGACAGCTGGGACTTCAGGAAGCGAAGCAACAACAGGAAATCGAGACAATTATAGATCAACTGAAGTCGCTGGAGGAGCTGGATGAATGGGATCGGCGCGAGGCTTCACAGACCAAGTAGGACTGGTCTGGTCGGAACTCGCGTGCGAGACAGCACCACAAGAAGGGAAGATTCATGTATTTCAGCCTCATCAAACTTTCTGGCTGTGCTGTATCGGTCCCCTTTCAACAACGGTCGGAACTCGCAAGCGCATGGCCGGAGTCCGCAGATGCCGTCCTGATTTCGCCAGTTTCGAGCATGCACGGCTCTATCGAGACTTCCGCCGCCAACGACGGCGGCCAAGGACTGAGCCCTGCGGCGCCACGGTTCCGGGACAGTCGCGACCCTGCTTGGGACTGCGGATTCGGCTGCCACTTCCGACTTGGCCAGCTGTCGGTCGCCGCCCCCGGGTATGATGACTCGAATTATCAGAAAGCGAGAGCTCGCATGCGCAGGCTTTCGGGTTTGGCAAAGGTTTCTCGAAACCACAATACTGAAGACGGCAAGCCGGATCAGGTCGCAGGTCGAAAGAGGAGATGCGCAGACATTGATTCTGCACTTCCGGAAATGCCTCGGTTAGACCACGGAAGCGAGGAGGATGTTAACGCTGGCGAAGCCTTGTCGAGTATGTCCGTTGCCCAAACGGACGGTTCATCCGATGAGACGCGGCGTTCTCGGAGGCCGCAGCACCGGCGACACGGTCACCCGGGACCTCCTTTTCGCGAGCGCATCTCCCTACCGCTCCATCTGCGAATCACGCGGCCTCCTGATCAAACCGTCGCGACTCGCCAGCAGACGCGGTCTCCATCTCCATCGCCCGCTCATCGACAGCCAGCACCTATACTTTCGGGAGCCAATTCCATTGCCCTTCCTCTGCGCACTCGTCTGGCTCCTAGTGGACAGGTCGACAGCGTTCGCCATACACGGACTGATCCTTTTCAGCCTACTATTCCTCGGCCTAGTTCGGGCACAGTGGCTAACCAACGAACTGATAGGTACGAGGATGGGGAAGTTCGGCGTTTCGGCGCTGGCGAATCCTACCGACCTTTCAATCGTGACAGATCTCCGCGTGGCGGCCGCAGCCCGCTGCGGGACCGAGGCCGCACTCCCCCGGGAGCCAGCGACAGTTATGTTCCCGGCAGATCTCCTCGGCGGCGGTCACGGAGTCCCGACCGCTTCAGGCGGGATAGATCCAGAGACCGAGATGGCGCTGAACGCTGGCGACGCAGCCGCAGCAGGGCAAGAAGCCCGGTTCGACGCCTTTCACCAAGACGAAGCCCTCTGCGACGGACACCTCCTCGGTTCATGTCTCCGCGTCGGGATGATCGAGTGTTTGATAGGAGGGACGACAGGAGAGACGACCGTGATGACCGTCCGAGATCACCTCTGCGTCGGGACTTCGAGATTCGCGATATGAGACGGAGATCACGTTCTCCTTTTGATCGAGACAGGTTTCCTATCCGTCGAGACCGCTCCCCACCGAGACGCTCCCCACCACCTGGACTACGTGGAGGCGGCTCCTATCGTCCGCGCTCTCGAAGCCCGGATCGGCGCGACCGCGATGATCGATATACCGGACCAGCTTATCGCCGCCCATCACCGCTGCCTTTTCGAGACTCTGCAGCCTCCTCCGCTCTGAATTCCCGACCTGCCTCTGGGAGATCTTCTCCCCGGCCCACCTCCGTGCGCAGGGATGACCGATCCGGTCCTCAGTCCCCAACCCGGTCTCATGTCTCGAACGCACCAACCCCGACGTCTTCCATCCCACCAGCCCGCGAAACCCCGAAGCAACCGGCCCCGCCTCCTCAGTCGTTGCAGCCAGCGCAAGCCACCCGGAGCAGCACGCCTATCAAAAGCGAATATCCCGACGATCAGCCAGCGAAACCACCATTGACGGATGCCAACTCGACCCCGATAAAGTCTCCTCCAAAGGGTCCCGCCGCACTGAGAGCACCGCCGACAGGGCCCGCGGCATCCAGGAACTTCACGTCGCCGGCAGCACCACCCGCCGCTCCAGTACCCCGTCATCCTCTTCAGGGTCCTACCGGACAGGCTCGCCCAGGTGCTACGAGTCCCACCGTGCCCCCCGCAGGACCACGCGGTTACATTCCGCCTCGAGGAGCCGGCTACGCAGCGCGCGGCGGCAGAGGTAACTGGACTAACGGGCCAGCCCGCCATTCTATCTCCGGTACCGGTCCATCCTCCTCGCCCACCGTCCCTCCTACAGGGCCCAGCAGCATTCCAACCGGCCCGAGAGCCCATTCGACCTCTTCGGCCACAGGCTCCCCGTCGCTCACCTCCAAGCCCTTCAATCCGCCGACCGGGCCCGCCGCACATGGCACCCCCCACCCGCGTCCGACGCTCGCGCAGAGCCTGCTGAACACGATGCCGCCTATCATCCCGGGCGGCAAGCTCGACCCGACCGCGATGCCGATCGAGATGGACGCGCACCACAGGAAGCTGAGAGAGGAGGAGGAGCGTCTGAGGGAGGAGCTCCGCGCCAAGCAAGACAAGCTGCGTAAGAGCCTGCGGGTCTGGGACAGGATGGAGCGGGAGAGTAAAGCATTCGAGCTGAAGAGCGACTTGAGTGAGAGGAGTCTGAAGAACATTGCTGGAGAGGGAGTTGGGGGCGCTGCGTTCTAGTAGAAACGCAATGAGGTAGGAGGCTGAAGGGTGCGATCGGGAGATTGGTGGCATGGGCGAATATAAGATAGTCAGAGTTTGCCTCATTGCAGAAGTGGTGGAAGGGGAAATATGGTTACAGCGGAGGATTTGACAAGGCAGCGGTTTGTACTGTGTTGTACCTGTACACAATTCATGTATGGAACGGAAAAAAGGGAGATCTCGGACAGATGGCGAGAACTGCGTGTCGGGCTGAGCCTCCTACGGATGGAGATGGATGGACAGGCGACTCTCAGCGGCTGATGTCTTTCGTTTCTTGACGTTCAGGCTTTCGAGGGTTCTGGGCAACTTTGCGGGTGTTACCACTTGTTGTAATATTACCTAGGAATAATAGAAGGACGTAACGAAATCGCCGTGTGTTTCATTTTTGCGACCCAGAGATGTGTATCTATTGTTGCCATGCTGAAGTGAGAAGAGGCGGCGATTTTGTTCGCCAACGCGAGGAGCCAAACAGTTGCCTGGAACTTTCTGGATATTTTGCTATCGAGCTACTAAACCGCCAATATTCTCATCCGAGAATATGCATCCTTCTACTGAGGGAAGGAAGCTGTTGAGAATCAACTACAACCGTGCGGCGCAACCGATCTACTGCTTGCCAGCATCAACCTTGGCAACGTAGGCCAGGAGGTCCAGGACACGGCGGGAGTAGCCCCACTCGTTGTCGTACCAGCTGATGAGCTTGACGAAGTTCTTGTTCAGCGAGATACCAGCCTTAGCATCGAAGATGGATGAGGCGGGGTGGCCCCGGAGATCGCTCGAGACGACCTCGTCCTCAGTGTAGGCGAGAACGCCTAGCTATTGTTAGCGTGTACTGCTCTGAATTTGCCGCCAGAAGCGAAACTTACCCTTGAGGGGCCCATCAGCAGCCTCCTTGATGGCGGCCTTGATCTCGTCATAGCTGGCCTCCTTGGCAAGGCGGCAGGTCAGGTCGACAACGGAGACGTTGGCAGTGGGAATACGCATAGACATGCCGGTAAGCTTGCCGTTAAGGTCGGGGATGACCTTGCCAACAGCCTTGGCGGCACCGGTGCTGCTGGGGATGATGTTCTGGGCAGCACCACGCCCACCGCGCCAGTCCTTGGAGGAGGGGCCATCGACGGTCTTCTGTGTGGCGGTGTAAGAGTGAACGGTGGTCATCAGACCCTCAACGATGCCGAACTTGTCGTGGACGACCTTGGCGAGGGGAGCCAGGCAGTTGGTGGTGCACGAGGCGTTGGAGATGACCTGGGCGCTGCCGTCGTACTTGTCCTCGTTGACGCCCATCACGTACATGGGGGCATCGGCCGAGGGGGCCGAGATGATGACGCGCTTGGCGCCGCCCTGAAGGTGAGCCTTGGCCTTCTCGGTGGTGGTGAACACACCGGTCGACTCGACAATGTACTCGGCACCGGTCTCCTTCCAGGGGATGTTGGCGGGATCCCTCTCAGTGTAGAACTTGACCTTCTTGCCGTTGACAATGAGGTCGTTGCCCTCGACGGAGATGGTACCGTTGAAAACGCCGTGGGTCGAGTCGTACTTGAGCATGTACTCCTGCAGGCCCAACCGCCGTTAGTTCCGAGACATGCCATCGGAGACTTGTATCGGGGAGTTCGGGACAGCAACTTACAGCGTACTTGGGCTCAATGAAGGGGTCGTTGACAGCAACAATCTGGACATCCGGGTGCTCAACGGCATTGCGGAAGACGATACGGCCAATACGGCCGAAACCGTTGATGCCGACCTTGATAGGAGCCATTTTTGTCTATGGCGCGAGTGAGTAAACCTGTCCGGCAAATGGACGGGCAGCTGACGCGGGGTAGTGAGGGAATTGCTGAGCTTGAGGATGATGATGGAGAGAATGGTTTGAGCAGAAACTGGGAGGAAGGAATGATTTTAGGGCCCAACTGGTAGTGAGGTGGCATCTAGCACCGGGCAGCGAATGGTATGAAATTGGTTGGGATTTTTCTTCTGGCGTTGCAGGTCCGATACAGGCGGGATGCGGCAGGTGCGGGGTTGGCCGGGCAGCTCTTGATTGCTTACCTGAGATGATGGGAGTTGTTGTTGTTGACTGAAGAATCTGCTGGTGCTCTCTGAAGAATGTGGTTTCTCGAAGAGACTTTATACGATTGTTTTGAGTCACGACGTGGGATGTGGAAGGGATGAGGACAGTCGTGTTGGTGGTATGAGCGACAATAAAAATGGCTGAGCCCCTCGCAAAGGTGGGGTGCTCCTTCTCAACATGTCGTTGCATCACAGATTGAATCGAAGTGGGGCAATACTGCGAGCTTTCGCCCATGGTTGCTAGCGCGCGACTTTGTTGCATAACCTGTCTCAGCTCCCAATAGCGCAATGGCGATGCAACATACGCATTCTGTGTGACTGGAAGACAAACAGCTCATGAGGTAATTCCATATCATCACTGTCAGCTATCTCTTTGCCACACTCCCGGCCTCTCCGTCAGCGGGAACCTCGCTGACCGGTCGGACCGTTTAAGCGACCGATCGGCCCAGCGAGGTGCCCTTCCCAGCTCAATGTCTGCTGTCGCAGTCCGTTGACACAACTCAATTTGTCTGAGCCTTGGCCGGTTCCGGACTGCGGATTTGAAATCGCGCAACGCCCTTCGGCCTTGAAATTACGAGCTGTCATCGTTCCCTACATCCACGTTGTCGTGCTCTTGAGGTCAAACTAAGTAAGAAGTAGCTGCTTAACGTCGGGATTGGGCTTCGGGACCTTCGACGGCCACGAAAATCGTCGTCCGATAGGAAACGGACGGATACGGCTAAAAATGGGCCACATCCACGATAAATTTCGGCCTGAGCTCCCAACGTACACAGTATGTGGTCGACTTCCCCGGCAAGCCAGCCGAGACCCGGTCCCCTAGTGGGAAGACAATCGGGACGTCGAGCGGGCTTATCCGAGATTCTAGGCCAACATATGTAACGAGACCGCTATCAACCCGAATATAGACGTCTGCAATAGTAGCAATGCTTGAGTGGCCTCCTTAATCGATTTTCCATCTGATATCTCAATTCGGCCCGTACAGTGTTTTGCCTGTCACACCACCATCTGATTGATGTCAAGTCATTTCGAACCAAACCTGGCCTTCGAAGCACGTGTTGGACATGGCAGGTTCCGCCCAGCATCGGACTCGACACGCAGACGAAACATGGTAGTTAAACAGACCGTGCCTGCCAAAGCCGCCCTCATTCTCCTCATTCACACCAAGAACCACGCCTGCGGTAGTGTAGGTATCAGGGGTACGTAGATATCTCTCATGAGGCAATCCATTCCAGGTTCTAACCGCCAACCCAATACAATCAGTAAATCACGGATAGCCGGCATCGCTCTGATACCTATGGGCATGCATGTAAGTCGTCTGGTCATACGAACGGTTGCATGTCTGTTGCCTCTGATCCCGGTCGACGTCATACAGTTATAGCTTACCCCTGTCTTTCCCCCACTTGCAGCTTCCCAACCGAAAAGCTCCGGTGGGTAAGCGAACGACGAGTCGACGACAGATCGTCACCAACCTCCTGCTCGAGACCGTAGGGGACAAAGATCTCTGCGTTCCGCGAGATGGTAAAGGACCATCACCAAGGCATTTTCTAACGTAGTTCGAAGGTGTCGTTCGCTCTTCTTGCTCCGATCAGGCTGTATGAGCTACCTGCTCCTTTCTCTCAGTCATTTCTTTCCTCGCTAACCTCAACTATTGTCCTTATGAGTTTTCCCGTTTTTTTCTTCAGCGCAAGAACTTCCTCAATTGAGCTCTTTTGAAAAAATCGGTGAGACGGGCTCGAGCTTGTGCTAAGGTATCGAGGTTTGGCACACTTCAGGCAGCAGTTGGATCCCCATGGAGGTCCATTGTTCCTTCCAGGTCCCCATTCACACCAATCTCCTCGCTGGCGCATTTGCTCTCCCGCCTCTTCTCCCCGGCCGGGCAGTCATGCTGTCTACCTAGTTCTGACAATACATTCGAGCCTCATCAATCAATGCACAACTGTTGTGGACTTCTCTACCTTGACACTCTGTACTGACCACAAACTACTGTACCTACCTAGCTTCTTTCCTGTGCGGCAATGTCACTTTATCTTGCTCTCAACTGCCTGACAAAGACACTCTCCGAAGCACCGGTCTGGATCAATGAACATGAATTATCGTCTAGTGCCGAATCTTCTATTTAGACCGGCAAGCGCCGGGCAGCTATCCACCATAAAGGCCACCAACATGCTGCCTTTGGCTTTTCTTCCTCCCTCTTTGGTTACTGCTGTATCCTCCAAGCCAGATTTAGCCTGGAGACTATACCAGTGTTCCATCTCGATAACCAGAGAGGATCCAACTCGACTCAGTGACCAGAGAGGAACAACCAGAAGAGGACCAACTCGACTGAGTAACCGGAAAGGAAGAGCTCAACTCTCATCACTCGTCCACCCACCAACAAGAGAGCTCTCCACTTGCTCCGACTCAGCCAGAGAGCTCAATCTCTGCTCTCCACGCCACAAAAGAAACTTCCCGAAAGTCCTCCTTAATCCTCATCGATAACAACATCATCATGCCATGTTAGGAAACTCATCATCCATGCACCCGGCTCTCAAAGCCCGGTCTCTCCTCTCCACGGCAGAACAACCTTCTCTCATCACCCTCATACGGGATATGTACCTAATGGTCACGCGCCGCTCTCTCAGAAGAAAAGCTCACCCTCGCCCATCAGAACCCGACGAAGATTCTCCAAGTTCTGCTCCGTCGTCAGCCACAGCTTGAGGACAAAGCTGGGCGGGACCATGAGGACTCCCCTTGCCTGTGCATTGCCGAGGAACTGGCGCAGCGCCGTCTGTGCGGCCACTGTGCCGGCGCCGATCCTCCGATAGCTTGCCTCGCCGGTGCCGTTGTTGTTCGCGCCAACCTGCATGTAGAAGGTGCCGTCGGAGAAGTGATAGGCGATTCTCGGGACGTACTGGCCGGGAGCTGACTGACCGTTGTTGCTGTGGTTCGAAGCCGGGGCCGAGTGACCGGGAGAGTCGGCGACGGAACCCTGGACCGGGCTCGGGGTGTTGCGAGCGGCACTATTGGTAACCGGGGTGGAAACGGCAACGGAGGACTTGCGGGCGCGGGGCTTACGCGGGGTCGACGTCTTCTTGGTCTGCTGCTGCTGCAGTTGCTGCTGCATCATCTGCATCATCTGCTGGAGCTGTTGGTCGCGCTGCTGCTGGATATGCTGGAGCTGCTGCTTGAGCTCCTGGTAGGACGGCTCAGCGGATCCGTTCATCGCCGGAACCGAAGCGGGATGGCCTTCCATGGGAGACGAGTTGTTGTTCGACGACGGCATCCGAGGGTGGGCCTGCGTGGTAGTCACAGGGGAAGCATGGCCGCTCTGCTGCTGTACACCCGCGTGGCCCGAGGCGGTAGTGGCCGACAGAAGAGGGTAGCCCGGAACATAGGGGCTGCCTGTCTGAATTGCCATGTTGGCAGCGTTGGTCTGCTGGGAGAGATGGGTAGTGGCATGAGCCGCGAGGGTCGGAGTCAGCTGGACCTGAGCCGGCTGAGCCAACTGAGCAGAGCTGGTGCCGAACCGAGGAGGTGATGTGTACAACTCCGCGACCTCCTTGAAGAGATCGCCCATCTTCTGCTTAACCGCCACCAACACGGTACCGCTCAAGGGACCAACAAGCAGTGCCTTGCCGAGGGCAGTACCATGTTGCTCCATCTCTTGCATGATCTGGTGGAGGGCCTTCCACGCTCCGCAGTTGAAGGCATGGTTCTCGTCCTCTGGGTTGGTCGCGGTCGCGTCGGCCATGCAACTCTTCGTCAGCTGTTTGATGCGGGCACTCATCTCCGGGGCAGCGAGATTGGTCTGGAAGCCGTCGGCCAGCATTTGACCGAGGGCGGTGCCGCGTCTCTTGACCTCATTGACAAGGCATTTGATGGCCGCTGTGATACCAGCCTTGGCTGCAGTGCTGAATGGTGCAGTGCCGAGGGACATGGTATCACCGCTGGGTGGCGAGATGCCGAAGTGGACAGCGACGTCAACCGGCGTCTGGAAGTTCTGAGCAGGCGTACCCAGGCTTGAAGGGGGCGTATTGAGATCGGGAGCAGACATCTGGATGCGCTGAGGGGGAGTGATCTGGCTGTTCTGGGGCCCAACAGGCAGAGGAAGCGGGGACGACTGCGCAACCGCGACAACTGCGCCTTGTTGATTCACGCTCTGACGACGCTTGGTCGGACTCTCCATGGTATGAGCCGCAGACGCCTTGCGCTTGTTGTCCGACGACGGGGACGCAGTGAGCCGACCCGAGCCCTGGGCCGAAGAAGACATCGGAGCAGACAGAGAACCCTGGGGCGGCGTGTTGGATGCCGAGTCCATGAATGCGGAGTAGTTGGAAAGCTGCTGCGCTGTCTGCTGCACCGGGGCGTGGACAAGCTCAGAAGACATCTGCGCAGCACCAGGCAGGCAGGTGTTGAACATGCCCTGGCCATTGTTGGAAATACCCTGCTGCGGGCTAGTCGAAACGAAGGGATCCGACGCCATGACTTGATCGAGACCGAAGGAAGCAACAGGCATCTGAGTCATCATGTCCTGCGGAGTGGCGACTTGTCGCTGAGCCTGGTCCGGCATCTGCAACTGAATTCTCTGGGGAGCGGTGCCATTGCTGGACTTGGACTTGGCGGCCGTTTTTCTCTTGCGCGGCTGGGCTTTCTTCCTACCTGTGGGAGGCTCAACCTGGCTAGGATCGGCCGAGTCGACGTTTGCTGACATAGTCTCATGGAGCGACAGAAGCTCTGCTTGGACACGGACATTGGCCGCGAAGAACTCCTGGGCTCTAGCATTGAGCAGCTGATCGATCTGATCCTCGAACGACGGTAGCTGAGGGAAGGGGATTTGCTCAGCAGAAACGGTACCCGGCTGCTCTGAAGCGGTGAGATCGATGTAATCCTGATTACCGACCTGTGGTTCCATCTGCTGTAGCAAAGTGTTGATGTCGACATCCTGCCGGTTCGTGGCTTGGGCTGTCGTCTGCTGCGCCGGATTGGGGGGATTGGGGAGGGAGAAGCCATTCTGGTTGGCAGGCTGGGACTCAGTCTGCTGGGTCAGAGTGTTGATATCGCCATCATTTTGGTTGGCGGCCTGGGACTCTGCCTGCAGCAGCAAAGCGTTGATATTGAAATCCGGCTGATTGGTGAGGTCGACACCATTCTGACTGGCGGCCTGCATCTCTGCCTCCTGCTGCGCAAACAGGGTTTCAAAGTCCAGAGGCTCATTGTATTGCGAGTCGAGATCAACCTGCGATCCGAAGGCATCATGGAACTGGTGCTCGAAGTTCTCCGAGTTGTCCTAGAACTGGGAATCTTGAACATCGCCGAAGCTGGTCTGGAGGTCTTGGTCGTTGTTGGAGTTATCAGGGCCCGTTTCCTGCTGGGTCTGCTCCTGCATGCCAGCCATCAAAGTCTCGAACAAGAGCCTCTGCTCCTCCTCCTCCTGGAGCTGGGCCGCGTACTCGGCGTCAGCCTTGAGCCTCTCTTCCTCTTGCCATTTGCGCTCGGCTTCGGCTTTGGCTTCAGCTTGCTTGCGGCGCTCCTCAGCTTCGGCCTCAGCCGTCTTACGGGCCTCTTCGGCGGCAATGCGGTTCTCTTCCTCGACTAAGGCCTGGCGCTGCGCCTCAATCATCGCCTGAACTTTTGTTTGAGTCTCGACTCTGCCCCGGTAAACCTCTCGGTCACGGGCCATCTTCATGAGATACTGCCAGTTATCGAATCGCGAAAGCATCCCGCGCCGCTCATCCTCGGGGTTGTGCTCCATGTCTTTGATGAACTGGATTCGCTCTTCCTTGGCCCTCTGACCGGCACTGATGGCTTTCATCTCCTCCTCAATGTTGTCAATGATGAGCTGAACAGCAGGGTTCTCGGCTTTCCACTGCTCAAAAGAGTGGTGATACTTAGTCCACGCGACCTGGGCGTTGACGGCAGTGGCCTTGAGCTTCTCGGCCTCTGCCTCATAGCCGTCCTTGGCCTTGTTGTCCGCGTTGGTGGTAAACACAGCCCAGGCCCTGTATGCGAGTTTGTACTCGTGCAGAGTCTGTCGGTACTTGCCGTACCGATCCATGAAGTCCGACCGAAGCTGGTCAGCAAGCGGAGTGTCCGGCTTGGGGGGCAAGGGGTTGTGGTTAGCCGGGCCGCCGATTTCAAACTCAGGCGGCACAACGGGAGGTCCGGTGATCCGGAGATTGACCAGGCGAGGGGGGGTGACAGGGGGACGCTCCAGGGTGACTGGCACGGCGATGCCCTCTTCGGCGACAACGGGGACCGCTTCGGTGGCGTGAGCCTCATGGGTCGTGGGGTTGCCGGCCGTGTTGGGGTCGGCGGCCGTGTTGGGGTCGGGAAGGGCAACGTTACCGGTCGACGCATTGGACATTGTTCCATTGCTGTTATGGGATTCCTCATTCGTGCCGTTGCCAGCGGCTTGGAAGGAGTTGGCGGTGGCCGTGGGAAAGCTCAGATGAGCAGCGGTCACTCCGTCGGTACGACCGCCGGACTGGGACTGATCTCCATGGTCGGTTCTAGAATTGACGGTGGGAAAGCTCAGACGAGCAGCGGCCGCCTTGTTGATGGGACCGTTGGTGTTGGACTGGTCACCATGGTTGGAGGCATCATTGGAGCCTTCCTGAGAGTCACCGTTGAGGATCTCATCGAGCTCGCCCAGGTCACCGAACAGCGAGTCAATGTCCGATCCAGTGTCCTTGTTGGCGTCTTCAACACCAACTTTCTGGTCAATTGCGGTGGCGGAAGCGCGGGCGGTATTGTTCTGCCGCACGAGTTAACGAACTGACCGACTGCGTCAAACCAATTACCGGGGCATCACTTACCTCGATCTCAAAATCGTCCTGGGGAGAGGGAGTAGGGTACGCAGCGGTTACAGCATGAGCAGTACCTGACTGCTCGTTGGCGGCAATTTTGCCGCCAGCGGCCGGGCTGGCAGCAGAAGACATCTTACCGACTCGACGAATTGGTTACAATGAGATGAGAGTCGATAACCTCAATACGGCGTGGCCGGCAACCCGGCGGATGAATTGGATGATTGTGGTTTGCTGGAGTGATTGTCAGTGGTGAGGGCCAAGGTAGTGAGTGGGCTGGCGTGCGAGAAAGAAAATGGAAAGAAACGAGAGGTGGAAGATGGTCTTGAAATTGCAGACCGAACGCGACGGGTTCGAGAAACGGCTTTTGGGGGCGAAGTTCTGGAACTCGATCGGATGAATCAACGAACTGGAGAAACTCACGAGGAGAGCTTGGAGACTGATATGCTACCTTGATCAGATGATATCTACGACGTCGACGTTCAGCTGCTGTGGTGATGCTTAGAAGTCGAAGGCTGCTGTGGAAGTTGAAGTTGGTGATGGAGTTTTGGGTGAAAGGTGTTTGAGGAGGGCGAAGAATTTCGAGGGGCAGTCCTAGCTACTGGAAGGAAAGAGGCCTTTTTTTTGGACTTGCTTCGCAAAACACGACGCGAGCACACTGGGAAGTTACCGATTTTTGAAATATAAAACCCCAAAAGCATGTACCGAAACGTGGGAGTTCTCAGGGCAAAGCCCTCAATGGGAGGCACGCCGAAAAGGGACCCAAGTAACTTCATGCAATGGCTTCACACACGACCACTGCCCGTTTCGAAACGCCCTGACTTATAAGTTGTCCTGGGGAGTCAACTACGTCAAGCAACCAGACCAACTTACACTCTGCCTGGCTATATAGTCAAAGCAACTAACTGATACCTTAGGGACTGGCACGGTTTGTGCTTCTAGTTGATGCCAGCTACACAGGCCCAGGCGAACACACTTTTCCAACATTAACATGCCTAAGGCTTTTGACACTCTGCAGCCGCACACATATCTGAGAGATTAGACTTCGCGAGAGGCTCGGGCACCTCATGCAGGCTGTAGATCACCTAGATACCTATAGGTATTTGTGACTCTGCGAGTAACCGAGCAGGTGGCTCAAACATGGTTCATATCGGACACCTGGACCCTAGCTTGTAAGGTAAAGAGCTAGCTAAACTCGGGGATGGAGCCAGTATGCGGTCTTCACTGCCCAGTTAGCAAGTACTAGTATAGAAACATCAACTTAATATTTCTCGTCTCCAAACGCCAGGGTACAAGACGCCTAACGCGTGGGCTACGCGTCACAGTGGCAGCAGATAGGAGGATAGGACATGCAGGGGTCAGTGGCAATGCCAGGAAAAGAGGATGCAGTTATTGATCTTGAGTTAACGAGCCCGACGGGTCTACCTTGGGAACGTAAAAGCGGTAGTAGTGGCGTGCGGAAGATCATTAACGAGGGAAGTGTTTACTGTGTGTATAACTGTATATACTCTGGTGAAGTCGGTGCTGAAGCGGAGTAGTGGAGAGAGGTAACGGGACTTGGAAGATGGATTTCGGTGAAGTACACCTGTATGTAGATATCTTGGTCTTGGTTTTCTAATGGGGACTGTCAAGAACAACTCCTCACTCGTTGCCCTTCAAGACTCTTGCTCACTCCTGCCGCCAGAGCAGTTAACCCAATAAGTATCAGTGTCTCTCGCTGTGATGGCCCCGGCTGTTTCTTCCACCTCCGATCTTGTCACAACCGTAGTTCTATAGGCCAAGAGAGAATCACCAAAGCAGGACCCTACACTGTCGATTTGAAAGTTCAGTTGTTGACTTCCGACTCAGAGGCACCCCAAAGACAGAGACCATACTAGTAGCATCTTCGATCCTCCCCCCCAAGTCACAAGACGCCAGAGACAAGACAAATGAGAATGGTGCCTATTGTACAGACAGAATCCATGGAAACACATGCATACCGGTGCCCTAGCCAACATACTAAACCATTCCGCCCCGACGCCACCTTTGAGACACGAGAGACCATACCCAAATGATTAGCTAGCCTAGACGAGGGAGAAAACCCCCTCCCACTGCAGACCAAGAGAAGGTAAGCATCCAGAACCGGCTCTTCAGCCCCTGGACAGGTCTAACAAGTTCGGGTCACACGACACCGAGCCCCTTCTGGCAAAGTAAACAACACAACCCCCACGCGGCTAAGGCCCGCTGGCTCCTTGTCACCGGCGATCGAATCTGGCAAGAGGACAACACGCACGATTTCCCAATTCGTCTACCGAGTGCCATTCCATTCTTTTCTCATGGTAAAGTTTGAGATTTGTTGAGAACCCCTGTCAACGTCTCTGTTCCTGCGCTGCCCGGCTCCCCGGCTCCCTCCGGTAGGCCATGTGGGAATCCATGATCGTCTGTCAGTATGTATGTACCTGTCTGTCTCAGTTTTGCCAGCATTCTTCTAGTCCGCATTCGACTTTTGCTGCATATTCTCAACCGAGAAAAACCATGAAAATGTGTAAGACAACTGCAAGCGGAAACGAGTGAATGAATCGTCCCTCATAATGCATGCATGCAAGTGCGCTCACTCTACAAATACCCGCTCAAACCCAAAGCCCAGCCACCTCGCACCCTCCCTCCTGTTCCTAACCCTCTTCTCAGATGTCCTTATGCAACGGAACTATGACGACCTCTTGCGGAAGTCAATAACAAACTCCCCAATCAGATCCGGTCCCACCGCCGCGACGAGCTCGGCGATGCGCGACTTGAGCGTGCCAAAATTGGCGATGTCCTCCGTGTCCCATATGACGAGGTGGGAGGCAACAATGAGGTTGTTGGAGAAGTCGGAGCGCAGGAGAAGGCGGTTCATGTCGACCTGTTGCATCTCTTGGAGGGACGGGATGCCGGGCATGTTGCTTGCGAGGAGGAAGGCGTCTTCTTCGGCTTCGCCATAGTCCTCTTCGTCGTCGTCCTCGTCGTCCTCTTCGGCTGCAGATGCTTCACTCATTTCCTGATTCTTGATGGGGTCTGGAGAGGCAGTCTGAGCTCCCGCAGGCAAAGGCAATGGAGCGGGCCGAGGGCCGCTGGACTCGGCGTCGGTGCTGTTCATGACCACCTGCCTGCCTGTGGCTCCTCCCCGGTCTTCTTGTCGCCGCGAAAAGCAAACGTAGTGCTCCTTGTCAAATAGCGCCAGAGCCTCCTTGTCAAGCAAGTACCACCTGAGATCCTCCGGATCCAGCACATATTGGGGTTTGTACTCGATCTTGTACCGCATCTTGGCGCAGTTGTGCACGTAATACCCGGGGTACCACCAGCGATAGCCCGCCTCGCGGGCCAGGGCGATCTCCCTCAGGGCGCCAAGCTTCCCCGGGTTGAGCGAGTGGATCGATTCATGGTACAGAAAGTACACAGCACTAACGCAGTCCGGCAAAAGGTCCAGGACACCCACGGCGACCAGTTTCCCGTCGATGCGGTAGCACTGGTGGAACGAGCCCAGCTGGCGCTCGGTGCCGTCCGGACCGGTCATCGTCTCACGGGTCAGGGGGGAGCCGCACAAGAACCGCTTGAACCCCTGCCGCGAGATCCTATCGGGGGACTCGCCGTGGACCTTGCGTTGGTAGTTCTCAAAGACCTCGTACTTCTCCTCGGTAAACGTATCCGGCTCTAGCGTGACGCTGAAGACATGGTCCGGAGACGGCGGGGACTTGAGCATCTCGGCCTCGGGCTCATGGATTCTCTCGATCAGGTCGAAGACATTGTGCCGCCTCCTGACCTCGGCGCGGGAGCGTGGGTGCAGTCGGGCCGCATCCCTGACATACGTATCCCCAACGATGTGGCGGTTGAACCGGTTGACGGCTTGACGCTGATCCTTGGCCGGATGGAACTGGGTCGAGTCGAGACGGAGAGTGTAGTGTGGACAGCAGGAGTGCTTCTGGTTCGGCCGGTATAGGAGAGACCCTGAACGTCTCCAGCATCGGTCGACCAGCTTCTGGTAGAAAGCCGGCGTCAGGGACGTTGCAATGGCATAATACGAATAACCTGCCAAGACAGATAGTTAGAACACAGTGACGGCACCAAACGTAGGCGGCGGCAGGGTGTTTGCCAGATCGCGGAAAACAAGGACCGCGAGGCCGAGCAGCTGATCGGCCTGGAAAGTCGCAGCAGCCGTCGGATGATCTACAAGTGGTGGGATGCGACTGGGTATGTCACTGGTAGTGAGGGAGAACATTTCTAACGTTTAGTCGACTGACCACTGCGAGTCTGGCGACAATACCCGCACTCGGATGAGTTGCTATATCCTATTGGTTTACGATACTGTCAGTACCCAGCGTGTAATGGATTCGTAAACAAAAGATAACCGCTTTGTGTAACCAGCGTAAGATGTAGTAGTAGGTAGGATGAACTAAAAGGGGGCAAGGGGTACGGCAGCCATGCCGCGATCTGCTAGCCAGGCGCCCGCTGTTCGCTCCCGCACGTGATGAACACGACCTTTTAACTCATCATCAATATTGCAGAGGTAATGAATGGCCAGGCCCCATATGGGGTTCAAGACCGGTGAGGTGTTGAGGAGGCTGAATCTCTGACTGATGGAAAAGGCCCCAGCGCCCGGCTGAGCGCGGGATGCTTCGATGGTGTGGCACTCTTGGAGCCTGGGGAGAGACAACGGGCACAGGGCAGATCGGGAAGCCGTCTCGGGAGCCACTTGGCGCAGAATGCGGGAGGAGATCGCGTGGCCTCGACGGCCGGCTGGCCAACGGCAACGTGCCATTGATGCACATGGCCCGAATGGTTGGGTGAGACGGCTTGCACGCGTCGGGACTCACCGATTGGAAAGAGGTATGAATACCGTGCTGCAGTGGCACCCGGGGTCTGCATGCCTGCGCCTTCCATTTCGAGCCTGCCCTAACTGGTGGAACCGAGCGGGTAACGCCTGCCTCGGACCCGGGCAACTTGCAAGGCTTGAAAAAGACCCGGCGGCGGGGCAGCCGGATAAGGCGTGAAAGCCACAGCCGCAACTTCGAGTGTCGTGAACGAAGCCAAGTCCTAAATAAATAAGTCTCGGCGGAGAGGAGCTGCAATGGAAAGCTGTTTTGTTAGAAGGGCTCGTGCCAACTGCCGGCAGACCGACGGATAACCGGTAGTCGGTGGAAACGGAGTTGACCGGCCGAAAGGGGGTAGGTAGGTGCCGGGTCGGGTCGGCTCGGGTTGCGTGCGTGTTGGCACACGGCGTGTATACCAAGGATCTTGTCGTCCGGACGCTCCAGGGATCAAGACTTTTGAGAGAAAACCCGTCGTCTCCCACTGACGACCAGCGAAAATCCGACCGACGAGAAGCTAGAAAGCCAGCCGGTGCCAAGATCACGCGTGTTGAGATCACTAGACAGAAATCCAGGCCAGCGGTTCGTCCAGGACCCCGCGTGGGAGCTCGGCGTCAGCGTGGGGGCGTCGAGTGACAGAGAACGGAGGCGGAGGGTTTGATGTCAACAAGGAGCAGTTGGATGTCTGGTAACTAATGTACAGGTAGGTACCCGCCGGTGCTAATAATGGAAGGCACCTCCAGGGCTGATGCTTTCAGGCGCTGAAGCCCTCTGGGAGCTATTTCCGTCGGAAGAAAGCCCGAACGCAGAAACAGCTCAACGTGTGACCCCCCCACCATTGCACCCGTTTCCGCCTTCCATGTGCATAAACTGCCCCGCAGTTTTACCCGGCAGGGATTTGAATAAGTTATCGCGTATGTAGCCTATGACTCGACATAGCGACTGAGGTATGCGGAGTGATTGGGTGTCCCCAAAGCTTTGTGTAAGCTGGTTTAAAGGAAGCATTCAGGGGGACATGGATTTTGAGAAAATACCCCACACGAGGATGCGAGCGTTCATACGGATGTACTTCCGTAGACATTGAGAACTTAAACCCCGGAAGAAAGGTGTTGCAACTTGAACCTCCAGTTTGGTTGTCCCGTGGTTCTGTAGAATTCATGTTCAAAGCTTCTCATGCACCCCCGGCTCCACACGCTGCGATGCTGCAATAAAGGGAACCAGTGAAGACAATCCGTCGTCAGCTCTCTGAGATGATATAGCCCATGTGTAAATAATTTCAGCAAGAAATCTGTAGATAGAATAGCTTGAGAATGTTTTAGGGAAGTTGTGGACAGGCTAGGTACTTCCATCCTTTTGAGCACCTACGTAAGGTGCAGTACATCCCAGGTCATCTGGGGTTTGTTTTTGTTAGCTCCAGTGACTTGTTGGCTGACCACCAAAACCACGGTAGTAAAAAGTGGGCCTGGCGGTACTTGTGTAGTTAACTAGTGCACGGGCCCAGGGATGAACTCTGAATCTCTGACTTGCTAGACGACATTGGAAACCTTCCCTGCTTCCTTAGGTAGGAAGATACCTTCTTGCCCACTAACGCCTCAGAGCCAAGTTCTGCTCGTGAACGGGTACCGACAAGGCTGTGATTGGTGTGTTCAAGTTGTCGGAAGAAGCAGGTTTGATACTGTAGTCAGTGCCTGACTGGGTGCAATAGCTTTGCTCTGACCGTAGTACGTGTATAACCACACTTGTACTACCACTGATCGGCTGGACAGATTCCTGTGTCTGGATCCATTCAATTATCCATTTCAGTCTAGTATGCTCAAGGTATGTTCTGACGAGTCTCTGTGCTGTCGTCTATGTACATGTACACTGTACATCAACACAGTATGCCTAGTATAATACAAGGCACTTATCCTTCCTAAGGACTGTGCAGATGTGGTACCTCCACCCAGCGTTTTCTTGCGCTTTGAACCCCAAGAAATTAACTAGCTCGAGTGTTTCCACCCGCCGTGGGCTTTTCCTCTTCCGTCCTCCACGACCAATTCTGCCCACATCTGCCTCTGCCAAAATGACTGTCATCTCGCCGCCTGTGTGGGGTACCGTCTGAGGAGAAGCTACCCCTGCTTTCCGCACACAGATGCGTGCAGCGGACATGAAGGGGCAGGCTGCAGGGAGTGGCTTGCTAGCCTTCTTTTGTGTCGACTGCCCGTAGGCTCCGGCCGGCGAACAGAGACTTCCAAATTTCGTGACATCTCAGTCTCCATTGTATACATAGTATAAAGACCAACTCTAACCTCCCCAGGGAAGCTGCCCCTCGATCCTGAGCTGGGGCATCAGCAAGCTGCCCCAGGCCAGCGCTCCTTACCGCCCTGTTCCAGTCACTCGGCGTACATCCCGCTATAAGATACCTACATACTTTACCCGCCCCAAGGCCTTCGCATTGCATCACGACAAAGCTAGCCTTTCGCGGCCGACGTCGGTAGCGTGCGCATGTGCTCCAGCGTGGCCGGCCGAGCTTTGTCGCATGTTCCAGGTTGCTCTCGTTACCTGCTCTGGCAAAGCACGTGTAAAGTGACGAAAAAAAATCTGCTCGCGTAGCTTCCACCGCGTCATCCCAACCTTCGTCCGATCCTTTGTCCGGGCCCGAATTGGCAGTCGCCACAACCGGACCACGTCTTTTCGCCCGGGACGGTTTGGGCATTACATTTCCAAGACGCGGTCGTCGCGACTTCGTTCCGCCACACAGCCAATTGCTGTAGCAACAAGAGTTCGCCGCGTCACTCGTTTCACTCTACGCACGCCTCGCTGAAGTCGATAAACACCGGGTTCGCCCCCTCGTGCGCACTTGTATAAGCAACACAGTTCCGCACGAGTGTTGAAATTCGGTTCTCAACCCATCCGTCTACACCCCAACTGGTCAACCAGCTCAACAACCCCGGTCTGAAGACTCACCGCCTCAGCAAACCAATCTATCAGCGACCATGCAGTCTACGGCTCATTAGAAGCGTCTCGCTTTCTTTCCTCTTCCGAAAGTGTTCCCTGCAACTGCAGACCCACGCTTTCCTTCACCCTTTACTCAACCGGACCTCCCCTGCCATCCGTCCCGGACGCCTCCAGGCCTTGTCGACGGGAAACTCGTTCGAAAGATGGCAGCATCAAATTCAAACGGTCGTTCAATGGAGTCACGAGTTGGGAGAAGCAATCAACGTGAGTAGTCCCTCGCCCATAAGGATGGCAACGACACCCACCACAGGTGAACTCCGCTCCTGCGGGTCAGAACTGATTCCCCTCCTGCAGGATACAATTCGAAAGGCGAGCGCCTGGTCGCCGGCGTCGTGCCCCTGACTGAAGATAAGGGACATGTTATGCTGATCCAGTCCACGCGGCGGAAGGGCTGGGTGCTACCCAAGGGCGGCTGGGAGACAGACGAAGAGTGCCACGAGGCCGCGGCGCGCGAAGCCTGGGAGGAGGCCGGTATTCTGGTCCAGATCGACTACGATCTGGGGGACATCCAGGAGCTGAGCCCACGGAAGAAGACCTCTTCGTCTAGTTCCTCCTCATCCAAGGGTTCAAGTAAGGATTCCAAGGATGGCAAGGAGTCGACAAAGTACAAGCAACGCTCGCTCTACCGGTTCTTTGAGGTGACCGTCACTAGCGAGGAGCCTGATTGGCCGGAGAGGGAGAAACGCGAGCGCAAATGGTTCACGTTTGCCGAGGCGAAGGAGATGCTCAAGGACAGGCCGGAACTGCAGACGGCGCTGGAGCGGTCCACCATGAAGAGGTAGCCTCGGGCCGTGCCATGTCGATAAACGAGTCGATAAACGAGTCGATTTCCAAGCGTGGGGGATCAGCTGCCCGCCGGGGTTCCCGTGCCGTGCTTCTCGGTCAAGGAGCGGTTCTTGATGTGGCAGCGGATTTCTTTCTTTCTTTCTTTCTTTCTTTCTTTTTCCTTTGGCTTCGCGGCTTCGCTTAGAGCATGCTTTGGCCCCTGCTCTGCTGCGCCGGTCTCTCGCGATCTCGTCTTTATCTATCTTGCGCATACGGTCGGTCCTCTCGGGTTTGTTGTGTTTATCGGGAAATCGGGATTCTGGTCATCCCCCAAGGATTGGCTACGGCTAATATGCATGTCTCTGGGAGTTTGCGAGGGTAAGGTGGGCTTTGATAGATTTGTTTTGCGCTTCTGTTGGCATCCCCTTTCCTCAGGGACGAAACAATACAGAGGGGATAGGTACCAGGTAGCATTTTGGGGGCCAAGTCGTTCGGGTTTGTGAGAAAATGAAAGCATTGATACACACGAGGGCTGGGGGGTACTCTGATATGGTTGCTTTGCATCATCTAAGCTGGGTTGGGCTTCGAGTACCTGGTAGGTATCATAGATGAGGGGATAGGCGGGAAGAGCCTATCGAGAGAACTGAAAGTAACAAAAATCAACTTTAATTACCTTAGACTGGCTGTTAAATTGCCAACTGGGTATCACGCAGAAAGCCATAGGGTACATTGATACACTTGCTGCACGGCTCTCACTCCCTTGATCGCCGAAACACTGCTGCTGCCTCAGATCTCTTCCTTAGGTAAGATGGTACTGCTGAGATGCGTTAAAGGTTCAAGAGAAATGGTACACTCACACTCGGCCTGCCTAAGGTACCTACCTAGGTACCGTAACTTACAGTCGTGGAAGGCATCCACACCGATGCACCTGACCCCTGGAAACTCCGGATGCTCCTTCCCCAGGTTCCTCTCAACTAACGACGGTGCTATCTGGTGGCACCACTCCTGTTCCATAGTCAGTGGCTTAGATCTAGATCTGGTTACTTTGCACCCTCTCGACGTACTAGTAAGCTGAACGCGCTCGTCCTCTCCCACTCCCTAGAGAGGTCGATATCGTTCTCTGCCAGTCAGCCTTCGCCCGCTCGACGCGACGAATCTCGCCTTACGATGCGGCCGTCCAAGAAACCCATTTAGAATTTAGCCTTCGACCTGCCTGTGGCTGTCATGCTCGTCGTTCCAATCGACCTTGGAAGCATCAAGGTCTCCGGGAAGCAACCGAACCTCTCACTCGTTCTCTCGAGCTCCTTCGTCATAGCGCTCCCGACTTCGTGGACTCATCTACCAACTGCGCAAGAGCTGTACGAGGCCTCGTCGCTGGGCAAGCTTTGGATCTCCAAGGCTGGGTCCTGTCGAATCGAGGTCTTAGGCCTGGATAGCAACGAACCGTCCAGCGTCATTGATCAGCACACCATGTCCGCTATCGTCAACTTAGTACAGGACTGTCCAGTACGTAAGATTATCACGCACTAGAACATGGTTCTAACGTCTCAGGTATGGAAACACATAGGGCTTGAACTCCGGGCAAACCACGCCGCCCCCACTCAACGCGATGAGAGCCATCCACAAGCATCCTACTTTCTTCATCACCCGGACCTCTCATCCGAACTGATTGCGCCTTCAGACATGCCATCGGCTCAATTTCAAGGGTTGATGTGCAACATCAGCTTCAGCTTCGACTCGTCGGACACCGGGGTATCTAGCAAAGAGCCCGTGAGCCCTGCTGGGCAGGCACGGCAAGCGCCCTTAAGACATACTTATAGCCTCAGAAGTAATCCGAAGCGCAGTATGAAAGCAATTGAAGCCCAAGAGGAGATAAATGACGCGATATCAGACTCCTCGTCGACACCAGATTCGTCAATTGCGTCAAGTCTCGGAGAATCCGGTCGAGAGGACCAGGAGCCACTCGGACCAGAGGATGTAGTGTTCGAAATGGGGCGCCTCCTGGATTTCGCACTTCGAAAACTAATTGGAGTCAAGGGACTTTCGCCGGGCATGAAGATCATCAAGAGATTGGCAGCACCCTCGTTGACCGACATCGCTCCAGCCGTCTGGGACCTTCAATATCTTCAGGCAGGAACCCAAGCCCACGTTCTTTGAACAACGCTAACGATGATTACAGACGATGTCGATACATGCGCAGGTTATCCCAGGAATCGCTGCCGGGGTGTCTCGCCTCAGGAATGCCCGCTCTTCGGGTCTCCGCAAGAAGCTGAACAATCTCCTTCGCAAGCAAAACGCAGTTGATGATAGCATTCGAGACTCTGTGGATGTAGAAGAAGCCACTGTCACGGATGAAGTCAAGAAGCGACTGTGGACGTTGTGCCAAACTCGCATCCGGCCGATTCCGGCTAGAGGGAATCAAGTCAGAAAGGGAATGGATGGGAACATGACGAAGCACCTGCCCGTCCAAATCGTGCCTGAAGGGGAAGTGCTGATACAGCATGCGAATTCACTATGCTACGCCCGTGTCGTCAGCAACAACATTACTATCGAAGACGAGAGCTTTGAGTTGGCGACAGGCTTCGACACATACGGCTTACCAGGAACATTTTTCGAACCAGACTCCCCTCCCGAGCTGGAGCATATTCGGCATACCGCCGAATCCTACACATCAGAGGACGCGGCACAATCATCGGACGATGGTACACACAGGTCCGAGGTTGACTATTTTTACGCGGACGGACAAGGAAATGTGTACCCGATTGAGCGACATGCTGTTCCCGGGTCTGGCGAGGTCGGATGGCCGGTAATACCAGAAGTGACTGAAGCTGAAGGGTGCACCCGGGAGGACGAGGAAACCGCAACGTCGTGGGACGAGAGCCCAAACGAAGAGTATATTATGTACCATGAAAGGGAACATTGGCCCCTTGCGGGAGGAGTCCCAATGCTCGCAGAAGCCGCCGGACAGTCCCTGCTGCTACCATAATTTGATGACGGTCGCTTCGATGGCTGCGTAGCTGATTGACAAAGCCAGGAACCAGCCAGCAGACGCACACGGCAGTCGTCCCGATCCGCGGCTCATTTCAGGCCTAAAGACCCTCCACGCCCCCCTTCTGTCAAATCATCAAATCAACCCAAGTTCTCCACGACGCTCGAGATATGATACCTCTCGAAGTAACATCAACTGCGTCTCGTTCCCCCAGACTCAATATCCCAAATGGAGCCGGCTTGTGACTGACAATGGCATATACCCTCTCACACCTGCTGCCCCCCCAGTCGGAAATCAACTCCACAGTTCGCCGGCCAAAGCTCGCAACAGTTCAGGCATGGTTTCTGAGGGCGCCTTTCCCTCGCTTGATCCGCTACCATATTTGAATCCGAAAGACAGAAGCCCTTACTTCTTCTCGGGCTTCTTCTTGTCTTTCTTGGCTTTCTTTTGTTCCGGCTTCATGGTAGCGTAATGGATGTACCATAGTAGCACACACTGCAGGATGACGGCGACGAGGACAATGAGGAGGATAGTGAAGAGAATGGGCTGGTCGTTGAGGACTGCAACTGCCTCTGGCGTCGCGCCGATGCTGCCGAACCAGTCGAACTGCCCCATCTTGTCGGCGACTTCTCTCGGGGTGGGCTTGGAAAAGAGGATAAGATTCGGGATTTGCAGTTTTGAGTTGACGTCAATAAGCGGAGGAAATGAGGGCCGTCAGCGGGGGCTGTTAAGGAAACACTTGCTGACGTCGCCGGCGCCGTAGCAATGGTTTAGACGGGGAATCAGTCTTAAAGGATGGTCTGTACACTAAGCAGGTCGAAAAGAGACGAACAGGGAATTCAGACGTAGTGGCTCGAGAAATGGGGGTGATTGAAGGCCACTTGGCCCCGGCCATGTGAAACCCCAGACTTCACGATGAAGCCGATTTCAGCGAGGGTGCGATTTCAATCAACGGAAAGGGGTTGCTGTGTTTCAGGCCCGTGGCAGACTCAAACGATTGAATCAGATAAGCTGGAATTGATTGGCTGGCAAGGGTCCACCATTTGAACCACAGGCCGATGGCCAGAAGCCATCACTAGTGTAATTCGCCATCACCAATTCGCCATCACTCGGGCGCAGTGCATACGGAGTTGGATTGAATACCTTCTCGGGCGATGAGCTGTAAGTTTGACTGGCTAATAACACTGTTTTATGGAACCGACCAAGAGTAGACTCATAGACACAACACAACTTCCATGTTCCATTTTCCTTTTGGTAGTTTACTTAGAGATCACATGATAAGGCACGAGGTGTCGCCCATGCCAAGCCATGCGTCTCCACTGATGCACTGAAGGGCTCATGATTGGATACCCACGCCGATTGAAGTATCCTTCCTAACTCGGACAGCCTCCGCGCTTGGGCCCAAAAAAATTGCTGGCATCCGTCTCAACGTATCGCAGACGGGGTAGTTCCGTGCGGATAGAAGCGATACGTGAGTGTTTGGTACCCGAGCACCAAACGCCAGCCACCGGGTGTCCGGCAGTGTCAGTTGAGCCCAAGCTATGAGCGTAGCACGTCCAGCCGCCAGGAGGCTCATCTCCGGACGCCTGGCCGCGGTGCCAGGTCCTGCATGCGCTGCTCCTCCGTCGACGGCGCCATGCCACCACCAGCTCTTTGCCCACCAGTTTCACAGCTCGCCTCAAATGTCGGCGAGGCGGCGGCCACGATTCGCCAACGTGCGGGCAGCGGATATGGGCTTGACGGACGAGCGGCAGATCGACCGGTTCACAAAAGAAAAGTTCCCCAAATACACCAAAGAGGAGATCGCGCAGCTGCGGAACCGGTACTCGCCCGAGCAGATCGCCGCCCTCGAGGCCGGTGAGGCGGCCATCGACCCGCGCGACCTGACGGTGCAGGGCCGTCTGCGCGTTGACCCCTACAGGCTACCCTACATCGACGATTTCGCCGAGACGCAGCCGATCATCGACAAGCGGCCGAAGTGGAAGGATGCGCCCGACCCGAACGCGAGGTTCATGAACATGGACGAGTTCACCCAGGACCTGATCGTGTGGGCCGACAAGTTCCAACAAGGGAACGTGACGGGAATGCTCAAGACGCTGGTAGACTTCGTGCCAGAAGAGTTCCAGAAGGTGCCCGAGGCGCAGTGGCCAGGCGAGGTGCGGCAAGAGGCGCACAAGGCCTTCCACAACTACCTGGAAGCCGAGGTCAACAAGCAAAAAGACAGGAGCCCGGACGAGATGGGCAGAGGGCCGACCGACGCCGACGTGCTGCAGTACATTCTCGAGCGCTCCGCCATGACGGACAACAACCGGACGACCGACACGTCGCTAGCCCACGCGCTGCCGAGCAAGGTGCCCGGCGTGGCGGGCCTGTATAAGGCCGCCATTGATCCTGCCGACAAGGGCCTCGATGACATTGGCGTCTACCAGGACCTGAAGAAGCGCACGGGCATGAGCGTGCAGAACATCCTGCGGCTGCAGACGAAACTGCTAGTCAGGCGCTTCGTCTCGAACCAGACCCGTCTGGGCAAGGTGCAGAAGCAGTCGATCCTGTACGTCGCCGGCAATGGCGACGGGTGGCTCGGAATCGGCGAGGCCAAGTCGACCGAGGGCAGTATTGCGGCCATGAAGGCGCGCCTGCTCGCGATCCGGAACATGCAGCCGATCCGCCGGTATGAGAACCGGACTATTTACGGCAACGTCGAGGCCAAGGTGTCGGGCACCATAGTCAAGATGGCTGCTCGTCCGCCAGGTAGGCTGGCTCGAGACTACAAGCGAACTTGCCGGGGCTATGTGTATACTGATGAAAATGCCATTCCTAGGTTTCGGCTTGCGCGTCTCGCACCGCATCTTCGAAATGTGCCGCTGTGCCGGAATCTACGATCTCGCCGCCACCATCCCCCGCTCCCGCAACCCTATGAACTCGGTCAAGGCCGCCTACAAGGCGCTGTGCAGCCAGCCAGACCCCGAGGAGATCGCCATCGGCCGCGGCAAGAAGCTGGTCGATGTGCGCAAGGTGTACTATGGCGGCGATGTATACTAATTCGTTTGTTGTCTGTGTTCTATATGGTGCAGATAACGGACCTTGTAGAAACTTGTATCAACAGCGGGATGTGGGAAGAGCTTGGGCCTCGTCCGTTTGTTGCGCGCGCCTGATTTGGCTTGCTGGTATCTGTTCTCGTTCCTGGCCTGATGTTCGCGCCGACCCATCTGGGTAGCATAGTAGTCCACCGCGGCGGGTTGAATCCTCTCGGCCACTCCTTGATTCATCCACCTCCTTACTCCAGGCGTAAACATGCCCCGCCTGCATGGGGTGGGTGGGCGACACTCATACGAAGCGATGCATCCCCCTTGCTTCCGCCCCTGGCTCCAAACCGTAACCACACATGTGCATATCCGTCAGCACCTGGCTGAATCCAACCCCGACATACACGTGTACCCGCAGCCTTTTATATGCGATTCCCCTGCCAGGCCCTCAATCATCCCCTTCTTAAAGAACAAGTCCCTCACTTGACCATGTTCTTCACCCCTGCTGCGCCGCACCATCCCAGCCAATCTCCTGCTGCAGCACGATACTGTACACGCTGGCCTTGAGGAGCGTGAACACCAGGCTGGTCTTGCGCTCGAGCTCCCTGAGGCCGTCAAGGATCTCGGTTGCTGGTGCGCTGGCAAGGTTGTCAAGGAGACCGGCGAGCTGTTTACAGCGGAAGGGGGGAGGTTTCCCGTTTCCCATGTCAGTTTTATTCCATTTTCTCTCCCAGCATGGGTATAAGATAAGGTCTGTATTGTATGTGCATGTGCATGCACGGTACAATACAAGTGTCGCAGCAAGTTGGAGGGGAAGGACACGGACCTTTTTCATGTTCTCTGCTAGCCGCTCATACTCGTCAAGGACCTCTTGCTCGAGGGGAGTGAGCTCGGGTGGTGAGGTGAGAAGGGAGCTCTGCGGACGTGGTGGCGGGTCCATCTTTCTCTGTGGTGATGCTGATGCTGATGTTGAGTGCGGTGGTGTGTGAGTGAGTGCTCAGTGCTGACTGACTCGGAGCCTGAGACACGGTCGACGCGAACGGGTGTGGAAGATGTGGGGTCGAATGTGGTGTAATTTACGGTATCAGAGTGAAATGCCAGCGGTAAGTTGCGAGTCTTTCGATAAGTCCATACGAAGTACGCTCTGGTGATATGACTCGGATACTTATACAAAGTAAGATACCCGTATGAGCAGCATCTGTGTCCCTGTATCTTACGATCGGGATTGGGACAACACTGCTTCCCCGAGTCTTCGTGCCGCGAAGCTGGCTTATGATCATGAGGCAGAGCTCATATGTGTTAGCGGGTCACGGTCATAGCATCTCGTCCACGGCGGAATATTATCGTGGTTCAACAATCCTGCCAAGCCCTTTCCAGTGACATTCACTCCGTGAAAGACGCACGAAACCAATGCACAGTAATGAGGCAGCACACAGGCTTAGCTGCCCGCAAGAGCATGGCCGAATCTCACAGACACTATTTTCTACTTCTGTTTTGACTGTGTGGTGTAATGGCCAGGGTCTTGCTTCTCTCCTCATTCCTCCGTTTCCTCCTTGCCAATCCAACCACCCGACGCAAAGCCCTCCTCTGAATGAAAGGGAAGAGGGGAAAACGCCATTCCATCAACTCCATCAGATGAAGCGTTGAGTACATGAACATGAAAAAACGCTCGTATAACTGGCCCCCTCAATGAAAGAGGCCCGTTTCAACCAATCTCCACCTCCTCTCCGTATACTGGCACGCAGCTCTTTACCAGTCTTCAAATGAATGTGTTGTGGATGCCGACGGGAACGAGACACGATAAATGACCCATGAATTATGCCCATCCCGCACGCGAATAGCTTCTGCCTGAATAGCAGGTAAGGAGACACCACACTCCCCCCAGGTCTGTCACTCAGATCAACATCGCCTCAGCTTAAAGACTCATACCCCTCGCTGGCATAATGCTCGTCGCCGTCATGATGTAGCGTGACGCTATTGAACTCCTCAAACGGATCCGGCGTCTCGCCACCCGGCGTCGCGAGCCCGCTGTCCAGCGGCACACCTTTCACATTTTGCATCGGCCTCGAGCCGCTGATATCGACACTCTCGCTCTCCTTGACATTCCTAAAGTTAATCGTGTCGATACCGCGGCCCTGGTTCGGGATGATTGGCGGCTTCATGTGCCGGATCAGCGCCCACTGCGTGGTGCGGAAGAAGGGGTGAGACTTGATGTCAGAGGCGCCCGCGCGGGCGCCTAGGCGGCGGTTCTCATCTTTGATGAGGAGTTTGCGAATCAGCGATTTGCAAAGGCTTATTATTTCATCCACACGTTAGCAGTAGGGATCAAGGAGGGGGAGCCGAGAGAGGGTGAACTGACTTTGATATTTGTGGTGCCCCGGCATGATCTGGGAACGGGATGTCTTCCCGGAGGATGTTGGCAAAAGTCGCGTTACGATTCTTGCCCTTGAACGGCGTAGTGCCGTACAACATCTCGTAGATGAGAATGCCGAGCGTCCACCAATCGACGGCGCTGGTGTGCCCACTGCCCCTGATCACCTCGGGGGCAATGTACTCTTCCGTCCCGACGAACGAGTTTGTCCGGAAATTGGCGATACATGACTTGGTGTCGATCGTTGGTAGCGAATTCGAACTGGTGCCGTTCTTGCCGAGAATCATGGTGGGCTTGCCGCCTGGATCCGACTGTTTTGACAGATCGAAATCTGAGAGCATGATATGGCCAGACTGATGGAGCAGGATGTCTAAAGGTAGACAAGTCAGCAAGCTATCCCTGAATTCCCAGTGCGCCGAGACCTACTCTCCGGCTTCAAGTCCCGGTAGATGAAGCCCATGAGGTGCAGATACTCCAAGGCCGCCGTGACCTCGGCCGCGTAAAAGCGGGCATCCTCCTCCGAGATGCACTTCCCAGGCCGCGTCTGTAGGGCCCTAAAGAATTCCCCACCGCTGCAGTATTCCATGCATAGGTATAGATAGTCCTCGGATTGGAACGAGTGGTACAGCGTCACGATAAACGGGTGGTTGCTGGTGGCCAGAATCTCCTGCTCCGCCAACGCCCTCTTGATCTTGTTCCGCTTGATCATCTCCTTCTTGCTCAGCACTGGGATCATCGTTAGCAGGGGGGGTCCCGTGACATTGAGCCTGTATCTGATGCTTTGCGCGGATACTGACCCTTCATGGCATACAGCCTGCCGCTCTTCTTTTCCCGCACCAGGTACACCTTGCCCACATCCCCCTTTCCGATCAACTTGATTTTATCGAAGCTCTGCGGGCCGACCTCTACATTCCTGACTTTGATGGAGTTGGAGCTGTACGTCCTGCGGAACGCAAGTGATGACTGACTCGGCGGCGGCAGCGCCCCGAGACCGTCCGACTCGGGAGGCGAAAGACCGCCATTTGGGCTTGGGGTTCCGTTAGCCGTGCCGTCGGCAAATCCCATCGTGTTTGAGTCTTTGCTCTCCTCCAGAGGCTCCTTGCCCATCTCGGCGGTGGCGGGCCGCTCCCCATCGCCATCTCCCTTGGAGAACAAGCCCTGCGCATTCGGGGCGCTGGCTACTCTCCTCAATTTCCTCGCGAGCTCTTCTTTTGTGCCAGCGGCTGCTTTCTCTGGCGCGCCGCCATTTGGCCCCACGACCTTGAGCATCGGGGTATCGGGTGGGCTCGGAGGTACAGAGCCCTCATTGTGATGCCGTAAGCCAGGTTGGCCCTGGTGGGCGAAATAGGGGTTCGCATGAGCAGTCGGACTCAGAGTCTCGTCGAGCGGGTTACCTTCGCTAGCGGTAGTAGCGCTGCGCAGGCGGCCGACGCTGAAGAATCTCGTCTGGCGGAAGGCGCTCTTCGTGTCGGAGCGCGCGGCATTCTGGGTGGTGGTTTCGGCACGATCGCGACCGCCTGAGGATATGCGGAAGAAATTCTTGAGTCGCTGGGGGAAATGACTGTCGCCATTGGCGTTCTTTGTCGACGGCATCTTGGGTGGTCGTCGTTTGGATCATGAGGACCGAGCCATGGTGGTCTGAAGACGGAATGGATGGATACGGAGGTAGGTGACGGGGAAAGAGGTGGTGGAGGCAGGCTTGGCGAGCGGCTGATGGGCAGTTCTTCGAGGGGGACTGGCAGCTGCCCGCAGTGAATGCTGGCCTATGAACAGGATCAGCCTCCGGAATACCTCTCCGTAATCTGTACCTAACTACCGTCGGGTCTCTTATTACAGGGATCCCGTGTCATGATTGGACTCTGGCCACAAGTCACCTCAACCTACTAGTAGCTTTATTAACCCTGACTTTTAGGGGGCTCATTTTAGGGTTATCGCTGGTTCTGGCCAGAATCCAGCCATGACCGGAATCCCTGTAAGAGCCGTGAGCCCCGGCATCCGTGCAGTCCCGTCATGGGCTATCCGTACTGTGGGCTGGATTACCAATACGGATTACTCGTGTCCGCACTGCAAGTCTCAGTTTGAACTACAGGCATGAAGCAAGGCATCTGTGATGATGTGATGGTGGGCTTGTTCCCCTTGTTCCTACTACCTGCCCAGTAGTGCAGTTGCTGCTCCTCCAGCTACGGTAGGGTAACACTGCACATCAAGCGACACGATACAGTATTACAGCAACAACAAGAGTGGCCCGACAAGCACAAGTGAAAGCAATGCCTTTCGCTCCCGCCCTCTAACGCCAAGTACAGTATCCTTCGGATGTCCCCCGTATGCACTTCCTGCCGTCGAATATGTCATGAAATGGGATTTTTAGGCCAACAACCCCCTCCACTCTGCCATCCCGCCCCCGCACACACGGTCAGCATAGTCCCTAAACATCTTCTGCCGCGCCCTCTTCCCGCTCATCGCCTCCGCCATCCCCTTGAGCTCCTCAACGGTGTACTCGGGCTCGTCAGGCGCGTTCTGGTCGCGCTGCTGCACGACCCGGTTGAGCCGGGCCTGCCGCTTCTTGCGGTCGTCCTCGTTCTCCAACTGCTGGTCGCGGATCGAGGGGGTGACCTGGTTTCCCCTGGAGTCGAAGAGGTACGAGGGTAGCGGTTTGTCCTTGTCCCCCGCGTCCTGGTCCTTATGGATCGAAAAGGCCAGGGAGGGCGTGCTGCTGCGCGGGCCGTCGCCCACGTGCCAGAGGAAGGGCGCCAGGTGGGATTTCTCGAGGTGCGCCGTGAAGGCTTCGCGCGTGGCGAGCGGCGGGCAGGCGCAGGTCGACCATTTGCAGGTTAGTGGTGAGTGGCTTGAGGGCGTTTGGGAGGATGGGCCGGCTGCTGTCGTCGATGATGACGCTGATGGGCGGCCGTGGACGATGAGGAGATGCTTCCGCAGCGTCTCGAGGTTCTGTAGCTCTGCTGGACAGCCTTCCCACTCGCAGCGAAAGGTGATGAAGTGCGGGTTGAGTCGGAGATAGAGCTGGCGGGCAGTGGGCGCGGGTTTCCTGCCAGGTCGGCGCCGTGGCTTTTGCTCGCTGGTCGGCTTCTTGGCTTTCGGCCGCGGTGTGGATGAGCCCGGCGGCAGTGAGCCCGGCGGGAGCCCCGCCTTCAGGGCCGAATACGAGCCGAATCCCTTCCGCCATCCAAACGGACGTCCGCGTTTTTTAGGTTGAGGGGTGGCCGTGGCTGATACGGTGCGAGCCACAGGGGGTTGCACTCCTGTGGTACTAGTAGAAACAGCCGGCGCCTTTGTGGGTGATTCTTCATGGCGCTTGCTTCGAGATTCCGGTACAATGTCCGAAGTGACAAGGTTCGTGTCGTCCCCGTCGTCACCAGGAAGTTCGCCTGCTGGTACGAGCGCATCCTTCAATGGACTACTAGTACTGGAGTAAAGGACCACTTCGACCTGAGCTAGCTTTGCAACTGCGGCTGCTCCAGGGAATGGTAGGCGAGGTTTAGGTGTGTCGTCCAGGGCTCCTTCTGAACGTTGATCTCCGCGGGGTCCAAGTTGGTCGACTTCCATATCTTCCGAGTCCATGAAATCCTCCTGCTCCTCGGTTGAGTCGTACTGTTCTCCCCCCTCGTCCATGCCCATCCCATCTGACTCCTCGACATCTGACAGGTTCCTGTAGTCGGATACAGCGCTGGTGGAATTTATATCGGCGACTCGCTCCCCGTCCCGCAAATCCCAGTCTGGGTCGTACGGCATCGTGTGTGAGTGAACTAGAAATAGTTAAAATAATTAATGGATGGGTTCGTGGAAGGCATTCAACAGCCTTTGACTAAATGCTGTAAATTTATTATGCAATCTAAGTAGAATCATGAATGAGAGTGTGCACTCGGTAGTCTAGGGCTTTTGGTGTTCAACCATAATAAAAGAAGGATTAAATTAAGCCTAGCCCCAAGCCAATCTCGACGCGACTGATCAGTGATGCGCTGTGAAGATAATACCAGGGAGCACGGTATCTTACCGGCTGCAGTGTATCTGACGTACTTTACGGACATGTATACAGGTTGTACTTATGTCACATAGCCAGACTGTACATGGTATCGTGTAAGGTATGGTATGGTATGTACAAGCCACATATAGACCTTACTAGGTGCTCATTACCATATTCCTACCATTCAAGGTATCTACAGATTCCCAGCTGTTATGTGTTATGTATACCTTACCGCCCCCTCACATAAATCCCAATTATTAGGCAGTTAGTTCAGCGTTAATAATAAGGAGGTAATGACGGATCAAGTTTCTCGACTGGCAGAACCCCAAACCTCGACTTCAGTTCTGCCTTCTCACAAACATGGCTGCGATCTCTTTGCTCCCGCTTCTTTCGGATGTTACTCACCGGTTTGACGTAGCAAGCGAGACAGCCAGATATCGTTCCCCCATCTAATGCACCGTCATCTGCAACAACTATTTCACCATCCCTCTTCCTGAGATTCCGGATGCAAACCGTATTATTAATCGCTATTTCTAGGCGGAAGTGCCGGGCGGGGTCATTGACGCAAGCAAGCACGTCTTGGGAACTGGAAGCTGGCTGCTCTACGAAGGAGCATATAAGGAAGCTTGTGCAGCCCATGTAGAAGAAGAATTTCCCCTCCACTCAGAGTCTCGAATACACATGCATATTGCTCTTCCACTCTAACTTACCAAAAACGACGACGACATCATGGCTTCGAAGAGCTTCTACGCCGTTGTCGCCGGTGTCGGCGCCGGCACAGGCCGGTCCGTGGCTCTGCGCTTCGCCCGCTCCTATCCTGTAGTGCTTCTAGCCCGCAAGCCCGAGAGCTATGCCGACATCGTGTCCGAGATCAAGCAGCAGGGTGGCGAGGCGCTCGGAATCAGTACCGACGTTTCCGACGCGCAGTCCGTGGCGTCTGCGTTTGAGACCATCAAGAAGGAACTGCCGGGGAAGACGCTCGCGGCGGCTATCTGTAAGTCCTGCCACTGGGATCAACAAAAATGACATGGTATCAATATACGTTTCTTGCAGACAACGCCGCCGGAGGCTTCGGGATCAAGCCTTTCCTGGAAGCCTCTGTCTCAGATTTTGATGCCAGCCTTGCCGTTAATGCGTACGCACTTGCATTCTCCTTTCCCCTTTTTCTTTTTCTTCTACATTCCCATCCCTCTCCACTAACCCCCCCAATCCAGTCGTGGCCTCTTTATCTTCGCCCAAGCGGCCCTCCCTTCCTTGCTCGAGGCTGTGCCCACCAGCCCGTATCCGCCATCCCTGATTATCACGGGCGCGACAGCCTCGGTGCGCGGATCCGCACGTTTTGGGCCATTTGCGGCAGGCAAGTTTGCCGTGCGGGCGCTGGGCCAGAGCCTGGCGCGGGAGTTTGGCCCCCGCGGCGTGCACGTCGCACACGTGATTGTCGACGGCGTGATCGACATCCCTCGGACGAAGGAGTATGTTGTGAATGAGGGCAAGGAGGATGGGAAAATCAGCGCTGATGCGGTGAGTCTGGTTGTCATTTTGGTTAATGAGACTCCTGAGGTTAGAAAGTGAGGTTTGCTGACGGCGTTTGCCCTGGCTGGGGAACTTAGATTGCCGAGAGTTATTGGCATCTGCATACGCAGCATCGGTCGAGCTTCACGCACGAGCTGGATCTGCGGCCATACGTCGAAAAGTTTTGAGGGCTAAGGTCAGGCTCACGTTTCGGTCATTCTCGGGGATGCTGTGGCATGATGAGGTCAAAATGTTAGGTAATAATGATAGCCCACTTAGTGAAGATGCAACTGTCGGCAAAGGCGGGCACGAAAGGTGGTTCGGACAATGCTGGACTGGGAGTAACATCGTCGTTCTCCGATATCGAGAAATATATTTGGCCGTAACCCCTATATAACCGACCCGGTTGCCTCCCTGGGGCCGCACACCTTATCCTAGTTCTTTCGAGCCGGGACACACCACCTCCGAGCCAATCTCAAGAGTTGCCAGATGTTTTAAGCGGTGTGGCCGACGCGCCTGCTGCCGGTTGAGGAGGAGCACTCTGTGGGCTCGCTGCCCTCTCGCGGCCGCGCGGCGTTTCGTTCTGAGTAGTCCTCTTTCGGAGCGACCGCTCATTTGTTTGGGACTGCCTCAGGCTCCGCTTCCCCTTGCCCTGCGGTCCCGCCGCTCGCGTCACCGTTTGACAAGGGAATGCCGTGCAGGGCAGCCAGCCGCTCCTCTTCTCTCTTGATCGCAAGCGCTTCCGTCTCCTTCCGTAGCTTCTCAAGATTCCATGCGCCGTCATCCTCCCCTTCTGAGTCGTCGTCATCCATCCTCCAGTTGCCGCTCTCGAACAGCGAACGGCCGGTAGCCTCCTTAGCCTTACGCAGTTGTTCTTCGGCAGCCTTCTTGTCTAGACGCTCCTTCTTCCACTTAGCAAATGTCTCGGGTGTCACCGGCGTGAGCGTCCCCGTAAGCTTGTGCCTCTCTGATTCGAGGAATTCTTCGATTGTCAATGTCTTGAGTGGCGACTTATCCAATAGCGCTTTCTCCGCCGCTCGTTGTTCTTTGGTCTTGAGGACGAAGCTGGAGAGTTGGTTAGCTGGAAACTGCATGACCGCAAATATTCAAGTACACTTACCCTGGCGGAAGAGCGTGCTTGTACATGCACTTGTCGCCACCGTTCGGGCAAATCCAGAACCAACCGTATTTGCCATCCTCGATGGCCTGGATGAAGTACTTGCACACCTTGTCGGTTGTTGTGCGTTGGTTCCCCTTCTTGGACAAGACGACGGATCGCAGTTTTTCCTCGTCCCAGTCGGCCGAGGTCTCCTGCTTCTTTTTCTCCTCATCGTCGTCTCGTGTATCCTGGTACAGGTTCTTCTTCTCGACCTTACGCTCCACGTCGAGGTCGTGCGCGAACTTGCACTTCTTGCCCTTCTCGCAGTTGCCCTTCTTGTAGAAGATGCACACAACTGTCTTCGGGTCGACGCCGAAGGGCACCTTCTGGATCTGGACGGGCTTGTTGAGAAGCGCCTCGGCCTCCCGTTTTGCGTCTTCGGCAGCCTTCTTCTCCCGCTCGCGAGCGGCTCTCTCTGCCTCCTTGCGCTTCTGCTCAGCACTCCCCGCGGCCTTCGCCGACGAAGCAATCTGGGCAATCTGCTTTTTCGCCACGGCGCCCTTCTTGTTCTTCATGCCAAAAGTCTTGTCCTCGACAATCTTCTTGACATCGGGCTTCTTCCCACCCTTCTCGTTCTTTTTGGGAGGCATGGTGGGCAAGCCGTTGAATCTGAAGTCCGAGACTGGGTCCTGTAATACGCACTAGGTACTTAGAGGCCGCTGCGCCGATAGAAACTGCTCTGTTGGCCGATGGTTCTTCAGATTTGGGTGCACGAGGCAGGCTTGCCGGTTCCAGGCGGCGATTGCCCAAGAAACCTGACGGTGTCTGGTTCCAAATGTTTCCGAATGGTCTCACAGGAGCCCCCACACAGTAACTAACAGAACGGCTTTCAAGCACTTTGCGGCAGGGTGGAGCTGACGGGCACGTGACCGGCGGTGCAGTGGAACCCAAGCAAGGACAGGAGCGGATTACGTAAGGTATCATTACAGCTCAACAAATTGAAAGTTGCCATGTTAGCGAGGAACTGGCGATAGGAGCTGGTCGCAAATCCGCAACAACACTGCTAAACTGCGAAAAGAAATAGTTCAAAACTAGGAATGCAAAATCTTGCAACAATGTAAAGCCTCGAGTCCATCTAACCTTTTTTCCGTAGAGAAAGTGGCCGTTTGTATGTCCCACTTTGAAATTTTAGGCTGACCCTAGTCTTCAAGTCACTGCAGGCGCTAACGAACTTTCAGGGGTCTGACTGGGACTGTACGTGTTAGTTGCCGGCGGCAACTTTGAGCGTCACGACACGCCGCGGCAGCTTCAGGAAAGCTGTCCAGATCAAACGCGGCATCACAACTTGCACCCCGCACAACAACACCAGACAAGCAAAGGTATCGCCTACCTGCCTACATGGACTTGCGACGCGTTACGTGTGCTGATTGTGCTTGCAGCTGTGTCCGCTTCTCCGTCAATTAGCCGATCCGTAAACGCACCATCGGCTGAACGTCCAGCGACGTCCACACAACCCCACCATGATCACGGACTCAGAGCTCTACCGCCTTGCCATCTTCCTCGGCTCAGCGGCAATGGTGCTCATTATTCTCTACCATTTCTTCGAAGTCAACGCAGACGAAGACGAGCGCGAGGTTGCAAAGGAGAAGGCCCCGGCAAAGGCAGGGCCACAATCTACCACAGCGTCAACCAAAACAAGATAGGACAGCATGATGGAGTTATGCAAGGTGCCAGAACAGGTGGTGTGACATCTTACCCGAGCACGCCAAAGTTCGATATCTCGAACGTCGAAGCTGGCATCTTGGAAACACCGTCGCTCTTGGAACGGGAGCTTCGCTTGATATATCTGGGACTTGGCGGGCAGTGTTCCAATCGCGCGCGGCCGTGAAGTATTTCAGAGCAGACGTTATAATACCCAATTCGTTCTTGTTTTCCACTTGGTTCCCGTCCCTGATGTACATTCGACAGTGAAAGATGGTCTACAGAACTAAAACGACGTCTCACAAAAACGTTGTGAACTAGCAACGCTCTACTCACAGTGACAAAACGCCCCCAAGCGTTTGACGTCAGATTGGATCACAGTCCTTTCTGAAACATCCTCAGCAGCTGAAGCTGAGATCGGCAGTGCCGCGGTTTCTGTTGGGTTCGCTCCCATCGCATCCTTCGTAGGCGGGCATGTCGGGGTCATTCGTCAGACTAGGGGTGCGCAACCCGCTACCCGGGCGTTTTTCACGCGGTTTACGAAGGTTGGGACCAAAAGTGTTTCCCTACTACATAGTTAGCATTACGGAGGCTTTTACAGTTCAGTTGCAATGCCTGTCGCAGTCCCATCGTAATGGCTTTTGTGACTTCCAGGTTCGTCAGAGCGGCTTGCGACCGTACTCGCCAGCCGGCTCACTCACTGCGTGTGCTGCCCGGAGATCCAACCTGAGCCGTGAAGTCTTCGAATTTTCGCTAATCCTAAAGAGCTTGCGGTCGACGACGCACGCCCCGTAGTGTACGGTTGTCTGGCAGTCGGCCGGCCGCAATCTGCGTGTGTCGCCCCAAGACCCCATGACCGCATGACGTCTCTGAGCTTTCGCCAATCCTAGAAGAGCTAACGGCTTGCGACGTGCTCGGCAACCGGCCCCACTCAGCGGTGACGTTCGCGAATTTTCGCTAATCCTAAAGGAGCCTGCGACTTGCGACGCCCACCCCTTACACTACGCTGTCTGGCAGACGGCCCCACTCTCTCTGCCACGAGACCCACCTGCAGGCTAGCCTCACCACCCGACCCTTCCAATAAATTATAGCACTCCCCCCAGTTTGCTTCCTCTTTCCGCATCCTTCTTACCACACGCGAACAGCAAGACCAGAAAGTTCCACTTCAAACATCCAGTCTTCCGCATCAATCGAAAAAAATGTCTGCCAAACTCGACCAGTCTCTCGACGAGATCCTCTCTAGCCAGCGGCGCAACCAGAATGGCCGTCGCCGCTCCACGCGTCGCGCAGCTGGCGCCAACCGCCCCGCGCCCGCTGCCCCGGCCGGTGGCATCAAAAAGAGCTCAAAGGGTGCACGCAACACTGCCAAGCCCACACCTGCAAAGGGCGCTGGTCTGACCGGTGAAAGCAAAATCATGGTCAGCAACTTGGTATGACAACCCTTCAAGTATACCTGTTCATGCTTAAAAACGTCCACCGCTAACTCTGCAACAGCCAAAGGATGTTTCCGAGGCCCAGATTAAGGTATGTTATTACCGATGCGGCCGTTAATGCCCTCGGGATCTCGTCGACGCATCACTCCGCGGCATCTCTCTACCGAGATGCCTTGTCCCCGGTGGACAATGGAGGGCGGCCACGCCCGAACCTCAGCGCTGGAAAGCCGCTGTCATGATACCACAGCTCCTTCGTAGTGCGCGCAGTCCCGCCGCGCACTGAAGGCCGCCAAGCCTGCGAAAGTCGAGCTCGTCCACGTCTCGCTGCACATCCTTCAGCACCGGGCTGCCTGGCAAGCTCCCGCGATGCGAAGGCGCTGTGCATGCGATAGAGACCAATGACAATTCATCAGACAGACGATGCTTAGCTGGGCGTTCTTCGCACTATCTCTCCTGGCTGGGCACCAGGTCGATGATGGCTGCGCTTCAGCGAGCTGGGCAGTGAGCAAGGTCATGCGGCACCGATCTCTCCGCGATTCCCTGCGATTATCCGGGTTAGAGAGCTTGTGTCTGTCGCTGTTAGGGATTTCCAAGTGCCGAACGCGTTTCCTTCGATGTCGAATCGGGATGGCATTTTCAGGTCGGGTTGGACGCACCATGCTGGGTCATGTTGCGCACTCTGTCGCCTTCTCAGTATGACTTGGTGGTCTCGAGCACGGAGTTTGTCGAACGGGGTTCAGTGGATGTTGAACGTGGCTCACCTGCCAGTCGCGGGTGACGCTGCCCGGGGATGGCACGCTCACTGCTCTGCTCGCTGTCTTGGGTTATCTGCCTTTCGGACTTTTTGCGCCACGCGAATACTCCTGATGGATTCGACTTCTACCGGATACAGACGCTCAAACTCTTGGTCCTTGAACCACACTAACTCTCGATAGGACTACTTCCAGCAGAGTGTCGGCCAAGTCAAGAAGGTCGAACTTTCATACGGCCCCGGCGGCGTGAGCCGCGGCATCGCTCACGTCACCTTCCACCATGCGGACGGTGCCAGCAAAGCGTTCAGCACCCTGAACGGTTTACTGATCGACAACAAACCAGTTAAGGTATGACCCCGAAGCATCCCGCACTGAAGCATTGCTGCATCGTTGCTAACTCTGGTCCAGGTTGAAGTAGTGGTCGCATCTGCCGACCTCATCCCGCAGCCGAAGCCGCTCTCTCAGCGTATCGTGCAGCCCAAGGCACAACCCAAGTCTGCTGCTGCGGTGAAGCAAAACGGAGGCGGCACCAAGGGCGGCGCTGCCAGTTCCAGGGGCGGCAAGAAGACGGGTCGACGTGGCCGCAGCAACCGGCCGGTGAAGAAGACGGCGGAGGAGCTAGATTCGGAGATGATGGATTATTTTGAGAGCGGTAATCCCGAGAACAACGTCAACGGTGCCGCTGCAGCCGCTGCAGCGGGCGGCGACGCGACGATGGAGGATGATGTTCTTTGAGGTCATCACAACACGAATGACAGGAGTGGAGATATGGGAGTGAGTTTCATGTACGAAATGAGTTTCGGGCGGTTCGGCATTTGGGGTGGTAGGTTGGGCACGGCTTTTGCTTTGGGACTTCAGTGGGGCATTTCTTAGACACAGGTGGGCGTCTTTACCGTTGTCATGTCGAGGGGTAAACTGTATACTTGGGCGGTTTTATCGGGCTTTCCATTAGCATAATAGGAGTCATTCAGAGACTGAATCATTGCGCGTGTTCCGACCGTGAAGCTTGGAAAGGGCGACAGACTAACGATGCTTTCGAAGTGACCAGGCACTAGGTGTCGGCTGCCATGAGTATTCATTCCCGTTTGCAAGTTCGCAGAGATGAACTTGACTGCGTCAACTTCTGGATCACCTGGGTCTTTACCCTGCCAAAGCCCGAGTACCCCTTGCACGAACGCGGATAACGGCGGCGGCGGCGTGTCCTCCACGGGAAACTGGTATTTCATGTCCTTTACATGGGCCTTCCCCGTTACCGCCACGCTCGCCACATTACCCGTAGACAAACCACACGTACAATACAACTTCACTACCCTCTCCGTGTTACCTGCGACATCCGAATGGAACCACAACCCCGACCCAGCCTTCTCCTCCTAGGACACAGTCAATCAGCGCCACGTGGCTGTTTCCGTGGAGTTTTCGAGCGGCGTGGGGAGGATGTTGTTGAGGTGTAGCGTGGACGCGAGGACTAGTGGGACGCGGGAAGCGAGATCTGTTTATAGACTTTGGTGGGAATGGGGCAAAAGAATGGAGGGAGTTGCGAGGGGTGTATGAGCTTTGTACATTACCGGGTGGGCGCTCCTCTTGGGGTATCGATGTGGCGTGTTCAACTTTTTGCTATGGAGGAGTCGGGTGGATGATGGGCGTGTGTGTTGTCGTTCACGTCGGTATAAGGTACGTAAGTAAGGTAGTAAACGTCACGAAACGAGAGTAGCTATGTATGTATGTACGCTTCTCGTCAACCTTTCTCATAGTACTAGACCTTCTACATCAAGTCGCACCATCCCCTCCCGTCCCCTTTTCGCGTTCTAGGTACCAAACCCTCTCTCCGTCTCAGACTACCTTCTCCACCCGAGCTATGAACTATCCCCTAGCCCGACCTGTCTGCATGAGCTGTCATCGACACCGCCGAATCACCGTCACCCTCATCGTCACCCTCTCTGATCCTAAGCGGATCCCGCCAAACCTCGTCTGGCGGCAAGGCCACCAAACACGCACCGAGCCGAACGAAGGCGGCAGCCTCTTCTGCTGTGTACGGAGCCGGTGCTTCGCCACGTCGCTGTTGTTGTTGGAATGGTGATGATGACAGCTCAAGGGTGGCTGCTTTGCTAGTCTTCGTCCTACCCGGGCAAGCGCAGGAGCAGGTGTCCGGACTTTTGGGTTGGCATGGGAAAGGCATTGTTTGAGGTGACGCCCCGTTTAGTAGCTATTCACCCTCGGCATTCGATTTCGACCATTGGGCTGGGAATTTGCACGCTGAAGTCGCAGTAGAGGTTGAGTGGTAGGAGACGGGACCGGTTCGTCCTGAGTCTTAGTTGGCGTGCCGCGGCTTGCCGGGGTTTATCCCAAGGATTCCATTCAGATGTAGGAGAAGGGGGAATATCGGTTCAAAAGGCGCACCTCAGGCTCGAATTAGATCCGATACGTGTCGGGCCACAAAAAGCCACGAAGCCAATGTGGCACTGTGGAGCAAGCAAGATTGGTCTCTCCCTCGCGTCGGTGAATGGGCGCCACTTGGTCGAGGTGTCCGAGTCCTTGGATGTGATATCTCATCTCAATGGTCAGGCAAAAAGAAGCCATGCCGCCTCCGGACAACAAATGCCGAACAGAGGACGTGACAATGTCCCCCTACCCGATGTCCTCCCGGCTCTTCTGTAGATCACTCCAAACCCCCGCGCTTCACTATTGGAATCGAACTCACTTCGAATGGCGCCGGATAGAGCCGACTTGCTAATCGCGATGGAGGCTGCGAGGGCCGTCATAGTGTCCTGTTCCTCTCCTTTCCGCTTCCCCCATTGTCGGAGCAGTCAAGCAAGACACTGAAATCAGATGGGATATGCTATTCGAGCAGATCAGCAATTTACAATCAGTGCCAAGGAACAAACCAGATTAGCAAGGTATTTGAAGGCAACGAATAGCTCCATTCGCCAGTGACCTGTCTCAATACAACCAGATTGCTCCGCCAACGACGCCCGCCGCCGAGCCCAAGTTGCGAAGCCGTCCCATAAACTTGTTTGCTAACCCGTGTCCATAGCCTCGCAGCCTTCCCAATCTGGTATCGAGATATCGGAGCCTAAGCCTTCAGCGCAGTGACATGAGGAGCGACGCCATCCGGTCTCTCATTCTAAGAGCTGACCACCTCCTTAGCATCCTTGGCGTCCTCGGCCACCTCGGGGGCCTTCTCGCCCTTGTCCTCCTCCTCCTCGCCCTCAAGTGGCGGCATATCATCGTCGGACTCGTCTTCCTCATCGTCACCCGAGGGCATGCCGGCACCGCCGCCGAGCTTGGAGAAGTCGATGCCGCCGAAGCCACCGTCGCCTCCTGCGAATAGAGTTAGCCAGCTGCTACCACGGTAGTATTACCGATCGTAAAGCAGGAGAAGCCCAGTGTCGCGCGCGCCGTTCTCATCCGCATATGGATCCGCCTCGCCATGTCTCCAAGTCAAGCCGTCGTGTACGTACCCATGCCCCCCATGCCCGGAAGTCCTTCTATAGGTGCGTGATGATTTAGCCGGCTATGGAGACCAAAAAAGAAGAGGCAACATGGCACGACAGGCAACCGAACCATTCCCTGAACCAGCGCGTTCGAAAGAAAAGGGTCGAGTCTACTCACCCATGCCGCCAAAGTTGGCGAAGTCGTCGTCGGCCGCCTCGTTCTGCTCGTCCTCGTCGAGCCACTTGTCAAAGTCGGTCTTGAGGAAATGCGCCTTCTTGGCGTCCTTGAGCAGGCGCGGCCAGTAGGACTCGTTAAGCTCCTTTTTGCGAAGCTTCATCTCAACGTCGCGCGCCGTGTGGTGCACCTTGCTCGCGGCCGGGTCGATCTCGGCGTAGAACTCGAGCTCGACGTGGTACGTCTTCTTGAGCGTGTCCGAGTGGCCCGTGAACGTCAGTCCCGTCGGCTTGAGGTCGAGCTTAAGGTTCGACGTCGGCACGTCCGGTACGCTAATTGTGAGGTAAATGAAGTTCTTCTCGGCGTCATCCTTGGACGAGCGTTGGGCCCAGAGGACTGTAGCGGTTCGCAAGCATTGTTAGCAGCAGCGGATATTGTGAGCGAAGTTGATGGGCGCAAGAAGAGTCAGACGCCGCAGTCAAACTCACCCTCAGGTGTCACCGTGTTGCTGGCCATTGCAATCTGTTGGGATGGGAATGTCAGTCTCTATGCCTCGAGCTGCTGAAAACTGACGTGGAGGGGTTGAGGAGGGGTAGCTCCAGGGAACTTGGCACTGACATTATTTCCTCCAAAAGAGGCCGGGAACCGTAGCTTTGCAGAGATGAATAGCGTGGATAAAACCTAACGTAGCTTTTGTAATTGAGAGCTAGTCGGTAGCAGAAATTTGATTGATGTTGAAGTTGGAGTGCTGGGAAGGTGGGATGCTGTGAGGCTGCACTTTGAATCGCTCCGCCTCGTCCCTCCGGGGGTGGACGGTGGAATTCGTCAGAAGCTCAAAGATTCAGCTAGCACGGGCCATCCGGCAGGGCTGAGGCGCCTCGGGCGTCTAGTGTTCCTCCCCTTTGGCTGCGGAGTGGGCCCTGAATCAGAGCTTCCAGAAGGGAACTCGACTTCAAGTTTACATTCTTCTGGATGGCTGTTCATGAGCTAAGACACGTCTTACATCATATCCCAGCAAAAAAGCGGGTGTCGAGGCATTGAGCAAACCGAAAGTCCATCAGTCAACTTAGCCTTGTCAACAGAAGGTACCGTACCTAACCCTCCAGCTGCTGTTTCCGCCTTTTTTGACATCCTGTGAGGGGCCTTAGCAGGGGTGGAGTGCGGGGAGTTCTCAGGATGGATGGCAGCAGAGCACTGGGTTAAAGATATCTGAAATGAGGTGCAGACTCAACGGCCCTATCACAGTAGATGTCTATGATCTCTGATCTGTCCAATACATCAGTTCAACATGGCGAAGACTTGATCTTCCAGGTTTCCTTACCTGGTATGATAGGCTGACTCCATTGCTACCATTTCCACCTAGATCAATACTGATATGATGACTGTACGGATATCTCCGCAGTTATGTAGAAATTGGTAAATCAATCTGGAAGGCTGAAGTACAGTCCACAGCAGATACCTTACTGACATCCCATACCTACCATGACCATATCAGTCACAGAGATACATCCTCATCCGCCACACCATCCATAGTGTGTACCTAGGTAGGTATCACTCAAAGCGACCTGCACAACAGCCATGGTGGGACTCGGCGGGTCTATCCATTGTGGGGTTACCTAACCAGCGCGCACCGGCCAGGCAGGGTCGGATGCTATGGCCTAGGCTCTTATTAGTAGTTCAGCGCCAAATGAGGCTGAAACGTTCGGCGCCCAGCCAACCAGGACGGGCCGTCTGAACGACGTCAGCGCCGGTCGGGTATGTGCACTGATACTGGCCCGTCGCCGTTCATCTCACCAACGCTTTCACTAGCCAACCGACGAGGAAAGGCATCGCAGAGACGGTCAAGCTTCGTGCCACCGAATCCATTGTCTCGCGGGCAGACGCAGAAAGATCTAGCCATGGAGACGCTTCGGGGTCTCTTCGCCAAGCCAGACCCCCAGGCCCAAGTACGTTGCGGTCTCGACAGAACGCCATACCTCGCGAGGCACCAGCATCTTTCTCTAACCCGCACCCCCGTGTTTTAGTACCGAAAATGCAACGCACTCCTCCGCCAAAACATGCGCAAGCTCGACCGCGACATCGCCCAGATCAAGGCGACCGAGGTCAAGACCAAGAACCTAATCATCGCGGCCAACAAGCGCGCCCAGCGCGGCGACCCCTCCCGGCAGAAGCAGGCCCAACGCGAGGTGCGCGACTTCGCGCGCGAGCTGATCCGCGCGCGTAAGGCCGGCGCCCGGCTCGTCACGGGCCGCGCCCAGCTGGCCAGCGTGCAGATGCAGGTCAGCGAGGCGTGGGCGCTGCGGCGCATCGAGGGTAGCATCAAGGCTAGCGTGGGCATCATGAAGGACGTCAACTCGCTGATCCGGCTGCCCGAGCTGGCCCAGACGATGCAGGAGCTGAGCGTCGAGCTGATGAAGGCCGGCATCATCGAGGAGATGGTCGGCGAGGTGCTGCCCGAGACCGATATGCTGGGCGAGGACGAGGAGGAGGCCGAAGGGGAGGTCGATAAGGTCCTAGGCGAGATTCTGAAAGATCGCATGGAGACTGCTGGGCCGTTGCCAAATGTCCCGCTGCCGCAGCAGCAGCAGGTGCCCGCGCAACAACAGCCACAGGCGGAGGAAGAGGACGAAGAGGATACCGAGGCTATGATGGATCAGATGCGGAATCGGTTGGAGGCGCTGAGGAGTTAGGCGGCATTCGCGTGCGAAGGGCGATACACGGTTAGAGGCAGGAGAGCAGGATTCGGGGACCCGGGGCATAGCGGCGTTTAAGGCGTTTGGGTTGTGGCCTGTTGTTGGCAAGTACTTTTTCCGTCTGCAAGTTCCGATATTCACGCCTGATGGTGTACCAGGTTATGTCAAGACGTGTCAGTGGCTAGAATGCAGCAGGGTCATTGCGTATCATTCTCGAAGCGTCAAGTGCTGGCATATGTGTACATGATGATCTAGAAGAACATATTGCTTCTCGTCCTCTCGGTGGCGCTACGTTCTCGCTCCGTCGGAGAACGCGGTTTTCACAGGCCGGCAAGCGTTGGCCAGCAGCTCCTGATAGCCAACAGGGAACTCAGGGCACAAAGAGACAGCAGGAGGAGCTGGCTGCCTATGTCCTATCTCCACACATTGGTGGGCTCTTCTTCCAACACCCGTCGCAAACGCACGTTGTCACGAAACCCGATATTCTGTCGCTCTTGACCGGCGCGACGCTGCCATGGACTTCCGACTGGGACACAGTTCGATTCACGGCAGCACCACCCCTTTGTAAATATTGCTTTCGTTTCCCCCATAAATGATGCAACTGCTAATGCTCAAGAGTCAGTCCCCCAACACGATACTTACAGTATTGTTGAGAGCATTGGTTCGGTATCACGAATTGTACATACATGATATAACCGACCAGAGCACATCTCGGCCCTTCCGGAACACCTTCTGCTCGCATCCCCGATATCACATTATCCGAAAGGTTCCGAGCCCTGTATCGGTCACTCTTTCACACTCACTTACTCCAACTGGAGTCTCAAGAGGTTGCCAATGGAATGACGGAGAGTAGCACTCCTTTTAGATCACCTGTGAAGCCGCCTCCTCGTTTGTTTCGCTGGTGTCCATGAAGAATCCGGGATGGTAGCAGCAGAGCGGGGAATAAGGGTTTGTCATTGGGGGATCATCTTAGTGGTGAGGGCCATGGCAACCGTGATGACGGGATCGGACAACATATTTGTCACAGTCATCATGGCGTCGCCCGATGCCTGGGCGCGTGAACGGAATGGCGCTGTGGATTTAGGGTATAGTTGTTTCAGAAGCGGGACATCTTCTCTACCAACGTTGTGGTAACGTCGTGACATCTCAACATACCAAGAGAACAGGTGTTGTGCCGCAAGTCATTGCGAATAGATGTGTCCAGGTGTCACATATGAGCTTGTCCTGGATCGTGGTTCGAAGATAGGGGCAACGGTGAGTTTGTCTTGGTCGATATCAGAATGTAGTTGACCTGGGTGTATCCGCAAAACTACCTAGGTGCTCAACTCTAAAAGGAGCTGAACCCGTGGTCCCAGTACTGCACAGTTCAGACTGTGACTGCCTCTCCCTAGGCGCTCTCGTGTCCGGGAAGTGTTTCGGCAGTTCTTCATGTTAGTGCTACTAAGTACTATAACCGGACCTGCTGTTGTTATCATCTTAGAAGCGCCAATGTAGCCCCATCCTTCAGAGTAAGTCTACACAGATCCTAGTTATTATGGTATATTTGAAGATGGCCTTTGGCTGTTTCTGAGACACTTGGCTTGAGCCGCCTGTCCCAGGAGTCGGACACCGATTCCAATAATGCATGCGACGGGCTGAAGATGAAGCACAGACAGACGCTGGATCTAGCTTTGTCTCGCTCCTTACTTCAAAAGACTGGGGGCGTGACATAGACGGTTCTCTCCATGCGGACTTCACGCTTCTGCTGCCGAAGAAGGCAGACTCACAACATGGATCCCCGTTGGGCGTTTTTCGAGTACAACTCGTCCAGCATGCATCTCCGCCATTACAGAGCGCAAGGATTCAAGGTCCTTTCGCGGACCGACAGTGATCGGGAGTTTCCGCGGTAAGCCTCATAGAGCAAACATCTTGCAAGCAAGGGACGGATCAACCGCGGTTGCTTCCCCGCTGCGCTGTGTGACGGGATATGCAGAAGCAAGCCAAGCGCTGGATCGCGATTCTGAGCTATCACATCCATTGGCCGAAAATTGTCGGCTGTAACACCTGTAACGACAGCCATGTGATAGGTCCATATTATTGAACTCTCGGTTTCCCTCGTGTGATCAAGGCAGGGGATAGGACTGATCGAAGACCCATCTAGATCGTGCTCCCCGCAGCAACAACGGCGGAAGAGGCAAACAGCTGAGAAGAAGAAAGCACCGAGGTGAAGGGAAGGAATGAAAGACGCAAAAAGGGAGACAATGTGATCAGCCCTCGATGCAGTCTTGTGCACCTCGTATACGGTATGCACCCCACGCATTGGTCCTTAGCGATTCAGCCGCCCCGAGCACCCCATCAAGGGGCATATTGTGATGTGATGCTAGGGTTCAAGAGGCGAGGTCTTCCGTGTTGTTTGCTGCACTCCGCCGATCCCCGAGTTCACACTGACTGGGGCCGTGTGATGGCATGTAACTACCATGACCGTATGTATTGATCCCGACCTAATTGCGATTCGCGCCCGCATCTAATGTGCTAGAAGTGCACATGATTCAATGTTCTGTGTACTGTGTAGTCATATCTAGCATTCATTTGGTCTTACTTGTGTTCCAGCTCCGAGGCCGCCACTGACTCACTATTCGAACAACTTGTTCTCGTCCATACCTGAAGTAATAAGAGCGCATTGGTGCGCTGTTTCCTGCCGACGGCCAGTCTCAGTAAAGAACGGAGGAAACGGAGGCACCAGCCTCTGCTGAGTCGCTGATAGCTTGTGGCAGTGTTTGCCTCGGCGTCTGGACTGGACAGCGCAGAGGAAAACGGGCCAGAACGTCGCTGCCAATGCAATGATTTGATGTATCATGTCACTCTTCCCCTAGGGGTGAGCTATCTACCTACCTAGGTATGCATTCCATTCAGCGAACACTTGTAAGTCAAAGTTCCACTCATTCTCCGGCCCCGGAGTCCACATCTCCGGCCTGACTCCGCGCGAACCGGAATCTTTGTCTCGGACGCCCACACCGGGTTGGCGGATAGGGACATCCCTAGTTACGCTGCAATCGCTGAACAGGCTACATTCTACTGTGGTATATTCCGTATACTGGACGAATTACAGGCAATGCCATCGGACGGTTGGCCCTTGTTCCAGCGGCCTCGTTTAGCCCGCAGGGGGTTGCCACCCAGGTCAGCTCTGGAAGGACACTCGTCATGAGGCACGGTTCAATGGATAATCATGGTTTCTGCTGAACGAGATATCAGACATTGTGCCAGGGTGTTCCACATGCACCGGTCCGTATATGACCTCTGTCCTACCAGACAGTCCTTGGAACCTGCCCGTTGGCGCGACACTAGGATTTCTGTTTGGCCCGCTGTGAGGGTCAAATGAGCCCGCTTCATAGCGACCTGTGAGTCTGTGACGACCCTTTGGACTTCGGAGAAAAGAAAGTACCATATGTCAGGCAAACCGCCCGCACGCCGTGTCTCAATATATCGCAGAACAATCTCGCGGGAATTGCCAACCTCGGCAGCTGCTTTTGAATATGAGGGAGAAAAAGGAAGCCTCACTCACAATCCCCTCCCCCACAGCGACACCGAACAGTCGGGAGCGGAAATGGACTCTTTTCAACGAGCGCGGGGTGGGGGCTCCAGCTCCAGCCTCCAAGCCTCCCAAAGCCTACCTCCCGCCCACGTGGTTGCGATGGAGTCCTCGGGGCTGGCTTGCATCCATCCAGCCACCGCTCCCCCACGCCGGCTCGAGGCGTGCCAAGACATGCCCCTTCGGTGGGTTTTTCCGTCGCGGATCCAGACTCTGGGAAATTCTCATCTCATCAGGGGCCTGGCACAGCGTTTTGGTCTGCGACGGAGTCGTGGGTGCGGAAGAGGGTTTCTTTACTCAAAACAGCAACCTCAGAGAAGGAAAGGAAAACCGTTAGCGTCGACGGGGAAACCGAGCCGTCGGTAGATATCCATGTCATCTCGCCGACCGCTTGGATCCTCAATTTACCGACAATGGTTACCGAAGCGACTTCAGGTTGCAATAGGATCCCAGACGCATTGCGGAAAAATTTTCGCTCGGGACAATTCTGCTTGGCCAGGCGAGCCAGGCTCGTTTTCCGGCCGAGAAGCGACCGCCGCGGAGAGCTTCCAGCTTTCCGGTTCTCAGGTTCCAGCACAACGGTTGACAGAGAAGACGGAGATTCCTTCGTTCGTCGCATCACAGGGGCACCTTGTCCAGTTTTGAATTGCTGGGACAGCTGCGCTTCGATGCCGGCTCAAGTTCCCGCCCTGGTCATTCAATCTGCAGGCTGGGACTTGCTCTCCGGGTCGCGGCAGACGTGACATGTTGGTATTTGTTCTTTTGGTGAGATTGAACCAGTTGGGACATGTGAGAATGTACAGTAAAGAGCTGATAAGAGAGGATAGATGGGGAAAAGCACTCTGCCCGTGTCTGTGTTTGCTGTTTGCTGTTCCTTTCTGGCTAGGTAATTAGCCCGGCGTGCCCGGTGCACAGTGTCCCTTGGCTCGTTTGGTTGAATGTGGATTCCTCATTGTCTCACCCTGTCCGATGGGTCCGAGCTTGGGCGCCCGGTCGCGATTCCCAAGCCCATGCCCGACTAGGGAAATGTCTACGAGGTATGAAACGGAGCTGTGCGGTACATTGATGAGGGGGCGAGACTTCATTTCAAGGCAACTCCAAGGCCGTAGCGCCTATATCGCAGACTTTGGCCGCCTGATAACCTCAGCATACCACCTTCTCTTCATGTGCGTCGCGCTATCAGGATCTGCTCTGGAATCCACCGATAAGCGGTCCAGATAACGTTATGTCGTTTCGAGTTGCCAGTGGGCCGCATAACGTCGCGGACCTTGACGGTTAATCCGGGGAAAGGTGGAAGCGGGGCCCGCTCCTTCGAGATTTGACGCTAGCGGGCGGGATCTGCCTCCCGGTTCATCTGGCGTCTTCCGTCAGCCAGTCGACTGTTCTGTTGGACTCAGGTCTGGGGAAGCGGTCAACTGAAAACAGGGCACGGTGTGCACCCAAGCGCGACAACTCATTGCGCGAATGAGCCTACTATGTAGGAGAGATTAGTCTAGACTTGTTGTTTGATGTCGATTAGCGGAGGCTGCTGGCTCAGACTGGCGACGTCCATACTCCCCGGTGATTTGCGATAACGTTACGGTGAGGCCTGCTGAGAACCAACACTGTCAACACTACCACTAGTAGTATTGCTACGAGGTGGAGTCGTTGTTTGTAGGCGCAGATTTCCCTGTCGGATGCAACTGAGCTGTCACGCATATCAACCGGCCCGGGTCCTTTACACACTGTCCGTAACATTTTTAGGATGACGGGTGATACGGGTAAGAGCAAGCATATCCGGAAGCCACATCGGAAAACTGCCGGCCTCCGCCTTTCCAGCGCGGCGATGGCCATGTTTGCAGCCAAAAGTTCGGCCGATACCATCTTGTTCTCAAACATGATCGATTATTAATGACCTTTTTTCTGTCGTCGCCGAATCCCGAAATGTAAGGTTCTTTCTCTTCGGCGGCTACCAGAAAATGCAAATCAACGTGGAATGAAGTAAGCAATACTACCACCAGATGCCGCTGTGGTTCACCAGTCTGACTCAACGCCGCAGATCGGAATTGCGCTGTCAGTCTCGTATCTACCTAAACTAAGGTCCGGTAACTACGGCTTGGTGCTACATGTATGTACTGTAGCAGATACGCAGCCCTATACGCGCACAGAAGGATTGTTATCGGCGATAGGGCTGCGCCCTCCTGCATGCAACACTATGCTCATCCGACCGTACCACATGCCGTATATGAAGTATTCCGATCCCGCCGTTGAGCAGCAAATAGCAGGCAGCGCAAAGTACCACGCGGCATGAGTACCTACGAGTAGCTATGAGTGAGTTGTTCTTAGGCACTATCTCGCGATATCCATCTCATCCTTACCTAGCGCCCCGAGCAAGCAACGAAAGACGATAAGGATAGCCTTAACTAAGGTAGTTTGAGCCCAATGTGAGGGGTCGCCCTGACGTTGACAATGCATGACACACCATTTTGCAGCCTCAGAATGCGGTGAGTGAGTTGGACAGCAGGGACGGAGCGTTGGCAGGAAAACCGGGCATGCAACTATTTTTCAAGAGCCGCCGCACCAGCGCTATCTCGTGCCCCCCAAAAAATGCAAGCTGGCGGCCACATGTTCCAGGTCTCTTTTGTTGCGAACGGTCGGCCCCGAACTTGATTAAACTACAGTCCGTTTTCATCGGGCGCCTCGCCGGTGCCGGTGCTGGAAATCGAGGACAATCAGGATTCTGGTTTGTTGGCGCCTCTACTTACCAGTTATGACTCGGGTTTGCGTTGGTGCCGGTTTGCGCGTTGGTGATAAGTCAGTTGTGCGCAAGCCATAAAGAAAGAAGCAAGCAGCCGAGTCAGGGCAATCAATTTAACGAAATAGTCAAATGTTTTGCGACAGTGCCAGTTTGTGGCTGCTCTGGGAGCAAACGGGATCCTGCGTGTCCCTTACGCCCGAGAAGAAGCAGCTCGTCATTTTTCGGGCGATGAGGCGCAAATCTGGCAGCTTTGGGCAGTGAATAGGAATAACCAAGATCACCTCCGGGAAGTTAAGACGGTCTGGGGTAACTACCAGTACCCTGTCCGTCGCCGAGACGGCTTATGGGGCCGAGCGGGACCCATGCGAATTCGTGCCGCGCGCGGGGACCTTGTCGTTCCGACGCGACGGTCCCATCGCAGCCCACAAGTATCACAGCACCGTTTATAAAACGGTGGACGCTGCTGTCCAGCGCAAGAAGCGCACCCATGCGAACCCGGCGCTCTGGATTCTGGGCTTTTTGATGAGGCATCTCCTTTTGGCCCCCTTCTGGGGAATGAGTGATGACTCGTCGTATTACGGGGCAGATGGAGGGTGATAGGCCCTCGGGTTGCCTTGTCCTACCAATGGCGATTTCAAATCCAGCGCGGAAGCAGACGTCGCAGAGGCTATGGCTGAGCACATCGTAAGCCGGTGCAAGGACGGGATGTGCGATCACTCACAGGTTGGGATGTAATGAAATGGGACGGCGGTCTGACACCGCAACTTCCTCCGTGCAGTGTGCGGTGAAGAGGTCTGTTTGTCCAAGCATCCATGGATGCCCGTGGGGGCTATCTGGACCAATCCAACACGTCCATGCGCCAGAAGAGGGCCGCGGTTGGGCAGCTGCCCAGCTGTCTACCGACGCGCTGACCTCCAGGCAGCCCGAAGCTGGTTGTGCGGGCTAAATTTGAGTCACCACCATCCCGCGGGCACGACCCGACGCCGAGCGGCGTCGGGGAGTACAAAGGTACATGTATGTATACATACCTTAGGTACCTCTTCCAAGGCAGAACTGCGATACCAGCCTTCATAAACCTTCGCGCGCCGCAACACGCCTCCCCCGTTGTCACGACTCCTTCCAACAACCCCTTGCTAGGTTTGGTTGCTTTGCTTTTCTTCGACCATCGCTTCCGTTTTGACCCCCTGACGGACTTCAACATTTAATCTGCCCCACGGCACCCTGTATCCCGGGTCACCCCTGCCTTTGCTTCCTCCTACCCGTCCACCCCACGAGCTCTTGAGGATATTAAGTCGCCTTCATCCCATCTTCCCGGAGCTTGCACCCCGAACTCTCTCGGGCACTACATCATAGTCTCGACATCATCGACGTCGACCAAAGCCGTCGTACAAGGTATCCACTTGGACCCTCACCACCCTTTCACGGCACACTACGCAATCGATCGCGACAACGCGTCGAACATAAAAGCTATGTTCGGCTCATACAGCTCATTAAGCTCGTCGAGTAGCTCCTACAACTCGGTCACATCACACAGCGTCTTGGCCAGCATGTCCTCACCCCTCGATATCGCGCCGCGCTCCTCTTCACGGCGAGGACCTGATCCGGAGTGCGCCTATCCCTCATGGCCGCGGCGCTCGTCGCTTGGTGAACACGATGCCACGGAGGAGCGGGCAACGTCATACATCCCGGACGAGGATCTCTTTCTGGACGTCTTCGAGGACGACTCTAGCAGCGTGTCTAGCCATGGCAGTGCGACCCCGATACAATCACCTCAACCGCCGGTCCTCACCGAGGCTCAACTCGCCCAGCTGCAACGGGAGCAGTTGGCCTATGAGCGCGAAGTACGGAGGATCTTGCTGGCAGAGAAGGAGATGCGGAGGAGACAGGCCGAACAGGACCACCGTCGGCGAGTGGCAAACAAGCGGCGCTCGGCCTCGTCATCATCGAAGAAGGGAAAGAGCAAGCTCACAGCCATGACTCCCATCGCCGAGGCTGAATGAAGCCACTTGTCTGCAAGTTGCAGATTCGATCTGAATCGGTATGTGCATTTCACCATTCCATCCTTGCTCAGTGTGGCACGCACAAGGAGCAGTGCATTACCCGACCTACCAATAAGGAAATTTTCACTAACACGTCACAACAGACATCAACTGTGAGCCCTGACTCATAGCCGCACATATCAACCTTGATTTTGGAAGATGCCTGGCTTTCGCACATGCATCTTTTTCGAAATTTGACCGAGGGCGGGATTCGGGAAGCGACGAAAATTACCCGAAAACATTCATGCGGCCCCTCGGCTTGAACGGTGGTGATGAGAGCGAAGATATCCGCGCATCAGTTGCCGAAACAGCACAAGCATGGAACTGGAACACGACTTTACCGGGTGCTCAGACTCCACCGCAAAAATCTTCACATGCGGAAGGGGCCCGTGAGCCGGAAACCCCACCCGATGGATCCGACAGCCCGGGGTTCTTCAGACCTGTCAAACATTCACCGCCTAGCCGTTGCACAAAACAACCTGGAAGCAGCCCCGTGCAACCGAAATCAACCGGCCGATGATATGCCGAGCATCCCCCCAGCTCCTCCCCCTTTGGGCCGAGACCTCTGCTTCTCAGTTTCGTGCCAATGGGATTCGCACAATGCGACCGTGCTGGGCGATCTGGCCTAGACTGGGCTTTGCCGCGGGCTCGGGAACCGGTTGCCGTCCCGGTTTGGCCTTTTCCCCGCCAACAAACGGAAGCGTTGCACCGAGGGATCCTTTCCACCTTATCTCTCTTTTTCCTCTTCGGGTTATCTTTCCCTCACCGACGTCCCCCTTCTCTCCCATGGCTGGGCCGAATTTTTTTTTTTTTTTTATCGCACAATCTTGTAATGCGGAGCCTATTGAGCCGCTCCGTCTTCAGCGCCATCCTCAACGGATCGGAAAAGGAGACCCTAATACTGTTTTTTCCTCTCTTCAGTTTATTTTCATACGGGACAGATCCGGCGTTTGGGGCTTGAAGCGTGCATGCATCTGCATTTGAGGGACTCGGACAGGGCAGGCATACATACCATTGGGGGATACCAAAAAGTCTGGGGGTCATTGCACTTACACGGGCACAGTACACACTGCACGCATTGGGTCCATCTGGAGTTTTGTCTTTTCCACATTTTGTTGTCAAGCATGTTGTGTTGTACTGAGCGGATACCCTTAGCGATACCCCCATTTTGTTTCCCTCTTGTCGCCTACGTATCTAAGGCATAGTTATTAGCGTTATGAGTGTGCGTCTGGGCTTGGTCTTCTAGTACTTCAAGTCCCCGTTCGTCTTAATTATCATCAGTATCAGGATGGCGTTTACAGATAGTAGTCTCCAACTTGATGGTCACCAGCACCTCCTCAAGCCTATTCCGATCTCAGATTTGCTGCGTGATGTTCTTCATGTGTGACCAGTTGGCCGACTTGACGTGTCTCCCTCTACGCGATATGGCTAAGGCTGGGCAGTACGTTTGCGAACTGCGTTCCTAATCAGCATGCTCCCGCTGCCATGGGATCGAACCTTGGTTTCAAGTCATGAGCGCCGACATGTAACAGTAGTCGACCCATCGCAAGTGCTCTCTTAAAGAAAAAAGCTCCGGATATCCGTCACTATGCAAGACGAGTTGCCCCCATAGAACGTACTCATCGTTAGAGCCTCGTTGTGGTCGCTGCCTCGGACGATACTCTTGTGACGATTACTTCCTAAGTACCTTACTTGTGCTTCGTCGATGCGGAGCGAGCAGATAGAGAGCGAGTCGTGAGACTAAGCGGCTAATGGGAAGGCATTCAATCTCAGGGTCCTAGAACTGTCGAAACGATGGAGGTTGGTTTACTCCTTGGCAACATCTTATGTCTTTGCTGTGCAGCCCTCAAGGTTGGAATGTTGCCAGCCGCTGCATCCCCCATGATCCGAATGTTTGCCAAAAAAGGGAAATGAAGCTTGATGGGAATATGCCGGGAGAAGCTGGGATATCATAGGGGCGTTACGTACTCTGGCCCAACGGATTGCTAGTCTAGCATACGGCAGCTTGGTAGGAATGGAAGACCCGGGCTGCTGCTGACGTCGAACTCTGGCTCGGCCCCGATATACAACGATTTTGAGCGTCTCGAACAAGTGTTGGGAAATGGCAACGCTAGGAACGTCCTTCGACAAACTGGGCTCTAACACTTATTCACCCTTCCCACGAATACCTTACATGCCTCGCTCTAGCCCGATCTACCGGACCCCTTATCCTTTGACTCTTTAGCTTCCACGAGCACCAGATCAGCGTTCCTGCTTGCTAGAGGTTGCACAACACGATGATGAGATCAATGCATTCCAGTCATGCTCCCTCTTCTCACGAATCACCGTTGCTCTATCCGCCAGTAAGCTAGCTACCCATCTAACGCCGAATTCACCCATGGGACTCACCACCAGGCCATATCACAGAGAGTAGAGACTCCGAGTTACTAGCTGCCAGGCCAAGTGTATATACTTCACGCTCACTTTACGCCTATCCATACGAAGTTGGTTGTGTGAACTTCTTGGCTGTCCTTAGACGGGATGACCGCTATCACTGTGTCGTTCGATTCTGTGAGTAAATAGTTCATGACCTTGCCCGGCCCGTTATCTTGCGTTGAACTTACGGATATGCTATGGATGACTACGATAGTGAATGGCATAATCAATTCTTCCTGAGCAAAGGATTGATTGGAAATAGTTGAACAGCAGTACAGGGATAAGATAGTAACATCTGATAGCAACCATCGAGCGCCTCGGCTGTGATACAGAGCCTGCAGTCTACCGTCTCCAGTAGCTGCGTAAAGCGTATGGCGATGTCTACTCGGTTACATAAAACCGGTGCTGCCCATCGTCATCTTAGGAGTGATAAAGGGCGACGTGTACGAGTTGGTTTTATGCTTCAATCTAAAGGGCCAGGGGTGAACACTAGTTCGGTGTGTTGCTGAACTTGTTTCGCTTCCTGCTTCTGAGTCTGCGAACTCGTCGTCCTTGGTCCATGGTGGCACCGCGGCAGCATTGAGTACCTGGTACTCACCACCTGCGTAGTAACTGAGATTTTGAAGAGATCTAGTACTAGTACTAGCACATACAATACATATACATACATATATACTTGGGCGGATTCAATCCACGTTTCTACTTCAGCTCCAAAGGTGGCAAGACTGAAGAGCCCCGGCACAGTAGTAGTAGGTAATCTTCCATCTCAGACCTGCAGTGCGTGCTATGAGAATGCCCTGATCAATTTGCCCAGTCCTTATTCGAGCAAGTAAAGACTATTTCTGAATCGAGTCTTCTGGGAACGTAACGTACCGTTGATTGTGCGAAGTGGACGTTCCAACAAACCTTGACTTTTGCTTGCCATGTCATCACGTCACTCGTGCGGTGGAGAGCTTCAACTTAACTAGCACCATCACATGCCAGGATCCTGATGAAGATTCAATATGGAGTCGAGAGAGGGTGTGGGTGTGGCTCATGATGATCAATGAAACGGCTGAAATTTTGTTTCCCGGACGAGGTGCATGCCACCGAACCCAACCCCAGACCTTGGGAAAGGAGCAACGCGACGACCAGTAACCCACGGGGTTCACGACGGAGGAGTGTGGGATAGAAAGATGGGAATGTCTTTCATTTTGACTTGGTAAGAGCTATGCGATGTTTTTTTGTGTACCTACCTAGGTACTGAGGCAGCCCCGACATGAACTATCCCAATAACCTACAATCCACCCCTGGTTTGTTCGTTAGCTTGGTATGTACTTTAAGTGGGGTAAAGAAGAAGATGCTTGAAAAGTCTCAATAGAGAAACGGTGGAGGATGGAAAAGAGGTGCTCCCGATTGATTAGAGCAAAAGAGGTTCGATTGATTGATGGAACTAAATGAGGACTCCTGTACTGGGCCCAGGCCCAGACCAAACAGGTCGAAGGTGGTAAGAATGTTACAGAAGAAGAGGTTCAGTGCCCAGAGATTCGGGGCCCAGTTAAATACTGGATCCACGCCCGGGTGGTACTTTCCGTACGAGCCAACAAACTCCTAGCGAGGACTGATTTGTCGGGTAGTGTTTTGATGTTGCGATGTGCTTTATGGCCCTGATCCGGGGGGAAGTTGTGGTCGGATTAGATGGATTTGGTTGGCCGCATGCCCGGCAGGGCGCAACTAGAAAAAGAAAGTGTCGTGGGGGGATGTTCCGAGTTGAATTTGTACATAGAGGAGGGGAGCACTTGGTTAGCGGACGCAATTGGTGTGTTGCACCGTTTTGGTTGACCGTGTGGGTCTTTGCCCCAGCGTCTTGGGCGATGATCGTGAATACCTAGCGCGGGGCGCGTCTGTTTCTGTTCCTCCTTTTCTTCGTTTCGTTCCTCGTCCTTGGACAGCATCTTCTGCTATGGCTCTACCGCCCGATTTCGCCGTTGTTTTGGAGAACCTTCAGAGTCTCGCTGTGCAGTTTGGCCGTTGTGGCAATCTACCGGCGATTGATCAAGGTGTGCAGATGTTGCAGGTCCTGGGGAGCTGCGCCAGGAGCTGCGTCGGTCCGTGGCAGCCATTCATGAGCGACTTGATCATCTCGACCAGCGGTTGATTCGTGTCGAGCAGCGGTTGATTGGTATCGAGAGCGACATTCACACACTGTATGTGTTCTTTTCATCGGAGACGTATATCGTTGTTTCCGCTTTCTGACGGTCTAACGCGTTTCCAGAGATGCGAACGGCGTGGCCCGCACGATGAATACGGCAGTGACTCGACCGGATCTTCCATTGGAGCCATTGCGGGTGTTGCGAGACGGAGGAGAAATTCCCGAGTTTCCGCGTACTGTAGAAGCTATCAGGACGATGTCCGGTATGTTGATCTGATTTATCGCGGGGCTGTTATATTGCTAGTTTCTGGTTTTTCCTTCGGCGTTCGGTCTAGTGATCTAGTTTGCTAGTGTTGTAATGTGATTCAAGCGAAGCATCGTCGTTCTGAGCTTTCTCTGGGTTATACAGTACACTGTGAACACAGGGAAAGCGAGGAACACTTCGCTTGATTTACAGGGGAAAAACTCCAAAGTGTCTCGAGTAGCGATTGGGTGCCATAGCGGCACAGAGACGGGAAGTCCGTTTAGCGCCGAAGTACATCATGGTTGTACTAGTATACCGTGCGGATTATGCTTGGCCGGGAAGGATAGAAAAAAGTAACTATTGCCGGGATATGGTCCGGAAGCCTGCAAAGAGGTTAGATCTTACATTACATTCCCTGACATTGCGTTGTGTTGTGTGTTATGGCCGATAGAATGTTTTGGTGTAGATGTGGCGTTGGTGGCTGATTGAATTCCGGAAGCTTGAATTGCGGGAGCTACTGTATTGCGATTGAAACTACGGGAGCTTACATAGGTACATACTATCTATAAGGTATATTATTATGACAGTGCGGCCAAGACAAGGCCAGTTAATGTCAGCTAGCGAAAGTGTTCATCGCCACAGGACCATCAGCGTGATCGAGTCTCGAGGCGTCTTGCCACCGGGCTTGGCGTTCGCATTGAACGCCTCGCGCAGGTGTGATAAGCCGGCATACAGTTAGGTAAGCTCCCGCACAGAGCCACGGGGCCAATGAGATGAGCGTCATGCGTCCGAGAGACGTGCAGTGAATCTTCTCTTATTCTCAACCTGACAGTATACCCATTGTTCAACGAGCGAAGGGACTGCCTCCTCAAATCATATGGGCGCCGGAAGGCGGCTACGAGCAAAAGGGTGGAGAATGGCGAAAGGAAGAGGCCCAACGTCCAGCATGTATGGCGGCAGTTGCACACGAGTGTTTCGTAATCACGTTCCTTAGATATTGATGTGCTGCCTAAGAGTGAGACAGCTTAGCGGTGAAAGCTGCATCTCTACCGAAACGGAAGACGGGCTCGGGAAGGTAAGGATGAGTTGTTTGCTGCGGCATTGTGGCTTGCTCTCGACGCTTGACTTGTCGTACGGTCAATGGATGAGGAAATACGAAAGGATAAAGAACCCGAGACATGCAGCTCTATGTGCAGCCGAGCTGGGGCCCCGATGTCTGGCATCAAGCTCTGTCAGAGTGCTCACGCAGGATGGGGACTTCGGTGTGATATTGAGATCCATCATTGGAATAGTTTTTGACATCTTGCATACGGTAGATAGGCCAGAGCGGTCCAAGTTGGTGTCAGCACGCCAATAGGGAAAAAGACCTCACTCACCTTGAGGGACTAATCTTGTGGCAACCTGCAATCTGATCGTCGCGCTGTGAGTGGTTGCGTGTTTGCATGAGAAGCAATGCTACGATGGCATGTAGTGCTGCGAAGGTAAAACTGCGATATGCTCCTCGTCGTGCTCACCAGGAAGCTCGATGCCGGGTGACTCCATATTCTTTCCCTTCTTTCCCCATTGTAACTCTCTGATGAGCCAGCATGCTGGCTTTCTGTAGGTCTAGGAACAAGGGCTTTGATGCCAGTTGCCGACCTTGAAAGAAAGTGCAGGGAAACCCCTGAGAAGAATGGATAGTGCCGTCGGCCCCACTTTCATTACAGCGGCGATGGGGCGGGGCCGAAGCTCGGTCCCGCTTCGACACCGTTCAAAGTCTCCCGCGTCCATCTTACATATCCTGAGATTGCTCGGTTCGATCGGGATTTTGATATACGGTTAATCACTCTAGTATAACTGCCTTCTCGTTCGGCTGCACCGACGGTTGTGGCGAAGTGACACCCGGGGTTCCGGTACCGGTTGTGGATGACGGGGAACGTTGTTCGATGACGAGGGCGTAAGGACGAAGGGAGACACTGACCCCAAGTCTATTCTGCCAACTCTCTCGTCAGTCTTGTGTGACTTGTGTGATGCACCTATGGACCTTACACGAAGGCTGCGGCAATGCAGAGGTGGGATAGCATCTTACTGTTTTGCTGTATTGCGTTAGGGTGCATGCAAACCACTTAACTCACGTTTGACAGCATATACCACCATGTCAGGGGCGGACGCGGGGACTGGTTCTGCTTAATCGATATCTGTGCGCGATAGAGGGCAACACAGGGCAACACGGGGCCACACAGGGCCGCGTCAAAAGAGGCCACTGGTCCCAGCAGTTGGGTATGCTTTTCAACGTGGCCGCCCGCCCGTTGTGTCAGTCAGCACCATGTTCCTTGCAGTGAGGTCACAGCTCAGGGCCGCGAGGTCCTCTCTTAGTTTGTGGGGTGAGCATGAACGCATTGCGGCCATTGTGATGCATGGCCTGGTGGATGCCCGGTTGGGGCTTTTCCTTTCCCCCAGAATGCGAGATCCCAACGTACCCAACCGGAAGTGCTGATTTGGGTTTCATCGCCTGCGAGTGCGGCTTGCCTGCAGATGTCTGAAATTGCTCGCCAGTCGTCTCGGCGTGGAGGGCATGGGGCTTGTAACTCAGTTTGTCACCTCCAAGGAACAAGACTACCTATATATAACATTCCCATGGTGGTCGTTGAGGCCTAGGCAAATGCCTTACCGAGGCGATGACTTGAAGGACCTGCGAGCTTGACTCTTCCGCCACCCTTTCCCATCCGAAACACGGCCAAAGAAGAAAAAAGAGAGAAAAAGAAAACGAATCAGCTCCCACAACTGCAAGCCCGTTGGCCTTGGTGCGGACCGAAGCCATCGCCTTCGGTGAGTCCGGGAGCACGTGTTACTGATATGATTGGAAAGCGGTGCTGTGCGTTGACAGGATCCCCAGGTTATCTGGTCGGGACCCATGAGCTGTACAGAGTCTCACTGGAAAGGGGATCATTGGGATATGCACTCATCAACCTGCAATTCCTCAAGTGGAGTGTGGAGTCTGTCGGTATGCAGCCATCCCACGCGTTGATGGTGGGTGGGTGTAGCACACCCGAGATTGGGGGTCTCAGAAGTTGTAGAAATTCGTATTCAAGCAGCACTCCCGCCCGACTTGAAGACGCTCGGGCTTCACCGCATAAATCTGATAAAACAGACGATCTGCTTCGCAGCGTTTCCCAGTTTTGCCTTGAATTGGACGCGGGACGTGCCGGTGAGGATGAGCCTGGGCTTTTGGTCGAAAAGCTGAAACCGCGTAAAATACGATACATACACCGCAGAGCAGACGGAAATCCTCGGTTACTACGGAGTACTCGACTAGGAAAGCGACTCTGGGGACATACCTGACCTGATTCGTGCATCAATATGAGTCAGTGGACACGCTCCGGCTTAGAGGAATTTGCAAATCCGACACTAGCATGCTTAGATGTCGAATGGCACTTTGACCTTATGACTGGCCCATTGTTTGCGAGCCAGGTATGTTGAGACTCGAGGACAGGAACAATAGGATAATACCGCAGGACGTATCGAAAGATCGGGGACGAAATGGCAACAGGATCCCTGTCATCATCGTGATAGCAGCCGTGATTGGCTGCATGACAGGGGCCTGACAGCCAATCGCCGGGTAAGGCGCTTAGGACCCTTGCCATGAGGTGTGCTCCCCACAAATCCCCGCCGCCAATTCTCCTCGTGCCCCCACTCGGCGGCCAACCACACCTCGTCAATCTTCAAGTCGCAAGCTTTCGGGTGAACCATCCTTCCAGAACGTGAGCCGAGACGACGAGATAAAGACCATGCGGTTACATGTGATCCGAGACGAGCGGGGACATACCGCGATGCGACAAAGGCGAGCAAACAGGCGGTCAATGACGAGAAGAGGGAAGAACGAAAGACAGAGCTGTTTTGCGCGGCCCTTCCGATCATGTTCATAACGGCACAGCTGCTGCGGGGCAAAGCTCCCGCCTGCAGATCGCTGCAACGTCGCAGGCAAGGTACCGCTCCTCGCCGCCGGCACGGACGGCCAGGAACCTGGTGGTGGGTGACAGCTCCTCTACTGTGTATTGTGCTCAACGACCACTATGCCAGCCACAGGCACACGAACGGGCCGCTACGGGACTTGGCAACATCATACCCACTGACTACTGCCCGATATCCAGCGCCGTGTCTTGCTTTCACACAGCTACCCGGTTTGGCACACCCGGTCCTCGGCCCCGAGATGGCCCAATCCTCGTTTTCTGAGCGTTCGGTAACTAGAACACTGGCAGCCTGAGCGGGCAGCATCCGAGCCCAAGGTAACTCTTTGCCCAGGAGCATGGTCATGCGGCCCTGGTCAGTATCGGCACGAGAGACCCCTCCGCAAGCAGTTTGTAAGGTCAACGGCCAGACAGCGGCGGCATCAACCTAATTATGGCAAAATATTGGATGTGGCATGTACGCCAACCACGGTTGATGCGGACCGCTGCAAAGCAGCTCTCGAGTTCGGGCTACAGCCCTTCCCACCAGTGACAGGCCCAGATCGAAGTCACTCCTTGTCGTGCAGACCAGGGTATGTCCAGCCCATGTGCAAGGAGCCCTCCTACTCGACGAAACCCCCTGTTGCTCGGCCGCTGCTAGTGTAGTGCCGCCCTAGTCAATCTGCATCTTGCCATCTACCTTTCCATGCAGCCCCCGCGGGACCGCAGAACCTGCACCCTTGGCCTGGCCGGCCCGCATCAGCTCCCAGACTCGCGCAATGTGTGCAAGCGAAGAGGATGCCGTGAAGAAAGCCGACAAGGAGCAGACCTTTCCTCATCTTATATGGACCCAAGCACAGGGCCAGTGGCAGGTCGACTTCGTCTGCTTTTAAGGCGCCTGCAATGGGCTGGTCCTGTCTTATTTTCCGGCATACCCTCGCGGCAGCACTGTGCCCTTCCTTTTCTTTTCCTATTTCCCCTGATTTCTGCAACCCGTTGCTCTCTTCGACGCACCAAGTGCATGCGTCGGAGCGGCAAAAGAGAGTGAGAAGCAGCGCGGTGAATCAAGAGAGTGGAGATTGGCCCTTGCACTGGACTGCCCCCGACTTGGTACATTCGATACATACCTTACCTAAGGTACATCCAATACCTACACTACCTTACTCTTTGCCGCTGTGTTTCGGCGCTGCCTCTTTTCACGCGCCTAGGCTCTTTTGCCGCACGACAAGCGCCGGCCGAATTCCAAGGGTCCCTGAGAAGGGAGGTTGGTAGACTTTAGGTGTTCGTTGCCGCCCCCATAGAGGCCTGCCCACACCGCACCCCCCTCTCTCCTGCGTCAACGGCGGCATCTGGATCTCCCCCCCGGTACGATCGTGCGGCGACCCAATACCTTACCCTCCTCACCCTCGTCTTGAACCCGCCTCTTCCTTCCGCTTTCCCCCGCTACACTGTGCCCCGGGACTGCACCTTCTTCCTGGGACTTCGGCCTTCACCTCAGGGCAAACTGCACCGTCCACTGTACGGACATCGAGTCGCGACAAGCGGAACGACTACCTTGCGATTTCGACTGTTGAGCCGGCCCATGGTGTGTGGGATCCCGGCAAAGCTCGGCATCTGTACGTAGGTGTACGGAACGTGGAGGAACGTGCCGGCGACGGGAACTGACAGCGGGAGACACTGTTCCATGTGATGGTTCAGGGGTCGGACTGTGTAGCCTCGTCGCTCGTCCTGGTTCGCCGTTTCAACGCCCGGTGGGTGTACTTCACCTACTAACTGGTATGTGCCATGTTTCATTGACACTTATTCACTTCCACGCCTTTGCCTACTTGACCAGACGATGCTGGCGGTCTTGGAGTTGAGCGCCGGTAGCCACCACAGCTCGGCAAGCCGCATCGGTTGCGCAGTTATGCAGGCACCCGGCTAACAGACGAGCAGGTGGCTTTACAGGCCCGTGATCCAGAGGATTCAGGATATATCTAGCCCGTCCCAGCGCCCGCAATGTCTGCCGGCGGCCACCACAACGCCAGGAGCCGTGCTGGTTCGAGTACCGCGGCCCATGAAAAGGGGCGGCTAGCCCACACACACGGCTACCCCATGGCGACGCCGAACACGAACACCGTCGTCCGCTACTTCGAACCATGCGCCGCCACAGCGTCCATGTTCCTCTACGCGCAGGGGACCTCGGTCGTGTGCTGCCACCATGACACGCTTGCGATAGAAAGGCGGTTTGCGCGGCACTCCGAAGAGGTGCAGTTACTGGCTGTTGACAACCATAGTGACATAGGAGCGGGAAGGCTGGTCGTCAGCTATGATGCAGGGCAGACGGCCATTGTGTGGGATCTCTTGACGGGAGACGAGGTCGCGCGGTTTGCGTCATATGAGAATCTCACGTGCGCTGCTTGGATGCGCAACGGCAATGTCGTCTTTGGTGAGTACAACATCCATGGATGGTACGACTTGCAGCTGTGAACGGCTTGGCTGACGGCAAGGTCAGGCAACACGCAGGGCAACGTGATACTCTTCGAGCCCACAACGTCAGAGCACCTCTCTGCGAGGACGCTCGACCAGATAGCCATCTCGGCCATCTCACCAGCGGCTGACTGCAGGACGTTCGCGATTGGGTAGGTTTATATACCGTTCTGCGGAATGAAGTTCCTGGATTTCAATCGCTCACGTCGCACCCAGCTATCAAAACGGCTCGCTCCTGATCGCCACGCTTCAGCCAAGGTTCACCATTCTGCACAACCTGACGACATCAAGAGGGCCGTCTCCAATCGTAACGCTGTCGTGGCATGCTTCATCGTCCAAGTCGAAGTCGGATATGCTGGCTGTGCAGACCAACGATGGCGACCTCCGCGTCTGGAGTGTATCCAAGTCGTACAACAGCGATGATCCGGCCAAGATCGTGCGTATATTGAAGAGGACGGAAAACTATCTAACAGGGCCCAATTGGATGGGCTGGTCCAAGAACGGCCGAATCGTCCAGTTCTCAGAGGGGTGAGTGCCGATTGAGCCAACCAAGTCTTTTCCGCATGAGCAAAATCGATCACTGACCGTGAGCAGTGAGACAACTTCGTGGGATGTGCGGACGAAGCACGTTACGTGTGATACGATTCCGACTCTCGAGATCGTCCGCGGGCTGGCTGTCTATGGCCCGGGGGCCGTTCTCTTCACGCTAGGCGCCAACAACACCGTGCAGCAATTCGATCTAAACGCGCCAGTCATGATGGTCAATAACGTACAGCACCCTGCAAACTTGCTGCCACCGTCGCCCCCAATCTCGCTCGAGGCCGAGGACAAGGGCCGGTCCGGCAGTGTCTCGGAGACTGAATCCCAATCCCAAGTAGAGATCACATTCCGGCCGTCCGGGTTATCCGAATCAGAAGACGACCACAGGTCACCTCTGGCGCGGTATCTCCAGGCCGAAGCCGAGGCCGAACAATATCGTCCAGCCACGCCGGCTTCCAACATCACCCGGTCGAGCGTCTCGATTTCGTCCTCAACGTCACAAACGGCACCGCGGCGGTATCCGGCGTCGGTGGCTTCGCGGGGCATGACCGAGAATACGTACATTTCAGCGGGTTCCTCTCTCCGGTCAAGTCATGCTCAGCAGCAGCGGCAAAGAGGGGAAAGGGAATCCCCGTCGACAACCAGCTCCATATCTATGGGCAGCTCGCATTACCGGTCCGCTCACAAACCATCGAGGCTGCGCCATGAAGTGCCCCGGAGCCCAGAGGACTCGAGGGTCATCGATCTCTTCAAGTTCACAAAAAGCCGTCTTGCTGACGTGCCATACAAAGCGCCCTATTCTACCGACCACAGCCGTCTGACCAATGACGATCTGCGGCGGCAGATGCTGAGCACGATCTTCGGGTGGCACAAGGAGGTGGACGACCTCGTTCGCGACGAGATGTCCCGTCACCCCTTGGGTTCCACCAACCGTATTCTGCTGGCCAAGTGGCTGGGCGACATTGACACTGACATTATGGCCATGGGATCGGAGAACATGACGTCGTCCGACTGGATGCTTCTAGCGCTGAGCGGGATTGGTGGGCAGGCATCTCAGCATAAGCTGGGCCGCGCGTACGTCCAGCGACTCCTGGAGAACGGGGAGGTCCATACTGCTGCGACTATCATGATCGGCATGGGCGACCACAACGATGCGGTCGAGATCTACGTCTCGCACAAGAAGTACATGGAGGCGCTGATCCTCACTTGTCTCTTCTTCCCGGCCGCCTGGGAGCGGCAGGAGCAGATCGTTCGAAAATGGGGTGAATGGGCTGTCCAGCACGGCCAACAGCAGTTGGCAATCCGGTGGTGAGTACTGGCTTTTCCATTTTCCTTCCACACATCGAGAGGAGGACGTATCGATCGGACCCTGGAGAGAGAAAGCGCGGCTATTGACAGAACCAGCTTTGCGTGCACCGGCCACGAGTCTACTGAGCCATGGTCATCGCCATCCGCGCAGCAGCTCAATTTCCCAAGCATCACGCAGACTGTTCCGGAACTGATGAGCCCTCCCCTCTCCCCTCCGGTTATGAACCATGGGCCGCAGAGGAGTGTCGCGAAGAACGCGGCCTTGAAGCTCATCACGTCCTTTGGCGACTCGCAAGCCAAGTCCAAGCTCTTCGCGGGACATGTCGACGATGGCAGGACTCCGATTGCAGCGGGCGCGACGCCCATTCTCGAGTCGGCGCTCTCTCCGGGTGGTGCCGACCCGGCAACCGCGATCCTGCGGGGCAACAGGAGCCAATTCAACACGCCAGCGTCTGCTCGCCCGTTGCAAGGCTTCGACCGCGAGCGGCTGCCTTCTATTGGAGAAGCTCCCGATTCGGCCCAACGCGAACTGTTGACCGCGGTGACGAAGCCGGCCGTGGACCCGTATGCCGACGCGTTCCAGTCGATGGATCTCCGCGACAGCTCTGTCCGAAATCTCGAGCTGACAAGACCGAATACTGCCAGCCCAAGACTGATGAAGAACAACGTGAAGGGACACCCGCCTCCATCTCCGTCTCCGGCTGCGGTTGCTGCCCTGATGGACAGCGGGCGAAGGCGAAATGGCTCCCGCAGCCGAATCCCCGAAGGCGTTGACCTGTCTCTACCGTCGTTCAAGGACTCACTGCCGGATGACCTCACCTCGCCCGAGCCGTCAGCGCATTCTTCGGTCCGATACCACTGGCCGTCCAGACGAAGAGGTCCAGGATCCGTTTCGAGCTCGGTTACATCAACATCTGTGGCCTCGAGTGTAGCAAGGAGCCATCGCGGACATCATCAACAGCAAGGAAAGAGCCTGGACGACTACATCCACAGCCTGGATGCGGCTCAGAGCAAGCCGCAGCCACGCGGGGGCAGCCGTGACCGCGACGGTCACCATGCGCGGGAAACTAGCCAGACCCGAAGCCGGCACCGCGAGAAGTCGCGCGACCGCGGACGGGCTGCAGCACGGGGCTACACGCCCAAGGGTGGCAAGCGATCGCCCAAGTCGCCGGTGCCTATGTCGCCGGAGGACCTGATCAACTTGGCGACGCCGAAGGAAGACTTCGAGCAGCCGCGACACAGAGATGGCAGGGGAATACTACTTGACGTTTCCAACGACGAACTGGAGCCGTCAAGCCAGCCCAGCACGGTGAGGAAGGTGGGCTATGCAAACCGGGACGGATCGCGTGCGAGGGGATCCAGCCGCACCGGCAGCCGGAACGGTCGCGGTTCAAGCCGCGCACGGAGTCCCGACAAGCGTCACGATCTCCGTGGCCGCTCAGAGTCGCGTGGACCGCCCGGGAACCGGTCGCCGTCCTCGCCGCAGCCCATGTCGGCAAATTTGCAGCCACACGTCTACGGCTCTGACGACGATGAAGACTACAGACGAGCCGTTGAGGAACAGGAGAAGTTCAGGCGGAGGAACAACCGGAGCACGAGCAGAGCCAGCCGTGGGGAAGGGCCTACTTCTCCATTATCCGTTCGGTCGACGGCGTGGTCCACCCGCGAGACGGGCCGTGAGAAGTCGGATGGCATCCGACGGACCACTTCGCACGCGGGGGCGGAAGGATCCTCGCGCCGCAAGATTGGGGCACCGCTCCAGACTCCGGCGCCAATGCAGCTTGTAACGGACAGCTCAGGGGACCTGAAAGTCATCAAGGACGAGAGGCAGCTCAAGAAGGAGGCGGCCGCGCGTGAGCTTGAGGAGCGCCGGAAGTCGCTCGCCAGGCGGCCCTCGGCTCCGCCGATCCTGCACCCCACTGAGATCACGCCTGCGCCGGCCTCCCGGACGCCGCCGGCACTTATGGAGCTTCCCAGCACGACTTACGTGCCGCCCAGAAAGGAAGACCTGCCGTCTCGTAGTGCCAGCGTGGATCCGAGCGCCGGCAGGAGCATGTTTGCAAACCGCGACGGGCCGCGTATTGGGCTGCCAGCGACGCCTCGGGCTATGCGGCTGGTCATGGAGTCTGACGTGAGCAGGCACAACCCGGTTCCCTCGATCCCCGCGAGTTTCACGCAGCTGGTGCAGTCTCAGCGTCGGTCACCGGATAGACAGTCGCCCAAGAAAGCGGACGAAGAGCGGAAGGACGACGACATCCCCTTGCTGCTCCCGTCGACCGTCTACACGCCGCCCCCGCCTGCCAACTCGCGACTGGCAGCTCAGATCGGGAGGTCGATGTCTGCTCCTCCCCAGGACCTGGTGCAACCGCAACAGGGCCATTCCCGCCGGCCGTCTGCCGCGAACACGATGTCGATGCAAGGACGACGGCCGTCTCACGACGCGAATGCCTTCCCCGGCCGGAGACCGTCCCACGATGCCAACATCCCCCCGCCGCCTCCGCCACCAGTGCCGCCGATGCTCAAGGAACTGCAGCACCTCGCCCAGCCGCCGCCGCCGCCGCCGGCCCCGCTCCCGCACCTCGGTGGTGGCGGTCCCAAACCAGTCGTCTACGGCGGCAGCTCGGGCATGATCGAGATTGTCATGGACGATGACCAACAGCAACAGGACCACCAGCAACAACAGCCCCAACAACCGTCGTCTCAACAATCCCAGCAAGCACCTCCTCCGCCACCGCCCATACCCGCCGCCACTCCCGTCAGCGAGGCCACGGTGCCCATCATCTCTCCACCCAACCCGCGCCACGGCGGCCACAACCGCGGCCGGAGCAGCGTCGACAACACGGGAAACAGCGGCAGCAGCATCGGCGCGCGCCTCTCACGGGCGACGGAGCGGATGCGCTCGGCGAGCCGCAGCCGGAATAAGGAGAGGGGCGGCATCGGGGAGATGACTATCTCGGTGCCGGCGCCGTACGAGAGCGTGCCGCTGCCGCCCCAGTCGTCGATGGGCATGAGTGGTATGACTTATCGAGCGGTGGTCGGCGTAGGCGGTCAGGTGTACCAGCAGGTGCAGGCGCAGGTTGCGCAGCAGGAGGGGAGGAATGAGTTTCGGACGGGGTTGCATCAGAGTGAGATGATCTGATTCGCTTCCCATATGATATAAGTATACAATAGGTACTGTTGCGCTTGGATGCTTGAGTTGGTTTGTGGTTTGTCCGCTGGAAGGGGAAATTCGATTCGTTTTCGCATTCATCTGGCGTCTAGCTATTCTGGGGCATCATTACCATACCATATCACATCGGCATGGTTTTAGGTTTGACGGGGACTGCTGCCGTTTTTGGTACGACCGAGCTGGAGAAGAGGAAAAGGAAGCGAAAAAGAACATGAAGAAAAGGGAAAAGGGGCGCTTCGATTCACACACACACGGCATTCAGCATACAATACCCGCTTCACTAGCTTATACCCCCCCGAGTTCACCCGCTGGCAGCGCGGGCATTTTGTATGGGGAACGGGAAGAAAAGTCATGAGAGATATACCATTGGTTCTTTTTGGATAAGTGATGAGACAGGGACACGACATGAAGATGATGAGGCAGGAGGGGATGGGGGGATGGAATTTAATGAACGGTTTATAGGGAAGTGGAAGGGATTTGTACACTTCGTGACGATCCTTTGCATCATCTGGCGGTAGTTGCAGCTCTTTTTTGCATTTAATTTGGTTTCTTGATTTTGCACATATGCAACTTCTGTTCTTTCCGTCTTCTTCTCTTCCCTTATCATGATTCTTGATGACAGCTGGCTCTGGGCGACTCGGGTGCTTCTCTGCGGCAAGGAACACTCGAAAGTGGGCGAGCGAGGGTAGGGAGAGCGGAAGAGATTGGATACTGGTTATGGAAGGAAGCTGGACGGACGGATACGATGACAGTCGCCAGCCCAACGGAAACAGGAAACAAAAGCAGCCTTTAACGAGCGTTACATTGTTGCCTCGCGGCACAACTGTGTTTTGGATTTTTGTTCGTTTCTGGTTTGCATGGGTGCTGGACCTTCTATAGGGGGTTTATGTCAGTTGTCGTGGTAGCAAAATTAGTTCTTGATAATACTCATGTTGCCGTTTATTCCTGCTTGTGTCGCGCTGTCCGTGTCGAATCGGTTGGTGAGTGGTAACGTTAAGAAGGGGTGCTCTGTTAAGTGTTGTGGAGACGGTTGGCATTCAACATCGCGAGATGCTTCAAGCGGGGTGTCGGACTGGCGATGCGATGCTCAAAAAGCCGCCTTTCCTGTCCTCCATGGCTTTTGAACATGTGCGCAATGAAAGGGCAAGTCTTGGATGATCAACTGCAATCCAACCAATTGGTATGTGACACCAAAAACAAAATGCAAAACTTTGCAAAAATTGGAGTTGACATCCCCATCTCGCCACTCTACCCCATGCCCCCCGCGATCGTCATCCAGCGCGCCATCTGACGGTGAAGATGCCTCTGCAGAGTGAAGCCTCCCTCAAGTGTCATCTTCATTGCTTAGGGCCACGCGCAGCATCGCAGGTTACCCACACGAGTGGGTGGCCACCGCAAGATTCGCACTGGGCGCCGCGGAGGGGTTCTTATGGGGATGGAGTAAAGACAGCGAGAATATCGAGTGCCTCCTAATCCAAACTGACCATTACAGCCGAGAGCTGCAAAACTGGATCTAATACATATAGTGCCCACCAGGCGTTGTGGGGCCGCCTGCGCTCAGGGTTAGGGCTGTAGCTGCTTATCGATAGTAGACACCTCTTCTCTATCCTTCCCTTCCTGGCGCGTCAAGCTCCCATCTCAGCTTCCTTGTTGAAGCAGCATCCTCACAAGTTCCAAGGCTGCAAGGAAGGGCCTGTATGGTACTGGAGAATGGATTGTTGAGCAGAGGCATAGCGGCGGTGAAGGAGCTGTGAGACCGCGAACGGTGTCCCGGACTTTAATCATCTGCCCCGACAGCTCAAACCACTACTAGTCAACTAAGTCGAACACTCAGTTTCTGCGACAGCAACATGCTCACCACAGCACCGCACCTGTACATCCGCCGCCCTTCGCCAACCACAGCCGAGTTCACAGTCACCACCTGCCCGCCACTGACTGTCCCCCTGCGGCTGCTACTGCTCACGCTACACCTGGCGCGGGCCTTGCTCTTCTCCGCCGCCATCCTAGTCCTGTACGCCCGCTTCGTCGAACCGAGCCAGCACCACGACCACCGCCACCACTACTACCACCACCAGGGCTGCTGCACCCCGATTTTCCCATTCCAGCTATTCCTAGCAGGCGACGTCCCGCAGTTCCTAACCACCCTGCTACAAACCGCGCACCGCTCGCAGCCAGGCATCTTCCTCTCGCAGCTGACGGCGCCGCTGCCCGACTGGGCCGTGGCAGCGGCCTCCCTGGCGGCGGCGTACGCGGCGGTGTGCTTCCGGCTGCACCGCACCGAGTCGGTGCTGGTGCTGCGCGGGCTGGGCATTCAGACGTGCACCATCCGCGGCAAGTGGGGGGGCTGTTTCGGCACGCAGACGCGCTTCATCCCCACCGAGCAGATCCGGGACGTGCTGATCAACGAGGCCTTCCGCGGCTTTGAGGTACGCTACTATCTCATTGTGGTCGTCGAGGGCGAGGAGGATGTCGTGGTGCTGTTCCCAGGCTTGTTGCCGCGCCGGAGGATCGTCGAGGCTGTGTGGCGCGGGGTGAAGGGGTGTTTGTTTGAGGGGGAGGAGGATGGGAAGGGGTAGTTGATTCAATGGAGAAAGGGCACGGAATTGGAAGACAAGGAGGGGGGTGGCGGGGAGGTTATTTTTTCATTCATCCATCTATCCTGCTACTACTTGTGTCTACTACTGATGTGTCATTGCTGTCGCCGCTTCTGTTGTTCGCCTTGATCACACTCCGCCAATTCTTGGTCTTGCCCAGCTCCTCGGCGTTGGCGAACCCCTTGCTCTGTGCCCACTTGTCGTTGATCTCCTCCGGCGTGGCCTGCAGCTGCTTCTTGAGCACGGGCACGTAGGTCCCCGACGCCCTGGCCGTGTTCCCGCCTTCGTACACCAGCTGGCTGCTGCTTGGCTTCTCGGGCGGCCCGGACTCGGCCAGTCGCCTGCTCAGGTCAGCTTTCCGCGCCACCGAATCCAGCAGCCGGTTTGCCAGCAGCTCGTCCATCTTGCGCTCGCGCCAGTACTCCCACAGCTGGTCCACCATCCCGCTGGGCCCGTGCAGATGCGCCGGCCTGTCTTCGCCCAGCCAGACCCAGTCGATGGCGTCCTGCAGGTGGGGATCGCCCTCGACGTCCGGGTCGTGCATGTCTTGCGCCGCCTTGTCCCCGCCGGGGAAGATGCAGTCCCACAGCACGAGCGGCACTTCCTCGGCCATGGTGTAGTTTGGCTTCCGCGGGTGCCTGGCCACGTCGAGCAGGTCCGTGACAAGCGACGGCTCCTCCAGCCCCTGGCCGATGAGAAAGAGGATCGCGATCATGTGGCGGATTTGGTGCCAGAGGAAGGCCGAGCCGCGGACGTGGAAGTAGTACACTTTGGGGTGGGGCTTTCCGGCTTCGAGACCAGCCGGCTTGTAGTCCTGCTGCTCCAGGTAAGGCAGCGCCGAGCCCACGTCCTCGACCTCGACGATATCCGCCTCAAACACCCTCCGCTTGAAGTTGGTGATCTGCTTTGCGCCATCCATCTTGCAGAAATTCCGGAAGTCGTGCAGACCCTCAAACAGCTTGGCAGCCTTGCGCATGGCGTCAATATCCAGCCACCCTTCCCTCCCCCTCGTCCCTGACGGGTCCAGCGACGCAGGCACTGGGGGAAACGCCGGCTGGGTGAAGAAATACCGGTACTGTCTCTCCCAGCACGAGAACCGCGCCGAGAAGTCGGCCGGCAGCGTCGGCGCCCACGCCAGCACCCTGATATCCGGCGGCAGCAGCCGGTTCAGCACTCGGGGGTAATTGATCTCGTCGGCGATGGGATCCCACGCAGGCTTCCCCTCGTCCGGCCCAACCGTTTTCCCGCCCTGGCTCTCGGCGCCAACCATCTCCGCATCGCCATCATCGTTCTTCTTCCCCACCGCAACAGGCTCGACAACCGGCCTATTGCTCCTCACCCGAATGCCAATCACCTGCCCGAACGCGCTCACCCCGCGGTCGGTGCGCCCGCATTTGGAGTACTCCCACGGGCCGAAGTCGACCTTGTCCGGCTGCTCGGGCCAGATCAGACAGCTCTTGACCAGCGCCTTCCACAGCTCCTCCTCGATGGTCGGCACCGCCACGCCGGACTGGTACTCGAACCCGCCGTAGCGCTTGCCGAGGTAGGCCAGCTTGAGCGCCACAAGGCGCGTGGAGTACTTGGACGGGTCGAGCTTGCTGGGCTTCTTCTTTTTCTTTTCTTTTTTCTGCTGCGCTCCTCCTCCTCCTCTTCCTGGATTTGCGGGGTTGGGGCCTGGGGTTGGTGCTGTCCCTGATGCTGAGGCAGGGGTCTGGCATTGTGCAGCAGGTTTTTGTTCTTGTTGCCTCTTATTAAGAAGCTGCTCTTCCAGCTCCTTGACACGCTCAACTAGACGGTCCTTGGACCAGTCCTGGTAGTTGGAGTCCGCCATCTGGGCTGCGGATGAGCGCAGGGGGCGGCGCTGATGCTGAGATGGAAGGTAATGAGCTGCAGTTGGATATGAATGTGACAGGAGCGCAACTACTCGGTTCCATTGCCCGTAAATGAGAGCCTTCTGTGCATGGGCGATGGCGTTCATATGGCCATCTGAAATTTGGATGCGTACTTCTCCCCATTCAAGTCCGAATCATCTCTCTCAGGTGGCAGCAGGTGGAGCGGAGTTTTGGTCAAGAGGTGGCCGGAGAATTCAGTCTCCGACTAAGTGCACGAACAACCCTGAGGGTTAAGTGTGTGCTTGGCCTGCCGCAGATCATTGCCGCTTCGATGTAACCCTCCATGGTTCATAGAGATCTCCGCCCAAGTGCAACCTCCTTTGAAGTCTTCGCGCAGCAGAGAACCATATCATTCTGCGTTACAGCTACAACCGCCACGGCTTTTTTGCGGCTTAGACACTTTCCGAATGAATCGATGACTCCATTAGACCTTGGTAGTCATGACGTGTACATCAGCAACTTGGACGACGCCTTGCGGACCACCATGGACGTCAGACAGCTTAAAACAGAACCCCACCCTCCGTCATCAGAGGGCTAGCTACTACCCTTAATAACAGCCACACATTTCCTGCCCGTCGCCTACAAGTCACCACGGTTCTTCTACCTTCTTTTTCACGACATCAGATACAACTTTGACACCATGGACCAACCATGCTGCCAACCCGTGGCGGCACTCGCCGAAGCTGTGGCAAGAGGCGAGGACGGCGGTGACGACCGCCCTTCCCCGCCCCCCGCCGGCGCGGTCGACGAACTTAGAATCGACCAGCTGAGTCTGATGAGATCAGCATCCGAAGATGGACTCTCCATCTTATCTCGGAAATCTTCGTCCCGGCTGGAGAACCTCCCGGCCGACCTGAGGGTCCAGATCCTCTTGAGCATGCCGGATTTTGAGGCCCTCCACAGGCTTGTGCACGCATCCCCTGTGATGTACGCCCAGTACCGAGCCTACCGCACCAGCATCCTCAGTGCGCTCCTAGACCGCGAGTTAGCTTGCGTCCCGGCCATCTACACCTGGTTGGAGGACCTGGTGTCGATCGCAGATCTGGGGGTTATGCCTCTGACCGACGAGACACTTGCCTTCTTGAAGGACAAATACTACGAGCGCTACGCGCGGAAGCGGCATGTGTGTCCGTACCTAGCTTTGGTTGAGCAAAACAGCCTTTGTTCGCTGGCGAAGCAGGAGAAACCACGGAAGAAAAATTCGCGCATTGCGAAGTTCATCTCCGACCTAATTTTCAAGGGATGATCTTGCTGAAGGGCATGGTGGAATGCCATAATTCTCCGTCCGATGCTTACGTTAGACCCCGCTGGTGCCCAACAACCAACTTACCTTCCATTCCACTTAGTTGTTCCGTCTTAGATTCACCTTACTCGCATCGCATCATCAACCACGAGCCTGCCCTGGTTGCATTGTTCCGGCGACCTGGTAGCTTATCAACGTATGTTTTTCATCCATTGGGCAAAACCAGGAGCGCTACGTCATTTACTCTACCTCGAACGAACACGCTGCACCTTTTGGCATCGATGCCTGCCCGGACGAAGCGAAGCGGAAGAAAGGAACGCACCGCGTGGCACCACAGCTTGAAGGCCAACCATTCCCGGAATGTCTTGGCCATCATTCATCCACGGCGACCTACGCAAGTTTCCCAACTTATCGGTATTGACAACGTCGGGGTGGTCGGGGCAGGGGCGGGAAGGAAGGAGGAGGGGGGGCCCGGGGGGGTTGGGCTCCACGACTAGACGAACACGTCGGGCAATGGCGGCTTCGGAACCTGGAGAGGAGTAATGCCTTCATTCGACGGCTCTCTTTCTGTCCGGTTGGAGCCATTCCCCTTTTCAGGACTCTGTGTCGGAGGGATTCTGATATCGGAAATCGACCGGGAGTGACCTTGATGGTAAGTACCCAACAGACCAGGTGCTACGTCTCGTGACGTGTCACAGTTCATACATGCTTACCTTGAGGGCTCTAGGGTTCTAGCACTAAACCATGTCCGGCTATCTGAGCATGGCGGCCGCGTTGTGGGCGCTTGACGACACGCGGCACCTGCCAGCAAGACGGACGGGTGCAGGTCACCATGAGCAATGCGAGGTTGCTCAAGGTGACAGGCGGCACCAATCTCCGCATGCCAGGGACCGGGTCGGGCGCGCGTGGGGCCCGCAGCTTCGCACCGTTCTGTCTTTTGTTTTGTGTTTTATTCCTCTTTTGTTCTTCTTTTTTGGGTGTGGTTCGCCATATTCAGTTGAAGTACGGATGTCTTTGATTTGAGGGTGTGGTTGTCTTAGCCCGAGAGGGATCTCCGGCTGCTGAGATACGGGGCATCTCCCGCCCTAGACTGCGGAAAGATGTTTTGTCATATGAGTTGTAGACGGACGGGTGTTTGGGGATACCAGGCAATATACAGTACTCCCTCTATTGTTTACGACACTCGCTGTATGGCTGAAGAGTGCTCTTTCACTAGACTCCCTGCTTCCAGTTGATATTGTGAGGCTCAGCCACGTGCCAATGTAGCCTGATGGGCCCTTAGGAGTAGAATCATAGTCAAAAGGTTAAGGAGATAGGCACCTATTCATTGATGGGAGAGGTGTCCTAGTTGTCTCGAACATGATCCGTCTCATCATCATCTTGAGAGTTGAACTGTTTAACAGAGTGCCACAATAAGGCTACGTCTTGGCACTCACGATAAGCCTGATAAGGTGGCCCGAACAGTTATGCACCCTTTTGCCCTCATACACATCAACATGGAGGAACACACAATCACGATCCTACTTTTAGGCGATGAGAGATGCGGGAAATCGACGTTTTTATCGTCAGTATCCTAGAAGATTCCACAACAGAGCAACAGACGTGTCCCGGATGATTGACTAACCCCCACGCAGGAGGATCAGCCTGGGCCGTCAGAAGCTCCGTGGAACGACCCCCATCGCGTTGCTTAGAGACTTAGACCAGCCGTTCCCTTTCGAAATCCGCTCCCGCAAAGGCCAATATCGCTTCGAGTTTTACGACACGTCCAGCCCGGAGAACTGGAGGCTCCTCCGACCGGACCTCGTCATCATCTGCTATGACATAAGCCAGCGGCTCAGCCTCATCAACCTGCAGCGGGTGGTGCGTACAGATCTAGTCGAACCTGAGCCTTTTCCTCATCGACAACCCAGTGGCTGATGCGTTTGTTTCCGTAGTGGATCAAGGAAGTGCGGACGACGTTCCCTTCGAGCGACACTCTTTCCGTGCTGGTGCTGGGCCTCAAGCGGGACCTGCGGTCCGAGGACGACCTCAACGGCATCATCTATCCGCAGGAAGCCTACCGAGTGGCGCAGGAGATCCGAGCCGACAAGTACATGGAGTGCTCGGCCGTGACGGGAGAGCTGATGGAGGAGGTGTTCGACGACATTTGCACCACCGCCCTGAAGACCATCACGTCAGATGGAGGGCAGAGTGAAGGCGGGTGCTCGGTCATGTAGGCCAGCGTGGCGTCGAGGGTGGCCGGTTTGGCACTTGACGCGTAGTTCTGCATGCGCATCACAGACAACGCGATCCGTCGGTTAGTTGCCGTTTTCGACAGGCGGGGCGGCGTCGGTTTCCATCTCGTCTCCTTGCTCGCCTCCCTCCTCCTCAGGCTCGTCGCGGCCCAGCACCTCGCCGATGATGGCGACGATCATCTGCTGCTCCTCTTCGGTGAACCGCTCCTCCATATCCTCGATCGCTGTGCTGAGGACCGCACTATTGTCCGGGCGCAGGTTAAGGATGGACAGCACTTCTCCCTTGGTCAGTTCGCTTGGCAGGTTGGCCTCCCGGAGCTTCTCCAGCAGACGGGGGATGGTAGACGGGCCGTATGCCTGTGTTACTTCTTGCTTTGCAAGCGGACTAGGTTTCTCGTGCAGATATGCGATGACCTGGTCCTGTTATTAGTCTACCAAAAGGCTTTTCCTTGGCATGCTACCTAGTTGTAGAGACAAACCTCGGTCATGATATGGTGTGCATTTCCGGGGACCTTCCTGCTTTGGGCCTTGTTTCGTTTTCGCTGGTCAATGATGTGCTGATACACCTCATAGTTGGAGAGGAGGGCGTTCTGCGACTCCAGGATCCTCATGTTGTCTTTATTGACGATGCTTCCTCCGTCTGAGTTTCTGAGTTGTGACAGTCGCTGAAATGGGTTTTGGCGCTCCTATTTGGAGTCCTGGACGCTCTGTTACTGTGTTACACAGCAGCCCGAGTTACCACTAGCTGCAGAAGATATGTGTCACAACTCTGGAACATTCAAGTTTGTCGTTCAACGATCATCTTGCGGTTTTTAGAACTCCTTGAGGAATCTCCCATGCTTAAGGGAGCTGGATGGGTAATGTGTCCCTTGAATGGGATGCAGCTGCTCCTTCAACCGTCAAGGCCTCTCCACCGCAGCACACGTCCCCACTAATAAGCCAGCCCAATAAGATGTTGCAGGGCTGCCCCGCGAAAAATTCTCGCACCGTTGACCAGACCGGCCCCTCCGGCCAAAATAAACCGTTCACCTGCAGCATCGTCAGCCTGACAGATGACGCTGCCAACAACAGTATCATCTTTTCGTTTACATCCTTTCTTTCTTCATTCTTTTGCATTTACTTCTTCTTAGCTTCAATCCCCTTTCCATCTTTTTTTTCATCCCAATCTCACTTCTTTTCTTTTCGATTATTCTTCACCTTTCTAGGTTTGGTGTACAGTCTTTTTGACCTTGGGGAGCAGTCATACTTGTAACAGCAGGGTCGTCGACGTCACAGACCCATGTCAATGCCGCCCTCCACGAGGCAAGAGCCTCAGGCTGATGAGTTTATTATTTAACCCGCAACAGAAATTTTTGTTCGATTCCCGAGGTGCCCCGCGGTCACCGTCCCACTCACCTGAACCGGGTTTACCCATAACCTTAATAAACGCTTTGTCGCTGGCAACGTTATTTTCATGCTGGTCGATTCGGACTCTTTTCAAGTTGATCAAGATGGTTCCCCTGTGACCTCTCCTTCTTCTTTTCTTCCATTGACCCCTCTATCCCATTATCCGCCTCTTTGCCTGCCTCCACCGCTCGACCGTGGTAAATATCGCAGGGTCCTCCGCCTATATCGGCCGGTTCTTGCCCGAGGCATCTCGCTCACTGTTCCCCAGCTCTACTCTAAGAGTACGGACAACAGCAAAACCTCGTCAACCTTAATATTAGCATTGACAGCATTTGCTGCCGTGCCGTGCGATTGAGTTCTTCAAGTTTCCCCTGGCGCCGACCTTCTTTCCCCCGCCTCATTCTTCAACCTCTGGTCCCGATTGCGTCATTCCCTCCAGACAAGCCTCGTCAGGTTGATCAAGCCGCCAACATGGTCCGAAACATCGTAGTCCTCGGCGGTAACTCGCATCCAGCCTTGGTCGAAAGCGTGTGCAACATGCTCGGCCTTCCTGCCTGCAACCGCGTTTTGACCAAGTTCTCTTCGGGCGAAAGCCGCTGTGAGATCCAGGACTCGGTGCGCGGAAAAGATGTCTACATCATCCAGACAGGCTTTGGCGGCAATGGCAGCAAGCTCAACGACCACTTCATGGATCTTTGCATCATGATATCGGCCTGCAAGACAGGATCAGCGCGGAGGGTCACGGCCGTTCTGCCTCTCTTCCCCTATTCGAGACAGCCTGACCTCCCCTACAAAAAGTCCGGCGCGCCTCTCTTTAAGGCGAGTTCCGAGGCCGGCAAGAAGGACTATACCTTCGACAGCGTCCCGGCCACGCCAGCGCCCGGCCTACCCAGGAGTGCCGGCCTTATCAATGGCAGTGATATCACAAGCCGACTGGCAAAGACGGCATTGACCAATGGGACGGGCTCCATGTCTCCTGTTAAACAGACCAATGGCGATGGTTTCTTCCATGGAGTGAATGGCCAGGGCCTCCAAACCCCAGGTTTCACGACGCACGACTACGAGAACGGGTCACATATTGGGGCGTTCCAAGCGAAACCCGGGTATAAGCAGTGGGTTGCGCAGGCAGGGACACTGGTGGCCAACCTCTTGACCTGCGCTGGCGCGGACCATGGTATGTCTTTCCAATGCTGCACAAGACTTGCCAGGTGTTACCTGAAGGCGTTTCACCCGTGGCTTGGTGTGGTTTGAACGATGTGGACCAGTTCTCCTGTCCGGGTGGTATATGTCGCTAACATGGCGGTACTTGCAGTGATCACCATGGACCTGCACGACCCTCAAGGTATGTGCCTATTACATGACATATTATCGTCAGTCACATGCCAAGTAACGGCTCCTGCGCTGGCTGCGATTTCAGCGCCTCCCATCGATCTCCCTGCCGCTACCGTGAACGAGACTTGACGACTAGAGGTGCTGATTTTCGAGTGAAGTCCAAGGGTTCTTCGATGTTCCTGTCGACAACCTGTACGGTAGGCCTCTTCTTAAGCGGTACATCACGACACACATTCCGAATTATAAAGAGGCTGTTATCATCAGCCCGGATGCCGGCGGCGCGAAGCGGGCCACGGCCATTGCAGACAGTTTGGGCATGGACTTTGCCCTCATCCACAAGGTAATGACCCTTTGTTCCCGGTATCGGTCACTCACCAACCCTCGCGCAGGAGCGTCGCCCCACAAAGATCACAGACCGGCAAAATGCGAGTATGATGCTTGTTGGCAATGTGGCAGATCGTGTCTGCATCCTTGTCGACGACTTGCTCGACACTGGCAACACCATCACCCGTGCCGCTAAGCTTCTCAAGAAGGAGGGCGCAACAACCATATATGCGCTCCTCACCCACGGTGTCTTCAGCGGGGATGCCATCAACCGGGTCAAGGCTTCAGCCATCGACAAGGTTGTGGTGACCAACTCGGTGCCGCAGGACGAGCATAAAGCGCTGCTGGGATCCAAACTCGACATCCTGGACATCTCGCCCATCTTCGCCGAGGCCGTCAGGCGGGTCCACCATGGAGAATCCATCAGTGTCCTTTTCAACTACGATTAATTGCATGAACTCGGGGGTCCATAAAAAATGGTGTGCATCGAACATATTCGCATCTGCAGTTCTTTCTACCTTTCTCTTTTGGGTTTTCTAGGGACGTGATCTTCGACGCGTTGGGCAAAGTCTATGAGACATTGCAGTGGTGGTTACCATGCCATGTCCTATACTTCCAAGGTCGTCCCTAAACTGGGCTCCTTCAGGCGTTAGGGGTGGTGCATCCTCTCTTTCTATCAAGATATCAAACCGGGTACCTAGACGTGCCATGTCAACATTGCATGGGCACAACACATGATCTCTACTAGGGAACATCCGATCAGGCGGCGGCATGTGGTCTTGCCGGGGATCGCTTGGCCTTCTCCCTCCGCCAGGAAGCATTCTCCTGACTGATGGCGCTGAGTCACTGAAGTCTTTTCTTGCTGGGAGGCGGTTACGCACTCGTAGGTACACGCGAATACGAGCACGGTGCTCTCCGGTCGATAAAAGTTTACGTGCGCAAAACCGCGGCTTGTTAGCCAATCTGAATCATGCGCTATGCGCTTTATCTCTGCCATAGTTGCAAAGAGATGCCGTCTGGTAGAGTCTTGGGTAGAACTAACCACGTACACAGCGACTCGGAATAAAATTTAAACAGGCTCTGTGTGCGCTTCCCTTGCTGGAATTCATAGTGATTGTTGCATGACCTGTGTCTTTCCTCGATATGATTTGATTAGCTGTCTCCTGACGAGGCCGCATTGTTTCTCATCGTGGATATGCAGTCCGGACCGGAGGCCGAGAACCGGAGCCGATGCAGGGCTCGGCTTCCCCAGGCTACCCACGGAGCGGCCCGGCTTGGCACTTGCTGCAGCTCGGGTGTGACGAGAGTTTGCTTCGATCTGCTTCAGGTTTCTTTCTGTTTCTAGTCTCTGATGCACACAAGGACTGAAGCCGTGCTGTGAAACCAATGCTTAACCTCGAGTCTAGTATGACAAATATGAAAACCGGAAACACTTCTCTGGGCCTTCGTTGCTGCGAGTCATGCATGCGAGTTGGTAACCGGGCTTCGGCATCTCATCGCATCGTTACCTATCATCAATCTAGGTACCTAGTGTGTAAGGATGAGCGCGGGGACAATTGTGAGCCGCAGAACCAAGGCACTGAGCCACACCGTTGCCAAACCCAACGAAGGATTCATCTTTACACAGTATGAGCTACGGCAATGTAGTATGTAGCATGAAGTTTCTTGATGAATACCCCAATCTGATATCACAGCATTCTTTCCACAGTCACCTGGTCAAAAACAAACTTTTGTCGATGCCGATCTCAAGCGGGGCCAACGGCTAGACGGCACATGAACGCTTCATCTGCCTCTACCTACTTACACTTTTTTCTTAACTTGGGGACCGCACACAAAGTATTAAAACTCTGCGAAGTCAGCTCTAGCTCCTACCAGAACCTGGCACATGGTACAAAACAAACTGTGCCACCTTCGGACAAACCCCACATCATGGTCGTCCAACTGCTGTGGGAGTTCAAGATACTACGGCGCTTTTGATATCTCGAGTTGCTCTCTCATCAGTTCGCTGTTCCTGGGGAGTATACTGGCTGGCACTTTCCCCTTTGTAATTTCCCTTGTTGCGGTTACACTATTGTGCATTTTCGGGAGATCAGTTCCCGTTTTATACCCCCTCTATTCATTTTCCCTTCTTTCTTCTTTCCGCCTCCACTGGGTAACTAGTACCTAAAAATGGCAGGAAACCCGCCTCCACGACCAGGTCTGGTAGAGACACCGGGCTACCCATTCACCTCCGACCCACTGCCATGCACGTCCGGCTATGAAACCCCGATGGACGACGGCTTCCCCCTGCCGTCGTCCCCGATGTTGGCACCCGCGCCCCTGCCGTCCCTGCCGCCACCACGACCACCACCGCTGGCGGGTCTACTCCTTGCCACCACTGTTGATGGTAGCAGCGGCAACGGCGACGGGAACCCCGGGCCTTCCCTGTTGCGCCGGGCCAGGACGGAGCAAGGGGAGGAGACGGTCCATCATGTGCACTCTCTGCCGCAGCATGCACTTACTAACCATACTCGCACTCATGAGAGAGGACATGGGGGTGCTGCGCGTACGCAGGGCAGGGGGGATCTCGAGCTGGACTTGCCGCCGTCCGGGGGGGAGGAGGCGCTGATGCGGGCCGGGACGGATAAGACCAAGGTTGGGCTCAGGGATCGGATTGCTTGCTTCCAGTGGACTTGGTTCACCATGACCATGGTGAGTTGCAGGCGGAAAATGGTGGATGGATGTGGTGAATGGGGGTAGATGTTATAACGGGTGGCTGACATACCTACCTTTTGGGTGTGGTGGTGGTGGTGAGCAGGCTACGGGGGGAATTGCAAATGTGCTGCATTCGAGTATGTCTCCCTGCTCCTAACTTGTCCCCCCTTGCTTCAAAGTTGTTTTGTGGCGGCCTCAGATGTTGACTACTAGGTACCGTAACTTCCTCGCAGTACCGTACAAGTCGCAATGGCTGACCGGCGTCGGGCTCGCCTTCTTCTTCCTCAACCTTTGTCTATTCGTGATGAACTGCATCTGCATCACGCTCCGGTTCCGCTGGCGCCCGGGCAGTCTGGTAGAGTCGTTTACAGACCAGCGCGAGAGCTTGTTCGTCTCGGCCATTGTGAGTACTATTACCTATTGTATTTTCCCGTCGTGCCAGGATCAGACCATTCAGACTGACACCACCCCCGAGATTGTGTCGTAAGTTTCCCCTTGTTTGTACACGACATCCCTAGTACCGTACCTACCTTGGAGAGAGAGCCCAATGAGTTCTCATTTTGGCGCCGCCCCTCGTTCCAGGTTAGCCACCATCCTCATCACGATAACCCAATACGGCACGCCGCACGTCGGCCCCTGGCTGCTGAGCGTGGTCGAGGCGCTCTTCTGGCTGTATGTCGGCGTGAGCATCCTCATCAGCGCCAGTTTATACCTGACTCTGTGGTCAACCCAGTAAGCCAGCCTTATCTCGCCCTCAGCTCTCCCTCTGCTCCCTTGCTACCTAGGTACAATACAAGTACAAGTACCTACGGTAGGGTAGGGTAGGTACCTTAGATAAAGCTAACAACCCCCGGCCGCCTGCAATTCCCAGAGTCTTCCCAATCCACACCATGACCCCCGTCTGGGTCTTCCCCGCCTACCCTCTCCTCCTCACGGCCCCCTTCGGCGGCAACCTGATCGCAGCGGCCCACAACACGGGCCGGCTGGGGCGGATCAACGCCGTGCCCGTCACGCTGGCCGCCGTCACCGTGCAGGGCACGGGCTACCTGATCAGCTTCATGGTGTGCGCCGCCTTTCTCTACCGGCTCATGACCCAGAAGCTGCCGCGCGACCACCAGCGCCCCGGCGTCTTCATCAGCGTCGGCCCGAGCGGTTTCACCTGCGCCGGCCTCGTGCAGCTGGGCAGCCTGTCCGCCGCCGTGTTCGCCGATGCCGATGCCGACTACGACTACTTCATGGGCTCCGAGCAGCAGCATGCCGTGCATATCCTCCGCCTGCTGGCCTACATGACCGGCCTGTGGCTGTGGGGGCTGAGTGTCTGGTTCTTTCTGGTGTCGGTCGGGTCGCTGTGGAAATACCTCCGTCCGGAGGGGAAGGGCAAGCTGAGGTTCCAGATGACGTGGTTCTCGTTTGTGTTTCCCAATACCGCGCTGGTGAGTACAAATATCATCGATCATACCTTTTATTTTTCTTCTTTTTTCTTTTTCTCTTTCTTTTCGTTTTTTTTTCTCCTTTCTTTTTCTTTATAGCTGAGAACATAAGAAAAGGTGGCTGATACTGGTTAACGGGGTGGATGGACAGGTGACGGCGACCGAGGTACTAGGCACCGCATTCGATAGCCCGGGGCTCAAGATCTTCGGCTGCGTCCTGACCGTGTTTCTGGTGTTGGTGTGGCTGTTGGTGTTTACCAAGATGCTACGGTGTCTGTGGTCGAGAGAGCTGTGAGTGCTTCCGCTCCCTTTCCAACCTGGATATGGAAGGCGCTGACGTTAGAAATCAATAAGCCTCTGGCCCAAGGAAGAAGACTAGAGAAGAGCAAGACAGATCCAATCGCATTCTCGGGCAGATATGACATCTTCAGCCGGCTCTACTGAACCTTGAAGCGTGGCGTTTCTTCGGTGTTAAGCATAGCAAACGGATACATACAAGATATACCCTCTCTGATTTACACACACAAACACTAAAAGCCTCAGCGTCCATATTCCTATCCAGATAGCCATATAAAAAGCTAGGAACCCAGAAAGTATTTTAACTTGGTGACCATCTTTTTTATCGTTGCCGGAACATCTAATACAACGATGCCAGAAAAAGGCGTGTCCCATTCTTCTCCCAGACCGACCATAAGACGACGGAATATGATGAATGAGTCCTCCTAGCCCAGCCCAACTTTCCCTTTGCCCTTTTATTTCCCTCCGTCTTGTCTTGTCTCCCATTACGACCCAGCCAGATAAGATAGATGATGACGCGCAAAACTCGCGATATAGCAAGTAGCAGAAATGCCCTCCGAGATAACCCGAGCAAGATTAGTTTGTTAGATGACCCTCCACCACAACCCATCCCCCCCCCCCCCCCCCCCCCTCCCCTCCCTTTCCGACCCCGAAACCCGGTCCAGCCCGCACAACAAAAGCTCACCGCATCGGGGTAACCACCCGCCGGGCACCCAGGCCTGAAATGAACGCCGCAAGATTCCCCGTTCTCCCTGCTTGACCACCGCCCTACTTGTTGGTCAACCAGGCAAACTTCTTCTTGCTCGGCTCTGCTGCCCCGCCAGCGCCAGGCTCGACCTGCACACTGCGCTGGTAGATGTCCTAAAACGCATTATAACGTCAGCACCGGGGGAAATACTACTACTTTGCGAGTAAAAAGCAAAAACAAGGTAAAACTGACCTCCTCGTCCGTCGGCATCCGACAGTCGAGAATCAGCTGCCGGCTCTGCTCGTGGCGGTGCAGGTTCTGGTACGGCTGGCCCTGGCTCTTCATGATGGGCAGCAGCACCTCCCCCAGGACCTCGAACTTCTTCCAGTTGATGCGGTCGTTGTTGGGCCCGACAAACGTGCGGCTCCCCTCCTCGGCCGAGACCAGGTCCCGCCTGTGCAGCGGCATGAAGGGGATGCGCGGCAGCGGCGAGTTCTCCCACGCCAGCCGGTACGCGAAGTGGCTCTTCTGCGTGCCCATCAGCAGCACCAGCCCCGCGAAGCGCTTCTGCACGTCGGGCGCCACCAGCCCGCGCGTCTGCGCCAGCCGGTGGATCGCGGTGCCGTTGATGCCCGCCAGCACCGCCGCCAGGCCGTTGTAGTTGTTCAGCTGGCGCAGCTTTTGCGCGATCTGCATGAACTTCTCGAGGCAGGGCGCGCGGTGCTTGGCCTTGTCGCGGATCAGGATCATGTTGGCAACCCACGCGGCCACGTGGTTGAAGTGCGAGACCATGCGGTTGACGTTCTTCAGCCCGCGGCACTCCTTCTTCTGGTCGTGCGACAGGCTGACGTGCCGCACGATGTCGCGGATGCGGATCGAGCTGAACATGACCCAGTCGATCCGCGTCATCTCCTCCACCATGTCCTCGATGTCGATCTCCATGAACATGTGGTACCTGAACTTGTTGAGCGGGAGGGACGGCGAGGGTACGAGCGTGGCCGCCTCGCGCTCGTAGTCTTCGACCGTGTGGAACTGGAACCGCACCGGCGCCCGGCCGCTCCCGCTCTGCGACGCCTCCAAGCCAGACAGGTCCGAACTCTGCGATGCGCGTCGCTGGCTGGGGCCGCCACTCGACCCTTCCAGCTGCAACGAGTTCATCGACTCCGCCACGTCGCTCCGCCTCCGACCCGTGACGTCCTTCTCCTCGGCCCCCTCAACCGGATCTGAATTTGCCCAGCCCGTGTCGTCGTCCTCGATGATCCTCCGCTCTAGATGTACCCGCATCTGGTGCGTCGCAGCGAAGAACATGGGCTCCGCCGACAGCTGCTTCACCATCTCCTCCAGGCTCTTCTTTGTCGCCGGCCGGGCAAAATCCCCGGGGTACAGCGACAGCCACTTCGCCACGACTTCAATGATCCGGAACTGCGCCTCCATCCTCAAAAGATAATGGGCTGTCCGGTCGTGCCGGTCGTCCCTCAGCCGGTCCAGCCGTGCGCGGATTGCCGCCAGGAGCTGAGAAGGGGCGGCAAACTTCCGGTAGAGGCAGAGGAAGATGTCGGCAAAGTTGTGGTCAGCCTTCGACATCTTCTCGGCGATCAGCCTGTCGACAAGCTCGTCAAAGCTCACGCCCAGCTCCTTGGCCGGCCGGTTCCCATTTCCATAGCTGTCGTCGCTGCGCTGCAGGATCGGTATATCCTCCGAGTACTGGTACGATTCTCCGTCGGATTCTTCGACATCCAGGAACGACTCGCTTCCGCTGTCGAGCCGAATGCCGGGTGTGCGCAGCATGCTCGACACTGTCTGTTTCCCGTCTTCCGGGACGGCGGTGCTGGCACTGCTTAGGTTGCTACTCGGAGCGGAGGTTGGGTAATCCGACCGCGACCGGGATGGCTGTCCTTTATATTGGCCGTCGTGGGGTGGATTGGAGAAGCCACGCAGAAGCGAGAAGTCGGAACTGGCCCTGCTGTGCTTACTGTGCTGACTGATGGGGCGCCCGTTATGCACATCGACAGGGGCATCGAGATTCGTGGACGCGGCCCGCCTCCGGTAGACGGATCCATCCGACTTGTCTGTTTGTCTGCCATCAGTTCCACTTCACAACGCGGGACCTGCATAACCGCTCCGTGCTCGATCACAAGCCAGCTCGTTGACCGCTCAGGGGCCGCAGCAGCACAAGTGGGGCAGGGGAGAATATCCGTTCGGCACGTTGTAGATCTCACCTCTCCGGCTGGCCAGAGCAGCCCTTAGCATGGCCTGCAGGCACTCCCGAGCGCTTCCAGGGGCATTGCACGCCGTCTTGAAGTGGCCGTGGCATGTGGGAAAGCTTGATGCGAGCCCCGCCAAATCCGGGCGCCGCTGGTCGTCGGGCGTGTCGCATTTCGTAGCGACCAGAACTGTGGGCATCGAGGAGTTCGCCAGGGCGGCTGCGCCAGGATTAGCAAGCTGGTGGCCACTGCAAGTGCTGTACCGTCTCTAGGCCCTGACTCACTCATGATCGGGGCCACTTCGCGCATGCTTCCTTGGTTCGCAACATCGTACAGGATCAGGGCGCCGTCGATGCGCGGCAACATGTGTCCTCCGATCTGTTTGGGCCAGTGCACGGGCTGGTTCGGGTCCAATTCGATGATGCTCTCGAGATCGAGCTCGACCAGGGTGACGAGATAGGTGGTGCCGTCGACATCGTAGCGCGATGTGGTGACGTGTACGCTCGACGGTCTCGGTGCGCGCCGCAGTTGCTGTATGAAGGTGGACTTGCCCACGCCTTCGGCACCAATGACGGCGATGTTGATGGTTTCCATGACCTGTCTGGGCTCGAACTGCGCCCGATGGTCAGCGTATTGTAATCTATTTCCCTCCTGCGCCGAATTGCGCCCCGCCGGGCCCGGGAGAAGCAGAAAGGTGCGAGCTGCTTACCCAGGGAGTCGGATTGGTATCGCTCAGAGAGTCTTTTCGAGGCGGGATCCAGGGCTGTTGCCGTTCCTCATTGCGGTGACCAGCACTCGTCGTCGGGTTAGCGCTTGGCGCGCCCGAATCGCCAATCGCGTGGGCGTTAGGTTCCGGGTCGGTTTCGAGGGCGCTGTAGCGGAGGAAAAACGGGTCGTCGACGATGGAGGCAATGAACGAGTCTCGGCCGCCTGGAATAGGTAGGTCGTCGTCAAGCAGAAATGTGGCCTCGGAACCAGAGGCGGAAGGATTGGGTCCGGACGGCGCAGCGAAGCTTGGGGCGCTTGTAGTCGGAGCTGCAGTAGTAGAAGCAGTACCAGCAGCAGCAGCAGCTTGCGGCGGGGTAGTGGTTGGTACCACGGGCTGCTGCTGCTGCTGCGGCAGCTCTCCTCCGAAACTGTCTGCCACGGCCTTGCGAGTCTGTGCCCACATGATCGCTACGTGACTTTTATTAAGAGCACATGGCAACGACAAGAGGTGGCATGAACATCACAATCGCAGCGCGCTCCAGGGCCGGATTGAAAAGATGGAATTCTGCGAGAATGAAAAAAGTGGTAAGAGCCACAACTCCGTGCAATTGGACTTGGACTCCTGTCAGGGTCCTCTTTGTGGGATTCCTACCGTGGTCGGGGATCCCGAGAGCAAGGACTGCTAAGTTCTACTGTAACTTGACTATCCCCATTCCCCAGCGTGGTGCCCAAGCAAAACCTAAGCAAGGGGCCCCTTCCGGCCGCGTCTGTCTTGGACGGGTTTGCACCGCAAACACCGTCTGTCGACTGAGTCCCCTCGGGTCCGAGATTCTCGGTCTGCAGTGTCCCGCACCTAGCCGGTAGCTCCTACTCGCGGTCTCCTTCGTCGATGGATGAAGATGTGCGGCCCCGATTGCATGTTTGCAAACTTGAAGTTTGGGCCTCACGCAGTACCGAAACAGCTTAGTTTGGCTTCCTGCTAGGTTGCTCGGCTCGGCAGCTGTGGTGTTCCAAGCATGCCCACAAAATGACTGTGGACCCGGCGGTTTCCGGCCCCTGCAGAAACCACGTTGGTGTCCGATGCCAAGAGATTCGAGAAACTGTCAAATTGGCCGGAACTGTGACCTCAGGTTTTTCGGTCACTAGGTACCTAGGTAGATTAGTTTGTGGGTTTTATTACTGGGCATTCGTATGCACTCTGAAGACAGCTGATTATGACTTGTATCTCGGTACACAACGGTCAGCCACTGCATCCAACTAGGTAGTCAATCTACCGTGTAAGTTTGCGTGGCCATCATGTCTCGCATGGGTTCCTCCTGCTCGGAAGAATCAACCGAAAAGCTCCCGGGTTTCGAAACACAGAGGATATCAAGTACCTGGTACTTCGTACCGTTGATCAACCTGTTTGCTGTTTCAACTCCACAACGGACTTGTCTCGACGCCTGCCCCCTTTCCTCTCAATACATCACATGCGTCATGGAAGGTGGAAACTCCAAGTTAGCCATGCTTGGCAACTTGTCTGCACTCGATGTGCATTACCTATTAGCATCGAGGCCAACCAAGGATTGCACAAGGCGGTATGTATCATTGCTGTACAATACCGTTGAGCGTGCCATCCAATGCAACGCACCCTGTCATGGCTTCTGTTGCTTCGGCATATCAATAATAGTGCCAAAGCTGAGAAGTTTCCGCAACGATGTCTTCCTTAATGCCTTCTCCTCATCCTTTTTTGGGGAAAGGAGCAATAAGGTAAGGATCGGTAGAAGGTGGTTTACATTTGGCATGGAGTTGTTTGTTCCGTGCGAGGAGTGCTGACTGCTAGGAAAGGCAGTTTGCAAAAGGGAAACTGAAACACTACGATCGATCAGATCTGGATGGAGAAACCACCTACCGCTCAGACCTTTGGGTCAAGCGCAGCCGTCATGGGCACGTCCGTACCGACGTGTCTCGGGCGTTCTGCCCTCTAATATCCTTCATCCCCCTTCACCTTGGAGGTCCTCCAATTGAAGCCTTCTTCCTCGGTCCCACTCTGTTCCTTCACCCGAAACTCTACCGCAGTACGGGGTACCTTGGTTGTCTCCTGATGGCGCTTGCCCATGCTGGCTGCAGCAAACACTGAGGACGAAAGTATTCGGCAGGTCCTGATCCCCGAGGCCAAGGTCTCCTCATCAGATGGGGAAGGTCATGGGTCCCTCCGATCTAGGAAGTCAATAAGCAGGACTACCCTAAAGACGGAGGTTCATGTGGAACGGGAACAGCAGGTGGACGAGGATGAGCCGGGTGAGCTCGTGATGGTGATGGTGTTGACGCTTGCCTCTTCGAGCTTTGCTCCAGCGAAACAGACCTTGGGGTCAGCCTGCTTGGAAACTCGGAACGGAACTGAACCGTTGCTCGTCGCAGTGGCGGACATGATCTCGATGACGAGGTCAGGATATTGCCGGCGAGGGCCGGTCACACCAGGCAACGCGGCAACAGGCTGGGGGAGGCACTGAGCAGCACAACTCCGACTCGGCGGGAGCCGGCCGAGCTGTGCTCCTGAGCATCGGTCCCGAGTTCAAGGGCCGACCTAGGATCAGCTGGCCAAGTTGATAATGCCGCTGCGGCTACGAACCAACAGTTGTTGCTGGGTCAGGAGTCCGGTGCCCCGGCTGCCCCGAGTCGTGCGTTTATGATAAAAGAAGCAAGAAGCTAAGCTGATGCTGTTGGTAGAGTTGAAACATCTGAACCCACCCCGTTGAGCAAACAGACTCGGACCGATTTGAGACTTTCGGCTGAAGCCGGATCAATATCTGAGCACATCCATGTCTTCCATACCGGTAACGTCTACACTCAGGAGCCTAGAGCTGCATACACACGGGGATATTGCCATGCCGCGGTCAAACAGCAGAGCACGCTCGTGACCCAGACGTAACCAACCACCCGTTGCCCAAACCGCGCACCGGAACCCTGTAGGGCCATGGTTCGCCCTGCCATTCTCAACTTGCTTTCCAAGATGGTTTCTGCCAAGCACACGACATAATTGGAGAGAAAGAAGCGAGACTCTGGCACTGCATGGAACCTTCGCGTCAAGACCCAGTTCGATATTGCGTGGAAGAGGGCAGACAGCATGAACATCCACAGCGCCCGGAGCGCACGGAAGGTTATGTCACTCTCCAACAGCCGACGCACAAGTTGACGTTGGTGTTGGTGTTGGTGTTGGTGGTGCAGTGTTGGCCGCGCTGCGTCCTCTTCTCGTGCGGGCTAGGATGATGTTGTTGCCGCACAGCCGGTCGTCAGCCTGGACACCTCGAATGAGGCAGAGTTGAAGAGGAGCAATGGGTACTGGTCTCCTTACCTTGACACGGAAGACCATACTTAGGTAAGCGTCAAAGACGGCCACATGAAGCCGGTGCCAGAACACACCCCAAAATCGTCGGAGGGAGTACGCTTCGGTGATGCTGCCGAAGAGCGGAGGCCACTCAGGAGGCCGGTCCCATTGCAGGACCGACACGAACACGGCCGCCAGAAGATCGTGCGCGCTGGTGAGCAGCAGGCATGTGTCCCAGATCCACTGGGAAGACACCAACGCTCTCAGGTACAGATCTCGCTCCGTCAGAGGGGGCAAGAGGCCCTGCTTGTCTGGGCCAAAGTCACGACGACTCAGGTGGAGTCCATGTAGTGCGTTGGTGGTGAAGACGGTCATGAGGTGACGGGCTGCCAACAGGGCCGTGGCATGTCCACATCGAAGATGAGCAAACCTGACTCGGACTGCGTTGTCGGTGTTCGGGCTGTCAGTGTCCGACAGGCGCAGCCGGCGAGGATTAGCCCAGACGCGGAAGACGGCACGCAGTCGCTGGGCGAAGGGAGCAGGACCCGGCAGCCTGACCACTTTCTTTTCCAAGAAAAGGACCGATGTTGTGTGGAGCGTGATGATGAGCCCCGACGGGACCAGGAGATGGTTGAAAGGAACGAGCGAGACGTTTCTCAACCCCAGGGCAACGACGACCCCGAGGAGGTGGAGAATTGAGAGGATGAGCCGGGCCGCGTCAAACTGGCGTTGGATGGCCAGGTAGAAGAGAATAACGGTGGAGGAGAACACGAGTAACGGGCAGGAAGCATAAACTCCCAAGAACAGCCAGGATGGCGCGTGCAGGCCGGAGACTTCGGGCATCTTGACTCGCAGCATTGTTTGCTGACTTTTGAATCCCGAGTCACCAGGGATGATCCGTTTTCTCTTGAATCGGGATCTTATAGGTTCCTCGGTCCTCGGACAGCAACTTCATTACCCCCATCGTTCCTTCCAGATCTTGACACAGCATGACGGGAGCTCAACCCAGTACGGCGTCCTCAATAGGAAGGCGTCAATAAGTTCGGTCCCGAGCGACAAGATCTACGTCGACATCAGTCGATTCTTTCACTATCCAGATTTGGATCTTTTGCTGCTACAGCCACGGATATCCCCGAACTGACCGAGTTAACCCGGTTGGGTCATGTGTCCATGGTCCCAACTGAGCTCGGCTCGTGACTCAGAATTTGCGAAAGCGTGTTCCCATCTCCATTCTGCTTAGGTTGATCTTGTTCGATCTGCTAATGCAGGATAGGTAGGATTGTGGTGTGCTATTAATCTAGAATACCTTATTCTTGAAACCAGACTTCGATGAAGTTGAGAATAATCAGAGATCTATTGAAATCTTCTTGCAGCTTACCTAGTTTAACGTGGATCTTAGATTCGGATTCATCTACGGAGCCGTATTGTACTTGCAGATGCCGTCCCCGTCTGCGTGGCATCCGGCCGAGTAACTCGAATTGCAGGCCCGGCTCGTAGGATGGGAAGGCTCGAAGTTGGCTGCCTATGCGGGCGCACCTATGCAGACAGCTAGGAGGCTGTCCCATGTGGCCTGCGTATACATCATGCAGTAATACAATATGGTACGGACGTAGTCGGTGTGAGTCATCGTCTTTCCATAGAAGAATCCTTCAGGTACGATCGTTGATTGAAAAGTTCGAAGCCTTGGTGAATGTTATACACCTTTTCCGTCATTGACAGCAACAGGCAATGACACACCCCTCACTGTGACCACATTATTAACACGAAATGAGAGATCGAAAATGAGCAGCAGTGACGAAGAAGTTGATTAAGTTGTTTCTCAAGCTGACAACAGCGTGAACAAGTTCACAATGCAGCAGTTGTACGTTCTCTTGAGTATCCACACCCGAAGAAAGTCTTCCGGAAATGCAGTCTCGAGTCTTCAGTAGCGACTACCTACCTAGGTACGTTCCTAGTCAAGTCTGGTGATCGGATCCGGAGCGGTTGGCGCCGATGACTTGCAGCTTTACAACGAACACCGCCGATGCGAATACCCGAATGGAGGCAGGCGAGCTCGCGGAGATTCCCGATATGAAGTCCAGCATTCTGGGTTCATGAGGCATTAACCACGCAAGAGGGAGTTCTCGGGCAGAGATTGTCAGGATGACGTGAGCGAGCAAAAGTCGGGCAGTCGCGAATTGCCCGAGACACTACTGTGTAGGTACTAGTAGTCCTTGAGCAAGACGTCCAGGAGCGACCCTTCCAAGTATAAAAGGGGTGTGCTATCCGCTCACGAAGGTGACTGACCCAAAGCCATCATCCCAACAAAAGCTGTCTTCTTCGTTTGCCAATCACACTTCTCGCACAATTCCACCTGCCACCCAACATGCCCATCATTACAATTGCTGAGATCATTGAGGTCATGACCGTCGGCGGTATCTTCGCAGGCACTATCACGGAATGGTGCAAAGATCACCCTGGACCCGGCTGTGTCAACAAGCACCACCTCCTCAACAACCTTAGCGACGTCGGCCCTTGCAATGTCCCCATGTACAACTTTGACATCTGCAACACCCAGCTCCACGATCAGGCCAACAACGGAAACAAAGTCTGGACTTCGGTTCCCTTCCCTGGTGGTGAGTGATTCCTTTATGTATGTTACCGCCTGTAGATTTGTTGACGGAGTATCATTCAGTGGCTAGGTTTGAAAATGTTCCACCCGCGTGCATGAACCTTGCCGTGGCCTTGACCGGCGCCTGCACGGCGGATGGTCCTCGCCCGACCCCTTGCGGCTCGGCCTGCATGGAGTACACCGGCCTCTCGGACGACCAGATGCGCCAGCTCTCTAGCTACCTCAACTGAGGTGGCCATTTCGACGGAAAGCACATTGGTGAGTATCCTCCAGAAATGTTCCAATTCCGAAAGTGTCGAAATGCTGACCGTAGACCGTCGCTTTTCAAGGAAAGTGTCTGATGTCCATGAGAATGGGGCTTTCCAGAGTGAATGTACAATATTTGTATGGCTATCATCGGGCCTGGTCTTTTGGAGGCTCAAACGACCAACTCTGCTCTTCTTTCTCACTTTATGTATTATGATCGATTGTGGAACAATCTCCGCTTCCCATCACTTGAGATGTGTACCTACCTACATATATCATAGCGTATGACAAACCATCTCACTCACTCAAGGCTCATCATCTTACTTTGTGGCGTCACTGAATAGGCAGACACTTACAGCGAGTGCATTAGAAATCACAGATATCCCTCCCAAATACTCAATCTGCCAGCAGCCAACTAGTAATGAATCTAAATGCCATCACATCGTACCTTACTGATTGCAGACAGAGAATGCTACCTACCTAGACATCAAGGAGACGATTGTTCTGTCTGAAGTAGACGACTGGCTGTTGGGTTGTCGAAGAAGTACTAGTACTCTTTGAGCTTTCAACAACCTCACCTCATCCAGCTCTGACCAGCTCAGATCTTAATCTCTTGACACTTCATCATATCACTTCAGGGGTGAAGTTTCATACAGGTCCGCCCTACACACCTTACATATTCCGCTCTGGACAACCGGCGGGTACCAAAGGATTTCGGAGAGACCCGCGACCCCCGCAATCCTTAAAAAGTGGACTCATCGACCCCGGACAAATCACGTCAAGTCACATCCTCCCCCCGACCATCCAGCTTTTTCCTAACGCCCATGCCGGATTTGGGATGCCGCCGAAGAACATACGAGCTTGGCAGGGGAGCCACATGCATCGACTCACCGAGGGAGAGGAAGGAATGAAGAAAAGGACAACAACTCCCTCACTCACCTACTATGTAACGGTTCCATTATTTGGGTGACGATTTCCAGGTCTAACTACCGCTTCTTGCCCTGTTGCTGTTCGCATGATTCCTTGAGAAAGCAGGCAAACAGGGAGAAAGGTGGTCACGACGACCCAACAAACCTGGCGCTATCACCACCTTCTTTGCATTATTAGCTAGCGCCGAGTCAAATGACCAGCCCATTTTAGCCTCGCATCTTGGACCCCTGGAAGCGCGAGGACCAGCCAGTGGAGGAGGATTGATCCCTCTTCCCCAGTCTCCACAATCAGATGGGGAAGCTGATCAACTCATGCGACTTTTCTCCTCACCCTGCGCCAGCAACTGCATCGCTCCTGTTGGCTGCTAGTGTAGTTATCCCGCTATTCCCATCCTCATCATTGATGCTTCACTGGGAGTGGATTGACTGCCGCACAAAAGCCCACACACCAAGCAATGTTAATAGCCGAGCCCGGCTTGTGGACTCACGCGAACCCTGGCCAACCCCCAACATTGCTCGTGTGCTCTGCAACCCTAACGTAGCGTCGATGCTTCGGCTACAGGGATGTTAATAGGATTTGCCGGTGACAAAGCGGGTCGTCTCTGTGCTTCTCCTAGCCATATATACAATCACGATGTGCCCTCCGTGCGTAACGTGGGCTCGAACTCTCCGACCTCACACAGCTCGCTTGTTCTTGTCCCGCCTGGAGCCCTGATAGGCTTCTGTAGACCGCACATCCCTTCCCTGTCTTAGACATCAGCATCCTTCTCCTCTAGTTCAAGCCAAATCAAGACAGCGCCTGAGACAGTGCGACTCGAAACCCGGCGGACAATCCCCGAAGGTCACGATTAAAAGTATAGGGCCGAGGCGCGGTGGAAACTCGCTTTGCTGTCGAGGCTGTTCTTGGGTTGTTCTTCGGGAGAGTCTCGAAACATCGGTTCACAGCCCGCAAGCTATCCGCTCTTTGTGGGCCAATGTTTGTCGAACCGGCCTGGACAATGCAGTACAGGACGAACTACGGCAAAGAGCAGAGGCCTGCTGGCCCTTGGCCAGGTGGAAGACCGTACAAGGGCCCGGCCAGACTGCCTGAAGGGCACTTCGATCCCGACGAGTTGACCCGCCGTCTGTATGTTGTATTGGCGGAGCAAAGACTACAGGCGGAGCGGAAACAAAGGGCTCGCGGAGAGCGATCTGACCGCAGAGATGGCACTCGGCACCAAGAAAAACAGCAGAAACCTGCTGAGCCAGCCGCCGACCTCATCACGAAACTGAGACGGACCGAGTCGGCAGAGAACAAGCCAACGCACACGGCGCTTGCCGCCCCTCCTCCGGATGTCGCGACGAATCAAGCCAGCCAGTATCACCACGTCCCCAGTCAAGCCGCATCACAGTTCGTGCGAACAACCACGGTGGACAACATTCGCAACAACGACCTCGTCCACAAGCTCTCAAAACGAGCGCTCAAATTCCATTTGGATGGGCCAAGGACAGTCCGCCCAGCAGCGGTACCAGAAGAAGGCGGCGGCCACGGCGGGGAAACCGCCATTGCACCAGCCAAGCTGTCCCGGACGCTACAGCAAACCCAGACGCAGCGCGACAAGGTCCTGGACCGCAACCAGTTCCAGCGCACCCGGATCCTCGAGGAAGCCGCGCAGCTCGACCACCACGAGCAGCAGCCGCCGCGCAAGCACACATTGGAAGACGAGTTCCTGCGGCTCCTGCGTCCCGCCAGCCGCCACGACAAAAGACGGAACAGCACGGGTAACGCCGCCGACATGCATTCCGCCAACGACAACCGCAACCACCACGTGCGCCGCTCGCTCATCGCCATGGAACCCCTGCTGGACGTGCTCGCCGAAGAGAAGTACAATCTCAGCACGACCAACAGCACGACAGCACCACTCCCGGCGGAAGAGCCACCGCTGTGCCGGTTCCCGCCGGCCGACCGCACACGCGTCGACTGGACACAGAGCGACGAGCCGCGCGCCCACAACGGCCGACCGAAGCTGCTCCTCTCGCTCCCCTTGCTGCGCAAGGCCGATTCGCTGTGGACGCTGCGCGGCATTGGGCGGAGGGGGAGTAAAGACTCTTCGGTTCAGTCTCCCACTGGCGGTAGTGCTGCTGGGGTGCCGGAGGGAAAGGGTGATGAGCTGTCGCCTACCAAGGCTGGGAAGACGGGTTTCTTTGCTAAGTTCAAGCGTTAATTCTGGGATGTGTATGGCCGAGACTGGCTGCCTGGCTGGCGGGGTGGGAAGGGGTGGTCTCACCTGAGAATTTGTGACGTCTTGTATGCCCGAGTAGTAATGATAATGACACGACGTGACGAGCAACAGCCGCTGCTGGCTGCTGGTGTGCCAAGTCCCTCCCGGCGTGATCATATAGGCATCCGCGCACAGGACCCCCTTATTAATGCGTATTCCCTGAACTTCCCCCGGCCGTTGCCGCCCTTGGTGGCATCCAAACCCCTTATCTGGCTCATTCCAAAGAACAAAGCCATACAAACCTCGACAGAACACTCACCATATGCCGCGTTACCCCACAGCCACTGGCCGTGGGAGACAGATCCCTAGTCACCCGCGCTCCTCCTTCAACAACCGCTCGATAACCTTCGTCTCCTCTGCCGTCACCTCCTCTCTCACCCTCCTCACCAGCTCCCGCCCTTTCTCCCCTCTCTTAGACAGGAGAAAGCGAACGAGGTCGCAGAACTCGCGCACCCCGTCCCCGGTGTCACTGGGGTCGGTCCTGGCCCTGCGCAGCGCTTCCGCGCCCTTGCGCAGGCCGATGTCTTTCGTCCACGGCTGTGTCCTGTTGCGCGACGTATTGGCGGCGACGCCGGGGATCGAGGAGAAACTAGTAGCGAAGGAGTTGTTATTGTTGTCGGAGGGCGGGAGCGTAATTTCGTGAATGCGGGTAAGCGCGGAGGGGAGGGAGGGGTATTTAGCAAAGAGGCGCTGGAAGGTTTCGCGATGTTCGAGGAGGATGCTGTAGGGGTCTTCCCCTTCGGCGGGAGAGTTGGTTTTGTTGTTATTGAGAGCATTGGGGGAGGGAGCGTTAGGTTTGGGGGGATCGGGCGGGTGGTTTTCCTTGTGTTGCTTGTTGCAGGCGACGGAGCAGCTGGGAGCGGTGGTCAATACCAAGGGCTTGGTATGAAGTGCGTAAGATGGACGACGTACTATGGCATTACGCACCGGGGACACTTATACCTGCCCGGTTGAGTGCCGCATACACCGCAAACCCTAGACTCTGCTTTGCTTGGTTGGAGCGACTGCTCGGCATCTGCACCAACGCCTTCGGCGGCAGAATCCATTGCTGGCGGCGCAGTCGGCTCGGGTGAAACGGTACCGAACAAGGATGACTGCACAGCAGGAGCCGTCGCGTCGCTCTCGGTGGTTGACATGTCGCCGTTTGGACTCTTCTAGTCCAATTGGCGCTCGATGCTTGTCTCCTGTCGAGTGTCCCTCCGCATGGATGGTGATTTGGAGGATTTTGGAGCCTTGCGCCGACCGATGCGAGGAGCGTTGGGTAACACAAAACTCGACGCGAATCAGATCTGGTATTGGCCAGTTCAGTCCCGATTCCGAACTGACAAACTGCTCAGTACCAATGGGTTTCATGCAAATTCACGGGCCAGAAATGGAAGTCTCGTTGCTGTACCTGTAGGTGATCGATCAGCTCATGCAACGCGGGTGACCGACGCGCATGCGCGTGCTAACGGTTCTTGGTGATGGCAGTCCGAGAAAATTTGGGCCCTGTGGACCGTCTATGACGCAGCCGGCGGGTCCCAGGGTCCGATCGGGATTGATTGGTTTGTCAGCGGAACGAAATGCGTTGCGGCAATGTTCGGCTCTCTCCGCAGCATCGGCATTTTATTAGCTTCTAACTAATCCTTCAACTTCTCACTCAGCACTCAGATCTGGACCTGGCATACACGATGCCGCCAAACAAGCTATTACGAGGCTTCTCGCCTCGAATTCCCAAATTTCCTCGACCATTCAACCAACCCGCAACATGTTTCCGGGTACCACAGACAGTGGTTAGACAAACACACAACGGTGCGGGCCGTCTCCCATCCAGCGCATCCGGGCTCCGGCCTCGCCTACAACAAGCTCAGCGGCCATGGACTCTCCTCCCCAGGACCTCGCGCCGCACGATCTTCATCCAGACCGAAAACACCCCGAACCCGGACGCGCTCAAGTTCCTACCCAACCATCGCATCCTCCCGGAGGGCATAACCTCGCCCTTCATCGAGTACCTCTCCCCGCGCTCGACCATATCCCCTCCGTACCCTTCGCCCCTCGCCGCGCAGCTCATGAACATCGACGGCGTCACCGCCGTCTTCTACGGCGCCGATTTCATCACCGTCACCAAGGCCGCCGACGCCAACTGGGCGCACATCCGGCCCGAGGTGTTCTCGCTCATCACCGAGGCGATCACGTCGGGCCAGACCATCGTCAACGTGGTGGAGCGCAAGGAGGGCGAGGCAGAACGGGATAGCTTGAGCTACGACGAGAACGATAGCGAGGTGGTGGGGATGATCAAGGAGTTGCTGGAGACGCGGGTGCGGCCGGCGATTCAGGAGGACGGCGGGGATATTGAGTTCAGGGGGTTTGAGGAAGGGTACGTCAAGCTGAAGTTGAGGGGCGCCTGCCGGACGTGTGACTCCAGCACGGTGACGTTGAAGAATGGCATCGAGGGCATGCTGATGCACTATGTAAGTCTTGTTGTACCCTCGGTCCACGAGCACTGCAATGCATGCTAATACGATACAGATCGAAGAGGTGAAGGGCGTCCATCAAGTCCTGGATCAGGAGGAAGAGATTGCGATGAGAGAGTTCGCCAAGTTTGAGGAGAAGCTGAAGGCACAGAAGGGTGAAGTCCCCCCTTCCACTGTAGGGAAGGACTCGCTGGATTCTGTTCCTGGGTAAATCCGGCCCTGAGGCAGCCTTAGAGAACATCCCCCGGCATTTGGCGACGATAGAGGTCATATATACAGTAAGAGAATCCATCGTACACCCTTGCTGTTGGGTACCTCACTTATGCACCAAGATAACATGTGTCTTGTGCTATTCTGATGGCTATATGCTTAATGTGGAAGGGTTACACTCTAATTCACCATGGATCCTCTCGTCGCAGTTTGCCAGGGTTCCCTGCCCGCCGTGACCTGGACGGAGGAGCACGGTGCTTGACTCTTGAAGGCCTGCCCCGTCATATCGAGAGCGCGGAGTCGGAGACTTGCCAGAAGCAATTCAAAAACAACGGCGGAGAGAGGCCTAATTCTCCACTTGCAGTAGTTCCCATTACTCGAGCGCCTCCCTCTGGCCAAAATAAGCCGATCCCTGTATTACCCACCAGGCGTAGGGATGCGGCTGCCAATACCAGTATCTTCTTTCTTACATCTTCGGTTTCTTTCTTCTTCTTTCCTTCTTTCCCTCCAATTCCCCATTCTTAGCCTCACTTCTCGTTCTTCTATCTCTTCCCATTTCCCTTTTCGCTTTCAGTTTTGCTTGACTTCTATCTTTATCGCTTAAACAAGATTTGGTCTACGACTTCTTTTGACCGGGGGGAGAGCATGTATCTTGTCATCTGCTGAAAGCAAGATAGGCCTACATTCAGGGCTCTACAATCTGATGCCGTATCGATATGCTACGAGAAGCCTCATGAAAGGAAGTCTCACTGGTTAGCAATGCTTCGGAAAATCAAGGTAAATAAACGGATATGAGTGCGTGGGAAACTGCTGATTCAGAGAACTTCGTGGTCGTAGAATGTCAAGGGAGGGGACAAAGGCTCAACTTCCACCGTAAATCGCCCTGCCGAGACCGTGTACATGGTACACTGAGTGTATGATGGAGTGTAAGGTGGTAAAGAAAGGTCCATGGAGATCTAGACGTGGGGACCGATCGAGAATCCGGGGTACGGACGCTAAGAATCGGCCGAGTGATCACCCTCGCGCATTGAGAAAGTGGACACGTCGAGACTAACAGTTGTGGAGCTGGATGCAGAACATCCGCGGGCATCACTTCGGCGAAAGAGCGGACCTGGGTTGCTGTCAGTGTTCAACCCGAAAGCAGGTTCTCTTCTAGCTCCGGTGATCTTTCGAGATGGTATTGTAGGATAGGCCGCCTTTGGGGCCATACTTGAACTTTCCTAGAAGTGTCCGATCCCGCGTGTGCGTCCACTTGAATTTAGGCTGATGGACAGTTCTTCTCCTTCTACCATGTCCCAAGCTCCGTTCTATGACACAGTGGATTGCGACTTGCCGTACTTCGTATATCCTCTGTCGTTGCCCGCCGCTCGCGAGGTGCAGGTTCTCGCCTCCAACCGGCCAGTTCAAGGCCAGAAGATGAGCTCTGTCGGCCGGTATCCAGAAGGACTTGGCGGTCGTGCTCTTGAGATCCATAAACTCTGACCCGACCTTCACACACCGGGCGACCCCAAAGTCACTGGTGTCCAGTTCGAGGTACACCAGGGGAAAGGAAGCAAATCGGCAACGAGACAAGTGCCATCTGCACGAGGGAGAGCGCGTGATGCATCTTGCAGCTCTTCCTCCACAAGTCTCCACCTGTGGCCCGCCCCCTACCCCCAACCTTCTCCCACAGTACGCGTCAAGTGCGCGTGTAGGATGGTCCGTCTGAGGCCATATCTGCCGTATTGGTATCTCACTGATGGTGTATCGCGAAGAGAAATCAACCGCCGGAAACCTAGGATTACCTGCCATGAGGTACCATAGACGGCACAAATCTGCCTCATCTTTGGGTTGCGAGCATGATGGTGTGGTTCCACCGCAGATGCTGCATTCGCTTTTTCCTACCTATCACCGCCATCGTTGTTTTCGCGGAGGCGGGGGTTGAACTCAGGTGCTGTCTAAGCCTTGAGAAATGACGATGAAATCTTGGAAGGCTGCGAGCGTTGTCGAGGGAGTCTGAGCTCAAAGCCACTCTATCGAGCTGCATCGTCCAACCGTTTTTGGCTCCCTGCAGCCTAGGGAAGCGTGCATTTGTGTCGTAGAACGGCGGCGGGCACATAGCTCCAAAGTTCATGCAGCACGAGGAATCAAACATTCCGTTCCATGATAGTACAAGGTAGGTAATCGTGTTGTATCGAATGCATAAGATTCTCAGGGTGAGTGCCACCTAAATCAGGATCACGAAGCATATTGGCAGTTACAGGCCAGTACATACTACGGATTACCATGGTGGTGCGAAAGGCAAAATGACGGGACGGGCCCTTTCTTCCCGCATCCGACAATGGGCAGGGAGCTGCCTGTTGACTTCATGGTCTTGCAGCGGCTTTGACACAGTGCGAATGCCTCCAAATGCTGCCAAGCCGGCGTCGCATTGCCGACGTCCTTGACGTCTAGTACTTCGTATTGTACAATACAGCGGTATGCATCGACAGTCAGCATAGGGCACCCGTGGTTGATGCAGGCACGTATATCGACTCAAGGCCCTGACGGTTTCCTGTGAAGATGCCTTTTGCTACCATGGGTGGCATGAGCTGCGCCACTAGAAATGGTGGTCTGATTTCCAGGTGCTTGACGCAACTTTCACGAACTGCAAGTCAATGTTTGATCCGTCTTCTTTACCCTTCAAACAACGGCGCAGCTGATCTCTCCTCAAGGGAAGGTACTATACATGTACTAACGCGTCGTGTACTGGAAAGCCATCACTGAACTATATCTTCCGGTCGACTCAGCAGCCGCCGAAGGGGCCACACCAGCTACCTAGGTAGGTATGGAAGACGGAGACGGCGTTGATGTAGGACAAGTGCAGATACCCCGCCGTGCTGTGGATTAACCCCAAACGTCCTTGACTTGGCCGGTGAATGCACGAGGCTGCAAGCTTCACACCCAAGAAAGATATAGGTGGTTACTACCAAGTACTAGTAGTATGAGTGCAGTTGATGCGGTTCAGTCAAGACTCCTCGCGCGTCCTTTTTGCTGAACACACTTCAAGTTGCAGATGAGCTGCCATCGGGCTGCGTGATCTTCCATTGATTTTCCACCAGCCCCACACCGTTCTGCCTTTCCGCTTTCCCCCTGCATCCCATTCCTAGCACTCAGGTGCCGGGGGTTCGCATGCGGGTCGAATTTTAGGTTTCCATTCTTTGTTTCTAGTGGCCCAGCAGAGCTTCCTCCGAGTGATCTTCCGGAAATGTCCTCGCCGCGACTTCACGAGAAGACGGCAATCCGCCGCAATGGAGACAGCTCCGCATTCTACGCAGGAGCTGGTATGTTTGGCATAGCTGAGATCTCTCTTGACATGCACAGACATTCTCGAAAATCTGGGGTGTTCTGGACCAGCACAGTATTCAACCCCGTTTGACACGATTCGGTCTGGATCGGGTTAGGTTGCCTGACCGACCGGGGTTCCAGCCACTAATGTTAAGGTAACGGACGTGCCACCCCCAGCTTTCCCCGCTCACACCTTCGACATCCAAGTCCGCAGAACACTTGGACCACAATTGACCAGCAACCTCGTGCGCCTCGATCAATCTTCGTCATTTCCCTTCTTCTCCTCACCTTCTGCTCGACAAGCCCATTGTCAGCTTTCTTCCGGTCTCTCCATCAGCGTCAGAGACGCATAGTTACCATAGTTATCGTACATACTACCAGAACAACTCGAGAAGTCAACGACGTATTACCGTCCTGGTCGGCGACGCGCGATCGGTTTACCCTCGTACAACCTGCTAGCCACAACTTGTTTGTCGCTACCCGCGTCCGTCGAGCGTCGCGCGCCGTCAATGGGAGCCAGCGATTAGCGCTGTCACTTTCTCACACCAGCACCGCGCACCCCGTAAGCCGGCCACACAGTCCTCGCGTCGATCGTGTGCTCGCCGTCTCGAGGCCTCGTTCAAGAAGCTCGGTAAGGGCACCCGGCCGGTCGGACAGGGTCACGGACCGAACTGCCCCTACCTAACCGACGCTACCCAGCTATGCACCTGGGTCTCCATAACCTCCTTCGAAGTCACTCTGCGGATCCATCTGCCCGCGTGACAACTCGTCCACCATCAATTTCGGGTCTCTGCTATCTCCTTCAGGCCATCTCCTGCTACGACCATTTCGACTATATTTCTAGAAAGAAATTCGGTTAGAAGAACCCCTGCGCCAGGGTCAAACAGAAGCAAGTTCGCTCGTGCGTAGCTTTCTAAGTTTCTGCCGAGGTAGTGGTACAGCCCACTTCGACCTCTCCTTCGGTAACAGGACCACTTCCGCCACCTGCTATAATTTCCATCACGGTCTGACACAGCTTCTCCAGTCGATTGCGCGCATACGTCAAAACCCTGCGTTCAACCAACTCCTTCCGTTTCCTCGATCGACTTTTCGTCTACATCGCCATCTCCTTGAACTTTCCCCATTTCCCCTGAAGGGGTTTCTATCTTGCTTGTCACTAGCAGCATTGCTCTCTTGCTTCTTGAATCATGAGTTCAAGTGGGATCAAACCCGGCCCTCAGTCCAAGCCAGGGCAAGGGAGCTTTCCGGCTGGTCCGCCAAATAGCCAAGCGATACTGCTAGAGAAGCTAAATAGGAGGTCAACGCCCGACTCCGAAGCGCTGGCGAGCTCGGATGATGAGCCAGAAAACAATCGCCATGAAAACCGACCGCCTCCTGCTCAACCTCCAAAACCGGTGCGCCGGGCATCTTGGTTGAACGACACGTCTCAGCCTCCTATGGCACGCCAGAACCAGAGGAAAGGATCCTTTGCGAGCAGCTCCATGTCACCAACGACGTCCCATCCGACTACACCTTCCGGCGATGGAGGAGTCGCATCTTGGGGCTCACACCCAGCCACGACTGGTGTGCTCGGCCGGGGCCATCCAACAAGCGGCTCATTTCCCTGGGGAACTGGCATTTGGAACACTGAGAAGAAAGAACCACCGTCGCGTCTCACCGAGGTTCTCCCTTCACCAACTTCGACAGTCCCACCGGGGGGCTCCAACAATTCATTCTTCGGAAGTGATGGTGGGCTGGGCGGGTTGGCACAGACTTCACCGGCTACAAGGGAGACGCCTAATTCACAGATCCCTTTCGCAATTCCCCTACATCCGACACCCAAGACTTACCGTTCGCAATCCTACTCGGTGGGGCAACTCGAGCCCGAGACGATTGCCGCGTCGATGACTTCATCCACGTTGATGGGTACTCGACGAGCGATCCCGCATCATGGCCTTCAGCACCGACCGTCCCGGCCTAGCATGCTGAGCGAGATGTCGAATGATGGCTCCATGTTGGGGAAGGTGAATGAAGATGATGATGACGACAGCAGTGGCTCCGTGCCGGGCAGCCAGCACCAAGACCCCGCCAAGACTATCGAGCTGCTGCAGCGAGAGAACATGTTACTGCGGCAACAGCATTACCAAAATTCGCGATTACGGCCGCGGGCTTCCACAGCCAGCGCTTTTGGCTTGAGTAGTAGCTACCTGCAGGAGCCCGTGCCAGAAGAATCTGATTACGCGGTCGACGAGCACGATGAGTTGAATGATGGGTCTGACGCGGCAACCCGAAGGGGCCTTCTTCCGCGGCGAATGAGTGAGTATGGGGTCGGCGGCCCGTATAGGGCACCATATTCGGTTGAGAACAGGAAGTTGGAGAACGTCAAGAAAGCGTATTGGCACACCTCGCTCGGGTTTGGCGGGCTGGGAGAGCTCTCCCAAAGCCGGCGCCACTCGTTCGCAGACGTGCCAACTCGCCAGGCTTCAATCAGCTCCATCGGGGAGGCTGTCCAGGCACTTGAACCAACGGCACAGGACTTTGCTCATGCACAGGAATTCTCTGCCGCATACCCTGAGAGTTCCAGCTATCCCATTACCAACCCCCGTAAGCAGTGTCTTCCGAGTATAACTTCTCCCCTCCCTCATCTAACGACGTCTCCAGTTCCAAACTACTTCGCTGGCGCTGCCGGCTCTCAGCAAGCTCCAGGCCAGGCTGCTTATGGCAACCATTTTTCGTCCCCCTACGCCGGGATGCCTGGTCCTGGTTCCTATACCACCCGACCTTCTTCACCACATCGCAGCATGTATGGCATGTCGCAGCCGCGGCACAACCAGTCGTTGCACATCGTCCTCTTTAAATGCTCGAGGGCAGATGTCTTCTACATCCAGGAGGGTACCGGCCTCACCGTAAGACCTGGCGACCTTGTCATAGTGGAAGCCGATCGGGGCACCGACCTGGGCACCGTTGCACACGAGAACGTGGATTGGCAGACGGCGAAGGAATTCAAAGAGTTCTACGCCGAGGAGCATTACAAGTGGCTGATGATGTATTCGCAAAATGCGGCCGCGTCCCAGGAGGGTGCGGGAGCTGGGCTCATGGCAGCGTCCAACGGTCTTCAGGGTAGCGCCGTCGGCGGCATGGGCCCTCCGAGCCAACATCACCATATCCAAGAACCGGGTGCGGGCGAGCTGAAGCCAAAGCTGATCAAGCGCCTGGCACAGCAACATGAGGTCATTGCCCTGCGGGACAAGGAGGGCAATGAGGCTAAGGCCAAGCGGATTTGCCAGCAAAAGGTCAAGGAGCACGGCCTGAGCATGGAGATCCTTGATGCCGAGTTCCAGATGTGAGTTGTCCCTTCTCTGATTCTAGCCGCCAGATTAATTCTAAACTGACCTCTTCTTAATTTAGGGACTGGAAGAAGCTGACTTTTTACTATTTTGCGGATACCTATATCAACTTCAACTCGCTCGTCACCGATCTCTTCAAAATATACAAGACGCGCATCTGGATGTCGGCGATCAACCCGGCATCCTTCGCTAGCCCTCCCCTGGGACTGCAAGCTCCGAGCGGCGTCGGTCCTGGAGCAGTGGGGGTGAACCGATCTGCCACCTCAACGCGCCGCCAAGAGAGCCAACAGGAGCCGCAGGCTGCTGCCTATTCCGGCTCTAATCAGGGAGGACGCGGCATGCAGCCGTCGTTCGCGACATCATTCAGCGCTGATCGGGCGTTGGCCCCGGCACTAAACTACCCGGCGGCCAATTATCCTTACAACGGCTATAGCTCCTTCGGGAACGCCGGCCGACCCGGAGCTATTCCGTACACGCCTGGTATGATGCAGGGACCGGATGCATTTTCTGGCACCTTGTCCCAGGGAGCAGACTATACTCGTCTTGCTCGCTTCCCAAGCCCACAATCTGCCAGTGGCCCCCAGCATGATCAGACTATTTCGTCTCTCGGGGCTCAAGGAGATCTGCTTGGATCATTCCAGGGCCTGTCACTGAACTCCCGTTGAGGTGAAGGCAGATCTCGGAGACTGGTCCCAACCCCCTTCCTACACATACACGTCAACCCATTTAAAAGACGCACACAAGCTTCACTCATTGGGGCAGGCTATACAGAAAAGAAGACGAAGGCACAAGGGTCTTACGAAACGGTTGGTACTTGTATTACGAGACTATGGGACTTGCCCACCACCACGAACACAGCTGGCGCAGAGGCTGCCATCGTCGGACTAAAGGTGCAGGCAGGTCATTTCTCGAAAATACGGACAGAAAGATTTCAGCATCGAAACCTCTGCTTCTCTTCGGAAAGTTTGTCGGGATATGACGGTTCTCTCAGGATCAAGATGCCAAGATGGTGCTTGTTCTATTCTACCTTTTGTTTTCCTTCGAGTTTTAATGCTTTAAAGACATGGCTGGGTCGAGACAGCGCATTCTTTACTTTTCCCTTCTTCAGGCTTTCCATTCTCTCCCGGCGATACAGGTGGCCACTTGTAGCCTTGATGAATCAAAGATATCCCCGCCATAGATAGAGAGACGAGACACAGAGAGGGCTTCAGGGCTTGTACCGGGCATCATATGTACTTTCAGCGAGACTACAAAAGGAAGCGCTTGAGTTTGGTTAGGGGATACGGGATATGGGGGACCTGTACAGTACATATAATGAAGAGTTGGTCTGGCGCTGTTATCCCGTGGCTCCATGGCGCCCTATGGTCGAACTCTCTGATCCGAACGAGCCGCGCTCGGCTGAAGACTGATGCCAGACCATTCCATATGAGCCGTACTTGAGGGGTCGCTCTTAAGACCTGTTCCAGAGTGTTCATCTCCAGGCCCGTGTGCTGAACTCGGAGAGCGTTTCTCTTGGTGTGTCACATCCTACGGATGCTTATTTTCAAGTTCTGTGACCCTACTCGGCTCGGGCAAATTCGGTTGGCACTGTTAGCCATGTCTGCTGTCTGTCTCACCCGGGTGGCACCTTCCTACTGCAGTGGCAGAGGGTCGTTGCATGAACAAGCGGAAGGCACGATGGGCAAGAATACCACTGCCCTGTGTAGCGGAAGATGGTATTCGGTTCAAGTTCCTGACCGGTAACACAACTAAATAATGGTTTCCCCTTACTGTCACAACCTTGAAGCGGTCCGCTTCCCGCTTGATGTCTTCGTTGTCAGCCTGATTCCAACTCGCTAAGATCATACGTTGACCCCAGCACAATTTCTTCCTTCCCCGCTTGCCTATCTTTAGCTGCTCCTTCAGTCAGAGAAGCAGCCGCGAAACCTAATGCCTCCGAAGAGGAAAAGTCAAGACACTGTGTCTCCGGACCGTCCATCCAAGTCCCGCGCTCGCCCAAGCCGTGCATCGAAGACCTCGCCTAACACGGATGGCAACGATAGCGAGGCTCTCCCCACAAGACCAGCCAAGAAAGGTCGTGGAACCGCCTTGCGAACCACGAGGCAGGATGATGACCGAGATGATGACTTCGGAGATTCCGCGCGGTAGGTAGTGGCTGGCTAGTCATTCAGCATCTGCTGCATCCTCCTAACCAGGGTGAAAGGAGAAGCTCGAAGCCAACGACCATAGAGCAGCACTTGATGGATCAGAACAAGAAATCCAAAGAGTTTATTCAACATTTCAAAGAGCAGGTCACGCAAGGGCGAGAGACATTCCAGGAAACCGTGGCAAGGCTCAAGCAAGACCTGTGTGTACCACTCTACTTTACTCAACCCTCGGCTCGAAGAACAACTGACACCACCCCAGCCTCAAGCCGCGCGACGACGACGACGACTGCCTCGCAGGTATCCACGCCGCCCTACGTGCCAGCACCCAGCCCTTCTCTGCAAAGGACCACCCGCTCTTTGAGCAAACGCAACAACTCCTCCGCCTCAGTCATGCGATATTGAAGTGTCATCAGACAGTAGAGAAGGAATCTCGTACCGCAGACTTGACTTCACCTCGAGAGACATGGAAGCAGGATAAAGAGGGCATGAGGAAGTTACTGGAGTACGGAAAAGTCTATGGGGAGAAGGTCGTGGAAGGGTGGATAACGCCCACGACGCCTCAGAACGGAGAGCAGGATCCCGATGATGATGATAATGAGGCCGATGATGGGGAGGACAGCGGCGAGGATAGAGAAGGGATGACTGAGGCGGAGAATCTGGCCAAGGGGCTGTTCGAGTGGCGGAGGAAGGGGAGGGGCCTGTTGAAGGCCGGAGAAGGTTGGGGTGTGGCGGCAAGGAGACAGATGGTTGCGCTTGCTGGCGTGGTAAGGACTTTGCAGCCCCAGGAAAGCGAGTGAAAGTGTGGTGTGGGCTACCCTCAGATTGCTTGTCTCTACCCGTGATATGGTTGCTATTTGGAAGTTATTAGGGGACAGCTTGGGCGGTAGTCATGGTCGACGACTCGACGGAGTCCCCGTAGTTCATTTGCTTGGGATGCCGGCTACGAAATGGGCTTGGCTAAGAACGCGAGAGCGGATGTGCTGAAAGCGACTTGTTGAATCTCAGTGTCCTCCGACTCAACTCAAGTGATGTGAGCATGCCAAGCGCCTTGGCCAAGTTGAGAGAAGGCAGAGCTCGGACAAGCCGCACTAGTCCCAATATGGCCTAGCGGCTTAGCCCTTCGGTTAGGGCTTTCGCTTTTCCACAACTGTAGAGTTCCCGAAATTTTGTGCCTCCCGACTCTCAACACGGCCGATTCCTTCGACAGTACTAACAACAGGAGTTCGAGGCTGGTGCGTATATCCCGCTTCTCGCGAAGACACGGTTTGCATTTATCTGCTTCACTCAGCCTCGATTTTACACTGCCGAATTTCATTGGCAACGAGGTGCTGACCTGCGAGATTGCACAGGCAAAATGGGTGCCCTTAAGTACCTCGAGGAGCTTTCGAAGAAGAAGCAGAGCGATGTCGTTCGCTTCCTTCTTCGGGTTCGCTGCTGGGAGGTCAGTTAACGCACCCTCGAACCTGTGGACGGCGGCATGTCTAGGCTCCGGTGACAATCAAGTCGATCGATTTCACCGATCGAAATTATCGCCAACCGAGCCACGACCAGCCCCGTTCTTGCTATACACTCGTTGAACATTTGCTGAGAGTGCATCAATATAGCTCCGCCAGTTGAACGTCATCCATCGTGCCTCGAGGCCCAGCCGCCCGGACAAGGCTCGCCGTCTCGGCTACAAGGCCAAGCAGGGCTATGTCATCTACCGCGTGCGTGTCCGCCGTGGTGGCCGCAAGAGGCCCGTTCCCAAGGGTGCCACCTATGGTGAGGATTCTCCGACCACCAATTTCCCTAGATTATGCGCAATTGGCGCATGTAGGGACTGGAGTGAGCGGAAGGCTGACCGACTTTCTTCTCTTGCAGGCAAGCCCACCAACCAGGGTGTGAACCAGCTGAAGTACCAGCGCTCGCTCAAGGCCACCGCTGAGGAGCGTGTCGGCCGCCGCTGCGCCAACCTTCGCGTCCTGAACTCCTACTGGATCAACCAGGATTCGACCTACAAGTACTACGAGGTCATCCTCGTCGACCCTCAGCACAAGGCCATCCGCCGCGACCCCCGCATCAACTGGATCGTCAACCCCGTGCACAAGCACCGCGAGGCTCGCGGTCTCACCGCCACCGGCAAGAAGTCGCGCGGCCTCAACAAGGGCCACCGCTACAACAAGACCCGCGCCGGCCGGAGAAAGACCTGGAAGCGCCACAACACCCTCTCCCTGTGGCGCTACCGGTAAATGTCGCGCACCAGAAGTGGGCGACCCTAATGGATATTGCGTCGGCGATGGTATTCCGGCTCTGGCTCTTCTGCTTTGTGCGGTGAAATGGCATATCGAACGGGCTGGCTTGCCCGGGGGCTACGGCGAAGCCAAGCAACGCCATGCTGGCATTTGGGAGCACTGGGATGGGGAGTTCGCTTTAGCTGAGCAAAAAAAGGAATGGACTGGCGCCCTTGTACGGGACGCGTATGATAACTCTGCGTTTATGAATGGCATTTGTGATTCCCAGGCTTGGAGTTGGGTTTCGGAAGGGTTCTTATCTACTATTCGAGCCGTCTTCTCTCCATTTCGTGCCCCCTGGTGTGTGTGTGTCAGGTGCTCTACTACGCTTACTGTCCTCCACCCCGATGACAGGATCGACTCATCCCAGCTCCTGACCTTGGTTGCAGCACGTCCTGAAGCTAGAATACATTTCTAGGTCATACCAAAGCGCGCGCACTTACTGGGCCATCCATGGATGGTCTGGTGTTCCACTGCAATTGGTGATCATTGCGTTCCTTATTTCTTTCAGGCGAGGGAGCTAATCCACTGGCTCAGACCCTTGGTACTCTTCTGAATCCGACGCCCCCGTTCAGTAGAAGGTAGTTTTACCACAATGACCTGTAAATGGAAGAGTGAAGCTATCCTTCACCTGCCCTCTGGACGTCGCGAGTATATGATGCCTCGTGCGTGAAATCGAAGGTGACATTATGGGCACTCACATTTGATGATTCAGAGTGCTCGTCTTACGAGGGCCAACCGTAATCCTACGTGGAAGGAGCCTCGGGGCGGTCAGGGACGGCCTACCAAGACGGTGTGCGTCATTATTGTCACCAGGATCACCACAAGAACACACTTAAGAATGCAGGTTTTGTTTGCGTTGTTCCCTCTCTAAATACAGGCAAAGCAAGGTAGGCCAGGCCGGGGTGCTGCTAGCCCGCCCCAAAGCCGGGGTGCTCCCATATAGCAGGGCCCTGGAATATAAGCAAAGCCCCCATTTGCCATCGGCTGGTTCTCTCCCCGATGCCGAGAACCCGGGTACCCGAACCATGCGGAGATTGATTGAGACTATTGAAGTTGAATCAAATTCCGCTGTAGAGGCCCGTCGGGAGAGCAACCAGAATGGGAGGCGAAAAAGGCAGAAGAAAAGACAAGAAAAAGAAGTGAAACCATCGAAAACTCCAATGCCAGCTGCAGACTGGTGTCTTGCAGAGCTGCATGGACGGATCAGAAAAGAAACGCCCCAAGACCAAATGCACAGCGCGAAAGAAAACCGAAGGGCCTGTCGACGGGTAAGAGATCCATGGATTGTCAATGGTGACCGGCGGGAACCCGCCGAGTCCGCCACAAACATTGAGAATCCAGATCCCCGATGAAAGGTCACAGTGCAAGTTCGCCTCTGTGAGAAACCTCCAAGCATGAAATACCGTCAATTGATGTGGGAGACGGTACTCCATGGCCGGCCATGGGGAATGGTTGATACGAGCACGTACGCGGCATGTATGCGAACCAGGACCCAACCTGCCCCAGGTGTCGCCTCAAGGAGTTCCTGCGCAGCCGACCCAGAAAAAACGCCGTAATGCGGAAAATACACGCCGAAAATCGCGCCCTGCATCCCGATAGCTAACCGTGCCATAGCTTGCCGAGATGATTGACTGATGCAGATGGCGCAAAGATCCTGTTGATGGCGAGAAGATAATCCGTCGAGATCGGGATCGGGAAAGTATCTGGGGTGTGAACTCAAAGAGGAAATATGCCGGACCGAAACGAGGAAAAAAGGAGGAATTTGGGGGGAAATTACGTTCCAGAACGCTCTATGCGGTCGCGACTGCCCTCGTACCTATCGAGCGGATAGTGTACAACAAAGCGTGCCTCCTCGAGACGGCCCACCAACAATCTCAAGGAGGTGCTTAAGCTCGATGGTCGTTTCGTCGCCCACTGGGTACCGTGTCGCATCATGACGGAAGATATGCCGTGTCGGTCGTTGCTAGTGGAAACACTGAGAAGAGGAAAGGTCGTGACGGTCATAGCAAGCGATGATGCCTTCGTTGCTAATGTAGCAAGTGGTGGTAAAGTAGACAAGAGAACGCGGGACACCAAGGCCCAAGTCCCATCGTGTTGCACAAGCTGTGCGTGCAGCGCCCAAGTACCGTTTAGACCCACTGGGTTTCGCCATTATCGGTAGTCGAGCTCCCAGGGGAAAAGGGAGGCGAGAAATGCTGGGGACGCGGCGGCTGCGGCGGAGCGTGGCTTTGCGGAGCACCCATTGCTATGGGTGAGTTGATTGGGTACATGGCTCCAACGAGACCGCCATTCACGCCGTTGGCACCGTTGGCGTATCCCCCGTTCGCGTGCATCGGGGCACCGTTGGGCATGCCACGGTTGTGGGTCTGACGGATAGAGATTTGGCCACCGGTCGGGTCGGTCGGCAACACGCGTTGGTCGTTGCCAGAACCCGTACGCGCATCGTAGGCCTGAATCTTGGCCTGAATGCGGCGGCCATACGGCGTCGCCCGAATGCCCGGGAGACTCGGGCGAATGGCTTCGACGAGACGGTGCTTCGAGATTGGGGTCGAGTAGTCCAAGGCCGTCTGGATAACGTAGTTGCCGAAGGAGTCACGGAGCAGGCGATCGATTTCGCCGTGGGCCAGGAGCTCCGAGACGATCATATCCCGAGACTGCTCGGAAGCGCAGCGCAGACACTTCTCGACGACATTGGAGCTAAACTTGTGCTTCGAGAGCGCGGCGATGCGGTTCTTGAACTGCTGCACAAGCGGTTCCGTGAAAGTCTCCTCATTGAGATCGATTATGTACTGGACCACATAGTTGCCGAACGGGTCTTGCACGAGGGTGACAGCATGGGCCGTGATGCACTCAATGAGCCATATCTTCTGCTGGCCGTCGGCATGATCGATGCAGCGCTGGAGAACGCAGCAGCCGTGGCGGTGAGTACCCACCTCAACGCAGTGCTTGCCAACGGCATCGAAGATGAAGGACGCATCGGCGGCGCTGAGCTTGTTCAGGCACTTCTGGATGACATGGTTGCCATTCAGGTCTTGGATGAGCTCGACGACCTGGTTCCGGAGTGCCTCAACAATCAAGTTGATCTGAACCGGCGTGGTCACATGCTCGATCATCTTCTGGAGGGCTCGAGTACCATGCTGGTTCAGTGCGATGCGCACCATGTCTGATGCCGCGTTCTGGATCAAGACAGTGCGCTCGTCGTCGTTGCAGTACTCAAGGAGTTTCTGGCAGAGGTAGTTGCCGAAGGGATCGGTCATCAGCTCCACCACGTGCTGGTTGGTTTCGAGCCAAATCATGTGGATTTGCTCGGGGATACGATTCTCCAGCTGCTTCTGAAGGTAGCGGCAACCGTGCTGATCCTTGCACAGTGCATAAATGGTACCGCCGACCTGCTCAAGCGGCAGGTTGTTGAAGCGAGCCATGGCTGTCGAGGATCGTTAGCACACCCGGCGCATACACAAGGGACGGCCGCTTTGGGGGTTGGAACTTACCTTCACTGTCCATCTGGCGACGGCTCTGGATGACACGCGCTTGACTGTCCTGGTGCTGGCGAGGGGCAGGCGGCTGGCTGTAGAGCGGGTTGTAGCCCGTGAAATTCTGCTGGGCGTAAGGATTGCCGTTGCCCACCGTCAGACCCTGCATGAGCATGGGGAGGCTGTTGTAACCAGCTGGAGGAGGGCCGCTCATAGCATTGTACCCCGGGTTCGCAGGGTAAAACGGGTACGGCACCGCAGGCGCCGCGCCCACGGCAGGCGTCGCAGCAGAGGGGGCCTGCTGCGGCTGCGGCTGAGTGGTCGAGGGACCGAAAGGCGGCGCGTTTGCGTGCAAGGTCGAGGTTATGGACGGATAGTTACCAGTTTCGCGGCCATTAGCCGAGGAGGCATCACCCGATAGCTCACGGTTGTGGCGGCTAGTCATGGCGCCGGCCGGGATGCGGCCCATGCTAGCATTGTGGTTGTGAAAATGCTGCTGTGCGTGGTTGTTTGCATTGCCACCCATGCCAGCAGTGCCGTTGGTCTTGACAGTCGGCACGTCGTTGGCGGAGTAGGACTGGTGCAGCTTGGGAGGAGAGGCCAACGTGTGAGCAGTGGGCGACGAAACGACAGATGTTGCCGGAGCTTCCGGAGCAGCAGACGTGCTCTCCGGGAAGAACTTCAAGCCGTCAATCGAGTGGCGGATATTGGCCGGCCGGTTGCTGCCGATGGTGCTGGCCTCCGAGGGGGAGCCGACCGAGGCACCGGTGCTATGTTGGGACGACGCCATGGTAGACATATTCTGCTCGTGGCGATGCTGGTTAGTGTGGTTCCAGCCGTGTCAGAGACAACGCTCAAAAGCCAAATTGCAAATTGTTGGTAGAGCGCAAGATCGGAGGCAGCAAAAAGATCGAAAACCCTGTATAGGCTGACGGGACCGTCTGATACAGAGATGTATGTGCAAGGGAACTGGTGAGTAACAGCAAAATTGGGTGTACAGTTGGGATTCTGACATATCAAGATGGGAGCAAGGTCGGTGAGAAATTCGAATACAACAAAATCGTGATGTTGGCTATGTGGAAGTTTGAATAGCGAATGAATGAAGCGCGACTTTTGAGGTCTCGAGCGCGTGGGGCGCGATTCTGATGAAATCAGAGCGACCTGACTGCACTGCCAATTCGCAAACTTGAAGACCCCAAAAACCGAGTCTTTCAAAATGGCAGAAACAGCCCAGAGCTCCCGAGACAACAGAAACCGTGGCAAAAAGCCAAAAGGCGGTTCAAATAGGTGGATGGCCTGGCCATAGACAAACAGAAAGAGACAACTCACCATGCTTGGGAAAGGCTGCTGTCGGAATAAAGATGGGAAGGGCTCCGTGCTGCCAACCTGGGCTGTGGGAGTCTTTTTGTCTGCCGAATTCGAGTCCTCGTCCCCGAACAGAAAGCCGGTTGTGTTGTTGCTGTCCTCGAGACCAATATCGCTCAGGTAGGTCCGGGACCGGGTCACGGGCATGGAGTATCTGTTGAGGCTGTAAAGAATGAGAATGTCAGTTACCGACTTCGCCTTAACGCATCCACCCCTCTGTAGAACCAAAGAATATTACTAAAGCGTGGGAGAACAGAGACAACGACGTTGTCAGTGGTCCTGATCAAGAGAGCCAACCCTGGACACTCTCAAGTGTGCTGGGTAAATGGGATGCTGGAGAATATGCGCGCTGCCGAACGTAATGAAGAAGAGAGTTGTGTAAGGCAAGTTGCAAGTTGAGGATGAGGATAGAACCAAGGAACAGGGTTTAAGTAGATTTCGAGGGTGCTCCAAGAAAGCATGGAGATGATAGAAATGCAGCTGCATCAATGGGATATTTGGCGGAGGAAGGCACACGGAAGTGCCTGAATAACTATTGTTGTTGCTTCCCCTGCGCTGAATGCTCGGCAAGACGCGGTGGTGAGGAAGAAGAATAACAGGAACATGGGAAATTGCGAATGAATAGGATGGATGTCGACTCTGGCACTGGCTAATGTTCGAGCTAATGAAGTGGAAGGTATTGAGACGGGATGGATCACACAACACTGTGAGTCCCTTAAGCCGAAAACAAAGTCGAAAAGGGGTTTGGGACATGGACAAATAGAACAGCTCAGCACGGCTTGGAGCGCTGCCTAAATACCTCCTGGCAAGGCGTGAATAAGAACCAAGATGATTTTCACTTACGCATTTGTTGAACGGTGGCTCGTTGGGTCCTGACGAACTGCCTCCTCCTTCTCATCCTCGTCACTGTTCCTCCGCGAACCGGGAACGGAGTGTGACGGGATGTCGTCGAACGGAAATCGAGATGATGGGAGCGTTCCAGAAAGAGGCGAGGTCAGGAGCGAGCCGGACCGTCCTGGGCGGTTGAAGAGGCCGGGAGGGGAAGTGAGGCTCGATGTCGAGTAGCGATTCGGCCTAGAAAATATAGACGGGAACCCGGCAGTGTCTCGGTATTCTGGCGGCGTAGTCGGCTCCGACTGGTGCCCTCCGTATCTTGCGGCCAAATCTTCCTGCATCTGCTGAAGCTCTCTCTCTTCCTGGCGCTGCTGGGCGTCCAGCTTGTACATCTCAGCCTCGAAGCGCCTTCTGTGCTCCCGAAGCCTCTCGTAGTCCATCCTTTTCTTTTCCAGCTGCCGGCAGAGTCAGCGGAAACATTCTGCTAAAGAAGACAGGGTCACGGCGGGTAGGAGCAGGAGTCCCAATGCTTTGTGGCCAGTATCCTGTATCCAACCGTGGTCTCCACCGGTCCAACCCAAAGCAAGCTCAGGGGTACCACTAATGGGCTGGAAATGCATACCAATTGAACTTTATGCAAAGCCTGGCGTAAGCAGTATTAGCGCAGTGCTGCGGAAATTGAAGGAGAAACAGTAGCGGGCGATACGCGAGGCCTGGGCCAGATCTCCCTTCAGCTCCGGAGACGCACCGAGGTAGCAGCAAAGTCCTGCGGCTCAGCGGCGCGCGGAATGGTATTGATTGTCGAAAGTGTTGGTATACGGCTGGAGTCGGCAGTGAACCGACGTGGCAGCATAGACCCGTTCCTAGGTGACGACACGAATGCCGAGCTCCCTTGTGGCTCGCCGCGAGGGCTCTGTTGGGTTCGGAAGAAGTCGTCCATCTCGCCAGCCTCCTGCTACTACAAACACAGCAATTTTCGTATACCGGGCTCCCGAATTGGACGGAGGTATCTCTTCTCTATAAATCTAAAAGGGCCTTGCGTCAGCGCTCTCCATCGGCAGTAGATGAGTCCGAAGATCGCAGTGTAGACGCCCTTTGCCTGCCAGACCGGCGCGACAGAGTGAAGGGAAGCAAGGGATCAGCAGGAACGCAAAGAGGACGGAGCGCGCCTTGGTGCTCGTCCTTTCTTGTTGCTCGTTGCTCGCCACGGGTTGCTGTGCCGGCCGCCATCGCTTCCCAACCATCAACTGCTGTGCCGTGTCTGGTGTTCCCCTTCCATCGTCCTGTGGCGGCATCAAAGCTTCCGTGTGCGACGGGTACTTGAGCTCAAAAGGATGCACAGCGGGCAAGCGGTTCGCAATCAAAACATGCACTGACCTAGAGATATAAAAGTCTGTTGGCACACGCTGCGCCCTGGTGACCAGGCGCAACAGCAAAAGGAGGCAATGCAGGAGTACAAAAGAGCGTGGGTTGTGGAAAGCGAAGTAGAAGCGCCCGCTTTGGGTCGAGGCTCGGTTTAGTTAAAGACAAGTCCACCAGTTGGCCAGTGACGGGACAGTTCGAACATCAAGTGGAGGCCCAAGCTTCCTGTGTACACAGTAGGTATGTGATCCATCATACGGTGCAGTGTGCGCTAACATCGAGCACGGTCTAACCTTTGCCCCTATCGCAGTTCTGCAGAGAGAAGGGGCCTTTGTACCAACTAACTCGAGACAGCCAGCGTAGGGTAAGGTAGAAGTCGGGGTCACCTACTCACCTCCGGCATGTACCTTACACCTAAGGTATGACGCCTCCAGCGGCTCATAAAAAGATGTTCATTACCGGACAAGACATGCGCTAAGAAGCAAGTCATTAAGTCGAGTTGGCCAGGGGATACGACGGTCTGCTCATCCAAGTCTAGTTTGCTGCCCAATGCCGGCTACTAGTACCCCAGGTTGTCTGCCGCGTTCCAAGTAAAGAGGGAACGCCAGCCACGCTGATCTAGAGGGCATGCAGATCTGACCACGCTAGCGGGAAGCTTCTTTTTCCCAGGGCACCGTGGGACGTACATACACAGTACATGCACGCTGCGGATGTTGCGGGAGACGCTAATCAACCGGCATGCCCATTGCAACTATGGTATCCGACAGCAGGATCCTACACGATTTGTTTACAACATCTACGGAATACAGACCGCGGCTTTACGGGTGTTGCGTTCTGAGAGGGTACTCGACCCTGAAGTTCTGTGTAAGGTGATCAAAGCAATTAGCGGTGGACGAAACATGGAAGACCGGGAAGCCCGAAAGGCAAGACGGCAGCACAACAGGACAGCGAAGAGCGCAGCCTGGTTGCAAATGTGACGCCGACGCGCGGGCTGCAGGGCGCCCCTTTCTTCCACACCCACGAGTCCACTACACCCTACCGTCTCATTGTTCGTCCAGGTGGCGAGTATAAAAGAGGCAAGTCCCTTCTCCAGGTTGAGGCCCGATCCATGCATATGCATTCATTCCGGTTTATGGGGATGGCGGCTTGTGACTGGCCGGCTTCCAACCGCCCTCGGCGAGCTGACAGTACTACGGATATACCACCGAGGATGGGCGGCGCCAAGCTCAGCGTGAGATTTTGTGGTTTTGGTTATCCGTTTGTGGCGATCAGCTAACATCAACAGCAGCCCCTTATCCCGAACTGACGATTATATGTGCGCTGACGCAACAATCTTGTTTCACGGCGATTTTCCAAGCAGGAGCCTGTCCATGAGAGGGCCAAGGAGCCAGTTGTCTCCACCAATCTCTCCTGAACGAGTGATGGGGATCGCTCACAGAAAACGACCTCTTTTTCAACTATCTACCATGGCGGCTTCTAAGTCGTTCTGCTGTCTATGCAGCCGCCTATCCTGAAGCTTACTGCAAGGGGGTGCCGCCAGATGGCGATATCACGGAGTGCTTTACAGGTTCGAGCGTCGACTACTGCAGCGAGTGCGCGGTCTGATATTTGACACATGTAGGACGGCGCGGCGTCGTATGACGAAGGAGCTCGGCGTTGCATTTAACCGGGTTTCTGTCAACACCGCGATACTCAGTAGGTAGATTTGGGAATCTGACTATCAAACACCGACAGCAGCCGCTTCCGGATTGGTAGGTATGCACAAGGCTCGATTTGCTGACACTGACAGCTCACGCCCGGCGCATCTAGTGAGAGGATTACTCGAGGGCAAAGTGTCTCTTCTCCAGAGTTCAGAGCGAGTCCTCCAGGACACTAAGTGATTCTGGAAGATGTTGGGTGCTCACCTTCCCATCCCCCTCCCTTCATCAACGGGACACAACCCCTCCTGGGTTGCAGTCAGGGTGCCGTTTGGTGGAGCTCATATCCATGTTAACACGCATGCGTCGAGCCGAGAATCCAGCACTTTTCTCAACGCTTGCAACGGAGATCATCTCTCAACGCTCCGAACAGCAGCCCATTGAGGGGTGGCGAGCGCGCTAAAAGCTCTCCTGTAAGCCCTTGCGATCCAACTTCTCACAGCCAATGTGAACATCAGGTCTGTGACAGGAGATCTGGGCAGACCCACCTCTGCCCGACGGGACGCAGGAGGGTATCGCAGACGACCCTGTCGATCTCTGCGCGACTCTGCGGCTAGCCGCTCGTTCGAAGGTACTGCCAACGACTTAGTTCGTCAAGCTCGGAGCGATGACCGTTGTTGCTCTCCGCACCATGAGAATCTATACCGTGCGTGGTGAGCTCAACATCGCCGCTGCCGAGGTACTGTCCGATTGGGAGGGGTGAGTTGTCCAGGCTCGAGCCAGCGAGAGGCCGATCCGACCCGGGCGTCAGCCTCAAATCCAACCCCACATTATAGGTAAGGTAACCTGCAATCTGCAAGTTTCCTGCAGAAAAGTCGGTGAGCCCAAGTTTTAGGAACCTGGGGTCGCTCGAGAAGGCCGAACCTAGTACACTACTGTCATAGAACACCACAGGAGGTGGGGGGTCATTTGTTATCCTTGGAACAGCGAGCTCAGTGGCTGAGAGCTCGCTCGAGCTGTACCCTACCTGAACAAACATATGCCGTAGTTGAGCCTCAATGGCACAAAGCAGCTCGATCTGCCCGTGAAACAAACCTGGAAGTTAATAGAGCCCCGGTCGAGTTGCGAGTTCGATTACCTACCATCTGGTGCGGGATGAGGGGTCGGCTCACAGGTAGATCGACACCAAGGCGGGGTAATCATCATTTCTTGGCTTTCTCCTTCGGACTCCCAGCTACAACTCGGTGGAGGTCAATCCAAACCTAGCCTTTTAGTGTACATAGACGCATATCACACTAATGTACCCTAGTACGCGCTGAGCTAGCTTAGGTACGTCGAAGTTGGCAGGGGAACTCCGCCCATTACTTGCAGTATGCATCTTGCGTGTGACTCCAGATTTTGCTTCACTTCTAAAACTGTAATCTATCTCGGGTAATCCGTAAGTGGAACAGCCCGCCCTGTCGCTGGGCAGTCTGTGACCTGGAGGATCATAGTAAAGGCAGTACCTCTCGTCCAACTTGGGGAAGCGCAATCAACGAGTCTCCTAAAGCTGTGGCCATCTAGCATAGGTAATCAGCATTTTATCTGATCACGTACTTCTGGAGAATCCCATTTTAGCTTGCGTCAACCAACACTGGAGGATCAATCAGTAACATTAGGACCTTGCCTGCCACCTTATTGGGAAGTCACGGTATGTCGGTACTGTTAATAACCTGGAAGTACATACCAAGAGTATTCCGTACTGGTCGGTCCCCTGTCGTCCCCAACCTTATCCTGCGTTGTTATCGATAACGCTGCCGGATCTGCAGTGCGGGGCAAAAAATAATTGTTTGGTTCACATCATCCGTTGCTCATTCGGCATCCTCCCGAGTCCCCAACACGGTCAAGATGGCTGCGATTGACGACGGCTTCGAGGCCCTACTAGAGCCTTTCTACAACGGCAAGAAACTCACAGACACAATATCAACCAAAGAAGACAAGTACCAGCTACTACCAGCGTTCCTCAAGGTGAAAGGTGAGTCGAGGATCCCGTAGTGGCGAGTAGCGGGATGTGATGCTGACCCGTGAATCGCTAGGTCTCGTCAAGCAGCACATAGACTCGTACAATTTCTTCGTCGAACAAGAGATCAAAGATATTGTCAGGGCAAACCGATCCATTCGAAGCGACCAAGAAAAAGACTTCTGGCTCGAGTTCACCGACATCCGTGTCGGAACCCCTACCCGCAATGACTACAGCGACATTAAGGCTCGTGACGAGGTCACACCGATGGAGTGCCGCCTCCGTGACATGACATATGCCGCACCGGTGGTGGTGGACATTATATACTCGCGCGATCGGAAAAAGATCGTCCGGAAAAACATCCCGCTTTGCCGAATACCCGTCATGCTCAAAAGCGCGAAGTGCTGCCTCAGCGGCGCCAACAACGCCCAGATGGAGATTATGAACGAGTGCCCGCTGGACCCTGGTGGTTACTTCATCATCAATGGAACTGAAAAGGTTATTCTCATTCAAGAACAACTGAGCAAGAACCGTGTCATCGTCGAAGCGGACGAGAAGACGGGCGGAGTGTCGGCGTCGGTCACGAGTTCAACACACGAGCGCAAGTCCAAGACATATGTCATTCTGAAGAAGGACCGGATAGTTCTTAATCATAACGTCCTCGTGGAGCCCATCCCGATCGTCATTGTGCTCAAGGCTTTTGGCGGACTCTCTGACTATGAGATCATGGAGCTTGTGGCGGGCGGCGATGCGAGGTACCAGGACGACTTCCTCATCAATTTCGAAGAGGCGGCCAAGGCGGGCGTGTATACGCAGCAGCAAGCGCTGGAGTATGTTGGCGCCAGGGTGAAAATGGGAGGGCCCAAGAAAGGACGATCCGGTCCCGCACCCCGCCGGAGTCCGGTCGAGGAAGGATTGGACGCTCTCGCCAACATCATCATCGCCCATGTTACCATTGAGGACCTCGACTTCTACCCGAAGGCAATCTACATTGCCATGATGGTCCGCCGTGTCCTGATGGCCGCGCATAATTCGAAGCTTGTCGATGACCGGGACTTCGTAGGCAACAAGAGGCTAGAACTGGCCGGGCAGCTGCTGTCTCTGTTATTCGAAGACCTGTTCAAGGGGTTTGTCTCGATGCTGAAGGGAAATATGGAATATTTCTTTAAGAAACCGAACCGCACCTCGGCCTACGACCCCATAGGCCCAATCAGCAGCCAGGGTCAATATATTACACAAGGGCTGAACCGGGCCATCCAGAGCGGGAATTGGAACGTCAAGCGATTCAACATGAACCGAGCTGGTGTCACCCACGTCCTGAGCCGCCTGAGTTACATTTCCGCCCTCGGCATGATGACCCGTATCAGCAGTCAGTTCGAGAAGACAAGAAAAGTGAGCGGTCCTAGAGCGCTCCAGCCATCTCAATGGGGTATGCTCTGCCCTTCGGACACGCCAGAAGGTGAAGCCTGCGGTCTGGTCAAAAATCTAGCCCTTATGACCCATATCACTACCAATGCCGACGAGGAGCCTGTGAAGCATTGGATCTTCGCCCTTGTTGATGGCGTCTTGCCGATCCGGATGTTCAGCGGGACCGAGATGCACAAGCCTGGCTCCTACATCATCCATCTTAACGGCACGCCCTTCGCTCTGACCCGACACCCGAAGCAGTTCGCGTCGCGGTTCAAGACCATGCGTCGCCGCGGCCATATTTCTCCATTCGTTGGGATTCACATCAACGAGCACTTCTCAGCAATCCACATCGCGACGGATGAAGGGCGCATTTGCCGGCCCTACATCATTGTCAAGGACGGGAAATCAAAGCTAAAGGCGGATCACCTGAGACTTCTACAGCGTGGGAAAGCGACCTTTGACGACTTCTTGAAGCGCGGCATCATAGAGTACCTTGACGTCAACGAGGAAAACGACTCGCTAATAGCCATCAGAGAGGACGATATCAACCAGTCGACAACGCATATGGAGATCGAGCCTTTTACCATCCTCGGAGCGGTGGCCGGTCTCATCCCGTTCCCTCACCACAATCAGTCACCCCGTAACACATACCAATGTGCTATGGGCAAGCAAGCCATTGGAGCTATCGCATATAACCAGTTCAACCGGATAGACACGCTCCTGTACACTCTTGTGTACCCCCAGCGCCCGATGGTAATCACCAAGACGATCCAGCTCGTCCACTACGACAAGCTTCCGGCCGGGCAGAATGCAACAGTGGTGGTCATGTCATACTCGGGCTACGATATCGAAGACGCACTCGTGCTGAACAAGGCGTCCTGCGACAGGGGCTTCGGGCGGTGCCAGGTGTTCCGCAAGTACTCGGCTGAGCTGCAGCAGTACCCGAACGGGCGGAAGGATAGGCTAGGAGGCATCCAGAAGGACGAGGAAGGGAGGACGATCGCCAAGCACGGCTGTCTGGACAAGGATGGACTGGCTGTCGTGGGCTATCGGATTCACTCCGGAGAGACCATGATCATGAAAGAGACGCCTATCGACCAGACATCGACTGGCATCGGCAGCGACCGAGGATCCGACGATTTCCGCCCGTCTCCGATCAACTACCGCATCGCCGACCCTGCGTACATCGACAAGGTAATGGTTTCCAACACGGAGAAGAACACTGCCATCGTCAAAGTGCAGACGAGGCAGACGCGCCGACCAGAACTCGGTGACAAGTTCTCGTCGCGCCACGGGCAAAAGGGCGTCGTAGGCATCATTGTCGACCAAGAAGACATGCCCTTCTCGGATTCGGGCCTCGTGCCGGACATCATCATGAACCCGCACGGTTTCCCGTCGCGCATGACGGTCGGCAAGCTGTTTGAGTGTCTCACAGGCAAAGCGTCGGTCGTTGCGGGCCGCCGCGACTATGGCTTCGGCGACGCCTTCCGCTCCCACCCGGTCGAGGAGATGGGCAAGGTCCTCATCGAGCACGGCTTCTCGTGGGAAGGCAAGGACTACTTCACCTCGGGCATCACGGGCGAGCCGCACGAGGCCTACCTCTTCAACGGGCCGATCTACTACCAGCGGCTGAAGCACATGGTGCAAGATAAAATGCACTCGCGGTCACGGGGCCCCCGGGCGATTCTCACGCGGCAGCCGACCGAGGGTCGGTCTCGCGACGGTGGGTTGCGTCTGGGTGAAATGGAGAGAGATTGTCTGATCTCCTACGGCGCGTCTCAGCTGTTATTGGAACGGCTGATGATCAGCTCCGACGGCACGGAGGTGGACATATGTGAGCGGTGTGGGCTGCTGGGGTATAAGGGATACTGCCAGACCTGCGCGAGCACGAGCGAGATGACCAAGATGACGATGCCGTATGCGGCGAAGCTGCTGGTGCAGGAGTTAATCAGCATGAATGTGGGCGTGAGGATGGAGTTAGAAGATAGGTTTCCGCATCCGAGGTAGTGTTGCTGGGAGCCAAAGGAGAGAAGGCGGGTGGCGTTTCGGGAGGGATCAAAGATGGGCTGCCCTGTATAATAAATAAGTATGGGTGATTTTGGCATACCTACGTTTGAGTTCTAGCATGGCGTCTCCAGACGGAAGGAACTGTTTTAGTCTGCTTGCAGATTTGTAGCCTTACAAAAGCGGCATTTGAGATAGTCTTGTATTGTCTTATATTGGGATGGGGTCTATTCATTCTCCCCTTGACGGGATCCCTCCCTCGAATAAACAATAACATTAACTTCCTCATTAACCCAAGCATATCATGCCGTGCATTTCTCAACCAACAGGTAGAATCGCAGAACATTAATTTCCCATCCTTCACCCCTCCTTCGTCTCGTTTCCATCCCCGCTTTCCACACCCATCCCCGACGCTGACGTTGAGCGCAAACCACCCATCCAAACCTCAAACTCCACCGCCCCCTCCAGCCCCGGGCCCGTCCCCGCAACGTGCGAGGCGAAAACTACCTTCATCCACCGCCGCCACCCGCCCTTCCCTTGTTGGTATGTATATGCCGCCGGCCGCCTGAACAGAGCGATGCGCCCGGCCACCTGTGTCGTCCACACCAGCCCCAGCGACGGAGTCTTGAGCGGCCCTGCCGCAAGGGAGGGAGAGGAGGACGGCTCGTCGCCCCAGCCTGTGAACCAGCGCTGTTGGTGGTCGAGCAGCAGGGCCGGGTGGGATGGCTGCTGCGGGAGGGTGTTGTTATTGTCGGTCTCGTCTGGGTTGAATAAGGGTGGAGGGGGCGGTGGTTGTTGGGGGAGGCTGGAAGAAGGCAGGGATGATGACACTGACGAGGAAGGGGGTAGTTGTGGTTGTGGAGGGGCCCGGCTACGGGTTGCGAGGGGGGATTCCTGGGTCTGGCGGGGGGGTTGCGGCTGGGGAGGAAGACGGTGGAGGGAGGAGGCGGGGGTCTGGAAGCTGGGAGTAATGCCGCTGCTGCTGCTGCCGCTGGAGAAGCGGTCTGCTACTTGGTTGGAGACCACCACGGCCAGGTTGTGCCGCTGCGCGAGGTCACGCAGGTGCATGCCCAGCTTGACGAGCTCGGCGGTGCGCACGCCCATGTTAGAGCCGTGCTGGCTGCCGCCGGAGCGCTCGAACTCGGCGCGGTAGTTGGCTGCGACCGAGTCGACCACCAGCAGGCCGATGCCGCGGCGCTCAACCTCGACTGGGACTTGGAAGGTGAGGATGTGATCCTGGCTCTCCAGGTCGGGGGTGACGGTGCTGATGATGTTGTCGAGGGACGGCCGCTGCGAAGGGGGCAGGCGCTGGAAGAGCGGGTTGGCCGAGAGCATCTGCGTCAAGCGCCGGGTCGAGAGCGGGGCCTCGGTGCTGATGTAGAGCGCCGGGCGACCTAGACCGTGTGGTGGCGGCAGCTGCGCGGAGAGGAGGAGGGTGAGCAGAAACTGGGTCTTGCCGGCGCCGGACTCGCCCGTGACCTCGGTCACATACCCGGCGGGGATGCCGCCGCCCAGGGCGCGGTCGAGTTCGCCATCAAGTGTGCTGATGGTCTGCCATTGCGCGGACAGCGAAGCGGCCGTGCCTCCCAGCGAGCTTGCGGGTGTGTGCTCCGCATCGAACTGTTCCGGAGCGGCGCGGCCTCCGCCGTTCGGGCCTTCTAAGCCGGGGCCCGCTTCGGATCCGGCCTTGGCTTGCTGTCGAGGTCTCGGAACGGTAGTCGAGACACCGAGCTCCGAATGGAGAGCGTCCAACACAGCACTGCACAACCGCTTGACGTCGAGCAACGGCAGGCGGGTACGCTTCCCAATGTCGGCGGCCTCAAGGCTGAGGAGGTCGCTTGTTGAGACGGCGTGTTTCTCCAGCACGGGAATCAGCCTCGCGAACTGCCCGACAGGGAAGTGCGGGAGCACGCGCAAGAGATCCGTCATGGGTCATGGGTCGTGGGCCATCGAGGACGCAGTGGCAGCCGGGGGTGTGGAAGTGGTGGGTTATTGCCCAGGTGTGTATTTTATTTTTTTTTTCGCTTCTTATTTCCCAGTCCTGCTTGATCAGTCCGCCCTATTCTCTGGAGGCTGTCGACCGTGTATCAACAAACTGCACAGTGCTCATACACCAACTGCGATGGCTGCAAAAACTGGCAGCAGATCGGAGAAGTCCATTTTTACCGAGTACACTAGGCTTAACCTGTTCCTGAACTCCTGTGGGGCCGTTCTCCCCTTGGTGGCGTGGGGTAATCAAACTCGAGGATCGGTGCAGGGACTTTAAAAAAGCTGAGACAAACATCATTGGGCGGCGAAAGATGCAAGACAGGCAGCAGCCTTGTCGTCGCCGGAATCCCCTCTCAGCCAAAAAGAAAAATTCCCGCGTTAGCGACCATCCTCGGGTCAACCCAGGACTGCAAGCCCTGGCTTGTGCCCCCCGGCCGACCCTCTGCACCCCTGGGAGCGCGCACAACGCGCATGCCATGCTTGAATGGGGATGGCGCTGGCCTGCCATGGCTACAGCCAATGTGTCAGTACCCCGGTCGCCCAGCACTTCATGCGGGAAACCCGGCATAAGCAAATACGTGTATGGACGCGAAGTCCCGAGGAAACAGTTTTATTGTCGGGAGACCCATCCCGCGGCCATTTCGTCGAATGTTTCTTGTTTCCCTTGCGGCTCTGTTCGATGTGAGGGTACGCCGTGACACGACGTCTCCATTGCCTAACCATAGTCATTCCTTTACTTTGATTTTCGAGCCATGGGCCTTTATTTGCTCTACGGAGCGGCCCTCTTTGGCGTCTCTGTCCAAGCGTTAGCCTTTGAAGCGCCACGGCCAACAGATCCGTTCCAAGCCTTCCCACAGAGTGGCTGGTCCCCCAAGCCGACACCCGGGCCCGATGCCCACGCACTCCTTCGACGACAAAACACTCTCCCTGAGGGCTACCTCCTGGCGCCAGACAATACTTGCGGCTTTATAAGTGCCAACCCAAGTATGTGCCCTGTCCTTTTCGCAGTCCCAGGCCTTGCGGCTGACCAGCGTTGAAGAGTCGGCCTATGCGTGCCTTGGAGATGGCATGACCTGCGCCTTCGCCCCATCCTCGGGCAGGGTGCCGGGCGCTGCGGGCTGCTGCAGTGGAAGCCAATGCGCGTTCCGCCTGGCTTGCTTTGACAATCGCGAGATGGATGACTGTGATGATGACTGCCAGGCTGATGCCATGACGCTGAAATGGTAATTTGAGCCCGTGGTCCTGCTGGCGATCTTCACTGACACAACATAGCACCGGAGCAGCGAAGTTCTGCAACACCGTCGCCTTTCCCGGAGGAGTGACTGACTACTTCTGTGGCACCAAGCGGGCGGTAGAGTACAAAGCTCAGACGACCAACAGCGATGACACAACTAGGAGCATGTCAACAGTCAAGTCAACTACCAGTACTACTTCGACCTCCAAGAAGACCTCGACAACTACTACTAAGTCGTCGTCGTCGTCATCATCCTCGTCAAAGTCAAGCTCGACTACCAAGTCATCGACGTCTTCAACTTCGTCAGAAACATCTACTTCCAGCACGGAGTCCTCCACCGCCGAGGCGTCCACCACCGACGCGTCCAATACTGACCCGTCCGCCACCGAGACTCCGGTGATGACTTCCTCTGTGAGCACTACAAGCGACACTGCGGTTGCTGGCGCTGCGACTGTCTCAACGACCCCGGCGACTTCCGATGCTCCATCCACCCCTGTCGGTGGAATCGTAGGAGGCGTGGTTGGCGGCGTTGCTGCCATCGCCCTGATCATCCTAGGCACCTTCTTCCTCCGTCGGCACAAGAAGAAGAACGACGCCGATGCGGCCGCTGCAGTCCAGCCACCAGGGTCCTTCATGTCAGAGCCTACGATTCCGCCCGTCGCCACTTACGCTCAACCGGCAGCCTCTCCCCGCGGACCCGCATACAACTCCTCCGCTCCTTACCAATCTTCCGCCAGCGCACCCTCAGCGCACATGTACGCCACACCAGCAGCGGCGGCGGCAGCAGCAGCCCCAGTAAGCGCTTTTAGCTCCTACAAGAACAACAACAGGAGCAACAGCGCCCACTCTAGCGGGGCCTACTACCCCGAGCCAAGCCCCCTAACGACCCCTAGCGGCAGTCCCCGACCGCAATACCAGCACCAGCCTCACGCACCGTCACCGGTCGTGCCGCCTGCCTACTATCAGCAACACGACCGCTCCTCGAACCAATCTGCCACCTGGACGGGCGCCGAACCACTCGACAGACGCTCCACGACCACTCCGGTCTCGACCTACCACGGGGCAACACCCGTGACGCCGGTATCTGCGCTGGGCCCGATGCCAGGGGAACAAGGCACCGGTAGCGGAAGTGGCGGGATGCCGGGCGTGCCGCTTATCTTGCAGCCGGGGATGGGATACCGGCCCTATAGGCCCCCGTCTTCCGCCACCACTGGGACTGGGCCGGGGCGGCCAGCGACGGCGGGAAGCGGCACTGGAGGTAGGGATCGCAATGACAGTATTAGCGAGCTACCTGCGGTCGGGGTGGCGAAGGCGGTTTCGATTTCGAGGAAGCCTGTCGCACGGTCAACGTCTGGCTCGAAACCCCAACAGGTGGCGCCTAGGCAAAGCGAGGGCTCAGCGGTCGAGGCTATGGCGCCGGGGAATGCGCAGGGCGAGGGACATGGGACGGCTGCTGAGCTACCATGACGGACGGGGAGGAGATTGATTTTGCGTGGACATGATGCCTCCTATACCTATGATTTGCGCAGCTCCAGCGTTTATCACGAAGCACGGGGTCGCTTGGAGCTCGGTGCACGGTGGAGGGTAAGCAGCTGATTGAGGGTTCTTTCGATGATACCGGCCATATAACGATTTATTGATTCTTGTACATACTTGACCAGTTACTGGTTTCCAGCCACGCTTACATGCGCTCCGTGAATGACATCTTAGGGCTGCCGTTGCGAGGTATACACATTCTGGATGTATCCCAAGGAGCGGGTTTACCTAGTACCTTAGTAACTACTACTAGTAGACATCCAATGATCCGAATCAGGCAGGTAAGGTACAGGTATCCAATCCATCAAGCTGACAACGCCAAGGCCAAGGCAAGAGAGGCACAATGCAGATATCGTCCGACCCCCTTCACACAAACACGCCAGCCGTCAAACCACGGGGAAACAGGCCACCATATCCGCCAAGACTTAAGGCATGTGCTTTAGCACAGAAATCATGAATCCCATTTATCAACGGTCATCCTCGGGGCGGGCTCAGTACTCCACCAATCTCAACTTCTTCCCAACGTCCCTCCTCCGCGCCTGCACGGCCGCCCGCTCCGACGGCTTCGTCTCGCCGTTGTCGTAGCCCTCGCCTCTCGCCTTGAGCGCCTGCAGCAGCATGCCCGCGTCGAAGAAGCCATCTATGTCACGTCAGTCAGCGCTCATCAGCACAAAAGGAAGAGAAAAAGAAGAGCGAGGGGAGAGGGGATGCAAGGAAAAGAAATGAAGGACGTACAGCCACCCAACTCATCATCCTCACTCATAACCAAGCTGTCCTCGGTCGGGCTTCCGATACTGCCATTGAGACTACTCTTCTCCCGCTTCATCATCTCGGCGCCCGTAATCAGCCGACCCCTCATCTTCTGGCGCTGGGAGCTTGCCGCACCACCACCGGCACCGGCACCAGACTTATTGCCCTTGTCGGCGACGCTCTTCCGGGAATCGATCTCGCGCGCGCGGGTCTGGCGGCTGCTGGCCATGGCGTTGCGGGTGATGCGCAGGATGCGGCGGATCTCGAGCAGGTAGCTCTCGAGCGTGTCGACGAAGCGGCGGGTCTGGCGGTGGCGCGACGACACGCAGATGGAGATGCCCTCGTCCTTGATTATGTATCCGATGCCGAAGCCGTCGCCGGAGACGGGGCCGAAGCCGAACTGCCGCAGCGACGGGTTGCCGCAGTTGGAGGTCGACAGGATCGTCGTGTTGAGCTTGTCCCAGCCCGAGTCGGCGAAGATCAGGGGCAGCGGGTGGTGTTGTGCCGAGTGGCCGTTGCCGCTGCCGTTCTCGCGGCTGCCGCGGGAGGCGAGGCTGTCGCCCCGAGAGCGGGTCGAGGGCGCGGCGGCGGTTTTGGTGGTGGTGAACTTGGTGCCGTCGAGGAGGTACTCTGGTTCGCGCGGCGGGCTGCCAACGAGGGAGTCGCGATCCGAGGGGTTGTCGACGGGGCTGGAGTAGCCGTTGGTGCTGCCGCTTCCCATGCTGCTGCTCGTGTCCTCGTCGACGGTGCGCTGCCAGAGGCAGAACAGCGCATATAGGTGGCGGTCGCAACCTTGGGCTTTGGCGCAGTCCCTGGTGGTGGCCACATGGCGCTGGCAGGCCTTGCGGAGCGCTTCGATCTTCTGCTCGGCCGGGTTGTCGGCCCAGAATGTCTGGACAAAGTTGACCGACTCTTCCGATACGGGCCGGATGGCCTCGGTCCGCCCATGCAGGTACATCTTGGTCATGGCTGGCTCGTAGGTGCACTCGACGCGGCCGTACAGTCCGTAATAGGCCGCCTGGAAGGCCATCTGCACGAAGGCGTCCGGCGAGAAGCCCATCGACGTGATGAAGTTCTTGCCGTACGCGTGGAAATCGAGGCACTGGAACTCGTTCTGCTGGATCAGGTCCGCCAGCCGCGTCTCGGCGAAGCGCACGGCGATCCTCAGCTCGGGGATCATGTCCCACTCCAGCTTGTGCGGCGTTGTGTTGACGTCGCCGAAGCTCTCGGGGTCTCGCTTGGACGGATCGGGGCTGGTCGACGTCCACATGGTCGGCGCCTTGCCGTTGATGGTCCTCGCAAAGCGCAAGATTGTGTCCGTGTAGACATCGCTCGCGAAACGCAGCACCGTGTGGCCGTCGACGCCGGTGTGCTCAAAGTTGATTCCCGCGCTGCCGTTCTTGCACACGATGATCTGCAGCTTGTCGTACCACCGGTTCGTGCAGGTGCCGATCTGCACGCCCTTTTCAATCTCGCTGGTGCCGCAGAGCATGTTCTGGCAGAGGGCCGCCGCCGTTGTCGGCTCGGTGTAGTCGAGGCAGACCACGAAGAGGGCCGTGTCTACGATGCTGAGACAGTCGGCGTTGTTCGATCCCGGCTCCCTCGTCAGCACGTCCCTCAAGCCCGACCAGACCTTCCTGTTTTCCGTGCTGAGAACGCCCAGCGCGCCCTTGGCCGCTTCCTGGATCGGCGTCTGCGCGGCATCGTCAATGATGGTCTGCAGGTTGATGGCAATGTCCTTCTCCGTCATGATCACGTCCGAGTTGTCGTCCAGGACGTCGAACCAGTAGAACTGGCCATGGCACATGACAATGATGTGCTTGGACTCAGGGTCCTGCTCGATCTGGCACCCCGCGTCGGTTGGGACCCGGGCAGTGCCGAACAGGCGCGAGTACTGGTGCATGCACAGAGGCGTGCCCTTAACCGCGTCGGGCGGGAGCTCCTCCTTGCGGACGGCCCTCACAAACTCCAAGGCGGACACCACCAGCGATGCAGCCCGCGTTACTTGGTTGTTCCGGGCAGGCGTCGGGTCATCCTCGAGCAGGAAAAAGGGGTTCAGGTTGAGGACGACCGGATTGTCGAAGTTGAGGTATGAGTCGTACCCTTGTAATATTAGACGGTCAATAACGGGCGAAGGTGACTTTTTTTTTCTTTTTCTTCTTATAGTTTTTTTTTTACAGGGAAGGTTAAGCAGACGTACAGAATTGCTCGATGTAGCTGGTCCTCGCTTCGGCATACTTCTTCAGCTTCTCGTTCAGCTCTGGCCCCTCATTCCGGAGGAATTCCTGCACGGCATGCCTCGTCTCGGCATGTTCCCTGGCCGACTGGAGCGGCTTGAGGGCCGTCAGATATCGCTGGCAGGTGAGCTCAAGCTCCGGGATGGGCAACTTCGGCAGCTTGTCCTGGTGAGCATAGGTGACGCCGCCCTTGGGCTTGTCGACCTCTTCATCGGCAGACATGGAGTAATGGCGCGCCTTGAGGGTCGGGCTGACGGTAGGTCGTGGCAGCTCGGGATATTCTTCCGGCACGGAGCGCGGGACGGCGGGAGAAAGCTGGATGGGGGTGGCGAGTGTCTCACCAAGAGACCTTGGTGAGCTGAAGATGCGGACTTGGGTGGGCATTCTCGTCAGTCAGGCTCGAGCGGTATATCAAGCGTAGAGAGGCGAGACGTGAGTGCTGATGTTGAGGCCGCGCAGAGCAGTGCGGTAGAAGTAGTGGCAGTCCTGGAGGCAGTACGGTGGCATTCCACTTGAAATGCTACTGCAGACACAGACCGGCAGATACAGCAAAGGGCATAGCAGTGGGAGGGTCGACCAGAGGTAGTCTTGAAGCGAGGAGACGGGGGAGAGGAGCCACCGGTCCTCGGCCGGGATGGACTCGGGACTATAAAGTGGCACGCACGGCAACTTCGGGAACCTGGAGGAGAGGAGAGCGTCCAGTCAATGTCAGGGCCCCACGCTGACGAACGAAAAACCAGGACAACAAGGACAACTAGGTCTCGCGTCCGCTATGGGCGTGGGTCACCATCGATCCTCCACGCCGCCGCCATGTGTGCATGCGGGACGGACGCTTGCGAGGAAACATGCGGGCCATGACCCAGCCGGGGCGAAAGCATGTGGCCGGCTCCAGGAGCTCCAACAGAGGGCGGGGAGGAGTGATTGGACACGGCACGCCGGGGTGGATTATGCGAACGCTCCTCCGCAGGCCCGAGGGCTCAATATGGATGCGCCCGTGAGGTAGTCCGCAATCTGCCGAGCCATCTCACGTCCGGGATAAAACGAAAGAGCTGAGATGCAACGTACTGGGACAGATGATGGAGACCAACTGCTACCTGCGGCAATTCGTCCGAACCGGGGGTGCCAGGGGCGGGCTGAACCGCGGGGTTGCCTGGACGCTTTGGATGCGGATGGATGTAGACGTAGCAGGATCGTTGCGTACCTTGTGTAGAAGTAAGGTTGAAAGCAAAAGGGGAAAATGGTCAGGGGATGTCGCCGCGCCGATGGAGGTGCTCCCGTGGTCTACACTTATTTCACCCGCCGGTGCCTGTTAGCAACCGTTCTAGCAAGTCACGAAGCTTCGAGAGGTCATCTGCCCGCTCGTCGGTGGCGGCTGAACAGGGCCATACAGAACCCGACAAGACGCAAATGCCAGAACGAACCGAAGCTTTCATCCCGGCTAACCTACTAGGCGCCCCTGCCTGAGCTCAATGGACCTGCGTCTGCGTCACGGCTCGAGGGTGGACGGCGGACTGGGCACTGCGGGAAGAGCGACGTGTGACGTCTGCGCCAGGCAAAGGGCTCTCGAAACTGACCAGGTTTCTTTGTCTGAACCCAAGCGAACCTCCGAGCCTGCAGCCACCTGCAGCGACTCTATGTGCTGTGGTAGAGTCAAAAGGACGGGGTGCCGGTACAATCGACTCCTGGCAGGCTCCCGTGCTCCAGTCTGGGTTGCTCTTCGGACAAGAGGATGTGCTGTGGTTGGGCGGCGGATGGAGATTCGCTGGGAAAGTCTTCCCCGCACCCGCACCAACTTCCCCACGATAACGAAGTTGACCATTTCGGCAAGTGGGGTCATGCCTTGTGGATGGAGATAGAATTCTGGATTCTAGCAAAGCAACGTCACTGCCTACACTCAAGGGTTTGTTGACCCTCGCGTTGCGGTGATGACATTCCGCTATACTCAGCTGTCTTTTGTGATTTACAGATGAAGTGCAGAACACGCTGTTGTGGTTGTGGAAGGTTGGGAGCAGTCCGGGCGGGAATGTGATTGCTTTCCGCAGCCTTAGATAACAGCATGCAAGATGAAACTGGATGACCGCCATGATTCAAAAGCATGCAGAAAGCATGTGAAAAATGCCAGGACATGGGCGGGTGCAAGTCCTGCCCACGCAATCTGATGCGAGATGGAAAACGTGCCATCGTCTCCCGGCCGAACGGATACCTCTGGACATTGGGCCCCACATCCCAAAGCTCGAGATGTGACTTCTGTAAGACGCCTCGGGCTCCGGGTTACACCAATAAAAAGTCTCTTCGATAATTGGCAGTTGAAGGGTACAGAGTTGTGTACGCAGAAGCTGGAAGTCTTCGAAATGCTTGTCGAGTTCAACTGGGGATCAAAGGTATAAATATGCAGTATCAAGCAGTTGCGAATGTGTATGTACCTTATGTAACGTACTAATCCTACTGTACATACGGTGTACCTATCAGTGTGGAGACAACCCGCTTGACCACCCGTGCTCCCCGCGTGGAAAGCGGTCCGTGAGCGGCTCGGATCAAAGGACAGCACCAATCAAGCGCTCCAAAAGGACTCGAATCCATTATTAACATCGACCATGCGCCATCAAGCTTCTGGGGGCTGGCAGACGGCCCTTTTGTCCTCGACAACTCAGGGCGTCGAAGAAGCTGCTACGGGTTGGCCAGCCATTGTTCCATCGTTGAAGAACTAGGCAAGTCCCGGACCGACAGGCTTACCTGTCTGGCAACTGGCAAGACTAGGATCGAAGTGGCTGATTCCTTCGTTTCTTGCCAGCAGCGCTTAACCAAGATCCATCGTGAGGGTACATCTCGGTGCGGCAACTCTACTGTAGCCAGCTTGTTACTTGCAGCTGAGCGGGCCGCTCCCTAGCCGTTCATGGAACGCTTGCGATTGCCTCAATTACCAGGAACTAGGACTGGGCAGAGAAGGGATACTACCTACAATAATGACCTATGACGCTCAGGGTTTCGAGGTCTTGCGCCAAGCGAGGGCCGATGCTCGCTGTCCGGCGGCTCCTTCGCTTGCCCCTCTGTCCCTGGACAGGAGAGCTGCTAAAGTAGTCGACCATGCAACGGTCATAGACCAGGTTAGTGTACAATCACTGACGGCTTGCTATCATAGGGCTTTCTTGCACAATCACTTGTACGAGGCGTTACTTAGGAACTGTAATGTTAGGTAATAGCAGGTAATCATAAAACAGGTCACTGATGATTTTGGTATAGAGAATGAATGACTGATAAAAGGGACAACTACGGAGGGCCAGGGATAGAGATAGATATGCGATTTAGGTAGTTATCAAGGGGACAGTCCGAACTCTCCCGATCGACAAGGGTACCTGACTGACAGACGGGACCTTATCATACCTCTTTCACCGTTTTTGTTAAACAAACGACGGGCGACAGCAGCACACGCTGCGTAACCAGATGAAATGGGAAGCCCTAAGGCTGTGTTATCCTGAGCACGTCAGGAGTGGCGAGGGAATTTCGACCTTCGTAGCATCCACCTGCAGCCTCGTGGTGTTGCATGCGTCTTACCTGTCTCCAACAGCACTTGGCGGTGAGCTCGATGGTAACCCCAACCTCAACCTCAACCTCAACCTCAACCTCAACCTCACTCAACCGTTCCACAATCAAAAAATATTAACGTTGCCCTGGACAGCAATGTTTCAATCGTGGTACGGCCAAAACGACGAGAACATAGAGTTTTGGCTGGAGTTCCAGACAGTCCATGATGGCTTAGATGGCGGCATCAAAGGTGATGCAAGGTTCACCTGCTTCCCAGCACTCCCCCCTGAGCTTCGGCTCAAGGTATGGGAATACCTCATCCAGCCCCGCGTCGTCATAGCAGCCTGCTTCGACTCGCGCTTCAAAGACGAGAAGCGTGCTCAGCTGGCCCAACGGCCAAAGAGACACGCCGTGCCGGTGCTGCTGCACGTCAACCACGAGTCTCGCATCCTCGCCCTGCGGCATTACGAGCCAGCTTTCGCCTGGAAAATCCCACGCCGGCTCGTCGGCCCAGAGACCGGCGTACTGCCCTGCAGCAAGGAGGCCCGCGTGTGGTTCAACTTCCGCCTCGACGCACTGCTCTTGCTCGGTGAGCTGGAACCTTACGACCAGTACGGCTTCAACTCGCCCATGGTTTACTTTCTGCGGCGCGAGGACACAAAGCGAGTCCGCCATGTCGCCTGCGCCTTCGAGGAGCTGCACATGAGTCTTTATGAGTCGGACCAGGTCTTCGGCTCTCTGTTTCACATTATCGACATGTTCCCGGCCGCCCCGCGACTCCTGATCACCAGCACGCCCCAAGACTCGGAGCTGCGCCACTTGAAGCTGCCCACCACTGACAATGTCGTCCAGAAACTGTGGTCCGCGTTTATAAACGGCACAACCTGCGTTACCTCTTCTCTAGTCAACCGGCAGATACTCATGATCCGGGAAGCGGACCTAGCTGACTTTATCACGGAACACACATAACACCCAGTGGTGTTCTGATCCATGCTCTTGCCGAACTGAGAAGGAGCGGCGCGACGGGGATAACATTGTCATCCGTTGCATCTTGAGATAATCCACAACTCATCCTTAAGATCCTCCCGACCACCCAAAACATTACCGGATCGATAGACATGCAACATCCGTGAGAACACTTCACCTCCTCATACATTTTCGCAGACTCGACCAACAATAACCCAGAAGGAAGTCATCCAGCTCAGCCGGAGCGGTCTCATCAGATGGTTTTCCTATCTTCTCGGGGATGTTGTCGCATCCTTCCATGGTCAAACTTCGGCTCCGCCTTCTGTTGCAATAGGCATCGTTTTCCAAAACACGGTGGCGACCATTTCATGTCGCGGGCCGGCCCGTCATTATTCAGGGCTCGAGTCGATCATTCTGCTCATCACGCCACATCACCCATTCTAGTCTCCGGCGATCTTGTCATTGCTGCCCAGCTACTCACTCACCCCCAAGCCTCTGGGTAGCGGATCGCGTGCCTTTCTGGAGGAGGATGGCAGTCTAGTAAGGCGGCTCAGGGGGGTTGGGAGTGGGCGGGCTAGGCTCCGGCTTGGGATTTGGCCTCCGGGAGAATGGGCGACGGAGTGCCATTCCTGGAAGATCTGATATCAGCCAACGGCACACCCATAGCCCGGCATTGTCCGACGTACCTTGGGTTGTCAGCGTTGTCTTAAGCGTGGCTCGGTTCTATGGGACCGGAGCATGAGAATATTGCTGACGTTGTCTATTGGGAATGGGGCGAGGATAAGTTGGGAGGTTGTTTCCGCGAGTGGTGCAAGGACGAAGACGTGTGGTGACTTGGGTCTGTACCGTGAAGACCAGGGAAGTCGAACTGATCTCTAGACGCGACAATGTCTGGCCATCGACGCTTCTTTAAACAAGCCGTCTCCGACCCGTACCCGCACCCCTTTCGCTTTCCCCACTCAGCGTGTTCCATATAGGAGGGGGCGTGAGCAAACGGCTTCCGCTACTGTGGCAAACGGACATGCGCCCCGTGTCGATTAACCTGATTCTCCATATTGGGATGGGGCAGCGGCCCTTTGGGAGAGCTTGCCGAACGCTGCACGTGGCATGCCACTCCCCCGACAGTACGATCGCCAGGTGGGGTGCGTGCTTTGGTAATGATGAGGAGGCGTACTCGGTTGTACCCCCGGCATGGGTGATGCACATGTCTAGCACATAATTGCGACTAACTGTAACTGCTGAAGTGCTATGACGAAGAGGCACATGTGATCAGAAATCCGGGTGCGCACGGATAAAGCCTATGACCCGGCGATTGCGAAATCTCATCGTCCTCGGGACAGGACTGGTTCGTTTCCTCTAGGACAAGGATTGTACTGCTCAGGTGACGACTTGCGGGGACATGGATACCGAGGACTGACGGTTCCCAGATATTAAAGGAGTGTGTCTTAAGCCCGAGCTTCCAAGCCTCAATAGAACGTCTGTAGGAGCAGGCCTGTATGCCGTCGGGATGCATATCGCTGCAGCATCCAACGGTTGCACAAGTTCAATGTGCGCCGAGCAATTCCAGATGATTATAGCCGGGTCCGTGCAAATGCGATCGCCACCAAAACGGACAGTGCCAAAGTAGGCCGGACCTTCTATGTGTGAGGGCATTCCATTGTCAGGGAGATCCATATGTGGAATCTCCCGCTCGGTGACAGAGAGTTCAGAGAAGCTACTTTACCTACATTATTATGGCGGAGATCAGCCATCCGATCCGTTTCAGCAGTTCGACGTTTCTGGAAACCCGCTGGCGAGCATTCCATCATTTATGATCCTCAAGCAACCGATCCACACCTGACGTAGACTCGGTTGAGCTAAAGAAGCCAAGTATTCTGCATATAATATGGCGGCCTGTTACCAAGGTCCAGCGCTGTCTGCCCACACGGCAACGAAAGTCTGTTCTCTGTAGTTATCATGCATCGCCCCGTCAGGAACACAGCACGAGGCCTGCCGGACCCAGCTGTGAAAGACCTTATCCAGGCGAGGCTGCAACGGCAGGAAGAGAAACACTGCTGCTTTCTCAATACATGTAATGATACATGCTTGACGGAACCTGGAAGTTGGGAGTTGCACCTTACCCCTGGCCCCCACAGAGAGAGCATGATTCACCGTTGGGCCCGTGGGGAGCCACGTGTGACCATCCTCTCGCTAAAGTGAGATGTGATAGGCAAGAGTGCAAAGTGTTTCTATCGCTTCTCACCTACTCCAGTTGCCGGTGGGTGAGTGACCCTTATTAACTTTGCTTATTGGTCGTACAAGGACCACCATCAAGACGTACGAATCGGACTGCCATTCATGTCCGCGGTTCCTTGCTCTGGCTGCTCGGTTTCCATTGCCACCCTATTCGACACGCGGACTGGAAGTCTAGGGAAATCGTCCACCAAAACGGAAAGAGGCCCTTCTTCATCGTCTTCTTCTGGACAAGTAGGTAAGGTATTGTACCTCAGGTACCGTTCGCCCCCGGTGCATTCGGGCGGAAGGGGGCCGTGCATTTCGAAATTTGGCGGCTGCACCGCCCCCGTCAGCAGGTCTCAGCGTACCTACCGTAGTTTCTACACTTCTCTGCTGCCTTAACGTTATAGGTACGTGATAGGACTCTGTATTCGGATATCTCCCTTCCCCGAACCACCCATCTCTACCTTGCAACCCAGCTCATTTCTCCATCCCGCCTCCAGCACTTGAAGCCCGGTCACTCGGATGCTCTCAGCCCCGGCGGCACAGAAGCGTGTTTTTTTTTTTTTTTTCGTGATGGCGTAGATGTCAAACCGCATGCGTCGTCATCTCATACCACGGCAAGACCCTTCTCGTATATAGGTACGCAGTGCTGCGCACCGATCTGAGCGGGCCGAGATTTCCGGCAGCGTCCAATGCCATAGCATCACTTTCGAGACCGTCCGTCCCCATCTCCATGACGGTGCAATGGCACCCGAAATTGTCGGCACAAACGGCGAGGTCGGTAATGGTTTGCAAGTTGCCTACTTTGAGACCATTGACATCTAACCCAGGAGATATTAGCGTAAGTTGCTCTCCGAATCAGAAGACTCCTGGTATGGATGAGTCACGGCGAGTGCCGGAAAGTTCTGCGTCGGTTGAGTTTAGAAGGGCAGTCGACGGACAGGCTAGATAACTTCCAGGTAGTTGCAGGGTTGTGTTTCGTGTGACCTCAGCTATCTATCTATCCAGGAGTATCACTTACAAGCACTCCACTAGTAACAGCAGAACCCGGACGGTTCTCTGTCCTGCAACCGCCCGGGACAATCAACGAAGACGACAAGACGGCCTAGAACCACACCCTCACGGCGCGCCACTCCGTTACTAGCTCGGTGGTTATCCAGTTCATGGAATGCGAACATACACTATGGCTAGTGTAGAGGTAATCTTGTGATTGGGTCCCAAGTCAGAGCCTCACAGGTGGCATGCCGAGGTGCCCCCTCCATTTGCCTGCTTGGGTAAAGACGCTCTTTCTCATTGGTCGGTGTTGGCCGTTTCCCGTTCCCTCGGTTCCGGCCCACCCGGATTCCCGGAGCTCCACCACATCTTGACAACCCCGCCCGATCGATCTCCCAGATGCCGAACCTGTCTCGATTCATCACAAGGAACCTTGACAGCGAAACTCGCTGAATGGCCGTGGCTTTCTGCAGCCCTTTAGGCTGAGAGAAATTAGAAGATGGCGGATCGAAAACGTTACGTTTTGGGAGCCGTGGGATATGCGTATGGCCACGTTCGGTCGTGAAATCGCGCGTTGTCATCTGCCATGTTGTCCCGCCCGCTTTCCCCTAGCCGAGCGAGGCCGAACAAAACGAACAACGTATGCCCGGAGGTGATCTCCATAAAGAAGCGGAGTTGAGCCTGGATTCTGAGACGGGCCCCGCTATCTCCCTCTCTCTTCTCGCTCATCAGCGGTGATTCACCACAACAGAAACAATCCCAATTGAGGCGAACCACACGATAATCGCCAGTGGCAATTGCATTGCTAGCGGTCGTTGCTCTTCGGAAGACAAGAAGCACCCCCCGTCACAATGGCTCCTCTCAAGCCGCACTGGAAGCAGCCCTCGCATCCCGAGATCCAGGAGGTCATCGTCAACGATGTCGAGTTCACCACCAAGAGCGTCTCCAAGGTTGCTCTCCCTCCGTTTGGCCTGTTCGCCAAGCTGGAGTTCCCCCCATGCACCGTGGCCCCCGAACCCACATATGCGACTGTCCAGATGGGCCGTGACAGGCACCTGGACTTGAACAGCGATCTGCTGTACATCAACCACTCTTGCGAGCCGTCTCTTGTCAGTAACCTGGTCCGGTAGAGATTTCGCCTAGCTCGAGCACCGGGCGTTGTCAGGGCGAGCTGAAACAGCGCAGGGACGCTAACCCGAGTGTCCCCCCGGCTCTTGTAGATTTTTGACATGGCCAACATGAACGTCATCGCCGGCCCGAAAGGCCTACAGCCCGGCGACGAGCTGACGGTATGTATTGTACAGTACAGACATACATGGCTTCAGGGCAGTCAATCTGACGCGCTTCTGCAGTTCTTCTACCCTTCGACCGAGTGGTACATGGCGCAGCCCTTTGACTGCCTGTGTGGCACGCCGTCCTGCCGCGGCCGCATCGCGGGCGCCCGCGATATGACTGCTGAGCAGCTGAGCGGCATGTGGTTGAACGGGCACATCCGCCAGCTCCTTGAGGAGCGAGAGAGGGCGGACCAGATGCAGACGCAGATGCCTGAGCAGAACGACACTGCAGCCAGCGCCGACGCGGCGGTCGCAACGGAGACCAAAGCGTCTGAGAACGACGCTGTCGCGACCTCCAACGGCCATTCCGAACAAGTCTCCGGCCCAACCGACCGGACTGTCCAAGCCCTCCGCGACGCGCTGACGCACGCCGAGAAGGTTGTCGACGCAGCGCGCCTGGCGCTCGTCTCGTACGTCGAGGCGCTGCACTTGGCCGGCATCGGCAAGCACGGCCACCCGGTCTTTGATGCGGCCAAACCCGCCGCCGTCGATGTCCCTGTCGGGGCCCAGCGGCGCGGCCCGACGTCACGAGAGCTGAGCGGCGAGATGGGCGGCGATACGTGAGCTCGTACGTGTCGCTCCTGTACGCGAAACCCTTGCGGCTGTGAACTCGAGTAGCAGTTGGGTTAGCGTACGCGGAGATCGGTGGAGTGGTTTGTTTGGTTGCTTGCACATTGCTTGATTTGTTGCTATTGATACAACGCTAGCTGTAGCTGCGATATGAACGAGGAGGGTGTCGTTATGCTTGAAACAGTTGAATACAATGCCTGTCCGTCAAATGTATCAAACCCAACCAAAACTCCTAGCGCCGAACATGCATCATTGGCTCCGCCGCCGTTCTCCAGCGCCATGTCGTTCTGAGAGCGCCTCCCAGGCTGGAAAACCAAACACGTCTGTTGTACAACGCTTGGGCGTAGAACTCTACTGACTGACGCTCCCTTGCCGGGGAGGTCATTCCCTCCCCTTCCGCCACCTCGCCCGTGCAAAAGCAGGACACGGTGCATCGGCCCCTTTAATCCCGCCCAACAACCAATCCGTCAAACCCACCACCTTAGCACCTACCCCCTTTTCCCACTGCCCGCCCTCCTGCACGTGCTCAATGGTATGGCTTAAAATCCTCCCTTCCCCATCGAAGTCGAAGATAAACAGCCCAGTGAACTCCTTATTGCTCGTTCCCGCAGGCTGTGCCATCCCCACCGGCGCTTTCACCTCAGTCCCACCCGCCTCCGACTTCACGCTTCCTCCCTCCTTTTCCTCGCCATCCTTCCCCTGTATCCCACTCCCCGCCACCACCCCTTTCGGTCCTTCTCCTTGCCCATTGCCCTTCCCTCTACCATTCCCGTTCCCCACGAAGCTCAGCAGACCCTTGACGATCCTGCTCCCGCCGCCGCCAACCGTCCGCCACCGCACGATCAGCTGCTCGCTGCACGCGCCCTCCGGCCGCCTGCCCCCCGGTAGGGTCGGGTAGATCGGGTGGTCGACCATGCGCTCCGAGAGGATCTCCAGGCGCACGTTGCCCACCAGCGGCACGCGGTTCCACGCGATCGGGCTCGACCACAGCGCCGCGATGTACGCCACCCGCCCCGTCACCGTCGGCAGGTGTGGGTGCGTCGAGGGGAATAGGTGCAGCGTGATGTGCGGCGAGAGCACCTCTTGCGGCAAGGGGGACTGGAGGAGGGTTGGGAGGCGTTCTTGGAGGATGCGCAGGGCTGGATGTGGTTGGGTTAGTTTCCTTATGGCTGTTGAAGAAAAGACCGAAGGGGCCACAGAACGCACTTTTGCCGAGCTTCACTTTTCTTTCGTCTGGTGGTTTGTTGCTCGGGTTGGGAGATAATAATGGTGGGTGCGCGGTGAACCAGACCACTGGTAGCGGTTCTATCGGGACCTTGGAATCTTGGACGGTTGCAAGACCATTTCTAGGCGTGGATGGTCGGGGAAAGGTCCGTCGCGGGGTTGTGGATAGATTTCGCGCATGTGTCTTTGTTGGTAAAGGGTGGGATGGCCGATACCGACATTCAATGGCTGCTCCAGATCCCCATGTCGATGCAGCTGCGTAAAATGTCCTCGTCCCGGGCAGGACCGAATTCCGGAGCGGAGGTGGACAACACAGTGTCCTCGTGGGTGCTGACATCGGTGCCGTTGGATTAGCTTTGCTGAAGTCCGCTTTTGACGCTTCCGCGGACGACTTGGCCAACCAGCTGAATGTGATTGCACTCGATGTGAGTTCCACTGTGATGTGGTGGTGGGCGCGATGGGTGTAGCAAAATGATGTCAGTGTCCACGCCCAGATCCGAATAACTCCGATAGATCGCTAAAGGCACCGATATACGAATATGCATGCCTTTTTGGGCCTGGGATGGGGCTTACACAGTTGCTCGGCTCACCGCCGCTTTTGACCGGCAGAATGAGGGTGCATAGAGGCGGACAGACTCCAGTCAACGCCATGACGAGGCCTCGAGACCTACATACTGTCACCCACTGGATTCACGTGGAGCTGCGTGTAAGACATCCACTTAATGTCTTGTCTTTTGCATGGTATCTGCGGATGCGGCCACGTTCGAGAGACTTCCATGTGAGGTGGTGCCAACCTATGTCCTGTTCGGAGCTCAAGACCTTGGTCTGCTACCCTGGTTTGGCTTGTCTGTCGCCAGCTGTCTGTCAGCAGCCATTGTCACATGGGCGCTTCGGATCACTGGTCTTGGAGGGTCCCGAAAACTTCCCCGAATTTCAAACCGAACCTGCGCCCCATGCGTGATACGGTTTCTCAACCCGCATGTAGACTTCTGAATTACCTACCCCGAGTGCTTCCTTAGTTCTGTCTACTTGCGAGTTCGTCTGGCACAAAGTGAAACGAAAGCCACACCGACTCACCATCGCTCCAAGAGTCACGTGAGATCCACCTTGATAGCCCCTGCGTTATCCCCCGGCCCAGCTGGGTTTCCCAACCAATCAACGTTAAGCTACCGCCCTGACGCAGCCTTCCAAGAGTTCAGTCCACCGTGCGATCGACTGCCTTCCACATCATCAATCTTTCAACACCGCTTGACAACCGACCCCCCTTTCATCAAATACGCCCGGTCACTCTTGGACTCCCCGAACATTCAACGCATCGCGTATCAGCCACGATGAATCCCGAGTAGTATGTCGCCTCCTGCGTGCCATCAGGTCATCGCTGCCCCGTCCTCCACCTGGGTTTTGCTGCTGACATCCGCTCCCTCCAGGGTGTTCTCCGCCAACTTCCCTCGACCGCCGCGACAACTCCCAAGTTGCCGTGACTCTCATTTCGCTCTTACTTACAGCATGCCAGATACGACTACCTCTTCAAGCTGCTGCTCATCGGAGACTCCGGTGTCGGCAAGTCTTGCTTGCTCCTGCGTTTCGCCGACGATACTTACACGGAATCTTACATCTCCACCATCGGCGTGGACTTCGTATGTTGCTACCCCGAGGGCGACTCTGACCAGGTTGGAAGGCTGACTGGTGGCAGAAAATCCGGACGATCGAGCTGGACGGCAAGACGGTAAAACTGCAGATTGTATGTCTATTTCCAAGCTTCCATCCGACGTCGCGAAGGTTGCAAGAAAGAGAAATGAAAGAGCCATCAGCTGACTAGAGGACAGTGGGACACTGCTGGCCAAGAACGGTTCCGCACTATCACATCATCCTACTACCGGGGCGCCCACGGCATCTGCGTTGTGTACGATGTCACCGATATGGACAGCTTCAACAACGTCAAGCAGTGGCTGCAGGAGATCGATAGGTATGCCACAGAGGGCGTGAACAAGCTGCTTGTAGGAAATAAAAGCGACATGGCGGACAAGAAGGTGGTTGAGTACACGGTGGCCAAGGTACGCTGATTCCCGACCACCCATGCGAGATCCGTGTACAGTGCTGACGTATCCCAGGAATTTGCCGACAGCCTCGGGATTCCATTCCTCGAGACATCGGCCAAGAACGCCAGCAACGTTGAGCAGGCATTCTTGACAATGGCCCGTCAGATCAAGGAACGCATGGGCAGCAGCATTGCCACAAACAACACCAAGGCCAACGTGAACGTTTCTCCCGGCCACGGCGTCTCGAACAACCAGTCTGGCGGCTGCTGCTAAACCACCAGTTGTGTCTACGGTATGCCTTTGATGTCGCTACTGCTCAGGTGTTCACGGGTTCTCTGCATCGGAATGGGTTTTCGGACACTGGGGGGGCGCGCTTAGATTTGCGGAGGGCACGTTTGTCTATCGGGTGAGGGAAGGGATCGTCCTCGCTAATGTATGCGTGTCTGACGGTCGGGATTTCTTGCGACCTGGGTTTTGCACCGTCCTCACGTAGCCCTCCCCGAGAAGAAGCCTGGGGAGCTGGACTCTGGTATCATAGAGCCTCGGAACGGCGATCACCTCTCGAGGGAGAAAGGCAGCCCGGGGGGAAGGCCAGGCGCTACGGGAAACAGAATACGACATCCCGGGCCGGAGCAGGACGGGAGTTGTTCGGGTTTCGCCACCTACTAGCACTGCTGCCTTGCTATTGCTACCTGCAGCTTTGTCGGTGTATTTTCCCGATCTTGGCCATAACTGGGCTTGTTTTGTTTATTGATTACACTGCGGTTTCGTTGATATTTCGCTCGAATGTTTCTCATAATGACACCAGGGACAGGCCATTAGGGCAGGGGTTCTGCGAGGTACACGCCGACAGCCCAACGACGCTTGTTGGAGCATGATCGAAAACATGACAGGTGAATGCCTCAGCTAGGGTACTGAAGCAGCGTGCTCGCAACCACCCAACTGTCCTTTACTGTCGAATGCGCGTCTGGACTCTTTGTATGTACAATACACGTATGTGGTTGAATCGGATCCCTTGCCTCTTTCCAGCCCAAGCATCCTTTCCTAACATGTCATGGTAGGTAGTGTTCGCAGCTGCTCCTGGCACGGGTCGGCTTCAAATTACTAGTACCTGGCATGTATTGTACAATATCATCGACTCCCGGCTCGTTTGAAGAGAAAAACAAGAGAAAATAAAGGCAGTGTGTGACGCCCCTGACTGTAGGTTTCGAGTTGCACTCCCTGCCCTTCTTCACTGAGGACGCTTAGATCTCGCGAGCTGCCCGCCGCCTCCCGAGCATGAGCAAGCTTACAAATGGGCGGAGGATAGTTATGTTCTCTGTAAACGTTCTCAACTAACCCCCTCCCTCGTGCCCGTGACACAGCGGTTGAGATATCGGAAAGCAGACGTAAACCTCGAAGAATTACATTACGGGTTAGGTCCTGCCTAGGAGCTAGCCTTGTCCGATCTGTGCATAAGTAGTGATAGGCATCGGCGCGGCCTGATGAACACAAAGACATTATCTTCTAGCTTACCTACTTAATGGAACCCCTTGAAGCAGCGTGGCATACATTAAGTACTCTGAAAATGTTTGATGTGACAAGATATGGTATCATAGAAAGCAAGGACAGACTATAAACGAAACGATCAAGTAGTCTACAACGTAAGCCCCTTATCCTGGCCGAAAACCAGGCGGGAGAAACCCCGTAGAGAGAAAGAAAAAAAAAAAAAAACAAACGAAGCCCTTTAGTCGCGACGCATCAGACTCAGACTAAGCCTAGCCACTTCAAAGCCTTGGCCCCTCCGCCACGTCTAACGTCCTCCCGCCTCCTTAGATAGAGTGGCATCAGCCGCCTCTCTTCCTCGTCTTGCACCTCATCATCTCCGTCATCATCGTCCTCCCTATCAGGCGGAGACGGGTGTATCATCACCATCGGCGGCGGGCGACGACGGCGCGGCGAAAGGAGTTCAGAGTCTTTCTTTCTGTGCTGGCCACTGGCTATGGGAGATACTGAATGGACTGAAGAGGTGTAGTTCACCTCCCCCCATCGAATGGTAGTTGTCATTGTGTCCACTTTCGTCCCGTGGAACGGTTTGTGGCCTGCTGACGTGGATGAGGGGGCTAGGATGTGATGATCGCGAGCAGGTGGTTGTACCTGGGCAGGGGGCGTCGTTTCAGTCGGGGACGACGGCGGGGTGATAATCAAGGTGGACACGGAGACGCGGGAGGGTTCCTTCTCGGATACATTGGGTTTGATGATCGCTGTCTTGGTGTTGACATTGAGACTCGGATAGGCGTCACTGGGAGAAGATTGCGGAGCAAGGTGCCTGTACAGCGGGCGCTCCGGAATGTAGAAGTCGGAGATGGAGATCAGGCTCTCGCGGATGGCGGCCACGAAGGCGGCTGTTTCGAAGCCGGTGGCGGATGAGGCCAGAAGGAAGTTGGCTTTGGAGAAGGAGCAGGAGCCGACGAAGGCTCCTGACGGGCGCGATCCCCACCGGTTGAGAGAACGGAAGCCCTCGCTTGGGCGGCGTGTCCCGTCCGGTGCTGATACAGTTTGCGTAGAAGATGAGGCATCGCTGTTAATGATGCCCACCACCTTCATCATATCGGTGCCGATGAGAGCCTGCAGGGCGAGGATGGTTGGAAGGTGCTCAGCTGGGTACTCGACGAGCAGGAAACGGACGTCCGGGTGGGTTGCTAAGTACGTCTCGAGATGCGGAATGATGAGTGCCGCAAGCAGGGCGCGATCAGCGAAGGGGTTGCTATGGGTCTGCTTGGTCAACGGTTGAGCCGTGAAGGCCTGCATAGCGTTGGCAATGAGATATCTGTGTCTCGATTAGTCGCCTCGCTCTCGCACACTAGGCTCCCAATCACGTACCGTAGATCCAGCCGCCCGCTTCGCGAGAGGCCGTTGAGCTTCCGACCTAACTGCTCGAGCTGGCCGACAACCTCTAACAGGCGACTCTTTCGCACCCCGCTCTCGGCGCCAACAGCTAGCATCAAGTCCACTCTGCTTCCGCCGTCACGGGATGCTACCCGCCAGTCACATTCAAGACGCCTCCACATATCACCGCTTGCTGAGAGCTCGTCTGTGGTGTCCGAGTAGCGTCGGTCTTGAAGACGTAAGCGAGCTGCGAGGAGCGACCGCAACGAGTTTTGGATGGAGACTGCACACTCCTGGCCGACATTAATGCTGTAAAGCCTCGTGCCCAGCAGAGGCACGGTCAGACGCGATTCGTCGAGTGGCGTAGGTGAGTGATTCGGTGTCGGCAAACCATGGACCAAGCCTTTCCGCATCCACGCCGCTACCCTGCCGTCGACATTCCCGTCGACAGCCTGAACCTCGCCTACTCCTTGGCCGTCCCTTATCTGTACTTGGCCTATCCCTGCACCTTGGAGAATGTTATGCCGCGCCTTCGTGCAGCTTTCGCTGAGACGACTGAAGATGAAGTCGTGCAATTCATTTCGGGTTTCGGGAGCGAAAACCACTACGACATCCTCGAGCAGCGGCAAAATTGCGTCGAAAGGCTGAACCTCGGTCTCACTAGCTTGCGGCTGTCTCCGCTCCCTTGACTCCGCATCCACGCTTTGATCGGCAGGCACTGCAGGCAGAGGCTGGTACGGCAATGCCAAGCCGCGGATCTTGGATCCGTCATCTTCGGGGCCGGCATTGCCCCTCGGCTTCAATGGCGGCATCAGGTTTGGGCCAGCCGTCTTTGTCTCACCCCGACAGGACCTCTGGGTTGCTGAACGCTGTGGTATGTAGACGTTGGACAAAGCGGCCCGGTTTGCGCCGACAGCCACATCTCCAGCCCAAGGTATCGGTGGCGACGGAATGCGGATCCTTAATGGCGGCTTGCGAGGAGCGGCTGAAGTGGGTTCTTCCGTTGGGCTTGTGCGAGGTGAAACAGGAGAAACGGGTTCCGCCGGGGGGTTCGAGTTGCGTGGCTGAAGAGAGGGTGGGTTGGAAACCCGATGATCCTCGGCAGACTCCGATGCCGGCGAACTCAGCCGCTTCTTAGAGCGACGTGACGGGATATGGACCAGCTTGACGGTGAGGTCCACGTTTGGCGTGAACTCCTCTTCAAGAAACTCGGTCTCCTTGTCGAGCGCATCCGCTGCTCTCATGGCCCGGATGCTGGGGTCCTCGAAGGGGCCGTACTCAGCGTCCATGTACCCCCTTCCCATCCAGTGACTCTCCCGGCTCCCCTTTGGGAACCCCGGTTCTGAATCGGCCTGTTCTCCCAAGCTCTCCGAAGGTGATAACCCAACGTCGAGATATGGGCGCCTCGCTGATGCTAGACCGGCAACTCCATTTCTTGCCAGTTGAATGAAGGCAGAATGCGCTTCCTCAATGTTCCCGTCCGTCTCCCGCTCCATGATGGTGGATAAGCAGGCAGCGTGTGCCGACATTGTCCCCCCGTGCAGGAATACAAGCCGCTTTTCATCTGGTACGGTGGAAGGTCGCAAGAACTCCTGAGCCTCGGCGTACCGTGCCAGAGTAGCTGTGTGATACCGGTGAATGAGTTGACGAGCATCAAAAGGCGCCTCCGGGTAGGTGTCTTCGAGGTAGTGCTGAAGGCTTGGGAGGATGCGGATTTGTCGAGATGCTGGCAGTAGGCGCAACTGAGTCGATACGAGCTCCGAAGGGCCCTCCAAGGCAACAATATGCCCCATTCGCTCCGTAGAGACTCCCAAGGCCATGTTGGGCGGCGGCACTCGGGGCTTGACAACAATCTCAGCAGCAGCGGGAGAACATTCGAGATCGTCGCCGCCACGTCTCCCGCGTCTGCTGCTGTCACCAAGTGAGTGGCAGAGCTGGGGTATAATCGCACGAGTCCAGTCAACAGATATGACAAGTTACCAGGGAGACTCGGCGGTAGTTGCGAAGCTAGGGTATTGCGGTAGGGCCGAGCAAACCAACAGACCAACGCTGGCTCTATGTAGCGGCGTGAAAGCGAGTGGCTTATAAAAAGAAATGAATGATCGCCGAAACATGAACGTCCGGCCCACACACGAAAACTCGAGGGACGAGGAACATGAGGGGGTGGCTTGCATGGCGGGCATGAACCCGGGGAAAGGCAAAGTGACAACACTGACAAGTGACAGGAAGGCGAACCTAGTCTGCCCTGGATAGCTGCAGGTAGCCTGACTGCATAGGCCCCGGGTTTGGAAGTGTGAGCGTGCGAAAGCCTGGATCCCGACCAAAGAGGTGACACTCAGCTATCAAACATGCGCCTCTGTGTTGCGTTGTGCACTAAGAGCAAACAAACAGCAGCAGGGCTGGTGGAGAAGGGCATGATTGGGACGATATGAGCTGGAAAGGCCACATGGCTGAGGGAGGAGGGCTTTGGCTTCTGGATGGCCGATTGCGCTTCTTAGTTCCGCAAGTATAGGATGGGACCCGAGAGATGCTGGCCTGTGGTGCTGCACTGCATTCATGCCTTCGGTGGGATGGGTGGTATGCGCTTCTTTCACCCATTCCGGATGAGCAACGACGTGAAATAAAACTGAGAACGCTTCCCGGCATAAGATGATCACAACTCCGCCCTTGATTGGTCGTTCAAACTTTCGAAACGATACTGTGCGATATCAACGACCCAAGCGTCGGGATTTCGCAGAGAGTGGTTAAACAGTATCCGTAATAAACGGTGGTGTTCACATTGGCAACAGAAAGTCCCTGAACAGCCAGCGGTTAAAATTCCGGGTGAGGACGGACGTTGCCGCGCTGTTTTCCGCACGTTCCATGTCAGACGTACCGAGATGGAGCAGGGCTGTTGACTGGCCTCTCAGCTGCACCTCGATCTCACCTGCATCAGCGTGTCAAGCAATGAGAAGACAATATTCTGGTTTTGAATGAAAAAAGCTGGGGAAGTGGAAAAATGCACGCCCAACACATGCGCCCAACATGACAGTACTTCGAAGTTGCAGACGGAAGGTCGTGAACGTGAAATTGGAAGCAGCAAATCGTGAGATGGCCAATCCCTGCATAGAGGTAGCACACTACCTTAGGTAAAGTGTGCGCAACTGCTGCGGGGGTTCTCCAGGGCTGAATGCCGGTCCAATTCGATCCGATTCGGGTGCTCCGCCCGGGCTTGGCATGATTACATTAGCGCCCAGTTTTATACAGTAGGGAAATGTGATGTGTCCCTTGCTTCATCCATGTCTGAGAGACTCCATTTGATGGTGACGATGGGTTGCTGTTGCTGGCGATATGCCATCGGACTTGGGCAACCAAACGGTCGTGTGCCCGGGACGGAAAGAATCAAGATGTCTCATCCGAACATGAACTGTCGCCAAGCACGGCCGTGCTACTAAGATACCGCATCTTGATCAACTGACTTCAGTGAGACAGCATCACGGTAATTCCGGGAAACACCGGCTTGCGGTATGCTACGTTGCCGCCTCATCCGCATTCTTTGTCCGCGCCCGCGCCCCCAACAGGCGCATAGCATCAGACTGCCGAGCAAGTCAAGTGGGATGCGACCGTATGTTGGCTTGAAAAGTTGGGCCTCGCTCGACCATGTACCTATGTCAGAGAGAGGAGTTGGAGACCCGTCTAGATTCTGCGCCTCTCGCCACGCCAGCAAAGAAGAAAGATGCTTCACGCGGTTGGAGTCAGGCGGCTACTGCTGAAGAAGGTATGTCCATACATACAGATGCTGCGTTGTCCTTTACCTCTGTATCATATCCTACTTACAGACAGACCGGACGCCCAGGGAAGCAGCTTCTCGGTCCCAGTCTCAACCCTGCCGCAGCTTAGCAGCGCCTTTGCACGGCGATCCAAATGATTCTTCGAGACAACAAGCAAATCCACATTGCGTGTCCATCCCGACCTTCAGCACGCATGTTTAAGCTCCCGGCGACCGACGCCGCCATCCGACTGCTGTTTTCTTGAGACATGGCTGCACAGACCCGTAGAACCGGACGGGACCCTGCAGCCGGTCGCCAGTCCTGACAATCAAACTAAGACACTGTTCAGTGGCGCTCAGGAAAACACGTGTGTGTAACGGTGAGATTGCGAGGCCCAGATCTCGGGCGATAATTTTCACGATCGCTAGGGAAAAGATCCCCCATCGAATTTCTTATTCGTCATCCTCCATGAGTGCGGCGAGCTCGGCCTCCTCTTCCGCGCTTAGCAAGTCGTTGTGGCCGATCTCGCCTTTTCCTTCCTCCACGGCAGGCTTCTCCTGCTCCGTGACAGCAGCATCCAACCCGGCCTTCGCCAAAGGCCAGGTCCGAACCGTGCCGTCAATGCTGACGCTGCACAGCCGCTCGCTCGACCCGCTCGGGCCCCCGAGGATGACCAGATCGGTGACCTCGTCGTAGTGTCCCGCAAGGGAGCAGTAGAGCTTGCCCGAAGCCCGATCCCAAAACTTGATATCCTCGTCTCTCCCAGCCGTGATGACCCACTGGTCCGTAATAGCGACGGCACGCACGTGGTCCCCGTGGTGGAAGGTGTCTACGCAGGTGAAACTTCTCAGCCTCGACAGGCACTTGGCCGTGCCGTCACCGCTCGAAGTCCACAGGTCGACCTCGTCACTGTCATGGTCCAGCACGAGCTTGTAAACGGTCGTCTCGTGTTCCAGGATGGTCCGGCGGTCGGTGCCCGGCGCGTTGGGAAGAGTCTCGACGACCTGCTCCCACCCATCCAACCGGATCTTCCACCGGCGGATGTGCGGGTCGCTGCTGGCGCTGACGAGACTGACCTCGTCCGGGCTGGAGCTGGCCGGGTCGACCACGAGGTGCTGCACGCTGAGCATGTTGACCGCACTGTCCTGCAGGGTGTGCAGCCGGGCACCTGACGCGATGTCCCAGACGATAATCTTCTTGTCGGCGCCACCGCTGATCAGGAGGTCCTTGCCCGCGGCCTTGGCGCATACGACGGCCTTGACGAAGTCTGTGTGGCCGACATACTTCCGCCCGAGAGCCCGCGAGGCCAGGTCCCAGGACCAGATCGTCTTATCCCAGGACCCGGCAAAGAGGATCCCAGACTTGGGGCCGCCGACAGCGACGCAGCACACCGGCGCGGTTGGGCCGCGGTATGCCGTCTTGATGTCGTCGGGGTTCTATGCAGCAGGACTAGCATTAGTGGCAATGCTTTTTTTCTTTTGTAATTGTGAGCTCCTAGCACATACGTCAAGGTTGACCACACGCACTGCGCCTGCGGATTCGGCCACGAGGAGGGCAGATGAAGGGGATCTGGGATCAGGCACGGCAGCGAGAATCTTGGATTTCAAGACTATGGGGCTCCCATATCTATTGGCGGCCTTGGCTGCCCGCCTCTGTCTCTTCTCCTGTTCGGCGCTGTGGGATGCATAAGTCAACAGGGGGCAATCTCATCGCAGCGTTGCCCCTTTTCGACTCACTCGGTCTGGAAGAAGTGCTCGGGGTCGGCGGACTGCATTCTGAAAGACTATGGCAGCAGTATGGCCTTGTTGGATGCGCAACGCTCACAACTCCTTATTAAATCCCAGAAGTCTTGCTGCCTGGTGAAACTCTCGGTTTCCTTCCACTGCTGCCTCTAGGTGCTGAGTGTTATGTGTTCCCGATACGGACGTACTATCTGATTTAGCACCTTGGTAGGTAATTATGGACAGGGGAGGGTTAGGGTGAGACTTGCCGGGCGTTTGTCAGCTGGATACGAATATCTCAGCTGTAATAATACTACAGATTACTAATCCGTACTTACCTGGTATCCGCACTGTGTGCTACTGTACTGCCAAGAAATTGGTGGGGATCAGCAACGCGAAAGTAAATTGAAACACGGTTGGACGCGTCTCCCTGTCGCAAGAAGGGAAAACAGAGAGAGTACTGCAGCTTCATCAGCAACACCGCTGGCGCCAGAGACCACTGCTGGAACCGGGGTCTTGACAGTGGGAAATACTCATTGTATCAATTCGACTTTTTTGCCCGCACAGTCGGCAGGGAGCACATGGCGTCGCTCATCGCTTCCAGGCCGCGGCCACGGCCGGCGCACACGCAGGGCACCACGCGCTGCGCATACACGCCCGACGGCTCCAAACTGGTGACGGTCGGCTCCAACAACACCATCCGCCTCTACAAGACGGGCTTTGACGGCGAGCCCACCAACATCGACGACTGTCAGGAACAGAACCTATGCGTATCGACGAGCAACGACTTCTTCGTGGCCGGCGCCGAAGACGGCACAGTCAGCTACTACTCGCTCAAGACCAACATCTTCGACAAATTCCTCCTGCGCACCTCCCTGCCCGTGCGCGATGTCGCCCTGTCGCCCGACAACAAGTGGTGTGCCGTGGCCAGCGACGAGCTGACCGTGAAGCTGGTCGGCATCAACGACAACACCAAGCTGCTCACGCTGAAGGAGCACGGCAAGCCCACCAAGCACCTGTCGTTCGAACCCAAAGGCAGTCTCCTGACCTTGTCGTGCACGGACGGGGTCATATATGTCTACTCCATGACTGCGGAGCACCCGGAGCTCATCCGGAAAGTGGACGGCGTCATCGGCAGGATGGAGACCGAGGCTGACGCATCGTGCGCGGTGGCGTGGCACCCCGACGGGCGGGCATTTGCCGTGCCGACGCCGACGAGGGATATTCAAGTTGTATCCAAGAATGACTGGGAGAAGCAGCGTGCCTTCAGGAACGGGCACGACGGGGACATCACTGCTCTGGCTTGGTCTCCAAACGGTGCCCTGCTCGCATCCGCCGGCAAGGACAAGAAGCTCCTGATCTGGTCGAGTAAGGATCAGAGCGTCGTTGCGAGATACGAGTATCCGAACGTCATCGACATCGCCTGGCATCCGACTCAGAACCTAGCCTCCTTCACCACTTCAGATGGCGAGGTCTTCATCTGCCCGGATTTCGTCTCGGAGCAGTTCGTCTCCATGCTGAGGCTGCCCCGACAGCCTGCGCCGTTTATCCATGATCCTCTCGAAGAAACAGCCGCCAACGGCCGGCGACAAGAGCCCGCCCGGACAGCTCTTCCGTCACGTCCACGGCCCGGTTCCCTCGACGACTTCGATGACCTGCTGGACGACGAATATGGAAACGATGACGATGGCTTCGTGGTCGACGATGATGGAGCTGGCTACGTGATGCCAGCTCATGCTCCACGAAAACGTGCTGCCGATGACGACGGTATCTTTGGACAGCGTCCCAACAAGCGCGGGAACTTCGTGCAGCCCGAGATCCATGGACCCTTCCAGCCTGGCTCAACCCCTTGGCGGGGGAACCGCAAGTACCTCTGTCTGAACCTGATCGGGTTCGTATGGACGGTTGACCAGGACACCCACAACACGGTTACGGTGGAGTTCTATGATCATGAATTCCACCGGGACTTCCATTTCACCGACACCTTCCTCTACGACAAGGCGTGTCTGAACGAGAAAGGTGCGCTCTTTGCATGTCCGCCGAGGGATGATGCTCCCGCCTACGTCTTCTACCGTCCCCACGAGACCTGGACACAGCGGAACGACTGGCGCATCCCCTTGCCCAAGGGTGAAGCTGTTTTGGCCATGTCGCTCAGCGATGCCTTCATCACGGTAACCACGACCGGCAACTACGTGAGAATATACACTCTGTTTGGCATTCCTTACAAAGTCTACCGGCCCAAGAGCACACCCATCGTCACCTGCGCCAGCTGGAGGGACTATGTCCTGACCATGGGCAACGGGCCGGTTGGCGCTGATGGCATGTGCCGGCTGCTGTACACCATTGAGAACATCAAGCGGGACGAAATCTGCCAAAACGAAGACACCGTGGCCCTGCCCGAAGGCGCCACCGTCAAGAGCGTCTTCTTCTCTGACAGTGGGGTAAGCTGCCCTTCAGGAGTCCCATAGGCCCTCTTTCACTAACAACGGAAAGGACCCCTGCATCTACGACTCGACCGGCACCCTCCTCACCCTCGTGCACTGGAGAGAGCCATCGCGCGCTTCCTGGATCCCCCTGCTCGACACCAAACTCCTTCCCCGCCTCGCCTCAGGGCGCAAACACGAAACCTACTTCCCGGTCGCCGTCGCCGACAATAAATTCCACTGTATCATCCTCAAGGGCGGCGACCAGTACCCCTACTTCCCGCGCCCGCTCCTGTCCGAATTCGACTTCTCGATTCCGCTCACCTCCGCACCGCGCCCAAAGAAGAAGAAGAAGAAGCGGCCAAACGGCGGGGCGGTCGACTCAGACGAGGAGATGCTTTCCGACGGCTTCCCAGACGAGTCCGACTCCGAGCCGGACGCGGAATCCGACCCCGAAACCGCCGACGACGGTGTTCAATCTTCCCCAGAATCCCTGAAACTCACCCAGACCTACCTCCTCAAGAGCCTGCACTCGACGCAGCTCCGCGACCTGCTGTCGCACACGCGCTCGACTGCCTCGCAGCGCGCCCTGCTCGCGCGCCTCGAGCTGGACATCGACAAGACGCTGCTGCAGCTGCTAGCCGTCGAGTGCCGCGAGGGCGGCGAGGAGCGGGGCATGCGCGCGCTCGAGATCGTGCAGCTCATGCGCGACCGCAGCGGCAAGATGCTCGAGGCTGCCGGCAAGGTGGCGGAGCGGTACGGAAGGGCGGTGCTGCGCGAGAAGATCCGCGAGTTGGGTGAGAAGAGGGTTGGTGCGGCTTTGGATGGGGAGGATGATGATGATGATGATGTTGATGAGGGTGACCCATTCTGATTTCCCTGATTTCCAGCCACATCTCCATCTGGCTCTACCTATACTGAGGACTGGAGTGATACTGTTGATTATGAGGGACTACGTACTACAGTAAGTAGGCAGTGAGCGGGCATGTGGAGGGGTTGACCGGGAATTGGGGTACTTGGGCTATGTTTGGTTTCGGAGTACTTTGTGGCTTTATGACGATGGCGTATATACAAAACGTACCGTGTCTCGTTTACTGTTGGTGTTGGTTTGGGCTGGTCTTATGGCATTGATGATGTACGCTCCATTCCGTCTGATGGCCATGGCTGGATTGAATGAGACATGAGTATTTTGTTTTTATTCCCGAGCAAGCTACCCGGGGCTTTTTCTACCTTCACGAAGTCGCAATATGGGCCTGATGAGTATGAGGTTCGGGTTCATTGGAACCCGGACGTTGGCTTGCAGACCCTTGCCACAGTCCATTCTGCTTCCATGCTTGATACCGTGGGTGAGTCTTTGTCTAGATATGCTGCAGGAACCATGGAGATACCAGAGAGTAACCTCTAAATTCTCCGCACCGCACAGACGGATCGTGCTCGAGCAATGCCCCCGAGCATCAGGTTTACGGCAGCAGCGAGTCTGCTGCATACCTAGGGTGCTAATAACAATTGCTAGACGGGAAGAGAGGGAAGATTAGATGACCTGCGCGATGGACCTATGCATCTGAGAGTTCAGCCACGAACAACCTAGGTAGTTTACAGTTTACACTGCCCATTATCCGTACTTAGCATAGTAAGAGGTCAACGAGTACTAGTAGGGATTGTCGTGGATGCCCTCGCACACTCGACACACACAAGACATCTCGCCATCCCTGCCGACAAAGCTTGGCGATGTGACATGATCGGCGCAAGCTGTGAATGAAGACCGGAGATGCTGGGGATGTGTAACGGTGTCCGTGCTCACTGCTTCAACCGGCTGGACAGGGGGGTGTTAAGGAAAAGCAGCAGGCTGCCCGTGTGTTCGTGACATCGCTGGCATATAAGGTTAATTAATAGAATGCTACTATATAGAAGGGTGAAACATGGGCCGCGTCGTGTTGGGACGGTCAGACGGCAAGGTGCCTTTGCAAGGTTACCTCTAGGCCTTTAAACAAGCCGGCTTTCCTGAGAAGTATACCGTAGTAGATACATATGTGGCCGTGGCGGGAATTGCTGTCTATCTCCTTTGGTATCATCCACGGCCATGATCATAGAGCTACTGGTTCTAAACGAGGCGCAAGGTGGGAGAGCGGCGCAGTGTTGAAAAGCCACCTCACTTCCCGGCTCATTAGGTACTAATAAGGTAGTAGCTGTAGGCGGGCGGCCGTGCAGTCGACCAAAAGTGTGTTGCGCACAATTGGGGGTTTCAGCGAGTAACTTATATCACCGACGATCGGCCCTGGGACAGACGCTCCCTGTCCACTCACTGGCTCAAAGTAGGAGGAGGGCTGAGAAAGCGACAGCATGCAAGCGGCAATCGAAAGGGGTAAAATGGCATCTCGACCTCAGCTCATCTGCTTGCTATCTTGGGCACGCACTACTACTTCAGAACCAACAGCTTGTGACGAACAGCTAATTCAAGGTTAACAAGGGCCTTGTGTTGTCATGTTTGTATTGTACAATGGGTTGGTTACCTGGTACTTACGGATACATGACGATGTTTTGCACTGGGTCCTGTCTCGATCAAATAATGTGCCTGCAGCGGGTTGCTTATGGGAAATGCAGTGGCACAGACGATGCAATATCATGAAAAAGGAAATTACCTGACAATGACATTGGGTTGAACTCTGCACTAGTACATGTACCAGCCCTGGTTAGATGTGTCACGGCAGGTGGCAGCTCGGCTTATACTAGTAGTAACCAGGAAGATCTCCAGCTACCAAGGGGCGAGCGAGGCTTGCACGGCATCAGGCATCACCAAGACTCAGTAACTCAGATCCGACACTCCGTGCTCCATGAACCAAGCGACGGATAGGTCATGCCTCATGCTCCACGTTCAGTCATCGACAGTGGCATGTCCTAGCAATGCCTTTCATCCTTTGCGAGTCGCGTGCCGCGCCGCGTGTTTGCAGCTGAGCTGCGGATGCCGCATTCGAATTGCGCCAGGCCAGCCCTTGAACAGAGGTATGACAGAAGCCCAGAACGGCAGGCGATTGGCGGCACAAAGGGACCCGTAACATTACAGCCTCTCAATCTGGAAACAACTTGAACCTCTCTTTCCCTTCCGTCCGCAAGGGCAAGTCACCGTGTCCCCGTTTGGAGTCACTATAGCGCTGAGCAGCGGGGTGCGTCCGGGTGTGGCTGGAGACACCTCTGTAGGGGAGCTGCGCTCCCATCGTCGGCGGCTTATGAGAGAAACATTCGGAGTTTCTCCTGCCAGCTTTTGAAACTGGTGTTCAAAGAACCTAAGCAGCCTCCATTTTTAGGGCGAAGAGCGGAAGAAGCATGTTGAAGATCTGCCGCTCAATCGCGATCGTCCCCACACGATATGCCACCCCACGTCTTTGCATCCTGTGGGTGAACGTGGCTGTGTGCTCAGTAACCGTCGGTGAGCATCGTTCAAGACAGAAGCTGCTGCCTTGCTCGGTCCTGGTGCTGGGCTTGTATCGGGGCTTTCCCCATTACACGTTTCCAAGTGATCTCTGCCATTTTCATGATGGGGTGGTGCCACCGAAAGAGAAGGTTGTGGAACCAGGACAGTGGTGAGTTGAGGTGTCCCAATTCGGCATTTCCCTACCGTAGTCTCCCTCCATGAGCTTCTCTGCCTTTAGACCCCCTGGTGCTCGGTTCGTTGCAACCTGCCTCTGCCGGCTCAGCCTTTCAAACTCATGGCGCAGGCGTTTCAGGAACTGGGGGCTAGGTGTTGATATCTAACCTGGAAGGTCTAGGATGCAGCGTGCGGTAGTTAGACAGAGCGGGTCAGGAGCGCTCTATCCAAGCCGGCTTCTGGAACACTGCCAGATTTTTGAGCGAAAACCTGGAAGGGCACGGACCATGGACGGACTGTATGCCAAGGCTACCTAGGTGGGTCCTCAAACGAAACCCCGGCCCCAAAAGTGGTTCTTTCACTCCGACGCAATTTGGTACCGAAAGGGGCCGCACCCCTCTGGCAAATCCAACGTTCACTGATGTCAACATCTTCGGAACTTGAACGTTAGGAACCCCTCATTGACCGCTGCTTGCTCTATTGCTTACTCTAGCTCATCGATTTATGACTACCCCGGAAGCGGCTTCAGCATACTACAAGCAGTACTGCGCAGTTGTGGACAGAGGTGAAGTTGCAAGTAATATATGTGTGGTGCGTTAGCCTCTTCAATAACTTAGTTACCTGACAGACGGATCCATCCGTCTGCGTGTGCGAAGTCGAACGCCCACTACCCGGCCAGTGTTCCTTGTGCATCCGCCAGGCTTGAACCGCACACTCGCAGCAGAAAGAACCGGAACCCCTGGTGCAGCACCCCCGGATCGGCCCCTTCGCTGTTTCTACCAATCAGTTGGCTCCCGCAGCTCCATCTGTCTCCAATGCTTCACTAGCCCGGAGTCTTTTTGCGCCACCGAAGCATAGGATCAAAATCCGAAAGGATATCCTCGGCGCGGTCCACTCTGGGCAGCATTCACACCATTCGAGTCAATCTTCCTTCTCTTGCCTACTGCTTTCTGTTCATTCTTTTGAGTTGCGAGACACGCACCTCGCCGTGCCGAAAGCGCCTGGTGCCGACTCCCAACTCCGTAGAGTGCGAAGCATCATCCGGGACTCCGTCCGGCGCCGCACACGAGAGCTACCCCTTCAAGATCGAGGGGCCTGATCTGGAATACCGGGCCCTTGCAACGAGGCATCGAAAGCAGCAAGGAATGAGCACAGCGGCCGAGAAAGCTGCATGTGGCCCCGCTACCTTATCTGAACGCGACCTATTGGCGCAACTCAGGACCGAGCCATAACCAGCAGGCGATGAGGTAAGTCCGGCCGTGGAGTATAGGGAGATGCTGTTCGCTGCCGGGTCCTCCGCCGGCTCTGCTAGAAAGAAAGAAAAAAAAAATCCAACGAGACGTATGAATCGGGTACTGACTGTGTCCGCATCTCCTAACAGGGCAGATGGCCACTGCGACTGAGAGTGCGCCGAGGAACCAAACCGTCGAGGGGTCAGAACCTTCAATGGGTGCGAGGACCATTCCAATAATTGCGCCTACGATCCAGATGTCTACGTCGCCATCCCCGGGTGAGCCAATGGATATCACCAGCCCAACGAGTACAAATGTCGCGGCCGCGGCGACCAAGAGCCCAGAGCACGATGTCAAGGCCAATGGAGGGACTGGCGACCGCCTGCAACCACCGGCGCCGCAAAACGACGCATCGTCCTCGGAAAACTCCATGCCGGCACCATCCGCGGCTGCGTCCGGCACCCACCAGCCCAAGGTCCAGACTGCCTTCATTCACAAGTTATGGAGGTGCGCTTCCTCCCCGATCCACCCTGCACCCTGGCTGCGGGCACTAAACATCGTGGCAGCATGTTGGAAGACCCCAAGATACGGCACCTTATCTCATGGACAGAGAACTCGGACAGCTTCGTCATCCAGCCGACCCACGAATTCTCCAAAGTGCTAGCGTAGGTCATACCCCTTGTAGAGGCAGTTGGCGCGGCCCTTGCTGAGCGCGGACAGTCAGTACTTCAAGCACACAAATATCTCCTCCTTCGTACGGCAGCTCAATATGTATGGGTTTCACAAAGGTAATGGCCGGGAGATGTGGCCGAGCTCTGCGGCATTGGGCGACGAGCCGCTGACAAGCACACAGTGAGCGACGTCTTCGCCCACGGCACGCCCGACGCGACCATGTGGGAGTTCAAGCACGGCAACGGCAACTTCAAGCGGGGAGACATGGTTGGCCTGCGCGAGATCAGGCGGCGGGCGTCGCGCCATGCTTTGGTGCACCGCGAGTACAACAACCAGAAGGCGCCGCCGTCGCAGCCTGGCACGCCGGCGGAGCCTATGGCGCCCATGCCGGATGCGGCCAACCCGAGAATCAGCAGCATTGAGCACAGGCTGTACGAGATGAGCACGCGGCTGCAGCGCTACGAAGAGAACGCGCAGTGCATGCAGGTCAAGCACCAGGCCATCATGGACACGGTGGCCCGCTTGCTGCAATTTAACCACGACCTGTCGCGCGCCGTTCTAGCCCTGGCTCCGACCCCTGACAACCCGATACACCGGGACGGTAAGTGCGGGTCTATTACAAGCGCGTGGAGGGAAATGGTATAGCCTAATGCCTTTTGATAGTCTTAGCGTTACAGTCCGAAGTCCAGCGACAGATGGACATGTTCCGCACGCTGGACGAGCCTCACGATACGATGTTCGCCAGTACCCGTTCGTATTTCGCAAACGTGGAGAATGCACCGGTCTCGCCACGGCAGCTACCCCAAGATGACCCCCGTAGGACCAATCTCGCGGTGCCGCAGCCCCGGCAGCCAAACCACTACCGGCCGTCGGTGCCGTCCAACCTCTCAATCAGCACCCGGCGCTCATATGGATCAATAGGCGGCAATAGCACCCAATCATCGCCGTCATCCATCCGCGTCCATGCGCCGCCGCCGCCGCCACCGGGGCCGCCGGGGCCGCACCCTCTGGCAAATGTCGAGCTGCCGCCCGGCAGCCTCGCGCGCCGTCATACCTCGGCTGACATCCGTGCACACGGCTGGCAGCCCAACCCGCCTCCCTTCGCGTCCGGGCCGCCTTCCTCACACTGGCCGTCGTCGCCGAGCCGTCTTCCCATCCCCGACGACCAGCTGCGGTTCCGCGGCGACTCGTTCTCTCAATACTCCCTGAACGTGCCGTCACAGCCCCACTCGCGACCGGCCACGCCTCCGCTGCCGCACCTGTCCAACGGGGGCCCGCCGCCCTCGATGGACACGTTTGGCAGCTGGTCGTGGAACTCGGCCAACCGCAGCGACAACCGGAATCTCATGGTCAAGGACCACTCGGCGCCGCCCACCAGGCGGGGCAGCATGGCGCACATCCTGAACCCGACCGACACGGCCGAGAGACCGGATGAGGACAGCTTAGACCCGAGGGGCGACGACGACCGGAAGCGGAAGAGGTTGCAATGATGTGGCGTCCACCGCATTCTCAATCACCTCGATTTTCAATCCTGATATCTACGTGCATACATAGATACACCCGTCATCTTCTGTCCTTGCGTCCTTGCCTTGGCACCGTCATCCAGGTCCCCGAGCAAAGGCGTCCCGAATGTTCCAACTTTGGAACTATCAATTCCGTCAAACCCTTGTTCTCATCCCGTTGTAATTCAACGGTTGGGTTACCCTGTTTGGTATTTTGTGGCAATATCATGTCCGGTTTTTTTTTTTTTTTTTTTTTTTTTTTTTTTTTTTTTTTTTTTTTTTTTTTTTTTTTTTTTTTTTTTTTTTTTTCCATTGTTCTCTCGCAATCGCATTTTATCCACCCCGGGGAACGAAGAAAGTCAACGTCCATCTTAACAACTGTTCTAATCCCGCCGCCCCCTTTTCGGAACCGAGACCAGCGCGCGTTTCCGCGCATAATTCGGTTGTATTCAGGACTTGGATGAGTTAGGGAGAAGGCTGCAGTCAGTCTCGCTTATCCGCCTTTTCCAAATCTCAAATTACATACATGAGTAGCTTGGTCACGCCGTCCCCCCTTGCTCTTCCTTCGTTTATCTGTTCGAGGTATTCATTTCCCATCGGCAGTAAGGCAATCACTTCAGCTCTTGCTTGCTCTCCTTGGACGGCTGGGTTTGCATGAGAGGGAGGGGGCAATCTGGTTATTGGATGGATACCTACCACATACCTTCGGTGGGAGAAGCAGGGAGGGAGGACTGACTGTCTGTCTGGGTGGTGGGTAAGTGCCCTGTTTGCTGCTTGTATGTATGTACAATGATTGTTGAAGGGATGGGATGGTGGTGCCTTCTGTTGGCTTGCAAGAGCCGGGTTTACCCTCTGTATTGTCTGCATAGGTGGAGTGGGCGGTTCGTGTCATGGTTGTGAGAAAAGGTACCATCTACGTCTGGGGTTGTTGATGGCTTGAATAGGTAGGGTAATGTCTGGAAGCGCAGTTGTCCTGTATGTCGCGGTTATGTCTGGTATGGTCGTGACACTCGCTGTCAAGGCTGTGATCTTGCTCTGATGGGAGGTCTCTGGGTGCGTAAGGTAGTAGGAGCTTCACCCTGATAATGGAAGCTTTTTTGAGATCTCGTGTTGTCTATCTCAGGCCTTAGGCTGCAGGATGTCAATGATGTTGTTTCCTGTTTGGATACCCATTTTCAAAGGAGGCATGCTTTGGGGACTGGGAACAGTAAGTTTCGGACCCTAGGGACAGTATTTTAACCAAATATGGTTAGCGCCCCCGAAAATGATGTCTGCTGCGCATCGCACCCGCCCATCGCACTTCGACATGACACTCAATTACCAGGTGCCATATATTCTATTGCCATTCGGAGACTTCAATTGACGATTGAATGCGCGGGCGGAAATGGCTGGCAAATTCAAGCTGGAAATAGTAAGGTATTGGGCTGTGGCGCAGGCGCTAGGCCGATGTGGTTACAATACTGTCCCTAGGGTCCGAAGCTTAGTGCTTGTCCCAAAAGTATGTCTCTTTCAAAGATGCCAATTCCTAAACCCATAAAAAGAAGCGGTGTTTCCGAGCCTGAGCAAGGTTGATACAATTTTGCCTAGTGACGTATGTTGTAACTACAGCATACTATTCAGAGAGCATCGAGGCCTCTTGTTTCTCACTCCCCTCCACCTCGACCTTCCCATCATTCCCCCTTTCCTGTTTCTTCTTGGTCTTCTTGTTCTTCTTGTTCTTCTTCCTCATCTTCTTCTCTGCAGCTAACTGTCCCTGCCCTGCTCCACGGTGCCCATCGTTTTCTTCCGCTACCCCAACGCTCGCATCCGCATCACCCATAGTGTCATCAGCATCTCCCTCATCCCTTTCGTTTCCATTCAGCTCTGATGCTGCTGCAGCACCCGGCCCTATCTCCTTCCCCTCCTCCTCCTCCGCCAGAACCTCACCAACCCGAACTTTCTTCCTCGCCGGACCGTCCACGCCATTTCCCTCTCCTTCCCTCCCGTACTCTTCCGTCCGCTTAGCCTTGACCCTCGCCCGCCCACCAGCCTTGACAAGCGAGCCCTTGCCCACCTCCTCTTCGCTCTCGCTGTCCTCCGCCATCCTCTTCCTGTTGGCCTTGGCCTCGGCAACCTGGCGCGCCGCGTTCCGTCCTAGGACTCTCCTCCGCAATGCCGCTGTGTCTTTGCTTTCTCCGTTGTTCTTGGAGGAGGAGGAGGAGGAAGCGGGCGAGGGGGATGGGGAGAAGCCTAGCCCTGCGTTGCTCGATGCCGAGTAGAGGTCCTGCTCGTCTTCTATCCCGCTGCCGCTGCCGCTGCTGCCGCCGTTGGATTGGGAGTTGAAGTGGTGTGGGGTTGAGATTTCGGTGCCATTTGGAGCGTGGCCGGTGGTGGCCAGCGAGGAGAAGCCGCGCCCTATCCCCTGAGTGGTGGTGGTGGTGGTGGTTGTGCTGGAGCGGTGCTTGGAGATGGTCGAGGTGATGCGTTGGTGCTTGGCTAGCCCGAGGCCAATCTGATTGAAGATGGCGTGCGCGGCAATGGGGAGTTTGTCTTTGGGGTCATCTCCGTTGGTGGACATGGTGTGAGATCAGTTGCGGTGTGAAATTGAAAGCTAGGTTGGTGAGTTGAGTGTGATGTGACTTTTGAGTCTTGTTGGCTGCGTTATGTCAGGTAGGCGAGTGTATGAAGCGCAGTCGTAATGGTTGACCCGAAATGTTTGGCAACTACTCAGGTATGTTGATCATGTATGTACGTACAATACACCCTCGTCCTTATCCGAAGAGATGAGCGTGAGACCCGACTTGCTCGCTGTCCGGTTGTGTTGAGAATTTGATGCTTATCGGGTTTGGCCCGTGATTGGCCACCGGATAAATGAATAATTATCCTCTTACATTGCAATATCGACCTTTCGAGGCCAAATTCATACTTTATGCAGGTATCCAACTACACCACTCCGGGGAGTTCGAGAGTCCCTTCGCTCAAGCGATCTCACCATCCTCGGCCTCGAAGAAGGCGACCGGCACGCCATGGCCCGGCGCACCCACGATCTCGGCCTTGTGGAACTGCGCATACCAGTCGCCACGATATTCCAACCGCTGATACTTTTGCAGCAGCCGAACAACTGTCAAATCGCCCGGCATCATTAGCATCATCAACCAAACTGAGTAAAACCAGAGAGTCCGGGGGAAGAAATCAAAAGGAGAACCTACGAGTAAAAGCCATCTCCGTCATAGCAAAATTCTGCCCAACACAAATCCGCGGCCCGCCATTGAACGGCACGTAGTTCCACGCCTTTGGCGTCCAGCCATCCCACCTCTCAGGACAGAACACGGCCGGATCCGGGAACTCCTCTCCGTTAGGGCCCTTTTCAGGATACAGGTCGCGCCGCCGCTGCATCGCCAGGGTGCTGTACACGACGACATCCCCCTGCAGAACGGCAATGTCCGGCTGGCCGGGCCGTCCGGGCAAGGTCGTATCCTGCAGCGCCGCGCGTAGGTTGTACGGCACGGCCGGGTACAGGCGCAGGGTCTCGTTGAGCGTATGGGTGAGGTAGGTCATGCTCTTGAGGTCCTCGTAGGACGGGGCGCGGTGCGGGCCGACGGTGGAGAGGACCTCGTTGCGCAGCTTGGCGTACACGGCCGGGTAGTGCGCCAGCTCGTAGATGGTCCACGACAGCGTGGCGGCCGTCGTGTCGCGCCCCGCGATGAGCACGGCCATCAGCTGGTCCCGGATCACCTTCGCGTCGCGCGTGAAGCGGGCGATGTTGTGCAGGAAGGTGAAGTCCTTGTCCGAGCTGCTGGACAGCTTGTCGAGTTCCGAAGGCGAGAGGGAGAGGGTCCGCTCGATGAAGGGCGAGATGAAACGCTCGAGGATGCGGATGCCCCGGTAGTAGCGGTAGGTGGGGATCAGGAGGCGGAAGGGACTGCGGGGGTGGTTAGTTGATGAGGGCCCGGGGGGGAACTGGGTGCGAAGGGATGAGGACGGACGAAAGGATGGTAAGGAGCATCTGGATGCGTTGGACGTCTTGGAACGCAGCTACGAATTCGTGTTTCGGGCTGTCAAGGTCAGTAACACCGCCAGCATCGAATGCGTATGGAGAGTCAAAAGAGATAGCTCACTTGTTCAGGCTGTTGACGCTCCCGCCCAGCAGGAAGTCGGTGGTCACGTCGAGCGTCATGCGGTAAAAAAGATCCATCACGTCCACGGTCTGCCCCGAGGCAGGTAGCTTGCTGATGAGGGCGCCCGCCCACCTGTCAAAGATCTCGAGATCGCGGACCCTATCCTTGATGAACATAGGCCGGATCAGGGCCCTGCTGTCCGACCACAGCTGGCCGTCCGTGGTGAAGATGGAATCGCCCAGGAAGGGACTCCAAACCTCGTGGAAATGCGGCCCCTTGCCATACTCTCGGAACTTGGTCGTCAAGATCGTCTTGACGTGCTCGGGCTCTCGCGTCATCAGGAAGCGGGTTCGGCCCAGGAAGGCAATCTCGACACAGTTGGGGCATTCTGGGGTCGCCCAGTCGAAGATGTGGCCGTAATACCAGTCAAGTATGTTCTTTGTCTGGCAGTAGCCGGCCTTGATGAAGAACGGGAGCCCTGAGCTGGTTAGAAATGCCCCTCTCGGCCAACCCCTTCTCGATTGCTCACCGAATAGCGGATTCGTTGCTAATACAGCAGACCGGACGGCGCCGAGTCTGCGGATCTTGTGGTCTACAATAGCCCTCCGTGTCACGAATAAGATGACCAGGCAGCTCAGGACGAGCGCCGGCGTGTACAGCGGGCCTAACGCGAAGAGGAATCCGATCATTCTATTGGCAGTCTTGTTCTGGCCGAAACTCAACATAGCCTAGACGATGTCTCCTTCCGAGGAGACAAGAGTGACCCCATCGGAACTTATAACCTTGACAGTAGACAACGAGCCCGCTTCCATCCTCAATGGCTCGTTAACGCTCTTTATGACTGCCTCTGACTCGACATGATCCTGGATCGTCGGGAAGATCCCGCACATGTTCAATCGACCAGGCGACAGTTGCGGGGCACCCCGCAGCCCCGGAGCTTCGGTTGGACGCGGACGAGGGGCGGGGGCTCAGGTCGATCTTCGTCAGCTGGCCATGGATTGGTGATAACAAAGATGGAACTAACCCTTATTACGGTAGTGTCTTGCGAGATTGATCGAGTTTAGTTGCGTCTTTGTCACGTGGGAGAATTACGGAACGTACACAATAGAATTGCTGAGATACCACTTCGGAAAGGTTCCGACTCTTATTATATGTCGGGGACTTGACATCCCGGACCAGTGCCGTATGTAGAGCCAGGGGAATGGTACCACAATGTGACGTGGTAGTGATAACGTTCGCTCGTGGAAAGATCTGGTACATGCTGAGAAACGAACAGGCCTCTGAACGCGATGGCCATAGGTATTTTGAATTGAGACATACTTTTGGGACAGTAACTGAATAAACCCCGGGGACTGTTTTGTAACCACATCCGGCCTAGCGTCTGCACCATAACCCAATGCCTTATTATTCCCAATTGATTTTGCCAGCCATTTCCGCCTGCGCATTCAATCGTCAATTGAAGTATCCGAATGGCAATAGCATATATGGTAATTGAGTGTCATGTCGAAGTGCGATGTGCGGGTGCGATACGCAGCCAGGTTTGGTTAAAATATTGTCCCCGGGGTCCGAAGCTTACTGTCCCAAAAGCATGTCTCCCTTGAATTAGTGCTAGTGTAACGGATCTGTAGGTCCCTCTGTCGGTAACAGAATCCGCGGTAGTTGTAGCTATTGGGCGTATCTTTTGTCTAAGAAGGGTACGCAGGTATTAAGCCTCGTTCACATTCTCTGTGTTTATACGTAGAAGTAGAGATATTTCAGGCTACACATGCAGATGCAAGCCGAACTTGGTTTCTGAAGGTGCGGAAGGCCATGACAATTCCGACGTGCCTGTGCCGTCTCGTCGTGCACACATCGAATCTGCGTGGTTAACATCATTGGCCCGGAAACTCCCGCGAGAGCAAACCACCAACCGCGATAGTTAGCACCTGGGGAGCGTCATTTCCCAAAGCGAGCTAGGGCCCCCTCGATCAACCTACACAGGATTTTCTGGCAACATCACCGGCGACCTCATCACCCTGCGGCGTCCAATTCCAAAGCCCATTCACAATGTTCAGACTCGGTCGCAGCCGCGCATTGGCGTCAGCCCTTGGCGCGCCCAAGGTACGAATTCTCTCGCTGATAGACCTGTTTTTTGACCGCTGGGAAGCTTCGCGATCTGAAACTGACATTGCTGCCAACCGCAGGTTTCTCCCTCAGCCAGACTCCCCAGCATCGCGCAACAACAACAAAGGAGAGCGCTGAGCATCCACGAGTACCGTTCGGCAGACCTCCTGCGCCAGGTGAGCGAATTGCAACTTTTCATACTCGAATGCGCTCCTTATCGGAGGGATTTGCAACCCTTCGCTGACACGGCTCGACCGGCAACAAACAGTATGGCATTGATGTCCCGAAGGGCTCCGTCGCGACGACGGCGGCTGAGGCCGAGGCGGTCGCGAAGCAGATTGGCACCGACGACATGGTGATCAAGGCACAGGTCCTCGCCGGCGGGCGCGGCAAGGGCACCTTCGACAACGGGCTCAAGGGGGGTGTGCGTGTCATCTACTCGCCCACCGAGGCCAAGATGTTCGCCGAGCAGATGATCGGCCACAAGCTCATCACCAAGCAGACGGGCGCCGGCGGCCGTCTGTGCAACGCCGTCTACATCTGCGAGCGCAAGTTCGCCCGTCGCGAGTTCTACCTGGCCGTGCTCATGGACCGCGCCTCCCAGGGACCCGTCATCGTGTCGTCGTCGCAGGGAGGCATGGACATCGAGGGCGTCGCCAAGGAGAACCCGGACGCCATCACGACCACCTACGTCGACATCAACGTCGGCGTGACGGACGAGATGGCGCGCGGCATCGCCACCAAGCTCGGCTTCAGCGAGCAGTGCGTCGAGGACGCCAAGGACACGATCCAGAAGCTGTACAAGATCTTTCTCGAGAAGGACGCGACGCAGATCGAGATCAACCCCCTCTCGGAGACGTCGGACCACAAGGTCATGTGCATGGACGCCAAGTTCGGCTTCGACGACAACGCCGACTTCCGGCAGAAGGAGGTGTTCAACTGGCGCGACACGACGCAGGAGGACCCGGAGGAGGTGCGGGCGGCCGAGGCCGGGCTCAACTTCATCAAGCTGGACGGCGACATCGGCTGCCTGGTCAACGGGGCCGGGCTGGCCATGGCGACCATGGACATCATCAAGCTGAACGGCGGGCAGCCGGCCAACTTCCTCGACGTGGGCGGCGGCGCCACGCCGGCGGCCATTAAGGAGGCCTTTGAGCTCATCACCAGCGACCCCAAGGTGTCGGCCATCTTCGTCAACATCTTTGGCGGCATCGTGCGCTGCGACGCCATCGCGCACGGCCTCATCAACACGGCCAAGACACTCAACCTCAAGATCCCCATCATCGCCCGCCTGCAGGGCACCAACGTCGAGCAGGCGCACCAGCTCATCAACGACTCGGGCATGAAGATCTTCTCGATTGACGACCTGCAGAGCGCCGCCGAGAAGGCGGTCCAGCTGTCCAAGGTTGTCAAGATGGGTGCGTGGCCTCCCTGCTCTCCGGAGGGTTGAAAAAACGAGAACGTGTTTTACTAACATTTCTTCTTCTCTCCCTCTCTCTACAGCTCGTGACATTGACGTTGGCGTTGAGTTTACTCTGGGTATCTAAGTGGGCGGCATAATAGACTGGGGCACGGCGGGTTGTTGGCTTTTCTCTCCTTTTGCCTCCTTGTGTACATGCAACCCCAATGATGCAGTGCATGCATGCCTAGGCACCTAGGTAATCTGCGTTGCGTATCTGTATATGCGGGAAAGAGAAGCGGGTTACCCTGACGCACTGCTACTTAACTACTAGACTTTCGACTATGGCAATGGCACTCTTCCTTGTTTCTCTTTTTAGCAGTCGGTGAAGATGGATATTTATACTGATTTGAGGTTGTAGTGAGACGTTGGATCCGGCGCTTAAGGGACGGCGGGTAGGTACCTAGGTAGGTAGGGTCGAATCATCCGTGGTTCAACGTCGGTAACACAAAGCACAGCCATGGGGGGGCGGGAGGTGGAAAGGACCTCACACTGTATGGTCCAGCCGCCCCTTGACAACGGTAGGCCAAAGCGGCACGGTCCGGTCCTGCAGCGGCCGAGATGGGATCCTGGATATCCTTTTTCCCGTCTCCCGGTCCTGCGGCTGTAGTGCTGAAAACTACGTAGGCGTGTTTTAGGTGAACTACCTACCTAGGGAGGTAGACTGACTGAACTCAGCTCATGGTATTCAATGTTGATAAGCTCTGTCAGCCTATCGTTGTGATTTCGGGATTCGGCAAATGTAAGGTCTATCACGTGATTGCTCTAGATACTGTGTTTCGAAGCTCATGCAAAAGGTAAGTGAGGCTGCTGGCGGCCGTTTTCATTCTGCAAGGGTCTTCCTGGCGGTCGTATAGTTCTGGCCTCCAAACTATATGCATGGCTGCGTTGTTCTTGTGTTTTATGCGCTTGCATACTGGAGGGTTCCTGTGTTTTGCCAGTTTCGGTATGACAGCTGCAGGAACGTGGCGGTCACTGGCGTGGGAGGCTCAGGTTCTCACTTGGGATATATGTCGAGATATGAGCCGTGTAACACAACTTGAAGCATGGTGCGTGTGCGAGGCCGTCGTGCTGTGTCTTGTGGTGCCGTAATATATATCAACGGCGACATCGTGCGAGGCTGCTCGTACGACGGGGCTTGCTCGGGCTTGTCTCGGAGTGGATGTGGCGATGGGACGTTTGATATATAAAGTTCGCACTTACTCCTTTTCACGGCTCCATTGTTTTTGGCAGTCTACATATGTGACTTCTCATGCCTTTGCCGTTACCAAAGGCACCATTATTCCACACTCCTGGCACGCAAATCAGATCAAAACACTAAACCGGGCACGTTACCCGCCGCAACACCCTTTCGGCGATTTACCCAGTACCCTCTCTATCAAAAGCCAGCATCCTCTTAGCTACCACAGCCCATCCGGAAAACATCCAGCGCAGAAAGACGCCAAGGCAGCTTTCAGTTTCAATCTTCCCATTATATATCGCTGCATCATAACATCTTCATGATGGCCGGCCTACCAGTCTGCCCCTGTGGCGCCTGCTTCAACTCGGCTCCTCAGTACTATGTCCCTATCCAACTACAAAAGAAACCATCACAGCCGTTTCCTTCTCGTCGTTCAACAGGAGATGCCAAGAGGGGAAGGACTGGCTATGGCAACACGAGCTTGAGCTTCTTCAGGAGAAAGCTCCGGCGCACTCGGAGCATCGTGAGCACAACATCGGCCCTGGTTGGGTTGACTGCTGATGCGCAGCCCATGGGCGTTTCTGAAAGCGAAAAGAGAGAGGGTTAATGATGGGTTGCTGGAGTTTTGTGGGCAATGATGGGTTTCACTAGGTTATGGGCGTTTGGGAGGGTCCCTGAGGGAGGGGTGCAAACATGATGGATGACTGCCATGATTTTGGCTCGTCGTTTTATTACCTCTTGATGTCTTCTTCGATCACGCCAGATACCAGTTTCCTTTTTCTGTTTTGGGGTTTCATTTTACACTGTTGTATGGAGTGGTGGTGATGGACGGTTGGCAGTTATTATTTTCAAGGTATCCTCACTGATGAATTCACGATGACGCGAAGTGCTCTCATTCATACAACTATACCACCTCGCTCCTTTCAAAAGTCAATCCTTACTTTCTTGTGTGGCTCTTCTCAGATACGAATACCATCATCTCGGCCTTTTACTCGGCTCTGTTCCCAACCTTGTCAATGTCAACCACACGCATACCCCTTTAGATAGCAAAGTACTAGTAGGATACTAGGCTCCCGGGACTGGTACATGCTCATGGGAGCCGTGTCTTTGGCCGCCGAAAATTCCACAGCTTCCTTCAAACAACCACTACTTCACCGACAATGACCTTTCATTTACTGTAGGCTCAGTGATGCCCCAAGCCCTGGCATGTACTCCTCTTATTGTCAAGAGCAGGCAACAAGTGCCCATTGATTTTGATTATTCAATATGTTAGTTCTTAAGTACAATGAAATACATACCTCTCCCTCCTGGAGAGACTTATATTCTTGTCACTCCTCTTAGATCCCATCGTTATCCTTTGCCATGAGTTGCTTCGCAGTCTCCGGGAGCCAGGTGCTTTGAGGCGAGCAACGTTTGGGGAGACCCGCAGTTAACAGTGCGGAGATGTGCCGAGAATCTAGAGTGTTGAACTGGCCAGATGAGTTCCAGGTGCATATGAGCCTGATGCTTCTGTGCCAACTGTGATTCAACATCTCAGGGCACAGCTGACTCTTTTCCGCTCGCACTCATGAACAGAACCTCGAGCACGAGCTTGTCCTATGCCGCCTAGTCTCTCACGTATATATAACAGCTGCATCCTAGAAGCCTTGTTGTGCGGCAGGAAGCGCAGTCAAAGTCAAACCATGTGTCTTCGAATAATGAAGCGGAAGTCGGACGATACAGGTATCTCAGTATGCGGTCCAAGACAGACACTTGTCCCCCAATGAGTGAGCTAAGGGGTTGTAGTAATGCTTATCTCTCCCACATGATGCCCACCAAAGTGTGAGACGTTCCATTCGAATTTAATGAGATGGCGTGCATCTCAGGAATCCTTTAGAGATATCACCAACACTTAGATCCTCTGCTCAAGTATACCGTGTGAATGGTTAGGTATTGCTAGTGGCCCAAATAGGAGACTCACGAAACAATAGGAAGTTCAATCATCTATGTCGCATGGTGGCTCTTCCTAGTGCATCCTAGATGAATCCCACACTTGCTCGAGAACTTCCCATAGCTAGAATAGAGCGACAGAATCTGGCAGTGCCTACTATGACTTCCGCCTAGCTAGAGAATTTCGCTGCACTTTAGATGAATGGCGGATTTCCCTAGTCCCTGCTCTATAAATCCCGCCTTGCCTATGTAACTTCACGAAACTATAGGTAAATGGCGGCTTTTGCTAGCTGCACCCATATAAAACCCGCCTCACTCTAGAACTTCTTCTACCTATGGGGAAACGGCGGGAGTTACTAGTGCCTGCCATACAAATTCCGCCGAACTATAGAATTTTGCTGCACTATAGTCAAACGGCGGAATTTGCTAGTACCTCCCATATATTTTCCGCCGCCTATGTGAATCCTCCGTTAAACCCCAAGATCTGCCCATGTGGGCGCCACACTGATGTTCTCCTCTGGCTTCCCACCTCACCTAGAGGACTTGACAGCCTCTTCCCTTTCTTGCACCTCTCCTCACCAACTCGCCACACCACTTTCACTCTCTCCTCCCTCTTCTACGCTCCTTTGCTCCGCCAGCTCTGCATTCACCACGCATTCATCAAGGAGGGACGCGGCGTTGATGGCGTTCGACGTTCCTTGAGTTCCCTATCATCAGAATCATCACTACTAGTACTGAGCATCATTACTGAGCATCATTACTGCGGTGTTGTGCTCTTCTTCAGACAGGCTTATGCTCACCGTTTCCATCACCGGAGTGCGAGACGAAGGGCTGGGGGTGGCTACGTCAGGAAGTTCATCTGAGTCTGTCAGCGGGCAAAGTTGTCTTCCTCCCCCCCCCCCCCCCCAACCTCCGCTCCGCCGACTTCTCTCTTTCCTCGAGCTACGGGCTCGGCGAGGTTCACCTGTTCTTGTCTCTCCGGCACGAGAGAGTTCTCTTTTCTCTCTCCGCCGACTTCTCTTCTCCCACCGACCTCTCTTTTTTTGATTTTCTTCAACACCGCCAGGCAGGGTTTGCCAGCATCGCCACACACTAACCAACCGAGGTCAAAGAGGTTGGGCGCGCTGGGCTGCTCAACGACGCCGACGACCTGCTCTCTTGAGTCAATTTTTTGAACCGATATTCTTATTCAAAGCTGCATCAATATCTTGGCCATTTATCATCAGAGAGAGCGGGAGGCTATTTCTGGCCTTCTTCGCGTCTGGAAACTCGACTTCTCCATGCCCTTTCACCTCGGTCACCAACTACACAGGCTATTCAAGATGGCTTCTCGACCGCTTGTGTTGAGGCTCGTCTTCCCATCGGAGCCGGAGGCTCAGTCGGCCTCGCAAGCTTCCGACGCAGTCGACTCGCAAAGCTCTCGGCAAGATGGCCCTGAATCCTCCCAACACGATGGTTCTAATATTCTCCAACCAAGTGGTTCACTACCCTCTGAGCACAACAGCTCACAGCCTTTTGGTCAAGGTATGTCTGTCTTGTCGAGACAGGATATTGAAGATACTCGAAGCATGGAGGGACTCCAAGGGAGTTCTTTCCGTTGGCACTACACCCAGCTACACGATAGGAAGCGGCTGGCTGCTCATAGGTCTTTGGAGTTATTCAATGGGCCCGCAGCCTGGCTAGTGCTAGTGTGCTGGCTTTGATTATCTATATTGCCAGGCCCTGCTCTACCAGTCACACTGTCATACTATTACGTTATCAGGGGCAATCCTTTTGCTCCCTGGGACTATTCCTCTCTGCCTAGACTGACAAAGCATCTCCACAGACCACACGGAATCCAAGTTATCCAATGCTGAGGAGTCTACCGCTCAAAGCTCCGTGACTTCTGACGAGCCTCCTGAAGCCGCACAGCAGTCAACAGAGGTGAGTACCATCTGAGGTCTCTTGGGAACGAAAAACAAGAGATCAGGACGGGAGGTTCCTTTGCCCCTTAACACCCCAATAAATGCATATGGCGTCTGAGGTGATGTGGGGACGGTTCAGTTATTCATGATCCGTCAGATACTAAACCGTCCCATGCCGTTCTCTCTTTCATCGAATGTGGTAACTGACTTCGTCTGATAGGAATCCGCATCGTCCTATGTCGCACACCGGACATCAGACGAGACACCGGACAATACCTATACGCACAATGAAAATGAAAAGGAGGACTGGGCTGACGGCGGCGACGACGAAGAGGAGCAGGAGGACGATGACGATGATGAGAACGATAATGACGATGATGGCGACGACGACGACGACGACAGTTCCGGTCTCTTTCAGCCGACGCGGACCGTGTGGCTGAGCGAGACCGAGAAGATGCGGGTTGCCTTGAAGAGGCTCCTCAGAACGGCGGAGAAGAGGGGGTTCGGCAGGTCGCCCTTCTTGCCCACCACCGCCGCCGAGTACGTCGGCCTCCGGGCTGACATGGTCGACGCCAAGGCTGCCCGGCTCCGCGCCAAGATCGAGGAGAGGGAGAGGGAGCTGCACGCGCAGGAGCACGCGCAGTGGAAAACGGTACTCGTCGTCGGTGCCGGAGGGCAGATCGAGACGAAGCTGGTTCCCGTGTACTACAGCGCCCCTGAGCAGGGCAGGCCCGACTCACCGGGCGCTCTGGCCCAGCCCTGCTGGCACCCGGTCCCGTACTTCCCGCACCCGGCGCCGGTCTACGTATTTCCTGCGACACCATGGCCATATTCTCCTTCTTTATCCATGCCTTCATTCCCCACCAGTACTCTCAACCCAGCCGCAGCAGCTTGGAGTCAGCCGTCCTGCTTCGCTGCCCAAGGTGCCGACGCTCCCGATCAAGTGCCTCGGGGATTTACCCTCGGCCCTTCTTTGCTCCCCGCGCAACCTCGCCGCATCAGTTCGATCCCGCTGCTACGCAGACTGGCCTCGCACGCCACCCTCCGCAGAGGTATAGTCCAGGAGCAAGCCGAGGGCACTGACACCGATCGCAACTTCCAATGGTTCTGTGATGATGACGAGAGTTCAGATGCCGGCTCCTTCACCCCGTCTGATTACCAGCCGGGAAACCAAAGCGCCAACCGCGAATGCAGAGGCGAGGACACATCCGACGATTTGCAGAGCGACGACTACCTCGCCGACAACGAACACAACGCGTTCCCTACCGATAACGAGGACAGGCCTGCCTGGTCCGATAGCTCGTTCACCCCGACCCTGTACCGGACCAAGCCCAACAAGAAGGGCAAAGACGACGGTGGCAGCAGCAACAACAGCAGCAGCAGCGACAGGGCAAGCCCCCCCGAGGGCAATCTCAACAACAAGAACGCTAATGATAACCACAACCCCGCGGTTCTGATCCCTCCCCCGGCTCGCCGCCTCCCCCTGGCAACCCTCCCCCTCTCTTACAGCGACGGCCTCTCCCCGGTTCTCGCCCGGCCTAATCCCTTCAACCCCTCCGCCGCTCTCAGCCCGGAGTGCGACTGGCCCAGCTACGCCGAATACACCTCCGAAGGGGACGCCAGAGTCAGGCAGCGCACGCCCAAGGTCAAGGTCACGATCACCGTCACCTCCCCGGGCAGGACCACCACCACCGCCGAGCTGGCCCAGGGCCCGGTATGCCCGCGCAGACAGCCACGCGGAGGTGGAGGAGGAGGAGGACACTGCCACCAACCACGCAACAGTCTCCACGACGGCGAAACTTTGCTGGGCCGCTTCCTCCCCGTCCCGCGCCTCCGCGCAGCGATCGACCCGCGCCTGGGCCTGGCGCCGGACGAGGTCGCGTCCTACGTGGCGCGCGAGGGCAGCGGCGGGCGGATCCCGTGGGAGGTGCGGGCCATGGTGCCGGACCGGTGGGATTTCCATCGCGAGCGGCGCGTGTCGGACGCCTGGGATCGCGGGTATGCTGGCGCGCGTGCGTGGGGCGGTTCGCCGTTCTGGGATATGGTCGAGGAGGAGCACGGCGGCGAGCTTGCCGGGTTGAGGATCGTCCGGGAGCTGCTGGGGGATGATACTTATACATACCATGATGATGAGGATGGTGAGGGGCAGGGGCCGGGCCGTGCGTGGTGGGGGGAGGAGGAGGAGGAGGAGGAGGAGCAAGATAGCTCCGGCGCTGGCAGCTGTGAGGAGCGCGTGGAGGAGGTGGTGGGTGAGTTATTGGAGGAGGTGCAAGAAGTTTTGAGACAGTATGGGGGAGCCTACTGATCGCGGCATCTTTATACCCATGGGTTGCTGGAAAGGGGGGAGGCGGGTTGGTTGGCGGCTTGCATGGTTCGTTGGAGCTCGACCGTGAGTGGGAGCTTAGATTTTCTTTTGACGGGGGACGCATCCGATCCGGGAAAGGAGAATTTTGGGCCGGTCCAGTCGAGGAGGCTTGACATTGGCTCTGGGCTCAGAACAAAGGGTGCGTGCAGGACGGACAGCTGACACCCTCGCGGAGTTTATGGCCCTCATTTCCATGCCTTGTGGCATTGCTGGCTGGGCCCTCAATGGGCTAACGTAGCAGACTCTATTGCTTCTTGATCCAGGGACGGCGTCAAATACGTAGCTAGATATCAGAGACAGCGTCACATTTATCCCACTGGCAAGGCAAATCGGATCCTGCGGCGAACCGCAAGGTGAAGCCGAGATGCCGGAGCCGGGAGAGTGGCAGATCGTAGATCATTGGCAATCTCACCTCATCTCAGCCGCTGGGTCTTCAATCTCTCCAACCTCAGGCTTCTCAGCCGACGTTCATCCTTGGTAAGGGCTTGCACGTATCAACGGTTTTGCAAAAGTCTGGGAAACGGCCAGACCGAAAAGTCGACCATTCATCTGGCCCGCCAGCCAATGCGACTGCAGATACAGTATGGTCGACGGTCCGGTGTAGAGGAATGCCAGTCTGTAGTCTACTACTTGTATTGTACACAGTAGAGTACTGTAGTATCAGATGACTAGTACTAATGAACTGGCCCCTGAGCGCGTCCCAGTTCGGCGGCCAGCCAGACAAGGCGGAAAAGCCCACAAGACGGCCCGCTGGCACTGGCAGCCTTTGCTTGCATATATGGTTCGCCGTCTGTGATTTGCCAGAGAAGCTGAGAAAAAAGGAACAGCGCCCCGGTCATGGCCCGCATCGGAGCCCCCCTGCTTCGTTTTGTTTCAGATCCGCACCTGTGGCATTCATCCTCCCTTGTTGTGGCTTGCAGCGCACCAGATGCAAGAACTGGCGCTTATGAATTGCAGATAATGACTGAACCAACGCATCTCAGTGAAAAAGAGTTGTTCGTCCAGAAAAGAAAGACAAAAGAGAAACAAGAAGAACAGTCGACTTTCGAGGTCGTGAAATTATTCTGACCTGGAGCTAACTTATTAGTGTTAAAGCGGCCGGCGCCGTTGGCCGCCGTCTTGTGCATTAGCTGTACATTACGCCACGGTACGTACGATACAAGCCACATGCGTAACTAGGTACCGTATTATCAAGACCTACCCGTAGTGTACCTAAGGCCTCCAAGCAACAGGAACCAAAAAAAAGTTTGGATCCAATTCCGTCTAACACACCGGCCTAATCTTGTCATACCTGCCACAGGATATTGCTAAGATGGCGTCAGAAATGCGACATGGCCACAGAAGTCCGATGTACGGCTTCCCGTAATTACATATCGACGTGTGTATGGTACCGCACTGGTACTGTACAGTACGTCTTGTAAGGACATCCCTGTCATGGCCCCATTGTTGACCGGCTGGCTCCATTTCCATCTGCTGTCCCCTGGAAGAGCGGAACCTCCCTCAACTAAAAAAGGGAGGTGTAAACGACACATAACAAGAGCCTTCTTACAAAGTGCATACCGACCTAGAGACGCCAGTTCCTAACAAGCTCGACACCCTCCCGACGGCGACGTACAGTACAGTACCACTACCGGTCGAGCCCAATCCCTTCTCCCATCGGTGAAATTCCATGGGCACACGACCGCGCCCTTGTTCGTTCCAGTCGACACCGCCTTGCTTCTTGCCTCGCGAGTAGTACGGAGTAGAGACCACGGACTTGTGCGGAGGGCGTTCTGCCCTGCACACACGCGAGGAGCCATGTCCACCAACGAAGAGACGGCCAAGCCGAGCTCGCAGGAGACAGCGGAGAGCCCCAGGGTAGAGGAGCCGCAGCAGACAACACAGTCGCAAGATACAGAGACCCAGGAAAGCTCATCGAGACCGGCTTCGAAAAGTGGCTCTGATAAGGACACGGTATGAGATTCCCCCTGTGCAGAGTCCCGGAGGTGGCGTCTGCCACAACGGCAGCGCCGCTCTCGGCTGCCTACACCATGCTGACCGTGGAACGTCACCCTGCAGGAATCGTTCGAGGACGCCGTTGAAACCGGATCGCTACGCTCTTTGACCAAACGCCACCAACCTATCAAACGCCTGTCCAACGGTGAGCGAACAAATTCGGACTACGGTGACGAAGCCTCGCAAGCCGCTGCAGCAAACGGTAGCCCAGACGCCCAAGAACAAGCTGCGGACACTGCGGACACAAAACCGCCGCGACCTCTCTCCCAGGTCTCCGCAGGGACTCTTGAGCCTGTCAACCTCGACGATGACGCCGTTGCAGCAGCTCCTCCTGCTCCGCAAGGCAAGTTCTGCCAACCCGAAACGTGAGGAGGCTCGGAAACAGAGAACTGACTTGGCCTCCAGAGAAGAGCTCGCCGCCGGCAGAGAAGGCATCGAAAACCATGTCCCTCAGCAGCATAACAAATGCGCTGCCCCCAATGCCCTGGTCGCCTCCAGCAACCGACTCGCGGTCAAAGAGCCCGCCCGCTGCAAGCGCCCAAGAAGCAGCTCCGGCTGCAGCTCCCCCGCCGCCCGCACCGGCGCCTACGGGCAGGAAATTCAATAGCCCCTTTTCTTGGCTTTCTAGAAGTTCCTCCAAAGAGCCGCCTGCCGTGCAGGCCAAACCGTCCACGCGAAGAAACACGGCCAGCTCAGTAGCAACCATGACTAGCAATCCAGAGATGATGCTGAGCAAGCTGGAGGAGGAAAAGGAAGGGGACTCGAGAGAACATGGCTCGCGGAACAGTCTAAAGGCTCGCTTCAAGCAGCTGCGAATGATGGAAGAGGTCGGCGCCCCGAGCGAAGCTGACAAGACTGCCGTTGCGGCCAGTGATGGGGCGGATGCTGGTCTTGCGGCGGTGCAACCGCCGCTTTCTCCATTGCCGCCAATGCCAGACAAGAACCTCGCGCCAGGTACCGTCTCAGGCGTCAATGCCGGCCCTTCTTCCATTGTCGATGCCCCGGTGGACTGGGATCTCTGGCAATCCGTCGTCTACGAAGGCCCCGCTGCAGTTGCTCGGACCAGTGCAGAAGAGCTGAACAAGGCGATCGCGACTGGCATCCCGAACGCCATCCGCGGCGTCATCTGGCAAGTCCTGGCGCAAAGCAAGAACGAGGAATTAGAAGCCGTCTACCGGGAGCTTGTGGTTAGGGGCACGGACAAGGAGAAGAAGGACAAGGACAGGCAGAGCAGCGGGACCACAATAAGCGCCGCCATCAACGGCAGCGCCAAAGGCTCGGCATCCTCTGCATCATCTGTTAATTCTGAGAACTCGGTTACCAACGGCGCACCATCACCGACTGAGAAGGATGCAGAGTCCTTGCGAAAGGCTCAGGCAGCGGCACAGAAGAAGGAAAAGGAGGATCTGGCCATGCTGCAGAAACTAGAGAAGACGATCAGGAGAGATCTCGGCGCCAGGACGAGCTATTCCAAGTTCGCCGCTGCCCAGGGGCTTCAAGAGAGTCTATTTGGTGTGTGCAAGGCATACGCGTTGTTCGACGAAGGCGTTGGCTATGCCCAGGGCATGAACTTCCTCGTTATGCCACTTCTGTTTAATGTGAGTCGGCTTGATACATCCGACACATGTCTCTCTGGAAGTCTAGTTGCTGACATACCGAACAGATGCCAGAAGAGGAAGCGTTCTGTTTGCTGGTGAGGCTGATGAACCAGTACCACCTCCGGGACCTCTTCATCCAGGACATGCCAGGCCTCCACCTGCACCTGTACCAGTTCGAACGGCTCCTGGAGGACTTAGAACCAGCACTCTACTGTCATCTGCGGCGACGCCACATCTCACCACACCTCTACGCCACACAATGGTTCCTCACCCTCTTCGCCTACCGCTTCCCGCTCCAGCTCGTCCTCCGCATCTACGACTTGATATTCTCCGAGGGTCTCTCCGCCATTCTCAAGTTTGGCATCGTCCTCATGCAGAAGAACGCGGCCGCTCTCCTCGCCATCTCCGACATGTCCCAGCTCACCACCTTCCTCAAAGACCGCCTCTTCGATGTCTACATCGACTCGGCCCCGTCCTCCAGCTCCATCCTCGAAAACGGCTTCTTTGGCAGCAGCTCCAGCAGCATTGACAAGGAGGTCTATCGCGCAGACCAGCTCGTCCGCGACGCCTGCGAGGTGAAGATCACACCCGAGATGCTCAAGGCGTACCAGCTCGAGTGGGAGGAGAAGACGCGTGCCGAGAAGGAGAGGGAGGCCGAGCTGGAGGCCCTGCGCGCGTCCAACGCCAGCTACGCCACCCGGCTGCGCAAGCTCGAGGAGCGCCTGCAGGAGGTGGACGCCGAGCAGGCCTCGCTGGCGACCGAGCTGGTGCACACAAAAGTGGAAAACGACGAGCTGCGGGACGAGAACGAGGGCCTCAAAATCCAAGTGCAGGAGCTGCGCATTGTCATCGAGAAGCAGCCCGCCGAGCTTGAGACGGCGTGGCAGGCGGAGCGCGACGACCTAATGAAGCGCAATGAGAAGGTGCACGAGGAGAACCAACGGCTGGAGAAGGAGCTGTCGGAGCTCGAGGAGGAGCTGGTCCAGACTAAGATGCGGTATGCTGAGGTGAGTCTCGAACCGACCTCCCATCTCACTGTTATTCCTGGACTGACCGGTCCTGACATGAAACAGATCAACTCGCAGCATGAGACACTGACAAGGAAATGGACCGACCTGAAGCGGCAGTTCAATCAAGCTTAGCTTAGCCTAGCTTAGCCTAGCTTAGCTCAATGCTCGCAATCACCCTATCCTACTCCGTGCCTACTACGTCCCTATTGCATCTTCCTTCACGTTTGCGCAAGCGCGACACACCCAGCATGTAACACCAGGCCAGCAGATCGGGGCCATCTTTTTCTCTTTTCGCAGGCCAGGGCCTCCATTCCTCGTCGGATCCCTCTCCTAAAGAACCACGAGCAACCTGGCGCCCAGCCCCCGAGACGAGTGAGCCCCGGTGGCTCGCCGCGTGTGGTGGGAAGTGTAGGGACCTTATCGGGCAGGGCTACCTGGGTGCCGGTAAAGCTGTACTAGCCGAAACAGGGAGGAGCAGTGCAAGAGAGAAAAGGGGGTAAATATACCGGTACGTCTTTGGCGTGGGAACTACCTTAGGTAGAGGGAACGAAAGTGGGGCCGAGGGAAAACCCAGCAGGTCAACCCAGGCAAGCAGCAGAGAGTTTTAGAAAGCATAGGAAACCGCACGCCTACGGCTCCACATTTGATAGCTTGTATTGTATGGAACGGGTGGGGAGATGGGGAGTCGGATATATGGCAAACATCAGGTCGGTCGCATGGACTACTAGAGTGCGGGAATGATCAATAGACGTATGGACGGAGGTGACGGATAGGTCTGCATGTATCACTGCTACTGTCAGGTGCTCCTTTTTGCAACCATCACTTCCACACTATCACGCGGGGTATAGAGTACTACATGGCCTGGATTTATCTTCATGGTCGTCCTTCGAAGAGATTGGTTCATGCGTTCAATGAGACGGGGTACGGAAACCCTTCCATGGGTAATCTAACACTAATTTATTTTGTACACATCCGAGCGGAAAACAACAGTCACATGCGGACATCAACATACTCAAAGTCTGGATCGATTAATTTCGTCGGGGGCCGCTGCTTTCATGGTGGTGGTATTCGTTTGCCATTGCCCTATATCCCTGCCAAGCCCTGTTACCGGTGACGAAGCAACTGGAAATCAAGTTGCAATGGCCGCCTCTTTTTTTGATACCCGCAGATCCCGCCCAGTGGCAAAGCAACCATAAATAACCCATCAACACCGAGGCGAAACGCCGATGCGAGCTCCCCTTGTGCCCAGACTTGTTCCTCCCATGCTTCCTCACACCCTGCCAGCCCCGCTCAACGCTTACTTGTGGAGCTTGCGCTGGTAGAAGGCGAGCTCCTCACCCTCCAGGATGTAGCCATCACAGCGGCCGGACTGGCCGGGACGGCTGGAGATGACGGCGTACAGACGACCGGCCTCGAACTGCTTCTCCAGAGCGGGCTCGACCTTGCCGGAGGCGGCAAAGCGGGCGGCCTGCTTCTTCTCAACCGACTTGCTCTTCTTAGTTTCCTCAACAACCTGGCCCTGCTTCTGCTGGCGGCGGCGGCCGAGGGGCTGGCCGTAGTGAGCCTCGTACCACTGACGGAAGGGCGCAGCGTCGATCTGGACAACGGCGGACTTGGTCAGGGTGTTGGTGCGGACAAGCTCGTTGTTCGAAGGATGGTCTGCATATACCAGTGAGCAAGAGCTGTGAATTCCAGAGCAGGAAATGGAAGAACGTACATGCGACCACAATGACACGAGTCTTGCGGGTGCAGCCCTCCGAGGCCCAGGCAAAGTTGCCCGAGTCAAGACGGAGCGCACGGTACTTGTGGTTGCCACCGCGGGTGCGGACAACGTGGATGCGCTTGGCACCGATACGCGTGTTCGCGGGCTGGCGACCCAACTCGAAGGCTCTCTTCTTCCCTGCACGCAGCTGTCAGAAATAGTTCATTTCCATGTGCGTATAACAGGCTCAGAACGCATGGGGTCGGTTCCTGTGGCAACTTGCGTGGTCGCCGCTCAACACGAGCGAGAGACGAAACAAGCCGCCGCAGAAACCTTCCAAGCGGACCTTCGAGCGCCCCTTGTGCCGAGGGGCGTTTTATGTATGGGGAGCGGGATCGAGGAGGAAGAGGTCAGAACGTACGGTAGAAACTGCAGCACAATCCACGTTAGCAACCACCGACAAAAAAATCTATCTACATCTAGGGAAGAGAGCAGCGGGGAGAACTTGCGCTCGCTTGGCACCGGTGGCGGCGCGCTTGTGCCGAGAGTCCCGTGAGATACCCATCTTGACTGTCTCTGTTGAAGGAGCCTCGAGTTAGTGAGAATGCTCGTGATGATTTTCGTTGAAGGTGGGATTGCAGTCGTGAGTGTGACGATTATTGTTAGGAGCCAGAAAGGAACTGACACTCTCAAATCTCAAAGAAACGAGCGAATTGTCGAGAGCGTCAAGGAATAGGGCAAATCGAGCGGGACATCACTTACATCGCTGGTCGTTGACTGAGCGGTTGTCAGAACGCGGGATCCGAGGAAGCGATCGATTTTGGAAGTGTGCGCGAAAAAAATCGGTAGCACAGTTGAACCGCTGCTGGCGTGGGAGCCCTATGGATCCGTGCACGGATCGGATTTGCTGAATGGTGGGGTTCCTAAGTTTCAACAACCGACTCCACCCCGCATGCAGGCAGGCGGGCAGGATCTCAGCCTCAGCTGTCCGGCCCTTGCTCAGCTCGAGATACCTACGGGTACATATGTAGTTATTAGGGGCAACCAACCTGGAACCTCGAGTTTGGATCCGAATTCCAATAATGTTCGGTGATGAAGTATTCAAATATCTCACCGTAACCTAATCTACCCACCGCGGTTGTGTGCTGTCCGAAAGTACACCCTCATCATTTCACTTTAACCATCATGTAAGACCAGAGGATGGTTAGCCACAGTCGCACGAATTCACTGTCATGTTACTGGTATGTTGCATTCAGCAGCCTCTCTAACAACTTCGCTACCTCCCAAGCTGTCCCCCTCTCGAGTAAGCAGCAAGCAGAAGAAAAGCGACCTGCACTTCGCAATCCCTCTGCATGACCCACCGGAGGTAGCTGGCAATAATAAAAACAGCATACAATGAATGACCTTCCCCCTTCTTCACAATGCCGAAATAAGCATCACCGTTTTGTCGCCGCTTCCATCCGGCGCCTCGCCGAAAATGCAATCAAAAAACATAAACCACACAAATACATTTGCCAAGGCTGATGCCGACAGGAATGGGCAATTTATGCACTCCCTCCCTGTCCATACCCTCCCCTCCATTCTACCTTCGCATCCATGGAAGCCGGCTCCCCCCCCCCCCCCCCCCCTTCCTACTTAGGCGAAGCCGAAGTAATCACTGCCGGCCGTGATGGCCTTGAGAAGCTGGCTGCGGAGAATATCGTAACTCTCATACTCAGGAAGATCGAGTTCTGACAAGACAAGTTAGGCTTGGGTCCTTGACGGATAGAGCCAGGATGGGAGGAACTTACGATTAAAGCACGTGTGGGAACTGGGCAACCGGTCCTTGTTGCCATAGTCCCGGTGGATATTGAATCGGTTGACACCATTCATGCCTTCCAGTTCCTTGAACCCGTTGAGGGGCACCTTGGACGTGCCCGTCACGAACTGGAGAAGCTTGGCGCGCTCCTCCTTGTCAAACGAGCGTACCGCGCGCCAGAACCACTGAATCTGCTGGGATGCCGCAGTGTAATTGTGGTACTCTGTGTTGCTCTTCCAGTCGTCCACGTCGATGTCTGGCAGGCCCGAGATGAGAAGCTCGAGCTCCTGCTCGTTGAAGATGGCGATGAGGTCCGCGGGGATGATGTCATGGAAGCCTAAACACAAAACACGCAATCAGCTACCTATACCTATACAGAGCCCATCAACAATCGCTTCAGCGGGTTCCCCACTTACCCTTCAGGAAGTGCTCCATCTGCTCCTTGACCGATGTGAGGAGCTTGTGCTCCACGATCAGCCGCACGTATTCGTGCTTGTTCTCATCAGTGACCGGGATGTTGCGGCCGTTCGCGACGAGGTCCACGACCTTGGTCACGCCAAACTCGTCGTCCTCGACCGAGAAAGTCTCGGTAATGATGTCGGTAATGTCGTTCTCGAGCATCCAGACAAGTGACTTGTAGTAGTCTGGATCGAACGACTCCATGTCCTTGACCGACACGGGCTTGCCGAGGATGCGCTTGTAGACGGCACGGCTGAAGTAGCAGTCGAGCAGACGGCCCTCGTAGAGAGCCTTGCCAATGATGCGACCAATGAACTTGAAAAACATCAGGTGCTCATCGTTGATACCGCTGAGCTTGTTCGGATGGAAGGTTGTGCGGTCTGACGAAACGGGGATGAAGAGCGCATAGTTGGGGTCGAACATTTGGCGCGCGAGCACCTGGAACCACTCGCGCGTGACGCCACCGGCATCGACGCCCTCCTCGCCATGGAAGCGGATGTTGAGTTTGCCATACTTCATCTCCGGACCCGACTTGAAGTAGAGAGACTTGAACGAGTCGTGGAAGACGTGTTCTCGACGAACCGAGAGGTGCAGCGACGGGTATTGCGGCCGCTGCTGGCCCGTCTTCGCGTGAACGCTGCGGTTGAAGTAGTTCCGCTTGTTGTCGAACTCGAGGACCTTGGGGTTCTTGACGAGCAGAGAGAAGGTTCCAGACATCAGCTTGGGGTTCTGGCGGACGAGCTCGTTCAGGATACGCCGATGCGCCTCCGTGAAAGTGAAGAACAGGCTCGCCATGCGGTTGTCCGGCGGCGGACTGGAGAGGAGCATCTCCTTCGCCTGCGAGACTGACACGTCGTCCAGCGTCGTGTTCTTGCAGACGACCATCAGCGACTCGATCAGCGGCAGGAGGATCGTCGCCACGTTGATCGTGTTCTCCCGCTGCCGAATCGCGCTCAGGCACGCGCCCAGCTTCTCCCACATGACCCCGAAGGTTGGGTTCCAGTACAGCGACCCCAGGAGGTCCTCCTTGCTGTCCTGGGCACCGTCGTTTGACTTCTTGCCCTTGGTGTCAAACAAGTGGTCCAGCGCAGTCAGGACCCGGAGCAGCTTGTTCTGTTCGGATGCACCTGGCGAGAACTTGGCCAGTGCGACTCCCTGAATCTCTGTGCCTGATTCTGCCCTGAGGATGTGCGGAAGCAGGTCGTCAAGGTCGGACACGATGTTTTCGCTCAGCGCCTTGGCTTGCGACACGAGCTCATCGCCAAAGACCTTCTTGGCGCCTGGGATGTTGGAGAGATTCTTGATCGTCGAGATCGTGTTCTGGAAGGTCTTCGAGCTGCACTCCCGCGCCACAAAGATGTTGATGACCAGCTTGAGGTTGTGGTCGGGAATGGTGGGCGGAGTGAGTTGCCGAACCTTCTTCTCCTCCGGCTTCGATTCCTTGGCCGTTGAGCTCTCCGCTTCGACTTTGCCATGGTTGGGTGCCGCGACCTGTTCCTCAGAAGTCTGGTCTCTAGATGTCTGGTCCATCTCCGAAGCAGCGTTCTCAGCAGTTCCCTCATCCTTCTCTCCCTCTGTCTTCCCCGCGGCCGTTTTCTTTGCCTCTTCTGCCTTCTTTCTCGCCTCCTCCTCGGCCTCCCTACGCCGGCGCTCGAGGGCCTGGAGCGGATACGTCACTTTGTTAAGCAGATCCGCCAGAAGTTGCATGACAGACGAACTCTCCATGATCAGGTTCCGATCCAGGAGACCCAAGAGCGAGTTGATGGCGTACTTGTGGGCCTTGGTGTTGACGTCTTTGCCCTTGCCCTTGCGGCTCGCGCTGCGCTTGAGTGTGGAGGCGACGCTCTCGTGCTCCGTCAGGAAGAGGGAAGGAATATGCGCATTCTTGGTAGCAAGCTCCTGCAAGAGGTCAAGGCACTGTTGGACAACCAGCAAGGGCGAGACCTCAGAGATGCCGCTCAGTTGGCTGTTGGCGCCGATGCTCGTGGATGTCCGTTTGAGGCTCTGCGGCGTCTTGGGGTCCTTGTCCTTTTGTTGCCTCGCCTTTGCGGATAGCTGGCCAAAGCTGCGTTCGACCGCATCCATGTCGGCCGTCCCTTCTTGGAGGATCTGGAGCAGTGAGGAAACAACCTCCAGACGGTTCTGACGATTCTCGCAAACATTGCCGAAGACGTCGAACAGATAGCTGCGGATGTTGCTCTGCTGGGTGATGAACATGAGCCGGAGGAGAGTGGCGACACCGGCCTTATCCAGCATCTGCACGATCGTGCGCCGCTGTGGCTTTGTCTCAACTGGTGCTTCAGGTCGAGCATGAATCCGTGTGTGAATTGTCATGGGCGCTGTCCGGTGATGCACGCGGTGCTGCTCATGAAAGCCATCAACAAGACGGCGAGTCTCGGCAGCGAGCTCTGGGGACAGGTGATCCATGAGATCCTCGCCCTGTTCCAGCAAGATCTGCTCCCGGAGGGCGGGCGGGAACGTCAACAGGATACTGGCCGGGTCCATATCAGCGGGACCCAGGTCCTGGCCTGCGGCTGCGGCTTGTCTGCGCTGCTCCTCGCGCTCCCGACGACGGCGTTCTTGGCGTTCCTGCTGCACAATCTCCATCCGTAATTCCGCCGGAAGCGCCTCGAGGAACTCCTGGAAAACCTCGGTATTTTCTCCTTCGGTAGCTCCCTGTTCGCGGGCCTGGGAGCGTCTAGCGCTGACCGTCTGAGCTATGACTTCTTCCCTGAACTCCTCCGGGAGCGCGGCAAGATACTCGGGGTCAATGCCAAGCTCAGTAATGTCGACGGTCTCACCTCGGATCGTGGTGACGACACGTTCCGCGGGGGCGGCCGAGGGCTGCGCTTCCGCCTGGGTTTCCGCGTGCGACTCGACCCCTTCCATGGGCTGGGGTTCCTCCTCCTCCGCCGCCGCCGCCGCCGCCGCCTCTGCTGCCGCTGTGGCCTGCTCCGCCGCGCGAGCTGCTTCGGCCTCGGCACGTTCCCGCTCTTGGCGCTCACGTTCTTCAGCTTCCTTCTTCTCTCTCGCGGCCCGCTCCTCAGCCTCCTTGGCCTCTCGCTCTTTCCGCTCTTCCTCCTCGCGCTTCTTGCGCTCCTCCTCTCGTTTCCGCTTTTCCTCTTCCTCACGAGCTTTCGCTTCCTTTTCTCGTTGGATGGCCGCGGGGGTCAGCATCCCGATGATCCCCATTGATAGCAATGCGGATTTCTCATGATGGTTGAAACCATAGATCAACTTGGCTTCCTGCGCCCATCGCTCGGCAGTAGACTCAGGGATGAAGGCGACAGCTTGGTGAGGCTCCAGATATACCTCGCGTCGTGGTTCCCAACGGGTCTCGCGGCCGGGTTCGTTCCATGGCAGCGGAATGCTCAAGTGGCGGACCTCTCCAGCCGGGCCTTCGGATCTCAGCTGGAGACTGAGGTGCGGACCGCCTCTTGTCGGGAATGGAATACTCTGCATCAACTCGTTAATGAACGCAAGAGGAGCATCCATACCCGGCCCCATAAAGGCGCCCGGGAAGCCGAGGCGGATCATAGGTTGGCTAGCGCCGCGCGCAGCTTGGTCTTGTCCCGTACGGTTATTAGAGAGCAGTAGAGGGTTGACACCATCGTTGATCGGATTGGCAGGCGGTCCACCGTGCCTCTGGCGGATGAAGCTCCGGAAGTCTAATGGCAAATTAGCAGCATTCTCGACGGCGTCGATAAAGCCTTCTGGGCCCTCCTCAAGACGCCGGGGAAAGGCAGCGAGAGACATACCGGTCCCGGGGGGGTCGCGGAGGTCGCGGTGTCCTCCCATCATGAAGGGAGCATGGAGAGGGAACGGGCTCCTAGAACCTCCATGTCGGAGCCGAAGGTTGGGCTCAACCGTTATGTCCCAGCCGAGCCCCGATGGCATGATGGCAGACGGCATGTCATCACCTAACACGAAGTCAGATCGGAAAGCTAGGAAGTCGGGTTGATCACCAAGAAACTCACGAGGGTGGCCCTGGTCGTAGTACACCTCATCCTCCTCACCTTCCTCGTCGTCTTCATCATCTAGTCTGGTCAGTGGAATCCGACAGTTGGCGAGAGCCGCTGCGGAACTCACCTTCACCATCGAAACCGTCGTCAATGTAGTGATCGTCGAGGTCCTGGATGTCCTCCCCATCGATGTCTTCGTCGTCAGCGGCGTTCCGCAGAATATCGGGGACCCGGCCGAGGTGGTCTATGCCATGTCCATGCATGAGTGCGTCATGGATCTCTTGTGCCTCCGCCTCAAAGTCCAGTTCCTCACCAGCCTCTTCGTCCTCATCATCTGTGTCGCTCTCCCAATCAGAGGCTCCGTCATCGTCCATGGCATTACCTTCCTCGTTCACGATCTCAATGCGGTCTTCAACCTCCTCCATGTCGTCCGAGTCCATTTCGTCTCCGTCGTCTTCATCCTCCTCCTCGTCTTCGTCGCTGGATTCATGTTCGTCGTCCTCCATCTCATCTTCATCATCTTCGCCCATAATGACCTCGACGACGCCCGGGTCTCCAGGGAGGCCTCCCATTTCACCCATCTCATCTTCATCCTCGTCACTGGGATTGTCCTCTTCATCCTGGGACATCTCATCTCCGTAATCCAGTTCGTCCTCGTAGCCCTCGTCGTCATACATTGCATCGTCGTCTGCAAGAGTTAGCATCGGTGGCTGAAGAAGGATAATGCCATGATCGAGCGGCGTACCATCTTCGTCAGACTCATCTGTGAAGTCCTCCTCGCGGCCAGGCTCGAGCATACCCAGCGTAGAATTGCGATAGAGGTCAGGGGTCTCCTCACGATCATCATCCAGATCTGAGAGTGACGAGGCTGAGGCAAAGTCGTCCTCCGGCTGCTCGGCAGTCGTGGTCACGGCGATGACGTCCGACTGGCTCAACTGGTAAGCCGTCTTCGTAAGGGCGCGGAGGACGCGCAGAATGTACTTGATGGTCCGCTTCACGTTGGGAAAGCTGAGGTCAATGTCGGCAATAGAGGCCGTCAACGCAGGGAGGTATCCCTTCTCGTACATGAGGCGCTTGAGTTGCATCTGGGACCGAACGACGGCAGGATCGGTCGCGCGGGCATCCTTGGGCTGCCCCTCTTTGTCCTTCTCACCGATCATCAGGCTCATGAGTTCGGCGGCGCACATCATCTTTCCAAGACGGACGTCTATCGGTTCAGCCGCGGTGCTGGCTTCTTTGTACGCGCGGAGGACGGTGTCGAGAACAAATCGTCGGACAAAGAGGAGGTCCGGGTCATCATCGTACTCGAAGTGATTGCGGCTACGGTCAATGGCTTTCTCCGGTGTTCGCGTGACTAAAGCCACGAGCACTGCCTGTGCGTGGGTCGAGGTAGCCGCCTTCTTCTTGATGATCGTCGAGTCCGTAGGGATACCAGACGGTCCCAAGCACAGCAGGTCGTTAAGAAGATAGTTTAGGATGCTCGAACGGGGCTTGATTGGCGTGTTGATCTGCATCGGCGCACTCCGCTTGAAGTTGATGAATTCAACCTTGGCGCGATTGAAGCTCTGTAGGAGCTCTGTCAAGCAGTTGAGCAAAAAGCAGCGGTAGACGAAGATGGGATGATCCTCTGCCTTGAAAGTCGGCTTGGACGCCTTCTTATCTTTGTCCTTTTGCTCAGGAAACTGCTGGTCCGCAGATGCTGCCGCTTCTCCAACCGTGCTAGAGGACTCGCCTCCCTCCTTTGGCTCTTTGGTTGGATGGCTTGATGGCTCCTTATCGTCAACCTCGCGATAGTTCAGCAGCTCGCAGAGCAGGAAGTGGACCACCCCATCCGGGTTCTCGAGGACAGGCCGCTTGACTTCAAAGGGAGTCTTTGGTGCGTCCGTCATCTCCTTATCCGCAGATTCCGTCGATGGCTTGACATCCTCGATAGTGAGGTCTTCCGTTCCTTGAACAGCAGGCTCGACGGAGCCCTGTTTTGGCGGAGTCACCTGTTCTGCGGGTTGGTACTCGAGGGAAAGGCTGTGACCCCGACCGCTGGGGTCGAGAGAAGACGACCGACGAGTCAGCTTGACAGCCTCCGTGGTGACATCAACAAAGAGCTTCGGTGCGCGGAGCGCGACATGAGAAAGCTGCTGCAAGTATGCCTGGATGTCACAGGACCGGTTGCCCCGAGACGATGTGAAGAATTGCTGGATTTCCGTCCGCATCGTCTGGCGGATCGTCTCTTCATCCTCAACGATGTGACGAAGAACAGTCATGATATTGGCCGAGATGTGTGACTGGACTAGACGCGAGCCTCCGCTGCACGACTGCTTCGCCATAACGAACAGTCGCTGTAGGTTACGCTTCTCCCCAACAGTCTTTGCCATCGCATGATCCCGCGTGAGAACTACCAGGAGACGCATGACGGCGACCGCGTGGAGCTGTTGTTCCCTGCCGATTCTCGGCAGAATATCGAGAATCGCGGCTAGCAAGTTGGAGCGGTAGTCGCTCGACACGTTGAGCTCCTTGGCGACCCAGACCGGTTGTTCGACACGATCGTCGTCAGTGGCGGGCGCTTTCCATTTGATCTCGACCGACTGTTCATCGTCTGACAGAAGGATCTCAAAGATCAGGAGGATGTGTGGAAGCCATGTCGGCAGTTCTTCGTTGGAGCTGACCGGAGGCACCTTCAGGAAGCCCAGGTAATCGCCAATGTTCTGCTTCAGAGTTGGCAATGTGGATTTGAAGAACGGCCGGTTCTGGAGAAGAAGGGACAGCAAGTGCGCATAGGCAGCGATGCCTCGACCGTTTGCTCGCTTCTCATCGTCGTCATCCGTGGCAAACGACATGAGCGCATCCGCGAGGATTTGGCCGACCTCGCTCCGTTTGTCTTCGCTGTCGGACTTGAGGATTGTGGCATGGATCAAGTCAGAAACCTCGAAGACCAGATCCGGATGTGCCCTGACGACGTCGAGGCAGCGGTCAATCAGATTTTCTTGGAGCTCCGCCCGCTCCTTGTCGAGGTCCTCCTTCGTAACCAACCGGGACGTCGGAAGTTCGGTAGTCGAGTCCGAGGAAGCGACTTCTCCCTGGACCGGCATCGACAGGCCGCCGCTTGCTTCCCGAGTAGCAGGCTCTTGAACGGAGCCATCCTGGCTCGTATCGTTGGATCCCTCGGAGGATTGATCACCGAGGTCTCCAGACACCGCTTCGCCGATCGCCTCCCGAATGAAGTTACTAACGATGGGTATTGAATCCAGGGACATGGGGCCCCCTTCCAATGGGTCAGCGGGCGTCTCAGGCGCGGATTGCTCTGACGCTTCCTGCGGTTTCGGCGATGGCGGGCTCTGATAAGCGTCCTGCTCGGGGATGGGGTTGCGCTTGCCGGCCAAGCCTTTAGAGTGAGCCCGGCAGTACTCTAGCGCGTCGTCATGCTTTCCGTTAGCGCGATAGACAGCTTCGCTGGCGAGGTCCTCTTCGTAACCCATCCGGGTCAGGTTGTTGACTTCATCTCCGTAAGCACCCCAGCCGAATCGAACCGGCCTGCGATGTTGGAAGACAACTGGCGGGGAGGTCTTGTCCGACTTGCGCCATGCATTTGACTCCTGATCGGCTGTCGCAATTGTCTTGATAATATCAATAACCTTGCTCAGGGCCGGTGACGGAGCCTTCTCAGCGAAGTCAGACTCCCAGAGCTTACGGATGGTTGGCAAGATGGCCAATCTCAGTTCCACTACAAGCTGATGTCCAAAGTCCTTACTCCTATCCGGGGATCGCGGAACTAGGTTGATCTGGCTGAGCGAGTCGTAAACGCACTTGCCGTTGACGATGGTGTGATAGATCTCAAGGATCTTCTTCATCCCAGCCGTGGCCAGCCGCATCTTGTGGGCATCGTCGCCCTCGGGCGCCTCGCTGCAGGTCTCTTGGGCGAACCTCTGGAGCATCGTGTTCATCAGCTCTATGCCGCCGTGCTCTTTAAACGCCACCAAAACGGGTAGGATCAGTTGGTGGGAAGAGCGCTCGCTGTGCCGCGACTGATCAATCAACATCCCATGCAGCACGTGGAACATCACGATCCAATAGTGCAGATCCCTAGCCGTCAGCTTCTGCTCTGGCATTTGCAGCTGCTTGAGGACCGTCTCTGCTAACGCCTCCGCGATGTCGAGATGATGAGACCTGAGATAGAAATCCAGTCCTCGTCTCGGAAACAGAGCTTTGCCGATTGTCTGGAAGAATGGGAGTGAGCTCGGTGCTAGCGAGTGCAAGAGACGGTGGATGACGAAATAGTTGCGGAACTGGGCTGAGGACCGTTCTTCCTCAGTCGGCTTTTTGGGTTGCTTCAAAGAGTCGACTGCGGCATTGTCTCGCGAGGAGGTATTGGCGATCTCGCTAGGCTCGCTTACACCGCTGGGGGTAGTGGCAAGCGAGGAGGGGAGTTCCACACCATCCGGAGAAGCTGTCAAAGACGGCTTGTTCCCTGTCCAATGCTGCGGTACAAGAGCAGCGATGGCCATGTCTTCTGTTGCAACATCCCGCAAGAGCGGCCCAAGATGCTTGATCAGAGCAGCAAAATAGTCGAAGATGTTCACGCTTGGCAGCGTGACTGTCTGCTGCCTGGACGCAAAGGGGAAACTCTGATGGAGCGTCCGGAGGAGGGACTGCAATCTGACCATGGCCCTCACAACTTTTGTGCCGCCAGCGACCTTGCGCACCAAGGGCTGGTCCCACTCCCCCTTGTCGTCGACAAGAGAGAGGTTGGAGACAACGAACGGGGCAAAGAACGGCTGTGCGCCCTCTTTGCTGACCAGCGGCTCCAGGTCGTCCACAGCAGCATTGATGCGGTTTAGGAGGGACGGGAATCCAAGTATTGGGTGTGTGTCTATGAGCTGCGACAAGACTTTGGAGAGCGTGTGGGAAGCGTCTGTGGTCTCGAAATCCTCGGGAAGGCTCGAGGCCTCCGACAGCTGCAACAGCAGCTCGATACCACCTTCGCGAATAAATGCCGATTTGAGGCTAGAGTTCCTAAAGATAGCCTCGAGGAATGAACATACCGCCAGAATGTAAGGTACGATCTCGCGGGCAGCCGCTGTAGTCTTCTCGGAATCACGAGTGGCCTTCTCCGATGCGGAAACTGCGTTTCCGCTAGCATCAAGGGGCTCCGTGGGTGCAGCACTCGCATCCGCCATATCGACATCCGAGTCTTCCGTTGCAGCCTTCTCCTTGCCCTTCGCTGTAGCAACTGCAGATCCCGCTCGCGCCAGCAAGGAATCATCTGCCGTCATCGTCGTGCCGCTTGGATCGGTAACCAAGAGCTTCACACCCCAGCCTGCGCTGGCAGACTTGGTCCTCGCGATGTGCAGGACCCTCGCCACCATATCAAGTACGGCATTGGAAATTGCCGGCCGCAGCGCCGGGTGGTGACGAGCGAGCTCATCGAAACTACCACCGACTCGGCTGGCCAACTGAGCTTCCGAGAGGATCTGAACGTGTTCCGGGCTCTCGAAGATCTCCAGGTAGCTGTCAAGGGCGCGCGACGACACAACCATCTTCATGCCAAGGTTGTTCAGGGAGATGGAGTTCAAGATGGACGGAATGATGTCAATCGCCTCGTAGGAGGTTAGGACACCACGCGCAAGATGTTCTCTAGGTGCCTCGAGCATCTCCGGTGTGGGCGGATGCGGCTGGTCATCGCTCTCGAAAGAGACCGAGTCATCATCATCACTATCCGCTGGTGAGCCAAGGTCATCATTTTCAGGCTCCGGTGTGGGCGTTCCTGCTGGTTTTGGCAAAGTGACGGTTCTACCTGTCAGGGTCGCGAGGAAGCTCTGGACCATGCCCGATTCGGAGATGGCCGCGAAGCTGGTCGGATCGTTGTTGATGAAGTCGCTCAGCAGCGTCGCAGCGTTCGTCCAGACCACAGTCCCGAACACACGCATGTCTTCAGCAATGACGCGAAGACTCGACAATAACGCGGTGTTGTCGACCAAATTCCTCAGAAGCCGTTCAGTAGTGGCTCCATAGGAAAATGCACTGGTCATGATGTGATGGATGAACTTGAGAAGCCATTTGAGCGTCTGTTGCTGGTAAAATGGTATCTCATAGTCCACAACCTGTGACTGAAACTCAGGCTTCGTTCCCTCCCCAGCCGCCGCTAGCTCCTTTGAGCGGGTAACGGTATCGATGATGAGATTGGAAATAGCATCGAGTCCGCCAGCGCTGCTAAAGACCGTCGAGGCTCCCTGAAACCCATACACGATGGTATCAAGGAAAGCAAGTATTATGCTGTAATTGCGCGTCGCAGTCTTGGAGCGAATGTTGAGTATCTCGACCAAGATCTCCAGGAGCCCGGCAGACGACATTTCCTGACCAATCCTGGCCGACATGGCCATCTGAAGGGTCAGAGCGAAAAGAGTGGTTCGCCAACGATCAAGATCGGTTTCCTTCCCCTCATCCTCCTCGACCGGGTCTTCTCTGATGCTCGCCACGGCCTTCCGGATGACGTAGAGCAGCACGCCGTGGTTGACGTTGGCGTTGAGAGCCGCAACCACCTCAGGGTACTTGCTTGGCAAGACGGTAATCGCCTCCAAAGTTGCGAAGGCAACAGCCTGCAGCTTCAAAGGAGTCTCAGAGACTCCATTGGTCGACGGGTGGATCAACTCGGAAAGTTGGTATACGAGCTGGTACCTCCGTGGCTCATCATTATCCTGCTTCAGCACCTTCTCCACGAAGGTGGACTCCGGGTGGATGTAGGCGAGGTTGGTTATGGCCAGGAGGCGAACGGTAAGCGCCACTTGTCGGTCCTCAGGTGAACCCAGAAGAGCTTTACATATTCTCAACCGATTGAGGAATTCGTAGCGGGAAGTCTTCGGCATATCGGACGGGCAGAGCTTCAGAAGTTCATAAATGGATGTCGACTGGACCGTGCTCTGACGAATCTCAACCGATCTGGGGCCGGAAACAACATGGTCCTCGTTACCTAGCCCATGGGAGGGGTGGGACGGGCTGTCGTCCTGACTTGAAAGCCGGTTCGAACGAGGAGTGTGGGAAGTGCCGGTGGCGCTGCGTCGTAAAGGCATAGGTGTCGTTGGGACAGAGGACGAGCCACGTTCCCCAACCACAGACTCTGGCACGGAGAATCCCGAGGTGTCAGTCTTGGGATAATAGAGAACCTTCACATCCCCCCAGCCATTCCAGCGTCCATCGTCGGTCGAGCCCTGAGCGACGAGCGCGGTGAGATCGTTGGCGAACAAGGACGTCACATTTCTCTGGATCAGGGCCGGCGCCTTTTCTTTGCCCTTGTTTGTCGGGCCTGGGGTGGCAGGCGGCAGGTCAGAGAAGCGAGGACCCGGTGAGACCGGGGTCTTCACAAAGGGCTGGGCGAGAACATGCACCCGCTCGAGATCGATATTGTAATGATTCGCGAGCAGAGCGCTGCTCACTTGGCGATTGGGGTTGCCCACACGCTTAATCGAAGCCTGGTAGCGCTGTGCAAGCTCCAGACCGACCTCCAGAGTAGCGTAGACAACATTGAGATCGGTGCTATTGAGCAAATCGTTCAAGTGCGGGCTGCTCGCATAGATGCTCCGGTTTCCACAATGTTGCAAGAGCACCCGAGTGAAGTTGAGGATGGATATGATGAGTTGGCAGTCACCATCCTCTCTGTAGCCGAACTCAGCCAGACGCTCCTTAGTCCAAGCGTTCCGGTCATGGTACTCGACATCCGCTCCCTTGTTCATGAGGAGATCGCACCCGAAGTCACGCATCTGAAAGTCTTCTTGAAGCTTGTAGGTAGCACAGAATGCCTCGAGGATGCTGTCGAACCGGTTCAAGAGCGGTATCCAGTGATAGAGGTCGCCACGCGGGAACGGCCATCTTGTGGGAAACTCTTCGAGCTTCTTGGGAATGAGCGGCAGCGGTAAGGAGGATGCCTCGAGGACGTATTCCTTCACCCAGGGAGACTAAAGGGAACGTCAGTACAAGTAGTGGGGCAGGAGGGAATCAGGACTTAAGCTCGGCGGATTACCATATTCTCCCGGTGCCGGGCCTGCATGATTTTCGTGATTTTGCCCATCTTGACGAAGCGGCTAGGCCGCCAGGGCTAAGGAAAGAAAACACTCCCCCCTCTCCTATAGAGGTACACGTCCTGATCACGGGCGGTAGCCTCGCGTGACAGCCGCGGTTGCGCAAGTGCGGGGATAGTTGACGTCGCTGAAGAGGCAGAGGCCGACGATCGCCGAAAGTTAATGGCACGATGCGGTGTCGCTACTTTTCCGTTGTGGTCGGAGATGGCGTACGATTACTCTGCGTCGGCGTTGGCGTAAGAAATTCGTCAGCCGATGAGAAGCACCGAGAGCCCGAAAACAGCTTGAAGGCGAGTGCAGGTCGCCTCAAGAGGTCTTAGAATCGAACGGGGCTGCTAGTTCACGAGAAAATTCTCGGAGATTCGTAATCTGCTTGATCGTGGTTGATGTTGCATTCAGAATTACGCCGAGTGATAGTTGTGATCAAGTTGGAGTGTTGAGAAAATATGGCAACGCCTTTTTCGGCGGAGGAGGGTTAGCAAGAAGCAATGACGGCAGCTTCTAGGTGGTCAGGTACGAACAGCCCCAAAAAAGTTCGGCCACGGCAAATACCGCCGTATGCAGCGAACTTGAAGGTTGTAAGGTAAGGTGGGGCAGGTGCTCTTACAGTCTTACTTAGGTAGGTTAACCACTTTGTTGTCGTTGCAAATCCCACTTTCCCCCAACAGTGGCTCTTTGGCTTTCAAGTTCGCTATGCGGAATCATCGGAGTGGAATACCTTATCTTGTAGGAAAAAAAAAAAAAAAAAAAAAAAAGCCACTAAGCAACAACACTCTGCAGCATGGCATGTTCTGTATGTACAAAGCAACATATGATCTTACGTACCGTACTGTACTTGATTACCGTTTGTTACACGCTTACCCGTCACAGCCCCACTTCGGTCATGGCGGGGCTCCGCCGAAGGCTGCCGAAGCTCAGATCCATCTGGGGCCAACAACTGCCATCGGACATCCATCAATTTGTTTCCGACTTCGTCGAGATCCATCGCAGCCAACAAGATATCTCGGGGTGCCTTATTAGCCTGCAGCGCTGAGGTGTAGTGAGGCACAGCAAACCGGCCTGCTGTGTCTTCATTCAAAGCGCGACACCTGCCTCTACCTTTACGACATGGACACACGAAGATCGTTGGCCTGCCAAATACCTTACCTAGTAGAAATCAGAGTGCTGCAAAGGGGATGCTTGTAGCCGGCTAGCAAAGTAACTGGCGCTTCCTCACATGGAAGCCCGCCAGCAGACTAATAGCAAACTCGTGAGACGCTGGCATCCGGAAACTGGCTCCCTTTGCTCGTTCCAATTTCGGTCCCTGTTTCCTATGGCTATGGACGTGGTAAGGGGCATGCATGATGACACGCATGGGCGGGTGTGTCTTAGATGCAAGCTTCGGACTTGGCACGATAAAAGCGAGCGAGTATGCCACATGCTGAAACCTAACGTGGAATGTTTCCAAAGCCCTCATAGCCATGGCGCCTAGAGTGTCCAAGGCTTGACGCCGCTTTAAGTGCGGGCAGCTGGAGCTGCGCCAAGTACCAACCGTCCGACAAGCTTGAAAGTCGGCACTGCAAGATGGTGTTGATAGAAACAATACAGGTGGTATTTTGCTCAAAACATCCGTAAGTCGGCAAAACCCATCAAAAGGTCCGTGAACTAGTCGGGGTATTCCTTGATTCTTTGTGACGCGTTGCTCAGGCGCCCGGCATGCTCAAAGGGAAGACTCATTCTCGAGATTCCGTGAAGGGTTCCTATGCCATATACACGTCCTGAACGAGTCGGTAAACAAGCACGCCGTGACCATTTTCCCGAAAGCAACCCGAGACCCATTACCAAACGCCCCATTTTTACTTGCGCATCGAGCTGGCTCTCCGCTTGCGGAGATCGGCCTTCTGGGCCTTCGCCTCGGCGACACGCTTGGCCAGGATCTGGGCATACTCGTTCTAGGAAGTTGTCAGCCTGGAAGCCCGGGTTTCAGCGGATAAAGATACCATGTACTCACCGCCTCATCCTTGACCTTCTCGGCCTGGCGGCGCTTGAGCGCAATGCGGTGACGCTTGTGCTGCAGGCGCTGAGGAGTAACCAGGCGCTGGATGCGAGGAGCCTTGGTGTAAGGCTTCTTGCCCTCGCCCTTGGGCTGGACCTCGCGCCGGATGACGTACTTGCGGACCTATTATTCCGAGAGGAATTACGTATTAGCCTCCGATATTGTTGCACTCAGACTCTACCCGAACTGCGCGATGGACATCGGCACAGCTCTAGGGCAGGCGATGACGGAATATATTTGGCACGTAGCACATACATCGTCATCCTTGCTGAGGCCGAAGAACCGCCGAATCTTGGTGGCACGCTTGGGACCAAGGCGCTTGGGGTGGACGGTGTCGGTGAGGCCGGGGATATCCTGCTCGCCCTGCTTGACGATCGAGAGAGCAAGGACGGAAAGGTCGGCGCCGACGATGCAGCCGCGGACCGACTTGCGCTTGCGCTCACCGGTCCGGCGGGGGCGGTAGCAGGAGTGGCCCTCGGAGAGAAGGAGGCGGACACGGTTGGGGGCGATGACACCCTGCTTCATCGGGAAACCTTGCTTGTCATTACCGCCGGTGATGCGGAGAATGTAGCCCTTCCACTCATCGCCAAGCGGGTCGCCGGGCACCTCAGCGCCCATCTGGTTCGGTTAGCTCGTCTGCGAGATGGGGAGATCGGAGGGTTTCGATCGAACATACGCGCTTCCTGTGAGATCTGGGTTAGCAAGCGGGGCCCAAAAAGGGACTCGAAGACTCAACATACTCGTAGAAGTGCCTCAGCTTCCGCTCATCTTCCACCTCGATCAGCTTCTGCGAGCCGTTCGCGGGATGCGAAATGTTCAGCTACGGCTAGGTTAGCATTGCCGCCAACGATGTAATTCAATCAAGCCAGGTAGGGAAAATTGACAGTGGTACAGTCATTGACCAGCCGTTAGGGAGGATAGGCATTCTTACCTTCATGTTGGCGGTGTTTGCTGAACGGCCGTCGTCGATGATGCGGACAGAGACTGGAGAAATGGAAGTGAAGGTTTTGTGTGCATCAAGCCCAGGGAAATCTTAGGGCACAATTTCTGCAGCATGTGATTGGACGTAACTTTTACTTCGGCTCCGCTCTAGCCTCGCCAACATTTGGGTCCGGAAGATTTGTGCCAAGCCGGCAGCCCTTCTGCATTGATTTTCTGTGGAGGGGCTGATACTACGAACGGTAATATAGAGAGAGGGGTTCATATCGAGTCGGGGCCGACATTCTGCTAACACGACTAATAATGGTACCACTTCTTAACATGAAAACATAGTTGGAGAGCTTGAGATGTTCCAGTCCCGCTTATTTGACCGAAACGCTAGGTACCATACCACATACTAAGGTAGTTTGTGCTCACTGGTTTTCCGATATTCAGGTTTCTTGACTGAAGCATCCATGACTGCCCCGTGAAGATTGCCACCAGAGTCCCTACAAATCCTACAGGCTCCCTGGGACATCTTCAGATCGGGTTGGACGCCCGCAAACGATTAGAATTTATTCCTAGTGCCGGAAGCGTTTACGAGGTCTTTGGTTGATTGCAGCCATGGAAGGCCACAGCGAGCATGTCGAGCTAGGGGCAATCGCCGAGGTCGAAGAGAGACCAAACCATGAGAATACAGTGAAACAACCAAAGAAGCGGTTCGTCGGGAAGCGAGCCGCGGCCGAGGCTGCGAAGTCCAACTCAGGGGCTGCCTCGATCGAGGACAGCGGGGCCATTCAAGGTACTACAGGATGCTCCCTTCCGCCGGCGAGGGAACAACTTGACAAGGCTGACCCCCTATCACAGTCGCCCAGCCAAGGAGAGCGCCGCGGATGGTCAACCAAATACCGCACGAAATTCTCAACGATGAGGCATTGAAGGCTGCGATCGCGCTCCTTCCGGCCAACTACGCATTTGAAATACCCAAGACCATCCACCGTATCCGGTCTCTGGGTGCTAAGAAGGTGGCTCTGCAGATGCCCGAGGGCCTCCTCATGTTCGCCACCACGATTTCAGACATTCTCACGGAGTTCTGCCCTGGCATTGAGACGCTGATCATGGGCGATGTCACGTACGGCGCATGTTGCATTGATGACTATACAGCGCGGGCGATGGGATGCGACCTGCTGGTACACTACGCCCACAGCTGTCTCATCCCCGCTGGGGTGACCAAGATCAAGACGCTCTACGTCTTTGTCAACATCAGCATCGACACGTCTCACATGCTTACCACTCTGGAGCGCAACTTCTCCCCTGGAAAGACGATTGCGATCGTCGGGACGATCCAGTTCAACGCCACCATCCACGGCGTGCGGTCGACGCTGGAGAAGGCGGGTTTCAAGGTAGTCATACCACAGATTGCGCCGCTCTCCAAGGGCGAGATCTTAGGGTGCACATCTCCCGACCTCTCCACATACACCGACAGTCCCATCGACTTGATCCTGTACCTGGGCGACGGCCGCTTCCACCTCGAGAGCATCATGATCCAGAATCCGGGCATCCCGGCGTATCGATACGACCCATACTCGCGGAAGCTGACGCACGAGACGTACGGGCACGACGAGATGCAGGACGTGCGGCGAGACGCGATCAGGAAGGCGAAGACAGCCAGGAAATGGGGTCTCATTCTCGGATCGCTGGGGCGGCAGGGAAACCCGCATACCATGGCGCTCATCGAGACCAAACTGAGGCAGATGGGCATACCCTTTGTCAACCTGCTGCTGAGCGAGATTTTCGAGAGCAAGCTGGCGATGATGGGCGACATCGAGTGCTGGGTGCAGGTGGCGTGTCCGCGGCTGAGCATCGACTGGGGGTACCGGTTCCCACGACCGCTGCTGACCCCGTACGAGGCGTTGGTGGCGCTTGAGGAGAGGGAGGACTGGGGCAAGGGCCCATACCCGATGGATTACTACGGGAAGGAAGGGCTTGGTAGGACGGCGCCAGTGGCAGCTGGAGGGAGCAGCTAGTAGAATGACAGGGTGTGCGCAATACCGCGTAGTTCGGTCTGCATTGTCGTTTGCCCACTGTCCAAACCCGTCAGAGGACGGAGCTGGTCACCTAGTTAAGCCGGTGGCTAGCCAGGCCTGTAGAGCGTTGCATCATATGCCCGGCCACAATCCACTTTTTCCCGCATGTGCAGTCCCTCCTCCGTAGCCATCGGGCTGACCCATTCCCACCCAGGAGCCACTCGAGTCTTCACACCGTCTTCACCCTTCCAAAAGCTTTCATGAACACTGCTTCAACTAACCCCGCCACCAACCGGCTCGGGTCGAGACGAAAACACAATCTTGTATTTCACCACCTCCACCACCTCCAGCTCCTCCTCCTTCTTCTCTCCCTCCCCTTCCACGACCCGCGGGTCACTCCTCCTTCGCAACACAGCGAGCGCCCTCGGCAGCTTCTTCACCTCCCCCAACATCCGCTGATGGTTCCCCACGTACATCCACACCCTCTTCATCCAGGCCGTGTCGTCTTTGGTGCCCGGGTGGTATTCCGGGAAGTGGAGGCGGCCGATGGGAACCGGCGGCGCCTCACTTGCATCATCTGACTCTGAGCTGGGTTCGTGGAGGACGCTCGGAGGTAGGTTGATTGTGCCTTGTAGCTCCAAGAGGGCCAGGCCCGAGGGGGTGTGTAGCAGCGCGGGAAGGGGATTTGCAAAGGGTGAAGATGAGGAAGGGGATGAAGATGGCGGGTGAAGGGGGACAACTGTCTGTGTTGCTGCTTCTGACATTGTGATGTGAATACCCAAAGTGGTAGACTGGTAGTACCTTAGGTAGTGGTGTGAGAAGATGTTGTCTCAGCTTGTGAGAAGCGACGTTGATGATGATTGATCCCCGCCTGTATGGATGCCAACTATGGCAGTGAAGGCGACGGAACGGGTTTCGTAGCTCGCAATCTAGGTGGTAAGTGTTTCCACTTCAACCAGTGCTTTATGTTCAGCCGGTATTGGTGTAGTGAGTTACGGTGTGCCGGTTGATGCAGAGCAGCTCTGGAGTCCCTCGTGAAAAAGACATTGCCCGGTTCGGCCTGGTCCACCCCTTCCTCCAATCGGAATCGGTGCCAACCAGATGGACATTTCTCAACTTAACCTTGAAGTGTACCGTACCCGCCACCACCTGGTGCGAATTGGCTTTATTACAGTACTACATCATAGTAGATGATGATACTGTGATCCAGAATACCGGCCATCAGGCTGTCTAACCTGGAAGTGAAAAACTAGCTTGAGATACCAAACCGTATTGGGCCTCCTTAACGGCAAACTGAGAACCTCGGTGCTCCAGAGCTATGCAGTCGGGTTCGATTAAAACAGAACACGTATGAGCGGGAAAAGGAAGGCTCGAGTAGTACGTGATGAGATCATGAGACCGGACTTTGCTCCAAGCTTATCTATTCCGGATTTCTTCTGACGACAACACCCAAGGGTCTTATTAGACAAGCCTAGACTCGACCACCACTGACATGACTCGCAAGATCACCATGACGTTAGCTGGTAGGGGGGAGGAGTTATCCACTGACGACGGACTCATTTTCCGATGGAAGTCGTGGCACGACATCAGCACGAACTCAAGTGCGCATGGAAACACGAAAGGCGCCAAAAACAAGATCCATTTCTGAGCGCCAAACGCCAGAGCTACCGAATCCAGATAGGATATCCTATTGTCAACTGTCAAGTCCGCTGCCACGGCTCAAAGAAGATAAGCTGCCCCATTATATGCTCCTCTCTACCTAGTCATAGATGAACCGCTCAGCCCACCGTAAAGCGATGGCTCACCTGCAGCACGTACGGATCACCGCCAGGCTCGAACAGCTGCTTGCCCAACCGTCCCCACTCCGGATGGTTGATCCCATCGATGTAGTCCTGCACTTCCATCACAACGCAGCCATACTTGGGAACAGTCCGTGGGAAGTTTGATGCCCCCTGCGTCGACTTGAGCGGGAAGGACCCGTTCTGGCCGCCACACGAGTACATCTGGAACGCGTCCTGGTCCGTGTAGATGTCGAGCCGAATGCCGGACCACTTTGACGACAGGCTGGCGACGTAGCCACCATTTGCGCGCCAGTCATGAGCCTGCGGGCGGTTTACGAGCCAACAGTTGTCTGGGATGCGCGTTAGTACATACATGCGACTCGGTGAGGGAACCTGAGCTTTGCGTACCATAGCCGGTGCAGTTGAACCCGCAGTTTCCCTTGATCTCAGGGTCCGAGAAACTGTGACCAATCTGCTTGGGCGCACTCCAGAAATCGTTGACCGATCCCTTGGGATTGGCGAGGATCTCGCCGGTCGGGACCAGGATGTTGTCGACAGCGACCCGCTGGCCGCTATACGGCAGGTGGAAGGTGTGGTTGAGCACCAGATTCGTCTCGTTGTTCGCAAAGCCATCCAAGTTCCAGTACGTGTGGCTGCTCAACATGATGGGCGTCTTCTTGGTGGTTGCGATAGCCACCATCTTGGCGTCCCACGTCATTCTGCCCATCGTGTAGGTGATGTACGAGATAACCTCGCCCGGGAAACCCTCCTTGCCGTCCGGATCAACGATAGAGAAGGTGATGCTGTTGTTGGTGTAGGCAACAACCTCGAAGTCGCGATAGTCCCAGCCGTCCGGTCCGCCATGGAGAGTGTCGAGGCCCTTCGGATGCTCCGCGGTGGGGTTCTCGTTGGCCTCGACGTGGTAGACCTGGCCGTCAATCTCAAATGTGCTGTTCTTGATGCGGTTCGCATAACGGCCAGGAACACCGCCGAGGTGTGGATGAGCCTTGTCAACAGCATAGTACGAGGCATAGTCGAAGCCCATGACAAGGTCTCGGGCGACTCCGTACTTGTCCTTGATGAGCAGGTTGGAAATAGATGCACCATAAGGGATGAAGGCAGCCGCGATTCCCTCGCCGTAGATCCAGTATTTCCCGTTCTTGTCGGCGCCCTGGATATCCAAACTTCTAGCAACCGGATACTTGGCGAGCGCTCCATTCAAGAGCCAGGCGGCTCCGGAGAGCGCGACTAGATGACGCATGCTGGTTATTGTCACGATGCTAATGGTGTTTAGCAAGGATGGATCCCTCAGAGAAAGTTTGGTTTTGAGGTATGAACGAAAGGATAATAGCGGACGGAAAAGGATGTTTGGACCGACCACGGGACCATGGCCTCAATTTATTGGTAGGAACAGTGTAAGTGAAGCAAGGCCCGGATGAGCCTACTATAGTGCATGACGCGTGATGGCCAATACGACTGCACACTTGGGATGAACAGGACCGCCACAACAACTCACCTATTCGGGAAGCTCCAAATTAAGGTTCCGGGAAGCCTCGCTGGGGTAGCAGCAGCGGCCGACAGCTTGGGTCCGGGGTTCACTTTGGCGGAGAAACCGGGTTATCCGTGCAGTGGATGAACGCACGAGCTCCCGTCTGGGTTACCTATGGCGTTGATCCGGTGAACAACTGAGACTAAGACGCCATGTGATGCTGTGGAACAACAGAACGATTAGCTTTCTCACGTTTTTCTCCGGCGATGCGATTCTCGGTCTCCCTTGTAGACACAAGAAGTGTCAACTCTAACAGTTGACACCGGTTGGCTCGAAGAGTTCACCAGAAGTCCAAGTTCTCACGGTGCAGATCGCATCACCGCAAATATCCGAAAAAGGAAGTTGAAGGCCCTCAACCGTTTGTGGTTGCGGACTTCCCTGTCACCCTATGCAAGCGAGCGTGCGACTCGGCCAAGGCAGGCGGGGTTGAAGAATTGCCTTCCCCAGATTGTAGCTTATGGGTTCCAACTCACCCTAAGGTATTCTCCCAGTCGAATCCAGGCATCTACCGTGCCCCTGATGCGGTTCACAGTCGAACTGACCCTCAAAAAGGATATTACCTGGTAAGCTCATTGGCGCGGTTCCAGGTTGCTTTTCGATCCACCACAGCCGGGTGGATCTTCTCTAATGCGGGGTGACCCACTCACCATGTCCCTGTTCTCCGCAATTGAGCTTGCCTCCTCGAAGATAGCTTGGAGGTAGCAAGGAGCGGGAGAACTGTGAGCTTCTAGCATGGCCAGCATCCCCAAAGCAATATGATGAAACGGAGATATCCATCCTGTTTTTTCATGATGTACTGATATGTCTAGATATATGTGTGTACAGGTATCTATCGTTGTAGCCCCAGACAAACCGAGGACGAGACCCCATACCTTGGTACCTAGGTAGGAATGCACACTCTGATGGCTAAAAGCTGTACAGTGGCATTCAACGGCTGGACATCCATGGCAGAACCAAGCGCAAGTCAATTCCAATCTGCAATCGCACAAACCACAACCCCAACATGTCATTTACATGCAAGTCTACCGAGCCCTGGCGAGCCGCAAATGGAGGGGACACCATTCCACATTTGACATAGCCTTCGGATATTCTTCTCATGCCCCTCATGCTCATGCGTCAATCAGGTTCTCCTCATCCTGCGCCGTGTCCCGTGTATCCTTGGTCGGCGCCTTGCCCTTACCCTTCCGGTCTGCTGCTGACCTATGGTAGAACTCGTCGATGATCTTGGCGGGGATACGGTTAAGCATGTCCTTGCGGAAGATGCGCAGCAGACTCCACGCCAGATCCAGCGACTCAAAAATCGTCCGCGACTCGTATGGACCCTGGCTGATGAAGTTGCGCTCAAACTTGTCAAGGAACTCGAGCGAAAGCTTGTCCTCGGCCGACAGTGCCTCTTCACCAACGACAGCCTTCATGGCGGCGGCATCCCTGCCGATGGCGTACTTCGCGTACAGCTGGTTGGACACGTCTCCGTGGTCCTTCCGTGTCATACCCTCGCCGATGGCGGACTTCATGAGACGGGACAGAGACGGCAGCACATTGATCGGAGGATAGATACCGCGGTTGTGCAAGCCACGGTCGACGAAGATTTGCCCCTCAGTGATATAACCTGTCAGGTCGGGAATTGGGTGCGTAATGTCATCGTTGGGCATGGTAAGGATAGGAATCTGGGTGATGGACCCGTTTCGGCCCTCCACGCGGCCAGCACGTTCGTAGATGGTGGACAAATCCGTGTACATGTAACCGGGAAAACCGCGGCGGCCGGGGACTTCTTCGCGGGCGGACGAGACCTCACGGAGGGCATCGCAGTAGGAAGAGAGGTCAGTGAGGATGACCAAGACGTGCTTCTCGAGCTGATAGGCGTAGTACTCGGCGGTTGTAAGGGCAAGGCGGGGTGTGATAATACGCTCGATGCTGTCGGCTCGTCAGCAAACAACGTTGCAAGGAGAGACTGTTCTAAAACTTACGTCGGATCGTTGGCAAGGTTGAGGAACAGCGTGGTCCGCTCCAAGCTACCGTTCTCCTCGAAATCTCGCGTGAAGAAACGGGCGGTTTCCAGATTGACACCCATGGCGGCGAACACAATAGAGAAGTTCTCCTCGTGGCCATCATGGACGCCCTTGTTTGTCACACCCTCTCTCTGAACCAAACCGGCTTGCCGGCAAATCTGGGCGGCGATTTCGTTGTGTGGGAGACCGGCGGCCGAGAAGATCGGAATCTTTTGGCCGCGAGCAATGGAGTTCATGGTGTCGATAGCCGAGATACCAGTCGAGATCATCTCCTCCGGATAGACCTATCCCCCCTTTTAGTATCACAGCCTCACGCATGGGGTAGGAATCCCTACTCTTGAATAGGGGTTGATCGGACTGCCGTTGATGTCCAAAAACTCCTCGGCCAGCACCTTAGGTCCCTTGTCGATCGCACGTCCTGACCCATCGAAGATGCGGCCTAGCATGTCTTCCGAGACGCCGAGCTTCAGGCTGTCCCCCGTGAACTCGACCCGTGTCTTTTCCATCATCAGCTGCTTGTCCGTCGCATAACTCCAGTTTCCGCCTCACCTTCTTCACATCGATGCCCGTAGTGCCCTCGAAGACCTGGATATTCGGTCAGCGATCCGGCGATCCTCCCTCTGCTGGGAACATCAGGTTGGCGGGTTTACCTGCACGATCGCTCTGTCTCCTATGCTAGCTGTCAGCGACCGCACAACAAAGTATCGTGAAACTTAGCAGCGTACCTCGAGCCTCTAGAACCTGACCCGCGCGCTGTGTTCCGTCGGGGAGCGTAAGTGTGACGATTTCGCTGTACTTCGGGCATTTGACCTGGAGATTCAATTAGAGCAAAGCGCGCTGATAGGACTGGACCATAGAAGGCTAACATTCTCGAGGACAACGAGCGGACCGTTTACACCACCAACAGTGTTGTAACGGATCCTCGGCGTCACCCGGTACGATGACGGCTCTCGCGGGTCACCCATCGCGGATGCTGGATTCGGGCTATTTCAGGGAACTTGAAGGAAATTATCGACGAATGGAACGGTACAGACTAAGAGGCAATGTGAAAGCCACAAGTCAAACGAGGCCGCGGTGAGGGTTGAATAATGGAGAGCTGCCGCAAGATGCAGTCGTGAGCTCGGCGTCGGGTTGTCGACAACCAAGGCCAAGGTCCCCTGCTCCCAGTCGTTTGAGCCCCGCAGTCGTATTCCGGCGGCGGCACAGCCACTGCTACAAAACCAACAGAACCAGAGATGCGGCGTCGTATGTTCCTAATCAAGGCCTAAATCTGAATCTAGCTACAGACAATTAGTTGTTTGTCGATATTTTGACCTGGGATCAAAGCGCATTCCCCATTTAGTCCAGGTTTCTATGTACCGATGCTTTGGCATGACGATAAATGGGGGTACGTACCTTAGGTACAACTGGCTATCGCGCCTCAAAGACCCCACACCAACATGGAAGCTCCAACTGTGGCGGTGCTCGGCTGTTGATCTATGATGCTCGCGGCAGGCAAGATGGGAAACTTCCTCTTCCAAGCTTCAAGTGTCTTCTTGCAACACCATTTCACGGCCCTCACACCACCGCCCACCTCCCGCAACATCAAACATATGACGATCGGCTCCCCTCCTTGAACATTGCATCGAAGGCATTGGTGCAGGATCTTAAAGCCGCCAAAATGTCATCGATCTACAATCTCGAGCCGCAACCGACGGCATCGGCTATTATTCACACAACGCAAGGCGAGATCGCAGTCGAGCTATTCGCGAAGCAAACACCCTTGACGTGTCGCAACTTCTTGCAACTTAGTCTGGACGGATACTACGACAATATCATCTTCCACCGCCTCGTACCCGGCTTCATTCTTCAGGGCGGCGATCCGACCGGTACCGGCCATGGAGGAGAGTCGATCTACGATGGAGGCGCATTCAGCGGAGACCTGGATCCGTGGCCAATGGACCAACGTAAGGGACACAATGCAGGACCCATGGGGGTGAACTTCAAAGATGAGTTTCATTCGCGGTTGAAGTTCAATCGCCGGGGGCTCCTCGGCATGGCAAACGAGGGCACCCCGGATACGAACGGCAGCCAGTTCTTCTTCACATTAGGCAAAGCGGAAGAGTTAACGGGCAAAAATACGCTTTTCGGCCGAGTAGCTGGCGACACCATATACAATCTGGCTAAGATGGGCGAGGCCGAGGTCGCAGAGGGTACCGAGCGGCCCCTGTACCCTGTAAAAATCACACACATCGAGATCCTTATCAACCCTTTCCCTGATATGAAGAAACGAGAGAGGAAAGTCCGACAGGAGGTGCCTAGGTCTACCCCAGCAGAGACAAAGCAGAAGAAGAGGAAAGGGGTGAAGCAGTTATTGAGCTTTGGGGACGAAGAGGGCGATGCTGAGGAGCTCCCAGTCATCAAGAAGCCCAAGTTTGACACGAGAATTGTGATGGATGTTGATGAAGAACCGGCTCACAAAGCCATGCCGGTCAGAGCGTCTGTCAAGGAAGAAAAGAAACTACTAGACAAGGAAGTCCGTGTTCCTGAACAACACCCGACAGAAAGCCGGCGCACCTCAGACACACCGGAACCAATGCCGGCGAATAAGTTGAAACAACCGCCACCGTCCAAGATACAGCCCAGCGCAAGATCTAGCCCTGAGGTTGAGGAGACGCCCAAAAAGACCCTCCTAGAACGAACCAACGAGGAGATTGCCGCGGTAAAGGCAGCCATGAAGCGGACAATCCATGCAGAGCCGGTCAAAGAGGAGAAGAAGAAAGTATCGACCCTCGAGTCGATGGTACCAGAGACAGCAGTCCGTGGGCGGAAACGGCGGCCTAAAGGCAACAGTACCTTGACGAGGGAGGAGCAAGAAGCTTTGGACATTCTGAGGAGTTTCAAGTCAAAGTTGGAGCAGGCCCCGCCCGAGACGAAGGCCGTCCAGCCACCTGTGGACGAAAGCGAGGAGAATGGTGACCAGGTCGAGGAGGGAGAGGTGTGCGACCTACACTTCATTGCCAATTGCCAGAGCTGCCGGGCATGGGATAAAGAGGAGAAGGATGAGAGCGGTGACGAAGGGTGGATGTCTCACACACTAAGTTTCACAGCCGACAAGCTTGGCAAAGACCTCAGCTACCGGAAGAAGGCCGAAGAGGAGTTGGTCGTTATCGACCCGCTTGAGAAAGCCAGGACCCTCCAGGAGGAGAAGAAGGCAGCTAGAGACGCGCGTGCAGGCGGCTCCTCTCGAGCTTGGGACAGAGATCGGGATCGCGACCGGAACCGTGACCGGGATAGGGTTCCTGATGGGAACAGGAGAGGCCGCTGAGACGGAAGCTCAAGGACGCCTGGCGGAGTTGAGATCGCCGTTCTCCCTGTACGGTAGTTGTTACAAAAGGTACGTTTCTGAGATACCCCAGTCTGTCGTTTTAGGTAAAACCTGGGGTACTACTAGTAGTGCACCTGGCCCATATCCCGCAGCTGCTGGCAGTCTTAGTAATGAAGAACCCCGTGCATGTGATTTTACAGTGTTCGGAGAATTCGCTCCGCCTCCGCGGCAAACAATTCGGGATCGCCATACAGACTACCGGGCTACCCGTAGACGTCCCGTCGAACTGATCACCAGACACTGTGGTAAGAACAGGTCCCCTTTTTAGGCTCTTGAAATCCCTAGCATGTGGTGGAGCCTACCTGAGTCCTGGGAGCCGAAGCTGGGCTCAGGGGTCGACACTGGCATGCCTTCGTAAGGTCCCGAACAGCTCTCTTGTGATTTGTGAGATCATCTCAAGTGCATATACAATTTAATTCGCCCGATTGAGGGAGTCGTAGAGGTTCTGATGTTATTCTGATGTTAATGTTATCGCCGAGACCCCGTTAGTGGGGTCGTTATCATACGGTAGGTGATTGGCTTGCCAAGCGAAAAAACGTTGTCCACTTCAAGATCCATCGCATCAAGTGGAAAAGCGAACCTTCCATCCAATGTTGCTGTCGTCAACCTGGCAACATCAACTTGAACTGACAATTCCTACCCATCACCCACGCGGCGGATCGAGAGCTTCACCGACCGGCCTTCTGCGCCAGAGCCACCGCTCCATTTACCGCCCGCCTAACCTACTAACAAAGGCCCCCGCGCCTAGATTCATCGGCCAACCGGGAACAATCCGGGGCGAAACACGGCGCTCCGACTTTCTGGCGCGTATTGTTCAGGTCGCTTCGAGCACCCAGCGGCGCCCATTGAGCAATCCTATTATATGAGACAGCCGGCACCAATCTCTTGGATACCGCCCCACGGTCAAAGAACGACTACCTACCTTAACTCTTGTGCGAGGATACCTCTACGCCACCACCGGGTCTCTTAACCAAGAACAGAGGTGTCGCGCGAACCACTGGATACTTTGAGCTACGCCCTTGCTGCCTGGCTGACACAAACATAACCTTTGACCGATCGTTCCCGTGCGCATCAAGGTGTGTTGCCGGGCTATATATCGTCTGCAGCTGCCCCGCATCGCTCTAACTAGAACCGTCTCTCTTCCTGTTATCAGCAAGTGCGGGTCCTAACCGCTTCCAGACGACTTTCTTCTTTTAGGAAGCGGAACCAAAGCTTCTCGCGCGAGACATACAAGGATACGCCGGACCCTCGACGCAGCAACCACGAGTGATCGTCTCCTCCCAATCCACCCATTCCATCCCCATTCCACCGGGTCGGCGCAAGTCGGGCCCAGCTGGTGAAGCATACGCTCGCCAGTGTTATGTCGTCCAACCCTCGGAAACGACCTGCTGCAGGCGTTACTCCGATAGTTCCCATTCCTCAGATGTCGCCATCGTACTCTCCGGTCCAAACCGATCAGCTGTTCAGGTGGAACGGTATGGACGGCAACGGCTTCGTCGATCCCGGAACTCCCGATGTGAACGCCTACGCAATGCTGCCAACATCGACTTCGTACGGGCAGACAGTCCCCGCGCCTTCCACGGCCCTCGCACGGCGACAGAATAGCCGGGTCCTCGTTCCTACAGCACCTAGGACGCCCTTCAACGGTGGAGCAGACAGCTGGAACGGATACGGCGAAGATCATGGCTATTTGCAACCAGCGAACGCGACCATGGACGAGCAAGACAACATTGAACGGCTGGAGGAGATGGCAGCGCGAGCAAAACGGGAGGCGCAGGCGAAGAGGAAGCAGATACCCCCCTTTGTTCAGAAGCTTAGCAGGTTCGATCTCACACCCCTTGTCCCTTCCACCTTTTTGCGGGCAATGCGCTGACCAAATATAGCTTTTTGGATGAGTCTAGGAACACTGACCTGATCCGCTGGTCTGATAAGGGGGATTCGTTCATTGTTCTTGATGAGGATGAGTTTGCCAAGACATTGATCCCCGAACTCTTCAAACACAATAACTATGCCTCGTTCGTGCGCCAGCTGAACATGTATGGTTTCCACAAGCGCGTGGGGCTCTCCGACAACTCCATGAAGGCCAGTGAGAGAAAGAACAAGAGCCCAAGCGAATATTACAACCCGTACTTCCGCCGCGGCCATCCCAACTTGCTGTGGTTGATCAACAAGCCCAAGAGCGGCAGCAAGAAGAAGGGGAAGAAGGATGAAGGCGATGTGGAAAGTGAAGAAGACGGTGTTGAAGAGACGTACAACGGAGAAAACGTGGGTGGTTCCCAGTCCGGGCGAGGCCCGGTCTCCCACGATCTTGGTCCCCTGCAAAAGAAGGATCTGATGCAGGTCAAGGCCCAGATCGAGAGGATTCAGCAGCAGCAGGTTGCTATTTCCAACATGCTGAACAAGATGCGCCAAGATCAAAATCAACTCTACCAGCAGGCCATCCTATTCCAGAACATGCACGAGCGCCACGAAAACTCCATCAATGCCATCCTCAACTTCTTGGCCAATGTGTTTCGGAAGTCGCTGGAAGAGCAGGGTGGCACGCAGACCGTCCAAGACCTCCTCGCTAGCATAATTCCGAACTCGCAAGCTCATGCTCAAGCTCAAATATCTCCGACAGGCGGAGTCGTTGACCTCGGTGGTTTCGTCAACCCCGGGCAGCGGCCCCAGGCTGTCGCCGCTGTAGGCACTCCAAAGCGGCAGCAACGCCTGCTGCCTCCGATCCCACTTCATCAACCGAACAAGGCATCATCGTTTTCTTCATCGACCGCGATGACGCCAACACCTCCACCGGCAACTCACGCGCCCCGCGTGGGGACGGTTACAGAGCTATTCGACACCTCGCCTTCCGCGGACCCCACATCCCCAGCCTACATTAAGAAAGAGCTGCGGACCAATCCTCAGGAGGGCATGATGAAGATCATTCAAGACACCAACGCGGTCAATAGCGGCGCGGGACTCGACTTACCCGGTATGGCCGCCAAGACCGCTCCCAGCATGAGTGACAACCAGCGCGCACAGATGCTCAACATCATGGCCGGTAGCAATCCTGCTGTGCCCCCTGTGACAACCAGCCCCGTCGCCCCAGTGAATCCCCAAACGGCGGCTTCCATTCCAGCCGCAAACCTTGCGCTCTCCCCTAGCTTGTCCTCGCTCCGAATGCCATCCCTGCAGGAGATGCAAACCACCCAAGCCGAGCTCGACGCCCTACAGCAGTTATCAAAAGAACAGGCAAACCAGATCGACGCGCTCACCCAGCTGCTTGGCCCGCTCAGCCCCTCGGGCCGCATCCCCGGCGTCGACGAACACGGCAACCCCAATCACAGCTACTTTGACAATGTCGACTACGACCAGTTCATCAACACTAATGCGTTCTCGGACGGCAACTATGAGGGTGCAGACCTGAACGGAGTGGGTGGCGTGCCCGGCACCGGTACGGACGGGGCGGATTTCAACTTTAGTCTGGATGGAACCACTGCCGATTACGTTCCCGGTGCCGCGGAGGCCATTGCCGGTGGTTCCAGCACTACCGGGCTGACCGGAGACAGCTCCAGTTCCGGACCGGCGTCGAACAACCCGCCTAGCCCGTCTGGTACGGAAGAGATCACCAGGGCGGAATTTGAGAGCCCTGAGCGCGGGAACAAGCGCAGGAGGAAGGGCTAAGCCGTTTTGAAGCACGCCTCTGTGCCATCGCGGACACCGACTGTAGCCAGAACGTCTCTTCTCCGTCTACGGCTGCCATGGACAACACGGCGTTCGTAGTGCGGACGTCGCAAGAACGAAGGGTTGGCCTGATCATGTTACTTTGATTTCTTGTCTCCTCTCCCTAATTTCCCTCTAGTACTTCATTTCTCCTTTCGGGGCTGGTTGCTTTACTTCGTTACTGAGCAAGAGGGATCGATGTTGGCTGGGTAGCCGGGGCGGGTGGCTGATGTGGTGATGGTTGGCGACATTACACTGGCACACTTTACATATCTCCCTCCTTTATGTGTCTGTGAATCACATTTCATATGGAGAACAGTCTGCGGCTGGATTAGGCCGTCTTTCAAGGGCTAAGGGGAAGGTTGGGGTCGGGCTTTTGGTGCATTGCATCGATCGAGTTGATGGCTAGAAGGGTGATCTCACTGGCTTGTTCTCTTAGAAGCGCAGGAAGAATACAATGCGACGACGTGATGACGAGATTCAGTGGGCTTTCGATGGTCTGCGCATCCTAAAGGTCTAGTTCGTGACCACAACGACTTACCAGTGAAAGTACAAGCACGTCGCCCGGACAGCGCCTTATCTCGGGATAGAGTAAGACGCCAACCCTCTATGCCTTGCGGTCGACTAAAGCGCCGCGCAGCTGATTAGCCAGCCGTTGCCCCTCTGTATTGGACTAGCCACATCTCTGGATGTTCCGAGTGCGACGGGCATGTCCGGCTGACCCTGGCGAGCAATGCCGCTCTCTGGCATCACTGCGGCCCGCACCTCCGCCTGTGCGCATGGCTTCCACCCTTGCCTCCCCCACCATCCACACGGCGTTCTGACTCGGCATGCTTGGTAGCTTTATGTAGAAAGCGTGTAGCGACCAATCTAACTTGGCGTCGGGAGTATCGGCTTCTGCTTGCTTTTGTCGCGTCCTCCCCTGCGCATCACTTCGCCAGGGGATTCGCATGGACGGTAACCCTCTCGATCCGCACCTCCTCCGTCGGCCTGTGCTTCTTGTCCACCTCGAGCGCCTCGATCTTGGCCAGCGTTGCGAGGCTCTCGTCCCCGAGCAGTTTCCCAAACACGGTGTTCAGTCCGTCGAGGTGCGGCGCGGGGCCGAAGGTGATGAAGAACTGGCTGCCGTTGGTGTTGGGCCCCTTGTTGGCCATGCTGACCACGCCGCGCTCGTGGTGGCGCAGGCCGGGCCGGATCTCGTCCTCGAAGGTCGGCCCGTAGATGGAGCGCCCGCCCTTGGGGTTGTCGGGTGGGTTGGGGTGCGCAGGCGCGCCCGTCTGCACCATGAAGGAGGGGATCAGGCGGTGGAAGGGCGAGCCATCGTAGTAGGAGGACGCGCATAGGGCGAGGAAGTTCTAAGCCGGGGCCGAGGTTTCTGGTGGTTAGTGTGGGTTTATTTGCGCGCGAAGGAAGCGAGGTAGATAAGTAAGTAGTAGCTTACCTCGGCGGTCTTGGGGACACTCTCACAGAAGACTTCAATCTTAAGGTCTCCGTGCGTGGTGTGGAGTGTTACCGACATGGTGGCGCTGTTGTGCGATGACTACTCGTGCTGATATGGGTGGTCCTTTATCATTGTTTTGTTGACGATTCAAACGAAACGATCTCAGGAGCAAGGTTCTAGACTTTAGCCAAGGAGCGTTGACATCAGCGTGGAGCTTGGCATGAACCACCAAGAAGCTATTACCTTTTCTTGCAAGTGGCCCCTGCTCCACGGCGGAGAGAACTGCCCGCATCCCGGCCCGGCGTTGTGTTTTCAGGCACAAGAACCTCAAGGCCATGTTACACTTGACGTTAAATACCAGATATCTGGGTCTTACTCTGCTTCTGACATTCCTGTAGCTGCGGGGTCGATAATAGTTAGCAAGTTGTGTATTGTACTGTATGTACAGTTATTCCCAAGAGCCGGTGCCAGCTGAACTATTCCCGTCGGTAAGGTAGCCCTGGTATGCTGGGGCCTTGCATACAACAAACGCCAACACAGGAGTCCCGTCAGGAGGTCAGGACTGCCACTGGCACCCACCCTCCTTTCCAACAACAGCGGCATGGGCATTCCAGGCTGTTCAGCCAGTGTCCTACCCTGTCTAGCTGGGTGATACTTAGGTAGCTGCTTTTTCGTCATATATCCTTCCCGTAGAAATTCCAGTTACCTATCCAGGGCTCGGCGAGTCCGAAGTGCTAGGCTGAGGTTGATAAACACAACCTGAAGACATTGAAGAGGGAAGTCTTGTGTAACTTGAACAGCACAGTTGCGTTGCATACGTACGGATTAGAACCTATGTACATGTATGTACCTACTAGTAGTAGTAAGACGATCCAATCCCGGTGCACTACCCACGCCCGAATTCGACAGCCACAAAGACCTCGGCGGCTCGAGGATCATTTCCATTCGGCCCCATACCCCCGCCATTTCCCATTTCCGTCCCGTCGAGCTCCTAACGAACACCGCCCGGCAATCCGAGCGCAGTGCGTAAGACGGAAGCGGATCCACAACATTCAATTGTTCGAGGACGAACACTCAAAATCGGCGCCTTCTGCATCGGTCGCGAACCCCTCAGTATCGCCTCGGCGGGATGCCAATGTGATGCCGATGCCCACGCAGCTGCAACTGCCCTTATCGATACAGCGCCGGCAGCATCCTACGAGTACCCAGGGACCCCTCATCCCGGATCAACCGCTTCGCGCTCCTTTCAGCCCTAGCACCGGGGCCCGGCCTCAGCTCAGTGGGCGACCCCGTCCTTCATGACCGGCGACGGCCGTTGCGCCCGCCTCAACGACGCCAACGACAACAACCTACCTCCAAAATCGCCCTGCCCTGATTGAGCCACCGGCAATCGCCGTTCCGGCGCCAACTCCAGAATGAATGTAGCAAATGTTCCTGCGACCGTTAGGATATCCGGCCCACCGAACAGCAGTTTCCTGGTGGGCTACCCCGGCATCTCGGCGACTCTGGTAGGTTTCCTTCTTACGATTGCTCCCCAGAATCGCATGGAGGATCTCATCAGCCCGGGGGTCCGGCGCGCATGTGCGCCGTCGCGAATGCCTGGTTTCGCTGCTCGTGCTGACTCCAATGCTCTCAGCCCAGAATTGTCGGCAAGGTCGAAATCCGCCCCGGCGCAGGCTTCTCAGCCGCGGTGAACATTTCGATGGTGCGCATCTGTCTCCAGCGCCGAGAGACGATACACCCGGCGGCCGAAAATGTTGCGAAACGACACCTAGGGACGCCGCGGCGCGAGACGGCGGATCTGGTGGGGAAGGAGGTGCTTCTCTTTCGATGTGTATCAGGGAAGGAGGCGGAGAGCGTGATTGCCATGGACCTACCATTCCAGATATTTATACCCTTTGGGCGCGGGGGTGAAGAGACAAACCGCCGGATCCCGCCTGCGAGCTTGCAACTCCCCAGTCGAATCGCCGAGACGTATTACGAGCTCGTGGTCACGGTTCAGCAAGGGTCCAGCATGCAGAATCGATACAGCTTCCCCATCCCTCTTCAGCGGTACGACACGCTCTCGACGTTCGGCATGTACAACCGCCCGGAGACCCGGGTGGCCACGGCAGACCACATTGTGAACTTGGGCATATCGCTCCCGAAATGGAGTTATGGACCATTGGACCCCATTACGGTCTATGTCAAGCTCTCGCCAAATCCGGACTATCTGAACAAGGCGAAGAGGGTGACAATACAGAAGATTACGCTCACCATCGAAGAGGAGATTACGTTCAATCCGGAAGGGGACGAGCCGACAAAGAAGATCAACAAAATCGCGAAACACACGCAGACGGTGGGGACGAAGATGCCTGAGACCGGATACATTACGAACCTAGGGCTCGTGCTGCCTGCGCGGGACCTCCGGGATCCGGATGGCATAATAAAAAGGGGTAAGCCGGCATTTCCGATGTACGAGGTTACGAGCTTCACGACAACATCAACGCTCTATAAGATCGAGTTCTTTCTGAGTATCAAGGTAAGACGTCTAGTCTCAGGACAACAGTTGCTTTGTTGAGCGCTCTTTCTTACGTGAATTTTAGGCGCACATGACGTCAGCTCGGGATATCACATTACGCCAGCCGATCGTAGTGTGCCCATTGGATCAGCAAGCTTGCAAGGAGGAGATGGATGCCATCGAGCAGGCGGCAAAGGACGCCTCACATGTCGATCCGAACAACCCTATTCTTCCAGACCGGACTATCGTCCTGGCTAGCGAAAGGAACTCGATCCGGCATCTTGGGTTGTGTGAGGTCGGGGGTGTCAAGAAGATGCTAATCGAATGATACCGAGATACCCACGTTATTAGTTAAAAATCGGATAGCCGACACAGCGCACGGCGCCGACCAGGAACGCCTTGCGCATGCAGCAGGAACCACCATTCGCGGCTAAGGAACCTCGACTGTTCCTAACAGCTAGCCGAGTCGAGAGTTTCTTCCCTGACTGAATGTCGAAGGGCGCGCGAATGGATGACGAGCAAACTGGTGGCTGGACATCCAGCAAAGCACCTTTTTGCTGAACGGATTCGTTGGCTACACTAGGTATCGGCAGGCTTTGGGGATTAGCCGACAAAGGGGAGAGTCAAAAATACCCAGCGCCCCGCATCATAGTCATGAATGATGGGAACCGTGCGATTTTGCGGATCTTGGGAGGAGATGATGAAGACGAAGGCAGGAACAACGAGCATGAGGTCACGAACAGAGAATTGAGAAGGATCAGGTTACCCGTTAGAGGACTTGTCTGGGGGTGATGGATGGCCTACAGGAACTGTTTCCAGGCGCTATGGAGGAGTTAGATGCCCCGTCTGGGAGCTCAAGTCATCTACAGATGGCCGGCGTTTCTGTGTAAGGTGTTGTGAGGAATCTTGTGGTGCCAGCGGCCTTGGGACGGTGTTGGGGGTCTTTGCGTGGTTTCCTGCGTGGGAAGCCTGGGGACAGCAGAGCGCTGCGCGTGAGGCATGCCAAATCCATCTAGATGATTATTCCAGAAAACATACTGAGTGGAAAGCCCCATGCGGCGCGATCCTTTCCCCTTTTCCTTCTTCGTGGATCGTCTCCTCAATCTTGATGTCCACCTACCCCCTATTCAAGGGTCTCCCTCTCTCTTTCGCGGTTGTACTGTACAACTTGGCTCCCTTACACCTACCTCCCCTTTCCATGATCTCTTGTCGGCATTTCCATCCTTATCCTTTTCGTCGTCCCGAACGAGCCCCTCCGATGAGGGCTTTCCACTGTCACTGTAGAGAGGTCACTCGCACGCAGAGTCTAGGTACATACAGGGACACATAAGCTGTTTCATGAGGCTTGAAGTCAAGCGAAGTGGTAGACCCAGTATACTGTATGCTTAGAACAACGGACAATGAGCCTACAGTCACCACTCTTCTTCCTATGCCCCTTCTCATCCTGGCTCCCTGTTTCTTCACTTCTTTTGCCAGTATTTCCCATCTGGGTGTCTTCTCCCTCCTTGTAGAATACCCCAGGCCTGATATCTTTCTTATTGTTCCCTTCTTCGTTACTTCTTAATCCAAGAGCCAAGGCATACCTTCGCAATCATCATCCCTGAAGTCGAACCAGCAGACTTGCTCTTCTCCGCACAATTGTGTTCTTGACTGTCTTCCCCAAGGTACCATCTCTATATATACCATCCCAGCGCCAACACTCACCAATGATGATCAAGGTAGTCACACCTCGTCACCGAGTCATGCCATAATAACGTTAAAAGTGCTGGTTTAACTATAATCTGCTTACCTCGCCCAATGGATATCATGCTCCCGTTTGACGTGTTCCAGTACGTACGACCATACCTGGGAGAAAATACGGCATCCCGTCCGCTCTGCCCTAGTCAAGCTCCCAAGGGCCGAATTAGTACTCAGGTCGGTGACGACTGGGGAATCCTCGGTGTTGTACGTTTTTGTTGATTTTTGCTCCATCGTCAGTCTTGGACTCTTGGTGGAGTCGTGATGGGGTCAGTTGCCCGGGACAGTCTCCGGTGATAGTTTACATTACATTCGACACTTGAAAACTCAGGCGTAGGACACTGGGAGAGCCTCCCGGCTTGTAAGACCTCTCTTTTGTTTATCAATATAAATTTCATGGCACTGATCTCATTGACTACCTGGTATCAACGACTTGAACGCACCTCCTTCTGAGTCATCAGAGGCGAGATGCACTTATACGCTAGGATCCAGTACCCAACCCCAACCCTTATCGTAGCGTATCTTCTTACGATCACAACAACTTTCTGAGCATGACGGCCCAATCTCGACCACAGTCCTCACATCGCAGAGACTGAACAACGGCAAACAACGCTGAAACGGCATAAACTTACCATCCCCGGCCGTCCAATTCTCTAGCTGCCAACCAAAACACTAAACATAAAATGTCCTTCCTGGACGACGACGACAACCCCTCCCTCATATCCCCTCCGCATTCCTCCTCCATAACCTCCCAGTCATCCCAAGCGATAGCGCCAGCCTCCTCTCTTCCCCCCGAGGCCGCCACAGATGACTTCACGACAGAGGACCTGATGGAGGAGGAGGGCGCCGCCTCACAAGATTTCCGGGCGTTTGCGGCGTCCCTGCAATTGCAGTCCAAGTCGTCGTCGTCGCAGCAGCAGCGCCACCAATTCCGCAAGACGGCCGGCGTGTCGGCGCAGACAATCCGCAAGGGCGAGAAGGACTTCGAGTCGCATGGCCTGCGGGTGCAGGAGAACGCGCTCGAGCAGAGCCGGGCCGCGATGCACGACGTGCTCAGTTACACGCGGGTGCATCCCGTGGGCCAGAAAGGGGCGGCGTTGGTGAGGGGGTGGTATTTCCCTACTTGGTGGGAGGGGTATTCTGAGGAGGTGATGGAGGAGAAGGAGAAGGAGAAGGAGAAGGAGGGTGGTGGGAAAGATGGGGAGGAGGCCGGAAGGGAGAAGAAGCCATATGGGCATATTAGGGAAAGAGTGGTTGTGCTGGAATGGTCGTCGCCCGCTAGCCACAGTCTTGGGAGGGCGGTGACGGGGCAGGCGAAGGACAGGCCGGCGCGGGGGAAAGATTGGTTGTTGCCCGAAGAGGCGCTGTATTTGGTGGAGAGGGGGTCGTTGGACCTGTGGTGGCCGTTGAAGGGGATTGAGGAGATATTCCCTCCGGAGGGGATGGCAGTGGAAGAAGAGGCAGAAGAGGCGGATGAGTACGAAATGGGATTCCCGCTGAGCCTCCAAGCTGCTTACGCCCTCCTTATCGGAAACGACGGCGAACGCGGCAAGATCAGCCTGCAAAAGTTTCAAGTCTACTCCAACCTCAAGCGATGCGGCTACAACGTCCTCCGGGCGCCGCCCGTTTCCAGACAGCCAACGCCTCCCACGAGAATGCCAATAACGACCACTCTCTGGCAATGGTTTAGCACCCTCCTCACCACCTCGCCTCAGCACCTCCCCTACGGTCCGCTCGTCCAACCGGGCCTCTACCGCTCTTACGCCTCCATCTACCGCCAAATGGCCCTCCTTCCACGCCATAAACCCTCCACTTCGAGCCAGCAAACAATCACCACAGCCGAACCATTCACGATCCACTTCCACATCTGGAAGGCCGCGCAGAAATGGACCAAACTGCGGCACCCGCCGCCGGATTTCCGGCTCGCCGTCGTCGACGCCCAGCAGTCCGCCGTGCCTTCCCTCTCCGAGATATCCGCCTTGCTCGCGGCGACCCCGCCCGCGCCGGGCAAGCCGGAGTGGACGGGACACCCCGGCCGGCTGTACGCGCGACTCAAGCACGGGCACCGCAACGTGCTGGTGGCGGTTGTAGACCACGGGGTAATCAACTACATGCGCTGTGCGGAGGCGGCGTTTGGGCTGGAGGAGCTGTACGCGCGGTTTGATGCGCCTAGAGGTGCTGGGAGAAAGACTGGTGGCGGTAGGAATGGGAACGGCGGGCGCGGAGGGAGAGGGGGTGGACGGGGACGGGGACGGGGGAGGTAAACGGATAACCTAGAGAGCAAGTAGGCGTTCTGCACAATACATGACCGGGGAGGATCAAAGGTCATTCGGGATGAGACACATATGTAGAAACAGGTTGGCGTTGCATTTGGCAAATACAATGAGACGATACCCCCGCGGTTGGTTGGCCAACAGTTAGTTGATCGCTAATTACTGACCTGGTATGTATTCCGCTCCCTGACTCCCAACATGTCATTGTGCGATATGAGGTATCCGTATGTATGTACTGTACTATCCGATACGAGGACTTGGGGCATACGCCCCTCTGTAAGATTGTCCTAGTGTACGTGACACACATTCAACTCTGGTTGCACAAATTGCCATGGATCAATCGGGAGGCACCAGAGCAGCTCGCCTCGTGTGATAACGCTATCCGGTCGCTAGTTGACGGAATTGTTGCATAGGTACTCTGAAGCTGAGCTGGGGCGAGGTTTTATTGTGAGATGCTTATTGCTTTGGTCATCAATATCCGTAACGTATCCGTACCTATGCCTCGAACTTTGCTGCATGGAAGACTCGGTGTCATTGCTCGGCTCACTGCCCGTGGTGAGACGGATTTCCTTGTTGGACTGGTGGCGCATATTCTGGGATGACACAGACCGGCGGGGACAGTTGCGAGAGCGGCATCCCTACCTAAGGTACAATACCAAAGTAGTAGTTTTCTCTTATATAGGACTTTCGACACGACTAGCTAACAAAGAACAACCAAACGTCCGGGGGCATAATGCACACTTGTGGCAAGTCATGACTGTGCTCAACCCGCATTCGAGTCTTTTGAAAGGACGAGTCCCAATCTTCTTGTGGAATGGTGGGTTGCTTTCTGGCGTTACACTGGGTACTAAGCTTTGCAGGATCACCCCATTGTCGTAGCCCCTGTCGCCACTCCATATGAACCGCGCGCTCAGAAGTCCCCGCCAGCATGAATACATGTAAAGTTCCTAGCAGTTTCGCCTTCAACGATACCTATGCTATCACTGAAGTGCCTTTCCCGTGGGTTCCTATATTGGACTCCCTGAATACTCACGCTCAGTGTTAGGAAGATACCAAGTCGTGATACGGCATCACCTCGATGGGGGTTTCTCGCAATTTGTGCTGTAGGTAAGGTAGATCTCACGATTTAGGCTGGCCTTTTGAGTTCCGAAGAGTGACCAGCCAATGGCGTTTCCGTATGTGGGGAAGTTCATTCTGCAACTCTCGGCCGCGACAAGCGTCAGGTCTGATCCGTGATCCATGTGGCTGAGATGGAGAGATGGGGGTAACTTCAATGTCGGCGTATTCATTATTGTTAATGATCTTTCAACAGGTTGATGACCCGCGGCCGTAAGACCTCTTGAGACGTTGAGAGATCCGAGGGGTCTTTTGAAAATCAAGTCCGAGTCTTCAAAAGGTCATAGAACCCTGACTATGTTTTTCAGCCCGCTTCTGCCCTTCCATGCTCCAGCTCGTTGGGTACGATCAGCACGATGTTCCATCAGCGTGATGCAGGACTCCCCGCGCTACACGAGATACATTTATTATTACCGTAGACCGTATTTCAGATGATTGAACCCAGACCGGTCATGCGTGAAAGCTCCCATCCCTCGTGGGGACGCAAATGTTTGGGCGAGAAGGGTACTTAAGTACATTAAGAACAGGTAAACCCACAATAGTCTTCATTCTCGACCATGTTCGTGTCCAAGTCCCAATGGTCTTGTCAATTTAGTACCCCTGGGTGGAAGAATGGGAACTTGTAAGCACTTGGCATTCGGCCGAGTTCCCTCATGAGACTGCAGTGGTGCAATCTAGCTGAACACTTGTCGTCCCGTCATCCTCCGGTACATAACGTTAGTGTAATGTACATACCTAGGTACTCATAACGTGTACCCTCGAGTCTTACTAACACCCCAGTCGAGACTCTAGCAAATGACCCTGTTGTCCTTGGTTTCAACTGCTCCTATCTACCTTATCCACCCGCGCCAGTTCACCTTCCCTCCTACTGCACTTTCTCTTACAACTCATTTCATCCGTCCCTTCTCAGGACTTCTATTCCGACACACCGTCTCACTTTCCCATGCAAAGCACATAACCCTAGCGCTTTACAAAACACAACAGCAGCAACAACAACAACAACAACAACAACAACAACAACAACAACAACAACAACAATAACAACAAACAACAACAACACACAAGATCCTATGTTTTGAGACACTTGTTGTCTAGAACACGAAGACACCCGCATAATCTAAACAATTTGCAACTCGTCCTCGCCAGCGAAACGTCGAGCTTCATCCCATCGTTAAGTCTGTGAATCTTCCACGATGGTTTGAACCTTGCGCGCGAGCCTGTGAACACGAAGCGCCTAGAGGTAGTCTAGGCTGTTGCGGGTGGCCTTTGCCTGGCAATCATCACAAAAGTGCCAAGACTTCTACAACTTCCAGCGTCTCCAACTTCGAGAGTCTATTTGCGTTGGGCTGTTGACTGGTTTGAGTAAGCGCATCCCGCCCAGCTATGCAGTCGAGCTCTGTTTCCCTTCTTGTCTTTTGGCAACCTATCCCATTGCCTCGTCTTATCGGGGTCACAAGCTGCGTTTTATGTCTTAAAGTTGCCCCTGCCTCTCCCAATTCTCTATATGATTACCTAAGGTGCGTTAGGTACACACTTCCATGCCAACTCAACTTAAAACAAGTTTAACTGCTTCAGGCTTCATTGCCACTTTCATTTTCTCCTATATTCAAGTACTACGTAACTCACACCATCTCAAGGCTAACAGGTGTATAGACTCGAGATTAGTGTCTAAAGCCCAATGGCGACGAGCATCACCGACAACATGGACATGGGCTCTGTGACCGAGCCCGTTAAAGCGGATGTCAAGCCGCCCTCGGGTGAACCGTTAACCTCTCCGGCCGAGTCCAAGGCTGATGACAAGGACAATAAGGAGTGAGTGCATGCTCTGTTCACATGATCTATACTATAACAGAACTTGATTCAGGGCTCCACGACAGGCTGCTGTTATGGAAGAGAGTACCCGAAAGCTCGGCGTTGAGTGTATTAGTGTGTACCCTCGACCAGTCTTGCTGCGATGTTTGTCTCTTTCTGCCCCTTTCAGGTATTTTGTTGCGCTCCTCACATCCTCAGCGCGAATCCCTTAGCTGGTGTCCAAGAACTACTGCACTCGCAGCTACTGGGCAAGTCGCCTGTGTCGTGCCGGCTCATAGTTGCTGTGGCCTTCCGTGAATACCCTCTCTCGCTACCCCTTACCTGTCATATCTACATCCGTCTCTTCGAGTGCCTCAGAGTGCGATGGCTGTTAAGGGCTAAGCTGGGAGCCACATCCAGGTCCTTGATGCCACGGTCCCATCCCAAGAGGTTCGTTCAAGTTGTTCACCCTCCTCTAAGTGACCCGGAGTGCCCGCTTCTCCGGAAACATCCCCGTCCGTTCTGGTCCGCATGATTGGCCGCCGTTATCCCTCGTGTTTTCCTTCTTCCTCCTTGAGCTTCAAGAAATCCGCTCGCCCCTCGTTACCCCTTGCTCCTTGCCCTTGCGAGTTCTTCTGAAGAGTTTTTCCTTCACACCGGTCACGACTTTGTCAAACAATCCAGAGCTTCTTTCAAAATTCAAAGTCAAAATTCCGAAACTTCAAGGAGCTGACAAGCAAGCGTGGTCAGAGGCACAGAGACAGAGATGGCCCCCCGATCCGAAGCCCAAGAGGTGTTTGCAGCCGAGAGGTGAGTAGCCCTTTGTTGCATTCTGGCACCGACCAGAGCTCGTTTCCTTTCGACGCCATCAATCTCAGTCGGCTGGGCTTCCTTCATGGGCTGTACGAGTCGTTTCCCTATTGATGATGAGAGATACTGATCGTCATGAAACCATTCAGCATTCCGAACTCTGAGCCGGGTGTTGGCAGTCCCCAAGACAGACCTACTTCGGCTGGAACTGCTACCCCGTCGAGTGGTGGCGACTCATCTCAACTGTAAGTTATATTGTGACCCAGTTCCTGAGCCGTTGCTCCTTTTGGAGCCGGTGGCCAACGCCTTCCTCCCAGCGCCAGTGGCAACAAAGAGATAGGCAACTCGGTCAAACCCCACGAGAAGAACAACTTGAAGTGGGGCAATAGCGAGACAGACAGCGAGGCCCAGGAGGTCACCACGGTCGTCAACCTGTTAGATGAAGATGAAAGAAACGAAGACCTCACCCCTCCACCCGACTCGCCCATCGGCTCGGTTCACCCCAACACTAGCAACCTGCAGGACGAGATAGTGGTCGGCACCAAGGTTGGTAGCGACAAGGTGGACACATCCCCCACCGAGGACATGGAGCGAGAAGATGTCGCAATGGGCGACGCCGTTGACGAAAAGTCGCTTACCGGCCAGTATCCGAAGCGTAAGCGTGCGTCGACGGCAGTCTATGCGGAGTCGGTCGGTGATGGTGATGGTGATGATGTTGGGATTCCCGCGCTGGGCGACGAGCCGGAGTACCGCCGGTCTGCCCGCCCTCCCCGGTCTTCGGTGGGGGAGTCGAAAGGAATAGTTGTCGGCTACTGGCGGGCGTCGCCGGCGGACCGGGCGGATGATAAACACGGCGTGATTGGCTTTATTGATGTCCGTGACCGGCTCCGCACCAGACTCCTGCCGACCACGCGCGATGGCCGGCCGATGGACCCGCGGTATCCCCTCCCGGCCGGCCCCGGCAACAGCTGGGTCACGTTCGACAAGGTCGCATTCGAGCCGCATCTCGTCGGCCACAATCACCACGTGGTGAAAGAATATATCAAGATCCGCGCCGAGGCCAAGGGCAATCACGAGACCCCCGAGGAGAAGGCCAGATTGGACCTTGACGCCATCAACGCGGCTGCGGAGCGTGTGCGGACTAACCCCCCGCCCGAGACCCCGTATCCTCCCCCGGTCGCGTATGGCCCCGTGGTCCCTGCGGGTACCGTGCCGATGAGCCGCGCCGAAGCCAAGAGGCGTCGGCTAGCGCCCCCTGAGCCGCCGAGGACACCGCAGCCGACGGTCGACCAGATCCCCGGCACGCGCCCAACGAGAATCCTGCTCGGGACGTGGAAAAGCTCCACGGAGCAGGATCCCGCCAACAAGCACGCCGTGTATGGCGTCATTGGCACCAACGATCTGTTTCGCGTCAAACTGGCGCGCGAGACTCGGGACGGCCGCCCCTTGCAGAGCGACTTTCCCAATGGTGCCGGAGGCGTCTGGATCCAGTGGGACGAAGTCGTCTTCGATCCCCACCTGGTAAACCTCTCACGTGCCGAGGTCAAGGAATACTGCCGCGTCCGCCAGCGCCAGCTCGACGTCGGTGAGGTCCCCGAGCAGCAAGCCGACAATGAGATGAGAGCCGTGTACGAGGCGAAGCAGCGCGTCTTGGAGAGCGCTGCGCCGGGCACCCCCATGCGCAGGGACGAAATGACGGACCCCACGCCCATTGCGCTGAAGGGCTCGCAGCTGGCCAACGCCAACGGCCGCAACGCCAGCTCTTCCACCCCCGCAGCGGGCCGCCATCCCCTCCCGGGCCTCGAATATCGCGCCGCTAACCGCCCGTCCTCCGGTCCGAACCCCGCCATCATCCAGCGGACCAACCAGCGGACCAACTCGATCGCCAGCCATGAGATCGCTCTCCTCGAGGCTGCCCAGGGCCGTGTTGATCTACTCACCGCCAGCCGCGAGGCATCTCTCGTTCCCGCGACCAATGGCACCAATGACACCGCCAACCTCATTCCCGACAACGACAACAACACCCAGGGCCGCGCCGCCTCAACCTTCCTCAACAACATGGCCCGCCTGACCAAGGTGTGGGAGGTGCAGACGACCGCCCTTATCCGCGCCGGCGCTGATGACGCCAAAGTACACGCTGGCATCAAGTACCAGCGTAAGCAGACCGGCCCTTTCCAGGGCAAGTTGGTCAGTCAGGGGAACCTAATTACGATTGACGGCGAGGATTACGTCGAGTACCGTGTGCTCACCAAGCCCTCTTTCTTCTAGAACGAGTAGAAGAGCGAGCTCGGTTCTCCGGGTGGGAGTTGGAATTCTGTTTCTCGTCGTCGGTTGTTTGTTGTTTGTTTTACCCCTGCCTAGGTGCCAGGATAAATTCGGTTCGGATTCCGGTCACATTCTGCTTCCGTCTCTTCCCCCTCTTCTTCAATTCTTTTTCTTTTCTTCGCAGTCCTGGGGAGTCAGCTACTTACTTACCCTCGCTTTCACCCTGGAGGGGGCTGTCGCTCGGGGGCTCGGGGGCCCTTTTTTCAATTCACGATTCATGATTGACGGGCGACGTGATGATGCGGTGGCGGCGGGGGTGGTTTTCCTACCATATACCCGGACTTTTTTGCTGGTCCGCCTTGTTGCTTGCTCATCGCATGGCGGCTCCTCTTTCTACTTCTTCAAGGATCTCAGGCTATCTCTCTGTCTCTCGGCGGGGATGGTGGCACTGGAGTCGTCGTTGTTATTGCTGGAGGGAAGGGTCATATTGGGAAGCTTGTGCTGTGGTTTATTCCGGGAAAAGGGGGCGTTTGCTTGGTGGGGGTAGGATTTGTGGTTCGGTTCGCCCGGTCCGTCTGCCTGCTTGCCAGCCTGCCAGAGAGAGATACCACGCTGCCAATGATGGAATTATGCTTCGTCTATGAGTGTGTCCTAAGGCAACTAATAACCGGGGTTACCTTCAACTTGTGCTGCTTCATCTGTTGCATGACACTTCGCGGCTCCATGCTAAGGTATAATCACTTCATATGGGCAAGACGCTATGAACATGTTGAAGGCGCTGCTGGTCAACTTTGACGCTTACAGCCCCGGCTTGGGGACTTGCCCGACATCGTTGTATAGTATACCGAGACAATACAGAACACAGCAACCATTTGGAGGCGTGAACAAGCAATGTAAGCCAACTCTTTTTTCTTTTCATCCCATACGCCCCTGCAGCACATCGCTTCGTATATGTATCTTTTATCTACATCCAACCATGAGGTATCTTCAACAGTATTTTCCCACCAAACTCCTCAAATATCAGAATAAGAAGAAAAAGCAACAGCTCAGGCAGTATCCTCCGTCTGGGCCGCATCCGCCTCATACCCCTCCGTCTTCATATCCTTCAACCCGAGGTCCTCCTCCTCCTCGTCCGTGCGGTCGTACTCCTCCACCGTCATCTGCTCGTCCGGCTGGCCGGGGTCGTCCGCCAAGCTCTGCACATAGCTGCTCGCCAGGGGGTCGGTGAGGACAATGGTAAACTCCTTCTCTCCCTTGATGGCGGCGTCCAGCCCCTTGAAGAACTCCTCCCAGCGCGTTTTCTCCTCGGCCGGGAGCGAATCGTTCACCCGGGCGCTCGCCCCGGCGTCGGCGTCGGCGTCGGCCTCGAAGATCTGGTTGTGCAGGTCGTCGCGCACCTGCGTGAGCAGGCCCTCCACCGTGGTGAAGCGGCCGCCGAGCGTGCCCGGGTTGACCGAGAGGCTGAGTTCGGGGCACTCGAGCGCGCAGCTCTCGCTCTTGAGGATGTCACGGGCGAGGTCCACATTCGTCTTGACGCGGATCGTGATCTTCTTGCCCTTCTCGGGAATCTCGCCGCCGGTCTTGACGTCGTTGGACTTGTACCCGCAGTCGTCGCACGTCGTGTTCATGATGACGACTTGCCGGAAGTGTGGGATCTCCACCATCTTCATGTTGGTCGTGCACGGGTGCATGCAGCCCGGGCACGAGGCGGGGAAGGAGTAGACCTGGTCGGGCACGATGTCGTCCTGCCCGTCAGGACCGGCTGCGCTGGTGTCGGCGAGCCCCAGGGCGGCGTTTTGCTCCGGGGTACGGATGTACTCGCGCTTCTCCCACTTGCCGACGCCGTCGCGCATGTCAGGGGTGATGAACGAGTTGCCTGCCGGGTCGTCGACGGCGACACGGAAGGGGAACGCCTCGCCAGCAAGCATCTTCCTACCCCTGGCGATGATCTCCTCGATCCTGGCGTATACCTCAGGCTGCTCCTCCTTGCGCTTCTCCTGACCGTATGCGAGGTCGTCGATTATGGTCGTCAGGAGACCCTCCACGTTTGTGAGTTGACCCTTGCCGGGGGGCACCTCTAGATCCAGCTCAACGAACTTGACGTTGGCTGTGTCCGACTTGACTACACTGCGCTCGAAATCGGCCATGTCGGTTAGGCGGAGCTCATAGCGAGCACCCTTGAGCTGGAAGGTTCCGGCCGTCTGGATCTCGTTGTTCTGGTAACCGCACTTCTCGCAGGAGAAGGACATGATGATGACTTCGCGGAAATAGGGGATCTTCGTTAGCAGGAGCCGTGTTACACCCTGTGTCGCGTTAGTACACTCATCGCGCTTGGTCCTTGGCTCGAGAGGTAGTGGTGGTGCACTCACATTTTCCTCGCAGTTCATGCAGAGGGACTCGATCTCCTCAACCACTTTCTCCTGGTCGTCACCGCTCGTCCCATTGGGAACGGCCGCCGGGGCGACCTTCTCTACCTCCTCGCCAATGGGTTTGAAGAGCTCGGGCATATTGACTGCTGTCCAAGGGTCTGTGACGGTGATCTTTTCCGTGACCTATGCTGTTCACGGGGTGTATAGCGAGATTTTTTTGGAGGGGTTATTCTGCTGTATGGCGGGGTCACAGTTGATAAGCAGATCTTCATCCAGCGCCTGAACACAGTGGGGTGCCCCACGTCTAGGCAGGCTTATGTCATAAACCTAGGCGCTCCAGGCCGAGCCTTAACGTTCCACCAGGCTCCCGAATGTTCGGGGCGCCGCCCGAACTTGCTCGAGGCATAGTACCACGTACATACGTAGGTAGGTACAGTACCTTAGGAGGCCAATGAGCGCTTTCCACGGCCCGGCACCTATTGAACTTAGGTCTTCTGCATGAAGTCGGCAAGGCTAAGACCGAGCCCAGGTCCTGCGTTTCGCGCCGCATTGGACTGGCTCAACAAGGCCTGCAATCCAGCCTTCCTCGACTTGGCTCGCTTTTTGCTGCTCGCGTTGGCGCTTGACTTTTGAGATGGTGGTTCTCGGGAGGCGCTTGACAAAGACAAGTTCACTCCGGGTCCGGAGGGTTCGGGGATTTTCCCAGCTTTCACCTTGTGCCTCGTGATAGGAGCCGGAGCTGGCAGCTCAACCTTCGTGAACCTGCCGCAGTGTCCACAAGTTATGGCTTTGGTTGGGCCTGGGCGCGTCTGCAGAGTGTTGCCTCGTGCCTTGTTGACCTTCAGGCCTCTAGCCGAGCGAGGCTTTTTGCCGGTTCTTTTTCCAGCTTCGACCTGGAGCTCACTCCCCAGTCCTAGGACCATGATGTGACCGCAACAGCCACATACATTTTGTCGCTGCCTGTCCGACAGAGGCATCTCGTGCTCAAACATCAGCTCATTGCGTCGTCTCATGAGATCTGCCGAGGTCTCGGGAGCCGTCCCGGCCAAGAGGTGTCCTGCATCTGTGAGAAATCGGAGAGTTGCGGTACCCTCATTGGATGCCATCCTGTCCGTAGCAGCAGTGAGCTGATCCTTGCGGCGAGTGGTTTGCACGAGGTTGGTGATGTGCAGTGTCCAAGTCTGAGACTTTCGGACGATACGAAGTTACTGTACTGTATGGTCTTGTACAATACAATACATTACAATTGTACAATCAATAGGTTACATACGAAGGAATACCGGAGTATTCCGGTGGTAAGTTCCGCTAAATGCACACCTTACCGTGTAACCTACCACTCCAATACACCGTATGGTACTGTTGGCATCCCACCACGGCTTCAACTCGGAGCGGTACTCGGCTTCCCGAATCCGTACCTACAGTCGCTCATTAGATGGAAAACTCACGGGCATACGGAACGAAGCATCGAGGGAGCGGTCCTTGACGACTTGGCGCGCTAATCTGGGTATCCTCAAGCGCGAACGATATCCCACTTTACTTCCTTGATGCTAACTTCTTCTCCTGCCTTCTCGTCGTAGTCAAACCATTCCCCCTCTGCTAGTTCGATGCCCTCAAACTTGGTGTTCGACTCGACGCCGTCCACGAGCCACTCCCCCTAACCGTGGCAGACCATCATCAGTGCTCCGAAAACCACGAACTCGGACAGGAAAAGATGGAACAAACCTCGGGAAGGAATTCTGTGAATTCCAAGCCCCTACAGTCAAACTCAAGGATTCTCTGAGCCTTCGGCGGCTCAGCCTGCTCGTACGGAGTTGGGGCAGCCTTGATAGAGGCGGACGACTCTCTCTGTGACAAGGAGAATTTAAGTTAGGATGGCTAGAACCGCAACAGATGTATAAGTCTGCGTAGTCGATACCTTGCAGTTCTTGCACTTCCATACGAAGTTTGCCTCGCCTCGACTTCCGCTCATTTCATTGGTTTCCTAAGTGGTGTAAGCCATGCCGCTTAATGGACGGGGAAAGGAGAGAGACTCACGAAGCGGGTAACGGTAACGGGATTGGGATGCGTTTCCCTGCATGAGGTGCATTGTACCTTGAACGTATAATGAAACGGCGCTTCTTGGTTGTCCTTCGGCCGCAGGTTTGTCACTCTATAAGATCCGATTCCCGTGATAAGCTTCCGGAGTCTCGATCCTTGCCAGCTCGTTGCTGAGGAAGAAAAGCTTACCCCGCCAGTTCCGCCGTCAGTGTGAGCGCATACATTGCGGCAACGCCCGGGCTTTCAAATTTCGAATGTTGAAAGATAGGCCCTGAAAGCCTTAACGGTTTGCGGTCCCAGGTACAGTTGCTCCGAGTAGGATGCGCGGAGGGTCATATACAACTGCACACTACCAGCTGTTGATAACTTCTTGATGGTGTTGAGAGTTGTGAGAGGGGCAATGTGTTGTCCCACTTGATAAGCACACGCCCTCTAATTATTTGGAGCTTTCCCTTTCAGGTAGTAGTGAACCCAACCTAGCTCCGTCCCACATTACAGCTTCGAATTCACACCGTAATCCTAGGTCGATACCTAATAATGGCTCAATTGGCCCCAAGTCAGAAATCATAACGGCATCAGCCCACCGAGCTCTAGCTCCCAAATCGACCGCCCTACGAGTCCGAAAACCCGCAACGCAGCTCGCAGGCTCAGCTTGGCCGACATGCCCCGACGATGCTGGGCCTGTGGTCAATGGCAGCCCAGCTGAGGGCCTGCCACTGCCGGGCGTGCCTACGGGGAGCAAACTCGGCCGCGCGGCGAGCGACGACGAGCGCGAGGAGCAACCCACGACGGCGCAAGCTCTTAGCCAGCGATGTCTTCACGGCATGCTATTCCGCCATCATGGCCACCGCCGCCGTTATCGACGCCGGCAGGAAGGACAAGCGCAGGCGCGAGCTCGATCGCGAGCTCGCCGAGGCCAGGAGCAGCTTGGCCACCCTGCTGGAGGAGTCGCAATCCCGAGACCTGGCAAAGGTTATCACGTCCGCATACCCTAGTCTCCCGGACTCGTCGCCGCTGGAGAAGCTGGCTGTTATAAAGGACATCTGCAAGCTCGAGCCGGACCATCTGAGGAGGCTGAACGCGACCCGCAAGTCCAGATTCAAGACAAGAAACGATTTGCGCAAAATGTTCGGCCTGCCTGGCTGGAAAATTCTAGAGTACGGCATAGAGCATTCGACCCTGTCCAGGTGCGACGAGGTCATGGATGCAGAGGCGAAGGATCTCAGCCTCGTGCACCAGGAGGCAATCGACGAGGAAGGACTAGCAAAGGTCACGGGCATGATCGCGGACCTAACGGATCGGCTCCTGACAGATGCCTACTGGGTCTCAGAGGCCGAAGTGCCCGGAGCACACCCCGCGCTTGAGAGCCCAGATTCGGCCAGGACCATGATCCGTCTGGTGAGGTCCAGTGGCTATCCTTCCTACACCCACCCGCACGTGGACCCGATGGAGACGATCGAACAAAGAGCTCGTTTGAACGAGCTGAATGTGAAGATCATGGCGGATTGGGCGCGGCCCCGCCGGGAACACTACGTAGCCAAGATCTGCTACAATCTCCTTGTCTGCGGTGTGCCTCCGGGCATTCAGAATGTCAACGCGCTCATCCTCGGCTTCTCGCTACTCTGCGAGCACAAGCTTGCGGACGCTGTGGTGGAATACTTCCATTCGAGCTCAATGAGACCGACAGAAGCAACATTCCTGTGCTTACTGCATCACTACCGCATGAAGAAGGACATCGTCCGCTTCCATGACCTTGTTCGCCGTCTCTTCGCTTACGACTCTGCCGGCATAGGGCTGATGCGAAGAACGGCCGACGACGTAGCGCGGGATCCCAGTCTCCGGGCCTGGGCCAAAACAGCTGACGTCAGGTTTGTCGACGGTCACTACGTCGAGCGGGCGCCGCTCACGCGGAACCTCGCGGAGGCCATGATGGAAGGCTTGATAGATTTCGATCTATTGCACGAAGCCGCCAGGCTCTTTTCGGTCTGCCTGGCTGAGAAATGGACGGTCAGCAAAGACCTGATGTGGAAGCTATTCCACTCGTGTCTCACCTTCCTGGATACGGCGTCGGCTAGGGTGATCGTTGGGGGATTGCTCAACAACATCGACCAAGCATCATCGCTTCTGCTCGGTCCGAACGCCATCGGTCCCGGACTGGTCAGGCAGCTGCGCCATCTGCTCAACATGTGGCAGGCGACGACGCTCCTTCCCGACGTTACTGCTGATGACGGGGCAAACGACGTATGCCAGACTTATAACGCCAGAAGGCGAGCCGAAGAATCGAATCTTGATCGCCTTGTAACAGCGATTTGGACGAAAGAGACGTGGCACCACGCCACCCACACCACTTTGTGGCTTAAGCAGGCCACGAGAAGACTCTCCGCAGACGGGCCGCTGAGCGAGAGGCTTGACAAAGCGCATTCTGCTCTTGACATCGCGGTCAACCGCCCGAAAGAAAAAATGTTCAAGGCGGAACGCATCCAACGGGTAGCTCGATTAGAGTGGCTGAGGACCGAAGCCAACGAGTCGCAAAAGAAGATCCTTGACTTCGAGGCAGCCATCTGCAGCATCCTGGCCGAGCAGGCCCCGCGGGAGTTACGAGACGCGCGGTTGTTGTTCAACCCGGATCTGTCCTTCAAGACACGGACTGCCCTGGCCCTGGCGATTGGCACGCCGGGAACGGTGCATCACGAGGCGGCAATGTGCTTCGCCAGGAGCAGGGAGATCGACTGGCAGCTGAAGGAGGCTTTGTTGCAGGCTCTCCCACTCGCGCTCGCCCAAGACCTCTTGGAGACGCGGAACACCTCAGGAGACGTCCCGCTAGGCAGGATTTTGGCTCGCTTCGAACAGTACCTGGCTGAGTTCAAGGTTGATGAGGACAAGGAGGCGAGGACGTCGCCCTTGGCCCGACTTCTCTCGGGCCTCTCGTTATTGCCGGGGTCATCGGGGTCATCTGCGGCGAGGTTGGGACGGGTAGTGAAGAGAGGAACACCGTATATAAATGTAGTATAAGTGTTATACGAACCAGCATATTGTACATACATGTGTGTCGGCTACCCGCCAGGACCATAGTGTTTGGAAACCTGGGCTGATACGCTCGATCGAAGATAGAGTGGCCATTACTATTTGCTAAAGCCTAAAAGAGATTTGACTAAACAAGCCTCCCTTCTCACTTCACACACTCCACGGTTGCAACCCGACTATCTAAACACCGAAAAAAAAACAGTCAAGGCACCTACTGCAGCGTGAGGTTGATGGTGGTGGACGCAGACTAGAAACTCAAACTGGAGGTATCCATACAAAGTGGAAACAGGTGCCAGACAGACAAGCCTGCTTCTGCATACCTGATACCTATGTAAGACGTGTAGATATCTTGATAATAATCACAGGTATGATAGCTGCAGAAGCGATCGGCCAACTGCGAATGCCCTCACGATCCAGTTCTTTGCACCAAATATGCACTCTCCTCCTTCAGGAAGTTGCGCTTGTTCTAGCCCGGCCTCTGTGGGAGCGAGATGCGTCACAAGACACCACATCCTGCCAATGATCCACGGTAGTTGTGTGATGTTCTAAAGACACAAGTCACGAGGATATCTAAAATTGTTTTCTAAAATTGTTTCCCGGGGGCTCCATATGCAGGGACCTTCTAGTTTCATCCACCTCCAGCGTCTCGTGGCACCCTGCTTTAATTTCTGGAAGTACTGTGTAGGTGTCTGAAACGATGAGAAGCGGTGAGCAATGCACTCAGCGGAATGCAGATGGAGAGCAGCCTTCACAAACGTCGAAGTTATCCGGGGTTGCTGTCCAAGCTGCGAGGAGTCGCATGACGACACCCACGTCTCGCCCACCTCCCACGTTCTCTTATTTCCCCGTCGCCTTGCAGATGCCATATCCTGATCCCCCACCACATGCATGTCCCGTCTTGCGGCTTACACAGTACCTAGTGACCGCCACACAATATGGTAGGCTATCCCGTGGACTGGCCTCCGGTTTGTGTGGTGGCGAACGGTCTAAGTTGACTGTACTCGAGTCTATACAGACGGGATCTAACCAGCGTTGGAATAACTATGGTGTGAAGAGAAGGTCGCCCCCGCCCGTGACGAGAGCCGGGAAACATCATAGCAACCGATAAATGTCAATATAGGCAAACTAGAAGATAAATATAAATTGGAAGAGACGGAGAGAAATATTGGAACTGATCACAACACGTGAACGCTCTGTTCGAACAGGTTGAGCTTCAAGAGATGGCGGACAATGTGGACCTATTGCCCAATAGGCACGGGACTCGGCCGCACCGGACGCCGCGGCGAAATCCTACTGGTTCCGGCTGGCACGGAGTGGGAACAGGCGAATCATGAACCCCTGGGATGCTCCTTCCCAACTCCGGCGAGTTTTTGTAGCGACGGAACCTGAAGGCGAGAGCGCGTCCGCGGCGGCGCCAGGGTAGACTTTCAGATCCGCACCGTGTACCTGATCTGCTGGCCGGGGGCGTTGAATAACGTTAGGTATCCCTCTTCACGGCACTTTAACTTTGGGGGTCTCTCGCTGCCCGCCGTGGGCCGTTCTATCATAAGCCATCCTGTCTACTTATCAACCCTGGCTGCCCCCCCCCCCACCCATTTTCCTTCTTCAGATGGTTCCTTTGTCTTTCGAGGCTCAAGACGTACGTGTCGGGGTCGCGTCACTGTCCTGAGCCTGCGTGCTTCTTGATCCTTGAGTTTTTTGTTGCTGCGGCTTTAAACCTTCTCGGGTCTTTGCGTCATAGGGTGGAAACAACGTCAACTTAAACACCGGTCGACCGGTTTCAGAACAAGAAAGGCTCTTTACGCCACCTGCCTACCGGCTGCTTTGAAGATTGTTTCTCACGCTATCCTACATCTTCAACATGCTGTCTTAGGATTCCAACATCATCCACTCCCTTCCTCGGCTGAGTCTCAGCATCTCGCACCACTCTCGCTACACCGAGTTTTCTGCCGCTTGTGTTCACACCAGCTCCGCGGTGAGTCCATATCGCAACATGAAGTTTGGTAGAAAGTACGTTCGTCCCCACCAATCCGCATTGCTGTTGCATAGTCACTGACCCGTACGTGCAGTCTCCCAAGGAACCAAGTCCCCGAGTGGGCAGGTTGTTACATCAACTACAAGGGCCTCAAGAAGCTCATCAAGGCTGCGGCGAGAGCAGCTCAGAATGGCGAAGAAGTTGATCTAGCTGGTGGATTTTATCCCAGGCTGAGCTAAGCTGGTCCGGATGACTAACGTGGGCACGCAGAGTTCTTTTTCGATCTGGACCGGAATCTTGAGGACGTCGACTCGTTCTACAACAAAAAGTTTGCCGAGGCTTATCGAAGACTTAGAGTCCTTCAGGACAGATACGGCAGCTCGCCGGAGATTGTTGCGAACCTCGATGATGATGAGATCGAGGAGTTAATGGGCGCCCTCCTCGAGCTGCGCAGCCAGCTGCGGAAGCTCCAATGGTTCGGCGAGATCAACCGCCGCGGTTTCATCAAGATCACCAAAAAGCTCGACAAGAAGGTGCCCAACACGACGACTCAGCACCGATACATCTCGACGAAGGTCGAGCCACGACCGTTCGCCAAGGACACCGCCATTGCCAGGCTACTCTCCGAGATCAACAAGTGGCTCTCAGTGCTGGGTGACTCGCAGAATATCGATGACGCAGGGTCGGAGAGGTCGACCCGCTCCTTGGGGCGAGCATCGGCAAAAGCCATGCTGAATGTCCCATCGAGCTTGTTGGACAAACTGGATCAGGCCATTAGGAATGACGACGTCGATGCTCTGAAAGCGGGATTGACCACAGGGAACCTGGTGGGCTCGGAATCTTCCTCGCAGCGGATGCTTCTGAACCTGCTTCAACGGTCCATCTCGGCACGATCAAAAAGCTCCATCTCATTCCTACTAGACAATATCACCTCGCTCGACGAGCCTGACGACATCAATGAGCGGAACTGTGTCCACAGACTGGTAATCCACATTGGGCGGACGAAGACAGCCTCTTCCCAGGTGGATGAACAATCAAGCCCAGCCTCTTTTCCCTTCCCGGGAGGTGCGGCTCAGTACGCCCAGAGGCATCTCACACCGGCAACATCGCCTCTTGCGGCCCCGAGAGTCTCCGGCCTCAAGGAGTCGAATCTGCTCACAAGGGACGACGAGGCGGTCCAGATACTGATTTACCTTCTCGAGGCCCTCAAACCAGGCCAGAGGATCGCACTGAGCGCACGGGACAGCTTCGGCAGGATTCCCTTGCACTATGCCGCCCAGTTCGGCTTTGTGGTGGTATGCCAAATCCTGATGAGCAAGATGCAGGAATGGGACCAGTTCAACGTCGACAACGGCATTGATGCGGTCGAATGGCAGGACAAGGAAGGCAATGCGCCAGTCCATCTCAGCGTCCTTGGCGGCCACGTCCTGACGACAAAGGCGCTTCTACAGGGGGAAAACTGGAACGGCGTGAACGACCACAAAGCCGAGATGAGGCGGTCCATCTCCAAGTCGAGCGCGGTCCTGGCCATCGCCACCAAGGCCAACCTCAAGCCTATCGTGGAGATGCTCGTGGATGCTGGTGTGGATATCAACTGGCAGGACAAGGTCGGCGAGACGGCGCTGCATATCGCCGCTAGATTCGGTCACGATGAATGCGCCAGGGTGTTACTAAAGGGGACGGCTGAGCAGAAGGCAAACCTGGACCTCGTTGAGAATTCTTTTGCCTGGACTCCACTCCACATCGCAGCAGTGGACGGCCACCTGTCTGTCGCGCAAATCCTGGTGGATGCTGGCGCGGACGTCGACAAACCGGACTCGTCGGGCTGGACAGCGAAGGAACATGCCGCACTGAGAGGACATCTCGATATCGCGCGCCTGCTTGCTGTGCACAGTGGGGATGAGGATGATGCAGGATCGAGCAGTTCGGACGAGGAGAAACCGGCGACCGAGCCTGTGGCTCGTGAGGTCGCCTCCCTAGAGGATAGGAGATCCAATGGCTCCTCGCGCCCGGCGGAACCCGTCAAGTCGTTCGGTCACCGCTATCTCAAGGATGAAAGCCTGGTGCTTGTCAGCCTCGGTTCAATGGATATGCGCAAGAACGTCGAGGCCGTCACGCTGGACAAAGTTCCGCTGACCCAGGCACACAACACTCAGCTGGACACAGCTCTCTCCATCGTGGTGTCGGCTCAGGGTGCTCAGGGCGAGCCTACCATCATCGATATGCCGGTCCACGAGAACATCTCGACAGAGCCGATCGTCTTCACCACGGCTGACGCCTCGAAGGTCAAGTTGCTGTTTGATATTGTCCCTACATACTCGGGCAACCAGAACAACAAGATTGGGCGTGGTGTCGCACTGCTCTCCAGCGTGCGACCGACAATCGGAACCAAGCGGATGAATCTGCAGGGAGACGTTTGCGTTCCCATCGTGGGGTCCAATCTCGACGTGATTGGGACCGTGAATTTCAACTTCCTAGTCATCACCCCCTTCTCGCATCCAAACATGGAGGTCACTTCCCAGCACACATACTGGAAGAAGATGACATCGACCATGGTGATCGGTCACCGCGGCCTGGGGAAGAATCTGGTGGCCAACAGGTCGCTGCAGCTGGGCGAGAACACGGTGCCGTCCTTCATCGCGGCTGCCAACCTGGGAGCCCAATACGTCGAGTTCGATGTGCAGCTCACAAAGGACCATGTCCCGGTCATCTACCACGATTTCCTGGTCAGTGAGACGGGCTTCGACGCGCCCGTGCATACGCTGACTCTGGAACAATTCCTGCACATCAACTCGGACTCCTCCCGAAACGGCCACTCCCCAAAGCCCCAGCACAAGCAGCTCGATAAGACACGTAGCAGCAGTCCTGGGCCGAGGAAGCGCTCCATGTCAATGGACTGGCCGATGGTGGACCATCAGCTGACGAAGCAGGAGATGGAAGAGCGCATGAAACACACGCGCGACTTCAAGGCCAAGGGCTTCAAAGCCAACTCCCGAGGCAACTTCATCCAAGCACCCTTCGCCACGCTGGAGGACCTCTTCCGCAAGCTTCCGCCCTCCGTCGGCTTCAACATCGAGCTGAAGTACCCTATGCTCCACGAGAGCGAGGAACACGAGATGGACACGTATGCGGTCGAGCTCAACTCGTTCTGCGACACCGTCCTGACCAAGGTCTACGACCTCGCAAACGGGCGGCACATCATCTTCAGCTCGTTCAACCCGGACATCTGTCTCTGCATGAGCTTCAAGCAGCCGAACATCCCGATCCTGTTCCTCACGGATGCTGGAACCGCCCCGGTGGGTGATATCCGCGCCAGTAGCCTGCAGGAGGCTATCCGGTTTGCGTCACGGTGGAACCTGCTGGGCATTGTGAGCAATGCGGAGCCTTTTGTCAATTCGCCGAGGTTGGTGAGAGTGGTGAAGCAGAATGGCTTGGTTTGCGTGAGCTATGGGATGCAAAATAACCAGACCGAATTGGTACAGGTACGTCTTCATCTCTTCTCTTCTCTTTTGTCCTTTCTCCAGTAGACTAATCCATATACACAGCGACAAGTGAAAGAGGGCATCGACGCTGTTATTGTCGACTCGGTTCTGGCCATCCGCAAGGGCCTAACCGGGGCCCAGGATCTGGGGGCTTCCAATGGCCAGGAGAAAGCAGAGGAAGTGGCGGTCAGCAACAACGGGAACCATCTGACGAACGGTAACGGAACGCTGAATGGGAAGCGGGTGACCAATGGCCGACTGGGTTAAGAGGAGGCTGTCGAGTTGAGTTGAACGACCGTTTTTGGCGGTCTATTCTTGGCGCGACCAGGATTTTCAACTTTCTCTCAACTTTGTCCTTATTAGACGGCGACGGCGCATGGGAGAGAGGTGGTTACGGGCTGCGTTTGACGCATCGCAGCACATGAGCTCTGAGTACAGACACCCCACAGCGACAGTAACGAGTACAGTACTCTCTTCACGCATTCCCGCTGCCTAGATGGGGAGGGAGGGGAAGAGGCATATAGTACATGCAGCTATGATGATTTAGCAGGGGGCTTGCAGTGAGTTGTGAATAAAATTCACATATGCTACCTTCAACTTGTTGAGTGAAATTGTGTATCACCCCGAATACCTCTGTAGTAAATGGTTCAAGTTGTTCACCTGGAAGTTCCGGCGGTGACTGAATTGGTTGCCTCCCAACGGCACCCAACCAATGCCTAAGTGTCTGTATTTGGTTCAGAGTCAAACAAACCGGCTTCCAACAAACCCCTCAACAACCAATCAATAGACTACCTATGTCTCTGTCAGGTACGGATACGTACGCACCTCTCTCGCTGGTGTGGCTGAACTGACACCCGTGGCCCGATCGGGTGACTGCAAGATTGGGCACTTGCGAGGTGAAGGCTATTGGAACGTTAGTTTCTTCTTCAGCGGGTGAGCAACCAGTGGTGGCTGTGTCGAGAAGCGTTTGTCGTCTGGCGGAGTCACTGGCAGCGCCCAGCTGGTCTAGCGCGATAGAGTAAAAGAAGGGTTCTTGGCCAGAGGTCGTATTATCGGCCATGGCGACGATGGGTTTGGACTTTGGCCTTGTTGGGTTGTCTTTGCGTGCCGAGGTGCTGCTAAGTAACAAAGCCGGGAGGCGAAGAACTGGCCTAATGAGAAGCAATTTCCAGTTGGGATCATGGATGGGATGGCGGAGCCGTTGGCTCCCTCCCGTCCGGTTTACCTCTGTCCGGTTTACCTCTCTGTGGTTGACTTTGCTAGTAGTTGGGCAATCTGTACTACTAGTAGCACATAGTGTACCTGTCCCGTCGCAGTCTTCATTTTCTTCAAGTTCATGCCCCTGTGTCTTTCTCGAGGGCTATCAAGCATTGCTTAGTCGAACCCGCCTCGGCCTCCTCGAGAAGCGCCGGGACTGCCCCGCCCCCTCCAAAATTCCCCTTCCCGCCCGCTCAGCTCCTCCTCCTTGGTCCGCTACTAGTACCTACGCTCGCCAACCTCAACCTACCACATCTATACACCTATCGAGGCAGCGCGACACAGAGCGAAGCGGTTAGGACCGCAAAGCTTTTCGCTAGGACCTCTTAGACTCCGCAAAGCCAGCCAACCCATCAATCAACCACCCTCATAATCCTACCGCAACACCCTCGAAGAGAGCAGTCACTCATGGCAGGCCCCGCATCTCCCGGCGGCGAGGGGCCGACCTTCGCGCCTCCACCTCTGCCTGCAGGCTGGATCGCGCAGTGGGACGCAGCCTCCAAGAAGTATTACTTTGTGCAGCTGTCGACGGGCGCGTCGCAGTGGGAGACGCCCACCGAGGCCGCGCCCGTGGGCGGGGCTTCTGACACGCCCGGCCCGAAGTCTGATCACCCCTACGGAGTTCCGGGGCGAGTTGACAGTGGCGCCGAGATCATCGTACATCCGGACGGCAGCCAGACGGCGCGGTATCCCGACGGCAGACTCGAGCCTGTCCATCCGAGAGAGGACGGGTCGACGGCGGACGGGACCAGGGGTGTTGGTGGTGGCGATGGGACTACCGATCGAGGGCTTGGGGTAGGTAACGATTGCATTGCAGTAAACGTGCTGCGTTGCGCTGTGGAGTGTTATGGTTCTTTTTTGGGCTAACATCCCTTCCCTGCAGTCCTTGCTCGGAAGCACGCTCGGCAGCCTCGGTGGTAAACCACACGGTAGCGGATCACACGGCGGCGGTGTCGGTGGCCTGGTTGGGCACGTAGCCAGTGGGCTTCTGTCCGGAGGGCATGGCGGCGGACACGGCGCGGGCCACAGTAGTAGCGGCGGCCTGGGAGGGAAGCTCGCATCGCAGTTGGCTTCCAATCTGTTCCACTCCGGAAGCAAGCCGTCGACCCAGCAATCCAACTACCATGGTGGCCAGTCATCGGGACATGCCGGCGCTGGCGGCCTGGGCGGACTCGTTGGGGGAGTTGCCAGCATGTTTGGGAACAAGCCTCACGGCTCGGTAGGTTCAAGCAGCGCATATCTCTTATTACGTCTCAACCACGCTAACAGTGGGATAGGGCCAGCAGTTCGGCTACTCTAATAGCGGACAAACTGGTAGCTATAGCGCGCCGCCCCCACCGGCCTCTTACCAAGCGCTCTCGCACTCGTCGCACTCGGCTACCACCCCGTCTTCCTACCAGGGCAGCACGCCCTCTTACTCGACCCCGGCTCATTCGCAGCACCAGAGCCCCAACACGTCGTATGGCCACTCGACTCCAGGCCAGCCATACACCCCTTCCTACGGCACCCCCGGTAACCAGCATGCCGGGAGTCAACAGCCGCCTCATGCGCAGACCTACCCGCCTCCGCCACCAGGCGGCCCGCCGCAGGGCTACGGCCCACCGTCGTATGCGTCGCATCCCGGGGGCGCACCGCAACACGCCGGGCCACAAGCAAACTACGGGCCGCCCCCACCGGCTGCCGCCCCCTACGGCCAACCTCAGTATGGTCAACCGCAGTACGGCGGTGCGGCAGCGTCGTACGCGTCGCAACATTCCGCGCAGCACACTCCTAGCGGGCACTCCCCCTACCCGGCCCAACCGCAATACGCCGGCGGCGGCCACCAGCAGCCGCCTCACCAGCAGACGTACGGAGGCGGGCCGCAGTACCACTAGGAGGACCGCGCCCCGCAAGGAACGGGCGCGATGCCGACGCTTGCCGCCTTCGCGGACGCGGTGGCGGCGTGCCCGGGCTAGGTGCAGCAGTCGATCGGGCTGCAATGGCACGCCGTGTTCTCTGCGAAGCAGTTGTGGGTGGCGCAGTGGGAGAGGAGGAGGAAAATTCCGGAGCGTCTCCGGGCTCTTGCGCAGCGGGAGTATGAGATGCTGTGGCTGTTGACGGTAAGGGCGGAGCAGTATCGGGCGATGGATGCGATGGTACAGCGAAGGCGGGAAAGACGCGGGCGCGAGCAGGTGGTGCGGATGATGCAGGGCCTGGCGGGGTTGGGCTCTTCGAGGGAGCAATCGCTGAACGGGTGTGCAAGGTGGGTCAAGGCGGAGCGAGCGCGGCTCGAGAAGGAGCGGAGGCTTGCTGGGCCAGGGGCATCGCCCAGACCGCTGTCGCTGACCCCGCGGTCGCGGGCGAAGATCGAAGCAGACCAGGCCCGGCTGGAGAACGAGCGGAGAGAGTCAGATACGGCAGAGCAGCGGGCGATGCGTGGGGATTGGGTACAGTGGGACTGTGTGCTGCGTGAGTCCGAGAAAGCGAGGAAGAGACGGACGGAGCGACATAGGCGAGAGTGCAAGGAACGGTACAGGCGGACCCTGCCCCAGAGGCAGGAGAAAGCGCAGCAGCAGCAGGGGCTGGCCGGCCAGTTGGATTAGCTGTCATTGATCGACCCGATGCTGCTGCAGTCGACGACTTGGGAGCTTCAAACGCAAGACTAGCCCCCTGCGGAAAGGGGGGGTGGGGGGGGTCAGAACTTGTTTCAAGCGCACGCTGTGGCGATAGTTCATCTCGGAAGAGTTCCTTTCTTTGTTAGTACATTGTTGGCCGAGTATGTTCTTGTCGAGCGAGAAGCGTGTTAGATTTCGATAATGGGTGTGTCTCTCCGTGGCTTGTAGTTTCATTTACATAGTACTATAGACTTAGCAGCATCCGTGATGAGCGAAACCACCTCCTACATTTCTTCCTTTTCCACAAAGAGTCTCCATCAGCTCAGCTACTGCTACTACTGCCTCTTCTTCACACTCTCCTGCTGTGAGCTCGCACTAACAGCCAGCTCCCCTATCCAGGACGATACCCTCCGGGCCACGAGATAGGCTACTGCAGCCACGGCAACGATGTAACACGCCGTGCCGGCCAGTGAGCGCGGCAGCACGTTGAAGAGGAACGGGTCCAGGATGATGTCCACGTCGACCGGCGGCACGCTGGTCATCAGTGCCGCGTCGGTCGTGAAGTAATCGGCTGCGGCGAGGATGCGGAGGAGCAGGATGGAGGACGCTTCCCCTTCGCGCTCGCTGCTGCTGGATGCGGGATTTTCATTGTCATCAACAACATCATCATCGCCATGGTTTGCTGACAACTCAGATAGCTGCTGTCGGGACATGGAGTAGGCTCGCAGAGAGGCCAGCAGCTCGGGTGAGTTCCAGACTGCCGGGAGGGGGAAGGTGGTGAGAGAGAACGCGGTTGGTTGCTGGGGGGAGGGTTTTATTAGAAAGGCTTTTTTGATTCGTTTGTGGCGTGTATATATATATATATATATATATATTTGTTACTAGTACTTACTGTGGCCGGCCAGCAGACTCGCACCTCATAGCGCTGGTGTGGCGTGAGCTTGTCGAGGATGAGCCATGTTGCTGTCCCGTGCGGATATTCGGGCGAAGGGAATAGGGCGGCAAGCTGTGTTCGTAGCGTCCCGTTGGCTGGTGTGAGCGTGTCCAGGCCGAGTTCGGAAAGGGGTTTTGCGTGCGCGAGCGGGATCGTGGCCGCTTCCGGGCCGAGGAAGATGGTCTTTTCTGTGTTGGCGAGCGCGCGGGTGAAGAGAAGAAGGAGGGCTGTCCAGATACGGGTTCTCAAAATGAATGTCATTCTGAATTACCTGTAATTAGGAACAACAACAACCTAACAGCCCACCCAAGAATCCAAGAACGCTGGAAGCCGGCCTGTGTAAGTGATTCCGACTCCGGGGTCCCGGTTGCCGGCGGGTGCTCTGGTTGCCGGAGCGGCGGACCCGGAATCCCCCCTGAACTGTGGGTGGAGCACTTTCCCCGGCATATGCATCAATCCGATTTGTGGGTCGACTGGGGATTGACACCTGCCCGCCACTGACAGCGAATCTGGGGAACAATCACATGCTGATTGTTTCCAAGCAGCAGCTGCTTGGCTTCCTCCGAACCTGTTCCCATTCCAGCAAGCGAGTGACGCAGAGGGCCGAGGAAATCCATAGACCCAGACCTACACAAACCACCAACAGCAACAGCAGTAACAGCTGAACATCTAGTCTAGCTAATCCGAGACTGTGTTCTTGAGCGAGTGATCAGCTATTCTGGTACGAGCCGATACCGAACCGCGCACACGACAATTGCCAGGTCGAGTGAACGTTGCGTTGCGCACGACGACAGCAGCTCCACCAGTCGCCAACCCCTTCTCGGGACGCTCCATTCCGCTCCGTTCCGCTCCTATTGTCCGTGACATCCCTCGGTCTTCCTGTCGCACTCCCCTCGATGACCGCCGCCTCGCGTCCGTGAACCGCCTTCTCGGCCTCGCCTGCTCCTGCCCGCAATGGCGCCAACACAATCGAAGCCGGTTGCCCTGGGCAGCAGCGCCGTCGCGCGCGCTCGCACCATCCGCGGCATCGTCTCGCAGCTGACGACCATGTACCTGCGCAATCGCACCAAGATCTCGCGCGCCGTGTCCATTACTCTGCTGGTGGCGCTCGTCCAGCGCATACGGCACTCCATCGCCGAACAGAAAGCCGTCGCCGCCCGCGAGGAGGCAAAGAAAGCAGCCAAGGTCGGCAGCACATCGGCAGCCGAGGAGGATGAGGTGGAGGTGAAGAAGAAGAGGGTCGAGCTCAACCGCGAGTTCTTCCGCCAGCTGATGCGCCTGCTGCGGATCCTCGTTCCAGGGTGGCGGACCAAGGAGATGCGGCTCCTCATCACTCACAGCTTCTTCCTGGTCATGCGGACCCTGATCAGTCTGAAGGTGGCCGCCATGGACGGCGCCATCGTCAAGGCGCTGATCAAGGGGAACGGGCGCGAGTTCTTGATGCGCATCGTGTGGTGGATGCTGATTGCGGTCCCGGCGACCTTCACCAATTCGATGCTCTCATATCACCAGGCTGAACTCGCGTTGAGATACCGCACACGGCTGACCGAGTACATCCACAACCAATACCTGTCCAACTTGACCTTCTACGGCATCTCGGCATTGGACGACCGAATAAAGAACCCGGACCAGCTGATTGCCGTGGATGTGGCCAGGTTCTCGAACAGCTTGGCCGAGTTGTTCAGCAACCTGGCGAAGCCTATCCTGGATATGGTATGCTTTCCCTCTGACTACCATTTCCTTCCTTGCGCGCTGGCTAACCCATCAAAATTAGACGATTTACACAATCTCGCTGTCAAGGAGCGTTGGCGGGGAAGGCGTCGTGTTCATGGGGCTCCTCGTCCAGCTCTCAGCACACGTCATGCGAGCCTTGACGCCGCCGTTCGGCAAGTACGTGGCCGACGAAACGAGGTTGGAGGGCGAGTTCCGCTTCCAGCATTCCAGGTTAATCGACCACAGCGAGGAAGTCGCCCTCTATGCCGGCCACGAGGCGGAGAAAGACACGCTCGACAAAGGCTATTTCACCCTAATCAAACACATCAACCACATCCTGCGGATGCGCTTCTACCACGGCTTCATGGAGGACTTCGTCGTCAAGTACTTCTGGGGCGCGCTGGGCCTGCTGCTCTGCAGTATCCCCGTCTTCGTCAAGCTGCCGGGGCGCGTTGCCATGAGCATGGGCGACCGCACGGAAAGCTTCGTCGCCAACCGCAGACTGCTGCTCTCCGCGTCGGACGCCTTTGGCCGCATCATGTTCTCATACAAAGAGATCATGGAGCTCGCCGGCTACACGTCGCGCGTCTCCTCCCTCCTCGAAGTCATGGACGACATCCAGGCGGGGCACTTCGAGAAGAAGCTCGTCTCGAGCTCGGGCACCGAAACAAACGCCAACGTGCTCAGGGGGCGCGGCAACGTAATCGAAAGTAAAGACATCCGCTTCGTCGACGTGCCCATCATCTCCCCCAACGGCGACGTGCTCGTTCCCGCGCTCTCCTTCTCCCTCTCGCAGGGCGACCACCTCCTGGTCGTCGGGCCCAACGGCTGCGGCAAGTCGTCCCTCTTCCGCATCCTCGGCGGCCTCTGGCCCGTCTACGGCGGCACCGTGCACAAGCCGTCCTTCAGCGAGATCTTCTACATCCCGCAGCGGCCGTACCTCTCGCGCGGCACCCTCCGGCAGCAGATCATCTACCCGGACGGGCGGTCGGCGATGCACGCCAAGCGCGTGACGGACGACGACCTGCTCGATATCCTGCGCATCCTGCAGCTCGAGCACCTCGTCGAGCTCTACCCGGAGGGCTGGGACGCCGAGGCCGAGTGGCGCGACGTGCTCTCGGGCGGCCTGCAGCAGCGCGTCGCCATGGCCCGCCTGTTCTACCACCGCCCGCACTACGCCATCCTGGACGAGTGCACCAGCAGCGTCACGCTCGACACCGAGAAGGTCATGTACGACACCGCCAAGGAGCTGGGCATCACGCTCATGACGGTCAGCCATCGCCGCAGTCTGTGGAAGTACCATACCCACATCCTGCAGTTCGATGGGCAGGGCCACTATGTGTTTACGCGGCTGGATGCTGAGAAGAGGCTGAAGCTGGAGGAGGAGAAGGAGGATCTCGAGGTGCTGCTGAGGGCGGTGCCGGAGATTGAGCGCCGGATTGCTGAGTTGAGCTCTGCGTAGTTGTCAGTAAAGCCTAGGGGTGGAGGGATGTCCGGTCTCTCGATTAACCTTTGGAGATGGGAAGAACTTATTGATCCCGAGTCGGACGACGGGGGATTACAGTACTAGTATATATCTGATGAAGTATGCGTATATGAGGAAGTTGGGTGTGCCAGGGGCTGTCAGTATTTTGGCCATTTACCAGGGACACGAGGAAGAGTTATTAGCGGCTACCTTTCAGTGTATCATCACTGATCTAGACAGCCGGTCGTGTACCATCATAGGTGTGAGGCGGTAGCTGGCACTGAGATTCTAGGCAAGGTTTATTATATATAGCAAGCGCACTCGCGAAGAATTAGCATCATTAGCGGTTTTAGATCTACCTGTCCACTGGATGTGGGTAGAGTTCTATTGAGACAACCGATCTCAGATTCAAAGCGTGAAACCGAGTTGCGTCCAGCTGGCATAACTACCTACCTACTTCATAGATCTGAATGGAGAGTTAGTTATACAGGACGAGACAACCAAGTTCAACGGAGAGTTGGAAGCAGAGATGCCATAGCAGTGTCTAAGACATTGAGTTAACATGTTGCGCAAACCAAACCGGACCAAGCTCACACACTAGGGTAAATAAGCAGGCACAGGTTCAAGGTACAATACCTCGTGTCATCGTATCATACACAGGTTGCCTATCCTATGTGCAAAGCGGAAAATGCTGGCGCATTTTCCTACTAACCTCTCAAAAAGCTCTACAAAGAAACGAAGACGCACACCACAACAACAAAAAAATAGCCTACTTTAGAGAACCATGCACCCTCCCCACTGGGCTTCCCCTTTTATCATCCCCACCTCTTCCCCGGCTCAGGGACAATTCTCAACTGCCTGTCAGCCCAGGCTGGCTCCGGGTGGCGGCGCGCCTCGATGCTTCTCCATCGGCGATACCAATAGCGACTGTCAGACAGGACATGACAGGACATGACTTGAAGTTGGCAGTTGGGCCATTCTGCTTTAGAAAATCGACGTTCCATTTCCTAAAAACAAACTACACTCCCCCCACTCCCCCCCCATCTATCATCTACTGCGCGCCCCCCCAAGCCCGCTTAATGGTGCCACCGCTTCGCAGGAACGATGCCAGCGGTGCCGTTGTTAGGCAGCCCCGGGAACCCAGCCGACGGAGCGGCGGTGGCCGAGGCAGAAGTCTGGGAGGCAGTGACGGTGACGACCTCGTCCGTGGGGCACTCCTCGTCATCGGCGCCGTCCGCGGCGCCGTTGGTGCCGGTCGGGGTAGGGTCGGAAGCGGCGGAGGTCGAGGTGACAGTCACGACCTCGTCGGTGGAGCACTCAGCGTCCTCCTCCTCGTCGCCGCTGCTGCCGCCGCTACCGCTGCTGCCGCCGTTGTTGTTGCCACCGGCAGAGGCGGCACTGGTGGTGGTGGTAGCCGCGGCATCAGCGGTGGCGGTGGTCTTGTCCCCGCCCTTGGCGGTGGGAGAGGGGGCGGCGCTCTCGCCTGTGACGGTCACGTAGACGGTTGAGGCCGGGATCGTCTCGGTCACGGTCACGACGCTGGCGGCGCAGTCACAGGCACCGTTGCCGTTGCCGCTGCCAGAGCCACTGCCGGTACCACTGCCGGTACCGCTGCCGCTGCCGCTGCCGCTGCCGCTGCCAGAACCGTTGCCGGAGCCGGAGCCATTGCCAGAGCCAGAGCCAGAGCCAGAGCCAGAGGCAGGGACGGTGGTGGTCACAGAGCCCCCAATGGTAACCGTGCGCGTGCCAGTCGAAGTCGAAGTAACAGTCGTGGTCGTGGTGGGCTCACCCTGTCCATCGGCGTCAACGGACGAGACGGCGGACGAGGCGGGAACCGAGGCAGCAGGGGCCGAGCCCGCGGGGGGCGAGAGGACCTGGGTGTGGGTGACAGTCTCGACAATGGGCGTCTCGACGGTCGACTTGATGGTGGTGGTGACGACCTTGCCACCACCGTTGCCGTTGCCGCCGCCGAGGGTGGTGGTAACGACCTTGGTGATGGTCACGGAGCCAACCTTGGTCTGAGTGGCAGTCGAGAGGCTGACCTGGGCCGAGCCCGTGGCCGCCGGGCCCGAGGGGCTAAGAGTGCTGCCGGTAATGACGCCCTTGGAGGCATCATCCAGAACGCTGGACGAGATCGACGGGGCAGCAGTGACCGGGCAGACGACGGTGGTCAGCACGACGGTGTCGGTGACGAGGACGGTCGAGAGAGCCTCGGAAGGCAGCTTGGTGATGTCCTCGGTCCTCGCGGGGCAGTCGATGACCTCGGGAGCGCAGGATGTGATGGTGCGCACCGACGTAGTAGACACAGTCATGGTGGTAACGCCACCAACGGTGCCGTTGGCCGGGAAGGGGGCGGCACTGGTGACGACGCCGGTAGAGGCACCGGTAGAGGCACTGGTAGAGACACCGGTTGACAAGAGAACGGTGGTGGAGGAGACGGCCTCTGCTGACTCGGCCGAGCTGAGGGCTGGCGCTGTTGTGTTGTCACGCCTGAACCGCATGTACCGAGGATGTGAGTACGCGGAAGTGAGGGCCGCGAAGAGCCCGAGGGCGACAGTGGCGGATTTCATCTTTGCTGCTGTAAGAGTCTTGTTCTTGAGCTGCTCTTGGAGATGGCTTGCTGTCAAAGTGCGCCAGGCAAAATGAGTGATTCGAGAGCGAAAAGAGCGAGAGTCAACTCCGCAAGCAGCGAACTAACACAGTTGCTCGCGTGGAAAAAGAACGTAGATACAACGAGAAGCGAATTGTTGCTGGGCAGGCAAGCAAAAGGAGTGGTGCTTGACTGATAAAAGAGAGATGGACAGCACAGATGCCAAGATGAAGTTGAAGAAAAGTCAGGAAGAAGAAGAAGAGACGAAACAGACGCGAGACTCCATCCGTCGACCTTTATGAGTGTAGCATTCCATCTCCGTTGCATCCACAAAATTCCACGACATCTCCGGGAACCCCTGGCACGCCAGGGGCCCTCAGCGCCGTCGGAGAATGAGGGAGCATGGGCCTAGCCGCTGGGCATTCCCATCGGCCCATAGCATCACTGACGTACAGTCGTGGCTTGCCCTTATTAATCAAGGGGCTCCCCACAAGAATAGTCCATTACAATACACTACACGTACAAGACAGATCCTGCAAGCCCTGTCGAATGGCGTGGCCATGTTGTCGGGCTCGCAGAACAACGGGAAGGCTCTGGGAAATCCAGGACTTGTGCCCGGAATGACACGACTGCGTGTGCAGGGGCAGACGCAGGCACGGTGGACCTGAGACAACGGCGTATTCAGCCAATCGCGGGCCCGGCAGCTCACGTATCGGGTAACAGACAGTCCTGCGCCGTTGAGGTAGGGCAAGATCAAGGAGACCGGACTGGGAGCTCAACGCCAGAGATTCTCCACGGCGAGAATGATCGCACAGAGCCTTTGACGGTACCGTCATAGGTATCCGTAGCTGGAGAATCCATGTGGCATGCATGAGAGATCACTTCGTGGTCCGCAAGTCTTCCCAGATCAAGACCTGTGGTTCACGGAACGCCGGAGAGATTTTCGTCCTGGTCAACCGGGAACCCGGCTGATCCGAGACGAATGATCACCCGAGGAATCTGGTAACGATCTTGCTCGGCTGTGTCTTGATGCACAACAGCCAAGATGTCTCGTTTTGTTTCGATTGTGAGTGGGGGATCTCAACTGAACCAGTGCCTATCGACTTGAGGTTAGGTATATGTAAACGGTGTCCTAGCCTAAGCCTTGGTATCAGTGTGTATGAAGTTCGACGATGAACCGGATGTAAGGTTGCTTGAATGGGCTCTTCGGCCGTCATCGATGAACACATTTGTTACCCGGATTTTGTCCGATTTCGTGGCATTCCGGCTTTCCACATTCCAGAGAGAAAGCCCATTGTATGGGAAACCCTGGGGACGGAAATTTGTCAGGGGTGAGGTGAAAAAGGGGAGAGTTTCAGAACGCGATCCACCTCCGGAGTGAACACCCTTGTGGTCGGCGCCGGCTGCGATTGGCCTGCTCCTGACGGACCCACAAGCCACGGCGGCAGTGCCGTTTCGTCAATGCGAAACCCCAAACCCTCGATCTCCCCCGTCCGGAATCTGGATGCAGCACTGATGAGCATCCATGAAGAAACATCGCTGAGGAATCGACTTCTAGATCCCGATGCTTCGAATGTCTAGAATCGAACTCAGCCCTGTGATGATCTGCTCATCATTTGCTCGTGCAGACTACACTACTGTACTTGATATTGCTGCCGTGCCTCAAGCGTACCCTACGATCTGCCTACGGGGTTTGGAGGTATGCCACAGTAGTTAGTGCATTGCGCATGTTTCTCTCGTCTTCTTCTACCAAACTCCTCTTGCTCTTTCATTTAATGCTGGCGATCCGGCGCGGGAAGATCGCATCTGTGCCGAGTCGGCTCGATGATCTGGGAGATCAACTGCGGATCACCCGCTATGAGGGCAAAGCAACTATGAAACCGTGATGAGTGAGCAACTTTTGATGTTTGACAGAGCTCTCGTCCTTGACCGAACCAAGGCCCCTGAGAGAATCACCCAGTGATAGTAAGTTGACTGGCTTCTGAACCGTGCGGTGGATGTCAATACTCAATACTATTAGTAGTGTTAGTAATTCTTCAAGCTTCCGATGTTGTGCTCGCCAATCGGAGACTCGGAACGGGCGGATGATCAGAGGTCGAACTGATGTTGTCATCAGGCTTCGCACTTCAGAGCACCTTCCTCAACGAGGCAAAGACACGGCTAAAGCGTAGAGGGTTAGGGTTATAACCGTATGACTTCACCGCCAACGACAGGTTCCAACTTCCAACTCTCTTATCGCAGCCTATCTCAATTCCTGTGCTGTACTGGTCCATTGCTGCATTTGTCCTTTTGTCAGCATCCAGTCGGGTCGATCCTGACTCTTCCTCTCGATACCTGTTTGATCCTCTGGTGTCTTGCTACTTTGCTTGTTTTACTATTTCCTGAGCATTACCTGGTAGTCTCTTCTCTTTCATAACCGACAGGAACCTAACAGCTCAATGAGCTTGCCTCACTACTAGTAGCTCTGTTATCATGCGTAAGCGTCCTACTTCCCAAAAAAGCCTCCTTACAGTAGGTAGTGTACCGCAGAAACTGATCGTCAGAGTAGGCCATCCATCGCTGTTGTCCTGCTCGCTCCCGCTGCTCCTCCAGCTCACTCCGGGCTCGGCATTCCCCATCATCGGTCAAGGGGTCTTCATCAATGCCTCCAGCTCCGGCGGCAGCAGGGGCGCTGTTTCCAGCGAAAGCTCCATATGTTCCAAAATCGGGATAGACACCATTGCACTAGGGGTGAGAGCCGTCTTGTGGTCTATTATCTTTCTTTTCTTTTCTCTTCTTTTTCTTTCTCTTTTTTGTTTTTAGTGTCACGCTGACCGCGACAGGGAACGGCCGCTGATGCTATGGTGGCAACAACACTATGCGTGGGCGTCATCGGCATGTACCACTCCGGCATTGGCGGAGGAGGCTTCATGCTCGTCCGTGACAAGAATGGCGTGTACGAGGCCATCGACTACAGGGAGACCGCCCCTGCCGCAGCGTTCAGGGACATGTACGAGCACAATCCCAACGCCAGTGTATTCGGCGGCTTGGCTGTTGGTGTTCCTGGTGAGCTCAGGGGGTTGGAGTATCTACATCGGAAATACGGTGTAAGTAATTATGGAACGACTTGGAGTGAGGTACCAGGTACTAGTTGACCAACTCTCCCTCTAGATATTGCCATGGAAGACGCTAGTCATGCCTGCTGTACGCGTTGCCCGAGATGGCTTCCGGGGTAAGCACCATCCGAACAGCATCAACGGCGTACCTTGTCGCTCACGAGATGTTTCAAGTCAACGAGGACCTGGTCCGGTATATGGAGGCTGCCAGTGCCGATAATAATACCTTTCTTGTGGACGATCCCACATGGGCGGAGGACTTTGCTCCCAACGGTCAGTGTTCTGATGAGCTGGCGGATTCCGGCATGTACTGTCTCCGTTACTCACACAGTCGTCTAGGCACGCTGGTCCAACTCGGGGATACAATCACGAGAAAGCGCTATGCAGAGTGAGTGAGCTACTCAAACTGGGCTGGCATTCGCTCACGTCTTGAAGTTCTCTTGAGAAGATCGCCAACGAAGGAGTTGATGTGTTCTACAAAGGGGGTATCGGTAGGCTCGCTTGTTCCTCGTTATAGTCCTGCATAACTTGGGGGACGCTAATGGACTGCTGATAGCGAAATCCATGATCGACCTCATCCAAAAGACAAACGGAACCATGACGCTTGAGGACCTGAAGAACTACACAGTCGATGTGAAGCCACCGCTGAACATCACCTACGGCGACTACAGGTTGTTCACAACCGACGCGCCGAGCAGTGGAGCTGTCATGTTCAGCATTCTCAAGACAATGGAGGAGTATCCCGTACAGGATCTCATCGACACCAACCTGACCACCCACCGTTTCGTCGAGGCCATGAAGTTCGCCTATGGGGCGCGTCTAGAGTTTGGCGACCCGGCGTTTGTCCAGAACGTCACCGATATTGAGGGGTGGCTGCTAAGCAACGACACGGCCCAGGACATTCGTCACCGCATCTTGGACAACCAAACCCAAGCGGTTGAAGCCTACGACCCCTTGTCCCTGTACAACCCCGAGAGCCACGGCACTTCCCACATCGTCAGCGCGGACGCCTCTGGCTTGACCGTCACGTCCACGACCACGATCAATCTCCTCTTCGGTGCGCAGATCATGACCCCTGACACGGGCATCATCCTGTAAGTTAAGTTCGTGCCTGGGGTGCCTCGCCGCGACATTCCACTGACTTCAAACCCTTCTTCCAACAGGAACAACGAGATGGACGACTTCTCCCAACCCGGCCGGCGCAACGCCTTCGGCTTCGCCCCTTCGCCGTCCAACTACATTGCCGCCGGCAAGCGGCCACTCTCCTCCATAACCCCGATCATCGCCGAATTTGCCGTCAACTGCTCCCTCTTCTTCGCAACCGGCGCAGCCGGCGGGTCGCGCATCATCAGCGCCACCACCCAAGTAGCGTGGCACATACTCACGGGCAACATGTCGATGCACGATGCCATTGCCGAGCCCAGACTGCACCACCAGCTTCTGCCGGACATGCTCATGCTCGAGGACGGGTTCGACAACAGCACGGCGGAAAGCTTGACCGGGAAGGGTCATGAGGTGGAGTGGATGGCGCCGGGCACCAGTGCTGTGCAGGGCGTGATGAGGCTGTGGGACGGGCGGTTTGATGCGGTCGGGGAGACGAGGCAGGTCAATAGTGGGGGTTATAGCATCTAATGGCGAAGTTGAAGTCATGGTGAGCCTGAGTTTGGGGAGAAATCCGGGTTGATGATGTTACAGTTAACGCTACGTCCATAGACAGAGGCAGCATTAGCAGTAGCATTGGCTAAGCGAGCAATTCCACTTCGGTACTAGTAAAGAGCGAGATACGATCGATCATTTTCATTCATGGATTCTGCTTTTCATTTACAAGCCTGCATACCAACATCCACCCCCTCCGGCAGGTCGAAAGTCGTGATCACCCAATACCGCCCGCCACCCTGTCCCGTTGCAACAACGCCCCTATTTCTTACGTCCATCCACCCCCGCCTCTCTGTGTTCTCTGGTTTATCGGCTGGTATCAACAACGTACCGCCCCACGATCTTGCCCGCCTTCATCAAGTCGTACACGTTCTGCAGCTCGCTCAAGCCGACCGTCTTGAACGGCACCTTGACGAGCCCACGCTGGAAGAAGTCGAGCGCCTCCTGCGTGTCCTGGCGGTTGCCGACGTAGCTGCCCTTGATGGAGATCATGCGGATGACGGTGTCGAAGACGGGCGCCTTGAGGAAGGCCTTGGCGGGGAGCCCGATGCAGATGACGGAGCCGCGGCTGCGCACGTACTCGGTGGCCTGCTGGAACGGCTTCTCCGACACGGCCAGCAGCAGCACGGCGTGCGGGCCCAGCCCGTCGGGCGTCGCCGCCTTCACCTCGCTCACCAGGTCCTTGCTGGTCATGAAGTCGACGTAGGCGGCCGCGCCGAGTGTCTTGCAGCTCTGGCGCTTCTCCTCGCCGCCGTCGATGCCGATCACGTGCATGCCCATGGCCTTCGCGTACTGGATCGCCATGCTGCCCAGGCCGCCGCCCGCGCCGACGATGGCGACCCACTGGCCCGGGCGCGCGCCGGACTCCTTCAGGCCCTTGTAGACGGTGATGCCGGCGCAGAGCACGGGCGCCACGGCCTCGAGGTCGACGTCCTTGGGGATGCGCGCCACGTGGGCGGCCTTGGCGATGGCGTACTGCTGGAAGCTGCCGTCGACCGTGTAGCCGGACAGCAGCGCGTGCGGGCACAGCGGCTCGTCGGCCTGCATGCAGAAGGAGCAGGCCAGGCAGCTGCCGTTGAGCCACTTGATGCCGGCGTAGTCGCCGACCTCGATGTCCGTCACCAGCTCGCCCTTGGCCACCACCACGCCGGCGCCCTCGTGCCCGCCGACGAGCGGCAGCTTGGTCGCCAGCGGCCAGTCGCCCATCATGGCGTGCAGATCTGTGTGGCAGACGCCCGAGTACTTGACGTTGACAAGCACCTCATCCGGCCCGGGCTTCTGGACGGGGATCTTCTTGTAGACGACGGCTGCAGCATTCCTGTTAGGGTGGACTAATTCTCGTCTTTGGTTCGAGGGAGGTGGTAAGCTTACGGCCGCCCGACTTCTCAACCACCTGTGCCCATTGCTCGCTTGGGATATCGAAGCCAGTCATTGTGAAGTTGGGGTCTGAGAGATGTGGTGTTGAGAGGATAGTGAGAAGAGACGATCAAGAGGTGATGATGTTGATGATATCAGAGTTGTAGTGTTGTGTGGATCAAGTAGTCTGGAGGGACGAGAGATACCGTCATGCATGCGCGGCCTGCGCACCCCCTTTATACTCAACCCCCATCGCCACGGCTCAGTGCTACAGCACTCATCATGATGCGAACGAGCGATTGGAAACGGCAGGTTTCGTTCAATAGGAAGCAAGAAACACGAGACGAGCGGGGAAGGTGACAAGACCCGTACACTAAGCCAGATCTGCAGGCATTGGTTAGGTCCACGGGTGGGAAGATGTCAGTCGGTTCATCGCCCGGCCAGACAGGAGATCGGTGCAGCCAGGCGAGCAATCCTCGAATCTGGAACCGCGTGATCCGGACGACAGCTGCGAGGAGCTGCACTCCCTGTCTGTAGCTTCGATCGCGCCTGCCACTCACAGCCTCCTGCATCACACTAGGGGAGTTGGATGCAGAGTCATCTCCAGAATAGCAGATAGAACCCCATATACCGGGCCTCTTTTCCCAATGCATTGTCTCCGCGAGCCCGAATGGATGCTGCTAGCCACGTATGGGTTTGAGCATCCCAAGCTCCCATGACCTGCTAAAAGTGTTCCGCACGGGCCCTTTCTAGCCCCCAAGACGCTGGAAGCAGGCTTGGCCGTCCTGCCTGATTTGCGACATGAATGCGAGCTTTGTTGGAGAGTCGACATTTCCTCCCGTGCTAGCAAGTGGTCTGATTCTGATGTTTTGGGAAGCAGATCCCGCGCGGGCATCGCCGGAGCAGCGGAACCAAGCGATGGCGCTAACAGCCCTGTAGGTGTACCAGGTAGTGCAAAGATAGGTCCGCATTCGGCGCCTCAGGTCGGTGACTCGGTGCAACATCAACATCCCGCGCCACAAAACAGCTGTCTCAGGTTACAACACCAGAAAAGCCTTTCAAACTTCGGATCCGGATCAGGACATGCTCGTGTTGTCGACAACTCACCGCCCGAAATCTTCCCAAGAAGATCATTCGAACCAATCCACTCTTTCGGGCCTATCTCGCATCCACTGAGGGTTGCCGCGGTTTTTACTGCTACCTTCAACTTCCGAGCCAGCTCCGTGACGTCCTCATGTGCAACCGAAACGGAGTTACGTCAGTCTGACAACAACCTACTGTACCCCCATCACTGACCTGCAGAGAGTGTCGGATGCGAGGCGGATGGTCTGCAACAGTAGGGCTCCAGAGCATCCCTACTGTGAGTTCTAGCAGGGTTCCCCGCAGATTATCCGCTCCCCCGGACATGTCTCAGCACTCAAGCCACTTACAGATAGGTACTACTGTGTATGTGTGCAGGTGTTACAGGTATGTATGTGGAATAGTACAGGCTTACTCGCCGTGTAGATAGAACAGCAGTACTAATAAGGACACCTATTGGCTCGGAAGTAAGCCAGCAAACAAACAAACAACTTAGCAGAACGGACACCCAATCAAGCAGCATGCTTCAGCTCGAAGAAGATTCCGTCTGAGCGAAGGAGTGATGCTACTGTGTGCTAGTGTACATCTCCAGCTGGTGGGGGTGGGGGGGAGAACGAGGTGACATTGGATCCCGAGGTCTAACGTCGACGGGAGGATCACCAACTCAAGTCTCGACCCACATAACCTGGGGTTGAGGTGACCTGGGGAGATCCGGACCACTTCCGTCCTCTTCCTCTAGGAAACTCGAGATGTGATGAATGCCGATGTGGGAAGTCCCGCCGATGAAATGTCCCATGCATAGCCCCCGCCGCGAGGCGGGACTAGTTTACGGATCTGGGGTAAAACGCGGGGTAAGACAGCGGCTCAAGCCGGCCTTATGTATGCACAATGGATCGATCTCGAACATCCAGAGACCCTGCCATGGTGGCGTAGTTGGGGCAGGGACTAGCCAGATGGCCGTCTGCCCGATAGGCCCGGCGCCGGCCGACCCCGCAGAGACCCGGAGATATGGAGACGGGGGTTCCGGGCTTGGCATCCGAAGGCAGACGACACGGAGCCGGCAATGCACCAACCATCACAACAGACCTTCGTCGAACATCATCTCATCACTCCGTCGCCAGAAGAAAGGTGTCACATCATGCCGGTTCAACATTCCTATCTGTTTTGGGCGCCGTCCCCCAGAAGTTCTACCGCGCTCTCTCCCCGTAAAAGATCGCTTGCCTTTCTCCAACGACATCACCGAGCCGTCCTAAGAACCCCCAGGCCCTCCCAGCAGGGCAAATCTCCGCACGATGCCCGGGCCGTATTCTTGGTACTATCGACACGTCAGTCAAAATACTACCCCCATCCAGACCAAAGACAAAACAAACCTCTGCCTTGGTGTGGCAGTACGAGCGGAACTCGGGCGTCTGGCCAAGCAAGCTCCCGCCAAACCAGGGGCCGTGCCGCTGCCGCTTGTGCGTGATAACCTGCACCTCCAGCCCTCCGCTCTTTGCTCCACCGCTGCGCAGCTCGCTCTGGCGGATCCTGGCGTCTACGAGCTGCTTAATGTCGCGCTGTAACCTGCGGCCAAAGTCCTTGTAGAGCGTGCTGCCGCCCGAGAGCACAATGTTCTTGTAGAGGCCGCGGCGGACGTCGATGGGGGACGACTGGATGACGCCGTCGACGACCACGGGGAGCGGGGTGAGGAAATCGGACGAGTAGATCTCGGGGTTGAAGAAGATCTCGGGGGCGAGGAAGCGCTCGTAGCCGACGTCGACGGTCACCTGGCGACCGCCCGGTTGCGCCACGACGTGCTTCAGAAACCGGCTGCGGTCACGGTCGTATTTGCCGAACTCGTTGACGATGTCCGGGCAGACGTAGCAGTACTCCTCTTTGATCTCTTGCGCCGTCTTGAGCGACGAGTCGGGTTCGCCGCGGTCTCGGAGGAGAGACTGGACAAAATAGGTAATGTCGCGGCCGGCGATGGGGATGGACTTGATGGACGAGCCGATAACGTAGCCCTCGGCCACCGGGATGACGTGCGTGACACCATCACCGGAATCGATAACCGTGCCTGTGAGAGACCTGTCGGTGACCTTGGATGATGTCCACGAGGCAGCGAGCGCCAGCACGGCTTGGACGGCAATGTAGAGACCGGCGCAGTTAAAGGATTCGAAAAAGATCTCAGCTGTGTTTTCCCGATTTTCCGGTGGGTTCAGCGGCTGGGCACTGTGTTAGTGAATACGCTTGTGAATACTCCGCGGGAAGTCTGACCGGCTCCGTGAGTAGGAAGTAGTGGTCCTCGGGCTCGACCCTGAGGTATTTGAAGATAGAGTTGGACCAGAATCTCTCCATGTGATCCTGCCAACCGCGTGTCAGTTCCGTTCCAGCTCCGCCTTTCCCAGCTCAACTAACCCAGTTCTCGATCTGCCCATGCCGGATCGGATAGTGTAGTCCATAGCCTAATACTGTCAGCCGGCGACAGCTCCCTTAGAAGACCCCGACTTACCGGGTCCGGAGGCAGCATTGATCGCCTCGTCACCGATGAAGAAATCGAGGTCCTCCGTCCCACGCTTTGCCGATAGATGGCCTGTTGGACCAGCTCCGCCAGTAAGGAAGGACGGCTTGTTCGCAACGGCGGGGCGGCCGGAACCCGAGCCACCGCTGCCGCCTGCAGGCCCCTTGGTCGCAATCGCTGTCGGGAAGACGAAGGAAGGCGAGTCGTTGCCGGCGAAACCTGGAGAATGGGCGGGTCAGTCTCGCAACGGCGAAAGATCGCGGTGAGCTCCCGGACGGAGAGACAAACCTAGCTTGGAGAATCCCGTGCCGCTACGTGGGTGTGGTCAGTGATGGTGGATCGAAGCCGGCGACGTCTCCTCGTCTCCAGGAGAGCGGGGCTTAAGGGGAGTACCGGTGTGTTGCACGTACTTGTCCATGACAACGGCCGGGGTTTGGTTGGCCATTGTTTGAGATTGTTGCTGCTGCGCGCAGCTTCCACCTTTTCGTCCTGCGCAGCAAATGCAGCAAACGGTGCTCAAGGAGAGGAAGCTTCCAGGCTGGCAACGCAGTGTTGCGGTCCAAGATTACGTCTCGCCGAGCTGCTGCCCAGTGTGGGATCCACGATGCGGCTGTGCGCCAAGAAAGGAGTGCCCCGCCAGCTATGGCGGCCCAGATCTCCGGCTACGCAAATTAGTTAAGAACCCGCAGCTGACTGAGCTCGAAGCGAGTTTACTCGAGGGAGACAGAGCCGCGACTGCCTTCACCTTGAATACCTATAAGACGACCTGCGGACAAGATCTCGGCCGGCCAGGTTCGATGGCAGTGGACGGTATTCGAGCTCCTAGGATTGAAATTGCACAATGCGGCGCACATCTTCCCGATGGGCTATCAGAAACACTAGTACAAGCTCATGTTAACCTCCACGGTATGATCATAGGTACCCGACCTCAAGGAAAGAGGCGGAGTTTCCAGATTGAACATGAAGTCTCTCGACCGTGTGCGGTCCCACTGTTACTGAATGCTTTTCGGCAAGAACGACCCCATCTATGATGATACTCTTACCCTTTGCGATGTTGAGTACACAGTCGCGAGACGTCAGGCGGAATTGTGTTTTCACATCAAGGCCACACGCCGAAGCCGATCTTCAGGCTCAACTCTCTCCTCAGTGCATCGAATTATCTTATTTAGTTTGAGCCTGAGTTTGCTTGGACTGCCACCATTCAGGCATTTGCCCAGTTCCTACCAAAAGCATCCTGCTCTGCAGGGTTTGTTTGGTTCATCAATTGCTCTCCATCCCTCATTACCTACCTGGCTGTCTTAGACACTACCACTACCTATTCTGCAAACTCAGGCTGCCCGCGAACTATACCATCCCAGTTGGCAATCCCTTGCTTGCCTCGCACACCACAGGCAATCCGCACAACAGTTGCGCCACCTTAGTCACGCGGATGACAACCGTCTGCAGTCGATTCATACCTCTTATTGCCCTAGCCACCTAAGCTCCTCGAACAACCGAACCTACGTTACAACCCTTCTTCTGTACCCGAGTACCGACCCAAGCAAGAAATCGCAACGACACCTTGTACGACTCGCTCACATCTTGCCAGCAAGGCGAGTCTCAACCGGATAATGGGCACGATGGCGACTACGGATGGTGCCGTCGACAGCGTACCAAGACGGAGGTCTAAGGGGCCGGTTGCGTCTATCTTCGTTCACGCAGGTGCCGGCTATCATAGTGTCACCAACGAGAAAGTACATCTTAAGGCTTGCACCGAGTAATTTCTCCCAAGCCGAACTCTGAGGAGACATAAGCTGACATGCCTCGATCAGTGCTGCTCGCATAGGCATGAGTTTCCTCAAGGCTGGAGCTACCGCTACTGAAGCTGTTGAAGCAGCCATCAGATGTCTGGAGGACAAGGAAATCGCAAACGCCGGGTTTGGAAGCAACCTGAACATCGATGGCGTGGTCGAGTGCGATGCAACCATTGTCGATCATTTGGGTAGAAGCGGCGCCTGTGGCGCTGTCCCAGGTATGCACAGATCCTCCCTCGCATGGATCATGAAAGGCCACTTGACTCACTCACTCGATTAGGAGTCAAAAACCCCATCTCCCTCGCCAAAAAGGTTCTGGACACGAGCACCCAGCCGTTGTCCCTCGGGCGAGTTCCGCCGAATCTCCTCGTGGGTCAAGGAGCGAGGGAATTCGCCGATGCGCACGGAATCAAGACCACTCGAAACGAGTCCCTGGTCTCAAAGAATGCAATGAGCCGCTATCTTCGCTGGAACGAGGAGTTGAAGAAGGCCGAGGCGCAAAGGAAGGCACGCAAATCATTTTTCGGTGACTACTCCAGTGGGCAAAGGACACCGAGGAAGGGCGATTATGAAAACGTCGCAAACCGGGCTGGCATCGCGGCACTTCGAGACCACACGAGTGCCATCCTTATGGGTACCTGGAACGAAGGCCAGCCTGACTCGCCCGATTCTGGCGGCTCCGCTTTGGGCGAGCACGGATCGCCCGCAGTCGCAGCCGCTCCAGCCTCATCTCACACGTCGACACCGAAGCAGTCAGTAGAGTGCACAAACGTGAGATCCGAATCGCCATATCTCATGACGGCCCCGCCTCCGTCTGCTTCTGGCCACGATGGGCCGGGAAGTAGTGACACTGCAGAGGTGGATATGGCGGACGATTTCGATCCCTATGGGGCTGAAACTGACGAGGACATGGTGACGGACACAGTTGGCGCGATCGCAATCGACTTGCAGGGAAATATCGCAGCTGGATCGTCGTCCGGAGGCATCGGAATGAAACACAGGGGTCGCACGGGACCTGCCGCCCTGGTAGGTGTCGGTACCGCCGTTGTGCCCGAGGACCCTGATGACGACCTGGCCACTTCCGTGGCTGCGGTCACCAGTGGCACCGGCGAGCACATAGCGACGTGCTCCGCCTCTGGGAAGTGCGCCGAGCGCCTCTTTCAGGGGAGCCGCCGTGGGCCCGGCGGACGGGACATTCAGGAGGAGGATGAACACGCCATCCTAGAATCCTTCATCGTCGACGACTTTCTAGGCCATCCCGGGGTCAGAAACCAGCACACGGCTGGGGCCATCGGGGTCATGGCTGTCAAAAAGGACCGTACCGGAGCCTACTTCTACTTTGCTCACAACACGGACTCGTTTGCGTTGGCTTCCATGTCCTCAACGGAACGGGAGCCGCTCTGCGTCATGTCGCGTCTTGGTAGGACCCGGCAGGTGGCACAAGGCGGGCGGAAAGTTCGCCTGCGGTGAGAATATCCCTTCCCGAGTGGGTAAAGACATGACTTGGAGATGAGGGTACCCTGAGTGTGTACGGTACTGTTGCTGGCTTGCTGTCTGAAAACCTGGAGAACTTAGACCATGGTACATACTTTTCCTCTGGCCATCCGTTCCTACATCGAAACAGTTTAGAGGGCTACAATAGAATAGAAGGCATTATTTCTTCACTCACGGCTTGTAAGTGTCCCGAAAGTACATCAAGTTTTTCTAAGAAACATGCTCGAGACGGGAAGACTATGCTGCATTGCCGACTGGTCTTTTGAGTCAACGCTAGTGTCGAATCAATGGACACTTCTCTTCTGATGTGGCCATGTCATCCATGTACGCGTTGGGACGAGCTACGGCACATCTGTAGGAAGCAGATACAATCGTCATTCTTTTCCAGAACGCCACGCCTACCCAGGCAATTTTCGATACCACTTAGACCCCTCAGGACGCCTTGATCTTGACCGCCCCCAAAGAAACCCAACTTGGCATGTTGGCCCCATATGACTCTATACCTTCCTTTCCCTCCCACCTCTCCGCTCCACTCGGGCCTTCCGTCAACAGCTTTCTCGCCGGTCTTCTTCAAGTCTGACCATTCACGCCGGTCCTTCTCTGGTGGTCATTCCTCCCCGCGCCATCAACCACGACAGGTTTCTTCCCGTAGCTCCCCAGCGCCAGCTTCGTCCCGCACGTCAGACACTCCGCGTCCTCGGGCACCTCGCAGAAGATGCTCAGGCAGACGGAGCACACGAAGCCGATGTCGACCACGTTGCGGTGGCAGAAGCAGGCCGCGCGGAAATCGACTGCGTCGGCGCTCGGCGTGACCAGCAGGTCGGCCACGTTCGCGCCCGCGCCGAGCTGCACCGTCTTGGGTCTGCCTCCTCCTCCTCCTGATCCTGATCCTGACACTGGCCCGTTGGTGGTGTTGGCGGTGTTAGCTGCGGCTTGGGATTTGGCGGCGGGCTCCTTCGTTTTGCCCGCGCCGCCGCCGCCGCCGCCGCCCGCCGGATTGGACGGGGCGCTGCCGCTGCCAAAACCGAACATGAGGTACTGCAGCAGGCCCTGGGGTTCTGCGGCGCGGACGAAGGTGCCCCGCGTGATGAAGCTGGCCTGCTCGAGGAAGGTGGCGCTGCCTCGCAGGGAGAGCGTGTCGATGGCGATGCGGGCGTGCGCCGCAGCGAAGACGGCGTTCATGGTGGGGATGTACTGCGCCGGCGAGCTGTCGCTGACCGAGATGATCAGGATGCGGGCGTGGAGGCCCGCGAGGCCGCCGGCGCTTGTGGACGTGCTTGCCACGGGGGCTGCGCCGACTGCCGTGCCCGCTGTCTTGGGGGCGCCAGTCGCGGTGGCGTTGGCTGCGGTGGCCGAGGCGGTAAAGGAGAGCGCCGTTTTGTTGATATGGGCGAGGGCGAGGGTGAGGGCGCCTGATATTTGGGGTGTCGTCGCGGAGAGGTCGGCGGCGGTGGTGTCGTCGATGAGCGCCCGGAGAGAGGTGAGGACGGAGTTCTCGATTTGGGCAAACTGTGGGTATTTGTTCGCTGAGGAGGATTTGATGTCTGAAGCGGACTTGGTGCCGTTGCTAGCATCCTGCATGTCGACATCCCCCGAGTGTGACTGTGCCGGCTTCGGCGCTGCTGGGTAGAGCCAAACTGCTCGGTTGGTATGTGCCGCTATGAGCGCAACTTGGTTGGAGTTGCTGAAGGCCAGGTGGGCGTTGACGAAGATGAGTACATTTGCTATCGCCTTGGAGATTGGGAGGACGTCGGCAAGGGCTGCCCATGCGCGCGGATTCGTGTCGATTATGATGGTGCAGAGCGACGGGATATCGTCTGTATTGTGCACCTCATAGTGCTCTGAAGCGTCGACGGCATCTTGCACACTCATGGTGAGATCGGTGGTCTGATGCTGCGGCGGCCCACGGCGACAGACCACGCTCCCTTATTAATAGGTAAGGTTTTGATGTCACAGCCTCAGTGCATCCGTGATCCGCTGTATTCTCCTCTGAGGTCTACTGGTACCTTTAATGTGCTCTAATAAGCCACCGACTTTCGTCCCAGTCAAGATATGCTCAACGGATCCGAAACGGTGCTACTACTCCACGGCAGCTGAATGTGTATTCATATATTTATTGCCACACACAGTGACTTTTCTTCGTTGTGTTTCTGAAATTGGCCCCGGGAAATCCTGGAGGCTGCGCGTCGTCGGGAAAATTGATGATTCGAGCAAGCCCAGGCTCACACGTCACGACGTGATATCGCCTGAGCACTGGCGCCCCACTCTGTTGCTTGTTTTGGGGGCCCTGTGGGGGCTCCATCTACTTGCAAGCGTCAAGACCGACATCAATGAAACGTTAGCTCAGGTTAGTTATCGCCGCCCATTATCTTGTGGAGGGGCAGCTCTCCGAGTCCCGAAGCTGGGTCGAAACGCGGTCGGACCCTTAAAGTTACCGTGACACAGCAGATTCCAGAGTTGTGGTTTTCATACAATCTAAGCCTAACTTTATCCTCTCGTTTTTATCGAAAACCGAATTTCGACCTGGCAGTGAAGTCCTGCATCCTGCATCCAACTCACAGTTTACCTTGGCTGCCGCCTACCATCACACTAGGCTGCCACTGCGCATCTCACCAATACAGCTCTCTTTGGGGCTAATAACGCCGCACTCAAGCGGATTTCAGCCAAGCAGTGAGCCTCCGTGCGGCATTTGGACAATCTCGGCATTCTCGGAGCTCATTTCTTATTTGGCGCCAACATGGCTACGGCAGCCTCAGTGGCGTCCGATGGGCCCCAATCCCTGAGCAGGCAGGACCAGACATTGCTCCTCTTCGCGGGCCTGATGGAGGGCGGCAAGGAGGACGAAGAGACCGTGGCCAACCTGGGAAAGCTGACGAAGCTCCTAAACGAAGATGCCGAACTCACTAAGAAGGGAGAACCATCAATCACGGACGTGATCGATGGCGACTGCGTCGATACTATTGTTGGCTACCTTGATATGAGGCAGCCCGAGGCTGTGCGAGGACGTGCCACGCTCTGCACCTCGGCGTATCTCAAGGCTGCCGGCGAAGATGGCAAGAAGAAGCTGTCCGAGTTCTTCCACGCCAGAGTCCAGCGAGCCACGTACGATGACTTCATCGTTGCATTTTGCGTTGCCTCCACCATCTTCCCAATCGAGCCCGACTTGACCTCCGAACTCCTGTTGAGCGAGGGCTTCTTGCCTAGCCTCGGTCCACTGATGCGACGGAAGTGGAAGAGCAGGAAGGTCGAGACGGCGTGCCTGGACATGCTTAACGCGGCATGCATGAATGCACTGTGCCGGGAGGCCGTCCAGAAGTACTGCGTCGATTGGCTTGAGGAAATCGTCGACCAGGACCCCGAAGATGCCGTGACGAACTTGCACCATATTGACCCCGGCGTCAATACGCAGGAGGGGTCTATCTCGATGAGACGGCATTCTCAGCATGTCCAAAACCTCGCCGCCGTGGTCTTGGCGAAGCTCAGGGTTAGCGACCACATCCAGGATGCACTTTCACGCTGATGATGTCCGGCTGACATCAAGCTTGAAGGCAGTTCCAGCTCCATCCGCCGGGAACCAGCCCGGGCAGCAATCCGAGCCTGGGATACCATCGGCGACAACCACCATTGAGGAGCTTTCGAAGAGGTTCACCAAGATGCTCGTGGACGACTCTGGCCACGTCCAGACTTCCGTTGAAGGGCTAGCATATGCGTCTCTGCAGTCGAAGGTCAAGGAGGAGTTGGCTCGTGACGAGGAGTCGCTCATGCGCCTTGTCAAAACGCTGGAGTCGGCTGCTCCGAAGTCTCCCCTGATGTACGGGGCTCTCAGCATCTTCGCCAACCTCACCCGGTACCAGCCGTTTGAGACAGAGGAGCAGAAAAAGTTGAAGCAGCTCAAAGCCTACGCAAACGCAGGCGGGAAGCTGCAGCCTGATCCCCTGAACGATGACACCCATGTTGCAGAGCGCTGTAAGCGTGTGTTTGAAGCTGGCATCACACCCGTGCTGGTCACGCACTGCAAGACCGGCTCCGTCGCGTCGCTCTCACTCACCATATCCATTATATTCTCGCTCTCCATGACCCCCGCTCTCCGGGGACAACTCGCTCAACAAGGAGCGGTGCGGTTGCTCATCGCGGCCTGGACCGCTCTTCCCGAGGCAGAAGACAAGCCTCGCCGCACGGCAGCCCAAGCCCTAGCGCGCATTCTCATCTCCACCAACCCGGCTCTTGTTTTCCGCCAGACTCCCCAGAGCGCTGCAATCCGCCCTCTAACATCCATCATCACGCCCGACCCGAACGCCGAGACCCGCGACCTGCTCCCGACCTTCGAGGCCCTCCTCGCGCTGACCAACCTCGCTTCGACGGACAACGACACCCGCGGAAGCATCGTGCGCGCCGCCTGGAACGACATCGAAGAGCAGCTCTTCAGCACCAACACCCGTGTGTCCACCGCCGCCGTCGAGCTGATCTGCAACCTCGTGCAGAGCCCCGAGGAGGCCCTCTCCCTCTTTGGCGACGGGTCGGTGAAGGCCGAGAACCGGATCAAAGTCGTCCTGGCGCTGGCCGACGCCGAGGACGAGAAGACGCGCAGTGCCGCGGGAGGAGCCCTGGCCAGCCTGACGGGCTTCGACGTCGTGGTGCGCGGGATCGTGTCCCAGCCGCGTGGACCCCCGATCCTGCTCGATCTGTGCCGCGACGACAGCGAGGGTCTGAGGCACAGGGGCGCCGTTATTGTGAATAACATGATCTCCCATGAGGGCGAGGTCGGAAAGGTGGCGAGGGGGAAGCTGGTGGCGGCTGGTGCGGTGGAGGCACTGACCGAGTGTGTGAAGAAGAGTCGCTCGCCCGAGGTGATTCAGATCGTCGTGCAGACCTTGGAGGTGCTCCTTGAGCAGAAGTGAGGGCGGGAGGGGATGTGTGGTGCCCATCTAGGCGTCGCTTGCATTGAAGGGGGGCTTGTAAGGCGAGATACCTTTTAAGATATGCAGGGGTTGCTCAACGAAACACATAAGCCTAAAACGCACTGCAAAGAGGTTTAGCCGTGGAGTTCGATTAAATTAACCTCCCGGGTCTAGCGAGGATCATACCCATTTCGTCGCTCCTTACCTTACCTTGTCAGAGACCCCGCGATGCCTAGGAAGCTATATTCATCATCTCGCAACGAAAGCCGCGGATAAATTGGGGCTGCTAATATTAGACATCTAAATCCCCTGTAATCATTTGAGAGACAGTTGTTGTACATTACATCTGAAACCTTCGATCAGGTGTAAGCTTCTATCAGCGCCAGAGTTGACCCTGTCCCCTACCCCGTAAATATGCCTACCAACCTACCTACCTACCTAGATATCCGTGCTTGTCTCATCCCTCCCCGTGAAGATCTTATACACCCTCTTACTGACAGCCTGCCCAACGACCCGATCGCTTACCTCGCCCTCTTTGTTGACGCTCTTGCGCACCCTCTCCAGCGTCAGCGGCCCGCCAGCCTCCAGACCCTTGACTAAGCCGGCCACCGTCCCAAATTCGGCCGCGATGCCGTACGCGATGGGCGCCGTGACGCGCCCAATCTCCTGCAGCATGCGCACGTACGTGTCGCGCGGCCCGTCCCCGGTGCGCACCTGGCCTGACTCCATGCAGAAGCCGGCGTCGTTGGCCGCGTCGCGCTGCCGCCGGTACGGCACCGTGCTGATGTGCTGCGTGAACACGGCAATCCAACGAGCCGTCTCGACGGGGATGGAGGTGTGGTGGATGAGCACGCCGTGCAAGACTTGCAGTTGCAGGAGGGCATCTTCGATGGTCTCTTCGTCTATGTACGTTTGCGGGTTGGAGGAGGAGTTGGGTTTGCGGCGGCGGGGGTTGCTGCAGCCTTGGGAGCCTCGGGGGGCTTCCTCGGCTGCTGGATCGAGGCCGTTGCGGACAGCGGAGACAAATTGACGGTTGCGGAGGTTGCGGTTCTTGCGGAGGTTGCGGTTCTTGCGGAGCCAGATGGTAAGGCCTTCGATAAGGTAGATGATGGTGTCATTGGGGAAGTGGCGCTTCATGCGGAGGACGTGCGATCCGAGACTGGCGTTTTCTTCGCCGAGGACCAGGTCGACAAACTGGGATGCCGGTATGACGACCATGGCGTAGTTCTCGCGCTCAATCCGCTCCGGGACCGGCTCCCAGTGGCCCAGCTCGTCGTTGTACCGGGAGCGGACCTTTCGGCGCCATTTGACGACCTTATCCACCGGGCTTGTCCAAGAGGTGGAGTGGACTTCAATATCGCGGAGGAGGGTCTCGGCCTGGAGCTTGGTAGTGTCGTCAAGGGTAGCCGGGAGGTCAACGATCATTTCTGGTGTCGACACCTTTTTGTCTGTCCGGATCTTGTTGACCTCCGCCAGGGCAGCTGATCTCGCCTTTTCCTGGGCCTTCTCTTCCTTCGCACGTTCTTTTTCTAACCTCTTGCGCTCCTTCTCCGCTTCTCGAGCAGCGGCCTTTTCCTCCTTCTCCTTCGCGCGTTCCAACGCCATCGTCTTCGCCTCAGCTGTGTCTGGCCTTTTCGCTGTCGGCGGCTTTGCTTTTCTGGACTGCTTCGGTGACCTAAGCGGCAGGCGCACTCCTGCTAGAGACTTGAATCTCTCTTTTGATGTGGCCAATTCATTGATGCCAGGAAAATCGTCGTCAGAGTCCGGCTGGAAAATGCAGTCATCCTCAGAGTCATCCAGAGCGATGACTTCTGACTGGGTTTTCCTAAGAGTCCTTGATGGGTACGACGGCTTCTGGTCGCCCGTCGCAGGAAGGGGAGCAGAGCTCGATATGGGATCCCACGGCGCGCCCGACTGAGCTGTCACCGCGGAACACCCCCGGGGTTGGGGGGAGCTGGAGACAAAGGGGTCTATGTCTTCGATGACATGCGCAGCGCTGGTCTTCGCGGGCTTGCTGGCCTCCCTGTGCAGAGGGGAAGAGCTGGCAAAAGGATCATCTTCCAGTCCTGGCGACAGGCCGGGAAGTTGGCTCTCGACCACTGATAGATCTATTACAGTAACGGGTGGCGGCGAACTGGCCAAGGGATCATGGTCGAACTGGTCTCCCTGGGTCTTGGTAGGTGCGGCATCCGCTCGGGAAGGGCCACTGTGTGGAAGCCGGCCAGAGGTCGTGTTTGCGCGGCTATGTCCATATACTTGCACAGGTTGTCTCCCAATGCCAGGGCCAGATTTTGCTGGCAGGCTGCCTGAAATAGCGCTGCTTCTGCCGAATGAGTCCAGTCGGCGTCTTTTAGGAATAGATTCAATAGACCCCTCAGTTACTGGGCCTCCTGCTGGGCCCGCGCCTGCTGCAAGGCTGGGAGGGCCGAGCTCATCGTCCGAAACGAGCCAAATATCGTCCGCTTTATTGGAGGTGGCTGGCTTCGAGTACGACCCTGACTTGTCCGGGATGCTGTTGCGGGGAGGCGATGTCACAGGCGGAAAGAGATCGTCAGAATCCAGTTGCGCGGCTTCAGGAGTCGTTGCACGTGGCAACGATGATTGCCTCGCTGTTTCTGGCGGCGGAGAGCTCGAAAGGAGCTCAATGACTTCCACGGGCATTGTTCACTGGGCCCAAGTCGTGAATATTTCAGGGAGTCTGGAAACAGTGGAAAGTAAGGTAATCTTGGCGAAATCGCATTGGGTCTCTCCCCGTTGTTTTTTGCTTAGTGCTGTCGTCAAGTCATCTGGTCTGTATGATCATCTTGACGTTCACATTACCACGAAAACCAGTCCAGTGTACTAGTATCCATAACGTAAGTACGGCAGTGTACTGTGCGAGGCCCCGAACGCGAAGGCAGGCGCGAGACGAACGCACTGTCACGTGATGGAATTCCTTCGATTGGTTTTTGAATACTGTGTGCACTGTGTGATGATATGGGGTACCGTGTGCGAGACAGTGTAACTACCTGACCTAATGGCTCCGTCGCACTCTGGAGCTCCTTTCTCACTCGCCTGCAGTTGATGTCCGCAAAGGTGTCAGGAAGGCCTCTCATCTGGGCCCTTTGCAGGACATAGCTCTCCTCGCGATTCATCAAGCTAGAGAGTCCACACAGCAGGTCTAAGCCCTGTCGACAGGATCGTCAAGGTGGATGACTTACCGTCTACTGTACATTGTACTTGTACATAGGGCGGACTACACTAGTGGTGCGCACGGTCGACGAAATCAGCTTCCCCGCCGAACCCGCGGTCGTCTCCTTCTGGCAGTCCTTAAGAGCCAGCTCCCGAGCTTGGTATTGATCTGACGCCCCTCGCCGAGTGTTACATAGAGAGGGGCCCGGCTGGTCGGCGGTCATCTGTCTGCAGAATAGGGACGAATCTGCTTCCCGCATGCCACTCGCGGAAGGATCCGAAGGCCAGACACGCATGCACAGATGAGGCCATCACATCAGACAGTCAGAGCGCACAGTTCTTTGCTGCGGCAAGGTCGCTTCAAACCCTCCATCCGGCTTCTTATGCTCCCTAAAAGGGCGGAAAAGAAAGCAGATGGTTACATTTGGATGCGCCGAATCCACGATTGGGTGAAAACACTGTGTCACTGCCACGGGTCCGGCATGCCGTTTGTCACGGGCACGGGTCTGTTGTGCGGTGTATTGGACATCTTTGTCCGTACCTAGGTAGGTACCTATGCAGGTATGGAAATGGTGCCCTCTGGGTGCTCCCAGTCCCAGGAGTTTCCCTAGCCATGCTACATCTATATTATAAGGTGATCTCTATGATATATTTGAGGCCCTTTCGGATGCCTGCTGGATACTCGAGTTCCGAAACCATGGGTGCAAGCCAGATAAGATTCGGTATGGAGCCTTTCGTCTCCAACTCTCCGTACCTTACCTTAGTTGGAGCACCTTATGTAAGGTACGGGCATGCGTGACAAATGTGCGCTCGAGACAGTGGGACTCATCAGTGGGACTTACCAGTGTTTGACGACATGTGAAGCTGCGTTTGAAGGTCCGTGCAAGACGGCGGCTAAGCCTGATTTGAGCACCCCACTCATCGCTTCGATGCTTCGACGAACCGAACCCCCATGTTCTGCATGCTGAGGTGGAGTATCGGGGCGATCAGGGCGATAGTGTGTAAAGTCAAACACCCTCTTGCGCGCTCTTGCGAACATGAAAACTGTGTGCAAAACACGCGTTTCCCTGCATTCCTCGTGTGTGCCTCTTGATGCCTTGGACCTCGAGCATTTCGTCTCCTGTAGGCGTAGGTGATAAGACGGTGATGTAACCTGCCAGTGGCCTGAAGACTGATGTGGTCAGGCTCTTATAGGTTTTGCCCGACCCTTCCATGAGAAGCACCTCCAACCTGATTCTTCAGATTTACTAGTAGTAGTTATTAGCAGCACCCTGACGGATAACCTGATCGTAACTTGAACCCACAAGAAGCTGGCTCCGTACACAGTATGGATTGTGCGTGATCGCAATTGCAACCGGTTTCCCTGCGCTCTTCAGGGGCGCGTTTGTAATTTGCGCTACCCTAGTTCAGCGCAATCAAATAATCAAGGGACCCCCAAAACTGCCCCAGACTGAAGACTTGAACCATCTCTTCCAAAAAAAAAGAAAAAAATCCGCACTCGAGGACAAGACACTCGTTGGAACTTTCATATGACGAAGCTGTGCTCTGGAGCATAAGCCCTTTACGGGTCCAATTGCTATCGCGTTTCGACTTATTGCAATCAAACAGCCACCGGTTCGTCCCATCTTTGGCGGCTGTTCCACGATCACTAGTAGCTTGAGCAAGCAACATCCTCGGTGGCAAAACGCGAGTGGCCAGTCCCACTGCGGCGTTCAGACGTACTGATCGATCGGGCGCGACCCCTTTAAAACAAGGTCCACGCCCGTTCGTGCCCACCAACCATCATGACTGGCACACCACCAGATTCTCCCGGCACATTACCTGCGCGACCGATGAGCGCCATGGTCCGCCCAACGCCGAGGAGCAATAGTCGCATGAGCGTGCACAGCAAAACTGGAGGAGGTAGTAGAGCGTCGGATGAGGACACGAAAACTGCTGTCAAAGTTGGTAAGTACACAACAGCATCCCGGCGCGCCACCGGCATCTCACAGCCCACGCGTGTCACTGTCACTGCTTCTCGGACAGCTGCATTCTGACATTCATTTGCAGCGGTCCGAGTGCGACCACCTTTAAAGCCGACCGATCCGGGTTACGAGCTCATCCCTCAGAGGTTTCAACGGTCTATGGTCCAAGTGCAATCGCCGACTAGTTTATCGATCGATTCGCCCCAAGGACGTAAACTGTTTGTTTTCGACAGAGTATTTTCGCCCGACGTCGACCAGGCTGGGATATGGGAGTACCTTGAAGAGTGCGTCAGCGCTTTTACCCAAGGATACAATGTCTCGCTTTTCGCCTACGGCCAGTCTGGTGCTGGCAAGTCCTACACAATGGGAACCTCGGGTCCTAGTGAGCAGGACGATCCGGATGCCATGGGTAAGCGGGTTTGACGGTTCTAAGCTATCGAGCGCTGCGCTAACAGTTGTCTTTAGGCGTCATTCCTCGCGCTGCAACCGCGCTGTTCGAGCGATTAGAAGGGCCGAAGGGGAACCCCAACCGAAGTTCCATGTCGCAGCTTCGTACGCCCGCGCGATATGCGACGCAACCAGCCAACTTCTCCCGGGGAGAGAAGAACTGGACGCTGCGCGCTTCCTACGTCGAGATCTACAACGAGCAGCTGAGAGACCTCTTAGTAGACGACCATCTTCCGCCGCACGAGCGAGGTACCGTCACGATTCGCGAAGACGTGAAGGGCAACATCATTCTCACAGGCCTGCGCCAGGTTGAAGTCAACTCGGTCGAGGACCTGATGAATGTCCTAACCCAAGGATCTACGCTCCGGCAAACTGACGCGACAGCCATAAACGCACGGTCATCGCGTTCGCACGCCGTCTTCAGCTTGAACTTGGTGCAAAAGAAGAGTAAGATGCAGGCAGCGCAAGGCCCCGAGAAGCGGTTTTCCATGCCGGTAGAGGCTCTGACGGGCGCCGACACACTGGTTACAACCGACAGCAAGATGCATTTCGTCGATTTAGCCGGCAGCGAGCGGCTCAAGAACACCGGTGCGCAGGGCGAACGGGCCAGGGAAGGCATCTCGATCAACGGCGGGCTTGCCGCGCTCGGCAAGGTCATTTCGCAGCTGTCATCGCGGCAGCCCGGGTCACATGTGTCGTACCGGGACTCGAAGCTGACTCGGCTGCTCCAGGACTCCCTGGGCGGGAATGCAATCACGTACATGATTGCTTGCGTAACGCCTGCCGAGTTCCACCTCAGCGAGACGCTAAACACGGTGCAATATGCGCAGAGGGCCCGAGCGATCCAGAGCAAGCCGCGGATCCAACAGGTCGAGGAGGGTGACAAACAAGCCATAATCGACCGCTTGAAGGCCGAGGTCGCATTCTTGCGGGAACAAATCCGGAGTGCAGAACGAGGCGGGGGCGAGCGCCGCACCCTGACCCCTGGCGAGAGGTCCGAGCGGCAGAACGAGCGGGAGGTCGAGCTTCAGAATCGCCTGTTAGACTCCGAGGAAAACTATAAGGCCCTGAGCGAGCGGCATGCACGATTGATTGCTGAGATGGCAAAGGCCAGGGACAACGAGATTGCGGAAAACCGGAACGGCGACGAAAACGGAGGCGACAGCGCCACTGAACGGTTGAACCGCTCCAACAGTTTTGCACAGGCCGTGGAGCAGGTGGTTCTGGAGTACGAGAAGACGATTCAGTCGCTGGAGCATTCCCTGGCAAGCACACGGGCCACCCTCGCCATCACCGAGGGATCCCTGCTGGAAAAGGAGACCAAGTGCGCGTACACCGAGACCATCAACAACCAGCTCCAGGCACGGCTGCAGAAGCTGATGGACCGCGAGGCTAGCACCGAGAATTACCTGCACGATTTGGAGGCCAAGCTGGATGGGCACACGTCTGGCGAAGAGAAGAATGCGACGATCATCCTGGAGCTGCGCAAGGAAATCGCCCGTGTGCGCGAGAACGAGGCCGCATGCGAGGACTACATCTCGACACTCGAAGAACGCCTGGCCGAGGCAGATCAGGATGCTGAGCTGATGCAACGTGAGATTGACCGGCTGGAGCAGGTGATCGAGCGGCAACGGAGCCTTGGAAAGCTGGACTCGCTGTTGTATGAGCTTGACAACATTGAGCAGGATGCGCCAACAGGCGAGGTCGAGAATGGGCTGAGTAACGGCGCAGGCCACCGGCGTACGGCCAGCCGGAGCATTGCAGAGCATTCGCGGAGTCAGAGCCACGTCAGCCGCCATAGCCAAATGGAGGAGACCATCCCCGAGAGTGGAGAGGAGGATATCATTCCGGAGGAGACTGAGGAATCGACCGGAGAAGCAAAGGCGACCGCAGACGCCACGACGCCCAAGCCTGCGCATGGTCACCTGGCCGACAACCGCGAAGCCGAGTATCCCACCAGCCCGGCGCAATCCAAGTTTGTTGCCGACAAGCTCGAGACGGTCACCCAGGAGCTCGTCGACCTGCGGGTCGAACACGAGGCAACGCTTAGCGATTACGACCTCCTTCAAGCCAAGTACGAGGAAGCTCTCCGGGCGTTGGCAGAGCTGCAGGATGTGGTGGACGAGTCGCGGCATCCGCAACGCGTACGAGATTCGATGCTTTCCGTGGCGTCGCCGCTCCAGACAAGGCCCCATTCCTTCTCGTCCGATGCTAGGACCAACGAGACAAGAGCGAGGTCTCTCTCATCCGAGTTGTCGTCTGCTCTGGAGTCTCCAGCTACTACTATGGAGTCGTCCGATGCCGAGACGGCGGTACCCAACGCTGAGGATCGTGTGTCTCCAAGAACCGAATCCGCTAGCGCTGACGCACTGTCGTCGGAGGTCGAGAGGCTGAAATCGCTCGCTGCTGAGAGGGAACTCGCAGAGAGGGAACTTGCCGAGCGATACGCCCAGTTGGAGGAACAGCACCAGCAGGCTCTTGACATGGTGGAGGAACTCAAAACTGAGGTCGCCAAGGCTCAGGCCGCTGCTAGCAGCGAGAGTTCGTCGCCGAAGGGTAACGCTCCGGTGATCCGTCGCAAGTCGAGCCAGAACGTGATGATCATTGACCGTGCTCATCGGTCATTTGCATCACTGCGAAACATCGCAGCCGAAAACTTCGAGAACCAGCCGGACGTGATGCAGAACTTCGAGCTCAACTTGAATGCAGCCATGCACGAACTGCACTCACGATCCGAGCGGATTCAGGAACTCGAGGCAGACGTTGCGACAGCCAAGAAAGAGATGGAGACCAAGATGACCATCATCTCCGGCTTGACCCGCGAACGGTCGAGTTTGAAGGCGGCCTCGCCAATGGATATGGCCATGGTATCGACTCTCAGGGAGCAGCTAGAGCAGAGCGAGAGGCGGATTAGGGAGATGCAGGAAGCCCACTCGGCCCGCGAGCAGGAACTGGAAGCTCAGTTGACCGAGCTCCGTCAGTCACATGAGAAGGCTGCCCGTGCGATCACATCTGCTGTAAAGGCGGCTTCCGAGCTGGAGGAGGCCTTGGACCAAGCAAGCCCAACGACTGAGGAATCCACTGCACATGCAGAGGTGGTTGCCGAATTGCAGGAGTCGCTGAAGCACGCCACCCTCGCCGCGGAGCAGGCCACCGCATCCGCCAACGCCGCTTCAGAGGAGTCCGCAGCCCAGATCGAGCTGCGCGAGAAGAAGATATCGGAGCTTGAAGCCGAACTCATCAGCTGGCAAGAAAAGCACGACACAGCGCTCCAAGGCATGCGCGATGCTGAGGAGCAGATGAAGAAGACGATCGCGGAGCTCGAGGTGGAGCTCGCTAACCGGGAAGACAAGCACAAGAATCTTGTCGACTTCTTGAGGAGCGAAATCGATGAATACAAGGGCTTGGTAAACAGCAACCAAGCCAAGGTTACTGACGCCGAAGAACAACATAAGGCAACCAAGAGACTCCTCGAGATACTCACTCAAGAGTGCGATGAAGCCTCAAGGGAACTCGAAATGCACAAGGAACTGGTGGCCAAGCTGCAGGCCCAGATTGCGGACCACGAGCAGACCATCAAGGCGCACCAGGAGAGCTTGCATGAGCTGCAATCGACGCACGCGAAGGAAATTGAGGAGATGATGTCATCATCACAACAAGACGTCGAGTCGCAGCTGACGACCCTTAAGTCTGAGCACGCCGCGCGCATCAGCAAGCTTGAGGGCGACCTGACCGAGGCGCGCGAAGACCTCATGAAGGTCGCCACGCAGGTTGCCTTCGCCCTCGGCTTAGACGTCAGCCTCGAGAAGATCTCGGAACGCATCGAAGATCTAGTCGAGCACCAGAAGGCTCTAGCTCAAGAGCAGGAGAAGAGGACAGAGCTCGAGCGCCATGTCGTCGACCTGTCCAACATCAACGACACGGTCATGCGCGACCTGGAGACCGTTCAGGCGAGTTTGGCCGAGCTTCTCGAGACAGGAGGGGAGAAGGCGCAGAGCTCGCACCCGATCCAGGAGCAGATTGCCCTGGTCAAGAAGAAGCTGGTGGACCTGGAGACCAAGAACAAGAAGAAGTCGCGGCTCGTCGAGGAGCTCGAGGAACAGCTGCAGAACAACTTCGACCAGGTGCAGATGGCGAGCAACCGCTTGTCTACGCTGCAAATGGAGCGGAACGCCCAGCTGGAGGAGGCCAATGCGGCCAAGTTCCAGCTCCAGACAGAGCTGGATGCCATCCGCAAGGAGTACGCCGCTCTCCAGGTATGTTTGGCACCATCAGGCGGGCTTCGGCTATGCGCGCCACTGACACATGCAATGCAGGCCAAGTACGAGAGCATCGTTTCCGATGGCATCCACGCTGTGGAGGGGCCGCAGCGCTCGGACTCGCACAATAACAAAGTCCGCAAGACAGGTTCCGTTGCCTCGCTCCCGTCGCCGCCGCCTGCCATCCCTCTGCCGCCGCTCCCCAACGGCAGCGCAGAGCGCGGCGCGGGTGCTGTCTCGCCGCCTCCCATGCGCCCGCCAAGCAAAGACATTGCCGCCTCGGCTGCCGCGGGCATGGCGCAGATCCAAGCCGACCAAGAGGAGCGCATCCAGCTCATCGAGAAGCACCTGCGCGCCGAGAAGCAGCTCACGGCGACGCTGGAGGAGGCGCTCACGGACCTGGAGCAGCGGCAGAAGGTGCTGCACGCGGACTGCGAGGCATGGCGGCGCCGGGCGAACGAGCTCGAGGTGGAGCTCAAGGAGCTCAAGGAGAAGCCGGCGCAGGATAACCGGTGGAGCCTGCAGCAGGTGGAGGAGGAGCGGCGGAAGCGGCGCGACGCCGAGATCGCGAGGGAGCATCTCGAGCAGCGCATGAACACCATCGCCAAGAAGAAGAAGAAGGGGAGTCTCAACTGCTTCTAGGAGGGGCGTGCGGGCTGGGTTCTACAAGCTGGGGCGGCTCTGGTTGTTTTGGCAGTCGTGGGTTTGGTACTGTGGTTTTGGGATCGGAAAGAGGAGATGAATCTGCGCGAGATGAAGATGCTGCTGATGGACTGGTGCCGGGACCTACTGGGCTGAGGGCGGGTGGCATTTTCTTTTTTTGCTTTTTTTTCCGTCTTTCTGCTTCTTCTCTTTCTGCTGTTGAGGTGGCGATTCCCCATTGATGTTTGATGTTTGATGTTTTGTTTGTCTCTTGTTGGTTCTTCTTGATTCCCCCTGAAGTTTTTGATTCCCCTTTGGCTACCCACGTTGCCTGTTGATCTTTTCTCTCTTCTTTTTATTTTCTTCGCTGTTGAGATTTCTCTTCTATTCATGTTGGGGCTGAAGCCATGTATCTCCCCCTTCTGCACATTCTTCTATTACTCACCTTGTTAATGTCGTGTCTGGACTGATGGTGTATGTTGGTCATGTGTATGTACGCATGTATGTACCTGATACCTTTGCTAGTACCTAAATGATGATGGAAGCGGTTGGCTTTGTCTTACTTTAAGCTTCCCGTCCTTCTTTACTTTCCACCGGTGGGTGATTTGTGGTTTAAAATTCCTTTGCTGTTAGACTAAGAGGCTCGATGGAGATGCTGAGTTATGTCTAGTCCCATATCTAGTGTGGGGAAGCGTGTAGAATCAAGCCACTGCACGGAATATAAATTCCCTTACCCTGCGGTCTTATACATTCATGCCAGGCTTTGCGTTGGGTCGCTGGGGAAGGACAGCCGCACCGGCAGCGGAGCATCGTGGGACGACATGGCAATGGAGCGATATATGAGCTAGCGAGCGTGTCTCCCCGGAGACCGGTCCGCACTGCAGTTCATATTCATCGAAAACCGGTACCGTTCCAGATCCCACCCAGGCTTCTTTATTGACCGTCCCACGGAGGACGGGTACTACTTGAACACGTGCCCGCATAATTCTGGATCCTTGTGACTGGAAGCTACTGCAAAGCCTACGTATGAGTGAGACAGACCAGGCAGAGTTGGGAGGTGTCTGTGGAAGAAGGAATGGGACACACCTCCCTCACCAGACCGGGCGAGGGTGGCGTGGTAGGGTCTAACGCAATGTAACAAAGCAGATGGGGAGCGTGGCACAGGGATACGGGTGCATTCGGGCTTGCGGGAACGGCGGCGTGGGAGGACAGCCGGCGAGGGGCCCCGGATTGGATGACCCCACCGGAGATTTGGGGGAAGAGGAGCGCTGGGCCACGGACTAGCGAGCTAGAACCCGTTCATCCTAGCGCCAATGGGATGGATGCTAGGTATTTGCTCTCTCAGGCTAGGGTCTTGTGTGTGAAGTCGGGGAGTGTTTGCGGGCGAGAGGCGAGAAACTTGAAAGCCAGTCCCTTGGCACTTCAACGCTGCGCCTTTTCGGTCAGCACGATACCCCCAAGGCGCCTCTGTCGTCACCCGTTGGCGCTACTGTGTGGTTAAGCCGCGGAACGGCAGCGGCATTGGTTCAAGACGGGATCGGACAAGAGGGATAGAGGGCCGTTGATCAATTACCGTGTATCGGTACCTACCTCAGAAGAAGGCGTATCGGAGGTCATCACCACAAGGGGCTCCATTCAAAGCCCTGCATACAGTGGAGGTAGTTAAGTAGTTATTTATTAACTCGACCTGCAGTTGGGTCGATCGATGTGGTACCCGGGCCCTGGTCAAACATGTTCCCGCAGAGCATCTTCGATCAACACCGGTTCGTACTGTTCTGGTAAGAAAGGGGTCCCTTGTTGGGCCGACCGGTTCGACCGGTATCGCATCGCAGGCAGATGTTGGCACGGCATGAAGGTAGCCTACTACTTAAGTGTAGCCCGTCGGGGTACAGTACGTTACCTACCTTACCTTGTATGTATTAGCCAAGCAGCCGAGCACCGATACCCCGCAAAACGCTGCGCGGGGCTCAGAGCTTGGCTTCGTAGTGACAAGCGCATGGCACGGAGGCCCCCGCTGCCAATCTTCGAGAATCATCCCGTTCCCGTTTTGCCATATGACCTTCGCTCCTTGCCCGAATTGACAATGAAACTTGAACTCAGCTTATTCGCTTCGGTTTCATCTCACCTCGGATGCCCACGTATGATCGCTGCGACGGATAGTCTCTCCTTGACAATGTTCGAGCCCATTGGCGACAAGAGGTAAGCAGGCCGCAGCTGTTACCTGGTTAATCCGTAGATTGTCGACGCAAGCCGGTGATGGAGGGGTTACCGATGCAACCTTGCCGGCGTGTGACACTGCAACCTGAGAAGTTAACACCTTCCATAATGTGGTTTTGGCAGGGTACCTAACGGATACCAGAGAGGTGTCAGCTCGAGGGCTGTTCTGCTCCAACATACAGCTCGACGGTATCCCCACTTGTATGCATACATAGCAGCGCTGGGTGGATCCCATCTCATTTCAACTTTCGCATGGTGTCCCCATTCTCTCAGGGCGACCCGGTAAAGCTCTGCTGCTTCAACCTCCATAGCAACAAGAGGTGCAGTGCCGTCGACCTCCTGACTGACTGTATATGTATTGTACAATACAATACATGCAATCCAAGGGAAAGGGCCTTGTGTACTTCTTTGGTTTCCAGGAGCACATCATGCATTGCGACTCTTCCCGCACATGGGCCAGTCTGAGTAACGATGTCCATTCCGGCTAGGCGGACCCAACAGTCACGACATTGGTTGGAGGGACCTCATCGGGCGGAGGGAAGCTCACCTCCTGCCGTTGCCTGGGCGGGTTCCGGCCGGAGCTCGCCCGTAATGTATCCGTACAGTACCGCTACCGGCACAAGTCAATGGATGGAAAGGGGAGAAGCATGTGTCCACACAGGCACCACCCTGGGAAAGTGCAGCATTACCCATCCACTAGCTTGTCCATCCCGGCGGGTACTGTGGTATGCTTCGGTTCAACCGACGCTGCAATACAAAAGCGGACGCTCCCCGTCGCTCCCCTCTCGACGGCCACTTTACCTTTACTTTGACTCTGCAGCTTCACTCCAGACCCCTTCTTGCCCACCACCTCCACCTCTCTGTCTCGTGCTCCTCTGGTCTCCTGTCCGGACTCGGAGTGTGAATTGCATCGAACCTGCGCCTGTCTACCTGCTGTCACTCCACTGTCTTTCGACAAACACAACACGACCTCGCCATCTCCCACGCCATTTTCCAATCTTCCACGCCATCATCATGGGCGGTGAAGCTGCCAAGGCCCCTGTGGTGGCCGAGGCTCATGAAGTCGACACATACCGTAAGCTTGAACTCACGCGATCCAAGTTGCCGCAAGTTGGGACAACGCGACCATGGGAGCTAGCAAGGCTGACGCGAAAGAACCCCTCCTTCAGACCCCCCGCAGAAGATGCTCGCAAGTACGTTCCGCGCCCCGAATCAATCCCGTGCGCCAAGAAGATTGGCTCAGCCTTAGCGTCAGATGCTCTGCGGGGCGTCTGGGCGAAGGGAAAAGGAAGAATTGGCAAGCTAACCGTGATGCGATGCAACAACAGAGCATCCAAGCAAGCCTCATCTGAGTGGTAAACAACCCCTGACCCCACTAGTCCCCCTCCGCAACCGGCGGCGGCTAGCCTTCCCGCGCCGCGTCACATCGTGCGCTAACCAACCGCAACCACACTTGCAGGTCTCGAGGAATACCAACGGCTGTACAAGGAGTCCGTCACAGAGCCGGCCAGATTTTGGGGGAGACAGGCGCGCGAGCTGCTCACCTGGAGCAAGGACTTCCAGACGGTGCAGAGCGGTTCTCTGAAGGGAGGCGACGTAGCCTGGTTCCTCGAGGGCGAGCTCAACGCGTCGTACAACTGCGTCGACCGCCATGCCATCAAGGACCCCAACCGCGTCGCGATCATCTACGAGGCCGATGAGCCTACGGACGGCCGGAACGTGACCTATGGCGAGCTGCTGCGCGAGGTCTCGAAGGTGGCCTACGTACTCAAGGACATGGGCGTGCGCAAGGGGGACACGGTGGCCATCTACCTGCCCATGATCCCCGAGGCTCTCGTCGCCCTCCTCGCATGCGCCCGGATCGGTGCCATCCACTCCGTCGTCTTCGCCGGCTTCTCGGCCGACTCGCTGCGTGACCGCGTCATCGACGCCAAGTCCAAGGTCGTCATAACATCCGACGAGGGCAAGCGCGGCGGGAAGTTGATCGGCACAAAGAAGATCGTGGACGAGGCGCTGAAGAACTGCCCGGACGTCAAGAACGTGCTCGTCTTCAAGCGCACCGGCGCCGACATCCCCATGACGCAGGGCCGCGACAGGTGGTGGCACGAGGAAGTCGAGAAGTGGCCCGCCTACATCGCGCCAGAGCGCATGAGCTCCGAAGACCCGCTCTTCCTCCTCTACACGTCCGGCTCCACGGGCAAGCCCAAGGGCATGATGCACACCACCGGCGGCTATCTCGTCGGCGCCGCCTGCACGGCCAAGTACGTCTTCGACCTCCACGAGGGAGACCGGTACTTCTGCGGTGGCGATGTCGGCTGGATCACGGGCCATACCTACGTCGTGTATGCGCCTCTGCTGCTCGGCGTGTCGACAGTCGTCTTCGAGGGCACCCCCGCGTACCCCAACTTCTCCCGCTACTGGGACATCATCGAGAAGCACAAGGTCACACAATTCTATGTCGCGCCGACCGCCCTGCGGTTGCTCAAGCGGGCTGGCGACCAGTTCGTGCGCAACGAGATGAAGCACCTCAGAGTCCTCGGGTCCGTCGGTGAGCCCATCGCCGCCGAGGTCTGGAAGTGGTATTTTGAGGTGGTCGGCAAGGAGGAGGCCCAGATCGTCGACGTAAGTTGAATTGGTTAATGTCTTGCCAGCTCACCAGAACCCCACCCCCCCGCCCCGTCTGACTATCGTGCTGCAGACATACTGGCAAACCGAGACTGGTTCCCACGTCATCACTCCTCTTGCTGGCGTGACGCCCACCAAGCCCGGCTCTGCTTCCCTTCCGTTCTTCGGCATCGAGCCCGCCATCATCGACCCCGTCTCCGGCGACGAGATTCCCGGCAACGATGTCGAGGGTGTCCTGGCCTTCAAGCAGCCGTGGCCAAGCATGGCCCGGACCGTCTGGGGCGCCCACAAGCGGTACATGGACACCTACCTCAACGTCTACAAGGGATACTATGTGAGTTGAGAGCACGGCCCGATTCGTCAGGCACTGTATTTCTAACGCCATGCCTTTAGTTCACCGGTGACGGTGCCGGCCGGGATCACGAGGGCTTCTACTGGATCCGCGGCCGTGTCGACGATGTCGTGAATGTCAGCGGCCACCGTCTGTCGACCGCCGAGATCGAGGCGGCGCTTATCGAGCACCACGCCATCGCCGAGGCGGCCGTCGTGGGCGTGGCGGACGAGCTCACGGGCCAGGCCGTCAATGCCTTCGTCGCTCTCAAGGACACCAACGAGTCGTCGGATGCGCTCCGGAAGGAGTTCATCCTGCAGGTCCGCAAGAGCATTGGGCCCTTCGCGGCGCCCAAGGCCGTGTACATCGTGCCCGACCTTCCCAAGACTCGCAGCGGCAAGATCATGAGGCGCATCCTCCGGAAGATCTTGGCCGGCGAGGAGGACCAGCTCGGCGACATCACCACGGTATGCCCGCCCGCCCTTTTGCTCCTTTCGTGTCAAGCGGGGCCAGCCGACTAACTGGGAAGTGTTGTAGCTTTCGGATCCCTCTGTCGTCGAGAAGATCATTGCCGTTGTCCACGAAGCCAAGAAGAAATGAAGGCCGAATACACCTTTTTTCTTCTTCCTTTTTGCTGATTGGGTTTGAAGGGTGTACTATCAGGGTTATACCACCGTGTCTCTGTTATGACTGGACATGAGATCTCGCCAGGGCTCGGTTGTCTCGGGAAGACGGGCAAGCCGATGAGCCTATCAGCGCTGCTCTGCTTGGAATAAGTAGTAGTGCTGGATACCTACCTTAGGTACCTGAGTTTACTCTTACTAGTACTTTTTACAGGTTTTTATTGTAGACTCCCGTCAACTGAGTTGATGTTGATGTGAAATTCTACCGCAGCTGTCTACGGGTAGTATTACATCATGTCACCATGGCCCTTTCCTTCGTCTCTGCTTTTCTTCGCGACACAGATTTGAGCTGTAGGATGCGCTCGGAGTTTATTATTCCTGTGACATTCTGCTTGCGAAGTCCAAGGAATCGACAAGCAATGTGCGTGGAGTACCTACTGACCACTAGGGTTGTACTGTACATAACGAGGTTCTGGAGCCGAGGAATCCGTGAATCCCGGCACTGTGGCAGTGCTCCCTCTGCCTTGCTGGCATCCAAAACGGCACCTCAGTGTGTAAAAGGTCTGAAAGTTGCTGGGGATACAGTTCTTGGCTGCTGCTGCTGCTGCTGATGACGACGCAGAGCCGGGAAAATCTTACTAACAAAGGCAGAAAATGTTCGGCAGCGCCTTGGACGCGCGTCAACGCTCTTGGCTGCTGCTTCTTGTTGTTCGCTGTTGGTGATTGGAAGCTTGGCGTTGAGAGGCAGCGGTCACGGTGGCAGCGAGGGATCCTCTCCTCAGATCGTGCTGACTTCGGAACCCCGGAGTCGAGAGCAACGAGACAGTTGAGGAAGCAGAGTGTGCACAGTATGGAAGCCTCCACCCGGCCTCAAAAGCCGTACCTTTCCGCCTTTTTTCCCTCGCTCTTCTTTCTTTCCTTCTTTTCTTTTCTTTTTTCTTTTTTCCTCCTTTTGTTATTCACTATTATATTTATTTATTTTATTTATATATATATATTTTAAAAAATGTTCTACTTCTACACGAGACCTGAGGTACACCAAAATATGCTCTCAATCACAACCCTCCCACCTCTCTTTTTACCGTAGTTTGGCTTTGGTGGTCAGTCAGCTGTTACGGCGTTCCGCGTGTGGCTGCTTTGTTTCCAGGTTGCATCTCTTTTCCGAGTCCCCTGCAGTTGGAGGCCGCAACATCATTAACCGCGTCACCATATGCACGGCATTCTGTTGGGCAACGTCGTGAACCACGACCAGATCGAGAAAGGTACCACCGTGCCACAGCTCGACGCTAAAATTATCGTCCCAATTCTATCTCCATGATCCGCTCGGCCCCGGTCGTGGTCAGAGCTTTTCCTCTGGCGGCTGGGAATCCGGATTGCAAGGGTCAGGCGCATTACCAACGTTGAGCTTCCCGCCTAGAACGGGACCGTTTTGGGTGCAGTTCTGAAACCGAGACGAGCGACTTGGAAAGGCTGGGCAGACGAGAAGCGGAAGGAATCAAAGTTTCCTAGGTACCTACCTAGTGCAGATAGCTTAGGTACTTCTCATAACCAATTTGGCGTTGAGATGATTTCTCTGGCACCAAGGATGAGCACAAATCCGTGCGCAAGTTCGGTGAAAGGCTGTTGTTGATCAGAGATTCCTTGACTCTCAATGCCCCGCAGCTGCGCCTTACAGGTCTCCCGTCCAAGGCTCCGAGCGGCTCGCACGGAGTCGGGTTGGCTTGGCTGCGGATCATGGATCTTCTTGGCCTCGACCAGTTAACAGGCCGAACCGCCACACCCACACGGACAACAGAGCTGTGCACTGCCACTGCTTCCCTTCCAGTTCTTCTTCTCTTCAAAGTCAACAACATTGTGCTTTGTTTCTCGCCACCTGATTTCACTTTCTCTTGTTTCCGGCTACTGCGCGTCCTATCAGTCGATCATTCATTGAAACAGCGTGTAAATATGCTATATACGATAACAGTCAAGGTGGTACACCTCTAGTCCTACACGGGCACCTGATCGCACCCTTTCCTTGTCCCGAGCCCGATACACGATCACTGCTTTGTCCCGACTCGTCAGCAAGCGATGCAAATAGGGGCTTTTGTTACGTAGGATTATGTTTGTCGGCAAGGCCCTCGCGGCCGTCCTTACAGCTGCTGGAGTGCTCCTCCAAGATGCGATTGGTATGCTCCCCGTTTGTTCCTTGTTGGTTCCTCGTGTCGCTCCTTTAGCTTACTAGGTACGCCAGCGCACTCCGTAAAACGGAACCCTCTTTCAACCGTAGCCCGGATCGAAGATGTTGTAATTCAGACAACATCGCACCGAGTGCATGCGCACTCGTCCTTCGATGTCACATTTGCCCTCTCCCCCACCCGCCAGAAAGTTCGCTTGTCGTTAGAACCGAATCACGACTTGTTCAGCGGGGATGCGACGATCCAATACCTTGGCGCCGATGGCACCGTACGCAACAGCAAGCCCATCGACAAGCGAGACCACAGGGTGTTCAAGGGTGAGAGCTTTGTCCAACTAGACGGAGAGTCGCAATGGAGGCATGCGGGCTGGAGTCGGATCAATGTGCGCCGCGACGGTGAAAAGCCGATATTCGACGGCGTGTTCACTATCTACGACAATCATCACCACATCCAGACCAAGACAGCTTACCGCCAGACTGCTGTCAGCGGGGACCCTGGTCTCGATGATGTAGATGACGATGAGTACATGGTCGTTTGGCGGGATACCGATATCCAACCCACAGACCGCGACGAATTGCGACGCGACTTGGGCAGCGCCGCGACATGCGGATCCGACGAGTTGCTCTACAACAGGGTCGAAAACAATATTGTCTATCGGAGTCTGGAGGAGGCCGCCCAGGATGCCAATTCCTGGCGAATGAGTCCCAGGGCACTATTCGGACGGCAGATCGACTCGACTCCTGGCGGCAACGGTGCTGGCGTTAACCTGGCAAACTCGATCGGATCAACAGCGGGCTGCCCGGCAACGAGGAAGGTTGCTCTGGTCGGCATTGCTACCGACTGCACCTACACCGCCAAGCTTGGGGACGGGGAGGCCGTGACATCAAACGTCATTCAGATTGTGAACGCGGCCTCGCAGCTCTACGAGAACTCTTTCAACATATCTCTAGCCATTGGGAACCTGACCATCAGCGAGGCAACGTGTCCCAACTCCCCTCCGTCTACGGCCCCTTGGAACCAGCCCTGCAGCGACAGCGTCCCTATCCAGACACGGCTTAGCCTGTTTTCCCAGTGGCGCGGACAGTGGTCCGATAACAATGCCTACTGGACTCTCCTGTCCACGTGCGGTACCGGCCCTGCCGTCGGCCTGGCCTGGCTTGGCGCCATCTGCCAGCAGGGAGCTTCGACGCGGGATAACGAGACCAGTGCGTCTGCAAACATTGTTGTCCGAACCTCGCCCGAATGGCTGGTGTTTGCCCACGAGACGGGCCACACATTTGGCGCCGTCCATGACTGTGTCGATCAAACTTGCAATGACGGGTCCGTCACGAGACAGGAGTGCTGCCCCTTGAGCAGAGGCACTTGCGATGCCGGATCTCAGTTCGTCATGAACCCCTCGACAGGCAATAGCATCACCAGGTTCTCGCCCTGCAGCATCGGCAACATCTGCAGCTTCCTTGGCCGCAGCCCGAACCGCCTGGGCTGCCTGACCGACAACAGGGGCGTGACTACATTCACCGGCGCGCAGTGCGGCAACGGGATTGTCGAGCACGGTGAAGACTGCGACTGCGGCGGGGCGGATGGCTGCGCCGGCAACTTCTGTTGCGACCCTACCACATGTAAGTTCACCTCCGGCAGCGTGTGCGACCCAAGCAACGAAGAATGCTGCACCCCGCAGTGCGGCTTCCAGACCAACGGTACCGTCTGCCGGCCCAGCACCGGCCCCTGCGACCCGCAGGAAGTCTGCTCCGGCACCTCGGCTGGCTGTCCCACGGACCTGACTGCGCCGGACGGCCAGTCCTGCGGCAACGACGGGCTGGCCTGTGCATCCGGCCGGTGCACGTCGCGCAACCTGCAATGCCGGACCTTTATGGGCGCCGACGCGACCACCTCGTGCTCCAGCTCGGGCTGCCGGCTGTCTTGCCACTCGTCGCAGCTCGGCCCGAACGAGTGCTTCGTTTACAACCAGTACTTCCTCGACGGCACCCCCTGCGAAGGGGGCGGCAAGTGCTCCAACGGCAATTGCCAGGGCGGCTCCCTCTGGAACCGGATCGTCGAGTGGATCAACAACAACAAGCAGATCTCCATCCCTGTCTTCTGCGTCGCTGGCGGGCTGCTGCTCCTCGCCATTTTCAGCTGCTGCTGGTCCTGCTTCTCGCGGCGGAGAAGGCGGCGGGTCCCCAAGATACCGTCGCCGCCTCCTCCCCGCGGGTGGAATGCAAGCGGGGGGGCCGTGAGAACACCGCCGCCCATGGCGCAGCCCGGAGCTTCCTACGCTCCTGTCCCCGGTCAGGATGTGCCGCCGCAGGATATGAGGTGGGAGCCGCTGCGGACGAGAAGTTTCCGCTATGCGTGATGACATCAATTTATGTTTTTGGCCTGGTCTTGGGACAGACAGAGGAGTCTTGGCTTGGCATGACCCTCTTGCATAGCTGGGCGTTATGGAGGATCGAGTTATTGGGACTTCGCGAGGTTTCTGGGCCGGGGCTGGTTATGACTTCTAGGTACATGTGTGTGGTTTGTATTTCCTTGTTGAATTGCATGTACCCCTTGAGGGAGCGTCTGGGTCAATAACCGGGACCATGAATGACTTGGTTTGTAACAGGCTACGGAGTTTATATACCGGGGTATGTCTGGCGTAGAACTTTGGCCCGGCTCGCTGGTTCTGGATTCTTCCCTCCGCATATCGTACTCTTATGGTTGATGTTACCGTATCAGAGTTCACCCGTGTTGGCCTGCGAAGGACCCTCGTATGGTATACGGGAGCTCGTACATTTGCATCGTATATGGTGGCCATCGAGATAACATGGCCTCCGCGGTTTCTCAGTCTTCCACCGTCAGCGTATTTAGTATCGAATACTGGCCCTCGTGCCGAAACAGGAACTGGAAGCGAGGTCAAAAAGAGGTAGAACAGAAAGGAATAGCGCAAGCGACGCAGGCAAGAACAGAACGAAGCATATATGGTCATTCGGGTCGTCAACGCTAGTATACAGGGGGCTAGTTATGTACCTTCGCCTTGTTTTCTGGCTCATCTTCGTAGCCACAGAGTACTCTTGTCCAGTGGAGACGCGCCCCTGCGACGCTCTCGAGGGCAATCAGCATACCATCCCGCTAGCTCACAGGGAATTGAACACTCACATTTCCCGTCGATTGAGCATACATCATCAGCAACTCCGGATTATCCAGAAATGCGATGGCCTTCTGACGGCGCTCAACCCTGAAGAAGTCCTCTTTCTCAATACGGCCGTTGCCCAGTCGGAACTTAGCCGCAGCGTCTTTGAAGTCGCCTTCATCTGAGACATCGCCCGAGTTGTAAGGGTCTTGGCCCCGCGCCTGCTTGTCTCTCATCTGCGGGGTGAAAGTATCATCGAGAGCGGATGACGAAGTGGAGGTCATGGAGTCGATGAACAGACGCCTGCTCAGGATACTTGCATTGTGGATTCCGTACGGAAGCGATGATTCGGAATGCCCGCCTGAAGACATGGCCACTCGTTCAGCTGATGGTGGCACTTGCTTCTTTTTGTAGCTGTTGATATGGTTCGGTCGGGTACCAGTGCAGCTACCCCCTGGTAGAAGTGGAGCCTAGCGGAACTCCGAGGGTTACGCAGTTTCAGTACCTTAATATAACCTCGATTGCAATTGTGACACGAAGGAAACCGTCTTCTGCGTTCGCGGCCGTGTCTGGGTTCTTGCCATGAAGATGCATGCAGTCACCAACAACATTTCGGTTCTGCTTAGGGATCCGAGGTGTATCACATTAGGAAACCAAGTCGATGCACACTTGAATGCTCATTGGAGAGAAAGAAGCCACTTCTGCAGCTCGTGCCCCACCTTTCTCTTATCGATTGGCTGGCATTCAATAATATTGGGTAGACCAGTGCGACTGGAGGAAAGTTAAGAAGCCAACACTCGACTGCTTCAGCACGCTTCAAAACCCTCTCGTGGTGATTAATATTTTTTTCGCGATTTACTAGTCGCTTCATCGTACGCTCCTCGACTTCTTGATTTGGATCCTTTGGCAGTCAAGCCATTTCCATGGCTGAGAGAAACCCTCTATGGTCGTGACTTCTTAGAAAGCTCTTTAGACAACTTTGGACGGTGTACCACCACGCGTTGTGGGGCAACGCTTCCTCGACGAACACGACGCGGCCCGCGATCCAGTTTCGAGGAACAGGACAAACCCCCTTGACTGTCTATATCGGGCTCTGCCGATCAAAGCTCTGTTACTTGGGCGTCTAGCGAGCATCGCATAAGAGTTTACCATAGCTGCCCGGCAACCTGATTAACAGCTTCCGTGCTGTGTCAACAGGAGTCCCCTTATTAGGACACAGCTCCATCCACCGGTCTACAGGCACTGTATGTGTGTCATCCCAATGACGCTTTGACCGGTGGCCTACCCAGAAGCCTCGCATTCGATTGATGTAGCCTGGACACAGTGCGACATGTCGTACCGATCATCTGATGCCTACTCGCGGCGTCCTACCGACGATGACCGTCGAGGATCGGACAACCGTGATCGTCACCCGGACAACTACTCGAGGGCAAGACCCAGCTCCCACTATCCCTATAGGGACGAGAGGTACCGTCGGGAGTCACGGGACACGGATGCCGCGCTTAGGGAGAGGCGAAACCCGCCCGGATCGCCTCACCAGCCTCCGTCCCTGAACGCCACAAAGTCCAATACCGCTACAGTTTCTGCGCGGTCGGATCAATGTACGTTGTGTCTTTACTTTGCTATGCTTTTTGCACCAACCTCGACGTCCTTCAAGCCTGAGCTTCTCTCTCCTGATACCCGTCTTCAACTGCTGACAACTCCGTGTGCTTAGCTCCGGCATCTCGATCCTCCACAGACAGCCCCAGCCTCGACAGAGATAATCCATGCGAGAAGCTTGTTAGGTTGATGAAGAAACAATGTGAGGTCGAATTCGAACTAGCACGCCTCAAGCGTGACCGGGGGCATGTCAACGACAAGCTGAAGCAGAGGCAAGCGGAGTACGAGAAGTCGATGGTCAAGCATGTCGAGTTTCCTTCCATTCCCGAGGTTCAAAGCATGCACAGGACCAGATATGCCGAGCAGGTACGGTGCTTGGATGCCGAAATCCATAAGGCACAAGAAGAAGCAAGCAAAATCGCCCATGCCGTTGCACAAGCCATGCTGTCGGCTCAGAACAAGGATTCCGAGGAGAAGGTCACCCCCTCGGCGAGCTTTTTGCAGCAAGAGGAAAAGTTAAAGAAGCAAGAAGCGGAAGTAAGAGAACTTAAGGAGAGTCTGGAGAGGCATCGCCAACTCGAAGCGAAGAAGGAAGCGGAAATAACGGAGTTACGAATGAAGATTCGCCGACTCGAGGAGAGGGATGTGCTGGACAAAAGCGATCTAAAGGCTGGGCTGGGCCGGCTGGATGCAGAATTCAAAGCGGAGATAATGATGATGAAGAAGACCATGAGTGAAGAGTGGAAAAGGGAACTAAAGGAACAACTGAACCTGCAGCGGCTGGAATTTGAAAAGCAGAAAGCCGAACAACAGCAATCGCAGCAAACCGATCTACGATCTCAGTTCTCTAAACTAGAGGCATACTTGAGAAAAGCGATCAAGCAGCAGCTCCTAGCGCACGGGAGCAGTTCCGAACCAGTCTGCCGCACGGAGATCTCTTCCCTCCTACAAAAGGAGAGCTCGGTCTTGCAGTCTGATATCTCGGGCTTATTGAGTCGTGTAGTCCAACTTTCGGAGCAATTAGCCCAGAGGACCCAAGAGAGCATCAGCCTGCGCAACGGTCTGGACACTTGTATGCAACAAGTGGAGGACCAAGGTCGCAAGATCGATGACCACGAAGCTCAATTGTCGAACATCGATTTCGACGTCCAAAATCGCGTGGCCGAGGCTATTTCCTTCGACCTACCGAATTTGAAGAGGAAGTTGGAGGGGATTCAATCCAGGGTAAACGACGATATTCCGAAGGAAATCGACAGCAAGCACAAAGAGGTGTCAGATCAAATCAAGCAGTTTGTTGCGCGGGCTACGACCGGTTTGGCGCAGATGTTAGAGGATACAAAGTCAACAGTTCACAACCACGGGGTGCGGGTTACGGCGCTGGAAGAGGCTTCTACGAGCAGCGGTCGCACAGGTATTCCAGAAAGGCACGCGACAGAACTCGACTTTGGATCAGTCAATTCGGACGTCGCTGCAATCAAGATGGACTACGAGCGGGCCAGGGCGGAACTCAACCGCCTCGCCCAGGAGCACCGCGAACTGGTAGATCAGTTTAAGCAGGCCAACCAATTCGCCACTGCCAGCCAGCGCCTCGAGGATCAGCTTAAAAATATTCAACACGAGATCACCGTGTTAGACTCGCAGTACAAGAACCTGACAACGCGGCATGTGGCCGAGCAGATGGTCGGTGTCCTCGAACAGTTATACCCAGAACCCAGCCAAATCGTTGCCGACATGCGCGCTTTGAAAACGGAGCACGACAACCTGGGTTCCCGCGTCGAGAGCCTGGAGAGCCGGGTGGAGGATTTCAAAGAGAGCTTCGATGAGAAGGTGTCGAACGGGCCGGAGCGGCTGTACAGAGAATATGATGAATGCGCGAGCCAGGGCGTGGGGCATAAGAGAAAGCGGATTGGCTCTGAAATGAATGGTGTAGAACATCTGATGGCGAACGGAGCTGGTTAGGGGCAGTCAGCCAGAGTCGCGGTGACTCGAGTGATCCATATTTTAGCTTTTGCTCTTGAGCGGTTAGCCTTGCATGTCTTTGAGGTTCGCGGGGATGGCAGTGGGCATAAAGATTCCTGCTTCAAGTTCTTTGAGTTTGCGGGCTCGAACCCGTACTAGGTGTGGTAGAGACCAAGCATCCATTGCCGAGGAGTGCGTCCTGGGCCATCTATATGATGTCAAGGCGCCTACAAGAGGTAACTCAAAGTGTTAGTCTTAGCAGGATGCCTAAACCACCTATATTAGCAGTCAGTCAGCGTTGTTTAGATTGACAGAAGCGTCCATTGCTTATGTCTCTCTTAAGTTGCCCGAATACCTGCCTAGTAGTTTCAGCAGACGCTGATCAACCCGCTCCTTGCTTACACTACCTGGTTATATGTGGTGACTACAACCATCTGCAAGTTTCGATGCGTGGAGGGGTCCTTTGCTCATCAACTCGTGGCTCACTATAACGAGAAACGGCCGTACCACAAAACTCGATATGAGTAGAATTGGTGGATAGCTTGAAGACATGGAACAATATAATTTAGCTACTGTCTATCTTCCCTATCTTCCTCAGCTTCCGCTTCATCCTGTCTCTCGATTTGATTTCACTTGCTCGACTCGAAGTTGCTAGATTGGTGTACAGCTTTTGCCGACTCTGAGGTACCTGGATGCTGGGACTTATGACGCCGGACCCTGACTGTAGAGAACCCCTGATGGTGAAATGCCACAGCAAAGCGTGGGTGATGGTGAGTACACGGGAGAGATCTATTTAAAAGATCTACTGCTGCTGTTGTGCGTGACTTGCAATCGCTAATCAGGTGAGGTACTTGTCGTCTTGTCCTAGTTCTGTCAAGGTGTCACACTCAAATCAAGATTACCTAGCTTTGAACTTTAATGGTTTCGAAGCACTGAAGCAACGAAATTGCGTCGCTGAAACTTCCCGTTCGTCAGGGACATAGGTTGGGTAGAATCCTGACATGGGACGGTACCTGGTACCTTCCATACTCTGAACTTCTGACGAAGGTTGAGCCTATGATGTAACAATCGTTCTTTAGACCTAGCTTCACGATAGCGGTGAACTCCATGGTAAAGTAATCCATGGACATCTTGCAGAAGCAGGAGTCAAAGTCACGCTTGAGTATTTTCGCGCAACTGCGTAGAGGCAGGGCACGTATAAGCGCGGGTGTATTGTAGTGTATGTATTGTACGTAGGTAGGCTGGGCCGGATACCTACACTAATAAGTGACTAGGTACTTCGTAAGGCTCGCCAGGCCGCACCAAGTGGGACCCACCTGAGAGGCGGTTGGGATGTGCCGTCCGATCAGCGGCCTGGCCCCCTGGTCACTCCACTCACCGTTCGCGCCCCGGCAATCCCACCCTCGGCGCCCTGACGCCAAACTCCCACCCGACCATCTCTGCAACATCACCGCCTCCGAACCTGCGCCTCCCGATACTGAGAAACAAGCCGGCTCACGGCAGCATCACACATCGACTCCTCACACAAACATTGTTCTCTACTCGCTGCCGAATTGGTCCTTTGCCACGATCCGCCGGGCGCCACGACGGTCTATGCCCGAGAAATGCACCCGTGTTCTCTCCACCACCGAATCAAGGTCGCTACTTGGAGCTCGGGATAGAGAGAGCGGGAGGCCGGAGCTACGAGAATCCCACGCAGGTCGCGAGAGCTCTCCGCTCGCTTTGGCTGCCGGCTACCAGTGTGGAGAAGCTCGTCACGGGCTTGCACGTGTGTAGTCTGGGTATCTGGGTATGTAAGACAACTTCGCGTCGGCTGGGTCATTGGATGAGCGCATGTGACGGTGGCGGGCTCTACGTCACCATGAGATCTTTTCCACACTGTCCGCGTCGCCACCCCTTCTTGGGTGCTGTTTACGTTGGGGCGCAATCGTGGTTACGTTGGGCCGGTGGCAGATGTCCATGCTTCTTTGCTGGCTACGAGTGCTAACACCGCATCCTTACAGATACGGTAGCTGCGTCCCGTTCGCTTGCGCTCTAACACAGCATCCGGACTACCTGTTTTTTTTTCGAGCACCACCTCTATCTAACAACCTTCGCGCGTTCGGTATCCCCAAATCTAGCTCCATCAACAGCTCAACGCCGGAACGCCATTCTTTTATCAATCCGATGTCCCAAACATGAAAGAAATGATGGATGGAGCAGCGAAAGATGCGGAAAGAATTGCCAAACAATATCTCCCCGAACGCCCACACCACCTTTCTTTGTTCTTCGACCGCCGATTCCCCAGGCCGGATGGGTGGAGCTTTCTTGGACCAAACCATCCCCTACAACCAAGCGACCCCTTACAGTACACAACGTACCTATCCACCGTGCAGCGTGGCATTCTCATTACACGCGCCGCCTTTGAAATCTGCGACGAACCGCCTCTAATGCCGACCAAGGTCGTCGCCAAGGGCGAGGTTAGGAAGAAGCTCTCCTTAACAGACTATCACAAGAGAAAGAAGTCCGAGTCGCCGGTAGAGAATGGGGTCTCGGCAAAGCCGGACGCTAAGGCGAACGGCACGGTTCCTAACAAACCACCACCGCCGAAGGGGTCCACCGAGACGGGAGATGGGAGGGCCGTCGGAAAACCACATGCGCCTGTCCAGGCGAACACGCGACCAGATAGGCCGCGGCCAGACACGAATGGGGACAGGTATGCGATGCACGCCACTATGTCGGGCCACGCGTCGCAGAACGCTGACGGGCAGAGCAGAACTAAGAGTCCTCAAACGAACCCACAGCCCCAGACTGACAGCCGGAAGCGGCCCGCAGAAGCAGACGGCCATCCTTCACCACAGAAACGAGCCAAAGGTGAAGGAGACGCCAAGAACGCTGACCAGTTCCGTCTGCCGCCGAAGCCGGGCACACCGCGCGGTCGAGAAGGTGTAACAGAGAAGCTACTAATGGGTGGAAGAGCTGATACGCTACACCATCCGGCCAACGGATTAGCCCCTCCGTCTTCGAAGAGGGATCGGGACAATACGGCGTCGCCCAAATCAACGATCCAGGTCAACGGATCAAGGCCTCGGTCAGACAGCGGCACCTCAACGCTTCGGAAGTGGGAAACGGTGACAAAGTCGGCCTTACCCGAACTGTTGTCGCCCCTCCACCCCTCTCTGTTTGCGGGCCCCCCCGGGAAAGAGGGCAAGCTGAAGAAGCCCCTGGAGAAGGCGCCAAGGCCGGAAAAGGAGAAGGTTGGGGCTTCCCCGCCGCCAAGGACGACGAAGAAGCAGCTCAAGATACCGCGACTGCTCTCCCCAACCCTCCCCACCGTCGTTGAGGAGGTGTTGTCGCAGAAGGCGTGGTCACAGAGCCAGCCCAAGGGCCAAGGGCCGGACTCGTCAAGCGGGGCGAGGAAGACGATAGTGGCAGCCCCAACGGTACGCGTCGTGGCGCAGGACGAGGATGAGGAGGAGGAGCCCGCCAAGGCCAAGTTGGTCCTCACGTTCAAGCTGAAGAAAGCAAACGCGAAAAGGGCCGAACAGCTTCTGAGCCTCCCGTCCAAGTCAGCAAAGGACGCTCAAAAGAAGGAGCGCTCCACGAGCACGGAAGTCACCCCACCCCCTCCGCCGGCGACGAAGCGGCCGCGGCTGGCAGACGACGTCCCGCAGGAGACCAGCGCGTCCAAGCGGACCAAGACGGCGGCTGTGGACGTCGTTGCGGGCAGACCCCCCGCCGCGGCGATGTCGCGGGTGGCGTCGAACCAGTCGCAAGGCGCCACGCCGGCGGCCGCGGCAGGACTCACCCCGGGCGCTGCAGACAACCGACCGCCGACGCGCTCGGAGCCGCTCGACCCGAAGACGCTGGCCCAGGTCGAGGCGTGCAAAGAGCGCCACGCGGAGTACTCGCGGCTGGGCAGCAAGCTAAAGCACACCCGCGACGGCCTCTGTCGTGAGCGTGGTCCGGCCGGAATGACGCCCGCCGATGAGCGCCTCGCCACGGCCCTCCACTTCGAGATGGTGCTCGCCTACATGGTGGCGTTCCACTCGCTCAACCAGGCGCGCATGCTCGAGCGCAAGGTCTGCGAGATTGCGGCGTGGGAGACCCTGCTGCCCCACCTGGCAGAGCTGCGGAACCGGGTGCAGGGCAACAGGGCGCTCAAGGCGTTGTCCGCGCAGATGCACGTACTGTGTCTGGAGCAGATCACCAACGCCTTCGCCACGCTCGATCCGGCAGCCGCGGCAAGCTGCTTTCTGCGGTGGGCGAAGCACAACCGGAACCGGGCGGCGATGTGGCAGGAGGCGAATGCGCTGTGGGAGAGGGTGGAGGAGCAGCGGATGAAGACGGCCGTGGGCCCGTGGACGTCGATCGAGGAGGCGGTGGCGGCCGCCTTGGGGATCATGAGGCACTGGACGCACCGCGAGGGGTTGGTGAGCTGGCAGCCCCTGGTCAATCCCAGGGCCGAGAAGGAGGGTGACCGGGATCGCGAGAACGACCGCGACAGGGACCGCGAGAGGGATCGCCGGAGGGACCGCGAGAGGGAGCGGCCCCGACCGTCACTCAACGGGACCCGGCATTGAGGGCTCTAAAATTTTAGACTATACTCGACAGACCTCCGACACGATCTCGCCCTTTTGCCCGATTCTCTCCACCGCCGCGGGGCTCGCAGACCCCAACTGTATTACTCAGCGTTGCTTCTCTTCAGTTTTGCGCGGGGGCAGATGGAATCAACGGACAGGAGGCGGCGTGCAGGCGTACCCAGCAGGTGGTGGGTCTCGGACAGCTGGCGACCGGCGTTCAGGGACAGGGCTGCTTCTTTCCTTCCTTGTGTTTTCATTCAACTCCGGCATAGGCGGACGGACTACGATACCTTTATGAGTTATCCTTTGCTTTAGTGTTTACATCTTTGCGATGCCAGTCACGCGGGCCGGGGATAGCTGTTTTCTTTTGGGATCTGAGTTTACAAGGCCCAGGGAGTCATATGGGGTTGAGGCGTTACGAGTTGTTTGAGCGGCATGGCATATACTTTATCTGTCTATGGCCTGGGCTGTATCTACAAGGCCTGCTTTTTTTCGTACCTTTTGCCTGCTCTGTTTGTCAACGGTGTTTTTCTTTTGCTTTCTAGTGATATCCCGGCACAAATGAGCCCGATGGAAGCAGGGCCCTTGATGCCATTTGTTGCTGTTCATACATGGAAGTTGCTCTGAAAAAAAGTAGAGGTCAAGAGAGCTCTAGGATGGAGATCTAATAATATTAGTGGCCGATATACCCAATTGTCTTGCAAATTTGCAGCGGACTTACTCCGTGGACTTAGGCCCTCTGTGTTTGTTACTACTAGAAGTCATACCTTCCAGGTTAGATAGGACGAGGACTGGTAGCATTTTGTCCGGGTGGATGGGACGATGGCCCCCTAGAAGCCGAGACGAAATCAAATCACTGCCAATCACATCCTCTGCACTATGCTCTCGTGTCCGTCTGATCAGTGAGAATGCGCTTTACCATTTAGCGACTTTTTGGTTTTTGGGCTCATGAGACTATCTTCATGAGAACCATGTCTGCCGTCCGATGTAGTTACCTATGTCCATGCTTAATAATGCCCCATGCCCATGCCCATGCAGTTTCCATGCTCACCCATGCAAATGCCGTGCTATGTCATGGGCCATGCCCATAATAGGCGAGACCAGACCGGAACCAAGAGAGAGAGAGAGAGAGAGAGACAAGGACGCCGCAAGACTCCATGCTTCCTCCCCAGAAGCAGACCAGAGGAAAAAAGGGAAGAGAAAAAAAGATCAACCGAAAGCTATGCCCCATGCCCATGCCCATGTCCATGCAACGCCGTTGCCATTACCATGCATGCCATGCGAAAACGCCAGATCCAGAGAGCCATCATAAAGACGCCAGGAGTCAGGACTCCATGCTCATTCGGGATGTAGATCATTAGAAGAGGAAAAGAAAGACGAAAGCCGTGACCATGCGAATGCCCATGCCATGCGCTAGAGGCAAGGACCAGAGAGCCACGACGCCAGCAAGACGCATGCTCAACCGACCCCCAGGAAGAAGAAGAAGAAAATCAAAGCCATTAAAAAGCAGTTCAGAGAGATGCCGGATCGAATACCAAAGAGAAAAAGGAGGCGGGTGTAACCCCCCAGGGGAGGGCGGTGGGGGTATAGGGGTGTAAGCAAGCTGGGGGAGGGGAGAGCGACTCAACCCAGCACGCACCAGCCAACTTCCCCACCCCACCCCCCACTTTTTATTGTCTTTTCTTTACTCAGACTCCGAGTCAGCCGAGTCGGAGATGCCCTCGAAGAGCATGCGCGCGTCGAGCTCCTCCTGCTCGCGCTCCGCCCGCTCCCGGGCCTCGCGCGCCTCGCGAGCCTCCGGCGTCTCCTCCTCCTGCTGCTGCTGTACGCAGGAAGGGTGCAGGGGCACGGAGTGGAGATCGACATCGTCGTCGTTGTGGTTGTCGTTGTTGTCGTAGTCGGGGAACGGACCGCGGGGCAGGCCGTCCTCGTTGGCAAACGCGCTGAGGTCGACTTGTTGCTGGTCGGCAGCGGCAAAACAGTGGTGACCGTGGTGATGAGCGGGGGTAGTAGTCGGGGCCCGCAGGCCCATCTGCTGCATGACCACGCCGGTCGGCAGGAACATCTGCTGGGGGTGGTGCTGGACCTGCTGGACCTGCTGGAGCGGGGGGGCGCCCAGGGCCTTCTCATGATTGTTGCTGTAGTGCGGGATGCCGTTGTCGGCCATGTACTGCTGGAAGGCGGCCACGGTATGGCGGTGGTTGGGGTTGGGACTGTACGGGCGGTCGTCGGAATTGCCCGCGGCCGGATTGAGGGAATTGATCGCGTTGAACGTCTCAACGGCCCGGGCGGCCAGGCGCTGCGATTGCGCATGATATTCGCTCTGGATGCTGGCCGGGAGGCGGGCGAGCCAGCAGCCGTGCGCCTCGCAGTCCGAAGGGGACACGATCCAGTGTCCGGCCATGTTGACCATGATGGCCTTGCGCTCGAGCACCACATCCGGGATGACGGAGGGGAAGTTGGCATACATGGAGACATTGGAGATGCCATAGTTCGGGGCCGTGGTGGTAGCGCGACTCAGTGTGTGAGTGGCGTGACCGGCGGCACGGGGCTTGCTGGCGCCCTCTCTCTTGATGTATTTGTTTCCCATGAGACCACCGGACTTCTTGGTCGGCGTCTCATCATATTCGGTCATGGCCAGCTCATCGTCGTCCGCCTCCTCAATCTCATCTTCGTACTCCTCGAACTCGCCCATGGCCTGCTCGGCCTGCTCCATCTTGATGATAGCCTCGGCCTTGGCTTGACGGCCGGCGCGGCCGCTGCCGGGACGCTTGCTGACGGCACTAGCACGCTTCTTAATGCTGGAACCGGTGCGGGGGGTGACCGGGACATTCTTGGTACGGCCGATGGTCGGGGTCGACGGGCCGTCACCGTAGTCTAGCTCCTCGTAGGGCGTGTTGGTCTTCTTCTTGGTAAGGTCCCAAGCATCGATGTTAAGCTTGCGCTTGATCTGGCCGTAGCGGACCTTGGGACGAAAGTCAGCATCAGACCGATTGATATCAGATTCAGACCGGGGTAGGGTAGAGATCGAGGCTATTATGGGATGAATTCTATTGGCCCGCAGGCTCTGGAATGTGTATTCCGGAAGCGGTCCGGAATGCACATTCCAGAGCCTCCGACTGAAGGCACTTCAGATGGAAAATGTCGACACTCATCAACACTTACCTTTGCAGTCTCAGCGTTCTTGAATCCGCAATCTTTTGCCATGGCATCCCAGTCCACGTCAGGTTTGCCGCGGATGTGCTTCACGACAGAGTAGAAGACGTAAGCCTCCTGCGGGGTGGGATACTTGGTCTTCTTGATAGTAGTAGAATCCTCGCCATCGCTGTTGGTGTCATTACCCTTGGTTACGACGACCGAGGGCTTGATTGTCTTCGGAGACATCTTGCTCTCGGATCTGATAACGACCGACTTGGGACTGCGGTTCAGGTGAGCTATTAGGAGCGGGCGTTGTCAGTAGCTGGATCAAGAAGAGTCGGTCGCGAAGAACGAGGAAGATTGAGAGTTGTTGAGAAATCAAAAAAAGAACGCCACTAGTACTTACTAAGTAGCAAGAGAGAAAAATGACTGAGAGAGAGGAAGAGAGAGTGTGTTAGTGACTGTATCTCAATTCCTTGGTATGGGGAGGCTTGGGAAGTAGATGTTTGATTTGGGTGATGTGTGTTGGTGAGGGTGACCCGGGAACTTGGCGAGTAGATGTTTGGTTGAAGTTGAGTGTTGGAGAGGAGGACCCCGGGGGAATGTGTATAAGAAGAAAAAATTGTGTAAGTCGGTTCTGGCTAAATCTCGGGCATATATGTTCAGACGGTTTACGCGCCTCCCCGCGAATCACCAGATGGTATATAGGGAAGGAGAAGGAAGAGCTGGTTGTTGCCAGGCCCTGGGGCAGAGAGTCCCCGGAGGTAGATCCTCCATTGGAAGGCACGCGTGGTATACGCGAGACTACGCGAACCACGCGCCTATATGAGACGAAAGATATAAAAGGAAGAAAAGGCAGCTATGCCCCTACTATCCTGGGGTATAGCTGGGGAGTAGATACATGGGCTGTATAATCAAATCAAAACTCGTGAGACTTATGTGTAACGGGATCAGGGCAGGGGATAATGGGCGAATCGTCGAGAACGGCGCATATAAAACGCCCGTTCACTGTACGAATCGAAGAGAAACCCGAGAAAACGACTTACGCTTTTCCAAGTAATCCGACGACTTCGTGACGGGAACGCCGTATTGCTGTCGACGGAGTTTCGTTGTTTGCAAAATCGTTGTTGCGAGAGCCTCGATGTTCTTGGAGGGATCAAAAATAGGAAACAGGAAGAAGCGTGGAGGGTGGGCGTCGATGGAAATAACAAGACCGATTACAGGAAACGCGCCCTTCTTTTGGAATCATCCACTTCATTATGCCGTTATGTTACATCTTCATCCCATATGGTGCCCACAATCCGAGGCATACATTCCCAATGACACCAACGATCCATGACCCGAGAGATGCAATAGAATAGGGGGGGATGTGCCCTCTTACCTGACCAACTTGTATCAACAAAGTAAGACTGAGAAGAAGTAAACGGTCCAGTCTAATCCAGTCAGGCAGCCCATAGACAATTCAATACCGCTCTTCTCTCTTCTCTTGCATGACGAACCCCCGCCTCTATCAGTCTTATTTTCAGATCCCGTCAAAGCCTTCCTCCCATTCATGCTTCGCCATCGGGCCTCCCCCAAGTGTATTGTTAGCCATCCGGTCCATCTGCAGCTCAAGCTCCCTCTCCCTAAACAGACTTGTTCCCCCGGTCCCACTGTGCAGTCCCAAGGGGTCGGCGATGATGTGGTGGTGTGCGCCGTGGTCATGATCGTGGTGATGATGGTGGTGTTCGTTACAGAACGGGTTGTTGTTGTTGTACCCGGCGTCCTCCAGAGCGTAGCCGCCGACCCCGGCTCCGATCGCAAACCCAGCCCCAGCCGTAGTATAAGCCGGGTTGTGCGGCAGGCCGTGCGCAGGGTGATGGTGGTGATGGGCATGGCTGTGCTGCGAGTGCCAAGGGGATGGCGAGCCGGCCACGTCGAGACACTGGGAGAAGTCATACGGCGACGGTGCAGCCGTGGAGAGAGGCGGAGACCCAGCACCGACTGTGTGCTGATGAGGCTGATGCTGATGTTGAGTGTGGAGCAGGTCGCTCGCCGACGGGCCCGGGCTGTGCGGGAGGAAGCCTTGCATTCCAACGCCGTCTGAGTCGCTGCAGGGGGTCATGAGCCGCATCTGCATGCGGTGATGACCGTCAATGTACGGGGTCGATGACGCCGAGCTTGTCGTCGGGGTTGTTGAGACGACGCCGAAGGGGGACGGCTCAGGAATCGCGGCTGTGGTATTAGTGGTGGCGGTCTGGGTGCGCTCCTGCTTGACTCTGGGCGAGGTGGTCTGGAGGGCTGACGACTGCTGCACGTTCTGGTTGAAGGGGATGATGGCAAGACCCGGCTCGGTCTTCATCATACCTGGTGTGGCCATAGGCGCGGGAGGCTGACGCGGGGCCGCCGACGGGTTGGCAATGCTGCGTCGCTCGGTCTTGACGGGTTTCGTGTCGGCGTGGGCGGTGTTCTCGCGTTTAATGCTGCCGATTCCGCTGCCACTCCTCTTCTCCTCCTCGTCCTCCTCCTTCTTGGGCCGGACAGCATCGTCATTCTTCTTCTTCGAGACGCGCGACTTGCTACTGGGATTAGCACGGTTCCGGCGCTGCGGCTCCAGGCCTAGCATGGCGGCGCGGAACCGCGAGTAGCGCATGCGGGCGGCATGTCCGTTGGTGATCTCCTGGGCCAGGATCGGATTATGGGCCACCTTGTTCCAGTCGATCTAAGCGGAAATGATTTAGTTCGTCAGCTCGTCACTCCTCCCCCCCCAAGGTCATTCAAGGTCAGCAGCCCAAGGTCGACGTACATCCTTCAGGCATTTCTGCTGCAGGATTGCAAACAGGAATCGGGCCATGGCATTGTCGTTGTTGGACGACATGGTGGGTGGGCGGTCAGCAGCCGGGACCACGAGCTGTCCAGACGGAAGGGTGCGGTCGAGAGCCAGCCGACACAGCCAAGGGAAAGGAGAAAGAAAAAGGGCAGGTCCGCGCCGGTGATTGGGGTGCAGTGGCTCAATATGAACCCTGGAAGAGACCGAAAGCAAGGCAAGGATCACTGCACTCAGGCGAATTCCACTGCTCGAGTGTGGGGAAGTGAGTCACGGCTAGCCTCTAGGAGTGGTGAGGCTGTCGGAATATATGCCAGTTTCACCGTAAAAGGACTGCGCCGGGCTTAGGCGATGCGGACCAGGGCCGCCTTTTGGGATTAAAGGCGGCAGACCTCTCTCATTCACAGCATTTTTGACCACAACTCACTTGGTCAGAGAAAGCAAGGCGAGTGGCCATTATTCTTGGTCCCATGCCCAGTCAAACAAGGCACCTGAGGAGACGGGCCATTGCCAAAATGAGAAAGGCGCATGGAAAGCTGAAGACTGCAGAGTGAAAGCGCTCCCCCTTCCCTCCTCCCCTCCAATAAGCCCTCCTTTTCCGCTAAGAGTTTTCCTGGCTCTCTTGTTTTAATCCATCCGGATTGACGCCCCTGCGATCGCTGCCACGGCAATGGGGCGCGGTTGCCTGGTCAGCGCAATGGGGCGGGGGCACTCAACAAAAAGGAAATGATGGCTCAACTCAAGACGGGGGGCGATTGGGGGGGAATGGAAGGTTGCGTTGGACGACGCGCTACCGCGGCACTTCCGCGTAAAGTGGTTTTCTGAGACATGCGACTGGATCCCTGCCCCTGCCGAGGATGACACCCACTCAGAGACGGCCTTTCTGTGGTGCACACCATCGCTCGGTGCAGATGCTGCAAGGAGTGATTGTGACGAGTGGCGGATTGCGCCATCCCTCGTGGAGGTTCGATTTCCGTATTTATTAATCGGACGAATGACCCGCTGCTGGAACTTGGAAGCAAACAGACGGTCAATGTGGCCGGACAGCAGGAAGCACGAGCACAAAATGTTCGACAATCCACACACATGACGGCAGCTGCGCCAGCTCAGTGAGTCACTTGAGCTCCATGGGATTGCAGTGCGGAATGCAGGTGGCTCGCAAACGGACATGAGAAGCTGCGGCGCCTTACATGATTGATTGGGCCAGTCAGCAGCACGGGAAACCGTTCCGAGGGTTCTCAGCATGCCGGCCCAGGAGTACTGTGTATATAGGTACTGTGTAGTCGAGGGAAGCGATCGAGGAACACCCTAAAAGCTTCTCCGTTGGTATGCATCTTGCCCTTGTCGTCAGCTATCGCAGCCTAGCGATTGGCGGTCAGTGCAGATCCACGCCTCGACTCTCCCACCTCACTCGGACGCCGAATCGGCAGTAAAATGTCCTCCTGTACACGAGACATTCCGTTGTGAAAGAACTGAATCTAGATAAAACTCCAATACACCCATCTCTTTGTCCTTATTCCCGTGTCAAAAGGCGAAATGCCGGATGCCATGGACGTGCAGCAATGGCAGCGAAGGCCCGACAAACAGCGGGGGGAGGCTGGAGTGTGGAGGATCGCGTCGTAATCGACAACTTGTGGGCCAGATAGCGGTTCGCGATATTGGCGCGAAATCATCTGACTTGGACAGGCTTGGACATGGGTGGCAAAGTCTCAAATATTATGGGTCCCACCAGAGCAGTGTTCCGAGCAGTCTCATTGGATTCCGGCTCGTCACATTCTCGGCGTCCGACTGAAAGATTCGTGCCGTGGTTCTGCTGTTTGAGCGGCTCGACTCCGCCCACTACACTTCCATCTCCCCTTAGCAGATCTTAGCAATTTTCCCCAGCTGTCGGTCGCGCTTCTTATCCACTCTTGCGGCCGCGCTCTTAGTCACATCGGCTTTGCTCACGATGAATAAGAACTGGAATGACCGGGCCGACAAGGACCTGTTCTTCACCATCCTGTCGGTCAAGAACATCGGCGTCATTAGCGGGTCGGAATGGACTACAATTGGCAATCACATGCGGTCGCTGGGCTACGGCTTCACCAATGAAGGATGCCGGTACGTGCTATCGAGCTTGTCACTGCAGTTGCTGCGTGTTTGTTCCGTCTTGATCCGAGCACTCCCCCTTGGCATCCTCATGTTCCTGGATTTGTTGCAGACCCTGCCCTTGGAGTCTCTCGTCGATGGCGGCCATTCTTGACCCGCTCTGGACTCATTGAGAGCCTACAACCTCATTCCTCATCGATGGCCAGTTTTTGACTTGTGCATCTCATCCGTTCCGGGCTAGCTTAATAAGAGTTACACTAACTCTCACGCAGCCAACACTTCCAAGGCCTGCGGAGAGCGCAAGCCAAGGCAGAGAATGGCGCAGCCACGGACTCTCCTAGGAGGATTGATCCCACGCTGAATCCCATCACCCGTAGACCAGGCCCGGGTAGGGGACGTCCGAGGAAAAAGAGTGCTGCCGGTGCTGCCGCTGGTGCCGGAGGGTCTGTCGGGTCTGAGTCTCAGTCTCCCGGAGCTCAGCAGGTTGGAGCATCACCTGCCGGCACCGTGCCCGGCGGACCCCCGATGGTTCAAGGAACGCCTGCTGGTGGCATGCCCCACGGAGTTCCCATGCACCCGCAATACCCCGGCGTTCCTGGTGTCTCTGGCGCGCCACCCACTCCTGTTTCTACGGCTTCTGGTGCGCCTGGCACCCCTGGTATGCCGACGATGCCAGCCACGCAGGGAGTTCCGATGGGCCAGGGCCCACCGATGGCCCAGGGTCAGCCTATGGTCCAGGGTCAGCCTATGCTCGCAGGTCAACCTCAGCCAACCGCTACGATGCCTGGCCCAGGTGTCGCGCCGCAGGCACCGATGACGGCTCCCGAGCAGCTGGCCGTAGACCCAAGCTTGGATGACGGGCCCGAGGAGGAGCATGCGGCGAAGCGACAGAGACTGGCTGATAGCCAAGACCCTTCACTCGACGACGAGGCAGTCTTAAATGCCCTGGCCGGCCACAACAACCCGACCACTCCAGGCGAATATACAACCGAGTGAGTTTGCCCAATCCTAACCAACAAATAGGTATTCACTATCTCGTCCGCCACGCTAACCTATCCACTAGATATACATACGGAGATGCCTAGTATTCAACCCCGTACCACTTCAACCCCAACCTCGATGGGCATCATTAAGGGGTTCTTCGGTGTGCCCGGATGGCAAGTGGCTCGGCGGGTCGGTAGCTCGACGATATAATGGTAACTCGATTCGGTTCGGTCTTGCTCGACGCGGGTATTGGATCCGCAAGTTCTCTCTTTCTTTCTATGTATGTGTCGCTGTTTTTGCTTAACCTAGGTCAGGTCAGAGGGGGAGTTAGGGTCTCTGCTATTACTGTACTGTTTGTTTCCCGTTTTCTACCAGTTCTGGTATCTTCTTGGCTCCCGCCACTCTAAGTGTATGTAATTTCGCTGGTACCTCAAGTCTGCTCTCGCCGCTGTCGTCAATCCACAGTGGCTGGTAGCTGTATTGCCTTTGATTTCCTTAGCTCCCTTTCAGTTGTCTGAGTCTCCTTGTGTGCGAGCGCCGGCCTCCTGTTAGCCAAGTCCAATTCTCGCCAACATCAGCTCCATGACGGGGCGTATAGCAGGCGTGGGCGGACTTACTGAGGAAGTGGTGGGCGCAGAGTGACATAGAGAGAGGGGATGGTCCCAGATGAGCTCAGAGCCAAGTCTTCGATCAGCCGGAGGCCCATCAACAGAGACGGGTTCGCGGGGAAGGCGGTTTCATGTTGTTCTCGCGGTGACTTAGCTCCGGGATCCGGCTTATAATAGGGTCCGACCATCAGAGTGTACTGTATGTGGCAGGCAGGAGGTCGACGCTCCTGCAACAACCCCAAGACTTGGCATAGGTCCCGCAGTCATGCCAGGTTTCCGTATTCCTCTCCCCGACTGCTCTCCCAGCTGACCGACTTCCTCCTGGAGCTGGACCCGCGTGTTCCGTACCCTTCTAAATTGAACCTGCAGCTCCGCCGGACCCGCTTATAGTCGTCGGGGGTGCACACATTGCATGTGCTGCGGCACCTTTTTCCACTCTCCGGCTTCCGTTTTTTCCATTTTCTTTCCAGAACACCACAACATATCACATCGGTGCTCACAGAACCAACGGCAGCATACTACAGAGCAATCAACCGAGACTAACACCACAGCAATCAACAAGATCACACAATTCAAAATGCCTGGCACCGAGGTTAAGTGGACCGACAACGCGCACCTGGTCCTCCTGTGCGCGGCCCTCGACATTATCGGCGACGGCGGCAAAGTGAGCATTGCCACTCACAAGGACAAGTTCATGGCCGCCCTGGAGGCGAACGGTTACAAGTTCACCTGGGAGGGTGTCCGGTAAGGACTACTTGCCTACCTTGCCTATGCCCCCTTCGCTATATGTTTCTCTTTCTCCATTTTCTTTTACACGCATCTACGCAACACGTGATTTCACCCCTATTTTATTCCTCTTGTTCCTAGCCCTGGCAAGTGCTGGGGGAATTTGCATTCTACCAAGTTGGGACGAGACCCGCAGTCGAGTTTATGCTCTGCTCTCCGGCACGATTTCTCCTCCGGCGTGATTTTCTCCTCCACTTCCAACCTTCACATCACCGGAGCTCAGAAACCTTGGGATAAACATCACACTTTTCTATCCCATTTCTGCTCTCATCTGCACTTCAAGCCTCATCCAGTCTTCAAGTCTCATCTGCTCTTCAAGATGCCAAAGTGGGAAGACATTCGTGACGACCTCTTCGAGGCCATCGTCCGGGTGCAGCCACCCATCGATAAAGAGCAGCAGGCTGAAATCGTCGAGATCCTCAAATCCAGAGGTCACGACATGGGCTGGAATGCCATTCGGTATGTTCTGGCTTTCCTCTCTGTTGGTTTTCCACTGAGCAAGTGCTGGGTGTAGGATCCGCTTTTGGGTACTACTTCTTCTGCTGCTCTTCCTCTTCTCCTCTCCCCTCCTCCCTGCTGCAGATTCCCTCTTCACTTCCTTCAACCTTCTTCCTTCAGAACGCACATCTTCAGTTCAGCACCAATCCTTTACCCCATCATACATTCCCAAGAAAGACAAGGCACAAGAAAGACCACAAAGCACAAGCACAATGGGCGGACGACGCATTCTCCAGACCTGGGACGCGGAAACGCATGAAGATGTGCTGGTGGCCCTCATTGAGCATATGAAGCCTACCGGCGGCGATTGGAAAGCCATTGTGGCTTCTCTCCATGCCAGAGGCTACACTTTCTCTGAGGGAGCGCTTGTGTAAGTTCAGGCGACTTTCGGGGGACCCGGTTATTGCTGTGGCTACCACTGGGTTTCGTTTCTTGCACACCTCTCCTCCTATTCTTCTCCCATTCTACACTTCCACAACACATCTCCAGAACACCCACCCAAATCTACCATCTTTGTCTTTTGCTTTTGCCCCAGAGCACACAACATCCTTCAACATGTCGAAGAAGCCTACCGTCTGGGACCATGCAGCCCATGTTACGCTTCTCTTGGCTTTCCTAGCCGAGGCACCACCGACGACGGCGGAGTGGGAGAGAATCCTGGACCGGGTCACGGAAAAGGGTTACGACTACTCAGCCAGCGCTGCGATGTAATTCCTCCCTCCCCCGTCCTCTTTCTCTCGGCGGATCCGCTTTTCTTCACAAGAGCAGCACAAAATCCCTCCTCCTCTCCTCTTCCCTTTTCCCTCTTATCTCTTCCCTCTTCAAACTTCCCACAACTTCTGCAAGCTCTCCCAGTTTCCCCATTCTTCATCACAGCACACATCAAGCCTTCTTTTCAACTGGCAATCCTTCAGAAAAACAAGACGCTTCACTCAAGATGGCGTCTGAACGCATGAACTGGGACCACCATGCGGACCACGACCTGCTTACGGCCATGATGCAGGAGCTGCAGCCTTCTCAGGAGCAGCTCCGCGGCGTCATGAACCGCATGCACGGTTTTGGCTACACCTGCACTGTCAAGGCCATCACGTACTTATTGTCCCCCCCCCCTCCCCTCTCTTCCTCTCACTCAGCTCAGCTTTTACTTTTTGTCTTCTGTATCATTTTTATTTGCTTTTTTCATCCCGCGACCTCACTTGAGAAACGAGAGAGAGAAACAGGTTTTTACTGACATCTTCTTTTTTTCTTCTCTCATCTACAGCCAGCACCTGCAGAAGCTTCGCCGCAAGGAGGGCGGCCCCGGTCCTGCTGCCGGCAAGGACGACGGCGCCGGACCGTCCACCCCGAAGAGCACTCCGAAGACCCCCGGTGGTCGCAAGAAGAATGTCGGCGCCGCCGCCAAGAGCACCCCGGGCAGCGCCAAGCGCAAGAAGTCCGCTGCCACCGCTGAGTCGGTCGACGACAGCGAGCCCGACACCAAGAAGGTCAAGGACGAGAAGACCGATGTGAAGCAGGAGATCGCTTCGGAGGAGTAAGTTTTTTTTTTTTTTCATTTTCATTTTGCATTCACTACCTACCTACCTTACCTAGGTCCTTAGAGATCATGGAGTGAGGGCCCTGAAGTGAGATGAGTTCGCGTCGCTGACATGCTGCTTCCCAACTCATTTATAGTGAGGGCTGCGCTTGAGCCAATATCTCTCCTCCCACCAGGCAAACCGACTTTGTTCATTTCCTTGCCTTTTGTTTTTCGACACCCTGGGATCATTCCCCGCGGGGTGTCGCAAATCATGGTTCTTGATTTTCTTTGCATGCTCGGCAAACACGGGTACAGTCACGACACTTAAGTCCTACGCGGATTTGGAACTCGGCATAGAAGCAGCATGGGATGTAGGGGTGGGGGAGTTTCCTGGAATTCTGAGGGGCTTTGGGATTCGGGTTTCTGACCGGTTTTGCTTCTCGGAGGAGTAAACGGCGTGATCGGTTTCTGGGACGGTCTCATCAGGTGCGGGTGGTCTTCCTCTCTCTCATCTTTCGGTTTTACTGGGCTGCCATCACGGTTGGGTTTTCCGGGTCGCGCAACACTCTACTTTAGGACTTTGGCGCTGGGTCTAGTACTGCTTGGGGGTAAATGGGAAACGTCTGATCATCTACGAATTCTTCTGCTCTACGCTCGCTGTGATGTGTGATTCTGTGATGCTTGGGCCGGAACCATTTCAGCTTGCCGTCGCGCATGATTCTAGACGCGGGTGAAGGCTGTGGGTACAAACCCATAAGCCCACATACTGATGATGACTTAAGCCTGCAAAATGGACGGCCAGCCAGTCTGGATTTGATATTTTGAAGTGTTAGGAAGTTGAAATGCGCCTCGGAGGTGTCTGGAAGCAATCTCCACGGTCGGTCGGCTCAACGAGGGGCTTAGATGATCAGTGTCCTACTAGTAGAAACGCGTGGGCGACCTGACGAAGCTAGCTGCTAGGGTTGGTTGATCCTGGCAATGAGATCCCAAGTCGCGACGCCTACTCGGACAGTTTCCTCAGCGGAAACAATTTGGATATGCCCCGCCCATACCCGCCCCAGCATCAGCGTCGTTAACTGGAGTGGAGGCGTAAACAAAGTACAAGCCGGGGTATCCTCACCATCCTACTATCACTCATGGACCAGACATGTCTGTTTCCCCGTTCTCTCCCCTTCCACTGCTCTCCGCCGACCGCTTCAGACGATGACTATTGGCAAGTAGACTAACTTCTACACGTTAGACTAGAGCGGTATGGCGGACAAGATTTTGGCAAAGAATCAAGCCGCAAACACCGAACACGATGCGTCTCCCTCTCGACAGATCCAGCGCGCCCCTCCCCATCACCCATTACTCATCTCACTGTCCCCGCCGTAATGGAGCCCCAACACATCGTTACAGCGACCACAAGATTTTGACTGCCCTCCTGACGGCAACATACGATGGATCGTTGAATCCCGAAGCAGCAACACGCCCTTCAAGAATTCGCGTTCTGCCTTCATCTCAAACTGGGAACAAGCTCATGTGCGTAATCGATGTGGGGAGGCCTCTCCTCGCCTATTGCAATCCCACAAGTTGTCCTCGCAACACGGCCGAGTCGGAGAGAAGCTCAGCGCCCCATCAAGGAGGAGGGGAGAGAAGGGGCAGCGGAAACGGCTACATACATGACAGCTACCTACCTACCTACCCAGGCCAAAGATCACAGACACCAATCGTCAATATCGGCAACCAAGAATATACTGCTGGGCCGGTCTGACCAGAGATGTTGCCACAACGCGCAGGAAAATCAAAGAGAAGCCATCTGCCGTTTGTCCCGGATTCTTCTGCCTTGTTTTGTCACCGGCATACAATACTACAGTCAGCTTAGAAGGGGAATAATCAAACAACCCATTGCCAGATACTCAAACTGCATTTCTCGTTTTGGTTCTCAGTGGTGTGATGCATGTCCCTTTGCATCACACGACAAGTTGCTGGCGGACTTGTCTTGTTGACAAAAGGGGTTGCCAAGCCTCGGTTGCCCGGCAACGATCTAGCGGCGATTCACTAACGTAGTAGAACAATAGGGGCATATAGTACTTGGAGGTCCAAGCGTTCTGCTTAGGTTGAAAGGTTGATAGCGGCATATAGGGCAGGTAGTATGGGGTCCGAGCGCTTCTCACTACGATGTTCCTGCTTGGTTTGGGACACCCAAGATCATGATGTCAAGATCTAGGGCCGACTGGCTGAGTCGGCAAACAAGGCTCCACGCAATATTTTGTAGCTGAAAAGCACGGCTAGTCGGGCCTCATCCAAGCTGATTCGCACGATGAGCCGTCTACATGGATTCTAAGACAGTACATGATATGGATTCTCCTAAGGGCAGTGTGTTGGGGCATCTGCATAGATTGCAGCGACGTTTGGGTCATCATAGCCTCTCCTGTGAACGTAGACCGACATTGCAAGCACAGGTAAGTTACGTCGGAATAAACGACCCGGTCGAGAAGCGTCAGCTCCCAGCGAACGGGTACCGACTACCTGACCCTAGGCCGACCAGCCCGAGAGTCCGAGACCGTACTACTAGGTCTTGGATGAGCCTGCTTCTTCACATTATAGTCGATGGTTGTCATCTCCGGTGTCGGCCGTCACAACGTTGTCAAGCTCCTCGCCGCGGGCGACAACGCCTGTAACAGCGCTATAGATCCTTTCTGGAGAGGATTAGACGAGGCATATGCTGCACCCGACAGGAAATCGTTTGGCAACTCATATCCTGAAGCTCATGACACAGTGCGTATCCTCTCCGCTCTCGGTGTCCCATATGATCACACGGGGCCAACAACTACCTCAGGAAGCGCAGGTAGGGGGTGTGGTAAGGAGTGGTAGAGGGTGGTGGACAAAGCATCCGTAACATCACTGCACAGTGCATGGCGAAAGTCACAGTAGCAACCGGACTCAAATAGAGCTAGAAGTAAGGAGATAAAGGCACATATGCAAAGTTTCACTCCAGAATGTTAATATGATAGCTCAAGTAACATTTGGTAACGTACAGATTATGCAAAAGGTTGGAGTGAGTTGTGGCGAGTGTTGTGCGGGATGTGGTGCTGAGTTGAACACCCCTGATTCATCTATTTAGCACGGAGAAGTATCCCTAGCTGGGCATCGCATGGAGGAACATGCTGATCATGGACGTGTAATGTAATACTGCTGATCAAGAAGAGGGAGCACGTTCTCTATATCACACATGACTCAGCCATTGATGTCTAATGCAGCGTGTCATATAATGGACGGGACCATCGTTCTGTAGCCAGCTCCGAGAAGAGGCTGTCTGATGTCGTGGCTCCTGCGGCATGTACCATTCCTTAGGGGTATGTATTCAGGGCATTTCTGGTGCATCCACAGCATTCTACAATGTGAAATGCCGGAGTTGAGAGAGAGTAAATCCCCATTTACGTGTTTGGGCCCGCGCACTCCGTACCTGCCCCGTGCTCGACGCCGGAAACACGTCCACCCCTCCGCAGGCTTCCGGAAGCCTGGCGTCGGGCGGCGGGTCACCTCTATTTCTTCCCCTCCGTGGCCCTCCATTTCTCTCCTCCAGCCTTCTTCATCACGACGACCACATCAGAAGCTCCTCGACTCGCCGCTGCAACGTCGTCGTAACAAACAAGGTAAGTCATCATCTCCCTCGCCCCATCACCAGCGTCGTCGCCTTTTTTTTTTTATCTCCACGTCGCTGTCGACGTTGCCGCGAAGGTTGTGGAACATGCGAGTTGCTGGGTACGGCGCCGACTTGGTTTATTTCCTCTCCGGAATCTTCACCCAGAATCAGCTCAACTAACCACTCATCTCACAAACAGTACCAAGAAGACCAACTCCTGCTTGAACTATGTACGTAAGTATTCTGTCCCTAGCACCCCATTCCGCCGTCCCATGTTGCCCATTTATCCCGCGTCATCACCTTGGGACATTTCCATTTTCCCTCGCGCTGGAGCCGACTTTTCAGTTGGGAAGCCCGGATCGGTCAGGACTAACCCCCTAGCTAACCGTGTAACAGAAGTGCCAACTTATACCATGTCCGCTCCCGCCCCTGCCCCCGAGGTGAAGAAGACCTCGGGTAAAGCCGGCCTTGCCGGCTTCGTCTTCAATGGCAGAGCCGTTGACGAGACGGACGTGCGGTTCCTGTTTGCCTTTTTGGTAAACATGAAGACAAAGGCAAAAATGGACTGGCACGGTGTTGCCAGCGACACGGACGTGCGGACCAGGAAGGGTAAGTCTGTTGTTATTATTGGAGCCTGTTTGATTGTTCCCGGCTGCCCTTGTTCCAGTTCCCTGCTTGGGGAGGTCGAGAAGCGCCGTTGGAGCTCACTCCCCCCGACCCCCAATTCTTTGCTCTCATCGGGACAGTGCACGGGTTGGGCCCTGGCCGCATGTTATCTACGTACCAACAAAGGTTTGGACGTAGACAGATCGTTTCTGTGCGGGTTTTCCCGTCTCACGGAAAAGAGGGCCCAGCTGCGGTATCAGGTTCTTGCTGTTTCACTTTTCATCTCAATGCACTCACTAACAAACCAACCCCCTTTTCAACAGCCGCATACGAGCGTTACCGCATTTTGCGGAAGGAGTTCGGGCTCCCCCTCCCCGCCGAGCCCGCCCGCTTTGCCGCCGACGCCGCCGCCGCCAAGAAGGCTGTTGTCGGTGCCCGCGCCCCCGCCGCCGCCGACGAGGAGGAGCGCGAGGAGGAGACCCCCCGCGCCACCCCCGCCCGAGTCTGTCCCGCGTCCGGTTTGGTTGTTTTCTTTTTTTTTTCTTGTTTTCTTTTTTTTCTTGTTTTCTTTTTTCTTTTGTGTTGATTTTCTGCTTGTGCTGGGTGGGCCTTGTGAGCTGGGGAAAGGACTTTCCCCAATGCTGATGGGATGCTGGAGTTTGGACGGGTGATTTTCGCACCCGTAGGTGCCGTGCCGGGCCCCCCTTCATGGGGAAGTACGTTTTAACCTCCCCTGGGTTGTGGGAGAATTGAGTTTGTTTTCGCGCATCATGATGACTCCCCCTTGCCTCCGTGACTATGAACTCGTGGACGCCTTTGTTTACTTCACTCAGGGGAACCCTAACTCTGCCCCCTTTTCACACTGGTGCCCCACGAGTCCCTAGGTTCTACTTGTTTGAATGCCAGTGTTCTGACCACACTTGTGGAGCACTTCTGCATTCCGTGCGCTCCAATGAGAGAGTTACAGTCATCGAAATTGAGAAGCGTGTTCAGTTGCTGGATTCCTATTGTGCCACTGTTCCGTCCAACAAAGTGACCTACCATTCACAGCTGACATGAATAAGAAACAATACCTAGCCATGGCAACCAAACGTCAAAATTACCATTGTGCCCCTCACATAAGCAATCTTCTCCTGGATGCAACACTGCAGACCAGCTTGTGCATGATTGAAGCAAAGTGTCGTCCTTCCGGACTTTTGTTCTACGTGTACAGTCGTGGAACTGTGCAAGCAGAGAAAGGGAAGATGGAACACTTCGATTCACTTACATGCCAAATCCTCCAGCTTCCTGGAGTAGGTAGGGATTGGAAATCACAGCAAAGGCGCGTGGCTAAAGCCTGCTAGCACCGATATACATCGCCATTGTATACCGTGCGAAGTCTCCACGGTCAGCGTGTGTCATGATGATGCTTCGTTTTACACTTACTTGTGGACAGCGGCCTGCGGTTCAAAGACTCCAAGCAAATCAAGCAGGGCCCAGTCCCATGGTGTGTTATGATGTTAGCTTCTAACGGAATCCACAGTGCGGTGCCCTTGTGCTTCTCGTGGCTCATAAGTGATAGAGCCTGACGACTGACAGAACTTATGTTCTTACCCTTGCTTGCGTCTTGACCATCCATCGAGGCATGCACACGGGTGGCGGAAGCAAGTGACACACTTGATTGAAGATGCAGGGTGACCTTTTGCCACAGTGGGCTCAGCATAGTCAAAGAGGTGCCCGCATGAACGAGTCCAACCGCCAGCGGCAAACCGAGAAGTCCTGTTGGTAAGATAACAATGAGTAAAAGTAAGGTATCTGACAAGCCAGGACGAAAACCGTCCCAAGTCCAACCCACACGGCATCAGACGACCTGTCTCCCAGGTGCCCTGACTTAACCCAGCCGTGGGCACTCTTCAGTAACCCGTGGGCCTCAAAAGCGAACCCCAGCTCTTCCCCAGTTTCCAGTCAAGGCTTCTGACCTTTCCGGCCTTCCTTCTTCTGCTTCAGCTGTGCTTAAATTCCCCCCACCGGCAGCCAGAAATTCAACTCACTTCCACTCCACTATCACTCAGACACTCCAGGTTCACGGCTTCATCAGACTTCATCAGCCACCGCGAGGATTTTGTTGCAGGCCAGTCAAGCTGGGTATGCCCTTTCTCCCCTGTTTCCCTTGAGAATGAGCAAGGCGCTATAGCCTGCGACAGCGCCCCTTTGTCCTCATTGAAGCAGCAGCTATTGTCGGGCCGGAGAGGTCGCGGGTGTGTCCACACTCAAGCCAAACTCTTCTTCAACCTCCTCAACTCCAGACCTCTGTCTTCTGGCCCTCTCATCTTCTGACCATAATCATCATCCAGAGAACCTTTGCAACTTGCAAATCACCATCAGTCAACCCACACATAGGTAAGTGGCATTATCTCCTGTTCTTCCTCGCCGTTCTCGCCGTTCTGCGCTCTTCTGCATCTTCGAGTTCACTCCTGGATTTCAGGTCGGTCCCCAATCTTCATTTACCTACCCTTTGGCCCAGCTGTCCGGCTGTCGGTTTCTGTTCAACCTGGTCCACCACTTCTTCTTGTTCCTGCTTGTCGGCTTCTAGCCTTCCCTGATCTCGCATCCAACCCATCTTCCCAAGACCATAGCACCGGGCATATCCAGAACCTTGCAAGGGATTCCTCCATTTATCGTTGTTGCATCTCCTGTCCTGGAGGAAGATTGTTCTGGCGATTAAGCTGCGACCGACTTTGGTTTCGAATTGGTTGGCTTTGATGCCTTTTCCCTTCCTTCTGCCACAACACCACACTCAGCCCTCAGACTGCGACAATCCTCGACAGTCCGACTAAAGTCTCTCATTTGACCGACGAGCAGAAAACCTCGAGCTTAAGTCTACACAATGCCTCCTCAAGACATTGAAGGCCAGTTTAAGTTTCTCCTGTGCTGTGTCAAGCACTCCTCGGCCGGCAAGGTCAACTTTGATGCTGTCGCGACCGAGCTAGACATCGTGAGCAAAGCTGCTGCGTAAGTGTTTCCCCTTACTCCTCTACCCCTCTCTCTTGTAGACATCTCACTACCTTACTCATTGACATTCTCCCCCCCCCCCCCAACCCAAAAATTCACTCACCTCCGCTCATCATCGTCAACCGATCAATCTATTCTTCATCATCCCTCTTCTAACCTGCATCTCCGCACATTTTTTACAGGGCCAAACGGTACGAGCGCCTTCTGAAAGCGCACAATATCACGATCGCCACTCCCCGCAAGGGAGCCGGCAGCAACAACGACGGCGACGCCGATACTCCCGCCCCACGGAAGCGGAAGCGCGCTACTGCGACCAAGCGCGAGAACGGTGTCACCAACAATGACTCATCCGAGGAAGGCACACCGGTCAAGAAGGAGCGCCGCGCCGCCGTCAAGAAGGAACGCGGTATCAAAAAGGAGGAGTCAGTCGACGATGAGGACGACGTCGTCAAGACCGAGCACGTCGAGGACCCCGAGGAGACCGAAGGTACGTTTTATCATATCATATCACGCATTTCGAGGCGGTCGTTTACCCGCGGCGCTGTTGGCGCTCCAGTTTATGGAACATCGTCGATGCACTCCATGATTGTCACAATTCTAACGTTGGCCTTTCTTCATAGAGGAGTTCATCTCTGAGTAGGCCCCTCGTTTGAGGCCCAGTAGACAGAGCATGGAGGGGAGGTTCTTTCTTTTTCTTTTTTCTTTCTTGGGATGGGACGTTTCGGGTTGGTGATCGCATCGATCCGGGGAAGGATGGTCACTCGGGAATCTACAGCAAGGTGGCTTCAGGGGTTCTCGTGGTCCAGGGTGTTAGCAGGCATACTGGAGGAGCAACTCTGCTTGCGAATATGAGAACAATTTGGTGATCCACGATCTAGTTCTCTGCCTCTGATACCGTGATTGGCCTAACCGTATCCGTTTGGCATCTGCTGACCAGAGCCGGCATTGTATACAGTATTCAAGCCTAAGAGGTCTAGCAACAGCACAAAGTCAGTGCCACATGGACCTTGCGAACATAAAAGGCAAACTAACGAAGATTCCCCTCCGGACCTTAGATGGGTTAGATCAGCCCCAAACCGTTGATCCACAGGGAAGCAGCACTTGATTAGCGTCTATTTGCTTGCCGTGCCTGCTTGGAGAAAGTGGTCCAACAATTTCCCAAGCTACAGAGCTTGCTTCTCAGCAAGCAACACTGACAGCAAGTAAGCAGGCGGCCTTGCAGACTCAAAGTGAAAGTAGAATGAGTCACCGACAACCGCCAGGATGGTCGATATAAACTCCGGCCCTGCTCTTCATACCCTACCTACCGTCCAACCCACGGATTCATCCACATCAAAGATGGCACAGGACATAGGATCCCTTCGGCGCTGGCTTTACTACGCGAAACCGGGTTCGGGGTATACAATCGAAATCATCATAACATCTTCTCATAAGACGTCTACCACCGAATACTGCTGATCTATAACTGATACTATCTTATAAATATTCTTAAACGTTTATGGTAACCTTCCCTCGTTTCTCCCCTCCCAAGGCCTACGCTATACGGTCTAGAGAGTGGTTCTCCCTCCCGACCTTGAACATCACCGACGGGGAAGGCGCCGGCTATTGTCGAAGAAGTGGTCGCTGAGGAACGGGACAAGACGGAGCAGGTGGTGCCCATCGACGAACCCACCGCAAGAACGCCATTTCTTTGGCGAAATCCGATGTCCCAACCATGAAGCAGATCGTCGAGGAACTTGAGGGGGGAAGGCAGAGACGAACAAGAAAGAACGCTGCGCCCTTCAGCACACCAACGTGACAATCGTTAGGCAACGCGACAAGGCCCGTCATAGCCTTGTGGATAAGGTAGTCCCTGTTGCCGGTCCCAGCCCCAACGTGGTCGACCTGAACCAAGTGGTGGCCCGCCAGATGAGGAGGATGCCCTCGCTGATGCATCCCGGCCGCCGATCGACGTCGAGTCCCAGCGAACCTTGGCAGAGAGTTGAGGCAAGGGAGGCACTCTTTTCCACACCTGCCGGGACTCGGAACGCGAGACAGGTCCAAGGGACCTGTGTGGAAGCACAAACACACCGTGCTATTTCCGATGGTGTCCTGCGGCATCCCAAAGTTATGAGCGCGACGACCCCGGGGGATTTTCCCCTCTTGTCGTTGCCCGCGTTGCGGAGAGATGTTGAAAACGAGAGGACTCAACATGCTGCTAGCCAGAGGATGACCTCCGCTCGCTCGCCACCTCCGTGGCTTGATTTCTGGCCAGCACCATCACATGGAGCATCTTCGTTAAAGATGCCGACCTCCCCAAATAACTCAATGGACCGACCGGAGGGTTAAGTTCCTAATTTTCCAGGAGCCGGGTGCATGTTGTTGTTGTTCTTCATACTCTGGGCCTCGTCCCTGACGATACCCCGCGTCATTGATGCAAACAGAAGCTGGGACTCGAGTTTGGGGCATGGAACGTTGGAAGATCGGTAAAGGGTGGACGTCTATCAAGCGCTAGCATGTTAACGTTAGTGTTGTGGTGGGACGAAGTCGAGTTAGAGTAGTACATGTATCAAACCTACCACCCCCTTTTGGAGTTTCGGAGAGTTCTTGAACAGATGTCCCCATGACTTCCTGGTACTGTGCTAGGCCCACCAACTTCAACATAGAGGAAATGGTAAGGTAATTATAAGCCATCACAAGTTTGCCATTATCACCGGAGAGCAATATTATTGAGCAAGTTGTTTGAACGCAAGCGTTGAAAGTCAATATTGTGTGGGGTTCCTGTTGGTTGCCAGGGGATGATAGCCACATCTCTGGGTCCGTTGCAAGCCGAATGCGCCCGTCGGGTCCGGTCCCGTCTCCACTTGATGCTTGCCAAGATTGGGGAAGGTAGACGGGCGAAAGGGGAAGCAATCCTTCTAAATGACTTGCAGCATTCTTGAACTTAAGACACAAGGAGAATTGCAGAGTCATCAAATACTTGAATCGGTCTCTGGAACAGCCGTGTGAACATGCATAGAAGTCATCAGTTCTCAACCGGCAATGTTCGCCTGTGAGTTGGACGAACGAGGTTTGTGGAGTGCCGATGATTCCAGAAGAAACTCCGGGGTGTCTGGATCTGCGCTAGTACGAACCTGGCATAGCGGCTAGGGAGCTCGGGCCCTTGAATTGGTGAACTTGGTAAGTTTTTTTTCGACTCGATCGCCAATATCAACGACCGGTCAACTTCTTCCTCTCCATCCCGTCTCAACCTCCTCTTCCGCACCTCCTGAAGTCCATTGTGATACCCTGCTGAGTCTATTGCTTTAATACACAGCCCACGATGCAGCGCGCCCTCACAAGAGCGTCGGTCTCGTCGCCGCTCGCCGCGGCCCGTGTCCGCTCCACACAGCAGCTTCGCTTCGCCCATAAGGAGCTGAAGTTCGGCGTTGAGGGCCGGGCAGCCCTCCTCAACGGCGTTGAGACCCTCGCCAAGGCAGTGGCCACCACTCTCGGTCCCAAGGGTCGCAATGTCCTCATCGAGTCCAGTTTCGGCTCGCCCAAGATCACCAAGGGTTCGTTATCCCCGCCTTAAGCATCGGGATGGTTCGGAGGAGGCTAACGCTTGGAAAAAAAGATGGTGTGACGGTTGCGAAGGCCATCTCTCTGAAGGACAAGTTCGAGAACCTTGGTGCCAAGCTCCTGGCTGATGTCGCCTCCAAGACGAACGAGGTTGCCGGTGACGGCACCACCACCGCGACCGTGCTCGCCCGTGCTATCTTCTCCGAGACTGTCAAGAACGTGGCTGCTGGTTGCAACCCGATGGACCTCCGCCGCGGTATCCAGGCTGCTGTCGACTCGGTCGTCGAGTATCTCCAGAAGCACAAGCGCGACATCACCACCAGCGAGGAGATCGCCCAGGTTGCCACCATCAGCGCCAACGGCGACGAGCACATCGGCAAGCTGATCGCCAACGCCATGGAGAAGGTTGGCAAGGAGGGTGTCATCACAGTCAAGGAGGGCAAGACCCTGCAGGATGAGCTCGAGGTCACCGAGGGCATGCGCTTCGATCGCGGCTTCGTCTCGCCCTACTTCATCACTGACACCAAGGCCCAGAAGGTCGAGTTCGAGAAGCCCCTGATCCTCCTGTCAGAGCAGAAGATCTCCGCTGCCATGGACATCATCCCTGCCCTCGAGATCTCCAACAAGCTCCGCCGCCCTCTCGTCATCATCGCCGAGGACTTCGAGGGTGAGGCGCTCGCTGTCTGCATTCTGAACAAGCTCCGTGGCCAGCTCGAGGTTGCCGCTGTCAAGGCTCCCGGCTTCGGCGACAACCGCAAGTCGATCCTGGGCGATATCGCCGTCCTGACCAACGGCACCGTCTTCACCAACGAGCTCGATGTCAAGCTCGAGAAGGTCACCCCTGACATGCTCGGCTCGACCGGCTCCATCACCATCACCAAGGAGGACACCATCATCCTCAACGGCGAGGGCAGCAAGGACGCGATTGCGCAGCGCTGCGAGCAGATCCGCGGCGTCATGGCCGACCCCACCACCTCTGAGTACGAGAAGGAGAAGCTCCAGGAGCGTCTCGCCAAGTTGTCTGGCGGTGTTGCCGTCATCAAGGTTGGCGGTTCCTCCGAGGTCGAGGTGGGCGAGAAGAAGGACCGCTTTGTCGATGCCCTCAACGCCACTCGCGCCGCTGTTGAGGAGGGCATCCTCCCCGGCGGTGGCACTGCCCTGATCAAGGCCTCGTGCAACGCCCTCAACGACCTGAAGCCCACCAACTTCGACCAGCAGCTTGGTGTTAGCATCATCAAGAACGCCATCACCCGGCCCGCGCGGACGATCGTTGAGAACGCCGGTCTCGAGGGCTCTGTTGTCATTGGCAAGCTCAGCGACGAGTTCGCCTCCGACTTCAACAAGGGCTTCAACAGCGCCACCGGCGAGTACGTCGACATGATCCAGGCCGGCATCCTCGACCCCCTGAAGGTCGTCCGGACCGGTCTCATCGACGCCAGCGGCGTCGCCTCGCTCCTCGGCACAACCGAGGTGGCCATCGTTGAGGCTCCCGAGGACAAGCCTGTTGGCGGTGGCATGGGTGGTATGGGCGGCATGGGCGGCATGGGTGGTATGATGTAAGAACAAAAAAAAAAGAAAAGTGTATTGGGCCATGATTCTTGTCTTTGGTTTACGGCGACTCGGCTGGGGGCATTTGGCTGGTGTTATCGGATTCTATGTACAACGTGCCATGTACTCTCCTCTCTACCCCTTTCTCCCCTGTGTTCATAGTTGCATATTCCCGAGGCCACTGCGGTGGCATTGTATATTATGATGACACGGGGCTAGAGTAGAGGAGAAAACAATCATGAAATGTAATTGATTGAATGACTCAAAAGCGGGCGAAATCGGCCATGTTAATAATAAGCAGCAGCAGGCAGTAATATTGTGACCTTGTCGAGTCGACGACTGCGATGGTGCATGGATCCTTAGGTACCTAACCAACTTACCTATCTAGCTAGGCAGGTGCCTTAGACAGTTGCAAACTGACTGCCTGATCACGGACCCAGTAATGGGGCCTCCTTGACATGGAATCTCAGGTTCCTGTTTACTTCACGAACCAGGACCGTCTGGCAAGCAGCCGACTGCTGTCATATGCAGTTCTCTCGCACATACGTTTCAGCAGCCCATTCTCATATTGCCAGTCAGCTAGCACCCGGTGAAGGCCAAGGCACTCCATCATGGAGCTGGTGGTACAAAAAGCGGTTACCTGAGAAACCTGGACCTGCGTCCATGAAGCTGCCTGCCTTTCGGGTGGGCACCACGCGCATAACACCTAACTTATCGTAAATACCAGGTAATAAGCTTGGCAGGCCGTCACCGCCCGGCGCCGACAGCAACGGCCCCACCAGATTGAGCTGATGTTGATTTTTGGGCGACCCCCCTCCCCCTCCATCGGTCCCTCTTCTTTATCGCCAGTTCCCCTGCCCTCACACCTAGTACCTTGCTCTACTACTTTTCCCCTTTTTGGCGGGTACATTGCATTCACTGCAGACCGTCTCTCTTGAACTTCTCTCAAGAAAGGCAGTAATACTGGGCCTTTATTAGTCCCTTATCGTAAGTTCACCTTGCAAGGAAGGCTGTGCTCGCGGCCTGTCATTTTATCTAACCCCTCTTTCCCGCTCCTGCCTGGCGCAAACCAATCCCACACAACACCACGTCCCGTGTCTCGCGATCTGTCTCCGACTTTGCTGACGACGAACATTTGTGCATAGCTCGCGGGGTTTGTTTTTCAGCGCAACTTGCTTTTTGAGCCTTTGCCGACATTAAAAGGCTAACGCCCTGAACTTCTCACATCATGGTAATTCTTTAACATGCGTGTATGGTTGCTATGGCCGGTTTGAGTTTGCTGACCCTGGGGTTTTCATTCAGTCTCAATCCGGGTTAGTAGTCCTATCTCCCCCCCGCATAGTTCACCGACCCGGACCTTCTTTCTCGGCGCCCCTTACCGAGCCCACGGTCACACCGATCGACATGAGCGAGCCGCAACAGCGGGTTCCTTGACTACCACCCCCGAGAGACACGCAACCAGAGCGCTAATCACGAAGCTACAGAGCAACTGTCAACGCCGAGTGCGTAACGGCCTACAATGACCTTAAGCTCAACAAGAAGTACAAATACGTGATCTTCAAGCTGTCGGACGACAACAGGGAGATCGTTGTTGAGAGCACCAGCGAGGACGCCCCCGAGTATGACGACTTCCGCAACAAGCTCATCAACGCCACCTCCAAGAGCAAGACTGTATGTGGGGCCAGTTATGCTGCCCGATTTCTGTGACTAGCTCCGTCCGGCTGGCAGATCTGCCTGCCTGTCGTTGCGGGGTCCTGTCAGGGGTAACCGATGGCTGACCGCCTGCTTTCTAGGGTGCCACGGGCAAGGGTCCCCGCTATGCCGTTTACGACGTCGAATACCAGCTCGCATCTGGCGAGGGCACCCGGTACACGCTGCTTGCACACGCATTATGTCGGACACCTAAGACTGACCTACGGACAGGAACAAGATCACCTTCATTGCCTGGTCGCCGGATGACGCCGGTATCATGGTGCGTCTACCTTGGCACCCCTTCCCATCCACCTTTAACACAATGTTGACTCATTGTTTCATAGGCCAAGATGGTGTACGCCTCCTCCAAGGAGGCGCTGAAGCGTGCCCTCCCCGGCGTCGCCGTCGAAGTGCAGGCCAACGACCCCGACGACATCGAGTACGAGTCGCTGGTGAGGACTGTCAGCAAGGGCACCGCTTCCGTATAAGCGGACTGTGTTTCTTCGTCTGCCGTAGCATTCTCTCTGTCCGCTTCGTCGGCGACCGTTGTCCCAGGATTTTACGGCACACTTTTCCGGCGGTGTGTTGCGTGCGAAGTACTAGGGAAAGCAATGCGCGTGCCGTATGGCTCAGGGAGAGAGAACCGAGTTGATATTGGCAACTAAAAAGCAATTGGACGTACGGAGCCTGGGTTGTGTCAGCATAGCACTCGGAAACGTCAATGTAGTGGTTCCTTTCTACCACACCTCACGGATGAAGGGAGAGTGGACGTAAATTGGAGACATAAGCTACAACCTTGGTAGCAATGAGTTACCTCATCGTGCCGAGGGGCGGCTCTTGAGAACCATAGCCCTCTTTCCGTGGATACGCCTTCTATTCTCCATCGCCAGAACATGTTCACATTCCCCGTCTTATACCGGTTCAATCATGACCTCCCCTCCCAAGCAGCCTGAAACACCCTCAAAGCCTCCCCAGCAACGCCCTCATCCCGTACCCGCTGCTGCAAGAACCCCTTCAGATCATCCCAAAACTGCCCCGTCTCCAGTACACCCGTGCCACTCAACCCCTGTGCAACCGACGCACTCGCACTAGTAGTACCCGCCCTTGCCTCCTGCCCTTGGCCTTGTCCATTCCCTGCGGGCTCATCCTTCTTCTTGAGCGTCACGCTCGCCCCACCGAGGACCATAACCCCAAGCTCCACCGCTGCCGCCGCTCCTGCTTCATTTCCTTCGACTCCCGCCCCGGGAAGAAGGTCCTTGAGCGCCTTGCTATCCGCGACGGGCTTCTTGTTTAACAGCAGCTTGATCCTGCCGAACTCGATCCCCGTCTCCTGCACCACCCGCTCCTTGATCTCGGCCAGCGACGTGGACGGAGCTTGCGCGGGCAGCGTCAGGTCGAAGGCCGGGTTGCGCGGGGAGCGGAGGATCACCGTTAGTATGGGTCCTGTGGTTGCCGCGGCGGCGCCGGCGCCGGCGGATGTAGCGGAGGAGCGAGCCGAGGAGGAGAGTTTGGAGAAGGGTTTGCAGGAGGGGTGTTTCGGGATTGTGTACTAAACGTCGTCGAGAAAATAAAAAAAGGGTTAGTTCGGCGATTGCGCTGAAAGGTGGAAGAATAGAGAAGGAGGGACGGAGAGAAACGAACCGGTATGCTGCCTGGGTAGCTCCGCGGGTCTTCGACATGGTCGGAAGAGATCTTGGGAGGTTTGGAGTCGAGCAGGGAGAGAAAGGTCTTGGCGAAGGTGACCTCGGTCGCCATGGTGGAGGAGCTTCTATGTGAGTCTACTGTTATTTGTCGGTGTCTGGAGAATGAGGTACGCTGCGTAAAGTTATTGTGATGGTGTTTTGCAAGCTAGGTCGATGGCAGGAGGTCAGTGGACGGGCACCGGCGACAAGGTTGTGGTGGGTAAAGTGGGGGTGCTCTTATCTTACCTATCGCTGCTTAGAGAATATGAAGGATGGAACCTGAAAGCTTGAAAGTTAAAACACCACAACATTAGTTATGGCACAAGCATGTGGGCATGTGGTGAAATCGGAGGGGAGAATAGAAGCATATTATATTAAGCAAGCTATTCCGAAGCCGAAGCAAACCAGAACAGCGCCGGCCATTTTAAATGCCATGTCATCTATCATCTAGAGTCATCAATCATCATCGTCATTCCTGTGCCCCGATTCCAGGGACCGTCATGTTTTCCTTCCGTTGCTTTGCTGTTAGCCCATAACAAGACAACGCAATGCCCAGCCCATCCGTGGCCTCCCCCTCGATAGTATGCTGAGAGGTAAACACGAGAATGATAGCAAGGCATCGCCATTACCACCGAAGACTACACCCAGCTCCGGCGACTCAGGACCAATTCATCGTCCGAAACCACTTGGAACTTCCCCTCCCTGACCTGGATCCCATCGAGCCGGTGGTGGCTTCAACCGTCCACCGCCCTCAACAGAATACTCACCCTCTTAGATAAACTAACCCTAGTTGGGATGAGGCGTCGAACAAAAGCAGTTCCTCCAAGGTAGCAACGAGTGGGATGCAACCTCAGTCAGCCAGACTCTGGTTGACGATGTCGCGTATGGCCCACTTCCAGGCATCTCCACGGTCGACCTGGTTCACGACCCAGACTTGGCACTTCTTTCTCCACCGGTCCTCTTCCTCCCGCGTTCGGCGGACAAAGGCAGGGCCGACATCGAACTCTTCGCCCACCGGCCACTCGTGGTTGGCGTCGCTGACCCGGACATTGCCACCGTCGCTGGATGCTACGGTGCGCTCCTCGAGGTCGGGGATATCTTTGAAGACGTCCTCCTCCTCATCAATGGCATTGAAGCCGTCCAGGGGGTCGCTCTCCTCCGATCGGCCCTGCGGCGCCAACTTGAGCCAACACATGTTTTGAGGATCGAACACCATGCCGCCAACCACTTGGACACCCTTGGTCGCGCCGATGTTGGTGATAAGAGCAGGACGTGGTGTCGCGGTCTGCTCACGTATGAGATGCGGGGGCACAGACGCAGTAGACGGAGTGGAAGCTGGGACCTCGAATGCACTGAGCACGTTGTCGTTGCCCTCCCACCGGAATGTCTCCGGGTTATACCACATGCCCTTGACCACTGCAATGTGTTAGAACAGTCGGAACAAAATCAGGGAAGAAATGAGAAGCCTTACTCTTTGGGTCTCTTGGGGGATTCAGATTTGATATCAGGTGAGGCTTGGACTGTGGGGACCTGCGCAACTTCTTCGCCCTGGCCGTTGACCCAGAAGGCTGAGCTGGTGGATTGAAAGCGCCCCTTGCCGAGAGCTGAGCAACTCGCTGAGTCGTGAGTGGAGCAAGAACCCCCGACGGGTTGCGCTGTGCCAGAATCGTTTCCCGGGCGATCCGGCTTGCGGCAGTATCGCGAGCAAAACTGGGCACATTATCGACCCGGGAAGAATAGGGCGTACCAGGGGAGGGTGTAACAGTGCGGTCGGGCAAGATGCTCTGGTAACAGCGAGTCCGCGTTTGCGCCTTGGCGCTGGCCGGCTGCTTCAGGTATTTCGCTTCTGCATGACTCGACGTTGGCAAGTCATCGAAGGCATCCAGTTCATGGCCATCGCCAAAGTTTCGCACACGTCTGGGCATGCTGAGCTTGCCCCAAGCACCGTCAGGGGTGACTTTCTCCGTCGGGCGATTCCAGCGCGGACTAGGCGAGCGAATCGTCGACCGAGACACCGCTCGGGAGTTGGGCCGATACTCAACGCTACTTTCTGAGTCGTGACGGCGGAAGGTTCGGGAGCTCTTAGCGTTGATGTTATGTGACTGAGACACTGATGCTCCGGCTGGCAGAAACGGGACTGGGGCCTTGCGGGCTAACACTGCAGCGCTTTCGGAAGAACGCATCCGCTCTACTGGGGTCTTCGGCCGAGCTGTTGCTTGAGGGCGAGTGGATTGCTCAGTTCGGGAAGGGGGCCGCTCGTAACCACGGGTGGGCGGTGGGCGCCCAGGGGACTGTTGAGCACGCAGCGAAGGCATTGACCGCTTGAACCGGAGAAGTTGCGCACCTGTGGTCGTCGGTTCGTTCCGCAGGGTCATGGCGGATGCCTTTTGCCCAAGGTCCCTCCTTCGCGGCGTTGAAGGTGCCATGGTCTGCGTTAAGGAAGGTGGTGGAGGACTTGTCACGCTACCGAGGCTAGTCACGGAAGAGTGCGCCGAATGTCCTACGCGACCCAAAGAACGCCGTGATTGGGTTCGAGGAATAGGACCGCCGCTTTCAGAGACAGGTTCTAGCGATGATTGTGTATGTGACCGCTCATGGCCACCCATTGGTCGCGGAAGGCGGGATGCTGTGACCGGCTTATTTGTGAATTTGAGGGCGACCGAAGCTTTGGGCCGCGAGGGGCTCGCAGGCCTGGCTGTCTTGACCTGAATGTTGCGGTGCAGGGTCAACTTTCTCGAATCGAAGACTTCTCCATCACCAATCTCCAGCCCGGCCAGGAGATCATCCTTTTCTTCCTCCCTCGCCTCCTTCGCGAGTTTCTGATGTGCCGGTGCTTCTTTTGCAGGTTCTTCCTGGATGGGCTCATCAATAATGCGACGCACAGGAGAGCGGCTTTGACGGCGCCGCTTCAGACGCTCTCCAAAATCAAGAGGGCCATTTGGGATGATCAGCCCGTCAAATGTCTCGTCTTCGCTCTCCGCAGTTATTGAGCTTGCAATGCTCGGGCTGAAGGCAGAGACAGAAGAACTGCGAGTGGACTGAGCATCACGCCGAGTGCCGCCATATCTCGTTCCAAGACTGCCTTCGGCCCAATCAAGATCATCCAAGATAGTGTTGAGCGTTGGCGTCTTGGGAATGTCTCTCCGGGCTGAAAGCTTCAGCCTACCATCCTCCGGAAGCTCAAGGTCCTTCTCAAAATCGTCATCTCCTCCGCCGACCTGTTTCTGGGGAGTCGGTGGCGTGATGAGGGAGAGAGGCTTCGGCGCCTCACGTCTCTTAGACACCTTAATGGTGTCACCGCCGTCGCCAAAGAAGTCGTCATCGTCATCCACGTCTCGGAACCGCTCTAAGTCGACGAAACTCGAAGTCGCCGATTTCGCTTCCTTGCCCTCCTCCTGGATCATTGTCGAGAACTCCTTCGACGCCTTTGACGGACTTGGTTGCGTCGAATTACTGACTTGGCGTAGAACTTCGGGAAACTGAGCAGCATCCCGAGCCTTAATCTGGAGAGCTTGCCCATCGGGAAACTCGAGGTCGTCAACCCAATCCTCCTGAATGATCCTTTTGATCTTTTTGCCTCCAAGCCGCTTTATCGTGCCGCCCATAAGGGCGGAGGGCGGTACATTTTTGGGAAGCGGAATGCCGGCCTTTGCAGCAGCTGCTATCGCATCGAGAGTCGATTTTTCATCGTTTCCTGGCAAATGAACCTGCTTCTCTTCCTCGCCGTGAATGGATTCAAAGTCGGACCGAAATGAGGACTGTGAGTCGCGACGACTGGAAGAGATGTTGGCCGAGTTGGAGACGGAAGGAAACGCAAGGTCGTCGTTGTCAATCACAAAGTCGTCATCATCCCAGTTCTCAATCTGGTCCTCCACAGGCGCCCGGGTCTTGAGGCGTAAGGTGGAAGAATCCATCGCTGGTACTGCGACGACAAGGATACTTGTCTTAAGAATTGAGGCGACACGTTTCCGGTCGCAACAGCTACCGTCGGCGAACCAGGGCACACTGCAATGTGGAGCGACAGGGTGATCTGATCAGTGATGAGGATTCATAGTCGACAGTACTGAGCGTTGCCACCGGTTGCTACCACCTCGAGCGATCAATTCACTGTAGCAAGCTGATTCTTCGCGATGTTCGAGTCGTGAGCGAGGACAAGGGTGGGTGCTCAAGATCTCCTAGATTCTACAACTTCGGCTCGATGGGACGAACGTGCGGAGTTGAGGGGTGTTGTGCAGAAGGTTTGCATGGAGAATGGCAAAGAACCGGATAGCCAGCGCAAGCAAACGTTCTGAAGACCTTCAAGAGGCGACAAGAATATGATTGGAAGAATGCAGTAATATCTGCTGCCGTGCGTCTAGAAGGGCGACCTGAGCTCTGAAATTGAAATGGCGGGACTCTCAAACTGAGAACTGTGGCTGGAAAGTCGGGCGAGCAACGCAGGCGAAAGGCCAAGCCCGTTGAATAACTAGGTACCTAAGTAGTTGCCAGACAAAGTGGACGAATTACTGTAAGCGAGCGAGCAACGCTAACTAATCTGGGCAGCTAAATAGCCGGGCTACCTAAGCGCGCTAACTAGCTAAGCTAGCATGGGAAGAAAAACAACCCAATAGTCTCCGTCGGCTGTTGCATAAACACCGAAGAACTCACAGCGGACCCTCTGAGTTGAGAGATGTGATGTGATGCCTCCCATAGTACCTGTTAATGGCGAACAGCCGTGAGACACGGTGTCGCCCAATTACAAACTCCCTTAGTTGAAGTCACAAATCGCGGTCGTCTAGAGTTGCGATATGAACAGAGCTACGAAGTATGCTTGGGTTTTAACCCCGCGCCTTTCTGTCCGTGGGCATACCTACCTTATGTATTCTTATTGTAAGGGACTGGGAATGGAGGGAGATCCTGAAGTAACAGTGGAAGTGTAAAGGATTTACTAGAATGATGTGTCTATATCCTTATAGTAGCAGTCTGATCTGAAACGCCCTGTGGCTGTCTTCTGCAAGTTGGAAGTACACGTGTAGACATCTGTTCTGGAGGTTGCCCAGTGAACTTGAAGCACAAATATGGTGGGGCTCCTGCTATACTCACAGTGAGCCTACACAAATCCATGACCCACCTTCCCCACAGGATGTTCGCATGGTCAGGACTCAGGACATCGATCTTGGTTCTAGAAAGCTTTGAACAACAGCGAACAGATCTTCAACTCTTCAACCTCAGTTTGTCTGGCTCAATCTATAATGGATCATGCCGATTATGGTGATAAGTGCTTTTCAGACGCCGGTCTCGCGAACCTTCACGATGCGTCCCAACGGGACTCGGCACATCGTTGAGCCACTTAGTAGTTGAGCCCGGACAAGGTCTCGTCGCGTTCATGACGCGCTAGAACGCGGTTCCCCGCTCTGCCCCGGCACTTCACTGCTGCGTAAGCACCTTGTTCGCCTTAGCATGAAAGATCGTTATTATAGAATACCAGACATCTCATAGTCTATTTCAATGCCAATGCTCAGATGTATGGACAATTGACATGCTTCATAGAAACAACATCCGTTTGTAGGCACGGTGGGGTATGGATAGATTCACAGGGTGTTTGCATCACGCATACTCAACAACCGGTGATCGTGAGGGACAAGCCACGACCAGGGGTGGGCTAGGTAAAGCGACTTCTGAGTCCTGACCTCATTGTGCGAGCCATTATCTGCCAATTTTGTCTTGCATCGCATGTTCGTTGCTTGTAGTGGTTGTCGATACTTTGGTTGTAGAATCCGAAGAAATATCCCATTTATTATCCGTACTCTTTTGAGCTTCTTTGAGCTTTGACCAGCGCAGGTTGCCTAGACCCCGAGTCGCCTGCTGCCTACTGCCTGCCACGTCTTGGCCTGGACTCAAGGACCTTGAGCCCCGGGCCATCACTCCGTCACTCTCCAAACCTTCGAGGTTTAGACAGCAGTTCTCTAATCCATCCCCGCTGCATGGCTCCGTAAATGACAGACGGAAGACAAGGCAGATCAAACGAACAGTTCACTTCTAAGTTCAGTCATCCATCTCCCTTCGATTCCTGCTTGCCGACACTCCACGGCCGTCTAGCTCCGGACTTCCTCGTTCGGTGCCGCTGTACTGGACAGTGCAAGCCGAAGTCCCTTGACCGGTGGATTATTATCTGTGATCCTTGAGGCGCCTTCCTTGAATCTTGCGGCTTGTTTCACCTGAACGACGCTGGTGCCGCGTTCAAACAAGCCGACGGCAGGGCCTAGCGCCAAACCACCAATCTCCCTCCCGTCCACGCTGCCAGCTCCTGCCCGTCTATACACGCCATGCCATCATCTCACATCATCCGCATTCCTCGAACTGACGAGGATGGTGCTTTCGTCCTGGGCGAGGTTACACCATCAGGGTCCAAGCCATTGAACGTCAAGTTCGTCGCAACCGAGGGCGAGGAGCCGTATGTAGTCAAGTGTGAGTCCGCTCTCCCGCCCCTCGGTCCAGCGGGGCTTCCCCACCGACATATCGCCTGTTGTTATTCATGCAACGCGGATGTGTCCCGGTCCCATCCCTGAGCCAACTAACGCACCACAGTAAGGCATGACCGAATTGGCGACCTGAGGGCCAGCAGTAGCCCCTGCTCGTCGGAGGAATGGGAACGCATCCTGAAGGCGCTTCTTTTGGGCGGTGAACTGATCGAGGGCATTGAGGCCGGTGCCGAAGCCCATGTGGGCAAGTTCATTACCATCACCGTGAGGCGACGAGTCGCCGGCATTAACGTGAGCTCCTCTCTGTCCCAATTCCAATTCAGAATATACAAGCTGATCACCTTCTTTAGCAACGGCTTGGTGCTCTCACACTAAATCACAAGGCAGATGAAGCCATCCAACTGTTTGATTGGTGCGGTGCCGCAGCTTTGCAGCGCGAGCAGTTCCAGGAAAGCCTGGCGACGGAAAAGGCCAAAGTGGCCGAGCGAGAAGCCCGCATCACCGACTTGAGGAACCAGCTAGATGAACTTACAGAGTCCAAGAAAGCCAGAGAGATGGAGATATTAGAGAAGTTTTGCGTTCTCTTGAACGAGAAGAAGGTCAAGATCCGCGAGCAGCAGCGGTTGCTCAGCACCGCTCAGGTTGACCCGTCGAGGCTAGAGGCTGCTCGTGCGTCCCAAGCTACGCGGCCAAAGATCGCCGAGGACCGGACGCCTGCGCCGTCCCGGCGTGCGAAACGCAAGGCGCTTGAGGATGCATCCGGTGGTGGGTCCTCTTCCGACTCAGACGACGGTTTTGAGACAATGAAAGCAGGTGACGACAAGATGGATGTCGATCCGAAGGAGCCTGGGTCTGCAAAAGGAATCAATGAGAGTCCCGAGTCGGAAGATCGCGAGACCACCGACGATGACGCGACGAGCAGCGAACCGGAGGCAGAAGATGAAGCGCCCCCGCCGCCATCACCACCTGCGAGAGCTCGTCCGCAGCGAAAGCCGGAGCCAAAGAGCCGTGCGACAGCAACTAGTCGAGCAGGAAAGGGAAAGGATGTCGCGATCCATCCGCCGAAGAGAGCACTCAGGAACACCTCGCCGAAGGCAGCCACGCCTCCGCCGGACGAAGGAAGCGAAACTGAGTCTGACGATGAGCTCTGATCAGATGGTGAAACCCGTCTACAATGGATACAGCGTCATTCTGGAGTAGGTAGTCGCAATCGTAGACACCTATGGTGGTACTCAATCTTCGCTTTCACAATCAACGCTATATCATCGTACATTGACATGATGTCGTCGCTCCGCTCAATCAGCCTTGCTCAACGACGATCGCCCTGAGCAAACTTCTCCATCCAGAAAGCCCTGTAATGCTTCTCCCTTCCCTTCGTAGCGATCTCCTCCACCTCCGTCGGCGTTAGCTTGAACAGCGGCAGGCGCTGCATCCACTCCTTCAGCCTCTCCTCGTTCGAACTCGTCGTCAGAGTAACAATCCCCTGGTCCAAACACCACCTCAACGCCACCTCCCCGGTGGTGACGCCATACTTTTTCGCAACCCGCTCATACACTGCATCGACCGGACCAGGCGCGGCCCTCGTCACCGCCGACAGAGGCGCGTACGCCTCGACGGCAATGCCTTTCTCGCGACAGAAATCAACCAACCCACCCTCATGCTGCAGGTAAGGGTGATACTCGATCTGGTTGACCACAGGCGGGTGCTTGGCCGTGGCCAAGACCGCCTCGAGGTGCTCGCGGAGGTAGTTGGACACGCCGATGGACCGGGCCCGGCCGGAATCTTTCAGGGCTTCCATCTCGGCCCATTTCTGCTGCAGTTCGGCGGGGGAGCCCGCCCAGAAGGGGCTGTGGATCAGGTACAGGTCGACGTAGTCCACTCTTAGCTTGGCGAGGGAGCGAGAGAAGGCCGCCTCGATCGAGTCGCCCGGCCGGCAGGAGGTCTTGGTGGTGATGAAGAGCTTGCTCCGCGGGACGCCGCTGCGGCTGATGGCGGCGCCGAGTTCCGGTTCATTGCCGTAGACTGATGACAGTTAGGAAGTGCAACCTGAAGACTGAAGCGAGGAAGAAAGTGGCTGTGCTATACATACCCTCGGCGCCATCGAGGTGGTAGTAGCCGCTCTTAATGGCGGTCACGGCATTGTTTACGATCTTCTCGTCGAACTTGTCCCTGTTGGCACCGCGCTTGTAATTGGCTGTTCCGAGGCCATAGCCGAGCTTTATGTCAAGATGGGAGATCGGCTATTAGCGGGATATGTGTATGTTTGGGGCGTGGTGCATGACCAACCATGGGAATTTCATTCCCGTCACTCAGTTTGAGATGCGGGATGTATTCGAGCTGCTTCGGGGCGGTCCCCGAGGCATTGGGCTTGTACTCGGCTGCTTCAGAGTTCATGGTTACGATGTTGTCAGGCAGGTATTTCGCAGGTGAAGTGAGCAGAGGTCGAGGCCGAAGGGCGGGATTCCAACTTCTGATTTCTGTGTCAAAGTGAGGTTCAACTACAGTTCGTACTGGCAATGGAAATTTGGTCCCACTGAAGTTTCTAAAAGTCGGCTTTTGGATCCGGTATGGTTGGGAAGTTGCGTTCTGCAATCACCATGGAAATCTGCCCGGCGCCTTCACTTCCGTCGGTCCTACTTTGCCAAGCTGGAGGGAGCCACCCTTGGGGTGCAGGAGTATGGAAACTGGAACCACTTGGATTCTGGAACAGGAAGCTCTTCCTCCTTTTGCAACAGCTTTTACCACCAGTTTGTTTCGGGCCTGTGGCCCGAAACAAATTTAGTTGTGGTCTCAATTCCTTCTCCGTGTACGGGATCGGTGGGGCCTGTCCGTCGGGATCGGGAGCACCCCGCAACGGATCGCCGGGGTTTTGCGGGGCGTCATTAGCACAGGGTATGACGCAATGATGAGAAAGTTGTACAATACAACACCATAATATTGTATGTAGTGTATTGTATTGTAAATACACACTATATAGTACGCAAGCATGAACTGCGTAACGCACATAAGCACTCGAAACAGCTCCGGTCAAGAAAGACATAGAAGGTACTACTACAATACCTGTACCTCAGCCATCTTACCTGTTATTTGCCCAAATATGCGCCGAGAATAGATGCATAGAAACTCATAGCGTAGCCAAAAAGTCTTGTAGTAATAGCGGATTCATAATTTGCGCTGAAGCGGGCTGCCGGCCGTTGCCACCCCGGAGCATCAGATCCATGACACCGCTGCACAATTGCCGAATCGCCGATGACGTCCCGTTCCGTTGCGACGGGACGCCACCCGCATTTGTAAGTGGACTACCCAATTTTTAAGACGCTGCGCTCTGTGAACGCCCGACATGCGAGAATCACCTTGAGAGTCATTGTATTTCACCTCGATATTATCAAGACTTTCTAATCTTTAAAGCGCCGCAACCCCGAGTCCGTTCTTGTTTCTGGTCAAGCAAGCAATCGACTTCCGAGGCAAGCCGAGTCCGGAAGTGGACGTCGGCATCAACGTCCGCGCCTAACAGCCTCATGCGCTTTCAGCCCGCAACTCGCTGTCTAGCCCTCGCTCAGCAACTGCGAAGTCCCTGGTACCGAACGTTTTCGACATTCAACAATCCTGCCGCAATGGCCGCTGTCAACGGCTCCTCATCGGCTCAAAGCCCTGGAGAGGGCGTGGCGCTCGCGGCGCTCCCCAAGTCATGGCACTTTACGTCCGCGCTTCCCGCAGATTCCCTCTTTCCGACGCCGGCCGACAGCCACAAGGCATCGCGCGAGGATCTCGGTCCCCGCCAGGTGCGCGGCGCCCTGTTCACATGGGTCCGGCCCGAGACGCAGAGGGACCCGGAACTGCTCGCTGTGTCTCCCGCAGCAATGCGCGACCTGGGCTTGGCGCTATCCGAAGCTGAGACGGAAGAGTTCAAGCAGACAGTAGCAGGGAACAGAATCCAAGGGTGGGACTCCGAGACCCTCTCCGGGCCGGGCTATCCCTGGGCGCAATGCTACGGTGGCTACCAGTTCGGAGACTGGGCGGGACAGCTCGGAGACGGAAGGGCAATCAGCTTGTTCGAGGCGACAAACCCTCACACAGGGGTACGGCATGAAGTGCAGCTCAAGGGGGCTGGCATTACTCCCTACAGCCGCTTCGCCGACGGCAAGGCCGTTTTGCGCAGCAGCATCCGCGAGTTTGTCGTTAGCGAGGCGCTCCATGCCCTGGGCATTCCGAGCACGAGAGCGCTGGCCATCAGCCTGCTGCCGCACAGCCATGTCAGGCGGGAGCGCATCGAGCCCGGCGCCATCGTGGTGCGGTTCGCGCAGAGCTGGCTGCGCTTCGGCACTTTTGACCTCCTTCGCGCCCGTCACGACCGGGCCAACCTCCGCCTCCTCGCAACCTACGTCGCTGAGGATGTCTTTGGCGGGTGGGAGAACCTCCCCGGTCGCCTCGACGACCCGGCCGACCCATCCAAGAGCCCGGAACCCCCGCGCGGCATCCCCAAGGACGAGCTTCAAGGGCCCGCCGGCGCCGAAGAGAACCGCTTCGCGCGCCTCTACCGCGAGATCGCGCGGCGCAACGCGCTCACCGTCGCCAAGTGGCAGGCCTACGGGTTCATGAACGGCGTGCTCAACACCGACAACACGTCCATCTTCGGCCTGTCCATGGACTTCGGCCCCTTCGCGTTCATGGACAACTTCGACCCGAGCTACACGCCCAACCACGACGACCACTTCCTGCGGTACAGCTACCGCACGCAGCCCGGCGCAATCTACTGGAACCTGGTCCGGCTCGGCGAAGACCTGGCCGAGTTGTTCGGCGCCGGGCCGGACGTCGACTCGCCGACCTTCATGGACAAGGGCGTGTCCAAGGAAGCCGAACCGGGCATCATCGCCCGCGCCGAGAAGATCATCGAGCAGGCAGGCGAGGAATACAAATCCGTCTTCCTCGCCGAATACAAGCGCTGCATGGCCCTGCGCCTCGGGCTGAAAACCCAACAGCCGACCGACTTCGACGAGGTCCTCTCCCCCTTACTGGACACCATGCAGGAGCTCGAACTCGATTTCCACCACTTCTTTCGCCGCCTCTCTACCCTGGCCGTGTCCGCCCTCGCCACGCCCGAAGACCGCCTCGCGCACGCGAGCCGCTTCTTCTACGCCGAAGAAGCCGTCACCGAGGCAGGGAAGCAGCGGATCGCCGACTGGCTCGCGCGCTGGCGGGAGCGTGTGGTAGAGGACTGGGGAAGTGAAAGCGGCGGCGGCGGCGGCGGTGGTGGTGCCGTGTCAGACGCGGTAGACGCGGAGCGTATGGCGGCCATGAAGCGGGTGAACCCGAACTTTGTGCCGCGAGGCTGGATCCTCGACGAGCTGATTCGGCGGGTGGAGAGGGAAGGGGAGAGGGAGGTGCTGAAGCGGGCGATGCACCTGGCACTGCATCCGTTCGAGGACAGTTGGGCCGGGAGGGAGTTCGATGGGGTGGTGTATGAGGGCGACAAGGACGAGGAAGCGAGGTGGACGAGTGATCCGCCACGGACTAAGAGGGCGATGCAATGCAGTTGTAGCTCGTGAAGAAGCTTGTGTCAGTAATTGCGTCGAGGGAAATGCACTAGACAGTCTTGGATGCCTCGGATGAACATTCCATTGGGTTGCTCTATTTTGGCCAAGTGGGACAACAATGATCATCTTTGCAGAGCTGACTCGCTAACAGTATGGCATGTCATGGACAACGAGCATGTCATGCTTCTATGCGAACCACGGGACAAGAAAGGAGTAATAATCATCGAATGTGGTTAAGCGAGTGGCTAGAAAGCTCAAAAGTATCTGAATACATGGACAAGGCCGGGTAAACCATTGCAGGCCACGCATCTTCAGCGAATGATATCTCCCCCTGCTCTCCTCTCCTCCTTGATAGAACATGATTTAGCAAGTCTGGTAGACATCTCCATACCGTCACAACCCGCGTAGCCAGCAAGATCCTCTCCTCTCCCTGCCAATGACTACCGAATGAATTCCTCAAAGCTATGTGGTGTGTGAACGTGCTGTCAGAGTGGCCCATTGCGCAGAGGTCGGTTTGGTGACTGTCCCCACTAGATCTTGACACAACAGATTCAGCCTTCCTCTTTCTTGGCCGGCCCTGCAACCGTTCCATATTGCAAGATCCATAATCATAATGTGTCCAAAGCACTCGAAGGGGCAGTAGCCTCCCGAGCGTAGGATGTCGCGTGATTTGGGAAAAAACATAGGTATTGTCGAAGATGCTCGTGAAAAAAAGAGTCTCATATGGTGTAGGAGAACTCTCGGACGAGAAACGATGGCAAAATTCAGTGTTGGGTGGAAGGAGAGAATGAACTCGACAGCCACAATACCAGCGAAAAAAGCAGAGAATTCCCCCTTTGTCCTTTGAGATGGAAACCGCCGTGCCGATTCAGCGGAAGCCGGCGGCATAGCGGGCATTGGCGACGCGGCCGGGCATCGGGCCGGCCCCTGGGCCTGGGCGAGTGGCAGCCGCGTGGTTCGTGCACAACATGCCGACGCGGGAGCCGAACTTGGATCCACGGAGAGACACCATGTGCTTCCTGATATGGGCGGCGACAACGTCGCGGTGCTGAGGGGCGGCATGGGTCAGGATGTATTGGATGAGGTAGTTGCCGTACTGGTCGCTGGCGATGTCGATCAGCGGGATCCGAGGGCGATCCACGCGGCCCTCACACACACGCTCCAGGTACCGGCTGAGAAATTCGGAGCCGCCGATCTTGAGGCACTTCTCTACCACCTTCGAAGCAAACTGGTCCATGCTGTACTTAGCAGCATAGCGAATCACGTGGTCAACAGCCCGACTCCGGTCGGGAGGAGCCCCGTGTTCACAAATGTGCTGAATGCACCAGTTGCCGAATTGACCATGCGCGACAATGTCAATGTTCGCGAGCACCTCCTCGATGCACGGCCGCTAGGAGCCCAACTGTTAGCGGTCATACGAATCTTTACACAGCATAGCGGGTCTTACTTTATCTTCTTCGAGACAGTTCTCGAAGATGTTTTGGACGACGAGACTGCCCGTCTCGCCCAGGGCGACCTCGTGCCACATGCCGCGAAGGGCATCGTTCACGTACTTCATGATCTGCGGGGGAGGACCAGTCCACCGCAACTCGAAAAGTTTCTGCCACACGTGACAGGCATACCGGTGAATGACCGTCTCGGGAATCCGGCGCAGAAGCTCGTGGACCATGATCGCCTTGTAGTCCTCTGGAACCGAGTCAAAGGCCTTCTGGACCACGTGGCAGCCGAACGGATCCATCGACAGGTTGAGCGTATTTCCACGGATGGCCTCGGCGATCTTGATGACCTGCTCGGGGGTGCCATGCTCGAAGCAGCGTTGCACCAGGAAATTGCCGAACCGGTTTACCATCAACGGATATGCCTGCGCGACGATGGCCTCGACAATGTCGTACTTCTGCTCGGGCGTACCAACCTTGAGCTTCTGCTGCAGGAATATGGAAGCCTGCTGATCGTTATTGCACACGATCTTGTCTACGATATACTTCCAATCGCACGAGACATTGCGATCCAGCAGACGGCGGTAGTTGAGGGGCTCTGTGGTGGGTGACACGTATGTCTGGCCGTCCGCAGTCGTAGTCTGTGGTAACTAGGTTAGCGACTCCTGGTGTTCTGGGCCGAAGCAGGGTCTGGGACTCGCTACTCACCTCGCCGTTCCACGAAGTGCGAGTGGAGGTAAACTCGGCAGCCAGCGGAGAGAGTGTGGTCGCGATTGTTTGCTGCGGATAAGGCGTGTACATTCCCATTCCGATGCCGCCCCCCATCATGCCTTGCGCACCTGCAGGATAAGCCGGAGCCGGGTCGTAGAGATTGGCGCCCATGTTGGCACCCATGTTGTACGTGCCGAATCCCGCACTGAAGTTGCTCGACGCGCCATACCGATTGTCATACCTGTGTCCACGGCGTCCCATGGGTCTAATCATCTCTTGGTCAGGCGTGAAGCGATCCTGGCGGTAGACCTCCAGGCCAGTTTGGTGGGCAGCTACAGGCGCCTCAAAATTGTGCGCACGCGTGTTCGACCATTGTGACGGCTGAGCTCCGTCTACCGTCAATTGGTGGTTCTGAGGGAACTGGGCTCCAAAGGCAGGCTTGTGGCTCCAGATACCCCGCGAACGATGGAAAGCCCCGGTGGAAACTGCATCGCTGATTTCGGACCGAGTGTCGTCTTGGGCCGCCCAGCTCTGCTCGCGAGTAAAGTGCGGCATCTTGCCAGGCGCGTTGAATCCCATGCCACTTGTGCTAAACCGAGATGCGGCTGGGGACGACGTGGTGGCCATGACCGATTTGTAGTCGGACTCCGCAACGGGCGACGGACTGGCACGACCGCTTCCCTGGCCAGCGGCACGCTTTTGCGCCTCCAGGCGCGAAATGGTGTCCCTAGCTTGAGCAAGCTCAAGCTTGAGGCGCAGCATCTCCTCGCTGGCCTCGTTTGGCGCGGCACTTGCAGACCTACCAGTAGGCACAGCCGACACAGAGAAGCCCTCGACACCGGGTGTGATGGGAAGAGAGCTGGAGGCCGGATTGCTAGCCTCCATTTGCTTCTGCAAGAGTGCCTGCTGCTCCATGAGCTTGGCCTGGAGCTTATCCATGAGACACGGGTCGGTGGAAGATGGCGACTCGTGCCTAGTCTGCAACATCTGTCAGAACCAATTCAATTACTACATCCGTGGGGCGAGGCCGTCACCTACCATTGGGCAGCTTTGGTTCGCCAACTTGGAGGTGGCAAGGGCGCCAACGCTTCTCTGGAGATCGAGGGCAGCGGTGGCCTCCTAAGGTGGGATGAGGTCAGATAATATGTTCAAAACAATGCTGTAAAATAGAAGGTCCGATGCAGACAAGGAAAAGTGCGAGAATGTTGGATGAGTTCCAGTCGGTTGAAACCGAAGGGAGAAAGCAAGGATAAAGTTGCGCCACATGCTTGACAGTGCTATACAGCAGAAAATATACCGGGGAGGTGATTGTTGACACTGTCGAGACCAGCGCCGTGAGATGAAAAAGATGTCAGGAGAGGTCGCTCCAAGGAAAAACGACGACAGGAAATGCTAAGAAAAGGAGAATGTGAAATACCTCAGAAGCAGCATGTGCCATCAAGTTCTCAAACAGTCTGGTGTTCTCATCCGTTGCGCCTCTCTTTGGCCGCCGCTCTTTGGGCGAGCCGGTAGAGACTGTCGCTGCCGCCGACATGATTGTTGGTCTTGGCGTATCTGTGAGTCCACGGGTGTCTAGGACTGCATACGTGCTCTGCTGGCTGTGGTTGTCTGACGAGGTGAGAAAATGATCGAAATGTTCAAAAGAAGTAGATCCGAGTCTAGAGTTTGAAGGAGGTAAAGAACTGAAGCTGCAGAAATGGCAGAGAAATGAAGGGAAGGAAGACGAGCTCCTGCAGAGAAATTGGAGGGGAAGGAATGGGAAATGAGAGAGGAGGAGGGGGAAGGAACCTTTGTGATGTCTCTGCCAAACACGGGACCGAGAGCGCCCGGTCTGCCGTGTGCTCGTCCTCACCGCCCCTCTGCAATAAGAAATGAACTCACAAGGCAACTGGCACCCAGTCACACAGGGCTCCTGGTTGCTTCCGTTAGTAGTTGTAAGAGTGCACTGGCAAGCACAGCAGAGCTGTTGCACTGTCATTCGGGATTCTCAGATTGTTGAATGATTGACTTTGATGTCTTTGCTCAGGGGAGCTGGGAAACGGTATCCCTTTCGGAAGGGATGACGGAGGGTGCCGGCCGGGTGACGTTCCCATACCGGCGATGCCTAAGGCAGAAACCGGCCCGGATTGGCCGGAAAACCGGCGCTGCCTGAGGCAGAAACCGGCGGGGTGGGACCACATTGGCAACATCGGTTCCGGAACAGCCCGGTGCACCTTCCCTTTTGGGTTATCCTCCTGGGTCCTGTGAGACCGAGGCCCCGAGATGGTACGATGTTCCAGGCAACAGCACACACTGCATGCATATCCGGCAGGTACGAACCTGGAACCGGACAGTGAGTCGGGCGGACTGCGGGCAGACTGAGCTGAGCTGTGAATATAATGGGAAGGCCTCCAACACAACCTTCTCAGCGGCGAACTGCTAGGTACTGAGAATATTCGAGGTGAAGCTGGCCAGAGAGTTCAATGACAACCAAGGTATCGCATGGAATGGTGACTTCCACTCATTGTGCTCCTTTCATCTCGATCCTAGATCCCCTAGCATTAGTCTAGCTATCAACGACCATCTCGAAGAAAGAGAATAGACAGTGATCAACCCCAGGACGTTGGGTGCAGAAGGGTGCAACCCGGCTGGCAATGACGTGTGGTGTCGATCGGCCGTCAACAGAAGCCCGTCATCAGAAGCCCGGGCGTGGGTTGAGAGCATCACGGGATGTGGGCTGCTTGTGCCCGGTCTCCAAAGCGGTATGGTATATTCCGCTCTCCTGCACACAGTAATAGTACAACTTGCATCGTATACATTCACTGTTCGCCGAACATTTATTTCTTCTTGTTGACAACTGCCTTTTGTCAGCACAGATGGCGCACATAAAAATGCAGTGTTTTGAGACGGACCTTTTGTCCTCTTCTTTTTCGGCGCTCCCTTCCCACGAGCCTTCAGACTGTGTCCTGTCAGAGTCATGCAACAGCAAGCGGTGGAGGAAGGCAACGCACGCTGCAATATGCTCGAGTCGGTCGAGCTCCTCCTCATTCTCCACCTCCAACTCTAGCGGCTTGAACTCATTTTGAAAGTCTCGGAAGGTCGTGAGTTTCAGGGGATAATAGGAGGCAAGCGCGGGCCCCTTGAGTCTCTGGCGCAAGATCTTGTTGCCGGTCCGGATGCCGTCGGGGTTAAATGTGGTCGCGAAGAGCTCACATCGAGCCTGCGAAGGTCAGCATTGTCCACTAACAGATGTTTGAGGGCCAGAATGTACCCTCATCAGGTCGAGCAGCCGCGCACGAGGGACCGACATCTTGCTGCTACATGGGACGGCGGGACACGATTTGATGGGAATTGCAGCTTCGCGATGCTTGACGTTTGAATTTCCTCTTGGGTAGTATTACCGCGCCTCCAATCAAAATCTCGCCGATCCATTGCGGGGCGGAGCTCGGGCCGTGCGGCTCTTGGTTCAGCTAGACTCACACCACGGCGTGTAGAATTCCCCACGGTACGGAATACTCCGGAGCAGTAACTTCATGGATCTGAACGCAGACCTGCACCAGCAATAGTGGGAATCACAATGACAACAGGACTTCTGTGGAAAGACTTGTTATTGTTTTCCTTTAGAGACTTCTTGCCCCGGTCCATGTAGTTGAGGATGGGCTTCGTCAGACAATGGCACCGTACAAAGTGGGGCCGTTGCTGGCAAATGCCTTTCGTAGTGTACTTCGAGTCTGCTGGTTTCCCACACACCATCATATCCACCCATTAACATCAAACATGCCGAAACGCGCTCACGGCGAGTCGGACACTGCGACGGAGGCGGGAGCCGTCCAGCCAGCACTCAAGCGGCCGAAACCCGACGAGACAAGCGATACCAGCAGCACAGCGCCACCCATCCCCCTTCACACGGCCTTCTTTAAATGGACATCCTCATCAGTTTCCCAGACATATCCGCCCCTGCCCCAAGTCTTAGATCCAGCCCTGGAGACTGCGGCACTCACCCACTCGGGCATGCGTAAGAGCCTCGCCGACCTGAGCTACGAGCGACTCGAGTGGATCGGCGACGTCTACCTGGAGCTCATCGCGTCGGAGCTCATCTATGCCACCTTCGGGACGCTGGAGCCGGGCAAGTGCTCGCACTACCGCGAGATGCTGGTGCGCAACTCCACCCTGGGCCAGTTTTCAGTGCACTACGGCCTCGACAAGCGGGCCAACTTCCCCGCCGAGTTCGGCCTCGGCGGGCGGCCGAAAGGCACCACGGCCAGCCAGAAGCAGCGGACCAAGGCGCTGGGGGATATCTTCGAGGCGTATGTCGGCGCGCTGGTCAGGTCGGACCCGGAGCACGGGATCCGGAGGGCAACGGAGTGGTTGAAGGCTCTGTGGGGCCCCGTGCTGGAGCGGCATATCCGCGACGAAGAGAGCGGGGCGCACGTCATCAGCGACGTCAACCCGAAGACGCAGTTGGAGAGGCTGATTGGCGTGCCTGGAGTCAAGATCGAGTACCGCGACCTGCCATCCAACGGCAAGAGGGACAAGGACACGAAGCAGCAGCTTTTCTCTGTAGGCTGCTTCTTGCATGGCTGGGGGGAGACTGGGCTGCAGTTGGGGTATGGCAGCGCGCTGGGGAAGAAGGAGGCCGGTCAGAACGCGGCATTGAAGGCTATGGAGAACAAAAAGCTGATCAAGAAGTTCGCCGAGAAGAAGAAGGCGTTCCAGGATGCGAGGGCAGCCCAAGCAAGCACAGAAGGTGGAGAAGGAAAGCAACCTTAGGTGGCTGTGATTGTTGAGGAGTAATCCTGCATTGACATCGACATCTAGTCGAAACACATATACCCACCCGAGATGTTGTTCGCATATGGGTAACTCTTGGTCATCAAGTCGTATTTCTATACGGTCGATACTGTATCCCCAGTACAAGTTGGGTCGATGGTTAAGAGTCCTTTATATTATCCCATGAAGATACCATACACAGTCTGTCTCTAGTTGTGCTATTCACATAGCAATGAACTGAAAGTACTTGAGAGGCCAACGCGATTGGCCCAGCGCAATGAGTGATGGAAAAAGTGGTCTCCGTGTCATAGTCTATGCGCTGCCTGCACACGCCCCGAGGAGTTGGGAGCACGATTGCCCACGTTAGGGATGCTCCCCGCTGCAAAGGTCTAATCCGGTATTGCAGAGTCTTTCAATTGATGTTTTCGCCTTCCACTGCGAAGTAGTTCACGCGGGTACGTGGGCTGTACATGTATACACAACCGTATATCTCCATATCTCTGGGACTACCCCGCAATTTCGTCGTCCCTTCTTGGGCTTGCGGCAAGATAGATGATCGATGTCGGTCAAGCCGACAGACGGAGCGACGTCTTTTCCCTTCTTGAGCGACGGCTCCTCTCTCTCGTTCGTTGATGCCGAGCTATAGCCGTTGATAGCAGCGGAGGAATGTGTGTATTGGCTATTGTTCCAGTAGCTGGCTGGTCGCAGGCTAAGCAGCTTCACCCAGCAAGCCAACTATCTTCCTGCGTATGAGCTGGCGTTCCTGAAAACCGCTCATGCGTTGGGACCAGTATCGGGCATCAGTGGCTATACATCAAGGTATTGTGAGACGATGCCATTGTTTGCGAAGGCCCGAGTTAGGGTGGTTGGCTGAATTTCCGAAGTGTGATCTTCAAAGTTAGAGGATCCCCCCATGGCTCCTTGGTTTGGAGCCTCGTGAACGAAGCGGTCCTTGGCTCCCATCGTCGATGGCCTTCAAATGACCTGCGGCAATGGCCGGGGAATCTGCAAGTCTCTACCATGTCTTTCGGGGACAGAGATCTTGAGCGTGAGTTTTGAGCATGGATGTCGGGATAGGGAGTGGTCCTGAGTATTGGCCAACGGACACTTGGCCAATACCGCGCACATGAAACCCTCATCGAGCCGGCAGGATCTTCCTAACATACTCTCGAGCAAGCCGTAGAATGCCTCGCACGTGGTCCTCTAGTCGCGGGTCCCTCCTCTTCCGCATCCACAGGAGAAGCAGAAGCAGGGTGATGACGTCAATGGTAGTGTGTTTCGCGACAGCCCAGAAAGACCACGCGATCCAGGCGAGAACGCCTCGCTCCTTACGGGACCTCCATTCCCGGCCTGTTGCGATCTGCTCCCGCAGCGCCGCAATCTCAGCGGACAACCTGACAATGGCACGCTCCATCCTCTTAGACCGCTTGTCGTTCCGCCTTGCGTACTCCTCGCTTGGGTCGTCCTCTGCCTGGTCCGCCACCTCGGCCATGCGCCGCTCCGACTCGTCTTCCTCGCTCATCGGACTGAGCACTTTCATCGGTCCTTCGCTGCCACTCAATGGTGGCTGAAAGCGACGAACCACGGGGCTCGCAATAACGCCGCCGACGCCGCCACCGCTCTGTCCTGATGAAGACCCCGCTGAGCTAGGGCTGTTGCTCTTGACTTGATTCCAGACAAACTCCAGCTCGGCCACCAGCTCTAGCGCGTTGGGCGTGTTGGCGTACTTGTGCATGGTCTCGATCAACGCCTCGACGTAGCGGCGCTTGGCTTCCGTGCGGCTCAGTCCTTTCTGCGAATTCCATGCATCCCATTTGTCCTGCTCGCGTACCAGGTCTTCGCTGCTGCTGCCTGCACCGGTCGCCGAGGTAGCCGAGGGCCGCTCCATCACGCCGTCGACGTCGCCTTCCATGGCCTGCTTGTACAGGCCATATAGGCGCATGCGGTCGGATGGCGGCGGGCGCGCAGCCCCGGTCTTAGGGACCTTTTTGACTGTGTTGAGGGCATGGACGAAGACTCGGTCTGTTGTGCAAAGACAGTCGTGTTAGTCTGTTGTGTCCGAGGATGGATTGCGCGACAATGGAAGGCCTTTAGTCCTTACCAATGGAATCCGACATTGTGCTATAGTTCTCCGTCTTGTCTTCTCAACAGGACCGGTAGACTAGATAATGCGCCGCTCAAGATGGGCACTCTTCTTATTTTCGGTAACCTTGGTCCTGCCCTGTGCCGGACTCGAAGGGATTGGCGCATTCAGGCTCAGAGAGGCAGCCGAGACAACGCGCCTACGATTCAAGTGCTCAAAGACAAACAGAACACTTATGTGCTAGGCCCGACGTTGACGAAACGGAGGCTCGTCGGCGCCAGGAGCTTCACTCGGTTAATAGGTATGTGTTCATGGCAGCCAGGAGGCATTCGTCGCGTCATGTCTCGCAGGTCGCATGTCGTGCACCCCACAGCCTGGCGAGCCTGGGTAATGGCTATGCCTCGGCATGGTCCGGGCCAATCTCTCCATTTCAACCCTGGAACGCGGACCCGAGCCCGGGGAAACAGGGTGCGGTGACCCACTTTGGTTAGAGTACGGATTATAATGCCCCTGTGTTCCGACACGTGAAAATGACCGGCCGTAATCAACTCACTCATACGCACGTACAGTATCATTCGTTCGGAATCAACTTCCAGATAGCTTGTGGTACTAGTACGGATACACTGGAGTCCGCTTATACTTAGGAACTAGGTGAATTCCTACCTTCAGGGCTGCCAGCATACGTAAGGTGCTTCACAACAAACCCGGGCCTTGGGACGCGTGCACAGAAGAGATTGGAAATGGAGCATGATAAGATGTCTCGGAAATGAGATCCTTAGCTGCTGCTACGTGGTGGTGCTCTTTCCTGTGTTGGACAGGTCAAACTCCAACATTGAGCGTAGTGAATTCGGTATTCCGTACTGTACAAGTACACAATACATACCTACCGTAGGTAAGGTATCTACTGTAATAATAAAGTGAGGCTGGCAAAGATGATGGAAAGATGGAAATTAACAATGGAAGGTGCTACTAGTGGGGCGGATGCGTACGGTACTATTAGTAGTAACTTAGCGGGAGAATGGAAATTGCGGGAGACCATTAACGACAAGCAACCGAAGAAGGCTGCAGAAGGCTCACACGAGCTGTGCTGTGAGCATTCAACCCCGCTCTCACCTCTCGCTCTCGGACGAGGTCAGTTTATGACTAGAAAAATATCTAGGACCATGGCGCCGCCAGCACAACCATTAACAGGTCCGGCACGAAAGGCCTCGAAAAAAATCCCGCCGCTCACCAATCTCGCCCCCTGCGTCTTAGTCCCTCTCCGAGACGACATCCTCAATACCGAACTGTCACAAGACCCGGTCAGACGCATCAAGTGGATTCTCAACACCATCAACTATCAGCGTGAAGGGATCCGGGAGAATCTGCTATGTATGTTTGAGCGAGAGAAGCAGCGCGCCATCCAGCAGGCCATTGAAATGGAGCAGGCACAGGGCCCGCCAAAAACCAGACCAGGCTTGCCTCTGAGCGAGGTGGACGAAGTTATCGCGAATATGGAAGCTCCAGCCGTGCCCGGTATGAACTACAACATTTCGAGTATGCCAGTCTTGCACCCTCCGACGTCCCTGCCACCCAACACGTCCCATAGGGACAGGACCGTGTTGGAACTTCTCCTGATGGTCGAGAAGGGACTGTCTCAACTGCAAGGATTCGAGAAATACATGGCGGACATCAAACAGCACTACCTCGCCTGTCTCGAGCGGGAATTGGCAAAGATGGACGATCCCGGGAGGCTGACGGAGGGACGATCGGGATGAAGGCTGGTAGAAGCGGTGACGGGAAAACATTGGCCAGCTACACTATTCCCAGCGCAGTGGTGGTGCCTTGGAGCGTGTCGCGATGAAAGATTTCGTAGGAAGAATGTGGCAACCGGCGGTAAGAACCATTGCTCATCGAGGCCAAAAGAGCTCTCTCACATGCATCCAAATCGGAGCCGATATATTCAATCTAGAGCACATGATAGAGGAGGACTCGGTGGAAGAGCGATGCAGCACGAACGTGCCACATCGCCGACAAAATGCTCCTACAATAAGTGCCCAAAAAGTACAATGGAGAGAGAAAAAGTTCAAAATGCGAAAGCGTTGCAAACAGTGGAGGCTTTAAAAAGGCGACAAGCTTACAATTTGCGGACCGTGATTGGCTGAATAAGCGGGGCCGCTAGCTCACGTTTCTTCCGGGTAGTACTTCGTCTGAGCCGTCCCACGCCTCACGACTTGGCCCAGGAAACGTCCCGAAACCCACGACTGCGGCCGACCACCGCTGGAGACACCCAGCTCCCACCCGAACCCCATATACGCTCCTAATACTCCGTCGAGACGGCACCATGTTGAGGCAGACATTGGCTCGCTCGGCTTGGCGGACGAGCAGGCACCCGGCCCGCGCGGCAAGCCGGGCCTTTTCGGCGACAGCTCCAAGACCTGCGGAGGTCGAGCTCACAATTGGTGCGCTCCCCTGCCTGCTCGCGCCCGCCAATTGCCTGCCGTATTGTTTTGCTGACGACTGCTAGACGGGAAGAAGGTCTCGATCGAGGGTGAGGACATGCCGCAGAGACCGAGTCGATGTCCAGATCCGCTGACTGGGATGCAGCCGGGTCCGCGTTAATCCAAGCTTGCGAAAAGGCCGGAGTGACCATCCCAAGGTACGCCTCTACCGCCATGCTTCCCCCCTGCCGCCGATCCGTTGCTGACCAGTCACAGATACTGCTACCATGAGTGCGTCCCTCCCAGCCACGCCGATGCGGCTTGCGCGCGCCATCCAAGCTAACGAAAATCCTCGTCAGAAAACTCATGATTGCCGGCAACTGCCGTATGTGCCTGGTGGAAGTCGAGCGGTCACCCAAGCCTGTGGCGTCGTGCGCATGGCCCGTACAAGCCGGCATGGTTGTCAAGACCAACTCCCCCTTGACACATAAGGCACGTGAAGGTGTGATGGAGTTCCTCCTGGCGAACCACCCCCTCGATTGTCCTATCTGTGACCAGGGTGGCGAATGCGATCTTCAGGACCAGTCGATGCGGTACGGCGCCGACCGTGGCCGGTTCCATGAGATTGGCGGGAAGCGCGCGGTGGAGGACAAGAATATCGGGCCCCTTGTCAAGACATCCATGAACCGGTGTATCCAATGCACGAGGTGTGTCCGCTTCGCGAACGACATTGCTGGGGCTCCCGAGCTCGGCTCAACGGGCCGTGGGAATGACCTCCAGATCGGTACCTACCTGGAGAAGAACCTCGATTCCGAACTTTCCGGCAACATCATCGACCTTTGCCCTGTCGGGGCTCTGACGGCGAAGCCTTACGCCTTCCGCTTCCGCCCCTGGGAGTTGAAGCGCACCGAATCAATCGACGTCTTGGACGGTCTCGGCTCGAACATCCGCATCGACTCTCGCGGTCTTGAAGTGATGCGTGTTCTCCCACGGCTCAACGATGACGTGAACGAGGAGTGGATCAACGACAAGACCCGGTTCGCCTGCGATGGCCTCAAGACCCAGAGACTCACCATCCCACTCGTGCGTAGGGAAGGAAAGTTTGAACCGGTGACATGGGAGCAGGCTCTCACTGAGATCTCGCACGCGTACCAGACTCTGGCGCCTAAGGAGAACGAGTTCAAGGTGATTGCCGGTCAGCTCACCGAGGTTGAGTCTCTTGTGGCCATGAAGGATCTCGCGAACAAGCTCGGCTCGGACAACCTTGCCCTCGACATGCCCAACGGCAGCCAGCCGGTCGCTCACGGCATCGATGTGCGGTCGAACTACCTCTTCAACTCCAGGATCTGGGGTATTGAGTCCGCCGACTGCATTCTTCTTGTTGGCACCAACCCGAGGCATGAGGCCGCAGTTCTGAACGCGCGTATTCGCAAGCAATGGTTGCGATCCGACCTTGAGATTGGCGTCGTCGGCCAAACATGGGAATCCACCTTCGAGTTCGAGCATCTCGGCACCGACCTTGCCGCCCTCAAGGACGCATTGGCCGGTCCATTCGGCAAGAAGCTCCAGGCGGCCAAGAGGCCTATGATCATTGTCGGCTCCGGTGTCACTGAGCACCCCGATGCTAAGGCCTTTTACGAGACTGTCGGCCAGTTCGTTGACAAGCACGCTGCCAACTTCCTTACCGAGGAGTGGAACGGCTACAACGTTCTGCAGCGCGCTGCTTCCCGGGCCGGTGCCTTCGAGGTCGGCTTCGTGACGCCCTCTGCCGCCGTCGCGGAGACCAAGCCTAAGTTCGTCTGGCTCCTGGGCGCCGACGAGTTCGACGAGGCCGACGTTCCCAAGGACGCCTTCATCGTCTACCAGGGTCACCACGGCGACCGGGGCGCCCAGATTGCCGACATTGTCCTCCCTGGTGCTGCCTACACCGAGAAGGCCGGCACCTACGTCAACACCGAGGGCCGCGTCCAGATGACCCGCGCCGCAACCGGTCTGCCGGGCGCTTCCCGCACGGACTGGAAGATCATCCGTGCAGTGAGCGAGTTCCTCGGTGCGCCGCTGCCATACGATGACGTTGCCCAGCTCAGGGACAGGATGGTGGAGATCAGCCCGGCGCTCGCGGCGTATGATGTGGTCGAGCCGGTCGCGCTGCAGCAGCTCAGCAAGGTGCAGCTGGTGGATCACAACAAGGGCGCCAAGGCGACTGGTTCACCCCTGCGGAATGTTATTGAGAACTTCTACTTTACCGATGTTATTTCGAGAAGGTATGTGACATCCCGGGGAACCCCTAGATGTGCCCTGTGTGTTTTGGGTTGGCCGAAAAGACTAACATTTCGAAACGCAGCTCCCCTACGATGGCTCGCTGCTCGGCAGCCAAGGAGACGGGTGACCCGCGGACGAACTTCATGGCGCCTGGCATGGAGGAGGAAAGGCCAATGGGTCAGATCGCGTATGGAGCGTAGAGAAAATATAAAGGTGTCTATGCTGTTGTAAGAGGGCAATAGAAACCACCAACCTGTTCATAAACCTTCCCCCCCTTGCAATATGTTTGGTGTCATCTCTTTTCTTCGTCGGCAGATTCTCTTTTCCTGTACATATCCGGCAGTCATTTGCAGTCAGTCAGTCAAGCATGGAAGTACTGGTATATATTGTGTCGAGGGTGTCTCCATTTCTGCGAGATGCTCTTGCCCCAGAACACCATCCCGCAGATGATACATGATACTCCATGTTCTATCATTAAAGTAATAATCTGTTATCTAGTGTGTCATGACAACGTCTTTGGTTGATTACGGCCGTTCTGCATACGTCGTGCTACTAACGATGATGATGCTTGCTAATCCGCAGTGGAAGGCGCCTCTTGTGCCATGATGCAACAGGCGCTCCGTCAAGCATGACCGCAGTAGCTCTCCTTCTCCTTCAAAGCGATAATTACTGGGCTTGTCCCCCCTCCCTCCCTTCCTTCCTTTGTCTGTGAGCATAACTTCTTCTCCGCTTAGCTCGACTCAAACAAAACTCGGCAGTGTGCCCAGTTGGCACACTCAGTCAATCATCGCCAGGCGGCCATTAACGCTGAGGCACGTCGGGTGGTCCCTAATGCGGTTGAGTGTGAAGTCAACATCGGCGACGGACTTCACTGGCATCTGGAACTTGGTTAGGCTGCTGATGAATTAGTCTGTGCGCTACTGCCGCTGTTGCTGTCGTCCGGTAAGGGCGGAAACTCCTCATCAAGCACGTTTCCAAGAATGCTAGCGTGTGCAGCATTGTCGGAAGGGGTGTCCTTCTCCCACGGCTTCCGGGGCGCTTTCATCTTTCCGAAAGGGGTGACGCCCTGTGGAGGTATCCTGTCAGCTTCCAACATCAGTCTATGAAGCGATGTGATCATGTAACTCACGGGTGGCCGGATGATGGTGTCCGGGATTTTCTTTGTATTGGGCACCGGCTTCCCCATCGTGATGGCCTCTACCAGAGCCTCAAAGTCGCTGGGGTACGGCGCGCCATCCCCGGTGTGGCTCGCTCTGTCATCGGCCTTCTTGCTGAGATCGACTTTTGGCGCGTTGAGCTGCCAGGCAGGGATGTTCTGAGGTTGGGTCTGGCCGGTAGTTGACGAGGAGGCGGAGGAGCCGAGACCCATGCGTCGCTGAATATCCTCGAGCTTGGCTAGAATGGCGCCATCTGGGCTGGTTGACGGGTGAGATGTGCTGTAGGCCTCATACGCAATGCGGTCGATGTCCAGGTTGAAGCGGGACTTGTACCACCAGATCCGAGCCTGAAGCGTCGTGCCGAGAGCCTTCTGGCGCATAAAGCCGTCATTGTGTTTGTTCAGGAGCAAAGAGCCCAGCGTTGCCATGAGGCCTTGCTGCTCAGTTGTTAGTAGGGCACTCGCCGAAATTACCGACCGAGGCACTACGATGACTTACAAGGAACGACCTATCTTTCGACCAAGGGTACGAGTCGAACTTTTTGAAGGCGGCATAGGGATCGCCCACTTGCTGCGACGACGCGCTGCCTGAGCTCTGGGACGCGTGTGTCTCCATCTCGCGCTGTTCCCTAATAGAAATGCATGTGTAGTTTGTCGGTTGGTAACGATGTTGAGTGACCCTTCAATCAAGGTGAGATGCCAGAGATGGCGGGGCGTTTGATGAGATACTGATAAAAGTTGAAAATAAATATGGATATGATATGATATGTGTGATGTAGGTCAGGTTTCGACGGCGCGGACAGCGCTCAGAGAAGAATCAAGTATCTCGGTGTTTCCTCAACATTTATCTCCAGCTCCTCGTCAAGTCAAGTCGAGGTGTAGGTTGAATCGCGGGGCATGAAGTGCATGTGAGTGCGGTTGCGGACACAGTGTAATGTCAGGTACCAATTCACACGGTCCTTTCGTTTGCCAAGCAAGGTGCTGAAAACGGCTAGTGCACCGTGTTGTTTCCGCAGTACGCACTGCTTCGAGACCCTTCAGTTCAAGCGCCCCTAACTTGTCTGGTCTTCAGCCGCCCATCTCCATTCGGTAATAAGCGACTCATAATTACCACACATTAGCAATGCGTCGCGCGGCCGTCCAAGCCTTCCGAACCACGCTTCAATGTACCGTCCGGGGACTTCGCTCTAACAACCGTCGGGGCCTCTCGGCCATATCCTCTCCCGTGCTGCCGTCGAGCACAAGGAGCAGCGCGTCAGCTCGTCGATTCCTGGCAACAACCTCACCCGCTCGCAGCATCCGTCCACGGGCGGCGCAGAATGCACCGCAGCCCGGCGAGCCGCTCCAATCCTCGATGTACTTTCGGCGGGCATCGGCAGCGCTGGTTTCAGCGCTGGTGGGCTACGGAGCCTATTACTCGTACAGTGGCAACGGAACTGACAGCTTGATTCAGCGGGCGCACTCATCGACAGGGATGCCTACGTCGACGGGGGACGGAGCCGCTCCGACTCGCTCAGTGTTGGTCATCGGCGCCGACGAGCTGCATACGGGCACCTTTGTCGGGGAGGGGCCCATCTCTAAATCGACGGGCGACGACGGGCGGCGCGTTATCGAGATGCTCACGCCTGAGCAGGCGACGCAGAAGCTCCGGAGAAGCGAGGAGTCATATTTGGTCAACCGGGGCCAGGGAGTTGTGCGCTACGACTTGGCGCAGCTGCCGAGCAATGATCCCATTGAGGACGATCATGCCGAAGGGATCGTGGAGATCCCGGATAGGAACGGGGGCAGCGGAAGCAGCGACTGGATGTTCTGGGGTGTATTCGATGGGCACTCGTAGGTCTACCTCCTTAGCCGTACCGGGAGATGATGGAACATAACAGCAGCAGCTGACGCATGTTCACAGTGGATGGACGACCTCGGCAAAGCTCCGCCAGACCTTGGTTAGCTTCGTGGCTCGTGAACTGAACGAGACATACAAGGCCGCCGGTGGCCCGATGCCGCCGCAAGATGCGGTTGATACCGCTATCAAAAGGGGCTTTCTGAAACTAGATGACGAGATCGTCAACCAGAGCGTACAAAAGGTGCTGCAAGCCAACAATAAGATCGCCGCAGCGGAGCTCCTGGCTCCAGCCCTGTCCGGGTCGTGCGCGCTTCTTTCCTTTTACGACAGTCGGTCTAAGTTGCTACGGGTGGCGTGCACGGGAGATTCGCGCGCCGTCCTGGGGCGCCGCTCAGAGTCTGGCAAGTGGACGGCCACGCCGCTCTCGGTCGACCAGACCGGTAGTAACCCCGACGAGGAGGCGCGGTTGCGCAAGCTGCACCCAAACGAGCCCTACGTCGTGCACAGAGGACGCGTCCTCGGAGGGTTAGAGCCCACACGGGCGTTTGGAGACGCAAGCTACAAATGGACTCGCGAGGTTTCGGACAAGCTGAAGCAGCACTTCTTTGCGCGCTCCGTCTCCTCCCTGCTCAAGACGCCTCCGTATGTTACCGCGGAACCGGTCGTCACCACCACAAAGATCGAGCCTGAGAAGGGCGACTTCGTTGTCTTAGCGACCGACGGGCTCTGGGAGATGCTGACCAACGAGGAGGTCATTGGCTTGGTCGGCAAGTGGATCGATAGCCAGGCCGGCGGTAGCAGCTCCAACTCGCAGTTCGACTCGGTCTGGAACCGCATCTTTGGAGCACGCAACAAGGGCGGGCTGCCGGTCGAGGCAGCAAATGGAGCCGGCGGTGGCGGCGCCGGTGGGCAGAAGACACCGTTCCGTGGCATGCGCCAGTGGGGCGACTCGTCGGACGGGTTTGTGGTGCAGGACAAGAACGTGGCAACACACCTGGTCCGCAACGCCCTGGGAGGTAAGAACCAGGAACAGGTGTCGGCGCTGTTGACGTTGCCTGCGCCCTTCTCGAGGAGGTATCGGGATGATTTGACGGTGCAGGTCATCTTCTTCGGCAATGGAGAGAAGACGGGCGAGGTGGTGGTCAATCTCGATGCGACGGCACCGGCGAAGCCTCCCAAAGCAAAGCTGTAGGGTGTTTGCTCTTTGTCTTCATCAGGTGTACAGCCCTAAGGTTGGGCACTGTTGTCCCGGGCTTGATATCGGTTGCAGTTGGGCGAGGCGCAATGGTTCATTATACCACGAGGGAAAGGGGCATGGTGGACTTTCTTTTCCTTTTTTTTTGTGGGGGGGGGAGTGGTTTTGATATTGCTATCTGGTTCTATACCATGCAACGTACCGGTCAGCGAAGCCCAAACACAGTGTGTGTGGCTGGCTATACAGCAGGTATCTAGCCGATGTTTCCCTCATCTCCGAGAAAAGAGGCCTCGCTCGTCCTCCAGGCGTGGAACGGTGAGGTAGCATGGCGTACGGCGCGGAGCTTCGCTTCCATACACAGTTGGCCCGGCAATCACACCATCGAAATCTTAGAAAGCCGAGCCCAAGGTGGAAACTCCTAGCCCAATTCATACGTGTAGTATCCAGCGTTGTCTGGTGGTGGGTGGTAAGACACGAATACATTCAGACCCAACACCTCCAAGTCACCCTACGGCCCACCTGCATATGAAGGCGTTCCGCATCCGTGCAACCTAGCAGCTCCATGGGACGTGAAATGCCTCCATATATGTAAGGATATCGTATTGTACAAGTACATACTAGTAGTACGTTGGTGGATCGACAGGGCGGATCATGGTGCCAAGCGAAGCGCCGCCCTGGGTTCTAGGCGATAGTGGGGGCATCGTTGGTGCGGCTGCCCTGACGTCAGAGCCCCTCTGTAAGCGGCGCAGGGCCTGCATCGGGTTCCTACTGGTACCAACACATTGAAATCCCAGTTCGGGCAGCCCCTTTCCCGCCCCTCCTCTACGCCGGCATTAGGTAGCTCTGCTTGTACAATACAACCGAGGCTTGGGGTTTTTGAAGCTCTTGAGCTGTGTATCTCGCTTCCCCTCTTCCCCTTCGCCTACTGCCTAACCTAGCAGGCGACTTCGATCCTGCGGACCTGTTGCTTAGGTACCTTGCCTACTGACGGGAGGTTCGCCCGGATTCCAGGTCGTGGATCACGAAGTTTCCTGAGAGACTGAGACAGCTCTGTCCTTCAACCAGCACAGCAACAGCAGTATTCCGAGCATCTCTGCCCTTCTCAAAAGCGCACCATGGTCGTCTTCGATAACCACGAGTACCTCACCGAGGAGGAAAGGAGGCTCAAGGAAGACCGCAAGCGGATAAAGTATTGGAAGAAATGGGGACCGTATGTTGCTGAGAGGCAATGGGCGACTGGTCAGTCCTAGCCTCCGGCACTACTCCAGACTCCAGAGTACCGCGTCTGACTAGACCAATGCAGTGCGAGAGGACTACAGCGCCGATGGTGATGCGTGGAGTAGTAAGTTCGCCGGGCCGATTCCGCCCCCGGCAGCGGAATGCCGCCTGCTCACACCCACACTTACATTTGATTTTGCTCGCAGACTTCCCACACGATCACGCTCGGTCCCGCGCATACCGGTGGGGCGAGGATGGCATTGCCGGTGTCTGCGACACCCATGGCTACCAGAACATCGCCTTTGCGTTCTGGAACGAGAAGGAGTACGGCCCATTACGCACTTTCCGGGCCCGCCCTTGCCACGATTGCTGACTGTCGACAGCCCTTTTCTCAAAGAGAGGCTATTTGGGTTATCTAACCCGCAGGGAAACCACGGAGAGAGTATCAAGGAGGCTCATTTCCATCTTGATAATACGCCGGTAAGCTCGATGTACAGTCCAGGAGGCCGTCTTGTAACACCCACTAACTCGACGCCTGCAGACGGTGAGACATGTCACATACGTATCAAGCGTGGTTTCCATACTCACATATCGCAGCACTCGTACATGAAGTTCCTGTATAAATATCCGCAGAAAGCATTTCCTTACGATGATTTGGTGAAAGAGAACGCCAAGCGAGGGAAGGAAGACCCGGAATACCAGATCCTCGACACCGGAGTCTTCGACGAGGACCGATACTGGGACATCTTCATCGAGACGGCCAAGGAAGACGACGACCCCGACGAGCTCCTCTTCCGCGTCACCGCCTGGAACCGAGGCCCTGAGCGTGCTCCGCTCCATATCATTCCGCATGTCTGGTTCCGCAATACTTGGTCCTGGGGTCGGGAACCGGCCGACAAGAAACCGTCGATTGGGGTTCACGACGAGAACATGATCAAGTCGAAGCACCATTCCTTGGGGGACCGCTATGTCCTGCTTTCTCCTTCTCCGGGTGTTGGCCCCAGCGGGGAGGATGTGCAGCCCGAGCTGATGTTCACGGAGAACGACACCAACTATGAGCTGCTCTACGGTGGCAAGAACGAAACGCCCTACGTCAAGGACGCCTTCCACCGCCACATTGTCGACGGCGAGAAGGGCGCCGTAAACCCGGCTCGCGTCGGAACGAAGGCTGCCGCCTGGTTCTCGTTCAATGAGGCTGGTGGTGTCAACCCGGGCGAGTGCGCAGGTATGGATTTACTGCTTTTTTTTATGGGAAGCCCTGGGCAGCAACTGACAGAAGCAGTCGTCCGCTTCCGGTTCTCCAGGAAGGCGGAGACATACCTTGACGAGGAGGAGTTTGACGACATAATCGAGAGGAAGCGGGAGGAGGCTGACGACTTCTACTACCACATAAGCCCCTTGCCGATGGCGGACGATCTCCGCAACATCCAGCGGCAGGCATTTGCCGGCATGATGTGGTGCAAGCAGCACTATCTCTTCATCTGGGACGAGTGGGCGAACGGCGACCCGAACCAGCCGCCTCCGCCTCCCGGCCGGAAGGGCATTCGCAATTCCGCCTGGAAGCACATGCACTGCGACGACATCCTGTCCATGCCGGACTCGTGGGAGTATCCGTTCTTTGCTGCCTGGGATACCAGCTTCCACTGCATCACCCTGGCCATGATCGACCCCGATTTCGCCAAGAAGCAGCTCGATCTCTTTACCAGGGAGTGGTATTGCCACCCCAATGGCCAGCTCCCGGCGTAAGTGGCTTTTCCCGATGTGCGCGCGAACGGCGTCAACTGACCTCTGGCAGATACGAGTGGAACTTCAGCGATGTCAATCCTCCCGTTCATGCGTGGGCGACCTTCCGCGTCTTCAAGATCGAGCGTAAGCTCTACGGGAGACAGGACCTTGACTTTCTCGAAAGGGTGTTCCAGAAGCTGTTGCTCAACTTCACGTGGTGGGTGAACCGCAAAGACGTCGATGGCAAGAACGTGTTCGAGGGTGGTTTCCTCGGGCTGGACAACATCGGCTTGTTCAACCGCTCGGAGCCGCTGCCCACTGGCGGTACGCTGGAGCAGGCAGACAGCACGGGCTGGATGGCCTTCTACTGCCTCAACATGCTCAACATTGCGCTGGAACTTGCCAAGCATCGGCGCATCTACGAGGATATCGCAACCAAGTTCTTCGAGCATTTCATTCTGATCAGCGACGCCATGACTTTCCGGAACGGCCAAAAGGAGGAGCAGTCGCTCTGGAACGAGGAGGACGGGTTCTACTACGATGCCATTTCGTGGGGCGGCCCGTGGATCCAACAGATGCCAGTGCGGTCGCTGGTCGGGCTGATTCCGCTCTACGCGACCCTGACGTTGGAGCCTGAGCTCATCAACAGGCTCCCGGCTTTCAAGAAGCGGGTTGACTGGTTCATGGCCAACCGCTGTGATGTGGCGGAGCGGACAATGCACAGCATCCGCACCCGTGGCAAGGGCAACAGGATCCTGCTGTCTCTCGTGAACAAGGAGCGGCTGGAAAAGATCCTCCGACGCATGCTGGACGAAGATGAGTTCTTCAGCCCCCACGGCATCCGCTCGCTGTCCAAGTATCACAAAGAGCACCCGTACTCGATGGAGGTCAACGGACAGACATTCAAGGTGGGATACGTTCCCGGCGATTCGGACAGCGGACTCTTTGGCGGCAACAGCAACTGGCGAGGACCTATTTGGCTGTGTGTCAACTTCCTCTTGGTCGAGTCGCTGCAGCGCTTCTATCTCTTCTTCGGCCAGAACTTGAAAGTCGAGTGTCCCGTGGGGTCGGGCGACTACATGCATCTCGGCCATGTTTCGGAGGAGATTCAGCACCGCTTACAACACCTCTTCGCTCGTGACAACGAGGGGCGTCGGAGCATCAACGGCGGCAACGATATCCTCGACTTTGATCCCAACTGGAGCGAGTACCTCTGGTTCTATGAGTTCTTCGACGGAGACACTGGCCGCGGACTCGGTGCCACGCACCAGTGTGGATGGACAGGTCTCATTGCTCGCATGATCCACGACACTGGGTAAGCTTCAATCACCCTCCTTCCCCCGCCAACTTTTCTCTCCGTCATAGCCTGACCTATATCTCTAGCGTAAACTGCCGCCTCCCGCAAACCCCTCGCACTCCCCGCGCCGGCATGTCCCACTACTTCGACGACGTCCTCCACCGGCAAGTAGGCGGCACCCAAACGCCCAAGTCGCCCGCGGTGCTGTCGCCCAACATGCCCCGCCTCCGCCGCAGCTCGACGAACCGCTCGATAGCCGCCCGCAGCGACTACAGCGTCAACGGCCATGACGATGAGGACTTTGATGACGGCGCAGTGACTCCCGGTGCTGCGGGTCATGCGGGTCATGCGGGTCATGCTAGGCGCGGATCCGTCAACCCGGCGATACTGAATGATCCCGAGCGAGTAAAAGAACGGGCCGAGGCGGACGCACATCTGCATTCGTATATCTCCCAGCAGCTGGAGCGGGTAAAGCAGGAAAGAGGCGTCGAGGGGTGGGAGGGGGCTGATGAGATTGAGGCACAGCCTTAGATATCCCCTCTTTTCAAGGGGATACTATCGTGCAATGAGATTGGGGTGGTGAAATGTTGTTATTCATAGTATTTGGTCTGAAAAAGAACTGAAACGGCGAGCGGTCAGGGAGAGGCAATGGGTAGAGGGGATGTGGTTGGAAACGAAAGAAGATGCGCTTGGTGAGAGACATAATAGATAGGTATAGAGCTGAGATTGATAATACATGCATGCATTGGGGTCCAGACAGTATCACTTCCCTCGATGAGAGCTCACTTCCAAGCAAGTTCCACGGATGTGACGGCTATCCAAAGCAATACTGACTGCGAAAGGAGGGCTGGGGTCTATATTGGAGCATACACGTCGATAGTTGATAGTTATCAGCGTCAGTGGTTTAGTGGTAAAATCCATCGTTGCCATCGATGGGCCCCGCGTTCGATTCGCGGCTGACGCACGCGATACCCTTTTGCTACCTGTTCATCCGTCTTTATTTTGCTTATTACAGCAGCTAATGTTGTCCCGGAGCTGGTGGCCACTTATTGTGAAGAGGAGCGGCATAATAGGTCAAGTACATACATCCCTTGTTGTTTGTTGAGCTGGGGAGCATATCAAAATCAGCTTTGGACCTTAGATTGAACTGACTGTTTTCTCCGAGTTGGACAGCTGCATAACGAATACCTTCCAGGTTCCTTCCTTAGTACTCCATGAGAATGTGTTGGAGAACTACATACCTTAGGATGATCTCTTTTAAGGAGGAGCGAGTGACCTCTGTTTAACCAACACGGCGAAGCCAAGAAGCTTGTTTTAGGTCCGTTGCGAGTTCTGGTTACTGGCAAGTTCCAGTAGGTATTTCGACGACTCCTAAGCGCTTTCCCTACTTCACTGGTATCTTGCACAGACCGAAGGGCGCCGCGGTGGACCGTCGAAGGAAAAGCACGGAGAAAGGGGATCATCTATTCGCTCATATACACAGCAAATGCTCCTAGAATTAGACCGCGAGCCTGATTGTGGTTCGGGACCCCTCGTTTCTGGTTCCTGGTTCCCAGTCCCCAGCTCAAAACTCAATGGATTTTTGCTACAAAAAGGAGGGATAATCTACAGAGTGTCGGTGAGGAGCTTGTTCATCTTGGCCATCTTGGAGGAGACGCTGAGGTCGATTGTCCTGTCACCGACCTCGACGATGAGCCCGCCGATGATGTCCGGGTTGATCTGAGCCCGGTTAGCAGATAGGTAGATGATGGGTGAAGGCAGCGCAGTGAACGTACGGTGTTCTTGACCTTGAGCTTCTTGCCGGCGCCGACATAGCTCGACTTGGAGACGGCAGACTCAAGGCGGGAGAGAGTCTTGTTGTCCAGAGGCTGTTGCAAGTCAGCAATTGTGTTCTGCTCAATGTGCTTCCTCCATTCATCCGTCCAGCCGAGAGATATTCCCCTACCTGAGCGCTGGTAACCACCATCTCGACCTCCCCGCGGGAGGCGCTCATGAGCTCTCCAAACTTGGTGCAGACACCGGGAATGAGACCTAGACGGTTGTTCTCGGCGAGGGTGGCGAGGAAGTTCTTGACGGTCTCCCCGGCGGCACCAATGTTTTTCTGAAGCTCGGCCACGATGGCGCTCTTATCGGCGGCCGAGAGAGTCGGGGCCTCGAGGATGGTAGCCAACTTAGGGTCCTTCTGCAACAGCTTGTGAAGGGCGTCGATGCCCTTGGCGGTAGGCTCGAGGGAAGCGCTCTTGACGGCGGCCGTGTACTATCGTGAAGGCAAAGCAGAAATGACGCAGGTTAGCCTTGGTCTTGCTCGCGTAGTTTGTCTGCAGCCGACGGGGAACCGAGCGCCCCATGAAACAGTTCTCTCATTTTCATATCCTCCGCAACATGCTTCGAAGAGGGGGGCCAATTGGGCGGTCGGGGGCTGGCGTACCAGAGCAGTGGCATAGGTGCCGTCGAGGCCGAAGAGGGCAACCGGAGGCTTCACCTTCTCGCTCGAGGCCGGCGCGGCAAAGGTGCGGGTGTGCCCGAGAAGGGCACGCTGCGGAGCTGCCGTCCGCGCGGAACGCAGCAATGCCTGTCGCGAGAACATGGTGCTGGGGCTGGTCAGATGTGATGATGGGACCTCGAGTGTCGTGAAAGCGAGCTTCCATTCAGTTTTCGAAAACGGGGCCTGGATGCTCGGCAATTTGGTTGTTGCCTGAGGCAGCGAACACACCTTGGACGTGACGGGCTTGGCATCCACGACCCACTCGCAAGTTGCAGGTAGTACTTCAAGTTAGGTTTCCAAAACTCAAGCACGAAGGCAGATAACATGCCAAGTTACCTATGCGGGAACCCAATGCTGCGCAAGTCATCTATCGTATCTCTTCACACTAATCCCTACAGAAAGCCCGCTTTCCCCGGGACTCTTAACGACTCTACGGCCCGCATTACATGAAGTCCCTATACCCCAGAATACCCGTACCAAGACCCCGCATGTTTTGCCATCCGAACCCCAAGTGCTCGCATCAACCAAGGTGCTCCGTATCGGCCAAGTCTAACCACCTAAACGCCGCCATGCAAAGAAAAGTCGAAAGATGCGGTATCCCGAGAGGAATAGAATAAGCTAGTCGCTACGCAGCATGCTGTCCACCAAATCGCCCAATGGGCCCCAGTAGTCCTTCCCGCTGGCGAGGTTGTGCTCGTCGATGAAAAGGACGTACTGCTTGAAGCTAGTGTTGAGGTGCGGTTCAAGGCCCAGTTCACGGATGACAGGGTAGTGGTGGCAGTAGATGTGGGCATAGACGCGGTACATGCGTTTGAAGATCTGGCGCACCAGGGCTGGAAATGATTTGGGGAAGGGCACGCCTGATGCAGGTTAGTCATGTCCGCTGTGAAGCTGACCCTCGTATCACTTACCGATGCGGCTCGGGAGGACCGCCTCGTTGTCGATGTTGCCCTGAACCCAGGTCATCAACTGCTCGATGTACGCCGGCGCGGGCATCTTTGTCGGCCGCTTGTAGTTCTCCGAATCTTGCCACAGATATTCAAACCTGGCCCATCAGCTTGCAATTCGGAAGTTGCGGTGTCTTAAACCTACTCGTCCGTCGCCTTCATCTCTGGACATGTTTGAGGGGAGCAGAATTCGGTGATAGCGCCGTAGAGGAGGTTGATCTGGTTGTAGAAATCCACCACTGTCGCATAAGTTAGCACACGCCTCAGATGTGCGAGCGACAGTTCGCAGGGCCCTGCGTACTGTTTACAGCCAGCCACTCGTTCTCATCTTCTCCCTCCGGCAGTTTCACCACCTTCCGCAGGCTCCCTCCGCCGAGTGTAGCCTCCGCATACTGACGAAGCTGGTAGCTCGTAGCGCCCCCTTTGCCGGGCGCTCGGGGTCGGAATTGGCTCTTCGTCCGGTTGTTGCTGTGTTTGAGCGCAAGTCAGCAAGGTGGTTCGCGACGCATCCCCTTGGGCTTGGGCGCCAATGCCAATGGTGGGTTAGGCTGCCAGCAACTAAAGCAAAACAAATGCGCTCGCACCGCTAGGGGTTGGGGGACAATACAATCTGGAGGTTTCCATTCTGTGAATGCTTGCGACAACAGATTCCACTCACACAGTCGTCAGAAAGGAGCTCATGGCGAGAACCAGGAGCCTGGGCTCTCGAAAGGTATGTTGCTGAACTGAGGCCACCGAACCAAGGTTGGTTGTTAGCGGGGTCCCCTTATGACGCAGCTGGCTGGAGCTGCTCCACCGGTTCCTGGACCAACAGGGGATGCGTACCGATACAAGCTGTTAGATGCCCGTTTCTGCAAAGATGTTGTTAATCTTGGGTCCAATGGCTGCAAAAAGTGGTGTTCGGAATTCCAAAGAGAGGGGAAGGTCGCAAGTCAGCGCCAAAATGCAGAGGATCGAATCTAGGGCGGGAGATTGTTTACACTTGCCGCCCGCTCTGGCAACCATGACTGTGCCCAGCGGGACTGATTGATTGATTGCGGCTAGCTAGGTACCGTCATATGGGATATATACCTAAGTATGCATTATAATGGTTAAGTGGATGTGCCGGTCTGGGCATGCATCTAGGAAGGTTAGCGTTATGCAACCCCTTGGCAATATAACAAATGAAGTGTACCTTGATTTGTATGGGCGCGGCTAATAAAATCAAGTACAGGTCAAAATCCGGAGTTGCTGGTTTTTGGGAGAAAATCCGGGATTGCTGAACCAGCTCGCCGCATTTGCGGGGAGCTGGTTTTGTCCTTTGGAAGGCCCAGCGAGTACCTGAACGGTACATACTGACATAGTAACTACCTCCTACCTACCTTACCTACCTGAGTATTGTGGAGTAGTACTCCGTAGTGCAATAAGATCGTATACCGTCCAACCAGATCTTGTGGCGTTTAGGCGGACAGCTTACACGGAGCTATGATGCTAATCATCCGAGCCACGGGAACTCAACTCGGCTTTCTTTATTTTTCGTTTCATTTGTTATCTCCTGCTCCAGTATCCTCACCTCCTGATTCTTCAGCCTCGACTGTCTTATCTTCAAGAGCAGAAGTGATCGTCTGGGTGCTATTATTGCCCGTTGAGTTAGGATTCTTCATAGCTCAACGAAGGATATCCTGAGTCTAGTATGGGAAGAGGAATGATGGGCGCGGTGATGACTTCGTTACCAGTAACCTGAATGGTTGAGGAACCGATGTGCGGAGAAAGAAGGCTCGGGGTAGAGAGGGCCGACCGGTAATTGTATGTATTATAGCCGCCTCAGAACGTGAGGCGGACGCAGTGGTTAAAATGGACATTCAAAACAGGAAAACAAGAATGTTATAAGCAGTGATGCGGGAGAGCTGGCTGTCGAGCGACATACATGGTCGGGACGGGATAGCAGCCTGAGCCATGTTTATTTTATTCCTTCTCGTGCTGTCCGCCCTCGCGGAAGCAGTGTCGATAAGTATAGGCCAGCGACGGAGAATCGTCCGATCGTTCAATGTTCTCCGACACAGGAGCTCCGAGACCACGCCGTTGCAAGTAGGCAATGGCAACTTCGCCTTTGGCGCCGATGTGACGGGCCTGCAGACATTCAAGCCGTATGCCGTCATGTCGAGCTGGGGTTGGCACAACTTTAGCCTCCCAACGACGCCTGGTCAAACCTCGGTGGATGGTAATTACTAGTACCTTACTTACCTACCTTAGATGACATTCCCCGGGGCCTACAGTCCCAACTCCCAACTGAGACTCGCACTGACATAGAATGACAAGACTACACTGGCATGCAACTGTGGACACATGGCAGGCTGGTGACCTACGAGATGCAGAACCCGGCCGAGAACGACATCACAAACTGGCTCCGAGAGAACCCCCACCGGCTCAACCTGGCCAATATTGGGTTTGCCTTTGGGCGCCGTAACATCACCGAGGGCGATCTGGATCACCAGCGCCAGGAGCTCGATCTCTGGTCTGGGAGGCTATCATCATCCTTTGTCTTCGCTGGTTCTCCGGTCAAGGTCGAGACGTGGGCCGATCCAGACTCGGATACCATCGCTGTCAATGTCCACTCGAAGCTGCTGAGACGAGGACTCGGCATCTTTTTTGGCTTCCCTTACCCTGACAATGAGAAGTTCAATGCCCCGTTTGTCGGGCACTTTAACCTCACATCCAAACACTCGACCGTGCTTGAACGGCTGTCTCCGAACAGAGCTAGCATACGGCATGTCTTGGACGAGACGACCTACTACACGCACGTAGCATGGAACGGCCCTGGACGGGTAGATGGGCCTATAGAGGGAACCCATCGCTACACCTTCACCGCATCACAAAGCAGCATCCAGCTAGTCGTCACCTTCTCTCCCACTAGGAGCCCGCCAACCACCGCCACCGCCAGCACCACCAGCACCACATACGCAAGAGTAGTCTCGGCGTCCCGCAGCTGGTGGGAAGCCTTCTGGTCGTCCGGAGCATTCATCGACCTGTCAGCAATCCAAGACGCCCGGGCACGGGATCTCCAACGGCGCATCATCCTCTCGCAGTACCTGGTGGCCGTCAACTCGGCCTCGTCCTACCCGCCGCAGGAGTCCGGCCTGGTCAACAACGGCTGGCACGGCAAGTTCCACCTCGAGATGACCCTCTGGCACACGCTGCCCTTCGCCCGCTGGAACCACTTCCCGCTCCTCTGGCGCAGCCAACCGGCCATGTACCGCCAATTCCTCCCCTCGGCCATGGCCCGCGCCCGGATGCAGGGATACCGGGGCGCCCGCTGGGGCAAGATGACCGACCCGTCCGGCCGCAGCGCCCCCGGCGACATCAACGCCCTTCTGGTCTGGCAGCAGCCGCACGCGATGTACTTCGCCGAGACCGAGTACCGCGCCTTCCCCAACGCGTCGACGCTCGCGCGGTGGGACGAGGTGCTGACGGCGACGGCCGACTTCATGGCGTCGTACGCCTTCTGGAACGCCTCGAGCCGGGTGTACGACCTCGGTCCGCCCATGTACCCGGTGTCGGAGAACACCGACGCGAACGCGTCGGTCAACCCGGCCTTCGAGCTGGCCTACTGGCGCTTCGGCCTGGACGTGGCCGCGCGGTGGAAGACGCGCCAGGGCAAGCCCGTGCCGGCGGAGTGGCTGGCCGTGCGGGACCGGCTCGCCCCGCTGCCTGTCGTGGACGGGGCCTATGCCGTGTACGAGGGCATTCCGGACATGTGGACGTCGAACGCCACGACCAGCGACCACCCGGCCATGGCCGGCATCTTCGGCTTGCTGCCGCCGCCGGCGAGCGGGCCGCCCCTGGACCTGGCTGTGTTGGAGAAGACGGCCGCGAAGATCAAGGAGCTGTGGGCGCTGGAGGACTCGTATGGTTGGGACTTTGCCATGCTGGCCATGAACTCGCTGCGGCTCGGAGACCCCGAGCAGGCGGTCGAGTATCTGTTGCATCCCATTTTCCAGTTCGATGACGCGGGGTATCCGGTGGGCGGGTCAAGGGTCCCGACGCCGTATTTCCCCAACTCGGCTTCGTTGCTGATCGTGACGGCCATGATGGCGGGAGGCTGGGACGGGAGTCCGGGGAAGACGGCCCATTGGCCTAAGGGGTGGGAAACGGATGTTCGTGTTGAGGGGTTCGTGCCCGCCTTGTGAGGGAAAGTGGTTCCGCCACTGTTGCTGGTCGAGGGATGTAGGAAATGGACTCTTCCATGGCTCTTGATCGTAAGTGAATGCACACCGTATTGAACACCGCTACCTATCTGTGAGCCAAGTTCCAAAAAAAAAAAAAAAAAAAAAAAAAAAAAAAAAAAAAAAAAAAAACAAAAAAAAAAAACCATGTCCGCCGCGCCGTAAAGAAGACAACAGCACCAAGGCACAAACAACGTTGGCCTGAAATTGGCCTGATCAGGCCGACAAGCTCGCGGAGCTGCCCAAAATACTCGAATATCGCGGAATTATGCATCCTAGCCCATTCCTATGTTTGAGCACTTTTCCCTTCCGAAGTGCCGTGATTCGTAATTCACCGAAGTAGTGGCCGGCATTTCACAATATTCTGCCTCCATGCCACCTGTCTTACTGTTAGATCCCATCTCTCCCCGGACCTCGAATCTCGCCCCTGCGTCAGAGGAGGATCTCGCCGAGATTCTCCCCTTCAAATCCCTCCGTGGCCAGCATTTTGACCTTCTTCTTCTCTCGAGACTTATCCTGCTGCTTCTTCTGCTTGGCCAAGTTTTGGACAAGCTCAACATCGGCCGGGTCGTACCCAGGCGGCGGGTCGTCGTCCTTGTCGAGGTCGATCTCGCCCAGCAACAACACGTTCTCTCCGCGGACGAGAAAGAGGCCGCGGTCGATGTCTGCGTACAGTCCCCGCGGCTGATTGGGCGCTGTTCCAGGCGGCACAAAAATCCTCTCCTTGGTGGACTGCAGTACCAGATTTGCTGGGCCAAGAAAAACCGTGTTAACTCAGACGCCTTGGCACCCTTTCAATCTCCCATGACATGACGACTCATACCGAACTGATCCCAGCTGCGCAGGATTCCCAGAAGCTTGCGCCCATCGCGTAGTGCCACCATGAGCTTCTCTGTCCCAGGTGTCAGTTTTCGCGAAGCCTTCAGGCACGAGCCATATACGGCGGGTTGGTGTGTCATGGCGGCTTACTGTCCGTTAGATCCAAGAGCTGCGCCGCGGTGGTGAACATCTGCGCCGGCAGTTGCTGGGGCGGCGGGGGCGGACGCCCTAGAACGGGCGGCATTCCTCCCGGGCCGCCATGTTGCAGAGGGGGAGGAGGAGGGTCGGAAGTTGTGAGATTCTCCATCATGAGTCCCGCGTCATAGAGCTGAAAGACCTGAAACGTTTGATGCGCTTATCGCCAAACTGCGTCCATGGGCGATTTATCGGTGAGAAAATGAGTTCCAAGGCTTTTCAAGAGTGCATTGTGTTCGGAAGGTGTGTGGTATGGAACTTTGGTCAGTGAGCACTGTGCGATGCCGCTCAAGGCTCTCCCTCCAGGAATCGGATGAGAGCATCAGCGCAAGGCTGATGTCACCCCGCTGTGTGCTTGTTGCCTCAGGTGTGGCTTGACGGCCACCGCCTGCCGTTTAGGGCTACCGCTTGGAGTCCAAGCCACTTCAAGACGGAGATCCTTGCACGGTGCGCAGTTATTAGCTAGCACTGTTGCTGGGTAGAGCAGGTGTCGGCAAACGGTCCAATGATCCAATCTTATCCGCATGGATGGCTTACCCGCCATTCAGCAGATTCTCTACCCACCCGTTATTGTTCCCAATCCCATGCTCCATACACCACCCACAATACTCTCCGAAGTACAAGTCTCCAGGCCGGAAGATGTACAATTCCCCCGCCCACGCAACCCATTCGCTTTGCCCATCTTGATCTTCACGAAAAACCATCTGGATCGAGCGACATCTCGTCTTTCCAGTCGCGGTTCGGGCTTCATCTGTCACTCGCTCTGGCACTGACCCTCTCGAACACAAACCGACACTAGAAAATAGCACACATACACAATGGCCACAGCGGACGTCAGCATGGCCGACTCCCCCGCCCATCGCGTTGACCGGCGTGTCAACGGCTCACCCCCGCCGACGCAGTCAAAGCGAGACAAACGCCGTCAGATGCTAGCCGATCGCCTTGCCTCGCTCTCCGAGAAGCTAAGCAAAGATAGAGACCAGGCCTACCGGGAACAACTACACAAGCTCCAGATCGACACCACGCTGGTCATGAGAGTCGACCCTTATGTGGATAGACCCTTTGACGGCTTCGAGCTAGACCAGCAAAGACTTCCTCAGCTCAATGGAGACGCTGATTCCCACTCTGGACCTCAGACGCTGCTCGACAGAGCCGGGCCAAAGTTCTCCGAGTGGATGGAGAAGGTCCAAGATCTGGTCGAGCAGCGTGATTATGCGCTTACCAAGTACAAGGTATGCGTTCAGTCCCGTCGACCCTGATTGAGAGGCCATGCAAGACCAACGACTGACCGCCCCGGACACTACAGTTCGACTACGAGAAGAAGACATCCGAGTTCTTGACCACCCACGCCTTCAAGATCGAGTGTGCGAACCGCGAATACCGTTCCCTCTCCCAAACGCTGCGGGACCGTTTGATCAATACCATCATGAGCAAAAAGACCCGGCTGAACAAGGAGAAGGAGGCCCTCGAGATCTCGGATGCTTCTGCTCTCTTATTGCATCCCAACCAATTCAGTATCACCAACCCTGCGAGTCCAGGAGGTGCACACACCAAGCGGGCGACACGCCAGCGCCGGGAAGCGGAAGACACGGGCTTCGAGAACAGAAAGAGGAAACGGAACAATAACAATAATGAGGATGATGGCTCACCCGCACCCCAGCGCAGGCCGTTCGATGCTTCCGGCACTACGGCCCTCTGGCAAACGGACCGCCTTGCCTCGCGCAAGGCCACCGGCACCGTTTACAGCATTGACAAGCTCTTTACGGACAAGGAGCTCACCATGGCCTCCAGCGCGGCCACGTTGGCGGCCCGTAAGTACATCCTCACTCACAAGCCCCCGCTGGATGAAAACGGCCGGCCTATCAAGTCGCCCGACAGCAGCGACTCTGGGGCAGGCGACAACGAGGAGAACGACGGATCGGACTCGATTCCATCCGCGCCCATGATGGAGAGGAACGTATCACATGCGACGCGCAGCGCCCGCGGGGGCGCAAACAACCCCAATTTCATGGATGACAAGCTTATGGGCATGGAAATGCTGGCCAACTTCGACTTCGCAGGCAATTTCGACCGCATGCTCGCAGCGGATCCAAAACTCCCTGCGACGTTCCCGACGACATATATCAAGGGCAATAAGTTGGAGTACAACGTTCCCAGCACGCTCAATTCCGATGACGTGCACGGGGACCTGATGGTGATGCAGGCGCTGCGGCAGTACGATGAGACGCACGGCGTGGGATCGAACTTCTCGGTGGAGAATGGCAGTCGCAAGCTGCTCGAGGCGGCGTCGATGCCGGCGCAGGACCGCCGGTGGGTTGCGTATCTCCAGGGCGAACGACCATCGGAAAACCAGGTGAGGAAGCAACTAGGACTTCCCGTCCTATCCGATGTCGTGGAGCCGGTCATGTCCGACAGAGCAGGCACCCCTAAGCCCGGCCATGCGGGCACTCCCGGACCGTCGCCTTCGAAGGGGGCGGCATTAGGTGGCGTACCCATGAGCAGGCAGTCGAGCGCCAACGGCGTGCCAATGAGTCGGAGTAGTAGTCGGAAGGGCCCGCGAGGCGGGCGGGGTGGTTGATGTCTATTATGGAGGGGTCGAAAGGACGAACAAGCAACAGAGGTGTTCATTGTTGGAACATCTGAGACATATCTCGTTCATTTCTTACTTCCTGGAGTTTGGATTTGCTATCCAGGCACCCTATCTGCGACGGCCATGTCAACATACGGAACGGGTGGAGCGGTGTTGGGCGGAAACGGCACACGGTTAGGTGCCTTTGCTCTTGCTTTCTTTGCTTTATACCCGGCTTTTCGGACCTCAAATCATATCAACATCTATTGATCAAATAACCATCATCCAGAACTCGATTGGCCAAACCTGTCTTTGCCAAGGAAGCTATCTGCTACTCATAAATCATCCAGCCCAGGCCGAAACTATCAGGCACCTACCGGCCCAAAAACCAAAGCTCTCACCTCAATGCTCTCCCGTCCCTCCGCGCCCTCCCGCGTCCTGGGATCCTCAAACGCGCTATGCGGCACCCTCCCGCCCAGCACGCCGCTCCCCTCCTTCCGCGCCTCGCTATCGAAACACTCCAGCAAGATGCGCTCGTCCCCGGTCATCCCGCTCAGATAATACCATTCCTGGCCTGGGTGGTACCGGATCGCCGCCGTCTGGCCCGTGTAGCCCGTCTTGACGTACCGGTGCTCGATGGGGACGACGTCGTCGTTGCGCAGTGTGTGAGACGACGCGAATGCTAGCGGGAAGGATTCGACGGGGCGCGCGTTCAGGGGCCGCCACACGTTGATGATGCGGTACCGCCCCGCGAGCAGCGCTTCTGCTTCCGATGGGGACGAGGCGTGGCGGTGCACGCGCTGTGCGGCGGACGAGGCTGTTTGGTCGATGTGTACCCGCGCAACGGGGCCGCGCGGTGCGTTGGGAGAGGTTCGCCGGATTGTGTCTTTTCGGTGAGGGTTAGTTTTCTTTGCATGTGTGTGTGTAGGGAAGCGATCATCAACATGGTTAGATGACGTACGGTCAAATATGATGACTTTGTTGGCCCCCGGGACGGTGTCCAGCAGGAGGCGCTCGACTTCGGGGTAGTAGTTCTTTTCGATGGAGGCGTCGTCGGTGAAGGATGTCTCCGAGGACGGCGGCTGGTTGAGGAGGATCTGGAAGGCGTCCTTGTCGAGCGTGAAGTCGGCTTCCCGGCCGCGGGCGTCGTGGATCAGAACCTCGTGGGGGTCGGTGCCGAAGTTGTTGGGCTTGAGACCTGCGGGAACGTCGCCTGCAAGGTTGTACGGAGCTGAGCCGTCTTCTGGAGGAGAGTAGAAGTTCAGTTGGGCGACGACGTCCCCTCGGGGTGGCTGGTGGGTGACAGCCATGATGATGCCAAGGATTTGGAGATGTACGGAGACACGATAACGAGTTGTCGAGTGTATAGTACAGCCAAGGTTACTTGCAGCAGATGCAGCGAGCTTGTTCTGGTGGAAAGACGGCAGTTGTCATGGCCATGAGTCCTCACATATAGTATTTTTATATCTACTTGTGAAGTACGAGTTAATTCGATCATGTGTTCGACAACCTTGGATTTCAAAGCTGGCCCAACTGTCGCAACCATATTACAGGCGAAGCCGCTGGTTGCCCGTTGCGCAATTCGACCCAACTATGACATGACATGCTGTCCGGGAAGAAGAATGCTTCTGGGGAAGCGCTCAGGTAATCATCGACCGGATTGCCCCCCAACGCATGCCGGCGCATGCATGCTTTATGATTATTAATTGTCAGCAGTGTTTGGAGCGAAGTGAGCGTTGAATGCATCTTCAAACGGCGCCCATGCGACATCGGGCAACATAAAGTCCGAGTCGAGATGACGTCGGTGGAAATTAAGTTGGTGATTGGCAGTCACCGTTTTAGAATGGACCCATCGGCAACAAGTCCCCATGCATGGGACAAAACGTTCGCCCGGTGCCAAGGTCCCATATGGGTGCTGTGATTGGCAGAGAACGAAGAATGGCCTAACTTGATGAGGAAGCATGTAAACAGACGCGGCCTGCAGATTTCCACCACTTCGCACAGCGACTTTGTATGGGCCGTCATCACCGCCGTCGCGACTGTTATCGATACTGGCACGCGACCACGCGGGCTGTGGGCTCTGCGGCATCTTACATCGCGGCAGCGTCGACACTTTGGCGACAGCGAGCCCGCAGCGATGGAGGAAGAGCGCACAATTACCTTGGATCTCGGGTCGTCGCCCGATCCGTTAATCGACCCAGCCCTCAGTCCGCCGATGATGCCTCCTTCACACATCAAAAAGAAGAGCCCGGCTGCACAACGCCTCTACACGGTGCTTGCGCCCTCGCCCAGGAAGCAGACTTTCGAGTTGGATGTAGGAAATGAGCTGGCGCCACAGAAACTGCTTGTCACGGTAGAGGCCGAAGACGATCGCTCGCGCAGCACCAGTACCAGCCGCCGCCTCTTCCAGTCGCCCACGCCGAAACGACGCGCCACACCGCGGAGGGCAACAACAGTCAGCACCACGACCGTGCCCCTGCGCGGCCTGAGCGACGACGAGGGCGGCGGCAGGAGCAATGCGACGCCAAAGCGGAGGGGTCGGCCCCGAAAGTCGGGTACGCCAGTGCCGACCCAGCGCAAGAGGGCTGGCACGCCAGCCAGGAGCAGAAAGAGCGGGATACACATGTCGGTCTCTCCGGAGAGGGATATCCTGACGTCGGACGCCATTGACCAGTCCACGCCGCGCCCAAGCGGCCGGCCGGGGAGGGCCGCGAAACGCAAGGCGTCGTCACCGCCGAAGGATGGTGGCGCGCCTGCAAGTCAACCACGGAAACGTGGGCGGCCGAGGAAACAGACGTTGGATCCGGATGATATCGCGCAGTCAGGGCAAGGGGGAACGCCACAACCGGCGGCAAGGGACAATAGCTCCATTGCCGCGGCGCACGACAGTACGAGCGACCGTCCTGGGGATGACATGGATGAGGATATCTGGCTTGCAACCATGTCGGACCAGCCGACACCAGCCGCGCGGAGACAGCAGCAACTCCACGAGTCAGGGCACCCTGCAGCTGACCACTACTCAGAGCTAGAACCGCAGTTGCCACGGACGGAGCTCGACTACCAGAATCAGTACGATTGGCCGGAAATGGGGGACGGCCCAGATTCCCACAGCGACGCCGGGTCACTGACAGGCGAAGACCACGACCACCATGATATTGGCGAGGACACCATCATGGCGGGGGAGGAATTCACTATGATTTCTCTCGGCTCCTTGCCGTCGATGCAACCGAACTCGAGCGTCATGGCGCCGCAACACCAAGAACTCGGCGAGGCGACGAGCATGATCATCAGCGAGGCATTAGAATACTTGAGACGGAGCCGGAATAAGTCGAGTGGGGAGGAGATGCACGAGGAGGCGGCCGCTGCTGGCGGCGAAGCGGAAGTAGCCCCGACTGCCACGGAAGCCGCAGAGGAGATTCCCATCCAGCAGCCGGAAGAACCACAGCCTTCCCCGCCCCCACCAAGATCGCCGCAAGCATGGTGGAACAGAAGTCCTCGCAGGGCAAAGGCGCAGCCGCTTGCGAAACAATTGGCGCGCAAGACCCTTCAGCAAGCAGAACGTCGGTCGCCAGCGCCCCGTCCACAACAAGGCGAGCGGGCCGAGCCCCAGGATGCCAGCGCGTACGAAGATTCCTTCTCCTCGATCCCGGAGGCTGTGCTCGCGGCCGCAACACCACGGCGACCCCGCCAGCTCCCGTCATCGCAAGCGGAAGAGCGCGCAGTCGAGGACATCCAGCCGTCCATTGAGCGGCCATCAAGAGTGAATCACTCCAACCCCCAATCTGAGACGAATAGGCTGTTGACTCCTGATGAGACACCATCCCCGGCCCCCTCCGATACAGCAGACCCTGAGCCCCAAAACAACCCCCCGATACCCGCGCCGGGCGTTGACGTACCCTCCTCACCGCCGATCGGGAGTCCCCTGCAGCATGCTACCGGTCCCGAGCCCCAACATATCAGGCGCAATTCGACCGAAACCCCCGCTGACCAGCTAACTTCTCTTGCATCGTCCAACACGGGATTCCGAGCCGTGCCGCCCATCCCCATACCCGCCCCGGAGCCTCAACGCCGACCGACCCTGTCCCCGATCGTTCGCGCTGGCCGTGCGCTACAACTTATTACCTCGGACCCGCCGTCTCCTCCCGGGAGAGAGAGCGTGCTTGGGAGTCCCTTCCGAGGTTCATCCGTGCCCAAGTCCAGCCAGTCACCAGCACCGGTCCTTCCTCCAGCGCCCGCGGCCCGAGTCAGCCGATCGCCTGTGCAGCCACAAGTTGATACTGTCGCTCAGTCCCCACAGAGGTCGTGGCTCGCGCCCCTGAGTCAGGTGAAGGACTTCTTTGTCCGCAGCGCCCAGTCGCTCTCCCCTGCTCGGCGGGTATCGGTTTCTGGCACAGAAGGCATGGATGACCCGTTCGGGCCGGACCCAGGCGAGTCGACGGGATCGGGCTCTGTACGGGGTACCTTGTTCAATGGGCTTAACGCGCGGCACCAAGACCGAGATGCAACCATCAGCATCGCTAGCTCGCCACGAGCCGGTGGGGTCAATGGGGAAGACACTCTGACCCGGCAAGACGCAGGCAGCCGTGCCGTTTTCTCTCAGAGACCGACACCTTCGCGCCCTACAGATTTGGCCAACCGTGGATTCTCGGGGGCTGGCAGGGGCTGGCCGAGGAGCTCAGAACCGTCACCGAACCAAGCAGAATCAGCGATGGCGCCTGAAGCCCCGGAACCGCACGCGGATCTGGGCCAGCAGGCTGAAGCGCATGAAGAAGAGCAGGAAGAGGAAGAAGAGGATATTTGGACCATCGAAGCGCAGCGTCCCACCCCGTATGCGCCCAGGAATGGGGCGTCAAGGCGCGAACCTATAATCGAACCCCCACGAAGAGGGAACACATCAAGCACGTCGAGACAGAACAGTTGGTATTTAAGCTACAATGATGAGGTGGAGCAGCTCGCGGATGTAAACGATGCTCCATCTGAAAAAGTCGCTTCTTTGAATGATAAGGAAGGGCCCAGCATTGCCGCTCAAAATCGAGGGCAGCAAGTACCAGTCCGGTTTGAAAGAAACTCAGCGTCGAACGAGGAAGAAGAGTTCAGCCTGCTGGCCCAAAATCGCCAGAAGAAAGCACCGGCGCTGCCTAATCCTCCGGGCAGAAAGCCGGATCTCTCTGCCTTCTTCTCATCTCCTGCGGTGCTCCCAGAGGTGCCAGAAGCGCGTGGCGCTGGCGTCTCGAAGCCACTTGACTCACGGAGGCCGGATCAGTCGAACCGGGTCGGAGGGAAACCAGGGGCCATGCCGGTTCAAAAGCCACAAGCATCTGGACATGGCTTGTTCTCCCAGTACCTTCAGTCCGAAGCACAGACGCACATGCCGTCCGTTCCACAGAAACGGCTTGAGATCGGGACTCGCGAGAGGAGTGTCGACTTGTACTCTCCTCCACGGAGGGCCTCTGAGCGGAACATCACTGAGCATCCAGCCCCTCCACCACCGCAGTCTCCCTCGTTAGAGAGACCAGGGAGGGAAGCCAGGCCGGTACATGTTCCTCAACAGATGGGTCGAGTGCCTCGCCAGCAGTCCGCGAGCCCTGAAATGCCGCCCGCCCCGGTCCTACGGACTGCGTCTCCAGAAAGTGCGGAAGAGGAGGCATCGCCGGCTCGCATCCCGCAGAAGATGAACTTTACCCCTCGGAAACGGGATTCCAACGGCACGCTCTTTCAACCTAGGCCCGTGGCACCGACAAACCCGCTATTCGGTAACAATCAGATCTCCGCCTTCTTCTCCCGAGCCCGTCCGCAGACTCAACGATCGTCCCGTCGACAGGAGCAAGATCAGGAGGAGGAGGAGGAGGAAGAGGAAGCAGAACAGAGCAACTTCGCGCCGCCCCCGCCCAAGGCCCTCAATCCCCGCGCCGTATCACCAGCCAAATCCAGCTTTCGCTCTCCACTCAAGCCCAAGACGCCTGGCCGTGTTGTCGAGTTCACCAGCAGCACCCTTTCTCCTCATGCGCAGGCACAGGCTCGAGCGGAGCAGCGCGCAAACAGGTCTCCAGAGAGGGCACAGGATGACCGCGTAACAGGAAGGGGAAGCGTTGGACAAACCGGGAGGCGCCAACTCTCCGAACCACCCTCCGTCTCGCCGTCACCCTCGCCGTCACCCTCGCCGTCACCTGAACCGCGACCGCTTCCGCAGCTGCACCAGCATCGGCGTCAGGTTCACGAACCCGGACCACCACCCGAACAAGCACAACACGCACACCTCCCCGCGCCGCCGCACGGCCTCACTTCTTTGCCGTCTACGTCCTTCACTCGTCCGTCGACCAGCACCACCACCACCAACAGCCAATCCAGATCCCAATCCCAACCCCAACCCCAATCTCAATCCGCCGCGCCATTCTCACCCTCCCCAACGCAGTGGACGCGCACCCACTGGCTCCGCCTCGACGAGCTCTTACAAGCCCGCAAGCGCGGCATCCTTCAACTCCAGCTCGAAGCCTCCCGCCACCGTCGACCTTCCTCCACCACCTCCTCCCGCCGCAACAACAACAGCAGCAGCAGCAGCCGCAGCAGTGCAAATTCAAGAACTGGTGGTAGTAGTAGGCACCTCCTAGGCAAAATCGTCACGTCCCAAGGCGAGAGCATGGTGCTGGAGCAGTGGCACCTGGACGTGGTGGACGCGTTCCGGGATGAGTTGCCCGACGATAGCGGGTGGGACGAGGAGGCGCTGGCGAAGAGGGTGTTTGCCTTGCTTGTTGGGGAGGAGAGGCGGAGACTGGGGCTGGTTCCCTCTAGGAGGGGGAATTCTTCATCGAATGCGGGAGAGCCGAGAGCGGAGGGTGGGCTGTTGAATGGAATGGGTGGTGTTGACGCTGAGGATGAGGCTGAGGCTGGGGCTGAGTCGGATGGGGACGACATAGATTGGGAGGCGGTATGAATACTGTACCGTACGTATATGATGGTTCATTATGACGACGGGGATCTAAGGTTCGTAAGGGCGTAAGTGTGTACTGGATGGGTGGTTGGTTGTCTGGTTTGGTTTGCTGGAACAGCTGGAAATATGATGATCAGGAAGTATCACGAGTTTGATATACATACAGACATAGGGTACATGGCGTTGGGGGTATTTGGGTAAGGCGGGGCGCATGTTTGAGCACAGATGGGTTTGATACCAGCGACAGTTTGTTGTTGTACGTTTCCATTCACGCCGAAATGTTTTATTGTCAGCGTCGCGGAAGCGTGTAATTTTACATGCCCTAGCCCAACGGCCGCGAGTCAATCCCCACCCTGAGTGTCCCATCCCGCACGCCTCATTCCAACATCGATGCTTGGTTCGTGTAGAGGACGTCCACCACATTGCTGAGCTTCTCGATCGTCGCCAGCGCCGCGTCGTACGCCTCGTCCCGATGCGTCTCGTCATATATGATGAGGCAGCCGGCGCCCTGGTCGAGCACGCCGATGATGACCTTGTCGAGGATCATCTGCGACAGCTTGCGCTCGACCGCCTGCGTGTCGAGCGAGACCATCTTGGCGATGTGGTCGATCTCGACCCTACTGAAGGGCTCGATCACCTTGATCAGGTTCTGCTCCAGCATGGTGTCGTACAGCCGCCGGAGGTGGTTCCGGATGAAGGTGTCGCTGCCGAGCTCGGATTTGTACACCGCCAGCGCGCGCTCGTACTCGTCGAGCGACCGGTTCGCGTGCGCCCGCGCCACCGCCTTCATCGCCTCCAGCGACGGGCCGCCGTACTTGAGCGCCTGCTTGGACGTCATCAGCTGGTTGACGTCGTCCACCAGGTTCAGCATGATCTTGCACAACAGCATGTACTGCAGCGCCGCCTGCGCCCGCCCCGCCTCGTCCTGCGTGTGGTAGCCGTCCAGCGCCTCAATGAAGTAGCTGTACGCCGTTTGGAAGTCCTTGTCTTCGGCATGCAGCATGCCTGACTGCATGTCGAGGTTGGCCTGCAGGAGCGGCGGCGTGTAGACCGACGCGGCCGAGGTGCGGGCGCTGGTGAGGGCGGCGCGAGCTTTGGCGATGTTGCCCAAGGCGTGGTAGACACGGGACTCGAGGAGCTGGACTTCAACCAAAACCAGCTTGTCGTCCATGCGCTTGAGCTCGCGCAACAAGCTGTTGATGAGCGTCAGCGCGTCATAGTAGGACTGCTTGGCCATGTAGAGCGTCACGAGACGGGTCTCGAGATTCTGCCGGAGGAAGCTCCGACGCTCTGAAGTAGCCCATTCTATGCAGGATTTTGTGACCGATATCTGGACATCGAGCGAGTTTGGAATGGCATCGAAGAGATCGAGCAGTTGGCGGACTGTGACGGGCAATGTAAGCGGCTGGAGCACTGTTGAACGGTGGGGGAACATGTACCCAGCTTCGCTGTCTTGGCCTTCGCGAACGAGGACAACACTGTCCTGCTCTTGGTTACCAAGCCCACAAGCTCGTTTGTGTTCCTGCATTGTGTCAGACCGTGGCTTCCTTGGTTGCTCCATGCAGACCGGCTCACTTTTGGTCCCGATAAAGCTCCCCCAAGCTGACAAGGGCCGATTCATATTCTCTTATAGCCGCATCGGACGTCACCGACGGCGGCTTCGAAATGATTCCCTGGTAGATCTGCTCTGCTTTCCGCGGGTCTGACTTGGCCAACTTCTGTGCCTCGCGCACCCTCTCCGATTCGCCCTGCGCCATTGTGACGAGACTGTTGGCTTGCGTTCGTGTAGTGTTCCGAATCAGGCTGGTGATGGCGGCGCGCTGGAGCGGGACGGCGGAAGTGTTCGTTGCGGGTATCGTTCGGAGATAGACGGTTCTGATGTGGTGTTGTGCTGATGTTTGGAATGCGTTCAGCTGCAGTTTCAAGCTCCAAAGACTGTGGTACCTATTGCACGCCTGCAGTCCAGCTAGGTTGCCGCGATTGCGACGCAATCAGGTGCAATCAGCACCCGCAGCACCTGGCCTTGGCATCTCGGCTTGCTGTGGCTTATGTGGCTGAGTATCGCAAGGCGGTGAGTGGTTTTGCCGCCAGACCCCGCCAAAATTTACAGGATACGCCCGTGTAAACCGGCGAGGCTTCAGAGCTTCCGAGGTCGTGAATCCCAAGCCTACTTGGACAGTCTGGAGCGAAACGTTACGATCGACCGACCCTACTCGACGACGCACATCAGGTTCGAATCCATAACCGAAATTGTTAGAGAGCAAGATTCAACTTCCGATCAGGAGGCACCATGAAGGTAGGGAAGGATATCGCCTTAGCACAGCATCCAGAACAGTCAATCTGCCTTCCTTCCAAGACACCGCTAGCCGGCTTAGTGCCTCAACTTATTACACCTGCAGATTCTAACCTCTGTGCCCACAGATCAAAGCCCTCAGCCGGGGCATCTCGGCTCAGCAAGCGCCCGGCTCGGATGTTCAGCGCGCCCCGCGCAACCTCGCCCCGGAAATCCATCCCTTCGAACGAGCTCGAGAATAGTGAGTGGTTATCGAGAGAACAGTTGGGTAAACACTCTGACGCAGGGACGCAGCCAGAGAGCGCTCAATGCAGTCAAACTGTAAGGACTTGCCGTTGCATTTCGAGAATTGGAATGCTGACGCGTACAAGGGAGCGCATGTTCGCTAAGCCGTTTCTCGGGCAGCTTGGGAGTGGCCATGTCCAGGGCGTGTACAGCATGTGCAAGGTTTGTTTCCGCCCATCGCCTGGTGGAAGGGGGACTGGGATGACGTGACGCTGACATCTTGCAGGACAAGAATTCGCTGAATTCGGTCGCATCTGGGTCCGGCGACGGGATAGTCAAGGTATGGGACTTGACAAAACGAGACGGTGAAGCCTGGCGAACGGCGGCACAGTAAGCAAATATCCGGCTTTGGGAAATACACACATGCTGACCGTGCCTCGCAGCTCAAATATCGTTAAAGGCTTGGCCTTCACCAACGACAAGAAGCTGTTGTCGTGTGCCACGGACGGCATCAAGTTGTGGGACCCCTATAACACGCCCAACGACACCACACCGCTGGCGACATGGCAAGAAGGCGGGCCGTATACTTCGCTATCCGTTCACCGGACCGGCAGCGCTTTTGCCGCTTCGTCTGGCGCTGGTTGCATTAGAGTTTGGGATCTAGAGCAGAGTACAGCCGCACAGACAATACAGTGGCCTAACTTCACGGACACCATCACCGATGTCTGTTTCAATCAAGTCGAGACATCTGTCGTTGGTTCTGTGGCTACCGACCGTTCAGTTATCCTACTCGACCTGCGGACAAACAGTGAGTGCAGGTCCTTGTCGGAAAACGGGAGTCTGTGTCTCTAACTCCTAAGCGCAGTGCCCGTTGTCAAGACCGTGCTCCAGTTTGCGGCCAACCGCATTGTATTCAACCCCATGGAAGCTATGAATCTGGCGGTCGCTTCAGAAGGTACTGTGTCATATCCGGTTAGGTTGCTAGGGGGTGATGCTAACTGAGTCTAGATCACAACATGTAAACCGCAATCCATATTGACTCATTTGGGCACTTACTAACCTCACATAGCTATATCTTCGACGCTAGGAACTTTGATAAAGCGCTGAATATCCAGAAGGGCCATGTCGCCGCCGTGATGGATGTCGAGTTCTCACCTACCGGTGAAGAGCTCGTGAGCGGTTCTTACGTATGGCTACCCCTGCTGCCCGTAGACGAGTTTATGTTAATGCTGTTATAGGACCGTACCATCAGAATCTGGCGTCGTGATCAGGGTCACTCTCGCGACATTTACCACACCAAGAGAATGCAGAGAGTATTCCGGACGCTCTGGACTATGGACTCGAAATACCTGCTCAGCGGGAGTGACGATGTACGCCTCTGCTAATCCGCCTCCACCACTCCGCCCGTATCTTCCGTTTCACTAACCCGCAATTCCAGGGCAACGTCCGCCTGTGGCGCGCCAACGCGTCGGAGCGCAGTGGCGTGAAACAAACCAAGCAGAGGCAGGCGCTCGAGTACAACAACGCGCTGATGGAGCGCTACTCGCATCTTCCCGAGATCCGGCGCATCCGCCGGCACCGGCACCTGCCCAAGGTGGTCAAGAAGGCGTCCGAGATTAAGCGCGAGGAGCTCGCGGCCATCAAGCGGCGCGAAGAGAACGAGCGGAAACACTCGGACAAGAAGTTCGAGAAAAGGAAGAGCGAGAGGGAAAAGGCTATCTTGGTCAAGCAGCAGTAGTAATCTCCGGAAGGGCGGGGGGGGGGGGGGTGGGGGGGGTGGGTGTGTGCGGCCTTTCTGTAGGGGGCTTGTTTTGCATTGGGAGGCGTTAAGGGGTTTTTCGCTATGGTCCAAGGAATGTGTCTTGCAGCTGTAGAAGCTGGACTGATACCACTCGTGGCTGGCGTTTCTCGCATATGTTGTACATGTGGTTTAGCATGTCTTGGGTTTTCGACGGTATCGAATCGCCTGCGGCGCATTTTCTGTACAATACATATGCCATGGAAGCGCCCAGCCCAGACCATATCAGGAAATAGATCCAAACAACAACACCGGCATGTCTAGCAGCAAGGCTCGGAGGGCCGATCTCCAGAGGAAGCCTAGGTACTCTGTCTCTGTAGGTAAGGTAGTTGCGCCTCGGTTAAGTCATTGAGGAGCCATGGATGGCGTGTTGCGAATTCCTAACGGACAGTATCATAGTAAGCTGATCTTCATCTCGATGGGTATTTTGCTTGTTACAGTCATGAACATCGGATTTGTCTGTCATAGTCCGTCCTAAGCATGTCTTCGAAACTCTACATGCCAGGATACACCTCCTGGCCGGTCGCCTCCCCGAGGTGTAGAATCGTCCTCTCCTGTCCCAGATATCTGGGTTATTAGGGATTAAAGTATAACTACATAACTCGCCCATGCACATTAGTCCTGTGGTATCGTTCCCTTTCATTCCGTTCCGGTCGGGCCCCTTCAAACCGCCATGACTGAACAGCTCGGTAACGCTCCTGCAATCATACCCGAGCACGTGTCGTCTATCGGACAACGTAGGTATCGTAACCGTTCGAATCGACTCCACGGCCCGCCGTCCGTCGTCCGCTCTCCATCGTCCCGCCGATATTGACCCTCCCAGAGGGGAATCCAGGCACATCCCGCATGCAAGCCCAGAAACCCCTTTTAACGATTCAACCGCCGCGGGTATCCGTCGAAGTCGATGAGGAGCGAGGATTCTAGTGCGCGAAAAGGAATATTACAGTTTTCATAAGAAGGCCATGATCAACATGACGCTCAGCAAGCCCGCGCCCATGCCTGCAATCGCCCGGTTCACTGACGCAGGGTTGTTCGTCTCTGCGCTGGCCTCCACCTCGACCCCGATCTCGGCTTCCGCATCTGGCCCAGGGCCGTAGTCGTGTGATGGCGGCTCTGATGCTGGCCGCTGCTGAGATGACTCGTTCTCTGAATACGGAGGGCCCTCAAGGTTGCCGTCGTGGTCTGGTGGTGATGGGACGTGGGAGAGCTTGAGTCCGGTCTGGTTTTGATTCTGCGGGGATGTCAATTGCTTGGTGCTTTCGATGACATTGGTGATCTGACGAACTCGTAGGGAGACAGTTAGACAATCGGGGTCATTGTGAATGGCGCCCGCGACCGCGTCGGGCGACGCTATTGGCGAGTCATGAAGCCCGCCTTGCTCCCTGTCCATAAGTTGTTGTTGGTTGACTTGCTGGTATGTAAGAGCTGCAAGGTTTGGTTATTAGCCGCAAATACTCTGTGAAGGTTTGCCTGGCTAGCAGATTTGTTTCCCTACCCTTTCCAATAAGGACACCGCTTTCGCACACCGACAACCCGTCGCCGCTGACTGTGTTGAGGGTTGAGTCGGCTGCTTCGCCGCCAAGGAGAGCTGACAGCAGCCAAGGAAACCTCATTACTTAATCTGATCCTCCGCGCCCCAAGCCCAATCTGATGAACAAAACGACTTCAAAACGTCGAGGAAAGTTGCTGACAATGCTTTGCCGGGTATCGAGATGCAACCGCTGCAGGGAGCAACAAGATAGATGTGCAGTCCGAGCTTTCCAACATGAACTGCTTGCAGTTGCCGATAATAAGTGTCGTACGTGCCGCACCTAGTACACGCACTTACTTGCTAGTGAGGCGTAACCTGGAACGTTATCCGTAACTCAAAAATAGGTCGCTGCAGGGCGGAGTGTGTGTAACACAGCCTGTTGTCGCTCCCTTCTCTTGCAATGTTTCTGGTTCACTCCTGAGTCGAATGGGACTCCAAAGTGGCTGCTGAACGAATTGATGGGATCAGCGGGTGCCGGAAAGGTGCAGCCAGTCTCCTGATGGGCAATTCCGCATGCAGCGAGCGGTGTCGATGGGAATCCACCGGATCGACATTCCAGTCGGTTTGGAAACCAGCACCGTCACTTGCTCAAAACAGACCGGGTCGGAGCGTTTCAATTGTGTTCGAAACAAAGCATTGGAGCTTTCGTGTTGTGTAGGCAGTTCCAACATGGAAAATGCTAGGAGATCCCCCAAGTCAACGCACCACCAACCTGGCTCTGAGAAGCAGATATGATCGCGGTTTTCAGCTCCCGGTTTCTTCTGATTTCCTTGGTTCTGCGATATCTCTTATCTTGGCTGAAGAATGGGCTCAATGCTACGCTATCGTGGTAGTTACTTCCATGCATGATGCAAGAGAACCTTGGTTTCTGCGATCTTTCCATCCTCTGTGGGGCTCCGGGAACGCGCAATCGTGCAGATCGCCGAGGAACCTTGGCACCCGAAAGGGAAGGGGTGGGGGTGGCGTCGAATGTTGGCTGGAGTGCTGGAATCCTACACGACGGAGTATCCGCAGAAACTGCGCCATCCATCGCTGATATGGATAGGTATTTCACATCAATGTTCCAACCAACCTGTCTGGCTGTCTCTCCCCAAATTCAGTGTTACGGAACCCCTACTTGTAGTTACTCACTTCAGACATTGGCCGCTCTTCAGGTCCCTCCACTATGATAAGAACCTTTTTATTACACGTGTATGCAAACCTGCCAATCAAAGAGAACATCCAGTCCTCCCGCCCGAGTCGTCTGAAAGGCTCTGATAAAGGTACTAACGTTAACAATATGAACACTACAAGTTAGACGTCTCAGTCTAAGCTGGAGTGGCCCCAGTTGGTCCGTGCCACCTCAACAAGCACAGACCATATAAGGTTGGACGCAGGCAGTGACAGTTGTGCATAAACATAGGTACAGTAACAGAACACAGCAGCAGGGCAACCAGTGTGACAAACTTCCATGAGAAACAGTTGAACAGCACTACCACGGACCAGATTAAGGACAGAGCTAAATCCGGGGCAATTGTCATTAGGAAACTAACAGAGAAAGTAAAGCCATTGGAATCAATCTCGAATGCTGCCTAGGCGACCGAGACTGTGGGTATTTTGGCCTTCTTTTTCTTCCCATTTTTTCCCTTTGTTTTGCTCCTTTTCTCTTCTTTTACTTTTTTTTTGCGGATACCTCATGAATGGTCGCGACCTGAAACCTGTCTCTGCCTCTTCCATCGAAGAGCGCAACCTAGGCCCTCAAACTGGGGGGCACCTCCATCACTTCGGCTCGTCTCTTCCGAAAGTCTGCTGAACAACTTGATTACCGGTGGGGAAACCATTCCTACTCCTCGGGACAGGTGCACACTCCTCCTTCTCTGCCGACTTCCGACCAAAGCTCTTGAGACTCTTGACCCTCCGGATGGTGACGCTAATACCGCCACCAGTACTCGGCTTCCGCTCTTCAGCTCCTGATGGTTGGCTCCTCCCACTCGACCGGATCAACGACTTGGTGTCTGATGCCGGGGAAGGTGGATGCAGTTTTGTAGGGGATTCCGTATTGTTGAGAACCACTCCCTGATCGCACGATTCCACGAGGATCTGGCTCATCCGCTCCTGCACCCCGTCGGCAGTCGGACGATCCGACGGGCGGAATGCCAGCATGCTCTCGACCAAGTGTAGTATTGGCACGACACCCCTGAATACGGGGTCGTCCTTCTTCTTGGAAGCATCTTTGGCAAGCTCCGTTGTCCAGCTCTTGACTTGGCTGAGGTTCTTTTGGAAGGACGTGTCCGGCGCGTCGGCGCCGGCACGGCCGGTGAGTTTGTGTTTCGTCAGGCGTTTCGCGGCAGAAGAGCGGCCGTGCTTCTTGTTAACGAGGTAACTTAGGAGGTCTAGCATGACGCACCCCAACGAGAAAATGTCGGCGGCCTGCGGGCTGAGGTACAGCGACTCGCTATGTGTTAGCGTTAAACCTGCCGACTCCTTTTCCTTACGCGCCGCTTCGTCGGTCGAGGTTGGTGAGGGCAAGACTGGTTTGTACCACTGCTCAGGTGCCGCATAATCGTACGCCTCCTTGCCGAGGGAGCTGTTGTCCGCCGCGCCTTCGACGCTTTCGGTATGGAAATGCGTGAAGTCGGAGAGGAAGATTCGGTTGTCGTTCGAGAACAACACGGCCGACGGCGTGATGTTTCCGTGCGCGAGCCCACGATCGTGGAGGAAGCATACCGTGCTGGTCAAGCAGTGAATCCATTCCATGACCGTCTCCCGGCGTGCGTGTTTGTCTAAACGCTTCAGACAACGAGGGATGCTGGCAAGGAGCGACTTGAGACTGAACTCGGTGGCTGGTGTGAAGAGCACGTATCCGTGTTGCTGATGAGTGTACGACGCCCAAAACGAAAGTAAATGCTCGTGGCCGACATGCTTGACGCTGTCGACCTTGTGGAGAAACTCGTCTCTGCTGAGGTGGCCGCGGCCTAGAGGTATTCGGGCGCGGCCAAATACGGTTCCCCGTTCGTTCGGGAGAGTGACCTTGTCCATGTGATAGCCCTCAGTTGTCGGTTGCTTTTTGCCGGCAACATCCAACGGGATCAGTTCGTCGTTCTCGTAGTCGATATGGCTCCATCTTTGCAGTGGTCGCGACAGGTAGTAAAACTGGCGGTGATAGAACTTCCGCTCGACTTTCTCATTCCTGACAGACGTCAAGGCAAGGCGCCGAACCTGCTCTAGAGGGATGGGGAGATCGTCATCTTCCCAAGATTGGTCGATGAGCCCGAAGATCTGATCAGGCAGTCCGAGGTCGGTGAGGATGAGGAAGATTTTCTTAGCTTTCTCCTCAATCCAATTCCAGTACGTGCCGTCGGTCAGGTTATCGCCAAAGCTGAGCGGTCTGTCGAGCTGCTTGATCTCCCGGGAAACGAGTCGGTTGCAGACAAACTCCCTCGTTACAACCCGGTCGATCGTGTCACTGTCTAACCACGTGGTGGGCGGCATTGTGGCAAGGACTCGAATATAGTAGTCGCAATGTCGGTCCCGTGGTTGGTTTGTGGAGGAGCACAGTGAATTGAAGTGGAAAAGTGGCAGGATTTCCTACTGCACCGGGACAGCCTGCGAAGCACGAACAAGCAGCTGTTGGTTCGAAAATGTTTGTTCTAGACAGCTACTCCTCCCGCCATGACTCGGCGTTGCTACCGGTGCACGCCTGGAAGCTTCGGAGTTGAGCAAAACACTGTCTAACAGCAATGGCTACCACGGCGGTAAATGTTCGCGGGGTCCATAAGCTCGCAGAATGTTCGGTGCAGACAGCATGGCGACTCTCATTGTGATGATATATCACATGTCCGTGGTGCTGCCGGAGCCACTCCCTCCACGAGGCAGGAGGGGCTCGGTCCCGAGTCCGCGCTGACTGCCATCTGGGTCTTTCTCAGAATACTAGTCTAGCTAGAGAGTCAGACCAGCCATGCAATAAGGAAGACCGTGTCTGTGTAGGAGCCTCCCAGTAACCGTCTTATTGCCGTCATGGAGCAGACAAAGCTCAAGGAGTCTGGGGAAGGCTTCCACCGAGTCCGAGTAAGGCAGACCCACGACCAAGGACCGTTCCGTTGACTCTCTCCATCTCGAGCTGAAGCTGGCCCCAAAGGGGTCGAGAAGGCCGAACCACGTGGCGGAATTATGCTTGACGCAAGCTTGCTGCTCCATAGAAAGGCGCGCTTGTGATGTAAAGTGTTGCCTCCGTTGCTTGTCCCCATGGTTGTTCCCGTTGCAATGAGGAAGGCGAGGAGAGACAGTCTCAGAAGTATCCTGGGCTAACAGTTTGGGAAGTTGTCACGGTTGTCTTGGCACTTTCGAGCGGACACAGCACAGTGTCGATTCATGCATGCAATCCAGTTCGTGGCGATCGCCTGGATTTGATTGGCCGTCTTGGCCGAGGTCTTGGCATAATGCACAGTGCATCACAGTAAAAGATCTAAGTCGACCGAACCCGGGCAGTCAGTTGCCCCTTGCGCGAGTCAGTGGCAGTTCTAATACATGCATCCCCGTTCCACTCTGGTCCTCTAGTCTCATTTTGCACTCTCCACGGTGCTATGTCCTTTACATCCAGTCGCCACCGTAGTCTGCAGACGTAGATACGCTATCTTCTACCTCCTTACTCAACAAGCGTCTCCAGCCATGAACCTAGCAGCTCGAAACTGTACATGTTGTACTCTCGTTGTTCGCCTTGTCAAACGTGGTCTCTCGAAGTCCTTCTCCAGACCACCGCGGGTATCCCAGTCAACATCAGATGCTTCCGAACGGCTCGTATGATGCAAATCAATCACAAATTCGGGTGCTCCGCCCTCCCGAACATGATGTTCGCGGGGTTGACGTCGTTGTGTGCCAGTCCAAAGGAGTGGAGATGGTTCATGGCCGAGCGGGGTCCGGAGAGAATGCGCTCGCTCGGCTCCTTGTCGAGCAATTCTCTAAAGACGTCGGGACCGACGGGTCTTCAGGAAGCCTAGATCGTGTGGGGATGGCAAAGTCTCAAGGACCAGGCCGGTGATGCGGCCGCGCTTGACTCGGGCGCCGCACTAGCGGACAATGTTGGGATGCGGATGCCGTATGAGGGAGCTCCATGGTCCGGGCTTCTTGAGCATCAACTTGGCCAGGGACTCTGTCCCTCAGAAGTCGAGGTGCGTAGACCACGCCGTTCGCTTGACGTAGAAGCTTGCCACATCATCTATTGCCACGGTGATATTCCCATTTTCTGGCAGAAGAGGGTGGATCTCTTCGTCTGGAAGCGGTCGAAGGCAATCTCGAATGTCGTCCACGGTGAGGTCGCGCATGGAGATGCCTGATTTTTCGCCGAAGAAGGCGTTTCCCTCGCCATAGTCCCTCAGGCCGCCGGTAGCTATAGACATGGTCTAAGTATGCGGCCACATCCCGCCTAAGTGCTCTTAGCCTGGCGCAGGGGTCAGTTGCGACCTCGTCACATGGCTCTCACTATGGACTGCGAATAAGATACATACATCCTTAGAAGCTACCTACCTTAAGTTTGCCCTGTTGGTACACATGCTAGTTCACGAGGACGTTTCCACGTTAAACGTCCGCTATTCCTCAGTCTTCGTACATGCTCCGTCTCAATACAGCTACATCTCTTATACAGTGTCAAGTCAAGTCCAGTTCAGTCCCGCGCCGGCGCCGGCGCCAACACCTCATACAATCCCCTCAGAATCCCTGTATCAGCACGCGGCCCTTCCCCTCTTTCTTCGCACCCTTCCTCCCCACGAATGTCTTCATGGCGGTATCCACGCCTGACAGCCTCCTAGCCACCGCCTGAAGCCCAAGCGGAAGCACATTCAACCAGTCAATCCACCTCGCATAAAGCGGCATTCCAATCGCCGCGTTCCTCCCAGCGTCGATCGCAGCGATCACCTCCTTCGCCACGTCGACCGGCTCAACTACGGGCGCGAGGAAGGAGTTGGGTGTCTGTACGCCATAGAAGAGCGGGGTGCTCAACTGGCCGGGCGTGACCAGCACGGTGCGGATCTGAGGGTGCGACTGCCGCAGCTCGGCGGCGAGCGACCGGTGCAGCGCCGAGATGCCTGCCTTCGCCGCGGCGTAGTCAGTCAGCTGGGCGGCGCCGACCGTACCGATCACCGAGGACACAGTCACGATGGTACCGCCGACCTCGCTGCGCGCCATAGCGGGCAGGAAGGTCTTGAGGGTGTAGAAGTGGCTGAGGAGGTTGGTGGATATGGACTTTTCGATCTCCGGGAATGTGAGCGAGAGGAGAGGCTTGCCGATGACGATCGCCGCGTTGTTGATCAGTACCGTCGGGGTGCCAAGCTGGAAAAGGTCCTCAGTTAGCATAGCGACGCTGGACGGCAAGAGGAGGGAACAAAGTACATCTCTCTCAATCTCAGCCGCCACCCGCGCGACCTGATCCTTATCTGTCACGTCGCACTTGTAGTATGTGACACCCCGTGCCTCGCCATTCTCCATCTCCTCCACGTCCAGCACGGCAACGGTGGCGCCGCGCATCCCGTATACCTCGGCGATCAGCAGGCCCAGCCCGCTGGCGCCGCCCGTGATGACGATCACCTCCTCGCTGAGGTCGACCTCGCGCGGAAGACCGAATGCCAGCCTGTCGTTGATCACCCCAAATATCCAACATAGTGTGATGAACGATGCCCAGCCGATAGAGACGAGCATTGGCGGCGCATCCCAGAACATGTTCTGGGCGCGGAAGCAGAGCGGAATGATCCATGCTACAAAGGGGTGAAAGAAGGTGGTCTTGAAGACCTTGACGATGAGGTCAATCGAGAGAGGGGCGAACCAGGAATCGCGTTGTGGTGGCGTGGGATATGGCGGCGGCATTGTGTCTGTCGTTGGTCCGATGTCACGAAGCTCGTCAGATACGCTAGGGACGCGAAATTCAGGTAGGCATATATGTACAAGCACAATACCTGCACTAGGTGAAGAATTAGAGTTGATAGAAGACAATTGCTCCAGCGGCGCTATGAAGAATACACTGCTGGAAGAACAGAGGGCAAGTTAAGGAAGGAAAACTGTTTATGCAAACGTTTACAGACGGCGATGTGAGACAACTCCTTGTTGCTTCGCTTGTGTAACGTTCACATGCAGCTCAAGTTGCCAGACAGCGGTTTCGAAACGCCCCCAGCCCAGGCGCTGACCCGCCCCTCAGCCGCCCCTTGCAGATTTCCAGCCCAGCCCAAGGGGGTGGATGCAAGTGGGGCACTGCACGGACTTCCGATTCCCGACATTGTTGGGCTTCCCGTCCGACTTGGCCGGATGATCCACCCAGTCTGGAGATGGACGTGCATACAACATCCGGCAACACTCCCGAAGGCAACGGCACCTACCCGGCACTCTGGCTACGGAAACGATGGACAGTCGATTATAGCACGAAGTCCACAACAATCACTGACACGCCGACCCCGCGACGATGAGCAGCGCAGAAGAGCCACTAATCTCGCGTCATCCATCTCCTTTGGGAGACGACCGTGAACACGACCACGACAGCAACGATGCAGCCGCCTACGAAGACAGTAGCACCACCCCGCACACTCCCTCCTCCCCCACGCTATTCCTTTATCTCCTCACCTTTTCAGCAGGCATCTCAGGCCTCCTCTTCGGCTGTAAGGCGGGCGCACCCTCATTTCCCCATTCTCCTCGCCATATCACAAGACCCCCCGGCCTAATCCTGCCCGCACAGATGATACGGGCGTGATATCCTCGACGCTCGTCTGCATCGGGACCTCGCTCTCCGCGCGCCCTCTGACCTCGCTGGACAAATCCGTCATCACATCCTCCACCTCGCTGCTCGCCCTCCTCATCTCCCCCTTCTCCTCCCTTCTCGCCGACCGCCTGGGCCGGAAGCGCATCATCCTCGCCACCGACATCATCTTCGCTCTGGGTGCCGTCGTCCAGGCGTGCAGCGATGCAGTCTGGGAGATGGTCCTGGGTCGGGCCGTCGTCGGCATGGCGGTTGGCGCGGCCAGCTTCGTGGTGCCGCTCTATATTGCCGAACTGGCGCCCTCGGGCTTGCGAGGAAGGCTGGTTACCATGAATGTGATTTTCATCACGCTGGGGCAGGTGGTGGCGTATGTGGTGGGTTGGGTATTAGGGGAGTATGGCGATGAGAGGACGGCGTGGAGGTGGATGGTCGGCCTGGGAGCCGTGCCGGCGGTAGTGCAAGCCGTGGTGATGGTGGCTATGCCTGAGACGCCGAGGTGGTTGGTTAAGGTAGGCAGAGTAGGGCAGGCTAGGAGAGTTGTTGAGAGGGTGTTGGGCGGACGTGGGGCCAGCAAGGAGGTGGATGCTACTGTGAAAGGCATTGAAATCGAAGTGAGGGAGGAAGGCGAGGCGAGAAGGTTGCGCAGGCCGAGAAGGGAGGATGATGAGGGTAGGTGGATGGCCTCGGTTGACGAGCTCTTCCGGACGAGGAGGAATCGGCGGGCCTTGATCATTGCCTGTTTGCTTCAGGGGTTGCAACAGTTGTGCGGATTCGTGGGTGTCCCAAGTTTCAATCCTCTCCTAAACCAGCATACTGACCAGCCCGGTTGCATACAGAACTCGCTCATGTATTTCTCGGCTACGATATTCACGATGCTCGGCTTTCCCATCCCAACCCTTACCTCGCTAGTCGTCGCCGTCACCAACTTTGCCTTCACCCTCATCGCTCTGTTCTTGATCGACCGTATCGGAAGGCGGCGCATCCTGCTATGGACAATCCCATTCATGGTCGGGGGCCTTCTTGCAGCAGCATACGGGTTCTCTTTCATCCAGTTCGCCTCGACCGATTCGACCCAAGACGGCAGCTCTCCCGGCCAAAGCGCAGCTCTCATCATCCTGGTCAGCATCATGGTGTACGTCGCAGGCTACGCTATGGGACTCGGAAACGTGCCGTGGATGCAGAGTGAGCTGTTCGGGCTCAGTGTGCGATCCCTGGGTAGCGGCATTGCCACGGCAACCAACTGGGCTGCAAACTTCGCGGTTGGGTTGACTTTTCTGCTCCTGATGGATGCGCTCACGCCGTCGTGGACTTTTGTACTTTACGCGCTGATATGCGCAACTGGGTACGGGCTGATCTGGAGGTTATATCCTGAGACGGCTGGGCTGAGTCTAGAAGAGGCCGCAGGCCTCCTGGAAGACGATAACTGGGGCGTTCACTACTAGTAGTGCAAGGTACCTACGTATTGTATTGGACATAGCCTGTTGTAATACTGTGAAGATACTACCAGCCTGACATTGCATCTGCACTAGCGGGATCGCCGTCATACTGTGCCACGGTTAAGGTTTTATATATGTAAACTTCCGTCCGCGCTAGTAGGTCACGGGAGTCCCGTATGGGCCGCGGCAAGCAACAGGCCAGCCCAAGGCTGAGATGGTCGAGGAAGAATCTGGAAGGTTATCCTCGGTCAGCAGCGGAAATTCACGGCTGCCCAAGTTTCTCTGATCTTTTCGTTGTTTCCGCATTCAGCCTTATTGGGCAGCGATACGGGTTAGTTGTTGTACGAAGCCGAGGAACCTTCGAAGACTCGGAAAAAAATTTGGAAGAAAAATTTCCCATTGCTCCCATCGACCCACCGGGGAATCTCCCGATAAACGCTAAGATCCGGTCGGCGCCACAGGACATGCATTCCGGCCGTGGTTGGGTGACGGAAGTTGATTGGTCAATTTCTCAGTCCCATGCCATCGTGGCTGTGTACCGGGGTACCCAATGCGGCACCTTGATTCGCATTGAAAAGAATGGGACGACATCCGTCTTAAGTCCGTCCCGCCGACACGGTCTTTGACGTAGTGTCTACCGACTGGACAGAACAACCCGGCTTGTGCATGATCCTCCCACGCCTCGGTCTAGTGTCGGTACTGCACTAAGGACACCACACTACGTCACGGTGATGAGAAATACTCACTGAACTGCACGGGCAACAGTAATAGCTATGCAGACTAATCACTACCTTAGTAAACGCCTAGCAGCGACCGCCTCCTGATACGCTCAAAGCTGTGTTCCCCACTGAGGTTGCATGCGATGGAGTCGCCGGCAGAAATTTGCGGATATCGCCTAAAGCCTGGATCCTACGTTATGTCCAGACAGAGGAAAACCAGAAACATGCCGCGACCCGTTGTCACCGACAAAGGAGATAAGCGCGTCCGGACCCCGTCTGACAAGTTGGTTGGCAACTTGTCATCAGGCAGAGAGAGCTCGAGAGGATTATGCTGCTGGGTCCGGCAGCAAATTGGTCAGCATTCCGAGGTGGGCCTTGAAAGCGCGAGTGCCGAGGCCACACCATGAAACCACTTTGCAAAGGGGAGGAGGCTCGGGAGGGTCCAGCAAAGAGCAAGGTGGACTGCGTATCCGTACACTGGTAGATGGATCTCCTTACATATTTAGGAGGGGCGGTACCCCAGGGGGCCACGGGGGCAAATTTCATCATCGCCATTGACGATTCCTGCCGCTTCTGGGACGAACCGCAGGACTGACTGACCAGTAGTCGTTCGCTTCTACTTCTACTTAGCACAGTACATATTCCGTACCCTGGCGTGCCTGGGACGACTATAGCGTTCCATCTCACTGACCACTCCCTACCGGACTCTGTGTGTCTCCCCTGACCACACCGCCACTTATATCTCAAGAACAACAGCAGCAGCAAGGCCCATCCACGAGTCAACCAGACAACAACAAACACGACCAGCCCAATGGTCGAAGATAGCGTCGACCGGGCCATCGAGGCGGCCGAGCGCGATGCGTCGCGCCAGCGCCGGAGCGAGGAGATCGAGCGGGTGCCCACACACTCGTCGACGTCGTCATCGTCTTCTGAGAGATCGCACCGCGGAATCAGCATGAACCGTGTCGAGACACAGCGGGACCTGGAGCGCCACCAGACCGAGCTGAGCCGCATTCACACGCAGCGCAGCCAGCACAGTGGCACCGTTGGGAGGGAGAGGTCCAAGAGCAAGGAGTGGAAGAAGCCGCTGCCGGCATTCGGCGCCGGCAAGCCGTACCCGCCACTGCTCCCCAACCAGGAGGACTATGTCGTCGAGTTCGACGGGCCGGACGATCCGCTGCATGCCCAAAACTGGCCGCTGAGGAAGAAGTAAATCTGTTTTGTTATTTGTTTGTTGTTATATGTCTTGATATGCGCTGTTGATGAGGGCGAGCAAGCAAAGGGCTGACACGGAACGCAACGTCACGCAGAATCCCCACCGCCGTCATGCTCGGCTTCACCACCATGACGGCTGCTTTCGGCTCCAGCATCTTCTCGTCCGCCACGGCAGCGGTCGGCGTCGAGTTCGGCGTCTCGTCCGAAGTCTCCCTGCTTGGCGTCTCCCTCTATGTGCTCGGCTTCGCCACCGGGCCGACGCTGTGGGCGCCGCTGTCCGAGCTCAAGGGCCGGCGCCTGCCGCTGGTCGTGGCCATGTTTGGCTTCTCCATCTTCAACATCAGCAACGCCGTGGCCAAGGATCTGCAGACGGTGCTCATCACGCGCTTCTTCGCCGGCTTCTTCGGCGCGTGCCCGCTGGCCGTCGTCGCCGCCGTCTTCTCGGACATGTTCGACAACCGCACGCGCGGCATCGCCATCACCGTCTTCTCCATGACCGTCTTCACCGGCCCGCTGCTGGCGCCCTTCATCGGCGGCTTCATCACGACGTCGCACCTCGGCTGGCGCTGGACCTCGTACATCGTCTCCTTTATGGGCTTCCTGGCCTTCGCGCTGGACTTCCTCTTCCTGGAGGAGACGTACCCGCCCACGATCCTGGTCGCCAAGGCGTCGGAGCTGCGGCGGCGCACGCTCAACTGGGGCATCCATGCCAAGCAGGAGGAGATCGAGGTCGACGTGCGCGAGCTCATCAGCAAGAACTTTTCGCGGCCCATGCGCCTGCTCTTCTTCGAGCCCATCGTCACGCTGCTGTCCGTCTACATGGCCTTCATCTACGGCCTGCTGTACCTCTTCCTGACCGCCTACCCGTTCGTCTTCCAGGGCGTGCACGGCATGTCGCCTGGCGTGGCGGGGCTGACCTTCTTCGGCATGGTGCTGGGCCAGATCATCGCCGGCATCACCGTGCTCCTGCAGCAGCCGTGGTACCAGCGCAAGCTGGCGGCTAACAACGGCGTGCCCGTCCCGGAGTGGCGCCTGCCTAGCGTCATTGCCGGCGGCGTGGCCTTCGCCGCGGGGCTCTTCTGGTTCGGCTGGTCCGGCTACCGCGCCGACATCCACTGGATCGTGCCGACCTTGTCGGGCCTGCTCAGCGGCTTCGGCCTGGCCTCCATCTTCCTGCAGGCGCTCAACTACCTGGTTGACGCCTACCTCATGTTTGCCGCCTCCGCCATCGCCGGCAACACCTTCCTGCGCTCGCTCGCCGGCGCCGGCTTCCCGCTCTTCTCCAGCTACATGTTCAAGGGCATGGGCATCCAGTGGGCCTCGACCCTGCTGGGCTGCGTGGCCGCCGCCCTGGTGCCCATCCCCATCGTCTTCTACGTGTACGGCCACAAGATCCGCGCCCGCAGCTCCTATGCGCCGACGTTCCCGCCCCGGGGCATGCCGGCGCCCGGGAGCGAGACCGCCGAGGAGGATGGGGACGCATCGAATGAGAAGGAGGTCATGGAGAATGCCGCGAGCGCGAGCGTGCCCCGGTTAGATCGGGATGCGAGGAGCGCCGTTTGATCGAGTAATGCACTTCTGCCGTGCTGAGTGAGGAAGCGGCCGGTGACGTGGTGGGTTTTGGCTCTCGAAAAGAAGAAAGAAGAAAAGGCAAAAAATTTTGCATCCACAAGCACATACTACTTACCAGCTAGGTAAGGTACATGGGGTTTGTGTGAGCACCGGCGTTTCGGGTTCGGAAAAAGTTAACAAGTACTGCATACTGCATAGAAGGGCGGGCTTATTTCAATACCCAGCGTACAAGTGAATGGTGTCATGTGTTACTCGGCATGATGTCTATATAGCATAGCTTACCTATCCATAATTTACATGTTCTTAGACTGTGCTGGTATCCTGTCGTTAGAGGTGAAACGGTTGGATTTCAAGTTCTGCGCGAAAGTTCGCCCGTCGCCATACACAATTGCATGACATACAGGGCGGGACTAGTACTCGATGGAGCTGTAAACGAACTGAGGCCTCAAAACCAAGACGACACAGGTAAACGATGGAAAGGTCTCTCTTCATAAGAACACACAGTCTGGGGTCGTTGATTTGCACACAAGCGCTTATCCTAAAGAGTCCATATTAGATACAAGGTTAGCATATAGAAAGTCTTTCATTCGCGACTCGGCAGAAACCTGCTCTTAGGGACGCCGGTAGACCCCAGCAAATCTCCAACTTCTATCCATACCTAATATACCAACGACGGCCGCAAGTAATTGAATTGATGACGACCGCAGAGTGCTCCCCAACGCCTAGCTACCTGAAATCCAATAACCGGAAAACGGTGAGCGATCGTTCCTCCACGCCCTCGAACGTCTCGTCCAGAGCCTGAAGCTACCTCCATGAGCTATCATATCACCCCAGATGCGTCTAACTAACCCCGTCCTTGGTGGGAACGGCGAAATGCAGCCATATTCTGAACGTTGCAAAATGTGTCTCCCGGCCCGGGTTCCCTGACCACGCTCATGGAGGTCCCCGTCTCAAAGTGCTGAAGCTCCGGCTCCGTGATGGGACGACCCAAGGTTTGATCGTTTGATAGCCGACTCTGTTCTCCCCGAGAACGGGCAAAGCACCGCACAGCCATCCCATAACGCCTTCTGCAAGGGCCACTCAAACGCCTCCCTAAACGAACACCCCCCGCCCCCCCCCCCCCCCCCCCCGCCCCCCCCCCCCCCAAGGTCGAGGATATCAATATCCCCGCAGTGGAACAGCTGGGTCTCGAGTCTGGTGGTCATGCCGAGAACAAGATCGTACAATACTAGCCTGTGACTAGCGACTGCCTCGGATGCGGCACTTGGCCTTGGCTTCAGGACTGCAGTGATACGCATTATCAGCCAGGGAGAAGGCGTCGCAGCTACTCTCCAGATTGGTCGCAGGGAAGGACATGCCGTCAACTAAATTGACTCTTGTACGCCAACGTGGACCCGCGGTGAGTCGTGGCAGTTTGTCAGATATGGCGCCCTCTATGTGGGTGGAATGCCGTGCTGGTAAGGCGAAATCCCGCCGCGACGTCTCACTCAATATGGACTGCGTCGGCGGTCAGAGAGGCTCGTCAAATTGTTAGTCAGTCCTCGGAGAGAAGGTCTGCTGCGCCAGGTCGCAGGCGGATAGTCATCCGGTGAGCGTCCAAATTCCGAACATGACTAGTAACGGCGCGAATGATGTGCTGGGAGCGCAGAAGGCTGCAACGGGCGAGGAACAACGGGCGCGGAGTGCAGTTTTTCTAGTAGGGCATCGCTACCGGAGAGTGATGACGGCCAGCTGCACATGTTAGCAGTGAGCTGGTTAGCGGAGACCGTGACTACGTACCTTATTTTCAGAACCGTAAACCAGCCGTCGGCCCTCGGCATCCCATCCTAAGCATGGCATTGCATCTTCCGTGTCGGTACCAGAGTTAGGGCTCTGCCAACCTGGCTGCAGCGCCCAGCTCGCTTCGGGCATCGTATTTTCGCCGACCTTCCAAACTAGAATCCTATCCTGTGTTGCCACAGCTACGTGTGACCCATCCGGAGTCATGGAGAGATTGTTAACCGCGAGCGAGGGTGGCATGGGAATCGAGTATTTTGGCTTGTTCTCAGCACTGCGCACATTCCAGACCAGAATGGCGCCATCTTCGCCACCTGATACCAGCAACCGCTCATCCTCGGCAGGATCAGCCTGCAACGGTTGCCACCGGAGGCTGGTGATGCCGCCGTCATGGGCGGGGATGGATCGGCGGTTGCCAGACGCATCCCAGATCTTGAGTCACGAGCAGGATATGTCAGCGCTGATAAACCCTCCGATGTAAGGTCGGTAGTGCAACTCACATCAATGTAGCCCTTATCGTTGGCAGTCGCAAGTAGATTCGACCGCCAATCGAACTCTACCAGAGTGAAGCGCTCGTCCTTGCCTGTCTGGAATTCCTTGCCTTGCACGATTCCCTGATCCGTGCATCGGAAAGAAGCCAGCAGGTCACCACCGCACAGAATAAATTCGGTCTCGCTGATCCACGTTGCGTCGAGGCTGTCGGAGTGGAGGTCATGGTCGAGGACATGCGACATCGAGTTCACCATCTTCGGCGACGAGATATGAATCAAAGTACCGGTATTCGCCACGCCATTGCTCACATCTGGGCTAACGGCCAGCAAAAAACTGTTGCTAGGGCTCCAACAGAGGTTGGTGATGGGTGAGTCGAGGCCATCAAAGCGGTGTACGCTCGTTCCGTCGACAGACCAAATGCTCACGCGCGACTTGGGGCCAAGCTCGGTGCCAAGAGCAATGAGATCGCCACTTGAGCTCCATGCCATGGCTGAAATCACCGCGGTCTTGGGCAGATCCTCGTCAACGACGCTCATGAACGAGCGGCTATTCGCATCCACGTGACTGGCCTCTGCGTCTGGGGCGGTTTCACAAGGTAGCGTCCAAATACGGGCTAGCGCATCTGTCCCGGCGGTCGCCAAGATGGATGGATCCCGGGGGTTCCACTCGCAGAGCAACACGACAGGGTTTTCGCTGGGCTCTGGCGAATCCTCAGCGCCCAGGCGCAGAAACACTGTGCCCTGCGTGAGATCGCGCACCTTTTCGACCTGCGTGCCCCGCGACGGGCCCTCGGTGCGTATGAGCGGGGTGTCGATTTGCTCGCCTTCGAGCGGTGACGGATAAGCGTGGTTGCTCTCCGGTGGGTGGTCGATTTCCATTGGTGTAGCGGCTGTATCGACCCCATTTTCGAAGCCATTGCTGAGCCGCTGTCTTTTTGTGGGGGATCCATGCGATAATTCGCGATGATGCTGCCGCTCGACCGCCCGCTTCCGCGGGTTCTCTACCTCCTCGGGATCCGGCTCTGGACCAGACTCCTCGTCTTCCTCATCGTCATCCGCCCCTGGCATCTCGGGCTCGAATTTAAGCGGCCCAAACACCCCCCGCGGTGTCGCCTCGACCGTTGCCGGCACATCACGGGGCGTCTGCAAGAAAATGTTAGTACCCCGGCACTAGGGTCCACCCTGGGCCCGAAGCCACAACAGCAGCACGCCCGCCCGCCAATTCCATGCCGAGTGCAACCAACCCCAACAGGAATGGAGGGCAAGTCCAATTGTGAAGGGGAAGGGGGCCGCTCTCGGGCAGGAGAAAAATAGCCGAAGGCTTCGTACCTTTTGCGCCGCGGCGGCGAACTGCCTCTGATAGTCTTCGTAGATGAGGCCTTTATTCAAAAGCGAGACCAACGCATAAGTGTTGACATGGGGGGCGAAGTCAAACTGCCTGTGAGGTTGGTGGACCCTCCACTCCTTTTGCAGCTTGGCGGCCGTCTCTCGATAATCTGCGTGCACTGGTCAGTCTCATCTCACCCGGCTGAGCTCCAGAGCAGATCGGACGCAGGGGGCGGCGTTCGGAAGGAAACACGCGCCCATCGCAGCAATGCACGCACTTGATTCGAGGAGATACCTAGAAGTCGAGTGAGAGAAGCGGAGTTAGCGATCAGGCCGCCTTAGTCGGCGCCTTAGCAGAGTCGGCGAAAACAACGAACCTCCAGACGAGAAAGTTGACCCGGTCCGTGTCAAGCAGCTCCTTCATTTTCCGTGGGCCGACACCGGCAACGGGCGTCATGAAAATGGAATAATGTCTATGATGCTGAAGAGGACGATGAGCTGGCGCGTAGTCCGGCGCTTGATCAACGAGCACGCCGTGCTCGAGGTGTTTTGGGCGGGAGTTCAGTGTTGGATGAAAAGGAACCTCGAAAGCGCCAGGTCGAGAATTGGGAACGGCTTGCTGAGCCGTGGGGTCCACACCCACCAGCCAAGTGGTCCCGTCCCTGGGGCCGCTTGTTTAGGCGAGCAGCTTTAGGTGACAGCCAGCCCAGTCCGAACGGAGCGCTAAACCCTTCCGAGGAGTGTCATGACAGAGCTCAAAGTCTCAAACTGCGTCTCGTTGTGGTCATGTGTGAAATACGTCGCCGACATGGATAATATAACAGCTAGCGATCATATCGAAGGCATGCTGGCCCTGTGTACGCTGTTCCTTGTGTTCTTAAAGTGTTGTCTCACCTCGTCCTAGAGACACCCTGGGCTGCCGAGGGGTTCCAGATCGGGAGGTCTCTGCAGGAGATGCAGGTCATGGAAACACTAGACCGGCTCTGCATGCCATTTTGAAGCAGCCGGAGAGATTATGGTACAAAACGTAACGTATGGTAAGAAACGGCCTGAATGATACACCTAAAGGCTGGTCTCTCCAGGAACTTGAAATCAGCCTAGACCGGCACAGATATCTATCGCCTCAATACGTAGCCCACACAATAGAGAATGGGGGAAAAGCCATGGATGAGATCTTAAAGGCGCTTGAAATGTTGACGGGGGTGTCGGCAATGCCTTCGCCCATCATTCGGCCAAGGCCTTCAGCCGTGCCTGTAATTTACATGCTTGAAACAAACTCGGCATCAAACGCCGGCTCTACGAAGTCAAGCTCAAGATCCACGGTCACGATTTCTGGACAGAAAATGATGGAATAGTTCAGTACGAAGGAACGAGCATAGGGTATCTGTTTCCAGATCAATTGGAAAAGAAAGCTCTAGTATATAAGTACCTAACTACGGTTCGAAATGCAATCCATCGACGCCCTCCCGAAAAACACTGGCCCTCAAGAGGCAACCTGGAAGAGATCGACTGTGGCATTACGTGGTCCGAAACTCTGCCCAATCACAAATCACAAACAGCGGGAAGGTTGGTGGTGTCCGGGGGTCACACCCATCCAGCGCCAGGGTCGGCTGGTGGTCATGTTTCAAGGGTGGCAGACCCAGCCGAGAGCCAGCCAGCGGCTACGGGAACGACGGGAGACAGCCGGAATGCGGCAAGTTGCACAGGAACGCTGATAGTATGCACATACCGTACTCCGTAGGTGTAGCGAAGCAGCGGCCGACGGATTCACAGTACTAATAATGGTACACTACTCCCGTCCGTACAGACCCGTCCTATAGTGTTGCGATAATCCAAACATACGACCAGCTCGGGATGCCGTTGCCCAAGTTGAATCCGGTCACCTAGCGTGGATCGGGCAGGCCAGGCGTCGAGACCTCACCTGTACCACCTAGTGTAAGGTGTACTAAACTACTAGTATGTAACATCAGTTGGTGTGGCAGCCGGTCTTCCTCTCGAGGGTTTCCGGCTGCAAACATCCAGTCCAAAATGAGGACGCAGCTGCGCGTCTCAAAGGGAGTTCGAATACTTACATGAACTCTAAGGTGTCGTATATCAGAAACTTCGGCTACCTCCAGTACCTTACTTGAGTTGAGTTCGGACGAAGGACCGGAAGTGCTTTGTTTGTTCGAACGTTATTACCTACAGTCAGGTACCTAAGGTAGGTAGGTAGGTAAGTTATCGGTGCATGTATTGTACAGTAGTACCTTAGTCATCGGACGCAGGGATGGAAATGGCCCCTACCGTTCGGGAAGCCTGAAATGCCAGGTCCCCATACGATCCGCCCCGGAAAATCCTCGGCTGCGCCCGCCCATGGCCGGAACCCATCCAAAGTTCGGGCTAGACACAGCTCCCGTCGCGACAGGAGAGATCCGTCCCAGATCTTCAGACCAGCTCGACCTGACGACTGAGACCAGCCCGCCATGCCACCCCGAATAAACATCCCGCCAGTAACGCGGATTGGCCTCATTGTGTTAGGGCTGCAGTCGGTACTGAGCGCAGCAATCCGCTATCGACAGTGGACCGCCGACTCGGAAATCGTGCTGCCATACCTGACCCTTGTCCCGCAACTTTCACTCGTCTACCCGTGGACGTTCCTGACAACAACACTCGTCGAGAGCAACGTCTTCACTTTATCCATCGCCTGCATCACACTCTACCATGGTGGTCGCTATCTGGAGCGCGCCTGGTCCTCTCGCGAGTTCGCCAAATTCCTGCTCATCACAGCCCTCATCCCTAATGTTCTCTGCTTTGGTACTTTGATTCTCTTCTTTGCCGTGACACGGCATGAGCGATGGACGTACGTATTCAAGCTCTCAAGACCGGGCTCAAGGATGGTTTGGGGGCGTATTGCGGACTAACTTTCATTCCTGACCAGGCTCACGACTATCGCCGGCACCATCCCCTTCCAGATTTCCTTCCTCGTCGCATTCAGCCAGCTGGTCCCAGCACACACCGTGACGCTCTTCAGGGGCCTCCTCTCGCTGCGCGTTCCCCGCTTCCCGCTTCTCTACATCGGGCTCGTCACGCTTCTCTGCCTTACCCCCATGCTCACAATCGCCTCATTCCTCCTCGCCGTTTACGGCTTCCTGGTGAGCTGGACCTACCTACGCTTCTACAAGGTCGCATTTCCCGACCTCGACACCTCCCAGTCGAGTTCCCTCCGCGGCGACGCCAGTGAGACTTTCGCCATCGCCGAGTTCTTCCCGAGCCCCGTGCGGCCCCTCGTTTCCACCATCTCAGACCAAGTTTTCAACATGCTTGTAGCTATGCGCCTGTGTGTTCCCTTCAGCGCCGCTGACATCTCCGCTGCCCGCGGCGACCATCACCATACCTTCTCACACCGCGGTGTGCCGGGAAGTGCCCGCGCCGAGGCCGAGAGGAGGAGGGCACTTGCGCTGAGAGCGCTCGATCAGCGTCTCCATGCTGCCACCGCAAATGCGGCGGCTCGCGCACAGAGCGCTCCAGTGCCGCCGGCAGTCGTGCCGCCCATCCCTTCGGCTACGGGACCGACCGTGCAGAGCCAGCCGCAAGCGACACCGCCCAACGCCATGAGGGCGCAAGCTGCGGGTGGGAACGGGTTGCTGGGCGAGACGAATTATGACCCTGATGCCGATTCGGATAAGAACGGCCCCTGAAGGGGTTCAGTGCCGGAGGTCTTGCATCTCTCAATGGGCACGACACAACCCTCCCTGCTTCCCCATATTCGGCTATCCTGGGGAAGGGTGGATTTGGAACCAATGAGGTTTGCGCCATTCTACGAACGCGGCCGTAATCAGCAGGCCAATACTTATGGAAACGCTATTACGGAGTCGGAGTTGTACAAGGCCGGGGGTTCTTGAAAGCTCGGAGTTTGCTCTTTGGAAGCAGTCGCAGAACCGATACTAGCCCACCGAAGGGGGCATTACTATTGCCATGAACTGCTGTCGAGTTCGGTGCTGGGTTCAGGACCCATTAGAGGTCTGGGAAGCGTACCTTGGTTGGCTTGATCGTCCGGGTACTAAACGTGCTATTCTGTAATGGTCGGGCGGCTTGTAATTGCATGGAATACGTTCAGCCATTTTTGTACCGTGTTTGCCAGACCGCGGATCTGATATGACTTAAGGTATATGCGTATATGAGCTGATGGTACTATCAGTTTGTCTCCGATGAAGTCGACAAACCGTGATTTTACTTCGATCCACGACCGCACGCCTTAGGACGCTTCATTTTCCTCCCTTGACCAGACCAAACCAAGAGAAGAAGATGCCATACATCGTCACTCAAACTGAAGACGCAGCTGCTAAGCTACGCCTAGCTCAGAGACCCTATTGCGTGTCCTCTCTATAGACTAGGCGACGACTGTGGACAGAGGCAGAGATGAGGCGACCACATGAGGTATGTGTGCATAGAATGCTCTGTCAGCCTCATGGTTTATTGCCTCACAGCCTGTGTGTGGTTGTTCCTTCGTTGCTTTCGGGATACTAGTAGTCGCCTGCGAGAGATATGCCTCAACCTTTCCTATTCAGGGACGGAAAGAGAGAGCATCGCGCTTGATCACAGCAATGCCGGTCCATTTCTGTCAGCATTCGGTCGTTGGGAAAGGTCAGAAGGTGAGCTAAACAACAAGCCTCATTGCTTAGTACCTGTCCTACTATCGGGAATCGGGCGCCATTTACAGTGGGGTTAAGCAACGTTAAACAGGACGGGAAGTGTCTACAGCTACAGTAGGCGTAACGTTAATTTCAGGTGAGCCTCGGTCTGCGTACATATAAGCGATTCGATCGGCACAGCACAGCGCCGGTTTGCATCACACGGCTGTGGTGCTCCATCACCGAGAACGTGGTAAATAACCTAGAGTAGGGTGCATTTTCGGGGAAAGCCCTAGCTAGGATCGACCACCTCGGTAGGTGGTTACCTAATCACTCCAATCGCACCCAGGGTTGCCGGACCGAGACTCCTCCGAGGCATGTGGGCACTTTTCCAGGTGATTTGTTCCCCCCTTGTCATTTCAAGCCTTTTTCGAGTCCTCGACGCTGCTTGGCACTCCGCATGCTAGGTATCGAGCTCTGTTTGGAAATCCATGAGGTGACAGTAAGCGTTCACCGAGAGTTTTCCCTCAAAATGCGATTACCCTACACTACTGGACTGCTATGGTAGAAATTGTTATGATCTCTGACGAAAATGCGGATCCTCAAGTAATGATCCTGTCTCGTCGAACCTCGTCTTGTTTGACATGAGTTGGTCGCTCGGATCGCCCCTGTCGAAAGGGGCTTGCTGCCAAGCACCGGCTGAAGAAACGAGTCATGATCTTCGTGCGCGGGCACTTGGTTTTGTGATGATCCGAAAGAAGAACGGAGAAATGGCGCACGCGCCCAAGGGGCTATAGCCACTAATACCTTAGTTAACGTTACCTTACGCCGATGTTCGCGTTCGCTTGTGGTCGATTCCAACATCAGGCCGTGTCCATTATAGCAGTTCCCACCTGAGCAGAACAACGGTCAGCTCACCTGCACACTGAGTGACGAGGTGAAATCGACCCGCAAGCGCAGCGGATGAGCCCACTGCTCCATGATTGCGTAGGAATCTCCACACCAACACCGAACAACCCGATGAGGCAGAACGCCAAAGCATGACAGCGCATTTGGAGGAGGCCTACCCAACCCTTTAAATGGTCGATTCTCTCCCAGGGCTATCTGCATGTAATAAGCGACCCAAACTCCATATTCACTGGGTTGTGAATACCAGGTACGTACCGTACGTAAGGTAGTTGACCAGACTGAGCTTTTAACTACAGGGACCAATTGAGATGTTCGGGCAACCCCCGTCTGGGCTCTCACAGCTACCAGGCACGTGCCAGGTACCTACCTATTTATCAACCGCCACACTCCTATTCGGTTGCACTGTTTGTTGTCTTTTGTGCCTCCTCTTCGGCTGGCTAAGCGATATCGAAGTTGCATCCTGTCTTTCAAAGCCAATCTACTGTGAGCTTGAATCAAGATTGCCTATCGAGTTCATGTGACTTCAAAGGCAGACAGAATGACAAAAACTGTCAAACTTACGAGATATGGAGGTGCCATAATCCACACCCCGAGTTCTCATATCTTCTTTTTGGCTTCGCAATACTCTCGACCTTTCCCGTCTCAAACCTTTCCCCGTCCTATCCTCTGCTGGCAGTTGCTCGTGCTAGCGGAGCTCTAGCCATCAGTGGCAGGACGCAGGTTATCCTCAGTTGGTAAAAGGACTCGGACCTAGAGTGAGTGGTGTGTAGGCCACCAAACGAAGCTTCGACAGTAGTTACCTAGATCGAACCTATGCTACCAAGCAGCAAAGGCCAATGGATCAACCTGCCGATTTAGATTGAGATGTCTTGGCAACGGCACCTCATACCTAGGTACCTATTTGTTTTGACTCTTATCTCTGAGATCCAGTCTTGTCCAGTGACACCGGGACCAGGCTCGAACGACATAGCCCAGGCGCAACCTCTCTCGAGATATTCGGTACCTTGTGCACAAAGAGTCAGTTCAAACGCCTAGCCCCCACCGACAAACAAGCATTCTGATCGATTCGGAGGTCGAGAGATCGGATGGAACTAGCTGCACCGGCTGGTGGGTTGGTATTCTGGAATTACCTACCTCTACTACCGTATACTATGACATCTAAGGGTACCTACTAGTAGTGCTGCGGTGGCGAACAACCTGAATTGAGCGGCCTAGGTGCCGTATAGACGACTCAGCTTCCACTATGGAAATTTGTGTTGATGAGCCCTGCAGCCTTCCAACATGCATCATCCAACCAAAGAACATGGCCGCTGGAATACATCCATTTGATACCTGTGAAGTGCAATCTGAAGCGCTGTCAAGGTCCTTCTACCGGGTAGGTAGGTGCATAGATGAAACTTTCTTGAAGATGCTAGTTCTGATTGAAGTCTGCGAAAGACGCTGCGAAAGAGGCGACAAAATGCGTTCTTTCTGGCCACGATGGACCATTCCACTATTATGCAGTGTGGTAAATTGTATGATCCAAAAGTACTCTGTATTGATTGAGCTTGCTGTCAGCGTTGGATGAGTGTTCGTCGGGGAAAGGGCTGTCTCACTTACGTGTACTAGCGTAATTATTTTCCGACCCCCGCGGCGTGACATTTGGAAGTGGGTCCATTTTCGCTGTGCTTCGGGGCGATAGCGTTCCACTGGAAGTTGTTGGTGAACGGCTGGCTGTGGGGAAAACGGGGAAAGTTGCTGTGGAACCCTGTCGGTCTTGGCAGGTCGCATCCATGGATGCGATGGGGAACAGATGTGGAACCAGTGGCCGCCACAAGTCACAATCGCCCAAAACACGCTAGACCAAAAAGGTGTAGCCGCTTGCTCCGGAAACGCCCTCCCTGCAGAGAGGCTGGCTGCGGGGTCCGCCGGGTACTGTCCAGTACCTGGTACGAAGCCTCCCCTGACGTGTTAGCGCCAGCCTGCAGCACAGTGGGTCGCACATCAGATGATGGCGCAGCTTTTGTGCGTATTCACGCCCCTTGAAGCTTAACGCATTGTTAGATTACACGCCAAGCGGTGGCGGCATGCAAGGGCTGAGTACCAAGGACATCTCTGCAACTCCATGCATCTTCTTGGCTGGTCTGCGAGACATGTACGGGAAGGCAATTACCAGATCCTTGTCAAACTTGTGGGTAAGGTGTTCTACGTGCCTCATCCGGCTGGGTTCAAATCAACCACCCAGCCCGACTCCTCCCAATCCCGAGATTTCTTCCCTGGCGCTCGCTGCCTCCTTTTCTACATCGGCCTCCCGCTACGTCGCGGCCGACACACAACACTGAGATCAACAAAACCTATCGGGCTCTGTTTTTTTTTTTTTTCTCTCTCTCTGTACTTGATCCGATTTGACAAGTACCGCTTTTCTTCCGCCGTTTGTTGCGCTTGGTGTTGAATGAGTGCATTGGTGACAACGTGCCGCAGTTGGTTGTGGGTGCACCACGAGCAGTTAAACGCCCAACTCCGGGCGAGAATTTACTACATTTCGGACTTGAATCCCACGCGCGACGTCAAAATCGCGCTGCACAGCGATTAGTTGACACCTGAATCGGTGTTCTGCGATCGCAATGGCTGGGATCATGGCAAACCACCATCCCTCTCCTCCGATGCAAATGCAGATTCATCATGGCCCCCCAGGACCGGCTCGTGCTCCACCGCCGCAGTCCTTCTCCTCATCGCGCCAGACACTGCTGCAACTGAATGAGGCTGTCTGGATCCAACTAGGTAATGCGCGCCCACGACCGCAGTCGCTCTGCGTGTGCCATCTAGCGCAGGAGCCCATGCTAACGTCCAGGAAAGGCAGCCTTGCCGAACAGATGGGAAACTTGGACGATGCAATGGCTTCGTACGAGCGCGCCCTGCGGACGAACCCCAACTCGATCCCGGCAATGAACGCCATGAGCTCAGTGCTGAGGACGCGCGAGGATTTCCCTAAGGCCGCCGAGTATCTGAACACCATACTGAAACTGGACGAGAGAAATGGAGAAGCATGGGGCTGCCTCGGTGTGTATTCTTGCCGCGTTGCGTATCCTAGCCCATCTGCTGACGATTGTTCAGGACATTGCTATCTGATGATGGATGACCTCCAGCAGGCGTACAATGCGTACCAAAATGCCTTGGTGCACCTGCCCAACCCAAAGGAACCCCGCCTCTGGTACGGAATAGGCATTTTATATGATCGATATGGCTCTTTGGATCACGCCGAGGATGCATTTGCCCAGGTGATGAAAATGCAACCTGATTTTGACAAGGCTCACGAAATATACTTCCGACTCGGCATCATCTACAAACAGCAGCAGAAGTATAATGAATCATTGGAGGTGCGTGGCAAGGCTTCTTACTTTCACATGCACATTGCTAAGCTGGTGTCTAGTGCTTCAAGTACATCGTCAACTCTCCCCCGACGCCGCTCACGGAAGAGGACATTTGGTTCCAGATTGGCCACGTCCATGAGCAGCAAAAGGATGTATGTATACTACAAGCTTTGATTTGGTAAGCCGTTGATGGTCTAATAATGATTCCTGCGCAGTTCGAAAATGCGAAGGCCGCATATCACCGCGTCCTTGACCGCGACCCCAGCCATGCCAAGGTTCTCCAGCAGCTAGGTTGGCTGTATCACACACAAAGCCAGCATTTCGACAGCCAGGAACGAGCGATCGAGTACCTGGAGAAATCTGTAGCAGCTGGTGGGTCACCTCATCCCAACCGTCGAGTCGGTTCCCTGAAGAATAGCGGCAGATTCTAAGGCGTAGCAGACAATTCGGATGCCCAAAGCTGGTATCTTCTAGGGCGCTGCTACATGCAGATGCAGAAGTACCCCAAGGCATATGAAGCGTACCAGCAAGCTGTGTATCGGGACGGACGGAACCCCACGTTCTGGTGCTCGATCGGTGTGCTTTACTACCAGATCAACCAGTACCGCGACGCACTTGATGCGTACTCGCGTGCAATCCGTCTTAACCCCTGGATATCTGAAGTCTGGTATGATTTGGGCACTCTGGTAGGTTATCACCCTCGCAACTCCATCTCGCCTCGCGTGCCACTGACGCCCGAATTGTAGTATGAGTCCTGTAATGGCCAGATCGCTGATGCGCTCGACGCGTATCAGCGTGCTGCTGAGTTGGACCCCACCAATGTTCACATAAAGACTCGGCTTCAGTTGCTCCGGAATGGACAGGCCAATGGCGCGCCTCCCGGGCAGGCACCTATGCCCACCGATGTCCATCCCCAGGCTTATCAGGCTGCCGGCGCAGTTGGGCCCCCGGGACCGCAGTGGGCAGGGTCCGGGCCAGCCGTTCCTCAGCAAGCGCCACAGCCGATGCTTAACGGCGCACCACAAGGCCCAGGTGGCCCAGCTTCTTGGGGAGGTAGGATCTCGGATATCAACATCCCCCCGCAACCGCGGAATCCGTATGCCGCAGAGCGTGAGCCCTTTCGTGGCCAAGTCGGCCCCGGTCAACGACCGCCCAGTCCCCAACAGGAGCAGCAAATGAGACCGTATCAAGAAGCCAATAGAGTACCGGAGCAACCCAGACGGGGTCCGTCCCCTCCACCCCCAGCGCACTACGCAGCGCCCCCCCCGCCGCAGCCCCCTGCCCAACAACCCCAGCAGGCACCGCAGGGGTCGCAACCTCCTCGGGTGAGAAATCCGAACTATGGAGGCCACACACCGGCCGCGATGCTCCAGCCCAGCTCGGCTCCTGGCCCCAGTGGAGCGGCGTCCAATCCATTGATGCCTTACCGCACTGACAGCCCCAGGAATGAAGGAAGACCGCCCATTCATGAAAATCGGATGCCGTCCCCCAAGTCGGCGTATCCGCAGCATCAACCTCCGCCCTACTCGACACATGCTGAGCAAGCGGGCCCTAGTGGCTCGGAACCTGCTATGCCCCCGGCACAGCAGCCTGGCTTTGCCGATAATGCGCTCCATCGCATGGACGACCATCGTCCGCCCTCGGTTGGCCCCAAGAGGATGCGCGAGTGGGAGGATGACCGAGAAGCGAAGAAGCCTTCGACCGACGAGGCTCGCGCGCGCATGGAAGACGTCCGTCACCGGCGTCCGTCAACGTCTCCCCGGCTGGAGCCATACCGCCGGAACTCGTCGGAAGCTAGGCGCTTTGATGAGCGGCGCATGGATGATGCCCGGCGGGCCGAAGAGCAGCGCCGCGCGGAGGAGCAGCGCCATAATAACGAAGGTTACCATCCCTCCGAGGCCGCGCACCATCCTCAATCGCACTCGGTTGGCGGACATCTGCCGCCCATGCAGCAGGGACCGTCTGCGATGCAAGGCCTTATGCATGACGGACCCGGGCCTCACGCGGGACCTGCTAAGAAAGAGTACCAAAGCGGGCCTGAGGAAAGGCGGATGGAGCACGCGCCCGCGCCCGCTGCTCACCCTCCCATGGCCGGCGAGCCTGAGAGGGCTGCCAGGAAGATGGAGGTGGATGAAGACTATGATGACAGTGGTGAGGAAGATAAAAAGGCCGGGATCGTCCCGGGCACCGCGGCTGGTTCAGGATCCGCTACGGCGTCTGACATGAAGAACGGGACGCCTACAAGCGCGAGCATCAGCGGCTTGATGCACCAAAAACCGGATGGCAACTGATGCTGCATCGTTTTGCTGTGTCGCACATCTCGTCCGATTTCCCACCCAATTTCCAGCAATCCTCGACGAGGTTTACATTCTATTCCGTCAGCCCCATTCTGGGTTCCGGTTGGTGGCGTGGGTCATCGTCACTCGTCAGCATCCGTGGCCAAGAAGGCGTTGAACTCCCGTCAAGATCGTCAAGCTATTGTGTTGCTATGGAGAGACAAGAGCCGAATCAGTGGACTGTATGGAAACAACCCTCCGCGTCGTGCGTAAGACATTGCACTCTATTACCCAGGACGCCCACCCCGTCCCACCCCGTTCTCACTCAGCAGCGCATCATCGAGATGATGCTATTGGTTCAAAACTCTTCCTATTTTCGTTTCTTGTTTTCCCCTTATCGCTTCCACTTTACTATTAACACAACATGATGGATTCTAGCAATTGTCCGGTAGTGGGTAGGACTGGGTGCGCGCGCAACGCATCAATGTCGACAGCTGGGTGGGGTAAGGCACGACGAGAAAGCCTCTCAGGCTCCATGCAGTGGGCGTTGATAGGGAGCAGCACGATGGATTCTGCAACCGGGGGATAAATCTATGTTGATTGAGAAGGAATCAGCAATGCACCTAGTGTCTGCGCTGGAGGGGAGGGGGCGGAACTTTCCGGCGGTTGAAACTGTTACTGCTTAGCTTGATAGTTCTATAGAGGTTACTGTATGCGCATTTACATGTTTTTCTTCTATCGATTATCATAGGGTTCGCCGTGCTGCTCTTCAAGCTTCATGCTGAACTCGAGTCATTGCGGATACGCAATTATACGTAATTAGATTGGCACGTAACCCAATGTTCAGATACGCTAGGTATCCAAGGACAACTGGTCGGCACCTAGACACCCGACGGGCCCAGCGAGCATTGTACATATGTTGTGTTGAAGTTTTGTTCAGATGAGACGACGAGCAGTACTCCGGACACTGCCTGCAAGAAGTGCAGTCAAGGGTGCTGCCGTTTCACGTGACGGACACGAGCCAGCTGCAGCTTGCCCCACCTTTCTTCAAAAAACTCCAAGTTTAGGGCTCCGCTGCGATTGGCCCGAGCGCCTTAGCTCCGTCTCACACAAAATTCAACTCCAAATTCCCAACTTTTATTTCCTTCCCGAGTGGCCGGACCTGGGGGATTTTTCTACAACACCACGCCCAACCGCAGACATCAAGCAACCATGTCTCACCGGAGTGAGTAATCCCTTAAACGAATTGGGCAAAAGCTCGCGAATTGCTGGGTTCCCATGAGCACTTCGCCGAGGTTGAGCATTTTAAGCCTCCTGAGCGTCCGAGGATGGCCTTTTGGCAGCTGATGCTGACTGTTCGCAGAGTACGAGGCCCCTCGCCATGGCTCTCTGGCGTTCCTGCCGCGGAAGCGTGCGGCCCGCCACAGGGGCAAGGTCAAGTCGTAAGTTTGATACCTCAATTTTCGCCTCTCTCGGTCGAGTTGCTATTCGCAAGACGACGGAAGCTGACCGTCGATGTGATTACAGCTTCCCCAAGGACGACCCCAAGAAGCCCGTCCACCTGACCGCCGCCATGGGCTACAAGGCCGGCATGACCACGATCGTTCGCGACCTCGAGCGCCCTGGTGCGAAGGCTCACAAGAAGGAGATTGTGGAGGCTGTGACAATCATTGATACCCCACCTGTACGCGCAACTCAGCCCGCTTGGCTCTTTTTGTGTCAATGGCTAACATCTTTGATAGATGATAGTTGTGGGTCTGGTTGGTGTAAGTCATTGCTGTCCAGCCGTGGATGAAGAGGAGGCCGGATCTTTAACACCGCATAGTACATCGAGACTCCCCGTGGTCTCCGCTCCCTGACCACTGTCTGGGCTGAGCACCTGAGCGACGAGGTCAAGCGCCGCTTCTACAAGAACTGGTACAAGAGCAAGAAGAAGGCCTTCACCAAGTACGCCAAGAAGCACTCGGAGAACAACGGTGCCTCCATCACCCGCGAGCTCGAGCGCATCAAGAAATACTGCACCGTCGTTCGCGTCCTGGCACACACCCAGATCCGGAAGACGCCGCTCAAGCAGAAGAAGGCCCACCTTATGGAGATCCAGATCAATGGTGGCTCCGTTGCCGACAAGGTTGAGTTCGGCCACGGCCTCTTCGAGAAGCCCGTCTCGATCGACACTATCTTCGAGAAGGACGAGATGATCGATGTCATCGCCGTCACCAAGGGTCACGGTTTCGTCGGTGTTACCGCTCGCTGGGGCACCAAGAAGCTGCCTCGCAAGACTCACAAGGGTCTCCGAAAGGTCGCCTGTATCGGTGCCTGGCATCCGTCCCACGTCCAGTGGACTGTTGCCCGTGCCGGTCAGATGGGTTACCACCACCGTACCTCGGTTAACCACAAGATCTACCGCATCGGCAAGGGCGATGCCGACGACAACGCCGCTACCGATGTCGATGTCACGAAGAAGAAGATTACTCCGTAAGTCTGACCCTGGATGCAACTGTCGGGTGAACAATGTTGACTAACCATCTTGCGCAGCATGGGTGGTTTCGTTCGCTACGGCGAGGTCAACAACGACTTCGTCATGGTCAAGGGCTCTGTACCTGGCGTCAAGAAGCGGGTCATGACTCTTCGCAAGTCTATGTTCACGCACACCTCAAGGAAGGCGCTCGAGAAGGTGGAGCTCAAATGGATCGACACCTCATCCGAGTTCGGTCACGGTGCTTTCCAGACGCCGGCGGAGAAGAAGCAGTACCAGGGTACCCTCAAGAAGGATCTGGTTGCCAGCTCATAAGGCGGACCAGTTCTTTTGCTTTTCTTTCGGGGTTCTTAAAAATGGCATTGGTGTCACGGTTCTCGCTGCTCTTTGGGTCGGGATATGGATTTCTACCTAGCATTTTTCAGCTCTGTGAAGGCTGGATGAGTCGAATGGGATAATGAACCAATTGCCATTTGACTCCCTTGCCCTGTGATATGTCCCAAATGTGTTTGCGTAGCACCGTCCTCTAGGTACAGACTACTACTAGTACCTGGTATGTACTGTATCCATGAGATGGTTCCACTCAGTCGATGCTGCCCGCCTTCCTTGTTTTACGACCAGGCGGGCTCGGCCAATCATTGAGCCCAATGCCCCGCCGGAACTGGCCGCCATCCCAAGCATGTGGCAGGAGGTTACATCATCGTCGGGTTTCCCTGCGCGCCGCACCGAGTTGGTTGCATTCAACATGGCTTCAACCCTCAGTCGCGGTATCCCACAGCCCTTTATTAAGCTACAGCAACGAAGACAATCATTTGCAAGAGCTTTCCGAGCCCGAACTCCTGTTTCAGATAAAAGGGCTATCTGCAAAACCCGCAGCATCCCTTCCCGTCAGCGTTCGCAGCCTGTCTCGACCTACGGCCCCTTCTCGTTCTCCCCAAGGCAGACGACAGCCCAGGTCACCATCACTGAACAAGCGACATCAAGCCTCGTCGGCATCTGCTACAAGACACCGCTAATATCTGTGTCATCTCATAAGCGAGCCTTTGCAGCCACCGCTGCTCCTGCGCAACCAGCAGACATGGCGTCGGACGAGGATTACATGGCCTTCTTGAACAAGGCCAACGAGGACCCTTCTAAAGGTCTCGCGAGAGGTAGTACTGCTCCGCAGGCAAGCGCAAAGGCGTTCAGGGCTACGCAGGAAGGTGTCGAAGTACCCGCACCGCTAGTCAAAGTGTGTGAGAACAGAGATTACATCAGCGATGCCGACATGCCGTTCGAGCCTGTTGCGCTTGGGTGGGACAAGAGCGGGAGGGGTTTGCCTGATGAGGGTGAGTTTCCCTTGAAAGCTTCTTGTTCTTTACTTTTCCCCACTCCAAGACTACATACAAGAATGCCATGGCTAATACCGCGATCACCACCAGAGGAATTCGCCCGGTTGATTGAGCACTGGGATCCGGAGAAAGCCGAGATCGAGATAATGGACCCGATCGACTGGGACCGGAACGGGAACTACAAGGAGGTGATCGATGCCGTGACGGAGGCGGGACAAGGGAATGACGTGAGGGTCTATAGAGTGAAGAGAGAGGGTGTCAAGGCGGAGTATTACGTTGTGACAACTGAAGGGAAGGGGAAGGGAGCGAAGCTGGTGGGCGTGAAAGCCTTAGCTGTGGAAAGCTGAGGGGCTTCATAAGTGAAGACCATGTAAGAGGAATAATTCGCTCATTGGTGAGACCTTGATATGATTTGTCCGTGTCCTCAATGAGAGTATAGCATGATATGTTCCCTTTCTTCTACCGTTCTTTCTTTGAGAAGTTTGTGATGGTACCTCAGTAGACGGAGCAATCCGCAACAAGGGTATGTAGAATACGATACAAGGCGCGCAAGTGCTGACGAGGCAGACAGGGGCAACCTTACGTAGTGGATACCCTCCTCACTGCTCCGAGAATGGTGTAGACAAGACTCATTAGCGCGCTCGATTGTCTTGTCACCACTCTGCTAACAATGATCAGAATTATAGAGGCCACGGGCCTGAGGATTCAGTACAGTAGCGCGATGGTCCTGACACGAGAGATACGCATGATCTGGACCGCCCCTAAGCGTCATTGAGGTGTTGATTGGTGGCTCCGAACGAGGAGAACCAACCGATCCTCTCCCGGAATGACTTGAAGGACCTTGTGGACGACAACTACATCAACTTGAAGACGCTCACCTCGCACATGAAGAGGCTAAGGCGGGCGTACGTCACGGCGACCAACGCGCCAGGAAGCGGTCGACGCATGTCGTCGTCAGAGCTCGCCGGCGCGTTTTTCATGGCCATATCGATGCCCGTCATGGACGGCTTCGAGATCACGAGGCGCATTCGCGCGCACGAGAGCGAGCGGGACCTCGAGCCCCCCGCCATCTTTGCGCTGACGGGGGTTGGCTTCGACGGACGCACAGCAGGAGGCTTCTCGCAGCGGCATCGACCTATTCTTGGCGAAGCCGGTCAAGTCGAAGGAGATCAATTCCATTCGCGGGTCCAGGGGACTCTTGTGATCGCGAATGGTGAAGGTCAGATATACCTAGTAGTAAGATACGTGCTATTCCGTACAGTACCTATGCTTTCAAGAGAACGTTAGGAGCCCCCTCTGATGTGTCCTAACGCAGTTTGCGGATTAAGGCTTTTAACCTTAATCTTAATCAATGGCACCGTCTCGAGGCACTACAAGCCCTTCAGTTCGGCTCAATTGATGGCCACCTTCGCACCCCTGGGATTCCGCCTTCTTTGGAAATGATGACTCTGGCGATAATGACCTTGCGACTTGGAAATTGGTGCGAGCATCGGGTTGACAGGGGGCAGTACAATGAATTACTATTGACATTGAAGTGTAGTGTAAGAGATCATTGACGTCCATGGTTGAGCGGTGGCCCCATCGTCCGTGCACCTCCCTCGCTCCAAATTCCAGGCTCTACTGGAAGCTGGTAATTTGCACTGCAGTTCCACTGCCTGCCGCGAAACTCGAGAAGCACAAGGCACTAGCCACAGGAGGGTATCTGCGAAGATAGCGTTGTATGTACGGATCCGTACGGATTACATACGTGCTTGCCCAGTCCACCCACAGACCACCCAGGTAAGCTCTTACCTGGAATCTCTCCAGCCATGCAGAACTGAACGGCTCTCAACCGCAACCAGAGACGTAGCTGACCTCGATACAGCGTTTCAAAATGGCTGCTGTAAGTCGCATCTTGCCCGCAATCATCATGGCAGCAGGAGCATAGCTGACGCGCCACGATGCAGCCCGTCGTCACTGTCTCGGAGAGCAAAGATCTCCGAGGGCTCAACCTCATCGCAGCACACTCTCACATTCGGGGACTGGGCGTCGATGCTGACACGCTAGAGCCCAGAGCTTCGTCGCAAGGGTTGGTCGGGCAGGAGAAGGCACGAAAGGCAGCTGCGGTGGTGCTGGAAATGATAAAGCAAGGCAAGATTGCTGGCCGCGCCGTGCTGATTGCAGGGCCACCCAGGCAGGTCTCCATCATCTCCCCCATCTCCCCCATCTGCCGACCGCCATTCGTGGTGTGTTGGCACGCGTGCTAACATTTCCTCAACATGTAGTACCGGCAAGACAGCAATCGCCATGGGTATGGCCCAGTCACTGGGTCCCGATGTACCCTTCACTACCCTTGCGGCTTCGGAAATCTTCTCCCTCGAGATGTCCAAGACCGAAGCGCTGACACAAGCCTTTCGGAAATCGATCGGCGTGAGGATCAAGGAAGAGAGTGAAGTAATGGAAGGCGAGGTTGTGGAGATCCAGATCGACCGGAGCGTGACGGGCGGCGCCAAGCAGGGGAAGCTCACCATCAAGACCACCGACATGGAAGCCATCTACGATATGGGAAGTAAGATGATCGATGCGATGACGAAGGAGCGTGTGATGGCGGGCGACATCATCTCGATTGACAAGTCATCGGGGAAGATCACCAAGCTGGGCAGGTCGTACGCTCGGTCGCGCGATTACGACGCCATGGGCGTTGACACCAAGTTCCTGCAGTGCCCCGACGGCGAGCTGCAAAAGCGGAAGGAGGTCGTCCATACGGTGTCCCTGCACGAGATCGACGTCATTAACTCGCGGACCCAGGGCTTCCTCGCCCTGTTCTCGGGCGACACGGGCGAGATCAGAAGCGAGATCCGGGACCAGATCAACACCAAGGTCGGAGAGTGGAAGGAGGAAGGCAAGGCAGAGATCGTTCCCGGAGTTCTGTTCATCGACGAGGTTCATATGCTCGACATTGAATGCTTCTCATACATCAACCGCGCGCTGGAGTCCGACTTGGCTCCCATCGTCATCATGGCAAGCAACCGAGGCGTCTCCCGTATCCGGGGCACAGATTACAAGAGCCCGCACGGCTTGCCACTCGATTTCCTCGACCGCATCTGCATCATTAACACCCACGCCTACACCGCAGAGGAGCTCCAACAGATCTTGTCGATTCGGGCTCAGGAAGAGGAAGTGGACCTCACCCCGGACGCTCTCGCGCTGCTCACAAAGATCGGCCACGAAGCCGGGCTCCGCTACGCGAGCAACCTCATCACAACATCGCAGTTGATCTGCGCCAAGCGGCGGGCCAAACAGGTCAGCGTGGAGGATGTCCAGCGGAGTTTCAAGCTTTTCTACGACCCTGCGAGGAGTGTCAAGTTTGTTGGCGAGTCGGAGAAGCGGCTGATTGGCAATGATGGCTCCGTTGATTTTGCGGTCAACGGCACCGCCAACGCTCCTGGGGAGACGATGGACACGAGTTGAACAAAGGGCAGGGTGACGATATTCGGTTGCAGGCGTTCGGGGCTGGTAAAACTGTTCGGCTGACTGAACCAGTGGGATTTGACGATTGATATCATGTACAGCTCTTGGTAATGGACTTTGATAGACGCAACAGGCTCTGTTGTTGGCGAGTCTGCGACACCCCATTTCCCGCGTATTCCCAACCCTGGCCCCGTTGATCTCAGGGTCACACAGATAATCATACAAACGTGGCAACCCTACTCCATCCGGCTTCCTCTCCAGCCGGTCGGAACTCTACTCCCTCGCCGAAGTAGCCGGCGTCCTGCCATGCTTTCATAGTTGGTCCGTCAAACGGCCCTTGCTTATTGCCGCCGTCGCGGCCGTCTGTCCAACGGAATTCCCACATTTTGGCTTCCCCGTTGCTGTTGTTCTCTTCATCCTGGTCAGGCTCGGGGGGTTCCACCCAGGCTTCTCCAGTCTCGTTCCGGTACTCTCTACAGAGCCTTTCTCTCTCCATGTCGTAGATATTTGGGTAGTCCCTTTGGATTAACTTGTCCGCAGCATCGGCAATGGCATTGATTGCCTCCTTGATCCTGACCTGTTTGGAGTCTTCAGGCTCCTTTGTCGCATCGACATCCATGGCTTCCTCGGCTTCGGTCCCATGCTTTTGCGCACTCTTCCGTTTCCATTTAGGCAGCTTTTTGGTTTTAGTTTTGGGCTTGACCTGGCTCTTCCTAAGCCTGGCCAACGCATCCAGAGCCGTCTCGCCCGATTCCAGCCGGAGAATCAGTGATTTGAACAGCTCGCCCGTCAATATGTTGTCGTCTTCACGCCGTTGCCTCCGCAACTCAGCCTCGCGTTTCTCGTGCGCAGCGGCCGCTTTCTTCATCTCCTTCTTACTGATGCCCTCGAGCCACCGATCGTGCACCGCATCGGGATCGACAGCCTTGCGGATGTAGTTGCCCGACTCGTCGAAGGCGCCCTCTTCTTGCTCCTGCTTCATGTTAAAGGCGTCTATCTTGGGCGCATGCTTTTTGAGGCCACCCAAGCCAACTTCTTCGTCGACGTCCTGCTCTGCGATGGCCGCAGCGACATCTTCGTCGTCATCGTCATCGTCTTCACTCTCTTCCTTGTCGTCTAACCGCACTGTGCCGCCACTTTTGCTGTTCGTCTCTTGCCCCTCAATCTCCTTGTCGGCGAGGAAGCGGACTTCTTTCTCTTTCCTCCCTGTCTTGCTGCTGTCGGCAAGTGTGTTTTCACCGGCGTCGAAGTCGCCAAACATATCCACCTCCTCGTCCTCAACGCCGCCGTCGCCGACGGTTGCCTTCATATTATAGTTGTCCATGACCTCGGCAAAGTCGACATCTTCGGCCTCCTTTCCCTTCTTACCCCTGGCCTCGGCCCTTGCGTTGAACGTCTCATTTTCGGAGTCTGAATCATAACCCTCAATGTTGACCGCGCCGCGTTTCGTCGCCCGTGACCCGCCAATAACATCTGCGCTGAGAACATCCTCGTTTTCGTCATCTTCATCCTCGGCGCCTGCCGCCAGAGCCGATGGGTTACGGAGATCAAACTTCACTTTCTTGGAGGTGGGACCGTCCTGGTCGCGGTCCTGAGCGTGGTGCGCACGCGCAAAGGCTTCCCCGGCGCGTTTGGGTCGCGCAGCTGAAAATCTGGATGCCATGCTTTCGTAAAAGCTGCTTTAGACGTGCGCCCACTCATGCGGCGGAGTTATTTTACGGTAGCAGCTCAAGAGTCCAGCGTCATAGAAAGGTTGTTGACGGATCTTTGACGTCAGCCTTAACGCGCACGGTTAGCTCGCGCCACTCAGTAACTGAGTACTGCTAAATGCCCCGCGGCCCACCACAGCAAAGGCCATAGGCTGAGCAGCAAGCATAACACCCAGCGAGCCTCAAGTTCTGCCTAAGTACAAGTACCTACTACCACGCCTACCTTACGATTTGAAAGCTACATCTAAACCCATCATCCCACTTGAATCTTTCTTTCTCTCCCAACTTCTCAAAAGCCACTTCCGTTGTGATATGCGGATCTAACATCAACAACCACATCAGCACATAAAACCCCATCGCTATTTCACCAGCAGTTACAGACTTGCACACCCCCGTGCATCTCAACCTCAACCATCCGGAATGGTGAGGCCCAGCCCCGCACTCGTTGTGCTAGAACCGCCCTTGATATCCTTAGCTTTTGCTGATATTGAGAGTACAGTTTAATCCGTGGAACGCTGGCGGTGGCGATTATCGTGGGAGCCTCCGAGCGCCTCGCGCCCAACGCTTCGACGAATACTACCGCTGCTACCCCCTAGCCATGGCGCCTGGCTCAGAGCGACCAGAACTGAACTACGGCTCTAAAATATTCTTGCCTCCCTCCGCTCTCGACAAAGTATCGAGGCTCCACGTTCAGTGGCCTATTATGCTGGAACTGGTCAACGGGGAATCGGGCAAACACACACATGCAGGCGTCTTAGAGTTCGTGGCAGAGGAGGGCAGGGCATACATCCCACAATGGGTATGTCAGGTTTACCCTCGTTGATGTTATGCCCGGAGGTCTTAACTGCCCGCAGATGATGCAAACACTCCAGCTTGATGTCGGCGATATGATCCAGGTCAAGACCACGTCTCTCGAGCTAGCTAAATTAGTCAAGCTGCAACCCCAGTCGGTCAACTTCCTGGAGATTACCGACCCCCGTGCCGTCCTCGAGAAGGCATTCCGCAACTTTGCCGCCCTGACGAAGGGTGACGTCTTTAATTTCGAGTACAACGACGAGATCTACGATGTCGCCGTTCTCGACGTGAAGCCCGAGACAGAGAAGATGGGTGTCAGCATGATCGAGACCGACGTCAGCGTCGAGTTTGCTCCACCAGTCGGCTATGTCGAGCCCGAGAAAGCGCCGCGGGGCAGCGGCACCAGCACACCTCGGAGTACCCGCGGTGGGATGCCGCCCGGGGGCTTGCTCCATAACCAAGGCACCATGGCCCAGGCGATCAACTACAACGCTATCGCGCCGGGCTCGGCGGCGGCCTCGGCAGGGAAATTTGCCGGGGAGGGGCAAAGGCTGGGCTCTAAAAAGGGCGGCAAAGGCTCGACACCCAATCCCGCAACGCCCGTGGCCGACACGTCGACCACATCCGCTAAGGAAGCTGTCATACCCAAATCGCGCAACAACGGCCCTGCACCGCTCCGTCTGCCGCCAAACAAGCTGTTCCTCGGATACCGGATCATATGGGTCAAGACGGCAGAGGACAAGGAGCGAGAGGAGGCGAATGCCAAGCAGCCACACTTCGCCGGCCAGGGCCACACATTGAGGGAAGCAGGGAAGAAAAAGGGCGAGGCTGACGACAAGAGCGGCAAATGAAGGCTTGACCCAGGAGGTATTTGGGCGAAGCCTGACTTGATGGAGGTTGTCTGATTCACCGAATTCTAGCGCGAGTATTCGTATTGCTTCAGTTGGTGAATGACTATCATGGCGTTATTAGGATGGATGGTTCTGGGCGGGCAAAGGGAACTGCTTTGGGGGCCTAAACTCGGAATCGGGGGCGGACAGAGGTTTCCGGCGCTTTGCAATATTCGCTATGTTAGTTGATCGATCATTGACTCTCTCCGATTGGGAAGGGAGTTTGAATAGCACGACGTCTGGCCCTCTGTTAGCTCGGACTAAAACCTGCAGTCATCCACCGCGAGACTATTTGGAGCCAGTAGGTGATTCACTCATCACAGTCGTGTCGAGCGAGACTGTTATACACTAATACGTCATGAGGATCCGTGCAAGGGACCTAGTAGTACATATGTTACACATATCGAGAGTCGAGACCGTTCAGAAATCGGACTAAAACTAATGTTATCCAGCTGGTCGGCAGCTGAGAGGACCTGCTCACTTATGGACCCACTCTGAATCTCGATTTTGAAATGTGGGACCCTGTGTTTCCTGTGATGAATCATGATGGCAACAATTGCTCAAACCGACCCGCCAAAGCAATTCCACTTCCCGATTCGCCGTCCACCGACCAATTCCGACGTTTCTCATTGACCGAAGTGCGCGGACACCCCATCTTACATCGCTTTTCTCGTCGCCTCATGTCAGAGCCTGCAAGGTAAAATCCTGCGTGCCGGCTACAGTTCTTTGCATTCGTCATGGCGGCTCGCGGTGAGAATGCAGCGGGCGTAATACCCACTGCGTCAGCGGCAACAACTCGCCAGCTACGGCCGCGCCAAGCCTCCGGGGCCGGGGCTGGAAGTCTTCCGGCAGGTGTCACCATCCCGCGAGCGACCGGCCGAGTGACGAGAAGCTCGGCTGCCAAATCGGGCTACAACAATGAGAGGGTGCCACAACCTCCGTCTCCGAGTACGCCAAAACGGTCGCACAAGCGCTCCCGGTCGAGGTGCGCGACTCCGAGCAGCAGAAGGGCGAAGCGAACCCGTCAGCGTTCATCCCCGGAGTTCAATGAAGATAGCGACAGCGGGGATGAGTTCGGGAATGCGTACATTACCCCTGGTTCCGAAGTGGATCAGAACGCGAGCAGCAATCGCCGGCACACAACCCGCTTGGCTTTGTTGCCGAAGAAGTCGAGTCCAACAAGAGGCACAAATAACCGACCCGACCGTCTTGCTGCTGAAAACTTAAATGGGGCCACCGACGCCCACAATGTCGTTATTCCGGACTGGAGCAGTCTACCCTACCTCATCCTGCTTCAGATCTTTCGATATGCCGCAGCACCACTCACAGAACTCCAGCACGCCAAGTGGCTGATCGCAGCGAGTGGTGTTTGTCGGGCCTTCGTGGAGCCAGCGCTGACCGCGTTATATGAGTCCCCTCCGTTGCTAAGTCGGTCGATGGCGCATGGTTTGGTGTCGCTACTGTCCAAGGATCCCTCTACCACTCTGTTCAATTACAGGCCGAAAGTGGTGGAGCTCTGGATTGATGTCGAACAAATTGCCTCCAAAACATACAAGGGCCAACCATTCGACCTCAGGGCCCTTATCAGCAACGTGCCGCGTCTCAAGTCCATCCAGTTCTTTCATCGGAAAGATGACCCTCCGTATCGATCACTAGATGAGAACCTGCGTTGGCACTATCCGGCTGCGCTCTTCCAGGCTTTAGATGGGCCGCAAGGCCCAGCCCAGAACGCTGGCCGAGTTGCGCCCCCAAGACTATCCGAATGGCAGTGGAATCGGCGACTGATGGGCCCGGATCTCGATCTTGGCGGCATCAAGGCGCTTCATAGCACCCCGTCGTTTATAGGTCTCAGAAAACTCTCACTGGTCAACTTTCAAGTTCCTTCGCTTCATGCGAAGGCGAATGCGAACAATGAGGAGCTAGCTGCGAAGGATTTGGCCTTTGTTCAGAGCCTCGCAGACGCGATCGCTGAGCTGCCAACATTACAGCACCTCTCAATGGAGTCCTCTACTGCTGTCAACGATCAGCTGCTTCCGCTCTTGCCGAAAAACCTGCAGGGTTTGGAGCTGGTTAATTGTTGGGATGTTAATAGCGACGACCTCGCCAGCTTCCTTCTTTCGAGTGGGCACCAGCTGAAGCAGCTGGTTCTTCGCCACAATCAGTCGCTCAGTCTCTCCTTCGTTACGATTCTCGGGTCGGCCTGCCCAAACCTGCAACTTCTATCGGTGGATTTGAAAACGTACAATCACCACGAATTCTACCATGACGGCGACCCGGCCTACGATGAATTGCTCGCGGCAGACCAGATTCCGGACTGGCCGGAGGGTCTGGAGACCCTTCAGCTCTTGAACATGAAGAAATGGACGGCGGAAGCAGCCGAAAATCTCTTTCAGTCACTAGTCGATAGTGCGCCGAAGCTGAGCAGACTCCGGTCTCTGGACCTAAAGGCGATGCTAAGCATCCCTATTCACGAGAGGTCGAGGTTGCGCAACAAGTGGGACGCGAGGTTGAAACGGATTTTCCTCCGTGAGAGGCAAGATCCTCTTCCGCTCTACTCCCTGCGAGCGCAACCGCAGCGGGCTGCCGCTGATGGGATTATGAGCACCCCCAAAAAGTCCCGTAAGTTCGGTAGCGGCGCAACAGTCGATACCACCCCAACACGGCGAAGCAGCCGGCTCGCATCGCAATTGTCAAACCCGTCCTCCCGCGCTAGTAGCCTGGGTCGAAGCCTTAGGAGCGGACTTCGCCGGCTTTCGTATGCCGAGCCAGACACGGATGGGGATGAAGAAGACGAGGAAATGGAAGAGGAGGCTGGGACGAGCGGAGAGAGCCGTCACATGTCACCGATGAACACGATGGCTGGTGAAGCACTGCCCTTTCGCCACGGCATGTGCGAGAAGGTTGAGATTCTACTGGATAACCAGAAGACGACGGAGACGACACTCACTATGGACGACTTTCTGGATAGTGAGCATGATGATCTGTCGGATGACGACTGGGCTGGACAGGATGAGGATTCCGATACCGGGTATGCGTGGTAACGGAGCGGTCTCTCACGTCTGACCCAATCTCCTTTCCATCTTTCAAGGCAGCATTGACATGGGGCGCTTTGGCTGCTATCGGGTCATATGAGGATAAGGACACTGGCATACCACGGATGGCGCTCTGAGGGCCCGGCTTTGCTTTACTGGACGGGGAGTAATGGAAAATCAATGGAGGGAGCATGGGACATCGCATCTAATATATAAGGTCCGTGGCTCGTCGTATGGGGCATTTGGAAGTTTTACGGTTTCTATTCCATTGCTGAACTGTTCGTATTTGGGTGCTTTTGAGTTGGCCTAACTATGGGTCGTCAGGAGACTGAATGTCTCATGCTGCAACGCCGGTGACACCTTGGTGTTGGGTTTCCACCAAACAAGTCCCAAAGCTCGAGTCAAGTTCCGGGGATGCGGGGAAGCAAGAGGGAAGTGGCATAGGGTAATAACTTAATATAAGTGATTCTCGATCTTTGCATTGTCCTCGGCGCCCCCTCTTCCGAATCAGCGCAGCCTTCAACAGCCTTGCTTTCTTCCCCTGCTTTTCCACGAGGGAGATATTCTTACCAAGCAATTCTCAGGGTGGGCTGGCCGTGTTCTCTCCAGCAAGCAAATGAAGGTCACATCCCCAGCCACCTGCAGCCAGGCTGTCAGACAAAGTCAGAACTACGAAAACTGCAGCATCGCAGCGTCGAGGCCGCCTTGGAGAGTGTATCTAGGTACTTCATGGGATTCCAACAGTCTTGGAATTTGACGACCTTCAGAAGCTCGTCTTCCATATTCGGTGATCCACCCGGATCGGACTCTGTATTGATGCCGATTTGGGAGGCGAGCCATGCGTTCGGTCTCTGACTATAAAATATGACAGATCGATTACTCGATGCGAAGGATTGGGACAGGTTTGAAATTCAAGTTCAGACATGGTATACTTGAATACCAGGCAACGAACATGGTTGCAGTGGCTTACACCAGCAGGATTCATCTCAAGGCTTTTACCAGGAACGCCATGTATGCGGACCGCTCAGTGTTGATCACTGTCCTGGAAAGGCTCGTCAAAGTTCGTTGCATGTGGTCAGTGAATATCTACTCGTAATAAGGGCTTTAGAAGGGAGAAGACAGAGTATCAGAGATCGATAGACATCAGACTTTGAATCATCAAGCTAGGCCAACTACTGCATTACCCAACAGAGGCGAGCGGGTATACGCTAAGGCCCTCTAACGCAATGAATGCTGCCTCACAGCCTTGGCCCATGAGCAGCCCTGCGTCTCCATTGAATGACACGGATACTTTGAACTCAATACATCCCGTGATTGACGCCTCCATTCATCGAATCTGCAGTTCATTCGTTCGGCCATCTTCTCGTCGTCCATGCTGTCAGGTGCCTTTCCTAACTCTATGCTGGTATCCTTCTACGCCGAAGCAGGCAGTGCCAAGAGACTTCGACGAATGCTGACCGTGGAGAGATAACTCTAGTAGGGAGAATACGGCACCCCCCCCCTCCCTTCTCCCCCCAACCTTCTTCTCTCCTCCTTCAACTTACAACAGCTTTTTCAGTCAGTGCATGATCTTTACATAGCAGATGAGACGAAAGCGTCAAGGCTAGGCAGTAAAAGATTGCTTCGCCCTGGAAATTCTAGTGTCATGATGGTAGTCATCATCTGATACCTAAGAGAATCCTTTCGGGATCAGTGTCGGACTGGTCTTAAGTATAATGACGATTGGATTGGACAACGCCGCTCATTTCTTATTCAGAGCACAACACAATAGTGAATAGATTACCGCGCATTCAACTTGGGTTATTCTAGCTCGCCTATGCCGCAAGCACACAAAAGTTTACCATGCCATTGTCAAGGCTCGGGTTGATTCCCTCATGAACTCAATCTTCTTTGCTAAGGTACCTAGTTCATCCACGACAAGTTTGGCGAGAAGCTGACAGCGCCCCAAGTGAAAGGATCTGGACTTCTAAGCGCCCTCAGGCAAACCCAGCATTCGCTCCATGACTGCGCCCAAGTTTACTCATCCTTGCTCTTCATATCGAATCTTTCAATCGATCTCTCGCTACCGTTGAGTTGATGCAGCAGTCCATCAGCGTGTCATGTACTGTACATCACCCGGGCAAGCTGCCCGTATTATTCGGCCAGGGTGTTAGCGAGATACCCGGACAAAGCACGTTGCTAGGGCAGACGCTTTGGTACCGTGCTACCGCGATACTGCGCTAACCGTTCAGGGCCCTGCGATCAGAGCCAACGCCCCACAGAAAGCAACAAGCAATCGCGATAGAGATTCTCACCCTGGCTGTCGTCCATTTGGCTACATTCGGTACGCGTTTCTTTCCATCCCGTCTTCTCTGCTGCTCCACCGTCATAGCCTCCTATCTTCGTGCATTGAAACCCCATCTGCGCTTATACACCAACTTCCATTACTACGCCTTATGCCTTGGCTGTGTTGGGTGTAGCTCACGCCTGCACATCACTGAATACAGCAACGGAGAGCATTGTTGCGCGCGCGGTAGTGGAAAGTCCGCTTTTCCATGTCATCCTGAGGTGAACTTCCATATCAGTCCACACCCTGCACCCTGCTCTCTCATCCACCGCATCGAATCCGAGTTGCCACCATCTCTCACAGCTCATGGCGTCGCACACTTGACGTTTTGGACAGTTCTGTCGATTGGGCGCTCCTGCTGTCTGTTCCACCAACACCTTCCTCATCACATGAAGACACCCACGAACCACCCACACATTTTGTCTTCTCCTGGCTAATCTTCCACAGATTCAACTTCATCACCTCTCTTCTGAGCCACTGCTCGCCTTGCATCTCTCCGCCGGTTTCGCTTGTAGCCCATCCGCTTGCTTCACTTGTGGCTGTCTTCGTTGCCGAACTATTGGCACAGCCTTCACACCCATTTTGAGCGCGACCCTCCGCCGCTCGGACAATGCCGCTTTCTTCACTTTCTTCCATGACCTATTGACCCTCGCTTGGTCCTCACGTGCATGCTTCATCACCTTCTGCCGGCAATGACGGCAATGACGTCTCGCAACCAGCGCAAGCGCCGCCTGCCTTTCCTACATCGGAACTGGCTCAAGGCGACCAACCATTGGAACTCGAGGATGGGCGGCAACGTTTCGTCATTGTGCCGCAATGGCGGTGATGGCCACGCCGATGACGGATATCACTCCGAGCGTGCTGCAAAGCGCCGCCGCATTGACAGCGATTACGATGGCTTTCCGCTGTTCGAGAGCTACGGAAACACCCAGCGCGCTCTCCGTATCGAGGTTCTCAAGATCAGCCACAAGGATGCACCCCGTGTGAAGAACGGTATCCTGAACGGAGTCGTCGCGCCTGACATCCGCGACATTGTCCAGGTCAGGGCACGGTGCAAGCTCACCATCTGCGGCCACAAGGCCGGCGAGCCGGTTGTGCTGCATGTCGACAGTCAGGTCTGCGACATACGCATCTTCAAGAATCCTCCCGGCTCGCCGCATATGGCGCGCTTTTCCTCCCTTCAGCCGTTCCACATCCCCGAGGAGAAGATATTCCTGGAACGCGACGACGATGCTGTCTTCGGCCTGGTTGATTGCTATTCGCTGCTTGTTGAGCTCGAATCCGCCGGTGATGCCCACTGGCCGCCCACCGACCTTGTTCCCCTGAGCGACGAGGAAATGTTCTACTACCGGGGCCTGCCCCCGCGGCAGTGGGTCCTCACTGCCTGTATCACCGACGTCTTCAGTACGCGCAACCGGAAATCGGTTTGCTTAAGGGTGATGAAGCAGCCGCACGCAGCCGATGTCGCCACCGACTTCCTCATGGACATGGATGTCCGATGGTTAACCGCCATTTCCAGACACAGGAAGCAAAGGGAGCATGTTAAGGACATCTTGCCCTCCATTTCAGTGTTTGACCCAAACGAGTCTACCGCACGTCTTGTGCACGGCAACCACAAGTATACTAACTCCGTCGATGGTGTACATGGCACCAACGGACACGAGTCCCATATGAATGGGATGGTTGGGCAGACGGAGACCACGCTGAATGGGCATACCAACGGTTTTACCCCTGATGCGGTCGAAGAGTTGGCTGAAGGCGAGCTCACCCCTGGCCGCTCGCGGCGAGCAAGGCAGGACATCAACTACAACGTCAAGCAAATGTGGAAAAACGCAGTTGGGAGGGAGACTAAGAAGCGGAGGAAGTTTGGCGATGAGCAGAGCCCACCATCAGACGAACAGACAATCACATACCTGCTGCCACCAGAGCAGGTCCAGACAGACAAGTTCGGGTGTCTGCTATGCGGTGCGGAAAACGAGAGATTGAGTCAGTTGCGTGCTCACTACTTGAGCCACCCGGAGTATGATTTCCATTTTGAGTTCAGGCCCAGAGCAGGATACTGTGTCACTGTAAAGCCAAACGCCAACAGCCGCGGTTCTCCACTTAGGCCGAGAGTGTATCAGCTCGGCCTGCCAGTGAAGCCCCTCGACCTGGAAAAATATGCGAATGGGGATGACTCCTGGGTTACTTCGCGTCTCGGTCCAGAGAACGGCCGCGAGCTCTTCCAAGAAGGAACTGCCAAGACAGTTCGCAGTGTAAGAAATCTTCTCCATGCTCATGAGATCTTTGTTGTCCGTTGGCTGATAATCACCTAGAAACTCGTCACGAGAGGGGCCCGGAAGAAGGTGCTGGTACCAAAGACGAAGCAACCTTTATTTGACCCCCTGAGCAAGGTCCAGCTCCCGCCGGGCGTTCCTGTCCCGCAGCATCCAATTGATGATTCCTGGCTCTTGCTAAAGCATCGAGACAACTTGCAAGACTTCATTGACCTAAACGCCGAAGAAAAGGAGTATCTGCAGGAGTGGGACGCCTTCATCCTCCGGAAGCACATCTCCTCGGAGCAACATCTGCCCCGCAATTTCCTCCGTTTTGTGAGGGAAAAGGCGTCTTGGATCGTGGCTAAACAATCCAGGGCAGACGAGTTCAGCAAGCATGTTTCAATACTGCTCGCTCGGGGGGTGCTGCCCGATACGGCCATATTCGAGGCCACGCGGCTTCTCAACGATGCGAGGAGCCGTCAGGCCGAGTACGGAGCCGATGAGGGACCGGTCCAGCCTCCTAGGAACAAAGCTACCGGCGGCTGCTGCACGGCCTGCGGGGAGCCAGTGCCCGCGTCAGAGATGTTGATCTGCGGGAACAAGGTATTTCCTCTCTTTCTCGACTTTGTTCATCAGTGCACCGTGCTGACGGCCATCAACTCAGCAATGCAAGGCCCGTCTATACCACGAGTCTTGTGTAGAGAAGCCAGAGGAAGCGGTCGCGAAAGGGGAGAATTGGATGTGTAAGACATGCTCATGACGGCACGGCCAGAGACATAACATTGAATAGAGAGGCTAAGAGAGCCTGGCCGTTTGTCGGGAATTAATTGGAGGCAGGTGTAGATCCGAGCCGAAACCCGGCGGTACATACTGATAATCTTCCCCGCTGGACTGGACATGGAGCGAATTCAAACCGTACTTTCAGGCAACTGTGCGCTTCCCCATCATCTGAAAGCACCACGCAGAAGACTATGTGGCGAACGACGTAGGCTGCACTTGGTGCAATGATGATCAAATCTCTACCTTATCTATGATTCCTGGGTACCGGATAAGGTAGGTACCTACCTTACTTGTAAGCTGCCGGTGAGTTGTCTCGTCAAACCCGATGCTCGGCTCAACCGTGGCATATTTTCTCTCTTGCTGGACTGAACACGGTAGAGGGAAGCGGGATGGGAAGCTTGATTTAGATGACTACAACGAAAGAGCCCAGAAGACTGATACATATTGATAACGAACTATAGCCAGCTAGCCAACACACGCCCACGGTTCACTTTCCCTCAGTTTCGTAATCATACTTATGTACCCGGTAGGTTCACGGTGGATGATCCGGGTGATCCTAGAGTGACTCCCGACGATCTGCTCCGAGTCTCGGCGAACATCCAATGTCCTGCAATCCTGACCGGTAGGAGCAAACTGCTGCGTCGCTGACAGACAATGAAAGAGAATAGACAACTTATTTAGATAGGTGCCTGACCCATCCGACACCCCAGAGTGAGTACCTTGAAGAATCGTTCCACATCACTGCGTGGTCCAGATCACCATCGAAGCCCCATCAGGCTCATCTTCACCTATGATAGCTGCAACGGATTAGCACGTCGCTCTTTAGTTAATTGATATCACTGTGGTTTATTTCTCTGCGCTTTAGATAAACCCTCGGCAAACTGTTCTCCTCGGACTGACTCAAGCTTAGGTCAGTTTGAACCAATCGATCCATCCATCACCTCACAACAAAAAGAAGCGGACCATTAGCCAAAGAATATTACAGACTGCCAGTAGAGCACCGTCACCATCCCCTACCTACTAGTAGTACGGGCTACTACTTTTAAGTGAAGGGGAAGTATATGTGATGAAAAATCAACTAACTACAGAACCAACTGAAGAAGGTACTTGGTCCTAATGTCCGAAATCCGGAGTTATTATGTTCAACTATAGTGCTTTTTAAATCAGATTCGCACCTTGGCTTCCAATTATCCATAATAGGTGGTTGGAAGGAGGGTTCAACTCAAAGCGCCGGCAATAGGTCAGACCAATCAGTCATGTGCGTCAGAGAATGGCAAGCCACGATGGTTGGGACTTGGAAGGGTTTCCCCACTGTGTTCTTTCTCGCTTGCCTTACTACAGTCAGGGTTCAAAAGTCTGTCACACCCCACATCAATTAAACGCGCGTCGCGACATGACACGCACCATCTTCCATCTTCTAACCAACCCAACTTTAGCCCACCATGGTCAATTTGGCCGAAATCGGGGCCAAATTGACGGCCGGCCGTCAACCTGGCCAGGAACTATTACCGACTGCACGTGCAGCTATTATAGGTGCCGTTGCAGCCGGGGCTAGCCAGTCAGCTATTGCCCGCGCGTTTCGCATCGACAGGACGGCTGTCTACCGCATCCTTCAACGGTTCGAATCATCTACCACTGTTGAGTCCAAGCCTCGAATAGGCCGGCTAGAGATTCTTATATGTCGGGAAAAGCGGTATATCCTACAATTGGCTAAACGGCATCCCTAGCTTATAACCCAGATGCTGATCAATACTATAGACGGCTGTATCTCCCGATCAACGATATACCAGGTTCTTCGCCATTATCGGATATATAAGTGGCATATATAAAAGAGAATCCTATTAACGAAGGCAATAGCAAAGGATAGATATCGATTTGCTTGCCTTTAGTTGAAGGATATCGAGATCTTAATCCGAGTAAGTGACTTAGAAGTCAACCTTGGATTTTACTAACTAACCTCTAGTCTATCTTTATTAACGAATCGTCTTGCCAAAATAATTCGAGTAACCTAATAACTTAGGTCTTCTGGTTCCCTTTTTAAAAATGGGATAAGAGCTTCGTCAACCTCTAAAGCCATAGCAAAAGTACGATTTCGATTATGATTTGGGGTGGCATTTGGAAAGAGGGGAGGACCGACCTTATTATCATGGAACGTGACTACCAACCACTGTAAAAAGGAGGATATAGCTCTTGGAGTTATCAGCAGATATTGGAAAAGGGTCTTCTTCTAATTTATAATGGTACTTAGTACTTCCAGTAGGATAATGCCCGAGTATATACATCTGTATCCTCGACCGAGTAGCTAATGAAACATATAATCGAGGTCCTACCTGACTGGCTAGCCTATAGCCTAGATCTTAATCCAATCGAGTATATATGGGCTCTATTAAAATAGAGGATGAAGCAGCTATATCTAGATATCTAGTTACTCAAGAAAAACTAGCTAGATATAGCTGAGTTTACTCGATGTCTTCGGGGATGTTGGTGGGCAATTGACTAGGCTTAAATTGATGGTCTCATTGACTCAATGCCCCGGCGATTGGATGCAGTCCAGAAAGCTAGAGGTTGGTATATAAAATATTGATGGCTAGAACCAAGGCTTCTATCTGTATATATCTATTTTGCTAGGAATGTTGTTGGTGTTGCGTTATGTAGAGATATGTTGATGGTTGTGGTGACCTAGAAAACGGGTGGCGGGGGATTTTGATGTGGGGTGTGACAGACTTTTGAACCCTGACTGTACTAGTAATTAATAAACGATTTCAGGTCCACTATTGTACAGGTACACCATCGCGCCAACTGTCTGTCCATCTGTCAAAACTTGCACCTGAACGCCCGGAGCAGAATTTCCTGCTCTACCCGCAGCCCATAACCAGTTCCAAGGCTTAACAATTTCCAGCCTAGGTGCCCTTCCCAACTGCTTCAGAGTTAGCGTTACCTCCTCCCCCTTTCCCGCTCCCCTCTCCTCTCCTCCTCTCTCTTCTGTCTCTTCCTGTTCTCCTGTGCAACCATATCGCTCAGGTCCTCCTCGTACGCGGCCCGGTTCCACTGCGCGCCGACGCCCTCCTCGCGTCGCGTGGCCTCGTACTTGCGCCGCACATCCTCCTTGCTGATGCCGCCCGAGGCCATCAGCGCGTCCGGATCGAGCGCCACGTCCACGTCGCCCGGCTTCTTGCGCTTCCGCGACGAGTCGTCTTCCTGGCCCAGTACCGGCACGCCATGGGCGGCGTGCGGTGCCGGTGCCTGTTGCGCCTTGGACAGGTCGTACGTCTTGTCGCTGCCGAAGAAACCTTCGGCGCGGCCTTGCCGCTCGGGGACGACGGTGTATGCTTGCCTCGGCGCGCCGCCGCCGTACGAGGATTCTTCTGTCTCGAAGCCACGGCGCGTCTTGCGCAGATCGAATTCGCCTGCCATGCTGGTCTCGATGCCTGCTGGGGCGTGCATGTCTGGGGGCACTGTGCTGGCGTACCCGCCCGGGGTTTCGAGGCCGCTGACTGTGTCGGTGCCGCCCGGTGGAATGTCGCCCGCGTCTGACCCTTCCTCTTCTTCTTCCTCTTCCTCTTCTTCCTCCTCCTCCTCCTCGGCGGGCGGTTGGAGCTCGCCCCAAAGGATGCGCTCGACGGGTTCGCCGAGCGGAGCGCCGGCAGCTTGGGGCTGTTGCGGCTGCTGGTAGGGTGCGGCTGCCCCGGGTTGGCCAGGAGCCATGATACCAAAAATGTCGCCGCCGTAGAGGGGTCTGTTGTATTCGTCCAACGGTGGTTTGCCCCACTGGCCGGGCTGAAAGCCCCATGCTGCTCCTGGAGGTAGCGGGGCATTGAGGCCTGGAATCTTGAGGGTCGGATAGGATGGCGGAGGCCCAACACGCTGCTGTTGGAGTAGCCAGGGAGGCGGGAATCCGGGCTGCATGCCTAGGGCTTCTCGTAGTGGGTCGCTGATCTCGCCGGGCCTGAACACCTTGTAATCCGCCTCCCACTCCTTGCCCTCGTAGTATACATCACCGAAGCGTGTGAGATCCGGTTTCGTCTGGTGCCGGAAGAAGGCGTCGTAGAGCTTCTGGTAGTCAATGTCCAACTTGCCCATCTTCGGTTGCACCCGCTCGCGCTGCTTCTGTTTGAGTGTCTGCTCGGCCTGCTTCTCGAGGACGGCGTCGCGCATCTCGGTGATGCCAGTATCGGCAATGAATTTGGGCAGCTTGAAAGGGGGCTTCTCGATACCCCTCTTGCTGGAAAGGTACTCTCGCTTCAACGACCAGTGTCCCGGGACGGGGACAATGTTGCGCTGCGCCTTGATCTGAACCAGTAGACGAGGATCTGATGACGAGACATCGTGCCATTCGACAACTTCGGGATTCCGCACCAGAGCCTTCAGCTCGGCGATGGACAGTTTGTTCAACTTTTTGCGCTTCTTCTTGGACAGCTTCGGCTGTGCATCTTCGTCTTCGCTGGGAATCTCGTCGTCCTGATCGAAGAACACTTCGCCCTTGTTGCCTGCATTCGCTTCCCGACCGGCCTCATCATCCTGCAGGCTCATGCCGAACTTTTCGAATATGCTCCTGTACTCTGCAAATGCAGGGTCGTCCTTTGGGATAACGGGATCGTCGGCGGGGCCGTCGGCATCGATATTATCAGACGCGTCGGCATCCTTCTTGACCTCCAAGTCCTCCTTCTTGACCTCTACATCAGTGGGCTTGTCGTCGCCGTCGACCTGCGTCGGTTCTTCTTTTACCGCCTCGGCGTTGGCCCCGGGTTCCTTGGAGCCGTTTTTCTATGTTCCGTTAGTCGACGGCAGTAATTATCAACCGAGGGGGGAACCATACCTCAGCCTGCGCCTTCTTTTGCTCCTTCTTCTTGGCCCGGCGCATCTGGTTCTTGGTCATTTTTGGCGCCGCCATCTTACCTGCGTTGAGCCTACGGCTCCGGATGCAGCTGCAGGTTTAGATGCGTATGGTTTCCAGTATTTGGATGCCGTTAGAACTTGTGCCGGCCGGAGAAAGGTACGGTAGTCGGGTTGTCTCTTTTTGATGGAGCTACTGCACGCGATCAGATCGACCACCCGCTGTGGCCGGCTTACTTATCGCGCTTCCGCGCCTTAAAAGTTTCGGATATCTGTGGCTGGACGGTTGGCTACCACAGGCATCCATGTGGCGGTGCACGCCGTTCCACCACCCCTCTGCGTGCTGCAGCTGCAACAGTGGATTGGAGCTGCCAAGAGAGCTTATTTGCCCGCTGTCGTGTACCTGTAACGGCTAGTCGCTCTCAGGACGTGGGACCAAATTCGCGCCCTCTTATTATCTACCTAGGTACCTTATACGTATACTGTTGGTACCGAGTCGTATCACCGGGTGCTACCGTCGACTGCCGCGAATTGTCTCTCACTCGTGTTCGACAGTATTTTACAGATTCAGTGAAGCGGCCATGATCACGTAGCTCGGATGTAACGAGGCAGCACTTCCATTTGTTACGGTCTCTCGTCGCTGACTTCATTCATTCGTTTGCGATTGCGATTGCGACGGAATATAATCCCGCTGAGCGTCTTCAAGCGCTTCGCAGCGCGCGATGCCGCATTCTACGACATACTCTGCCGGTTCCCACATGCGGGCTGCTTCCCAGACCCGCTCATCCAGTGCGAAGCCCATTGCCGATTCGAACGGTGGACCGGGACAGGGAGAAACGGAGAAGTTTCCGGATTTCGACGCTGGACACGCGTTTCCGCCCGGGCAGACGTCAGGCCAGCGCTGGCAGCAGAACGGCTACGGCTACGGCAATGGCAGCGCCGCACGCTCGTCGGACCGCTGGCATGTCCGGCGGGATAGCAGAGTGAGATGGGCGCCCCGAGAGCCGATATCGAGCTCCCTGGGCCACGGGAGCAAGAACAGTATTAGCGGTGCCGTCCATCGAATGCGTTCCGCAAGCATGAGCCAGAACGCCCAGGAGATTGCGAATGCATTGCATGCTCCGGTCTCGTGGAAGCTAGTTGTATGCCCCTCGTCCTTTCACTCGCAGAGGCTGGTCAGTGCTGATGGCTCCTTCTCTTGCAGGTGCTTTGCATCATGTGGTACTGGTCGTCTGCTCTGACCAATACCTCGTCCAAGACGATCCTCACGGCCTTTGATAAGCCGGCGACCTTGACCCTCATCCAGTTTGCCTTTGTGTCGTCGTACTGCGTTCTGTTCTCGTGGCTGGCGTCTGCTTTTCCCCGGCTGAGAGCGGCGATCCCAGCGCTCAGATATCCAATCCGATACCCGTCGCGAGATGTGATCAAGACAACCCTCCCGCTGGCGGCCTTCCAAATAGGGGGCCACCTCCTCAGCTCGAATGCCACGTCCAAGATACCGGTGTCTCTCGTACACACAATCAAGGGGCTGTCCCCGCTTTTCACGGTTCTCGCTTACCGCTTCATCTTTGACATCCGCTACCCCAAGGCGACATACTTCTCCCTCATCCCCTTGACCATCGGCGTCATGCTCGCCTGCTCCGGGAACCGCACCTTCAGCGGGCAATACCTGGGCATTCTCTACGCGCTCCTCGCCGCCATCATCTTTGTGACTCAAAACATCTTCTCCAAGCGATTGTTCAACGAGGCGGCGCTCGCCGAACAAGAAGGCCCAGCTGCGCACTCCCGGAAGCTCGACAAGCTCAACCTCCTCTGCTACTCCTCCGGCCTGGCCTTCATTCTCACGGGGCCGATCTGGCTGTGGTCCGAAGGCGTCGACATCATCGGTGATTTCCTCTGGGACGGCAGCGTGGACCTGATCCACAGCCCCAACTCGCTCGACCATGGCCCGCTCGTGCTGGAATACATCTTCAACGGCACGTTCCACTTCGGGCAGAACATACTCGCCTTCGTCCTCCTCTCGATGGTCTCGCCAGTGACATACTCGGTCGCATCTCTGATCAAGCGGGTCTTTGTCATCATCATCGCCATCATCTGGTTCCGCAGCCCGACGACCAAGATCCAGGCCGTGGGCATTGCGCTCACATTCTTAGGCTTGTACCTCTACGATCGTAGCAACCACAAGAACAAGGCGGACCAGCGCGCGCGGGCTATGACGGAGACGAAGAAGGAGGCCACCCTCCTGCCGCTGAGCACGAAGCACGTTGCCCCCTTGGGCCAACCGAATGGAGCTCCCATCTTCGAGAGTCCCGTGGCCACGTCCGAGTCTACGTCGACGGGACACGTCTACACGCAGGGCAGTGCAGCCGCAGCGGCTTTCGCGTCGGCTGCAGTGGTAGCCGACCCGAAGAAGTCGGACGATGTGGGCGCGCGGGTCGGAACACGAAATCGCGGGTCGAGCAATGCCGCATGGCTGCCGCCGGGGACGAGGCAGGAGGATACCTGGCGGGCAGGCGACGGTCAGACCGCCGTGGCTGCAAGATAAAGCAACACATCGTGATCAGTGTGTCCTGAAGAGTAAAAGATACCGGGAATTTACGTTGTTGGTGGCTGGGATATTGGGTCGAGCTTCTAGTTGGCATGATAGTGCCCTGGTCTGGCACCTCGTGGGCACGCGTGTGCGTTGGTATGTTAGATGAAATCATTGGCATGGACTAAGGATCTAGAGGGCGTTTTGTATGGCTATTTGGAAAAAATAGGGCATTGATCCTTGTAACTGTATGACGGAATTTCACAGGTGATAGAACTTGCATCTCTACCAGTGGAGGACATCATCTCCACGTTATGTGGTGACTCCCTGTTACTCCCCCCAACAACCGCTACCGTACCGTGCGTACTCATCACCTATGCGCTCTCCAGTCATTCTTCTCAATCAATCAACCACTCCTCAACCTCGACCCCCACCGCCCTTCCCAACCCCCTAATGACCTCCCACCCGACATTGACCCTCCACTTCCCTCCACAGTCCATCAGATCCCCCGCGCCACCAACCCTGACCAGCAGTCGCAGGCTCGCGAGCGTGGCAATCGCCATGCCGATGTCCGCATTCCCTTGCTCCTCCTTCTCCTCCCACCTTCCGCCTCTTCGCCCTCCTCCCGTGACGGTAGCAGCAGCCCGAGCCTCCCAGTCCCCGCGCACCGCCGCGAAAATAGCCAGCATCCGCTCCAGAACAAAGGCGTGTGCTCCGAGTAGTTTGCGCGCGATCTTCCGGTGCTTGCTCCGCTGCCCGCCGCCACGGCTGCTAAGGCCGCCGCGCCGGCGTCGGCCGTGGTGGTGGGTGGAGAAAAGGGTCAGGTCGTGACGCGTGGCGTTGTGCGAAGCGAGATACGAGGCGAGGAGTAATAGGCGGGGTGTGGTGGGGAGGAGAGTGGCGAGGTCGCGTCCTGCTGTTCTTGCTCCCGCCCCCATCCCGGTTCTTCCCTGCTTTGGCAGCGCCACGGTTGGTGGTCCAGTGGTAGTGCTGGTGGTGGTGGTATATTTGTCACTGCCGAGTCGATGATTGGGGCCGAGCACGCCCGGATCGAGCAGGCGCTCGTCCTGGAAGTGCATGCGCGCGGCGACGAGCAGCCTGGAGAACTCGCGTGCCGTGTGGGTGCCGGCCTGGATGGGCGCGGTGAAGCGCGGCCAGAGGGCAGTGCAGGCGTGGCGGAAGGACGGCAGCGTGCGGGAGGCGGCACGGGCCAGGGCGTCGTGTACGGCCGCGGTAAAGCGCGCCCAGAGGTCCGCGGTTTCGGAGGGAGTGGTGTTGGGAAGGGGAGCGGGAGGCGTGGTAGAGAGAATCGAGATGAACTCGGGCTTGGAATAGGTTGGGAAGTGCAGGTGGGGGACGGAGGAAATGCGGAGAAAGGACGGGGCCGGAGAGGTCACGATGAAGACTGTCGTGAGGGAGGGGATCTGTCATCCGGTCAGCCACTGCAAGGACTTGCGTTTTGAGGGCACACGTCACTGACGATCTCGGAGAGTCTGGCAAGGGCCGGGAGGAGAGTGTGAGGCGTGTCTCGCTGGCGGTCGATGCCGTCAAAAACGAGCACGAAGCGGAAGCTGTCGGGCCGGGGCGTGTATCTGAGCATCTTGGACAGCTCGACGGCCAGCTGCGACACCGTCTCACATCTTGACGGCGCGCCGTCCCATCTCAAGGCAATGGCGACTTTGCCCACGACGGTTTCGTAGAGATGGCGGCTTGTGACGCACTCTACCGAGTTGGCGATCGCATATCGCAAACTGAGCCCGTCATGTTCAGGCTGGTCTGAGAGTCCCTCGAGCAATGCTGCCGTGATTGCGCTCTTCCCCGTCGCCTCGGTGCCGTAGATGACCAGGTTCCGGCATGGCGCAGCGCCTGGCTGCCAGATGGGTTAGCCGTGAACAACGCCCATTACCTAGAGGTCCGCCAATCTCACCCAAAGCAGTGTTGCTAGGGTCCGGATCTGTGCGTCTCGGCAGGGAAAGGTCTGAGTGAGTGTGGTCAGGAGCAGCTCGTCAGGGAGCTGAAACAGAGAGCTGCCCATAGTTGACAACTTGAAGTTCAATATGGAGGGGGACCGGCTCTTCCCGGAAATCCTTGATGCCATTCACTTTTCAACGCCGATGTGTATTGAACAATCGAAGGTTTACACAGTAAGAACTGAAGATGCAGTAACGCGAATCGCGTTACGCGGTTCTGTTACACCTACTAGTAGCTCACGAAAGCTGGTGCGGGTCGCTCGGCGGTTCCACTTCGGCGCTGTAACGTACTGTACGAGCCAGGGCTGCGATGGTAATTCCAGTAACAGCTGAAAAGTGATGCGAATTCCAAGCGCGTCATCTGCGACGAATCATAGTACGCATGTACAATACAAGTACGTTGCGGAATCGACACCGACGGCACTGTGAAGCTTCACGTTGTAACGAGAAGTGACCGAAAGACTGTCAGTCATAGCGGGTAATTCTTCATTGACGGTACGGTACGGAGTATGTCCGTATGTACGGTCATAGCACTCGCAACTTACGCGGTGTCGACGTCGTCGCCGCTCTTTGAATTTGAAACTTCCTTTGTCTTCCTAACTACTACTAAGTACCTCGTAAAGACCGTCTGTTTCCCAGGTGGTGATGGGGTGAGTGACTCGGAATTTGGAGCTATGCGGAATTATCTAAACCCTTGTTGGCTTATTTAGGTGCTCTTGTCTCTTTGCTCAATGGGTGAGTCCCGACTTCCCATACCCGACGGAGTTCAAGTGACCCGGCAAGGAGTGCCAAGGCGTTTCCTCCGTTCGGCCTGGCCCCCTGTCCCCCAACAATCGGCCGTTCGCAGCCCGGAGCTCTATCCGGCCTGGCCAGCAGGGGCCAGCATCCGGATGACAGCCCACCGTCACGACAAGTCGCCATTTACGCAGATCAAGACATCCAATGCAAGATGCCCGAGGATATCGGTACCTCTGTCGCTGCTACGTCCAACCATAATAAACCTTACCATGCAAAGCGGCCGCACCGCAAATCTCGGACGGGATGCCGCAATTGCAAGACGCGCAAGGTCAAGTGTGACGAGGGCCGCCCAACCTGCCATTCCTGTACCGTGAGGAACGAGACATGCGTGTACATGGTTGCTGTACGCAGGCGCACCAGCCCCCCACCGTCTTCGTCTTCGTCTTCGTCAACGTCAACGTCCGGCCAGGAACTACTAGTAGCTCCCCCGTTCGCCGTGGCGCATAGGGAATGCACCCCTGCCACTGTCCCTCTGCAGCCCCTATTCATACCGAGTGGTCGCGACGAGCTCGACATGCGGCTCTTGTGGTTTTACACCACCGCAACCTACGCCTCCTTCTCGACCAGTCTGACGCAGCGCGACGTCGAGGTGGTCCTCAAGGTTCACGTCGTCCAGCACGCCTTTGCCAACCCTTTTCTGATGGACTGCCTGCTGGGTCTCTCGGCGATGCACATCAACCATCTCGGACTCCGCAGCATGGGCGTGTCGCGCACCCACGAGATCTACTACCGAGCCAAAGCCTTCGAGACCTACCGCAAGGCAGTCGAGGCTGCAGACCCGGCCGCCTATCCGGCCCTGTTGGCAGCATCTCTGTTGCTGTGCGGGCTGTCAACTCATGTGTTCCGGGGCGAAGAGGCCAAACCTCTGTCGATTCTGGATTGGATGCTAATCTGGAGAGGCATCGGCACCATCGCCGAGCTCACAGAGTCCAGGTTCCCAGAAGTAGCCAGGCCTAGGAACGGGATCGCGCAGCTCCTCAACCGGCCCGACGTAGATTCCGTTGCGTCCGCCCAGTGCGTCCCAAGCAATCTCCTCTTCATGGTGACTTCGATCAGGGACGACGACCCGGATTTCGCCTTTGTGCAGGCCTACTACAAAGCGCTACAAGTTCTCGGCTCGCTCTACCTCGAGCTCAGCAACGGCATTAGCCAGATGCTGCTGCTGCGCATCGCCACCTTCTTCACCTTCCTCCCGAGCCCATTCATCGATGCGGCCCGGCAAAAGCGGCCTCGCGCCCTCATCATCCTCGCCCACTACCTCGTATTCGCCATGTTTAGGTTCGCGGCCTGTTGGTGGATGGACGGGATCAGTCAGCGCGAGATCCCGGGCATATGCCAGTTCCTCGGGCCCGATTGGGACCACTGGCTCCGCGTTCCCAGGGCCGCGTTGCTGCTTGACAACTACCAGGATGTTGCCAGGCTCCTGCTGGACGATCCGCATTGGGACATGCCCACGACGCTGGAAACTGAGTCGCCGACCACGCAGCACGAGAGTGAGTTGGTGATTCGAGCGGTCATGGAGAACGAGGCGGCAGATCACATGGAGGTCCGCAAGCAGAGCAAGATTCTGTTTGAAATTCCGTGACGGTGCCGCGTTTCCCAGGGGGTTCCCTTCTCGCCGATTGAGTTATGTAAGAGCAAGCTCCAGAGCTCAGACCCATGAGCGAGGAGGTTCGGAGTATTAGACACGGCCATTGCCCCAACAGCGCGGCATGTATGCACACCACCGAACGCACACTGCACATCTCCTCGCACCGGCCATCCTCTACCTCCGCTCTCTTCACAGACCAAACCATTGCTCACTGGCCGTCAAATTCGCCGGCACGCTGTGGCCCACTCCCGTGGCATAGATGCCCTGCACATTCTCCCCATAGTTGTCCGTCTGGTAGTTGGCCTGCGGGTAGTTCCGGAGCGTGCTGGTCGGTGTCTGGCTGACGCCAAACACATTCGTCCACTGCTTGATGATCTCCTGGTAGTTGGCCGGCGCGAGCGTGCCGTCGGCACTGCCATGCCAGATCTGCATCTTGGGTCGTGGGCCACTGTACCCGGGGTACATGTTCCGCACTACGTTGCCCCTGTCATCGCATATCTCTGCTCAGTTTTCCCGTCTCCATTACCTATCTGCTAGAACCCCCGGCTCCCATCAAACCCTATATCCCAGATCAAGGAAAGAGAAAAACGACTCACCACTGTTCAGGCGTAGCCCGGCTCTGCCCGCCACTGCAGGTATTATTCCACTGATCGACTCCACCGCTCGCGCTCACAAAGCAGCCCGCCGGCACCCCGCTGTATATGCTCACAGCCTTGAGCAGCTCAGGGTACGTGGCGGCCATGACGTTGCCCATCATCGCGCCCGAGCTGCCACCCGTGAGGTACACCCGCTCGGCATCGACGCTGTACTTCTGGATGGCATACGAGATCATGTTGGCGATCGCCTGGCTGTCACCACCCCCATTGTGGCTGAGCGACTGCCGAGACGAGACGTCCCAGCAGGTTCCTGAGTGCGGCGACGACGGCCAGAGCGTGATGTATCCCTTGCGGTCGGACCCGGTGCGCCAGGGGATCTTCGAGTTCTGGAAGTAGGACTGGGCGGATGATTGGCATGAGTCTATGATGGGATGGTTGTCAGGGGCGTTTGTCAGTCCTGAAGTGTTCTGAGGTCTGGAGAAAAAAAAGGGAGGAAAATAGGGGAACGGAGAGGGGAGGCCCGATGGGGATGGAGCAAAAATGTGGTGTTTTCGAAAGCCTTTCACTGGTTCTTCCGCAATGATACAGATTGTAAGGGAGAACAAGGGGTGAACATACGGATGACGACCACCAGGGGTGGATTGGAGACGACGCGGTCGGGGACGTAGATGTACCTTTCCAAGCCTTGTCAACAGATAACCACCAAGCGAAAAGGACGTGGAAAGGAATCTACATCTGAGGCTTAGACGTTGCATTGTTTGGGTAGTCGACCCTGGTGAGCTGGGCTGCAAAGGCGTGGTGACCGGATAAGAGAGCCGCTCCGGCGGCGACGAGGTTGGTGAGAGTGATCATGTTGCTGTCAGCTCCGATACTCACAAGTACAGACTAAGGTAAGACCTCACATAGAACGAGGCCTTTTGTTTAACGGCAGCTAAGCATATCAGACCATGAGGCAAAGACCTGGGGTTTATATGTATGCCCATACATCCCCCATCCCCCAGCCGAGATCTTCCCAATCAATATCTCCTCCGGGATTTCAAATGTGACAGCTCAAGCTTCCCCGCAAACCGCTTGAAGCCGCAGGGCCTGACTGGTGGAGATTCTTGAAAAGGCCTGAACTGCCGTCGTCTCTCCGTCATCTATGGAAGTAAAGGGGAGGGCTGATGAGGCGGCTAAAAGATTGAATATGTCGGAGGGTAAACCACCTGTGATGCCACTCTGCTTAAAACACCCCATTGGATACCGCCAAGCCATCTGACAATCGTTTTCATAACCGCGCACCATTTGGTCAACCGCAGCCAGAACTGGCGCCGACAAAAGCCTCGCATGATCCCGGACTACAAGCGGTGGACCAAGAATCTCTCAACTCAATCAAGACTTCCAATCACGCCCATCAACAGCCGGACATAGGACACAGGAAATTTGATTGATACACAGCTCACAAAAGAGACTTGACTGAGCTAGCAAGGGGGAAAGTCGCCGGAAACCGTTTCGCTTCTATACACAGGTCACCGATTCCTTCCCGGTTTTACCGATCACCCAATTAAGAGCTCTTCTCGAGCTCCGCCAGAATCTTCTCACCCTTCTCCCGCGCCGACGCGAAGTCACCAACCATGTAGAAAGCACCCTCGGGCAGGTCGTCACCCTCGCCGTTGAGGATAGCCTTGAACGAGGCGATCGTGTCCTTGAGGTCGACCAGCTTACCCTCGATACCAGTGAAGACCTGGGCCACAGTGAAGGGCTGGCTCAGGAAACGCTGGATCTTACGGGCGCGCTCGACGGTAAGCTTGTCGGCTTCCGACAGCTCGTCCATACCCAGAATGGCAATGATATCCTGCAGCGACTTGTACTCCTGGAGGATCTGCTGGACGCGCGTGGCAACCTCGTAGTGCTCCTGGCCGACAATGCGGGGGTCGAGCATACGCGACTTGGAGTCAAGCGGGTCGACGGCGGGGTAGATACCCAACTCGGAGATACCACGGGACAGCACAGTGGTGGCGTCCAAGTGAGCGAAGGTGGTGGCGGGCGCAGGATCCGTCAGATCATCAGCAGGCACGTACACGGCCTGGACCGAGGTAATGGAACCCTTCTTGGTGGTGGTGATACGCTCCTGCATACCACCCATGTCGACGGCGAGAGTGGGCTGGTAACCGACGGCAGACGGGATACGACCCAGAAGGGCAGACACCTCGGAACCGGCCTGGGTGAAACGGAAGATGTTGTCGATGAAGAGAAGCACTGCACCCCGGTCAGCAAAGCTTATCCCCCTTTCCGGATTTGTTGAGAGAATGCACTCACCATCCTGTCCCTCGACATCGCGGAAGTACTCAGCGACCGTAAGTCTGTTGATGGGTGATATAAAGTCAGCATCACTGTCGGAGACTAGATCCGAATAGATTTAGGTATTGATGATCGTGATATCTCGGCCGCGTCACTTGTCGCAGGCCAACTTCGAGCAAGAGAGGTATTGATGATCGTGAGGTGAGGTGGGCGTCACTCGACGCAGATCATCCGCGAGGAAAGCTACAGCGCCGACTTCAACTGCGCGAGCTTCTTCTGATGCCGGGGGTCTGGTTGTGCCTGGTCAAAGACCAGTCGTTCAGAAATGGCTTGTCACAGGCAGCAAAGTAGTGCTTCTTGGCGGCAACGGCCTGCGCGCGCGCCTCAGCGCGGGCGGCAGCGTACTTCGACGGCGGGGGTTTTGATGATGCCAGCAGCGCGATCTTTGTGGGCTTGGGTGAGGAGATGCTTGTCGAGCGCGGCCTGGGATTGCAGAGACATCTGGCAAACAGGGCAGTGAAATCGCTGGGCTGAGATAGCCCTCTCCTTGGTGCTGGCAGCCGTCTGGTTGACTTGCTCCCTGTTCTTATCCGTCCACTCGAGCTTATCCTCGCGGACTTTTTTCATGTACCCCTCTGGGTCCGCTGCACGCTTGGCAGCCCTGTGTCGTTGGCAATTGACGAGGGTCCTCTCAGCTGATCTCTTCTCGCGCGCAGCAGCAGCAATCTCAAGCTGCTCTGGGCTCATCGACAGATCACCCCTGATGGCCTCCATCAGGCAAGATGACTGCAGAGGCGGCCCCAGCTGACAGACTCGCGCGGCCACGACACCAGATGCTCAAACAGCTTGTCTGAGCTCATCTTGGTTATGGCGTGAAACTGCGTGACGAAGTATGACTCGAGGGCGATGAAACGAGCCCGGATTGGCGGTACCATGCCGGCAGAGGGGAGTGGGTTCCAGCATAGCATGCCTTTCGAGGACACGCGGTAGCCCCTCTCGAAGGCAATCCTGACAAACCGAGGTACTTGGGAGTTCCCTGGTGTATACATCTGTATCCTCCTGAGGACGCCATTATTGGCACCGGTTCCCGAGCCAATGTAGAGCTTGCATAGCAAGTCGTCGTGTTCCATCAATATCGTATAGATGGCCCCCAACTTGGCATCTGAGGATGTTGGTGATGGGAGTGACCGAAAGAACTTAACGGAAGGCGGCTGAGACGAGGACAGGACGATGGCAAGCGTTGGCGGAAACGAAAGGGGAGAACAGGCGGATACTCCGTCGTATACGCCGCGCCGCGCTCCGCAAAGAAAGTGCTGAAGACTGGGTTTATCCCCTTCCAGTCTACATGGATAAAGGTATATGCCGCCGTATCGATCCTGCCCTCGAGCTCGCCATCTTCGACGCCCATAAGACCCGTGGCGCTGGCCTGGTCCTGGGATCCGACGAGAAGGGACGATGGATCCATGATGAAGTGAGGTCTCGCAGATAATGCTCAAGACAGGAGCGAGGCGTCGCAGAGCATGCACAGCTCGAACTCGAGCTGGACGAGACACGGGGGATACGACGACGGGGATAGGAAGAGGAGGGGGGAGGACGATCTGCATGCACTCCCATCTTGGGCAATCCCATCTTGGGCGCAGCAGGTGCAACTGGTTTCAATGCAATAACGAGCTAGGTCTAACGGGGAGGAGACGAAAGGGGAAGGGACCATCCAGCAAGGGGAAGGGACCATCCAGCAAGGGGAAGGGACCATCCAGCAAGGGGAAGGGACTATCCAGCAAATGAAGAAAATGCAACTTACCCAGTAAGGGCGACACGGGCACGGGCTCCGGGGGGCTCGTTCATCTGGCCGAAGACAAGCGCGACCTTTGACTCGCCGTCGAGCTGAATGACGGAGGTCTCCTGCATTTCGTGGTACAGATCGTTACCCTCACGGGTACGCTCGCCGACACCAGTGAAGACGGAGTAACCACCGTGAGCCTTGGCGATGTTGTTGATGAGCTCCTGGATGAACACAGTCTTGCCGACACCAGCACCACCGAAGAGGCCGATCTTTCCACCACGGGCGTAGGGGGCGAGCAGATCGACGACCTTGATACCCGTAACCAGAATCTCAGCGGTCGTCGACTGGTCAATGAACTCGGGAGCCTCGGCGTGAATGGGCAACCTCTTGTCAGTCTTGATGGGCCCCCGCTCGTCGATCGGGTCACCAGTGACGTTCATGATACGGCCGAGAGTGGCAGGGCCGACGCTGTATGGAATTTCTGTGTCAGTCGCTGCCCGAGCGTATTACAGGCTGCCCCCAAGCGAGTAGACTCACGGGATGGTGATGGGAGCACCGGCTGCGCATGGTTGTTAGCATCTCTCTGCCCAGGGCGATATGGGTTTGCGTTAGAACGGAACTCACTATCGGAAGCCTTGGCACCACGGACCAGACCCTCGGTACCGTCCATGGCAATACACCTCACGACGTTCTCGCCAAGATGTTGCTATGTCTCAGTTAGTATGTAGTGACGCTGACTGGCCGAAGAAATCAGCACATACGGCGACCTCGAGCACGAGCTTCTGGCCATTGTTGGTAGTCTCAAGAGCATTGAGAATGGGGGGGAGCTTCTCGGTGTCGAACTTGACATCGACGACGGCACCTGTTTGTGTTCCGCGGTTAGCCAAGCAACATAGTTTTCCCGAAGCCGGGGCAACCACGCGGCTCCAAGCTTACCGATGACCTGGTAGATCTTGCCGTCACCAACACCCGCAGTGCTGGCGAACCTGCTGAAGATCGGGGCTCTGAGGCTGAGGCTCGCTGGGCGGACGGCGCGACGAGTCGCCGCCGCGAAGGAAGGACGGGCTGTCCGGGCGAAGGCGGAAATGCCGCTGCGCGCGAGGGCAGAAACTTTGCATCAGTATCAATTGGTCTCAATTGGCGCATCGGATATTCAGAAAATCGAAAATTCGCCGGCAACTCACCTCTTGAACATCGTGACGATGATTAAGGGCGGACTTTGAACGATCTGATGGCAGTGAGGGAGGATGGCTTGGGGAAGAAAACGGGTTGGAAAATCTCTCGATGAGCTTTCGGCTAGGAGCTGCGGAGCTCCACGCTGCACGTGACTCGCTGTTCCAGGAATTGGTGGGCCTGGGCTTTTTGAAGCACGAAAACCGGAAACGTTCCATTCCCGTTTCCATGAACTACCGGGGATGATTCTGTCCGCTGCAAGATCCCCATTCACGTATTTGCATGGCCTACGGAGTACTAGTGCTTCGGTAATCGTCGAAGCTCTTGTATCATGACCTAGCTGGACCCCATGCATTCGGGCAAACTCGATTTAATGGCACGCTCACCCCTCAGTTTTATTTTCCGGGTGCACCGTTGGGCTGTTGCTGTTGAGAGGGCCCTAACCGGGACGTCCCGGGACGGACTTCGAAAAGTTCGAGGCTATCGTCGACGCCGCTTATTGGATGGAAAAGTGACAACTGTCATTTTCCAACCCTCGAATCTGCCTTGGACGTGCAGGACACGATCTCAACCATAGCACAATATACAGCGCAGTCTCACTTATACCACCCCTTTTCTCCCCCACTCCTTCCTTGCCATTGAGCTCATATGCACAACACAAGATCACCGAGCGTGCTCTATCCCCATTTCCTGGCTCTATCCATAGACTTACTTCTGCGAAATGGTCGACTCAAGCGCGAGAACCTAGAAAGAACAGGGTCAGAACAAGCCAAACGATGCATTTGTATAAAGAGCAGACTTACAAAAGCGGTTCTGCAGGGCACGTAGACATGTGTGCAGTTCTTCCTGCCGTTCCACTCAAGCGGCTCCGTGAAGAAGCGGGTGCTCTCATCAAGCCGGCAGAAGCCACCGTGGTCCTTCGTGTCGGTGTCCAGAACAATGCGGTAGGTGCCAGGGACCTCGATGCCAATGCGGTAGTCCGTGAAGCTGTTCGTCGGGTGGAAGTTGAAGACAAAAACCAGCCCGGCGCGCTCAAATACAATGACCTTGTCGCCCTCGTGCTTGAGCGAGATGTAGGCCTGCGGCGCATGCAGCCAGCCGTACTTCTCCTCGCACAGGTTCATGGAGCGGTCAAAGTTGTTGAGGAACTGGTACCGCAGGAGGTGGTCCTCCGTGAGGTTTAGCTGGCGGCGAGCGTACCAAAACGAGTTTTGGTTGCCTTCGCGGGGGAAGTCCAGCCACTCTGGGTGGCCGAACTCGTTGCCCTCGAAGTTAAGCCATCCCTCGCCGCCCAGTCCATGCGTCAGGAGGCGGATCATCTTGTGCAGCGCCATGCCGCGGTCGATCACCGGGGTCAGAGGCGAGAGGACAGACATGTTGGTGTACAATTCAGCGTCGCAGAGGTGCATCATGAGAGTCTTGTCGCCAACGAGTCTGTTCCAGACAGTTAGTCAACTTGCTGCACAGCCGAGACGTAGGAACGTACGCTTGATCGTGACTCTCCGCGTATGCAATCGTCTTTTCTCCGTGACGGCGGTTAGTCAGGGTGAAGCAGATGTTGCCAATGTCCCACTCCTCGTCCTTCTTCTCCTTCAGGATCTTGATCCACATGTCGGGGATGGCCATGGCAAGCCTGTAGTCGAACCCGACACCTCCTAGCGACAGTGGAAGACATAGCGCTGGCATGCCCGAGACGTCCTCGGCAACCGTGATAACGTCCGGATATAGCCCATGGAGCATCTCGTTGGCCAACATGAGGTAGACCACCGCCTCCTCATCGACACTGGCACCAAAATACTCATGGTAGCCGCCGGAAAAGCCACTATCGGTCATTATTAGCTCAGCATACACGTTCGTCTGGGGAGAGCCAGATGGCGACACTTACGTCCCAATGCCGTGATGCAGGTAGAGCATGCTCGTCACTCCGTCAAAGCGAAACCCGTCAAAATGGTACTCGTCCATCCAAAAGCGCAGATTGCTGAGCAGGAACCGCATGACCTCGTGATGGCCATAGTTGAAGAGCCTGCTGTCCCAGAGCTCATGCCTACCCCGCGCGCCCTCGTGGAAATACTGGTGCTCGGTCCCGTCAAACTGGTTCAACCCGTCTAGCACGTTCTTGGATGCATGGCTGTGCACAACATCGAGCAGGACGACCAAGCCCAAGCTGTGCGCCACGTCGACCAGTTCCTTCAGATCCTCGGGCTCGCCGTACCGGCTGCTGGCAGCAAAGAAGTTGTTCACCTGGTAGCCGAAGCTGGCGTAGTAGGCGTGCTCCATGATGGCCATGAGCTGGATTGCGTTGTAGCCCAAGCTCTTGATGCGCGAGAGCATGTTCTTGGTGAATTCCTTGTAAGTAGTGACGCGCAGTTCGGGCGACGAAATACCGACGTGAGCCTCATAGATGCGCAGGCTCGCCGGCCTCTTGGGCCGCTGGTGCTTGAACTTGTACTGGGCTTCAGCCGGGGGGTTCCAGAACCGGGCATCGTACGCCGGTGAGACCGAGAGATCCTGCGTCACGTATTTGATCCATGCTGGGAGCCGATCGACCCATTCCCCTGTCGGTAGCTCGAGTGATATCTGCGGGTGTCAGACTGGGTGTTATGGTGTTGTTGCTGCTGTTGCTGTTGTTGCCCTTACCTTGATCTTGGAATTGTGGGGGATCGCCGGCTTCCCGTCCGCGGCGGGGGGCACCGTGAGCTCGAAAACCCCGTACTCGTTCTTCTTCATAGGATGGGTCTTTCTGTCCCACTGGTCTTGACACTCTCTGTAAGACATGGGTTTAGGGAACAACTCGAGATCTGTGAGACTCACTGAAGTCGCCGATGAGCGAAGCCTGAACCGCATTGGGCGCCCATTCTCTGTAGACAATGGTGCCATCTTCTTTCACGCGCAAACCGAAGAGATCCGTTCCCTGAGAAAGTCAGCGAGGCAAGCTGGGGAACTCGGATGGTGACGGCCGACCTTGCTGAACTTATCAAGGCCCCCTTCCGTCTCGTTGATTCGCTTGATCCATTCCTGCGCCTTGGCATAGCGACTCTTCAACGAGTCCTGGAAGGGGGACAACCATGGATCGAGCTTCACAACTCCTGTTTTTCAAGTCAGTTACCCGCACTAGTCGTCAAGATATCTGCCGTGACGTACCAGTACCGTCCTTAGGAATATCGTCTTCAGCTACACTGCCTCCACCCACCAACGTATTTGACGAGTTCATCGCAGTTGGGTCCATGATGCGATCTTAGTTTACCGGAGGATGGTATGGCTGGTTTCTGTCCGTCGGGAAGTGCTGGATGCTGCAGATTCCGTCTAGATCCAGTCCGCCGAGCTCGGGTTGTAATCCGTGCGATTGATTTCGGCCGCTAGGTAGGTGACTCCGATCCTCAAGTAGAGAATCTCAACAGACGCAAACAATGAGAAGAGGGAATTCACTAGTCGATTACTTTTGCTAGAGGGAAAGAATGCGATTGCTACCCGAAGAGCGGGGGCGGAAATATGGAATTTGACCGTCAACTCGCGTACCTGGAGCTTGCATCAAGTTGGGTGCGAGCTTGGTGAGCTTTAGATGGCACGTCAACGCGAGATTACATCATGGCTCTCCTGCGGTGCGGCCCGATCGATTATTCGGAGCGGACTGGATCTCGTCAGAGGCAGCAGCATTTACTCAGCCACTCCACGCTCGCCTCCAGCGACAACCTGCTGCTTTAGGTGCCCCTTGCGCCGCCGTATGTTGGCAGACCAACTTTCATGTGCCAGCCCCGATGCAGCGCTGTATCGCAGTGATGGACTGAAGGATGCACAGTACCTAGGTAACGTTAATAATAAGCACTGGGTAGCTTGCCAGAAATGGATCCTTGTTTGCGGAGGCGGCGAGAACTATGGCCCGGCGGGGGTCTTCTTGGAGAAGGTCCTGATTCCTGATTGGCTGTGACTGCTGACAGGAAGGGTAGCTGCGGGTTAGCTATTGGACTCCCCGCAATGCCGTCAGGCTTCCCTGTCCTTAGTAGTCACCAGCTTGAACGGTTACGGAGTGGCGTGCTGGACATCTACCTTCCTTACGTTGCCTCACGCCGCTCAGGCTGGTGATACATTACATCCTGAAACGTTCGCCTTCGTGAAGGGATTTGCCTGAGCAATTCCCCGAGCATGACCGACGATAAACTACGACATGGCGGTCCAAATGCGACCCCGAGCGCCGTTGTGCGCAGCTACCCTGAGACTGGTGCGGCTCCGAAATCCGGCTTACTCGACATCAAGCGTTCGCCTCTCAACCCCTCGCCGCCCCAATCACTTTGGTTCTGGGTACACTAGCAGCTATGATCCGGCCCAAGAGACAGGCCGCGGTCCCATCTTCAACAAGCATACCTTTGGCGTCCCCCAGTTTTATCCTCGCGACCTGAAGAGACGAGTAGATGACTACGTCGTGGGCCAGGACCGCGCGAAAAAGACGATATGCTCCGTCATCTTCAACCATTATCAGGGCTTGCGGCGGCGGCAACACTACGAATTTCAAGACCAGCGACTGCGGGAAAAGGTCCAGCGGCAAAAGTATGCCCAAGAGCAGGAGGCCTTCGAGCGCGCCGGTTACAACAGTAGCCGGGTGCATCCGGTGGAAGGTGGGCGGTGGCCCTCGCGTCGTTCTGTATCTGGTGCGGGATCTCGGCGACAACAAGCTGATGATTATCTTTTCCACAAAGACGAGTTTCCCGGACACTACGAGTCTGCCCGTGACCCCATCCCGGACAACCTGCTGGACGCCCCGGCAGACGACTTCTACATCCCAGAAGACTTCTCGGCGCCTGAACGCGTAAAGATAGACAAGAGCAATCTGCTCCTGATTGGGCCAACTGGCGTGGGGAAGACCTACATACTCGAGTGAGTTAACCGGACTCATGTTCCCCTTCCTGCCGTGCTGACCCTTTGCTGCAGAACGTTAAGCAAGAAGCTCAACGTACCATTCACCATTAGTGACTGCAACTCATTCACGCAGGCCGGATACATCGGACAGGACGTCGAATCGTGCATCGAACGACTGCTCATCGAGGCTAATTACGACATCAAGGCTGCTGAGCATGGAATCGTCGTATTAGACGAATTCGACAAGATCGCGAAACGCGAGACAGTCAATGGCCGAGATGTTGGAGGCGAGGGCGTACAGCAAGCGCTGCTGAAGCTCGTGGAAGGGACCAAGGTCACGATTAATATCAAGGACCAGAGATCCTCATCGCGGACTTCAAACAACTCGCCAGGCAGCTACGGGCCGTCAACCCCGACGTCGACGCCACCGTCTGGCAAGGTCGACCAATATACCATCGATACGACTAACATTCTCTTTGTATTTTGCGGGGCTTTCGTTGGGCTGGACAAGATCGTCCTTCGGAGAGTCGCCAAGCCGTCGATCGGTTTCGGTTCCGAGGTCCGTGGCCGCGTCTCTTCCATGTCCGACGCCAAGGACATTCTGCCACCCGAGATGTACAGCCACCTTCCACATCAGCCGGTGTTCAGCAGTGGACGGTCCGTAACCGGATTCACCCCGCTGGACCTAGCCACACCGGCCGACCTACAAGCCTACGGCTTCATTCCCGAATTGATTGGCCGTTTACACAACACCTGCGCACTGACGCCTTTGTCGCTCGATGAGCTCTACCGCATCTTAACAGAGCCTCGCAACAGCCTGGTGGCGCAATATACCGCCCTATTCGAGACATACCCTAGCAAGCTCTTCTTCACCCGCCGGGCGCTGTACGCCCTCGCCGAGCGGGCGGCCAAGAACGAGACGGGGGCGCGCGGGCTCAAGATGGAGATGGAGCGGGTGCTGGCCGAGCCCATGTTCGATGCCCCAACGCCGTACGTGCTTATCACCGAGGGGTGTGTCAATGGCACTGAGAAGGCCAGCTATTGGGGCAAGGACGGCAGGCTAGAGCTTGAGAGGCGGATGCGAGAGGAGGATAAGAAGTTTATCGGTGGAGAGGCGGAAGCGACGTTTGAGCAGTTCCGCGAGGCCGGCTGGAGCGGCGCTTGATTTTTTTCGCGCTACGAGTGGAGTTAGGACGGTACACTGGGTCTAAGCGATTTTGATGAGGCGTTTGGGCAGGCAGGAATTTTTTACGGGTTTGGAATTTCTCATTGGGACATTGCGGATGGTTCCGGCGCATCGCTTGAAGTGCAGTGTTATTTACAGAATAAGCTGCCTCGGGGTTAGTAGTTACAAGATACAGTATGGCAAGGGATGGTCGCAGAAGTAGAAACGCAGTTGATCGGAAATACTACAGACTATTGACTTCTGGACGGTCATCACCCTATTGCTGGCGCCGATCGAAGCTCAATTGATCGCGAAGTCGGGGTAGCTCGCTGGCGGCAGCTGCTGGCCCAGCCTGATTGATCATTGCATCATAATACGGCATGGTGGGGCAGCGGCATCGGAGAAGCAGCCATTGAAAAGTAGTATGAGGGGTTGTGTTTCTGCAACATCCAATTGACCCAGACCTGTAAGATACTACCAGCTAGCAGGACGACACGACAGAGTTTTGAAAATCTATCACCTCCTCGCTGACTTGAGTTTGCCACGCTCTCATATTCAAGCTCAACTCCCGCCACCGGCGCTCTGAACTTCCTAGAATGATACCCCGCCGCAGCAACTGAACCCCTCCGCTTATTATCCTCCAATTCCTTCCCCATTACCAGACACGAACCGAACCCCCTCATTCCCCGACTCGAAAAAAATAGACCAAAACATGTCGACACCTCCACCAGAACCGGCAGCAGCCAGTGCCAAAGCAACAATAACCTCGCTCCCGCCCTTCCAGCCCGACCTGTACCAACGCGCGTGGTCCTCCATCCCACACCCAACCCTTCCCTTGATCGCGACCGCCCACGCCAAATCAGTCACCGTCTTCTCCCTCGTCACCTTCTCCAAGCACAGCGCGCTCACAGGGGGGCACGCCCGCTCCGTACGGACCACGGCGTGGCAGCCGCCGCGGGGCGGGGCAAGCAATGGGCAGAGTAAAAGGAGGTTGGCGCTGGTGACGGGGAGTTTTGACGCTACCGCGGGGATGTGGAGCTATGAGGAAGCAGGTGGCGGTGACGAACCCGCAGGATTGGAGAAAGAGGTGCGGTTCGATCACGATGGTGACCGGGGTGAGGAGGAGGAGGACACTAAAGAGTGGGAGTTCAACCTCGTGCTGGAGGGCCACGAGAACGAGGTCAAGGGCCTGGCGTTCTCACCCGGCGGGCAGTACCTCGCGACCTGCAGCCGGGACAAGTCGGTGTGGATCTGGGAGGACGTCGGGGCGGAGGAGGGCGATGACGAGTGGGAGACGGTCGCGGTGCTGAGCGAGCATGACGGCGATATCAAGGCCGTGGCGTGGTGTCCGTCCGACCTGCCGAATGCGCGGGCCAAGAGGAGGCATTACAGCACGGACGTGCTCGCGAGCGCCAGCTACGATAACACGGTCAGGATATGGCGGGAGGATGCGGACGGGGAGTGGGTGTGTGTGTCGGTGCTGGAGGGTCATGAGGGCACTGTGTGGGGGTTGCAGTGGGAGTGCAATGCGAGGGCGGATGGGCGGTTCCCGAGGTTGATGACATTCTCGGCCGACGGGACGATCAAGCTTTGGACGTTGAGGGAGGAGGAGGAGGAAGAAGAAGAAAAGGGGGTTGAAGACGAGGGCGCGGCGAATCCATTCAGGTCTGGGTTCGGGGGCATCCCAAGCACCATGCGGCGTTCCCTCAGGGAAGAGTGGGATTGCACGGCGGTGCTACCCAAGGTGCACACCAGGGATGTGTACTCTGTGTCCTGGAGCGCTGACACTGGTCTGGTGGCGAGCACCGGCAGCGATGGGGTCATTGCGGTCTATGCTGAGGAAGACACCACCCCGGGGATCGACTCTGGAGCAGAGAACGGCGCATCTGGGCCAAAGACCAACTGGCGGGTGCTGGCCACTGTCTCCAATGCCCATGGACCCTACGAGGTCAATCACATCACATGGTGCAAGCGGTTTGATCCCGGGGCCGAGTGCAGGGGCAAGGAGGAGATGCTCGTCACGACGGGCGATGATGGCGTTGTTCGGCCGTGGCAGGTTAGGATATCACCGTCATAGTAGAAACTTGAAGTTACCTAGACTCAAACCACGTAAGAAACTCTCTACCTAGGTACTGAATTCCAGGTCAAAGCAACGGCACCTCAAGTTTTGTCCTGTATGTATTGTACAATACACGCTGCGTCGGCTCGAGGCCGAATACTACTACTAGTAGTACCCAGCTGATCAATAGCACACCATACCCATGAGAGAGACATCATGACAGCAACAAAGGAAAGACTTTCAGTACTAATTCTTCTCCCTACCCATGGTCTATTACTCAAGCATTCAATGATGATTATACAAGGAGAGCGGGCATCGCCTGGGCCCTCTACTCGCCCTTCAACTTGTCCTGCTTCACAGTGAAGGCCATCTCCAGCAGGTCCTGCTCCTCCTTGACGTGCGACGTCTTCAAGCCAGTAGCAACCGACGCGCTCGGGTTGCGGCCAGCATACATGACGTGCTTGCGGTCGTGGTGCTTGGTCTGGTTGAGCAGCGTCTCGATGCGCGGCTGCGTGTAGCTCCACGCGCCCGCGTTGAGCGGCTCCTCCTGGGCCCAGACGATGGTCTTGGCGTTGGGGTACATGTCGAGGTTCTCGCGCAGCTGCTCCCACGGGAAGGGGTGGAGCTGCTCGATGCGGGTGAAGGCGACGTTGTCGATCTTGTTGTCGGCGCGGTACTTGTGCAGCGCGGCATACACCTGGCCGGTGCACAGGATGACACGCTCGATCTCCTCAGGCGACTTGATAGCGCCCGACTCGTGCGCCGGGTCCGGGATGATCCAGCGGAACTGGGTGTCTCCGATGAACTCGTCGATGTCGGAGCGCGCCAGCGGGTGGCGCAGCAGGGCCTTGGAGAAGAAGAGGATGAGAGCTAGGCCGGCAAGTCAGCGGAATGCTTCCAAAGTCCTACACGGAGCCGGGCGGTTACTTACGCTTCCGGAACTGGCGGTTCATCTGGCGGCGGAGGATGTGGAAGAGGTTGGCGGGCGTGCTCATGTAGGCAACCTGCATGTTGCAATCCTGGTGCTGGCGGTGCAGCTTCTCCTCCGAGGGGAAGACACGGGGGTCCTCGTTGCAGAGCTGGAGGAAACGCTCCAGACGGCCTGACGAGTGCTCGGGGCCTTGTCCGTCGTAGCCGTGGGGCAGCGACATGACCAGACCGGTGCGCTGCATCCACTTCTGCTCGCCGGACGCAATGAACTGGTCGATGATGCATTGCGCGTTGTTGGCAAAGTCGCCAAACTGCGCCTCCCACATGACGAAACCGTTGGGGTCCGTCAGGGAGTAGCCGTACTCGAAGCCGAGAGCACCAAACTCGCTGAGCGACGAGTTGGAGATGACAAACTTGCCCTGGTCCTTGCTGACGTGCTGGAGCGGCGTATATGTGTCCTCGGTTTCCTGGTCGTGGAAGACGGCGTGGCGCTGCGAGAAGGTGCCACGCTCGACGTCCTGGCCCGAGATGCGCACGTGGCGGCCCTCAGTCACCAGGCTGCCGAACGCGAGCGCCTCGGCCGTCGACCAGTCGATGTTCTTGCCCTCAAGGACCGACTTGGTCCGGTTAGAGAGAATGCGCTTCAGGTTGCGGTGGAGGTTGAAGCCCTCGGGGGCGCTGCCGATGACTTCACCGATGTGCTCCAGCGTCTTCCTGTCAACGCCGGTCGGATTGTGCGGCAGGACCTCGGTCGCCAGCTCTTTGGGCGACTTGAAGCCGTTCCAGGCGCTAGTGGTCCACTCCTTCGAGGTCGGCTGGTAGTCCTTGGACTTGGAGAAGCTCTCCTCTAGCATGCCCCACACCCACTGCTTGTGCTCCTCAATGTCCTCCTTGGTGAAGGTGCCTTCCTTCAGGAGCTGCTCGACGTAGATGTCGATCTGCGGGTTCTTCTCCTGGATGCGCTTGTACATCAGGGGCTGGGTGAAGGATGGCTGATCCGTCTCGTTGTGGCCGTGCTTGCGGTAGCACACCATGTCGATGATGACGTCCTGCTTGAACTCGGCGCGCCAGTCCGCGGCCAGCTGGCAGACGAAGTTGACAGCCTCGACGTCGTCGGCGTTAACGTGGAAGACAGGGGCGTCAATGGCCTTAGCAATGTCCGTGCAGTAGGCGGTCGAGCGGGCGAAACGAGGATCCGTAGTGAAGCCGATCTGGTTGTTGACCACCAGGTGGATCGTACCGCCGGTCGAGAAGGCCGGCAGCGAGTGGAAGCCGAGGCACTCGTAGACAACACCCTGGGCAGCGAACGCGGCGTCGCCGTGGAGAAGCACAGCCATGGCGCTGCGGTGTGTGGCCTCGTCGTTGTTGTAGTGCTGAATAGCGCGGACCTTGCCGAGGACGACGGGGTCCTCGGCCTCGAGATGCGATGGGTTGGCCACCAGGGACAACTGCACGCGCTTTCCGGACGGCGTAGGTCGCTCGAAGTTCATTCCCAGATGGTACTTGACGTCGCCGGAGCCCTCGTCCTCGGCCCCGGCAGTGCCAGCAAACTCGCTGAAGATGGACTCGTTCGGTTTCCTGACGACGTTGCTCAGGACATTGAGACGGCCACGGTGGGGCATGCCAATAACAATGTCCTTGACACCGTAGTCGACACTGCGGTCGATCAGCGCCTTCATACCGGGCACCAAGCTCTCGCAGCCTTCCAGGCCGAACCTCTTGTCGTTGGGGTACTTGGTGGCCAGGAAGGCCTCGAAGCTCGAGCTCCAGATCAGGCGGTCGAGGATGCGGCGCTTCTCGTCGATCGAGTACTTGAACGGCTGCGGCACTTCAATGCGCTCGCGCAGCCAGTCGCACTTCTCCCTGTCGGGAATGTGGATGAATTCGACGCCGTAGGAGCCGCAGTAGATCTTCTCGCAGGCAGCGACGATCTCGCGAAGCGTCATCTTCTCGCGGCCATCGCGCTTGAAGCGCGGCAGGATGCCAGGGCCCAGGGTATACTCGGTATCCAGATCCTTCTCGGTGAATTGGTAGTAGTCGAGCTCGAGCTCTTTCGGCCTGATGTTGCCGAACCCTTTGGAGGTATTGCGGATGCCCAGAGGGTCGATCCTCGACTTGTGATGGCCGCGGGCCTGGTACGCGCGCACCAGCAGCTGGACCTTGAGATGGTTGGTGACGTCGGAGCCCTCGCCAATGCCGACACCAGCGCCGGCAGCGAGGCCAACGACAGCCTGGGTGCTTGGCACGAGAGACGGTGGCGGCGTGAAGGCCTGCGAGATGGGCATCTCGCCGCTCTCCATGTTCTTGAAGTAGACCTGCCATGACACATGGACGCTCTTGGGGTCCTGCTTCCACTGCAGGTACATCTCATCGATGTAGTTCGCCGTGTTGCCCGAAAGGAAGCTGTCGTTCGGATCGGGCGGGTTGTGGAGGGCGCTCTCGAACCGTTTTTGCGCGGCGACGGCGAGCGGGCGGCGGCTGGCGCGCGCCGAGACGGTGGCGGTCGAGAAGCATCGTGACGACGACGACGCGGCGCCTTGCAGCGCCCGGATAGAGGTGCGCAGCATCTCGGCAGGATATCACAGGGCGGGCAACGACAAGGTGAGCGATATATGCCTATGAGCTGGGTTGACTCAGAGAGGAAGGCTCGGCCACAGAAAATCGATATCGAACTCCGTGTTATGCTCCGAAAGTATCGTACAAGAAGACGCAGACACAAAGGAGCGGCGGAGTAAGTCTTGTGCGAGATAGTACAAAAACGTGAAAACTAGATCGTCAAAGGACGAATAGTCTGAGCTGGGGACATTGGCGTGTCCGTCCGAGGTTGTGGTGGTGGTTTGCTTGCCTTGCGGGCAGAGAAGGGAGCAGGAAAAAAGACGCTGGCATTCGGGACATCGATGACGGCAATTTTCGCTGGGCGACGGCTCTGGAGCTGTGACGGATCCCGGTTGGCAGCCTTGTTGGGCCAATAGGGGCCGGCTTGCGGGCCACGGCTAGACGGAAGCTGACTTGTTACAGGACGTTGCCCTCCGTAATCTTTGAGGCCCAGCCGCCACCAGGTTGCCAACGTTTTCCGGCTACCAGCAACTTCGGGGCTGCCTAAGGTACCTACAGTACTAAGCCGCGCTTCCTTTCTGATTCTGGAGGGAGTTCCCATCCGTTTTGTGATCGTTTTATGATCGATTTCCGCCAAATACCGATCTGTATCTGGGCCGGGCCATTTGCTGGCAATCTTGGGGTCGCGAGTTGCAACATTACAGTGATCTCCGCTGAAAGTGCCACGGTCCCGGGCGTTACATAACGAGATCATTCCCGAAGGTTGGAAACTGCGCGTGACCCCATTTCCGGACCTGCCATTGGATCCCGGCCGCACTGATCGGTCCCGGGCCCGGGGCTAGCGAGATCAACACGGGGAGCAGTAAGAGCACGCCGCAGGGAACGTTATTATTATTAGGAGGCAGCTGAGAGTGAGATTTGCACTGGCCGGCGGCAGCTGAGGCGCCGTGCCGCTAGACGACGCCGGATGCCACATCTCCACCGTCGAACCGAGTACGGGAGTGGACGTCTCTTCATTATCAGCAACGGCATCGGGAGTGACTGCGTTCCCTTGAGCCTGCACCGCAGGCGCCGCCGGCACCCATGGCTCTCCCGCGCGGCAGAACCACGTACAAGAAGAAGGACGGCATCCTCACTCTGACCGATGACCGCAGTGCGTTAGTATGGGCACCAATGCCCGCGACTGGGCCGCCGACGGTGTCTCTGGCGCTGGAGAATATCATGAACCTTCAGCAGACGCCAGACGGCGCACCAAAGGTCATCTTGAGGGTCGTCGAAAAGCCCAAGGCGAATGTGGACGGCGCGGCGGCCCAGCAGTTCCTGTTCCACTTCACCTCGCCCACGGAGGCCCGGGCGGAAGCAAATGCCATCAGGGACCTCCTCTCCCAGCTGCTCGCCGCTGCCCGCGAGAATGACCCGAGCGTGCCGAAGCCCGTTGGCGCGACCAACACGTCGGCGGCCATGTCGTTTGCCAGCACGGTGAATGCCAAGGCGGCGCCGGCAAAGTGGTTCGACGACAACACCCTCAGGGCAGACATGGAGCTCCAGCAGTCTCTCATGAGGAAAGACAAGGACCTGGCCCAGACCTACTCCGACGCGCTCGCCTTGAAACCGGAGTCCATCTCGGACGCTGCTTTCAACGCCCAGTTCTGGTCCAGCCGCGTCGGGTTGCTCCGTGCGCACGCCATTGAGCTGAATCAGAAGAAGGGGGCCTACAATGTCCTCTCGACCATCAAGCCGCGGGCAGAAGACGGCCAGTTCAAGCTCAGCATTACGTCCGAACAGATTTCCATGATTCTGCAGCAGCATCCGCTCGTGAGGCGCATCTATAACGAGAATGTCCCCAAACTCAGCGAAAGCGAGTTCTGGTCTCGTTTTTTCTTGAGCAAGCTGTCCAAGACCCTGCGCGGGGAGCGCCTCACGGACAATGACAATGCCGACGTCATATTTGACAGGTATCTGAACGCCGACAACTCGCTCGGCCTGGCAAGCAAGATCACGGCGGCCGGGAAGGTCCCGCACATCATAGATCTAGAAGCAAACGAGGAGAACCAAGGCGGGTTTAAGAGCGGCAACCGGAAGGATGTCGAGATGCGGCCGAGGGCCAACGTCCCCATCATCAAGACGCTCAACAGCCTCAGCCAAAAGATCCTAGCCAACGTCAACCCTGCGGATCTCGATCCGGCCGCCGCGGACGGACGGGCCGACGACACACGTACCCTTGACGAGCTGGCTCTGCGCGATCTCCGCGGCGATCCCGAGGCAGCCCGCATCATGCTCAACGTCAAAGAGCAGAACAAGTTCTTTTCCAACCAGGACGCCACGTCGGAAGAAGCCAAGGTGTACGAACACCAGGTCCCGTCGGAGGTTCTTTTCGAGGTGCAAGCCGACCTCGAGACGCTCGACGACGACGGCTCGGGGGGGTTAGATCTGCGCAAGGGCATTGGCGTCGACGACGACAGCGACAGCGACGGCGACGGCGAGACCAAGAAGGCCCCCCACGTCGGCTCCCGCGCCGCGCGCAAGGAAGCGCAGAACCAGATCCTGGACGGCATGCGCAAGAAGCGCTCCGAGCTTCTCTCCGGAAACGGCAGCGAAGACTCGGATTCGTCGCCCATGAGCATCCCGCCGGACATCGCCCAGCGGTGCGTCCTCACCAACGCGACGACCGTCGAGTTTCTCAAACAGTTCTGGAGCGCCTTCCTCTCGGGCGACCCGGCGCGGACACAGGAGCTTGCTTACTACGCCGAGTCGCTGCGGCGGTCGGCCGAGCGGATCGACGCGCTGGCGGCCGAGGCCGAGAAGGTGCGCCAGCAGCTGATCGAGAAGCGGAAGCGCGAGATCAAGGAGATCTACGAGCGCACGCGCAGGAAGATCCGCTGGCAGCCGCCCAGGGGCGGGAAGGACTCGGTCCTAGCGCTGTTCGAGGCCACGTTGACCGGCTTGAATTCCGCGCAGGCGCTGTACGGGTCGGCGTTGGACGAGGCCAGGGGCAGGCAATGAAACACTGCCAGCGATCGGCCAAGGTTGACATCTCAAGCATGGTGCGCTATATCTGGAATCTATGTCCTGGTATCGGATAACCAAGGGAGGCAAGGCGTAAAGGGCATCGAAAATAAGATGCGACAGTCTGCATGACCACGGTGATGATACCATCGAGCGAGCATTTAGAGGGGAAAATGACTGAAAAGGAGTCTGTTTTCTCCTTCACTTTATTTCCAGCATCCAGCATCTAGGTACTGGTATTCAGCAAAAAAGGCAGGCGAAGTACGGTGCAGCTTTACACACTTCCAGAACAGGTGTTATATCTACACATCCCAAAATCACCGCAGTCTTTTTCTTTTTTACATTGCAGTACTCCATTCGCCAAAATGACTTTCTTCCCAAAATACATCCCCAGGCATCCTACATTCTCTCCGTCTCCTGGCTACACAGCGCACGGTACGCTCGCTATATACCAACCTGCCTCACCCTCGCCTCCTCGGTGCCCTCCTTAGGACCCGGGACGACTTCGAAGCCAATGCCCCTCCTCGCCTTCCTCTTCCTTCCCGCATCGCCAAACTGCTCGTCAAACTTCCTGATGGCCTTCAGGCTCTCCATGTCCCCGCTGATGCTCGCACTGATTTCCCGCAGGCCCTTATCGAAGTGCCGCCTGTTCAGCACCCGCCTCTCAGGCCACTGGTACTCGCCCTCGCCGGTCCAGGCTTCTTTTGCCCGCACTTCCTCCCTGACCGCCTCCATCGCGGCCGACACGCACAGGTTCTTGAGGTCGGATCCGGAATAGAGATCGGTCTCCTGGGCGAGAGCAGCCAGGTCAACGTCCTCGGCAAGGGTCTCGTCCTTGAGCATGACGCGCAGGATGGCCTCGCGTTCGGGAGCCAGGGGGAGGTCGACGAGGATCTTGCGGGGCAGGCGGCGCAAGACAGCCTCGTCGAGGTCGAAGGGCCGGTTGGTGGCCACCATGATGAAGGCGCGCATGTCGCTGAGGCCGTCCCACTCGCGCAGGAACTGCGTGATGGTCTCGCGGTGGGCGGCGCGGGCGTGGGAGGACCGACGCGCGGCAAGCAGCGCGTCGGCCTCGTCCAGGAAGATGACGCACGGCGATAGCTTGCGGGCCAGCGAGAAGAGCGCCTGCACGTTCTTCTCGCTCTGGCCGAGCCACTTGTCGTTGATGGAAGCGGCCGACACCTCGAGCATGCTGGCGCCGGATTCCTTGGCGACGGCTTTGGCGAGCAGCGTCTTGCCTGTGCCGGGCGGCCCGTACAGGAGGCAGCCGGGGATGCGCTCGGTCTTGAGCACGCCGTAGGCGAAGGCCTCGGGCCGGATGAGGGAGAGAGAGGTGAGGCCGATGAGCGATTCTTTGGTTTCTTGCGGGACGATGATGTCGTTGAATGTGGTGTGGATGTCTTTTGCGTTGATCAAGCCCGATAGGAGCCTCTTCTCGTCGCTGTTGTATTCTTTCGAAGCCGCGCCGCCAGAGAGATTGCTGCTGGAGGGAGGCTCGGTGGACGAAGAAGGGGACGGCATCCTTGGCGGGACGAGGAGGGGCGAGAAGTAGGGCGGGCGCACGGCCGGGTATATACTCGCCCAGTGGTTGTTCGTGTCGTTCATGAACTTCAGCGCATCTAGCAGCGCGCGGAGCCCATATTTTATCCGCCGCGGTGTCTGGCTGCCCACCATCAAGGATGCAAGGCGATGTACCCATTGGGCGTCATACAAGTGGCTGGAGAGTGTCTCGAAAAGGAGTTTCCGATCCGCCTCGTCGGCGATGATGCGTGACTCGCCCGACAGGTATTCGTCTTCGAGCTTGACCTGTGCGTGGTCTCCAACCATTGCTTGGAGCATATCGTCGACGTTACGTAGATTTTCCAACGCGTTGTCAAGATGTTCGAAAAACCCGTCCACCGGATCTTCAGCATGGAACGGGATGATGTGAGCGCCATCCCGGCCCAGGTCGTTCAGCTGGTCGCGCCACGGCGACACCTTGCCCACATCGCCGGACGAGGAGCCCACCAGAATGGCTCTTCTCCCCGCCGCCCACATGCGGTCGGCGATGGCCTGAAGCTTACGGATCATGGTGGGTTGCAGAGAGCTTAGCTCTACGTAGTCGTGGACGTGGATGATGAGCGGCCGGCGCAACAGTGCGTCCGCCTCGGTCCGGCTAGTGCGGCGTTTGAGGTCGGCGGCGGCCACGAGCGCGTCCAGGGCCGCGCCCATCTTCATGTCCTCCCAGCGGCCATCGAACAAGCCCGACGCGGAGCTGTCTCGCGTGGACAGGAAGGACCGCAGCCGCGAGGGCAGCGAAACAGCCACCATGCCGATCTCCTGCTCCGGTTCGGGATCAGGCCGGGGGGCGAGTCTGCCGTTCATCTCGGCAGCGGCGTAGCCGAGCATGGAGACGGAGCCACGGGCCGAGTACTGGTTCTGACCGAGATAGCCGCCAACGAGGCGAGCGAGCGTGTGGGCGTCCAGGTGCACGACATCGGCCATCAGATCCGTGGCAACGTCGTGGACGACCTCCTTGGCGACCGTCCGTCCCTTGTTGTTGAGCACCGACAAAACAATCGGCGGGCGCCGGGACTCTTGGCGGTTGGCGGCTGGGGCGGACACGGCGAGCTGGGACTGCACGGCAGTGAGAAGCTCCATGCAGACCGGATACTCGGAATCATCCCTCTTCGCCAGCGGGCTGATGTGCAGCGCCCCCGAGCCCGGAGCCGCGTCAAAGCGGACATTCGCAAACCAGCGCGTCAGCTCGCTGGCATTGCTGCCGGATAGCCAGGTGTGTCTTTTGAAGCCAACGCTGATGTGGTGTTGGCGCAGCATCTCAATATGGTTCGGGATCGCGTCAGGACGGTACACAAGCGTTAGGGCCAGCCAGAACGCAGCCTGATGTATTGCCCGGGACTTTTTCGGCAACTCTTCGGCGGCCACCGGGTCTGCACGGAGTAGCATCTCCTTCCACATCCGCACATCGTCCTCGGTTAGGCTGTGTTCGTCGAATGTTTGGCTCATCGCGGCGACGATTGCCTCCCGATGCTCGCCTTGCAGCGCGGGCAATACTTCACTGGCCTTGTCCAGGGGTCGCTCCTCGTACAGCGAGACGTGGTGGCCCATGAACCAGTCCGGCAGCTCTAGAGATGGCGCTTCCTCAACGCGATTGTTGCGGTTGGCGCGGGCGCGGGCCGACCCGTAGCCTGCACTCTTCAGCTTCTCTCGCTTTGCTTCGGCGGCGGCGGCGGCGGCGGCTTCTGCTGGCGTCTCCGTTGGCTGGCCATTTTTTGCGGCATCGCTGTTGTCCTTGTCGGGGCGGGCCGGAGGTGGCGGGTCTTCCCCGTTGGGATCGTCGGGGCGGCCGAGGACAGGCCGAGACGTGTGAAAGCTGCGACCAGCTACCCCGGGCTCGTGCGAGAGACGAGGGACAGCGCGACGATGCGGCAGGGAGCTGCGCACGGCAGTAGAGGCGGCGGCGGCGGCGGCGGCGGCGGCACTCGTCTTCGCATGGGCGGCGACGTGGGGCAATCGACAGGCTCGACACGGAGTCGGCGCCGACAGCAGGGCCCGAGCCCCGGCGGGCGTAGGCATGAGGATGACTCAATTCGGAGTCTTGGGCTCACATGCGACTCAAACTGGCCGTCGGAGCCGCGCCGGGATGCGATGAGGCGGCCACGTGACGGTCGCTGTCAAGGCAAGAGAGATGCCAACACAGCTTTCAAGACAATGAACGGATCTCAAGTTAACAACTGTGGTTGCAGGTCAAATTGCGCCGCCATCAGCCGAGCCTTGGCATCGACGACATCGGTCTGATACCTACCGGGTTAGGGTTAGATAACGTTAATCGTGCATCTTCTTCTAATCCGTACAGTACAGTTGTACTACTACTAGTACTGTATCATCATTGCTTCATCCTTCCTCATATGACGAAGAGTTCTGGTTTGCTGAACAGAGGCGATAGTAAAGTTAGTTTTCCATCTCTCATCGCCTCCATAACCACCACCAGCCTTTGAATTCCTGTCGTTGCTCGTATTCATACTAATTTTTGGATCAGATCCCCCTTGCGATGCTAAAACAACAACGCCTCCGCATCCGTCACACGCTGCCGTCTCCTTATCCCCGCCCTGCTTCCCTCCCTCGCAGCTGCCAACTCCCACCTTGCAATAAGCCCATGCAACCTCTCCAAAACCCCTTTGGCCTCCAACGGCACATACCTCGTCCCCTGAAGCGAAGCAGAAGCCGCCTGGCTCATCGCGGGGGTGCCTCCTCCCCCTCCTCCTCCTCCTCGCCCGGAAGCCATCCTGACCATGACTCGATCACCCGAAACAACCCAGTTGTGACGGACGTCCGAGACAATGGTCTTGGTAAACTCCTGCACGCGCGGGTTCCCTGAAGGCCCCAGATTGTGAGCCGAAGTTGGCAGCAACCCGCCCAGCAACGCCGGGACGCGTACGCTTGTCGTTGCAAGATCCTCGTCTGCGAAGGAGAGGACCTCGTCAAGGTGACGTCGTGCCTCGGTAAACATCCCCGACAGTCTGTCAACCGTATCCTGAAGACCCGGGGCGGCCCAGTCAGGGCCGTTGACGAGGTGGGTTGTGGTGCTCGGTTGCAGCGTATTGGCGATCATGGCTAGGAGCGCCATGATGTGCAGCTGCTGCAATGAGAGTGCTGCTGCGCTCTTGATCCCGTCAAACCACGCGAGGATACAGCCGAAGATACCCGCGACGTGCCCCATGTCACCAGCGGTAAGTTCCTTCGGAACGCAAGAGGCGTCAAGCAAGTTCCCAAGGGCAACGCCGTACACCTCCAACAGCGCCCAGCAGTCGTGGGCCTGCGCAGACGCTTGGATGATCGCCGGCACCATGAACTGGAGCATGAACGAAGTAACATGGGCATTCTTCATTGCCCTGCCCAGTATGCGGCACTCTTGGTCCAGCTTGTCGTTGCCGAGGGCAATCTTGAAGTTGTTATACAAGTAGTAAAAGAGCTGCGGCACCGCGTGGACGTCCGCCTCGCTCAGCCGGACGCCGTATGCAACAATGCCGGCTGAATGAAGCTGCGGGTCCTGCACGGGAGGGGAGTAATCGACGCTTGGCTGTGTGAAGAAGGGGTCGAGGGCGCGGATGCCGACTCCGTGAGACTTGATCAGAGAGATGACTTGCCTCACGAAATCCACGTACACCCCGTGTTCGCTGGCAAAGGGCCGCAGGAGAGCCAAGTCCTCCTTCATCCGTCGCATGACCAGCTGGAGGGTCTTCGAATACTCGTCTCGGTACTGTCGGGATTGTACAGACGGCGCCGACTCGCGCAGAGATTGACGCATGTACCGAATAGCGCAAGCGAAAAAGTCGAGGTTTGAGCTGTATTCCGGAGGGATCCCGACTGCAACCGTGGCTTTCTCCAAGAAAGGAAGACCGTTGCGCTGGAGAACGTCTGCCAGGTAATTTTCGTAGCCCAGCAGCCTCTGCGGCTTAACAATAGATAGCATCCAATGGCCCAGGATGTCGATGCCAAGGTCCTTGAAGTCAAAGACATGGTTCTTGACAAGAACCGCGATGAAGAGGGGGAGATATCTTCTTTCCGGCGTGGTCAGATTCTTCGGCAGGTCAGAAAACAGCCCGCACTTGCCGTGAGAAAAGTAGGGCAACAGTTGCTGGCAGTTTCGGTCAGCACGCCGTCCAAAAGGATACCCAGGACCCCTACGAACCGTAATCCTGTTCTTGACAAACCTAGCGGCGATTCTTGCGGCCAAGGTAACGGTTTTCTCGGCGCACGCCTTTTGTTGATTGTGCTGCCTTGAGGACTGTTCCAGAGGAAGAGCGAGGATAGTGCGGCCGAAACAGAAGAAGTCCTTGGTCAGTCGTTCGTTCACCAGCTACCAGGTAAATCTGTGAGCATAGATTCTCTTTTTCTTTAATACCTGAGGTTGCAGGGCATACCAGTACGGCGTCCTCTATATGGGCGCTATCGACATTGTGAGAGAATTCACTCGAGTACTGCTGCTCAGAGGCTCGGTCAATCCGTTCGACGAAATGCTCCAGCGTCTCGAGGCCCACACGGACGATGCTCCAGTCAAATCCGGGAGATTGATAATTAAGGCTTGTGAAGATCTTTTGGAGTTGGGCTAAATGAAGGTTTAGTAGTGCTCCATGCCCATTAAACGGGACGTTGACTTACCTATGCCGAGAGCATATAAGGCTGCCTCCAGCGTCGGAGCTCGCGCCACAACATCAAAAGAGGCCTTCATACAGAAATGGAGCACATCAAGGGCTGTCGCCTTGTTCCTGGCTATCATGTCGTCCCGGACTGCTTTGCTGATACCGGGAATCTCGGTAGATAACGCCTGGAACTGCTGCTCAATATCCGAAGCGGCAGAGAGGTATTGGTCCAGAACCTGGTTGAAAATGTTGTTGCGCCAAGCAGCGAGCGGTCTAAAGGCCGCAACGCCCTCGCCGTTGGAGATGACGAACCGAGCTAGCTGATTCCAGGCTCTAACGTTGATCAGACATGCTTCCTTGTGTGCACTCCCGGGGACGACAAGCTTCTCGATCAGGTGGACGGCCGGCCGCAGATCGGGCGGTGAAACCCAGAACAGGGTACATAGGAGGTCATGGTGGTTCCTCAGCGCCGCCAAGTCATGCTGATGGATCACGTCTTCCTTGAGATATTGTCGATTATGGTTAGGAAGCGTCCTGGCCACAAGGTTCCTGATGTCGTTTACACGGCCGCGGTCCTTCAAGCGCTGGATTGTGAGAGCCAGGAGCTTGAGGAATATGTGAAAGCATCGGTCCTCCGGCTCGATGGACAGGGACGGTTTGCCGCCCAGTTCTTCGAGAAACCGGGGGGACTTGTATACTTCTTCGTTCCTCAAGTGCGCAAGGCCTTGGGAGCCGAAGAAGTCGAAAACAGTCCCAATGACGCCAGTACACTTGCGCCATCCCCACTGTTGGACGAGGAAATGGCAACGCGCCACCAGGGCCCGGCAGTAGTCATTGAAACCGGGCGGCTGACGAGAATTCCCTTGGTACAGCTGGAAGACACGCTTCAATAGCTGCTGAGGCAGTGCCCACCCTTCCACAGGGGCAGTGTGCCTCAGTCCCGGGACAAGAATACCGGAATCGTCGATCTCGCAGAGCGGCAGCAAAGTGAACATGCTTTGCCAGAGTGACTCAAATGCTAGCGCGTCCGAACCCGATGCGACACCTTGGCCGAGCATGACTGAGTGAGCGACATCCCAGAAGGATCTCCTCGGGAGAGCCGCGTTCTCCAGGAGTTTCATCATCACCACCCAACAGTTCGCGACAAACCGATCGGGACGTATCCCTCGCTCTCTGAAGGTGGCGCGCTGCAGGTCACCATAGAGAGTCCGGAGCTCTTCTGTACCGCACTCCAGGAGACGCCGAATGGTGATTGAGGCGGATTTATCCAGCAAGCCATCGAGTCCCGGCGATCCGATAGGGCCATTGGCGGATGCCTTGCTCAGTGAGCGCACCGCGAGGATTGCCACGGAGAAGCGGACGAGAACCTCAACGTGTGTCCTTTTAGAATCACCCGGAGTAGCACTCCATTCCTTTGATTCGAATCGGCTGATGAAGCTGGAGAAGACTTCGAAACACCTGGACACAAAGGCTTTCTCTTCCAGATCGCTGCGGACACTCACGCAACGGAGTATATATCCAAGGACGAAGTCTGCTGCTTCGATTGCCCTTCTGCCGAACGCTTCGCCCGTCGCTGGTCTGTATGTCATTTGCTCGGCGACCCAGTCAACGAGTATGCCCAACTCAGACGACGTGTTGTCATCCCACGCCCCCCATCGCAGGACTTGCCCATCCAATGTGAACGACGTGGCCGGCCTGTGGTGTCGGATGCGGCCAGGCAACCCAGCATCTATTGCATCTCGCAACAGTCCGCGGCCAATGACGGTGCTCTCATGAAAGAAGACGCCACTGTCAAGCGGGAAAGTTTCGAAATGGTGAGTGTAATGCGTCCCGTAGGGTCCGAGTCCCCTGAGCTTGTCCTGAGAATGGTGCTCTTGGATCTCTTGAGTCTCGATGAGAGACAAGTCCGCCGGCAAGGGATCGTTTGCGCGAGTGTATTGCGGAGCCTCAAGATTGACATACTGAGGACGTCGCCGCTTCCGGAATCTCGACCGTGCGTCCCCTTTTTTCAACCTCGTGCTGGTTGGACTTCCTTCCACATCGATATGATCACCGCCGTTCTGTTCTAGAACTACGGGTCCTCGGAGCGTAAAGTTGACATCCAGAACACCATCCAGTCCATCATCTGTGGTTGAACCCGGCGTCCTCCGAGTTCTCCTATAGAAGGCGTCCAAGGATCGCTTCCGAGAGCTGAGTTGTCGCCGTTTGTCCTCGCCCTCATCTGCTTCGAGCTGCGCAGGGTGAAAACTAGGCCGGCGGACCTCAAACGACTTCCGCATTTGAAGAACTGAAGTGGAAGGTCGTAGCGGCACCTGAGGGCCCTTGCCGCCGTCCACAGTGACATATGAATCAAGGCTGCTCTGCTGAGTTAACTGCTGAGGGTATGTCCGCGGAGGACGTAAGGCAGTATTTTTTGGTATCTCGCGCAAAGCCGGCCTCCTGCTCTGCTTTCCTGTTTCCGTGGATTTCGGAACCGGTATTCTCGGTTTCGTCTTTCCCAGTTTCCAATCCCGGAGGACTGAGAGAGCGTCGAGATTGTCGCTCCGCGTTGCAAGGTTGATGATCTTCTTTGACGGGCTGGTCTTTCCCAAGTTCGCCTTCCTCTTGACGGCGCGTGCGGCGAGCTTGACGAACCTCGGGGCGTCAGGTTCAACTACATCCAAGATGCTCAAAAGTGGTGGAGTAGCTGCGCGTTTTCTGGATCCGCGGTGCGCCGAAGAGCCATCCCGTTTCCGGCACCCCGAACCGGTCGAGCGTCCCTTCGCTCGATTAAGCACTTGGGTGATCTTGGGTTGCCGAGAAGGCTGGTTGGAAACGCCAGTAAAGATGGACTTCATCATGCTTCGCTTCTGCTTCTTCGCCCTAGTAGATGCAGTCTGCGGCCCAGCCCTCTTCCTCCCAGGAAGCATCCAATCAATGGTATCCTCCTCTACCACCGACGCCCCGTCGTCCTCGTCTAGGATGACAGCTACTGGAGCAGTTGGGACCAGATCATCTGCCGGAGGTCGATGGTCTGGCGGCTCGCTGTCAGACTCCTCAGTCTCGTCAAACAACACCAAAGGCGCCGCACTCGACGGCTTGGGCGAGCCTTGGCGTGGCAAGGCCACACCCCGTTTGATTCCTCGATCGGGAGAAGGCTCGGGGCTTCGTCTCCTCGCGTTCCGGGGTGCCTGTTTCTCTTGATGCCGGTCTAGTCGGAGCCATGAAGCAGGCAGTACCCCGCGAATCCTGCGGCTGTGTTGACGGATCGCATCCGAGTCACTATCAGAACTGTGAGCAGTGGCGCTCGGCTCTCCATCGCTAGGATCGCCCTCGGGATCCTCATTAATCACGATCGGGAAACCTGCAGCCCCCTTGGTCGGTATACCAGTTGCTGAGGTAGGTCTCTGCACGGACGCTGTCGGTGTGCTCGGGCGCCTCCACGTAGGCAATCTCGGCGCCGTTTCGGATGGTCGAGAGGGCTCTTGTGGTGACTTAGGCCCAGTGGGGGAAGATGACAGATCCCATACGTCCGGAGACGGAGCTCGAATCAACTCCAGACGTTGTGGGGAGGATCCTTGTGATGAGTCGAGTATGGACCGGGCCTTCTTCTGTTTTGCAGAAGATAGGGGCTGAGATCGCTGACGCTTCAGCATCTGCCGCCGCTCCTTCGCAGGTAACGGCCGAAGCCTTTCGAGAGGAGGGAGATCCTCGTCGGAAAGACTGGTGGCATCTGTTCGGTCTGCGTCGGTTTGCTGACTGCTAGTCCGCAAAGGCTGGCCCAAGGGGGATGTTCTCGGAAGTGAAGGGGTGAGTACCAGCTCGTCCTCGTCATCAAAGAGGATAGGAGAGTCCTCCTCCACCACGCCCAGACCGTCCCTGCTTGTATTCTGACTTTCTTCCGCCTGGAACTCCTGATCCTGGGAGTCGTCCTCAGCTCTCCGACGTCCTGGCTGTCCCTGAGGGATGACCCGAATGGGCTTCACTCCGTGTGATTTCATGAAAACTGTATATTGTGCATTTTCGAGTAGGTACGGATGTTGCTGGATGGGTTTCCGTGGCCGCAGTGAGCGCTCTAACCGGACAGCCGTCTGTCTTGAGAGCTCATCAGGGTCGTCGGGCAATGCGCCGTTGGCCCGGGGCGGGCTAGGACGGGCATGGGGCGATGTGGTACGGGATGGAGGTGGCGATGGAGAGCCGGGAGGTGTCGGGGTTTTGGATAGGAGACTCGGAGGGGAAGATGCTGGGAAAGATTGGGCGGCAACCCGGACATAGCCAGTCGAAATCTCGTCCTCCAAGAAAGGATCCGCGCCGATATCAGGTCGTTTCCCCATCGGCAGTGCTGGTTTGTCGAGTTTCTGGGCGGGAATAGAAGGTCCTGCTGGCTCATTTTGCTTCGACAACGATCGGCCAGGCAAAGGGGGCTGGCTCAGCACCTGGGATGACTGTTCCAGTGTGACGGAGCAAAATGCCGAGACGGGCTCCGGGGAGGAACTCGGCACGCTCCAGACATCCCCATCTTTGGCCGACTTTGGCTGCGGCTCTTCCGCTCGTGGCACGTCAACGTCTTCTCGGGGCAGCTGGTCAGGTGGGTCATCGCCGTGGGACTCCGTGGCATCAAAGCTTTCGTCGTCCGAATCGGGAACCTCTCCCAATTCCCTCCAGTTCCTCATGGCGTTGTTCGACCATGTCGCAAAGGTCATTGAAAAATCAGCCCGTTCTGTGGAAGGAACTATCACCAAGGGGCGGCATAGCGGATTTGGAGTGTGCACTTTGAGAGAGAGAGAGTTCAGGTGGTTTACGGGCCTGATGTGAATTGCGAATGGCCAACTCAGACGCGTTGAGTATCATGTGGGACGCGACTCCCAAGAGCTTTTGGTGGGGCAGTTCAATTGGAACTCGCGTTGTGCTGCAGCGAATTGGCACTGTCGGATCTGACCGGAACGAATGTCGTATCCAGTGTAATGCGTATCAATGCCGCTTGGTCGGCCGACGTCTTACAATACGTTACGGTAAGCCCCCCACGAGAAGTTCTGGGCGAGCAAAGCCGACATGGACGACCACCTTTTAGTTAAGCCATCCTGCCCCTTAGTCCATAGAGGTAGTCGAGGAGTCTACTCTAATAAATATCACATCACGAATCCCGGACCATCATGAGCACCCAGTCTAAAGCCATAACGATTGGCCTGGTACTGGCTTTCGGAATTGGCAATGGTACGGTGAGGCCTGGATGTTCGGAATCACAGTTCGGAGGTTGACATTTGTTGCAGCTTACTACTCGTTCAACCCGAGTTTAAGGGAGTTGAAGGAACAGCGAGATGGTCCGACTACTAGGTGAGCTTGGCGTCTACGTTCCACTACCGCATGGCCGAACTGAACCGAAGCTCACATCAAAGGCAGTAAAGCACCCGGAACCCAGCGGCTCTCGGCACCGCAACTAGAACCTGACCGGCAACAGAAGTCTAGCTGAACCGGCGACTGGGCGAAGGAAGCAAGACACCATCTTCGGGGTTTTCGGCTTCATTCTACGACCAGGCCCAATTCAGAATAATGTTAAACTAAACTCAGAGCGTAACACTGCCCTAGACATGCACAATACGTGGGACACGCCTTGAAGACGTGTGAGCGAGATTGGGTATTGGATACCTTACCAGTGTGATACGTATGCCAAGTACTACTACTTCGTACAGTAAGTTGGTACAGGTAGGTATGGTAATAACTGTCTTGGATCTCTAGCCACTGGAAGTGTTTAGCATCAGGACAACAACCGTCCGAGGACCACAGACAATGTCGTGCGTCGTTCAAGCTCTAAGACGCTGGCCGGTAAAAGTGTCCGGTAATCTTCCCATAACTACTAGTATGTTTTTGTACACCCAAACACAGTGCAAGTGCAAGAAGTACCCCACTTACCGTACCCTTCTGTTGCGTATTGTAACAGCCGTGCGGGGAAATTCCACATTGCAACTAAGCGGGAAGAGCAGGACCAAGACTCTCGAATCAGACCATTTCGAATTCCGAGCTGAGGCCATCTGCCCGAAAAAAAGCTCGCCAGTGCATGACCTCACCACTCCTACGAAACAACGTCGACCGAACGAGCACCAGGCCGCGCCGGTAACTCAATTGGACCCCTCTCCACTCCCCAAAGTCGCCTCGACTCCGATACCAGTCGACAACCTTTGAGCCCGTGAAAATGCTGCCCGTTGCCCGCAACGCCCTTGTGCGCGCATCCCGCCAGTCGGCGACCGCCGCTCTCGGTTACCGCGCCGCCTCTACGCACGCCATCTCGAACCCGACGCTGGCCAACATCGAGAAGAGATGGGAGGTGATGCCGATGCAGGAGCAGGCCGAGCTCTGGATGGCCCTGCGCGACCGGATGAAGGGGAGCTGGACTGAGCTCACACTCCAGGAAAAGAAGGCCGGTAAGTTACCGATGCCAAGATCACCACATGGAAGTTTTTTTAGCCGTCTGCGACCATCGAGCTTGAACAGAGCTCTGGAAGTGTGGATTGGATGGGGTTGCGACGGTTTCAAATCCGCCCGTCGATGGATAGGGAGCTCAACGAGCTTCCGGGAAGCTGCGTCACTCACCGTCGGCTCTGTGAATCGAATCAGCAACCGCATGTACTAACGCGACGTCTCTCAATGCAGCCTACTGGATTGCCTTTGGTCCCCACGGTCCCCGTGCCCTTCCTCCTCCGGGCGAGAACAAGAAGGTCGCTCTCTACACCTTTATCGGCCTTGGAGTCAGCTTCGTCGTCTTCGCTACCATGCGGTCGTTCGCCCAGCCGGCACCGAGATCCATGACTAAGGAATGGCAGGAGGCGACAAACGAGTACATGAAGGTAGGCATACTCTTGCTGCCCCCGTGCCTCCAATCGCCGACGACGATCGCTAACCCTAATCTCCCCGTAGGAACAAAAAGCGGATCCGTTGACCGGTATCGCTTCAGAAGGCTATTCTGGCAAGGGCTTCGTGCAGTCCCGCTCTGGCAACCCATAAATCCGATACGATTCCTTTGTCATTAGATGCAACTTCAGACACCAGGGACCGCTCGTATAGTGCGAGTCAGGAGAGGAGTCTCGGAGGCGACAGTGGAATAGGGCTTTCAGGGGCTGATGTTGGATGGTGTAAATACTGTACAACGCTGACAATGCGACTCGTTTCCTTGCCGTTAAAAAACACGATACCATTGCTTCGGAAAACTTTCGCTCTTCCAGCATCCTTCCGGGCCGCCAGCGATGAGATGAGCTGGAGCCCATCTCAAGACGATTCGACAAGCTACAACAGAGCCTATCGATATTACCACACTTATTATCGACGATTGCCGAGCTCCGACCTTGATTGATCAACTGAAATGCTGTATGTCAACAACACGAGATGATCGGAATTGAGACATATTGTCGGCACCGTAAGGGCGGGATTCGAAGCTCATGCGGTAGAACAGGCGACTGTCCCAATCAAGCTCGAACTCGCTCAGCCTCCAGTCGCAACCTTCAGTCACGAATGGTTGAGGTTCCAAGAGGCCAATCACTGGTTCGATAGCCTTTGCGGTTGTCGGGTCCTTCCCTTCAAGGGACTCCAAGTCTCAGATGCTTCCTCTCCTTACTGTTGAAGTGCATAATCATCACAACAGCTGGCTTATCCCCAGGGATTCGGTAGGGGCGGGAGCTATCCAAGCAGCTGGCGAGAATAGTACCTCTGAGGTCTATCGTTTATTTTGCAGCACTAGGCGGGAGCTCATTGCTGATGAGCTTTGAGAGTGTGGATGGACAAGGACTACTGGTAGTCATACATCGGGGAGTGATGGGCCAAAAAGTACTCAATCAGGTGCTCAGACCATCGGCGAGCGCATTGGCTAAATAACTACCAGATTCTCAAAACTACCCCTTGCGGTGGTATCAAGATGCCGTACATATACCTACTACCTAATCTAGCGGTTGGACGAAAGCTGCCATGTAGCTTGGTGTAACCCCATCACATGCATGGCTTGCAGCTCGAGCTTGCTTCAGCCGCTTTTAGCAGTCGCCCACCAGCCCTCCGTCCGTCGATGGATCACGGTTCTCTTCGTCAGCTTCTGTGGAACTCGGCCTTGAAGGCAATCGTTAAAATCATCAGATCACAGACAGTCCCGTTAAAGTCCAATAGGAATCTAGACTCTAAAGGTTACGATAATACCACAGTCTCGTGAAATAACCAGCAAAAATAGATGACATTGAAGTTATTCACAGGCTCGATACCGTATTTTTAGTAAACTCTCGGCTTGCGCCTCAATTACCGGCTGGCTTTGACCCGACAGCTCCGCCACAAGTGAAAACACTTAGCCTCTGGGCTGCAGTTTACAGGTGATGGTGTACTCTCCCGGGCTCCCGTTTCCATTGGCGGAAAATCATCCGCGGGCTTCTGGCCTGTTGAGCGGGGCAACGTGCCCATACTTTCCCCTCGGAGTATTGGCTCTGCTGGGCACGCGGGGGTTGCTCTGGGGCAAGCGTAATAAGCGTGGGGTATCCTGAAAGGTGCCCGTGTCTTCAAAAGGGTCGATGTTGCGAACAATGCCGAGCTCGGACGAAACCCTGATCATGACTGACCTCAAATTCTTATCCCTCGGCAAACCACGAGGGCAAGGCGTGGTTCTGATCACGCCTGGCTGCATTTGGGCTCGGAATGACATATGACTGTTATGTCTGAGCTCCGTCCGTGGTAATTGACGACAAGTACCTAACAGCAGTGTCCGCTGATCTGCAATTCGGCCTTTTCCTCGCGGTGAGCAACTGAGGTCTGTGTCGTTGCCGGTTCAAAGACTGGCTGCCTTGGCTCAGTGACACACGAGTCAGCTGTTGATCGTGGTGGGTATCTCAAGTTTTCACCGGATTGATCGCATCTGATTCGAAGTTTCAGAATCGCGGCGTTGGAAACACCAGACTCCAGAGGCATCTCCGCTGCACCTCGACGGTTGCGTCATATTGTGGGGCTGCCGCAAGCCAACGCAGTATTCTCCGAGGCATAGAAACAGCGCTTCAACCTGCCAGCAGCTTAGTTGTTCTTATCCCACATCAAGTCGGCAATGTCGAGGTTCTTCAGAGCAAGGCGGTTACTACCTCCGCTCGCGGCCGCTGGCGCGGCCGGCGGTGCGCTCTACTGGGTGTATCGCCCGCGGAATATCCCCGGATACGAAAGCCCCGCGGTTCCGCCCCCTACTTTTGGCGCCGACGGCACCTTCAAGCTGCCACGCTTCCCCCGCGTGAAATCGCGCGGCGAGCAAATAGCGGATCTCAAGAAGAGCGGCAATGGGGACAAGGAGGAGGAGTATGATATCCTGGTCATTGGCGCTGGCGCAACAGGGTCCGGAGTCGCCCTCGATGCGGCAACGCGCGGACTCAAGGTCGCCATGGTCGACCGCGGCGACTTCGCATGCGGCACCAGCAGCAAGAGCACCAAACTCGTCCATGGCGGAGTGCGCTATCTCGAAAAGGCCGTTTGGAACCTGGATTACGCCCAGTACGAGCTCGTCAAGGAAGCGCTAAAAGAACGCACCTACTTCTTGCAGACCGCGCCGCATCTGAGCCATTGGCTTCCCATAATGCTGCCCCTGGATCGCTGGTGGAAGATTCCATACTACTGGGCTGGCACAAAGGTCTACGACTTCCTCGCGGGGAGCGAGGGCATAGAGAGCTCGTACTTCTTGACTAAGAGCAAAGCCATCGACGCGTTCCCCATGCTGAAGCAGACTGGCCTCGTTGGCGCTCTGGTGTACTACGACGGGGCACACAACGACTCGAGGATGAATGTCTCACTGGCCATGACCGCAGCGCTGTATGGCGCCACCGTTGTCAACCACATGGAGGTCACGGGATTGTTGAAAGACGAGAACGGCAAACTATACGGTGCCACGCTCCAGGACAACATATCCGAGCGGGATGGGAAGCGGACCGAAAAATTCAACGTCAAGGCGAAGTGCATCATCAACTGCACCGGTCCGTTCACCGACGGCATCAGGAAGTTGGACGACCCCAGCTGCAAGGAGATTGTCGCGCCCGCGTCGGGTGTGCACATCATCCTGCCTGGCTACTACAGCCCCGGCAAGATGGGCCTGCTTGACCCTTCAACGTCGGACGGGAGAGTTATTTTCTTCCTGCCGTGGCAAGGCAATACTATTGCCGGCACCACAGACCAGCCGGCCGGAATCTCCCGAAACCCTCTTCCGGATGAGCAGTCCATCCAATGGATCCTCAACGAGGTCAGCCACTACCTCTCCCCGGACATCAACGTCCGCCGCGGCGACGTCCTGGCAGCCTGGTCGGGGCTGCGTCCCCTGGTCAAAGACCCCAAGGCCAAAAACACACAGTCGCTCGTCCGCAGCCACCTCGTCGATATCTCTGAGTCCGGCCTTGTCACCTGCGCAGGCGGCAAGTGGACCACCTACCGGCAAATGGCCGAGGACTGCGTCGATGCCGCCATCAAGGCCTTCAACTTGCAGCCCAAGCCCGTTACTAACGCGCCCCGTGTAAGCGGCACCGAGGCGATTGACGACGGCGCCAACCTCGACGGCTCCTGTCAGACGCACCGCGTGCGCCTCATCGGCGCCCACGGCTTCAGCCGCACCCTCTTCATCCACATCATCCAGCACTTTGGCGTCGAGACCGAGGTCGCCAAGCACCTTACCGAGAGCTACGGCGACCGCGCCTGGACGGTGGCGGCCCTGTGCCGCCCGACCGAGAAGCGCTTCCCTGCGCGCGGCGAGCGCATCTCGCAACTCTATCCGTTCGTGGACGGCGAGGTGAGGTATGCGGTGCGGCACGAGTACGCCCAAACCGCGACGGATGTGTTGGCCAGGAGGACAAGGCTCGCGTTCTTGAACGCGCAGGCCGCGCTGGAGGCGCTACCCAGGATTATCGACATCATGGCGGAGGAGCTGGGATGGGACAGGAAGAGGCAGGACGTGGAGTGGAAGGATAGTGAGTCGTCCCCAACCTTGCAATCCTGTCTGTGTCTGTGCGGGAATAAGACGACTAACGGCAGTGCTTTAGCTGTCTCCTTCCTCGAATCTATGGGATTGCCCCAGCCTATGCTCTCGGCGACCCGGAAGCAGGTCGAACAGGGCAAGCTCGACTTCAAGTCCTCGCTTGAGTATCGCATGTACTCAAGGCATGATAAGCCAGTGGACGATGAGCTTTAAGGAGCCGGCAGGGTCGTTCCTCGGAAATCAGTTGGCATAGGTGATGGCGTTTTGTGCTAGAACGGGCACGGTTGGCAGTATCCTTCTCCTGCATTGGTTGACGCTGTATCCAGTCAATGTCTACTCCTAATAAAACATACTTACGGCGCCAACCCTGGATGGTCGTCTCAAATCGGTATCCGGTATTTGTTGTGATTTCGGGTGGTGACTGTACTTTACCCCATCCAGGATAGCATTGCGCTTGCAAGTGTGCCTGTCAGCCCCAGATCTGCCTACCACAGCATGCCATCATCACTGCAAGGCAGCATTGGCAATCTCACTAATACCAACAGGCTACCTCCCTTAATTGCACTGCCACGTAGGTAGAGTAGATGACGGGTCACGGTTGATGGCTGCCAAGGCTGCAACGGCCGAAAGGCTTCCAGTTTTCCGTGACAGCCTAAAGAGGGTTGCCTTGGTGTGATGCTGTTGACGCCGGACATAAACTCGGGACTGGAAAGCTTTGAGCACGGGAGGGAGAGCTAACTAGTCACTAGAGAGCCACCTGCCACTAGAGGGGAAATCCTGTGCCAGTTGTATTGCACAGTACATGTCCTGCGCATATACATACATACTACCTTGGTGCACTCGTCAGCGGCATCTTCGTACGAAACAAGGTGGAAGGAGTCCGGAGGCAGGCAACGGAGTCGACTCGTGCCGCGCCGTTGCGAGAAGCGTTCGACTAGGTAATTGGTGTACTAGTACTGCCAACTACCTAAAGCATGTAGGTACCTATGTACGCCTGGAAACAGAGCATCACTGGCCGATCCCAGGCAAGGCATGTCCAAAAAGGTATGTACAAAGGCCTGCTCGCCACGCATCTAATAGCGGAACTGGCATGTTGTGAATTGGAGAAGGAACCATTTTATGCCTTTGATGATGCTTCTCCGTAATGCATAACCCCCAAGCCCTGAGCCCCATGAGCCGGTTACCAAAACGCCCGCTTGCTTTCTCGCCGCTTTTTATGTACATACATATGAGAATACATTACCCATTCAGCCTGCCGTTATCATGTTATGCCATGGAACATAGGTTAAAAACCAAGTTAAAAAAGAAAGAAAAGTGGACTCATTATCCCTAGAGGAGCGGAGGCAGAAACACAGAAGAGCCGAGTGGCTCGACCAGATAAGCCACCGTCTATCCGACCGACCAGTCTAAGCCAAGCCAGAAGAACACAGAGGAGACATAGGGGTATCCCATGTGTGGTAGAGCTAAGAAGGAAAATATCGTTGGCGGCGGGAAGAGATGGACCATCACTCCTTGGGTCCCAAGCTCAACACTCGCCGCAACAGCGTCCTCTTGGTCCCACCGGCGCGGCGGTACTGCATGACTGAACAGAGCCGTTTGTCAAGCTCCGACTCCCAGCCATACGGGTCTGGATCGGGCGTCAGCTGAGGAGAACATTCGACGTCGACCGACATGAGCGAATCGTCGTTGGCGCTAGTTGTGGTGACGGTGCTCAGGCCAGACTTGAGAAAGCCGGAAAAGTCTGTCAAGGTCATCGAAGGACAGTCTCCGGACGAGCACGAGGCTGGGTCGCGGGAATCCCCAGTAATGTTGAAACTGGTGCTGTTGTTGCCAGGTACGCAACCCGAGAGGGGGCTCGTCGCCGGTGTCTGCATACCGGAGCAGGCGAGCATGGGTACCGTGGAAGAGGTATTGCTGCGCGATGTTTGGAACGAGGTCCTCTCTGCGGTTGCGTCCTGGGCAGTCTTCAGGCGTCGTACTTGCGGCGTCCGGAGTCTAGGAGGGGCAAAACGCCGGGCTCCTGCCGACCATCTTTGGGCGGAATATGGTGTGTGATAAGCTTTCGCGGCCATGCCGACCTTGCTGATCCCGTTACAGCTGTAGATGCAATTGGCAGCACTCAGGTGTGCGTTCCCCAAGACGGCAACTGAGCAACGCTGACCCGGATGCGGCTCCTCCCATTCGGCCGAAATACAGTGCATCTGAATGTCGGCCTGGGACTTCTCGCTTTCGGCGGCCTGCTTAGGCGCTGCGGGCGTGGCGGTCTTAGGGGGGGCTGTAACGGTGTCTTTAGCGATCGGCATGACCTGTAATTCCTATAAGGGGTTGGTTTTGCGTCGGGGGTGGTCTGGTTCACAACCGGGAACATCAACACTGGCGGGGACGGACGTGACACTAGAGGCAGAGGCACTGTGGCCCCGTTTGCTGCGGCTCATTCTATTAAACCCGAGCCTCGCCCCCATCTTCTTCCAGCCGCTGCTGTGCGAGCCGACCACTTTCTGGAGGCCTCCGGGGGAGCTGCTGAACCCATAGTCCGAGGTCGGCGGTGTTGTGGGTGGGGTCATCGGCTCATTTCCTGTCGGTGACGGCGTGTTTGTGCTGTCGTCTGTGAGTCCTCCCCGGTCAGCTGCGTCACTGGATGACGAAGCAGCGCTCTTGGGTTCGCTCGTCCAGGGGATAGTGAGCAACGGCAAGAGTCCACTCCTTGGTGATCGGGTAGAGTCCTCGGAGGCGGATGAAGACTCCCTGGGAATTCGAAGCCGTGATCGGGCGTGCCTTGAATCGTTCGCTTCACAGCGAGTCTGCTCGCACTGTTGAGCCTGTTGAGCACTTGCCGATGCCAGAAACGGGCCTAATACCGAGTCGTTCAGAAGTTCGTAGACAATCCTCACGGCTTCATCCAGCTCGGACGGGTCCGGCGGCACTGGGGCGGTGGCTAATGACAACAGGCGGTCTCGGACGTGTGCCGGGATGTTGACCTCTCGGTGGCCCTGTGGTAATATGTAGGCACTGATAATCTTGCGCCAGATAGCGCACACGTTTTCTTTGCCATCTCCAGATCCGGCTGCCCGCTCCTTCAGATAGTTCAAGTATGCTGCCGTGTAGCGCTCAGCGTCCAATGTGAACTCGAGTGTCTCCAGACAGAAGTTTTGAGATAGAAAAGCCGTGAAGGCGCCCAGCGTGAATGGGGGCGGCGCAACGTCGCTGAGGATGTCTCTCAGTGACGGCGGCGAGGCTGGATTCAGAGAGGCTGAGGCTAGAGGCATAAGAGCCAAGCTCGTGGGTCGTGATGTGGCCATGATAGAGTCGCCACCGACGTCTTCAATGACCGACGACGGTCGGGGCGCTGATTCCCTCGATCGAGGTCTCAAGTCCATTCGGTTTGGTGATTGCGGCGACTGCGCGTTGTGTGATCTCTGGGGGGATATCTCCGTCTGGTCAAAAACCGATAGGCCCAACTGCCGGGGCCGCAAACGAATCTTCGTGTAGACGGAGGAGTCTTGTTTTCCTTCTCTTCATTCCTTCCAATCCGGCATGACGGGGATGCCACCACGAAGATCGTTTGGCCGTGCTGCAGCAATGGCAGATCCGACTGTGTCGCCTGTGTCGTCGCGTACTCCGTGCAATGCAAGGAGCCTTCGCCCTTGCCTTGGAGCAGTCCTGGCCAAGGTCCACAGCCAATCGACCACAGAACGTCACCGGGCGAGCGCAGACAGGCGCGGGGATGAACCAAGGTGTTTCGGTGAGGGCCCAGTCACAGCAGCGTCGAAAATCGCGTGTCGGGACGTAGATGTCACGCAATGGGTCTGCGGGTTCGCGGAAGGTGAAACGGAAGGTCGCGAACGGGACTCCACGGACGAATCTAGAAGCCGGGACAAGATGTTCTCCGTGCTACCTCGCTGAAACAGTCGGCGGATGCGCGGCAACAACACGAGAGAACTATGGTAGCACAACAGACCCTGTCTGTTACCGGATGTACGTCCAGGGGGAACGCCCGAGAGGTTGCGGTTGAAATGCGCACGAAACGGTTGCCGTCGGCGCGTCGTATGCTTTCTGGGGCTGACTGAGACACAAGAACACACAAAGGACCCGGGCACGAGGCAAGCTGGGAGCTGGAACCGTTATCCTGGCAGGACCGTTTGTCGATGGCCGGATGACGACAGTGGAGCCGCGCGCTGCAAACTGAAAGACGGCAGACAAACGACCGGTAGTACCAATGGCGCGGGCTGCGGTCGGGATGGCGAAGAGCGGCGTTGATATTCAAAGGGCTGCTTGACCCGACTGTTTGGTAAAGAGGCCAAAGGGAGGAGCGGGAAGATCCAGCGCTGTGATTCGGGAATTTGCGGCGCGCGCGCGAGCGGGAGAAAGGGGAATCAAAGGGAAATCCGACAAAAGAAGGCGTGCAGAGCTCTCGCTTTTTAGTAAGATTGGGGGTGTCATCAGACTGGACAGCCCGGCCTAGCTAGGGGGAGGGGCTGGGCTGCTGCAGGCCAGGCAGGGGTTTGAAGATGGAAGGGGCCGGGGGGGTATACTTGCCCTGTTATGGCTCAACAACAGGCAAGAGTTTCTCGTCACGCCTCTCCCGTCTCTCGGAGTTCCCTACGTCGGCACACCAACTACTGCGGTCCTAGTCCGCCCAACTAGTAGGTACCTTTATCGACAAACCACCATCGACAAACAAACAAACAAACAAATTAGGTTGCTATACACTATAAAGCCAACCCATCCTGCTCACCATTCTGATCCATACCAAAGTCAAACAATAGCGCGCTGTAGCCGGGCATCGGGCCATTGAGATGGTGCTGATCTGGGGCAAGCAGTGGGGCCTTGGGAAGTTGTTGTTCTTCGAAGGTATCCACAACTGAGCCAGGGGAAACAGCCGATGGTGTCTGATTTGCCCGTGGTGCCATTCGGGGCGGAGAGCGACCATGGGACACGAAAATTTGGTGACGAGAAATCCACTGGCAACATTCTTGGTGCTGACTATGTACATACATTACGGACTACTACTACATAGTGTAGTACACTATCCCTGGCGCCGTGGCACATTCCTTGTCCCGATGTTCAGCGTTCAATCAAAGCGTTGAGGGGAGGGAGTGCAAACACAGACGGCCGGTAGAGGTGGGGCGCCCTGATCATTGCCGCGGGAACAAGTTTCTAGAAGCATTCGAAATTCCCGTCGTGTGGCTCCAAGGTCCGATCTGACGATCATCGGACCGCCCGTCGCTGTAGGCTGTCTAACAGCACACGGCTTTTCATCATTCCATTCACTGGGTGAACTGCGTAGGCCCGTTCGGTTTGTCATTGAGCCGACTGTGGTTCTGAACCGAACTGATATCTCCGTAGTGCTTTTGATAAGTTGCATGTAGCAATCCCGTAGTCTTCGGCTCACGGACAGTCCGCCAGCGTTGTTGTCGAACCATCCTTGCAGGGCACTACACTATATATCTGGCTGGATGTCTCAGAGACCCGGTCACCGGGCCCTTTGCGATGGCGTGGGCATACTCTGACACACTGGGTAATTAGCGTTATTCAACTGCCACCGATGTCTCTACTGTAGCCTGCAACGGCTGACACCCTTGTTGATCAATCATACCGCTGTGGTCACGGGACGGGTCGTTCAAAGTTTAACCCTTCCCTTTCTGGACCATCCAACACGGGCACCAAACATCATTCGTACAATACATTGCATAGCAGCCCAAGATCGAATATGTAACGCCAGACACCGAGCAGAAGCGAGTGAACAGCTTGAACAGCGCTTCCTGCAGTTGCTAGCCCTCCGTCCCTACGATTGGACGAAACGTCTCGGAAGCTGTTTTGTCCGAGCAGCATGATGGCACGGAAGCCGGAATAATGCAGGCCGAATTCGATTTTTCAAGCACACTCTCTGAACAATGACAGAATCGTGTCACCCGACATCTCCAAAAGGATGAGAACAATGCAGAGACTCCATGACTCCGACCGGCTGGTTCCACAGACGCCACATTCGTCAACGGACGTCATTTCACAAGCCGATCAGTTTGTGGAATCTCTGTCGGTTCAACTCCGCTCCCCATGAGCTGGTCCTCATAGGACCGGAGCTATCGATGCGTACGTAGAGTCACCGATGCTGAGAGAGGCTCAACAACAGTAGGCCTTATTTGTTACGGCGGTACCCGGGAACTTTGACGGCGTCGCGCCATCTTGCGCAATCAACAAAGACAGATGAATATGAGTAGCTCTTGTCTTATCCTCCCATCTTTATAGGCGGAAGTTCCTCCGGTAGTACGTCATCAGCCTACTCGCCGTGTCTTTGAGCATGACGGAGAGCCGGGATAACTCTCCAGATAGTGACAAAGATAGTCTAGGCCCTGCCAATTGGGAATGTCTTGGCATGCTTTGTCCAAAACTGAAACCTAAGAGAAATTCTCTGCCTTACATCGACCGGTACGGCGCCAGCAAGATGTGTATGCATCACAGCCGCGATCCAGGTCCATAGCTATGGGACAGCAGGATTCATCCGAGCTTGCCCTTTGTCCTTGCGCCGCTCGCTCGGCCTCTTGCAAAGCACCCGGCTGCTCCGGATCCCGTCCCACATGGCGACTCAGTTGACCTTATGCGCTCATGTCATAATCCGCCGGGGAGCCCACTGGTTGATAATGGTGTACTGTCAGTTTATGGATAATGCGATTGGGCATATGCAAAGAACGTCTAGATTCCAATTGGAATGCGATGATCTTCCACATACACTCCTATGCATAGCTGCGGTGGATTCATCAGAAGGCAAGTTCTCTGTTCAGCCGACGATCTCGATCGTTCTTGTTCTCAGTTCTCATGTTTTCGGGATCGGAAGTTGCGTGACCTGGTAAGGTCACCGTCCCAATCCAGTATGGTGGAATTAGCAGAAGCTGCCACAGAAGAGTTCTAGAAGCGTGCCCTGTCGGTTGCTTTGCGCTGTGTTGGCTAACAAGAGTGGGACGGAAAAACCTGTGGTGCATACTACTGTACGCAGCCTGCACATGTCCCGTCCTGCAGGGCTAGGGATGCAGCAAACCCATGTGCTCCCACTTCATCACACATAATTTGTGCAGGATGCGGAAGGCTCCGTGTGGTGTGCAACGTTGGCACTTTCCACCACGTCCATTATTCTAGAATAGGTACGCAAGGTTCCATTACCAATGAGGTTGCTTTGTTCTGATGAATCGAACATGTCCACAGCACGCCTTTCCATGCAGAAAGCCTTTTCTTTTTCATGCCGAGGTGACTTCTCAATTCCACTGCCAAGCTTGGGACCCTTTCCGTGTTGTGGTCGCACGCGGCACGCTGAAGGAATCGGCACCATCTTTCTTGATGGAACTTTATCCACTTCGCGCCACTGCAAAAACGAGGCTCTCGGTCTGGGGACAGCTGAAAAAGTCAAAGCCGGCGACCCCGGCTTGTATGCAGGTTTGCTCAGCTCAAGCCGAGGGTAGCAAGCTGGCCGGCTGCACTAGGTAGTGGCAGTGGACGGAAGGATTCACCGTTGTCGGTCTGGGCTTTCCGGTCTGACCGAGCTGACATACACAGCAATTACACAGTACACAGTACTTATTTCGTAGAATTTTGCGAGCAAAACATACCGAGCCTCTTCTTTCCCCAGCTTGAGATGCGGTTATCCAGGGTTGTTGCTACGGCAAACCGCCAGTACCGTTTCCGGCATTGCGCCAAATTTCTCATCAGTGAATCCTCATCCACTATCAGTGTCAGTAACGTCGGTTGAAGGGTTGAATCTCCTGTCTCGGAGAGCTACAGCATCTATGTGTTTTGACCCCGCTGGTGGTGGACATCTGGAATCCCGGATAAGTACCTGCCTATTCTCGGGCTAAGCCAACAGAACCATCGTGGATCTTTCTCCTAGGGCTGCCTGGGCATGTCTGTTTGTCCTTGTTACCCATTACGTGTAGCGTCTTTCCTCCCCAATAGCACTCAGCCTTGGTGCTTTTCACTAACGTCAGACCGTTTAGATACGTAATCATATGTGGGATGGGCTTTCTGGCTTTCAAGATAACCCCCACGTGCGTCTAGGATTGACAAATGCACGTCACGGATACCACCACAGTCGGGTTCATTCATCAATGGTTCGTTGATCTCTACGTTGAATGGGTTCGCGATCTGCACTCATTTCGCCTCCTCGGTATGTTCCTTCCAGCATACAACTGACCCCGGCCTTGACTGCTTGGCACTCGTACGGTTCTTCTTCTCCGAGAATTCGCCACAACTCAACTGCCTCAACCGTGGCGGTAGCATCGCGACACAGAACCACGCAGTGTTAAAACCGCTGCATGAGGGAAACGGCGCTGTGTGGTACGCCATGCCTCGCTCACAGCCGATGCGTGCCAGGTTTCACGTTGCAGACGCATTAGAACCGAAACCCCTCGGGAAAAGGGATGCGCTGCCATGATAGCTTCTCAGCTACAGTTGTGGCGTTGCCCACACAGCCACACCCCAAGTACATTGTGGTATAATGCTTGTTTTCCCTGGTCCATCCGCCTCTGGTATTGGTGGTGAGATACACTATCGTGTGTGCTAAGGACCGTTGACATGAATGATAGTACGATACCGACTGGGCGGCGCCGACAAAGCATCCCTTTTCCGGCTACACCGCCTCAACGGACTGGGCATAATGGGAACCTTGGCGTACGGCGGTGTCGAGGGACTGTGTTGCCGCGATAGTTACTGTGGTATGTACTGGAGATGACTTCACCGTCAGCTTCCTGAGGATGCCCTGCGGTTCTTCTGTGGCATAACAAAACGCAAGTGAAAGAGTCAGCCGGCACGGTGGGAGGGCCCAATCCACATACAATAGCCCATGATCATTGATGTGACGGCCGGTATTGATGTCGTCTTCGAGACCGGCGCAGAAGTGGGCAGTACTCATGTATTGTACATGTACATACCGGACGCTGCGAATGAGACGTCCTAGTCACAGTACATCACGACATCACGCTGGCCTGTGGTTCTGGGCACCGTTTCGGGATCAAAACCTCCGGAGCGAGACAGCGAAGATACCTAGGTAGGTACCTACGTAACCAGGCTCGCCAGGATACGAAATACTTCATACAAGGCCTCACTCTTCACTCTTTCTCCGCCGGCCGTTTACCCTTGAGGCCAAAGCCTTCGCAACGAGAGCATAATTGATGACGTAAATTCACGTTGTTCGGGGTGTGCGCATCTCCCGCTGATCTCCCTATGCCTCCGTAACTTTTATTTGTGCATATTCCGTAACCTGGTTCAAATCGCCCCGTCACCGGCCCCAGTGATCAGCGACGGCAGGCCAACGGTGGCTGTGCGACACCCTCACAACCGGCATGAACTTTTATGTTATTAAGGAGGCAAATATGCATATCAGACCACGTGCTCACGTACGATGACGGCACGCATATCCCATGCGAGACCCTCTTGTGCGCATGCTGACTTGGGGTGGTCTCGGTAGTATGAGAATCCCCAGTCAGCCATTATTGGCAAAGCCAGAGCGCCGGAGTTGATTACTTGGCCTGCACGGTATGCAAGTATGTAGAAGCCAACCATCCAGTTCCGTACCGTGTTGATGGCCGACGTGGCTCGACGTTAAGGCTGCTGAGCGAATGGAGCGCATCAAAGCAGTCAAAGTCGCATATGGCATGCTGTCCCCTAGGTAGGTAGTAGTTATGCTGATAGAAATAGAAACAATGACCTAGCATGGGACCCTAAACAGTGAGGGAAACCCTCGAAAGACAGTCACGTTTCACTTGCACTCTGTCCGTTCACTAGCATTTGGCAAGCAGCTGTATTATCCCTTCCACAGGGAGAGAGCGGCTTGTGGCTAACCGACGTCCCAAAATCCCCAAAAGGACAGCGATGACCCGTTCATCACATCCCATTCCGTTTTGAATTCCAACATTCCGTTAGCCTGACAGTAAGACTCAAAGACTGGTTCGCCAACCAGGGGGTATCATAGCCCGTAGAGAAACAACGCCCCCAATACTAAGATAAACAACCCATGCAACCCATTAACCGTTGCGAAACCGAAGTCCGAACACCATGATCGGAATCAATGCCATGCCATGCCTCCCATGTTTTGAAACATTCGTCACCATAAACCACCCAAAGGCGAGAATGTCTTTCCCAGATCCTCCATCGAACCTGACACCCATTCATGGATATCATGATCCATCCATCTGACGATCGGATGAGCCCACCGACAAGTCCACGGAAGCGAAGTTGAATGGCCGAGACCCCTAAGAACCAACCCAAAAAAGATCTCCTATACAGTATAGCAAACAATTCAAATCTCGAACGCCGATTTCTTGCCCTTCGCCTTTTCCCGTTGTCTCTGGACGTCAGACCATCTGATGTATGCCGCGCAAAAAGAAAATAGTAAAGTCCAATGCCAAAACGTCCATTGCCATGAAGTCTATGGGGAGAGGATATGGTATAGGCCGCGGGAAAACATGACCGTCGTCGTCTTTTTCTCTGGTAAGCCCCACGGAAATGCCGGTCACCAGGTCGACGTCCCCGTCGTCATGGGCTGGGGATGAGATGTGATACGAGACCATCTGCAATGCCCGGTACGTGGCGGTAAAACGTTCTCCATTTTGTTTTTTTTTCTTTCGCTGTGTCCCGCGCAATGTAGGTTCTCGAAGTAAAGACGGCCTGCAGTGAACTGGAGGAGATCGGAGATGCGATGTTTGTGGTAGGGCGGCAGAACACCAATCCGCACAGTTGCCGGGATATGTTGAAACCTTCATCGTCGGTCATTCTTTCCGCTGTGTCCTGCGGCAATGGAAATTCTAATCGAAAGGCGCCAATCGTGAACCAGACGTTCGTGTTAGGGGTGTACAGCCGTGGGCATCGACATGACCTTCCCTGCCTTCGTTTTGTTTTGTTGACTGAGGGTGGAGATCCTGCCGGTTGCGAAGTTTGACATTGAAAGTGGCTGTGAGCGTGAATGAAAAGGTCGTGGAACTGACGGCACCAATGTCGCCCCGGTGTAGGTTATGTCAAGCCAAGAGGGATTGGTTGGCAGCTCAAGCATGTCTCTCTTTTCCGTGTGCGCAGTCATGTTGATTCAACTCTGCCTTCTCCCCAAGAGAGGCAGGGGGGCCGTTTGTCATCGCTCGCTCAAAAGCCGTCTAGGTTAAACTCGCCCTTGAATCCCTCATTGAGCAGTACCGCAGCCAGTCGCCTCCGTTGCAGGGTCAGCTCGCGCTCTGTGTACGAGTATTTTGGGTTGAGGCTCAGCGCCATGCACATGGCATTCGTAATGGTGAAAACGCCGCAGTCCCAGCCGTTGGTTTGCCGGGGAGCTTCGTAGTCGACGGCGCGCCAATCGGCTTCGACATATTGATCTTCCAGAATAAAGCGTACCAGCTCAAGGAGCTTGTTCTTGACACTCTGATCGCCGCCGCCAGCCCGCATTGAGTCAATGTGCGAGACAGTCCGTTGACTGGGCCGGATCACTGCCAAGGTCCAGTGAGACTGTGCGCAGATAGGGATCAAGATCGTGTCAATACTAAGAAGGTTTGCTTTGCGGACACCAGCTCTCCGTAGGAGGCGGCCACAGCCACCCGGGCCATGGGAAAGGAGACGAGGCCAAAAGTAGGAGGTGAAAGCGGCGCACTTGGGCTCTTGGTCTGTCGCGCCCTTTGCGGTGTTGATGTAGTGTGCGATGTGCAGGATTGACCCAATAATGACGTTGTCATTTAGCCATGCAGTGGGCGGAAGAAGCTTCTCTTCGAAATCGCGCCGCGTAAGCGGCTGACCCTCCAAGGTTTTGACAAGCTCGGTCGTGGGATTCGCTCTGGCGGCGTTGGTGACTCTGAGGTCCCAATCGCTGGACAAGGATGTGATAAGTGGGCGGGCAGGTCGTCTTAGCCCGGTCAGCCTGGCGAATTCCTCGGCCTCCCTCTGGCGCCGGGCTTCTTGCTCACGGCGCCGTTCTGCTTCCTGGCGACGACGTTCCTCCTCTTCGCGGCGTTGTTTTTCGCGGAGAGCTTCTTCCTCTTGGCGTTTCCGCTCCTCTTCGATGCGTCGCTGAACCCTTGTCGCAAACTCTTCACGTATCTGACGGTCAATTTGCAACTGCTGGAACTTCGCGGTGGATATCTCTAGATCGTCATCATCCTCTGCAAAGAAGTCCTCAAGGGTACGAGGGGTATGTTTCTTCTCGGCCAGTTTGGAAGGCTGCTCTTCCGCCTTGGAGCGCATCAGCGGGTTGACAGCGGGACTGGAGGGCGCGGGACTGCTGGTATCGTTCTCTAAGAGGTGGGCTGCCCGCCGGCGCAACTCGGGAGTCGAAGGTAACGGAGGGAGCGGGATCTGCACCATGCGTCTCCGCGGGGCGAACTTGATTGTTGGTTTGAGCCGGCTTTCTTTGGCTTCCTCAGCGCGCTTCTCCAGCTCATCATGTAGGTTATTGAGGAATCCGTCGTACTTCTGGGCGTGATAAGTGAGGCCCATCTCCTTGTCGTCTTTTTCCAGATCCTCCAGGGTCCACTTGTCGCGGAAATTGAGAGTGACATCACGCTGCCTAGAGACGGTTCTGCTGGCCTCAAACATGCGGATTGAATGTTCGTCACGGAGGACCTCTGCTTTGAGCTTCGCCCTGACAATCTGATCTGCCTCGCTTGGAGTCATGACCTTTGCCGGAATATGCGTGGGTGGGATGAATTTGGATATCGGGCTCTTGAAGGCAAGCTTCCTCTCCTTTTGTGGGGTCGCGACATATCTCGGCGAAGCCGGAGCATCCCACTCCTTGGACTGTTTTAGGATGCCTTTTGGCTTTGGCACCAGTCTGTAGTCACCAGGCTTAATCTGGTCCTCCCAGTTGGACGGCTCTGCTTCTGGGAACTTGAAGTCGTAGAGAGGTTCAATGACGAGTTCATCTGCGGGGATCTCCTCCAGAATTGACGGCTTGTCCTTTGGGAAATACCCTGGCATGTCCTCAATTGGATCCTGCTTCAATTCGACAAAGCTGGGTACCATCTCTTGCTTGTGGATGGCATTAGCATCCACGATTAGTTGGCAGATGGTCTCGAGTGCTGTACTATCCATTGTGCACACATTGTCGAGTGAGCGGAGAAAGCACAGAAACTCGCCTGCCATCATCGCGTTCTGTCTGAACATGGTGTTGCCCAATCTCAGGCGACGCGGCGGTTCTGGGTGTCTTTTCTTCAGTTCTTCGAACAAGTCGTAGTCGTACACGTTCCGCATGAAACCGACGGTCGCTGCGAGGCGGTCCTGATACGCCACCAAAGTATCGAGCAACTTGTCCGCTCTTTCGTCGTCTGACTCGTCAGGCGGCGTCGGCCCATGTCTCTGTTCTTGATACATGTGAATAGCGATGCTGGCTCCGAGGTCCTGGCCATCCCGAATCTGCTTCTGAATGTCTGAAAGGGACGCGCCGCCGACGACTTTGCCAGCTTTGATGTTCTCGATTTGGGTTGCGAAGACGCTGGCGAGACTTTGAAGTTGCTGAAAGCCGATGCGCTTCATCGGATCTTCGGCCCAGACAAGCTCATCAAACCCATCGTCGCAATTTGCCGAAGGTGAACCTTGTTCTGTGGATGATCCCGGCGCCTGGCGCTTGAGTCTCTTGACAATAATGTCGCCACTGCGGGCATCTTTCCGGCGAGTGTCGACGGTCTCGTAGCTGTTGCTGCTGAAATCACGGAGCTTGCCGAGGAGGGTAACTAGAGGACTGCCCATTGTTACGACAGCACGATTGAGTATGCTGAAAGCCCGTGTCCACATTGATGATGCTGGCGGCGGAATTTTTTGTTGGGTATTGTCTGATGCCGGCGAGTGCTCCTCCTCGGCTGTGGCTGGCTCGTTGGGCGCAGGCACGACTCGGTCGACGGTCCGATCGCCCTCTGAGCCCTGGTCCTGAGTGATCAAGTCGAATTCAGTGTCTTCGGCTGGGCGCTTTCCGTTGCTGTTGATGAGGTTCTTGTAGACAGCGCGGTACTCGTCGTTTCCGCAGCTGCAGTGCCAGCGGAAGTCGTCCTTTTTCTGGAGAACCCGGAGATTTTTGTTGTCGGAACCGACCACGTAGAAGCGCAGGTGACCGACTGCAACTTCTGCTTCTTCTCTCGAGTTGTAAATGTTGGGCGGGCCGCACCAACAACCTTTCATGTATTGATCGTTGCGGATCGCGATCCACAACTCTCGGGCGAATCTTTCTTCGCCTTCTTCGTCGCTGCGCTGCCTGAACAGCCGGGTCTCGTACGCCGGACTGTCAGGGGCCGGAGTCGGTGGGCTTGTCGGGGTTACGTCAACAAACCTTGTGACGTATCGGTGATAGCGGACGGGTGTCCGCGGGGAGGCGAAGCTCCTGGCACTTCCCGCCGATGCAGTCTTGATGGCCGAGACCCTGGGGTGCTCGGGGGGCGATGATGTTCGCGGCGGCGCGGTGAAAACATGCGGGGTCGCCGGGGGGAGGCTGACCGGCGGCGGGAATACGGGCGGTCGAGTGACCGCAACTCGCGTGGGAGTCGCGAGTTGTTCTTCAACAACTGCGTCGAGGGCAGCTGCCTGGGCGGCGCGAGGGGAGGACTGTCCAGGTGCGAAACCTGTCAGCGCGACGTGGTTGAAGGCGCCTGGAGGAACGGTGGACCTACAAAATTGCCGCAGGTTCTGCGGCGGCGCGAAACTCGGCCGGAATTGACCGAGAAGACGGGCGTTCTGCGCAGACCACGGCTGTTGCGCGTGGTGCGCGGCGTGAGTTCTTGGGCAGGCATCGTCAGTCGTAATTTCCTCACTTCGCTAGTTGCAGAGGAGGAAGAAAGCGAGGACTGTTCGCGAGTTGAGAATGGAAAAGGTAGTCGCGACCGCTCGCGAAGTCGGTTGGGAAGAAAACTGAATCCCAGAGCTCGCAGCGAAAAGGGAAAGCGAGGAAGGTGCGACCATGCCGTCGCCAGAAAGAGGGCAGGTGCGACGAGGAAGCCCGAGATGGCCTCCTGCCTTGCCCGCAAAGGGGTGACTACCCCAAAGATGGGACAAAGCACAATTAAGATACAACACAAAAGGCAGCTCAAGTGGTATATGTCGCTTGCAGCGACAGATCCAGAAGGCATGGAGGAATTCAAGTGTCAAAAGGGTCTTTACCCGTTGGACTAAACAGACAGCAATGCTTCAGATGCTCCTCCCAAAGACAGCGACCGTGGATGCGCAGGTTGGGATCGCATCCGCAGAGACCAGAAGGTGGATTTTTCTCGAGGCGGTCGCGGAAAGGAACGAGGTCACGGTTGACTGTGGAGTGGTGGAGCCACGAAATCGCGATCGCATCGTTTTCGTTCGCGTTACCCTGGGCAGCGGACTAGGGTTCGGATGGTCTATGTTTTCATCCGTTTCACGACCGTCAAGCGCATCCGAGATGCGATGGGAGAAAAAGAAGTGAACAACGATGCTCGCGCTCCGCGATCGTCGCAACGGAAGTCGAAATGGTGTTGCGGCTCTGCGGATCTGGGGAAGCTTGGAGCTCTGACATTCCAATTCTGCATGCCATCCATCTGTTTCATGCTAACGATACGGAGGATCCCTGCTCTTAACTGGCATCAATCCGATTCGCCACCATTTCAGCCTGCGAATGCGAATGTCAAGTTACCGGGTACTTATCGTTAGTACTTTACACACTATGTTCCCGGTTGCAATTGATCAAAGGCTGGTTGGAACTGCTGTAAGAATATAGTACCGTCTCTTGTCTTTAATATTGACACAGCCAAGTTAGTAGGACTGGGTGATTCCACAATCAGGCATATACCCTTCCAGAATAATGGTTCCTTACTAGTAGTACTTGCCTAAGTCTATTATGCCGTCCGCTCTCAGCTCTCCTACGATCAGCTTGAAGATCAACAAGGAATGAGAGCACGTACCTTAAGTGCCTCGTTTCAAATACTCGCATGCTAGTGATCAGTTCGAGACTCCCATCTAGTACTGCTCCACGGTAGGTAATGCAATGGCATACAACCCTAACCACGGTGTGCACCAACATGCACCGATGGGATGCCAATGACCACATGTGTAGGGTAGCGGAGACGTCTTTCATACAACAACAGGGTAAAGGAAGGATATCGTAACAAAATGTCTCAAACACGTATATGTATATCACAGTTGTGGTCGCCATCCGGGTTTTGTGTTTTGCTCCTGCGGGAGAGAGAGAGAGAGAGAAATCCAAGTCGATAACTGTACAGTGCGGAGTATCTCGATTTCCCGATCTGGATGGGAATTCTCTCACGTTGAGAGCAGAAATTCAAGCGACTAGCAGTCTCAAGGTTCCGGGTTTACCTTAGAGATAGAACAGCAAAAGAGACAAAATGGGCAAAGAAGGCAATAAGCCCTCGCCTGGCTCGGTTGGGCCAACCAAATCCGCGAAAGTAGCTCAAGACGAACAAGTCATGGCGGTGCGTCTGCATACCTTTCCCTAGCCTACCTACCGTACCTTATTAACATAATTTCTGCCCTTGACTCACTCACTAACACATAGCCCCCTTGCACAGACAAACAACAGTAGCATCGTCTCCAAGCGCAGCGTCGAGAAGCTCTACTATCCGGACGAGCCGCACTTCTTCCGCTACTTTGTCCGCAAGTTCCAGCGACGGGCGCCCCTCATCAACAGGGGCTACTGGCTGCGCCTGCGGGTGATCGACGTGCTGGTGAGAGATTTCCTGCGTAAGGGCGGGGAAGGAGAGACCAGGGGGAAGGAGAAGAAGAGGCGCGTGGTTGTCAATTTGGGTTGTGGCAGGTCAGATTCCTTTCCTTCTTCCTCTCGGCGACTCACCTTTTTTTTTTTTTTGGTTTTGTTCGGCTGTCTATCCTATTTTCACTGGCTGTGCATCGTACTGTTGCTGATGAGCGTTTTGGAGAGTGAGCGGGATACAGCGATGTCCTTCCCTGGCAGTGTCTCACCCGCTACCCCGGGGACTGTGAAAACGTGAAGTTTGTGGATGTCGATTTCCCGGACTTGATTGAGAGGAAGAGGCAGACGGTACTAGGCACGCCGGAGCTGTTGGGTGCGTTTACCGGGGTGAAGGAGGCAGGGGAATTGGCCAAGCCCGTGGTGTTGGAGAGTGATCAGTATGTGCAGGTTGGCTGTGATCTGAGGGACCTCAAGACTCTTCAGCATGGGTTAACTGCGGCTGTTGGCGACTTTGCAGCGTGCAAATTCATATTCGTTGCTGAGGTATCAATCACGTATATGGAGACAGAAGGGGCCGATGAGGTGATACGATGGGCTTCCACTGTTGGGGATGGTGAGTTTTCCTTTGCTTTTTTTCTTTCTCTTCTTTTTTTCCCCTTTATCTTTCTTACTTCTTTTCTGCTGTCAAAGAGAATAGGCGGTGCTGACTGTGCGCAGCCGAGTTCGTTCTCCTCGAGCAGACCCTCCCTGACGGCGAGGACCACCCCTTCGCATCGACCATGCTGGACCACTTCCGGAAGCTTAACACCCCGCCAAAGTCGGTGCGCAGGTACCCGGGCGTGCAAGATCAGCACACGCGCTTCTCGTCGCGGGGGTGGGATTCCGCTCAGGTCTGGACGATGTGGCAGGCATGGGCGGACGAGCTGTTCCTCTCTGCTTCCGACCGCCGGCGGTTGGACGAGCTAGAGCCGTTTGACGAATGGGAAGAGTTTGCGCTGTTTGCCAGTCACTACTGCGTGGTGCATGCCAAGACAGGGACCGGGAGCAACTCGTCCGCGGCAACGGCGCCATCTTTGCCGCCCACCACAGGGATCCCCGTCCAGCCGGTGGCACTGCAGTACGACGAGTGCCACGGCCAAAGAGGCAAGCGGCGTTTTGCGGCGGCCATGGCACTCTCGAAGGACGCGGCACAACCGTTGGTGCTGAATATCCTGGGACTGGGGACCAAAAGCCGGTTGCAGTCGTGTGACGTCTTCAGTTTGGGCGATCCGGGAGTCGACGGATCCCTCAACTTCCGTGAGGGCGGGCCAACGACCAGGATGTGTCACTCCCTTACCGACCTCGGAAGCAACGGCGTGCTTCTGGCAGGGGGGCGCGGCTCCCCGTCGAGTCCGTTCCAGGATTGTTGGTTGTTCGACAAGGACTCGAGGACATGGAGACAGACACACGATCTACCCATCCCTTTGTCCAGGCATTCCGTTACGGCGTTGGGGAAGTCGGGTCTCGCCTTGCTTGTTGGCGGCAGAGGACCGATCGACCCCTTTGGCGGATGCCTTGTGTACCAGCCTGAAATAGGGTGGGTAGAGTGCAAGATACTCGGCGACAGACCGGCTGCGGTGTATGGGGCAGCACTGGCGTGTGGAAGCAGTACGGGCAGGAATCGGTTTCGCGGTATTTATGCTGGCGGTCTAGAGGACGGGCTTGTTTCGGACCAGATTTTTCTCTGGGAAGCGGACGTCTCGGACATCAAGGTACCTACCTACCTTAGCTATGTCGTTCATCACAATGCAGCGGACAGGCAGTCGACTGACAAGTCCTATAGAAACCCACTGTCAAATTCACCAAGCCAACGCTTTTGGGGGATGTGGAAGACTCCACATCTCGCCGATTGCTGACAAGGTTCGGCTCAAGCTGTCTGCAGCACGGTGATGAGTTCGTGATACTGGGGGGCGTGGCCAAGGACCATCTCTTGAGCCGTCATGATGAGGCGATATTGTGCTCCGTGTCGGCAAAGGGGGTCAGAATCACTTGCCGGCTCCTCGGTCACAGCAGTTCCCTACGGGAGCAATCAATACCACGCCCGCTGTTTGTTGGACACTCGGCTGTCTCGTTACCGGATGGCAGCGTCGTGGTAGTCGGGGGAGGAGCCACATGCTTCTCCATGGGTACTTTCTGGAACAGCGGCGTCTTCTGCTTCCACATTCCTTCAGCTGGGGACACTGCGGCGGCGGTGTCCTCGTCTAGTCCTCGGTGGGTGCATGAGAAGACTATCGACGTCATTCCAGGTCAGCGCAGTTCTCCAGCAGCTGCAAAAGCTGAAACGAGTAACGGGACTGCCAGAATCACGACAATTCCGCGGTTAGAGCTGGAGACGGCGGATGACTTTTTGAAGGTTGTTCGTAAAGGCCGGCCAGTTGTAATTGAGGGACTCGACCTCGGCAGCTGTGTATCAGCCTGGACGCTAGACTACCTCGCGGACAAGGTTGGAAAAGATCGCAAGGTGAGAGTCCACACTCTGCGGACAACCTCCCTTCTTTTCTTTTCTCTTCTTCTTTTTCTTTTTCTTTGTTGCTTTTTCTTTTTTTACTGATATGAGCAGGTCGTCATCCATGAAGCGATGACGCAGGCTATGGACTTCACGACAAAGAATTTCCGCTATGTGACGACCGAGTTCGGCGATTTTGCCCGGAGGGTAGAACGGGGTGGTAAACTCTACCTGAGGGCTTTGTCAGATGAGAAGCCTTTGGAGAAGCCGGCGATGTTGAGTGACGACTTTCCAGCCCTGGCCCTGGATTTTGTGCTCCCTGAGCAACTGTCACAGGTGAAGGAGAATCTCTTCAGCTCTGTGCTGCGTCTATCGGGACCGGTGAATATGTGGCTACATTACGATGTGAGTCGTTCCATGTACTCGACGGTTCCTTTCCGTCTGTGATCCGCTTCCTTACTCCTTCCTTTACTCTTGTTTTTTCTTTTCTTTTCTAGTTTCCTCCCTCTTCTATTTCTCTTTTGCTCTCCCCGTTCTGCTTTCCTGTCCTAACCTTCACTTGCCGGCCCGCTCCTGATCCCGAACCCTTGCCTGACCGTCCTTCTCGTATTGCGCCCTATTATCCTTCATATAGGGTAGACACACTGACGAGGCATAGGTCATGGCAAACGTCTACTGCCAGATTGGCGGCTCGAAACGGCTGATTCTCTTCCCACCATCCGATGTCGAGCACTTGTCCTTTGCACCTGGGGCATCTAGTTCCAGCGTAGACGTGTTCTCGTCACTGAATTCGGCAGAGCTTGCGCAAACTCACCCACACGAGGCCGTACTCTCGCCAGGCGACGTGCTCTTCCTTCCCGCGCTGTGGCTGCACACGGCGACGCCGACCTCTGATAGGAGCATCGCGGTGAATGTCTTCTTCAAGGACCTCGACAGCGGGCACTATGCGTCCGGCCGGGATGTGTATGGCAACCGCGATCTCGGCGCTTATGAGAAAGGGAGGCAGGATATTGCCCGCATCGCAAACACGTTCAAGAAGCTGCCGGCCGAGGCAAGAGAATTTTATCTCTTGAGGCTGGCCGACGAACTACGCAGCACGGCACGCGGATGGAGAGATTAGCAGGGTGTGTGACTGGACACCCGCCGCCGTCGAGGGACTAGTCACACTGACACATTAATAGAGGAGAGATCAATCTACTGGAGACCGCTGGCTAGGGTCCCGATCATACCCGGACTCCAACAGCCCTTTTCCCATGCTGACGGCAGCATGGGCAACCCGTAAGGCAGCGACGCGGAAATGCCGTGGATAAGTGGAACGGTGCCCAATGAGAGAGGTGGATGCACCATGCCGATCTAGGCAGCTACCTTACCTAATAAAGAGCGTATTGTTGCATTGTTTACACGCCGTTCTAGGCGGCAGTACGGAGTATGGGGTGGCGTGACGTCAGCCTATCAGGTGTATCGGCATTCAAGTTGACACATTAAAGGCATGCATGCTATGCTGGCTTTCGTCCACTGTCGCAACTTCAAAAGCAAACTCGCTATCCTCTTCCTCGCCATACCAACCCGGGCAGTATGGCTGACGCTTCTGAGCCGCTAGATCTGGCCAACATCCTACGCCCCAGCGGTCCTTGGGACTATGCAGATGCCAAAGAAGGCTACGAGTACATCGTGTCCGTGGAGGGCAACAAAATGAGCTACGCCGATGATGCCGGAAATAGGCACGAGATACACATCCCTACGGGCAGAGCAAATGAGGCTGGCGAGCACTTCGCGAACAGGAGATGGGATGAGTTGGCCAAGTTCCCGAAATGGGGTAAGTCATCTGTCATCTGTCTCCCTGTCTACTCGTACTCACGGAAAAGAAGAAGAAAAAGGAAATAAAGAAAAGAAAAAAGGGGATGCTGACACTGAAATCAGACAACCAGCAGTATACAGACGAAGACTACGTCATCACCGAGGTCAAGAAGAACCCGGCCACTGATGAGGAGGCAAGAGGGGTTGTGATCAAAGCGCAGGGAGAACCTCTCGTCAAGACGGCAGATGGAAAGGTCGTTCTCTATGGGCAAGACGGGACTGAGAGGAAGTAGGCCCCTCCGCGTAGACTTCAATCCTGATAATCCACGTTGTTGTCAGGGGCCGTACGGCGTATGTTGTGGACACTGGACTGTTAGAAGTTGCATGTCATGTTGACCTCCACAAGGTAGAACCGGAATCGTACTCACCCAGAGCTGAATTCACTCCCCTTGCTAAGTTCTTGAGATGGGCGGTTGTAGCCACTATGCAGTGTCACTAGTAGTTCTACTATTGTCTCCCTAATGGGAAGGTAAACGACCGATCCCGGGAGTCGGTTACTGCGGGTGGAATGATCCGATTGTCTGGGGGTATGAGAAGGAGGCCGAATGTGCGCTGTATCTGCCACCCGGCTTCTCTGTCAGACCTGTTGAGCCCGAGTGGAGGTAGAGTATTTGTCATTCTGGCGAGTTTGTAAATGTACGGTATTCCATCTCTATGGCAGTTCTGGTTCACTGTCGCCCTGGCTTACCTCTTAATGTCAGCAGGACATCTAATACGGGAAGTTCGAGCCAGCGGAGGGCGACGAACGACGATCATCATAGTATCGATTCAGCCACTAACTGTCTGCGAGTGCCCCTACGAGGCAAGTGACACAGTATCGCCCCCGGCCTACCGGTTCTGCGTCATGGTAGAGTGCTTTGCCTGTGAGCTGGGCAACAACATCTACTCCTTTGACCACAAGGGCTGTACCGGCGGCGCGCTCAACTCCTGCCGGGACGGCGCGGACGCCCACTGTTGCATTGGTGCGGGAGGCAAAAACACCTGCTCGGCCCAGTGGTACCGCGGTGGCGGTCCTGGCGGCGTGCTGCTCGCCCGCACGGGCAGCAATGCAGCAGCCAACGGCACCGAGGAGTGCGGGGGATACGTCGAGCCAAACACGAACCTGTTCACCGATGCAGATGGCGTCCAGCATAACAAGTACATCCCCAGGGGCTCATACGCAACTGTCGTCGATCTGTATGAGGCCGGCAACTTGGACGAGCTGGCCAAATTCCCACACTATAGTGAGTGCTCACTGTCCCCAAGGAGACGTCTTCGGTTGCTTACACAATCCTTCAAAAAGCTGGCCGGGGCTATACCGATGACGACGTTATCCCCCAGAAGTAGGTGGTTGAGTAACTTGAAATTCAAACTTGAGAGGCCGGTGCAAGAACATGGAAAGCTCTCGGGGTATATCAATCAGATGACACGTTCTTTGAATCAATCTCTTTCTCCGCGTATACGCCACCATGGAGTTGCAGTTCTGGGCATGGGGTTATTTTAGAGATACACCAAGTCCCCCAAAATAAGCCGGCAAAGCCAACGCTCATACAGTCTTGCAGTCAATTTGAAACCTCCCGTTCAACCTCCGGAGTTTCAACTCAGTACCACGGTCATGACTGGGACTTCCAGGAGATACATAACCTAGCTGGTCTTTTAACTATGTGCTGGAATGCTCTGCTTTCTGATATAGGAGAACCGCCTACATAGTACACTCCCGGAGGGAGTTACACGTGTGGCAGAAGATACACGCGGTTGGCCGGCTTTTGCCACGATGTGAGCCAAGCCAAGACCCTGCTTCACTCCTGTAACTGTTGGCCCGTGCTTTGCCGCCTTCCCGTGTAAGCTGTAACCGGGCATACGAGTAACCGGGATTTACCGGACCTTTTTTTTTTTTTTCGAGGTTAGGTGGTTTTTCCATCGATTCGGAGCCACCTTGCCGTGCCTCGCTTTTTCCAAAAAGGCTCATTGCCAACCAACCACACCGGCAATCTCTCTCTCACCAGGTCCAATTGACTTGCCCTCGTGACGACTCTCGCGACCGACGAGCGTCAAGATCAACTCCACTCAGTTTCTTTTCTCTTACTAGAGCAAAAGCAGACAAAATGGCTAGCGCAACAAAAACTCCGGCCGCTCCCCAGATCAGCGGGGTCGACCTCTACTCCAGATTCGCCCTCGCCGGCGCCATCTGCTGCTCAGTCACCCACGGCGCCTTGACGCCCGTCGATGTGTACGTTCCCTAGTTCTGCGATGCGCCCATCGCGCCCTGTCGCGCCCCATTGCAGACACGCCTTCCAGGGAGGACGACAAGTCGGGAAGCCATTGTTCGCTAACAGGTCGGCTTGTTATAGCGTCAAGACCCGTATCCAGCTCGACCCCGTCACCTACAACAATGGCATGATCGGCGGCTTCAAGAAGGTCATCCAGAACGAGGGCGCCGGTGCCCTGCTCACCGGTGTCGGCCCTACCTTCGCCGGCTACTTCCTTCAGGGCGCCTTCAAGTTCGGTGGCTACGAGTTCTTCAAGCAGCAATTCATCAACTACCTCGGTTACGATACCGCTTCCAAGTACCGGACCGGCGTCTACCTCGCTTCGTCCGCTGCCGCCGAGTTCTTCGCCGACATCGCCCTCTGCCCGCTCGAGGCCACCCGTATCCGTCTCGTCTCCGAGCCCACCTTCGCCAGCGGGCTCGTCAGCGGCTTCGGCAAGATGCTGAAGACCGAGGGCGTTGGCGCCTTCTACGCCGGCTTCGGTCCCATCCTCTTCAAGCAGTAAGCTCCACCACGGTCCCTCCCCTTCCCCTTGACTCGTCCCATGCTGAAAGCTCCCAGGATCCCGTACACCATGGCCAAGTTCGTCGTCTACGAGAAGGTTGCCGAGTCGGTTTACCGCGTCTTCCCCAAGAAGGACATGTCCGACGGCATGCAGACCACCGTCAACCTTGGTAGCGGTCTGGTTGCCGGCTTCGCCGCTGCTATTGTCTCGCAGCCCGCCGACACTATGCTCAGCAAGATCAACAAGACCAAGGGTCTCCCTGGCGAGGGCACCACCACCCGTCTGATCAAGATCGCCAAGGAGCTCGGCCTCAAGGGCTCCTACACCGGCATCGGCGCCCGTCTCTTCATGGTCGGAACGCTCACCGCGTTCCAGGTCAGTCCTTACGCAGGAATTCACAAAACAATGGACTTCGGCTGACCCTGACACCGCAGTTCGCAATTTATGGCGATGTAAAGCGCTATCTTGGCGCAACAGGTTTGTTCCCCCTCCCGGGAGTAAGTAACTATAAACACGTTGATACTAATTTGACAATTAGGTGGCGTGGAAATTGGGAAATAGTGTCGGTTCTTTTTGGCGTTGTCGGGGATATATGGTGATTAGATGGACCCGGAATAGAATAATTGTACAGCACCACGCACTTCCCTACAGTTCATATATCACTTCCCATCCCTGAAAAGGAGTAGCTACTAGTACTGGTAGTATATTAGCTCCGTCCGGCAAGCACGAACCGCCCTGGTCGCTAGTTCACCACCATCACTAAAGTGTGGGCTATATTGGGAACTTTAGTGAGTCATAAAGGAATAGTGTTGTGTTTTGCAGATTGATGTACGTCAGCGCTGGTGCGATTTGAGGACAGCCGGATATGACGACGGAGATGCGGTTACAGCCGCGGTTCGGGTCATCTGTTTCCCTTGCGATACCATGTAGCCGCATGGATGGGGAATCGTCCGCTCTATAACTGTCTGCCGAAGCGGAAGTGTCCTTGAGGACAAGAGATGACGCCGGAGTCGCCTCAGGAGTCAGCATCCCCCTGTTCAACCTAGCACGTCATTGATACGCTTAGCCTCCAGCGACTGTGCTCCCTTCCAAATAGTCCTCGCAGTTCAATCGTAGCTAGAAGCCAGTCGAGTACGATTGGACATGCGACTGAACTACCTTACGAGAGCCACTACGATCAACTTCGGGTTGCGTTTGAACTACGGAAGCCACTGTGGTTCAACTACAAGAGCTACGCCAATGGAACTTGTGCTCAAATTATAGCATAGCTCCTATACTTAGCTTGGCGATATAGGTATAGGTATGAACGCTAAAAGTTCGAGTGTGACTAGCAAAGTTCTTAATATGTAAGTGCCCGTTGTCTGCATTGCCAATTGAGTCATTGGGCATATTGGATTTTTGGTGTGGTTAGTGGGGTGGGGTGGCTGTAGTGCCGTTATCGTGAATTCAGGCTTCCGTACTAACACGTACTACCAGGTAGTTACTACGTAACACGGAGTTCTTGGTCCCTGAATTCATCGCTCTCTATCCGAGTCTTCGCGTATACGGATGTGTACTCCGGGAATGATGGATTCGAATCGTTGCATGCCGCCAACCATATTGCTAACATCCTCCATTCCATTTTCCATTCATGGAGATTCGATCTGACCTGCCCTGAGTGAGCGCATGCAACGGCCGTCGCAGGCGGATCTCGGCACTCTCGGACAGCGGTCCTTCACACATCAACACTTACCCTCACCGCTACCACCTATGCCACCGGTGCCGCTGTAATATGTCCGGCCTACCGAAACCCCTCCCGATACATTCCGCCATGCCAGGCGACGAGTCGACCCCTCTTCTCCACGCTCCAGCCGCAACATCAATCGTCCACCCATCGCCATCGCCAACACCAACAACAAGCCGCTCCTCCTCCGTCCGCTCCCCATCGCCAACACCACGCGCTCGCGCTCGCGCCCAACGCCTGCGCGTCATCTCCCTCTTCTCGGCCCTCCTCTCGTCGCTGTGCGCGGGCTCCATCACCATCTTCTCGCTCTATGGCCACATTCTGCAGACCCGCCTACACTACTCGCAATACCAGGTAAACGGCCTGGCCTCGGCAGCGTCCATCGCCATGTACGTGCCCGTGCCGCTGCTGGGGTTTCTGTGCGACCGGTCCGGGCCGGCACCGCTCTCGTTGCTGGCTGCGGCGGCGTTTGGGACGGGCTATGCGGGCGCGGCGGGCGCGTTCTCCCGGGCCGAGAGCCTGAAGGCCGGCGGCGGGGAGGCGGCGGGAGCGGAGCGCGAGATGTGGTATGCGGCTATGGTGCTGGCGTTTGTGGCGATTGGCGTGGGCACGTGCAGTATGTACATGAGTGCTGTGGCGACGTGTGCGAAGAACTTTGGGATGGGCAAGCACCGGGGTCTGGCAGTTGCCGGGCCGATTGCGGCGTTTGGTCTGAGCGGGATGTGGTTGAGCCAGGTGGGGGGCCGGCTGTTTGTCGAGACGGGCGGGGGCGAGAACGGGCCGGCGGAGGAGGGAGAGATCGATGTGGTCAAGTTCTTCGTGTTCCTTTCCGGGCTGTTAGTGATAGTGGGCGTAATAGGGGCGTTTGGGCTCAAGATCATGGACGAGAAGGATCTGATCGAGGAGGCGGTGGAGGAGCTGGAGAGGAGCGGGATCCTTGACGGCAGTGCTATCTTCACGCCAGGGAGGGCCGAGAACGGGCATGGAGCGGTTGAGCGGAGCGATCCATTCGACGACACGGGGGACCGGGGCACCAAAGACCCCAAGGAGGAAGAAGCTCGGCTGAAGAAACAATGGGTGCTCAACGCCGAGACCCGCCGATTTCTCACCGACCACACCATGTGGTGCTTCGCTGTCGGTTTCTTCTTCATGATCGGCCCGGGCGAAGCCTTCATCAACAACATGGGCACCGTCATCAAGACCCTCTACTCCCCAACCCCAACCCTCCACTACACGGGTAAGCCGACCTCAGCAGCGACGCACGTCTCCATCGTCGGAATAACCAGCACCGCCGTCCGCCTCCTCACCGGCACGCTAACCGATCTTCTCGCCCCAAGCCCCAAAGCCCGTCACGTCCAGATCACCACACCACTCCTCAGCCGCAGCACCCTGCAGCGCTTCGCCCTCTCGCGCGTCTCCTTCCTCCTCTTCTTCGCCGTGCTCCTCTCCGTGGGCCTGGCCGTGCTGGCATCCGGCCTGGTGCAGAACCACGGCGAGCGCTTCTGGATCGTGTCCGGGCTGGTCGGGGCCGGGTACGGCGCCGTCTTCAGCCTGACGCCCATCATTATCACCGTCATCTGGGGCGTCGAGAATTTTGCGACCAACTGGGGCATCGTTGCCACGTTCCCCGCGCTCGGCGCCACGCTGTGGGGGCTGGTCTACTCCGCCGTGTACCAAGCGGGCACGAAGAGTGGTGGCGGTGGTGCGGGAGGACAGGATGATAATCTGTGTTATGGAGAAGAGTGCTACGCGGCGGCCTTCTGGGCAATGGCGGCCAGTGTATGGATTGCCTGCGGGCTGGTCTTGTGGGCTTGGAAGGGGAAGAATGGTTGGGCACAGCGCGGGGTCGTGGTCTGAATCATCTACCATGGCGGTTGCATTTAGAACTTGCATTAGATTGCGAAGTAGCATGTTCCAACCAAGGGTCAAAGGGATTGGGTACTGGCGTTTACTTGGGTAACCTGGAAAGTCAATAGCTTTAGAAACCATTCATCGAAACGGGATCGTAAGAAAAAATCTAAGACTGCGCTACGTGCGTGCCACCTAATAAAAGCAAATGGGTCTTCTGCTCACGCAGTCGTAGCTTGTAACCGCCCTTTGAACCAGCCAGCACTCGTCCTGAACATATCTCCAACCCGGTCGCCGTTCTCCCTTGCCTTTTCCAAGCCTCCCGGCCTCAGCCCGCCAGGCAACATCCACCACATCAACAGGATGGCCACCAGGATGGCCAGCACAATCGGCTGCAGCACCTCGACGCCCTTGCTTTGCGCAATCGCGCCGACCGCGAACGGAATCACCGCCGCACCACCGCCGCCGAACGCTGCGGCAAACCCGATTGTCGGCACATGGTAGTCGCTCGGCAGCAGCTTCGTGGCAACCACGATCGCGGCCGGGAACAGCGGCCCGAGGAAGAAACCCAGGAAGCTCACGAAGGTCGCCGACGCCGCAAAGTTGGGCACCAGCCAGTACAGCAGCTCCAGCGCAACCGACAGCAACAGGTATGCCGTGATGGCGAGCTTCTCCCCGATCCGCTCCGTGACAAACCCCAACACCACCCTCCCGATCGTCAGCCCCAGCCAGAAGAAGGTGACGGTCAAGCCGGCGATGAAGGGCTCGGCATGCCGCACCCGGAGCATGAACGTGACGATCCACCCGCCCAGCGCCACCTCGGCACCCACATAGCCCAGCAAGATGATGGCGACGATCCACGTCACCGGCGAGCGCAGTGCCGTCCTCGTTGTCGTCCGCTTGCCGCCGTTCGCATGCCTGTGCGTCTCGCGATGCACCTGGGCCGTAGCGCCCCAGAAGGCCGGCACGAGCAGGAACCAGGCCAGCCCGTCCAGGCCGATCATGACGTAGTAGAACGAGTACCACGCCAGCCCGCCGCGCGTGACCATGGCTGTGGCGATCAGCGGGCCGATGGTGGCGCCTAGCCCGTACGCGCCGTGCAGGAAGCCCAGCAGCTCGTTGGCGCGCTGCATGTTGCCGATCCAGGCGTTGAAGGCCGAGTCCTCGATGCCGTTGCCGAAGCCGGTGAAGAGCAGGACGACGGGCAGGACCGGGTAGGGCGGGTGGAAGACCAGCGGGACGATGCCGATCAGCCGCGCGATCGGGGCCAGGAAGGCGACGCCGCGCTGGCCGAAGTGGTGGTGGATCAGGTTGTTGAGGAGCGCGGCCAGGAGGTAGCCCACGAAGGGCGAGAGGAAGAGCAGGGAGACCACAGTGTAGCTTATGTTGTAGTAAGTTTCGATCTGGAAGGGGTCAGTTCAGTACAAAGCCGGGTGGCGTTAGAGCGAGAGGTCGGGGGGCGTATCCCGTACATAGGGGAGCAAAGCCTGTTGATGTGAGAGTTAATCATCGGGTTCTATGAGTTGCTTCCGAAGGGGAGAGGGACGACGTACACCGACAGCCGCGTCCGTCATGCCTAACAAAGAGAAGGAGTACATAGTCGCGAAAAAGCGGAATATGTTCACTTTCGACTCGTTCCACCGCTGCAGCTCCTGGTGTGGTCGAGGTGAAGCTGTGCCGGACTCTTCGTCGGTGGCATCCTGTGTAGGCACTGCCTTCTCCGGATCCTCGACACCGCCAGGCTGGATATCACCATCTGAGCTGGTGTAGCCCACGCGAGGCTCAGCGGTATCGGCCGCCATGCTGAAGACAAGTTGGAAGCAGATGTGGTAAGACAACCTGCCAGTCCAAGGCCCCAAACACAGACTCCCTTTATAAGCAGTAACTAGGTCCTGTGCGGCCGCCTCTCGCCCTAGACCTTCCAGATCAGGCCCCTCCGCCGCCGGTCAGAGTCCGTCTGCGGCGATTGCTCTTCGGAGCAGCGTAGCACGATGCTCTTGAAGCGGTCAAGCCCAGCATGTCGCGAGAGGGACGGAAGCCGAACAAAAGGCGGCAGCTGCGGGGAGGAAAGGGCCAAGAAACATTCATGTTCGAGACTCAGACTACTGTGCTATTGATGCATCCTGCTGCAGGGCTGTTCTCCAAGCTTTGGTGTGGGTCGTTTACCCGGAGGCGACGTCAAGGTTGGGTTGCCGAACACTGCAGTGACTGCACCGTCAACAAGATTCCACATCCAACCAAACATGAGCGGCACCGGACTCTTGGCGGATCCATCTCAGCCCCGAAGTTCACCCGCCGGGCCGGACCCGCCGCCTCCGTGAACGGCAAGTCCGCGCGTTCTCCGCGATCTGGGCAGTCAGGAAAACCACATGACCTGCTTCAACTTTTCATGTGCACTGTTCAGCGTGTTGCATGCCGGTATTTGAAGCGTCGGATTTAGCACGGGTGAAAGCTGTCCGAGGTCTTGGCAAGCGGCAAGTGTTGGAACACAGCGTGTTCCTGACTTCCTCCCCGCGCCGCTCAACGGTTCATAAAAAACAAGACCAATTGAACTGAAATAATAAGGAACAACCATCACAGCTAAATGGATTTTGTTCCGTCTCCGAGGTGTGAGTTTCCCATCCTTGGCCTCGATGTTCATTCAGTGTACTAGTACTGTGTATATACGTTTTCCTTGGTCGGAGCTTCCTTTCGGAGAGGATGGATGGTCGCACTTGCCGGCTTTTGACAACCTGAAATGTTGTTTCCGAAGCCAGCCTTATTCGAGGCAGTCACCCCAGCTCAAGTGAGCGGTCAAGGAGTTCTTTCCAGTCTACATCGATTTTCGACAATTACCAACTTGAGATCAAGGGAGACGAATAAGTACAGATTATTCCGTAAGGTACCTAGAACTCACGTCCTTATTACTCCGTATTGCGGTGTGAGTCTTTACCCGGGTGCGTCCTGCCTCGTATTGGAAACTCCGCTCAACTCCGCGCCTGCAGAGCCTTCCGACACCGATCCGATAACTTGTGCCATTCCTAGCCGGGTTCCGCTCCGATCTCTTCCCGCACATCCCCTTGACGACCCCCTCGCCCAATTCTGACCACTGGACGCCGCCAATCTGTCATTCTCAATGACGCTTGGCTTCAACAGTCGTCCGGCCCAAGAAGGGAACTTTATCCCAAAATTCGGTTGCCATGCCAACAGTGCTTCAAGACTAACAGTAGATATACGCGGTGAGACTAAGCCCACCCACCCTCTTCATCCCACGCTTCCCTTGGGCGCTTTTCTTCCGAGGTGGCTTGGAGTAGCCTGCCATGCGTTCGTTATATACGTAGTTGCCCCCCGTGTTGTTCACACGGCAAATCACAAACAGTTATCCGCTTTTGAAATTGATTCAAATGACGATAATTCTTTATTTTAGCCCCATCCAACTCGCACATTTGACTTTACACGCGGGCATGACCGACCGACCTTGGGTGCGACTCGACGAGCCACTAACGCTGTCCATCACACTGACGGTAGGTACCTGTCTACAAGTCGGTCACCAGAGAAAGCAAGTAAGTAATGGTGGAAGGGAGTTGGGTGTCCTAGGTCGCGACAGCCACAGAAGCCATCCCTGCCGCGGCATTGAAGAAACGGCATGCCGACAGTGATGTCGGTGGCGGCAGCCGGCATCGGGCAGAAAATGCCGGATGTACGATAAATTACCTGCGCACTTCATCTCTACAAGAATCGAGTTTTGTCGGCAGCATCCCTTAGTTTCGCAGCGCAGCTAGAAAAGAAAGGGATACTCGACCAACGAAAGCTCCAGGAAGCCCGAAAATGTTGGAACATTGAAAATTGGCTCTCCGTATTGCTGGGAGACCCTCCGCCCCCTAAGTCGTTAATAACTACAGGAGCTACCGTCATGCCGCGTGCTGAGCAAGCAGCACCGAGATGACGTTGCTAGTGGCGATGATGCCGGCTATTGCTGTCATAGAATCTGGATCTCGATTGGCGGTACTCTAGGGAAGTGAACCGCCCCTTTTCGGCTGTGCCAAAGCATCTTGGCTTCAACAATGGCCTACCTCCACCCCAGCCTGATTTCTATCGAAGGTATCGAGAAACGGGGCTTTCGACCGTTTCCAGTCGAGCAGGTCGCCGGCGCTGTCCTCTACGGATTCGCCCGCTACGTAAGACACTGGCATGATTATAACGACATCACCTTTGCATTGGGATGAGGCCCCTTATCATCCTGGATCCTAGACGAACACCCTTGTGGGTAGCCTCCACCGTGCCGCAACGTGGAAGACTAGGTAAGCTGTAGAAAACGATCCTCGACGGCGCAGCACTCATGAGACGTGGGAGCCACGCGCCATCCGAGGTTAGGTGGCAAGGGTCCTGTGCAACTTGGAAGGGGAGAGAGCGGAGACAAGGGGCGGGAGAGGCGGCGGCCACGTGGTGACTTAGGATTAAAACCTAAGGGGGCGCCTAAACACGGACATAGAACTATAGTATGTTTAGGGGAAAAGCCTGACGGTGGCAACTACACAAGACTAAGGTAGGAAACAAAAGGCTGTACAGCATTGACACCGTCTACCCCGATAGTTTAAATCACAAGCCAAGCAAGGATGACCAATGAGAGCGAAAGAAGTGAAACAAAAAGCATAAAGGAAAAGAGAAAAGGGGGGTAAAGAAGAAAGAAGAAAAGGAGAAAAAGAAAAAAGAAAAACAAAGAAGGAGAGGGCGAGAAAGAAAGTAAAGGAAGAAGGTGGCACAAGAAGATATAGGTGGGAAAGATAAGGAGATACATAGAGAAGAAGGGTGACTCTTGTTCAAGCTCCAAGGTGCAAGCCTGGCTGATATTAACTTTTATTCACTATAGGGCCTTTAAAGCCCGAAGGGGGGCGGGTAGCATCTTATATCACCTGGGTGTTGAAGTATGGAAACGATATATTTCCTAACTGATGCTGGGCTAGGTAGTATACGTAGGAATGATACCGCGGGAACAAACCCGAACGAGGATTGGCTCAGCAGACCCAAAGCGCAGCGCGGTGGTATCACCAGGACACCCAAGCCTCTGACTCCAGCAGCAGCAACACGTGATGCCCAAACGTGTCCTTGAAATACCCAGGACCCCAACCCCCGGAAAAGGGAAGAACCGCACTTCCCCTCACGCGAGGAACGCGAGCACAGCCAAAACAACCGCGACAGCAACCAGTGTCAATAGTGCGCCAAGAAGGGCAGCCGCCAGGGCAGGAACCCCTGGCGGGGGCGGATTGACAGCGGCGCAGAAGAATGCCTCGCTCTCACACACGCGGCACCACGTCGTTGTGTTGGCGACGCCGATCTGCCACATGGTCGCGTTGAAGTGCTTAAAGCTCATGGACGAGCGGCCGCTGCCGAAGAGCGGGTAGGGCATGAGGATGCCACGCTCGTTGTCCGCGGCGGTAGTGTTGTGGTAGAGGAACCGCACGTGTAGCTTGTCGATCGAAGGGTAGGGTATCCCGTTGCTGCTGCGCGACGAGGTCGAGAGATCGGTGGATTTGTTGCTGTCGTTGGCCAACTCCCTATCCTGGTCAACCGAGAAAAGCTCAAAAGTCAACGTTGCAGCCGGCCGGGGGAGCTGCGCAAATGGGCCCCTCTCGGAGGCCCCGCCGGAGAGGTTAGTGAGGGCAAAGAAACCTAGGAACGGCTCATGTGAGGTGAAGGCTAGGTTTAGCTTGTTCCGCGCGCCGCGGGACTGCATGTTCTCGATAAAAAGGGCCGTAACCCTGCTTGCTAGGGTGCGGCCGGCGATAGCATCGGTCAAGCCGTCCTGGATGCCGCCCGGTCCAGAGATGGTGGCGTACCGGAGTGTTTGCTCTTCCCAAGCGAGCTGGTGCAGTCTTTCCAGGTCTTCTGAGGTCATGGCTGACCGAGTCCGGTTGCCGTGAGTCCAGTGGTGAGCAGCATAGTCGTACAGGTCGTAGGCGTTGTAGAAGCTAGCCTCCGAGCGGGGGAATGCCTCGGAAAATACTTTGTCCCAAAGACGACCGTAGAATACCTTGCTGCTCTGGTGAATCGAGTCGACATTGCCGTTGTTGTTATACAGGAGCAGCAACTTCTCATGTTTGGTGCAGCCGTCATGCCCACGGCCCCTTCATTTGGATCGCGTCAGTGACATCAAGCCGGAACAACATCACATCACACACGTACCAAATGGAGTCCGGGTCGACTCTAGGGGAGATGGTCCGGATGTTCGGGTACTGATAACCACACACGGGGTAGTCCATAACCGAGCCGTTTGGAAGCTGGCACGATGTGTCTGGCCGTGGCGGATAAAGGCCCTGCATGAAGGCCATCGCTCCCGCCGCGGAGCAGCCGTCGGTGGAGGATTCGATATGGAGTTGCGAGTTATCGATGGTCTCCGAGTTGATGCCAACTATGCCGACAAAGCCGTCATCGCGCGAGATATCCAAGTACCGATGGCGAAAGGCAGCTCCCTGATCGTGCATCTGACTCGCTCCGAGAGGAGTGAGAGTCGCTGGGCCCGGCAAGACGAGCGGCGTATGGTCGCCGTACATGACCTAGGAGACCGAGGACCACACGCGCTCATCGCCGGACCCGGCCAAGCCGGTCGACACGAGCAGCAACGCCGCTAACAGGGAAGCCATGGGTTGAGTCGAGTAGAATTCGAATTGAGACTCTCAAGAACAACAGCCGGTGATTGACCCAAAACCCAGTAGAGTCGTATAGAAGAAATCGTGCTTGGGCTTGTCTGGACCTGATCACATATCTAGGGAAGAACTGATGGTAGGCTCGCCTCGGCCACAACCTGGAAAGGACGCTGTGCGTCCTGAAACTGTTGAGTAATAGGGTATCATGTGGGCATCTACGTCCACGACATGTGCTTGTCCGCCTTCCAAGCGTGATGAGGAATCAGGACCAGAGGTTCGTCGCAATCAGATAAGGAGATAAGAGAGCTCAACAGTACCTTAGGTACCTTACCTTAAGCGGGGCCGCTTGGCAGGGCACGTGCAGGGGTGTGGGCAGCGAAATCTGCGACAAGCTTAGCCAAGGAATCTAGCCAATTTCCATGCGGAGCTTCCAGGTTCCGTCACCAACTCATCTTCTGAGACTTCAATTTCCCAAGTCGAGTTATGCTATTATGGACTTGTTCTCCCCAAAGAGAGGCTTCTGCGTGTACGGTGCAGCTCCTGTGCAACTGGAGAGCCCCTCTGAGCGGGCATTGAGTCCCGTTGTCTGATCAGTCTCAGTCGACGGGCAGCGGTCCCCTATTGGCTCCCTAGATGGTGGATCATTTCCAAAGTGATCGACAGATGGCTCGATCTGTTGGCCCTGACAGGGCTGCAAGGCCAGAGCTGCTTTTTGGGCATTTGGTTGCTTGGTCAGCACAAGTATCCTGCATGACAACGATGAGAGGTGACCTATCCCATGCGACTCGAATTGCCTCTTCCTGTGAAGGTGATGCACCCTATGTTGCCGCAGTCGAGTTTCTTCGGCGACGAAGCCGACTCCACTCATTCAAGGCCTCCCCTCAGCGGGCTGCGTGTGCTGCAGCTGCAAACGGTTCTGGATAGGTTGGGGGCCATCTTGCGGACTGCCCAGCCACAATATCCATCTTTAAGAATGACATGCCCAGATCGGGCGCATCTCGATATTATCCACCTGAAACGTCCCAACGATGCTATTGCGCAGCAGTAAGCAGACGTGACGTGGTGCGCAGCGCGCTTGCAGGCGACACAGCCCGATCTTGATAGCCGCCATTGGTGCAATTGCCGCCTTCCGCATTCAAGCGCTGGTTGCGGGACATACTGACAATGTCATCGAGCTGCGCAGAGGGCGGACTAATGACAAGACGACATGTCTCAAGCCGCAAAGGTCAGTGCATGTGTTCCTGCAGTTCTAGGCGGAAGACAAGGAGTTTTGAGATAGCGCCGCGCCGCCTCCGGGGCCCCCAGCTGAACCAGTGAGTGGGCGCCTGCATCGAGCACAGTAAGAGCGAGGCATGTGTATTGTTGTTCCCTGGCGCTGCCCAGCGAACTCGGTTCCTTGCGGAAACTGTGCCGCAAGCTGGATTGTGATTCCGAAGCTCCAGGTTCATCCTCTCGAACTTTCCTCCATCATTCCACGCACATCCGACGCATTTGTCAATTATCCCCATCGGGTCAACAACCGTCGGTTCTTGATGGTTTGGCTAGACGACGATACTCGATGCGCAGGGAGGCTCAACCATGACAGTCGTCGGCCCCTTGACGACCACGTTTCGAGCCCCGTCAAGTTGCACAACCACCACTCCGCAACTTTACCAAGTCCGATCCGGAAGCGACTCGAGATACGTCGAGGGACCACTCTTCACCTCAGGTTCCAACTGCTTTCCCAGCGGCTTTGACCCTGCGCCGACGAATTACTATTCGCCTGGTTGGTGTCCATATGGATACACAACAGCCTGTTCAAGTCTCGCCTCATTGAGCACCGAGACGGAGACGGCCGTCATATGTTGCCCGACGTAGGTGGAATCTTTCACGGGGATCCCTGCTGTCGTAAACGCTGTGAGAAATAGCAACTAAATTAGAGACTTGTTGCCCTGCCTACAGCCATTTTAGGTACACTTGCGCCCTCCCCGTTTCTTCTGGTCAGCGCTCTGTCGGCTGCACAACAGCATGGGCGTCCGCATTGGCCGTTCTCGGCGTCACGGTCGTTTCGGACGGCGAGGTCGGCACCACAACGGTGGTCTCCGAGACGTCGAACGCAATTACCGCCTACGGCATCCAGGTCCGCTTCAGATCAGGCGATCCGACGCCGGCGTCAGCGACCGACAACTCCGTAAGTTAATGTGCCGGTCAATGCTACCAACCAGGGGACCGCTTCGTTAATAATCCGTCTCATAAAGGGCATCTCCGTCATAAGTAGGACATCAACCCCAACAGTATCCATCCCAACTCAGCTCCTCATCCCAACACCGGCCCCGTCCTCTTCCAGCGGCGTCAGCACCCCCGTCGCAGTCGGCATCGGGGTCGGCTCCGCGGTAGCAGCCTTCATCATCGCTGGTTCAATAGGTCTCTTTTTCTTCTTGCGTTGGCGGAGGAAAAAGAGATCGGCCAGATCAAGACCACCATCAGCTTCACCGCCTCCGGTCCCGCCCAAGGAGTTGCCAGCATCGCCGTTCCCTTACCGCACGGTGCCGCCGCCGTATGAGCTCTCCGACCAGGCCTCGCCGCGACGGCCGGTGTCTATTTCGAAGACGCACCTGTCAATGTCGCCTGTTACGGCAAGGTCACCTGTGCCTGGGTGGAGAGGCGATAGCGACGTGTTAGGCGCCTATAGGGCGGTTGAACTGGAGGCAGATTTGCCCAGCGAGGCTTCATTGAGAGATCGCGCGTCGCCGGAGTCGTCGAGCAGTCGGTGGACGGACAGGCAGGGGCGCGGTGGGATTTCGCCAACGCCTTGGATATAGGAGGCCTTCCGGGCGGATGTCGGGACTAGGTTCCGAGTGGTGGACCGCCGCTTGGTTTCATGTCGCGCACGTGGTGGCGGACTTCGATTCTTGTGTGATCTTCGGGCCGGGCCGATGGGACTGCTGCAGGGAGCGGTCGCCGTTTCGGGTCGCCCACACATCGACACGAGGCCTTCATCCGAGTCTACCTGCCTTCGCTGGTTACGCAGCCCAGAGACTCTACCTCGTTTCATTGATACCTCATCATGCACGCATACTTCGTTTTGCATATTTATCTTACCTGCATCTTTAATAAGATGGACACAGCGCACAATCGGTCGATGGGGTTGGATAGCTATTCGGACGGAATGAGACCGTACCTTAAGTTATTACGTACATTAGTATCGCAGTCTTTGGATTTGGATGGTTTTGTAGACGGATTTGGAAGGACTAGGCGGGAACTCTGGTTTGGCCTCATATCTGTTTGCTGCCGAAATATGCGTATGTAATGGTACTCTCTTAGAGTTTCTATACAATAAGGTACTTATGAGAATGCTATACTGTTCCATGTATCAACGAAAGCACAAGACTCGGAGTCAGCCTCGAGTCAGCTTCAAGACCGCCTGAGAGAATGGCGTTCATTCCCCAGTCAGTGCCGGCTGTTGCCAGCTGCATTTCCATCATCAGTCGCCCCGCCATTAGTAGCCGCCATAGCTGCCAAGCCAAAATTTCCCTAGCTCAAGCAAAGCAACGGAACGGCCCATCTCACCACACAGCGCGCATCGCGTTTCCGCCTCGACCTCCGTTGACGACAGACCAACCAACGAGGTGTCGCAAACCTGCGAAAGCCTCGGCAACCCTACCAAGTTATAACCGAACCACGGTCTCTGACAGATCTATCGAGAATCAAACGCCTCTCGAGTCCGAAACGATCACCCACCCACCTAAGCTTTGCATCCAACAAGGGTACCCTCACTGAACGCCACATCTCTCCCGTTCGTCATTGAACAAATACCTAGCTAGGGGAGAGAGCGAGGGCACAGACAAAATGAGTTTTGTCCCCGTCAATCCACGGCCGTTCCTCCAGGACTTGGTCAACAAGGACGTGATCGTGCGTCTCAAGTGGGGCGAGACAGAGTACAAGGGCAGGCTGGTCAGCATCGACAGCTATATGAACATCCAGCTGAGCAACACGGAGGAGTACATTGACCGCAAGCTTACGGGACAGTTGGGGCAGGTTTTGATACGGTAGGTTATTCACATGTCTCCGGACAGGAGTGGAATGGACTGCAGGTGAGAAAAGGGGACTAACGGGTTAGCAGGTGCAATAACGTACTTTACGTGACGGCTGCGGACAAGGGCGGGGAGGGGGATCGGGACACGAAGATGGAGGGTTAGACCGGGAATGGGAAGTAGGGGGAAGGCGGTTGGAAGATTGTTCATCACGCAAAGCCAAGATGAAGGAAGAAAGTTCCTCGTCGGCCTTTTCATGTGGGAAGATGAAGGGAAGTTACGAGGTACCCGAACGGGCATGGCAACAGCAAAACTGGATGGAACAGCTCTGGAAGAGCGCAGGATAGCTCGGCGGAACAGTCGCCTTGCGCCATGGGTTCCTGCCTTTGCCCGCAGCATGCTACACTCCCGCGGCCAAGTCGACGAGGGGCTTGTCCCCCTCGAGCAGTCGGTCAGCAGGCAGGAGCACTAAGACTCCGCGGTAGGGTCGCGACAATAAGATGCTACATCAAACATGCAACCTTGCGGCTGCTGTGCAAATCTGACGTGCCCACCTTGATCCGTGTCTTCGGCCCAGCCCAGGCATACACTTCCACCAACCACTCGTACCACACCTTGCTGTCATCTGTCTGCCGCCACATGCTGACCTCGAGCTCCGTGTCCTGGGGGAAGTAAAGCGGTTTCTAAAAGGGAGGTTAGGTCCGTTCTTCTTGACAGAAGAAAATCGATACGATGGACGCCATACCTTGAGCGGAAAGAATATAGGGAACCACGAGATCATATCCTTGCTCTTCCGGTCGATCTGGTCCGGCAGGATACTGATCTCAACCGGTTCTTTCCCGGACCCAGTCTGCGACGCATACAGGACCGACTCGAAAAAGCCCGCCAGCCCGTGAATCACGCCGCGGATGGGACACACAAATGTCAGGTGGCAGTGCCGTGCGTTGTGGTCGTTGGTGCCGCTCGATCCGGCCATGCTGCCCACGCCGCCCGTGACGTACTTGGCCGCCTTGCCGTGCTGCGTGGCAAAGTCGTCACAGCGCGATATCTCGACCGGGTGGACGAATTCCCAGGCCTGCTGGAAGCGAGGATGGCCCGGGACCTTCTGCGCGACGTAGTCTATGGCGAAGAGGCGGACTACCCAGGGGGTTTCGAAGGCATTCGGATCGCCGGTGACTCTGGAGCTGATGTCGGCGAACAGGCGGGGCGTCGAGATGGGGCTTAGGTGGGCGGTGTAGGACTGGGGGATGGAGATGCCGTGGGGCCGGGCGATGTGCTGTTGGATGCCGTCGAGACATTCGGGCGACAGTTCATTGTCGCCGAATGAGCCCAGAAGCTCCGTCACTAGGATGTCCACCTTACCGATGACGTCCTCTCTTCCCTTGAGCCGGGGGCCTTCCCAGCCACGCATGTCTGTCTTCACCAGAGTCACCCGGTTTTCCCACTCCAGCTTGTTCTTCCGGAGCAGGTAAACGTAGGCATCCTGGTTCTTCTCGAGTGCCCATATCTGAATGGGCGTGTATGTGTTCTCGGCAGCACGCAGCACACGGGTGACCAGGGGGCCGCGGCCGGCCCCGGCGACTGTGACAACCAGCTCACGGCTGGACGGGTTCTCAGGAGTGGCCGTTGACGTCGGTTTCTTGAGCTCCTTCCACTCAATCATGGCCTCAGTGATGGCCTTTTCGTACTGGTCATATTTCACCGGATCGCCCTCAAACACCTCGTATGTCGCAGACTCAAGGTTGTCGGCTAACGGCTGCAGAGGCGGTTGCAGCCAGTCTTGGAAGCTTGTAAGGGCTGGTGTCTCCATCGCTGAGTACGGCGGTTGCTGGCGCTCAAGGTGCTCCATGTATCCAACATGCGCGTTCAGGGGTAGCGCCTGCCGCGACCCGCCTGCCATGACAATCTGGCTCGCCTCAGCCAGGGATGGGAAGTCGGCAGCCATCGAGTCACGGTGCGCTGCTAGTTCCTCCGGACTGGGCCCCACATCGGAAAGAATCAGCCACGGCCGGCTTCTCAGGCGCATGTAGCGGTTGATCAGGTCCTGTTGATGTCTGGTGAGCGAGGGATGCCCGGCACGGTTTGGCGTGAAAGTCTCTCGGTCAATCGTCAAGTAGTGCAGGGGTTCCGCAAACCACCGCTCCTGTAGAGCCTTTTCAGGCACCCGGCGCGGAATCCGAAGGGCTACATGGAGTCAGTATGTAAAGAGAACCCGCGGCCATTGATTGTCACGTACCAACAAACAGCCTCGCCGAGTAACTGCACACGGATCTGATGGTGTTCCAAGAATCCCAGGCACTGAAGAGGTCGATCTCTTTCACAGCCTCTGCTTCTGGCGTACTTTCAGGATGAAAGATGGAGGTGAGCGTTTCGGCTTTTTCCTCCAGGCCGGGTTCTCGATACATGGGTATGTGAATAATGATGTTGAGCCGGTTCGCCACGTGCAATGCTTCTCGCACCGCGCGGGCATACTGGGCAATACCACGACTGCTGTCGTCCCGCCGGGGCCCGGGGACAATGATGGTTCTGGCACCGCAGAAGTTGGCATATGCGGCCTCGAGATTTAGCACCTGTCGCGAGATGTTCGAGATGTGAGGATCGAGAGAGCAGAGGTCAATCCAGGGACTAGAATAAGGAGCAAGAGAACCGATGTGGTTGCTCGGGAACAGTGATGTGTCTTCGTCTGTCAGGGTCGGCACAATGGGACCTGGCAGGGACACGTTCGCCTGCTGGCTGGCTGTAAGCCCCCGCGCTTGGCTCCATTGCTCTCGCTCCTCGAGATACTCCGTATGCAACGAAACCACACGCTTGAAAAAATGCTGGTTTGTGATGGGCGCTGTGACAAAACTGAACTGTTCCCTGTCAGCACTGGAGCCCGTTCTCTGGTGTTATGCTTGGACTTACTCCACTGCTGAGGACTTGAGTGTACTGCTCGTCAGGTAGCGCCTCAAATCGGCTGGAGTCATGCTGCCCGATATAGAACCTTGGTCGGCTTTCGAAGCTCTCTGACTCCGGGTTGAGTGTCCCGCTTGAAGACATTGTGGTGACCAGCTGCGAGGACGAAGAAGCAAAGATCACCAGGTTGTGTGATCGGAGATAGGTAGTAATGAAACCACGTTGAGCAGTATATACGCTATCGTGCTAGGAAGAGGGGCAGAGGCCGAAGGGCAGTCTCTTACTCGCGGGGTTCCAAACTTCACAGAAAAAAAAAAAGAAATAGAATATTCAACTTCGGTAGGTTAGCATGGTGGATACGAAAAGGGAAGGTCTGGAACCGTGAAAACCGAACTGGATCCCGGGGTCTAGCAGTGCTACGGCGCACAAGGCCAGCACCTCATCAACCCAGCAGAAGCGTTCCAAAGCTTCAGTTCGTGGGGATGTGGGGTTCAGGGTCTCAGAGGTTGCTCTCGCCTCACGTTAAGTAGGTAACTACCTAATTAGGTGAGGTATGTAACTGTAGGTATTGTATCATCGATAGAAGAATGAAATGTGTCGCATATGATGATATTATGCAACTAAGCGGTTACACCTCGCAGATATGCGCAGCTTACTAAGAGCTTATCGGGAGATAAGCCCCACCCCGCCTAATCGTACTTGGAGGTTTGATCCAATCCGGCGGACTGCCAAACCAAAAAAAAAAGCTGCAGCCTTGCGCATTGCAAAACCAAGGAAGGGCAGCGGCGACCGTAACCCCCGGCCGGCATTCCTGCCATCGCAAGCACCGTGTCCGCACGCTCCGCACCGCAATACAATGGCCGACTCGACAAAAGGTCTCAAGCGATCAAGCGCCGAGAGCGACGGCAGTCAAGATTCCAAACGGCTCAAAACAAACGGTGACGGCAGTGCGAAGATGGATGCGAAGCAGAATCCGTACCTGGCGCACCTCAACGAGGACGCCCAAGATGGCTTCGGCTTCAAGTCGCCTCTCGACCAGTTCGAGCGCCACAAGACCACGGCGCTGCAGGCTGCGAAGGCTGAGGACTCGGACCAGAACCCGTGGACGGGCAACCCACACTCGCAGCAGTACTTCAATATCCTCAAGACGCGCCGAGACCTGCCCGTACACAAGCAGCGGCAGGAGTTTCTCGATATGTACCATAGCAGCCAGATTCTCGTTTTCGTTGGTGAGACCGGTTCCGGCAAAACGACCCAGATCCCGCAGTATGTCCTTTACGACGAACTGCCGCACTTAACCGGGAAGCTCATCGCCTGCACACAGCCTCGCAGAGTGGCGGCTATGTCCGTTGCTCAACGTGTCGCCAATGAGCTTGACGTGACGTTGGGCGAAGAAGTCGGCTACAGCATTCGTTTCGAGAACAAGACGAGCTCCAGGACGTTGCTGAAGTATATGACGGACGGTCAGCTGCTGCGCGAGGCGATGCACGACCACGACATGTCCCGTTACGGCTGCATCATTCTTGATGAGGCCCACGAACGCACCCTTGCCACCGATATCCTAATGGCGTTACTCAAGCAAATCGCCGAGCGGAGGAAAGACCTGAAGATCATTGTCATGTCGGCCACGCTCGACGCCCAGAAGTTCCAGACCTACTTCTTCAACGCCCCGTTGCTTGCCGTACCCGGCCGGACGCACCCCGTCGAAATCTTCTACACCCCTGAACCAGAGCGGGACTACCTCGAGGCTGCCGTCAGAACGGTGCTGCAGATCCACGCGAGCGAACCCGAGGGCGACATTTTGCTCTTCCTGACGGGCGAGGAGGAAATCGAGGATGCTTGCCGGCGCATCAGTCTGGAGGTTGACGATATGATTCGGGAATCAGATGCGGGTCCTATGTCGGTCTACCCGCTCTATGGCACCTTACCGCCACACCAACAGCAGCGCATCTTCGACAAGGCGCCGGAACCGCTCCGCAAGGGTGGCCGGCCCGGTCGGAAATGCATCGTCGCTACAAACATCGCCGAGACCAGTTTGACAATCGATGGCATCGTCTACGTCGTGGACCCTGGTTTCAGCAAGCAAAAGATCTACAATCCCCGTACCCGGGTAGAATCGCTCCTCGTGTCTCCCATCTCCAAGGCGTCCGCTCAACAGCGTGCTGGTCGTGCTGGTCGTACACGGCCCGGGAAATGCTTCCGGTTATACACCGAGAAGGCTTTCAAGAAGGAGCTTATTGAGCAGACATACCCCGAGATTCTGAGGTCCAACTTGGCCAACACGGTCTTGGAACTGAAGAAGCTCGGCGTCCAAGATCTGGTCCACTTTGACCTCATGGACCCTCCAGCGCCCGAGACCATGATGCGGGCCCTAGAGGAACTCAACTACCTGGCGTGTCTAGACGACGATGGCGAGCTGACCCAGCTCGGCAATCTGGCATCCGAGTTCCCCCTCGACCCAGCCTTGGCCGTCATGCTCATCACTTCCCCGGAGTTCTACTGTTCCAACGAGATCCTCTCCATCACCTCGCTCCTCTCGGTGCCGCAGATCTGGGTGCGCCCCAACAATGCACGCAAGCGTGCAGATGAGATGAAGGCGCAGTTCGCCCACCCAGACGGCGACCACCTGACACTGCTCAACGCCTATCATGCATACAAGGGCGCCGAGCAGGCCGGCGACGACGTCAAGAGGTGGTGCCACGAGCACTTTTTGTCATACCGGCACCTGTCGAGCGCCGACAACGTGCGGGCGCAGCTCAAGCGCATCATGGAGACGCACGACATCCAGCTGGTCAGCACGCCGTTCCAGAACAAGGAGTACTACACCAACATCCGGCGCGCGCTGCTCGCGGGCTTCTTCATGCAGGTTGCCATGCGCGAGAGCAGCAACTCGAAGGTGTACAAGACGGTCAAGGACGACCAACTTGTGCTGATCCATCCCAGCACCGTTGTCACGAGCCCCTACGACTGGGTCGTGTACAATGAGTTTGTGCTCACGACCAAGCAGTACGTCAGGACGGTCACGAATATTAGGCCAGAGTGGCTTCTGGTGAGTTTCTTTCGTCCCCTTCCTATTTGCTTCGTGGGATGACGCCAAAACACAATATAGTGCTAACCGAAAGCGAAAAACCCAGGAGATTGCCCCGAACTATTACGACCTAGAGACGTTCGAGAAGGGCGAGATCAAGTCGGCTCTCACGCGCGTCGCCGAGAAGATCCGTCGTCGCCAGGCGATGAAGGGCGGCCGCTAAGGTCCTATTGGGGGAAAAGATGGTGCAATATCATATTTATCCAAGTGCAAGTCCTGTTTATCACAACCTAGACTTTTCTAGACCTCTGCGTGTCTAAATTGGGGAGCAAGGGGGGTGTGGATTCACATCTTGACGGAAGTGATGCGACGTGACTCTGCGTCAGGCGAACTCTGTTATCTGAAGAACATGGTTAGTTGTCGTTGAGACATTCCCACATTGTGTTGCTCCGTCCCGCCGTCCGGGCGTACGAGTCAATCGGCTCACATCATTAGGGTTGGAGGCGCTGATGCCACAGAAGCTGCTGCCTTAAGACTGGTGTGATCTCAATATCAAGCTACCATCGTCACTGTGAAGGCGTGGCGTGTTCGCTATCGCTACTGCATAAAACCGGTACGCTATATCTGGTGATGGGCAGGCAGTGAAGTCGGGGGGTACACTAGGTGTGAGGCCCAGGCTTGGTCAAACCGGTAAATAAACACGGAATGTCATCCCACTTCCCGCCCTCCGAGGTGTGGAAGTCTGGTAGCGCATACGGCATGGGTCCAGAGAGAAGAAAGTGTGTCATGCTGTGGCTTGCTGAGCAGGTTTCGACCGGGATGGCTCGACAGCAGGGAACCACTTCCGATTTGCTGTCTGATACTGCACAGGACTGCTGCTGTGCGACTCTGCAAGCACGGTTTGTTAGTCGACGTGCTTTCCTGACACCACGCCCGTGCATGTGGCTAGCCCAATGTCACCGTGTGCGCGGAAAGAGTCGGAGTTGTGGACCTGAGTTGGGCTTCCGTCTGGATGCTTCCCTGGGATGTTTCTTCCACAGCCGCGCTTTAGCCATGACGTTCTGTACCTTGATCCTCTTCGGTATGGTAGGACCTATCGCATGCACAAGTGGTATATTGGAAGGTGGTCGGTGGTGCACAATCGAACAAGGTGAATGTACTGTAAGATCAATGTCTGTGTCGGACAACCCAACAGCGCCGCAAGGCACGGCTGGCGGGCCACATAGCGCCCGTTTTCTGTTTTTCACCTGTCTCATCGTTGCCCTTGCCAGTCGGGAAGCTCTGCCTGCGTACAAGACACCGGCCCGACTGTGTCAAGCCGATTAACGGCAACTGACACGCACGTCGATGTGATACAGCATGGTACGGGAGGGGAGCACGGGGAGCTGCATTGAACCGCTCCCGCCGATGCGGCATCCATGCTCCTTCGCCGGTGAAGTCAAGAGCATAATGAGGAGTTCACATTTATGCTACAACCAGCGAACGGTCGGCCGCCCCATGGGGCCCTCCGGAGGGATGCTGTTGTTAACGCTCAACCGGCAACTGTTGTTGCCGGCAGATTTTCAATATAGCAGCAACTTCCCTTTGGCAACAATGGAATGGCATGGACATAGACGTTGCCAGGCTGCCGATCCCTCCATCGCAAGCTCTCCTGTTATCCGGTCGAGATCAAGTGTCATTCAGCGCCTATATCTGGCAGAGGTCCTTCGCTGTTTAAGCGGCGGGGCTTTGAGCCCGGCTGAGGATGGGTTCAAGGCCCGAGACAATATGCGAGCACCGTATGTACCTAATGTACGCAGGAAACTCCAAACAATGAGGACAGGCCGATCCTGGGGCTGTACCGTAGGATTGGTGAAATGAGGCAATGCCGTCGATACGACGCTCCTTCAGACAGTTGTCGCCAGTGCCGCATTCGTATGGGGATAGGACGGCCTCATCCTGAAAAGGGAGGTCGTGGCATGGGGTCGTTGACAGGAATAGTCAGATGGGGGTCCAACCTTCTGTGACCTTGAGGTCAAGAGAAGGTGCTTACTGTGACCTCACCAGGCAGGGTCCCATCGAACTATGAGCCGCCTAACGGACTAATTATCTGCTTTGGACTGCACTCTCGAGGGAGGGTAGCATCAGACTATTATCAGTCGCACTAGGTGATTGGCACAACGACCCTGATGGGATTCACCTCTGGGTGACACCAAGGAGTCCACAGCGCCATGGTCGTATCTGTTTGGTAGATGAAGTTCTTGTGCCGTGTGTGCGTGCGGATGTGCGGCGTCGATATCGCGTCTTCGCCTTTGGGCAACGGGGCTGCAGGAACGCGACAGCGTCTAGCGGGGTTGTCAGTCGGCAGATCCCACACTACCACGACACGGAAGGCCGGAGGTGCACCTGCAGAGTCGAGACCATGTCCTGTTGTGGAGGACCTGACGAATCTTGCAGCTCGGCCGGAGATAGCGCAATAAGAGGCACAGCCAATAAGTGGTCATTGCGAAGATGCAGGGCCAGTTCACCTCAGGTGTTGACCTGTCAAAATGGCAGATGAAAAAGTGACAGACGCATCCCTGATCCTTTAGGTCGTTGACGGTTCCGAGGAACGGTCGATTGCAGCGTTCCACGGCCTTCACTTCTGCATACGGGATTGCGGATTATCATTGGGTCCAACCTTCTTGTTCCACTTGATGCAATTGTGTTGGCGACGGACGGAAGTGGGCAAGTGGAAGGCCGGCGACGGGGCTTCTTATTCGGATAGGTCCATGCTGGCAGTGGGGCCGGCTCGGCAAACACAGTGATCTCAAGCATGCTGCGCACGGTGAACGGCTGGTTGCTACGGATTCTTTGTCTCGGCCTGATGAACCTCACCGCAAGCCGAAAGCCCACATGATCAGTACACGTCCGTTACGGGACGGAATGCGTGTCTTTCTTTGGATGCTTCAAGTTTCCCACCACATGATTCGTAGTAGCCGCCAAAAACTACCAAGCTGTAGTAGATCATAGAGAGATTCCCTATTGTACAATACAGTATGCTCCCCGTCCCCCCTAGCTGACACGGGCCGTCGCACGGCGCAGCCTGCATCCCACGGCCCACTCGTGGACTTCGAGAAAACGACGACCAGGATTGCACAACGCACGGGAACCGTTCCCGGACGGTCAGCCAAAACTGGCTTCTGCCGCTGTGTCGCAACGAGAGACAGGCGCGGGAATCATACCGCGGATCCCTATTCGTCGCCATCCACCAGACTCTATCTTGCCGTGTTGCGGCCTTTCAAAGTCGCATGGCCTAGGATCGTGCTCAAGCCGCTCCGCGGGATCTTCCAGTTTTCAGTGCTTCACCGGACACCCCCCACACCACTCAACTCCAGATCATGCTATATTTTCCAATGCCGTCGCTGGCAGTGACGTGGATAAGCAGATGCGGCCTTGACACCAGAACTCCACACCGTGGTATCCTTATTGACGCTGCAGATCCCGCTTAGACGCTCTGGGTTCAATTGTGACACTCTGAACTCATGTACCGTATATGTACAAGTACATGTATAATACATGTACCAATCAACTACCTTAAGGTTAGGAACCTTGGTTATATGAACCACCGACGCCTCAACAACGCCGACAATGCGCTTGTTAATCTTGTGGACCAGCCGCCGTCCATAGCAGACCAAAAATACGGCATATTCCTGCCGTAGCACCCTGTACTGTGTGCCCAGTATGGATCGGTATAGTGTATATACTACCCCAGCCAGGCCCCCCCTGTCATGCCCCCGGATGGTCTGACAGGTGGGAGCATGTCCCCGAGAGCTTGCCCGGGGATCTATGCAGTCTAAATGCACACATACGGCTATGGAGACCCTATCCATGTAAGTAGTATAAAGCAACTTCTTCCCATCCCTTCGTACATTCTCTCGTCGCCCGCATACTTCATCCATCCACGACTCTTGACCTCAACGAGGTGTAAGTAGCACCGCCATCCTTCCTTTTCGGCCGCTTGACTGTCAGCGGACAGTCGACATCATTCTTCAAATTCTCTCCCGCATATCTAAGTTCCCCAAGCAATACGCGAAACGCCCCTGGAGCAAACATCCCGTCTCCAGAATCTCCCATAATGTCCGGCAGCGGCGGTTTCTACAAGTACCGGTGCAAGTACTTCTACACCTACAACTGTCCGAATTGGGTCTACTGCAATGGCCACGCCTGCGCCATGTGTCTGGCAAGTCTTTGTTCGCACCACGCCCCGTTCCACGAGCAGTAGTACTGACTAACCTTCCGTAGGCTGAAGGCCGTGAGGCGGTAGACAACGAGCCAGCAATGCCGCCGCACTCCCAAGGATCAACGAGCTGGCCGAGTCAGCAGCAGCACCAACAGCAGGCATTGCCGTCAACAGAAATCTGTGTTCCGCAGGCCATCCACGGCACCCTGCAGTACACTGTCATGGAGATCGTCCCTGCCGACGAGACTGGGCCCGGTGCGTACTGGGTTCTGCGGCAGAAGGCTCATCTGGAATCGCGGGTGCTTCCGTACAGCAACATGACGACTAGCGACACGCCGAGGCCGGTCATGACGGCTGTTGGGGTGCCGATGCAGATGGGCTACTGATGAGACTATCACCTCGACTGCATAGGGCTGATGAGTGATGATCCCCGCGACATGATTTCCTCGATGATGGGTGGTACAGACGACCTAAAAACGCAGCGCTGATTATCCATTGCTTGATGATTTTTGATGACGGAACGGCTGGGTCCCCTTCTCTCTGCTTTGCCCTCCTCGGTACCAGTCCGCTTATTCATGGGAGGGCCGGGATAGATGGAAAAGTCAGGCGCGGGCAGCTCTTGATGTAAAGGCCGGCAGGGCTCGGTACTGGTATAGGTACAATACCTTCTTTGGGGTGGGGGTGTCAATCTGCAGGATGAATGAACATGGGTGGGATTGGTTACACAACTTCCTCGGGTTGGCGTTCCCACCAGCGAGTTCGCGGCACAGGTCTCTCAATGGGACCATCGAACCATAACAGTACTAGTATGTTAGATTGCGCGAGTTACTTCATATTCAGGTACAAATGCGCCAACATCATGATGATGACTTCTCCAGAGTAGTGCACCTACCTGTTCATCTCGTAGCCGGGCTCCTGGGAACTCCCGTCACCGAAGCTCGCAGTGTGAACTGTGGAGCAACACCGGACAATTTCCCGGCGGTCATTTGCTGAGCAACGCTGCTTATGTCAACAACTAGGTAAACTGTTAAACAAACCAAGAAAAAAAAGAAGTACCTAGCCAACGTTAAGCCGGAGGTCTCTTCGTGGGGTTGATGCAGGCTGATGAGAGTCGACGATCGATACGTATGGGCCCGATGTCTCGCGAGGTTTATCCGTAATTCCTGCGGGCCTGTCACACCCTGAGCGCACTAGTGTGATCGTCGCCCGCGAATCAAAGCCCATAACATCATCCCTTACCTAGTGGATAGCCCCTCTTTCAGGCTGGTCTGGACATTACTCCCACACCTACTATTCTATATAGGCAACCTTTCCAGACTTCGCCGTGGGGCCGTGTAAGAGGAGGTTCTGGGGGTGGTGCCCTATAGAAGTAGGTAGCTAAGGTAAGGCACCATAGTTATTATGGTAATACTGGATGGCATTGGATGTTTCTTCCCCCTCGACCCTCGAAACCCCATCTCGCAAACAATTCACTGCCCGCCGACCTCGACGCCAGAGTCTGTGAACACACATGATGCACTGTCACCCAAGGTCAACAACAGCGGGTTGACATCATATGGTTCTCGAGAGCCGCTTCCATCAAAAGAGCCGCACCTTATCATGCAGATCGAGCTGCAAGATGCCGCTGATGGAGTGTCACCTCGACCGGACGAGTGCCATCACCTACAGATAGTTGACCATCGATACTGTCAGGAGGCGGGGGATCTTCTCAAGGAAGTCCATCCGGCTAATACCATAGTCCTCTCTGACAGTGTCTGACTTTGAAGGGTGACAGGTCAGTTGGCGCGACGGAGCGTGGCCCTACCGTACACTCGAAATCTCAGTGTATCCACTGTGACCTACATACCTATCTTACTGCCGCAGAGGGAACCACAAAAGTTGAACCCCTAGTGCTCATCATCAATCCTTCAATATGCGCTAGCGGACAACAGGTTGTAGTGCTCAAACTCCAGTTTATTTCCGGAAATCACAGAAGGAGGACACGAGCAACTCCACTCACCAGTGCCCGTTCTTAGCATTCCCCACCAATTGGTGGGGCGGCGGCAGCGTTCGGGAGGAACCGACCGCGCTGCCGAAACGGTTGATCTGCGCTAACGATGATTGAGAGATTTTTAGCACAACGGCCAGAACCTTGAGGTGGAGGCCGGGGATCCACACACGATCAATTTCGCTTTGACACTGCCAAGCACCCAACCGGAACCGACACCTGGAGCTTCACATTGACCAGAATGTGCTTGGTAGTAGGTAATAACTAGCTACCTAGGTATGTACTTGAACAGGACTTAGGCTCGATTCCTAATGGCGCTGGCCCAGTCGTGGGACACTGTATCGTTTATCTGAAATCTCAGGGAGGTGCCCATCTATGTAGGTACCCGTACCTACCGTGACCTATAGACTATAGGCAGCTGAGATCTTAGCTTGCAGCTTGCATCTCATTAGTACTAACCTGTAACATCGCTCATCACAGCATCTAAGGTACGTAACCTGGAATGCAACAAACAAAAAGGCCTTCTGGAACGGCAATGTACTTGTAACCCTAGCCAAGATACATACAGTACTACACTAGAAGGGGCGCGTTTCTACGATACTGTACTAGGTAGAAACCAGGGAGCCAGAAACGGCAATCCCGCATCAAGTAGAATAACAATAAGAAGCGAAGTGCATGGCACATCAACCGACAACAAGCGAGGAATTCATTCCGCTTTGGCCTCCGAAGACCATTGACAGGAGAAGGAATGCTACTACCTCGCTTAATGAACCCGCCGGCTGCGTGCATCCGAAGAAAATCAAGTATCCCACGTGGTCTCTCACGCCTCACGAACGGCAGTTTATTAGTGGGAGTAGCCTTACACTACCGTGATGCGGGGCTTTGGTTTAGCTACTAGTATTGCTCATACCTTACGTGTATCATACAGTGTCATACACGGTATGGCAGCGTGGAACATTTCTTGTTGACGGCAGAGCCAAGGTATAAGGGATCAACCTAAACGACTGCAGAGATGAGCAGTGTGTATGTAGGGAGGCCCAAGTATCGGCTACGCTCATAAGATCGGTACAGCGTATAAGGAAGTTCAGCATCCCGTCCGCTTTGCTCTAGACAAGCTACCAATCGCAGGATCAGGTCGGTGACGACTGCGGAGTCCGCTGTGTTGTATATTCATCTCTCTTTCTCCTTTTCTCCACTGATCACGGCTGAGTCTCGAGCGAGTCCACCCTTGCTTGGCCGGCACTGATGCGACATGTGACTAGCTTACCCAGGACGGAGCGGACGGGGATACCGAATCCTTCAGTAGGTATTATGGGGTGTGTTAGCTCTATAGTTGCAATGAGAACCATCTGCGACAGGGTTGGTTGCCAGGCAGGCCGAAGGAAGGACAACCCTAAGAAACGGCGTCCGCAAGCCGAGCGTCTAAGCTCCAGCGTCTCCGGGAAGTACTTGGCGAGTACTATGGGCTAGACTTCGAGCAGGGCGACACAACTCGCTGAACGCAAGTCACCGCCGGTAGTTGCAGCTCCGAGGAGTTAGATACTACTAGGTACATACAACAGCATGGATTGGAATCACGGCGAAGGTTGGGACATGGATTCGCCGGACAAGCCCCAGCAGTCATGATGGATTCCTTCAGTTGCCTGTTCGCGAGTTAGCACCATACCTATCGGCCAAGGAACGCAGGGGAACTTATCCTCGAAAAAGAGGGGTTGTCTTCCCGCCATTCCTGGAGAGAAGACAACCAGGACCACCCCCCAAGGGCCCGCCCTTTTCCGACTAGTCGGCCTCGAACAGCAAAGCCTTCCCTGGAGAACCTCGGGATCCGGCGATCAGAGGAGATGGGCTCCAAGCACCGGACAAGCACGAAGCTTTGACTCCAACTCAAGATGGGTCCCGGGCCTGGTCCATCTCAACCAACCGCCTTCGTCGAGAGAGACCAGTTCGATGCATTGGTTCTCAATCAGCCGACAGAACCTGAACCCAAAGCTCTCACAAACTCGTCAAGAGCCTCCGCAACGCTAAACCCGTAGTAGAAGCCGGCTGTCGTTGATGCAACCCCCATCAATATCGGGAACTAGAGCTGCAATCGCCGCTGTCGAACCGCCGGCCCGGCCGCATCTTTCCGTAGGTTTCGCACTGCCAACTGGGACACGTTTTTGTTTCCTCTCCATTGTCACACCGGCTTTAGACGGCGAACCAAACGAGGGCCGTACCGCAACGGACAAAAACATCCTCAAAAAACCGCGCTGTCATCTCCGACCGGTGGCTTATTTTCAGGCCCGGCCAGAGGGATGGTGTATCCGCACCCGAAGGTGCAAGACACAGAAGATTTTTGGCGTCTCGTCGGACGTAGGACACAGCCTACGAGGACGAGTTAATGCGCCTGGTCGGACCTCATGAGTACCATGACGCGCGAGCATGCTTCCGCAGCGCGGTCCGTGGGGGTCGGCGGAGCCGTGAGTTGGTCGGACAGCATGCAGGAAGGGGGGTGTGGAAAGTGAGGGTACCGAGAGTGTAACAGCACGGCGTTAAGATATCATCCTTCCTAACATTTCCGTATGCAGCCTGACAGCCCTCGCTCACCGAAGTGATTCCTGCAAGGTGAGCCGCGGGCAGAAGCGCGAAATGTACCGGATAACCGTATGGAGCCGAAGCTGCGCTCTCCCTCTCCTTCCGGGAGTCGTGCCTACAGGGAGGCGACAGCCGATAGAGCATGCAGCGGACAAGCCGCCCAATGTATCCGCCGAACCCAGTCGTCCAGCCAACACCGCCACAGACAATCCATCGTGACCAGAGGACCAGTTCCAGTGTCTCGACCCGACGAGCGGTCCCGGGCCAGAGACGCTTACCGTGTGGACTCATGGGAAGAGACGGTTGCCCACCGTTGCCGGCGACTGGAGCCCATTCCGCCGGTCCGCCCTTGTTGTCGCCAGAGCAGTGCCGCACCGCTTTTCAGCGGCCAGCAGCGACGCACTCGTCGGACAACGCGGGCATAAAAGGCTGTCCGAATGACTATTGAGCGCAAGACTTGGAACCAAAGGTCAAACTTAGGGTTAAGTTCCGAGACCGGTTCGCCCCACGTTGGCCTGGCTTGCCCCGACGGACAAAGATTTGACCACAGTAATCCCAGGCGCGGCAAGCTTGAACGGCACCCGATACGGGATCGAAGCTGCGACGTACTGTGGGTGTCCAGAGCCGAGTGAGACGGCCAGAGTGACATTCCTTGCGGAAAACCGGAATCGGAGAACTGTGGGGGAGGCGCCGTGCGCGATGGGAGCTTGGAGCTGAGAGCTTAAAGCGAAAGATGGGAGAGAGGACGGCGCGTCGACAGTGGGGGTTGCTGGGCTGCCAGCTGCATCGTGATGTGCTAATGACGAAAGCTGCATCTCAAGCGGGGTTCCTAGGTTAAGCGTGCTTCGGATCAAGACAATTCGCGTTGGACATTGTGAGGCCAGTTTGTGCGGGTTTCAGTTGAGGAATTGGGTGCGGCGAGTTCGGCAAAAGCGACGCGTCAGTAAGGTCGTTATAAATTGAGGAACGCGTCTACTCCTCGAGCCTTCGTGGTCTGTGCGCCGTGGTGCGCGGATGCCCCACATTTCACAGCTCTGCTCTGCTAATGAGTCCGCTCTTGCGAAGCTGACACTTTTGCCGCTTTGCACAGTGCTGCACGCAACACGATGGACGCATGGAGGTCCCATCACTCAATGCCCTGAAATATAACCTGTGGAGGTCTTCATCATGGGTGGCAACAAATTTGCCTGAAGACTCGCTTCCCCCTAGCATATAAATCAGCAGTGACATGCTCTGCCTTCCGGATCGAACCATTTGGACTTCAACTTGAAGTTACCGTAATACTCCAGGGAAGCTGGAAATCGTTGCCACATCTTCGGCCCTTTCTCAACACAAGCGGCCATGGATCAAAACGCGAGTGAAACCAGTGGCCGCCAGAAGCTGATGCAATCCATCATCGACGCTGGCACTAAGGCCTTCAGCCCTGACGTGCCCGAGAGTTTGAGGGCGCAAGCGACTCGGGAATTTGATGAACTGATTCAGAGGCAAGCCCAGCCAGCCCGTCCGCCGCGTGCCGTTCCGGTCTGACGCGTATCCCAGGACGAAGACTCTCAATGTTCTTGGAGCACTCAACATCCTGGTCAGGCCGGGCCACGTTCCGCCGTGGCTTCGCAGCAAGTTGATGGAGGAGCTGACGCGGGTACCGCTCCGCCCGGATGGCGTCCGAGCAACGCTGGAATTCGTCTTCTCGGTCCACCCCTCGAGCACCGTAAGAGTCTCTGAGGCGGCAGTTCCGCAGAAGAAAGGAGCGAACATTACACATGAAGCCCTCACTCTTGCCAGTAACCTGCTGTCTGCTCCTCCAGCCTCGGTTGCGCCGGAGACGTGGTACTCGGCCATCTCGCCGCAATTGCTAGTGCTGCTTGACGGGGGCGAAGGGCCAGAGCTGGTCAAGGTTGCCTCGTATGTCGTTGGATTCGGCATCCTGGGCCGGAAGGCGGCCGGCGCTCCCGGTACGCCGCTGCTCCCTCTATCGTGTGGCTCCGACTAACTGGTTCTCAAGGCACCGCCGGTTGGAAATACTTCGCGGAGCCCATGCTAAACCACATCAAACCGCCTCCCGGGTTCTCAAATGAGGCAGGAACCGAACGAGATGGGATTGTTGACCTAACCAAACAGGAGATACTTGTCCAACACAATGAGCTACTGACGGCACTTCGCCGCTTGCACGCGCTGCTCGTGTCACACCCCAACCCGGGGTTGTGCAAGCGGCTGCTTGCGCCGCTGGTTCTCCCGCTTTGGGCTCTTGCATCGCGGCCCGAGGCTCCGCCGGCCGTCGCAGAGCCGGTTTGCTCATCTGCACTGGAGCTGCTGAAGACTTATTCGATGCTGATGCCCTCCCCCGGCCTTGTTTTGCTTCTTGCTCGGAATCTGGGCTACATTGGCGGCCACAATACGAGCAGTCCCGAATGGGTATACCAGGCGGCGGAAGACGGGCACGTGCAGATCGTGGATGCAAGACCGCTCTTGACGAACAAGAGTGATCAGGCATTCCGGTTCACGTTAGAACACATTGACCGGAAAACGGCCAAGCTTCTGGACTTGGTCACCTCCACACTTTCTGACGCCGACATATCTGCGTCTTTCCTCGAACTTCTCAAGAGATGGCTCGCTTCCAACCACAACCCTGACAGGAGTGGCATCATAGTCCAGCAGGATAACGACGAGGAAGAGGATTCAGTCGCCAAACTAGCCGAAGTCAAGACACTCCAGGCTATGATGGAGCGGTTCCCCGAGAAACTTGCCACTCAGCCCAAGCACATCCTTGACCTTGTCAGTCAGATCATAGCCCGTGCTGGGAACAGCCCAGACGGCGATGACGAGGTGGCTGGCGTGGCGCTCAGCCTCCTAAATATGGTCGTGACGGTTCCGGGCTTCCAGAAATCGCGAGTCGAGCCGGCTGTGCTCTCCCTCATAGAGTCGTCTCTGGATAGGCTCTCTAACGGGTCTACGGATCTCTCGCGGACGGCGAATAACCTCCGGCTCCTCCTCCTGTACCGCGACGAGATCGACAGCGCCTCGTCCGTCACCTCCACAAGCTTACCTACCGATCAGCAAGTCGAGGACCGCAAGACTTACGCGCTTGCCATCTCCTACATTACCCAGCCAGACTCCCCGGCCCCCGTCCGGTCCGAGGGTCTTAACCTCATCGCAACGCTTATCACATCCCAGTCCCCGGTCCTCGACATCCCCGGCATCCTGGTCCTCCTCTCCTCCCTCATCTCCGACGCCGACGAGTACATCTACCTCCGCATCATCAAACTCTACGCCCTCCTGGCCAACAACCACCCGCGCTCCGTCACACGCGAGCTGACAGACCACTTCGTCGACGCCAAGGAGGCGCACCCGCTCGACGCCCGCCTGCGCTTCGGCGAGGCCCTGGTGCAGGTGATCCAGCGCCTGGGGCAGACATTCACGGGCGCTTTGGCGGCGGGGGTCGGCAATGCTCTGCTCTCGGTCGCGGGGCGCCGGGGCCGGCGGCCCAAGACGGAGGCGAAGCAGCTGCGCGAGCAGAGGCTGCAGGCGCAGAGGAATCGCGAGGCGGCCGAGGCGTGGGGCGGCGAGGTTCCGGATATGAGCGACCCCATGACGGAGGAGGAGAGGGCTAGGAAGGAGCTGCTCGAGCGGATTGTGGACGGGTGGGATGAGAGCAAGCGCGGGATGGAAGACGTGCGGGTGCGCGCGTCGGCGCTGTCGGTTCTGGGCGCTGCGGTCGAGGTGAATGCCGCGGGCTTGGGCCAGGGACTGGTCACGGGCGCGGTGGATCTGTGTGTGGCCGTGTTGCAGCTGGAACGTGGGCTGGAGAAGGGCATTCTGAGGAGAGCGGCGGTGTTGTTTGTGATGAGCTTTGTGAAGGCCTTGGAGGAGGCGAGGGAGAAGGGCCGGGCGCTTGGGCTTGGGTTCGGCAAAGAGGCGCAGGAAGACGTGATGCGGACGCTGAGGTATGTGGCCGAGACAGATAACGACGGGCTGGTGGTGCAACATGCGAAGGATGTGGTGGAGAGCTTGGAGACCTGGCAGGTCGTGAAGCTGCTGCCCGCGTCGAGCAGTCAGCAACCGCCGCTTGGCGAAGCATTGACGAAGTTGACTGGGCTAGAGGTCGACCCGGAGAGGTCGGCTGCGCTCCACGAAAACAGGCCGTCGAGGCCGAGGATCGAAGAGGTCGAGTAGACAGAAAGGGAAGGTTCAGGCATTGCTACTTCACTTTTGAATACTACGTGGGAACCAGCTTGGGATATCAATGTTCTGGGTGCTGCGATGCTTCAGCATGTCTAGGTAGCATAGGGGTTAGGGTTCTAGAAAGATGGCCTTGTCGTTGTATTGTATTGTATCCGTATTATATTGTACAATACCATTGTACAGTACGGAATACACAGTGTGTCCCAGGGTCCGTGGCGCCCCGTGACAACGCGTTACTGCTAAGTGCCAACGCTGCCACGCCTTGTCCCGGACGCGCCACGCTTTACTATTCCCGCCGCGTGCATCACTCAGCATCTGAGGTCAATTGATCGGGAAAGTGCCTGCAATCACAACCATGAGGCTTCGGAGGGAAGTCGTCGATTCGGAGGACGAACTCGGTGACCTAAGCGGCGGTTCCGATCTTGGAGACGGCGCCGACATGCGCGTGGAATTGGAAGCACCCCTTGACGAACCCCGCAATCCCGAGGCCGAGGGCGTTGACACAGCACATACCGCAGGCCCAGGCACGCGCTCGACCGACCCGTCCTTCTTCCAGCGGGTGTACGATGAGCAACAAGAGGCGCTCGATTCACAGAATGTCGTCCCCGATACGGTCCCAGCCGGCCCCGCCGCTTCGACGTGGACCGAGGTGTCATCGGCGCCTCCTCCGGGGCAGAAACCCCAAGTGAAGGACCACTCGTCTCTCACCTCCGTCCGCGACCCTACTCCGGCCACGCGCAGGTCAAGGAGGGCTCAAGCAGCTCCCCACCCTGAGGCCATTGATTTGACGGATATCACGACGCCCAGGAGGGAGGAGGCTGCCAGCGGAGAAAGTGAGGCGTGGGATGTTCCAACTTCAGTGAGGTCACAGAGAGCGACGAGAACGTACGGAAAGCGCAAGACTGCGGGACAGCAGCTCGGTTTACAAGAGGGAACGCAGAACGTGCGTCCTTCCCAGGATCCGTACGCCTTTCCGGAGTCATCGCCCCCAACCGGGAAGAGAACGAGACGCGGCACCCCGTCCAGCTCAGCCCAACAAGCGCAAGACTCCAGTCCTGTGATGCTTGTGCCAACAGAGGAGCCAGTTAGCTCAGATAGGCGAACGCGATCAAGAGGGAGAGGGAAGGCTGAATCGGACGCGGGGTCCAGCATGCCGGACACCACTGCATCGCTGTTCGTCACCCAGAGCGCCCTCACAGCGAGCCAGAAGCAGGAATACAGGATGGTCAGCCAGTCTTCTCAAGCGGTGCCCGAAGCCGCCGGGACGTCGCCCCCTCGGCAGCATCTCGAGGCAGGAGAGATGCACACGTACAAGTCGAGCATGGCGACGACGATTGCTTACCCAACTCCGAGTCGGATCTGGTCGTCGAGACGGGTGGCGGACGAGGCGGACGAGGCTGACGAATCAATCGGCGACCACGCTGACCGCGTGTCTCCGGCTCAGGACATCGACTATCAGGTACGTTACTATGTAGCTACATTGGAGAGGGCGGGCGCGGCTAATGTCCCTGTAGCAATCTTCGCCTGATGTCCTGGCCGATATGGCTACCAACACGTCTTCGAGATCGAGGAGAAGCACGACGAAACCCGTACCATCTGCTGAACCTACTTCATCCGCGCTGGAACAGCCCCCATCAACACGGAGGTCAAAAAGAAGGAGGGTTGTCCAAGACGATGATCCTTGGCAGCTGGATCCATTGGCACCTGTTCAGGAATGCCGCGATGGACAACAGAGTGCAGGTTTCGGAGGCGAGAGTGGAGATACCGTCGTGCGGCCAAATTTGGGGACGAGTGACGAGGCATCCGGGCCTCCGGACATTGAGGCAACTAATGCTGAAGGCCTGGAGACACCGATCTCACCTCCCAAGGCCGTGCCGAAGAAGAGAGGGCGCAAGAGGAAGGCGTCCCGGGCAGACGCGCCGCCTCCTGAAACGGATACTCCGACACCACTTGGGGAGGCTGAAGCTGAGCCAGCTCCCGCGCCCACAGAAACAGCAGGCCCGCCAGCCAAGCGGAAGCGCGGGCGCCCGCGCAAATCCAATGTCACCCAAGCCCAAGCCGAAAGTCCAGAGGAGCCCGGACAGCAGCATGCCGAGGGCGCCCGAGGCGAGACGGAAACCGATACGGCCCTACAACCACCACCACCATCACCACCACCACCAACCCTTCCCCTATCCGAGGTCTCGCGCAACTCTCAGCCAAAACAACAATCCGAATCTCTTCCTGACGCGGATGCCAAGGGTAATAGCGACAGTGGTGGCGAGAGCAAAGAAAACGACGTATCTCGCGCGATGCACGAGCCGGCCACCACGGACGCGAAGACGAAGGAGCCAGAACAAAAACAGGCCAAACTGGGCGTCTTGAACGCGCCTCAGAAAGTGCAGTATCGCGTCGGACTGAGCAAGAGGTCGCGAATTGCGCCGCTACTGAAGTCATTGAAGAAGCCGGTATGAAGCAACCCAAGTGCTTTGATCTTATGTTCGTGGGAGGTTGCATGGCAGGTGTTGGTCGGTTTCTATCTGAACTTGCGGAATGGGCATGGGAATGGATTGACGGATGGGTTGGTGTCAGATGGCTTGACAGCCTTGGGGGACTTGGCGTTTTGAACCTTGCTTTCAGATACCCCTCTCTTTGCTCGCTCTAATGAGGATGGGTTCTTTTGCTGTTAATGCCGAAAGATGTAATTCGAGTTACGGAAGGTTTTTGCCAGGTTCAAAGATGAAACCCCGGGACAACCACCAGAAGTTGGGCAGAGTCTGGGACATGATGCCGCCCCGAATTGAAACTGTCGTGAGACACTGGAGTGAGATCACTGTCGGGATGACCATCGCTCACATAAATATACGCTTTGCTGCTCCAGAACTACGGGTATCCTTTTGCCTATTTCCTACCACGTTGACCTTGACAATCCTACTCCCACTCCTTCACCCATCCGCTTCGGCGATGCCCAGCCCAACCAACACGACCGTCGCCACATCCATCACCACCACCACCAGCAACCACAGCAACCACGCGAACCCCACGGCCAGCCAGTTGTTCTTCAGGTCCGCCATCCCCGTCACCGCCGCGTCCACGTCGCCATCGACCGGCACGCACGCTATACACTTCCCCCGGCCGATATATCAGATCAGCGGAAACGTAATCGGAATGAGCGCATCGCCTGGCGTGGTAGAGATCTGTAAGGTGCCAGTGTCCGGGACGAGGCTGGGACGGAACGGAACAAGCATCCATCACAAACCTGAGCATCGTCAATGCTAACAGGTGCGGGGAGCGCCTGGGTATAGCAGTGTTCGAATTACTTGAAGCAGCGAGATGGTCCCTGAGGGGAAGACCCGACGGTTGATGATCGATCTTCCGAGATGCCAGTCGCAGTGAAATGGGTAAGAGAGTGGTTGCGAAGATAATGATTCGGAGATAGGTAGTCGGGTACTCAATCCCGATCCAGCGTCCGCCCAGTCACGAACTCGGCGACTAAAAACGCGACATAAAGCCCTAGCAATACACCTCCCATCCACCTCCTCCCTCCTACTAGTACCACCCCCAAGATAGCCAAGGCAGACAGCCACACGGCCATCACCTCGAACATTGTGAAGCTTTTCGCAATGGCATCAACATCTCCGCCCAAAAGCAGAACACCCCCGCACAGGGTAACGAGGAAGATGTTGGACCCGACAGTGTTGGCCACCAATATCCCCGGCTGGTGTCTGATGCCGCCCAGGACGGCAACAAACTTCTCCGGGAGGGTAGTGGCCAGGGAGAGTATGGTGGTGCCTACCACGGTGGAGGAGAGGGAGAGTTCGCGCCCGATGGTGGAGGCGCTGTGGGCGAGAATGTAACTCGATAAGAGCAGGGCGGCGAGGCCGAGCATGAGGTACAGAATATGGCGGTAAAGGGGTCTGAAGGGTTTCGGTTTGCGAGACAATCGTTGGGGAGATCGCAAGCGTTTTCGGGAGTGGTTCTTGGAGGGGTTGAGCTGGTGGAGCTGGCGCCCTTGTTCCTCGTCGTCTCTGAGGTGACTGATGCTGCCTGAGAGGCTAGCAATGCTGCCTTCGTCGCTTTCGTCGTCGCTGCAACTATCATTGTCTATATGGTCACTTTCATTGTCGCTATCGCTGTCGCTGTCTGAGTTGCTCTCAGGAGCCGTGAGCGTGCCCCGGTAGATGAGCGATGCGACCGATCCAACGTAGACCACGAACAGTATTATCAACAGCGAGCCTGTGATCCACTTAGGAAACACTCTCAGAGTAGCAAGGACCACCAGAAATAGCGAGGTGGCCGCCAGAAGGATGGCGGTGTAGATCTTGGAGCTGCGATCAAACTCGACCTTTTTTATGAACAGGAGGCCAAGGGAGAACGAGGAGAGGATATTGGCGACTAAAGAGCCGATGACGTTCCCCAGCGCCAGATCCGAGTTCTTCTAGCTTAGGGCGACGATGACAACAACCAGCTAATTACTCTTATGTCAGCATGAAACACGCAATGTCCATGAAAGAACACCAAGATTAAAGCGGTACTCACCTCCTCCCATTCAGCGCCGCAAGTGAGCAAACCGATGAGAGTCGGCGACACATTGAGCCGTTGGGCGACAACTGCCGTTTGGTCTATGAACTTGTCGGCGCCGTATTCAAGAAGGAAGAGGCCGGCGATGAAGCTTGAGATATTAAATAAGAGGACGTCGGCGCTCGGCATGGTTGGCAATGTATTGTACCCGTCTTAAAACGATGAGTTGCTGAGATGCACGCTGCTCGAGGCCACCGCCTCTCCCGGTTCCATCCTCTCTCAGCTCGGCCTCATCTCGTAACATCCACCATCGCCATCGCCAATTGAAAATGCGATTCAGCTGACATTCGAGGTCAGAAACTCAGAAAGGGACAGCGTCGACAATGGCTTGGCGCGAGCTTATGACGTATTGTTTCGTTAGTTATCAATCCCGTGACGCTATCCTCACGTTATTTACCCATCCAGTGACCAGAAATCTGAACAATTTACACCAAACCTCCAACCCTCAACTCTCCCTGGTTTCCATACTCGGAGCATCCTATCCTCGCCACTTCGTTCGAATGAACCTGTCCGATTCATCCGTGATCATAGTGGGCTTTGTTTCATATTACAGCTGAGCATCTGGTTTGCGTGTACGGATTAGACTTGGGCCCAACCACACCAGAGAGTGCCGGACAGAGAGTGCGAGCCCCTTGTAATATACCGCTTGCATTATGTATGAGTTACCGTATTCATACATCCTATAGGTACAGTACAATACAATACCTGCTCCATACCCGTGACATCTCGGATGCCATACTCTTTACACCGTATCGTGGTTTGTACTGCTATATGCAGCTAAATGGCCATTTCTAAAAACGGCCCTCTAAAGACTGTCTGGTTACACCGATCCCTCCTCCATACCTGTTCTTGCTTGATATCCCTTCGCCTATGTGCTTTATTAGGCGCTTCGTACATGGTGTTCCACGAAATCCCGAATCTTACGCCATACCATACGAGTACTGCCCTCTGTATTCTACCATTTGTGGATGGCGTGAACCCCATGCCAATGATGCCATTGGATTGTTTGGCCGGCACTGCAGCGAATCAACTTACACGTGTCACGGTATGTATGTATTGTACATACGGAATATTAGTACTGTACATACAGCAACCGCATGCCGCCCGGCAGGCATCCACTCGCCGGCGCCGGCTACACGTCATCGGGCCAACCGAACTCGACGGAAGGTCTTCGCTGATCGCACATGCTTTTCGCCATGTTTCAGACGAATCTCGACGCGCTGTCCCACTTCGGCGGATTCTCTCTTTTCTTGCGATCACACCAACTGAAGTTCAATATATCATAAACGTCCCCTATGTCGCGGTCTTAGCGCTGTACTCCAGGCGGTGTGTTAGCTACTAGGTAGTCTGGACCTACTCGTAACTGCCTTGCGCCTGATCCCGGCGTGCCACTGTAGGAGACAACTTGAAGTGTGCCTCCCCAACAGCTCTCGTCAACATTCCGCTCCCGATCATGTATGCTCAGACATATTATACATTCCTTATTTCCCGTTCCAATCCCGCATTCTACCGAGCTTCTCCTTCCTGCCGCAGGTACCACCAACCTGGGAACCAACCATGACCACGGCCAGCCCAACAGCACGACACATCCTCCTCCCTCCGGCCTGCCGCCTCGCTCCCGTGCCCGAGCCGCAACCCATCAAGGGCCTCGAAGGCATCCCGCCGATCCGCGCCCAGTTCTTCTACGCCTCGCACATCCCCATCGACGACCCCCTCTCGGCCGCCACCATCGCCGGCTCCTCCTCCGACTCGAAGCCGTCGAATCTGCCTTTGCGGCCCTTCTCCGCGGGCGACAACGCCGCGCTCGAACGCGCCTGGCTCGGCTTCGCGACAGACCGCGACAGACGCAACCACACGCACGCGGCGCGCAACCGGAGCCCCAGCCCGGGTCTGTCGACGGAGAATGCCGAGAAGCTGGCGGCCATCGTGAACGCGCTGGCCGTTAAGCACAAGGAGAAGCATGATCGCGAGGGCCAGGCGCCGGGGTCCTCAGCGGCGGCCGGCGTGTCGCTACCTTCGGGCCCCCTCACGCCGCCGGAGCACGGGCGCGTGCCGGTATGTTGTGCCGAGTTGGCCATTGACGCGTCGGCTGAGCTGAGAAGAGAGTTTTGTGCCGTCACAAGGCGGAGGCAGCAGAGTCTGGACCATGACCGCGTGCTGGAGGGCGTCATGGCGCAGTTGGCTAGGCTGAGGATGGACGTGGAGGGGACGCGGCCCGCCTCGGCCGCGGGGTTGTTGTCGGGGACGGGTCCGGCTGTGCAGGTTGTTGGGAGTGCCGGGTCGAGGTTGTCGATGGCGTCTGCTGAGGGAGAGTTGGCGTCTAGCCTGCCTGTTGGCGGCTGCATTCCGGCCAGACCACCAGTGTTGGATGATGGGATTTCTGGCAAGCCGTTCGTGCGGGTTGAGCCGACGCCGAGGTCCAATAGGTCGTCTGGAGTAGCCACCCCGGACGACAGAGCCGCAAGGACGGTTCCTAAGGGTAGGGCGAGGGGTGACAGTCGAGCGTCGGTACCTGTGCGGCCTAGCACGGGACGGCTGGAGGACTCGGTTGAGGTGCCTGTGGGCATTTCGAGGCTACACATGGTCTCGCTGCCAGTTCTCCAGATGAAACCGATTTACTGGTCTCCGGTGAACGACATTGCCACTGTGTTGAGGGCGACGTGGTTCTACAGGTAAAGATTGACTCGATTGAGATCCGAAGAATCCGCTGCTGACCGTCAACACAGAGACACAATGGTTCCTGTCGAACCCGTCGTCGCCAACCAGCTAGAGGCAGGCTACCGCGAGCTCAGACCTTGGACAGAAACGTGGGCGGATGAACTCAGATCTGCTCTCGATGTCGGTCCGCTTGGTGAGGAGAAAGTATCCCACCGTCTGTGGCCAGAGGTTGTCGACAAACGACAAAAAGGCAAACCCGGCTTGCCTCCTGAGCCGCCAATATCGACCGACCCGTTCTGTGCTGCCAGGTGTTTCCGTGGAGAAGCCGCTGCTGAAGGATCTCTCGAGCCCGTTCATTCAGAGCAAGACACGGCATTGCCGCCTCCCGAGTCCAGGTTGTATGCCAGCTACCATGTCATTTACAAAGACGGCACAAACGCCTTCCTCTTGAAGCCCAGCCAAAAGCCGTCCGCCTACTACGGCCGGAAGCCCGTCTCCAAGATCATGAGGGGGATAACCGTTGGGCTACCCGTCGTACGAGGGTTTGATCGTGCTGCATGGGAAAGGGTGCACGATAAACGGGCCGCATCGCGCAGCAAGAGCATGCCAGTTGGAACCCCAGCAGCGGAGTTGCTTCAAACCGCCGAGGAAGGCGGCTGCCCGGGCTGTCGGCTAGAGAAGGACCGCGGCCAGGTCACTGACCTGGTCCTGGTGGCACACGGCATTGGCCAGAAGCTGTCCGAGCGTGTGGAGAGTTTCCACTTCACCCATGCCGTCAATGCCTTCCGGAGGGCTGTCAACGTCGAGCTTGAGAGCCCTGCCGTCAAATCTGTCCTGCGGCCAGAGCAGAACGGTATCATGGTTTTACCGGTTAACTGGCGCCATCTCGTAAGTTTCGAGGACGGCGGGTTAAGCACCGAGGAGGACAAAGCCGCCTACGCGCCCGACGGGTTCACTCTGAAGGACATTGAGCCTCCTACCATCCCGGCAGTGCGAGGCATCGTCTCGGATGTCATGTTTGACGTGCCCTACTACATGTCCCGCCACAAGCCAAAGATGATTGCCGCGCTAGTCAGCGAGGCAAACCGCGTCTACCGGCTCTGGTGCCGAAACAACCCCGGCTTCTCGGAAAAAGGCCGCGTCCATCTGATCGCGCACTCGCTCGGCAGCGCCATGGCCATCGAAGTCCTTTCCAGACAACCCACACGTGTCCCGCGCCCGCCCGACCCGTCCACCGCGTCCCCGGACACGCGGTTCTTCGAGTTCGACACCACCAACCTCTTCCTCCTCGGCAGTCCTGCAGGCTTCTTCCTCCTCCTCGAGCGCGGCGGCCTGGTCCCGCGCCGGGGCCGCCTCAAACCGGGCGCCGACGCGGCCGACACGGTAGCCAAGGATGTGGTCGGCGACGTCGGCATGTTCGGCTGCATCGCCGTCGACAACATCTACAACATCCTCGCCAAGGAAGACCCCATCGCCTACCTCCTCAACGGCACCATCGACCCGGTCTACGCCGCCGGCCTCAGGACGGCCTATGTGCCCGGCATCAACACCTCTTTCCTCAAATCCGTCGGCGACGCCGTACGCGGCCTCACCGGCACTGGCACCGGCACCGGCGGCGCTGCCCCGGCCGACGCCTCGCCGCATAAACCACCCGTCGCCCGCCTGCCGTCGCAGCTCGAGCTGGAGGTGCATGACTTCTCGCGCGAGGAGATTGCCGAGAAGAAGGCCTTCCTGCTCAACGACAACGGACAGATCGATTACTACCTGCGGTCCGGCGGTGGGCCGCTCGAGATCCAGTACCTGAACATGCTGAGTGCCCATACGAGCTACTGGACGAACCGGGACCTCATTCGGCTGCTGTGTTTGGAAATTGGGAGGCCGCCGGGCCGGGAGCATGCACTTCACTCGATGAGGGCTGTCAAGGTCAAGGGGCGGTTTACGCGCGGGCAGTAGGGCATTTCTTTTTTTTTCTTTTCTTTTTGGTGGTGTTCTTTTCTTTTTGGTGGTGTTCTTTTCTTTTTTTTCTTTTTCTTTCCTTTTTTTTTGGGGGGGGGGGGGGGGGGGGGGGCCGGATTTCTTTCTTCATGATTCACCCCGTGTTCGCTTGAGACAGGGTGCAGCATTATTAGCATAGCGTGGCGTTGCAATGAGATAGGTAGGTAGGTACCTTAGTGGTGAGGCTGGGTGTAGATGGATTGGCTTGGTGTCTGTTCAGATGCAGGACGGAGTGGAGAGTTCAAGTAATTCTTCAAGCAGTTCTTGCGTCCGGACATCGTAGTAAGACAGGCATGACTGTTCATGCTCAGGACAGATACCAATACCTTCTTCATTGAAGGGATATTACCATAGATGAGCAGTCCATCAGTATGTGGTCAGCAAACAGAAGTCGCGTTGACAATCCTACTGGGTAGGTCCCCCCTCATTGCGCCCGGGTGATACGATGCACCTACCACGGCCACTATCCAGACGACCAAGCGCATCCGTTCGCTTCTGCAACCCGTGAACGCAAGAAAGGCTCCATGTATATATAATACTATATATAGTACATGCCATTTATGTGTCCCTCAGCTACGCATTATTATCCAGTGCCATCAACTCAGCCTCGTCAAAGTCGTCCATCTCATAGTCACTCTCCTCCTGCCCAGTCGCCAGATGGCTTGTCGCCTGGCCGGCCGCGGGCGGGTTCAACTCTCTTTCCCGCTGCGCTTGCAGCTCCTTGATCCGCTCCTCGTCCATCTTCTCCTGATGCTTCCTCAGGTCGGCCATGCTCCACGTGCTGATGCCCTCCTGGTCCTTGGCGCGGAACGGCTGGGCCATGGTCTTGAGGAACCGGCGGGCGCTGCTGACCGCCATATCGGTGCTCAAGTTGGTGTCGGCGTCCAGCAGGGCCTGGTTGATCCATTTGGGCAGCTGGTTGCGCTTCTTCTGGAAGCGCCGGTCGGCGAGCACCATGAGGCCGTAGTCGTCCTTGCCGCGAAGGACGCGGCCCAGACACTGAGCTGCGTGGCGCATGGCGTCGAACGAGAGGAAGTCGTTCTCGCGGATGCGGTACGTCTCGCGGAGAAACTCGAGCCGGGCTTTGAGGATGCGCGATTCCGTGTACTGGAAGGGCACGCCGATGCACAGCACCGTGCGTCCGTACTGGTGGTCGAAGTCGATGCCTTCTGACACCTTGCCGCGGGCGACGCAGAGGAGGACAGCGCCGCGGCCGTTGCAGCATGCAGTTCTGTACGTCTCGAGCGCCAGGGATGTCTCCTGCGCGTCGGGCGTCTCGACGAGGATGAGCTTGTATTTCCACACCTCGTCGAGAATGCCCATGCCCTGCCACATGCTGATGATGGATTCCATGTAGAGGTACGAGGGGAAGAAGACCACCATGCCATCCGGCGTGATCTTGGCGAATTCGGTCAGGAGGTTACCGTAGTTTCTGACCACGCTGGGCTCGTTGCGAACCTGGAAGCTTGTGGATATTGGCGCCTGATCACTCCCTCGCGTCACAATCATAGGCAGGAAGGACCTTCGCGCCAGCGTCATGCTGTAAGATTCCTGGACCACGGTTGGGAAGTCGAGCATTTTCGGGTACATCTCCAGCGGTGATATTGTCCCCGACGTGATGATAACGGAGCTGAAGCGCTCGAAGACCGGCTTAATGGCGATGGCAGCATCCAGGCATGTGAAGTGTAGCACCGGGTTTGGTACCTCGGCCGTGTCCGACTCGTACGGCTCCAGGATCAAAAGGAAGCCCTTCTCGTAGGTCGCCACGAGAGTCGCGAAAGTGGCAACCTCTTGGAGAGGCTGGTAATCCTCGATGTTGGTGAGCTCGAGCGTCCTGACCAACGAGGTCAACCGCTCAGCGCAGAATCTCAGGGGCTTTTTTTCGATAAAAGTGTATTCCTTGAGATGCGCGAGGAAGGATGGCGGAGTCTCGGATATCACCTGCCGGACTTTCATCCTCGTCTAAGACAGTCAGTTAGTCAGCCTGGCAGGCCCATCCTACAGGATATCGGCTGTCTGGTGCAGCTACTCACCTTGAGGTATTCAATGAATCTCCGGAGGAAGGCAACAAAGTGCTCCGCTCTGCGAATATTTCCGGGAACGGCCTCCTTGAGCAGGTCGTCCGGGAGGACTAAGGCAGCAGTTAGCATAGCGCAGACTGACCTGGCGCTTCCTCGAGCGGGCGGGCTTACTGGGGTTGGACATGAAGGAGTCCTCCTGGCGGCCGTCGTCAGCGCCCCGGAGGCCTTCGACCAGCTTCTCATACTCGTCCTGCAGCTTCTGCTGGTCCGACTCTCTCATCTCGCTGATCCTGTTTTCCAGGCTCTGGGCGCCCCTCGTGGCTCTCCTCAACGAGTCCTCCGTGATATCCGTACTGAGCGACTCGATGCACACGTTGTCGATGTTGTGAGCTTCGTCGAAGACGACAATGCAGTCCTTTGAGAGATCCTTGGAGACACGCTCGGCAATCTTGGGATCCAGCAGGTAGTGATATGAATAGATGATGACGTTGCAATATTGCATCTGGGAAGTCAGCCAACAGAGGCAGGAGAATGGAGCAAGGAATACGCACCATCCGTCGGGCGGTGAAGTAAGGACACTGCTTGTGCTGCTCGCCGTATCGCAGAAGGCCGTCCAGCGTCCAGACGCCGTTCGGGATCAAGTTGGAGGCTTCGAGGAGGTCAAGGTTCTGGAACGGGACACATCAGCGCATGTCGCAGGTGCCGGGTGTCAGGGGTCTGGTGTTTGGGGGAACCCGCACGTCGTGGTATACGCAGACCTCCACGTCCTCCCCCTTTTCCTTCTTCTCCTTGACGAACCCCGCTGTCAAACTGCGGCAGCGTGCATCAACCACGTTGCCGCTCTTCTCCCGCTTTACAGAAGGGTGCAGGCAAAGATTTTTGCGGCTCGTAAGACCCAGCCCTCTGAACTCCTCCTCGTGGCCGAGTCGTTCTGCGCGGAACTTCATGAGAGCCTTCAGCTCGACGAGCGCCTTCTCGATCTCGGACATTGTCCCTGGAGAACGCATGAGCTTTAGCGTTTCAGCTCGTTCAATCCGCGACGGGATGGCATACGGGAGCAATATATGAGCTTGCGGTGCGACGGGTAATACTGTTGATAGGCCACAATCAGGGACAGCAAGGTGACTGTCTTCCCTGTGCCCGAAGGCATCTCCAACACACAGTTCCCCCCGGCATCGAGGGTTCCTGATACGCGTTAACCAATGACCAGCTCCTTCCACGGGTTTCAAGGCAAAATCTCACTCTTCAAATCTACCATGTAGCTGCCGGGAAGCATTCTAAAAGTCAGCGAGAGCCACCGTGACTTCTTTGGGTTCAGCGTACGCATATTGTTCTAAGTCTACCGTTAGTGAGATGAAGGCACAGATTGATGCCCATGGGAATACCTGCCTGGGTAGATGCGGGGGTACGGAAAGAGGACGGGCAAATCACTGTTGCCATCTCGTCAGCCAAAGGACGACGACGAGGATATGGGAAAGTGCGGTTGGCTTTACTCAATGTTGAACTCCATTTTGGCGGTCTACCACAGGACCACTGTGGGTGACCAGCGAATGTTCACGTTCTTCAGCGGAGATTCTGCTATTGCCGGCCTTCAGTGTTCATGGATGCAAGTCGCGGAACCAGAGAGATGGACTCGGCCCCACTGCAGCCGTGGTGTAACTGGTGTTTTGGGCGCGATGCGAATCTACGAATTCTGCAGTCCGACGGGAATTCAGCCACCTCGCGGGCCGGTCGGAAGGCCGACCTCTCAGTTTCCTCCTAATTCTATCCAATAACGCCGTCGTCTTCCCGTAGTGACAGGATAAAATGTTTTGTTCTTTTGGTGGATAGCAGCTTGAAGACAGCGTCATCGTCTGATTGTTGAGGTTCAAGGAGGCACGTGGCATGGCTGCCTAGACACGTGCTTGATTACCTAACATTTACAGGACTCGGACACTACGCCGACGGATCAGACCGATCCTCACCCAGGTGAGCCCAAGCCAACAGCGCTACGTCCACCGGCTCCAACTTTCTTGCACAGGCTGGCAGTGAGCGAACGAAACCTCCCTCATCAGTGACTGGTTCTGTGGTTCAGCCGTCGCTCTCCTACATACTCCTACGGTAGGTACAATGCCACCTAAACCCTTCCTCATGCGACTCTAAACTGCTACCGTTGGACTGAGATTCGCCTCTTATTTCCTATCACATCACGCTATCACCATATCACCATAGCACATGGCCGACGCGTCGCATTCAACGGCAATTCCGATCCGCCCCTCCCGAAGCTGTCCACCAACCACGCCTCGCCATCCATTCTATGCTTCGCACAGCTGAAACTCTATTGCAACTCTGACAAGCCACGTGCAGGTGTCTCGCTTTTCCCATGAAAGAACCCTTCCAGATTGTTCCATACGGAGCGCGCTCCGCCCTCAGTGCGGGCATTGGTTGTCCCGGCTCGCATTGCAACCGAACCACTACGCGCTTTTGTGCGCAGGACCGCGCGGGAATGGACGAAATAGGAAGTCGAACGGTATGACACCGATGTCAACCATACTTCGATCCTCTGGTTCAAAGGCGGGGACCGTTGCGCTTGTTCATGTCGTAGGCTCGGTGACCACGAAATTTGATCCGACGACTCCGACTCCGATGCCACATGCGCCGACACCTGCTCCGGTCCCAGGCGGATGCCCACGTGGGTGGCGGGCACCTCATCTGCCCCCGTTCCAAGCCTGCGGATGAGCCCTAGAGGTTGTCCTGCGGTGCACTGACAGCGGGACACCTACAGTGTACGTTTTTCTCCAGGACCGTGGTCCGCTTGAGCGGGGTGCTGCCCATTATCGTTTCATTGCTTTTAACATACCGATCACACTAAGCAACAAGAGCGCTCTACCAGCCGTGTGTCCCCGTGTACGTACATTGTAGGTATTTGTATAGCTAACGGCGGATTCCAGAGGATCGGACGTTTCAAAATCTGCCGAGTAGCGCGTTCGTTCCTGGCAAGGGCTCAAAATCCCACGCCCCCGCTCCTACCCCCTCCCAGCTCGCCGATGTTACAGGCGAGGTGCCGCACACCCGCATTGGCGTGTAACCTTAACTGGGCAGAGCGCTCTCGAGATGGTGGTGCCCATTTCATCTCAGCGCCTCGTATGAGCGCGTCAGAATGGAGGTCTGACCTGCCGTTCGGTGTTATCACTTGCCGACAGGGGGTTCCAGCGTGTGTGACAAGCACGTCGACGGCACAGAGGCCGCGTGGAAGCCTTCCAGAACAACATCTCAGACGCAACGAGCGAGGCAGGGGTGCGGCTGAGAAGAGCGGGCGGGACGTGGTTGCGCTTCTGAAGCCTTGACTGGTCCGGTGATTCCGCCTCTTCCGTCATTCCTCTTTGCCCGTCGCCATGGCGGCAGGGGGTTCGGCACGGAACCCTGCGGTCCCGATGGGACATGTCTTTGGTGCCAATGCACCACAGTTGTTGATACTCCGTCGTGGTCAATATTTCGTCATCCTCTATCATGCGTTTTGGAGGTCCACGTGGGAATGAACCGACAGGGTTGGGATTCCTTCTACCACCCTCCGGCGAGCGGGCCTTTTAATAATAAGTCCTGTGTCGATTCCAAGGCGTGGCAGCATACCCTACACTGTCGGAACTGACTATCACGGAAACAAATCCGCTGTGCTCAAAGCACACAAGGCAACTCTCCTTGTGGCTAACTGTAAGTAGAGTTCGAAGTGATGGGCAGCTAGGCAATCGTGGCAGTTGGTCCGCTGTCCTTGCCGCGTCTTGATCTTGTCCTACGCTTCAGCTCGCAACCTACACTACCATCGCGCATACACTACACATTACCTCTCAGTCTCCAATTCCAATTCAAGGCCGTCCGGTTCGCCAATCAAAGGCACCGTCAACTGACTGCGCTTGTTGGCGGCTGTTTAAGCGGATTGATTAGCCGCAGGCAACCAACATTCAAGTTTGCGGAGAAATCGAAAAGTGGCTTGAGTGGGCAGAACACAACAGTCATTGGCCACAACTAGAAGATCTGCTCGGCAAAAGCCCCCAGCCAGTGACAGGGGCATTGCTCTGCCAAGCGGGGATCTGAGCCAGGACAAGGCTCTTTTCTCTCAATGCTGGGCCACTGCCGAAATCAAGATCTGCCCTGGTAGGAGAGTCGGGGTCGACTGCAGCCGCAGGCAGCCAGATTTCCCACAGTTGGGTTGTTGCTAACTGCGTTGATATCTGAAACACGCGCGATGCGGAGAGACTCCACCTGAGTTGCTGCCCGTTCGTCCCACCCTCGTTCATCAGCCCCAATGTCTTAGCCTACGGTGTTAGTGAACGTTGACTATCCTGCTCAGCTGGGGCCAAAAAGAGGGAATGTGTTGAGTTCATGATACTATGCTGCGTACGGACAAAAATAGACAACCGAGCGTCACTCTACTTGATGCTTGATGTGCTTGCTGAAGCAGTTCATGACGGTGAGGGCACTAGTACTGCACTACAACCTTGAAGTGATTGTTGGCCAACGCCTGTCTCACATCTTCAGCTCTGGGATCTCCGTACATGTGGAACTAACCTCAGTAGCATCAGATACAGCTTACATGTGTGTACTCATGTGATAGTACTGCTGACAGTCTACCTAGGTAGGCACCTACGCCTATCATTGAGCTTCTAGGGCCGCAGCGCACCATAGCGGCGTGCCGCGAGTGATCATCTGTTCGGGTTCATATAGGGCAGGCATGACACTAGCAGAAACAAGCAAGAAATAGGCCGTGTTGGCGGCCGGCGTTAGTGAGGGAAGCTGGCCTACTGAAGACACGCTCATGTGCATACGCTGATCAGAACGGTGTCGATCTCGATAGGAACCTGGAAGAAGATAGATGACATGCTACGAGTCTGGGGTCAGGGCAACCGTTCCCGTGTTGGAACCAAACACCCGACATTGCGTAATGCCTCCAAGCGAGTTGGTATCTCAGCGACTGCGCTAGATGGACATCTGCAAATGCTTCGTTGGGGCCGTGATGTTTCAGGAATCATAAGCCACATTCTCACCTTGTACCACCAGCTGCTGTTTTGGCTGACTTCTGCAGAAAGCGGAAATAACTTCGGCCTCGAACGTGACGAGATGGGTCGATTAGCCGCCCTCCAATCACATCTTGAGATATATTTGGGCAAAATTCGCCGTGTTGCGAGTTGCAAGTGGCCGATGTCACATCGTCGCTTGCTCTGCCCCGCTTCAATCCACCGCTCTCACCAGCAATGGTTCGATGCGGCTAGCTCTAGGCGTCAGATAAACGCGATGGGATGCCATCCCAAACCGGAAAACAGGAAAGGATTTACAACTGTTGATGGGCGATCGGAATGTTCGGCAGTTTCATCTTCATCCTTGACCTCCCGGCTACCTAGTATTGTAGAATTACCAGATACATACATTATGCGTCTTCCCATATTAAGCTAGGTATTTTGTCGGCGGGTTTATACAATACACAGTACTAGTAATGTTACACTACACTATCTTGGATTGCGCTTGGCTCGCCTGTAGTCGCTTCGATCGGCACCGCGGTTGCGGTGTGGCTGTGCCGCTCCGCCGGAATTTAATCCGATGCCTTGCTTGAAGGGGGGCAAAATACCATGTCCCAGTATCCGCATTGTTCGGTCCTATCTTACTGCGTGGGGTACTGTGGCAGCGTGATAGTACTACCTTAGTAGCTACCAGTACAGAATTGTATTGCACCTCGCAACAATGGGTAGTTCGAAGTAGACTTGACTTTGTTTCCTTACACAGCTACGTGATTTTAGTCCCGTCGGGCTTTGACAAAGAACCTCATCAGGGGCGAACATCGCTAAGGTCAAATCATTTTCTGCGCGTGTCTTGTAGTATTCGCTGATTGGCGACCGTAGTGGAGTGGAACTCGGCAGTGGAGTAGTGGGTAAGCGATAGGCGCGCAGGCGCGGTCACGTCGTGGGAACTTGAGATGTTGGTGACAAGTCCGATTCGATGTGGCAACGGCTCGTCCCGAGTAAACTGACGGAGTTCTCGCCGAGCCAACCTACTACCTTACACTAGTGTATCCGAGTCCCCACGAGCAGCATTTGCCCAATTGAGATTGTGGGCTTGTCGGAATGGTGGTCAGAATGTCTGAATGATCAAATCACCTTAGTCAGTTTCCTTCTCTCGACCGCTGCCAGCGATGCGAAACGGCAGGTAAGCAAACGCCATCCGAAGGATACCTACCTGAGGTCGGCACCTACCTGGTAGATAAGGTACTTATCGCAAAAGTCGCTTTCCGACGAGATACGTACATGCAGCGTTCGCACGTGTGAGCTGATGGAACAGTGGAACTTCAAGTTGGATTCCGTTTCTTGTCTGCGTAATTTCGCGTAAATGTTCCGTCGACTTACAGGTTACAGAGCCACCACAAGTCGTGGGTTCAACCGGAGCCTCGGAGTGCTGGCCGTACGCTCTGCGCCCATCAGGTCTGCGCAGGTTTTTGGTCAATCTTGGGAGAATCCTTTGATGCGACGCTACCTCGGACCCCAAGTTGCATTGGCCAACGAGGGCAGCCATCGCTCCAGGGCAACCTTGCCTGCCCGACGACATGGGCCGCTGCACATGGCGGAGGATTTAAAGTGCTGAGACAAAGCAGGCCACTGGCACGTAGTTATAGGGCAGATAACTTTCAAGCTTACCTGAGCTGATGTGGATGTACTGAGTGCCAGCGGCAGCTTCCAGGTTCACCATCAGTGATGGTTCAATAGGAATGAGATAGCTGATGGAAGTCGCTTTGTATTCTGATATCTCAGTGGAGTAATATTTCCAGAATTTGTCATGCCCAGTGGGGTTTCAGGCAAGGCAGCTTCATCAAGTGGAGGTTTGTTAACGTTATTAGCCTCGGGTCCGTTCACAGACCGGGGAAGCGGGGCGAGAAGCACCGGCGATCTTGTGGGGTCTCCTATCTTCCATATCATTCATCAGCAGTGAAATTCCTCTCGAAACCATGACAAAACAATTGCGAAAAGGGTACGATTCCAGCACGGTTTTTTTATATAAATCCCATTCTACTTAGTCTAAAGCTCAGATACAAAAGCGAAGACTTGCCAGCAGCCTTACTGTTCGCCCGTTGATTCATCCCATCGGTTGCGGCACCAAGACGGACGAGCCGGGACGCGGGCGACCACAGTCCCATGGCTAACTAGGGCAACTCGTTGCCCAGAACCCGGCCCTGCCAAGAACAGCTAACGTTAGTCTTCCTTGCTCGCATCGCTCGGAAGCGTCCGTCTCCCGCTCCCAACGGGGCGGCTTGTTGCTGATTGAGTGATTCTTCCAACAACAACAACAATGCACGTTAGAATTCCGGATGTTTCAGCACTCAGCCATCTACTGCATGAAGACCAGCCGTTTTTGGAATATGGTTAACCATTTGGGCACTCACACGGCCAAAGGCTTCCCACTTCTTCCTTGCGAAGATCACCGGATGTGGTACCTCGTCCTTGTCATATCAGGACGGCAGGCCCTGACCCACAGTTGGAATCTTAGTGTGCAGTGCCGCAGAGAGCGGATGCCAGAGTCTGCCGAGTTTCAGATTCACAGATGCAGATCCTACTTCTTGCTGGGTGGATTTCTCAACTGTAGATATCTCTAGATGGTCAGGGTCCAACCTTCGGGGCGGCATTTTCGTATATACCAGCGTTTCGCTGCGACATCTGTTGTCAGGTGTTGAGAATTCCAACATAAAGTTACTAACAAACTTCTGTGGACGTAATTTCGGTTACCGGCGGATTTCTCCCCGCGGTTGCAACGGTGACTCCCAAGAACCCACGCAAGCCGGACAGATGCTGGATGACGGAGATGGAGGGATGCTGCACGACGGTTTACACCACTACACTGCACTGCACTGCACTACGGGTGAGTGCCCATGACCTTGCGGGGTCCCTCCAGTTCGCAGCTTTTCCGAACCCGATCGCCTGAGGTGCAAAGCTCGCATCGGGACGCTCGCAAGATGATGCCAATTCCTGTAGGAAATCCAAATCGTTGCCTGGAGCGCGTTTTTCGGGGGCTGTGAATTGGGGGGACCCACAGCTTCGCACCTTGCAGATCGAATGGATCACTCATCACCTCCATTGGGTCACTCATCGCTTGCTTCAGCGCGAACGGGCTAGACAGCCGGAATAGGTAGAGTCGATTGTCGAGATACCCGTAGCCTTGGCTGCTCGGGGGCATACCGGTAGCGGGATAACTCGTGGTGCCCAGGGGTGGCGGTCTTCAGGGACAGCGACCGGCGACCAGCGGGACGACGGGAAGAACGGGCAAAGCGGCACCGAGCCAGACCCTGGTGTCCTGTCTCCGCAGAGGGGGAAAGCGTGGCCCTGACCTAGCATCTGTTATTTAACAACTTTAACAACGCCTGGATGCACTGGACGGTGCTCTCCAGCACCAACTGGGACAAGTAACTAAATGCTGAAATCGCGTGGATGCTAAAATCCAACCGGCCCATCGCCTTGATGTGGATGCCGTCGTGATTGCAACCTTGGAACCTTGATAGCGTGGTTAAGACAAATATTTGGAGCTAAGCGTCTAAGGTACTAGAGTCCAGGCGTGGAAATTTCCATCGGGCCATGCCTCGCAAACGGGAGTCCTAGTTGTGCTTCTCCACAATTTGTGTGCACCGCGCAATTGACGTATCAGAGATAGGATTGCCTGCCAGGTGTCCACATTTCATCTCCTCTACTGCGATCAGTTGCGGCAATAACAAATTCAACTATCTAACTTGATGACTCTAGTCGCAATCCTCTGTAGTAGATTTCGCAAACAGCCGAACAGAACTCAACGATATCCATACCGCGCGGCGGCACTTTGCTGAAGACCACCGGGACCGAACAGTCCAGCTGGACTCAAGCGAAACACTCATGTATGGCCATCTATATGCCTTGTACATACCTGGTACGGAGTACGTTCGGTATCATGGAGTAACCTAGACTCCGGTAGGTTGGCCAGAGATACCCGGGTCCCGGCGGGTCCAATACTTGCACCACATAGGTACCTAGTTACTCTTATCGGCCTCCCTCCATCATCTTCACTTATCCATCTTCGGGCAGCCCCTCACCCTACACATTAGTCTCAATCAGGCGTGCCTGGCCTGTCCAAGCTACAGTGGGAGCTTCAGCATGTAAGCCTGTTGACCGTTCTGTTAGCGGGGAAGATATCACCAACTTTAGCGGCCGGGCCAGTCAGGCGCGCCCGGGAAGCGCAAGCGCTCGCCTCCCCCACACAAATCCCTCACCACGATACTACAGAGTTGGTACTTCTGACGTTGGCGCCACCTTCGCTTTTGGCACCGTACCTCAGACGTACTACCGGTAATGCCATGCCAACAGCATATCCCCCTTACGTATTCTCTCAGATCGTCAACCGCCTACCTCGACGGTTGGCCCCGAGCCGAGGCCGGGCGGTGCTGAATTCTCCGTACATGGCCACCTTAGCTCGGATCTGGCATCACTGAATGTGGCCGTCGGGGCCTTTCAACATGGGCACGCGATCCATCCGCGCTCGGGTGCTCCCGATGCACACATCGGCAACCCGTGATGCCGACGAGGATAGACTCATTTGTTCGTGGTGGCCTTCAGAACCCCTCAGTCCCCATATTCCGGCTGCCGAGATGGTGCAAACGAGCGCAAAGCAAGCCCACAGTGAGCTGCCAACCCACAACAGCGTCAGCTTTCCCATTAGCACCAACAGCTCCAGCCGGATTGGTGTGAATGGTCAGCAGCCCAGCGAAAAGGGCACTGCAGGCTCCGGCTCTGCCCAGCCAGGACTCGATGGACGGTTGAAGCAGGTCGCCCCACCAACCTAAAGCTGGAAACGGAAGCCAACAGTTTAAGCCAGGGTGCACCGGCAGGGGTGTCACCCCACCTGGTCCACACCCTGGCTACTTTTAGCTGCCCCCTGCACCCTTGAGACGCACCCTCTCTCGTTTTGGTCTAGCGTTTCTATTTTCCTCCGGTGGGAGCTGTGGTGAGAAACACGCCCAGCCCCATCTCCCAAGGACCCAGTCGCGCATCGCACTAACCACATCGTGAGGGTTACCGATGGATTCTCAGCCCAGACGCTTCCCCATCAGGCTGGTGTCCGCCAGCCTTGTCTGCCCTCAGGACTCCGCGAACAGGGTTTGGTGCTGACCCATGCCTCTCACACTCTCTCTCTCACTCACTCTCTCACCCTCCCCCCACCCATGGCAACCTGCCCCTGTCGCGGTCTTGGTTCGTTAGCTGCGCGGCCCCTTGTTCCCGGTCAGTTTCTGAGTCCCAAGATGCGTCTGTCTAGCCCCCAGTCCCTCAGAGAGAGGGGATGTAACGGTAGATACAGGTACTACTCCAATATTAGCCAGGCAGAACTCGTTCATTCCCAAATCATATAAGAAAGCTTGGTTGTCTGCCTTTGTCAGGCACACACATCTCCTCGCTCCCACAGCCCCAGTTTCATCCCCAGCGACGAGAGGTTCCCCCTCGGACTTGCTTTTCGTCTTGATGCTGCAGTGCTTTGCACACGCCTAGAGGCCTCGACGACCACTTTGTCGGCCGTCCCCAAATATCTGGCCCGCCGCTCCCGTCCTACTCTTACCGGACCTCGACGCGCTTGACCACCAATCGGACTCCAGATACTCCTGTGCTTGGACAAAGATCCCCCCCGTCAGCACAGTCCGACAAACACCAACAGGCCCCCGTGCGCTGTCAGCCTCTCTTCCCCCCTACTTCACACAGCGTACCCAACTGCCCGCGTGAATACATAGATAATCTGGCCACTCCCCCAGCCCTCCACGTCCACCACATTCACCATGGAGCACACACCGCCGCCTTCCCTCACAAGGTCTCCGTCGTCCCCGGCCAACACATACTGCCCCTCGGAGAGGTCCTCGCTTGACTACCCCTCGCCGAGCCTGGTAGAGCAGCAATACAAGATCACCTCGATATATGGTGACCAGGCTTGCGTGACGCCGCCAATGGACCAAGAGCTCTCCCTGCCGCCGCTCGATCAGATGGCCCACCAGGACTGGAACGTCCATCCGGTGTCCTCGGCGTCCGGCATGCCCAGCATACTGTCGGGAGACTACGACACCTTTGGCAGCTACCCGTACAGCCACGATGTCTATCACGCGCACCCCGCAAGCCACCCGCCCTCCATCCACGCCTCGACGCCTCCGCCCACTGCCGGCGGCCCGCGGTCTCCAGCGGCGCCGCTGAGGACGCCGTACACACCGGCAACCTCGGTTCCCGGTCCGATGACGCCGCGCGTCAAGATGGAAGGGCCGTCGGACTACGGCCAGAACACGGAGGCGTCGCACTACCCTTCGCCGCGGTCGGTCCACACGTCCTTCCCGTCGGACAGCGGGCCGTACACCAGCAGCACCTCGACCGGCTACCTGTCGGACAGTGGGTCGGCGACATGGCACAAGCCCGAGTACCAGGCCGTCGAGGCCGAGCACTTCTACCCTGGGCCGCCGCCGCCGCCGCCGCCGCAGCCGCCCGCCTTCCTGCACGACGCCAGGAGGCAGTACCGTGTGACGCGGCCGCGGAGGGCGCCGCGCCGGCTGACGACCAAGGAGGAGGCCAACTTCCAATGCGAAGTCAAGGGGTGCGGTAAGCTGTTCAGCCGCAGCTACAACTTCAAGGCGCACATGGAGACGCACGACGAGAAGCGCGAGTATCCATTCCCGTGCCAGGTGCCCGACTGCAACAAGAAGTTTGTGCGCAAGACGGATCTCCAGCGCCACCACCAGAGCGTGCACTTGAGGGAGCGCACCCACAAGTGCGACTACTGCGGCCGCATGTTCGCGCGCAAGGACACCCTGCGGAGGTGAGTTCGAGCTTCCCAGTTTGACATTCAAACGGACGCAAAAAAAAAAAAAAAAAAAAAAAAAAAAAAAAAAAAAAAAAAAAAAAGGAAAAGAAAATGAGCTGATTCGCTAACTCGGAATTTCCTAGGCACATGGAAGATGGCTGCTCCAAGCGGTTTGACATTGGCACACTCGATCTCCGCGCCGAGGCCTACGATAGCATGCATCCCAGTGCCCGCTCCATGGCCCCCATGGGACACCACATGATCCCGCCACCGGGTGGCCTGCCGCCCATTGGCATCCCGCCTCTCTGCAGCTCCGGGATGCTCGGCTCCCTGCCGCCCTCCATGCGGCCCAGGGAGCCCTTGGCGGCCGCTGACTCCCAAGGCCACAACTGGGGGAGGTGATGGCACCGCACACATCCTTTCTATTGCGGCATTTCTTTCTGTGGACATATTTCATACGTTTGGGATGGGACTCGGGAAGATACCAGGGAAGGCTTCAAGCGTACGGCACATGGGTACCTTGGGTAACGGAAGGATGGGATTTCTGCTCTTAACGCCGTGTACGAATACATGTATGGTTTACGGGTGGCGTATCTGGGCGGGCGAGGCGGTGTTTGGACGATGGTATATTCGATGGGGCTTGGGGTCGGGACCTTTCCCTTCCTTTCGTGGGCAATGCCGGGCCTGTTCCTGCAACAATTCTCTTTTTTTGCCTTCATTCCCAACGTATTTTGGGAGGAGACTTCAATGTACACATATTCGGATTACACCTACCTTAGACTTCGCAAAGAGAGACACACAACAAAAGTCCCTAGTACATTTGTCCCGCATCTTCGCATCTTAGGTTGACACGAGCGGGCAGTCGTCGGCAGTTGCGCGCGTAGAAAACCCTACACGCTTGGGTACATAGGTTTTGTTCACATACAACGGCATCCAACACGGTATCGGTAACTAAGTATCGCTGCAATGCGTAAGGTACCTGGTATGCTGGTAATACTGTGTAAGACCCGGGACCGTTCGAGAACGGCAGTTCCACTCCCATCAGCTTGGCGAGTCCATCGGTCCATCGGGCGCTGACGGAATTTTGTCCGGATGTCGCGGTCGATTTCTGGTTAAGACAGACATTGGATGGTGTTGCGATCGTCACATCATTGTCAGCCTTAAGAGCGGGAACTGAAGCAGGGAACTTGAAAGCTGCATGACTTGCGGAAGAGGTAATGCAGCAGTCTGTCTCGTTCCGTTTTCTCAAAACACCCCACCAATAGTAGTATCTGACGTGCATGGATGGCTCCTTCCTTCTACTGTACATCTATGCCATTGTTCCACCGTGTTCCCTACGTTGCGCCTTTCGTCCACCAACGACTGAAATCGTGAGAAGACGATGGAACGGTACAAATTTCGCTGACCGATGAGTCTGCAGGAAACTGACACCTGGGGGCCGGATTGTTAATATGGCTTACCCGACACACTCCATCTTATTGCCCCTCACGCCCACGTCATTGGATCTTACACTACAGATCAGCTGGAGTGGAGGGGGTAATAAGGAGGGGATGCTGTCCAACTGCCGTCGTTATCAGGCGAACTAGACCCTCGCATAGGGCTGCGCTCTAGTGGGTTGGCATCGCGTTATCCAGCCACTCAGCAACAGTTCGTCCTGAGCCCTACGGCCCGCCCGACGTCGCACAACAGGTCCACAAGCGAACTGTCATCCACTGGAATCGGTCATCTTCTCTCAGCCAATGCCACGGTGAAATGAGCCAAAAGATCTCTGCTCGCATTAGGGGTTACGCAAGTTATATTAACTCGGTGGACAGATGCGCGTGGTAGGACTGCATCAGCAGTCAACCTCCACCATGGAAGCTGCTGCAAGCTGCAATCTCCGCAGGGCTAGTGGGTGTCGGCCCTCATCATAACCGTATTCGTACTTACATACGGATTACATACCCGTACATTACCGTATGTAGTAACGTACTAGTACGGAAAGTTTCCCCTAACTGCCAGGTCGCCCGCATCGAAGTCGCATGATTCTCATCCCTCACGCTCGCGCCTGCGCGCGCGAACAAACGAGCGGCCGATCTCGACGGAACCAATAGCCCACTGGCAAGCGCTAGCAAGTAGCAACACGGTAGCAAGCGGAGGCCGCCGTCGTCAGTTCATCCAATTAGGACTCTTTAGGTTTCCAGGTTGCGAGATTAGCCCGCCATGCCCGTCAACGTCGGGGATTCTTGGATTCTGACCGCGAAGGGACTGTCGGGTATGTAGGACCTATCCCTAAATCCGTGGGCTTCTTCCTTGTCTCCCCGAGACTGGTCAGCCGACCGAGCCCGCGCGATTCGGCTTATAAGTCAGTTTAAGCAAGACCTGGAAGGGAAAGATCTACTCCGCCGAGGCGCAATGCGAAAGGTGCCAATGTCGCGATACATAGAGCACCTTGTCTACCGGTTACCAAGTCAAAGGTAACCCCGGCTCCAACCCCTGCTTGTTCATCAACAGCAATGCCAACCGGCCTCTCCCCCCGCAGGCACATGCTGCGTTGGAGCTTGCGTCAGGTAACGCTGGCTACCTGGTATCCGTATTCTGCGCTCGCATTCGTCAACGTTCATTGCATGGTCTGCCTGTCCGTGTGACACAGAGAGTTCCCCTACGATTCCTACCGCCCCCAACGGGAGTTTCTCACTCAGCAACCGAACGCTGCCGGCCTACAACATGGCCCTTCGCCCGAAAGCACAGTACTTTTGAAAAGGTGCGTGGGCCCGGGGGGGTGGTAGGTTCAGACGGAGGTGACTGAGCATCGGTGACTATTGTCTATACAGTACGCTGAGGGTGTGTGGTCCGCAAGAAGAGAAGGGCAGACGCCAGCGATTGGCCGAACAGCCGCCTCGCACCTCTCAAGGTTGCAATGCCCAGGTGTCCTGAAGGATCAGCCGGAGGGGATCTTGGGCCAAGGACAACTCGCCGCGTCCCGGCAGTCACGGTTCCCGCCCAAGATTCGAACCAACAACAGCCCATGAGCGTGGTAACATTAGACACATGCGCAGCGCTCCGCCAACTCTCCGCCGTCCTAGACCACACACAGCGCTGGCCGCCGGGAACATTTCCCGGACCTTCCTCAGGACTTTGAGGCCGGGCGATCTTGTTGCCAACCGCGCTGCACATACAAGTAGCTACGTGTATGGACGTGATCTTTGCCGAAGCGATTCGGCAATTGACAATCCTGCAAAGACGGTTCACCCCGCAAATGGCGTACGGCGTGGGCACAGGATTGGGCTAGGCGGACACACCTCGCCGCGCCTTGTTTTGCTGTGCCGCCCGCCGGCTTGGCCGCAGAACAAGACACGTTCGGCGGCCCGGCCCCGGGTCCGACGCCTCGGCGCCGGGGACGTCCGTGGCTCAGACAAATGCTGTCAGCAAGCAAAGCATACTTGCAGCAGGATCAGTGGCTTGTCGGAATGACGGACCTCGCCCCGCAGGGATAGCCGGGGCGGCTGTGCTCGTCCGTTGGAGTGAACGCCGCCGTTTCTGACTGTCACGATGGTATTCGTAATGGATTGAAATTTCCGGTCAGTGAGAGCCCCAAGCGCCGCAGCAGCCATGGCCGTTGATTGCGGTGCTCTGCGTGCTTTGCTATCCCAGTTGTTCCTCGTTTCGCCTCCTTTACACCATTGGGAACCCCCATGGGCCTACATGTCCCCTGGAGCTTGGCTTTGACCTTTCTTTTCCCTCTCCAGATGCGGTTGTCTCGTCTTGTATTTCGATCTCGAAAGTTCATTCCCAGTGCGTTTCATTGTCCGACTTTATTCGCAGCACGGGGCGGCCTACTTAGGGAACCATCTCCGGGCTCAAATCCGCACCTACTCGGACTCCTAGCCAGCCCGACGTCTACTGTGTGGTATGTGAAGTCGAGCGGATCACGTCCAAGTCGTTCGGATAGGCGTGATATCGATCGATGGTTTGCTTGCGCCATCCGCGTGCTTGGTGCGGGTCCTGGGTAATCCTGCCTCCGCGCCACATGTCCAATTCTTTTCCATGCCTGCTCCATGCTGAGAACAGGAGCCGTCGGGGGGAGATAGAAAGGAAGCGTCAACGGAAGCAGTCCTTGCCGAAGGATCGTGCAGACGCTTGCGCATCCGGCGACCTTTTCTCGTTGGGCATCTTGGTCATTCAGGTCGACGACTTGCTTGTAGATATGTGTAGCGTAGGAGCGAGTTGAGCTGGCGTGACACGTCGGAGCCGCGGCGCTTCTTTGCTCGAGCAGGATGGAGTTGCCGCGCTGTTAGTATTGTTCGCCGCAGATCGGCTTGCTGATTCTGAAGGAGGGCTACTACGCAGGTAACTGCGTAGGGGCCGGATTACTCCCCTGAATCCGAACTTGGCGTCTCTGGCTCTAGTAGGTTCCAATGCCGGATGTCCGATATCATGAGCCTTAGGTACTCATCCCTATCGTGGATCGGTCACTAACTTAGCGATGTTCTCCTGTGTTTCTTCGTCACCCCCAGACACCAGCCAGGTGTGCGTCTTGCGCAGGTATCTTCTAGTGCGGGTTTCCTCCAAGTCCCGTCCCATCCTCTCCGCTCCATCCCTGACCTCGTCCACTCGACTTACGTGCTTTCCGTACAGAAGCTCCACGTCCATCGACCTTAGGGGCCAATCCATCTCCGAGCTGCTCGGGATGGGAGATTCGGGGAAACACCCTAATCGGGGAGACGAGGTGTACGGCAGACATGTTGCCATACGTCTGATATGGAATGCAACGGTATTAAAAAAACCCCCTGAAGCAGTCTATGTGTCGATGCCACCCACCCACCCGACCTTCAACCCGTCTGGCATGGAGGTGTTCGGCCGGTAAGCTGTTTCGGAACGGCATCAAGATCGCGCACGATCCCAGTTAGGACTCTGCTCCGGTGATTCGTGCCACAGTCCCCGTCCCCGCGAGAGAAGGGATGGAGTGCACTCGAAACTCGCCCCAGACGAGATGCGTTCGCCAAAGGGTGGGATCCCGAAGTCCCTCAATATCGTCTCCTGCAAATAGTGCGGCATGGCTGTGGCGAACAGAGGCGTGTGAGGTGGTACGGACGTACCAGACAGTAGAGACAGCGTCTGGGAGGGCGAGAATGAGAGCCAAACACGTCCGTCTTTTTGCGCTATCCCCATCACATACCTGCTGTGTGCCGAGTTGTCGGAGGCCGAGACGATAAGTCCGATGCAGAAGGTTCGAGAGAGATTTGGCATGAGCCGACTGGACAGCATCCAGGGAACCAGTATAGTAGGTGTGTGGACACGGGGCACGTATGGGAGTGGGAGAGGATGGAATCCTTCGGCGGTACGACCCGTCATCTGTGCCGCCTCTCTTGGATCCTTCGCCTCGCTACGTACAGGTACACGCTTGTGCTGTGTGGGGAGGGGAACCTGTGGTGGACGAGGTGGGGTGGCCATTGCGATGGAATGCGCCGAGCCGTTCGTTCGAGATTATTTGGGGGGGTTCGGGCCTCGCGACGGTGGGTGGATTGACACCAGTCGTTGAATCTCCCCAGACTGGTTCATCTCCCTTTGTCTCTGCAGGAGCTAGATCTGTCAAGAGCTTGGTCCTAGAGCCTGGTCTTAGTCTCTCGCTTTACTGATGCTTTCTTGCTTGGGTTTCGGTCGAAGCTTCTCTTGGAGGTATAGAAGAAGGGTCATGACCGAAACCGCGCAGGCAGCCTGCAACAGGCAACATCTGCCTCAGTTAGCATTTGCTTCTCATTTCTCTTTTTCCTTTCCTCCCTCCTCCGCCCCCCCACCTCCCTCTCTTCTTATTGCTCTTTCTCTTCCTTATTGCATTCCCATTGGGTTGCGAGTGCTAGCACACATTCATGTTAGTAACGTCGGTGCGATGGCGACAGAACACCCGGTCATAGAGACGTCAGAAACAAGGGTAACAGGGAAAGTAGTTGCATTCCAAGCCACCGTGTAGCATGTCCGCCAGTCCATAGATAATACACCGTCGTGCCACAGGAATCATAGCAAACCTCCGTCGGACCTCTCAATTCCGCCCCGCCCTCATAGGGGAGTATTCTTGGCTTGAGTCCAGAAATTCTCCATCTTCCTCTGTGCAAGGAACTCCCTCGCTTCTTGGTCGGTCTCGCAGACCTTGCTCCCCCATTTCTTAAACATCGGCACCTTGGCCTCGCCCTCAAAGACCAGCGCGCACTTGTTCGCCGATAAGTCCTTCAACTGGCCCTTCTCATCCTCGGCCTTTAGCCACTCCCTCATCGCGGCGCCATGGCCTCCTCCTGCAGAAAGACCATCCCTCTCCCGCGAGGGAAGAGACTCGGTCCAGTCGATGCGGTGGAGCATGAGCTTCTTGTAATTCTTGATACTGTGCTCGCCGCCCTCTACGACCACGACGTTGAACCTGGGGTGCATGATGCAGACGCCGGTGAGGCCCCACTGTGTCGCGTTGATGTTGATCTTGTAGCGGTGCTGGCCGTTGGCGAGGCTGCCGATCTTGAACACCAGCACATGGATGCCCTTGGACGCATCCTTGGCCTGGTTCGCAACAAGCTTTTCGTGCCGTTGCTCCTTGGTCAGCTTGCGCTCCTCGTTCTCCTGCATGTGCTTCTCGAAGCGTGCTGCAATCTCGCGGTTGACGCGCGCTTCGACGGCCGTCGGATCTTTGACCGCCTCCTCGCCGAGGACGCGCATCAGGTTGGATTTCTTGACCTTGGGCGGCGGTGCTGGCTCGAGACCTAGCCTGATCTTGGCTTGTTTCTCCTTGAGCTCCATCATGCGCCGCTGCCTCCGGAGCTTTTGCTGCTCCTTGGGCGTCAGGTACATGGGCTTGGGCTCTGGGGCCAGCTTATCCTGCGGCGGTTCGATGGCGACGGGGTGTTGGATGTAGAGCGTAACGATGCTATCTGGCGTCGTCAACTTTATGGAATGTGGAATGTTGCTGTAATCCTTCCCATCAATGAGCCCTTCATCCCACCATTCCAAGTCCGGAGGCGCCTCGAACACAAACGCCTTCTGGATATCCCGGTCTTCCTCCAACCCTGCCTTGCGAGCTTGCTCGGCAATCTTCCTCTTCATCTCCTCGAGCGCGGCCTGTCTCCGTAGCGCGTTGGCCTGCTGGATATACTTGCCCTTCTGGTTGAAGATCAGCTGCTTTGGCTCTCTTGCCCTGCCCGCAGGCGCGCTGCTCGTGTCCAGATAGGGGTTTGTCCGAGGGCCATCCTGCGTCGTCGTCGTCGAGAGCGCCAACGGCCTTCCTTTTGCGGCCTTTGCAGCATCTTGTATGGAGCGCTGGCCTACGGATGCCCTGACAGAGTCGCCCGGCTTGAGCGGAGCGTTGAGGTCGGCGAGAACGGGATGGAGAGGCGTGTTGAGCCCGCCTTTGGCCTTTGCGCTGCCAACAGCGGCGGCGACACGGGCTTTGAGGGCGGCCATTCGATCGGCAGCCGACTCGGGCTTCTGGACCCTCGATGCCGGGTCGTGGCGGGGCCCAAGCCCGCCGAGTTGATGGTTGCGATCCATGATCAGACCGCGTGCTGGTGCCGACCGCTTTTGTGATGAGGTCACGGTGTCCAAAGAGGAATAAACTTGACAGTCGGAGGTTGCAGTTGGAAAGCACGTCGGTTTTTCCCTCTGTGGCGATGGCGGCGCACTAACGTCGTTTAAGGCTGAAGCTGGGTAAGGTAGGGATGACTGACGCGCCAACAACCGACTGAGGTGATGTGAAGATGATGTTCAGTTACCACTACCTCGTTTGGGTAACGCTAACGGATGATGTCTGCCCGTACTGTGTACAGGTTGCCAAGCTCCTTGCACACAGCTGGGTGCCCCACATGCTCGGTAGCCGTGGGGTTCTGCCTATTTACACCGCCAAAAATTATTCTTGCTGCAACTTCGATTCGATGCTGGGTTCCCCACCGACCACTCTGCGGTTGCGAGAGAGCAACGTTTGCGCGCGGCCGAGTCTCGATATTGCAAACCTGCTGCAAAACAGGCAATTCCTCCTCTACGACGGAGAGACTCCCATGCTGGCTTGTTGCACGCAATTCACGTCCGCTTGCCCGGTATGAATATCGCGCAGCCGGTGGCGTCGGCGCTGGAAAGCGTCGAGTTCACGTTTCTCTCGGCCGACGAGATCCGTGCAATTTCTGTCAAGCGGATCGAGAATGACAGCACATTTGACAGCCTCCTGAACCCAGTGCCTGGCGGCCTATATGACCCGGCTCTCGGGACCTGGGGCGACTCTTTGTAAGGGGAACCATTGCTGCGCCACCTTGGTGGTGCTATGCACTCCCTCTTGCGCGGCAAGCAAACTGACCCGTTGTGTAGATGCCGAACATGCAATTTGAACCAGGCGCAGTGCCCGGGGCATCCGGGCCACATCGAACTTCCCGTACCCGTCTACCACCCTGTCTTCATGGACCAGGCCTACCGCCTGCTCCGGGCCCAGTGTGTCTACTGCCACCGGTTTCGCCTGGCGCGTCACGAAATTCATCGGTATATCTGCGTGCTCCGTTTGTTGCAGGTCGGTCTGATCCGCGAGGCTCAGATGGTCGATTCCTTCTCTGCCGTGGAATTTGGAGAGCAGCTGAGGAAATTGAAATTGAGCGACGTGCCCACGACGGAGGACGATCAGGCGGAAGAGGAGGGGGACAATGTACACGACAGTACCATGCGGGCCAGGGAAGCATATGTGCGCGAGGTCTTGCGGGCTCACAGATTAAAGGTCAACATGGGCGACATACGGAAGGGCAAACATGAGGGCGCTGCCGAGATGAGGCGAGCTCTCATCAAGGATTTTCTTGCGCAGATCGTCAAGGAGAAGCGGTGCCGAAGTTGCGATGGCATCTCACCCGTCTACCGTAAAGACCGTTGGGTCAAGATTTTCGAGCGGGATTTGACAGAGAAAGAGAAGGCGGCCATGGCGCAGGCTGGAAGGAAGCGCACGGACGCGCTCGCCCTAAGCAGGAAGGCCAAAAAGCATGACGATATCTCTCCTGGCGACGAGGGAATCGGCGATATCGACTCCTCATCCGAAGGTTCGGCGGGAGATCGCGACAGCGAGGGTGAGGGCGAGGAACTCGACGAAAATGGAGACGTGGTCATGACGGATGCCGCGGCCAAACCCCGACGTATCAAGTCCAAGTCCGCAGCACCTGCACAAAGGTATCTCAGCACTATGGAGGTACACAAGCGCCTCGAGTTGCTCTTCGAGCAGGAGCAGGAGTTGCTTTCCCTCCTTTACAACTCGAAACCCAGGCCCAGAGGCTCCAAACCTCTCACCGCCGACATGTTCTTCGTGACAACCCTTTTAGTGCCTCCTAACCGGTACCGGCCAGAGGTATGTACCAAGAATGACAGGAATGGTGACAGTGCACGCCCAACTAACAGCTATGAAACAGGCCCGTATGGGCGACGCTCAAATTTCCGAGGCGCAACAAAACAATCTCTACAAGATGATTCTCAGGAGTGCCTCCAATGTAGCGCAGGTTACTCGAGAGATCAGCGCCCAGAAGCACGAGGCGGCCGCAGACGAAGGTAGGAGAACAAGAGATATGAGCTCGCTGTACCAGGCGTGGACGGAGCTCCAGGATGCCGTCAACTCCCTGATCGACCGCGACAAGAACCCTATTCGAGGTGCGGCTGCCAAGCGGAATGAAGAGGGTATCAAGCAGAAGCTTGAAAAGAAGGAGGGTCTGTTCCGGAAGAACATGATGGGCAAGCGTGTCAACTTCGCCGCTAGAAGTGTCATCTCCCCAGATCCCAATATCGAGACCAACGAGATTGGTGTGCCTCCTGTCTTTGCCAGGAAACTTACGTATCCTGAGCCGGTGACAAGCCACAACTTCAAAGATCTCCAGTGAGTGATTCAGTGGTAAACTTCAACTGTACTTCGGCCATGGCTAACTGGGATCAACCAGACAAGCTGTTATCAACGGTGTTGGTACGTTCGAAGCTGATCGCCCCTCCTTGTGTCCGGGTTCCAGGAAATGCTGACACGTCCACTCAGACAAGTGGCCTGGCGCCGCGGCCATCGAGAACGAGAATGGCCAGATTATCAATCTCCGCGCAAAATCTCTCGAGGACCGTATCGCCCTCGCAAACCAACTGCTGGCTCCCACTGGGAATAACTTCAGCGGCACGCGGAATAAGAAAGTACATCGGCATCTCACCAACGGTGATGTGGTCCTGATGAACCGGCAACCGACTCTTCACAAGCCGTCCATAATGGGCCATCGCGTCCGGGTCCTGCCAGGGGAGAAGACCATTCGCATGCATTACGCCAACTGTAACACGTACAATGCCGACTTTGACGGCGACGAGATGAACATGCACTTTCCTCAGAACGAGATTGCGCGGGTCGAAGCGCTCCAGGTGGCGGACACGGATCACCAATACATCTCTGGAACGGCCGGAAACCCTCTGCGTGGTTTGATCCAAGATCACTTGTCCGTTTCGGTGGCGCTTTGCAGCAAGGATGTCTTTCTGAACCAGGGCGACTATATGCAGCTTGTGTACAGCGCCCTTCGGCCGGAGAGCGGGCACATCACGGGGGAGAGGATTGAGACGGTGCCTCCGGCAATCATCAAGCCAGTGCCCCGCTGGACAGGCAAACAGGTCATCACGACGATCCTCAAGAACATAAGGCCAGCCGACTGCGGCGACCTGTGGATGAATGGATCTGCCAAGATCAAGAGCAGCAGCTGGGGTAAGGACTCAGAAGAAGGCGAAGTGAGGTTCCGCGATGGCGAATTCATCAGCGGTATTCTCGACAAGTCGCAACTGGGGCCGAGCGACGGTGGCTTCATTCACGCCGTGCACGAAGTCTACGGTCCATCAATCGCAGGGAAACTGCTCAGCTGTATGGGCCGACTGTTGACGCGATATCTGGCCATGATTGCTTTCACCTGCGGCATGGATGATCTTCGGATGACACCGGAAGGAGAGAAGAACCGCAAGGAGACGATCAAGACTGCTTCGCATATTGGTCTCGAGGTGGCAGCCAAGTATGTCTCGCTCGAGGAACAGAAGCCCACGAAGGATGATCCGCTGCTTCTGGAGCGTCTGGAAGAGGTGCTCCGCGACGACAAGAAGCAGGAGGGTCTGGAGTTGCTCACGAGTCACGAGTTAGCCAAGCTGTCGACCGAGATCACCAAGCTCTGCCTGCCTGCCGGTCTCGAGAAGCAGTTCCCCAAGAACCACATGCAGTCGATGACGATTTCCGGTGCCAAGGGCACCCCCGTCAACGCCAACCTTATCTCGTGCAACCTGGGCCAGCAGGTTTTGGAAGGCCGTCGTGTCCCGGTCATGGTGAGCGGCAAAACCCTGCCCAGCTTCAAGCCCTACGACACCGACGTGAGGGCAGGTGGGTACATTGTTCAGCGCTTCTTGACGGGTATTCGCCCACAGGAGTACTACTTCCATCACATGGCCGGTCGTGAAGGTCTGATCGATACGGCCGTCAAGACATCTCGCTCCGGCTACCTTCAAAGGTGTCTGATCAAGGGCATGGAGGGTTTAAGGGTCTCGTACGACTCATCGGTCAGAGACTCCGATGGCACGGTCGTACAGTTCTTGTTCGGAGAGGACGGCATCGATATCTCGAAACAGAAGTACCTGAACGACTTCGAATTTGTTCTGCGCAACCTCGACTCGCAGCTGCCGCAGCTTAGGTACCACGAGCCTGGGATGCAAGCACTATTTGAGCACAAAGATGAGGTCATCAAACGGATGAAGAGCGCCATCCGGTCGAGCATCAGTCGCAATCCCCTCGACCCGGTAGCGTCAGAGCTCGGTCCAAGCGCTTTTGGCTTTGCGACGTCAGAGAAGTTCTTTAGCAAGATGATGGACTACGTCAAGGCCAACAAGGACGGCCTGATCAAGGAGAAGAAGGGGTCGGAGAGCCAAAAGGGCCAGATCTCTCGCAAGACCGCTGAAAAGATCCTGGCGGCGAAATACATACGGTCCTTGGTTGAGCCTGGCGAGGCCGTTGGGATCGTTGCCGGCCAGTCAGTCGGGGAGCCGTCAACACAAATGACCCTCAACACGTTCCATTTGGCAGGGCATTCGGCCAAGAACGTGACACTCGGTATTCCGCGTCTCCGTGAAATCTTGATGACGGCCAGCGCCCATATATCCACCCCGGCAATGACGCTCGTCGTCAACGAAGAGCTCTCGGCACAAGACGCCGAGAGGTTTGCCAAATCCATCAGCGTCCTCCCGCTTGCGCATGTCACCAAGGAGGCCGTCGTCCGGGAGCGGGTCGGGCGTGGCGTTGGCTACGCCTTGGCGAAATCGTTCGAGATCAGGCTACGCTTCTTTGAGGCAGAGGAGTACGAGAAGATGTATGCTATCGAAATCTCCGACGTGCTCAACACGGTGGAGAGGAAGTTCATCCCACTGCTCTCCTTGCTCACGCGGAAGGAGATCAAGAAGAAGCTTAGGGAGAACAGCGCTGCCACACCCCAGATCGGCGTCAAAGCGGGTGTCGTGGAAATAGCACCTAGCGCTGGGGAGAGTGGGACAGCCATGGACGAAGGTGACGACGAAGATGACGACGGAGATGGCGATGCCACGAGCGCCAAGGCGCGAGCGAACAGGAGCGAAGCAGTCTCGTACGGCCCGAATGACGACGATGACGATGCGATCCAGCAGCAGCTGCAGCGCGAGTCAGACGACGTCGAAGAGGGCGAGGAGAGGCTGGACTTCGTCGACGAGGCGTACGGCGGCAGCCCCGAGCCGGAGGACGATCTGGGCAGCAAGACCGACGAGGAGCGGTCACGGTCCCGGGAAGCGCGCATCAAGAACACGAATGAGCATGTCGCTCGCTTCCGTTGCGACGAGGTTGGCGGCGAATGGGTCGAGTTCACGCTCGAATTCGACGCGTCGATTCCCAAGATCCTCATGCTCAGCTTGGTCCAGGAGGCGGTTAAGAAGTCCCTCATCCAGCAGATCCGCGGGCTCGGGAAGGCGACGTTCGAACCAAAGGTGCAGAAGGACGAGCAGACCGGGGAGGAGCGCATCATCGAGATGCTCGTGCACACTGAGGGCTCCAACCTGCGGGCCATGCAGCAGTATGGAGACTACATCAATCCCAACCGGATATCGACCAACGACATTGCCCAAGTGCTTGAGGTGTATGGTGTCGAAGCCTGCCGTAACAACATCGTTCGCGAGTTGAGCGGGGTCTTCAGCGGCCACGGCATCGCCGTGGATGCGCGCCACCTAAACCTCATTGCGGATTACATGACGAGGTGGGTGGCTCTCGGGATGGCTCCAGCCTTTCAGGATCAGACTGGCTGACCATATTGCAGAAACGGCGGCTTCACGCCATTCAACCGGATAGGTCTGACGAGTAACGTGAGCCCTTTCACCAAGATGAGCTACGGTGAGTTCCTGCTCTCTCTCTCACACACACACACCACGTGTCCCATGTTTTGCCGTCCCTGCCGAGCAGATGCTGATACCTTCACCTTAGAAACCACAGTTGGCTTCCTCAAGGATGCTGTCCTCGACGGCGACTGGGACAGCCTCGCCACACCGTCGAGTAGGCTAGTGGTTGGCAAGCTCGGGACGGTCGGCACCGGCTCGTTCGACGTGCTGACGCGGGTGCCAACGGAGCACAAGATCGCTGCCTTTTAGATGCGCATTCGTTTCTTGATGAGACGACTTGTGCGTGAAGCAGGACATGGGTTGGCAGGATATGGAGGTATTGTATTGTACGAGTCAAGTGGGCAACATGTGTGCAAATACCACACGGTCGTGGATGGGCATAAACAGCTACCTTAGGTACATATACATGTACTTTTGATACAGTTACCTTAAGTTTGATATTGAATGGGTCACCGGAGTTTATTAAGCAATCCTAACCCTCCCGAGTCATCGAACGTGGCATTGGCAGTGGTTCTGTTGACAATCCCGTAGTGGGTCCGTTCGGTCCAATGTAACCTGCTGCATGTGCTCCACACAGTTTAATGCGGGGTTGCCGTTGCCGACGGCCCGGTCCTCGGCTCAACTCAACTGCAAACCATAAGGTTACCTACGGTAGGTATCCATGATGTTTGAGCACCTCCTATTTGGTAGGGTCTTTTATTGAGTCTTTGATTTGTATGCATACCTACCTTACACAACATCCTACAGGCTTGTACCGACAAGGGCGCACTTTAGATTGAACTCCAACCTGAACCTCGGTTGATTACTCGTACTGTGACCTAAACTTCAACTGCAGCTGAAACAAACCTCAGGTGCAGCAGTCCTTCAACAGCTTGCTTAAATTGTAACATAAACACGACTCGCGCATGCCCCTATCCCCAGCAACGATCCTCAGGAGCTCTCTTACATTGTCAGCAACTGCCATAATGGCCCGCCCTAAGATCACCCTCTACGTCGACACCGTCAGCCCCTTTGCCTACGAGGCGTATTACGTGCTGCGGGTGGGAGGCAACCCGGGGAGATGCTTGTACAGTGGCACTATGCTGACATGAGACAGCATGATCCGGTCTTTAAGAACTGCGATGTCACATACGTGCCCATCTTCCTTGGTGGGCTGATGCACAAGGTGAGAGACTCCTTTCCTCGTGGGCTGGAAATGCCCGGTCTACAATAGAGTTTAGTACTCTAGGTAGTAGGTAGTTATCTTCAGTACTGATGCCATAACAGTGTGGAAATACACCGCCCCTCAAGATCAAGAGTACTACCTACTACGTCTTCCCATCTCCCAAACCCTTCTCCCCTCCTCCTGCTCCTTTCTCCACCCAGGGAGATGAGACGCCATTAACAATTACCCTTACCCACAACAGACAAAGACAAGTGGATCAACGCCGAACGCCTGCGCTGGGCAGGCTATTTCTCTATCCCGATGACGACGGGCCTGCCGCCAGACTTCCCCGCCAACACGCTCCCGGTCATGCGCGCCCTCTGCGCGATCGCGGCCTCGGACACCCAGCAGGCTCAGCAACAGCAGCAGCCACGCCTGACGCGCGCGCTCGACGCGCTCTTCGCGAGGCACTGGGTGGACGCAGTGGCGACACACAAACCCGAGGTGCTGAAGCAGACGCTGGTGGGCCTGTTTGGCGAGGCCGAGACCGAGAAGAGTAATTCTCCCCCCATGCCTCCTTCGGTTTCCCTATTTCTGTCCCGCCCTTCTTGTTGTATTGTATTGTACATGTACTAGTACGATACAGTACAAGGCAGGGCCAGTTATGATGGTACTAGTAACTATTGGATGGTGGCTAACCGCAGGGCAACCGCAATAGTCCTCGCTGAAGCAAGTACGACGGGTAAGAAGGCCCTGCTCGAAAATACGGACAAGGCATTCGCCGAGGGTGCGTTCGGCTTGCCGTGGATGGTCTGCACCAACACCAGGGGCGAGACCGAGGGCTTCTGGGGCGTCGACCACCTCGGTCAGGTGGTTCAGTTCCTCGGGCTGCGCAAGGACGGGAACCCTTGGCGCGCTCTACTGTAATCTGCACTTCCCTATCATGTATTTCTTGATTGATTCACCATTTGTTTGTACACAGTACAGTCGACCGCCTGTTTGTTCGTTATTAGCGCCTGACTTGAAGACCACGGTTGCCCCAGTTTTCAATCTCAACATCAAACCGGCGAGTTCCTCTGTGGAAGGAAGGTATCGATGGGCAGAATATTTTGGATTTCTGCGGTATGCTCCATTCTCTTGCGCTGAATCAATCCTTTTCCGGCAGTTCTGCAGTGTTGTTGCGGAATTGGAGACATGGCTCCCTGTCGCCAGCTCCGAGCTAACAGGGGATGAACGGTACCTACCCCTTAAGTTACGTTTAGTTGCTCCAAGCCCTGGCATGGTGTTTGACTCTTGACCGGACCAGGGTGTCGCGTCTCTGCTCCCATCCGCTCATCACCGCAACGAATGTTTTTTTCAGACTCCACCAGGGAACGCGTCACGTAGCGATGATGCGCGTCTACGAGTATAATCGTGATCATAAAATCAGCGTAGTATTAGCAGCACCACCCCGCCGCTAGGTAATGTACACCGGAGAGAAAACCCATCGCAGTCAAAAACGCCGTTGTCCCTTTGTGCCGTGAATGACCCCTTCATCCATCAGAGCATCCCAAATGAAAAGTCATGACCACCCAACCCCAACTGAGCCAGCGCTCAAAAAGCAAAAGGAAAAGGCCAACCATGGATTCGCTTAGTTGCGCTCACCACGGAGGCGACGAGCAAGCTGGATATCCTTCTGTAGTGTATGTTAGCTAATGGCTCATGTAGTCGCTGATGGGTGGGGCGTGGCAACGTACCGACTGGATGGTGACGCGCTTGGCGTGGATGGCGCACAGGTTGGTGTCCTCGAAGAGGGAGACGAGGTAAGACTCGACAGACTCCTGGAGAGCACCGATGGCGGAAGACTGGAACCGAAGGTCCGACTTGAAGTCCTGAGCGATTTCACGAACCTGCATTGTGCGCGTCGCGTTAGTCGCGATCGATGACGAAACGCGATTGATTGAAATCGCGCCTCGGTCGCAGCGATGGCGCAAGCGACCGAGCAACTCTTGAGGGGCAAACGTACCAGGCGCTGGAAGGGCAGCTTCCGGATGAGAAGCTCAGTGGACTTCTGGTAGCGACGGATCTCACGAAGAGCGACAGTACCAGGCTTGTAGCGGTGGGGCTTCTTGACACCGCCGGTGGACGGGGCCGACTTGCGCGCAGCCTTGGAGGCAAGCTGCTTACGCGGGGCCTTGCCACCAGTGGACTTCCGGGCGGTCTGCTTAGTGCGGGCCATTGCGATTGATAGTTTGATGTGTGGTTGATGAAAATTGAATGTATCGCGATGGATCGATGGATGGATAGATGAATGGGTTGCAGAGTGGAGCGATGTAAGAGTGACGAAAACAGTGAGGGGGGAAGTGGTCTAAATAGGAATTCGAAGCGGTCAAAGCGCTGGCTGATTACGTGGCGAATTTTTTGAATCAGTTCTTTGCGCGCCTGCCGTTTTGCCTTGTTGCGTGCGGCCCAGAACAGGGGTCTGTTGTGTGGGTAATTGGGCTAGTTTCTGCACACGAAAACGGACTTGTTTTTGGAGGAAGATTGGCAACGCATTGCTATTATTTTGTTGATCTGACTTTCTATTGGTTCAAAATGCTCACCGACGCAAGGGCCAGCCGCGAGGATTGAAATGTGGGGTCACTGCTGCCACATTCTGGCCCGCAGCGAGCTACGAGCTACAGGCCCGGTACCTTACGTACTACGTACAGTTCCAGATCCGCATCCGTAAGGCTGGACGGCAAGTGCACTGCAAAGACTTCAGCCCACCAAGACCCGGATGAAACTGGGGTGGGAACACGATATGCAGTTGTAGCTCGACGGCGATAACAGTCAAAACCGGTGGCAAGTGCTAACCATTAACTGGAAGCGAAGCGAAAAGCGCCTTGACAATAAGCGGGGGTCCCAAAGGCACCTGTCACTCCATACTAATACTACGAACAGTAAACGTAGCACGGTGCTTTACCTTACTACCTGAGGTCAATGGTTATCAGGCAATGAATCAATGGAGAGTGGGATATTTCGTTGTCTCCAGATATACGAATCTATAGAGATATGTTTCCATGTAGCGATCCCTCATGCCATTCCAGGGAAACTACGGGTTATCTCGGGGTCGGTTGGAATCGTCGACCCTCGTATGTATTGTAGGTACCGTTCTGTGCCTGTCCTCCTTTCGCTACAACAGAAAACGGGTAATGGAAAGCAGAGATTCGAGCGGCGTGGGATACTCGCCGAAGAGTGTCCAACACGCAAGAGTAAGAGCACCAAGCTTATTAGGTGGCCTCAAGGGGTATGAGATTTGGCCCTCAGAGCCGGCATGGTACCTTATGACAGGCAGGGGACTCGGGGAAGTCCCGGCCACCTGTGACGACATTTCGAGATACAAGACTGGCAAGTTCTGGTATCGAGATGAGGTGCTGGTGCGGGTGGCATGGAAGTTGCGCCTGTAGTCGGCGCCTGGCCGAGCCGCGTTGCGCATGAGACCCTCTCCGGCCGGCGGCGAAAGATCAAAACGGTTCTAGCGGCAAGGTTGCTAGCCTTCCATCTGCATTCACAGACCAGTCAGAGCTTGTCACACTCTTGCCCACTAGAAAACAGGCATGTGTTCCATCTGTTTGTGATCGATGTGGGGCATATCGCTTGACCGTAGACGCGGAAGGCAGGGGTCGCGGGAAACGCGTTGGAAATCAGCCCGGAAATCAGCGCGATTTGATTTGCCTGCCAAATCGAATCGGTGCATTTACTATTAAAGGCGGCTCCCTTCCCCACGTTTCCCTCGAACCTCCTTCTTGCAACCCGCATCCACACAAAGCGTTACATCTTTCAGCGCCATTCCACAACCAACTTTCCACATTTATCAACATGACTGGACGTAAGTCGCATCACGAGTCCGTCGCTCGTTTGAACACCGTGCTAAATCACTTCTCTCCGCAGGCGGCAAGGGCGGCAAGGGCCTCGGCAAGGGTGGTGCCAAGCGCCACCGCAAGATTCTGCGTGACAACATTCAGGGCATCACCAAGCCTGCCATTCGCCGTCTGGCTCGTCGTGGTGGTGTCAAGCGTATCTCTGCCAGTACGTTGCATTCCCGCATCTCGTGCGCGTCCAAGGTTGTACGCGATTCTAACGCGCTCCTGTAGTGATCTACGAGGAGACCCGTGGGGTTCTCAAGACCTACCTCGAGGGCATCATTCGCGACGCCGTCACCTATACTGAGCACGCCAAGCGCAAGACCGTCACGTCTCTGGACGTTGTCTACGCCCTCAAGCGGCAAGGCCGCACCCTCTACGGTTTCGGTGGCTAAATGCCCTCATCACGACATCATGAAGTTTCTGCGCGCATTTTTCTCGCTATCGGTTATGGCTGGGCTACGATGAGTTTCACGGGCAATGGGTCTCTTGTTTTTTCTGGGTTCTGTACCATAGGGGCGGTCAACATAAGGTGTTTGCGTGGGTGGAAATACCAAAGTGTAATGGATGCCCTCTGCGGACGGCATTTCTGATCAATCATTGTGCGCTTTTCTGAATGTGCATGATATGTCTCGTCCATTGTGACTCAAAAGCATTGAGTCACGTGCGAGTCGTATGTGATCCAGGAGCGCCGGGGTCGGTTCTCCTGCGTTCGGGCACACAAGTTCCTTGCAGTTTGCAAGTGTGTGAGTCACGCATTTCCTGCGACCAGAGCGTCGCTCAATACAGTGCAACCATATACAGGTCGAACGTCTGCCTAGTGAGCTATCAGATTGGTGTGGCCCAGAAGATGGAGAGCCTTACCACAGTAGAGTCAGTTTCGAATATGATACATATAGATTCGGCTTGCTGACATCAAATGGTCCGATAAATGGTTGTGTCAGAGACGTACTTGAGACTTAGCACCCTTGTGGTGGTCAGCTCAGTGCTTACTTTTGGAATCACGCCCGCATTGCAAGCTGGGAGGTCAGGACACAGGCAGCACGACCCGTAGTGTCGGGGGCGGGGAGTAGATTAGTAGGTACCTTATGTAATTGTACCTACCTTAGGTTATCTGCTTAGGTATGTATTGCCCATAAACATTTCGGGGGAATTTTGTACCAGGTGATACCTTACCTCCCCTTCGACCTCGTTGGTACCTTAAGCTTCTGCTATCTGTCTGCATGGCTGGCCTTCATTGCGCCGTCTTCCGCTACGTCAGGGTGGGTGCACCGCCAATGCTGCAACAGACCCCTTTCCAGTAAGCGATGAAGAGCAGAGCAGAGCACGCTCACGTAAAGTCGATCCAGCCAGGCGATTTTATTTCGAGGTGTGCTATTTGCTCCACTGAGTTGAAAAAGATCCAAAGCCACAAGTAGCACCGACCTGGATACTATCTGAGTGGTTTGAATTCTAGCTTTGCCCTCTCTGTTGTTATTGTGCTCTGACGGTGAGTCTGTTTCTGTCGTAGGTCCGTTTGTCTCAGGATAGACCCAACCCATCAGCTCAACCGCCACTCATTGGGTATTCCGGCTTACGTCTGTCTCTCTTTCGTAAACACGGTGTCATCGACACCAGTGGTGGCTAATTCGCCGCCCTTTATATAGCAGTGTTAAAGGGTAAGGAGACTTTCCTGAAGTGACCTGCTCGTCGGTCTAGTCGTCACAAGTGCCTATCCAACCAGTTCGTGTCCGCCGGAAGTGATTCATGCCAACGCTCACGGTAGCTCTCCATCAAGGTGGCGGGAGCCGTGAAGAAAAGGAAAATAAGAAAAAGAAAAGAAAATCGCGGTCTAGAGAGGTCGTTTAGAGTACGAGAGCGGAGCAGTGACGGCGGTATATCCAGACCTGTATAGGGAGTTGACCATGGGTACGCATATGGACAGAACCTATGAGATAAAACTCATGTATTCTGGGCGCCCATGCACTCGCGGTGCCCGTGGGCTGTGGATGTTGACTGTACTATCCATCACTAGGGGCTGATTTTTCCTCGTTGCAATGACCCAGAGAGCCGCGCATGGTTCATCGTGTCTTTCTTTAGACGGCATAGACACTATGTAGATATCATCGACACCACCCATAGATTATGTGGTTGTTGCTAGACTATGCCCTGACGCTGCCAACTTGAACTTTGCAGCTAACGACTGAATGAGGATGAACTACTACCTGCCTTACGAAAACTGTCTTGTCCACTACCTCGCGCTCGCTCGGTTAGTCAGCACTTCATTCCGTTTATTAGTTTTCAAACCTACTGCATTGCCACCCTGACCTCTTCTCGGTAGATGGGTAACCTGCTGTGCTGACATCCCTTTATCAGACTTTCCCTTTCCCCCCGCCCTCCCCCCACCCCCCCCACCAAGCCCAATTGCCTTACACACCTTGCCACATGTCTGAGTCTCTGCGTGTGGCATTGACACACCAGTTCTCTGCCGACATGGCTTCGGCGCCAGGTTCAAGCTCCGCAACAACCTACGTAAACTGAACATGTCCTAGCTGAACATGGTGTTTCGGGCTGCCATTAAGGGTGATATAATGCCTGTGGCTGCCGAGGGGTTGACTGCCTACTTATTCGCACACCTGACGTAACGGAGGGCCAGGTGCGCCTGTAAGGCCCCGATACTTAAGGGGCACAGAACGAGAGCATTGGGTCTACACCCAGCATCGAACACGGGCAATCAGAGCAAGAGTCGATCTGGCATGTGGGAGTTTGGATTGCACTGTAACCAAAACTGTAAAACCTAGGTAGAGAAGGACGGCTAACTGAACATTCAGCCTATTTGTTCTCCTCTGGATTGCCTGAATACCGCATCAAAGGCCTGCATAAAACATGTTCGTATTCCTCGACACTTGTGTAATAAGTAGATCATAATGTGCTCTAGATACTACAACCTTAGATCGTACTACAATCAAACCTGGTAGAAAGCAGGTGTGAATGGGCGAATACACCGCTTTGCTGTCGGAGCTACTAATAGTGCTCAGCTGTGACATCGCATGACGCCCATTCTCAAGCCACATATAGAATACGAGGTCCAGCATCGCAGCTGCAGGCTTGGCCAACTCTTATTTTCGCCTAGCCTCGCGGGAGTTGCAACTCCATGGGTAACATGATTGGAGAACCAGGCAAACATCATGCTGCTCGATGAATGCAAATTGCAATGGCTCACCCAAGCTGAGAGGCAGATCCCCGCACACCGCACAGGCGGCCTAGAAATAGACATCGTACCCTCCCACGGCGACGTGTTGATGGGCCCAGTTCCCCGCGTCTCTCCCACATCGACCAGGCCGCTCAGAAACAAGAGGGAACAGCAAGGGCATACAATGGCCGTGAAATACACCTCGTCCATCCTAGCGATCATCGTCGCGCTCGCGTCAGCGAAGTACCTTCCACACCTAAGGACTGGCGGTAACTAATGGCATGCCAGCAGCCACCCAGGCATGAGCTCGCCTGCCTGCCCTGCCAAATCATCAAGCACCACAGTACAGTCAACCACATCGACATCAACCACGCCGGGCCCAGACACGCTGCCAGCATCATGCACCTACCGGCCAACAGCAACATGGTACGCCACCAGCGGGTGTGACATACCGTGCCCTACCTCGCCCCTCTGTATCGCAGACAGTCAGTGCACACCAGATCGTCTTGTTGAATAATGGTAGTTACTCTAACCAAGAAGCAATGCTGACTGATGTCTCGTACAATTGCCATTAGACTTCGTCGTGGTGCCCTGTGGATGCACCCGCGCCGCTGTAAGCCCAACGACCATCACCATCTGCCCGACGAAGGCGCCCTGCAACCAGTGCATGACTGGCTGGGGCATCGCGACTATTACCGAATCCAACTGCCCGCCGACCGCAACTGCCACCACGAGTACGGCTTAGCGGGTGGGACGGATGACGACGGGAATTGTGGGTTTTTACGAGCCGTGGCGGATGGCAATTGCCGGGCAAAGGAAGCACTTTGTTGTCTGGAGTGGGGCTTCGTCGGCGGTTGGATTAAGAAGGGGTTGTCCGCGCATCCCGAGGAGAGCGAGAGACCAAGGAGTAGGTCGCCATGAATCTAGTTCGTTGTGTAAGCAGTGAAACTCAACCATCATTTCAGCGCTGTGTGCCTCGGTGTTCAAGCGTCGGCTGAGGGAACGAAGAAGTGGAATTGGCCCGAAGTGTCCTTTCCTTCCAGGCCTCCTAGGTGCTTCATCTCCACCCGACTTCGGGTCCGGAGCATAGGTAACCTTAGATCACCGACCCAGTACCGACTAGCGAGACATTTCCACGGCGGGAATCCGGTAAGACTCTTGAGGCAGCGATGGCCATAACAACCGCATGCCGCTTGGCCGCCATAATGGACCAGTCCAGACCTGCGAGGTACCTTAGTTAAGGTGGTTCTGTCCTTGGACGGAGCTGGATCTGATAACCGCGCCTCAGCTCTCGAATGCTCTTTCCTCGTTGTAGACGCCAAACTGGAAGCCCATTTGTTTAGAAATGGTAGTCTCCGAGGCCACGAAGCATCGACCAGGGCTTCCCTAGCCAACAGCAAGAGCGGCCTGCAACTGGAGCTGCACGGCAGGACATACGTACAACTTTCAAACGCAAGGGCACGGGAAGCCAACTGTATGAGGATAAGATACAACTCGGCGCTTACCACTGGGCAAGTACGGTCTGACAGGAGGGAAGCTGCCTTGGCCATAAAGGAAAGAGAGTAAGAAAGAAAGAAAAGAAAGAGAAAGGAGAATAGAAACACCAAGAGAAAAAACGGGGGGAAGAGAACCAAAAACAAGAGTAAAGAGAAAGAAAGAAAGAAAGAGCCTGAGGGAACCTGCGATGCCTTAAATTCACTTTCGCGTAAGATTCTGATCAAGATGAACGACACGTGCCGCACGCGTGCTTGGTCGCGTTGGGGCTTTGGGGTGAGAGCAAGGCGCATCGTGAAACCTGTCACGGAGAATTTTGATTGGTCACACGCTGTAGCCACACCTTTCCTGTTCAGGCAACCCATTCGAACGCCTCACCTCCTTTTCATCAGCCAGCTACGGCCTGGCCACATTGCATTCCTGCGCCGAACAACTTGTTGGAATGTGTCCAAGCTTTCCCGGTTCATCCGACCTCCAGACATTGTGAACCCGCAGTTTATGAGCGGATTCCACCCGACTGCGATGCTTGTCAGGGCGGTTCCTAGTTGCTCCAGCTGTCGATGGAGACCAGCGACGCCTCAGAAGCAGTCGTGTTTCAGTTCCACCAGCCTCCATGCATGCCCTAGGAAGCATAACGGATTATGGCGACTGATGAACCACAAAGCTACAGGACGGCGACCGCCGACCGCACGACTCGGCCTACCCATCGATCGATCCTCAATCCCGTCACACCCAGAAGGACCGAACGCTACACGCAGAAGGACCGAGCAAGCAAGAGGTCTATCATCCTTTGGACGTGGCCGCGGGGCTAGATCTCGTGCCCTAGAGAACTCTGATTTCAAAGCTTGCGGCGAATTTGCAGACCACGAGAGAGGACAGTGGGGACGCATTTCGCCGCGATGGCTCCCGAGCGACCGTGGGCCTGTGTTTCTAACCTGACATCATAGGGAGTATCAGGACACACTGCATGGCATATCCATTTTCCGGACCGCTCGGTGTTTGTCGGTGTTGCGGTGAGCATCACGACGGCGGCCGGACTCCGGACTGAACGCGGAGGGCTGACAAGGAGACGAACGGGGCCCCGGATACAGCATCTGTTTCCCCGAGGGGAAATCGACCCAGAACATCTGGTGATTGCTGGGGATTTGGAGTATGTGCACGTTGTACGCTCTCGGTGCTTCTTCGTCTCGAGGTTGCAAGGGTTATCTTCGTTTTGTTGCTGTAAGCTCCGCCAGATCCGTTGGCAACGGCCCGACCTCGGGAATCACGTCACTCCACAGGGCGTGACGATGACAGCATAGCGCGCCTTGTTGGATCCATCGATTACGGGCCCTTCTCATGTCAACCATGCAATTGCCGTGACTTAGCGTCCAGAACTGCCGTGATTGATCTCTGAAGGGCACGTTAGCCTCAGGCTCACACCCATCCAAAGGAGGATCCCGGATCCCGGATCTTCACAGGAAGGCCCGCTGAAGGGCATTCCTGTTGTGCTGAGACCCTCAACCCACAACTTGATGAATTTATCCGCAACTTGCTTTGACCGCCTTCCTCCGGCTCTAAAGTATGATACTAGCTACTGTGCAGAATTCTAGTGAATGTACAATAGGGCATTATTTGTACAGAATGCCATTTCCGTTTCCTGCCAACATTGAGGGGCAGGCTGGGTTTGGCGCGGCCCGCGGGGTTGCAGCGTCTGAGCGTGGGGGTGCATCGTGGCCTAAGGCTAGAACACAAATCTCCTGCATATTGCACGGTGGGTCTGTGTTCTTGAACCGCACGACGTCAGGGTTACCAGGTACCAGGTAGGTACCTTAGCATGGAACCACCCGTTCTTTTCCTGGAAGTGTAGATCCAGGGTCCGACTTTCCATTGCTCTGCCCTGCGACGGCCTTTCCACGGGGTTACTGTGTAGCAGATGGCGGAAGGCATCACGGTATGGATATCGTGTCGGGCTCGGAGCATCCACTTTCGGCAGGACCGGTCTGTGCAGGCGCGTTCCTCTCGCTCTTGGTCCCATGGGGCTCCTCGTCTCTCGCGCCTTCCGTCTCCAGTCTCGTCATCGAGATGGAAACCCGCAGTCCTGCCCGGCTGACCACAAACCTGAAAATGTTCATAAAGGCAGGACTTCCTGTCACGTTCGGGCCTACTTGGAATCCTCGCCCGTCCCCTTCAAAGACTCGAACACTTGAATAATACAAACACAACCACTCGAGATCATACTTTGTCTGTCTGTCTATGCTTCCTTTTTATGAAGAAGCCCTTCGGCCGGTCAACTAGGTAATCTTTCCTCACTCACACTATACGGCGCACGAAAAACAACATGGCCTTCTCCAGGCAGCGTTCCCAGCAGGACGCCAGCCCTGATCCCAAACTAGCGGGAGAGATTGCGCCGTCACCAGCAGCCGCAGTTTCAGAGGAGAAAGTCACGGCCGCTGCCGTGTTCCTCGGTGTCGTCGCCAGTGTTGGCGGCTTTATGTTTGGCTATGTCAGGTACGATAAGATGCCCACGGCAGCATGGCCTCTCTTGGGCTTCCGCTAACAAGGACTACAGTGGTCAGATCTCCGGCTTCTTCGACATGTCGGACTATGCCGCGCGCTTCGGAGCACACAACCCATCCACGGGAGCCTATGAGTTCAGCGCCGCTCGTCAGGGTACCATTGTTGGCCTCCTCCCTGCCGGCTGCCTCATTGGCTCCCTGATTGCCGGCAACATCGCCGACTCCTTGGGCCGTCGCATGGCCATTTCGGTCTCGGCGCTCTTCTGCTGCGTCGGTAACATCATCGAGATCTCGTCAAACACTGTCTGGGCCCAATTTGCCGTCGGTCGCCTCATCACCGGCTTCGGTATCGGCGCTCTTTCGGTGGCCGTCCCTATGTATCAATCCGAATCGAGCCCTGCTATCATTAGAGGAATCCTCATTTCTACCTATCAGCTTTTCATCACGCTCGGCATTTGGACTGCGGAGATGATCAACTACGGCACTCACAACAGGACAAACTCGGCGTCGTGGCGCATCCCCAATGGTCTGTCCTTCCTGTGGTCCCTGATTCTCGGCCTCGGCATCCTCGCACTCCCGGAGTCGCCCCGCTATGCGTATCGCAAGGGCCGCGAAGATGAAGCCCGTCGGACCATCGCTCGCCTGGCGGGTCTCGATACGCACCATGCTGCCGTCAACATGCAGATTGACGAGATCAAGGCCAAACTCGACGAGGAAAGAGCCGGTGCTGAGACCCGCTGGTACGAGATCTTCACCGGCCCGCGCATGCTGTACCGGACGTTGCTGGGCATCATCTTGCAGGCAAGTGTCCCTCATCAAACACCCCTCTCCGTCAGCCTTTGTTTGCTAACTGTCAAACAGTCCGGGCAGCAGCTTACGGGAGCGAACTTCTTCTTTTACTACGGAACCACCATCTTCCGGGCCACTGGACTTAGTGACAGCTACGTGACCCAGATAATTCTTGGGTCCGTCAACGTGTTCTGCACATTCGGTGGTCTGTACGTGGCCAAGAAATGCGGTCGGAGGAACGCCCTCATCGTGGGCGCGCTTTGGATGATGGTGTGCTTCCTCATCTACTCGTTTGTCGGCCACTTCAAGCTCGACCATACCAACCCTGCGAACACGCCGGCTGCCGGCAACGTCCTGATCGTCTTCTCGTGCCTGTTCATCGCGGCCTTTGCCTCGACGTGGGGCCCACTCGTCTGGGCGGTCGTCGCCGAGCTCTACCCAGCCAAGTACCGCGCTCCGGCGATGGCCATTGCGACTGCGAGCAACTGGCTCTGGAACTTCCTCATCAGCTTCTTCACTCGCTTCATCACCGACGCCATCGACTACCTCTACGGCCTGGTGTTTGCCGGCTGTTGCCTGGCGCTTGTTGTGATTGTGTTCTTCTTCCTGATTGAGAGCAAAGACAGGAGTCTGGAGGAAATCGACACGATGTATCTCCTCAAGGTCAACCCCATCACCAGCAGCAAGTGGGACGAGAAGGAAGCCATGGCCCACAGCACCAGCACCAGCGGCCGGCAGTCGCGGCACACCGACCGCGAGGATCCTCTGGAGATGCAAGCGGTGGCTTGAGCAGGTGAATAGGGGCGGGATGTGGATAATGATGAGTATGAAAACGAAAAACGACCGAAAAGAAAAACAATCGATATTGCCTGGTGTCACGGAATCCCTTTTGATGATCACGTATCCTACACGGGCAGAGCCTTTGCTGTGGACCTGAGCTTGTACATACCTACGTTTGAAGCTTTCTTTGAAGGGCGTTGCTGGAGACGGCGGAAAAGGGGATTGCAGTGCCTTTTCTCTTAATACGAGGATAAAACCCCCAGGGTACGCGCAAGAGCTTGCCTGACATACTTAACCTTAGCTGGGGCACTGTACATTGGCCAGCTTTAGGCGTCGACTCTGGAGGCAGAAGAATCACCACTAAGTTTTGTTACCGTATCATTATGTTCGAGCTTATGCATGCTGGCGGTCAAGTCATTGCATTGGTAGGTTCCAGCCTCCAGCACCTATCATATCCAGGTTGACTTCCAAATGTTGTTGCAGTGATTTGTCACCTGACCAAGCAATACCTAGGGTGGTAGGTAATCATACTTCGGGTCTTCGCGCTTTGAATAGGGACCAAGAAAACATGCTGGGTGGAGGCGAAGGCGATTGATGAGCGAAAAAGAGCAGGGGAAAAGAAAGAAAACTTTTTCCATCTTCTCCCCTTTTGAGTTGCCACTTCTCTTGATGGGGAATCCATAATAACTAAATCCATTCCATAAGACCCTTAGCATGTTTCGCTGCATGCTTCTGGATTCTCGGCCAGGCTGCTCGGCAAGACTCCGGGCTCACTTGCGGCTCGGCTGCTGCGGCCGCGGCTGCTTCAGTCCCTCGGATGATCGACGGTGGGCCCGGTGATGATAGTGTACACCAATTTCCCCCCTTCTTTCTTGATTCTTCCATCCTCTATCTGCGGCGTCCTGTGCTTCTCTCGTCTTTGAGCATCTTTTCCTTTTCCTTCCTTCATGTGCTTATTTACTTTATTCGCAGCGTCATCCAGATTTGTGTATGTGTGAGGCGGGGTGTGTGTTGCTGTTACGGATTGTTAAATGCAACAACTTACCTCTACTATGAAGGTGGGCTCGTTGGAGACCGAGCATTTGATATGGTGGGTCCTTGAGGTTATATTCGGCTCCGGCCGGTGGGGGCTGGGCGGGTTTTTCACAAACCGTACGGAGGTACTTCCCTCCGTAGCTGTTCGTCAAGTGTATATTGGTTTTCGTCTGGGTTAGCAGCAATATCAAGCCGAAGCTATTAGGATTAGGACATTTCAAAAAAGATATATATACTATGTACTGGGCTGCCTTGTGAACTCAAGCACATGTATTGAATAATTGTACGTTCATCTCCAATGGGGGGCTTTTCGGTTTGTGTACCCCCCCAGCTTGTCGCACCCCGTCGAAATCTTTGCGATGCACCCTCTCTCTAGACGAAATAAGCCGTACCCTACATCTGTGGCAGCCTGGCAGCAAGGGATACTAGTAGTTAGATGCAATTACTATATGTTGCTAAGATGGTGTCTTCTTTCATTTTGACTCTTTTGTTTCTTGCCTATCTTTCTTCATAGCTTCACTTTCTGATCTTGTCGTTTCTTTTTCACTTTCCCCTTTCTGATCCTTCAGGATGGATTTTGCTTGCTTGACATCTTTCAAACTATCGAAGCCAAAACTGCGGCTTTTTCTGACATGGGGGGAGGCACCCAGCGTGTCCACCGGCTCGGCACTTCCCTACGTGTACCTGTCCTTGTCTCGTTACACTACATAGGTAATCCCGTTTCCTAGCGCCGGAGAAAGACTTGTTGGTCGGACATAAACAGGGCTGTGGCCTTTCTCGAGCTCACTGCTCAATTTTTTTTTCTTGATCGGCTGCCCCTGTGTTACTACCGGGCCTTCGCTAGCCGCAGCGGGTGGCTCGAGATGAGACTTCACCACGACGCTCTCGTTATCAGTCATGGGATTCATCACATTTCTCACTGACTCATTGTTTCCTTTATCAGGCATGTTGGCTCCAATGGATATGGAATATATGTATTGGAAGTTGCAAGACTTGAGATATACCTACATATTACGCCTTGTGAAGTGATCAGGTCATTGCGGATCCACCCGTGGTCAAGTTTTTTTTTTCCCCCTCGTCTACCTCTTCCGGGCATACGAAGGCATACACTACCTGTGTGTGGTATTCCACACACCGTTTCCACTTCTTCCCCGTCCTTCCCATCGCCTGGGCTGTTGCGCCTCGTCTGGTCTCTTGGCCGTACGCAAAGCATCGCACGGTTGGGACTCGCCGTACTACCCCGGGCCTGTACCCCGACACATCAGCCCACGCCTGGACCTTTCTCTGGCCCTGTGGCTTTCTCTCCGCAGACAGAGCGCTCCAAGGCGGCCTGAGGGGCGGACAGTGTGAGAAGAGAAGCGAGATAGGCCCGATGAAGGCCACCGAGACCCGGCCGCCCTCCCCGGTCGGCTACTCCTCCGGGAGGACGTCGGCGTCGTGGGTACCAGCGGCGAGAAGATGGTGAAGCCGGATGCCATCCCGGGGAAGGGCGACAACAACCCCAACAGCGACGCCAGCTCGGCACAACAGGGCGAGCTGCAACGGCAGCTGTCCGGGAGGCATCTCAACTTCATCGCCATCGGCGGCACCATCGGCACGGGCTTCTTCCTGGGCACCGGCACGGCGTTGGTCAAGGCTGGTCCGGCGGGGTGTCTCATATCGTACGTCTTTGTTGGGACCGTCTTGTGGTCCGTGATGGTGTGCTTGGGCGAGATGGCTACGTATATCCCGACGGCGGGCGCCTTCTCCATCTATGCGTCGCGCTTTGTGGACGACAGTTTCGGGTTCGCGGTGGGGTGGCTATATTGGTTTGCCTGTGAGCCTTTCCTCCCCTTTTTTCCGGAACCCGTCTGATCTGCTGTGGTCGGGACTGTTGTGAGTAGAAGCTGACGGCGCATTCGGATTGGAAAACAGGGGCTACAACATACGCTCTCTCGCTCACCGCCGCGGGGCTCATCATCCAGTACTGGAACCAGAGCTTCAACATCGGCATCATTATCGCTATCTTCTGGGTCGTCTTCACTATCGTCAACTACCTGCCCGTCGGTATATACGGTGAGCTCGAGATGTGGCTGTCCAGCCTCAAGGTCATCACCATCGCCGGCTTCATCGTCTTCGGCATCTGCATCGCGGCCGGTGTTGGCCAGGAGGGCGTGCTGGGCTTCAAGTACTGGCACGACCCGGGCGCCTTCAACGAGTACCTCGCGCCCGGCGGGGTAGGGAAGTTTGTCGGCTTCTGGGCCGTGATCATCCAGGCCGCGGTCGCGTACCAGGGCGCGGAGCTGGTTGGTGTCGGCGCAGGCGAGGCACGCGACCCCCGCAAGACGGTCCCGAGCGCGATCCGGGTGTCTTACTGGGGGATTATGAGCCTGTTCGTGGTGACCATGTTCCTCATCACCATGACGGTGCCGTCCAACGACCCCGGCCTGCTCGGTGACTCGTCCAACGCATCCGCCTCGCCGCTCGTCATTGCCGCGCACCGGGCCGGCGTCAAGATTCTCCCAGACATCATCAACGCCGTGCTGCTGACGGCCGTCCTGTCCGCGGCCAACTCGAACGTCTACTCGGGCAGTCGCGTGCTGGTGGCGCTAGCCGACGAAGGCCAGGCGCCCGCGCTGTTCAAGAAGACGAACCGGCACGGCATTCCGATCTATGCCGTCATCGTAACGGCCGCCTTTGGGCTGCTCGGGTTCCTGAACCTGTCGGCGGACGGCGCCAAGGTATTCAACTGGTTGCTCAACATCACCGGTGTTGCTGGGATGACGACCTGGACGAGCACCTGCGTGTCCTACCTGGCCTTCATGCGCGCCCTCAAGGCGCAGGGGATCCCGCGATCCGAGCTGCCGTATGTGTCGCGCTTCCAGCCCTACACCGCCATATACGGAGTCTTCTTCAACGTCCTCATCACTCTGACGCAGGGCTTCACCGTGTTTATGGACTGGGACACGAGCGATTTCTTTGCCGCGTACATCAGCCTCATTCTCTTTGTCGTGCTCTGGGCCGGGCACAAACTCTGGTACCGGAAACCGATGGTTGACCCGGCCACTGCCGATCTTGTCCGGGGACGCTATGACCTGAACGAAGAGCGATTGGCCGCTGATGGCGGAGTATGAGAAATCAGGACTGTCGGGTTCTCGCGAGAACGGGAAGCCGCTTGGCTCGAAGGGGGTTCCTGGGGTGGTCGAGTCCGGGAGGCTTCATTATAACGCCGGCCAACCTGCAAAGATGGCGTGGTCGATGGCACGAAAGTTGGCGATAGGAGCTTGTTCGCTTAATGATATATGATATTTTTCTTCACTCCCCCGACATCGTTTCTCCCGCTCACAGAACCATGTTCCAACTGACCCTCGTAGTTGTCATGGTCACAACAGTGCCAACAACATGGGGGGCAGGAACCAGTTGTGCCAAGACATAGGCCACCGAAAGCCTCAGCCCACGGGTCATGCTAACTAAGCGTGGAGCTTTGCAGCGTCTTGGAGGAGCCAACGCGGGAATTTCGTATAGGGGGTTTCATTAGCAAAGTAAGGTCAGTCAAGCAACCCAGAGATTGCGGCAAGCATTGCTGTTGTTAGGTAGGCGCACACCAATGGCACGGTTCGTCATCTTAACCAACCCATCTCCAAATTTTGACCACGGTGCCTAACTTTAGCTCCAGGGGGGCAAACACCCAGAACCACATGGTTGGACTCATGAAGGGGAGATAACAGCAAACTGTGGTCAGATAAAAAGCCCTCGGCATCGCCTCACAACTTCTCGATGTGGATTTCCCACTCGGGGTTTTGGCATCTCGATGGCACAATGGCTCGCCGGATAGAAAGAGCGGTGCAAGTGAGCCGAAATCTCGACGACAGAAGACCACGTATATGGTATGGGATGATTCTGGAGATTTGCAGACTTGCCCGATGTATGACGCAACTGTAGGTTCAATGGATGTCAGCCAGGCGAGCCAGGCTTGGCCTGTATCCGTATTGTCCTGTGTGAATCGGACTTTGAACCAAGATCGCAGACAGCCTAGGAGGTCGGTCGTCCTTATCAAGCCTGGGGCACGTACCATATCATAGATGTCATTGCATTGTATTGTACTAGGCAGTACAATACATAAGATACCCTTGAGTCTTTACTGCCGTTTCCATCAAGTTGCTTTTGTTATTAAGCTGGTGCGGATCTTCAACAGGGCTGCAAGGGTTGCTGTCAACCGATGCCCCGCCAGCATGCCCCGCCAGCCATGAACCCTCTGTGAGTCTCCGACAACGGCAAAGTGTTCCTTCTGAATCTCACTAGTCCTTGAGCAACGAGAAGGTGCACTGCCGAGATACACACATTGTTACTGGCCCGGGGACTGAGATCATATGACTTTCAAGTTCATAGCATGTCCTATGACCTGGTAGTATGCACGATGCCTTACCTTAGCTTCTAGGCTCCGCTGTTGCTAGAAACTCGCGAGACATGAGAGAGTGATTACGTGGGGCCCAGTAGTTCGCGCGTAGGCTTGTTGCGAAGGCTCATCAGTTGCAGTCGATCAAGGACGTCATAAACCCACATGGGGTAAGGCCAGATGAAATCAGAAGACATGTTTCAGGCGACGTTGCTGACTGCGTGGCAAATGTGGTCGGCGTTGACCTGATGCATTGCAGCTACCGTGTCGTGGCGTAGCGTACTTGTACCTACATTACCATACAAAAAGGTCCGCTTAAGTTTTTTTCCCCGCGGGGCAATTCCGAATCCAACACTACCTACTACTAGTTTAATAAATTGCCCACCCACGATCCCAGCCTCCGGGAGAAACAAACACAAGCAAGCCGTTCTGCTTCCCATTGTCAACTTCGCACTCGCATGTCGGGCCCAATTCACCATCACGCACATTCTGAGAACCATGGCGGGCCCCAGCGGCTCTGATCCCACGCGGATAGCGATTCTGGGCAAGGAGGACATTGTCGTCGATCACGGCATCTGGCTGAGCTTCGTGACTCACGACCTGCTCCAAAACATTCCCTCGTCCACTTATGTCCTCATAACCGACACAAACCTGTTCCAGACATACGTGCCGCCATTCCAGGCTGTTTTTGACAGTGCCGCTCCAAAAGATGCTCGCCTCCTCACCTACGCCATCCCGCCCGGCGAGTACTCCAAGGGTCGCGAGACAAAGGCGGACATCGAGGACTGGATGCTGTCACAGGCGTGCACTCGCGACACCGTGGTTATCGCCCTCGGCGGCGGCGTCATTGGCGACATGATTGGCTACGTCGCCGCCACATTCATGCGCGGCATACGATTTGTGCAGGTTCCAACGACGCTGCTCGCCATGGTTGACTCATCAATCGGAGGCAAGACAGCCATCGACACGCCCATGGGCAAGAACCTGATCGGTGCCTTCTGGCAGCCCCAGCGGATATATATCGATCTGGCCTTCCTCGAGACGCTGCCCGTGCGCGAATTCATCAATGGCATGGCCGAGGTCATCAAGACGGCCGCCATCTGGAACGAGTCCGAGTTCGCCGCCCTCGAGGAGAACGCGCCTGCCATCCTCGAAGCGATCCGGTCCAAGGGTTCGAGCCCCTCTGCCCGCCTCGCGCCCATCCGGCACATACTGAAGCGCATCGTTTTGGGCTCCGCACGCGTCAAGGCTGAGGTAGTCTCTGCCGATGAGCGGGAGGGCGGGCTCCGGAACCTCCTCAACTTTGGCCATTCCATCGGCCACGCTTACGAGGCCATCTTGGCCCCCCAAGTCCTTCACGGCGAGTGTGTGGCAATAGGAATGGTCAAGGAGGCAGAATTGGCACGCTTCCTTGGCGTCCTTAGGCCTGGTGCTGTTGCCCGTCTGACCAAGTGCATCGCAGCCTATGATCTACCAACCTCGGTGCACGACAAACGGATTGCAAAGCTGTCAGCCGGCAAGCAGTGCCCGGTCGATGTGCTCCTGCAGAAAATGGCCGTCGACAAGAAGAACGAGGGCCGCAAGAAGAAGATCGTGCTGCTCTCCGCGATTGGCAAGACGCACGAGCCGAAAGCCACTGTGGTCGATGATCGTGCCATCCGGATCGTGCTCTCTCCGTCCATTCGGGTCACCCCGGGTGTCCCCGAGGGTCTCACAGTTAGTGTGACTCCGCCGGGTTCTAAGAGCATCTCCAACAGGGCCCTGATCCTGGCTGCCCTCGGAGAGGGAACAACGCGCATCCGCGGCCTCCTTCACTCGGACGACACACAGTATATGCTCACAGCCATCGCTCAGCTGCAGGGAGCCACTTATTCTTGGGAGGATGCCGGAGAGGTCTTGGTCGTCAAGGGCAAGGGAGGCAAACTGCAGGCTAGCGAGGAGCCTCTGTATCTGGGTAATGCCGGCACCGCGTCGCGCTTCCTCACGTCTGTCGTGGCCCTTTGCTCGCCATCCGCCGTTTCTTCGACTGTGCTGACGGGCAACGCACGGATGAAGGTGAGACCCATCGGGCCGCTTGTGGACGCACTGCGCGCGAATGGAGTCGGTGTCCAATATCTCGAAAAGGAGAAGAGCTTGCCGGTGCAGGTGGATGCCAATGCGGGCTTTGCTGGCGGCGTGATCGAACTGGCTGCCACTGTCTCGTCGCAGTATGTCTCGTCCATTTTGATGGCTGCCCCATACGCGCACAAGCCAGTCACACTCCGACTCGTCGGCGGCAAGCCGATCTCCCAGCCGTACATTGATATGACCATCGCCATGATGGCTTCGTTTGGCATCGAGGTGCGCAGGTCACCGGATGACCCCAATACATATCACATCCCCCAGGGGGTGTATAAGAACCCGGCCGACTATGCCGTTGAAAGCGACGCCAGCTCGGCGACCTATCCCTTGGCCGTCGCAGCCATCACCGGCACTACCTGTACCATTCCGAACATCGGTTCCAAGTCGCTGCAAGGGGATGCCCGTTTCGCCGTTGAGGTACTTCGACCTATGGGCTGCACCGTTGAGCAAACCGACACCTCGACAACTGTGACCGGCCCGCCGATTGGAACGCTCAAGGCCATCGAGCATGTCGACATGGAGCCCATGACGGATGCTTTCTTGACTGCCTCTGTGCTTGCCGCCGTCGCCTCGGGGACCACGCAGATAACCGGCATTGCTAACCAGAGAGTCAAGGAGTGCAACCGGATTGCGGCGATGAAGGATCAGCTGGCCAAGTTTGGTGTCCAGTGTAACGAGCTCGAAGACGGCATCGAGGTCACCGGGAAGCCGTACGGTGAGCTTGGGGATCCAAGCGAGGGCATCTACTGCTACGACGACCACCGTGTCGCCATGAGCTTCGGCGTGTTGTCGACCATCTCACCGCATCCGGTCCTCATCCTCGAACGTGAGTGCACCGCCAAGACGTGGCCGGGATGGTGGGATACCATGTCTCAGGCCTTCCGAGTGCAGCTCGACGGCGAGGAGGATCCGACTGTGAAGGACACGGCGCAACCTTCGCGCTCAGGCACGGACAAGTCTATCTTCGTCATTGGAATGCGCGGCGCGGGCAAGTCGACAGCTGGCCGCTGGATGTCCGAGATTCTGAGAAGACCACTCATCGACCTGGACGTGGAGCTGGAGAGACGGGAGGGGATGGCAATCCCGGAGATCATCCGTGGGGAGCGCGGCTGGGAGGGCTTCCGGAAAGCCGAACTCGACCTTCTCGAAGATGTCATGAAGAACCAAGCCAAGGGGTACATCTTCTCCTGCGGTGGAGGCATCGTTGAGACCGACGAAGCTCGTAAGCTGCTCATATCCTACCAGAAGAACGGCGGTTGTGTGCTACTGGTACATCGCGATACCGACCAAGTCGTCGAGTACCTAATGCGAGATAAAACCCGTCCCGCATACTCGGAGAACATCCGTGAAGTTTACTACCGCCGCAAGCCGTGGTTTGGGGAGTGTAGTAATTTCGAATACTACAGCCCGCATCTGGACGGGTCCGAGGTTCTGCTTGAGCCGCCAGCCGACTTCAGTCGGTTTTTGTCCGTCATCTGCGGCCAGGCAGCGCATTTTGAGGAGGTCCGCAAGAAAAAGCACTCCTTTTTCGTTTCATTGACCGTGCCCAATGTGGCCACTGCGATGGACGTAATTCCTAGGGTGGTTGTGGGTTCTGACGCCGTTGAACTGCGCGTGGACTTGCTGGAGAGCTATGAGCCGGAATTTGTCGCTCACCAGGTTTCTCTCCTCAGGTCCGCGGCGAAGGTCCCCATCGTCTACACGATCCGCACAGCCAGCCAGGGAGGCAAGTTCCCGGATGACGAACACACGCTGGCTCACCAGCTGTACCAAGTTGGCCTGAGGACAGGTGTCGAGTATCTCGACCTGGAGATGACCATGCCGGTGGACATACTCGAAGCCGTGACCGAGAGCAAGGGCTTCACGCGTATCGTGGCGTCCCACCACGACCCCCATTGCCAGCTCTCGTGGAGGAACGGATCCTGGATCCCTTTCTACAACAAGGCGTTGCAATACGGCGACGTGATCAAGCTCGTGGGCGTGGCGCGTGAGATGGGTGACAACTTTGCCCTTACGAACTTCAAGATGAAGATGCTCGCCGCCCACGATAAGCCAATGATTGGGTTGAACATGGGCACGGCAGGCAAGCTCAGCAGAGTGTTGAACGGCTTCATGACGCCAGTCAGTCACCCGGACCTACCGTCGAAGGCGGCACCTGGACAGCTGTCCGCGGCAGAAATCCGACAGGCCCTAGCGCTCATCGGCGAGCTGGAGCCAAAGTCATTTTATCTCTTCGGCAAGCCGATCAGCTCCTCCCGGTCACCCGCCCTCCACAACACGCTCTTCCGCGCGACTGGGCTGCCGCACCAGTACGGACGCTTTGAGACGGACAACGTCAACGACATCCGAGACGTGATCCGCTCCCCCGAGTTTGGTGGCGGCTCGGTGACGATTCCCCTCAAGTTGGACATCATGTCCCTCCTGGACGAAGTCACCGACGCTGCGCGGGCCATCGGCGCCGTTAATACGATTATCACGGTGCCCTCGGCAGATAGTGGGAAGGCCACCCTCCTCGGCGATAATACCGACTGGAAGGGCATGGTCTTCTCGCTCCGCTCGGCCGGCCTGATCCAACGCACCGAAGCACACCCCGGTGCGGCCATGGTCGTCGGCTCGGGTGGAACCACTCGCGCCGCCATCTACGCGCTACACTCGCTGGGTTATGCGCCCATCTACGTCGTTGCGCGGACCCCGGAGCGGGTCAAGGAGCTGGCCGACGGGTTCTCGGCCGACTACAAGATCCAGCACCTCGCGGCGCCGGACGAAGTGGCGGCGCTTGGGCCCCGCGACGCGCTGCCGACCGTTGCCATCAGCACCATCCCCGCGGACAAGCCCGTCGATGCTAGCATGCGCGAGGTGCTGGTTGCCGCGCTGCAGGGCGGCGGCGCGGCGGGCAAGAGCAAGGGCGAGCCGCGCGTGCTGCTCGAGATGGCGTACATGCCGAGGCACACACCGCTGATGCAACTAGCAGAGGATGCGGGCTGGACGACAATCCCCGGGCTGGAGGTGCTTACGGCTCAGGGGTGGTATCAGGTACGACCATTTCCCCCCTCTTTTACCTTACCGTTCTACTCTAGTGAATGTCGCTAATGCGGTGACATTGTCGCAGTTCCAACTGTGGACGGGTATTGCTCCGCTCTATGCTGATGCGCGGGCTGCTGTTATGGGCAGTGAGTCGGCGTAATAAGAGCCTAAGGGGGCCAGGGGGTTGGTGTATCGGGGATGTTGTCATTGTTAGTAGTCATTGAGCTCATTAGGCTTGACTTGGCCATATCAACTCCGTCGAGGTGTGTGTGTAGGGTTGTTTGCTTTGAGGGATATGGATGTAGACACAGCTCATTTTATTACACCTCCGGTGATTTTCCCAAGTACGCTATCACCCAGCTGCCATTGAATTTCAGTCCATGAGGTTAAGGCGACCCGCGTCTCTGTCGTCGCAGCTCGACATATCCGCGTCGACGGAGGGAGCTGAGGTTTGACCAATGCGTGATTACCAGGTCTGGCTCTCGGTCGCCCCATATCAGGACCCCAACCAGAGGGCCGGGTCTTACCTCCGGTAGACACCCTACGGATTGGGTGCAGAAGCTGTGTTTGGGTTACTTTACGCGTAGGCTCGGATGTTGAGTTTTCGGAGTTTATCGCTGCGCCGCATGCATGCATACATGTGTGCATGCTGCTGTGTCCCATGTCCCCGGTTCTACACCTGTGCGCGAGCTCTGAAACAAAAAAAGAGAAAAGTGGGAGGCCGTGCGGGTAGGGCCGGATGGAGTCGGTGGGCTCGGGAGCACGCCCTGGGGGTGGGGCTTGAAAACACTGGATTCCAGTCCAGCCTGGCTGATTCCATATGCACGCTGTAAAATCTTCCCCCAATGTGAATATGGTGGTGCGTATTAGCTAGGTATTTGTCAGACACGAGAAACCGCTGGAAGAATGTCATTTACCTACATACAGTAGCAGAGTAGATACCGGGTATGTTTTGTCGTTTGTTCAATGATCAAAGAAATGGTTCATTCGGACAATCCTGCCCTATTTGGTTCTCTAGAGTTACAAACCGAGTGAGTAATCAGATTATATGTAGTTTCTCGCGCGCACTGCGAAGGGCTTGCTGCCAGGTTCGGGTGACCACACCACTGGACACAAACAAATGACGGATGCACTGCCGCTCTGGCCTGCCGGCCACGCCGTGGAGACAAGAGTGTGTTGTTCGGTGATATCTCGTGTTTTAGCAGGTGTATTAGTGCTACTGGCAGCGAACTTGGTGTATGGTTTACTATGTACAAGTACGGATGTACAGTAGGTTCGGCGTTTGCGGGAAAAAGCCAATCCGTGGCGCAGCCTTCAGAATGTCAAGGCACTGTGAGCAAGACAAAAACTGAATCGAAGCGCATTGGCTTCCAGGAGCGATGTTAACGCTATCATATGGTTGTCAAAAATCGATCGTTTGGTCGCAACCCGGTGGAACAATGAGAAACTGGGATCGGGGCCGGGGCTGTGTCCGTCAAACTAGACCCTGTAGCTGATACAGTTGTACGCACTGTAGGTACGGTTGTGTAGAAATTTTCGATCGGCGTCTTCCGAGAGCCCACCCAGATCGCTGCGCCTTACCCGAGTCCCTTAAAATTTGTCCTACACTACTTTTGGAGTAGCTCGCTCTTCTGTTGACCCGGCCTCGGCAGCCCCGGCTGCGGACGGGCAATCGAGACCTGCATTAGCGTGCTGCCGTGCAACACCAGAGAGAAGTGCATCTCCGATGCAGGACTTTGGCTTCGCAATACTGGAACTTTCCTGCAAAGAACGAAAGAAATTTTGTTCCCATAGCTGCTTCTGTTGGAAGCCCGCGCTTTCTGGCCGGTGTTCAGAAATGCAGTACTCCGGTGACCCGGTCCAGCAGGTCATTGGCGGATAGATATGGCAGCCGCTTGCAATGTTCCCAAATACTGCCCGTCCATACTGCCGTAGGGTATAGTTAGACCGCAGTGGTCGGCCGCAGCTACGTTTGGGAAGAAGAGCCCTTGCTGAGCTGAGCCTGTCGATAACCACCTGACCTGCAAGCTACTACTACTGTGTACTGCGTGTATGGACCTCCGTGTCTAAGGTACCTCGTTGTTACGCACGCAGCTGTTCTGCCGTAAGCCTCGCCCAACGGTCGACTCCAGCGAGCTGGGACAGCTGGAGAAAGATCTGCAACAGATCCATCCCCCGCGTTGCGAAGGGCTGCCTCTTGCGTGCGATTGGCAGATTGATCGACAGAGTGGACCCCGTCCGATCTGCCGGTTGCACAGCCCATGGGCATCCATGGGCATGGGGTCTGTCTTAGGCAAGCTCCGTGATCAAACGGTTTTGTCACTGTTCGTCGTGGGTTCTGGTCAATCAATCATTCCCGCAAGCTCCAAACCCTTCTTGCCGCGTCCATTGAAAGCTCGAGTAGAGATTCGACAACAACGTTCTAGATTGTAATTAAGCGATGCCAACTATAGATATGTCAATGCGACGTGTGGATCTGGTGCGGCTATTGTATCCGTACTGTACCGGTCCACATGTAGCTTGTATTTGGGCCTTATTTCCGGAGCATACCTCAAGCTCTCCTCCATATTGGGTGAATAATAAACCGCTCGCGAGGCGATCGCATCCTAACCAAGTCCGTGCGACAGGCCAATGATCTCTCCTTAGGTGTGTGAACAAAAGTAGTTTGACCAAGCCACGCTGAGAATTACAAAGCAGGCCAAAGAGTCTACATTGGACTAATACTTACTATACCTTACTAAGGGCGTGCCAAAACCCGGGGATTCGAATCCGAGGCGGGAATAAGAAAAGTCATATCGCCGAGTCCGTGCACTCCCGTAGTACCATACCTACACTACAGCGCGACCAAGCGAAGAGGTCTGACCAACCTAATGCAAATGCTATGTCGCTCAAAGTCTCGTGAAAAGTACCTAAGAGCCTAACTGCTTAGGTGTCGGCAATGGTGGGAATGTTCTTTGTCAATTCGTAGAAGCAGTTGGAACACCCCGTTGTCGCTTGCCCGTCACATGTCCAACATGAGGGATGGGGAACGCTGACTCGCACGGACCATTATAGGTTCCCTCGATATGTAAGCATTCCGCAGTACGCGTCTGCCTACAACCAATTGGAACAGCACTTGCTGTTTAACGTCCATGTGATTATCACGGGACAAAAGACGATATAGCGCACCACGTCTCGTGACAGGTGCAGGGCGCTGTCCGATAATAGCTCCATGCTAGACTACCAGGTACATAGTAATAGCTCGAGCCTAGGCACATCGGCAAAGGAAGCCGAATACTTCTCGTGGGATTGCTGGGATAGGAACAAAGAGCAGACCGGCGAGAAACGGAGTCGAAGTTTCCGAGTCCGACTCTGTTTGACTCGCGGTGATCTTGATTGGCTCGGAGGTCACTCTCCCTCCAGTGCTAGGTACCTGGTACTAGTAACACACCCTCCCGCGTACGGTAGTGGCTGCCACACTATACAGTGCGCCCGTACAGTACATGCAACGCTCAGCGGACATGGACCGGGACCCTGCAAGTGCTGCCAATCAAGGCTTAGCGCAGGGTCTCAAGCGTCCAGCATGACGTAGTGAGGTGAATAAAGTGTGAAGAACACACCACTACTGTACGACGTCCACGGTCATTACCAGCTGTAAGCGTGGGCATCTGTTTAACACAGAATGAGTGGGGAATGGAGGATGCACTTGCGAGAGGTCCCTGCTGGGGTTGGTCCGGTGGCCTCGCCCTCTGCTATATAGCGGCCACCGGATCCTATCCTTACTCGCGAGTCTCGAACCCTCTTACATCAAACAACTTATAGAAAATACCTATCCTTTTGAGTAATCTTTTAATCCAACTATCAAAAATCGATCGCAATGGCTTACATCGCACCCACTCAGCACCATGACGGACAACTTTCACAGCTGGAGGAGTGGTCCCTACCGTCCCTTTCAGGCTGTGAGCCGGAGTGGTCCGAGCCTTCGTTGTTCGATGCTCATGTTTGGTACCATGAGCCTTCGGCATTATCAACACCGTCGACCTTGACTCTCTCGCCGCCGGACCAGTACCTGGACGCCAATCCGGCTTTCTCGCCGCCGGGCGAGTACCTGGACGTCACTCCGGCCCCCACCACGATTCCCGCCTTCCCGCCGCAAGGGCAGGCTGCGTATCAAGGCCCAACGTGGCAGCATGGCCCTTTCACACACGCAACACCGAACGCACTCTCCCAACAAGCTGCGTTCCAGTTCGGCAGCAACGTTCCTGTGGCGTCTGGCTCGGGGCTTACGCCTCTGACGCCCATGAGCCACAGGTCGCCGACGGGCTCGGTAGAGGCCACCAATCCCGGGCCCAGCACGGCCAACCTGTACACCTGCACGTACGGCGGATGCCCTCGCCGCTTCATGACCAAGCAGGATCTGCAGGTGCACAAAAAAACCGAGCATCAGCAGCACCACCGCTCCGGTGCCCGTGGCTCCAACGCCCGCGAGGCAGGCATGTCGCAAAGCGGCCCGCACGTGTGCTACGAAACGAACCCGGTCACGGGCGAGAATTGCCTAACGAGCTTCTCCCGACCCTACGATCTTACCCGGCACCAGCACACGGTACACGCGAGAAAAGAGAAGGCGACGTGCGAAATCTGCGGCAGGTGGTTCAGCCGCGGTGACGCCTTGAGCCGTCACCGTAAGCACCAACACACCGACAAGTACCCGGGGCTTGCCGAGAAGAACGCCAGAAGGCGCAAACGCGATGCCAACGGGTGATTGGAGCGTTGGAAGTACGGGTTCAGGAAAAAAGATTTGTATAACTTGTTTTCTCTTCGCTTCCTTTTTTTCCTTTGTCTTATCGGGCATCGCATTTCGGACCTGGCATTCTCGGCATGGCTCTTTAGATCAGCATTTTGGCTCAGCTTTCGAAAATCGGGCTGTTTGACTTTGAAATTATTGTTTCTACTAGAATGGGATTGGTGTTTCTACTAGCATGCATTGTCACTGGGGTGGGCCGGTTAGATCGGGGTTTGGAAATCTTTGGAGGCAGCCATGGGCGAGAACGGGGGACTCATACTGTACATACTTTAGCACACGACATGACATGGAGAGAGGGGGCATCAAAAAGGTTAGATCATTCCATGAACATGATGGCTGCGTGTTCTCTCCATCATTCGTACAGATTTGCCGACTGAGTGACGTTTCCATGATTCATCATTCCCAGATCTGGTTTTAGTGTACGGTATGCTACGTCTGAGCGTGTATTCAGGGTCTTCTCATGGCATCATATTCTGCAAGTCATTACTTTTGAATGACGCAGGAACGTGGCATAGCCGACGTCAGACCCTTATCGTCTGCATGCAGACCCGCATGCAGTTGAGAACTGGAGATGGAGCCACCTCACACAACAGCCAAACCCGAGCAAGAGATCTTGCACGGGCTTCCCCACTTTGGAGCGGTGGAAGACGTTTAGCTGAACCTACCACACCTTCCTAGTGTAGTGTACGAATTACAGGATGATGTCCCATTCGATGGGGCTTCATGGCTTGCTTAGGCCTTCCATGGCTTGGGATGGACTTGGCCGAAAGACATGATAGGTGCAAGCCGGAAGTTGAGTGCTCTGACGTAGGTCACATCAGGGTCTTAATGTGGGGCGACAGGGGGTTTAGCTTCTGTACAGTACGAAGCGTTCTCACCTAGTTCGCACTGTGACCCCGGATGAGTCAGGTCTACGCAGTAAGGATGGCCGGCAAGAGAAACAGTGAGGTAACTACCTTAGCCACGGTACGGTACCTATCACCGCCCAAGGCGCTGGCTCCCCGAAATGATGCAACCGCTTGCGACTAAACTCCATCGGTATCTCTCTACTCCGGAAGGAGAAAGGAAAACAGCTCATGGAAAAGAAGAAAAGTCGGATGCTCGAAAAGAGAACGAGGACCGTGAATGGCTAGAGTTGAAACCGCAAAGAAAAAAACAAATATCTGGTTCAGTGATGCAGTTCCCAGGCCCAAGGGGCTATTAACCGCTCAATATTGTAAGCTACAGAGCACGCAAGTTAGCCTACCACTTTTCTTCAAAGCCAAAAGTAGCCATGGTACCAGGTAGGAGAACTCACCTCAATCAGCTTCTCGGTCAGCGCAAAGCACGTCCGGTCCTGCTGCTCGGTGCTGGCCAGGTTGAACGAGCAGCTGCGCCAGAGCCCGGCAAAGCCCATGTCCTCGAGGAGGTCGTTCAGCGCCGCGGCCGAGTTCTCGTGCGCGCCCGAGAACTTGGAGTTGGACGTCAGCGTCTGCAGCAGCGTGTGCGCGGCCTCGAGCGTGGCCGAGGACTGGCAGTGCAGCAGGACGTCGTCGAGGATGGAGACGATTGGGGGGCATCTAGCCAACGACGTTAATAGTGACCCGGAGAAAGAAAAAAAAGAAAACTGAAAAAAAGGAAATAAAAAGAAAAAAAAATAATCCAAGATAATCGCGAAATAAAATGCTGAAGACGTACAGATGCAGAACAACCCCCGGCCGCGCCAAGGCGACCCGGTTGAGCCACTGCAGACTCCTGTTCTGGACCGCGTCGTCCAGATACTGAAAGTCGACGAGCTCAATCGCGGTGTTCAGCAGCAGGTCTTTGTCCTTGAACTGGGCCAGGTCCTGCTCTGCCCTGAGGACTCCGGGGTCCGACAGCGCCGCCGAGCTGATGTTGATGCCCGCCGCCCAGAGGTGCTCGCGCAGCTCGGCGGCCGAGGACGTGCGCGCCAGAATGAGCGCCATGTAGGGGGAGGACATGACGTAGTGAATGTCTCTCTCGGCGGCGGCGGCGGCTCCGTCGCCAGCATCCAGGTCGCCGCCATGTCTACCGAGGGTCGTCATCTCCAAGAATGTAGACAGGACCCTCAGCGCCGTGGATCTCGTGACGCTATCCGTCAGCCCCCGGACCAGACACGCGCAGGCGGCGTAGTGGAAGTTCTCGGCGTTGAAGTGGATGCCGTACGCCTCGTCGAGCGGCAGGGCCGCCTCGTCGAGCTGCTGGCGCCCCTGCAGCAGGTAGGGCACCATGTTGTCGGCGCCGCGCATGTCGCCCGTGGTGCTGATGTTGGTGAGGACGGCCTCGAGGAACAGCGCGGTGCAGTTGAACAGGTTCGGCGGGACCAGCCGCAGCAGCGACGTGGCCAGCCAGAAGAGCTGCACGCCGTAGCGGGACGCCGAGGGCAGCTTGGCCATCATCTTGGACAGCGAGGTCACGATGGCGACCAGCATGTCGCTGTTGCTGTCCTCGCCGAAGCGGCCCACGCTGTTGCGGAGCGCCACGAGGACCTGGTACAGCAGGTCGTCGTCGACTTCCTCGCGCGCGAGGCAGCCCATGACGGTGAAGGCGCGCGGCTGGATGGCCGGGTTGTTCTGGAAGGCCGTGCTCGCGACGAGGCTCATCCACCGCGCCCGCCAGGCGTTGGCGACGTCGACGGAAGGCGCGGCGACGGCGCACGTGTCGAAGAGCATCGCGGCGAGGTTCTCCGTCGCAGCCAGTGTCGGCCCGGCCTCCTGGTTCGTCGATATCGACGCGCCATCGCGCATGAAGGTCACCGAGTTCACGAAGATGTCGCTCTTTGGATCCGACAGCGTCTCCAGCGTGGCCCGGAGCTTGTTGAGCCGGTTCTCGTCCAGGGAAAACGAGGTGCAGGCCGAGTGGATCGTGTTGATCAGCAGCCGGTGGACCACGACCCGGACGTCCGGCATGCCCGTGTTGGCGAGCATCGTGACGATGTGGAAGATCTCGGGCAGGTACAGCTGCGCCTGCACGCCGCTGTCGAAGGACAGCGCGAGGCAGAATTGCAGCAGCACGCAGATCTCGTTCCACACCGCGTTGTCCGGCAGATACTTGGTCGGCCGCAGCGAGGACCGGTTGAGCGCCTTCCGCAGGCGCGACATGACTTTCCCCCTCAGCGTGACGGTGCCGATGGCGCTGGCGATCGACGTCAGCGTCTCGGTCTGGTCGTCGTCGAAGCCCAGGCTCAGCGCCGCCTTGATGATCTCGTCCAGGAGTATGTCCAGCAGCACCTCGTCCTGGTAGATGACGGGCCAGACCGACTGCTCGAGCGCAAACGTCAGCGTCGGGTCCGAGAGCGCGACATCGATCAGCTTCCGGAACAGGGCGGCGGTCTTCTCCCTCGCCTTGTCGCTCTCGGGCTCGCTTGCCAGCAGCGACGTGCGCAGCCCGGGGATCCAGGGCGCCATGTACGCCAGGCTCAGCGGCTTCTGCTCGTCCAGGAAGCTGTCCCACCCGACGAAGAACTCGTTCAGGAAATCCGCCGTCAGCTGCGGCTCCGTCTCGGCAAGGCTCCGGCTGATCTTGATGATGAACTGCGACGGGTCCAGCGGCACCGAGAGGTCCCTCGCACTCATGAGCTGGGACGCCGCCGTGAACTTGAAGGCCTTGCACAACGCGCCCAGCAGGTTGTACGACGACAGCCTCAGGACCGGATCCGGCGTGGCCAGGTTGGTCAGGGCCAGGTTCAGCAGCGTCCCCGGCACGTCCTGCGGCCGGATCAGCCGCTCAAACGACTTGGCCGCCCTGGTGTCCTTGGCATACTTCGCCTTCGCCGCGCGGATGGCCTGGAGGACGTCCGTCTTCTTCGGACTGGTGAAGTACATGACGATCTTGCCGTTGTCGGCCCGGATGCCGAACGCGGAGTCGTCTTCGGTCTGGATTGACGTGGGCGCCTCATCCACGTCGCCGAGGCGGAAGATGTCGTTGACGGTGGTGCTGAGCCGGAAGCCGGGCACCTCCTGCTTCTTGGTGGTGGTGATCTGTACGAACTGGCTGCCGACCTTGATCACGACGTCGATCTTGCCCTTGGACTTGGACAGCCGCGTGATCGGCTGGAAGACATAGCGCGTGTCCGTCACCACGCTGATGGTCTCCTTGGGGAGATGCAGCTGGCTGAGATGGAAGTGCGTCTGCAGGTCCTGCAGGCTCCCGATGAGATGGTACTCGACATTCGCCGGGCTGAAGACGCTGGCTTCGCTCTTGGACGCCAGTCGAAGCACGCGCCGGAAGCACTTCTTGCACGTGCTGTTCATGTTGTAGACGTAGATCCGCGAGAGCTGCTGGGACAGCTCCTTGGGCGTCAGCAGCTCCAGCTTCTGGAACAGCTCGTCCTTGGGCTCGTTCTGTCCATTGTAGCAGGTGGCGTCGATGAGGAGGCCGAAGGGGCGGTGCCACAGCCGGCTGGCGATCCTGAAGTAGCAGTACAGCAGGGTGTCGTAGTCAATCGATTCGCCGTCAATGTTGCGCAGGATGATGCAGATGATGGACAGCCCGTCCTTGCTCTCGCCGCCGTCGTACACGGCGCGGGACGTGAGGAACGACTCGGTGCTGCGGAAGGCGTTGCGGAGCATGAACTCCTGGAAGCGCGAGTAGGCCGGTGGGCTATTTGCCGAGATCTGCGGCCGATTCCACGTCACTGCCAGCGGCGGCGGGCCGAGATTCATGATGAGGTGTCTCAGGGGCTCCAGCACGGGCGACCGGCTCCGGGCAGAATCGGCTGGCGACCGCACGAAGTCTCTCCTCTCCCTGGACGCCAGCCGCTGGCGGACGTGATCCCAATGCTCGTACAGGAATCTGTGGAGCGCCACGCAAGACCCGAAGTCAAATGACTCGGGGTTGACGACAGCCGCATCGTCCAGCGCTGGTGGCGGCGGGATCTGCGTGTCTTGTTAGCCAGACGGAAAAGCATGTCCCGTCAAAGAACCAACCAAAGCACTCAGCGAACTCACCGAAATCTCACGCAGGTATGTCGTGATCTTGTAGATATTATCTGTCAAGAACTTCATAAGGGGTAGCATGTACGGCTCCTTGACGCCGAATAGCACGTTATTCGCCAGATTCTGAACGACCTTGGCGATGAGCAGCAGTCCACGACGCATCTCCTTGGACGGCGGCTTGGATACCAAGCCCTCGACTTCCGGAGCGACAATCGCAGGACAGAAGAAGCGAAGGAAGATGAACGCCCCGACGGCCGTGTACTTGGACTCCGGGAACTTCTCCACGACCGCGTCCGAGATCTGCAGCTGTCAGCTCAGTTCCGAACTTTGGCGCGAGATGGGAAATGTGGGAGTGGTTGGGTCAAGACGTACGATACTGCAAATCCTGCGGAACGAGACTGGGACCTGCGGTGCCGAGTAGCAGATCTGGTCGATAAAGACTTTCGCAACGATCTGCAGATGCTCGGCGTTGGTCTGCAACTCTTCAACCGAGCTGACCCTCGCGGGATCCAGTTCCAGACTCAGGTCCTTGGAGGTCGCCATGAGCCGCTCCACCACGTTCTGGAGCGTGTCCCTGAGGTAGCCGCCTCCTTTCCATTTGGCGTAGATGGACAACATCTTGGTGGGGACGCACGACCGTCGGAGCAGTTCCGCCTCGTTTTCCGTCTCCTCAACCTCCTGCTTGATCAAAGCCTCAAACAGCGCGAAGCTCAGCCCCCGGGCCTCGAAGATGTTCAGCAGCGAGATGGACAACTCGTCGACCTCGTGGCTGGGACACACAGCGCTCATGGCCGTCGCCAAGCCCGGATCGCTGATCAGCAGCTCCAGCAACTCATCGTACTTCTCGCTGACTGCCGCATCGCTGAGGTTATTGAACTCTGTCCCCTGCACCAGGATGTTATACAACACCCTGACGAAGGCGGTCCTGATGTCCGGGTTCTCGTGGTACCCGATGCTCAGCGAGTGCTTGAGCCCCACGTCGATGTTGGCGCTGAGGAGATTGGACAGGATCGTGATGGCCAGGTCCGACGTCGAGGCCTCCGAGACGACCGCGCTGGCGCTCGCGCCGAAATGCTGCTGGCCGTAGTAGCCGTGCTGCTGGTCGCCTATCCGGCCCAGGTCTGGCCCGCCGGACTCCATGTTCAGCAGCGACAGGAAGCGGTTGAAGTACTGGTGGAACATCTGCGACTTGAGCTCGCTCGTCCCGGCATCTGTCTGCCCGTCGCTGGGCTGCAGCGGCAGTCGGAACGTGATGGTGGCGAGGGCGCGCAGGCAGGCCTTGTCCAGGTCGCGCTGGACGCGCGACATCTCGTCCCGTCCGCCGCTCGTATGGGACCCATTGTCGCCGCGCGGGGAACGCGGCCGGGCAATCCAGCCGAAGACGTGCTCGAGCACCTGGTTGCGGATGCGCACGTCGTCCCGCAGGTTGAGCTGCTCCTTGCGCTTGCTGACTGCCTCGGTCAGCTGGCAGATCTTGATCTTGACCCGGAGACTGCTCGGCGTGTCGGAGATGCCGCTGAGGAACCTGGCGAAATTGAGACACAGCGCGCCCAGATGGAGACTGGATGCTGCGCCGTGGTCGGAAGGCGTGTCTAGCCGCTCGACGAGAGCCTTGAGGAGGGAGGCCGACTGCTCGGCGAAGACGATCTCGCTGTCTTGGCCTTTGATGCTCGGCTCGAGGGCGCCGGTGAAGAGCACGTCGAGCTCTGCCTCCAGTGCCTTGAACAAGGGCTGAAAGAGCGACGGGGGCACCTCGCTGGAGAGGACCTCTCTCATCGTCTCCCGGATCCGGACGTTCGCGCAGGCAAGCAGCTGGATGCTCAGCCGGAGATAGCGGGTCAGGAGTGCTTCCTCGTGGCTACCCGACGACAGGCGATCGATCCATCTCAGCCCGCTGAGAGCGGGCTCCTCGAGGTTGACAGCCTGTTCCGCCGTGCAGATGCCGCCCAGCGAGGCCAGGAATCCGGAATAGTTCCGCCACTCGGCCACCATCCTCTCCGTGATGGCGTCGCCGTTCGCCTGCGAGATATCCTTGGAAAGGTGCAGCCACCGGTCAAAGACAAGCTCCCACGCATCGAGAATGCCGGTGCTGGGATACGCCATCCGCCTCAAGAGACCTCGGTTTCTCTTCTGGAACGCAACGATCCCGGTGAACCTGAAGTCCCGCGACGAGATTTCGCCGTAGATGTCGCCGTTGCGGAGCAGAGTGAGGGACGACTTCGCCGTCACGGGAGCAGTGTCGATGAGGCGGCATTCGTCGAGGAAGGTCCCAATGCAGGACGTCACCATCTGGCAGGCCTCCATGTCGGCCGAGCAGAGCGACACCAGAAGGAGCGTCTCCAGCTTGCTGGATGCTGCAGTCCGCTCGGGAATGTCCTCCGTGATCTGGCCGAGTTCCTGTTCATTGTCAACGCGAGCCCCTTCGGGAAAGCTCAGGGGCCAAGTTACGCACTGGTATCGACGTCAGGAGGAGCAACCTGGACTCGAGATATCCGTTGATAGACCTGAGACCCTCAGCGGTACAGGGCAGTCTCGCCCTGTCGCATATCGATATCAAAATGAGCGACCTGTTTTTGTTAGCCCTCCTGACTTCCCGCGATCAATGGCCCTTTCGAAAGAACATACGTCAGCCGCCAGAACTTAGTCTTGAATGCCTTGGACCCCAGGCCCTTGGATGCCCTCAGCGTCGAGAGGACCTGTTCCTTCGCGAAGAGGCGCTTGACCACGCCGGTCGCCAGCCGCCTGACGGACTCGTCGGCGGCAATGATGCACGAGATGAGTGCCTGCAGATTCTCCTCGTAGAAGTTGTCTCGCTCAGTCCTGTCCATGGGCGGGCCCTCGAAGAGGGTCATGGGCGAGGCGTCAAGGAAGTTGAGGATGTTGCACACCATGCTGATGGAGGGGCCGCTCTCCACCACTTTCTTCTGCACGGCGTGCTCGTCGACGTATCCCTCGGCCAGGAGCTCGGAGAACGTCTTTTCCAGGGCGGTCAGTGACTGCAAGGCCGCGCGGACAGACGGAAAGGGGGTTTGGGGGTTGGTTCTACATACTTGTAACTGCGCCTGGATGAAGGCGCTTGTGGCAGTGAAGAGGGGCTGATACTTCTGGCTGTTTGCCAGCCGCGCAAAGTGGGCACATGCCTGGATGACGGCAATCTTGAAGCTGTGCGGAGCAGAGGACGAGAGGCAAGACACGGCAAGCGACTCGACAGCGTGTTCAAAGTTGAGGTGCGACGCCGAGACAAAGGCGGCCGTCATGATGTCTTGCTCGTACAGCACGCCGTCTGCGCCCGGCGGGAACCGCCTGAAGACGGCATCCCGCACCTCATCCTGGACATCCATGGCATAGCTCATCAGCGCCGAGTCGCTCTCTCCTTCAAAATGCCTGGCCACCCGGAGCAGCAGCACGAGGCAATACGCAGCCTGCTCGTTGCGGTTTCTAAGCGCCTTCCGCAGACCGTCCAGAAACTGCACCTTCTTGACCATGCCCGAGCCTTTCGACTCGCGCAGGTTGCTGGCCACCTCGAACACGTCCGGTTGCAGGAACAGGAGCGCCATCTGCATCGGAAACAGCAGGGCCTTGCGCTGGCCGTTATTTCCAATCGTGAGCGCCATATCAAACAGAGTATCGGGCGCATTCTCGCGGCGCCTGGGGCTGTGGTCCGAGTGCAGGCGGACGAACTCGGCCGGATGGCGGTCAAGCCAGCGGGTGATCAACTGCGGCACAACGACGGCGATGGTGTTCTGGATGGACTTGCGGAAGTGCAGGAAGCTGGAGCAGAACTCCTGGATGACGAGACTCAGCTTCTGACTGTCGGCCCACAAATAGGAGACGGTGCGCATCATGACGAGCGCCGCGCGTTCTTCCTCGGCTGCAGCCGCGGTGCTGATGGGGTTGCCCTTCGCCGGCAAGTCGCTACGGGCCGCGTACGTGACATTGCGGAAGTACTCGAAAGCGCTGGACCAGCTCGACGCCGTCACATATTCGGTTATCAGCTTAACATGCGCCTCGATTGCGCTGGCATGTGTTTGGAGGAGACTCCTCGTCTCCGGCGGCTCGCTGGACGAGCTGGAGAGAGGTGTGCGCGAGGGCTCCTCGGGGGGAGGGGTTAGTATGCGCTCGGTGGACGAGTCGTCGAGTATTGCTCTGGCTGGGAGCGTGTAGCCATCCGGGATGGGCTCGAACAGCACCTTGACCACCTCGAAGATGCGAGTGAGCTGCACATCGCTGAGGCCCTCGGGCGGGTAGAAGGCGGCTCGCTGCGCGGGGGACAGAGGCGCTTCGGGCACGGGAAGAGAACTCAACCTGTCGTCGGAGCCTTTCAGGCGGTACCAACTGCTGGCGCAGCAGTCGGCAATGAGCTCGAGGACGTAGAGCTCTGAGAGGAGGACATGTGGCGGGTGGGACAAGACGGTTTTGTGCGGCCGGGCAAGATCCTCGAGCAGCGATAGAAGCGCGTCGAGGACGATACTGAACGAGCAGGCGCTGATCTTCACGAGAGTGGCGCGCGTAATGGAGACAATGTCGTCTTGGGAGAGGTCCTGGGTCGGCGTGCCGGTGCGGTGGGGGAGCTGTTGGGGGGGCGAAAGCAGGTAAGCAGATCGTCAGCATGCCGACAGGGGCGGGGCCAATTGGCCCTGGAGAGCTTCAGTAATAAAGCACGCACTCTCGTAGTGAGCCTGTCCACCAGGCATTGCACCAAGTCCGCATCGCCGTTCATTGTGCGTTGACGAGGACAGGGCTCGGCCGGCGCCTTCTCATGATTAGATCCCGCGAGTATTTTTTTTCGGATTTAGTTTCCTATGGGATAGGTCGACGGCGTCTGGACCGCACGGCGGACCCTCGTCGGCGGGGGATATGTGTAGATGTTGGGACGGCAGCGTGGGTGCAGTTGCACGCACGGAAAGCCGGTCCTGCGGCAGCCGCGCAAGGTGAGAGATGTTGGCGATGAGACGAAAAGGGTTCGGGGATTGGGCGTGGAGGTTTTTGCTACACAACCGGACACACTCTGCCGGATTGCGGATTGCGGCAAGCCAAGGCGGGGGAGCGCGGGGATGCCTGCAACTCCCAAGCTCAGCCAAGCTGGAGCTCTGGACAGCTCCACCGCTCATCTCAGGGGTCACGATTTCTACATCTAGGAACAGGACTCGGACGTACCTACCTACCTGGTATGTACATCAGGTAAGTTACCGAGTCTTAGGGCACCTATACTCGGCCACTCCGTGCAATATAGGTACCTTATGTACTTTAAGGTCTCACCGGCACTGAGGATACCTAAGGTACCTTAGGTATAAATAGATGTATTTGTACAGTTGTCATAAAAAATTAAAAAATAAAATAAAAAACCGACCTTGGGTTCCCCGTCCCATATCGTCTACCCCAACTTGGGTTTGTGGGCTGCATCGAGGAGTACTGCACAGTAAGAGAAACGCCACAATGTGACCCTCTCCAATAGTGCTACCGTGTTCCTATGCAACGGGATGCCGCCTGCTGGACCTGCCAGTGCTTGACGGCGACGGCCTGACTTTGGTAGGTAAGGTACGGCATCTACAACAATACATAGTAGGTACCTGGTAGGTATGCCAGTCCAGTTCGCTCGCTCGAGGCGTCGAGTAATCCCCACTACAATGTAGTCCATGGGTACATACAAAACGCAAAACCATTCTCTTGACATAGTATCAGATCAAAGGACCAACACAAACTGATTCGACAAGGTTATACACAACTTAAAAGCAAAGCAGAAGCAATCCTAACCACTTTTCCAACCCCGACTACCGATACCCCCGTGAGTCGCGATAACCCCTGTCCCGGTTATCGTATCTATTATCGTAGCGCCGATCTTGACCCGGCGGCGGAGGCGGACGATACGAATTCGACTGAGGCGGTCCGGATGCAGGCACATACCGTCGATCACCGCCATAGCCTTGACCATATCCATGATCGCCGTACCCCTGGCCGTAGCCGCCGCCGGAGAAATGAGCCGGCGGCGGCGGCGGCGGAACCCCCATGCCAAACCCGGGATAGCCGGGCGGCGGTGGTTGCCATGACGGCGGAGGGGCGTAGTGCTGTTGACCGCCATACCCGTTACCATACCCGTTACCATATCCGTTGCCGTAGCCCCCACCATAACCTCGATCCTGCTGCTGGTATCCCGGGGCACCGCGTCCCCCTCGCCCTTGAGGAGGGCCGCCTGCGTAGTTGATTCTGCCTCCCTGCCGCCCACCACCATTGTTCAGGGGCACACCTCCGTAGCTTCTCCCAGACCTTTGCCCCTTACTCCTGAGGTCTTCGATGTCGCTTCTGGTTAGAGCAGGTGTGGGCAGCTTCGCGCCACGAAGGAGCATCGACTTATGGGTGTGGGAACTGCTCGGCATGTAGTAGTGCACGCTAAGAGAACGGTCGTAGTCGACGTCCGGCATGGTGTTCCTCTCCAGCGGGTAGACGAGCGAGCCGTGCGGGACGTAGCCCTCAATCTTCTCGACCTTACCGCTGAGACCACCGCTCCGCTTGGGATTCAGCTTGAACATGGGGTTGCCTTGTTTTTTGGAGTAGAACTGCGCCGTGATATCCTCATAGAGACCCGGATGAGCATCGGAAATAATAAGCACGTCTTTGCCCGGGGTGTTGCGGGCTTGGTCTTCGGGGCTCAAAAGGTGCGACTTTGTTTCCATGGCGGCCAGCAGTCGGGGCATTTCGATGAAGGGCAGAAGGGCCACACCCTGCCATGACATTTTCTTACCGTTCAGATCGATCTCGAACTCCTCCGGGTAAAAGTCGACAATGGGACTGTCCTCTTTGGTCATCAACTCATGGAATACTTCCGGAATGGCATGGCGGGAGGCCGCCGGAAGCACGCTCATGAGCTGCTCGAACGGACGGGATATCCTGCCCTTCTCGAAGTTGATCTTCATCTTGCCCAGATCAACAAAGTCGGCCGCAAAGGGAGCGTAGTGGTAAGGATAGAACCATTCCCACGAGGGGCAGCCCTGAAAGTAGTACATCAGCACCCAGGCCAGACCCTCGACATACGCCCGCGCAACTTTGTGCCGGAAGGCAATGTCCTTGGGATCCACCTTGAACTTTTGCTCATAGTACCGGTCGGCGTAACCCTCTTCCCAGAGCCTAACCGTGTCGACGGGGCCCTCATCGGCCGAGGCAACGGGCGTCTCGGGATCGGAGGGAGCCTCTGCGGTACTGTCAGCGTCGTCCGCTATGAGTTCCGCCTTGCGTTTGCCCAAGGCCGAAGGCGGAGACTTGGTTGACCCGTCTTCCTCCTTCTTGGACTCGTCGCCATCAGCTTTTTCTTGGACTTGCGACATCAGGCCCTGTATCTGGCTCTTGAGCACACTGGCGGCGCTCTTGTTGGCCGCATTGGCCTGATCAACCGCGCGGCGGTTCACGACCATATCGTGAGTGATCAGAGACACCGGCTTAGGGATGCTGGTAACCGGAAACAGGTTCATCCCCGGCGGCGGCCCATTGGCTTCCGGTGGCCCTCTGCGTTTCCTGCCGTTGAGCGGCGAGTCTTGGGCGCCCCCTCTGCCATTACCTTGCTGATTGTTGAGCTTGCGCCTTTTGAAGCTAGCCTCTCGCCGGTCTTCCGTCTCCTTCCTCCTCCGGAAGATGGCATCCTCTTGTTTCGCGAGGCCACTCAGAATATACTGCGCGCGGTCGAGATCCACATGCCCGTCCTTTGTCACATATCCACCCATGACAGGGAGATTGTCTTTCCAAATGGCCGTGAGGGTATCGATACCGTTCTCCCGAATCTCGAGGGCAGGCAAGTGAGGCAGAAAATCATTTCCGACAAAGAAGCACATGAAGACCCAATCGTCGATGGCGCGTTCAAGGTCGAAGCGGAAGGGAAGATTGGGGACATTCAGCTCAACGGCAAGATACTCACGCAGGATCGAGACATGAAGCCAGATGAAGGGCTTCAGGGTAACAACCTTGTCCTTCTCGTCAAACTCGCCGTTCTTCTCCTTTGCCTCACCTTTGCACTCCCTCTCGTTGTGGCCATTTTGGCCGCAGAGTTTGCACATCCTGGCTTTGCCATCCTGAAAGAAGACATCCTCGCGGAGGACACGGAAATGGGGTTCGTGGGTGGCAAGACCAAGCATGATAAGGTCTGCGTCCAGACCGTAGATCACGTGGCGGGTGTTAGGGTCGTGCTCAGGAGAGTTGCGCTGCGAGCGGACGAATTCCATGATCTTGTGCTCGCCTTCACCGGGGACTGTGGCGTCCGAGATGATGACCTTCAGCTCCGCCCACGCGGGATCTGTATTGAGCTTGTAAGAGCACCAGTATCGCAGGCTTGCTGCAAGGATGTCCATGAACGGGGTGCCTGGCGTGATCGAGTTGGAATCAAACGCCTTCTTGACGACAGTCTCGACCGGCTCCTCCTTCTGAGTACTCCCTTTTTCTTTCCTGAGCATCTTAAGTAGCTGCTGCTTGTCCTCCTCCTTTTCCTTGGCGTCCTGGGCAGCGCGAAATCGACGGGAGCGCTGCTGGTTCATCTTGGCCCGAGGCGCAACACCATCTGTCATAAGGTTAGCTTCTGGGTGGTCATCAAGCACGTACTAACGGAGGGTGATACGTACCAACAGCAATCATGAGCAGCTTCCTGGGGCGGACCATATTAACGACGCGATCTGTGTATTTGAAGATTTCAAGCATCATCTCCTCCTCGTCCTGGGGTGCTGGCTTGTCCTCGGGGTGGGAGCACGGATGAACGATGCCGTTCATGTCCAAGTATAGGTTGTCGAACTCCTCGCCATTGGGGTTGGGCTGTGTCGTGTCGACCGGGACGACAGTGCCATCTTCCAGAACGGTCGGCTTGTCCTCCATGACGGGAGATATGATTTTGGGATATTTGGTGGAGAGCCACCGGAAGGCAGCCGGAATACCCATGGTGAGCGATCCTCGGAAGTATCAGCAGGCCAAAAAATCGGCAGAGCGGTGGGCGCGCGCGACTAGCCAGGGACTGGTATTGCAGAACGAAGACTTCGATACGGATTCGTGATGGGAGGCGACACTACGCTTGTGCACATGAGTTTTATTCAGAGAAACGTGGTCGAGGTAAGGAGAATTGTGTCGCAGAGAAGATGTCCAAGTCGCATCGACGCGGAAGTGTGAAAACAGCCAAACAAAGGCGAACCGGATCGTTTCTTCTGCCTCTTGTGAGTCGCAGGGGACGATATTCCGAACTTTTGTTCCGGATTCCAAAATGACTGGAATGCGGTCACTGCTAGAAAGACCGGAATGCCAGGAAAGCGACGTGCGGTGATGAGTTTCCAGTGGCGGGAACAGAAGAGAGAGGTTTCGCAAGGCGCTCGACTAAAATCCCGTTTCTAGGTAAGTGGGGCCAACGCTGAGGACGGTGTGCACTTGTGCAGTACTTGTACAGTACGGTAATATACGGATCAGCCGTTTCCGTCATTACAGTGATTACACTGGGCAGGCCTTTAGCCCCACTCTATTTTGGAGAGCTTCACTGCAGACATGGGCCTGTGACACGGATCATTACGGATACAGTGGTTTCCATTCCATACACTTTCCAGGTTGTCCACTCGCGCCAGCAGCGGAACCAAGTCTGCGCCAGGCCCAGACAGGTCCAAGAAACGACGTCCGACGAAGACGCTCCGTCGGGTACTTCCGTTCGCACAGCAGAAGCCGATGCTCCTCCATGGCAGGTAACCGCCCGCGGCTTCGCCCTCGCCCTCGCCGACCCCGACCGCAACCGACGCCATGTCCATGTTCTCGACTATCACGACGGCGCCGGCCAAGCAGTCAGTGAGCGAGACCATCCCGGTGCTCAGCAACCGCCTGGCCACGGCAACGCTCCTCGAGGACCGCCGCGCCGCGATCCTGGGCTTGCGCAGCTTCGCCAAGCAGTATCCAGCCTCGGTCGCGTCGGGCGCCCTGCGTAGCTTGATCGGCAGCCTCAGCCGCGACGGCGAGGATGTCGACACGGTCAAGGTAGCGCTGGAGACGCTGCTGATGCTGTTCAGCCCGGACCCGGACAGCCCCGAGGCTTCGGAGGAGATTGCCCTGTGGGTGGCTGACGAGTTCACGCAGCGCCATGAGAACATTGCTCTGTTGCTGGGATTTTTGGGGCCCGACCGGCCCGACTTCTACTCCCGCCTCTACTCGCTACAGCTGCTGTCGGCCATCTTGTCTGCGCGGACGGAGAGGACCGAGGAATGCATCGTCAACACGAACGACGGCATTCCCCGGCTTGTGGCCGTCCTCGAGGACCCGAGGGAGGCCATCCGTGATGAGGCCGTCGGTCTGCTCACTGACCTCACCCCGACGTCCAACGTCATCCAGAACCTGGTCACGCTCGAGAAGGGCTTTGCGCCAATCTTCGAGATCCTCTCCAAGGAAGGCGGTCTGGCAGGCGGTGCGAGGGTTGTAGAGGACTGTCTGATATTGCTGGCCAACCTGCTCCGGCTCAACCCCCTGAACCAGACCATGTTCAGAGACATGGGGTTCGTTGCGGAGACCAGCCGGCTTCTGAGGGACGCGTACAAGGAGAGCAAGGACGGACAGGAGGTTGCGGAATGGGTAGAGGTACAACGCAACAGGAATGTGTACGCCATGCTCGCCGTCCTACGGCTGTTCCTTGTGCCGGGGGCGGCAGGAACCGCCCTGAACCAGGAGGCCTTCCTGGGCGACTTGCTATCCGCCGGGCGTGGCCGTGGACGTGGGCCGCCGGTCCTAGAGAACACGTTGCAGATTGCCTTCTCCCATGTCGCCGAACTGCCGATCAAATCCGAAGCGCTTCTAGCCTGCGCAGACATGATCAGAGGAAACGACAAGGTACAGGCGCTGTTTGCTGGTCTGCAAGTACCGTCGCCGCTCGCGGACCCGGTCGCCAACGGACATGGTGTTCAGAAGAACGGCGTTCCGAGGGTTTATGTCATTGACGGACTGTTGGATCTCATCCTGGCGGTGAGCTCGTTGCCGGCTTTTGACCTGCGGATGGCTGCCTGTGCCTGTCTCAAAGCATACTTCTACAGGCACGCCGAGATTCGAATGCACTTCCTGGACCACGCGGTCCGGACGCACAGGGCGCATGCTGATGACCTTACCAATGTCCTCACCATCCTCCTCCGACCGGCGCCGGAGATGGTCACGGCAGATCCCTACCGGTACTGGTTCGCTGCGGTGCTCATGCTCCATCTCGTGCACGACAACCCCGAAACAAAAGCGTTGGCCATGAGTGTCACGGAAGGCGACGAGGCCAGCGGTGAAGAAGTGGTCACCAGTATCCAGACCATGACAGCGCACCTCTTGAGCAGCGTTGCCAAGTCGGACGACCCGCGCATCAGCATCGCCTACCTGATGCTGCTGCTGTGCTGGTTATTCGAGGATCTCGAGGGGGTGAACGACTTCCTGGGCGAGTTTACCAACCTTCAGGGGCTGATCCAGGCGGCAATCGAGAATCCCAACGGGGATATCATGGTGCAGGGACTAAGCGCGATGCTGGCGGGTGTTGTGTACGAGTTCTCCACCAAGGACTCGCCGGTCCCACGGGCGAAGGTCCGGGAGATGATCATGTCACGCATGGGCCGTGATCGCTATGTCGAAAAGCTGTCGAGACTGCGGTCACACCCGTTGATGAGGGACCACGAGGTCATCCCCCAGAAATTGGAGCCGAGCCTGGACCAAAGACTCCCGGACGTCTACTTCGACGACACGTTCGTCGAGTTCTTCAAAGACAACTACAGCCGCATCCTGCGCGCCATCGACCGCGACCCAGACTCCGAAACGTCCGTCATCACCAACGGCGTCCAAAAGGGCGTCTCCCGGCAGCTGGTCGATTCGCTGCGCGCCGAAGTAGCCGAGACATGCCAAGCGCTGCAAGAAGCTCAAGCCCAAACCGCCTCGCTCGCAGAACAGCTAACCGCAGAACAAGCTGCGCACCGGCGGACCAAGGACGTCCTCTCCGCCGACGTCGCGCGGGCGAACGAGGCAACCAACGCCCTCCGCGCGCAGCTCGCCAGCAAGGACAGCGCCATCCAGGCCGCCGAGGCGAACACGCTGAACCTCACCCGCCAGCTCACGCACGAACAGCAGGAGCACCACCGCTCCAAGGCCGAGCTGGCCCGCCTGAAGACGGTCAACGACGCGCTGCAGCGTGCCCACGCGCAGGAGCTCGCCTCGGTGCAGCGCAGTCACGCCCAGGAAGTCGGCGCGCAGCAGGGCAAGCTCCGGGCGCGCGAGGAGGAGCTGCAGCGGCAGATCGAGGCCGTGCAGAAGAGCGCCGAGCAGGACGCGGAGCGCGTGCGCAGGCGGTCGGAGGCCGAGAAGGCCGATCTCAAGGCGACCATCAGCAGGCTGGAGGTGGACCTGATGAAGGCGGACAAGGCCCGCGGCGCGGCAGAGGCGAAGATAGGGCAGCTAGAGGCGGAGGTCAAAGCGAAGGACGAGAGGGTGGAGGAGGTGGAGAGGCGAGTAAGGGCGAAGGAGGAGGAGGTGAAGAAGGCGGAGGAGAGGGCTCGGAAGGCGGAGGAGGATTTGAGAGGGTGCAGGGAGAGGATGGAGCGGGAGGCGAAGGAGGCGAGGGCAAGGATGGATCAGAAGGAGGAAGAACGCAAGAATGCGCAGAGCGAGCTGGATGATATGTTGATGGTCTTTGGGGATCTGGAGGAGAAAGTGACCAAGTATAAGGTGAGTGCCCTGGTGGTGCCGTGGTGCCGGCATTTTCCAGACTGACGGTGTGGTTTTAGGAACGGCTCAAGGCGTTAGGCGAGGAGGTGTCTGATGGAGAAGAGGAGGGCGACGAGGGCCAGGATGAAGAAGGGCAGGAGGACTAGGCAGAAGCCTACAAGGGGGGGTTTTGACCTTGTGTGTAAAAGATGTCCAGCTCTATGGCAAGGACCTCTCCTCGCACATCGATCTGGGTTTCAGAATCAGGCATCAGACACAGGTTACGGCATGCAAACCAGGCGGGCGTGTCAACGAGGTCTACGGCCTCCTAGACAGATGCATCACACATCAGGACTTGCGTGTCCGGTGCTGCATACCTATTCAGGCACCCGGTATGTATTGTACTACAGTATATATACCACATAAAGTGACGCAACAAAAGCCGCCGAAGTCTCCCCGCACATCCTCAGAACGCAAACTGAATTTTAGCTCCACACTTGGATAAGTACATGTAAAAACTCAAGAAAACTTCCCAAACGAGCATTGCTAGGAACCGTACAGCTAAGCTCAAAACTTTTGTGACAAATTCTCTACAGTTTCATTATTGGCTTGAACTCCCCTGGCCACTGGACTCATTTTCCCCTTGCCTCTTCATTTTTATTACACAAGAGTGAAAGACCCTTACCAGGATGGCGGAAGCTTACCCCCGCTCGGACTCCGGGTCCGTCTCAACGTCCGACAACGACGAGGACTGGCTCACCAAGCCCGCCGACGAGGACGAGGACGACGAGCAGGAGGTGGTATCGGTCGTGTCGTTGTTAGATGACAAGACCTTCGCGGACGCGCTGCCCATGCTGGCGTACTGCAAGGAGTCATTCGGGTTCGACTTTCTGGGAGTGCGGGATCGGCTGGGTTTGGATTTCCATGGCTGTGTGCGGCTTATCAATTTCGGTGAGTTTCTTCTACAGGTACCTAGTGCTTTTATTGCCAATATTGTCATAGATGGAATGCTGACGGTGGCGAGCAGTCCGGCGCAGTGTGAAAGAGGACGTGGCGCTGCCGGCGGAGATTACGGCAAGCCATCTGGATGACGACAAGCTGCTGATCCCCGTGCTCGAGGACGATGCGCTGATCTTCTGTCTGGATGAGTTGCCTGAGCCTGAGCCTGAGTCCGGGCTGGAGAAGGGAAGAGACGCTCTGACACCAGCGCAGGCGCAGACGCAGGCGCAGACGCAGGCTGGCAACGGCGAGGGACCGCTCGTGGACGAGCTCCTCCAGAAGAACGCGCAGCTGCAGGCCGAGCTCGAGCAGCTGGCGAAGCAGTTCACCAACTACCGGCTCGCTGTCGAGCAGACGCTCGACAAGCGCTGGGGCGTGGATGAGGGAAGCGAGAAGGGCGCCTCCTCCTCGCAGAAGAATCAGGAGGAGAAGAAGGAGGAGAAGAAGAAGGATGACTCGGCGTATTACTTCGAGTCGTATGCCAGCAACGGTGAGACCAGGTCTAATTTTCCTTCTCGAATTCTGCCGCCCTGAATCAAGCATACCTACAAGCCAGCTTACGTCGTCTAACCCCTGCCCCAAATGATAGACATCCACGAGACAATGCTCAAGGACACGGTGCGCACCGAAGCCTACCGCGACTTCATCTACAGCAACAAGCACCTGTTCGCGGGCAAGACGGTGCTCGACATCGGCTGCGGCACGGGGATCCTGTCCATGTTCTGCGCCAAAGCCGGCGCCGCCAAAGTGCTGGCGGTCGACAACTCGGCCATCCTGGACAAGGCGCGCGCCAACGTGTTCCACAACGGGCTCGACAGCATCATCACGTGCATCCGCGGCCGCATCGAGGACGTGGCGCTCCCCGTGGACTCGGTCGACATCATCGTGTCCGAGTGGATGGGCTACTGCCTGCTGTACGAGGCGATGCTGCCGTCGGTCTTCTTCGCGCGCGACCGCTACCTCAAGCCCGACGGCCTGTTGGTGCCCAGCCACGCGAGCATGTGGATCGCGCCCGTGTCGGACGCCGACTACGTCGCCGAGAACATCGGGTTCTGGCGCGACGTGTACGGCTTCGACATGCGCGCCATGCAGGAAGGCCTGCACACGGACGTGCGCATGACGGTGATGCCCGCGCACGCCGTCTGCGGCGAGCCGACCGCGTTCCGGATGCTGGACCTGCACACGGCGAAAGCGGAGGATCTGGCATTCGAGGACAAGTGGCAGACGACGCTGTCGGACACGGCCGAGGACGTCCTGGACGGGTTTCTGGTGTGGTTCGACTGCTTCTTCGCCGAGAGCCGGAACGAGGCGGTCGAGGCGACGTTGACAGCCAAGCAGTGGGCCGCCGCTGCTGCTGCTACTGGGCGCGAGCGGGTGGCCTTCACCACAGGGCCGTTTGGCACCGAGACGCACTGGCGACAGGGGTTGTTTCTTATCGACAAGGAGAAGGCGAAGGAGGTTGAGGTTGCGCTGGGAAAGAAACTGATGGGCGAGATCCGCTATGCCATCCCCGAGGACCATGCCCGCGGCCTCAACATCAAAGTGACCTGGGGCGTCGAGGGCGGGGACAAACAGAGCCAGACATGGTTGCTGCACTGAGACTCAGGGGGATGTAGACACTCTAATAGATGAAACGGGAAGTGTATGGCCGCCGATGGTCACCACAACTAAACAGAAGGGGCAGCCTGGTCTATCATCTTGATTATCTTCATCCCCCGAGAAGCCAGTAATATATCCAAGGTAGATCCGTAGCTAGTCTAGTACATCCGGAACGCCGTGTTGATGCAGCCCAGCCCATACCTGCTCAAAATCCGCCAAACGTGCGCTACCTATTCAAGATGCGGAACGCCAGCGCTTTGCATGATCAAATTGACAATACTCAAGAAGCCTTCGCCAAGGATGAACCCCTAGTCATTGTAGTCGTTAGCAGTCTGCTCGCCTTACCATACCTAAGCATAAGAGAGAGAAGAGAGGAGAAAGAGAAAGAGAGAGGGGGGAGGGGGAGAGAGAGAGAGAGAGAGAGAGAGAGAGAGAGAGAGAGAGAGAGAGAGAGAAACACTCACCGATGCCAGCACAATCAGCGGCGTCTCCTGCCACCCCATAGCCGACCTCCACCACCAGCTGAGCAGACCTCCGGCCGTCCGTGCCAACGTAAACGACGGGACGTTATACATGCCTACAGCAACGGCAATCCCGCCCGGGATCAGCGCGTGCCAGCGTTTGCCAACATGCTGGGTCCGCAATGCTGTTGCGACGGCGAACAGCATGGCAGCCCCGACAGCCCACTCCTTAGCCATGGGCGGGAGCCCCTTGCCGGTGACCAGGCGGGCGGTGAAGATCCAGACGTAACCGGTGGGCACCTGGAACAGGTCGCCAGGGACTTGGTAGACGCTGGGTAGGGGAGTCGTGGTCAGCCCTTCGTCGCTAAAACGAGTAAGATGCTTGAGAGGTCGAATAGAGAGACAACTCACGCTGTATACAGCCGGTAAATGAAGGCGCTGGCAACAGCCCCCACAGTGGCGCCAATGACCTGACCCCAGAACTGTGCCTTGGGCGCGGCACCGAGCAGATGTCCCGTCTTGAGGTCCTGCATCATGTCGCCCGCCTGGAGGGCTCCCGCCTCGGACACAGCACCGGCGACCAGGTTGATCAAGACACTCGACTTGTTCGACTGCGGAATGATCAGGGCGAAGAACAGCTGGGCAAGCTTGCTGATGCCCGAGACCGGGTTCAGGTCGGTCTCGCCCATGGCCCGCACGCCCATGATGCTCAGCACGAGCGCGATGAAGACGGCCGTGACGCTGGCGTACAGCGGCACAAGGTTGCCGAACACGATGCGGATGCACAGGATGCAGAAGACGATAGACAGGACCAAGCCGACGGCGACAACCCGGTCGCTGATCTGCTGGTCAACGGGCGCATCGTCACGGTCTTTCTCCTCTTCGAGTTCGCCGAGAAGCGGGTTGCCGTCGTGGTCCGCGGCATCGCCGTCTTGGGCCTCGGCGTTGATGGACGTGTACCCGGCATGCGGTCTTCGTCCCAGCAGTCGAAAGCCGACGGCCTCTCGCAACTGGGGGAGGTACTGCCTCGCCGAACGGTACGCGAGATATCCCAGGCTGACCACGGCATCGGCAAGCATGATGGCCAGAGACACCCAAACGATCCAGCCCTTGCTGCCCGTTTCCCAATCGCCCACCGGACCGGGCGCCCATCCTCTGCTCCTGGCCAGCGGCGAGAGGATGCCCCAGCCGACAACGGCACCCAGCAGCATGTGGATCGTCGTAGCGGGCCCCATGATGATGCCCTGCCCAACGTATGCCAGGCTGGGGTTCAGCGTCCAGAGCCAAGCGCTGGCAGCGACCGACCCGAAAATGGGTATGTTTCTCAGCACGGGGAGGAAATACGTCGCAAACGTAAAAACGCCCGAAACAAAGAAGCACGCCAACAGCAACCGCACATTGCGCCGCCAGGACTCCGCCTTCCGCGTCGCCTCCCCGTCCCCGCTCATCGCCTGAACCTGCTGGAGCTGCCCCGCAGCAGGAGCGGCCAGGCTCGCAAACCCCGCCGGCGTTCCTCTCCTCCCATCATCATCACCATCATCCCCATTCCCATCCCCATCTCCATCCCTAGTTTGGCCATGCAACACACTAATCAACACGGCTGTACTAAAGCCGCTCGGAAACTTCAGCCCCTCGCGGATAATCACCTGCCTCCTGAGGGGTACAGCAAACACGACACCAAAATAACACAAGCCCAGACTCCACAGCACCAATTTCCCCAGCCCGAGCTGGATCGGCCCTTGCTCCTCCGGCTTGAGCAGGTAGTTCATCGCGGGCAACACGCCGACGAAGCCGCAGCCCAGCGGCATGATGGCCATGCTCCCCGCCACCGTCTGCACGAGCACGTTCTCGACAGGCGAGAAGGGCAGCTCGCCCAAGTGGGCGCGCAGCAGCCGGAAGATGCCGAAGCCCAGCAGGCTGGCCGGCATGGTCATGGTGCTGACCCACCCCGTCTGCAGGCCGAAGTACATGTTGGAGAAGCAGATGACCGTGCCGACCGCGAGGCCGACGACGACGCCGCGGGCGGTGAAGGACTGGCTTTCGATCTCCGGGCGGGTGGGCTTGGAAGGAGAGGAGGAGGAGGAGGAGGAGGAAGAGGAGGAGGAGGGAGAAGAAGAAGAAAAGGAAGGTTGGGGTTGTTGTGGTGGGTCGGAAGGAGACGATGGGGCAAGGAGCGGAGTGCTGCTGTTGTCGCCGTCGTCAGCCATGGTAGTGGTCATCGCTACCGGTGATGATGAGTCGGCCGAGGCCGAGAGCTTGCGGCGCGGCATGATGATAATGTTGAATGCCGGGAAAAAAAGATGGAAAGAAAGCGGATGACGATTCCGTCCGTCGGCTACATGGACGATGGAGTTAAAGCGACTCGGGCGCCGTGCTATCCAAAGAACGTGATGGTGAATTAGTAAGAGGCTGGTTTTGAGATGAGTTGCAGTCCACGCACATCATCGGCTATATGCGCCGGAAATTACTCAATCAGGCAAGAACAAAGGCACTTGTGGAGCCGACTTGGCAGCCGCTAACCAGACTGGGCCTTTTGTATCGCTATCCTTACAAACGTCCCGCCCTTCCAACGACATTCCATACTGCCACAGCACAACATGATCGATGCTGCGTGATAGGAGGAATCTGCAAATGCATTGATAGCTGCAAGTCTAAGATATGTGGCGTGGCGTAAATGGGAGAGAGCGTGGTGTTCCTGAATCAACATATTTCCTAGGCTTTGAGTCTCTGAGTAAGGTATGTAAGGTACTAAGGTATTGCCAAACCCCTTATCGCCTACTGTTGCTTCTCTTACTACTCTTATTAGCTCTCCCAAGTTCACTCTTACGGTGAATGCACGACGGCAAATTCCCAGCAGTATCCGTACATACAACAGCACGCCTGCTAACTATGCAACTCCAATGATTGAACCAAACCCGAAGACAGCGCCTAGCCCGACACACCCTAACCCAGGTAGACCTAGTGACACCATTCCACCCTAACTTGCTAACTTGAATACCTTCCTTAAAACCCAAAATTATCCAGCAACGCATTCGCATCCGGCTCCTCAAACACGGTCGGCGTCGCCTGCTGCGTCTGCTTGGGTAGGTGCCCGCCCGACTTCATCTCGGCCGGCAGAGGCTGGTGCGACGCCGCAGTGGGCGACGACACTAGCGATCCCCTCCTCTTCATCAGCCTGAGCGGGTCAATCTCGCCGCCCAGCCCGGGCGTCACGCCGGGAGGCTGTAAGAACTCCCAGTTCCGGACTAACTCTCGAAGTCAGCATCAGCCAACCATGCATGCATGGATAGAGTAAGGTAGACTTCTATCTAGATGAAATGAAGGGCGCAGCAGATAAACATACCTAAGTCTAGACCCAGCAAGTCGCACCCCATGCGACCGTACAGCCTAGCGTTATGGAGCACAAACTCCCACTCGACCTTGGGCGTGACCTTGCTCGCGCCCCGGAGCGTCTGCAGGGTCTGCTGCCGGAGCTGGCGATACAGGATCACCAAGGCCGGGTCGTCCGTCAGGAACAGCCGGGACTTGAGGTCGGGTGAGCCAGGCGTTTCGAGAAGCGTATACACGGGCGTCTGTTGTACGTCACGGTCAGCCAATCAGTGTGATGAGTAAGATACGTACTCAGGTGCTAGTACTCACAATCAAAGCGCGCACCGCCATGTCGCTGCGCTGGAGCATCCAAAAGGCCCAAGATGCGAGCCACCTGTCTCCGTTCTGCGCCGCCATGGTGAGGACTTCCTCCTCGAGCAGGCGCCGGAGAACGGGGCCGTGGTCGCCTTCATAGACACGGGCCACGGCGATGGCGAGCTGCAGGTCCTTGAGCTGGTTGAGGCAGACGTGCACTGCGTCGTGGAGGTGGTCGGCGAGGAGGAAGAAGGCGGCGGCGTATTCTGGAGGTTGATCAGTCAATCGATATCCTCTTAACTCAAAAGGAGACGGGAGAAGGACTAGCCACCTACCGAACCGCCTCTTCGCCATCAACGCATATGCGTTCTTGAGCGCTGCCGTCCGCCACTTGGGATCGTCAAAATTGTTTGCCAGGAAGCGCTGCGTGTTGCCCTGCTCCCGGTTCCACGCCGCCACGCGCCAGAGCCCCTGCAAGACCGCCTTCTTCTTGAGCGCCAGATAATACAGACTACAGTCGATCGGGTTCTTAAGCTCGTTCTTGGTGTACTCGTTGCGCGCAATCACTTCAAACTGCGCTTTCTGTCCCCCTTTTGTTAGCGTATCTTGTATTATACCATTCCTCGTCCCACACACCACCCGACGTTAGTACTCACCACGGCTGCGTTATCCGCCAGCCACATAAAGAGCCCGCTCTCCCTCGCGTGTTCCCAGAGCATCCGCCCGTGGCTCTGCCTCGTCACAAAATCCACCAGTATGTCCTGGCTCGTCGAGTGATAGGCCCAGTTGATCTCGCGCCAGCCCATGTGGATCTCGTTCGTCCTGCCCTTGCGCAGCGCGTGCTGCCGGAAGAACATGATGAAGCGCGCACCGTTCTCGTCGAGCGACCGCCGCTGCTTCTCGACCAGCCCGACACACTCGACGATGTCCATCAGCTGGATCTGCTCGTGGCCCGACAGCTGCGGGATGCCGATGCGCGTGAGCCGCTCGCTGATATCCACGGCCACCTCCTCCGAGAAGGGCTCGTCGCCACCGTCATACGACATGCGCCGTGTCAGGTACTGGCCGGGGTCCTTGTCCGACGAGGTTGCTGTCGTCTGCAGTCAAAATCGTCAGTGACTCGGTGACTCTCCCCAACACACAACAAAAGCGCGAATTCGATGAAGAAGGTCAGATAACGCACATGATCGGCTTCGTAGAAATCCTCGAGCGCCAGCCCGAGATAGTCATCTACCACATCCCCCTCCACCCAGAACTTGAGCGTCTTATGCAGCGCCATCAAGATGGCATGCACCAGCACGATCTTCCCGGCCAGTATGCACTGGCTCAGAAACTGCGGGTGGAACACGGGCAACGGTCCGTTCAGCCTCTGCACCACATGGAACAAGTCCCAGTGACGCTCCCCGCCTTTCCTTTGCGGCAGTCTCAGACTCGTCACGAGCGAACTGGACGCATCAAACTGCCGGTCCTGCACAAACAGCTGATTGCCCGCTCCGATAACCAAGTGGCCATCCCCGAGCCAGACCGAATCTCCGATAGGATGCGGGGTGAAGTCGCGTATAGAGATCTCCCGGATGGCCGCCCAGGCGGGTCCCTGGTTGAGATAGTCGAACCGCATCTGGGAGAGCAGCAGAACGCGATGGGGGAAGCCGACCGCCAAGATAGACTGCATGTCTGGCGTAGACGTCCAGTCCAGGTCGCGAATTGTGCCGCTGTTCTCATACTCCTGCGCGTATTCCAGCCTCGCGCCGCGGATATCCCAAATCGTGAGGGCGGACCGCGAGGCGTTGACGAGCGCTGCTTTCTTCCTCGTGCTTCCGCTGACGAGAGCTGGATCGGACACGCCGGTCTCCATCGAGCTGGTGGACAGCCACTCGACGCCTTTGCTGTGGTGGCCAACGCGGGCGGTCCAGAACTCGACTCGACCGGAGTGAGTGTAAGAGATGGCGACGTCGCGGGCAAAGACGTCGAGGAAGCCTGAGACGTGCGGCGTGGTGCCTGCTGGGTCGACAGGCAGGACATAGGCGAGGTCACCTGCATCTCCGAGCGTGAATTTGGTGAATTCCTGGATGGACGGTTGCTGGGTCTGGGCTCCGTTGCTGGCCGGCGTGGGCCTGTCGGTCCGAGAATAGAACGGGAACTTGACCTCCCAGACGACGCCCTGTTTTTCGGAGGTGATGGTCGCGATGTGGGCCGTGGTGTAGTCCTCGACTTTCTGTCTTGGAAGAATTAGCAGACATAGAGGCTTCCCACGGATATCGTATCTGCTCTCCGCAAGCATGCTTGGCTTCGACTGCCGGCAGTCCCACAGTGATATATTCTCGTGTCGCAGAAATACCACGAACCGGCCCTTCCTGAGAAGACACATCCTGTGGATATGCCCCTGCTGTGAGATGACCACCTGCCGCGAGAGCCCTGTCCGTGGGCCATCCAGCTCGTGCTTCCAGATCACGCTCTGCCCGTCTTCCGTCCGCGAGACGATGGCCTTCCCGCTGAAGTTGCGCACAATCTTCCGTATTGGTGACGAGTGTCCCGTCCAAAGACATCGCCGGCTGACTCGCCTTCCCTTGGGATTCTTGGAATTCGGAATCGGGGTCAATAGGGCGACGACATGGCTGCTATAGACCTCGATCCTGCCGTCAAAGAAATGCAAGAGTATCTGCACCTGCTGTCCCTTAGCACTGCTGCAGTAACTGTGCGCTTCGACGTGTGGTGTTTCTGCTGGAGACAGCCCTCTCAAGAAATCAAGCTCCTGGGCCGCCATGTGCGTCACGTTGAAAACTCTTGCATCCTTCCAGGAGCCCTTGCACCCGATGCCCTCGAGTGCCCACCCAGACAAGCGGCCCCGGCCATCCATGACGACACATATCTCGGGAGTTCTATTCGCAAGCGTGATGAGACGCTCCAGCCCAGCAGCCTCTTCTTCGGATTGTAACCCTCCCTGGATACCTTTCCCAAGCGCATCTGTGAGTCGCTCTTTGGGGTCTTCTAACGCACCATGTAGAGCGGCAACCTCTGCCCCGTTTTTCCCCCCCTCTTCAACGGCCTTCTCGGTCGCAGCCGTAAGATCGCCTGCATGCATGATGAACGCCCAACGCAGACCATCCCCGCCCTGAATAGCTTCCCCGAGATCGAGGGCGCCCCAGAGCTGCAGGTGCTGGTGCCCATGGCTCGCCGACCCCGCCCATACCCGCAGCACATTGTCCGCACAGAATGTATACAGCGCGTTCTCAATGGTCTGGAACATGTAACGCGGCCGTCGCCACTGGATTCGCGTCACCGGCTGCGGATGTCTCAGATAAATAAAGTCGAACCGGACCTCACCCGCGCCGTAGCTCAGCCTCCGCCAGACCTTGACCAGCCGGTCATACCGCCCCACCGACGCAATATACGCCGAGTCGTAGGACAGACTCGCGAGCCTGACGGGGTTGGCGAGCCTTTTCCGCCACGAACACTCGGGCTGTTGTGCCGCCCCGGATGTCGACGCCGAGGTCTGGTACAGCTCCAACAAGCAGCCATGCGCAACCAACAGCTCCTCAGACGCGCCCCAGGAAAGCGACACCGCCATGGCGCCCTCGGCACCATCACCACCATCGCCTCCTCCTTCCCCCGGTCCAGGCGCAGGGTCGATGTCGAGGCTCGCCTGCAGCGCCCACCGCGGATCCCCCACCTGCCCGTCAACATCCTCCCGGGACACCTCAGACGACCGATACACCCTCACAACACGGCGCGTGCTCACGGCAATCTTGCCCGACGCCTCGTCCAGCGCAACGGCCTGCAGCGGCTCCGGGTCGTCGTCGTAGATGGTCTGGAGCAGCTCGTCGGGGGAGTCGCCCAGGATGGCGAGGGCGTTGCCGGTTATGTAGGCCTGGAAAAGCCCCGTAACGCCAGTGTCAGCAGGTCATCATTTAAATAGAGAAACACAAAGCAATGGTGGCGGTGGGTCCGGTGGTTACAGTTATGCGCTTATTCCAGTAGCCCGTGGCCAGCGCCTGGAGCCGCGGCTCGGGCCTGCCCGGCAGGATGGCTCTCATGCTGCTGCTGCTGCTGCCGCCGCCGCCGTTGTTGTTGTTCTATCGGTAGGGCGTGCCCTGCAATGACATGGCGTGTTCGAGGTCGGACACCCCAGAGGAAGACGTGCGGTGGTCGGCTATGGTGTAGTGTGGGGGAGAGCTAGTTGATCGTCGCGCATTCGAGCGTTCGGTTCGTTTGAGGGACGGATGAGGTGACCTGCCGTGCCGCGTTCACCTAAGGTACCTTACCTAAGGTAGGTTTGCTTGCAACAGGGATTGGATAGATAACGGGACAGGTTGCTCTTGCTCTCAGACCACACTCCGGATTGCGAGGTCGCCTCCAGCTTCTCTGCTAGTGGATTAACGAACCCTATGGGTTGCTTGTGCACGAACTTGCTCATGGAGAGGTCCGTATGACGCGCCGATCGACCCCACTAAAGTCTTGGCCTTTTTTGGGTTACTGTCAGGGGAGCTTGGTTGTCGATTGACTCGGTTCAGATTGTGATGCAGGAGCTCAGAAATACACTGGCCGCCAACGTACACTGGCATGTAGAATTCTACTGTACCTGGCACACAACAGTGCCACAAGCGAGAAGACAAGAGCATGGAGGAACCCGTCTTTACTTGATTATGCCTAGCTCTAGGACGAACTCAATATCAGGAACCGGTGAGCTGAACGTTGGTAGTTGAACCAACGCAAAGGCTCCCAAACCTAACCCTATTTCACACGCCCCTTGCCTAAAAACTCCTATCCCCCAAGAAGTCCTGTATCCGTTTTGTTCTCCACCGTAGACTTCCGCGCGCAATGACGCGCATAACCTGAGTTAATACCTCCGTATACCCTTTCCCCTGTTGTACCGAACTCCAAACCGCAGAATACCTAGAGAAATGCTATAAGTGAGCTGACCAACAACCCCCATAACCTAGCCCTACAGTGCCACTGCAAGATGATCATAGCCTGACACCAGCCCCAATGCCCCTTCCCACATACCAAACCCGTTCAGTCCACCTGCCCAACCTTACCCCTACCACAGCCCTCGCATCCAGCTTCATCCTCCCGCCGAGCGCTTCCTTGAGCTTGCCATATCCAACCGAGTCCATCGACCACTCGACCGGCAGCTTGGGCGTCTGCGAGACGCCCGGTGGTACAGCCAATGGCAGGTCATACTGTATCCTGCCAACGGGCTCCGTGTGATTATATAGCGCCGTGGCGTCGACCGAATCGATGAAGATCGTGTTGTGAAGAAGCGGGGAGAAGAGAGTGAATGTAGCTGAGGACGAGAGGACGTGGAAGGTGGCATCGCGGATAAACCTGGCTTGTTCGCCGTCGTCTTCTGGGTCGCCATCTCCATTTCCGGGGGGGACTCTCAGCCGTGGTGTCGGGAGGCTGATATTCAGACGGGAAAGAGCCTCCCCTAGGAGTGGTAGTGAGGGGATAGTGCCACGGTGGGTGCGGATGCTGACACTTGTGTTGTAGCCGGATAAATACTCCGACAGCAGATCCCGTCCACGCTGGACGCCTTTCTTCCCACCGATTGACGGACTCCATGTTGCTGATACTGGCAGGGCCGTGTTGTTGCCTGGAATGATGTCGATGTTCTCGGCTCGCGCCTCGCCAACCATCGACCCGTTGCTTTCGATGTATATGCTGACAAAAGGGATGTGCGCAGAGTACGGCGTCGGATTCGTGATGTTCACTGATGCCCGTAGTGACACCGAAGTGGGAGTCGTGTCGGTGATTTCGACGCCTCCAACCCTAGGCACAGCGGAACCCATAAGATCATTCCCAAGGGCTGCGAGAAGCGCCAGGTTAGTTTGCTGAGCCATAGTCGGCACGGTGTTCGCTACAGCACAGAGAAGCCATCGACCGGGACTACTGACGATGCGTTCAAAGAAGAGACGGACGTTTTACTGGAAGTTTGCCCTCCGCAGGGACTGCCTTCACCACGAGATCGCCCAGTATCGTTTGTACTTTGACGTCCACAAGAGCCTTCACACTCAGCACGACCCGTCGACCGCCAAATAAGAGAGCCTGGATAACGTCGGTCAGGATGTCGGGATCGGTGACATTCAGAGGCGCATCGTTGATTCGCGACTGGATCTTCAGCGCGGCTTCGTGGTCCTCGGTGGCTGGAATCTGTGTCGAGTTCGCTTTTTGCCATTGTTCCAGATTGAGCTCGCCGAGTTTGCTACCCTTGTATAGCACATCGGCGTTTGCACGGACGCTGGTGACATTCAACGAGAAGTTCATCTCGGAAGGAAGCCCTGCAAGGACCAGGATCGTCCCTGACACCCTTGGGTTCGATTCGGGGTCGTCAGGCTCGGCTGCCGGGTCCGGCAACTTGAATTGAGCATCCGTCAGTGAGAAGTTTCGAATCAAGTTGTCGAACGAGCGACCCGGGAATGGCACAGGTACGGTAACGCTGGATAGAATTTCCGCCAGCCAACCGGGGGCATCTCCAGCCGGCTGCTTTTGGCCTCGCACGAGGACGCTTGCTGTTTCGCCGCCGAGGTACTTTTTGAACAGCATATCCAGGGGGGAGGAGTCCGAGTTCGGGCAGAGATTAGTGAGCGAATCAGGCAACTCCTTTATGAGGCCATGGACATCCACAGTCACCTCTGAGCGAGGTCGTATGGCGACGCGGCTGGTGGTGGCGTCCGCGACCAGGATGGATGAACCGACAGGATCGCATCCAGGAACGAGTATTTCGAACCCAAGCTCGGGCACATCGAGAGACAACGGATACTCATTGAAGGTCTTGATGGTGACTTCGGTCGCCATTGCCTTATTCTGGCCGGGAACGGGCGTCTCCTTGAAGTTCAGCTTCGTGATATTGTACTCGGGCATGTGAGGCAACTTGCTGCCTGCTACGTTATCAGCAGATGGTTTGAGGGGAGCATAATGATCTGATGATACGCTGTCGACAGCTCAGAACAGAGACTTCTCTCCGAAATACAAGGAGGCAAATGAGCGGTAGAGGGATTGACCTTCAAATGTCAGCGTCTCCGCGATGGAGTGTGTGCCGAGTGGGACGACGCCCGCTTTGAGTTGGATATCGGCTTGGCCCCGAATTCGAACGCTATCCAGTTTGCCTTCCAGCCACTGATTCGCAATCATTCGGATGCCCTCAGCATCGCCGGGTATCAGGTCCGCCACGAAGTCCACGGCGTTGTTGTGGCCATCCCTGACACTGACTCTCAACGGAGGGACCCCAGCGGTTCCGAGCAAGACATTGTTGTACTCGGGCAAGTAAACACTGATCTTGGTCTCCTCCGTCCCCAACTCCCCTACCAACCACGTAGCTGCTCTGCCCACCCGTCTCACATGCGCATTTGCGACTCGCTGCGCATCCAACCGAAAATCGGCCTGTATCCTCGCACTCACACCGTCCGAGGTAATGGATACAAGAGCAAGGTTGGTTGGTTCGAGAACAGTCGCTTGTTTTGCGTATTCTTGGACAGCTTGGGGAACGATGAAAGCGAGGATCATAACAACAAGCGCTGAGAGCGACAATACCATCACGGCGATGACGGATGGCCATGGTATTGACCGGCTCTTTGTAGATTTGACCGAGGTCGCCTCTGTAGCACGCGAAGTGACGGAGGCTCTATCGTGGTTGTTGACATTATCCCGCTCGCCGTCGTACCGTGGCGTTGAGACGGTGCTCGCTAATAGCGGGGTTGCCTCGGATGATTCCTCAGAATCACGAGTTTTGGGCCCTTTGCTGCTGCTGGCAGCAGAAAGTAAAGGGGATCTTTCTGGCTCAGGCATCTTGACTAAATACTTCGTGGGTTCTGTAATCGACGTGGGATAGACGAAAAGGAGATTGCTGAGGTTCGAGCTGCTTTTACAGGGCGGTGGTGCCAAGGGCGGAGATGATGCAATCGATCACCGTAGTTGATCTATGACATCGCCGCTGGCTTGCTCGTGATACAGGTTCGAAGCGTAAGGTTTCTTTTCCAAAGAATGCTGGTTAAATCGAGAGTGAATTCAGATGCAGATGCGAACTCGGGGCATCGAAGATACTACCTAAGGTACCAGGTAGGTATCGAGATGATGTGGATGGTTGCGATGCATGGGGTGTTGGATCTTGCAACGCGGCGTCCTGTGAAACGGCAACACCACTTGACATCGCTGCTTCTCGAGCGCCCGGCGCTCATTGGCTGCGGTGCTGCCAGCTGGCGGACAGCCTGGCACCAGCGGCAGACCAGCACCGGCTTGATGGCTCCCGGCCCCAGCTCCGGGCCGCCAAGCCCCAGAGCGAGTGGGGAAGAGAGAAGCATCCAATGGACCAGCGCCAATTCGTCAGCTTACACGACAGCGCAGCTCCAGGGACCCGGTAATTGATACAGATTCCGATCTCGGTTCCAATCAATTTGAGCCGCAGGCTTGCGATTGACGATTTCCGGTGTGGGCCATGTGCTGGATATGAGAGTCTGTTCTGGCATGACTCCGAGGATCTGGCTAGGGTGAATATCTCTTGAGCTTTTTATTCACGCAAAGCTACTGCGTAATTGATAAGGCATCCCAGTGTTGGAACTATTCTGAAGCTAGGTACCCTAGCCAACTCGGCGAGTCATTAAGGTTCAGTGACAAGTTAGTCTTCGAGAGCACTGTTTCGACTGAGTCACGCCAACCTTATCCTGGTGTTTACCGAGCGCCGAGTCTACCTTTAAAAGCGGCCTTCATTCTCCTGGCTGCCGAGGACTTCACGAACACATTACAGCTTCTAGCTATTGGGAGCGTCTCCGCCATGTCTCCTCGTCCTGCGTTTCGCACCATCAAAGCTGCCATGGCCCACCTCCAGACCCGATCACTCTCCAGCGCGTCCGGGCCCAGGCATCTCCTGTCAATTAGCGACCTTAGCCCCGCCGAGTTTACCAGGCTTGTCCTCAATGCCTCGTCTCATAAGGCTGCCGTCAAGGCCGCTCTCGCCGCGGGCGAGCAGCCTCCGAAACCGCTGCACGGGTCTTTGACGGGCAGGACGGTGGCTATGATGTTCAGCAAGCGTAGCACCAGGACCCGCGTGTCGACAGAGGCAGCAGTGCAATTAATGGGCGGCCACCCGATGTTCCTGGGCAAAGATGACATCCAGCTTGGCGTACGTTTCCCCAACGTCGGCTCCCGCCACTGGGGGACCTTCTTTGTCTCCGCTCTAACAGCTCCCGCAGGTGAATGAATCCCTCTACGACACTTCGGTCGTCATCTCCTCCATGACCTCGTGTATGGTGGCCCGCGTGGGAGCACACAAGGAGGTCGCCGACCTGGCAGCTCACTCCTCAGTCCCCGTGATCAACGCATTGTCAAACGACTTCCACCCGCTCCAAACCATCGCCGACTTCCAGACCATCCACGAGAGTTTTTCGCCGCGCACCAGCTCCCCGTCTGAGACAAGCCTCGGACTAGAAGGGCTCAAGGTCGCGTGGGTAGGCGACTCGAACAACGTGCTGTTCGACCTGGCGACCGCGTGCGTCAAGATGGGCGTGGACATCGCCGTGGCGTCGCCGGAAGGGTACGGCATTCCCGAGGCGATGAGGAAGGTGATCCTGTCCGGCGCAGAGGGCGCCAGGACGCCGGGCAAGCTGACCGAGACGACCGTGCCGGAGGAGGCGATCAAGGACGCCGACATCCTCGTGACTGACACCTGGGTGTCCATGGGTCAGGAGGTCGAAGCACAGAAGAGGTTGAAGGCGTTTGCCGGGTATCAGATCACCAACGAGCTTGCCAAGCGAGGGGGCGCGAAGCCGGACTGGAAGTTCATGCATTGCCTGCCGAGGCACCCTGAAGAGGTTGACGACGACGTATTCTACGGTCCAAGGTCGCTTGTGTTCCCTGAAGCGGAGAACAGGCTTTGGGCTGCTGTTGGTAAGTGGTCTCTTTCTACCAGTATCTGACATGTTTGGCCGAGAAAGAATTGCGCTGACGCGAATACAGCTGCCTTGGAAGCGTTTGTGGTCAACAACGGAAAGATCCTCTAAGCGGAATATCGCTCAAGGCGTCGCTTGCATTCACATTTGTACAAGACATTAATTTTTAAAGGTAGAGCAGGCATGGCGTAGCGTACGGGAAATGTTGACAGATGAAATATACCGTTTTGCGGAACTGGGTCACGATCAATGGATCCATTCTTATTTCACATGCAGAGGGGCCCTTAAAAGATCGATGCATGCAACTTCCCATCTTCCCATGAGAGACAGTACATTTAGCCAGGGGGCAGTTGGCTGGCATCGACAACCTCGTCCGCCTCCTTTACAGGGGTATCATCGTCGGGTCCGTAGAGAGGGGAGCGAGGCAGTGCCATAAGCCCGGTGCGTGCAGATTCGAGAATGCCAAAGGGAGCGATAAGTTTCAGGAACGAGTCTATCCTCGATGGTTTCGCGGACCTAAAGTAGACGTCAGAATGAGTCATAATCGCTTGGCATGCTATTGCGACTTCAAACTTACACCTCGACAATGCAGCTGTTAGTGCTGATATCTAGAACCTTTCCGCCGAACTGGTGAGTGAAGTAGGTGATGCTCTTCAAGTGTTCGTGCTTGTGGCGGAGGGCCTCGCTTGCGACCAGCCGGCTGGGGTGGAAATCCTTGGCCGTCTCTGCGAGGCTGGACTCGCTGGGCTCCTGGACTTTCTCGGCACTGGCGTCCTCGGCCGTCATCTCGCGGTGGTGAGCAAGCAGCTCCTCGAAGTACTCGGGGCCCAGGATGTTGATCTTGGCCAAGAGCAGCTCACGCTGGACGAGCGGGGCATTGGTGTAGTCCAGGACAGCCCACACAGGGACGAGGTCCTCCAGCTGCCGGCGCGCCTGCTCGACGACGCCATCCTGGCCTGTGAGCACAATGGTCATGCGCGAGAGATCCTCCACTTCGGTGCTGCACACCACCAGTGAATCAATATTGAAGCCGCGGGCGGCCAGGATGCCGGATACGCGCGACAGAACACCGGGCTCGTTCTGCACGAGGCAATTGAGGACGTGCCGCTTGGGGGGGACTGCGGACGGAGTAGGGGTTTCGTAAAGGATGTTGGAGACGGCTGCCTGCGCAGACCACGAAGGCGGTTGTTCGACGGGAAGAGGGGCTTGCCGCCGGCGGATCGCCTTGTAGGCGATTGCTGAGGTTGAGCTGCTATAACGAGCGCTAATAGATGGCGCCAGGCGAGGAGCTTCCCGAGTCTGGGTCGCTATCCTGCGCCATGCGGGCGAAGAGGCGAAGAGGCTGCGAGAGGCCATCCTCGACGTTCAATTGCGAGGCCGGAGGCCCGTCTGCTGGGAAAAGAGATGGGACTTCAAGCTCGACTCGTGATTGAGTTGACGTCAAGATGGGTATGAAGAGGAGATGGTCGCCCAAGGTGAGTCACCTTTCACCTTCAACCTCGCGAAGGGAGAAGGGAAGAACAGAAAGTTTTGGATTGCTTTTGGCATCCAGCTCGGGTCACACCGAGGGAGGCCAATTCCCCAAATCAAACTGGAAGACAGCCCTCATCAGCTCCGAATCCGGTGCATGAGTGGGCCCTGGATTTTGAGTGGAGGAATCATTGTCCGTGCGCCGGTTTGCGGTGCGGGACTAGCCTTGGAGGCATCACAGTGCATCTCGGTCTTTGATCTCACTTTGCACGGTTTCGTCCACTTTTAGGCGAGGCTCCTGACAGCCTCGTGGATTTAAACTTTTCCCAGCGCGTCTATGCAAAGATCCAATCCGCACTGTCAGCAACACGTGCTGCCCTAGGTTATTCCGATCTTTTGTGAATCATCAACAAAACTACTAAAGCTATCGCCCAGCCCTACCAGCTTTCATAGCGGTTACCATCGATCATTATTTCATCGAGTGACCTGCTAACACACCGTTTCCGCTGGGATTGCGCGCAATGGATGACGCTGAGAGACGCAGCGCGAAGCGCTCTCGCTTCGATCAAACCGAGCCCGAACCTCGGCGCTCCCGATTCGACCGCCGTTCCCGCTCTCCTCCGGCTCGCAAGCCTGAGTCTCAGCGCGAGCGCAGCCCTCTCCCACGGTCGCGCGACACGCCCAGCATGTCCAAGTCTCCTCCGGTTGACCCCGCGGCCGCTGCGGGTAAGATCCCCTCCCCGTTGCTCCCGGCAGGTTATGTCGTTGTATGATTCCCTGTGTCTGACCTTGGCCTGCAGCTGCCGCCGCCGCCCGGATCAATGCCGAGCTCCAAGCCCGAAAGGGGATCCAGCATGTCGACGTTCCGCCTGTTCGTGCGAGCAGCGTGACTAGCAGCAATGCTGCGTCTGCCCCGGGTCCCAGCACCATCAACGGGGAGATGTATATCGCGGATGGTGACTACATCAAGGATATCGAGGTTAACGACTTGCGCAATCGATACCTGCTTACAAAGGGCTCGACTCAGAAAATGGTAATTACTCTTTGGTTATCGCACTGATCCGTCATCAGCGCTCCTGCCATGATATCGATGGCTGCTCTTCATGACGCTCTTGTGCGGGACAGTCTTGCTTACTTGAAGCATGATAGCTCGCACAGGCACACCCTCTTTTGCATCTGCTGACCTCGGCTGCTTGATTTAGATCAAAGAAGAGACTGGTGCTGGTACGCCCAACCTTCCACCTTCAACTACTGTTAGAGGACGCCGATTGACTAGTTGATATTCAAAAAGATGTTACCACACGTGGAAGCTACTATCCCGACAAGAACATGGCTACTCCCTCGGTACGACATGACACCCGGCTCGGCTGCTGTACGGTCCGGCTAACAGTTTCACAGAACCCACCTTTGTATCTTCATGTTACGAGTACGACAAAGGAAGGCCTTGAGAAGGCCGTTGCGAAGATTGAGGAGCTGATGAAGCAGGAGCTGCCCCAGCTTGTCGATGAACGGCGTTTCCGCCGCCGGGACCAAGAACAGCAGCCGGTTGAGCGCGATGAGTTTGGCCGAGTAAGTCGCCGGTGTGTGTTATACATCCCGCAGCACAATGCCTAACCGTGTACAGCGCAAATGGCCCGAGGAGAAGATCCCGATTGGTCTTGAGCCGGTGCCGGGCTTCAACCTCCGTGCCCAGGTTGTGGGACATGGCGGAGCCTACGTCAAGCACATCCAGCAAGAGACGGGCTGCCGCGTTCAGATCAAGGGCCGCGGCTCAGGCTACATGGAAGCGTCGACCGGCCGCGAGAGCGACGAAGACATGTTTTTGCATGTTGCGTACGTCCCCCCTAATTCGGTTGGTAGATCCTTGCTGACTTCCTCCAGGGGTCCGGATCCGAAAATGGTCGAGAAGGCCAAGGAGCTCTGCGAGGACCTGCTGGCAAATGTCAGAGAGCAGTACGAGGAGTTCAAGAGCCGTCCACCTCGCAGCTACGGTGGCGGAGGATATGGCGGTCGCGGCGGCGGTGACTCGTATCATGGCTACAATAGAGACAACCATCACCAGAACAGCGGCCACAGCTACAGCAACTCCCCTGCCCCCGGCACTGGCCCTTCAGCGTCGCCGCCTTCGTCGACTAACACTCCGGCATCAGCGGCTGACTACGCCGCGCAGTACGCTCAGTATTACGGCGCCGACCCGTACGCCGCCTACGGTGGCTACCAAGCCTACGTTCAGATGTATCAGCAATGGGCGGCTGCTCAAGCCGCACAGCAGGGAGGCGCTGCTGTTGCTGCTCCGGGCGCCTCCGCCTCCCCGCCGCCTCCGCCGCCGAGCGAGGCAGCACCTCCCCCTCCTCCTCCATCCGCAGCGCCCCCACCGCCACCCCCTTCCGGACCGCCGGGTGCAAGTGGCTATAGTGCTGTAAGTCAGCTTCTTGATGCTCACCCGCTATGGCTAACATATCCTAGGTGCCCCCGCCCCCCGGGCTCTGAGCTGTGTGCGTTACGGCTCAGCGTTGACGATTTGCGCGCTACACCCGACGACATGATCGCCTTAAGAAATGTCTAGACTTTTTCGGACGAGCGATCTTAGGCATTTGAAGATCGGCCGCATATACCGAACGGTCTTCTGTTCTCCCGTTGTCGCAACTTATTGTAGTTGTAGCCATGCACTGTAGATTACCTAGTTTGCGACAAGATACCTACCTATCTAGTCACCTTGGCGTAGCCGGGCATGTGTGATCTATCCGACGGAAGCATATGACCGGTTACAGTAGGTTAGCCGTTGGCTGTTAGTTGTCGAGCCGCCTCGGTCGTTCACCGTCTAGGCGCAACCTGGCATACCGATTTAAATGGCGGGGGCTCCTACTAATAAACTCGGCACCTAGGTACTTTGCCTTAGTATAGTGTACTACTACTAGCAGTGCTGTACCACACTATGCATTCTCGATATTGTATTGTATTGTACCATACCCCCAGCAGCGTGAGTGGGGCTTTGTAGTGGGAAACACCCGGGCCGGCTTGAAGTAGTGCCCCGCAACACCATCGCATTACACGCCCACAATGAGCCATCAACGATACCCTTCCCACGACGCGGTCAAGGAGCCACATTCGGTGTCCCTGAAGGTACTGCGGTGAGTTTGGGCTTCGTTGCTGGTAAAGTCGTGGTACCTACTAAAACACTGCAGTTTGTCACGGCCATCCCTCGTCGCGCAGTACCCCGTCCAACCGCCCTTCTTCCCCCCACTATCCCACCCAGCGCCCGTCCCGGCCTCCCTAGCCTACAGCCCCAATGGCGTCGGCAGCAACAATATTAACAGCACCGCGATTCCACCGACGAACCCAACCCCCTTCGCGCTGAGCCCCATCCTCAACCTTCCGCCGTCGTTCGGCTCCGCCTACGTCGGCGAAACCTTCAGCTGCACCCTCTGCGCGAACCATGACATCCCCGACAACAACGGCGCGGCAGCGCCGCCGAAGAGCATCCGCGACGTGCGCATCGAAGCAGAGATGAAGACGCCCTCCTCGACCGCAGCAACGAAACTCGCACTGTACCCTGCCGACCCCAACGTCACCGAGAGTGCGAACAATAATACCGGAGTGGACCTCTCCCCGAACACCTCCCTGCAGCGCGTCCTGTCCTTCGATCTCAAGGAAGAGGGCAACCACGTGCTGGGCGTGACCGTCTCCTACTACGAGGCGAGCGAGTTGTCGGGCCGCACGCGCACCTTCCGCAAGCTGTACCAGTTCATCTGCAAGGCGTCGCTCATCGTGCGGACGAAGCCCGGCGTTCTGCCCGCCGGAGACGGAGGTCAGAGACGGTGGGTGCTGGAGGCGCAGCTGGAGAACTGTAGCGAGGAGGGGATCCTGCTGGAGAAGGTTGGCTTGGAGCTGGAGGACGGGCTGGGGTATGAGGACTGTAACTGGAATTGGGATTGGGCGGCGGGTGATGATGGTGACGAGACAGGGCGAATGGAGGCAGGGGACGATGGGAGGAGAGAGAGGAGGCCGAGAAAGCCGGTGCTGCAGCCTGGAGAGACGGAGCAGGTCTGTTTTGTTATTGAGGAGGAGGAGAAGGGGGCGGCGAAGGAGGTAGAGGGCCGCGTGCTGTTTGGGATATTGCAGATCGGGTGGCGGAGTGAGATGGGAAATCGTGGATTCTTGTCGACGGGGAAGCTTGGGACGCGGTCTGTGAAGGCGAGGGAGAAGAGGGAAGGTTGACAGGCCGAGGGAATGGGAAATGAGAATCGCTGTGAGGGTGCTCTCCAATCCCGCTTAGGAGCCAATGGTCGATTGGGATTACGAAACGGAGAGGGCTCCCATAAATGGAGAGCAGACGCCGAGTTCAGCTCTTTGTGGTGTCTCTATCACGCATTCCGTCTGCGGGTATAGAAACATTAGCCCCTCGATCACCTTCTCTTTTAACGTCCTTCCGGCCGGCCGATGGGCTGTTCGTCGCCTTTAGACTATATCCACTGTGCAAGAGCATCCGGCCAGGCCACTCTGAACGATACCTACCTAGGTAGATTACGTAGTTCCCGGTGTTTACATAGTGTTCTTTGTCCCAGCTGCCCGAACACTCGGGACGTAACCATGATCTTAGCCGGCCGGCTCAACGTCCGTTCGATATTATTGTGGTTACACAGGTTTCACAGTCATGCAGTGTCTGATGCTTTCAGCACCAGGGAGCCGCCTCTGTCATATTGGAACCATCACCAGCCTTCTGTGGACTTCGAAGTGCTTGTCGACGCTTCCCTCCAGAATTCTTGCAGTCATGGCTTGCCACAGGATACAGATCTGTGTCGTTCAAAGTGGAGTTAGATCCCGTCGGGATCCTACAGTTGCACGCGCCCCTACTATACATAGCACGCGACTCATGATGCGAGCCCAGGTCAATAGCGGCGTAAGCTTAGGTTAGCTAACTAGTTATAGCAAGGATCCTTGCGACGGAGGCTAGTGCGGCACGAGATGGAAGGTGAACCAGGTTTTCGGAAGTTCCTTCCCGTGACCGTGTCCGTGATCAGACAGAGCGGCGGCTTCGAGCCCTTTCTGCCGTCTGGGCAAACGCTGTGTTATGCCGCACCTGTTGTCACCTGGTGCGTACCAGGGGAGGAGGACGGAAATAATTGTCTTCATTGGCTGGGACGCGGTTGGATCTTGGGGATACACAGCAGTGACTACTACCGCCGGATGCGTTGCGTGTGTTCTGCCGATTCTGCTCGTAACGAGGAGAACGAGAGAAAGCCGATGCCAATGATCAACATTATCACGCAGGCCTTGATCAGCAGAATGGTGATTTCCCAAGTTTAGCCGGTCAGTGGGGCAGCTGCAGTGACCGTGGAGCAACGATCATGACGATGGGCGATCAACAATCCAGGGACTGATCTGAAGCTTCTCCCCCACATGTCCACACAGCCTCTAGAGACCCCTGCTCCTACCGAGGAAGGTTGCATCCCACGAATCCGTATCGGGACTGATCGTCGACGACACTCTTTGGGAGGTGACTACACGCTGCCAGGGTCAACGGCCGTTCTGCCGACCTGCTCGGAGCTGAAGCAATGCAGCAACCCTTCGTATGAGCCGGTTGGCGGCGCTTGCAGGGATGTCGTGAGCAAACCGAGGCCTATCACTACCACTGTATTTCCGGTGTAGTTATGTGCTGCCGCTTGCTATCACCGAAGGAGTAGACGGCATCAGTTGCTTCGACGGCACAGGAGAAATGGCGGTCGAGGAAGGCTCCATGCAGTGTGACGGTAAGATAGCGCATTGCATCGTGAGGCCCAGTCCTCGCTGGTGGGAGCTGGTTCATTTGTTGGAAAGCTGGGTCTTCAACGCAAGGATGCGGGCCGTCGTCCGAGACCGAAAGACAGGAACGACATGGCGCTGCCATGTGGCACCCAACGCTCAAAACAGCCTCTTGCAGTTCTGCCAGCGACGGCTCGGATTCGCTCACTCCTTTCTGCTCTGCTCCGAACCTCATCCGGCCTATTGGCTGCAGGATGAGGCCCTGTCTGCAGCCATTCCAGACTTCCAACATGGTCGACATGCAGTGGCCAATGACCCAAAGACAGGTCCAACCGCTTGCCTTCTTCAGGAACAATGCAGTCAAGCACTCGCGTCATTGTCAACAGATCGGAGACGGAGGAAGTCCGTGACCGTCCACGACGGGAAAATGTGAACAATGAGTGGAAGGGCTCGGCAACCCCAATTTTTCTTGGTGTCTTGTCGTTGCTTTCGATCGGCGAGGTGTGGTCCCGTTTGGGAACCTTTAGCTAGGTTACCTTGATAAGTTGATACTCTTCCCCAGACACCCCTCCATATCAATTGTTTGATCCAACCCGAGGGGCCGAGAGTGCCTCGGGTTGCGAATAAACTGAGGTCGAAACAGATCAGATAAATAACGCACCCACATGTGTATCCTGGGGCACGGCTTTCTTTATTCAATGGCTCGGAAAGCTTTAAATGAAATGTCGACGATCCCAAACGTTCGGTAACCGGCGAACCTTGAAGTGTTGCCATTATTTATTTCGTGGGGGACTGGTGATAGGTACGGGCGACTCCATTGCTGCTCGGAAAACATCACATCCATCCAAGCACTGCCTGGAACCCCTTAGTTCAGGCAATGCGTAGCTTCCTCCACTTATTTAGTCGACCGTGGCCCTGAGCAATGCGCAGCATCGCCCCGCCAGGGACTTCACGCTAAACGGCGGGGGCGGTACTTCCCAGAGACCTGGAATGAGTCGCGAGAGTCTGGATTTTAAAGTTCCTTATCCTGTAACTACCTACTACAGGTGGATGCCTGATTTGAGGGAGATGAGAGTGATTTGGACTGACTAACGATAACTAAGTTCGTGTCCAGCAATAGCAATTCCCATCAATCCACAGGAGGTTTGTTGGGCCTGCATAATAAACACCCGATGCAGCAGCAAGTCGGCCGGGGTTAACTACCCACACTAAGAATGCAGGGGCTCGCGAGTGTGTGCCGCACCTCCTGCAGCTCAATTACAGGGGTCAACATCAGGCCTAAATGCAGACAAGAGGCAATCCAACCCAAGCCCATGAGAAAACAACCTGGAACCTAGGGGGAAAAAAAAGGTCGAGATTCCCACGGCGATTGCAACTTGGTGCTTCCAAACACCACATCTTCCATTCTACCGGGTGCACCTTGGCAGAACGGCGCGGTCGATACGAACCCCAGTTTAAGTGGGAATTCTCGTCGCAATTCTCCGAATTTAGGTGGCTCGTCCCACCGGCTCCAAGCAGTCTCGCACCTCACACATCGTGGCTCACCGTCACTTTCGGCCACTGTCTGCCCTGGGACTTGGGACTTGGCCTGGTACTGTGCACTACACGGCCCCCGTCGGCGGAGCGCGGTGTTGTTCGGTCTTTACGCGGTTGCACAAGTTCGTGGTCTCGGACGACACCACGTGCACGACTTTCTCGAACTTCGGATAGCGATAGTACCCTCGGCGCCCACGATACCGAGAACCGACCCAACCACCGGTGACAGCAATTCAGCTGGCAGGGCGTTGAGGCCAGGGAACAAGATTGAAGGAATCGGATACTGAGTAGCAAAGTAAACAGTACGCCCGCTGGGAGAGGGATGCATTATGGCCAATAACTCCTCCACCCCTCTTGCCGATTACTTCTGGATCGCCGGGATAGAGCACATCAAATACGATGATGACCTGGACCCCATACAGCCTCAACAATTAGACGATACGATTGTAGAGGATGGCGAGGGAGAGGATACCGACAGCTCGGTAGCCACCCCTTCGAGAGCCACGGCTCGGCATTCCCGTCAGAACTCGGCTAACCGCCTCTCTACCGTCTCCAAGCTCTCACTGTCTCCCTCGCTTTCTGGCGGCGAGGGCCGGATCTCGGAGGAGGACGACGGAAACACCAGGAGCAACCGGAGCAGTGCAACCATTCGACCAATACCACCGCCGGATCTTGGCACTAATAACACCGACAGCAACACTAATGGCAATACTGCCCTCGGACTGAATGGCTTCGGCGGAGGGGAGGGCATTGGGTTCGACGGGGTACCCCCCGACTTCGACTTTGACAAGGCGCTCCTCAAATTCGCTGCCGAGCGGGAGGACTTTCTTGACGATCTAACCTTCAGTGCGGGCGCAAGAATCCAGTCGAGGCCGCCGATGGTGAACCCGAGAACAGAGAAGCTCAGGGCCGAGGACGCCGATCAGAATGGGAGGAAGAGCCCTCTGCGAAGCATCCGTGGCAGCATCCGGCGCAAGATGAGTTTTAGGGACATGAGCAGTGTGAGGAAGCAGCCCATGCCTCCAAGGACAGGTATGTACGGGTCGAGAAACAAGCGCTCTGCTTCTCTGTGACCCTGGCATCTCCAGCCCGTCACCCATACTGACTGCCGCGTTTTGTAGCTTCGATCCGAACGGCCAAGCGCCTGAGCAACTACAACTCTGTCATCCCCCCTCCCGAGCCGTTGAACTTGGACCCTGACATGCATCCGCTCAAACGACGGTTCGAGCCTGTCCTGCTTGATAGATATCCCCAACGAGATGCCTCGGCGGACGAGCTGGCCAGGAGGGGTAAATTCCCCGACTACGTGCCCATGTTCGCTTTCCCGAACGACATCCAGATCGTGTCCTCCGACGAGCGGCCGCGCTCGACCTGGCACGGGTTTACCATGACGTCGGATGACAACTCCAAGATCTATGGCATCACCATCATTGTCTGGACGGCGCTGACGGCGGAGGTGGCTGAAGAGGTTGAGAAGCGGTGCGAGCGGTGGCGGCAAAGACACATGAGCAACGAGGAAAGGGAGCTCGCTGCCAGTCTGGGCGGCCGCCTCGCTGCAGAGCGAGCACATCTCTCTCAACTCCTTGCGAAACTGGGTACTGTGCCCTCGGGGTCGGCGGCCAGAGAATCGCTCGACGAACAGATCAGTGCCGTGGAGGAGAAGATCGCGCTCATGACCGAGATGTTGCGGCCTCTGAGGCACGGCGCCGCGTCCAAGATCGACGGTCTCACCGCGGGCGAGACGGGTCTCTGGACGCCACGAGCGTTTGGGATCCTCGGCAGGGACCCCTCCAAGATGGGCTTCTGGAAGGAGTGGCTCCGAGCGGTTGTGGTTCCCATGACCGACGGCGCTGTGTTGCGGATCCCGCCAAGCTCTCCCAAGGTCGGGCGGTGGCAGCCCCTAGAGCGCTACGTCGTCAACCTCTGCACCGAGGCTTTCAGCCCGTTGAGCTCGCTGACCCAGGTGGAGTTGAGCGTGCGTGAGCTGCGGCTTTACGCGCGCTCGGAGGCAGTCAACGAAATACCGGGATCGCGGAGCATCGATCTGTATGCCCTCTTCAGGTGTCTCTCGCTGGAGAATATCGTACTCCTGTTCGAGTACGCCATGTCCGAAGCTCGCATCATCTTCCTCTCGTCACACACCGGAATGTTGCACCTTGCGTGCCATGCGCTAGCCAACCTCCTCTACCCCTTGAAATGGGCGAGCATCTTCATCCCCGTCCTGCCCGCCCGGCTCATCTCCGCCCTCGAAGCGCCATGCCCTTACATCGTGGGAGTGGAGAGACGATACGACAAGATTGAGCTTCCTGACGACGACTACGTTCTTGTCGATCTCGACCGGGACCTCATCGACGCCACGGCACATCCTGTCAGCCTGCCGCGGCAGCACCGTCGAAAGCTCCTGTCCTTGCTTCAGGTAGCTGCTCCTCACCGTCTTCGGTACGGGGTCACCCCAGGGCCACCACCCTATGCCGTCGAAGCATTTCCCTACGACGCGTATTCGGCCGAGAACGAGGCGATTTTCAACCCTAGCCCCGTCAAGAGCTCACTGGGCAAGTGGGTGATACAGAACTCGTCCACATTCGGTGAACCAGATCCGCCGAGCTCTATCCGCACGCCCCTCCTCAACGCCTTCGCAAAGGCCAAGGCTGATCCCAGCAAACTGGACCGGCCGCCCACCGCGAAATCAAGCAAAGGCAGCCCGCCTTCGTCCGTGTCGCCGGTCTCGATGAATTTCCCGCCAATGCCCACGACGCCCGTGTCACGGAGCGACTCTGGGTTCGCTCAGACCCTCAAGGAGAAGCGGTCCGGGCATTTCGACGAGAAGTCTAGGCGCAGCTCGTCGTTCAACGTGGACCGGCACCATGGACCGGTGCACCGGCCAAGCCTCCCGTTCCTGAACGGGCACAGCCAGAACCTGTCCATTTCCGCGATCTCCATCGACTCGCAATCCTCGTTTGGAGGCTATGCTCCTTCGACCTACGCGCAGTCGACCATCGCCGCCTCAACCATCATGCCAAGCATGACAGTCCAACCGGTAAAGAACACAGAGAACACGGTCTGGGTGGAGGGCCACTGCTTCCAGTGGAACGCGTCCGAGGGCAACTCAACTTGCACAGTCTGCGAGGACCGGTCTGAAGGGGATGGTCTCTACAAGTGCAGCGGATGCAACTGCCTGGCTCACAACCGCTGCTTGGGATTCGTATCCTTGGTCTGCCCCGAGGCGTTCCATCCCGACCGGGTCCGAGCGGCATTTGTCCGCTGCCTGGCCAGTCTGTTGTACACCTACCGCAAGCACCTCGGCCGGCCATCCCGGGAGCAAAAGTCCAACGGCCAACTGTACGCGTTTGACATGGATGGATTCATCCGCAGCCTGCCCTACGACCAGCAAGAGTACGCTACCATGATGAGGGACACGCAAGGTACGCACTCATCCTATCCAAAAAGCCTTGCGCCGTCGCCAAGCTAACAAAGGTTCACCGTAGCATTCAACGAATTCATCCACGAGCGCGAGCGCCAGCCCGCCTCAGACCCGGCAATCCGCCTCTTCGACGAGATCCTCATCGCGAAGAAGGCCCGCGGCCGCCCCGCATTTTCCGCGGGCCTCTCCCGCCTTTCCACCCTCCGCGCCTCCCACGGCGGCTACCTAGGCGGCGGCGGCTTCAGCGCCGCACCCTCCGCGAATCGCCAGGTAAAGGCTCCCGGTTACCTATCCGACACGACCGATCACATCTGGCGCACAGCCTCGGTCCCCGTGCCCTCGGCCAAGTTCAACGGTGACTACCGGACCGTCATCACGCGCGTCCCCTTGCGCCTCGATCCCAGCCTGATGAGGGAGCCGAGGGCGATCCAAGGTGTGCCGCGGCCTGAACAGGGCAGGGTTAGGGGCCTGGTCCGGAAGCAAGTCGCTAGTATGTTGGGACCGCCGACGCCGGATTTTAGCGTGCCGCAATAGGGTGACGGGTGTCATCATTGAAGGAGAGTTTGAAGGGAGTCGACGAGGAGGTTGCGCTTGCTCATCTTTATCAGGGCAGGTCACGTCAGATCATCATGGTGGCGGAGATTGTATTGCCGAGGAAGTGGGTAAAAAAGGGGTAAAGTTGGTGACCGGTAGGTGGCTTGATTGTCGACCAAAGCAGAGACTGTCACAATATTGTCCGGGACCCGTGTGTGTTGGGAAAAGGGGGAAACCAAGCAGCCAGCAATGCATCGAGGGGGTTGGCCCTCCGATTCTGGCAAAGTGGTGGCTCATTCCGTTCGTTTCGATAACTCCAGGGGGGCTTCATCAAAGGGAAGAATGCGAAGAAACGGACGGACAATGTAATCTTGTTTGTACGATAAGCATTGTAATCTTTATTCTTTGGAATGGGCTGGCATGGGTGGAATGGAACGGACATAGCACAAGAACGGATACTCGCAACAGTTGAGCAGCATTGAGCTAGGGGTTACTACCTAGGTTTCCGTTAGACGAGGAGGGTGGTCTTGTATTGTACCAGCGGAACAAAGAGCAATAGTAGGTGGTCCTCACTGCAGCGCCCCGGCCCGTGGAACGACTGCTTCAGTGGCTGGATGATAACCCGGAGGCAAGATGGTAGGTAATATGGAAGGCCAACTCAGGACGGCTTGAAACTCGTTTATACAGATCAGCAAAGACGAGACGTGCTATCTATCACGGCTTGCTGTCCAGGGCGGTGAAATCTTCGCAGCCGTTCTGAGCGGTACACCTAAGCCATCTCCGGTAACCCAACAAACCTGGGCCTTACGCCTCCAAATACAAAACCCATGGATGATCCACGCCGAGTAAATGCTTCCCATGCCTAACCCAACTCCCTCTATCCCGATTCCCTCTACCATACCCGCTTCAGATCTTCTGTGTCGGCCCACCCTGCCCGTTGCCACCATTGCCGCCAGTCTCGTCCTTTTTAGGTTTGTACCGCGGCATCTTTTCGTATGCGTTCGGACTCGGCTGCCGCTTCCTTCTTTGGTGCCCTCCTGAGTCCCTCGCCCTTCCATGCGAGTAGTGGTGGTGGTGCCCGTCACAGTCATGACCTCGCCTGGTCCCATCGGCATCATGGCCTTTTCGCGCACCGTCGGAGTCGGAGTCGGAATCGGAAGAGTCGGAAGAGGAAGATTCGTCGCTAGATTCATCCACGTCCCGCGGGCGGTGGTAGATACAGCATACTGCCTGTTTGTCAGTCACCTTGTTCGTATGCCAGACTGGAGGACAACGGGGCTGCTATCCACCTTTTGATTTCTTCTTGTTCAGCCCTTCATTATCTATCACGTCCTCCCGCCATTTCACTTTCCGAGATGATGGTGCGCGAGCTCCCCGCAAACGGAGAATAGCTTGTGGTTGTGTCTGGGTCTGTTGCGCGGTAGATGGAGTCGCGGTTTCGGTCCGGGTGGGGGCTGGCTGTGGGAGTTGCTGCGGGGTTAGAGACGCCATCTTGTGCTGCTAGAACGTAGAGTGCGCTGGTAGCTCCTGCGTGTGAGGCCGTCTCTACTCGATGCTGCGGTCGTGAGTTAACGTTAAGCCGCTTAAGTCGTGGTTGCTCTCGTCGCTTACCCGACTAATCTGTCAAAGTTGCCCGTCGCTGCGGCCGATCACAAGAAAAGTCCCGTGGTTGCTCTCGGTCAGAATGTCGATCTTGTATTCAGCTTTTGCTAGAACTAGACAGCAAAGTGGTAGATTTGTGGACTGCCAAAAGCGGGGTGGTGCCAGGTTCTATCGACGGTCCGAAAGAGCGTGGTTGCTGTAGCCAAGAATTCGGGTTTGATGGCGTGGATGGGAACAACGTCAACATACGGATATTAAGCAGCGCACGGACAATGGCGGTGGGGCGTCGATCGGGAACCGACCCCAGATTTCTGGAAACACCCGACCCCGGCTCGCCTAGGTTGTCTCAGGCCAGCCCAGGGCTTGGCCAGGCGGAGCCAGGGCAGCCGGACATCAAACGACGCATGAACACCTGCATGACAAAGGCACCCGGATATCTTTAAAAATAATACCACATGATAGCTTCTAAGAAGGTTCTCAATGAACCCAGGAGGACGTTGTAGCTACCCGCACCTTAATCTCAATGTTGCACGCCCTTAGGCTGTGCACAAAGGCTGCCTTGCATCTTGATTGGCATGAACTTGAGCCCCATGGCTCAGGCTGTCACCCCATGTTAGGTAGAGGTACTAGTAGTACTATCAACGGCTATACTCGTGTATAAAAAAGGCGCGTTTGAGATTGTCAACTTTGATGCGGAGTTCTATTGCTTCTCACCAGCTGCATTATGGCTACAACCATTTCCTCATCTAGGATCTGCCTTGCGAGTACCCAGTGTTGCGATTCTGCTGATATCTGTTGCGTGGGCTAAAGTGAGGTTAGTCTCCGTTTGGGCTCACACGCAAGACTGCCCCGTCAGTTAGCATCTGTTTTCGTCCCAAACCCGTGTTCATCTGAACACGCGCAGGTAGAAGAATATCCAATTGAGTGTTTCTTGTTGTAGCCAAGCGAAGTGATTGTGATTGTGACACCAATGCTATTTCCTGAACAACGTCGGCTGATCGCTTGGTTACTCGAGAAGGCCTTGCGCTTCCCAGGCCAGCGCTGTGACCACTTTCCTTTCCGCCACTCTGGGTCGAGAACCTCACTCAGCATTGCTGTTACCGCCGGCTGCCCTTCATTAATCTGCTCGCGGAAGGTGCTCGCACTGTGAACAAGTCGCCCTGACGGCCCTTAGGGGAGATGCCATCCGGGGATCAGTCCTCACCGCAGAAGGCAAGCAGCTTCCCGGCGCTGCAAACAGTCAACTCCACATGAGAAGTTGAGTGAATGGCTTGCGTACCTCCATTTCTGGAAGGGTGAAGCTGGTCGTCGTCGTTTAAAGGGCAGTGACGCTCCACATTCATTCGTTTCCACCGTGAGGTTCCGCAAGTCTGCGAAAGTCGGTTACAACCAGGGCAGCTGCGACTGCCTTCTTTCCTTGTTGTCCACGGCCAGCGGACCGCGCGATTCGCCGCATGTGCCGCCACTTCTCGACCTAAGCCAGAGCAGGCAATCACCAGGTCCCGCAGGTCCCTTCCTGTTCTGAAAATGGATGACCTTAAAGGCTGCCCGCAGTCTCTCGAGACAAATGACCCAGCATCTCCCGAGAAGGAGAAGGCGAAGGTAACAACCGACCAGACAACCTACGGCGACACCACCGACACCACCGACATGCCTCCTGGCGGTAAAGCCAGATCCAACACGCTGAGGCGTGAGGCTGATTTCAGCTCCGTGCTGAATCCTGCCGAGAAAACTGAGCTGAGCGCACTCATAACCAAGGTGACGGAGACTATGGAGAACCATGTCACTCGACTCTTTGATCCCGTTCCCAACACTGACGATGCCCAACCCTCGCGTGTCGCCTTCTGGGACCAACTGCCATATTACCTCAAGGACCTGAACCTCAGCGATCCATTGAGCGACGTCCGAGGAAGTCAGAAGGAGAACGTTAAGCCCAGCCGCTCCAAGAAGGCGGGCCGGGCTAGAGACAAGCGGGACGCCGACACCCCCACTGCCGATAAGCCAACCGAGAACACCGCTACCCCGCGGCTCCAGGAGCTGAAAAAGGAGGCCTTGCAGCACTTCAAGAAGTGGCAGACAGTTGTCCATCGCAGAGTCGGCGAGATCTCGATCAAAAAGAGCCCGGACGTCCAGCCTGGTCAAAACGGCCATCCATCCTCTGGATCAAAAAAGCGGCCGCCGCTGAACAGGAAAGGCAAATCGACCGGTAGGCGCCACGCATGAGCCACCCGGAAGTCTGCTTTCTGACTGACCATACGGCAGGTCCAAAGGTCCCAGCTACCCCGGCAGTCACTCTGGAAGCCGATCCCGGACTGATGCAGCTCTACCCGCCGACCCCGACGTCGCTGTCCTCGATGGAGGCGGAGAAGCGGTGCCTCCTGCTGCATGCATTGGTCCTCCTCCTGCTCTCACTAGAGGGCTACAACGCCTACACTCGTGTGCTGCTCCTGCACGTCGCCTCCTCTCTGCATCTGCCGCTTCGTATTCTAGCAGAGGACGAGGTTCGCGTGGGCCAAGCGTTGTCTCAAGTCGCCAAATCCATCCCGCCGGAACTTCTGGCGCCAAAGAAGACTGAGGATGGCAAGACCGTTAAGAAGTGGAAGGCTTCCCTGGTGATCCCTACCGGCGGAGTAGCTGGCGGCCTTGCCGGGCCACTCGCAGAGGCAGGTATCGGATCGGTTCTAGGAGCAGCTAGCATCCCAAGCACAGCTGCCGCCGGACTACTTGGAACGATGAGTGACAACGCTCTGGTTGTGGGAACTTTGTTCGCCATCACCGGCTCACGAGCCAACGGCAAGATGATGGAGCATTATTTGAAGGACGTAGGTGACTTCGCCTTCATACCGCTCCGTGGTTCGATCGAAGACCGTCTCGAGATCGGTAAGATTGCCCCGGAGAGTCGTCGTCTCCGGGTCGTCCTCGGCGTCGGCGGTTGGCTGGCGAGTAAGGCCGAGGACCCTGCCAACCACTGGAGGTGTTTGGGCGGACGCAGCGAGGTTTATGCCGTTCGCTGGGAATTGGAGACGCTGACCAAGCTGGGCTCGTCGTTCGATACACTCGTGAGGAGCGCGGCGTGGTCCATGGCGAAGAAGGAGATCATGGCTCGGACCAGTGAGCCCCGCTCCAGTTCCTCAAACCACCCTTCAGTGAAGGCTAACCAGGCTGGGCCAGTTTTCGCCAACCTGGCCGATGGTCGCTGGCCCGCCGGCCTCCTCAAGATTAGCAAGATCATCGACAATAACTGGAACAACGGCATGGTCCGAGCCGACAAGCTTGGCGCTGCTCTTGCCGACGTCATCATGGGCAAAGCACAGGGCGAGCGCGGAGTTTCGCTGATCGGTTACAGTCTGGGTGCCCGCGCCGTTTATTCCTGCTTGATGTGCCTGGCTGAGAGGCGTGCGTTCGGGCTCGTCGAGAATGCCGTCCTGATGGGGACGCCTGCACCATCAGACCCCATGGCGTGGTGTGCCATGAAAAGCGTGGTTTCGGGGCGTTTGGTCAACGTCTATTCGGAGAGTGACTACCTCCTGGGGTTCCTGTATCGGACCAGCAGCATCGAGTTCGGCCTGGCAGGACTGCAGCGCGTCACCGGGGTTGAAGGTATCGAAAACGTCGATGTCACTGCTGAGATCAGTATCCACCCCAGATACCAATTCCTCGTCGGCAGCATCCTGCGTCATATCGGCTGGGATGATGTTGATAGGGAACAGATCGCCCGGGCCGAAGCGGAGCTGTCGTTCCATGAAGAGAAACTCCGGAAGCACGAGGAGCGACGGAATGCCGTTGAGTCGGGTAGGGCGGATCTTCAGAAGGAGAACGATGCGGGTGTTATCAGCACCCGCATGCGTAAAAAGAACAAGAAGAAAGTCGGTTGAAAGGAGCAGGTTGTCGCCCAGGATTGTAGAGTTTGTGTATGAGGCGAAGTCTTGTTGGAGAGCCGAAGAGAGCGGGCAAGGCGGGAGATACCTACTTAGCTGCGACTATGGTATCTATCTGTCCACATGTATTAGTATTCGGCGCTCAGCCCTGACGGGCGTCATCTTAGGGGAGACAAAACTAACATCGCATCACGTTAATCATGATGATTTGGCCTGAGCCAGCCATCTCCGTGTTCAGTCTTCAACCCCAGCTCCTGAAAGGAGTCTCTTTTCGGTAGTAGCATTTGGAGATCCCGAAAGCCCAGACCGCATTTCAACCTCCTTCAGTCTAGAGTAAGCCCGTCCTCCGATTTTGCGCTCTTTTCTTCCCACGAAACTCCGTCCCCTTACTCTTCTTTTCGACTCCCCATCAATCCTCTTCCTCCTCCTTCTTCCCACTCCCACTTCGAACAACGAAATACCTCCCCACCTTCTCGCTGGCACACCCCAACACATCCCAGTCCTCGACTCCCGCCCCATCCACGACTTCCTTCTTTTGGTCCCCTCTCCTCCTCCTTCTACGGGGTCGTCTGCACCGTCCATACACCTCCTCCTCCGCCAATGCTGACTTGAGCGTGTCCACCGTGATGGTCGCCGCCCGCATCCCCTCGGCCGTCTCGTCGCGGATCGACGACAGCGGCTCGACACCGTCCGTGTTCACGCGCTGTATGTCGCGCACGAAGTGCAGCTGCGCGTGGAGCGTGGCCAGCATGCGGCGAGTTTCCTGCGGCGTGGAGGGCTGTGGGAGCGCGGAGAGGCGGAGGAGGTGTGATAGCTGAGCGGGTGTGATTTCTTCTTCTGGGGTGGAGTTGGGCGCTGTTAAAGGGGTGTTGCTGGGGGAGCTTGGCGGGATGAGGGTGCGGATGGACCACGTTGGTTGGGAGAGCAGCGCGACGGGATCGTGTTGCGGTCTAGGGGATGGCGGTGGTGGTGTTGAGGAGGAGTAATAGCGGGTGGGGGGCCGGGAGAGCGGGAGGCGCCGACGCGCGAGGCGGGATAGGGGGAGGCGTGGGCTGGTCATGCTGGCGAGGCCAGGTCTCTTGCTGGCGTGTGGTTGATTCTGAGACGAGCCGGCGCTTTTTGGAGACGGGAAAGTTGGATCAAATCGACGTTCGCGATCAATTCGCAGTGCTAGCTTGTTTAGGGATAGTCTGGTCCGGAAATGGTATAGCTCAGGCATCATAAAGCTCCGGCTCCCGCGGACCTGCAACCGTTGGCCCACAGCTGACGCCCCGCCTTGTCATAGCCCCGAAGCCCGGTACCGTCGGACAGCACAGTACATAGTACGTAACATCCGGACCCGAGCCTCACATTCCCGTTTCTCAACCCTACAACGAAGCTGTTTTCACGTGCTGAGGCTACGTACGCAAACGGCATCATGGCTCTCGACCCGCGCGCTCTTGAGGAGAAGGTGCGCTCTCCCTCCTCAACCCCGCCACGAAGCACCTCGTCATGTCAGCTGCTGAACCGCTAGGTATACAGGCAAAGAAAACGCTCCAGAGTGCATCTGGAGGATTTAGCTTCTTCAGCAACAAGGAAGACAAGTACCAGAATGCGGCTGAGCTCTACATCCAGGCGGGTAATGCCTACAGGTTGGAGAAGATGAGTACGTAGCTGCGCGCTCTCGGCCCTCGGTCACAACCATACACCTAACGTCAGGCCACAGACAGGGAGGCCGGCCAAGCTTTCGAGCAAGCAGCAAAAATTCACAGGGAGAAGCTAAACGAGCCGGATGATGCGGCGAACATAATGGTGGACGCCTTCAAGGTCTACAAGAAAGAATACCCCAACGACGCGGTGCGTTGCATCAAGGCGGCCATCGAACGATACCAGGCAAAGGGCAACTTCCGGCGGGCCGCAACTCACCTAGAGAACGTTGCGGAATTACTGGAGGTGGAGGTAGGCGACCGCAAGCAGGCGATGGAGTTCTACCGTCAAGCGGCGCACTGGTACGAGGAGGACGGGGCAAAAGCGTGAGTGGGCCCTTCAGCTGCTGCTATCTGTGCTCGCACCAGCTGACCTTGGCCACAGGCTAGCGAACAAGCTCTGGCTGAAAGAAGCAGACATCGCAGCACTCGAAGGCGACTACTACAAAGCGGTGCAAAACTTCGAGAAGGTGGCCGATTCGTCGCTCGAGAACCACTTGATGAAGTACTCGGTCAAGGACTACTGGTTCAAGGCAGGGCTCTGCATCCTAGCAACCAAAGACCTCGTTAGTGCCCGTCGCAATCTGGAGAGGTACATGGAGAAAGACCCGTCGTTTGCGGGCCAGCGCGAGTGCCAGCTCCTGTCGGATCTGATCGAGGCTATCGAAGCGGGAAATCAGGAAGTGTTCACCGACAAGCTCTATGCGTATGATCAGATGAGCCGGCTTGACAAGTGGAAGACGGAGATTCTGGTCAGGGTCAAAAACCAGATCGAGGAGGCTGATAGCGAATTCTCGTGAGATTTTGATTGGTTGCTGTTCTGGCGTTTGGGATTCGGAAGGGGATGTATATCATCTCGTTTGGGGTTTCCGGTTTTTGAGCACCCGACGGTCTGGCTATGATACTGTGGTGAAATAGAGTGTGGTGTGAGGCGATTCCTTTTCCTGATCACCTTTTCATCGCCAGGCTCAGTACTAGTATACTACTGCCTGACTTATTCACATAGTCCAGGGGCTAGGAAGGGGGCCCAAGGGCGTTTTTGCAGGGGAAAGTCCGCCAATAGACAACCCTGATCTCTGTCTGCCACCCTTTGACCCTTATCGCCTTTGCCCATTGAGGTGGGGTTGCAAACTGATAAATGATAACGCCCAACTTTTTTGGATGCCGCCCCGAAATTTCTCGACTTGTAAGACACCGTGAGCTGCCTCGACTTACAGCGAACCCGACGCGGAACCGCCAAAATGGCTTCTCCTTCGCTAAAAGAGAAGCTCGAAAAGATCAGGTCTCCGAATCTGCAGAATCAGAAGCAGGTGAGTTCCATATGCTCTTCTTCTTTCTAGTTTTCGTTCCCTATGTCTCGAGACCTATACACTGATCATGGCTGCAGACCGCCACCGTTCTCGAGGGTGTCGAGTCAGTGTTCAAGGAGCGCAACACCGTACCTACCCCGACAGCTTACTTTGCAGCGCTCCTCAGCCTGCTAGACAACAAGACCCTTACGCATCCAGTCGTTTATCTCCTCGATGTCGTCACCCCTTTCGCGCCCGAGCCTCTCCTCCGCGCCAAGTTCACGCAGATCCTCACCCTACTAGCACCAGTACTATCTCAACCAGACGCCGACGCACCCTTGATCAGATCATCGATTGGTTGCTTGGAGGGGTTATTGCTCGCTCAGGATGCGGCGGCTTGGGAAATGAGCGCCGCCGTGGTCGGTCCACGGCGGGCAGTGGGCGGCCTGTTGAGCTTTGCCCTTGATCCCCGCCCGAAGGTGCGGAAGAGGGCACAAGAAGCGTTGAGGAAGGTCCTTAAGAACCCGCCACCGAGTCCGTCCCTTGACCATCCCGCCGCCGCCATGTGCGCTGAGACGGCTATGATGAGCCTGAAAGCGCTGGCGGAAAAGGCTGCCCAGTTGAGGAAGGAAAAGAAGGGGTCAGAAGGCATTCATGATCCAGAGCTGATTCATGCGCTTCAACTGGTCAAGACCGTAGCGTCTGCAAGCGGTGGATGGCCCAGCAAGAAGATAGAGTCTCTGTGCGAGCTGCTTCTCGGCATCGCCCGTTCTGGAAACGAGCATATGAGCATGTCCGTGTTCGACATCTTCGAAATGATCTTTGAGGGGATGGCGGATGAGGTTGCCTCGGCCAAGCTGCCGAGGTTACTCGAAATCATCAAGGAGCTGCGCCCGGCCCCGAACGACACCCAACTACTCCCACCATGGATCGCCATTCTATCAAGAGCGTACGACGTCTCGGCGCAGATTTCGCCGGAGGAGACGTTCCAGGAACTGCTGGAGCCTTTCAACATGGTGGCTACGTATCTCGAGTCCGAAGCAAAAAACATCCGGATCTCCGCCTCGGAATGCTTGGTCTCGTTTATGGCGAACTGTGTCCCCAGGCAGGTACTCGTGGAGCCATCAATATACGACGAAAAGGTTATTCAGCAGCTTGTGAACACGGCCGAGGGTCTGCTCACTGTGAAATACCAAGCAGCATGGCTTGAAACCTTCAACGTTATCGGCGCCATGTTTGATGCGCTACGCTGGCAATCTGCACCTCACCTCCTTGGCATCACGAAGAGCATCGGCGAGATGCGAGGCAACGAGTCCTTCACAGGGAAGCAGGAAGCTGACGAAGTACTCGGGAAGGCGATCAGAGCAATGGGTCCCGAGGCTGTGCTGAACGTCTTACCCCTGAATCTGGCCAAGCCAGCCAAAGGCCAGCCAGGCAGGGCGTGGATGCTCCCCCTTCTACGTGACTACACCTCGAACACCAACCTGGCACATTTCAAAACCGAGTTTGTGCCCTTGAGCGCAACCATGTTCCAGCGGGTGCTGGACCACGGCACCGCTGCCAAGACGATGGAGGTCAAGATCTTTGAGACGGTCGTGCAGCAAATATGGTCCATCCTCCCGGGATACTGCGATTTGCCGTTGGATCTTGTGGAGGCTTTCGACAAAGGTTTTGCCGAGATGTTGACGGTCTTGCTCTACGAGCAAGTCGAGTTACGGCTCGATGTCTGCCGTGCACTCAAGGCGCTTGTGGAGTCGAACCAGGCCGTAGCCTCGGCGTCTGACGAAGAGGACCCGGTTCTGCAGAGCAGAGTCACGAAGGAGACCGCGCAAAGGAACCTCGCGTATCTGGGGACGACGTTTGCTGCCGATTTCCTTGCCGTGCTCTTCAACGTCTACAGCACGACGTTGCCCCAGAAACGGGGCCCTGTTTTGCAGACAATCAACTCGTACCTCAGCATCATTCCCCCAGCGCGGCTCATGGAAACGTTCGACCTCGTGTGTGAGAAGCTCGCTGTAGCTCTCCAAGAACCCATCGAGAAGCCGAAGAACCAGCAGAACGGTGAACAGGTGCCTTCCACCGCACACACGCTGATGGACCTCGTGGTCACCATGTCGGTTTACCTGGCAAGGGAGAGTTTCGAGGCCCTTTTCAAGATCGCATCACTCGTGGTGTTCAAGGACGACGACCCGCAGCTGCAGAAGAAGGCCTATAAGTTGATCCCGCGGCTAGCCGACTCGGAAACCGGCAAGGTCGCGCTTGAGCAAAGAAGCGCAGAGCTTCAAACGCTTATTCTGTCTAGTGCCGAGAAGGTGTCCGCGCCCGCTAGGCGTGAGCGCCTCGCTGCAATTGCGGCTCTGATACCCTTCATTCCCGATACATCCCTCCACTTCATTCCCTCCATACTCTCGGAGGTCGTCATCGGCTGCAAAGAGAACAATGAAAAGGCCCGGACGACAGCATTCGACCTGCTGGTCCTGATGGGTCACAAGATGGTGGCTGCGTACGGAGCCTTGATTGACAACAGCAAGGTGCCGCACATGCCCAAAGATGCGCCAATGGCGAAAGCTTCCATAGAGGAGTACTTGACCATGGTCAGCGCCGGGCTCGCGGGCAGCACTCCCCACATGATCTCGGCGTCCGTCACCGCCATCACCCGCGTGCTCTATGAGTTCCGCGAGGCGCTTAGCAAAGAAACCCTGGCCGACCTGGTGCAAACCATGGACCTGTTTCTGACCTCCAACAACCGCGAAATCGTGAAGAGTGTGCTTGGCTTCATCAAGGTATGCGTCATCAGTCTGCCCGCCGATTTGATGCAACCGCGCCTCGCCACCTTGATCCCCAACGTCATGGTCTGGAGCCACGAGCACAAGGGCCACTTCCGGTCCAAGGTCAAACACATCCTCGAGCGCATGGTGCGCCGCTTCGGCGTCGACATTGTTAACAAGCACTGCCCCGAAGCCGACCGCAAGCTGATCACCAACATCCGGAAGACCAAAGAACGCAGCAAGCGGAAGAAGGAGGCAGCGAAGGACGCCGGGGATGAGTCTGACCCCGAGCAAGCTGGCAAGCGCAAGGGCCGCTTCGAGAGCGAGTACGACCAAGCACTCTACAGCAGCGACGACGAGGAGTCAGGCCAGTCCCACTCGGACGACTCAGACGTCGAGATGACCGGCCGCAGACAGAAGCGGAAGGGCGCGGCGCAGAAGGGCGGCAGCGCCTATATCCTCGAGGACGAGGACGAGCCGCTTGACCTGCTTGACCGGAATGCGCTCGCCAACATCTCCACCACCAAGCCGAGCAAGCTAAAGAAGACTGGCAAGAAGACGAAGGCCAAGACGGACGCGGACGGGAAGCTCATCCTGGGCGGAGACGATGACGAGGCGGCGATGGATATTGATACCCCGGCCGCCGGTGGTGGTGGGGAGGAGGAGAGCGGAGTGGGCGCCTATGTCGCTGCGCTCAAGGGCAAGGACATCCCACGGCGCGGCCTGCGCGGCAAGCTCAAGTGGAACCGGGGAAGGAAGAATGCGGACGACGACGATGATGACGAGAGTGATGGCGGGATGGAGATTGATGAGGGTGCTGCTGCCAAGGCGTTCAGGGATAATAAAGCGGGCGGTAACAGGAGGAGGGGTGGAGGCGATGCTAGGGGGAGAGGCGGTGGCGGTGGATTTGGCAAGGGGAGAGGAGGCTCAGGTAGGGGCGGAAAGGGCGGGATTTCCGCTGCTGTGGGTAGGAGGGGGCTGGGGCAGGAAAAGAGAAGGGGTCCGGCTATTCATGGAAGCCGGGTCAGCAAAGGCGGGAAAGGGAGGTCATGAGCATCGGGGGTTCTGTAGGGCTGCTTTATGATTTGCAAGGTTGATTTGATGCTATGTCTATGACTGTTCTCTGGAGTTGGGGTTCGGTAGGCAAAACAGTATTGTTCGTAGGGGTATCAAAGCTGTTTACAAAACAATGCAAGAGAACCCCTTCTACCAAACGTCACCAATTATCGCTTCTCAACAACGCCAATGAAAATAGGTAAAAGCAGAATGCCTATGCAGCAGCCCCGCACAGACAGTTCGAGCAAGAAAAGAGTTATGATTAGTCATATTCAGAAAGAAGGACTTTGCACCCGCCCGAGATGTACTAGGAATATTCCATGGCGAGGGAGTACTAGTAGGTACCGTAGTGGCTCGGGAATCGGTGGTCATGACCTCCTTCAGTTGGACTTCGTGAGTTCAGAGCTCGTGAATAGGTGGTGAGTCGTGATTGATGTAAATGAAAGTATAGTAAATAGCTGATTCCTGTTCTATGGCGGTGGTGAAGGTCAGGTGGGCGACATAGTAAGGCGACCCACTCTGGTCTTCGATGTGTGGTTCCTTTTGAGTACACAGTAAGATCTAGAATTCTAGATCCTGCTGTCACACTGTGCTTCACACAGTACGCAAGAGCCCCACCGTCCAAACCAAAATTTAAACCACAAGCCGAGCCCGCCAGCTTTTGCTCCCTTTTCCTCTTTTTCTCCCCATGAAAGTTGAATACCCGGGGACGCAGATTTCAGGCCCGATGTTTCAGGGACTTCGGTCGCTGTGTGTGCATCGGGTTGTATCACCCGGCAGAGAGAAACTGGCGTCTCAAGAATTGCTACTAGCAGGCTGTGTTCTCACGGCCCGCGATGAGTGGGCGATCCCGTTTGGCCTCGACATTTCGATACATGGTGGACTGCACTGCAGCAAGAAGTTCAAAAGAGAACTGTTGAATGCGGAGTGCTAGGTCTTAGCTATCCATTGGAATGATCCCGCGCATATCCTAGGAGGTAGGCCTCGACGACCTCCACTCCCGTCCTTGCCGGGGAGGCAACGTACGCACCCTTGAGGCACCTTAGACAGGTTGATGTGCCCCGGCTGAAGTGCGGCCGGAGGAAGCCCAGCGGCAACCTTTTCATTATGCCTGACATGGCTCGCTTGAGATCTCGGCGTACTGTTGGGCGATATACTCCGTACTGAGTAGAGCGATATTCATAACTACTAGTGGTTGTTGTGCCCGGACTCCTCTATTTCGCGGGTGTCATACCCAAGACCCACAGAAGGCTAGTTTTCTCTACATACTCCGAGCATAGACTCTTCTCATCATTTGCGTCGGTGTGCTTCATAAGCGACATAGATACAAAGCTAACAAAAAAACAAATCGGATATCCGCCGTCCGTCATTGATGATAAAGTCAGAAAAAACATGAAGAATCGTCACCTGTAGGATTCGAACCTACGCTCCCGAGGGAACTGCCTATCAAGCTAACTGTCAATTAGCAGGGCAGCGCGTTAACCACTCCGCCAAAGTGACTTATTGGTTAGTAGTGCGCTTTTCTAATATATCAACCCAGATAGCTATCCCACTCAATCAGAAAATCGCAGACCAGTTCCAACAACTGCGTCCAAGACAATCATCTTGCGAATAACTGCTTATTAGCATGATTCCGCTACGTTCATTTCATCCGATCCTCATCGCAGGATTTAGTGTAAGCCCTGCAATGCGCGCTGCTGAAGTCGAGAGTCTGAGTCAGGGCCAGATGAGTGGAGCCGGTGACAATGTGGACTACAGCGATTGGGCGATTGTTGATTTTGTCGGCCTGTTCCCACTTCCCAGCCAAGAACGAACAACGAACATGTGACGGTTGCAGGGCTTTATCAGCGCAGCTTGGGTTGGCTGCAAGTGTTCCATTCTCTTCTTGCTTGCATTGACATGCTGGAGGATTGCCCTCCCGAGCAGCCGGGCAGCAAGTGTGGGACTTCAATGGAAGTTGAGTCCTGAAGACTCCCTTGTACTTCATTGTGGCTTCATCGTGGTGGTGTATGAAACACCAGGCTGCAATGCTTTGACAAGTCAGGAGCCACGCGTTGAAGACCACAACCGCTGACTTTATCTCGCCACCACTGATTTCCAATCCAGAAAACTTGATAGAGCGCGAAAATGACCGACCAAGCAAAGCTCCCAACTTTGCGCCATTCCAGGGTCAGTTAGTCCAGCGCGGAGTTCCAGAGCGACTACCTGCAACCCCATATCACATGAAAATGTCTGAGCAAGACGAACCCATGTAAGTCAGATGTCGAAACACACCGATAAAAGCTCCCGTCTCCATTCTCGAATGCCAGGGGCAGCATGCGGGGACAGGGCCACAGGGGCCACCACAACACTTCGTTATTAAGAAGGCTCAACTGCATTGCGGCCCGGGTCGGGTGGGAGGCGGCATCGAGATCTGCATTCTCTGATGGGCCTGGCGCGGATTGCGAGCCAGCTGAACACCCATGACTGGAGCCCATGTTGCCAGCAACACCTGCGCCAGAACACCTGGCCCAGTTCCTATTCGGCGCCCAACGTCGGTTGCTGCGGCTGCTGCTGCTGCTGCTGCGGATGCGTTGTGCTTCTGCCACAGCACAAGCGCACGCGCTGAAGAGCCCGAACGGCCCGACTTGACATATCCCACCATCCCACCGCTCCGACTGCTTCCATGGGGCTATTCACTGCTCCAGTCTCTCATTTCCTCCTTCTCCCGGGACGCCCCGGATACATGTTCTCCATCATCATCATCTCCAATGCTCAACCGGGCTAACCCGTACCCCAGGAAGAAGGTGGCCATTGTGGGTGGCGGCTGCACTGGGATTGCGGCGTTATGGGCGCTCAACCGCAGCCCCCACGATGTCTACATCTACGAGGCCGCTGACCGGCTGGGTGGCCATGCCAACACGGTTGAATTTGTCAAGGGGAAGTACAAGACCTTGGTCGACGCGGGCTTCATCATCGTGAACTCGGAGACCTACCGTACGTTGCATCCGCAGTCAATGCCCCGGGCCCCGATGTCAGCAACTAACATGTCAGTAGCGAACTTCATCAACTTCCTCAAGCATATCGGCGTGGATACGGCTCCCGTCAACATGACCTTCTCCGTTTCGCGGGACCAGGGTCGTTTTGAGTGGGCCGGCTCGAGCCTGGATGCTCTTTTCTGCCAGCGGACGAACTTGCTCTCGCCCAAGATGTGGCGTATGATCTTCGACATGGTCCGCTTCAACCACTTTGCTATCGACGTCTTGAGAGCGGCTTCGCCGCCTGATGAGACGGTAGGGGAGTACCTGGAGCGGGAGGGCTATTCGAACGCCTTCCGCGATGACTACCTGCTCCCGATGGCGGCGTCCATCTGGACCATAAGCCCGGACAAGTGCGCGCTCGACTTCCCAGTCGTGACTATGGTGCGCCTCCTGTCAGTAGCCTTGCCCTGACCATGATTCCATGATTCCCGAACGGCTACTGACGTCTTTGCAGGTGGAACCACCATCTGCTCTCAACCACGTCCTTCGCTTCGAAACCAGCCTGGCTCACCTTCGCAACGGGGTCGCGGACGTACATCAACAAGGTCATGAGTGGCTTCCCGCCCAATCACGTGCGGCTCAACACTGCCGTGTCGAAGCTCACCAACGAGCCCGATGGACGGGTGCGCCTGCACACCGCTGACGGCTCCTCCGAGGTGTTCGACCACGTCATCTTGGCCACCCACGGCGACCAGGCATACTCGATCGTTCGCGACTCGGCCACCGAGCAGGAGCGAGCCATCCTGCAGAACTTCCGGACCGCGCCCAACGTGGCGGTGCTCCACTCGGACGCCTCGCTGATGCCGGAGAACCGGAAGGCCTGGTCGAGCTGGAACTACCTGACGAGGTCGTCGCCGCTGACAGGCCGGGGCCACGTCGACCAGGTTTGTGTCACGTACGACATGAACACCGTGCAGCAGATCCCTTACAGGGCATTCGGCGACGTCTTCCTGACGCTCAACCCGCTGCACGAGCCGGATCCCAAGACGGTGCAGGGACGGTACACGTACCGACACCCCCTGTACACCCCGGCGACCATCCGCGCCCAGCAGCAGCTGGACAGCATCCAGAACAAGAGGGGCATCAGCTACGCGGGTGCATGGACCGGCTACGGCTTCCACGAGGACGGATTCAACAGCGGGGTTCGTGTGGCGGTGGAGCACCTCGGCGGCAAGATCCCGTTCGAGTACAGGGACTTGGCCTCCATCCGCGGCGAGCGACCTGCGTTGACCGTGACTGGCAGAATCGTCAGGTTCATTGTTCTTCTTGTCCAGCTTTTTTTTCTTGCTGTTTTGGACAGGCTGGTGGACAGGGTTGAGGGACTGGCCGCCAAGTCCACCACCCGGCGGCTCGCGATGAGGGTTAAGGGCCCTGCTGCCATGAAGCATGAGAAGAAGCATTAACGTTAGATTATGTGTTGGACAAATCTTGGGAAGAAAACTACTGTATACATCCATGACCAGGGCTACCGAGCGAAATACACAGCGGTAGATTTTATGAAGATGCATTCATTGAGCTTAATGTTTTGTTTGTTCCTCTTTTGGCAATATCCAAGGAGGAGGGGGTGTAGGGGCCAAATATCTGCCGGCCGTGGTCAGCTGGCAGAAGTTACTAATTACTAGTAGTTACCAAGGACCCTGACTTTGGCTGCCTTGCGCAGCGCCGAGCTACACAGTAGGTCGGATGTTCACAGCTTGACTCTTGAACCCCGCCAGTCGCCACAGCACCACCCGACAGGATGAATTCAATACCGCACATTGCCCGGCGCGCGGCCGCCGAGGCTTCTTCGAGCTGGTCCTGCTTCTTCTGCCGGCGCGCGGGCGGCCAATGGCAGCAGAATGCGACAAGAGCAACTCCCAAGTCTCGGTCCGTCGGCTCTCCGCGGCTCTTCTCGGGGAGCTTCCCTAGGAGACAGCAGCAGAATGGGAGGCTAGGCGGAGCGGCGCCGGGGATGGACCGCATGAGCGAGGTATACAAGAGGAGGAACCGGTCGACAATGTAGGAGCGCATTCCAGCCGTCTCAAGAGTACCAACCTAACTGGAGGAAGAAGGGGCTTTGCATGGGGGTGGACGGTTGCTAAGTTGTTGGATTGTCAGGTACTACACAATGAGCATCATCCTCGGCACCGTCGCCTTCTCGTATGGCTCCGTGCCCATGTACAAGATGGTATGCGCTGCGCCCTACCAAAACCCACGTTATCCTTCCCTCCTTCCCTGCTACTCTTCCCTAACTTCCGGATCATAGATCTGCCAAACAACAGGCTGGGGCGGCCAGCCCGTCCGCGCACACGGCACCTACAGCTCGTCCGATGCCTCCGGAGACGACCTCGCCGCCCGCCTCGAGCCAGTCACCAACGTCCCGCGCATCCGCGTGACCTTCTCCTCGTCCGTGTCGGACGTGCTCCCCTGGAAGTTCACGCCGCAGCAGCGCGAGGTCCGCGTCCTGCCGGGCGAGACGGCCCTGGCCTTCTACACGGCGACCAACAACTCCTCGAGGGACATTGTGGGCGTGGCCACGTACAGCGTGACCCCGGCACAGGTGGCGCCCTACTTCAGCAAGATCCAGTGCTTCTGCTTCGAGGAGCAGCGGTTGGCGGCCGGCGAGACGGTGGACATGCCCGTGTTTTTCTATCTGGACCCGGAGCTGTTGAAGGATGTCAACATGAAGGGGGTCGAGACGGTGACGCTGAATTATACTTTTTTTAGTGAGTCTGCTTTTCCTCTCTTCGTCTTCTTTGGTGTGACATGTGCGACTGACCGGTGGTTGTCATCGTCTGTAGAGGCGAGGTATGATGAGAACGGTAGATTCCAGGCGCCTGGGGTTTGAGCGGTCGAGGTGCTCTAGTGTGACGATGAAAATGGCGGATGGGAGTAGATACCTACCTTACGTACAGAATCTGTTTGTAGCGATATGTAGACGGTGGTGCGTGGGTCGGTTGGAAAACGGGTCCTGGGTTCAGGACAATAGAGATTATACCCCCCCTCTGTCGTCAATGGCGTGTGTATCTCATGCATAGGTACCTATATAGCCGTTCCAGACCCAACGACTATGAACTTCCAACAGAAACAAGGTACAGGATATCATACATGATACAAGTTCTATGCTACAATATCATTACAACCATTTAAGAGGACTATCCAAGTTTGACAGAGCTCACGCGCCACTTGGCGCGCCTGGTTCCCTCGCTCTCCTCTTCTGCATCTTCTTCACCCCCTTCATAGCCTTCCGCGGGCGCGACCTGGTATCCCTTTTCGGCTTGTTCAGCACCCATGCGTTCATCGGCGGCCGATATCCAATGAACTTGCCCTCGGGGCTATACACATCAATAACCGGCCACCTGGGCTCCGGCCGCTCTGCTCCCCTATCGCCTTTTTTGTTCTCAACATTCACCGGTTCAGGCCTCAGATCCAGCGTCTGCAAATTCTCTCCCCATTCGCCAGTACCAGCCCCGACCCTTGCATCCCCATTATCCTCGGGGTGGGCGAACAGCTGCCTCGTGCGCACCTGCACCGCCAGCTCGACCCAGCCGCAGCCCTCAATAAGGATGTCGATCCCGAGCACCCGGTACGGCAGGCGATCCACCTTCAGCCCGACCGCCACCTTGCTCGTCAGCGGGCCCGTCCGCTGCTTGGTCACGTCGTACCGGACCTGGAACGCTCCCGCGTGCTGGATCTTGTCGCCCGTTCCCGGCACCGCGATGTTCTCCACGTGGGGTGCATCCTCGGCCTGGGTCTGTACCGCCACGGCCTTGTCGGTCGCCGTGAGGTGCGGCTCGATGGGCGTGAAGGCGTACGCCAGGAAGATGAGCTCCTCGTCCGGCGCCACGTTGCGCGGTGTGATGCGGATGAAGCCGCCCAGGAGGAGGGATTGGCCGGGCTTGAGAACTTGTTGCTCCGGGACGACGCGCGATTTCATGATGAGGTCGGGGCGTCTGTCCTCGCGAACGTGGAGCTCCAGGTCGCTTCGCGCGAGGCCGGGGAGGTCGATGAGCTCGCCGCGCCCGTTGCCAAAGGGCACGCGGATCGGCGAGGCGGTGGTGCCCGGGACGGAGGAGACGACCGGCATGGACGGGTAGTTGGTTTCGGGTTGAGCGGGGGGGAGGAGGGAGTATTCTTCGTCTAGGTTGATGCTGCGGCCAGGAAGGAAGGGATTGTCTGGATCGGGGTCGGCATCTTCTGGGTCCGGTGGGGGCACGAGCTTTTGCTGGGCCTTCGGGAAGACGTCAACGGATATTGGGTGCTTGGGAGCGTCCCACTCCATTCTGCCCTTGGGGAAGACAGCTTCGAAGAGCTGACTCTTGCCGACGTTCACCTTCCCCACCATCCAGCCTGCGCCGCCACGCTTCCAGATCTCCTCCTTAAGCTCTTTGGTCCACCAACTCCTCTTCGCACTGACACAGTGCACGTTGCCAAGCCTAATACGCCCACCGACCCTGCCTAGAGCGGCGCGCAATGTCTCCTTGATGTAGGGCATCAGCGAGTCTACCTGCTCCTTCTTCGGCGCCAGGAGGTCGGACCTGCTGATGATGAAACTCATCTCCATCCGCCTGCCGTGCTTGAACTTGACTGGCGTCGCTCGGCGGTTTTGCGTGCGGAGCGTGATGTCTAACAGACTATGGAGTCGCGGGAGCAGAGACATGGGGAAGTCTGCGGCATCGAGGACGTGGTATACGTGATTGCGTTTGTACGGTGATTCTTCGATTGTATCGCGCAGCGACTCGATGCTTGGATGATATATAGGATTGCCAGCTGAGTGGTGAACTAGGTAGTGGCAGCGGTCGCAAAGGGGAGGCTTTTCCGTCAGCGGCGTAGCCGTGGTCTCGGGGGCGCGCTCTGGCAACAGCGTCTTAAGGTTGATTCCCTGCCGTTCCAAGGCCTCAACATCAACCGACTTCAGCGTTTGCTCGACAATCCTATCCGCGTCGCGTGGCTTGGCCAGCCTTTCCTCCTCCAAGCCCAGGTACTGCCTGACTGCCTTGCGCGACACATTATAATAGCCGGCCTCGTTGGGTACCGTAGTTTGCGACAGCGCGCCGCAGCCATGGCATTGCACTGGTAGTGTCTTGGGTGGCAGTTTGGTCGATACGGGCGGTTCTCTATGGACACTGGCCACGGTCTCGGTATGCAACCGTCGAGCTTGGACGGGTCGGGTGCTCGGTCGACCTCGTGGGCGAACAGCGGCATTGTCAACGGAGAGCGCCCGGAACGCTGGGCAGAGGTATAGTGGTATTTCCGATGTGGCGATGCTGCGCTCGAGGTTGAGTGCCCTCCCTAGCCATCTTGAGCACAGCGCACGTCCCGATGACATTGCGCTATCACGGCTTCAAAGAACCAAGTTGGGTGGTTCAAACTTCGAGATCACAGGTGCAAGCTGCGTCCAGATTTTCCCAATCTGGCGAATCCTTTTTTTTGACCAGGGGTCCAGCGGCAAGCAAAGTTTAGCCCATCCGCCCATGCGACCCGGCGACCTGGGCCCCGCTCGGTCGCGGCAGGCAAAAGTGGTGGGCCCCCTTGTCTTGGCTCGGCCGCGTCAAGCCAAAAATTTCCGGGGTTCGATCACCGAGTCCGAGCCGTGTTCACATCACGTCGCCGTCCGATCCCAACGTCCCGCTCTCCCGACCGTGTGTTCTCTGAGCGCATCGGTTCGAAAGAATATCAAGATGGTGGGCGTTCTCCGCCGTTTCAACCAGCTTAAAGCAGTAAGTGCTCCTAAGTTCAGCCAGCAGGAAGTAAATCAATCGCTAACGAGAGTGAACGCATTGTAGAAGGTAAGGTGAAGACGCACCTTTTCACTGGTCGACAGCTCTCCACAACTACCTGACGAGGATGTTGACCTTCTTCTCAGCTTGTCAGGATAAGGACTGGCCCGGGGGCGGCAGTTCTTCCACAGGATGTGACGCGGATACACATGGAGTTTGCCCACAAGTTGAACGACGGCCATATGGGGCCGAGGTGCGACCAATTCCCCCCTCTGCGACTGCGAGCTATGGACATCGGGACTTACATACCTTGTCGTAGGAAATTCTGGCGAGAGGCGCTTCCGCGATTAAAATACTGGAACCCCGCGGTACCCATGGTCGTCAACCGAACAACAGACAACAGTGGGCCGGCCACACTGACGCTCTACTTCCGCGAACCGGGCGCAACACTCGCGTCAGATATGCCAATGCCCAGTTCATCAAACGAGGGCTTTGCGAAGGCGCCCGCGCCGGCCGAGGGCGAGCGCGTCGTCACCATCGATATGAAACACCGGCGGTCCGAGGCCATCCTTAAGGAGTTCATGGACAAGAGCGGCGCCGTGGCAGTCACGCCCACACCGCAAGATGAGGTTGAGCTGCGTGAGGCGGAGGAGCGGGAAGCGAAGGGTGCCGTTGACCGTGAGCGGATCAGGAGGATGAACGAGGAAGCGAAGAGGGAGAAAGCAATGATCGCACAGGCGCAATCGGAGGCAGCTGCTATCCGCTCGTCATTGTAAAGATATCCGGCCGGCGAGGTGCGGAGATGTTGGCTGCTAGGGGGATAGAGACAGCCGCGTGTATATCATTGTACATTACATACGCCTGGGCCAAGAGATGGACATTGTATGGCGAGCTTGGAAACGCTCCAAACGGGGTCGGCCGGCGTGGTCAGTCCGCAATATAACCGCCTCTCCATTTCGCAAACTACCAAGCAGCCGGTGATCAGCTGGTGGGTTGTCTCGAGACTTGATGTGTCCCTGGAAGACAATCTATCCTCAAAACCCCGCCTTGCTTTTGAGTGCCCCAACACCATTTGAGTCCGAAGCTTGTTGAGTTCTACCAACCTTAGCAATCCATTGCCAATAACGCAGTGTGACGCCTTCCGTATGTAAGTACCCTTGGGAACACAAGGCTGGCCGCATCACGCATGTCCAGATTGTATGCAACCTTCTTTCAAGTGTCAAGCTCGTCGATCCGCAGGATTCCTAGCAGGGATTGCCCGGTATGATCCGCCCCTTGGGCAGAGCCTCACCGTGGGGCTCCTTCCTGGTACCGTATGTATTGTATGTAATCCGAACGTTCCGACATTACAGTACACAAACGTCCACTCCCTTTGTTGAGCGGGTCCGTTCTCCGATTCTCGGGTTCGCACGTTTCTCATCAGTTAAGGTAGTCGGTCTCTGCTTATTTATACAGTACCTCCGTCCGGGTGCAGTAAACCCTTCGGACCCTTCGGCTAGGTTCTACCTAGTGTGACGGCCCCGGGGCTGAGCCCGGTAACTTCGGGCCGTCTCCTGGAGCCAACATACGTAAGCCACGAACCAGGGAACGATATCTTGGCAACCACTTGGATCCACGCTTTCGCGAAGCATACCAAGACGAGCTCTGTTTGTTATTTGCAATCCTCCTCGGCTCCTCGCATCAACTCTTTTACATGGCTACGCTCGTTATACGATCCCGACCGGTGAAGTCCGAGTCATGCGTACTCCGCCCAGTCCTATGTGACATTGATAACACGTATTGTACACTTATTAGTACTTGTACCTCCATGCATTCGTCCAAAATTCAGTTACCCAGTCTTGTAGGTGGGGTATCCAACGTCGTCAAGGAATATTCATGACCCAGGCCGCTTGAAAGAAGAAGACAAAAGAGGATGGGCTGATTCGCCTCCGATTCATTCCGCCCCCGGCTCAGGCTCTGGCTCCGCCTTTGCCTCCTCGATGAGGAGATCCTTCTCGTTTCTCGCAAAGTTCTTCTGCAGCAGCTCGCTTATGCTTTGCATTAGGACGTCGCCTGTGCTTGCCTTGGCGCTTGGTTTGTTGAGTGTGTAGTGGCGTATGAACTCGCCCTTGCAGTCGTCAATGATGCCTGCCTTGGGGAAGAGTCCTGGGTATCCGTTTGCATCGTTGCAGGGGATCTCCTTTGTGGGGTTCCGCGTTAATTCGTGCCTGGGGAAAGAATAGATAGACGCTGGGTTGACACTCACCACAATGTTGTTCCCGGACGGGTTGAAGTCGTAGCGGATGTACTCGGAGAATGCGCGTTGCTCGTGGCTCCAGCGATTCTTCCACTTCCCGCACCCCGGGTATCTCTTTTCGGTCGTGCATTCCGCCCACGCCTGCAGCATCTCGTGGGTGTATGGGAGGTTCTGGAGCACGACCACACCGCTGTTGAGCACCACGTTTCCTTTGCTGTCGGTGCTGATATTGACTCCCGTGTCGTTCATGACCTGCTGCGTGTCGATGGGCATCGCGATCGACGTGTCTGGCGTGATGCTCCACCGGTTGAACAGGAACTCCATGGGCACCTCGAGGTGCTGGATGATAGCATCGGCGTCGATGAAGACAACAAATTTGTAGTCGCGGAGCACTTCCAGGAGAACGTGCGGCTTGATCCAGGTATCCCAGTGATCTGCCATCTTCCGCGCGTGGAAGAATTTGTAATCATAACCGTGGATCTGGGCTATGGTGCATGTTGCGTCAGAGCCCGAGCTGCTCCTTCAAGAGACAGACCGCAGTAAACGTAAACTCACAGTAGATGAAGTGGTTGATGTGAGACACCGTCAACAGGCCCGAACCCGAGGCCCTCACGGCCTCCCAGTCCAGCTTCTTGGCGTTGAATATCTCATTCTCACCACTGGGGTTCCGTGTATCGATTTCCACAATCAGGAGATCTTTCCCCATGGGCTTCTTCCAGTAGTCCCTGCCACCATTGTCGAAGGTGTGGCCCCGCTGGTCGGTGTAGTGTTGAGCGGTGACTGGAAGCTTGATGGGCTCGTAGAGAGTATAAATCATGTCGCTGAAGCCGCGTCGGCCCGCGGGCGAGGCGGCATTCTTGATGGCCTGGATCGGGCCGGCGAGAGAGCCGACATGCAACGTATAAACGAGGGAAAGAAAGACAAGCGCAATGGGAATGCAGATTTTGAGCATGCGCAGCGTATTCGGAGGGAGCGCCGGGAGCGCCATCTGGGGAAGAGCTAACGAGAGGAATCGTCCCAGAGGGACTACAGTCTTCTATCGTACATATGGCAGAGCCAGCAAGACAGGGGAAGAATGACGGGAAGGATGAATGGAAGAAGAGAAGGAAGACGCCAAGGGGCATTTTACTACATCCCAGGCAAAGCTGCCGGTCCCAGGGAGAGAGCACTCTCCAGACTTGGCGGGCTGACCACCTTGGCCGTAGTTGGTTCGTATAATAAGCCTGCCCAGTCCCGCCACCATACGATAAACCTGCTTGGTGTGAGTGGTTTGGCTGCGGGTGGGCTGTGCATGCCGTGCTGTCCCGTGGAGGGCTACTACCCATCCCGGGCGGATACAACTATCAGCATAAACAGCCATGTCGGTTCTGTCACTGAGCCAACTCCTAGCCGCTGCCGTGCGCGTGGCCCTTGATTGACGTGGGCGGCTCGAATCTCCCCATTGGACAAGAGATCGATGCGAGGAACCTGTTTGTCGGGAAAACCAATCTGTGCACGTTGGGTCAAATAAAGCCCTGGAGGCCCTAGGTCCGAAATTGTTGCTGCCAAGAGATAGGTAAACTCGGGTTGCGACGCCACGAATGACATCCAAAGGTGGATCCAGGCCCCCACGCTTACATACCAGGTATGTATTGTATTGTATTGGATTGTACATACATACAAGTACAAGTTTGTTCGTGAATGGCCGCTGTAAATCCTGATTGGTAATAAATCCCACAGTATGTCGACCTTCTCATTCAGCAGGTGCTCTCGCCAACTGCCCCTATTCACATACCTCATCGCCTTGGAGTTCGTTTAGCGGTTCACAACACACTGCCGGACGGTCACAGAGGCCTTGATATCTGCTTGCGGTCCAAACCCTAAACGGTGGACGACTCTTGCCGTTTCTGAGTCACATAAGCTGAAGGCCGGAGCGTCCCGGGTAATTGTGCAGTAACTGACGGTGGGTGACCAACAAGGGGCCTCGGAATGGATTCAGCACAAAGGAGTCCCTCGCTTGGTCGCATAGGCAGAACAATAAGCGTTGAGAAGTCTCAGTCAGTATTCCGTATTGAGATGCTGTCCCTTCCTCTCTTTGCAACGACGCCCTTGTCTACCGCGTAAGCGAAGCAAGCTGTCATGGGTGTGTTGGTAGGCGATGATCGGGCAAGGGGTGGTCGGGTTGAGAAGGCGTCCCAGTTGTTAACTTCACCTGAGATAGTGGTGATATAACAAGAGAGATGGAGGTCAAAGATGGTGAGCACAACCACCAACAGGGGAGATATCCACGATTCAATATAGGTACGCATGAGCATGCAGAGGGCAGAGAGGCAGTAACTAGAGCGACAACTCAATACTCCTTTCTTGGTTACAGCAATGCGGGCCCCTCAGCAACTGATTGCCCTACCTATGTAAGTCCCCATGTCAACAAACGAGACAACCGGAACGAAGTTCGATGGTTCAGAATTCAGAAACAAGTCAGTCATGTGGTGATAAGATAAGGAAGCGGAACAGTGGTACCGTGTACGAAGGTACAAGTACTAGGTACCTAGCGGCCTTGGCACGATGGCCCGCCAAGCCAATCCGAGGCTCCCGTTACAGTCGAAAAGGCCACGGAGTGCTTCCATTGTATCCCCCTTTCTCAGCTCCTCAAAGCTCTCCTCGACGTCGAGAGAGTTGGTCATCTTGACGCTTCGTTTTTCTTCGGAGGAGGACAATCCGTTCCGGTGCCGAATCTGCCACCGGTAGCTTCGCTCGCAACGGCCTTTTTTCACCGTTTTGTTTCGACACGCTCGTTTTAGCCTTCTTTATTAACTGTCTGCAACACCTTATCACGGCCAATTTCCACCCGCGACGCCCAGAGAAGCAGCCGTTTAGTTCGTCCTAGATCTGAGCTGAAGGGAAGACGATCACGACAACATCATGGCCTCTGGAAACGACAGGGCCACTGCCGTCTCCGGCGCCGACGTGGGCGACACTGCACGCCGGCGCAATATTCCGGGCACGCCGCAGCAAGTCCTCGTCCAGCAACCGCAGCCCGACGACAAGAAAAAAGCCAAAAAGGTTGGCCGGCTTCCTGTTGCCTGTGCACGCTCGACGTAGAGGCCATTGGCAATGCCAATGGGTCGTCGCCTCCATGCCTACGAGGATTGTCCGAAGTCCAAGGATGTGATGCTGATTAGGTCGATTCCCCAGGAACCCTCCGTCCTTGACGTGCTATCTGAGTGGGAGTGGTTGATTGCCCCCATCGTCTTCACCGCCCTCGCCTTCTTCACCCGCCTCTACAAGATCGGCCTCTCCCCCATTGTGACCTGGGATGAAGCTCAGTCAGTACACCTCGGTTCTCTCCCCCGCCTCGCGGGATGCTGATCCCGCTAACACGACCGTCGTGCAGCTTTGGAAAGTTCGGCAGCCACTACCTAAAACGGGAATTTTACTTCGACGTCCATGCAAGTTGACCCCCGCCGGCACAGAGAAAGCGAGCCACTGACTAAACCGCCCGCAGCCCCCCGCCGGAAAGCTTCTTGTCGGTCTCAGCGGATACCTGGCCGGTTACAATGGATCCTTCGAGTTCAAGTCGGGCGAGACATACCCTCCCGAACTGAACTACACCTTCATGCGCCAGTTCAATGCTTTTTGGGGTGCCGTCTGCGTGCCTATGGCCTATTGGACTGCTAAGGAGCTCAAGCTGAGGCGCGCTGCCGTGTGGCTCGTCACCCTGATGGTCCTCTGCGAGAATTCCTACACCACCATCAGCCGCTTCATCCTCCTCGACTCCATGCTCCTGTTTGGTACCGTTGCGACTACGCTGTGCTGGGCCAAGTTTCACAACCAGCGCAAGAACAGTTTCGAGCCCGAATGGTTTTTCTGGCTGTTCATGACTGGCCTGAGCATTGGTTTCGTGACTAGCGTCAAGCTGGTGGGACTCTTCGTCACAGCTCTGGTCGGCCTGTATACCATCGAGGATCTGTGGAACAAGTTCGGCGACACCAAGATGACTGTGGTAAGTTGGGCATACGAAACCCTCTTTCTGTTTCTCTATAACAGAGGCTGATATGGTGCAGACTGAACTAGCGGCCCACTTCGTCGCTCGTGTTGTTGGCTTAATTATCTTGCCGTTCTTGGTCTACCTGCTCAGCTTTGCTATCCATTTTACCGTCCTCACCAACAGCGGTCCCGGCGATGCACAGATGTCATCTCTCTTCCAAGCCAACCTTCGAGGTACCGAGGTTGGCAGGGACAGCCCCTTGGAGGTTGCCTATGGCTCGATGGTCACTATCAAGAACATGGGCTATGGCGGCGGCCTGCTCCACAGTCACGTTCAGACCTACCCCGAGGGCTCTACCCAGCAGCAGGTGACATGCTACCACCACAAGGATGCGAACAACAACTGGATGATCTACCCAAACCGTCGCTCTCCCCTTTATGACCCGGCTGCCGACCCCAAATTCATTGCCGACGGCGAGGTCATCCGCCTGCTCCACACTCAGACCGGGCGCAACCTTCACTCGCATCAGATCGCTGCCCCGATTACCAAGTCGCAGTGGGAGGTTTCCTGCTACGGCAACGCGACCATCGGTGACGATAAGGACCACTGGAAGATCGAAGTTGTCAGCGACGCTGCGTCCCGTGACAGGAGCAAGATCCGCACTCTCACCACTGCCTTCCGGCTCAAGCACGAGGTTCTGGGCTGCTATCTCCGCGCTGGCAACGTGAACTTGCCCCAGTGGGGGTTCAAGCAAATCGAGGTTACCTGCACCAAAGAGAACAACCCCCGGGATACATACACACACTGGAACGTCGAGGCCCACACTAACGAGAAGCGTAAGTGTTAGCTTTCCATGGCTGTCTGAATTCGCGAGCTAATTGTGAGCCAGTGCCTCCCGGAGACCCGGGCCAGTACAGGTCCCCGTTCCTGAAGGACTTTATTCACCTGGTATGCTCAACCAACTCCCCGATTGAAGTCCACTGGTCATGCAGGTTGCTAACGGTCCTAGAACGTTGCCATGATGACCTCGAACAACGCCCTCGTCCCTGACCCGGACAAACAGGACGACCTTGCGTCCCAATGGTGGCAGTGGCCCATCCTGCATGTCGGCCTTCGCATGTGCGGCTGGGACGACAAGATCGTAAAGTACTTCCTCCTCGGCAATCCCATCGTCTACTGGGGCTCGACTGCTGGCCTTGGCGTCTTCGCCCTGTTGGTCGCTTGGTACACGCTGCGCTGGCAACGCGGCTACCGTGAGCTTTCGCAGTCTGAGCTCGACCAGATCCACTACGCCGGCCTGTATCCAGTCATCGGCTGGTTCCTGCACTACCTGCCCTTTGTCATCATGGCCCGTGTGACATACGTCCATCACTACTATCCAGCGCTGTACTTCGCGATCCTCACGTTTGGCTTCCTTGCCGACTGGTTCCTCCGGAATCGGAAGGCGGCTGTGCAGTACGGCGTCTATGCGTTGCTGTACGCCACCGTGATCGGGCTGTACATCTACTTTATCCCCATCTGCTTCGGCATGACAGGCCCCAACAAGCAGTACCGCTACATGAAGTGGTTCGACACCTGGAGGATGTCGGACTGAGTTGCTCAAGTTTGGCTGAGGTGGCGGAGAGAGGAACGAACTAAGACGGATCTAATGCCATTGGGTGTGTGGGAGTGTACGACTATAGAGGGCAATGTTGTGTTTACCGGGCTTCCTGGCACAGCGTGTGAAGCTTGACGACCCGCTCTGGGTGTGGACCGACTATTCTACTCACACCATCTGTCCTTCATCTAGCGACGGGCTGGGTGATATAGGTCGCACGGGAACTACCTGAGACACAGAGCAAAACTATAGAATGAGGTGGGAACTGGGACCGGGAGGCAAAGCGGAGTTTTTTATGGCTGCAGCGCTATGTTTGCGAAGGAGGAGCAATAACCTTGGAAGGGGTTTAGGCTGCGCCTACTCTGATACGTCCAGTCTACCCCCTGTGGGCTTGCTCTTTTATTAGATTTGGGCTTCCTCGATTGCGATCATGTGTCGCGATCCATGGATGTCCTTTACAACCACTCTGGCGAAATGCTCTTGCTATTGATATGTTGGCTGCCGACTGGGGAAGCCATACTGTCTGCCTCTGTGCTCACAACTTTGCCTTCTGTCTGAGAGCGCATTTCTCCTCGAAGCATTTCACACCAATCTCCGTTGTGTATGTTGCTTCGAACCGGCACTGATTTATTCACCGGCTTGCTCGCCACATTACAACTAAGGATTTGATACATCGCAGTATGCCGCCCGATTCGTGTCCTCGCGCGCGTAGTTCCTTCCTTCCCCTCTTGAAATGAGTAGGAAGCGTTCAGGGTATACAGGTATTGTACAACAATCTTAGCAACAGCCCCCCGCAGCAGCTTGGCTCTTTAACCTCACCGTACCGCCTCCTCTTGGCACTCCTCCTCCAGCACTCGCACCCTTAACCCCAGACCGTCTGTCATTTAGATCGTATTTCCCCGCCTGGATATTCTGGAATATCCTCTCCGCAACCCGCATGAAGGCCATCTCGACGTTCTCCCCGCTCTTGGCGCTCGTTTCGACATATTCGAGGACCCCGTTCCGCCGCGCCCATTCCTCCGCCTCTTGCCTCGTTACCTCCCTCTTATTTCCCCCCCGGAGCCCTCCTCCTGCCTTTGCCTCTTGCGCTTGGGCTTGGGCTTGGGCTTCTGGTCTCCTGCTGTCATCCGCGTCTTCTTCTACAACTGCGTCTGGCGAAGCCAAGTCGGCCTTGTTGCCCACCAGCACCACCACGATGTCGGGCTCCGCAATCTGCCGCAGGTCGTTCAGCCAGTCGATGGCGTGCTGGAAGGTTGACTTGCGCGTAAGATCGAACACGAGCAGGGCGCCCGACGCGCCGCGGAAGTAGGACCGTGTGACGGACTTGTAGGTCTCTTGCCCTGCCGTGTCCCAGAGGGAGAGTTTCATGTGCTTTTGAGATGATGCTTGGATTGTGGGCGGTTCTGGGAGGCCGCTTGCGGCTGGTGGCTCTTTGCCGTCTGGTGGCGATTGCGAGGACGAGGGGCTTGTTGTGCAGGAGGTCGTCGAGTATGGTGGTCCGACGGGCACAATGCGCGAGCCGAATTCCACGCCGATTGTCACATCGTGGTGAGTTACGAAGCGCCCCTCGCAGAGGCGTATCGTGAGCGAGGATTTACCGCAGCCGGAGTCGCCTATGCATACCAGCTTTGCAATATAGTCCCACGGTGCAGAAGACATGGGAAGGGCGGAGAGGAAGCACAGTGTGTGGGTGGCGGTCTTTGAAGCGGGGTCGGGGGACTTCGGTTGTCGGCGTGAATATTGCTTCGTCAGACGCGAGCTTGTTGGCTAACTCGAGAGCTAAGTAGGTGACGGGTACTTGAATCAGTTGCGTTGGTCGTTCTGTGCGTTGCTTCGTTCTCCTGGGCTCAGCTCAGCAATCTGAGACAGGTCTTGGGGCGGTTGTTCTGTTGGGACACGCCAAGAACAGTCATCAACTAGGAGACTCGAGATGCAGCGGGTAGATTACTGGCAGATCATAGAGTTTTTGAACGCTGCACCTCAATGATCATTAGAAGATGGCAAGTGTTGGCAAAGCCTGGCTTGGTCTTAGGTTCGAGGGAGCTTCCGCAAATCCGGGGTAGGTGGACAGCTTGGTGCTCCGATGTTCCACCGGATCAGCAGGCCTTGGATCAGCAGCTGACGGAGCCGTTGGTTATCAGTGACGCAACTGGTCGACAATAAGTGAGGACCCCTGCACCCTCGGACAGGCACCGCTTGGCGGCGCACGAGACCTCTACTGTGTTAGTCCTGCCTTTGTATCTCGCGCTAGTAGCAATGGTACTCTAAGCGAATCTCGAACCAGCTTTGATACTGTAGATCCAGGTTCAGCCTTTTCTGTCTTCTCCTTCGTCCCATTGGCTTCCGCCTGGTCGCTGAGTTGCGGCAGCCCATGAAACATACTTCAACCGATATGCTATAACGGGGCTGAAGACCCAAACCAGGCCCGGGTAGGTGCATAGGTAACGACAAGGGCCTATGCCTTATCGGAACATGTCAAGTGGGTCGCCATCGCCTTGGCGAGCTTGGTCACCCGGCCCCAGTCATGCTTGCAGCGGCCCATGTTCCGCCGTTTCGTGACCTTGCGCCGCCTTGCAAGTGTGTTTTCGTCTTGCACAACGAAAAGGCCGTGTTTGTCAAGACCCCGAATTTATCGACTTTGTCGGATATTTGGAGCCCATATTACCCTTTCATCGCTGCACTCTTTGGGGCAATTGATTCCATGAAGCAGAGAAACCTGGACTGAGTGTATCAATAGCAACCTAAGGCGCGCATCGGCGTAACTGCAACATCTCGGCCAACACTAGGCCCGGGGTTGTCGTCCTACAAGTTCTGGCTCAAGCGGGCAATCAACCTGAGAACCTTCCGATTGAGCGCTTGGCAATCTTAAGCTTGTGTGTGAGGAAGTATAGCGCCCTCAAGGGCGTGACGCGAATCTACCGACATGTTCTCCGAATGTGAGTGTCGTCCGCTGTTGCCTGTTGGCCCCGAACTTCACTCATCCTGTTGCAGATGCTTCGAGATTCCTCGCACAGTCACAATCCCGGATTTCCAACTTTGGCCAGGGGGACAACGGCGATAGATTTTCTCGGCCAACGGATTGGCAAGGCAGAAACTCACGACTAGCAGGGCGCGCTTTCTTGGGTAGGGGCGGCGGAAACCCATACCAGCCCAGTGGCTCCAGGTTTGGCAGCTTAGCTGGCTTCGGCTCTCGGTATGCGACCAACGATGCCCCTTTGTTTCAGGCCACTCTTGAGCAAGATGACGAAGATGAGGAGGAGAGAGATCGGGAGGCCGCAGACTTGTTTGCTCTCCAGCGGTCGCGGCGCGTGTTCGCTACAAGCCACCTCGACGAGAGTACAGAAACGGAAAATGACGGTAGTCATGCATCTCTGGAGCACAGCCAAGAGGAAGGGGTGGGATCGGTAGAAGAACGGCTCCGTGGGATTAACAGCAGTTGGAATGGTACAAAAGGTTATTCTCGTCGGACCCTACAGCCGCAGGACACAGGCAAGGGCAAGTGGAAACAACAGAGAAACTTGACAGGTGGCAATCTTAGCAGGGGGATGGAAGACGTTGCACTGGAGTCTACGATTGCCGAGAGCGGAGCACCAGAGGACTTAGCAAGGGAGACACCCGCGGACGACGAGCCACCAGCCTTTCTGAGGTTCAAATCGCCCACCCTCCCAGCACGGCAGTCGCCCGGACGAGACTCAGCAGACGATCCCGAACTTGGTCCCCCACGCGCTCCAAGCTCCCTGGACACCAACCTGAACGGCAGCCCGGGTTCGTCCGCCGTCGAGGGCGAGATATTCAAGCACGATGCTTTCTTCGCCTGGCTCTATTTGATTGCCCAGGCATCACTCTTCGCAACCTTTGTGCTGGTCTTCCTGCACACTAGCCGGGGAGACAGGCCGCTGGGGGACACCATCTACACTACTTTGCGCGCTTCCTTCCACCTCCTGGCTGTCGACACCTTAGTCTCGATCGTTGTCTCCCTTATTTGGCTTGCGGCGCTGCGTTCATTCGTCAAGCCTCTGGTTGCTCTGGTCTTAGTTGGCGTACCGGTGATCTTGATATCCTTCTCGCTATACGCTTTCGTTTCCAGCTACCAGGTTGCTAGCGGCAGTACCCGTCTCCAAGACACTATTATGCGTTGGGCGGCTGGCGTTCCTGCCGCCTCAGCATTAGTCTGGCTGTATCTTGTCTACAGGGGACGGCACGCGCTGAAGTCGGCAGTCGGCATCCTCGAGTTCTCGAGCCGGATTCTGGCCGCAAACCCGGCCCTTGTTCTCGTCGGCATGGGTTGTCTCGCTTTTGTGGTGACCTGGACTTGGATCTGGCTTCTCATGTTCACCCGGGTCTTTCTGGGAGGGAGCTTCTCAAGCGGGCTCGCAAAGTTCATCATCAGCACGTCTAGTTGGTGGCTCGGAGTGTACTTCATTCTAATGTACATCTGGACGTTGTCCATTGTCTCAGGGGTCCAGCGAAGCACCACAGCGGCTGCGGTATCTCAATGGTATTTCCATCGCAATGCGGTGCCGGCTCCGTCCTCCAGAGAGATTGTGTCAGCAGCTCTAGGACATGCACTGACGACCATCTTCGGTACCATCAGCCTGTCGACGCTGCTGGCCCTCGGCATCCGGCTGCCGTTGCTGATCTTGCCGCAACGGCTAGCCAATATCCTCAGCCTAGTCGTCTACTCGTTCATTCCGACCCCCATCGCTGCCTTGACGAATCCCTTGACATTGACCTACGCAGCGATCCATTCGCAGACATTGGCCATGTCATCCAAAGGAATCAGCCAGATGGACTTCCTCTCGCCCCAGCGACCGACAACCACACTCACGCCCGCGTCGCTCCCCAAACACAACCGATATTCGCCTCTGTTGCCGTACCGGCTTGCAAAGCTGATTCTCCACGCAACACGATTCATGATGGCCACGGCCTTGGGATTCGCAGGCTGGGTCATGACGGCGCGGCAGCTGAGGATCGATCGCCCCGACGGCCTGGGAGTGCGAGGTAGCGCATACGCATATGTGGTGGGCCTGATCGCCAGCTTCATCGGCTGGGGAATCTTGGGCGCGATGGAGGGTATCTTGAGCGGAATCGTGGATGGCGTTGTTGTCTGCTATGGAAGCGAGAAGCGCATGGCCACGGGCGTTGGTGGATACTGCATGGAGGCGGCATATCTCTTTGGGGGTCGGCGACAGGACGGCGCCAGTGAGGAGGTTTATTGAACATTGCAGCGCGGCGTTATCAAGGGATTCTTGGTTAGGAATTGATCTGGGCGTTGGTTCGCGGGGCTCCAGTGCCACTGGACCGGGTCAAGAACCGCATCTTGCATTACAATACAAGGGCTTGGTGGAGTTGGGAAAGTGTTTCTTGCAGCGTTCCATCTGAGAGCTGTCATCACAGGACACTTGAATGCTACAATCATTGCGAATTGACTCTGGCCTTTAGACAGTTCACATCCAGGAGCAAAGCCGTAACAATATGGACTGAACATTAGGGAAACTTACTAGTGAGCTTGGCTGTAGAGACTTATAAGCAGTGATTTGCGGCTTTGCTCTAGTTTAGTCCGGTGGATCACATCTATGCAAGTCGGTGCGTCTTTGTATTTCCAGTGCTCAACACAACGGAACGGAACGTACCTGACAATACGCTTTCATGGCGCTGGAAAGCTGGGATGGTGTACTCCGTAGTGTATAGTTATTCAATCTAGAACGGCGCTGGTGCACTGCCAGGGCCGCTACGAGTAGGTACAGTACCTTAGTTTCGCTTCTCGGCGTCGCTCAATGGCTTTGTCTTCGAATACTGAATTATGGCTGATCACGACGACATAGGTTATCGATTATTACAAAGTGCCTTATCTAACTTCCTGCGTCGGGAATTCGGTCTCTGCTGGTTTCCGACCAAAGTGGCTGTGCATAAGGTATAGAGACTAGGAGAAACATTACCACTTGCTGACATCGAAGTTTGACGGACGGTTCCCCAGTGGTGCAGACAGAACCCAGTTGCCTGGACTAGGTAGGAGGCCTCTTTGAGCTTCAAATCATATGTAGTTACCGAAATACGTTGAGCCCTTCTCTTACATCCGAGCAGTCCGCTGCTTTGTAGCATCGAACAGTGCTGCTGGCTGTAACTTCAAGTTCCTACCCCGCCATTCCCGGCTCGTTTATACTCGACCCCACCACTGCAACAACCTGTCGAGAGAACAGTTCATCAACCGTCACTCTTTCTCCCTTAATCATACTCGAGGAAACTATTCAAAGTTCCTTGCGGAGTTACCTTCAGTCATCAGCATGGCTGACTTCGAGGCGCCCCCTGGCCCACCGCCTCCCAAGGTGCCGGAGGGATGGATCGTTCGATGGAACGAGCAGTACAAGGAATGGTGAGCGCATTCGCATCGCCCATGTTCAATATCCGGCTCTAACATAAACCCCTCTTAGGTTCTACGTCAACAGCTACACGAAGAAGTCCCAATGGGAGAAGCCTACCGAGCCCGCGCGACCTCCCGAAGACGACCTCGCCCCTCCCGGCGCGCCACCGTCTTACACCCCGGGCGGCCACACTCCCGGACCAACCGACGTCAAGCACAATCCCTTCGATCCTGCCCCCGGTAATCAGGCTGGTGCTGGTCAGGCCGGCGCCCCTTCGTCATCCGCGGTGTCTCACAACACCGAGGAAGAAGACGCCCGGCTAGCGCGCCAGCTCCAAGCCGAAGAAGATGCTCGCGCCCGTGGCGCGCACTCTCCGAACCCACCGTATTCTGCTCACTCCCCCTCCCCCTTCCCAGAGCAACTGCCTCCTCGCCCAGACGGTGGGTCTGCGTATCCCGCTGGCGGCGCGGGCGGCGACAAAGGACGCGGTCTCCTCGGCAAACTCTTCGGCGGCGGGAAGAACAAGCAATCCTCGTCCCATGGCGGCGGTATGCCCGGCGCGCTGGGCGGGCTAATGGCGGGCGGCAGCAGTCATCATGGCGCAGGGCACCACCAGGGAGGCTATGGCGGCTACCCCGGCGGAGGCTACGGCGGGGGCGGTGCGTACGGCGCCCCGCCCTACGGAGGAGGGTATCCGCCGCCGCAGCCGTATGGTGGGTATCCGCCCCATGGAGGGTACTATCCCCCACAGCAAGCGTATGGACATAGTGGGAGGAGTGGTGGCGGTGGCATGGGTGCGATGGGAGGCGCGGCGCTGGGCTTGGGCGCCGGCGTGTTGGGCGGCGCATTGATTGCGGACGCGATTGATGACAGCCAGGACGCTGCTTACGCGGAGGGATATAGTGAGTAACTGATCTAACGCTCAAGAGGTTAGGTGGACATGGTTGCTGACGCGGAGTGAACAGATGACGGTGCGGACGGTGGCGACTTTGACGGAGGCGACTTCTGAGTGAGGGACGGGGTTGGCGGCAAGGAAGAGCGCCCACTGGGCAGGCTTATTCCGTTTGAGGCCTGGCTTTTTGTACTCTGCTCTTTTCGTATCACGAGCTCGCTAATCTGGCCGGCGATGCATATCTCCTCTTGAGCTTTGATGATGAATGGAAGTCGCACATACGTGTCTAGCTAAATACATCACAACACTGCAGTGACCATCTGGGTTCTCTGCCTGCTGAGCCGCAAATCAGAAATGGCTAGGTACGCTTTCGGTGCTTACGTGGTCAAACATGGTCCTTTGACCTCGGAAATCAACGGTCAAATGCCCCTCGCGTGAACCCACCGATCCCTCACGCGTGGCTATCTATACTTGGAATCAAATACCTAGATACTTGGACTCTGTCAATGGTGCTGCGGCTGCCCAGAAGTGGGCGTTGGGACTGTATAGGAGACCGGTTTTCCGCTACTGTAAGCCCCTTCATACGCTTCTGGCTCTGTTGAGGAACGTCAGATATCCGCACTCGAATGCTAGCTACATCGATGGCAGTGAGATGACCCATGGAAAGGCAAGCTCTATGCTTCAATCTCTATGCGTCATGTTACCCAGTAAGTACTTATACACCAGACCACCTCGTTTCCAACACCGTCACCCGCCATGCAACTAAGCATACCTCTTCTTCCTACTCTCCCCCTTTCCCTTCCCACTACCCTCTTTAGCCTCGTTTGCCTCTTCCGCCTTATTCGACGACGACCCAGCCAAGAAGGCAGCCATATCAAAGTTGCCCATGGGGTTTGCATTTTGACCCGACGCGGCGCCCATGATCGCATTCATGGGGTTCTCCTTCTGCCGCTCCTCCCACTCGGCGCGCATCTCCGGGTCCACTGTGAGATATGTCAGTCTTCTTACCGTTCTCTTCAAACCCACAACCGAGTGAAGCTGGTGGTGGGGGGGAGGGACGGGGAACTTACTATTCTCGACCAGCTTAGGCATCCCAAAGAACAACCCCATACTAACCAGACTCAACAAAATAATCGGGTTCTTGAATATGCTCAGCACCGAGACTGTTCACCCTGCGTCAGCACACAGACACACAAAAACGTCCTTCTCTCCCCAGGGTCAACTTGGGGCCAATAACGAACATGAACTCCTCTCCACAAAATACCCCTTCTGTCCCTGCACGCGCACATCCAGCACGCCTCCCTCCCGCACCGGCACCGCCTCCCCCTTGTTGCCCCAGTCGTTGCCCCGGTATGTCTCCCACGCTCTCACCCTCAACCTCAACGCGCTGCCGCCTACATCATCCCTTGCCTCGTCCTCAGTGGGGCGGGTAACGTCCAGCCGCAGTGGCGCGAACCCGTGCGTGGGGCAGTGCACGTCCACGAGATAGGAACCCGGCGTGACGTTGTGGAAGACAAAGGTGTTAGCGGTGGAGAGCGGCGCGGACAGGGCCTTGCCTAGCGTTGTGAGCGTGGCATGGGTTGAAGGGGGTAGGAGGTGCGGGTTGGCGAGCACGGGCGGAGAGGGCGGGATGTGCAGCGTGACTGTTGTTTCTGCGATGGTCGGTTTGGCGGCGGCGAGGATGGCGGAGGGGAGCGATGTCAGGAGCGAGCTTAGCAGGACGGCGGGTTTGAGTTGCATTGTGACGTGGGCTATGCGCCTCGGGTAGGGCGCTGTTGGTTGTGTTGTGACACGGGTACGAGAGTTGAAGTTGCAGGAGCCATTCGTAGGTGAGGTGGTGACGGAATGCGACGTCGAGAGGGTAGCACCTAGCTTTCTTGAGCTGTGATTGGCTGAGCCGTAGCTAGAGTGGGTACAGATCTCGCTCTTCTTCTTTACTATCCTAAAAAGGAAGTAGAGCTCATTCCGGTTCACTGGCAGTTTTCCTTCTACCCTAGAAACAGATCACGGCATCACATGGACTTGTTGCAGCGCTACTACAGGACTTATGATACCCAAGCAGCCCGTGCAAAACATCCGTTATTAACGACATCAACCGCCCGCTCGCTAAGACAGACCACTTAAACCACAACAGGGGCCTCCTCAGCCTTGGCGCCCTCGGCCGCTGACTTGTCACCGCCCTCCGTTTTCGCCGTTCCCGCGGCCTTGAACGACTGCTCAAAGTCGGCAATGATGTCGTCGATATGTTCTGTGCCAACCGAGATCCGGATGAGATCCTGAATTCTAGTCAGCACCAGTCTCCGCGATGCCAACGCACCTGCACTACTTGTATATTGTACAAGTACAGTGTACTTACCTCGGTAACCCCCGAGTTGATCTTCTCCTCGTCGGTGAGCTGCTCGTGGGTCGTGCTCCACGGATGAATAGCAAGTGTCTTGGAGTCGCCGACGTTGGCCAGGTTGGAGATCAGCTTGAAGCCGTCGACTATCTGACTACCGGCAGCGCCGCCACCCTTGACGCCGAAGCTCAGGACACCGCCGAAGCCGCGCTTCAGGTACTTCTTAGCCGTCTCGTGCGACTGATGGCTCTCAAGACCGGGGTACGACACCCACGAGACGTGGGGGCTCTTTTCGAGGTACCGTGCCAGCGCCAGCGCGTTCTGGGCGTGCCTCTCAGCGCGCAGCGACAGCGTCTCGATACCGAGAAGCAGCTGCTGCGCGGCGAATGGGTTCAAGCAGGCACCGAGGTCGCGGAGGAGTTCGACCCGGACGCGGATGGCGAACGTGATGGAGCCGAAGGTCTCCCAGAACTTGAGGCCGTGGTAGCCCTCGGACGGCTCGACCATCTGCGGGAACCGCTTCGCGTGCTTGCCCCAGTCGAACCTGCCGCTGTCGACGATGATGCCGCCAATCGTAGTACCATGGCCGCCGATCCACTTGGTCGCCGAGTGCACGACGATATCGGCACCGTGTTCGATCGGGCGGACAAAGTAGCCGCCAGCGCCAAATGTGTTGTCAACCTAAACAGTCAGCCACAACAACGCCCCCTGAAACATGGAATACTCCACATACCACGACCGGGACGCCCTTTTCGTGCGCCACCTGGACGATGGCATCAAAGTCGGGCACGTTGTAGCGCGGGTTGCCGATGCTTTCGATGTAGACGGCCTTGGTTTTGTCGTCAATGGCGGCGGCAATGTCCTCGGCCCTGTCGCCATTGACGAACTTGGTGGTGATGCCGAAACGCGAGAAGAGAACCTTGAACTGGTTGTATGTCCCGCCGTACAAGTTGGACGTAGACACGATGTTGTCGCCGGCATGTGCCAGTGCCGCGATGGCCATAAACTGAGCAGCCTGGCCGGAGGAGGCGGCCACGGCAGCCACACCTCCCTCGAGGGCAGCGATTCTCTTCTCGAAAACATCTACGGTAGGGCTGCGGTGGAGCCTGGGTGAGTATGAGCACGGAGTGGGATATCCTCGCCCACCACTCACTTCATTATTCTAGAATAGATGTTGCCGAATTCCTTCAGGCCGAACAAGCGGGCGCCATGAGCAGAGTCATTGAAGACATAGCTCTGTCGGTGACCCGCTACGTTAGCTCGACGTTTCTGTAAGCCCCTAGACGGCAGCGCGGCTCACCGTAGTAGCGTAGATGGGCACGGCTCGTGCATTGGTGGTTGGGTCCGGCTCCTGCCTGTTTCAGTGTCATTCTTTGCGATGTTCTTCTGGTGTCGTTCGGAGAGCAGAAAAGAAGGAGGATCACCACATACCCTGCATGGAGCTGGAGCGTCTCAAACCTGCGCGGGAGATCAGACATGGCGAGAGGTTGTGTCGATGGGGACGTGACGGGTATCAAATGGGGTATCACAAGGAAAGAAAGGCAGCAACGAGCCTACCAGGTAGGTATGTTCAATGGCTGGGAACTTGGCAACAAAGAGTGGGTGGGAAGCTGGACGAAGACGGCCGAGGGGCGTCTCCTTTTCTACCCTTCCCTGCTCATCACTTCCCTCTACCGCCGACGCCTCCATTAGCCTGCCGTTATTTTATTACCGTGGCTTCTTGGTCGCAATGCCTTAGCCAGGCTGCCATCCGCAATGATTTGCTACTACCGAACTATCCTGCTCGGCCAGGGTGACCTACACCCACTCGTGTGTGATGTTTGGAAAGAAGTGTGGGGTGAGGTTCAGAGCACGCAATTGCGCCATCGATGACGGCGCCGGTCGGCCCACTTACTGTACACTACTACTAGTAGGTGTACGCATGCTGAACCTGGGCTAGGAGCTCGGGAGGGCAGTGCTTGCTTCTTGTATTGCTGAGCGGCAACACATCTCATGTCTAGACTTTATAGGCACTTCAGCCGGACGCCTGTTGAAGCTCTTATACTACCTTTTTTGACAGTTGCTATGATCCAATGGCCAGTCTCCTCTACTGTGGTATGGTATTGTACCACCAGTACAGTTCCCCCATTTATTACTGTGATATTTAGACGCTTCATTCCGTCAGCCGAATAGGTAAGGTGGTTTGCAATGGTGGCGTCGAATGAGGTGATGCGCCAAAGACTTACACTCACCTAAGAGAGGCTAAGACCTTCCTCATCACCCCGCATCCTCGTGCTCCAGTGCGCGGGGTCATTCTACGCTAAAAGACCTCCAGGAGGGGCTCACTGTAACCTAATGTACTGTACCTTACCGTACCTAACCTCCCATGCTTTATATGTACGGAGTAGTACCGCCCCGGCGGTTGGGACATTTCGAGTCGACCTCCTCTGTGACTGTGGGAGACACGGTGCTGCAACACGACACCTTCTGTGGGAAGCGTCCTTGTTTTGGGGCAGCTCCGATGCTGGAGTAGCTCAGCCTTCATAGTCAAGTCCAGGAGCAATCGCATCTATTACCCCCCTTGTAAAAAGCCACATAACGCCTAACAAAGGACACAAGCCGCATGTCAGCAAGCCATCAAGGCCGTGCTGTGAGTTATCATCCCGGTCCATCCCATACTTCGTACACACATTTTCGTCTCACGTAACCGGAAGCCCGCCGCGTTGGGCCAAACTAGTAGTAGATACTAGCGGCCCACAAGCCCGACCCGTACGTAAGGCTGATGAAATAAGGTGCTGACGCGAATCTCGGCAGAGCGAATGGGTCCTGCTCGACGAGGCGCTTTGCGTCCTCAGGCCTGCCTGTATCCGGAGAAGAGCCCGAGTCGTCCAACACCCTGCCTTCTCATGACAACCCTCCGCAATCCTATATTGTCGTCTGCGTCAGTCTAAGCGGCCGACTCCTTCATCGTGGGCATAGGCACTGCGCCCGTCCCCGCCGGCCCATGCCCGCGCCTAGCCCTGACGATCTCCAGCGCAGTGAGCAAGCTCGACGCCGCCCAGACAATGAACGAGAAGACGCTAAAGGCGACGTCGGCCTGGGCGGCATGGCAGACACTGCCACGGCAGAAGAAGAGCTTTCCGAGGAAGACGCCTAGGGCGATGCAGCCCGAGAACCAGAAAAGCGCATTGGTGAGGTCGAAGGGTGCTGCGATGTAGGCTTTGGGGGCTTTCAGGGGCGATAGTCAGTCAGCTCGGCTCGTGCTGTGAAAACGGTTGCGAGGAGGATGTACTTCGTGGAAGAAAGCGCGGCAGGATTTCTATGCAGACGAGCGAGAGCCACGACCATACCGCGCCGAAGATGAGAAAGTTAATCTGCGCCGGAGAGGGGAAAGCGGTCATGGTAGTGTACCAGTGGGCAACTATTTCGCGGTTTCAACGTCAGCCATGATCCCTCTAGCCGGTGCTGAGCGTTGACGAGATTCTCACCGAAACCCGAGAGGGACAGCACTATCAAGGCGAAGACACCCTGTGTGACCCTGATGAGGAGCGGCAGGGGAGCAGACATATTCGCGAGCTTCATGGCGGACTTCGTATGACAACAGCGACGGCAGGAGAGAGCAAGGACTAGTATGAGAACGGAAACGAAGTGATGGAAGAACTAAGAGAGGGAAGACCGAGCCAAGACAGGGTCGCTAGAAATGAAGAATAAGGGGGACAATAGAGTCGGCAGGTCGATCCGAGCAGCCATTAACACATATTGGATATTGTAGTCAGTTTGTCTGTGCAGACTGTGAGGCCCTTCTGAAACAGAGACTGCCAGGAACGCTGTCATGCAGAGATGTGGACGGAGACGAAACAATCAGCCGGGCCAATGACCATGCTCCTGCCATAACAGTGACGCGGTAAAGCATCGTAACGTTGGGCTTGATGCCGGCAACTGTCAATCCGGTAGCTTGGCGATGCCTCCATCACTGTTCCCGGTGGCGGTTTTCCATATCTGGGGCTCGCTGCGACTGGACACTGTGACAGATTTGACCATGAGTCGTACCGTACTGAATGGCGTCCCATGTCAGAGGCTCGATGTTGAGCCTCGACCTGAGCTTTACCTGGCGGCAGGTGCGAAGAGCGCAATCGAAGAATGAATGGAGATAGTAGAGAACTACTAGTCAGGTGAGGTGGTTACTATCTGCAGTCTCGCGGAACATTTATTCAATGATCTCTCTCTTTGGGCGGTGGCCAACGACGAGGTAGAGTTGCGAATGCAAAGTCGGCGCCGATGATAACACGATGTTGAAGTTACTTGATCAATGATGCGAGCCACTGGCATCCGTATTGGAGGTGTTGGATAGCGTACCGTACACAATCCAGCTGACATGACTCGCCATGACATTGTTCAGAGTTTCGCGGAGCTCTTGGCGCGCGTTTCGGACGGATCAAAAAGGGGTGGTCCGTGCAAATGCCAAGGGTTGAGGATTGCGGGGCAGCCTGCAAAATGCATTTGGCACCGGGCCCTTGTTGGGAAGTTGCCGAGGCCAACGTCGACCGCCGACTCCCAAATTGATGAACTTCCATGGGGCGAGCCTTGTGAATCTCTCTCATTTGGCTGCTGCAATCGTCAAGCGCGCCAAAGTGAAGCGCGATGACTGGACAACCCTTATGTGAACCAAAGATAATGGACCAGATGAGCAGATAGTATAACTTGGTAGCAGTCTCACAAGCCATATTGTGAGTCCAGAAGATTGAGCTTTTCCTCCGTCTTATACTGTAGTTACGGGAACCCCGTTCCAAGCTGCACTGCGCCGCGACGGCGTTTGGCTAACTGCCTGGATAGCACCTACTAGACTTCTCCGCACCCCGCATTTTCCCACATACCTTATGTACTTACCTCTTCTCTTAGCCTGTCTGCAACACCCAGTAAGATCCTTTTCGAGCAGTTTTTGCATGGCGCGCACATGTGATGAGCGCCCTCAACCAGCACTATTGACGGTACCCATTGCATCGAATAGGTAACTAGCGTTTCGCGGAGCGACTCGCTCGGCGGGCGTTGAAATTGGACCCACCCTTGTCTACTCCAGTAACGGGCTGTGGATATACTGGATTGGAAGTCCCGAGCGATGTCCTGCCCCACCACCGAAGCATCGCAGCCGAGGCTGATCGTCGTGGAAACGGTGTTGAGGTACATCAAGGTACGCAGCCGTTAACAACGAGCTCAATCATTTCAGTGACAATTGGGCTGAGAATAAGGATCCAAGAAAAGCAACAATGGGCCTTGATAAATAGAGGCTGGGGATCAACGGACCCCTGTGTCTCTTTTGTCAACTTCCGGTTTTGACAGGTTGGCAACGCAGCAACTTCGCTGACCAAAGTTTTGGAGGAAGGTACCTGCCGCGGCGCAACCACCACTCTCGGCTTGGCTTCCTTGTCCTTGTCTTGGTTGTTCGGCTCAAGACGTTCCAAGGCGAGACCACATGCTGCCGAATGCCGACCCTGCTTCGAAAAGGGGAGGATTCTCCAAGACTGATGGCTTTCGCTCCGTCTTCCCAAAAGTGTTCTTGAATATACATTCGAAGCATCCATAGCCGGTAACGCGACGCTTTCGCGCAGCGCTCTTCCCCCCTCGTCCGCTGTTCTTTGCCAACCTTGCCAGTGATCCTTGCTTTCCTTCCGACTGTGCGAATCCCATTGACCTTTGTCATCTTCCCCGCATCGCAGCCATCATGGCCCCAAACAAGCAAGATACGAAGGCGTACATCAAGACGCTCGCGACGCCGCCTCCCCCTGGGTCGCCATATGCTCTCCCGGTTCCCGGCACCGAGCGCCCGAATCGCACACCCATCTACCGGCATTGGCGCTTCCAGAACGGCCCGCTGTTGGAAACGTTCGATCCGGCGCACAGGACTGTCCACGACCTGTTTGAACACTCCGTTTCTCAGGGTCCCACCAATAGGTGCTTGGGATGGAGGCCTTGGAATCCCGCTACCAAGACGTGGGAGCCCAAGTACGTTTGGTTGACATATAACGAGGTTGCTGAGCGAAGAAAGAATTTTGGTGCGGGCATCGTCGAGCTGCACCACCGAGTCGGCGTGAAGGAAGACAAATATGCCGTCGGTCTGTGGGCGCAGAACCGGCCTGAGTGGCAGATTACCGAGCTGGCCCTGCTTTCGCAGTCGCTGTGGCCCGTCTCTCTGTACGAGACGCTCGGCCCGGAGACGACCGAGTACATCATCAACCACAGTGGATTGACTGCCGTCGTCTGCTCGCTGCCCCATATCCCGACCCTGCTGAAGCTGGCGCCTCGGGCCCCTTCGCTGAAGCTTATCATCTCCCTTGATCCGCTCGAGGCGGGCGAGCCGGCCGGGCACTCCAAGCTGTCGCTGCTCAACGCCACCGCGGCCAATGTCGGCGTCCAGATCTTCTCCATGGCTGACGTGGAGGCCCTCGGTGCGCGGTCCGGCCGAGCTATGCGCCCTCCCAAGCCCGACGATGTCTTGACCATCAACTACACTTCGGGAACCACGGGCGATCCGAAGGGTGTCGTTATCACCCACGCGAACGGCGTGGCCGGCATCTCAGCAGCCCGAACCAACGAGACCATCTCAGCCGGCGACGTCCACCTTTCATATCTTCCACTGGCGCACATCTACGGCCGTATGGCGGACCAGACTGCTCTGGCTACGGGCGCTAGCATCGGTTACTTCCATGGCGATATCGCCGCCCTGGTCGAAGATATGAAGATCCTGCGGCCCTCTGGCTTTTTGTCCGTGCCCCGTTTGTACAATCGGATTAATTCGGCCATCCAGGCTGCGACGGTTCAGGCCGACGGGTTCAAGGGGACCCTGTCCCGGCGCGTCATCGAGACCAAGAAGGCAAACATGAAGCTGCCCCAGGGGCAGGCCTCGAACAAACACTTCCTCTACGACCGTATCTGGACGCCCAAGGTTCTGGCGGCGGTCGGCCTGCAGCGTGCTCGCACCATGGTCAGCGGCAGTGCACAGCTTGACCCTGACGTCCAGGAGTTCCTGCGCGCCGCCTTCGGCAACAACTTCATTCAGGGCTTCGGAATGACCGAGACCTACGCCGTCGGCACCGTTCAGGTGCGCGACGACTTTACCACTGGCAATATCGGACCCCCGTGCCCGTCGGTGGAACTGTGTATCGAGTCGGTGCCGGAGTATGAGTATACGGTGGAGGACAAGCCGAACCCGCGCGGCGAGCTGTTGATGCGGGGCCCCATCATCTTCAAGGAGTACTTCCGCAACCCAGAGGAGACGGCCAAGGCGATTGAGCCGGACGGGTGGTTCCACACAGGCGACATTGTCGAGGTAGACAGCATGGGCCGCTTCAAGATCATCGACCGCAAGAAGAATGTGCTCAAGCTCGCCCAGGGCGAGTACATCTCGCCCGAGCGCATCGAGAACGTCTACATGGGCAGCACCAACTTGATCGCCATGGCCTTCGTGCACGGCGATGCCAAGGAGTCGAGCCTGGTCGCTGTCTTTGGCATCGAGCCCGTCCAGTTCGCCCCGTATGCGAGCAAGATCCTTAAGAAGAGCGTCCCCGCCGATGACAAGGAGGCGCTCCGACAGGCAGCCAACGACCCCCGTGTCAAAGGCGCCTTCCTCAAGCTGCTGGACCGGATCGGGAAGGAACACAGGTTCAATAGTTTCGAGAAAGTCAAGAACTGCTATTTTGATATTGAGCCGTTCACGATTGAGAACGAGCTTCTCACGCCGACGTAAGCAAGTTCTCTTTTCTTTTCTTTTCTTCCCACTTTGCGCCGCAGACCTGAGCGTTCAATCCCAATTCCGAGTCTTACGATACTGACGTGATACCGTGGAACAGGCTAAAGTTGAAGCGGCCCCAAACTGCGAGGGCCTTCAGGAAGGAGATAGACCGCATGTATGAGGAGCTTGCGGCCAACGCTGCTGAAAAGCCCAAGCTCTGAACCCTGTTCCATGTTGCATCTGCATTTGCATCCTATGGTCCATGCGTCTTGGGAGGTGGCATGGCCGATTTTGTTTGAGGGATTGGTGAGCGTGAGAAGCTATTTTTCTTTAATACCTGGTAGGCTTGTATACACTACTCGTCTAGTAGCATTATAGGAGAGCGTATATATAAGAGTGGAAGCTTTTATGCTTCTTTTCAGCTTTTTGGGGTGGTGATCCCTATTCGCAATTGCTACATCACATGCTTGTGGATTTCTGAGTGAGACCTTCAAGTCCAGCGAGCGGCGCGGGGATGGACGCAACGGCCCAAGCCCCTTTTACATAATAAAACCCATCTAAGAGGAGAAGACAAAGCTGCAACTGCCAGGCCTCTATCTGATCTAACGTTATCCATCCATACACTACCACTACCACACACTCTGGTTCCGCATGGGAAATATGGCAGCTGCAGGCTTGGCTCCGCGCTCATTTGCAGCGACGCGCTTGAGACGTATAGGTATGGTAAGACACACTCTATGTACGGAATAAGAGGTCATTGTACGCTGATTGCAAGTACCTATTTAGGGAGTTCAAGAAGCTATACACTGTTTTGCATCTTATATACGTTTATATTATATTTAAGTATATAGATATTAAACAGAATATCTCTTGTCTTCAAATTCAGTGCCTGTCAGCAATTTTATATTGATATGAGATAGAGGTCTTGTAGCTTTCTGCTATAGCCTGCAAAGAAAATGATAGGTATATATAATGCAGATAAAGGAAGCTATGTGAATTTATCTATACAACCATCTTGCAATTCGAGTTATTCAAGCTATTATGCTATATGGCAGTGGAACCCACCGTACTATGGCACAGGCCATTGCTTAGTCATGTGCTCAGCTTCCAGTGCACGCATGCATGATTAGTCAACCTGATTGGTGCCCTACTTTCCACATCTGGGCACATGCCTCACATCCTATATTTAGACTTCTTTGCACTTTATAGTCTTCGAGGATTCCTTTCCTCTTGCAAGTTCAATATTCTTGCAATGCAGTCAGTTTGCTCACCAGAGCCTTGAGCTTAGCTTGCGATGACAGTCACTATGACATGCTACTTATAAATAAGCAGATTTTAATAGAAGCTTAACTATTTATTATAAACTAACCATATATGCAGGCCAGCGGGGCCGCAGCCAGATTAAAGGCACTAATTAGGCATAGGACGCAGTATGGACCCTAAGCAGCTCATTGCTTAGCACTATGAGTGGCAGGCTCAGTGCGATTAATGATGAGCGCAGTGAGCAGCTCATCTAGATTATCAATGAGCTGGATGATCTAGGTATGGAGGTACTTGGGAGAAAGCTATATATAAATCTATTATTCTGTCACTCATTTAGATAGCTAGCTTCCTCAGTGAGCAATTCAATCAGTAGTTCTACCCTACTATGCAGACATTGCAAATTGCAGTATTGTGAACCTTTTGGCTTCACTGAGACCTACAGCCTAACTAGACTACCTTCAACTGGCGAACTCTTTCAGAAGTAGGACTGCCGAGGTTTTGTCATATCTTTATATATTTAGTAATAATCTTTAATGCTATTAGCACCTAGATAATAAATACATCTCTCGCTATATTACTATACCTACTTTTAACTCATCCTAAATATGTAAAATATAAAAAAGTTTAATATTATAATAATATAATCTACTCATTTTAGCTTGCTAAATAGAAATAACATATTATATATAGTTTAAATATATAGATTAACTTAAATATATAATGAAAAAGATTCTAAGTAAAGTTATTATATATTATCTAAATTTCTGCTTATATAATCAGGCTAAATTTAAGTTGCTCTAAGTAGATAGTTATTGATTCCACACATTATTTTAATTAGCTAGGTTAAGTAAATCTTACCTAGCTTACAACTTAGCAACAACGCGCTTCTAATGGAATTTAGGTACGTTTCAGATCTACTATATCTTTTCGTGTATATCGCGTTTTCTACAGTTTATTCTACGTTTCCGGCCATAAACCTTCGATTTTGTGTGTTTTCCAGCCCTTTGAAGCAATTAGTACCTACTACCGCTCCCATGAGCTCTCTTGTTGCAACAACCACCTCCCACCACCGACTTCAAATCCACCCAGTTGCGGGCGTCTCGCCAACGAGCAATCGATTGTTATTGACGAGTCCACCTAGGCTAGAGGCGAGACCACCAAAGGCGCCCGCGCCCGGGCCCGCGCCGGGGGAGGTTGAAGAACCTCCAGCAAAACGAATCCGACTTCTGGTGAGTGTTGCTTGCGTCTGCGTTACCTCCAGTTCTTCTACCCTATATTTTCCCTCCTAGTCTTCCAAAAGCGGCCTGCCACTCGTCGAAACTCAATACACTGTACTATCAAAAGCGTCACACTAGCGTAATGGCATGTGATGGGCTAACTCGTATCTTCCGGCTTAGGATCTCAACCTACCCTCGAACCCTGAAGCCCCAGTTCCTGTAACGCCGCTACCTGCTTCCCTCGAAGCCCCTCGAAAATCGCTACCATCGGCAAGGCCTCCAATCAATGTCTCGCTCCCAAATGGAACACCAACACTACCCAACCGGACCGACCCCGAGCGAGGCAGCTCTAGGTTGACCGTCTCGTTCCCAAATAGACCACGAACACTACCCAACGGGATCGACTCTAGCCCGGATAGCTCTAAGGTGACCGCAACGGCGAAGGCGTCAAGCAAACAGACAGAGGTCATTGTTATAAGCGATGACGAAGAAATTCCCCAACGCCAGGTGGCCGTGGTTGGAAAGCCGGCGGTCCCAAGAGCACAAACACAGCCCAAGCCACGGAGGCCCGCCGTACATGAAGGAACAGAGCCAACCTCCAAGTGGCTCTCCTCCCAAGATAGACGGTGGCCGTACATAAAAACGTCGGATAGGCGGGCGATCCTTGCTGGTATCCAAAGCTCAATCCAGTTACGCCCTCAGGATCTAGCAGCGCCCGCCACTTTCCACGTGGATTTCAAGCCCGGGGAGATTAGCTACCTGCGGGATCTTGCCCGTCGATGTCTGAAGTTTCCCACAGAGAGGGGAGGGAAAGATCCCAAAAGAGACCTCGTGAGGATCCTCAGGAAGAATCCACAGTTCCTCCCAAAGATTCTGGACGCGTTTACGAGGGAAAAGCGCCTCGCTTTGAGAACCAGGGCCGATGTCGAGAATCTCTTCCAGGATCTCCTCGACCAAAGGTCTGTTTCTGATACTCTTCTTCTCACCGTGCAAACAGCCGACTACGATGAGCGAGACGACCTTGTCCAGTCAAGCCGACTTCAGTCTCTGCTGTTCGCCAGATCGATTGCCGGACATCGTGGCTTCGGATCGATGAGATCCTTCGGACATTTCAACAACGAGTTCAAGAAGTACCGTGAAGATGGCCTTGAGAAGGTAGCAGAATGGACCGGTTGTGCAGGCGACATTGCAACCATCATTTGGGTGTCCAACGATGCCTTCATTTGCGGGACAACGGAGCATTCAGACTCCCACAACCAGCAGTACAACAAGCCCGGTAACCTCGTCATGGGTTCTTGCAGCCAAGGCACGCTTCGTGCGTATCCCGAGCATCGAATCGTCCGGCCCGTTGTTCCAGAAGGAGAAAACTCAAGCGAGGCCATGAGACGGAGTCAGGACCCCTGGCTTTACTCTTCCGTCGTGTCGTCCGACTATGACGCCGTGCACGACCGGGCCTTCACGTCTTCGTTCGACCGGACGGTGAAGGTTTGGAGGGTCGAGAAAGCCGGGAGCTCTATGACGCTCCTAGGCGAGTGGAGCCATGATGGAAATGTGAACTTCGTGGCTGCTTCTAAGCACAAGTCCGGTATGGTTGCTACGGCTGCTGACGTGGCGTCCGATGCCGTCCGCATCTACAACGTCAACGAGACCGATATCTCGGAAAGCACCTTCCAAGCGTATTCTTGCTCTCGCGTAACCGATGAAGAGGGCAACACTGTCTCCACTGAGAAGTGGGCTTACTTCCCTGCCACCATGCAATGGGGTCTTGCGGACAGCGTGAAGCACATGCTGCTGGTTGGCTACTCACCGAGAAGCCGGACGGAGGACGACTACGACATTCCGGAGCAGAGGCGGGACACCGGCGAGCTTTGCCTATGGGATGGTCTGACAGGCGAGAGATGGCGCGTTACCTCGGCGACGACACAGAACGTCTTTGAAGTGCTCTGGCACCCGAACCAGCCGTGCTTCATTGCGGCCACATCGCCGCTGGGCCTGGATCTGGCGCCTAGTGTGCGAACCCAGATCAGGATTTTCAAGCCTGCCGACCAGTATGAGCACGGGTTCAAAGCGTACAGCCCTGTAATGGCATTGGATTGCACAGCGCTCGACATAAACGAGCTGACAATCATGTATGTCGTTTTGATGCCGCTATCCTACCCTCCGCTAACCGTGTTTTCAGGCCAAACTCCTTTTCCTATTGCTATGTCACCGCAGGCTGCACCGATGGCAACACTTACGTGTGGGACACGGCGCGCGGAGAAAAACCTATCCACGTCCTCCGACACGACCCACCCATCGACGAGTTTCGCGGAGATCGAGAGCGAGAAGACGTCGGTGTCAAATTCACGGCTTGGGGAACCACCCCAGACCGCTTTTATACGGGCTCATCAGATGGCGTTGTAAAGGTCTGGAACGTTCGCTCACTCAATAGGCCGCTTGTCCGCAACATGCTAGAAGCTCCTGCGCCTATTACGGCCGGCATGTTTTGCCCAGACAAGTCCAGGCTTGTTATCGGAGATGCTAGCGGTCGCGTTTATATGCTTTCCGTCGAGGAGGAGAAGAAACAGCAGCTGGCAACCTTGAAAATCCCGCTCCCTGGATCAGGCTACAAGCTGCTCCACCGACCGCCCTCGATTATCCCGCACCCCGACCCTCCCGCGCCTACGCACGATGCTGAAGGTCGCCCGATAGTAGCCGAGACCGGGCCGGCGTTGGGCCACAATTACCTTGCAAGCCAGAAGCTCGAGCGGCATCCCAACCCGACTATTGGGGTTGTACAAGGCCCTCGATATGCAGAGACGGGCCTTTTTCGCCGGGACCTGCATTTCAACGAAGACCCGAACCAACCACTGCTGGCAAGGTGGGAAGCGATACAACAAGAAGCAGCAAAGCCGCTTAGGCCATATCTGAGCAAGCGGCGAGACCAGGCCATGGCTCTTCGGCCACTGCAGGAGATAGAGAGCTTAAGAAGAGTGCACAACAAGAATACGGGTGTAGATTGCGATATACAAGCTCTATCCAACGTTACCCCATTCATCTTCGAGAGAGTTAACGAGTTCTTGAGAGATGATTATCCTCTGAGATACGAAGAGGAGTAATAGAAGTATTATATATATATTCTCCTACTCCGCTATGCCTAGCTATTTACAAGGCGCGCCGGACCCTCTACTGCTATGTACAAAGGAAAAACCGTACCGTTTAGGCCGGGTGAAAACCTTCATCAAAAATAATAGGAAAGACATGGTTCCAGTGATACACGCTGCTGCAAGTAAAGAAAAAGGCCTTGGGAAGGCCTTGGGCCAACGGCTAGTAGGGTACTAGCCCGGCTAAGCCGTGGCCAAGAAGTATTATATAATTGAGCTATGCAAGCCATGAATGTAAAGTAGAAAGAAGCAGAGAGAATTCAAGACGAAATATAATTGAAGCATCTATAATCATTGAGTAATCATATCAAGAGGACAAGTATATCCCACTATAAGAATAATAATATTATCCATACTATATATTTAATACTATCTACTAGATATTAACATATTAATTAAGATACTATTAATAGTATATATTATATAATAAATATTGCCTTGCTATATATATGAAGTGATTAAAGATTACTATTTAGCTTTCTTAACCGTCAAAGTTCTTCGCTGGTTACTCTAATTTATAGCTATATGCTCTTATACTTATTTACTATCTTCTTTTCTTTAGTATTTCTAATCACTACAAGACTCTTATATCCTTCATAGCCGTATTATAGCTAGCTTACAAGTCTACATATAAGCTACATAGCAACTACCTATCGCTTGTTACTTTTGGGCAAGTCTTTTGTTGCGCTAAACTTACCCGTATTGGCAATAAAGAAGGCATCTTGCGTCGTTGCACAGTGATGGCTAGTAGTCTGTCATGAACCAACCATTTAAGGGACCCAGTGGGGCGCCCTGCATGGCCACGGAACCAATCAGCCGGGAGACGGCATGCAGACAGACGTGGTCGCCGAGGGTAGCTCGCGACCCCGGGCGATCATGATCGCTGAAGGTAGCCAGCGATCATGGGCGATCGCATACATTCAGTACGGGGATACCTGGAGGAGGAAGCTGTATATAGATCTACCATTCTGTCACTCATTAGATAGCTTCCTCAGTGAGCAATTCAATCAGTAGTCTTCTAGCTACTGTGCAGACATTGCAGAGCGCATTGTTGTGAATCTTTTGGCTTCACCGAGACCTACAGCCCGACCAGCATTACCTTCGACCGGAGAACCCTTTCAGAGGCAGGACTGCCTTGGGTTTCGTCACACAATCTGTGTGGGTCCTTCGTGGCCTATCTTCCCTAGAGCTCTGCTTCAACCCTCTATTAACTTCAGTCAATTTGGTATATACACTAGCGCTACCTAGGGAGTGACTGACCGATGCCGACATACCGGTCGACTCCTCGCTTGCCTGCCGGATCTCTGGTGTTCACTTAGCGTTGCAGATGAATGCATCAGACAATTAATGCGAAACTGATACGGCACAATACGGTGGCAAAAAACCATTCAATTCGTGGATTCTATCACCTAGGGCTAAATTTGGAACGAGACGAGACCTCACATAATAACGCCCTCCTTCTCTATCAAGTGAGACCAGCGCCCCAAGGGCTCCAGACCGGCCGGTCATCCCAAGTCTGTTGTTCTGGGGGGCAGAAATGGGCTAAGGAAAGAAGAGATCAATGACAGAAGAAGTGAATGAAAAGTACAGAGAGAGAGAGAAGGTCATGCCCCCCCCCCCAACCCAGGCAGTCCACGCATCCCGTAATGGTCACACCCCACGCTCCTATAACAGGGTAGGTAGGTTGTTAATAAATAAGTGAGGGGACCACTGTCCAAAGGGCCGGTGTTCCCACTTCTATTCCATCCCTTGCTCATGCCCTACGGTCTTGACGCTTATTACCCGCTTATTTAATTAAGCTTAAGGGTTCGATGCGCTCGCGCCAAACGCAAAGTTGGGCGGGTAGTTGATCCCGTTAGGACCCATCGTAATGCCCGCGGGCAAGCCTAGAACGACCGGCTCGTCGCTGTTAGCGGCCTTATCGTTCCGATCGCCGCTACCAACTCTTCTTTGATCGCGGCCTCCGCCACCACCACCGTGGTGCTTCTCCCTTCCGAAGCGGCCCCATCGTCCGCCGCCGCCGCCGCCGCCACCACCACCACCACCACCACCAAATCCGGGCTCGTCCTCGGGATGTCTGCTGGATTTGGGGCCGTGATTCCCGCCCTTGTCAGTCTGCATGCGGCGGCTGATCGCCTTGGAGGAGACGCCGGCGCCTATCTCGATGTCCGGCTCCTCGACACAGAGTCCGTGAACGATGGGACGGCCGCCGGACCCGCCGTAGGGGGCGGTGAGCATCCATTTGCGGTCGGCCTCAGTGAGCTTGTGGATTGGGATGACACTGATCCCGTTCTGGTAGTCGCTGCAGTCGCGAGGGCCAAATCCCACTCCCCACCTAGTCTGGACGCATTGTTAGTCAAGTGCAGGCGGCGGGATGGGCCGTCACAGGCGGGAGTAACTGTACCCTAAGCTGGAATTCTATGTTCCGGGCTTCCTCCATGGCCGCCTTGGCCCGCTCGGCGTCCTTGCGGTAGTACATCTTGACGAAAGCATGTCGCTTGTCCTTGTTGACGATACATGTCTGGACTTGCCCAAAGCGGTTGAAGATCTCGCGCAGCTCAGCTTCAGAGCAACTAGACAATTGGACAATTGGTCAGTCACATCCCCAATCTTGCCGAGCGGCTGCTAAACAAGAGGGTGTTGGCACTCACGTTACACCGCCCACGAACAGGGTCCGGCTATACACTCTGATGCAACCGCTGGGCAGGCTGTTATCATACTCGACCCACTTTTCTTGCTGGACCGGCTCCTGGCTCGGACTCTCACCACGGCGCCCGCGAGGGGATCTCTGGCGGTAGCGGTCGTCTGCCCGGCCGCGGCCTGGAGAGCCAGGATGTCCGTAGTCGAAAGCACGGTCATTCGCACGCGATCTCGGAGAGCCTCTGCCATCCCAGCGCGCGGGAGATCGGGACCTGGACCGGCCGCGGGCCCGATTCGGCGATCTCATGCCATCATGATAGCCAGTGCGATCACGTGCATCATCTGTGCGTGGAGCATCCCACGGGGTGGGAGCCGGTGCGGCACCGCCGACCGGAGGTGGAACTGCGTATCCGGTCTGCGCGGGCTGCGGTATTTGCGGCGGGGCTGCCGGGGGGAGGGCGCCTGTTTGCCCCATCATTTGGATTACGCTGGCAATCTTGTCAACGGGGATGCCCTGCGCCGCCAGCGCGGCAACGAGCTGTACCGTGGTAGCAGCAGGATTACTTGCGACGTTTGGCGGAGCAGGGACAGCACCGGCCGGGGGAACCGAAGCCGAAGCTGCCGAAGCCATTGCCTGAGCCGGCGGTATCGGCGGGTGGAAAGCAAACGGCAGTCCTGGCACATTTACAGGCTGGGCAGCCGACTGAGAAGGTGGCAGGAACGGCATGCTGGGCTGTGGCTGGACGGGCGCCGGAGCGGGCTGCATTGCACCACTATTCTGCGGACCACCGGCTGTACTGAACACGGGCGCAGGAGCCGGAGTAGACGCCGGGGCCGGGGCCGCCAGGCTAGGATTACTCTGCGCTGACGAGGCATTCTGACGAGCAATGCTTGCAAGCGTGTCCAAGATGTTCGGGATAGCAGGGTTTGCGGGCAGTGCCGCCACTTTTCCACCAGAACCAAGTGAGGCTCTAAGGTCGGCAGGAGGGCTGCCGGGAGGTGTTGTCGACTCGTCTGCCGACAGGGGTATGGTTAACCAGAGCTTCGGGCAATTGGGCGCCCACACGGGCGGTGAAGGCAAACGTGGGGATGAACCTACTGGGTCGTGGAGCATTCAGTTTCTCCCTGAACGAGTTGACCATGGAAGCTGGGAATGTCTGGCCCTTCTCCCAGATATCGACTAGCTTTCTTATTTTCTCCTACGAGCAGCCATCCTTGTGAGTGTTCATCCACCATTAAAAAAGAGGATGTAGGAGTACGAGTCCGCAAGACACAAGTGAGGCAGAAGTCAGCAGAGTCTTGAAGTCTCCTGCCGAAGGCGAGGCCGTCGCGGTCATCGTCGCCAGGGCCGCCGTCCATCTTCGAGCTCGCTTCACATGTTTTGCTCGTCTATTTTGGGAATCAGGTGGCATTCAACACGATATCTTTGCGTACCTTTTGATCTTCTGGAGCCGTTGCGATGATGTCGTTCATCAGAAGTGGTATCAACTCTGTTACTCTATGCACGCCTGCGGCGAAAGTCCCATCTGGCGATGAGAGGCTTGGGGTTTGTCCTTGGGCTTTAGCCTGGTCCAACCACTTCCTCGTTACAGAGTCTACGACGTAGAGTACTCCCAGTTTGTGTGTGCCGGGCGTTTTCTTGAAGTGGGTGAAGAGCTTCTGGATCAGAACTGATTCATGCTGTCCGGACAGACAAGGTTAGTATAACCACCGGCCGTGTAAGTTCTTGTCGTGTACATGCTATGCTCACCTGAACGTTGGCGACACACAACGCTGTTATGTTCGTGATTCGAGAGCCCGATACTCCAGGCGGCTTAAGTTGCAGCATTGCCTGCAAGCCAGCCTCGAGTTCTGCTACGACAGGGGACGCCATGGTGGACGACTTGGAGGTGAAGACCGATCAAGAAATTGACGATGCCCGCCTTCCACGACAAGAAAAGCGCCAAATATCCAGGGGATTGATGGAGGTCTATGCTATACTCCAGTTTCAAAAGAATGTGCGAGGCGAAGGTAGATCCAGTGCTCGTGGATTTCTCGGGTCTTTCTTCAGAGTCGTGGTATCATGGATTACGAGACGCCACGAAGCGCAAGAGGGGAAAAAAACACGCGCAGAACGGCAACTGTAGAAGAGCCCTTTCGCAGTTGCCAGAGCGTGAGGTTGGTGTGGGAAAAGATTTGCCAGAACGACTTCGGTCTCGCCACAATGCGACGGAACCCTTCTGTCCTTGCCAGTATATTTCCCACCTGCCACACGATTTTCAAGGGCCGATAGAATGGGCACTAAGGGTTACTGGACTCTGGAATTGTTGAGGGCTCGTTCGGGATGAAGCGCTTGACGGGATCGATAGTAGTCGCGATGAGTAGCAAGGAGGAGGAGCCAAGCGGGGAGTAAGTGGGAAAGGGTTCGTGAGTCGTGACCTTTTATGGCGCGACGGGACTTGGCTAGTGCAGTGCAAACCTTTGCCGCGCAAATTGGACCCGTGTGGCTGACTAAGCGTATTCGTCTGCCATGCAGCCATGTTCCCAATTCGGCCTGCGGCCACCGACTCCAGCGGCTGATGAGCCGCGTCCACCATTCCACACTAGACATCAGCAAACACCTGAAACTGAAACCAACACAACACCAGACAAAGTGTGCGAGGCCTGCCCTGGCAACCTCAGTGCGTTTATCACCACTAGCTCTACTTGAAAGGCAACTATGGGCAGCCCATGCATGGCTTCTCAGCACCTTCCGGATGCACATGCGTTTTCAGTTGGTCCAAGTGCCGTGACGTCAATGCTACGACTGGGAAAGCGCGGCAATCTCTCACGGGGTTGACGGCAGGAAACTCGGTCTCCGTAGCGTAACGACAGCCGGGGAAGCTGCGGCGTGGCTGGGCAACAAAGCTCTCCTTTCAACCACGAACAACATCTGCAATTAGCAGAAATTCATACATTCCTCTAGCCAACGGTGTACTATACTAGACTATGGATCATGACCACACTAGAAAGTATACGAATGGGTTAGAAAGAGAGTAGCCCGAGGCATTGAGTGTCTGTTCAGTTGTTTCTGTGAAGCCTTCGCCCGCCCGGTAGCCGAACAAAGCCCGGTTGGTCGGCTGCAATGCGCCCCCCATGTCTCCGACTCTCCGGGGCCCCAAATTCCCCCAACTGCGCTTTTTTTCCAGCTTGGCCATGCTTGATTGTCCAAAACTTTTTTCTTTCCCCTTCGTCTTTCCTCTCAACCACTTCACGCTCTCCAATTCATAACCCACATACCAGTCATGGCTCCTGCTATGCGTCTAGCGACCTCCGCCCTGAGGGGCTCATTGAAGGCGCCATCGCTTGTTTACAGAAACAGCGCCTTCGCGGCCGCCAGATGCTACTCCTCGAAAACTCAGGTACAGCTCTTTGCACCCTGCCGTCTGCAGCCTGACATCATCCATTAACCATGCGACTTCACGCAATAGACATTGAAGGAGCGCTTCGCAGAGCTCCTGCCCGAGAAGATCGAGCAGATCAAGGCGCTGCGGAAGTAAGAAAACTCTCTAGTCAGATGTGGCTATGGACGTCACTGACGCTGTCTTGCGCAAACAAGGGAGCATGGTTCCAAGGTCGTCGACAAGGTCACCCTTGACCAAGTATATGGCGGCGCCCGCGGCATCAAGTGCTTGGTGTGGGAAGGCTCCGTCCTCGACGCCGAGGAGGGTATTCGCTTCCGCGGCAAGACCATCCCGGAATGCCAGCAGCTTCTGCCGAAGGCTCCCGGTGGCAAGGAGCCTCTTCCCGAAGGCCTCTTCTGGCTTCTGCTGACCGGCGAGGTCCCGACGGAACAGCAAGTCCGCGACCTCTCTGCTGACTGGGCCGCTCGATCCGAGATCCCCAAGTTCGTCGAGGAGCTGATCGACCGCTGCCCGACCGACCTCCACCCCATGGCCCAGTTCTCTATGGCTGTCACCGCGCTCGAGCAGACCTCGTCCTTCGCCCGTGCCTATGCCAAGGGTGTTCACAAGAAAGATTACTGGGGCTACACTTTCGAGGACTCGATGGACCTCATTGCCAAGCTCCCCACCATTGCTGCCCGCATCTATCAGAACGTGTTCAAGGGCGGCAAGGTCGTGCCTGCCGAGAAGGACAAGGACTATGCCTACAACTTCGCCAACCAGCTCGGCTTCGGCAGCAACGCCGACTTCGTCGAGCTCCTGCGTCTGTACCTGACTATTCACACCGACCACGAGGGCGGCAACGTCAGCGCTCACACCACCCACCTGGTCGGCAGCGCTCTGAGCTCTCCGTTCCTGTCCCTAGCTGCTGGCCTGAACGGTCTTGCCGGTCCTTTGCACGGCCTTGCTAACCAGGAAGTCCTCAACTGGCTCACCGAGATGAAGAAGGTTATCGGCGACGACCTCAGCGACGAGGCCATCACCAAGTACCTGTGGGATACGCTGAACGCTGGCCGTGTCGTTCCCGGCTACGGCCACGCCGTTCTCCGCAAGACCGACCCGCGCTACACTGCGCAGCGCGAGTTCGCTCAGGGTAAGCAACCCCCCGTCTGCAGTCCTCGCATTGGGCTCAATTGCCGCTGACACCCTATGCAGAGAAGATGCCCAACGACCCTATGTTCCAGCTGGTCAGCCAGGTCTACAAGATCGCGCCCAAGGTCCTCACCGAGCACGGCAAGACCAAGAACCCGTGGCCCAACGTCGATGCCCATTCTGGTGTTCTCCTCCAGTACTATGGCCTGACCGAGGCCAACTACTACACTGTCCTCTTCGGCGTCTCGCGTGCCATTGGTGTCTTGCCTCAACTGATCATTGACCGTGCCGTTGGCGCGCCGATCGAGCGGTAAGCCACCGACCCACCTGGGTCAATGACTTGGACGTTTCCGCTGACACAACATCTACACAGGCCCAAGAGCTTCTCGACCGAGAAGTGGATCGAAATCTGCAAGAAGCTGTAAAGGGCTGTAATATAAGCGCATGGCGCATATCGGGACGGGGTTGCTGGGACATGGCGTGTAGGGTTCGTTTACTGTTGTTTCAGTATAGAATGGATGGGATCTCTAGCGGCGACTACAGCCCGACACGGAGGGTATGGTAGACTGGGTGGATGGCTACCCATTGTATGTTTGTACGATACAAGTCCGTAATCCGGGACCTTCGGGGAATGAATATCCATCTGATTCCATGCCCTATCGTTCCGACGCGTGGTCAGCAAAATGCAAGGCTGAGTGTGCAGGCACTACACTGCATGCTGCGCGACTTCGGACAATGAGCGTAGCTGAAAACTAGACGGATTATGGTTACACAATACCTACACCGCAGGTTCTCCGGACATTGTGAGCCAGTTCGGCGGGGATTACCGATAGGTTGATTTACTCTGGCCTTCTAGCTATAGCTACCTTACTTATTATACGGAGCACGTCTGTAATGCTGATAGATGCCTTATTAGTTCGCATTTGAAGTAGGAGCATACCGAACATCGTGGTTTGGGGATTAGGTAGCTTAACTTTCTCCAACCCCCGGTCCCGGTCCACAAGGGACCGGCCGACCCCCAGCGGATTGCGTTGGCGTTGAGAGGCACAAGGGATCATCGGCCAATTGGCGCATCTGTTGAGAGCTCCTGCCCCTGCACGAAGAGCTCGAATAAGGCAAGTACGTTACTGCAGCCCTTGCTTCCCCCAAGCCTTCAGCAATTTTTTCGAGAGTCGGACAAGGCCCTCATAAGCTGCATCTGACAGTTCACTCGGTCCCCGACATTCCCCGATCCATCCTGCAACTGGCATCATCACCATCTTGCCTCCGTTCATCGACAGCCAGCGTCAGTTGCCCGCAATCCGCATTCGGAGACCATTCGATTGTAAGTGTGGACCCGGTGCTGTCGCATTGCCGCGGGTACACAGCTCCAAGATTCAAACCCACAATAAACGAGCACCCATTCGGTAACACGTGCAAGTTAGGGTCGTTTGGTCGAGCCGGTTTAATCACCACCTACCTCTCAAGCAGCGGCCTATTTTCCGCTTTAACAGCCCGAACCCCGCAGACCTCACAAACCGTACTCGGGCAGTTCTCCCACGCGCTGAACCGCCTGATCGCCGCATCTCGGCCTAGTAGATCACCTCAGCGAACCCAACCGCCTCCGGCCGCCTAGCCACCGCGCTTCCCCGTGTTCACCCCATTCCGTTTCGCGAAGAAGCACCCTCTTCCCTTGGTCAGGGCCCCTTTGTCGCAACATCCGCCAAGTCATGTCCGCCGCTGTCGCCCCCGCGCCGGCCGCCCAGCCGCCCAAGCTGGAGAAGAAGCCCATCAAGTTTTCAAACTTGCTGCTGGGCGCCGGGCTCAACATGTTTGAGGTCACCACTCTCGGTCAGCCCCTGGAAGTCATCAAGACCACCATGGCGGCTCACCGTGGCGACGGCTTCACGACAGCTCTGGGGCGCATCTGGAACCGCGGTGGTATTCTCGGCTGTAAGTCGCATGACTGAAGCGCGCATTCCTCCATCACATTGGCTGACCTATTCGTCTTTCGCCTACAGTCTACCAGGGTCTGATCCCCTGGGCCTGGATCGAAGCGTCGACTAAGGGCGCTGTGCTGCTCTTTGTCGCCTCCGAGGCCGAATACTACGCCCGCAGGGCCGGCGCCAACGACTTTGGCAGCGGCATCATCGGCGGCGTGACGGGCGGTGTTGCTCAGGCATACGCGACCATGGGCTTCTGCACATGCATGAAGACGGTCGAGATCACCAAGCACAAGGTGGCAGCCTCGGGCCAGAAGCCACCCGGGACCTGGGCTACCTTCATGGATATCTACCGCCGCGAGGGCATTCGTGGCATCAACAAAGGTGTCAACGCCGTCGCCATCCGCCAGATGACTAACTGGGGCTCTCGCTTCGGCTTGAGCCGGCTCGCTGAGCAGGGTATCCGCAAGGTCACAGGCAAGGAGCACGGCGAGAAGCTGAGCGCCTTTGAGAAGATCATCGCCTCGGCTCTCGGCGGTGGCCTCTCGGCTTGGAACCAGCCGATCGAGGTCATCCGTGTCGAGATGCAGAGCAAGAAGGAGGACCCCAACCGTCCCAAGAAGATGACGGTTGGCAACACGTTCAAGTACATCTACCAGACCAACGGCGTCAAGGGCCTGTACCGCGGCGTCACGCCGCGCATTGGTCTCGGCGTCTGGCAAACCGTGTGCATGGTTGCCATGGGTGACATGTGCGTTTCCCTCCCCTCAAACGGTGCCCCGCTCCTCCCGGGCCGTAGGTGCTGACTTTGAAACACAATAGGGCGAAGACGTATGTTGAGAAGCTTACGGGCGAGGCGGTCACGGCTAAGCATTAAGCGACGGCGTTGTTGGCGCGATGGGTCTGGAATGACATGCAGTTGATGGTCTGATTGGGATGGGATACGCTGTGGTTATTATGTGACAGGACGCATCACGATATGGCCGGTTTCTCCTTATACTGCCGATGTGGGCGGTTTTCCAGGGACATCATTTAACACGAGGCTTATAATACAACTGCTGATAGAGGTGCGGCTTGGACTGGGCTACAATATAGAGTGGGTTTCCTTCCTCGGCAGCGAGAGCCGGGTTTGCAAGCTCCCCTCCTATTGTGAGAGGGATGGCTGAGCATCTCAAGTTGTGAACAGCAAGCGGCCGTGACAGCCTTTGCCCTTTGACCACCACAGCACAATCACTTCTACAAGACACAAGTCCGCAACTCTCTCATATCGTCTGGGGTCTGGTGCTATCTGTAGTCCCGACAGGGCAACAACCCCAAGCGACCTGGAGTCTCGAGCTGCGGCACGGCGGCGCATACCACAACGGTCTCACACGCCACTTGCTGAGTGTGATCTTCCTGAATTTACGCGGCGAACTGCGCTGGCAGACTTCTCCGTCTACACCGCGCTGCATGGCGGCAGTTAAACTTGGTTTGTATGACGTTCTATGTTCCGTGTATCCTCCGTCGTTCCTAACTGCTCACACTAAGTGGCTAGATGGCCCGGTGACGGTTTAATGTGAGATGAGAGATGAGTCTTACACTCTCGGCTTCGGCCAGGTGTCATATGGCTGGGCTGAGGTTGGCATCTGTAGGAAAGCGATGCCAGCTGGGAATGGGTTGCGGAAGATGGTTTCGTGACTGGAGATATCAGCTTTCCTACTGTGTAGTAGTGCTCGCGTGATCCATACATAATATAGGCTCCGGTGAAGCGCAAGACTCAGGTATTTCACAACGCAGAGCGCGTTGAAGCTGTAGTAATACTGTACTTGTAATTGTACCTCATATGAGGGAAATGGATGGACATACGCGCAAACGACAGAACAGCTGTTTCGGAGACAGCCCTCAGCTCTGATTCAGGGCTGGTGTCTGTCGAAGATCACCCGCGAGGATAAACCCTCAACAGGAAGGCTCTGTCGTGCGTCGGTGTAGAATTGTTAGCAACTCGTTTACACCTTATCAACGGCTTCAGGTGCCGTTGAGTGTGCTACAACATCATGAATCTTTCACCCTCCTTCCCTTGGTAGTACCATAGATAGAGGTGGCCGTATCTATCTGTGTTCGTGACTCGGTGCAAGTCCGAGGGGCTTATGAACTGATACAGACAATAATACGTCAAACAAGAGTCAGAGCTACGTGCGTATCCGAGAATGTGTCTGTTGCCTTTCCATGCTTCCACTGTTCAACAAGTTCCCGACGCAAGAAGCAGTGCGCTGAAACGGCGGCGATCTGAGCTCCGTGTTTCGCATGCGCGTGCGAGACAACTGCAGCTGTGTCTTCTCGGGCCGTTTTGGAGAAGCACCTGTACCGGGGAGCATCTCACCTCGCCACCCGGAGACGCTCCGAGTCATGACCGGAGCAGGACCCCACATGTCCCGGGGCGGCCGAAGGGGGCCGTACGGTGATGAGACGAGTTCTGTGTTTTCTAGCTAGGCGGGGCGACTCTGTTTGACTATCGACCTGTCCTGCCTCTGTTTGTATCCGGCGGGCTGCTGTTCTACGGCAGTTTCATCGAGCGCTTAGCTTGCCTCACTTCGGTTTTCCTATTCGCAAGGTCTCCCATGTCTTCCATCGTCCTCGTAAGTGTTTCTTTCCCCAAGACATATCACGGTGAAACCCAGTGATTCCGACCTGCTTGACGGCCGGTTCTAGGCCCGATTTTACTAGAATCGGAAGCTTGGCGAGAGGCGATGTGTGAGGAGTGAGAGAGCAGAACTCGACCTGCGTTTTGTTGTTCATCCACGATACTCCTCCATGGAGCATCCACGGGCGCGGGAGCCCTTGGCTGGAACGGGACCAGCCCCATAAAGTTGCATGAGCTCATAGACGGAATGGCGTGAACGGGATGGGATACAGGTAGCCCCTAATGACTCAGGGGGAGACTGTGATGGGAGACGCCTTAGTATAGCATCGCGATAGTTCAAGGTGAATCGGCGTTGGCACACCACTTGCATGCGGCACTCACGTAGAACCTGTCATGGTGGTTGCCGCGGCGGTGAGTTTTTGTTCGTTTAACCTGGAATCCTCTGAAGATCTACGCTGCAGTTCCCTCTTACCACTCCAAATCTCATCAGATAATACACAGTAAAGAGTGGTGACGCTGTACTGCGTCCACAGTAGAGAAAACACCAACCTGGAGTCCTGGACACGAGCAGACCCATGCCAAGACCCGAGGAGATGATCAGAACTTCGTGAGCGAAGAACGGGGCCGCTTCCACAATCTCATTTGACGGTGGTCCACCGACAGAGCTGCAGACCGAGGGGAATCCACAATAGGGGTCCGACTCCACGAACTGGAGATTTCCAAAAACATGATAAGCAAAGAATGACACACTGTCGCTAAAAAGGCGGCCAACGCGGCGTGTTCCAAGATATCAACGATACTATTGCTGCACCGGGCTCCACGCTCCTGAAGCAGATTTTCAACATCTATCGAAATGAACGCGCATTATTGACAGGATTTGCGATAATAAGAATCCAGAAGGTTCGCAGCGTATTTACGGGGTACAGGTCTAAATTTGAAAAGCCGGAATTCGGCCGTCCGGCGCAAGTTGATGGGAAGCGCGAGCATTGAAGCGAGACCGCGCGACTGTCTTTTGATGAGTGATCATATTGATAATTACCTACCTTGGTTACCCACTAGCAGAGCGTTTTATTATTAGGGACCGGCAACGGCGACGTCGTAGCTACTTACCAACTGCCCCCGAAATCCGGCCGATTGGACCTATAACTCTAATCGAGATTAACCTCTCTGTGGACACTGGCATGGTTGCCTAACAACAACGAAAGCGAGCGAGCCCGAGCCGAGCGACCTGAACGTAACATGGGACAAATCTCAGTCCTCATGACGACGCCATGAACAATGAGAACAACACGATTCGCTTTATGTACGTTGCCCTTGTTCCTTTAATTCTTAGGCCACTCGCCTCTGTCCATGATGTTTCCTATGCATAATGCGCGCAAATGCAAGCCAATTGGCTCGACCCAATCCGGTTCGGTCCGTTATGGCACTCGGACCAGGGCAGTGACGTTGCTCAGATCCGTTTAGGGCGGAATATCGTCAAGGAGCTTGTTGTCGCTATCCGATAAGCGAAGTTGTGCTTGACCTGGGGTTGCTAAGCGATCGCTTCGACTGGGGAGGAGGTGCTGTTGATGACCGCGGGGAAGGACAGCGCAGCTTACATGCGCTTATTACATGGAGATATCGGCGTCTGTTCATATGACTAGCAACCATTCGAGCACGTCGTTCGATGTGAGGGTACTTAGTTCCTCTGCGTTGCTGTATGTGTTGTTATTATTTTTGGTTACCGGTAATGTTTGGCCGATACGCCTGTGTTACCTCCCTGATCATGTTCTGGCACAGGCTGGTATAACATGATGTCGACGGCCACTTTTTGCGTCTCTTCGACCCCCAGACTGAGAGGATTGCGACGACAGGGCTGCCGTCGAGTCTACTGTCTCTAGTCATTAACTGTCACCCAGCTTAACTGTGCCCTTATTTGGAGGAATGCGAGAATCGTGTCGGTTCGGTATGACAGCCAAGACGGCCAAGCTATGTACATCAAAGTCGTGAATGTCAAACTGTCCGCAAAGAACACAAGAGACACAAGCCAAGAAGCCAAGGCCTAGTTGTCGATGCCGCTGCCCGAGGAGGGGCCGGTGTTTGGCTAGGAACTTGGAGCAGCTTGAAGCTGCACTGTCTCAACTCACCTACCTACCTACCCAACCTCATGACCGACATTGGTGTGCCAGAGGGTGCCGCGAGCTCAGGCGAGCGCGACGTCAGACCGCCCGAGATCCGCGTTCTACATGGGTGATTATTACCTGGCAATACCCATCTCCACCGTACAAACCCCGTGAGGCGAACGGCGGTTGGGTAGGCAAGCGTTGCCAGGTGCACCAGGCTTCTGGGTAGTAAAGCCACAGGATGCGCAATAAATCACGACGGAACCTCTACACTATGCAGGGCACGCAGTATGCGGGTGGGTGGAAGAAGACGGCGAAGACGGAGAAGACGGATGGAAGAACGTCCCTGCATATGACGGTTACCCAGAGGAAACTCTCGACGAATGAGAGAGGGCCTGTCACTCGACAGCTTGCTCCTTTTGGCAAGAGTCCTACGACAAGACAAGCCGAGTCCTGACCCACTGCGTGATATTCCGGTATCCATCAATACCCGTTCGATCCCGTGTGAGAGATTTCTTTCGCCAACATTGAACTGGCTGAGCGTAAAGTGTACATACTGTGTCTGTACAGTGCTGTGAGAGCCTGGTCCATTTCCGTTCGCTGCTCACCCGCGTCGAAGCTAATACAAGTTGGGTTGTCGGTGATTGGCCCCCACGCCCAGGCATGCGGGCGAGGGCGATCTTCGCCTTCGTCTTCTGCTCGTTTTCGCCTCGCCCTGTCTCTTGAAGCGATCAAATGTGAGGAGATGCGGGGAAACAGAAAACATGGGGTTCGGGGCCGCTCTTGGCCATGTGAGAATGAGTGCTTCGGTCAACTCCATGTGAGGAAACATCAACACCCGTCTTAAAGGATGTCTCACGGCGAGTGCGATACGTATTGTACATACACAGCGGAGGTAATAAGCATGTAACGTTATATCCGTCCCAGCTCGGAGTACGCGTATTGGTTGAAAGAAGACTGTAATGTCCGAGCGCAACCGCCAGGCGGACCCCAGCGCCCTCCTGGAAAGAGTGCAGTGGGAGTTGGTAAAATTGAGACTCCTCTTGCGCGGCAGTCGTCCCGAAACGAGCAGCAAATGGCCGACGACAACATCACGAAGAGTTGCAGCCAGCATGATCCACCAGGCACCATACATACACTACTCTAGGATCCACCGTTCTGTGGGGAGCGATTTTGGTGCATGAGGGATTGCGGCACTCCGATCCTTGCAGCTCCTGGTGTGGGGCATACAAATCCAGGGCGTGACGGACTCGGCAAGGCTCAAGAATTTTTCTTGGCGTGACCTGTGCGACAAGTTCGCCATTTTATCAGACCGCCCCGTGTTCCGAAATCCGAGGCTTGCCCTTGTCCGCGACTCTTGTCGCTTGCCCGTCGGTGGCCGAATGGATTGATAACCCCCCGGATCTGTCGTCCGCCGCACGGAGTTGCCGGTGGTCGCCATATGAGACGAGGTCGAGCAGAGGTGAGGACGGGAGACTTCCTCCCCGGTGCTCGGGATCGGCAAGGGGTGCTTGGTATCAAATCTCCGTAGGGTGAGAACCAAGCGCTAGCGGCTCCGGTTGTGCTGCCGTGACCGACAAGAGTCTCGATCCCGCGACCGTCACCAGAGGTCTTGCGGATGATGAAGAACGTGATTTTCATGGCTTCATCAAGATCTTGCTCGGTCCGAGCTGCAGCCCAGCCCACCCCAGAGCATCCGGCAACTCAGGCGATGAAGTTCACAGTTGGCTGCCAGGAGGATGAATAGAAATCCACTTACACAGTCTCCCATCCAAAGCCCCTACCCTGACTGGAGCAGTGGCAGCGGGACCCGTACAAGTTGCAGCTCCCGTGGAATCCAAAATCTCCCCGGCGGGATCCATTAGCTAAAACCATCAAGCGGGATTCTAGAATGCTATCCCAGACCGCCTTTTGCGGGATAATGTGCGGTCTTAAAAGGCGGACCGCATGTAACCTACTCCTGACACTTGCTTACCTATGTACAGTTCAGATCTGAGGTATTCTGATGGCCGTAGACATTGGCACCGGAAAGCAGTCTCATGACTAGGTGGCGGAATACACTACTCCGTAGTGAGTGTGCTTCTTAATTACCTTATGAATGTCCAAGACGACGGCACAATCCAGCGGAACACCAGGGGGATGCTCTGATAACTACCAAATACACATTCGCGATATCAACGCATCACAATCTCATCCAAGGTGCCAAGAAAGACCGGGCTGTATATATGTACGTTTCGGCTATATCTATGAGTCTGGGCGGCGTGGCATCCAAACCCACCCAGAAGTCTTGGTATCTTCAATTGCCCAAATCGGGTTTCGCAAGAGATACTGACCTCTAGCTTAGCATCTACCTCTCCGGAAGACTGGATTCTGGCCGGCTCGTCGCAATAACCGGGCGGCGAACGAGCTCTATCCTTTGTCCTTGACTTGTCGTTGCCTCGAATACCACGAGTCAAGAATATTGCCCACTGCCTTTCGGCATCGAGCTCCGTGCGGCACCTGCTCGGCTTGTTGATCGTCCGGGGATGGGGAGCAAGGCTGGGGTAGTGTAGCCTCGAAGGCGACTCCGAGTTGCACATCCGCCTGAGAAACCGCGAGAAACGCTTAGTGAATTTCACGCTCTCTTATGCGGGGCACCTATCGACTTTATTAAGAAGGATGAGAAGAGCTCCTGTGATGAAAGTAGGGCTAAAATTCTCTGATGCGGATCCGGAACGGTCGGCCTGGCAGGCCGAAGGTCCTCCTCAATGGAGCTTTGTGGTGGTGTTCGAGTCGCTGGTTGGAGGGGAAGGCGAATGACGTAGGGAGACCGGGCTCCCTATCGGCACTTCCGCTTCGGCTGACCCTGCCTGTTGGCGCGATTGGATTGCCTCGATTGCCTCAACTGTCACACCCCCTCTCAAAACGACCCAAAGCTGATGGCAGACGGTGATTCCGAGTTTCCAAAAAGCGGTTCTGCGCGAAATTGTTATGACGCCTCTTCTTTGTTCGCTGCCGCAGTGAGGGAATGCATCGAACAATTGTAGAGTGTAGACCAAGGGTGTTGAGCTGAGCGATCTGGGGCGCTCGGGAATGCCCGCCTGGCGCATGCAATCCGAAGCTGCCAGTCCCAAATAGGCAAGAAACAAATGGCTCGTTGCCCCATCCAATGTACGGAGAATCTGTGGTCGCTCTGGAGTGGCCCACTCTCGCCCCCGAATCGCGAGTGAGAGGACCTCATTTTGGCACACGGCGAATTAGCTTGCCACCGCGAAAGAACGCGATAAAGAAAACACTAAGCAACCCGACTGCTACCGAGTCTCCTGTTCTTGTCCCTTTCTCCCAATGCTTATTAACATGTCCTGGGTGTTTTCAAGCTTTGTTTTGTTTATCAGACATGCCGGTGTTTTGGGCAGGGATGTCGGCTCTACATAGCAACCAGTAAGAGAACAACAGTACCTAGGTATTACCTATCTGGGCGTTGCTTGGAACGTCGATGCAACTTTCAGTCTGCGCCGCCGTAGTCTGGGGGTTTCATGACGAACAACAAACAGAAAGCTTGTCAATCTTGTCAGTGCGGTTTCAAACTTCCAACTAAGGGTCTGTGATCGAAACGTGAAACGTGAAAAACCTATCGCGGAGGTATTTGCCTCAGGAAGTACGAAAGCCCGAGAGTCTTGTGCTTAGCAGGTTTGTAGCAGCTTGAAAATTGTCTTCAGAGCATGTCCATAGAGCTTGAGGCAACGGAAATAATCAACCATGTCAACTTACGAAGTACACCGCATCATCTGGGCTTGTGAGGTGTAATGTAATGTACCCCAGGTCGGTAGCTGGCCTGGATGAATTGCACGGGCTGATGAAAAGGCAACCCGGAAGCGCGAGAAATGGACGACAGGTAACGCCAAAAAATCCCGCAGCTTTGAGTGCGGGTACCTGAAGTTACCTTGCCGGACCGCCTTCGTAAAGTACCAAGCTCCAACTGGATCTCCAACGATAGCCGGGGAAAAAGCGGGCATGGTACATGCGCGGACTGCACGGTTCAGGTACCTTATCCATACCACAGCGGCCTCGCCACCCTGACTCTCATGCACACTGTGCGAATTGAGATTTGCAATCCTTTCCCCTGGGTTAATGGAGGGTGGTGAAAGCACCAATGCGCACCCTGCATCCCACAGTTGGAATGGTCACGCGCACTGTGATGTGGAGATGTGATTCGAGCATCAGCGCCGCGTTCTGCCCGCTGCGTGCAATGACGACGATCCACCCTTCTGTGAGTGGCCAACCTTGCTCAACAGGGGATGGAAGTGTCGCCTGGTTACGATCCCGCGAGCAGCAAAGGGTAAGGTCGCGGCTTGTGGACGTCGTAGGCAGGGACTAGGCCTTGAATGTGTATGGTGCGTGCGTGGATTCTGTGGGCGTGACCAAACGGCCCTTTGCTCGCGCTCAAATAATATAATACGCCGACCACCCACGCTCCCCTCAAACTTTTCTCTTCCTTTCCTACCCTTACGCCACGCCACCCACGCTTTCCACCCACAAAGGCTTTCTCTCCATCTTCTTGCTACGCGCCCTTTAACACAATCCGTCGCGCCAATGGCCGACCACTCCGCTGCCGGCGCTCCCGCGCTGTCAAACTTCGACGAGAAACCGGCCCAGCACGTCACAGAGAAGCGGCCCGTAGAAGAAGAGGAGGAGGATGAGGACATTGATGCGCTCATCGACGACTTGGAGAGCAACGATGGCCATGCCGTAAGTTCATTCCCTCACTCACTTCGCTGCTGTTGATTAGCATTGTGCGACGCAATGGTTCGCCCTCAATTGGCTTTCAATCGCCGAACGCTTCGAAGCCATCTTTATTAGTGACAATGCATGCTGATACGTTGCCTACAGTTTGAAGAGGAAGAGGAAGTCCAGCCCGGCGGTGGCCGTGTCGTCCCCGAGGACATGCTTCAGACAGACACCCGGGTCGGTCTCGCATCCGAGGAGGTCATCCAGCGTCGCCGGAAGTATGGCCTCAACCAGATGAAGGAGGAGAAGGAGAACCTTGTTCTCAAGTTCCTCGGTTTCTTCGTCGGCCCTATCCAGTTCGTCATGGAGGCCGCTGCTGTCTGTAAGTATCCACCTTTCCGACGCGTCGTCTGATGTTCCCCCACCCCGCAATACGCCGTGCGGTCGCATTGCGGGAAGCCTCACATGCGGCTGCACGCAGCGGGCCGATCGCGACGACATTCAATGCAGTCCTGGGTGACAATTGGTCATGCTAACTCCTCTACAGTGGCTGCCGGTCTTGAGGATTGGGTTGATTTCGGCGTGATCTGCGGATTACTGCTCCTGAACGCGGTCGTCGGTTTCGTTCAAGAATACCAGGCTGGCTCAATTGTTGATGAACTCAAGAAGTATGAATTGCGTCCTCACCCTCCCCTCCCAAATCCATTATAACCATGACTGACCATTCTCAGGACTCTTGCTCTCAAGGCTGTTGTTCTCCGCGACGGAACCCTGAAGGAGGTTGAGGCCCCCGAGGTCGTTCCCGGCGATATCTTGCAAGTCGAAGAGGGTACCATCATCCCTGCGGATGGCCGTATTGTCACCGACGATGCCTTCCTTCAGGTCGACCAGTCTGCCATCACTGGCGAGTCGCTCGCTGTCGACAAGCACAAGGGCGACCAGTGCTATGCTTCCTCGGCCGTCAAGCGTGGTGAGGCCTTTGTGGTCGTCACTGCCACTGGTGACAACACCTTCGTCGGCCGTGCCGCTGCTCTCGTCAACGCTGCGAGCGCTGGCACTGGCCACTTCACCGAGGTGCTCAACGGCATTGGTACCATCCTCCTCGTGCTGGTCATCTTCACCAACTTGGTCGTCTGGGTTTCCAGCTTCTACCGCTCCAACCCGATTGTCATGATTCTCGAGTTCACTCTGGCCATCACCATTGTCGGTGTCCCCGTCGGTCTCCCCGCCGTCGTCACCACCACCATGGCTGTCGGCGCCGCCTACCTCGCCAAGAAGAAGGCCATCGTCCAGAAGCTCTCGGCCATTGAGTCTCTTGCCGGAGTCGAGATCCTGTGCTCTGACAAGACCGGTACCCTGACCAAGAACAAGCTCTCTCTGTCAGAGCCCTACACCGTTGCCGGTGTTGACCCTGAGGATCTGATGCTCACTGCCTGCTTGGCTGCTTCGCGCAAGAAGAAGGGTATGGATGCCATCGACAAGGCCTTCCTCAAGAGTCTCAAGTACTACCCGCGCGCCAAGGGTGTCCTGAGCAAGTACAAGGTTCTCGAGTTCCACCCCTTCGACCCCGTCTCCAAGAAGGTCACTGCCGTCGTCGAGTCTCCGCAGGGCGAGCGCATCACCTGCGTCAAGGGTGCCCCCCTGTTCGTGCTCAAGACCGTGGAGGAGGACCACCCCATCCCCGATGAGGTTGACCAGGCCTACAAGAACAAGGTCGCTGAGTTCGCCACCCGTGGTTTCCGCTCGCTCGGTGTCGCCCGCAAGCGTGGTGAGGGCTCCTGGGAGATTCTCGGCATCATGCCCTGCTCCGACCCTCCGCGTCACGATACTGCCCGCACTATCAATGAGGCCAAGTCTCTCGGTCTTTCCATCAAGATGCTTACTGGTGATGCCGTCGGTATCGCTCGTGAGACTTCCCGTCAACTTGGTCTCGGCACCAACGTCTACAACGCTGAGCGTCTCGGTCTCGGTGGCGGTGGTGATATGCCCGGCTCTGAGGTTTACGACTTCGTCGAGGCCGCCGATGGTTTCGCTGAGGTGTTCCCCCAGCACAAGTACAACGTCGTCGAGATTCTGCAGCAGCGTGGCTACCTTGTTGCCATGACTGGTGACGGTGTCAACGACGCTCCCTCGCTCAAGAAGGCCGACACTGGTATCGCTGTCGAGGGCGCTTCCGATGCCGCCCGCTCCGCCGCCGATATCGTCTTCCTCGCCCCCGGTCTCGGTGCCATCATCGATGCCCTCAAGACTTCGCGCCAGATTTTCCACCGCATGTACGCCTACGTCGTCTACCGTATCGCCCTTTCGATCCATCTGGAGATCTACCTCGGCCTCTGGATCGCCATCCTGAACCGTAGCTTGAACATCGAGCTCGTTGTCTTCATCGCCATTTTCGCTGATGTCGCCACCCTGGCCATCGCCTACGACAACGCTCCCTACAGCAAGACGCCCGTCAAGTGGAACCTGCCTAAGCTCTGGGGCATGTCGGTTCTGCTCGGCATCGTTCTGGCCATCGGCACCTGGATTACTGTCACGACCATGTACGCGCACGGCCGCAACGGTGGTATCGTTCAGAACTTCGGTAACATGGACGAGGTCGTGTTCCTCCAAATCTCGCTCACGGAGAACTGGCTCATCTTCATCACCCGTGCCAACGGTCCTTTCTGGTCTTCGCTCCCGTCGTGGCAGCTCACTGGTGCCGTCCTCATCGTCGACATTATCGCCACTCTTTTCACCATCTTCGGTTGGTTCGAGGACGGCCAGACTTCGATCGTGGCTGTGGTCCGTGTTTGGGTCTTCTCTTTCGGGATATTTTGCATTATGGGTGGTCTCTACTACATCCTGCAAGACAGCGTCGGCTTCGACAACCTCATGCACGGCAAGTCGCCCAAGGGCAGCCAAAAGCAGCGGTCTCTGGAGGACTTTGTCGTCTCGCTCCAGCGCGTCTCGACCCAGCACGAGAAGTCGCAATAGGCGACTCGCATTCATTTGGGAATGGAAGGAGGCAGGATTTGGCCGCGGTTGCTAGGAAGGGGGATCAAGGATGCAACCAGCGGGCCAATCTTTTTCATTTTCTGATTTTTGTACGGACTTTAGTATGGGGGGATACCCTGAGTCCCTTAAGGACAATCTAATAAAGATGTAAAATAATCGTGCGATCCAGATGCATGTGATCTGCCTGCATTGTGTGGCCCGGCTGCCCAGCCAGATTCGGACTCTTCACATCTTGTTAGCACTCGAGCGGTCAGGAACCACCTGCATGCGTTGCCACTCACGTGCTGCTCTCCATCACAACCCCTGCCCAGTTTGGGACCAGCTGATGATAACTGAATTGAATAGGTAGCAAGTTCAAGTATCACCACCTCCTTCCCCCAACTGCCTCTAAGCTCGGGATCTCCAATTTGAAAACATTTTCCAGTAACTTACATGTGTAATTGATATCAATTCTGCTGCTGTTCCCTTTCAATGAATTTCTCCCTCCGACCAACCAGCTGTTTCGTCACTTTGCCATTCGTGCCCCTAACCCTCCAGAGGCACACACCATCAGTACTGCAGCATCACTTGTGTGCTGGTCATGGTACAGTGCTCCAACTTTTCCCGGTTCATTACAGCCTCACATTCTCCATCGTACGTTCCGACGGTGTTGCGAATGGACGTTTTTTCGATAGTTTAAAGACATATGGAGGTTTTGGTGTTGTTCTGCTCTATTCTATGAGAGAAAAAGCAGCGCCGTGGGATTGAGAAACGAAGATGACTCGGGAGATACCTGGGTTCTACTATGGTCAGCCTGTCCCCTTCTCTGCTCTGATTTCTATTTTCCTTTCGTCTTTCTTATTTTTCGTTCCGTGGCTCACATTGGACCCAGACAGCGTCAAGCGCAAGTACTTCCGCATTGAAGACAGCAAGACGGCGCCAGCGCAGGCGGCCTGGTCAGCACGCAATGTGAAGCGGCGCGCGCTTGAAGAGCAAGAGAATGCTCGAAGGTGGGAGAAGCTGCAACGCCAGGCCAAGAAGGTGAAGAGGGCTCGCGTGAGGGAGGTGCCACTCATGGGCGGACTGTTGGCCAGGGAGATTGGAGAAGTCGGTGGCCATCGTGTTTTGCCCGGGGCAGAAACCGTGGGCAGGGCATGGGCAGGCGGGCTCCGGGCCAAGGGCGGAGTCAAGCTCTGGCCTAATTACCCCGACAATTGTGGGATGCTATCGTCTATGTGGGTTGGAGGCAGTAGCGAACCGGGGCTGGGCATTGTGTACGGGGCACTGAATGAAGGATTATGGGCGGGCGCATACATCCCACGGGATGCCGAGGACAGGTGAGTTGTGGCGCACTGCCGGCCTGGCCTTTTCTGACCGGGCCTGTTTGCTGAGGGCCGCAGAATCAGCTGCCGGCATGCTGCAGAGCGGTATCCTGGTATCGACTTCCGGCCGCGACTCTATTCCCTGTCGGATCCCATCGTCACGTCGATCAAGTTCCATGACTCGTCGCGCACGATACTCCTGGCTTCCAACGACTACAGAGGCGGGCCCATCTGTATCCGGCAATGCAAAGCCCAATCACGCCGTTCAGCAGACCCGAGTCGGAGCCTGGTGCTAGAGGACAGTACGTTCGTGTGTCACAGAGTCGAAGCGTGATTGTACAAGTACATGGCCTGACTGGTTACGGACCATAAACAGACGAGTCCGTTCTCCGCTTCACCGGGAGACAGCTTGATGGCAGCCCCGCCAGCACCATCCACGCACTGCAGCCCGCCCCTTACGGCTCGCGGCTGACGTGCATAGCCGGCACCGACCGAGGTGTCGTCCAGTTGCAAGACCAAGAGTTGAGCTGGCTCACGCCGCCGGCGGACTGGTCCCCCAGACAGTTCAAGTTCCGCGGACGCACGCAGGCCGGGCAGGACCGCGCGCCATGGCAAGGCGACATCCTGTCGGTCGACTTCCTCAGCCCGAACAACCCCGAAGTCATCCTCGCCGGCACCCGATCGAGCCATGTCTGCGTACTGGACCTCCGCACCCCGCCCGGCGAGTGGTCCGCCGAGAGCAACACCCTCAAGCACGCCAGCAGCGCCGCGCACGTCCGATGCGTGGGACCTTATACCGTGCTCGCCGCCGGCCCGCAAAACGCCATGGCGCTGTACGACGTCCGCTTCTTGCAGCGGCAGCGGCAGCGGCAGCAGCTGCAACAAGAAGAACAACAGCAAGACCCAACCAACTGGGGAGGGGGAGGGGAAGGGGGAGGAGGGCGGCGGCGAAGACCTGGGAATTGCACACGCCCCGTCGTCGAGTTCCCGTCCTACCGCAACCAAGAACACATCCACATCGGCCTGGACGTGCTGACAGAGCCCGGGTACGGCAGCGTCGGAATCGTGGCGGCGGCGCATGGCGACGAGACGGTGGGGCTGTACTCGCTCGGGGACGGCAGCAGGATACCTGCGGCGGCAGTGGACGGGATCAAGGCGCATGCAGTGGTGAGGAGCTTGATGTGGCAGACGCTGCCGGGGGATCAGCATCCGAGCTTGTTCGTCGGGGAGGGGCCCTGGGTGAGGAAGTATTCATTTTGGGCGTGATGTGCAACGTTGAACAGGGAGGGTTCCGGAATAATGCTACGGGTGGCTGGAATGGGGTTGAATGATATGTGCGTATTTTGTCACATGGAACCCGTGTTTAATTGGTATTGGACTTGTAAGGTATAGTATACCTACCTATATACATGTGTGTGTGTGCGTGTGTATACAACCTTTGTCTAGACTGCTGTACTGTACGCAATTTATAACCATATTACATGTTAGTCTGGTATATATACCTGATGTACCCACAACTATACGCCGTCTTTATCTTCGTATATCGTGCATTATCCAGAACCAGAACCCATCCCTTTCCCCCCCTGTGGGGACGAGACGTCAAGTCGCCCTCTTGACATTAATCAACCCCGTCAGGGCAGGAAACGTCCTCTCAAACGCCTCTCCCACCGTCCAATTCGCCAGCACCTTGACATGCTGCTCAAACACGGGATTCATGACCAGCTCGTCGCTGTGCGGATCCGCTAGCAGCACGTAGGCCTCCTCGTACGGCCAGTTCAGACTCAGCGTCCGCGTAAACGGGATGAAGAAGTTGTCAAACGGGAAGTCGCACACCTCGTACTCGCGCACCAGCTTCTCCCGCATCTTGGGGAAGGGCACGTAGTCGAACCAGGCCGGGTGGTCCCGCTCCAGCTGGACGCGGAAGGGTCGGATCCACTCGGGCATGCGCAGGTAGTTCTCGCGCGTCGGGTGCACCTGCCAGCGCATGACGAGGAACATGAGATACAGCACGGCCACGCGCTCCGGCAGGGTCGAGAGGTCCGGGAAGCGGGCGAGGATGTCGGTGAAGACCTTCGAGAGCGGGTGCGCGAAGGCCGAGACGGTCGGGTTGAGCAGGGACGAGACCGACGGGTACCGCGGACCGACGATCTCGGTGGGCGGCAGGCCCTCGGCGAAACGCTGCCGGCGTTCGGCGAGGAAGTCGAGGAGGATCGAGTCGAGCGGGCAGGTTGCCGGGCAGCTGCGGGGCAGCATGGCGTAGACCGGGGCTTCGGCGACCGCGGAGGCGGCGGGGGTGGCGGGGGTGGCGGGCGTAGAGAGCGAGAGGTTTGCTGCAGCTGCGGAGAAGCTCGGCAGGGGGGACATGGGGGACTGCGCCTGTTGTTGCTGTTGTTGCTGCGTCTGCGGGTTGGCGATCATGGAGATGGTGGACGACCGTTCGTGCTTCATGGGCACGTGGCGGAACTGGGGCGAGTCTTGGGCGCCGTGTACGCCCCTCTGGACGGTGGTGACCTTGACCTTCGAATCGATCAGGAAATCGAACGCCAGTCTTTCGGAACCCAGTTCTAACCCGTGGACGAGATCATGGCGCTGCTGCTGGAGCACCTCTAGTTCCGACGGCCCGTCCAGGCTCCGCGGGCCTGCGACGGGCGACGGACTGCTCCGCCACCGGCCGTGGTGGGTTCCAACCGACCCGGGAGAGGTGGCACTCGTCGGCGTCGATCCGGGATTGTGGGCCGTTCGTGCCGTGGTGGTGGTGGAGGTGGTGTGTGTAGACGGGGAGCCATCTGCCAGCGTGTCTCAGCGCATGAATCGGTCACGGAGAAAATTGGAAAAGACAAGGACAAAGGAAAAAACAAAATAAAGAAATAAAGAAAGATATAAAAGAAACATCAAACCACATACCCGCACCAGGAGCAGGCCTCGCAAGGAGGGGCTGCATCATACCCACGATAGTAGCCAGGCGGCTCTTCATGTCAGCCAGCTCGGCCTCCACGGCCTCCTTCTGCCGCAGCACGCCCTGCAGCTCCTGATACGGCTGCTGCGACTTGAGCTCGGCAATCTCCTGTTCATAGCGCATCCTCTGGGCGCGCTGGCGCTCACGGATGGCACGCTGTGCCTCGCGGTCTGGGCGCAGTGCAGTCAGTAATCAGTATCCGACAACCGTCAGCAGATCCGCCATGATGCGGGAAACTCACCATTGGCTCGCTTTCTCTCCAGTTGCTCTGGCGTCAGGTTGGCCACGCCGCGCGATCCGCGGCTGGTCTTGCGCCTTTTGGAAGCGCAGCCCGTAGCGGCGTCGTTGCTGCTTGCCGGCGTGTCGGCGTCCGGGACACCGTCGGCATGATCATTCTCGCCCTTCAGTTCTTGCGTTGTTGCTATTGGTGGCGAGGGTGTGGCTGCTGACACTGACACCGACACCGCCGGCGAACCGTGTTCCGTGCCGCAACCGGGCTCGGGTCGCACCTGCAGCTGCCAGGTTGCTAGTAGGCCCGGTGATTCTGCGGCTTCGGCTGCGGCTGCGGCCGAGCCACGGCCGGCGCCACTTTTACGGCCGTCAGCGGATCCTCCGTAGCTGCTGTGCCTGTGTCCGAGCTCGGGCGGGCTGAGAACGATCTCGTGGGTGAATGTACTAGTTAGCCCCGACTGGGAGGAGGACGCCATGGGCTGGGATGGGTCCGCCAAAAAACCCCCGCTCGGAAACGAAAAGCCAAACAGCAAAAACAGAGCGAGATTATTATTATCGAGTCCTGCAAGGCACGAACCCAACTGGCTGGGCCCGCATGCACTGCTGACCCGCTCACTCCCCCGGTTCGTGTGCGTGCGGGTGGGCTACTGTATTCCGTAGGTGAGCCAGAGCTGTTGTTTAGCGTGGCCCGGGAAGGCGGAGATGCGAACATACTGTCCCCGAAAAGGGGTCGCTTCGCGCGGTGTTCCACTTGCTTGGCATGGCATGCACACAGCAAATTCGACAGTGGTCGTACTAAGTGACAGAATCACCCAATGTCAGTTTACGGGCCTTCAGAGTTGTCCCATGGATGTGTGATGCTACGAATACGTCGGACGGAAAGAGCTGTGTCTTTTTCATTTTCATCAAAAACGAAGATTTCAATTTCATAACCTCTTGTTTAGACCTCGGCAGTGACCGCCTTAATTACCTAGTAGTTTCACTCCACAACGCTAGCTAAAACCTTAATAACTAGGTAATTTACCGACTGTGAGCCCTGACATCGTTAGCACTTCTTGGCAGGCTCAGCCCGAGTCATGGCTCGTGAAACACCTCGGACGATACACTAGCCTCCAGACACAGTACCTGAGTTACATGTGTTAGCTCGGAGTCTGAGTTTGTGGAAGGGATTTCTCGACAGCAGCTATGAGAACCAACAAGTCTTCTTCCCTCGACAGCCGAGCAACCGAATAAGCCAGCCACCAGGACGTAACAACCATCCCGACTGAGACTAATTTTGACACGCCACCGATAGTTTTCATGGGTACTTGTACAATACCGTCTTCTACAGCGTAGCTACCTTGAGCATTACAGTTGCCAATCCATCACACATCAAGGGCACTTTACCACCCCACGTTTTCACATTCTCCCAAGGCATTCCCCGGTATCCCCATCTTCCCCCCCCCCTCACCTCGCCCGCCTCTGTAGACCACACGCGATTTGCATACCGCCGCCCAATTCATCAATCTGCCGAAGCCCTTGCCAGTGCCTCATGCAGATGCGGCGGCAGGCGATAGCGCAGCTGGCTGGTATATGCGGTCAGATCGACACTCATCTGCTTGAGCTCGTCGATGAGCTGGCGCGCCGTCGACTCGTTGCCGCTGAACTGGCCGTTCATCAGCTTCTCGCGCTGCCGGGTGCAACAGATGACGGTCCACATGAGCAGGTTGGGCACGTTGATGGCGACGGGCTGTGCGAGCGACGAGAAGCGCGCCGCGTAGCTGCGGATAATGCTCGGGTCGCCGCGGGCGTTGAGTGGGAGGATCTCGAGGGCCCGGATTTTCTGGCACGCTGTTAGCTAATGCGCTACGAGACGCCAGACCAACATGTGGTAAAAAAAGAACAATGAGAAAAAGAAAGAAAAAAAAAATAAAGGAAACTTACGTCCAGACACTGCGGCCACCTGCCTGCCTCAACCAGATTCTTGATGTCGCTCATCTGCAGCAGCACCTTGCACGCCACGCGGTTCGGGTCGCGGATCTTCTGCCAGAACATGGAGTCGCGCTCGTACATGGTCATCATCGTCTTGGCCAGCTCCACGGGGTCATCAATCGCCGCCAGGCTCAGACTGCTGCCGGGCTGTGCGTCGGGCTCGGCCCCGCCGTCGACCCGCGGCTTCACAGGCACCAGCCGCATGGGATCTTCGCCGATCTCGAGGGAGATGGCCTCGCTGAGCGCGCGGCTGACGATAGACACGACCGTGTCGTAGTCCTCGGCCAGGTGGTACAGCAGCACCGCGTCCGTCGTGCGCCCGTTGTCGTCGGCGAAGCTGGCCGCCTGCAGGGTGATGGCACGGATAAAGTCGTCCTCCTGGCCCAGCGCGATCAGCGAGCCGCGCTCCTCCACGACGCCCTTGATGCGCTGTCCGTCGGGCTTGATGTCGCCGATGAGCCGGCTGAACTCGCGCGACTCGAGCACCAGCTCGCGGAGGGCCTCGTGGCACAGCGCAGCCTGCTGCGGCCCGCCCGCCTCGTCCGCGTTCAGGCAGATGAGGGTGAGATAATCGACTGCAGCCGTGACGTTGGCCGCCCGGAAGTCGCGTGTGTAGTAGCCGAGCATGCGGCCAAAGTTGATCCGGGGCTGGCTTCGCGTGTTGTGCGAAAGCAATTCGTCCACCAGCTGCGCGTCTGCCGGGCGCAGCAGGCCGTAGTACGTGAGCGCAATCGCAAAGTGGACGGCATCGACGTAGGAGAAAGGGTACAGGTAGGCGATGGCCTGCTCAAACATGCCCGAGAGCACCTGCAGATAAAAGAACATGCCGAAGCTGCCATTAGTGTCCTCGGCCGGCGTCTTGGGGAAGTGCTTGAGGCCAATCTCGCGGATGCTCGCCTGCAGCTCGGTGAGGCCGTACGACTCGCCCGCCAGCTCCAGGGACCGGTCCGTCTCCCGAGCCAGGTTGAACTGGAGCCAGATCCAGTCGTTGACATCTGTCTGCAGCCCGTCCAGGCTCCGGTTGCTAAGATCACACCGGCCAATGATCTTATAGCAGGCCATGCGGAAGGGGTCGATGGAGCCCTCCGGGGCGTTGCGGATCCGCTGGTTATACTCGCTCGAACACCGGTCCTGCATCTGTCGCTTCAGCCGGCGCTCTTCGCTCGACGCATAGCTATTGATATAGCCCGAGAAGGTCCGGTCGATGCTGCGGAAATGGTTCTGGTTGCTGTTGACATACTGCGCCGCCTCGTTCACGAAGCCCGCCCGCAGCAGATAGAAAACGATGGCCCATACGTATTCGCCGTTGGCCTGCTGGAGGTCGACGTTGTCCGGCACTAGCGTCTTCCGGGCGATGCGGAGCCGGATGTACGCCTTGATCTTGCTGACGACGTCGGGCAAGCCTCCCAGGTTCGCGTCCTGGGGATATTTCGCGATGAGGGAGTTCACCTCGTTCCAGAACTGCTTTTCCAGGAATGCATTGGCCCCCTTCAGAATCTGTTTCCGCATGGCCACAGCATTAGGGGACTGCGGATTGGGATCCAGGTACAGCTTGGCAAACTGCCGTTCCCGCGGCGTCTCGTCAGCGTCCGGGTGCTCGCCGACAATCTCCATCATGGCCCGGTACGCCTCCACGACATGGGGCGCATGCCGGTCTCCGGACCTGGACTCCAGGTCCGCCAGGTCGCGGCAGATGTAAACAGGCAGCCCCCGTTGCCGGGCGTCGTTGAATTCGTGGATCTTCTCTGCCAGCCTCCCCTGCTTCTCGCGCAGCAGCCGATCGTCCATCGAGGTCACCCCGTTCAGCGACCCGGTCCCGTCCTTGCGCGCCTCCACATCGGTAAACCCAGGCGCGTGCGCACCGATCCGGCTGGGCGTCCCAATGACAGAGCGTGCCATGGCCGACCTGCCCAGCACGCTGGGCCGCTGGGAGGGCCGCTCCCCGGGGGCTGGCTGGCTGGCCTTGCGCCTCGACCGCCCAAACGTACCCTGACTCTCCTTGGACGGGGTGGGTGCGCGAGCAGCTGGGGCGGTGGTGCCCGCGGCATCCTCCCGGGGCTTGATGCCGAAGTGCTGATAGATCCTCTTGCGCTGCGCCTCCCACTCCATCGTGACGTTCTCCTCCAGAAACGAGTCGAAGTCCCGCACCGAACGCTCCAGTCCATCGGCGATCATGCTCAACGTCGTCTTGGTCTGCAAGTTCGAAAGATATGTCTCGACATCCACCTCGCCCGGGCCACGACCAAAGCCGGCCCCTTGCGCAGCGCCTCCCCGCTCCCTCGCCTGCAGGCCGAATGCACCCAGATCGCGCACCGCTACGCCCGGATCCACACCCGATGCAGCAAGGAAGTAATGAGCCTTGCCGTGCTCCAAGGGTCGGTCCTGGGACGGCCCCAGCTTCTTGAGGCGCTGGCGGAGATCACCTAGCCCCAGCTGGAGCGAGGGGAGCTCACCCAGCGCGGTCTCGCCCTCGGCTTGCTTCTTGTTCTTCGCGAGGAGGCTGTCGAAAAGAGCCCCCGTAGGGAGGGCGGACGGCGGCGCTTGCTGTTGGCTTGTCGAGGCGGCGGCGTTCGTAGTGGTCGCGTTGCCGTTGCCGAAGAGGCTCGTCCCGATGCCAGGCTGGGCGGTTGCCGCGGTTGAGGCACCAAAGATGCTGTTGCCGGCGAGACTGGAGGGCTGGTTCGTTGCTGCCGTCGCATTGCCTCCGAAGAGCGAAGGCTTAGGGGTGGTCGTTGAGGCGCCAAAGAGAGACGAGCCGCCGAATTGGGGCTGAGTCGGGGTTGTGGTCGCGCCCCCGGTCGGTTGATTCCCAAAAAGCGAGCTTCCTGTTGTTGTCTGGCCGAATATGCTGTTGCCGGCACCTGCTGCCCCCGTGGTTCCTGTGGCCGACTGCCCTCCAAGTAGCGTTGGGCCGCCCAACGACCCAGTCGACGTTGCCGTCGCGGGAGTTCCCCTGCCCATGAAAAATGACATGGCTGTTACTGTGTTCCAGTGTGTGTTGAATACCAGGAATTTGGCTCAGCGGCAAAAGCACAACGCGTATGGGACATACGCGTCTGCAGGAAGGGGATTTTCTTTTCTTTTTTTTGAGATTTGGACAACAGCTTGGGTTTGTTTCCCAATTGCTCCAAAAGGCTTTGAACGCGCCTGCAGCGAAGAAGGGTGGGGCCAGAGTCCCGAACATTACCATTACCTTATCGAGCTTAGTTAGCGGGAGCTTGGGCCACACGAGCTGCAAGCAGAAAGTGGCAGTGGAGAATATGGCACGGTTGGTCTCCCGAACAAACGTGCAGTGGAGTATTTGATGATCAACATCACCTGGGCAGCGCTTTCTTCACAACGCAGTGACCGACCCCTAGGTGTATAACATTCTTATTTAGATGCGCACACTTAGCAGTGGATATCATTACCAAGTCTATGTATCTGGCCAATTCTAATCGTCGAATTATATTATTATATCCTTAGGTATACATCTGCTTTCCGAAAGGCAGCGCTAGAACCCCAGTCAAACACTCTGAGATCAATGCACCGACCTATCCGCGTCCAACGACGATCCCTTGATGGCCTCATCAATCTTCTTCCGGTACACCTGCTGCGTCCGGGCCTGGTCTAGGAAGATCTCGTACTTTGCATCCAGCAACTTCTTCTCGGCCGGATCGCCCCTCGACCAGACCACCTTGCCCGGCTTGCTCATGCGGTCCATGATATCCCACAGCGGCTCCGTCTTGCCGTCCTCGCCCGCGCTCGCAGCCTTGGCGCCCAGCATCGCGGCACCGTGCACCACCGCCGCGTTGACGTAGCGCGGGATCAGCACCGGCATGTTGCACGCCGTGGCGATGAGGTCCATGAGGATCTCGTTCTGGCACTGGCTGCCGGACATGAAGATGCTCTTGATGCCGTGCCCGGCCGCGTTCATCGTCTCGACAATCTGGCGCGTCTGCAACGCGATGAACTCCATGGTCGAGTAGTACAGCAGCGCCATGCCGTCCTTGCTCTTGTCGCTGCTCATACCGATGATGGCGCCGCGCATATTGGGGTCGGCTATCGGGGACCGGTTTCCCCAGAGGTCGCCGTAGAAAAAGTAGTGCCGGACTAGGTACGGGATAGAAGGGGCCTTGGTCTCGTCGGCGAGGTGTCGAAGGTGGTCGTTGAGGAAGTCGTAGATGTTCTTCCCCGCCGCCTGGGCCTCTTTCAGTGTCTCGTCGTACGCCGCGTGTGTCTCGAGCATGTGCTTTATCAGCTCGCCTGTAGCTGACTGGCCGCCTTCGGCCATCCAGAAACCGGGAATCAAGACATCTCGGTAAGGACCCCACACTCCAGGGACGAAGACGGGCTCTCTCGACATTGCCAGATGGCATGTCGACGTCCCCGCAACGGACGCTAGTCGGGTGAAGGCCTGAGAGACATCGTTCGCCGCGGCCGACTCGTCAAGATGCTCGGGGGGGTCCAGCTTGATCTTAGCGCCGACCGTCCCGATCCAGCCCGCATACGCATCAATAACGCCGCTCCCGACGGCAATACCGGGTGGCAGTCCCCACTCCTTTGCCGCCTTCTCGGACAAGCCCCCGACGAGCTCGCCGGCACTCAGAAACTCCCCGTTCTATGTCCATGGGTAAGGTAGTCAGCCAACCTGCTCCCGGTACTTCATCAACAGGCAAAGTTGACAGGAGAATTGAAGAAAAAAAGCAAAAATGAAAAGCGACGACAAAGGAAAGGGCTCACCACCCCGTTGACACCCCCAACTCTCTTGAAGTTATCCTCGACCAGCTCCTCAAGCCCAATGGCCCGGTAGAAATCCTCCTGCCACCCCTTGACGCTCCCGTCGACGCCCACGGGAATATAGCCCTGCTTGCAGACGGTGCTGCAAAAGCTCCGCTTCTCGGCGCCCGTCGCGAGGTGTGTCAGCGCATCGGCCAGGTCATAGAACTTGCAGCGCCGGAACAGCTCGGGCGGCATGTTGTTCTTCAGCCACAGCACCTTGGGCATCTCCATCTCGACGTTCATCTTGCCGCCGAGGTAGCGCAGGAGGTTGTGCCCGGTGCTGTTAATCAGCTCGGTCTCGTCCAGGGGCCGGTGGTCCAGCCACAGGATCACGTTGCGGTCGTTGCCGTCGTTGGCGAAGTCGGGCCCCGTCACGGGCACCGGCTCGTCCGTGTCGTGCGTGAACACGGCCAGCGAGCACGTCGCATCGAAGCCGATGCCCTTGATGGATGAGGGGCTCACGCCCGAGGAGGCGAGGGTCTGCCGCACGCAGACCGTGATGGCTCGCCAGATGTCTGTGGTGGATTGTTCCTGGTTGTAGGAGTCAGTGGTTGCTGTCCCGGGTGAAGGAGAGAGGGATGGGAAAGGGGGATGCCCACATAATGTGAGCCGCCGTATCCATGTGTAGGCTGCCAGAGCTTGATGTTCTCGCTTGCAAGGGCCTTAATCTCGCCTGTTGAGTCGATGATGCAGGCCCGCGCGGATCCAGTGCCGACATCTATGCCGATGTAGTGGTCCTGCGGACGTGGTGAGTAAGCCATGCCATGAAACGGAGCAAGGCGCTGCACTGTACTTGAGAAGCCCTGATTGAGAGAACATTCATTAGCGGTCAAGACCCTGGTGGATTTAGAACATAGCCGCTCACATTTGTCTTCCTGCAGGAATTACACTTGGGTGAGGATCCAAGGATGCGAAAGAGGGCTGGTGTAAGGAGGAGCAGAAGAATTTGGAATCACTGATCAGTTTCTGTTGAGAAATTGGGAGTTAAAGACGAGCTTCAGGTTAATCCTCGGGTGTGATCACAACTATTGACGGGTCGACAGTTCTAGAGTGTTGAGCTACGGGATAACATTGGAGCGGATGGGTGAGGAGCGGGGTGTGAACTTCCAAAGTCCCGCCAGCCCGTCATCCGGAAATCCGTACCTTTTCTCAGCTCGGGGGGGTGAAGATGGAGCTCAAATGTCGGTACTTCCATGTTTAGAAAGCCGCTACTACTAGTATGCATGCATGGCAGAGGTCTGGCCTGATGGAATGCTTGGGTCCAACCCGGAGGCAGTATAACGGAAAAATCTCAGGCTATCACGCGTCACAACAGCAGCAGTAGGATTTGTGATGATCACCGCCAGCCCTGTCTGTCAAGTCCGGAAAGGAGGGTGCCCGTGCTGGTGACAGCGTCGAGGTCGGCTGCGAAGACGCATGGTCTGGCGGGTCCGGGACGGAGGAGCTCAGCCCGCGTGACCCGGCAAAAGCTGCTAGGAATGGGCTAGAACATGCGGCCAGCATCCGGATCGGCCTTCGCTGCCTGCATGTCGGGTGGATTTAGTCCGCCCACACTACCCGTGGAAGTTGCGGATGCGCGGGTTGAAGGTTCTTGGCGGGGTTAAGTTGGCGGGGTCTCCGGGAACGGGGCGGCGGAGCTCGAGCCAGGCCGGCCGGGGCCCAAGGTTCCCGGCGTTACCGCCAACCTTATTCAATGTGATTGCCGTCGAGCGGCGGTGTGCTGGGTGCGTGATATGCCATGTTACGAGGTGATCGGTCTTCAGTTTCTCACTCCACACGTATATGTATCGCTTCTATGCGAATCAGCTCAATGCTCACACTTGCTGCCGGGTGTGAGGGTTGTCTGAACTCAAATAGGGACAGTGGGGCTAGTTGAGGAGAAAATGCTGCCGGAACCCAACCCAGAGAGCTCTGGCTGAGTGACCATGTCCAGTGAAATCCAGAAGAATATCCGGTGTTCTAAGTTCAGGATATTACTACGCAGTATTTGGGCAAGCGCGTCAGACTAGCAATCAAAACATGGAATTGAAGGGGAAGATCTTGTCTGGCCGTAAAGTGATACTATGTGCAAAAAGTCAGACCTCGAAACGAGCACCCAAAGCACCCAAAAAAAACTGCAATCTCACAAAAACAAAACACCAATTGCTCACTCACGACACAGCCCACGACGTAGCCATCCAAATGGAGTCCGAAACGGCAGCAACCCACGAAGAAATATGGGACGACTCGGCGCTGGTTGATTCATGGAACCAAGCATTAGAGGAGTACAAGGTCTGTTGCTTCGAAAACCCTGATGGCCGTCGAGCATCTCTATAATTGCCAACCGTTCCTTGGTCCCTTAGGTTGGAGCTCTGACAACCGAAATACAGAAATATCACAGCATCCACGCCAAAGGCGGCATAGTTGACGATGTCTCAAAGGGCACACATGATGTGTAAGGAACCGCCAACTCCAAAAAAGCACTGCGAGACAGCACAACAGCAATGGGCCGCTCACGATCGCTTTCTGATCAACATTGCTGCAGGACTCGGCCGACTGCCAAGCCTGAAACACTTGTGGCGAGTGAGCCTATCGCAGCCGACGATGAGGAAGGCGAAGTAGATGAGACAGTGCCCATGGATGAGAGCGATGAAACATCGCACCCGCCAATCTCGGATGCCCAGGGTTCCGTGGACGCGAAGAAGGTAGGGTGATCAGACGACCGACCTCCAGAAACGAGGACCCCGGGGAGATCTCCAAGGCTTGGCGTGAAACAGCTCTCTGCCTTACTAGGAATGCACCGCGCTTTTGGCCTCATTTTCACTGACGTCTGAAACTTCTTTAAGCAGGCCGATGGCATTCAAGCCGGTGCTGCTGCTGCTGCTGCTGCGATCGGGCCGCAGACGCTCTTGAGCTCTGGTAAGCTTGGATATCCTACTTACATTAGTGATTGAAGCTAAACAGTCTGCGGCCAGTCCAGGACGAGGGACTCAAAAAGCTCCTGATGTCGTGGTACTATGCAGGTAAGGCTGTCTGACTTTCGACCGTCGGTTCAGATGCCAATACCAACTGTTGCAGGTTATTACACTGGCCTCTATGAGGGAAGGCAGCAAGCGCTACAGGAGACAGAGCAAGCTCGGAAAGGTTCAGGTTCTTGACAGGGCAGCACTACACGGTAAGACGATGAAGTAATGTCCCACGAGTCCAACCAGCGGCTGTAAACTCTTTCAGAACTTAGTAAAGCACAAGCCATGCTAGGGGTTTGGTTAACTAGAGCGCAGGAAACCGGACCATTGTGCACATCCATGGATGCTCTCCTTTGGTTATCACGGTTATTACCGACGATGAGGTATCCCGTACAAGTTGCAATACACTACTAACCCCCCGGTTCAACTGGGCGGGTGAAAACCGGGGGTTGTATTTAACCTTAAATAATGAAGCGAGTGTAAAATTTCCCCGGGCGCCAGTTCAGGAACCCTGGTCTGCATCTTCTGATGCAACCCTGATCGCCGTCAAAAACGGCCGTCTGCGACGATTCGCGTTCCAGAACCCTCACTTTTCGCCACGGCTCCGTGAGGTTCCAGTCTGAGCGTTGCCATGGCATGTATCAGCCATACAGCCTTGGTGCGCCTTCCTTGCGAAGAGAGGAAAATAAGGTGACTTTTTTTTGCCCACAGCCTCCGTCTGAAAGGCCGGAAGAGCCGCATGCCCGTGCCTTTGCCGCATGCGCCGAGCAATCCACGTGCGTTGGAGGTTTCGCAAGTTCACCGGGGGAGTTGCTTACCAGTCACCTTATTAGTGGAAGACTGTGTAAGTTGCTATCCAAATTGCTGCTTTGTTTCGAGCGGGGTCAAGCCATCTTTGATTCCTCTCCCGGGTCTGCCGGCTGCCTCCCATTGCCCGTCCTGCTGCATCGGTAGCAGACAAGATGGCCTCTGACCATGTTCCGGTTTCGAGGTCCACAGAAGCTGAAGGTCGGGTAACAGGGCGATATGTAAGATACCTTACCTATGCTATAGTACGGAGTGCGTCGCTTCTCCCGGACCAGCACAGCACCGTACTCCCGGCCGGCCGCTCGGAGGCGTCGTTCGTTTGGCATCAACCATTATGATCATGGAAAGATCATAATGCAATTCTGCGAGGTTCTCAGCCTATTGACGAGGACTCGAAGAAACCGGGAGACACCCGTTGGCCATGCAATGCTGGGATGTAAATTCTCCAGGGCTGCTGTGGATGGATGACTGACTCTGCTTCCGTTTTGTCAAGCTGTCAGCAAAAACAGCTTAATGTTATACGGACGAAGAAACCTTTGGCAGTCCGAGACAGCTGGGCAGATCTTGGCCTGTCTCTACCCGCCCTCCGCCACAGCGGATACTCAAAGTGCCGGGATAGTTACACTCTTATACACTAGGTACGGACCTATGGCTGCTATTGCTAGGCCCTGTCGAGGCGCGCTGGGCGGGCCCGAGTCAGGGCCGCATGTTTCTGCTGCAACAGCGATAAAGACACACCAAGATGGTGCTTGCCGCGCACCCTTCTAAGATTGTGAACACACTAGAAAGTAATTCCGTTCTGGAGGCCCAGAAACCCTGAATTCTCTAGAACTGAGCTACCTATCATTCATCGCATTCGGAGTTGGGGTCAGGATCACAAGTAGGCTCGTAGGTACTTGCACACTTTCTGACCCCTGCCCGGTATCCCCAGGTCCTCTCTGCGGCCCGTGCACAAGCGGCTTGGCGGAACTTGAAATGCTAAACAACCCGGGCGTTCTGAGACGGTCCTGTCACAGCCAACCTCCTTTGCTGCCACCCCCCTGGTCCAGGCCCGACTTCGCGAAGGCAATCGCCCACCCGGAGCCAGACGCCAGCAGGGAATCGCGGGGAATGGCGAGTACGTGACAGGGACGTCGCTACCACAGTGACGCTTCCCTCGCGGTTTCGAGTCTGCTCAGAACTTTCCCCCTCCCACCCCTTTCCCCCACCCCCCTTGCTGCCCGGGATCTTCGATGAAAACGAACTCCTGGATGCCGTGTTCGAAGATCATCATGCTGCGATTTAAACCCTACAGGCCCCCTTCGATGCGGCCACCCTTTCTTTCAAGAGACTTGTTTCTTCCTCCCCATCTTCCCTTCTCCCTCTGTGCGTGCATTCACTCATTTGGTTGATCCATTCTTTCTCTTTCGCTTCTACAACGAGCAGGGACTCGATCCATTTAGGCATCCAGAATATTGCGACCTATCTCTGTCATATATTTCCCTTGTTAAATCAGGGACTCTAGCAGCGACCTCTGCAAGAAGACGAAGAAAACAGGAAAAGCAGGCACAATGAAGTTCTCGGTGGCAACAGCAATGGTATTGGGCATGGCGCCCCTGGCGATGGGAAAGGCTGTCCATAACCTCTACCCCGGCCGGCGAAGCATGCACGCGCAGGAAGTGTCAGTCAACAAAGTCAGCACAAACAGCGTCAAGGCGTCCCAGGAACAACTCGCCGAGCTTCAGCGCTTGATCGGTCTGCAGACGGGCCAAGGGACAACGATCAACTTCCTCTGGGTCAACCTCGGTGGCGGCGCGGCTACAACCGTCGTTGGTTCCGCCTCGACCGTTACCGTCACGCAGACCGTCGTCGGCGGTGAGGCTACTGCTCCGCCAGCCGTCACCACGGGCGAGGCCGCCACAACGACTGCCGCAGCACCAGCGACCGGGACTACGGTTGTTGCCGGCGGTGCCACGCACAGCGTCACCGTCGGCGGACCCCAGGGCCTAGCATTCGACCCGCCGCAGCTCTCAGCCAACCCCGGCGACACTGTCATCTTCACCTTCCTTAGCCAGAACCACACGGCCACGCAGTCCACCTTCGACAAGCCCTGCGAGCCGCTAACTGGAGGCATGGATTCCGGTTTCCAGGCCAACCCGAACAACACTATCAACCCCCCGCCGCAGGTCGCCATGCAGGTGATGGTTTCCACTCCGCTCTGTAAGCTTAGCCTCGCCTTCACCTTTCCGACTTCAGGCCGTTGCTAATCGCCGCGTTTCCCGTTGAAAACAGGGTTCTACTGCCGTCAGAAGGGCCACTGCGGCAAGGGCATGGTCTTCAGCATCAACCCGACCGCCGAGAAGACGGCCGCGCAGTTCCAGGCGTTAGCTATCCAGCAGGCCGGCAGCGGCACCGGGTCAGCCATCACGGGCGGCGGCAACGCCAATGCGACTGCCGGTGCCGGTACCGATGCCAGCGCTAGCGCTAGCGCCAGTGCCAGCCCAAGTGCCAGTGCTGATGCCGGTAACGTCGGTGGCGATGCCGCGGCGTCCACTTCTGTGGAGGCTTCCACGCCTGCTGTCACCGAGGGGGCTACCGCCACGAGCGGCGGCATCGTCACGGGCACCGGCACGATTGGAGCCAATGGGGCGTGCGTCTGCGCGGTGCAATGCAGTGTCGGCGGGTTCCCTAATGCGCAGATGCAGGGGAGGGACAGCTTTGGTGGGTGGGGTGGTAAGTCTATTCCGTCGTCTCCCCTATACCATTCATGTATGCTGACGCGTTTTTGCGTGTAGGCGCCGTCCCCGTGCCCGCGGTCGAGGCTGCTCGGTTCAGGGCATAGAGCATTTGTCAAGCTCATGAGTATGCTTGTTGTCTGGTTAGTTTCTGGAACGGGTGTTCGAAGCGGATGTGATGGTGCGGCGGAAATACCATTATCTGTAGATCTTCTTTTCTGTCGTTTCTTGTTTTTTTCTCTCCTTCGACTGCTAATCCAACCTCTGTGTTGTTGGAGCAGGGAGGTATATGACTGGTTCGTATCTTCTAGGATGCAACAAATCTTAATTTATAACGAAGTACGAGGTGGAACAAGAAGGTTCTTCTTCCCTTGCCTCACATCTTGCACGTTCTACTCCCCATGAGCCGTCCGCTCCGCGGCATGAAGCCGTTCCGCCATAACATGGCGCAGCATGCATACTGAGTTGTTGCTTACTCGCAAACCAATCAGCTTGGTATCCACTATAGTCGTTTTAGCATCGAAAGAGGTAGGAGTGCTGATAAAGGGTATCCAAACACGATGGAGACAGCATCGTCCTTCTGCACAGCCAGAGCAGCGCTAACCACCATGATCCGTACAGAGGAGAAGGAAGAGAAGGAGGATATAATATATGGATATAGAGAAAGCAGATTACCCCAATTCCGAGTTCGCGCCTGTTGACAAAAGGGCAAAATCAGCCTATCACACGCTCCGCAACACCCCTCTCATCTGCGCCTATAAAAGCCAGCAAGCGATCCCTTGCGTCTCCAATGATGTGAGGGCGTATGAATATCTGTCCCCAACCTGACTTGACGCCCCGTTCAGATCCCATGATTCGCCTTAACAAGATGCATTCGCCATGCTGTGTGTAAAAGATGCCGTTTCTGTCGTTTGTTGTTGCTGCTTTCCTGGTATCAGGCCGGAACCGCAACACGCTTCTTCGCCTCGTTCTTTTTGGCGGCCATGGCCTCGGCGGCCTTCCGAGCATCAGCTGAAAGCGGAGTTAGTATGGCTGGTTGTGGTCGTGTCGGGAATCGGAGACCAGGAACCGGGAGCCCGCGAAGAAGGTCTCCTTATTACGGGCCCGGACGACTCTGGTGAAAGGGATGGGCGCATACCAGCAGCCTGCTTCTCACGCATCTTTTGTGCGGCAAGCTCCTTTGCCTTGGCTAGCTCGCTGCCGCTCATGCCGTGGGCCTTTTTCTGCAGGTGGGAAGACGCATGTCAGGAACGGACCGCGAGATAGCATAGGTATGCGGAATATACTGCGATACGCTAGAGCGTACCTGAGCGGCCTGCTTCTTCATGTTGGCCTCGCGGGCCTTGTCGCGCTGGTTTCCGCGGGACATTTTGATGATGAGACGGGTCTCGTTCGAGTGTTGGCAGCGACGGCTCGATATGCTGGCGTACGTTCAACGCGCGCTTGGCGGTTGGGTGTCGTGCGTCGTTCCGCAGCTGCGAGAGCGGAGTGTTACGGAGGATGGTTCTGGAATCCGGCCCGGGATTTTGATTCAAATCAGCCACCTAGGACCCCTAAATCAGGCTCCCGCAGCGTCAGTTGCCTGCCAGCTGGTCATTAACAAGGCATACTGCTGCAGTGCGAGTCTGAGCGCTTCGGCTTGGGATCCACCCGTCAAAACATCCATTGCGATTTGGCAGCGGCTTCTTGACCAATCACCGTCAGCCCACTCTCCATAACGTATCGCCCCAACCGCCGCGTAAACCTCCTGACCTCGTCTTTCTGGCAGCAAACTGCCGCTGGTTTTCAAGTATTTTCGCAGCGGGATGTCTTCCAAGATTGGCTACGTGAGAACATCAAATCTAAAGCTCCACACACGAATAACCAAGTCTCTGCTTTGTTGCTGAACATAGCACGTACTTGTACATGGTCACCTTGGCAAGGCTCTGGGACTATTGTCCGACGACATATGTACCTATCCACAACCCGTCTACCTCAGTGTGTAGAGCTGGAATCTGGAAATGTTAATGACACACTGCAAGTCATATTGGTGCCCGTCATCATTCGCAACCAAGGTATACGCTACTACTAGTAGTATGTCCATCTGACTTGTCTTACCCTAACCCTTGGAAACACCATACGCCTGCGCAAGTTCCAATTTTCAGACACACCCTCCAATCCGGGCATCAAGAACTTGAATATCAAAGTCCTAATAAATACACAACTACAGGCCCTTCTCTTCTTGCTTTTCAATACAGGGAGCACGGTGAGCCTTGAAGGATTGCTCGTACACAGCAGACGAGCTATCAAGTCGACGGTGCCCAAGACAAATAAGGCCTGAAACGGCCGTGGCTCGCTCTCAGCCAATCGATGCGTTGATCATGCCCTGCTTCAACGTGCCATGCGCCGTGCGTCTCAACCCCGGCTCGAGCCCGGTTCTGCTTCCTCCTACTGCTCGGTCGTCTGGCAGGCGGATGCCGTTCTCGCCTCAAACGGAGCATTTCCAAACCATTGGATGCCAGTGCTCTACACGGTCTGTACCAGTCGCGTTATGCGCCGACCGATGCAACTTCCACCGCACTAGCTCCACTCGACTCGCTCGGGATCCTGGGGCCACAGATCGCCACATGTCGTCCCGGGTCGTCGGCCTGGAGAAAGCACTCCGAGGATGCGATGGGCCAGTCCAGGAGAGCTGCCGTGTAGCTCGGCTCTTGCTCAAGCAGTTACCCGCGCGAACCCCTGGACGCGGATATTCCTGTCCAACAGATCTCTCCTTTCATGAAACAGGCGCGCAGGTCTGGGTGCTTCTCTACCCGGAGACAGTTACAGCGCCAATAGCTTCATTGGTCAGGAGCTAAGGAAACATTCTTGCTTAATGCGAAACAGTCGCGGAGAGACCCGCGGTCCAGTTCGACCTGATCCTTGTTCCCGCTGTTCCCCCATTGTCTGGCCTTTTTCTTTATTGAGCGCGTTAATTGCCTGACCGTGGCAGCAGTTCCCATTGTTAAAAGGCCGCTCACCAGCACCGCAGCCACACCCGGCTTTCTGGCCACCATCTTTGTTGGGTCGCTATTGTTCTGCCTCTCCACAATGAGGGTGCTTTCCTATTGACGGGCTATTCATTCCCTTTGCTCCATCCCTTATCTACGCAGCGCGGCCTGGTCCGTCACATCTCATTCTTCTTCAGAGCAACTTTCCTTTTCTATCCTTCTCGCTACAGACCATCGTGTCATCAACTTGTTGGTGTAATCTGCCAGCAGAGCATCACTCAGCATCATCGGCCTCTCTAGAGAAACTGCAGTCAGTCGCTGGCTTCGGACCAACACTCTTTGTAAGTACATAAAAGCTGCCACCTATCTTCTCCCCAGCACCATACCCCGAAGGCGCGAATTTCCCGAACCTCTTTCTACGAAGGAGAACAAGCAAACCGCCCCCGTGGAAATCGTTATCCGTCATGGCATCCACTTCCGCGGCGATGGCTCGCCGGCCGTCTACAGCGCGCTCTGAAGTCTCTGCTCTGTCGGACTCGGGATGTCATACGGTGCGCGCCTCGATGGTGACGACTCTTGAAGACTACCTTGTCGAGGAAGCTGTCGCCCCTGAAGCATATATGCAGCCGGGCAGAACCAGATCACGGAGGGCCATGCCTCAGAACGGGCCTTTACGCTCTGAGGCTGGGCCGTCTAGGGTCCTAATAGGTGTCAGAGGGCCAGCTATCCCACTCACACAAATCCCACACCCTACGGTGGCCGGCGACGTGGCAGAGGCTAACAGCGAGTCAGACAGACCTCAACCCAAAATGTTCAGTCTCGGGCAGGACTCGAAACTCCTGGGCATTGGCCATGTGGCTCTCAATGTTCTCCGCGCCCTCAACCTAATCGGCCTGACTGCCGTGATGCTGGCCAGCATGGCGATGCCAGTGCTCTCGGGCCTCAAAGGCCACGCCTTCTTTTTCGACGCGGTCACTCACGTCTTGGTCTTCATCTTCTCGGCCTTCCTCTTCTACTCGGAATTGCCTCTGCCGTCACGGTTCAAGGAGTGGTACCGCAGGAACTGGCCCGTCCTGGGCCCGGACCACTCGCTCGCGTGGCTCGGGCTGGGCATGATTTTCATCGGCTTCCAGGTTCTAGGAGATCTGGTCAAGCCGGCGTACACCATCGACACGATCGGATTGGCGTGGTGGCGTGCCATCCTCGCCGCGGGCATTCTCTCCCTCACCTTCGGCTTCTTCAACATTGTCGGCTCGATCGTGTTCCGCGTCTCCGCGAGCCAGACCCAGATCGGCATGAAAATCACCTGCCGCCAGATCCGCACCCACGGCAAGCTTGCCCTGCAGCACGCCAGCAACCAGAGCATCGACACCGGCTTCAGCGAACACTACTCGCCTCCGCACCGCGACAACTGGTCGGCACACGGCTGGTCCAAGGAGGCGGCAGACGTGGAGCCGTCGTCAGCAGTGAAGCGCCTCACGCGCGTCCTCAACCCAATGAACTTCCGCAGGTCGCGCATCCAGATTAGCAAGCCGATCCCGCAGGACACGCTGGATGTCGAGCAGCGCGGCCACGACAATCGGGCAAGTCCGATCATTCCGGATATCCAGCGCCCTCCAACCGCGCTGCATCCTGCGTTTACTGGAGGCAGTCGGTACAGTGAGGCCCATATGGACCGGTTTTGATGAAACCGGGAGGTTATGAAGGGGGAATCTATGCGCTGTCTTTCCTTGCCTTGTTTTTCCCTTTATAGACACAAAACGACTGGAAAGTCGATCTATAACTACTAGTACTGCATTATGGGATTGGCATGGCAAATGGGATCAATGGATGGATGTTGGTGGGGCTGGGCGTCTCGGGGTTCTGGGAATTGTGGTTTAAGGGCTCGGCTGCTCACTGTGCGTTGATTATATACCCGCAGCTTACGGAATCCTTTTGCTTTTGAGTTTGGGCTTGGATGGGGATACTCCCGACCCACGGCCATGGACGTAATATATTGGATCAGCCGCTTCCCCAGGGGCACACGAAACTCGCACTCCCCAGCAGCGTGATGTGTGCGGCGACACACTTCTCAGGAGGAGGTTAGGAATGTGGTCCGTGCGCACTACTTACATATTTTCAACGTCCCGTCAAGATTGATATATCTCTTAGCTCACACACACAAGGGAGCTTAAGCTTTGGACCCCCTTACTCAACTAGGGAATGGCTTGATCTCTTGCAAATCTGCCGTCACATCACGGCTCTCTTGGGAAATGTACAGTACCAGCTGCGGACGTCAGACCTTTGTTCGGGGTCACCGTGGTTGTACAGTGCGGAATTAAATTGGAGTGGATCCGATAGTCAGTGCGCCGCGTGGCTCATGTCGTGTGCTGGCGGTCTTTATAAACTGCCGTTCCGTTCCCTCCACACAAACCACATTGCAGTCAACAAACCCAATTCTCTGACCAACGACTGTGGAACATCTCGGGAGTCAACGCCGTGTGAAGCTGGCAATATTCAACAGCGCACCAGTCCCCTCATTACCTGCACGTGACCATTTACCCTGATCGAACTTGCACTCAATTCCCTCGTTTTCTGGTTCTGCAAAGCGTTGCAGCGTCACGGCCCAAGGAACTTCGCCGACCGCCCATATAAGCGTCAGCCCTGTCAGTGTGGAAGGAACCGGTTGTGAATGGTCTGCCAATCTTGATTTGGGACCCTGATTTCAGAGGCCAGGCTGGCCAGGTTGCGAGTGGACGATCCCGCACAGGGAAGAGAGCGATTTGGGTGCTCGGCTGCATTCGTGGAGAGGAATAATAGCTGATACCTGCCTATTGTTCTTGTCTCTGAATAGCGGCCCACGTCTATCAATTTTCCTGCCCCTATCTGTGATTGGAACCTTCCGCAGGGGATTTCTTTCTGCATCTTCTTTCACTCGCAGACAACGCGCTTGGCCGTAATTACGACACAAACTCGCCTGCTCATTGACTGCCCGCCCGACAGGTCCGCCTCCAAATTTGCGCGGCGCAACTATGGCAGACAACGCGGCCGATGTGGCCGAGGACTACCGGCAGGCCCTGGAGGACCTCACCGTCAATTCGCGGATTGAAATTGCTACGCTGACCAATATCGCCCGAGAGAACGCTAATCACGGCTTCGCGATTGCGGAGGTGCTGCAAAACCACATCAAGAAGGTACGCGCTGTCTGTTGTTGCAAGCCTTGCGGGGCTTCTCCATCCTGCTTAAGATTTGCCCGCCCCGGGAGTCCAAAAAGCTGACCACCAAAGTAGGTTCCGCCGTCGCGGACGTTACCGGCGCTCTACGTGCTCGATTCTATCGTCAAGAATGTCCCAACGCCCTATGCGCTGTACTTTGGCCCGAAGCTTTACTCGATCTTTATGGGCGCCTACACCAAAGTGGATAATGCCACACGGCGGAAGATGGACGAGATGCTGAAGACGTGGAAGGAGCCAGTGCCGGGTTCTATTTCGACAAAGCCCGTCTTTCCGATCGAACAGGTTCGTCCCATCGAGAATGCTTTGATGGCTGCCCGGAGCGCCGCTTTTGCCGCCACGCAAAGCAGCTATCAGGGGCAGCAGCAGCTCCTCCGTGGCCGACAACCTATTCCCAGCCGGGAGACCCCGACACCGCCGACAGGAAGGCCATACCAACCTCCCCCGCATCAGCCTCCTTATTCCGGCCCGAACGGGCATCAGCCGGGTGCGGCGCCGCCTCAGCCGCCGTATCCGGCCCATCCTGTCAACGTAAGCCCCGCTTTCTGTTCCGCTCCACGCTCACGTATCCCAGCTGCTGACGTCTCGCAGGGCGCATCACATGCCATTCCCCATCGTGCAACACCACAGCCTGCTCCGCCGGCTGGGCCATACCCTCCGTACCAGCAGCAGCCGGCTTTGGGGCAGGCCTATGGCGCTCCACACCAGGGAATAAGCATAGACAAGCTGAAGGATGATATCCAGCAACTGATCGTTGTGGAGAAGGCGGATTTTGCGCAGGACCCATACAATACTAGTAAACAGACCAGACTGAAGGCATTGCTGGACTTGCAAACAATAATCCAGAGCCAAGACATGCCTCAGGAGCAGTTGATGATCATTAGAGATCGAGTAGCTGAACTTGCTGTAAAAGCCCGCCCCCCACTGCAGCCGCAGCCGCAGCCGCAGCCGCAGGCCGGGCAGGTCATCACTGCTGTCGCGGCGCCCAGCACCACTTACCCTGGTGTACCTTACTCTACCCCAACACCTCCGGTTGTGTCTCAACCGCCGACACCCGTGCCAGTATCAGCCGCGGCGGTGGTCGCGGCCGCTCTGGGCCGTCCGCCATCCAGCACCGCCACAGCAACACCTCCTCCGGCAGCAGGCAAGGGCGCCGTGTCGCTTGACACGATCTTGGGACCGGGCGCGTTGGCCACGCTGCTATCAACAGCTACGCGCAAGTCTGTCACGCCTCAGCAAACCCCGACTCCACAACCTCCGGCTGCTGTTCCGGCTGCTGTTCCGCGGTCACCGCCTCCGCAGACACCCGCCGATCTGACCAAACCGGCCGGGGCTGCTCGTCCACTGCCCTCGGACCCTTCGGCGCTGCTGGCTCTGCTGAGACAGTCTGGTGTGATCAAGTCTGGGCCAACACCGACGCCTCCACCGGCTGCGGCGCCTGCTATGCCCACGCTGCCACTTCCGGGCGTGGCTGGGGGGTTCCAGTCGCTGGCCGGTGTACTGGCCGAGGGGATCATCCAGCTCAACCCAGCTTCTCTGAAGATGTGAGTAAATACCATACCATTCATGACGACTCCGCTCTCGTGTCGATGGGACCATTCCAACTAAATAAACCCCCTTCACAGTTTCCGCCCGCACTTGATTGCTCAACTCCACGAGGACCTCGGCCCGCCTTGCACCCAATGCGGCAGGCGCTTCAAGACAGACGAGGATGGCCGCCGCAAGAAGACGGCGCACATGGACTGGCATTTCCGCGTCCACCAGCGGATGACGGACGCCGAGAAGCGCGGCCAGCACCGGAGCTGGTATGTCGACGAGTCGGACTGGATACGCTCCCGCGAAGCCATCGACACAGACTACGTTGCGCCGCAGGATCCATCCGGCGCCGCCCTCTCGTCCTCTGACGATCATCACTCTACCACCCCCAGCCATCAGTTCAGCACGGCCCCCAGCACGGCAACCATCAACACAAAGCCCGCCGCAGCAACCGCAAAACTCCCGCACATCCCCGTCCCGGAGGACTCGTCGCGCATGAACAACGCCTGTCCCATCTGCCGGGAGCGGTTCGTGATGAAGTGGCTGGATGAGGCGCAGGAGTGGGTGTGGACCGATGCGGTGAAGGTTGGTGAACGCGTTTACCATGCCAGTTGCCACGCCGAGGCCGCGGGTGCCATGTCTGCTACCCATCAATATCAGGGTGGGCAGCAAGGCGCAAAGAGGGGGGCGACACCAGATAGTACTGGCGTGTTGGGCAAGAGGAAAGCTGAGGTAAGTAATTCTGTTCTTTTTTTTCCCTTTTTTTTTCTCCCCTCTTCTTTCCCCTCCCACTTGAGTATAAGCGAAAGGAACACTAGGAAGCTAATCAGGGGACAGGATGAGGTTGGTGGCTTGAAGGGGAAGATCAAGACAGAGGGGTACTGATAGACCATTTTGCTTTTATCCCCCCAGTTCATGGGTTGACGAGGCTGTAATAAGGGGGACAGGAAGGCGGAGGTGGTGGGTCTGCATTAATCGCCAACATATTCATTTTTTGCGGCGCAAGAGGGAGGTTCAAGGTGATGGATGGGTTCGGCGGGTGCTTCTTGGTTGGCCCAGATGGAAGACGGTTGCATCATGAACCAGAGGAATGGCATATTGAAGCGAAATCTGTCCCTAGCCTTCCTTTTTGGTTTGCTGCGCAGAAGTCACCTCCTTTGGGTGTCATTGTTTAAAAAGCGTTGAGAGGCCAAGCGTTTCGGGAGCGAGGGTATGACATTGAGCCGGATTGAGGCTCTTCTGCCGGATGGAGACCGCGCCATTCTGCTGCTTCTTATTAGGTATCTATATCGGGAATATCAAACTTGGCATCGCGGTTCTGATATCAATCAGTCAATGTCAGCTGAAGCCGCTTAAAGGTGATACAGCGCTCTCGTCGTGGCATGGAGAGAAGATGCAGCCTGGAAGCTGGTCACGTTTCCCGTACCTACAGTATGTACCCAGGGCACAGCTGCCACCGCGTCTACCTAGCTCTGCAAGCATGCGTGTATCTTGTACCACTGGTAGTAGACACCTCGGTGGTCTCGCAGTCAGGGCATTGGAGAAGGTCAGTCACTGAGCGCCTCAAGGGCCTTCTTTTATTGGCACTCCGAAAGGTGCGGTACAAGTACATGTCCTCTGTCTATGGTCCTAACAGTACTACCTTACCTTAGTATGTAATGTAAAAAATTGCACATACCTTACTCATATCGCCCCGCTTCCAGCCGCCATTGTCGTCCCAGTGCTCAAGTAGTTAGGCACCATGCGATCCTCATTGTGTATGAGACAGATATATAATCCTCCATGTTGTATTGCAGCCCGAGGAAGCCGAAACCAAGACTAAATTCCATGCAATGCAGTACCTGAAACCCAACGGCCAGAATTGAGCCGGGTAAAGAAAGCCCTTGTAGCCCCCAGTACACCAGCATTTACCTCATCCGGAACCTGTTCGCCCGATCTCCATTGGTGCAGTTCCTCTAGGTGCAACTGGCCTTGGTTTCCCCATCCGGTTCGCAATGACGGTCGATGCGATAATCCAAGAACATACGGAACCCTGTGCTTCCCGAGCCATAGATAAGTAGCCCAAATATAACGAGATGGCATATGAACCAGAAAGTAACCACCACGCGGCATTAAAGCATTACGAAAGGCAAAGGTACGGGTATCGCAAACTGATTGTAAGTGCATGTGAATAGAAATAAATGAACGAGAGGAAGTCGGAAACCTCACGTTCTGTCTGAGGGATCAAGAGTCGCCCGGTCGGGGCCCCTGATCTAATGTTGTCGTCGTCGGCGGTGGCGGTGGCAGCGTTATTTCAGCACCCGCAGGACCCTGCACCCTCGTGCGGATATGGAACCGCTCCTTCAGTCGATCGGCAAGCCTTGCCCTGCGTCCGCGCTGGTCCTCGGCTTCACCATTGCCATCCACCGCGTGTGGCGCCGACTCGCGCTGCTGCTGTTGCTGCTGGGAACGATGCCGTCTGAGGATCTCTATGACCTCTTCGACTGAGGCATGCCGCAGGCGGTGAAGATCGAGGAAGCGCGAGGATCGTCTACGCTGTTGTGAGTTGCTGCCAGCAGTGTCGCCGTTGTGATGATCGGTATTGCTGCTGCTATCGCCGTGTGTGCTCCAGTTTTCGGCTGCTGCGAGGGGCGGGGAGCGGAGGAAGGGGTCGTTGCTATGGTCATCTACTTCTCTGTTGTGTGGTCGGAGGTTTAGGTCGAGGCGGCTTTGAAGCGAGAGGGCGTCAGTAAGGGTTCAGTATTGGGTGAAAATGATACGTAAATAGCTTACCATAGAGGGCAGGACCCGGAAATTTCAACCAACCACGGGTCAATACAGGGCGGATGGAATCTGTGGTCGCATGGCAGGACACGGACGTCTTCTCCAACAGTAAAGTCCTCAGCGCAGATGGAACAGACAGCGCGTTCCTCCGAAGGGCGGCCTTGTCTATTGGTTTCGCCCTTATCCGGACCTGCGGTGGCCCCTTCTTGACTTGTTACCAACGCCGAGTCAGGCGGGGATACTGCGCCCGTTATTGTTTCCGGATCGTTCCGGCGCACTTGCGGCGTCCGCGGTTCTTCCGAAATCGCTGATAGCCTCGTCCCCATGGCCGGATCTGGTACCGTTACTGATGGTTGTGATTCAAGTTCGAGAGACGGGTCTGCCTTCGCCGGTCTGGGATCCCCGAACTTGACGATCGGCAGCGTCTCCAGGACTGCCCGCGCCAGGCCTCTTGCCCGACTCTGTGGTGGCCGGCCAGCATCGCCCACCCGAGGGCCATAAAGCTCAGGGTGCCGGCGCGCCTTCATCGCGCCCATCACAATGATGACCAAAAATAGCAGAGTAACGAGGCCAGTTATGCTATAAAGGATGCTCATGGCAACGGCAGAGGTGTGCCTTTTACCATCCGGGCTATCCGTTGGGATGCCGGCGATATCTGGATTCCCGGATATGCTGGCCCGCAGGACCCCTCCGGCTCGGATCGTGTTGTTCAGCGTATCGGCCGCCTCCTGCGCGTTCGCCATGGTGTAGAGAGAGGCGTAGCTCAGGTCTTCGTCCCCGTCCACGGCGCAGCAGTTTGCGTCTATGCTGTAGAGCAAAATGGCCCTGGTCCTGTTCGCTACAAGCTGATTGACCAGTTTCGTTGCGTTCTCGCTGTCGCAACCGAGAAACGCTATCGTGTCCAGGCTGTTCAAGCGGTCGGAATTGGCCGGGAGTTCGACAGCCACCAAGTCCCCACGAATTCGGAAATGCTGTAACGCTGTTAGCCACCACAGCTCTACTACGCGGCAGTCCCGCTGGCAGAAACTCTCAGTTCTCACGCTTTTATCGGTGTCATTCGACAGGCCTGCGCGTTCAGTAAGCGGATAGACGCTGTACGTCAATGGGAAGGCCTCTGTCTCGGGAGGGGCGAGGTGAAGCTGCATGAAAGAGGGTAACTGCGACATGGGCAGATCGTGGAGAGATGATACTCTCACATCCCCCGCGCGGACACTAGGAAATGTTGGGAGGAAGAGTAGAAGGAGACTGGCCAGGAACGGTCGACCCAGTAAGGCCGTCATCACTCCGGCACCGGCGACGGTCGACGTCACCGCAAGGTGGTCTGAAAGCCAGATAGCCAGACGAACCTCTTGCAACGATCGGGAGCCCGGTCGGGAATCACTGCCCGCTGTCGTGATCGGCGATCGGGGAGAAGGTGGTTGAGGTACAACGTTTGCCAAGCTAGGCCTCACATCTCGCGCAGTCGCGGCCGTCCCTTGTTCCTTCAGTTTCTGATCGTCAGGCAAGGCGTATGCTAAGATGCCTGAGAGGGAACACGTTAAATGGGGGATCTGCGGTCGGCTCCAGAGAAGGTTCGTCCAGTCGGAACAGCTGGAAGTGGGAGGTGTGGCATGTAAGTTCTGTAAGCGGCGGGGATTTGGTGACGTCCAGAGACCGAAATCCCCGAAAGTCGGGCTAGCCTCGACCGCGCCGGACAAAAGAATGGCCTGAATCGCCAGCATACGGTAATCAAACGGTAGCTTTCGTCACTACAGGTAAGGCAGAGCGCAGCATGTGGAATCATTGCATCCGTTATCAGATGGGATGCTGTGCGAACTGCGGAGAGAGGGACAGCCGAGCATAGTGGGAGGAATGATGACGATGAAGTGGATCAGTGGATCAGTGGGAAGTGGCGTTTTAGAACTGTTTTAGCGGCCAAAGTTGCGAGTTTGCCACAATGGGCTACGTAAGGTATCTTACGCTGTAATAAACCCCACTAAGTATCGTCAACGCCCGCTCATATCTATCAAATACTACTTGTATGCAACTTCAGCTGTCAGGTCCCGGAACGCGCAAGCGTTTGTGATCGCTCTGGTTTGGTACTCGAATAGGTCCACGGTATAGGACATACAACAAACACGGGCTCGCCGGCGCCATAGATCATATTGCAAACCTTCGGGAAAGTAAGAGCCCATCTCCACATGGGCTGTTAGCCTTTGGCACTGTGTTTCTGGAATGTGAATGCACCCGTGCGCTCCAGAAGAATGTACGTCCTCAGGGCAGCGCCTCAAGGTAGTATTCTTTTCTGGACGGACATCACACAAGGTGTGTTGCAGGACACACGCAGGCCCGGAACAGAGTCGCGTGCATGGCGGAATTGGGCCGGGTTCTGTGTGTTCGTGTGATGCTCAAGAACTTTCCACATGCCTGCTTGTGTAAGTTAGCCTTCAGCACTCGCTCATTTGGGGCCATCATCATCTGCGCGCGTGGTCCACTGGTCCCTGCTGCTGCAATGCGGGGCCTCGTTGGGCTTTCATCCCTTCCTGTGGCTAACACAGAACTGGTGAAGGCAAGGGACGGTAAAACGATTGAGATGGGATCGTGATATACCTACGCGGGACTTTCCCGAGGCGAAGCGTTTCTAACGTTGAGTTAGGTACCAAACATTCGATGGCAAAGACCCCGAGTTTCTGTGCCCATCGCAGACAGTTTGGCGGCAACGTCGTTAGATCTCCTCCAAATCCTCAAGATCATTGAGGACCGGAAAATCGCCGACCTCTACCCGCTCCGGCCTGACGAATACACCACGCTTAACCTCCGACTCTTCGCCCCAGTACCGGGTTCCTCCAATGCTTCCGTCGTTCTTGCCCACCGGTTCGTCCAGCTGGATGCCTACCCAAGCACCCAAGCCTGGGATCTCCTTGACATCGCCGACATACATGATCTCTCCCCGTCTCGTGTCATCTTGCCCAACCCTACATCGCTTCCCGATGGCGATCCCGCGAGCTTCGATTTCCTGAGCAATAGCCGCAATCTTGGCCTGCTCGTGGCTTGGGGCGTTTGGGTCGAAGCGCCCAAGTTTTTGGGCTTTCTTCCAGGCGAGCACTGAATCCGTCTTCTTTTCATATTCTTCTTCGGGTAATACATACTTCTCCACGCCAGCAGTACTCGAGAAATTGGGCCTGGCCGAGACCGGCCGAGTGTCCACCACCTGGTGTAGCCAGTCAGCTCAGTTACCTGCGTCTCTGGAGCAACGCCGTCGCAGCTTCATTAAAGACATGCGCAATTCGTTTGGGCAGCGGCCTCACTTACCAATAACTCGGCATAGGGAATGAGGGGAAATTGCGCCAGCTGGACCGACTCCTCATCCCGAGCCTCTACGGGGATCTTGTCACTAGACGGCGTCTTAAGAAAGATCTGTTGGCAAGAGGGAGGGATGCCGGTGACACGTTCAAGCTTGGCTTTGAGTTGAGAAATTGACCACGAGGGAGTGATCCGTCTCTCGGAGGAGGCGTAGTCTGAGACCACATAGAGAGGTACGTCTGCCATGTTTCGGGATCGATCGACTGACAATCCTTGAAGTGCTTTGGCGCTGTGCAGAGGTTCGATCAAGACTGTATTATGAGGATCGAGTGAGCGGATGAAGGCGGGCTGTCGAAATCAACACGTAGCGTTGAGTTGCTGTCACCGTTGCCAAGTTCGGGAGGGCAGAAAACGCGGATAAAGCGAGTCAGGCTTTTTTTTTTTAGTTGAACTCTAGAGCGATATATCGTCTAGACGCCTAAGGCACGTAACTTTGCATGTTTTGCCGGTGAGCTTGTACCGTAGATGCCCTGATGCTGACGGTGATCACTACACTAATTGCAACGCAACCGCCCAACTCGCATTGGAGCCTTGAGTCAGCTGGTGGGGCATGAGGCTGGCCCAGCAGCATAAGCCAATCACCTTTCGGGTGGTTCGCCTCGTTGCTGTAGAGCAAGCTCCGCGGCGTGATCTGCCTTCGCCCGAGGTTTAACGTTATGCTCATCTCCACTTCTAGCCTACGAATACATCCGTACAGTAATCAGCCTAGAACACACCTTATTGCTTCTACGAAACACGGAATTGCGACAAACCATGTGCAGCTGCGTCGTGACCTAGGGCCACACGGAAACCTACAACTTCGAATGTTCTGCCGAATCTTCGATTGGGTCACACCGTTTGCAGCGCTCGGCAGGCAGCATCTCATTGGGGGACGAATACTACCCGGCTACATACTAGTAGGTACTAAGTTGAGGTAGCACCGGCTCCAAGCATCGCAGCATCGATGTCGTCCAACATGAGATTCCGCGGCAAGCTGAATGTCAAACGACATTGCCGACGATCATTGGCCAAATCAGCACAATAAGGATGGACTCGCCCACCTTTCCGACAGCAATTGACTTGTCGATGCCCGAAGCCGACGGGGGTCATTCGGTTCGACCCGCCCTCGTTCGCCTTGCCCCGTTCAAACGGGGAACAATGGATGATGCGTGCGCAGTCACGGTTTACAAGGCCTGACAAGTCATGCTTCGCTCTCTCTTCCATGGCCGAGTTGTCTCATCCACCCGCATCGCAGCGTGCCGATGAGTGAGGCTGCTGCGAGGCCCATAACCGATGGATGCTTTCTGGCCACGATACCATTATCAACTCTGTCCACTCACATACGCCTTCTTCGTTTCCCTCTGCAGCACTCCGGTTCGATTTGAGTCACCGCTTCTGCCTCTGGATGCAATTGACCGCCTGTGTACGAAGTAGAGTCGTCTGCAGAGTGCAGACATGGCGTTCCAGCCTTGGCGAGACACCTCATCCCCAGCAACAGCGTCGCAGCAAGCAGGAACCTTCTCATCTGCTCGCGTTGTCTAGACTATCAAGGCGACAGGGACAAGGGGCTTATAGCGGGTGTCTAGCGATAAAATCATGCATGCTTGCTACCCAAGATCTGTTCCTTGGCCGCTCACCGCCACGTTGGGTGCTGAACGATGCGTTGTGCCATCTATCCGTTTCGAGATTCCTCTCTGTGTAAGAAGCCCGGCGAGCCGGCGGAGGTCTGCTAACCAAGTCCTTAGAGAAAACCAATCGCTATCATTCCAAGTACAGAGGTGCTGAGTAAGAAGTGTGCATTATATGAATCACTAATACAATGTGAGAGGTTCGGGGCCCTTTGTTGGACACCCACCGACATTCATTGATATTGCCCCAATGAATTATACGGATCGTTAACGCGTTACGCAGGTTATTACTCCGTAGATCGAAGATGCGGCGGCCAACCCTGCAAGGCCAAGACATCCATCGCGATCGGGGCTTCCCGGTCCGTCCAATGACCTCGCCGACCGAGCTGACAAGGGCGCCATTCCCACAGGCTCGAGACCGCCAAACATGTCGAATACGCTGACTTACATACACTTCGTCTCACTTGACTCTAACAACTCGTTTGATGTCCACGGCTTGACACAACGGCCCGGAACCGAGAAACACATGCAAGCCCCAGACCTTCAGCGACGTCAACGCACACGGTCATGGATTATTGCCCCGCAGACAGAGCGCCAGCATCGAAGAACCCGTGAGCAAGGGCGCTGCTTTACCAGGGTCATTTCGATATCAGCTCCAACACCCGCGTGGCGGCACCCTCAGAGACTTTTGGAAGCCTTATTAACTCGCCCCGCCTACACGTCACCACAAGGCCAGACATCCGTCATGGAGCTAACTGTAGTGTGTTTCGCAGAACCTAGAGTTGTGGGTGCTTGCATGGCTGCCGTATGACCGACCTTGGTCGGTTGTTGCCCCATCCACGCGTGTTGTAGTAGCGCAGCATGAGCTGGGGCTTAGTACTCTGAACGATACTCCGTAGCACCCTCCCAAACCGCAAACTCGACAGCACACGGCCCGCTCCATACTTCCCTCGCCCATGCCGATCGAGGTTGTATGAAGCCAATACTACAGTACAGAGCAAACCATTGCCTTGAGGCGACACAAGTGCATGCTCAATTGCTCATACCTAGGTAGCCTGATCCTGGTAGCACAGTGCTCACTTGCCCTTTGGTTTATTACAATTCACGATGGACCTGCCGGCAGCGTCCCGGAACCCTTGATCGTAGACGCGGGGCAAGAACTACCACAATCTGCAAGTTGACCGCCAGTTTAGCGGTACATACAACAACATCTGATGGACCGAAGCTGAATGAATGCCCTGGAGGTCGGAAGGCAACAGACGGTAACCATCCTCCGAGGAAATTGACAACTCACGCCAACAAAGCAATTCGGTTATTGTTTGGCAACAGATTGTTTGAACAAAGAACGCAATAGACCTGAGATGCGGGCTTGTACACGATAAGAGTCCGGAGGTGCACAGGCATCAGCCCGGGTCTGTGCCGAGTACATGCATACAAGTCGGCAACAGAATCGGCGTCCGCCGTGCCGGGGTCAGATCTCGTTCGCTACACTACGCTCCGCTAAGTAACACCATTATGTATACGAGATCCGGCATCCTGCAACAGCGCAGCCAAGTAAATGTAGTCGGCACTGATGTGACTCAGGCCTTGTTGACGTCGGTCGATGCAAGCAATGCATCCGGCGGTCAAAGCTGCGCGTGTCTCTGCTGCAACGTGCAAGGATCATGGCTTGACGGAGAACCAGCGCAGTCCAGGCGACGCTTGGTATCGCGATGATAACATAGAAATTCCGTCCTTGCACGGTGATTGCCTCGCCATATCGGGCACACTCACAGGCAGCTTTGATCGAATCAAGCGGACAAGTTCTTATTCTATCGTAGATCTGAGAATCCCACAAAAGGGTTGCAGGCTGAATAAGGAGGATCGAAGCGAGATCTCAAGCGCCACTGCTTTCGCGTCTCGACAACTGTTTGTTGCAAAGGCTTGCTGAGACGGCCAAACTTCTGTCCACAGCGTCTCTGCTTGGGCATCACGATGCCATCACAGCGCAATCAACTTGTCGGGGCATCAAGCCAGCAGACAATGGAGGGTAACGGGTGTGCCTCGAATAGGGGGGATAGACCACTCGCGGGTGCATCTCATTATTTCTCACCTCTCTGGAGTTACCTCCCGCATCACATGTCTGGACTCGACAAACTCCCTCGACCCCCTACTGTTTCGAACTCGTGGAGTCTAGACCCCGATTCGTTTCTCCTGTCTGTGGCCTCTCATTCGTGGCAGTCCTGCCCCAACAGCCACCACCGAGTCAGTGATTGTTGGCTATGACAACCGCTTCTGGCTTACAAAGTACGTAGATCTGGGAAGCCGTTGGAGCCGTGCAGGGATATGCCTGCCTTGAGTGATGTGCTCAGCACCTTCGGGCATCCTCCCCGCCACCAACCCCCCCCCCCCTCCCGGACAACGTAGCTACTGCTCACTGACAGGCTTGAGGGCAACTGACAGACTTCGAGGGCACTTGACAGGCTGTGAGCGAGAAACTCCTGTCGTGTAGTGCTCGAAAGAAGAGCTAGGAAGAGCTGAGAAGCGGGCCGGTCAAGCCCAATCCAGATTTCAACCCGATCATTGGCACGGCTCGGGCTGCTTTGGCTTTCTCGTGGGCCGTCCTCTACAGTAGGCTCAAGCAAGCCCTAGCAAGCCCACGGACTGCAGACGGGAGCTCTCGTCATTCCGCCCCCAACCCCCAACGGGGACAACATTTAGATCATCAACCCTGCAGATCATGCTTGCCACGACGGGCCGCACATGCACGACTTCGTGGCTCTCCGTGGTAATCCCTCTCGACAGCAGCTTTGACTCCACGGTTTCGATCTCGATCTTGATTGTTTGTGGAGTCCCTGGCTCCCTTGATCTGGCCAGTGTATTCGTAATACTAGTACAGTAGGGAAGTCGATGTGACAGACCGGGACTCTCAAGGCGAATCTAGACCCGCCAGGCCCCCTCCCGCTGCAGAAGCAGTGCCGTGCTTGGGTTGGAATGGCGAGCTATGGAGTGCAGTTCGGTCCTGCGGCCATGAACGGTTGGGAGGATGGGTGGACCAACCTACCCTTAGTTGCTGCGATGCTTCACATTGTCTCGAGTGACGGCTGACTCGGCCGGGTTGGCTCTTGTGCCAGTTTGTTGGCCAGAATGGCAAGTAGGTGAGGCTGCCCTGTCACTTCCCGAGCTACTTACCCTTGGAAGGTACTTAGCATGTACAATACAATACAATACAACACATACCCTAGGCGGTTGCTCTTTTCAGGGCAACGGGCTCTCGCAGGGTGTCTCGCCAAGGCGAGTCAAGTGTGCGGAAAACTAGCACTGAGGTGGCATCGTAAGAAGGTACAGCGTCTGCGGCCATTGCAATGTCGCAGAAAGCAGAATAATTTAACCCTGGAAAGATGTGCGGGAGGGTTCAGGGCTTGGCTGAAGGTGCCGGGTTGGATCAGCAACCCAGCACCCGTCCCCCAGGTAAGGCAAGGTACCTACTTGTGGTAGTCGACAGTACCGATCCGTACTCGGCTTGGTGCTCCACATTACTACACTCGCACCTTCCCTCCCACTCCCAGTTCGCCCCCGGACGTTCACCAGGTCCCTTCGCTCTCTCACCCGGGCCCCGATGCCTCTGCCCTGGTCATCATTACTACTAGGAGTACCAATACCGCCTGCAGCCACTGCTGTACACTTCCGTCCCCGGACTACTTCAAGTTGCCTTCCTACCTTCCATCTTCGAAGTCATCTACCAAGGTTCACTCTCGCCTGCTTCCTTCCGCGGCCTCCCTTTATTTCACCTTTATTAGCTGTTAGCATCACCCTCCAGTGTCCACGTCTGGGGCAGGCACGCCGCACGCCGCACGCCATCATCGAGGTACTTTGACCCCCCTCTTTCCAACAGGCCTCTCCCTTGTTCGTGCTGAGGAGGCGGTGGATATGGAGAGCAGATACTCTGCTCCCCTCAAGCAACATTCCGTCCACCCGCTGGCCTGATCGACGTACGCATCCGCCAACACTGCTTTTATACGCTGGCCTCCTCCCCGGCCTGCCTTGCCCCGTTGATAATTGGCCGGACGACTTCTCTAGCAGCAGCCAATCAACATGGTAATGGCCGTTCTGCGTATACGAACCGCATCTCGTTGAAAAGGTACGGCTTCTTCAGCGGCCCCATCTGAGCAGGAGCTTCCCTTATCCACTGGGTAGGCAGCCTCAGCCCTTCTGTTGGGCACCCCTTTCCTTATACGCTACCTAGCGCCTTCCAGCACCTGGAGGCCGCGCAGCGCATTCCAGCTTCCCTCACGTGTTCCGTTGCTTATACAATAGTACAGTTGTACAGTCCATATCGACAACAATCTCGACCACATTCAAGCCTCTTTTAGTCACCGCCTAGACTCGGTCACAGAGTGTCAGGTTGTCAGCTCCTTGCGCGACTTGAGCCCGACGTCGAGCTCGCGAGCCTAGAGCCTCTGGTCGCAGCTCGTTCTTGGGGGCAGATTACTGCTTAGGGCACGCAGCTTCGCGTGCCCATTACTCTCTGCCCTCCCAGGCTGTGTACGACGAGATACAGCCATCGTGGATATCTCTTCGCTTCTCAGGGACTCTGACTCCGATGAGTCCCGCACATCTGACAGCCGTCAGCCACCATCAGCCAGGGCCCCGGCATCTCGAGCGATAGCAACGCCTCCGAGCGGTCCGCCACCGGACCCGTCCAGCAGAGCAGCAGCTGGCCCGCCGTCTCCCGGTCCCGGGGCTGCTGGAGGAGCCGCGGCTAGGCGGCAGAGTGTTTCCGCAGCGGCTGGGTCTGGACAACGACCAGGTCTGGAACCGGGCTCCCGTCCCGGGAGCGGTGGCGGGAAGCGCAGCATGCCGCACGCGCTCCAGACACCGGCGCGGAAGCAGAGCAAGTGGTCGGCCGAGGAGAATGCCTTGATCATCGAGCTCCGCGGAAGCGGCATGAAATGGGACGACATCTCGAAGCACCTCCCGGGCCGGTCTGCGATTAGCTGCCGGCTGCATTACCAGAACTACCTGGAACGCCGCAGCGAGTGGGACGAAGAACGGAAGAACAAGCTGGCGAGGTTGTACGAGAGGTAAAGAACGAACTTCTTTCCACACAAGATACATGGTTGCCCTTTCTCTAACGCCCGAGCTACCTAGATTCAAACCCGAGATGTGGCGGCAGGTGGCAGAAGAACTGGCCGTGCCCTGGCGCGCCGCCGAGGCAATGCATTGGCAGCTAGGTGAGGACGAAATGGCAAGGCGCGCTGGCGCAGTTCCGTTCTCGCTGAACTCAACCACAAACGTGCCCCAAGGCCCGCAACGATTCCCGCCGACCCGGCACGCCCATTCCCAATCGCAAGGCAGCCTCCCTCGCGAGCACTCCGGCCTTCCATCGCCGCGCTACACCCGGGGCCCGCCAGCACTGCCCATGCCATCGTCGGGCCGTCCGTTGACTCCCACCTCCGGCCGTACCCTGTCCGCTCGCCGCGAGAGCTTCCCTCCGCGCCCTTCGCTTGGGCCGCCCATGTACGATCAAGCCGAGTGCGGCTCCGGACCCGGCTACGGACCCGGCTACGGACCCGGCTCGGCTTCTACGCCAGGCATCGGCCTCGCCCCGATCCAGACGGTAAACCCGTTTGGAAGCAGCCAGGGGGTCGTCCAGGGAGGACGTGTCGGCACCCTGCCGAGTCTACACGAGTTGACGTCGGGCACCAGGTCCTACAGCACGCCTGCGTACAGCATCAGCGGAGGCGGCGGCGGAGGCGTCCATAGCGGAACGGCCAGCCCGGGGAGTGCGACGCAGGGGCCGTTGCTTCCCGCTTTCTTGCCGTACCAGCCCCAGCTCGAGCCGGCTGGCAGCGCAGCAGCGAAGAGAAGGGCGAGCCCGCCTGACGCGGGGACGCGAGAGGCGAGTCGGCGCCGGCATCATCCCTATCCCAGAGAAGGGGACGGGTATAGAGAAGACGGCGGCGGGGGCCGGTGATCTTCTCGCGAAAACCGGAGACACGCAAGAAAGGACATGGCATTCTTGCACAGACCGTCGGAGAGAGGGGTGGCAGTATTTGTCTTGTCTTCCCTTTATATTCTTGTTCTTTTCTACTACGATTCTTTTGGTGTTCCATTCTCTCTTTTACTTGGCAGCACCGGCAGCGGCCAAAGAAACTACGGAGTATGCTGGGGAAGATGACATCCCAATTTTCATCTTTACGCTCTGCTTTTCTTTCTCACATTACTGCGCTCAAGCTATTAGTATTCCAATCCTTTCCTTTTCCCTCTCTTCTCCACCATTTACTGGTGACCTATCTCTCAACCACGTCATTGGGCCTCGGTGACGTTACACAAAGGCGTCTGCGGAAATTCAGGTAGAAAGGAAACAGGCCGGGGAGTTAGAGAAAACATTTTGTCCATCGATTGGGTTACGGTAGGAGAGGAGAAAGGGGGGCCCGGAGGCGCTAGGCCGGAGTTTACTTGGCTTTGACGAAACCTGAAAGGGACGGACCCGTACAGATTGGGACGGCGGATGGGACGGAACGGGCCAGGCATAGACAGGTTTGCTTTTCTTCAGTTTTGGTTGGATGGGGGCCTGAGGGAGATGAAACCCGTGGGAACTGGAGGTGTGATAGGTGATGACTGGGTAGATTGGTTTATTTGCAGGCAACAACAGAATGGACGAACGCCAATCGGTGGCCACACAAGGAGTTTCAGATAAAGAGAAGTAGCTACCGATTTGGATGCAGCGAGTGGCAAGTGACCTAGCCAAGGAGTGTCCATACTAACCGGCGGGAAGGTTGTGCAGCGGCCCAGCGAGGCGAGATAACATCAGCGTGCCGGCTGGGCAACAACTGCCCACGGTTGGCTCTGTGACCGCATATTGCCTCCCACCCCCCAAAAGTTCGGCTTCATTGTTGGTCCTGTTCGACGGGCCTGTTGGCAGCCACCACCCACCAGTTGTCTTTCTCGTAGCCGCTGGAAACGACAACGCCCCCTGCCGCCAGCACATCCCCTTCCAGCTCCCCTTTGCGGTAGAGATGGTAGTAGCGCTGGAAGACGGGATCGGCCTGGCTGGGCGCTCGCCCTTCAGACGCAGTCGGTGTAGGCGGTCCCTCACCGCCCACGTCGCGTGCACTAGCACCGCCAGTGCCTTGGCTCTGGGTTCTCTTGCGCGCTTTCTGCTGCTTCTGCTGTTTCTGCTGGGACTTCAGGACCCACGGCACCAGCAGGTCCTGCTCCCCGCCCTCGTCCCATCCGCGCCGGCTGGTGCCTTGCTCCAGAGCCCATACGTACACCAAGACCTGGCCCCCCGTCCGTCCGGCCTCTCCGGGCTTGACACATTGCAGGAGCTGCCGGATCGCCTCTTGCCGCCTCGTCCGCGTCGACATGTGGTGGATGACTGCCACGCAGATCGCAAAGTCTGCAGCGCGCTCGCGGAAGGGCAGCGAGAGCCCGTCTGCCACGAGGACGTCGGTACCCACTGCTGCGCCACCGGCTTCCCCTCCAGTTCCTGCCTGCCCCTGCTGTCCCTGGAGCTGCCTGCAGCGGTCCCTGGCAAGCGCGATGAGCGAGCGGCTCCTGTCGGAGCCCAGCATGAACACGCCTGGGTTCACGCCCAGGTACTTGCCGTTGCCGCACCCTACATCGAGCCCTACGGCGCCAGGGGGTTGGGCATGCAGGAATGATGCCACGGCCGGCCAGGGCTTGTACCGTGTCGCCGAGAAGTGCGGGGCAATGGCATCGTAGACGCCATGGACGTGCGTGCGCTCGTAGGCTTCCGCCTCGGCCTCAGCAGCCGCCGCCGCTGGGCCTACTACCCCTGTTGTGGTGTCGGCAGCGGCGGCTAGTTTGGCCACGGCATCGGACGCCGATGCGGACGGCAGGGCCGCGGGCGTGGTGGTAGATGACGCAGCCATGAGGCCAGGGTGTGGCTGTCGGTTCAGGTAAGGACAAGGGTATGGCGGTTTTGACGTTGAAGCCCAAGCTTGGGGCGCTCAACGCGGTGAAGGGAATCGACGGAACAGCTCTCGCAAGAGACCGGAAGGTGCACGACCGAGCTCGACGTGTTCGCTGCTTCCGCAGCTCCCGCAGCTTGTCAGGCAAGGGGCCCAGGGAGACTCGCACACACCGCTGCGTCGCGACTCACACCACAACTCCGCGGGGTGGGAGGAGAAGCAAGTCGATTGTATCGGTGTTCCAGGTGTCGCGGTCACCCACTCCCCGTGTAGTTGCAATTCTCTTGACCGCCTATTCTCAAGTTAGCGCGCGAAAGAGCGGGGAGCGGGATTCGAGATATGGCGGTGGAGGAATCTAAGGTTGTAGCCATGAACTACGGGTCTGCCGCGCGCCCTGCAGGCAAGGGCATTGCTACTGTACGGAGTAAGCATGCACCGGCGGCGAGGATGCATGGGGCAGTCCAGAAGATGCAGAGACAAGGGGGGAGGGGGTTAGAGATGCAGCTTCTGACCGGCAAACCGCTGTGCCTACAAGACCTGCACGTACCAGAGCGAAGGATGGGAACTCTCTCCAAAGTTCCTGCCAACTGGAGGGGTCACAAAAGCACGGCACCGAACTCGAACATTCATCGCCGGCCGGGTACCCGGTCAGATAGGGCTGAAAGCCTGGACCGGTGGGGCAGATATCGGGACAAAACGACATGGGTTACTCCGAGGGACGCGAGTAAAACAAAGGAATGGGTTGCACAAACCTGCAAGGTACAACTGCGCGTGTGGTTGGTGTATCCCTAATAATTGTCTCAAGTGTGCTATCCGAGCCGAGTCGTCAATCGCGGTTCGAGCCTCACTGGTGCATGGTTGGGTCAAAGCTGCTAAACTGGGTCGACACGGGAGCTCTGTGTAAGTTACTTCACACTAGGTAAGTTACGCTCAAGCTGGGGTATGCACCTGTGTAAGGTATCAACGCAAGGTATGTATTGTACTATTCAGTCTCTCGAGATTGTAATAAATGCGAAAGTTACCGTCAGATCATCATAATCCGCTTTACTTCGAACAGTGGAGTTGGTAAGATGTAAATAACATTTGCTTCATTTACTGAAAATATCACACAACACCGAGCGGACTAATATGAACGAATAAAAACGGGACGGCTCTTAAGTCGCACGTATCTTGGGTGGTAACGTACCGTACCAGGCAGTAAATACAGATATTTCACCTTTGCAATCTGATTTTGTATTCAAGCTCCATTCCTGCGCGGCTGGGCCGCAGTCGACTCACACGGGCGTCGGATCTGCAGCCCGCCACAGCCGATATCTGAGACATCACAAATATAATGCAATACATAAAATCTCACTGTGACATGTATTCACTCGCCTCAAGGGCCTGAACTTCATCTTGTCCAAGCATGGCCTGGGTGCTGAGGAGTCTGGCATGTCTCCTGATCTGGCATTTTGTTCCCGTTATTTATTAGTGCAATTATCAGACTTTTTCTTTGATGCGATTCTTCTTTTAACGGCAAGGGCGACACAGCAAACGGGTGGGTGGCTGCAGCCGCTGCACAAAACATCCGGTTGGCTATCTCTTGCCCCCCCCCCCCCCCCCCCCTACCAGTCATCAGAGCCCAAGGCATCATTGAATAGCATTGCCCGTGTTCTTGATCTTGAGTGAGACATTCGGGCGTCTCGGTTTCATGTGCTCATGAGATACGCGCCTCAAACTGCTCCAGTCAATTACATGGCCCTAGCCAACAAGCCGATCCGACAATGATAGAACGACCGGAAGCGAGCAACGCCAGCCACCTCGAAGCCCGGTTAAGTTCGAGTCTCCCGATTACCGCTTGCCCGTGTTCAGGGGGCTCAGGGCATCGTACACGTCAGTCGTAATCAGCTCTGGGTATACGACGCCGCCCTGCCGCAGCGCCTCCTCCATCACCTCCATGATCACGATACTCTCGCTCCACGGCAGCGTCTGGCTCTCCTTCTTCCCGTCCCGCAGGCAGCGCGCGCACTCGTCAGCCTCCCAGAACATGCCCTGGCCCCAGCCAGTCTCGGGGTCCTTGGGGATCGGACAGTCGAACACCTCAATCTTGGCCGTGCCGGTAGCCGCCTTCTTGATGACGCGGTACTGCAGGGGACAATACGCCGGGCCCATGACCTGGATCTCGCCTCCGGACCCCTGGATGCGGATGGCGGCACCGCCGCTGTTCAACCCGTCCCCGACCGCGTCGTGAGCCACGCGGAGCGAGGTAAGCGCGATGCCTTGGCTCTTGTGCTTGGGAAACTGCACGATGATGCTGGTCGTCTCGTCGGCGCCTGTGTGGTACTTGTTTATGGCAGCCACGACGTTGGGCGCCTCCTTGTCCGCTTCGGGCTGCAGGTGATAGAGCGTCTGGAAAACCCAGGTTAGGGAGTAGATGCCCAAATCCAGGAGCGCGCCGCCGGCCAAGTCGGGATTGACCATGCGGTGCGAGTCGGCAAAGTCAACCTTGCCGTCGCCCGCGTCCCTGGGAAGTGACAGGTCGGCTGTTGAGGGGAGGGGTGGCAGTGTGTTAGCATCCAGCGTGGTAAGTATGCCCAGAGGGAGACGACCGGACTCACCAATGGTGCGGTAGACGGTACCGATAGCCCCCTTCGCAATCAGCTCCCTCACCTGGACGCTGAGGGGGAAGTAGCGCGTCCACACGGCCTCCATGAAGAAGACGCCCTTTTCGCGAGCCTTCTCAACGAGCCTGCGGGCCTGGGATGCGTTCACGGTCAGGGCCTTCTCGCATAGCACGTTCTTGCCGGCCTCGAGGGCGAGCATGGCGTTCTGGAAATGGTGGCTGTGGGGCGTGGCAACGTAGATGATGTCGATGTCCGGGTCGGCTACCAGCTCGTGGTACGAGCCATAGGCTCTGGCGGAGCTTGGGGCCTTGACGAGATTGAGGAAGTCGACGGCTCTGTCCTTGGAGCTGGACGAGGCGGCGGCCACGACCTCGTGGCGAACATCGTGCACGCCGCGGGTGGCTGGGTTGGCGAGGAGATCCTTGGTGAAGACTGTCGCCGGGTGAGCTTATGGCGTGGCGCCGCAAAGGAGACAAAGTAAGTTTGGTACTCACCCTCGGCAATCCATCCGGTGGCCATGATGCCCCACCTCACCGTGTAAGGAGTCGACGACGCCATGGTTGCGGCCCTGTTGGTTTGTTAAGCAGAGTTCCGGTGAATACCGATCAGTTAGTCGAGAGCGAAGAACAGCAAGGTTTGCGAGGTTTATGGAGGACCCGGCGGCAGGCTCTTAAGAGTTAAGAGCCCCCCATCTTCCCCTCTATCAATGGGTCTCATGGCGGGGCCAGCGACGGCGTTGCGGGTAAATCGCCGGAACGGCGCCAGTTCGCGGAACTAACCCCTGGGCTTTCGGCTACTGACCCAATCAGAACCCCGCCCAGAGAGTCGGTTGCCCGGGATCGCCCAGCAAGGTCCAGAGCTACCCCGCGGCCGATGGCAGGTGCGGGGGTTTGACGACGACGTCACGCGTTAGACGATCATCGTCTCTCGCAGCCCGTCAGCGAGTTCAGACCGCTGGAACGCTGATATCATAGTATAGGTAAGGTCATGCTAGTACTAGTATCCTAACCATCACAGTAGCTTTGCGATACCGAAGGTCAGATAGTACAATACAGGCGGCTCCGGACTGGCTTAGAATTCGCTTCCATTCCTGCCGTGTGGCACTGTCGCAGCATGGCGTAACAGAAAGAAACAAGGTAGCTCGAAGCTTTTCTGTTTCCCGACACAGCTTCCCCTCACGGGCACCTCTCCAATTCGGTCCTGCCAATGCATTGCGTGCTCCAGGGGGGACGCCGGAGTTTGATTCTCTCAGGGCTGCCAAACGCCGTCGTACTTGTTGTACCCTTCGCCCAACGCCGCATCGTAATCCTCAGCAGACCAGAACCAGCCCCATCGTCAACCACGCGAAACATGTCGTCACAGCCCGAAGCCACAGCGGCGATGCCGCCCATGATGTACGGCACCGCCTGGAAGAAGGAGCGCACTGCCGACCTCGTCTTCGAGGCCATCAAGGCTGGCTTCCGCGGCATCGACACGGCCGCCATGAAGAAGCACTACGACGAGGCCGGCACAGGCGAGGGCATACGCCGCGCAATCCGCGAGGGCATCGTCTCCCGCAAAGACCTCTTCGTACGAAGCAGACCCCATTTCCCTTCTAAATAATGCCGTCAGCTTCCCGGTCATCACTGACCAGATTCATTTTCACGCGCAAGATCCAAACAAAATTTACCCCGGAAGACCCCTCCTCCCCCTACTCCCTCAATGATCCAATTCCCGCCCAAATCCACGCCTCCATCACTTCCTCCCTCGCCAACCTGTCCACACCAGACCGCTCCCCACCTTACCTCGACGCTCTCGTGATGCACTCCCCCTTCACAACCATAGCCGACACGCTCGAAGCCTGGACAGCCCTCGAATGCTACCTGCCCACCTCCCTGGACTCGTCCCGCCGAGGCAAGATTCTAAGGCTGGGCATCTCCAACGTCACGCTCCCCGTCTTACTCGCCCTCTCCGACTCGACGACACGTCAGCCGATGATCGTGCAGAACCGGTTCCGTGCGGCAGAGAGGAGCTGGGACCGCGACATCCGAACTTGGTGTGCTTCCACAACCCAACCCTTGTGCTCGGGATCTGGATCTCAGGAGCAGGAGAAGGTGAACTACTACCAAGGCTTTTGGACCCTGACAGGGAATCCCGGCACGTGGCAGCTGGCGGGTTTTGTGAGGGAGCTGGCGGAGGCGGCAGGCATCTCGCCGGCTGCGGCGTGGTATGTGCTGCTCATGGAGGCTGACGTCGTAGTGCTGAACGGGACTTCGGACGCGGCGCATATGAGGGAGGATTTGGATGCACGGCGGAAGGTGGAGGCGTTTAGGAGGACGGACGCAGGAGAGGAAGTATGGAGGCGGTGTTGGGTGGAGTTCAAGAGGCTGATTGGCGGCTGATGGGAGTACGGATAAGATTCCTAAAGCAAGCTCTCATATTGCGTAGACTATGTGTGCACTGAGGGTTGAAACGAGTAAGCGGGGCGAGGGTAGGGTAGGTAAGTTCACGGCAAGCTGGGTGTTGGTGGATGGAACGGTCAGTTCTACATGCTAAATGTGTAAGGGGAACATTATATCTCAGGTGCCTCGTAGTGTATATTACCATCGAGCTCACTGACTGGACGAATTCTTCGTATCCGCATCTGGCTGACACCCAACTGAGACAAGGGACGGCAAGCGGCCAGTCCCGTACTAGTAGTTTCCGGACTGATATGTCTGACATTGGAATGGAGTCCCCAGCTTACGTTGACTCACCTCGACTAAATTGTCGGTCCCAAATATCACACGAGAAGAACGCAGAATTTAAATCCCACTTTCCATGGACCTTAATTGGTGCTACTATTACATTCGAAGGCTTGATGAAGACCGGCTCTGCAAGGGGGCACAGACTCGCGACGTCCACCAAAACGCTGAACTTCTCCCAGCCTATCTCTCCCTTCGGCGATGTCTATAGGAGACAAAGTATACGACTTACTCGGCATCTTGCTTCGCCAGACGACCTCACTCTTCGTCTCAACCACTTGGCCTCCAAGTCTCATTCGCAATTTGTGACAAAAGCACTTAACAGACAGAGACATAGCACAGAGACGGTGCAACGGCGAATATGGGAAACCGTTCCTTTTATTTCCGTTTCGTGGACTCGTTACCTAACCCGTACTCCCTCTAGATGAATCGTGTGCCATGTCCGATTCATGCACGGATACCCTTTTGCCATGCCGTTGCCAAGTCCGATGTGCCAACCCGTGCCGCCAAAATCGTACATAGAACATCAAAATAAGTCATCACTGCCTCATCGGGCAGGAAAAGAGAATGTCGAGAAGGTGAAAGAAAGCTGTTGTCAACTACATACAGGTGAAACGAAGCTAATGGCACGATCGTCAGGCCCTCCTTTCCCAGTTTGCCAGGAAGGGATATACAACCAAACTGTTGGGAATATCCTTCTAGAACAGAACCATCAGAAGTGTGGTGCAAAATCTCTAGGATGTCTATGCACCGAAGAGAGAAATAAGAAAGAAAAAGGGAAAGAAACTGGTGGCAGATGGTCCATGATCTAAGCCCCATACGCAAACGTGTTTCCGTAGGTGCTGATCGAGTTGCCCTTCACCAAGCTGCCGTCCGTGACCATGAAGTACGAGAACCGCTCGACAAAGGAGAAGGTCGAGTTGGTCTCGATCTGGTCAATGACGGTCTCGAGCTGCGAGTTGATCTCATCGTCTGATCCGGTGAATGCGAACTCGGTGATCCAGACGGGCTTCTTGAACGTGTTGTAGACGTTTAGGGTGTGCGCCAGGAAGGTGTTGGTGTCAACGCCGTAGATGTGAATGGGAATGAAATCCACGGTGCAGTTGCCCTTGCAAGCATCAAAGAACTGCGACAGCCAACCGATGCCCTGGTTGGCAGCGCCGCTATTGGTAATGGCAGGGGACCCGATGCGCGCCTTGCCTGTGAAGGGGTTCATGAGCTCCATGTGCTTGGTAGCAGCAACTGTAGCCGGCATATTGGCCTGGCTGTCTAGGTCGGGCTCGTTGAAGCTGAACAGGCACCGGGAACCAGCATCGATGGCTTTCTGAGCATTGCCAGGCCAGGTCTGAGCGAAGTCGAGCTTGAGGCCCCACATCATCGGGCAGAACTCGAGGCTGGTGCCAGAGTCATCGTATTGGCCCCAGTTGTAAGTCCACGAGATCCTAGAACCAGAATCGAGGAAGCGGGTCAGCAATTCGGCGTTGTTGTACGCGAGGCCGCGCTTGCCGACGTCCCCAGTGCTTCCGCTGCCGCCACTGTTCCCGCTCGCCGGAGTGGACGCAGCCGCCGAAGATGAAGGCACGGCCACGGCCACAGCAGCGGTTGGGCTTTGGGACACTTGGGCACTTGAAGAAGGCGTAGCCGGTGAGGGGATCGGTGTGCTAACAGGCACATTCTCAACCTGGGGCTCGCTGCTGGACGAAGCCACCACGACCACGGATGAGGTGCTGTGCTCGACGACAGAGGTAGTCGAGGTGACCTGGCTGATGATGGTGGTGGTTGCGACAGTCGAGGACGGCGCCGCAGGAGCAGGGACCGAGGTCGTGGTGCTCTGAGCCTTGGCCTCGGAAGGCCTGAACTTGCGAGAATTGGTGTAGAAGACCGCATTGCCGGTGTTGGTGTCACCGTCGGTGACAGTGACAGTTACCCAGTCAGTGACAGTAACTACCTCGGTGACAAGGGCCCTCTTTTGATGGGCATGCTGGAGGCCATGACGGTGGGGTCCAGCGGCGACATTTTGGCCAAGGAGGCTGGCAGCAGCCAGCGCAATCAGAGTCTTGGAATACATTTCGTCGATGTGCCGGAGCCGGTCGTGGGGGTAGAATTGTGAACTCGGCGGTTTGCAGAGCTGCAGCCAAACCAGTGAGGGAGCTCAGTCTTTTTCAACGAGTGATGGACTCGGGTTGTTTCGTTTGACAATTTCTTGTCGGGGTGGCTTGCCGGGCCAGGTTCAAAGAGCGCAACCGTGTGAATGATAACCAGCACGGCAACTTGTGAAATGAATGGTACAGCTTATTGGTGAATGTGTGGCGGTTTGTCCGGGGAACCTTTGGAAATGAAGGTGGGATTTCGGGACCGGGTTGGCGTGACCGTGTTTGTGTCGCTGTCTGTCAAAGACGCAGAGAGAGTGATGCGGGAGTGGGACAGTGACCGCAGCCGTGACCTGAAGGCGCGAAAGTCGGCTGTGCAACGGTTGAAGCTGGCAACCAGGGTGATGAAATCAAATTGCTGTGGAAAAGGAATGGAAAGGCCCGACAATGTGGTTGAGGTGGAAGCAAAATCGGGGGACCGGGTAGCAACGAAGATGGGGGAGCGTGCAGGCTATAAGAGAGTTGGAAAGACCCGGGATTCTCCAAGGAAGGAACGACCCTTGCCACGATGATCGCCAGGGGGGGCCTGACTATCACGGTCTGGACCAACGTGGGACAAAGTGCCTCCAGGGTGCAGAAAACAACAAGCAAATGACGAATCAGCATGTTGTCTGAGCCGCAAGCTCGGGGCATTTCAGGTTTTTCTCGCAAATACCGTCCCCACAGTCTGGTCTCACAAAACCCTCATGTGTATCCGTATTGTACACTACATACAGCAAGTTCGGACACAGCCGTGCACGCATCTCAGTTCAAGTGACAGCTCGAGCTCGGCTGTGTTCCCTGGTGTTGCCGACATACGCCTTGCGTGTTTTCCTAATGTTACCGTTACCAGGCCCTCGATGGGAAGCCGAGGACCGTTGGCTTTTGGAACCGAGTTGAGCTTAAGCCCGACCATAGTCTACAAGTACAACACTATTTGGGGCCAGGCAGGCCCACCATCCGAAGTCGACATCGTGGCATGGCGGGAGAGCTCGGACGACACAGGGGTCATCTGCCAACCAGATCATCCCACAGATCTCTCCGGATCACACCAGTTCGCTGGGAATCAAATAGCGGCCTTGGGTCTTATAAGATGGCTCCAGGCACTACCTACAGAGATACCGTCCTGACGAACTGCCCACATGCGATGAAGACGTGGACTATCGTGATTCAATGGGTTTCTGATGAGAGTCCGACGATAGTGTAGCGCTGCACCACTTGCCGCTTGGCTTGCAGCAGTGGAGCCTACCAACCACGTTGATTTGAGTGACGGACCGACCGATGTGGTAGGATTGCGACAGCCGGTCCCGCTCCCAGCCGGCTTCGCCAATCGCGAGCGGCTCCGGTATGCAGGTACGAACTCCTCCGAGGGGCGAAGGGTTCCTTTCTGCAGGTACGCGCAATTTTTCCTGCTCAATCCAAGAAAAAAGAATGGACGTCTCCGTCGAGTTGGCGCGTCATGAATCATCCACGACAGCCCTGAGTGCGTGAGCTTTCTCCGACGGGGTGCTGCAGGCTCCTGTCACCTCCCCAATCAACGTCGCTGTTACCTACCATGTGGGTCGCCATGAAACACGCTTTCCTGAGCCATCTCCGTCTCTGAGCTGAAGTGGTGCAAAGTTCCTGCAACAGCTCTCTTCCGATCCCAGGAACTGAATCGTCGCAGTCGGAATGCTGCCGTAACAAGAAGCAGCACGCAACATCCAGACCCCGCATTGTGGTTCAAAACCCCCACTGTTCGTCCCATCCCACACTGCCGACGATCTCGATTCTCGAAGGTCTTGGCTTCAATCACAACGTGGACCCAACCGATTATCGACGGCTCCTGGGGTGGGCGGGCGAAACAGAAATTGCAAATGGCGCCAAGGCACGGCCGAACACGTGGGCCCTTGTCTGAGATCCGGACCGAAAAATTGCTCGGGTTTCCCCTCCCCTTGCTCTAGGTCAGCTAGCGCCGCCGATCACCGAAGTCGAGAAAACTTGAGATCGATTTGCCAATACGTAAAGAATTTCCTGATTGCTTACACTAGGTTCAAGTAATTCGTCACCAAAAAGTTGCCACTACGAGAGGATGCGGAATGTGAGACTGTCGGACTCGGACCGGTGGCCGCCGCAGACGGGGGACATTCGTGCACCAGGCATGGATGGCTACATGCTACCATGCTACTACCCTACCTCTACTGATGGTGAGGCATTTGGTTGCTAGCGTTGCCTCCTCCAAATTGAATGTAACCAGTCATACTCAGCTACTAGTTCAATGACTACCTGGTGCTACTAGTAGTAGTTCGCTCAAAAGCCGAAAGGACGACTGATTTACTCCTTTAGATACGCACCTACCACCTACAGATCCTAATATTTTCCCTTCCTACAGGCCTTCCTCGTCTACAGCTTCCTCGATATACAAGAGACCAGGTCAATGGACATTGTTGTGCCTATCGGTCATGACACAGCAGTCTCCCACATCCGTTTTGCCAATGGCTGCTAAGGGAATCGGTAGATTTCGTAGGTGGTTCTCAAACGGATATTGCCTGAGGTACTTTAGGTACCTAGGTAACCGTCGTGCTCGCGGCGGGCTTCAAGCTCTCTTTCCGCACCTGATAGTCGCTATGCTAGATGTGGCCTAACCTGGTTCTAAAGGAAGGGCATTATCTAAGACTGATGGGCGATCTGTTGCTACACCTCATTGTACTCGGTTGCACGGATGGGCCTCCGCACACCGATGGCTTGGATATATACATATGCTATATTATGTCCTTTCTACCTTTCCCATGGAACCGATTGTCACATTGCCTACTCAACGCTGTTTGACTGACCAGCCTCTAAACTTGTGCGTAGTGCTAATAGAAGATCCGTACTCGCTGACGCATTACACCATGAGTGAGATGTGCGTTTTCATCCCTTAGCATCTCGGTCTTCTTTCACGCCCCGTGACGGCCACTGCACCTGGGATAACGCAGTTTCCGATCCTATTTCGTTATCGCAGTCTTTGATCTTGTAATCCTTAACATCGCGTTAGGATCATCCCTTGTATATGGTTCGTGACAGAGTGATGGCACTTGCAGCTGGATAAGTCTGCATGAAGCAGAATGCAGTTGAGTCAGTAGGTCAAGGTGACCTATGCCTGTTGTTCATCCCGGTTTTAGCCTCGATCTGGGAATTGCAACGGGCCGTCCCGATCCTCTCGGTAGCAAAAGTCAACCCTTTATTAAACCTGGAGCCTTCGCAGGGCTGTGCGGGACCCGTCGTCCAACGACACATGAGATTGCAGAGGCCGTATGCGGGTCAGTGTACTGCAAGCTTCGGTTCTGCACTCGCATATGCAATACGTCTGTGGAAGCTGGTTCGCTAGTGGAGAACGCCATCGAGGAAAGGACCCCGAAAGCCCATCATCGACGAAGGAACTGGTGCCCCCGCCGTCAGAGGCACAGCAAGCACCGGCCTTTGAGGCCACCCTCGATCTTCTCAATCTCTGTTGTATCAACGACAAGGAATAACGGCCTATGACGGGACGCCGACGTGGAAGGCAAACGTCCTAGCCCTTCCCTTGATCCATTCCATGGTCCAAGGCGGGTGCTGGTTGGAGGAGCGATATTCCTGCGTCGGACGTGGACGAGAACAAGCTAATGTGTTGTCCGAACTGAACACGAGCCAAGGAATGGAGCGGAGAGCACGAGAAATCAGGATTCAAGGTTTATTAGACTTGACCGCTCCTCAGACTTGGTGCAGCTGTTGAAAGCCGGGGAGATGGAATGAAATACTGTGCGATATTTTAGGCTTCATGAATAGTACTATGGATAGTCTATACGCGTCGTCGGTCTTTAGATGTGAAAACTAGGGGATCTTAGTGAAGGAGCGGGACGCGAGCCCTGTCTACCTATTTTGTTGATTAGCTCGAGGAGCTTTGTTGCTCGGGACGAGGGGGTGGCGGTACGCCGGGCAGATCCCACGAAGAGTTCTCGAGGTGGACTGAGAAAGACGTCAGTACCTTCGGCCTCGGGCTTTTGTAACTGCCGACGGTCTTGGATAACTGAAGTGGGGTGTGATTTAACGTAGGTGAGGAAAGGGAAGCGCTTATGCCTATAAACGCATAGAACACTAGTACAAGCTATACAGCCAACAACGGTGGACTATCACACCACCACACATCAGTGACATCACCAAGTTAACCTCCACTGCCACAGCCCCCACCCACATACAGCAGCTTCCCGTATCGCACCAGATTATAGCGCCATTTATTGGTTTAATTCCTTCCGTCTGTGCTATTGTATATATAATATACCTTAATTATAACTGAATCTACGGTACCCGTAGACAATGCCAGTGTACGTCAGTCTTGTAGATGTCGCCCCATTCCTGTCGGCTGGAGAAGTGTGAAATACAGGAAGCTTATCCCTGCCAGTCTCCGTAATAATGCGGTCATAGTGAGAGTGCTCTCAACCGGAGCGTCGGACTCGGGGGTTCAGAAGCGCGGCGTACAGAAAGTTAGCGTGCAGTCCACGTCTCCACGATCGGCGATCGAGCCTCGAGGAGTCGAGACGGCCCCGAGTGCCGCTCCTCCCGTAGTGCCGCTCAAGAAAATCCACCGCGTGACGCGGGAGACGTGCAGTACTGTAGCATGTAGGAGTGGACGAGTGGTATATAAGCCCGTGGTTAGTTAGATCCAAGTTCCAACCCGCCTTTCGATTTAAGCGGCGCTAGCTGCTCGTGCTCATATTACGGACTACTTGCTCTACATTGCTGTACAGTGTACAATACGCCATCTTTGCTCTCATATTTACTAACTCGCCTTCAGCATGGCTAACGACCCTCACAACCTGGCCAGGACGGTCCAGCTGTCTCCTGGTGCCACCCAGGGTTATACGCATGCCGGGACCCAGACAGAAGAGAGTGCACAAAAGGCATCTGAGCTGCTCACACTCAACCATGCCCGGTATCACGTACGATGGAGCCACACTTTCCACAGTAGGTGGGAAACCAGGCCGGCTGGGTGTGACTGGGTCCAAACATGGGCACTTATGGCTAACTAGTAGTAATAATAACTCCCGCCCACGTCCAGACCACATCGCTCACCACCTCCTCACCATCTGGGCCCTAGGGGCGTCGCCCGAAGTGATCCAAGCCATGTTCGACTACAACACGCCCTACCAGGACCCCAGTGAGCGGCCCCATACGGCTGTGTCCACGTACCGAGACCTGCAAGACCCAGCGGTCTTTGGGAGGTGTCTCGGAGAACACGACTGCTACGTCGACTTCCTGAGATTCTTCGAAGACGAGGTCGCCGAGAAGGGCGTGCCCGCCGTCATCAACGAGTACCTCCTCAAGGGCGACGAGCGGGCCGACGATCTCTTTGGCCGCATGCACGCAGACCTCATGCATCCCATCATCCACCTCGGCTGCGGTCTGGAGTTTTCGCAGCCGAGCATCGTGGCCGAAGCGCTGGCGCAGGGCTGCATCCACCCCAACTGGCCCAAGACCTTCCTGCGGGCCACCGAGGAGCACATCCGGTCCAACCGCGACCCGGACCCAGACAGGGACGGGGACATGCCAGCACCCTCCACGCCCATCCTCGAGATCCTTGACAGCATGCGCCGCGACCGGGCCATCGCCGACGCGGTGCGCGACGCGGACGGGCTCAACAAGATCCCCGACGGCCTGCTGAAGCGTGTTCCGGCGGACTACCTCGCGCGGCACCACCTGGGCCGGTTCCGCGTGGCGCCCGCGCCCGCAGAGCTGCGCCGGAAGACGGCCGAGATGGTGTACACGAGCGCCTACGTGCTGGGCGCGGCGCAGCGGCCCGGCAAGCGCGAGAAGCTGGACTTTGTGGCGCTGCACTGCGTCACGCTGGCCGTCTTCTACCCGGCCATGCTCCATGAGCTGGCCTGGCTGACGGACGCGCAGAAGGCGCGCCTGCTCGAGGCGAAGGTGCGCGTCGACGCCGTCGTGTACGCCGGGTGCGGCTGCCCGGCGCTGTACCCGGAGCGCATCACCGAGTACGTGCCGCGGCGGCCGGCCGACGGATGGCCGGAGCTCGTGCGGCGCGCGGTCGTCTACCGCGACGAGGGCCACGCGGCGAAGTTGATCAGGGCGCTCCTGTGTCTGGAGCAGCTGGCCGAGCCCGTGCCTGACGGGTTTCCCATTGCGAAGCGGGATTTCATCAAGATTGCGCACATGGCCATGGACTCGATCGAGGCGGCGCTCGAGCCGGGCGGGAGCACCATGCCGGAAGAGGCGGCGCGGGCCATGACGGAGAGCGTGGGCCGCGGCGGCGAGATGATCGCGAAGAATATGAAGAGATGGGTGTACTATAACGGTCTTGAAAGTGCCTGGCAGTATGTTCCGGCGAAGGGAGAGCCACGCGCCTGAGGGGGGGAAAGTGAAAATCTTGCCTTTCGCACAACTGCAACTGATGACTCAGCAAGCACGGGCCAGCTCCTTGCCCAAAGTTTTTGCCGGCCGAGAACCCGTTCGCGTTCCCGGAGTGGGGCCGGCTCTGTAACGACTATAAATAGCGCCGGCGTAGTCTCAAGGTGCTCAGACCAGCTGTGGCGCGGTGATGTACCGCAGGGACCCACTACCATGCTCAGGCAATTTGTAACGACACACTTACGAGTCATAGTCGAGAGAGGTCCTAGCAATTAAGAACGGTAGGTGGTTCGCAACAGTAGGTATTTGCATTGTTTAACCACTAAAGCTTGAGGAGGAAGTTCTCCTCCCATATAGGGCGTTTCGCCCTAGTATTTATATAACATCGAGTATCTCTCGCCACTATACTGCTACGCTCTATAGGGTTGTTCCTAATCCCTAAACTCCATAGTGTCAACGGTAACAGTGCCTCAGAGACTACGCAGAACCACATACAACTTAGCACCCATCATACTTGCCGGTCACTAGCTGCCCACGGTCGCCTCGTCTGGACAACTGTATTCTTTTTCTTCCCTCACCCCGATAATCAATGGCGGCCACTGCAGTTGAGGATGCTCGCATAGCCGAGGCCATGGAATATTATCTCCTAAACATGGCGGGCACGGTGCCGCAGAATACGGTCAAAACCTACAAGCCCAAACAGCGAGAGTGGAAGGTTTGGCAGCCCCCTCCTCGTACGACTTCCAAACCACGTGCTGACGCCATCATAAGAATGCTGCTCCAAGAATTGGGACCCAATCCCTGAGGATTGGGCCGTCAGGCAGCCAACCTGGCCGCTAGGGCGACCGCTCCCCGGCGATCTCGTTGACGAAGGCAAGCTGCTCCTTCTTATAAAGGCGGAAGTCGTAAGCCGACTCTTCCGGAAAGGGTCTCGCCTTGAGAAGCAGAGGAAACGCCGTCTAGACGCGGCTGCGGCCGTAGGACAAGCTGCCGCCGTTTGGCGGCGGCGGCGTGATGAGAGTAACGCGCTTCAGCCCGGCTAGTTAACCCGCCCTGTGCTCCCCCGCTGAACCCTTTGAGCAGATGAGACCATCGATGTCGCCACTACGCGGCGCCGCCCGCAGCGGTAGCGACCAAGTTCGAGGAGGAGGAGGACGAGCCCCTGATCGCCGCCCCGGCTCTTGAGCTCGCCTACAACTCTGTACGTAGCTACATCGCGGCCATTCAGAGGCTGTACGACGAGCAGCAGAGTCGGCACATCAACCCGGCGCCTCGGCCCCAAGGGATAGCCCTCAAGGCGTTCTATTTCTTTTGGCGTTGGCAAGTCAAGCGGGCGGAGCCGTTTCCCACCTTCCAGCACAGTGAGGACTGGTACGATATCAAGGTATTGCGCCGGTCGGCAAAGGAAGCGACGAGGGAGCTCTCGACGCAGACTGCAAATTCGTGGACGTCGAGGTTGTATGCCGCCTCTGGAATTAGAACTTCTAGGATCTCGCATGCTCCTCGTGTTGCGGCGGCACGAAACGCCGATATTGATGGGGTGCCGGAAGGGCAAGTAAGCCAAGAGCTTTCGATTTTGCATACTGTCTCCATCTTGATATAGATTATATCTGGGTCCGTGCCGACTGGCCAACTCCTCTATGGAGATGCTTATACGGACTAGATACGGCGCGCGGGTAGATGGAATAACGGCGACCAGATGACGGGGTGTTACCTTACATCTCTGCCTTTCGAGTTCATGAGGTCTACAGCCGACTTCGACTCTGACTGGTCTGGGTCGTACTTTCTACCCGGGGACACCGTTAAACCGCCATTCGCACTTCGTACGCGTATATGGCTTTCTCTCGATGAGTGGAAATATATCCGCGATACAGGATCATCGTCTGTAGAAACGAACAAAGCCGCAGGTGCATTTCTCGAGCTCCTGGTCTGGTTTCGGGATGTGTTGTTGCAGGACGCCGTCTTCCTTTAGAAACTGTACCCCCGGCATCCTGTGTTTCAGGACCCAGTCTTCGAGAGTCCCCAGTTCGAAGCGTTTGCGCTGCAAGTCGAGAACGCATGCCATGCGGCCGAGGAAGGCAGTTATATGGCCACTGTTGATCGAGCTACCCCGCCGTTGCCGAGAAACCGCGTGCCCTATCGAGCCAACAAACTGCCGCGAACCTATGGATCGAAAGGGCGTTTGTTGAGCTTACACAGCAGGCTCAGAGGCTGGAAAAGAGGATGCACGAGCTCTCTAGAGCGTCGTACACTATCAAGAACGGGGATCTTGAGCGCAGATGGCCGCCGGAGGGATGAAAGGGGGTGGTTGCGGCTGTTCTTTTCTTTTAGCCAGTGTTTTAGTTATGTACAAGATATAGTAACCACAGTACCCCTGAGATGGAGAACTATCGTGAAATACGAAGCCCTAAAATCGGTGAGTTAAGCCTAACAGATTAGTGGATTAGGCGCCAAACTTTAGGGTGCCCGACCGGCCGGTTCCAGGGGGTCGAAATGACCCCCGGAATTGAAACTCGCACATCTCGACAAACCAAAGCGAAAGCATTACTTCTGGAGGGCATCTATCAACGCTTTTTCGAAAGATTTTCACCGCGTGATTGCCGGACATTACGGGAGAGTTGTCAAAATTACCCCTCTGAAAGTGATATCTAAGGGCTTGGCGGTTTTCTGCGAGGTTTCCCAAAGACGCGCCATACGTTCAGACCTGAGATATCACATCGTTATCCTAGATATTGTTCTTCTCTTTGTAAGACGACGCTAGCTTCCAAGCTTCTCCATCATGTCCTTCAGCCTCTTGGCCGACCTAGCGATAGCAGCATTTTCGTCCGTTTCAAGCGGTATTTTGATCGTCCTCATGATGCCCTGCCTCCCAATGACCACAGGCAAGCTGAAACAGCAGCCGAACTCGGGCTGGAAGTGGCTGATGGGCTGGATATCCCGCCGGTCGAAACTGACCGAAGCACAGATGCTTGCCACGACAGAGCCGACCCCAAACGGTGTAGCCCCTTTAGCGTAGAAGATGCTCTCTGCTCTCTCCTTGCACTCTGCTGCCAGTTGGTCTTGTCCGAAGCCGTCGGGCGGGACCACCTTGTGGAGCGGGATGCCGTTGATGGTTGCCGACGACCATGCGACAACCTGGGAATTGCCATGCACGCCCAACACAGAAAGTTGGATTGAATTGACAGCTATCTAGGTAAATACGACGATTATTAGCACAGATACTGTAAATTGACGTTGGTTGGGGCAATGGGTACTGGTAGTAGCACGTACTCCGGTTTTGTCTGCCAGCAGACCACGAAGCCGCACCGACTCGAGGAACGTTCCCGAGCCAAAGATCTGGGACTTGGGTAGCCCGCTAAGTCCTTGGGCAATCGAAGTGAGGAGGTCGACCGGGTTGGACACGACAAGGACGATTGCGTCAGATCGGAACGGCGTCATAGCCTTCACCACGTTCCGGATCACCGAGACGTTGCGATGCATATGCTGGATGCTGGTCTCGCCTATAAATAGTATTAGTTAACGCCAAGGAGAGGTAAGCAATAGCAAAAGGCCAAGGCCTCGGCCTCTCTCTCCCCTTCTGTATCCTTGCTTACCCAAGCTGTACTTGGACCCTGCAGTGATCACCACGATGTCGCATTGGCCTGCCTCATGGTGCGTGGCCGCACGCACACGCACGCCGCCGCCAGCGGCATAGGCAACATCAGAAAGATCGCGGATCTGAGCGTCCCGCAAGTCCACCTTGACATCAACCAGGAGGAGCTCGCACGCGGCGGACTTGAGGATAAGTGCATACGCAACGGCGCCGCCCACCTGGCCGGCGCCGACAATCGCGATCCGCAAGGTTGACTTGGTGTCTTGGGGAGCCATTTTTATGCATTAACCCTCGGCTGAATCTCCGTGATGCTAGGGAGATGGTGACGAGTACAGGATCATAATATGGATTCAAGAGTTGGCACTGGGTGAACAAATATACAGGTGTGCTGGTGCAGCGTGACGTAAGGTGACGTCGCCGGTTCTTCAAACTCTCATTTGTCAAACATGTCATAATGAGGTCAGTATCGTCCTCGCCATCACCCGACGACAGAGAACATGCTAGCCTAGGGATGCACGCACGTGCCATGCTCAAAAATGTGTCCTGAAGTTGGCCAGTGGAAGTATGATAGGCGTGTGTTGCGTGCTATCATACCCCATGATTCCTCGAACTAGTTTGGCACGCCCATCCGCGAGCTCTAGGATTTGAAGGCTCTGAGCGAGCACACCAAAACGGGCCGATGTTACGCGTTGCGGACGATGGGAGCCAAATGCAATATGCAGAAATATGAGTGTAGAAAAAGATGATTGATTCCAATGGAACGGTGGTTGGAAAGCCAACAGCCACGAATTTATCATACCGCAGTAATTGGGCACCAAAAGATGGGCGAAAACTCAATTTATGATGATGTCTGTGTCTGACTTGTTCAAAAACAGTTCCAGGCACTTCCCTGATCCTGAGAATCACTAGTTACCCCGGAAGGGCCCTTCCTGGCCACCTGCCAAATCCAACATGTAACTGCATGTATGGCCAAAGCTTCCATGCGGCCAAGATTGCCTGGCTTAGCAGGAAGGACACAGGCAAGGCCTATGGCTCGATGGTTGTTGTTGGAATTACCAATAGCCACGACACCACGATTGAACTGGAATCGAGAGCTTCTGAATGGGGTTATCACGTATGCCGAGTGGTCTAGTCTCAGGTGCTCAGACCAGCTATGGCACGGTGATGTACTGCAGGGACCTACTACCATGCTTAGGTAATTCCATCCAATCAGAATCCCCGTACAACACCAGCGCCAGCTGGTCTAAGCTAGAGGGAACTTTTTCGCGGCTTCTGTCACTAAGAAAGACCTATCTACTATGCTCAATTCTACTACTACTAATACTATACGTATATATAAAAGGTAGATATAATTCGAATTAGAAGACCTAGTGTTATGAACTAACTATATAGGGCGGCCAGCTAGGGTGTAGCCCTAAGACCCCTGGCTAATAACTACCTAGTAACGGTAGGTGTGACAAAACTAGGCAGTCTTGCCTCCGAAAGGGTTTGCTGGTCGAAGGTAGTGTGGTCGGGCTATAGATCTCGGTAAAGTCAAAAGGTTCACAATAATGCAAGTCGCAATGTCTGCACAGTAGTGTCATGAACTAACCTGCAGAGGCCGGTGGGGGCCGACCTGCATGGCCAGCGGGTGAGCCCGCGACCAATCATTACAAACCAGGAAGGACCAATGAGGATTGGGAAGATTGGGAACAATGCCAAGGACGATTGTTCCCTAGGAACAACGCCAAGAAACGTTATTCCAGATAGAACAATGAGAACAACAGTTGTTCCAAATGTTCCAGCGATCTAGGTACGGGGATACCTAGGGGATGAAGCTGTATATAGTCCTACCATTCTGTCACTCATGCAGATAGCTAGCTTCCTCAGTGAGCAATTCAAGCAGTAGCCTTCACCTACTGTGCAGACATTGCGACTTGCATTGTTGTGAACCTTTTGGCTTTACCGAGACCTACAGTCCGACCAGCAGATACCTTCGACCGGCGAACCCTTTCAGAGGCAGGACTGCCTGTGGTTTCGTCACAAACCTAGAGTGCTGGGTGTCTGGGGCGCCATAATGGTGGGTAGTATCTTCGATCCGAACCGTGGTAGAGTCAAAGGGAGTGAGCAACGTATGACGAAACCATAGACAGTCTTGCCTCTGAAAGGGTTCGCCGAAGGTACTACTGGTCGGACTGTAGATCTCGGTAAAGCTAAAAGGTTCGTAACAATATAAGCTGCAATGTCTGCACAGTAGGTAAGGCTACTGATTGTTATTGCTAACTGAGGATGCTAGCTATCTGCATGAGTGACAGAATGGTAGACTATATACAGCTTCCTCCCCTAGGTATCCGTGTACCTGGTTCTGCTGGATCGATGATATCGAACATCGATCCCATATCCCCGCTCTGGCTCGACGGGATCGAACCTCGATCTCCTCGACCCTTTTCCGATTGGTCCATCTGGAACCATAATGATTGGACGCGGTCACCGCCCGCGGGCCATGCAGGTCGGCCCCACCGGCCCCTGCAGGTTAATTCATGACAGTAGAGCACTCATCCTGAGTGGTCTGAAATTGCTCGTCAGGTACTACTAGTATATCGAGTTATAGGTTGACACTTACACAACAGAAGTGTTGTCGGAGTATCGGCATACAACCGCAGTTAAAGGGATGAGTTGTATCGCAGGGAGTACGTGGTGGAAACAACTATGTTTGAGTGTGTAAGCAGACGCCGTGAAAGGGAGACATATGAAAGCTATAAGTTGCCCTGACCACACAGTCGCATGCGCCTCTCCAAGCAGTGAGGCTGGCAACGAGGAAGGTAATTATATGAATGTGCATAATGTCTGGCAGCGGTTGGATTGTTCGTATGTTGCTCCTATAGTAGCAATGGGTGAGAGACGTTTGAAGGGATAAGAGGGGCTCGCTAGCCATAATGCCCGGTTTTATATAATATTTCAACTGGTTCTGATGTAATGGTCAGGATAGCACCTGCGGATGGCACCTTAGGATAGCACCTTCGGATAGCACCCTCGGTCAGCATCTGCGGCTCCCCGAATAGCGCCCAGAAGTATCCTCGGACAGTACCCTCGGCATCTCTACCAGACAGCTTTCCGAATGTTGACTCTTGCACCTGTGCCCCCATCGCGGATCTTGCGTCATGTTGGAATCAGATCGATCATTTTCGTCATATTGACGTCACTCTAAGAGCATCATATCAACCTTCTATATTCTATGGATCCGGTTGCATGTACCGGGCACCGTGCGGCTGCACTAAAGGTGGGCTGGAGGAAACATCGGCGGCAAAGGTCATGCTCGTCTTGGACAAGAAACACCGTTGTTTTGCTGATTACTGACGGGCTCCATCGACCTATATCTACGTCAGCAAGATCGAGGGCCTCCGCGACGACTGCGTGGCCTGATGCCGCGTTTCCTGCGGGTGGAGTTGAGCTCGGTTGCCGGATGCCTTGGGCCCTGTCTTCTCTTCACCTTCCGAATTTATGTCCGTCAAGGTCTAGACTCTGTCCAGGAGGTGCTACCCGACACGAGCACTTCAGCACCTAGTCTGTATGGCCTTATGCCAAAGGACCAGCTCGTCAGGCTGTGCAGGCACTATGGTCTCAAACTCTCTGGGAACAAGGCAAGCTTGATTGAGCGGCTCGGGAGGTACAAGACGGCCCCCGGTTGGCACTAGGCCTAATCGGCTTAGCTTTTTCCGAACTTCACGAGATTGTACCGTAGTTAGCACCTCCAAGGTACCTAGCCATCTTTTGGAGTCAGCACCTCCGGATAACGTTTTCGGATAACACCCTCCGGGCGTCGAGACGATGAGGTGCGAGACAATGGCGTTGGACCCGACTTACAACGCAAAGGAGGTGAGCCAGGTCCAATACGGCGAGTAGCGCGATGGATGACCAAGCAGCCCCCTCGTCGCGAAGTGGACGAGCGGGCGGCAGCCGAGAAGCAGAGCAAGAACCAGGGAAATCGCGTTGGTGATGCCAAAGAGCTGGAGGTTGTCGATCCGGATAGGGCACAGGCCAGCCGTGACGTTGCGAGGAGCGATGATCCACTCGATGGGGATCGGGGGGAGAACGACGGTGCCGTTGTCCGTCGTTCTGTATGGCCTCGTGTTGACACCACGTACCAGCTGAATTCCGGCTTGGTGCTGGCCTGACCCGCTGGCGCCTTCGGCGTCCTGGAGAACGGGTCGACACTCGCCGGTCCGGGCCGCCACTCCCAGACGATAGTCTCGTAGCGTGGATCAATGAACATTTGCTGATGGATCTTGATGGGTGGGTGTTGACGACGGACGAAGTGAAGTCGCTCAGATGGGATTTATGGCTTCCTCCCGCACTTTCTTATGAGATACAGAGGTGGACAAATGTGGCTGCTCCTGAGGGCGGTGTGATTCTGTTGGGTGGAACGGGCTGCGTGAAACTGGCATCTCCAGCCGCCGGGAGAGGGCCGCAGGATGAGGGGTTTGGCATTTCTGGATTTCAGGGTCTCTGGCGCTCCCACATCTACAGGCAGTTTGAAACCACAGAGTTCCAACAACACACACAAGAACACATCACCGAACGACCCCCTTCCAGTGCTCTTGCTCTGAGCAACTACCATCTGAAGCTCGTTGCCCATTGCCCAGAAAGCGGTATCTCCCAAAAGCTCCTGAGGGCCGTGTGATTCCAATTTAAGCAACCCCCTCAGCGCGATTGGGCTGAGCACAACGGGCCTGCTGCTGCATTGGCAGCCTTCTTCCCGCATCCAGTACCTAGGTATGGACTACGTACCTACTATAGGCTACGTACATATGTACATCATCACTGCTCCTTGTTGCGAATGGGTGTGAACCCACCTTACTGCTTATGTCATCTGTACGCCCGTCTCTAATTATAGAGGCACTGAGGGAGCAGCCCCTTTCCGACCTCCGTTATTAAAGTGCTTACTTGGGCCTCACGATTGACAGGTCCCATGAGTCTGCTTTGAAAGCTCTGCTCGCCAGGCGCGGGATAGATGAAGTGCGAAAACCCACCCGTCGGCCAGCAACTCTGTAGAACCTGCTTATTTACTAGTAGTACATTATTTCTACTCTGCCCCGCTAGTTACTTAGTACTCTCCTCCCCGAGGCTCACTTGCCAATCCGACTACACCAAACATTCTCCTCCGCCACGATATCCAACACCTGCAGCTACCTCGCTGTGTGGTCAAACAACTCCAGATTCATGGCTCCTGGCTGGTGTCTCGATATTCCCTGTTGCAGTCAAAGGGTTTCTCGAACATCAGCCCGCCGAACGTCTTCGCCCTGAAGGCCACGTAGGGAGGGACCAGCAGCGAACTACTAGTACCACTGGTGCAGAGATATCGCAAACAAACTTGTCGAGGGCGGTTGCACTGTGATCTGTGAACCGTGATTGCATACTAGTAGCTGACCAACAGAGGAAAGATGCTCGCTGTAGCAGGAGATGGCGCCGACCATGAAGTTCTGCCGTGGGGCGTACGCGGCAAATGGGGACCACCAGCTTCTATCCTTTGCTGCCGAGTTCCTCTCCCCACGGCATTGTGAAAAGGTTGGCAACCGCTGTAGCCGCTGATGGCCCACCACAACAACCCCAGGCGGGTCTTGCAGTAAAAGCCAAGTACGTCAGCGCCCTCTTCCTAGTATGTGTCACCGGACTGTGCCTTTGTGTGCCGTTGATCAAGCCGTCCGGACGTTGGCCCACTGGTTCCGCGTCATCATCGCTCTGCAACCAACATACAAGCGCAAGCGCTTGGTCAGGTTTCTGGGGCCGAAGATTCAAACCTCCTCCGCAATGAGACCCCTTGCGCTTTGCCGTGCCCTGAATAAATTCTGTGTCGCCAGGTAAAGGGACTCAATTCGCTTGGGAAAGATCAATGACATTCCGGCTGTAAAGTAACATGACTATGAACATTACGTATGTCGTTATAAGCGTTTCGTGGCGTTGGGGGGTATCAAGACTTGCGGCGTTGAGCCGGCGCTCGTCCATCGTGTCGAGAGTGACGGACGTGGAACGAGTCTTTTCGCGGCGGATGAAGGCCCGGAGTACGGGAATGGAGGCAGCGATGATAGTTATCGAGCCTTCTGCATCTCCCCAGATGGTGACGGTCACGGTGTCCGCGGTTGGTCCGTTAGATGAGCTACCACTGTCTCTTCGACGGTACCTTGGCTGCTGATGGAGTTGATATTCTAGGGGTCTCCCGTGAGCTTGGGTAGCATCGCCATCTTGACAAAAAATGCAACGCCAGCACTGCAATGGTCTATTAGCTGGTTATCTTTAGACGCAGGATTGGTGAGGGTCCGTACACTATGCCCATGCTTATAGCAACTGCAACGCCGAGTCGTTCTCTCGTACTAAGTGTTTTGTGCATGTGGAAGAGAATCCTTCAGGGGAGGAGCGCGAGGATTACATCGGACGAGCCGGACCAGCCTTGGCGGAGTTGAATCAGTCCTGATGACTTCTTAAGAGATCGACGGAGAGATAGTAATTACCAGCCGACCATTGTTGATACAGCACCACGATTTTATAGGGGCCAATACACCAGCCCTCGATGCTGTCATCCCAGATCTTGGCAAAGGGCCGGCACTTGATCCACATCAACAACATGGCGGTGCCCTTGATGGCGTTCATAGTGATGATATATAGCGTCCGGGAAGCAACGACTCATCATCGACGCGCTGGCCGACCTGCACGACGCGATCTGGAGGAAGAGACAATAGTTCAATATGTCATTGAGCTGCCTGAACGTGCATTTTCATCTAGGCTGAGTGGTGTGGAAGATATGGCCAACCTTCAACTACGCGAGCGCGACGCACCTCCTGTTGGCAAACGCTACGCCCACAACTTCGTCAAACGCCAGTCACGGCTCCGTACGGGATATTCACGTAGATACAACTACCAGAGGGCCAAGTGCGAGGATCCAAAGGCCATTGCCGGGTGGTTCGTGCTTGCACGGAACACTGAGGCGAAGTACGGCGTTGTGGATGACGATGTCTATAACTTCGACGAGACGGGGTTTATAGCGGGCACCATCTCCGCGGGTACGGCGGTTACAATCTCGGACGGTCTTAGTAGCGTGAAGCTCGCATTGCGAACCATCAAATAGTTCCTTGACGTCAATCCTGACTGCTGTGGGCCAGCTTACCAAGGGTACGATGGCTGCAATGCATTTCGGTCAGAGGTCTCTGCGTTCCGCAAGGCCAACGAGGCACTAAGCAAGCACCGGGGAGCTCAAAAAGCACGCGTGAGGCCTGGAGAATCACTTATGTACAAGATGCACAGGATCTACTGGATCAGAAATCATGAGTACGACGTTGCTGAGAGGATCGAAGACGGCATCGGCCATGGTGGTGATCAGTGAAAGCGATCCAGATGTAACAGCTGCAAATAGCTGCACGCCAGATAGGACTATGTTTGCTACCAGGGAGCCGTACACGGCTATTTGAAAACGTAGCGCCTCTGCGGCAGCCTCGGTTCGCGCGCGGGCTTGGTGCTCGTCAACGGTCTGAAGCAGCCTCTAGATTGTCGCGTTCTGGTCTTCATAAAAATGACGGACGTTACGTGCCTGCCAGCGAGCAGCCGAATGCGACTTGATAAAACATAGCAAGCACCAGATGATCCCCCAACCCCTGACAGATCCGGAGACGATTGTACCTCGGCAGCGACTTGGGATCGTTGGGCGGCAGCAGACTCCCGGCAAGCGGAAAGCAGACCGAAAGGGTCGCTGTGTTTGTGTGCGGCCCGAAAGCTCGGCAAGGTAATGTCTTGAGCCACGCTCGGCTGCCTTTTCGGTTCCCCTAACACCGGCAGAAGATGATGGCCCCACCAGTGCGGGCGGAAGGTAATGCTTCGAAGTAAGTGATTCTCCATCGTGGTCTAAAATGACGTTTTTTCAGACTGTTAACGTTAATGGGAAACGTTGTTTAGCTACAGTACATATCAGTCCGTGGGTTTTTATGGAAATCGGAAGTTTCCTTACACTTGGCAGCCGTCAAAGTGTTGGAAATCCTACAGCCACAATTCCACAGTTACAGGATTGAAGGCTCTTACGGAGGCGGTTCTGCAGCTCGTGGAGGCAGCAGAGTGTTTTGGGAGCAGGGCAATACTATTGATTGTTCTTGCGGTGCTCAGATTGTCATTTACGCTCATGTTCAAACACGACACCGGGTCTTCTCAACCTGATAAGTTACCCTTTCCTCCTTTCCTCTGTATGTAAACAGCGATGGCAATGTGTGATTGCAGGACATTCATCGCAAAGAGGCACTCATCTTCTGGAAAGGTAACTGCACGGTGTGCATTTATGGCGCGCTAATAGATAAAATCAATCATGTCCGTGGTCCTCACTGTGCACAACAGTAGTTTTACAGTTCATGCCAAAGGGTGGTTGGCCAACCTCGTGCACAAGGACGTGCTAATGCACCATATTTAAACAGCCGTAACTTGATCCCCGCCTCCTCAAGCTAAGGTTGATGTCGCACTTTGTAACTGTGGATTTGAGGAGCATTGAATGAAAAGCAAGAGAGCACTCTGTACTACCTTATATGCAACGCTAGGCCAAGCCTAAGACAGATACACTGAAAATTATGCCCCCTCGCTATCGGCCACGTGCTGCTTCACTGCAAGAAAGCTGTCGGGGCTGACAGAAATAGAATTGATACCGGCCTCGACCAGGAACTTCGCGAAGGCCGGATGGTCGCTTGGCGCTTGTCCGCAGATGCCAATTTTGCGGCCCGCCTTGCGGGCCGCCGAGGTGACCCGTGCAATCATCCACTTAACCGCTTCGTCCTGCTCGTTGAACAAATCGGCCAGCTCACCAGAGTCGCGGTCGACGCCAAGGGTCAGCTGCGTCAGATCGTTGGAGCCGATAGAGAAACCGTCAAAGTGCTCGGCGAACTCGGCCGCCAGAATGACATTGGACGGGATCTCGCACATGACGTACACTTTAAGGCCGTTGTCGCCACGCCTAAGTCCGTTCTCAGCCATAACTTCCAGCACCTTCTTCGCCTCGCCGACAGTCCGGCAGAAAGGTATCATCACGATGGCATTGGTGAAGCCCATCACTTCGCGTAGATGCTTGATAGCGCGGCACTCGAGCGCGAAACCCTCCTTGTAGTGCGGCGAGTAGTAGCGCGACGCGCCGCGGAAGCCGAGCATCGGATTATCCTCCTTTGGCTCGAACTCAGCGCCGCCGATGAGGCCGGCGTATTCATTCGTTTTGAAGTCGCTCATGCGGATGATGGCCGGCTTGGGATGGACAGTGGCGCAAAGGGCTGCGAAACCGTGCGACAGCTTGTCGACGAAGTAATCTGGCTTGTGGTCGTATCCGACCGTTAGTCGGACGATCTCCTCCTTGGCCTTTGCATCCTTCAGCCGGTCAAAGTGGACAAGCGCCATGGGGTGAACCTGAATAGCGTTCGTGACGACAAACTCCATGCGGGCAAGGCCGATCCCGTCAGCTGGAAGTCTCCACCAGCGATAGGCCGCCGCAGGATTAGCAAGATTGAGCATGATGTTCGTCCGCACCGCCCGCAGCCCGGTCGGATCCATTGTCTTGGTAGTAATGTCGGAGATACCCTCGTATACGAAGCCGATGTCGCTCTCGGCGCAGGAGACGGTAACATCCTGGCCCGTGTGCAGCACGTAGGTGGCATGAGTGGTACCTACGACGGCCGGGAGGCCCAATTCGCGGCTGACGATCGCGGCGTGAGATGTACGCCCGCCATGGTCGGTGACTATGGCCGCAGCCCGCTTCATGATAGGCACCCAATCCGGGTCAGTGGCGCCCGTCACCAAAACCGAGCCGTCGATAAACTTGTCGATATCTTTGGCGGCTTCGATGAGGCAGACGCGGCCTGAGACAGCCGCATTGCCGACCGAAACACCGGTGGCCAGAACACGGCCCTTCTTGCCGACGTCGTAGGTTTTGAATATGGCAGAGTCACGGCGAGAGTGAACGGTTTCCGGCCGAGCTTGGACGATAAACAGTTCGCCCGTAATGCCGTCCTTGGCCCATTCCATGTCCATCGGGCACCCGTAGTGCTTTTCGACCGTACATGCCCAACGCCCTAGCTGGAGGATTTCGTTATCGCTAAGCACAAAAGAGGCTCTCTCTGCTTTAGAGGTAGGCACGTTGCGGGTTCGCGTTTCGTCACGGCCGTAGATCATTTTGATCGCTTTCTCGCCGCGCTTCTTCTCGATGATCGGGGCCAGGTTGGCATCTCCTAGAAGCGGTTTGAAGACTTGATATTCATCGGGGTTGACAGTTCCCTGTACGATATTCTCTCCGAGTCCCCAGGCCGCGTTGATAAGCACAACCTTACCGAAGCCACTTTCGGTGTCGATGGAAAACATGACGCCGGAGCCACTGGCATCGGAGCGAACCATACGCTGCACTCCAACCGAAAGCGCGATCTTCATGTGATCGAATCCTTTGGTTTGACGATAGCTGATGGCTCGGTCGGTGAAAAGCGAAGCATAGCAGCGCCGGCATGCATCCAGGAGTGCATCTTGGCCCGTGATGTTCAGATAAGACTCTAGCTGGCCGGCGAAACTTGCATCAGGCAGGTCCTCGGCTGTTGCACTGGAGCGAACGGCAACACTCAAGTTCTCAGTTCCTGCTTTTGCCGAAAGCTGCCGATAGGCGGTCCTGATTGCGGCTGCCGCATCTTCTGGCCAGGTACCGCGGAGGAACAGACGTCGCACCGCATGGCCGGTCTCAACAAGACTCGCTTTGCCTGATTGCCATTCCGCGACCAGCGTAGCTATCTTCTCCCGGATACCGTTCGCGTCAATGTACTGCCAATACGCGTCTGAAGTCGTTGAAAAACCAGGTGGTACGGCGATCCCCTCGGCTCCAAGGGCACCGATCATCTCGCCGATGGAGGAATTCTTGCCGCCAACTAAGGCGACATCACTGCGCGTCAGATGTTCGAAACCACGGATCAGAGCACCGGCACTGTTGACGGCGTTCATCTTGTAGACTTCCGCCATGGATGTATACACTGAAAAAAAGGAGTTATGCCGTCGGCGAACTAGTGTTATGGAGTGCAGGTGAGATTGGACGTATCGACGGGCATTCGGTGAGTCCCAAAGTCAATGACTTTCGTACAGTCGAAAAGTCCGTTCTCCAAGCAGCCAGTCTAACTTGGCGATAGAAGCCTTCGTCATGTTTGCGTCAGACCTGAATGCTATGACGGCATGTAGTATAATCAGACCGTCACTGTGACGCATTACGCCGAGCAAACCCAAACCCATCGAGATCGGGTCTGGCGCGCAATAGGCCCCGTTATGGCAGCTCCGTGCCCAGCAGTACCAGTACCACTTATGTAGTTAATTAATCATGAATCTGCCTGCGTATTAAGGTATCTCTCGTTTCGTTGGTATTTTTTTAATTTCTTCTATTTCTTTTTTCTTTTTACTTTCTTTTTATTTTTTTTTTAATAATGTTAACTAGTTAACGATGTTATGTACTTATTGCCCAGTAAGACCCGGGACTCGACACAACGAGAAACAGGCCCCGGGCCAATGCACGTTCTTGCTATCTTTATTATCGTCGAGGGGAAAATCGGAGCATCGCGCAATCCGACTAGCAACCGTCAAATTTGAGCTACTAAAGTTACTCCACTATGTATAACGTATCTTATCAGCGAGCCGATCATATCAGCGAGCCGATCATATCAGCGAGCCGATCAATTTCCACCACACCAAAACATCTATCCTCAATTACAATACACTAACACTAGGAACCAACTATAATTACATCAGAAACAGCTGAATCAGACCCTTCTGCAACCTCCTGGCACGTACGTACATTATGGCCAGGCTTGCCGCACACACCACAGCACCGAACCTTCGTACAACCCCCCCCTGTACCACCACCGTCCGGCTGCGTTTCTTATACCACCTCCCCAACCACGGCCTTCTGGTCTAGTAGATCCTTTGCATCTTGTACTACAAGTGATCCTCCAAGCTGCATGCGTGTTCTTTTAGCTCTCCGGCGCTTGCTTAGTGCCTCGTTGGCCTTATGGAGCGAAGAGACCTCTGACCGAAGGAGGGCCACCTGGTGTATTATAGCCATCGTACCCTTAGTAAGTTGATCTATAGCACCTAATATTAAAGTTGGAGAGCTGTTTTGATGGTTGGCAATGCGAGTCTTGATAAGTGTTGACTGCGATTCGGCTTCTCGGGGGTTGTATGGTGTCTGGAAGACCCAAGATTATACAGTGCTAGGTCGTGAGGTTGGAGGTGTCGGTGTACGAAGCTTTACGTCTAGCGTAGAAAGGACCCTCTCTAGATCGTATAGTACTAGGCTAGCCCCTATAAAGCCACCCTATATATTCTTCTCTGTTATGGAAGCAAAGAAGGCCTCGCGAAAGCCGTAGAGGAACTCGAGCTTGCTGATATGGTTGATATGTGCGTGTATTAAGTCCTTAATCTGGCGACCGTATGACTGTTTCAACGGCCTAAAGCAGCCAATATCAAGTGGCTGGAGCTTATAGGAGGAATACGGAGGTATGCAGAGCATAATGATATTATTCTCCTGGCAGTAGAGCTTGAATTCGGTAGAGTAGTGGCTTTCGTGGCCGTCGAGGATCAACAACCGCTTTTTGCCCTTTGTATGAGGTGCTATATAGAAGTCGAAGTGCTTGATCTAATCTAGGCCTGCCGTATTAGTAGTCCAGCCGTTATCGGTAGTTATAATACGCCAGTTTGCTAGGAGGTTGCACTCGGTATACCAGTTGGCGAGGTGGTATTACGCGGCCAAGATGATGAAGGGCGGGATAGCCCAGCCAAGTGTATTGACTCCCTGGATCACTATTGCCTATTCGCGGTTACTAGGCTGGGCTAGTTTTGCCCTACTATGGCCATCCAAGGTCGTAACTACTATGCCTAGGCAGATCATACCTATTATAAACCCGGTCTCGTCAAAGTTGTAGATATTATCATCCATACTTGGCCTTAGTGTTTCGTACGAGCGCAAACCACTCCCCAATAATCCTTGGATCCTCGTACTTAGCCCTCTGGTAATTGTATCGACGGGCATAACGCGTATAGAGCTCTGGCTGGCGTTTAACAAACCGATGTGCCCAGAGCTTGCCAACAGGGGGCGCGCCGCGTTCGCGTAGTAGATAGTTGGCCATATCTTCCACCCCACTTAGTCTAGGTGGGAATACGCGTGCAGATAGCTCAATCACATACTGAACTATCGCCTTCTCTTCTAGATTGGTGAGCTTACGCGAGTTGGCTGGAAGATCGCGTCGTGTAAGCCGGCCAGTAGATCGGTCATGGAGGGTTGTATAGGGTACGTCGTAGAGCTTAGCTGCGGCTCGGAGGCTTAGTTTTTTGTTGTTTTGACAAGCTTCAAGTGCCAGGATTACCCTGGCTTCTTTTGAAGGAGAAGGTATGTTAGGTTGTAGAGAAAATTGATGTTGGGTGTGAAAATGACGCGTTGCGGCAAAAAGTGATCGGCTCGCTGATATGATCGGCTCGCTGATAAGATACGTTATCAAGATGACGCAGTACACCTGCACGGAGGACGTTCCCTGCGCCCCGCATGTGATCTTCTGCCATGCGACCTGCCTGTAGTTCCTTTGTTGGCCTAATTCGTGACAGCGGACCATAGCAAACCCTGCCCATAATAAATCATCGTGATCAATGGGACTACAACAGACAATAAAACCTCCCTTACGGCGCCTGCTTACGCTGTGGGCGTAATCTGCGGCGGCCTCGCCGCCATAATGCTTAGTGGTTGTGCTCCTCCGATGGTAAAGCTCCCCCCAAGCTCCTAACTTGTCTTGGTCGCTATTTTAGGATTTCTCTCTTGTCCCTGGCTAATAGTCAGGGAAATAAGCTTTGCAGACTTCCAATGGCCGTGGAAGACTTGGAGACTAACATCTCCTTTCGAGTTGAGAATCTAAACCGAATATCTCCGTCTAAAACATACAAAGAATGGAGACTTGCCATACGAAACGCCGAAATCCGTCTCGTAGCTCAGCCACTTCTCTTGTCTGGTACAAGCTATCAACTACCGGAAACAAATGCAGACACTGACTTGTCGACCTAGCGCTGTTTGCCTGGAAAAATCAAGGGACAACGACAGAGTTCGTTGCTTGCCATGCGGCCATATTTTCCACTCAATCTGAGCCTTAAATGGTTCCCGAGACAGCACAACGCTTGTCCGATCTGCAGATCTAATTACATGCAAAGCATAGATACCTGCCAGTTCCCGGCAATTATCCAATGCGATGACGCTGGTCTACTGTGGGCTATAGGGGTGAGGTGATACGACTTAATCCCTCGTCAGCAGGAGGCTCCAAAGCAGAAACGGTCATTCCTTTCCTACAATGATTTTTACCTTCCACTCTTTCTGTTTGGGTGCGTACGATCGTCCCGTGTTTTCCGGCGTCTGCTGATGGGACTCGAGCAGACAGCGCTCGACTACCTCCTGCAGCCGGGCCGTATATGAAAGATCCGCGTCCATGGGCATGAAGTTCGATTGGGAAAAAACGGCGATGAGAAAATGAACTATCAGACTGCTAACTACAGCAGTTTGGTTGGATTTCCAGACGCCGACGTCGTCTGCCAGCGTTTTTTTTTTGTCGGGAGGGGTGGAATGTTTGGCAGAATCGCGGGAGGCAAATTGAAGGGCTGCGCACAGTTCCCCTTTCAAAATATATTATTATTATTCTTACGCCGCTGTGCCCTGGGGCGTGCCGGACGTTCAACTACTTACTATACAGGAAATCGTACCCTAGCGGGCCGGGCGAAAAACGCATATCGGCAATCAAGGAAATGATCAGTGAATGAGCCGGCAAATACAAAGAGAGAAGGCCTCTTGGCCTTCGAAGGGAAGGGATATTAGACCATAAGTTCCATCTCTAGCCTCCTGGCCAGATTGTACATCGGTAGCCTCCCCGAGTCCATCAGCCAGTCCAAGATCCTCCCCGTTAGCAGTGCAGCTTTGGGGTTGATTCCCTGTAGAACAGAAGTAAAAGTCCCTTCGCGTTCTAACCTCGGCTCTCTCCCATGTTCGAGTCGACGGTGGGGTCCCCTTTAAAATAATGCGACGGTCTTCTTACTCTGCTGCGTCACCTAAGCCAAGCTCGGCAAGGCGGTGGGGCGGAGGACCTTCAATTGATTGAACGCATTTAGGGGGCCCGTGCGTCAGCCGGGTGACGGATGACCATCACCCACGTAAAAAAGACCTGCGACACCAATCAATAGTAGAGTGGCGCATCAGTTGGACGCAGTTAAAACCCCTTACCGACCGCTTGGCTCGGGAACGTGCAGAACTTATAGTTATACAAGGCGACAGTAGATTCATACCGCAGCGAAAGTTAGAAAACGGAACTAGGAAAACGGAGTGGTGAAAACTAAACGCAAACGCGTTCCCTACCGTTTCAATCATCTGAAAGCGTCCTAGTACGTGACCCAGACTATGCTGAGTTAACTCAATCTAAAAAGAAAGTGAAATGCTAGTTCTAGATTCACGTTCACGGCCTCCTGTGACGGCAAGTGCGGCCTGCGCGGTGCTTGCCGTCAGGGAAGATATAATCCACCGAGTCGCAAGTCCGAGGGACTTGCGATTCCGACATCCTTTTCGGAAGGTGTGCATAGCCGAGTGGGTTAGGTTTATGCTCCACCGTCATACCTCCCTATAATAGCGACATTTTCTTGTCTTCGTTGTTGTTCAAAGGGGGCGGTTTCTTGTCCTCAGAGTGACCAGTTTTGGGCCTTTTCGAGCGGATAAGGAAGATTTATGGGCAAAAACACTCTGCGATCTCGTTGAGATTAGAGAAAATAATGTATATTGTCTTGGTTAGATTCGTGTTCCAGATTGGTAGCACAAGATTTCAATGGACTCCCAATCAGTAAGTCGGACCCCCCCCATTTGGACCACCCCAGATTCAAACCACTTGGCAATCCACACCGCTCTTTCAACCTAACCATTTCAACTCACTACAACTCAGTCAATTCGAGGTCAAGAACGCTCATCTTTTGCATACAGCACTGTCAATGCCCAATGGACTATACGGAACAAGACTTACAAGATGCCGTTACAAAATATCATCGCGGTGGCTCCTCAATGCGGTCTATCTCCCGGGAGTTCGGCATCCCGAAGACTACTCTCCGGAACCGACTTAACGGCCACCAGACTCATTCCATTGCAGCCGAACCGCAACAGACTCTGAGCCGGATACAGGAAGACCTCCTTACACAATGGGTCTTGACCCAGGTCGCCCTTGGTGTTCCACCAACCCATGCGCAGATCAGGGAGTTCGCCAGCCGAGTTCTACAGGCACAAGGAACCAGCCGTACGACTGTCGGAAAGGGCTGGATGACTCGGTTTCTTCGTAGGAACCCAGTCCTTCGAACCCAGCGAGCCCGTAAGATAGATTCGGTCCGCATCAATGGGGCTACTGACTCAGTCATCCGCAGTTGGTGGCCGCGACTGAGTATCCCGGCCATCAAGGATATCCTACCAGCCAACCGTTGGAACTTTGACGAATTCGGCATCATGGAAGGCCAGGGAACTAACGGCTTGGTGGTTGGGAGCTCTCGAACGCGTGCAGTTCAACGGAAAGTCCCTGGTTCGCGAGCCTGGACTTCTTTTCTTGAGTGTGTCTTAGCGATAGGGGTAGCGCTCCCACCAGCTGTCATCTTCAGGGGGAAGAGCCTTCAACAACAATGGTTCCCACTTAAAAAGAAGGAAATAAAGGAGTGGAAGTAGGCTACAACCGCTATAGGTTGGATAAACAGAGTGGTTGCATTAGAATGGCTTAAAGAGGTGTTCATCCCCCGGACCCGGCTACAGGACCCCTCCCAGAGACGGCTGTTGATACTGGACGGCCATGATAGCCATAGAACCGACGACTTCATGTGGGAATGCTACATCAACAATATCCAGTTGCTCTTTTTACCTCCCTATACTTCCCACGTTCTTCAGCCATTGGATTTGTCAGTGTTCTCCCCCCTAAAGCACACATACCGGAAACTCCTTAACAAGTTGACCTCTTGGTCCGAATCGACGGTGCTAGGCAAGCAGATGATGATCAGATGTATCGTGGAAGCTCGTAAAGAAGCTATTACAGCCTACAACATCAAAGCAGGGTGGAGGGCATCCGGGTTATGGCCGGTCAATATAGCCAAACCTCTGATGAGCCGGCTTCTATTGGAAAATTCGAACAACACAGCCGGGATTGACGAACAGATAGCTCACATACAAACCCCAGCACCTGTTCAACCCTCCCAATCTTTGACAATAGCCGCCAACGCATTCCTCAGCACACAACAGAAGAAGTCAGATTTACGTGGTCAACTGAACAGCCTGGCCATCCGGAAACAAGACCTCCCTACACGCAGGCTTTTATTCAAGAAGGTTGAGAAGGCTTTTGACAAGAAGGACTTCGAATTGGCTCGTTTACGACAGGAAAACGAAGCTCTGAAGGCACAGTTGGAAGCAGCCCGGCCGTCGAGGAGGAAGAAGGTAGTTCTTGATCCGAACAGCGTGTTCGCTTCGATTGAACAGATCCACCAGGCGCAGATTGAGTCCGGCCGTATAGATGACTCTATGGCTGAAGAGAGCGGGTCAGAAAGTGCAGAATCAGAGGTTTCCTGTATTGTGGTGGGTTAAATAGACTGCGATATACGGTGTTGAATAAGATGGGTGGGTTTGCGGGCTAAGATTTGCCAAGCGGTCCGAATCTGGGGTGGTCCAAATGGGGGGGGTCCGACTTATGTGCAGGTATTGGTTTTGAATTTCTTGAATTCGCAGAGTCATTGATTGATTAAATAGCACTGAGCTACTCCTATACAACGGAGTTGGACATTAGCTGACGGCTGCAGCTGTATTGACTACTACTAAACTAGTAACTAGTACTTAGTAGATATTGACCGGACCTGCCAGCGAGATAGTACTCAGAGTCTCAAGACTCGGGTTGACTCGGGTATAGCGGCTGAAGTCTAGAGATCGCAAGCCGTGGGATACAATGAAAGCACAGCCGATCGAGAGGTGGCGTCTGTCCACGGCCTCCGACAGGACGAAATACTGTGTACGGGTGGCTCTGTTTATTCGTTATTGCTGAATGCTGCCCTGTCGCGTAAACGGTAAGGCTGAGCGGATGGCGGACTGGCAGCGTTGGAACCGGAGCGATATATTACCCGAACAATCCTTGCCAGCCAGGTTTGGGTGATGTTAGCCAACACCTAAGTTCTAACGTTATCCGGAAAGGGGTTATAGATGCCAAGTCGATGGACCGAACGTCAAAGGGCGGCAACTCGGGATTCGGGAATGTCTTTGGCTATCGAGCCGGCCGGATTCCTTGAGAAAACATGATACACCACCTGTATACGTCTAGCCTCCCACGCAAGCATCGCGGAGATCGATGTTGACGGGCTCTCCGAGCAAGCGTCGCGGTGGTCAGTGGAAGAAAGACAAGCTGATGAGTCAACAAGTGAACACCGCCTCGTCATTCCACTCCTACTGTGACGCTAGAGCGTGTCAAAGGAGGCGCGGGGGGCTTGGCGCGGGTGATTCAGCGCTACCCTAAAAGGTGTAAATGGTGGTGCTCCCCTGGCCACACGAAAAACGACGGACGGATCAGGATCAGAAGCGGTTTTCCCAGGAAAGCGGTTGAGACGCAGACATGCAGGGCCTTCCCACCAGTGGCGGGCCGACGGCCATGCCAACGAGCGGATACGGCCGACCCGCAACGGCGCTGCCCCCTTTGTTGGCAATGGATACTGGTAGCCAGGATGCGACCGAGTTCGACTACTCGGCCTTCCTGCAGGACCAACAGGAGGACATAGACATCGACGACTACCTGGCCGAAGAGAGCTCGGCATCAGCATCGACGGCAACTCTCACGGAGGGGTCAGTGCCGCAGTCTGAGTCCCCGGCATCGCAACACCGCACCCCCCAGCGGCGGCTTTTACCGTCTGGGCCACTCACGACGACTCGTTCGCGTGGCAATGCAGCTCGTAGTGAGAGCAGCACGAGTCCTGGCCCCCCGCGGCGCAGCCGAAGCAGCGGCTGGAGAGACGGGGCCATACCAAGAGCAGGAGAGGGTGTTTTAACTGCAAGAGGAGAAGAATCAAGGTGAGTTTTCGCATCAGTAATCAACTAGTAACTAAGTGAGTGAGAATGGGCAAGCCAGGCTGACATGGCTTTTTTTTGTTGTAACAAAAAGTGCCAGGAGACGAGGCCTGCGTGTGGGCATTGCGTCAAGCAGGGGCTCAAGTGCGAGTACCCTGTTCTGCCTACTACCGTGCATCAGGCATGTAGCGTCCTACCACTCAGTTCCCAGGAACAGGAATAGAAAAGGAAGCTAACTAAGGTAACTTGCGAAGCAGCCCCAGCACCAGGTTCCCCTATTCAGCCTCCAAGACATGCGCTTCTTCCAGCACTTCCTACTCAACTGCTACCCGCACCACCCGATCGGCTCCGAAGACTTGTGGACCCACGAGATTCCCTGCCTCTCGCAAAGGGTACCGTAACTCTTTTCTCTCTCCATCCCTGTGTTCCTGCCCCACCCCCACGCTAACAAAGCGACTTCTCCATGCTTACTTACCTTACCCAGTACGAATACCTGATGCACGCCATCCTGGGCTACTCGGCCTCCGACTTGATTTCCACCTCGGAGCCGGGCCTCGCCGAAGCGGCCATGGCACACCGGGTCAAGGCGATCCGGGCCATCAAGCGGGCGCTCGGCAACAACGCCGCGGCCGAGCAGCCGGGGACCGACATGTTCGAAGAGGGCAACGCGCTGATGGCGACGTGCTTCGCCCTGACCTTCCAGTCCGTGTTTCTGGACGACGGCATGGCCGAGTACATGACCTTCATCCGGGGCATCATCATTGTCGCCATCCAGATGTATGTCAAGGGCGCCAAGCTGCTGTTTGGCCATCTCCTGGGCGGCGACACGCAGAAGGAGAAGCTGGAGCCGCACATGAGTCGGATCCCGCTCATCGAGAAGGTCTGGACCGACAGGGCCGTGGAGGGCATTGAGGGGCTGGAGGGGTTGGTGGAGGGCGAAGGGAGGGAGGTGGAGAGGAGGTTCTGGGAATTGCTTCGGGAGATGGCGAGGATGCTTTATGTTAGTTCGTGGAAGGGTCAGTTTCTTTTTCTCTTCTCTTCTTTTCTTTTTCTCATCTCTTCTATTCTTTCTTTTTCTCTTTTCTTTTTCTTTTCCTTTTTTTTCTTTTCTTTCTTTTCTTTTCTCTTTTCCTTGTTGTTTTTGTTGTTCTAAACTCTCGTGCTGACTCCCCCACACAGCATACGAGGGTCTCATGGAACACTACTCCTGGTGGATGATGCTGCCGCACGACCAGTATCAACGCCTGATCGACCCCAACAACCAGGTGTCCATCCTCCTGGGCGCCCATTGGGTCGCCTTGGAGCAGATTATGGCTGTCATTACCGAGGCCGAGCGGAAGGCGGCCGCCAAGACGCCCAACCAGTCGCCCGGTGCGGGCATCAGCCTGGGCACCATCCGCTGGCTCAAGTATCTCAACACCCAGGTGGACGCGCATCACCACGCGTACAACAGCTTTCCGCGCTGGGTCGAGGCGCAGCTGGATCGGGACAGGGGATATTTTGGCAGGTCACGCTGATACTCATCATGCTGCTCTTCCGTCTTCACCTCCCATTCTACGGTAGTTGTACTATATTGGATGCAACATAACAGGTAAAGTAATGAAACACTTCTCATTCCGGGTCTGCCAACGGGTGGCTTGACGATAACCTGAGTTGCGTTACCCCACCACCATGATGGTAACACCAAAACACTCCTCATACGTCGTGACTTGGCTTGCGTACCTGACACAATGTGTACTCGTAGGTACTTTACCTAACCCACCAGAAAACAAGCGTTGAACGCCTAGCGGATGCCTACTGCTGCCAGCACTGCCTCCGAGCCCACTGTATAAGTGGCAGAGGAAACAAGGGCCCAGCCCACGAGACCCACCCTCGTAATTCGCGTCAGAGACGCAAGTGGATCTCCCAGAAGGCTAAGACGTCGAGCGAACGCATGCCAAGCCGCTAGCAGGGGTCAGATCGGCCAGCTAAGCCTTCACTGCCAACACGCCGTATCCGTCGCATCGCAAGTTGATTGGCTGGTCATTCAAGACTGGGCAGACATCTTTGTATGTATTGTACAAGCCGTCCGTGGCAATGCAGAAGAACGTGAGTGTATCAGCGATATATAAGTAGCTTTCGTATGTTCCCGTCTTGATGTCTGTTCCGCTTGAGACCGTTCAAACAGTTCTCAGTAGATCCAACCCCCCTTATTCAAGACCCTCGCAGAACCGTTAGCACCATGGCAACTTCTGTCCTGTACCGATCCAGCCTCCCTGACTATACCCCGAGAGACGTCGAACTCGATCGCCTCGACAGCACCACGTCCCCAAGCCCATCCATCCTCAGTGCTCCACCCGCTTACGACGACGCGGCTCCCTCACCCGGCTCGTTCCATCCCACAGTCGCGCTTCAGATTGAAACCCGAGGCAAATCTTGGTGTTCTCTCCCGCTGCCGCTCCGGCCTGACCCGATCCCAATCTTCACCCTTGAGACCGACCAACGGATCCCAACATTCACCTCCTTCCGCCCCAACCGCGGCTCCGGCTCCTGCTATCTCTTACCTTCCAGCGACCCTCCAGCCTCTTCCTCGAGTGGAACTCTCCCGGTACTGAGCACAACAACCTATCGCTTCGGGCCCTCCCGTCCGCCGTGCGTCCGCCTCTTCTCGCCTCACTCATACTCGGGGAGGCCTGGCGGTGGTATCCCTCGCTCCGTGCTAGATGAACTCCTCTTCCCTTCTTCCTCTTCCTCTTCCTCTTCCTCCAACTCCAACTCCGACCCGGACTCCGACGACCAAGGCTTGGGCCATTACGGCATCCAACCCTGGGACTCATTCACCATCACCTCCCTCGGCCTCTTGACGCGCGCCGTCAGCTTCCGCACGCGCCTGGGTACGTTCCAATGGCGGTACGCGAGCAAGCGGGAGCGGGAGCGGGAGCGGGAGGCGCTGCTGTCTTCTTCTATGCAAGGAAATAGCAATAACAACAGCAACAACAACAACAACAACAACAACAACAACAACGACTTGGACGTGGCAAGCCTGCTCGTCCTGGAGCGCGTGGTGCGCGTCGCGCATGCGCACAACGACGCCGCGGGTGGCAGAGGCAGTACTAGTAGTAGTAGTAGTAGAAGAAGAAGAAGCAGAGACAAAGAGGAAGAAGTGCGGATGGCGGTGGCGAAGTTCGTCCGCGGCGCCGGTACGAGGACGGAGGGGAGTAGCAGGAGCAGTGCGGGCAACGGAGGGCGGTTGCTGATGGATTTGGGCCTATGGGACTCGGAGGAGGAGAGGCAGGCTAGTGGTGCTGGGGGCAAAGAGGAGAGGGAGATGGCGGCCGTGATGGTGGTGACGACGTGTCTTGTGATGCTGAAGAGGGAGGTGGACCGGCGGAGGGCGCAGCAGATTGCTATTATGGCCGGGGTGCTTGGCGGTGGCGGATCGTAAAAGAATGTGCAGTACACGTGTGGAAGGAGAGAGGTGAAACGGGGGTTGTACTATGCATTTTGGTTGACGTACACTGCAGTTACCGGCACGCTCTCTGGGCTATCTTTTTGTAAAACCGCTGGTTTCCCGTTCTAAAGTTCCATCGTCAATTCAAGTGTCTTGACATCAATGGCCAGATGCTAGTGTACAATCTTACCCGTTAGGATCCAGGAGTACAAGGTCTGTCCCGTATTGCAGCAGAATGCATCGGACCACACCTCCACGCTACCCAACACCCGAAACCACCAATCATGCATTGCCTTACCCGAGATGAGGTGAGGCACAGATGAGACCCTCCCTGCCGATCCTCCTACCCTTCGTCCCAAGTCTCCGGGCATCATCCCCACCCAGCGCCGACGCTGCGCCGTTGATCAGGAGAGGGCACAGACGGGCCGACCCGCGGTCTCACCCTGTTGTCCCAGGTGCCTATCAGGGACATGCATACATCATACGATACCTATCCAGGATGTCGTGTTACACGGCATGCCGCCCAATAGCGTCAATGAGCTTGCATCGCATAAACATATTGCATCATCCTAGCACGAAGACTCGGTGACCTAACAATGTGCTCTATGCACTCTATGTCAACATGCTCTTCTCAGAAAACCCAAAACCTCTAGAGCTTGAAGGGGCAGTCGTGTGGCAAACACAAATCGGGCCGCAGCTTCTGGGTCAGCGCAGCATCCAGGAGAACCCCAAAAGCAATTGGCTCGCCGGCCCACAGAGACGCGGAGTTGAGCCGCTGACGCCCAGTACAAACAAAAAAAAAACAGGAATGCAAACTGTGTGAACCATGCCCTGCGACCACTCCCAAACGCCGAATCCTAACCCGTCCGTGTGTACCGTCTGTATCTCGTGTTCTGCAGGCTTCCATTCATTCCTTGGGTATCATCACACCGCGTCGCCTGGTCCCCTGTCCTCATATGCGCCGTGATGATGATGAATGAGCGGATGCCGCTCCTTAGATACCCCCGTCGCTGAAGCCGACAACGCCATCCCGAGCACCACCCATCTCGGATATCCAAACCCATCCCTTTGAATTCGTACATGGCCCGGCGTCGACCCAGCGGTCGCTTAGTTGTTCCTGTCGACAGTCTTCCGGGGCTTGTAATTCGGTATCTCGTCGAACCACGCTGTTTCCTCATTGTACTTGTACGCGTGGAACTCAATCCCGTATGGTTTTGGCTCGATAGAATAGAGTAGCCCGAGCGGTAGGTCGAGGTCCGCGATGTCATCTCTCGTGAGGTCCATGAAATACGCCATCAGCACTCGGCAGACAGACCGGTGTCCAATGATGAGGACATGGTCCGTAATGCGCTCCATCTCGCGCACCATATCACGGAGCCGGCTGATGATCTGGAGATACCCTTCTCCACCAACCCCTGGATAGATGTATCCCATCTTGTCCTTGGCCCGCTTCGCGTACTCCTCCGGGAATCTCCGGGCAATTTCTTCATAAGTCATGCCCTCAAAGTCGCCCGCATTGAGTTCGTTCAGCATCTCCCACGCCTTCACGTCGTAGTCGTCGTCCGCGTCGAAGTATTCAGCAGTCTCAATGCTGCGCTTGAGCATTGACGTCCAGACACAGAAGTTCTTGTCGTCAAGCTCCTGGTTGAGCTCCGGATAGGGCGGCGTGTTGTCCCCGGGCTGCGGCGGAAAGCTCGAGCTTGCGATTTTGTTCTTTTGCTCGATGAGCCACTCCTTCCGCTTGTAGGTGATGAACTCGTACAGAGCGTGAGCGTAAAAGTGGCCGCGCTCCGTCAGGTCGGAATTGCCGCCCAGCTTGTTCACCCGGTTGTCCTCACTTTGGCCGTGTCGTGTGATCCAAATCTGTCTGGGCGATAGATTGAATGTGGTAAGATACGACGCGATCCCGCCGCTCAGGAAGCCTCGGAGACGGTATTGGACAATCTTCCGGCCCACATCGATCATCTAGACACGGTCAGTCCTCGCTTCGTTTGTTGCTCATGCGTTGGTGTGACGGACCTGGATGTACTGTAGATCATTGTCCTCTTCCCACTTCCCCAACGGCTCGTACGCACTCTCGTACGCCTTGACCCTCGCTTTGAAGTCCTCCAGGGACTTGACCGGATCTTTATTTCTGTAATCCGGCCCAGAGAGCTTAAGACGCATATTCGCCTCCAGAAGCTGCGAGCTGTCAGTTGCGATCCGGCAGATGCGCGATACGGTTGACTTGGCTTACGTTCTGGTCGTGGCAGATGCTCTCAATGAAGAGAATGCCCAGCTTTGGCTCCCTGGCCTTGATGCGATCCACAAGGAGCTGCCGCCGATGGACGGTGCTATTGGTCGCATCTAGAATGCCCACAGCACCGCCCTGTTGAAGAAGATAGTCAAGAAGCTCGTCGAGCGTATCTAGAGCCACTTGTTCGCGCAGCTTGGCCGCAGTTGCGTTCTTTGGATCGAAGAACTTGGCTGACTGGTCCAACTTCTCGGCTGAGTCCCCGTGGATCGCAGGCTTGTTGAGATCTAGATTTGTCGGCTCGTTTTCCACAACAATGTCAGGGCCTTTCGTGCCGTTCAAAAGAACCTTCGCCGCTTGGCTGGGCACGTCGGTTCTTATAGGCGCCGAAATCGGCGATCCATCGGATGGCTTGGCCACGCCAGCAGCGATGCGTCTCCTGTTGCCAACATTGAAAATCCTGGTGCTGTGCTGTTGCCAGGATAAATAGCGATGGATCTTCTTCGTGATGTATGATTTGCCCCTTGCCGGCAGGCCAACCATGATGATGACTAGTTTCGCAGCAACGTCTCTGTCGGGAATACGCCCGTCTGGGGATGCTTTGGAACGCGTCATCCCTGGGATATTGAGCGTCGACGGGTGTGGACGGACTCTCGGGGTCTGACTGCCGGAATTTTGTCTGACCGGCGGACTGTGCAGGTGTTAGCCATGGTGAGACATAGGCCTATGCCGCGCTGCGCGCTGAAAAAGGAACCGAACTTACATCCGCGGCGAAGTGGGCGCTGTGGAAGAGAGGCTGCGCGAATAGGGGGAGTCATAGTGAACGCCACCGGGAGGGTGCGGGGCGCCGGGCTCAGAAGTAGTCAAATTCCTCAGCGCGGTTGTCAAGGACGGGACGCCTGGAGCAGGCAGCGAAACACCCGGCGGAGGTAAAGCGCCATGGTCCAGATGGGCTTCTCCATTGCGGCGGTTTTCGTTGGCTTTGATTGTGGGCGAAGTCGGAGCTGAGGATGCTGCACCCATGAGGCGGCTCATAGCAAGCTTCCGCAATGATTGCGTCTGCGGTGCGCCACCAAAGTCTTCAAAGAGCTCTGTATCAGCCGTGATGTCGATTGTGCAGAGTCTAACAGATGATGACTGCGGAAGACGGGTTTATGTATATGAAGAGAATATCTTGAGACCTTTGTGTTGGTGACTCGTTCTGTTGGGCGATTGAGCCAGATGTCTTGACATGGAACGGGGTGGGAGATCCGGCGATTAAAAAGGTGCAAAGGGACGTCAAAGACGCAGGGGATGTTGACAGGGATTCTGCAGGGTGCAGCTGAACTGCAGCGAATCAGCTTTCAGTCGTTGCTTTCGAGACGTGACTAGGGCTGCAACACCGAACAACAAAAAGCGGGTTAGGTTCCATCCGGAGCTCTCGGTCGGTAGAATAACGTTACCAAGAAGTGGGAGGGTCCAGAGGTGGGCAAATCACTGATGTCAAATCTGGCATGTTGAGGCTGCGAAATGCATTGGCGGCCATCATCGCTTCAAAGAAACACAGCACTCACAATTCTGCGCCGTTGCACAAATGAATGACTGCCTGTCGCTGGTGATGATGCTGCGCTTTTCTGGGCAGCGTTCTCGCGATTGCTTCAGTTTATGGCCGATTGGAATGCAGTTCTCTCTTGCGAAGACTGGTGTAAGATGCAGCTTAGTCCCGAGTCGGCGTTAAGGTGGATGTGGACCCGATTTTAGAAACGAAATGACGTAAATATCACTACCACCAGCCTTGCTGTGGGGTGACTCAACAACGCAACTGGCCTGTATCGTCGTGTTCGGCCTACTCGTGGCGAAATGACAGGACTTAAATACTAACCTAATGAGGTGACAGCAGCTTGCCAGTGGTTTGACGTTGGGCTTCGGTAGCACAGCCGAGCAGCTCGACAGAAACAGATGTCGGTTGCCTCGTCTCTCGTCATCTGCTGTGCGACTCGATGCTGGAGATGTTTTCTGCTTCGGGAAGGAAGGTCGGTTCCCGGACAGGCATTACTGCGGGATTAACCAAACCTTCGGCGTGGGTGGATTACCCTATGCTGCATATCCGTAGGTAGGGTACCGTATCTTGATCTTTCTATAGAGCAGGAGACAGGGCGCAGAGGGTGTAATGGGAGCGCGGGTTATTTTCTAACTTCCTGCCTGTGCTGATATCAGGGACGTAGGCCTGATATATAGGTACTCATTGCTGCCCTTCTTCCCCCTACGGACTATAGCAAGTTCGGGGTATTTCGGTCGTACCCGATGCAGGCAGCGCAATGCAATTCGGTGTTCAAATGGCAGAACGGCTTGTCCTCTGCCGGAGTACACTATGTACAACGCACTGCCTCTACTACACGTATATTCCACGTAATGCTGATCCTTGCTTCTCTTAGCATCACGCCGACTTGGCTTTCTTGGTATGCCTTGGAGGTCGATAACCGTGTGACATCAAGATCTGTCGAGCCAATCAAGTATACATCGTGAGATGCAAGTGATTGACCCGATGATGCCGTAGAGAAACAGCCCGGCTCGGCGCTGCTCCTGAAGAGGAGGAATTGCGGCCGAGTCTTCGCCAAGAACGACGGGCTGTTCATGGACCCGTCACCCGTCGATCCTGGTATGGAAGGAATGGGGAGTCCGCCGTGCCGTCGGATGTGTAACGTTATGCAGGTAGATAGTTGAGGAGCTGACAAGAGTCCGAGGCTTGTGCAAAGGCAGCCGGGGTTATCTGCAGTCAGGATGACCGAGTGAGATTTCGAACACAGCTTCTGCCATGGTCTACATAGGCACCTAAGGTAGATACTACAGTGTCAGTCGAGTGACATAGCCCGACGAAGATAGCGCACTTACACGCAACATATGCAGAGAGCCCGAACTGCGGTACTACATTCATATACCTATAATGTATATTCGGCTTCTATTGCCTTGCCCCTGGCTCGCTGGGTATCAATTGATGAATCACAGGATATTCGAAGCGTATCTACACCTTAGTTTTAGGATGCTTTAAGAGCATCGCGAGAGCCATGTCCGCTCCAATCCAATACTCTCGGGCCCTTTTGAGTACTAGTAAGGAAAACTGAAGCATGCCCTGACGGGAAGCCGAAATCGCTATGGTGGGGGGGCCAGCCATGGAATGCGGGGTTTGTTACGTTGTGGGGGTGCCATCTGCAGAGTTGCAGAGTCCAAGTGGAACTGCAGTGCGCCGCTAACAAGGGCTCCTTGCAGCAATTGCACCTTCCCACGCGCGCTTTCAGGGTCAAAGTTACCTTATTGAGTGGGTCCTTGTGTTTTTTCGCCGCAACCACAAACCGACAGGCAGATGTCAACACTTTCCTCCCTTAGGAGAAGAGTTTGTTCTTTCCCGCCCGCCTGAACTGCAGTTAGTAACCCGCCATGGTTTCTTATTCTGCGTCCGTCTCCCTTGGCCGCAATCGTCTCTTCCGGATTCCCGCTCGCTCATTCTCGTGCACGACTCAACCCGTGCGACTGCGTTGTGAATCGATCTTGGTCCACTCACCCACAAGGACCCCATCCCGTTTTCGCGTCGTTGCTCGCTCATCTCGACCGCAGGCCTGCTATCCGTACCCTATCAAACTCGTCGACAATCGGCCGTTCACTGCTGGACGTCGCGGCCGGCACGATGGCCGAGGATGACCGGTCTATCAGGAGATCGCTTGCCGCCCAAGACGACATCGTCCGGGAGCTTTTACAGGACGATGTCGAACACGGTGTGCTCATTCCGCTGAAGACCACTCTCGAACTCCGAGATGACTACCAAACAGGCCGGGTGTTGGTCACCCGGACCCCAACCAAGGCGGCCAATCCGGCCATCATGTACGCCCATCGCAAGATGTTCCCCCGATAGAGCAGAGTCCTCCCTAACTTGTCACCAGGATGCTGCGCAGTCTGCTACCTGATGAAATCATTAAGGGTGTTCCTCACTTACGCAGGTGCGCCAAGCCGTCGGACCTGCCTGCTCATCTCAAGGCGCAGTTCATGAACGAGTCGGCACAGAGCCGGCAAATACACACGGGAAAGTCGAACTGGATCTACATAATCGTGGGACCTGAGAACATGCTCAACCGCGACGAGGTTATTCGGGCGCTGTCTTCAGTGGAGGGCATGGAAGGGGAGGTGTTCGTCCGCAGTATTCCCGTTCCTATGGTCTCGCCGACGTCCCAGGTCCAAGCTGCCATGTGGTCACAACACTTCTGGCCCGCTTTATACCGGAAGAACAATCCGCTAGGGCCACATCCTTCAATGATTACCCGCCAGACGGACGAGATAGCAGACGATGCTGCGATATGGATGGCGCTGGCGCACCAGGTGGCGAGGCAATCCCACCATAAAGGCTACGGGCAGCCCGTTGGGGCCTGTATCATTCAGCGTGACGAGGGCAGGACGACGATTGTTGCGTTGGCGGGTGATGCTCGTTGGCACCATCAGGACAAGGTCGGTTGTACGGGAAACCCCATGGCTCACGCAGCCATGCGCGCCATCAGCATTGTCGCCCAGAAACTCGTTCGAGCCGAGAACCGCAAGACACAGACCAAACAGGCGCCCATACTGGAGTTTGAAGCCTTCCAGGACAGTCCGATTCTTGAGGATGAAAGGAAGGTTTTTGACAGGGAGCACCCGAACCCTGATGGCTACCTCTGCCACGGGCTGGAGATGTACCTCACTCACGAGCCATGCATCATGTGCTCGATGGCCATTCTGCACTCGCGTATGGGCAAGGTTGTCTTCCGTCATCGTATGCCGTTGACGGGCGGGCTCAGCGCGGAGGATCGTGGCCGGGGCCATCCTTCCCTCAAGGGGGCCGATGGCGGTCGTGGTCTCGGCTTGTTCTGGCGCCGGGAGTTGAACTGGAGCATGGTCGCCTGGGAGTGGGAATCTGGCGGCTGCCTGAAACCGCTCAAGCTTGACCTGTCCGTCCACGCCTAGTACAGCCTAGTGCAGCAACGGGGATAGACCGCTTCAAAGGCGGGGAAGTATGTATAGTCTTGGGGATCTTATGTGCATTATTGGTTTTGGTTTTGCAAGCAGAAGCCAGAGGAGTTAGGTAGTCCTCATGTCGGATTGGCATTATGGCGGAGCATTTTTGAGCAAAGGAGTCATCGGGGCATGTACGCTGGCGTTACAAAGCTGACATCGTGGGCAGGTGTTGCCGGGTCGCTAGTGGGTAGGTGGGCTTACACCTGAGCATCATATGGCAAAGATTAGGTGATGTCGACGAATACCATGGCAGATCATAGCGTGTCCGAAGGATACTCGCCTCAATCCTGTTTCTGCAACTGGCGTTGTAATTTGCGAGGCATGAGGGCCGGGAGCAACTATGCCTACCGCTCATGAGTCAAGCTTCCGGACAAAAAAACTGGAGAAGCAACAGAGGGTGGTTCGATTCCCCCAGGTTGCAGTTTTCATTATTGTTTTGCTGTACTTCAACCCAGGAAGGTTGTCAAGATTTACGAGATGAATTTGACTGTCTGTTGTTTTGGATCTCGAGCAGCAATGTCAGGTCGGTCTTCAAATGTTCCTTCCATGATAATTGCCCAATCAGGGGGATCCGCGTGAGTCCCAGGCGATTGCACCCGAACAAACCCCCACGTTCCATTGCGGCTACGATCGGCCAACAACAACCGACGCCACGACTCACGACCATCTGCAAAAGAGATAAAAACACCCTCCCCTGGAAGTCACGATGGACACCGACCTGGCAGCTTGCGGACTGAATAATTAGTCAACTTCTGAGTACGATCGAGAGCAATCTGTACAACATCTTCGCAGCTCTTGGCTCTTACTCTTGGCTGTGAGTAGGTTCTCTTGGCCGAAAAGCTTGAGGCGCCTCCCTCGTTCTTGGGCTGTGGGCCAAAGCCTTGGCTCACTGATTAAAGATCTGTGGGATGGGGGAAGGATTGCAGGCACTGCCCAAATCGCTGTCGACTCGGCACTCGCCCATAATAAAAGACAGGTTCCCCTCTAAGCTGACGGCAGTTTCACCGCCCAACTCTCTCCTCATAGTCCATCATCGTCCGACTTCGATACGTTAGAATTAACCGACCGTCGGGACAGGAAGCCGCGCCGAAGCCTTCTCCCATGCGATCCAGAGCCCGCATCCTCGTTCAATCAGACCTCATGATTCAATAACACTGGCTTTTTCGTCGCTGTGGTTTTGGAACTTGCCTCGTCTCGGATAGCCGAACCGAGAACTGTCGAGGAACCATTCCGCTGCGACTCGGTTAGTTTCGCTTGATTCGAACTTGCAGGTGTGTGGCTTGCGAAGCGGTCCAAGATGCCGACTTTGGCCATTACCAATTTCAACATCATCCTCAGCGTGCTGGGAGGCTGGATATCGCTGTTCGGCTTGGTCTCGTACCTCTGCAAAGAGAGCTTTTACCTCTCCGAGGCGCGTACGTCAGAGCCCAATTCCCTGCTCCACCACCATGCGAAGTAATGGAGATGGGAATTCTAGTCTCTTGAATAGGCATAAACTAATCAACGATGTTAACCCCACCCAGTCATATCCCTCCTCGTCGGCGTCGCTTTCTCTCCGCATGCCGCCAACTTCATCCGCCCCGTCGAGTACGCGCTCGACTCCGAGGAGAACCTCAACGCAATAACCCTGGCCTTCTCCCGCCTGGTTCTCGGTGTACAGCTCGTCCTCGCAGGTGTTCAGCTGCCTAGCCGCTACCTCAAGAGGCAATGGAAGCCGCTCTTGCTCCTGGTGGGACCCATCATGGCTTTGATGTGGATCACCACCAGCCTGCTCGTGTGGGCGCTCGTGCCCGGGCTGACAATCCTGCATGCCCTGGCTATCGGGTCGTGCGTCACGCCCACGGACCCCGTCCTCTCCGCGGTTATTGTTAAGGGCAAGTTTGCAGACCACAACGTGCCCAAGGAACTGCAGCAAATCATCACTGCTGAGTCTGGGGCGAACGATGGGCTGGGCTATCCTTTCTTGTTCTTCGCGCTGTACTTAATCAAGTACATTGGCGACGGGGGCGTGGCCGAGCAGGGTGGTGCAAGGGTCGCGATGGGGTTGTGGTTTGGTGAGACCTGGGGGTACACCATCCTGCTGAGCATCGTGTACGGCGCAGTGGTGGGTTGGATTGCCAAGGAGCTCCTGCACTGGGCTGAGGAGCGCAAGTTCGTCGACCGGGAGAGCTTCCTGGTCTTCGCCATCTCCCTCGCCCTGTTCATCGTTGGGACCTGTGGCATGATTGGGAGTGACGACGTGCTTGCCTGCTTTATTGCGGGCAACGTGTTCACGTGGGACGACTGGTTCAGGCTCGAGACGCTTGATGACTCGCTGCAGCCTACCATCGACATGCTGCTGAATGTGTCAATCTTCATGTGGGTATGTCGAAATCAATCTCGACAAAACAACGAGCCTCTGTCCTAGCTACTACTTTGATAGACAGCGTAGCTCTTAGCTGACATTGTTGGTACAGTACGGCGCGGTTTGTCCGTGGGACCTGTTCCTGCACAACCACGTGGTGCCGCTAGGGAGACTCATTGCGCTCGGCATTCTGGTGCTCTTGTTTCGGCGCCTGCCGTGGGTGTTTGCAATCCACCGCTTTATCCCGCAGATCGAGGAGGTTAGGCAAGCCGTCTTTGTGGGCTTCTTCGGCCCTGTGGGCGTGTCGGCTATCTTCTACCTCTACGTTACGCTCGAGTTTCTGGAAACACTCAATGTAGACGGCCAAACTAGGGCTGACATCGAGAAAGTACCCGAGGCGGTCACAGTGGTGGTGTGGTTTATTGCAGTTTGCAGCATTGTGAGCGGACCAGCTCTGGATCCCAAAGAACAGCAACTGACGAGGCATCTGTGCAGGTGGTCCACGGCCTAAGTATCCCGCTCGGGAAGTTGGGGTTCTACCTACCACGGACTTTCTCTCGCAGCGTGGTGTCGTCATCTGGCATCGATAGCCCGAACCTCGTGTTGCCTTTCACACTCGGTAGCAGAGTGAGCTCCTTTACAACGCGTCGTCGATCGGGAGTGGATCAAGGGAATGAAGTCAGTGCCACGGCGTCGTCGCGCGATGTGTATAGGATTGGCGGCACCGTCATCCCGAAACGCCAAGATGACCCAAACGGGACGCTGCACGATCGGCGCGAGGAAGTTGAGACGGATACCAACCTTTCGGCCAACGTCGCGAGGTCGGGACAGGCCACCCCTCGTGAGATCTCCACGCCGCAACCTGGTGCGCGAACGATCCGGTTCCCTGATGAGCCTCCGCTCGCGGTTCCGGTTTCCGCGGGGCAGGCGGCGAGTGCTGCGAGTGCTGCGGCTCCCGCGGCTCCTACGTCTCTCGCGGTTCTGGCGAAGGAGCAGTGACGAACGGAGACGTGAGATGATACGATTGATGTGATGTTCAGGCGTATGAAGTCGGCTTCGCTGTCGAGTATGGATAGCAACACTCAGCAAGCGAAATGGGATGTTGTCTGCCACATCGATACTGTCAGGATATATGAAATGGATGGACGGCTGCGAGTCTTTGGCCATGCAGGTATTGTACAACACTAGTACCAAACTGGTATATTTGGGTGCTCATGATGGACCCATTGGTTTGGATGACGGTGTCGGTGAAGCAGCGATGTAGTGAAGCAGCGATGTAGTGAAGCAGCGATGTAGTGAAGCAGCGAAGTAGTGAAGCAGCGAAGTAGTGAAGTAGTGAAGAGGTCGGTTCGGAGGGCGTCGCTTGCCAGTTTAGCGAGAGATGGTGGGACCCCGTCCACTCTCGTCCACTGAGATGCAATTCATATCTCTTCAATGAGTGGATGAGCACACTCGCTAAGTGAATTTCATACTACCAAGATGTGGCGCCCCGCTTGATTGCAAGAGGACTTGGGTGACCACAGACGAGACACAAGACCATGCAGCCATGCAAGGCTCTTCGAGGCAGTAACAACAAACAAACAGAGATAGTACTGTCCCTGATAAGCGGCCGTGGTGCGCGAATGAATTGTCTCACCGACGTTGGGCATAGTAGGGATGCAGTTGCGTGGGAGGATTTGAGCTTAGGTGATGATGCAATTCCAACAATCAAATGCCACATTTCCTGTGCGTTGTGTCCAAGGGGGGCTCTCCGCTCCGCTACTTGCATGCCCAGAAACCTCAAGTCATTGATAGTGCGGCCTCAGCCACCTTGCGCTAGCCCTCCTAGGGTGCCCAGTTTTGCTCCAGCAATGAGCTCTGGAAATGGTTGAGGCCTGGGGTTAACGATTTCTGTTGCGTGGCCCTGGTCCTCTGAGTTTTGGCGTGGACGACATTGGGTTTGCTTTCATCTCAATTCAGCACCACGGGGAGGATGGAGCGATGCTTTTCTTGTGCAACTGTTTTTCGTTGTTTACCTCCGTTGCTACAACCCTCCAATGCTCCTTTGGTGAACGGAGCCCTTAATTAACTGCATTTCGCGACCGCCCCGTCGTCGCCTCGGCCCTGATTCAACACCGCTATCCCGTAGAACGGCAGCAATCGACAGCGTCTTCCACACGTGACTACAAGCAAAATGGCTGATCCGGTCGAATTCGGGTCTGAATTCGACGACCAGTTCAATGCTGGCAAGCCAATTTTTGGTTACACCACCGAGTTTATCTTCGATTCCGACGAAGGCAGTCCGCTGCCCACCCTCCCGGACAGCTACGCTGCCGATTCGAACCACGCCATGGCAGACGCGCCGCACGACTGCCCATCACCATCAGAGGCACTCGGTCTCGTGAGCAGGAGCACACGGTCTTCTGAGAGTCCCCCTGAGTCCATGTTCGACTCAGCGTCCCCAAAGAGGACAGCAAGCACGGCATCAACAGGCCCGATCCTGGGCGATTTACAGATGACTACCAGCGGCGGTGTGAAAGCGGACTGGGGTACAATGGACGGTCTTGGAGGCGGGATGAATGTGGATGACTCGTCGATGATACGCGATCCGTTCGAGTTCCTGAACGACCATGCCACCGTCAAGCCGAGCCCGAGCCCGAGCATGCACACCCCGGCCGACACTCCAAGTCCGTTCGGTTCCGGCGCCCCGACCTTCTCGCCAGAGGACACAATGGCTTCGCCGCCGGGCGGAGCCGGTTTCTCGTTTCAAGCGGCGCGCGAGGACGGTTTTGCTGTGAGTCTGCCAGCGCCACATGCCGCTGCTTGCAGAATACTGACAAGCAGGGAGCCCTTCACATTCGCTTCGCCAGGAGCAGGCGTACGGCCTGATGCCATGGCCGGAACACCATCGTTATCTTCAGAAACGCTGTGCCTGCGTCAGACGCAACCGCTCCTATCCCCGCCACTAAAGTACGAGTTCCGCGGCTCGCAGGAGGCCGGAGCTGCCTCTCCCGACATAACCGGGATATTGAGCGCCATGTATTCCATGACAAATCAGCAGTTCCAGGCGGGGCGGCACTTCTTCGCCGACACCTTGCATGCGTCGGCACAGCTTCCGTTCGAGCAGCATCAGTACGGGCCGGGGCCGTACAAGTTAGATGTTTACACCAACAGCACCAAATCCAGGGTGGAAACGCAGATTACAATCACGCTGAAACTGTCGCAACTTCCAGTTGGCGTCACAAAAGTCCATCTTCCCCGGCATACCATCAGCAAACCCAAGTTCTGGACGAAACCAATTGCGGCACCCTCCCCAGATATGCTTGAACTGCACACCATGCTCGTATGTACGAGTGCAATGCGGGTGCCAGATTACAGAGCGGCGGCCCTGCGACGCGCTGGACACGCGGCGCACGCAGCGTGGTTGGCCAGGAAACAGGCTGGCCAGAGACGGGCGGCCACAGAAGTTGAGAGTGCTAGCCAAGGGTTCAAGGCGCAAAAGGAGGGCGAGTTCCAAATCGAGGGTGATGGTGGTGAACAGCTCAAACCACAGGAGGGAGGTGAAGTCAGGATCTGCGAGAACTGCATAGGTAGGGAGACGAAGCGGGCCTCGCGGAAAAAGTCGAAGAATCCCGAGGACGAAGCAGCTTGGCAAAGGGACGAGGGCAAAAGGGTGATTGTTTTCAACACGCACGAAGTCAAGGACTGGACCATACAAAACCCGCCCGAATCCGGCTCGCGGAGTTACTGGCAGATGCAGGCGCCGATGAGAATTGCCTGTTATTGCCGGCACCACTCCGAGAAGCTAGGGTTTCAAATAATCTTCACCCTGACTGACCACCTTGGTCGGTTCATCGCCCAGACCATGTCGCCCTCGATAATGATCACCGACGATCATAAAACGATTCCTCCAAACCCAGCCGTCAGCCTTGGACCAGGTACCCCGGCCACAATGCTAAGTCCGCGAGAAGATGCGCAGGTCTTGAGCGTGCCTACTTCCAGAGCTGCGTCGGAGCGACTCCCCAGCGTAGAAAGCACCGAGGCCGCGAGACGCAGTCCATCGAGCGCAATCCCCATCTCGGCTGCGCCAACAGCGCAGCTCCAGCCAGCACCGGCGGCCCAGCATGCCAGAACCATGTCACGCCCGCCTTCCCCTTCATTTTCTGCCGGACCCGCCAAACGACGGAGAGGCAACAAATCGACGGCCAAGATATCCGCCGATCTGGCCATGACACCGCTTGACACCTCGTTCGCGCCCGGATCGCGGGGACCTAACTCGGCCGCGGGTAGCACACAGGCGACGCCAGCAACCTCGTCGTTGCCGCCGACGCCACCCGCAATGTTCACGTCCGCTGGGGAGGCGCCACTGTTCGGCGGCCAAGGCATTGCCGCGCCGGAACCGCTAACGAGTGGGTTTGCTGCTGCGCCGCAGACAGGCAGTAACAGCCAGTTCCCGTTGCCTAACCTAAGTAGGACGTCCAGCATGGCCAATATGGCTATACCCTTTTTTGGGTTGCCGACTTCAACTCGTCCGAACACCGGTTCGAGCCCGATTGCCTCGCGGCCCGCGTCGAATGCTGCTACTGGGGGGCAAGCGAGGCCCCAACCGGCCCAGACACCACCCGCGATCTTCAAGGTCATCCCCGGCGAGGGACCGGTGGCTGGCGGTATCGAGGTTACGCTGATGGGCCAAGGTTTCGTGCACGGCATGCAGGTCATGTTTGGCGACAAACAAGCTCCTGGAACGGCGTGCTGGTCGTCAGAGTCGCTTGTGTGCCTGCTCCCTCCATCCGAGATGCCGGGCATGGTACCGGTTACTCTCAAGCACCAGAACGGGCAGGCTTTGAACCTGGCTCCCCATTTCTTCCGATATGTGGATGACAGCGAGCAGCAGTTGCTGCGCACTGCGCTCATGATTCTCGGCAACAAGATGACCGGAGGCTACGAGGACGTGGCGGACTTTGCCCGCCGTATAATCCAAGAAGCTGGGACCAGCTACCCGTCATCTGGCGGCGACATGTCTGGCGCGGACGGCTCGTCGAACAACCGTGCTACGGATAACTTCGAGGGCAACCTCCTGAGGCTGCTGGAGTTGATGGATCTCAGCAACAGCACACGAAAGCCTCGGCTCAACCTAAGGCGGTCAACAGGGCAAACAATGCTGCATCTAGCTTGCAAGCTGGGGCTGCACCGCTTCGTCGCCGGTCTGCTAGCGCGAGGGGCGAATCCGGACCGTCGCGACAAGGGCGGCTACACCGCTTTGCACATGGCGTCCATGCACAGCCACACCGAAATCGTGCGGCTGCTGGTCGCCCACGGCGCGGATCCCACGTTGCGGACACTGTCTGGTCTGACAGCTGCGGACGTGGCGAAATCAGCGGACGTTGTGCGCATTATCCAACACTACAAGCAACATAGACGGTCGCAGAGCGGCAGTTCCTCCCACAGCCGCGTCGCCAGCACCGCGAGCCTCAAGTCTCTGCGGGCGCAGGCGCCGTCGTCTCGTGCGGTCGAAGACACCTCGAGCGACGAACCCAGGTCTGAAGAAGCGGAGAGCTCCGAAGACTATTCGGAACCGCCGGTGTCTGATGATGCGACCGATGAGCCGGGGGATGGCGAGCAGGTTGAGCTACGCGTGCGCCGCCGCAAGAGCGCCGCGAACACGCCGGCGCGGAGGAGGAGTCCCTCCCGCGCTCGGCGACGAGGGACGGATGCTACGGGCGCGCTGGCTTTGCCATCGGCTGCCATGGCGGCCATCAGGGAGCAAGTGGCCGCTCAGTTCCAGCAACTCCAGCAAATGATGGGGCCGCATCTCCAATACCTACCACAACTCCCGAACTTTCCCCAGATGCCCAACATGCCCCCGTTGCCAGAGTACCAGGTGTTGCAGCGGCTAGCGACTATGATCGGAGCCGCAAAGCCAGAAACGGGTGAGGATGGGCCGTCAAACAAGGGGCAGGCAAGCATGTGGCAATACCCCTTACCATTCTCGGCCAAGGCCGCAACGCCACCTCCTGCGTACGATGAGATCTTTCCCCAACAACAACAACAACAACAACAACAACACGGCGATTTGGACACCAAGCGGTCGGCGGCGGCGCAAGCAGCAGCGGATGCTGTGGCGGATGCCAAGTGCGCCGTTCTGTTTGATCAACCGGTCGGTTCGACATCGGAGAATACCCAGACGACGCACGCCGTCGGAAGTGAGACATGCACGGCAGAAGACAAGAGCGATGACTCGGAGGGTCAGGAGATACCTGCACTCCTGCAGATCGGCCGCAAGGATGCCATCACCCGCGAGCAGCAGGCGACGCTTCGACGGGCGCACGCGCAGAAGATGAAGAAGCTGAGCGGTGACCGGAATCTGTTCTTTATCTGGGTACGTTACCATCATCACCACTCTCGTGGTGATCAAGTTAAAGTCTAGTCGTGAGATCAAGTCGGCTAACAAGTGCTTCTACTTAGATTCCACTGCTCATCCTCATGATCGGCGCCATGATCTGCCATGGCACGCCAGGCTTCGTCGCCACGACCCGCAAGGCTGCATCGCTTGTCGCTGAAGCGCGAACCGGGGTGTCTGCCGCTCACGTAGCTGAGGCGCATCGTGACGAGGCAGACACTACTCTTGAGGGAATCGAGGTTGCCGGGCTGTTGTCATAATCCTGCCAAGGTACCTATTTGACGCTTGCACCCTACTAGTACCTTTGGCTTAATCTATGTGGACGCATGCGTAATGTCGGTCGGTAACAACACATCGGCGTCTGGTGTCAGGGTGTCTTCTTCGCTTTTTCTTTCCAGCACTGTTTTCTAGACGATATATTATCTGAGGCTCAAATGTTATCAAGCGAGTGTGTAGGGTCAACTGTACTGAGACTAAAAGGGGGAGTGGGTCCCTGGGTGATCAAGTTCCTGATGGGCACTTGTCAGTCTTGAGACGGGACTCAGCGAGGTTATTTCTCCTTTGTTTCTTTATAGCATTCTTCCGCTTGGGCTCGTCTATGTATTTCATGTACCATAAGAGAGCCTTGTCTGCGGTGGTCGGGAGTCCAGCTGCCTCTCCAGATCAATCAAGGTGTCAGATCAAGGTGTACCATACGTTCCTTGAAGACTGAGCGAGAGATACATGGTATCAGTCACTCTTCAACGGTTTCTTGCATATATATAAGATAAAACGTGTATTGATATCTTTAGTCACCCAATCTGTCTGTCATCCCTGAAGTACTATCGGCGGCCCGGCTTTATCTTCCCTAGAGGCAGTGAGTGCCACACTCTTACTGGGCGACGAATAGAAGCAGAACGCACACCACCACAGCGAACATCCAGGCTCCGTGGTTACTGGGGACCGTCTTCTTCTTGCCACTCCCATTGGTTTCGCTCATGCATAACAACGCTACGGCGGTGGGCGTAAGTGGTTCGCATTGGAGGTGACAAGGCGTCTGGTGTTGGTTCTCATTGATCTCCCCTCATGCCTCGCGCCTTGCCTTGGGAGCCACATAAGAAACTACCTACCAGGTACCTACCTTTTGAACCGACGACATCATAGGACTGTCCTTGTCCTGGGTTTACGCAACGATGGACGATGACGACAAAGACCAGCTGTTGCATCAGGTTCGTCAACGCCACGGCGCGTCTATTGTCTCGCAACTCGTCAAGATTGGCGACGAGCGGAACCAGCAAGAGCACATCAAGTTCCGGTACTTGATCGAGAACCTCCAATGACTCCAGCCGCACGGCACTCGACTGTGCCGCCGGCAAATCGATGAACCGAACGTGCAACTGACAATGGAGCAGCGACGGTGAATGCTGCAGCTTGTTCTCAAGTTGGAGCATTCGAGGGATACGTACCGCCTCCCGCTCGCTCAAGAGCTTGAACAGTACCTCGACGAAGACGCTGATATTTCCGAGAGAGAACCTGCCTCGCTTTCATTCAAAGACAAGTACCTGCATGACATGGCCATGGAGTTGGCAGCAGCAATCCTGGCAGGCGAGGAGCTACGGCTGGGCCGCATCTGGAACCGAGCATAGGACTGTCCCGGCCCGTACTCTGCCGTCTTCGTGTGGCCTGACGGGACGCACCACTCATCGGGAGCAGAGCCGGCGTTCGTCTTCACCTCGGCGTGGCCGGGCAGTGAGGGCTCGGAAATGCACGATACCAATGACATCGACCGCCATGTCTCTCTTCAGGTCGAGGTCGAGAACCACTTCTTCGATTCCACACCGCGCCTGCGTGTATCCCGCTGGCTGCTCGGCATGTGTTTCTGGTATCGAGTCCCGCGTACCAGGGTGATCTTCCCCTGGCCGGGGGCGCTGCAGACCGTTTGAGTCTCACTACAAAGACACCACTTCCTCAAGCAGAGAAGAACCGAAAACTAAAAGACCTCCGCAGATGGATCCGGCAGAAGTACCACAACCTGTAACTATGTGCTGTACAACTGTGATACACACGCACAAGATTCAAGGACAGAAAACAAGGTGTGGCGTTTCTCGTCCCCCCCAACCTAGGATATGTTGTGCAAAGTAAAGCAGCACCCCGCCAGCCAGCCAGCCCCAGTCACCGGTTGTTGGGCTCATTGTTGGGCTTGGGTTATCACCAGAGTCGTGGGACGCAACACGGCCACGCGGATGGAGGACGGTCCAGGGAAATGTGTGGGAACCCGGTCACACAACCACTTCCGTGGAGTTAATGGTTATTTCGCCGCGCTTTCTTCATTTGCCCAGGGAGAAAAAACGTTTTGTCAGAAGAGTGAGTGAGTGAGTGAGTGAGTGAGTGAGTGAGTGGGCGTTCTTGTGTTTGTCAGGAGGAGGAGAAGGCTGGAGTCAGTCAGCTAGCGGACTGTGGCGTCGGGGATGGACCGGCTTGTGCTGAATGTCTCAGCCGTATCCTAACAGCAGTGGAAAGGATGCGTGGCAGTATGCGGTTTTGCGTGTGTGTGTACAATACATACATCTTACTGCACGAACTGACTCGAAAGTTCAAACACACACTCCATTGCATGGCACCAGCAACCATTCGTGCCAAAGAACTAACACAAACCCGACTCGACGTTTGCTTGGCCGGCTCCAGGGGGAGCGCGGACGGGAGGAAAGCACTTCGCATGAAACACGGGACACGACAGCGGGCAGCAACCCCCATCCGAGTCCTCGGCACGACTGTGGCCAGAGGCTGGGACGGCTAGCGACTGCCGACAACATACACCGTTCCGTCCCACGGCTGCTTGCATGTCGACGGCAGGCGATACAAGTCCACACATACACTACACATACATACAAACAAACAAACCCCGACCGTCTCGGATCGGCGTAGTTGAATGGTATCCTCTCTGAAGAAGCGGTGAAAGTTGCTTTACGCCGGAAGTAGAACCTGTGTGCAAGTCACGCCATTCCCATCATATCTCACAACGGTTGGGTTTGCTGTGACTGGGTCACGAAAGAGAGTCCCATAACTAGCGTTAACGTCAGGGGGAAGCCCCGATCTTGCTCGTAACGCTGCACCGCAGCCTTTGGAACTCCCAACCGGACGAAACCACATATTCCGTGCCACTTCACTAGCCGACCTGCGTGGGCCCGTCTGGAATGAACGTACTGTACTGTAGTTATCCCAAGAAGCCGGCCAAGTGCATGCATGCATCTCCATTGCTGCTTGCGTTCTGTTCACAGTGTCGTGCTCCTGCATCAGTTACTGTGTGAGACAGACCGAAAGGGTATACACACCCTATCTGCAGGGCTGGTTGTATGTACCTAGGTGATACGGGATTACCAAGGAACTACTATATGCGCCGTAAGGGGTCGTTAGCCTGCTTGATTTGGAGCTGTCGTTACCCCTTTTCCTCTACACCCTACTACTACTACTGCTGCTGCTGCTGCTGCTGCTGCTGCTGCTGCTGCTACTGTATTGAAACTGATGAATCGTTGAACGCATCCACAAACGCTGCGCATACCGATTGGAGCCCCCACCTTCTTGTTATTATTGACTGTCATCGTGCGTCAGCCACCGAGTCGCAATGCAGCTGCCAAAGTTGGCGCTAACACGCAGGAGACCTGGTTTGCTGATGCAAGGCAGCTGCCGATCCAGGGGCGAAAAAGCCACTACCTAACCGAGAGATTGAAATATTCGACGGCGACTTCGCCGTCTCCTTTTCGAACGGAAACAGAGCGTATGATGGAGGTGCGTTAAGGTACAGAGGAACGATACCGTTCCAACGTGCTGTCTCTATTCTGGAGAGCGGGGAAGCCGCCACACCGGGCCGTCCTCGAGTGGCCTTGTCACCTTAGCTAGCCTCGCGGAGATGGGATTAAGAGAATACCTAACTATGTAGTTACCTGGTGCCGAGCAGCGTCTCAAGGAAAGCCAGAAACCTCTCGGGACCGAACGGCCGGACCTACCACAGGCACTTCCTGCGTTGGATGAATTAAGGTAAGGTACCTATATCTTAACCCTATCAGGATGATGTTGCTTCAAAGTTGAGTGGTGAGACTAGCAAAACCGGAAACGGGTGTCCTGTTTGGTGGTCACGGTGTGAACGTTGCCGGAGATTCAGCTCGATCTCAATATGCCTTGCGCCCCAGTTGGTTAATAGTGTGCTCTCATCAGACTGGGAAGGACATTTGTTGGCGGTTTCGGTACTGTGCACTCTGTAGGCGCCCCGGCCCCCCGCCCCCCGCGGCCCGGGACCTGGAAGTGCCGGGGCACATCATTGGCAAAGCGCATGGGGGCAGCAGGATACGGATACCTACAACTGTCGTCTGCGGAATACGTAATCAGGACCGGGCGGAATCTGTTGCGCTTCGTCCATGTATTCCTTCAGCGCATCCGATCTACGGCCACGGTTTCGGGTGATGTTCCATTGTTCTGGAACCGACCGAGTTGATTTGCGCTTTCCGCAACGGAGCGTTGAGAACTTGAGATGGAAGCGCACAGTTCTTTGGCGCTTGGGTCGCGATTGTGGGTCAAGCGGCGGGTCTACTCCGTACACTAGTGCCTTACCATTACCCCAGTACTAACGTTGATCAAAGGCCGGAAACGGAGGCGGGGCTCCACACCGTATTCCTGGTCACATCCGCGGATCCGGAGAACAACCGGAGCGTGCGAGGGCCTGCGGTTCTGGCCCGAAGTGTAAGTGAGATTCGGAGCTACCAGTAGACCAGTTGACATTGACGATAGCCTGCAGCATCCGCCGACCGTCGTCCCGTTGACCCGCCTCCGGTCGTGGAGCTGCGCATCTACGAGGGTCAAACCTGGGAGATCGCACAGGAGAAGGACGTCACGTTCGTCTACAATGCCAACTTTTTTCTATTTGCCACGCTTGAACATGCCCGCATCATGGCTCATGCCCGCGGCACCCCGGCAGCTAACACGCCGCCTGTGCTCACCGGCATGCCCGTGTCGGGTATGGCGTATCTTGACCGGCCGCAGGAGGCGGGCTACTTCCTTTTTCCGGATCTGTCGGTGAGGCATGAGGGCCGCTACAAGCTTACGTTCAACCTCTACGAAGAAACCAAAGAGGACAAGGACAAGGACCAGGAACGCGAAGGCGAGAGCCAGCCGCCTATCCCTGGTGTGAATCCGGCCACAGGAGGCTCGTTCGACTTCCGGATGGAGGTGAAATCGCAGGAGTTCATCGTCTACAGCGCCAAGAAGTTCCCTGGCCTTGCCGAGAGTACAGCGCTCAGCCGTGTGGTTGCGGAGCAGGGATGCCGCGTCAGGATTCGCCGTGACGTGCGGATGAGGCGCCGTGATGGCAAGGGCACTGGGGACTACGACAATGCCGAAGACGAGTACAGCCGCAGGAGAAGGACCGCTACGCCTGTTGACACGCGGCCCGACTACAACCGAGCTCGTTCCATGAGTGGCAGCACGGAGCGGACGCCCTACTCGGCGGCCGACCCCCAGCGACGACCGTCGATGGCTGACTACCCGTCAGGGTATTCGCAGAACCCCCCGCCTGGTGGACACTTGCAGTTCTTAGGTGGGAATGCGAGCTCGCAATATCCTGCCGCACCACCACCGAGCTTTGCTCAGCCGCCATCCGTGCCTGCATCGCCCGTGTATCCACCAAGCCAGGCAGCCCCATACCCAATGCAGTCCTCATTCCCGCCGCCTCCGCCGCCGCCGACGGCGAAGTCGCACAGTCGAGAGCGGACGCCTTCGCAGCCGGGGTATCCCCCGATCAACCCGGCGCCACCGCGCCGTGAGAGCGTGCAGCATGACTACCGTCCTCAGCTGCCACCCCCGAGCCTGCCGGCCCATCGCCCTCCGACACCGCAGCAGAGGCAGATGCCGCCACTGAAGCCTCAGCTTCCTCCGCTGCACATCGACAACGGCATTCCCAGTGTGGCCCGTCTGCCCATGCCTAGCCCGACGACTCTGGGCGCCCTTCCTCGTCCTCTCGCGGCCCTTACCAGCAGCAGCAAGGGACCCGTTCACCCGGCCACGCTGCCGCCGCCGCCGCAATATGCAGGCAGCAAGCGGGCGCGCGATCAGACATTCAGGCAGGAGGAAGAGCAGCCTCGGTTCCAGGACGGTGCGCGCGAAAAGGCTACGGCGGAAGACATTCGGGGGGATTACGAACGAGCAATGCTTTTCAAGCGCGCCGATGGCAGGATCAGTCAATCTATTCACTTGCCGTTCTAAATCCGAATGCGCTATTGGAAGTCTAGGGGGGGTTAGGGGGGTCTGGTGTTGGCGTTTACCTTTTTTGCGAAAGGGGGTTCCGCTTGATAGGTGGTTCCCTAGCCGGTCTTGTGATGGCATCCGCGATGCTGCGGCTGCGACGGCTTGACCTGGAACCCCCTGCTCTGCATATTCTTGTATATATGGGGCGTCCTGGTTGGACATTTTTACGGACCGGCCTGGCTTCTCAGCCTGCGAGCCTCTGAGGTTGAGGCCATGGACATGGGACACACTCGACACGTTCCCTTCGTTTTCTTTTTCCCCGTCACTTCAGTTTGGGATACCTCACTCGATACACGACGGTCCTTTTCTTTCACGTTTTGCTCTTGACTCTTTCTACAAAGAAGCGGGATGGCTTTGTCCTGGAATATTTTCCCGAACCACCGCGGGACAGGTGAACCAACTGGATGAGAAGATTTAAGGAACTATTGCTATGGAAGGATGGGTGGTTCAAGATCGATTTTACTGTATTTCAATAGGATTCGGCTCGAATATAGCTGCTCCAAGGGATTTTCGCGTGTGCATCTCTTGGCTTGTTCAAGTCTCAATTTTCATGGTTCCATGATCCATCCAGTCCATCCCCACTTGGATGGATGGATGATGGATCGTTGTGGGGTGGGGTGATTTCCAGGTTTCGATTGGCTCAGGCTGTTGCACCTGTGACTGTGCCGTTGCGGTTGCCCGGCCGCCCACAGCAAGGGTGGACAGGACCCACGCATCTGGGGAAGCAGGCAATGTCAATAACAGACAGTGCCCCCCTCCTTTCCTCTTCCTGTCTCGCATCTTTTGACCCGACTTGTGAAGCTGCATCAAGGGAACGGGGGACTTGCACCTGTGACAAGCACTTGCAATCTGGATTGCTCAATTGCGCCCGAGAGACAGAGTGCTTCTGGTCTTGAGGGCAGCGATTGTGGCACATCCATCTCTCCACTTGCTCGTGGGTTCGCCCAATTGACGTAAACAAAACCAAAACCCAACCAAAACATTAAGTCGTCGTGCTACGACTGTGGCCCTGAGCGATCGCCGCGCCGCCCACGCCGACTCGGCACCCGAGATATATACGGCATTTTGCTCGACTTACCTACTACCTACCTGCAACCGAGTTAAGTCTGCACCCAACGACGCTACCATCCTTTACATGCCACCTACTTTACCTACGTACCTTCCCTACAACAACCTGAGCCCAGGACCACCAAAAAGCCACGATGTCGACCTCGACATCGACGTCAACCCCATTGACAACTGGATCATCCTTCCGCCAGCGCCTCCGGAAACTGGAAACCCAGCATCTGCCGCCTCCCCCCTGGCCAGGCGGCGGCAGCGCCAGCGCAGTCTCCCCGCAACATCCCCGCAGCGCGATCTCGGTCGAGCCCCGGAGCGCGGTCTCGCACCATGAGCCGCGCAGCGCTACCCGCCCGCCGCTCTCCCCCCGCAGGCTCTCGGCCGCAGCTGTGACGGGGCAGAGCCGTTTCGTCGAAGGGTCGATGAACGACCGGGTCTCGGCCGCCCCGCCTCCGGGGTTTCTTGGGTTGGAGAATAATGATGAAGACGGGGACGATGTCGGGACCGCTTTCGGATGGGATGGCCATCACGCCGCCGCTCGCCGGGCGAGGGCTGGTAGTCATACCGTCGGGGGTAAGGGAGAGAGACAGCACCTCCGTCGGCCGAGGAGTACGGCCGTGACGATGCAGGAGCAGCAGCAGCACCAGCAAAGAAGTGGGAGTAACGAAGGTGCTGGGGTGGCGAAGAGGAGTAGTTTCCTTGCGCCGCTGTGGGATGGGGTGCGGGAGAAGCTGAACCTGACCAGGTCGAAATCATCGGGGAGTATCGGGAGTATCGGGAAGGTGGTCAGTTCTGTTGTTGGTAGCGGTGGCAAGTTGCTGGGAGAGAAAGAGCGGGAGGAACACAAGGTGGCGGCTTCGCCGGCGGTCGGAGCTGGATATCCCAGTCGAGAAGAGGTGTTGGAGAGCTATAAGAACCTGATGGCGTCCGGGTTCTTCGAGGCGCATGCTATCCGGGGCGGGAGACACCCCGGGCCGCCGCGAACGGGAGGGCAAGAAGCGCCCGAACACGGTCCGGTGGTCGTACTGCCGTCACCGACAGGGAAATCGTTTGCAGACCACATGGCTGCTGCCCAACAACAACAACAACAACAACAACAACAACAACAACAACAACAACAACAACAAAAGCAGCAGCATCAACAGCGTCAGGTTCAACCCGCTTGCGCCCTCTCGTCACCTATCCGGAGCAACATGGGTCCTCCTATCCTGCCGCCTAGAGGTTCGTCGCAGCGCAAGCTGGACACCGACAAGTACGAAAGCTCACCTGGACGAGGCACCAAGCGTGGTGCGTCAATAGACGTGACTGGGGACGCCGACTTCTCCCCCCGCAAGCTCGTCAAGAAGCTGCGCCACTCGGCCTCGCGTATTTCCATGGAGTTGACGGGAATGATGGACAACCACCTTTATCACGGCCATGCCATGGCCAAGTCGCGGCTCTCCACGTCGTCCCACCGTTCGGGTCCGCTCTCGCCGACATCCTCGATCTTCAGCATCATCAGCTCCCCTCCGCCGGCCAGGTTCTCTTTCTCCGACGAGACAAGAGCATCGAGTAGGCACGGTAAACTGACCAAAGCCAAGGACGGTCGTCGCCGCCGCATCCTGGGCCTTACCCGCCGGCACCGCTCTCCAAGCCCTGCCGCTGCTGCTGCTGGTGCTTTTGCCGAAGCCGACCCCGACGCCATGGCCATCGATGAACCGGAGCCGCAACCACAGGCACAATCACAGATACAGCAGCCCGGGTCCAGACGCTCTTCCACGGAGAGAACGCGCAAGGTCCCCCGGATCCTCACCCCGCCGCCCGCGGCATTCCGCTCCCATCCGCCACCCCCTCGCCTGCGCACCAGCAGCACGTCCAGCAGCGTGGCAAGCGTGCAGCATGTGGAGGAGCACGAACCGCTGAGCATCGTTCCGGACCCGAACCAGGGCATCCCCTTCGTGCCGCGGATCCCGAGGGAGTTCTGCGACGCCATGTCCGCCATGGCGCCGCCAGCGACCGGGGCGATGATGATGGGAAGTGGAGGTGGGAGCGGCGGTGATGCGGATCCTCCGAAGACGGAGAAAGGGAATCGCGATTCGGGGCTTGGAGAAGATGTCGAGAATATCGCCGTCTGGGGGTGATCGCCTTCCGACGACAGAAGAAACCCGCGCAAAGAAACAAGGCGAGTTGGCAACTGCAGTGGCCATGACCGGATGCAACTGGACGGCGGGGGCGTTGGATCGGTAGTTTTTGCTCGTTCTTCTTTCCTCTTTCACTTGTCATTATCTTCTTCCCTCTTCGTGTTTTTTCCTTTTTTTTACCGGCCGGACCAGGGTAGATAGGTTGGTCAGTTCGCTACCTGACTTACCCCTGGCCCGGTTTGATGACCCAAAAAGAACCTTTAACGACCTGATGACGTTTTTTATGACGAAGCTTCACGAAATGGATACATACGGGGCCCAGAGCTTTGCTTTTGGGGGAGAGGCACGGTACGAGAATTGGGGTTGTGGGTTGTTGTATATGCTTCGGCTCTCGGGGCATGTATGCATACATGAATGTACATACGCATAAAAGCCATTGTCTGGATAATGCCCTGTTATGTCTTTCCTTTCTGGGCAGCTTGTTTGCTTTTCCCGGCTTGTCTTGTCTTGCTGGCACCGTCTTGGTTTGGATGGGAGAAGGCCTGGTTTGGACGACAAGACAAGCGGGAGATTATGGGGTTTATTTGCCACTGTTGTGGATGTTGTTGAATGGGGGAGGTGGCCTGTTGCAGGTTTCAGTACAGTACAATACATACCTACCTGAAGTATATACCTACTTGGGGAAGGTCCCGGTGTCGGATAACAGTTGACAATGATAGCCTATTGCTCATAATCTGCTGGGCTTGTGTAGAGTGATCAAGTCAATGTCCGTCGCTAGCCCGCATAGAGTATTCCGCGTGTCAGGTGTAGAAATTCAAGAAAAAGGGACCTGGGCGCGTTGAGCTTCCGCAGCGGACCAAGGCTTGGAGCCTGTATGTACGTACCGTGTGAACGTCTCAGCTCGCCCGGTTCCATTTATAGATCCCTTGGGCTTTCCCTTCATCTCGTTGGCCTACCGTTCAAAATCTTCACTCCTGACAAGAACTTTTTGGTAGCTGGGATGAATCATTACCGACGGAGAATGCCAAAGCACGATTATGGTGCCTCGAAGACTCCGAGGGAGAGGCACTTACATGGGATTCTAGATGAGCTTAAAATTATCTACGCCTTTTCGCTGTACACCTACAACCACCAAGACGATTTCCTTGAGACTGTACCATATGGCGACCTTCGTGGCTTTGTGTCTAGCCAGAGCAGATGATGGGATATACCATACAATTCATAGCAAAACAACCTATCATCTGTCAAGCTCCGCTGGCCGGGTCAGGAAGCAAGGTTGATGACCTTTCATACTATGTTAGGTCCCAAATACAACGGATATCCGGTGCAGTTGATTCATCCATACAACCGATGCTATTACCAGCCATGCCCAATTCGCGAGGCAGTCGAAGCCATCTCTCCAAAGGATAGGCATAAACCACAACACCCAATACTAGCAGCCCGGAGAAGATGTACAATTCGTCTCATAGACGCATACACTCCCTGTACACAGGCACTTGTGAATGCTCGAGCCGGTACGCAAACTTCACCCAACCGCCAACACCACCTCCAAGCGTCCAAAACGTGCCCATTCTGTAGACAGTCGCTTAACAAACTTGAACTCCTCCTACGCTATGTTCCCCCTCATCCGCAACTCTCCCATATCCCCAACAGCAACACTCCCGTTCTCCCAGGATGACCCGTCCCAGTCAGAGCTCCCAAAGGCCTGTCGGTACTAATAACGCACATTCAGTCAGCACATGCTTTTCCGTAGGACGGCAGGTTGTTCACAAAGCATGCGGTACGGAAAGGGGAATGGACTGGGAAAAAAAAGAAAAAGAAAAGAAAAAGAAAAAAACAGGGAAAAAAAGGAGAAAAAGAAAAGAAAAAGAAAAAGAAAAAGAAAAAGAAAAAGAAAAAGAAAAAGAAAAAGAAAAGAAAAAGATAAGAAAAAGATAAGAAAAAAAAGAAAGAAAGAAAACCTACCGCAAACACAAAATTCGTCACCAACGCCACTCCCAACGCGGCACTCACGACCAGCGGACCCAGCAGGAAATCAAAGTCCTTGCCAGACCGCGCCACAATCATCTCGCGCCGCTTCACCACGGCCCAGTAGCTCCAGACGCCGGCAAACACGGCCACGCCGATGAAGGCGCAACCCATGGCTTGGGCGAGGGTGTTGTGCCGCCCCGCGGCGCCGCCGGCCGAGTACAGGCTCACGGCCAGGCCGCCCAGCAGCACGCAGATGTGCTGCCACTTGAGGAAGGTGCGCTCGTTGGCCAGCCACACCTTGGGCTCGATCTGCAGCGGCCCGGCGTTCTTGATCCACTCGGTCGGCTCGACCACCCCGGGAGGGAGCGCCGAGGAGGAGAGGGAGGAGGAGGGGCCTTGTTGCCGGGCCTGCTTGGCGCGCGCGTACTTGGACAGGGAGAAGCCGGGGAAGATGGAGGATAGCGTGCCGTAGTTGAGGGCGCCTGATCGGTCGTGGCCTGGTTGGGCCGGCTGCCCGTGCTGGTTGTTGTTGGCGTTGGTGGTGGTGGTGGCTGCGGTGCTGGAGGGCTCGCCTGCCTCGTCTGCCCTGGGCGGCGGCGGCTGCTGCTGCTGCGTGGGACGTTCGCCGCGCGGGAAAGCGCCAGATCTCGGCGTCTGAGCGGCCGTATCTGCGGCGAGGCGTTCGGTGAGGAAGGACTTGGCGACGGGCGAGCTGCGGCTGGGTTTGTAGGAGCCGAGCTTGGTGCCAAGAAAGCTGCCGACGACGTGCTCATTCTCGGCACGCTGGGCCCGGCGCTCCTCCTCGGCCTCGAATGCCACCTGCGGGTCCTTGCGGATGTCGGTGTCGAGGTCGCTGAGCCAGAAGGGCAGATGGTTGACGTAGTCCTCGAACAGCGAGGCCGTGCCGTGCACAAACTTGGAGAAGCGCGGGCACGGGTGGACCAGGTGCGAGCCCATCAGGTCTTGGATCCACGACGGCCGCTTGCTGCGGCTGCTGTCCTCTTTCAGCTTGATCTCGAGCACCGCGTACGGGAAGCGCGACACCTCGCTCTGGTTGATATTGGCGAACGGGTACGTCATGTTGCTGCCGTCGATGTCGGCGCGGTGCCAGTTCATTGGGTCGCGGCACGGCCGGTCCTGGTCGAGAGTGTCCTCGCGGATGAAAGCAATGTCCGTGTCGATCGAGATGCGCACGCGGCCGTCGCCCGGTTTCTGGAAGGCCGCGCGTTTGTAGTTCGCCCGCACCACCGGCTCCAGCCTGTTCTCGCGGACAAACTGCTGGATGGCGTCTGCCGTCGACTGGAACTCCTGCACGTCCTCGGCCTTCTTGCCCTGCCGCTCCATCTTCTGCACCGACTTCTCCATCTTGTACTCGCCGTCAAGGAAAGGCTTGATGTACTTCTCCTTGATGGGGAACCTGCGCTCCTCGCTGCTGCCGTTGGCGTACAGGATCTTCTGCTCGAGCGAAATGTCGGGACGCGCGCTCAGCTGCCCGTACCAGCGCAGCCGCAGTGACGACGCTTCGCTTTCACGCTCGAGCTTTCTCGAGTAAAGATCGAACTTGGCGTTGTCAAAGTAGAGCGACGTGATGGTTGGGTCCTGCTGTCCGTCCACCTCCTTCGCGGACTGCTCGCTGTAGACCAGCGCGGGCAGGCGGCGGAGGATGTACGTCTTGACCTCGAGCAGGTTGTCCGGATGCACCCAGAACTTGTGCGCCGTGTATCGCTCGCCGTTGTGCGTCTCTGGCTGGCTGTCAGGATCCACGGGGAAGGCATCTCCATGCCCCGGCTCCTCGAGCTGCTGACGAATGGCGAAGTACATCAGGGACAGCTTGTTGAGCAGCGGCGAGTAGGCCTGGTCCGAGTTGAAGGGCCGCTTCGACAGGCTAACCATCATCATAGGCCGGATCTTGTACCGGTTGCCGCGTTTCCGATCATGCTTCTTGACGATCTTTAGAAAGCCGGTGTAGTTCAGGTTGCTGTACTTCTGCAGTTCCTTGACCTCGTTGGTGATGGCGTCGAGCTCCGATTCGAGGTCCTTAAGCCGCTGGGTATCGGCGTCAGTCTTTGGCTTGGCGCTCTCGGCTACGGGGAGCTCTTTGAGCGTCTCAAAGGCGCCATCGACACGGCGGCGCAGATCCTCGATTTTCTCGGCTTGGAACTGCGCTACTTTCTCCAGCTCCGTGTTGAAGACCTCGTCGCAGAAGCGGTTCTCGTCTTCTTCGGTCCACGTCTCGTCTTCATCGTCGTTTTGGTCCTCGCGTAGGATGCTCTTGAGCTTGACATAGTCGATGTACTTGTCCTTCCACGGCGCGTACACCGACTTTCGAAGCGTCCTGCCAAAGCGCATAGTTGCGGCGTACTGATTGTGCGACGGACGCTAGATACCCAAGTTTTCGATGGGATAGTACACTAAAACTTAGACGGTAGCCGACATCCAACGGGGGATTGCGGTAATCGTAGAACTCCGTCAACAAAGCGTGGTCGCCCAGCAGCTACACTAGGAAACACCAGGTAGGAGAAACACAAGGTGGCAAAACTCAAATAATTCCTTACACTACAATTGCAAGTTGTAACGTTAATTCGAGCGTCACCGGTTCGGGGGCGTGAATTCGTCATAGCTCCCAACACGGGCCCCACATGGCGAGGAAGCCGGCCATTGCCCCACAATAGCTCGAGCACCGCTTCCATCCCATGCCCGTTCATTACATACTTACCGTAGGTAACACAAGATTTGGCGCTAGCGTTGTCACTCACAGAGTATCCAGAATATCCGTAGTTGCACTAAGGTACGTCTGCAATATCGTTACGTTCTGCCATATGAAAGTTTCAGTGACGTCTTCATTTTCCATTTCAATCTCGACCAGCCGGTGACCGTGATCCGCCTGAGTGCTGCCATTGACCAATCGAAGGTCCCACGTGTTCTTGGCACTGGCATCCTTTCACGTAAGTTACACAGTCAGTACATGTGGAATAGGTACGAAGAAAAGGAAGAGAGTGTGGATGAAAAAGTAAAAGAGGGGAAGAGCAAAGCGAGAAAAAAAGGAAAGAAAAGACCGGGCTACAACGGATACCAAAAGAGAGACACAGGAAAACGGAGAGAAAAGGAAGAAAAGAATGAAGGTACGTAAAAAAGGAGAGAACTGAAGGGAACAGGTGATCTGTCAGTATGCTAGTGCTAGGGTTGGGGATATATATGGGTAGGATTCTGTGATAGTAGGAACTTGGATGTTGCACAAGGCTATCTCATCGTCAATCGTAACTAGAGAGCAATACTCTACAGATCACAATTCGACATTCATTTTTAGAATACAGAATATAACAACCTTGACGCCAAGTGCCACAACAAGCGCCTCCGTGCCCGATGCGTCACTACCTGGTATGCAAACTGCAACCGCCTGCCTGCCTGCCAACCCCCAAGAGCGCTCTGCTGACGATGATGCTCGTTGCGAAAATGGTATCAAAATCATGAACGTGAGGGATGCAAAGGGGAACACTAGATAGGAAAACCCAAAACAAGGAAGCAAATAGAAATGCTGAACAAGAGACCCCAAATCTACCTTCTCCCAAACTGAATTCATTTTCTTTTCCTTCTCTTAGGCGGCGACAACCTCCGTTGCCGCAGCGGCAGCGAACACCTCCTCGGCAGTGCGCTTCACGATGCCGCCGGTAACGGGCAGGTTAGTGCACTTCTCAAGGTAGAGATCCACCTCGCGCGCAGCCTGGCGACCCTCGTTGATACCCCTAATCAAAAACTGGTTAGTGATCAAGATCAAGTATAGTGTATGCGTTCCCCTCTTGGACACTAGCGGTGCAAACTTACCAGACGATAAGCGACTGCCCACGACGGCAATCGCCCGCGGCGAAGATGCCCTCCACGTTGGTGCTGTATTTGCCCGCCGGCGTCTTGACGTTCTTGCGAGCATCCTTCTCGATCTCGTCGCCCAGCACACGGCCCTCGGGGCCCAGGAAGCCCATCGACAGCAGCACCAGGTCCGCAGGGAAGAACTGCTGGGAGCCCTCGATCTTCTTCATGTCCCAGCCGCCCGACGCCGACTTGGTCCACTCGACGCGCACCGTGTTGATGCCCTTGACCTTGCCGTTGCCGTCGTCCACGAACTCCTCCGACATGATGCAGAACTCGCGCGGATCCTTGCCCATGTGCTGGCGCACCTCGGTGTGGCCGTAGTCGACCCGGTAGATGCGCGGCCACTGCGGCCACGGGTTGTCGCGAGCCCGCTCCGGGGGCGGCTGCGGCAACAGCTCGAAGTTGATGACCGACTTGGCGCCGTGCCGGACCGAGGTACCGATGCAGTCGTTTCCGGTATCACCGCCGCCAATGACGACAACGTGCTTGTCCTTGGCCGAGATGTACGAGCCGTCAGCCAGCTCGGAGTCGAGGAGCGACTTGGTGTTCTTGTGCAGGAACTCCATGGCGAAGTGGATGCCCTCGAGGTTGCGGCCCTTGATGGGAAGATCGCGGGCCACCGTGGCGCCAGTCGCGATGATCACCGCGTCATTCTGGGCCTTGAGATCCATGAGCTGGATGTCCTCACCGACGGCCACACCCGTCTTGAAGTTGACGCCCTCAGCAGCCATGAAGTCGGTACGCCGCTTGACAATCCGCTTGTCAAGCTTCATGTTGGGGATACCGTACATGAGCAGACCACCCAAGCGATCGGCACGCTCATACACGGTGACGGTGTGACCGGCCTTGTTCAGTTGATCGGCCGCCGCGAGACCAGCGGGGCCAGAGCCGATGATGGCAACCTTCTTGCCGGTGCGCACCTTGGGCGGGTTCGGAACCATCCAGCCCATCTCGAAGCCGCGGTCGATGATGGCACACTCGATCGACTTGATGCCGACCGGGTCCTCGTTGATGCCAAGAACACAGGCGCCTTCGCAAGGAGCCGGGCAGACACGGCCAGTGAACTCGGGGAAGTTGTTGGTCATCAGCAGGCGGTTAAGCGCATCACGCCAGCGCTCCATAAAGACCAACTCGTTCCACTTGGGGATGATGTTGGAGATGGGGCACCCGGTGTCCGACTGGCAGAACGGAACACCGCAGTCCATGCAACGCGCGGACTGGTACTTGAGCTCGTCCTCGTCCAGTCTCTGGGAAAGCTCGGCCCAGTCCTTGGTACGAGTCTTCGCGCTGCGGTACTTCTCAGACCGACGCTGGTACTTCATGAAGCCCCGAGTCTTGTCCAGCACAAGTGCCTTCTTCTTGTCGGCCGTGTCATCTCTCACGCTTTCCTCAATGTCCTGCAGCTTCGCTCCTGCTTCCTTTTGCTCCTTCTTGGGGGCAACGCCCGGGATAACCGGGAGGTTGTACTCGGCGCGCTTGGCTTCGGCTGCCTTGGCTGCCTCCTCCTCCAGGACACGCTTGTAATCAACGGGCAGAACCTTGACAAAACGGGGCAGAGCACGGTTGAAGTCCACCAAGATCCGCGCAGCGAGCTCCGAGCCAGTGTAGTGGTGGTGATCCTCGATCAGGCCGCGGACATAAGAGATTTCCTCGGGATCCTCAAGAGGAGTGGCTTCGACCATCTCCGTGTTCAGCTTGCTAAGGAAGTCCTGTTGGATATCGAGGACATAGGCGATGCCACCAGACATACCAGCCGCGAAGTTGCGTCCCGTGTTGCCCAGAATGACCACACGGCCACCGGTCATGTACTCGCAACCGTGGTCGCCGACGCCTTCGACAACGGCCGTCGCACCCGAGTTGCGCACCGCGAAGCGTTCCGCTGCGACGCCCCGGAAGAAGCAAGTACCGCTGGTGGCTCCGTACAAGCACACATTACCAATCAAGATATTCTCCTCGGCCTTGAACACAGCGGACCGCGGCGGGTAGATGATCAGGCGGCCGCCAGAGAGACCCTTGCCGACATAGTCGTTGGCGTCACCCTCGAGCTCCAGTGTGACACCAGGGGCAAGGAAGGCACCGAACGACTGGCCGGCGGAGCCCTTGATGTTGACATGGACGGTGTCCATGGGCAGCCCATCCTGGCCGTACCGCTTGGAGATCTGGTACGAAAGAGAAGTACCCATGGCGCGATCGGTGTTGACGATGTCGCACTCGATGCGGGAAGGCAGGCCTTTGTCGAGTGTCAACTCAGCCTCGGAAATTAGCTTGTTGTCCAGGCGGACATAGAGACGGTGGTCCTGCTTCCGGACATTGAAGGTGGCGACACCAGGGCGCAGCTTGTGGGCCGGGGTGAGGATGAGCGACAAGTCGATGTTCGCAGTCTTCTTCGACCGGATGTCATCGCGGATCTTGAGGACCTCGGCATGACCGATCATCTCGTTCACTGTCCGGAAGCCAAGCCTGGCCATGATGGCACGAAGCTCGTTGGCGACATAGTAGAAGAAGTTGATGACATGCTCAGGAGTACCAGTGAACTTCTTGCGAAGCTCCGGATCCTGGGTGGCAATGCCAACAGGGCAGGTGTTAAGGTGGCTTCGAGCCGTTAGCGCAACAGATCATGCAGGGGCAAAAGATAATCGACAACTTACCACTTGCGCATCATGATACAGCCCATGGCAATCAAAGGAGCTGTCGCGAAGCCCCACTCCTCGGCACCAAGCAGACAGGCGATGGCGACATCACGACCCGTCCGGAGCTGACCATCAGTCTGGACGACAACACGACCACGAAGATCATTCAGGACAAGAGTCTGATGGGTCTCAGCGAGACCCAGCTCCCACGGAAGACCCGCGTACTTGATACCCGTCCAGCGCGAGGCACCAGTACCGCCGTCGTGGCCCGAAATCAGGATGTGATCAGCCTTGGCCTTGGCGACACCTGAGGCGACGATACCCACGCCGGTCTCGGACACCAGCTTGACCGAGACACGGGAGCGCGGGCTCGAGCACTTGAGGTCATAGATAAGCTGCTTCAAGTCCTCGATGGAGTAGATGTCGTGGTGCGGGGGTGGCGAGATCAGACCGACACCAGGCGTCGAGTGGCGGGTGCGAGCAATCGACTTCGACACCTTGTGACCAGGAAGCTCACCACCCTCACCGGGCTTAGCGCCCTGCGCCATCTTGATCTGGAGCTCATCCGAATCGGCCAGGTAGGCCGACGTGACGCCGAAGCGGCCGGAGGCGACCTGCTTGATGGCAGAGCGCATGGTGTCGCCGTTGGGCATCCGCTGAGAACGCTCTGGGTCCTCACCGCCTTCACCGGTGTTGGACTTGCCGCCCAGCCGGTTCATGGCAACAGCCAGAGTCGAGTGAGACTCCATGGAGATGGAACCATAGGACATGGCACCAGTGCAGAAGCGCCGCACAATCTCGGTCCACGGCTCGACCTGGTCGATCGGGATGGGGGTGCAGTCCTCGAACTTGAAATCGAGCATGCCGCGGAGGGTGCAAGATTTGATCTGTTCGTACTCTGAGAGGGAGTAGGCTTCGTACGACTTGTCGTTCTTGGTGCGGACAGCGTCCTGGATGTTGGCAATGGACGTCGGGTCGTTGACGTGCGCCTCACCACCGTCGCGCCAGTGGTACTCGCCGGACTCCGGAAGGCCAGGAACGGCAACAGTCTCGCGCGAAGGGAAGCCACGCTCGTGGAAGCGGAAAGCGTCCTCCGCAATGAGCTCAAAGGTCACGCCCTTGATACGCGACGCGGTGCCGCGGAAGCAGCGGTCGACAACAGAGTCATCGACACCGAGAGCCTCGAAGATCTGGGCGCCCTTGTAACTGGCAAGGGTGGAAATACCCATTTTGCTCATGACCTTGAGAATGCCACCATCGCAAGAGTGCTTGTAGTTCCGGATAAGAGCATCATCCGACAGCTTTTTCTTGATCAACTTCTCCCGGTTGAGCTTCAGGATGCATTCCATGGCGAGGTAAGGATTGATGGCGTCCACACCGTAGCCGAGCAGGACGCACATGTGGTGCACTTCACGAGCCTCGGCGGTCTCAACGACGAGCGCAGCCAAGGCACGCCACTTGTTGGTGACAAGGTGGTGATGGACCATGCCCGCAGCAAGCAAGGTCGAAACGGCAACCCGGTCCTTCGACGTGTTGCGGTCAGACAAGACAATGATGCGGTCCCGACCTTCGATCGCTGCAGTGGCCTCGCTGCAGATGTAATCGAGGTGGTTAATGTAACCCTGAATGCCGTCCTTCTTTGGGAAGGTGATGTCGATGGTCTTCACGGTCCACTCAGGGTAGAGAGTCGACATATTCTTGATGGCATTGAACTCCTCAATCGAGAGGATGGGGCTAGGCAAGAGCAGCCTGCCGCACTGGGTGGAGTCCATCTCGAGAAGATTGCCCTGAGGACCGACATAGCACTCCAAAGACATGACAATCGACTCCCGGATTGGGTCAATGGGCGGGTTGGTCACTTGGGCGAATAGCTGGCGGAAGTACTCGTAGAGCAGCTTCGGCGCATCCGACAAGCACGCAAGCGGCGCATCGTTGCCCATAGAGCCCAGCGCCTCCTTCTCGTCCGAGGCCATAGGAGCGAGCAGCAAGCTAACCTGCTCGAAGGTGTAGCCGAAGGCGTGCAGCAACGGGTCCTCCTGAACCTTCGTCTCATCGGGCTTCGCGGCTAGAACGACGTCCTTGTTCTCCGAAACCTTATCCAAGACAGCGGGCATGGTGATAAGGTTCTCGTCCAGCCAGGCACGGAAATCGTGACGACTGGAGACGGCAGCCTTCAGCTCGCTGTCGTCAATGATGCGGCCAGCCTGCGTGTCGACGAGAAGCATACGGCCGGGTTGCAAGCGGCCCTTCTGGACAATCCTCTCGGGATCAACAGGGATCGTGCCGACTTCGGACGCGCAAATAATGCGGTCATCATCCATGACATAGAAGCGGCAAGGACGGAGACCATTGCGGTCGAGGTTGGCGCCGCAGAACCGGCCATCGGCAAAGGTGAACAGGGCCGGGCCATCCCAAGGCTCCATCTGGCAGGCAGCCCATTCGTAGAATGCAGCCTTCTTGGGGTCCATAAGTGTGTTCCCCTGCCACGCCTCAGGGACCATCAGCATGACAGCCTCAGGAAGGGACAGCACGCCGTTGATGGTGAGCAACTCCAAGACGTTGTCGAACGCAGCCGAGTCGGAGCCGCCGTCCTCGACGATAGGGTACAGCATCTCCAAATCCTCACCGAAGATGTCGGACTGCATGACGCCTTCACGGGCGCGCATCCAGTTCTTGTTACCACGGAGAGTGTTGATCTCACCTAGTAGGATAATTAGTTAGCATCCGCTTCACTCTCTGTCGGGATCTCGTCTACTGCTTACCATTGTGAGCCGCCCACCGCAGAGGCTGGGCACGATCCCAGGACGGGAACGTGTTGGTCGAGAAGCGGGAGTGTACGAGGGCAAAGTGAGCCTCATAATCGGCATTCACCAAATCATGGTAGTATTGGTAGACCTGAACTGGTGCCAACTGTCCCTTGTAGACAATGTTCTTGTTGGAAAGGGAGCAGATGTAGAACCAGTTCTGGAGCCCGACAGTATGGGTAGCCCGCTTCCGGAGAACATAGAGTTGCCTCTCGAAGAGCTTCTCATCAAACTTCTCTGGGTCCGTCATCTCGGGAGCGTTGCCCGAGCCATACGCAGACTGCAGCACGACGAAGGGCTGCAGAATGGTAGGCTCACGAGAGGCGGCAGCAGGACCAAGGAGCGTGGAGTCCACGGGAGGCTCTCGCCACCCCAGGATCCTCAGGCCCAAGCTCTCGGCAATATCTTCCAACTGCCGCTTGGACTCCTGCAACGTCTCCTGATCAGGCTTGAAAAACAGGTTCCCCACAGCATACTGGCCCGGAGGAGGAAGCTTAATTCCTTCTTCACGCTCAAAGTTCTTGACAAAGAACTTGTGAGGAATGGAGGTCATGACACCCGCGCCGTCGCCGTCTCGTGCGTCGGACCCCACCGCACCGCGATGGGTCATATTGCAAAGGAGGTTCCGCGCTACAGACGTTAGGTCCTCGGCCGTCGCAAACAAGCTAGAAACGACCTACCATCGCTGACAATCTTGTGGCTAGGCTTGCCCTTGATGTGGCTTCGAGTTGTTAGCGCGATGGCTCATGCTAACACAGAGTAAGCCACTTACCATGCAAAGCCGACACCACAGGCATCCTTTTCAAGTGATGGGTCATACAACCCCCTGGTACGCATCGAGTCAGTGACTACGATCCCGAAGACGGTTCTGGGCAACTAGAATCGCACTGTTTCACCGGCAGGGCGCCTGCCCAAGACCCATTGTTTTCCGTCTGGTAATCATAGGGATGGTATTGCTCTGCTTCGCTCTCAAGGTGTAGTTGTCGGTCATCGAAATCTTCGGGGATCTTGATAGCACCCATGCTAGGCAAGCTTGCTCGGTGGATGCCTGCAAAGGGGTATCGTCAAACCACTCGAGATCGCGTTTTGCTGCCCTGGTCCGGGTCTAGTACAGGTAGGCGAGTGCCGTAGTCGACTAAAGCAGCGGAATAATCTGCACCTTGACGATGAGGGAGGTTAGCCAAAACCGGTCAGTGGCAGTGGGCAATGTGACACTGATATATCAGGGGCATGCGTCGGGCGAGATGACGTGAGGTACCAAGGCCAGGGGGAAGAAGCAATCCAGCATGAACCCCCGGTTCCGGGTAACACAATAAGGCAACCGGCCCACATATCCCCGAAAAGGTGCGGCACTCTTTGAGAGTCGAGGCTGTCAAAAGGGTCGGGGTAGAGTTTGGAGTCGAACGAGAAGTCCCCCGTGCAACTAGACAATATGGACATGTACGAAGTCGTTTGAGGTGACGTGCTGCAAAGATCGCGAGCCGGTACAGTCGCATGGGTTGGCCGCCCACTCTGCCGCAATAGTATCCGATAGCCTTGCGGGTCATACCGGGATTGTGATGCAATGGCAAGCAGTTGCAGCCAACCATTCCCGGCCGGCCCACGCACAACACCCCAAATTCCACGCGGGATGACGACAGAAAACAGGTCTTATGTCTTATCGTACTGCTGATAAGGCATTCGACAGCGATATCCGCGGTGCCGAAAAGAGGCAATGGGTCGATTACTTGCTGTATAACGAGACGAACAAGCAGGGTGTCGCCCAGCGGGTGCCAATCCGATGTGGCAGTCGAGGGTGTGCCAGAAAGAAGCGGGGTGTGTGTAAGAGGAGCCGAGACCGGGGGTCGCAGAGCAGGGGTACGAACCCCCACTAAGTTCCCCAGTCGCAAGCACATGCCAATGCACCATCCGGGGCGTCAGCAAAAGCCATCCGCTCCGCCGCTCGTACAGTGATTGTGTCGTGTGCTATGTCGAGTATAGGCAGACAATCGCAGTTCGCTTGTGTCTGTCCACTTTTGTCCCGAGTCGAACCCATCTGATTTTTGCCATATTGCTGTAATCTGCTCGAGATGGCCGTGATTTTGATGGTATTCGTAAGGCAAGGTGTGGTTGTGCAACCCAGCTGAAGACAATTTGTCCTCTGCCTGAGTGCCTGTTCCCCAAGCCTTTCCGGTCGAATGGGAATGTCGGAACGCATGCGGAGATCATGCCGTTGGAAGATGCTGCATCGCCATCTTGCCCTCCGCGTGGTGGTGGGTTTGTGGATGAGATAAAAGAGGATGTCTTTAACTTACCAATCGGCGTGATTGCGACTTCTGAGCAAAGTCGCTTACACGCTGCTTGCTCGGGCAGACTCGTTGGTGAGCGCGATGACTTATGGTGAAGCGAACAATTCCTGAAGGAGGGAGAGCGAGGGGAAAAACCAAGCAGGGTGCGGGTGGCGAGAGTGGTTTATATGACGGCTAGGACGCCCAGTTGCCAGGTGCGCGAGGAGAATTGGCTGCCGGTCTGCTGGTCCGGGATGTCTCGTTTGTCAGATGGACTGGCGACCGGAGGGAAGCGGAGCGAACTGCGAATTGCAGGGGAAGAAGTGGACAGAAATCTCGGGTGGTGAGGCAGAAACATGTGCTTTGGAGGCAAACTCAGACCGGATAGGGTGGGGGAAGTCGCGGGGACCCTGGTCGGCCAAGCTGGGGTTGCTATTCACTCAGTGCGACAAGTTGATTAATGCAAGGCCCCCCGCTTACTGGCTGTGGCAGAGCCAAGCCAATCAAATTTTCAACGCACACCTAGTTGCAAGAATACGCTGGGGACGCGGACTGGACACACATTGGGACATTCTGATAGTTATAGCGACGCCGGACTTATCTACTTACAGAGGTAAGCGTGGCTGCCGTATTGTGGATGGACTTTAGGAAGATGCTGTCGAGGTTTGTGCGACCAAGCCACGGACGTCGCCGTCGCACCAATACCGCCAACCTGCGTCGCCCGGCCTGTACCCCGAAAGCTATGCACTGGAACTTGGCGACTTGACGGTTGAGCGCACGGCAAACCGGCATCGAGCTCTCGCCAAACTGTGTGCGTAAAAACATTCGCTATGAGAAACACAGGTGAAGGGCTGACTTTATGAACGCACCCCACAGCAACGTCGCATCTTGCATGTCCGAAATGGGCTAGCCTAAGATCCGCAAGCATCGCCTGCATGCAAAGCACGTTTGGGATCCTTGCTTGTTACCGGGGGCTAAGAAAGCAGTTGGACGCAGCTTCCACAGCCATAGGCCAATCATGACGCGCGCTTTTCAAAGAGCAGCAGCCGATGTCGCCTGTCCAGCGCCAATCTGCAAGTTGCGGAGAAGGTCCCTGGAGACCCTGCCCGCCGGTATCGTTCGAGACGGACCGGGCACCTTAACTCATCCGCAAGCTAACGGGCGGAGGCAGAGGTGGACGATGGCGGATTCCTTGACCGATGGACTTATTGAAAGAAGGCGAGCGAGCGGGAGCTGCAACCTCTTGCGGTTGGAACTCTCCAGCTTTTGATGTCACTGACAAGCAAGGAGGACACACGCATAATCAATCTTGGTTAGTTTTCCCGGTTCTGTCCCTCGAGTAGGTTGCACAACTGCCTTGGCTTAACCCTCAGATTCTGCACCACGAAAGAGGAAGGGGGACACGAGCTGTAGAATGTAGCAAGTAATGAAAAACACGAGACAAGACAGCATCACACATTCTGCTGTCGGTAATTCTGCCGCAGGTAGTGTTTCGGCGCGCTGCATCGAGCCAACCCACTCGAGAGGCAATGAGTGCTGTAAAAAGAATTATCAGACAACGATGCACTTCGCCAATCAGACAGCTGATGTCGACGCTTAACTACCCTTATCTCGGATGGGTGGGACCATCCGCCGCGTCAGCCTATTGACGCCCGGAATGCAACGGGTTGTGGAGCGGATTTGAGATCGCCCTACCACTCAGGCGACGTGAATGAAAAGCCAAGGACATGCCCGGCGTCCGGGTACTGGTTGTGGTTGCGTTTATTATCAAGGTGGTGGGGCTCCCGAGGCTACGGAAAGTTTGAGGCTCGTTAACCCCGCGGTGGAACATTCGACTTACACATTTGTTGGTTATAGGCTTCGGAATTGTGTACTCTTATAGGTAGTCAGACAGCGAAGCGTATACCCATCATAGAGTTAAGGTTCTCTGACCATGTCCACTGAAGTTCCCGGTTCCCTTGATGTTCGACCTGCCCGGACACACTCATCTGAAGGCGGGTGGCAGGAAAACCGCTCCGGCACCGTCTGTCGCTCCACATCGTGGGGGGTGCTGCATGAACACAACAATTGCCTCGATTCCTGTCATCAGTGGTTGGGCTTTTCGACATCCGATCTGCTCTGCTGCTCTCGGCCAATTTCGCTCCACTTCCTCAACTTGGCCGCCAGAGTCATCATCCTGTTCCATTGTTCCGCGGACACACCACGTAACAGCATGCTCGTAAATGAACCGTCGTTGACAGCGGCCGGTATCGGCGTCTCGACGCTCACAGAGTCTCATTCAATTGTACTTCAGTATGTGTACTCGAGTTCGGTTTGACCTCTCGTCAGCCCATTAAATATCCGCCGAGGCCAGCTGCAACCAAAGCCAGACATGTCCAGCATATGAGCCTTTCATTTCGGGTTTCAAGTGACAGGAAAAGCAAAAGCAGTTCGGAGCGCAGAGCGATTTCCTGACGGCTAGCGTCATCGGCGCCATATCCCACGCTTGTGGAGGACGACCTTCCGAATTTTCCCGGTATGGAGTCGATTAGCGTGGGCATGCACGATAATCTGTCGCACCTTCATTTGGCGCTGTCTTAGCTGCATATCTCCATTGGATGTATGTACATCAGGTCCCTATGGTTCTCCGAAAGCAACATCACATTTGAATGCAGGCACTCTTCAACGTTGCAGGCGCTTCAATATTACCTCACAGAAACACAAACTGTCAGTTTGCAGCCCATGGACTAGGAGGCCTGAGACCCGGAAGAACGTTGATCTGTCAGCAAACGAACGACCTGAGCACAGTCAATGGATTTAAGGTAACGTAGGTACGCTCAAGGTAAGGTACCTGGCTCGCCTGGTTACATACGAATGATCTACAGGTCTATCTGCCTTGTAACTTAGGCACCTAGTGAGGGAAATTTCACAGAGTAATGGCAGACGCAGCAGGAGAACTAAGAAATACAGGGCCCTTTATATAGTACATTCAGGACAATAGTTCAGTCCTGCGTCGTGATCCTCTTCACATGTTCAATTTTACTGCACGGAACAAGAAGATGGAACTCCCCAAACCCACCAAGATTTAGACTGTGGGGCGTCTGCCGAGTATCCCTGCTCTCCCGAAGCCTCATCGTGCACAGACCCTATCGCCGTGAAATTCTGTGGGGTGCGCTCGAGGTAAGTCCCGTTGTACACAGTACTAATAGCAAGGAACTCAGTATGAGCACATCACGCAAATTGATGGACCCACACTTCTCGGATCTTCTCCTCGGTGATGATTGCCGCATCCTCCTACCTACTATGTATACAGTAAGGTAATGACTGACGTTTTGACGAGCCCTCAAAAGCGCGCGTCAGTCGTGTTGAGGCCACGAGCGCGCAGTTACTTGGTTGTCATGGCGACATCTCTCAGTCGGCATATATATCACTCTCTAACTTGCAAGCAAGAGTACTGAGTTTTGCCTTCTCTCATGGCAAAACGTTGAAGCTTTGAAATTCCGAGAAACGCACCAGTCCGAGTCACATCCCGAAATAAAGCAAGCAAAGCGACCATGTTCTCAATCCTCCCAGATCTTATGCCGCGGGATGTGAGTTATGGATTCCTTAACTACGATCCCTTTAACTACGCTATCTCACTCGTCCGAACCAACCGCTAATCTCTCATCTGCAGTCGCATTCCCTCTGGTACACTTCTTCACGCAACCCGAATCTTACTTCTCTCCCGCATTTTGACCCTTCTTCTATGAACGACAATGTCATTAATACTACCGTACCGAGCGTGAACCCGACCCAGAACACCCCGGCCCCGAACACCACCCCCACAGCCCGCCCGAGCAACGCCCCCTCGGCATCGGCCCAAATCATAGAGCGCTCCGCGCTGGGCCGGCTCCGCGCCGAAGAGATACTGATGGAGCGCCGCGCCGCCGCAATGTCCAACTTCGGCAGCACATGGTTGAAGCCGCCCGGAGTTTCCAAGACGCTGTTCCAGATGCGGGAGGAACAACGCGAACAGGAGGAGCACGAAGAGGCTATGCGACGCGAGAGATTGGCTCAGGAATTAGCCCAGGCAGAGGCCGAAGCGGCGGCTGCGGCGGCTGCGGAGGCGATGGGTGAGGATGTAGGCATGGAGGGGGAGGAGGATGATATGCTGATGGACGGGGAGGAGGCGAGGGATTTGGACGAGGATATTCCGGATGCGGACGAGGGCGGATTTGGCTATGACGGAGCTAGTGATGAGGAGGCGGAAGAGGAGGAAGTCAGCGACGAGGAAGATGATGACGAGGAGGAGGAGGAGGAGGAAGAGGAAGAGGAGGAGGATACGGAGGAGCACGAGATCTCTCATCTCCAGATGCAACAACGGCGACGTGCGCAGCAACGAGAATTGGCCAACCAGACCGCGAGCATACGCGCTACCGAGGATCGCATGCGCCAGATGATGGCACGCGGGAACTCGCAGAGCGACCATCTCGGCGAGGATTTCTACGGCGCAGAGGAAGACATCGGCGAAGAGGAGCAAGCACAAATGCTAGACGAAGACGACCTCCTCAGCGGCAATGCACATCCCGAGGCTGATGTGGAGCCCGGCCCGGACATGGACATGGACGCAAACCTGGACGACGACATCCCTGAGGCAGAACTGAGCGGTGGCTATGAGCACACCGACTCCGAGGCCTCGCTCAGTAGCGATGGCGATGGTCACGATCTCAGCTACGCCCGCAGTTCGCGGATGCTGCACCCCAGGGGTAGTCTGCGGCGCAGTCAGGGCGCGAGGTCGAGCCTTGATATCAGCGGCTTCTTGTCCAGAGACGGCAGCAGCATCATGGGGAGTAGCCCGCATATTCGAAGGGCTAATCACGAAAACTGAGGCATGGGACAACGGGTGGGGGGGAGTTATGTCGGTTCACCAAAGTCATGATACCCGTATTGTTGGGAGGCATTGGCGTCAGCGCAGGTTATTTGTTATCCACCACGGTTAGGACTGGGACTAGAACGGAGTTCAAAAGAAAGGGAAGGTCGTGTTCTGCATTACAACGTTCGTATCAAAACTAGGTAGCCTCTTCATCATGAATGCATGCGGCTACATTGGGCCACCAACATTCCATCAGTTACCAAGCCCAAAGGATGTATGCTTCCCAAACTCCAAGCGCCTGCGTGGCCAAGCCCTACCTTGGCCGACAACGCGATATTATCTAACCAAGACGAAATGCCCATACCTCGCTCTGGCCCGCTCAGAACAACCATACATAGATGAACAAGAGGATAACGGCTGCGAAGAAGGCCAGCCACACCCTCCAGCCCACGCCCGTCCGCTCCGCCATGACGAGCATCCTGTTCATGGTCCTGCCCAGTCGCAGCCGTGTCTGATCAAACCCCTCGTTCATCTTCTCCGCCAAGGCAGACGACTCGCGAATCTCGTCACCAATGGCTACCGTCATCTGGGTCCCAAGCACACATCAGCAACTGCCTTTTTCGGCGGCGAGACGCCAAGCAAGAAAACGCGCCAACTCACATCCTTCAGCATCTTAACCTTGCCCATAATCCCCTCCACCTGCTCATCATTCTGGCTCTCCAGCTCGTTTAGGACCGCGTCGCTGTATTGGCCCCTGTTTTGTTTCGTTTCGTTCCAGTCAGCCCTGGCTCTTTCTTGCCAGCTCTTAACCGCATCCACTCCAACCCGTTCAAAGGACCTGCCCTGCGCACGGTCAAAGGGATCTCGAATACGCACTTCCGATTAGGCGTCGCTGGCCTGTACCCCCTGCTCTCAGTCACCCCAGTTCCTAGATGGCTGCTACCGCTACCGCTGGCGCCGTTGGGTGGCTGGTACCCGCCATATCCGTAGCCGCCGGAACCCAGGTGTCGACTTGGACTTGTGCTGAGTGTCCTGCTGGCGCTGGCGCCTGTGTAGCCTTTGAAGAGGTCGCTGCGCGAGTCGCGCTGGTGCAGGGAGGAGGGGCCGAATCTAAGAAGTGATGAGCATCGTTGTTAGTAGTTTACATTTTGTTGACAGGGAAGCTGCAGTTGGGAGAAGGGTTGCGATGGGATCGCTGTGTATGATAAGGAACAGAGCATCGTGGTGTCGGAGCTGTCGGCTTAGGGGCAAAGATATCGCGACGAGAGCGCCGCGATAGAGTGTCGTGTTGGCTCAGGAAGGTTCGGTTCAGTGTCGAGCGTCCCGTCTCATCCGATCCACGGCGACGGGTGTTTGAATGCAGCTGCAGCCAAACGAACTCACCTCGAAGCCATGTTGTGCGCGTTTCGTAGAGGAGGTAGTGTTATATCGGCAATTGTTTAACTTCCATGGCGATCTAGGAGACAGCTTCGAAACGGAATCTACAACGGCGTCGATATTTTGCGGCGTTGTCGAGATGTGGAACAAAGTCAAACATCTCGGTTGCTAGCTGCTAGCCTGCTACCCTTTGTCCAGTCAAGGTGGCCACAATTTGCCCCATTGAGATTGGCCAATGCCGGCAGCACGCTAGGGCGGCAGACGTTGTTGTGTTTGGCCTTCAATTTAATCAAACCCCGTTTGCACGTCGAAGAATCCTGTGCCAATCACTGCTTGAGCCAGACCCTTGAGTGATGCGACCCAGCTATAGTGCTGTAGTAGTGTACAGTAGCTAGGCGCAACAACCCAAGCTTGTACCACTCGCCTCCATAGTGGACTGTAGTGCTTGGACCGCACGATCAATGGGCTGTGCGCTTCTACATGGAGGTGGCATGCCTGAAAGTCGCTTGAGTACCAGGGTCGCAACGCAAAGCTGGATGGTGCATTGATGAATTGCCCGGCAAGGGAGCAAACAGTCAAGAATCTCGAGTAGAAGTGCTCTGCACCACAAGCGGACGACGATAGCTGCAAATTCCCATGTACGTAAGTCAATTTCATCCGCGAGCGCATCCTCGCAGGTAGTAATAAGAGCCCCTCAATCACTATAGGCAGGCGGACAAGCAGCGATTTGGATCCGCTCGCTACCACCAGACCCTGCTGAAAGTTCAACTATCCAGCATGAATGAGGTTGGCCATATCCATTCATGACATCGTATCCATTCCATCGTCGTATCAAGCGCTCACAGTAGTGTCAGCGGGGGCTTGGACCGGGGCCTCTGCGGGCTTCTGAATGGCGCCCTCGGGGAGCTCGGGGGTCTGCTGGACGGGGTCCTCCTAATCCTCGTCCATCTTCTCGTCCTCAACCTCGAAGTCCTCGTCATCTTCATCTTCATCATCGTCGGCAGGATTCTCCGCCGCGGCCTTGGCGAAGTCGATCACCTTGCCGCGAGTGCGACGTCCAATGACGTTGTCAAGATCGATCTCCTCCATGTTATCCTCATCAGCTGCGGAGCGGTTAGTCGCGTAACAATGCACGTGGGATAGTGCAGGGCAAGAAACATACGAGCTTCGGCCTCCTAGGAACAGATCACGTTAGCGCCGAACTGTGAAGGGGATGGGCGACTCTTGTGGGAGGCTTACCTCGGGGACATCGTCGTCCTCCTCGTCATCGTCATCGTCGTCGTCCTCAGCCATAGACGTGTCCTCAACAGGCTCCTCGGTCGCGGGAGCTTTGCCCTTACCCTTGAGGTCGGTCGCGGTCGCGGCGCCGTTCTCAGGGTTGGTGACGGCCATGGAGTCGTTCGTTCCGTTCTCGCCAGCCATGTTTGCGATCGAAGTGAACCTCACGAGAGAATGTATGAGATTGTCGTGTTGCTTGTTTTGATGCTCTGAGCACGAATTGCCAAGTCTTGAAAACTCTCGAGCGAAGGATTGACTGGAGAAGGGTGGGATGAGGAAAGGTAATGGTTAATGTAAAACACAACAGGAAGGTGGCAGATAATAAACAGGCCTTCCGAATCTCTGGGCTGCAGCGCGCGCCTTCCCAACTCAGTGTTGGCTCTGTGGGGCTCATTGGGGAGGTCAAAGTGGATCGGCCGGTAACCACTGGCAACCAGCTGACAGACATCCCGCTGCGAGCCACGGTGTGTCAAGCGCAACCAAACGGCTGACAAGCTGATGAAAAAGAGTGACAGGGAAACCGTAAGCGTCAAAAGAAGGACCAGGCGGCTCCATAGAATTTAAAGATGTGAGGCCGCTTCTGGCTCAGGATGACGGGGATTTGGACAGAAGAATGAGCCAAAGCACCTACCCTACCAGACAGGCAATAAAGGAAACACCTTCACTCATCGGGATAGATATATCAAGGATCGATGATTGAGACGTGCCGAAACACAGGACCGAGCCAGATTGAATCTATTACTTCTGCTCTCCCCCTCCAGAAAGCATTAAAAATGCCCCGATCGCCAACGCCCACCAGTACCTGTAGCAATATGTCAGCATCAATACCCGTTCTTCACACATCACCGCAAGGAGTAGGGTAGAAGGGGAAGGAGAGGAACGCCCACGACGTACTTCTGCAAAAAGGTCTTCTCCTCGGGCGCCACCACCTTTCTCCCATCCTGGCTCAGCACGACCGGCTTCCCCAGCACCGGCTGCGCGCCCAGGGTCGTCCGCACCACCACAGCCTGCGGGCCAAAGTCCCTCGTCTGGCCCGCATCGATCGCCACACCGCGGCAGAGCACGCCGATGTAGTTGCCGTCAGCGTCCAGCGAGAGCACGAAGCGCGGCGCGTAGCCTTTGGCGAAGTTCTCGACCGATGCCACCGAAGTCGAGGAGATCCAGCGCTGCGAGGCGGCGTCGTAGACGCCGATACGGACGAGTTCAGTTGTTGACGGGTCTATGTCGGGGGCCTCGTAAGATAAGACTTCCGATGTCTCTTCCGAGTCTTCTGTTGTTGTTGATAATGGGTGAAGATCCGGGACGGCTAGCTCAACGAGAAGGGACGGGGTCGGTTCGGTTTCGGCGGAAGTGAGCGGCTGGATGTAGATGGACGTGGTACGGCTTGTCGACTCTGCCGCGCTGGCGAGGACCGCCGCTAGGAAGGCCGAAAGCACTGTCGGAAACCTCATCTTCGCTGTCCGCGGTCGGCGGCTGGATACTGAGGCGTTGTTGTTGGCGGCTGCCGTTGGGACATCGTGGTATTGCAAGTTCTTGGCATGGTGACCCACCCATTATCGATTGCAACATCCCCCACAACATCGGGAGTGGACGCGACCCCACCGTGCGATATGACGCTGGAATGACCGGAGTATCATCCGGAAGGGTTCATTCAGTCTTCGAGGGAGTCTGATAAATCCAGCAACGGGTCTCGACATGAGCATAACTGATGTTGTTTTTTTAGGTGGAGATATATTCGCTTGACTGCCATGGTATCTCTAACCAGACATGATACATATAGATCCTAACATAACCTCGAGCTTGTAACCCTAGCAAGCTCATAGCCATCCTGCTTTTCCCGATGTTGAGGTCTCTCTCCCCAACACCAGAAAGCCGAAGTAATTCCAAACATGTCCCCGCCTATTCGCGGCTAATTGCGCGCTCCAAGCGAGAGTTTTCTTATCGTCTCTCATAGTTCCAAGTAAATTCTATTCCTCCAACAGACGGCCGCGGGCCCGCCTGTATGTGACACAGCATTCATCAAGGGCCCAGACCGTGGGCTTGTTTCAAGATGCCTCCCCTTGGCCTTCCACAACGCCGTCGTCCTCATCGAGCTCGTCGCTATCCTCCACGGCATCGCTGCTGTCAGAATCTTCGTTCTCTGCCCCTTCGAGCCTGTAGCCCGGGCATCTCTCAACAAGTCCAGAATAATATGCAACCAAGACTTCCGGGTTGGGAACAATTTTCCAGTCAACACGGTGCAAGAATTCGAGCTCCAGTAGTTTGAGCTCTGCCACTTTGACGCCCCCAACTCTAGCGTAAGTTGAATTGTTCCAGAACGCATCGGACAGTCCTTTCGCCGCGACCGTAGCGGCGGTAATGAGAAATCGGTGCACGGTCAGGGTGTTGATGGTGAAATCGGGGTATAGTGCGCATAAGCGGTCAATGTAGTAGACCATGGAGAGGAGGAGGGGCGGGGTTAGAGTCGCGTGCTTCGCGAGGCGGTGAAGGTAATCGAGTACTGATATCCCGGGGGCAGTTCTGGACTTCGGTCAGTTCTTCTGCACATGGGTCAACGGAAACAAAACACTCGAAAGAGACGCACCGGGAATGGAAGCGGGTGAGGTGGCCCGACTTGAGGGCGAGCGTATCGTTCGTCTCGATGAGCTCTCCTAGCATATGCGCGATAAGGACGACCATGTCCTCTACCGGACAGTATTCGTATCGCAACGGTAGGACTTTCGGGGGCGCGGTTTCGGGCTTGGCCCGTTTTGATATCGTTGAGGGGTTTTGTAACGTATCGGGCGCCAATCCGCTCGTGCTGCTACCGGGCCCTTGAGAATTTCTTCTCTTAGACGGAGAGGCAGTCAGGGACGGAGAATCCATGCGCTGCTTCGAACCGGCAGGCGCCGTTTTAGAGGGCTTCGCCGGCGACCGCGCGACAACGGCGGGCCGCTCCTCGGGGGCGGCCATTGCTTTTTGTGCCTTGGACTCGTGCTGGTCGGCTTTACCGGTCGGTGGTACTCGCGGGAGCAATGCGCCGGTGGCGTAATCCATAGGCTCCATAGGCGAGTACTGGGTCGCAGCGTCGACGGCTACATATCGTTTTTGTTGCGGTGCTGCGGACGAGGTTATTGCGGCTGCAGGCGAGGTAGACGGCCGGCGAGACTTGGCGACCGCCGGAATCCTGGGAGAAGCGTATCTCGGCGAGGGGCCTGGTGCATAGTGGAAGCTGTGAAGGCTACTTCGAGGCGATGCATTGGCTGGACTGGCGGGAACGGGAGAAGACCGTGCCAACATCATCCCAACCTCATTTCCTCCTCCCGCGAAGCGCAGGCAATGCGCGAGTGAGAAGTTGAACCCGAGAAGTCTTGTGCGGCAAGCCCAGTCCGGGACGGTGGGGCATGCGCGAGATCGGCCCACAGAGCACTGGGCACTGACCGCGCTCCTTCTCGGTGTCCGGAACCAGCCCAAGTTCGAAATTTCAACAACACCAGCACCCTGTCACCTCTTTCTCGGGGAATTGGCAGTTCCCAAGTCGTGCACATGCCCGGACAGAAGATCGATTTGCGCTGGCACGACGCAGGCTCGAAACCCTAAGTAATCGGATACCGGCTGTGGTATTGATGTCCCGACGTAAGATGCCTTCCAGGTTCTTCGTGCCAGCGGGACAGGTCACAGGAGCGGTGTTCGTTGCGGTAAATCCCGAGGTGGCCTCTTTCGGGCAATAGGGATGATGGACAGTGAGGGTAAATAGTGTCCACATCAGGAGCACACTTATCAGATATATATCTCTCGCGCAGCTCTCGTAAGGGTTGGTAGCACGTCGATGTGTGCCTTTTCTTCCTCAATGAGCGCCCAATGAGCAATTGAGTGCGATAGCTGAACCCACTCCACAGATCACGTTGCCATGCGAGGGACACCGACTCGCCGGGAGCCATCCAGGTCTAGTGCCGGCCCGTGATTGGCACAGTGCCGGGGTCTCGACGCAAAGAGGCGGGCTTGGCACCACGACACAGCAAGATCAGGGCATGGGCGGTGACAACAGGGAATTGAAGGCCATGTGGTGCTCTGGCACGCTTCTTTGTTGTTGAGAAAGGGACAACTTCCCGGGCACTTATTATGTAGATTACTTGGAGTCGAGGTAAGAGTGCAGGTCATTGGGCGTGTCCTTCATAGAGCTGTCAAAGTGCCAATTCAATCAGAAGTTCGGTGTCTGGAAATGGCAGTTGAAGTCAAAACCGGGGAAGTTTTACACACCTAGCTGTCATCTTCCATCAGCTGTCCACGTGCCAAGTAATGGTCGATGGTATGGGGTCGAGAACCTCTCCATTCTTGTTTCCTGGTAATCCGTAGACTTCTGCCATCCTTGTCTGAGGTTGAAGCATTAGGAAGCGCGGCTTAAGCTCTCGTGTAGGTAGGAAAGCAACACAGGCAGGGGTAGTAGTATACATACAAGAGAATAACACTCATGTCCGATCAGTGAAATCAATGGCCAGCGATTCTCATACAAATCGTCATCCAGTGGGCTCAATTAGCTACATACACTGCGTACCTACGGACAGATACCCAAGGTAAACTACCTCGTAGGTAAAGGTGGTTGTCCTATAGTACTTGAGGGTCCGAGCGTTTTTCATCCGATGGCCTCCTCTAAACAAATTGTGCTCAATGACGTGAGCGAGATTGTTGGTAGCGTGGTCGGTGCGGTTGATGGATGGGTTTTGTTAGGGAGTATCGTCAGTGGTGGTGGTGGTGGTGGTGAATCGTGACGGTGGTGGTCCATCGGTTGGAAAACGCTCGGACCCCCACAAGTACTAGTAGCTCGCGTCGGCTATATCCGCAGTCATTGAACTGCTGCATCACTTTAACATCGGCCATCCTGCACTGCATCGATTTCTCAAATGCTGCTCAGTGAAGAACGGCTCCCGGACTGGCACACGAATTCCTGTTCCCAAATAAAAGCGAGCGGTACCGCTCTGTATTAGGGAATCGGCAGGAGGCAAATATCGAAGCGCCACTCGGTAGTCGTCCACGGTCCATCTTCAAGCGTTCAACAACTCTCTCCTCGAGCTCTGTTCAAACGCCCAAATCGATCATCGCCGCACACATCGATCCACCGTAGATAGACAGAACCTCCTTTCAACGAGCGGCTCGCCCGCAGCCCGACGAGATCCGCAGTTTGGTGCCATGGCTCTGGTGCAGAGCCCGGCAGTTCTCTCGCAAATCAGAGTTGCGAGGAGTTTTTCGGAGCAAGCTGCCTCCCTTCGAGCGATAAGGGATGAAATAATCGGCCATGACCGGCGGAAGGAGTGGTGGGTGCAAAATGGCATCTTGGAGCTTCTCGTCAAATTCCTAGAAAACAATGTCCAGTCACCAAGGTTGAGCGGCAAAGAACGCAGTGGAGCAGGGCAGTCTGGGCCGCTGGGAGAAGGTGAAGTGGTGCGGCTGCTGTCTCTCCAACTTCTTGCCAGCTTTGCATACGGTGAGTCCGCCCTGGCCCCGACTTCAAAGCCGATGTCGTATACTAACCTGGGCCAGCTGGCGCCGCATTCCTTGGCGCTCTCCATGCTGCCGGCGTGGTCCCGGCCATCATACCGGCAATATCTCCTGATTATAATCCTCCCCAGGTTGTATTAGCCGCACTACGGGTCCTGCACAACATCACGGCCTCCGCCCGCCTCGCACCTACCGCGGCGGACGGTACGAGCGGTCTATCAGAAGTCATATTCGCTCCTCGCACGCTTGACCAACTACGCTGTATTCTTTACGACGAAAGGACAGACGCTACGGTACAAGAGCAGAAGCGCTTGATAGCCAGGCTAATAAGTCAGTTGTGTAAATGTGCCCACCATCGAAAGGCGCTGGCCGATTCGGGTATCTTGGATTCGCTCGCTACGATGCTTGCGAGCTTCGTCGTAGCCAGGGGGGAAGTTGTGCCGAGAGCCGAGATACTAGCGCAGAGCGACGGTCTGACGTTCGAAATACCAGATCCTGCCCCTCCTGGCGCCGATCTTGCGCTGGTTCTCGAGGCACTGTCAACTATCATCGCGAACTCGCGGTTTTGCTCATGTCTTTTGTTGTGTTCCCCAGCAATCATGGCCATCTTCCCCTCAGCCGAGTTTGTGCCTCTTGCTTCGGAATCAAAGGCCGCCTGGAATGCGCTCGAGATGAGCGGCTTTGGCAATACTCGCGCCAGGAACCCCGGAGCGATGGACTATCTGCTTCCGGCCATCGCTGTGCCAACAACCAGATCTCAGTCGGGTCGCTTTGCCGAGTATCCGCCCTTGGGCGTCTCCTTATCGCGCGACAACCTTGCCTCGAGCACGCGATCTTCCACCTTCAAGTTCACGGGCTGGGAATCGAGTCGATTCGATGGTGCTTCTGGAGAGGACGGCGACGCTGACGAGCCAGAGAGCCCTCTTATTCCGTGGCTGATTCATCTCATCCGGTCGACAGACGGCCTCGAGAGAGTCATGGCCGCGTCCCTTCTGACATCGTTGTTCAAGGCAGGTTTCGCCACTCCAGAGCGGGAACAGGCACTGGCCGTGCTCGTTGTCCCGCTCCTCTGCCGAATGATGAGGGAAAACGACCAGGAGGTCCGGAGCTCTGTTCAACACGCGGCGATCGTCGAGCCGGAGATCGCCAGGCGCTGGGCTATTCAGGAGAAGGTGCCCGAGGTCTTGGCTCGCCTTGTTGGAGAGAGCGAGACACTGCAAAAGGCCGCCCATGATTGCGGCATAATCAAGACGGTGGCAAAGATCCTGAAAGACTCGTACGAGTCGCCGCCAGTACAGTCACCTCCGCGGCCGTGGTCACCTACGCCCAATCGAGGGACCGGCACCCAGGACGGTCCGCCTACGTGCCGAGTCGGGCCTGCCGGCCAAACTCCGGCCTATGCTCATACCATAAAAATGAGGGAGAACTCGCTAAAGCTTGTGGCGGGAATGGCCACGCTCAGCAACGACTACCGGCAGGCGCTTGTCAAGGAGGGGGTCATGGCATACGTAGTGGAGTATCTATCGCCGTCTCTGAAGAAGTCCATTAACGCCAAGGAGAAACCGACGACAGAGAGGGCCACGGAGGACGGAACGGGCGGCGCAACTTCGCCTGGCAGTCACAATCCAAATACAGTTATCATCGCAGCCTGCCATGTAGTAAGGGCACTGGGACGATCACCGAGCATTTTGCGGACGACTCTACAGGATCATGACGTCGGGGTGCGTATCAACGAGCTTGCCCGGCATCCAGATGCTGAGGTCCAGATTGCCGCCTTGAGCGCGATCATCAACCTGGTGACAAACTGCAGCCCCATGGTGGAGGTGAGTCTCGATTCCATTGGATGTCCCAGTGCCTACTGCAAAGTGGCATGCATATTAACACGGGCTGAATAGCCTCTTCTCGAGGCTGGAATTGTCAGGACCCTGTGCGAACACGCGCACTCGCTCAATCCTGGCTTGAGACTCAACGCGTTATGGGCGCTCAAGCACTTGGTAATGGACCTGGACAACACCCGCAGGAAGCAATGTCTCGAAGAGCTCGAACCTGGCTGGCTCGTCCAGCTCATAAGCGATGACACATCCGAAGAAGAAGCATTGCACGTGCAAGGGCGATCGGAACGACGGGCCACCGACGCAGGTGACGGCGAAGACATAAGCACGGCTGAGGCCCGCTACGAAGACGACACGCACGGATCCTGGACCTGGCCCGCCCTGAGCCGGATTGCCCAGCGAACAATCTCACCGCGGCTGCAGCAGACATCCATCAAACTCTCAGCGCTTCGCGACGCGGAGCTCAACCCGCAACGCAAAGCCCGCAACGACAGTCTCGCTATACAAGAGCAAGGCCTCGGCTTCGTTCGCAACCTGATCGCACTCCCCAACCTGTCCAGCCAGACCGACATGGTCGACTACCTCTTCACCGAGCTGGGGCAGGACCGCCTCTTCGGTATCCTGGCCGACAAGCTCAAGGTCCGCGTTGTCGGCGCCTTCAGCCGCCGCCTCAGCCGCGGGCGCGACACCCTCGTGCTGTACCCGCAGGCGCGCATCGTCGAGAACCTGGCGTATATCCTCGCGCACATCGCGGCGGGCCTGCCGCGGCACCGCCAGCTAGTCGTGGCGCAGACGGAGCTACTCAAGCTGCTGAGCGCGCATATGAATAGTAAGGACATCGGGGTCCGCAAGGCGCTGTGCCAGCTGTTTATGAACCTGAGCACTGTGGAGAGTGACGGGGAGAGGGGCCCTTCCGCGCAGAGGGCGCTGGAGTTGGAGCGGCTGGGCTTCTTGGCCAAGTTGGAGGGGCTTGAGCAAGGGGATGCCGATCTGGATGTCCGGCAGCGGGCGAAGGCTGCGGTGGCGCAGATGAAGACGCCTACTTCGTAGTTACGCTCTGTACACTACAGTCGGCGTGTGAGGGGGGTCGACCGGACGAGGAGAGGGTAGGAGCCCAGGTGAGGGGACCGGGACCGGGGCCAGGTCTGTCGGGATCGTCGGATCGTCGAGATCCTCATTGGTGTTGTAGTTGTTGGGGAAAGGGCGAACGCCCGCGCGAGGCCACATGAGCTCGCAAGGCAATACAAAGTACGATGGTTTTATGGTTGCAGCTACAGCACTGCAACGACGGGACAGGGAACGGGGTATTCAGGTATTCTCACACTCTATGGCGCGAGCCGGTATTTGGACTGGGAGGACGGGCGTCACATAGCACATGCAGCAGAAGTATGGAACTCATTTTGAATGGTTTTGGTTTGGTCAGGTCAAATTGCTGAAAGGGAGGCTCCTACGGCTCAGTATATACGGTGCATACAAATACGTGTTTTCGTGCCAGTGTTTTAAGCAGCTACTGTAGTCATTATATCTTACTGGGGTATAATACCAGTAGCTTAAGCTCGGGTTTTAATATAGTTTATGAAGTACCTAGATGTTATCCTCTGTGAAGCTGTGGGAAACGTCCGCTCCGTCGGTCTCGGCCCAAGTTAGCACCAGAAAAGGAACGATCAACCTCACTGCACATACTAGTAGTGCCCTCATGACTGCCGAGATGGGGGACAGATTTTCGCGGATATACTCGGCTTCTAGCTGGAATGGACGGGATGTATTTCCTAAACTGAGTCGGGCTGAGTCACGCGGACTTTGTGATTCACGGGAGTGGCTACAGCCCAATTTATTAGCGTATCACGTGTGTGATACTAGTGGTAAGGCGAAGAAGGAGTTGAGGGGAGAAGAGGTAGCGTGTCTTAAGGCTCAAGTCACGTCATGCCCGGCTCAGGTCGTTTCATGCATGTTCTCGGATCCCGGACCTGGGTCGGAACCCGATACACTACTACTGCCCAACACTCATCTGGACTGGCAGAGCTCGTGCAGAGCTGCACAATGCCGAAAGCGCGACCAAAGCACGAAGTGGTGACCCAACTGAGCGTTGCTGAGGTAGGCAGCTGCCCCCGCATGAGTGTAGTTGTACTGAAACCTCGACAGGAAGGTGCTCAAGGACATGATCGTCTCTGAACATCACATTGGAGAATGGGCTCCGAGGGTTGTCGTGCTGTGCAATACTTTGAAGCTCAACCAATGACACAGCTCGGGAGCTACCCATGCTCTTGTGGCTCGAGAGGTGCATCTGGCTAGAAGCTTCGAGCTCCAAAAAGCCGATGTGTTGGTGGCGTGGTGAGTGGGACGGCATGCATCTAGATCCCTGTCTGCCCCACCGCCTGTGATCGGCGCGGCTCTCACCATTGAACGTCACTTCCATGTGCCGGCATTAGCGAGGGCTAGGTTGAATGCGTGATGACGGCTATGATATGAGCAGTCAATGCAATCAATCTATCGAGAAATGAAGCCATCCGGAATCAGTGAATGATTGCGGACGCGAAGATGTGCTAATGCGGTTTGCCGCTGCTGTGTGGTGCCTATTTGGGCTGCAATGAACTTCTGTTGCACCCATGGCACTAATACACTACATGTAAGGTGAGCCGTCTGTGAAGCGTTCCTTCCTGTCGTGATTTGGCTGCGGTCTACTGCAAGTGTGAAAACTTTTCGATTCGTTTCCGCGAAAAAGGCGTGGCATCTGATGGCCAAATTTTCCTTCGGCCGTCGAATCACATCCCTATTCATCGCCAGTCCTGCCGTCATGTGCTGCTACTTCCGGCCAATGGCCATCCGATGCTTCCGGTCGATCCGTCCCTATCTTCCTCATCTGTGAGTCCTATCGAGCTAGTGTACTGTGGTACACTAATCCCATCCCGATCAGCAATCGTCACTGCTCCGTCATGTGGTGATTTCTCCCGCAATGATGCCAAGCATCGGCCCGGAGCCGGCCATTGGCTCCACACGGATGCCGATGTCATGATCCACTTTTGCTAGCTGGGTGAGGGTGCCGGAAGCCAATCGATACGCCTTGTGCATGAAGAAGTGCAAACTGCAGACGCAGAGACACGCCTTGCATTGACTTCTCCCTTCGATGGCGATCATGGCTGGAAGAAGCCAATAGGTCTGGCGTGCGCTTGTTTGGTGTCGGTGCCGTTTGGGACTTTGTTGGGGTTCGCCATGTTTGTTGCTTACACTACACAACTCGAGGCTAAACCGTGTTTGTATTTTGAGTTTGTAAGACATCACACAGCCGGGAGACCACGGAACCGCGGGGCATGTCGATATCCCGAAGCTACCGGGTTGCAGCGGGAAGGGTGCATTGCTGTGATGCAGCAAACCGCGAGGGCCGTGAGGGGCGTGATCGAGTGATCGAGTGATTTTGGACTCTATCGGCATGTTGTTGCAGGGCGCTTGTCGCTACCACAGCACGATGGCAAATCAGAAACAGGTTTCTGTCTGCTCTTGGGTGGTTTCGCTTAGTGTTCCAGTCAGGCACTCCCGATGGGCTCCAGATCGCTCATTGTCGATGACAGAGCTTCCCGGCCGGGCTCCTCGGAGTTCCAGATTCTTCGTTCGCTGCTCCGAGCGAGGTAGGGCTGGCAGCTGCGCTCTTTGGAGAGAGGAGAGAGAGATCGAAGACATCATCCGGGCCCTGAGCTGTGTGTGACACGGCTATAAGACGCACCGCTTCCCCCCTTCCCCTCCTCGTGGCCAGACAGCCAACATCTGCCCACAATTGCTCAGACATCCAGCGCCGATCTCACACATCACACACCTCAAAACTCAACTCTTGTACAATACCCCAAGCGAGACCGCAGAGGACAGTCTGATCTGGTAGCCGCCATGGTAGCCCTACTTTACCCTCGCAACGACGCCCTGAGGACTCATCCGCCGGCGGGTGACCAGTACCTGACGACCAATGGCTCCAACTGGCTGTTTACCGTCACCGCCATCTTTGGCTTTTCTGCTGTAAGTCATGACCGCCTACGCGCCGGAGTGTCGGTCGCTTTGGACTAATCGCATCGCCGTGCTCCAGCTTGCCCTCTATGCCCTGAAGTTCCGTGCCCGTGCCGGCGAGCGCTTCTTCCACTACCTGTTCATCATCGCCTTCCTGACCGGCCTGGTCGCCTACTATGCCATGGCGTCCGATCTTGCCTGGGACACGGTCCGGCAGGTCAACCAGGTCGGCCACTCGGGTGTCCTCCGCCAGATCTTCTGGGCCAAGTACGTCTTCTGGGTCGTCGCCTTCCCCGCCATCATCATCGCGCTGGGCGTCCTGAGCGGCGTCTCCTGGGCCACCATCTTCTTCAACGTCGCGCTGTCGTGGGTGTGGATCATCAGCTACCTCGTGGCCGCCTACACGCCGTCCAACTACAAGTGGGGCTTCTTCGCCTTCGGTCTGCTGGCCCACATCTTCCTGGCGCTGTCGACCCTGCAGACCGGCCTGAAGACCGCCACCCGCGTCGGCATCAAGGGCGACTACTTTGCCCTTGCCGGCTACGTCAACTTCCTGTGGCTGCTCTACCCCATTGCCTGGGGCCTGAGTGACGGCGGCAACCGCATCGGCGTTGTCGCGAGCTTCATCTGGTTCGGCATCCTCGATGTGCTGCTGCTGTGCGGCGTCGCCTATGGCATCGTCGTACTGTCCCGCCGCTGGGACTACAACCGCCTGAACATCGCCTTCACCCAGTACGGCCGTGTCCCTCACCACGCCGGAACCTTCCCCGAGAAGAACACGACTGCTACGCCGGCTGCTACCGCTGCTCCCGCTGTGTAAAGAGCTGTGCCCAACATGATCAGTCAAAACGGATCTGAAGGGGTGAGAAAGAACGAGTTTGGAGAAGGGGGTGAGGCCCGATTCCTGTGGTTCTTCAATTCTCCCCCTCCGTTCCGCAGAATCCAAGCAAAACGCAGAAACGAAAAATTGGAGGATTTGACGGTGGAATGCACCTTGAGCCTTTTGTTTTGAAGATACCCACGCTCGCTATAAGGGATAGACGGAAGGATTTGTTTTCGGTGATGATAATGTATAATTCACACACTCATGACACAGCCAATCAATCTTTGGGGTTAGGAAATGCATATATATACCCTCCTGAAATATATCATTGAACTCATCATCTACCGATCTCGTCAAGGCCATTGGACATGATTGTGCAAGAAGAGATTGAGAGATTAGCCACGGTCAAATTAGGTGACCACCGAGAGATTTGAATCTGATATTATGGTACAACCTTGGGTATTGAATCATTTGAAGCCAGCATCACCCCACCAACTTTGACCGAGTGGGATCAGTTTCGGGGACCGCCGGTTCTATTCCTAGATTCTACCTTTTCCCGTTCCAGGAGCATCTTATCCCATTCATGTCGGCGGGATGATTCAGACCATGCCTCATTGCCGCAGTCAGAAATGCAACGCAAAACGTGATGCTGTGCGTGCACCACCATCGCCTCCAGCGCCAGAAAGTACTATGATAGTGTTCACAAGTACCGCCGCCAACCCAATTCAATAATCGTCTCCCCGATCCTGCTCATCGTCAACGAGAATGACCACCGTCATCGTCGCCGCATACGCCTCGCGAATCGCACACGCCATGCTGGCAGGACCAATCCAAATCCCATTAGCACTCGCTCACTCCTACCATAATGTGTAGGTAAACAACAGGGAGGGGGGGAGGAGGTTAGTAGAAAAATAACTCACCAAGTCCTCCCCAGATCCGCCACAACCGCGCTCAGCCCCCAGTGCGCACACCACGCTCTCGCCAGCACCTCATTATCCGGCACCCCAAACGCCTCGACGACCAGCACCCTCTCCTCGTCGCCGCCGCTCAGCGTACTCGGGCTCGACACGCCCGTCCCGCCTAGCGCACCAACCCCGTTGGCGGCAGGGGGGGGGCTGATAATAGGGAGCGACCGGCGACTGCCCGCGTGCCTGTCCTGCTGTGTCCCATACGCCGCCCCGTTCCAGTCCCTGACCTTGACCAGCTGGTCCGCCTTCACCGGCGTGTAGACATAGTCGAAGAACAGCGGGTGCGGTCCGTCGGAGCAGGGCCAAGCCGAGACGAAGGACACGTCGAACGTGAGACGCAGCGGCCACGAGACGCCATCGATGGCGAACTGGATGGATGCGTCGTAGTACCGCGGCGCGGAGGAGGGCCCCGAGGACGGGGAGGAGGGCGTCGGGCCCCGGTGGTGGTCGGAGCAAGGGCGGAGGCTGAGCAGCTCGATGCGCACGAGGTCGGCTAGGTAGGCGTCGTCGTCGCGGTCGGGGGCTACGAGAGAGTATTCCTTCACCGGGAAGACCTGGGTCGGCGGGCCGAGCGGGTCGGAGCGCTCGCTCATAGAGCGGATGTCTTCTTGCGTGACCCGGTTCGGCGGCCGGCGCGCCCGGATGCGGGCGATTTGGTTGCGCCCGAGGTCGACGGTGGGACGCGCAGGGCCGACCCAGCCGGCGAGAGATCGACACGTGGGCGCGAGGACTTTGCCTACGATGGAGGTCGCGGTCCAGTAGGTGTAGCTGTTGCGGTATTGGAAGCCACAGCTCGGGTGTTGGTGAGTGAGGAGGGTCAGGTCGTCCGTGGCTTTGTCAGGGTCGATGTCGATGAGCGAGTTCATCATGAGGAAGGGGAAGGTTGGGCCGGGGAGGACGAGCCCGCTGAAGAAGGCCATGGCATGCGAGCTGACCAGGTCGAGTGTCGAGTTGGCGTCGCGCCGTTTGAGCGCCGCCAGCGTTTCGGCGAGGTTCGGCCACTTCATCATCTGTGCGAAGCGCTTAAGCATTTTGACCTGCCGCCTTTTGAGTTTGTACCGCAGCTGGACCTGCTCGGCAGCTTCGCCATATTCCTCGACGCGGATATTGTCGTGCCACCTGCGCGCGAGCGCCAGATTCCATTGTATCCTCGGTGGTATCTGGGTTAGGAGCTTCTCCTTCGCTTCAGTCATGTGGTGCCTGGACTGGATTCGCAGTTCCAGTTCCAAGCTGAGGAGGAGCTGGTGGAAGAACTTATGGTAGGTCTGGTTGTTGGCCGGACTCGTGTCAAAGATGAACTTCGTGACCACCTGGTTCTTCGGGACGGTGAAATCTATCCAGTCCGGTCGCGAAAGCACCATAATCAGATCCATGATCTGTTTATCCAGCGTCTTGTGCGGACTGAGCCTCTTGTCCGGGTCGTTCAGGAGCCGCTTGTAGAGATTCCTGTACATCAAATCCTCGTCATCATCCTCCAGGCCCCTGTCCAGTTCTTTCAAACGCGCAAAGATGCCCTCAAGTCCGATCTTGCGCGGCGCCACCCCTGGATCGCGAAGGTCGATAGCGGGCGGCACCACACTCGCGAGCGACACCCAGTGGTTGAGGGTGATGGTGCCCGGGCGCTTGCCAAAGCAGAACGCGTAGCTAGGTTGCTCTAGCGTCTCCCACGGGTAGGCGGCCGGCCCTGATTCGGCTAGACGTACTGTCATGAGCTGCGTCATGGAGTCGTGTTGGTTCGCGGCGTCCGTTTCGTCACCACGATTCCCAGCAGCGGTCGCGAACAGCGCATAGTAATGGTCCGAGGCATGGGGAATTGGCCGCTTGTAACCCTTGAAGGCAGGCACGCCTCTGGAGATGAGCTGCATGGCCGGGCCCAAGTTCAGCTCTTCGCTACTCGACATGCCCGAGGGGGGCCATTCCGTCAAGGGACCGAAGTCGTAGGGTGAGCCGTGTACATCCTCGCGGCCCTTGCCCTTGACAGCGTTCGAGTCGGTCCGCCTCGGCCTACGGCGGCGCGGCGGAACCTCTCCCGGTCCGTCAGGTCTTCCCCTGTGGTCGGTCACATCACCTTCGCTTACTCTCCTCAACGGGTTCTTCGCCTGTGGGTTAGTCAGCTATTTCATGTATGCGAGGACCGCGCGCATATCATACCAGTTTCCCGCCCTTGGCTGCTAGACTCTTGCTGCGCAGCAGGTTCCAGAAGCCCTTTTTCTTCGGCTCGTCCGCCATCCTTGAGGCAAACACTAGCCCAGTCACGAGTCCCGTGTCGGATCTTGGTATTGAGGAGTTTCGCAATTAGGCGTGCCCAACACCCGCATGTGGGTATGTATCCCTGGGGTTTTGTTTTCAATGTGTGGAGCGTCTGCGAGGCTGAGCTGCAGCAGACACGCGTGTCATGGCAAGCGTCTACCCATACACCGAGGACCATGCACAAGAGTGCGAGTTAGGTGATAGGCAGCTAAAGGTACTTCTCGAAACCTTCATCAGTTGCTGGGCCCGTCAAGCCAAATCTGAACACTGCACTGAAGATGGGACAAGTCTGACGAGGAGGTTAGGTGGTTTAACAGCTGGAATTCGTAAGTTGGTGATAGGTGTCCGAGGGAGAACCGGGTTGAGGCGACGAGATCTTATTCCTTCGAGAAGGCACAGGTTTGGATGAAACAGGAAGCATGCGCAGATATCCGCCTGATCTGGCACGGTTGTGCAGCCACACCTGAGATTGCATGCCGGGGGTGTCTCCGATGCTAAGGAACCTGAGCCCAATCAACGGCACTCAGCCCAGCTGCGTTGACACGGCTTCCGCTCCGCCTTACATGTCTAACCAAAACCTCACCACTGGTACGGCGTCGAAATGCCAGTTCGTTTTGCGCGGGGAAGAGCCCAAGAGCATTAAGTTCCGCCTTGCCCATCGTGGGTGGAGACAAGCAGACAAGGCAAAAGCGGTCAATAACCTGGAATACCTGTCAGTGGCTCAAAAAGTGCCCCGCCATTTAGTGAGATGGAACGCCTACACTCGACACTACCTCCGTACCTCAAAAAGCATCTTCGTTCGAAGGGAACCGATGTCGAACAGTTCCAACTAAGGTAGCTTGCTTCCTTTCTTACTGTCCTCATACCGTCCCTGAGTACTGTGTACCTATGTATACTGTGTAGACCCAGGCATGCCAGGGTCACTGTCGAGTTCCCGTCGCCCTTGGCGCGTGCCGCGTGGGTATTAGTGGGTGGGGCCTTCAAGTTGGCGTGGGCTCACCGCCCCAGTGCGCGTGGGCAGAAACCAGAAAATTTCCCCAGCACAGGTAAGGCGCTGCAGAGAAAGAACAGCCACCTACCTTAGTTACCTTACATCCGACGTGTAGGAACAATTATACACAATGGCGCCAGAGCTTCGCAAGAGGAAGGCAAAGCGTTAGTAACAAACTCCACTGGATTTCAGGCGTTACAAAGGGAATTGACCATTATTTAGCTGCTGTCGCAGGGCCCGAGGCCGTCACCAAGAAGGCAAAAGTGGCAAAGGCCACGCCAAAGGTTGAAAAGCGCAAAGGTTGGTCTAAACCTTCGAGTTGGGAATATTCTGTGCCGCATTAACAGATGCTCTCGCTACAGCTCCCGAGGATGCATCCCCAGTTGCCGTCAAAAAGCAGAAGTCGTTCAAGGATGTCGCTGCCAACAAGAAGGCCGCTGCCGCGTTGGAAGACAAGGCCGCTCCTAAGAAGTCAGCACTGAAGAAGGAAAAGCAGTCGCCAAATGCCAAGGCCGCCTCCCAAAAATCCAAGAAGGTTGCGGAGCCGGAGAAGCAGCAAACTGAGGAGACCCAGTCTGATATGGTGGAAGAGGAGGTTGACGACGACACCACGGCGCTCGTTGAGGCTCTCGACAGCAGTGATGAAGAGGAGCCGGCGAACCAGGTCAGCACGTACAAGGAGGGCCAAGATGTGGGGAAAATTCCCAAGGCGAAGAAGTCGACGAAGCCCTCCGGCGGCAGCGAGAAGCCGGGCGTCATGTACCTGGCAAGGATTCCCCACGGTTTCTACGAGCACGAACTGCGGTCCTACTTTGGCCAATTTGGTGAGATTACAAGGCTCAGGGTTGTGCGGAACAAGAAGACCGGCGCGAGCAAACACCGGGCGTTCATCGAGTTTGCTGACGCCGAGGTGGCCGATATTGCCGCCCGCACAATGGACAAGTACCTCTTGTTCGGCCATATCCTCACCGCTAAAGTCGTCCCGCCAAGCCAGGTACACCCGAACCTGTTCAAGGGCGCCAACCGGCGTTTCAAGGTGGTCCCTTGGAACAAGATGGCCGGGAGGCAGCTCGAGCGGCCTCTTTCCGAGTCACAGTGGCAAGTCAAAATCTCCAAGGAGGAGCAACGGCGGGCTGCGAGGGCGGAGAAGCTGAAGGCAATGGGCTACGAGTTTGAGCCTCCCCAGCTCAAGGCTGCCGAGGCAAAGCCGATGCTGGAGAACGGTACAGACGAGGCTCCGAAGGCGATCGAGGCTGCGCCTGCTGCCGAGGAAACCGAGCCGAAGGAAGAGCAGCAAGCTGCCGCGCCGGAAGCGGTGGAGGCTAAGGAAGAGGCAACCCCTCAGAAAAAGAAGGGCAAGAAAGGCAAGAAGACGAAGTCATGAGAGGGATCACAGTCTCGAAGCTGCCATTCGATACCCACTGTTCTGCAGCGTGCAGAGCCTACAAATGCAGCGTACTGCGTATTGTTGAAATGTACGCACCAAGCGAACCTGACAGACTCTTGGAATAGTAGAGCTCGCGCCCAGAGAGTTGTCAGGATTATAAAGCGCGAAACAGCTAATTTACTTCTGCCCGCTTGTGAAAAAGCCAGCGGTTTGCCAGTTGCAATGGCAGATCCATTATCAAAAATTGGGCGAAGATGTGTTGTGAAGGGGAAAATTCAAAACTGGACCAAGAAATCGAAGTTTAAATTGCTTGGCTGGTCCGTGGCCTACTCTGATTATGTAATCCTTTGATTTTTTGCAGATCGTCATGGTGCATTTGGTTGCTCGCTCGGGTCGCCAGGAATGATGTTGGCGTTCCGAAACCAGACAGTTGGTGGGCTGCTACGTGCTTGTACAGCTGTAAACAGCAACTGACAGATAGATTACTGTAGACCACTACCAATCTCCTGGAGCCGCCGATACTAAAGCTGCAAAGGCGTGGCGGCTGAGTGAGTGGATGGCCTCAGGCACATGCCGCACAGTACTCCGTACATGTACATCATTTACTGGCAATTCAAAGCATGTGTCTTCCACCTACCCCAGAACAGCGGTAATCAAGCCTCGTTTCCTTAGTGTATTTGGAATTCTGCTGCCGGAAGGCAGCACACTGGAAGACTATCTCGACCATTTCTCAACAATCTTGCGACAGAAACTCGGCGAAACAAGAGCGACAGTTTGACGCCGGGAATACGAGACGCAGGAACTTGGTCCGGGATGTTAGTGAGTGGGCGCGGGAGTGTCCGTCCATCCAACTTTGTGAATCCGTTGTGCTACGGAGGCACTCTCACGAACAACATCGAGACAAGACAGGCGGCCCGCCCGTTCGTTATCCTATGAACCATTCGTGTCCTCACCAGCCACGACGCCCGCAACAGCACCGCCAGATTGCCTCCGAACTATGTCTTCTTCCGCCGCGCCCACCAATTCCGTCCAATCAGCAAGCATAGGTACGTCTCAAAGTGGGCTTTGAGGGGGCATTCACAGGCACAAGGGGCAGGCGCAAGGCGGTCCAGGCCACATCACCACCCTTGGCTTCCTCGTTATGTGCATTTGCGCTAATGGGAAATGATGCGTCGCGGTAATGAGCAGGCCCCGCCGTCGTCCCCAACAGCAGAAAGAAGGGAAATAAGAAAAGAAAGAGCAACAAGAACGGCCCTGCTGGCGGCAACCACACCAACGGTGCCTCTGGTGTGCAAAACCCCCCTGTGCCTGAGACGGACATCAACGGAGAAGACGATGGCGCTGAGGGCGCTCCGGAAGAGGAAGTGTCAGAAGAGTTAGATGCACGGGACCTGGTATGCTTGGCCATCTCATAACTCGCCCGCGTTGTTCTTCCTTGAGTCCACATTTGTCTCTTTGCAAGTTGTTTTCAGTTTCATGGTTCTGACTTCCACGATGTACATAGAACGCACCAGCTCCGCCACCAGGCCAAGACGCCGCGTCAGAGAAGCCGGGAGCAGGACCGGGCGGTCCCGACACAGAAGAAGCGGATACGGAGGCGGAGGAGGGCCCGCCAGCGGCTGCCGCGAACCATTCGAAGCCTGCCGTCAACGGCCATGCTGGCGCAAACGGATACTCACCAGCCAAGATCATATCAGGGGCGGCGAGCGCCAAGTTAGAAGCCATGGCAGAAGACCATGAGGCCCTGCGGCTCGAGGTGGAACAGCTGCGGAAGCAGCTCGAGAGCATACAGGAGGCCCACGCGCAGGAGATCACACAATTGCGGGCCGACTTGGATGAGAGCGAGGCGGCCAAGGAGCACGCCGAAACACAGTATCAAACATTGCTAGGCCGCGTCGAGAAGATCAAGGAGACCCTCGGTGACCGTCTGAAGCGGGACAAGGCTGAGCTGGAGGAAGCCAAGGACCGCGTTGAGGAGCTTGAGGTGCAGAACGAAGAGCTGCAACGGACGGTGGCCGCGCGCGAGGAGGAGGCCGATCGCTTGAAGAATGAAGTGCAGGAGCAAGGGCGCGAGCTGGCCAGCTTGCGCAGCAGGAGCAACCTGTCGCAACAGAACTGGCTGAAGGAGAAGGAGGACATAGCACGGCAGGTGCAGCACCTCAAGAGCGAGCTGGAGTCGACGACTGCCGCCATGGGCGAGTGGGAAGTGATTGCCATGGAGGAGCGCTCGTTGCGTGAGAGCCTGGCGGATAAAGTGTCTGACCTGGAAGAGCAGGTGAGCAGCGCTCGTGAGGCGTACGAGAGGGCGGATTCCGACCGGGATGCCCAGTCGCAAGCCGTCGACCGTCTCCAGCGGGCACTGCAGGAGCTCCAGGAGACGCGGAAGAAAGAGCTGCGTGAGATGGTCGAGTCGACGGAGGAACAGGTGCAGGCGCTTAAGAAGCGCGCGGAGGAGGCGGACGCCAGGGCAGCGGCCGCCGAAACGGCCAAGACAGCACTGTCAACAGAGCTCGAACGGACGGCGCCATTCGAGAAGGAGGTGAAGGAAAAGAACTTGCTGATCGGCAAGCTACGGCATGAAGCGATCGTGCTGAACGATCATCTTACAAAGGCCCTCAAATACATCAAGAAGACAAAGCCCGAAGAGACAATTGACAAGTAAGCCGCCATTATCCTGAGCTACGGCCACGACAGCTACTGACCCCGCTCCAGACAACTCGTGACGAACCACCTTCTCCAGTTCCTCTCCCTTGACCGCTCCGACCCCAAGCGATTCCAGATCCTCCAAGTCATGGCCAACCTGCTGAGTTGGAACGACGAGCAGCGCGAGAAGGCGGGTCTCGCAAGGCCAGGCACCTCCTCGACGAGCGGCAACACCCTCCGGCTGCCGACTTCCCCGTTCCACCGGACGCCAAGCTCACCCGCACTCAACAGCGACTTCTTTTCTGAGCCAACGCCGCTGTCAACGACCAGTGGGAAAGAATCGCTTGCGGACCTGTGGGCTAGCTTTCTGGAGCAGAGCGTCGATGAGGCCGCGGGCGGGCCATCTAGAAAGGATAGCATGTCCAGTGTCGCGACTGGAGGGGGCAGGCCTGATACCAGGGGCCATACCTAACTAGAGTTAATGTGATACCCAGGACCGGGGACGTGTATGATGGGGCTACTGTGAGTACAAGGGTAAAGGTGTTATGTTACCCTTGGAATCTGCCCATTACTGTATCTAAACAGCGAAAGAAATCGCGGCGGCGTTTGTGAGCAGCGGGTTGTTTGGCTAGAATAAACACACTGTTAAGCGGTCGACACGCTCTACAAAGCAGGGATACTGAGACAAACAATGACGGTTTCCAAATTGAGCATGTTTCTAGAGATATGGACGGCCATGTCTAGACACAAGTAATCAAGAATCTGTCAGCCCACAACCTCCTCTCCCACAGCAGTCCCTGTGGCTCCCTTCGCAGGCGCCATCAATACCGCTTTTGCATATGCCTCAGCATCCCTCTCTATCCCGCCGATGTCGATCCTATTCTGCAGCGCATCATTCACCCCCTCAACAACCTCCCTCTCCTCCATCATTTCCCTCATCAGCCGCACCTCATGTGCCCAGTACGCATTACTCCGGCCCCTCAACTCCTCGTCCCTCAGCACCGTGTTCTTAACCACCCCGGCAGCATTGACCTTCCCTTTCGTGCCCGCCAGCGCACGCACCACACCCTCCACCCGCTCGGCAGCACTCGGCGGCGTCACAAACGCCCGCTGCGTCCCGCCCAGATACAGCATCAGCGCGAGCCCGGCATCCAGGCACGCCAGCGCCACATACCGCGTCGCGCGCACCGTCCAGAAGAAGTGATCCAGCTCCGGCAGCCTCAGCGCCTTCGCATTCGCGTTGTAGTTGTACGTCGCGACGAGATACACATCCACGAAGGCGATCGCGACCGCGGCCAGCGTGGCGGGCGTGCGCCAGCCCACGGCGCCCCGGTCGCCGCGCGTCAGCAGCGCCGACGTCGCCAGCGCAATCACCACCAGGTTGAACAGGTGCGGCGCGGCCAGGTCCGGAAGCGCGTAGTACAGGTAGGAGCGCGGGTCGTCGGAGGCGCAGAAGGGGCAGGTCGCCAGCACGTCCGGGCCGAACTGGAGGTAGAGCAGGCGTGACTCGAGCGAGGCGAACTTGGCGCGCAAGGCGAGGTCCTGCGGCGTGAGGCGGTTCTGCGGGCGGAGGGTGGCCAGCCGCGTGAAGAGCACGTCGGCGGGGATCTGCAGGCGGGACTGTGTTGCGCGGAAGACGTTCTCGGGCGAGAGGATGGGGAGGGTGCGCAGGAGGAAGACGGCGGATACGGTGAGTAGGATGCCGAGGGAGCGGTAGAGATGTGATGGGAGGGGTCGGACTTTGAGCCCGTGGATTTGCGGCGCCGCGCGGACGGTGCGGTAGTAGCCTATTGCTTTGGGGAGGAGGAGCGGACCGAAGAAGATGAGGAGGGACTTGATGCTGACGATGTCCGTTAGATACGAAGCTTAGGTGACTGTATTGCCAGTTGGGAAAAAGAACTTACGTCCCCCACGGTATCGCCATTCTCATGTGTTGTTGCTGCCTCCAGGGCGGCTCCTCTGTTGAAGATCAGAATAGGAGCTCGTCGACGCCCAAAGGCGCAATTTGGTAGACGAGGCTGAAAGCTCGCAGGGATGGATATTGGGACTCTGTGGGGCTTTAGAAAGCGGGGCCCACCCAGGCTCCAGTCGCTTGTCAGCCTCGTGGTAGGCTAACAATATAAATTTTGCACCGAAGTTTTATCAACGCTTCACTTTCAACATTCTGCACCTCTCAAACATATGACAATCTACGACACCAATGCTAGCCACACTCATGTACAACTGTTTTTCAGCCATATATCGCACGAATACAACATCACAATTCCAGCACCCACTTCGCGTTCTGTGACTTGCCGTTTCGACACCATTGGCACTATCGAAGCTTTGGCGGCCCTCTCCATGGTCGATCGAAGTCAATGTGTTGCCTAGAGCGAGCCCAAGTACTCTGCCAAGAGTCATCTCACGTCGTGTTGCAATATTCCAGCTCCGGCCATGAAGAATCTTTTGCGTCAAATGGATGAGAGACATTATTTTCTAATCGGCGTGCCCCAGCGTATTCACAGGTCCTTCTTGTCCTCGCTGCTTCCAGCTACTGCCCCGGCCGCTGGGACCGGTTGCTTCTGCTTCTCCCTCCGTGACTGCCTGTTCGCCGCGACGAGCCCCATGATCCCCGTTATCGCCTCTACTATGAGCGTCAGGATCCCCGTGCAAGCCCACTGCCAGACCACAATGCTGACGCTGCCGAGCGGCGCCCGTGGGAAGGAGGCAAACCACTCGACGTAGTAGGGAAACCATCCGTAGGGCAGCCAGAACATGGGCTCACGGCCGTACCACATCGGGAGGAGCCACTGTACGCCGCGGGTGGAAACTAGACGAGCGGCCGTGAGGTAGCGGTCGAATGTTGCTCGAGTGGCTTCGAGACCGGACTCTGTGAGGTCTACAGTTAGCATCGAGACTTGCTCCAGGAAGCAGCAGCGTTCCTCACTCTTCTTCTCCAGCTCGTCCAGTAGCTTGTCATGCTGCCGCCGCAGCTTTGCCCACTTGGCGAATTCGTCCTGGCTGCTGGTCGCATTCAAATCATGCCGGACAGCCAAGTACTCCTTCTGCTTCTTGCGCTGATCGGCGAACTCGCGGGCGAGTGGTGTCGGGAGGGAGATGTAAAGGCGCCATAGCTGTCACGAGGCGCCCTGTCAGTATCCGGCCCAGCAAGCGCGTGCAGCCGAGGAATTGCGCACCAAGCTGTTGATCGTCGTTGCGCCAAACGTGTTCACAAGCTGTACGAGTAGCTCGACGACGAAGATGACAACCAGGAGAGAAGGCATTTTTTGGCTTCACAGAGAGACTAGGAGATGGTGCGGATCGACGGGAGCGGTTGAACGACAGAGGGACGTCGATGTCATGGCCTGTCTCGTTGGGTCGCCAACAGCTCCTCTCCCTCCACACAGTCTGTTTGAACTCGGCGATGACGGAACTGCCAGCTCACACCACCTGGCGGCGTGGTTTTGCCAATCACTCACTCAGAACCCGCGGGTAAGAAACAGGATGCTCTAACTAGGGTTAGGGCTCAACGCGTGCTTTTGATTACTTCGCCTGGAGTTGAGGAGCTGTCCAGGCCCGTCCTTGACCTGCAACACGGTCAACACCACCCTTGGCTTGTACGGATTACAGCATTGTACCACTATTCCGTCTCCTGAGGCACATTTGGCCACGCTGTTTGGCCTCTCTACTAATTGACACGTCTTTGACAGACAATCATTTTATCATGTCGAGGGCCTTGGATCCAGACACCGCTGCGTTTCTAAGAGCAGGTGATCCTTTGGCGGCTTACCAGACGATATCTAAGGTGCTGATCTCGCCAAAAGATGGTCTGCTCGAAATCGAGGTTTTGGGCAAAACCCATTTCCTTGAGGAAGGGCAGTATGTCCTCCAGGATGGATCTGCGGTCGCTATTTCCAAGCTGGGTCTTGTCCAAGCTTTCATGGTCGCCAGGCAGTTTCTCAAGGGCCATCTTGACGGCACTCTGCCACGGCCAGATACTGATGTCCTTGCCATGACGGCGGTTATCCTACTTTTCGACCCTGAATACCTCACGGCCGCCAACACTAGGAAGCGCCTCCTTCAAGCACAGATATCCAGCGGCAGCGATGTACGCGCAAGACTGGAGACGGAGAAGCGCTTCGTTGACAGCCTCCTGACAAGCAGGTTACACCGGCACACGAAGTCGCCTACCCTATGGAGTCACCGCCGCTGGCTTGTCCACATGTTTGTTTTGCTTGGGCTGCCGGTGGACGTGCTTGGGGATATCAGGGACGTCGTATTTGTCGCTGGGGAAAGGCACCCAAGGAATTACTACGCCTGGTGTCATGCGCGGTTCCTGATGGGATTGAAAAGGGGCATCAGCCACCCGAGTATCTCGGCCGCCGTGCAGGCCTGGTGTTTCCAACATCATACCGATATCTCCGGGTGGTCCTTCCTCTCCTTCCTCCTGCATCAAGAGAGCGGCACAAATATTGAAGTTGGATGCACGACGTTCACAAACGTTCTGAATCTGGCCAGTTCGCTTCGGCTGGCTAATGAGTCCCTCTGGGTCTTCCTACGGACCCTCGCCGCTTCGCGGCTTGTTGGTGACGAGCAGTGCGCGCAACTACGCGCTGTCCAAGCAGCTATCCTGGAGACCGTGGCAACACCGGCAGATCAGGCGGTACTACGAGCCGCCGTCGACTGGTGCGAGGCATACCGGCGGCGCAGTGGGCCGCCTCTTGCAGATGGTCAATTGCGCGGGAAATGAGATGGCAAGCAACAAACAAACGCCAGTATCTGATCCTTAAGTCGTGGACTCCGATCATGATTCCCTCTTCCGGATCAACCTCGTCTTGTCATGCAGGTACCGGCGTTGGCCTGCTTCATTGGGCTGTGCACAGCCAACATAACATCCTGAAGCATGTTGGCGTAGCCTGCAGGCCCAACTCAGGTGCTCGGCGGGAACGGCTCAAACTCAGACTGCAGATGAGCACATTTGCTCCCTGAGATATGAGCTGTGTAACATAACGCTCCAACATCTTGCCATATGTCAGGGTTCGGGAACGTCCGGAATATCCATTGCATGGGACAAAGCCGATCTCGAATCTGACTGTAACGACCTGCATGGGAGCCGTGGTCTCACTATAACATACAGCAGGCAGCGACGTTGCTTGATACTGTCGCCTACCCCTGACACTGATTCGACTGCTAGGGAGTGTTGCCTTGGGGAGAGACCAGATGGGCGAACGTTGGGGTTCTGAGCACGCAACACACTGTAGCCGGTTCCGAGCATAGTTAAATTCTATGAACATCTGTCATGCGAAGTGGTTTGACAGAAGGCTAGAGGGCATCACGAAAAGCATCTTTCTTATTGCTCTGCACGCTGAGGCACGCAACGGTCCACGCCAAGTTCTCAGTAATGACGATGTCCGAGACAATGGCAGCATCCTTGTGCCTCAGCCACTTATCCAACTGAGTAAATCAGGGGGTTGTGGCATGTTCTTCCTTTTTCGCCTCTCGATCGTTGAATGTCTAGCAGAATTGTGAGCAGCAAAGGCGCTTGCTTGTTTTGCAGCATGTCGCCGTGTGGCATTGCACTGAAAACAACTTTGAAAGCGAAACCGATTGGCCGATTTGGGACGGTCGCAACTCGGGTTTTGGGCCCGCCGACAGGGACCAGGGGGTATTAGTTATCTGGGGCTAGATTAGCGCTGAACCCCACGTTCCATGCCATCCAGGACGAGCGCCAGCTCTGGTGGGCCACCTACCTCTCAACTTGCATGTCAATGAGCGCCCATACTGCAGGTTCGGGGATGCAAGGAAGCCTCGATATCATTTCCATACTCGCATGTCCATATCATTAGGAATGAGATACTCGCAGTTGTTGACTGTGTGGATGAATTTGTGAACTTCATGGGATATGACACAATCTCAGCATCTTGTGGGACCTGAGGTACTGCAGAGTTGGGCGCGGTCAATTGATATGGAGAGCCCACGGAGGCCGAGACCAACGACCGGGCCTGTCTTGACAGCCACCCAATCAAGACGAGGTCCCATATTAGACCATGGACTTTTGACAGGCAATCAGCAGATCATCGATTTCAGGATCCGTGATGCGGTTTGCAGTCGGATTTGCTTGCTCACGGAATTGAACTCCCCACGGGTCTCAGTGCTATGTTTCTCGAGTTCCTTCTTGATGAGGTCGCCCCAGCAGTGCATCAAGGACGATCGGCGTTGAGCGGAGTCACAGCGGAATTGAAGGGTTGATTGTCTCTGAACAAAAGCTCCGTCTCTCCGCACTTCAAACAGATCTGCCATGTAAGCCACTGCGTTACGCAGCTTGAAGACGCCATCCGACCAATTGAAGGAGTCCGATGCCCGTCGCTCAGCGTCTGGCCTAATGCTCCATTGCGTCTCTAACGGGAAGGAATCCTCGGGACTTTGATAGTTTGCTACCTTTTGACTCCGCAGTTGCACTGCTGTGGAGCATGTATCTCGCCAACGGCCTGCCACAAGCTCCACCCCCGTGCATGTCAACCTCACTCTCACCTTGGCAAGCTTCTGCACCTCCACGATTCTCGGCTCTATTCAGATCCACACCCATCCGATGTTTCCTCAACTCACCCCTTTCCCTCTTCTTCACTACCACCTCACCTTCACCCGACCTCGCCCCCTCCTCTCCACCTACTGACGTTCGTTGTGGTGTTTATGGTGTGTCCTTCCTCGAGGGAGTTTCTTTTGCATCTCAATTCAGCTCCATTGTTGGTTGTTCTGTCTTGCATCTGCGGAGCCACCCGTCTCGCATTGAACCGTGTCTCTTGTCCATACATTTCTTGGGTCGTCTGATTCGGCTTGTCTCGCTTCTTTTCGGCCGCCATCTTCTGGTTCCTTTGTCAACAAGTTTCATCCAGCCCTGCATATTAATCTCAAGCCTTGCCTGCGCATTTCCTGGTGTGGCGGACCGTTCTCCACCAAGCCACAACCGTCTAGGCCGATATTCCAATGCCGCCCACTTAATACCTAATAGTCTTAATATCTCTCGGTTCGAGAGTCTGGAACTCGCCGTCACTCAAGTGGCAGCACCAGGCCTCATCGAGCTCTCCGAACGTTCTGGCAGCACGTATGCTGTGAGCATCCGCCAGCCGTCATCGACACCTAGACCACAGGACATTACGACCCTCACCCCAGTGTTAACTGGCAATACATCTCCCTCCGCGCCAAGGCTGGTGTGGGAGTGGTGAGGTTTCGGGTGCCGGTTTCTCATGATGTTGAGAGTAGCAGCTCTGCTCCTGCAGCTGACGCTATGGGCTACTACCGTCTACGCCTTCTTCCCGTTCATCCCGGACGACCAGTGTGACCCAAATGAGCACTGTGGCCCCTTTCCCGCCAGCTCGAGGAGGGGCGATAGTGGGTTTGACCAGACGTCCAAGGGAATCACACTCGAGCTCTATCACAGGCCCAGTAATGTGCGTGTGCCCCAGCGCATGGTTGGATTTGGTTCTCCGCGGAAGGTGCTGACAGCTCTATAGAATGACGCCTCCGCAAAGACCGACCCGATAGCACGAGCCACTGAGCAGCTCATTCGCAAGTTTGGAGGCCTGCGGTCTTCACCGCCGTCCGAGTTGGATAGAAGGAAGAACGAGTATTCCGTATCCGAACCTGCGGGCCCGACAACATCCAACAGCGCGGGTATCTACCAGGCTGGGCCCGACTACTCATACTTCATCAAGGCACAAGTCGGCTCCGCGCAACAGTCGTTTTACATGCTCCTCGACACCGGCGCTGCAAACTCGTGGCTTATGGGCTCCGACTGCCAGTCAGATGCTTGCAAAATGCACGCAACTTTCGACCCTTCCTCTTCGAAGACATGGCGGACAGATAAGGAAGCCTTTTCGATTGCATACGGCTCCGGGGACCTTACCGGCATCGTGGGTCAGGACAAGGCCTCCTTTGCTGGCCTGAAGAACTTCGACTTCTCCTTTGGGCTGGCCAACTACACTCACGACGATTTCAAACATTTTGCCTTTGACGGCATCCTCGGTCTCGCGATGAGTTCATCGGTGACGGGGACGTTCTTGCAGACACTAAAGGCGAACAAACTGCTGAACTCGCTCACAGTCGGCATTTCCTTGAACCGGGATTCGGATGGAAGGAACGACGGTCAGGTCACGTTCGGCGGGGTTGACAAAGCCAAGTATACTGGTGAGATCACGTACACTAACGTCCAATCCCCGGAAAAAGAGGCTGGAGAATGGGCTATCCCAATGGACGGTGTGGGCTTCAACGGCAAGTCGGTCAGCATCGGCAGCACAATGGCCTACATTGACACGGGAACATCGTTCATCTTTGCGCCACCGGACGACTTGGTCGAGCTATTCAAGCTCATTCCGGGTTCAAGCTCGTACCAGAACGCCCAGTATGTGGAATATCAGATCCCATGCGACACGAAGTTGCCAATCCATGTCACCTTCTCCGGCGTCAATTACGAAATCTCGGCGGCAGATTGGGTCGTGAGGAAGGATGAGAAGAGCTGCATCAGCCGCATCTACGGCTACGAGATCAAGAGCGGCACTTGGCTGCTCGGCGATACCTTCCTCAAGAACGTCTACAGTGTCTTCGACGCTGATAAGATGCGGATTGGCTTCGCCGCCAAGCCCGCGCCGCCGCCGAAGCCGACCTCGACATCGGTCACAGCATCGGCATCGGCATCGACTAGTTCGTCTGCCACTACACTCGTCACGGCAGTTACGTCGTTGGCAAGCGATGCGCACCCCCAAATGCCGGGGTTTAGCGGCCAGGAGACGCCGGCGGCGGGCACTGCCCAGTCGACGTCAAGCCCAGCAGCGGCACACACGGTCTCGCCTGGAAACCAGTTGAGGAGCAGTGTCTGCATGTCGATGCTCTGCATCGCTGCTAGCTTTGCTATCCTGGGGTGAAACGGTGGTAGTTACACTGCTGGTCCGGGGAGTGACTGGACCTAGCACACCAGGCTCCGTAGAGAGCAATCTCAGGCCGAGGATTTATAGGAGGCAGCCTAAGAGATAATAAGGCTGCCATTGCCATTTCACTGCAAATCGACCATGCGGTCTTTGTGTCTAACCTGCGTTTGCGTCCTGGGATGTGGGGGACCTCGGTGGTCGAGTTTAACAGCAATAGATACCCTTAGGAAAGGAGGAAGAGTGGATCTCATGGACAGGTCAGCTCTGGGCTCAGAATAGTGTATGAGCTGGTTGGCCAAAGGGGATCTCGAATTTTGTCTGTATCATATATTAATAGATCCTGCCAGGTAATCCAGCCGAACTGTTTTCGTTTCTTTACCTTTCATAAACCGCTTCGCATTTGAGGACGAATCCATGCAAACAGTATAGAATCCGCGGAACCGGATCCGTCGGATCGCATCGGTAGTTGCATGTTTCAGCCGCTTTTGGTAATAACTGTGCTTGCTACCCGTGACCCCTGAACAAACCGAGACGACAGGGGCGCAAATTGATTGGCGTCCGGTTATCGACGTCTGAGCTTACTCCCATTCACATGGTTGGAAGCTGACTCGGAATGTTTGCATACATAAAATAGGTGTAACTTTAGCAACACCATTCGCTCACTACAAGACGACATATCTCGTTGACCAACTGAGATCTTTCCTCGGCTCAAGCAAAACACTAACCAAACTGGAGAAAGATATCAAAACGGTTCTGTGTCCGGCGCAAAATGCCCTGAGTGCAGCCAAGAATGGCCAGGGCCACATCGCATGGCGCTGCTGCAGCTGCCCACCCGCGCCAGAGCAACCATCGCCGACACGGAGCGGCGTCGTCGCCGTCAGGCAGGAATAATAATAATGATGATAATAGTCATAGCGAGGAGGGAGTTGGCCTGCTCGCGGCCGGGCCAGACGCAGCAGACGACGACAACGACGACGACGATGGAGATGATGCACTCATAGTCCACCCGGGCGACGACTCGGACGGCCACCATGCCCCGCGAACCCCGCGCACACCAAACCGAGTCCGCTTCGACCTGCGCCCGACTATGATCGACGACGGCAACCGGCGCAGCGACGGCTCCGCCTCGGAGCAAGCCGACGACCATGACCCGTACCCGCGCGAGAGCTTCGACTTCGACGACCTGGACGCGTCCGACCCCCTCTCCTCCTCCTCCTCGTCGTCGTCGTCCCTTCACACCCGCCACCAGCACCGCCAGCAACAACAACAACGCGTGCCGCTCTTGACGGGAATCGAAGCCCCCTCGGTGACGGTGGCGACCACGCCCAGCAGCCCGTTCCACTCCCACGAAGACGCCGAGACGTGGGCGGCGGCCGAGCGCGCGCGGCCCAAATCGTCGCTGCCGTCGGCGTTCATGAACATGGCCAACTCCATCATCGGCGCGGGCATCATCGGGCAGCCCTACGCGTTCCGCCAGGCGGGCCTGCTCTCGGGCGTGGCCCTGCTCGTGGCGCTGACCTTTGTGGTCGACTGGACGATCCGCCTGATCGTGGTCAACTCCAAGCTGAGCGGCGCCAGCTCCTTCCAGGGCACCGTCGAGAAGTGCTTCGGGCGGACCGGCTTGGTGGCCATCTCGGTCGCGCAGTGGGCCTTCGCCTTTGGCGGCATGGTCGCCTTCGGCGTCATCGTCGGCGACTCCATCCCCAGCGTGCTGAGGGCCGTGTGGCCCGGCCTGCGCGAGATGCCGGTCCTGGGCCTGCTGGCCGATCGCAGGGTCGTGATTGTGGTCTTTACGTTGGGCGTGAGCTACCCGCTGACGCTGTACCGGGATATTGCTAAGGTCAGTTATAACTCAGTTGGGCGGAAGGGAGGAGGAGGACCCGGGAAAGATCTTCTGGTTGTTTAGTGAGTGGTGGTGTGAGAGGAGAGGGCAAGCGGCTGACATGTGTGTGTTATTAGTTGGCCAAGGCGAGCACGCTTGCGCTGGTGAGCATGGTGGTCATCGTGGTGACGGTTGTGGTGCAGGGCTTGATGGTGCCCGCGGAGGCCAGGGGGTCGCTGAAGGACTGGCGGCTGCTGGTGATCAACGACGGCATATTTCAGGCCATTGCCGTGATATCGTTTGGTATATTCTACCCTATCCTATTGAGTATATGGAGTTTTGTGTTGTCTACTTGGTTGATGCTGACTGCAAGCTCGCAGCCTTCGTCTGCCACCACAACTCTCTCCTGATCTACGGCTCCCTCGAGAAGCCGACGATCGACCGCTTTGCCAAAGTCACGCACTATTCGACTGCCGTCTCCATGTTTGCCTGCCTGTTCATGGCCCTCGCCGGGTTCCTCACGTTCGGCGACAAGACACAGGGCAACGTGCTCAACAACTTCCCGCCCGACAACACCATGGTCAACGTCGCGCGGCTCTGCTTCGGCCTCAACATGCTCACCACGCTGCCGCTCGAGGCCTTTGTCTGCCGCGAGGTCATGCTCAACTACTATTTCCCCGGCGAGCCGTTCAACATGAACCTGCACCTCATCTTCAGCTCGAGCCTGGTGTTTACTGCCATGGTGCTGAGCCTGGTGACGTGCGATCTGGGCACCGTGTTTGACCTGGTCGGCGGCACGAGCGCCGCCGCGATGGCGTATATCCTGCCGCCGTTGTGTTATATCAAGCTCACCACCAGGTCGTGGAAGACGTATCTAGCGTGGGCGGTCGTGGCGTTTGGGTGTACGGTTATGCTAATGAGTATGTTGCAAGCCACGGAGAAGATGATAAAGGGTGAGTTTTTTTTTTCCCCCGAGCCCCCGCTAGCCTGTACAGACAGGTCTTGAACGATAGCTGAGTGACTGACCATCTGTGTCTTGGCAGGCGAGGGAGGCACCAGGCAGTGTTACTAGCATCTATATAGAATACTTTACTAACTTGACTAATAAGCGTACCACAAGATAAGGGTGTGTACCTTTTCGGGGCTCATAGATAAAATGGAAACGGGGTCGGGGTCGGGGTCGGATACCTGGCGCGGACCATCAGCGGTGCATCATGGATGTTCAACCTTAGCCATTGAAATGGGACATTCAGTGTTTCGCTTTTCCTTTTCAGCTCAAGTGCTTGTTGCAGGTCCGCTGACGGGTCATCCGGTATGAGCATAGGTACTAGCTAGATCACTCCAAGCCAGAGTCTCCCCCATCCGGAGATCTGACATAGGCGCCAATGGTCCTCCCTCATGAGGGGCAAACAGAAATCTCCCGAGACAACGGTCAAGTATCGGGAACGACTCTGGAGTAGATGACACCCACCACCAGGGGGGATGGTTGTTGGTATCTATGTTGTAACTTACTTAGTACTTGCAGCATCCGTATAAGAAATGATTCTGTATTACAGAATTGTGTAGGTAGGTTCGCTCATACCTTCAGAAGTTCAGGCTCATCGTATCATCATACCTTTTGCACATGTCGAGTGTGCTACTTTATGCAAAGGACCCTTGGCGTGGGACCTTACTCCCCCCTCCCCTCACCCTCCCCCACACCCGAGACTGGAATCGGGACTGCATCGTAACCCAACCGCCTGATCGCATCCAGTGATCACGCAGCACGCACACACCTCAGGGTCATCGTTTACCTGCCGGACGTAGCCGTATCAGCTTATCTGCCGTGCTACTTCCTAACTCCCTACACTACCTAACGTTAATGTTACACCGCCTCACCCACTTCCGGCGTGGGCTCGATGGCATAGAGAGGGGGACATGTTTCGATTTGCCAACACGAACCACATGACTGACGACTTGCCGGGCTGGTGGTGGCCGCTGTGGATTCCGTCTCCGTTTCTCCTCGGTGCCCGAGCAATGAAAGGTGAAGGAATACCTAAGCACCTCAGATGTTGGGTTGCCTCCCGCGTGGGCTGCCTACCCGCCCACCTTACCTTTCCGAGTGACCTACATACTATTCCGCAACAAGGGAAGGTGTGAGTTGTAATAAGGGGACTAATAGTGGAGGTAGAGAGGGGGGGGGGGAGGAGCAGACGGAGGAGACGGAGGAGGAGCTGGTGGTTGTAGCATTATAAGAAAGAACCCCCCTCACTTTCCCCCCAGTCAGAAACTCAATTCTCATCTCACCCGCAATCCCCATTCGACATAACAAGTATCCGAGACCCGAACCGAAGACAGCCAGCCAGCCAGCGACGCCCCCCTTTTCACAAGCTTCTGCAAACACGATTTGTCAAACAGCCCAAAAACAAAAATGCATGGAAACGACTGCCCCAAGTGCGGTGCTGCCTCGGACGGCTCCTCCAAGTCGTGCGGTGCTTGCGGAGCTGTAAGTGCTCGCCTCTGGCCGCCCTTACTCTTCCATCTGGAACGTATCAGGTTTGCTAACACTCGCAAACCCCTCAGAGCTGCCCCATCTAAGGTGCAGAAGAACCCTCATGCTGATGTCTAAGGCACCCGCCTGCGTCATCGGAACGGGGAAGGTTATACCATGCGGTACGGCTGTGTCGATTCGCACGACATGATGCTAGGGGGATCTCGCCTTTTCGGGGAACGAGGGACGGGACTCTTGGGAGCTTCGGTTTCAGACTTCGGTGACGGCGCTCTTTCCGGTCAAGGGTTGTAATCGATTTGAACGAGTGACGAATTGAGACGAATCTTGACGAGCAAATCGTTCTCATGCCCAGCAGACAGACGTGTAGTGACGGCCCTGTACCATGTGTGCATGTAAAGCGATCCACACCTCAGGCGACGTTGCCCAGATGCCTACCGTCAGGTCCTTCCAAGGCTGGGATAACTTGGTCATTATCAAGAGAAGCTCCCGGCCCCTAGCCGAAGGGAGCAAGGTCGCCAAAGACACCAGCGGTACGGGCAAAGCACGTGTGAACGGCAAGTCAAGCAAGCTATGGCGATTTGTATATTGACCGAGTGCCTCCATACCAAGCCCGGGACAACAGGTGAACCAAAACTCGACAGACATCCGCGCACAAGACACAGGGCCGGGTCCAAGAAAATACGATAAATAAATGACTAGCTAGGTGGTTAAAAGAGCATGGGAACCGCGGGTGCCGTGGAGTAGTCCGAGACAGAGAAAAAAGGACAAGATAGAAAGGGAAAGAGGACAGTTGGATTATAGCTTGCCGCCCCGTAGCTGTTCGCCAGCCTCGCCAAACTGAACCGAGACTAAAGTAGCGCCTCAGAGTTGCCCAGGATGCCCACGCCTGCATCCTTCCATTCCCCAGCTCTTAGCTCGCCAAAACCGAGATCCTTCTCCCCAGCCCTTTCAAACGGTGAGCATCCACGCCCATGCCTGCTGGAGCAGGTCGTTCTTTGTTTCCCCGCCCTCGGGCATTTCAGGACAGCCGGCTGGTGAAAGTGCAAGAGATTCTATATCTCTCTCCGCGGGGACAAGATCCAATGTGCTGTGTTACCGGCCGCGACGTATTTGGGTGCTGGCGCAGCCGAGGCTGACAGTAATGGAGGCGAGTAATTTGAAACCAATCCACACTTAAGCGATGACGCACTTGGTCTTCTTCTTGCCCGTCTTCTTCAACAAAGCGGCGCGTGTCGCGAACTCGAACACCTCGCGAACACCTTCGTTGGTCTTGGCGGAGCACTCGAGGTACTTGGTGGCCTTAATGTTAGTGGCAACTTGTTGGCCCTGCAGTATCGAGTCAGCACTCCATTCACAGATACAAACGACCCAAGTCTGATACTGGCAGACCGGCATGGGGATATCTCGATCTAGCTTACCTGTTCTGGGGTGACGGGCGCTTGGCTTGTCTTCCGAAGCTCCTCAATCGTCTTCTGGTCGAAACGCAGATCCTTCTTGCAACCGACGAGGATCTTGGGGACATCAGGGCAGAAGTGATGTACCTCGGAGCACCACTGTTGAGGGATCAGAATGTCAGCAGATGTCGTGCGCTATGAGCAGTGGGATCATGCTGGAAGCTAACCTTCTCGCCAACGTTGTCCAGAGAGTCGGGAGAATCAATGGCGAAGCAAATCAGAATGACGTGAGAGTCCGGGTATGACAGGGGCCGCAGACGGTCGTAGTCCTCCTGGCCAGCCGTATCCCATAACGCCAATTCCACGTGCTTCCCATCGACTTCGACATCGGCGACGTAGTTTTCAAACACGGTGGGGACGTAGACCTGCACACCATGTCAGCTCATCGTTTGCAGGCTATGTTATGTTCGATGCGGTGAGGAAGGCTGTGACGGCGGCGCCGTCACCAACGGCCGGGGATCAGAACTGAGAGGCGGTCTGCGGCACTCTAGCGCCGACGCAAGAATGCCACAGCCGTTTGGAGCGGACGAGATGCTATAGATCAAGTAAAACTTACCTCGGGGAAGGTGCCCTTGGAGAAAACACTGATAGCGGATCGAGTCAGCAAAGGCAATGCCTGGATCACGAGCGTAACAGGGCAAAGGGGTACACGCCGACCGAATCCGACAGAGAACCGCAGGGAAAGGGGGAACTCACATCAACAAGCAGGTCTTACCGCAGGCACCGTCGCCGACGATGACCAGCTTTCTGCGCAACTCGGCAGCCATGGTTGCTTTTAGGGATTAGATTGGTGTTACGGAGTGTCGTATATGGACTTGGTGTTGCTGCAGGAGGATGGGCTCGCTGCAAACCGGACGCGGGATTGGAAGGATGCCGGAGGGAAAACAACGGCAGTGGAGCGTCACGGATAATGAGAGAAAGCGGCAAGCCGATATCTCTGGGTGAACCGGGTTGCCGGGTTGTTGATGCAACAAAGTGCAAGAGAGATGGAAGGGTGAAAAGTGGAGGAAGTTGCTCGGTGGAAAAAGAGCAGGAGTCCCGGCGGTCGCTGCGATTGATGACAGAAGAAAAGGCGACGGTGCAGGGCGCTGGGAACGGTCGGGAGAAGGGGAGAGTGGGTGCTGCCGCCTGAAACGGTGCGCTGTGAGTGGGTGGAAGACCTGTGGGGGCTTGCTTGAATGCTGGTCGCTTGGTCTGGGGTCTGGGCTGATAATGAGGCAGCGCGCGGTGCCAGGTGTCTGCCGTCTTCACAGCCTGGGCGGTCTTGTCCTGTAAGGTTGTCGACGTTGCTATTATTTGAGAACACGATGCGTATATGTGCATCCGTAGATGAACGAGAGTCTTCAGTGCTTGGTATGTCCCGTAGGCACTTGTTTTCTGTTCTTATCGGTGTACTATACGAGCAGCGGGATGTGAATTCGTCATCAATGGCTATGGTCCGAGTTTGGGACGGCCCGGCTTGTTTGTTGCTTGTCGATCGGAGCCAGGAAGGCTGGCCCAGGCTTTGCTGGCAAACTCCGCAGAACGATACGGCAGCCCCTGAAAGTAGTGCAGAGCGTCAAGTCGGGCAGTGGTGGGCCTTCTTCACATTGCTCTGTCTCCTACTAGTACGCGTGTAGGTAACTGTCCGAAGCATCATGCAGCCTTGGAAGCATCGCTTTATCATTGATGTCATGTTTATTAGGATGGGTGTCCTTGCCTACAACAGCCTTGAAGTCCTGTGAGCATTGACCAAGGCAGACAGACAGACAGACAGGACCTTCACAGTCACTAACTGCAGCACGATGTCCGCAGTTAACTACTAGTAGCTAAGACAGACATGAATCAAGCTAGGCAACAAACGATCACCCATAGGAGTATGCAAGAAGGAATCTGACGATGTGGTAGAGCCAGCCCCGACTCAGCTGCTTTTATTAAGGTAGTAGCCTCGCCACCGCAGCGTGATCAATCATCGTCAAAACGGCGGTGATCCGCGTCAAGACTGTATTATCGCGGTGGTGGACATGTAAGGAATTGGGACCTCCGTCCTGAAGCTTTGCTGCGTCCGCGGCTGGGGCTGGGTGAGCTGTTGTGGCGCGTGTCGCTGACTGTCGCGTCCTTCTGGTGAAAGGTGGGGCCGCAGAGTCCTACGGAATTGTCCTAGGACATGTCCGGGGGTTGAGAACGCAAGAGCGCAACAAAGGCAGCACTGCGAATCTATGAGGACACTGCATTACGAATGCTGGATGCGAATTCAGGAAGAGAGGGACGCAGGAGACCACAGGGCGGTCAACTGACCGTTTACTATGCTACCGCCGGTGAAAACTGGCAATGCAGCAGCAGCATGTCTCTCTTTTGACACCCGTCGGTGCTGCTGCGGTGGGCTCTTTGTCGATGTCCGTACTTATGCTCTCCAAAACAGGTCAAGTGAGGTTGGTGCACGTGCATATGCATGATGGGCCGAGGAGGAGATTCCGGCCCTGCATTGAGGCTGCAATTCTGCGGGGCCGGCTGTGGGAGCTTGAAAGGCTGCCAGCTGATGACCACATTCCGCCAGCCGCGCACAAAATTTCCCGGGCGTCTCGAACTGTGGGGCCATCGGATGGGTTGGGAAGTCGAATGCCGCAACTTTTCGAGATTCGCAGTTTGGTCGCGCCGCCGCCGACGACACGGACCTCAATCACCCTTTTCCCCCGCCGCCTGGCTCTGTGCTTGAGCTGACTGAGGACGTGCCCCTCTTCCCTCGCCGGCGCCATGGAGAAGATCCTTCGGCGGGTGCGCATGGCCGAGCGCCAAGTTGCACGGCGAGTGAAGCGCCGGAACGAGCTGGTCCACGCCATCAAAAAGAACGAACGGACCGGTATGATCGCCAGGTCCCGGAAACAGGCAGGCGTTGCGCTTAACACCGCCATAAAGGCTCGCCACGAGGATTGGGAGCTCGGTCCGCTTGCTCCGCGCCGCGACGTCAGTCAGGTCGATGAGTTCGGCAACTACTGGGGCAGCATCTCGAGCGAGCGAAGCCTGCTCCAGTTCGCTCTCACTGATGAGCAGAAGAACGCCCGTGCTGCCTGGGCCGGTGGATCGCAATACCTCTGTATAGCTATCGGTGACCGTGTTGTCGTTACCGAAGGCCCCTACAAGGGCAAGATTTCCTCCATTGCGTCAATGGACCGGAGTGCCATGACCGTCACGCTGGAAGGTAACATTGGCATCGTAAGTCATGCTTTTGCCCCAACCCGTGCTCGCACTCGACCGCATGCTTACCGATTCCAAACAGGTGAATGCGAAGATCCCCGAGTATCTGAATCGACATGGCCACCCACCAGTTCAGCAGCTCAAAGCAGCCATTCCAATCTCAGCCATCCGGCTAGTACACCCACTTACAGATCCGGAGACCGGGACGGCCCGGGACGTCATCATCCGTGAACTCAAACCTATCGGGATAACGCATGACCGGCCCACACGCAAGGTCTTTTTCTCTCGCATCGTTCCGGGACTGAACGTCCGCATCCCCTGGCCAAAGCAGCCAAAGAAGGAACACGAGGACCATCCCGTAGACACGCTCCGCCTAGAAGTTGAGGAGCGCACGTTCGTGCCGACGCTCCTCCGTCCGCCCTTCCCGGAGAGTGTGGTCGACGAGCTGCGCAACAAGTACTCCAAGTTCCGCACGCGGCACACGCCCGAGTACGTCGCCAAAATCGAGGAGAAAGAGGCGGAGAAGAAGGCCCGCCAGAAGGGCGCCCGTATCGAGGAGATGCTGCTGCCACTGCAGGAGTACAATCGCAAGCTACGCGAGCTGCGCCGCGCTCGCGGCAAGCCGGAGCTTACCGAGGAGATGCTCGAGAAGATCGGCGAGGTTATTGCGCGGAACCGGTTGGCCAGGCTGGGAGGGGGAGAGGCTGCGGCTACTCTCACACCCACACCTGCCGCTTCCGAGACAGAGGTGGACAAGATGCAGAAGGCAGTCGAGGAGCTGTCACTTGGGGGAGACGCCCAGGGGACAGCGACGGGTGGGGATCAGCCCAGCGCATCATGATTCGGGCCAGCTTTTTGCCTCAATGCGAGCTCTGGGCGCTGGAGAGGGAGAGGGAGAGAGAGAGAGAGCTGGTATCTTCCCCTTCCGGACAACCGATAGCCGTGTATGGATGAAACTTCGGCATTCGGCAAAGGGCTCACTGTAACATATAGCTGTCACGACTGCAACCTCTGCGCTCTTTGTTCCGTGTAACGATATTGTGGATATAGAGTACATACCATGGGATATTTGTCTGCCAATTCGGACCTATCCTAGGTCACTACCAGGAGTACAGGGCGGAGAGGTTCTTGGTTCGTTGACCCAGGGAAGTCATTCGGATCTTACGACGGAGAAAGAACAGCGTTTCAGCAGCGCTGCGATAGCCCCAAGATCCTGCATTTTCCGCAAACACAATCCCATCGTGCTGGCATATCAGGATAGCTAGAACACCTTCAACAAAGACACCGGTCATACTATAAGCCGGCCCCTCCAAACTGATGCTGCAAATCCAGCGCATACAAGAACGCGCCTGAAGGCTCTCAGGGGTACCTAACCCGAACCAATCAACATTAGTCCAGAGCACCGAATTCGGCAACCCGATATAGTATGTACATGTACTGTACCTAAGGTACAAGGTAGGAGGTATCCATCCCTCGACTGCTACTTGTACAGGTCCCCCGACCGTGGTTGCTAGCCATGCACTGCCACACCTAAGCTTGTGCCCTACCACTACGGAGTACACTAAGTGGTAATCAGCTCATGGAGGGACGGAGTTGATGGCGTTGCTGAAATCCCGAAATTCCATGACTATGTGGCCACATTCGGAATAAGTACGGCCCCAGAGCGTGCCCATCCGCAAAGGGGGCACCATACCGAGACGAGGCAAGAAAGACGGGACAAACGGAAGAACCGGATAACCAGGCGGCCTCAACCGGCTTTTTGCCTCACTCAGTTTGAGGGAGTGCATTCCGAAGGCCCTTAATTAGTGGGCGACGGGAGTGTGGTGGTACCACTGTGCAAGATTTTCGCGATGAAGTTCGCCACGCAAGGCAGACTCGACTTACACAGCCAGGCTGCCAGGGAGGGGCAGGCGGTCAGGGGGTCAAACGACGCAGAGAAAAATTCGCATTTTGAGATTCAGCCCGCTACTTTTGAACACTCGTTTTCTTTTTCTTCCTTGGAGAATGATATCCAAGAGAGGGGAACGTACCAGTATTAATCTGCTGTTAACTGCAGTAACGACTGTCTCCTGCATGAGCTGGACGTGTCCACTGCTGCTCACTGTCCCTCGATTCCCATTGTTCAGCGCAAACATCGACAAGCCGGCCACCCTTCCTCCTTCTTGAGCTCCTGAGAAGTGTCGATGCCCGATTCCATACCCTAACGTATCTCATCAGGCAACCCTCGCCCAGCAACCGACCGATATCCAAGAAGAGACGCCATAGACGATCAAGCCGAGGAAAAGAACTCGACGCGAACCCAACGGTAAATCCAAGCAACCAATGCAAAGAAGAGAGCGCCGTCGTTATCATCTCACCGCTGTCGTCAGGCTTCATGTTGTGTCCCATTCCTCCACCTGGGCTCATCCGATATGCGCGGACTTCCCACCGACCAGAATCCGACCAGAAAAAGTCATCAAGTCATATAGCCTTCCAAAAGCAGGAAAGGGAATCCAAACAAGAGGTGGACGAGAGAGAACGAAATTGTCAACAAGTATCGAACGAGCCGAACAAAGGACACGCGCGCGAAGGCAGAAAGACAAGGCAGAACCTGACCAGAACTTGTCCACCTTCAAGCATTCCGTATTCATAACAGAGAAACCCAGCGCACCCATGATACGATGAACCGCGATGTCCATACGCAGGGGGTTTGTTGATGCCCTTCCCTGCGACATATGATCCCAACTGGCTTGGTGAGAGCTGAGAAGGGAAGAGAGCAGAAGTCTGAACAGCCGAGTCGTGACCTCAAGGAATCCGTGGACGGAAGGACAAGCTTAAAGGCAAGAACGACAATATAAGGACCCAAGGATCAAAAGACTGGAGCCTCCACTGCTGGCTGGCGCCGGGACAGAACCGGACAGTACTTGTCTCGATCGGACTCGGGTGGGGCCGGAGGTCGGGGTCGGGGTCCGGGCGTTGGTGGGGCAACGACTGAGATTGATGATCCCGGCACTGACGCGCTGTTGAGGAACGCGTCTTGATGCTGCAGCCTTGTCCTCTTCGCCAACCCAACACACCCATCTCTGTCAACGGAAGTCGAAGCCTAGCAGCGCGATGACGGTATGACGCATTCGCGCAGATACGAACCAGTTGGTACTTCATCTTCTGACCTTCCTTTCCTTTTTACGCCGCAGCTCGCGTTTTTCCTTGGCCAAATCATGGGCTCGGCCCTTCTCTCTCTCTATTATTATGGTTTTCTTCGGTCCTTGGGCCAACGAGGGGTGCGAGTGCGACCCGGGAAGTGGATATGGCGACTCGTCGAACGACATGGCCCAATCGTATCTTTCTTCGGAGAGCAAGCCGCAGGCGTACAAGTGCTGGACCATATCGAAATCCGGCCGGTTGTTCCCACTCGTCAGGCGGTGGTCCTCCCAAATGTGGTCTCTGACGTGTTGCATGCGCTGCACGAAGTTGGCGTGCCCATCGGTGGGATTCTCAGCGACGAACTTGAAGTCGTCGCAGAACCAACATATCAGACGCTGCGGGAAGAGGCCGTTCAGATGCGCAGCGTGGTGCTCGATCCAGCGGTTCTCCTCGTCGAGGCCGAAAGTCGCCTGGCAGCCCATCAACCCGGAGAACTCGCACCACAGGATCTGGTGAGCCACGGGTGGCGGCGCGACTGGGTTGCCGAATTGCTGCATCCAAGTCATCTGTGGAACCCCTACCGACGGCGCCGAAGACGGCGCTGAAGACGGACCCACCAAGCTCCGGCTGTCGTCTTGGCTGAAGACCGAGGATCGTGCGGCCGATCTCCCGGTGCTTACGGTGTAGGCCGGCGACTTCACAGTTGATGTCATTGTGACTTCGCTTCGCCAGTCGTCGAACTCCGAAGAGCTGGTATCTTCCAGCACTCCGTTTCCCGCCGCCGCTGGCTGATACCCGCGGGGCTGGTTGGCATAGCCGAAGTAGGGTTCCTGGTCATCGTCGACCGCTGACCTGCGGTAACGGCTAAGGAAGTGTTGGATTTCGTCGGGATTGATGTAAGATCCCATCACAGTGGCATGCAAGGCGGCGGGGCGCAGTGGCCGATCAGGATGCAAGCTAGGTGCTGCAGTGAGGGGGTGCGATGGTAGTGGGGGGTGAGCCGTGTTGACCGGGGTGTAGTACCATCGACACCTAGAACTGCAGCGGCGATTCCTAGCCCAACCCGAAGCTGTGGCTCTGCGATGAGATGGAAGAACGAGGAGAGATCGGGTATGGACGCCCAGGTGACGCGAAATGGAAAGTTTCAAGCCAGTGCCCGGGGGTTTTCAAGGACGTGCTGGATCGACGGTCAGCAACGCTGCTATTTTTGGTTGTTGCCTATTCTGACGACGACCATCAAGATGAGGGGTGGTCGTTTTGAGGGTCCGGGGATCTTCGAGATCTCAGCAAGCAAGTATCGGACGCCAATGTCTGTTTGCATCTGAGATATGATTGCGGTTGGGGGACCAGATAAAATAGACCAGCAGCCAGGTCGGGAACGGCTGACTTTTAAGGAAGGAAGGAAGGTGGTTGTGTTGGACGGAATTGGATCCTAATATCGGTAAGTCGCGGTTTCCTCTACCCACCATTGTGTACTCGATATCGTTTCGTCCATATACTACTTACGGTTTGGCAGATTTTCGATCGATCTGCATGGTTCTGTCCATCGTTTCATTTTCCTGAGGCTCAACATCCGCTGCCCGATCCGACGCTGCGCATGTGCGAACACCCGTCGACAAGTGATCCCACCTCAGAACCAACTGCATAACTGCATGTGCACGCCATCCAGTTGCCGTCCCGAACCCGCCCATCTGCGCACTCGAGTCGTCGGCACCAGACCGCTTGTCCGGGTATCTCTGGCGGTCTACGCGCCGTCCCGACAATCGACATGACGCGACTCGAGGAACTTTTTGTCGTCGGGTGTTCGCCATGCAGCTCGGAGACTCGATGGCCGGTTGCCGTCCTGGCAAGTGTTCGTCAGCAACCGTCTCACAAGACATCGAGTGATGCCAGAAAGGGGCAAGTGCCCGTGGGCTGTTGCATAGCAACCATTCATTGTGTGGTCTTTCACCGCAAAAACTCGAGCCAATTCCACCTGCGACTTCCGTGCATCTGCTTCTGCTTCATGCGCTCCCCGCATTGGCGCAGGGTGATCAAGATGCGACTGGGTGCGCTACACCTATCAACAGGTAACACGCCTTCAGGTCCGCGATCATCATGGACTGCACTGCCAGATTTCAATATCTGTTTGTGGCTCTGTTCGGATCAAGTTGCCGCGCTCGCGCACAGCTCAGGTTCCGTCCCATTGCGCAAGAGCGCACAATCTCTTGGTCAACCTGAGCAAGCGCCGTGTGCCACCGATGCCATTACTGTGATAGTAATGCAGTGGCTTTAAACAGCTTGGCTGTTCATGGGTTAATTCCTGCTGCTCCTCGGCCTCTCAACTGACCCGGTGTTTCGACGTCGGAGCGGCTGCCCGACCTGATCCCGCGAGCAAGCTATGGGATGATCAATCCATCCGCCCATGTTCAGGGGTTGGCAAGCGCCACTAGGTATCACAGCAGCAGGTGGTCGATAGTTTAAGACAGTCTTGTTGGTATTACTGAACCTTTTACCTTATCTGTCGTCCTGAGAACACTCCTCCGTTGTGTAACCACCGTCAAGCGCTCTCCGTTGGGCAGCCACCGCGTTCCTCAAGACCGTGGCGAAACCGGGCCTATCAAGGCGAGGGCACTCGGACGAGAATCCAGCCGTCGGCCTTTTCCTTCTTCATGCACCCCATGTACGGGGTTTACCCGATCACGCCGTCCCCACAACGCGGCATGCAGCGTGATAAGCCGGATGCTGGTAGCTATCCTGATATTAACTGGCACAGACCTCATCTCAATAAAGCGATTCTGCGTTCACGGAATAGCCGTGTACTTGCGAGGCCTCGAAGCCGCATCCACTTAGTGGTCGCATATGTGCGTATATCTCTGGTGTGCCCCTGAAACATGGGCCACTCAGAGGGTTTGTCTTTGGTCAGCCGTATCCAAAATTGCCGAGAGCTATTGGCTTCCGGAAGCCAGAGCAACTTCGAGCACTTCGAGGCAGTTCCGCCGTGGAAATCGCCGGATAAGCCGCTCGAACGGCTGGTAGGTAGCCAAAGGTTTTGCTTCATATGCAGGTATGCTGTATCTCACCGGCGACTTCCGATTCGCGAGCCAAGACACATCCGGTGAGCAACTCTGCTTCCTGCTTCCTGCTTCCCACGTCTCCATGCCGTCATCTGCAATCTCGCCGGGTACCCGCCGAGTGACGTGCCACGCACCCCGCAGTCGACAAGTCGGCGTCATCAGCTCGAGAGAGCGGGGTGATTTTGAGGCTCTGCGGGCAGCAGCCCAATGAGCTGACAAAGTTTGCCGCAGCTTACCTGTCGGCAAGACCGTCCTGTGCAACCTTGCCCAGTCCTATTTGGCGACCGATCACCAACTTGCACCATACATACCGCAAGCAAGCTTCTAAGATCCGGCCGAAGATCCGGAGCGCGTTTAGGGCCAGAGGGAAGCGACTTTAGCGTAGGCCCGTTCACCCGCGGCCTAGGAAGCTAGAATAGTCCAGAGCCTGCATGCCGGATGCTCCGAGACACGTCAAGGGGTGGCTCAATCTCCTCTAACCAGTCCAAGTGCAGCGTAGCACCTTGAGCTCGGCAACTCTGTACTCGTAATGGAACCACGGACAGTGCCCCTTACTCCGGACTGCAGATGACTTTTGCCTTGGAGATGACGTTCCGATACTGCAGATGCCCTCCGCTCTCGTCTCCCCGCTTGATGATGCCGGGGAACGTGATACAGCAAATATCCCTGTCGGCCAAGCTGTCCTCGTCCTCGCCGCCGATGTCTTCCATGGTCTCGGCATCAAACATGGTCCGCTGGTGCGGCAGGATCTCGGGCATCTCGATCGTGAAGACGGCCCTTTGTACGGCCAGCAGCCTTGAGATCTCAATGGCGCTGGAGACGAGCGCCTGTAGACCTTGGTCTCGCGCCTCGCTTGACTTCGTGTTCGTGATGGAATCGAGCAGCCTGTTGACCTTGGACACGACCGTGCCAACGACGGCCGTTGTCTCTGTCTGTAGCTTCTCATTGGCGTCTTTCTTGAGCATCGTGAGGGTAAGTGAGCGCCATTGGTTGATCCACTCCGGAGACGATGCTGCGCGACAAATGAGTAAGTACTTCATCGCCCGATCCAGGTCGGCGCTGAGGGCGTCTTACCAAATGATGACAGAAAAGCCTCAACCTGCCGAATCTGGCCAGCCACATTGGTCGGAAGGCCGACAAAGTAGGCGTCAAACACAAGGTCCACAAGTAACCGCGACACGACCGACTGAAGCAGATGGATTTTGAAGGTCGAGGCTAGCTCTTCGTACATGGGCACCAGACGGGCCAATTCCGAGATCGTCTCTTCGTCGGCGCTGGATAGATCTGCTTGCAGTTAGCCCCCACCCTAAAGCTTATCCCAACATACCAAGCAGAATACGGGGAACGGGAACGAGGGGGCCCTCCACTTACCAACCTTCGCCCTCCTAAAATTCACCAGCACCCAGTTTTGCAATCCGTTCCCCAACTTCGCCATCCCCTCCCCAAACACCTCGTCACTCGTCTGGGCCTGCCCATCCGTCCGCGTGCTCGTGCTAACCCACTCCTTGAGGCCCCTCACCTGCGCCCTGAGCTGCGCAACCTCCTCATCCCTCCGAGCAAGCGTCTCCTTCGTCCGTTCCCACGCGCCCCGTAACTCATCCAGCTCCTGCTCCATCCTGGCCTTGTTCTCCCGCTCCCTCTCCCTTTCGGTCCCCTCGTCCTCGTCCTTCTCCCTTTGTCTCATACAAGGAGCTTCTTCCCCCTGCGCCTGCAGGATCAGAGCCAGCTGTTTCTCAATGGCCGCATATTTGGCCTGCCAGAAGGCCGCCGTGTCGCTCTCGGCGCTGCTCAGCTTGTCCAGCTCGCGCACAAACTCGGCCTCCATCAGCGCCAGCTCGCGCTCGAGCGAGGCGATGCGCAGCTCCTTCTCGCGGAGGGCCGACTGTGCACTGGCCAGAGTGATAGTCGGCGCGATCGCGGTTGTTGCCGTTGCTGTTGCGGTTGCTGTTGATGCGGCAGCTGTTGCGAGATGTGGTAACGGCGAAGGGGACGCGGAACGGCGGTTCGCTGGTGCGTTGAGTGGGAGCAGGCCCGGACCCGGACCGGCGGGGTCTTTGCTGGAGGTATTATTGCGCGGGTTGGCGGAGGCCGGGGCTGGGGAAGACGCGCGGCTTAGAGCTGCTCGCGGAGGAGGGGCGATGAAGGTGCCGCTACTGCTGGGAGCGTTGCTGGGGTTGTTGCTGCCACCGCCTTTGCGGGGGCTACTCGGGGTAGTGCGGGATGGACGCGGTGGAGAGCGTGGGCCGTTGATGCCGGCGCCTTTGGGTCCGGTACCCACGGGCGGACGGCGTTTCTCGGGAGACGGCATGTTCTTGCGAGGCATATGTAGGGTGTTTCTTTAGCGAGTGCTCTATTCGGCTCGTCCGTTATGCTAGCTGACGGGCTCGACGACTTCCAAGTCGAGGTGAGACTGCACGGCGAGGTTGCGGTTTACAGACTGCATCATGGCATGGTCTGGCTTGGGCGGTCCTTGCTGACCAATTTCAGAGGCGACGTAATAATATGCCGCCGCTGCCTGGACTGATCAACGAATCGAAGATGTTTTCGGGCGGGATATCCTAGGCTGCTGAGATCAGCACCAGCTATCTGAGGCTTGGACAAGCTCAGCCTTAGGTGGGTGCGGGGGTGGTCCGAGCTTGCCAAGCAGTACGTACCTTCCATATTTACAGTGGGTCTCAAGGTAGACCTGAGCTGCCTCCACTGAGCCGGCAGCCCGGTTATCAGATGCCGTGGTGAGGGAACAAGCACCACGGCACGCCAAACCCATCTGAGACCCGGTCTGATAGTCGAAAGACTGCAGGTAATGAGCGCTACCCAATCCGCTGAATTTGTAGTCCTACCACGCCGGTGGCTGTCAAGACTCAATAGCTGGTGGCGCTCGCCTTAGAACTCGACCTCAGCCTCGACCTCGTATGCCTCGTCTTCTTGACCGTCGACAACCACCTTCTTCGCGCCCATCTTACAAATCGCGACTTTCTCCACGGGCACATCCTGCATCCACACCTGGTCCTCATAGCGATCGATAATCCCCGTGGCATCAAACACTAACCGGTCCCACTTGTTGCCTCCCCTGCCTCCCCTCGCCCTCTTGCTACTGCTGCTGCTGTTGTTCCCAGCAACACCACTATTCCACTCCTTCTTGTTCTTCACATACACCGTGTTCACAACCGTAGCGTGCAACAGCAGCGGCCGCCCCTCGTCCACCATGAGCTCGGCCTCCCGGAACACGTCTCGGACCCTCTCACAGAACGCCTGCAACAGCCCAAGCTGGTCCACCGGCGGCGCATACAGCACAGCCGCTTGCGTCGGCGCTTGCATGGACGCCAGCCCGCGCAGCGTGATCTTGGGCCGTTCCTCCTCCTCCTCCCCCTCCCCCTTCCCCTTCGTCCCCTCCGTCCCCTCCGTTCCCTCCACTCTGCCCTGCCCTTCTCCCTTACGAAGATCGGCCTCTGACCCAGGCATCCTAGGCATACCCCTCCGCCGAACACCCTTCCATATCTCCCTGAGCTCCAGCCCCGCCAGAACCTCCCTTGCCCGCGCCAGCTGCGCCTCGCCTTCCTGGTGATCCCCGCCGCGCGGGAAGCTGAAGATGCCCAGCGTGAGATGCAGCGTGCCGAGTGGCCGGATAGCGTCGTCGGCGAGGCCGAAGCCGAGCGGGACGGGCGACGTGACGTCGGAGCGGAAGGCGGACAGCGAGGCGGCTAGCTGCGGGCGGGAGTGGGCTGTCACGAGCGGGATGCAGAGAAAGTGGGTTGGTATTGGCTTTTTCGGGGGCATTTTTGTTGTCATAATATATTAGTTTGCTTCTTGGAGCTTATTATGGGTGATATGGAATATGCTGCGCTTTCTGTCTCTGGCGGGGAACTCGTGAAAGTTGGGGAGGGTTGAGAGATTCTGTGCGGCGAGGCCTTTGCGATTGCCGCCCCCCTGGAATCTGATTGTGTTATTATTTGATGTGTATGTCGCTGCAGCGGCGATGTTGTGTTCCCGAGGAGAATGAGGTCTGGAGTGAACTTGATGCTGGTGTCGTGAGTCGTAGAGTCGAGAAATCCGGTTAATGAGTTGGGTTGGATTAACGGAGAGACAGGGCATGGTCTGTGCTTAGTGATAATCGGTTGGCAATTTGCAGTCACACGGAATCGCCAGAGCTCACAGTTGAGAGTACTCAAAGGGCAGTCTTCAGAGGACATGAATCAGAAAGGATGAATGAGGCCGTGGCCATAACCTCCCAAAGACTAAGATGCCCTTGCGCGTGACCAGGGCCCCGAGGATCGCAACGCCCCCAAGGTATTGCGCATATCTACCCCAACACGACGAGATATTCGAGCCCTGCGCTCTCTTATAACCCACGTAACACTAGGGATGCCCTTTTTTTCTTTTTGGATGCCTCATGCCCATTTCCCTACGACGACTTCACGAGTGACGCCTATTCAGGCTTCGCCTGCTGCTGTCTTTCATGCACTGACTGTACTGTTGAAATTGGCCCGAGAAGTGCCCCTCTGCATTACCCCTCCTGTCCATTACGCAAACAGCTTACCGCTGCTAAGCCGTCTGGTCGTGCAGCAGGCCCGTTGATCCGGCGAGGAAGCCACGCCTCCCTGTCACTGACGCCAAATTGATGTTGAGGGTGGGTGCTTCAACCGTTGGAACTGATGACTGGCGAGTCAACCGTGGTCCGTCACTCCTTCTTGAAGAACCCGTTCATTATCTTCTCCAACTCCTTCGTGTCGACCTCCACCGTCTCGAGAGCCTCCGAGATCTTTTTGAGACACACCTTCTCGTCTGGCTCACTGGTCCCGTCCACGTTCAGCTTGTGCCCGTATTGCTGGATGACCTGACAGCTGTCCCTGATCTTGTTGAACCCAAGCGTCGCTGCGGATCCCTTCAGAAAGTGGCCAAGCCCCGAGAGCGTTGACAGATCGTTGGCACTCCTGTTCGTTGATATAAAGTCGCCATTAGTCCAATGCCCTGTTCCTCGTTGTCTGGAGTTCGACGCCTGCTGGTCCATTCTGAGGATGAGGAGGGGAAATCAGAAACAAATCCGGCCCCGCTAGAGTGAAGGGTCGGTCGAGGTGACTAGCACGTTCAAACGGCACAGGGAGGAAAGAAGCCATATGCCGACACAGATAGGACTCACAAAGCATCCTGCATCTTCTCAAAAGTCTCGTGTGCTTGCTCAAAGAAGCCGAAAACAAGAGGGGCACTGAAGTCGCGGTCTGATTGATCTTCGTCCATCTCCAGGATCTGGGAGAAGATCTGGTCATCCACATGGTCTCCGAAGTCCGGCGTGTTCTCCATGTCTTGGCTGTCCTGTGACAACGACCGGCGGTTAGCTGCTGGTATCGCCTGCCATTCGACGTCACACACCCCAGTGCTGTCCCCGGCCATTGTTGCGAAAGTAGTGTACGGTAGTGATCCGTAGGAGGGAGCGTAGAAAAGCGACCCGACGATATGTGAAGCACTAAGCAAGCTTGGAGAACCTAGGAGCGAGGTCAGGCGTCAAGGTATACTAGTACGGCTTGGTTGCAGTGCTTCTCTAGGTTGTCCAGAGCCCTGTCTGCACAGACGGGATCAATGTGCAACCTGTCCCCGCGCTGACGTACAATGCCTTCGGATGATCGTGTGACAGGAGGGGCACGCAAAACCTCGTGGCAAGCCGATCAGAGGGGACACGGCGGGGGTGGAGTGAGAAATCGGTCTTGAGGAGAATGAGCTTACAGAATTAGGGACCGCTATCCGTATATCGATCTGCAAAGCACAGACAACAAAGGACAACCGGCGTCTCTAGACGGAGGACTGCACCGCAAGACGTCTGCCAGCAGCGTTCTTAGCATTCAGGCTGTCTCGGAGGGGCTGTGGGCAGGGGTGAGGATTTAGGGAAACGCCTTACCTAATTTTGCGCGTCAGTCGCGGAGACAGGTGGGGTTCCAGTCCGGCCGGCGGTGACGGGAAGGAAGAAGTGACAGTGGGCAAGGGAACAGAGATCAGTGTCACAGATCCCTTACGTCGATGTTATTAGCGGGTGACGATGTGAGTTGCGAAAATTTATGGCGGGGTATAAGAGAAGAAGGGCAGACTGTGCTGTTCTCAGGGGAAGTGACTGCCCAAGAGCGGGGAGGCATTGACCATGGGCAGGCACTAGACGAGGAAACGGAGGGTTGGGATTTCCAGAGGTGGGGAGGTCAATGGCAGATCGGGAAGTCTAGAGTCGAGGTAACGCAAGCAACATATCTATGTACACTACCAACAAGGCAGATGCACTTTCTCCAAATAGGTGGCGGAGGAGTGCGTTGAGAACCGCGTAGAATGGCAACGATGGTTAAATTATTAAATACCCGGGCCGCACTAGAGCGGGCATCCTACTCCCCGCACAACCAACATCAGCTCAGGTACCAATGATGTCTGTCTTTGTTCTTGGACAGCCCCGGGAACCTCGAAAAACAGTGTGTGAGCTATCAGCCATTCTTCTTCTCGCTTCCTGCCTTGCCCACTCTTGCTCGTGTTATAACTCGGTCAGGTGCCGGGGACTTGAGTCGTCTGAGGATGACGGCATATGTGAGCGTCCCGTGTTGAATTAGTAAATTACAATGATTTTGCTTGTTAGTAAACGATGTACTTGAACGAGCCGCTCTTGCATTACCGGGCAATCAATGAACGACAGACCGAAGGAACATATCTAATAGAGGGACCAAGTTATGCACTACGTACGACTGTGTTATACCAGGTATCTGCAATGCAGCGAGCTACAGCTATAGTAAGGGATCATGTATCGTACGAATCCATACATACAATACACAATCTCAACCGGTACCAGCCCCGCATTAGATAAGGTATGCCTTTTGTAGCAGCAGAAGTTGACCCCGCCAGCTATCTACGGACGGTCTTCTTGCTCGGCTACTGTGGTATCTTGAGGGTACTTGAGGGTATGCACAATATGCCCGTTTACCTTTCCTTTTAAGAGTATAACGATCAATTACCTGCCTTCATCGGTTAACTTGCCGGCCGTCTTACTTTGCAGCATGTGCCTCTTCTGATCGGTTTCTAAAAGGCCAGGGTCCAAGCGGGCTGCATTATCCGTATTGTGGTACAGCCAATGATCGACGGTTCGAAATTCCTTCTCCCACCTTCTCCCCCACTCTTGACTCGATGTTTTCCCACCGGCTACACGGTATCGAGGCGTGCGAGATCGGTAATAAAGCACTGAGGTGACCGAGATGGTGTTGTGCCCGCCCAACGACGACCCAACACAGACGTCCTGTGGAGCGCGCACTTCGTTCACGACGTTCTTTGAAGTCAGTGACGTAAAATCATCTGACCTCTTGTTCTCGCGACGGACTGACACCAGGCCACGTTACAGTACAGAAAGACAAAAAGGAGGGCAGTTGAAGTGCTTTTCTGAGCATGCAGGGACCTGTTAGGTAGCCCCTCAGGAACGGTATGCTTGTAAGGAATGAAATAAGTACGGATAGATCACGGATAGATCACGGATAGATCACGGATAGAGTAATATGTCAAAGGTATGGCTCTATCATGCCTTATGTAATCCGTACACTGTCGCTTGACCGGAAAATCCGGCAAGCTGCACATGGCAAGGGTCTGATGGCTCTGGATTCTACAATAATATGGTACAGCACTGTGTAAAAGTCTTTCCAAGAGCATGTAATCCATGGAGTATCGACCGGCCAACCCTAATCGGTGGGATACCTACAACATGCAGCTGGCGTGGATATCCTAGCGGCGGCAGCTCCGGATGTGGTACCGGCTCGGGGCACTCTCAATCCGTGCGACATCTGCTGCGGAGACGCTATCCGCCCGAATCAGGTTCTCCACTGCAAGTCATTCTCTGCTGATAGATAAACAGAGAAAATTGTGCGGGACTCGGAAACGACGAAACCGAGGGCATTAAGTATTTATGCGTATATCCAAAGTTGCAGTTAGAGGGCGATGATAGTTTTCGGTGCCAAGCCAGCTCACTGCATTCACTTGCATCTGGACCCTTTCCCTTGTCGTCGGGTGGGGGCCGGCGACACGAAGTTCATCTGTACACGACGTCATTCCTCAGACTTGTCGTCATCGGGAGCATGACCCGTCGGAGCGCGCATGCATTGTTGAACGCCTGACCAACAAAAGCCTATGTAAAACGAACAGCAGCTGCTACAAGACGACGGTTGCTCTCCAGCAAAAGCAGTCGGAACTCGCGGTTTTCTTTCATATTTTCTCTTCTGCAAAGATTCAGGGTCCTCGGCCGATTTGGGAGCTCATTGGCCGGCGGAAGGAACCAGATGATCTGGCTGATTTTGGTGTTGGTGTGGGGGCGACTAACGACCCTCCAGGCTAACGATCGCTGAAAAGGTCGCAGGGACGGTTGCAGGTGCTCATCGCTTGTTGCTGTCCCACTCGACCGGATATCGGCACCGTTGTCGGTACAGGTGAGACACGGGCCACTGTGTATTCTTCTGCGGCCACGCTCGGGGCGGATCGCATAGACGGTTCTCCGCAGTTCTCTTCCACAATTGTAGTAGTACTGATCAACGGGAACGGAAAAGCTCACGAAACGGAGGGATGCTGCTCCGTTACACGCACCAGTTTGGGAGGGTTTCTAGTTCAATTGGCTTAAATATGAGGATGGTTGGAGATTCTCCTACCACTGGCCCGGCAGCTCCTTTGGCGGAGACGGACAATCACCCCGATAAGGACTGCCACTCGCGGGCCATAAGACGACAAGACGATCAGACAACGCCGGCAAGGCTTTCTTACAACTGATCACTTCGTCCGAACGCTCATTTGGAGAATGGTCCTCTGTACTTGATAGTTCGCGGAAGTTTTCGCTGGCATTCCAAGCCTATGTGCTCGATACCAACGCTGCCGAAAGGAGATGTTCGTCGATGTCCTTAGCTAGCCACGGTACGTGAAACCTACCATGCTCGGAGCCTCGGACGAATCCAGCATTCTAGGCACCATCTTGATGGAAAGCAGTTCAATATCGCATTGCCGTGCACTTGGCACCGTTTGCAAGGCATTATGGCTCGGGGGACTCTGACTTCCTTCCCCACTTAAACCTTGGTATCCCGGCCTCCCGTGGTAGAGACGGTTCGGGTGCTGGCACTCGGAGATCCCCAACAGCTCTCGTCAGCTTCGATGCTTCATCGGACGCGATAGTTATTCAAGGAGTCCTTTAAAAGATTACGAGACTATGCTCGCACTCAGTCCAGCAACATCACCAGCCACGCGATCAGTAGCAGCATTCACAGCACACAAAAGACGCCAAGCTCGACGGCTTCCCCAGCGTTATCCGATATGCCATCTCCGCCGCGGACCATCTCACCATTTTCCTTTGGTCCCTCACTCACGTTCGGACGGACGCGAAGCCATAAATACCTATCCATATCCAGACCCATGCCCCCAGAATTAGAAGAGAGAGAGAGAGAGAGAGAAAAAAGCCGCCGAGCTGCATGAGGGGACTTGCATATACAGTTAGTGACACTTCTCGAAAACCGGTTTTTGAGCCGGCACCCGCCAGTCGTTTCCTCCCCACCGGTCTAGGGGACGAGCCTATCACAGCCAAAAGGGAAAAGCCAACAGAGCGGAAAGATGCCTAATCTAATAACGATCGTGACATGGTTCGACTTGCGTGGAACTTGAAGTGGTAAGATGTCGTTGGCGAGGAGGGTCCCGACAAGGTGAGGTGAGCGGGGACCGGAGCGCGCCGTTGGGATGATATGGATGGGTATAGGGGCGCCGGAATCCTTTGCGGAGCGAGGAATCTTTGGGCACGGTGCGGGCCTTGGGCACCGAAGGTACTGCGACTAACAGACAGACCTGGTACATGTACATATATCACATGCACGCTTGAGGTAAGAAGTGGTGATCAATAAAGATCATATTATTAATTAGTCAAGCGGCGTTAAAGCACCGACTCGGAAGCTTTTAGAATAAAGAATTCCACCCCGTTCGAGAGTTACTAGAATAAAAAGTTCCTCCCCGTTCGACAACTCCCACCGCCGTAGTGAGCTTAGGCGGATGGGTGCTTAAGGGGTTCAGCCCGGCGGAGCCGGAAGCAGCCCCCTTGAAAATATGCTGCAGTTATGAGGCGTAGGGCTGACGATGTGCAGCCTTGCCTTGCCCATTCAGAAGAGCACCTTCGACGCCACGCTCATAAGCCACGCCGCATCCCGCCATCCGCCCTTGTCCTCAGGAGGTGGAGGGACGCGCGTATCCCCCATAGCCATTATCGTAGCCGCCTGAAGTCTCTTCAAGTTCGCTGTCCGCCACCTCTCCCTCTCCTCCTCCTCCTCCTCCTCCCACTCCCATTCCTCTTCCTCATCTTCGTCATCGTCGTCGTCCTCAGAGACGGAAGATGCGCTGAACCCGAACATCTTCGCGAAATGCGTCCACACCCCACCCTTCTGACGTTTCACCAGCCGGCGGATATACGCCTCGTCATCCGCGCTCGTATCCTCCTCGACCGGGACGGCGACCGGGACGGCCGCCGCCTCGAGGGTCTCGTCCAGGTTGACAAAGTCCGGCCTAGTGATGTCCTCGCCCTGTTCCTGTCCGTCCCCATTCGCTGCTGTCGCCCCGTTACCGAAGTAATCCTCCCCGTTCCCGTTGGACGCAACGCCCCTTCGATCCGCAGGCGTCACCGGCAAGCTGAGATAGCTGGGAGTATAGCTACCCCTACGGCTAGCAAGCTGGCTATGCAGAGGTGAGAAGTATTGGGCGCTGCCGCGGCGGCTGGCGTGGCGACTCGCAGCTAGCGCCCGCTCCCGTGACACCGTGTAGTGATCCGTCTCATCTTGGCCGTACAGGTAGCCCACTGGCGACAGGAGCGGGTTGTGGTTGCTGCCGAGGCTGGTGGAGCTGGCGCGGGTGAGCAGCCAGCTCTGGCCCCGGGCTTCACGAGCTTCGGCGGAGATCACTGTACCGAGGCGGTGGATCCAGTCTGGGTCGTTTGGCTCCTCGTCATGGTTGTTGTTGCGACGACGTGCGCGGTGTCTCCGGCCCTTGTTGCCCGTGAGATGGTTGGTGGATTTGCTCTTGGAGAGAGCCGCGGCTCCGCCATTGGAGGTAGGGACAGAGCCGCCCCGTTGCGATCGTGGTGTGGGTGGTAGCTCTAAGGAATGCGACAGGAGCCGCGGAGTTGTAGGGGCAGATCTCCCCTGAGTGTAGGTCGTGTGGGGAGGGGCGGAGGTTGGCTCGTAGTCATAATCCATAATCGGTAGACGAGAGGTGAGCGGCGCCAGGGAGAGGTGCTCAGCGAGGAAGACGCGCCGCCCCTGGGAATGTCTTCTGAAGGATTCGTCCATCGTAGTGGTATATTTAAAGTCGGATGGCTATGTGCGTACTCGGCAGCTGGCTTGCGAAGAGTCCTGCGCAGGATAGTATACTATGGACCGGTCGCGAAGGTCGGGGTTTAAGTACAGAGAGGTGCGCCCGGATGGTCAAGAAGTCAGGAAGGTTCAAGCTTTGGTGCTGGTGAGCGCACCACTACCGCGTCTCGCCACTGATAGCGTGCTCTGATTGGCTGCCATGATCAGATCGACAGACCGATGGTGGGGCCACTTATAGGTTCTGGCCCCGCACCGCTCTACAGTTTATCGACGAGACCACCTCCTCTAACACTCACGCAGGGCATCACATCTCGGTTTCTGTTAAGGTTGCTTGTGCTGAGGCTACCCCGTATGATGGACTTTCATGGTCAGTGTTTAGTGTAAACACAAACCACTGAAGCGCCGGACTAACAAGGGAACGAAGGTAGCTCCTCGTCCTCAGAGTTCGACAACGGGAATGTGTCAGGACTCAGTTGTTACCAGTAGATCCTAGTTTGGAACTATGAGATGCTCCTTTTCGATCTCCTCTTGCGCCACTTTTTGCACATTTTTTCGCATTTTCAAGTTTTTGCAACACTAATACGGTGCAGTGCATTAACGCTCCGCGCCAAGTGCCGACAAATCCCGAGGCTAAAGTGAGATCTGACGATAATTTCACTGCACATTAGCTTCCACTCGCTGAGTGAACAGGCCTTCGAGCGGTCGATATGCGGAACCTGCGCAATATCGGGCATGGCGTTTTCCGGGTGCCGGACTCGCCATCCTCGGTCTCGGCATCAGCCATCTCTGCCTCGTGCTGGGATGTTGCCCGGGATGAGGTGATTGTCGCATGCGGCCCGGTCGCCGGGGACTCTCAAATTGTGCTTCTTCGGCTTGCTAGACATACGCACAATGTTTCGCCGTCACATCTGTAAGATCGTCCCACCGTCTATGTCGTTCGCTAGGGGTATGCATCCTAAGTAGATCCGCAATTAGACACTCAAGACTCATCGCCTCGTGGGATGCGTCGGGCTCGAACCAAAATGGCGAGCCAGATGTCGTCAGAAGCTTGCACTACTTCAGCGATACGCTGACGACGTGCGTCATCATGGCCGGCGGCGACATTGTCACCGTCACGGAAGATGAGGAGGGCGCCGCTGATCCCGGTGAGGCGCACGTCGAGATCGTAGGCACTCTCTCGCCGTCTATCGCCGCGGCACGCTGGTCTCCGGACGAGGAGCTGCTCGTCATCGCGACCGGCGACGCCAAGGTGGTGTTTATGAGCCGAACCTTCGATGTCATTGCCGAGGCCAGCCTCTCCGCCGAGGACTTGAAGCTCTCCAGACACGTTTCCGTCGGATGGGGCAAGAAGGAGACGCAGTTTCAGGGGAGAGGCGCCAAGGCCAGGGGGCTGCGGGATCCCACCATCCCCGAGAAGGTGGACGAGGGCACGCCGAGCCCGAAAGACGACGGGCGCTGCACCATCAGTTGGAGAGGAGATGGCGCCTTTGTCGCCGTCAACTACCTCCAGGAGGGCGTACGGCGTGTCATCCGCGTCTACAACCGAGAGGGCGAGCTGGACAGCGTCAGCGAACCGGTGGACGGCCTCGAGGGCAGCCTGAGCTGGCGGCCCGAGGGCAACTTGATCGCTGGTATCCAGCGGCTTGCGGACCGTGTAGACGTGGCCTTCTTCGAGAGGAACGGTCTACGACACGGGCAGTTTACTCTCCGAGCCCCCATTGATGCCCTTGAGAACTTGGCTCTGGAATGGAATTCAGACTCGACCGTCCTCGCTGTTGTCCTAAAGGACCGGGTCCAGCTGTGGACGATGGGCAACTACCATTGGTATCTGAAGCAGGAGATTCTCTGTGGGCACTCCGAGTGGCGGCAGTGGCCGGTTTTCTCGTGGCACGCTGAGAAACCGCTCCTGCTTGCGGCCGCGACAACAAGTCAGCTTCACCTGCCCATTTCTCCTAACCATGTGCAGCGCTAACAATGTATCCTTGATGTAGGCAAGGTCCTTGTGAATGAATTTGCCCTTACAGTCTCCAGGGGCCCAACAAGGGCCCCCCACGACCACGGGACCGTGGCAGTCATCGACGGGCAGACCATTAAGTTCACGCCGTTCCGGACTGCCAACGCTCCGCCTCCGATGGCGATGTGCGAGCTCGAAGTCGAGTCTCCCGCGATCGACGTGGCATTTGCGACTGACTGTTCCTCGATGGCGGTCCTGCACCGGACCGGTGTCAGCTTCTTTGCCCTCGAGGCCAAGGCCCATCGCCTTTCCGCTCCGAGGCACGTGTCCACGGCAATATTCGAGAAGACGGTTCCTGAATGGTACGAGGAGTCGCTCCTCCAAATCGGCTTTTCCTCGCCCACCGAGGTCCAAGTTCTGCATATGGCCGATGATCTTGAGTTGCTGCGATACGATTTTGGTTCTGGTCCGGATGCAAAGACATGGCTCCAAACGGATTCAGGCTCGATTGCGACAATCACAACTCCTGGCTCAGCTTCAATCGAAGGTGTCGTGGCGCAGCATTGGTCGGGCAGGCTGAGTTCGGTCTCCGGAGGAGAACACTTGCCTCTGCCAGTCCAGTTTCCCTCCTTCCTCCCCTGGATCAGCTGTGTGGTGCATAAAGACGAGATCCTCGCCTTCGGCCTGTCGAGGAACGGACAGTTGTATGCGAACTCCCGACAACTCGCGAAGAGTTGCACATCGTTCCTCGTCACGGACAACCATCTCGTCTTCACCACCAGCAGCCATTTCGTCAAGTTTGTTCACTTGGCGTCGGAGCAAGGTAAGGGCAAAATCTTTTGGCCTTAGCGAGCAGGTTCTGACCATTGAAAGACCTCGATGTCCCGCCAGGCGACCCGGAAAGGGACGAACGTTGCCGCAGCATCGAGCGCGGAGCTCGGCTCGTCACTGCCGTCCCTACCAAAATGAGCTTGGTTCTGCAGATGCCGCGAGGCAACCTTGAGACTATCTATCCGCGTGCTATGGTCTTGGCTGGTATCAGAAGGCTAGTGGAGCAGAAGGATTACGGTTCTGCTTTTGCAACATGTCGGAGCCAGCGCGTGGATATGAACATCCTGTTCGACCACCGTCCCGAGCAATTCCTGGAAAACGTCGGCCTCTTCCTTGACCAGGTGAATGACCCGGCCAACGTCGATCTGTTTCTGTCAACACTCAAGTGCGTTGTGGTAGCCTTCCTTGGAGGATAACGGATGAAGATGTGCTGACCTTGTGCCCAGGGACGAAGACGTTACGCAGACAATGTACAAGGACACCCGGCTGGTCGCCGCGCAACAAGCCTCTGACCCGAAGGCGGCGGCGAAGCCGGGGAAAATCAACAGAATCTGCGATGCCGTCCTGCAGAGACTACGGTCCCAGAAGAAGGCCAACCTCCAAAACATCATCACGGCGCATGTCTGCAAGAACCCGCCCGCGCTTGATGATGGCCTGCTCGTCGTGGCCGAGCTCATGCAGGAGGACGAGACGCTGGCAGAACGTGCCGTCGAGCACATCTGCTTCCTGACCGACGTCAACCAGCTGTTCGACCATGCCCTTGGGCTGTATAACCTGGAGCTTACTCTGCTAGTAGCCCAGCAATCACAGCGAGACCCGCGAGAGTACTTGCCGTCTATCCAAGAGCTGCACAGGATGCCGCCACTCCAAAGGCAGTTCACCATCGACGACAAGCTCGAGCACTGGGAGAAGGCGCTGGGCCACCTGAAGGCGCTCGGCAACTTCGACGATGTCAAAAACTACGTCGTCAAGCACAAACTCTACCAGCACGCGCTGAGCATCTACCGCCACGAGGAGCAGCACCACCGGGCCATCATCGACCTTTTTGCCGCCTACCTCAAGTCAACCTCCCACTTCAAAGAAGCCGGTCTGGCGTACGAGTCGCTCGGCAACTTCGTCGACGCAACCGACTGCTACCTCAAAGCGGGCGCCGCCTGCTGGCGGGAATGCCTTTACGCCGCGCAGCAACAGCAACCGCCCATAACGGCAGAAAAGCTCCAAGAAATCGCCACCTCGCTCGCCGACGCCCTCCGCGAAGCCAAAGACCACGCCTCGGCCGCCACAATCCACCTCGACTACCTCTCCTCGCTCGACGCGGCCATCCAGCACCTCTGCAAAGGCTACCTCTTCGCCGACGCCCTGCGGCTCGTGGCCCTGCACAACCGTGCCGACCTGCTCCCCACAGCCATCGACACGGGGTTGGCAGAGGCCTTCTCGAGCTCGACCGAGTTCCTCGCCGACTGCAAGGCGCAGCTGGCCGCCCAGGTCCCGCGCATCGCCGAGCTGCGGCGCAAGGCGCGCGACGATCCTCTGGCGTTCTACGAGGGCGAAACCCCCTTCAGCTCGCGCACCGACCACGCCGACATCCCGGACAACGTCTCCGTCGCCGCGAGCTCCCGCCTCAGCACGAGCGCCTCCCTCTTCACGCGCTACACCGGCAAGGCGGGGAGCGTCGGGACCGTGGGCAGCAACGTCTCGCGCGCCACGAGCAAGAACCGGCGCCGCGAGGAGAAGAAGCGCGCCCGGGGCCGCAAGGGCACCGTCTACGAGGAGGAATACCTCGTCAACTCGGTCCGGCGGCTCGTCGAGCGGGTCAACGCGACCAAGCCCGAGGTGGAGCGCCTCGTCTTTGGCCTGGTCCGGCGCGACATGGCCGAGCGGGCGAGGGCGGTGGAGAGCTTGATGGCGAAGGTTCTGGAAGGGTGCAGGGAGGCGGTGGACGAGGTCTGGCCTCCTGAGCTGCAGAAGCGTCATCAGGGAGCTGGTGCTGGTGGGCCGGAGGAGGAGGGAATGCAGCAGGGTGATGAGACTGCCGAGGCCCCCGGGTATAGGCCTGGTGGTGCGGACGGGGTGCTGTATGACAGCCTGGAGGCTATGAGGGCGAGACAGACGCCGCCTGTCGTGGAGTCCTTCGCGAGGCTGTCTTTGCTTGGGAAGGGGAAGTCATGACGGGGTTGAGGTATTAGGCTAGGTGCGGGAGATAGGGTGTGAAGGGGGGGTTATGTTTGGGTTCAGAAAAGCAATTGATCCGTTACGGGAGAATCGACGGCGGGTTCTAGGAACATGCTGAGCGAGGGATATGAGTTAGCCTATCTCATGCGGGGAGGTCTCCTCAGAGAACTTGAATGACATCGCTGTCGGAATTCCGCCTTTTCTTGATACAACGTTAGATATCTGTGCCGGCTGACCAACCCCCTGACTCGCTTCTATTAGCCAACAATAACGCTTCGACACTGCCTACAACGCCCCCAGGTTAGCTCCCAAGCAACCAACCATCAATCTCTATAAGCCTGAAAAGCGCACAGCGAGACTCGGCCACGCTATAACCAACCCCCTTCAACGCCAATGGGGCCGTCGCATCGACATATGTCGTGTACAATACCACCACCATCGCCATCACTCTCACCATGCTCCACTGTCCGTGTGTATGTACAAGTACATATATCAAGCGCGTCAATGGAACTCAGCATCAACCCGCCCGTACCGGACCCCATCCACCTTCAACTCAAACCCGAGCCCGGCGCTATCCACAATCATCTCCAGCGTGAAATCCAAGTTGTCGAACTCGACACCCCTCGTGGTGGTGAGACGGGTGAATAGCGATCGTGGCACCGCGCTCAGGTCCGTAGTCAGCGTGCACACATGCACCAGATCACGCGTGTACGCCGCGGGGGGCTCGTCCGCCTCGCAGGCGATGAGGTCGTCGGTCACGATGAGCGACTGGCCTGGGCGGAAGTTGCGCGTGTAGTGGAAGGCGATGGGTTGGAGCGGGGATATTGCTTCGCCCTGGTGTCGTACATCATATCCCGTCAAATGATCTGAAGTGGGCAATAAGAAGACGGGGAGGGGGAAATAATGTAAACTGACCTTGGCAATATGCCACTGCATACGATCCGACACCATCCAGCGCTCCCACAGGGGCGACCAATACCGCTCGGCAACCGAGTGCTTCGTCTCGTCGTAGACGGTAGCGTACGACGTGCCGTAGTGCATCCGGGCCTTTCGCGAGATCACCATGTTGCCCTCGAGGCCGCGCAACACGGCACCGCGCACGACGGCCGTCCATGCGTAGACCGGTTGCATCACCTCGATGGACGGTCGTTCCCTCGGGTCGATGTTGGACTGCGTCGGCCTTTCGCTGTACGGAGGCGGCGCGGCGCTGGTGGTGAAGTGGCTCTTTAATTTGCGGTACAGATAGTCGCTCTGGCCGAAGCCGCCGACGAGGATGATGCCGGAGACGATGCCGCCCTTGGCGCGGAGAGTGTCCACTTGTCCCTGGACCAGGTCGCAGACCTCCTTTACCACGGGCTCGAAGATGTCTTTGATTTGCTCGCCTGTCATGACGAGGAATCCCGAGTCGAGGCCGACTTCTTCGTCGTCAGGGAGGCCAGGGAATCTGTAAGGCTTATTAGTAAGGGGTTTAACTGCGCCTGTCCTCAAGGGCTGCTCACTTACGGAATGTTCACTTCCTGGTGCTCATCTTCGTTGAAGTTGCGCTTCACAAATTCCTCGAAATACCGGAGGCCCATCTGCCATGTTTTCCCCTTCTTCGTCTTCATCTCGTCAAACCTGCTCTGGCCCAGTCGGTTCTTCACATGCTCTTCGAACCTGTAGTTGAGGAAGGCACTGCCGCAAAGACCTCCTGTCCCAACGGCGGACTCCTCTACACGAATTGGTTTAAGAGAGACGATTTTGTAAGCTATTAGACTGCAATCATTCGTTAGCGGCTACCGAATTCATTTTAGAAGAAGCAGCGCTCACTCGACCGTGCCTCCGCCTCCATCGCAGACGATAAAGTTGTCGCCCACTTTCAGATGATTGGGCTGTATTGCCTTCAAAGTGTAGACGGCAGCGGCTTCTGGTTCACTGATCATCTGTATCTGCGACTGTGTTCCCATGCCCGCTCTCTCGGCGGCTTGAAGGGTCGTGTTCTTGGCCGCATCAGACCACACCGCAGGACATGTTAGGACAAAGTCCACCTTGGTCGAGGCCATGAAGGACTCGCCGTATCGTCTCCTGAGGGTGTCCATGGTGTGCTTGTATATCTGGCTCAGATAGTCGCTCACGGCATCCACCACAGTCTTGTTGTACCGCTTCAGCTGGGCGGCCGTCTCCAGGGGGCTGACATAGAAAGGCAGCTTCTGCGAGCGATCAAGAAACAACTTGATGCACCGGAGCCGGGACTCCTCCGGTCTAAACTGGAAGCCCCATTTCACCGTAGGGGCGGTTCCTGGTGCTGCACCGGCGGGTAGATCATAGGATATCTCGGTGGGGACCTTGTCCGAGGTGATCCCGTTCCCCCCGGGCCATGTCTTGATGATTTCAATGTCGTCTGGTGTCCCCGTGTAGACCGCAGCAACCCTTGTTCGTCGTCAGCCCAGCCAGCCCCTGAACGCTGCCCCAGAGTAGGCGAGGCAGTGGAGGGCAAACTCACCCAGAGAAGGTAGTCCCAAAGTCAACACCGACAATAAGCCGGTCGTTGATCGGCGGTGGCTCCTTGGCCGGCTCCCTCTCCGGGCCATTGATAGCCTCCGCAGCGGATGCTGAGTGGACGCCTGTGAAGTAGTTCCTGCTGTCGCGGTTCCTCTGGCTTGGAGATGGGTGCAGCGGTAGGGAGATGCTCATGGTCACGGCAGCACGGTCTGCTTCACCTCGAAACCCCACAGCTTCGCGACATCAAAGCAGGGAATCAAGGGTAAGCAGGCTAAGGGGAAACCGCGGCTGAGACGAGTGGGACGGCGAGTTGCACGCGTGTTGTCCACCGTAGATCACAGAATAGGTAGGCTGCTGTATGTCCTTCGGTAAGAGACGGCAACCGGAGGTATCGGCACAAGCATAAAACACTATCGAGAACAGAAGAAAGAGGAGGCAACCAAGACCACATGAAGATACACAACAGACACATCCAGACTCGTACCCAAGCAAAGCCCTCACGCACCAAGGCGGCACTGGTAGTGCGATAAGCTGACGGAGCTAAATCCGGGGTACCTGAATATGGCGGGGCTTCCTTCGGTGAGCTGAGGTCGACGATGAGGGGCTCAGGCCAGCCGCCCGGCACAAGGCAACCAACCCGCTGGAGGCCGGGACCGTCGAAATGACGTAACTAGTAGTGGGAAGCAAGTGTGTCGTTACGCTAACCCCAGAGCCGCGAGGAGTTGTGCTCGTCGAGTCCTGGCCGGCCGAATGCTGCTGCCTGTTCCGAGCAACGGGAATCGAGCGGGTGTTCAGCGGCGTTGCGGGGTCCAGAACGGCGGGCGGGGCTGAGTGAGGCGCCAGGGGAAATTCCCGTCAGCCTCAGGAGCGCGTGCAAGCGCCTTGCGATTCACGTGGTTGTCAGGGGCAGTGCTGAACATTGACAGCCCACACAATCCTGCGTACTAGAGTTCTCATATCCTATTTTTGTTCTTCTCTGGGTTCTTCTCCTTCACTGATTTCTTCTTTCCTTCCTTTGGTCTGAGTTTAGAAGTTCGATGACAAGTCGAAGCTCCTTCCCATCTTCCCCCCCACTCCGAGACGACGGGATAGGATTAGCACACCCTGCATAAACCTTTATATCCGTGATCCCTTCAATGCACAGAAATAAGTATGTTTGCAAGCAGTGCCTAGGTATATAGGCAGCGACACCGAACAACGAAGTCAGGAAATCCAAAGATCGGATCTGCCAGAAACCTCTGAGAATGAGGATTGTCCACTCCTTCAACAGAGTTCAAGTTGATTGATGCCCAGTGTCGACCGCCGCAGCTGCCGAGATCGTAGCCCAAAGAACAGATATCCGATTCTGGTAAGTCGACGAATCTCTCAAGTCCAAAAGAGGAACTGGGCTTGCAATTGCCGGTCAAAAAAGCAACCAAATCAATAAGTCACATACTAGAGACACCCGGACAATCTGCAGAATCAACGGCCCGGTGTGACAACCGGTCACCGCCGCCCCACAGTTCATTAGCATCTGATAGTCCAAACAAACACGAGAAATCTGTTAGGGCCCGGTGTCTCGGCGAGGTCGGGAAAATTCAGTGGTTTGTGCGCCCCCAGGTTCGGATCTGCAAACCAAGGTTCAGATCCTCGGTTCCACATTTTGGAAGGGAAACGCTCCCAGGTGTGAGACAACAATCTCAACATCAGCATCACAGAATAACGTTGTGCTGAATTCCCAGTGAAAAGCACGGATAAGCATACAGGCCTTGGAATGGCACAACACAAAAGGCGTCATGTGCAAACAATATAATACAATTGGAGCAACGACGACGACAAAGATGTCTCTACTGTAGCTCAACACTTCCCGAAGGTGATGCGAGGCGAGGTTATGCCCAGCGTGGTATGGTACACAGGTAGGAAGTATGTAAGAGATGAAATAATGTACGGTGAGAGGTAAGTCCCTGATGATGGTGCTATGTCGAGTAGTGAAAAGGGATGGTAGTCAAGATGAACAAAGACGACGACCGCCCCCTCCGCGCTCTCCGTTCCCCCGACCTCCATCTCCAACCCAGCATAGAGCACCTGATAGGATATATGTGTGGTGTTTTAGGTGACAAAGGAAAACAATGAGATACAAACACCAATCCACCTGATCGGTGGATTTCAATACAGCATCTCTGGCGGCCTGTAGCATCAGTAGATAGGCAGCCAGCTGAATATGACGCAGTCCAGTCTCTCCGCCTTCCAATCTATATATAAGGGGGGTATCCGACGGCAGAACAAACCAAAAGCGGGTTGAGCCCCAACATGATTATTAGAATATGTATCTCAAATATCCATCCCTGGGGGTATTCGCGAGATTCGAAGTTTGTGCAAGGCAACAAGAGATGCCACGTCCAGACGCGCGGCGTTTGCGGGAAAGCGTGAAATAATGCCCATCAGGCGGGGATGTAGAATACCGCCGGGCAGACTAAGAAATGGTAGGTTGAATGGGCAGACAAAGCAATGAATGATGCGACCGACAGTGTATGATAACAATGATGCCACCCAAAAAGCGGATACAAGCCCCAACACCGTCCGATGAAACCCCAGCCAAGACTTTTGTGTGAGTGGAAGAGAGTAAGACAGGATATGGAATTCCAGCGAAGCCTCGTCGCTGTGTCGACTGTGTTTAGAAGCGGTTCCCTGCCGCCCAGATGCTTGCCGATGCGGACGCTGCCCAGTCGTTCTCGTCGTACGGCGGCGTAGGCCACTTGTACTCTGCCGTCTTCTTGTTGAAGTCCAGCGGCTTCGGGGTGACGGCTTCCTTTCCGTCGCCAAAAAAGAAACCGTTGCCGCCGGCAGACGGTGATGGCGTTGGATAGGGGTTGGCGAGCCCCATGTTGCTGGGCGCTTGCCTCAGGGGTTGCTCGTCCTTCTCGAGGCGCTTCATGACACGTTGGGTGGATTGCAAGACCTCATCGAGAAGCTCGTCCTCCTCATCCGGTGCATCGTACTGGTTGACACCCTGTACGGCGTGTGCCCTCCGTGGCCGACTCGATACCGGGCCCGACCCACGAGCCGCGACCATCAAGTTATCGATAGACCTAGGTTGATGATGAGGCAATGAGTGGTGACGCTTGAGATTACCGCTCGGTGCGACCTGGTGTGCTGGTGGCGCGGGAGGAACCTCTAAGACTTGCGGTTTCTCACGAAGCTTCTTGTCCAGAGATTCGTATGTGTCCTTTGGAACAGGGGCCGGGGGCGGGCTATCAATAACCATGGAAGACCTATTACTAGTGCTTCCCCACGGTCCGCAGCCAGCCTGGGCCTCAAGGTCATCGTAACTTGGTGACATTGGCGTCTGATGTCTCCCTGAAAATCTCCTTGCTCGCTTGCGCAGATGGGAAAAGAAGCTTTCCTTGGAGCTGCTGGTCGGGGATGCCAAGCCGGAGTTCCCGTTGAGCGCTCGCTCCGCCTGCTGCCTGTGGAGCTCGGCGTAATGGTTGCTTGACTGCACAGATAGCTGACGACTAATCTTCTTAGAAGCCTTCTCGTCTGCCTGCGTTCTGCTATCGCCTTGGACGGTAACGGCGTTGGATAGCGGGGAGATAGGGCGAATTGTGGGAAGAATCGGCATGGGCGCGGCGTTGGACATCCCATTTGTCCAAGTCGCCCGCTTTGCGGCAGTGACCTTCGGCTTCGGAACTGGAGGCTCAGATGAGATGATCGGTGATGGGCGCGGCGCAACATTTTCCTTTGCAACAGGCTGCGGCGCAGCAGCCATGGCTTCAACGCTCTCTGAACGACCAATCAGGGATTTCCTGAACCACGACTGCTTTGACGAAGCCGACGCGCCAGAATCCTTGGCCCAACCAGCATCGGATTGTTTCCGGCCAAGTATCTTAGAGGCTGACGACTTGGGCCGCAGCGGGTCAACAGCGTCGGCGAAGTACTCGTGCGCAAGCGCCTGTGTTGAGGTTGGGCGGTTCTTGGGGTCCCACATGAGGCACCAAGTGACGAAGCGTGCGAGCGAGGCTGGCCATTGTGGAGTCGATAGAATCGTATCCATCGAGTGCGGCGCCATCTTGGGAAACGAAAAGCCGAGTTTCCCGGCAAGGCGGATTCCTTCTCTCCAATCCCCACCACCGACCGGCTCGCCAGACTTGCTGGTCCAGACTCCAGGGCTTCCCATAATCTCACAGACCCTCCAGACCTGGTCAACCTCATTTCCGCCTGGGAACAGAGGCTTCAGTGTGGCTACCTCGACAGCCATGGCACCGACCGCCCAAATATCCACCGGTGCCGAGTACTCGCCCGCCCGGAGCAGCACCTCGGGGGCACGGTACCACCGAGTGGAAACATAGGTGGTGTACGGCAGTTTCGAATGCGTCTCTCGAGCCAGGCCAAAGTCGGCAATCTTGACGGTGTAGGTTGGCGGCGTTGATGGGGGGGTGACCAATGCGGAATACCGTCTGAACGAATTGCTGTAGTCGGAGTGGGACGATGTAGAGACGAGGATATTCTCGGGTTTGATATCCCGGTGGAAGAAGCTATGGGCGTGGATGTGCTCGAGGCCTTGCATAATCTGGAACAAGATGCTCTTGACACTGGCGTTATCCAGACACTTGTGGTCCCGAGCCTTCATTAGCTGGTAGAGGTTGCCCTCCATGTACTCCATACAAATGTGGAGCTTCTTGCTGAAAGGGTCGAGGAAGATGTCGAGGGCGGGGACCAGGTGAGGGTGAGGCGGTAATGTCCTGAGGAACACAACCTCCCTCAATTCCATGCATGCCGAAAAAGAATCGAATGTCTTCTTCATTGTCTTGATGGCAATCTGTGTATACGGTCAGTATGCAAACGTTGGCTCATGGGGGCACAATCGACGTACCACCGTGCCACGGCGAGCGACACTGGCACCGGCACTCCGGACCCGGGCGAGCACCACACTACCGAAGCTGCCGTCGCCAATCTCCTTCAGCACTTCAAACCTGTCCTCCAAGGCCATCCCATTGACGACCTGGGTAGACCCTCGGCGGGTCAAATCGTGCCCTACAGTCATGGTGACAAATAGATGTGGAGCAGTGTCAACGCTGCGGGCCGTGATGCTTCGATCGGTCGCTGAATCAACGCTGCGTCTGCCAACGGAACGTCCCCTTGCGCGCTGCGACAGGGCGGACTGCTCAAAGGGAGCTCTCAAGAGAAGAGCCACGCGCTGTTACCGGGACATTCAACGCGAGATGTCGAGAGGATAGGGTGTGTCGGGTGTATGGTTCAGACGGCCGGTAGTCGTACGAGTCGCAAGCTTGTCGTCGGGATCGGCAGCGAGCGATCAAAGCGTGGTGAATGTGCAAGGAGCGAAAACAGTTGGAGTTATTGAAACGAGTGGACGAGTGCTTCCTCGGAAAAGAGTGACATGAAATGATTGCACGACAAAAAAGGAGGTGGTCGAGGGTGGGCACGGTTTTGGGGGAACCGAGCAGGGCCGCGTTGCGGGCGGGTGGAACGACAGCCGGGGCCTGGGAAAACGGAGCCTTTTTCGTGAGTGTGACAGCAGGCCCGACTAGCGTAAACTCAAGTTCCAACAATTTGGCGTCAGGATGGAAAGATCCAATCTGCTTTCCAAGGACGTAAACAGAATATGCTTCCCAAAGAAGCTTTCTGTTCGGTGTGAGCGGCTCGAAACCCTAAAGAGTGACGGCAGAATGTACTGTCGGTGTAAGGTGGTCAGAGCCTGGAGCTCAAGGTCCCGAAGTTCCCACTGTGCCGGATAGCGCGGATTTTTCGGTGTCTATTGCTATCGCTGGGCGGGAAAGAGTGGGAATGAGGAACACAACCGCGGAATACCTATCCAGAAAGCAATGAGTTCGCCCATGGGCCGCGAGTTTTCACCCGTCCAAGACGCTGGGTGGAAGAGGAGGTCCCGAAACTGTGTGGGAAGTGACCCCGTCCTTAGCATTAATTACGGGGCCAGGGTGGGCTTCGAGAAAAACGATACGTTAGGGGACCCCAATCTCGCTAGTGATTTGCTCTTTTCGAACGGCAATTTGAGACCAACTGGGGGTTGCAGAAGCAAAAAAAGCAAAGGCACGATTCTGCAGAGATCACAGGACCTGTGCTCAATGGAAGGTCATTGATGAGTGAGAACTGGCGGCGTATTCCAGGCCCGCACGCGAGCTCGTGGCACACGCGCCGCGGCTTGGTTCACTGGCTCGAGGGTGGCGCCGGTATCTTGGGAATCGTGCGGGCAGTCGGGCTCGTCCGCGCGGATGGAGTCTTGATCTTGTGTTCTGCTCGCGTACCGGTCGGGCCGGCAGCAACCATAAATGGCGGTATGGCCGTTGCAAATTTCACTCGTTGCCCGGCTCCAAGTCTCCATCCCGCTGAAGATTACGTCGTACTGTGTACAACCTACTCCGCACACGCTACGGTATGGCTTCAACGGCTATAAAATGGATAGTTAGGCAGTGTAGGTAGGCAAGCGAAGCTTCGTTGACTGATCACAGGATACGTCCATTGGCTGGGAATCTGCCAAACCCACGGTTCTTGAGGGGAAATCGAGCGGCTGAAGAGATGTGCGCCAATGGCGACCCTGGCGAGAAACGCGACCAGCGCGCGATCAGCAGAGTTGCGTCAAGAAGAGCGGGCTGGGGGTTATCGCGATTTGGTCACAGTGGCTGGTGATAGGGACCCAAAGCCGCGTTTGACAGCGATTCCGGCAGCTCCGCAACAGCTATAACGGGGCATCCTTCTCGCAACGGTGCGGCTTTGCACCCGGAGATGTGGGACGTGTAACTTGGAACAGGAGCGGACAGTCGAGGTGGGGAGGAAGGGGTTGAACTCCTCATGATGGAGTTAGGATTATGGATTCATCAGATACATCCCAAGGGCTCTTTAATTACCTCGACTCGCGGTTACCTGGAACTCGTTAAAGGCTCTGCCGTTTCAAGAGTCATCTCGAAGGAACACCACCACCTGCGACACAGGCCAAACGGCATGCATGACGGAGCAAACAACGAGACGCGGCTGCTCAGTGGCCCCGAGCTGTCACAATTGGCAAAGCGGGAGGAGCAATAGTGTGGTTACAGTAATGCCTCGTGCCAGTTGACTGGTTCACTTTCTTTGGCCCACCGAAAAGGGGAACCAAAACGGTTTTCCATCCCAAAAAGTAACCTGCCAAGCCGCCGCGCTTTTTGATCGTTGAGCTTTCAAATGAAGGCGAGAGAGCTTCGGCATCACGAGCCACTCGAGAGCGGGGCCAGGAGGTTGGGGCAATTTTCCATTTCAACGTGGTGAACATATTGATGTGCAATTCACACCAGCATTCACATGAGGCCTCGCACCGTCAAATGGAGCTCTGCCGATGCTCGACAAGCCCCTCATCGAGGAGCAAGGGGATTACGCAGGGATCCGAATGCGTGTTCAGTAGAAAGCGCAGTGCCACCCTGGACTTTCACCAGCTCGAACAACGGCACCACCCTGGCAGTTCATATCTCTCTACCCCTCCAAATTCCTTCGAGAACGTCAGCTCGGTGTAACAGAGTCATGGTATTACCGCATGGTTGTTGTTGTTGATGAGGAGTTGGGCATCGAGATCACCAGGGCCGTTCCAAGAGTCTGGGAAATTGCATGCGCCACTTTCGAGCAGCACCCTAGGCGCATGGTGGCATGAAGGCGTCCCATCCGGAACCGCCGCCGGAACTTCGCCGCGGCCTTGGGGAAGCCAGGTCATCCCGGGTTCTACATATGATTCATGCTTACAGTGCTGGGTACAGTATGGAAGCCTACACAAGTACAGTAGAAAGTCTAGCAACTGGAAAATATCAGAAGGAATCAATCCATGAGCGATTGGGCCCATGACTGGACTTCCATGAGGTTCCGATTGTATGTATCGTTCTTCCTTTGGATTCATGTTAGGAAGCCTAACATCAACAGCGGAGAGTTAGAGGTGGTAGGCAAACTCTATACTATCCGGCGAAAACTCAATCCCGCAAGTCTATCGCTTTTATATGACACCACCTGCCGGCGATATTAGTCGTACGTGCACTCTACAGACCTCTACAATGCAATCCGAAATCTGCTTTTGAGGCTTGGTCACCGTTTCCGGTGACCGGTTCGTCAAGGTGCAATCGGGTGCGTTACCAAAAGTCCTCGCAGCTATGAGCGTATATATACACGGTCTAGTATGTGGATGACAGAGCGAGACAGACGATGTTCAAGGTGCTCGTCCGTGTATTGGAAGACATCTACGCACATCATCAGACAGGGATCAGCAGCCGAACTCTTTGAGCGAAGCTCTCAAGGGCTCAAGTCATCCGCAAACAATGTATACGGCGATCGTAAAGGGTTTATGATGAGCAACTGACAACCCCGTAGGTGAGAAAGGCTAGCGTACCTCCAAGCTTCCATACGAGGCAGACTTGGATCCTAGATACACGGTACATGCTAGAAATGCATGATCTTCCATCCACTATCAGAGTCCTCGTCGGATTCGACCCCTCTACTTCGTTTTAGGTCTTTGAGAATCATAGCGCAATCCGGGTACTTGATATCCAGCTTCACGCCGTGCGCCCGCTGCAGTCTCGCAGCCATCGCCCCTCCAATCGCCTGTCCATTATTTTGAGTCACCACTCTCTCCCAATACTCAATCTCCTCGTCGTCGTCATCATCCATCCGCCCGGATTCCTTCCAGAGCTTGATCATCCTGTCCTTGAAGTCGCAGTTTCCGAAGTCAACGATGTAGGGAGTCTGTGTGCGGCTGTTGACGACCACGTTATGTGGCGCAACGCTCATGTTGAGAACTCCGCGCTTGTCGATCTCATGCACAGCGTCAACAGCGGCTTGGATGATAGCCTGCCATTTCTCCGGCTCTAAAAGGGCCAGCGGAGAGGTGTGCAACTGCGACAGGGTATGGCCAGGTATAAATTGCAGGAGAACACCTTTGACTTCAAAGTAGCGGGCCGTATCGGGTGAGCCCAGCAGATCCTGAGGCATGTCTGGGTCCTGCAGCACGAGGCGCACGTGGGCGTACATCCGCGGGATCGTCGTGCCTTGGACATCTTTCAGCCGCTCGTAGGCCTCCGTCTCGCGGTTGAAGTTGCTCTCGCACTCGCGCCACATGATGGCCTCATACTTCGCGCTGTTTTCGCTGTTTTCAGGGCCGCAATCGTCTAGGAAATGCCAGGCTGGCATGATAAGGTTGGTCTCCTTCTCTTTTTCGTCTAGCTCGCGGAGAAATGCCCCCATCTTGCCTTGCCGAACGAAGGAATGATAAGCCGCTTCGCGTTCTGCTGTGTGTGGTACGTGTCTGTAGCGGTAGTCCCGAAGGCGTGTGCCAAATCGACGATCATAAAGTTTGAGGACTGCTTGCAAAGGAGGCCGCGAGCCCGACTCTGCATTGCCGAATAGGACGAAGTTCAGCACCGAAGACCTGGTGACACTGTAGATCCCAGCTATCAACGTCTTCGACAGAATAGATTGCCCAGAGAAGGGCCAGTCGCCAAAACTTCGGAGGACCTGAAGCCGTAAGGACATCCCTTCCCTGTACGGTAGGGACGTGGCAGCAGCGGACCTAAGGTAAGCGACCAGTGAGCAAGATCACAAGTTGGGCGCAATCTGGGCTTTACTAACAACTCCAAATCGGACATTCTGAATCTGTGGGAGCAACCCAGAGTGTAGATGGTGGATAGGGATGAAGGAGGTAAGCGGAACCCCAAGTAGGAAGAATGGGAAAGCCAAGAATTAACAGTACCTTCCAGGTTGTAGTCTGACCGCTGAGTCACCGGCCAGAAGACGCAGAGAGAGCCGTCGCCAGCGGCCAGCGGTCGCTACGCAAAATCAAAACCTCGCCCCATTTGTTGTTCTCCGAGGTCGAGTGTGTGTGATTTAACGGTAAGGTCGAAACGCACCGCAATAGTTGCACCGGTACTAAGGGATGACGCTGACCGTAATTAGAACCTGAAGTTTAGAATCCCCGAGGGCACCGGGTTGGTATGCAACGGATCAAGTGTATCTACTAGTAATAAGTTACCTCGATAGGTATCTTGTTAGGGAGCTGTGCTCATTTTCAAGTTGAATGCAAACAGCAGACATGGCGTACAGGCGGGTTTCCATCTCCATTTCCCTGTCAGCCTGGAATACCTACCGGTTTGGAGGGAGCCCTAGGTTCAATCTTGAGGAATTAAAGTGCCCACCAGGCTCAAATCCTCCATGACGTTGTGGAAATCCTCTTCTGTTACGGCTTCTCTTCTTCATGGCCCTCACTGGGCTTACTATAGCATAAGTATCCCAAGGGCTGTCAGTAGCTGACGCCTTCTTGCAATGTTTCAACCAAGGGCATTATGCATTGCCCCAAGAAATTGAACCTGCAATAATGATACTAACCTGTTGAGTAAGTCGCTCCTTCCAACCTAGAATGCCTGGGTGCTCTGTGTGGTGTAAAGTACCTAGGTACGTAAGTAGGTAGACTGCCTCCTTCCTTGTTGACTTGCAAGACGTTGTCGTGCATATTCGGTTTGTTCAGGTCATTGTATTTTTGCTATTGGCAGTGGTATTGACCTCGGTGAATCATATTGTCTTCTTAACTTGGAAACTGTATATCAGGAACTTTGACCGCAAGCCAACCTCGGCTTTCATACCTCTTCCAACCTCCCACAACCCTTCTCCCTTTCCAGGCTTCCAGCCTCTCACACCCCGAAACCTTTTACACCGTCTTCAACCCTACGCACTAACGTTTGCGTACGGTACTTTAACCTCGACTGAAACAAACCAAGACTTCCATCTCAAATTCAAAGTCGGTTATCCAAATCTGCTTCCCCGACTCAATAAGACACCGATCCTTGTTTAGCAGTAAGTGTGTTCCATTTTCTTCCGAGAGCCACTCCCCTCACGATATTTCAAAGCTCTCCCATCCAGCAGCACCTCTCCTCTGCTCCGCCCAATTCATTTCTAAGGTTTCCCTTCCCCGCTAGTGCCGTTCATGTGCAGCGAGCCCCTGGTCCTTTCCTGGATCATAGCTCGTTCCTCCGTCTGGTCTCCCATCATCTCCAAACTTCGATTTCGTCACAGCCGGCTATCAAACCGCGATTGCGAAGTTGCCTTTGACAGATTGATTTGCAGGGCGAGTTGGTAGAAAACAGCAGATCGACCACAATGGCGCCGATGGCGGGCAGACTGCGCTGCGAGCACGGGGAATACAAGGATCGCAGCGCATTCTCAAAGAGGCAGCTTGAGAAGTATGACCGTGAAGCTCGATCTGGAAACGCCACGCCGAGAAGGACCGGCATCCGCTGCCTGGAGCATGCATCTGGAGCACTTGTTTTAGAGGGACTATGCAATGGACCCTGTGGCCGCCGAAGGGAGTTGGGATTCTTCAGCAAGAGTACCAGACGCTCTGGGAAGATGGTGAGTATATCCCGGTCCAATGTTGCGTGCATCGCGATGTATCCTAACCTCCAGTTACAGTGGTGCATTGATTGCACGGACTGGCAGATCCGAACTGAGAATGGAGAGGCGTTGCCCCCTCCGGGAAGCCAGCTGTCGGTGGAGGAAGCAAACCCTGCGGAGGTCTTTGTCGTGCGCTCGCGGAACGGTACGGCCGCAGAGAGCGGGGCCGCCACAGATTTCGATGACGATGAGGTAAGAAGAGCTCAACGCCCCAACCCTGCGTTGGCTCGTCAGGTTGAGGTGCTAACTGATCCTCTCCAGTCCGGCTTTGATGATGGCGCTTCGATGGCGCTTTCTGCGTTGTCGATTTCCGAATCCCGCGGAGCGCCTGCTGTGGGTGGCGTCGATCTGGAGCCGTCCGTGTATGGTGACGGACCAGATAATTGGCACCTTGCGCATCTTCGAGACCCTCAGACCGCGGCGCCACATTGGCTGATGCCCAACCTTGATGGAAGTTCTCGTGGAGGAACTGTGACAGACTGGACGTCGGCTGCAGGTGACAGCGTGACCACACGTCCCCGCCGAGCTCGGGTCGAGGCCGTCTCATTCAACGCCTGGGGTCCTAACGGCGAACGGGTCCGCATGACCAAAACCCCAACAGTAGTGTCTAACAGCACGCGCAACGGAACGACACGTAGCGAGACTGTTACTGTCGGTAAGAGTGGTTGGGTCAAGGTGGTAAGGAGCTATACTGTCTCATCTCACAATAGGTACTGTGGGCTAACGCCAATGCAGGCTTCGCGCAAACAGGCACCCCAGCTTCCCGACTACCTCAAGAAGGAAGAGAATTTCCCACCTCCCCGACGCGTTGAGGAGTTTGAGGAACCCTGGTGGGAAGATGATTGATTTGAGGCCACGGTCGACGACGCGGCTTGATGGAGGGCCTCCGCATGCAAAGGTCATCTCTACTGAAGTTTACATTTCGCCGCACGTTTTGATCTTTCGCCAAGTTTCTTTTTTTTTCGTTCCAGCTATTCGTCTTCGCATCTCTTCTCAGGAGGAAAAATTTTAATCAGCAAACCCTCTAAAAAGATGATTAGGGACTGCCATCTGCGGTACAGAATGCTCGCGGTTTCTTTTCGTATCTGAGAAGAAGGGATGCGGCTAACCACTTCTACGCTGCTTTCCCCTTCTTTCTTTTTTCCCATTCTAGCCATTCTTAGGCGGAAAAGCAAAAGTAGTAACACGGGAGAACAGCAGAAACGGGGGGTCATCGGTAACGGTTAGGATTCGAGTCAAGAAATGGGGCTCGAGAAAAGGCATCCATCGGTGGAAAATTTCCCCTTCTCTATGGGTCAGCCAGCTTTCTCTAGCACATGGTAGCATTAATTATTGCTTTTCTACGTCTCTTGGACATGGACAAATGGCGATCGGTGACAGATTTTGTGTGTACCCAGGAACCGGACGGCTGCCCGCCGCCTGCAGTAATATGGGATGTTAGCCATGTTGCCTGGGAAAGATGCCTCGAGCTGGGTACTCACTACAGGAGGTACCTTTAGGTATTTGCTCATTCTGAAGCTTCACCGAGCCCGGTCCAGCGTGTGGTTGGGAGACAACCCTCCCCTATGGACGGCGGGTCAACTAGGACGACGCGGCAGTGCGACTTGCAGAACAGAATTCGGGATAGAGGTAACGGACGTATGCCAGGTACCTACCGGTCACGAAAATTCAGGTTGAGTCTGGGACGCGGATCAAGTGGGCTCTGCCGTGCGCTGTGCACTACATACCTTACCTAACCTACTGCAGGTAGCCTTTCACATGGCTGGTATGTAAGGAACTTATTGGATGAACTTGTACAACAGTACTAAGGGATAGGGAGAAGAAGTATGACGTCCGTAGCGGATGTATACTGAGGTATGCAGATGGGAAATATGATTGCAGCCACCGACTATGGTAGACTACTGAATAGTAACTAAGGTACCTTGCTTTCTGTTTCCGCCTTGCATGTATGTGCGGTCTCAAAGCGTGACAATCAGGTTCTTGCGCGTTGTGTAGCGCACTGTGTTTGTGTGTGCCTTACCCGTCTATCATGTGTCGGATTCCTGGTCCCTGTCGGGTCTGGTAGAGGAGAGGATTAAGGCGTCTTGTCATTTTTGGATCTGGCTAAGTTGCTTACGGTAGTAGGCATGTAGGTTGTGCTGGCTTGCTTCATTGCGCCGAACTCTTCATTTCCCCTGGTCAATACTTCCTTGGATCAGGTGTTCCTTGAGGATGGTATTCGCAGTGCACTGGATGGAATGGTGCTGTTCTCGGCATGCAGTGTGCCCACTTGTATTCAGCCTTACATGAGAGACACGAGGTACGGTCTTCGGAATCATTCGGGGTGCAAGGCTAGCTGGTTGTCCGAAGCACCGGGCCCTCGTAACAATTACTGCTTTAGCTCGGCCCATTGGACCTTCGCCTTCGATCTTCAATGCTTTCTCACGAACAAGACGGGCGAGCCTTGTGTGTCTAATTGTAGGCTCGGGCAAGTGCTAGAGCATGATTACAAAACGGCGAAATGCGGGGGAAGCTCGAAGTATACCGATAAATAGCTCGGTTCCCGATGCGGTTCAGTCATTTGGTTAGCATGTGGTGTAACATACGTAGGTCGGTCGGGCGTCCCGGGCTGCTACATGTTGATCAGCGGTTGCCCGGCTATGCTGTGTTTTTCGAGCCTCGGGCCGCGAGGAGAGGTGCGAGACGCCACACCACTTCCGCCCCAGTTGTATGTAGGATGGCACTCGGCTATGATCTCGGATGCTGAGCGAGGCACGAACGACATGGGTTTGCTGTATAGTGCGTACTGCATGGTGTTGTGCGTCGGAGCACTTTTAGGTTTCCTTGGTCTCGTAAGGCATCCGGCCGCGGCGGCATTTTCAATTGGGCTGATTCAAGCAGAGGGTCCTCTGTGTGCGACCTAGGGAATGGATGCCTGGCGAGCTTGAAATCTGATAATCTGACATCAAGAGATAGACGGAGTTTAGGTGGGGGAGACGAGGCGAATATCGCTGATCTGTGATCATGGAGGTGGTCGGCCCGGATGCAGTCCTGTTGCCCGGCATGTGGCAGATGCGAGCCTCGTCACCTCATCGACAAGTTGGCGGAAGTTGAGGGATATGGCAGGGGTTTAGATGGCGAGAAGGAGGAGAGAGCCGTATATCTGGGGATTGGTCGGCAACTTGCAGTCTGTCTCGCTCCTTCCGCTCTCAATCTTCAGGAACTTCAAGCTGTGGGTTCAATTTCCCCCCTCAGGCACACACGCCCAGTTCCCACTTTCCCCTGAAGCTCCATTGTGAGCCGAAATCTGAAATGGCTTCACAACTGCCGAAATGGGCCGGAACTGGCTGGCAAGGTCCTCCTCCCCCTACTCCCCCGCCTCCTCCCGCTGTTCCTCCTGCATTCTCGGGGAATGGAAGGCCCTTCGCCTTCCCCCCGCCTCCCCCGCCGCCCGGACACGGTGCAGACGATGACGAGGTGACCGATATACAAGAGAGCTGCTCGGAGGACGAGTCTTATGATGAATCGGAAGGAGAGACGGAGGATGACCATGATCCCAAGATCATACCATACGTTGCGAGGCCAAAAGAATTCGCCACAGCACCGACAACGATAAATGGACAAGTTCAGGGGCCAACAGGGAGTTCTGGGCCTCCCAACTTGAAGCTTCCCGGACAGGTTCCCTCCATGGATATGCGCACCGAGATCAGGAAGATGATCAAGGAGGAGTGTATGATCCCCATTTTCTCCGTCGTCTCCATCTCAACTAAATCTGATGTCTTGTCCAGTAGGCAATATTCAGAGCCCCACGGCCCCGGCAGGACATGACAGCGGGCCCGGCCCGGCCCATCGACCTCCCAGGATGCCGGAACCAAACATGCCATCGAGTGCCAGACCACAGTCTCCCCCGCCTGGTGTCCACTGGAGCAACCCAGTCCCTCCGCCTCCAGTCGGTACTGCTCCGGGTTTGGCAAAGGAAGCCAGCGTCATCGACCAAAAATGGGGCATCCTGTTTGACCGGGACGGCCTTCCGACGAAGAGATGGCAACAGGTACTCAAGGGGATCGGCAGCTATCTGGTAAGCCGATAATGACCCAGCAGCCACGGAAGATCCTTAACTCATGAATTCTTGTAGATGGACGAGTTCATGCCACAAAAGACACTAGTTGTCACACCGGCGAAGATGGCGGGATTCTACTCGCACCATCGCCTGGAGACTGAAGTCTTCCCGTTTCCAGGTTCGTTCTCCTGCTCAACTCACCCAACCACTCCAGAGCCCGATATGTTGACACCTTAGAAGATATCTTCAGAGCACCGCCCAGCAGACTGGCAGAACTGTACCAGCAACTGTCCTGCGAGTACTACCTGGTGCCCGCAGAACCGAAAGCTCGTCCCACTCTGCCAGGCCTCACACTAGCGGGCTGGACGCAATGGACGACGCTCGCCGTGCGGGCCTACCCCAACGAGGAGGCCGAGCGGCTCGCCAAGGCGGTTGCCGCTCTGCCCATCAACGCAGAGTCTCTCCTCGACGGCAAGCCGGAGCGGTTGCCAAAGCAGATCCCGCGCCGACTGATGCCAGAAAGGCCTGACAGAGCGGCGCGGTTGCTTCTCGATGGCGCGCTGAAGTCCCATCTTGGATCCCCTGACTCTTCCGCGCGGAGGACAGTACCAGTATCGGTATCAACAACAACAACATCATCATCCCGCCCATCAAGCCCCCGGTCTCGATACCGACCTCCTTCATCCTCATCGCCACCACCGAGATCGGCACAACAAACCCGCGGTGACGATTATCACGATCCGCGTCGACGTAGCGACCGCGACCGAGAGAGACAAAAGGAACGCAGCTACCGTGACAACGACGGCAGCAGCAGGAAAATCTACGAGAGCAACGGCTCCATCCGGCGCGATCCCCCTCTGCCGCCGCCTCCTCCTCCTATGGCGAGGCGGCGGACCAGCAGTCCCCTTCCGCCTGTGCACCACCGGCACTCAGTTGCCGTGGAGGCTCCATACGTCCTACAGCGTTCGAGTTCCGATCTGGGTGGCATACGGACCAGACGACTAAGCAGTGGGTCCTGGGAAAGGGACAGAGAAAGAGAAAGAGAAAGGGACAAGGATAGGCAGCGGGAGAAAGAACATGGTCATGATCGCAATCGCGACAGAGACCGGGACCGGGACCGAGAGAGGGATAGTAGTAACAGAGAGCGGAGGGACAGAGACAGAGAGCCGACCAAGGGAAGGATAGCGGGCCGGGAGAGGGACTCGGATCATAGTAGCAGGCGAGGTAACGATCGGGACCGAGACCGAGCTAGAGAGAGGCGGTCGGCGTCGGTTGCCGCTGTTCGCGCCTCTGAACGGAGGGACGGTGGCAGCGCGGGGCGGAAGAAGGTGCCGGTGGTGGTTCGGGATGACAGGCAGACATCGTCGTCGCGGAGGTTGACTTGGGGGGATTTCCTTTCTGCCAGGTACTAGTATTAGCAGTTATTATTTGGGGCGGGAAAGGGGGAGGGTAATATATGAAATAAGAGTGATGGCATGTCGCGTTCGCTTCAGGGGCAGAAATTTGATGGAGGAGAAGGACCCCGAGGCCTCTTATGTCTCGGGCTACAATGAGGGTATTTATAGTCCGTACCTAGTCCGCATAATACCTTAAATCCAAATCTCAAGCAACTCTAAGCCAACCACCCAACGCCAGTACACGCCTAGTCATATCCATAACCCCACTGAGCACCCAACACCCAATACGCAACAGTTTCCTACTAAACGACACCTACCTACCACTCTACAACACCCTCACACCCCGGCACTCCCATCCCTAGCCTGCAAGCCCTCCCTCCTCAGGGCCTCCTTCTCCCTGAAGGCGACCTGCTCGTCATACGGCAGCTGCGGCTTGGCCACGCGGCGCCGGAACAGGTAGCGACGCCAGAAATACACGGCCTGGCGGGCGCCGTAGGCGGCCTGGCGGTGCAGGGGCACGTCGAACACGGCGTCCAGCTCCTCGAGCGTCTTCTCCTTGGTCTCGGGCACCAGGAACAGCACGAGCGCGAAGCCGATGACGTTCCAGCCGGCGTACCAGCCGAAGGCGCCCTGCGGCTTGAAGGCCGTCAGCATGCTGGGCCAGGTCACGGCCAGGATGAAGTTGAAGAACCAGGTGGTGGCGGTGGCGAGCGACATGCCGATCGGCCGGATGTACAGCGGGTAGGCCTCGGCCGAGTAGGTGAAGGGCACGGGCCCCTCGCCGGGGGAGTAGACGATGCCGAAGAGGTAGATGCCCAGCGCGATGCAGCCAATGTGGGCGGGCGTGTCGTCGGGGATCCAGAAGGAGAAGCCCGTGAAGAGCATGAAGAGCGCCATGAGCGGGAAGGTGGTCAGCAGCAGGTTGCGTCGGCCGAAGGTGTCGATCGTGTAGAAGGCCGGCAGCGCGAAGAGCCAGTTGATCACGCCGAAGCCGAGCGAGGCCGCGAGCGCCGAGACCTGCGAGTAGCCGGCCTGGACGAAGATGGCCGAGCTAAAGTACGCGATGATGTTCACGCCACAGAACTGCTGCATGAACATGACGATCTCGGAGGCGACCATGGCGTTGCGGTTGCGGCGGATGGTGAAGAGCTCCTTGACGCGGCTGGCGGTGCCGATCGACATGGCCTGCTGCTCGGCCTGGAGCAGCGTGTAGGTGTAGAAGAGGTCGCGGGCGGCCTGCACCTTCTCGAAGCGCAGCTGGCAGACCGACGCGAAGGCATCGCGGTGGCGGTTCTTGCTGAGGTACCAGCGGGGGGACTCCGGGCAGATGTAGGCCAGGAAGCATACGACGACGGCGGGGATCATGGCCGAGCCCATCATCAGACGCCAGTTCAGCCCCAGCTCGATGCCGCGGTCCGGAACGAAGTAGAAGGCCAGGTCGGCGATGTAGCCTACCATGATGCCGAAGGCTGTCCACATTTGCCATTGCTGTGAAAAATATTGGTTAGCCCTTCCGACATTTTTTCTCAAAAAAAAAAGAAAAAGAAAAGGTGTATACCATCACAAGAGCACCGCGGAGCTTAGGAGGCGAGCACTCAGCCGCAAAGATGGGCGTGGTGGCCGACTTGGGGCCGATGCCGAAGCCCAGGAAGAAGCGGGCGATGAACATGTGCCACCAGGTGTTGGTGAAGGCCTGCCAGAAGCAGGCCAAGGCGGAGATCAGGCACGAGACGAAGATGGTGCCGCGGCGGCCGAAGAAGCGGTTCATCGGGTCGGTGAGCCAGCAGCCGACGACGGCGCAGCAGAGGTAGGGCGCGCCGTTGAGCAGCCCCAGCAGCCACGTGTCGCGCTGGCTCTCGGTGCCGATGCCGAACACGTCCTTGTAGAAGATCTGCGCGCCGTTGACCACCGTCTCGTCCATGCCCTGCACCGCCGCGCACAGCGAGCAGATGGCGATGACCCAGTAGAGCATGCGCGGGTTCGACCACTTGTGCGTGGTCTCGCGCTCCAGCACCTCGCGCTCGCGCTCCGTGAGTCCCGGTACCGCGTCGACGCGCGTCTGGTCGCCCGCGATCATGGCCCCCAGGCGGAAGGCCCGAAGGTCCTCCTCGCTGGTCAGGCCCGCCAGCCGGGCGTAGTCCTCCCCCATGGCCGCCAGACGCTCCGGGGTCAGGCCCGCCAGGGGGTTGGCAAGCTTCCGCGAGGCGGCCAGGCGCTCGTCTGGAAACCCCTGGCCGTCCGTACCCGCGGGGATAGCAGCTCCTTGCCCTTTGCCGTTCTGCAGGTCATGGTGTTCGACTTCGGCCTTGGAGCCGAGCGAGCCGCTGGAGCCGTCGGGGTTCTTCTCCGAGGCCATGGTTTGTTTACCTTTCACAGCCGCGGATGGGAGAGAGAAGTGGAAGGAAGTCCAACACGCGCGTGAGAGAGAAAGAAAGATGTGTTGTGGTGCACGAATGGAAATGGATGGATGGATGGGTGGGTGGCAGTGGCGATCGGCGTTATATATGTACCTTGAGTACCAGTAACATATCCGTCTCGAACTCTCAGTCCCCGCAGCACCCGGCCATCACACTCAAACTTGATATCCACTCTTCGAGGCTGTTTATCCGCGCGGGGAACAACATGGCTCTGTTTTAGTGTACAAACCGGCCAACCAACACGACGTCATCCCGGGCAGCCCGCTTGCCTGAAGCAAAACAGGGCACTTCGGTCAGGGTCCATCTTGCGGCGCATTGGCGGTCTTACCGGTCCTGGAGGCAACGGTAGCCCCTCAGGTGTGCAGTAGGATTCAAGATCAGCGCTGTGTGCGGGCAGATGACCGAACTTCCCCGTATGACGTCGGCTGCGCTGGTTGGCTGGTGGTTTGGCAAAGTAACGTCGATTCAAGCTTTCTCGGCTTTTGCGGCGGGCCAACGGCCGGGTTGTGGTGGAGACAAACCGCGGGAGCGCGAAAAACAGTCCGAAGACCCACTTCGAAGTAGGGAAGGGTACGAAGTCCGGAGCCAACAAACACTGGGAAGGATTCTGTTGGTGCAACACTCCCCTCTCTCTCTTTGTTGGAGCTGCAAGGGACTTCTGGGGGGTTGTACGGAATACTGTTGTATGGTAGCAATGACAAATAGAACAACAGCTCACATGTGGAAGGTGGATAGAAGATTAGGTAGGGGGGAGTCCGAGAGATGGTCAGGGTTAGGGCAAATGCTATCAACACTGGACGTAGTAGTAGTACTTACTACTACTAGTAGTCTAACCTGCTTTCTATATGCGTATTTACGGACGGGAGCCAGAACCCAGATGCCGCTTGCTCACTCACAGTTTACACCGCCCTCGCAATGCCCTTCTTCATCCCCCACCCTCCCATTTGTAACTCCATTCCCTGCATGCATGCCATGTGTCGACCGCAGTCCTGTAGTCCTGGAATCATCAAAGGCGATGAATGTATGCCATGGACAGACAGTTCGAAAAAAGAGCGTCAATTACATACCAACCAAGCCACTAGAAAGAAAGTTAAATTCCTCGTCAGTAAGCCTTCCGCGGCGTACTCGCACTCCGCAACCCCAGCAGCGACACCGACATGGACAGCCCGCCGAGGCTGGTCAGGGTCGATCCGTCCTCCTGCTGCTCGCGCTGCTCGAGTGAGCTGATGACGCACCCAGCTCGGTGCAGCCGCAGCCGCCGCGCCTTGCGGTCCTTCTTGCGCTCCAGCATGCGGTCCCGCACCAGCACCCAGTCGGCCTTCCAGTTCGCGATGCTCTGGAACAGGTCCGGGTCGGCGTCGGGCCCCACGAACTCGTGGCACACCGTCTCGACCGCCCGGAGCTTGAGCCGCAGGTGCCGCAGTTCGGACTCGTTGGCCAGGATGTCGTCTTCGAGGTCGCAGATCTCTTGTTCCAGGTCCAGGATGCGTGTCGCGGCGGCTTCGGCGCGGTCGACGAGGAGGGCATGGAGATGCTGGGCGTTGTGTAAGCAGCAGGCCTTTGGTTTGCGTGGAGGATAGATAGGCAGATAGCGTAGGAACAGCGGCGGAGACTCACGTCTGACTCTTCTTTCCTTACCTGCAACCGTCCCACCATCGCCGCTAGCTCGACGTTCATCCTCTCTGCTTCTCTGGCCACCCGCTCGGCCGCCTCGATCTGAGCTTGGGCGGCTCGCTTCGCCGCCTCTAAAGCCTCATTCGTCGCGGCCGCTAGCTCCGGTTGCGAGCGCGTCGGGGATATGTCTAGTTCCGAGAACCGGAAATTGCTCGTGAGCCAGGGGAGCGGGCTGGGGCTCGTTAGGTCGCGGATATCTTGGTCTCCTGGTTGTAACAGCGCTACCGGGGGCGCGGCCGGTGACCGACCCCTGGATGGCCGGCTGTCATCCCTATACCCGGACCTGACCTCTCCCAGCGCCTCTTCTTCCACCTGTGTCGCTGCGTCCCTCTTCCCTTCACTTTGTGTTCTGGGCTCCGAAGGAGCCTCGATCTCCGCTTCCGCTTGTTCCGCTGCCTGTGGTCGAGTTTGCGGTTGACCTTCCGATTGACCTTCCAGTTGATCCTCCGGTCGCTCCTGTGCTTGTTCCTCTGGTTGTGACGCTGGCTGTGACTGCTCCTCGACTGGCCCTTCCATTTCCGCCGTGGCCTCCACCAGGGCGGTCTCCTCCGCCAACAGCAGGAGCTCTTCCATCTCATCAACCTTGGAATGTAAGACGTCAAGGACGTCCGCCTCCATGCCGCCGCCCACCTTCGCCGAAGAAAGCCTCTGCACCAGGTCGCAGAGCCGCTCCATAAGCTCAACCCTAGCCGGCGGGAGGTTTTCTGTATCAACCTCGATGATTTCTTCTTCATCTCCTGGCACACTCTCATGCCATCTCCGTTCCTCGTCCCCTTCCTCTTCCTTCTGTGGGTCACCATGCAGCACGTCAGCCTCGTCCCGTTGTTTGCCAGTCGCGTCACCCGCATTCTGTGTCCCGTCATCATGCCAGAAAGAACTCTCCTCCTCCTGAGCATCATTGAAATTGCGTGGATTCTCATCAGGGTGAACGTGGTCGTCGTGGTCATCGTGGCCGTCGTCTTCCCCGACCGGATGGCCCCCTAGCGTCTCCCCATCACGCCAGAACGAGCTCTCCTCCCTCTCGGAGTCTTGGTACCCGACAGAGTCTTCATCCTCGTGCACATGGACGTCCTCCGCCACACTAAGGCGAGTCCCATCATCTTCGTCATCCGCATCATCATCGTCACGTCCATACCAAAACTCTCCGGCCGGATTTGAGCCCTTATCCACCTTGTCGTGTCCTTGGTCTCCATCTTGGTCATCAAACCCCCTACCCTCCTCTTGCCCCTTCTCTTCTTCTTCTTCCTCCTCTCCCTCCTCCTCTTTCCCTTCTCCCCCTTTTTCCTCCTCGGCTGCAAAACGCACCCGGCTCGGACTCTGCCTTTGCCCCTGCCCCTGCCCCTGGCCGTCTTCTTCCTCTCCCCCTTGGCCCCGCACCCCCTCCTGCTCCTCCTCCGCGACCAGCTGCCCCCGCCCAGCCCCAAGCCCAAGCCCATAGCCCTTCGGCGGCCCGGCCCGATGCATCCCCAAAGGCGAGATAGGCAGCCCGGCACCCAGCCCCACGCCCCGTCCCGTGCCCCTACCCATGTGCAGGCCGAGACGACTGCCGAGGGTGCTGCTGTTGCTACTCCTGCTGCTCATGTTGGTTGTTGTTGGCGAGGTGATTCCGCCACCATGATTATTAGCGCCAGCACCAGCACCAGCACCAGCACCAGCACCAGCACCAGCAGCGGCAGCGGCATGATAGTTTGCTGACGGTAAGCGGGAGAGGAGGCCTGGCCTGCGGCGGGGCGACGTTGGGGGCGGCGTGTGCAGGTTCTGGATTGGGATGGAGATCTGCGCTGCTGAGGATGTGAGGTGATGCTGAGGTTGTTTGCCCAGTGGCGGGCGCTGGAGCGGTGGGGTGTGCTGTTTTTGGCGGGACCGTTCTCGTTCTCGCTCTTCTTGTTCTGAGTCGGCTTTTTGTGGTTGTTGTTGTTGTTGTTGTTGTTGTTGTTGTTGTTGTTGTTGTTGTTGTTGTTGTTGTTGTTGTTGTTGGTAGTGGGTTTGAGTGGGCGGGCGATTATGACCATTATTGAGATTGTGGCGGTCTCCATGCAGTTGTTGTTGGGGTTGTCGTCGAGGTGAAGTCGGTTGTGTTACATGGCCTGAATCTGGCGTTGGGTCTAGTAATGCGCGATGTGATATGAGAGAGAACTCCTCTGGCGCAAAGGATGAAAGAGAGGAGATTGACGGGGAGAAGTTGAGCTCCCAGTCATCGTCGCCCGAGCCCGGGGCGACATCGTCCGGGTCGTTCATCTGAAGTCGTTGACCGGACCTTCCACAGCTCTCAGTCAAAGTGGTGAAAATCGGATTGCGGTGAGAGGACAGAAAGGGTCAGGCAATCAAGTATGCATGTTCGCAATCTTAGTGATCTGCTCAGCCGGTCTCACTGCAGAAGACTTCACATGAAACGTCTTCAACTGGTCTTTCTTGAATAACATGAAACTGTAATTACATGCATTATGATCGTTCGCACAGAGGATGAGCGCGATGGGTGAGGTGATTCTCCACGATTCATCGGGCTCCACTCATGCGTTGTCCAGGTGAATGACAACGGTGTTGAAACACCAATGCACCTGCTTGGGGAAAGCGCCAATCATGTCTGTCACAGATGTGTCCCCTGCTCACCAATCACCATTTCCTCTGTGTCTTCTTTGCCTTTTCTTTCCCACTTCCATTTAGGTTACAAGTATTACACTACCGGTGGTTTCCTCCAGGTTTTCTTTGTATTTTGTTGGTATCGTTTCGTATCAATACACCGCGAACCATGGCCCAGCCGGACCAAGTGTCCCTGGCCCAAATTGACTCTACCAAGACGCTGAAAACTCTCAAAGACGAAAGAAACTGGAAGGCCACCTACCTCGCCTCGGTGTCGCCTCGGTGTGCGACACCTACACCCTATCTGTCCGGCCGCGCCCGAGCGTTTTCCGCCCGTCCGGACGCTAGCCCGACGTTACAACCGGGCTGGGCCGAGCAGCTCGGGAGTTGACGAGCTGAGACATCCACCGCACTGTGCAGATCCGGGGTAAACTCCATATTCTGGGCGAATTCCTCATTTCAGAAGGCTCTCATCAACCTGCAAGGCAGGCTTATTAGAAACAGAAGTCTTTACGGAGTAGTGAATAACCACCTTTTCCCGTCCGAATCCCACGTAGAGGGACCTGTCAACTCGACGCAGCTGAAATTGATCTACATACGTGAGACTCAGATAGCTCCAGGCTTGCTGCAGCCACAGAGATCACACAGTATATTTTCCGTAGATTGCGCACATGTGAGTCAGCAAGCTGCAGAGTAAGCAAACGTGCAGAGACAGTTGAAAAAAGGAGCATGTGCAATGTCCCTTAAAGTGCATAGTTGAGCCATCACCGTCGCTAATAAACCCAGTCACGGAGATTGCTAACTACTAGTACCTTAAGCTACGTATCTTGACTGGTTGATGATGGAAAATGTGCCACAAGTCAAACATAGACTCCGTGGAACGTTCCGGCTTGTTGTCAAGAGAGAATGATTCATGTGAGACGCTGCCCTGAAACGAAGCATCAAACTCCATTGAGCTAATTCCAGGAACAACTTGCGCCGTGCCTCTGTGCAGCATGGCAACCTGTGGGGTAACAGTACATTATGTATGTGCACTGGTACAGGACGCCACCGCCCATTTGCAAAGTCGTTGTCGTTAAATGGTCACGAACGCAGCCAGCCACCCCGTTTTGTCTGAACAGATGCAGCTAGCGAGGGGCCTAGCGAGGGGGCACGGGCAGGCGGGGCTGCAGTGCCGAATCCACCGCAGACAACTCTGGCTCCGAGCTCCAGCGGCATGGCCCGGAAAAAGCACACGAGCTTCTGACGCATCTCCAAGAGTCTAACAGTACTAGTACCTTAAACTTCCTTGATAAACTTCCCGGCCCCGCCTCTCCCGCTCTCTCCTCCATCCCCAACCTGGAGTACACCATTCTCGATGCCGACGAGGACGCTGATGTTCGCGCGCAATCGGCGCCGTTGTTGACCGGACTCCTCCCTGTGTACCTACTTTTGTACTGCATTCGGCATCCCGGTTGCGTCATTGAAGGCGCTCGGATCCGTCTGCCTCGGCATAGCTGACTCCATTTCGACTCCACGCCTACGAACGGCTTGCTACGCTTACATTGCTCAAACCACCCTCCGTAACTTCTGTCACGCCACGGGACAACCTCCCTGTCCTCATGCTGCACGCTACACGACCACAGCATCATCCACGGAGTCCAATTGGCGAAGCCTGAGCCGCCAATATGTCGTGGAAGAGGAGCGAGAAGCTGATGGACACCATCCGGCACTATGCAAGCTTTCCGGCTACCGGTGTAAGCCTGCGCCAGATGGTCCAGTTCGGCGAGAAGCCGTCGACTGGTGAGCGGCGACCAACTCGTCTCTTGAGCGCTCCCTGCTGACGCTCTCCACAGGCACCTTATTCCGCGCCTCGCAGTTCCTCGCCGAGGAACTCCCCATCCGACTTGCCCACCGTGTCCAAGAGCTCGAAACTCTCCCTGACGGACTCAATGAGATGCCGTCGGTGAAGAAGGTGGCGGACTGGTATGCGCAGTCGTTTGAGGTACGCCCTCCCTTCTGACATCCCGGCGCCCGAAGCGGATGACTCACTAAGACCCCCTGCTCCAGGAACTCACCACTTTTCCCAGACCAGAGCTTCCCAGAGATGTACGGGAGAGGTTGATGAGACCGGCGAAGATGGCAGGTAAAAGCAACTCGTGGCTGAGCGAGGCGACACCGAACCCGAGCATCGAGGAGGGGCAATACAGTTCTTGGAACGGCAGCAACAATAACAACAACGGCTGGGCAAAGGGCAGGTTCCCTACGACACGGAGATACTTTGCGATGGTGGACGACACAGGCGATTGGCCGCCCGAACTACAACTGTACAACCAGAAATTCGCGCAGACGCTGCATCGCATTAAACGGAGGCACGATAGTGTCGTGACCACGATGGCGCAGGGAATCCTCGAGTGGAAGCGCAGGCGGCAACGGATGCTGATCGACAACAACATACAGTCGTTCCTCGACCGGTTTTACATGTCCCGCATTGGCATACGCATGCTGATCGGCCAGCACATTGCGTTGACAGACCAAAGTCACTACCGGGACCCCTCATATGTCGGCATCATCTGCACCAAAACGTACGTCAAGGAGCTGGCTCAGGAGGCTATTGAGAACGCACGTTTCGTGTGTGAGGACCACTACGGTTTGTTTGAAGCGCCGAAGATCCAACTCGTGTGCGACCCGAATCTCAACTTCATGTATGTGCCGGGCCACCTGTCGCACATGCTCTTCGAGACGCTCAAGAACTCGCTGCGCGCCGTTGTCGAGACCCACGGCCAGGACAAGCAGGAGTTCCCGGTCACCAAAGTGATCGTAGCGGAGGGCAAGGAAGATATTACTATCAAGATTTCAGACGAGGGCGGTGGCATTCCGCGCAGCGCCATCCCGCTTGTTTGGACCTACATGTACACCACCGTCGACCGCACGCCGAACCTTGACCCGGACTTTGATAAGAGCGATTTCAAGGCGCCCATGGCCGGCTTCGGCTACGGCCTGCCGATATCGCGACTGTACGCGAGGTATTTCGGTGGCGACCTGAAGTTGATCAGCATGGAGGGGTAAGCTTGCGTCCTTAGATCCTCTTCCCGATACGTTTGTTCTGCATGCTAACCCTCCTCGCACAGCTACGGGACGGACGTCTACCTGCACCTGAATCGTCTGTCTAGTTCGTCGGAGCCTCTGCAATAGGAATACGCCGTCAGGAGGGGGACTGGTTCATCCTCGTCGCCCCGAGGATTGACGCTGCCAATGCGATACCTGTTGCGCAAGCGCCTCAAGAACCCGGCCCCGTTGGAGATTACAGAGCGGAGGCAGGTCGGCGACGTCGAAGCCACCGTCAACCCGGCGTCGGCGTCAGCCATTGACCAGGGACAATATCAGCCCATTCGAGGGAGCGATCGCGAGCTTTGAAATGATTTTGTTTGACGCCTCGATACGATACGCCGGGCCTTACGGAGGTAGTGGGGAGATGTGTGGCTACTGATATCCACCCAAGCGTTTCTGCTTCCCCTGGGTGGGCTGATGTTCACTGTTGTTGGGCTCCTCATGCGCCCTCAGAGTCCGAAAGGTTTCAATAACAAAGTCATTATTTTATTGCATGGGAAACCGGCGCTCGTTATAGGATAGGACAGGGAAGGGGGGTCTCTCACCCCATTGCTTCAGGTTTGAGGGTAGGCTATTTGTCTATGAAGCAGCACTGCCGCACACACACCAAATAATTGAACTTGGTCGCGTGGATTGTATGTACGACGTAGAACATATGGAAACGTTTGAAATTGACAAGGGAGGGGTTAGGGAGGAGGAAGCAGGCGAAGGAATGAGCTTCAACATTACCTATGCAGTGCATATAGCTACCAACCTACCTATGTATTCATATGTGCCCGGGTAGGTTCGTTCGTATGGATCATAATGGATGTGCATACCTACCTTTGTGTGTTTACAGAATCAAGCGTCCTGATCTACGTACAAACAAACCCCTTCCTTACACCCACACACAGTTCTCTTTCAATGCACCTAGGTACCGTATATGCAAAGAGAAGGAACGCAGCCACCCATCTGCACCCGAACCAGAACAATGCTAATAATAATTGTACAAGAATCACTTATGCCTTGTACAACAAATCCAAGAATCCCGTCGCCAAATCCACCACGACGCTCTTATTCGGCAGGCTGCCCGCGACGCCATACAGCGCGGCCGCATCCCCGCCCTTGTCCGCGCCGCCCCGCGTCTTCTTGCCCTCCACCAGCCGCACGCGCTCCTTTTCCCTCTCCGCCTCGACGACCGCCTCAAGATCGGCGGCCAGCCGCTCCCACACCTTGGCCAGCGGCAGCGTCATGGCCACGTGCATGGCCGCCGGGTTCTGCAGCGCGTTGAGGTGCCAGCCGCGCGCGCTCATGCCGTCTGCGATGTCGTAGATGTTCAGCGACTTGGCCCGGAACGCGAGCACGCTCACCAGCGGGTTGCCCAGGATCTCGAGCTCCGCCGACAGGGTCGGGTGCGTCTGGATGTGGTGCAGCAGCTTCTTGGTCGAGCCGACGATCTGGGCGCACGAGGCCAGGTAGCCGGCCTCGCCGACCGACACGAGAGAGGCCCAGCAGGCGGCGATCAGCGCGCCGGGCCGCGAGCCGGCGATGCCCGGGGACGCGTACACGCCGCCAGACCAGGACGGGTCGACGAAGTACTGGTAGGTGCGCAGGGCCTGGGTGCGGTAGAGCACGGTGCTGTTGCCCTTGGGCGCGAAGCCGTACTTGTGCGTGTCGCAGGAGATGGAGGTGACGCCCTTGAGGCGGAAGTCGAAGGGGACGGTCTCGAAGCCGGCTTTGTCGAGGAAGGGGACCAGGAAGGAGCCGAGGCAGCAGTCTACGTGGAGCGGGATGCGCTTCTTGAGGGCGAGCTTGGAGAGCGCGGCAATGTCGTCGATGATGCCGTGCGGGAAGTTTGGCGCAGAGCCGACGAGGAGGATGGTGTTGCTGTTGATGAGCCGGGACACACGGCGCATGTCCACTTGGTAGTTTGGTGCCGGACATGCGACCAGGTGGATCTTGATCTTGAAATACTCGCCGGCCTTGCGGAAGGCTGTGTGTGCCGTTTCGGGAAGGATCCTAGGGGACTCTGTTAGCAGGTATTCCGAACGTACAAGGCCATAGGGAATCTTGTGGTTACATCTCCGGTTCAGTGACGCCCCGTTCGACGTAGGCCTTCTGTCTTGCGCTCAGACAGGCCATCAGGATACTCTCTGTTCCACCACTGGTGCTCACTCCCGCAGCCCCGGGCGGCGCATTGAACAGGTTCAGCACCATGGCCACCACCTCGGCCTCCATCTTCCTCACGCCAGGAAACACATCCGGATGGATCGGATTCGCCACCGTGAACTTGCCATACGCCTCAGTCTGCAGTTTCAGCAGGTCATCCTCGCCGTGATACACCGCGCCCGAGACGTATCCGTCCTCCCAGCGTGTGTGGTCCATATTGGCAAGGGTCTCGAGTTCGGTTCGCACAGCGTCCTCGGCCCACCCTTCCTTAGGCAGCGTCAGGTACCGCGTCATGTTCGCTGGTACGATCTTGGACTGGACCTGGGCGATCGCCTCATCGACCTGTTTTCGCACCTTGGTGCGCACGCCGGGCATCCTGAGAAACCATCCATACAGGACCCGTCGCACATCGGTATAGACCTCGGCAAGCGTGCCCAGCAGACCCCGACCCTTTAGCTTCCAGAGCGCGCGGCGGGTCCAGCGCAGAACGAAGAGGAAGAAGACGATGTTACGAACTCTAACTCATCATGCCTATGTTAGCGCAATTTCTTCTCTACTACTCTTGATGTCCGAGAGTGGCTTGGCGCTGATTTGGGGGCTGTATTCGGAACTGCTCTGGTTGCCGAGTTGGAGGGACGGGAAGCCATAAGCTTTCCGCCCGTGAGGGGTGCATTACAACAGTAAGAAAATGGGTCAAGGGACAGCCACTGACAGATCCAAGCTCAACATCTCCAACGGGTTGCCCCGAGTCACCCGCGACCTCTTCCGGACATTGTTGAAGCCCTCCCGCAGGCTGACGGGCATGCGCGACGTTCCCGGCATCTTTTGCAGCGGACAACTGCTTCACCGTCCGAGTAGGCAGCCGGTATTGACGGCGTGGTCAGCAAGAAATGGACATGGAAAAGATTGAGGAGTTTAATTCGGAAGGCACGGTAAGAGCGCAGTTGGAGCTCGGTTCTATCCATAACGCTTGCAGCTCGGATCTGTGCTGCGCAGCAGGGGGCACCCCGGCCCTTTTGCATCACACCCGCGGCACGCCGCGGGGCCCGGTTCGTGGAGAGCAGGCAGAGACAGGGCCCGAAAAATGCCCTGTCTTCGCCCCACCGATGCCGTTACCCGAGCTATCACATGCTCCCAAGGTTGAGGTGTGATATCATCGGCTGAGCCCTCCATGCTTTGTGCCAATGCCCGGGCACCTTTGAGTCACTCGATCAAAGGCGGTAGAGCCTATTTCGGAAATCAACGTCGCCTCATTGACAGCACCGAATATTCGGGGAATCCCATACATACCTTATGTCTAGGTAGCGTTGCATCCTCGGCTTACACCCGGTTTTGCAATCAAGAAGGGGGAGTTCCTGAAGTCCTTCACGGAGAAGTATGGAAGCAGATTGGAACCATAGGAAAGGACACGGCCAAGTCCTGAAAGGTGTCTAGACATGTTGATAGATATGATTGTCTGGTACTTAACGCACACCTGGACCCCAACAGTCGTGGGTCAAGCTCGCATTATCAGACAAGTCACCCATTGACCCAAGCCCTCATTAGCAAGCAGCAACTCATGTACCTTCTTACACATCTTTATTTTTATCAATGCCCCGTGGAGGTGAGGACACCACTTCCGCTTGGTCACCATCCCATACATGCCAAAAGCGCAAAACCTTGACGCCCTCTTATTTTTGAGGACACCAACCCCGACGTTCAAAATAAGCTCAAGTCCGAACCTAGGTTCGAGCGCAATAGTCTAGCATGCGGGCCCCTGATGGGAGAGTACCCGCGTCGGTCGTGTCAATGTGTTCCTTACTCATTATGAGATCTCAAAGAGCCTTCGCCATGCCTGCACAAACGACTCGGTCTCGGTCTCGCATGCCTTTCCCCCCGACGTCTCGCAATCAGGGAACCTGACCGCCAGGTCTCCGTTCTGGTACAAGGCTTCTTTGGCGCCCTTGTTATACGCGTTCATGAGCCGCTGGTCGACAATGGCCATCCGGGCGAGGATGGTCGGGTGCCATTGCACGATATGTTCCTGCACCACAAAATTAGAAAGCCGCCATTTCGGTTTCCGGCTTGCCGGTTCATTTTGACTCACCAGGGCATGCTTCTCCGCTTTTTGGAAGTTGTAGCTCCGATACAGCGGGTCGAACCATGTCTCCAGAAAGAACTTGGCCCAGTCGCCGTTCCGGACGATGAGGCTGCCCGGCGACAGCCCCTCCTTGTCCTGCGTGACAACGAAGTCCACGTCCTGCCCCTTAAGATGGCTGAAAGTCTTAATGATGCTATCCGGCGGGACGACGGGGAAGTCCTTCTTCATGAGCTCATCCAGCCTCGAGGACTGCATGATGTGCTCCTCAACCTTCAGCTTGGGGTTCATGATGAAGCTGTTGGCATCAAGGTACCACACGTAGTGGCAGTCGGGGTACTTCGACAGTGCATGGCGCACAGCGGGGACAGCTGTCCAGGAGAAAGGCGCGCCTTTGAGATCGTAGTCGCCTACTTGCGCGATGAGCGTTTGGTACCCTGTGTATGTGTGTCAAACCCTGTTAGGCCCTATCGCATGCTACTTTTTGCATTCACGACCGCGGCATACCGTGCTTCTCGGCATATTGCCTCCTGTTCTCCTTGACCGCATCCAGATACGCCTTGGTGTATTTGCTATGGTCTAGCACCGTGACCAGAACGACAGGCGGGTTGCCCCTGGGAGCTCGCTGTGCGCGCGCAGCATGCCCGCCGCTACTTGGTCGAGTGATGAGGTATACGAGAGCGAGGAAGGCGAGACCCGCGAGCGCGATGAGCTTGAGGCGGGTTTTTCGTAGGCCCGGCAGTCGCGTCGAGCGCGGCACATACGGCGGAGGATGTGATGTTTTTCGCGGGGGTAGTGCGAAGTGCATCGCGGGCAGCGGGAGGCCCGGGGAGCGGTCCCTAGGCCTAGAGCGAGACCAATGCGCCGGGGACCAGTCCCGGGATTTCGGGTTAGGAGCAGCCGATGTCGAACGGGACGGAACGATGAAGACACCGCCGGATGCGCAGGTGAGAGTCCGTGTGACGTCGCGAATTCGGTCTCTTCGCCGAAGACAACCAGCGACTGGGACTGAATCGGAAGGACAACGGTCAACGCGACGCTGATGTACTCAGGAGACGACGTTGCGGGTTGCGTCGATCGTATCAGCGATCATGTCCTGGAGAGTTTGTGCTTGCGTTGCACGTAGGTCCACATCAAGACATTGAGCGAGATCGGGAGGGCTCGTACAGCGAGTCGCCCCGGTGCTACAAGCGCAGAGTACACGAGGAGACGAATTGATCCCTGCGATATCCGATTCAGAGTAGATTCATCGCAAAACACTCCCTCCTTCAATCCTGGCACGTTACAACAGCACATTTAGAAATGATGATAAGCAGGGCCTTTGATAAGCTTATCGTGGGACTTGCAGTTGCAGCCCTAACCCTGATTCTCCAATAATGAAGCAGTTCAACCTCACCTCCAACTTAGGTAGCACTGAGAAGGAAGATCGCAGCCAAAGTATGTGGGTAAAAATTACGGAGAGACAGCAAGGGCAAAAAGCTAGCCGGCTAGATCGTTGGGGCGTGGTACCTAGGGAGCGGGCACCTACTGGGTAGGTGGCGGCTGGGCTAGGACGCGGTTCCCAGGCTGTAGTCGGTTACGAAAAACCCGAAGATTTTTACTACATCTGTAACGCTCAAGGCTCGTACGCGCAGACTTCCGGCGATCAGGCGGAACGCACTTTACTTGCCGAACTGGACAGGGGCCGTGGCCCTTCTCCCCATACCACTCGACCACGCAGGGAACTGTGGGTGAGGGGTGAGGGCCGTTGACGATCTGAGGTGCGGAACTTCTATATATACCGTGGCCTGTTCAGTGACCGGGTCGCACCAAATCCCGATCCTCTTGCTCCAATCCCCTGCCCAGCACCCGATACCCAACATGTAACATGGAAATAATGTGATATTTCCTAAAACACATCAGCGCCGGCTAACCAGTACATGGCTTGTCGTAAAGTGACAACAACAACATCTCGACTGATTGACCCGACCCCGATGAGGACATGTATCTGTATTAACCTAGCCCTTCAGCAACCCGTTTTAAAAGTGGTTGATAACACCCAGGAAGCATATCAGATTGAAGAAGTCCCGAAGGACCCTTCAGCGTAGGCACAGTTAACGCATTCGCGCCAGACCACGACGGGAGCAAGGCAAGACGCCAAATTCCCAGGGCGGCAACGAAGCTTCATCTCTGCACACAGACTAGTCGGCACGGCACGGAGGCGGAGCTGTGACAACTTAAGAGTGTGCAGTGCGGGTGGGATAGGGGAGTAGGGACAGAGGAGCACTCCACTCACGGCAACATCGAGTCGATATGGATATGGATATGATCGCTATTGGTACACTGTGAACGCGCATCGCTCACACTACCTATCCTTCCTCGACTCTTGAGGACCGGCTCCGGCATCCGGGATGTCGTCCTCTTCGTCGTCATCCGGAGTGTCCTCCTGGACATCGACAACACGATCACTCGCCATCTCGAGAGTTTTGGCGGTGAGGTGGTTGACAAACTTCCAAGTCGCCTATCACCCGAGTTAGTTCGCCGTCAATGTTCTGTAAACGGAGCTGTGCTTACCCCTAGGAATGTGATCACCCCAATGACAACAAGCGCCCAGTTAACCTGCTCCATCCTATCCCTCCCTGTGCCACGCCTGCGGCCGCGCCCACCAACCCGGATGTTGAACCAATTCCAGGGCGACATGACGAACATCGTCTTGAGGAAGCCGAGAAGCCCTAGAGAAAGGAACCCCTTCATGAAATGAGCCGACCATCCCGCTTCATCGTCGACCACAATCGGCTCGTCAAACTTGAGGCCCGTGAGAAGGGTCTCTGCCACGGTGCCAAACGGGTCAACCCAGAAGTTGATGATGGGATCTGCAATGAACCCGAGAACGAAAATGGTGGCCACCATGATGAAGAAGGTCAGAATGCCCCTGAGCAGCTTGCTCGAAATCCACCGGCCCCAGCGCAGGCGCTGAAGCCTGTACTCGAAGTGGCAGGTAGGGCAACGCCAGTAGTTCCGGTCCGACAATGGCGCCGCATTCCTCCATGCCCGGAGACATCCTTCATGGACGTATCTCTGGGAGCCCTTGCATTTGCAGGGGCTGATCAGCCGGCCAAGCTCCGGGTCCTCGGACACGTAGTACACGCGAGCCTTGGAAGAGAAGAGCCGGCCGGCAAGCGAATCGTCCAGCTCAGTGGTGGGATTGACAACCTCCAGGCAGATGCGGCACGTTCGTGGCTTGTAATGCCGCTGCCGTTGTGTAGGCGTGGGTCCCTGGGACGAAGCTTCCGAGGTGCTGGCAGCGTCGCGTGGTTGTTGGCCGCCACTCCTATCGCCGTCATTCTGCGAATCCATCCCCGAGGGGAAAGCCCATTGTGACTGAAAAGAGCCGGAGGCCATATTGCAGGTGAAACTGCGTTGAGTGTGATGAGATCAAGACATGCCGTCGAACAAAATGGCAGGAGCTAAGTTCCTAACAATGAAAGCTTGGGACATCGAACGTCACCGAAGGGACAAGTGTTCCAAGCCACGCCAACCGGTTCGGGCAATCGGATCTACCGTGAGCCGCCTAGGCATCCTCATCGTTCACGGTTTCTCACCAAGGATGTTCATACCTACCGCCATAAGACAAGTCAAGGATAAATCGGGAAAGCCTGCATCACAGAACAGTCGGAGAGAGATCTTGCGCAAGACTTGATGGGGCCTCGAGAGCGGGTGACTTTTTTTCTTCTCAAGGCCGCTTTCCCTTTGCAGTTAGGCCGGCGGTGGAGCAGACCCTAGCAGTCACGCTCCACAGCAGCTGGCAGCAAGCCAATCAGTAGCTCCGACCCGCCGCCGCCTTGCTGGCCCAAGCTCTCAGGCTGAGGTGCCGCCCATCGACGCGCAACATCGCTGTGCCTGGGGCGGTCGCTGCGAATACTAGCAACAGCCTTGACCTTCGCGACGTAGACTGGGGAACATTCCACGATTCGAAGAGGGACTTCATCTACGTTGGTAAATCTGTTTGACTTTACAAACCGGCACAATGGCGGATAGATACTCGTTCTCTCTCACAACATTCTCGCCCAGGTAATTACATCTCCCATGCTCCAGGTGTAAAACGATGAAGCTAACAGCCCGGCAGCGGCAAGCTGGTTCAGATCGGTCAGTCCCCCATCACCAGCGGGACAGCCCGCGACGACTCGCACCCACCCATGCGGAGGATTTCATTCTAAACAGTCCTAACAGAATATGCCCTCAACGCCGTCAACCAAGGCGTAACAGCGCTAGGCATCAAGGGTTCGTCTTCCTCCCCTCCCTCTTCCTCCCCAACTATCCATCACCACCACCACCGACAACTAACCTCACCCTCCTCACTCGGGGAACAACAGCGACAAATGGCATCGTCCTGGCCACGGAAAAGAAATCGTCGTCCCCGCTCGCCGACCCGTCGTCGCTGTCCAAGATCAGCCTCATCACGCCCAACATCGGCATGGTGTACAGCGGCATGGGGCCCGACTACCGCGTGCTGGTGGACCGGGCGCGCAAGGTGTCTCACACGGGCTACAAGCGCATCTACAACGAGTACCCGCCGACGCGGATCCTGGTGCAGGACGTGGCGCGCGTCATGCAGGAGGCGACCCAGTCCGGCGGCGTGCGCCCCTACGGCGTGAGCCTGCTGATCGCCGGGTGGGACGAGGGCATCCTGCCGGAGGAGGACGACCCGGAGCTGCAGAGCAAGGAGGAAGGGGAGGGCGAGGAGAAGAAGAAGAAGGTGGGCGGCAAGACGGGCGGGATCCTGAAGGGCGGTCCCATGCTCTACCAGGTCGACCCGAGCGGGAGTTATTTCCCGTGGAAGGCGACGGCGATCGGGAAGAGCGCGACGACGGCCAAGACGTTCCTGGAGAAGCGGTACACGGAGGGACTGGAGCTGGAGGATGCGGTGCATATCGCGCTGCTGACGCTCAAGGAGACGATTGAGGGGGAGATGAACGGGGAGACGATTGAGATTGGTTGGTTCTCTTTGCTCTTTTCTCTTCTTCCTTCTTCTTCTCTCAGATACTTGCTGCTCTTCTCTGGCTTTGGAGTGCGCTAACTCTTTCCAGGCATTGTTGGACCCCCTGCAGACCACCTTCTTGGCGTCGAGGGCGTCGAGGGTGCAGTGGGACCCCGGTTCCGGAAGCTCACGCCGCAAGAGATCGAGGACTACCTTACGAATCTATGATTTCTGAGAAGACGGCGTTGGGATGGCATCGAAGGGAATGATCATGGGAAGCGCTTCTTGGTGGGGTTGAGGTTCCTCTCTCGGCAGGCAAACTTTCATTGTACACTAGACGGGGCAGGAACACGAAAGGGGCGATAGAAGATCGGCCGCGCGGACTGGGGTAAACCCCTCCCTTTTTGCTCCCTAGTCGAGCTGTTTCCGAACGATCAAGAAGGAGTTTCTCGGCCCGGCTACCACCCCCGTGACAACACCGTCTTCCGCCGCCAGTACAGATCCCAAGTCGACTCGCGCCCAGGTGCTAGTTGATCTCACTTCTAACAGGCCCAGCTGCCCGCTGGCGTTGTCCCCGGTCACGTATACCTCCCTGTCGGCGGTCAGCACGAGCATGTGCGCGCCGCCAACCGCCACGTTGACGATGTCCCTGTCGTCTATGACCACCGGACCCGGGGTGTCTGGCAGGTCCTGGAGGAGCATGGGCGACCGCCCTGCATGGCCCCAGCAGTAGAGGTCGTTCCCTGCTGTGAGGGCGGCCAGGACGTAGCCGCCTGCTGCCAGTTTGGTTATGGGTCCCGTGGGGAGGTCCTCTAGGTCGGTGACCAGGCCGGGGGTGTCTGCGGGACTACACATTTCTCGTCGAAGGGGGGAAGTTAGTTAGTTGTTGTTGTCCCCACGAGACTGTTAAGTATTTGACACTGGGTGGCAGTCTATCGTTGTATTGTACAGTACCTGTCGTCAGATGGCTCCCTGCCGAGGCAGGCTGCGTAGCGCTCATCGCCCCATGTCCAGACTTGGCCTGTAGATGAGAGGGCCGCGAAGCCCGTTTCGTACGCGACGAGTTGGGCTATGTCGGGGAAGTTGGGGAAGGTGTGGGAAGGGTTGTTGAGGAGGAGGTTGTTTATGGATGCATATTGGTAGAGGGTTTCGTTGTCGTGGACTGCCCGGGGTATGGTGGTGTAAGTGCATGTAAAAGGGGGTTGAATGGTCGGCGGCTTACCTACGACGACACCGTTGGATGCTTCAACGAAGCTTCCATAGGCCTTTTCGTTGGTGCCGCGTAAGGTCTCATGGTCTTTTGGCACCATGCCGGCTACACGGCATTCGCCATTTTCTGAGGTTACTGCACTTCCATGTAAGCCATCGACACGATTGCACGATCAGTGAAGCATATCATCTCACTTCGGGTCTTGCAGCACCGTGACTGACTCACCTCGAGTGTAAGAGAAGAATGGACGGACACTCTCAATGGCGTCATCCCGCGACACGCAAGTGAAGGATGAAATGTCATCTGGCTCTTCGGGATTTTCATCCCCATCAACCTGCAACTGGTTCCAGGCATTGAAGCCGGTTGCGTATAACACCATGGCCGTTGCGAGAGGCTTCTCCCCTTCCGTCCAAGTGCTAACGTCAACCCGCAACGGCAACGTTGCTTAAAACCCAAAGAAAAACTTAAAAAGGATGACTCCTCCTTTCTGACATGAGCCTGAATAGGAAGGTGCTGAAGGGGACGGTGACGAGTCACTGGAGATGGTCTGGCCCGGCTCCGCACGAGGTGCTGCAGGCAAGTCTTGGCCGGGACCGAAAGCGCCGTAACACCACTCAGTAACCCCGCGCCCAGCACCGAAGCCCGGCGGAGTCTCCGACTCTCCGGGCGGGACTTAAACAAACATGGAATACGTCACGAGGTTCGGAAAAGGACTCTGCAGCATGATGCGTAGCACGGGTTTCCACGCCATCGTTGACTGATGAATAAGGTACTCACTTTTCAGTTGCACGCTATGGAGGCATGGGCGCATGGCACAACCACAAGAAGCTGAGAGCCTATGCGAGGCCGGGCTACAGCGAGTGGTAGCCATTATGTGTCTCAGGAAGTAGTGGGCCTCCTTGCATCTGGCCGCTGCTTGAGGCTTCACTGAGGCACACCTGTGAGCCTCGACCGACTGGACTGTTCATACTATCCATTTTCTCTGAATCTAATTGATGTTAACCCAGTGGGCGAGAGGTGCAAGTGCAACAACTGGATATATGCTGGCCTCCGCAGCGAAGCGTCCAATGCCCCGAATGCTTTTCGTCATTCATCATCCCCCATCTGCAGTCTCTACCAAATCACCGTCAGGCAGGATCGAGCCGCGTCATAGTTACTGAAGAGCTATACTGTCAAGAGTCGAGTCATTGTTGACACACCCCACACCCGTACGAGGGCCTAGCCACGCAACCTTCGTCGTGGCCTCGCTGACATCTGGTTTTTTCCCTCGACCATGGCTGACCGGATGACGACGATGGCGCCCGATTACGGCAGCTCGAGCTCGTCGGAGCTGGAGGACGAGCCACCGGGGACCGCATCACTTCCGTCCGACTTAAGCGCTCATGAAGCCATAGATGAATCAGACACCGCCCACTCGTCCGGCAGCGATCAGGGCTCGTCGGACGTCAAATTCGGGACCGTTACCAACACGTACAGCACCACCCCAGAGCAAGAAACCCCGACGATAATAACCATGACGGCGAGGGCGTACCAGCTTGAGATGCTCGAGGAGAGCCTGAAGCAGAATATTATCGTCGCGGTATGCTGGACTTCGAGCCCGAGGTAGACGTATCCGCTGATTCATGGACCGAAGATGGATACGGGGAGTGGAAAGACCCAAGTGTAAGTTCTCTAACGAGAAGTCTCTACTAGCAACAAGGGCCCTGCTGATGGATGATCCTAGTGCTATCCTTCGTATCAAGATAGAGCTTGAGCGGAATGAGAAGGTCGGTCATGACGACTGTCAAACGTACAGTTTCCCCGGCGGACGGACGGACGGACTAACACGGTTCCCAGATTGCTTGGTTCTTGGCCCACACCGTGGCTCTCGCTGAGCAACAGTTCGAAGCGATCCGAGCGCAGACTCCGGGCGTTCAGTCCAAGCTGATTGTTGGGTCCGACAACGTCGAAGCGTGGTCGACCCAGGCCGTGTGGGACGCGGTGCTCTTCAACACGCGCATCGTCGTGTCCACTTACCAGATCCTGTTCGACGCCGTATCGCACGCCTTTGTGCCGCTCTCGTCTCTCTGTCTGATTGTGGTCGACGAAGGTGTGCAACTCTTCTTTACCCTACTCCAACAGCCCAAATGTCTCGCTGCTGACGCCAAAGGGGGGTATAGTGCATAATGCCCGCAAAGAGAATGCTGTGGCGAGGCTGATGAGGGAGCACTACTCCCCCCGCAAGGCCAAAGGTCTCCCGGTTCCACAGATCCTGGGACTCACTGCGAGCCCCCTGGTCAGGTCTGACCTGCACGAGCTCGAAGAACTGGAGCGGACCATGGACGCCGTCTGCAAGACACCGAGCAAGCACCGGGACGAGCTGATGGCGCAAGTCAACCGGCCGCAGCTGGTGACCGTCCCGTACGGCGACATAGCCAACCCCGAGGGCGCTGACCAGACCACCCTGAACCTGGCCAGATTCAAAACGGCCTTCCAGGCGCTCGAAATCGCACGCGACCCGTACATCTTGCACCTGGCGGCCAACAACACGGCCCGGAACCAGGCAAAGCTTGTCGAGGCGATTAATACGAGAAGGACTTACTGCCAGGGGCAGATGAAGTCCTTCTACAACAGGGCCTCCGATATGTGCGAGACCCTGGGACCATGGGCCGCGGATTACTATATCCACAGGGTCATCTCTGCCTTTCTCCAGGATCGGGGGAATGCTAGTACTACTACGAACCAGCCCAACGACAACTTGGCGGACCGAGAACGGCGGTATCTCGCCGAGGCCTTCACGAGCGTAAATGCACAGCCGCCGCCCGAGACGCCGGCCGGTCTCTCGCCCAAGGTCAGAGCTTTGCTCAACATCCTCGAGTCGTACCAGGGGAACCCCGTCGGGATCGTCTTCGTCCGAGAGCGAGCGACCGTCGCCGTGCTGGCCCATATCCTGTCCGTCCATCCGCAGACACGGAGCCGCTACCGGGTCGGGTCGATGGTTGGCACGTCCAGAATGCCGGCGAGGGGCCGGGATTTCCTGGACCTGACGCACAAGGACTATCTGCTCTCGCTGCACGCGTTCCGGAAGGGGACCACGAACCTGGTGGTGGCGACGAGCGTGCTGGAGGAGGGCATCGACGTGCCGGCGTGCAACCTGGTCGTCTGCTTCGACGAACCGAAGAGCCTGGGCTCCTTCATCCAGCGCCGCGGCCGAGCGCGCATGTCGGCGTCCCAGCTGTACATCCTCGTCGAAGACAGGTCGGACAGCGCGGCCCGCTCATGGGAAGACTTGGAGCGCGAGATGAAGCGCAAGTACGAAGACGACATGCGCGAGATCCCGGACCTGGAACAAATCGAGAACAGCGAGGTGCTGGATTACCCGCTGCTCCGCGACGCCGAAACCGGCGCGCAGCTCACCATCCACGACGCCAAGCAGCACCTCGAGCACTTCTGCGCCACGCTCTCGACGCGGAAGTTCGTCGACTGGAGCCCCTTCTACGTGGTCCACGACCTGGACGGGAACCCCGTGGACGCCCGCGAGCCGGGGCTGCGCAAGGCCACCGTCCACTTGCCCGTCTCGCTGGCGCCGGAGCTGCGCTGCTTCGAGAGCCTCTACGCGTGGCCGTCCGAGGCCAACGCGTGCAAGGACGCCGCCTTCCAGGCCTATGCCAAGCTCTACGAGGCTGGCCTGGTCAACCGCAACCTCCTGCCGATTCGGGAGAGCGACTTGGTGCGAGACGTCGAGCCGCGCGCCGGCCTGGCCACCGTCCGGGAGCAGTTCAACCCCTGGCCGCGGGTGGCGCAGGCGTGGAGGGACGGGGCCGCGACCTCGAGCAGGAGGCTGACGGTGCTGAGCCGCGAAACGTCGGTCCGCGCCGAGTTCGAGCTGGTGCTGCCCGTGCCGGTGCCGTACATGGAGCCCTTCGATCTGCACTGGGACTACAGCTCGTCGTGGCGGGTCCAGATGGATCCGGACGAGGTCATGTCAGGGGTCGAGGGAACAGTCAGCAGCCGAGCGGACCACACATCTGCGCTACTTGCGATGGCGTTCGGCCACCGCTGGCGGATCCAGGAGAAGCAGTATCCCGTCCGTCTGGCCTGCCTGGAGGGGGATCTGAGTCTCGATGGCCTGGGTGCACAAGACATCAGCGCCGAGCTGATGAGCAAGGCGGGTTCGACCTACCTAATCCGAGATGTCGCAAACCAGAACCATCCGTACTTCTACCTGGACTGGCTGCCGTCCAAGCCCGCGGCGGATCTGGTCGGAAAGCCTTATCAGGGCTTCGACGAGGCGCCCGAGGACATCCCCTATGTCGCGGTCAAGAGCTGGCCCAAAAAGGCTGGCGGATTCCGGCCGTTCCACCCCAACGCCGCCCCGGTCCCCAGCAGCAAGCCATACCCCCGCGTCCTGCCGGCAAGCCAGCTGCGGGTCGACAGCGTCCCTGCGGTGTATGCACATGCCGGCATGCTCATCCCCGCCATCACGCATGCGCTCGAGGTCCACCTCGTGGCCCAGGACCTCCTGGAGTCCCGCTTGCAACAGACGGGCATCACCGACCTGTCGCTCGTGGTCATGGCCGTCAGCACGAGCGGGTCGCGAGGACCGACCGACTACGAGCGAATAGAGTTCCTCGGAGATTCGATCCTCAAGTTCTGCACCACCATCAACTGTTCTGCCAAGTGTACGCACCTCCTTGTCTTTTTTCTGTTTTTCTCTTTGTTCTTCTTTTCTTGTCTTTTCTTTTCTTTTCTTTTTTTTTTTTTTTTTTTTTTTTTTTTTTTTTTTTTTTTTTTTTTTTAGCTCTCCCTGGGGTTTTGCCTTCGTATCGCAACTGACACATTGTGCCTGTGGTCCCAGACCTAAAATTCCCCGAGGGTTATCTGTCGCCCCTGAAGGACAAGATCGTGGCCAACTCGCGTCTGTTCCGCGCCGCCGTCGACTTCGGCCTGGACCGCTACATCTGCCACAAGGCCTTCACCCTGCACAAATGGCGGCCCACCTACGTTGAGGACCTGCTCGAGCACCCGCCGTCGTCCGCGACCGACACGCGGAAGTTGTCGACCAAGATCCTGGCCGACGTGGTCGAGGCGCTCATCGCGGCCTCGTACCTCAGCGGCGGCATCCCCCGAGCGCTCGCGTGCATGTCGCTGTTCTTGCCCGACTTCGAGTGGAAGAGCATCGAGCACGGCCGCGAGGTCTTGTATAACAAAGCTCCTGCCGACGAGCCCCTTCCGGTGACGATGCAGCCCCTGGAGTCTCTGATCGGGTACACCTTCACCAAGAAATCCCTCCTCGCCGAGGCAATGACCCACCCCTCCTGCACGGGGCCGGGCATCCGCGCGTCGCTCGACCGCCTCGAGTTCCTGGGGGACGCCATACTGGATTACATCGTGGTCACCAGACTCTTCAGCTACCATGCAGCCGCAAAACTGGAGAACTCCACCCTGCACCTGTTGCGCACCGCGCTGGTCAACGCCGACATCCTCGCCTTCTTGGTCATGGAATGGAGCATACCACTAGAAAGGGTCGATGTGGAAGACGACCCCATGGAGTTGGACTCGAACTCGAAGTCTATCTCCGACACTCTCACCCTGAAGAAATCTCAGACCAGCCTCCCGCTCTGGTCCTTCATGCGCCATGCCTCGCCCGACATGGGCGCCATCCAGCGCGCCACGTCCCTCCGACACGCCGCCATGCGCCAGCAGATCGCCGACGCGCTCTGGGGGGGTAAACGGGGGCGCGACGACGACAAGCGATACCCCTGGTCGCTGCTCTGTCGGCTGCAGGCGCAGAAGTTCTACTCGGACGTGCTGGAGGCCTTGCTGGGCGCCGTGTGGGTCGATTCAGGCTCCATCCAAGCCTGCGAGGCGATCGTCGAGAGACTGGGGATCTTCCCGCTGATGGACAGGTTGTTGAGGGATGAGGTCTGGCTGCTGCATCCTAAGGAGGAGCTGGGCCAGTTGGCCGGCAGGGAGAGGGTCGTGTACGAGGTCGAGGCTGTTGTGCAGCGTGATGATGGTGGTGATGATGATGGTGCTGATGGGCTTCTTGCGGGTGGTGATCATTATTATGGCGGGGATGGGACTGCGGAGAGGGTGCTGTTTGCGTGTAGCGTGTTTGTTGGGGGGGAGTGTGTTGGGACTGCGCAGAAAGGGGCGTATAGTAGGGAGGAGGCCCGGATTAGCGCTGCCGAGGTGGCGTGTCGCGTTTTGAAGGAGAGGATGAGTGAGGGGGAAAGCGGGGACGCGGATATATAGGGTACCAGGCAGGGAGAACGTGCTCTTTCTGTGTTGGCGTTGTTGTTTCTGTTGAAATTGAACTGTCCTATCCTGGTGTTGGATCAAAGGGGGGGATGGATAGACGTAGGGTTAGGGTCAAGATAGCACTTTCTATAACAAACCTGGTTGAGCACTCAAGCCTGCGGGTCCAATAAGCTCATTGGCGCCTCCATATGATCCGGGCGATCTAGGTGTCCACATTCCCACTGTGCAGCCGCTCCCTGGCCCATGAAAGCAACAGGGTTAGTAGTCAACGACAGCAACGACACCGGTACCGACCGCATCCTGCACCCACGCATCGCGCACGCCGTGCCGCAAGATGCTGCTTATCAGCAATGCTGCATCAAGCGGTCTGACGATTTTGGCGACCCATCTTCTTCTCCCCGAGGAGATCTAACACATTCCCGACCCCTCCAACTGTTGGCCAACCCTTAGATCCCCTTGGGAGCTCGCCATCGATCGCCTTTCCCTTGGCCCCAAAGAACGATGTCGCCAGACGGCCCCGGCAGCAGCAACATCCGCGTCTTTGTGCGCTGGCACGAGCAGGTCGTCTTTGCGGGCGAGGAGGTCAAATGCACAATCACCTTCAAGAACGTAACCCGCGGCCCGGCGCCGGCCACGCCAACCGCCCAGAAGCCGCCTTCGCTGTTCCCCCCGCCGCCGCCGTCGTCGTCGAGGCATGAGCGCGGTCCGCGGCAATCGTTGCCCTCGAGCTTGCACCCGGGGGTCGGCGTCTCGGGGCGCCCGAAATCCAACGCCGGCCTCGCGCCGCCCCCGAATGTCCGCGGTCACCGGTCGAGCCTCTCCCTCTCCGTCCCGTCCGCCGCGTCCCGCGCCCGAACCGGTTCGGTGTCCTCTTGGTCCCAGCCGCCTGCTGCTGGGGGTCGGTCACAGAGCAATGGTAATGGCAGCGGCAGTGGCACTGGAAGTGAGAGTGGAAACGGTAATGGAAATGGGAGCAGGAAAGGACATGGGCACAAGAGATCGGTATCCATTGTCTCGGTCGGCTCCTTGAGCACCGTCGACGACGTCCAGAGCAGCGCCTCGTCTCCCAGACCGCACCGGCCGAGGGGACATGCACGGGCATCGAGTCTGCAGATCCTGCCTCGTGGCGGTGGACTGTTCAACGGGCCACGATCTGCTACACACCCGAGGATCCCGAGTTCTCAGTCGTCGCCCCTCTTCCATGCGTCATACCCGCCTGATAGGAGCATCAATGGCCGCATGCCGGGCACCGTCACGGCGCCCGGTACACCGAGGGCCGAGTTCCCACGGCGGTCTCCCGCGACGCCAAGCCCGCTGGCTGAGTTCAGGTTCCCCATGTCATCACCTTCGCCATCGACACCCGCTATGGTCGGAGGATTGGCGGACGAGGACCCAACGAGCCCGACAACGGCGGAGCTACCTATACGGCCGAAGGATCCCGTGCCGATCATCAATGAGCAAGGGGTGGCGCCCTCGGCAAGAGTGCTCTCGACCATGAGCATAGCAGGGACGCCGAGGAGTAGTGGCGAGTTCTACTCGCTCAGCAACAACTCGTCCGAGACGCTTGCCTCGGAGTATGTGACGCAGCAGCCGCTGCGGACCCAAGTGCGCTCGCCCCACAGCAGGAGGGCGTCGAACTTCTCGTCGGGCTCAGCGCGGCCGCCCGAGTCGCTGATGATGGGCTATGCACAGATCCAGGGGTCCTTCACGTTGGACGGATCGCTCATCAACATTGGGCCGTTCGAGGCGGTCAAGCGCAAAGCCGTAGTCGGCGGCCAGGGAGGCGGCGTCATCGGCTTGGAGACGCCAAAACGCGACAGCGGCCTGCTGCGGAGCTTTGGATGGGGCAACATCACCAGCTCCATTGGCGAGCTCCTGGGCGGGGGCGAGCTCAGCAGCATCAAGGAGATGCGCGGGATTGCAAACTCGAGGTCGATTCCGCTGCTATCCACGCCGCAGTCGATCCTGTTTGTCGATCTGCAGCTGGGCCCCGGCGAGAGCAGGGCATTTGAGTACTCGTTCAAGCTGCCCAAGGGCCTACCACCGACACACCGCGGCAAGGCCATGAAGATATCCTACAGTCTGGTCATCGGCACACAGCGGCCGGGCGGCACCAAAGAGAAGCAGGTGAAGTCCGTGGACATCCCGTTCCGGGTGCTGGGGAGCGTCAATAGCCACGGCGAGATTCTAGGCCACGACCTGATGTCTCCGTACATCCTGCTGCGCGACCAGGCGCGCGTGCAGAGCGTCGACACAAAGACCCAGCAGAAGACCAATAGTAACAACATCAACAACAACAAACCCCCACCCTCTTCAACATCCGCGTCATCATCCTCGTCATCCACCATGGCCTCCTTTCTCTCCTACGTCGACGACCTTCTGTCTCAACCGCACCACCACAACAACACCAGCAGATCCCTCCTCAGTCCAAGCGCGACCACGCCGCTGACACCTCACTCGCCGTCCTCCTCGCGCCGCCCCTCCGTCCTCTCCCTAACCGACCACCCAGGGTCATCATCCCACTTATCCCCGCCCACCGCGAAGGAAGCGATCGACCTGGCCATCCTCCGCGCAAACCTCACCTCCCCCAACAACTCTCAGTCCCCCAACCGCTTCGAGATCGCCCGCAACGGCCGGCGCGTCGGGGTCGTCATGCTCACGCGGCCCGCCTACCGTCTAGGAGAGGCGGTGACGTGTGTCGTCGATTTCGCGGGGGCGCAAGTCCCCTGCTACGCGATCCACGCCGCGCTCGAGACGAGCGAGCGGGTCGATGCCAGCTTGGCGCTGAGGTCCGAGGCGAGCGTGCACCGCGTTACGAGGAAGGTGTGGGCGACGGGCAGCGAGGTGGTGTTATTCGGCAGGAGGTGGGTCTTCAGTCCCACCATCCCCGCGGGGGCTACGCCCGAGTTTGTGACCAGCGGGGTTGCGCTGGAGTGGAAGGTCAGGCTGGAGTTTGTTGTGCCTGTGCAACAGATGCAGACACAGACTCAGACTCAGGCGCTTGGGCAGGGGCAGGGACAATATCATGAAGGTGGGGAGGGAGGGGAGGGAGGGGAAGGGCAGGGGATGCTTGAGGATGAGGAGAGGGATGGGGGGCCCGCTCAGGGGAGGAGGATGTCTAAGATGTTATCGTCCCCTAGTGGTGGTGGTGGTGAGCATCCGCTGCTGGAGGAGATTTCGAGGGATGAGCGCGGCGGGCTGGTCCTGGTGGGCGTGGAGAACCTGATGTGTGAGAGCTTCGAGGTGGCGGTGCCGTTGCGCGTGTACGGGGCCGCGTGTAATGGGCTGGAGCGGCTGGAGCGGGATGAGGCGATGGAGGAGGGCTTGCCTGTGTGAGTGTGAGGGGGCCTAGTAAAGGTAGGGAGCGTGTTGGATATTTAAGTACCCTAGGTAAGGGTTGTTGTTGTTGGTGTTGTAGGGAGTTTGAGGGTAGGCTCACTGGCGGACTTTGATGGGTAGCTATGCCGCGGCTTGAATAGAGGAGTTGTGTTGCGATGGTATACGCAGTGGTATATGCCATGGCTTGGGCAGACCGTGATGGTAATGTGCGCTCGAAAGATCGCTGGTTGACTCTACTGTGAACGCTGCTCTGGTTAAGTACATATGTACACTGGCAATGTTAAGAGAAACCCCCAACGCCGGTTCGCCGAACGCCGTGTGCTCGGAGTCAATCTGGGTTGCGACCAAAATGATGGTACCGGATCGGTTGCGTCAGGCATCCAAGCAGCCCCAATTTCCAAGGCCGTCAGTCGATCCAAAAAAAAAAAAAGAAAAGAAAAAGAAAAAAAGAAAAAAAAAAGAAAAAAAAATTTAAAACAAAACCCAACGCTTATTATAGCTTCAGCACCCGCTCAGTTTCTCGTCCTGTTGATCTTGACCCACTCCTGTTGCTCCGAATCCCATCGATGTCTGTGTGTCACAACAATCAGTCAGTTTTCTTCCCCCCTTTTTTCACATAACACAAGAAAACAACAGAAAAGGAAAACAGAAAAACAAAAACTCACCCTTCCCACTCCGTCACAACCAGGCTCTTCGCCCCATACTCCTCGACCAGAATCCCCTCAAAATCCCACGGCACCAGCGCCGTGACCCCCTCAAACTCGGTCTCCCTCAACGGATACAGCTCCTCCCTCTTATACACGTGGTGATTCTTACAGCTCACCACCCCGGGCTCCCCCGCGGGATCCCGCTCCATCAGCGCGGTGATATCCACAAACATGCCCGTCTCGGTGTCGATCCAGCGCGCATCAATCACATTCATCCCGTTGCCCCTGTCGACTCTGGTGCTGAAGGGGTTGACATCCAGCAAATACGACCTGCTCCTCCTCTTCCCCTTTCCCCTTTCCCTTTCCCCCTCCCCCCCCTCCTCAACAACAACCCATTCGTACACCGTCTGGTTATACCGGCCCCCGAGTCCCCCCTCCGCCAGCAGCCGCATCGTCTCGCCGCTCACCTGGGCGTCCACGTCCCAGTCCCACGGCATGACGCGGCCGTTCCACCACCAGCCCAGCAGCGTGCCGTGCGCGAGCCACGTCTCGAGCCCCCGCGACGCGAACACGGACAGGTACGACCGGATCAGCTGCCGCAGCGCGGCCCGGTGCTCGGCGTAGGGCAGGGCGCCGTGGAAGAAGCGCCCGTCGTAGTGCGTCAGCTCGTAGCTGGCGCCGGCTTCGTGGAAGTATTTGTATTCTTTCTCTTCCTCCACCACTGCGGGTGCTGCTGCCGCGGCTGCTGCCTCGGCGGGGGTGGTCTTCTTCGGGGTGGAGAGTTTGGGGGTTGTTGGTGGTGGGACGTGGTTAAGAAGAAGAGAAGTTGTTGTTGGCACGGAGGCTGGGTCCGGGTTAGAGCCGTGGGGTGGTTGTTGTTGTTGTTGTTCTTGATTTTGTTGTTGTGGCCGTTGGGTCGACAAGAACGACGAGAGGGGCTGACCGCTACGGGCTACCGCCGCCGTGCTGATGATGGCCGAGAGGACCAGGAGTGTCGTGAGCACGAGGAGGAACTTCGGCTGGAAGAAGAGAGCCGGCGTTGGTCGCATGGCCGGTGCTGTCCGATGGCGTTGGGTAGGCCAGCTGGGATGAGATGGCTCGACTGTGTTGGTATAAGATAAGTAAACAAGGGGCGAGGCTCAACATATGCGGCTCTTCGAACGGATTATTCGTCCTGTAACTAATACTAGGTTGAGGAAAAAAAGTGCGGCGACACATCATGCCCGCCTATCCAAGCCAGGCGGCGATGGGCTGCTGATATGAGGCATTATAGGTAGAAGACACGGAATCAGGGGTCTGCCACTCTCATCTGAGGCCAACGCTAGCCAGCACTCATGAGTGTGAGCGTATGGGTTTGACATGGCCTTTCAGATTTCAAAGTTCAAACTGCCTCCGCATGCGGGTCAGCAGCCGCGTAACCTCCAGCTACCGACCAAGGGCGGATCGATGCGCCACTATCAGGCCTGGACTAATAAGCGTCTAACTGGTGCCGCCGTGGTCCAAGTCGTCGTGCCTGCCAGGGGTGGAAAGTGGACTGTCCGAGTCTGGTAAGAGCGAATGGGAAAAGCACATGAGACCAGCTTCCATCTTCGTCTGGAATTATCCCGAGATGGAAATGGGTCTACAAGGCGGACTTATAAACCTGATGGTCCTGGAACCCATCAGCCTTTCTAGCAGCGATATGCTACTCCATGGTCTCGCCATCTTTTTCCCTGGGAGGCACAAAGCATCCATCTGATTCCCACATCATGATCCAGGCAATCAGGTATGATATTTCTTCGGTTTCTCATTGGACCATTTCAATCCAACTCGAAGTTATGCGCCAGATAACAGAGCAGATTATCATGCATCAGGGATGGCCGCATGAGTGATAGCCTTCGATGGTGGTGGCGGAAATTCCCTGAGCACGCGACTCATTACCGAAGCCGCTCCCACATCCATTAATACTCCCTTCCCTGATCCCTCCCAGTGCGGCTCCCGGACTGCTCACGGCCTGGTCTCCTGGCGGGTATCCGTCCAGACGTCACCAATCCGCCGTCCCCACTACCCGGTCTCGGAGCTAGAGCCTCATTTCTCCATAGCGCCGCTTGCGGATTGCGTAAGCCTTCAGCAATCTCTAGCTTTGAAAAAGAGAAAAAATCAAAAATTTGCCGGGTGCTTTTCATGACACTGGGGGGCATTTGAAAAACGATGATCCGAGTGAAGGGTCGAGGGAGGGTTTACCCCTGAGCTACCGCCCACCGGCCCGACATGTTGCAGAGCTTACGTGGTTGAGGTTTTTAAAGGAAAATTGATACGTGCTGTCGAGGTACGTTTGAAAACGGCCTCGACTGGTCGCCAACACGGTTAAGTGGGAGATGTGTGTGGTGTTATACACTAGTTAGATCTCCAAGACTGTATGTTACTAGTACTAGTAAAGATGAATCTAAGATGCCAAGAGACTACGCCAAGCCGGGCCAGTCCTCGCCAAGAATGCTTGCTCTTATAAGTTCCACTAGGATCAATGTCACGTTCATAGCAAACGGGCCGTAGGGAACAGTATAGAGTTATGTAGTAGTATAGTACCGCCACGAAGTTACAAGTCAAAACAAAACGCGGTATAGAAGATTATTACGCACGTAGCATGCGACCCGATCCTCCTACCACAATCGTTCAAACTATCCGTATTTCTCCTCCAGTAGATGTTTGAGATCCGATCGAGGAAAGACCGCGACACACTACCTAGCAGTTGGGTGATCTCCGCATCCCGCCCACATCCCGTTCCTGCGGCCACGCATCCCATGCCCATCCCATTCACCACCTCCTTCCACCACCCAGCAACCCGGACAGCCCAGACCCTGTTGGCGGCCCAGGAGGGGCGCGCTTCAGCGTCGAAAACGGGCTGACGCTCGTCCCATCCCTCATCCACCTCTCCAGCGTCGGCGTCGGCGTCGGCGTCGCTGCCCCATTTGACACCACCCTGGGTTCCCTGCCCTCCCCCAATTGCCCCACCCGGGTCCCGCTAGCTGACGACGACTCTTTCTCTGGTCCGGGAGGGGAGGAACTATCTTCACCAGCGCTGGTGCCGGTGCTGGTGCTGGTGCTGGTGGCATTTCCGAGATTATTCCCAGCATCCATAGTACTGGCGACTGTTCGCGAGGGAAACAGAGCGAATTTCCCTCCACCTGCGCCTGCCCCCGTGTCTGTGCCTGTGTCTGCGGCACGGGGAGGGGGCGGGTTGCCCAGATGGAACGACGGATGTCTTTGGTTGGTGCGCGGGCTGTAATAGCTGACTGCGTAGCCCACGCCTACGCAGGAACCGGGCTTCTTCCGTGGTGGTATTGTTATTGTGTTGACTCTTGCCGGTAATGGTCGCTGGATGTCGTTGTTGCTAGTGCCCACCGGAAACTTGAACCCGTTGTTGTCCTCGTCGGTGCTATAGGTGCTACTGCTTCCGTCGTCGTCGCTCGTGACGGCGTAGCCTTTCTTGAGGGATGCGACCGAATAGGCCTTGTTGGAGGTGCTGGAAAGCTGTGGGTATCCGGTGTTTGCGTTAGGACCATCATTGCGCTGCTGCCGGCGCTTCCTGCGGCGGTGACGGAGGACGAGGACGAATCCGACGCCGGTCAGCAGTGAGGATCCGATGATGCCTCCAACCACCGCAAGAGCGGTCTGCGTTACCGTGAGCGCCGCCCCCTGGGCCTGCTGGATTTGGCTGTTGGCTTCGTTCTGGGGCTGGGTGAGCAAATCTTATATGATCAACTGACAACTAGATTCCGGATCAGACCTACCCTAAGCGCCGTCGCGTCCGCCTGCGCCTTCTGTGCCACGCTTGCAGCCGACCTCATCGCATCTGATACGCTCTGGCTGGCCAGCCTGAGCGCACTCGAGAAGCTGGCGCCCATCGAGCTGGTGATGCTTGCCATGTTGCTGGATAGCGCACGGCTAGCGCTCTGCGAGGCCGATTGCATCACTTGGGAGATGGCACGATCGGCGCTCGCGCTGGCCTCCTCCGCGCGCCGTGACGCATCTGCCGATGCTTGTGACATGGACCGCGATGCCGACTCGGCCGCGCTCTGCTGCAGTCGGGCACTTGCCAGGGACTGCTGGGTCTGACTGAGCTGCTGTGTCGCTTGCTGGAGTGACTGGCTCAGCTGTTGGCTCGACTGGCTGACGGACCGGGATTGTTCGCTGAGTTGTTGTAGCTGGTTGCTGAGCGCTTGGATCTGTCCCTGGTCCTGCCGACCGAGAAGCGAAGGGGCGGGCGTGATCATGGCCCGGCACCCGTCCCGGGCGGCGTGGGCCGGCTCGGCGGACGGCGACGGGGGATAAAGGTCATCCGCTTCACCGGCTATCCTTCTCCATGCCGGTTCGGCCCCTGCCGCTCCTCCGACCTGTCCCCTCCGCTCAACCGGGCCCGTCCATAGCTTGTGTGCAGCCGCTCCATTGCCCACCCAAGCACAGCTTGAGCATATCAAAAACAGAAGAGAAAGGCGCGCAAATATGCACGGCTTCTTGCCCATCATATGGCAAGTACAAAAAAGCAGGCGAATCAAAGCAACAGGTATCACCGCCAGCGGCAAAATCGAAGCAGAGCAGCAAGAGCAGCGGCAGGTCTGGCGATCATCCTTTCAGCCAGAAGGGGGGAGGGTGTGGATGGCGAATTAGCCAAAACGGGAGGAAAGTGAAGCAAGAGGGGACGTCAGAAACAAACCGAGGCGGGCAGCGGGAGGATAAAATGCGCAAGTGTTTGCATCGTACTTTTCCCGACCTGTCTTTCCCGGTCGTCTAGAGTTGATCCGGCCTACATGGCTGACCTTCATCCATCCCGGAAATAGCTTGCAACCGAGCAGCGATAGATGTCAAATATTGGCGTAAGGGGACGGGAAGATCAGGACGTGGCCTCCCCTTAGGCCATGCCACAAAAGCCTAGTTAGGGCACATCCTGTGACGCGCGAACCGAAGCAACAGCCCCGTCCTGCAAAATTCAGTGCCCTCCAGGGTCGTGAGTCTCGTGAACCGTGACAGGTGACGGCGGAGATGCTTGGGAAAGCGAGAGACCAGTTTGAGCGAAGGAAAGAGCACCCCGGTCCCCGGAGCCTGGTTGCAGATCGCACCGGAGCCCGCTTGCCCCGGAGCGCACGGACCGCCCCGTCACACCTTGATTCGGTCGGCCGGGGTTCTGAGACCGAATGGACGCGGGGGGTGCATTATCGTCGCTCAACTTCAGACTAGCGGCGTTTATGCTTTCCAGATCCTCTCAGCTTTGTTCAGACGGCTACCCAGTTGAAAAGATTTCTGGTTCTGTCCCTCTTCGCAGCTGTCTTTCGTGTCAGATCCACACTCCTTTCTGCTTCAAATACTACACAGCAGAACCTCGGGCAAGGGTCCGAGGTGTAACAAATGGAAGACCACTCAACTCACTTTTGCCGGCAGCCAGTGCATCCGAAGCCATATGCCAGGTACCAAAAAAGCCGTCCATCCATTTTTTTCACAGAAGTTGGTATGTCTATATACATTGGAGATGTTCCAACACGCCTACCCGACCCCTCCAAGTTCGACTGAAGAATACCAGTATCTCCGAAACGCCAGACACATGCACCTCCTATCATTTTCCCCCTCTCACAGCCCAGTTCTGACTGCGAACCGTGTTGTTGCCCTTTCAACCCGCCTCAGTCCAGACCAGCCTGGTGCCGCCGACCCAAACATCCCATCCACCCATGTTGTTCATCACACATTTCCTCACCCCACACCCAGCAACGGACCCCTGAACAGACAAGCGCAGGGGAATTGATTTCATAGCCGCCCGCCTCATCCTGAGCATTCCCGGCCTCCTCCCTCTCCCTTGAACTACAACAATAGCGATTCCCGCAGCTTCCCAAAACCACTGCCCTCTAAATTTAGACAGGCAACTTGAATTTCTCGCCCCTGATGACCACTTTCGTGTAATAGATCCAAAAGAAGTCGCTATACAGCACCGTCTGCAGCACGCCGGCCACCACAGCAATGGTGTCCAGCTTGCTCGGCCCCTCGGTCACATAGCGGTAGATCCAGTTGGGGATGTAGAGCGCGCGGTACGTGCCCAGCGCGAACAGGTAGTGGGCCGTGATGACCTCGGCCTCGCCCGTGCGCTGCAGCATGAACAGCTGGGGGAGGATGGCGACGCTCTCGAGCCAGATCGAGAAGGCCCAGAAGACCTCGAGCACCGTATACTTGACGGGGAACAAGAGGGCGAGCACGCCCGCGAACGCCAGCAGGTACTCCACCCGGAACGTGTCGAGGTTCGGGTCGTTGGTCGGGCGGTACTCGCGCGCCATCAGGTAAATGATGTAGCATTGCGACGAGATGAAGAGGACCTTGAAGATGAAGTTGTAAGGGGAATGGGTCCAGGGCAGGTCTTGAGGGAAAGACTGTTAGTTTCGCCGTTGCTAGCTAGTGGCACGGGTTGGCGAGGAGGGCAAGGGCGCATACCGAGATATCGTGTGACATAGACCATGAGGTACAGGACCTGCGATTTGAACGAGATGCCTGAGCAGCTCTGCGCGACTATCAGTTTATCTGCCATGGACCGGCCTCGGGACGGCAATGGTCGAGCGCACCTTGAGCTGTACAATTTTGTGCAGCAGAATGAAGATTGACGCCAGATGGGAAAAGTCCCCTATGGCAGTTGACGCATGTCAGTCCGATCCCTCCTTCGCGAAACCCCGCATCTCTGTTGTCCTCCAGGGGCACCCATACCGGCTACTCGAAAGAGGTTGAGGGGCATTTTGAGAGTTGTATCCCCGCCCGTTCAACCGAGGAAATATGGCCTTTTTCCTATATCGCAGGGTCGAAGCTGCTAGTGCAGCATCACCTACTGTCCGGTCTCAAAGCAGCCAGAGCTGGCAATTGCTACCGTTGACTGGGCGGGTGGTCGTCGCCGGGGACCTGGATGTTGGGTGTGGTGTACCAAGCAAGAACTGCGCCGCGGAACAGCTTCCAACAAAGCTGGTGTTGCTTCCTCAAAAAGGACACGAACGCGTTTCGGCTCGAGGAATTGCTGATCCTTGTCCACGGCACGGCAGTCGCAGTGATGCAAGCCAGTCTGCAAGCTGCAAGCAGCCAAGCAGTGACCCACAAGGCGCCGGCAGGCCAATCGTTGCTACAGTTTGAATGCATGCTGGTGGCTACAGCTGATCGAGGCTGATTAGGGTTAGGGTACGGTCTAGAAGGGGAGAGCAGAAACCCACAGCTAAATCACTTCAAGTTTGATAGAACACGAGGGAGATATGAAATAAGATTATGAGAAGGTAACTGAGGCGGAAAGCAGAACTTTCGAGGCCCCCCTCAATAGGAGTAGACGGGGCGAGCGGCATCCTTCAACACAGACAGCGTGAAGTTGTGAATTATTACTGCCGTGGTAGTAGCCTGCAATGATGCCCCAACTGGATGGGGTATTGGTTTGGGGCTCTAACGCCAGCTGAGATCCCGAAAATCTGCCTTGTGCAGCTGGGCAAGTGGTAGCACCTAGTTTGTTCATTGTGGCTGACTTCTGTCGCCTCCAAAGACCCATCCGGAACGCCCAGCCTGTCCCGGTAACGCATGGTCAACCTCACATGTCCATGCTCAGAAGATACATCTCAAATATCCTCATAAACTTAGCCACGAATGCCTCCAGGTGGAATATGACCTTCGTCCCAGTCTTGATTCGGTGTTCGAAGAATGCAGCCCACTTGACGACATCTGCCTTGAGAGCATCATCGATCAGAGGGATCAGCTTGAAAGTGAGCGTCCGCAAGATTGTCGTTGCTGGTATGCAGTGGGTTAAGAGATCGTAGAGTTTGGACCGGACCTGCAGAATCCGGGCTGGCGTGTGCTCCTCCATGATCTCCTTGGCGATCTGGCCAATGAGCGCCTCCCAGTCTGGCGGCGGTATGGGTGTGCTATCTGTCACTTTCTCACTGGCACACAAGTTAGCACCACGGCTGAGCGATTACTGTGTACGGCAGCTGCGCTCACTTCTGTGCGTGTACCGCCTCAAACATCAACAACGCCTTGCGCAGATTCCGCCCGCTCTCCACGGCAATCCTCCGGTGTAGGCCCTGCACCACAGGCCAGCCCTCCTTCTTTGCCGACGAGGCGAGCACGTCGCATATTTGTTCGTGTGTCGGCGCCGCAACCCGCACGAGTAGCGTGCGTGACCGGATAGGCGCGATGATATTCGCTGTGGAATTGGCGAGGAGAATCAAGCGGAGGTTGGGCGAATACTTCTCCATCGTCCGACGCAGGGCAGCCTGGGCATCCCGCGAGAGGTGGTCCGCCTCGTTGATGACCACGACCTTGAATTTCTGCTTCGCCGCCTGGTCGACCTGCTGTGTTTGTGCCACCTCTTTGAGGAGATCTTGGATCACCACTCTGTCGTAGTTGCCCACATCTGAAGGGGTGATTTCGAGGTGGTAGACGGAGGCGACGATGTTGAACTCGAGCTTGCGATTGCTGCTTGTCTGGAAGACGCGAGCATCGATCTTGATCTTCTCGACGCCTGGTCCATATAGTTCTTTTAAGGTCGCAACAATCCGCGTCTTTTTGCCGGCACCCGATGGGCCATACACGAGGAGGTGGGGGAAGTCGCCGCTTTGCGCCTGCATCAGCGTTAGCAGCAGCCTTGAAGGTTCACGAGTCAGCCATACTAATGAGCGCAGTCGCTCGGAGAGCTCCTCGTGATATGTGAGTGCATCCAGAGATCTGGGACGGTGCTTGTCCACAATTAATGCCATTGTGGTGGTGCGTTTGCTGCGAGTATGTTTAGTTTATGACTTGAAGACAGGAACCGAGAAGACGCGTCTGAGTGACGCGATTGCATGGACCTCGCCCAAAATCAATTAAGCGCGGGCGTGCACGGGCCACATCGCCGACAGGGGTCTCATGTGCTCTCATATCAAGGCTTATTTCTGTTGTTTATGGCATTTTGTTTTCCTTCTTGTTCTCGTTCCATTTTCTTCTCTTATTCCTCGTGGTTCACAATAGAATGCGGAGAATGCATCAATACGTCCTCAGACCAGACAGGCCACCCATCGTATGCTGCCCGATTCGACATCTGAACTGCCGGACGATGGCTTGGTTGAGACCAAGCTCACCCGACTCTCTCGCCATAGCTTTATAGACAGCGCCATAACAAGACACGGGAGAGCTCACCTTCCAGCCGATCGATAGTATGTTAGTCTACATATTAGACAATGAAGGTGTCAACATCAGCACTGCTCCCTATGAAGGAGGCGCTGAGCTAGACGGCGTCGAGGCAGGGGCTTCTGGTGCTGGGAGCTTCTTCCACGGCTTCTTTAGGTCCTCCAATGTGATTCCGTCCAGCTTCGTGATTCCCACAACAGGCGGATCGCCCTTTCTCACGAATTCCCATTGTCCTATGTACCAGTCAGCATCTTGGCCAACTACTGCAGCAAGAGAGGCAGTACCTGGCAGCTTGTTGCCCGCAAGCCGGAAGGCATCCCGGATGACTTGCTCGTGCAGCAACCCCCTAATCTCGAAAACGATCTGGTTGACAGCAATCCTGGCTGCCCAATGATCGAAAGAGCCCTTGCCTTTACCCATTCTCATCTTTGCGCCAAACCAGTTAGCCCAGCTGCCATATCACGTCCGCAGCTTGTATCCTGTAATCTCACCTCGTTGCCGCTGACGAACACACCAACGTTGCAAGCAACCCTCTTATACAGCCGGTACTTCTCGCCACGGAGGCGCTGCTTAATGGTGTCCTCGGCGAGCTTGAGCTGGGCAGCGCTGACTCGGCGGTGGTGGTCGCACATGCGCAGACCATAATCGCCCCAGACGACCGTCGTACCCTTGGTTGAACCCCCCGTAGGCACTCTGGGCCGCCCCTTCATCATCTTCTTCTTGCGCGGGAGGTCCGGCTCCAGCCATGTTCCCGCCCGGACCGCCGTCACCGAGAATAACCTGACATGTTGGGATGCACTGGCGGATGTGGTCGGCGGCGAACAACGGGAAGCGGCAGTCGAAGGGAGGGAAGCTCGGACGGGTGTTGCGGGCGATATCCTGAGTGCCTGGAAGGCACCGAGGAGCGCCGATGAAGCGGTTGGCCTCATGGCGGTCGAATTGGCTGGCTGGGCGGTCTTGATGGGTCTCGACGAGTTGTGGTTCCAGCGCCGAAAAAGACCCCGGACAAACCCGACTTGCGAACGCCGGGTAAATTTCGGGTATGCGCTAGGCTCAAATGTGTGCTAGTTAATGCAGCATGTCACGTTTTGGCGCGTCTCCGCTGGGTGCCAAGAATTGATTAAGACGAAACCCGCGTCGCCTTTCCAATGACATCGCGCGTCAGCGATCCGAAGTCTCACGACCAGCAATCCAGGCACCCGTAGCCTGCCTGGACCTCAACGCCAGTCCGGAACGAGGGAGGTTGCAGACTTCAAAGAAAGGTTACTTTGGGGTCACAATCTCCCCCTAAAGCTAGAACTACAACCTACTAAACGCTTGATCAACAATTCGTCGTTCTCGCCGCCGCCATGCCTGACATTCGGAATTTCTTCAGTGCCAAGGGCAGCGCGCCGCCTCCAAAGCCTGCACCCAAGAAAGAAGCTGAGGCAGCGAAAAAGCCCCGTGGTAGTGCGTGCCCCCAGATCTTGCATCATACGGCTCTTGACCTATCTCCTAACACGGCTCAAGAAGGGCGCAAGGTCATTGAGGACAGTGACGAGGATGAAGTTGTCGAGTAGGCCCGCACAATGGCTCTGTCCTGATTATACCGAACCTCTAACAGTCTGCTAGGACCAAGAAGCCAACCAGAACCACCCCGCGGAAGAAGGCGCCGTAAGTCCAGCGCTCTACTAGTACACAGCCTGTGTCACTGACCATGTTCAGTGCGCCGGCCGAGGTAAAAGGGGAAGAGACGACTGCTGCGAAGTATTTTGCATCGTCCAAACCGAAGTCTGAGACTACTCCAGCTACGCCCAAGGCCGTATCCAAGACACGTGCAACCCCCGGACCCGAGCTCCGTGTGAGCCCAAGGACCAAGCCTGCTGCACCGAAGCCGGCCCCAGAACCGGCCAAGACGACGCAAAATGGCCCCAAAAAGAAGCCCGTCACCGCATACAAGCAGCACGACCGGGATGATGACGATGCATTCCTAGATGATGATGAGGATGCCGGGGACGACGTCTTTACTGCCGACATCAAGGGACGCAACAAGAGGAAGAACGACGAGTATGTCGAAGAAGATAGTGATGAAGAGCTGCTCCCTAAGCCTAAGCGAGTGGCTTCCCGGGCCAGCAAGCCCGTCCAGGCCGAATCTGACGAGGATACCAAGCCCGCGAGGGGAGTCGGCAAGAAACCTGCACCGAGCAAAAAGCGCAAATCACCCGCGTCAGATAGCGAGGAGGAGGGCGAAGAGGATGTCAAGCCTGCGAAGAAGGCGGCCAAACCCCGCCCCCCAGGACCAAGAAGGAGGCCCCGGCCGAGCCCGACGATATCAAGGCCATCCTTGACAGCGTCCCTACGGTCGAGGCGCCTGAAGCTCCGCCAAAAGACCCCGACGCCAAGTTTGACTGGCGAAAGGCTGCCGCTGCGGGCGGCAACACTGGGCCGCCTCCCATGGCTGGCGCTGCGGAAATCCCAGAAGGCGCGGAGAACTGTCTAACGGGGAAGACATTCGTCTTCACGGGCCTCCTGAAGACAATCGGCCGAGAGGAGGCGCAAGCCCTTGTCAAACGGTACGGTGGCAAGGTTACCGGCGCCCCAAGCGGCAAGACGGACTTTGTTGTTCTTGGTGACGATGCCGGCCCCAGCAAGCTCAGGAAGATCAAGGAACATGGGATCAAGACTATCGATGAGGAGGGCCTTTTCTACCTCATCAAGACCATGCCAGCTCATGGCGGCAGCGGTCTTGGTGCGGAGAAGGCCAAGCAAAAGCAGCAGGAGGAAGAGAGGAAAGCCCGCGAGGAAGCCGCTCGCATGGAGAAGGAGGAGCAAGCCCGGAAGGCGGAAGCGGAGAAGGCTGCCAAGAGAGCCGCCGCTGCCCGTGGTGGGCCTGCTCCTGCTCCGTTACCGTCTCAGGTCCTCTCCCAGCTGTGGACAAGCAAATATGCTCCCACCCAACTCAGCCAGATCTGCGGGAACAAGGCACAGGTGGAACGTATCCAGTCGTGGCTCCGCAACTGGCCCAAATCTCGCAAGTATGACTTCCAGAAGAGGGGTGCGGATGGAATGGGCGGATATCGCGCGGTCATCATCTCGGGACCGCCGGGCATTGGGAAGACCACAGCAGCGCACCTGGCTGCCAAGCTGGAAGGGTACGATGTCATCGAGAGCAACGCGAGTGACACGCGGAGCAAGAAGCTTGTGGAGGACGGGGTCAGCGATGTGATGAACAATACGTCGCTGCTCGGCTATTTTGCAGGCGATGGCAAGAAGGTCGACGCCTCCAAGAAGAAGATCGTCCTTATCATGGACGAGGTCGACGGCATGTCAGCAGGTGACCGGGGCGGTGTTGGCGCGCTTGCCAAGTTCTGCAAGAAGACCGACGTTCCTCTCATCTTGATCTGCAACGAGCGCAGACTGCCCAAGATGAAGCCTTTCGACCACGTCGCTTTTGACATCAAGTTCCAGCGGCCCACTGTAGACCAGATCCGGTCGAGAATCATGACCATCTGCCACAGAGAAGGCATGAAAATGCCACCGCCGGTGGTCAACGCACTTATTGAGGGCAGTGGAAAGGACATCCGGCAAATCATCAACATGCTGTCGACCGCCAAGCTAGACCAGTCGACGATGGACTACGACCAGAGCAAGGCAATGACCAAGGCCTGGGAGAAGAACGTCGTGCTGAAGCCCTGGGATATCTGCCAGAAGATGATCGGGGGCGGCCTCTTCAGCCCGGCGAGCAAGTCGACGCTGAACGACAAGATTGAGCTCTACTTCCACGACCACGAGTTCAGCTTTTTGATGATCCAGGAGAACTATCTGCGGTCAAAGCCGGCGGTTCTGCACGGGAAGGGCTACCACCCCAGGGAGCTGAATCTCAAGTATCTGGAGCTGGTTGACCAGGCGGCTGAAAGTATCAGCGACGGAGACCTGGTCGACCGCATGATACATGGGCCGCAGCAGCACTGGAGCTTGATGCCCACGCACGCCGTCTTCAGCACCGTGAGGCCGTCGAGCTTCATCGCCGGTGCGTTTACAGAACAGCCGACGTTTACAACTTGGCTCGGCAACAATAGCAAGTACGGCAAGCTGAACCGCTTTGTGCGCGAGATCCACTCGCACATGCGTCTCAAATCGTCTGGCGACCACAACGAAGTCAGACAGCAGTATCTGCCTCTCCTCTGGCACCAGCTGATCAAGCGGCTGGAGATTGAGGGCAAGGAGGCGGTGCCGGATGTCATCGATCTCATGGACAGCTATTACCTCACTCGCGAGGACTTTGATTCGATCAAGGAACTCGGAGTGGGGCCCCAGTCGGAGGAGACGGTCAACCTCGAAACACAGACCAAGGCGACTTTTACTCGAATGTAAGTTATGCAGCGATGTGAGGGCGCCGATGAGCATAGCAAAGCTAATACGTCTTCCTAGGTACAATGCCGCATCTCATCCGGTGCCGTTCATGAAGGCGAGCAGCGTGATAGCGCCGCCGAAGCTCAGCAAGGATGTGCCAGACATTGAGGATGCGCTTGAGGAGGAAGACGAGAACGATGTTGTCGAGCCTGCTGACGCCGATGTGGACGAGGAGCTCGACCTCAAGGGAGACAAGTACATCAAGCAGCCCAAGGCTAAGAAGAAGACGGCCGCCAAGAAAACGGCCAAGGCTGATGAGGAGGACGACGATGTTGACGACGGTGACAAGCCGGCGAAGGCCAAGGGCAAGGGGGCCATCCGGGGCCGGGGCAGGGCAAAGAAAACGTAGTTGGGGATATACTCTCCATCTCTCCATTTTTGGGCTGGCGCGTATATTGACTAACTTGGGCGGCTGCAACCTATTAGCATACTATATTCAAGGGGCTAAGTACTCCCATTATTAGAAGGCGTCGCATCAGATTGCCTTAGCCGGGAGTCGCGAGTGATCATCAATGAAAATAGTTGGTGTCATTCCAACCACTTGAAGCTCCTCCTTACTCCCTCCCAGGTGACGGATTGAGCGTTCCGTCCTATCCCAAGGCACATCAGGACTTCCGTGAACTTGACCCTACCGAGGTACAATACGCCCTACTTGATGAGAGGTTATGAATCCCCTTATCGCGTTTTTGACGGGCGACTAAGCTGGAAAGTCGCATGCCGCGTGAAGAACGCATCTGGCTACTTGAAAAGGAGAGAGGGTCTTTTGGGACTATAAGGCTCGGTCCGATAGTACTATATCATATCAAATATACTTAAATATAACCAAACTAAATCCTTTAGTTCATACGAAGTGTTTACTATTGCTACCTCAACACCTAACTATTAGATAGGAAGTCCTTTTGTATATCCCCCCTCATCCCTCCCCCTTTTCTTCCAGCGATTGCATCGCATCTCCTTAGCTTGGGGTATCCCCTTCCCGAGGGCGAACCCAAAGCCACAACTGCGGCCTGCTCCGACAGAGAATCATATCTCGTCGCGGTGGTACATGTGTACAATACATACAAATAGTATCGCTATCTTATAACAAATCGAAATACCCCTCACGGCGCGAGATAGCCATGACTGTTTCCATGCCCGCGCCCCTGACTGGCTGACTGTCCGACAGATACCTCCCAACGCGCTATTCTACTTTCCTTTCTTTTAAAAATATCACATTACACCCCGACAACAAAACACCCACGCAACCCCCTTTTTTTTCGATTCCCCCCCGTTGCTTCACAAAAAAAACCCGCCATCTAGTCCGCCACCTGCTTAAAGTCGGTATGCACCCTGATACCATGTAAGGGAATCTCATCCCCGCTAAGCGACGAGTCGCCATCGCCCTTCTTCTTCCCCCCACCACCGCCCGTGACGGTATAGGCATACGAGTGATGATCGTGATCCGGCCGCAGGCGTGCGTCGGTATTACCACCACCACCCACCACTACCACCGCAGTCTCACCCGAGCCGTTGGGGCTGCCACGGCTGCTACCGTCCAGGATGTTGTCGTCCGACAGGCGGTAGAAGGTGCCCACGCTGCCCTTCTTGGTGGGCTTCTGGCCCGGGAGGCCGCCCCCTTCGGAGCGGGAGTTGGTTGCCTTGTGGTGGTTGGCAGATGAGAGATGGAGCTTGCTGGCGTTGGTGGAGGTGCCGTTGCCGGTGCCGCGGGCGGCGGTGCCGGACGAGCTGAGTAGAGAGCCCCGGATGCCGAGCTTGCGCCCCGCCATGGCCATGACGGGGCCGATGGTTGGCAGGTTGGCCGAGATGATGCCCGCCGACATCTCGATGGCCGTCCAGCCGACCGTCGGCGCCAGCGTGTAGGTCGGGTCGGCGGCACTGTAGGTGAAGAGTACCCGGAAGCGGTAGGCGGAGGCGAAGACGACGCTGGGTAGACACGACGTACGGGAATCAGCTTTATGATTATGGGGAGAAAGAGGGGAAGAAAAATGATGTTTTGTTGTTGTGCTCACTCACAAGAAACCTAGACAGAAGGCAATGGTCACACCGATCTTCTGTGCCTTCCGCAGCTGCAGCTTCCACACCTGGGGGATGGGCATGACGAGGATGGCCACATCCGTGGCGATGGTGGAGGCGGCGTTGGCAATCCACGTGCCGACCTGGTCGATGCAGTGGCCGGGCAGGTCGGTGTACCACAGCTTCTCGACGGGCACGCAGATGAAGATGAAGAGGAACATGATGGTGATGACCCAGGCGATGACGAAGCCGCCGATGCCGTAGGCCATCTTCTTGAAGAAGGGGAAGCGGAAGATGCGGTAGTACATGAGCAGGATGCTGATCTTGGTCCAGACGAGGTTATAGACGTAGAGGATCTCGGCCACGACCAGGTACTTGGCCGTCATGACGATCTGGTCGAATGGCACCTTGTCCGCGTGGATGCCCATGCCGGACGCGTACATGGCGAAGATGAAGCCGACCACGAGGAAGTTCCACAGCTGCGAGAAGATGATCATGTAGTCGTCCCACCAGAGCTGGTGCGCCTTGACGTGCCGGCTGACGAGCCGCAGGATGACCGTCACCACGCTCAGGCCCGTCACCGACACCACGACGGCCACCGTCCACGGCTGCAGGTTATCAGGGTCGTAGCCCGGGATTCCGGGGAGCGCCGAGGAGGCCATGGCGGCGTGAGGGAGAGAGCATGGAAGGGAGAGAGAGAGAGAAAAAGAAAAGAAAAAAAGCTCGAAAAAAAAGTCTCACGACGGGAGCCGCGAGCGAGCAGATGGGCTACGGATAGTAATAAGAAGAGACTTCACGCTTCGCAGACCTTCGACGGCCACGGAACAACGGACATCCATGGGGTTGATTTACATACAGAGCTCTGTCTTGGGCTTAAGCTATTTTCTTTGCTATTCTATTTTTCGACACCCTGTTAACTAGTTGTGGTATCTCGCCAGTCGCCACCACGGGCGGGTGGACCCCATCGTTGCGGTTCGGGCACAAGAGGCACGAAATAGGGGGGCACGTGGGGGAGTAATCCGGAGAGAAAGTCATCATTTGCAGCGCTTTGCAGAAGCTTAGGAAGAGCTCTTAGTGTATGTCGCGTCGTGAGGTAGCAAGACCTCGCAGAAGCTGCAGCTCGGCTGCGTCTGGTTCATCGCCGATCGCCCTCGAGAAGGATCAAAAAGCATGCGGATCCCCTGGGTGACGTTGGAAGCGGCGCCGCAGCCGTTGCTTGACTTGATTTTGTACGAGTGAGCAGTCTCGTCGAGAGTTATACGGTAGTTACTTGTAGATACACTACTCTGAGCAACGCCTTTTGCACTTGACCATCCTTTTGGCAATCCGAGATATCGCATCGTGTGGTTACCTACGCGTATGGGGAGACAAAGAGACCCCTTCGAGTAGGTACGGAATTCGGCCGTTGCGGTCCCATTCGCTGTTTCTGCAATCAGGGTCCGTTAACTAGTCACTTCAGAGCTGGAGACGCCGGAGTCCTATCGAAAGGTCGGAGCTGGGGAACATCTGGCAATTTTGTCCGGTCAGAGCACCCTTATGGAGTCAGGGGGCACAAGACGTCGGTTTGATGGTGTGCTTCGGCTAGGAGGGTGTGTGGCAGGACCGGGATCCCCGGTCCAGCTCGGTTCCACTCGGCCGGGACGCTACGACTCCACGGCAGTTCATCTGCAAGTGGATCGGAAGGACCCGAGCTCCATTGTAAAAGTTGGTGGAATGAACTTTTCTGTTCTTACACAGTACCTTCCATCTTCCCGCCACCCCTAGCCAGCCAAAACAAAAAAAAAAAAAAAAAATAAAAAAGTTGGTCTGCCCTTACGATGGCAGTCGGATACCATGACAAATGAACACTGGACCCGTTCCGGGCGTGGAGGCCGGCCGGCCAATGCAAAAGAATGCGGGGCTGAAAGCGGACGCCGGACAGCCTCCGCCCTAACCCTTGGCACCACCAAGCAGCGACTCTCCTCCGTCCAGTCAACTGTCGCGGACAAAAGGCAAAACGGGCCCGGGGTGGAGCCGAAGGGGAGGGACATCAATATGAACGACGCCGATCGAAGTCCGTGCCGAGTTACGTTAAGCGAAGTCCGTCCCAAACTAAGCCTAGGGAAGTTACATGGCGGAGTCTCGGGGTGCTCATAGTCCAACCTCCCGGCGGCAGATATCCACCTGTCTGTGGGCCGCTGCTTTGAAGCGCTTTGAATTCATGCGCGCGTCGGCTGAGGCCGGGCAGACATGGAGACACTTGAGGGTGGGAAAGGGGGCTCGAGAGGGGAGTCGGGGAGTCCTTGCCAGCAACTGCCTCTACGGACTGTGTCTCTGCAGTGTCTGCAACTACATCTCCGCAGCCAAGCCAGTAGCTTCAACATCCTCTCTCCCCGTCCTCCACCATCGTGCTGTCAAACTGTCGATCAACGGTCATATCATCTAATAAGTCAGCCTTGAGTCAGCTTACCCAGCAGTATCACACCGTCACACACGAGAACAACACCGGAGGAGACGATGGCAGCCACAACCACCATCGAGGTGCCCCATCTGGGCGGCATCAGGGCCGGATACGCCCTCTCGGGCGGGCAGTACGACCCGGCCAAGCCGACCTGCGTGCTCATCAACTCCATGTGCACGACCGTGTCGCTGTACAAGACGCAGTTCGCCGACAAGACACTGACCGACGCGGTCAACCTGCTGGCCATCGAGCCGCTCGGCCACGGCGCCACCAGCTGCCATCCCGCCGAGCACTTCACCTACTGGGACTCGGCGGCCATGGCGCTGCAGGTCATGGACAAGCTGGGCATCGACCGGGCCTTCGCGCTGGGCACCAGCCAGGGCGGCTGGATCGTGGCGCGCATGGCGCTGCTCGCGCCGCAGAGGATACGCGGCCTGCTGCTGCTGGGCACGTCGATGGACTACGAGTCGGCAGAGTCGCGGGCCAAGCACGGGTGCTGGGATCCCAAGACGCTGCTGGCGCCCTTCTACGACAAGTGGTGCAGCACGACGGGCCCCACGCCCGACTTTGTCGTCGACGACGTGTGGTGCGGCATGGTCGCCACGCTCGGGTTCGGGTCCAAGGGCACGCCCGAGCTGGTGCAGTTCTGGACCGACACGCTCAGGGACGTGTACCGGGGGGACGAGGGCCGGAGGAAGCTTAAGATGGCGCTGGCCTGCCTGCTGGACCGGGACGGCCTCGTGCGCAGGGTGCGGGATATCACTTGTCCCGTGTACTGGCTCCAGGTATGTGAACTAACTTACCTTAGTTTATATAAAGTTTTGTTGGTGTGTCAGGAGTGTTGTCTAACTCTCCCTTTAGGGAACCGAAGATGCGCCGTTTGGCACGTCGCTGCCCGCCGAGCACATCAAGCTCTTCACTTCGGCCAAGGAGGCCACTCTCACGCTGGTCGAGGGAGGCGGCCACTATCTCAACGCAACCAGCCCGGAGGAGGTCGGGTCTGCCTTGCTGCAGATGGTCAATAAGTACAAGTGAAATGCTGCGAGTATGCTATGATAGAAGACGCTGGGCAGGCCCCGTCGCTCACCTAATAAAACAACATCCAGTGTGATATTCGCTCATCTGTGTCGTGTCGACTGTCCGCTTCCTTGGCCTCCATTGAGCCTTGGGTCTGCCTGTGTGTATCTCCTTTGCATTGCGAGTAATCCCTGTAAAACCAACTTTACGAGTCAAGCAGAGCCGATGTCCTGCTTGACCTGCACCTCGGCCCTTATTAGCGCCTCCCTTGAATCGCATGGGGAAAGCCCGTATGGGAAGTAAAGAAATGAGTAACGTAAACAGCCCCAAAGATGGCCTGGTCGAGGTATACCTAGGTAGGTAACGTAGATGCTGGACGCAGTGACTATGTGGTAGACCTGCCTAAAATAAGCCCACAAGCCCTGGACGTCTCGGAGATCAGCCACTTGGCGTTGGCAACGGCATTCGCAACGAGGAGGCGTACATACATCATGATATCTTCTGACTGAGCTTAGAGAAAGGAACACGAAGATTAAAAGAAGGGAGGAAAGGCGAGAGAGGAAGAAAAAAAGGAGAGAGAAGAGGGCGACTCAAAGAAAAGAAAGAAGATAAGCAAGGTAAGGAGAGCCTACTAGTAGTTCATTAGAATGTAAGGGTTAGGCTATCGTGCCCATCGTAGCCATTGCCGTACCATTGGCACAAACCCCTCTAATAAGGACCTTACTTTAACGAGAGCATATGCATGTGCAATACCGTCTGTGGCGGTCATTGATGCCTTCGACGGGTGACTGTACTCGCAACTGATGCAGGCTAATAAAATAAGCAACGCCTGTCTTGTTGGTACCACTTTCATGGAGACAACAGAGTGAGGACCCAATCGTCTGTGATGGACCACAAAACGTTCTGCTCTGGTTCCGAAGATACCCCGAACTGAAATAAGTATGCGGGCATATGAGATTCTTCATTGTCATCAGTCGGCCAGCCAGTTGGGCAGCAACCCATCCCAGTGATATGTGTACAAAGCTGCGCGACTGTCTGCGCCCCAGCCTCTATCCCACTCGCCCAACATCAACCCGTCATCTATCCTTTTTTTTTGCGACCGCATTCCGTATGCTTGAATGGTATGAACCGACATCATGAGAGGAGCATTATACATGAGACCCGAAATAAAGAGGAGAGATGCCTCGCAGCGCCAAGCTCAAGACACATCAGCGCGTGCGATCGAATCCAACAATTAACAGTAGTAGTACAAAGGGAAGAGAATAGACTCAAATCCCATGGTTTGAAACACGCGGCGGGGGGGGTTGGAGAGGAGAGCAACGAGGTTTACCCCCTTAATTGTTCTTGACAACGCCGACCTTGGCCGGCCGCAGGACGCGCCCGTTGAGCTTGAAGCCCTTCTGCTGCACGTGGAACACGGTGTTGTGCTCCTTGTCCGGCATGGGCGTCATGAAGGTGGCCTCGTGCTCGTTGGGATTGAACACCAGGCCGCTGGGGTCGAAGCGCTCGAGGCCGTGCTTCTTGAGCGTTTGCAGCAGGATCGTCTCGGTCATCTTCAGGCCCTCGTACAGGTTGACCAGGTCTTGCTGGTGCTCCGCCTTCTCCTGCCCTTCCACCGGCGTCTTGAGCTTCTCCTCGGGCACCATGCTCAGGGCCCGGTCGAAGTTGTCGACCGACTCGACCAGGTCCTGCGCGAACCGCTGAATCGCAAAGTCCCGCGCCGCTTTCATGTCGCGCGCTGTCCTGTCCTGCAGGTTGCGGAAGTCGGCGACAGAACGGAGGTACCGGTCCTGGAGCGCGGGACATATTAGCTTGTGGCCTGCGAGGAGGGCGGAAAAGGGCAGAGACAGGCGCCTACCTTCAAGTCCCGGATTTCGGCATCCTTGGCCTCGAGCTGCTTTTTGAACGTCGCTTCCGGGCTCTCCTCCTCACCCTGCTTTTTTGCCTCCTCGCCGTTGTTCTTTGACTCCTCGGCCTTGCTTGCATCCGCCTCAGAGCTGTACCATCTTGTCCGCGGCACTAGTGCTCGTGCTGCCGCCAGCGGCCTCTGGTAGGATTGGACGAGGGTGATGGTTGGCCTTTGTGTGCCGGGTCTGACGGTCGAGCGCAGGGCTCTGGATGTGGCTGAGATTGTTTGTCGTAACATGGTTCGGATGATCTGGAAATCTGGATCTCTCTTATGACTTCCGCTTCAATGACCTCCCGAGTCGCGTGCGGTTTGGCTCAAGAATTTTATGGGGGTCGTCATCAAGCCAGCTTCCACAGAGGACCCACTCCGCCGCTTGCAGGCGGATCATCGACGGGCCGCCACAGCTTGCTTGAGTGGCAATCAAAGCTAACTTGAATCGGCTAGCTGCATCGCGGGGTGTGGCTCGTGCAGATCCTTGCCTTCTGTTACTTAAGCTCCATGCTGCACAGAAAGGTTGCAGCGAAACCTCAACCACGCATTCTCCAAGCGGCAACCTTCAGAAGCATCACCATCTTGCCGCGCGCAACGCCCGATATCGCAGTCGAGAACCGGAATACCAAATACAGAATATTAAAGATGGATTACGATCCTATGGTGATGGACGATGCCGAGGCCATGGGCCCAGTCGTCAAAATCTCCCAAGTATGTTGTCGCCACCGGCTTCTGTTCTGAGATGAAGCGCGCAGTCTTCTAACCGCGTCCATGTTATCCAGGCGGACTCGGTACGCGTCAAGTACCAGCTAGCGAATGCAGACATATCGTTTGCAAACTCCCTGCGGCGCGTGATGCTCGCGGAGATTCCGACGTTGGCGATCGATCTTGTGGAGATCGAAGAGAACAGCTCGGTGCTCGCCGACGAGTTCGTAGCACACCGCCTAGGCCTCATTCCACTAAACTCCGAGGGTGTCGACTCCATGTTTTTCTCGCGCGATTGCGATTGCGATAGCACCTGCGAGCGATGCACGGTTACCCTTACTTTACACGCAAAGTGCACCGGTGACGAAAACATGCATGTGTTCGCGCGTGACCTCGTGCCGACGAGCGAGCGCATCAACTCGGTTCTCGGCAACCCCATCATCTCGGACCCCGACGGCCTCGGCCCGCTCATCCTTAAGCTCCGGCCAGGCCAGGAGGTCAAGCTTGTGTGCATCGCAAAGAAGGGTATTGCGAAGGAGCATGCGAAGTGGGCGCCCTCGGCGGCCATCGGCTTTGAGTACGACCCACACAACAAGCTTCATCACATCGACCTCTGGTACGAACAGGATGCGAAAGCGGAATGGTGAGCCTCACTCCGTCCAGACCTCTTTCTAACTCTCGCTAACCATATGCCCCTAGGCCACCAAGCGAGTATGCCGAGTGGGAGGAACCACCCCAAGAAGGCGAGCCATTCGACTATGACGCCGTTCCCAACCGATTCTACTTCAATGTAGAAAGCGCCGGAAGCTTGCCACCCGACGTGATCGTCAGCGAAGGGATCAAGGTCATCCAGCAGAAACTTGCCGGCCTGATCCACGAGCTCAGCGAAGGCGACGGCGGCGACGGCATGAACGGCGACTACGGCGGTCCCCGCAGCCCAGAATACGCTACGGGCGCCGACGGGTTTGGCGGGTACACGACGCCGTTCGGAAACGGGGGTAACCAGAGCTCGTGGGGCGGCGCTGGCGGTACGACACCATATGGGACAACGCCGTATGGCGGGGGCCAGAGCAGCTGGTCATGAGTCTTGGTGGCCATGTCGCTCTCGCGCGACCGGTGCCCCGTGCGTGCAGTCGCCGGTTTTTTAGGGGGACATCTGGATAGCAGGCTGCACTCATAATATGTTCTATATTTGGAGATACCAGCAGGCGTTCTGGCAAGGGAAGGGGCAGGGATTTTCGCATCATTTCATGGGAGAAATTGGTTCTACAGGTGTCCAAGGCGACAAAAGTTCGTGTGTATTTTGCATGGTCTGTAATTTAATAGCACGGGAATACAGGAAAAGCTAGTAGTAGCACTCAAGGAAATGGGTGAGAGGAGAGATAGATAGACGGGCCGGCCAAGGGGCCCTTTTGTCAGGCACCAATGCCTGCTAATGCAATTACAGATGTCTAAAACAAACGCCTCGCGTGCCCATATGCCCGTATGTACATGGTATAGCGCTCCCCTCTAAGAGCTCTATGTACTCTATGACTTCTATCCCGCCATCCCCCCATATTCAAGTGGCTCTTTCAGTTCATTCATACCGGATCCTCTATGCCCTTCATCTTCCTGTACAACTTGCGATGAGATTCTAAAAAGAGGAATGTACAGATTGTTTGTCTGCAGGATTATGTTAGCATCTTCTTGACACAACCACGTGAGAAGAGGCCACGTCACGATGAAGACAAAGAGAAAAGGAGTAGGACTTACGGCCCTAGCCGCAGAAAACTAGGCACCCAGCCCTTGAACATCCACCGCATCCCCTCTTTGGCATACACCTCTCTCAGCACCCCGACCACCCCATGGTTGCCGCCCGTCGCGGACATGACCCGCGTCTTGATGACGTCGATCGGGCTCGTCACCGTGGCCGCGACCACGCCGGCGAGAAAGCTCGCGCTGAAGTGTGTCGCCAGGTTGTCCTGCATGGGCGTCAGCCGCAGCAGCGTGCGCTTGAACACGTCGTAGCTCGCCAGCTGGCTCGCCGTCATGGCCGCCGCCCGCGCGCTGTTGGGCCACACGCCGCGGAACACGCTGCCGACCCCTTCCTCGCGGACCATGCGCACGAGCCCGTCCAGCGCGTGCGCGTAGTTGCGCCGTTCGGCCGCGGGTAGCGCCGCGTCGTGCTGCATGCGCACGTTGAGAACGTCGGCCGCGTTGCCGGCGATGCCGCCTATGAACCCGGATGTTGAGGCCATCGCTATCAGGAGGGCGAGCGACGGTGGCTTGGGCTTGCCCGTCGCCGGGTCATCCTTCTTAGAGGTGAAGCGCGACTTGAGTTCTTCGTAGATGCCGAAGCGGGTCGTGGAGTAGGTGATTTGGCGCAGCAGGGAGGCAGAGAGGCCATTGTATAGCCCGCGCACGCCGTTGTGCTTGACGATGTGCACGAAAGTGCCGCTCATTGTCTTGGGCATGTCGCCGCTGTGGGTCTGGAGGCGGACCTGGATTGAGGCCGTCAATTATCACGGCATAACACGGCATGGGGGGCGTTTCGGTACCTTGACTATGCCCATCGGTCAGCGGGCGCGACTGGATTGGGGGCTTCATCATTGGGTAGAGGCTACTACTTACCTAGGTCAAGAGGATGGGTGACGCAGGCGGCCAAGCTGCTTGCGCTGCCCCCGAACCAAAACGGGTAGTGTACTGGCCGCGGCTTAGTCGGCGGTGCAACCGCCCGGTCCTGCATGGCGGTTGTGGTCGCCGGCGGTCGCACTTCATTCTTGGCTGCCTGCATCGTACGCTGCAGTGACCGAGCAACACGTCGTTATGAGAACATTCCGGTTTTTCTAATAGGATAAAGGAGTGCGATGACTCCAAAACAAACGGATAACTACCACAACTGCAATAGTTATTATCAGATCCAAGAAATATGGCGGGAATGAATTAAGAATCAATTCCTGAATCCAATCCAACGGGTCTCAAAAGCAGGTCCGCGATTACAACCATTTTTCGGCGGTTGTTTCGGCACCGCCGGCATCGTTTTCAAGCTCCAGATGGGCCGTGCGTCTGATCGACGTCAGCGGGCTGTTCCAAGATTCTGGGACCAGGGGTTCTCGTTATCATCGATTTGTCTCTTATCGTTATCGGTGGAGATGTGCGATATCGGGAGGGACAACAACAAAAGTTTTGACCGCCTTCGAGTCATTGCCAGACCAGGGGTTAGGTCAGTTGGCGTGGGGCAGCTAGTGACTAACTTGAAGAGTAGACGGGAAAGCTAAAGAACTTCCCTTCCTCCTCCATCGTCGCGGAGTCATTCGTCCTTTTCCTGCTTGCGCCGACAACTGCCCTCCTGAACCATCCTAGCGGTGAAGCTCAAACATCTTCAACATGTCTAAAGGCCGTGTTTGTCTGTAAGTGTACCCCGCCAATGCTTGGGGAAGCACGCGACTGATTTCACTCGTCCCAGCGCCTACTCTGGAGGTACGCATTTCTATACACTTGCAATTCTCGCTTGTAGTTCCATGCCATGCTTGATGGTGTCATGGTGCCCTTATAGCGTTCTGGGGCTCTTGTATCCCCAGAAGCTCCCGTATTAACCTCGGCTGAAACTGACCGTCCGTCCCAGGCCTCGACACCTCCACCATCCTGAAATGGCTCATTCTCGAGGTCCGACCCCATGCTGCCTGCACCACTCTGCGTTATCTCAGGATATTGACACCGGTAAAACAGGGCTACACCGTTGTGTGCTTCCTCGCCAATGTCGGTCAGGAGGAGGACTGGGCCGCAGTCGAAAAGAAGGCCCTTGCACTGGGCGCCGAGCGGATGGTCATTGAGGATCTGCAGCGCGAGTTCGTCGAGGAGCTCGTTTTCCGCGCCATTCAGTGCAACGCTATCTACGAGGACCGCTACCTCCTCGGCACCTCCCTGGCTCGCCCCGTAATCGCACGGGCTCAGGTCCGCGTTGCCCAGCAATACAACTGCGACTACCTCAGCCACGGCTGCACTGGCAAGGGCGTAAGTGATGACAGATTCAGGATGTTGGAACAAAGCTGCTAACACCGCGCATAGAATGAGTATGTCGAGCCGGGCTGGGCATGAAAAGGGTCCATCTAGGCTAACAGCCCTTCAGTCAGGTCCGCTTCGAGCTTGCCTTCAAGGCTTGCAACCCCTCGATGAAAGTAATCGCTCCGTGGAGGCTGCCCGAGTTCATCCAGAAGTTCCAGTATGCATTTCACCGGGCAATTCCGGGCAAGATCAGGAGCTGACTAGGCACACAGAGGCCGTGCCGATCTCCTCAAGTTCGCCGCCGAGAACAACATTCCCGTCTCCTCTAGCCCCAAGGCGCCGTGGAGCATGGACGACAACCTAGTCCACTGCTCATACGAGGCTGGCGTCCTTGAGGACCCCGACCACACCCCTCCCAAGGAGCTCTGGACCCGCACGGTCGATCCCACCGATGCTCCCGACAAGCCATACAATTTCACCATCCACTTCGAGAAGGGTATCCCCGTCAAGGTGGTGACTCCTGACGGCGAGGCCACCGACTCGGTGGAGTTGTTCAAGCTACTCAACAAGATCGGCCACGATAACGGTGTCGGCAGAGTCGATATTGTGGAAAACCGCTTCATCGGCCTCAAGAGCAGAGGCTGCTACGACACTCCTGGCCTTACTATTGCGTAAGTGACCAGAGATCCGTTGCTGACACGCAAAGTCTACTAAAGCTAGATGCTGACATGCTGCAGCCGCCTTGCTCACCTCGATCTTGAGGGTTTGGTTATGGACTCCAAGGTTCGCAAGCTGCGTGACCAATTCGTGACTCTCGAGTGGTCGCACTGCCTCTACAATGGCATGTACTTCAGTCCCGAGCGCGAGTTCCTCGAGAATTCGATTATCTTCTCCCAGAGGAACGTTAGCGGCCAGGTCCGCATGTCGGTCTACAAGGGCGCCGCATACGTCCTGGGCCGCTCGAGCGATGCTAGCAACCTGTACTCACAGGAGGACGCTTCCATGGATTCCCTCGACACCTTCTCGCCCATGGACACCACCGGTTTCATCGCTATCCAAGCCATCCGCCTGGAGAAGTACGGCCTCCAGAAGATCAAGGATGGCGAGCCGCTCAGCAAGTGAACTGCTTCTGGATGTAAAATAAGAAATATCCAATGAAAAAGAAATACCGCTGTGACTTGAGGCTCTCATGATTTGCATATTTGAGTGCCCGTCTGAAGCCGGCGCAGCCCAGAATCTGGAAGAGCTGAGAACCCCTTTATGGTTCCCGAGCCATTGGTTGACCAATAATGAATCTCCGGAAGACAGCCAATTGGCGATGTCATCATGCAGACTGACCCCTGTCGCTCAACGGACCCACTGGATTTTCTCGAGCTCCCTCCAGCAGCGATCACCGGCCCGGCTGTTCTCAAATCCCCACACAGATCAGGCCTCCAAAGAGCCGCAATCCAAACTTCAGCATGATCGGGCCACGGTGCCTTGCGGGCGCCGTCTGGCAGCGTGCTGGAGGGCACTCTAGTGTGACGCTGTTCCTACGCCAAGGCAGCCGACTAAGCAGCGTGCCGGTTCAACGTTGCTGGCGAGCAGCGTACTCTTCAGGTTAGCAATGCAGGAGAAGGCATACACAGATTTGCCCTACGACCAGTGCGACTTTGCTGATGGGATGGTCGAGAAGACTCTACACCTTCGCCTTCAACCGGCACCACAACTCCCAGGACCGTTGAGATCAACGGCAAGGCGTACACGACTGATGCGTGGTTCAATGTTTCCTCTACCGTCCTCAATTTGACCTCGCGAAAACTGCACCTCCAGAAAGACCACCCAGTAGCGATCACCCGGAAGATCGTGGAATCTGTCTTTCCGGGACCTACCTACAAGTACTACAATGAATTCGACCCAGTGGTGTCAACCTACGAGAACTTTGACTCGCTCGGCTTTCCCCCGGACCACCCGGGCCGCGCTCGTTCCGACACATACTACATCAACAAGGACACGCTGCTACGGACACACACAAGCGCACATGAGGCGGAGATATTCCGAGCCCGCGAAAGCGGCGGCTACCTGATCAGCGCCGATGTTTACCGCCGCGATGAAGTCGACCGCAGCCACTACCCCGTCTTCCACCAGATGGAGGGCGCTCGGGTGTGGGACAGGACCAAAGTCCCCAACGGTGACCTGGCTGCAGCGATCCGCGAGGATCTAGCCCGACTTCCAAAGCACAATGTGCGCGTCGAAGACCCCAACCCGCCGTTCCACCCGGAACGGAACCCCCTCCAGGCCGAGCACCATACGCCCGAAGAAGCGGCCGCCGTCGCAGCCCACCTAAAACACTCCCTCGAACTAATGGTCAACGAGATCTTCTCCCGCGCCAAAGCTGCCACCGCAGCCGCCGCCGGAAAACAGGCCGCGGTCCCCTCTTCCGAGCAACAACAAAGACAACAACAAGAAGAAACCGAACCCCTCCGCGTCCGCTGGGTAGAGGCCTACTTCCCCTTCACCTCGCCGTCCTGGGAACTCGAAGTCTTCTACCAAGGCGACTGGCTCGAGGTGCTGGGCTGCGGCGTGAGCAAGCAGGAGCTGCACATCAACGCCGGGTCGCCCTCACAGATCGGCTGGGCCTTCGGCATCGGGCTGGAGCGCATCGCCATGCTGCTGTTCCAGATCCCGGACATTCGGCTCTTCTGGTCGCGCGACGAGCGCTTTCTGAGCCAGTTCCGCGGCGTCGAGGACGACCTTGCCAGGCTCAAGCCGTTTGTGCCGTTCAGCAAGCACCCGGCCTGCTACAAGGACGTGTCGTTCTGGCTGCGCGGCACGTCGGCGGCGGGCGGGAACGACAGGAAAGGCATGGGCGCGGCGGACTGGCACGCCAACGACCTCATGGAGGTCGTGCGCGATGTGGCCGGGGACTGTGTGGAGGACATCAGGCTCGTGGATGAGTTCATGCATCCCAAGACGGGCCGGAGGAGTATGTGCTACCGCATCAACTACCGGAGCTTGGAGAAGACGTTGACCAATGCCGAGACGAACGAGATGCATGAGCGGGTGGTGGGCGCGCTGGTGGAGAGGCTGGGGGTGGAGATTAGGTAGTTCGCAGGCGGATTTGCTACGGCTGCTTTGTCTTGGGTCGGCGTTCCTCCCTTACCTCTCTGTCTGGGCAGAGGTTCTTGGTCCGTCTCGCCTGACAATCATCCTGCTCAGCCACGAATTGGTCAAGACGCTGGTGACGGCTTTCCCCTCCTCTGTCTTTTTCCTCTGGCTTTTGACCCTCACCATCCGCCTCACGGGGTTACGGGACCGGGATGTCTCTCCCGCCGTCCGCATGTCGGGGGCTGTACTTATATTGTACCATAGTATACACCACTGAAAAGATAGGCAGGCGGATAGACGGCAACGTAAGACTTCGAAGCTCCGCTCCAGACCGCCCTCTCCAAAGTCGGTAATTCATCAATGCACGCGGAGGGCAGTGCAAAAGCTGTGGAGCCATGCGTGAGGGGTTCGGCTCTTGGATGAGCAGAGGTCAGTCTGCCATGTTAGATTGTTCTTTTATCAGATGGGTTCACTTGGCGGACTTCTCGGCAGAGAGGTCGTGATGGCTTTTGGGTTCTCGTGCCTACGTGGCAGCGGCGCAGGTGTCTCTCTCTGTTCCTTGGTGGTGCTGGCGCAACTCGTCAAGCCGTTGAGGGCAGAGCTTATGAATGCTCAGGAGACATTTCTTTCATTCCGCATATTGCGTGGCTCGTCCAGCGTGGTGCCGGGTAAGGATGACCATGCTGTGCCTCGTCGCCAGTTTTGAGCATTCGCCGCTGACAGTTGGTGAGATTCGGTCGAGCTTAACGCGACAGCTTGTCGGATTCCACGCTTTTATCACTCAGATGAAAAGAGTCCTACCTACTCTGGTAACCTGTTTACTCAACATGGGTAACATGCATGTGTTAGACTGGCCAAGTCTCGTTGGTTTGATTGTGTTCCTCCTGCTTCCTGATGCGGCAGGTCTTCAGCGTTTCTCTCCCCCTCGGCGTGCTCGGGTCAGCGGGCTGCTTTCTGCATTCAAATCGTCCCGAGTATGACCTTCTAGATTTCGCCAATATGGTGGCGGCGTGAGATGGCTGAGCAACGAGCCATAACTCAGGTGGACACCAACACAAGTGCCCTGCTCACCTGAGGAGTCACGACGGTTGGGACCACGATGCGCCGCCTTCAACCCATTTCTGAGAGCCTCGGCCACTGGCGAAGGCCATGAAGAACGCGAGGCTGATGAAGTCCGAGACGGGGTGCCGGATTCAGCATGTGGCAGTTGGAGGCCGGCGTGCTCGTGGACTTGTTTCTTGTCTTCCCAACGGCTTGGTGCAATGAGGCTGTGCAGTCGTGGGAGAGGATGCGACAGCCCTTGGCAGTCCACGACGGAAGGAGGTTTGGGCCAATCGCGTCCAGCGCACTCTTTGACTTCGCAAACGGAGATTCGCCCGTTTGTTGCCGGCCGGTTCCACATCACATCCTTCCGCTGCTCCACTTGCAAACGGTGTGGTTGGAGTGTACGAAAGCCGTGGCAAGAAGCGCTGGGATGTTTCGACCATCGAGAACTCTCGAGAAAGCCAGCCGCCAATGAACTGGGATCAGGAATTTTTGAGGGAGGCTTTGCAATGAAAGAGGCAAATTGAACGCGCAAGGTCTGCCATGGAAGCCATAGCCCGCTCAAGCCCCAGGCGGGCCGGTGCTGCCGTATCTCAACAGTTTTCCGGGTGTCTTGTGGCAGCGCTAAGCCATGCAACTGGGCATCCTGACGGCGGCATTTGTGGGCTTCGCAAACGGCCTCCATGTGATCGCCCAACCGGGAGGGGCGCTGTAATCGTGGACAATGATTGATCCATTGCGCCTGCAGAGTGCATCACACTACATGGGGGTCTTCAACCTCGCATTTAACATCCCGCTGGCACCCGCCTCCCATCCGCATTAGTTGATTTACACTACATCTCTGAATACCCAGCTTGTGCTACCTACCGATTTTCTCTGCGGGGGCCAACATCCAGCTAGCCTAGGACGACAAGGGAACACTCCGCAAATATCACCATCGTACAGGCAGAGTTATCAAGAGGGACCTGCTACAACTTCAATTGCACTCTACAGCGTCAACAATACCGACGTCAAGATGGAGCATCTACACCGCGAACTCCCACTCCGGGCAGCCCCTCAGGAGTCACAACTATCAACACCAGAACTGCGGCCATCCTCCCCCTCACGCTCATCAACCGGCAGCAGCACCCGGTCTCGCAAATCCACGCTCACCCTCGACCTCACCAACCTCCCCCCGCTTGTCAAGCCAACGCCGCCATGCAACACACTGATCTTCACCAACCTTCAATCCCGCGACATCTTCCGCCCAGACAATCTCCAGACCATCCGCGACCTCATCTCTCAAACAGCCCGTATCCACGCCTTCTCCCCATTGAAGTCGCTCAACCGCATTGTCGTGTCCTTCTACAGCGACGCCGACGCCATCGCAGTGCGCCAGGTCTGGGACGGCGAAGCCGTCATGGGCGATCGGTGCCGCGTGTACTTCGGCCAGCCGACACCCCTGACCACACTGGCGGACACCCACCTCGCGCTGCCTGACGCAGGCAAGCTCTTCTTCATCTCGCCGCCGCCGAGCCCGCCGCACGGGTGGGAACAAAAGATGGAGGACGCGCCCAACAAGATGGTGCACGCGGATGATCTGGCCGAAGCACTGGCGAAGCTGAGGCATCACCAGAACCAGAGCAACGACGGCATGACGATGGGCTCCCCCGTATCGCCAGCTGAGAGTGGTAGTGGCAAGGGGCGGAGTCGTAGCTCGACGCTGGTCTTCCAGCCGACTCCCGGTTCAGGAGCCAGCCCGAACCTGCCGTGTGTCATTATCGACGACATGACGGATGAGCCGGAAGAGATGTCTCCGGTTGCGCCACCGAAGCCGATCATGGCGCATACGGCGCGCCCGCCGGTCGAGTTGATGCACGATGCCTGAAGGCGGAACTGAAGCGGAAATTACATTCTATTACTCTTTTCTTTTCCCACTGCCCTTTTTCTCTCGCTGTTTGGTCATTCTCTGCATTAATCTGGCTATCGGCACATGTTGGTTGTTACACAAGACATCACGGGATCGGTTTGGGGCTCATGGAGAACGGCAGTTGGCGTTGGGTGCTTGTGCATGTGCGATAGGGGAGCCGTCGCAAACGGTATTACTTATATTCTACGGCAGCGTTGGAGGTCATGGGTAAAAAAGCATGGTCATGTTGCATGCACAAGTGGGATTACACAGAGAACAGTAGCTCTAGCTCGATGTCGGATGGGTAGAAGAGTGGTGAGCGCGTTCAGTTCATTCGCTCTGGCGTTTTATGTGATAGCATTGTGTCGTGAGACAGCAAATCTAAGAAGAAACAGAAGAGCTCCGGAGCCCTCCCATCTAGTGTTTCCAGTGTATTCGCAAATGGCAAGTAGGTCTGTCGTCACCAACGTTACACCTTCCTGCCCCTTCAGATCTACACAATGTAACTGCCGGACCCCTCGCCGCAACAGGATCTCGAACAACCGGAACCAGGCAATCCGAAGGGATCACCGCAGTTTCTGTAACATACCCAACACACCTCTAACCCCGAGCCCCACAACCCAGCCCACAACCACGCACGCAACTAACACCGCCTTCAGATTCCGCAACTCCACCCCATCCCCCATCGTCACTCTCCCCCCAGCCCTCTGATCACCCCGCTTCTCCCCCACCGCAGCAGCAGTGATGATCCTGTCGAGCGAAGGGACATACTTCAGCTCATGCATCGCCTCCCCTCCTCCCCCATAGGCAGCAATCCCCTCCTTCACCACAAGACTCCTCAACACCCTGCGCGCCCTTGCGATGCCCGCCTCGTCCCAACGCCGCACGCTCCTCCGAGTGTAGCACACGGCCATGAAGACAAGACACTGCCCGGCCACCAGCAGCGTCTGCCAGACGCCCGGGCGCGGCACGGCCAGCGCGTCGGCTAGGGCGTGCCCGTTCAGCCAATGCGCCTCGGCGCGGAGGAAGGCGGCCGAGGGGTACAGCGGCGGTTGGTGCGCCATGGACTGCAGCATGTTGTTCGCCAGCACCTGGGAGGCTGGAGAAGGGTCAAGTTCGGAGAAGATGAGCGATTCCATCATTGTGCGGGCCGCGTCGGGGGAGGATAGATAGGGGGTGGGGGGCACGCCGAGCAGGTAGGCGACGTACCGCCAGAGGGCGAGGTAATCTTCGATTTCTGCGGCAGTCAGGAAGATGCCCTGGCGCGGGAAGGCGATCCAGATTTGGGCGGCGGAGAAGGCCAGGATGGTGCCGATGCTGTCGAGGTCGTTGATGGGGATGCCGTGGGAGGGGATCGAGTAGTACGTTGGCCGTTCCCGCGCGAGGGCCAGGATGCGCCGCCGGACCGAGGCGTGCAGGAAGCGCACGCGGATCGAGGAGGCGAAGCCCTTGCCGCCGGGCTGGATGGAAGGGAGAGAGTCGGTCACGTCGAGGATGTGCTGCGAGGTTTCCAGCAGCCGCCGGCGCGCGACGCACACGCCGAAGCCCCCTGTGCGGGTGAGTGTTTCGACGATGCGCGCGGACGCCAGCCCGCCGAGAAGGGACTGGAAGATGAGCCCGACTACGGACGGTCCCGCGTAGCGGTAGAAAACTCTCTGGCCGCGCTCTATCTGATCCCAGTCGACCCAGTAAGGGACAGTGTTGACCTGGTCCCAGAGCTCCTGGAGGGTGTCATCTTCTGGGGCGCGCGTCCTGAGGAGCTCGTACAAGTCTGGAAATCCACTATGGGCACATGCATTGGCAGCTCCCTCTTTACCAGTCTTGCTCTTCGCTCGCGCAGATGGACCTAGTAAGTGATCAAAACGGTCGAGGCATCTGGTGGCAAGCTCGTCGTAGGAGAATACCAGGGGCCGCAGTTCCGCGGCTGTGCAATGTGTTGGCGTCCACTTGAAGTCATAGTCCCAGGCTCTCACTCGACTGCCGTTTTCCGGCCTAGGAGATGTCATTGTGGTGCAGCTACTTTCACGGTGTCTGACAGTACAAATCCAGGGGTGTTGAAGCTAGAAGTGTGCTTTCTGGTATCGAGGTAAAGCTTCGTCGTACCTGGCGGACGGGTGGATATCAAGGGGACGAGACCGAGATGCCTCGAGCATCTAGATGAATTCGATATGGACATTGCCAGATGGGCTCCCTCATGGCAACCTGGAACTTGTAGTGAAAATGCAATGCCCGGACAACTACATTGTTCGTCCCAGCCCCGCATCCGGTTCGTTCTTCCCAGTTTCCCGCCATGACGTCCATTGCCACATGGCAGGGCACTATTATACCGGTAACCGAATCTCCGGAAGCTCAACCACACCCTGGTCCATATGGGGGTATCACTCCGATAAGCCAAATTCGGCATGCAGAACAAAGCTGGTGTCATGGTCAGAAAGGGGTATAGGCGAGACTATAACTTATAAGTCGGCAGGCCAAACATTTGACGATGATTGAAGTTAAGCGTTTCAGAGGCCGGTACCCCTTGGAGGTCCATGGATCTGTTGTTGACAATGTCCGCTCGAAGGATGAGGGTGTGTAACATCTCACTTCCGATGGACTCCCCGTAACCATGTGCTTCATTTACCGCCGGCTTGGGAGGATATGGGAAACTGCTAGATGCGGCCCGGGACCCATGCTCACCAACCACGCCCCGAGATCAGGAAGTCCCGTGCCCCACTTGCCGTCCGGTCCCACCCAGCCCAGATGCAGGGAGCCGGGGGGCCAACTCGGAGGGAAATTTTTGAGGCGAGCGGACTTGATGAACACTGCAGTCCCGTTCAGGTCGGTACGACTTCCTTTTGTTACCGGCCAGATCGCACGTACCTGCCTCATCACCCGAACAATGGATTGTGCTTGCCGAACGGCTGCTCTTAGGATTTTTGTCAAGAGCATCGCACAAGTCCATTTACCTCTTCGCGCCGCACCATCGCGCCTGGCTGAGTACCAGGCACAGGCTCGGTATAGTCAACGAAGCCGTCTCTACCACCGAACGCCCACCTCCACATTTGCAACCGGATCTCGAGCGTTACATACATCATCATGCGTTCGAAGTAGCCCAGCAGCAGTAGCTGAGGCTGGCGAAGGGCAATTGGAACGAGCAGACAAGCACAAAGACACAACAGTGACAGACACGACTCCTCGCTCCTCTGAACCTGCACCCGGCCGCTCCGGCGACACCGAATCGCAAGGCCATCATGCACCCACAGCGGGCTCCGGGGTGCAAAAGGAGAAGGCTGCCGAAGCTGAAACCAAGAAGCTGAGCAAAAGGGCAAAGAGAGAATTGAAAGACCAGAGAAGATTCCAGGGCGGGCTGGGGGTTGAATATGATGGCGACGACCGACCGAAAGAGAAGGAGCCCTGGATGATCCAGAAGGAAGCCCTAAAGAAAAAATTCCCAGAGGGCTGGAGTCCGCGGAAGAAGCTGTCGCCCGACGCTCTGATCGGCATCCGGATGCTGCACCAGCAGTTCCCCGAAGAATACACGACCGAGGTGTTGGCAAAGAAATTCGAGGTGTCGCCCGAGGCGATCCGTAGGATCCTCAAGTCAAAGTGGACACCGGACCCCGAGGAGGAGCTGAGACGCCAGGAAAGATGGTTCAACAGAGGCAAAAAGGTCTGGACGCACTGGGCTGCGTTGGGCAAGAAGCCACCCAGGAAGTGGCGCGCCGAGGGCATCGTCCGTGATCCCATCTGGAACCGGCCAAGAGGGCCGAATCACAAGGACCCAGCAGCTCGTGCCGAGGCGCAGCGCAGGCTTGCAAAAGGCTTGACGGAGTGACCCGGAGTGACCCGGAGTGACCGCATCTGCTTGGAAGATATGAGGAGGAGGTTGACAGATCTTGCAGACTCTGATCTTATCTATGTAGCAGCAACACGCCACGCTGAAAATCCGCCGTTCGTTATGTCTCAGAATACAACTGTACGAGTATGGGCTCGACGATATTGGACCTCACTGAAACAGCCCCGTGTCATTTGAGCTGTGTGATTACTGCATGGTCATCGGTTGCTGACGCAATGCTGTGCGAAGGCGGCTGAACGAGCTAGCCCCTCATCGACACTATATATCAACTGCTGTGATGTTCGTTTGGGACCATGTTGGACGAGATCTGGGAGCAGATTCCCTAGCTCGAGCCTACTGTAGGTATCTGAGATGGTCTGTGCTAATACCCGAGAGACTCGACGGGGACTCGGCGGCCAATGGCTGATGCGCCAGATAGGAGAGGGCCCGCGCTAATGCAACCTTGAGGCTCCATCACGCGGTCGTCGAAGAGGCTGCCGGCCGATGACGGTGTTATGGAATGAGCTCCGGAGAGTAGCATGTCAGCGCTCGCTTGGACGGAATTTATCTTGCCTGGGTGTTACAGTTTCATCATGCTGTGTTACGGATCTTGTGCTGGACTCGAGCTCCCTTCAGGAATTCCCGGTTGAAGTAAACATCAAAAGTGGGCGTCGCTCTTCCTGGACATGATCAGGGGTGGGGTAGAACTAAGTGCGCGGCTGTGATTGGCGAGCACAGTGACGTGCAGCCCAAAAAAGCAATAGCCGCACACAGGGGCCACAAATGGGCAGCACAGGAGCACGAGCCATAGCTATTTGCTCCCCTGTCGTGAAATGATGCTCTCCCCTGCCACAACATTTCGATGCGCATTCTCAACCAGAGGATTGGGATGTGGCTTGCTGAAGATCGCAGCGTCGCTGTTTTTCCTCCACCACCAGACCCGCCGGTGTCCATGACGACGTCAAGCAAATGCCGTCCGCCTCACCTTGGCTCTAGTTGACTTCGGCTCCGAGACAATTGACTTTGTCTCGCTGCACGTCTTCATGTCACTGTAAGCCTCGATTTCACGTTCTGCATCGATCATTGTGCGGTGCGGTGTTACTGTTTGGTGCGAGGTGTGCCTTCTGACCCGTCTCTATTTGCGCACCTATAGCTTTCAGCTTGCAAACGACCTCACCTATCCCGTCTTCACTCTTTTTGGACGGCACGCTCGTTAGGCACACACGCATATCGGACATACTTCTTCCATTCACCGCACTCCTTTCTGCATCCCGCTGTTGCATACACCGACAGTTCTTACTGCGGATGTTCCTACGCCTTCGTCGAGCGTCTCCCTCTCCGGTTCGATTGCCATCCTAGCCCGTCCTAACAGCACATGGCGAAGAGCGATGGCAGCCACTCCCTCAAACCGGACTAAGCTTACACCATCTAATTCTCCGTTCCTCGCGCGGCCTTCGCGGTCTTCCGTTCGACCCCGCAACCCCCAAGAGAGCTGCCTATCTCTCCAGCGCGTGATAGGCACCACCTGCAGCTCGCCCACCGGATTCGATACCGTCCACTCGTCTTTCGCATACATTGCCGGCGGCGCCGTTGTTGTGGTAGATGTCTCGGGCGGGGAGTACTCACAACGCTTCTACCGGGCCAGACCAACAGCGGTCCCCTCCCTCTCCATCTCACCGGTCACCAACACATCCTCGACCGCGAACTCAACGCCGAAAGCCAACGACAGCAGGAATAGGTCTGCTGCGTCTCCGAGGGAATCGCTCTTTGCCTCCTCGGACTGGCCAGACTCACCCACATCCAAGACCTGGACGAGCCGTGAGCGGATCAAGGCCGCGACTTGCCTTGCCCTCAGCCGAGATGGACGGTACCTAGCAGTGGGCGAAACGGGGTACGCCCCGCGAGTTCTCATTTTCAACCTACAGGATGCTTCCTCCGACACCCCCCTCGTATCAATCAGCGAACATACATTCGGTGTCAACGCCGTGGCGTGGTCGCCAGATACGAAATTCCTCGCATCATTAGGTGCCGCAAACGACGGGTTCCTCTATCTCTGGAGAGTCGATTCCCGGACGGGTGCAGTGAAGTTGTTCCAGCAGAACAAGTGCACTTCGTTTGTCAAGGGGATGGTGTGGATGGGGAGTAATCTGCTCACGCTTGGTGTGCGGCATGTGAAGGTCTGGAGGGTGGACGACGGACCGGAGATCTCTGGCGCGAAGCAGAAGTTCCCCAGCGATGGACCAGTTCCTGTCGCGCCGGTACAAGCACAGAAACCTTTGCCGGGCAGGAACATCCTTCTGGGTTCGATGCTGGACGCCACGTTCTCCTGTGCTCTTCCTATATCCGAGGACAGAGCCATCATCTGCACCGAGACAGGGAGTGTGTGTCTTCTAGACGATGCCAACAAGCAGATGAAGCTAACGAAGGCTTTGGATCTCGGGTTCAGCATCACCTGCATATCCCGGCGAGGAGACAACGTCTACATTGGTGGGAAAGAAGACTATTTCGCTATCATTTCCCTTGACACCATATTGACTGGCAAGCCCGAGATCCCTGTTCACACCTCACAGACAGCTACCGGTCTTATAGCTATGGGATTCTTGGCAGAGAATCTCGTGACAATCGACAGCAAGCGATCGATCGGTATCTGGAGTGCTGACCAGATGCCGAGCTGCGCGAGAGGGGGCGGCTCTTACATTCCCATTCCAGGCCTCGGTGAACCCATCGTTGGGATACAACGGTTGTCCGCATCAAATAAATACGGGGCCAGTTTCTTCACATGGTCGGGGCCCGGGAAAGTGACCCTCTGGGATATGGACGGCATGATAAAGTCGTCCTTTGACATCCCAATCGAGCAAATAGAAACGGGTGGTACTGAAGCCGAACCCGTCAACCAGGTCGTTACGGCGAGAGCCTCGAACGATGCGAGCCTCTTCGTTGCTGGAGACAAGCTTGGTGTTCTCCGGATCGTCGAGGTGTCCAGCGGAGAGTGTCTGCTGGAGTCGAAGGTACATGCTTCCAACTGCCAAGACATCACAGTCCATGAGGGCAAGTCGCGATTTGTTGTGGCTTCCTGCGGCAGGGACCGGACGGTTCAGTTGTTCCACCGCCCATCCACTGGAGTATTTGAACACTTCCAAACACTCGAGTTCAGCGCCAAAGTGGTGCAGGTTCTCATACCTACAGAGGACAAGGTCCTGACCTGTTCCCTCGACCGAACGCTCCAGATACATGATTTGGTGAGTAAGGAGGGGCAGCCCGATGTCGTGGCAGCCATTCCCTCCAGACACATTTCGCTGAGGGCGTCTCCGTCGTCAATGACGGTCACGCCCGACCTCAAGACCATCTTTGTGTCGCTGCTGGATCGCTCTGTATGTCAGTTCGACTTTGGCAGCGGGCGGCTCTCGACGTCTTTCAAGTGCAACGACGAAGCGGGGCTCGACTCCGTCGTCCTCGAGTCTCTAACTTATGGCGAGCTTGGCCCTGACGGCCTTGCGTTCCTCCTCGGCATTTCGAATACAGACAAGTCTGTGAGAATCTATGATACGCAGTCGGGATGTTTCATGGATCGGGAGTGGGGCCATACCGAAGCCATCAACGGCGTCATCTTCATCGACAATGAAGAGACGGGACGCAAGGTCGTCAGTGCGGGAGAAGACGGGACCATCATGATCTGGGCCCTGGATTTCCAGGATTCTGCGGGGGGGTCAAGAAGCCGTGATCCCTCACCGGAAAAAGCACCACCGCAGTCAACTTCGACCAGACCCCCTTTGAGGAGAGTCCTTTCTAAAGCTGAATTGGCGGAATTCCAGCGCCCGTCGCCAACCACAACCACCGGACGCCGTTCACCCCGCGCTTCGCGCCTGACCTCCAAATTCCACCTCCCTTTCTCTTCCTTACGAACTCCCACCGCCGATAAACAGCAGACGAGCCCTACTAGCGCCAGCGCCGCCATGAACTACACGCCCACCCGCCGCGACTCCTCGGGGGCTCTGACGACAGCCCGCCACCCTCAAGCCCCAAGACCCGCTCCAAGTTGTATAGGAGACCGTCCCTCCCCGCCCTTGGCTCCACCCCGTCCTCGAGCATCAAGGCCCGCAAAGCGTCAAACTCCAACCACCCCCGCGGCAGTGGTAGCGGCGGCGGCGGCTACGGCTTTGGAAGCCTCAGCATGGCCACGGAGCAGACGTGCCGGCAGCTGCGCGCGTATAGGAAGAAGTTGTCGTCAACCGACACGATCAGCAGCGATGTGCTCGCGCAGCTGGATGCGGAACTCCGGTTGACGGCGGCCGCACTCGGGGAGAGGGCGATTAGGAGTCGGACAAACGCCGCTGCCGCTAGCAGCAGGAGTCCTAAAGACAGGGGTCGGGATGGCGGCGGCGGCGGTGGTGGCAGCGCCCAGGAGCTGAGCGAGTCGCTACTAAGTGGGCTGCTAGATCAGTACAGCGAGCGGTTAGTCTCGATGCTAGACGAGAAGCTGAGGCTGCGGCTCACCGAGGAGGAGAAGGATGCTCTGGCCAAGGAGCGGCGGCCTAGTACAGCCGACGATGGGTCGCCGAGTACGACGAGGCGGTCGAGCGAGGGCGGTAGCTTGGGTAGTGGCGGCGGGGTCGTTTGCGAAGAGCCGCAGAGCATGTGATACCTTTATCAGTGGTGGACTACACCCTGATTCTTGCCTTTCCGTTTTCTTTGTACCAAATTACTTAACTTCTCGCGGCGCTAGAAACCTTTCCCTCTTCTTGAACCTCTTACTTTTTTATCATTTCTTTTCCTTACCTCTAGTCTTCTATTATTATCAACCGCTAGGCTATACAGGGAACGGCCCTGCTTTTCTATCAGATATCCGGAAGGGGAAGTCGATATCGGCATCCAGCCACTGCCATAGGGGAGTAAGGCGCCGGGCGTTCTCTGTTTTCTGGGCCGGAGGATAATTTTGGCTCGCTTTCCGCGCGCGCATATGCCTAATCGCATTTCCATCTCGCATGGTTTTTTCCTTCCTTCCTCTTTCCGCATCCCCGCGACTGTGTCAGTTTAACAGTTTCGGCTCTCTGGGGAGGCTTCGAGTCGCTTTGGGATTCATTCGTTGGATGGCGGGGCGCTTGATCGACATGGCGGTTGTGGGGAAGGGGGAAAGGCAAAGGAAACGGAGGTTTAGATGCTAGAGGCTCGGGGGGGTGGCGTCCGATCTAGCTTGCAATTACTGATAGCGATACCATTAGCGGAGTGGATGGACTGGATGGGCCGAATAGAGGTGATCAACCTTGATTTCCATTTTTGATGGTGCCGGTGTCCGCTGCAGATCGGTGTGATGTTGCTCGTGATGGCGATTGTTGGACGTTGGTGTTGAGGTACTGGTAGGAGTAGAGTGAGCGCTTACGCGCCTCCTCGCAGACTAGTCCCGGGAGTCCCTAGCTGTTCGGCACTTTATGATTGTCTGGTTGAACACGGTCATGTCGAGGGAACCTATCTCCTGAGCGGATGCTCCCGTGCGTGGGCGCCTGGACACATGCTGCGGGTGTAAGAGGTAAGGTTGTTGGTTTCTGGGTGCGTGTTGGGGGTAGCATACTTCCGAGCCTGAGCGTCCATCCCATTGCTGAACAGCAGTCGGAACCGCTGCTAGCACCAGTTGCAACACCGGAAAAAATTTGACCTACGTATCAAAATATTATGTGATATTGAGTCAAGATCATGATCCCTTCGCAGTCCCAGTTCTAGAACCTAGATATATGACCCTATAGATAATAACTCCAAGCGCCTAACCATCACCCCCCTTAGCCCCTCTTCTCCTGCGCAGACTCCCCCTTCCCATCACCACTCTGCCTCGTCGCCCTCTCCAGATTCGACCACCTCGCCTCTGCCGCCCTCGCTCTGATCTCCCTCTCGCTCAACCCCTCCGTATTGGCCCCTCCACCAAGAACATACGTGCCCCCTTCCCACCCGCCATGGTCCATGACCATTCCCTCCTCCTCCCCCTCCCCTTCGTCTTGCCCCCCTTCCCTTTCCGGCGCGTACTCTTCCTCCCCCACCGTCCGGCCACCGTGCTTCCAATCGGCCCTCTCCACCTCGCGCTCGATCTCCTTGCACAGCGCCCAGAACTTGGCGTCGTGCTCGCTGTGCACGTTGTGCGCCAGCTCGTGGCACAGCGTCTTGCGGATGACGCGGTAGTCGCGCCAGCCGTCGTACGCGTCCGTGCGCAGCCGCAGCTCGATCACCTCGCCCTTGTTGCGGTTCAAGCCCAGGATGCGCGTGACCCCCTCGTGCGACGCCGCCGTGTGGCTGAGCGGGTCCATCTCGGTCAGCAGGCCGACGCTGAAGCGGTGCTTGCGCATCGTCGCGCGGATGCCCGGGTCCGCCTTGAGCCGCTCGAGGAAGGCCATGCTACGGGCCGAGTTAGGCAGGTGGGGTAAAGGGCGGAGGGTGTGGAAGGTGTAGTTCAGGTCGTCGGCCGTGGCGCGCTGTGCGGCGGGTAGCCGTGCGTAGCGCGCGCGCGCGAGGGCCCGTTTCGCTTGCCAGCTTGTCGCGGCGTCCCGCTGGTGCTGGAGGGAGGACAGGGCTGAGGTCTGCGGGGCGAGCAGCCGGAGGGTGGTGTCATGGAGGGTTGAGAGGGGGATATGCGCGTCGTCGGAGGGGGTGTATAGCGATTTGAGGCCTGGTTGGCGCTTCTCGAGGAGGGCTTTCGCCTTGGACCAGTCGTAGGATGGAAACTCGAGGGAAAGGGAGAGGATTAGGTGCTCAAAGGTGTCGGAAGAAGAGAAGACCCATTTCTGGCTGTGCTTCTCCGGAGGGAATTTGAGTGTGATCTCGACGGGCGACGACTCATCGTCGTCTGAGGGATTGAGTGAGTCTATCCGGGTATCGTTCGGTGATGGCTCCGCCATATCCAACATGAGCAAGTGACGTGATGTGTAGAGAGAATGTGTCACAGGTGAATGAATGAGGGCTGCAGAAAAGGGCTATCCGATTGACTTGCGATGAGTTGTGATGAGCGCCTCACTTGTCGTTCAATCACGTCATTCACTCGACGGTGCAGGTGGACTGAGGCAGCGACTGCCACTCTCGAGAACAAATGAACTGGGATGACAAGGAATGAGATTCAAGATCAGATGGTGATATGTAGATTGTATGTTGAAAGTACCTAGTTGAGAACTGAGAATTGTTTCTAAGGCTCACGTTCTCAGTCGCCTCCGACAGGAGAATGTTCGACGCCAATCCAGAAGCCAGTTTGTAAGACATGCTTTGTCATCCATGTCGCTCTCCAAGCTTCCATCGTTGTAACTGGTGTTGCTGCCATATTTTTGGTGTAATTACCTTTGTCGTGGCTCATGCTTGGCGGCATTACCGGAATCGTTACACAGGTTTTGGTGTAATGACGGGTCTGGCTGTCTGTGTCTGATGCAGTTACATGTCTCACTGACTGTAATTACATGTCTCCTGGCCAGGTTAACATGAACAGCCAGACAGCGCAGCATCCTCCAAAACCGGTTCAACCACAGGTTGGTCGATACCAGTGAATCGGAGCGGCACAAGCAGAATTATATAACGTTGTTGGTCTTCGACGCCGCAAGACCACTGACTTCTACCTGAGACGAGCTTCAACAGATGAAACGAAGAATTGGTCCACACATTGTGTCCGAGGAGTGTGGGTCCAGTCGGTTGGATCAACCGAGATGGCTTCCGAAACAATTCCTGGTTTTCTTCACCGCGCTGACCATCTTAACTGATTGCATCAGGGGCCGAACCCTGAAGATCAATGGCGGGGCGGCTCGATGCATGTGCTGCACCGGGTTTCCAACATCTCTGCAATGAAATGAGACACAAAGCAAGATTGTGCCGCTGTATCCGTCACACACAGTTACATCATCAGCTTATACCGCTCACACGTCGTATTGCTGCGTTGGCTGCTCATGGAAGTTTTTAACTAGTGCCCTCCTCCATCTCGTATCATGCCGTCGTCCAAGCACCTCCTCTGTTCGTCAAGTTCGCTCGGTGAAATTGTCTGCTATTACTCGAGCGGGAATAGCGTATTTTGATCGCCCAATCTCCCCTGAGCGTCTTAGCCAATCGTCTAACAGGAAGCCAGGGACTTTAAACGTTGTGGGTACCCCATCTCGGCCTCCATTCCTGGGGTAACATGCCGCTAACCTTCTTAGAAAGCCCCCACGACCACATGAGGCTGCCCCCTTCGTGTTCTTACTGAGCTCTCTCTCTTCTTCTTTCGTGTTTACGTCTCTGGGCTCTCGTCGATTCTGTCCTGCTCGACAGTCGCTCGTTGGCATCCGAGGTGGGAGCCCAGGTCGCTCTGTGCATCATCTCATCGTTCTCGTCGCTCCTTTGACAACTATTTAATTTCTCATTTGAGGAGATCTGACTTCAGCTACCGATTCTTGTCTCACATTCCAGCCGAAAAACACAGCTCACATTCCAGAAACCGACTTTATTGAAACGGCTATCTCTCGTCCGCTCCCCGTCAATCATGCTTGTACGTCCTTTTGGTTGTCGATGTCCGGGGGCAGCTGTCGTGACACATGCTGCCGTCCCGCAGGCTTCAAGCGAGCAATGGGGGCGCAGGTGCTGATGTGCCCGCTATGTAGATTCACTCGGCGCTCCTGGCGCTCGGTGCCACTTTTGCTGTAGCTCTCCAGCCTCTGGAGGTGCAGGGCGAGTACTTCATCAACCCCAAGACCGGCAACCGTTTTCAGATTGTCGGTGTCGCGTATCAGCCGGGCGGCGCTGCGGGCTACAATGAGGAGTCGGGCCGTGATCCGCTGAGCAATGCCGATATTTGCATGCGCGATGCTGCTCTGCTCCAGATTCTCGGCGTGAACACGATCCGGGTCTACAACGTTAACCCTAACGTGAATCACGATGAGTGTGCCAGCATCTTCAATGCCGCCGGCATGTACATGATTCTCGATGTCAACTCGCCACTGGTCGGCGAATCCCTGACGAGCTATCACCCGTGGGAATCGTACTATGCCGCCTACCTGAACCGCACCTTCGCTGTTGTCGAGGCTTTCAAGAACTACCCCAACACCCTGGCCTTCTTCTCCGGAAACGAGGTGCTCAACAACGAGGAGACGGGTGCTGATGTGCCGCCTTACATGCGCGCCGTCACTCGCGACATCAAGAACTATGTCAAGAAGCATTCCTCGCGGCCCATCCCGGTCGGCTACTCAGCCGCCGACGTTCGTGATATTCTGTTCGACACGTACAACTACTTCCAGTGCTCTCTCGAGGGTGACGATGGCGACATGAGCATGGGCGACATCTTTGCCCTCAACAGCTACAGCTGGTGCGGCGACAGCTCCTTCAAGAAGGCCAAGTACGACCAGCTGGTCGAAGGTTTCAAGGGCAACTCTGTGCCCATCTTCTTCTCCGAGTTCGGCTGCAACACGCCCTACCCTCGCGTCTTCACCGAGGTCGGCACCATCTATGGCCCCGACATGACGGGCGTCTTCTCCGGCGGCGTCGTCTACGAGTACACCCAGGAGCCCAACAACTACGGCTTGGTGAACATGACAGAGGACGGCTCCGCCACCCTCATGGGAGACTTCCTGTCGCTGCAGAGCCAGTACGCCAAGCTCAACTTCACCGAGATCCAGGCCCAGAAGCCCGCCTCCACCTCGACGCCCAAGCCGCCCGTGTGCGACGCCAAGCTCATCACCACCAAGGGCTTCAACTCCAACTTCACCCTGCCCAAGCTGCCCCCAGGAGCCCAGGAGATCATCGACAAGGGCGTCAAGCCGACCCCGAGCGGCAAGCTGGTCGAGATCAAGGACTGGAACGTCAAGTTCACCGTCAAGAACCCCGACGGCAGCGTCATCTCCAACCTGCACGTCGTCCCGCTCAAGGACGATACCATCAACCGTAAGTCTCCGCCCTTCACCCTCTAAAACTCCGACCAAGCACTACGTAAGGTACTAACCAACTTGGCTACTTAGACCCCGGCTCCAACACCGACGCCACCACCGCGGAAGCCTCCACCACCGGCAGCGGTACCGGCACTGGCACCGGCACCTCATCCTCAGCTGCTTCGTCCACCCCCAGCCGGGACGCCGCGCCTCGCGCTGGCGCCGTTGTCCTCCCTGCCGTGGCAATGGGCGCTCTGGCCGCCGTGGCTGGTTTTGCCCTTTAAAGCCCCCGGCATCGAGGACTGGTTGTTGGGAGAACATGCCGTGAATTGCGTCGGTCATAACGGGGGGTTGTGGCGGTCAGATCTTGAGACTTTGCTATAATGTACGGGGTGTGTGTTTCTTGTAGATAGGTAGCTTGAGTCAAAGCATAGTAGGGAGGGAAGGGGGAGAACTGGTTTCTTTCAGTCCTCGGATTATCGCTTCTTCAGCTTGCATGCGGCTCTCTCATGACCGTGTATAATGTGATACCATGTTCTTCTGCTTTATTTTTGCTCTGGAGATGGTCGTTTTGAGATTATAATACCCGGTCCCACGGGACTATGGCACATATATAAGGTAACTTCAACCCCAGAATTATCTATCTCTAGGTAACAGTAGCCCTCCTTAAGGCTGTAGATCAAACTTCGGCTCTTACGTCAAAGCGTATGTGGTGAACCAAATAAAAGCATAAAGATAGAAAGAAGAAGGAATACCAAGATGAAGAGAGGGAAGAGGAGGAGAGAGGGAGCAACAAAATAAAGAAAAAGAACGCACGGAGAAAAGAATGAAGATAAGATAGGAGAGAAAGGACCAAGAGAGCTCATCTATTAGAGTACCAGGGTTGGAATGATAATTGGGTCGGCTCATATGACATAGTCCTTCGGGACAAGGCCATCTCTCGTAACGCTTCCAGAAGTACGTCACTCATCTGGTTTATTATACTTTCTATCGGGGACCCTATTCTTCCCATGACATAAAATGTGCCGTATTAAAAAGAATCGTCAGACGGCAAGGCGAATAAGCATCATTTCTACCCTCTTGGTGACCACCCTTTTAACCCTGGAACTCCTGAGCCTTGCTTTCCTCCCACTTGCCCGGGATGAGGGCCAGGGGCACAATGCCCGAGACATGCATCTCGGGGCCAAAAATCTTGGCGTTCAGACCAAGCTCCTGCGTCGCCGCCTTCATGTTCTTAAGACCCTCTTGATAGTTGGGGCCGGCACGGCGGACCCAGATCTGCACATTATGCTCATTAAGAACGTTGGCGTACTCCCTGAGCGCCTTGATGACCCCCTTGAAAGTGCTGGCGACGTTGGTAAAGTTCGCGATACCACCACCGATGAAGAGAACCTTGCCCTTGGGGTTCATCGGCGCTCGGAGCATCAGATCGAGCACGGTCCGGGCATAGTGGTATGTCTGAGACTCGGTGGGCGCACCGGAGTACTCGCCGTAGTTAGCCAGCTCGTCGGCGAAGCCGGCTGAGGCGATGGCATCGGCATAGACGACCGAGGCACCACCACCGGCCACGAGGGTCCAGATTCTGCCGTTAGGGTTCAGAACCGTCAGCTTGAGCGAGGCGCCGGTCTTGGCATCGAGCTCGGCGATGTAAGCTTCCTCTTTGGAAAGCTCACGGCCGAAGGGCGCAGGGAACTCAATCGGCGGGCCGGCATCGATGTTGACCGTGCCTTGGTTGGTTGTGGGAGCAACGATGCCCAGAGCAGCCGGTGACCGCGCAATTGCCCACTTTACACCACACTCAAAGTCTGCTGTTTGATCCAGCTTGGCAGCAAGGTCGAGGAAGTGCACCGAAGCAGAGGTGTTATCCTCGTTGGGAATGACGACCAAGGGGTTGATCTCAAGGTATGTGAACTGGCAATCAACATAGACGGCGTACAGCCGCGTGACTTCAAGAGTGTTAGTTGCTTGATGATACCAACTTCCGCGTGGAATGGAGGCTTACTGAAGTCGACCAGGACATTGTGCACGCCCTTGGGGACCTTCTTCAAGAGCGTGGCAGCGATCTCCTCGTTTGAGGGATATTGTGTAAGGTCGACAGGGATGAGGAGCTTCTCTGCCTTCGAATCGACATCGCCGACATCAACACCACCCTCGTGGGTGAACAAGATCCAGTCGCCCTTGATAATATTGTCAGCCTCGTGCATACCTTCGGAGTGCGTTGCCTGATTCCGGATTTGTGGGCCAGCCGACCCACACAATGCATGGGGTTTAGCCTCCGTTCGTCCGTGACCGCTCGGCAGCCATTTCCAAGCGGGACACGTTTGACCGGGAATGAAATGCTCTTTGCCCACAGAGTTTTCTGAGTATAAAGACTCAGGAACATCCGCCGGTTGATGCAGATGTTGTGCCCTTCTCTCACATCGCCACCTTTCCCGACTCTCATGGTTTCGGCTCTTGGACAATATTGCCTTTCGCTTGCACTTGCAAGTGGGGTTGGTCCTGCGAATCGAATACAGAGTGGTGCCAAATTGAGAATCGTCACTTACATCGCGAACCGAATTGATCTATGAGGAGTTAGCGAGACGTGCTCTCAACGATGCAGTTGGCTATGATGCGACTCACGTTGATATAGTACTCAGTCTCAGGCGGGTGCGGCACAAAAGGCTCGACGAGGAACGACCGGAGAACGCCCTCAGTGTGTTCGACCTTCTGCACCTTGCCGGCGCGCTCAGCAACCCACGCCCTCGCCTCGGCCCAGGTCTTGTTGAGGGCCAGCAGACCGCTCTTGCCGCGGCGCTTGATGAGCTGATCTGGCTTAGCCACGAACCTGGCGTCCGAGTGCAGGAGCCACGGGTATGTGATCTCGGCCTGGTCAAGCACGGCATTGACGTCGGCGTTCTCAGGGAAGTACAGCGACGCGAGCCTGGGAGGAGGGTTGTGCGTGGTCGGGGCTGGCAGCGGGCTGGGCTTGATCACCGGGGCCCGAGTAAGGTGATAGTTGAGGATGGCCTTGCCATCGGCCTCGAGGATGCTTTTCGCAGACATCTTTGTGGTGGTGAGTCGACAACTCCTTTTCTCTCCTTGATCCTTTCCGAATTCTGCTCCTTTCTACCCTTTGCAAAATGTCAGAACGGTCCCAAAATAGCTCTGTACTGGCGCTCGCGAAGTCGCGTGTGGCCGAGCACGGATATGAAGGAATCAAAGCTGAGGTGGCAGTGCTATTCCAACCTCAAGCGAGGGGCAATTTACCAGATGAGAAGTCTCAAGAAACTGGACCGCAGAAAAATGGACGCTTGTACGCGAAGGAATGCCACAGCAAAGTGAAGTGAGGGAGAGAAGGTGGTGGACAAAGCGAGGAATTCTCTTAAGATGCAGCTCCCTTGGAAAAACCTCGAGGACGATTTCCGAACCTGGGCTTTGGCAAAACACTCGGGGCAACAGCAGCACAGGGGACCGCAGTGTCCCTTTGGGTTGGGGGAGGCGCCAGAAAAACGTTCCAGGTACCGTTCCCCGCCAAAACCATTGGGGTTGATTCAAGCGGGGCAGTGCCCTCGGGGCGGTCAGGAACCAGAGGTACCGGTACCTGTCCCGACCCCAGTGGAGCCGTCGGCCGAACACCTGGCTCTCTTCCTCACCTCTCCGTCTCGCCCCGCTCCTGCATTGTGGCCGCAAAGATACCCGACCTGGGGTTGTTCTTTCTCGTTGGCGATGCCCGAGTGGTTTACTTCCCGTCTTTCTATTGCTATTATCTTCGCAAACGGGTGTCTCTTTCCTTCCTGCTAGTGCTGGGGTCAAAAAGGCGGAAGGAGTTGGGGATCTTCCGGCCGGGAACACCACTTGGGCCGGTGCAGTCTGTCAGAAAAGAATTCGGACGGGATTGCACCCGTCGACGATTGCCGAGCGCCCCAAGGTGGTTTGAGCTTTCGTGTGCTCAGTTCGGACATGCTGAGTTCTGGGCCCGCGGCGCCCGATGCCCGAGATGTGGGATGGGTCCCCGATCTCAAACTCCGGAGTGCGATACGGTGCCCCGCAGCAGCCGGCAGCTCCCCTCGACAGCCCAGCCGTCTCGTTCCTTCCTGGTCGTCAGGTCAATACACACAAGGCAAGTGCCTGTGTGTTTATTACGTTTCGGGCAGTTCTATTCAAAGAGTGCCTTCACCCTCTGGTGCATTGTTGCGTGGGAAACTGCTGGCCGGGGAACGGCATTCCAGCGCTTTCTCAAATTTTTGGACTTTCGGAGGGGGATCGGATGGTGTGGTGGCTGAGGTAGCGGTACTTCATGCTTGGCGCGCATTCGGCACCCCACTTCGCGTCAGCTTCGTGGCAGAAAAGCTCAGGCTTGACCCAAATTGGTGCAGGTCCGTCAGACGATCGGACAAGGGTCCAAAAGAGTTGGGGAACTGCCACCATTTGTTGGACCGTTGACCCGGCCTCCATCCAATTGAAGGGCTTGCGACGATTCCAGCAAACGAGGGCTCGAGTTCCGGAACCTTGCCGGGGCAACTTCACTAAATTCTACAGCTGCGGAGCTCTTGCGCCTACCCCGAGTGTGGTGCTTCCCGACGAAACAGCAGCGACCGACAAAAACCTCTCCCCCAAAATTGCTGCCCGCCTGTCCTCCCATTCCTGCCAACCCATCATTCTCCCTCGCTCCGATTCCCGCGCCCACAAGCAGCGTCGCCTCTTTGTCCTTCTTTCTGATCCAGACAATTCCCGGCGAGTTTCGAGTTGAGAAAGCACACAGACTTCACAATGGCCAGCGACGGCGTTAAGACCGGCGGGCTGTCCGCGAATGATAACATTCGCCGTTTTGCTGCCCCTAGCCGGCCCCTCAGCCCACTCCCCGCCCATGCTCTCTTCAACGACAAGACAAGATGCTTTGTTTACGGTCTGCAGCCGCGTGCCGTACAAGGCATGCTCGACTTCGACTTCATTTGCAAGCGGTCGACCCCGTCTGTGGCCGGCATCATCTACACATTCGGTGGTCAGTTCGTCAGCAAGATGTACTGGGGAACCAGTGAGACGCTGCTTCCTGTGTACCAGCAGGTGTCGAAGGCGATGGCCAAGCACCCTGATGTTGATGTGGTGGTCAACTTCGCGTCATCTCGTAGCGTCTACAGCTCGACGATGGAGCTGATGGAGTACCCGCAAATCAAGACGATTGCGATCATCGCCGAGGGTGTTCCGGAGCGCGTAGGTTCTGCGATCTCCTGACAGCGTTAGCGGGCATTTGGGTTACTAACGGATGAAATCACAGCGGGCTCGTGAGATCGCACATGTAGCGCAGAAGAAGGGCGTCACAATCATTGGTCCCGCCACAGTTGGTGGTATCAAGCCCGGCTGCTTCAAGATTGGCAACACCGGTGGCATGATGGACAACATTGTTGCCTCCAAGCTCTACCGCAAGGGCTCGGTCGGCTACGTCTCCAAGTCCGGCGGCATGTCCAACGAGCTGAACAACATCATCTCGCAGAACACAGATGGCGTTTACGAGGGGGTGGCGATCGGTGGTGACCGGTATCCGGGTACTACCTTCATCGACCATCTTCTGCGGTACCAGGCGGATCCCGAATGCAAGATCCTCTTGCTTCTTGGCGAGGTCGGTGGTGTTGAGGAGTACAAGGTCATCGACGCGGTCAAGAATGGCGTAATCACCAAGCCAATTGTTGCGTGGGCCATCGGCACTTGCGCCAGCATGTTCAAGACTGAGGTTCAGTTCGGCCACGCTGGTGCTTTCGCCAACTCGCAGCTCGAGACGGCTGCGATGAAGAACAAGAGCATGCGGGAAGCGGGCTTCTACGTTCCCGACACATTCGAGGATCTGCCGGCCCTTCTCAAGTCCGTATACGACAAGCTCGTCAAAGAGGGCACCATCACGCCCAAGCCAGAGCCCGTCGTTCCCAAGATCCCCATCGATTACTCGTGGGCCCAGGAGCTCGGCCTTATCCGCAAGCCCGCTGCCTTCATCTCCACTATCTCCGATGACCGTGGCCAAGAACTTCTCTATGCTGGCATGCCCATCTCGGACGTTTTCAAGGAGGACATTGGCATCGGTGGCGTCATGTCCCTGCTGTGGTTCCGCCGCCGCCTGCCTGACTACGCATCCAAGTTCCTTGAGATGGTGCTCATGCTTACGGCCGACCATGGTCCGGCCGTGTCTGGTGCCATGAACACCATTATCACCACTCGTGCCGGCAAGGACCTCATCTCTGCGCTGGTCAGCGGTCTGCTCACGATCGGCTCTCGGTTCGGTGGTGCCCTGGATGGTGCTGCTGAGGAGTTCACCAAGGCGTTCGACAAGGGCCTCAGCCCCCGTGAGTTCGTCGACAGCATGCGCAAGCAAAACAAGCTGATTCCGGGTATCGGCCACCGTGTCAAGTCGCGGAACAACCCGGATCTGCGTGTGGAGCTGGTCAAGGAGTATGTGAAGGCCAAGTTCCCCAGCCACAAGATGCTCGATTACGCGCTGGCGGTTGAGACAGTCACGACCTCCAAGAAGGACAACCTCATCCTGAACGTGGACGGCTGCATTGCTGTCTGCTTCGTTGATCTCCTCCGGAATTGCGGCGCCTTCAGCACGGAGGAGGCGGAGGACTACCTCAGCATGGGCGTGCTCAACGGCCTGTTCGTCCTCGGCCGCAGCATCGGCCTGATTGCCCACTACCTTGACCAGAAGCGTCTCCGCACCGGCCTGTACCGTCACCCGTGGGATGATATCACGTACATCCTGCCGAGCCTGCAGCAAAACGGCCCACCGGGCACTGAGGGCCGTGTGGAGGTGCAGATGTAAAAGGGGCTACGGGTTTATTCTTAGATGGTCGATGATCTTAGGCGTGGTTTCCAATTTACTTGGAACGGGCCAGCAAACATGGTTTTCTGTCATGATGAAATGATGTGCCTCAACGCGGCGAGGTAGTCAATGGCCCGGAGGAGGGCATAAACTAGGCCCGAGTTAGCTTACACGGTTTTAGAAACTTTAATGAGTCGCCAAGATTAGGTACGCAGTGTTCTCCGATGCGGTGTCTTGTCAATGCACATGTACAGTGACATGTCGTCGGACAGCTGCAGTGTCAGCATCGGAATGCCGATGAAGGTGGTAATGTGTGTCAGCAATATCCGTAGAACGCCGATGAAGGTGAGAAATGTCCCGAGGGCGGTTCCCATCGCCGACTTTCTTTTTGGTTTGCCCCCGAGGACAACGGGCGGCTGTGGTCAACTTGGGCATCTGGGGTGTTGAACTCCGGCGGACTTCGATGTGTTCAAGCTGCTGTCCAGTATTCCTCCCGAATTATTGAAATCCGAAGGTTTTCTAGTAATGTGAACAAACTCAGGTCAGCACGGTCAGGTACTGCTGACCATCACTGACACAGCACGTCCACAGGTGTCGCTTACTAGGCACGTGCTAGGTACTGAAAAGTGGGGGGAGGGAGGAGGGGTTGCGGGGCGGCGGTGTTCCACCCTCGGGCAGATAACTAGTAGGCGGTCGGGGAAGGCAGAATGCTCACGTCTCGGCAAGCTTGCCTGCCGGACTACTGTACTACCGGGCCGTATTTTCTTGTGCTTTCACGGAATTTGCCGACGGGAGCTAGACGACATCGAGGGCATTTGGCTGGTACACGGGTCTTGTTTTACGACCAACTCCCAGTAACATAAGATTGAATTGGCCTTGGGGCCTGGCTTGGGGTGAGTTCTTTTACGTCTATTCCTGCGTAGGCTATAGAGCGGTCCTAAGCTTTGGTCCAGGTGCTGATTGCGGTTGCTTTGAAGGCACGAAGAATCGCCTTGCTCGCTGCCCGCCTTGACGACGGCGCGAAAGCTACAATAGAAGCAAGGCGTAACATCCCATTTGTTTTGCGTCGCATATCATCCAAGTTTGCTGTTGTCCCGTCCATACGCCCTGGCAACCATCCATCGAGGCCGGCTTTCACGACGCCAAGACGAGTCCGTGTACCTTCGACAGAGAGAGAGAGAGAGGGAGAGACAATCAACCCGAGAAGCCACAACACACCACACCACCAAAACACAATGTCCTACTTCCGCATCACCCTCCACCGCTCCGCCATCGGCCTCCCCAAGCGCACCCGCGGCGTGCTGGCCGCCCTCGGCCTGCACCGCCGCTCGCAGGTGGTCTTCCACCCGGTCGAGGCACAGTTTGCGGGGATGATCATGAAGGTGAAGGAGCTGGTGAAAGTCGAGGAGGTGGACCGGGCCTTGTCGAAGCGCGAGCTGCAGGACTCGCGGAAGCCGCCCGCGGGCTTCTACGTGGAGCGGGCGGTGGACAGGATCAGGACGGGTCCGTCGTCGTCGCCTTTGTTGAAGGCGGCCTTGGAGGCGCAGCAGCCGCAGCAGCAGAGCCAGACTCAAGCGGAGGAGGTTAGGTTATGAGGGACAGGAAGAACTGCTGTAGTGTACGATACATGGTTGTACAATTAGCTTGGTTGCATGGGCTTGTCCAGAGTGTGGTGCCCATTCCGCCAGCTGCCATGATGATAGCTGTGAAGGAACGCCCATCTCAACATGCAAAGCCGACAATAAGGTAGCGCAAAGCATTTTGCATCTTTTGATAGCTGGCCAGACGATATACTGTGATACAGGGAACCATTTCTATTTCTGCCCACGTTCCCTAGCCTGATAATCTTGTGACCGCTGACCAGACGATACTGTGTGATCAGGGGACCATTTCTACCTAGTTATGCCCTACGTTACCTAGCCTGATAACCCGATGTGCCCGAAACAAACGAACCGAAAAAAGAAGCCTCCGAAGCAAACAGGACGCAAAAGCAAATCCGCTCGCACCGCCGCCGAGGAGGAACGGAAAGGCTACTGCCGGGAATGAAGACGACGACTAATGGGGGGAGACGGTGACCTCTCCTGTTTTTCCTCAAACTGTCCTTGCCGGAAACGCGGAGGATAGCCCCTGATAGATCTTCCTGGCCACAGCCCGTAAAACGGGCCCTCTTCAAGTTGTTCCTCGTCCGTCTCTTTCTTCACCCCCTTGCCCTTGTCAGCTTTTCCGGCCTCAGGTGTTTTCTGTCCCTCAACCGCTTCTTTCGTCCCCTTGACGTTTTCTGCGACATCAAGTGTTCCCTAGACGCTCTTGACTTTCTCGAGGTAGTCCTGGTCGGGATTCTCGTACTCGGGTACGAAGTATTTTGTCACATGGCGGGAGAACCAGTTGGTGAATTTGATAAGTTCCTCCCGAAGACGGTTGACCGACTGCTGGTCCATGTTGGTCTGTGCAATGAGTTCAGGGAGCGTGACTGTTCTTCTTGTCAGCAATTGTTTGTTCATCGTGTGTCATGGGATGTAAGGGGAGCACATACCCAGCAGACGGGCCATGTGCTCTGCACCGTACGTGTCCTTGGCGCTTTTGTGGTTGCTGTCCGCTGAGTGCCACAGCTGGTGCATCTCATGATATTGAAGGCGCTCAAAGCTGTGGAAGACTGTTAGATAGGGCGAATACAACGCAAGGCGGCCCTAAGAGCTTACCGATACAACAAGAGGCGGCCGAGAGCCTGATCGAAATAATCTCGGAGACCGACAATTGTCTCCTCCAGCACGTCCATGGATGCACTGCCCGGTTGGCGGTTCGGGCGCTCATGTGCTAGGTAGTCCTCTAAGATCTCGGTGACGGGATGGACATGGGGAAGCGGTACGAGCTGATGATTTTTGGTGATATTCTCCCAGTCGTCGACGAGCAGGGACTTGATGTGATCGGGCACCGGAATCTTGACGGATGGCCGATTATAGAAGTTCTCCTCCTGGATTCCCCCTTGTCAGCCATCATTCCTGAGATCAGTGAATTGATCAAAAATATTCTAATAAAATCTGTGGTTATTAAAGGTAGAAATCTATTTATTTCTAGTCGAAGGAAGACAACAGAGAATAAGAAGATGATTAACCCTCGGAAGAGTCTTGAGGGGGGTGGTGCGGTCCGTCCGCTTGCCCGCTTGGGCTCTGTTCGCTCGTCGGCCAAGCGGCCGCTGTTGCCCGCAGCACCGGCCAAAGCGACCGAGGCGCCGCCAGCGGGAAGATGAGTCGATCCGATTCATCCATGGGGACCCCTGCAACGGGCACATTGATCTTGGGATCCATGTGCTCGTAGTACCTGACCAGCTCTTGCGTCAAGGTGCCGTTCTTTTTAGCCTCCCTTATCTTAGGGTGGTTAGCACCAATCGGAGCCTTTGGAGGCTTTTGGTCATAGGCGTTGTCAAACGCCGTTCGGCCGTGACTGTCCATGTATTGCGATGTGGACTTGGTTGGCGGCCGAATCAACCTGTCGTTCTTTGCCGCGCGGGCAAAACACCTCGCCTCCTTTCGGTGCCATTCCGATGGTGCTTCCTGTCCTGACGTCGGGGCAGCGTTTGCGGCCTTCGTACGCTTGGCCGGCTGGTTTGCGGCGTTATTTCCTTTCGTTGTGCTTCCGGCCGGCAGTCTGGCGGCCTTCTTCCCTTTCGCTGTGATTTCGGCCGGCTGTTTCGCGGCTTTCTTGGACCCTCGGAGCGCCTGTTGTTGAGCCGGCAGTGCCGCGACCTTGGGAGTCTGGGCACGCTCGACGGGCGTCTCGACATCCTGCTCCGCCTGGCGGGAAGTCTGCTGCCGGGGCAACGTTGTTTTGACCTTGAGGATTATCCTCCTCTTCGTCGGCTGCTTGGCGGCCTGCTCGGGCTCTGGGAGCGTCTGTTGTTGAGCCGGCAGTGCCGCGGCCTGAGGAGTCTGGGCACGCTCGACGGGGGTCCCGACATCCTGCTCCGGCTGGCAGGAAGCCTGCTGCCGGGGCAGCGTCGTTTCGGCCTTGGGGATTGCCGTCCTCTTCCGCTTGGCTGGCTTGTCGACTGCCTCGCACGACTCCGGGCGTGAACGTTTAGTTCCCTTCTTGGCGGCGTGATCGAGGTTCATGAGCCTCTGCTCCTGCTCCAGGGTCTCTGTGACCTTCTGACTCGGCTTCCTTATGCGCTTTGCCGGTCGCTCCATAGAGGGGTCCGACTCGGGGCGAGGCCGCTTAGCTCCCTGATCGGCCGATTGATCTCGCTCGGGAGAGATGTTTTCTTTCCCCAACTCTCCGGCTCTGTCATCGGATGGCTCCGGCGCAAGGACGGGAGGCGCGCCGCTGGCCCAAGGGACGGGAGGGACTGGCGCCATGTCGTGGGCAGGTATTATCTGCCCCAACAGTATCGCCAGTCTCCGGGGGGGCGACAAGGAATCGTTGCCGTCCTGCAGTTGATGGTTCGGCGGGGCTCGGGAGGTTGGAGTCGGGTTGCCAGTTCCGTGAGACTCCATTTCGGGGGGGCGAAAACAAGGATTGTGATGGATATCCAACGAAATACTCAAAATTGAGCAAAGCATGGGCAGAATTAAGGGGCTACAAAACGACGACGATTGTCGTAATGACGAGAGTTTTGACCAGAAATCCTCCGGAGGGTCGGGTTGGTTGTTCTGATCAGGCAAATCAATGCAGAGGTGGAAGGTCGAAGTGAAAGCAGGAGTCGGAAAAACGTGGGGAGAGGTCAAGACGTCCTTAAGGGGTATTGCTGTTGACTGGCAAGCGGACCATTGTTCACCACAGTGGCCCAAGGTCAATGCACTCGCTCGGTGGTGATTCGCAAGAGTGCTTAACACTGTCCGGTGCAGTGTAAACGGAGCTGCGGCGCATCTGCTTCCCCTTTTCGGAAAGGGTTCGTCATCGCTGAGCCGGAAGAGTGCGAAGTAGCGCGCTGTTCGACAAGATATGTGACCACATGACTGCCGGGAAGCGAGCTGCGGCAACGCCGCCCCAAAACGGACTGTCTGTTGCGAACCTAGTGTGTAAGCGGGGGGCGAGGTCTGGATGCACTTGCATCCAGAGACTCCCACAAATAGCGCTGCGATGCTGCAGACGCACAGACTGGGACAAAGCTCACGAAAGGGAGACAGAGGCAACGTCATCAAAACATATCAACCTACCTGCTCGAGGTCATAGTCCCTCGCCCGACGAGGACCGCGCCCGGTGGCAGTCGTGGTGCCCGCAGTGCGCTCCTCACTCCCGCGGGCAGAACTCATGTCCGAGGCTCGACCACCCTTCTTGGCCGATTGCTTGGCCGTCTTGCTGGACTGCAACGACTTGGACTGGGCCAAGAGCTGCGCGGCTAATTCCTTGTTCTCGTCGGTGAACTTGCGGATGCGGTCCTGAGGCACCCAGTCGTCCCAGGTGTTCTTCCAGCCCTTGTAGTGGATCTTGTACAGCCAACCGTCGCCACTCTCGGCCGACATAATGTCAAGGATTTTGGCCTCGTAGAGCATCTCCATGTGGAAACAGAGCACACGCTCGTCCTTTTGGAACGGCGGCTGCGGCTGTTTCGACGGGGCCATGGTGAGGGTGAAGGTGAAGGTGAAGGCGGATTATGATAGTAAGACTCGCTATGATGTTCTTAGTGACGAATCCCACTTCGACGGATCGATCGAAAGGGAAGTCCATTTTACAAAGCCTGCATACATACTTTCCCGATGCGCGATGTTCCTGCGCGTTCTAGCAGCACGAGGGCTCCGAAAGGTTCGCGTGACCAAATGTTCCCCGGCACGGTGTGACGAAGTGACGATGGAGAGGATGGTACGCGCCTTGTTGAGCGTTTGGACTCTTGCAGAACGAAATTATATAGATTACAGCGGAACCTTCAGGGCAGGAATTTGAGTAGCTTCTGAAAACAGAAGCCTATCGGTGATCGGACGTTGAGAATGTGAGCGTCACGGTTGCCAAAGGGGACATGTTCTCTCTTTCCTAACCAGGGGTCAGAGAGGATCACGGGAACACGCGATAACTACTACTCCGTAGCGCTTGCCTTGTCAACCCCTGCCGCAGTGCCGCTTCCCTCATTCCGCGGCCGTGCACCCTTCACACTGCTTGGCAGTTATTACCCATCCATCATTACCCACTTCAACTAGTCTGCTGTTTCCCCTTCAGAGCATTTTCAAGCGTCTGGATGGGACTAAAGATAATACCACCTACTGCTACCGGTGCTACTTATATCTACCACGACTGCCCTGGCCATCTGGTTTGTCTCAGACAGTTCTTGACAATCCATAAAAACACACCATGGCGCCAACAGAGCAAACTATTCTGAGCAACTACCTGCTTGTTCCTGCCCAGCTGCCAGCAATTATCTCACTGCAGGAGTTCATTGCCTTATTTCCGCGGCAGTTGCAGTCTTCCCCGCGAATTCGCAGCCTCTATCGTGATTTGCAGAGCCAGCGAAATGTAGTTGTCGACGCTGTTGCAGAGGAAATCGAACAGGAGGTGAAGCAGGGCAAGGCAATGCGCCGCGCGGTGATCAGGTCAAAACGCGAGGCAGAGGCAGAGGCACAGGAACAGGATGACGAGGTCGAGATCGAGAGAATGGTCAGTCTTATTCGTAGCTGTTCACAGCACAATTATTGCAGAACTAGAACATGGAATCCGGCTGACTGACAACCCCGCAGCTGGGAAACTGGTCAGCGCCTCAAAATCCACGGCACAGCCTGGCGTCTATCCTGCCAGATATGGAAGGAGCCATCGGTGCGCTGGAAGCCGAGCTGCAGCTCCTCGAGGAGGAGGAAGCCGCTCTCCTGGCCTCTGTCCGGGGCACTGTGGGCGGCATGAGCGACCTGCGTTACGGCCGTTTGGCTAACAGCCGATTGCCGGAGCAAGTCCTCGACGGCTTAGTCAACCTTCAAGAGATCTGCAGAGGAAAAAGCTGATCTGGATTTGAACGCAACTCCCTTTGTCCCATGACCGTGCAATATCCCTAGTGCTCGAGACAGAAGCGATGTCCATACATATTCGAATCCATACACGGTGTGGTGTGCCTTCCAACCTGCCTTATCTGGCCGCCAGACCCCAAGCAACAATAGAAACACAAGGCATCCGACCCAGTAATTACACCACCGTCATTCTCACAGGAAATACACAGCTAGAGATAACAGGGCAGCCCCATCCCCTCATGCCTTTTAAGAGCGGGCATCTCCCGGAGGAGCAGCACGCGGTGCCGCACCCGGGGCGCCGCCCTGCCGGGCCCTGGGATCCATGCGGCGGTTCCTGTCAAACAATCATTAGCACATGCCCCCCCAAAAAGAATGCCCCTTCACCAAGGAGTCCTGTGAACTCACATCATCGTCCTACTGAGGAATGATACAATCAACATCATGCCCCACGAGGGGATGGCGCTCAGCGCCCAGAAGAAGTAGGCCAGCGGCACCGCAAGCCCCCACTTCGCAAACTTGCCGTGGAAAGGGTGGAAGTAACCTTCCGGATCGATCCTGCGCCAGCCCGTCTCCGCGTCGGCCTTGTCCGCCTTGTACGCGTCCACGATGTCCTGAGTCGTGGTGGTAGTCAGGTTCAGCCGCTTGGCGTAAATGTCGACATTCGCCGGGGCGGGCAGCATCTCGAAGAGCCAGAGCGCGCCCGTGTTGGCCGACCAGGCGTTGCAGAGCACGGGCTGGTCGTCGCAATTGACGTAACCTAGGTGCTGTGGGGATTGAGACGCCGGGAGGTTGGCGAAAGACTTCGCCGACTCGTTGAAGGCCGCTTCAACCTTGTTGCAGTGGCCTGTTCGGCGTATCACATGTATGGTTAGTTACCCAGGTACCGCTGAATAGCGGGCTGTCAACGCGGGGAAAGCGCACCAAAGCAGGTCTTATTCCGGCCCGTTACCAGCACCAACCACTCCTCGGGCTGCGTTGCCTCGGCCTTGACGGGCGCATACAACGTGTCCTTCCAGTTCTCGAGCGTGAGAGTCTCGATCTTCATGGGCTCCGCCACCAGCTTGGACTTTGCCTTGTCCGTGGCGGCACTGGCCGCAGAAGATACTGCGTCCGCCGCTTTCTCTGCGTTAGGGACTGACGCGCCGAAGCTGCTGAGGAAATTTTGGAATTTGGCCTTGTACTGCTCGAACGGGCTCTCGGCAGCCGACGCGAGCAGCGGCAGCGCCAGTACTGCGGTTGTAGAGAAGCGCATTGTCACGGAATATAAATCTACGACTGGTTGACTTGTCTTCGGGTGCGTTGGACAAAGAGATGGGAAAGGGGGAACACGAGTTTGTATAGATCTGTGTCCGGTTTGGAGCGCGGGCCTGGTAATGATGTAGTTGTATTGGAGAAATGAGGGGTCGGTGACGGAGCCAGAGGACTGCTAGAGCTGGGAAGGAGTGGCTTCACCGGGTTGACACCAACAGAGTCTGTTGTCGCACGATCGGCGGATAAGTTCGAGAAATGGAAGGGTCGCGACGAAGATTCTACTATCGAGATTATCTGTTTCCTTAACAGCTAGCGTGCTTGCATGGAGCGCGTCGACCAGGGTGCCGGCAAGCTGTCCGGACTGTAACCCCTTTCTGGACAAATTGTGGGCCCGAGCAGCGAGGAAGCCGGCGACCGTTCGCATCTCGAATTTAAGTGGGGCGTTCCGTGTCCGGGCAACGCTCAATGCTGCGCGACCGTGCGCGACGTGTTGGGTGGGGGTTACCTAGTTGCCTCTACAGTCTACTGGTATCGAGAGCGTCAGGGCGATTGTAAACACCACGTAAAAGCCACTTCTTGTGCGCCTATGCATATATTTTCATGTTATGGTACGAGATCCAATGATTGATATAGAACCGGACTAATACTCAATCAGGCGCCTGGTGAACCGAATCAGAAGCGGAAACGCGGTCGCCCTCCGGCCGCGTCTAAAACTAGTACTCCGAATGCGACGGAGCCGGTCCAGGAACAGCCGGGGATCGAGCAATCAGCGAAGGACACCGCCGCTCCAAAAAGGCGAGGGAGACCACACAAAAGCATTGATACAGAATCACAAAACGAACCGCAACCAGCACAGGTGGAGGCCGACCAAGCCAGCTCGGCCACGGTCACAGCGCCCAAGAAAAGGGGACGGCCTCCAGTGGCCCGCGAGACTGAAGCACAAGAAGCGGATACAGTCCAACCACCGCCAAGGAAGCGGAGGAGGGCTGGTGAAACGCCAGAAGCAAACAATGGGCGGGACGAAGGCGAAATGAGTAAGAGCGCTAAGTCGAACAAGACGTCAGGCAATGCAGCTCAGCAGGTTACAGAATCCGGGGGACCAAGCGTAGCAGAGGCGTCGAAACGCCGAGGAAGGCGGGGCCGTCAGTTGGACACCAGCCCTGCGGAGCCTCTCGGGAAAGACCTCAAAACAAACAAGGGACGCGACGATGGATCGAAAGGTAAACTAGGACGCAAGCCTGCAGTTAGTACCGGGCAAGGAGAGGAGGAAGAACAAGCCGCGGAAGATCGGTCAGTGCGCCAAAGCAGGAGGGGTCGTCGATCAGCAGATGACGACGCACGACCTGCTGCCAACCAGGCATCTCTCAATGCTGCCAATGGCGGAAGAGAAGTGCCAGTTCTTCAGGGACGTAAGCGCGGCCGCCCGTCTCTAGCGGAGTTATCTGCCAGAGAAGCACAGAACAATTCCGGACCGTCTCAACCTGAAACACAAGGACAGAAAAGGGAACGAGGACGCCCTCGGGTTGCCTCCGACGAAGGCGATGCAACTTCGCAAAATACCCGAGCACCATCAGCCAAACCCGCCAAGCAGTCAAAGAAGCAGGCTTCTTCCCCTTCCCAAGAAACAGAGCCGGCAAGCAGAAGAGGCCGTCGCCGCTCCGCCAACGAGCCTCCATCCCCCCACGCCGAACAACCCGCGGGTCCACCAACAAAGTATCGCCACCTCGCAGCCCGCACCCGCCAGGTCCCGCATTCCACCATCTCGTCCAAATGGGCTCCTCTCGATACCCCCGCCATAACGGCCATCGAATCCATCCTCACAGACGCGACGCGGCCCGTCCTGCACCGCCTCCGCGACCGTGATCAGCGCCACGCCCAAGCCCAGACCATCCTCCGCATGTTCACCTCGCGCCTCCGCTCCAAGCTGGTCAAGGGCATGCCCTTCCCTCCTCCCGCCTCCACCACCTCTTCCAAGGGCAAGAAGGGCGGAGAGGGCGGCCACGCGGCCGAGCTAGATTTTGAGCGTACAGTCGATGGCATCGGGCGGTTGGAGAAGGCGCTGGACCCGCTGCTACATAGCGTCGTGCTGTTGCGTGGAGAGAAGGAGCGGGAAGAGAGGGCGCTCGAGAGGGAGTACAAGCTGCTGCGGCGGCTGGAGGCGAACGCGCGGGCGCAGGTGAGGGGTTGGAAGGAAGGCCGTGGCAGGGAGCACGTTCTTGTTGCGGGGGTTCGAGGGCATGAAGAAGGGGAGGCGGAGTGGAGGGGGTTGGAGATTGTCAAGGGCGTGTCCGGGGGAAGAAGCGGGGTTTTTAAGGTGAGCCTTCCCGTCCCGCTGCGAGTGCTCTTGCTGGCTGTAGGGTGGCGGTACTAACCGAGGTGTTGCCGTTTCAGGATCTTGAGGAGGAAGAACTGCTGGCGCTGTCACGGCAGATTGGCAACCACATGGAGAGCATGAGGAGTAATCTTGGCCAGATCGAGAGCGTGCTGCCTGCAATTGCGAAGAGCAGGGCCGCGCTGCAAGGCACGTTGTGTGAGCACCTGGATCCTGAGCAGTACGAGCAGGTGCTGCTTGGCTAAGCGAGTAGACAACAAGAAATGTGAAATTTGCATATGGGCATTGGGTGTTGGCTGGTTTGTAGGATGACTGGTACTAGTAGTATTGATACCCTCATCAAGGAGTCAAGGTTCAGGATGGATAGGTACCGTGCGTGAATGGACATTACATCTCACTTTCAACATACCAAGTAGCGCCAACCCGCCGTGCCACGACCGCAACAGCAGCACTAGGCATTGTTTAACTAGGGCAGTACTAGTAGTTGTTCATCGCCGGTCAGGAAACAACAGCTGATCTGACAGTTCATTGAGGACTCGAATGGGACAAGAGCAAGCGAGGTAAGGATTAGAGAGGTACCGTACACAGTGCGAAAGGTGCGACGGTGAGCCAGTCGAAATGGGCCCGTTTCGATTGGTCAACTGACTTACTATCAAAGTCTCTTTTTCCCATTTGGTCAAGCTTGGGTTCTCGGAATGACACTCCTGTATAAGAACTTCCGACTTCACTCAATCGGGAAGAGTTAAATTGACTAATAAGCGGCCCTCCTGTCTCACACTACGACTGCAGGGCAGCTTGCGGTTCGGTGCATCCTGGGCGTAACGGTCACCGATGCGACTCGGCAACATCAAAGTTTTCTCAAAGGTCCCGTCCACTTTCACTCGAGTCATAGGCAGCCAGACTTCTACGTCCAGCATCTTGAGACGGACGAAATTCACCATGGCTACTACTCAGAGCGCCGTGAATGTCGGCAGCTTACCGCAGGCTCGGCAGACAAGCAGCCAAAAGCAGCACGGCAAGCGGCCGTTTCAGGGCCAACACCGTAAGGCGGCAAAGTACAGGAAGAAGCAGAAGCCCGTTCAGGAGGGTTCCCATGAAGAGGTGCTGCTAGCGGATGTGCAGGCGCTGTTGGCTTCACAGAAGATCACCGACGAAGCCGAGGACGGCGCGGCTGAGGAAAGCGCGCCGCTGCCGGAGGAGGGCAGTGAGATCGAAGTTGACGTGGTGGAGCTGTCCTCAACGGGCGATGGGCTGGCCAAGCAGAAGGGGTCCGACCATCTCTACGTGGTGCCGTTTTCCGTCCCCGGAGATACGGTGAAGGTCAAGGTGTACCGTCATAATCACAACGACGGGTACACGGCGGCCGACTTCCTCTCGGTCGTCAAGCCTTCTCCCGTCCGCGACGACAGCCGAATCCAGTGCCCGTACTTCGCCAAGTGCTCTGGGTGCCAGTTTCAGATGCTGGACTACGCCGAGCAGCTCCGGATAAAGAAGAACATTGTGGTCAAGGCATACCGCAACTTCTCACAGCTGCCGCCCGAGCTGGTCCCCGAGATCCTCGATACTATCGGCAGCCCGCTGCAGTATGGCTACCGCACCAAGCTCACGCCTCACTTCGACGGGCCCCGAGGCAACCCCAGGCGGGGCCCGAAGAAGGGCCATGAGCAGATGCCGCCGTTCGGCTTTACGCCCAAAAACACGCGCAAAGTGCTGGACATCGAAGACTGCCCCATCGCCACGGAGACCGTGCGCAAGGGCCTGACCGAGGAGCGCGCGCGTCTGGCGGTCGAGTATGGGAAGTACACCAAGGGCGCGACCATCCTGTTGCGCGAGAACACCAAGCGCGTCCCCAAATCCTCCCCCTCCGACATCCCCCAGCCGCCAGAGGGAACCCCCCCGACCGCCATCCGCGTCGACAGCGACACGCACACGGATTTCAAGACGTGCATCACAGACCAGAACGCCACCAGCACGGAGTACATCGACTCGTTCGTCTTCACCAACCCCGCCGGCGCCTTCTTCCAAAACAACAACTCCATCCTACCCCCCTTCACCGCCTACATCCGGGAACACATCCTCCCGCCGCCGCCTTCTCCCACGTCGTCCGCACCCGACAGCAGCAGCGGCGGCACCCACCCCGCCGCCACTACTACTACCACAGAGCCGAAACCAATCCGGTACCTGATCGACGCCTACTCCGGGTCGGGGCTCTTCACCATCACGCAGTCGTCGCTCTTCCCGGGCGGCTCGATCGGGATCGACATCGCCGAGAAGTCGATCGCCTTCGCGCGGCGCAACGCGGCGCTCAACGGGCTGGACGAGGCGCAGTGCCGCTTCCTCGCGGCCGACGCGCCCGAGCTGTTCAAGAGCGTCAGCGCCTACGACCCGGACGAGACCGTCGTCGTGCTGGACCCGCCGCGCAAGGGGTGCGACGCCAGCTTCTTGCGGCAGCTGCTCGAGTACGGGCCGAGGAGGGTCGTGTATGTCAGTTGTAACGTGCATACCCAGGCGAGGGACGTGGGCGTTTTGGTGAGGGGCCAGGTGGAAGAGGGGTTCGGGGAGGAGGGCAAGGAGGGAGGAGAGGAAGGGGGGGAGAAGAAGAAGAATGTCAGGTATGCGATTGAGAGTATCAGGGGGTTTGATTTCTTCCCGCAGACGGGGCATGTGGAAGGCGTGGCGATCTTGAACCGCGTTGATGAGTAGACCCCTAACTATTTGGTGGTGTTTCAACTATAGAGAAGCCCGTGTTCAGAAAAGCGGTGGGCAACTGTAGAGTGACTATACTAAGGATTCCTTGGAAAGACTATACTAAACCGATGAGGTACCCTAACACCTGCTATGCCCCAAGATGCATGAAGGAAAGGGGTATCCATGTATCTACTAGAGGGAAACGATGAGTAAGGAAAGACGAAGAGGAAAGTAAGGGGAAAAGGGCATCCACATCACGCCAACTTCTTCCCTATCCTCGCCGCCACCAACTTCTCCATTTCCTCCGTCCATCGCCTAGCAAACTCCTCCTCGGTAAACCGCTTGGCCGACTGCCTCGCCCGCTGGCGAACGGCATGTGGATTCGGCAGGCTCAGGGCCTTCTCGAAGCCCTGCGCAAACTCCGTTGACGTAGTCGCGTGGAAGCCTAGATCGGATAATAAACCGAAACCGCTTGTTAGCTGTTATCCCTCTCCTAGATCCCGACCCAGACAAAATGAGAAAATGGAGGGTCTTACCAGTCGGCTCCCCCTCCACATCAACCACGATATCCATCTTCGGCCCGCCGCTATCATGCACGACCGCCACCAGGCCCGCAGCCTGGTACTCGACCACCCCGATACCGAAATGCTCGTTCCACATGCCGTTGACCCCGACCGACGCGCGGCGCAGCCAGTCCAGGATCTCGGGCCACGACGCGTCCAGGTGGAACTCGACCCTGTCCCGGATATGCAGCTCGTTCACGAGCAGGCGGAGCTGGTACACCCGCTTGGAATCGTGGTCGTCCCGTACGCTACCCACCAGCACCAGCCTCGCGTCGCGTGCCGCTTCGCTGCCCGATTTGAGGAATTCGGCGAAGGCCTGCAGGATGAGCTGGTGGTTCTTCTCCGGGCGGAACTGCGCGATGTACAGGAGCATCTTCTCCCGCCTGGCCTCGCTCGCGGGAGACACGTCGACTTCCTGCTCGAGCTCGCGGACGGCCACGGGTGGGTAGACGACGGCGATGGGATGGGCAGTCGCAGCCGTCATCTTTTTCTTTCGGCGCAGCGGGCCCCAGAGCTTCTGGATGTGGCCCTGCGTCCAGCTCGAGTTGGTCATGACCACGTCGGCCGACGCGCCCACGCGCGAGTAGGCGCTGGCGAACAGCCGCCAGTACAGCTTCTTGACGCTGCCGCGCAGGCCCACGCCCTTGCCTGCGTTGACGCCTAGCGCGCCAACGGCGGAGGCAGGGTCGAGCGATTCTAGCATGTCGGTCGAGATGGTTGGGTAGTGCACGTAGGCGCCCGTGGGCACGTCGCGGAACAGGAACTTGGACAGGCCCAGCGCGAAGGCGTAGCCCATTGTGTCGACGAAGATGTCCGGGACGAGTAGGGAGAAGGCGTCCCAAGCGAGGATGAGCGAGCCGAGGGACTGGCCGGCGAGGGTGAAGCGTGGCCAGGTGGAGGCGAGCACCCAGTGGCGGGTCGAGAGATAGAGAAAGTTAACGGTCGGCGGATGGAGGTGGATGTTGAAGCGGTTCTGCGCGGAGAATTAGCGTGGGGGGTTGATCATGAGTGTCCGGAGCAGTCTGGCTTACCTTCACCCTGGCTAACATCGCATCCTTGGTGACGCCGTGGTCGCCGGTGTACACGACGCACTTAGCCTTTGGCCAGCGTTGCTGGGTGGCCCGGACGGCTGCCCAGAGAACCCTCTCTCCGCCGCCGCCAGCATTACTGCCCCAGTTAGATAACAACGCAGCAGCAAGGTCCTGGAGTCGCATAACTCACCAAAACGGGTGGAAGAAGCCCACAATGCCGTCCCAACTGTCGTCGCCCAGAGCCCCGTTCCTCGCCGTTAGGAAACTTGAGGCGTCGATCTTCTCCAATCCGCCGTTCTCTGTGCCATCCTTGCTGCTGCCGCCTTTCCTCCTCTCTTCCTGGTAAGCTTTTTCATCCGCCTCAACAAGCTCGAGAATGTGGCATCGCCGTCCGTCCGTCTTTTTGCGCAGGTACCAGCCAAGGAGAGACCCCAATGCTCGCCAGAGCAGAGGAAAGAAGAGGATATGCGCTAACGGAGTGAGACATAAAATCGGGAGGGCGACATGGGAGAGGAATTTGCTATCCATGAAAGGGAAGCTGTGTTGAGTCGAGCAAGTGCTGGCGCTCTCGGCGGAGCAGGTATCCGCCATCGATGGGCCGCTTGATTCTGGGGAGATTCGAGAAGGTATGTGGAAAAGGAACGAGAGACGAAAATGCTGCTATTGGGAAACCATCGGTGTGGATGAGTTGAGGGATAGCTCGGAGAGGTTGAGTATCTAAAGTATCTGGGCGGGCAATTGCAGCTCGGACAGCTGGTCAGAGCACGGGATGGTATTTGGCGGATCGAGCTTCCAGATGACGTCCCACAGTGTCACCCGGGACAAGCACGGACCCCCTGCAACGGTCTTGGCGCGTTAGCGCGCTTTGCCAAGACATTCGAGTTCTCGGCATCGAACATGTCCAATCTGAGATCGCAAGTTCATGTGAAACTCTCACCCGATGAGATGAGAAGTGAGCTTCTTTTCACGACATGACCAGCAAATAACGTAGGCGCCAGCCGATTGACCACCGATCATGGCCATCAGCCGCATAAGGCCCTTCACCGATATTCGGGCCGGCCATGCTCTCTCTAGTACACTCCGAGCCTCGCCAACATCACCATCACGACGCTTCTCCTCTCTCCGACGACCTCTCGTCCTCCCCTACAACCAAGCACACGCTAACCATCAAACAATACCAACACTGTCTCACCTGCACTCAAAACCGCTGTTCAACCCGGTCCCCTCCCGCCGCCAGTTCTCTATCACCCCCTTCATCACGAGTGCCATCTCGTCCGCCGAGACCGTCCTCACCACCCTGCACTCGGTAACCGCCACACCATGGTACATCACCATCCCACTCTTCGCCCTGACACTCAATCTATTCACCCGCCTGCCGGCGGTGATCTACTCGCGGCGCGTGGCGGTGCGGCGCGCCACACTCCAGCTGCAGCCGCTGGAGCGGGCGTATGTGGTGCGGTTGAGGAGCGAGCTGATCCGGGACATGGCGGAGGAGGTAAAGACGAATAATGGGAGTAGTCACAGATCAAGTCTGGCGACATTGGACAAGCGGAAGAGGCTGTTATTGAAAGCGAACAATCAGGAGACCGCGCGGCGGAATAAGCGGTGGGGCGTGCAGAGGTGGAAGGATTGGGTGCCCTCTCTCATGGTGTTTCCCTTCTGGGTGGTCGGGATTGAGGCGCTGCGGAGGATGTGTGGTGGGCCGAGGGGGCTGCTGGGCACGTTTGTTCTTGGGCCGCCGAAGAAGCAGCCCGAGGCGGATGGTGCGGTTGCTCCTGGGGGGTCTTCGGGGGGAGGAGTGGGAACGGGTGGAATCGAGGGTCAAGTGCACGAGGTTGTGCATTCTGAGGTGGATCTGAGCTCTCTGGCGACGGAGCAGGCCGATGTTCAGGAGACGCTGGCCAGCGCTGTCTCCGGCGTCGGCGCCGATACTTCGATGGCGACGGGCGGCTGTCTCTGGTTTCCTGACCTCATGGTGGCGGATCCATACCATGTCCTGCCGCTTGCCCTGTCTGCTATCCTCGTGATGAATCTGGTGCCGAAGTCGCAGGTTGGGCTAAGGGCCCTGCTCAATTTGGATACCCCGCCGGAAGCCACGGTGGCCACGTCCAAGTGGCGCCTGCGGATGCACAGGGGATTCCTGGTTGTCGCTACGTCCGCCGGCTTCCTCACGATGGACCTGCCGGCCGCCTTGCATCTGTATTGGGTCACCTCGGCAGCACTGACGTGGGCCCAAACTTCGATCGTATGGAAGCTGATGCCGCTTCCCAAGCAGGTCCCTCCAGCCAAACCAAAGGAGCGGCCTATTGTTCCACCGCCACCCAAAGAGCCGGAGGGAACTGCGAGGAAAAAAGTTTGATTTGGAATGTGCAAATACGAAATGGATATAGACCTGCGAGGATAACTCCAAACGCCCTCCTGTACAGCAAATGATGCCATTACACCTTCCCAGTCGCCATCATCCCAAAAATACCGCCAACAACACGATCGTCAGAATAACCGCCAGAACAAGCAACAGGCAACACGCTTTGCTCCGCGCATTCTTCTGGTACCTCGCCGCGCTGATCAGCTCGCGGTCCGCCCCGCGCGTATCGTCTCGTATCACTTCGACCTGCCGCTCGATGGTGTCGAGCGTTTCGCCCTGCTCCGTCACGATTTGGGCCACCTGCTGGAACAGCACGTTGAGGTCACCCACGCCCTGCTCAATGTTGCGGATCTCCTCCTCGCGCTCGATGATGAGCGCTTCCTGGAAGTCGACTTCATCCTGAGGAGCGAGCCGGGTTAATTCCTGCTGCTGGAGGAGTTGTGGGCTCGGGGGCCCGCCCGCACCGCCGGTGGCGCCGCCTTCGCTCTCGACGGCAGCGCGCGCTGCTGAGACGGAGGCTTTCTGTTTCTCAAGCGCTTGTCGTTGGAGGTTCTGGAACTCCGAGAGCGAACCCTGGAATTCGCGCGATAACTTCTGTTGCATGTACTTTTGTGCTGGCTGGGAAATGGGTTAGCAGCGTGATACCGTGGAGGAGAGTGGGGAAAGCGTACTGTAACGTCCTCCCATGTCTGGATCCTCTTGACGCCTTCGCCCACCTCCTTGAACATCCCGCGCGACTCCTCAATCAACTCATGCACCCGCTCCCGCACCCGTGGCGTGTCGCGCCGTGTCCCCAAGTGCCCGACTTCTCCAGTCAGTCGCTGATTGTTACCGTTGAGCTTGAAAATCTTATTCATCAGGTCCTGCGAAAGGCGCTGGAATTCGGGATCATCGGCGTAGCTGGGGCTGCCTCGGCGGCGCCCCGCCTCTAGCGACGAGAGCTGGTCGAAAGACATTGCGTATAGTCGCGCGGCCCAATCGGTGATACAATGCGATAAACGACGGCGTGAAACATGCGATAGCGAGCGATATGCGTCGAGCGACGGCGCTGGCGTGCGGTTGGATGATGTCGTCAATCTTGTTGACCGGTGTTGTTGAGGTTGGTTGCCTGTGACATGATAAGGAACCCTGTCGAACGAGCGAACCTGCCGGTCGCATGCTTCCTGGGTTGACTTCCGACTCCCCACACCTACGTAATGAGGCCTTAACCAATCAGAGGTGCACATGTGGGGCGCTACTCAAGCATCGCGTTTCCGCCGTAACAGTTGGCGGGCTGCTTCAACACAGCTTTTTTATTTGCAGACAGTTCAACTCGTGTCGGCAAACCGACCACAACACAGCAAGCCAACGTCTCCTGGACGATGTGCGGCGAAGATGGCGGCAGCGACAGTCAGGAGGCCTCCGTATAAGGATTTCCTACAGCCAGCGCTGCAACGGCGCTTTGCAACGGCAAGCTTGTTTGTGCTCGCCGTCGCATACCTCCAGGCGCTGCTCTTGGCGAATTGGAGTTCTCGTAAGCTCTGAAGCTCCCTCCTGGCTAGGGACTATGGCTCTAACGATGTCTTCACAGTATTTTGGTCATGGTTTCCAATCGGGCCGACCGGCCTCCGTGCCGTCCTCTTCTTCTTCTGCAGCATCTCCGTCATCATCCTTCGAATCGCCCAGTACCACCCCGGGCTGCGTACCTCCGACTCGGCTGTCCACACCTTCTTCCGCTATGCGCCGAAGTTCCAGACCGTCGAGACCGTTCTGACATATGCATTGTCGGCATTCGTCTTCAGTCAGATTTACCTGTGGTCGGTGCCCGAAGGTTCGGGCATGGAGCGGGTCACCTATTTCGTGTCGGACAGGGCGAGGCTTAACGAGAAGCCGATCTTCCTGACTACCCATCTGGTGCTTCTGGGGGTCTACCAGGCACTGCAACATCTCTTCGGGGACATCGACAGGCTGGCGATCGGCGTTGCTAGGCCGCACAATAGGAGCGGGAAGAAGCCCGAGGATGGGGACTCGTCCCTCCAGGTTCGCCGGTTCCGGGATCGGCTGCCAGAAATCCTCCTATACACGATCAACCAGTCATTATTCGGCCTTATGATCAGTGGTGTCCTTTATCCCATGTTCTTCCGCGCCCCATTATGGAAGACCATGATGGTGTTCTTACGCCCCATCTACAACCTCCCCAGGAGCAACATGGTTCCCCCGACTCTGCCTTACTCCTTCTCGAATATCTTGCGCTGTTACCTCGTGAGCCTGATGCTCATGTTCGCCTGGACAGTTGCCAACAATGCTTTCTCCCTCTTCTTGGTTAAGAGTCCCCTGAAGCACGGAAAGCCATTGACATCGGATTCAAAGGACCCGAATGGCAGTCTCCTGAATGGACTGAAGAATAAGAAGCTTTCCATCAAGGTATGCTCGGCGGTTACCCTACCCCTCATCCTTTTCTAGCTTCTGATCTCTAACCTCATCAGTGCTTTGCCATGTGGGAGTTGGCCTTTATCGCCCGCGACTTCCCCGAGAGACGCAAAGCTATTTTTGAAGACATCGATCGCAAGGACGGTCCCATGTGGTCCCAGGTCTACAAGCTCTGTCTAGACATTCTCAAGACCATGGAAACAAATATTGACACTTACGTGGCACCGCCGGCACCCGCGCCTGCTCCCGCTGAGCCGCCAGCCGAAGAACGAAAGCGGACGACCTCTCCCCCGAAGGACGATCCCATCTTCCAGCCAATCCATGCGAACAAAGGAAATTTCCTCAACCGGGTGGAGAAAGCCGTCAACCAAACGGCTCTCGCGCCCGGCCAGGCGTCCCAGCTCAGCCCGGCCGCGAAAAGGGCTGTCGAGTCCGCCAAGCAGGGGCTTATCAAACTCCAGAAAGAGGCCACCGGCACAGAAGACACGCAAGGCCTCTTCAAAGACCTCGCCCTCAAGGTTCTTCATTCGCCCGTCGGCTGGCCCTTCAGGCAGCACTACCGCCGGCGTCTCACCCACGCGGTTTTCGGCGGCCCCTACGGCGAGCCAAGCCTGTACATCAACGCGGCCGTTGCGCTCAGCCAGCTGGCCGTGCACAGCCTGCACGAGGACAAGTACGGCAACGTGCAGCGGGACGTGGCGGCCATCATCCGCGCCCTGACGGGCCTGGCGAAGAAACTGGACGGGTTTAAGGCGGAGCTGGCCACGCACTGGACCGATGTCGAGGGCAAGCGGGAGTGTCCCGAAGTGGAGCAGGTTTTGGAGGCGGTCAGGGATGCGCTGGCGAAGCTGGTAGGAGCGTTTAGCCCATATGCGAGGGATTTGAGGCTGAGCTTGGCGGATGTGAGGTTGGCGAGGGAAGCGGCAGGGTTGGTTGGGTCCGAGGGGGAGGTGCAGGAGGTTAGGAACGGGAGGAAGTGATTGGTTTGGGGGAGGAGCCGGCTGTTTCATACATCACAACTGGACTAGAGGGTTATTAGGCTAGGCTTTGGGATAACGGCTGGCCGGGGTGTATCAGAATGTACAAAAGCAGATCATATCTGGCTTCTGTTTTTTTAGATGATATGAAAGGGTCTGGTAAAAAGCATTGGGGCCCGTCCAAACTCACTCTCGAATTCGGTACGTACAGCAAAAAAGAAAATCTACCCTTGCCTAACAGCCACACATACCTACCTACCTACCTACCTACCTACCTACCTACCTACCTACCTACCTTAATTTCAATGTCTCCTCAAATGCACCATAGGAATTGGGGTTCAATTAATATCAGGCCCTCTCCCTCTAGCTCCGAAACGCCCGCTTATCTATGATTGTTGGAATCAATGCTGTGGCAGAGACTCTGAGACTACTAAGCCTGTACCATCTTGGCACTGCCTCCATTGAGTCCGTCACCTATTGACCTATAGGGTTGTCACTTGCCTTTTGCAAGCAGCGAGGCGGTGAAGAGCGGCAGAACCATGACTCGGTGTTGGCGGTAGAGCTCGAGGATTAATTGAAGCTCGTAACTTCCCGAGTTCCATTAAACTGCCGGCTCAACGGTCAACCACAGGTGCACCGCGGCAATGCCGCACCTCGATCCCAGAGACTGCCGCAATTCTCGCTCTTGAAGCCTGCTATCAATTCAGCGCAGCCATGACCATCACTAGCATTACGCTGCCGTGCGCCGTGCTTCGCAATCTCCCCGTTGTGCAGCCCACGGTTGGGGGGTAAATCGCGGTCATGTCAGCCGCGTCGCTCCTCTTTTCCATCGTTTATAACTTCCTCTACTACTTCCTTTACCTAATCCTATTTGCATTCATCGTTGTTACGCCTATTGATGTGATCCTGCAAGCCGTGCGGAGCCGTCGAAACTACGACATCCTCGTCATCACCGTCTGCTACGTCGCGACGATTCTGGTCGTGGCTTTCATCTATGCCACCCGTCTCTACATTAGCCGCTCCGTGCTTGCATCCATACCAAAGCAATGGATTCCCATCGAGAAAGGCGATGTTCCGCGTGACGTGCGTCGGATGATCGTGGAGGGCCTCGGCAGGAGCGCCGCGATTGCGTACGAGGCCAGGCCGCGGGTGCCACTTGTCCATCTCGGCCAAGAGTCTCAGTCAGGCAGCGGAGGAAATAGGCAGGAAACACGCAATTCTGGGGCACGCCAGCCCTCCCCGTCAGATTTCAAGAAGAGCACCGCGCCAGACGAGGGCGCGAGTGTCGGAATCGTGCAGCACAAGGCAGTCTGGGGTGAGATTGAGCATCCTGGCTGGTCGTCGCCTACCTCCCCAGATCTGCCTGACCTGCAATACGACACCGTCGTCCAAGAACTGCCCAATTTGATCGAGGCAAAGGCTCTCACGCTCGCGCCTCCGGATCCAGAGTCCCGGGCTGTGCCCCCCGAACTGGATCCGGATGCAATCGCACTTCTTCAACGACCAGAGTCCATGGGCCTCCGCGAGTATCTGATGCATCTCACCGATCTGGCGGTCCTGGCACCCCTCCCCACAACAGCCGAGTTTCTCGCTCGGTACGAGGCTGCGCGCTTCTCTGCGAGACCGTTGTCCAACGAGCAGTTCCGCAACCTGATGCACCTCTTCGCGGAGATCTTGCGGAACATGCATCCGCTCAGCCCTACCGCGCTGGCAAGTTACGTGGATGGCGCCTCGTCGAGCCGCGAGTCTTCGTACAGCGACATCGATAACGATGCGCCGCGCGGCACGAGCTCGTCGAGTTCGGCCACCTCCCAAGGCTTGCACCGAGATGATGGTCCAGACATAGCACGCAGAGACAGCTCGAGCACGGCAAGCTCAAAACACTTGCGGCCTGGATTAGGGTTGCGCAACTCGTCCGCTAATACATGGCAGTATCGCACCGCGCCAACGACGCCCAAGAGTCGACATACCGGTCTGTCGAGGGCATCTAGCTCGGAGAGCTTTGCGCACACAAGACTCCCGTACCCGGCTAGCCAAGCTTCCAGCGCCAGCGTACGGTCGGTGGGAAGCGGATCTGTTATCCGGCTGGCCGGGAGCGGGGATGCGACGGATCTGCCCTATGTCCTGACATACTCGCCGAGCCAGTAAATCAGTCAAGGCGTCGCTACCGCCGTCGCGTTGGGAGCCAACCGAACAATTTCAGGGGCCAAGGGAGAAAGCTGTGGTAAAGGATCAAGATGGAAGGATAACATATATTGATTAATGCTAATCCATTGCAATCCACGGCAGTCTGTGATGTGAGCCTTCCAACGGACTGTGCACATTAGGGTTGGTCCAGTCGGACAGTTTCAATTCCCAGTTCCACGATGAATGGTACTTGTACGCCGCAGGCTGATAGGATGAAGTTCAGGTAACGGTAACATCCCGAGCACGCGGCTTCTGCAACCCGGTGACATCATCGCGTGCCCCACAATTGAGCATCCCAAAGTTGAGTTGATCGCCAGCGTTCATCCTACACTATGTGGTCCAGCAGGTTGGCTCTATTCTAAAGCCTTGGTTATATTTATCATCTCATCCTTTCCCGGCCAACCCAGGCAGAGCGGCGTTCAACTTTTTTTTTTCTCACCGACAAGGTGGCGGATTGATGTGAATTGACAGACCGAGCGGCTGTCGACTTGATATCTCACATCCAGTATCATTTGACAAGTACAAGGGCGAGCAACAGCAGTACACAGCATCAACCTAGGGACCGGAGGCCGAGCCATTCTGGAAGCTCATTCCTTTGCCCGAGAAGGCAATATACCACCGCAAATACATTGGTACATCCTTACACAAAACTCCGCCGGCAGTTCGGCACATCCAGGCGTCGGCAGTTCCGAGCACGAGGCTCAGCCCCATTTCAGGTCTCAAGAAAGACGCGCGATCATTAACAGACAGCTTCTCGCTAAACACATATAACCCGACCACCATCGGCACTGTCTCAGTTACTCTTCATCCGGCCAAACACCCCAGCTCCATCTCCGCACAATGCCACGTTACCACTCCGACTCAGAGTCGGATTACTCCCCTCCTCGGCGCCGCTCGCCCACCCCAGGCCCGCGCCGCGTCCGCGACATGTCCCCCGACCATCGCCCGCGCTTCCAATACGACGGCCCCACCCCATTCTATCCTCCCACCGCACCGCCCATGGCTTCGGGCGCCGCAGGCCCTGGACCAACCAAGCGCGCAGCAGGAGGGCCCACTACAGACACGTGGGCAGCAGAACAGACAACCATCATGCCGCGTCGCAGCCGTGACCGAGAGCGAGACCGAGGGAGGGGCTCCGCCTGGGCCAGCGACAGCCGCAACCGCAACCGCAACACCACCAGCCCCTCTCACTCCCGTTCCCGTTCCCGTTCCCGTTCCCGTTCCCGCTCTCGGTCCCGGTCCCGGTCTCGCTCGCCGCTGGCAAAAGCACGCTCCCTGCTCGCATCCACATTCACGCCCTCCACGTCGGGCCTAGGCGCCGGCGTGCTGGGCGCCATCGTGGGCGGGCTTGCGGCTGCCGAGGTTAGCGAGCACCACCACTCACACGGTCACGGTCACGGTCGTGGGAGGGGTGGCGGAGATAATTATAATAGTAGGGAGAGGGAGAGGCATCGGCTGCTCTCCACCGTGGTGGGTGCTGCGGTTGGCGGGCTGGGGGCAAATGCGATTGAGAAGCGGCTGGAGGAGCGGAAGGGGGGAACTCAGGGGAGCGGGGAGGCTGGGAGGTATAGGGAGGATAATGGTAGATCTCATAGGGATGATGGTCTTGGGAGGAAGGGGAGTCGAGAGAGGGGTGGCGGTGGGGATTGGGTCAGGTATTGAGGTGGTTCTTTCCTGGGGGGTTCTTTCTTTCTGTCTTTGGGTTGGGCTGTAGGACATAGGCGTGTATTGTACACTTAATGGGAGGTTGGGTTGTGATACATGTTACCGGATGGCGGCATTTCATCAAGATGTACTTTTGTAGACATACACGGAGGAGTTGGGCATAGCGTGTAACTACATCATTTTGGTCGGGCAATATCTCGTTGTTATGGTTCCTCTGTATTATTATGGATAAGCAGAACAGCCAAGGCACATACCTAAGGCCGGTGGCCGTACATGCTTCACATTTTCTCCCTCGCAGTCTCCAACTCAACCGGTCGGTCGGACTAGAGTCACTCGATCAACGGCCCCAGCGTTTTAAGTATATATTGCCTTCATTTTGCTATGTGAGCAATGTAGCTCAGATGCTCTCTTTTTGTTGTTACACATACATGGATATAAACCCGACACTCTGCCAAACCCCGTAATACGCCTGCCTCCTTGGTAAGTCCGCAAGGACCTGTTCCCAGTTCCACAAACCAAGGGAGGTATCGTCCATGCGAGCGCCATCCCGTGAGAAACGCCAGGGAGCCCATCCGGGGAAATGACCTCAAGATAACTCCGACAAGAACAACCATGAAAACGACTCCCATAGATCAGTCGTGTGACCCAGGCTATGTAGCATCGAGCCCAGAACGGGGAGGACGGGACAGTTTGGTCCCAAAAGCCAGAGCGACCGCTACCAGATTGGTAGAACGAGCTCCCTTGAAGTAAGGCTTTGTCGACGACCCGTAGCCGAGATTAAACGGGAAGCGCCTTGACAGAAAAGAAAGAGAACCCGGTTGCAATGTAACAAAAACAAACGCAGCAACTCTGCCAAGGGGGGCGGCCACACAGACACACCACACCAAATGCCCGAGAGAAGAAGAACCCCTTACTCGTTCTGCTGGTCATACTGGGCAGGATCCATTCCGCCGATACCGGCAGCATGCGGGTCGCTGCGATGGATCTGCGTCGTGGCCGTGGTAGCCCACCAGTCACTCGTCTCGCCGCCGCCCTGGTGCTTCGGGCTCCTGCTATTGCGCATGGTCGAAGGAGCAGTAGCCGCAGTCGAAGTACCAGCGGTGGTCTCCTGTCCGTGACCGTGATCGTGACCCTGATGCTCCTGCTCCTGCTCCTGCTTCGCCAGCAGGCGCTCGCGCTCGATGGCGGCCTTGAAGAACGCAAAGATCTCGGCCAGCTTGATCTGCTGGTCCTCCGGGCAGCCGAGGATGTTGAACAGGCTCTGGGAGTCGAGCAGCTGCTTGGCGACGACGGTGTCGGGCTGGCAGAAGGTGCGGATGCGCAGCACGCGCGCGTTGGCCTTCATGGTGTCGATGATGCCCAGGAGGGCGGTCGTGGCGGCCACGCGCGAGTAGAACTTGAAGTCGTGCACGTGCATGCGCACCAGGTCCAGCTGCGTCTCCAGGTCGTAGCGGAACCCGACCACCTTGGGCCGGCCCTTGCGCTGCCAGTCCTCGGCCACCTTCTTGAGCCGGTCGGCCTCCAGCCGGCCCGCATTGAACTGGGCCGTGATGTAGTCGTTGAGCGCCGTCGCCAGCACGAACTCGAGCTCGCAGTACAGCAGGCTCTGCTCGCGCGGGCTGAGCGAGATGGCGAGCCCGCGCGAGGCCGGGCGGCCCTTGTCTCTGTCTTTGTCCGACTCGCGCGATTTGCGCTGCGCGCGGTTGTCGGAGCCTGCCTCGGAGATCTGCGGGAAAGTGTTAGTGGTTTGAACTGTATACGTGTTTTGTGTCAGAGACTGGGGGAGGGGGGGTTCTTTGCTTGCCATCTCCTTTGCCTTCTTGATCATGTTGCCAAGGAAGCCGCCCGCGCGGTTCGGGGAGCCCGTCGGTGCGGGCCTGGAGGTATTCTCGAGCCATCCGCCCTCGCCAATCATGGTCTTGGAAGCCTTTCTGATGGTCGGTCCCTGGGCGAGGAAGGGCGCCAATGGGGTGTAGGACTGCTCTGCTCCGCTGGACGATTCATCCGCGGTTCCGTTGATGTCGAGTCCCGCGGAGCCCTTGTCCGCTTTCTGGGCGTAATCCTGGAGAATACTGACATGCTTGGGCTCGTAATGCTTGTGAATGCGCAGAGGACTGATGCGGGTGGGATGGCGCTCTTTGGTGGAGTCCTGGGAGTAAACCGAGGAAGATCGCTCGAACGGATTACGCTGGTTAGGATCATCACGCACGGGCGAAGCATCCCTCTCGGGCGGGCGATGGACGATAATCGGACGGTCAAACGCGGCCTCCTGCTTCGCATAGTACCGAGCAATGTCCGTGTCAATGGGAGGCGGAGGGCCTCTCACCGCGCGTTTGCCGGAGCGAGACGGCGTTCCATTAGCTGCGGGCGTAGTCCGATCGGCGAAGCGAACCTCCTGTGCCTTGCCCGGCGATCTGCTCGCATTGCCGTATGCGATGCCCTGGCGGATGCTCTGGGTCACGGGAGTCTTGATCAAACCGGACTTGACCGGGGAAAGGGAGCGCGTACGGGAGCGTGTAGTAGTAGTCGCTCGCATGCTCCCGCCCGTATTCTGCTCGATATTTCTCACCGGCTCATTGTTCTGGGCCGTGTCTCTGGGCCTGCCTCGAGCAAAAGGTTCATCGTCGCCCTCCGAGGACAGCCTGTGAGCGGAGCGGTCAGCATGATTGTCGCCAAGCCAAGTTACTCGCGGGTCTAAGCACTTACGCCGCCGTCAGTTTATCCATCTGGGAATCAGTCAAGCTGAGCTGCAGCACGTGAGATCCCTGCTTGCGTCGGGGCGATGGCGAACGCGCTTGAAACGAAGTGGAAAGAGGGATGAAGTTCCCACGGATGGCCGACTCGCCGGGCATCTGATAATGATGCTCTCGATCCGAGTTGCCCATGACCACGCGATTTCCGGCGTGGTTGCTTTCCATAGCCTACTCAGGTTAGGTTCAGCGAAGGAGAGCAAAAGCGAATTCGGTCAAGACGTTCGAACAACTTACAGCAAGAGGAGGGGCGTGTCCGGGAGCAGTGGTGGCCGCTTCGGGTAGATTCATGATCCAGTCCACGGTGCGAAGTGTCGAGCGATGTTGCTCTGCGTTTAAAGTCGGTCAGAGAGCGTCTTATTGGGATGTGGGTGCTGTTGGGTGCTGTTGGCGACTTACCACTGACTCGTCGAGCCTGCACCTCTGGATACGGCGGAGGGGCTGCCATGACTTCGGTACTGTATGAAACTTCAATGATGTTAGCTGTAGCCTCTACAATAGCCATAATAGCTATTGTTGGAACGAGAGTAGGAGTCTTGTAGGTGGGAGTGGAGAGGTTAGGTACCAGCAGGCAGGCGATACTCGAGCTCTGCCGGAACGAAGCTCCCACCGGACGATATGGCCCTCAGAAGAAAGGGTCCCAGTTCGCTCGGGAGCTCGGAGGGGCTCTGGTGGAAAGGGTCGTCCATCGTGTTCTCCGCCATGTCACTGAATTTTTCCCCCAGCTGACGCGCGCAGAAGATTCAATGTTGCGGTAACGATGCAGTGTTCTGGGGCAGTTTGAATTTGGGGGAGTGGCAGCGTGGGCAGTCCCGTACCTGAGCGACTCAGACCTCTCAGCAAATCGTTCGCCCCCCCAACTGGCTCTTCCCCGTCCGGCCTGAACAGGATGCGAGGCCGTGGCATGTGACCACACCACCGTTCGTGCGAGCAACCTGGATTCGGAAACGTAGACCAGGCGTCCGTCTCCAGCATAAACAGCACTCGCGGCCCAGAGACGGTGCGCCCAGAGACGTTGTGCCCTCGCGGGACCACACCTGGCACATTTTCGGATTCTATGCTCAGCAATGAGGAGTCTGCTTCTACGACCGTCAGAACAAAAAGACAAACAAGTCAGAACTCAACACAGGGAAGCCAAACTTACCTTCGGGTCGCTCAACATCATCTTGACGATGGTCTGCTACAGCGTCCTCACCAATTGGCCGCGACCTAGGGACTAATGCTGAAGCGCTTCGAACTGTCACTAGCATTGGCTTGCCTGGGCGGACAGCCATCTCTCTGGCCAGGCATATCTCGTGGATAGACTGGCGCGGGTCGTGTTCCATCCTGTCGGACTTTGCCAGCCGGGGCTTTCAGCCGGTCCCAGAGATAATATGCGACCTTTCTTTTCGAGCGATAAATCAGCAAAGGGAGTTAGTTCTTCAACAACGGCTACGCCTTTTCCGTCGTCAGGAGCGCATTGAGCAAATGTTCCTGTCGTTCAAGCAGGGTTGTGATCGCAACAAGCTAACAGAGCAACCTTGGAGTTGTTTTGAGCACGACAGAAGAGTGAAGGGAGTTCGGAGCGGAGGGGTTGTGATGGGGAAAAACAGGCGCGCGCGAGTCCGCAGAAGAAGAGATCGAGAGCAGCCTCCGGCCACTCACGCGCCTCGATTCTCGCCGGTTGACGGCAGTCGACGGCGTGCCTGACCGGCTGGCTTGATAGGGCACTCTCGGCGCTGCGCCCCTCGTCGCTTGGCGGTCGACAACAGTGACAGCATGGCTGGCCGGTTGGTATGATAAGGGAGGCTCTCAGGAGCTGCACACACATCACCGGTTGCAAGCACTCCCGCATGACCGTGTGGTGGGAAAGCATCAAGGGGATGGTATGCGCAGAAAGGGGGCTAACAGCTGACAAGGGAGGATGTGACAGTCCCATCGTGGACCAGATAACCTCCTTTCCATCTCATATTGCCATGCAAGACCTCTCTCTGCCTGCCCCGGGTACGTAACAGTTCCTGCGAAGGAGAGTCAGATAACACAAAGCAGTCAGGGCCATGTTTACTGGGAAAGGGATGAGGCCAAGCCGAACTCACAAGTGGCGGCAATAGGAGCGTCCGGCAGAAGAAGCCTTTAATGGAAATCCAACCCAGACATCTTTGCTCTCAAACGACAGCTCTTTCTTTTGTCCTTGCTGCCAATCTCACTTTGACAGACCGGCATTGTCACGCTGTCCCCTCATAAGCGATGAGCACTCTGGAAAATCCCAGGCAGTATCAACAGATGACCGCGATGGCCATGTCCACCGAGTCTTGCTCACGAAAATCGACTATCATTGCCGCACCACGACCGGCCGACAGAGGGAAGGGATGGCAGTCAGGCTGTACCCATCCATATCTCGACATCTCTTCAACTAGTCACCTAAGAATTGTCTTCCGCAATTGCTGCGAAAGTGCCGTCATGGTGCCGCACAGGTTGCGGGAGATTGATATAAGCCCTCAGTCTTGACGAGCATAACACCGCTGGTTGTGTCCCAACCCAATACATCCCATCCCATCTAGTTCATAGGCGACAGATTTCCGTCGAGGATCGGACGTCAGGCCCGGCGACGCGGAGGCGGTATTCCTCTAACATGGCGAATGGCGATCCCAGCCAACGGACCACGTTGATGGAATCCCATGCGAATTTGCGAAGCAGCGGCGGAGCCACCGAGACCCAGCGATAAGTATGTCGAGCTGCCGCTCTCTCGGATGTTGCTAGGGAGCAATTCATTCATTCGTCCGAGGAGCATACTGAGCCGGTTATCTCTCCTTTTCCTGTGGCTCAGCCGTTTCTAACACCGAAGTTTGTGTTGGCGAAGCGTCGGGCTGGTGCTCGGGGTGCTAACCGTATGTCGTTGCCATGCGGCTCACGTCACGGCCGGGGCGGAGACAAGGGTCTTCTTCGACGACTGGGGTGGACACACCGCCCCACACAACCCAAACCCGCCGGCTTGAAGGGACGGCAGCGCCGCCCGCGAGTCCGGAGGACAGTTCGGCTGAGTCATCAAACACAGGCAATGGCAGCAGGATCTCGCATTATCTTCACGTGCTGGACGTGTACACTACACGGTCCTGTGGAGCCTAGTGTAAGAGCCATAGTGTAAGGACGGGAATCAAGGCGGGACAGCACGGACAGCATGCTACGCTACCGCTAGTTACCTGAAGAACTCGGGGAAACCGCTCCCGACATTTCCAGCCGTGAGGGGCCCCACAACGGCCCCGCTGCTCGTTCCCGTGCTTAAGTCCCGACGATCCCCCTCACCCCGAGTCAGCCAAGTAACCACTTGGAACCCGCAGCTTCAGCAGCGAACAATGGGAGAGCCGATGAGCTAAACTGGCAGCGTCCCAACGCCGCAGCATGCCGGAGCATCGCCCGAGACCATGCCCGGACCCGCACACACCAGGCCAGGGAAACACGGTGTCACAGCAGGCTGGAGCTCGAAAGTTCCTCCTAGGTTGCCGGCTGGCCCCAGTTGATGCTGCCTCTTCGGGCTCGCTCGCCTTTCTGCTTCAACCCGAGCCAGGCCCCGACCCCCTGGATCTTCCCGAACTGCTTGCCGCGCCTTTCTGGGCCGTGGGATCCCTAGCGCATCCCAACTGTTGATGATGTGCTTGATAGGTTCTTATTGTGTCTTGTGTGAGAGGTTTGACCTTTGGCTTCGGATCTCAACCCGGATCTCGGAACCGGAGCTTGGACCCGCGCGGTGCTCAAATATCTAGCCCGAGCCGCCCCCAAGCTGTTGTAGGATCTGTCCATTCTCCTCTTCAGACCATCCAACATTTTCCACTTTCCGTCTTGAGATACCCCAGTGCTCCTGTTGTTTCCGGTTTTGTTCTTTATATATTCTCTTCTTTTTCCAGGCATTCGGAGATATAACTCCGGGTCAACGTAACCATGGCTGCGCCTGCGGATAGACACCCAAGCGCGAGCCACTATGACATCGGTAAGCCGAGCCAATCAACCTCCCGCGTCGTGAAGTCTCCTCCTGACAGGATACGGCAGTGATCGTCGGCGCCGGACCAGTCGGTCTGATGTTGTCGACCTGCTTGGCACGATGGGGCTACAAGATCAAGCACATCGACAACAGAGCGGAGCCGACACCGACGGGGCGGGCCGACGGCATCCAGCCGCGCTCGCTCGACCTGCTCCGGAACATGGGGCTCAAGCCGGCCTTCATGGCCCACAAGCCCGCCCGGGTGTACGAGGTTGCCTTCTGGGACCCGACGAAAGCCGGCAAGGGCATCGTCCGGACCGGCACCTGGCCTAGCTGCCCCAGCTTTATCGACGCGCGATACCCCTTCACCACGCTCCTCCACCAGGGCCATATCGAGCGTGTATTCATCGCCGACCTCGAGAAGAACGGCGTCAGGGTCCAGCGGCCGTGGACCATCCGGGGCTTCACCTCCAACGAGAAGGAGGATCCGGAGTACCCCGTCACGGTCAGTCTGGAGCATGTCGATGGCACGGCCAAGGAGAACGTCAAGGCAAAGTACCTGTTTGGTGGCGAGGGTGCGCGCTCGTTCATCCGCGAGCAGCTCGGGATTGGCATCAAACACAAGGACCCCATTGCCTATGTGTGGGGTGTCATGGATGGCGTCGTCAAGACGGATTTCCCGGATATCAAGGTACGCCGACTTCGTCTCCAAAGCGAGAAGACCCTGTATGCTCACACAGGCGCAGATGAAATGCAACATCCACTCTGAGCATGGCTCCATCATGGTGATCCCGCGGGAGAACAACATGGTCCGCCTCTATATCCAGATCGCTTCGTCGACCGACCCCGACTTCAACCCGCGCAAGACAGCGACCGCCGAGGAGGTCCAGGCTTCGGCCAAGCGGATCTTGCAGCCGTACTCGATCGAGTGGGAGAGGGTGGAGTGGTACTCGGTCTACCCCATCGGCCAAGGTATTTCGGACAAGTACACCCTGGATCACCGGGTGTTCCTGGGCGGCGACGCCTGCCACACTCACAGCGTGAGTTCCTTTTTTTACTTGACTATCCCGTCAGCCGGCCAATTCAAGCTAACCCGCGGATACAGCCCAAGGCCGGCCAGGGCATGAACACGGCCTTTCTCGACGCTCTCAATCTGGCATGGAAGATCCACGCCGTCGAGGCCGGCTTTGCCCAGCGCAGCCTTCTCGAGACGTACGAGCCAGAGCGCAAGGACGTGGCCGAGACCCTCCTAGCGTTCGATAACAAGTACGCCAAGCTCTTCTCGCAGCGGCCCCCTTCGGGCAACGAAGTCGCCGCCGCGACCGCCGACACCAACACCGAAAACGAGTTCGTCAAAACCTTCAAGGAATCCTGCGAGTTCACCAGCGGCTACGGCGTCGCTTACAAGCCCAACCCGCTGAACTGGTCGCCCTCCCACCCCGCCCAATCCCACGTCATCCTCCCGCCCAACCAAAAAACCAAACTCGTCCCCGGCCGCCTCTTCATCAACGCCGACGTAACTAGGGTAGTCGACGCCAACGTCGTCCACCTCGAACAAGAAATCCCGCTCAACGGCTCCTTCCGCATCTTCATCTTCGCCGGCAGACCCTCGCTCACCTCCCGCGCCCTTTCCGACCTCGCAGCCCACATGTCCAGACCCAAATCCTTCTACTCGACCTACACCCGCCAGGACCTCACCTCCGTCTCCCACCACGAGCGGCACAACCCGCACTCCCTCTTCTTCACGCTCTGCGTGATCTTTGCCGCGCGACGCCCCGACGTCGAGATCGCGCGCGACGTGCCCCCGCCGCTGGCCGCGTACCGCGACCACGTGTACGCCGACGACCGCTGGGACCGGCGCGTGCCCGACGCCAAGGCCTGCGCGCACGCCAAGATGGGGCTGGACGAAGACCGCGGCGGCGTGGTGGTTGTCCGCCCGGACGGCTATGTCGGGATCGTGGTGGCGCTTGAGGAAGGGAGCGGCACGGTCGACGCGTTGAACGCGTACTTTGGCGCGTTCTGTAGTAAGCCTTTGGGGGGCACGCAGGCTATGCTTTGACTTTGACTTTTGACGGGGACGGGGACGGGGACGGGGACGGGAGAAAAAGGAGTACGGGGTTGGGGTGTGTGGGGTGGTTAATGAAGTCTATGATATATTGTTTACCTACCTTACCCATCTATTAGCGGCGTGTGGTGTTAATAATCCGGCGGCGGAAGTCCCTAGAGTGGTATTAGTAGAAGACATGATGGGCTTAGGTTGGAGAGAAAGGTAGTGAGATACACTAGACTTTAAGTCTCCTTAGGGGGTTTATGAACTGTAGATCACCTCATTTCGTGCACGTATATAGCTTCCGAGTCCTTAAAATGTGTCCATGCTTCTGTGTAAAGTTCATGCATACCAGGTAGCTACGGTAGCCTATGCTGCTCTAATGAAGGCGCTTATAGTGACCTGGAGTTCAAGGTGAAACATCATCTCTGATGTTTATGTACAATACCACCCCTTTTAACCCACTGAGGTGCTGAAAGCTACTATAATTCTCTTACATGACCTACCTATACAGCTTTACTTTGCATTCTACTCACCAGCCCATAACCCCATTCTCAGGTTCAGCGAACCTGAGCTCTGCAAATGTCTTGTTTGTTGCTCCTGAGTCTAACACCGCAATCCAATGCTTCAGCCGCTGCGCTGCTGCTCGCGCATTAAAGCACATTAGACTATATGTGTTGGAGTGAGTGCGGCACTGACCTCTGTCGGGGCAATACATAGCATAGCACAGGATATGCATTCTCCAACAATACTTCTTTCTACCATATAGCAGGTTTATTGTACTATGCTCAGGCATGACCTTCACCGAAATCTCAGGAACCTGGCAAGGGATGGTTAGGCTTGACGAGTTCACGGTCATCATCGCCCGTTCGTTTCTGTTTTCAACTCCATATTTATTTCCATCTCCATAGACTCGGAAAGGTCCGCTAGATTGAACCTTCGCTCGCTGACTGCCGCTCACTGAATACCGTTAACTCCACTGAGGTATCGAGATGGCTGAAAATGAATCATATGCAAGAGAACCCGACCCTTCCCGCCTTCTTTCCCATTGTATGCCCTTCATGCGCCCAAAGAACCAGGTACATCAATGCGTCTGTCTCTGTGTCTGTAACCCTTTGCTCGTGTCGTATCAGTGTGTCATAGTGGGAGAAAAACACGCCCAGCAATATTCCCTCCCCCACAGTCTGGTATTTTCTGTGCGCGCTGTTCTAGCAGACTAGCAGATAGCTAGTTGCGGCACGTCCGCCGTTCTGTCCCTCTAGAACCCAGCCGATATCCATCAATTCCGTTTCAACTGAGAGGGGAGAGTGCCCGAGGTAATAAACGCACCAAAGCAGTGCATTCGCTTGCACTGCAGAAGCAATTACCAAAACAAAGACATAAGAAAGCCGGATGGAACAGGGGGGGAAATAGTCAAATCATCACAATGAAAATAAACATAGCCAAGTGTAGATGTCGCCAGATGCAATCAACATGATCATGCTCTCGTCTCCCAACCCGGGATCTCAACACTCATGAGTCCCACTTCCTTCTGCGACGGCCTATCCCATGTGGTGGCTCGCCCCCATCATCCCGCCTTCAAATACCAAGCCACTCAGGGCATCCCCTGGCAAAAACCAAGGCGGCACCATGTCGCTGTGCAGGCCAAGCACATCAAATGTGACCTCCTGGCTATTGAACGTGATCATGTCGTTGATCGGGTTCAGGCCCATGTACGAATATGACCCAGAGACGAGGCCACTTTGCGCAAAGTCTGCTTCGTAGTCATTGTCGTTGTTGCTGCTACTGCTGTTGTTATGCTGGTGAACAACATCGTTTTCTTGGATGTGGTGATGATTGTGGCTGTGATCATGCCCGTACGCCACATTCTGTTGGGCCATGCCAGAATCCGTGGGTGTGCTGGAGGACGAGCGGTCGTGGGCCATGGAGTCGTAACCCGAGTGGTGATGCGAGCCGTGGTTGTAAGACGTGTAACTGTGCATGCCTTGGTTGGAGCGGGACATGACCGTGTGGAGCTGGATCTTGGAGTCGCGGCGTGGGCTGCTTTGGTCCAAATCGCCTGACGATGGCGATTCATACTTCAATACCGACTTTCCAACAGCCGGCGACTGGGATAACCGGTATGGCTTGGACGTATGGGGCTCGTTACGGACGTCTGAGAAGTTTGGTTGCAGATAGGAGGGCGGGAACGCAGGGGGCGTCTCTGGAAGACTCTGTCGGATTGGATCGTAGATCATGTTGCCAGGAGGGGTTGCCGCCGATACCGGGACACTCGATGGTGGCGGTGGCGGCGGCGGCGGCGGCGGGGGGCCACAAGTGATCGAAGCCGAACCGGCCGCGCCGGGCAGAGCTGAGAGGTTGGCCTGGTAGAGAACTGTAAGATTGGAGTTGGGGGAATTCGTCGTGCCGGTGAGGGAATACGCGATGGGTGGAACATGTGGCGACGATGGGTGCTCCAACCGGGGAAGGCGCCTCAACGACCCTCGCCGGGCCACTTTGAGGGCCTCAAACTCCTCGTTCGTGAACATCTCACAGTCTTGGATGCCCTTCGCCTTCTGGTCCAGAACATTGAGAATGTAGCCGACGCCTCCCCAGTATTGATGTAGTTGCTGAAGAGACTTGTAGCAGCGCTGGTAGTTCTGGCTGGCGGCCGATGCGAGGAGCGAGTGCTTCATTGGCCGCGCGTCATGACTCGAACCGTATCTCAAACTGGTGCTCTTGGCATGGTCGATCCTGAAATCCGGGGTCGGAGACGTTTCCCGAGACGGAGGCTGCGAGGAGTTGGCGACCGATTCGGACAAGAAGGCGCACGCCGCAATATAGATGGGCTGGGAGGCAAATGGATTGCCCACCAAGCTCTTGTAGTCGATCAACTCGGCGAAGGTAAGGATGTCCGCAATCGACTTGGCGCTTGACATGGATATCTCGCGATAACCGGGTTGCTGCTGGTGGAGGACGATGACCAGCGCATGGAACCAGAAATGCATCAACATGAAGGTGGTGCCCTGGTTCGCATTCACGTAGGCTTGGAAGTGCTGAGGGTCGAAGTTGAGGCGCTGGTCCTGCTTATGGTAGATCGCCATGAGGTCCCTCATCATAATGCGTAGACTGTCCAGCTTCTCCTCGGTGAGCTCCTTGGAATCTCGGTTGTTGAGGACATCAGACACGCGGCCGTACAGGTGGATGATCTCAATGAAGGGAGGGAACGGATCGGGCCAGCCGGAAACTGGGTCTATCGATGGCGGCGGGAGCGACAACTCGAAGTCGGAGTCTCGAAAGGTCACAGGCCTGCCTGTGCCTGAAGAGATGACGCGGTCCAGAATAAAGACGGCCCAGAACGTATCAATGCGCTCTTGTTCCACCTCCAGTTGTTCCTGGGGGCTGAGCGTCTCTTCCTCATCTTGCTTGTTGTCAGGTCCATCCGATCCGTCACCGCCCCCGCGGCTCCAGTATCTAGTGTACCATGGGTCGCGTTCCCCCTGGTACTTGACACCCTCCATCCTGTGCAGTCCAATATCAACGGCCATCCTGGTAGCAATGCCGAGGTACATCCAGAGCGCACTGTCTTGGTCGGCACCGAACCGCTCGTACGCCATCAGAAGGCAGGCTTGGACGGCACCAACCGACGGACAGGGAAAGGTGTCGACAGTCGCGGCCTTTGCCCGTTGCGCGAAGACCTGGCCATAGTCGGACCGCTTCACCTTGCCGTCGTGTTCATTGGTGAAGATCGCGTGGTCTGAGAATCGAGCAGCTAGCGCGCATACAGCATCGACCAAGATGGGCTCTACCCTCTTCTCCTTCAGCATGCGTAGGAACCTTTCCTTTCTTAGGAACCGGTAGTTGCAGCCGAGATGGACGAAGAATGTTTCCGCAAGCTGTATGATCAACGGATGGACGGGACCAGAACTGTTCGCGTCGTACACCGGCAGGTCCTCGAGTGTCTCCAAGACGGTTTCATGATGCCCGGTGTGGCTGTGAGGCATGCCGTAGCCGACTAGTGATCCCGGGGAGGTTGTAGAGAAGGAGTTACCGCGGCTTTTCCGCCTGCTGCCGCGCTCCAGATTCACCACCATTTGCTTGAAGCCCGGTACTATGGCAGTGCGGCCGAAATACCGGAAGTAGGGCACGCGGCGACATCCAAACTGAACCAGCGAGCGGTTGCTTGGACCTCGGCTGTCCTCCGCATAGGACGCATTCTGCACCACGTTGGGGCGCCTGATGGTCTCGGGCGAACCCTGTGGCTTCCTATCATGCGGCTTGCTATCCTGGTTCCATTCGTCGCCGGGTTCTCGCGATCGGCCTGGGGTGACTGTCGTGCTAGCAATGGAGCCGTTCCTCGATGTGACGTCCTGGTCGACGAAGCCTGCCATAGGAGGCCCCACCTTGCTCTTCCGGCGGCGGTGTTCCAGCTCGTTGTCATCTCCAAGGTAGCGGTCATCAGGCCCATTGTTTAGATCAGATGTGTCGGTGGGTTCACTTTTCACGGCCATCAACCCGTCAATGTCTTGGTCGTCCCTCTTCCTCTCGACATTGTCGTTATACCCGAGACAAACGTGCCCATTCTTCTTGCAGGTCGAGCAATCCGGCTTCTCCCCCGCACATCGTGTTTTCCTCTTACGGCATGTCAAGCATCTAGTGTGCGTTTAGACTCCGATCGACTCTGCATCACCAACATCCATGCGTCCGCCCATCCTACAAGGGGACCCTCCCGGTGCTGCCGTACCATACCATCATGCTACTATTGCCACGATGGTCGGAATCAAGCCCACGAGCAGGCGCGAGGTAGACAAATTCCACATAAAAAATGAGCGTGCAAGAGGGGCGGGGGGAGAATGTAGCAGGAAGGGAACATACGCTGCATTGATCCGCCGCCTCTTGGACGGGGGCTGGCCTTGGTTGTTGACAAAGCGGATTTGCTTGGGCGGCGGCAGGGCTCCGTTGATCGGGGTTGACATGTCGGGCGCTCCTCATAGCAAAACCATGGTGAGCTGAGTTGCAGCACCGGGGCGGACTCGTTACGATGAGTCCTCAACGGCAGGAAGCCTGCGCTCCGGCGAGAATCTCAGGGGATGGGAAGGACTTGGAAATTTAGCGGGGAAACGAGACAGCGAAAGTGAGCTAAGACTCGGCTTGGCGCTGCTGCGGTGAGGTGAGGTGAGGAAGCGGTCCCGGAAACTCGGGGCTCGTGGTGATCAGCAGACGCGCAGCATGGTCATAATGCGGATAAGAGGCGGAGAGCACTGGATGAAGACATTTTGTTCCTTTTTGGCAGTCGGGAAATGGTGCAGGTAAGATCAGTCAATAACGGGCAGGCAAGCTTCCAAGGGTTTGTCAGCTCAGGGCGACGGAGGATCAGCGAGCTGCTGCGGAGCTTTGCAGCGTGTTCCAAACGTCGCGTGCGGGTTGGCTGGAGCAGCACGATCTGCCCTGTACCGCCGGACGGCAGTGTGTGCGGGTGCTTGGGTGCGTGGAGCGCACCAGAGAGGGTGGTGATGGAGAGATGCGCAGGAAGACTTTGGAGAGCGAAGGGGGAGCAGAAGGGGAGAGGAACCTGGGGACCAAGCTTGGGCCGGAAGAGAGGGGAAGGCGCAACCTGGAAGTTCTGGTCGCAACGGGAAGAGCCCGGGACAGAATGAGACGTGCCGGCAATGTCGCCTTTGAATGTGAGCCGGCACGATGCATCAAATGGTTCGGTCGGGCTGCTAGCGACACGGAAGCGAGAAAAGGGGCGGGCTAACGGCAGCAGCGGCCCAAAAAGCTCCAAACAATGGGAGAGCGAACAAAGTGATAGGGAAAATAGCAAATCGGCATGTCCCGTCTGCGGTGCTGCCATCCGCTGGCACTCATGCGAGTCTCGCTCGAGAGCTTCCCTCATTCCCGGGCCCCGTCCTGCTTGATCCAGACCTCATCATTTCTCAACCCCTCCCTCCGCTTCACGATGCCTCCCACGCCGCCTATGTGTGGTGCATCGCGGCCGTACGCAGCCCATTGCACGATGTGGACAGTCCCATGTGTAGTGTACACAGTAGCACCACCACCCTCCTTGGGTTACGGGGAAAGGCGGATTTGATGATGCTGCGAGATCCGTCTAGCGGGCCCATTTCGGGCGAACCGGCACCAATGCAACCTCGCAACCCTCCAATCGCGTGTGCTGGTCTTCGAGGTGCGTGTCTGGCGCCAATGCAGAGTGCCCACTTTTGCCAGCAAGTTAGTGCCCCCGATACGGATGTACTTATGTAGGTAGACACCTTCCATTCCATCGGCTGTTGGGAAACACAGGAAGCTCAGTTGATTGACGCAGCTGGATCCGACGATGCCAGAGATCAGAATTAGCTGATCCGTGCGTGCGGCCGGCTGGGCTGCCGACGTTCCTCGCCCTTTCGGAGACGTGTCGCACAAAGTGGAGCAAGCCCTCGCTAGTAACTGTCAGCCCCACATTCCCCGGAAACTGCCCCGGCCGTCGCTCTGCCCGCCTTGATGTCTCCGAACCACCTCATAAGAGAGCCTGAATAATAAACTTGAAAGCATAGGAGTCATTGAGGTGCTTCATTTTAGGGCAGAAGCGGGAAGGTGTGCGACTAGGAACTCGATTCTGCCGGCAGGCTTTCAGGTTACCGTGCACTGTAGGTTTGCGATTACCACTCTGCTGAGACACCTTTCCATGTCATAAACGGCTTAGCGCGCCGTCCCGTCACACAGAAGGGAGCATCAAGGGCCCGGGCCGGAAGGCTTCTGCTCACTTCCCTCCCGATTGACAGACTGGTTTCTTCCTGGGCCGCTGACGGTGCTTCCAGCGATCTTCCTTGCAATTACATAGCACATTAGCAGATCAACTCTTCTCAACACGCTGGTGCACCGTGAGCGGACAGGGCCGTCCCGAGACTCAGGAGTCAGCAATACCAATGGCGTACGGCCACGCCTTGACTTATCTGCGATTTCAGCGAATCCCCAGTTTCGCAACCACAGCCTGAACCCTCGTCAACCGTCGTACGTTACACCGAGCTGCACTCCTACCTCGTTAGTGAGATAAGCGACCTTGGGAAGAGTGGGCTTGGGACAAGAGTCTGGGAGAGTCTGGGAGAGTCTAGGACGCCGAAACCCGTGTCGGGAGTCATTTCGCATGCTTCCGGCAGCCAGTTGACGGCGTTCTTCTGACCCCGGCAGCGCAGCTAAACTGTGTATGCTGCAGTTTGCCGGCCAGAGTACCGGGCACTCAAACGGCCATGTCAGGCCCAGACCAGGCCCAACCTTATCCAGTCGAAAAGGACCCTGCACAGTATATTTCACTCCGGTGCAACCAACTGCATGTGATATCAACGGAAACCAATTCTAGGAATTAAGAGAATAGCCTAAAGACGGAACGGTCAACCCCTACCTACATAATCAACTTCTCTGATCAAGGGTTTCCGAGGGAGATCGTCTTCTTTAGCACATTCACACAGCCTCGGACTGACTCGCATACGGGAGAACGCCAAATTTCCTGCCCCGCTGAAAACGTCTTCTTTTTATCTGAGCGCACTCTACGTGACACAGTCAACTCTTCCTCAAGAGGTAGCAACCGGCGTAACGATGCACAGCATATGTAAGGTATCTTCTCTGAGACTCACAGGTCCGCCTCGCTTCATCGGATTGTCACAAGACTACCGGACGCTTCAGGGCACAAGCAGAAGAGGGAAGAATGATCGCGTGTACAGGGATATAGCAGGATACCTAATAATCTCAGGCCTTTGAGAGGCATGCTCTGCACCTCTCCACGATCTAACCTCTCCCACTTTGTGCTCCGCATACTTGTAGCCCCTCAAATACCATGTCGAAGTATCCTACAACTCCTCTGTGTTTTTCAGTTGCCGCTATTAACAGGCTCAAGGCTGTTTCCTGATGTGCCACATTCCCTGGACGGTAAAACCGCACCTCTTTTCATCCGAAACACCCACCTCAACTCCTCACAAATCATCCACGGCCCACGTGTGTCCAGTTCCCCAGCTTCACAACTCCGTTATCGCCATACAGCCCTGATTTTCTGGATTTGTTGACATCCCTTCACAGAACTTCGTCTCCTCGTTTTCGCGTTTCCCTTCGTCTTAAGTCGTCTTCGGCAGCTCGTCGAGCCACACCACTCTTCCTTCGTATATGCCCATTGAAACATTCTCCCTAGCCCGCCCGTTCTGTAAATAGCGGGGGAAGCCTCTTCCGAACAGTGTCTTGTCATGCCTGGGATCTTGGTTGTCGGCGATGACAAGCTCACCATGTCGGTCCACAACTGCATCTTGAACCCCCAGTTTGAGTATGCGTGTGTGTCGGAGAGGACGAGACACTGCGGGCTGGTGCCAGGCACGAACGACAAGATAATACCAGTGTCGAAGCGTGGTAATCAAGAGTGTGCCGCCGCTTCCCCAAGCAGGGCTGAGTGAAGAACCTCATCCAAACACGATACTAACCCCCATTTCCCTACACACCCTCCGCCACATTTCCTCCCCTCCTCCATCTCCCCGAGTGCCAATGCCAACGACGCCCCGCTCCAGATCTCCATCCGCACCATCTAGTTCAGCCTTATCCGCCCGCCGCCAAACCTCCTTCACAATGCCCCAGGCGCGATCGATATTCCGCATGCCCTGCCTCTTATCGACCTCGACAAACGCCCGTTCTGTCAATTTTCTATCCTCGCTCGTAACCGCCTCGCAAGCTGAGACGAACAACGGCCACAGTAGCGCTGACATGGGACCCTTGTGGCCCACGGTGGCGACACAATGTACGATGGCGAGATGGGCGTGGTTCTGCACGGCGGGACTGGCGCGAGGCTGGCCAAGGACAGTGCGGTACAGGTAGACGAGCGAGGCGTGGCGGTAGGCGAGGGCGTTGTGGAGGATGGAGGCTAGGCGTGCTTGGTCTGGAGACGGAATCGACGGGGAAGGGCCGGGGGATCCTTCGGCGGAGTGGGTGGTGTTGGTTAGTGGGTGGGTCTCGGCATCCGTGGGGTTGGAGCAGTCGGTATCATCGGGGCTGAAACCTGGCGGGAGCTGTGGTTGCCATTGGAGCAGGGCAGATTCGATCGCCTGAGCGGTGGACTCGACTTCGGTACGGAGGACAGCGATCTTGGAAGGCGTTTCGTTGGTGCGAATCGCTGTCTCGAAATCGTTCTTTAGCGCGCGTAGGCCGGCGAGTCGGTGAATGATGGGCCACAGGGTCGTGGACATGCCCAGCAGCGTATCCACGTTGCCCAAGGGGGACGCAGAGGGTACTCCTAAGGGCGAGAGTGGGAGGAGGCAGCCAGGCGTAGGTGCAGCGGAGAGCGGGGTGGTGCCGTTCGAGAGCGCCGTGATCACGTCATAGAACCGGAATGCCTATGGCTGTGTGAATCCCAGAATCCTGGTGCAGAGCGGTAACTAGGCTAGAGGCTTGCATACGCGTTCTAAGAAAATACTCGTCGGGTCTGACGAGTCAGGGTCGCTGGCCATGATCGTCAGGGCGCCTTTAAGGTGACCGGCTACAATGTTGGAGTGGCCTTTCTGGACAAGCTGTGACACCCTAAGCCTCTGTCACACTGTGTGGCTTGGCGCTGATGGACTTACACATTCGTAATAGACCAGTAACATGATGGCAGCTAAAATCTCGTTCCGGCTGGTTTGGCTGTTGTGCTCAATCAGTTGCGAAACGCCCCTGATAGCCATGTTGTGGAAATATAGGGATTTCTCCGCGTTCTCAACGCCCCGGTACTCCAGATGCGCGCTAGCAAGCGCGAATATTGCGTACGTCACCGGTGAACTGCCTCGGGTGAGCGGCAGAACCAGCTGTTGGAACGGGTTGCCCGTTTCCTCGCGGAAGACAATGAGATGTGACAAGACATTGCAGAAGTGATCCACAAGCGCCCGTCTGTTCTGTTGGTCTGAAAACTCCGAGAACTTCGGCAGACAAAAGTCGAGAAGTGGAGAGCCAGTCGGGCAAGGCGCAATCATGGCGAGATCTGGGTGTAAAGATCTTGACCGTGGGACCACTGCGGTACTGGTGGTAGTAGCCTGGCCATCTGCCGGGTTGCCATCTTCCAAGTAGCTGTCCGACACCGCTGCTGGAGATAAAGGCGGTAGAGAAAAGCCATCGAAGGTGCTGTCGGTTGGGCTCAAGACGGGAGCGTCATTGTGGAAGTACGGCATTATGCCGCCAAAATAGTCGGTGTCGTGACTGAAATAACTGACTTCCGACAACCTTCGGGAGATTGAGTGAAGAGCGATAGGGCTTCTTGGTGCTGCCGAGAGTGTCGACTCACGCCTCCTCCGCTGGCGCGGCTTCACGGCTTCATAGGCGCAATCAACGCTGTGCTCGGTGCAACGACCGCATTTTGGCCTCCGTTCATCACACTTTTTCTTCTATACCGGGTGTCAGCCGTTGTTCTAGTTGCCAGATACACTGTTTCTTGCTGAATCGGCCCCGGACTAACCTTTTCCTTGCTTTATAAACGATCAGACGTCAGAGTACGACGCCTACAGTCAGTTGGAGGGGACCACATACCAGTATGTGCAACCTGTGTATGTGCAATCAGGAAGGCGTCAGCCTCTGCTCACATGGGACACTCCTTATTCCCCTTCGCGGCGGTTCTGGGCAGGAGATATGGCTGATTGATAGTACGTACCGCTTCTCGACCGTCGTTTGGGCTGCTTGGGAGCCGCGAGTCTTGTATACAGCAACATATTCGAATCCGCTTATGCACTGCTTCGTCTTCCGGTGGTATTCGCGAACTGCGGCCTTCACGGGCTACTCGCGGCTGCTCGTCAAGGAACAATTTCTGCCCCGTGTTTATTCCTTGGCCATTGGATGCCGTATTTCGCCACTGTAGGCTTATTCGCCGTTGCGCTCACTCATAACCGTCCTATGACAACGGTTGATGCAGAATTCTTTCCGACGCGTAGGAAAAAGACAGCCTCGGCATCTAGTTGTCAGGATACAACGACGAGGATCAAACGAGTGGCAATAGTCGACTGTCCGACATGAAGAGCAGAGTGTGGGATCTTTGGGTTGAAGATCCGAGAACTTCCAGCCGGCCATGCAAAGGGCAGACAGCTCCCATTTGGCAGTGTTTTGCGGACGGCTCGACCCAAGGTGAGGGTTCCGGGTAAGTGGTCAAATGCGGCAGGGTCAGCGCTCGGATGAACCCACATGACGCTTCCAGATTCTCCTTCCATGTTGAAATCACGGGGTTGTCCAATAGTGTTGCCCGCCCTCGCCGCTAAGGTGAGATTTTGCGGAGAAGGTTGTGCGGGGCATGGAGAGTGGGGAAGGTCTCTCCGATCCCTTCTGGGAACACGAGATGAGGTTCTTCCGTCCGACAGGCCTGTGAGGCCACGAGCTTTTCGAAATGTGAAGAGCTGGCTTGAAGATGAAGAGCCCTTGAGGTGCAACGACATCAGCGCAGTTGTACAAAACAATGCCAAGTCTGCCCTGCTTCTATGTAGGTGCTCGAACACCAGGTGGCTCTTCTCCATCGGTGGGCCCATAGGAAGGGGTCCCTCGGGCAGTGCCGCCCACAGTGGTGCGTGCACTGTACATGATATGTCAGGTACGTCTGTAGAAGTCAAATCCGCGACACACCTGCATACCTTACCTTAAGGTACAATATTACGGTATCTATGTGCCTTATAGCATGCAGATAAACGGCCGGAAGGCATCCATCTACTTCCGTACCGGGCTTAATTCGCCATCTCCTTGGAGCATTGACGGTTGGTTTCCCCATGGTTAGAAGCTACGGCCAATCGTGTTCGAGGATTCGTCTATGTATGTGCACAGGGAAGGCACCTTGTTACTCAGCAAGGCCCAGCCTTTGCCTCGGAAGCTGACAGCATGCTTCCCGGAGCCACCTCCGAGGTACGATATGGGCATTCGACGCGAGGGAGAGGTGACAGTTCAGAGCCTACTGGATTATGCGATTGAGCCGGATATTGCGCTGAGGGAACTTCCAGGTTGACGTTGAAGCCTGTGACAAACCCTCTAAAGCCTTGTCGCCGCGACGGGAAGTTCGTCCCGCTTCATGATCGCTATTCATCTCGATAATGGTGTATCTGATGCAATATGGGCCTGTCGTAGACTCGAATACTTGGCTTTTGCTCGATCAATCAATCTTGTGAGTCGAGCTGTACATGGTTCCGAGAGAGTTGAGTTCAACCGGCGAAAAGGAAGATGGACCTCCGCAGTTGGCGTCCCGCCCGCAGCTGTCGCGAGCTGCCCGACGGCCCGCCGTCTATACCAACACCTACACAGTAGCGGATTCCCCAGCTTCCTCCGTCTTGCATCGAACTTGGCAACGCACCTGATTGAAGCTCATTCTATACCGCAGCGATATGCAGAAACGAAGCAGCTCTGGGGTTTGTGTGTGTGGCATACCTATACCGGCAGCCGCACGCTGCGATTTATCCAACTGAAAATCGACGAAATCTCTTAGCAAGGCAGGCAGCGCGGGGCCGGGGGCAATGACCTCGTCTCCATCTCCACGCGGGAGGGGAGGGAATTTGCGGCAAACAAACTCATTCCAAGACCCAAGAACGACGCGAGTCCTGGGAGAGAGGTGAGCAAGGACAGCTACGCAGACCGCCAGCCGAGCAACTGCCGTCCCCGTAACACTGGTACCAGCTCAGACGGCAGCACTGGATCGGACCGTTCACCCACTGTTGTGCTGCTTGAGAAGCACTCCATTTCTCTTCCAACCACGTCCATTTATAGGAATAGGATACCGAGACATATTTACGGCATCTCTCCCACCCGCCCCCGCCCCTGTCCTGCATCACTTAACTCTTTCGCCCGAGATTCGCCCGCTGCGGTTGGTTGTTTAAAGCGGACGATGCTACCATACCATTGGGAGCCTGGCCTTCCGCTCTCTCTCGCCCGCTGCGGTGAATCTATCGTTGGCACGTTACAAGATAGTAAGCAGTATCTCAGCCCCCTCCACAAGGCCCTTTGTGCCACAGAAGGCGACGCTCTTGGGGGCTGCCGGTTATCGAGGGCCTTGTCGAGGAACCAATCACTGTCTTGTTGACTTGGACACAACCCACTCAGCGCCACGAAGCCATTTTGAGGCCGCACCGATGCGCCAAGAGCTTCCCTGTCAAGGTGGGATTGCGGGCTTGCCGTGATGTCTCGCAAACGTGCAAACGCGCCGGGAAACATCGACGATCGGTTCCCGCGGCTCTCGCTCCTTACTTGACCCCCGTCGTCTGGCTGAGGTTCTCATGCTTTCAGCCCATCCTGATCTCAGTCAATTTGACACGGTCGACATTGGGAACGAATCAGTAGAACACGGCTTCTCTATTGCTTCTGCCCTCAGCCCTACCTTGGCTTGGGTTACAGCACCCACGTGTGGTGTGTAAGATCCGGGCACCCGCCCCCCGACTACGTTGAAGTCCGATCGACTAGTGGCGCTTTGCATGTCAGCCCCCGCTCAGCAAACAAAAAGAGCTGCCTGGCCGATTCTGCCTTCCTCCAAGACACTTTTAAGCCTATTCAGGTTTCAAAACTGTCAACAAGCAAGCAGCCCGTTCACTTGCGCTGATATACAAACCACGGAAGGCCGTGCCTCGCCGGCCGTGTCACACCCGCACGTTCGCCAGAAGCCCGGCTCATCCAACTGTGCGAAAACCCCTGGTCGAATCCTCGATAAGCGTCGATAAGCGGCCGAGTCCGCCAACCAGCGAGGCCGCCATGCGCAACATATGGCCGTGCTCGTCCTGCGCCCTTCTACTCCTCGTTGCGCTTCTCGGAAGGGAAACATCAGCGTCGCACGCCGGGAAGTTATGGAGGAAAGATGTACACCAGATCCCAAAGGTTCAGGTCACTGCCCACCCGGCGCGCAGGGATGAGGGCACATGCCCAGCCGAGCATACGTCCTGTCCAGCCTCCCTGAGCGGCGGCTGCTGCCCTTCTCGGTATGCCTGCGCGGTAGACTCGTGCTATGCGACAACGGCTGGGCCGACATCAGCCTGTGGCAAGGCAAATTATTTTGCCTGCGCACCCGTGAACGGAGGAGGTGAGCGATTCGCACCAGCGTGTCGCCGTGTACTGTCGGTAGAGTCCTGACCCCAAGCTAATGGAATCTAGTGGGCTGCTGCCCTGTCGGCTATCTGTGTGGAGATGGTGACGACTGTATCCCCCCTGCGAGTGCTACCTACAGCGATCTCAGTTGTCCAAACGACTACTTCCTCTGTCCATCCACCGTCGGCTATGGGTGTTGTAGGAGTGGAATGGGATGTGCGCCCAACGCCTGTTACTCGACCGCGCCGGTCACCACCACCGTCCTTCAGACGATTACGACGACATCCGGCTCACAAACTGTAACGACCACCCGGACAGCCGTAACCGTCGCCGTACCAACTCCTCCCTCGGGGCTTCCCACAGACGACGCAAATGTCGCGGCGAAGTTCATTCCCACCAGCGTGCCAAAAGTCGCCGCGAGTTCATCCAGCGAATCCGGCGGCGGCCTAAGCGGTGGCGCGATTGGAGGCATCATTGCGGGTGTGGTAATTCTGTTGATTGTGGTGGTTGTCGCGGCTTTCCTCATCATCCGGCGGCTGAAGCAGGTCGAGAATATCGTCGAGTCCAAGCGCGGCTCATCATCGAAAGCCAAATCGCAATCCCAGGCCCAAATGGAGCACTACGGACGACAGCTGCACTCCGACGTCGACGACATGACTAGCGTAGACCCCCTGATGCTCAGGAACAACACCAGCACTGCCGGCACCCCGCAACCCGAAATCGATGCATCCCAGGGGCGGTCTGACTCCGGCGGCTTCAGCCCTTCCCCGAACATGTTCGCCTTCACCGACAGCCACCTCCGCCACGCCAGCCCGGATTCCAACCAGGGCTACTTTGACATCCCCGGCCGCGTACAGAACCTCCCCAGGCACGGTGCAGGCGGTGCAGTGTCCCAGCAGCCGATGCAACCCGCCCTCATCCGCGGCAGCAGCATGGATGATGCCGGTACCGCAGCCGCCCAGCACCGCCCATACGCATACACACACTGGCGGCAACAGAGCACCGCCAGCGAATTGTCTGCCGACGGCAGCGACAACGGCATGAACGCCACCGTACGCAGTCCGCTTGTCGGCACCGGCGGCGGCGTCTCCGAGCTGGAAGCGTCGGGGTCGGGAGCATTCGCCGAGCTGCCCGGTGCGGTGGCAGGCGGGGTGAGGAGCCGATCAAGCAGTACGAATAGCGCGTCTGGACGCGGGCACGTGAGGAGCAGGAGTGGTGGGATCAACCAGCTGCCCTCGGGCCAGAGCAGTCCGACAGTGGGCGCGTCAGGGTTGGAGCCGCTCGCGCCGCTGGTCGAGACGGCGTCCGAGATGCACGGGTACCATGGCCCCATGAACCAGCAGGCGGGACAGACGACGGCAGGGCTGGATGTGCAGGCCGGGTGGGATGCAAGCGGTGGGTTCTACACCCACCAGCAGCAGCAGCAGCAAGAGTACCAGAGACCACGCCCGGGGGCAGGGTTATGAGGGGGATGGGTGATCGTTTAAGATACGGCCTTGTTTGGACAAGGGGAGAGCTTCGGCTGTGGTGTTGAATTTCGGACCTTGGAACACTTTGGATACCCATCTTGCGCCGGCTGCAGCAGATACATGAGTTAGCTGGCTGACTGTCTCTTCTTTGGACATAGTTCGTGCCCTTTTCGGCCTTCTTCCCATTTTTCACGGTTCATCGTTTATAGTTCGTATTGATGTCCCTTGATGATTCAGCCAAACGGCGGCTTGGATATGGCGTCTATGCAGTTGGTCAGGAATGGATTCGCACGGGATGGACCACTACGCTTTCTTCACCGCTCATGAGTCCCAGCCCGTTGGTTGTGATCACTCCGCTACACATACAGCCTGCTCTGTTTTTCGCGACTGGTTAAGGTTTTGATATATCCGCCCCTGTCTAATATCATGCACTGGTAGTGTTCTCGATTCGAAGTCCGAGAGGTGGGTCACGGTAATGATGCTTGTTTGGTCTTGTTTCGTTGTACGTTCTGTCGTTCATCAGCTACTATTCCTCGGGAGGGTTGCGCGGGGAACTAATGTGAGCTACATACAGTAACTACTTTCGCTACTGATGCCCAAACTGGGTGAGGAAATGCCAACATGGCCGTCCTTTTCCCGTCCGATGCAGATATGAACTTTACAAATATGGACCCGGGCGACGGAAAGGATCTATTTTAAGCTCCCTATGCAGATGTACATACCATACACCAACTAGCCATCGCCGATACTTTAGACGCGTGCAACGTTCTGGGCTCGACACATTGTTTAGGCTGCATGTTCCCGTCTCTTGGCAGTCGATATTGCGAGCTAACTAATAACGCCGCCTACCTTGCTAGCGACGGAGCTCGTTTCCGGTCACCGGAACGAAGCAGTGCGATGCTTCCGACCGCCGCTTCTTCGCAGTTTGAGGATGGATAGCTCCCTTCGTTGACGATAGGGGCGTGAGGCCCATCTTCCTACGCATTGCGTGAAGCATGGGATGGATTAAGAGTGCGTAGTATCGACATGTAAGCAGCACTGCGCTACCTACCAGTGTCGCATCGGTCCGCGGGAAGTTCCTTACCCCGCATCGAGGCCATGGCTTCGACTTGAGGAGCGAGGTGAAGGCGGTGGTGACCTTTAGCCATTGATCGACCGGCACTGTTTTCCGTTGTCTCTGCGAACGCCTGCTACATTCCCAGCGGACTGGTTCGAGATGCTGCTTTCTTCTCCACTTTCTGTTGGCTGTCATCTATAAAGCAGCGGTTATCGTTGAGGAAGCCCAAGATGTGTTCTCGACCTTCATACTGCCCAAGAGCGACAATCTGAGGCGCACTCCTCCGGAAAGGAATTGGGTTAGCTCGCTGCAGTCACAGCGTAGTACTGCGCACATCTGGCTCAACCGGGGACGCACATGGGATGTTCCCGCGTCGTCGCTGGTCCGGGCTGCCCAGAACCACCGGACTAGTGGCGCAGTGAACTGTTCCCACTAAGCCAAGGGCTGCGATCGTCACCACTGTAGGCAGGTATAAGACAGACGGAGTTCCAACCTCCTTGCTGTGTCTCCTCGCCATGCACAGACTATTAAGGAATCCGGACCGAGCCCAGAACACCCAAGAACCGTCTAGGCACCTCTAACTGCCGTCATGAAGCTCATCGCTGCCCTCCCTCACGTCTCCCTTGCCGTCGCCGCCGTGTTGGAGCCCCGTCACTGCGCAGGGAACAACTGTAACCGCGCAGTAACCGGGACCCGTCCAGGCCTGCTTCCCCTGGCGTCCCGGTCAGCAGATTGCTCGAGCTTCCTGCTAACGACGGTGACTCCCGCCGCGACGTAAGTGGCCCGCAGCCACACATCCCACATACCCACAAGCAAGAGCAGGAACTAACATGCCCCCTTTAGCACCGTCACGGTGACCGTCGACGAGGAGGATCTACCCTCCCCGACCGCCGCCAAGCGCGGTGCTGTCCTTCAGGGCCGCCAGGTGACCGTTGTGCCGAGCGCTATTCCGGATTATGCTGCCAACTGTGCCAATGCCGCTGAGTACATCTCCGCGTGCTCATGCTTTGGCGTCACCGGGTCGGTCACGACGGCGCCGACGCCTACTGTGACTGTTACGACCACGGTGGATTACTGCGAAGATATATGAGCCCCGAAGTGGAAGGATTAGGGTCTTGATGCTGTAGGGAGATTTCCCCGACGATCGGATCGGTTGCCAGTGAGTACTGGTCCTGGACTTGAGTGTCGCCCCGGTGATGGTCGTGCTTATCGCTACCTAGCCCTTGCGGCCGCCTCCCAGGTGTGTGATGTCTAGTAATCGGATAATATCTGGCTGTGGGAAAGGAGCCTTTTCAAAAGAGTATCCAAGTTGCGCATCAGAAGCCAGTCGGACTGTTTGCAACTGGTGATTACACAAGCCCTTGAATGGTGGATACGGTGACCCCACTTTACTGCAAAGTGCAGACGTGCACAGACCAGCTTCAGTTGGCTATAAATTTTCGGCTCTGCGCCCAGTTCTTGCTCTCTTCTTTTCTTTTTCTTCTTCATACTTACCTTGATTGACTGCGCGGAGCTCAAGAAAACCGCGCCGTATGGCGGAGAACCTGCATTGCACATCGTGGTGTTAGCCGTCATGAATTGTCCTTCGGGGCCGTTCCGGTCGTAATTTTTGCTTTCATTCCAGCAATGGATTTCTTTTCGTTGTGTGCCCGGCTGCTGGCTGAGCCATGGGGAAGAGGATATATTCCCAATTTTCCATAATCGGACTCGTCGATTCTCGCCCACCTTTGCTCTGTTCACCCTCGTAACGCGCAGGATGTGCGTACTCTGCCGGAACCTCGTGCGCTCGCATTGATTCATCGTCAACTGCACAAATGCTGGTGGTCAATTCGATCGGGTTCAGCTTGCAACAACCGTGGTCGCACGGCGGCTCGGCGATGCCGGTTCAGCTGACGACAACCCAGCACTCAACAATCAGATTCTGAGGCAGTCGCAGGCCACGATGATGCTTCGGATTTAAACGTGATGCGGCACAATCTCACAAGCTTGATGCTGCATGGCATGAGATGTTGAGCACGCGATAGATGACTCTCAATTGCGATCACATGAAAGCGAGTGAAACCAACTGCGAAGTTTCCATCTGGGGCCCACGAGCGCCGTTTTGGGTGGTTATTGGCAGCGACATGGAAACGTGGGGTCACCCCGCATCTGGCTGGCCACCAGACGAAATCCAGCTCCTACCCGTCTAGTGTATTCCGTCTATTGCAAAGCAATAGGTTAGGTACAATACCTGGTATGCATGGCTTTGGTGGTCAATCAGGCTTTCATGCAGTGGAAGCTCACTGGCCTAATGACTTGGGTGATGCGCACTAGACGGATTTCGAGACGTGGTGGTTTTCCGTCGCTTCGACTCTGTCGTGCCTGTCTTTACCCCATGGAGGACTCCCCACATTACCCCACGTCTGTGACGGCGCCATGCCGAGAATCTCAGTCGTGGCCGACCCTTGCACATGTTATTTCCATGCATCTTTCACATGTCAGAAGCAACCGCCCCGTGACGCCATGAGTCGTGCCTGCCATAGCCTTTCTGCGGCTCAGCCGGGGCACAGGGAAGTTGCTGTGCCCCATGGCCGGATTAGCCTGGAAACTGTTGTTCTCTGGCATTTAGCATTTCTTTGTTGCCAACGTAGAGTTGGCGGAATCGACTCGCACCCTATCTTGTTTCCGTCGTCTCTTACTTCTTCAACGCCCGTTTTCCTATTGTTTGATCCTTAGAGCCCAGACCAAAGCAGGGCAGGATCAGTTACCTGCAGTAACAATACGACGCCCTAATAACTGGGCTCCTCGCCTGATTCCCGCTACACACAGCATATACCGAGCAGATCAAGGGCCGCTTGATGTTTAACGACAGGTAGCCGACCGAGATCACCGGACAAGCCGATTACAAGTGGTGATTGCGGCTGTGGACAAGCCCGGACCGGGCCCAGTGTCATCAGAATGATTGACCATTTGCTGGGACGGCCGTCCGTGAAGTCACGCAGGCTACAGGTTTTTGCTGTGCTGGCATTCTGGTCTGCTCTTGTCTTTAGGTAAGTCCAGTCACAATGCCCTCCGTGCTGGCAATGCCTCCAGCTGATCGGAGACAGAGGAAACAATCATGGCCCTCCGCTGGTGCGAACATTGTCCCGCATGCTTTCTAAGAAACTCACGGCATGGCAAACCGTTGTGCTCACCATGACTTACCTCTACGCGGCTCGTAATTTCAGCACACTAGTGGGCCTCGCGAGCCCCGACCCCCTGACGAACATGTACGACGCCGCATATTTCCGTGCCACGTGGGTACTCACGGCCCTTGATGCCGGGTTTTGGACTGCCATGAAGATCAGAAACAAGACGCTGCGTGACTTAGCCAGCATGGTCTTTTCTATCTTCTACCTGATCGCCGCCGAACAGGCCGACGAGAAGGTGCGCAAGGTGCGCGGCAACATTACCGTCGAGCATATGAGGGTCAGCTGGAACAAGGGGACGCAGTCACCATACTTGCGCTTCCTGCAAGGCCTGATGCGCCCGCGCCTGATGAGGTGGCCGCCCCGGCAGATTCGCATCCCGCGCCCCGCGGCCAGCGACTACAAGGAGGCTGTCTGGGCGTGGCTGTACTTCGACGGACCCTTGACCGAGCTCCAACATCAAAACCGCATCATCTTGGACATTCCGGGCGGCGGCTTCGTGGCTATGGATCCAAGGTGCAACGATGACAAGCTATTTGCTTGGGCTGCGAAGACGGGCATGCCTGTTTTAAGTCTGGACTACAAGAAGGCGCCCGAATATCCGTACCCACATGCACTGAATGAGTGCTACGATGTCTACACGACCATCATTAAGACCCGTGGTCGGTGCATTGGACTGTCGGGCAAAGAGGTGCCCAAAGTGGTCATCACTGGTGACAGTGCCGGTGGGACCTTGGCAGCGGCGACGACCCTGATGATCATCGAGAGCGGCTCATCACCCGTTCGCCGTTTCCAGGGTCAGACAGACCTTCCTGTCCCAGCCGGGCTCGTCCTGTTTTATCCGGCCCTCGACATGAACATTGGCAGCTGGATGTCGGAGGAGCAAATGACATTACTGAAGGACCGCCGGATGAGGGGAACCAACAAGCGCATCATTGAGCGTAAGACGTCACAGTACGACAATCTCGTTGGAACACCTCACCAGTCCGAAGACGAAGGTGACTCCACCCCGGCCTCCAAATCCCGCTCCAGCCTTGAGAGCGGCGAACCGCAAAGTGCCAATTCTACCGACGCCTCTAGTCCCGTCGGCGAACATGTCCGCAGCCCAGCACCTGAGTACGCCCACTCTGGTCCGACTACCTGGAGCCAAGTCCAACAAGCCCAACCGGCCACTCCTTCCCCGGAGGCCAGCAAGAAAGCGCCACCGTCCCAACAGCCAGGCGCCTCCCACCACCCCGAACCGATGCGCACCCGCCTGGCAATGTCCTCTATGATCTCCTACTTCAACGACCGCGTTCTGACACCCGAGATGATGCGCGCAATGATCATCCTCTACGTCGGCCCGCACAACAGACCCGACTTCTCCCAGGACTATCTCCTCTCGCCGATCCTCGCACCCGACATCCTCCTCTCGAAATTCCCCAAGACCTACTTCCTCACTGGCGAGCGCGATCCGCTTGTCGACGACACCGTCATCTTTGCTGGGAGGTTGAAGAGGGTAAAAGCGGCCCAGATGGCCAGCGGAGGCTCGAGGCTCGAGTACAAAGACAGCGATGCGCTCACAGAAGGCTTTAACGAGAAGGACGTCGCCGAGGTGGCGCTGATTCCAGGTATCAGCCACGGGTTCATGCAGTTTCCCAGTATCTACCCGCCCGCGTGGAAGCTGTTCGATCGGACGGCGAGGTGGTTCGAGGATATCTTCGTCGAGGCGGAGAGAAAAGAGCGGGCGAGGGAGAGGGAAGCATTGAACAAGAGAGTAAAGGAGGAGGAGGAAAAGAGGGGAAGGCACCACTTTAGGAACGAGTCGAGCGGCGATGAGGATAGACCCCTGGAGATCAGCCTGACTAAGATGAGGACTAAGAGTTTCGGGGTGGCTGGGGAAGACAAGGGGAAGGGGAAGGCTAACAGAGGGGAAAGCGTGAAAAGGGATGATCATCCGCCGACGAGCAGCGATAAGGATCGCTCCATCATCGGCAGCAGCGAGAATGATGATCAGGACGAGGGCGCCACCGATGCCGCGGGTGGAAGCCAACGCCCGAAAAAGAAGGGCGCGCGGCGCGGCAGGGCTAAGGATGATGACGCTAAGAGCCTCTATAAGCTGTCCAGCACAGAAGACCTGCTGGGAAGGAGGATGCACGGCTTGGTGGGAGGTCTTACGAAGATGCACGGGGAGCCAGAGTGAATAAGGCATATCACATACCTGTACTCAGCGACGGAGCGTTGGTCTGAGATTCGGATAGAGGTGGCCACTGTGGTACACAGCAAGCGTAAAGTTGGTGTCGGTGACTTGGTGTCCTTAAAGCAGTAACTTATACCTAGAATAGCTGTTGTATGCATGAAACAAGAACACATTCATAATCCTGTTCATACATAGCGGCCGCAACGACAGGAGCATTGATTATCACGCATCTGTCACCAACCTTCCCCTGCATACTATGCAACTCTTCGTCCCCGTATATCAGGTACGACCATACCTAGTACCAGTAGAGAACTCTGGAACTCGTCCGCGTTTCCGTGGGTCGATTTCAACACTCAACCAACCTCGCAAAACCGAGTACCTACCAAAACTTCCTTAGCGACTGATTCCATCTACCAAACAACCAACACACGCAACAAAATGCCGGCCTCACGCAACCCCTCCGGGAAACAACCAGAGGTACCACCCATACCTCATGCGTTCGGTTGCAGCCCAGATGCGTCGCGAGGATGCGTGCCACACTCCGATATCAAAAACCGTTTGATGGTGCGAAGGCACTTCCTTCACCCTCCGAATCAAACAGCAGCGATCGCGCCGAGAACGACGAGACAGTCGGAAGAGGAGAACTACTGGCGCAAAAGAATTCAGGAAGTAGAGTCTGTTAGAACTCAGTGCAGCCAAAGTTTTGTATGCAATACTCATTCCTTTTCGACTACTGTACTCCTTCTAACAGGAATTTCAGAAGGAGGTTGGCATTGGAGACGGATGATGTCTTAGGTTCTTACTTGGAATGCATGACACATTGTGGGTTTGTAGTTTGTAAGTACTAGTACTGTACTTATTATCGTCCGAGTCTTATCGCCGACAGCGCAGATGACAGAGAAGATCACAAAACAGCGAGAAAGAACGTGATGCCGAGGCTCTGACGGCCTTTAATCTCGGAGAAATACGACCTACCCGGTTTCTCTGGTCTCAGTGAACACAATTTAGCGCACAATGGTTCCTCTGGAAAAGGGCAGATGATCATGAACTCACCACCGCATCGGCGCAAAAGCCATGGCGAGCAGTGAGCATGGAGCAAGCACGCGACAGGCTGATGACGGTGGTGGACGTGTTTAAGTCGGTGGACATGCCGGCCAGGGCAGCTAGCAAATAAAAAAGGCCTGGGTCAGTCCAGTCCATCTCAGCATTTTCAGGTGTAGCGGGTGTGTTCTCACTGTAGGAAATGGGGGTGCCTGTAGACGACGTGGCGCTAGTTGCACCTCGTCAGCCGGGATCTCACTTATTACTGCTGTATGCTCGGTGAGGTGGGATAGACTCTGTACTTTCAGCCAAATCACCAGTACACATGCGTACCAGAAGGCCAGGGCTGTTAAAGCCATGCTAGTTAGACCGGAACTGCCCACAGCCACAGCAAGCTCAGCGTTCTTTCTCTATGACGGAGCTAAAGACAGCGAGAACCCTCCTCCATTTCGTCATACGTCAGAGCTCTCTCAAAAGTCGCCATGTTGAGCTGCTTGGCTTGCGCGAGCGGCAAGGCCAGTATCCGTCTTGAGAGGTTTGATGTTCATGTATAGGAAAAAGTCCGGGTGACTCGGGTGGCTCTTGGGAAGAATTCTCCGTTGCTGTCATCAAATCAACACCATTCTCCAACGACCCAAGCACATACGACCATACCTGGTAGAAAACACGGGATCCCGTCCGCTCTCCCTTAGTTAAGCTACCAAGGGCCGAACCAGTACTCAGGTCGGTGACGACTGGGGAATCCTCGGTGTTGTATGTTTTATTTTTGATCTTTTCTCCTCTCTCTTCTTTTTCTTCCTCCTTGATCTTTTTCTCTTCCTCTCACCTTTTTACGTTCGCACAGAAGGGACTATGAAGAAGTGCGCCGGTCCAATCTCGAGTCTACAATGATCTCAAGGCGCAGGATAAACCGTCATGGTCGAATCCCCAAAATGCCAGGAGCAAGGCGACCTGAGCCATGCAAATGTAGTTCACAAGAACCCACACACCAACATAGTTGCACAGTCACACGCATCCCTCGTTTCCACTTTCCACACTCTACCTTGGTAGGTCGGCGACGGTGCAACAACCGAACTAATTGTATGCCCGCAGTGACACAAAAGACTACCTATACTACCTGCCTCCCAAACCTGCCGTAGCCGAGCAACGTTGCACACGACCGTCTAGCCACAAAACACTTTGTAGACAGGACTGCATCCCATGTTGATGGTAGGACATAAACAAAAGAAGAAACCAGACAGACACAGTGAATTTGAATCGGGAGCGTCTTGGTGTGTTGTTATGGCACCGCCCAGGCATGGGCAAGTAGCATTAAGATACCCTCAAGTAAATAAAATATACCTAAGGTAGGCCCATTTCTATACCTAGGGTCTGACAACGATGTTCCCATGCACGCCCCCGTCTATATCACCATGGATGATATATACTTATCAAGTCAAGCCTCCTTAGATATATATGTACATGCAATGGCCATCTCGGGGAGGCTGCTGCATGGTCCTCAACACGAGCCGTCAGTAAAGGAATGTTGTATTATACATACGTACCAAAAGCATGGTGGGTAGCTTGAGCTTGTTCGCAGAAACAGTTACCAAAAGCAGACGGCCTCCCCCACCGTTTTGTCTTTATCCCGTCCGTCCTCGTTTCTCGTGTGACTTGCCCCTCTCCTATAACACAGGTACAGGTGTCCTTGCAAGAAACAAGGAAGGATACATTGAAGCCTCAGAGATGGAAAGAATATAAAGGGGATTTCCTCCCATGTGGTTCCTAAAATGGTATTCCTATCCAAAGTTAGGAATATTATAAAAAAGGGAAAAGATGTCAGTCCCCTGTCCCACTGACTCGCTGGCTCTCATACGCATCGGATGCCGAAGCAGATGAAGGAGGGCATTAAAAGGTGTATGTGGCTCAGGTCGTTGATCTCGTGACCGTATACATTTTATTCTAAGCCAGAAGGAGCCTTCGCAGGGGCTCGGGTGAACCGGGCTGGCCACCATGTCGACAGATAAGGGGATAGCGAGATGCTTGTAATGGTATGTAAGAAAAATGCCACACAGCCTCCATGAATGATGAGGTAGTAGGCTTAAGCGAAGAAGCGGGCGAGAGTTTGCGACGAGTTTCGTTTATACCATTGTGCCCTCGAACAATGTGATCGGCAACTCCCGGCGGCAGACTCGAGAAGCTGCTCATGCAGCGGAGATCCCACCGTCGCCGTCATCGTCTTGAGAGTCGTCTCGGAGTGATGAGATGTACGGTACAGGGTCCGTGGCTCTGGAAGAAGAGAGTCCCCGCTGGTGGTCCTGTGACATGATTCCATGGCCTGCATCGCTCAAATGATATTCGCAATGCTGATTCTCTCCTGGCTCTTACTCTTCCCACTCGAGGGCGTCGTCGGACTCCCTGACACACAACCCTGGTGGGCTCTTGATCCGGGCATCGTCATCGGCGGCAACGTCGCTGCCGTCTCCATCCTAACGTCCTGCCCTCCCATCTCCATCTTCACACCGGCAGGCGACTGGTGGTGGTGTTGATGCGACGGCAACAAAGGCGGGAGCGCCGGTGGCGGTGGCGGTGGCGGCGGGGGGGCCGGGGCAGTATTACACGCCTGATGCTGCGCTGGCTGCTTCGCCATCGCCGTTGATGCTGTGGGTGTTGATGTTTGCGTTGAACCCACCAACTCACCGCTTGCCAACCTCCTCATCGAAGCTTCCAACCGCTCCCACCCTGTCGTTGTTCCTGGACCCCACTCCCATCTCTCTTCATTGGTTAGGCCCGACCTCGCCTCTGAACTGAACAACCCGAGCTTCCCGGCCGCGGGCTGTGTTGATGTAGCTTCGCGCTCGCTGCCCCCGGCCCAGACCCAGGCCGTTTCCATCCCCGCTTGGAGGTCGGCACTGACATAGGCGAGCAACTCTTCGTCACGCAAAAGAGCCTCGTGCACGGCGGAGGACGGAGGGTGATGGGGCAGCGGAGGCGGTGGTCCATACGGAGACCGTTGAGGTTGGCCGGGTGATGCGGCCTGCGAGAGGTAGGCGATGATTTCACTTCGCCGAGACGCCAGGGCTGAAACGAAAAAGGAGAGGAAGCGGCCGCAGGGAATGGCGACGTCGCGGCGATCGTTGATGGCGGCCAGGGCGCGAATGCATTCTGATGCTTGGTCGAAATGACCGAACAGCAGCAGGAAGAGTGCGCAGCGGAAGATGTGCGTAGTGAGGAGCGCGGTCGCACCCTCAGCAAGGGAGGCTACGGACGTTCGCGAGAGAAGAGAAGCCGTCTCGAGGGCCGTGACCATACACTGCTCGATGGCGGTTCGACGTACGTCTGGGTGGCATGAGGGGGCGACGTTATGTCGGTGCAGGAGCAGGCGGGCATGGAGAAGGTAGGTCAGCGGGTTCAGAAACGTGGGCGTCAGGGCTGCCGTGCTTCTGGGGTCGCAGGCTGGCGGGAAGGTGTGCCGGCACGAGGCCAGATGCTGGTCAAAGGTGGCTAGACGAGCCGGCGCAATGACGGGCGACGCGAGCGCTCTCCCCAGCGCCGTGTAGGAGCGTACTACGTGAACGACGGCGACCAGGGAATGGGTGAGCCCCTCGGCACCGTCCGGAAGTCTGTGGCCACGTTCTGTCATGTGATAGTCATCGATGGCTGCTGGTAACAACACGTCGCAGTCGGCATCATCGATGAGCATCGGCCTACCCAGCTCGACTGCTAGACTCCGGTCGAGAATGTAGATGGTCCACCACGTTCTCCTACGCATCTCGTCTTCAATCAAAGACCCAGTCCTCGGCTCGGTGTAGAGACCCAGGTCCTGCGCCACTCTGACGGCACCTCCGAGCCAGCTCCAGGCCGCCGACTTCAAATTGAGCTCGTTCAGCGCAATCGTCACCAACACCAGGGCACGGGCGTTGTCCAGCTCGTAATCGTTGTTCCAAGGATCCACCAGCGACCGCGTCGCCTCCAACAGCGTGGTGGCCGGGTATGCGCGGTTGTGCTCGTTATCTGCTGTGAACAGCCTGCCGACAGTCAAGACGGCGAAGACCACGGACATGAAGGCCTCTGAGACACGCAAAGAATTCCCCGGGCGATAGATGCCGTCGATGGTTTGTGTAAAGGTATTCCAGTGCATGATGGGCGTCATGGAGTGCGTCGAGGTGTAGTAGGACCGCAACAGCTCCTCGGTAGTTTGCCGTGGCGGGAGCATTTGCTGGTAATCTCGCAGCTCGGGTGTTGCCGCATGTCGGTATGGGGCAGGCGGCTTCCATATCCCTCGCGAGAAGTCGCGCAGGTTGGCCCTCGCCCGTGCAAGGTCATGGACAGCCGCCGGCCTCTTCTTTCGCTTGGGCGCCTGGCCTATCTCCGGCAGCTGCAGAGGCAACTGCTCGACGCCGTCCACGTCCATCTCGAACTGGCGGCCGTCGCGCTCCTGTAGCATGCGGCGGAGGCTGTTATTTTCCCGCCGAATCCGCTCCATCTGTTTCTCGAGATCCTGCACCTGTTTGATGGACGACATGCGGCGGTTGGTCTCCTTGGTGAATTGGCACTTGACGCCCCGGCTTGAGCATTCGGAGCAGCTTGTGGTCTCGGTTGCGTCGCACTTGACCTTCCTCTCCCGACACGCATCGCAGCTGGGATCTTTCCTCCGTTGCCGGTATGCCCGCTTCTGCCCCTGGGCGTTGCTGCTGTGATTGGATGCTGAGAGGCTCATATGAGATGGCCGGGGCGTGCCGCCGACCGAGTCGCCAGAGTGCAGGGAGTCTCGCTCCATGACAGACGACGCGGAGGTGATGGGCGTGTAGGACTGGAACGTGGTAGGAGGGGGTTGGTGGTGGACGGAGGACAGGGGCGGCGGTATTCCCATAGAGTGCGCAGGAGCCATGCCGCTGGCGTTGATGCTCGGCCTGACGAGGCCGCTTAGGTACTGGCCGGTCGCTCTGGGTGACTTGTTCGGGGGGACGGCGGGCAAGTCGTAGGGCCGTACTGATGGGTTGGGCGACCGAGGATACGGGCTGTAATTGTGCGACGCGGACGCCATGGCGCCGGCTTGCTTTAACGGCCGGCTTTGCGCAGCCTGGTTCGGAACCGTTTCCACAGTGTCTGCGGCAGGATGGCCTTGGGGCAGCCGCCGGGCCAGAAACATGCAGGCGGGAAATAACAGATCTGGTGGGTGGGGGGAGGAGATTGGCAAGTGCGTCCGAGCGATCGGGTGTTGTTGAGGGAAAGCTCAGGTCGACCCGGCACGGACCTGGCTGCTGCTTCGTTCTCTCCCACCCTGGTTGTTTCAACACTCCACACTGCTACCTTGGTAGCTGGATGATGAAGTGTGGATGCACACCCACGTTGACCCTTTCGAGAGAGAACCGAGGGAACGATGCAGCCCCACGGACTCCACGCCACGCAATCATACAAGCAACGCACACGCAACGCGCACCCAAACACGAAACCCACACACAAGCTTTTGGGTTCTCCGGAAACGGAGGCTTCTTTCGTTGGCTGTGTCGCTGGCGGACTGCAACCCCTGCTGGGCAGTGTTTTGGTCGATGTGCAGCCGGAGTCGGGGCGAGGCGGCAGCAGCAGCAGCAGCAGCAGCAGCAGCAGCAGAGCAGCAATCGCCGTGCCAGGCACTTGCAGTGTCTCAGATGCTGATGAAAGTCAGTCCCGCTCCGACCATCCTTGAGGGCTCCTTGCCCCGGTCTCCAAAAGTCCCGCGGTAGTATTTGCGGTGTTGCAACGCGGTGCGACCTCAATGCCGTTCTGGCCTGCAAGCCAGCAACCCTCGTCCTTGTTGTCCTGCCGTCTCAGCCAGATGGCAGAAAGGGTTTGTCGGCAGCTGAGCCGTTCGGTACCGGGACAGCCGCAGTACGACCATGTGCTATAAGGCGGACCTATAAGTAGCACCCGTAGGCGGTGGGCATGGGCCTTTTGAGGGGTGTGGTGCGTAGTGGTGCGTCGAGCTAGGGTGCCGGCAAAACCGACGCGGCAGGCGCGTGTTGAGCCGTACCAAGCGAAATGCTCAGTTGGGCGCGCTGGAACGCAACGGAGGTGCAGGCGGACAGCACGCCGAGCCTTCAGTCGCCAGTCGGGAACGAGGAAAGGGTGGGCGGGGTTGGTGCGTAGGTACGGAAGTACAGTAGAGTAGGAGAAGGGCGGGCAGCGAGAGCCCGACAGGATCCGTGAGACGCCGCGCGCTTAGATCCGTTTCTCAGCGCGGGACGGGGACATGCAGAAACAGTTGCAGGCGCGGGTTGGCAAACCGTTTGTATGGAGGAACTTGAAGAAGCAAATGCCTCGAGTTCTCAATCTTGGAGCGGCGAAGGAAAAAGAGCTAAGATCGGTGGAGACGGTTTCTGCCGCCAGACTCAAGGACCCATGCTTCTTTTCACTGTTACCAGCATCCAGGGTCTGTTGCCTGCACTTCTATTACGTTAGGTTCCTCTATCCGTACTGCTGCGGTCTGCACTGCATCCTTGTAGTAAGTATGTGTTACTATACAATACACACACGCCTACACTACTATGTAGTGTACACGGGCTGCAATTTGGGAAAGCCTATCCTGCGTATTTCTCACCACATAACTAGAGCTGCTAACCAGACAACACTACACTACACTTACAGTAGCTGCTGGAATCCCGGTTCCCTCGCAAGCTTCTCCCGAATCTGGTTGCTCACGAGGTGGCTTGCCAGGGCAGGACATGCCAAATGTCCGCCAAGCCGTTCTCGAGCCGACAACAGCGGATACCGTAGTGGCATCCGGGAAGCAGACGTTTAGCCCCTGTCCAGCGAGGAAAACTCCGGTTATCTTCCGTGCAACAACAAGAATTGGCTGTTCGAGTGTTGCCTGTGTCCTGTTGAAGAGACCCGCTGCATGCGGCGAACCGCGATCGAGGGACTTTTGCGGGCTTGTGAGCGAGCGGCAAGGCAATAATACACTCTCATGTCATCCGCCTCGCTATGAGCTTGAAATTGAGCTGTTGTATCTGTATTGTACCAGGCTGGATCGCCCAAGTATATACGCTGGCTTCGCACAAGCAACCTAACGCGGATCACTATGGTACGCGGCGCCGAGCAGGGTTTGCTCATTGTCTGTTTCCTCATAGGCGGCGCACGCATCTCTGCCCAACCAACACACGAACCATCGAGGGAAAACAGCTTTTGGCGTTCCAATTGGGCTCTGATAACCCGGTGAATACTTACTTGGCCGGTTGTTCGGTTCGGCCAAGGCGGCAGGCCGGCAAGTCTTTGGAGATCGACGAGCCATACGGCTGGAAGCCGAGAGGTCGACTAGGTAGGATTAGTGTAGCGTAGTCGCTGACATGCTTCGGGGCTCCGGGGCAGAACTGTCAACCGAAATCCTCCTGCAAGATGATTGATGATGACGAGCAGATCCAGCTTGCACCGCAGCTCCCATGCCCCATGACGGATCTTTGGAACCGGCGGCAATGCGAAGACCCGCTCGGTGACGTCGGCGCGTAGTGGATACTGCCAAGACTGGCGTTTTCGTCGTCCATAAGTTCCACATCTGAGGCTCGGGGACGGCGTTGCGCACGGTCGTCGGATGAGCTGGTCGAGCGGGCGCTGGCGTGCGGTAAGGCGGGAGATCCGTAAACTAATAAACCAAGTTCGGAAGTCGTACTGGCATTGTACTGTAGGTATCGTCAGTTCACCTGTTGTCCAAATGTCCATCTCGGACCACGAAGAATCGAAAGGCGGGATGGATGTGGGGCGGTCTGGGCCCATTTCACGTCCGGCAAGCATGATCCGGACGGAATTCGGCTCGTTCCAAGGAAGACACCCAATTGCTGGAAGATCGCGAATGCGATCCACCGCACACAAACCCCACATATCGGCCTGTTGCAGGTGGCCCTGTTCCGTCGCGTCTTGGCCCGAGAAACACCACGGATTCTTACACATCCCTTTGTTTGTCGAGGGTCCCAGAGTAGGTGCAGCCTGTTGGGTTCGGGTAGTATTCGAGGTCTTTTCGCGATGTTCGCGATATTATTTGGAACTTCCTTCTTGTCAGATCCGGGAATTGGTGCGCGCAGTGGATACACGATCAAGGGCGTTTCAGCGATGTAACCATTTAGCGAAGAGAGGGTCGGGGGTCGGGGAGGGGGGCCATGAACTGTACCTTGCCTGCCATTCGCTAGGCTGGCAGGCCCTGTCCTGAATTACGGTTACACATCCAAGCCAAACCGTATCGTAAAGGAGCTTACAGTCGGACCCCTGAAAGTTCGTTAGTGTCTGACTTGAAGACCAGGGTCAGCCCCGAAATCTCGATCTCACATTAAAACGGTCAAACTTTCTCCGGAAAAAACGTACAGATGGACTCAGCCTTTTGGATTATTGCAAGACACTCTATTTCTTTGCGTTGAATCAGCTCTTTTCGTGGTTTAAGAATGTTCTTTCGGAGGTTGAGAGGAAGACCCCTGTCGTAGGTTTCGCGCTAACAATCTTTCAAGGGTCGTCCTGTACAGAGGAGGATTGGGCCGACCTGCAACAGGAATCATCAAACTTTGCGGGGATGAAATCACCCACTTCTATACACAATGCATAGAAATGGAAGCGGCGATGACTGTTTGGGTATTAGATAGTTTAATTGAACGTGTTTTTATCTATCGTTGTGATGCATCGTGTCGTGGTGGCTTCTTTTTCGGATCTGGAACTGTAATTTTGGACAGGGCGTGGCTGGGTCAAGCGAGTTTGGTGAAGTGGCTGCGTGGGCCGAGCAAGGAGGACTTTCTCGATGACTGCGATGAAAGCTGGAGCTCAACACGGGCATAATAATTCCGAGAAAATAAGTCAACTACGGTACTATAGTGTAATGCACACCGCAGAGCACGGTACTCTGCGAGGTGTCCACCCGGAGGGCATGGGAGAGCGGGTGCACATATTTCCGGTACACTCCGCTGCCCTAACACGCTCGAAGCTATGTAATAGTACAGTAGTACTATACATAGTCTGGCACAAATGCTCGAAACGCTGGATCAAACTGGGCATAGTGTAGCTTTCTGATGTCCGACTCTCAGCACCGCGAATTGGGCGGGCGGTTTTCTGCTACGGCAATGGAACGACGAATGACACACGACACAGCAGAGGCAATTACACGTGGCTTGTTGAAGGAGCGACCTGGACAATACATGTATGTATGAAGGGAAACTTACATACAGTATTAGTTGCATCTTACGCGTTAGGTTCCAGCAAAATGCAAGTGACCACCCGGTTTCAGCCTGGAGAAGTACCGTGCACCCGACCGGAAAGTTACAACCGACAAAAGGCAGCGAAAGCCTCCCAAAGGTGGCATAATAGAAGTAGACCTACTCATTCATCACAACATACCGGCCGCGGAGAACACAACGTGTTAGCTTGTAACATCTGTACAACGCAAGGAACGGCACAGAGCAACGTGTGATCCATCATACCTCCTTACCTAGTATGTATTAATCGTGCAATAGGTATTGTACCTACTCAGCTCTCTCCATCGTACTGCTATACACCGGCATACGGAGTGCGCAGTGCTTCTCATCACATGGGAAGGGCGGTCCTGTCGATTTGGATCGTCACATTTTCGATGGATTGGTTTGTAGGATGGGTACATCCAATCATTCTCCTCCCACGCTTTGTGTTTCACGACATGGAAGCAAAGCTACCCTATGATCTCCCTTCCCCGGCTTCAGACCGCAGCCCAAGCGGAGAACCAACAGTTGTCTATGCAGTATCTCCGTGAGACCTGTCACTCGTGCGGCGGGGCACGGTTCCTTCATATTTACGACAGCGCAGCCCGATGACGTCTGCTTGGAACTGCAAGTTGTCAGTGGCCTATAGCCGAAGACTAGTGACTAGTTTACAAAGCATTTCTTGGGTGCATGGTCTAGTGGTATGATTCTCGCTTCGCATGTGAGCGGTCCCCGGTTCGATCCCGGGTGCATCCAGTTTTTGCACTTTGCTCTTTCAGTTTGTGTCCTCTATGTCCATTAAGAGGGGAGAGTCCTACATACAACTCCAAGTTCAAGTTGGGTGCATGGTCTAGTGGTATGATTCTCGCTTCGCATGTGAGCGGTCCCCGGTTCGATCCCGGGTGCATCCATTTTTGCCTTTATCCTTCTACTATTAATGATATCTTTTAATCTCTGTTGTAATTTGCAAGGTATAGTTTCTTGTCTTTATTGCTCCTAGTTCGGGCCCCTTTGAGCAGACAGGGAGCTTTTATAGGCAAACTGCGGAAAGGAACATACGTGACCTTCGTATATTGTCACTACCAGGCGCGTCTTTGCGGTTCAACTCCCAGCAATGTAGCATGTGTAGGTAATGTAACAATACGAATTACACAGGGCCCGCCTAGGTACAGGGCGTAAAATTCCACCTCGAATGCTTGGGGGTCCGAGCGCTTTTCACCGGAGGACCCCCTCTAAAGAGGGGGGCCCAAAGTGTTAAAGCCTAACATCAAACAAAACCACCACCATACTTACTTGGAGATGAAAGCTATCGAAATGGTAAGATACTTCTATATAGGAGAGCTTATATTGGAAGTTTTACTTGATTACTTTCTAAGGGATTAAGATGCAGATCTTTTCTTTATCTATAGTAAGAAAATCCTAAGGTTAGGATATAGACCCCGAAGTCTAAGAGCTCTTAGATTCTTAGAGAAAAAGAGCTGCATCTTACTTCCTTGTTAACTAAACTAGCTAAAACTCCTAAGGTAAGCTCATTTCTATACTACCATCCTGACCTTTTGATAATTTTTACCTCCGAGTAGTTGTGGTGGTTTTCTTTGATGTTGGCCTTTTTTATTCATACACTTTGTATGTGTCCCGAGGTTTTGGCAGGTCCCAGCATTTTGGCCCCCCTCTTTAGAGGGGGTCCTCCGGTGAAAAACGCTCGGACCCCCAAGTAAATCTTCGTTGGAACTTCTATCCTTTGGAACTCGATTGGTTGCCAAGGCGCCAACTGGTTAGTATCACATGGATACCAACACTAGAAAGAAAAATCGAGAGCCAAGGGAATAGGTAGTGCATGGTAAAGAGAGGACGCCTTCCAAGTTCCAGTACCTACTAATACTCGCAGATAAAAGTGCTCAGAACACTTAGGAAGAGGAACGATTCCGGTACCAGTTTCTCCACCTGGGAGACGGACAAGCAATGGTTGAGCTAGCTAAACCTCTGCCTGCTCATCCACGTAGGTCGGTATATGCTCGCAAGGCCTTTTCCTCTGTAGAGAAGCAGTCTGGTCGGAAAGTTCCGACGACGGAATTAACTACCTTTACCTTACCTTAACTACATTGTATGTACAAGTACAATACGCCTGGGCACTCAGTATTCCGTACTCTTGCTTCGGTTAGTCAGTACGGTCGTACGGGACGGAATGCTGTTATTACCTACCATAGTGTAGTGTAGGAAGCACGCGACGCTGGACTAGCCGTGTCAGGGTGCTTCTTGAAGACATCCGTCACCCGAGATCAGCGAGATCCAAGATGCTAGTAAGCGCTAGCTGTGTTAGGAAAGCTTTCCGTAGCCGTCGTTCCGAGCCTGTGGGAAAGCGGCCGGGGATTCGTTGAGGACCCTGGGGTTGGCTCGCTCGCTAGCCATTCTCTCCCATTCCCCACCCCACCATGCCATTGCAGCAACCGCACCCGTTCGGCCCGGGCAGCTGCTGGGGGTCAAGCAAGATGTCCATACCAGTGAGTACAGTACCTGCGAAATTTCACAATACCGGTAATTGATCATTGACTTACAGATTACATAGGTACCTGTACTACACCATACGTGGAAATTTGCAGAACATCACAAAACCGACACTACTCGGAACTTGGTACTTGTTAGGCATGGATTTCCCTGCGGTTCCCGCGGGGATCCGGACGTAATTCCGCACGGTCAGAAGGCAGGGTAGCTCGCTTCTGTCTCTTGATCCTGCAATCTCGGCCACCGAAGGCTTCCATTTCATGATCGAATGTCTCGGCGGGGAGGAGCATGACAGGATTGCTGCGCGGTGGTGGCGTTGCTCACTGTTCTTTGCAGCTTCGAAGACGGTGACCCGAAGTCCAAATGTCACCATCCAATATCACACCTCGCCGCGTGCTGGCTGGGGAGTGCGGCACAGCACAGCATGTCCTTCCTTCCTAGGATCCTTCCGCGCCGTAAGTATGGGCTTGCTGCGCGACAAAAATTTGGCTGGTCCGTTCGACATCGGAAAACGGCTTTTTTCTGAGCGGTCAGCCCGAGACGAGTCGCAGAGACAGTTTGTCTGGCCTTCCCGAGCCACTGTCCCTTTCTCCTCGGGCCGATCCGCCCTCCTTCGACTCAGCTCCGGAAGGATGTCTGAGAATGAGAGTCAATATTGTTCCGCGAGTCGAACTTGGAGTCTCTAATGGTGTTACACCGTTGTCGGCTACCTGCAGAACTGTGTCTGTCGTACCAAACCTTCCTGTGCTGTCTCCCCCCTACCACGGATGGAACGCAATCTTACCCGGCGTTGACACGCGTTGTACGGGGAATAGGCAGAACAGTACAGCCCTGTCCGACGTCAACCTTGCGGGGTCGAGGGGGGCAAAATCTCCGCGCTTCTGCAGGTGATCTGTCTCGCGGTGTTTGTGCTTGTCTTACCACGATGCGGTGAGCACCAGTACACACCACAGCACATTGCTTGCTATGCACTTGTGACAGATCTGTGTTACCCACGAGCTGGTCCCTCCGGAATGGCAAAGTACACAGACGAGTGACCATGGTGAAAGACGAAGGATGGCATTGAGTATATCTATCCATACGCTGGGATCTCACAGCTGATCTTCCCAAGTCAGCAAGGGGTTCAGGGGTAAAACAAAGACACGAGCATGCAAAGTCAAGTCAACAAGCGCGTATATCGATACAGGCAAGAAGTCAGCTGGTAGAGTTTGTCATCGCCTGCCGATATGAACCCCGTTGCACCGCGCATGCCGTAGCCACCGGGCAGAGTTTCAACTCCGTCAAGGCTGAGGAGTGCGTACATTCGTGTAACCTTCAGTGGTCGGGCAATTCACAGACTCGCCGCGGAAGATACCCTTTCTTTAGCTGCTTCACTCTGAAGGCGCGGCCTTGTTCTCTCGGACTGTCCAAGCAGGAGGAAAAGCCAGTGGACCCAACGCACTTGGATATAAGTCATAAGTGCTACAAGTAGGTCATGAGAGTGGCTGGCCACGGGGTGGGTTTCACACCAAAAAGGGTGTCCAACTAATACAAACCATGCTTCAAGCCGAGACCACAGTCCGATATCTTCCGTCAGCGCTTGCCCCTGAAGCGCTGCCCGCTCAGGCGGGATCAGCTCTTGCCAGTCTTGCCTCTAACGGTGTGCCGGCGTCAACATCGGCAGAACAATCAGGTTACATGGAACAACTCCTCCTGACGGGTGTTGTCAACGAGGAGAAATGATATACGGCATTTACATTTGTTCGGGATCCAAATGAGACAAGGCAACGTCCATCGTTTTGGCTACGGTCCCGAGAGCTTCACCTTCATTTACCCCAGAGGGGGTTGTCAAGACCTTCTACTGTGCAACATACCCCCAAGTCCATTTGGTACCGCCTCCATTTTCGGAACGGTAATCGGTGAGGAGAAGGAGCGCGTAAGCTCTGGGGTTACACGGACTTATATATGGATAATGTGCCCCGCAACTCGATCCCGCCAACGAAGCAGATCTTTCGGCCTGCTACATACGCCCAATACCGTTGGTCTTAGACGTAGGTAGGACGAGAGTCTGGCAGGCGACACCTTATATAGTAGAACAGCTCCCGGTCCAATATCCGAAGTTCCGAATATAGAGCTCGGGGAATTTCCACCAACTGCGACACGGAGATTTTATCGGGCGGGACGCGGATCATTTGAGCCTCAACCACCACCCGGCCCTTGGCACTGAAAGATATGGGAGTCCTTTATTAAAGACATCGGCGCCCATAAGTATTTCCGAACGAACGCCAGCCGCAACCCGGTGGTCCGGTCAGGGTTGGGACGGAACGGTATTCAATTAGTCGCCCGGCAGCATCGGAAGATGGGGGTTTCCCGTCTGCGGGACACCGGAATTTGCCATATTGCTGCACGATACATGCCGCGGATAATGCTGTGCTATATATGTATACAATATATATGCAAGGTTGCGGAGATTCACCACTGGGCGCGGTACTTGGGGTGGGGATGATCGTATGTCGTCCGGTATCCGATCGGTGACTTCCCGACTCCGACCCGCACATGGTCGGCTAGAAACCCGATTGAGCTGCCATGGTGCAGACATTTTACTTGATTGAGTAAACTCGTTCCGGACAGGAACGGTAATCTCCTTGTGTTTGCTCGCCAATCAGCCGCCGAAAAGCGAACTGAGAAACAGGACGATATCCGTTGACACTTTTAGTATTGGATTTCAATCAAACTGCGGAAGCCATATCACATGGCTGGATGCGCAAATTCGGACCAACGGGGGTAGTGGGTCCTCGGTAGTCTCCGGAGCGGAGCAGCCGGGACGGAATGTCCCGCAGGAGAAGCTCTTTCCGGGCCTGCACTCGCCCAACACCACCATTCCGATGCTTACCGTAAGCAACGAATGAAAGACAATTTTTTTGGCAGTTCGCTGCGACAGGAACCGCCAACCTTTAAAATGACACTAAAAGAGCGGCCGGCAGGTGAGACGCAATCTCGGACCGAAAGAGCGATGCCATCGGCCGCGGCAGCCGCAGACCCGGTCTGGGACACATGGGCCTCCGTGCCGTGGACGGCGGTAAACCTTCCAGAACCGACCTCGCCAGCTGGCTGCGGTACCAACATCCTCGGCTGGCTCAAGACCGGCGTGCCGTACCTCCCGCGGGGGGAAGCGCTCTCCCTCCAAACGCTCGACCTCTGGATCCCCTCCTCCGCCACCGGCACCGGCGTCGCCCCGGACATAAACAGCCTCCCCGCTGGCCAGCCGGGCAGCGTCTGGATAATCTACATCCACGGCGGCGCCTGGCGCGACCCGCGCATCACCTCCGCCTCCTTCAACCCGGCCGCGACCAACCTCCTCCGCGCGCTTGCCTCGGAAAACAGCAGCAGCAGCAGCAGCTCGTCCCACTGCACCAAACTGGCGGGCCTCGTATCCCTGAACTACCGCCTCTCCCCGCACCCGTCCCACCCTTCCTCAGACCCGGCCCGCAAGGCCAAACACCCAGACCACATCTCCGACGTCCTCGCCGCACTGTCCTTCCTCTCCCGCCTGGGCGTCATCCCCGGGGGAGCGAACAACAACAATAACAATAACAACAACAACGACAACAGTACGAAATGGATCCTAGCAGGCCACTCCTGCGGCGCAACCCTGTCCTTCCAGACCCTCATGCCTCGCTACCACTTCCTCCTCCCCCTATCACCACCAGAACCACTAACACCAGCGGTACTGCCACCACCCAGCGCAGTGGTGGGGTTCAACGGGCTGTACGACCTCGCAGGCTTCATCGCCGATGCGCCAGAGAGTCACGCCCACCTGCGCGACGGGTATCGGGAGTTTACTGTCAGCGCATTCGGTGGGGACGAGAGCGTGTGGCGCGCCGTGTGCCCCGCTAGTTGTGAGCCCGGGTGGGTGGGGAAGGGATGGCTTGGGCATGGGTATGGGCATAGGCAAGAAGAAGGGGGAGAAGAAGGAGAAGAAGGAGGAGGAGGAAGGGAGGGGGCGGCAAAGATAGTAGCGGTGCTGGTGCAGAGTCGCGAGGATCAGCTTGTGCCGTGGCAGCAGCTGGAGCGGATGCGGGATTGTTTGGAGAGGGAGGGGCCCATTGTCCAGGAGGTGAGGGTTAGGGAGGCGCGTGGGGAGCATGATGAGATCTGGCGGGAAGGGGGGAGGATGGCCGAGGTTTTGTGGGAGGTTGTCGAGGGGTTGTAACAAGTTTGTGTGTGTGGCTTAGACCGGGAGGTAAATACCTTAACCTTATTCGGTAGACCTATGCAGCACCAGCACCCAAGCGGAAGCATAACAAGTGAAGAGCCATCCACCTAACCCCTGCTTGGCTAAAAAGACTCGGTGTCGGGAGGCCAAATTAGCATGCTGCTGCGGTGATTGCGGGCCGGACTTGATGTGCGTTGCTAGCGGGCCAAAGCAATAAGGAAACATAGGACCTGAGGTAGTCAATCTTGTCCAAGGAATGTCATGGAGCTCAACGCGTCGGGGTGCATGCTGGGGAGACTAGAGAGAGGGATGTTCTCCGAATCTGAAAAAGGTGATCATATGTACTAACTGACAGCTCCGTGTTCTCTACGCACAACGGTAGCATGTCGCTCAAGGATTCCCATCCCCCCGAGGTTCAAGTTGAAACGCCTGAGACAACGCGCCCAGGTTGTCGAACCTCCTGAACCTGAGGCACGGGATCATCCACCGAGGACGTTCCCAGTGGCCTTGATCGATTTCAACGTGGCGTGCAGGGTTGGTATCAAATCTAGCGAGCGGTACGCCGAAAACGAATACCCGTGTGAGCGGTGGGCTTTGAGGAGGCGAAGGTCAATGGAATTGGGGTCTCGTATCGTGTATGAATACGGTATACCTCCATGAAGCTTAGACGGAGTTCGAAGGGACTAGATGCATAGTAACTATAGGCTATAGCGCAGACCGTGAACAAACTTAGTATAAGGAACTAGAGGGAATAAGTGAGTATAAATGGCCGTGGTATTCTCTCATGTCCAGGTGTGTGTAATGGACACTCCGAATCAAAGAACGGCTGAAATATCTGCCGTTAGGCAGCAGGTGACCTTGGTAAGTCGGCACGACAAATGAAACTTGATTGCGGTGTTAACTGATGTTCGGACTGTGGCCATACATCCCAGCTTGGATTCTTGAAATGGAAAGTACCTTAGGCACTGAAACACAACGGTCAGATGATAACTCCCCATCTGCGACGTTACTTGTCAGGACGTCTATTTGCTCGAGGGAGGACTGAGCTTTATCTGATGTCGCCCAGGCAGCAAGGTACGCAGTGAAATCCTATATATCTGTTTGGTAATGAATTTGTCGAGGGGCCTTTTCTTGCTCTCTCTACCGTTTCCAGTCTTCCTTTGCCCTTTTCTGTTTTGCCAGTCTTTTTCTTGTTCTGGAAATCTTGTTCCGTCGTCGAGTTTGAAACTGAGCGGAGCGAGATGTGCAACAGTGTGATGCGTTCACCGGAATCGAAGACCGAACCGACTGGTAATGGCGCTATGAAATAAGGTACCTTAGGTATACCAAGTACAATTCCATCAGAATCTTGCGCTGTTTGGTCTCACCCCTCCGGTCTCACTCAACTTGTAAGTTATAGAAACGTGGACGAGAGTCGAATAATTCAAGTCTGATTTTAAGATGGTCCAGGTTTATCGGTGCTTGTAGCCGGGTGTTTCCTAGAAGGTCGTATGAAACGGGTGGCTTATGTCGCCTCCTGTCGAGTTACAACTGTTGTTAACGTCTTAGGACATGAGCATGAGCCGAAAAGCTTCATGCCTCTCGAACCTGGGATAGATAATCCTCTCGCAGGCTGCCTTACCTTCGCCGCCTCGCACGACATTCCAATCAACCGACTGCCTGTGGTGAATTCCTCCGAGAGCTGCGCATCGCGCGCTCTCGTCAAGGTAGAATTAAATAAGTGCTCGACAAATCTGCTACCGTCGATGCCCGACTGTCCGAATTGGGCCATCAGCCGTCTGTATGCCATGTTACATTGCATTTCAGCTGCGAAGAACCAGCGACCTGGGCGCGCCGCCAAGCAGACGAGTGCGCCGGTGAACTTCCCTCCTTCCTCCTTCTTTTTTCACTCCTCCTCTTTATTTCTCATCGCTCTTCTCTCCTGTTGACTCCTCATCGATCGTTGCCATCCCGAGGTGTTTGCCCGCCAGAAGCCACACCATACATCCTCGGATCTGTCATCTACCCTCCTTCAGCATGGGAGCTCCCTGGGTTCTAGCTGCACTCGCCGCTGCAGCCCCCTGCGAGGCGGCAAGCGTCAGCGAAGACGAGCTGTGGGATGCGATCCAAGCGAACAAGGACAACAAGACGGCGCTTCACACCATCGACGCCCCGGCGTGGGTCTCGGCCGCCGACTTTAGAGGCACCATGGATATCCTCCAGACCTACGTGTTGACGCTGTTTGCTTGCATTTACACAGCCTTGCACCTCAATGTGCCGCCAAAGACCGACTTGCTAAGCATTCTCATCATGAAGACCAAGTGGACGTTCACGGCTTTACTGGCGCCCGAGATTGTGCTGTACATGGCGGCAGATCAACTCATCCGCGCCCTCCGAGTCAGGAAAAAACTCAGGAAGCTGCAGGAGAATAGTGTCCGCGTTGATAAGACAGTAAGGACTCCCGTACCGTATTCATGTTGGGAGTTCTTCTCTGCTGGAAGAGGTTCTGACTGAGGAAAACTTAGTTCGACTTCAATCTGAGATACGCCTTCATAGTCATGGGAGGAGTCCGAGTCCCCACCGATGAAACAGCAAAGTTTGGCTATCCGGCCTCTATAGAAGGGAGCCGACCGATACAACTGACCGAGGACGGGGTAATTGGCCTGGCGCAGCGAGACTTCTGGATCTATGTCAACCCGAAAAAATTACTGCAAGAGCAAAGCCGTGCTGCACAAAGTCCTGGTGTTGCTCCAAATTTCGTATTCAGCAATGACTTGCATCGTCCGCCGAGTCTACGGCCTCCCCCTCACATTGCTTGAGGTTCATACGATGGTCCACGTCATCTGTGCCGTTCTCATGTATACCCTGTGGCCCGAGGTAAGTTCTGGTTGTTCGAACATATAGTATCTGACGTTGGGAGTCTAGCACCGTGTAGATGAGCTCACACCATTGTAGAAGCCCTTGGACATTTCCGAGGCCGAGATGGTGTATGACTCTGAGTGAAATATCGCACTTGCTGTCATGATCCAGAGGGAATTCTTTCCAGACGAGCAGGTGCGCTATGATGGACATTTATCTGCAAGTGAGGTTCTAATGCCAGCAGATTCTGCCTCACCCGCCGGATGAAGGGTCATATTCCAAGAGCGGCACTATCATTGGAAATTGGAAATTCATAGCCCCGTATGGTACCGCTACCGATGTCAGTTGTTTGCAGCGATGGAAGGAAGTGGCATCCGAGCTCAACACCCAGGCACATTCCACTCGCATAAGAAACCCCGACGCGAAAGATCTTCTGGGTCGTCCCGAAGGGAATCCCGTATCCGAGACCGGAAATCTTCGCATGTCCTACTCATCCGCATTCGTCGATGCAGTAACGCTCGGAGACGCTGTAACACCAAGGCCGTTTATTGTCCTCCTTGCTGCTGCGCTCCCTACTGTATATGGCGGAGTACATTTGAGCGCATGGAACTTCGAATTCCCGACTACCGTGGAGCATCTGCTGTGGTACGTTGAATCCAAGTTATATATCAGCTTTCTGCTTCCAACACGCCCTACTAGGCGTACAATCACTGACACTGTTGGACAGGAAAATCATGTGCTTTACTATCATCGGGGCTGTCCCGGCGATGCTTGGCACCTTCGCCATACTATTCTTCATCGCCTTTTGCGTTTCCATGGTGGTCGAACTCACTACCGGGGAAGATGTTGGTGGTCACTCTGCGTCTCTGCCAAGAGGCTTTACCAAACGGTTGGGACCGTCGTTCTAGTTGTGTATGCCTGCGTAAGACTCTACATTGTGGCTGAGTCCTTCCTCAGCCTTCGGAGGGTGCCCATCGGAGTGTACTACACTCCGTCGTGGCTTCAGATGGTTCCACACGCCTGAGACGTGGCCTGGTAACGAGCAGATGGCTATATGTTATATCACACCGCCCCCTTTCTGTCTCTAATATCCTCAACCCGCGACGCAACTACCTCCGGGGTTTCGGCCCCAACCGCATGGACATCCCTTGTTAAACCACCAAAGACCTTTGTGGTCTTTATGTCTAGTATGGCTTTCAAGCCCTCCCACATATACACAGTAAGCAAGTTCCCTGGCTTAGGAGGGGACATCACCTTCTTCACCTTCTTCAGCCTAACTATTCAGACATCTTTTCTCTGCCTCCGACCTCTGCACACTGCAACATCTTCCTGTCTCAACTCGCCGACGACAAGAACCGCGACAATTCCCTCCACGTCATCGACCCTCGCCGGATACCCACTCCCGCGGTCCGTGTACTTAGTTACTCGCGAGCCAATACACTACCTTTTCACACACGCCGCATCTACCTCGTCCGGGGTCGCCTCTGCGTCCAGGATGAGAAATCCCGATAGGGAAACTCGGTCGAACCGATTAGGAGACAGTGGTGAGTGTTCGTGCAAGCCAAGGCTGGACGAGGCTTCAATGCGGTTTTCCAGAAGGCTTCCATTTCCAGCCTCAGGGGACTGAGCAAAGTGGGTGAGCTGACAATCCCAGCTAGATCGCCCGATGAGGCGCTGACTTAATTTAAGCCTTGCTTCCAGTGGATTGCACCGCTGTTTAGGAGATGCCTGTCCCAAGACAACCGCTGTCGGGTCCATGTTCGAGAACACGTGTAGTTAACTGAAAGAGCTTGATCCATGACTAGACTAATCAGGGGCAACTGCTTCACTGCAAAGGTTGATCATGATTGCTCGATGGCGTCGAACCACGACAGAATGCTCAGCCACCTAACCGAGGGCAAGGCGTAACCTACCGAACTAGCAGAATGCTGGACTTGGTCTGCCCCCCGACACCTGAGCAGTGCTGAGTTCCGACTCCTGAACCCGGTTGCATTGCACCAGAACTCCGGGCGGAGATTAGGCGCGGTCTAAGGCGATCTCCCCACTCAGGGCAGCTATGATGTCATGTGCCGCCGCTGCCAGGGGCTGTCTTCAACTCTTCAGGGCGAGTCATGCATTTTGAGCTCCAGTAAGGGCCTTGGCACAATTTGGCCAGGGGTAGTCAACGGGAAGCGCGTAATGAGATGGGATGACAATTTTTCCCTTGTCAGCACGCGGCAGATTCCATTGACAAAGGGAGATTCCGCCCCTGCGTTCGTTTTAATCCTGGTGCTGAGGATGGCCGTCTCCTGATTTGCCAAGCCCGGATCGTCCCTCGCTGCAGAAGACAAGCTTTTGTGGCCTGCCGCACAAAGCCGGGGTTTGCCAACCCCCAGAACGGGGCTTATGCACCTCAGCGGCCCAAGTCGGACAACAGCCCAATGGAACGGAGCTTGCCCAACGCAATCAAGTGGCTTCGTGTCCTGCACCTGCCATGGACCTATCTTTGGACGACCCCTCTTCAGACTTAGGTCCCTTCGGTTGGGGGTGGTAGCTGACTGCTGACGCGGGGCGGGGGCGGCCTCCTTCGTGCCCATGGGCCGTCCCGGCCCATTCCTCTCTCCACGGTTCCATCACAATAGTTTCGCCCTCCTTGTTGACCAGATTCTGCATTGCGGCCTCACCGACATTGGCTCTGCTCTAACCGGTGAGTGCCTTGCTAATTTCCATTCTTCGGGATCCCCCAGTGGATCATGAGATACCAAGGACCAAAAGCCTCCCACACTTCTTCATTGACCAGGAACCGGGAAGAAAACTAAGGACGGTGCTCTTGCTCTGCTGTCTATAAAGCCAAACTCAGTACATTGTGGAAGTCTCCAGCCTTTTGCTACTTGCTTCTAGGTTACGCACCAATACACATCGCATTTACTCACACATTACCTCTAGTTTGACTGTCGTTAATCGCCAAGCTCGTCAAGATGGTGCACCTCTCAACAATTCCGACCAACGACGAGGTGGAGAAGCTTGCCAACGGCGTCAAAAAGGTTCACCTTCAGCTCGCCAACGATGATGACAGCTTCACCACCAGCGTCTACGGCTCCAAGTTTGCCGCTCAGGATCTCCCTCGGCACGAGATGCCCGAGGGCGAGATGCCCAAGGAGGTGGCCTACCGCATGATCAAGGACGAGCTGAGCCTGGATGGGAATCCCATCCTGAAGTACGTCTCCCTTTCCCGGTCTGGACGAACCTGCACGCTGACCGAAATACCCGCAAAAGCCTGGCTTCCTTTGTCACCACGTACATGGAGGAGGAGGCCGAGAAGCTGATGGCTGAGTCCTTCTCCAAGAATTTCATCGACTACGAGGAGTACCCGCAGTCGGCCGACATCCAGAACCGGTGTGTCTCCATGATAGGTCGCTTGTTCAGCGCTCCTGTTGGGCCTGGCGAGACGATCGGTGCCGTGGGCACGTCCTGCGTCGGCAGCTCCGAGGCCATCATGCTCGCCGTGCTGGCCATGAAGAAGCGCTGGAAGAACAAGCGGATGGCCGAGGGCAAGCCCTGCGACAGGCCCAACATCGTCATGTCGTCGGCCGTCCAGGTCTGCTGGGAGAAGGCGACCCGCTACTTCGAGATCGAGGAGAAGCTGGTCTACTGCACCGAAGACCGCTACGTCGTTGACCCGGAGGAGACGGTCAACCTGGTGGATGAAAACACCATCGGCATCGCCCTGATTCTCGGTACGACGTATACGGGAGAATACGAGGACGTCAAGGCGGTCAACGATCTGCTGACCAAGAAGGGCCTCAACACACCAATCCATGTGGATGCCGCCAGCGGTGGCTTCGTGGCGCCCTTCGTCGTCCCGGACCTCGAGTGGGACTTCAGACTGGATAACGTAGTTTCGATTAATGTCTCTGGGCACAAGGTGTGTGGTAGCTTCGCAGTGTACCCTTGGCTTACACCAAAAGTCGGTATAGATTCGCTGACTCTCGCAGTACGGCCTCGTCTACCCCGGTGTTGGCTGGGTTGTCTGGCGCAGTGCGGAATATCTTCCGCAGGAGCTGGTCTTCAACATCAACTACCTGGGTGCCGATCAGGCTTCCTTCACGCTGAACTTCAGCAAAGGCGCCAGCCAGGTGATTGGCCAGTACTACCAGCTCATCCGGCTCGGCAAGAAGGGCTACAGAGCCATCATGAGCAACCTGACACGTACGGCCGACTATCTCTCCGACTCGCTCGAGGCGCTCGGCTTCATCATCATGTCCAAGAAGTCGGGTGAGGGCCTCCCGCTCGTGGCCTTCCGCTTGCCTCCCGACGAGGACCGCAAGTACGATGAATTCGCCTTAGCGCATGCGCTTCGGGTCAGAGGCTGGGTACGTGTCACATTTGATTGCTAGAGGGTTGAGAAGAGTGTGTCTAACCATCACCAACAGGTGGTGCCTGCCTATACGATGGCCCCGCACACGAATCAGATGAAGATGCTGCGCGTCGTAGTCCGCGAAGACTTCACCAAGAACCGATGCGATGCCCTGATTAATGACATCAAGTCGAGCCAGAAGCTGCTCCAAGAGATGGACCGGGACAGCATCAAGAAGCAGCAGGACTTCATCCACAAGCACCACACGGCCGGCGGCAAGGCAACCCACAACCACCCCAAGTACCGGGTAAGGTCCTGTGCAGCTGCTTCTTCCCCTCCTCGTGTGTGACAAATCGCCCATACTGACCGCTTGCTGCAGAGGGAAAAACACTCGCTCCAAGGGAAAACCGGCAAGACTCACGGTGTCTGCTAAGGTGCGACACCAAAGGCAGACAAGCGTCGAGCTTCCCGGCCCGTCGGGGGCTTTGGCCAAGACTATCCACACGGAAACGGTGGAGAGGGAGCAGCAGGCGACGCTTCGCCTCGAGTTGCCCGGCGGCCAGGAGCTTCTCACGCTGAGATTTGCGACATGCCCGTCATGACTGGACGACTGACTGATGATGACGCGATGGGTTCCTTTTTTTTCTTTTGCTGCGCAGTTCGTGGGCCAGATTTGAGGTATAGACGGGAGGTATGGGTAGAGCCAGTAGATCCTGCAATTTACGTCTGGATCTCGTGGTTCCGGCCGGGAGGGAGTGTGCTTCTTGTGACTTGTCCAGTCCAGATGTTGTTTGAACCAGATTCGCCAAGAAAAATCGAGAGCGAGATGCATTGCGACAACCCTACATTTTATTCAGTTCCTCGGCGCGGCTAAGAACCTTGATGGATCGGGGGACTGAACACGGACGGGAGTTCTTATCGATAACGTATTGTTGGTAGTACTGCTAATTGTGTGGGGTTAAATTTCAGTGCCCGACATCGCTCATTGTGTTCGAGCTAGGCTTTTGTAGCCTCTCGAATGACTCTCAAGAGTCAACAATGACTCCCCAAATGGAGGTTAATTTACTGCATGACTAACATTCGACTTGCAGTCCATGAGAAGGGTATAAAGAGCCCGTATTCCAAGGACCCGTCTGACTGGATTGGATCATTTCCTGTGAACTCCATGCAGTGAGTCTCCGCTCGCCGCGTCGCCTTCTGACAATTCCAATTGGCGTCCCGTTTCGTCACACCTTGCATCCCGTTATCCAGCACCCCTTGATGATGGCTTTCCGCGCTTCCCTACGGGCTGCTGCCGCCGCTCACCCGGCTGTCGCCCGGTTCTACTCGCAGGCAGCGGCCGTGCCGACATCGAGTTCCTCGTTTATTACCGCCTCACAGATCCAGAGGGACGCGGCGCTGCCGAACCCGGATCCGGCTGAGGACTCGGCCAGCGCCGCCCTTGTCCGCGAGCATGCGCCCTTCATGGTCGCCACCTACTCGCGCCCACCTCCCGTATTTGTCAAGGGAGAGGGCTCTTACCTGTACGATATCGACAACAGAAAGTACCTCGACTTCACTGCAGGCATCGCTGTCAACTCGCTTGGACATTGCGACCCTGGGATATCCAGGTTGATCGCCCAGCAGGTGAGCCAGCTCCTCCACCCGACCCTAACACACACTACCCTTTCAGATCAAAGATAGGAAAAAGCTCATTCTCTTCAGGCCAAAACCCTCATGCACGCCTCCAATCTGTACTACAACCCCTGGACCGGCGCCCTCTCCAAGCTCCTCATCGAGAAGACGCTCGCCTCGGGTGGCATGCACGACGCAACGTCCGTCTTCATCTGCAACTCCGGCAGCGAAGCCAACGAAGCCGGCATCAAGTTCGCGCGCAAGGTGGGCAAGGTGCTCGACCCGTCGGGGGCCAAGCACGAGATCGTGTCGTTCGGCAACGCCTTCCACGGCCGCACGATGGGCTCGCTCTCTGCCACGCCCAACCCCAAGTACCAAGCGCCCTTCTCGCCCATGGTCCCGGGCTTCCGCGTGGGCGAGCTGAACGACGTCGCCGCGCTGCCGTCGCTCGTCACGCCCGCCACCTGCTCCGTCATCGTCGAGCCTATCCAGGGCGAGGGCGGCGTGACGCCGGCCTCGGACGACTTTCTGCTCGCGCTGGCCAAGCGCTGCCGCGAGGTCGGCGCGCTCCTGCACTACGACGAGATCCAGTGCGGCCTGTCGCGCACGGGCTCCTTCTGGGCCCACAGCCGCCTGCCCAGGGAGGCGCACCCGGACATCCTGACCACGGCCAAGGCGCTGGGCAACGGCTTCCCCATCGGCGCGACCATCGTCAACGCCCGCGTGACCGAGAACATCAAGATCGGCGACCACGGGACCACGTTCGGCGGGAACCCGCTCGCCTGTCGGTTGGGGCATCACATCGTCGAGAGGCTGGCCGATCCGGCGCTGCAGGCCGAGGTGGTGCGGAAGGGGGAGCTGTTCAGGCGCGGGTTTGAAGGGCTGAGGGAGGGCTACCCGGCGCTGGTGCGGGAGGTGAGGGGCAGGGGGTTGATCTTGGGCTTGCAGCTGAGCGAGGACCCGGGGCCGATTGTGAAAGCGGCCCGGGAGAGGGGTCTGTTGGTCATCACGGCGGGGACCAACACGTTGAGGTTCGTGCCGAGCTTGGTGATGAGCGACGACGAGATCCGGGAAGGGTTGGCTATCTTGGAGGAGGCAATTCGTGTCACCAGGCAGTAGAAGGGATCGAGTCAGCGGGGTTCGGCAGGGTGCAAGGGGTACATGAAAATGGTATCGATCTTGTGGTTTGGTTCGCTTGTAGAGTATGGGTGTTCAACTGTTCTGAACAGTGTAAGTGTGGGTTGGGAGAGCTTGGAATCTGCAAGACTTGGGTTGTGATTCCCCACGTTAGAGATATAGTTCACTGCTGGTACACAGCTATTCACCTACTGTTCAGGCGTGGTACATATCCACACATGTACAGACATTTACCCCTTCATCGATCGAGGACAGCTTAGACACTGCTGTCTGTGTGTTTGCAAAGCGTATTGGGGTTCGCCGTGTGAAACCATGGAAAGGACACAATCTGTCGATTACGCCCTCAGGAAGCACCTGTACGCAGGTCATCCACAGAGACCTGCAGAGCATAGCACCGACTTCAGTTATACCGGTAGGTTTGTGGTAGAGGAACTGACAACAAGTGTTCCGCGGTGAAACAAGAGACAACTCACGTAGGCCCCAACCAATCCCACATCCACATCCGCACGGCACACAAATACACGAATCCCAAGCCAGCATGAACTCACACCCTGGCTCATTAGCGATCAATTCCTGTCAAATCGTTTCACAAGACAGCTATCACTTTGCAACGAACGGGTATGGTATCATTTCATGTCATGTCAAGTCATTGCTTGTGTATCCCGAATGTCCCCCAAATCCCTTCCTACCCGTGGCCCCCTTTTCTCTAGCGAGTGCCTTTGTGTCCCATCATTCCTGCGCAAGGTGTTGTTACACGATACAAATCACATAGAACGCCCCAGTTGCTGCAAAAGTTTGCCTTCCCGAATCGGTAAAATCATGATGAACGAGTGACAATCAAAATGTTGGCCAGGTACGCCCGGTGAAATTCCATCTACCTGAGCCTGCCTAAAAAGACCAACGGGGTATTGTAGAAGAAAATGCAACCATCACTTTGCCCCACCAGGAAAAGCAGAACGGAAAGTTGGTGGTGCAAAACGAAGTCTCGAAATCAAAGAGCTGGTGTGCGCTGCCAGCTAGCTGGCCAGCAAAACCGACTCTTTAGAAGACGAAGCGAAAGAAGTTTGGTTTGCCGGGAAGGGCTGAAACTTAGGCGGCAAGCCGGAGCTTGGCGGAACCCCGGAAGCGGGTACGCAGGCGGAGCTTGCTGTTGGAGAGGTCCATGCTGAGGGCCTCGCTCTCGCCGGACTTGCAGGCGGTGCCGGCAGCGACGGCCATGGGCGCGGACCAGACGCCGCTGGCGCAGCGCTGGAAGGAGGTGCCGTTGATGCAGTTCCACGCGCCCTCATTGCTGCAGGCCGTGCCGACGGCGTGGCCGCCCGCCGAGGAACCGCTGCCGGAGCCGGCGGAGCCAGTGCCCGTGGCCGCCGGCGCAGAGGCGACGGTCGAGGCAGCAGGAGCGCTTGCGACCGAGGTCACCAGGGTGGTGGGCGCAGCGGCCGGAGCGCTGGAGCTTGCGCCACCAGTGGGGACGGTGATGAAGACGCCACTAGAGGGGATTGGTAAGCCTGAGTCCGTAGACACACTAGAAGCTGTGGCAGTAGCGTCGGGGTTGGGGGTAATGGCAGTTAGTCTGATGGGGTGAGAAGACGAAGATGGTACATACCCAGGAAGAGGGGCAGAAGAAGCCGGAGCAGTGGTGGCGGGAGCTGCCGTGGCCTGCACGGCGGAGCTCGCCGCAGACGATCCACTGCCGGAGCCGCTGCCGCTACCGCTGTCGCCGGAGCTAGCAGCAGAACCGCAGTTGCCGGAGGGAGGAGCGAGCTTGCTGCCGCTGGCGACCTTATCGGGACCGGGGTTGGGGTACTGAACGTCGATGCCCTCGGGCACACTGCAGCCGTTGCCGAGGTTGGCGACGAAAACCTGGGGGCGCGAAGAGAAAGCAGCGCTGGCGCGCTTCTCCTCGGCCTTCTCCTCAACCTCACGCTTGGAGCTGCCGCCGGTGATGGTGACGGCGGCGCAGTTCATGTAGAACTCGCGGTTACCGATTTGGTTGTTCCAGGTCCAGGCCCAAATGGCGTCGCCCGCAGGCGCATCGGCAGGGATAGTGAAGTCGTAGCTGGACGACAGAGGGCAGCCGCCCTCAATCGACTGAATGACGGTGAAGGTCTTGCCCTTGTCGTAGCTCAAGCTGACCTGGCAGGAGCCGCCGCCGTGAGGAGCGCCACCGACAACGGTGAAGTTGTGCTGGCTGCCCGCGGCGAAGGTGGCTGTGGAGGCGCCCGCAGCGGTGCCCAAATCTGAGTGGTAGCCCTTGCAAGGGTAGTTCGAGCCATCGGCAGCGAGGGGCGCCGTGTTGGTGTAGTCGACGTTGGTCGCGTGGGGGTTGAACTTGGACCGGAAAGGCGGCGGGAACGAGATCTCCATGTGGGCAGCGGCGAGCTGGGAGCCTGCAAGCAGGACGGCGAGGGCGCCGGTGCTGAGTCCGTTGGCGAACATCTTGATCGGTTTCTTGGTGGTTGTTTTGGTCGGTTGATCGCGCACTCAGAAGGCCAGATGGCTGAGTTTCAGGTTGGAGGGAGTGAAGAGGTCAGTGTGTAGACCAGGCGGTTGTCTTTTTGATATCGAGCACTGCTCGGGAGCCGCAGAAGGAATGAATGGCTTTTGCGGTTTGTGGTCGCTATTGTCTTCTGCTGTTGCACGTTTTCTGTGCTAGGTTGAACAGGTATTGACGGCTGGCGAACAATAGACGGGATTCACAATCGAAAGCACCTGGCTCAAAGTTGAATGTGGAAAGTCGGTTCCAAAGTGACCGATAAGTGAAACAGTGGGAAGCGAAAAAAGACAATGTAGCCCGAGGCTTAAGCTCTGGTTTGAAGGAAGGACAGAGGCGCGATGCCGTGGTGAAGAAGGGAGAATAAAAAGGCAGACGACAAAGAGCGGACAGGGCTCCCTTTATCCTCCATGTTTCTGTTCTGGCAGTTCATCCCTTGACGATTGGACCACAGCACATGATAGGTCCACGAAGTGATCGGTTGTTTCGAACGGCACCGCGCACACATGGTTGCTTCGTCCGGAGGCCAAACATCCAAAGTGAAGTGGGGAGTGGAACTTCGGACGACAGGGGCAGACAGGGGAGGCCTGCGAGGGGAGGCCCCTTGCTCTCTTTTTTCCCGCTGCATCCATGCAGGCACTTCATGCCGGCCCGTGGCAATTCGACCAGAATCATCAGACTCCGCAACCATGGCCTGGAAAAGATCTACCTACTCGCTCTGTTACCACAGGAGAGGCCGCACCGGCATCTCCAGTGTGATGAAGCCCAACCGCGCGGTCAGTATCAGCTGGAATTCGACGATATCCACCAGATGCCATCGTCTGCCACTTGGAAGCTTTTGGTTGCCGCGTTCTTGGACGTAGAGATTTGACTGGTGAGACAGAAAGCTGCTGGGGTGGCATGTCGGTGACAGGTCTGTGTGCCACTGTGCTCCGCTGGCCGGTTCACATGTGAGCGCCCAATTGCCAGACGGCACTTTGACGGCGGGGCAGCTGGCGAGTCCTTGCCGGAGCTTGGCCGTGGTGCCAGGGTCGTCTTTGGCTGTCAAGGCTTGCCCAACGGTCACCGAATCGGAGATCGTCGATGGCACATCACCAGGATGGGAGTGAGGCCCGGGAGAAAAATTCCAGGGACTTCCCGCTTCTAGCGGATCTCATCATGCCAGGGGCGCAGAAACTTTCATCCAATCAAAGGCCTGATGTGCCTGGCCGCTTGTTCAATGCCTGACAGCGGCGATTGGCCCGGAAAGTGGGGCAGCTGTGTCGTGGTCAGGGCCAGATCCTGGGGAACCCAGTCAAAAGCCGCCAGACTGGTCCAGTGCATGAACTTGAAACACTGCCCCCTTTTTGCTTGCGCATTGGGCACCTTGTTGCGCCCAGTCCACAGGACACGAAATCCCTCAACCCCGTACGCCGTGCCACTGCGCCCGTTGGCACATCCAATCGCTGCGGTGGGCTCATGACTCGATTTCCCATAAGCTCGTCAATCACACTCGTACCAAGGGAACGGCCAGCTCGACGGGGATCCCGGTGTTTGCTCGGATTAACTGCAAGGTTCAAACCCCCGGGCGAATGCGGCTGCAAGCCGAGAATGCATGAGGCCAAGCCTGGTCAACGAAGAGCCGGCAGAAGCCATCGCCGAAAGTCCCAAATGCGACTTTGCGGGCCGACTTGTACAAACATACGCTTGATGAGCATCGCTATCTTGAGGCAGATGCCGCAGGCAGCCGTCGGGTCGACTCGGACGAATTACGGAGGTATCCACGACAGGTGCGTCGTCCGCTCCAGGACCGAGAGGACACTACGGTCCAAGCGATCAGAGCGTGGCAAATAGCCAGCGCATTGCAGACCAGATCTGGTCGCAAGCGCCTACCCGATCTGGCCACACCGCCCGATTCAGGAGAATGCCTTCACTTGCACGCCAAAGAAACACCACCGACAGAACAGGAGAACGGTAACACAACACCAGTAAGAATAGGGCCAACTGCATATGTGTGTCTCTATCTGCTGCAGTCGCATTTATCAAAATAGTAAGGCTTCTCTCATGACCAGCGAGTTTATCCGGATCGAACCATAAAAAAAGCGCCAACGCCGCCCATTCGCTTGATATCCGCGATGCAAGCGCCCAGTCTGCGCATCTTCATAGCACGGACCAACCCGGACGCTGCCCTGATTACGTACTCTTAACCAGCAGCCCCGCTCAGTCCATCATCAATGTGGGCTGAACAGCAAAAGTGGGCTTCAGGAGAGCGCCTTGCGTGTTCCAGACGAAGCCAGAACAGGAATTCCAGCTCAGCCCATCTGATCGGCGAGGCCGCCAGCCGCGCGCTCATGCATGATCCTGACTGAAGCGGCTGTCGGTTGAGGATTTGCATAAGAGACGGAAGACGGCCGGGCAGGAAACGAAACGGCCGATGAACAGTGGAAACACACTGACTCGAATCAACAACAGAAGGAATCCAGGGGCGAAAAAGCACAGAACCCCTCAACGTGGACTTAGACGCCGCCACGGCCGCCCATCACATTCCTTCTGCCCAATGTTCGTCCCCCACGGCCTCGCACAAACAGCCTTTTGGCATCCGCTTCACGAGCAAAGAAGATACGACACACTACGGAGGTACGATGTGGCAAGTAAGGCGTATGCTTGCCCAATATCCAGTATGTATGTAGAGTCGTACTTGTCTACGCAAAATCCCGTGTTCGTCTCTTGAGAAGTTGGACACGGGTATAAGCGGAGAGAGACAGGTGAAATTACGATACAAACCTAGTACGTAACCAAAGGCTATACGGGCTCAAACGGGTCTCAGCCTTTCAGGGGGTGTTACGCAACGTTACGAGGAATCGGGAACCTCCGCCGGGCACGTTGCAAACCAAGGGCATCCGAAGTTTGCAAATCTTCAAATCCTTCGTTATGCATCGTCTTGTTGGCTTCGCCGGCAAGACCGTTGATCATTCCAGACCGAGGTGAGAGCCGGTTAGTACAAACACAACGGCCCGACAGCCAACAAACGCTCCCTCCACTTTCCGAATTGCCAACCCAACTTCCCCATTCTGCACATCTGCCGAAGTGGAATGAATCAGCTATGGACCTTGGATTCTCGACCTTCGATGATCCAAACCAATGGAGCTTGAACGGAGATGGCTTTCTTGAATTCTTCATTCCCGGAGGACCCGCCCATCTCGCAAGAATTCATGCTACCTCTACTACATAACTCGCCACAATGGAGAACGCATGAAACAGCATAGCCACTCAGCCACGGACCTTTTTTTCACTTTGCTAAATAACGGAGACCAGGTTCATGCCCGAGGTAGAGCCGCGCAGCAATTCACAGAAGCACTGGATGGGAAGGCGATATGAGCACAGAGAAGAAGCTCTCAAAAGACTCTTAAGACAAGGGTGGCTAGTTATTTGAAGCAAGGTGGACAAACACAAATCGCCACCGTCTCTCCACCCACGTATGAGTACGTCACGTATTGTGTAAGTACCTATGGTGAACCAAGTAATAATATGAGATAGATACTGGTATGAACAGCGGAAAGGAATGCCGTGTTGAATGCACATCTTTAGGGACAGGTCTTTCCCCCTGGGGAATGAATGCTATAGGGAAAAAGCTATGAACATTCTCGAACTGGCCTCACACTTCCACAAGGAAAACGGGGCGGGCGTAGACCCATGCATACGTAACCCGGGGATATCGGACTGTGTATGTAGTGTGTTGGAATGAATGTCTTGGGTAAGGTACCGTACGCAGTCGAGAATTCCACAAAGTTCCAAGAGGTGGCATTACAACGATCCTTCGGCCGAGATCTTGTCCCAGACCTGCGCCTCTACCCTTCTCGAAGCATTCAAGAACTGCTTGTACTGCTGCCTCTGGTGCCGTTTACGCCCCCATCTTGCACAATCACATGCCGGTTTATATGCGGGTGAAGGGGGAGGCCCCCCCTCCCCTTCCCCCTGCGTCCTCGCCACGCGCAACACATCAACTCCCAGGTCGCCCGCCAACACCATCAAAAGGCCCGTGTCAGAGCAAGGCCACACAACCGCATACTGGTCTATGGTAGGCAACTGAGCATTGTTTTGCTGTCATGCTACTTTTGAAAACAATACAAAGGTGGCATGGCACAGGCGTCAACGGATACTGCTTTACTCCTCGCATCTTCTGCCTCCTCCTCCTTCACCACAACCTTCCCAAGTTTCCCCTTCCGAAAACTCAACGATTGCTGTTGCCATGTTCATCATCGCGACCCATCCATGATGCCTCACCGAAAACCCGATACCATTTGCCCCTCAGATGCGGAAACAGCGTGCAACAAAGAGACTACCATTATGTCTCTCAGTGCCGGTGGACAGGCTCGATTCACCGAGTTCGTCCGGTGTGACGGGCGCATTTCACGCTGCAAAACCCTGCCGCAATCCGCATTGAATTGGTTGTTGTTGCTCTTCTGCTGTTATTATTGCTATAACAGCCATTGAGTCAAAAGCTAGTCATGATACCTGTTCTTGCTTTCTTCTTTCTCCTTCCCGCTCTTGCCTGCAAAAGGAACGTTGTTCGTCAGGCGACTAGGGGCCTAAAGTTCGCTTGGTCCTACTTCGTTTTGCTTGCTCACCGGCATGAGGTCGAGCTCGTGCTTGGTTGACAAGACCTCGAGCAAAAACGCCGGCGGCGATGGCAGCAACCCTGACAAGCAACGGAAAACGGCGGGTAACTGAACAACTCTCTAACTCCTGGGTAGGTTGGGAGGTGGCTACCCAGGTAGACAGGCGCCACGACACGACCTCTGCAGCTTCGGCATGCGGTTCACTGGGGCCGCTGACCCGAGAACTTGCCCTGAGGTTGCTGCGGCGCGTAGGCAGGCTGCTGGTATGCCATTCCGGGGCTCATGCCATACACGGCTTGCTGGCCCTGGTGTGAGCCCTGGTGAGATCCCTGGTGCGCCATCATCGGCGCTACCGGCCGGCCAGGGCTGGGAAACCCGTTAGACCCGGGAATCGGCTGTGGCGGGACTGCACCAGCCGGCATGAACTGCGGGTGAGCACCGGGATACATGGGTCCGGCCGCCACCATTCCGTTGGGGCCCGAGATGAACTGCGGCTGAATCATCATTGGTGCCGCCATGTGGTGGGGTTGCTGGGGGATGAATTGCGGGTTGTGGGAGAAACTCCGAGCGAATTGGCCCATCTGAGGCGCAGCGTTCACGTACGGCGGCATCACGGGCTGACCATACGGCATCTGCGCTGGCGCATTCATTGTCGGCGGATAGGTCGCCATGGGGACCTGTCCCATCCTAGGGGACGCGAATGATTGCGCCGAGTTGGAGTGCATCATCCTATGGTCGTCCGGGACGCTATACGAGACATGCGGAACATGGCCATGCTGGCCAGCGTGCATCTGCATCGGTGGCATATGCGGTGACTGACGGGGTGCCAGGTTTTGCACGCCGTGTTGCAGATGGAACGGAAGCTGATGCTGATGCGCAACTTGGGGGATGACATGGGCTGGGTTGGGTGTGGCGACTGCGGCGTTGGACCGCGGCAGATTGTCGAAGTACTCGTTGTAAGTAAGATGCATGGTCGAGTCCGGCGCCTCAGCCTCCTCCTGGAGCTGACGCCAAGTCGGGAGGGTGTCATAGGAGGGCCTGAGGCCGTCATTGTCGTCCCAGTTCCTACCCTGAGGTGGCTGCATGGTCTCGATGTGCGACAGGATGAAGCACTTCTTGACATCCACCGCCCTTGTCTTGCGCCGGATGAGCTGGCCTTTGGCCGGGGGAGGAGGAATGGGAGCTTCCACAACATTGTTAACCGATGAACGAGGAGAAGAACCCTGGCTAGGAATGGCTGGGTTAAATGGCTGGGCATAAGCATTCGGCCTGAACTCGTGACTGTTGGGGTTCAACTTCGGACCCATGTAGGAGGGCGGCATGCCGCTGATACGGCGCCCAAAGCTCGGGTCCACACCGTTGGCAGGACCGGTGGGAGGAAGTCGCATATCCGGGGGAGGATGCTGCGCCATATGAGGGTGCTGCATCTTTTGCTGCTCAACATTCCTAAGCCGCTGTGCCAGGTTGCCCGTCGGCTGGTTCTGAGGGGCCAGATGGGGCGGCGGGCGGTTATTGCGGTTGTATTGATAATGGGACGGGCCATTGTACGAAGATCGCGGGCCCGGATGGCGACCGGGGATTCCGGTTGCCGAGTGCTGCGGCGCAGCTGGGCGAGCGCTGGCGCGTGAATCGGCCGTCGTAGCCGGTATGGAGGTGCCCGCATGTTCGGTGGCCGGCTTGGCCTGGTTCTCCTTTGTCGCCGAAACTTCCTTCTCCTTTGCAGCTGCCTCCTTCTGCCTGGCGACCTCTTCAATGTTCTGCTGGACCTTTTCCTGAATCTGCTTTTGCTTGGCAGGGTCCTTTGCGATGATGGAAATCAGGTCTTTGGGAACAGGCGTGGTGAGTTTGAAGCTCTCCGCAAACTTCTTCAGCTCGGTCAACTTGACTTCCTTGTCAACCTTTGCCCTGCTGGTTCTAACTTTCTCGGCTATAAACCTTTGACTGGAGGCAAACGTCCTGAAGGAGACCAGCACATCACGTTCGACAGTGGAGGTGGCGCTTGGAACACCGCCAACCTTGACTTGCGATGTGGTGCGACTGGTGGCTGGGGAAGGCCGGGCGGGCGCCGCATCTTTGGCATCAGCAGCCTTTGCGTTTGATGCGGCATCCGTCTTACTGTCGGATGCCTTGGCTTCGGTTGCGCCCCCGCTTGGCTTTGACTCTGCGGACTTGTCTGTAGCTGGTGTGGGTGGCTTATCCGCGGTAGTCGCAGTCTTAGGCTCAACTGGCGGGGTCGGCTGCTTCGGTGTCGGGGTGCTCTTCAGCTGCGACGAGATGATAGCAGGATCGACAGGAGCGCCTTTCACAGTTGCCTGGCCCGTTGGGGCGCGCCGGGCTGGAGGCGTGTACTTGTTCTCTCGGTTCGTCGGCTGAGGGAAGTCCTGTCGGCGCACACCGCTGTACCTGAAAAGGGGGTCAACTTCACCATGTTCCGAGGCCTGTATCACCGGATCCCACGTACCTCTCCTCTTCGTCTCTCTGGTCATCTACGCCCACGAAATCCATAACACGCTCCTCAGCAACGTGGGCAGTGGTCGGAACACTCCGCTCAATCTCGCGCGCCTTCTTTTCCGCAGCCGCCATCCGTTCCTTGTACTGTGGGTGGCTTTTGTCGATGGCCGTGGTGTAGATGTTCTCGTCGTAGTCCGTCTTCAAGCCGAACAGTCGCTCGTTTTCGGCGAATTGGTCCCAAGCGCCGGTGCCACTGGATTTCTCCAGGGAGCCATCGACCTCAAAAGCTGTATCGGGAACCCACGCCTTCAGAGCCCGTTCGTTGCCGAACCGCCCATTCGAGATAGCCGTATCGGTCCGGAAGGAGGAGCGGTTGCCTCCACGAGCCATGTCAGCGTCAGGGAAGCAGAAGGGGCAGGCGACTGCATACCATTGGGAGCTCTTCCATCATTCTTACTGGTGTTGTTGGAGACAACCCGAGCTTCCACGATCTCCTTCCGCTGAAAGGTCATGGCGGGCTGTTCTCGTCGCGGAGGACCGTTCGTGATTTCGGCAGAGTTTGGGAGCTTCTTTTGCTGCACCATCGACAACCGGCAGCTGGTCGACTCTGAGCCGTTGCTATAAATACCCTCGAATTCCGCGCCGGATGCCAAAACAAGGCGCACTCGCTGACCCTGTTGGTGATTTATGAGCTTAGAAATTCAAGGCATTCAACTGCATAGCGCAGGTGGATTCAGTAAATCGGTGGACTAACCTCGCGTAGGGAGCTTGTCACGGCCTGCGGCCGACCGGTAATGGGGTTCCTGTTGGAGGTCCAAGCCTTCTGGACGGGCGGCTGTCTGCACAGCTGTCAGTGCTCGTTCTACCGACCGACCTTTTTGTCGCATAGGCGCTATGCAGCACGGCGGCCTGAGAGGATCACAGGCTGCATACAAAAAAGGGTAACCGAATAAAAAAAGTAAATTGCTGAAAGAACAACGGGAATTGTCTTTGTTCGCGCGGATGGGGAAAGGCAAGGCTTTGTGGGAAGATAGTTAGGGAACGCATGGAGAGTCCCGTGTCTCACCTTGAACCTGCAGTAGGGGGCGACGCTGTTGCTTCTGGCGCTCTCGGTCGCTGGTCGCTAAGCTTGCTGCTATAAAGGGGCCGGGCAGTGGGTGACTTGATGTCCGGCGTGGTGGACTGTGGAGAGGTGATGGTAGGTTTGGTGGTTGTCGATCGGTCTTCCATCGTTCCGCTGCTCTGCCAGCGAGCACTGGGCGCAGCTGTGGAAACTTTGGGAAAGAAGGTGCAGGGCGGGAGATGTGCGGGAGCGGCAGTGGAAGGAGTTTGGACGAATTGGGCGAATCAGAGCGCCGATTGGTTGGGAACGACGAGGGGTGCAGCAGCGACCACCCGATCGATTTGCATCAGCTCGAGGGCTCGGTCACGACAGCCTGCCACGCTATCAGGTTTCGCTCGGGCAGGGCGTTGATTACCTTGGGCCTATGTAGCAGGCACCCCGGTGTGACACAGCGAAGTCGACAAACTGACTTCCTCGCTAAGAGGCATGCAACAAGGCGCGTCAAAGTCGACCCTTCCACTTGTAGCGCGGTTAATTCCGTGTCCGTATCGCTGGGTTCAAACAAGTGAGGGCCGGCGAGGGAAGGAAAGCCGGCCCCGCGGACTGTGAGAATCGAAGGAGGAACGATGTGGAATGATGCAGGCAAGGGGGCGGATGGCGCCGTGCGCTCTCTCAGGCACTCTTGCGGAACGGAGTGGCTTGTGGTTCAGGAGAAGTGCAGAGAGAACTCGGCCGTCGAGAAGGGAAAAGATGGCGCAAGCCAGCAGGCCAACACAACAGAATAGCCCAGGGCTCAACTCTTTAAATCTCAGCCGCCCAATGGGGGTTGGGTCGCACAGTTCGTTGAGTGATGACCCCGCGATAGACCGCCGAACAAACACGTCCTCGTGCTCTTGGGTCTCTGATCGAATGGCGAGCTCCGACGAAGCTTCCAAACCCAAAGCTGTCAAGAAATATCTTTGGCAGATGATAACGTTCGCGCAACAAGTCCAGCTTTGGTGCTAGCACCGTTTCAGCGAAGCAGAGCTTGGCACATGGTGTGGATTCAGGACCCCACGTGACTCAGGTTTGCTTCGAGCTCCTTCCTGAGCTCTTGCAAGTTGCGATGATCGGTCAAATGACGTGCGTGCACTTTGTCTTCCATTGTAAATGTACATATCGTGACTGACATTCGAGTTCATCTAAAGAGGATTGGTTCATAATGCAACTTGGTCACGATTCGGGAGTGACACGGCTCATGTGGAATCAGCCAGCCATGCTCGAGAAGATAAGCACCTACATAGGTGTATCTTGCAGAGACATTGCCTTCATTCCCTTGCACTACCTAGGTATCCATTGTGGTCATGCTCATTGTCATCTGCCTTCTGCTACTGCTGCACTTGCCTATCGAAACGGATGACTCTCACGAGGCAAAGAATTAGAACACATACAGCACAGCACAGCGCAGCACAGCACAAAGCCAGAGCTTCCCCTCTTGACCACTACTTTCAGGTTCCACTACGTACTAGTATCTAAATGCGGGGGTCACCAAGGGCCCAAGGGTCCTCCCTGAACGATCAATGGCCTGGAGGTCACCGTGATGTCAAGTTGGACGGACGGCAACTTCAAATGCATTCATTGACACCTCTTGGTTCCTTCACAGTGTCCAAGTGAGAAACTTCTGAAGTTACCGTCCCTTCTTTCTGTACTGCGTAGTTCAGACTTGGCGTGGTGCTATATTGGGGCGACGGCAAGTAGCTTGCGCCGTTGCGGCTGCTGTGAGGAAGCGTCTCGGCCCGTGTAGGGCTGGGGCGCTCGGAGGCGGCAAAAAGGCATCCTTCCCGGATCGGATGTCCCCGCAAATTGCCATGTACTAGTAGTCTGATGCGAACCTTACCCGACTCAGAGAGCCAGAGCCCCTTGACTTACCGTGGCCTTTTTATCCTTGGCTAATGGCAGTATGAGTGGCGTCAGCTTTGAAGCGTCGGCGTGAGGTGGTAACAGCAGCATAAGGCCAGATACTTGACTCTACTGAACATCTATGGAATCCCTTACTACTCGCCTCGCCGGACAGATTGTGGCATGAGGTCACGATCCATACCTGTCATTCTCTTGCCAGACGCAAACAAGGTGTTATTAGAATCAAGGAGCTTTGCTTCTTGTTGGTCGCGCGAGAATCTGGACCAAGGAGAATATGTAACCCGAATGTCGAAGGAGGCCGAAGAAGGAGGCACCTCCTAAACCAGAATGCTAGCGCAAAAGCATCCCTGGAACGAGGCATGGCGACCCGGACTGCTAGCGATCTCAGAGACAACTCGATTGTCATTCATTACTACGGTTACCCCGTACACCGAACCAAGCAGAGAAACAAGCAAAAAGCCCAAATCCGCTCATACTATATTCTGCCCGACTATTACCCATGACATCCCATTCCATTCCAGCCCACCATGCCCATCAAACCCAATGTCTCACAATAGCAATGACCCAGCCGGTCCAGTGTCTCACAACAACAATGAGCCAGGCCTTCCACATACCAGCGAAAGTCTCTCGCGCTGGCCAGCCTAGAAGCCCAGCCCCGCAGCGACAGCCAAGCCCAGAACCGCCAAACCAAACTGCGACCGGCTCGCGGCGTTAAGCGAAGTAGGTGTGCTTGAGCTGAAGCCGGTGCGCGTGCTGGTGGGCCGCACGGTCACAGTCTCGGTCGCGCCCGCACTCCCCTGGCCATCCTGCTGGGACGAGGCTGCCGAGGATGGCGTGTTCTCGGCAGCGGAGGTGGTGGACGACGAAGAGATTGTTCCATTGGACTGGCTGATCGAAGTGATTGTGAAGTCCGTTTCCGTCGTGCTGGAGGCCGACGTGGTCGTGGTGGAGAGCACGGATGTGGTGAGGGTCGGCAGAACGGGGACCGTGGTCGTCGTCTGGAGGGATGCGGAGGGCGAGGAGGAGGGAGAGGAGGAGGGAGAGGAGGAGGGAGAGGAGGAGGGAGAGGAGGAGGGAGAGGAGGAGGAGTCCGAGGATGCAGCAGAGCTGCTGCTGGGGGAGGTGGTTATCGTGGTGGCTGCTGCCGTCACACCCAGGAAGAGGGCAGGCAAGGTGAGAGCGGTCTTGAGCTGCATTCTCGGAAAGAGTGTAGTATTTTGTTGAGCGAGAGTGTGCTAATTCCTTAAAGTGTAACGACTGGGTTGGCCTTGCTGATAGTCGAGATGTGTGTATGCGAGAAGGAGAGCTGGGAAGACACTGACAGGGCGTCCTGCCCGTCTTTAAGCTCGACCAAGCACACCACACTGGTCGCCGGGGAACCAGATGGCCGAGACATTCGGCTCTGGCACGAAAATCATTCCCTCGAAACTTGGAAGCAGTGTGCGGGGTCTAAGACGACAGGAGGCGACGCTGCTGTCCGCGGCAGCGTACCGAGGAATGCAGAATGGCTGTGGCAGATCCAGACGTGCCTTCGGACTGGGACCAGGTCCCAACAATCAATTGGCTGGCCGACGGAAACAGACATATCAGGGCTTGTGAAAAATCAGATGGCTTGCAGAGAGGGGGCCTGGACCCTTCGGCAACCTGCTCAGCTGCTGTGGCCCTGAATTCGTGTCACCGAACCCGGGCTGAGATTCCGATGGTCAGCAGCAAGTGAGAGCAGCCAGAGGCAAAAGTATGCAAGGCCCTCTCCGACCCCAGAGTGGAAGATGAACAGCTAAAGCCTAGAAAGGACGATTCGATGCCCTTGGTGCCCGAGCTCAAGAAAGCAGATCTTGCATCTTGCGCTCTGCCCACCCGTGACGCTTCGGACAGAGCCTAGGCTGGAATGCGCAGATGCCCTGGAGGCTTCTATGCCAGGCTTGATGTTCTTGCCGTCGATAAACTATTGTGCCTCTTGCTCGCATGGTAATTCGGGGATCAGAAGGTCCTGGAAAGAACTTAAGAAGGGATTCTGGCAGCGAAAGCCTCAACAGCATCCGGCTCGTGGATGCCTTCCAGGTTGTTGATTTGGGCCAGCATTGATCAGTGTGGACACCTTGCTTTGCAATGGGACCTCCCAGTAAGGACAATGGTGTATGGGCAGGAGCAGCAGAAGGCTAGAACATCTTGAGAGTCAGGTCTGTTTCGAAACACACATGGGTGTTTGTCTGGGGAGATGTCCGAATCTAACAACTTCCAGGCGCGGAATAGGAAGCTTCTCTCGAACCACAAATAAGGAGCTTCATGGACTGAAATTGAAACTGCGGCGAAGGCGTGGGCAAAGATAAGGTAATTGGATGAATTCGCTGACATGAATTAGATAGAGCCTTCTATGTAAGACTCATACTAGTAGTTGTTTTCTGGCAATGCATGTTAGAGCTAGGTGAGCACGAGGTCTCCGGTAAGTCCAGGGCTGAGTCCGGAAACGAATTCTCTGTAGCGATCGGCTGACCCCTGATGTGCCCCGCAATGTTGTTTCGGCCCGCTTTTACCATAAAGAGAAATCGCAGCCTGACTTCAGCTGGCCTTCTGGAGCCGCTGTGGAGCCTTCACAACCCAACCACTTGCAAGTGACCTCCGCATCGCAAGAGCGACACGAGAAAGTCGAACCTTCGTAACACCAACTCACGAGTTCCTTCCGATCGCCTGTCTCTCCCACGAATTGCACAGTCTTTACACGCAGGAAACGGCCGACAACATTGCTTGACCAGCCGTCGGAGGGCTCCGTTATCTCGCGCCCCAGCCTTCGACTTTCGTCGAACAAGCAAACGTTCATATCTGCGCAATTTGGCCGGATCGGGCATCAAGATAGCCAAAGAGTGGGAGAACACGGGTGCAGGCGCCGCCGGTCGATAGCCCAGGCAGAAGCCGAAATGAATTCCACGCGAAGTTCGCATCGCCGGTCGCCCGGCGCGGAACCAGGGCCGCCCCCTAGTGTACCCCCGCGTTCGATGTCGCCCGCCGTCGGCGTGGGCACCAACCGCCCTGTTGCGCCCAGGTCCTCGGCATCATCACGACAGATGCAATCGGTAGCTGCTAGCGGCAGTGGGAGCAGGAGCGATGGGACGAGACGCGCCAACGTGAGTTCCGCCATTTTACTTTCCCTCTGTATCAGCGACGTAGATCCTATCCTACCGCGGGCTTCATGCTATCATGAGATCAGCCTAAGTTTTAGGGCTTAGCAATGCGCTGCTGCGCGCATCATCATCGCCAAGGCGAGCCGAGGCGCGCTGCTCCTGCTCTCTGTGCTCTCGTGCCTTGTGTCCCTGTCGTCACACTCCAAACGGTATGACTGGTTGCTGATGATGGCGTTCCAAAAGTCCTCAGGAGGCAATTCGGTTCCATTAAACCAGATCGAGAAGAGCGTGACCCACCTTCTGGTCGCTACCAAACAGCTTCTAGAAACGCTCACACAATGGTCCCGAGGAAACGCCTCAGACACCCAAGTGTCAGACGTGTATGTGCGCTTGGGCTACGAGTTCAACATGGCATGTCGCGCTTTTACTGCGATAAACGTCGACACATCGGACCTCGGAAACGTGCCGGAGCTGTTGAGGAATATTCTGGAGGCTACTCTGAGCCAAGAAGCTAGTCCAGAGAGCTTGGACAAATACCTGCCCAAGATCCGGGATATCATCATCAACCTGCTCCATGGGCTCAAGAGGAAGCAAACGAGGCTTCGGCAGAGACAACAGCGGGAAAGGGACAGTGCTCCTCCGGGAGATCCTAGCGGCTCTGGGGGTGCTGCGGGGGCCTCGAACCCACCCGTGCCGCCACGGACAACAAGCTCTAGCACAATGGGAAGCGTCAATTCCGGGCTCACGACGTTATTGAATGAAGGGTTGGAAGAGGGCTATCGACCGGACAGCCAACGAGATGACGGGAGAAGCAACATGATGGCCTCTCCAAGTAGGCGCTTTCAAGCACAGCGGGAACAGTCGCGCGGGTCGGTCAACTCGGAGCAATCAAGTCTCTCAAGCACTACGATGCAAAACATACCAGTGCTGCCCCCATACCCAGGAGACGAGACGATACCGTCGGGGCCTTCGGTGAGCGACATGAGTAGTCTGGATAACTTCCCGCCGCCTCCGCCGCCGCCAAAGGCCTCGCAGCAGAGCGCGCTAGCAGCCCTTCAGAGAGGGGGCGATTTGGAGAGGCGGGCATCTCGACGATACTCTGCATACCAAATATCAAAGCATCTGGGTGCTCAGGCGCCCGGAATCCCGATGCTGCCTCCCCAAACCACACCGGTACCGAACCGGGGACGCGAAGTCAGAGAATCGATGCGAGCAATGCAGGCGAGGGACAATGTTAGGCACAAGCGCAACACCTCCAGCCAGTCACGGCTGGCAATGCCCGATTCTTCACCAGTTCGGGTGCCTAGTCGGGTTGCGGAGGAGCCGGAGGAGCTCCCGGCCGATGTCCCGGCTACCAAGGCCGAGCGGGCCAGTGCCCAGGAGGAGGACAACTTCCGGCCAAGCGCGACTCTGGCCGGACCGCCATCGGATGTCATGCCGGTGCCAGTATCGGAGAATGAGGAGCCGGAGAAGCCCGCAACCCCAGCACGGGCGCGGGCTTCCTCAGTTGCCAGGGCCACAACCCCTGACAAGCCGCCAAGCTCTTTTACGGAGACGCCGCCGGCAACGAAAGAACTCACTCTCTTTCTTCAGTATAAGTCCAAGGTTAAGAAGTTTGTGCTCGCGGGCGGTTACGAAGAACTGTCGATTGGACGCTTGCAGTTGGCCTTCATCGAAAAGTTCTCGTGGAATACGCAGCAGAACGGCGCCGACCTGCCAGACATCTACATCCAGGATCCTGTCTCGGGCGTGCGACACGAATTGGAAGATCTGTCAGACATCAAAGACCGGACTGTCTTGGCGCTCAACGTAGAGCCCCTGGACGAGGTGAAGCGGCATATCGATGACGGCCTTGGCTCGCTAAAGAAGATGATGGAGGAAATGAAGCAGAACGTCAACGACCAGGGGGCCGCTCTGCAGAGAGTATCGGAACGGCAACAGGAGACGGCTAAGGACATGGCTCGACTGGCCGCCGCGCCCCCGACCATTATGACGGCGCCTGCCGAATCCCCAAGACAGGTCGGGCCCGCGTCTGCATCACGCAAGCTCAGTCCAGGACAACTGTCAGAAATTCAGAGCCTACGTCGTGACCTGGCAGTGCTTCGGCAGACCTACTCCAACTTCCAGTCCGAGATTCAGGGGTCCATGTCTACGCTCCGCGCAAAAGCCAACAACGTCAAGATGGCGGCTGCCAAGGTCACGGTACCAGACATCGAAGGCGATGCTGGGCACTCCTACGTCATCAACGGGCGCAAGCAGCTCAACGCCGACAGCGACCGGCTGGTCAACAAGGTGGACGACCTCCAGGACATGGTGGAGGATCTTCGCAAGGACGTCGTCCACCGCGGCGTGCGCCCGCTTCCCCGCCAGCTGGAGGCTGTCACACGCGACATCACCATGCTCACCAAGGAACTCAGCAAGATGGAGGAGTACATGAAGAAGGAGAAACCGATCTGGACCAAGATCTGGGAGAAGGAGCTCGAGGACGTCTGCCAGGGCCGCGACGAGCTACGTCTGGCCGAGGACCTCATTGTTGACCTGCGCGACGACCTCGAAAAGGCGTCGGAAACGTTCGCCCTCGTCGAGCAAGCGACAAAGGAGCAGATGAAAGACGCCGGCGCCGCCAGCGGCGGGATTGTGCCGCGGCAGTTCAGCAAGGGCCTGAACAGCATCCGCGACAACGCGCTCGTCGACCCCAGCGCGGCCAAGGAGGGCGTGCTGGACGAGGTGCGAGCGCTGCAGCCGAACCACGAGAACCGGCTGGAGGCGATTGAGCGGGCGGAGAAGCTGCGGCAGAAGGAGCTCGAACGGCGGCGGGAGAATCCGCTGAAGAAGGAGCTGATCAGTTTCGTCGAGGAGGGCAAGCTGAAGAAGTCTGGCGGTGTCGAGGAAGTGGAGCGGGCTAGGAAGGCCAAGGATGACAGGATCAGACGCGAGGTGTGGGAGCGACAGAACGGGATCGTGCCCGAGGACCCCGTCGGGGAGGAGAAGAGGGAGAAGATAGGCGAGGGTGAGCAGCAGGGGGAGGAGGCGGTCAACGGAGCAGATGCAGAGGAACCAGTAGCTGCTACTGTTGAAGAGTGATTTCTCAGCAAGGGTCCGATATGGAGAGAAAGGTTGCTCTACGAACGGTGCGTTTTCTGCATACGAAGTGATGTTGATGCACCGGCTGAGGGAGGACGTCAACAAAGGTGGCAAGGTGCGGTTGAGGAATATACCCACTGTCTTTTTGGGCCTGCTTAGCTTCTGCTTTCCTGAATTTACCGGCATTTTATTTTGAGCATCTTGTCGTTGCCAGCGACCTGTGTTCCCTGTGTTCTGCTGCTGATTCGTTTGCCTACCGACATGGCTATGCTCCGCACGTAGATATCATGTCCAGTAGCATTTACGCACGTTACACAGGATAGGGAGGAGTGTTGACAGCGCCCTGCTCCACAGTCTAGCTACCTACCTCCCATGCTCTGGGACGTTGCATCTGCCGAGGTGCCCCGCACCCGGATGCCCATTCCGTCGAGACACTAAGGTAGGGGGTAGCCGATGTTTGGGGTACGTATCCCCCCGGGGCCGGAGACCTCGGACCCCGCCCAAGCCGCGGTTCTCTGGAACCTGGGAGTTGTTGATTCCTTCCTTGTGGTTTTGTTGGATCACGGGTAGTATTGGCCGTGAGGGGATAGGGATATACGTAATGTGGACAGATCTGCTGCAAGTCGACGAGCTAGGCAGCAGGAGTCCCCAAGGAGTTTGCGGGCTCACGGGGATATTGGCCGTGAGGGGATATACGCAATATGGACAGATCTACTGCTGTTAGTCGACGATCCAGGCAGCGGCAAGAGTTTGCCAGCTGTATATTAAACTGAGCAGTCAATCTCCCTGTTGTGTTGTGTTTCGCTCCTTGCCTCCTCCTTCCATCCTTGTTTACCATGGTTGTCGTGTTGTAACAAGAGCAGGCAATTTGTCAGCTGCGCATAGCTTGATATCATTCAGCTTGATCCCACGCCCCTCTATATATGCCCCTTCCTTCCCAGCTCCTTCAGTCTTGAGATCCATAGGACCTGCAGTCGGTACCTGAGCATCAGAGCCACTCCATCACTGCGTCACGTCTCGAGAGTAATCGAAAACTCATTCAATATGACACCCGAATTCGAGGCCCGCCTCAAGAAGGCCGTCGAGGAGCGCGCCATCCCTCAGGCGGTCATGCTAGCAAAGGACAAGACCGGTATGGCTCCATCTTATCCGTCACCCGGCTCATCAATCATTATACTAACACGAACATTTCACAACAGGCAAGATCAACTACTCTTACGCCGTGGGCCCGACCACCCTCAAGAAACCCAACGCACCCCCGGTCACCCCGGAAACCCACCTGACCCTGGCCTCCATGACCAAACTGCTCACCTCCATCGCGGTGCTGCACCTGATCCAGGAGGGCGCTCTCACCCTGGACACAGACGTGGCCCCTTACCTGCCCGTACTCGCCTCCCAACAGGTCCTCACTACCACTACCAACGACAGCGGCAGCAGCCCGCCTGCGCTCACCCCGCGCACCAAGCCCCTCCTCGTGCGGCACCTACTCACCCACTCGGCAGGGACGGGCTACCTCTTCCTCCACGAGCCGCTGGCAGCCTGGTACCGAGCCACACACCCCGACAGCCAAAGCTTGCCCAGCCCGATCGGCACGGCGGCCGAGGGCGGCGGCGCGCGCGTCGACGAGCGCTTCGCCTACCCGCTGCTCTTCGAGCCCGGCGAAGGGTGGGCGTACGGCAGCGGTCTGGACTGGGCGGGGCGGCTGGTCGAGGTGGTCACGGGGGGCAAAAAGGGGCTGGATGAGTATGTGTACGAGAACGTGCTGTCCAAGGTTGGGATCCCCAGGGGGGGGATCACCTACTACCCGGGGAAGTTTGGGAAGGAGGTAGCCGGGATGTCGACGCGGGATGGGGATGGGGGTAATAATAAGATGGTGCCGATGGACACGGGGTTCCCGCACGCGGACGCGGACGCGTTCGGCGGGCAGGGCATGTACGGTGGGGTGGGGGAGTACATCAAGGTGCTGGAGTCGATCTTGAAGGATGATGGGAAGATCCTGAAGCCCGAGTTTGCGAAGTTGTTGTTTGACGGCTTGCTGGAGCCCGAGGCGAAGAAGGCGCTGAACGAGAGCATGAAAGACTCCGACTGGGTGGTCGGGGTGGTGCCGCAGGGGGTTGAGTATGACTGGAGCGCGGGGGGGCTTCTCTCCGTGGGGGGCAGCCTCGGGCACAGGAAGACGGGGTTCCTGCAATGGGGCGGTGCTTGGAACCTGTCCTGGGTGAGTAACACGAAACTGCGCAAGATTCCGTGATGACTTGACTGACAATATCTTCAGTTCATCGATCGAGAGGCCGGCGTATGCAGTGTCTTTGGCTCGCAGTGTGCCCCTATGGCGGACTTGCAAGTAAGGGAGTTCATGAAGGAGTTTGAGGAGACCATTTACGCGAAGCTGTAGAGAGCTTGTCAACGAAGAGAGATATCGAGAGCTGAAGACAGGTTGTGTGGTAACCAGGAAGCTGGGCGTCGGTGGAGGTTGATAGAAGGAAAGATTCACAGCGCCGTAGGAGCGGAAGCACCAGAGTAGGGCATTGTAGTCTTTCGCTACGAGAATCATAGTACATGCCGCTAGTCGAACACAATGCTTCCTAGTACACCTACAAGTAGAGAGACATCTATCTTCCCCCGAGTTCCATGATAATGCGCATTGCACCGAGTCAGACTCCGAACCCGTACCAGTCATAGATAAAGGAAAAGAACGCCAGAGTGACCATGTCCGAGGTCAACACCCCAACCCCCACACAATGCTCTACAATGCTGCCATCTATTGCACTCTGCACCCTTTCGCCCCGCCATTCGTCCCGGCGAGCAATCCGGAACATGTGCTTGTGGTAGCCCGGCTCGTTCAGTTGGTAATTGTTTGAATGGGGTCCCTCGCATCACCGTTCGGCACGAGATGATGGACCCCCCTTAATACCTCCTCCCCTCCCGTTCATACAAGCCCATCGAGCCAGGGCCAGGATTCTGCGGCCCCTCCGGCGGCCCAGGCCTCAGCTGCCGTCCCAATATCAAACCGGCATCGCCACCTTGTTGCTCCCGTAGATTCCTCGAGTTTGGCCCATGCTGCTGCTGCATCTCCCGAATTTGCGCCTCCCGCATATGCTGTTCCCTCAAGGCTAGTTCCTGCTGCTGCTGTTGCGACAACGAAGTGTAGCCCTGGGGTGCGCCTGGCTGACCCGGAGGCGGTGGACCTTGCTGCGGTGGGCCACGCGGATCAAAGCCGCCGGCACTGACGGGCGTGTAGCTACGGTTGACGCCGACCGCCGCCGGGTCCCGTGCGTCCCGGGCTTGTTGTGCAGGGTTAGGCGTGCCGGTAAATCGTACGTAAGGTTGACCGGACGATTGAGGAACAGTCTCCGCTACCCGCCTCGAGTCCTGAGCGAGAGGGAACCGCGATTGACCGCCCAGGGAGCCATGCTGTTGGTGATGGGAAACCATGCCAGCCGTTGTGGGGCTCTGTGTGTCATAGACGGGCGGGCCACGCGGTTCACCTCGTAGGCTGCCGAGAGAGTGAGAGGATTGGTGACCGGAGCCGGACGTTGGCCAGGAGTGCTGCTGCTGCTGCTGCTGCTGTGGCGGGAGCGGGCTGCTGACGGCTGGCTTGGGCTGGACACCCGGGCCTCCGTGTTGTGCGCCCCATGCTGACTGCGTCGGGATGGACGGTTGGGAGGCCTTGGGCGGTGCTTGATGAGATGCAGGCCACGCCGATTGCTGCTGCTGATGATGCTGGTGGTAATGACGTTGAAGTAGACCGTGCTGTTGTTGCTGCTGCTGTTGCTGGTCTCGTTGCTGCTGTTCTCGTTGTTGCTGTTGCTGCTGCTGTTGCTGCTGCTGCTGCTGCTGCTGCTGTTGCTGCTGGACTTGTTGCTGTTGGTGCTGTTGATGTTGGAGGAGGCGCTGCTGCTGCTGCTGCTGCTGCTGCTGCTGTGCTACCGACTGCTGTACTGGCCATGGCTCACGACCAGACGGCGTCCGAGGCTCGCGCCTACCCGGCATGGCGGGATGGGCTGCATACTGTGGCGTGGGCGAGGCCGCATGCGGCTGGTTGACTTGATAAGCCTGGTATGGCTGCTGCCCTTGGTAGCCGGCGTAGGTTTGTTGTGCCTGTTGTTGTGCGGCGTGTTGGCCCGGCTGCGCGTAATGATGTGTCTGTGGCGAGTTTGCGACACTCACCGAGTGCTGCGGCTGGTATGAATGTCTCCCATAGTAATCTCGTGGAGGCTCGGCCGCGGGATCCATGCCCGACGGGATTCCGCCGCTGGGCACCCGCACGTGTCCAGGTTGAGGTGATTGGGTGTGGTATGGCTTCAGCGGCGGGATTGCTGACGGCGGTACTTGCGCAGGGTTGCGAACAAACGTGTACCCCGTCTCCATCTCCCGGATGGCTGTTGTTGGTGGCTGGCGACTCGTTGGCTGAGGCGGCGGCGTGGAATTCGTCTTGGCTGCGGACATGTCGGCCACTCTCTTCGGTGGAGGTGCCTCCTCTTCCGTGTTGAGCAACGACATGACATTGATCTTGCGTTCCGGCGCTCGCGGTGGGGCTGGTGCGGGTTGTTGGGGTTGAGCTTGCTGCGGCTGAGGAGGAGGAACAGCAGTTGCAGAGACAGGAACTGCACCGTACTGCTCCTGCATTGAGACGGGCGTCTGTCGCTGCATGGTTGACAGTGGTCGCTCGCTCGGCTGTGGGACCTGAGTAGGTGGCTGCTGCATGGGCGGTGCATATACCTGGGCTGCTGATGCGGTAACACGCGGAGGCTCCGATTGTCGCGCCATAGGAGCTGGCTCGATCCGGGACGACACGACGCGCTGTGGTGGCTGTTGGTATTGAGGGAACGCTTCCGAATGACGGAGCGCTTGTTCGGGCTCCTGTTTCATCCGCAGCGGGGCGCGTTCCACCGGTCGAGGGGACTCGCGCTGTGCCAGGTCTAGCCTCTGCCGCTCCCGCTCCCGGGCTTCACGGGCCACCTGAGTTTCCTTTGCCTGTGCGAGCATCGCGAACTGCTGGCCGAGGTCGGGAACCCACCCAGCCGGCCGCGGTGCGGGCTCGGCCATCGGAGCAGTCGTGGGAACAGGCTTCTGCGTGATGCGGACGGGCTGTTGAGCGGCTGCCGGGGGCGTCTCCGCGTCTCTCTCGGGATATGCGAAGGCGGAAGCCGGCGGCCGGAGAGGATGTGGGTGAATGTGCGGGGACATTCCCTGTGTGACGGCCGGGCCACTTGGCGGCGCCTGTGGCGCTGCGGCGGAGGAGGCAGGAGGCATGGAAGCCATTGCGCCCTGAACAGGTTGCACTGGTGAAACGTGCGGATGGGACACGGGAGCGGCTTGGGCGATTGGCACCTGGAAGCGTGAGAACGGCTGGTTGTTCTGCTGCGGCTCGACCTTGGTCAGCATTGGCTCCTCGGGCTCGGCAGCGGCAAGGGGCCGATGTCCTGCAGACGACACGTCGTATCTCTTGCGCGGCCCTTGTGTCGGCGTCGGCGGCGCCGGCCGCTTCTCGCCTCGCTGGAGCTTTGCGTCGGCCTCCAGGGCGATCTGTTCCCACTCGGGCTTGCCTCCCTCCTTGATCTTTCGAACGTAGTAGTTCTTGACCTGCTCGTCATGTTGATTAGTGCGCTGTGGCTGCTGGCTGAGAAGGATGGATGGCGGTGTTACCATGGTGGCGGTCTTGGTCTGCATGTGGTTGGCAATCTTAGACCAGTCCGTGCCGAACGCACGCAGCAACCCAGGGAAGTCAGTAGCCTCCGACACACTCCAGTAGCTTGATGCTTGCTGCGGGGTCCGGATGCGCTCCGGCCCAACTGGCTGAGCGATCTCGAACGTGGGTATGGAAGCGGGCGGCGGCGGCGGCGGGGGCTCAGGGCGGAGCGAGGGCGGCGCCATGACCTCCGAGATGGTGGATGCCATCGGAGGCACCGCTCTGTCAGTATGCGTGAACGGCGGTTGCTGGACCGGAACCAGGGGTGGCTGCATCCCCCCATGAGGAGCCTCAAAGTGGAGAGGCACACGGGCGCCGAGGTCGACGGGGGTTTGCGGCGATGCCCACTCCGGGCCCTGGGCCTTGGAGTTGGCGCGCGACCTGCCGGTCTTGCCCGGCACGGACAGAGGTGCAGCAGCGCCGGGTGCCTGTGCCAGCTGCTTCGGCACCCTCGCCTCCTTGTCCGCCTTCGGCTGACGGCCCTTGCCCCGCACTCTCTTGCCCTCCGGCTTCTCGGCACCAGTCTCGTTCTTGCCGTCGGCGGCCACTCCGGCCTTCCGCCGTCCGGGCGTCGGAACCGGAGTCGTGCCTTCAGAGTCTGCATTCGGCGTAGCCTCGTGTGGCCAGACTGGTGCTGCCGCTCTCCTAGGTGGGCGGCGGCGTTCGCCATTCTCGCCGCTCTCCTGGGCTGCTGCTTCCTCCGGCTCGTTCTCGGCGTTGCCCAGCTCGGATACCAATGCACTCGAGCGCTGCTTCCCTCGGCCCTTCCTGCGCTTCTTAGGCTGCTTCTTAAGCTTGTCCTTAAGGTTGAGCTCGCGTTTCTTCGCATAGTAGTACAGGATGCACGTTCCTGGATCACGACCCGGCAATTCCTTCGCTATTTTGCCCCACTGCTTCGGCGCTTCGAGATACGCCTTCTCGAATTTCTCCGCCTCTTCCTCGGTGAAGTTGACGTGGCCAGGGACAACCTGCCAGGCCGCAACCACCTTCTCCAGGGGCAGCAACCCGGAAGTGTCGTAGAACGAGACTTGCTCTTTCTCCTCGTCGGTCCAGAACATATCCGGGATAACCGCCTCCTTATCACTGCGGTATTTCTCCTTCTGTGCTCTCTCCTCCCGCTCCTTCCTCTCCTGGTGTTCGCGCATTGACTCCTTGATCGCGGCCTCAAGGTCCAGTTCAGTCGCGAATCGGCTTTCGCGGCCTGCCGCTCTTCTACCCCCTTCAGGCTTGGAGTCCGAGCTTGCCGCTTTGCCCGTGGTTCCGGACTGCACACCGGACGCGGTAAAGTAATCCCGGCTCTTGACGGCAGCCGGATCGTTGGAAAGCGTGAATCGTAGATACCTCTCGTAGCTCTTGGCATATTCTCGCCTTGATTCGTCTTGCAAAAGAGTGGTGGCTGACGCCTGGTCCCGGATGTGACCTTCCATAAACTCGACGAACTCGGGCGATTCGGTGGCCAATTTCCGAACTCTCCGGCTCTGGTACCACGGCTTAACATTGTAGATCGGAAGGTCTTCGGTAGGTGGCGTGGCAGAGTACTCCCTGACGGCCTCCACGCTGCCATAAACGCTCGCATCATCCTCCGTCCTGTCCTCGCTCTCCTCGTCTGGCGACGCACTGCTCCTCGCGGTTTCCGGTTGATCGAACGGATGAGGGAAGTCTCCTAGTGTGCCTGCAATAGCGGAGTGGTCGTATACTGACGCGGATCGAGGCGGCGGTACTACGTCAGCTAAGGCTTCTTGAACACCTTGAATCTCGACGTTCTCGGGCCCCGGCTTCGTTTCTTCAATAGTCGGGAGCGGCGGAAGACCCAGGCCTTCTGTTTCCACTTCCTCCATCTTCGGCTGAGGTTCTGGCGGCTGCACGGAGCCACCGTCAGCACCCTCGACAGCGGGCACCGGGGACGGCTCACGGGCCGTGAGCACCTTTGGCTGATCCTTCTGGTCACGCTCATCTTGGTGTTGAACTTCGTCGGCATCAGGCATCTCTTCGTCGGCCACCTCCGCCCCAGGTTTTGGACGAGGAAATGTGAAGCCCTCGGGTAGCGGTCCGACCATGTCCATCAAGCCGGCGTTGTCATTCAGCACACCGAGCATGGCTCGATGCGCCGCGGCCGCATATCGCCTGACGATGCGCATCGGGACCTTTTCCTCCGCGTCCTTGAGCTTCTTCAGCTCTGCCTCAGTCCTTGAGATTTCTCGCTCAAAATAGATGTCCATGTCCTCGTCGTCATCGGACTCGGCAGACTCATCCGAAACCGGAGCCGGTAATTCTCTCGCAGGCAGATGAACCCGGGAAGAGGGGATAGCCAGGACCGTGGGCTTCTTCTCAACCCCCCCGGGCTCTTTGACATCTTCCTTCAATTCTTTTCGGAATTCGTCCTTGTCCAAGGCGAGACCGTCAGTCTCTTTCTCTCTTTCCACCAAAACACTTTTGGGCATTGCTACGGCGGCGCCTTCTGTACGCTCGCTCTGACGCTCTTCCTGCTCTCGTAAGGGTCGATTGGCGTCGGTTGTCCCGACCTTTAGTTCGGACTGACTAGGCAGTGTCCTCGTATCGCGGTCTACCGATGGCCTAGCGGACTGCGAGAGTCTTTCGGATTTGATGGCGATCTCGTTTGGACCGGTGGCAACATGGGCGCCGTATCGATCGGAAGTCACGGCATGCGAATCCGATCTGGCCCCGGGACTACGAGGGCGTTTCTCGAAATCTCGGTGGTACTCAGCATGGGACGAGAAGCTGCCGGAAGGCCTCGCTTGCTGCCCAGAGAAACTCGGCAGTCTTGCGGATTTCGGAGACTCCTGTGCCTTCTTGACATTCAGTGAAGGGTTAATCCACTGCTTGCTCGACCGCTGCTGTTTTTGGACCTGAGCCCGAGGTCCTACGGGGATGGGAGGGCCACTATCCGGTAACGTTGGCTTTGACGGCCCGCTGGGCGGTGGCCTCTCATTTCCGACTGCATGGCCCGCGGAGACCGGTCTTTCTTCGGTCAGCGCTCTGGGACCAGTAGGCGGGGCCTTGCCGGTTAGTGACTGGATCTCCGTTGCCGTCGACTGGCGACTCGGGACCGAACCGAAGGCGGGCGCGGACGGGGCGAGGGGCGGAGGTGAAACATCCTTCGCAGAAGGGGGTTCATGCGATACTCGGTCGGGTTTCGGGCGAATAATGTCGCGTTCTCGGACCTCCCTGTCCCGGACGTCGCGATCATCGCGCATGTCCCTGATCGTATCCGGGTACCTGGTGTCCCTCCTCTCCCGATCTTCCGCTTCCCTTGCCCATCGGCTTTCCTGCGACCGACTGCGCGGCGGATAGCGATCTCGATCGTCGTAAAAGGGGCCCCTGTCTCTGGGGCCCCTCTGGTCCCAATCCCCACGTCCGCGCCCTCCGCCTCTCCCTCCGCCGCGACCAAACCCGCCGCGGAATGATGGAGCAAACATGGGATCCGAGTTGGAGGACCCAGCTGACAGCGGTCCGTCCCTCGATCCCCGTCTCGCTCGCTCGGCATCAACACCCAACGGTCCATCTCTTGCATCCCTGAAGTCTCTTCCAGAAAGCGGTGACCGACCTCGTAACGGGGGGGGGAAGGTCTACGAGCACGAGGAAATTCGATCCGGTCCCGTTGATCTCGCTGCCATTCCCGCTCCCGCTCGCGATCCCTCTCCCGATCGCGTTCCCGCTCGTGAGCGCGATCGTCCCTGAAGTGGGTTCGGTCCCGGTAGTCTTCGCGGTCGCGTCCTCCATCTCGACCGTCGTCCCGCCACTGCCGACCACGCCCGCCCCCACGTCCTCTTCCGCCACGGAAGTCGCCGGCAAAGCCACCGCCCCGGGGCCCGCTCGGAGGATCGAGCAACGCCTTTGGCCCACGGGGAGGCTGAATCCCGGAAAGAGAGTCGCGAAAACCATCCCGGCCCGGTGGAAAGCCGCCAATACTACCACGGGAATCCAGCGGCGGGCGCCTGCGGTCAGTATCCGGATACTGCGGTCCGCGATCCCCGCGATCCCCGTATGGAGACCTGTCACGAGGGGACCGTGACCGGCGATCGCCGTCGAAGCGGCTGCCAGGATACCTCGACCTGCCAAGAGATTGTTAGCGGCCTATTCAGTATTCCAGACGCAACGGATTGCCGCTGAGGCAGCAGGAGAGATGATTTCTGAACGCGCGTATCAAGAAAGGAACTAGACGGCGAAGAAAAGGCGGGACTCCGGAGGCTATCACTAGCAGTGCTTCCCGAGGGGGTGGAATCGATTGAAGTGAAAAAGCTTCCTGTACGTGGAGCCTTGATGACACACGGACGTACATTGCAATCTGTGCGCGGACGTCGGAGATATCTCGAGATCAGCGACTTAGCACCTGAATGCGCATGGCGCAGACTTCGCAAGCGAACACCAGATCTGAGCTACGTGGAAATGATCGAGCTGTTCCAGTGTTGTTGAGTGTCGTCGAGAATGCTGCCGCAGTTGGATTGAGCAAGGCGCTAATCGTCAAGGCTGCCACGCGGACGCCTTAGCTAAGATCGCATCAAAACAACGCCGAATCCGGATCGTCGTGTAGAAGCACCGTGTCACCGAGAGGATTCCTCGGGAAGGCCAATGTTCATGTCCCCTCCGAGCCGGTTTGGTTGCGGTGAGACAAGGACGCGCTTTGACGGAGCTGGGTGTTTTGGAGAAGGGGAATTCGGCACGAGGGTTGAAGATTGGACAGAAGGCGGAAGCGGATCTCGAATTGTGGCCAGGCGCCCCATCGTCCGTACCCATGTCCGTTCTCATCCCTGCCGGCGGCACAGGTACACAGTACGTACCAATTTTCTTTGCGGTCGCCATTCAGATTCTCAAGAGTGGGGCCAGCCTTGTTTGGTGCCGCCACTTTAATCCCGATTTGGTAAGCTTCTTACGATGCAGGTCCCCGCTACAGCTCTCTCGGGCATGTAACCTGACTGTGGGACACGAAAGGAAAAACCCGATATGGTTTAGCAAAGGCCTGCTTTATTTTTAACGCTGGGTGCACATTAATGTACAGTTAATGGAAAACTGTGTACAGTTAGCATGCTAAATACGGTGGGGAGGCGACAGATTTATGTACGGAACGGAAATTTTGACCATGAACGGAGCCTGAAGGAAGGGCAGTGGTTTAGAGTCCGGGATCTTGAGAGTGAGTTGCGGACTTGAAAACATCTAAGGTACCAACACACTCTTTTATTAGGGGTATTTCATCTCCAAGGGTTTCCCCAAGTCAACAACCGCGACATTTGTCTCATCACCAACACGGCGACTTGACTGGGCCAATCCGAGGAGTCGTCACAAACCTGAGTGTGGTATGACAAAGCCATTGTGAGTTCGAACTTGGGAAAACTTTCGAAAGAAAAAAGTCAGACCATCGCAACACTGCACCGACTCGAAGACTACGAAACGGACCCGTTCCAGCTTTGGTTGGGTTCCTGGCAGTCGGCATTCCGTCAACTTCTTTTATCCTCCACTCGCAACTCGACATGGCGTCCAACCAACCCCCAAGCGCGGCCAAGGAGGCGGTGCTGGTCCAGTCGGTCGACATGCCCGAGGGATCCCAGAAGGTGGAGGAGCTAGACTTCAACAAATTCAAGGGCCGGCCCATCACGGTCGACGACCTCTTCCAGGGGATGAAGCACATGGGCTTCCAGGCGTCATCCATGTGCGAGGCCGTCCGCATCATCAACGAAATGGTATAGTCGGCTAGTGCTCGTTTTATTTGCATATGCCACACAGACACACACACATGTGGCGACGCAGCCCCCACGCTAACCTGCCTCCAGCGGGCGTGGAAGGACCCCGAGACCGGGGAGAAAACCACCATCTTCCTCGGCTACACGTCCAACATGATCTCGTCGGGGCTCAGGGGCGTCTTCCGGTACCTGGTCCAGCACAAGCACGTCTCGGCCATCGTGACGACGGCGGGCGGCATCGAGGAGGACTTCATCAAGTGCCTGGGCGACACCTACATGTCGTCCTTCTCCGCGGCCGGCGCCGAGCTCCGGTCCAAGGGCCTCAACCGGATCGGCAACCTCGTGGTGCCCAACGCCAACTACTGCGCGTTCGAAGACTGGGTCGTGCCGATCCTGGACAAGATGCTCGAGGAGCAGGAAGCCAGCGCCAGCCGGGGGAGCGACAGCAGCGAGATGCACTGGACGCCGTCCAAGGTGATCCACCGGCTCGGGCGGGAGATCAACGACGAGCGGTCCGTGTACTACTGGGCGTACAAGAACGACATCCCCGTGTTCTGCCCGGCGCTGACGGACGGCAGCCTCGGTGACATGCTGTACTTCCACACGTTCAAGGCGTCGCCGCGGCAGCTCCGGATCGACATCGTCGAGGACATCCGGCGGATCAACACGCTCGCGGTGCGGGCGAAGCGCGCCGGCATGATCATCCTGGGCGGCGGGGTGGTCAAGCACCACATCGCGAACGCGTGCTTGATGCGGAACGGCGCCGACTCGGCCGTGTACATCAACACGGCGCAGGAGTTTGACGGGAGCGACGCCGGCGCCCGCCCGGACGAGGCCGTGTCGTGGGGGAAGATCAAGATCGGCGCGGATGCAGTCAAGGTGAGTCGCGTTTCATTTGCATTTGCCGGATGTGGACGAACAGCGTTACTGACTTTGTCGTCACCCAGGTCTACGTGGAGGCAACGACTTGCTTTCCGTTCATTGTAGCCAATACATTTGCGAAGGACGACCAATAGACGCAAAGTTGTGCCCATCTGTCGCTTTCTGGATATCTCCAACCTTACTGTGTGCGTGATCCTCCTGACCTAGTACACAATACTCATCTGCGTGAAGTGATATCCTGCTCTACAGTGTCAAGAGGAGCATCCGACAAATCGATTGGGTGACTTCCCGTCACAGGGGGTCACCAACATGGAAAACGTGCCGGCGCAGCGTGTGCGCCAGAGGCTTAAGCCGGCTAGGTGCATCCCGCTGCCGAGACACCAATCCCATCTAAAACGTCGGCCAACGACGCGGAGACTTCTAAACGGATGCCGCGACGGTTGAGCAGTTATCATAAGTCACTTACGTAAGGTAGTAGTAGTAGTAGTATATACTCGACCACAGCATGTTACGTACGGTACGCTACAAAAACACACGCTCTCTCTACGCCTTCCCCTGCTGGGCATCGGCCTCAGCCCTCTTCCTAGCCCCCAGCACGGCCTTGCCAACCGTACTAGCATTCACCTTCCCAATCTCCCTCGTAATCCACTCCCCAACATCCACCACCGCATCCAGATCCACCCCGGTATCCATGCCCAGCGTCTCCATGAAATACACCATATCCTCCGTGGCCACATTCCCCGTCGCGCCGGGCGAGTACGGACACCCGCCCAGCCCGCCAACCGAACAATCAAACGTCCTGATGCCATGCTCAAGCGCGACGGCGGTATTCACCAGCGCCTGGCCGTAGGTATCATGGAAATGCATCGCCACATCCTCGGTCCTCACGCCCGCCGCGCTCAAGCAATTCAGCAACTCCTTCGTCCTGGGCGCCGTGCCCATGCCGGTGGTGTCCCCCAAGGCAATCTCGTCGGCGCCCATCTCCAGCAGCTCGGTCGCGATCTGCGCCACACGGTGCGGGTCCACGTCGTACCCTTCGAAGGGGCACCCCAGGACGACGCTGATGTAGGCGCGCACGCGCAGCGAATGGGTGTCCTTGGCGGCCTGGATGACCTCGCGGAAGCGGCCCAGCGAGGTGGCGATGTCGCAGTTGAGGTTCCGGCGCGAGAAGGACTCGGTGGCGGCGGCGAAGACGGCGATTTCGAGCGCCGGCTTGTCCGTCGTGGGCGGGTCGTTCTCGGTGGCGAAGCGGTCGGGGTGCTGGGCCAGCACGGTGAAGGCGCTGGTCAGCCCCTTGAGGTTCGGCGCGAGGAAGGAGAAGGTCAGGGCCCGCTTTTGGTCGGGGAGGGGCTGTTGCAGGAGGTGTTGGAGGATTTCGGAGGAGTTGTCCATCTAAAAAAACGCAATACAAAACTCTCATCAGCCTGCAACCCGCGATTGGGGAGGGTAACCGGTAAAAAGGGATGGACGAACCTGGGGCACCCATTTCGGCGAGACAAACGAGCCGGCCTCGATTGTGGTCAGCCCGGTCTTTGACAGGCGCTCAATGAGCTCGAGCTTCGTCGCAAGGGGAATGGTCTTCTTCTCGTTCTGGAGGCCATCGCGGGGCCCGACTTCGACGAGCTTCACGCGGTTGTAGGACGAGGGGCGCTGCGGGTCAGATGCCGTCGCAAAGGTGCGCGCCGTGCGGATGTATGGCCGGCAGCCCAGAAATCGGCGTGAGAGCAGCGCGGACCTCGCCATGGTGTGTGTTGTTCAGGCCATGAATTCATGAATTCGACTTGAGAGTGGGGGGTCGTGTTGAACGGCTCTTGGTTGCCGGCGCTAGGTACTCAGCAGCTGCCGAGTGACGTCCGTCGCATAGCATCGGCGTTGCTGCCGAGGAGGGGTCACGTGGCGGATAACAGCTAGGGGTGCCAACTGTCAAGCAACCATCACCGTCTTCTGTCGATGAACTCGTGTTTAACACATTCTGCGAGACCATATATCTATCGAACCGTCGATTTTACCTACAGTCTGGTGACTACCAAGCAAACATAGAGAGACTCGACGCACCGCCCACGACGAAGGAAACAGAGAAACAGTGGAAAGAGGCATCCCTAGGTACTCATCCACCACCAACAAACCTCACTCCGGATACTCCTAGATCCTCGCCATGAACACCACTGTAATAAAGGAATATGCTCCAACTAGATCTAACTCCTAGCTACCGTACCTAACCAAAAAGTTCCAAAAACTCACCGAACCTCATGCATCATGAATGATGGAATCCCTAACTAATTTGCAGTTTCTAACAACCCTTCTTCACCACCGCCCCCTCCCCCTCCTCCTTCCCCTCCTCCTCAAACAAAGTCTTATGCTCAAACTCCAAAAACCCCTGCAGCACCACCAAATCATCGCGATACGCCATCACGACACTAGTCTTGGACACCACGCGCGCCATCGGCTCCCCTCCCGTCTGCCAGACCGACGGAATGAAGAAGTGCCGCACATACGACTTGCTCGCCGCCAGGTTCTTCAGGCTGATGGAGCACACCCACCCGCGGCCGCTCATGAAGTACAGATTCGATCTGTAGATGCCGAGTACCGACCTGATGTGTGACACTAGCCGGCGGGACGTGCAGGTGATTTCTAGTACTTGGGTTGTTGTTGTTGATGGGTCGGTGATCTTGGACAAGTCCAGGGTTAGGAATCCCGTTCTGTTGCTACTGCTGCTGCTGCTGCTGCTGCTGTTGTTGTTGTTGTTGTTATTGTTATGGTTACTGTTGTTATTAGATGGCAGCTCAATCGTCTGGACGAGCGTAGCCAGCCCTGCACGGGCGTGCCACTCATCCGAGAGGACGACTGATGATGGCATGGCGAGGAGGTCCGAGGGCAGTTCGATCGAGATGCCCTGCTCGGGTGTCTCGCGGTGCAGCTCGGTCCACCGGAAGATGTGCAGGACCTCGCTGGCGTCCTGGAAGAGGAGGAGGCGGCTGTTGTCGGTGGGGTGCTGCAGCCAGCGGGCTTTATTACCGCGGGAGTGGCTCGACCGGATGGTGTGCCCTGCGTCGCCGGGCGCATGGAGCTCCTCGCCGGACTGAGTGGAGACGAGGAAGGCGGACGCGTCCGGGCTGATGAGCGCTTGCAGAACGGTGTCGGAGGCGCGGAAGTCGAGGATGTGCTCGCACTGCTGGAGTTGCTGCTGCAGTTGCTGCTGCTGCTGCTGCTGCTGCTGCTGTTTTTGAGCGCCGGCCGAGGTGGGCAGGCTCAGACGCGTGGCGATGCAGCGCCGGGAAGCGTCGACGCTGAACAGCACCTTCCCCTGCGCGTTCCATTCGAGATGGAGGATGTCGACCATGCGGGCGTGGAACTTGAGCTCGGCGCATATCCGGCCCGAGCTGACGTCGTGCACCGTGATCGATCCGTCCTCGCGCCCGCAGAACACAAAGTTCGTGTCGCCCGCCTGCGCCATGGCCGTGATGGCCCTGCTGTCCTCGAAGGTCCGGGTGCACACGAGGTTCGAGGCCGGCATCAGGTACTCATCGGCCTCCTCGCTCGAGCTGTCGTCGGCCAGGTTCTTCTTGATCAGCGCGGCCGGCTCCCATACATTGCACGTGTTGCCGCGGAGATCGAAGAAGCGCAGGCTGCTGGAGGCGAACACGATGCCCATGATGCGTTCGTCGAGCGACTGGATCCGGCAGATGAGGCGGAGGCCGTCAAAGGCAAACAGCGAGATGATGCTCTCGCTGTCCCCCGCCGCCAGCGTGTGCCCGTCGGGCGAGGCCGCCAGCGTGTGCGCGTTCAGGTGGTAGGCGTGCTTCTGCTGCAGCGTCCACGGATCGAGCGTGACGAGGTCGCCGTCCTGGTACGACACGGCCATCAGGCCCTGCTCCGCGTTCTCGTTGAACGCGATGTCGAGCACCTGCGACGGGAGGCCGCCGCCGTCCTCGTAGCCCTCCTTCTCAAACGCTTCCACCCGCCCGTCGCTGTCGTAGTACGACAGCTGCAGGTGGGAGCTGCGGTAGGCGATCGCCGCGATGCCCAGCATGGGGCTGATCCGGATCAGCATCGGCATCGTGCGCCTCTGCTGCTGCTGGGGCTGGTGCCGGCCGCCATCCGACTCCGAATCCGACGACGATGACGACGACGACGAGTTGTCCTCCAGGATATCCAGCGCATCCAGCCGCACCCCGTTCTTCGCCCGGTACACGTACACCTCCCCGTTCCGCAGCGGCACGTACACCTTCGAGTCGTCCGGACTGAAGCGGAAGCTCAGCACCTGCTCCGGCACGGTCGCCGACCACAGCAGCACCTGCCGCGGCCCCCACGCCTTGAGCGTCTTCAGCCCGCCCGAGAGCAGCATGCCGGTGATGTTCCCGTTGGCCAGCCGCCGCACCGGCTCGCCGTGCTGCATGGTATTCAGCAGCTCGAACGTGCTCTGCCGGTATACCCTCACGGTCCCGTCGCCCAAGCCGACGGCAAAGAACTGGTCGGCGCAAGCGATGGACATGACGCGCGACGCGAAGGTGAAGGACGACAGCCGCTCGTCCCAGTCGTCGTTGAAGCTGCACAGCACCCGCTGCTGTTGCCGCTGCTGCCGCGCAAACTTCCAGTGGATCATGCTCGACTTGGGGCAGAGCAGCGGCACGAGTGAGTAGATGCACGACGGCGTGGCGAGCAGGTTCGGCCCGAAGATGGCCGAGAGCCGCACCAGGTCCTCGACGAAGCGCGATGTCAGCTGGTAGTCGGCGTCGATCGGCGAGCACGTCGCCACCTGCCGGTCGAGGTAGACCTTCAGGTTCTGGATGGTGCGCGTGAGCAGGGAGAGCCGCCCCGTCTTGGCTACGCGCTCGATCCAGGTCAGCACGTTGGACGAGACGAACGTGCCGAGCAAGGGGAGCAGCCCGAGGGTGGACTCCGAGGGGGAGCAGTGCGCAAGGTGGTAGGAGAAGTTGGCGCTTGCGTATTCGTCGAACACGGCGGCGTTGGCGGTGTCGGACGATGACGACGACGACGTCTTAGAGGAAGAGGAAGAGGACGAGATGGCGGGTGCCCGGCGGGTGCGGGGCGGGGCGAAGTTGCGGCTGTTGAGATGCTGCAGGCAGAGCTCGGCGATGCGGGCGTGCGACCAGGAGCGCGGGATGTAGTAGTCGGACTGTTCGCCCGTGAGGAACTCCTTGACTGTCTGGTGCATGACCTGGACCAGGTTGTTGTCGACGGTGATGAGGTTGCCGCAGACCTGCGCGAACCTGTCCGGGGTCCGCAGCGTCTGGTTGATGTCCAGCCGCACTACCTCCCTCAGCTCCTCCGTGCTCAGCGGCTTTCGGGCGCAGACGACCCACTTGAGGACGCAGTGGGCGAGGTCTGCGTTGGGGGACTCGAGGATGCTCTCGAGGATGCCGCTGTACATGCCGCTCATCTCCGAGGGCACCTGGTCGAGCGTCTTCCGCATTGCTTCGATGCTGTGCGCTTCGTCCAGGCGCGTCAGGATCAAGGATGCCCAGAGGAAGATGCCGTTCGACTTCTCGATGATCTCAGCCACCAGGTCGCCTTCCTCCTCGTTGAAGTCCTCGATGATGCTCGGCGACAGCCGCGACCGGACAAAGGCTTCGATATCCCTGAGCGAATCTGCCTGGCCTGTGTGCATCTCCAGTCTGGCGATCCTCTCCTGGTTCAGCAGACGCTCGACATGGCCGTTGGGACGGCTGGTGATGAAGATCCTGAGCGGAACGGTCGGCTCAATCCTGGCGAACATGGACATGAGCGTTGCCAGGGCCCGCGACGGACACTCATCGAGCGCGTCGATCACCCAGTACTGGGGCTGCGACAGGGCCATCTTGAAGATGCGGCCCAGGAAGATGTTATTCCACACCATGACATGGTCACTGTGGCTGTCGATTGTCTCGCCCTCCTCCAACATGGATAGGAAGGTGTGGCGGATCTGGAAGTTGGACTCGGCCATCTGCAGCGCCATCGACAGCAGAAACTGCGTGAGGCTGGGCTTCTCGTTGTTCTTGAAGAAGAAGTAGGCGCAGTCGAGGTTGTAGGACTCGAGATACCTGATGACATGACCCGAGGCGACCGACTTGCCGGAGCCAGGAGGGCCGTTGAGCCACAGGAACCGCGGGGTGTTCTTGGAGGGGCCGGAGGTAATGGCCTTGATCTTCGGATTCGGGTCTATCGGTTCGCATTCCAGCCACTCGTGAAAGCACTGGTGCGCGGTAAGCCACTCGCAGGAGCCGACGTGCAGTTTGTCCAGCATCCTGACGAAGTCGCCGTCTGGCCGCTCCGCCACGTCGAAGGCCTGCGCTATCTGCCTCATCTGCGCTCGGTGGTTCTCGAACTTGTCCGCAATGTCTGCTTCATTCGTTAGAGCGAGTTCGGCGGCCCTGTCTGCAGTGCTTTCACTTACAGTTCTTCTCTATCTCCTCGATGGTAGTGTTGAAGCACCGCAGCAGGATGTTGTAGTTGGGATCTTCTACCGACTCGAATTTGACTAGGCGGCGATGGTCTGCTTGCAGGTATTGGGTGTGCTCGCCAGGCAGCCCTATATTGTCTGTTAGCACAGTGGGTAAGTTGGAAGGTTCGAGGGGGGCGTAGGCGAACGCACCCATCACTGCGGACTCTTTCTCGACGATCATAGTGTTGGTTGGGCCTGTCGAAGTTGGAATGCCCTCGAAGAAGGACCACAGTCGAACATCGCTACACACGTGTCGGAACTCATCATTGATGGCCTAGATTGTCAGTGGCTAATACATAGTAGCTCTGCATGAACAGTGATACGTACTTGAAGCGTTCCGGAGCCGGGAATCAGCTCTTTGACGAACGTCTTGGAGCCGGAGCCGATGGACATGGAGATCAACGTAGTCAAGGAGGCGCTTGAGTCGGCTCCTCGATGCGGAGTCCCTAGGAAGTACAGACTGTGGATTCGGTTTGCAATATCGGCGTAGATGGGGTCTCTTCGGGCGAGAAGGTATGCCTATACGAGTTAGAGGACGACCCGTGTCCCGTCATCCGAAGCATTCGGTGGACTTGCCTTCTTTACAACCAGGCCTCCCATGCTATGCGCAACAAGGACGATAGGAGTCTAGCACAGTGTGGGTTAGCTGGTCAACATGTGGACTTGCTGTGTCCCCTCTTCTCTGAACACCGGATTACTCACGTTTCCATTCCGCCTCAAGTTCGGCGAATTATAGATATCCGCCAGCAGAGCCTGACCGAAGTCGTGGATGGTCAAGGTGCTCTCTCGCGACTTGGTCCAGTCCGAGTCATAGCCGAAGCTGTGGATGCGAACGTGTCGGAAGCCGGCTTCGGATGGCAGCCATTCCTTGGGCCAGAAGCTCGCCGGGTCCGAGGATGCGCTCCATGACCGCCTGGAGCCGCCGTTGAGGCCGTGGACCTGGCAGTCGTCAACAAGGACCGGTGGATCTGCTGGCTGGTGGGACGACTTACGAAGATGAAATCCACCCGTGGCTCCGATGGTTCATGCAGCAGATTCAAGCCTAGTGCCCCTCTTGTACTACCGTCTGGCGACTGTGAAGAAGACTTGGAGCGTGATGAGGTCGTTACTCGCCGGAGGCTCTGCAGCCTGCCGCGGAGACTGGTTGCTGACAGCTGGCGATCTGGTTCTCCCGGCATGGGAAGGGCAGGTCTCTCCCCCTGCGCCGGGCTCCAGGTTTGCGCCTGCCATGCGTAAGGTTAGATCGGGTCTATCCGTGTCAATACCGAGAGGATATGGTGCTTGGCTTACATGAAGTGCCATGCCGCCACTCGATACCGTTCGTTACTCTCAAGCTAGGTAAGCAGTAAGGGAGGTCACTTGATATTAGAGTGAGTCATGGAACAACAGCCACCGCTTAGAACAGGTGGCGCGGCGGTATACCGTGTCGTTCAGATACCAGAACGCTTGGCGATTTTGACTTGTGAGAACAGTTGGAGTCTCGAACAGGACAGAGCAGACGGAGCTTTTGGTGCGAAAAGAAGGGAACAATGCCAACAACGGGAGATGTGCAGTCAAAATCTCAGATGAGCCCCATCGGAACAGGAACCGTCAACCATAGCCCGGGGCCAGCCGTCGCCAGCGACATTGTTTGCGGCCAAGACATGGCAAGATTTGGTGTTTGAGACCGTTTCGCTGTGGATAGTGCGCGGTCTGCATGACCTGTTCTGAGGCCGTGTTGGCCGGCGTCGTCCGGAGTCGTCGGGTCGTTCTCTCTTGTGCAGACCAGACTGTCGGATCGGCAATGATAATATTGGGGCGACTTCAACAATACGGTCCCGTGGAGTTAAGACTGTATCATGATTGGGACTTTGAAACGGTGGCCTGGCCACGGCCAGGGCTTGAGCGTAAGCTGTGCCGGCGGGTCTGCCGCTGACCTGCGCCGCCGGAATTCAATCGAGGTCTGTGTTTGCGTACGACAGTGTGGATGGAAAAGATGAGAAGGAAGTTGTTTGACTGACGTGTTGTTGATCCCTGGATTGAGATCTAGTATCCTTTTACGATTTAGTGCGGACACACGATGGGAGTCCAGGGTGAGGTGTGAGAGCCTGATCTGATGGAATTCGTTTCGAAAATGGAAACTGCTCGCGTGTGTTGGCTCCAGAAGCACCAACGCTCCTTCTACCCGATGACCATGTATGCACCCGGGTCCTGGACTATAGATATTCTCGAACCCCACTACTCTCTGACCATGCCTTCGTGGATTCATTTTGGAGGGTATGGTCTCGCCGTGGTAACTCCGGGGTATGGGTAGAAATGGAATTGACGTGCACAAAGACATCACATCATTTTCCGTACGTTGGCTGATGCCGGGTTAGCCAAAGCAGTTGGACCCAACCGGCCGAGATGGCGACTGCAGGTGACCGGATTTGGGGGCTGATTCCCGAAACAGCCCCTTCTATTGGCCTCATTTAAGCAGCGCTGCTCACTCAGACCCCAGCGTTAACGAGACAAGTCACAAGCGGCGCCGAGATGCAGTTGGTCTTGCTGTGCCGCTCGAACGAGGCACACGACGGAGGAGGTTCCCCACACTTAAACTTCCCGGGGATCACTTGACGTCTTACCTGTTCTGTTCTCTCAACTTGAAGTTCAGATCTCCTGCCTCATTTGAAAAAGACAGGAGTACCCGTCAACCTAGGAGGCTAGGACCCATCCACAATGTCCACCGATGCAAGAGATGTCGACGAGAAGCTGGACGACAACCTTCTGGCCGGTACGTTTCATTGCTCACCCTCACATGGCGCACAGTTACGGTGGCGCTGACATGGTTGAAGCTCTTCCCGAGGGTGGCGAGGTGGTCTCAGTCAAGCCGTCGGGCATGAGCGACTACTGCAACACCTACAGGATCGAGGTCAAGCTACCGGATGGCAGCTCCAAAGTCTTCTTCGAAAAAGAAGCCGCGGGCGCCGAAGGCCTCGAGCTCATGAAGTCGGCGTTCACATCCGAGTCCACAGCCTACGAATTCATCCCCGAACATGTCCCCCGCCCAGTCAGCATGGGCACGTATGCGTCGCGCCCGGACACGCACTTCTTCCTGGCCGAGTTCATCGAGATGGTCGAGGACGACATCCCGCGGCCAGAGTCGTACATGACCGCCGTGGCCGCCCTGCACAGCCGCAGCATGGGCAAGTCGCCCACGGGCAAGTTCGGCTTCCCCGTCAACACGCGCTTCGGAAACCTCGAGCAGGACAACAGCTGGACCGACACCTGGGAGGAGTACTGGACCCGGCAGATGCGGGACTTCCTCGAGCGGGAGGACGCCGCCCACGACGGCGAGCCGCACGAGGAGCTCGAGAGGCTGCGGCCGCTGTTCTTCGACAAGGTGCTGCCTCGGTATCTGCGTCCCCTGGAGAGCGACGGCCGTTCGGTCACGCCGTGTCTGATTCATGCGGATCTCTGGCCGGGTAATGTCAAGTACATGACTGACGGGGAGACGGTGTGCGTTTATGATGCGTGTGCTATGTGGGGCCACAATGAAGGTATGTCGGGGGTGGATTGCCTGCACTTACAGTAGAGGGTTATTCAGCAAGCTGACATCTTTCAACACAGTCGACCTCGGCGTCTTCCGCAACCCGAGATACCCTCTGGGTAAGCCGTACTTGAAGGAGTACTGGAAGCATATCCCCATATCTGAGCCGGAAGAAGACGCCGACAGCCGCAACACCCTCTACATGTTGCGGAACCAGATTCTGTTGTCGACCTTGTACCCCCACGATAAGAAGTTGCGCGAGATGTAAGTGAGAATGAGTTCGAACATGCTGTCAGGACTATGGCTGACAATGCCCCTCAGTTTCGTAAGCAACATGCGACTATTGGTGGACCGTGTACTGGAGGAGGAAGCTGCTCAGGGCCAGGCAATCCAGTCCCATCTTTGAATGGTGGATGGGACTGTTTTGCAGGCAGGCGTTGACCGTGTTGGGCAAATTGGATATGTTAAAGCGGGCTGTTGGATACTTACTAAGTGAATCTGACCTACCGATGCGTCGCTCAACGTTGGGGCAGAAGGGAATGAAATTCGGCGAGAGCCGAGTCTAACCATAGGGTCCAGTCCGGTGTGTCACTACGGTACATAATCCGTACTTCCATGCGCTATCGTGTCATACATACAGCACATGCACATGTAATCCTTCCTGCAACCATCTCGATCCATCACCGGCATCCGCAGTTTGATTCGTCCGGCGCTCGTACACCGCTTACCCGCATGCCGGCATGCTGGCATGCGGGTGCCACCTGCGCCGCCGCGGGGGCCGGAACCAACACACTCCTGAGGCCAGGGTAGGCCAACACGCACATATGTATAATGTACATACGAAGCGGCAAGAATAGCAGTCATACCCACCGGCAGTGAGCAACTCCCAACAATGCGCCTTCTACGTTCCCTGCCAGCGACCAGCCTGGTTTCTGGCCGTAGCTTCTACCACCGCTAGGCCCCGAGGACGCTGCATCAACGGTCAACTCGATTCTCTCATCGAAACGGCTTTGCTGAGATAGCCATGGCGTCGTCCAAGATGGGCTCAGAACCAGCAGCCCTCGGGACATCCGTTCTCAGTACTCGGCCGACAACCTCCTCCTCCTCCTCCTCCTCCTCTTCCCCAGACCTCAGCACAACCTCCGAAAAGCAACAGCAACCATCACCAGCAGTACCATCATCCCTCCTACAAACCACCCCCGAAACGCCATCATGTCCCCAACAACAACAACAAAAAATAACGCCACCCTCCAGCAACAACAACCCCGCGCCAACAAAAGAAGAAGAAACAGAACCCCCCTTCTCAACATTCACCCCCCTCCAAAAGCGACTCATCTCCCTCGCCTCGGCCCTGGCCGCCCTGTTCTCCACCCTATCCTCCTTCATCTACTACCCGGCGCAGACGCGCATCGCGTCCGACCTGGGCGTGACGCTGATGCAGGTGCAGCTGACCATCACGTCGTACCTGGTGGTGGCGGGCGTGGCGCCGGCCTTCATGGGCGACATGGCGGACCGCGGCGGGCGGCGGCCCGTGTACGTGCTCATGTTCTGCCTGATGCTGGGCGCCAATGTCGGGATTGCGGTCAACGGTAGTTACGCGGGGTTGGTGGTGCTGAGGATGGTGCAGAGTGCTGGTTCTTCTGGTGCGTTATTTTTTTATATATATTTCTTTTTGTTAAAAAAGGTTTGATTCGGGATGCTGTGATTTGTTGTGTTGTGTTGTGGGATGGATATGGGATGGAATGGAGTGTGAATTGTGATCATGGTTTGTAAGGGGGGTTCGATTGGGAAAAAGGCCAGAAAGGGGGAATGGTGCTGAAAGATCATCTAGAGAGGGTGAGAGCTGATATGGTTTTCCTTCTGAAACAGGGATGTACGGCGCTGCATACGGGGTGATTGCAGACATCGCGACGATTGACGAACGGGGCTCGTTTGTCGGGGTGTTGTTGCTCATGTTAGTTTTTCTTTCTTCCGTCAAACCCCCCGGGTGATATCTGCCCCAGACTAACGAACGCAGGACCGACTTCGCCACGAGTCTTGGGCCGGTAATAGGCGGCGCCCTGACGCAGGGCCTGGGCTGGCGCTGGATCTTTTGGTTTCTCGTCATCTTTGCCGGCTCACACTTCGTTGCCATGCTGCTCTTCTTCCCCGAGACGCAGCGCAAAATCGTCGGAAACGGCAGCATCCGGCCGAAGGGGCTCATCTACCAGACCGTGTTCTCGCTTGTTCGAAAGGGACAAACAGCAGCCAAAGACACAGAAGCCGTCGCCGTTGGGGAGGGAAAGAAGCAGGATGGCCAGAGCCCGACAAAATCAAGATTCCGCTTTCCCAACCCCCTGGCCTGCCTTCCGGTGCTGAAAAACAAGGGCTCGCTTCTGGTCATCCTCATAACTGCCATCAACTACGCGGTCAAGGCGGCACTGCAGACATCGTTGGACGCACAATGCGTCGACCTGTATGGGCTTACGAACCTGCAGGCTGGGCTGATCTACCTCCCGTCGGGAGTGGGTGGCGGCTTTGGATCGTACGGTGCTGGTATGTTGAAGGGGATGGATGCATCTTTAGGGACTGGTACTGACCGGAATTGGGCAGGCAAATTCATCGACTGGAACTACCGCAGAACAGTTGAAAAGTCGTCCAAGAACCAGCTCGAGCCGGTTGACAAGAACTCCCCAGACTTCCCGCTTGAGCGGACCAGACTCAGGGGCATCTACCTGTTGCATGCAATCACGATCCTCGGAATCCTCGGCTACGGTTTCGCGCTCAAATACCACTGGGTGAGTGAGCTCCTGGACGCCTTACCACCCCATGAGCATGCTGCTGATATTACATACATTACTATTAGCATATAGCAGTGATGCTCATCATGCAGCTGCTGACGGGGACGGCAACCGCGGCCACCTTTACGGCAAGTCAATATACCTTCATCCGCAGCTCCCCAACTGTAAGCATGTCAAAAAGTACCTACTAACAGGACACAGCTGTGCGGCACTCTCCTGACAGATCTCAACATGAACAAGTCGGCAACCGCCCAGGCGGCCAGCAACCTAGTCCGGTGTCTGAGTGCCGGTGGCGCCGTGGCGATACTGCAGCCGATGGTGGAAAGGATGGGGCCGGCGGGGTGCTTTGCCGTTTATGCCTCCGTCATCCTCATTGGCATGCACCTGGCCTGGTTTCTGGAGAGATATGGCGTCGCTTGGAGGAAGGGGCAGGCAGTGGACACCTGAGCGCGAGGCTTGGCGATTATTATATATTATTATTACAGCAGAATAATATCCGTGTTAATAAAAAGTAGATGTAACGGCAGGTGACACATGGGCGGAGGTTGGAAATGAGAGTTTCACGGAAACCCAGACATGAGTTCGATGCAGAAGCCATCAATCAAGGGATAACCAACCGCCTCTGGCTTCCATGTAACCTCCGTTGCGTTGTGAAACATCTTCGCATCCCGGACTGAGGTAAGGTAAGTTTGAAGTCGCGTTCTTGAGCGCTGCGGAAGTGGTTGTAAGGGGCTGCGCTCATCCCATCTGGAGTCCCCCATGACCGGAAACAGGCAAGCGTGGTCTAGCAGTGTGCACCTGAGCTGCATGGGTTGACGAAGTGGCGTATGGATTAATGACAACAAGCTTTACCGTGTGAGAGGAAGCTGCGTAAAGAGGATTCAACAACTTCGTTAACTCGGGGAGTCGGATGGCTCAGATTCAGCGTGCATATACACTACTACTAGGTACGTTATACCAGAACCCGCCTGATTGTATTATCATGCACTGAGTCGAGGGTACCTTCCAGGTTGTCTCACTTTGAATTTCAGTAATGGGCATTGGCGGCGGGATAGCCGAGTTGCCCCTTTTCTGTGTGTAACTTGACTGCTTCTCGGTACCCATGCACAAGGACCTCACCTGAGTCGCCCAGACATGGAATGTTTGCCATCATGTGGCCTATCAGCATATGAGCTACCTAATATGGCGTCCGGATAGGCTAGCGAGTGAGACATTCCCACGGGCCACGTGTGACTGTTTCACAACAAAGGGGGTTGGATGAGCCGCATCTCAGAAAGCACGTACGTTAAACAAACGACAATCTCAAGCTTCTATTTTATTTTCGTCGCGTTTTAAATCAGGCCGTTACGTGAGGCTATCCAGAGTCTCACTCATGCAAGATCAAGAGTGCTGGTAGGGATCATAACCATGGGTACTCCTGCAGAGGAGTCCTCGTTTAGTGGCTGGTGGTGGTGAGATCCAGTCTGAAGTCGACCCGTTGTCCTTCCCCCCCCCCGCGGGCCTTTTTCCCCCTCATGCCCGCACCCTCTTCTCCCTCAGGTACTCATAATCCGGCATGGCATCCAGCACCGCCTTCTCGATCATGCCACCCACTTCGGGCCCAAACTCTTCCTTCCACTTCTCGGCCTCCGCCTTGATGTCAATAACATCCGGGGCCTTCTCCTTGACAATCCCCGTCGAATTCTGCAGCGTCGACAGCATGATAGCCTGCGACCTCGCCCCGAAATCATTATTACCAATCAGCCCCCAGTCCAGCTTCTTCTCCTCGGCATTCCACTCGAACTGCACCGCATCCTTGTCCAACCCCGCCGCCTCGGCAAAGCGCAGCACAACATTGGGGTTGTGGATGACGTCGTGCGCGTCCAGCAGCAGGGGCATCATGGCAGCAGCAGCAGCAGCATCACCGTTGTTGTTGTTGCTCGTCTGGGCCTGCGCGGCGCACCAGTCGAAGAGCATGCGCGTCCAGCGCAGCGTGAGCGTCGAGTTCGGGCTCGACCCGCGCACGCCGTCCTCGTTGAGGATGCCCTCGCGCGTCATCCTGGTCACGGCGCGGAACATGGACGGGAAGGCCAGCGCCGGGTGCCGGATCAGGAAGGCCATCTGCCACGTGCGCAGGTACTCGTCCGAGAGCACCGTGCGGTTGCCGGCGGACCACGTCTGTTGCTGCGCGCCGCCACCGTAGCGCTCCGTAGCGGGGATGCGCAGCCGGAAGAACTCTTCTTCTTTGCTCATCGGCTCGGATGATGATGATGCGTCATCGCCGCCACCGGGTGGGGCGAACAGGATGGCCGGGTTGAGGAACAGGAACGAGTGCTCCTTAGAGAACATGATCTTGTTCTCGGCGGCCGCGCGGGCGCTCCATTCTTCGAGCTTGTCCAGGCTTTGCTGGTAGAGATTGCGCAGCTCGGTGCGCCACTCCTCGGGCCATTGGTTCAGGGGGGTTTTGAAGCGTTCATTGCCGATGCCGCTCGTGTAGGCGTCGAAGAAGAAGTAGCCCCCTTTGTCGTTGGTGAGAACGTTGGGCTGCTGGTGTATGTTCAGGATCTTGACGAGCAGGTTGGACGCTGTGCGTGGGGCGCTGACGAGGAGGAGACGGTGGGGGTGGGGTGCCGTGCCGTTCGCCGGGGCACTGCTAGAGCTAGTAGTAGTAGTAGCCATCTGGACGGTACTAGTGGTAGACTAATAATACTAGGATATAACGTTATGCGGAATGGCTCTCTAGAACAGTAGGGGCTCTGGGCAATGAGAGTGAGTAGAAATTGCACCATCCGGAGCGGAAATGGCGTGATTAAATACCAGATATCTTGGGGTGCATATAAAGCCCGTTGGCTGCCCCTCGCTGGTACCGTGTCATGCGACTCTCAGTTACCACCTGCAGGTATTACCCCTCAACAACGCCTCCTTGTTTTTCCACGATCGGAGATAATCTCTCTGCTACTTCGGCCATCGGCGGCAGTCTCGGGGCGACCCAGGTGCCGACAGTGGAGTTGTTACTCCATCGTTACGGCACTTCATAGGCTCACAAACCGCTATTCCCGGCCCGGACCGTGGCAGGCTCGGCGTTGCCAAAATGCCGTGACCGACTGGAGCTCTGACACGTCATGCTGCAACGCAGCAACAGCAGCACTTTACCCGCCAGTGCATTTTGCGACTTGGGGTTGGGGCAGGTAGGGAGATGGAACGTCCCAGCCGGGCCCCTGTTCCAAATCTCCGAATCGTCCGAATCGCCGAGCTCCATGAAACGGGTGATGAGCGAGTTGAACGCGCGAAAGAAGAGGCGGACCCTTTGCAGCTGGAGTTCATGGAGGACGGAGGAGGGGAGGGACCTCTGCAGCTGGGTCAGAATCGAGGACGGAGAAACCCTCTGATTGGGTTCTATGGTATGGGCCTTCAGACGACGAGCTTGTATGGGGCCATGGGCCAGTTAGGAGGCGAGCACCAACAAATGGAAGGAATGGTCATGAGGGAGCGCTAGTAGCTGAAGGAAGGTTAGCATCGCAATCTAGAGGTAAGCACTAGTTGGAAGGGTATATCCTGGAAGTCCGAGTAGACTTAATATATCCGAGAGGCTATTACCAACGAATTCTCCACCTCTATGCCAAGGTGTGCATAGTCGCTGGGCCTTCCAAAGCGGCCGAATCCAGCTCCCCGCCAGCGAGGAGTACCACTTCTCGACAGATCTGCTCGCCTCTGGTCTGTCACCGACATGGTCTTCGAAAATCAGTTTCAAGGGGAAGTGAACGGCCTCTCTCTCTAACCATGTGATCGAGTGCGCGTAGTTTCTATTGTTACTATTTGTTGAGGGGCTTGCTGATGTTCTGGCTTTCCTTGATCTTTCTATCTGAACTGACTAACTATGCTGGAAGGAATTCATTCGTGGGATATAGGAGCCGGTCGACACTGTGGATGATGATTTTATGCTTGTCTTCAAATTCCCAATACCGCCTCTCTGGGTAGCCACAGCGATTTGCTGCGCTCTTGTGCCCGGACAAGAAACCTGCAAGCACGGGAGATGCCTATCATATAAAGTGTGCGGCACCACCACTGGGACCGCTAAACCCAAGACTCCCGTGCTACTCTATATGAACGATACACTAAGGGTTACTAATGAACAGGAACCAGATGTGTGGTGGTACCGCCTCCGCCGTCGGCAGTCGCGATGAAAACGAGGCCGTTGTGCCTTGGTGGCTTGAGCTCGGAGCAGCCGGTCGGCATTTCGGACGGTGCAATCCACGATGCACTCCTTCCGCTGCAGGAGTATGCATCTTGGTGCATGTCGCCGACACCGGCGCAGGCTACCTCTTCTGGGCACATGCAGGCCCGACTCTAATCCCTGGCTATCTGAAGTGTAAAACACGACGTGTCTTTGTCGTTTTCCCATTAGTAGAGTATAGACAAGAGAAATCTTGGGATGAAGACCATGCTTCTGTAAGACGGGAGCATTGGAATTTGTAAGCTTCGTACCCGTTTCGCGTAAGCGAGGAACGGTGCAACCTCCTTCGGAACCAGAAATATCAAGCCCGATCATGCACGTCCGGTTACCAACAATCTCGTACTACTGTGCTCAGCATGGTATCGCGAACAGTCGAGTGTTGCAGTCATTCAAGTCTCAAGACGCCGTCCCGATAGACGAAGAGGTTTAGGAGTCGATGCGTAGAATGGCGAGAATTCGCTTCTGGGTAGATGTGATTGCGACCAGAGGGAGGCTTTAAGACAGTGTGGAGCGTTAAGAAGTGAAAGATACCTATTTACCTAAGGTACCTTATGCAAAGCTGGTGCCGATTTGTGTGGTTGCAGGCCAGCTATCTCACTCCCGGCTTCGTCCTGGAGCGTGCCGGTGAACAAGACGCTGTCGAGAACCTAGGTACGTATCTGTGTACCAATTTAAGATTAGCGGTGTTAAGTTGAGGGAACTATCAGCACGCATGCGTAAAAGCATTACACGGTCCTGGGTGTGCCGTCTGGCTTGAGAGAGTGTCATACAGACCATGTCATCGAGTAACGGTTGTCCCGAAGAACAGAGACCGCAATCTCCAAATTGCCGGTATTTGACGGCGTGCAACCTACGCTCCTTCACCGTTAACCTTAAACCTGTGGCTGGTTGGACCTCGTGGAGTCCACGAAGTAAACCACTGCAGGTAGGGCAAGTGCCTAATGGAGGTACCTTAGCGTTGTCATACAACCCGAACAGCAGCGGGTATCCAAACACTCCGTCGTTCCACTGCTAGCGACCTCGAGCCTGGTGATTCCATCGAGAGTTAATAAGGTACTATTATTCCAAGAGTTGTCGGTCCACCTCATCGCTTGACTCTTGTAGTCTTTGGACACACGTAGGCAATGGAGCTCTTATTGGTCCCTTGAAGTGTTGCAGATTTCCATTGACAGCTCTGTGAGACACTGGCATAGCATATGCACGGCGCCGTGTTACATCATCCTTGTGGTAAGTTGTGCTCGACTGTAATGGGCTGGTTTTACCAGATCTCGAGCAACTGAACTCGATCCTTTGGCCGTTCACCCTCGGAGTCTGCCGCGAGACTTGGTTGGTTTAGAGCGGGCATGTCATGGTTTCATCAATGCCCCATTCGTCAACAGAAACAATGAATGTGACAAACTCGTAGCCAAGCCTCTCGATGATGACGAAAGATGATTGATGAATATAGTCTGATGAGCTAAGTGGTCCGGCAATGAAAGCCCTATGTAACTAAGTGGTGAGAAGGTGTCAGTTCTGCTAGATCAATGCTAGACTTTTGGCCCCCCAAGCCAGCTGTTTTGATTGCCACGCTGCGCGGTGGCCTTCTTCCCAAACAACCACTTTCTTACTCAAAACGGGTAAGTGCTGGGTGGTACCCTGCCCTTTCCCGATCTCGTTGTTCTCGGGAATTCCATCCAATTCTCGACTTGATGGATCAAACAACCAATGTGATATGACACACCCCCGCAAGTGCTTCAAGGTTCAGTCTGCGATGGATATACAAGACTTATATTTATCTATTGGATGCTGCTGTTGCGATCACCTGCGTAGTACCAGGAAAGTGTGAATACCCCCTCTCTTACCGAGGTATAATATACTCCCAAGTGTCTATATACCAGGTGAAGGTAAGGTTGTTATCGGGCCAGAGCCCGCACAGAGATTCATCTGTAGAGGTATGCCCCTCCCACAAGGGCGAGGCCTGGCCTCCATTCGGCCTCCCCATATTTAAGAGTGGAGCGGCAAAGGGGGATGATGAACGTACCTATGTAGGAAACCGATCCGAACTTTCTTGGAGATCTTTCTTCATCATGCGCACAAGCAGCTGAGTTGCCGAATCCGCATGCACAGGCTGACTGTGTGCGCAGTACATACCTCAGGTTCACCAAGCTCAAGCCTGATTTTAACCCGTGCACCCGCCCCGACATCTCTTCAAGACAATGTGAGTCCAGCAGAAGAGAGAGATCAACACAGTCTACACTACAGAACTACATCACTGCGGATCTATCCCGCCGTAGCTGGACTTTGACTAATGTATTATGCCAGGCCTGACTCGAAGAGGATCTCATCTGAATCCGCCTCGGCATGCGGGCGCTCGGTCAGGCGTTACCTTGACGAAGACTGTGCCGAGGAAGGCACACTCCACGGCCGCCTTCTGGGCCATGCTCATCCACGCCCGGATGATCGTGTCCCTGCCTACAAGGCTAGGGCCAAGGACATGATCACAGTGTTTGACGCTGCATATACGAAGACTACTGGCGCTGCTTCCTCGGGTTGAGCGTCGGCGTGTCGGTTCAAGGTCGCTCCTGTATTGCACCACCCCATCCGTGTCGCTAGAGTCGATCTTGTACCCCGCCAAGCTAACTCTAACTTTTCTTTCCGAGGGTCCACCCGTTCGCCCAACCGGTCTCGTTCTCGATTCATACCCGGGCGCCATTGATGAATGATGAATCAGGTCGAATTGCCGAGTCTTGTTTCTTTTCTCGGGCTGTTTCTGCCGTCTGTTCGTCTTTTTGTCTGTTGTTTCGTTCTTTGCTTCTCCGTTTTCGCTTCCCTTGCGAGCTGGATCTCATGCATTTCCAAATCCTTCGCTCTCCATTCAACTTCCTATCTCCAAGCCGAATTCAAAAAAAAAAATCGGATTCCGTCTTGCAGAGATCACCTAATGTTTTCGATGAACTAGCAGGATCAAGATGGTTGTCCTACATAGTGTAACCTTTGTTGGAGGGGTATTTGAGCGGCATCACTGCATCAGTTGGCTGGGGACAACGGCGATACCGGAGATTTCCGGGTTAACGTCATCGTTGGATTCTATAAAGGTAGTACTTTTAAGATTGATGAGATCTTCCGAGATAATGTCTTCAATTACTGTTAACGTAAGTGTATAGCGAAAGTTACATGCATGCGAAAGTTACACTAAACCATACCCCCTTAACTTTATCTATATTAATTCCACCCAACCAGCTCAAAACGAACGAAACTACTCGGAATCGTCTTCCTCGGACGTTTCAACAACTATCTGACAGGTACGCGCATTGTGGCCAGGCTCGCCGCAGTTGCCACAATGCCGCGCGCGTGTCTCAACCCTCGGCTTCCGACCACTACCCGCCTGCGTTTCCTCCTTAATCTGTACCTCAACGTCTCTCTGGCCCTGCAGATCCTATGCATCCTGTATAGAAAGTGATCCTCCTTGTCGGAGCCGTTGTTTTTTGACCCTTCGGCGCTTGCTTAGTGCCTCATTTGCTGCTCGGAGGCTCTGGTTCTCTGCCCTTAACAATGCCAACTGATGTATAACCTTGGACGTCCCTTTAGCAAATATGTCAACCGCCCTTAAAATCTCAATTGGAGAGCTATTTTGATGCCGGGCAATTCGATTCTTAATGAGGGTAGACTGCGAGGAGGCTTCGATTGGGTTGTTCGGGGTCTTGGAAACCCAGGCGTGGGCACTACTAGGCGGCGAGTTTAAGGGCGTTGGCGTCTTTAGACGGATATCGAGCTGCGAGATCACTTTCTCGGGATCAAAAGGAGCAATTCCAGCACCTCGAAAACCTCCTTGAATGTTTTCAGGAGTTATAGCGGCTTGGAAAGCGGCATAGAATGCAGGAAAGAAGTCCTCCTTAGTGATATGGGTTATGCTTGCCTATATTATCCCCTCGATCTGCTTGCCGTATGCCGTTTTAAATAGGCTGAAACACCCAATATCGAGCGGCTAAAGAATGTAAGATGAATAGGGAGGTATATAGAGGGTAATAATATTATTCTCCTTGTAGTAGAGCTCGAAGTCGGTCGAGTAGTGGCTATTGTGGCCGTCGAGGACTAGGAGGCGATAAACCCCAGCTATTCGAGCTTTAGTATACTTGTCGAAGTACTGAATCCATTCTAGGCCTCTCTCGTTGGTTGTCCAACCGTTTTCGGATATCGCAATAACCTAGTCCTTCGGCAATAGGCTATTCTCGTACCAAGAGGAGAGATAATGTTTGCCCTTGACGATAATAAACGGCGGGATCGCCCAGCCAGTCGTATTGACGCCCTGGATTACCGTTGCCCACTCGCGATTGCCAGGCTGCTTCGACTTTACCCTGCTACGCCGTTCGGAGCTCGTAACAACCATTGCCGTTAAGATAATACCTATCTGAAACCCAGTCTTATCGAAGTTATAGATGTCGGCCTCCTAGATGCCGTACTTCGCGATTGTGTTCTATACAAACGCAAACCAACCGCGAATAATCTCTGGATCTTCGCATTAGGCCCTCTAGTAGTCGTATTTCCGATTGAAACGCATAGTAAGCTCTAGGTGCCGTTTGACGAAGGTTGAAGCCCAACGTGTTCCGACGCGTCCCGCGTTGCGTTCGGCAAGCAGCCGATCGGCTATATCTTCTATACCAGACAAGCGGGGAGGAAATCCTTTAGAATCCAGGTCAAGGATATATTGAACAATGATAGCCTCCTCTAAATCGGTCAATTTCCGCGAGTTGGCTAGAATATCGTGTCGTGACTGCTGACCGCGCCGACGGCGGCTGAGCTTCATTGGGTCTATAGAAAAGATCCGAGCTGCAGCTCTAAGACTTAATTTCGGATCATTCTCTAGAGCCTGGAGGGCTAAGATAACTTGGCTTTCGTCGTTTTTCTGAGGCATGTTAGGTTGTGGAGGAAGTGGGTGTAGAAGTGAGATGTCGCGTTGGTATGGTTTAGTGTAACTTTCGCATGTATGTAACTTTCGCTATACACCTACGTTAGTTGTTCTGAACAGAGCCACTTCCGTCGTTAGATTACGCAGATTGTCAGAGGTACCTATGCTTTCCAAAACCGTTGTTATCCAACAGGTGCGCCATCAACGGCGCTTGTATCCAAATTCTAGATCCCGCCGACAACACAACACGCTAATCCTGCCGACTACTAATACCCGGTACTAAATAGAAACAGCCGTCACAACACACCTCCCCCCTCTCACCCCGCCTCCAAATTCCTCAACCACCATCCCCCTCTACTCTACTACCACCTCCGCCAAAGCCTCCCGTCCCTCATCCACAACCCTCGCCAACTCCAACATCAACCTCCACAAATAAATCTTCACATCCACCTCCCTCATCGCCCGCGCAAACCATTCCTTGCCCCCCTCCGCAACCTCCCTCGCCTTCCCCTTCCCCCTATCACTCTCCAAAAACCATTGCACCAGCTCCGGCACCTCGGCCATCGTCCCGACGCTGACTGGGATGTAGTGCGCCCAGGGGACGAGGCGGTCGTCGTGCCACTCGCGCAGCAGCGTCTGCTTGAGCACGAGCGACCCGCTGGCCAGCAGCTTGTGGAAGCGCCCGCTGATGCCGTTGCCGTCCAGGTCGAAGACCAGCCTGGCGCGCAGCGCCGCGTCGCGGTCCTGCCAGGCGATGTGGCGGAAGTGGGAGGCCTGCTCGCGGCAGGGGAGCGGGTGGCTGCATTGGAAGATGCGTGTCGGGTGGACGTCGTAGAGGCGGCTGTTGAGGAAGCGGGAGTGGATCGGGGTGATTGATGGGGTGTGGTTTGTGGTTGTGGAAGAAGGAGGAGAAGAAGAAGGAGAAGAAGAAGAAGAAGAAGAAGGGGGCACCTCGCGGAGGTAGGTGTGTCCCTCTGCGGGCGGGTCGAGGTTTTGGGCGAGCGAGATGAAGCGCTGGCGGTGGAAGTGGCGCCAGCTGTTGTGCGTCGACGACACGGCGCCGGTGGTGGAGCCCGCCCAGTAGAGGTGGTTGGCCTTTTGCGACCAGGGGATGTCGGCGCTGGCGTTGTAGCGGAATTCGGGCTCGACCAGGTATGCGGGGGCCGGGAAGAGGATGTCGGACATGGTCGAGGGCCGGCCCGTAGAGAGCACGGGGACGCGGCCCTCGATCAGGCGGAAGGATGGCGGCGCCTGGAAGAGGCCGTGGGTCCCGGCGTATTCGGGGTGCTGGCAGAGGTTGAGCACTGTGGAGCGGTTGGTCACCAGGGGGAGCCCGTGGGTATCAACGGCCGGTCGCTGCCCCTCTGTATCCGTATACGGACTCAAGTCTCTTAGTTGCTGTGCTTGAAGGCCGCAGTATTTCGTGACTGCTTTCCAGGTAGGTCGCTCGGAAAGGTCCGAGACTTTGAACTCTCGCGGATTTTTTTTCAGTGATGCCGGCGGGATCAGAACTCTTGGCTCGTCAAGGTGGTTGACGAGAAACTTGGCGTTTGGCAGGACACCGCGGACATCCCCCAAGAGTGTGTTGAACAGGTCGCCAATGTGTCGGTCAGAACCACGTCTGGGATGGGTGCAGCGAGTCTCGGCAGTGTCACCCGAGAAGGAGCAGAGCCACAGGTCAATGTCGGGTGTGTTGTGCGCATCATCGATAATCTGGAGCATCTCTCTGCCGCTGATGCTCCAGAACGGGGATACGGATAAGTAGATTGTGTCGAAATCGTCAATAATCGGGGACTGATTTGCCGCAGCGAACTCATACCAGGCCTGGAACCCTGGCGGTGGCTCTACGCCGTATCGACGTTGGTATTCGTGAACCGCATCCGGGTATGTCTTGGACTGTCGCTGTAACATCTGTTCGAAGTCCGCTTGGGCATTCCGAATCAGAGTCTCAACGGGATGCTCCTGTAGGCGGACTACCGAAGATTCCGCGACTGTGATGGCCATATAGTTGGCGAGATAGGGGCCGAGAGATATCAGAATAAGTGCCCATAGGATTGGCCTGCCTCTCAATTGCCGTGGAAGGATGGCAACAAACTGGCCAAGCGCGAGTGTCGAGGCTAGGACAGGAGAGATAGCCTGGCTTTCCGAGAGCTGAATGAAGGGGTCGCGGCTGGCTACAAGGGCGAAGGCCCCTATTGCGCCCGCAATACACCACGAGGTTGACCGAGCCTAGAAGGTTGGTGAGTATTCGGGATTCTAGGTATGTGTGCACACTAGTGTGAATGAAAGGAGGCCACACTGTTTGAATTGTAAAGTACCAGGCCGATGCCTTCGCCAACCCCAGTAATATCGTGGGTACCGCAAGGTCAATGAGACCTGGTACACCGAATGATATGATCTGCACACTCAGTGCAGCCACTGAGATGACTACAACGCGGTGGGAAAGCTGCAGAATGTCTTCGTCGACATCCAGATACGGCAGAAAGCGGCTCTCGACAGTCCGGGGAATAAAGGCGGCATACGCGGCGCACAGCGCAGCTACAGGGAGGGTCGACAGCGCCAGCTCCCATATCGTCCAGCCCGGTAGTGCAAGCACGACGAGGAGACCGACGATGGCTGTCCCCGAGACCGTGCCAAACAGGTAGAACAAGGCAGGCAATTCCAATGCCTTCCAAGTCCGCAGTTCGGGCCGCAGCTGCTTGTCCGCTGCTAACAAGAGCGGAGTCAAGGCCGGCTAGTAAGGTAAGGTAGTTAGTCGACTTGTTGTGAGTACCACTTACTAGTAGTAGATTAGTAATGAGATAGATGCGAACTTACAACAGACCAAAGCATCCCAACCTCAGCCCGATAACAGCACGCAGCCGCGACAGCCGCAGCGACAGCCCACAACGACCACCCCGGCCGCGGCCTCTTAGCACCACCACCAACACCACCACCACTACTACTAGAAGTAGCAGGAGCGCCTGGTAGACTCGCTCCCGAGCCGGCGGCACCAAATCCAAGAAGATCCCATCGTTTCGCGGCCCCGAGCAATGCCCAGCACACGACCTCGGACGCGACTTCGCCAGATTGGTTACTGCTAGAAGTGGTAGTAGTAGGCAGTCGCTGCACCAGCACCGCACACAGCGCCGCGGCGCCGGCGGCGCCCACGAGCGGGTCGACGGCTGCTGCGAAGCTGTCACATCGCGGGTTGTGCATCGTCGTAGGGCATGACTTAGGCCTCGGAAGGGGAGCAGGGGATGGATGAGAAGAGACGGACGGGGGTTAAGGATAGATCATAGAATGGACGTCAGATTTGAGTGCTGAGACGAGAAGAGCCACTCAGCCAAGGCTTTCTCGGCTGACGGCCAAGCCATTGTTGTGGTCCCGAATCCTACCTCACCTTCCTCATAAGGGGCTGGTTAAACTTAGAGGGGGGTTGCAAGGGTCTCTGTTTGGTTCGGGTGGGCCGCGTTGGCCGGCACAGCCGAGAAGATGGAGAACACGCTTGGTCAGGGTTAGTTTTGGCGCCGTTGTTACTTGTATCGAAGTCAAGATTCAAGACAGGTCATGGAATCAAAGAAAAGTCCCGAAAAGTGGTGTTATGTTCAGCATTCAGTTGTTATTTAGCTCTCCAAAGCGTTCATAATTTGGCTTCACTTACCGATACAGGCTTTGGTTGATTGATATTGGGAAACATGATTACAGATTAACGTGATTTATAAGCGAGTCGTGAGTATAAGCGGGCCGTGGCTTTTCCACTACCCTACAACAACAACCGTCCAAAATACAACAACAACAGTATCAACCAACTACAATTACATCAGAAACAGCTGAATCAGACGATTCTGCAGCCTCTCGGCAGGTACGGGCATTATGGCCAGGCTTGCCACACACACCACAGCACCGAACCTTCGTACGACCCCCCCCCGTACTACTACCTTCCGGCTGTGTATTTTCCACTACCTCCCCACCAACAGCCTTCTGGGCCAGTAAATCCTGTGCATCTTGCACAGTAAGTGATCCTCCAAGCTACACGCGCGTTCTTTTAGCTCTGCGGCGCTTGCTTAGTGCCTCGTTGGCCTTGCGGAGCGAAGAGACCTCTGACCGAAGGAGAGCTACCTGGTACATGAGAGCCATTGTACCCTTGGCAAGTTGATCCATAGCCGCCAACATCGAAGTCGGAGAGCTATTTTGATGGGTGGCAATGCGAGTCTTGATGAGCGTCGACTGCGATTCGGTTTCTTGGGGGTTGTATGGTGTCTGGAAGACCCAAGGTTGTACTATAGTAGGCTGTAAGGCTAGGGGTATTGGTATACGAAGCTGTACATCCAGGGTAGAAAGCACCCTCTCTAGATCGTACGGCACAAGGCCGGCCCCTATAAAGCCACCCTATATATTGCTCTCTGTAATAGAGGTAAAAAAGGCTTCGCGGAAGGTATAGAGGAACTCGAGCTTGCTGACATGGTTAATGTTCGCGCGTATCAAGTTCTCGATTTGGCGACCGTACGCCCGCTTCAGCGGCCCGAAACAGCCAACGTCGAGTGGCTAGCACTTATAGGAAGAGTGTACAGGCATGTAGAGCGTCTTGATGTTGTTATCCCGGCAGTAGTTCTCGAATTCGGTCGAGTAATGGCTCTCGTGGCTGTCGAGGATCAACATCCGGTATATACCCTTTGTACGGGACTTTATATGGTAGTTGAAGTGCTTGATCCAATCGAGGCCTACTTTATTGGTAGTCTAGCCGTTGTTGGTAGTCGCAATACACCAGGCAAGTGGAAGATTGGCCTCGGTATACTAGTTGCTGAGATGGTACTGCCCGGCTAAGATGATGAACGGAGGGATAGCCTAGCCAAGAGCATTGACTCCCTAGATTACCGTTGTCCATTCGCAATTGCTAGGCTAGGCTAGCTTTGCCCTACTATAGCCGTCAGAGGTTGTAACGACTATACCTATACAGATGATACCCATTATAAACCTAGTCTCGTCGAAGTTATAGATATCGTCGTCTAAGATCCCGAACTTGGCCTTGGTATTCTGAATAAGTGCAAACCACTTGCGAATAACCTTTGGGTCCTCGCATTTGGCCCTCTAGTAGTCGTACCGATGTACCTAACGCATCTTAAGCTCTGGCTTACGCCTGACGAAGTTATAGGCCCAGAGCTTGCCGATAGGGGGCGCGTCGTGTATACGTAGCAGTTGGTTGGCCATATCTTCCATACTAGCGAGTCTAGGTGGAAATGCACGTGCAACTAGGTCAATGATATATTGAACAACAGCCTCCTCCTCGGATTCCGTAAGCTTCTTCGAATTGGCCGTACAGTCGCGTCGTGCAGGCTTGCCAGCGCGTCGGTCCCTGAGGGTTGAAGCCGGTACGTTGTAGAGCCTAGCTACGGCTTCAAGCCGTAGCTGTTTGTCGCTCCGAAGAGCTTCGAGGGCTAAGACTACCCTGGCTTCTTTTGAGGGGGAGAGCATATCGGGTTATAGAGAAAATTGATGTTAAGTGGAAATGTGATATGTCGCGTTTGGAAAGCCACGGCCCGCTTATACCCACGACTCGCTTATAAATCACGTTAATGGTTAAACAATGGGACGATGTGCATTGCATAAAACATATAACTAGGTGTCTTTAAGAAGGACTCTCAGGCTCTCGGCCAGGACTAGTAATCTCACAACGAATCCGCTCCTTCTCGATAACTTCTTAGGATCACAGCATATAAATGATAAGGGCATGGGCTGCCCAGCTATGCTTAGCATGGGAGATAACCCGTCCAGATCCTTATCCTACTCACTCAGTCTTTGATTGAGTCGAAATCGATTGAACAATAAGGGTGATGCTCAAGTCATAGTGCGATTAGTGATGTGGCGCCACTACTTGAAGCTCGCTAGTACAAGACAAACTAGTAGTTTCGGACCTCTCCTGTTAACTATCCTGCGATATCCCGACGTGGTTCTTGCTGATTGTTTCAAAGACGACCAGATGTGTCCCGGCAGGCATGAAGTACCTTACGATGTACACCTCTCGAACCAGGTAGCTACTGCACCTCAGGTCTCTTCGCCCTAGCGAATCCTAAACTTCGTTGGCGGGAATACGCGATTCTCAACGTAAACTTGCAACCTCACAGGCTCCATCAGCCCAGGCACATGTGCGCAGCCAATAATCGCCCAGTCAGGTACGCATGGCCGAAGCACGAGAGGGGCATTAGCACCGAACCGGGAATGTGACTACCTACCTTACAACACTCTCCTTGATCCGCCGGACACCGATACCGGCGAATCCAGCCTCTGTGATGAGCACTTTGCGATCCAAGAACTTGGCCCTGAGCAGCCCCGTTAAGCGACGAAATACTCGCTCCCGAGGCCCAGCACATGAGGGCTTGATTCTGCTATATCCCAAGACGGCATAGTAGACTGCCCGGGAAGAGCTCTTCAGACTGTCTGGCCATCAAGTCTCGGATAGAGAGGCTCATTGTCCTCGACCGCGCTTCGCGTTAAGGCATGAACAACCTCTTCCTCGGGCTTCAGCTTATCGAGGGGCTTTGAGTTGGTGGTTTGAGGCCAGCTCCAGGCTTATAGCCTCTATCATTTAGGTGCTTTCTCCACGGTTGTCAGAATAGGAACCAACTCCTCGACGTGTTGGAAACTTTTTGGAGTCGCAGTGTCACTCTTGATGGCATCAAACATTAGTAATCCCTTGTATTTGCAATGTGAGTAGGAATCGAGTTGGATCTGCCACCTGCGGGACTTGCACTTCCTCCAATCTCATCAATAAGCCGTTGGCCTATAAGGCGCAGTAGTTCTTCCAACCCCTGAGCGGCTGCGCTGCGAAATTGAGGACCCAGGACGGATAATCGCTTTGGTCAGGCTGCAACTCCAGCAAGGGCAACAGGTCGCTGAGCATACACTCACACCGCTCTCTCCACTAGATAATGCTGATTTGCGTAAACAGCTCCATGGGCTTCATCTCATAGTCAAGCATAACCCGATCACGATGCGATCCCCGAAGCAAACCCATCACAGCATAAATGTAGCCTATGTGGTCCGTTGCGGCCGAGTTCCGCAGAACATAGCGAACCGCGAACGCGAGAGGAAACGGGCCGTTTCAATGGAAGTCTTCGTATATACTGTCCAAAGAAACTGGGTGCATCCCCGTCGTTGTGGCGGGTATGTCGTCCTCCGAGCCCGCAACCTCCCTCCTGCAAGCAGCCTACACTCACAGGCTCTCCAGTTCGGAGATGATTCCACCACCTCGGAAGGGACAAAAAGCCGCTCAGCTCAGCAGGTCGGGCCATGATATGAAGCCGCACCCGCAGCCAACGTAAGGTAGGGATAGCTCGCGGCGAGGCAGGCCAAACTCCTGCCGCACCCACAGACGCTGTCTACCACGGGGCGCCTGCACAAAGTCGTCCTGACTGAAGGGTTAGAACCCGAACTTCCTTTCTTCTTGGATCAAGTGGAAGATCGCGGTAGAGGCCACCAGACGAGGTGTTTGGACCGTGGCGCTGTGACATATATTGATCCATTGTTGGTTGTAGGCGGCAACAGGTGAGATGACGAGGAGAGTGAATCCCAGATTCCCAGTGCCCGAATGCAATACTAAGATGGACGCGCCCCGAATTGTGTGGTCTTTGGACGTCGAGATGCCCGGATCGGCAGCTGTGAGCAGGTGGCGGATGCTATGCGATGCGATTTGCGAGCAGGTCTACTACCTACCTTGTAGGTAGTACCAGTCCTTCCAGGTCGGTTCCCGACCAGCTGTACCGAAGACCTCTTCCTAATACGGCTGAATTGTAGCCATTCTCCTTCTTCCCCGCATTGGCAAGTTTCAAAGCAACACAAAGTTGCACGCTAAAACCTGGGGTGACAGGCTTCGGCCTCGGCTCGCCGTTCCGCCGTTACATTGTTTGATCGAAGGTGCTGCAGTCGTTGCCACATGTAGACGCTCCCGATGCGATCTCCGTCCGTTGCACGGATTCGTACACATGCACACCACCCGATGCGGTTGCCGAACCGAGGTACCGAACGTGCGGCTCCTCCGAGTTGCGCTGGAATCTATATTACATCTTCTACTAGTACGTTCCGAGGTTGTCAAGGTTGCCATCTTCAGGGTTGCTCAATGCGATGCCAATACCTCCCCTGCGTCGCCTCGCACCATTTACCCGCCTCAACCGCACATCACAAGCGGGACCCTGCTGCCGTCCTCAGCTCCCGAGATGATTCTGGCTGCCGATCCTCATTGCCATGGCTCCGAGCCTGGACAGATCGGAGACAAAGGAGCATAGAAACACAAACGGCCTCACATAGCTCTTGATGCATATAAAGCGTCAGTGGCTCGGCCACCATTCGTTGTTGAAACACATGCTGCCTAGCAGGTAAACTCCTTGGCTGCCATCCCAAATCTCACTTCAGAATCCACGATGTTCCTTCGATCTCTCCTCGGGCTCGCCGCCACGGCGGCAGTCTGTCTCGGCGCCTCGCTGCAACAAGTGAGCAACTTTGGAACCAACCCTACCAGGATCCAGATGTACGCCTATGTGCCGGACAAACTGGCAGCCAAGCCGCCCATCATTGTTGCGGTAAGAATTCGCCTGTTGCAGAATGTTCAATTATGTTTTCACGACTCGCCGTCTCTCACTGACACGGTCAATCTCTCAAGCTCCACCCCTGCGGCGGCAACGCTCAGCAGTGGTTCGGCTCGCTCAAGCTCTCGTCCTACGCCGACTCGAACGGCTTCATCCTCATCTTCCCGAGCACGCCGAACCAGAGCAACTGCTGGGACGTGCAGAACGGGGCCAGCCTGACGCACGGCCAGGGCGGCGACGCCCTGGGCATCATCAACATGGTGAACTACACCATCGACAAATACGCCGCCGACCGCTCGCGCGTCTACGTCATGGGCTTCTCGTCCGGCGGCATGATGACCAACGTGCTGGCCGGTTCCTATCCCGACGTGTTTGAGGCAGGCGCGGCGTACTCGGGCGTGCCGTTCGCTTGCTTCCTTGGTGAGTTTCTCTCCATAATTTGGCTGCCTTGTTATTATCTTGCATCCCCCGGCGGGAAGGGAGAAAAAAAAGAAACCTCGAAGTCGAGGCAGCAAAGAAAGCAAAAACAAAACAAAATAGAAAAAAATGGTGATTCGACACCGGAGTGGTCTCCGATCGTCTCGGGACCAAATCGGCGGTTTTTATCGTCGCTGCCTTATCCCCGACACGGGGCGTGAAACGGCTGTCGCCTGTTCTCCGTGGATCCGATGGAACCACGGGTGCGAGGGGGGAAAAAGAGAGGGTTTTTGAATACTACTAGTAAGCGAATTTTTATGCTTATTCATCCATTAGGTGCCCCATCCGCTACGCCGTTCAGTCCCAACCAGACCTGCGCGCAAGGAATGCAGAAGACGCCGCAAGAGTGGGGAGCGCTGGTCCGCAACGCTTTCCCGGGCTACACGGGGCGCCGGCCGCGCATGCAAATCGTCCACGGCCTCGCCGACACGCTCGTGCGGCCGCAGTGCGCCGTCGAGGCCCTTGAGCAGTGGTCCAACGTGCTGGGCGTCGAGCTCAGCCGGAACGTGACGGGCGTGCCCTCGGCCGGCTGGACGCAGCAGATCTATGGCGACGGGACCCAGTTGCTTGGCTTCTTTGGACAGGGTGTCGGCCATGCGCCGTCGGTGAACGAGCAGCAGCTGCTGAGGTTCTTTGGCCTGATCAATTGATGTTGTCGGGAGGTGTCATTATGTACCTTATTATGTTCCCGGCTCGTTCCCGAGTTTCAACTTCGACCTCTCTCGTCGGACGGAGTTGAACATGTAGATACCTCAGCGATGCATGTCGGGATGAAAATGAATGTACTCTTTTCATTCCCTTATTCGGATTTAAATTCGCGGTGTCAGACTTGCCCGAACTGTGTACGCCTGTGGTCAACAACTGTGATCAATTGGTTACATACCACGATGAATTGCGAACCTTATAGGATGCTTGTTTGACTGACTGCCTCCATGGCAGCCCAAATGGATTCATTTGGTGGAAGGTGGTTGTTATCTAAAAATCAGAGGACGTGTAAAAGAATTGTACTCATCACTCAGATGCTATCGACCGTGGATCTGCCACTATTTTTCAAACAAACTTAGTGAGATTTACTAGAAGGTGCAAGCGAAGATCCTCGGACTGGAGCATTGTCTTCGAGTTGATATCAGTTCACTAGGTGCTTGATGGCAACTTGAAAAGGCAAGCGAGCATAGCAATCTACACCCTGGATGACACAGATGCTTTCCTGGTGTGCGGCACGGGCATGTAACGTTAGTTTGTTTGTCGCCTCAAGCTTCGGTGCTGACTGTTGGAGTAACGGCCTTCCAAGTTTTTTCATCGAGTCGGAGTGCTGAACCACCACGAAGGACTGCATATCGAAGGCTGAAACAGTTGAATAACCAATCCAGCTTGACATTGCCGCCCCAGTCGGTCAGATGTGAAGATCATTGCCTTCGAGTTCCAATTGCTTGCTCGAGGTATCGATTCAGATGCGGGCTAATTATGCCACGAAATCTGGGGCAGTAATATTAGCCTTGAGTGATAAAAACACCATCTGACATGGGTGCGTGACACAGCACTGTTATCAGCTAGTCTCGGCGCGGGGGTAGCATCTTCTGTCATTCCATGATGCGAGAAGCAAGGCAAAAAGTCCGGTTGGTCGTCGAGCAACACTCTGATCCTTGCTCTTCATGGGCGTCCGCAGATGGCGCTTCGGGCCGGGGGGTACAGCTGAAGCCTGGGGCCTCGCGAAACGGCTCGGGTGGTCTTGGCCCATGCTGACCACCCCATTTGAGGTACATACACTAGTAGTAGTACCTACTATGGAATTTCATCCCGCATTATATACAGACACCCCGGTCATGTGGCACAGTGTTTGCGGAGTTGCACCTCGACCCTCGGGAGCAAGCAAACATATCAGGGAAGACGGGATCCCCAAACCGAATCTGACGGCATAAGCCGGAGAAGCCCTGCAGCCGTCCCTTCGAGCTAGTTACGGCCCTGTACAGTGAACTCTCGGGGCCACACTCACCATCGACACGGGCTGATATCTACTTCGAAATCAGACTGAGAAGTTACCATCTCTGTCCGGCCCATCGTCCACAATCGTTGCCGGGAATTCAACCACCCGGCCGCACCGGCTCTTCCTCTGTTTCTGTGATTATCGGGCAAACAAGCTCCTCCAGGGGCTGGAGCAAGAAGAACGTTGAGTAGTAGTGCTTGTTGGGCCAACACGACGAGGCTAGCGGCCTCCGAGACGCGGAGGTGGACGGCGTTCGCCGATCTGTCATGGGTCAAACGGCCGTAAGTTGGTTGAGCATGCTGCATACCTCTCGGCCATGCCGCTGTCAACAAAACGCCATACCTCATCGAGCAGCTGGTACGAACGAAGCCCACCACTAGTGAACCACACTCTTGAGTCTCTGACGTGGGGCATACCTATCGCGTCTTCGTCCGGCGACGCGGCAGTGCGGCGTATGCGAATCGAAGTCTTCTAGAAGAACGCCATTGTACGCTGCCAAGGAGATCGCCCCTCATGCCCTGGTCCCGGGACGGGCGGGTGATGGTGTCGGAGCCAGGGGCTACATGCCCCGATTGTTTAGCGTTCGGCGGGATCCACTGTCCGCATTCAACCGCACACACTACCTAATCACTGTGTCAGGTGTCAGGTGGTAGTGTGGAGGTTGGCTCGATTTGCTGCCTTGGGAGAGTCTGGGGTTGGGTGAATTCTTGGGCCTAACATGCTGTACCTGACCCCAGATCGTTGTTTGCTAGTAGCTTGAAGCCTGGATTGTGCCGCCGCCAAAATCGAGGAAGTCGGGAAACGTGGAAGCCTTACCCGATCATACTGTATACGCGCTACCTTCAGGTTGGCCCCGACTTTTGACCACATGGCCCACCCCAGGCAATAAGGGCATGTTTTGTCCCATTGGTTCGAGATGTTGCGAGACCCATGTTCCGCTCAAGTCTGTGCCGTGTGTAGCGTCTGTCGGTCGATGTTGGTCGGTGGTGGGGTCATGTCCAATCGAGCGGCACAGCATCGCACCAAAGTGTGCGCCGCTCTGCCAATGCAGGGGCAGCTGTTGGAACACAAGGCGACAGCTACAGCTGCAGCTGCTGCATGGAAGCTGTACAGAAGCCTTCCACGCATGAGGTTGCATTCGACTTTTTATACTTAGCAAGGTACATTTGCGGCACGCATTTTGCCCAAGCAAACATAGGTACCTCCGCATCGAGCAAGGTGCAGTTCCAGTATCCATCTCGATCTCCATTCTCCAACAACCCATGCAAGCTCACAACCTAGCTCGCACTAGGCATCGACAAGCCGTCTTCGACCGACCGACGCTATGTGCGGGATACAGCCTGGCGTTCTCCAGCTGCCGTCCGCAACGGCCATACTAAATCGGGGTGCCAACCATGGACTCGAAAAGCTCCGATATGGCATACATATCAGTCCGGGCTTTCTGCACATTCCACGATGAGACTGTTCGGAATACATCGCGGAATTACCCGTTAACAAATACCGAAGACAGAACCCCTTCTCATTCGCCAGCAACATTATGCCCGGACCTGTTGATGTTATGACTCGGGCCCGGCCACGACAAGCCAGAGCCGTCCACGTCTATGGATGCGCTGCTGGCGATGATTATGTCAACTGCGTCGGTGCACCACTCAGGACACACTCTCGCCAGTCTTCCACCACTACCGTGTCGAGGTCGAACTCGACCGAGATGGCATCAATGTCGTCCTCTCCAGCCTCGAACGCTACCGGAGCGCCATCGTCCGGTTCCAGGATCGGGAGGCCCCCGCAGTGGACCGTATCCCGGTCTCGAAAGCTCGCCAGGCTCTATCTCTACTCGACGCTGTCCATCGAGAAAATCATCGAGGTGCTCGAGGGCGATGGCTTCAACCCAAGGTGCGGCTAACGCAGCAGGCTCAACAGCCATCAACGTAGCTGATCGGAGAACCAGGAAGAATTCGGCCCAAAAGACCATCCACAAGATGCTCGACAATGATCCTCGCTACCTCCGGCCCGAGTCACGGATGGAAATGAACAAGCGCATAAGTAGCCTTGCCATGTCCGCCAAACGTCGCAAAAGAAGGAAGGCGCCTTCTGGCCGGCGCATGGGCCGAGAAGGTGGTTCGATGGAGGTTAGATTACCATGCTCTCTTCCTCTATTCCACTATTTGTAGTGGGGCGGTATCCTAACAAGAATTCTTATCAGCAGGTAGAGGATGCTCCTCTCCGGTCCGAGGTAACCTCGCCGTCTGGGCAAAGCATCAAGGCAGAAGACACGCCGTCCTTCGCACTCTCCCCGTCCCCTGATGTTCCATGTCTCAGCTACTTCTCCATGCCGTTTGATGGCCAAGGGCAGATGCCACGCCAAGAAAGGATAGATACACCTGAGCCAAGTGAAGCTCCGCGCCCAGTCGAGATCCAGAACATCAAACGGAGAGTATCGGGCTGTTCAACGCACTACGCCTTTCAGCTTTCATCGCTGATCAAAGAGTACACCATTTCGATTTCCTCTGATGATGACCGCTCTCGTGGACGTCGTCCATCGATAGCATTAAGCGACTGCTCCCAACCAGGTGACCCTACCGAGTTTGACGCAGCCCCTGAGGCCTACGAGGCATTTCCGGATCCGGCCTTCGCCCTCCCCGGGGACTTTCTCACCGCGCATACGCGGAGCTGCGCTGACTTCCCTGGTCAGCAACATGGAACTGGCGATTGCTGGTGTTCGATCGCGCGGGAAACCTCTGTCGACGCGAATTCGTGGATTTTGCCGACTGGTGAATTGAGTGTGCGGGCACAACACGTCCTGGAACAGGCATCCCCGAGGCATTTCAATCCATACGACAGCTTTGGCAACACGGAGCTGCACTTGTTCGCTGCATTGGAGGGGTATCGAGAGGCGCTACTTCACATAGTGCATAACTGCGACACTGGGAAGCTGAGGGCAGTAAACACTGCCGGTCAGACATTCCTCCACCTTCTGAACCTTGAATGGTTCACGGACTTGGTGTATCCATCCGCACCCCTCAAGCGGCTTCTTGCGTTTGTCCGGGAAGCCTGCCCCGAGCTCGTCTACGAAACCGACGTCTACGGCCGTAATTTCTTTCATCGCGCCCATTCAGTGATCCGAGATTCAGCGGCCCTCGGCAGTCTGATCTCTCTCTTCAACCCCACGCTCGCCTCGCGCCGCGACGCCTTTGGTTTCAACCCTGTCCACGCCGCTGACCCATCGGCTCCAAACCCATACATCCCACCACGGCGCATGGAGAGTCGGGTAGGAGATGTCTCCCACTCAGCAAGGCCTACCCACCGGCCGCCGTCCTCCGACGAGGGCTCCTTCCTCGCCTACCACGCGCGCCTCGTCCAGGTCATCCATTCCTCCTACACCAACCCGCACACCGAGGACGCCGAGGGCCGCAACGGCCTGCACTGTCTCGCCGAAGCAATCATCCACCAGCAGACGATGGACCGCCACGTGCAGGGGGTCCAGCGCGCCTCGTCTTCCTCCTCCTCCTCCCTCCCCTCAGCCACCAGCGCCACGTCTTCCACCCTGCGACCGCACCTCAAGCGCAAGCTGTCCAAAGACGGACCCAGATCTTCTTCTCCCCCGTCCTCCTCAAACTGTTCCTCTTCCGCATCAACAGCAACAGAAGGCCATCTCCCAACCCGCCTCCGGCATCTGCAATCCCTCCTGCACCCGTCCGTCTCGGTCCCGGTCTCCCACCGCGACTTGCGGGGGTACACCCCGCTGATGGCCTTCATCGAGCACATCCCCGACGACCAGGATGACAAGTCCCGGACCCTGCAGGCCATCATCGAAACGCTCGTCCGCGCCTGCCCTAGGACGGTAGAGGCGCGCAACCGGCGAGGGGAGACGGCGCTGCTGATGGCTGCCCGGCTGGGGCGCAAGGTGGCGCTGGCGACGCTGCTGGAGATGGGCGCCAACGTGCATGTGAGGGATGTCCAGGGCCGCGGCGTGCTGGAGGTCTTGGATGCCGAAGCGAAAGGCCCTGCGGCGAGGGCGGATGTGAGTTTGTATGCGAGGTTGGAGGCGTGTAGGGCCTTGTTGACGGGGAGGAGGGATTGGGGGGTAATGTATGTCGGAGCGCCCGGGTTGGGGGCGGTTGTCAGAGAGTGGAGGGTCAGAGAGGGGGTGTATCGGCAGGGAAGGGGGTAGACTCAGGACTGTACATATTTAGATGGGCGGTACAACATAGAGTTGGATTGGGATAAATGGGCATTGGTAATAATCAATAGGTTCGGCTCTGGGACCACTTGACGTGTTATATGCGTTGAACAGCGCTCAAATAGAATAGGAGTAGTAGACAAGCAGATGCTGTGACTCAATATGACTGGCTAGGAGGGTATTTCTTTACCAGGGAAGCATTTCCTCGGTGGGAATATGAATTTTTTAACACTGAGTACAATACCTAGGTGCCTAGCCCTCGCACTAGTGATCCCTCGCTCCGATATAGCCGCACTCGCACATATCATGACAGCCAACCCAACGCGTCTACATCCTTGATATCGGCATGCAGCCCTTGACATATTTTCGGATGACAACTGAGGGTACAGCTTAACGCTTACTCAGAAGGGACCTTTTTAGGTGGAGAGAAACTACTGTCATCTTTCGTTTCTAGATTCGTCTTGCGTACCTTCTCCTTGAAGAGATCACGTCAGCGTGCTCCAGGCAAAAAGCCGAACCGCTCGTCACCCGCCCCGTTGGGGACGACCGATTTGATTCCGGCCTTAGTGCTAGGCAGCAGAAAGAATGACGATGCGATGCTCTGGGCTGGGCCGATTGTTGTCAGACCGGTCTTCGAGCTGTGGATGATTCAGAGATGGGGTCTCACCGTCTCACGTTATCTCCGAACGCAACAAAATGCCTCCTTTCGACTCCTTGTCAAATTGGAATTACCTTGATGGTCGCTGACAAGTACATACCTACTCGGTACGTGTACAACACTTACTAAGTGGTTGTGAGTCGGAACTGAATTTTGCCCATTCCGTCGGAGCCCGGTCCTCCATTTTGCCTACCCAACTACCTAGCTTCTACTTCCTAGTCGGGAAAGCAAGAGGAACAAGAAGACGAAGAAGAGGGAAAATGGGATAAATGTGCCGGCCAACTCTCCAAGTATTTGAAGGGCGTGCCCTCCCGTCCCAGAGACGGAAGTTGGCCATCATCTCTTCATCCTTCATTGCTGTCTCCAGTCGCAAAAGATGACCAAAGTTTAGTTTGTTACCGGCGCCTCTCGCGGCCTTGGCCGTGCCGTTGTCGGGGCCGCTCTGGCCTCTGGCGCGTCAGTCATCGCAACTGCCAGAACCGTGGCAAGTCTCGGCGCTTTCACAGAGAAGGTCGACAAGGAGCTTCATGGGCGTGGTCTACGTCACCAAAGCGGTACTTCCCATCCTCCGCAAACAAGGGTCAGGACACATCTTTCAAATCTCTTCCGTCGGCGGACGGGTCGGCAGCCCCGGGCTCTCCGCCTACCAGAGCGCCAAATAGGCTGTCGGCGGCTTCTCGACCGTGCTCGCCCAAGAGGTTGCGCCCCTGGGCATCAAAGTCACCGTCCTCGAGCCGGGCGGCATAAAGACGGACTGGGCCGGGTCTTCGCTGCGGATCCCACCCATCAGCGAGCCGTACAAGCCGACTGTGGGTGCCATGGCGGAGATGTTGAGAGAGTCGTCGGGACAACAGCCGTCTACCCCCGAGAAGGTTGCCGGTATCATTGTCAGCCTCGCGGAGGCCGATGATGTACCGCTCCAGCTCCTCGTCGGTCCCGATGCCGTCTTGTATGGTGGCAAAGCTGCTGAGGCTCTGGCGGAGTCGGATGGGAAGTGGCGCGATCTCAGTCTCTCCTCTGCCTGAATCTGAGAATAGTCTGAGGGGAATGGGACATCAGGCGAAACTTCTCATTGCCGGACGGAAGGAGGAGGGGTCGTAACAATGGAACATAGTTGGGCTTAGGTAATGATTGAATAGCTAAGAGCGTACTTTACTTTGCATAGTAGACGAGCTGAATCTACACCTACTGGCGGAGGAAAGAAATTATAAGCCTGATTAGCTTTAGTACCAACGAAAACCATAACGGAGTTCCTGCGTAAGGTTCTTTGCTTCGTTGATAACGTTGCTGGTTGCCCAGGTACTAGTAGGTGTGAAAAAGGAGAGGTTGCAGGAGGGTGGTGGGCAACCCCAAGTGAGAGGGAAGCGTGGCTAGCGTGGGAAGCTTCCTTCGGCCCCGCAATGTTGCTCAGCCCCACTAAAAAGTGCCTAACGATAGCGATAAGGGGACCCTGGGAGAGGAATGCAAGGAAAATCTGATTTGACCATAGGCTGACAACTCGACGAACTGCATTGAAAGCATCGGCACCATGGTGAAAAGAAAGGTTGCCGCGCTCGAGAAGGTCGAGGCCGACTTGGTCAACCTGCAGTACAAGATTAGGAGAGATCCGAGGTGTGTATTCCGCGCAATTCTCCGTCGGGCAGTCGCTTATCGTTGCGCTAGATCGTACGCTCAGGAATTCTATGACCAGTGGCTCGCATACGACGCGCAACGGCAGATCTTCGTCTCCTCGCCAGCGACAGTTTCGAGCGATGACACTAAGAAGTTCCACGACCTCGTCGACCTGGTAGCACACGTCGCCGACCTCTACCCCGAGGTCACCGCCCCGTTCGCCAACCACCTGAAGGAGCTTCTGATCCAGCACCATGCAACGCTGGACAAGGAGCTGCGCGAGAAGGTGGTGGGCAGCCTGGTGCTGCTACGGAGGAAGGAGGTGATCGACTCAACTAGCCTGCTCACAACCCTATTTCCGATCCTCATCTCGACGCCGAGCAAGACTCTGCGATCGCTGCTCTACACCAAGATCATCAGTGACTTGAGAGAGTCAAACTCGAAGGCGACCAACCACCGGTTAAACAGGACTATTCAGACCGTGCTGCACAACCTCGTCACCTCGGATCGCACCTCGACCAAGGGCATGTGGGCGACGCGGATTACGCGCGAGCTGTGGCGGCGCCAGATCTGGACCGACGCGAGACCCTGTGATGTGATGAAGGAGGCCTGTCTCAGTGACAACGAAAAGGTGGTAGTTGGCGGCGTGCGCTTCTTTCTGGGCGGTGACAAGGAGCGGGAGGAGATGGAGGACGAGTCGAGCGACGAGGACATTGACATTAAGAAGGTCAAGCACCAGAGCACGATCAACAAGAAGACAAAGAAGCGCCAAAAGGCGTACGAAAAGGCCGTCGAGAAGATCAAGAGGTAGGATCATCTGCCTCTCCCTCCCTTGCCCCGAATGTGTCTGACCCAGAGCAGGCAAGAGCGCAGGAAACATGCAGCGCACCCGCTGAATTTCTCGGCGCTGCACCTTATTCATGATCCTCAAGGGTTTGCGGAGAAGCTGTTCCAAAAACACCTGCAGAACACAAAGAACAGGTTCTCCCTCGACAACAAGCTCCTCATCCTACAGCTAGTGACCCGCCTAGTCGGCCTGCACAAGCTCACCATCATCTCGCTCTACTCCTGGTTCGTCCGCTATCTAACGCCAAAACAACTGAATGTCACATCATTCCTTGCCTCTCTGGCACAGGCAACGCACAACCTCGTTCCTCCAGATGTGATCGAGCCTCTGGTGGTCAAGATCGCCAACGAGTTCGTCTCAGAAGCATCGGCATCCGAGGTGGCAGCAGCGGGCATCAACGCCATCCGAGAAGTGGCGCTTCGACAACCGCTCTGCATGACCGAGACCCTGCTGCAGGACTTGGTAATGTATCAAAGGAGCAAAGACAAGGGTGTCGTCATGGCTGCGAAAGGCTTGCAGTCTCTCTACCGTGAGGTGTACCCTGAACTGCTGCAGAAGAAATACCGGGGCAAGGAAGCCACGATGGGGATGCGTTCAGGCCAGGTGAAGCAGCTGAGATTTGGTGAAGAGGAGGACGGGGGCATTGAGGGTATTGAGTTGCTTGAGAAGTACAAGGAGGAGCAAAGACAAAAGAAGCGTGAGGAGCAGGGACTGACGGCAGATGGCGACGCTGAGAAGAAGGAAGATGAGGATGAAGACGATGGCTTCAACTCGGAGGATTGGGAGGTGGCGTCGACCGACAGCGAGTCATCAGGCGGCTGGATCGACGTCAGCAGCGAGTCCGACGACGACGAGCCGGCCAAGAAGCGCAGGCGGCAAGACGACTCGGAAGAAGCGCCCGAACTTGTTGACACCTCGAAGCAGGACGCTGCCACCGCAGAGTATAACAGGATATCCAAGCTCGCCACAACCACCATCCTCACGCCAGCCGACCTCGCCAAGCTGGAGGAGCTCCGACGCGAGGCCAAGATCGACAAGGCGCTGGGCCGTCAGTCGAAGCGCAAGAAGGAGCTCATCGAGAAGCACATCGAGGACGGGCTCACGGCCGAGGACATCGAGCTTCCCGCGCAGCTGGGCAAGAAGACGACGAAGGAGGAGCGTATCGCGCGTGCCCGCGAGGGGAAGCCGGAGCGCGAGGAGCACAAGTCGACACAGGCGATTCGCAAGGCCAAGAAGGAAGCCGAAGGCAAGAGCACGACCAACAAGGAAAAGGCACGCAAGAAGAACTTCCTGATGACGATTGGCAAGGCCAAGGCCAAGAACAAGCGGAGCTTGGTCGAGACGCGAAACGTGTTGAGAGGGCATATCTCGAGGAGCAAGAGTGGTGGGAGAAGAAAGAATGGGTTGTAGTTCCGTATGTTTGGGGACGGGGGCGGCATTGTCATACACTGGGGGTCACGAAAGCGCATTGTTGACTACCTCTATGATTGTGTGGCATGACCACAAAGGAGATCTATTGTTGATTGACTGACTTCTGAGAGCACGATACGGAACTACGACTGTTTGTCGAATGAACGGCCCCTAGCACTTGCTAGGGTAGCACCTATCTTTTTTCCCCTTCGCCTCTCGTCGTCCGTCACTCACACTCACCAACACCATCAAGCTTGATCTCCTCCATTCCCTCCTCCGTAGCTTTCATCTTCCCCTCCATCATCTCAGCCTGCGTCTTCTCCTGCTCCTGCGCCGCCAACCCCAACCTCGGTGTGAAACCGAATCCAGTGCTGGGCCAACTCGGTCGGCCGTGCAAACCACGCCCCGCAATCCCCGGTTTGGCATCGCAGCTCCCGACGGCGGGTCACGGTCTTCAACAGGTGGTTGTTGTTCCCCGCCTCATCGCCGTGGTGGAACTTCTGCAGGTTCTCGCGGGACGCGTGCCCGGTCAGCGAGCGGCACTGCCGGCACTGCTTGGTGCGGGCGTTGGACCTTTTGAATTTGGGTCCAGCGCCGGTTGCGGATGGGGAGGAGGTAGTGGTAGTGGTAGAGACTGCAGAGGTGGTGGTTGTTGTCATTGTGATGGTTGTTGTGATGGTGGAGAGGGCAGAAGGGGGTGGGAGGGAAGGGGAAGTGGAAGTGGAAGTGGAAGTGGATTCTTTCTGCTCCTGCCCTTTCTCGTCGTCGTCCTTCACGATCCTATCCTCCTCACCTCCTCTGCCACTGCCAATGTTTGTGTTAGCGGTATCCGACGTGTCGTCGTTGTTGAGGTCCACCTTTACCTTGGCAGCGGCATCCGTGTATCGGTGCTTGGCGACCAAGTGTCGCACGAGACCCCTGCGGGTAGAGCAGAGCTGATTGCAGGATGCTACGGGGCAGAAGCGACATTTCGGAGCGTAGGAGAAGTCTCGACGTCGGATTTTGCGTTGGGATGGCATTGTCGGCTTAGACGCTGGGTGCTTAGATGGCTCGGAGCTTCAGGAGTGTTCTGGGAAGTTGTTAGTTTCAGCGCACAAGGTCCGTTACTTAGTGGTGGTGATATGTATTGCAATGTGTGAGAAGCTCAGAGCTGGTGGGATGAGGAGATTGGGTCCGCTCGGTGCTTTGATGGTGGTCCTGTCGATGATTTTAATATAGTACTTTCTACGATCCCTCTGCTTCTGATATTCTTTTTACATAGGATTGCAGGCATTGTGTCATTGATGCTTATTGAAGCCCTTTGATCCAAGCAAAAACAACAGCAAAAGTTTCGGTCGTCTTCTACTCGTTGCTATTGTCTTGACAGGTTTTAACTCGTGTACTGTGCAAGACTTGGGCCTCCCCAGACAGTCTAGCTCTTCACTGGGATACCTATTTACATAGTTATCTGCGGATGTTGAGTAACAGCATCCTAATTGCCTGAAGTCTGCTATACTGACCAACTAGTTTCCTCGTGGCATACCATGCAGAGATCACGGAGCAGACTGTCTTCCTCCATCCGGAACTTCATCCATCATCCCAAAATTCACATCATTTGGGTGCACGTTACACGTAGCGCCTTCTGCGGTTGTGCTGCAGAGGGTTCTCCTAGTTATGAGCCTGCTTGGCTCTAACATGAAATGGCGCTTGTTTATCACCGGCAGTGGATCTTAGTGTACCATTGGGGCAGCATTGCGAGCTCAAGTTTGATTCAGCATCTTCGGATCGTGAAATAGAAGGAAATTCGAGCCTTCGAGCGGTTGATGTCTGGGGCGACTTGCCAATCAGGCTCTCGTGCGATGGGCTCTCTTAGGGCGAAGATCCGGCACCAATGCACCAACCACTGGAAATAGTCCTGTGGTCTAGCGGTTAAGATTTCGCTCTTATACCCCTCGCGAGGGTCATGGGTATGCGACGGTCGTGGGTTCAATCCCCACCAGGACTATTCATTTTTGTTATTCCCAGAATTGAAGCGAACACCCACAGCACGTATCTTAACTTCTACGAAGACGTATCTGTACGTAGTACAGGTGTATAGGGATACATTTATTCCAACTGATCCATGGATTGCCCTCTGTCGCAGGCTGATGGTAGCAGCTCGCTTTGCTGGGGAGATTAGTCTCTGCACCCCAACCCGGAACCTAAGTATGAAGAAAACGGAAAGGAGAAAATGAATGAAGCTCCGGATAAAGGAGAAGCAGAAGTAAATGATAACAAAGCCCTGACTTTGGTTGATATCTCATCCTGACAATACTTTCCCGTACGGCCGTTGCGGCAGATTAGGGCAACAAACCACATTCGAGGAGTGGGCCATGAAACACCGTTTGATGACAAGTTCTCCACGTGCTTCCAGAACATGGACAGATCTCTCCAGATCTCTGGGCGATGTAGTGTAGATCTATGGAAGGTCGGACCGTCTTGAAGGACGGGATGTGGGAGAGATTTGTTGGGTTTTGAGGCTTCATGAAACTCACTGTTGCGTCAATCATGGAGCGTTCTGATCAAAACTCGTCTGATTGGATCTCTCCTCGGCCCCGTGTTCACTCCCGAGTGTTCCGCAAAAGCCAAGGCGATTCACATCGAGGCCGCCAGCTGCGAGCGCATGCCGAGCTTATCTCCGGGCGAAAGATTTGTTACTGCTGTTCGGTCAGGAGCCGACAGTGCGATTTTGCAACATTTATTAGCTACTGTATGTGTAAGGCATCCCTTCCCGAAACTCTGAAAGTCGGGAAATTGTGGACACGTTGAGCTCGGAGATGGTTTGCTGATAACCCCTGTCCGCCGTTGCAAAAGCCGACACGAATACCCCGGCCGTTCGAGAACATGAAACGACTGAAAACATTCAACAAATCGAGTCGAAGTCGCGAACGCTTCATGATGACGGCGCTTCTTTTTACCGTACACAGTAGGCTTGGATTCACTGTCTCTGATGGAAATTCCTTCAAACACAATTCAGACCGTTGGGAACCGTCGTCCGATTGGTTTGGGCCGTACTGTGTACTACGCTATTCCTGCCTTACACAGTAGCCCGGCTCGAGGGACGGTCGCCCGCATTGCCTTCTGGTTCTTGTCTTTTCTTTTGGTAGGTAGTTAAAACAAAAAAGATTATCTCTTATTTGCGTCCGTCGTCTGCAAATCTCTGCCCAGCCTACACATGGTACATCCAGGTAAAACCACAGCGCATGCTGCGTTCTTAAATGATGCCCCCATCGTGGTGTGAGGCAGTGCTCTGCGCTGTCGGCCTGGATTCGAGATGCAAGGGATACAATATGGACTTCCTCATAAACGTACAGTGTCCAAACGTCGTCGTCGCCAGCTCCCAAATTCCACCCAGCAGCCCCAGACAACGGTGTGAATGGAGACAGGCTGGCTGTGGTTTTGGGTTATGCTGGTTCTCCCCGGGTCACTCTGCAGGTTGCGAAAGAGAGGCGATTTGTACGGAATACTGTATACGCTGGCTTGCATGCGGGACCACGGTGATGCTCGTGTCTGAAGGCCTTGCCTGTTTTGGGTAGTACGACAAAATATACCTACCCCGGAGAGTTGTCGGTGGTGCACTGGAAGGCGTTGGGAAGGGCGGATGTGGCTGGCTTGGCCCCGGCACACCAGCAGTGGCTTTGAAGGGGGACGCGTAAGCAATGTGAGCAGGGGAATGTGGGCTACAGCAGACGAATCACAATCTCTGCTGAATGGAACGGGCGGGGGGAGGGGCCGCATCTGATTGGATCATGGATGAAGTAGCTGGCTATAGGACCGCAGGCTACCCTCACCAGTCACCACGCATGCACTGAAAAGCGGATGGCTGCCCCCAGGCATTTGCATTCCTCTGGCCTTCCCTTCTCAACCTTCAACTCTCAACTTCAACGATCCCATGCTGCGTTCTGCAACCTCGACCATCGGCTGCCCGTGACTCAAGTTCAGTGACCTTCAATTACCCAGCAAATTTATATCATGGATCAACTCCCGGAGGATTCCTCGATTTTCAATCCGGATTACCACAACATTCGAAATGTTGCGCCGCGACAACAACAAACCTCGTTCCCCGCGCCGAGCCATGAGTACGGCCTCTACAAGCAACAAACGGGCATCGTTCCTGGTGCACTGGAGGACACATTGGCGATGAATCAAAGCAACACACCGTTACTTAACTACGATTTTCCGCTCCTCAACGAGACTCTAGCGGACGAACTCTTCGACTTCAACACCGCCTCATCACAAGTTTCGGCGACCTCACCGGATCTGAGCCTCCTGGGCTTATCATCCATATCTGATCCGAATTTCCTGCTTGGGACGACAATCGATCCCAATTTCATCGGCGGCCAGGAACCGGACACCCTGACCCCGCCCCCTCCTCCGCCCGCACTCACGAGCAACATCGGCCACCTACGTCCAGGGATGCACAGCCAGGCCGCGATGGCCAGGAGAGCAGAGCAGCAGCAGGCTCTCACACAGCAACAGATGCTAGCACAACAGCAGCAGCAACTAGCACAGCAGCAGCAGCAGCAGATGCTAGCACAGCAAGGGGCACAGTCACGAAGCGCCTCGTTGGCCCCTCCCACACCCGAAAGCGACACCGAGCAGAAGATCAATCGGGTGATTGGCGTTACACATTGCGAGCCGCCGAAAGTCGAGCCGATAACGACCGTACCGCTTGATTTGCCGAAGCTGAAGAAGGACTTTGAAGAGATGGACGACGACGAGAAGCTTCTGGCGAGCGAATCCGGGAAGCAGCTACCGACTGGGAGTAGGCGTCGTATCCGAAACAAGGTCTCGGCGCGTCACTTCCGTGAGCGGAGGAAGAGTAAGAATCCAAACGATCTTGATCCCCATGTGACCCGAAGCTAACATGTGATACAGAATACATGGAGGCCTTAGAGCAGGAGCTCATCAAGCAGGCGAACGAGAACGCGCTGCACAAGGCGAAGATCCAGGCCATCGAAGATGAGAACAAGCGGATGACGAGCTTTATTAAGATGCTCCTCTCTTCGCCTCACTTCTCCGGGATGCTGAATGATCTGAGCAACAACCCGGAACAGATCTTGCATATGGGGCCCCCACCAATGCATCCGGCACAGCAACAGATGCCGAACGGGCAGCAACCGATCCGGCAAATGATGCCACCCCCACGTCCACAACAACAGCAGATGTTCAGCGGGTAGTTGATATGGAGGCGAGCGGGTCCAACCAGGACCGCAATACATTACAAGATGCACAGCAGGCCACTGCGGTGCAGCTGTCGGCGCATCGAGTACCAGCAATCATTCGGCGGTTTCATTTTTTTGTCATTGATTGGGTAGATGAGTGATTGGGTTGGGTTGTTTGGGTCGACCTTGACGGGATGGGTTTACTGTGTTGCATTGGCTATGGAGTATCAGTTTCATGGGCGGTATTAATACTCAGCGGAGTATCACTTTCTCAAGGGTTTGAGAAAAGCTCGGAGCGGAATTGTTGTCAGCGGATATGGCTTTGTTAAAGGCATTGGAGCTTCTTGTACTTAGATTAGAAAGGCAGCCGAGGGAGCATCACATCTTCCTCGAGCAAATGCTGTTCCACTCACTTCATATGTGCCATCGTGACGCATCGGTGCCAGTTATTGCGGTCCCATTCATGGTTTCAGTCCGGCTGTTGGCTGTTGGTTCACGTACGCAGAATGCGACAGGTCAATGGGGGCGTAAACAGGGAGCGGAGGTTTGACACAAAAGTAGTCCTGTTTGTCCCTCGCTTGTGTTATCCTACTTGCAAACAACGCGATGTGTCTCAGCGGTCTCTCAGCGATGTCTCTCAGCGCCCCCGAGCGAGCGCAACACCATGTCTTTAGCCTTGCTTTGCCGGCATACACTCAATGCCCTCGCTATCAGCGTCATTGGCTATATGCTTTCCTTGCGGTCCTCTGTAATCCTTCCATTCTTTCAAAATCATGCCATATACCTCCACACTGTGAAACTCACTTGGTCCAGAAATGTTAGCATCGCCGAGCAATGGGGCTTCCTCCGAAACCAAGTCACGCCCTTCACTCTCACCACTCCGGACGGCGTGACGTTACATACTTGACACATACTACCGCTCGGCTTGTACAACCAGCACGAAGAAGAACTTGTCAAGCAATCCGACCATGTTGCTGTCAGCATCGCCGATCGGACGTCGTTCAGGTTGCTTCGTGATGACCCCGACGCACTGCTCGTGCTATATCTCCACGGTGCCGGGGGCACGCTCGCGTCGGGATGGGGACCGGCCAGCTACCGGGCCATGTATACCGGAGCGCCAGACAAGATCCACACCGTCGCGATTGACTTAGTACCGCGGCTTCGGATCCAGCAGCGGCTTTCCCTCGGAGGCGGGCCTCCTGACAGACGCGGCCACTCTCGCGGAATGGGCCATGCGCGACCCCGGGGATCCCGCCCTCACGCATCGTCCTCTTCGGCCAATTCCTGGGCACCGCAGTGGCCATCTCGCTTGCGCACTACTACGCCACCATCACATCACCACCACCACCACCAAGCAGCCCATCGTCAACCAACCCAATCCTCTTTGCCGGCATGGTCCTGGTCGCTCCGTTCGCCGACGTCGAGCACCTGATCTCGCACCTACCGCCTCGCCAGCACCGTCCCGCTGCTGGGCCCGCTCGCGCCGTTCCCCCGGCTCCTGGCTTTTCTTCAACACCCTCTCATCCTGAGCACGTGGCCCAGCAGGGAAAAGCTAGTTATCTGATTTCATCCGCGTGTATGAAAGCATGCCTGACAGCAATAGCAACACCGGCGACAGAAACAATGGCAAAAGATCGAAATACCACATCACCATCATCCACGCCGAAGACAACTCTCAAATTCACTACCTCTCTCGCCTTCTTCACACCTAGTACCATCATCTCCGCCCTCTCACTCCGCCCATCCGTTACTGCCAGGTGGTGTATACCAACAGTACCCCAGGTAATCTCACTCAATTCTAACCGCGGGCCGATGAGCTCGCTACAGAAACCCCCTCCTTGTAGCGCCGGCTCCGAGCACATCTAGAAAGAATCCCATGCATCCTCCGAAATATACTGAAAAAGAAAAATAAAAAGGATATGTCCACTAGTAGTACATACATACAAGAAATAAACAAGTTGCCATAGCTTCTTATGTACCTATGTAGTAGTTCAGCTCCCCCCTTCCCACATGGGTGACAAGGGAAATCTTTTATGTGTGTGTGCGTGTGTCCGCATTTTGAGTTGACTGAACAGAAGATGAAATTAACAGTGAGATACAGCCAAATGGAGATGGGGAGACTACAAAGCGTTTTACACAATGGGAGAGGTACAGAAAGTTTGTAAACGAAAAGAAGAAGCAGACCGAGAGAAGAAAGGGAGGGAAGGGAAAGGGAAGTAAGGGAATGCCATGTCCGCCAGCTCGCTTATGCGCCTTATGGTTACCTAGGTATTGTATATACCTCAGGTTTGTGCGCATGCCCTTCCCAAAGCCAGCCAAGGGAAGGAAAGAAAGTATGTGCAAAGATCTTAACCCCCAACGGGGTTAATAAGAACAGAAATGGATGACAACAGTAAGAAAGGTGGTGCCCAGCCGGCTTCCTAGCACAGGCGGAGGCGAGGTCGATCCTCCGGTTATCCAGAGCAAGGTTATATAACTCAGTCCTCCCATCCGTAATCCCCTCCTTTGCATGTATGTAAGAATGTACTAGTACAGTGGTATACGAGGTTGGTATATCCAGACAAGACAGAAACTGAAGTCGCCAGTTAAAAGGGATGGAATCAACATCGAAACATTAAAAACGAAGAAAAGAAGAGAGCAACAAAGGAAACCGAACGCCATGGTGTTCTGTGTGGTATGTGGACGTTGTATACCCCTCCCTGCCTTAACCAGGGGAGGCCTCAGCGCACTCTGTTGGGTTACTCCTCATCGAGCCCCGCCAACCCGCCTGTGCCACTTCTCTCCCGACTACTCTTCTTCCCGAGCCTGAGCAGACTCAGCCTCTTCCTGACACTGCCCACCCCGTGGCCCACGATGGAATGACTACCCTGTCCCGGGCTCAGCACCTGTGTCTCGTACACCCTCGGTTGATGGCCCTCCTTCTCCGAGATGACCACCGAACTGTTCCCCGCGCTGACATCAGTAACCCACTCCCTGTTAGGGTTGCTACTGTTGCCGCTGGTCTGGCTGCCGGCCGTCCCGTTGCGCTTGGCCTGGTGCAGTGGCCCTATTCCCCCGGCTCTGCTGGAAGCGGTACCGGCATCAGCGGTGGCTGTGTTGATCGGGGGCAGGGTGCGGAAGAAAGACCGCCTGTGGTTCGCGATCCCGGTCCCACCATCCTTGGCGGTGGACGGAGTACCGTTGACCTTGGCGGGTTCTTCCTCGGGTATTGTGGCTGGGGTGTGGTCTCCGTTGACCTCCTGCTTCTGGGCTTGGTCCTTCTTACGGCCGCCCAGGAAGCTGAGGCGGGCGCCGCGGCCTTGGCGGAGAGAGACGGGCTGCGGCTGCACGATGGTGACTTCCTCCGGCACGTTGACGGAGTTGGACCGGGTGATGGCCTCCCTTTGGCGGGGCACGCCACCGATGGTGGAGGTTGGAGAGCGCTGCCATGTTGGCGAGGGAGCGGTGGTGTCGCGGATGGGTTGGGCTGGGGTGAAGACGGCGATTTCCGGCGCGTAAGTGGTTTCGAACACTGGAGTGTGTCAGCCGTTTTCTCTGGGTGCACACATGGGGCTAGCATGGTTACTCACATCGCTGAAGATCCTCGAGGTGCTTGGTGAGGGTCTCATTCCCACTCTTCGCGAACGTCGCCAGACACCGCTTCAGCATGATGGCGTGGTCCACAAGCGCCATCTTGATGGCATTCTCCTGCGGATCCAGCTCCGGCACTTCCACCTCCTCATCCTCCAGCTCACCGCCCCTACCTGGCGAGCCCTCGCCGGTCCTCGACATGCCCGGGATCAACTCCCGATACGCCACCACGCTGTTCTCGGAGTTGGGATTCACGCTGATGCTCACAGCATCCACCAGCAGCTGCGCCGCATCGCTGCCGGCCTCGCCATCGGCAACCTTCTTCTCGAGCGCCGACATCTCGGCCGTCTTGCGCACGATGCGCTCGAGCGCCGTCTCCTTCGCCGAAAGCCGCAACTCCTGCACCGACACGATCTCGCTGCGACGCAGGATCGTCGGGAACGGTTCCGCCGTGGTGTACACGATCTTCTCGGCGTAATGCTCCGTGACGGGGCCCGTGGTGTGTCGCTTGGAGCTGACCGAGAAGCTCTGCGGGTGCGCCGACACGAGATAATCCCGGATGACTTGCGGCACTCTCGCGCGCTGGAAGACGTGATGGCCCAGGTCCCTGTGCGGGCTCAGCGCGGAAACGACGAGGAACTGGCCCTCCACGTCCTCGATGTGGTCGCTGGTGACAATGCGCGCCGACCGGTACATCTCCTGCATGCGGTCGGTGAAGCTGGACGTGCGCTCGGCGGGCGAGCCCTCGAAGACATACTCCTTATCTCGCACGCTGGTGGGGAAGCCGAGGCCCTTGAAGGCGACCTTGAAGTACTTGGGCACGAGCTTGTCGCTCTTCGCGATTGTCTCGTAGATGGTGGCGATGGCGCGCTCGGTGCGGGCGAGCTTGGCGAAGTCGAACGTGTTCGTCTCGTACTGCGCCTGCAGCTCCTTGTACGCGGCCAGCGCACTGCTCCAGGCTTCGCCGTCCTCAAAGTGCTTGATCATGTCAAAGTAGATGCGCTCTTTCCGCTCGAAGTGGCTCTGGGCCGGGAACTCCGGGTCTTGAAGCGCGGGCGTCGTCTTGAGCGGGTCCCAGTCGTACAGATCCGCATGAAGCCGAAGGGCCAAGCCGGCCTCCGCATGATTCCTAGCCTCAACTTGGAGGTTCGCCAGTTGGTGCACATAGCGGATGAAGATCTCCTCCTTCTGCATATCTCGTAGGAACTCCATCAGCCGTAGGCGGTGGATGAGGTGCGACGCCTCTCCAGACCCGTCTCCGCTGTGGACGGCCACCAGCAGATCCAAGAATACGTCCACCGTGTCGGTGAGCTCTCGCAGCGCGGCATAGAGCGGTTCGTCCTTGATCTTCGCCAGCGGCTCAAACCGATCCAACAGCTCGCCTACAAACAGTTTCTGCAGAATGCTCTCCGTCAACGGCTTTGTCTTGAAATAGACATCCAGACAGTCGATCAACTCGGTCTGGATCACCGACAAGTCCTCGCTGAGCGTCCACTCGCTCACGATCATGGTCTGGAGCACCTCGACCGCCATCCTCCGGAGGCCCTCATGCACGCTCAGACACAACTCGACGATCGGCCCCACCAGCGTCGGCACGTACTGCACCTGGTACCCGCCCATCTTGGACAGGCCGTACCTCGCCCTCTCCTCGACAGTCGTGTCCCAGCCGATAGCCTCCCACGTCTTCCGGAGCAGCTCGGCGCCATGCTCCCTCACATCGCCCGCGATCTTCCACACGGCCCGCCTCTTCTGCTCCGGGAAGGTCTCCAGCGCGAGCGAGGGGCTGCCCACGAGCTGCAGCAGCGTGGTGAAGAAGAGCTTCCACAGCTCTGTGTTGAAGTTTTCCGCCTCGTCCGGGTCCGGGAGGAAGGACTCGAGAAGGATGCCGGCGAGATACTGCAGGGTGCGCATGGTGGATTTGTGGTGGAAGATGTGCACGCTGAGCCAGTCGGAGGGAAACGTCTCCCCCTGGAGGATGCTCATGTGCACGCGCAGGCAGTTCTCGACGACCACGTGGAGGTCGTCCTCGGCCAGCTCGAGCTGCATGCCGCTGGGGGAATTGGACAGCGCGGAGAGGACGGCTGAGAGCTCGATCAGGGCTTCGTCGAAGACGGCATCTCCGGCAATAGGCTTGGTGGGGAATGGGTATGTGGTCGGGAAGAGGAGCGAGAGGCGGTCCTTGGGTCTTTTTGGGACGGCAAGGAGAGCGAGGTAGGACTGGATGATCTTGGGGATGTAATCGGGGATTTCGGGGCCCAGGTGCTCGATCTGGCTGGCGAGGACGGAGCAGCAGAGGCGGACCTGCTCCTTCCACTGGTCTGTAACCTCGTCGGTGTGGCCCCAGTGCGGCGCAATCCACCTGACGGTGTTAGCGCTCAAGGCGGATCGCTGCTCGGGGTGGGAGAATATGTCGAGCTTGGCGTAGTTGATGATAAGCACCAGCTTGTATAGCACCAGTTTGCCCTTGACTGCGGAGCAAGAATCCATAAAGTCAATAGCGATATGCAGGATCTCCTCCGTGGTCAACAGGCCGGCAAGCTCCGGAAGCCATGTGTGAAAGTGCTGGACGGCAAGGGTCTGGCTGCCCACCAGGACTGGGGCCGAGCTGCGCATCATGGCATCGAGGGCCTTGAAGATGACCCGCAAGTGGCGAGTGAAGCTGCCCTTCGACTCTGTAATGCCAATATCGACCTCTTTCGCCTTCTGCTGGCCCCGGGCGTGCGTGATGAACTTCAGGATGTGCTTCGCGACCTTGAAGGTCGCACGGAGCTTCCTCGCCGTCTCAGGATCGGTGGGCTTGGACAATAGCCGGGTGAAGGATCTGATCAAGCAGGCTGTTGCAAACGGGTAGTTGAACCTGCTCTCAGCGTACTGGTCGATCAGCGGGGCCAGGTTGAAGCGCCTATCGTGGCAAATATCCAGCACTCGGACGAGTGCGGTGAAGACGAGGTCCTCGTAGTCGTCGTTGCCAGAATACTCGACCAGGATTCCGAAAAGCGCATCCAGGACATCGTTCAGCAACTTGACTACCTCGATCTCGGCAACGAAGATGAACTGCTTCAAGAGGACCGGAATCCCTTCTCGAGACGAATCCTTCCAGGACAGCAGGCCCAACACCACCCTGTCCTGGGAGAACCTGGTGCTGCAGAGATAGGTTTCCACGCGCACCGTGGCGAGCGGCCCTGTCACCTCGGCCTGATGTTCGTCCTTGCCCTTGGCACAGAAGGGCAGGCTGAGGTATCCGCCCTTGCCCTGGGCACCAGGCTGAGCCATGTTTGTGTGCTCATCCAGCTTGTAGAGCAACAATCCGTGTCTCCCGTCGCGAATGAAAGCCTGTTGGTCCCACAGAGGCAGGTATGCTACCGCAAACGGTGGATTGGGCGCGTCAGCGAGATGCATCACCACATGACCCTGGTGCACATCCTGAGGGGTGAGGACAAGCTTAACGGACTGCCGCCATGGGTCGCCGTACTCGGTTACGGCCGTCTTCCAGGTGCTGGTCGGTTCGGCATTTGACGAGGGGTAGATGCAACTGTCGACTCGCTCGCCGTTGGACCTGCGTACCTCCAGGGTGACTTGCAGGTTATGTCCGTGGAGACTGCTCGGAAGCGCTTGTGGGCTGCCGCCATATCGGGACAACAGGGTTTGCCTGTTGAGGATGGCAGCGTCGATTGTCAGGTATATGTCGGAACGCGGCTTGGTCGGAGCACCCGCGAAGCCCATCTTGCTTGTCTTGCTGATATTGGACAGCAATGTTGGGGTGGCTTTGATCAGCGCGTCCGCATCCGGGTTGTTGAAGGCCCGAAGGTGTAGCTGCAGACGCTCTGCCCGCCTCGACTTGTCGTAGTTACCTGTCTTGCTTTCCATGACCTCGCGTATTACCGTGTCCCATTCCTCGCTGTCCTGCCTTTCGGATCCCAGCCGGGCAGAAGGCGCCCAGATGCTCACGATGTGCTCAACCTCTTCGTCCTGCTTCATGACAGCGTTCAACTTCAGCGACCCGACACCGACCATCCTATCGGCCGTCTGCGTGACATGGCCATCGACAGATGCACGCCCGGCCTTCGAGTTGGCCGTACTCGGAGGTAGTCCATCCCTGCTCTCGCCACCTGCTGTGCTCGGTGATACTGCTTCTTCCGGCTGCTCTGAGAGCGAATCAAGCCTCGTGTTGCCCCTCGAGAAGGCGGACCTCGTGCTCTTGCCCGCCCACATCAGACTCCTACGGACTGATTTGCCCCCGGCAGACAATGGCGGCTTTGAATGTTCTTTAGACAATGGCGGCAGGCCCTGCGACCCGGTTCCGGACCGGGAACTGGGCTTAATTGCGATGACTGGCTGGGCTGCATGGATTTTGACTACGAGAAAGAGCTCCGAGTCGACTGAGGAGACATCGCCGATCTCAGCCGCGGTCAAGTCGGCGAAGAGAGTGCGCATGTGGGCGTTCCGCGCCAAGTGGACCATTTGCCCACCAGGCGGCATCTCGACGATGTAATTTTCCGATATGGGCGTCAGGGGTCCTCCGGCGGTCTTGGTGGCCAGGTATAGCACCAGGGTAGTGGCCTCGGTGGAGGCGCCAGCGAAGCCCTTGATGTCTACGAGCAGGTGGTACAGCGCAGTCAGCTCGACCGCATGAGTCGGGGTTTCGTCGAGGAGGCTCATGATGGACTGCAGTTTCGTTATCTCCACCACCGAGTCATCTCCCGTGAGCACTCGGCCGCGCTCGTGTGGGTCGCGGACGATTACCTCCCCACCGCATAGCTTGTTGACACGGACCAGATCCCATACCGTCTTTTCTCGAAGGAGCTCGTACTCCCGTGCCGTTAGTACGTCGTGCAGGAATTGCTGCCGCGCTACGTTGAGCCTAGTTGTAAGTCGCGACATAGTATCCAGCTTGCTGTACTGCCGCGACAGCAGCAACTCGTGGAGGTTAGTCGAGTGCCATTCGCGGAGACAAGAAGCGATCTCGTCAATCAGCGGCTCGGAGGCAGAAGTAGGGGTCTCGTCTCCGATCTTGAGCATGGGTACAGGCGCAGGCGGGCGGGGGGCATTGGGATCGCGCTTCATGGGCAACGAGAGTTGGCCTGGAACGCCATTGTGCAAGCCATGATGTTCCCTCCAGCCTTTGGTTGGGGTCTTCTGGCGGCCTTTCCTCCTCTTCTTTTCAGCATTGTTCCCTTCTATCCCGCTTTTTGCTGAGTCGGCTCCTCCCAGGTGTGGTAATGCTGACGCATCCTCGCTCTCGACGTCGTTGTCATCCGTCTCGTCGGCTTCGCCCAGGACCTCACGGATTTCGACGCAGCTGCGCGGGAAGATGCCGCTGAAGACACGGGCCTCGAGGGTCTGTCCCTTGACGCTGGTCAGTCCCGCGAGCAAGCTCGGAGGGGCTACCAGGTACCCGCGGAGCCAATTGCCGTCGGGGGTCTCCTCGATGATGTACAGCTCGTCACCAAGCTCGAGCGGGAGGTCGGCGGGGCTCGAGGCAGCGAAGGGGTAAGTCGCTATGGCGAAGGCGATGCGAGGCAGCGGTTGCCAGGGCATTTTGTTCGGCAGGGAGGCATCTATGATCGATTGTCGGATCGGACTGCGCCGTCGGTGGTACCACGAGCGGGTCAGGCGTTGAACCTGGAAGGGAATGGTCTTAGATTCGGATGCGCTGTCAAATAACCTCGACCGACGTGGTCGGGTAGGTTCTGGTCGTTCCGCAAGTGTCGGCCAACGCGACGGGCTGCGGTAGCCGCAATGGGAGCGAGTGCTATGATATTACAATCGACTCGATTTCCGTCTTCATCAGGGGCCGTTGCTTTTCCTCAAGGATAGTCTCCGCTATCGATCGTCGTATCAGGTGTACAGAATCTTCGACACGGCGCTAGCCGTGCAACAGCGGCAATGCAAGAAAGCTGCTCGTTCCCGTTGTCAGCTTAATTTACCGATCGGGGGTGAGGCTCTCCAGTGAAGCGGGTCCGCCGAAAGCCAAGTTGAAGATCAAGAATCAGAAACCTTGGGAACTGACAGGAATCGAGACACCCAACAACGACCGTAATCTGAGTAAGCAGAACGGCACCCGGGGTGCCACACAAAACGAAGGTATTACTTCTGAAGCAAGAGTCTGAGCGGGGAACGTGGTGCCCGACTTCCTCCAAGTTGCATCGAGAAAAAGTGGGAGGGGAAGAAGCATCGCAATCGCAGCTTCCAGACTAACGCAGGGGCCGCGTGTGCCTTCGCCAATTGCAGCGATCCCACTCAATTGAGCAATTAGCTTCGACCACATCTTATCGAAAGCCATGCCATTACTTTCGGTTTCACCCATGGCGAAGCATTCGCCCTCCCCATTCGTGTCGAGGATGTTGCTATTTGACATCAATCGAGCCTACTACGCATCTCTCAACCCGCATTGGCCTGGAGTTGTGCAATCCGAGTTGCAGGACAGATCTGGTGCCTGCCAAGACATTTGTTCAGCACAAACGCACAAACCTCTGGCCCCACCACTGCAGAAACCCCACAGTCCCTGAGCCCACTTCCCAATATGGTAATGAATTGTAAACATGCAGTGTCACCGAAGCAAGTTGCACAACTCATGGCACCAAGCTTATACTGGGCTTATAACGGGACTAAGTGCCGTTGAAGAGGATAAGTTACTTGCGGCAGTGTGACGTCTCGCATCGCTTCAGATTCAAATTAACACCTAATGCAAAACAGACCCCCTTTCCAAGAAATCAACAGCTCCTGTGCTATCAACACTAGCAGTGTAGCCACAATTAAGCGGAATTAACCGCGATACCATGGCTGTACAATACGTACCGAATACATATTCGTAAATACATACATACCACAAGACATGGTATGTTAAGCTTATGATGCCCATGTGCAGCACAGCAATCGCTGACAATGTCGGAAAGAATGTCATCCCGAAACAAGAAAATGCCCGCTCACACGATAGAGTTACAGCGAAGCAGGCACATGGCGGGATCGGTCTTAGTTTTGTTATACTTGTCAATCGGGAACACTGTGGTATGGAACCTGCCTTGGAGCTGACACCCGCCTCCACCCAACGATACCTCAATTGAGGGAGGCTCGAGGGACGGGAACATGTCGATGAGAGAATGCCGGCTGCAGTCAACAACGCTCCATGAGGCCCCTTGTTATACCACACTGGCGGTAGATTGCGCAGTTCACATCCGCCAGCGGCGCGGGCCGAGCCTCGTGGGCCCTTGGCCATGCTTCCCCGGTGCCTGTGGTCGAGGTGCAGTTTACAACCCAGATATAAATGGCAGGAACTGTGTTAGGCAGAGAGAGGATGAGCGAGTCAATAAGTACTGTCACATCTTGATGCAGTAATACTACTACTTCAAGTCCAAATCTTACAAGTCATTCAACTATCGCTATGCATAAGGTACTAGGTAGGCTAATGTCTGACCATACAAACAACCTAAGAGACAGAGACAAAGGAAACCATATCTGCCAAAACAGCATACACAACATCAGGACTCGTCCTCGGTACATCCCAGTCATCATCAACAACATGTTTCTCATCTCCCACATTACTATCATGCTCATCATGAACATGAACATGAACCTGAACATCCCCCACGTCCAACCGCTCACATCTCATAATAATCCCAACTCCTACCAAGCTCGACGCAGTCCAGTCCAGTCCAGTCGACGCAAACAGACAGACTAAAAAGAAAAAGACCCTAAAACCAGCCCCCACAACTCCCACTGGCCCCCTTCCCCCCTTTCTTCCCCGACCCCGACCCCATAGCCGTAGGCCTGGCCGCCTTCCTACTACTACTACCCTGCTCCTCCACGGGCACAGACACGGTGATGCGCACCGTCTCCGTCTCATACACCGTCTCCTCGACGGTCTGCGGCACGGCGGTCACGACGGTCGAGACGGTCTCGGTCTCGGTCACGACGCTGACACGCACCGTTTCCGTGAGGGTCTCAAACACCCGCACCGTCTTGCGCTCGGTCACGAAGGGGCCTGGGATGAAGACGGTTGATGATGATGATGATGAGGGAGTTGAGGAGGAGGGGGTGGGGAGGAGTTCTTCTTCTTCTTCTTGGTTTTCGAACTCCTCTGATGAGCCAACGCCCATGTCGGAATCGGAGTCGACGGCTTCGCAACTATCGACCGGCTCCTCAGGCTCGGTGGGCTCGGGCGGCACTGCTGTCGGGGCGGCAGAGCACTCTTCATCATCGGCCGAGGGGACCTCGTCGACAGCGGCGTTGGCTTCAGCGTTGTCCAGTTTCTCCGCGGTGGTCTCTGACGCAGGTGAGGCCGGAGGCACCGAACCCTCCAACTCCGCGGCCAACTCTGAATCGCTTCGCTCCTCGATCGCGGCCGCTGAATCTTCTACCTCGCGCGGAAGCTCAGAAGCATCATCAGACTGCTCATTGCCGAGCGGCAATTCCGAAGCTTCGGCAGGTTGCTCCACCTCAACAGCTTCAGCCTCCACGGACCCGGGCACTTCCTCCATAGGAATGGACGTAGGGAGCTCCAAGCCTCCGGCAAGGATGTCAGCCACAGGCGAGAAGGCGAGCGTGTCCGTGTGGTCGACCGCGGGGATCTCATCGTCGCCAGAAGCCTCGTCAGCAGTAGGTGCCGCAGACTCAGGCTCCGCATTCTCCGGAACCTGCAGCACATCTTGCCCCTCCACCACCACGACCTCCTCAGCCATGGAAGGCGCCCCCTCCTCCTTCACCTCCTCAACATGAACAGCCGGAAGCGCCGTCTCCACCGAAAGAGGGGATGACACATCCACAACCACATCCACAGCCGGTGGTGCAGCCTTCTCCCCCACCATCATCACCACCTCCTGCCTCGGCTCCTGCATCTGACCGTGGTACCCATCCCCATTCCCATTCCGCTGATATCCATAAGCCCCCTGAGCCTGCACCTGACCCCCAGCGGGAGCGGGTGCCGACATCTGCACCACCCCCACCCCGACCTGACCCTGCCCCTGCTCCTGCAAAAGAAGATACCCACCACGCGCCTTCATCATCACCACGAGGAACACGCACAGCACGATGATGGCCACGTTCTTGGGGTCGCGCAGCAGGACCTTGAAGGCCTCCATGAGCAGCTCGACGAAGCCCGAGTTCTCGTCGAGGAGGACTCGGGACGGTGATGGCGGGCCACGCTTTTCTGTACTACTGGTAGTGGTAGTATTTTCGTGTGGGCTGTGGTGGTGATGATGATAGTGGTGGGCATCGGTGAGCATCGGCGGTGGGGAAGTACTAGTACTACTAGTAGTAGTAGGTGCCGGCATCAGCGCGTGGGAGTGTGCAAAGAGCTGCTGCTGTTGCTGCTGCTGGGGATGGTGGGGGTGATAGTGGTGTTGTTGTTCTATTGGTGCTGGGAGCGGCTGGGCGGGTACGAGCTGGGTGCTTGCGGCGACGGGCGGTGGTGGGGGGGACTGTGCGGGCGGGGGCATGTCGCCGTAGATCTCGCGAAGGCGCTCCTCATCCCGGCGACGGCGCTCTTCGGACGTGTCGATCGGCTCGGTGAGCCGCGATACAGGCCGAGATGCCGCGGGCGTTGCTGCGCGTACCAGGGAGTTGGAGGCGGATGGAGTGTCTGCACGGGAGTGCTCGGGCTCGGAGTGGTCCCTATGTTGGCGGCTGGATGTACGGGAGTCCCGCTCGGGTGTGGGTTCACGCTTCTGCTCTTCTGATTCCAGCTCCAACTCGCGCTGCTGCCGCTGCCGCTGCTCTTCCAAGTCGAGCTGAAGCGTGCCGAGCTTCTCTAGCTCGTTCTGCAGTGCTGAATCAATGATGGGCTCGACCTCGACATCGACCCGCTCCATCTCCTTCCAGCAGGCCTCCCAGGCTCCAGCCCTCATAAGCCCGTTGCTAGCGTAGACCTTGATGCGGAACACCTTGCCAGGACCGAGATCACCGTACCTGATCTCGTTCCGGCACGTGTTGCACCAATGCCTCTTCTCCTCCTTTGTCCCCTCCGGCTGCGACGCATAGTCATCGTCGCTCTCCTCTTCCTCATCGCCCATGAAGTTCGCCGGCCCGAGGTAGTGTCCGCACTCGAGAATCCGGGCGCGCCGTCGCAAGGGTAGTTCAAGCGCCTCGAGCAGCCGCTCCTCGAGCACCTCGTAATCGTTCTGCGGATGCGGCAACAGGATGCCCCGCTCGAGCACGGTATCGCCGACGCGGTCCTGCAGCTGGCGCCACGAGTCGCGAAGAGTCTTGAGCTGCTCCGACGGCTCGAACGTCGATCCGGCTTCGTCGATGGGCTTGCCGTGCAGCGCATCGAGACTGTTCAGCACGTCACCCCACACCCACCGCAGCGGCAAGAGCGTGACGTGGAGCAGCACAAGTGGCGCTTCTTTCCGGCTCTTGAACCGCGGCGGAGTGGATCGGCCTTTGGGAGAGTACTGGGCAGACGCGATCGGGCTGCTGACTCGGGACATGGTCGGAAACCCGCTAGATCCGCCGCCGTGGCGCTTGCTGGATCGCGGAGAGCTACCGTTGAATACGGATGGCGTGGGGGACGACATCTGCATGGCGCGGATCTCTGACGGTGTGCGGAAGGGCATCCGGCTTTCGCGGCTGGTGGGGACAAAGGGGTCTTTGTCGTACTGCGAGAGGCCCGAGATGGCAGACAAGCCCGACATCACTCTGTCAGATTGCCTGCTGGAGGAGGCAAACGACTCCCGGCGCGACAGGTTCTCCTCAGCGTGCAGCGTCTTGACGTCGTCCATGTCGTGCGGGTCAAGCGAGTACACCGAGCTCCGCGCGCTGCGCTCACTAAACACATCGTCGTCGTTGTGGGAGCTGTTGCCGCCGCCCTCATCGCTCGAGGTGGAGCGCGACGGGATGTGCCGCACTTGCGATTGGGACGATGGGCGACTCGGGGTGTGATGCTCATCGTACACAGCTGCTGCCTCGGCGGCAGCGTCTGGAACGACGTAGGTGTCCTGCGAGCCGGTGCTGAGGAGCGAGTTGTCCAACCCATTGTCCTCTTGGTGTTCTGCCCCGTGCCCACTGTTCCGCTTCTCAATCCTGGCTATCACCGCGCGCGCAGCCGCCTGGATGAGAGCCTCTGTTCGCAGTGAGGCTTTCCGGTCGACGGGCGTGAACTCTCGATGGCTGCAAGCCTCTGCCTCAGCATCCGAATCCGTATCCTCAGTCGGTTCCGGAGCGTCCGCCTCGCCGACCGCAGGGTCACTGGCGGCCTGAGTCTCAGCGGCTGCCTCTACCTCTGGTGGTTCGGTGGCTGACTCCCCAGAAACGGTATTCTCCTGTTGCTCGGCTTCGACCTCCGGTGACTCCGTGTCCTCTTCTTGCGTACCACCCTCCTGATCCTCGGACTCAGGGACAGCCTCCGGAGCCGCCTCCGGTTCCAGACTTGGGTCCGCGGCTGGCGCATCTTCGACTGCTAGCGTGTCGTCCTGTTCCTCTGCCGGCGCTAGTGCTGCATCCTCAGGCGCTGGGCTGGCTTGTTCTTCGTCGGCGGGTGTGTCGGCCGGTGGAACGTCCTCGACTCCTTTTGTCTCGACTTCCGGTTCCGATGCCGGCTCATCTTCTGCAGCCTCTTCCCCTGGTGTTTCCGCTTCGACGTCTAGAGAAGGAGATTCCTGCGAGTCTTCGGCAGCGCCGGCAGCGCAATCCTCGATCGGCTGTTCGATGTCATTATCATTTGCTGCACCGTCGGCAAGCGGCTCCTGGGCCTCGTCGGCCGAGGGCGGCACTTGCGTCGCCAGAGTTTCGTCCTTCATTGGTTCGCTTATCCGACAGGAAGGGTCGACATAAATCTCGAAGTCCCGATCCAGATTTGGCGCCTTCCGCGGCATTCTGAAGAAGAAGAAAAAAGTTTCGGACAAAGCAACTCGGTTAGCAAGGTTCGTTGTTTATACCAGCGCCATGCGCGCCCTTTGGGCCTCCTCCGGGCAACGAGTCTGGCGCCAATGGGGAGTGGGGAGGCTAAAGCAGCGATGCGCTGGCAGTCAACCGAAACGAGGGGGGCTGACGCAGCTTGTTTTGGCGGTGGCCGCACCCGACTGGTCTGCAGTGCTCAACAACCGCAGGGGGGCAGGGCGGTGACCATGCCATGTTGCGCTGCGACAGGAGCGCAGGGCCAATTGTGCGTCGAGTAAACAAGCCGTTGCTGGGGGGATGGGCCCCGCTGCTTTGCTTGGCGGTGGCCGCCGGTGGAGGCAATGCTGCAAGGTGGCCCTGCTGCTGCAAGTCGCAACGGCAGCCCTTCCGCGACTGCAGATCTACAGTAGGAAATAGCCGCTTTACCGACTCGGTCGTGTGATGACGATATCGCAGCTGTGTGTTGAATCTCCGCTGAGTTTGAGTGCGTTGAGCGGCGCGTTCAAGGCCTTGTTAGAGTTCTACGGACCCCTTATACACGGAGCGCCCAGCATGCAAACATCAAATCAAAAGTGATACGAGCGACGCAGATAAGCGAGCGACGCACTTTCAGTGCGACGCGCCTCCTCTAAACTTTTCCACCAAATACCACCGCAACAAGCCATGCGTAGCCCCTCAAAAGAAGCCAGGCTTCTTTTAGCCCTCGAAGCTATCAAACAGAGCGAGAATCTCAGTATCCGGGCGGTAGCCAAGCTATACAACGTTCCAGAAGCAACGATTCGCCACCGGCGCAAGGGACGTGCTACAAGACGCAATGTTCTAGCCAACTCGCGTAAGCTTACGGATCTAGAAGAGAAGTCAATAGTTTAGTATATAACTAAGCTATCTATACGCGTATTCCCACCTAGATTAAGTGGTATAGAAGATATGGCCAACCACCTACTATGCGAACGCGACGCGCCCCCTATTGGCAAACGCTAGGCTTATAACTTTGTCAAACGCCAGCCAGAGCTCCGTACGCAGTATATATATAAGTACGACTACCAGAGGGCTAAATACAAGGATCCATAGGTCATTAGCAAGTGGTTTGCACTTGTATAGAATACTAGGGCTAAATATAGGATTGTCGATGACGATATCTACAACTTTGATAAGACTGGGTTTATAATAGGTATTATCTTTGCGGGTATGGTGGTTACAACCTCGGATGGGTATGGCAAGGCAAAACTAGCTCAGCATAGTAATCGGGAGTAGGCGACTGTAATCTAGGGAGTCAACGCCCTTGGCTGGGTTATCCCTCCGTTCATCATCCTAGCTGTATAGTACCACTAGAGTAACTGGTACTGGGAGTGCAACCTACTACTTACCTGGCGTATTGCAACCACCGATAATAGCTGGACTACCAATGCAGTAGGTCTGGATTGGATCAAGCACTTCGATTACTATACGGCACCTTGAACAAAGGGCATATACCGGTTGTTGATCCTCGACGGCCACGAAAGCCACCACTCAACCGAATTCGAGCTCTACTGCAAGGAGAACAACATCGTCACACTCTATATGCCTCTATACTCTTCCCATAGGCTCCAGCCTCTCGATGTTAGCTGCTTTGGGCCACTCAAGCAGGCATACGGTCGCCAGATCGAGAGCTTAATACGCATGCATATCAACCACATTAGTAAGCTTGAGTTCCTCTATGCCTTCTAAGAAGCCTTCTTTGCTTCTATAATAGAGAAGAACGCATAGGGTGGCTTTGTAGGGACTGGCCTTGTGCCATACAATCCAGAGCGGGTGCTTTCTAAGCTAGATATAAAGCTTCGTACGCCAACACCCCCAACCTCACGGCCTAGTACTGCGTAACCCTAGGTCTTCCAGACACCATATAACCTATGAGAAGCCGACGCACAGTCAACGCTCATCAAGACTCGCATTGCGAACTATCAAAATAGCTCCCCAACTTCAATGTTAGATGCTATAGACCAGCTTGCCAAGGGTACAATGGCTATAATACACCAGGTGGCCCTCCTTCGGTCAGAGGTCTCTTCGCTTCGCAAGGCCAATAAGGCACTAAGCAAGCGCCAGCGTGCCAAGAAAACACGTGTACAGCTTGGAGGTTCACTTACTGTACAAGATGCAAAGGATCTACTAGATCAGAACGCCGTAGGTGGGGAGGCAGTACAGGAAACGTAGCCGGATGGTAGCGGTTCAGGGGGGGCTCGTACGAAGGTTCGATGCTGTAGGGTATGCGGCAGGCCTGGCCATAATGCTCGCACTTGCCAGGAGGCTGTAGAATCATCTGATTCATCTATTTCTGATGTAATTGTAGTTGGTTGCTAGCGTTGTTGTATTATAATTGAGGATAGTTGCTGTAGGGTGGTAGAAAGTGCGTCGCTCGCTTATCTGCGTCGCTCGCTTATCATGTACGTTATAACGACCATTTAGGCCTCGAGTCTGACAAAATGCGTCTCAATTGGTACTAAGTGACAATCCAGTCCGAACAATCGGGCATCAAGAAGCGCGAAGGGATATTGGCCGCAGAGACACGTCTATCAAAATGGCCTAAATTAAGTAACGTTAGCACATCAACAAGACGCCATCCGATCTCCTGCAGCTTGCTGCAAGCCAGTGCTAGGCTCGAGTTAGTGAGCGCCAACTCATCACCGCATGATACAGTTGCGTTCCACCTGGCATCGTTCCTCCGTTTCAGCATCTAGAATTCTAGACCATCCTACCAGTAGGACTGTGCATGCAAGACGGCCAGAGCTTCCGTCGTTTGTTGGTGGTATCGCCGGGATAATCCGGGAGAGTTTGATATCTTATCAGACCTATAGTGTAAGTCACCACTAGGTAAGGTAAGAAGTTCAAGTTGTTGAAAAATCAAGCCAACATTGATCCGTTCCTCGGACGAAACTTCCCACTCCGAGGTCCTTAGCCTACTAGGCCTAGACTTCAAGCGGTGCATGATGTGCCTGTGTCAATGCCATTAGAGCCCCTTGGAAGGAATTGTCCCTATCCCGTGATGACCAGACCACCGACGTCAGGTGCGGGTAACCGCCTGTAGCTCGGTGCGGTACGGACGTACTGATGAAATCTCCACGGTCTTACCGCCGCCTGGTGGCCTAAGCTCGCACGGAGCTACAGAATATGTGAAGCACTCGCGATATATTGCTGACCGCGGCTCTGTCGTCCAGACCTATGCTCCGCATTGTGGTAAGTGAGGCCGGTCGCATGTAATTCTATCTTGGAGACTGAGAACTGCGGGCACCAAGGCGTCGCCCCATATTTCTACCGCCCTTTCATCCCCATGATATCAGATACATTACCTATGCATGGTGAGTAATTGGTACTGCATAGAATTCACACATCAGACGGACACGGTAGGGATCCATACTGCTACTATGTTCGCCACCCGTAGGCAAGGTTTATGGGATAAGTACTAAGGGAAGAAAGCCCAGGTGAAAGGAACCCACCTCTCTGCTCTCTCTTCAAGTAATGTATCCAAGAGAGGATACCTCAGCAGCCGAGATGACTATGGTTAAGTTAAGGTACAGGCGGAACCGACTGCGGTGCCGAGTGCTCGTTTTGCCGTCTTTCATGTTGATTTATTTTCTTTGGTTCATAATTTCGCTGGTGCGCGACCTACCTTCAGAGAATGGCAACTACGGGTCGCAACAGAGGAAGGAGCACTTCGCCAGTAGTGCGGCCCCGGATTTACACTACCAGCTCCCGCAGGAAGACCTCGAAGGCGAGTTCTTCTCCTGGGAGAGCCCCGACATGCCAATCCGGGAAAAGGTATACAAGCCGGAGTCGGAGCCGGCGACGCCCATCTCGGATCCGTTCCCGCTTCTGTCGCGGAACCCGCCGCCCAAACGGAGTTTGCTGCAAGCTCCCCAAATCAACCGGCCTCCACGGCGACACGCACCGGAGCGCACGCCACTGTTCATCGGCTTCACGCGCAACTGGCCGCAGCTGCTGCAGTGCGTGGTGAGCTACATCGCCGCCGGGTGGCCGCCCGAGGACATTCATGTGGTCGAGAACACGGGCGTGATGTTCGCAAACCGGGATGGAAGGCTGACGCTGCAAAACCCCTTCTATCTCAACCACACGCAGCTGGCGATGCTTGGCGTGGGAGTCATTATCGTACGTCCCAACTTCCAACTTTCCCTGTACTTGCACTTCCCTAATACACAACAAATAGTAGCTACTTACCACTGACCATTGAATACTTACCTACCTTACCTGGTTACGCAGACACCGACGCTCCTAACCTTCGCACAACTCCAAAACTTCTACCTGGCTACCGCCCTCTCGCTGGACTTACCATATTTCTTCTGGTCGCACCAGGACGTGATGGTCTTCTCCAACGAGACGGCCACCGCCACTTCCCCCTCCACCTCCTCAGCCACTTCCAGCAACAGGAGCAGCAGCAGCGGCAGCAGCAGCAGCCTTTATGCCAACGCCCTGCGCGCGCTGCGCTACCTGCTCTCGCCCGCCTCCCCACGCTGGGCGCACCACTTCTTCGCGTACGACCACCTGACGCTGGTGAACCGCGACGCGGTGCTGGCCGCGGGCGCGTGGGACACCCAGATCGCCTACTACGCGTCCGACTGCGACATGTACGTGCGGCTGATGCGCGCGGGCTACTGGCAGGGGGAGAGCGACGTGGGCATCATCCTGGACGTGGCGAGCGTCATGGCCGACGTCGGGGCGCTGCTGCGCATTCCGGGGATCGTGGCCCGGCTGGCCGGGGATGATATCGATGATGGTGGTGGTGACAATGATGGTGATGGTGGTGATTACGATGATCTTTTTCTTCTTCGTGGTGGTGGTGGTGAAGAGAAGAAGAAGAAGATGATGATGATCAAGATGATCAACGAGCGTGGTGAGTCGTGGGAGAGGTTGCTAGAGTTGGGGTACCGCATGGAGAGGATGAAGTATTACAGCGGGAACGGCGACCGGAATACCTGGCAGGCGCGCCAGCGTGGCGGACAGGGGGAGCCGTTCTATCGGGATCCCGACGGGTTTGAGCAGGGCGTCAGGATGTGGATTGATACAGGCCGGAGCGTGTTTGCCGAGAAATGGGGCCATCGCGGGTGTGACATTGCGAGGGCCGGGGTCAGGCCCGAGGATGCGTGGCAGCTGGAGAGGGATTGGGATATAGAGACGGAGGGAATGGGGCATCAGGGTGGTTCGTGGTAGCAGGGGGTTGTACTGTGCGTATCTTACCAAGTACAAAGTAGTAGTTGAATCGTGCTGATTGTAGAACTCAGCTCATGTCATCCCAATCTAATAATGTTGGATGAGTACAAGATTAAGGAACACCGGCTGCTGTGGAACATTACTAGTATGACTACTACTAGTAGTCAACCTAGTAGACTGTACCAAGCAGGATTGTGTCTGCGCAAATGCGCAAACCTCGAGATGCTGCAGGGGCCTCTCCGAGCCTGGTCTCCTGCATGCAGCGAGTAATTGCTGTGATGCTCCGCTGCGCAAGCACGACACAGTCACAATGTTGCAGGCTTGGAGATGTCACGCATGGGAGCTTGCATATGCCGCTGAAAGCTTGACCAGTAGGACATCGCACTACACCGTTTCGCATGGTTGGCTCAGGCTGAAGTAGGCGCATCAATCCTCCACGACATGCATGGTCGGTCGGCAGTGTTTCGGAGTGAGATCGGGTGGTCTGGTCCTCCGGAAGCAGGACTGGGGAGCGAGACACAACGTACTGACCTTCATTGCCATCTGTTCAGGGAGGGGATGTTAGAATAAGTATGAGAACTCGAGATTGCTTCATTAAGGAGACGCAGACTCGTTGGAAGAGGATGTCAATCTGGAGTTGCATAACACAAACATAGTGTTGACCAAGATATGTGGAAAAAGGTGCAAAAGTTTCGTATCTCGTGTCGATGAGCTGGGATGAAAGCCTTACTAGTAACACATGTGCTTGTTGAAACTGGCAAAAGACAACGGCCCATACAATCCGACAAAGAGAAGTCTGCCGTCGCAAATCGTCCCGGTCCTAAGGCTGCAACCCCGATAACAAATGACTTGCCAGTTGTGCCCAGAAAGCCGAAAGAAATGTCTTCAACCCCAAATCAACGTACATAGCAAAATCTCCCGACCAACGCATCAGACAGAGCCATCGTAATGAGGGACGTAACCCGGACCGCCCATGCCATAAAGCCCGTGACCGCCATTCGACGACTGCGTGTAGTAGGCCGAATCCATGCTGTAGGTGTCGCACCCGATGACTTCCGCAGTGGCAAACAGGTCATCCACATCGAAACGCAGGCTGTTGCACAGCTCGCTGGCGATGGGATCGTCCTTCATGCTCTCCAGCATATCGGTGACCTTGGACAGCTCAGGCATCGGGCTCGCTGGCGGGCTCGGCTCGGCGGCTGCCACCCCGCCTTGGGAGAGGGAAGCGCTACTGGACAGCAGCGTGGACGACTGCTCCTCCTGGAAGTGGAACGTGCGGAGTAGCCTGGCCTCGACTTCGCGGGCGATCTCGGCCGTCTTCTGGTTGACCTTCCCCTGGACCTCCTGGATGAGCTCGGTGGCATATTGCTCAATGACGGGTCTGACGTATTTGGGGATCTCGGTGCGCAGGAACTCCCTCGCCTCGTCTACGTTCTTGAACCGGCTCTTCTCACCATCGGGGCACGAGTCTGTTCTCGAGTCGTAGTCTATTTACATGTAGTATTAGCACCGCATTTTGTTCAATATTTCGCTAGGCCGGAGGGAATAACATACACGGCGACGGGACCTTCTGGCCCGGGAAGATGACGTGGTACATCTCTTCCCACTTGCTGACCTCGGTGCAGTTCGACTTGGCACGGGTGCGTAGCAGTTTCTCCTGCTCCTCGGTAACGGCGTCTGGGCACCGGTCCCTCACCTTGCAAGGAACATCAGCGCGCTGATGGCTCTTGAGAGACTCGGGTTTATCGAAGTGCTCAAAGCACCGAGGACAGAAGTTCTTCAGCGAGTGGCGCCGATAGATATGCTCCCTGTCACGGTGGTCAGTCAAACCAGAGTCTAGGCCAAGACGTACAGAAAAAAGAGAAGATAAAAAAGATAAAGAAAAAAGAAAAAGACTACACTGACTTGACGCGATGAACATCCTCCCACCCCGGCCCACAGCACGTCTTAATATTCCTATACTTGACCGGATCATGCTTGCAAAATGGACAAGCAAATTTCCTACCGTTCCCCTCCCTGATAGCCCGCTTCTTCTTCGCCCGTGCTGCAACCCCCGTCCCCGTCCCGGTCCCCGTCGCAGCGTCCCTCACCGCCGCCGCATTCCCTTCCTCACGAGCGTCGTCGTCGCCGTCATCACAATCTCTCGCCCTCTTCGCCCGGCGCCGGGCGGCAACCCCCGCCGCCTGGGCGAGGTCTTCCGCCGGCGCAGAGACTGGGTTATCAAGACATCGATCCAGAGACCGCTGAAACAAAGCCATAGATCTCTCGACGATCTCCTTCTTCTTGCGGCTTAAGAAGCTTTCACTGGGCGGTGTGCCTTCTAAGCCGCAGGATGCCATGGACCGACCGGACGGAAGCGCAATCACCGGAAGGTAAGCGAAATCCCGAAACGTGGTTTGCTGTCAGTCAGCGCCTGGATCTCGAGACATGAGATTCAGGGGGTGAGAGACAGATGGATGTGTGTTTGTTCGGCTTTGTTTTGCACAAGGAGAAGGGGGGTTTGGATGGGCTCGGTTTGGCACGTTAGCTTGTCCGCCCGGCCTCTGTGTTGGCGCAATGCTGAGAAAAGAGGAGAGTGCAACCTCCTGCGGGGAAGGACACTGCGGCTGTTAAGATAGAGCGGAGGTAGAGCTTTCCGTCAGAGAAAGAAGAATGGCCGACAAAGTTGTAAGAACAATGGTCCTAGCGAGCGGTACGACTTGAGAAAGACAGAGAGCAAACAAGCCCGGAGCCTGAGACGAACTTGCGGCTCAAACAAGGTGCTATATACCCAGCCATCCTGGTTTGCGCAAATGCGAAGACCAGAGCTCGGGGCGGACAGCTCGGGATTGCCCATGAGGCACCCATCCTCAAGGACCCGAGTGACCACAGCCACCTCTCCAATGAGCTGTTCCCCACGCCGAGATTGCATGCGTCCACACGGATAAGCACTTGCGGCCTATCAGGCATTGGCCAGTCGTACCGATGACTCGCAGGACACGCCCCAAGAAGGAAAAGCATGGGAGCCCTGCCTTAGCCATCTGCAGTCAGGGTGGCATTGCGCGAACAGCTTCCCCGAGAGGCGAATGCTCAAATGCGGGAACTTCACTAGTTACTCGGCGTAGTAGGTCCCACAGTTAAGGCTGAGCGGGGAAGAGGAGGAGGAGAGGATCCAGTCCAGCGCGGCAGGCAGGGATGGCGGTATGTCGGGCAGAGTGGTGATTCGTATGAAACGGTAGTTGCATGGCGTGGGAACGTTGTCAGCAATGAGGATTGCCGGGCACGGAGTGGGAACTGCAGAGTGACAAAGGCCAGAGCATCGGCAAATTCCATGTTCAAGACAACCAGCCTTGCGTATGTCAGTTGACGCGGAAGCGACGCCACACAGACGGTCGACCTGGATCACAACGTAGCCTGACCGAAAATGACGTGTCGAAACGGCTCAGTCGCGAAGTCTCTGACCTTCGGAGTTCAAAAGTTGCCAACGCCCGAATCGGAGTTGCTGGAAGGGCAGCCCCAACGTCTCCAGGGAGGATAACGAACAGGCTAGGCATCAACGCGATGCCGGAATTCAGCATTTCGGTCTCATCCTATGCTCAAAGGCGGAATTCGAGGAGACGCGTCGCTCAAGCCCGTTCCATTCCATGGCTTGTTGGGGATATAAGCTGCGGTGAGAACCGTGCTCGAGGATGGTAAACAACACCGCGAACGACCAGTCAACTCCCACTGACTTCTGGACCCTCGAAGAATAATAGCGGATCGAATTCCTATCTTGACCTTAGACAAGGTCACACGATGTCCCAAAGCACACAAACCGGTCTTCGTCTCTCAGGGGAGAAGTGAGTGGAAGAAAACCAGGAAAGCAATGGAGATACTAGTACTGACCATCATCAGCGAATCGTCGGAAACCTCGACGTACTCACTGGAGAGGTATCTCGCGAGCGATGGAGGCTTGACGGAGCGATTGCTGAAAGGGTTAAATGTCGGCGAGATTGTGGGTCGAGCCCGGGCGGTGAGGGAGGAGGTGGGCAACATCGCCGACAAGATTCCGGAGTCCCAGGGGGCGTCTTCCCGAGAATCTAGCTGACGGATGTCTCCGATGGGCTACTTAGTCGGGTGTACGTGTCTCATCACTGGGGCAAGTACTGCGTAGCTCAGTAATTCAACGTTGAGGGGGCGCAATGGGAACATCCCCCTGGGCATAAGCGGATATGGGACCGAATGCCTACGGTGGTGTGGTCAGTCACAATATAGAAATTCACCACCAAGAGAGCTTACAGCAGAATCAAGATCCAGCCAATCGGTCGTCTTCCACTTGTCCCAGAGTCGTGAGAAGGTTGGGATGGCTGGTTGCGAAGCCGCTTTGCTGCTGCTACTGTCGGCGTTGGGAGATATCGTGGTTTCTTCGGCGAGCTCCGCCTCCCAATGAGCGCGAAGTGCGTCTTCCAGCGGCTGCTCGTCGGTAGGCTTGAGGTCATCACTACGGCTCTCAGGGTCTTGTTCCGCTTCCTGATAGCTGTCCTTGGTGAGCTGTCGGTCAACCTCGGCGCGAAGGTCCTCGAGGATGACGGCCCAGAGCCGTGCCGGCGAATACTGGTTGGTTTCTTTGGCGAGCGCCTTGAGAGCTTCTTCGGCTAATTCGAGCAGATCGTCATCCGCCTCTTCCGTCTCTTCGTCACACGGGCCGCCAGAATTCCCCTGCCGCGCTCGGATATAGGGGATGAGGAAGATCACGGCGATGGCGCAGTACATGACGTAGTGAGCAAACATCAGTGTGTGGAAATGACTCTCCTCTCCATCTGCTTGCTTCCGCGCGAGGTTGATGGTCACGTCCAGAGCGGCACGTGCAGCTTCGATGCATGTCCGGACAGCAGAGTCGACTCTTTGTTTCTGTTGAAGGTCCGCTGCAGGGTATGGAGCAGTCATGAACGGCCGGTAGACCAGGATTTGCGCATGCCAGTGGGCCAATTGCAGCGTGTCGCGCTGACGGCGCCACGTAATATGGAGTCGGGAGGGGTCCATGCTGGACATGAGATAGGGGAGCTGGGCTTTCCAATCCTCAAGAGCCTTGCCGAGTCGCCAGGCGTGTTCGAGCCTCTCGTGCTCGGATGTGTCGTCGAGCGTGTAGACCTCCCGCAGCACCTTCTCGACGATCGTGCCCAACCTAGGTACCTTGGTCAGCCTGCAAACGTCTCTCCTGTCTCCGTGCGGACTGCTTACTTCGCTTGCTCGACCAGTGCTTCCACGTAGCAGTCACCCTTGTGTGGTCTGAAGGGGCCAGCGCGGCCCATGTCCTCATCGTTAACGCAGTCTGGGTAATCCTGGTCAATGACATCAAGATTTAGGTAAGCGGGCCTCCCCGATATCATGGCGATCTGCTTGTCGAGAATGTAGGCCGACCACATGGTCCGTCTTTCGCACTGGACCTTTGCATACTCGGGCCGGGTGACGATTTCAGGGCCGAGCCCTCGGTTTCTGCCTCGCCGCCGGTGGAACCCAAGCACGGTGAGCATGTGGATAGCGTTGCCAAAGACGTACCAGGCCTGGCTCAGCCGACATGTGCATAGGAGATAGAGGGCTTGGAGGAGACGGGCTTGTACAGACTCTAACCTGGGCGGGCCAGGTTCCAAGTCGGTCAGATGGAGAGCCATGGCGAAAAGCTGGTCGGCGTTGTTAACGGTCCATAGCCAACTGAGAGGCAAATCGCCCTTCTGGGGTTGCCCGGGCGCATGGTCAAAGAGAGATCCAAGAGCCGCGGTCATCAGCGCCACGGTGGCTTTAGCATGGCCGATTCCGTGCTCTAGCGGGAGCCGAGCAGACCAGTTTCGGTGTACAGTCTCTAGCCATGACCTGGCGGTGAGTCGATGGATGAAGTGGAAAGTCTCGGTCCAGCCCGTGGCGAATTTCTCCTGCAGCAGAAACCATGGTTCCGGGTAAAGAGGAACTACCGGGGTTTGTGATGAGTTCAGGGGCAAATCCCCCGAGACGAGTACAAGCTGCTTAGCGGCTCGCCGGCCCCGTGGGGGTTGGCCGGGCCGTCCCAGGCCCTGTGCAGTTGCGATCCTATGCCAGGCTTTGTGGAGAAACACGAGAGGCGGTGTTTCCACATCAGCATACTTGGTGGGAAACTGAAGAGGTTCGATAGCCTGAGCAGTGTGGTCGGTGGCGGGATCAGCCAATGTCTGGGAGCCTCCCACAATTGAGGATCTCCGAGCCTCATTCCTATACCATAGTTAGGTGACGGGATCAGACAGGAAAAGAGTGGGCGCATTAACCGCTTAAAGGTGCACTCAAGCCTCTGCTTGAAGCAAGCATCACAGGGAAATTTGCCAGGACAGGGGAGCGAATGCGTCCAACAGATGTCACAGGAGCGGGTAGGCGAATCCGCTTCATGGTTCACATCGTCCTTCTCCTTGAGGCGGGTTGTCGCACTCCGGGTCTGCACAGAAGTCCTTTGAACCTTGTAATTCCTTCCTGCCTCCTGAAGACTAGAGGTATCGAGTGCAGGGCGTTTTGCAGTGCTTGTGCCGCTGGCTGAATTGTCTGGAGAGGGCTGGGTTGAAGCAGCAGTATCAGGAGGCGGAGCAGGGGAATTACGAGTATCGGGGAGAGTGGTGCGAGACGAGTTCCCGGCGGACAATTGTGGCGGGTATGCTGCTGCTGGTGCTCTTGGTTCGGACACTGCAACCGTGTTTAGCACCGCGTTTGGCACTGCGTTTGGCAGCGATGCGAACTGCTGCGGTGTGCTTTGGGACATGGCTCTCTGCAAAACAGTCTGCAGCTCTGCCACGTCGTGTTGCCTGCTGCCGCCAATTGTCAATTCCCGGCACGTTTCTGTTGCGACGCGTCAGTGATTGACGACATCCAACGCGGACCATGATTGGGGCCATTCGCGAGATTTCCATGTGATCGGGTGGACCCCTTCGACGGTCACGCGTCAATCACGTGAATACCGTACTTACACCGTGTGCACTCTGCACTTTACAGCTCCGTGGACGGAGAAAGGACAGCCATGATACGGAGTAATTGAAGGCCAATCAATTATACGGTCAAAAAGGGTGATTGATATCGATGTAATCTGGCCAACCGAACGGGTCCTGATAGCTCTGCTTGACCAACGCGATGAAAGGATGTTGTTTTGGGAATGGTTTCTTCTGGCGAGTCCAGCAGACAACCTCTGATTTATCGTCCCACAGTAGGGTAGCTCCTTCCACCACCACGGTGGGACGGCCCCGGACGGGAACCAAAAGAGAAACTTGGCGTCGACCTAACAATCAGTGTTGGATTGGAGTTCTGAAGATTCCATGAAAAGCGTAGTAGGCGGTAGATAGCCCGATCTTACAATCGGGTCCCGGTACTTACTAGGCACCTACCTATCTTAGGTATTGAAAGATAGACGTCGATTTTATCCATCGCGCGGCAGAGGCATGGAGGGAAGATTACGGCAGGCTCCTATAGACATCTCACACCAAAGACACGTCTATGGTGAGATGGAAAATCCCGCGCAAGCGCTATCACTCACCTCAGTCTTCGTTTTCGATGCTGACTCGCGCCCATTGTCCTTCTAAGTCTAGAGTCTAGCTCAGCACCATTGATTTCGTTGGCGTGCTTGTGTTTGCTTGCGTTGGTATGTAATTAGAGATTTCGGAGTGACTTTCAGGGCATCCTTTTCGTGTTGATGCAAGATTCCCAAGGTCATGGATTTAACACCGCATCCGGACCGTGAGCAACCTTTTGAAGTCGAACTGATATTTTGCAGGCGGCCTACTCACATGTCAAGTTGTTGAGAAAGGCAGATCTCATCAATCCTTATGAACAAGTGAGCGAAGTGATAACAAGAGTTGACAACTGGAACTTGGAAAACGGTTTCCAACTCAGGAGAGTTTTGAATTGGAGGATTCTCTTTTGAATTGAAGGATCGTTATAGAAGCTTTGTCTAGGTTACAGAAGCTTTGTCTAGGTTACAGAAGCTTTGTCTAGCTTTTTTCTCGCGGTTCTGCTGCGGATCTGATATCAACGCCTGAGACGACCAGCGAATCATGTAAACTTCTCCCTGTCACCGTTGCCCTGTTACCCTACCTATCTTAGTCCCTCGAGCCCGGGCCCGGACGCCTCGATCCACCACTGAGGTCTCTCTACCACACCGAGCCACCTAGTAAACAGATAATAGTGTCAGTTGAAGAATTCAGGGGTGTATAATCGGGCAAGGAAGGAAGCAGGGGGGCTTTGGCCTGTTCTCTGTCTGGGTAGTTATACGGCCCAGGTGGCCAACCTAGTTCGACAGAGGACTTACAACGCAACTAGCACAGTGCTGCCCGCCAATGCTGGACCGTCCAGTGCAGCCTGGAACGTCCTTGCAACCCAAGCCTCTTACGCAGCCGCAGGTATGATCAGAGCCTATGGGGGATCCCAACGTGTTGTCGTCGTTGCCGGAGACACCGTAAGTGGTGCTCGGGCTAGGAGGGGAGCTCCACCGCACGTACGACAGCTGGTTGGGCAAGAGGTAGCTCGGAGTGCCGGAGGACCCCGTGCTAGGCATGGAAAGGGTATTGCTGCTTGTCAATGCCGTTGCCAAGCAACCAGATGCCTGGAGGTAAGGTGGGAGAATGTGAGTCTCGGTCCCCAGGGGAATCTGAGGAGGCGTGGGGAAACTCACGCTACACACATCGTAGTACAGCTCGGCGGAGGAGCCACGGCAAGTTGACATGCAGAAGCGTCGGGCTTTGCATGCCACGTCCTTCGTGCAGGGACACAAGAGGGTAGGGAGCGTCACGGGAAACGGATCCGCGGTTGCGTGGATTGTAAACGAGGAGAGGGCAGCAGTGCGAGCAGGGGAAGACTCGGACCGGTACCAGACCGGATATGCGCATTTAAGCATTTGACCGTTGCAGCGGTCGCATCCGTCGATGTCCCTACTACACCACGCCCGCGCACTCTCTGCAAGTTCATCAGTCACGACACCTTATTAGTGTCAAGTGAGAATTTCGTTGCCTACGGCACTCAACGCAGTAAGGGCCGGGTTTGCCATGTGTGCCATTCTTGGGTGCGGTGTCGCCCTCTTTACTGCGCCGACGTGCAAGATAGGGGGGAAGGTGAATCGTGTTGGTTGTGTTAGGAGTATGGAGATCACAATGCGAGAGGCGGATTGGGTGGCAGTATATGTCTAAGAGGTGCGGAGTGTGCTGCTGTGAGGAGGCGGGTCCGTTATCTACTAGCTTCCGTTCTCGAACACGGCGGTTCTATGTTGGCTAACTGCCAACTGCCAACTGATCAACTTTTCATGGAGCCCGGGTGGGACGCATGGCTTACGTTTACAATTCTTCGATATCTGCTAGGCTTGAAGGCTGAAGCACCCCTGCAGCATGTGCTATAGTAAGCTGAGCTAGATGTTCTCAAAATTCTCTCTGAAAGCTTTTGCAAGATACCACTCAGGATTGCTGTTGCCGATTCATCGGCTCATGGTCAATTCTAGATGGATAGGTGCTGACGTCAAGGGATCGAGATCGGGGCTTATAGTATGCACAATACCTCTAGCTTACTAGGTGTCAGTGGCTGGGGGTCTCGAATGAATTAGCGTAGATTCTAATCATGGGTTATTAGTTATCATCATCGCTAGGGCAAACCGAGAATGACCAAGTGCCCAATTTGGAGCCATAGAGCAAGGTAGGTTGTCCTGTTGTTAACTTCTCCAGAGGCACGAGCTCGGGTCAGTCACTGTCAGTGCCCATTGCGTAGTATCTACCTAAGCAAATCCAATGGGATATTGACTGTTGGTATTACTGGTTGTGTCACACCGAGTACCCGTTCAAGCTTTTTTTTGGTGTGATGCCAGGATGGGCATGGCGACGTCGTTTGACTGGAGGTCTCAAGAACAGGCGCAGGAGATTTTTCACTTGTTCGTAATTTGGATCATCCACGGACTTGAACTTGGCCACAGTATGAAACAAGGATGCTGTTTGGGCACAGCTGATGTTCGTCTAATTACGTCGTGAAGTTAGTCATTTTGCTGGGTGGTACGCTCTCTGAGGCCACTGCGTATTCTTGTTATAACCGAAGACATGTAACTATGTATTACGTCATATCACACTGCATCCACGCAAGTAAGGCTCTGTACAATACCGTCGCGTACTTTACATCCCTCACGGCTTCCCCGCCACCCGCCTCTCTCTCAACTTCGCGTTTAAGGGGTTGTGGATCCTTCCTATATTGTGGTCGCTCAATTACCGCCAGCTCGATGTACATTACTGTAGTGTGGTGAATAGCGCCGCATCTACGGTAGACAATAACTACAAGTTCCCTACAAGTGACAGCGCTGGCGACGTGTAACGGACATCCGTTCCCCCTACAGCCCTCCTGACCCGACCTCGCTCAACACCATGGCTCCAAGCAAGATCCGATTGGGCACGGCGTCCCCGGGGACGCAGGCTACGACGGCGGAGACACTGGCCCAATTGGAGCTCCTCGCCTTGCGGGCCGCAGGGATGAAGATCGACATCCTCCTGCTCCCGGAAGCTTACATCGGCGGATATCCCCGGGGAACTCACTTCGGCTCGGTCATAGGTTCTAGATCTCAAGAAGGTCGTGAGGAGTACCTTAGCTACTTTCAAAGCGCCGTAGATCTCGGCGACACAGTAGGTGACGGCGCTGGCGCGGGGCAGGCGTGGGTGAATAGGGAGCTACCGAGCGATGTAATCACCGGATCCGGCGGAGGGGAGCCGGCCCCCAACCGGCGCGGTGACGGCACCCGGGAGGAATTGGAGCGCATCGCCCGCGAGACAGGCATATTCATCGTCACAGGCCTAATCGAGAGGGCCGGCGGCAGCTTGTACTGCTCGGCCGTGTATGTGTGTCCCAAGCTCGGGATGATTGGCAAGCGGAGGAAGGTCATGCCTGTAAGCCGGTCCTTCCCATAATCCATTACCGAAATGCCATCGGCTGACATGATCATTTTCAAGACCGGAACAGAACGGCTAGTATGGGCCCAAGGATCGCCCGCCACGCTCCGCGCAGTCAGCACCACCATCCGCGGCGTGCGCATCAACCTCGCAGCAGCCATCTGCTGGGAGAACTACATGCCCCTGGTCCGGCAGGCTCTCTACGCGCAAAACATCAACCTCTACCTCGCCCCCACCGCGGACGGCCGTGATGCCTGGCTTCCCCTCCTCCGGACAGCCGCCATCGAAGGCCGCTGCTTCGTAATCAGCTCCAACATGTGCGTGCGCAAAAGCCCAACGGCACCCACCCCGGCAGCACCCACAGCCTCCAACACAAACGGCCACCCCACCACCACCTCCTCTTCTGCTGTCCACGACGAAGCCGACGACAAGACAGACGGCGCAGACGAACCCGACCCCTCCCCGCTCTCGCGCAGCACCAGCAGGCCCGGAAGCACGACCCACCGCCGGCGCAACTCCTGCCTCACAGAAGAAGGCTTCGAGATCGCCCTGCCTTGCTCTCCAACAACAACAACAACAGCCCACAGGGAAGCCAGACCACGCCGACAATCCATCTTCGACGAAGACGGCAACGAGATCGTGCTGTGCGCCAGCACCAGTAGTAACAAGCGACCGGCGTCCAAATCCAAGGAGCCCACTACTACTCGGCCCACCACCACCACCATCAACACCACTACTACCATTGCGTCCGGCAGCACAGCAACGGCAACGGCAACAACAGCAGCAGCGGCGGCCGCGGAAGCCGCTGGGCGCAAATCATCATCATCATCATCATCCGAGTCGTTCAGCTCACGGGGTGGGTCAGCCATCGTGTCGCCGTTCGGCGACGTGCTCGCGGGGCCGCAGTGGGAAGACGACGCCGGGATTATCTACGCCGACGTGGACTTTGACGACTGCATCCGCGGCCGGCTGGATCTGGACACGGCGGGGAGCTACTCGCGGAATGACTCGTTCAAGTTGGAGGTGCGGGGGTTGGATTTGACGCCGTTGCCTTACTGACTGGCATTTTTTCTTTTGTCATAATGAGGAAAGGGAGGAGGGACAGGTATATTGGTTGGATGGTAGTCATTGCATCATAATATATTACGCCGCATCTGGGTTGTCACGGCTGGTGTTTAGCACGGTCTGAGTGGGAAGGGTGGTGGTGGACTGAGTTGAAGAAGGATAAGTATCACCTCTATTCCATCGTCGCCCACGTTGGTCCTAGCAGTAACCAAACAAAAAGAACACCGCAGTTTCTAAGTCGATGCTTGCGCGTCCCAAATCGTTGCTCTTGTCTTTGAACTCTTTCATGACCGGTCATCAAGGAGACCTTCCCGTTCCTATGCCTTCAAGAAACCTGTTTAAAACCCACATGACCCGCCCGACAACGCCTTGGAAAGGAACCCGGAAAACATACCCTAACGTATCAAAGCCATAGAAAGACCCGCAAGCCAATGAACCGACCCATATCCATTCATTACCCAGCCCCAAAACTAAGGTAATCAGCCTTTGCATCAAAAACCAGACCTTCTCCCCCCTGTTTACTGCTTCTCCTCCTCAAACCCATTCTCCAGAATCTCCCCCTCCCCAGGCACCTCCCGCGGACTCGCCAAGGGGCTCGTCCCCGCCGGCACGGTTCCCAACCCCCCACCGCTGATGCTTCCGCTCACGCTATCCGCGCGACCGTGGCCCAACAGCCCACTCCGCACACTGGCCGCGTCGCCGGCAAGGGCTTTTGCATAGATGCTGTTCCGCTCGCTCGCGGCGGCAAGGATCCCCGTGGCCGAGTAGATGCTGGTGCGCTCGTTACCCATCCCCGCCAGCCCGGCCGCGCTGGGACCGCGGTGGAGGCCGGGCGTCGTGGGCGGCCCGCCGGCCGTTCCGTCCATGGTGGCGGAGAGCACGCTGAGGGGCAGAGACTCGCGGCTGCCGCCCCAGAGGGACGAGGGCGCCAGAGCACGGACAGACGCGTCCGTGTCGAGCGAGCGGCGTCGTCGGCGCTGGGAGGAGGACGCGAGCGTCAGGATGGAGGCGTTGTCTGTGAGCAGGTTGTTGGCCGTTGCGGTGGCGTAGGTTGTCGGGTGCACCGTCGTGGAAGTTGCCAGGTGGGGCGGGATGGCGGACGCCGGGGTTGTGGTGGGGAAGGGCTGGTTGAAGTGGATGACCTGCGAAGTGGAGGGGTGGGAGTGGTGATGCGTCGTTGTCGGGGTTTGGTTGCTGCCGCCGTTGTTTGGGGCGATTGTTTGTGTTGTGAGCGTTGTCGTAAGTGATCGGACGGATGGCGCGGGCGAGGAGAAGGTGCTGTCGCCGCCTCTTCGCGCGGTTGCGGTGCGGCTCGTGTCGGCGAGCGACGACTCCCCGTGCGAAGGGGCAATCATGGAACGCCATGTGTCGTGCTCGGTCGACACCGTCGGCGCGATTGAGCGGCCGCCGGTTGTGGGGGGCGGCTGTTCGTCGCTAGATATTCTCGCTGAGTCGATCCGTTCAGGAGACCCGTCGCTCGCCAACCTCTGGCTTTCACCGGAAGACCCTGAGTGGCGGCTCGGCCGCGGTGAGGGGCTAGCACTGATGCGGCCTGCCTGGGAATACGGGTTATTTTGCCGCTTTTTCGCGCTGCTTCGCTTCGATCCGGAGTACCGGCCTCCATCTCCAGATGAAGCAGCCTTCAGGTTCGCAAGTTTCCTCATCAACGCGGAAAACGGCCGCCTGCGGCCCGGCCGTCCTGGCCGGTCTGCCATGGTGTCAGCTACATCGGTCTGCTCGTCGTCAGGCGCTTGGCCTGGGCGGCGTTGGAAGATTGCCGGTAGACCCGGCATCGCCGTGTGAATGTTGGTGCAGCGGAGAGAAAGTGGTCTGGTGGAAACCTCCGGGAAGTGGAGGCATTATGAGGGGCGAGAGCTACTACGCACCATGTGGTTGAGGTGCAGCCTCGGTCATGGCCTGTTGGAGAAGTGCGTGTGAACCTCGGCGAACGTCAATCAGAACTCCCGTCGGAGTGGCGACACTTGAAGGAAAGTGCGCTGTGCTTTGCGCGATCGGATGGTTCAGGAACTCCCGAGGACAAAGATCGATTGAGTACCGGTTCGTTGTTGCCGGAAGGCTGACTTCCCTAGTTCCGACGAGGGCGACAGCTCTTGTCGTCGGGTGGTCAGCGAATTGAGGACTGGCCAACTGCTGTGGACGTCGGATATCGCGCAACGTAGGTGGAAGGCAGGACCTCGACTACAGAGGCACTGAAGTATGGATAGTTGGTCGTGACTTGTGCGAGCTGCACTCCAGGACAGCCAACGCCGCGCGTGTTGGCGATTGATGGGTCTAGAGCATTTGGGTAGCAGGGTTGTGTGACGCAGCTGGGGCAACCGAATTGGGCAGGGCCCGCCTCCCGCAGCAGTGTTGCTCCCCATTCTTGGCGCTTTCACGTGCTGAGGGCCTGAGGCGCGTGCGGATCCGTAGGTGGGTCTTGATTGACGTTTCCAATCTTCCACTGTATATGGAATAAGCCCACCGGTATAGCTGCAGCTTCTGAACTTCAACAGTTGCAGCTTCCAAGTTCTTACGGCCTAAATCGCACATGCATCGCAGTCATCTTGCTGTTCCCGTGTGGATTAACCCCAAGTTACTCAACATGCCGGTGTGGGAATGCTTCCCTAAAGCTTCTTAACAGCTTCGGATCACTTGCCAGTACGCCCGCGGGCGGGAAGTCCAAACATCGCGAGCGGTATGTCGAACTCGCAAGGAACATGTCGATGCAGCCGCTACCCGAGGACGTCGCTGCAAAGATCAAGTCCTCAGCCGTCATTACCTCCCTGAATGGTGCTGTATGCGGCCTTCTGCAGAATTCTTTGGATGCGGGTGCTTCTAAGATCAGCATCTCTGTTGACTATAGCCGTGGCAACTGTAGCGTGGAGGACAACGGCGTGGGTATTGCCCCAGCCGACTTCAGGGAGGACGGCGGTCTCGGCAGGCTGCACTGTGAGTGCCATATCGTCGCTGCGATAGTGGCCTGTCACTGACAAACCGTCCAGATACATCTAAATATCCACCACGGAGCGGCTGCCATGGCAAGCATGGAGAATTCCTGTCGTCCCTGGCTGCTCTCTCGTTGCTCTCCATCACATCTCACCACCGTGATTATCGAACACACAACTCCGTCACCATCCACAACTCCAGGGTCATCGCACGCAGCCTTCCTGCGCCGCCAGAGCAGCGAGTGTTGGCTTCCGCCAGCGGAACCCGTGTCGTTGTCCGGGATCTGTTCGGCTCCATGCCCGTCCGCGTCAAACAGCGGGCTGCTGAGGTGGAGCGAGCAGGAACGTCCAGGGATTTTGACCAGCTTATTTCCAATGTCGTAGCTCTTCTTCTTCCCTGGCCTGGGGACGCCACCGTCTCTGTTCTGGACTCATACGCTCGTCGGACGGTGTCCCTTCGAGCACCAGCTCTGGTGGGTTGGTCGGGAAGCTCGGCAAGGGCTACGCCCGACATCGTCTCCCGGACAACGACGCTCCTCACACAAGCTTCTTTGGTGGACAATGACGGCCTGAAATGCTGGGTACCGGTTGGAGCCACGGCTTCTGGCATTTCCGTGAGAGGGTGTGTATCTCTCCAGCCAGTTGCGACGAAGCATGTTCAGTTTATTGCGCTTGGGATCAAGCCGTTGCTGAATAATCATCGCTCAAACGTCTTGTATGAGGATGTCAACCGCATATTCGAAAAGTCTAGCTTTGGGGTGGTTGAAGATGCCGGTCTCGACGAGGAGGGTCTTCCCTCCAAGACAGAAGGGTTCACCGGCAGAGAACTCAAGCCCAAGAAGGGGATTGACCGGTGGCCGATGTTCTTTCTTCAGATTCTTCTTACTGCAGAGACGGAACCAATTGACGTCGACGAGGCTTTGGATGAAAACAGCCACAGCATAACCGTCATCGGCGACCTTCTTCAAGTTATGACGTACGAATTCCTGAAGAAATACCACTTTCGCCCAAGGCTTGTCAGCGCTGTTGAGAAGCTTAAACGGCCAAAAAATGAATCGCCTGTTATGCCGTCCAAGCAGCATGTCTCGTCGCCACGCCCGAGGGTTCAGATAGAGCCACATGCTAGGCGGTCTCACTCCAGGCAGGAACATCGGGTGCAAACCTCTCTGCCGCGTCCAAGGAGTGGTACTTCTGAACCCCGATCGGCCTCGCCCTTCGCATCCTGGTCAAGAGTCAAACCAAATGCGGCGAATAACTCAGAATCGAAACCTTCTAACCCGTTTCCCCAGTCATCTGGAAAACTAGAAGACGGGGACAAAGTTAGACGCGATCACCTTACAACTGTGTCAGAAGGGAACCAGAAGGCCAAGGATCCACTCTTCGGCAAGTCTGGTAGGCTCTTACGAAAACCGTTCGATGATGTGGATGAGATGACGACAGCCCGGTTAGCTGGTGTACCGGAGAGTCAGCCCAGCGACGGGGAGGGCGCCGAAAGTGGACAAAGAGAGATCGTCTGGTTCGACCCTGACACGAAAATAAAGTCTCTTATAGACCGACATACCGGGTTCGCTATCAAAACGCGGAGCGCTGTGGACAGTGTCCCTTCCCGGTCAATAGGCGGGACAGCGGTGGAGGAAATTTCACGGTCATGCGGGAGAACACCAACTCGGCGTGGCGAGCAGAATACCATCTTCCAGCCAACAGAACCGCACATTCCCCAAGCTCTGCAGGTCTCAGAACTGCTTGGCTGCGAGCACGGTAGCAGGGGTCGTGAGTCTCAAGACGTGGGACGTTCCATCACAGGGGTGAGCCTGTTGGCGACGCTTGAAGGCCGTGTCTCCAGGGTTGCTCTCCGAAGCGCAGAGATCGTGGCTCAAGTGGATCAGAAGTTCATTCTGGCCAAGGTACCAACACGGCCCCAGACGAACTCGGCGAACTCAGTTACCGAAGCGGAGCACACGCTTATCCTCATTGATCAGCATGCCGCCGACGAACGATGCAAAGTCGAGGATTTGCTCAAGGGCTACTTCATCTCAGGCACAGCCGACGATGGACGGTTCGTGGCGCAAACACAAAGCCTGGATAAGCCCATTCGTTTCGACCTCTCGAGGCGCGACGGAGAGCTCCTGGTTCGCTTCCAACAGCATCTCGAGCACTGGGGCCTTGTTTATGAAGCCTTCCAGGGCCAAGACTCGTTGCCTCACGGGCCGGTGACAGTGGAGATTCGAATGCTGCCGCCAAGCATACTGGAACGATGCCGTCTTGAGCCACGCCTGCTCATAGACCTACTGCGAAAAGAGATATGGAAGCTTTATGGCATGAGTGGTTGGCGCAGCGGAGGAAGAAGCTCGGTTATCACTGGCTCCGAGCACGATTGGGTCGCAAGATTTCATGAGTGTCCCGAAGGCATTCTGGACCTGATCCATTCTAGGGCCTGCAGGAGTACGTCTTTCGGGTCCAAGCAGGGAAGACTCTTTTATGCTAACAGTCTTTAGCTGCCATCATGTTCAATGACCCTCTCACGTTAGAGCAGTGCTCGGACCTCGTGCAGCGGCTGGCAGCGTGTGCGTTCCCCTTCCAGTGTGCCCATGGACGACCCTCGATGGTCCCGCTGGTGCATCTGAGCGGTACCAACACAATTGCGTCAAGCGGCATCGACTACCAGGAGGACGCACCGGGTGAGTTGTTAAGGGTTCTCAGGAGGTGGCAGAAGAATTGGGGGCAAAGCGGATGAGGCCTATTACTACTGATGCGATGGTGGCATTGTTATTCACGCCATCAAAACCACTGCTTGAAGTCCTAAGTGATAACCTGAGATAGAAAGTTAAAGCATAGCCTACTTGTCCGTTCATGGCTTTTCAATGTTCTGCAGACCACCTAGATGTCACGGGTTGGAGTCACATTCTGTACCCTAACCCTGTTGGTGAACAACCAACGCACAGGCCTTCTGCATGTGAGCTTCCTTGAGCTCCAACCAGCAAGGTTCCCGGGCGTCGCAACGCAACGCTGCTCCTTGTCCACTGTATTCAAGACACCCCTCCACAGCACAACAGCACCAGCAATCCTCCTTTCGCCGGACCCCAAGTCGCCGACGAAGATGCGACCATGGCGCTAACAGTTCGTCCTCCCCTCCGCTCCTCACTCCTCAAATCTAAAATAAGCACCACTAACTTGAACCCCTCCCTCCCTCCGCTTGCTTCGCTTCAGTGGAGGTCCTTCGACTTCTTTGACGCCTCCCAGATCAAGATCACCGACGACGACACCCGCGCCGTCTTTGAGGGCAACGACATCTCGGCCGTCTGCTCCGGCTCCGACAGCCTGTTTCTGGGCGGCTATGACGGCACCGTGCGCATTGTCGGCCCCGGCAGCTGGAAGATCGTGCGCAGCTTCCGCGCGTACGATGGCGGCGCGAGCATCACGCATATGCGACAGGTGGAGGGGACGAGCTTGCTCGTTACTGTTGCGGTATGTTTAATACGGTTCGGCGCGGCCTGGGTAGGAAGATTGATAATTGGGGATGGGGTTGCTGATTTGTGGGGTTTTGGGGGGAGGAATGCAGGAAGAGCCGAGCAGCGCAGAGAGCAATAACCAACCTATCTTGAAAGTCTGGGCGCTCGACAAGCCGGTTAAGAAGACGGGGATTCCGACGTGCGTGAGCACGGTGGCGATCAATAATGGGAAGAAGCCGTTCCCGGTGGGTTGCTCCATGTACTCTGCGGAGGATGGTGGACGCGGCTTGTGGCTGACAAGGAGACTGCAAAGATATCGGCGTTCTCGGCGACCGAGGACCTGTCGCAGGTTGCAGTGGGATTTGCCAACGGTGCTGTGACCGTCATTCGCGGCGACCTGATCCATGATCTCGGGACGAAACAGCGGATCATCTACGAGTCGGACGAACCGATCACGGGGGTGGAGCTGCATGTTGAGGCTAGCCTGACGACCCTGTTCATCGCGACAACGTCACGGATCCTAAAGCTGGTCATCTCGGGCAAGGGTCATGGTCACCCCCCGAAGACAGTTGAGGACACCGGATGTGGGGTTGGGTGCATGGCGGTGGACAAGAAGTCGGGGCAGATCGTGGTGGGCAGGGAAGATGCCGTCTACTACTATAACCTGGACGGGAGAGGTCCTCCCATTGCCTACGAAGCCCCGAAAAAACTGGTCGCCGTGTTTCAGGACTACATCGCCTTGGTATCCCCACCTACACCGGTCGGCGAGACTGACACGATGCGCCAGCGGTTCTGGGGGGGTGCGGCCGATAGCATCTACACCTTCACGTTGATACATCCTGACCTCCGGATCATTGCCCACAGCGAGACGGTGCTGTCCGACGTCAAGCATATCTTTCAGCTCTGGGGTGATCTCTATGTCCTGACTCAGGAGGGCAAGGTTTGTTGCGCCTGTCAGCCGCCTCCGATCCCGAAGCTAATTCTATCCAGGTCTTCCGCTACCACGAGAAGTCTCTCCAGCAGCGGCTAGAGATGATGTACCAGCGCAACCTCTACACGCTTGCGGCCGACCTCGCCCAGAAGTCCGGCATGGACGCGCAGCAGCAAAACGTCATCTACCGCAAGTACGGTGACTACCTCTACCAGAAGGGTGACTACGATGGGGCCATGACTCAGTACATCAAGGCCATCGACAGCACAGAACCTTCACAGGTGATCCGGAAGTTCCTGGACACGCAGAGGATACACAACCTAATCGAGTATCTGGAAGAGCTCCACGACCACCACAAGGCGACCTCTGACCACACCACGCTTCTTTTGAACTGCTATGCAAAGCTCAAGGATATTGGAAAACTGGAGAACTTCATCAAATCACCGGGTGACCTCAAATTTGATCTTGACACAGCGATTTCCATGTGCCGACAGGGCGGCTATTTTGAGCAAGCGGCGTACCTGGCCAAGAAACACGGGGAGCATGACCTTGTCGTGGATATCTTGATCGAGGACTCAAAGGCTTACGATGAAGCTCTCGACTATATCTGGCACTTGGATCCAGACACGGTAAGCTCAACTACGGGATCGTCATAGGACAGATGCTGACCGACCAGGCCTACTCTTGTCTCATGAAGTACGCTCGGGTCCTCATCGAGCATTGTCCGAAAGACGCAACCCAGCTATTCATCGACTATTACACTGGACGGTACAGTCCAAGGGTAGACCCACCGGCTCAGAAAGTCCAGCCTACTACAAACGGGGGGTTCGTTGTCGGGGCCGCAAATGCTGTTCAGAATCTCAGCAACTTACTGCCGTTGCCGTTATCAACACAGCAGCAAGCCGCTACTAAGGCAACCATTGACGACCTTACGGCTGAGAGCGAAACGGCTGCACCAGAGTACACACCACCACGGCCGCGAACGGCGTTCTCCTCCTTCATCGACCACCCGGACGAGTTTATCGTCTTCTTGGAGGCGTGTCTCAATGACGAGCACCGCTCCGAGGGAGACAAATCAGACATCTACACCACCCTTTTCGAAATGTACCTGCACAAATCCAACGAAAAGAGAGGGGACGACGAGCACCGTGAGGAATGGGAACAACGAGCGAAAGCCCTCATCAACAGCAAGAATCAAGGGACTGCCACCAGCAGCACCAAAACGCCCATCGAGAACTCCAACGTACTCCTCCTGTCACACCTTTCAGACTTCCGCGACGGCACCACCCTCGTCAAGGAACAGTCCGGCCTCCTCTTCGACATCTTCCGCTCCTACACCTCGGCAAAGGACACGCGCGGCGCCATCAAAGCCCTGCGCAAATACGGGCCGGAAGAGCCGCAGCTCTACCCGGCCGCGCTGGCCTACCTGACCTCTGACGCGCGCATCCTCGAGGAGGCCGGCAAAGACGAGCTCGCCGCGATCCTCGAGCGCATCGACCGCGACGGGCTCATGGCGCCGCTCCAGGTGGTACAGACGCTGAGCAAGAACGCCGTCGCCAGCATGGGCATGCTCAAGCCCTACCTCGCCAATCGCATCGAGCGCGAGCGCAAGGAGATCGCCGAGAACAAGCGGCTCGCGGCCCAGTTCCGGTCCGAGACCGAGACCCGCCGGGCCGAGATCGCGGACCTGGGCAGCAAGCCGGCCGTCTTCCAGGCGACGCGGTGTGCGCAGTGCATGGGCTTGCTGGAGCTGCCGGCCGTGCATTTCTTGTGTAAGCATAGCTTCCATCAGAGGTGTCTGAGGAGTGGTGGCAGCGGTGCTGTGGAAGGGGAGGAGTGCCCGATATGTGCAAGGGATAATGCCACTATCCGGGCGCTCAAGAAGAGTCAGGAGGAGAACGCGGAGCGGCACGAGTTGTTTAAGGATGATCTGGACAGGAGCGAGGACCGGTTCAGGACGATTTCGGAGTGGTTTGGCAGAGGGGTCATGAGCGTGCCGAGCGTGGAGTGAGGTATGTTGAAGTTCATATGTTCAATGATGATACATGGTGTTATTACACGGGTTATTTATATCAAACCATCTGGTCACAACAGCTGGCTGGTTGTAGCTCAGTCAGTATTCTTGCTGAGATATCGACCGACTTCGGTCTGAGCGAGCATCTCTACAGTCGCGTCGGCCACTGAAAGATCGCCCTTTATGCCAGGCGTTTGCAACCCGAATGCGTCGTTCAGCCACTCGCCTAGGTCGTTGACGTCGACGATACGTGAGCTGGCTTGCTGGAGGGTTGTCCGCCAGTCTTTGATGTGATGAATCCGCTGGTTCACCAGGGCCTTGCTAAGGATCTCGTCCGGGCTCCCGCCGGCGTCGGGATTTCGGTATCGTAGTCCAGAGAGCTTGGCAGATTGGATGACCCCGTGGCGTACGGTGAAGTGGGCTCGGAACTAAACCAACGTTAGGAGTTTGGGGGTCTGTAAGGGGCAAGCACTTACCTTGTGTGACATCAAACGCCACTTGGATGGGCGTTCCCGGGGGTCGTCTTCCGTGGGATGCGTCGAGAAGGTAAACTGCGGCGTCTGGCCATAGATCCACTCGGGGGAGGTCAGCTCCCTCAGGCCCTTGACAACATCTTCCATCGCCAACGCCTCCTCCTCCCCGACAACCACCCCGCCACCCGTGCTCTCTCCTCCATACATGCGCTGGAACTCCCCAACAACAGCGTCAGCAAACTCTTCCCCCCCGACACCCACGTTCCCGATAGGACTCCGCACGCTCTCCACCCCGCGCGCCTTGATGAGGTCTTCGGCAGGCGAGTGCAACAATTCCGAAATGTGCCCCAGATTCTTCGACCGCAGCAGACACGTGCCGTGGTGCAGCGACCGCGTCCGGGTAAGCTTATACGCCGAGCCCGAGACCTTGACCGCCCGCCTCCCTACGTAAGGGACATCCAGGTCCCGGACGATGTCGTGCCGTTCGTTCACCCGCACATCGGCCACGCCCAGCCGCCGCAGCGCGCGCACCACCATCTCGGCGTGCCGGTCCCGGTCGAAGACCGCCGGCGGGCAGATCACCGACCAGTTGGTGTTGCCCGCGTCGTGGAAGACGGTGCCGCCTCCCGAGCGGCGGCGCACGAGGGAGACGGGTATGGTTTTGACGTTGGCATGGGGTCGGCCATAGAAGTCTTCTTCGGCGTAAGGTGATGAGGAAGTGGGGAGCCCTACGCGTAGGCGGCGCATGTTGACCTCCACCCAGGGGTTCTGGTTGCGGCCGATGACGACGCTGGGGCGGTTGGTGTAGAGGAAGAGAATGGTCGAGTCCGGATGGGAGCGCTGCAGGAGGTGGTGTTCGATGGAGAGGTTGAGGTAGGGGTCTGTAGAGGTGGAGCGGTAGATCTGGACGGGCTTGGAGAGGTGCTGCGTGTAGGGCCTGGTCTGGGCCGGGGATGTGATGACTTTCGGGCGGGATTGGCACTGGGGGCGTGAGAGCGGAATGCGTCTCGTGATGACGCCGAGGCGGGATGTGGGAGCCATCATCGGCCTCACGGGAGTGGTTGAACAAGGTAAAGGCAAAAAGGAATTCTTTCCCTACATCCGCCTGCCTCGTCTTTTTATGATCCGTTGAGCTGCTATTCGTTCCCAGATTGTTATATTCAATCAGATGATGGAATCTAGGATGCAATTGGAATGTACGCGGAAGTCAATTGACGAAAATATATCATGAAGGTCCAGTGAGAGCTCGAACGAGAGCTTGCAGCTTTTGAGATGCAGAAGCTCGAGCTGGACCCTGACGGCAAGACCCACCTTTCTGCCGCCAAGGATGCTAATCGGCTGGACCCACCTAAAACCCACCTCGATCCCGGCCAGCGGGGAGCCGAAGACGGCGGATGGAGGGGCTCAAAAAAGTCCGGCTATGAGCTTTTCCAGGCGCGGGCAGATCTGGGTAGCATCATGCCACCACTGCGCTTCCTTGACTCATAACGCGTAATTTTGGAAGAAGTTGCAATTTGTGATCTGTATTGTGTCTTCTTGTCCCTTCTCTCCTGTCTTCCTGACTACGCCAACATGTCGACTTTTGGCGAGTATTTCCGGGTGACCACGTAGGCTCTGCCCTAACTCCCTCCGTTACGAAACCGCCCGCCGACACTGACGTTCCTAGCTATGGCGAGTCGCACTGCCGCTCCGTCGGCTGCATCGTCGATGGCTGCCCGCCCGGCATGGAGCTCACCGAGGAGGACATCCAGCCCCAGATGACCCGCCGTCGCCCGGGACAAAGCGCCATCACGACCCCGCGCAACGAGAAGGACCGCGTGCTGATCCAGAGCGGAACCGAGTTTGGCGTCACCCTCGGGACGCCAATCGGCATGATGGTGATGAACGAGGACCAGCGGCCGAAGGACTACGGCAACCAAACCATGGACATGTTTCCCAGGCCCAGTCACGCCGACTGGACCTACCTCGAGAAGTACGGCGTCAAGGCGAGCAGCGGCGGCGGGAGGAGTAGCGCACGCGAGACCATCGGACGCGTCGCAGCGGGTGCCATTGCCGAGAAGTACCTGAAGCTGGCCTATGGCGTCGAAATCGTCGCCTTCACCAGCTCAGTCGGCAACGTCCACTTGTTCCCTCCCACGCCCGAACATCCCAGCCCGAGCACCAACCCCGCGTTCCTATCGCTCCTCAACAAAATCGACCGCAAGACAGTCGACGAATACCTTCCCGTCCGCTGCCCCGACGAGACGATCTCCCGGAAGATGGAGCAGTACGTCTCCGAGTTCAAAGAGCGCAACGACAGCATCGGCGGGACAGTCACCTGCGTCATCCGCAACGCCCCGAGCGGCCTTGGCGAGCCCTGCTTCGACAAGCTCGAGGCCAAGCTGGCGCACGCCATGCTCAGCATCCCCGCCACCAAGGGCTTCGAGATCGGATCCGGCTTCGGCGGCTGCGAGGTTCCCGGGTCGACGCACAACGACCCCTTCGTCTCGGCGGCAGACGTGGAGCTCCCTTCCAGCGTAGCAGAGAGCGGCGCTGCCAAGAGCGGCTTCACGCGACCCAAGCTGACGACCAAGACGAACTACTCCGGCGGCATCCAGGGCGGCATCTCCAACGGCGCGCCCATCTACTTCCGGATCGCCTTCAAGCCGCCGGCGACCATCGGCCAGGAGCAGATGACGGCGACGTACGATGGGTCCGCGGAGGGGATCCTGGCGGCCAAGGGGCGGCACGACCCCTGCGTGGTGCCGCGGGCGGTGCCCATCGTGGAGGCGATGGCGGCGTTGGTGTTGATGGATGCCGTGCTTGCGCAGCAGGCGAGGCACACGGCCAAGAGCCTGCTGCCGCCGCTGAAGCAGACCATCAACTCGGGCAAGCCGGCAGGGAACGGTGTCACGGAGGCGGAGGAGGGCGTCAAGGGTCAATAGATAGGGAAGTCTAAAAAGGTCAATGGATGTGGTGGGATACCCGAGTGTATGGGTCCTCCTTAAGCACAGTGGCGTGACCGTTTGTAGATGGGCTGTTATGTGTGCGTTCCGTCCCTCAGTCGAGTACCACACTTGAACTGCTTGTTGCAAAGAGGAAATAGGTGAGCTGACTTCCTGGTATGAGGCAGGCCAAACTTGTCACGTTCATATCCCAAACACCACCTCGCAACGTCCAACGGAGTTGTTTCGCCAAGAAGTATTGTTAAGCCCATGTATAGCCTCAGCAACTTCCTCCCAGCCCAGCCCAGCCCCTCACCTTGCTCCTTGAATGAAGCCTCAATTTTATCTGGTGTCCTGGTGTCTCAAGTGCTTGTTGGCTGATGCCTCCCAAAAGACGCTGCGCGACGTGCCTAGACGCGAATGTGGGCTGCAACTGCAAAATGGGGACTTAGTGGAGTTGGTGAGGTTGGTTTGGCGAGGTAGAGCGCGATCTGTGAGAAGCTTGTTAGTAACGAAGACGCATGCGTGATGCTCTATGGGAAACGGAATTGCCAGAGGAGAGCTAGATCATGGGACTTCGTTCTTCTCATGGCCTGTCTTTGGACCCAAATCAACGCTGATTCCTGATACAGTAATATTTGGTGACTTGGCCCATCATGTCCTGTGTGGTTGATCCTTAACGCGAAAACAGAAAGGAGACTTACCAACTCACTAGCCGGTAGAGACCTCTCGTTCACCCCTTTTTGACCCTACCCCCGTTGCACACCAGCCCAGGGATCATGATGCGCCGGCTCGACCATCGGCCCAGCTCCCGCAACCCCGCCATATCCACCCGTCCCTCTCTGCTCCTCGCTCCCATCCTCCCTTTCCTCTCCATCCCGCACCTTCCCTTCCCCCTCCTCCTCATCCACCCTCTCCGTCTCCACATCCTCTCCCGGAGCAGCCAACATAGGTCGTCGACTCCCCTCCCCGCCGCTTGGCTCATAACCGGGCAAAAGGCCACTCCCCCCGAACAACCTTCTCACCCATCCCCAATCCCCATCGACAGTACTACTACTAGTAGTAGTACTAGTACCATGTCTATATCTCCCCACCAGAAAGACAACCAGCACCTGCAGCACCCCAACAGCAAGCACAACCCCGAGCTCCCCGCCAGCCACCCGTCTCAGCGTCCCGTCCCACTCCGGCAGGCAAGGTGTGTGCCGCCCGAACTGGGCCTCGCACGCCCCCGGGGCCGGGTAGGACCCCCGCGGGAAGGGCCAGGCCATGTCACGCGGGGTGCGGAAGCCGCAGCAGGCGAGGGCGTCCTGGATGCAGCGGACGGCGTCGGCGTTGTGGGACGAATAGAGGGCGAGCCATTTGTTGTGAAGCAGGCAGGAAGTGGTAGATCGGGAGAGTAAGGGGCAGGCGAATGAGGTTGCCAGGAGTGTGGTGAGGATTAGTTGGACGATGTGGAGGATGGAAGGGAGCAGGGGTTGGATGGAGAGAGGGAGGATTGTTGGGGAGGGGGTGGTGCTGGTGGTGTGTTTGCAGTTGCGGTTGCGGCTATAGGGGGAACGCGGGTGGAAGAAAAGGTGGGGGATGAAGAGCGTCGTGAAGAGGGAGAGGAAGGGTAGGAGGATGGTTAGGATTGTCAGGACAGGGGGGATGGGTAGGGAGAGGTGGCCAGCGTTATGTGTTCGTAGCTTTTGCGAGGCTTTCGTTAACTCTTTTCTGGTTGCAACGTCTGGCAGGAGAAAAGGAGCGGGGGCTTTGCATTGCGATGCCGACAAGGGCGAGGATGATCTGGGGAATGTTCAGTAGGGCGGAGAGGCGGATGGGAAGGGTGTCTGTCTTGCAATCAATGACCTACCAGAGAGTAAACTATCAGTATCATCGCCATTGTTTGCAGTGTGGCTGATGATCTTGGGATCTGTCTGGGCGGGTTGGCTGGGTTTGAGTTAACGGAGAAGATCTCATCGGGGCGAGGAAGGAGGGGAAGACTGGGCTTGAGCACCCAACGGTACTAAACATGTTAATAAGGGCAGTGCGGTTGTTTGCGTCACTATCAGAATTCGGAACCTTAACCCGCTGAGGCCAACTGGATGAACGTCTGTCTCTGCCCAAGTCTCCTGCATGGTCCCGGAGTCAATATGGAGTGCTACCGCAGATAGCCGACGACAGCCACGAGTGGTACCTCGTTTTGAGCAAGGTTTGCCGTTTGTTCTAGGACGACAGCATACTTGACAGTTCGAGTGTAATGCTGATTGCTGACTCGCTCCTACATCCTGGGGGTGGTGACTCGAATATAATTTGAAGGAACGTGGGCTACTATACGAGGATGGGAAAAGGGAGTACATACAACGCCGACCAGGGTGCTACTGAGGCTCGTCCCATGTCTTCCCGGCCCTGGCTTTCATCAGGCCGCCGGTGCTTGCCCACAATTTCATTCCAGGGAATATTTACTTTGAAAGTAAGCTGCCAAGTATCCAAAACATCGCCCCCTTCTGCCCGCTATTCTATGTTACCTTGATCCTACAACCATATACAATCCAACAGGTTCCCACCAAACCCCAGAAGCGAAGTACAAGCCGACAAACCACCACCATCGAACAGTCGAGTCCACCCGCTTATTAGCACTTGGGCGGGAGGGCCTTGTCGTCGGTCGGCGTCTTGGCCAGCGCAATCTCCTTGTTGCGGCGCTTGACGAGGCCCTGGAGGACGTTGCCGTTGCCGTCGTGGACCCACTTGGGGAGCTCCTGGGCGATGACGGTGTTGGGGCTCTCGCCGGCGTTCAGGCGCTTGATGAGCTGCGAGCCCTGCGCGGCGCCGCAGCCCATGTTGAAGCTCCAGCTGATCAGGGCGCCGTACTGGTTCAGGTTGAGCTTGGCCTTGCACATTTGGGTAATGCACTTCTCGAATTTCTTTTACGATGGGGAATTTTGTTGGTTAGTATGGGATGACACTTCTTAATCTTCGGGGTGCTGTGAGGAAAAAAAGGAAAAAGAAAAAGATGGTACCTTCATGTCGTCGGCCAGGAGCTTCTTGCCGTCGGCCTTGGACAGGGGGATCTTGTACTTGACGTCCGAGCACTTGGAGTTGGAGCAGAGGTGGCCGTAGCCGACTGTTGGGTGGCCCGTGGCATCGGTATCTGGAGCGCCCGACAGGTGAGCATATTGTGTCGAATCGATGGATGGGAGGTGAGAATAAATCAGGCACTTACAAACGTTGGGCACAAAGCCCTCCGACACGGCAATCAGATCAACAGTAGCCTGATTCGACTTGGGCGCAGCACAGGTCGAAGTGCCGCCGCATTTGCCCGTCACATAGCCGTTGGAGCCAGTTTTGACATAGTAGTCGGAGACATAGCAGCCATCCTGCGTCTTGTCCCAGATGCTGTTGCCGCTCACGGTCGTGCCCGCCGTTTGACAGGTGATCTTGACATCGGTGCCTTTAGCATAGGTCTTCTTGACGGCGTAGCTCGTGCCCGGCCCTGAGCGGCAGTTGACACTGTCGCCGGTGATCAGGTAGGCACTGGCGGGAGCCAGAGCAGAGGCAAGAGCGGCAAGAGCGACGACCTTCATGGTGGATTATGTAAATGATGTGCTCAAGGAATGTTGGGGGGGGGGGGGGGGGGGGAGGGAAGACGAAAGCTGTCTATGGTGGAGTTGGAAGAAGGACACGATGGTAAGGGAATGTCAAGGTTGAGAGCGGTAATTAAGAAGCATTACCATCATACTTATACACGTTCTTCCGCTTGAGCCTTGAGGTTCTCGGTTTCGATGTCGTCGCGAGACTTGAGATCCGTCAAAGATCCCTTCTCGGTCTGGGACGTCAACCTATACTTGGTAAGACGGAACGATGGGGAGCCGGCTTATTTCGAAGTTTACCTTATTTATTATTGCCTCAACGATGCTATCCCCGACAGGCTATGTTCTCCCATCGCATTACGATGTTATTCCCGCGTCTGTGCACTACCTATCCGTAGGGGTCTAGATGACATGCATCACAATAGGTGTCCGAATCGGTAGTCGATTTCCAAATTTGTGCGGTGCGCTGAGATGGCGCTAGCTTTCTTCAGCACCGGTGACGCCTGGCACTGCGAGGGCTGACCCGGCTCGCCCGGCTGAACCGACGCCGTGCTAAGTTAAGATTCCGGGTCGGGTCGATCATTTCTCCAGTCACCAGTGTTACATTCCTCGGTCCAAGGACAAGCCCGGACTAGGATCGGGCTAGGCCGCTGGGCGTAATCCGTACATACCGTACACTAACGTCTATGTAAATCTTCGCCGGGCCATGAGCGCAAAAAGGGAGTGCACTAACGTTATTGGCTTACTGGTCGACCCGAGCACTCGATTTTCATTTTTAAGCAAGTCCCCTCGCAACACACCTGTAAGTAAAAAAAGACAAATTAGGTTCTGAGCGGCTCGCTCCCTTTGACAAGGACTTTCCCACATTGGCCATATTTTCTGTGGGGGAATACATGGATCGTGGGGTTGTTGGCGCCATTGTAGGGTCGCATTGAATGACCCTATTTTACCTCGCCGCAAGTCCCATGCATACACTAAACTCCACTCTCACTAGTCTTCAAGAAGACATCTCATGAGTCGGCTCAACTGCGGTTGAAGATAGTACGAGAATGGGGTTGGCTTACAGTGGGAGTCAGGAAGAACGAAGTGCGTCCAGTGAGTTTGATATTACGGCGCGTTGATCAGCTAGTGAAATTGATGGGCTAATTCACGAGGTGCGCCGTTTGGAATCAACTGCTTGGAGGCGACGGAGTGGGACAGAGAGAAGGCTTGTTTTCCACATAACTATGTGTACATGATAGAGAGACGAGCCGGCAAACAGATAACACAATGACTCTAGGTGCTTGAATCCGTTCCCTTCTTCTCAAAGCCACAGAGATCCGTGGCAGGCGTGTCAATGTCCTCCGTAATCTCGATCTTGTTGACGGCGTCCTCCGTTGCTACCGTGCCATCAGTTGTGGAGAAATTCCCGTCCTTGGCAGGGGCGCATGGATGAAAGGGGCCAGGAGCTGGCCCACCCCAGCGGTCAGCCTCATCATTCATGCCCTCCTTTTCCTGTGCGATTGGGTGTGTTCTGTTAGTAAATACCAGGGAGAGAGTCGGCGGAGTCCCTTACCTGCAGCCGGGGAAATGATATAGGCCTTCAGATTATCCCGTCTTACTGAAGACTCAGTGGACTCGGCCAGCAATGCTGACGGCGTCGACACTCTCTGTGCACGGTGATGGTTCATACTCGTCTGCGCGGGACGAAAGCATATTTTTAATACCTTATATAAAGAGGCCATGTGAATCGGTTGCTGATCCTTTTTGAAATCATCTTCCACTGAGCTTCCTCTCACTCATCGACCTCATCGCAGCTACAGCCTAACTACACACTACAGTCCTCCTTCCTTTGCACATATTCTTCTCCCTATTCACGCCATGAGGCTCGCCGTTTTCGCTGCCTTTTTCCAGGCCGTGGCCTTCTCCGTCACCAATGCCTACCCGATCAGCGGCAACGGCGTCAACTGCCGGTCCGGTCCCGGCACCAGCTACGCTGTGAAGAAGACGTATCCCAAGGGCCACGACATCAAGATCAGCTGCCAAACCGAGGGCACGAGCGTCAACGGCAACAGCATCTGGGACAAGACCCAGGACGGCTGCTACGTGGCCGACTACTACGTCAAGACCGGCACCAACGGCTATGTGACCGATAAGTGCGGGTCCAGCGGCGGCGGCGGCGGCGGCGGCGGAAGCGGGAGCATTCCGGGCCCCGTCAAGGACGATTACCCCTACAAGGGGAGCTGCGGGCCCGTAGACAAGTGGAAGTACTTCAAGTGCCGTACGTCGTCCGAGACCGCCACTCCCTCCTCCTCTTCCCAACCTTCCCCGACCCGATTCATGCGACCCGAAGCACCCTAAAAGAAAAAGAAAAAAGAAAGAAGAAAAGAAATCCCAAGCACACCACAGCACTCCCCATTGTTATTGTTGAGAAAACCCACAAAAGAGTCCCAGCTGACGCGGCCCACCTGCTCTCTCCCACAACAGAATGCACCAGCTTCGTGGCGTGGCGCATCAACTCCCGGCTGGGCATCAACTTCCACAACATGTACAAGGGCGTCAACTGGGGCGACGCCGAGTCGTGGGACGACGCGGCGCGCCGCACGGGCGTCAAGGTCAACAAGACCCCCAAGCCGGGCTGCATCGCCCAGTACAACGGCGGCAAGGCCGGCCACGTCGCCTGGGTTGCCTCCGTCGGCACCGACACCGTCACCGTCGAGGAGTACAACTGGAACACCGTGCGCGGCTACGGCAAGAGGACGGTCAAGAAGACCGCGTTCGACAATTACATCCATCTAGACTCCAGGGTTTAACTAAACTGGTGATTGGATCTCTTTGCTCTTCGTGGGGAGCGTTATTATTACGGGGGGGAGTGTCTGGGGTCGGGTGTGTTGGTAGGGCTTAACACAGGTATTCTATCGCTTCTTGTATCTAGCTTGAGTTGACTTATTGGGACGTTTTGGGTTCGCTTTTGGGGGATAACCTTTGGAAGAGTTTAAAGTCATATCTTACCTAGGTAGACTTTTAGAAAATGCACGTCGGCTTGGTTGTTCTGTCTACCTACCTCTCTGCCTTTTAGTGATGATCTGCGCTAGGACTGATGTGATCGCAGTGTTAGGTATTACCAGAGGATGGAAGCATAGGAGAGTTCTTCCATTTGACGCAAAATCTCTAGCGTTGCGCGACTGCGGTTGCTGACTCAGCTGCCTCGGCGCATCGCTCGCCCGATGTTTTGCCGGACGAGATCCCGTTCTCGTTCCCGGGCCGTAGCCGCCTCCGTAACGACTACAAATGGCGCCGGCGACGGAGCCCGGAAGGCGTCGCCCATTTTACTTCGTTCACACCCATCGAGCCCTCCGGAACGCCTCCCGGGCATTCGTGATAGAGATGCATTTTTGGCGCCAGGATCCCGTCCCCTATATAGGGACGCAAACCAACTGCGTCGGAGCCTCGAGGCTCGGTGATGGCCTGGCTCACTTATGCCGTCGTAGCCTCCCTCCTTCCTCCTCCCAAACCCTAGAATCCCCTTCCTCTCTACTTTCTCTTTATTCTTTCTGCTCCTATCGTACTCCTTGGCTCGCTATGACGGTACAATAATAGTTGCGTTTCTCCGAGGTGGACCAGGAGAGCGTTAAGGCGCTCCTCCAGGATTACTTGGACAGTGCTATAGAGGAGGAGGGTAACGAGCAGCCCTTTATTGCTCCGGGCATACAAGCGGAGCGCGATAGAATATAGACCGCCTGGACCGAGTATATCTTCTCCCCACCTTCCCAAGCTTCCCTAACACAAACCAGATCTCGACATTACACCTAGGATAATATGCTAATATATTATAAATTTTATTATTATCGAAAAGTTTCTATAGACTTACCAGAAAAAAAGAGGGTGAAATTAATAGCTATAGTACTCCCTGGATATATATAGCCCACTATCGAGTCCGAGACTGGTGCTAACTAAGTAAAGCTATCGTAATACTAACCCCTGCCGCTTCTAGGTGGACTTCGCTCAGGACCCATCGGCCCTAAGGTTTCAGACACTAGTACAGGCCTTTCTATATAAATATATATAAAACTCCGTCAAGGAACATATTATATTAGGGCCAGAAGAGCATACTATAGTCAGCATGCTCAACTCTGCTTATAACATCAACGAGAAGGTTAGGTTCTACCTCTAGAACGCGTTTTCCTAGGTATGCCAACTAAGGACAGACTACTTATAATACTATCGCATATAAACCTTATACAAGACCCTCATACAAACAGAGATATAGTCCCCAATAAGGCCTAGGAGATGATACCGCCTAATCCAGAGATCGCTATACTAGAGGCGGAGAGAGCACAGCTCAAAGGCAGCTAGTACCGGATCAAATGCACTAAAAACAAGGACTGGATTCGGGGAGGTTACCAGGTTGATCGCACTAAGAAGGCATAGCAGAAGAATATAATCTGGCAAGCTTACCAGGAAGATTACATCTATAATCACTCGACCTATAATATTAAGGCCGAGGGGCAAGAGGAGAGGGAATAAGTTAAGCCGGCTACCAACCTGCAGATCCCTGAGCACGCCCAGCTGGCCGAGATCTCTGCAACCATGTCATGAACTAACCTGCAGAGGCCGGTGGGGGCCGACCTGCATGGTCAACGGGCGGCGCCCGTACCCAATCATTACGAGGAAGAAGGAACCAATGAGGATTAGGGAAATCAGGAACAATGCCAAGAACGATTGTTCCTGGGGAACAACGCCAAGGAACGTTGTTCCAGATGGAACAATGGGAACGACAATTGTTCCAAATGTTCCAGAGATCTAGGTACGGGATACCTAGGGGAGGAAGCTGTATATAGTTCTACCATTCTGCCTCTCATTCAGATAGCTAGCTTCCTCAGTGAGCAATTACAAGCAGTAAAGTAGCCCTACATTACTGTGCAGACATTGCGACTTGCATTGTTGTGAACCTTTTGGCTTCACCGAGACCTACAGTCCGACCAGCAGATACCTTCGACCGGCGAACCCTTTCAGAGGCAGGACTGCCTGTGGTTTCGTCACACGTTGCTCACTCCCTTTGACTCTGTCACGGTTCAGATCGAAGGTACCACCGACCATCATGGCGCCCCAGACACCTAGCACCCCGGAATCCCAGAGCCAGGCCGCAACCATGCGACAGATGCAGCAGGCTCTCGAGACTCTCAACGCCAAAATCGCCCAGCTTGAGGCCGAAAACGGCCATATGCAACAGCTCGTCAACGAGGCCTACAACGGCAAGCCCAAGGACAAAGCCAAACTCGAAGCACCCCCCAAGTACGGAGGCGACAAAGAAGGACTCGCTGGATTCCTTACATCCATGAGGGCCTACCTCAAGTACTACCCGGACAAGTTTGCGGACGAATCCGCCAAAGTCATGTTCATCTCCTCGCGGCTCGAGGGGAAGGCACTTCGATGGTTTGAACCCACCCTTAAGGATTGGCTAACCAACAGTGCGGACGCTCAGGACGATTTCACCATTGAAATTTTCAAATCATACGACAAATTTGAACAGGAAATCCAGAAGGTGTTCGGAGACCATGATGAGAAGCTCCACGCGCAGGAGCGACTCGCACGCCTGAGGCAGACAAAGTCGGCGGCTGCCTACGCCATGCAGTTCCGCCAGGATTCACTTCGGTGCGAGATCAATGACGAAGGTCTTATGCAGTTGTTCTACGATGGCTTGAAGGAAGAAGTCAAGGATGAACTGTATCAAAAGGACCGACCCGACACGCTTGACGAATATATCGCCATGGCTATCCGCATTGACGACCGGATTTATGCCAGGCGCCAGCAGCGCAAGGGACGCGGAACGCAGCCTACATTCGTCAAGGCAAACGACAAAAAGAAGCGACAGTACCCCAGCACGTCGCATGGCACCCACGCTGGTCCAATGGACGTGGACGCCACCCAGCGTGAGGATAAAGGACGGAAGGACAAGTCCCAGGCCACCTGTTTCAATTGCGGCAAGAAAGGGCACTTCAAGCGGGAGTGCCGCAGCAAGAAGAACTGGAAGCAGGTGCCCGGCAAGGAAAATGCCACGATCGACAAGTCAACCCGCGTGGTTGAAGTGGCTGCGGCAAGCTACACCGAGGATGACTTCGACGACGCAGTTGACCGAGGCATGGCTGAAGGAAGCATCGATGACTCCTCTCGGTCAGGAAGCAATAGCCCCCACGTTACGTTCGAAGAACCCATCACAGGCTACGACATTGCCGCCGCCGCAGCATCACAACTCGCAGAAGGTTGGGGATTCCAGTTGACCCAGAATGAAGAAGGTCAATGGAGGACACGACAATCGGACAACGAACCCGTTGGCCCGAACCCCATCTTTCTCGCCCAGCGCCTTCAGGAGGCTGAAGAGGAACAAGCCGAGCTTCGAACAATTACCCGAAGACTCGCAGAAGAAAAGGCTCAGGCCATGAGCCAACTAGAATTCGTCAAGGCCAAGTTGGTCAGGGTCCAGGAAGAGCACCACTCGAACTTGTGGGATGGACCAGCACAGGACCTAAGCCAGGGCAGGGGGAATAATGGAATCAAGAACCCCGAGGCTGAATACCAGAAGGCCCAGAACCAGCGAAGACTCAAGGGGCAGGAACCACAAGATTGGGACACTTTTTGGAATAAGAAGCCGTACAACGGCGTCGGGGACAGCAACGCGGTACGCATCTGGATTGGATTCGGCCCGCGCTACGAACCCCACGAACAAGACGCACTTCGACTCCAACCCCAGCGATACGACCACGTCTACGTCCCATGGTTCCAGTGCATCGCGCACGAATGCCGATACCATTTTCGATCAAAATTCGACAACGACTTTTGGCCCGACAGGCCTACCGACCAAAACGGAGAACCTCGACCAGTCCCGTGGGTTTGGGACGCAGGGACCGGCGCCGACCAGTCCCTATGGAAGGTCGAAAGGACCAACGCATACGACAGAATCAGGGTGACACCGCGAAGAACCCAGCCAGAAGACTGCCAGCGGTGGCCCAATAGCACTCGACAGTGCAAGAGCCAGGATTGCTTAATCCATATGCAAGCGAAGCTCCAAGAACATCACGAACGCAAGACACATACACGAAGATGGATGACGCCTCGCGAACGACGAGAGGAAGGAAGAAGAGCCAACGAAATTCGACAATTATTCGAAGAACTCCCGAGACTTGGACCGCAGGACGGCAACCAAGAGGCACAGGAGGATGGGGACGCCTATCCAGACGCCAGGACGGAGTTGGGAAACGGCTCAGGGCCCTCCGAGGGGCCCGGAAACCACTAAATCCATCACAACAACGACAGATCCGCGGGTGCAGGAAGAACCACGCAAGGAAAAGGATCTACGACCTCCCAGCGAGCAAAAAGGAAGCCGCTGCGATTCAGAACGACAAGCCCGATGACAGAATCTGGGTTATGGCATACTGGAAAGGATTCCAAACATTGGCACTGGTAGATGGAGGATCTCAGGTCGACCTCATCTCGCCAACACTTGTCAATCGACTTAGGATCCCGTGGAGGATCAAGAAGAAACAGCACATCGTTAAAGGACCATTCGACACCCAATGGGTACGACGGGAAACGGAACCACTTGAGATCACGGTGGAAGGGAAAACCACCAGAGTGGTGTTTGACATTGTTGAAATGGGGCCTAAGAAGGACATGATTCTAGGACGCCCATGGCATCGAGACTACGACCCAGACATCAGTTGGAAGGGAGGTGGCCACCTACGACCTCGGGAACAGAGGCCGTATCCGACCAACGAGATGGAAAGCGCAGACGACGGATCGCAGCAGGGAAGATCGCCCCGGAAGGCGGCCCCTATGGATCCACCGCAAGAGACGGACAGTGCCAGGCAGCGCACTACGGACTCAGGAAGAGGCGGCAGTCACCAGGAAGAACAGCGGGAATCGGCAAGACCAGGCCAGAGACGACGCCACTTGCGACGATGCCCTCGCACGGCTCAGAGAGACACAGACGACATCGAAATCGCTGTCATCTCAATCGATGAGACCGGAGAATTTGAATTCCAGGATTGGGTCACCTGGAGGGAAGCGGCCAGTATCACGGCCGGAGACAAGTTCTCGTACTACCGGAGTACAGAGAAGAACGCGG